TTTAATGGGGGTTTCGCCATTGTTTTTCCTTTTTATACCATTTTTCGAATTCCCAAAAAATAAACCAAAAACCCAAAAAAAAAAAAAAACAAATTTACACCAACCAAAATTGCACTTAAACCCCCCCCCCCCCCCCCCCCCTCTCCATCCCCCGCGAACACATGATCCTTCAAACCGCCGAAATCCCCTTCCTCTCCAAATAACTCCCCAACAACCCATCCAAATTCCCCATCATCCTCTGCACCCCCCTCCGCTCCTGAACAAACAACCCCTTCATGATCGGATGTTCGGGACCCACGGGCACAACATCCGATTTATCGTTTATCAGCGCCAGCATATCTCTCACCTCACTGCCGTCGTCGAGCCAGGAGCGGAGATTGCTGTCGGACCAGGATTGTTCTTTTAGGCCGGGGGTGGAGGGGAGGGTGATGGAGGAGATGGAGGAGTGGTCGTCGTTTAGGGAGGGGTTGCGGAGGTGGGGTTGGGGGAGGGTTGTTGGTATTGCTGCTGAAGGTGCGGTGGGGTGAGAGGCTAAGACGCCGTGGAGTGGTGATAAGGAGCGAGGGGCTGTGGGCGTGGGTTCGTCGTCTTCGAGGGTCAGGACCTCGTGCGGTTGTTGTTCCTGGTGTGCTGGACCACGCAGCTGGTTATTGTCCGGATGCTCGATGATACTCGGTGAGCTGATCAGACTCCTTGGGCTGGCTTCGTCGGATTCGGGTCCTTCGCCTGGTGTGGGTATGTGGACGATTTCGGAGCCTTGCATGAAAGCGCCGAAGCCGCCACCGCTGCTGTTGGTGATATGCACGGGATTTTCTGATAGGCGCTCTTTGCGTTCTGGCTCGTCCTCGCCTGATGCGCGTCGTTGTCTTTCTTCTTGTTCGAGGAAAGGGTTCGGTTCTGTCGCTTCGTCCTCGTCGGCCGAGTCGAAGTCGTCTAGTTCGACACGCTGTTTGGATCGCTTCGCTTTCTTCGGCTTGAGATCTTTGTCGGCTGGCGTGAGCATGTTCTTGATTGAATTCATTGTGCCTTCTGAATCTTTCTGCTGTTGCTGTGCCATAGTCTCCACAGGCTGCGAAGCTTCTGTGATTTGTGCTTCCTGACCGGTCGACATCTCGAAAGCCGCTTCGCTGCCTGCAAGCTCCGCCATCATAGCGCCACGTGGCTGTGATGGTTTGGCAGCATCCCTCGCAGGATTTATGTTCTGGCTCGAGGATTGCTTCTGGAGAATGCCTCTCGGCTGTACTTGTTGCGACGGCTGCTGCTGTTGTTGTTGTGGCTGTAGCTGTGCTTGCGGTTGTGACTGTGAATGCGGTTGAGCTTGGTGTTGTTGTTGTTGTTGTTGAGCCTGCTGCTGTTGTTGTGCCTGCTTAAGCTGAGCGGCTTGCGCAGGAGTGACATTGGTCAACGGCGCCGTATTTGTGCTGGCGCTCCTCTCCACAGGTGAGTTCCGACTGCTGGCTTGAGGACTAGCTCGTGGCGACTCGCCGCGCTTCATCTCTAGCGAAGGCTTCTCCATATCGCTCTCGGTGCCAGCATCGTACAAAGTCTTCTTATCCTTCTTCTTGCTCTTGAACAGGCCGCTTAGCATGCCGCCCTTCTGCTTCTCCTTCTTCTTGTCCTTCCCGTCTTTCTTCGCCGCCAGCTCAGGTGGCGAGATTTGCTTGGTAAGATTCTCGGTGCTAGTATTGCGTATACTTTCTGACGACACGGACTTGGTCGATGCGTTGTCCTCTCGTAGCAGTCCCGGAGTGAGTGTGATCTTCCGTGTCTCGGTCTCGTCCTTGAGGAAGGAATCCCTGTTACGGCCCCCTTTCTTTGACTTGAGGGGAGCAGCCTCGGTTTTATCCACCAGCCTCGGGCTTAGTTGTGGCTCGTCGATAGCGGGCGTGTGCGTTGCAATCTGCTCCCTCTCGAAGGACGCACGCTGTGTGGGTGTCATTGCACGCTCGTCTCCGTCCTCGGGCTTGTCTTCTGATGTGCTAATGTCTTCTACCGCCGCCGCCTGAGGTTCTTGAACCTGTGCAGCAGCGGCGCCGTGATTGGGATCGACGGTTTCTTGCTCCTCGTCTTCAGTGGAGTAGTCGTAGTCGGAAGCTTCGACGTATGTAGGCGCCGCAAATTGCACCGTCTTTGCGTTTCGTCTTCGCATCGCCTTCTTGAGTGGGTTGCGAGTCTTTTCAGAATTGTCGCTGAGCATGGTCGCAGACAACTGACACTTGTGAGCAAAGATCCGACACACGTATTTAGCAAACTTACATCAATGTTTCGGTGCTTGTTCAACCGAGCCAGCCGCTCCGTTGGTGTCTCGATGTGTTCAGCGGGTAGATAACCTGTACCACATCAGCAATCGCAAGATTGTGCTACACGGGTGGAGGAATGCCATACCGATGCTGCTATCCTTCACAACTCGCACGAGCCACCAGTAGCTGTTGCTATCGTCTAGCAGGACCATGGTATCGCCTTTAGTTGCATTTGCTTGTCCTTCCACGGTGGCAACGAAGGTATGTAGAGCATAGACGAACTCGAAGTCGATGTCTTCTGCTGGCAATTAGTACTGTTCAAGCATTGCAAATATATAGCGAGCACGTTTGAAGGGGGATAAGAAATGTCATTTGCATCATCATGGTGATCATCATGGCATCCTAGAACGAACCTGAGTCGGTATCTGCGCTCTCCCACGAGCTACTGGAGGTGGCCGAAAGTGGTGGGGATGGTGGGCTGTCCAGTAATGGGTCATCGACCGGGAGCAGAATGTCGCGAAGATCCATACTGGTATAGCTGCCAGTGCTAGCCCAGCTTGGTGATTGTTGCAAAGATCCTGGCTGTGGTGTCATGAGGTTCTGAAAGGTATGTGTGCGGAAGGGGCTTTCGATGGGTCTTAAGTCCTCACGAACAAGGACAGACACATCAGAATGCGTATTATCGTCCACCTGGTTGTTTGATATACTCGCTACCGCGTTGTTCGAGTCCGTCATCCATGTACTGTCGTGGCCAGGGTCCAGTGTTCCGCTATACCTACCCGATTGATGATGCTCTGACATATGACAAGTTGTGCTGTCCACAGATTTCCAGTCGTATGACTGCTCGTACCCCCGCGTGTCAAGAGGTGAGCTGGACTCCTAATCCGGCGGTCTCGACAGCGGGGATGATGCATTCGTTATATGAAGGGGCAAATGCTGTGGTGTCTGCACAAATGGACTCGATGTGAGGGTCGAGCATGTGCTGGACGTAGAGCTGTTGAAGCTCTCGCGCGTAGGTGTGACACATGGCGAAGGTGACAGACTTGAAGCTCTGGCGGGCCAGATCCTCAGTCGCGCCTTCCCAACCTGGCCGGTGCGGATACGTGGTGGAGAAAGTAAAGGGTAGTACCCACCATCGTCAATGCTCGGGGAGCTCGATATCCTGTCCATCATGTCATCGTCGCCCTCCGTCTCTGACTCGCCGCCTTCACCTCCTTCCTCGCCATCTTGCTGTGTGCCGTTTGTCGCGTTACCATTTTCGTGATTCGCTTGCGCTTCGGCGATCGCGCCCGGTTCCTCTGTGAGTTTGCCTGCTAGGTTCCACGCATCGTGTAGTGACTGCTCCTCGGAATGCCGCTCTTCGCTCACGTGGTTGAGCTGCGATGCTTGGTGTGGCGCAACACCATTCTGTCCCGGATGTCTTTGGTGCTCGGCGGCTGAGGGGTTGTCGTGATCCTGCAGGTCGAGTGTGTCTTGGACGACATGTTAGCCGCACACTCAAGTCTGCCGTATCACCAGATCTACACACCGGCTCTAACGGGCCCTCCTGGACGCGACATTATGCAACCGGCAGCGTGTCTGGCCTCAGTATAGTGGCCACACTGCTACCTCTTGTACCTGCTCTGGCAGCTCGTGCTGTCCAGCAATCTTTGCCCTTCGGCCAGCAGTCGTCTCGTATATAGTGGGAGAGGTAGAGTGGAGTCCAGCAATTATCGTCCAGGAAGTCCCTTGGTCGCACAGTTCCTGCAGCGAAGCGGCTGGGGAGAATGTTCGCGTGGCGGTGCTGCTGTGCCCTGTCTCTTCAACCTTGTCGCCGTGAAGGTCTGGTGTCGCTATGATAGTCACCGCAGAGTATATAAACAATCAGAGTATCGCCATGGCCTCCATGGCTCAGATACAGACCATCATAATTTTAGTGACGGGGAAAGCACACAATCCACACCCCTGGCCAGTGCCGTAGAGTTTAGAGTTGTCGTTTCACTGGACTTGCGTTCGGCTGTCGCAGTCCGCCGCAGATTGATTGGCTGAACCCGACCATCGGAGATCGGTGTGGCTTATACGCTGAGATACATCTCCCGAAGCCGAAACCAACGACCCAGTTTTGGGCGACGAGGCTGTTGCCGTTGGCTCCTCATTGATGTTGCGTGGTGTCTCAATACTGTTGTTGGTGTTCGTCCTGGACGACGGGGAATGAGACTATCACGAGACACATTTTCGGCTTCGCATCGTCTATCGTATATATCACATGATATCTGTGACACGATTCATGCAAAGCCCTCGAATAGTCGTCGCGCCATGGCAGCAGACTTCGCACGATCGCAGAAAGCCGCAGCTTATCAACGCTGGCCACGTGGGAAGTCCTTTTACACGCGAGCCTCCCCGTAGCTATCACGCCACAGCCGTGTCTAGAATACCGACAGGAAGATAAGGAACAGCTAAAATCTCAGCAGCACCAGCGCGACTGGGACGAGAATGTCCTAAGGTGCTTGCGACAGTGTAGGCCAACATATGTACACGCGCCACTACCACCGACCACCATATCCACCCTTCTCATACAGACCAAAATCCCGCTTGACCGTCCTCCCCTCAGCCTTCAGCGTAACCTTGAACAGGTTCTGCGCATTGAAAATGTACATCCCATCCGGCACAAAGGCAAAGTTATTGACACCACCATTAGCCACCGCGAGCTTACCAAGCAACACCCCCTCCGGATTCCACCTGCACAAAGATCAAAGTCAGCAATCAGACAAAAAGCTGCCAACATCAGGTAGAGCGAGACTTACACATGAATACCATCCCCGCACCCCGAATAGACATTTCCCTGAGTATCAGTATGAATCCCATCCGGAAATCCAACATCGCTATAAGCGAACACCTGGCGGTTCTCCAACCTCTTCCCATCCGGCGTGACATCGAACCGATAAATCGTGGCCGGATCAGTCAGATTGTCCTTATTCGGGAAAGTGTGAGAGCCGGTATCGGTGATATACACGTGCTTGAAGTCAGGCGAGAACTCGATACCATTGGGTGCATTGAAGCCGTCTGCCACGGCCTGGATGACGCCCGTCTTGGGCTCGAAACGGTAGGCTTGGTAGCGGATTACGGGGGTCGGACGAAAGTACCTGCGCTGGTCAGTAAATATTCCCCTTCAGATAGCAAAACTAGACCATTGAAACTCACTGCCAGTAACCATAAGGAACATCAGTAAACCACAGATCCCCGGTACCATAATGCTGCTCCACATCATTGATCGAGGTGAAATTCCGACCCAGGAAGTTATTAACGAGCGTACTCGTCTTATTCGTCGCGGGATCAACAAGGACAAGTCCCGCCGGATTCGTAAAGTCGCCTTCGTCGCAGAAGACGATCTGCTGGCCTTCGCTGCTATTCGCCGAGCTACCTACAGGGTAGAAAGCCGCGCCTCCGTTCGCCTCGGCCAGACCATCATAACGGATCGAAGAGATGGAGTTGTTGTTGTTGATGTCGATAGCTGTGACGTTGACGGGGTTCGAGATGTTACCGGCCCAGTTGCTGGTGGCGTAGAGCTTGCCGGTCTTGATGTTATAGACGCCGGCTTCGTGGAAAGCGACCCAGTCTGTTTGCGCTACCAATTGCTGCGAGACATTTGTGCCGAGGATGTCGGTGATGAAGGTCTCGTTGTACGATATGAAGGAGATGTGATCGATGGAAGCATTGGCAATGCTTTGGAGCTGATATGCATATGGGATGCTGCTAGCCAGATGTAGCAGGTCGACGCTGGTTATGTTGACCATGTTCGCGAGTGACAAGACTGTGAGGAGTGAAATAAGTTTACACACTTACTCACAACGTCCGTCAGCAACATTTTGTATTTGATCGTCCATCCGACGTCATGGTTTAGGTGCATGGTTTAGCCAGGCACAGACGAAGCTTGTGTGAGGGGAAAAGTGCGGAGACTTCGATCCACATTCGACACCAAAACACGCCGATCCCGGCACTCCATGAATGGGTTTGCCGATCTGGTATGCCACGGCCATGATACACGAGTTCTGAAGTTGTGCTCGAGGACACGCAATAACATGATGAAGGGACCTCTGGAATCTAGTCCATCTTCACGCCACTCGCTCCCCCAGTCCTCGGATAAACCAGCGTCTCCTCCGACGCCTGCCTGGTCGAATCATTCGTACTAACAACATGATATGAAAAGTCCAACTCGCCCACCAGCTCCTTCACATTCTCCAGAATCTTCGCCAGATCGTTAATGATACATCGCGTCCCTATCTGCATAACGGCAAAACTCGCATAGCCCGGTTCGGCGATATGTCTCACACTTAGCAGATCCTGATCCAACTCGTCGAGCTTCTGAGATAATCTATACGGTTCTGGCACGCGGAGGTAAGGCGGGAGTGGTGTGCCGCTGGTCACTGAGGCGGAGAGGAGGGAGAGCAGGGTGGTGATTGCTTCAGACGTCACACCCGATTCGCCTAGAAGACGGCGGAAGTTGCGCAGCCATTCCGAACTGTGCTCTTTGTCACTCGCATCTGCTTCAGACAGCTCGGCGAAGGTGGAAGATGCTAGACTGACGAGGGCCATGAAATTGAGCGTCGAGCGCATCTGAGCGATGATGCTCTGGTAGCGTGCATGCGGGAACTTGCCACCGATGGGTAAGTCGAACTTGACAAACGCAGACTGCGCCTGGAGGCCTCCGAGCAGTGCTGTGCATTTCGAGAAGACCTTGTATCGGGCCTTGTCCAGCTTGTAACCTGGACCGTCCTTGGACGTAAAGTCGGCTTCGCAGCCACGTACACGAGCGCGCACTGTTTCGTGCATGACGGAGTAGTAGTTTGCTAGGAGATATAAAGTCTTGCCCAATGTCTGTCGGAGCTGAGAATGTTCCGTGATGGGGAAAGGGAACACTGTCCATATCCAGGCCAAGAACAGTCCACCTGCGACGGTCGCCAAACGTATAGGCCCAAGAATGTAGATCGGATGGTAAGCCTGTCCGTTTGACGTCGCCACTGCGACTCCAACCTTTCTCACCTGCAACTCATATCCCAAGATCAACGTCATTGTCACCTGGGATATCATACCCACTGGAATGTAGCCCGGATACTTCAGCACAATGTAAAGCCCAAAATGCAAGAACAGGAAGAAGAATACCAAGATCCCCGCCGTCTTGCCATCGACAATATAATATGCAATCCATGCGAGGATCATAGCGACCGTAGTACCGAACACACGAAATAGAAACCCTCGCACGCTCTGTCCGGCCGTGGGAGTCATACTGATGGAGATCATGATCTGCGACCAGAACAGACGCTCACGAGTGAAGAATGTCTGCGTGTCGTGTAGATAGGCCACGACCGCTATAGACATAGTCGCACACGCACACCTCAGACCAAAGGAGGAAGCGGGCGAGGCGAAGAAATGACCAATCTTCCGTATACTGTTACTCGATTTCTCCCATGGATTCGTAGGAGGCAGGTGCTCCGGATCTTTCTTAGTTTTGTATGCCTGGCCCAGATAGACCGTCACGCCATTATCACCGGAGTCGATCTTCTGATCATCGTGCGCTTCCATGTCGTGTGAGAAGAATGACATGAACCATTTGCGCAGTCGTTTGATCCCAGGCACGATTAAGCGAGTTTTGCTCAGTTTGCCAGACGCCTGTAGTTTTTCGGCATAATTGATCAGATCGCCGACTCGTTGATTCACAGTTTTCAGAAGAAACCCCATATGTAAACACAGAAATAGCTGTCGACGAAGCCGCTGTCGTTCGGGGGACCGGTGATCTGTGTTCATCCAATCTGGCGCAACGTAATCCTTTCGATATGGATCGTCGAAGAAATCCGGCGCGAGTTCTATGCCATGAACCGCACACCACGATCGAAGCATCTCTTTCCTCGTGTCGACAGCAGAAGTAGAACGACGTTTGTAGTAGTCTGCGAAACCTGCCTCGCCAGGCTGTGGCGCATCACCATTGGCTTCGGCCGCGTCATCTGTAGTGCGCATTGTATGTCTTGGTGCAAGTTGTAATGTGATCAAAGCATGTTCGAGCCCCTCATCGATAAGCGTCGTAGCTTTACCGAATGGCTCACGTAGCTGCTTCATCAGATGATGCCATTCGGTAATGGACTCGATGCGCAGCTTCTCAGACTCGTTGGGAGCCTGTTCGGCCGTTGCGTGAGCGAAATTCTGGTCCCTATCCCAGCCACGGCCCTCCGCAATTCGCTGGAAGATGTCGGATAGAGAGCTCAACCCAAGCACCGGAATCATGGTCTCGCGTAGATGTTTGAACAGCTGCTGCAGATCGTCCGGACCAACCTTACCCAGTGCTATTTCCCGCTTCGCGAACACCAAATCAGCGGCAAGCTTCGAGTGCAGACCGTTGAGTGCTACCATTGTAGCCTTGAAGGCATCTGCTTCTTTACTACCAGCGACTTCATCCCCAGCAGTATTGATCCGATGAGGAGCGAACATGTCTGTCTCCTCGAGAGTGTGCATGTAGTCCAGATTCGCCTTCATAGCCTTTCGCAGCAAGCCAAAATACCCCGTCATCTCCTTGAACACCACCTGTCTGCTCGTCAACGGGAAGACAAACAGCGAGACGCCCGTGGAGATAGCGAAGCCCGTAAAGAAAGCCTCAAGCAACTTTTGAGCAAAGGCTGAGGCTTGCGTCATAGTACTGAACTGCGGCGCATAGATCATACTGACATTAGCGAAGATCGCAAACAAGATACTCGGAATAGTGAATTGAGGCCGATTCGCCCGAAAAGCACTAATGGCGTAGATCTCAACAAACAGCCAAATGCCCGCCACGGCGGAGGCGGAAGAATTATACGTGCTCGTCGCCGCTCCCCCGGCAGCCAGACCACTGGTCCCCGGTCCTCCTTTGCCGGGTCCTTGATGGCCTTCGGTGTCGATCCGGGCATGAACTGTGCAGAACATGGCCAGGAGAGCGACGCAGCAGCCTATGCATGTTACGAGGATGTTGATGAGCATCGTCTGCGTGAACTTGGCTCGGGGCTGGATGGGCAGTGAGAGGATCGTCATAATGCCGACAAGATACCCGATCGTCGTGTAGGTGTCTGCGAAGGCGGTGGCTTGGTATGCCGCTATGGCTATCGTTGGGGCGAGGGCGCCTTTGAAGAGTTGCATGTACGTTCGTGCATCGATCCCGGTCTTGGCGAGCCATATTCGCCGGGTCTTTTGCAGTAAGCTTTCTTTGGGCTTCGGCTGGTCGTCGTCATTAGATTTTGTGGCAGTGCGGCCAGCTGGGCTTCCATTGGCGTGGCCATTGCTATCCTGCTCGTGCGAGCGAGTCTTGGTGGGCGACGTCGAGCTGGATCCGTGGGTCGCCGAATTACCATTGGCGCCATTAAGAGGTTCCTCGGATTGCATGTTGTTTCCCGGGGCCATTGGCGATGATTAGCTCAAGCTATGTCGACCAGCTCATAGCGGCCACCATATATGTTCCAGGCGACTCTCGCCAGGCTTGCGGACAGATTACCTACGGTGCTTAGCTGACACTGCGACGAAGATGAAATTAGTACCATTAGGTGTTGTTCGCCGAACTAAAGTTTCATGGATGTCCAGACACCGCGTGTCGACTTGCTCAATTAGACTTTTACCGGCACATTGGAAAGGTAGATAGATCAAGACGACGTGGAAGAAGATATTTCAGGGGAGAATGTATACCTTAACACAATACAATGGTGCGATACGTTATCAATGGTCGACTTTGCTAATACGGCGCACTCTGCCTGGAAATCATATAAGCTTATACAAGCATTTAGTAAGCCACTCATACAACAGACTAGGCGCATATAGCACGAAATGAGATCAACTTCTACCCTACTGTGCTCTAAAGCCATACCAGGGAAACGACCGCCATCTATGGAGGCAGCGATCATGCACTCGTGTGGTACTACGTCGTCTTCATTCTATCCCATAATTCGTATATAACTTCTCACATCGGCAGTCGACCGTTGACCGTTGACAACAGAACGGACAACCTATCGAAGCAATCTACCACCTTCGCTATTGTTGAAAGTAAACCGTATGGCCAGTGCTTTCGATGTGGGCCTGATGGATTATGGGCCAGTAGACCGTAATGAAGAGGTCGCATCGTGGCTTCCTCGGCATCGCATCGCCAGCGGAACGGAATGAAAGGTTCGAAGGCGTGTATGTCACTGTCCACACCTATTCCAACTGTACTGGTCTGTCTTTGGGTGCCTTCCTGTAGCGGCGTTCAAGTTTTAACCGCTTCCGAAGACGGCAGCAAGACCGTCCAGGAGTCCATGGCTAGTGGGCGCATGATCGTTGCAACAGCACGTGATTCTCCTCTGTTGCGAGGACCGGCCGCACCCCAATCGTATCGGACGCAGACGCTGATGGATACCGTCGCGCTGCTCATCAAGCCTTGAGACCTGCGGACAGAACTTACTATAGCTTATGATTGATCTCAAGCCATGTTTGCTCAAGTCACTTCATCGATATCCTCGTCCTCGGCGTCGGCACCAGTAGACGTCTGCTCAGCACCACCATCCGCAACTCCCAGCGCCTCCACATCCTCCGTCTCAACGTCCATAACACGCTCCTCACCACCCTCACCAACATCACCATCCTCCTCAACATCCTCCCACACCTCCTCCCCAACCCCACCACCATTCCCATTCCCCTTCCCCTGCACCTTCTTCCCCCCCTCCCCAGCCACCCCCCCAACCCCAGCATTCGCATTCAATTCCTCCCACATCTTAGCCCGATTCTGCACCCTCTTCGACCTCGCCTTACTATCCCTCACCTTCGTCTCATGCTTCCCAGCGACAGCATCCGCCTTCTCCAACGCTTTCTGCGCCCGGACTTTCTGCTGTCGCGTGAGCTGCTTGGCTTTCTTATTCTTACTCTTACTGATGCCGCCGGTTTGGGTACTGTGGAGCCAGGGTTTGTAGTCTGATTCTTCCTTTTTGCCGCCTGCTTCTGCTGAGCCGGAGGATTTCTTGACCAGGAGGTCTTTGGAGGGTGGGGAGGCGCCGCGACGGGCTGCACGGGAGTGGAGGGAGATGTCCCGTTTTTTAGGCTTGGCTGTTTTGGCCATGTTTTTGTCGAGGGTGAAGACTGTAATCGTGTTGTTCTTGGCTTGATATTTTGGTTGGTGGAAAGCAGCCAAGATTTCGCCATCCACTGGACCCTTGTTCTTGCCTCGGCGATGGCTGCTAGCAAGCACATGCTGCTGCTCAGTAATATAATAATGAGTAGACACAAACATCCGGACGCCACAGTCTCAGTCACCTAATCTTCTTCCTCTCCATGTATGACTGACATAGCCTCAACATCTCCATCTCTACCATGGACTCTCGCTGGCCACCCCAACAATCTCCCCTCCCCACCAGCGCAATCACAATCCTCAGCGGCATCGTCACCCTCTACCTCGCCCACTCCGCTCTAGTCTACTACTTCGACTCCCCCATCCTCTCCCCCATCCTCTCCCCCCTAGAACTCGTCTGGAATGCGCTGGTCTTCCTCACTCCCCAACGCTTAGTCCTGGATGGTGCCAAGAGAGCGGAATTACGAGCGAACGATATGCTGGCGCAGACACATGCTGCGAAGAGTGAGGCTTTGCGGAGGGTGCTGGGGATGGGAGGAGCGGCGTTGACGCACAAGCTTGTTGGTGGCGAGGGGATTATGAGGGGGATGAGTGGGTTTGGTGCTGCTGGAGGTCAGGAGGAGGATGGGAGTGGGAGTCGAAGTGATGTCCCGCCTGGCTTGGGCAATTGGGATAATTCCTGTTATCAGAATAGTGTGTTACAAGGTCTCTCCTCCCTCGACTCGCTGAAGAAGTATCTGGGTGCTCCTAGGACGTCGGTGGTGGAGGCAGAGAGGGACACCGAGAGCACGACGGCGAGTCTACAGCAGACTGTCTTGAAGTTGCGTGGAGTGGAGAACAACGGCAATCAGCTTTGGACACCCGCGAAGCTGAAGAATATGAGTTCTTGGCAGCAGCAGGATGCGCAGGAGTACTTTTCCAAAATCATGGAGGATTTGGATAAGGAGGCTGCGAAGGGGATGGAGGCAATGAAGGCAGAGGTCGGGCTTGAGGCCGCCATGAGGGATGCTGAGGTGGCACACGAGGTTGAAGAGGAAAATGCCCCTGCCCGGAATCCTCTCGAAGGTCTACTCGCACAACGTGTCGCATGCACACGCTGTGGCTTCTCCGAGGGCCTGTCGATGATCCCGTTCAATTGCTTGACGGTGCCACTCGGCTCAAGCGATTTGTACAGCTTACAGGACTGCCTAGACGAATACACCAAGCTCGAAGAAATCCCCGACGTCGACTGTCCAAAATGCACTCTTCTCCGCGCCGAGAACCAACTGCAGCAGATGCTCCCACCCGAACCTCAAGACCCACAACACCAACAACAACAACCATCATCACCACTTCCCCTTTCACCCTCATTCCCCCTCAACCTCCCCCCCGAACTCCGCCTCCTCGCCACAGACCGCCTCAATGCCATCCAACAAGCTCTGCAGGAAGACGACTTCACCGACACCACCCTAACATCAACCTGCCAGATCCCCAAAAAGGCCCACGTCTCCAGCACCAAAACCCGACAAGCGGTCATCGCCCGCGCGCCGCAAGCACTAGTGATCCATATCAACCGCAGCGTTTTTGATGAGCGGACGGGAGTGCAGAGGAAGAATTATGCGGGGGTGGGGTATCCGGCGGTGCTTGATTTGGGGGGGTGGATGTTTGGGGGCCGGGTGGTGGAGGGGGGTGCGAGGGTGTCGATCCTGGACGGCGGTAGGGGTAAAGGGCAGGATTGGGAGTGTTTGTTTCGATTGAAAGCCGTGATTCAGCATTATGGCCGGCATGAGAATGGGCATTATATCGCTTATCGACGGCATCCTGCTGCTGTGAGGGGACGGGAGGGTGGCGAGGAAAAGCAGGCGGAGGATGATGGGTTGGATTGTGAAAGTGGGGTTGGGAAGGTAGAGGATCAGTGGTGGCGGCTTAGCGATGAGGATGTGAGTCCCGTGAGCGAGGACGTTGCGTTGGGGCAGGGTGGGGCGTTTATGTTGTTTTATGAGCGGGAGGGTGGCGGGGATGAGATGCCGGTGCGTGAGAGGGCTGAGGAGATGGCGGCGGCAGTTTGTGAGCCTATGGCCGAAGACGCGAAGGTGGAGGAGTCTCCTCATGTTGCTATGGAAGGGATTGGGCATGAGGATATCAGCACTAGTACCGCCGTACCCGACACGACCGACGAATCGACAGCCACCTCGTCTACACTTCCACCCATCGCTACCCCCGAGCTTCCCACTACCCCTGAGGAACTATCGCCACCCTCAAGAACAGACGATCACGAGCTCTCTCCTCTCGATCCACACGAGCCAGTCTCCATCTCCAACACCTCCCCTCCTCCACCGCAGCACCCACAGCTTCTCCCTTCCTCCAACCCGATGCGCACGGCTCGCGGTCGACAGACGTCGAGGGATGGTAATGGGAAGACGGGGTTTGGGGGAAATGTTTGTAGGGCTATGGCTGCGACTTGAGGGGGTTGAAGGGAGGCGGGTGGGGAAGTGAGGGAGATTTGGTGGGTACGAGTGTGGAAGGGGGGTACGAAGGTGGAAGAGAGGTTCGGATGGAAGAAGGTGTGGATGGAAGGGGGCTTGCGGGAGTGGGTGATGTGTGCTTTCGTGTCTGCTTTCGTGCATGGGGTTTGTTGGTTAGCAAGGCGCTGGTGAGGTAGAGGATGGTTGCGCTTCTGCGCCATGTATGTCGGGACGACTCACGAGATGGCATCGTGAGCAGCCGGACTGATCGTCGGGCAAGAAGATGTACACAAGCACAAGCGTGCTCTTGCCATCCATTCGTATCAAAAGCTGTTGCATACAGCGGCGCCTATCGTTGGCCATCTTCCACATGCGAACATGGACCTTGGCACGGCTAGCTTATGAGTGTGAGGGTAGCAAGAACGAGGAGTGCTTGATGCCTGCTATCTATTGCGTGAGGAGGTACTGCGTGGGCAGCTGTTGCCACAAGGCAGCTACTGCCACAAAGCCGCAGTACGTTCCACCTTCCCATCACGCGTACTTGATGAGGCTGCTACGAATTATATCCCCTATTCCGGAATTCGAAGTATCAGTGCATGTGTATGATGCTACAGCATTGGATGAACCCTTTTGCGGCCTCCGCCCTCCTATCCCTTATTACCACCCTCACAGTCGAAGCCCATCTCACGCAAGATGAACCAGATAGACTGTTCGTCAGCATCTTCGCAACCCCGTCGCTCGCCTCCGTCTTCCCCAAGACCACCTCGTCTCCACCTGCCACTGCCCATCATCCTGGAGGCTCAAAGGGTCATCCCATCCCACCCCGAACCCTCCCTCCCACACGATCAGGCCTAGTCCCACGGGTAATTACATCGCAGCCCGCAACCCGCAACCCGCAAACCCCCTTCCCAAAAGCGACTGTTGACATTGCACGAGCCCCGTGGTTCCTGTCCTTAAGTACGATCTTTTGTTTACTTCCCCTCCTTCTCCTTCCTTCCTCCTTTTCTTCTTCAGACTGGTTCTCATTGAGGTATGTAATCCCTACCCTTGCTCCTGCCTTCATGCCATCACTCCAGCACTGGCTTCATCGTGATTGTTACTACTTGCTCGCCTCGTGCTGGTCTCTGGAAGCCGCTGGACTATATGTTGTCGTCGCTTCCTTGCTGGAGTTTCAACAAGAGGCCAGAAAGAGAGCTTGATGCATACGCGTCCCCTGCTCCTGTCTCGTGGATACTTAGCTGGCGGCCGCTTCAGTAGCTCATCTGATCCTTCGCTTGTTTTCAGTGCGTGCCCTGGACCTCATCGTCAACGCACTTTCATCTCTCCTGGCTACTGGCCATCTCATGGGTCTCACCTACCATTCAGCCTTGTCTCGGTCTGATGCTCGAGAGGCCGTCCGGTCCGCTGGCCAGCACTACCTGTCTGACCTCACTGCCCTTATTGGACCAGCAGCTGGACTGTTGGTGAAGATGGCTCAAAGCACCATCTCTCCAGACTCGTGGCGGCCTCATAAGCTTTACATTTGTGCCAGTAGTGATCTCAGCTGGTGATCTGGACTTTCCACGGACACTGGGCTGTCACGGCCTAGACGGGCCATCCTTTTGCCTTCGCCATTCTTCCTCTGCCTTATAGCATTCACTACACATGCATCGCTGCTTCCTCATACATCTACTGACATCCCTCACAGTGCGCTCCTTGACAACCAGGTTTGTCGAAGATGTCTCACAGCTTCACAAACACTCTCAAGGCCTCGCGTGCGTTCGGTACAGTCGCACGACAATCCCCTGCTTTCGGGCGAACGATTACTGTCACCAAAAATCTCACCATCACCCGGGCCAGCCGTCCGATCACGATGGCGTCGCCACGTAACAACCTGCTGCCACAGGGAGTTTCGCAAGCGACGAGATCGACGGCTACTCTGTGCACACCACCGCCGGCTCTTGCAACGCCGCAGGTGGTAGTGCCCGAGTTCGATAGCCTGACTGAGGCGAGAGAGTGGTTTGATGGTGAGAGCATGTTGCATTACCAGTCGCACCTCCTCTCACGCATTCTCGCTCCTACCTCCCCTTATCTCACAAGTCATTCGCACTTGACTTGATGAGCTTGTGCTGACTCGCTCCTGCAGCATTCGAGAGGGATGCGGCGAAATGGAGGCGGCAGCAAGAAGTGCAGACCAGCAAGCATAGGGGGACTGAAGCCGGTTTCGGCGAGACAGCAGCTATCCAGCAGCACGACTTGCGTTCACCATCCGAAAGCCTGGCTGAGCGAGTGACACCCGCGGCGTTTATAGCGTCGACGGAGACATTCACCCAGACCAGCACGGAGGCGACCGCTCCGATTGTCGATAGACTACCCACGCCGGTCACCTTGACTGGGTACAATGTCGACAATACGCAGAGTAGAGTTCGGTGGGTCGAGGACCGACGGAGTGAGGGGGAGAGGAGAGCGGCGGAGATCAGGGCCGAGTTTGCACGCGGGAAGCAGGAAGCTGCGGAACGCTGTCGACTGCGGCTGGAGGAGGCGGAACGTCGTCGCCAACAACGCGAAGCTTTTGAGTTAGCGGAGAAGGCCCGTCGGGATGCAGAGTGTGAGGCTCAGCGACCTCGTATCGACAGGATGTTGGACGAGGCTATCGTTGAGGCCGAGCAAAGGGCACGTGAGCTCCGACGAGAGCGAGAGCGCGAGCAGATGATGGACATAGCGGTTGCCAAGACCAAGGCAGTCGTTCGACATGCCATGGAGACTGCAGAGCGTGAGATCGCGGCGGAGCAGCAGGCCAAGGAGTCCGAGGAGCTCGCCGCCAGGGTTGAATCCTGGCAGGCTGACCACCCGGCTTGGATCCGTCCGAACAAGCCCAAGTTCGTCATGCCCATCCGACCAGAGATCGTTCTGCGTCGATGCGGTGAGATTGAGCGGGCAGAGGAGATTGAACGAAAACGCGAGGCGGGCAAGGGCAAAGCGTTCCCATTTGCCAGACCACGAAACCGGACTTCCCAGCCACTCGCGTCTAGTTCACCAGCACAAGAGGCCTCACCATTGCCACGGTATCCCGTGCAACGGCAGCAGGTTCTCGAGGAGGCACCACCACCACCACCACCGGTTACGGTCTTAGAACCGTCGACCCAGTATCCTGGACGACGACAATGGGGTCACAGAGCCAAACCTTTCCGCGAGCGCCTGGCTCAGATGAAGCTCAACGAGAACATCGCTTTCCGTTCCGAGCCCACCCTACCATCCACTGAAGCGGCGTCCGATGCCGTGAATGCAGTGGAGGAGGCCGGAGATGCGAATGTGGAGGAGTTGTCCGACGTTATCGATGACACCCGACACTTCGTAGAATGGGAGCAGCGCTTCGAGCAGGCAGTGGCACTTTGACAGGAGCGTGGAGACCAGAGCGAGTCAGCGCACGAGTGTGAAGGTAGCGAGGGTGGCGCCGGTGTGGTTGAGATGGTGAGGTCTTGGGCCAGGAGGGCGTGGGGGTGGGTAGTGGAGAGGGTGTGGGGTTGTGAGGCGGCAGTTGGCGCTCAAGAGACCGGGAGGGTAGGTGGTTGGTAGAAGATTCTGCTTACCTGTGTAGGAATCTTGATCTGAGATGACCTTCGAGCCTCAATCCACGATCGTTGCGATACCCGACCTCTCTAGAGACGACTTTCGAGCCTCACCACACGTTCACTATGGACTCGAGCTTCAATGACGAAGACGACATGCGGCCCTTGTTACACGATCGCTAACAAACCCGGTCTCCTATCGAGATGACCATCGAGCCTCACCACTATCATTCCCACCCCCGACTTTCTTGAAGACTCAGACGACCACCATCCCTCACTAATGCAGTACTAACCAAGCAGGACTACCGGACCAGATGGCCGAGGTGATGGGGAGAAGAGATCGAAAGTTGACGGCATTGCCGTCCTGTCTCCGGGTGGGCTTCCAGTTGGGAAGAAGGCATACGGACTGAGCTGTGGTGAAGAGCGAGGATGAGGGAGGCGTGAGCGGCGGTAGTGATGGGCCTTGTGCAGTCGGCAAGCGCGAGTGGTATGACAGCAGAGGCAGGTGGTTAAGGCCTGCTGGTCATGGGTTGTTGCGGACCGGATGGTGTACCGGGGCTGAACTGGAAGAGCCGGAGTTGGTGGTGATGGTTCTTGTGGCGGTGGAGGGGTGGTACCATTTAAAGAGGGCTCGGATCTCCAGGATGGGGGCGCTCGTGGCGGCGAGGTTTGTCACTGTCCTGGGATGGTCTAAGGCGTCCCTAACGCTCAATGTTTTTGAGGATCGCGATTTATGCTTGTTTGGATTTTTGGGTTTTGCGTGCGTTGTAAACAGTTTTGCTGGACGGGAGGATGCATGGCTTCTTTAGTTGCGTGTAACAGAGGCGAAAGCTTCCCTTTAAACCTAGCCTCTCGTGGATTTTCAGTGCATCTCACAATGTCTGCCATTCTATCTGGGTGGCTCTTGAGCGTGCTGAGAATGGCCCGAGTTACTACGAGTATCACTACGACTGGGTAGATAATCAGCTGTATTTGAGATGCAGGCCGCTCCCAGAGTGGGATGAGTGCCTTGCGTGCCACAGGTGTGGTTCCCATTCCTACCTCGTAATCTGATCTTTGACATCTTTGATCACTATGCACATTGGCCTTGATTCCATTGGAAGGCACTTTGTTCCATGGGATTGACACTGATCGTGCTTCATGCTCGAGTTAACTGGTCTGCGTTGTTGGAGCTGTGCAGCCTCCGACATATGCTACCACTAAAAGCTCGCAACAGACATGAGATCCGGAAACGGCGGCTCAAAAGTGACACAGGCCATGCATCCTGCCGGTGAGCCAGAGATCCTTTCCCACGGTTTCCGCCGTTTATCAGCGTGTCTGGGCAGGTTGATGAAGTCAGGAAGAGCTTCTCTCTCGTCATGTGGCTCGTTAACTTGGCATAGCGTTCTGATCGACGTTTTCCTCGACGCGTGACTGCAGTTGCGGAGTCATGATGGATCGTCCAAGCATTCCAAGCAATAAGTTACCATTATAATGGAGCGATGGGTGAGTTTTTGGTGGCGCTTCGGCGTATCCTACCGCCGAATGTAGGGCTGAGACCTTGGCATACATTGCGAGCCTTTGTTGTTCGGCAGAAGTGCATCGCCATCGTTTGCTCTGTTAGACAACCCTTTTCCGCTACAAGTAGAAGTTGCTGCCCACGATGCCATCAATCAGCATCAGACAAACAACGAATACGTTGTTGTGGCTTGGGGGTGCACGCGACACAGCAAATCAACGCCCGCCAAGAATCCAATCTTAGCCGCGCAACGTCCACAAAGCGACGAAGGATCGGAAGGGAAGCACTTCCAATTTGCCAAGGCAGTCTGTTTGCGACTTTCTCGTACTCACGGTTTGAGCGTACAGGCGCTAAGCCGTGGCGCAGTGATGACCTCCTTATACATGTAGGCAAGGTTCAGTATAAGAAGGAACGCTCTCAACAGTCAGTCGTCGCTTCTCGTGTCACGACAGAAACACTTCTACTACTAATATATTCGACAGCTTGTTTAACGATTTCCGACAGTCACTACAAGCTCCATCACCTACTCGAACAACACTATGCAGCACTTCACACTCATCACTCTGGCTCTGGCCACCTCCAGCAGCGCCAACTTCCTGAAGCGTCAAGCCGACTGCTCAGACCCCAACTCCTACCAATGCCAGATCAGCCAAGCACAATATCTAGTCGGCGTCTGTCAACCCACGAACGACACAGGCTCCCCGGACCTCACGGCACCTTGCAACCAGGTCTCCGCCATCACTGCGCAGTGCGTCTACGGCGCTGACGGTCTCGCCGCGTTTAATGGAGACCCTACATCCTACGATAACAGCAACTCCGACGCCGATGTACCGATGCTAAGCAACGGCACCCAACGTGACTGCGTCTGCTCCAGCCAATTCTTCAACGTCCTCGGTGGCTGCAGCGACTGCTACAAAGCTCATGGCGTTGGCGAGGATCCAACTTCGGGCTATGTCGACCCTGCTTTCATCTCGAGCGCCAGCTCTTCTTACTGCGCCGTGACCAACACTCCTACCGTTGGCTTTGCGGAAGTCCTCTACGCCTACGTCACTGGCGACGTGGGTAGCAGCTTGGCCAGCGTGGCATCGACTGCTAGCGTGACGAGCACTTTCTCTGACCCCATCGGCAACAACACGGCTGTGTCTCTCTACTACACACCCTCCATCACCGGTAGCTCCGCGTGGGTCGTCGCACAAGCCACTGAGACTCCAAGCAACAGTACCATGAGCTCAGGCAGCAGCAGCGAAAGCGCGAGCGGAAGTGCCAGCGGCTCTGCTAGCAGTGCACAGCTTGCTACTTCCAACGGTCAGATCGTGCCTACGGCGGGTGCGTCTTCAACGGCTTCGCGATCTGGTAGCGGCACCGCATCTGGATCTGCAGCTGCTAGTGCTAGTGGCTCCAGTGGCGCTGGTAAGAAGGAAGCAGCGGCTATTGCTGGTGTGGTGGCTTTGGCTGGCTTTGTGGCACTCTCGTAATTGTAATTTCTTGAGCGGAACTGTACATCAGTACGGATGCAAGCTACAGAAGGTAAAGCATTGGTAGTATGCACAATATTACTAAGCTCATATCACCATGGGTCTGCTTCCCCATGCCTCTCGCGTGACCAAGAGTTTGAAATTGGTGGCTGCAGAGAATATCGAGCGAGCCTCGTTGCCTAACAGTTTCTCCGTGCTCATAATCGCACATGCGGCTCCCACACGTGTACGGTTACTCAGTACGAGCAAGAGCGTACTCTAGTCATTGACCCAGCCGTTGTCGTGTGTACAATCCAGCGGCTCCGTATAGCTCAAAGATAGTTCTCCGCAGCTCTAGTGACACGCTGATGCAAGGTGATGATTAAGTGCTTGTTCCTGGCGGTGATGCTTGGTTTGAGCCACGACAGGTCATTATGCTTGGGAGGGTAAATTCGAACTCAATCTATTTGTGGTATTCGGCTGTGTAGCAGTCATGTTGATTAGCCTTGGTGTATTGCAAGGGAACGATGATCTGTGACCGTGTAAGAACTTCTTGAGTAGCACCATGTTCGAGATAAAACAAATGATCAGCGCTCATACAACAAATGGCATATCTCTACAACTTCGATGGCACCCATTTCGGCTGCTTCTTCTCGGCAAAAGCTCGTAGTCCAATACCGATGTTCTCTCCATCCCTCAATCCCGCACCGTGTCTCAATTCAGTCTCCTGGCTTGCCCTCTCCACACTCGCCGTCTCCCAACTCTGCCTCAAACCATGACGGGTGACAATAATCGCATCAGGGCTCAAACTCGCTACTTTAGCCGCCAGCTCTACCGCCTCGGGAACACAACTCTCATGAGTCTTGGAGACTCTGTTGGCGATCTGGTACTGTGCTGCTTCTTGGGCTGAGAGGAAGCGTCCGGACATGGCAATTTCGGAGGCTATGGTCATGCCTGCTAGCCGCACTAATCGTGAGAGTCCTCCTGCGCCGGCATAGAGTCCTCGCATGGCTTCTGGTAGACCGAAAGTGGCTTTGGGGCTGGCGACGATCATGTCACAACCCAGACAGATCTCGAAGCCGCCACCCATCGCCCACCCATTAACAGCAGCGATGACAGGCTTCTTACCCGCTCGTCGGCTAACGCCCATGAACCCAGACGGTGGATGTGTGAGCGTCCTGCGATCTGGCAACTCCTTCTTCGCAGCCACATCGCCTTTCGCTATACGTTCCCGGATATTAGCGATATCGCGCTGTTCGATGAGGTCCTGGCCGGCACAGAACGCTTTGTCGCCTCCGCCTGTGATGACAGCTACGCGGAGAGAGGGCTCGGCGTCGAACCATTGCAGGAGAGCGTCTGCTTCCCAGTGCGAGGCGTATGGCAGGGAATTCATTGCTTTGGGCCGGTTGATTGTGATGAGTAGGACATATGGGGCCGGATAGGTGAGAATATAGGTCGGTGTTGCCGGGGGCTGGGAGGTGAGGCGATTGGAAGTCATGATTGATGGATCTCAAGAGTATGACCTGTTCCTGATGGTGTCGGATCGTTGGAGTTCAGAATGAACGCTGCGGGACCTGGATTGGGCTGTGTTCTGCTGTAGTATGAAAGTTTGTGTGAGAACGGAGCGTGCTAACTAACCTACGATGATCATACGAACAGGATCCTACAAGACATGAGACGTTTGGACCATCTCAGAGTGTGAGGAGTATGCCTCGGTTGATATTGGATCTGTGTAATCTGATCCGATAGGGCTGAAATGGTGCTGAATCAGCTCCTTCCATTTCAAGGATCATGACGTTGCACGTGCACCGCGTTTGGACTTTGGTACAGGATGTTGTCAGCAAACAATACGTGGTGTAGTGTTGGGACAGTGGTTTGTATGCTGCATACCTTTCGTATTCCACATCCATGTCAACATTCAACGCTCGTACTAGTATCCATCTCCCGAACATCATAGGAGGCTATCATCGCCATCTCCAACCATCCGCTGCATTCCGAAGCTACGTGCCTATCTTTTCTGTGGCGGCGCAACATTATACGGACATATCAGTCGATTGATGAGCCGTATGGAGGACTGACATGGCTGAGCGCATCCCGGAAATCCTCCTCACCAATCCGAGCAACCAAGACAGCGCTCCATCACCTGCACAATCGCCAGTCAAGGAAAACAATGACCTTCGCTTTTCCAACATTACAGACTCTCGGGCGGGAGCAGCAGCCGGACGTCCCGTGACGCCAGCCAGTAAATCTGGTATGTCTATCGCATCATGAGGGAACTCTTCCTCCTCTACTACCTTGCCTGCGCTGACCATGTCGGCAGGCAGACCGGACTCTGCCAATGGATCTGCTCAGCCTTCCACCTCACCATCTCGACGATTCCGTCGACCTAGTACCAACGCTTCCTCCGTGATCAGTAGCTCGACACAGTATGGAGGAGCAGAGACCACCTCGCAAGAGGCCCAGGCGACCATGGACCCGCTGTCTCAGGTATCTCATTACAACCAGCCTATGTGAGGTCATGGAACATGTGCTAATAAGATCTGTCAGCACCTCATGAAGAGGACGAACGGCGTGATGAGTGTGCCGTCTCCGAATGGCAGACCGAATAGCAGAGGTGGTAGTCCAAGCAAAGATAGACCGAGTTCGAAGGAACCAAGCCCTGCGCCACCAGCACGCAACCTAGAACCACTCAGCCGCACCAGTACTTCAGAGACTGCAGTCAAGGATCTTCGAAAGGGTGTCAAAGCCGTGTCATTCTTGAGCAAGTTGATGGGAGGTGCCAAGAAGCGAGGTCCGGCGGAAGCTATAGCGGAGGAACAAGCACTGGAAGAGGACGAAGATCGACCCGAGGGCACGGAGGCTCAAGTCTTTGCGCAGCCCGTAGACAATATTGGATTCAGCCCACGACACCCACAACCACCTGGATATATCAAAGTACGGTCGAAGAACAAGCAGAAACGCGATTTCGATCGACTGTTTCTGGCGCAAGAACTGGAGTCTCGGGATGTGCCCAAGCTGGAAAGACGATCTAGTAAGCTCGTGCGAAAAACAACGACAGTACCAGATGGTAGCCGCACTGTATGGGCGATGGAGTTTAGTAAAGATGGGAGGTATTTGGCCACAGCCGGAGCAGACAAGATTGTGCGAGTGTGGGCTGTGTTATCGAGCTCTGACGATCGCGGAAAGCATGAGAAGCAAGAAGCAATGGATGATCAGCCCAACGGTGCTGGAGCACATCCTCAGCACGTCAGCGCACCTGTCTTTCACAGTCGACCAATCAAGAAATTTCGAGGGCATACTAGTACTATCCTGGATCTGAGCTGGAGCAAAAACAACTTCCTGCTATCATCCTCGATGGATAAGACTGTTCGACTGTGGCATACAAGTCGAGACGAGTGTCTTTGCACATTTAAGCATAACGACTTTGTACCGTCGATCGCTTTCCATCCTAAGGACGATCGTTTCTTCCTTGCGGGCTCCCTGGACCACAAACTTCGACTGTGGAGTATACCAGACAAGAGTGTCGCATATGCTGCTCAAGTACCGGACATGATCACGGCTGTGACCTTCACTCCTGATGGAAAGTATGCGATGGCTGGCACAGTGGGTAGTGTTGTGATGTTCTTCGAAACTGAAGGGTTGAAGTACAGCTCGCAGATGCACGTTCGATCCACACGTGGCCAGAATGCGAAGGGCAGCAAGATCACTAGTCTGCATACTGCTCATTCGCGTAATGGCGATGTCAAGCTGCTGGTTACTAGTAACGACTCACGGATTCGGCTGTACAACTTCCGGGATAAAAGTCTGGAGCTGAAGCTGAAGGGCAACGAGAACAACTGCAGTCAGATCCGAGCTACGCTGAGTGAGTGCGGTCGATATGTCTCTTGTGGCAGCGAAGACCGACGCGCATACATTTGGTCGTTGCACTCCACAGAAAGCGATCAGCGAGACAAGCGGCCGTTCGAGTCTTTCGAAGCACACAGCACGATCACGACGGCTGTTTGTATGGCTCCAGCCAAGACGAGGAGTCTTTTGAGCAAGTCCGACGATCCCATCTACGATCTCTGTAATCCGCCACCTATCACACTTATGAGCAGAGCCGAACGAGCAGAGTCCCAGGCATCGTCACAACCTTCAAGCATAATCCACACACCAATCGACCAGGACTCCAGAGCCATGCAATCGCCAGCGTATTTGACCCGCAGTGGCCACCAGGACGGCAACATCATCGTCACGGCCGACTTCACAGGCAAGATCAAGGTATTCCGTCAAGACTGCGCATGGAACAAGCGGAAGACAGACGACTGGGATCGAGCATCGATGTTCAGCAAGCGTGCTGGTCGACCTGGTTCGCTTGCTACGAGAGCTAGTCAGCGTAGTCTGCGGGAGGGTAGACCGTCCGTTAGTACGCAGCCTTCGAGCGAGAGGATAATGACCTGGCGACAAGGAGTGGCTAGTACGCCTGCTCTTGCGAATAATGGTGCTAGAAGGAGTTCAAGCAAGCACACCAGCCGAAGTGGTAGTCCTGGGAAGTCGCTCGTCGATGCTAAAGATTTCACGGCGTCGATTGGGACAGCTCATACTAATGGCGCTGCCAAGTCTAAAGAGACTGCAGGCACATCACTAAAGCACTCCGATACCAACCCTCTGCTCATCTCGGGCGGTCAATCATACGCTTTCTATGATACGAACCAATATGTGGAAAACGCCGAACGACTTCGTCGTCTGCACGAGCAAAACCCATCTTTGGCCCTGAGTCGTCAGAACACAACCGGCGGAGCGTCCGTCAACGGTGAACATCACGATCATCATCTCGCCGTACGACCGCCTCATAATCGTGATGCTTCGTATGTGAGTCGGCTGAGCAATGAGAGAAGCAGCGGTAATAGTACAGACGACGACGAAGAGGTATTTGAAGAGGCGCGGGAAGGCAGACGATTCGAGAGGGATCGAAGGTGTGGGTTTTGTGGTTCGCGGTCGTTCAAGGTGGAGCATTCGCCAACGAGGCCTTGTTGTTCTGGCTGTGGGAGGACTGCCGCTATTGTTGCTTGATGGATGTTGTACGAGTAGTGATGATGCTGTGCTGGATACGAGTTTCATAACGATCGTTGCATATCTATCGTTCAGTCTACTGTTTGTCTGGATTTGTACGAGTAGATCGTGGCGGTTATGTCAAGTTATAACATTTGAGAAATGATGCATCTTGAAAGAGCGAGGCTGACTCGATATGTCCCTCTTATGCGCTGGACACTCTCCGTCTTGAGACTGTTGCTAGATATCAGACAAGCAAAGGTCGTCCTTCAAAGAAAGTGATATGGTATGATCGTTGTCGTCGTCGACGACATAGACTTTCCAATTTACAAGCCGAGGTTATATACGAGATAAACTGCAACCAAAAAGTCTGGGACACGAAAAGACCAAATGACAACGACATACTCTTCCCTCACATGCCTCCAGCACGCTTCTGGGAATTCGCACACCTAAGCGACGACTTCAAGAAAATGGGCTGGGTGGATCAAGTCCCCCGAGCAGGCAAACTCTACATTGGCGGTCTACACGCTCTGTACCAAAAACCGGATTTGTTCGAAAAGGCAAAGATAACTCATATCCTCTCCGTCCTGGACTTTGATATATACGAGGCTGGCGCGTTCAAGGAGTACAAGCACTACATGCTACGGGTCGATGACGATCCGAATGAAGAATTGCTTAAGCACTTCAAGGAGACATGTTCCTTCATCGACGAGGCTTTGAGGAACGGTGGCGGGGTGTTCGTGCATTGTGCTATGGGGAAGTCGAGGTCGGCGACGTGTGTTTGTGCGTATTTGATGCAGAGGTTTGATATGACGCCCGAGGATGCTCTGGCGCAGGTCTGTGAGGGACGGCCGGTGTGTTCGCCTAATCCGGGGTTTATGGAGCAATTGAGGGTTTGGAGGGAGATGCTCAAGGCGAGAGATGGGGAGAGGGCGGAGGAGATCTATCAGAAGTGGTCAAAGGAGCGGTTTAGAGGTGATTGGTGGACGTGGGATAAGAGGGGAAGGGAGACGAAGTTATGATCGGGATATGAAGGCTCTTCAGGTGGTACGAGAAGACGTCTTTGGCATCGGTGGCGATTTGGAAGGCGCAATTGAAAGCTGTCGAGTTGCCGCACGCCTACTCACTAGCGGACATGCCTGACCACGCTTTAATTGTACGCTCTGGAGACCTGGGTGGCGAGCCCAGCTTGCTAATGTTGCCCACGGAGCAGCTGAGTGGAGGCACGCTCCTCGAGTGTGGCCGAACTCGTCATGTCACCAGATCTAGAAACGTAGTAGACTTCGCACTCTAAAGCACAGCTACACGCGCTGCACCGACTGTGGTTGTCGACGTGATATGTGCTGATCGATCTAATCGTGCCAACTCAAAAGTCGCAAGGATGAGAGCTCGAGGGTGAAACCGCGAAGGTGCCGAAGTTCCTCCGCCCTAGCAACGCCCGTCAACAACGGCTGTTTTGACCGCCGGCAAATCATCAAACGGCCACGCCTAATCGCTAGTTAAGCCGCGACATCAATTGGCCAGAGACACCACACACTTGATAGCAAGACATACTTCGACCATACCACAACGGTCTCTCGTCGTAGACCCGCGCTGTGTTGTGCGATATCGTCTTGACCACCCGCGAAGTAGCCACGACCTCCACCAGACCAAGACGCATTCCTCGGAAGCGCAACCCACGTTGAATGCGCCAGTGACCGGCACCACATTTCTAGTATCGCCGCTGGCAGCTCCGACAAGGCAATGGACACATCCTACCTTTCGCAACAGGTCACTACCATCATTGAGCGCTTGCATGGCTTCTTCGACGAGATTGGTGTGCCCAGCCATGAGCGCGACTCACGAGAGTCAGAGGTACGATCGGCGCATGTATACGATATGTGGAGCGTGTACTGACATCCTACAGCTCTTCTCTGCCTTGTCCGAGACCCTCCATAACCAGCTCAACCTCGTCGCGAAGGAGAAACATGAGCTTACTGAAGAGGCGCAACGTCTCATCAAGACCATCCGCCAAATGGAGCGATCACTCGACGACTCGCGACCAGATGACGACTTCGAGAATGAACGCGATGGATTGAAGGTCGACTACCCACTCATAGGGTGTATAGAGAAATTGAAGGAGAAGTATCACACCATCTCCAAGCTCCATCGCGAGCGCTACGAGCAAGTCAAGAAGCTGGTGGAAGCACTCGAATCATATGCCTCACATCTGGAGAGTTCTTTTGTGCAGATCAAGCTGCCACCAACATCACCGAACGCAAAAGTACCGCCCAACTTCGACCTCTCACCCACATATGTTGCCAAGCTGGACAACGAGTTCACCCGCGTCTATGAGGAGTACAACAGGCGCGTAGCATTGGTCACTCAAACAGCCGAGGATATCATCAGCCTGTGGTCCGAGCTAGGAACACCTCAAGCGCAAGTTGACAGCAATATTGTGCAGTGCGCGCACGAGGCACCAGAGCAGCTTGGACTGCATCAGGAAGACCTTAAGCAGTTGACTCTGAAACGAGACAAGCTGGTAGCTGAAAGGCAGCAGCGCGAGCGGAAGCTGAAGGAGCTAAAGTTGAGCGTGGAAGCCCTGTGGGACCGTCTGAGTGTGGAAGGGGGTGAGCGCAAGCAGTTCCTGGCCGCCAATAGAGGATGTGGACTGCGGCAGATCAACGAGTTCGAGGATGAGTTGAGTCGACTCAACGAGCTCAAGAGGCAGAACCTACATCTTTTCGTGGAGGATGCGCGATTCAAGCTTCAAGAACTCTGGGATAGCTTGTACTTCTCCGAGGATGAGATGTTGGCTTTTCCACCTGCCTTCTCGGACACATACACAGACGCACTTCTATCAGCACACGAGCAGGAGATCCAACGCCTCGAGGCGCTGAAGGAGCAACGCGCACCTATCCTCGCCGCAGTGGACAGACACCGACAGCTCATCAAGGAGCGCGAGGATCTGGCCCAGAGCAGCCAGGATGCCAGCAGACTTCTGGCCAAAGGACAAAAGGGCGAGAAGCGTGATCCAGGCAAGCTGCTGCGCGAAGAGAAGATGCGGAAGCGCATTACAAAGGAGCTACCGAAGGTCGAGTCGGACTTGCGGAGAACTTTGGAGTCGTGGGAGGATGAGTATGGTCGGCCTTTCTGCGTGCATGGAGAGCGTTATTTAGATGAGCTTGACGCTGCTCAAGCCAAGGCGCCACCGCCACGAAGCAAGACTCCGAGCGCACTGCCACCAGCTCGTGAGGCACCGAAAAGTGGTGGGAGATCTCAAGCACCAAGCAGAGCAGGCACGATGCGAGGCCCACCTCCGCCGAGAAGCCAAACTCCGACTGCTTCCATCGGCAGAAGTCAGATCCTATCAGCATCAGTCATGTCGAATTCCATCATGTCCGCTTCGGTCTCAGCACATGGAAGCAGCACTAAGCTCAGTCCATCAAAAATACCTGGCTCGAGTCGTCTTCCAATGAGCACAGTTCGCGATGGTCAGAACTCGCCCGAGCGTCGCCTCAACACGACTCAAAGTCAGACCCTGCGTGCTCGACCCCAAGAATTCGACAGCACCGTTCGCGGACGCACAGCCGGACCAGTACCTCGTGCCCCACCCCCAAAGATGAAAGACCTCTTCGTCCCGCCTACACCCACACCCGTCCCCGGCAACGAAGAGAATTACGAGCACCTCGAGCGTAGCGCCAGCGTAGTCCGACATATCGAGCCTGAGGACCCGTACCACGAAGAGCAGCAACTTCCAAGCAAATACCGCACCCTGCACTCCAACGCCTCCTCAAACATGGGTCCACCACCCCGTCCGGCCTACCGCCGCGGCAACCCGAGCCAAGAATCCTGTACCTCATCAAACTATACCACCACATCATCAAGACCAATGAGTAGACAAGACTACCCCGTCGCCCCACCCTCCCGCCAAATCAGCAATACCAGCTCCACGCTCTCTGGCGGGCAGAACTCAACCGTCTCTGGATCAGAGAACTGGGAATCCTATACCGATGCCTCTGACAACGAAGAAGCCGATGCGACAGAGGCGTATTACGCCAAGGTCCAGGCGCAGCAGACCCAGCGCCAACAGCAACAGTATGGCGGTGGGAGTACGACGAGTTTCCAGCAGCAGATGCTGAAGAGGCCTGGGACCGCGACACAGCAGTTGGGGGCTCGGAAGCGGGAACATGTCATTGCTGAGGAAGGGTCTGAGGCGGGCTGGACGGATGAGGGGGATGTGGGGGATACTTATTGATCGGGCTTTTGACGATGGCGTGTATGGTCTGAGCTGGGATGCTTGGACGTTCTTTCTGTCTGATGTGTCTATTTGATGAATGGCGTTCTGACTGGTTGGTTGGGCAGGGCGAGGGGTCTGTGGGAGGGCGCAAGTATATGGTATTCGAGCGACATGCGCGGCGTTGGTGTAACTCTGGTTGCTCGGGGGCCTTTGATGGCAGTATTGTATACTACTTTACGACTGGGATGAAAAAAGATCGAGAATCGAGTTCTGTTCAGCAGCACCATCCTTCAAATCGTCCTTCGAGTGTCACAATGCTCCGCATCGTTCCGTGGAGACCCGTGTCGTGTCCGATGGAATCATGTGCGATCAAGAGCCATAAGTGTAGCGAACGTGCTGTGGATATGAGTGCGCATGCGTTGTCTCTGCCTGTGACAGCCGTTGAAGCCTGCCATGTTTGATCTTCAGATGCATGTTGCAGCACTAGACTTTGATTGGTGGACCAGGAGATACTTGAGAACAACGTCAAGACAACGCGCCCTCGCCCGCAAGAACTGATCTATGATATCCACTGTCTACCCGGTTCAAGAACAGATCCAAACATTCCACCTATCCCTCAGCGCCACAGCTTTTACAGCAAATTCCACGATGAGACGAGCAGACCTCTGCCTTAGGTTCGCCTGGATAATACAGTTCTGTGTTGCTATATCGACTACCTTTGTCTACACCATTGCAGCAATCCTGATCTTATTCTTCAACGGCATCAATACCTTCTCGCTCGCCTACGCCTTCGTCACGGACGTCAGCATTGCTTCTGCAGCTGGCACTGTGACGTGGACGATCGTCTGCCAGTTCCGACATGCCAAGAATCACGCCGCAACTCGACAATATGAGATACGGAAATCGAGTCTCGCCACCTTCGTATGGATCTGGCTGATGTTCGATGCGGTGTTCGGTCCCTTGAGTCGGCTGGGAGATGGTCGATATCAGCGTAAGCGGATCGCGAGCGCGGTGAGCTTGTTGCTAGTCCCCTGGTAAGAAGATACGCACCAGGCCGTTTTGCGAGATCATTGGCTAAATTGTTACAGCACGATTTTCTACCCAAGTTCTTACCACGCTCTGCGGAACAGAGTCGACGGCGCTAGGCATGCCGCGCCTGCTTACCTCGAATCATCAGGTGCAGAGACTGTTGCGATGAGCGAGGCCGAGTCGGCTTCTAAGACGGCGGAGTTGACGTAGCCCCGAACAATGAATTTGCCACCAGCAAGTCCGTAGCTCAAGAACCAGGATTAGGCTCGCTGTTTTGATCCAAAATCTCCTTCTTCACACCCTCCGCTTTCAATGCCTCAATTCTATCATCAATAACTGCAATTTCCACATCCAGCTTCAACACCTTCTCCCGCAGCATATCAGCATAGTCCTCGTTACTGATAAACTTCATCGGACTCCAAGACTTCGCCGCAATCCGCTCCCAAAACCCCTTCGATCTCTCAGACGAAACGTCCTCGATGGTTTTACTCTCCCACTTAGTATAAGCAGCCTGGCCCACGCCACCGGTAAGCGACCACATTATCGCGGCTGGGAGAAGACTGTTACGGCCACGGGTAAGACCGGCTAAGAGGGTGCCGGAGAGGCCGCCGGCTAGGGTGCTGACTGTTATGAGATCGTTGGGTTTTTGGTTTGCCGCGAGTCTTGTCCGGAGAAGAAGGGAGCGGCAGTACCAGAAGGTGTAGCCGAGGGAGAATGTTTGGATGCCGGAGACGGTGGCGAAGAGGAAGGGGGTTGTGCCTCGGAGGATGCCTACGGTGCCGCCTTGGAGGAAGCCTAGTGTGCCTGTGAGGATCGTTAGTGCCGGTCTCGTTTGTATTTGTGCACATAGTGTGGATATGTGGGTGTCAAATAATGGCTAGCACGGGAGATTTTCGACGTGTCCTTGGGAGGGTCGACGGTCCGAGTATGTCATCTCATGAGAGTCGTTGAATATCAATAGTGCATTCGTCCAGTCGTCTTTCTCGACATTATGTGTAACATGATACTCGATGAAGCAGGACTTACCACATGCAGCTCCTACCTTCAGTGATGGACCGAGTATTCCTGGTCTCTTGACCTCCTCCGCCTCCATATCATGCACCTGCATCGCTGCTGCATCCTGCCCGTCCATACTTCAGCACACACCGCGACTGTGTGTTAGTATCCTCAAATACATATACCGGATGTGGTCGGGGATAAGCAGCTAAGTCACACAGCAAAAGGAGGCGTGGGGCGACGTCGGGATTGATGCAGCGGAACGCCGAGCAAAGTTGTCCTCACGTGGTCCGTGCTGACTACTCTCGAACAATTCAGATAATCCAACCACGAAAGCCTGCAGAATTAATTCGTGCACCACGAATTTAACCACCCGCACGACACAACATTACAGACCCACGAGCGCAGCACATACGCGCTCATACCAGTACTTTCGAAGAAGCAGAGGACAGGAGGCGCACGGTCTCCTTCGTTGGTTGAACCGCGCGCACAAGAGATCGCGTGGTTGAGCACACACGACCGCAATCATGGGTATGTTCTATCCACCGCCTCCACCGCTGTAGAGTACTTGCGGCTACCAAGCCTTCTACTATATCACCAGCGGAGATCGTGAACATGACCCGAGTATCTGCTAACATGTGCTACAGCGCCAAAAAAGAAGCAAGAGAAGATGAACCTGGGGGAGTTCCTGACCAACCAGTCCTTGGGATCATGGGCAGACGAGATGGATGCCCAGCCAATGCCCTCGGCGACATCTGGCTACAGTGTTAACCGGGATAGAGGTGACAGAGATCGTGACGGTGGAGAGAAGCGCTCTTTCACGCAACCAGCGTGGGAGTCGGCCCGTGGTGGAGCAAGCACCGGCGGCGGTATGGGTATGGGTGGAGGTATGGGCGATAGAGGTGCAAGCTACGGTATGTCTGGACTCGGTCACGAATTTGCAATTCATGTAGTATGCTGACATGCGACAGACCGTCCACGATACAACGACCGCGAGCAGCTGCCTCTCCCGACTCGTCCTCCTTACACCGCCCATCTAGGCAACTTGACCTATGATGTCTCACAAGCTGATGTTGAGGGGTTTCTTTCCGATTGCGAGGTCACGAGTGTCCGCCTCGTCGAGGACAAGTTTGATCGCAAGCCGAAAGGCTTCGGTTATGTCGAGTTTGGCAGCCTCGAAGGGCTGAAGACTGCCTTGACCAAGTCCGAGTCCTCTTTCATGGGACGCAACGTCAAGATTAGCGTCGCCGAGCCGCGTAAGTACATAGCTCAGCCTCTTAATTTCTCCGATGCTAACATCCTCTTAGCGAAGGACCGCCCAGAATCATCCCGCGATTTCTCCGACTGGTCTCGCAAAGGTCCTCTGCCAGAGCTTCCACAAAACACTCGCCAGCCTTCGGGCCGTGGCTTTGGTCGCAGCTTTGACGACCGCTCAGATGCCGGTAGCGAGCGTGGTGGCAGCAGACGTCCTGCATTCTTCGAAGGTGACAGCAAGCCTCGCGACCTCGGCAACTGGGAGCGCAAGGGTCCTCTCTCGCCAGTGCCAGGTGTAGGACCACCCGTCCGTGACGGTGGCAGGCTAAGGGAAGGCCCACCATCGGGCGAGAGGAGAAGAAGCCCGGCATGGGGTGAAGGCAGATCTGATGCAGGTTCGAGGCCACCAAGGAAGGAGTTCGAGGCAGCGAAACCGGCAGTTGAGCGTGCTCCAACTGCGGCAGAGCAGGACAACCAGTGGCGTTCGCGCATGCAGCCAGATCAGCCTGCTACACCTGCTGCAGAGGAGCCGAAGCCATCAGCACCCACATCGCCAGTCCCACAAGCGCCGAAAGAGCGCCCACGACTGAACCTCGCCAAGCGTACTGTCTCCACAGCTGAGCCAGCGGAGGGTGGTGCATCATCTGCTTCTGACTCAAAGGCATCACCATTCGGCGCAGCTCGACCAATCGACACTGCAGCCAAGGAGCGTGAGCTTGAGGGGAAGCGCGAGATCGCTCTCCGTCAGAAGTCTGAGGCTGATGCCAAGGCTAAGGAGGAGAAGGCTGCACAAGATGCTGCAACTCGAGCTGCTCGTGCTGAGCGTGCAGACAAGGGTCAGGCTCAGGAGGAAGTCTCATCGCCGACTGGTAATGCGCCGCAGCGTAACAACGACCGTGGCCCTCGTCGCCCATCCCGTCAACAGAGTCAGCAGAACGGCGCTCGTGGAAGCCAGCCAAAGGAGAACGGTGACACACCACCACAGAAGGAGCGTCCCAACTTCAGCATCTTGTCCCACGAAGGCGAGAGCGGGGAAGAAGATGCAGCTGCGCAAGAAGAGCATGAAGGCGAGCTAGACGCTCCCGACGGCGCCGCGAACGGCATCATCACTGGCGACAAAGAGACCAAGCCCCAGGAGATCACCCGCGAGGTGCCCAAGAACGGCGCAGCGCAGGATGCCGACACAACAGCCGAGGCAATGGAAGACGATGGCTGGAGCACCGTCGCCGCCAAGCCAAAGAGTGGTCGTCGTGGTGGTCAGCGCGCCATGGCTTCTTAGGAGGAAGCCGAGGCGAAGCATGCTGCCCGTCAACAACAGAATGGCGGTCACTCTCACAACCAGCCTAGACCATTCGAGATTAACGGTGGAGAGGCAGCAGCAGCGACGAAGACGACGGAACACGAAAACGGCAACGGGAGAAAGATGGGCAAGTTTGCAAAGAAGAAGGCGGCGAAGTTTGCTGCTAAGCCTTTGCAGATTTTGAAGAATGCTAGTGGATGGTAGATGCGGATGTGGATGCTTGATGTTTGACGTGCGAAGACATACATGCATGCATAGCGTAGGCGTGAGGGCGTGCGAGGCGTACAGCAACAGAAAAGTTTTTCTCATGGGATCGCCAATGGGAGGCAGACACGCACGCAATCTGATCTGCTGGCTGTAATTCGTGCTTTGTGCGCTATATCTTGGTTCGACGATGCTGCAGAACTGGTACATGACGGCTGCGGTTGTTGTTATTGATGTTGGGGGTGGGTGGGAGGGTGGGATGCACGTGCCTACTTTTCTTTCTACGAGCTGGTCAGATACCTGTATACTACCCTTTTCTAAAAGACGTCTATCAGGGGTGCCTTGTGGGCTCTGGATGTGTGGTTAATGTGCTGAACTGCTGCAGTCATTCAAAGCCCTGGATCTATCCTGAGATGGCGAATGGTCCGAAGATGCACAGAGAAGATCACCGTTCGTTCTTCTACAGCATGATCACCTTCGTGCTCTAGAGCGATCTAGATTGGACACAATGCTGACTGTCGATGGCTGCCTGCAACTACGTAGCCGCAATAACGGCAAGCCTTTCCTCCGGTCATGGCCTACGCCCATATGGAAATACAATGTGGCTCGCTAGTGGGGCAAGTTTTGGAATCATGCTTCGGAGCCTGCATGAGAATATACTTTGGCCATTGAGCAATGGCAACATCGCGGCCGAATATTGCGACTTCGCTAATGCTACCAACGTGCTATGACTACCGTGGTAGATTAATTCCACATCCAAAGATGTAGGCGCCTGGTTGATTCTTGGGCTCTCGAGGGGTGCATATATACCTGTGACCTCTGCACACTTTCCTCTTCTCTTCACCCGACAGCTTATCGATGTAGACACTGGAACAGCACAGACTTATTGACACGATCCAGAAGACACATTCACCATGGCTCTCGCAACACAACTACAGAACACGCTGGACGGCTTCAGTCAAAAGGCGCCCCCACACATCCGGAACCCGATCAACCAAACACGATCGGACCACGCCGCCAGTTTCGACCCCAAGTCTGCCATCCAACAAGGCGCCAAACTCCCATCATTCTCCCTCTCGAATGCCCATGGCAAAAACGTGACAAGCGACTCCCTCCTCAGCAAAGGCCCCATCCTTATAACCTTCTACCGCGGCGGCTGGTGCCCCTTCTGCAGCCTCGCCCTCCGCGATCTCCAAAAGCATCACGATGAGTTCAAGGCCAAAGGCGTGACCCTCGTAGCTATCTCGCCACTACTCCCTGACGAATCTCTCTCCACGGTCGAGAAGAACGAGCTCAAATTCGTCGTTCTATCGGACGTACATAATGATTTCGCTCGTCAGCTCGGGATCGTGTGGAAGCAGCCTGATAGTCTTCGGCCTGCGTTCAAGGATCTGGGGCATGATTTGAAGACGTGGAATGGGGATGATTCGTTCGAGGTTCCGATCCCGGCGACGCTTTTGGTGGATCGGAAGGGAACCGTGAGGAATCTTTATTTGGACACCGATTATACTAAGCGATTTGAGACGAAGGAGGCGTTGAAGTGGGTGGACGCTTTGTGATGTCTGATGAGGTATGTCAGACGACCACGTCACCACTATTCGAGATCTGAGAAGTCATTGGAGGTCTTAGGGGAAGGAGGGAGGAGCAGAAAAGCGTGTCCAGTCTCGGTTGTAGCTGTGAACCATACTCGCACCATCCAGCAACTGTCATTGAACTTCCCAGAGCTGACTGATGATCCGCTCAACGTTCAAGCAATATCCGGTTCTAGCACAATAACCTCGCGACTGCCAGAACGCCACGCTAAGATTCATGCATACTTGTAGAAAGCGATTTCAATGCGATGTAGCCCACTCCCGATACCAATCCAAGCATTCGGAATTAGCCACACTCGCGCTCGTCTTGACATTCATGGCGCACAAGATCTGCTTGACAGCACCTTCGATCTTCTTGCCATTGACCGTTACGGGTATCTCAGGGCACTTATCAATGATGCCAGGTACATGGCGTGCGCTGAGCTCTTTCCGGACGACGCTCTTGATGTCGCTCACTAGTTGATCGTTGTATAGACTGTCGTCCTTCATCTTCAAAAACAGCACGACCGTCTCGTCATCGTCCTGTTCCCGCCGTCTGCCAATGCAAAGAGCATCCTCCACTTGTTGCGGAAAGTGCTTCAAGAGGATATTGTAAATCTCTGCACTTCCGAAACGTACACCAGATGGCTTGAGAATGCCATCTGATCGTCCAAGCATGAAAAGTCCGCCTGTCGTGGGGTTGAAGCGCACGAAATCGCCATGATGCCACACGCCCTCAAACTGCTCAAAGTAGCTGCTCCTGTACTTCTTCTCACCGCTACCGTCCGCTGCCCAGAACTGCACTGGCTGGCACGGGAAGGGCTTGGTGCAGACTAGGTCACCGGGCTCGCCAGAAGAGCTGACGTCTTTGCCTGTGTAGTCCCATGCTTGTACAGCCATACCAAGGCCCAATACCTGAATCTCGCCTACGTAGACGGGATTTAGAGGACACGGAGCACCGAAAAGAGAAATGATGTCGGTCCCGCCGGTGATAGAGCCAAGGTTGACATCTGGTCCGAATGCTTTGTAGACATACTGAAAGGTCGACGGTGCTAGAGGAGATCCCGTAGAGTAGATGGCTTTTAGTGTCTTCAAGCTCAGGCCTTGCTGTTTTGGCATGATCGACTTCTGCTCGAGTACAGAGAGATACTTTGCACTCGTGCCAAACTGAGTGATATCAAGCTCGTCAATGAGTCTAGGCATCGCCATGTCGTCTTTAACGCTTTGGCCATTCGATTGGTACTGAAATGGCGAGCCATCGTATAAGATCAGCGTGGCACCTGCTGCGAGCCCGGACACTAGCCAATGCCACATCATCCAAGTACAGGTCGTGAAGTAAAACAATCGATCACCTGGCCTGATGTCGCTTTGTAGGATATGCTCTTTCTTATGCTGTATCAGGGTACCAATGGCGCCGTGGACGATGCACTTCGGCGCACCGGTTGTACCTGAGCTGTAGAGAATGTAGACCGGATGATCGGGAGATAACTGTTCGAAGTGGAGCTCTTTCGGAGGCGAAGAGTTCATATTGATGAAGCTGCGATAAGTGAACACTTTCTCGGCCGTCTCATGTCCGTCTACTTTCGTCCCCATCGATTGGACCGTCTCAAATATGATGGTGCCTTTCAACGACGGTAATGAAGCGATGATGTCCTTGACTTTGGGAAGAACAGGATGAGTCTTGCCGTTGTACATCACAGCATTATCCGTAAATAGTAGAACCGGCTCTATCTGAACCATGCGATCCAAGACTGCCGTCACACCAGTATCTGGGCTCACAGCGGTCCAGATTGCTCCCAATGATGTTGCCGCCAGCATAGCTACCAAGGCATTTGTATGGTTGGCCACATATCCAGCAACCCTATCCCCAGCCTTGAGCTGCATACCTAGCATACCAGCCTGGCATTGCTTGACTCTTCCTCGCAATTGCTTCCAGCTGACAGTTTCCCTCGTAGTCTCTGTAGCCGCAATAACAGCCGGTGAGTCCTCGTTTATTGTCTGCGTCGGGTACAGCAGGTTCTCGGCGAAGTTGAGCTTTGCTCCTTCAAACCAGGCTGGACGAGGAAACATTTGTGTATTCGACGAGACGACGGTCTTGTATGGTTGTGAAGCACGAATGCCACAGTAATCCCAAATCTCGCCCCATACCTGTTCGACGTCGATAATGCTCCATTGGTATAGTTCGTCGTAGGTCGTGAAGGATTTATTGTATCGTTTGTTGACTCGTTGCAAGAACTCCCACATCTGTGTGTCTTTGGGCGAGGGGTGCCGCCATAGCAATTGTGATTGAGACGAGTCAGCCGCACCCTTACTTCCATTCGACTGGTCTGCCATATCGCCAGGAGATCCAGACTTAGCTTTGATCACACTGCTCCAATACAAGCTGGGTCTTGTACGTTTCTCATAGTACCATGGCGTGAATTGACCTTAACGGAAGAAGAGGGGGTGGATCGCGCCTTCCGTCCGGACATATGCGGCGTTGTCGACGGAGTGTCTACGGAGAGTATCGTTTTGTCAATGAAACCTCACACGATAAGATATGTACTCGGCTCTGGTACACGGCAGAAGCGGAATTATATCAAGCATCACATAGTCCATGCAACAGGTCAGAAAAGGCTGGACTATTTGGCATGTTGGTGGACTTGAACAGGCACTCGCAAAACGTCTACTATTGTACACTGAAGGTAGCCCAACCACTCAATCCAGCTGCAGCAATGGCGATGACTGCTCGCCAATTATTGACCGCTCGCCAGAACAAAACCAGGTCTTTCATATCCGTCGTCTCGGCCCATCTCCTGCTCGCTTGTGTGCTCCCATGCCTATGCGCGGACGGATAGTATATCGTCGTGTCCTTCATGTTGAACCCTTCGTCCTTCAGGAGCGTCTGGACCTTCCACTTGCTCGCTCCATTTATTCCCGGCTCCATATAGAAAAAGGTGATGGGCAAGATGCTGAAGATGCCTACCGCGGCAGCTATATACACATTACGGAGACTGGTGTCGTAGCGATTGGTGTACGCCAGTAACAGATTCGCCAGAGTGCCGGGGCCGATAAGAGGAGGCACCCACAGAGGTCCATATTGATAGCCAGCTAGCCATTGCTTGGCCATTGTCTTCGCATCCGGTGCATGTCGAACGATGGGCTCGACGAAGGTCAGGCTATCTGAAGCCGTGAAACCTATTACTACGGATCAGTATGATTTCAGCCTCTATTGACACACATTGCAATTGTACCAGAATAGAGAGTTGGCCATACTATGCCGACGAATTTGGCGATGGGAACCAATGTTGTCAGATCCATTGCTGTCAGTGCTATCATCCACCTGTGTGCACCCTCGAAGACTTACTGGATTTCGTATTGTTTGAAAGCCTTCGGGTGAGCCATGTTAGCTTCCTGCATGCGGCCAAGTGCGAGCCATGTCTCCCTCAAGTCAGCCTCAGCCGTCGACAAAATCTATGTTTGGCATTACCAGTGCCAAGGATATCAAGAAACATAGATGTATAACAGAATCTCGAATCAAGATCACGTATAGAAAGAAACCGTTCTGGAGAGGTGTTTGAAGCTTTAGTCTGGGCTTGACGAGCGAAACTCGTTTCATGCAAAAGCGTTCTTGAACACGATAAGTACACCATAATGCCACGATTGCTAAGCTCAGCTTTACAAGACACGAACCCACCGACGCCTCGCTGAAACGCTACCAACTCTAACATCACCATATTAAACATATAGACTTCGCTCCCTCAGCAATCTTTGTATCTCGGGATCTTCTCGTCCAAAGACCTTCTGATGCTCGAGCCAGGTCTCACTGCGCGAGTGCAGCTGTTGCACGGCCAGATCATCGCTAAAGATGACAGACTTGCCGAGAAGTGTCCAGCTGGACGGGATGTGTATCGATGGTCCAGCCAGCATCGTCCTCGGTTGCAGTACCCACAAGCGTGCGAGATGCACGTAATCCGGGTCGAGGAGAGCTGTAGGTATCGCAGGCATGATCTCCCCTGGAGGCACGAAAGTCAAGATCCTGCCGCCATTCTCCGTTGCGACCCACACTGGCCGCCATGCTTCACGATGCAAGATCTGACGTTGTGGCATCCCACGAATAATGAGGAAGTTGACAAAGTCCACGAGGAAGCCAGCCGCTTGATTGCCCCAGGCATGTTCAGGCCATTCGCCTGCAGTATTCTTCAGCGCCACAAGAAGATTCCATGTAGCCTCTCCGTCTTGCTTCCAGCGATTGACGCCGTAACGTTCGCAGATATCCTCGACCCAGTCAGGACCGCAAGCAAACACGCAGGCCAAGGTCTGTTCGTAGACTTCCGCCATTGAGCCGAAGTGACGATTCGCAGACGTGTCCGTCATCAAATACCTCGCACGATTACGACCAAGCTTGCGAACGTTGCATACTTCGATAAACCGACGGGAGAAGTGCAGATTGTCTGGGTCTTCATCTGCGCGATGGACATGGCGAGCTTCAGCTCTATTCAGAAACTTCAGATCAAGCTGTACATAGTGTTCGCCCATCTCGAGACCAGTGTAGATGCATGCATCCGCTGGTAGCCTGCCTAGCGTGTGGTAATTATTGAGTCCTGCATCGACATTCGTGGGCTCGAACAGCCAAGTCGACGTGGCCGTAGGCGTGAGAGGTGAATTTGTATCAGCTTGCACCAATCTCATGGGAGGGCCCACCGAGCACAGAGCTCCAGGATCTTGGGCAGCCAGAGCCAGAGTCAGAAGCATGTAATGAGCTTCAGCCGTAGTAAAATGCATCCGAGGATCACGCAATTCCTGCGTGATTGCCAGACCGCACTCCATGGTGTTCAGGATGATCGAAACTTTGTCCTTCAGAGCATCAGCAGCGCGCTGTCTTGCCGGTATTCTAGGGTCACCACCAGCCTCCATGCCGAACACTTCTGCAATCACAGTAGTGAAGTTTCCATGGTGAGAGTGAAGGTGGCGTTCATGAGGCTCGAGCTTGCTGCGATCACGGAAGAAGGCGTAGAGTGCAGGCTTGATTTTCTCAACATCAGGCTCGAATGGCACCTCGATCGCGAGAGCGAGCAAGTGGGTAAAGCAAGTCGTCGTGAACCTCACCACGTTTCTGCCACTCCACGATCCAGGACTCTTGCAGGGTACAAGAAAGATGTGATCGCGGGCCAACCTCATCTCGTGTCGACACCAGGCTCGCTTGAACCAAGACGACCGTAGGATCTTGCGAAGGACGCCGTAAAGCTCATCGCGTGTGTCGAGGTAGGGAGGTTGCTTGCCGCGGAATCGCTTGTTGGCGGATACATGTGTCATCTTGGTGTACTCCTCCATATGGTTCTCTAGGACGGTTCCTTCGTGACCCTCGAGCTCTACATCGTCGAGAGCCACCACCACAAGACGAGCACTGCGATAGACCATGTCCATTGCACTCATAGACACAGCTGTCTCCAAGCGACTAGTGCCATCGATGCTGATCTGATCCAGCCATAGTGGAAGATTGCCTGTTTCTTCCAGCACGGCCTGGTACATTTCTTCGTCTAGAGGCAGCGTGATGTGATCCTGATGCTTTTCAGCATGACGACGTCGGCGATAGCTTAGTGCAACAAAGCCATCGTGGTCGATGCTCCCAACTCCGTGGTCCTTGTGGATCAGTCGAAAGCGAAAGCTTTCTAGGATGTCGGTCTTGACTTCGAACTTTGTAGAGACATTGCGATCAAGCACCCGCAGCCGCGCAAGGAGATCCGTAGGATCAGCTTCCGCGTCAGGCTCAAGCAGCAGTTTGGCCTTCTCTGCAAGCGAGAGCTCATGGACGAAGCTAGTAGGTATCACCCGATATTCCAGCTTGCCAATGCGTTTGATGAGAAAATGGCAAGGCTCGACAGCTTGGTGGGAAGAATGACTTGATACACCGTTGGGGCGGGCAGCTCCAGCTCGAGTCGCTCCAGATGGAGATGGAGTCCTTGCGCGAGCTGGTCGAAGGGCCGCAGCAAGACGCTGGTTCCCGACCATTACATACCGGCTAGAGCAATCGAACACACCGGGAGAAGGAGTCCGTGGTGTCATGGAAGCTGACTCCGGACTCGACTCATCGTCATTGTCGTTGCCGTTCCCAACTAGTTCTCTGAATCCTGTAGGCTGCTTGACCAGCATCTTGAATGGTGCGTGCTCTGGTATCGACGAACGAGATAGTTCACTACTATGCGAGATGATTGGTAGTATGAAAGCATCGTCAAGAGAAGTATTACGACTATGCCGTCTGTGCCATGTAAAGGATGTCGGTGGACGGGGAGTTCCAGGACCACTCGAGTGCTCATCGCTACTTGTTTGTTGATCGTTGCTGATGTCGCTACTCCAAGCTCGGGAGTGTGATGGACGACCACTGGAGTGCGCCGTGGCACTATTTGGATCCAGATAGCCGCCTGAAACCAGGTCTTCTGTGGAAAGTATCTGCTCGCTGTAGCTAACAGTCGAACGGTTTTTTCGTCGAGGCTGTAGCTGCCCAAACGCTCGGATGGCGCCTAGGTAGTGTTGCAGGGAGCGTAATCGTTCGGTGGTCTCGCGAGGAGCTCGTTCAAAATATTCTCGCTTCCATTGTGCACGCTCATACATTTCTCTTGTGCTTTCTGCTTCGGCTTCGGCCTCGAACTTCTCCACCATAGCATTCTTGTACGTCTCGAATGCAGCAAGTTCCCTCCGCCTAAGCTTCTCAAGCTTCTGACGTCTCCTAGCGAAGTAGTCGGCTTCGCTCTTGCTTGACGCCGGCGCTTGAGTTGGCAGACGAGGTGGACGTCCCTTGCGGGGCGGAGAGGCAATTTCTAGGCTTCTCTTGATCGTCGACGACCGCTTCAGAACTGTCTGTCGCCTGACAAGTCCCATTTGCGGTAGATCTTCGTCGTCTGCATCGCTCGATAGATCTCCGTCCTTCGCCTCCGAATGCCCAGTCTCATGCTCGCTTTCTCTTAGCAGATCTGCCATGCGCGACAAGAGATGTTGCTGCTCTTCGGCAAGACGAAGCAGCTCCACATATCGACGTCGCTTGTTGTCGTCGATCAGCTGCTTGTAGGCATGTCGGACAGTGTGAAAAGCATCGGATAGAGCTGCTTTCGATTCTTCGGGCCCTTGTTGTCTATTGGGATGGTATCGACGCGCGAGCTGACGAAACTGGGCCTTTATGGTGGCCGCGGATGCATCTCGAGGCACACCGAGGGCTTCGAAAGGGTCGAATGGTGAGGTTGAGGCCATTGGTAGCCGTGGTCAAGTCGCGGTGACTTGCAACAATGCGCCTCCATTTTCTCGACAGCCAGGAGCTATGTATACGAAGGTATTGGGCCAAGACATGGTCAGAGTTGATGATCGGAGCAAGCTGAGCCGCACGGTCTCGTCCGGGCTTGCATCTCGCTTGCGTGACGTCTGGGGCCGCACACTTTCTCTAGTCTCCCTGCTATAGATCAATGAGACGCATTTGTCCGCATTGAGTCGGCCTCGGGAGGCACAAGAATAAGGATAAGCCGCATTGATGTTTACGATAGCGATCACTTCTGCAGGCTCATCGGGCGAACTCCACCGGCGTATCAAATCAAAAAGCTCATGAGATCGGCACAAGCGGCGTGCTACGAACTCCATCTCAGGAACTATCGACCTGACAAATGAATGCTGTTGCTATCTCTGTCAACCCGAGGCATGATGCTGTACATCCGTGGACTCGGATCGAAAGGCTGTAGTGTCACAGATGGATAATGCTGTGACCCGCAGATCACCAAGAAATAGCACTTTTTATACGACGATCAAGAACTGTTGGAACTGGTGGCCTAATTGCACGGGAATGGCCGCGATGCTGCTTGTAGGGGTGATGCCATCTTCTCGATATGTACAGTCTGATATCTTTGATTCACCATGTGCCAGTCGCACTCCGTACGCGCATCTTGAGTTCTCGCTCGAACTTCGTCACGCCTTCTTCGTGAGCCTTTTTATGCCGAGTCTGACTTACTCTGCGCGCATGAGTTGTCAGCTAGACATCGCAGTGTACAAGGACATCGGTAAGGACTGACCTGAACCACCAGAACCATGCGGCATAAACGATCAAGGTCAGTGGTATCGTAATCACGAAGTAGACATACACATACGGCGAAGCTATGTCATCCTGGTGTTTGAAAGGCCACTGGAACATGGTCATGCTGAAAAAGGACGCCACTGCAGTCCCAGGGAGGAAGGTCAGTGTGAGGACGGCGATCGTCTTCATGGCCGCGCTGTCTTGTCTTGTCTCTTCTGCGACCTGCGCCGTCGCTGCGGCCATCTCCAGGTTCAGCAGATTGTCGCGCCTCGACTCTTCGGCGATCTTACGGTTACTCTCCGCCAGCTGTATGTTGAGTTTGTTGTCTCGTTGAATAATGTAGGTCGATATCTGGGGACGTCAGCAAACTATCGCCTCTTTCGAGCAAGCTCGTACACACCGCTTTAGACTGATTTTTGATTCGTCGTGGAATGAATTCGAGATCGCGTTTGACCTGATCGTGGTAGCGCATCTGTTGTGCGATCTTGTCTCGCATGTCGTCCACATAGCTTGTACCACCCTCCCATAGTGAGGTCCACATACGTTGGTATTCGTCGACGTAGTTGGTGAGGTTATCAGCAAGCTCGGTCTCGAAGTCTGATCGTCTTTGCAGACGTAGATGCTCGAGGTTGAGTCGATTGAGCAACTTGTAGTCGGAATTTGACTCTAGATTGATGTCACCGTCAGAGATACGTTTCTCCGTGGATGTCATCTGTTTGGAAAGACTTTCGACCTCACTTAAAGTGGCTTCGACATGGTGTATGAGGATAGTGATCGGGAGCACTGCAAAGTCTCGCGGTACCTTTGGATGCCGGTTGTGGTATGTCTGATTCGCGAGCAACGCGTCGAGGCTGTAGTCATCGCTTGCGATGTACAGACCGCCACAGTGATGCCGCTCACGGTTGACTAACGATAGCGAGCAAAAGGATCGGCCATCGCGAGGAGTCTGCAGGAGGAATGCTATCATGGCGGGATTAGCGACTCGAATCTTGGATATCTAGCATTGACGACGCACTCAGGACGCCATGAGAAGACAAAAACGTCGACCCGCCACCATCTCGACGCCACAGATGCTCGTACTCCTCAGACACCCATTTCTGCTCCTTTACGACTTTCGAAATGTCAGGCCGCAGAGGTAGCCTTGTACTGTCTGCGAGATTGGCACTTATTGCACTCCCGGTGCTGCTACTGATTAGCCCGAGATAACGGAAGGCTTGTGAACACTCACAGCAGCTTGAAGCGGACAGTACTGTCGTCGTAGCTTCGGTCGATCTGCACAGATCATGAGTACAGGTATAGGTTTAGTGTAGTTAGGCGCTACCAGCCTTGTGATTAACCAGGAAGTCTTCCTCGTCGAGGTCTCGCAATTTCCGAGTCTTGATCACTGTTGGGAATCGCCAGTTGTTGTGCTGCAGCAATGTCAGTGAAACGAGTGTAATAATGAAGTACCAAGTCTCCCTACATCAAGCTCCGAGTCCGATATTTCGAACTTCTGGAGATCCATGGAACCGAATCAGCGGTATCTCGTTGCACTACAGCGCCTCTGTGTCACCGCGGGCGCCTAGAGACGAACGTGCGGTACCGAGACAGGGCTGTCACAGTAGCACGTGACTGATATGACTGCCCCCTGCGACCACCTGACAGATGAAGTGAAGTCAGCAAAGACGGTCACGATACTTCCTTCTTCTGCTGAGTTGTTCATGCATGCATTGGCGTGTAGGCTAGACCCCTTTGGTCGCGATGCTGCAGGCGAGATGACCATCGTCAGATCCATCACACGTCTGTTTGTGCGACAACTTATGTCAAGGCTGGACGATGAGATTCTGCCAGCACAAGCAACGGGACGGACGTGGTTGAAGCAGGCAGGCATCGCGTGCCGTAGAAGCGATAGACCGCCACTGGCCAGGACAAGGAGAAGCTGCGGTGTGGCGCAGCGAATCGCGAATCGCCAAACCGCTGATGCCCGAGCGCCTCCTGTCTCTCATAAGATCTTTGCATCGGTCTAAGCCTCTACGCCGCCTGCGGAGTACAGAGAGACCAGGCACCTTTGCGCAATGAGGCAAAGCCAGATTATCACGATATATCTTTCTCTCGCGGTGCGCCCCTCCTAATGAGCTCCCGTCTTCTCCTCGTCGCTGGAGCGGTGTCCTACAACTACCTCATATATCCGGCCATGGGAGACAATTACCACGATGAACAGGACACCGAGGGCGAAGACATCGCCAACATTGTCATCCGTACCGGCAACGCTGACTTGATCTCGCAAATGCTGGCTGCTGCTGCGCCTCGACACGGAATAAGCGTGCTTGGACCACGGCTCCAGCCTCCGGCCTCCAACTGTCTAAAGCACAACGCTTCCTGCGTCTGTGACCTCGTCATCGACGACGACCCAGCGCTCGGAGGGGAGCCAAGCTATTTGGTCAAGCAAACCAGACGCATCGGGAAACCACCGGTCTGGCATTCTCCTGACCTCAACAACGTTCAGGTGGCTCCAGCAAGTACAGTTGTCATTGCTGGATCTGGCAAGGCCTTCACAGACGTTGAGCCAGCAGTCGACTTCTTGCAACGAGTACGTCCCAGATACATTATACATCACATGACAAGGCCCTTAGCGATTGGCAAATTGTGGGACGTGATTCGCAATGGTCCTATGACCCGGGACGGCATCCCTGACCCTGATTTTCTCGCCGTTGTTGTTGATGCGGATGACTTACGAGCTGAAGGTATCCCACTGAGCAAGTCACTATCGTGGGAGTCAACGGCAGAAGATTTTGTACGAGGGCTGGGAACGAAGGGGACTTTTGATACACTTGTCACGTGTCCGAATCTTATAGTTCGCTTTGGTACTGAAGGCGTTATCTATCATCGTGGAAGAGACGCTGGAGATCCAGTGTTGTACTATCATCCAAGGAATATGGAAAGTGCTAATACTAAGATTAATAATGCTTCGATGGTGCGTTATACGAGAAGGTCGAGTAATTATGTTTACTGACTGCGCGTCACAGATCGATTTAGCATCTGCCTTTACCGCAGGCCTCGCGCTCGGCTTCGCGGACTCAAAACCACCTAACTGCCATCGTGGCATTCAATACGGTATATCTGCTGCAAGCAAACTCTCACATCAGGGCTTTGTACATAGCGAATTTGACAACGGACCCGACTACCCTGTTGCTCAAATCATGGAGCAGCTATCTCTCGACCGACAGCACACTGCAGTCAGCATACCTTCGGGAAGGATCAGCTCAGGCGACAAGTGGTCCATCTTCGATTCTGTCACTGGAGATCCTGCAGAGCTGGCTAGGCACATAGTTGTGGATGGCCCTGAAAAGGCGTTGGCAGCCTGTCCCGTCCAAGTGTTTGCGTCATTGCTTGCAGTCGATCGGGCAGAGCAAGAGAACCTGAGATCTGTCCTTGACGCCATGACAGAACGCCTTGACGTCAATGGCGCTACAGGGCCAACTTCCGTTGGAGTCGTTGGTCCGGCTGGCTCGGGCAAGAAGTTCGTTACTGCCAACCTTGCCACTCACGTGAGCACGGGGCGAAAAGTAAGACAACTGCAATACAACTCGCAGTTACTTGGTTCTAGCGAATTGATCGAAGCTTGCCACACCATTCGTGACCATACGGCGAGCGGAGAGTTGACGATTGTGACGTTTGAAAACTTTGAGACATTCCTCAGGCCCAGCGGCCAGCTGCTTAGCGAGATATTGACGATCATGCGGGAAGGCCACTTCAGCGACAAGGGACATATGCATAGCCTCGGTGCACCTTTGCTATTTTTCATCGTGAATCACGATACAGCAGTCGACTCAGACGATACATTTGCACCTCAAACACCAACATCACCACGAGGTGCAGACTTCGTACAGCGACCCACTATTGATATGGCATTGCTCATGGACCATTTGCATGGGCTGGTCAAAACCACTTCCATCAATCAACTGGGCGCAAAAGATAGAACATTCTGCATACGACGAGCGATTATGCTGCGACAATTGCTGAAAGACAAGCATCCTCACCTAGGCAAGAACGGCAGACTAAACGTCGAAGAAGGCGTGCTGCATGCCTTGCTACTCGTGCCGAAGTACAACCACGGCCTGCGCTCGTTGGAGAAGATTATCAGCACCAGTCGACTTTCGGGCCGTAAGAAGTTTGACGTGGCAGCCTTGCCACCAGAAGAACAAATACAGCTTCATGTGGACGGTAAGACGTTCATGAATCATCTTCGTTCGCCGAAGCTTCAGCCAGCTTTACGTGAGAAGCTCGCTGAGGGAATGTTCGAAATTTATAAAAAGCAGCGCTATATTATGTGTAAGAGCGACGAGGAGCGACGTGCACTCGACGAAGAAAGGAGCATGCGTGACTGGATCGAACTACCACCAGAACTAAAAGAGTCCACTCGTTCTCAGGCAGACGATATTCCTCGTAAGCTGCGAGCAGTCAATTGCTTTATGCTGAACGAAGAACGTTCCGAACCATTGATCAAAGTGCCGCAATTCAGCATAGAGCAACTCGATATGCTCTCGGAGATGGAGCATGAACGATTCAATGCCGAGAGATTACAACGGCAGTGGCGGATGGGACCTCGCAACTCGAAGCAGAGGACGACTCCATTCTTGGTGCCATGGCGGGATCTGTCCCAGGAATGGAGAGACGTGGATCGAGTGATGGTAGAGTGCGTCCCAAGGATTCTTGAGAAGGCTGGCTGGCATATCTATCGAATGAAGGAGCAGGTCGAGGTGAATGGTACTACGTAGTACTTTACGAATCGACGATCTATCTTGAAACGCAGCTCATTTGCAGCACCTGATGCTATATACGCAGGACGACGGTAGGTTCTCAGTTGATGAGACGCTTACATGTGGAAGCTGTGACGATCGTCTGATCTCGATCGCTTTCACTCCCTGTGCAGCCTGATGGTCATAATGAGTCAGTTTCGGCCCCAGCCAATGACGTGAAAGCTGCAGATCTCCCTGCATCTGCAAGGCTCTACTTCAGCCTCAAAGTGAGTACTGAGCTGAATTCGACCTCTTTGACTACAAGAAACAACTAGCTGCCGTCTCTCCTCTGCAGTGCTTGCCTGAACCTAACGAGCCTTCAAGCACTATGCTGTTGGCCTTCCTACTCAATTTCCTGATCTGCGCCGGCATATTAAGCCATAGCGCAATCGTGCCTGCCCATTCAATAGGCAACGCCTCTTGGCCGTACCAGACGTACAAGACTGTAGACTCCACGCCGCCATACCTAGCCATCTCACGACAGATTCCAGTATCAGATGAATACCTCTTCTTCGCTCCTGATGGCGCCACAGACTTCGAGATGGCTCCTTTGATAATGGACATGAATGGTGAGCTTGTCTGGAACGGCCCCACTACCCATGCCTTCGGTTTCGGTGCTCAGCAATATAACAACGAGACTGTCCTTGTCTGGTGGAACGGTACGGTCTACCCTGAGCCAATCGGTCGAGGTAATGGTGTTGTTCATGTGGTCGACAAGCACTACAATATCATCAAGAATGTCACACTGCGGGGCCACTTCCTGGAACAAGTACCAAACGCCACTTTTGCGAGCAACATAGATTTGCATGAGATTTTCATCACCAAGCAAGGTACTATGCTTGTTACCGCGAACAACGTGACACAATCAGATCTCCGTTCCGTGGGTGGCTCACGGTATGGCTGGGTGGTCGCTGCTATGGTATACGAGATCGATATTGCGACGACTCAGGTCCTCTTCTCTTGGAACAGCCTTGATCATCTGGATGAGCTCCCATTCAGTCTCTCTCTCTACACGTTAGGGAGTGAAGGCTACACTGGTGAGAACCAGTCTTTGGCCTGGGGATACTTCCACATCAATGCCGTGTCGCCATATGATGGAGGCTATATCTTGAGCTCCCGCTTTCTATGCAGTGCCATTGCTATTGGGGCGGACGGCAACGTCAAATGGAGACTACAAGGCAGAGAAGGAGGAGATTTCATTCTTGGTACTGGTGTCGATTTCTGCTACCAGCACGATATCCGTGCTATCCCCGAGCAGCTTGGCAGTAACAATTCTACAATCATGTTACATATGCACGACAACCATAACTCTCCGATCGAGAACAACACTATTCAATCGTCAGGAAAGGTACTGTCTGTCGATCTTGAGAAGAGACATGTCACACTCCAGCAACGTTACCTCAACGAGTCGGGCCCGATTTACTCGACTGCACAGGGCAATTATCAATCCCTTGCAAGTGGCAACGTCTTCATCGGTCATGGCTGGATACCAGTCCTTGAGGAGTTCTCTCCTGCTGCCGAGATCTTGACGACGGTTCAATTTGGCGCGGCTGAAGCACGAGCAGGAGGTGGCTTTGTGAGCAACCTCAAGCCAACACTATCCTATCGAGCCTTCAAGCAGCCATGGATCGGCTGCCCAATGACCAGGCCAGATCTGGTTGCTGAGAGATCTCCAAATGGCACAGCGGTCTACGTGAGCTGGAATGGCGCTACAGAAGTCGAAGCTTGGGATTTCTTTGTTGGAAACGACACACACTTGACGCATGCCAAGACTGTACCGAAACAAGGCTTCGAGACGATGGCATTGCTGGACCCTGTGGAGTTCGTGTTGGTGAGACCGAGACTACGTGATGGCGACTGTAGCAACCCGATATGCCAGCCGGTCTCATCGGAAGTGGTGTCTGTCTGTGCTAGCTAGCGTGGCTCTTGGTGTGCCCAGAGTAGTGGATGGTAACGTCAATCATCCTTCACACATACATTGCTTCTCAAAGTGAAGTCTTTTATCGACCTCATCTGAGAAACAGAATCACTATTAGTTCTGTCGTGAGACTACTCGGACAGATGTACTCTGGTTTCGTAGAACTACATTGATTACGAACAACTGACACACTCATAATGCAGCAGTAGCGGCCTCTCAACAACCAGAACAACCACCGACATGAGTTCTTGTCCTGGAGCCTGGCCTGAAGAGAGACTACCAGCTAGATTGACCATAAAACCCGACCAGAACGCCAAAAGACCAAGAGGCTTCCTTGATCTTCCCGGTGAAGTCCGCAACCAGATCTAAAAGGACTTCTTCGGCAATCAAGACGATCAAGCGGTCGTGCCTATCATTCGAGACCCCACCAAGAGCAGCCATGCGGAGTACACGAGTTTCGCATTGACTCTGACATGTCGACAGATGCGTCAGGACACGATCTACATGGTATACGAAAAGATGCGCCTTGGCCTGTTTATCACGGACAGGGTCGGTCATGTTCTCGACGTCGAACGAATCGAAAGGGAGGTTCAAACCTTGCACGGCACTATACCCCGTCTCCACCGCCACCGTATCCGGCATCTTGAGATCGGACTCAAGAACTTCACCGACTGCTTACCAGCTCCAGCTTATCGACGGACTCACGGCCGTGCTGTCGCCAGACCACCCGTCGTGAAGTGGGAAGCCCAGAGCCTCTTTGAGAGGCCGGTCTTGCGCCTCGAGAACAGTCTGAAGCTGCTTGCCCGACTACCACCCAACGTAGACGGTATCACTGTCCATGGTCCGCCTCCGTTCTGGCTTTGTGGTATAGAAGGTACGCCATATCGGCTGCAATGGCTCTTCCCGAGGCTGACGAACATAAAGTGGAGAGAGATGTACTCTTCGGGGAGGCAGCCCTGGCGGGAGGATAGTGGGGATCAGTGGTACCGCATCTATCATTATGGATCGGTAGATGAGCGGCGCACGACTGGAAGAATCTTTCGTAGATGGCTGTCGGTTTGAGAAGCGTAGTAAGCCATGCTTTCCGATGAGCGAGAAATTGCCTGGGGAAGGAGAAGGCATCCTCTTCAGAAGCGTCACGAGGATGGAGGATTGTACCTGACTGTACAGACACCAGCATGAGTTTGCGACGAGATTCCGGATGAGTGATGATTGAGATATAGATCGCTTGATAGCAAGAAATGGAACATATGTTGGTCTGCATAGTGCATCAAGCTCCCACAAGCGAGAGCCGCACATTACAATTAGATATCCAAGATTTACATAACTCCAAAACACCTAAAGCGCATGAGCCCCCTCAAGAACCCACGAACTAGCCCGAAGAGAAGAGCGCCGTGACAGACGCCTTCTATCGGTCTTCCAGAAACGAATGCATTATCAAAGCAACCCAAGTACACCAAGAAATCCAGAATCCACACCGCTAGTCAACACTCCAAAAGCCCACCACAAATCATGGTCGAAGCGTAAGGAGGACTTTACTCGCGGGCCTGCACAGAGCAGGTATAATCGATACCCTCACCCTGTAAAGTGCAAGTGTAGTCGATACCCTCACCCTGGAGGACACAGGTGTAGTCGATGCCCTCGCCTTGGAGGACGCAGGTATAGTCGATACCCTCTCCGCGCAGAACGCAGATGGACTCGATGCCCTGTTGCTGCAGGACGCAGGTGTAGTCGATGCCTTCGCCCATTGTGATTGATTGGTGTGGTTTGGGGGTGGTTTAGCTTGGAGCCTGGGAGGAATGTTAGTAAAGGTGTCTTTTTTGCATTAGGATGGTGGAGGGACGTACTGAACGAGTGTAGGTAGTTGGTAGAGTGATCTGTTCTGTTTCTTCGGTGAGGAAGAAGAAGAGTCGTGGTTTGCGGTGAGTTGGAAGGCTTATATGTTCAAGTTTTGCGGTGCAAGAGAAAGAGATGATGGAAATTGTGATGAAGACGGTCCATATAGGTCTGGAAGCAAAATCATTCGGGCTTAGTATTGTACTTGGCCTGTCGCGTGCGACGTCGCTGTGAAGTAAGGCTTTGTGGTATAGGCTTAGTATTGTTGTGGCTAGACAAAGGCAGCGGTGAAGTTGAGAAAGTGTAGACCGAGGTAAGAACCCATCCGCATGCATCGCTTGTAGTCGAAGAGTCCGCCATTGGTATCTTGAGCTAATTGAGATGGTCGTGGGATTGGAGCATTGTCCTGGAGGCTGTTTTCAGAGGTGTCGAGATCGTGCCGCTTTGACCATGTTCTCCACAACGACATTACCTTGAGTGTAAGTGACGAGTCTGTGACCGAGTCCCCTCGGCGTCCGTTCGTCTACTCACATGTCTCAAGGAGAGACAACTGGAGATCCTGGCTATCGCATATGTTGAAACTGGAGTACAGGCACAAGCTCTGTACACCGGCGAGCTGCTTGTTTCCCAGGCCGAGAACAATTCCGGGATTACTTTCACGATCCACGACTCGGCCGTTCGTGGTGAAGCTGCACTGACTGAGCTCGAGTTCATGCTTCGTGTGCAAGAGTGTCTTAGTATTGTTGTCGCTGGCGTGAAGTGATATCCTTGGCACTTCCACGGGAGCGGCCCAGCCCTTCCGAAGCGCTCGGCAGACCTGCCCCAGGCCCAAAGTGACGTTTCGCATGTCAATTTCTCGACTTATTCAAACACTGCTTGGACCTTATGATATTGTGCCTGTACGCTCCCAGTCAAGATGGGCAAAGGTACAGATAAGCTGTACGTATGTTTCAAAGGCCTCTCTACATGTCCCTCACAAAGTGCTGATGAACCTTAGATCACTCATAGCGAGTGGAGCAGCGACAATGCATTCGGCCCATCAGCAGGCGCAAATGCCCGCAGATCTACCAACACCGGTGCGAGCTTCAAGCGATTACCCTTCAACTTCTGTGCCGTGTCTCTTCAGCCATTCGAGCATCCAGTATGCACCTTAGACGGCACTAACTTTGACTTGACGAACATCCTACCCTGGATCAAGAAGCATGGGACGAATCCAGTCGATGGCAGTCCTTTGAAGAGCAGCGAGCTGATTAAGCTTAACTTCGCCAAGAACGACGACGGCGACTATGTTGACCCCGTCACATTCAAGGTCTTCACGGATAATACGCACATCATCGCATTACGGAATACTGGCAATGTCTTCAGCTATGACACGATCGAAAGATTGAACATCAAAGCGAAGAACTGGCGTGATCTGGTCAGCGATACTGAGTTCAACCGGGCCGATATGATCACCCTTCAAGACCCGCAGAATGTCGAAAGTCGAGATTTGAGCAAATTCAAGTATCTGCAGGATCGCGAGAGTGTGCTCACTCCCGCGCAAGAGGCAGAGCGCGCGGCGGGTATCAAGTCTGAGAATCTGGGCAGTGCGGCGAAGATCTTGAAAGCTAAGGAAGCGGTCGCGAGGCGGAGGGAAGAGCGCGAACAGGCAGCAAATGGCGGAGCCAAAGATGCAGAACAACAGGCTCTTGTCAATGCTCGGAAGGCCCAGGTAGAAGTAGCAAAGTCTGCTCGATCCGCGAGACCTACACCATACAACGCGGCCCAGTATACGACGGGAGCGGCCGCAGCTTCTCTCACTTCTACCGGGCTAACTCCATCCACGACTGGCGAGCGCGCGATCTTGAGTGACGAGGAGTACATGCTCAAACCGAAGCGTGTCAAGACGAAAGGCTATGCTCGGGTAGCGACTTCACATGGAGACCTCACCATAGAATTGTATCCCGAGTTTGCGCCGAAAGCTGTCTGGAACTTCATACAGCTTGCGAAGCGTGGTTACTACAAAGGTGTGAACTTTCACAGGAACATCCGCAGCTTCATGATCCAAGGTGGTGATCCGACTGGAACTGGTCGTGGGGGCCAGAGCTGCTGGGGAAAGTCCTTTGCGGATGAATTTGAGGGACCATTGACACACGATGGTCGCGGAGTCATGAGTATGGCGAACAAGGGGAAAGACACAAACACTAGTCAGTTCTTTGTCCTCTACCGAGCTGCCGCGCATCTCAATCGCAAGCACACCATCTTCGGTCGTGTGATCGAAGGGCTGGATAGCACTCTGAACAGGCTGGAAGCCGTGGAAGTGGATGATGGCAAGCGACCTACCGAGACCTGCAAGATCGAAGACGTGGTCGTGTACGTTGACCCCTTTGAAGAGTTTCTCAAGCAACGCACCGAGCGCGAAGCAGACGAAGCACGTCAAGAGCAGTTGCGACTCGAAGGCGGCGCCGAGGATGACCGGACAACCTGGACTGGGAAGCGGATACGTGCGGACGGGAAGCGCGAAGAAGGCAATGGCGAGAGTGCCGGTGTTGGCAGGTACATGAGTAAGCAGACACCCGCAGTAGCCTTAACAGCTGAGGAGGATGAGATTGTTGGTGGATGGGAGGAGCCTGAGCCACCGACCAAGAAGGCGAAAATTGGTGGAGGTGGCTTTGGCAACTTTGATAATTGGTGATGTAACTTCCACCACTGGTTGCATCGCACAAGGTCGGTGGTCATTCACACACGGCTAAGCTCGGCAAGCACGTTTACTGAGCACGAGGGCCCAAGTGATGAGGGGCGATGCGCTGATTGTGGTGAATGCTCGGAACACGACCTTGGTCACTTGCACGATATTGCAGATACAGAACGTCCTGGCCGGACATAAGAACCAGCAGCTTCGGTCTGTGTACGATTTCGACTCTAATCTACACTGAAGATATCTCATCTTTACAACCCGTCATCCCAGGGCGCATAGAGCGCACCAGAAAAGAACACCAGCACGACGTGCCGAAGATCGAAAAACACTCAAAGACACTCCGAGGAGGCGATATCGTTACACGATGGTCAGTGACTTATATCAGATCTCTATTTCTTGAACATTGGCTGACAATAGGACTAGCCATCCGAATCTACGCCCACACTGGATGTCCTCCGTGCCAATGCCGAGCGTAACCATCAGACATTTCTCAAGGATATGCGCGACAAGACCACCAAGACTGAGGAGGGTGAGAGTACCCACAGCGACGACAAGCAGCAGCAGCAAACCGAGTCCACGGGCACGGTTCAGCAGGGCAAGGATGCGAAGAAGGACAAGGCTGCTTCGGACTATGCTGATGGGTGGCTCAGGCTGAAGTGATTGCATTGCAAAGTCATGGATGAGACAATGAGATCGGTGGACTCGTTGAACGCGAAGGCTATTCCAGCTGCGCGTGCTTGCGGCGAGACCAAAGAGTGAGTCACATGCTGAAAAGCCGTAGATAGCTGACTCGTGCCATGCCCACTTCATCACAAGTTTCCGTCCCGCATTCAATTTCAGCAGTCCACTACGACCCAGCACTCCTAAGGCCGCATGCTTCGACCGACTTCGAGATCGTCGTGCTAGTATTTCGTCGGGAAGACGCCAACATTCGGGCTGGTATCACGTGTGCCGACTTTGATGCAGCAGCGGACATATGCACCTGTACGAATATCAGCAAGAATCCTTTCTCGTCTGGGAAGGGACGGCGGGACTGACCATTCTCACACTCCTCATTCGACTGCACGCCGTAACCGTTAGCGGAGACCTTCAATACAGCTCGGAGCCAGGTGGAAAGACAACGTGCGCTGATAAGGACTCACATCACATCTCACATTCTCGCATACGCCGCAGCTGGCCGTGCAGCAGGCACTGTACGTCACGGGCGGAGTGCCAATGCCACAGCAGATGTCTGAGTCCGGGCCTGCGTCTTCGGAGCGGGTATGGGCTATGCCGTCGTCGATGGGGTTGGCGAGGGGGAGGGGGAGGAGGAGGGTTGTGGCGAAGGTGAGGAGGAGGGGTTGGAAGTGCATGGTCAGCAAATTAAGTGGTAGTTATGGTGGGAGAAGAAGATTGAGATTTCGAACAGGAGAAAGCTGGGTTGAGCGGCCTTGCGGAAGGAGTGGTCTGTTCTTATAATCTGTGGAGCTGCGACTTCGTACGATGCACTACAAGCTACCTCGCTTCCGCTTGTTGCGGCTGTCGTAGGATTCTGTCCCATGCTGGTACTCGTGAAGTTGCTGACTTCAGGCCTGCCAGAACAGGACTCATCCGAGTTGATCAATGGGAATTGAAGGAGACTACTGGCTAGGTCATCGTAGAGCTTTACCAAATTCTTGCCGACCACCTCTATATTCAGGGACCTCGGATGGGAATCTATGTATACAGAGTATGAATCAAACACTAACACCTTGACCTCTGTGGGCTGGCGAGTATGAGACTGTACAGTGCGACAGTCGAGCACAGCATGAAGCCTCATTGAGGCAGCTAGACTCGGAAGAGGTTAGGGCTGCCAACGAGTTCATGATCTGCCGAATACTGCAAATGCTTGGTGCCAATCGACGACAGGAGGTCAAAAGCATTGCTACACTGAGTAGGCTAAGCGGTTTATCATTCCTGCCATGATATCACTTCGAAGTACAAGCCGTCAAGACCATATGGCTCAGGCGGGCCACTTGGTATTGGCATATGCTTATCACTCCTTACTCGCCCGCCACCGAATCCTTCTGGATGCGCCTCGGATCCTTCAGGCCAATTCTTCCTTGTGTGATAGCTTCCCCTCTTTGCTAACACGCGAGACACCAGTATGGGCCGCGAGACCAGAGAGGACGATGTATAGCAAAGATTCCGTCGACACAATTGCCATGCCAGACGAGAGGTCGATGCAGTGACGTACATGCTCTCTGGTGTAGCGCAAGAGAAGTAACAAGCTCGATCTTCTGCTACAATCAAGCTCCATAGGAGTAGCCGGCGGCCTTGCATCTATCAAACCACAGGCTTGCACCGTAAATATGGCACAATGAGGGCAGTGAAGGCATGCGGAACTCGTAACAACAGACACTCGCACACTACAGGGCACGAAACCCATCTCGACGGCCATGGATATCATTGCTGGAAGAAGCCCTGCACCATCAATCAAGTGAAGTCTCGTAGACGGTCTAGAGTGCCAACTGCGTTGGAACAAGGAGGGTCACCGAAAAGAGCTCGTCCGTGGTACTGCACAAACAGAGGGGTCTAAGATCCACGATTGTTAGCGCTCGACATGATGTGCCTGACTTACCTACTGTGCATGAAGTCAAACGCGAACACGCGCCTACCCATGACTCAGCAAAAGCTTCGCCAGAGCTTGCCTCGCTTACGACACAACCTTGCAGTAGTGTATATACCTGTACAGGGGACATGTGCAAGCCCACTGTACTGTACCACGGAATGATTTCCCCCACCTCGCCAAATCCCTCCGCCGAAAATCCTTCAAGCAGCCAGGAATCACAGCGTTCGCTCTGATCATCATACCGCCCCGTGAAATCCCTCGCCACGAGTCCAGGGATCGTCCACGCCCAAATCGCCTCGCATTGTAGTCTCGTGTAAACGAGCAGACTGGGACATGGAAAATCTGGATATCAGAGTAGCTTGACCTCGAGAAGACAGCAAAAGTCTCGCCGACCATGCCCCTCCGCAGCTGGATAACATTATTCCGCCACCGATAGCAACCAGTACACGCATAAAACTACCCAACCCCCATCCGCAGAGTCGCATCGCGAACAAAATGCCCTTCCTCCCCAACCTCCTCCTCCTCCACTGGCTCCGAACAAGAGTAGAAGACCTCCTCTTTCCCCTCCGCATGCACTTCGGCCACAAGATCATCTCCTCTCCCCAGCGCCAAATCGTGCAGATCTCCCCACAAACCCTAATCAAAGGCCCCTGCAGCGAGCAGGAACTCGAAGCCATGGTGTACGTCGCCGGCCATACAGCCGTTCCGCTTCCACGGGTCCAGCGAGTTTATCGGAGACGCGGAGAGGGGATGTATATCGCCATGGACTTCATCCGCGGTAAGAGGTTAGATGAGCTGTGGCCGGACTTGGACGGGGGGGAGAGGAAAGGAGTGGAGAAGGGGGTTTGTGAGATGGTGAAGCTCCTACACGCCATTCCCGTCCCACGCGAGCTCGGCCTAGCCATCTCATCGATCGAAGGCGGTGCCCTACACGACGGGATCTTCGGCCCCTCCCCCTTCGGCCCCTTCCCCACTCTCGACTCCTTCCACAACCGACTGGAGAGAAACCCGAATCTCGCCGTGCCCGAGTACCGCCAGATCTGGGATTCTCCTGAAGCTCGAAATGCTCGCTGTGTCCTCACACACGCGGACATCGCGCCCCGGAATCTTATCCGAAGGGATGAGGATGGGGATTTAGTACTCATCGATTGGGAGTTCGGGGGTTGGTGGCCGGAGTACTGGGAGCGGGTGAAATGGCACTTTGCTGATTTTCCGGAGACGGAGGGGTGGGTGGGGATGATGGATGAGGGGATGGATACGTAGACATCACTTGCGTTATCACATTCATCCGTCATTCGTTCGTTCGTTCGTCCATTCGTAGTGGGCGAGACATCATCTCCCACTCCTCCCCTCCTTCATCATAGCCCGATACCGCTCAATAACATCCCGTCGCGCCCCGCTCAACTCCTCGCGCCGCTTCAGACTCCCTGCTTTAGCAGGCACGTTTGCAATATCCACCGCCGCACCATCGCGGACCTTGAATTTCTCCTTCGGGACAACTTTGAGCGTCGGCGGGGCGAGGACGACATCATGAACGCCTTTGAGTCCCTTTTTCTTTCTCACATGCTGCTGTGCCTCCACCTGCTCCTTCTCCTTCGCCTCAGCCTCCGCCGCAGCTTCGGCAACTTTCCGCTTCTTCTTCAGCACAGCCCATGGATCATCCTCGTTCCCACCAGCCGCACCACCACCACCACCACCACCACCAGTAGCTCCTGGCACCTCCCCAACCACCTTCCTCTTCCTCCCATTCCCACCCCCATCATAATCCTCCCCAAACACCGCCCGCCTCTCCTCCTCCTTATCCTCCTCCTCCTCCTGCCTCTCCTCCTCCTTCTCCTTCAGCCTCGCCTCATCCTTCCGCCACTCGGCATACATTTTCTGCAGCCGCTTCTCCGTCTTCGTCTGCCGGTCTTTCATCCCTTCGATTTGGACACCTTTGCCTTTCCTTTCTAGACCTGAGACGGGTAAGGCTTGGTCGACTCGGGCTGCGTAGTCTGATAGTTTCTCTCCTGGTTGGATGGTTGGGATGGAGGGTGTGGGCTGTGTCTCTTTGGCTAGAGCTGGTTCGACAGCTGCTTCAGTATCCCGTTGTTGTATCTTCCGCTTCTTATTGGCAGCTTTGCGATCAGCTTCTCTATTATCGTCGAGACCCGAGGGTCGTTTGCCGGTGGTATGGAATTGCATTAGTCTTGCAAAGGCTCGGGGGGTGTCGTCTTCTTTGTAAGTTGATGTCGCCGTCGACTTTCGCTTCGCCTTCTTCTCCGGCACTTTCTTGCCATTCTGTCCCTTGCCCTTTACACCCTTCACACCCTTCTTCTCCCATTTCGTGACGCCGGCGAATGCTGGGAGGGGTTTGGCTTGCGATGTTGGGGCGAGGTTGAAATCGGAGTCGTTGCGAGTGCCCGTTTTGCGGGTGTGTTTGTGAGGCATTGCTGTGTATTATTCGCCCAGATATGGTATGAGAGCAGACAATATATTTTTATGGAAAAGTCGCAAAGTGCTCGTCTTGCTCTAGCCCGACCGAAGAGGTGCCGGTTTGCATGTGAATCTCATGACTCGTTACGATATATATCCACAACATTGACATATGCCACAATATCCACTTGGACCAGCTCGCCCGCCATGCCTCCACCGTCGTCGCGTATGACAAAGAATACACTCCAACCGACTCGATACCGACCAGGCAAAGCAGAAGTCGAGCCAGATGTTTCCGAAGATGAATCAGAAGAAGACGACGAGGCGGAAGAAGTCACAGCCAAAGCACCAGCACCCAAAGCATCTTCCTTCCCGTCAAGAAAACTCGCAGTCAACGTCACCCAAGCCGGACAACGAATACCCTCCGGACCCGCCAAGCCCAAACCACCAGAGGAAGATCTCGAAGGCTTCGTCACCGCCTCCGAATCGAGCGAGGATGAAGGAGGGGCATTGAAAGACAGCAGTGATCCCTCGAATGAAGATGACGAGGACGAGAGTTCAGAAGAAGAAGACTCTTCATCCGACGACGAACCGGCGAAACCCATGCTAAGACCAACCTTCATCTCCAAAGCCCAACGAGCCCAACAAGGCACTTCTTCCACCACCACCACCACCAAAACAGCAGAAGAACAATCCGCAGAAACCGAACGGATACGAAAGGAGAAAGCAGACGAACTGCTCCAAGCCCAACTAGAAAAGGACGCGGCAGCCAAAGCAGCCGGCCGCAAAGCCTGGGACGACGACGCCGAGATCGACCCCGAAGACGCGGTGGACGATACGGACGCCCTTGACCCGGAAGCCGAGCTAGCGGCGTGGAAACTACGGGAGCTGAAACGGGTGAGAAGGGATCGAGCGGCGATAGAGGGGAGGGAGAAAGAAAAGGAGGAGATTGAGCGGAGGCGGAATTTAAGTGTCGAGGAGCGGGAGCAGGAGGATAAGGACTTCCTTTCCCTGCAACAAGGGGAGAGGGAAGGAAGGGGCAAAATGGCTTTTATGCAGAAGTATTTCCACAAGGGTGCTTTCTTCTCCACGGGCGAGAACGAAGAAGATGAGGAGGTCAAAGCGGTGCTGAATCGTGATCTGGCGGGCGCGAGGTTCGAGGACGAAACGGGGGACAAGAGTGTGTTGCCGGAGTATATGCGGATCCGGGATATGACGAAGTTGGGCAAGAAGGGGCGGACGCGGTATAAGGATTTGAGGGGGGAGGATACAGGACGCTGGGGGATGGAGGCTGGGAAGGGGAGGGAGATGGGGAGGGGGTTTGAGGGGGTGGATGAGAGGTTTAGACCTGATGATGGGTTTGGGTTCGGGTTTGGGGGTGGGAGGGATGGTGGTAATGGTGGCGGTGGGAGGGAGCAGACGGGGGCGAATAGTGCGCCTTTGGGGGAGAGACGGAGACGGGAGGGCGAGAGTGGGGAGGGGAGGGAGGGGAAGAGGGCGAGGTTTGATTGAGCGTAGAGGTTTCTGATATTACTTCCAGCGAGACGTTCCGGCGGGCGGGGACCTCATAGCCCTTGAATTCGAGCAATTGCTTCTACTCTTACGCACGATCCTCCTTTCATTACACCAAGGCTCTGAGGCACACCTCGTTGGTAATCGTCCCATGCACGCCCCAGGCCGGGAATCACAATCGCCTACGTACGTCGGGATATCGACATCCGCGTTCTTAACGGCACGTGACCACACGCCCTGTTTCACTTCCGTCGCTCGACGTCACTGTCACCTTGATCTTTAGGCTTTGTCGCCCAGTCTATTGTAAGGTACAAGATATAGTTGTGAACAAAGCGGGCGGAACAAGAAGTCCATAGATGGCAGCCTATCGAAGACTTGTTGTCATTGAAGTGAAAACAAAGGCTTCACAGAATTGACAGAGCTGCAGAAACAATGGGCCAAGGCGGAGACACATTGGACTTGTCGTCACTCTTTCTGCGTAAGATGAGATTTGATACAATCCCTCCTACCACCGTATCCCCATACTCTCTTCTCTCAAAGCAAGCATCAGATCTCGCAGGACCATCTCAAAGTCAAGTCAACACCAACCAACGAAACCGCAGATCATACGACCACAACCCCACCCACAACACTAGAGCGCCACCAACAATGTCCTACTCAACCCGCGACATCACCCCGGGCGGCTACGGCGGGGGCAGCAGCAGCAGTTCCATGTTCCCCGGCCGCCACGACTTCGACTTCCACCCCCGCCGCAGCTCCAGCACCCGTCGTCCCTCCACCACCCTCGATCCCTTCGAGCGCTCAACCAGCACCTCCCGCCGCCCTTCCTACGCTCCGGAACCCCGACGCAGCAGCAGCAGCCGCGGCGGCTTCTCAGACCTCCCCGACTCAGACTTCTTCTCCTCCGGAGGCGCGAGCGGAAGACGCGGAGCCGTAGTCGATGATACCTTCGACCGTCGTCCGAGCAGGAGTATGTTCTCCGACCTCTACGCCTCCATGCCTTCCCGCGACATCGGTGCCGGAACGACGGGGTACTCACGTTACCGTAACGATGCGCCACCGAGCAGCTACGCCCGGTACGAGAGTCGTCCAACGATGAGTTCCTCTCGATCTCGGTACTCCGAGCGCAGCGGCTCGATCCTCGACGACCCCTTCGCTCGTCAGGCAGCTGCGTCACACTCTTCTTCTTCTTCGCGCTACGGTAGTTCGCGTGAGGGGAGCAGGTACCCGCCTTCGAGCTATGATCGATATGCTGCGCCCTCGTCGTCGAGCACGCGCCGGCCTTTGACGTCGAGGTTTGTGGATCAGTATTATTCTGGCTCGGACTATGAGATGCGGGGGCATCGGGATGATCCTTTTGGTAGGCGGGAGAGGTCGAGTTCGAGTTCTAGTAGTGGCCACTTTCGGTTCTTCTAGAGGGTGAGGAGACTCAAGTGGAAGAGAAGGGAGAAGGGTGGGTGAGTATGGTGCGGTCTCTGAAGCTGGTAAGTATACGATTGTCTTTCTTTCTTTTTCTTCCTGCCATGTATTACTATCGCGTCGGCCTTCCTTGCTGTTGTCCTGCTTGCTGCTCCACTTGCGTGAAAGAGTTCTGGGGATGAGGATGCCATATCGAGGCTTCAGTGCTCTCAGCGGCCAGAAAACACGGTTCGCAGAATTCGAAATCGAAGCACTCGCCGCAGCGATAGCGGTGCATTTCCGACGGTATCTATTTCATGCATCAGTAAGTCAGATCTTGTAATCTAGTACTCAGTACAGTATTTTTGAACGTACCTTGCAATCACATCCATCACAAGTCCTCCGCCTCGATGTCACATTCGAATACACAGACGTCCTCGATCCATTCGTGCGATTCGATGAGCGAGATGGTGTTGTCTTGACGAGTTGCTGAGCGTCTTGCATACGTTGTACTGACGGATGCTGAGGCATATTGCGGTTCGCTATCGGGCGGCTGAAGCTAACGGGTGGCGTTGAAGGATCAGGAGAGTTGCTCTGCTGGAGTCGTAGTCGCATCGCATCCTGCATTGGATCTTCGAACTCCTCCGCTGCTGATGGGCGCGGGAGTGCTTCGTCTGGTGTTTCGTCTGTTGTGCTAGGAGGGCTGACGTCTGGTATAATGGGTACCACTCCCGCATGATCTCTGACTGAAGTGGTCTGCATTTCCTGGCCACTGTCGGTAGCTTTCGTGTCGTCGGTATCGTCATATAACTAGATTTCGTAATCAGCATCGATTGCAAATCCCGCCACTCAGGTGTAGCAGCTTACATAGTCCAATATATCCTCAGCATCTCGACTCGATTCCTCAGCAAGGCGGTCAGCAAACTCCCTTTCCTGTTCTGGTTCCGCATCGACTGCATCCTCGTATGTCGAGAAAGGCACAGAAGCATACGTGGTCGCCTCGCCGTTGGCTGCTTCGTCCGGTAAACCTGTCTTCTCATCGATCATAGGTTCGACATACGAGTATTCGACCACCTCGGTCTTCCTTGGACTTGATGTTCTGGATTTATGAGTGCCGAATAAGCCGCCGAAAGAGTCCTTTGCGAAGAATGGATTGCTGGCGAGGTTGGCCAGTTTCTTCTTGAGCCGTTGATCTTGTCGTAGGTGACTTAGTTGCTCTGTAAAATCTGGGCTGGAAGACGATGTCTCTTGTGGACGCTTTGCAGGTGATGTAGGCCCTCGTCCAGCGCCAGATGGTTGTAATGTCAATATCGCCGTATAGGTCACGGGCTCGCCACTCGCAGAAGTGCCAGTAATGGGGACTTGAAAGGTACCTTCCAGTCTTCCAGCCTCTGCCGATCCTATCGAAGTCGCAGTATCCAAGGCAGCTGTAGGATGGGTCGGAGGACAGACAGAGAGCATGAAGACAAAGCTCAATTGCAGACCTTTGAGCTTGGAGTGTTGTTCCTTCAGCTCACCGGCATCGATCATGTACTTGGCGTTGGCTCTGGCGGAAGCATCGAAGTTTTGTAGTAGTGCCATGACGCGGTTGAAGATCTCGTTCATCTGACAGTCTGTCAGCAATCGCCTGCCAAGACAAATAACCAAATACACTCACATCTTCAACCAACCTTTTCGTCTGCTTGACAACATTTCTAGGATAAGCGTTCTCTGGACGATCAAAGCTCTGCCCAAGAATATCCAGCAAAGTCGTACACAAATCAATCTCGTGCGCCAGCTCCATAACTTCTTGCTCAGCATGCTGAAAAGCAGCAATCTTGCCTTTCAACTCCCTGGATAAACTCAATCCGCCATCCACCAGCCCGACGATACCGACTGTGATTGAGAACGGATCCATGGCTGCGATCGTTTGTCAGTGTACAGAGCCGGGACGACATCGTCGCGACTGCAAAACAGGCACCGTGCTGGCATATGTATAGTTGCTACTCGCGCTACGGTGAATAGGAGAATTTCCAACGGTGATCGACAAAGGACAAAAGAGGCAATAGCAAAGGCGCTTGCCGCGGGCCAAGCATCCGAACGGCCTGTGGCGGAAGTGTTTCAATCGGTGGCGATGGCTAGTTGGCTACAGGACTGACAGTGTGAAATGAAATGTCCAACGGTCGTTGTACCGTATCACGTGTGATTTAGTGAGGCGAGACAACAAAGTCGCCACGATTGGTTCAGAGTGGATGAAACCTTGGCGCTCGAGTTGCGGGTAACGGCCGCTTGTATGCGAACGGAGATTTCGGGACTTTCTATGTACAACGACGACACCAACACCATACAATGCTCATGAACACGAAATCCAAGAACTCCCAACATGTATTTCATCCCATCTCGCCGTCATAACGGTGTGAATCACGTGTCAGCGCCTTCAATGCCTTTCAAAGAGATCCCAGATATTGTCGACCAAGCAATCCCACGCCAGCCGATCAGCGCCCACCAACCGGCACCCAGTCCCGTCGAATATCCATACTCCTGTTGATGCGTCCGCCAGGCGTAAGTGGGACATTTACACGTCCCGATCGTGGATTGTCCTCGCCTTCATCAGAATCATAAGCGTCAGCCAGACGCGAAAAGTAATCTGCCAGTCCATGAGTCGGACTGGCTATATCGTCATATTGTGGTGGTGGTGTGATCAGAGGAGGCGGCGGTGCTTCGTCCTCGAAAGCCGGAGGGTTGAAGGATGGAGCGCGGAGGAGATGTATTGGTCGTTCGTGGTTAGTTGCTTGGCCGTGGACGTGTGCTTGTTGTGGTCTTGCCAGGCCGGGCGTTTGAGATGTGGGAGTTGCTGGTCGCTGGTCATGCTCGCCCTGCCCTGTTCGCGCGAAGTTGAGAGCGTTGAGAGTGGGTACGAATGATGTATGGGAGTTTCGCCTTCGTGCTGCGCCTGGACATCCACAGTCGAATAGTGATGCGTTTCCACTGCCTTGCTGTGGCGAGCTGTATGCTGGAAGTGAAATGTTCGCTTGCGTTGCCCGGCATGAAAGTATATGGAAGGGCGAGTCGATCGAGATCTCGAAGTGTCGTCGTTTGGTAGGATCGTTGGCATCAGGCTTCGATAATCGCATGACAATCTTGATCCAGTGATGTACTTGGATATTCTGATACGTCGTGTCGAAATGCAGTCGCTGGCTCCGTTCTCGTTCCTTCATGTTGTGACAGCTGGGTAATTGCACGTTGAATTCCATCTCGGTAGGTCCGATATTCGTGTCGCCTTCGAGATTGCCAAGCAGATTTGTGGTATCTGACGGCGTGACATCTTCACCTCGTGCAGCTCGTGCTCGCGCATCGTAAGGAATGCCACCGCCCGCTGTCACGCGCATCGTACTGCCAGGGAACGTGCTAACAGGTGGACCATCCGCTCGCTTCTCAAACAACTGCACTTTCCTCGTCGGCTCCATACGGTGGACCCGCTTGTTACTGCAAAAGTACTCGATATTCTCCGTCACCAACACCTTAATCCTATGACACTGCACTTTCGCAAGAGGCGTAAGCTTGAACGCAATCGGGACCTGCGAGCCGAGTGGGAAACTCTTCCCCGAAATCACAATGTCATAGTGCAGCTGGTCTTCCCAATTCCTGCTGATAGCAATGGGCTCCACTTGCTCTAGCGATCCTTCCGCTGGTGCTCGGATGAGTGTCACCTCTTTAGTGCCAACTAAGTTTGCGCGGAAAGCACCGGATCGCGTGACCTCAGCTTCCAGCTCATACTTCACAGATCCCAGCTCCACGTCTATTGTCTCGGGCAGCCGGCTGTCCAGCGGAAGCTCGAAATTATAGATGTAGTCGCCAGGTAAGAAGGTCCGATAACCCTTTGCAGCCACAGATGGCGCACCTGGCATTGCATCTCCCTTACCAAAACTTCGAGATTGGTTGACTTGTAAGGCGAGCTTCTTGGCCTCTTTCGAAGATAGATTCACTTGCGAGCTATGAGGCGTTGAGCGTCCAAGAGGGTCGGTCCGACTAGCACCAGCAGAAGCATCACCTCCTTGGAATAGTTGCACGTGGTCGGCGTTCGTACCCTTTTCGGCACTCTCGAACTGTGCATTGAAGAATGGCCATGTGTGGCTCATAATCGTATCTTGCTCATCGAACTCGACCTTTCGGGGTGGGATGCCCTCAGGCCATTTCGTAATAGCTTTGCCTTTGAATTTCAAGGTCACCGCCTTAACCTTCGCAGCTTTCTGTACCCGCAGATGTAGGCTACCTCGAAGCATAGCAGTATTACCTGGCGAGCTCTCGGTGTTCTCAAATCCTTGCAAGAACAGCACTGGTTCGGCAAGATGTATGGCCATACTCACACCGTTCCCGGATGCGATCGGCTTGTCATCTGACATGTCCATGTTTGGGATGACGTTGGTGTCGATGCTGCTCGTGGTCTCTAGACGTGAAGGAGGATTACCATTGCTTGCATTGTTGCCGGAAGTGCCAGAATCATTTCGTGCATCGCTATGTAATCGTGGCCGTTGCAAATGCTGGTTCATCGGCGAGCTGATTGAGTTTCTTATACCACTCCTCATCGTTGCTGTTTCGCCCGCCGCCGAGTTGCTGTCGTCCGTCGAGTTATTCCGCTTTGTCGGCGACCAAGACCTTCTCTTCTTCTGATTGTTTGCTGGTGTGTTGTCAGGTGTGCTGGCCAAAGGCGCAGCTATCACTGACTTGAGGAACCGCCGAGCGTTCTCGCGTGTGGCAGCCAGCTTGAACGACTTGAGCCTACTCGGCTTGTCCGGAGCTGTGTATGATACCTTCGTCTGTTCTCCCTCGCTCCCCGAGAGTGGCTTTACGACGATACGGCCAGGAGAGCGTCGTCGAGGCCGGAAAAGCTGTGCGGGTTTACCGGGATCTTCGATGAGCGGATGAGGCGGATGGTAGTGGAGTACGCCGTAAGTTGAAGATCGATATGATACTGCCATTGCAAGCTACGTCAGCATATGCTTCTCAGTCGCAACACTAGTCTCATGGTGCATCTGAAGCAGAACTGGACGAGATCTGTCCGCTATATGTACTCGGGAAGGCAAGTTGCGATGGCTCACACTGCGTGCGCCTGCATCCATGCGGCTTCCCATGTCTGTATCCAAGGCAAGCGCTATGGTCACGCACATCGTCATTACCGCCAGCGCAGAGTGCACAAAGCCCTTGTGATTCAAGGTAGACCTGGGCTGCGAGTCGGTGTAACTTACCTGGTCGAACACGTACCCGGCTAGGATTCGAGAGATGTGACCGAGATTACCGGTTTCAAGCTGTGACCAGCACGGCGAGTTGCAGATGTGAGAAGTTCTCAATGAGTCGGTTTGTGTTCTGAAACGGAAGCGCTTGTGGACGAAGGCTTGACATCCAGGTTGGCAGGTTCCCGGGCAATCGTCGAAGCCAGGTCCCGTACCTGCGTGTGCGGGAAGTAGAGATTCAAGGGTTGGGTATTTACGAATTCCTGCTCTGCCCAGTTTGCAGCACCATACGGTAAGAGGACCAGCCTATACCCTTGTATTTCCTGCTGCCCGAAAGTCAAAGGTTCACGCAATGCCGGACGACAAGCTAGCACAAATAGATCGGCGACATGTATCGGGATGCCAAAGTGTGGGGGGATCTTGTATACTTGGGGCGACGATGATATGATCAGATCAAGGCGAGGCAGAGGATGAATGGTCTGGATGTGATGTATATTACAGACGAGAGGTAGGCGGAGCAATCTCTTGCCAATACAATATTGCTCGCCTCGACTCTTGTGCATACGCATGCGTCGTCATATACTGTCAGAGACTGGTGTATCGGGATTCGCGGCAACGCATTTGCTTTAGACTATTCCCATCTGCTGCCGGCTCTCTCGGAAGCAGCGTACGTAGACAGGAAGCATCAGGAGAAGCGTAAGCTACCGACAATACCGGTATGGCCGTGATGCTTCACAGTAGCAATCGTTCCCGTTCCGAACAATGTCGAGGCTGTACACTGTAAACGCTGTCAGCATGTCAAATCACGCATGACATGCCGGAGAGAATGCGCTGTCTCCGAGGCTCGGTCAGGGCTGATTGGCAGCAAGGATATGAAATGATCTCGACTCGCGTTGCAAATCATTCAACACTAGTAGTCCATCTGCCGACATCGGTAGTCCTTGAAGCTTGTATGGCGGTGTGTCGCGTGAGATCGTCTACTTTTGCCATAATGTTCTGACCGGTTTTCAAATCGTGGTTGATAATTCCATACATGGCCAAGAACAAGCTTTTCTCTACTAGGGCTACCGGATATGACCGGCTATTCACCAGGTACGCGGCGTGGCCTGGCTCTTGTGTTAGCGGCGTAGCACACACCTCTCGTCAAAGAGCATACACGATGCACGATGATCTTGACAGCGCCTACGTCCGAATGCATGATCGATATCGCAGTTGGCATCATCTCGTTTGGTGAAAGGGCGAAAGCTGTTTTTGAACATTAGCCGCTGGGATGATGTCATGTAGGTCGGATGAACGCTGGACCGAGCCGAGGCGCGTGAACAGCACGCGTTCGCGTTGTCGTTTGAGTATCTTTGAGATTGACAGTATCAGCAATGGCAGACGAAGAGGACAGAGGTGTGTAAAATTGATAGTATAGTTCTAAGGGTTCCCTAGCTGATGTATTGCAGCGTTACAGGACTCTCTGTCTCTCCGAGGTGTGGTGCTATGCTGCACATCACTCCCCCAAGATGCTCGAGTACGTTCTAACCAGGGTAGTAATTGACTTCGATGCAGATACTGACATGTACCTAGTCCCGACTCCCTGGGATCGCCGAGCAGATGGGTGCTGTTCATAAGCTGGATCTCACTTCCGACGTAACACATCTGATCGTAGGCAACGTGAATACAGCGAAGTACAAATATGTCGCCAAGGAACGACAGGACATGCGTGTTCTGAAACCCGAATGGATCGAGGCAGTGAGAGACTCATGGACTGAGGGTGGTCAAGTGGATGTGGCGGCGCTGGAAGACGAGTATAGGCTGGGAGCATTCTTCGGTTTGAAGATATGCGTTACTGGATTCGACAACCTGGAGCAGCGCGAACAGATATCAGACAGGATCGTTGAAGAAGGGGCCGAGTACCACGGCGACCTGACCAAGGCCGTCACACACTTGATCGCTGCTGTGCCGCAAGGAGCGAAGTACACTCACGCCAAGAACTGGAAGACGCCCATCGTATCGTTCAAGTGGTTCGAGGATAGTGTGAGACGAGGTATGGCGTTGGACGAGTCTCTCTACGATCCTACGCTGCCCAGTACTGAGCAAGGACGAGGTGCTATGGCTGTGAAAGAGGCTCGTACGAGTCTAGGCAAGCGGTCGCGCGAGGACGAATCTCAGACTACGGACAATGCCAGCAAGCCGAAGTTGCGCAGAACGGCTAGTAGTCGTCTACACAGCCAAAGCCAAGACATGTGGAACGACATATCGAGCCGCGGAGGAACAAACGCTCCTTCGGAATCGGATCAATGGAAGGACAGCGAAGCAAGCATCAATCAGCGTCCAACGGTAGAAAGCGTTCACGTCCGTCGCTCTGATGTCTTCCCTACCGAGAGCGTAAGTGCACCTGATGGGATGTTTGCTGGTCGATATATTCTCATTCGTGGCTTCCCTCGAGATCGATCTCAGCGCTTGCAGGAATTTCTGAAACCGAATGGTGCGTCCATCGTGCATAGCGTGAACGAGCTGGAAAGGGCGTCTCGGCTTCCCTTCTTCAAGTCTCGATTGCTCCTTATGCCACATGCCTCCGAGGGAAGTGCGATGGTAATCCCAGATGTCCCGCCAGGCACTGAGATCGTCAGCGAGTGGTGGCTCGAACGATGCATACAAGGCAAAGTCTTCCATGAACCTTCTGCACACATCTTATTCAGGCCATTGACAGAGGCGAAAGTGGCCGGCTTCGCTGATCTAAGGATCTGCATCACTGGCTTTCCTGTTGTTGACTTCCGCCAGACTGCTTTAGCTATCAAGCTGATGGGAGCAACGTATGAAGAGGACCTATCTCCATCGATATCAGTGCTCGTCTCGGGCGCAGACGTTGTCAAGAAGGAGAAGGCTTGGTACGCTGCCAAGCATAACATCAAGATCGTCACACGCGATTGGCTTTGGGCATGTCTTGCATCAAAACAGATGGCCAAATTCGAGCCTTTCATTGTGGATGCACTCCGTGCCGATGCGAAAGACGATGCCTCCGACGCGGCAAGCAGTTCACGAAGTAATCGAATGCCACGCCAGGAAATGGAGCGCGTGAGAAAGGACGACGCTGGCTCTAAGCGACTATCAGGTACGCGCAGAAAGCACGCGACATCTTCGCTCGCCTTCAAAGCCACCAGTCCTGTCGCTGACCGGTCTGCTACCAAGCAAGGGCCGTTCATCCTTGAGGACGACGAGCAAGATGACGAGCCTGCGGAAGTAATAGCACATAACATGTCACCATCGGCGCTTGAATCTGCCCGTCCCGAGCCTCTACAAGCACTCTCGACGAATGCTTCTCCGCGCAAGGCTGGCAGTCAAAGCAAATTGGTCGAGCCGACAGTGTCTGGGGACGATGAGAATGCACCCGAAGCTTCGATGACCTTGGACGAAATCCAGACCGACGAAAAGATTGATGAGCCTCAGCAGCCGATCCTCAAACCACACGAGGACCTGAGGGCAGACCTAGCCGCATTGATCCATCGACCACCATCAGCTCGGCCAACAAGCGCCGTCTCTGACGTGCCACAAAAGCGCAAGAGCCGCAAGCTCGGCCGCTCGACCAGCAGTATGGCAAACCGCACTTTTTCTGGCTCTGCACAATCCGCTTCTTCTCTTCTGCGCGAGGAGACGAACCCTTCGGGAGAACATCCTCCTACGAGCCTCGCCACGGAGGTTCAGCTACCACCCGGTACGCAGCTTGGGTATGAGACTGCAGATGCTGAGGCGCATCGCGTCATGATGGAGAGGAAGATGAAGGTTAGTTTGCAGGACAGTAGTAGTGGGAAGCGGGTGGCGAGTGTGGGTATGATTAAGGATAGTTTTGCTGGTGGTGAGGCTGCGGTCGGCAGTAGGGTGAGGGTGAGGACTCGGGCGAAGTGATTTTGATCATCATGACTTGCGAAGGTCGTAAGTCTAGCGCAATATATGAGCTACGGCTCTTCAGGTGTCAATCAACGTATTTCATCCTTCAAAATTTCGCATGTCGTTGAACGCTGTAACCGAACATCCGTATTACCTATGCTGGCCAATAGAATTAGCCGGCCGGCTTCTTGAGCTTCTCACCTGCATCGATCTGCAATCATCACTCCCGACATAATCGTAATACATGTTCATCTAAGAGATCGCATAGACCTTGCCCAACGACTAGTGAGATGGCTTCCCTGCGAATTACTTTTTAATCCTCAGATATTACCTTCACTGATCACAATAACTCGATGCCTAGAAGGAAGGGCCAGTGAGCGGCCCTTCTGATCCCGCTGCATCTTGGCCATTTCGACCTCACTCATTGAGAATTTTGCTTGATTTTATGGGACAAGATCCTCCTCGTCATCTCGAATCAGACGCGATGAGGTCTCACGGGCGCGCTTCTCACGAAAGCTTCGAGATGGAGGGTCCCGTCATGCATTCCGCGGAAGGCAGCTACCGTGACAGTATCGAGGATGATGACTACCTCAAGTCCAATGGATCAGAAACACCGCCTTCGAGATTTGGAAAGTTGTTGTCAACGCTCCATCTAGGGTCCCGAAATGGCAGAGACGAATATGACTACGAAGGCATTGGCAGGAAAGGCACTACTGACGGACTTCTACGGAGTGGCAGACCACGAGAGCCAAGGAGGAATAAGAAAGCGTATGCGATGTGGCTTTTGAGGAAAGCTGTAATTGCCAGTCCTTTTGTGATTCTAATGATGTTGTAAGTATCTCAACAAAACGTCCCATCTGATATGAAGCTGACATGAAACAGCGGCGTGATACACATTCTCACAGTAATCATTGGACGAGCGAGGCTCTTCTGGAATTTCGAAGTCAACGATGACTTCCTACCAAATTGGGGCAAACCAGGCCATATGGGCGAAGGCCTAGCCAAGTATCCTACAGACGCCACTCGGGATGTTCAGCCAATACCATGTCATTCACATAACGATTACTGGCGGAGGATACCGCTGTTTGATGCCATACATTGGGGTTTCACGAGTGTAGAAGCAGACGTGTGGTTGTTTGATGATGAGCTCTATGTTGGGCACAACCTTGCGGCCTTGGCGAAGAACAGGACATTCAGAAGTCTTTACGTCGACCCACTGGTCGAGCTTATCGATCACATGAACCCGCAGACGGACTTTTCAAATACTACCCGGCACGGCATATTCGATGTCGACCCTTCACAGTCCTTGGTACTGCTTGTGGACTTCAAGACTGATGGGCATGAGCTATTCCCTGTCGTTGCACGCCAGCTCGAGGCGTTGCGGAAGAAGGACTATCTCACTTACTGGGACGGTGACAAAGTACAGCCGCGAGCTATCACTGTCGTCGGCACAGGGAATACACCTTTTGACCTGGTTATCCGCAACACTACATACCGGGACATATTCTTCGATGCTCCGCTAGACAAGCTGTGGGAGGCACCGCCAGATCAAGCTTCACCACAACGAGCCAGCGACGAAGATCTAGATCTCGATAGGGCATCAACGACTGATGGCTCCTCAGGTCAAGGCCATACGGGTACAAGTGTTATCCTGAGTCCTGCAGCCTTCAACACATCCAACTCATACTACGCCAGCGTATCCTTCGGCCATACAGTCGGCTTCGTATGGCACGGCGAACCATCCTCAAAACAGTTGGACATCATTCGTGGCCAGGTCCATGGAGCGCATAGCAGAGGTCTCAAGACAAGATACTGGGACACACCTTCGTGGCCTGTGTCGAAACGAAATCACATCTGGCATGTACTCATGCAGGAAGGAGCGGATGTGCTCAATGCTGATGACCTTAAGGCTGCTGCTGTGGATCAGTGGAAGGCCAAGGCGCATGACTGGTGGTAGCTAGCGATTGACTTTGTAGCATATACAGTATTAGAGTGCTTTTGTGAGGGTATCAAATTATGGAGTTGAAGAAGACAACGTATGAGTAGACTCTGTGTCATCGTACATGTGCTACATGTGCACGTAATATTCTACGCAGTAGGCCAGTGGTCTACCCAATAGATCAACATGCGTGAAGACACGATCCCGATCGATACGCCATCGCTGCCACTCGTCAAATTCCACACGCATTGGTCGTAGCCCGTGTCACGCGCGGCGCTAGAGTTCTCGAGCACGAACCAAACGCCGCAGATCATGCAAAGGGTATCTCGCACCGTTCTAATCACCGAGCACACTCTCCGCCTCCTCACCCGCACCATTGACTACCTGCTCCTCCTCCGGCTCAAGCTCCTCATCGAGCAGTCCTCTCCGCCTCAATGCGTCATCGTCATCAGCATCTAAGTCCTCAACCAAGTCCGACACGTTGTCATCAGCCACTATAGCATGGCTTTTTGGATCAGGCTTAGCCTTCCGAGCAGCCTTGCCCTTGCCTTTGGCCTTCTTCTTTCCCTTCTTCCGCATCGCATCGAGGTCCAGATAAGCAAGCACCTCCTTGAAGTTCGCACCAAGACGGATCTTGTTTCGCTCGAGTCGGTTGCGAACGACATCTTCATCAACGACGCCGGCAAAGGTAGCATGGATGATCTTGGCGGCGAATGCACAAAGCATCTGCTCTGCGATGAGGGCGTTACGTAGCTTCACCTCTCTCCGCTGTTGCGAAGCTTGTGTCTGAGATTCCTCTTCGTCCTCGTCATCAGACTCGGGGTCGGACATTGGATCCTCGGCGAGTGCGTCGTCGTCTTGCATGGTAGTAGCATCCTCGAGCTTCTTGCCACCAAGCTTGGCATAGTTCTTCTCGCATGACGCAAAGACACGCATAACCAGATTCTGGAGCTCTGGGGAGAGATCCATCACGAGGACGGTATAGTCGTCGCTCATGCCGGGCTTCGGCTTGACGTCTCGTAGAATAGCAGCGTTGGTGAACATGTCCAGGACTGAGCCAGCCAATGCGGCACTGATCTCCTCGCCGGGTTTCCTGGTCTCCAGCGCTGACTCAATGTTCTTAACGAAGTTGTCTCGGCGCAGTGCCAGAGCCTCGAGCTCTTCTAAAGTCACGCCATTACTTGAGCTTGATGTGACTGCCGTAATGATGCTCTTCAGCTTCCAGCGCAGGTAGAAGAGAGCTGCATCTGCAGCTCGAGCGGCGACTTGGTCTTCGAGTACCGCCTCATCAGCATCCGGCAGACCGTCGTCAGGCTTAGCACGAAGAACAAGTCCGACAATATAGTCTATGGCACCCTGGTAGTCTGCACCACTTGCGTCATTGTGCTTGGCAATGGCGCTGTTCTCAAGGGGTAGTGTGCAGTCAGAAACTTGGGCCAGGCGAACGATGCGAAGCAAGTTATTACTCAGCGCCGCAAGCTCCTCAACCTGCGAGGCGCCTCGGACGGTGACTGTCGTAGGATCAAGAAGCTCTTCAAGGTTACTGATGACATCATCCCAAAGAGCCGTGACCTTCTCTTCTGTCATCTCCTGCAAATCGCCATAGGACTTCGCATGCAGGATAGCATTACTAGCAGGTGCCAGGACTTCGTCAGCGCCATGGGACATGAATTGCTTGCGAACGTCATCGAGGAGGGTGCTATAAGTGGTCGCATCTTGCTGCAGTGCGCTGAGATCAGGGAGACTCAATATACTCTCAATGCGTAGGACCGCAGCAGCAGTACTGGGCACATCTCCAAACTTCTCCAAGAGTTGCGGTACGAGGGCGGAGAGCTGACGAGCAGCCTCTTCTTGCTCGTTGGTAAGCTGCTCCTTTTGACGTACAGTGAGCTTGCTCTTTGGCTGTTTCAATTGCTCTGCCAAGGACAGGAGATTGCGCCTGGCGCTTGCACAGATCACTTCGAGCAAGACCATCACCTCTGTGTCATCGAGTGAAGCTTCTTTGCTAAGCTGGGATGGTGTAGACTGCTTCGTAGTCTTGACACTGACAGTCCGGTCACCTAAAACATAGGCGGCCAAATCCTGCCAATGCCCTATCTCTTCAAGCTTGTCGTACAAAGCGTCCGTGGCCAACATGAAGCGAGACTCGCTAGCACTAAGGTGAAGAGCAAGTCGACCGTCAGCTAGATTGCGCTCCATTTGGGCAGGCAGGCCATCATCGCTGTCGTACGATGACAACATCTCTGCGATCGACTTGTATAAGAGCCACTCGAGGCGTGGAACGTCGTTATCGTTGCCTGCGTCCGGGAGCACCTCCTCCAACGCTTCGAGGCCTCCAAGCTCGTCGATCTTACTATTGTAGAGATCCTTGACGATCTCGGAGAAGAATGTGGCCACAGTCTTGCGTATCTTGGCGTCTGTGTCGAACACCATTCTACCCACAGCATCGACATCATCTGGCTCAAGCAGACCTCGCTCGCGCAGAACGTCCAGAAGCTCGATACCAGAGATGCGTATGTTTGGTTCGGCATCGGTGGTGGCAATCTCGACGAGCCGTGGCCTGAACTTCTCTGTGAAGTTCTTCATGCCATTCGAATCTGTATCCTTGTACAGACGATGCAGCTGCTTCAAGACTTCGGCACGTGTTGTAGCTGCTGTATCGCTCAGAACCCAACCAAGATAGCGGAGGTGAGTGCCATCGTAGTAGACTTCCGGAACAGTCATGATCCATTCGCCCAAGGCAGCTACACACTCGCGTCGAATAGCAGGGTCAATGTCGCGGTAGCGATGGACAAATACCACGTCAAACCAATCCTTCAGCATCGGATCAATAGTCTCCCAAAGTCGCGTCCTCTCTTTGCCATTTTGCTCCATCTGCTTGATCCGACCCTGATTCGGTCGAGCCTTCTTGCGTTCTTTATCGGCTTGCTGCTGATCCTTTGCAGCTTCTGCGAGATTTTCCTGGCCGACCTCGCACAGAGCTGTCACGATAGTCATGGCAATGACGGTCGCCGTGTGCCTGAAAGACCTGTTGGGCGCCGACGACATGGTCGAAACCCACATCTGTACGTTCTCAACCAGAATAGGATTGTCGTATAGCGTGCCTTTCACGGCCATGGACTTGATCAGCGAGTCGAAGAAACTTACTAGTCCTTGCTTAAATGTCGTAGCTGCTTTGCCTTTGACGATCAGAGGGTAATCAGTTGGGTTTGTAGCTTGATACTCGTCGCGTAGGTCATTGAGCTTGTTCGTGATGCTGTCCGGGTCCTCGATATCGTGCTCGGTCACCTCACCTTCGCAGCCTGTGCACCTAACGATGAATGTCACGATCTCGGCGAGAGCCGGTGTTTCCTCCTGGTCGAAGCGTCGAAGCCATTGGCCTGCGACATCTGCCATGGACTGGCTTCCGGCAAAGACTTCGGCGTACAAGCCTCCTGCAGAGTCCGCATCTTCCAGTGCAAAAGCCTTGGCTTTTCGCGGCGCCTTTCTCCTTGCTGGACGCGTGGGTAGAGATACGCCGTTGGTTTTTGCCTGCTTCTGGGTAGACTTTTTAAGTGCGGTTCGCTTCGCCTTCTTGACCAGTCTGTTCTTTTCACGCATTTCCTCCTCGTCCGACTCCTGTTCATCATCGTCTCCTTCTGCATTTTCGTCGGATCCATAGTCCTCAGGCATGCCACGTTCTTCGTCATCATTGTCACTGTCGTCGCGTTTGCGCTTTGCACTGCTGCTGAACGCGTTGGTAGCAAAATGATCAGGTTGCCGGCGCACGCGTCCCGAAGCTCGCTTGTTTATCGCAGACGCGTCCATGACTTGAAGAGGCGTAGATGTGCCTTCGAGCAATCGTCCAGGCATCTGGTGTGGCGGGAAAAGTTCCTGGGATCGTTTCGCGTTGTGGCGCAACGTGGCGAGATCGCAGTATCTTGTTCGGTCAAGTCGACAATCAGAACTTCGACATCAGTCAGTGACAGGGAGCGAAGTTGTTCGCCGTATGCCATGACCGATCCAAAGTTGTTCGAAGTCACGCGCGGCGCGATCTGACGCGACGAATGTGCTAAGCTCGACTAGGCAGTAGCGTAAACTTTTAGGCGGATAAGCACTTCACTTCACTTTGCCCTCTCCACGCCAGATCAAGAACACTTCGCCTCATATAGAGCAGCCGTAAGCAAGATAGGAAGACCATGATATCACGATAACATCTATGGTCCGGACAGCAATGTCCAATCCCTTCCTCACATCCAACGCGAAACCTGGCTATGGAACTATCCATCTAGCATTGTTGCCACCTTCGACCCCAAGACTCAAGACTGCGAGCTATCAGTACCCGCTCAAGCTTGTCTCGCCAGCGCCTACAAGGACTGAGGATGAAGTCAAGCGTTTAGTCTATACCATCTACGTTCTGACCTACGGCGGCGGCCTGGTAGCTGGCGATGGCATCGACCTCAGTGTCACGCTGGAACAGAACACTAGGCTCATCCTGCTCACACAAGGCAGCACGAAACTTTTCAAGTCTCCGAGCAGAGATGTGCTGAGCAAGCAGCGGATGCATGTGTCTTTGGCTCCAGGCTCAGCGTTGTGCTATCTGCCGGATCCCGTACAACCTTTCGAACATAGCTGTTTCGCGCAAAGTCAAATCTACGATATCGCTGTCTCTGATACTGGTGCAGATAGCATTGGCAGTCTATGTGTCCTCGACTGGGTCAGTAACGGCCGACCAGCAAACGGAGAGAATTGGTCTTTCCATCGCTATGGCACTCGCAACGAAATCCATTTGTCTCTTCCAAATGGCAAGCGCAAGCTACTGCTGCGCGATAATATGGTGCTCGACGATCAGCAACTGGAAGGTACTATTGCGAGCCGTATGAGCGGGATGGCAGTGTTCGGTACGCTTGTTTTATATGGCCCCCTCTGCCAAGCGCTGGGATATTTCTTCATGGACGAATTCAAGGCCTTGCCAAGGATAGGCGGACGGAAGTGGGACAGTGGAAGTGAAAGCGGAGACGAAGAAGTCGATGCTGGCATCGTGAAACGCATGGCGAGGCACAAGCAAGAAATCCAAGATGGAGTGCTCTGGTCTGCGGCATCAGTACGGGGCTGTATCGTCGTCAAATTTGGCGCTCCTACTCTTGAGGGGGGAAGAAGGTGGCTGAGAGATATCTTGATGCAGGAAGGCAGTGTGAACCGGCACTTTGGTGAAAGAGCAATGCTCTGTCTCAGATGACGATGCTTCCGCGGCCTATGACACGGCTGCATCCGGGTACACGATCAGAATCGTGCAGATCTGAAGGGTGTACTCAGCGACCTCTGTGTACGCATTGTATAGACCGGCTGCAATTTCACGCCGACCTCGACCTGGCTGCTAGGATTCTTCGACATTAACAGCGAAGAGGAAGAGATGAGCTTTTGTTACAGGTTTCTACAACCAGATGACTGACATCGGCAATCAGACACATATTGAACCGCTCCAATATAGGCTCAGAACCCATATCTTGCCTGCGAGGGCACTTCGCTTCACCATGATGCTGCGGGACGCAAATTGTTCACAATCCTATCCTCCTAGTGACTATTCAGATCTTGTCCGGATCTATATTGGCAGAGTCACTTTTGCAAGCAGCACGCTTATCACATTTCTGATCGCAACGTCCATCACGGCGGCTCTGATTATCGTCGCTGGCGTCTTCGGACGAGTCACAGCAATGTGGATGGCCAGCCAGATTATGGACAACAAGTTCGTAATCCATCATGTGGTAAGAAATGCGTCGCAAGCAGAAGAGTACATAGAAGCGATTTAGAGGAAGTCTGATGTAGTGGCCGTGATCGAAGGTCATATCATTACAGATAGGAGTTGCGTGATCACGTGTAACAAGCATCCGAGGTTAGGCAAGCTGCTTGGAGTCTTCGCCAAGCCTTACGACCTCACCAGGTTGGCGGTACCAAATCATGCGACTGTGTGAAGCGGAGGGCACGGCAATGCGTACGTGCCATAAAGTGGTGATACGGATCGGAGCACTCTAAATTGTTGAGAGAAACAAAATATTGTTTGATACGTCATGCCAATGGTGTCCAGACCGTGTTTGATCTCCTCGGCGTTGAACCTTCTTCTCCATCCCCGCCGAAGACACAGCACAAATATCTACCACTGGCCGTGGATCAACGTCAGCACGTTCACCATCGCGCTACTCCACGTGCATTCCCCGTCGATCACCGGCAATGGTTTTGCTAGACTATATGCCATGGCATCTGCTGCTCGTGCAGTGGTGAGATGCGTTCTTGGCAGTTGTCCCTCCTCCGTGTAGGTTCAAGGAGAGGCCGTGAAAATGCAATGACGTTCGTGCAAGTCGAACAGGTTACGGTTAGTCGAAGGGTATGTAGCAGAGCTGATCTGCTCACGAGCAAGAACCAGAGTGTTGCATCGATCTTCCACTGTAGGTCGTCTTCGCCCACCGTACAATGGACGTCCTGCGATCGACAGAGGCTAATGTCTTGCTACCACGTGCTTCAGCTGTAAGTCTTGCCGTGGCTCTTCGATCTCGCGACCAGATACTGACATCCGTGCAGCAACAGCAGGGCAGTCACCGTCAGCAAGGCTCCTCGATCTCATCACTACTCTGGACACTTGTGCCCGTGATCTTAGGCGCTACCGTCATCTTCCTCGCTTTTTTGGTTCTACGGAAGAAGTTGATTCGTGTCTATGCTCCTCGAACATACCTCCAAGTGCTGAACAAGCATGAGCAGACACCAAGGCAATCTAGTGGATGGTTCGGTTTTGCGGCAGAGTACAGGCGTCTTAATGATGACTATGTTCTCGGCCACTCGTCCTTGGACAACTACTTGTTCCTCCGACTTTTCAAGATCCTCGTAACAATCAGCTTCGTTGGTTGTCTCATTACCTGGCCGATACTGTTTCCAGGTATGCCCTTCTAGGAATCTTGGGCACTGGATGAATACTGATATTCTACAGTCAATGCTACTGGTGGAGGCGGTGAAAGTGGCCTCGACATCCTCTCTTTCAGTAACGTCAACAATGCAAATCGCTATTACGCGCACTGTTTCGCGGCCTGGATCTTCTTGGCCTTTGTGATGTTCATGATAAGCCGCGAGTCCCTGTTCTACGCATATCTGCGCCAGGCATACCTCATGTCACCGTACTCCACCAGCCTGATGTCTTCGAAGACAGTTCTCTTCACGGATGTACCAGAGGAGTACCGCGATGAGCATCGCCTTCGCCAAGGCTTTCAGGACGTTCGACACATCTGGTTGGCCCATGACCCTTCAAGTCTTGAAGACATGGTCGAGGATCGTGATGACGCGGCGGACAAATTGGAGACGGGTGAACTCAAACTTATCAAGGGATATATTAAGCAGCGCAGCAAGAAGGGTGACAACGCAGACTGGGTAGAAGAAGGCCGCCAGAATAGTCATGCTGCTGGGATACACATTGAGCAAAAGGAGCGTCCGACTCATCGCACGAAGCCTATCATCGGCAAGAAGGTGGACACCATTAATTGGGCCCGTGGAGAGCTTAAACACCTGATCCCAAAGGTCGCGCAAGAACAAGCCGTACAGCGTGGCGGCAAGGCCGAGAAAATCAGCGCCGTATTCATCGAGTTCACCACTGTTCGTGCTGCTCAGTCCGCCTTCCAACAGATTGCCCATCAGACTCCTTACAGGCTCACGGCGAAAGATGTCGGTATGAAGCCAGACATGGTACTATGGAAGAACATTGGCAAACCGTGGTGGCTCGTCAAACTCCTCGCCGGAGGTTTCTCTGCCGTCATCGTCCTAGCATGTCTGTTCTGGACGATCCCCGTCGCCTTTATTGGCGTCCTCACAAACGTCGACTACTTGACCAACAAGCTACCATGGCTCAGCTTCATCGACAGTATTCCGCAGACGGTCCTAGGCCTCATCACTGGACTCCTTCCGGTACTCCTTCTCGCCATTCTGATGAAGCTGGTACCAATCTTCTGCCAACTTTTCGCGAAGCAATTTGAGCCCACGCTTGGCGCCGTTCAGCTGCGCACTCAGAGCTGGTACTTTGGTTTTGAAGTGATCCAGGTCTTTTTGATTACTACCTTCTCCAGTGGTGCAGCATCAGTGGCCACGCAGATTGTGCAACAGCCAACACAAGCACCTTTGCTGCTTGCGAAGAATCTCCCAAAGGCGAGCAACTTCTATATTTCTTACTTCATCCTCTTTGGTCTGATGACTGCCGCCATGCAACTGCTCAATATCGTGCCGCTGCTCTTCGCTCTGGTCCTCGGTAAGATCCTCGACAAGACGCCAAGGAAGATGTACAACAGATACGTCTCGCTATCAGGCATTGGATGGGGTACCTTCTATCCCAAGTACACCAATCTTGGGGTTATCGGTGAGTCGGACATCGATATGCTAAGATATGAGTGATTGCTGACGATTGTTAGCTCTATCGTACTCCTGCATCGCGCCTCTAGTTCTTGGCTTCGCTACAGTAGGCTTCGGTATCCTTTACCTCGCCTTCCGCTACAATGTGCTCTTCACCCTTGGCACACAAGTGGACACCAAAGGTCGTGCTTATGCGAAAGCACTGCAGCAGTTGACGGTTGGTATCTACCTGTCCGAGGTCTGTATGATCGGACTCTTCGCGATCGGTACGTCTGGTAACACCGCTGGAGTGGGTCCTTTGATCCTCATGATCATCTTCACAATCGGTACTGTCATTTGGCACTTCCAGCTCAGGTCAGCGATGAGCAAGCATACGATTGCTCTGCCAAATGACCTTCTGGCTGAGGAATACGACTCACCAAGCCACCGTGAACCAGACCCGGCGAGGGGACTTTCAGATCGAGAGTCAGACGGTGTCGCAAAGAAGGAACAATCTAGCCCCTATGACTCCCCTTACCAGACAGCGAGCTCCGAAGAGCCACCAGAGCCGCCAAAGGGGATCGTGGGCAAGATCAAGGCGTTCCTGTTCCCATCAAAGTTCGCTTCTGCGGCCGTCATCTCCAAACACATTTTGTCGCCACACCTCTCGCAAACAGTCCGACCCTACTCTGATCAGGAGCGCGACGAAGCATATATGCATCCTGCCGTCCTTGCCGAGACGCCTGCAATCTGGCTTGCACGCGACAAATTTGGTCTCTCGCAGCAAGAAGTCGCGGCTACTCGAGAAGCACTTGGCCGGGATGTCATTGTCACGGATGAGGGCGTCTCTTTCGACGACAAGGGTAAATTGCATTGGGACGAACAGGACGTCCGAAAGGCGCCATTGTGGGATGGCAAGGTCGACTACTAGTCGTCAGAGGATGATTGATCGAAGGTTTCATTGCATTTGTATCTGTACGGTCTTATTTCGAGCATTAGCGAGGTGTTGTGCGCAGCGCAGATGCAGTATGGACTTTGGCATTATCTAGTGCACTTATAATTCAAGTTCGTTGGTTGCAATACATATCAATGCCGCTAGACCCACTTTTTCCGTTCACAGTCGCTCCATGCCAAGCCCGAGTCTCATGTCGTCTTTCTAGTCCAAGCACAGCACTATTAGTCCGTGATGAACGTACAAACGATGCTTCAACGATGACCGCCTTCACGCGATGCTGGAGTTCATGGACTATGTCCAAGCCGCCTTCCATGCCCAAGGAGGGTGGAATCGCGACAATAGCTATTCCTCCTTGACCACCACCGCGCACAATCTACTCGACTTCCAGATCCCACATGGCCTGCGCATGCATATTTCTTCTCTAAGCTCGCCAAACTTCGGAACAAGCTATACAGTGGGCAGTAAAGGCGTGGTAGATGGGAGTCTGAGCTTCCTGTACACCAGCCTGGGGCTCAGCCTCCCTGCAAGAAGTCGGACAGCACATTTGGAGGGTTTGGTGCAAGGATACAGGCATTTGGCAGCTCTACGGCCGCCTTCGCAGACGAACTGGACTGAGGTATTACGAGGTGGCAAGACGATACGGCAGAAGGACTCGTTGCTGTATGGGAGACTGTACCTTCCGACCAGCACGTTGGAGGCGCTGTACCTTCGACGCATCTCGCCCAACCGGCTGCTACGACTGAATGGTGTCTCGGACGGCAGCCTGCCTAGTGGCGGATCTCTTCTCGCCTTACTCCAGAACGACTTCGGCAAGTACAGCACGGAGTACTTGTACTCCACAGACTCCTCCTTAATAGGCATTAGAGGTCTGTACAATTTTGGCTACGATCCGCGCCACCCTGACACACTATCCGGTAGACCACCAGCTCACCCATGGGACCATCAAGGAGGACGTCTCAGCGCCGGGGCTGAGGTGTATTTCAGTCCCATCAACAAAAGTGGTGGCGTAAGCACTGGCCTCCGTTTCACCACCCTACCCATCCACACCGGCTTCCCGTACACCATGACTCTGACTATCAATCCTTTGATGGGTAATTTGAGTTCCACATACGCTGTCAAAGCAGGCCGAAATCTGGCTTTCTGTTCCCGCTTCGACTTCAATGTCTACAGCTATGAGAGCGATGTCATGGTTGGAGTGGAGCTGTGGCAACGCCAGCAGCATGCGCCCGAGACCGCATGGGCGAGGAGATTACTTCGGCCAGATTGGCCTCAAGTGGAGGAGGAAGTAAATGGAGTGCTTAAGGCGAGGGTGGACAATCATGGCAAGGTCGGACTACTATGGGAGTGTAAGCTCAAGGAGCTGCTGGTCAGTCTTGGAGCTGGTGTCGATCTCAAGAAGCGAGAACGTATGTTAGGGAGTGTGGGTCTTGAGGTGAGCTATTCTAGCTGAGGAGTGTAAGATACAATGATACCCGTACAGTGTATGAATAGACGAGAAAAGCTCCACTTGTTGTCAGCTACCTCACTCTCGCTCATCTTCCATCAACGCCATAGTCTGCTCATGACTGACAGCAATCCACCACTTTCCACCAAGCCGACGACTCCCGACGGGTACCTGCACCTAAGCACGCATGAACCACACAACCTGTTCGCAGCGAACGCATGCATGTGTCAACGCGAACAGAGTGTTCGCAGCAAGACTTACATAACCCATGTCTCTCATACAGTCTGCAGTTCATGCAAGGCATCCCGCCGTCAATCTACGGCACCGTATGCCTGTCTGCCAATGGTTATCGAGCTTGATCTTTGATGAAGTCGAGCTATCGGCGAAGCACGCATATCACCTTACACCGTCCTATCACATCACCTATCGCGGGTCGGTCGTACATGAGATTCACATGGTTCTGGTGTGAGGAATGGAGTCATGTGAGAGGCATGTCTTAGTGTTCGGCAGCTACATGGTGCAGACAAAGGAATGGCGGTCAAAGTGTGCGTGCGCGAACGATGGTTTGCAGGCGTTCATCCTGCACTTCTTCGCATGGGCAGATGCGAACTACTTTTGTGCTACCATACAAGGTGCCTCTTCGTCCTGCACATTCTTGCTACACCACCCAAGATTTCCACCGAGCGCAGTGGGAGACGACTGAGAGCACCAATCCTTTCGCACAATGGCATGCAAAGTAGCGCCGCCGTTCCGAGATTGTGGCCTGGACGAGAGCTTCTCCACAGGAAACCAAATAGACCATGGCCTCGAGGAGCTGATGCAGTTCAACAACAGCAGTTTCGTCGACGGCAGCTCCATCAACCCACAGGTCTTGAGTAATCCACCATCACCAGCAGCTAGCTCGCATGATCAGAGACCCATGGATATGTACGCCACTGCTTTCGCCAGCCCAACGTCGCCGTACTTCCAATCCATCGAGCAGTCCGACACTGGTGCATTTACGCAAGCTTCCAGTCTGCGCCACGAATTCCGTCGCTCTGTCTCCGAGCCACCGGGTGGACGCCCAGTACCTGGACACCCACATGGCCAAGGCCAGCCTCAGATGGTCTTCCACCGCGACCAGCATTGGCTAGGTCACCAGACACACAATCCGCATCGACTGAAGAGCTTGCCGAAAGGAAAGCAAAACTATCGAGCTCAGCCATATGGTGTCCATCCCAAAGCTCGTGGTGCACCAGTGCATCAACAGCATCAATACCAACTGCGAAGGACGCAGACGCAGCCTTTCCCAACTCACCTAGTGGCACCGACCAGTATGCCGATGCCCATGATGACACCGCCACAGCAAGCCATGCATGTTAGCCATCCCTACCCAGCTACGCTGAACCACGGCTTCGCATCGCATGGCCACGGTCCACAACCAGGCATCTCCTCTCCAATGCCGTCAGTGCCAGAGCAGCCATCAATCCACTTGACCTCACGCGTCTGCACGCCTACACCAGAAGCAGTCCTCACTCCAGCATATCAAGCACTCATTGATCCAGCTCTGACAGCGCCCACGACGCCGCTACCAACACCAGCTGCCAGTGTTGATACTATATCAAAAGTTACGACACTGCAGATGACGCCCGATGAGCTGAAGGCCATCATCACCGAGGCTGTGCAAAAGGCGTTCGCGACACTTGGTGGTGGCGAATGCATTCAGCCGACTCCAGAGGACCATGGGACAGCTGGAGCCAAGAGCGCATCGCAGGCCGTGCGACAGTCGGTCGAGACAGCAGAGACAGAGTCCAGCACTGGAGACGAGCAGCCAGCAACTTCCGAGACTGGCGAGGGACCAACAGGTGGCGATCTCACTGAAGATAACACCGTACATGTCTCAACCGGGTGCGCTCTCGACGATTTTGCTTGGGCCCAGCCGACAGGCGAGGACGTTGACGACCTCTTCGGCGAACCACTTCATTCATTGCAGCAGTGAGGCTTTCAATACCAAAAATAGCGTCGTAGACTATGCTGATATTTGATCCGCAGAGGTGGAAGATGCGCCGCGCAAGAACCAAACGCCCTTCTCGACGATCTCTTCCCAGGTCTGGCAGCATGATTTAAACCGGCTGGGTGTATTTTTGTGTTTTGTTGGCGTTGATGGGTGTACCATAGCCACCAATATAGCAGCATATCTCGTTTCCCAGTATTGCTCGTCTCACCCATCATCCTCATCCTCCTTCTTCTTTCCCCCGTTCCACACCTCCCAGATCTGATCAGTGATCATCTCGCCAAAGCCTTTGCCTACGTCCAGATCATCCTGTATCTCCTTTTCCCTCTGAGCCTTCCACGCCTCCCGCTGACTCTGTGATGCAACCTGCTCCGTCACCGAAACAGCTTCTGAACGTAGCCTCTGCATCTCCTGCCTAGCACGCTGAAGCTCCTTATTTAAACTTTCTTGCTCGATTGGAGGTGCTGCTGCTGCTGCTGCTGCTGCTGCTGCTTCAGTCTGCATAAGAGAAGCACGTGTGCCATTGACATGCTGCCATATCGACCGTCCAGTCTGTTCACGCGTTAGGTAGTTGGCGGAATAGCCGGTCGTACCTATCAATCCCCATGTGAAGAAGTCGAGCTTTCGTGGTGGCAACAAGGCGAGGAGTGGACAGGCTACTAATGCTCCGATGGCTACATTGTGAATTGTTCGTGCATATCTGTCGGTCTCGGAAGTTGTTGGCTGTCGTTGAGGTGCTTGTGGATGGGACATGTTTGGCCAGGGTATCTTACTCAATGCTAGGACGACCTTCTATAAGGTGTGACCTTGTGTTTTGTCACTATGAATTATATCGTCTGCATCACGCCGAGGATGATGGGCATAAATCGTCATCGGGAGTGCCCACGTCTTGTTCCGGTCAAGCAACACCACTCACCTTGGCAGAAGAGACACCTTGAATTATCCTTCTGCGCCAGGCATCAATACTGTTGATGACTACGGGTATCGACCTCCCGCGGTCAGCCTATCCAGGTCTCATTTACGGGCAAGCCCAAGGGTACGATAAAACCTCGTAATCGCTTCTGCACAGAGCTCCGCAACTCGCGCTATCGCTGAAGAGTCCTTCGAGCCAAGCTCAGATTGGAAGGAGAACAACCAAACCATGACGAAACCCTACTCACGACTATGCAGATCAGGCAACTGTTCCTGCCGAGGATGATACAGCCAACGAGAGATGGCGCGATGGAAGCGGGAAGTTTGCACCACCTCACTACTTCTCCACCATCCTGCAGCCAGACACTGCAAGGTACTATACGTGATAGTGTAACGTCATTGGAGGTATAAGAACGGTCATATCTCATTGTCTATCCTTCTCCGTAGTCACCCCATCAATACTCCACAGACAAGATGCATTTGCTTACCCTCGTCACAGCCTTTGCAGGCCTGGCCACGGCTCTGCCATCTGGCGAGCCTCACATCGTTCATGAGAAGCGTGACGGCCATCCTCATGCCTGGGACAAGCACGCTCGTGCTGAGCGCAGCACTATCCTCCCCGTCCGTATTGGCCTAAAGCAACAGAATCTCGAGCATGGCGATAGATTCTTGGCTGATATCTCGGATCCCGAGTCGGCTAACTTTGGCAAGCACTGGAGCGCCGAAAAGGTCGCCAACATGTTTATGCCTCACCCAGATACTTCAGACAAGGTCATGGAGTGGCTCACATCTTCTGGTATCGACACGAGCCGCCTCAGTCACTCTAAAGGTCGCAACTGGATTGAGTTCGACGCCACTGTCGACGAGGCCGAGAATTTACTCAAGACGCAATATCACACCTACAAGGACAAGGCTACAGGTGGCTACCGAATTGCTTGCGATGAGTACAGTCTTCCCTCAAGCGTCCGAAAGCATGTAGATTTCATCATGCCAACGATACAGCTCGATGGCTTACGACCTGTAGCGCAGGCCGCACCGTCATACCAAGCTCCTATCAACCTCACCGGTCTCACAGGCCTGAAGAACTGTAACCAGCTGATCACCATCGACTGCCTGCGAGCACTCTACAATCTTCCCGTAGCTACCACCAACCACACTGGTAACCAGCTGGGCATAGCAGAGTGGGCCGACTACCTCTACTTGCCTGATCTCAAGACATTCTTCCAAAACTTCACGAACCCCAAGATCCCATCTGACGTCACCCCTGAGTTCATCAGCATCGATGGCGGTAAGCCTTCGAACCTCACAGTAGCCAAGGCTCAGGAAGTCATTGAGAGTGCACTTGACTTCCAAGTCTCCTATTCGATCGTCTATCCGCAAGGCATTAGACTTTATCAGAACGGGGACAGTGTCAATGTTGACAGCACTGGCACATTCAATATCTTCCGTAAGCTGAACCCATCTCCGATATATCCGGGTGTCCACGCTAATACTCTTCACAGTCGATGCTCTCGACGCTAGCTACTGCACATACGAAGGCGGCGACCAGCCCTACATCGACCCGGCGTACCCGGACCCGAACGAAGGCGGCTACACTGGACCACTACAGTGCGGTGGCGCACCCATGAGCAACGTCTTTTCCGTCTCTTATGGTCAAATCGAGGGTGCCCTCCCACGCTTCTACCAAGAACGCCAATGTCGCGAGTGGATGAAGCTCGCTCTTCAAGGTGTCAGCGTGATTTTCGCCTCTGGCGATTCCGGCGTAGCCAACCGCTATAACTCAGGCTACAACAACACTTGCATGGATCCCACGGACTCATTCGTCGACCAATTCGGCACGCGTTTCTCACCCGGCTTCCCGAACAACTGTCCCTATATTACCAACGTCGGCGCGACGACTCTCCAGAATTCTTCAATCTATGGTGGCGAACAAGCAGTCGCCAGCCCGAACGGCGCCACATCCTACTACTCAGGAGGTGGCTTCTCCGACGTCTTCGAGCGTCCTTCGTGGCAGGACAAGGCGGTGAAGAATTACCTCAAAAAGTACTCACCCAACTACTCCGAGCACGTCTTCAACCATTCTGGTCGTGCTTATCCTGACGTTGCTGCTATCGGCCTGAAGGTCGCAACTGTCTACTTGAACCAGACTCTTGGTGTGGGCGGTACTTCTGCCTCTGCGCCTATTTTCGCATCAGTCATCACGTTGTTGAATGAGGAGCGTCTTGGTCAAGGCAAAGGTCCGATTGGTTTCTTGAACCCTATCATCTATGCTCATCCTGAGATGTTCAATGACATCACCAATGGCAGCAACCCGGGATGTGGTACAAATGGCTTCCCTGCTTCGCCTGGATGGGATCCTGTGACAGGCATGGGAACTCCTAACTATCCTAAGATGAAGGAGGTGTTCTGTAGCTTGCCGTAGAAGGGCTATAGCCAGTCTATGCGGGCAGCAGCGGGTGTGCATGACGATATTACGAGAGCATAGCAGACGAATACGGTTGCTCACACAAATGATACTTGACTATCAAGCAGCTGCCCGGCTTGACGTACGTGTTCTGTAGCAAACATGCTAGCCATCGTGGTGCCGCGGTTGATATTATGCGAAGGTCTTTCAAGTGACCGAACCCCACCTTCGTTACAACCGACATCTTACACACTGCCCGCATACCAAGGATAGAGTTCTAAATGCTCTGTTACTACTCAATGCAAATCGCGCTGCTAATCAGTCGGCCAGATTGTGCGTGATCATGTCGCGTATCTATCATCACCCAACGCAACGAGAAGTTGAGCTTCCGGCTGTTGACCTCTTGACATTACTATTCAGTATATCAATCAATGGATTGACTGTCCTTTGAGCCCAGCTAATACCTTATCAGACTCTGAACATAGCTTGGCACAAGACGATACTGTTCTGCATCAAGAAGCGGCCAATCCGTCCAACACTGTCAACAAGCGTCAACAACGAGATTTGGTCGTTCGGATCGCTTATGGTCTACGACACAACTACGGCATTGGAGCCGACGGACCAAACAAAGATGTCGTTACCGTGATCACCTATGGTCAGATCATCGTTCCAGCCGTCTTTCTTGGTGTCATCGCTGCTGGAGGTGTCTACTCAGCAGCCAGTCCGTCGTCGACCGTTGTGGAACTGGCCCGTCAGATCTCCATCGGCAACAGTAATCTGCTGATCTGTGGTGCTGAGCACAAAGATGTTTCCGTCGCTGCTGCGGAAGAGTGTAAGCTGCCTGCAAGCAGCGTGCTACTGCTTGAGAGCTCGCCAAGCTGGAGCTTGAAGTGTCTAGATAGAAGCATCGATTGCATTTCGTCTCAGCGGCTCGCATGGCAACAGATCACCGAACGTCAAGCTCTCAAAGACAGCTTGATCACGATCCTCTGGTCCTCTGGAACGACTGGTCTACCCAAAGGAGTAATGCTGTCTCATCAGAACCTGGTGGCAGAGACATACATCACCGCCCTTTCTGGTCGTCAGTGGGCTGCGAAGGAAATTGAAAAGGGCAACGAGCTTCCCGTAGTAGAGTATCGCACATTGGCTCATCTACCAATAAGTCACATCGCTGGTCTATTTGGTTACCTCATCGCACCTATGTACAACGGCGGCTGTGCAGTCTGGATGCGCAAGTACAGCTGGGGCGACTTGCTCCAATACCTCAAGCAATATCCCATCACAGCCTTTTATACTGTTCCTTCGATCTACCTACGGATATCAAAGTCAGCAGAGATCACGGACCACTTCAAGCATGTCGTTGGCGCATCTACGGGCGCAGCACCTATGGACGGCGAGCTGATGAAGTCTGCTAATTCGAAACTTGGCGATGGCAAACAAGCACTTATCGGTCAGACCTGGGGTTTGTCAGAGACTACTGGGGCTATTACAGCGATGCCGAAGGGTGAGACAGACGAGACGGGGAGCGTCAGCCCCATCTTGCCTTCAGTTGAGCTACGTATGGTGGATGAGGACTTTCGTGATGTTGAGCCTGATCAAGAGGGCGAGCTGATAGTCAGGAGCCCGTTGGTGACGAATGGGTACTACAACAATCCTCAGGCAACCAAGGATGCGTTTCATGATGGTTGGTTCTGTACTGGTGATATTGGTCGGCTGCGGAACGGGAAGTTTTACATTGTTGATCGCAAGAAGGTGAGAAGTCTTCTGATTGGCAGAATGACTAGGCTGACCACAGGACAGGAGCTGTTGAAGTACAAAGGGCTGCAGGTGGCGCCAGGTGAGTTTGCCAGGCCGTCCATAGAGCCATATGCTGACAACCTTTGAAGCTGAAATCGAGAATGTGCTCTTCACGCACCCAAACATCAAAGAAGCAGCCGTCGTTGGCATACCGGCGCCGAACGATCCAGGTACAGATTGGCCAAGAGCATACGTTGTACCTCAGGATCGAGATGTATTGTCCGAAGATGATGTGAAGAAATGGGTGCTTGATCGGCTAGCGCCATACAAGCAACTTCGAGGTGGCGTCGCATTCGTCGACGAGATACCCAAGAATGCTATCGGGAAGTTTTTGCGACGTGAGCTAAGAGAGAGGTCGAAGAAAGAGGTTTTGAGCAGTAAAGCAAAGCTATAGATTATTCTATCAGCTCGATACCGCCGGAGGCTTCGCCACGTTTTATCCTGCTGGCTTTGGCAGAATAGGCTGTGATACCATCTCCCACAATTCATGTTGCTCGCACATCCATTTTGTGTTCGGCGTACTGTACGGCTGTGCCTTGCTGAATACTATCTCGTCTAGAGCCAACTCGATCGTTTGTCCGGTCATGTTCTTGTCCGTCATGATCGCATCGATGGCTTTTATCGCTGTATTCATCGGCGTGAGACCATGTCTGTCCCATAATGAACGGACCTCTGCAGGCATAAGATTGGTCTCGATCAAATTCGGGTTCAGAGCATTGATGGTGATGCCCATGCCCAAGTATACTGGTGCTGTTGCTCGGACCAAACCCACCAAAGCATGCTTGGCGGCGGTGTAGAGTGGTAGACAATGATTCGGATATATCCCGAGACAGCTGGAAGTGATGACTATCCTGCCACCAGGTGAGCTGTTCTTGGCAAAAAAGTGTCGAGCAAGATGGACGCCTTGCAGTACGGCGTTGAGATTGACATCCATAATTCGGAGTTCAAGAGGTCTGGGTAGTCCTGTCGTTGCATCGATGTCTTGCATGTCCTTGTACATACTGTCAGAGTCGCCTATGCCAGCGTTCGCGTGGAAGAAGTTAAGACGGTTTCCGCCCCATTCGAAGGCCTGCTGAAATGCTTTGGCTTGTTGGTCGTAGTCCGAGACATCAGCTTGGAGGAACAAGCAGTTGTCGGCGCCAGCATTTATGCGGCCAGATTCGGTCTTGCCTCGCTCGGCGTGGACGTCCAGAATAGCCACCTTGTAGCCATAGAAGTTGATGAGATGTTCTGCGACTGCCAGACCGATGCCGCTGCCTCCTCCAGTTATCAATGCTACAGGTTTAGCCATGCTTGATTGTAAGCAGGCAGACTAGGTGTATGCCTGGCAGGCTACGAGCAGCACACCAGTAGGCACCTCTGACGGGCCTTGCTGCAACCATGTTGTTACACACATATGTCTGAAATCCCCATCTTCTAGGCGGGGCCTTGCGGGGCAGCCAGATAGACTTCAGCGGCTGGTTGGGAGAAGTGCCGGCAATCAGTTTGCAAATTGAGCATCCTCCTTAGCCCTTGAGGGAGTCGAAGACCGCAGCAATGGATGGGTAGATGCTGTGGTCGCTTCGCCTGGATGACAATGTCTCTGTGAGACGGCCAAGGTCGTGGTAGAGTGAACTGCGTGTGTCAGCTACTTGCGGTTCATCCATTCGAAGCAAACGAGCTTCCAGCGAAACTCTGGCCTCTGGCTAAACTTCGGATGCACCGCCATCTTGGAATATAAGATCTGATCTAGTCAATTGATGCTCAGACGCTAGCAAGTCACTTTTCGAAATTCAGATTTGAGCTCGAATGGGCCGAATTAGGCTCGCAAAAGCGTAGAATGGGCTAAAATGGGCTAAATTGGCAATGTAGCAAAGTGGTTACTGCGATTGACTCGAATCTGGCGTGCTTCGCACACCAACGATTGATATCAATTCCCTTCGGGGGCGTAGGTACGCGAGGAGAATGATCTTACATATCTGACGATCATGATGCTAACGCCGTCAAGGTTCGAATCCTGCCATTGTCGCCATACTGTTGGGCAGAAGGACATGCGTCCTTCTGTCCACAGACTCTTTTGGTGTTTCCTTTGGAGTCGATCAACTTCGGACCGTCTTGTCTGTCTATAGAAGGAGGCTCTTTTGCTTTCCTATCTCCGTTTGTGCCTTGTCCGGTGCCTAGAGTCCAGAAGCTGACAATCAAGAGCCGCTGATGTCGATGTGTAGCCTAGGAGCCGAAAGGATTTGCAGGCGGAGAATGACTGTCCTTGATGATTAGGAACCCAGTGAATACCAGCTTGCTGGCCCCATGTTCGTTACTCGTGTTCATTAATTCAATGCAGTGCGGCAATACGGCTGTGCAGTGATGGCATACCATAAAGCTTATCAGACCAGACGTGAAGTCAAATTTGGCTCGTCAGGCAGCAAAGCCGCCGAAGACCACAGCAAGAGCAACATGCAACACGTGATAACCCAACTCTACTCATGATCATAACAAAGGATTTCGACAAATGCTATCATGATGCTCAGAGAATACATCTCCGAAGACGGCATTGAGGTTGCATCAGGAGTGGTAATTGATCAAACGGTATGTACGCCAACATGCCCCCATGGAGCCCAACCGAGCACACGCACTACACCACTTCCGTATCATCCGGTAACGTCTCGATATGCCGACCTTCGACTCCCTTCTCCGCTCCCTCATCTCGATCATGCTGTTTACTGAGCGCCTGCTCAAAGCTAATTTCGACGGGATCTCCGAATAGCACACTGATGTCTTCAAGAGTCATGCCCTTAGTCTGTCAGGGGTTAGCATATCTTTTGCATCCTTCTAACGATGCAGGGGCTCACCTCAGGCAGGAAGTAATATACCAGCACGCCGTATATGGCCGTCAGACATATCAACAGAATCCAGAACCCGTAGCCGATGTTCTGAAAAGCTGTTGGCGCGGCCTCAAGCAAGATCACGGTTGCAATGAACTGTCCCATGATCGACCAGCTCATGCCGAAGCTGCGGATCACCATCGGGAAGCTGCACATCAATCAGCTTTAGGCATGTTTGGCAGTGCAGAGGACTCACATCTCAGATGGCACGAGATACATCGTCGCATCCAAACAACTACTATAGAAGCAGACATATGCAAAGATGAAGAAGACGCCAAAGCCAAGACCGATTCTGTTGGTTGAGCCTGTTTCCACGAATTGAGCGGTCATTGCCGCTTCGCCAGACAAGCACACTATAATGCCAATGCAACCCGTGAGCACAAAGCGTCGACGACCAAAGCGATCGATGAACAGGCCATTGAACAGATTGCCAGGCACTGTCAGTAGGTTGAAGATGCCGAGAAGTAGAAGTGGTGTTCCTCCTTTGATACCGAGGCCAGTGAAGAGCTGGGCGTTGTAATTGTTGATGACCTGTCAGGGATGTCAGCTTCAATACGATCCCGGCCTTCGACGATTCCTGCCACGTACCAAAGCACCAGTACACTGATTGCCGAACTGCACAAGAAAGCCAAGCCCAAGACGCTTGAGAAAGCTCTTCTGCCGGAATGCTAGTCGTGCTTGTGCGAGCGTGCCAACAGCATTATGGTCCCTTTCGAACTCGATTTGCGCCTGCATCTGGCGATATTCAGCATGAGCATAGCTATCCTCGGGATCACTCTTCGACGCATGGAGCTTCCGGGTGACAATCCAGGCCTCCTCAGCACGGCCTTGGCTAAGTAGCCACCGGGGAGAGTATGGCAGCCAAAACGAGCCTGCCAGGAGTATGCTGGTTGGTATGAGCTGGACTGCTAGCGGGAAGCCTAAAATACAAAGTTGTCAGCCTGCACAGCTGTGCTCGACGATCGGACGAACGTACGCCATTGAAATTGGCCATACGGCGCGAAATAGCACCCATACGTAATGAAACCCGTCAACGAGTACGAGAAGCCAATCAAGACTCCATGCAGTCCGACCATAAGTCCACGACTCTCAGCAGGACTGACTTCACTTTGATACAGCGGGACCAAAGTGACCAACACACCTACAAAGCAACAATCAGAACCAATTAACACATCGCTCTCAACCTCAAACCACAACTAGACTCACCAATCCCAAACCCCATAATAAACCTCGAAACAATAAACATGGGAACATCAACACTCCCCGTCATAACCGCCGCCCCGACGATCGAAATACAGCACCCCACCTGAATACTCCTCTTCCGCCCCAACTTCTCCGAAGACCACATGTTAAAGACACATCCAAAGGCTCCTCCAGCAGCATAGACGCCATTGATTGCGCCGAGAATGGCGTTGGTGTGGGGAGTGCCGGGGACGAGGTTCATGTAGGCGTACCAGGACGGTTGGCCGATGAGGGCGGCGGAGATGGATGAGGCGTCTGGTGAAGAATCTTAGTATGGAGTACCTTTTTGGGGAGTTTGAGGTTGGGTTGGTACTCACAGCCATAACACAAACTCCCCACCGCCACGAAAAGCGCCACGCCGAAATTGTAAAGGTTGCGTGGACGGGGTATCACGTATTTCGACTTCTGCTCGCCAGCCATGATCAACCCATTCAGATTCGTATCAAAAGTGCTCAGTGGTCGGTCGACGACAACAATGCCGTAAACTTCAAAAAGTATCTTTCTGCTTCCGTGACAGACAGATTTATCTGCACTCAAGCACAAGTACCTGAGCCTCGGAAACAACTTCCACCCTCACAAGCACGAATCCTTCTGATATCCCCGCAAATGTCACGCTCACGACCTCGGGACCAGGAAATGGATATGCCGTCAGATCTGCGCAACGATCCACAGCCTATTCTCATGTCAGTACTATCGTTGTGAATTATCACTCACCATGAAAGCTATGAGAAGAATGGATAGCTCGTGAATTGGGCCGAGTATGAGACTATGAGCATGCATGAACCCAGCTTAGCAGCCGAAAATCCTTCTTCGTGATATTCATTTCGTATACCGATCTACTTCGTTCCACCCTTCTTATCATCAAAAGCCTTCTGCCGCTGTCGATTGTTCCAGTTCAGCGTCCTCGAAATACTATCAACCCAGTCCTCGCTTTTCCTATCCAATGGCAGTACACTCGGGAACGGGAAACGACTAGCTGAAATAGTGACATAGTCGCCTGGTTTAAGCTCACACCTACACCAAGTATTAGTACCGAACAAAACGTCACTCATAAACCATAGTATGAGGTCTTGACATACCTCTCCTTCCCATCAAAACTCGCCCAACAGCTCGCCCGCGCATCGTAGGGAACGCCGAGTCGAAGAACGATAGTATCGGGTAGGATGATCGGTCGGAAGCTGAGTGTATGTGGCGCTATAGCCGTAACGAGTATGACAGGATTATCCGGATGACACAGACTCCCTCCCGCCGCAAGATTGTACGCCGTGCTACCTGTGGGTGTGGCGACACAAACACCATCCGCTTGCACAGTCGTGAAATGCTCTTCGTCTCCGAAAACTTCGATGGAACTCATCGTCGGATTGGGGCCGCGGTCGAGCACGATATCATTTAGTATATTGTGAGATCCTGCCGGAGCATGGGTAGTCACATCGTCGCTGTCCTCGCCTATAATCTCCTCCACCAAATCCCGCGCTTTCTTCGCTTCCCCATCCTCTTTACACTGACATCTCATAATCGTTGCCTCGAAGCGTAATCTCAACGAAACCGTCACCCCATCTCGAAAGGCTCGTTCGAGAATAGAAGGATATTTATCGAAATCGAACTTGGTCAGAAATCCCAGTGAGCCAAGAGCAAAGGACATAACCGGCGGGACGACTCGTTGAAAAAGCCAGGAGGAGTACAACACCGTCCCGTCTCCTCCGAGAGCAAGACATATCTCAAACGTATGAGGTTTCCTCCTGCAAAGCTCATTGGTCCAGTATTTCAGCCTATCCCTATAACTCTCATCCTGTTCGATGATCCCCTTGGCATCGAAAGTCTGATTCTCCTTCATCGTCTCCTCCACCCACACAGTGTACGTCTGCCCCTCGGCATTCTTTTGCCGTAGTAACCATTCCACCACATCCCTCGTATGGCCAATCAATTTCTGATCATGCGCCTTGGTGAGGAGGAAGACATTCCGGATCTTGAGTAATAACCGCACATGCCCCAGCTTCTTCGACAACTCTCGTATCCCAAACGCCATGTCGCTCAACTGTTTCTTCGTCAGCAGTCGGGACTGCATATGTCTCGTCTCCCCATTCTGATCGTGCGGTGTGGGTGTATCTTTATCCGCCGTTCGGCTCACTGCTTGTCCTTCATGACTAGGTGTCCATTGGCCATTCTTACTCTGTGTCTCAAGCAAGGAATGGACGAAACAGCTTGTTCGTTGTCGTTGTGAGGAAGGACGACTCGGTCGGTCTATGGATGGTCGGAGAGATGCTCGTCGTCTTTGGGAATCGTTTCTGTCGAAGACGACTTCCAGCTGTTCGTGCAGGCCATCTGAATCGCTTTCGCCGCTTACGAAGTCGTGGTCGCCGTTGTACTCGCCTGCTTCTCGGTTGTGGCTTTGGCCGTTGGCGGACTCGGGCTGCAGAGTATTCGAGGTCATGATGTACTGTTTCCCTGGACTATTGACACAATATCACTTCCCCAAGCCGTTCGAGTACTTGTAGAGCAGTTCGACAAACACGTGTAAGGATGACGTGCAACTGTACATGCGGGTACACTCGAAGCTTTCTGGGGTTAGAGTTCGATATCGATTTGCTAGCGGAGGATCTTCGACAAGGATTTGGAAAAGATGAACAACTCCAATCCTCATCAACCACGGATTTTACTTGGCTGTTGGAAGAACGACGACAGGAAACATATCGTGCCAACCCTTGGGCCATACTCTGGAGCTATCCGTCCACCGTACTGAATACTGGGGACTGCACTTCCCAGGATTATGCCACGCTGACCAAGCCGGGACACACTTCACTGCATCGAACCGAGAACACAAATACGAAGCCGAGACCAGGCAGAGGAGAGCAAAACCACGAAATCTGGTAGAAGGCTCCCACTTCTAATTTAACCTACCGGGAGCTAACAGCACAATCGCCGTGATCATGGCAAGATACATCATAACCCCTTGGCGCCACCAATCCGACCTCCTCGAAGTCCGCTCCCAGCTCTACTCCCCCAACACAACCACAGAAACCTCCCACCACGAAAACCAACGTCGCGCAGTAGACAGAATCATGACCTGGAAACTCCGGGGCAACCTCCCTCACGCCGTGGATTCCACCGCGCTTCTGATAGATGCCCAACTCCATCACCACCACCACCACCACCACCAAAATCCCTCCCAAGCGCCCAACCCTGGAATCCAACAACAACAACAACCCGCAAATTCCCAATTCTCCCTCCGAGCAGTCTACACCGCAGCCTTCACCCGCTTCATAACCGGCTTCTGCGACATCGGGCGCGCGCGCGAAAACCGCCTAGATCCAAGCAGTATGCTCGAAATCGCGCGTCAAATCTCCCTGCCAGAGGAGTTCGTGGCGTTGCGGCACGAAGCTACGCATGAGGAGATGCCTTCGCTCAGGAGACTGGTGAGGGCGACGGAGGAAGGGTTGGGGTGGTTGTGGAGGGTTTATTGGAGTCGGTTGGATGATGTTGATGTTGGTTTGGGGGCTGGGGAAGGGAGGGGAGATGATGTAGAGGTGGTGAAGGATGAGGCGAGGAAGTTGTTCAAGGGGTTTAGGTCGTTGAGGCGGGAGGCGTTTCGGGGGAAGATGCATGCTTCTGCGAAGCATTTGGCGGACGTGCAGGCGGTTGCTAGTGAGTGCAGTCGACTTTGCGCGGGAGGGAAGATGGCGACGGATGCAGTGGCGGGTGTGCTTGTGGAGGACAAGTTCCTGCTTCCGTCGAACAGAGAGTATGTGTCTTTCGTGAAATGGCTCTCGTGAGTACCCGAGCTAACAACCTCTTCAGACTGGGCCAATCAATCCAAGGCGCATTCGTGATGTGGGATGGATTATTGAGCGGGATCTGCGAAGAAATGTTTGAGTTCTCTTCCGCGTTGGTCCAGGCTCTGCTCTCCAGCTTCGCCGACAACTTCAGTACCGGTGCCGAGCACGATGCTGATAAGGAAGCCATGTATCTGTGGTTGTTGCACCTGAGCACAGATCCTGCCACGGGAACCATCGTCGCAACAGCCAAGCAGAGTCTGCAATCAGAAGCGATCAAGTTCTGCTGCTTGCATCCTGGCTATTGGACGCAGAAGCTTGCTGAGAACCTGCTAGAGCGAAACGATGAGCTCAAGGATGTCTGGCAGGAGCTCTTCGTAGCGAGCATACTGAGGAACGATGCTGAAGTGGCGGACGCAGATGCTCAGATGGATGAGGAGAGCCTGTCAAGTGCGAACCCACTGCGCATCCCGGCACAGCAGCTGCCTGACAACATTGGCGGTAGTTTCGTCGGCTGGCAGCGTTCCACCCTCATTACCAAAACACCCATAGGCATAATAGCATAAAATTTCATCTCACCCAACATCTCCACCACCTCACCCCCCGCCAGCCTTAAAAGCCTCCTCCCGCCTCATAGCCACCTCGCCAAATCTCAGCAAAAAGATCGTCTTACCCGGCCACATCTCCTCCTCCTTATTTCCCTCTCCCTCGGCACCACCTGTCCCACCCGAAGCACTAGCCCAATGCGCCGTAACCCCCTCCATCCCAAACCCCGCCGCATCACACACCCCCTCCAGTATTCCCGCCACAAACGCCGCGCAATTAAGCTGCGACATCTCCTTCGGCACGGAGAGATAAGTATTAACCACGGGCTCATTATCGAAAATCATATACTCATTCTTATTACTAACCCCCTGCTCCAGCGCATCCGCCGCCCTCCCGAACAGCGCCCGCCATAGCGTCGTATGAACGAATTGCAACAAGTCGATAATCCTGGTCGGACGAACCGCGGCGCGTGCTTGGCGATATAACAACAGATCTAGGAGTTTGATGCCTATGGGGTATCCGGCGCGATTTAGGCGGGTCTCGATCTCGCTGACGGAGCCGGATTTGGAGTGGTGGTAGGTTATTAGGGTGTTGAAGAGGTAGGCGAAGGAGGGGAGGGAGGTCGGGGTGGTTTGGGTGCGGTTGAGGTTGCGGTCGTAGATGGTTTTGCGGGAGGAGGGGGAGTGGAGGCGGGAGTGGAAGGGTTTGGCTGGGAGGATGGCGGTGTAGGGGGGTTCTTTGGGTGGTACGTCTGGAGGTGGGCCTACCATACTGGGCATGTTGGTCGTGAGTGCTGCCACGGGTTGTGTGCTGCTGGGTGGCTTAAAGGCCTATCATTATGCACAGTTGTGTGTTCGCATGCAGAGTGGCATTGGGCAGGTATGCCGGCGGAGCTCGGGCCTTTGCCCGCGAGCGATGATGACAACCTATTCCTCAGCATCCGTAGGCAACCTCGACCTAAAACAATAGGGCGACTCTTGAAGTATCCTCTCCAGCGAGCGACACTTGAGTTGTCATGTCCCAAACCACGAAGCTCTGTTATCTGATAATGCCGGACGAGGTGCATTGTACTTTCGCGGCTGCAGCACGTGCCATGATCACGCGTGCGGCTACTGTATGGTTTTGGCTGGCGGGATTGTCTCCAAAGCTAAAAGCCGCCGAGACAGCAAATCGCGGTTGCCAATGCAAGACTTTCCCGGCACAGCATGCGAAGGAGAGAGCGTTGAAAAGCGAGAGGGCCGAGACGAACGGTACAGTACTGTACATACACATCATCATTATCATGAATTCATGATCTTCCAGGCCGCGCCAACACCCGGGCTCCATACTCGGTCGGACGTCACGAGCTGCGTTGCTATTTGTGGGTTTTTGCTTTGCTTGCGCCATGCCACGCAACCGCTTTCATCCTAGGCCGGGAACAGTGCGCTTTCACATGTCACGGAAAGCTTCTCCTCACACAAGACGGACCTCCCGAATGCAGCCCAGCGCCAGAATTGACTGACTGTGTTGTCTCGTGCGTGTGTGTGTCTGGTAGTAGCGTGAGGTAAGAACTGCGTCTCGTACTTGCTTCAATAATCTTCCCTTTCACCTCACCTCCGACTCGTTGTGGTAGTCGTTAACCTTGACTTCTTCACATGTGATTGTCTGGACGGTCGTCTGCGAGGTCGTCATCGGACGAGACGAGACGAGAACGAACCATTGCACTTCCCGGACCCGACCATTCGTCTTCACATGTGAACGGCTTCGCCAGATTGACCTACCAACGGCTTTCGCGCCATCGCTTCTTCCATTCTTCTCACTTCTCAACAACCACTCCCTCACCAACACGGCTCGACCATCGTAAACAACACCGTCTTATCAGTCTTTCTCAACATACCAAACACAACACCATGGGACCGGAACCACCTTCGTACACAGTCATGCAGCCGGCGATCAGACGACGGGACGAGCGTGCATACAGGGCTCAGCAGACGGTGGACAAAGTCATCCCGGAGTTGCTGCGATCGTGTCCTCGCGCCAGACATGGTATACAGAAATCAGACCTCGTCTCCGATCCAGATGTTCCAACACAACATGGCGACCGATCTATTGCATGTCTGCCGGAAGACGCACCAAGGATACGTCTGGTATGCACCGACACTCTCACAGCAGCCTCACGCATGTCTGAGCGACCTTTCATCGGACGACGTATAGCACCAGATGGCAGGACCATAAAACAGAAACCCAATGTCGCCATACTCAACTTCGCATCCCCTCTCAACCCCGGCGGAGGCTTCCTCGATGGTGCCAACAGCCAGGAGGAGTTCGTCTGTGCTCGGACTACCGTCTACCCCTCGCTATGGGACTCGTTCTACCGCCTCCCACAACTCGGCGCAATCTACACTCCAGATGTCATGGTCTTCCGAGACAGCACGCCCGAAGCCAACGAACTTCTCAAACGCGATCGCTACTTCATCGATGTCCTCTCCGCCGGTATGCTCCGCTTCCCAAACTCCAAGGACCGTATAGAGGAGACGAGGGAATACGGCTGCAGCTGTGGCGTCAGCTACTGCGACCGCGACCGCGACCTCGTCATCCGCAAAATGAAAGCCGTCATGCGCGTCGCCCAGCTCAAAGGCGCCGAACGCATCGTCCTCGGCGCATGGGGCTGCGGAGCCTATGGCAACCCAGTCAAAGAGGTAGCAAAGCTCTGGCGAAAAGTCATCGCAGGCAGCCAGCGTCAAAGGCGCCCTAACGCGGAAAGATGGCAAGGCATCAAAGAAATCGTCTTCGCCATCCCCGACCGCAAAATGGCCAACGAGTTCAACGACGCCTTCACTGATATCCTGCTCCCCGGCTGGCCAACCCAAACCTCCGACGTCGCAACACCAGGCTCCGACTCTCCTTGCAGAGAAGAAGAAGAAGACGCGGAAATCGCCTCCATCGTCCTCAGAATCCAAGAAACGGAACTTCAAGTCGAAGAATCCAGCGGCCCGCGAACCAAAAATCGACTCCGTGATATCCTCGCCGGGTTAAATCGCGACTTAGCCCAAGGTCTCGCGGCAAAGCGCATAAAAGAAGAAGAACTAACCCAACGCGCCGACGAAATGGTCGAAGAGGATTTCGTCAACATCACCGACATCATCGCCTCTGATATCGAAGACAATAGCCTCTACGACTTCGATGGCGGCGAGGAAGGGGGCTTCGGAGCTAATTCCTCCTCATCAGACGAAGCACCGATCCCGGAAACTTATTCTTTCCGTAACGCCCAACCGCCTGGATTGGATTTCGAAACGAGTCAAGATGAGGAGGAGATGGAACACGATCATTCCTCCTCCTTTCTTCGACCCCAGCCTAGCCCCAACTTTGATCCGAAGACGGGTTGGTTTACGGGGAGTATTGATCAGTTGCATGGGATGATGAAGGAGGGTGGTGGGGGTGGGGCGAGACAGGCATCTTCTTCGCATGCTTCGCCTGTTCTCAGGCCGTGGAGTAGTGGGAGGGAGATCGAGCCGTTTTCGCTCGAGGGGCATGGTTTGCCTGAGGCGCGGTTCGAGTTTGAAGCGAGGATGACGAGGCCGTGAATTTGCGTTTTTGTTGTTTTGGTCTGGTCGAAGCGTTTGCGTGGGTTTGTTGCTCGCGTGTAGGGTCGTTTTACTTGTATATCTCGCAAAAGATCTTGGAATTGGGACTGGGCTTTCGATCATTGGGCAAGCGTGGTGTTGGCGGGTCGTTCATGCTTTTGGATTTGGCATCGCATAGCGCAGTTGGTGGGTGAGCTGGAATTGTATAACTTTAGCGCAAAACGAGCAGGCATTGGTGCCGCTCAATGGAATGATCACACGTAATCAACACATAATGTCGGATGTTCGCGTATGCTATCTTGTCTTTCCACTCCCTCGCGAGTACTCCAATCATTGATTTCGCGGAGTTAAAAATCGGCGCTAAGGCAGCCACTCTCCAGAAGAATTTCAACCTAGGACATTTTCCTCTCTGTGGCCCAAATCGAAATCGAAATCGCAATCGCATAACCAACAAACCAGCACATAAGACCTCAATCTTCCGAATCACACACGACAGTACGAACCACCACTCGAACATTCCTCCCAACCAACCTCTCATCACAACAACAACAACAACAACAACCACCACCACCGAAAATGCCCAAATCCAAACGCCAGCGAATCGTCCACACCTCCGTCGTGCAAAAAAAGCCCTCGAAGGAAAAATCCGCCTCCCTCTACGCCGCCGTCCAAGCCGCCGCCGACGCATACCAACACATCTTCGTCTTCTCCGTGGAAAACATGCGCAATACCTACCTCAAAGACGTGCGGCAACAATTCGGCTCCGACGGCCGCCTGTTCTACGGGAAGACGAAAGTCATGGCTAAGGCGCTGGGGAAAGGGAAGGAGGACGAGTATAAGCCCGGTTTGAGCGGGTTGGGCAAGTTTTTGGAGGGGAATGTTGGGTTACTACTCACGAATCGTGGGGTGCAGGAGGTATTGGAGTTTTTCGCCGAGTACAGGGAGCTGGATTTTGCGCGGGCGGGGAGTAAAGCTACGAGGACGTTTACGGTTCCCGCTGGGGTGGTGTATCAACGTGCCGGGGAACTGGCGGTGGAGGATGATTCGCCGTTGCCGCATCCGATGGAGGTGATGGTGAGGAAGTGGGGGATGCCTACGAGGTTGGATAAGGGGAAGGTGGTGCTGGATCAGGAGTTTACGGTTGTGGAGGAGGGGAGGGAGATGAATAGTAGTCAGACTTCTTTGCTGAAGGTGTTTGGGGTGGCGATGGCGGAGTTTAGGGTGCAGATTTTGGCGTATTGGAGTGCGGGTAGTGAGGAGGTGACGGAGGTGGAGGCCGACGCTGGGGTAGAGGTGATCCAGGAGGGTTGATTGGGTGGGGATTGAGTGGTGTGATGTGGCATGATTGAGCATGTGGTTTCTGCTTCACTACATGTGTAGACCGATCTCATACTTAGCGAGGCGTTGGTAGGTCATGTATGGCACAAAGCTAGCTAGCTAGCCAGCCAGCCAGACAGTCCTTTTGTCGGCGGGCAAAAGGCTATGAAATGCACTTTGCAAAACCGCTACCAGTCCTGACGCCATGATTCATCCATCACTCTTCACCTCATGCTCGACCACGACCACCACAAGTTATCTGACGTCTATGACTCAGTAGAGATCTTCGCCTTGCCGTTGGTGACCTTGACGCCGAGCTGCTTGGCGCGGGAGACGATTTCTATCCGCTTGCGTGCTGAGACTGCGCTGGCGATTCTGCATCTGAAGTCAGTCCCACTTCCTTCTTGACAATGATCGCTCGCAACTTACTCCGCAGCGTATGTCTTGTTGTGCATGAGAAGGAGCTCGAGGTCGCGGGTATTCTTGACGAGGAAGGCCTTGTGGCCGGAAGGCATCATGTGGCGGGTCTTCTTGTTGCTGCCGTAGCCGATCTGGAGAAAGTGTTCTGATCAGCCATTATTCTCTTCCATGATCTCAACGTCCCATGCGTCCTGCCACTGCATGGCCACATCCAACTCGAGCTTCTTCCTGCACCCACGTGACCTCTGTTGTCCTCACTCTCTCCTCCTTCCTCTAACCTAGGATAGTACACACCTTGGGCATAGCGGCCTGACCACTGAAACGTCTCCTCACTCGGTTGTCGATACCCTTTGGCTTCCTCCATGACGGGTCCACACGCATGAACCGATCGCTCTGGTGACGGGTGAAGCGCGTGGTCTTCTTCTTCACGATCGGGATGTGCTTCTTTGCGGCGACCATCTTTGCGATATGTTAGTATATGTGGGTCGTAGTATCCAGTTTGTTATGGGGGAGAATTCGTCGTACCTTGGCGGTATTGTGTGTAGTGTCTGTGGGTTAGAAGATTGGCCTTGCCGTCGCTGAAGTCGACTCCGCTGTCTGTCTGCAAATGTTTTGACGTTCGTGATACTTTGGTGGGCTTGGCACGGCGATAAGTCCGTGCACGACATCTCGGCCACTCCCGCTATAATAGCGGGAGCAAAACAGGCACGAATGAAAATCAAAATGTGCATCGATCTGTCGCTGCAGGGCATATGGTGGCACTCGATTAAGCGAGTTACTGGTATGTGCACATAACCCTCAGACTATAATGGCGTGAGGAAGGCGAAGGTTGGCAGGATGATCATAGATAAAGGGCACAAATTCTATCCTCGATTCATTATCAAGATCAATCATAACCTACTCATCACAATCGTAATGCACCATCCAACAACCCAATACTCCAGCCCATGGCTATCTCCAACAGCACGTCCACTCTCTGACTTCGCCGTGGGTGCTGCCGCTCCGCCAACCCCACCAGCAGCCGTATCAGGCGGTCCAGGCAGTGCAGGGATCGGACAGAAATTCTTCGCCTCACACCAAGTCGGCAACGTATTCTGACTAGTGTTAAAGAACAGCTCAGCGTACGTCACCCTCATCACTGCATCCGTAATAGGCGGTCCAGCACTCCACCCCGGATCCCCATTCGACCAGTGAATCATGTGAATAGCTCCAGCCTGAGAAGGAAGATTATCGTAGAAAGAATTGAGCCAGTGCCCGTCAGCGAACATATCAATCCTGTCTCCGAGCCAGTCGAACTGATATTCGTGTACCGCGGCTGTAGGGTCAAAGGTAAGGTTACACCGCGTAAAGTCCGGCGTGTCTGCTGCGTTGTAACCTGCGGAGACGCTGGCAGGGGACTGCAAAACCAAGTTCACCGGATGCTTTCCCGGATTTGTAGGACTGTATTGTTGGGCCGAGAGGATCTCTATATCGATTTCTTGGCTGTCGTCGTGGTAGAAAAAGAAAGCGGCACATGTGCCGTTTGTAGCGGGTGTTTGCATGCCGATTCTGAAGCTGCCGTGGAGGATGTCGGTTCGTGAGGTGACTACTTCTGCCGTAGGGACCATGCCGTCCACAGTCTGGCTTCGAACATATAGATCCAAGCCAGCTGAGCCAGAGAGTAAGACATTGTCTGTTTGTGCTAGTTTGCCGTATGGCCCCCGTGCGGAAGAGGCGGAGACGTTGTAGGCTTGGGCTTGCCAGTCGAAGTCTGGGTCATCAGACCATGTGAGAGAGGGCTTCGGATTCGTAAAGTCTGTGAGGATCTTGTTTGTGAAGATTGTGCTGCCACCCCACTGGGTGGAGTTGAGGATATAGCCGCAAGGACAGTTGTCTGCAGCCGTTTTGTGAAGGTTCAGGGTACTGGCCAGCAGCAGCAAGAGACATTGTTTCAGCATGTTGTGCATGGAAGTCGAGTTCATTTTCTTGTAGTCACAGCAGGTGTAGTCGTGGGTGGCGCCTGCGGTCTCGTGCTTCTTCACGTGCCTGTCACGCTCCTAAACATGAAGTCGAGGTCCAGTTCCGATCGTGCCTTCCCGATCTGAAGCTCCCTTGCTTTGTGAATGATCCCGATAATCAGCAAGACGACAAGACTGTTCAGACACATCTCAACACGTTACCCGCCATCGCAGCCCGAATTACATGCGCACAGCATATGAGACACGTTACGTTCAACAACATGTATGCATCTGTCCGACCCGAGAGCGTTAGTGGGGCTGCAGTGTAACGTGTGGCTTTCATGTGGCTATTTTCGAAATAGCTACGAGGAGAAGAGTCGGTAAGCATGTTAACGACCCCTTGGCACACCTCGACCCTCACAGCCATAATATGCCATAATCTCGTCCTCCCCAGCGCCCACCAGCCCTCCATCCACACCATAGACTGCCGTAAACACCATGACACGTCCGCAAACATTGCGAGCCGTGCCACACCATCTCATCATTACATTCATTGTTCATTCCATCATCGGGCAATAGATCAAGCTAAATATGAGTAATAAATGCTTCGACGCCACAACGCTCACTCGTGCCTTCCGTCTTCCCTCCGTCTCGTGGTTCGGACCAAAATGCCACTGCGCACGCATGCGCGAAGTCGCACCAAGCTTCAGTTGTCCTGCTCGATCTCCTCGGCCTGCTTCTAAAAGGCTGGGTAGAAGCGTGCACGGGCGCTGGAGTCGGCACGATCGCGCTGCTGGGTGATTGCAAGGTTGTCAGTGCTTGACGTCCTAGACTATAGGAAGCCGGATTCTGACAGCAGTCTGCAAGCACATATTAGCATTCATCACACATTCCGGATGTAGTCCAGACTCACCTCGCAATCTTCTCATCCTCCCTCTCGCGCGGCTCCACTTGTAAACTGCGCTCATACATCTCGTGTACGTCCCCAGCACTCTGCATGTTTCTTAAGATATATTCCTGCAGCTCGTTGACAGTCTGCAGACTGTACGGCGCATTCTGATACTGCTGAATGTCACGGATAACCTCAGCAGTCTTGGCTCGCTTCGCAAAGTTGATAAGCTGTGTCTTCTTGATGATAGAAGGTATACCGTCTTCGATGAAGGTGAGGTCGGTAAGATAGATACCAAAGAACGGGATACATGGCGGCTGAGCTTTGTGAAGTGTCTCTCGGTACTCCAGAAAGTTTTTCGTGCTGCCCATGAGCTTGCGCATGGATTCGAGAACCTGTGTTGTGCGTGTGTTGACTTGCGACCATGTCCTGCCGAGGCGATGGATTGGTGCCGAGCCTAGCGCGGAGATGATCGAAGTCAAGCAGGAGAAGTTGTTCAGCGAACGACATTTGTCGGCGATGGTGACAAAGTGCTTGATCACTACTACCCGACGCTTGACATCCGCTTGGGTCAAGATCATCTGAGCCACCCAATTCGTAAGTTGGTTGGAGTGCAGAATGAGCGCCTTCACATTCTCGGCCGGATCGAGATCGCCAGGGTTGATCTTCCTCTGCCATGTCTTATTGAGACACTCTGTTGGCTTGATCTTGCCATAGAGCTTAGACTCGATGATTGTCAGCTGTCGTGCGAATTCGAGAGCGTCAATGTCCAAGAACTTGAGTTTCTTCATATTCTTTGGGATGATAGGCGCCGGAGCTTGCGAGCTCAACGTCAAAACAAGCTTCTTACTGGACGCATCCTGGCCACGCATACGCTGCTCGATGGCAGTCATCAATGGTCCTGCTCCAGGCGTGCTCGTCGACTGGACCGTATCCTTCGCAAAGGCATAGACTCGCTGCATAAGCTGTTGGCTGGCCTCGTTATTGGCTTCCATCCAGTAGTTGTCAAACCACGACTTCAAGATATTTACCACACGAAAGCGAATAGGCTTCTGCTTCTTGTCCACCCATGTTGTGAGGTCCGCACCGCCAAGTCCATATGGAGGCTGTATACTCCAACGCTTTACAAGCATCTCGAACAGTTCCGAAGCTGTAGTGAATGACTGGTATGTCAGCAGGAAAGTATTGTTGAAGCCGGATTCAAGTCGGTCGTGTCTCGTAAGCTGTTCGACCAGTCCAGTGAGAGTGCCACCACGGAGTTGCGGCACATCTGTCTTGGCATCGTAAGCGATCTCACCTTCGTGGTCGAGCTTCAGATAGTCTGGCATCTCTTCTGAGTCACGGCCCGGAATAGCCGGCTTAGGAACTTCTCCGAAGAAACGCTTGACCTTCGAATTCTCCCCGTTGCGCTTAATATCTGCTGAAGGATCCGACGGCTGAAGACCTTCTGAGTACGACTTCGATTGGCCGCCATCTGAGAGCATGCCAGGGCGCAAAGAGCTCTTCGAGGCATCACGCAGATGTTGCTGGTATGATGCACCGCCATCAGTCATTCGGTGAGGATCTCTGCTGGTGCCATCGTTCGGGATAAGCTCAGAAAGGAGTTGCAGCGAGAACAGGATTTGTGAAGCAGCGGTATCGAGGTCACGACCAACCGTTCGCACGCGACCCATGCGTTCTTCCATCGATGGCCCACGGATCTCTGACCATTCGTCGCCGAGTGGCGTTGCTACGCCTTGGCATGCTACGATTAGATCGGATGTCGTATCATACAATTTCTGCTTGTGATCTGCGAAGTCATTCAGCTGTGGGCTAGTGAAGCTCGAGCCGAGAGGGGCCAAGTTGATCGATTCGATGGTCGAAAGATAAGGCCGGCAGACTTCCACAACCTGGCTGCCAGACCTGCACACCGCATTGCTGAGTGATCGATGTCTAGCAGGCGTGATCAATTTTTGTCGAAGCACAAGCTGCTCATCCAGTCGTCGTATGCTAGACACAATCAAGCGCTTGAGATCCTCCATTCTCTCGAGTAATGACTGATCGAGATGTGCTGTAGGCTCAGTCATGACATCTGGCTCATCGTCAACGAATGACATGGACGTCAACGGGTCCTTTGGCGTCAGTCCATGGCTTTGCCAATTGCCTGCTGTCCTACTGCCGCTAACGAAGCCTGGTGTAAGACGCGGGATTTCTTCGCCCCTTTGCTGTCGTGCAACCTCGACAAAGCCGTACACCCCGTGTAGCACGCCCTCGGCTTCCTGCAGACATTTCTGGTATGAGTCTGGCGGAGGCCAATCAGCAGCAGCGATGTGCGAAGACAAAACCAGCTTCGAAAAGCGCGACATCACTTCTCGGAAGTGTGGGTATAGTGCCTTGTTAGTTGAGATGATGGATGGGTTGCCCGAATGATTGTCCGTAGTACCAGAGCCAGCGGCGAGTAGTAGTCGCAGATGGTCGGAAATATCTTCAGCTCTGCGCACAAACTCGGACCTTTCTCCGTTTGAGATTACTTCTCGATATCGCTGTACAGCGCGGCGCATATCTTCGACCATGGTATTCCAAGTCAATGGTACCGCGTGCGTATCATCAAAGAAGCGGCGAGGCAGAAGTGAGGTTGCCGAGGCTCCAGCAGGTGAATTCACGAAGGAAGTCATGGTCGTACCTATGGGTGGCATACCCTGTTGTGCGGCAGAGAAAGAAGTCGCTGTGCTATTTTCGGTGAGGTTCGTGCGCGAACGTGTCAGCGGTGAAGTGTTGTTTAGTGAGTCCATTGAAGTTGCGGGTGAGACGCCATCCGAGAGGTATGACCTACGCCGCCGATTCTGGACATGGTGAGTTAGCGTGCAATAACAGGACAAACGCACACCTGCTTCTACCGCTCACACAGATGGTCGAACTTACACTGGATCCTTTCGAGCTTCGTATCATCGAGCGATCTTCCGTCTCGGAAGCAGAAGCGTAGTCAGTGTCCTCGTCGCGCTCATACCCGGCCGCCATAAGCTCCGGTGGTGGTCTCGTCTGGTCAGGAATGAAGACGTTTGTTCGATCGCGTGGTCCGGTCTCGTTAGCAGAGGTAGGTGCCTCGAGAGGCAATTCCATTGTGCTCTCTCCAGTCAATGTGTTGAAGTAGAATAGTCTGCCATCTGGAGTGGCTTGGGGTATCCAGAACGCCGCTTCCTCCTGTGTACTCGTCGCCGTGCCATTATGATGACCATTCACGCCGTTCGTGGTTTGCTCAAACTCTTGCTCGCTGTACTCTTCCTCTGATTCCTCGGCTTCAGAGTCTCCAGCACCTCCGATGAGCATACTCCTGCCATCGTCGAACGGAGGATTCACTACCGCACAGTAGTTGCTGGGGAACCAACCACGAGTCCCATGGATGACGCCGTCCCACCACCCACTTTCCAGCTGTGTCAAGACCTGTATGATGTCGCCGGTCTTGAATGACAATGAAGTGCGGTCGTCCGCTTCATAGTCGTACAGAGCCCTGACGAACAGCTGTCCTGGATTGTTCATGGCGCCGTCGATCAGCCGCTACGGTCAAGACGATGCCGTTGATTGACTGTCGGCCACGATCAAGATGGTACCGTCGTCGAAGTGGCCGTAGTGAGATCGGCAGCTCCGAAGCCCAAGACAGCGGGAAGATGAGACAGCCAAAGCTGTCTTCTGATAGAGACTGAACGCGCTCTGTATGACTATGCGGCTTCTTCCAGCATCACCCTCCCTCCCAGTCCTCTGGAATGTGAAGTCACGTTGTCGAGATCCTGATCGTCCGGGCCACTGAATGGGGCTGAAGACGCGCCCACGGGTAAAGGACTTCACCCCAGGGCGCACAGCCTTTTCGAATCCGAAAGAGAGGTAGACATACGAATTTGGTGTACTAGCAATGGCTGATCGGAATAGGTCTCAGGACGTGAATCAGAAAGATGCTGTGCTGGAACATTACTGGTCCTAGCTTCGGCGCCAAGAGATGAGCGGCAGCGTTGGCTACCAGAAATGCCGCCAGCAGAGACAAACTGACAAGGGAGAGTAGGCTTCGTGAATCATGAAGGTTCCAGACGATGAATAGCCCGCACCGCTACACCGACACAAGATTATTGCAAATGACGCTCATAGGACATCCTGCTCCGTGGAGACGACTCGAAGAAATTGAAATAATTATGACACTGGCAATACCGTGCAATGCTATACCGCGATTCATAAGCTTCCGCAAGCTAAGGTGGACATGAACATGATGGATCACGTCACGGGTCAATGACTTCTACCTCGTTGACGCCCAGACATGCAATGCTGGTGTAGTGGCCCGCAGCTTCTCAATCGCGAGCCATTTTGATGAGGAAAACGGGTCCAATGACCGGCCGTCAAGCTAGACTCTGAGTCTCTAGTCGCAAACACTGAGCAGGCCAGGACGATCCTTTGCTAATATTCTTGCTGTCACGCATCAACTACGCAGAGACACGACGCACTTGGAAGAGCTTGCACATCGACATGTATATCGTGACGAAACAGCATCTGGTTGAGGAATCATGGGGCCATAGTCCCCAGGAGTAGACGACAAGCAATATTCCAGCTACTACCTCACGGATCCTTGCACTTCGGATCACTTGACAGCTGATCAGACTCAGATCTTTGGCTTCAACAATTCAGTCTCCCTTGCGTCGCACGGAAGTCAGAGTTTCTGACAACGATTTCTATGCTCGCACTTCAACCTAGAGGATGACCGGAGAGAGGCCGTGGATCATTGCGAGCCCAGGCTCCGAAGAGTGCGTCAGCCAGAAATCCTTACATTTGAGCCGCGAAGCTTGATCAAGACCATCTACAATCAGCGCAAATATTGGCCCAAGGTCATGGAAATCGGTCTACTGTCATCTTGCCCGGATACTTGAATAAGCCATCCTCGCAATCTCCCCAAGCTCCTTAGGCAGTATTGCTCACTTGTCGAGAATCCCGCTTCGAACCCGTGTCCTGTATGATTGGGCGGTCCAGGTTCCAAACACACTTGCATGATTCCTGATGGCATGCAGGAATCCCGCCTCTATAAATTGCTGTTTGTTTCTGAGACCAGGTCAGTGCAAGATCAGACCGGATTGGAATATCAACAGGCAGCAGTCAATTTATCATGTGGCAAGTATTTCTTTTATGCGTCAACCCTTCGTTTGCTCGTGCAGCTATCCGTGAAACCTATCTGGTCATCAACATGTTTTTGATAAAGAGGATGGTTAATAACCTCTCGATAGCAGTAATCGGGACCGCTCCCTTCTCAGCAACTGCGCCATAGACATTTCAAAGACGTAGACTGTATCCAAGCAAGTCAGGCTGCACTCGGCCGTACAAGCAGCGGCTTGCTGCAGGAACTTTGGCATGAAATCGTATCATGTTGCGGATTGACAAGAGGTAGTTCCGCTCCTACGTTTGTGATGATCAAAGACATGCAGACTCGTCCGGAATTGGGTGCTTCTGTTTGCGTAAGGAGAACATAAAAGCTGGAAAATATTTTGAGCGTCATTCATCTCTCCTAGACTTCACAATCTTTTACAATCATCACAGAGACACATGCACACCAAGCACGATCAACAAAGACTCCGTCGCCAGCAGCGATGACCTCTTCTACATCTGCCGGACTGACGGCCAAGCCTTCCAGCGACAAGCCTTCCTCCAACAACACGAAAGATCAATCTGAGAGCTCGAGCGCTGGTGACAACACCGAGAACAAGTTGACCATGATTGATGGCCCGAACGTCGACCTCACGGACTCCAGCGCTGTGTTTAATACCGCCGCTCGCGGGCCAGCCAACAACCTTCAAATTGCTGACGCTCCCATCGCTGCTCCTACCACTGGGGTCATCGTCTTTTCATCCGGAGCAACCAAGTACATCATCAAGTTTCCCGACCATGTTAAGACAGCCCCGGTGGTTACGCCGGCGGTAAGCCCAGCAGAGTCCGTTAACGACACCCCTCTCGTCAATGATGTAGGAGGGAAGACTGGTGACAAGCATGCAGACAGATTGGCCGTGACATTGGCAAGTTTCGGAAAGTGCAGAGAGCAAGCGATGGCACTGGCCGACAGAAAGCGCCAGGCCAAGAAGGAGGCATTCAAGTCCGGGTACAAGAGGAATTGCTAGAACGGCTATCAAGGTAGGCACTCCGTCGCTCTCTCATTGTTTTCACCTCTCCTCGCCTACTCACTTTCAGTCCAGGTCAAGGAGACTCAAGCGATCAAGGCAGAAGTCTTCACTGCGGCATGCGGCCTGGTTGCACTTGTTCTCAGCAACTTCGCGCTCGAGTCTTGTGAACCGCGATCCCAAGACTATGGCACCGAGTCGACCATCCTCATCCTCTTCCGCCGCCTGTTGTCAATCTGCGGTGTCACTGGCCTGCTGGTGTTGTGCATGTCCTTGGCGAGGATGGAGATGATGTTCATCGATGCCATCGTGGCTAGTGCGTTCGGCAAGGCTGCATAAAGCATTGAGTGGCTCGCATGCATTGATGTGCAGGAATCAGCGTTCGCAAGGTACCTTCAAAAGGATTTACCGGGAAGATTGAGGCAGCTAATGCAGCTGTGCAGCTCTCGAGCTTTACACTGTGGTCCCTGAAGTGGTGTAGCTAGAGCCAGTCGAATCATGTGCGCACATCCAGCATACTCCTCACTTGAGCCACATGTCATCGTGTTCACGATCACCAGAGAATTTGATGCCTATTTACCGTCTCTTCGCCCGTACCTTCGCTGCCGATCTCTTTTCCACGGCTCCTAGCCTAAGGTTTCTCTCAAAGCCTTGCAGCCCTAGAATTCTTTCCAGATACCTTTACAGTCCAGAGCATCTTGACCGAAACTCGCCCAAGGTCAGTAATTTCTCTTTTGCATTAGTACTGGGTTGTTATCTCGATGCCTCTCTGGATCCTTCGCCCGTATGAGTGGCAATGGACCGGCACATGCGCATGGCACCACGAAGAGAAAGCAACGAGATGATCAGTAGCGCATATTCACTGACAGTGCACTTGCCTGATGATCGAACGAAGTGGTGCCAAGCCTATGGGCAGCAAGATGGGTACTGTCAGCTGGTGTAGCTAGGAGCATACGGTAGGCTCCGAAGCGGCAGTCATAGCGAGCTAGTCGAAGTCGAAGCCGTAGCAAGCGGCTAACGGCGTGTCCATCTGTGTTCGCGGAGGCTCGTCTATACACGACTTACGAGGAAGGCTCGAGGCTGGAAACCGGTGGCAATAACCGTATTCTGGAGAAACTCCGATGCCAAGATGTGCTAACGGCCCACTCGGCAGCGACCTATACATGGAAGCCAGTGCGGTCGCCAGCACGCAAGTAGTGCCATATTGCCATTGACTTGTGCATGGCCCTCAGGGCTAGAACATCTGGCCAGGAATGCCAGGACTCGATGAATCGTCGAGCCTCGTAAACACGGTACGGTATTTCATCAGGGGCGGCATAAGCACGCGTTGTAAGCTCCATTTCAACCATGACGAAACAGCGGACTTCCATACACCGCCGCCACGCTGCTTGTGGGTAAGTCCCGCTTTCCTTCACCGCCCCGAACGGCTGGGAGGCGGACGGAGTATAGCAAGAAGAAGGACTCGAGTTCGAGCACTCTAGCAGGGTTAAGGAACGGTCGGCAGAAGAAGCCGATGAGCTGGCAAGCCTGGCATCTTGACCAGGCGAAGTCGGGAAGGAGACGAGATTCATGCACCTTGTAATAATACAACGGATGTGCCGTCACATGTTTACATGATCTCAAGCGTGGTGGGGCAGAGTGCGGGACGCTGGTTCGAGCCGGCAGTCGCGAGCACAAAGATCGCTAGATGAAGTATTGGCGATCATTCGAGTTTGTCCTGAAACTTGTGTCCCAGCTGGGAGCGGAGGTGCCGGGTTGGCATCTCACCTGATCGAAGTCCCGATCTCTCCTTGTCAACAGCGTATTATTACCAGTCTTTTCAGAGCCTTGCATCTTCATCACGACCCGAGGAGGCTTATCGTGCGATCAGTGCTTGCATTCCGGGACGAAGGTTCGATCAAATTCATTCAGGGCAACGGCTCCCATTCGTTTCGCCAAGGTAGTGGGACGCGGGCCGCAGCTACGACTCACGTGGTCACTGCCGACGAAGTGCCGTTACGATGCCCAAAGGGCGCCACTTCTCGCTTGTGAGGGGGATCGTGAAGGCCGGCCGCCAATGGTAACAAAAGCGAGATCGCGGGACTGAGGCTCATTAGAAACGACCATAAAACCTCTCGAAGACATCCTGCTCACACGTCGGCTCCGTTGCCTTGGTATTCCTTCTAGAAAACCTTGTTTGCGATCAAATTGACTAGGAAGGCTCCCCGACTACTAGCGCCAACGTCTGTGCAAGGAACGAGGAAGTGGCTTATTAAGGCCGCGGCTGTCCGTGTGACGATGAAACGCTCCAAATCGTGAGATGTTGGAAGGGAGGGGCAGATTGGATGACGACAAGGAGATTTGTTCCATATTGTATATGCGTGTGGTGACAAATGCAGTTGAAGAACACTCAAAATGGCCTTGTCATCGTCCAGAAGGGCATTCGTCAAGACCTGATGAAATTTCAGAGGCTGGGAGTAGTGGGTCGGGAGGTTGGCTTTCCTGGGGAGTGCCCACATGACAGAGGGCCAGCTAGGCTGAATGACAAGGAGCTTGACTTCCTACGAGTAGAGTACCAGCGGTCAGAGTCGTTGTGTTGTATACCCTCATGACCGCTTGAATTGCTAGAGGCGCAAATAATCAATCTCATTGTCGTATTTGTGATCGAGTCAGGCCAGAAACAGCCCCACGCGCACATCCGCGCCCTTCTCCTCCTCATATGGCAAATATCGACGCCATTAAGCAGATCCGTATGGCAAGTGGCCAGTCGAAAGCCTCGGCGCGACTGACCCATCTACTTGGCGTATGCTTTGCTCATATGTACCGCTGCCGTTCAAATCTCCATTCACGAGTTGTGGTTTGTGACGAATCTATTCTTGCACTAGTAGCTCCGGCCCGTCGCGGCAAGCGTGGCTCCAAGAACCATCATGTATCACCTTGCTCCTTTCTAATCACTACCCCTCTGTCCCCTCCATTGCGCGCCCACTGCCATCTTCTATCTATTTTATCTATCCTCGTAGGTGTCAGCCCGCTCGTAGCAGGACTGGACCTGGACTCACAGCGCCCTCTATGCGACCCTTCAAAACTCACATGCGATCCATCACACCGACCCAGATCTAACAACTCGGCTTCGCTGACTCGGGATATCAAGACATCACATCCCGTCAGCGCATAACACGATGTCTGCCGCTATTGCAGGCTCAGATGGTACCGCCGGTCTCACATCGCTATCACCCACGACTGGGCGCAAACAGCCGAGCAACACCGAGACGGTAGGAGGCAAAGAAAAGAGATATCGCTGTCAATTCTGCGAGAGGGCATTTAGTCGCTCGGAGCATCGCAGCAGACATGAGCGGTCACGTAAGTTCATGTCACACGATGTCATTACCATGACGAGCGCGTTCGGCTAACAAGCGAGTAGACACAAAGGAAAGACCGTTCCGCTGCACCAAGTGCAAAAGCACTTTCGTCCGAAGAGATCTACTTTTGCGCCACGATCGAACAGTTCACGCCAAGGATGATCATCCGCTACAGTCTGATACCAAGAGGAGAAACACAGGCGCCAAATCCTCCAAGATACCTGAGCTAGACGAGGCAGCCTTGGAGCAGTTCGGCGATAGTAGCGACCCGTTCAGTGTGGAGCAAGCTGCTATGTTGATGACTAATTTCCAGCAAAGAGCTGCCATGTCTGGACCCGATGTCGGCAGCATACAGACAGAACCGCTGATCTCGCCTCATGGCCCGCAAATGATGGAGCCGAGCATGCCCTACCCAGGCTCCATGACTTTGCCACAGATGAACGGCTGGGATCAGATGCTACCTCACAATGTCAGTCAGCCCAAGGCATCATCAGTAGCGTCTAGCATAGATGCTGGCCACGACATGCTTCCATTCTCAAGTGCCAATACCATGGCTGGTGCGACGAATACATTGCCACCTCTGATGGAACGTCAAGAAAGTCAGAATGATGGTCTGCCATCTTTCAGCTTATCTTCAATCAATGGTCTAGGTGGCGGAGGGCTCGCCACGCCAGGTGCACTTTCGCCATTTCCTTCTATGCTCGGTCCTGTCTCGCCAGTAGACTATCGACGATCGCCCGGCCCGCCACAGCAGTGTACTATGGCCAGAGCACCGCAGGTTGACAACGAGGAGCAGATCAATGCAATCATGGACAATATTCGCCGCTGGGACAGCGAAGGCGCATTGGTCGACGCTTTCTGCCTACCACAGCTGAACGTGCTCAACCGTTACCTTTCGACATACTTCAACTTCTTCCACCATCACCTACCATTCCTGCATCCCGCCTCGTTCAACCCATCGACTGTGTCTGCACCTTTGTTGCTATCCGTGCTATCGATTGGCGCTCTGTACACGTTCGAGCAGGATCAGGCATACATGCTACATATAGGTTCGAAGGTTTTAGTCACGCAATTCTTGCAGAAGAAGGACAACTTCAGCTCACGGAAATGCCCGCTCTGGATGATGCAGAGCTCGCTTCTTAATATGAGCTTCGCCAGCTGGAGTGGCGATCCCAAAGGTCTGGAATGGGCTTGCTCGATCAAAAGTCTGCTCGCCAATATGGTCGCCGGCAACAGGTACGAGCTTAAGCTGCGCAGCGAGGGTAGAGAGGCTAGACAACCCACACACGAGGAGTGGATCGAGGATGAAGGCTGCAGACGTACTTACTTTGCAGTGTACATCTTCTTTGGACTTCTCACACTTACCTACAACCACACGCCCGCGATCAGCTTTAACGAGTTCGATACTCTGGAATTGCCATCTTCAGAAACTCTCTGGAACCTGGAGGCTACAGATAGCGAGAGCTGGATCGAGAGCTTGACTGCATCGACTATTATTACATTCCGAGAAGCGCATGATGCACTCTTCCAGGGCGGAAACGCGCGATACAGTGCATTTGCGACACGTGTGATGATCAACGCACTATTTCTGGAAGTGTGGTACCACAAGCGCAGTCCCGAAGCCCTGCAAGATGTTGTGACCGAGTACAAGCTGAGGCTGGCACTCGACACTTGGGAGAAGTCTTTGGAGCTGTGTGAACCAGAGACCGTGGTAGTGCAGCTCAGCGCGCCACACAAGGGCCATCCTCTCATCTTCAACGCTATGGCGATGTACCGCAATACACGTGCAAGGCTGTTGGTGGATCTAAAGACTGTTCAAGAAGCTTTGCGATACCACGACTCCTATGAGGTGGCGGCGGCTATGACACATGCTCGGGACCAGGTTAAGCGAAGTTCAGAGATGCTGAATGTGATCCAGGCCTGCTTTGACTGCATCGAAGTGGCAGCATTGCAAGGCATCAGATGGGTGGCAAGGACTTCGGCGACGAACTGGAGCATCGAGCACCCATTGTGTGGACTGGACTTGATTGTGATCCTCAGTTTGTGGCTATGGCGGGTAGAGCACGATGATGAGCCTGCAAATGATGAGGAAAAGGCCATGTATCAGAAGCTCCGGAATCTCTTCGATGACGACTCGGTTGAAGGCTTGAACAACAAGCTGAGTGCGACTGTCGCTAAGCTATGGGGTAGCATGATCGACGAGGTTGTCGTTTGGGGGCAAGTTTCATCCAGCCTACACCTGATGAGCCGCAGCTAACAGTGTCGTAGGATCACCAAGCTCATGGGCGAGTCTTTCAAGCTCCATTCGCAAGCACTTACCGGCTACGAGGACGCTTTGGTCGCTGAAGCTGAAGAACAGAACAACATGTCCCCGACCTCTCAACAACTGGCGCCACATGCACCCGAAGTGACCGCCTTCTAAACCATGTCCGCAATACACAACACCAAAGATGTATCATCTCTCCTCTACTCGGCGTCCACAGAATCGCGAACTGGAACTTGTACCAACAGCAATAACGGCAACAGCGTGCTTTTTACCGTCTTATTATTTCCTTGACTCAGACTATCTGCGGGATCGACTACAGATCGAATGGGGGTATATCTGACGGCCGAAATATACCCACAGTACTAATATATGGACCTCTTCGGGGCGGACGGGGTGCCAGGTCACTCTGTCTATCTGTCACAAGGTTGGGCTGGTTCCGCCTGCTGAGTTCCGGGAAACCTGTTTACGGTTGTTTTGCTTTGATCTTTGTGCTGCTTTTATTGTTTTGATACCATGTGCGTCTATTATAGCAAATGGGCTGGGTGATATTCCTTGAGGTTGGAGCGTGTACAGGCTCTTGGAGTTCTCACCTATGGTGATGGTTTGGGAATGCATAGCGTGGTCATTTTTGTCCCGGGCAATGAGGAGGGCATGTGTATTATATTGGTATCGTGACAGTGTATTCGGACAACATCGACTGCATCTTCCTAGCAGCGTGAACTACACGAGGACGAGTACGGGGCGGTCTAGGCCTAGCTCGACTTTACTACGTGTTTCTGTCAGCTTCTGCTTTAGGTTTCCATTGTTACTCATGGTGAGTTTCAGCCCCAACAACTTCAATTGGTAGGTGGGTCGGCTGGGCTGATGCCCATGATCAACCAGATGTACTCCTACCCCGAAGTCATCTCAGCCTTGATGTAACGTACCACACATCACGGTCTATAGTTCGCATCCTCCTTGATGTGATACGAGTGCGAGGATGTATCTTGTAGTAAGTCCTAAAGCTGCCATATAACTTAGTCGATGACATCTCCTCGAGCTCGCCACCTCACGCCCTCGTTTTGCGTCCCCGTCAACTTGAATATGGCAGGTACAGTATCCTTCAAACCTATCAATGGCCGATCAGAAGTATACGGAGGGCCTTATGAGACTCATCTCTCCCTGTATGCAAGCATCGAACAAGGTCTGAAGACGAATCCGGATGGTATAGCTGTCGTCGTCAAGTTTCAACCTGCGAACCACCTCGCCTCCCTTGCAGGCATCAACGAAAAGCAGGATGAGGTCAAAGACGAGGGCCTGGTCTGGACTCGCTCGCAATTTCATAGAGCCGGCCTGACACTGGCTGGAGCATTACTGGCCAATGGAACGAAGCCAGGAACTACGATCATCACCCTCGTGACCAATGGTGTCGAGAGTCTGCTGCTGCTCTATGTCTCAATCATGTTAGATTGACATTCGTACCCTTGGACCCGCGCGCACTCACACAACCACGTCAAGCCGAGCTGGAGAACTTTCTTGTGGCAATGAAGGCCGACACTGTGGTGGTCGGGGATGAGAAAGGTGCCGCTGCTGTCGATACGGCACTGCAAAGCTCTAGCGCCCCTGTTCCGTCGGTGCGTATCACGCTCACGGATACCACAGTCCTTCCCTCACCCTGGAAACCACTATCAAATATCCTGCAAGCAGTTCCACTATCCGAACCAGACAAAGTCAAACTCCTCCAAGCCGCCCGAACCTACGACCCCGACCGCATCGCCCTCATAGTCTTCACCTCGGGAACCTCCTCCGGCAAACCTAAAGGATGCCTCCGACACGAAGGCAGCATGGCAGGCTGGGCCGCCAACTTCCGATGGCGAGAGGACTGGGGCTCTAAAGACAGTATCATCCTCACCACGTCCAACTTCCGCATCATTGCTACTTTCATGTCACTCACACTGTGGATCAAGGGCTCGACATTAGTAATGCCTAGTCCTGTGTTTGAACCCGGGAAATTGTTGGAGGCGGTGGAGAAGCATAGGGTCAATACTTTGCTTTTGCTACCTGCGCAATTCTATGCCGTAACTTCACATCCTACGTTCAAGCAGAGGGACCTCAGCTCCTTACAGGCCGTCAGTACAGGCGCAGATATGATCACCCGCACCTTGCTATCCGACATATCTGCCGCCTTCCCATCAGCCGACATCACAGTCTCCCACGGCATGTCAGAAGGCGGCGGCTACTTCGCGTGGAAATACTGGGGCACTTCCTTCAGCGAGCTGCCATACTACAACGACATCGCTCCTCTAGGTCGAGTAGCAGAAGGGGCTCGACTCCGGCTGTGGGATGCAGAGAAGGGGGTTGTGCCGAATGTCGGTGGGATGGGCGAAATTCATACTTGTAACGAGGCTACGCTGAAGCATTATCTGGGCGGGCTACATGAGGACTCGTTCTATGAGGATGAATATGGACGATGGTTCAAGACGGGTGATCTGGGACTGATCAGCGAGGACGGCACGATATATATTCTCGGTCGAAACAAGGACATTATCAAACGAGCTGGGGTGAATCGAACCCTTTCCTTCCGCATCTGACGGAAACTCGCTAACAAGTCAAAGGTCCCCATCACAGCCGCACCACTAGAAAGCAGTCTAAGTTCCTTCGTAGAATCGCCCGTACGTTCCCCATTACTCACCCTACTCAGACCAAACACCATACCAATACAGCCGACTGATTGTGATATGACATTCAGACAGCAATAATCCCAATCACCTCCCCAACCCCCGGCGTCGGCCAAGAACCCTTCGCCATAGTCCAAGATCTCAAAGCCAAAACAGAGCAGCAACTCAAACAGCACGTCCTCGATCTCTTCGGCAAGGACTACGCATTAGCCGGAGCTGCGAGCCTGGCCCAGCTGGGTCTCAAGGCTTTCCCTCTCAATGCTACCGGTAAGGTGCAGAAGCTTGATCTGCTTGCTGCGCTCGAGCGGAGTGGTCGGGCGAATTGATAAGTTAAAATCCGCATCTGCTATTTTGTGAAAAGATTGGGGAGATATTGTTGGTGGGCTGAGGCTAACTAGCAGACGTCCTATCCTTTGAAAAGCATCGTACATCTACAAGACTATCACTGCTGCGCCTGTCTGGAAGCAACAAGACATGCCTTGGTCTATCCCTTGGAACGCCTCGCTAGATTCAACATCAAGCCTCACATTCATACAGCATCACTGACAACTCCCGTCTCGCTCAGACCACATCTACATCCATCCCCCTCAACCAAGCACATCCCTCCAATCCGGCACAACAACAAACTTCCCCTTCACCTGTCCCATTCCGACCGCCCAACCTCTCTCCTTCTCACTTTCGCCCTCCCTGTCTACACTCACCCCCTCATCTCCTCCACCACCCAAATCAACCTTTCGATCTGGCAGACTACAAACCATAACATCCTGCAAAAACCCCGCCGTCGTCCCCATCCCCAACGTCAACTTCGTGCCGCCCCAATCCAGCGTCGTCTTGCCCGAACGATGGATCCGGAGTTTGCCTACGGCGCCTGTTGGGAGGAGAGGGGGGCGGGTACCTGGTCCGTCTGGTTTCTTAGGAGCTGCTTCTGCTGCGCCTGATCTGGTGGAGGAGGTTGCTTCTGCATCTGTGTTTGTATATGTGTTTGTGGTTGTGGCGGGTGGAGCGGTGTCGATATCCATCGCCTCGCCACCATTTTCTTCTGCTACGCGATCTTCCGAGGCATTGGCAGGCGGTGCATCCGGATCCGGCTTGACACTGATAGCCGTCAAATCCGGCAACACAGGCGGGAATTGGAAAAGATAGACTTTATCTGCCTTCTTATCCTGCGTCTCGGTTTGAACATCAGCCGTACCATCTAGCGCCATACCATCACCATCACCATCCGCAGCTGAAGCAGGAGGAGCACGAGTAGCTTGGATCCCCAACTCTTCATACAAGACTCTCAATTCCTCCTGCCCTCTCTCCCACTCCTCCAACTCGTCTTTAGTCTGATATACAGGCCGTTCCGGCGCATGACTACCCGAAAGTGCTCGGACCTTATGTCTCTCCTTTCCTTTCCGTCTGCTTTCGGGCGACGGGAGAGCGTCTTGTGTAGGAGGAGCAATAACGTGCTGGGGCCCATCGTCCGTCGTTTCGATCTTGATAGGAGGGTCCTGCTCGTCACTACTCGAGTATGTGCCGTGGAAGGGGTCGCTGGCACCTGTGATCTCTACGTCTTTGCCCTTGAGCTTAGCAGTCTTGGCTGTTGATGACGTTGCTGTGATAGAGGCTGTGGTAGGTGCATCGTTACTAACGATTGCTTCGGCCGTTGCCCCGTCTGCATTCAGACCAAGCGTGCGGATTTTGTGCTCCTCGCGTTTGATTCGCACAGGTTGGAAGCCATTATTATCGTCTTCGCCCAGAGTGAGGTCGACAACACCTAGCTGATCTACGTTCATTTTCGGATCCTCATCTTCGTCGCTGGAGACATATCCACCATCTTCAGTCTTGACGGGGCCGCCTCGACTCATCATTGTGAAGTCGCCGCCGCCATGTGTGCCAGGCTCTTGTTTGACTTGACTCCTGTCTCCTGATCCCCCACCTCCGCTGCCGCCTCCACCTCCAGAATTATTAGTTACTCCTCGACTGCCGCTTCCACCTCCAGAAATACTGGAGTTTGAAGCTGCCCCACCACCACCAGTACTACTCGACGAAATCCCAGTAGCCCGCCTAACATCCTGCACAACCCTTCCACCCCCAAAAGGCCCGCTCATCACATCCCCTCCACCACCTATAACACTCCCCTTCCCTCCCGTCCCTCCACCAACCCCAAATGCTTCTCCTCCACCGCCTCCTTCCCTTCCACCGCCACCCCCTCCCCTCCCACCATATCCACCCTCCCTATCACCCATATACCCTCCCCTCCCCCGTCCCCGATACCTCTCCCCACCCGCACCCCCAGCACCGCCCACAAATCCACCCCTCCCCCTTCCATCCCTCCTCGCCCTCGCAGCCTCAGCTTTCACCCTCCCCTCATTCTCCACCCTCTTCCTCTCCACCTCCACCTTCTCCGCTTCAGCACGCGCAGCCGCACTTCTTCTCCCGGCGAACTTGGGCGCGGCGACTCGACGGCGGGAAGTAGTGCCTCGGCCTCTTGTCGTTGAAGATGTTGAGGGGCGGGTGGTTGGTGTTGGACGTGGGGCTGGGGTGTCAGCTGGAGTGTTGGGGGTTGTGGAGGTGGGTGTCGCTGTTCCGCTTGGAACGGTAATGGGCGAGGGTGCTGCTGCCGGAGGAGATTGTGCTGTGTTGTTCGTGCCACTGCCATTGCCATTGCTCATCTCCTGGTCCTCGGACTCGACCTTAGCAACTTGTTTGGGAGGCATGATGGCCTAAGTAACTTTTGTGTGAGTCAATGTTATCGGGATAATGTCCAGCATCTCTGAGCAATTTCACCCGGTCGTTCTAATGGAAAAGAGGGTGCGCCAATAGGTGTTAGGGTAGTCGATAGATTGCCAGAAGCTTGAGAGAGTCGTTCGTTGGTAGCAGGCAGTCAGTCTTGGTGTTGGTTTGTCATGTTCTACTGTAAACAAGAATCACATGTCAAAAACAGCTCCCAGCCCAAAAAGTTTCCCAGTGGGCGGCGTTTCTTTTGCCCCACCACGCAGAGGCGTTACGAACGAGTCATGTATATATAAATACACATAGAGATATACGAGCAGAGGCGAGTCAATGTCAACGACAATGTCATGACATTCTATAGACAGGAAGAGTCAAGACTTGGTAAAGAAGAGCATACAAAACACAACACGTAATATATATACAAACCCTCTAAACCCACCGTTACCACCAATCCACCTCATCTCGTGATCCCAGTACTACTACCTCTTCCAACTCATCACCCCCTCCCCCCCCTCACCTCCCTCCCCCTCCCTCCCCATCTCCGTCTTCCTCTCCAAAATCTCCCCCACCTTCTCCCTAACCCCCTGCTTCCCCCCCCTCGCCTTAACAAAAGCCTCCACGACCTCCTCCCTCGTCGTCTCCGCCTTCGCACTGCGGACAAACTCCCCCACCTCCCCTTCCCTCGGCAACCCGATGAAGGCGTGCGGGTAATCCGTATAGCGAGAAGATTCAGACGTATTGAGGAGTTCGAGTCTGGGTTCCGGGTCGAAGAATTCCGCGACGGCCTTATCGGAGACTTGGTCGAGAGTGGCGGGCGACCAGTTCGGTTTCGTCTTGGGTTTATTGATCAACAACGCGCTCACCCCTTCCACGAAATCAGGATGTTCCATGAACCGATCCGCAATAATCCCCTCCCTTGCAAAAGTCTCCGCGATATTCCACCCCCTGCCCTTACGTAATTGCCTCATCGTAACCCTCACGCTCGTCGGACTCCTTGACAAAATCGTCGCCTTAGTCCGCTTCGCCCAATCCTGGACCTCCTGCGGCGCGGTCCCGGAGGCGTTTTCCTCGAGCCCGGTCAGTGCGTCTAGGACTTCGGAGATGGTGTTGACGGGTTGGAAGACGTAGTCGATTGCTGCTCTCGTATTCCCACCGACGACCGAGGAACCGGGCGGTTTATCGTGCGGGAGCCCCGTGCAGAATTCTTCGATCGTGGAGTCGATAATCTGCAGGCGATGTTGCAGGGAATCGTAGTCCTTGAATTGGAGTTCCGCCAGCCGCGCCTCTAGATCTGGGAGGGAGGAGGAGTGAAGGTAGTGTGTTGCTATCCCCGCCCAGAAAACGTCGACGCCTTTTAATTGTTCGGAGGTCAAGGCGCAGAACATGCCTACTTCACCGTCCATGCGTGGGAGGAAGAAGGATGCTCCTACGTCCGGGAAGAATCCGATCGTGGTTTCCGGCATGGCGAAGACGGTGTTTTCTGTTGCGATTCGGAAGGGGGCGTGCAGGGACAATCCTACGCCTCCGCCCATTGTGATGCCGTCGATGAAGGCTACGTATGGTTTCGGGTATGTCGCAATGAGATGATCGAGTTTATATTCCAGGGCGAAGTAATCTTTACTCTCCTGCTGGCCCTCCTTGCCTTTCTTGTTCTGTAGTGCTAAGGCCGCGACATCGCCTCCAGCGCAAAAGGCTCGTCCTTCGCCTTTAATGACTACGACGTTGGCGAGTTGGGACTTCTGCCATTCTTGGAGACGGGGGACGATTTTGCGGGCCATGCTTCCGTTTAAGCTGTTCAACTTCTTGGGTCGGTTAAGCGTAATGGTGCGAAGGCCGAGGTGGGAGTTGAAGAGGACATCGCGTGGTTCATCAGTTGGGAGGGAATCTATCCTGGGGGACGAGCTTGCCATCTGGAGGGCTGAAGTGGTTAGTTAGTGGACGGTAGTGGCAGTTAGTGGTGATGTTGGACGTACGGTTCGTTGCACAGCGAACGCTGGGTTGGTGATTTTGGCGCGGAGAGGCATGGTGGATATGCGTGAGATGGTGGATGAGGAGGCGAGGGTGAGGCGTCTGGTGCAGGTTTGGAGGAGCATTGGGGTGGTGGTGGGGAAAAGAAGAGTCCAGGTAACGGTTTATGACGAGCTTGCTGGCATTGGAGAGGGCTTCTGGGTTGCTTGCAGACCTCGGCAATGGTTTAGATATTGCTGTGTAAATAGTGGTCCAGATATCGTGGGTTTCGAACCAGGCTCTCGTCGATATACGGTCTGTTGAGCAAGGAAATATGGTAGATGATAAACACAGAGAGCTATCTCGATCTTCTGCCGAGTGATTGTGTATTTAGTACTGCCTCATGGAGAAGAGTATCCGGACGAGTTGATGGTCAGAAGGGACATATAGCACGCCGTCGGACAGCATCCCTGCACTATCGAATAATTATTCGCGGCGAAGACCCCCGAGAAGTGCATATCCCATACGATCATCATAGTCGTCGACCATTCCACCTCCTCTCCCTCTCCCCTTCTCCATCTCCGCCACCGCCATCATGTCGTTCGCTAGGACTCTCCTTCAGACCACCCGTGCTCTACGGAGTAATGCCAGTCCAGTGCAACAAGCATTGAACAACAAACTATTCTACAATGCGACACGAAACTACGCCGTGGCATTTACACGAGACAAGCCTCATGTGAACATTGGTACCATTGGCCATGTTGATCATGGAAAGGTATGGAATATACTCTATCCACCTCTATTAAATCTCACACCCTGGGAAAGTGTCGATGGCGCAAAGACTGACCCATGATGTGATTGATATGTAGACCACCCTCACAGCAGCCATAACAAAACGCCAAGCCGAAAAAGGCTTCGCCAACTACCTCGCCTACGACGCCATCGATAAAGCGCCAGAAGAACGGAAACGCGGCATCACAATCAGCACAGCACACATCGAATACCAAACCGACAACCGCCACTACGCCCACGTCGACTGCCCAGGCCACGCCGATTACATCAAGAACATGATCACCGGCGCCGCATCCATGGATGGCGCCATCATCGTCGTAGCAGCTAGTGATGGCCAGATGCCACAGACGAGGGAGCATCTACTATTAGCGAGACAGGTGGGCGTGAAGCGGATCGTGGTATTCGTGAACAAAGTCGATGCGGTGGAGGATAAGGAGATGTTGGAGCTAGTGGAGATGGAGATGCGTGAGCTGCTTTCTTCGTACGGGTTCGAGGGGGATGAGACACCGATTATTCTTGGTTCCGCGCTGTGTAGTCTTGAGGGAAGGGAGCCGGAGATCGGGGAGAAGAAAGTGGATGAGTTGCTCGAGGCGGTGGATACCTGGATCCCGACTCCGGAACGGCAGTTGGAGAAACCGTTCCTCATGTCCGTCGAGGACGTGTTCTCTATCCCTGGTCGCGGGACCGTGGCTTCCGGACGTGTAGAACGGGGCGTGTTGAAGAAGGACTCCGAGGTTGAGCTCGTGGGCAAGAACAACGCACCCATCCGGACAAAGGTGACGGACATTGAGACCTTCAAGAAATCCTGCGACGAGAGCCGCGCAGGCGACAATTCCGGCCTCCTACTCCGTGGAGTAAAGAGAGAGGACGTCCTCCGCGGCATGATCATCGCCAAACCCGGCACCAGCAAAGCCCACCGCAGATTCCTCACCTCCATGTACGTCCTAACCAAAGAAGAAGGCGGGCGGCACACCGGCTTTCACACGAACTATAAACCCCAACTCTTCATTAGAACAGCTGATGAGGCGGCGCATTTGACGTGGGCAGAGGGCAGTGCGGAGGAGAAGGAGGATAAGATGGTGATGCCGGGGGATAATGTGGAGATGGTGTGTGAGATTCATAAGCCGTTGGCTATTGAGCAGGGGCAGAGGTTTAATGTTAGGGAGGGGGGGCGGACGGTGGCTACGGGGTTGATTACTCGGATCTTGGAGTGAAGGGGAGAGTTTGTTTGAGGGGAGGAATGTGTGATGTGGCTAGTGGAGGAGTACTGGGAGGTGTATTGTACGATGGACTCGACTCGACTTGACTTGACAGTGTGGGCAGCGCTGATGTACAGGGGTTCCGCACACCATGTCATGAATACCCGGGACGGTTTCAGCTTCGAGGACGATATGTATTTGATGCTGTACTTTACTAGGTCCGCTGAGGAAGGGAAAGGAGGGAATGTGCATAGCTTCGGCGTCCTGCTCTGCTCTGCTCTGCTTCGATCGTGTATAGATACGGTTTGATGATGTCTGTAGATATTGAAAAGGACTCTTCTCTCGCCAATCTTTCTGTTCTATCTGTTATGGGTCTGCTCCACATTCGACGTTCTGTTGTGTCAAGGATAATTTATTCTGATCCACCAAATCCACCAGCGAAGACCTTAGACACGTGACATGCCAGAGCTCCCCCCCCATTTCCTGCCTACATATGTACTTCCTTCTCACGCCACCCGCCTTTCCGGTGAGGTGTGTCTTCTGATAAGTCGCGCAGCCTTACTCTGCACCGCCTCGAACAGATGGAGGAGCCCCATCCGTTCGCACTGCAGGCGACTGCGATCGAGTATCTGCGGCCTCACAGCTCAGCCTCGCCACCCTGGCAGCCTGGCTCCTTATCTCTACCGCCATGCTGATAGATTTCTGAATTGCTTCCTCTGTGGATCATCTAGTCAAGCGATTCTGGACTGGAACAATGGAGCGATGTACCTAGTCCGCTTTGGATAACGCACAGCAGGAGGTCACGGTGCTTTACGTCCTCCTTGGATCTGACAAGCAAGCCTGGACCGAAATGATGGAGCGGTACACCTACCGCCCTCTGGACAAGACACATAAGGAGATTAGAGTACTTGACGTCCTCCCTGGATCTGGCAAGCAGACCGTGAGATGTCAAATGAGGCACGTCTTTCTCACGTCCGACCCTGTACCCAAGTACGAGACGATCTCTTACTGCTGGGGAGACGCTCGGCTTCGGTGGTACATTATCGTGGATGGGTCACCTTTGAACGTACCATCAAGCGCTGCGAAGGCACTAACCAGGATGCGTCGAAAGCGTTCGAGACGGACTCTCTGGATTGATGCGGTCTGCATCAAACAGAGCGATCTTCTTGAACGCGAATGGCAGGTTGGGCTCATGAAGGAAATCTATTCTGCGACCGTGTGTTGCCTCGTCTACCTAGGCGACGGCAAGAGTCTGGCGAGACCTGCGGCCAAGTCGTTGAAGATTGTGCAAAGCTTGGTGGAAACAAGCACGTCTATCGATAGTGCGATTAGGCAGGAGAGAATCAAACTACCAGAAGGCTTCAATTCTGACGCCGTTCAGACACTTTACTTCGAGCCGTGGTTCACCAGATTATGGATCCTCCAAGAAGTCGCACTACCGTGCCAGACCATCTGTCATTGGGGAAGCTTGGTCTACGACTTCAGACAACTTGTCATTATTGGGGATTTTTGGCTGAACAGGGTGAAGCTTACTCAACTTAGGAATCACTCTGAGTTCCTCGATCGATTACTGGCGATAAACAGGATATCAAAAATGCTCCAGGCAGACGAAAGCGAGCCGATGCGCTTCGCGGGTGTACCTCTTTCCACCCTACACTTGGCTACAGATCTTTTTCGAGCTTCCGACAGCCATGATTACGTGTACAGTGTGCTTGGATTATGCTACGCCGACACTCTCAGTCGGTGGTCTTCACTGCTTGAGCCTCGCTACACAATATCGCCACGAGACGTGTTCCGTGACGCTACCAGGGCCGCTATCGAAGAGGCACAATCACTCCAGATTCTAGTTCGGGGGGCTGATTCTTTATGCTGCAGCCCGGACACAATCCTACGAGCAAGTCCCTCGTGGGTAGTATCTTGGGATCACTCCTATAATTATGATGAGGATGCGGTACCACTGCACTTCAACTTTGCTGCTGCTGACGACAACCATCCGATCATGTATGGAAGACATTCTCATGATCAGGACTTGTTGCTCCTTGGAGGCGTCGATGCCTGCCAGGTAGTCGCTGTAAGCCGGCCTGTTTCGAGAAACAGCGCACAAGTGTGGAGCAATATACTCGAGATCATAGACTTCTGCTTGATTTCTGCCCGACCGATGGATGGCAACCACATTAACATCCGCGAGGAGATGGACATAGGCCCAGCATTGGTGGGAGGTCGAAACGTCGGCCGGAAGCGCACGAGCCGGGATGCATTCGAAGAGATGCTTGCCGTCAGACAAACAATACAACATAGGGCGACACCACTCACAAGCACCTTACAACAGAGCCCCATTGACAGTGACGAGATCATAGGCGGGGCTGAAGCGTACTTGAAAGATCTCATAGCTATGCTGCACCGCCGTAAAGTCTTCGTGACCACCTCTGGTCAAGTAGGTATTGGCCCAGAAGATATGGAAGTGAATGATAAGGTGGTGGTGCTCTATGGAAGCCGAATACCTTTCATCCTGCGGCCTGTTGGCGACGAGTATCGGCTTGTAGGTCCTTGCTATCTGCAAGGCATAATGGATGGCGAGGCCGTCCGCCAGCACGTGGCAGAAGAGAAGGAGGATACTATGTTCGTTATTCGATAGGCTTGGATTGGCCTCCCGCGAATGGCGTCTTCGCCATTCGAGCTTATTGATACCTAACAGACTGGCGGCTACGCTTGAACCGTCGACGGTATACTCGGCCGGCGTGTAAAGCTATACCGATTAGAACTCCCGTCTTTCCTGCTTGGACTGAGCCGTCCAACAGCTTGATAAATCGGCATAACAGATGCAATCATACCGTAAGAAAATCGTAGCTTCGTCGGGCTCGTCGAAGTATTTTCGACACGTCTCGGAACCATATCAGACAATTGTCAACACGCACACCGCCCACAAAGTATTTGGATCTCTTTCCTTTCAAGACAGCAGCGTATCGGGCAGGGTTCTAGAACAACCGTCAGAGTCAACCGTCATACCAGATCTTGATATCTTAGGCGGCAGTTCAAAATCGCACACGAGATGGGAGGCTAGCCGTCAGTCACCGTTGCCATATCTCTTTATCACTACTGCGTAGCTGTCTTGTGTGCATGCGCGAGATGAAGAGACATTCAGTCCATAGATGACATGATATCATTCCGTTCATACCTCGCCATAACAATCGTATACTATGCATCGAAGCATCGCTCGAACGCCGACAAGATCATCAACAACCCAAGATGCAGAACGTCCCACTCCACTCCACACCACTCCACTCCACTGCACTCCACCTCACTCACTCACTCACCCAACCACCACAGTCATCGATGCCCCAACCGATCCAACCGATCCAAACCATCCTCATCCTCATCATCACCCTCACCACGCCGTCGCCACGCCTCCCGATCCCCAAGCTGATCCATCACCTCCCCCATCGTCCCCACTCTGCCCCGACCCCCACTTCCACTCCCATCCAGCACAAAAGGACCCACATCATTCCTCGGCGTCATCGGCCCCTCCGGCACCACCACCCCGGCCGCAAGAGCGAATTGCAATGCAGTTGTAGGAGTCGTACTGCGTGCACCTAGTAGATCCTGGGAAGAGGGGCTGGAACTGGGACTACGACTTTGATTCCGGCTTTGGTTTCGATTTTCGTTCTGGTTTTGATTTTGGTTTTGGCGTCGCTGTTGGATGGGTAGGGGTTGTGTAGTCGAGGTTGAACTAGGAGGCGGCGAGAGTGAGGTCGAGGGATTAGCTGATATTGGGGCGGATGATTCTGTATCGTGGTTGAGACTCGTCCGGTCCATCATACCAGCCAGCTCATCTCCACGCTGATCACCATCCGCCCTCCGCTCCTCAGCAGCCGTATCATCCATCTCCCTCGCCGCATCCCCTTCTCCCTCTCCCTCCCCACCTCCCACCCCACCTCCATTGACCCTCCCCTCCACCCCCTCATCGTCCTCTTCATCAAAAGCTTCGAATTCCTCCTCCTCCTCCTCCGGCAGTTCCACATCCGCCTCCAAATCCGCCACAAACCGACAATTCGGACACAAGAAATTCGGCCACCCCGGCCCATGAATCAAATTCCGCACACACTTATAATGCCACACATGACTACAAGGCGCCACAAAAAGCGCCTGGCACGGCGCCACGGGGTTAAGACAGATCGAACACTCGCTCGAATTCACCGAGGCGGCGTCCGAGTCCCTACTCTTTTTCGCCACGGCGTTTCGTAGAAGCTTTTTGTGTGCGGTCGTGTTGTAAGTATTCAGTGATTTCTGCCAACCCCTATTGCATTCCACCCTAATCTTCACACACCGAAAAATCACCTCCTCGCCCCCCTTGAAGTCAATCCCCAACTGAACCGTATCCCCATCCCTCACCTCAAACGGCCTACTCTCCTGCCCCGGCGGGGACAATCGGACATGATTCAGAAACGTCCCACTACTACTCTTCACATCCTTTATATACCATTGGCCGCCCGAACACCAGAACTCGCAATGCCGACGGGATACGACCTTGGATTTGAAGCCTATGGGTACGGTGTTTGGGTCCGGGGAGGAAAGGGCGTCGCGTTCGCTGTAGCGGCCTACTCGCACTAAGGTGAGCGGGGGTTTGAGGGTGCGGGTTGTGGCGGGGAAGTGCAGGCTAGGGCGGGTGGAGCGGGTTTCGATGTGGGGGATGAAGCGGATTGTGGGGAGGCCTGCATTCGAAATGGTCGGTTCGAGGGGGGTGGGGGTGTCTTGGGGCATCTCGAGGGTATTGCTGGACTGGTGGCGTCTGTTTGTTGTTGGTGGTGAGAGGGTGGGAGTGGGCCCGCTGGCGATGGTGGTCGAGGCTCGGGTGCGGGTCATGTTTGGGAGGTTGGTGTTGCTTGGTGGTTCTGGGGCGGCGGACTCGGTTGAGGTGGAGGTTAGATCGTTCCTGCCTTGGACGGTGGGTAGCCAGCCGTTCTCACCGTTCTGTATGCCCGAAGAAGGGTTGTTGTGATTCTCGTCGATCGTTCTTGCCGCCGTTGTAGCAATGATAGGAAAACTCGCTCCCACAGGCGAACTCGTGCTCCGTGTTAGAGGTGGCGCGTCAGATCGTGAGTAAGGCTGCGAGCTGGTATGGGAGTGTAGGTGCTCGCGTGTGACACTCCGCAAGTACGACAATCCTCGTAGTCGACTCGGTCGGGTAGGTGAACTGGGTATGGCGCTCGAGGTGGAGGTTTGGAGTGTGGCTGTCGCCGGTACAGCCGAGCCCAACATATCCAGTCGTCAGAGTGTCCGATATAATTGGGTCTTTGTTGCGGCAAGGCTGTGGTAGTGCTGTTGGTTGGGCGGCTGCACGTGGGGAATTTGATTAAGGCTCGGGTAGATTATGTCATAAGGCTACGTCCATTCGTGAGGGCGATATAGATTATATGGACTCGATAATGGATGGTCAGGACGGTTGAGATATAGTACAATATGCAGGTGGTGGGTCGATGTAGGCGCAGGAGCGATATCTAGGTGAATCAATATCGATTCCCAGTACGGCACTAAGCGACCATCTATATATATGTGACCACTACGCCACCAGCCTCCACCTACATTCGCCGGCCAATTCTCTCAACCAGTCATGAAATAGGTAGGATAGGGAAGACAGCTAGCCGACAGCAGTATCAATTGTGAATGCCATTCTTGATCTACTACCGACCTCCTCGACGGATTTCATGTATAGCGTATAGCTCAGACTGTCATACATCCTGAATCATGAGGCTTTGTTTGGCACGTGAGTGGAAGATTAGAGTTATCGGCCCGCGAGCTACCGACACCGCGGGCAAGGGTCCGAGCATCTCAAGGATTCATGAAAGTCAACTTCCGTCTGATCAACTTCCATTTGCAATCACACACCATCCAGAATGAAACCATCAATATCCCCCCTCCGCCACCTCTCCCGCAATGCCCGAATCTCCGCCATCCGCCGCGGCACCACCCACCCAAGAACCTACGCAACAGTATCACGCGAGCAACCCACATCATCAGCAGCCGCAGCAGCAGACGACACCTCCCTCTCCCAAATCACCACCCTGCCCAACGGCATCCGCGTAGCCACCGAGGCCAAACCGGGCTCCTTCAGCGGCATCGGCGTCTACATCGACGCCGGCTCGCGCTACGAAAGCGATGCCCTGCGCGGAGTCTCCCACATAATCGACCGTCTAGCCTTCAAATCCACCGAAGACCATTCTTCGGACCAGATATTCGAGAAGATGGAGATGCTGGGCGGGAATATTCAATGCGCTTCCTCCCGCGAAAGTCTAATGTATCAGTCCGCGACGTTCAATAGTGCTGTGCCGGATACTATTGCCCTGATTGCGGAGACGATACGGGATCCGGTGATTAGTGATGAGGAGGTGGGACGGCAGCTGGAGACGGCCGAGTACGAGATTGGGGAGATTTGGGGTAAGCCGGAGTTGATTTTGCCGGAGTTGGTGCATATGGCTGCTTATAAGGATAATACGCTCGGAAATCCATTACTCTGTCCGAAAGAGAGGTTGGATGTGATTGATCGGCGGACAGTGGAGGCGTATCGGAAGAACTTCTTTCGACCGGAGCGGATGGTTGTGGCATTTGCGGGGGTGGAACACAATGGGGCCGTGGAGCTGGCAAAACATTATTTTGGGGATATGAAGGATCCCATGGCCAGGACACCGACCACCCGATCTCAAAAACAGGGAGAGCAACATTTACAACCACCCTACCCGACGTCGCAAGTCCCACCACAAAAAGACAGCAAACTAATGTCCCGCCTCCCCTTCCTCAAGAACCTCTCCACCTCCGCCAACCAAAAAGCCACCGTCTCCCCTCTAGACCCAAATCAAATCATACCTCATCCTCTGGATCAAGCGATAGACTACACCATCCCCTCCCACTACACAGGCGGCTTCCTAACCCTCCCACCCCTCCCTATCCCCCCTCAACCCTCTCTTCCGAGAATCTCCCACATCCACCTCGCCTTCGAATCCCTCCCAATCAGCAGCCCAGACATCTACGCCCTCGCCACCCTTCAAACCCTCCTAGGCGGTGGCGGCAGCTTCAGCGCCGGCGGGCCCGGAAAGGGGATGTACTCCCGCCTCTACACCAACGTCCTAAACCAATACGGCTGGGTAGAGAACTGCCAGGCTTTCAACCACGCTTACACGGACTCGGGACTGTTCGGCATAAGTGCAGCGTGCGGGACACAATATGTAGGACGCATGATGGATACCATGGCGAGGGAACTCTCCCTCCTCTCCGCCGAAACGGGTCTAGGCCGCTTATCCGAAATCGAAGTCAAGCGCGCAAAGAACCAACTCCGTTCCTCCCTCCTCATGAACCTCGAGAGCCGAATGGTGGAGCTAGAAGATCTAGGCCGACAAGTCCAAGTCCATGGCCGCCGGATCCCGGTTTCGGAGATGGTGAGGTCGATTGAGGAGGTGAGTATGAAGGATTTGCGCCGGGTAGCTAAGGAGGTTTTTGGTGGGGGGGTGGGGAATCCGGGTCAGGGATCGGGGGCGCCGACGGTGGTGTTGCAGCAGGGGGAGGAGGAGGGGGTTAGGTTTCGGGAGGTTGGGTGGGGGGATTTGCAGGAGAGGATTGGGCGGTGGGGACTGGGGAGGCGGTAGGGAGGTGGGGTTGTGTAGAGTGTAGGACGGGGGTAAGATGCATGGGCAATCAGTTGACGGACTGGGGGAGGTTTTGTATAGTATAGTATAGCATTGCAGGTGGCGTACGGCGAGGTGGGTGTGTACAGTATAACAGGCCCAAGCACATGCGCACGTTGGGGAATATCCGACTTCGATCTCGACTTCAGGCTCGCGGTGCGTAGATAGAGTGTAGATATCCGAGACGAGCTCTTCAAATTTGACCAATTGTTTTCGTGCTCCGACTACAATCATATCCCATATCCCATATCCCATATCCCAATCCCGTTTCGTCAAACGAAGCGAGTCCGAAACCCGCTCCCCAAACCCGCTCTAGTAGTCAGGAATTTCGCCCCCGAAAATCCCCTTCGGCTTTCTCGGCTGCGAAAGCCGCTGCCTCGCGGGATGCGATGGGGTGATTGGTTGAGGCGATACTCAATCCCCGTCTCTTGGAGCCTCCACTTCATCTCGCCTGCGATCCTGCGCCGCGGCTGCATGACATTTCGGGCTCGAAATCATAGTCCATATTGCTACCTGCTATGGATTTCGACATTTGTTGGTGCCGTTGTACGAGGGGTGGCTTGCTTGCTTGCTTGCTTGCTGCTCGGGCTATGGGTGACGGTTTGAGGGTAGGTGTGTATATAACCCTCATGGCCACTGGGTCTGTGGATGATCTTTCCTTACTTTCTCATCAGCATATTTCTTCTGCAGTCACCTGAGCAATAAGGGCAAGAACATCCATCAGTACTCACTTGAGCTGACCAGAAGCACATACCATCGTCTTCCCTTTCGTTCATTCTTGGACTTTTACTCCCAGCTCAGTAGTAAGAACCATCAAACACCAAAGACACAATGGCACCCCAACAGCAAAACCCCCAGGGTCCCCTCAACATGAGCCCGCCCCGCCCAGAAATTTCAATCCTCATCTCCGGCGCCGGCATAGGCGGCCTTATGACAGCTCTAGAACTCCACCGCTACGGTTTCCAGCACATCCGGATCTTAGAACGCAATCCCCACAACTCCCACCTCGGCGACTCCTTCACCATCGGTCCCACAGCTGTTCAGGCTTTCAGGAATTGGCCTTGGATGCAGCAGAGGAGTGCAGAGATTGGGTATGAGCCTTTGGCTGCGATGCATACGTGTACTGGTGAGCGGTTGAAAGGGCCGATGGAATTTGGGGAGTTGATGGGTGGGAAAGGTGGGAAAGGTGGAGAGTTGGGCGGGAAGCAGACTGATCTGGTGCCGAAAGTGTATAGGCACACGCGGCCAAAGTTTCACGGTATGCTCCTTGAGCAGCTGGAGAGTGTAGGCATTGCAGTCGAGTACGGGAAGGCGGTTGCTTCTTACTTTGAAGATGCTAACGGAGGGAAAGGTGGGGTGGTGCTGCAGGATGGGGAGAAGATTACTGCTGATCTGGTCGTGGCGGCTGATGGCATTAATACAAATTCGCAGGAGCTGATCACGGGTCATCCTGTTCCGGCGAGACCTAGTGGGAGTGCGATTTGGAGGGTTGCTTTCCCTGTGGAGATTGCGATGGAGGATCCGGCTGTGGCCGAGAGGTTTCGGTTGATGGAGGATGGGAGGAGTGTGATTGAGTTGTGGTTTGGGTATGCTATCCCGAGTTGAAAATGTGTGGCAGAAGTGAGCTGACTGGTTACTGCAGACCTGGAATGCACGGCGTTTTCTGGCGAAGTGAAGATCAGATGAGTTGGGCTATCACACATCCTGTAAATCCGCCCACTATTCGCAACTTGTGCTTCGACTAACATCACTCGCAGGACGAGGGTACAGCCGCCGAGTCGTGGCTGCATCGATCGTCACCAGAAGAGGTGCTGAAGTTCACGGCGAAGATACCCGGATGGCCTGAAGTAGCCGATCGAGTCATCAAGCTCACGCCACCTGATCAGCTCGTGCATTGGCAGCTCAAGTAAGTCTAAATTGTCTTCCACACGCCCCGCTCCATTGCTAACACCCTGATCAGATGGCGAGACCCACAACCAAAGTCAACATCACCAGCCGGTCGAGTAGTACAGCTCGGTGATGCCGCACACACCTTCCTACCCACCTCAGGCAGCGGTGGCACGCAAGCAATGGAAGATGCCGTCTCTCTCGCCACCTGTCTCTCCCTCGCAAAGGATCCCGCCAAGATCCCAGAAGCTATTTGTGTCCATGAACTCCTCCGCTTCCAGCGCGTCTCATGCCTTCAAGCTTTCGGAGTGAAGAACGCCAAAGACTTCCGCAGCGCGGGTGAAAAGCCTAGCACGGCGAAATCTATCCCGGGCACAACTGAAACCGCGACACAAGCACAAGGACCGCCAGCACCAGCATCAACAGAGACACCGAAGCCTGCAGCCAAAGGTCCGCCACTGGTTCATGTGGCGAAGTGGATGCTCGAGCACGATCCTGAGCAGTATGCTATCGACAACTACGGCAAAGCGTTGAGTCATTTAACGCACGATACTGAGTTTGAGAACACTAATAAGCCGATGAATATGCAGTACAGACCTTGGACGATTGATGGACTGTTGGAGGCACAGAGGAAGGGCGAGCCGACTGTGCTTGATGGGGATTGGAGTTGATGTGTGGAATGGCCTCTGGATTTGGTTGGTGGTAATGGGACAGAACGCATTTTGGTGTCAGTAGCTCATCTCTTCTCACGCTTGTGTATTACGTATCCTGATACCACGTACCACTGAACGGACAGTAACAGGCAAGTATATTCGCCATTTCCATCCTGGTGTAGGCTCTTGAGCCTCCAATGCAGGTCACAAGTCTATCATTGCCAACTACCACAGGCAATGGCAGTAAAGATCCGGCAGTAGATCTGTGTAAGCTGTGATATGCCTAAGCGATGGCTGTACGACTGTCACCATTGCACCGTGACACTATCCCGGATATACACTGCAAAAGTACGAACCCAGCGGGTGTGGGTTGCTCTTTGTTCTTGTCCTTCTGTTCATTGCACATGTCAACAATAATGGCCGAATTCTCTGATGGATCGAAGATGGCAATGTAAGAAGATGGATTTGTGGCCAGGTCTACGAGATAGCATTAAGGTCAGTCTATGCTGCAGGAACACATTACACTTAAGATCATCATCCGTACAGGGTCAATACATATACTGTCTCTTATCCGGTACTCAAGTCGACATATAATCTGAGCTCGAAGTGTAGAATCGGTCGACTTACGCCTTGCAGGAATCACTGCAGACCAGTATAGCCGTCCAGCAGGCCAAGCGCAAAAGCACATCCCTGCACCGTCATGATGCGAGCCACTCATGCGAGCGTCGCTTCGCTCGCCAGCCTTCTCATCCAGCTTGCTACCGCCAAGATCCACTACGGCATCGCCAACTATGCCAACGGCAACAAAGACCACGCGACCTGTGAGTCGCACGCCTGACCTCACTTTCCGCCGGACATCGTGCTGACAGCCAACGCTAGGGGTCGACGGCGAAGACGCCTGCCAGTATACCTATATCGGCAACGCCTTCACGAACCCCTGTGACTTTAACGACCGCATCTTCTTCTTGCCAAACGGGACGGACTGTCAGCTTACTGGATGCAACGACATCGATATCAGTGCTTCGACGCTGACGGAGGTCGATACGACTAATGCTTGGCCGGCGAAGTTTGATGACTGGTATAATGCTGCCAGTGGCTGTGAGGACCAGTATGGAGGGTACTATGTTGATCAGTGGTGATCCTTTGGCTGAACAGCTCGTGCTTCGTGGTTGTTGCAGCTTCGACGTCGCAGTTGGAAGATGGAGTGGTTCATAGTAGAAGTGTTTGGTAGTCATCGCAAAGGGTCCTCTAGTAACTCGGTCATCGAAATGCCTTCCTCTAGATACGTATCAAATGGAAGCCCATCCAACGAGGATTAGACCAGGGGCAGTTGCTACATTGACCCCATCGGAGCTGCAGCCTTGCGAGCAATGCGAGTGATGCCGATACGGCGAACGTCGACAAGGTACGGGGCGTATGTCGCACTTCTGACCGTTGTTCAGTAGGGCTCGCTATAATTTGACCATTTGCATACTATCCATCGCATTCAGTCGGTTCGACATCCGTCCGTCTACCGTCTATTGATAGGGTTCACGCAAGAGGAACTCTTGCTCTTGAGTCGTCAACCTCACTAACTCCGACCCCACATCAACGCCACAGATGCTTCTTTTGGACTTGCCGCTCGTTTGTGGCTGCAGGTTCTCAGTTTAAGTCCGTCTGCTACACACTTGGCCGTTGAACCATTGACAAACACCACGTAGGCATCACGAGTTTGACGGAAGAACATTCTCCGACTGAGCAGACATATAAAGCGCTGTGTTGCTCGACAAGACCAAACTTCTCACCACTACAAGTGAGCTTTCCAGACCTCCTCAAACTTCCGCATCAACCTTTCAGACTGCCCCAGTCTATACGTACGTTGACCTCGATATTACACAATGCATCAGAACACGCAGCCAGAAGCCTACCAGTCCTACCCGGCGATTGCGCCAGAGAAGTACAAGGGCAAGCTTGATGGACAAGTGGTACGCTCATGAACCTCACTACAGCTTCTACGTGATGACATTTGACACAGCGACTAGGCCATCGTAACTGGCACATCTGCTGGCACAGGCGTACCGATCGCCAAAGCTCTCGCCGCAGCAGGCGCCAGTGTGGTCTGCGTCGCCCGACGTGAGCCCGCTATTAAATCACTCGTCGAGGAAATCAAAGCAGCTGGCGGGAAAGCTATCGCTGTAGCTGAAGATGTAGCCTCCAAAGGTGCTGCCCAGCGTATCGTCAAGCAGGCCGAATCTGCTTTTGGACCCGTTGATATCCTGATCAACAATGCTGGCATCTCCCGGATCGGTCCTGTCGCGGAAGAACCAGATGATGTCGACCTTTGGTGGCGTGTTCACGAGGTCAATGTTCGTGCGCCGGTTGCCCTCACTCGCGCCGTACTACCCGGTATGATCGAGCGCAAGAAGGGCTATGTCATATCCATCAGCTCTGGTGTCCTCTACATGGCGCTTCCATGCATGAGCGCCTACTCATCCTCCAAGGCGGCCATCACCAAGTTCCACGAGGCACTCGCTATTGAGCTGCAAGGCACTGGTGTCTATTCCTTCACAAGCACCCCTGGTGTGGTCAAGACTGAACTCGGCGCCCGTAAGTGGATCATACAGTCAACATTGTTCGGACCAAAGCTAATCTTTCGTGTAGCCACTGATGCTATCAACAAGAACGCAATGGAGCACCCAGGCATGAAGGCTTTCTTGGGCATGATGAACAACCCCAATGCTTTCAAACCGCAGGACGCTGATGTACTTGCCAACCTCACTGTCGCTATGGTTGTCGATGACTGCTTCAAGTCACTCAATGGCAAGTTCATCAATGGCTCGAAGGACGCCACAGCGATCATGGAAGAAGCTAAGAAGGAGGGCGCAGGACGCATCGGCAGCGAGGACATGTACACAGTCAGGATGCACCAGCTGTGAGGCGTGGTACATAATTCGGGCGTCTACGTACTGTCGATCGATAGATGTACTGAAGTGCAACCAATTACGTGATTACAACACGAACGGAGCGGACTCCACTATTCGTTGTTCAGTCTTGTGATGGAGATAGCTTCACCAGGAAAAGGTCAGACTTGGTCAAGCCTTCACTTGAAACTTGGCACTGAACCCTAGCCTGTGACGTCTTGGCCAGCTCCACCTCTATAAACGCATCCCAACCCACTGCCTGACCTACAATCATACTTCGAACAACGATTCAAAGACAATCGAGCAACACACCTTCAAACAATCAATCAACGACAGACCACTCAGCAACAACATGTCTGGTCTCATGGACAAGGTCAAGGATGCGGGCCAAGGCATGCTCGACAAGAAGTCGCAGCCAGGCGATGGCGTTGAGCGCAAGGCGGACGATGGCGCCAACTCGAGTATGATGCCTTCCGTAATGCTTCAAAACAGGTGCTGACAACTACGACAGAGATTGACGACGTTGCCAACCAGGCTGGTGTGCCTCAGGGAGACGACCAGCAGATTGACAAGGTCGCCGATGCGAAGGTCAACAGCGACATTCCGTTTGGTAACAACTGAGTTCGACCAGTCCATCAGTAGTCGACGAGAACATGAGACAAAATGAATGTTGATAGCAGAATCCAAACTTGCACCAGCCTCACATCTACCTCTTCAACGTCTTCTGCTTCTCTGCACTCTCTACCACTTTCTTGTTCAATGCCAACCCTTTCCTCCTTCTGACACGCTCGACATACCTCATAGCCACATTCTCCTTGTCCGCCTTCTCGCCCAGATCCTCCAGTTCCTCCTCCGTTGTAGGCACCCAGTAAGGATCCTCATCCAGCATCTCGAAACCCTCGAAAACGAGCTGAGGAGCTGCGAAGCCAGATGTGCGTTGCCTGATCTCATCACTGAAGCCGAACGATTCAGCAACTGGCAGCAAAGCCAGAATCGTGAAGTTCGTGCTAGGCTCAAGAAGTGACTCGGACACGATACGACCTCCACGGCGGGTGATCACACCATAGACGCGACCTAGGACTTCGGCTGATGCTTGGATCTCGCAACTGTACATTGCGAGTAGAATGCGGGGAGACCAGTCGAGGAAGCCTTGCCGGATGGATTCGCGAGTAGTCCGAATGATCTCGCCGGTGAGCCTACCAACGTTCTGTGAGGCTTCATCGTCTGAGCAATGGGTGCAGATATCTTCCAGGATCACCGCAACCCCTTGCAAAGGCTCATTGCACATTGGTCCCTGGTAGGTAGCGAGCTGGAAGGCATAAGCAACTTTGTCAGCGAATGTTGAGTAATGCTTAGCAGCCTTGTTATCAGTGTCATCTGCTTCGATTTCGTGTTCTTCCCGGAGGCTGTAAGGAATTAGCATTAAATTATTGTGGTCGGGGTTCGAATGACTCACAATTTGCCACAAACCATGTCGTGGGTCATGTCGACCAGGACATTAGGACCAACTCGCCTAGGACCAAAAGCGGCGATGCGCTCGACAGCATCCTTCCAAACTTCCCTGTCAGCCTTCTCCCTCGTAAAAGCCGAAGTAAGCTTCTCCTTGAACTCGGCCATGGAAAGATTTTGTCCTGCCTCAGCCGAAGTATCTTCGGCTTCGATCTCTTGCTCACCAACGTCCTCCGGATCAGCTCCTATGCCTTCGTCCTGGCCGTTGCCACTCGTGCGCTCCTGATCCTGAGCCTGTCGCTCGGAGTACAGTCTCTTGATGGCACCAGTATGCTTCACGAGGAATTCAGTGACGGGCGCTGGAAGCGGTCTGACTCGTACTCGTATGGTGACCTGCTTGCTTGTCGTTACGCCTTCGACACCACCACGGCCAAGCTCTGGATGCTTCGCAGGATTCATCTCCTCGCCTTTGACGATGCTCTCTCGGTACGGCACAATAGCTTCACCAGCCTGCACTTCGCACTTGGCATAACGCTCCTGTAAGTCCTTCAAGCACCGCTCAAGATGCAGCTCACCAGCTGTAAGTATGACATGCTCTCCACTCTCTAGCTGCTCGTATACCACAGCAGGATCAGCTTGTTCAAGCAGCTTGAGTCCTCTGATCATCTTGTCCAGATCACCTGGGTTTGCTGGCTCGAGCGCGACACGGACAATGGGCGCATTCGTGGATATTGCAGTAGTCGACGATAGATTTGGCGCGCCCTCCAGTTGCGAGCAGATCGTACCAGATTTCACGATTGCGCCTTCGAGACCCGCGATACCGACCACGTTTCCAGCCGGTACAGAGTTCAAAGACTCCAAGCTTCGGCCCATGAGTAGATACAGAGCAGTGATCGTGACTTTCTTTGGCTGTGGGCTTGCGTGTGGCCGTGCTGGCGTGTACTTGGGCGGCAAGACATAGACTTCGTCTCCAACGGTCAGAGTACCCGAGAAGAGTCTGGCAAACCCGATGAGATGTTCGGGATCTGTCTCCAGTTCTTGCCCGTTCGTAGAAGGCGTCGTCCCGATCTGATCCTCGTCTCCGATAGCAGCACTACTCAGTGCATCGGTCACGGAGCTCACATCAGCTTCACCATTGGCTTGTGCTTGAGATCTGGCGATTGCAGCTCGCTTCTTGCGACCCAACTCGCGAGCTTCTTCGGCACTTAGCATGCCACCTCGTCGTTTGTTCATGGGAAGTTCGCTCTCTGGCACTGACACCATCTTGCTCACATATGCAACTACTGGCTCACCCACGGTGTTTGACGAATGTGTCATAGCGCTCTTGATCTTCTCGTCGACATGATCCGAGCCAGGTGACGCCTCGATCAACGCAGGTATCCGTGCTTCTTGTGCTGTTGGAGGATTTGGTAGCTGCTCGATCACAGATACCAGAAGAGCAGTCGAAAGTGGTAGCCATGCGCTAAACACGGCGCTTAGAAGCGCCTTGGGGTCCTTCGATCGCATTATGTGGGCGGGAATATTGATACTCAAACTCTTCGTGATCTTTTCGAGCAGTGGCTGGTCACCCTTGCCATTTGGCCCACCAGTCGTGGCTTCGTAGACAGCCCATACTTGTTCCAGCACAAGTTGGACGAACATTGGCTTGAGGTGTCTGCCTTTCAAATGCTTCGGTCCCAGCACTCGCTTCGTCTTCGGATCCAAATAAAAGTCACCCCACAGCACTTTCTCCAGGATTTGGCGCTTGATGCCTAGCTTCTTCTCATACAGGCCGGCGAATTGTCGTGGTGTGAATGCCCAGCCATCTATAGCGGATGCAAAGATTACGTTGTTTCTTTCCGGCTCGAAATAGATATCCTCGTCTTCTTTTTCCTCATACTCTGCTGGTGTGCTAGTGATCACGCCCTCGTCATCCTCCATGACTTGAGCTTTCCGAGACTTTGGAGCACCGCCATTTACATCTTCATCCTGATCTTTGGCTGCGGCTGCAGCGGTCACCTTCTCGTCGATGCGTTCGCGCCACCTCAGGTCGTCCTCCATTCGCTCACCTAACGAGAAGGAGCCCATTACGGCGTTGACCTGTTCCAGTAGCTTACTCAGATGTGTGTAAGCTTCGCTAGGGCTGAGCTTCCACTCAGTGATGAGGCGGTCCATCTTGTTTATGACGAGTATAGGTTTGAGTCTCTCGTTCCACGTTTGCCTCAGCACAGTGACTGTCTGTGAGCATACGCCCTCGACCGCATCTACAAGCACCACAGCGCCGTCACAAAGTCTTGATGCCGTCGAGACCTCTGAACTGAAGTCGATATGTCCAGGCGAGTCAATCAAATTGATCAAGTACTCTTTCTGCTCTGGTTGAGCTTCGGGAGTATTTCTTCGTAACAACGAGAAGTATAGCGATATCGCCGACGACTCCATCGTAATGCCCCGTAGTTGCTCATCGGGTCTGGAATCCAGATATCGGATCTTGCCCGCTAGTTTAGGTGAGATAATGCCATTTGTGGCAATGAGTGCATCTGTCAAGGACGTTTTCCCATGGTCCTGGACTGGAGCATAAGAGGAAGGTATGACTCTGAGGGATGTGCAGCACTTACAACATGAGCCAGGATGCATATCTATCGAGTATTAGCTGCTGAACCATCAGTATAGCAACAACAGCCAAAGCACGTGGACCTACGTTTCTAATGCCTTCCCCCTGCTGCTGGAGCTTGACCAGCTTCTCTGGTGGTACGACAGGCATGTTGAGTTAGGGCTTGATGTGCAGGTCTTGCACTCCAAACCTACTGTCACGCAAAATATGCACTAATGAATGTGCATTTATATAATTATGTAGTGGCTCAGAAATTCTGGCTCATGATAGGTCATGAGTGGGTGACATCGGAATCGTTCCGCCGCGATATGCACAAGGTACATGTACTGTATGCATGCCACCGGCCTTTTGCGTCATGTTCCTGGCTGTGTATTATTGGGCGCGGCAAGGGTGTCGCACGAGCATACTGGGTTGTTGTGAATGTGAAACATACCACCTTCTGTATACGTTCGTGATCAACTCCCGACCTATATGAAGATCGTAGTCCCTGCGGCCGCCACCCCATCCCATGCTAACGGTCGAGGAAGCCACACATATTAGCACAAAGTCAAACCTTTCTCCCCGACGACCCTCTCGTTTCACTTACTGGTCGCATGGATCTGGTCTGGTTCTAATGCTGCTGGTATTGTTGACTACCAAGCCATAAGACCATAAACTTTACCAACACACAGCACAATGGCGACGTCCACGAGCGCCACACATGCACAGCCTATTCCGGCGTCTCGAGCGCCTCAACGTACCAACATCATGATCCCCAAGTCTGTACAGACACTGAAGAGCCCACATTTGACGCTGGATACAATGTCTCCGGTTACGCAGAACGGCTCGTTCGAGTTCGATCGAGTGATCAAGAGCGGCCGAGTTCTGAAGCGTACTCGGAAAACGAAGGTATGATAAGTTGCTTGTCCTCCCGCCTGGAGCATAGCTAAGCTGTGACATAGTCATGGAAGCCAGTATACCTTGTCCTGCGACCCAATCTGCTATCTATATATCGTGACTCGGACGAATCGAAACTCAAACATCAGATCAACCTGTCAGATCTCACAGCAGTTGCTCGGCAGAAGGACCCTAAGAGGAAGGAGAAGCATGTCTTTGGCCTGTTCTCACCGTCCCGGAACTTCCATCTCGAAGCTTCAAGCGATAAAGATGCACAACATTGGGTCGAGCTTGTAAGACGAGAAGCACGTATGGACGAAGAGGAAGAAGAGGAGATATATCTTGCAAGCCCTGGAGGAGCGAGAAGTGCGTATCGAGGCTTTGGCCGCAGCATAGATGCCGTAGCCACTGCTGCGACCGATGCCGGAGGGTATAGCTCCTCTGATGGCGAAGGTACGGGTGGAACACACACTCTCCCCAAACAGCGAGACCGTGGGAGTACCAACGTGAGTGCCTTCAGTGGGTTCAGTGCACGTCGACCGTCACAAGCGGAGTACTCTGGTCCAGAACATGGCTCGTACTCCGACTTCTCCGACTCTGGTGGTGCCGCTGCTGCACAGCTGTCAGCCTTGTCACTAGCATACAGCGACGCTCGGCCTTCGACCAGCTCGCAGCCACGTCAAGCAGGAACGAACTCAGTATATGGCTCATCGTCAAGTAGACCAGGCATGGGAGCAAGAAGTGCGAGTCAGATGTCTATGCCGGGCTTTAGTCCGATTACTGACCCGACCAAGAACTCCGTCTACCAACAGCAGAACCCACAAGGCAACGAAAGAGTAATCTATCACGGCTGGATCTACCTCTTGAGAAGCAAGCGTGGAGTCCGCCAGTGGAAGAAGATCTGGATGGTCCTCCGGGCGAAAGCATTGGCACTTTACAAGAACGAAGAAGAGTATACTGCTTTGCTAATACTACCATTCCCGACAATCATCGATGTGGTGGAAATAGACCCGATATCGAAGAGTAAGACAGCTTGCATGCAGGTACTGAGCGAGGAAAGGAATTACCGCTTTTGTGCGACAGACGAGGAGAGTCTTGCGAAGTGGCTTGGTGCTCTGAAGAGCTTGTTGAGCAAGCGCAAGGGCAAAGAATCTGTTGTTTCATTACAACAAGGAGGCGCTGTGCAGCCGCTGGTTACAGCAACCGCCGCATGATGTATTATGATACCCTTTATGACTGACGTAGCACTACAACTTTGCGTGGATCGTTCGTTGAACCTGTTTGGAAGTATGTTACAATGCTTTTGCTCCATCGCAATGCAAAACAAATCCTGAGATGCCATGCTATGCTGCAAACAACCAGTACTATACTGAAGAATCGAAGTGCCCGTCAAAGCTCAATCGTGAACGCCTCCCTGATCCTCTGACCATAGTAGTACAGCACAATCGGAGCCGGTGCTATGGCCACGCTCAGGAAGCCGAAAACGCTTACACCCTACACGTGAGTAATGTCAGCACGGAACAGAACTGAACAAGGCTCGGAGCATGTACTTACCCAACCATATCCGAGCTTATCAAACATAGCCGGAGCAAGCAGAGGCACCACCCCACCAATCAGACTCCTGAATAGAGCACCTGCAGCAATAGCAGAAGCGGCGTACTTCTCAAAACTGTCGATATAGTAGTTCTGCGTGGTATTGAGTATCATCACTTGACCAAGACCGTAGAAGAAGGTGGCACTGATAGAGGCAATCCAGTGCATATGGTACTCTACCGTCCACGCGAACCAGAAAAGTGATATCGGGATCAGGATAGCACCGATATTAGCAAGTGGCAGCCGAAACTCTGGCCGCGCTTTACCGCCATTCTTCTCTGTTAAGCGATTGTATACTGTGTCGATCCGTGGCACCAGAAACCATACTGCGGCTAAGAAGCCTAGACCGGGTCCCAGATACAGCAGGCCGACTTGCTCGGTATTGAAGCCATATTCGCCTTGATAGATTGGCTGCATGTTCGTGTAGATACTGTATGTTGTGCCGAAGATTAGAGCTTGGTATGTGCTCATCGTCAGAACAATAGGCTGGAACAGAATCCTCGGAGGGCGCGCGAGCGAGCTGGCTAGCTTGCGCCAGAACGGTCTGTCGTCTTCGTTCTCGAGACGGTACTTATTCCACGTATTCTCTTCGTTCTCTAGGCGTTGCTTTCGCCGCTGAAGGAGCACAGGAGCGAATGTCTCTTTGAGAAAGATGTATCCCGCGATCGTGTTGGCGGCGCAGACGATAGTCAGGACCCAGAAAATCCAGCGCCAATCGAGTCTCTGGACTATGATTCCACCAAACAATGGTCCAAGTGTTGGGCCAAGTAGTGGGCCTAGCAGATACCAGCCGAATATTCCTGCTCGTTGTTTCGGTGGGAACATGTCTGATATCGTGCCACCTCCGTTTGCTATTCCTACACTGCCGAACAAGCCGCTGAGCGTACGCATGGCAATCAAGGTGGCTATGTTCGGTGCCAACGCGCTTGGAATCTGCAGCAGTGTGAAGATGGTGAAGCAGACCAAGTATACTATACGTCTTCCGAACGTCTCACTCAACGGAGCCAATATCAACGGTCCTACGCCCAGCATTATGACGAAGCCTGTCGTACATCCTATCACCGTCTGTGTGTTCGTCTCCAAGCTCTCAGCGATCTGTTCTATGCCCGGTGTGAACATGGAGGATGCTAGAGGTGACAGGATGCTCATCAAGGCAATGATGAAGACGTTGGTCATCTTGTGTACTCGGGTCCATTGTCGTGGGTTCTCCTTGTCTTCGTCCGTAAAGGAGATGAGGGCTCGCGTATCTCGACTATCACCACCTTCGCCAGCGTCAGAGTGGGAGCCGAGGAGTGGCTGCTGTTCGTCGTTGCTCTGCTGTCGTTCATCATTCTCTCGTGCCATCGAGTTGTGTTACTGCTAGTCCAGCTGATGAGATTGTGAGGTGTTGCTTGGGAGCAAGAGTAAAGGCCAGAATGAAACCGGGTTGGGTTTGGTCCGTGTTTGCCAGACCTACTACACGCTTACTATCACACGCTTACTATCCCACTAGCTACTACTTACGCACTCTTAGTAGCGGCCTGCTCGTGCGACTGCGACGGCATGATATCATCCACGCGAGATTGATGATCTACAAGCGATCCAAGATCTGGGGCTCAAACCTTAGATCAGAAGTTCAGCACTAGTGCTACGGTGGTCTATATGTTCCAGTGTACCACCTGATAGTATTTTTGGTTTAGATTCCCAACTTCACCACAAGACATATCTCTTTAGGCTTGCGTTGGCAACGGACCATGAGCATGCATAGTGCATGCGGCGGCTGACATAGACCACCTCTGACTACTGCCCAGAGATGGTCATAAAAGCTCAGTCCTAGCCGTGGGCAGCCACGAAGGAACATGACCACAATCAACCCTTCGGTGCTAGCATCGTTGCTACAACATGTCCCGCAAGAAAGTCGCAGCATAGCAGTCAGAGCCGCTGTTGATAGCATCAGGCAAGGTAGCGTGAGTGAGATAGGTCCGCTCGGATCTCTTCTTGGCCAATATCCGGACAGTGATGCCGAGCAGAATCTGGCTTTGCACCTACGGGAGCTACTGGACGATGGCAAGACGCCTGCCACCACAGAGCTGCCTGATGGTATTCGAGACGACCTACTGGGGTATGCCGTGATTTGTCTCGAGAGGACCGTTGGTGATCTGGTTCGCGGCCGGGGCAGGTCGGTCGAGGTATCCATGGAACGCATGCCTGGCTTGCTAGCCAACAGAGAAGCGGAAGTCGACTCGGGAGCAGAAGAAGCCATACTGGACTTCCAGCATATCAAATTTCTGCTCGCCTTCGCAAGGTCTAGTGTCAGATCAGATTCCCCCAAGAATGTGGTTGATGGTCTACTCAACGCTGCCATAGTTCTGAGTGGCTGCGCTGACCGAGATATCGCTTCTGCAGCCTCCAGTGTGCTGAGCTGGCAAGTCAAGCTCGGCCTCACTGATGATACCTCGCGTGCATCACAACTATGGTCATGGCTGCAAGCATTACTGTCCAGCTCTGAGGCCTTCTACCGCAATCTTGCGTTCTCGCTGTGGCTGCGATGTGCAAGTTCTCACGGGAAACTGCTACTTCAGTGGATGAAGACGACGTACTGGTCTCTGCTACAAGAAGGCATGCAGAATGGGGATGCCGAACGTCGAAAACAGTGCCTCGCAATACTGCGGCAGTCTGTTGTGTTGGCAGCAGGGATCGACAGCTTATGTGGAACCATTGGCAATGATCTTGTGACCACGAAAGGTACGTTCGATATCTGTTGCCTTCCAAATGTGTCGTTGGCTTATGCTCGCTCAGACATTGGGCCACCAGTGAAACCGGAATTGAAAGGTAGAGCATGATATTCGACGTCCCGAGCTGACATACATCATAGATAGCGCCGCTCTCGTTGAGCAATACGAACGCTACTGTACTGTTTTCGAGACGGTCCTGCTCGGCCGCTACCTCAATCAGGTCATCGCCACAAAGCCAGACCTTGACTTCCTCAGCAAGTCCACGTCTCTGGTCAGAACAGCTTGGCTACACGTTCTACTTGCTGCAGCCTTGCATCCCAAGATCCAAGACTCAAATCGCAAGTTCATCGGAAACTGGATCATGCGCTCGAAATTCCAGTCGGAGTGTTCAGCAGAATTTGTGCGCTTCTTGGAATCTGCGTTTCTGCCTTGGGCTACCCAGGGCTCACTCTTCACTTCTACACTAAGCGAGGACGAAGGGCGTCTGCGATGCACTCATGGCGAGAGGCTGGCCGACTACATCTGTGGCCTGCTCGAGGCCAACGCCGTCAATAATACCTTGGCATTATCCATCGTGGACGCTGTCCTCGACCTCATCGTGAACAGGCGTAGTGGCAACTTTGCGTACGCAAGTGTTTACTTGTTAGAGGGAGTAGCCCAAGGACTCCAAGTTTCTCCAGCAGTCAGGCTGGAACAGAAGCAACTTCGCAGGATCGCTGATCTGTCTACATGGGCAGCTCTGCCAGAGGTGGCAAGAGACTTTGTCTTTTTGCGGTGCTTGAAGCTATGCGCTGAATCCCCAACGTCAAGCACGAGCACGAACGACAGAGCCACGTCTCGAGCAGGTAGTCGATGGTCTGAACTCCAGAAACTGCTTCAAGATAGTACAAGCGACGTCCTGCTTAGGGGACCAGTAGCGGCGTGGGATACCAAGTCATCAAAGCGAGACCAGCTGGAGGCTGCAGCTTTGGAGAAATGTGGTTACCTTCGTGCATTGCTCAACGGAGAGGCTAGAATATCAGCCGAGGTCCTAATGACACAAGTCGAGGATATTTGGAGTGAGATGGAGTACCTGGAGTACCCGAAAAACCTCCTCATGCAAATGCCAAGTCTGATCCTGCACAAGACAACTCTTGCACTGGCTCAAGATCACAACGAGGTTATGAGAATGGTGTCGGCAAGAATGAGCGACCTTCAAACTCTGTCAGCGAGTCGAGTCTACCTCTTTCCACCATTTGCCTGCGCCATCCGAAACCTCACAATCTTCAACGACGGAGCCACGGATCTCCTCGACATAGAAGATCTGATTATATGCTACGCTGATTGCTTGCCCGAGCCCACCGTGGACCTCCGCCTGGAAGATGCTACGACATATCTGCTACAATCGATAGAACCCAACATGACAGCGCGCTTTGGCTATGAGTATTACTTCGGTAAACGAGGGATGTTCGGCGTTGCTGCTCTGATCGATCTAGTAAGCAGGATGGGCAGCACAAACATTACACAAGCCATCTTCGATCGGCTCTTACAACGCTGGGCGAAGCAGAGAGCACCTGTGCCTAGTGTCAGCTCCTGGAAGACGACTTTGCAGCTGCAGCTTATGCTGCTCACTTGTGAGCAGATCTTGCCACATCTTGACGCTGAAGCAGTGTTGCAGAAGCTGCATTATGTGCTATCTATCGAGCCGCTACCTCGATATCGATATCTTCTCTCCTGGATCATTGCGCGGATATACCTGCAGAAGAAGGATCCACAGCAGCGTATTTTGAGCGAGCTTGGCACGAAAGATCATCATAGCAATCCGAAGTATCTTGCGTCACTACTCAAGATTGGCGTCATGATCGCGAAGACAGAAGGCACAGATCCTGAGTTTGCGTTCAAGCTAGCTTGCGCCTTCGTACCGCTCGCTGCGTCGTCCAAAGTAGTCATTCGGCACGAAGCTCAATGGCAGATTCCCAGACTTATGGACCATGCTGAAACACATGGTTGGGATCAGATCACGGGCAATGCTGCTTTTGTGGCCCTCAACGACTATATTCGCAGTCTGGAAAGATATGAAATACCGCCACTGGAACGACAGCTTGATCGCTTCGATCCTGTCCTCGATCACACCATGACGAATCTGGTTGAGGGGCCGTGGTATGGACTTGATAGCACGGAATCGCCACTCTGTGGTCGAGTAGACTTTTTGGCACTGTGGGAAGGTGATGCGCAGCAGGGAATCCAGAAGCTGGAGGCCTGCATACCTTTAGGCGATCCCATAGTGCTACCCACGATTGCTCCTCATGAGTCCTCCATAGCAGGGACGAGCAGCGTCGAGAACGCACAGGCTCTGACACCTTCCAAGGGAGACGTGTCGCGTGCTCTACAGACTAAAGGAACAGCGTACCTCACGAGCGGCCTCGAGAACGAAGCAGAGCAGTCGGCCAAGCGCAACGAGCTTATCGTGGTTGCCTCTCTCGTCGACAATCCATACAACCTCGGTGGCCTCTCCCGGGTATCAGAGATCTTCGGAGCTTCCGAGATGCATCTACAGAACCAGAACGTCACGTCGAACAAGGACTTCTCGAATGTGTCAGTGTCGTCTCATGTGCATCTGCCGATGTTCCAGCTCTCAGCCACCGCAGTAGTGGAATATCTGATGGAGAAGAAGCGGGACGGATGGTCGATCGTGGGTATTGAGCAGACTGATCGGAGTGTCTTGCTTGGCACAGAGGCATGCAAGCTGCCAAGGAAAACTGTGCTGATTATTGGAGGTGAGAAGGAGGGCATTCCGGCATTGGTGCTGGGAGAGTGCGACCTATTGGTTGAGATTCCGCAGCAGGGCATTACCAGAAGTCTGAATGTGCAGACTGCAGCAGGAATCGTGTTGTTCGAGTATACTCGACAGCATCGTGGTGTAGAAAGCAGCAGAGTAGATCATTATAGTTGATGGATCATGCACGTGATGCCTTGCCCGTTGCCACATAGCAACAATCTTATCGGCTGTGCGTTGAACTCTAGACGCGCACCAACAGAATGGCGTGGAGAAAGTGCCGAAGCGTCGATCGCAACGGTCAGCAAACGCACAGGCAGGCACTAATGACGGATGTATACACTGCTTCGTTTGCGCTTCAGACACACTCTCGACGACCTTTGTGAGGCCTTTGACCGGATCACTCATGACCAAATCGCGGCGTTGAATTCGAACGACATGGCGCATTATCGCGCGTCGACCGCGTTGGACAATTATCAGAGCATGGCGAGCACACCGAGTATGAGGAGCCGAGAGCCTGTTGAGGTGTTGCAGAGGCCTTCGACGCCGTCAGAGGATGGAGGGCATGTCAAGGTCGTGGTCAGAGTGAGGAAGTTCATCAAGCGAGGTATGCATATATCATGAACAAAAGAGATGAAGCATAATTCTGACATGTGGCAGAACTCGACAAGCAATCACCATGTATTATCGAAATGAACCCGAGCACAAACGAGACCACACTGCATCCACCCGTACAGGCATCAGAAGACGCCAAAAGCACGAAACGCGCATACGAGGAGAGGAAGTTCACATTCGACAAGTCCTTCTGGTCACATCGTGAGCAGGACGCACATTACGCACAGCAACACGATGTCTACGCATCATTCGGAGAGGAGTTCCTGGATCACAACTTTGATGGCTATCACACGTGCATATTTGCCTACGGTCAGACAGGATCTGGCAAGTCGTACACAATGATGGGCACACTCGACCAACCAGGCCTCATCCCACGAACATGCCGAGGACTGTTCGAAAGAGTCGAAGCCGAGCAGAACAGCAGTATAACCTACAATGTTCACGTGTCGTACTTTGAGATCTACAACGAGCACGTCAAGGATCTACTCACGCCTCGCACAACGCCTCCTACATATCTCAAGATCCGAGAGAGCAGGAGCGATGGCGTGTATGTGCAGAACTTGACCGACGAGCCGGTGAAGTGCTACGAAGATATCGAGAGATTGATGAAGATGGGTGATATGAATCGGACGACTGCGAGCACGAAGATGAACGATACTTCTTCTCGATCGCATGCCGTCTTCACCTTGACCCTAAAGCAGATCCAGCATGATATCGCGACGGACAGCACGATCGAGCGTCTGGCACGCATGCGACTTGTCGATTTGGCTGGATCTGAACGTGCTAACCGCACTGAAGCTACGGGGCAACGACTCCGCGAAGGTGGCAACATTAATCAGTCTCTTACCACGCTCGGACGGGTCATAGCTGCACTTGCTGATCCGAAGCGCCAACGAGCTATGCGCATGACCGGCCAGCAGAACCAGAGCAAACGAAGAGCAGATGTCGTGCCCTTCCGTGATTCCGTCCTCACCTGGCTGCTCAAGGACTCATTAGGAGGCAACAGTAAAACAGCAATGGTAGCCTGTATCTCACCAACCGACTACGAAGAAACACTCTCGACCCTCCGCTACGCCGACCAAGCAAAACGCATCCGCACCCAAGCACACGTCAACCAAGACGCCGTCTCAGCCGCCGAGCGCGACGCCAAGATCCTGGAGATGCAGGACACGATCAAAGCACTCCAATTATCCGTCAACAACGCCACACTCCGCAAACGAGACGAAGCCGACCGCGCACGAGACGAGATGGAAGACTACCAGCGCCAAGTCACGAAAATGCAGCGCGCGATGGAGGAATCGCGCGCAGTCTCCGAAGTCAAGATCCGTGCTCTCGCGCAGGAAGTCGAGGAGTTACGACCGCAGAATTTGGCTCTGCAACTCGAGATCGATTCGCTACGACGACATCTCGCGTTGGTGAAGGGGGAGTTGAAAGATCCGATTGTCATCCCACGTGAGCTGGCTATGGACGATGTGAAGGAAGAGGATGAGGAAGAAGATGGAGACTCCGATAGTGGCGTGGACGACAGCTTCTCCTTTCCTCATGGTGGTGCAGAGGAAGGTGGGTTTGAGCATGAGGCGTGGCAGGCGGATGTGGATGAGCTGTTGAAGGATCTGGGGATGTTTAAGAGGAAGGTTTGGGATGATAAGGAGAGGTTTCCGCATCCTGTTGTGGATGTTGGTGGTGGAGGGCAGGAGATTGGGGCGCTGTAGCCAGGGTTGCTGACTGACTTCTGTAGGCGAAGCTCGTTTGCGCATACACATGTAGCTCCGCCGTGAGCCGACCCCACAGCTGTATAAGTTCTGGCGCGGGAACGACATCTCACTTGTGTAGCTACTCCCGTCGCGAATCAAGAGCACGACTGCTCACTTCGTCCAGACCTTCTCACATCATGGCGACCAATCCGCCCACGATCAGAAAGGCTTCGGCGACAGTGCCTTTGATCTCACGCATCTTACTTCTGTACTTCGAGCCGATCTTCGCCCTCGGTGGCGCGATCATGGTGCTCACACAACCAGATAAATATCTACATACAGTCACTCGGGGTCTCGTACCAACTCTAGGATCCCAGAACGACTTCGTCTGGACAACTATAGCAGGTGCGTATTCAAAATCCTACCCTCCTCACTCAGATGCCCAAGCGATACTAATTTGATCTCCGCGACAGGCGGCTGGCTCTACTTCGCTTTCACAGAAGGCGTAGTGCTACGACTTGTCGACGACGTGCGTGTCTGGCGCTTGTTGTGCATGGGAATGCTGCTTTCGGACCTGGCGTACACGCATTCTGTGGCGCAGGCACTGGGTGGGTGGGATGTTTGGCTCAAGGTGTGGGACTGGACGAGCGAGGACTGGGTTGTTACGATTACGACTTGGCCTTTTGTTCTGACTAGGGTTGGTATTGCGCTTGGGCTTGGGTTCCGGGGATGATTGTTGCCGTGGCGGAAGGAAAGCTTAGCAAGGCTGGAGATGTTCTTGTCGGGCTATCGTCTTCCTCCGGTCGACCTGAGGTCGTTAGCTTACTTCTTATTGAAGGGACGGATCGGAGCCTTGACATACCATTGCTACCATATGGTTCCCAGTAGCACGATCAACCCAACAGCCTTCACCAATCCCCATGGAAGCCACGGCCCTTGTTCCTTTTCGTCGCAGATATGCGGGTAGATGTATACGATGAGGCATAACATGAGGTGGATGCCAATCCAGCTCGCACTTCGCATGGTAGGCTGATGCCACCACTCGATTGACCTTGTCGCAGCGGAATTTGGTGCGGAGCCTGTAGTAGTCTCGTAGCCACGGGACACGTTGTTCAGACTGGGCGTGGTGCCGACAGTCTGTGTTCGCTCTCGTCAGAGCAAGAACTTGATGGTATGGCAGCGTAAGGAAAGATTTGCTCTCTCAGAAGCAGATAGTGAGATATCTCGAGCGGCACAGCACGACGTCGCATGCAAGCGCTTTAAACCGTAAGGCTGAAACACAACGGCAACAAAACAATCGACCACTCTCACACTACAGCCTAGCCTACAGATACTAGAACCGAACCTCGTGACTGCGAACTAGTCTTCATCTTCGCCAAGCAGCATGCCCCAGCTTCAGAACCCTCCATACACCCAGCCCAGCCGAGCGACTTCACAACCCAGCCTTCGCAACAATAAAACTAGCTGCCCGCTGCGCATTAAGCGCATACGTCAAATGCGGCGCCAAAACCAAATCGCCACCAAGGCAAATATCATCGCCGACATGACAAATAATCAACACCTTCGAGCTGGGAATCTTACCAATAGCGCGGCCGTTATCTGGGTCGCCGAAGATCTGCTCGCAAACATCATTAGCACATCAAGCATATCGAAACCATGGATTTACAGTTGACGTTGGTTAGAGCTTACCACGACGGAATTCACGAAGCTCGTCTGAGAAGCCGAGAGCATGGCAGCGGCGTTATGAACTAATTGCCCACCCTGACTGTACCCGGAGAGAACGAGTTTCGTCTTCGGGCATTTCGACTGTGCTTTTGCGAGTAGCGAGGCAAGAGTCGAAGAACCAGCCGGATCACCACCGACCAGGAACCCGGCTATGGTGGCGCCGTAATTGACCTATGTCCCATCAAAATCAACGGATTAGCAAATGTTCTCTATAGCCGAATCCATCCTTCCTCTTTGCCCGAATAAGCAACGGGTTCGTCATAGTGCGATGTTTAAGAACTTACACCTTGCACAGCGACGTTCCCAGCACCAACGGCATTAGCCACGGCCTGAAAAAGGGGCGGTCCGGCGAGAGTCCCGACGTTTCCGGACTCGGTGGTGCCGCGGGCGAAGAGGATGGTGATAGCGCGGCAGGGTGTACCGTCTACTAGCTGGTTTTCGGTGTCGGAGCCGATGTACTGGCGTTTGGAGATGGGGTTGCCGAGGGTTAGGGTGGACAGGGAGAGAAGGAAGGGGAGGAAATACATCGTGGGCTGATGCGCTGGACTGGATATGTATGTGATGAGACGATGAAGAGGAGTGGGAGTGGTGTAAATGTATTGGATGTGATCTGTTGGACTCCACGAGATGGGCTGGTCGTATCTCTTCCTGGTCTTTATATTTGATGTTCCAGACTTACAACACAGAACCAGACCAGAAGACCGAGGCATATACTATGCAATCAAACATCTGCGTTTCAACATCCTGGCGTGTAGACCGTCGGTGTGCGTACCCAAAGAGGTAGTCGCGGAAAGCCCTCGAGCACAAGGTCGCCATGCAAGATGGGTATCAACACTTCGACGCCAAGTCTCTAGGTCGACGTTCAGGAAGCCGAGGATGTAGTCACAACCTCGTCGTCGTGATTGGACAACATCGAGATACCGTCTGAACATGGCCTACGCTCTGAGATCAGACGACTGCCAGGGATGGGTTTGTTTTGCGGGGTACAGCAGGGGTTGCGCTATCAAACCCAGTAGTAATGAAATGTACCAGCGACGGAGTATCTATGGCCTTTGGCGAGTCGGAAGTGTCGTCATAGTGTATACGCCGAGGCATGTTGAATGGACTCGTAAATCGAGCACGTGCTTGCCTCAGCGAGCAGACCAATCTCACTACCCACAGGAATACCAGCCATTCCAAAAAAGGCCTAGGAAACTGTTAAGATCGAGATGCTGGTTGTCGCCTTGGAAATTCCCTAAAGCTGTGAGATATGAACGAACCACGAGCGTGCGCTGTACTCGTCGAAATGCCAGCATGCTTGCTCGTCACTGCCTTGGGCTGTACACAAGTGACAATCATCCGAATCCTCTGAGCATCTGCCAGCTTTATTCATACCACAGTATACACACTTCAGCACCCTCCCTACTTCTCCCCAACCTCCTCCGTAAAACTCTTATACCCCTCCTCCCCCATCAACCCCTCCAACTCCTTCACATCCGCCACCCTAATCCTCGCCAACCACCCCCCTTCCTCGGGACTCTGATTGATCGTCCCCGGCTTCTCCTCCAACAGATTATTCACCTCCAGAATCTCTCCTCCAACAGGCGTCATGATGTCGGAGGCGGATTTGACGGATTCCACCGCACCGATGGCGTCGCCTTTGCTGACGGTAGTGCCGACCGTGGGGAGCTCGACGTAGACAACGTCACCGAGGGCTTTGGCGGCGTAGGTTGAGATGCCTATTGCGGCTGGACAGAGGAGTCAGTTTGGTTGGGTGGACTGGGGGCTGGTGGGGTGGGAGGTACCGTTTTCAGGGTTGGAGGTTTCTATCCATTCGTGGTCTTCAGTGTATTTCTTTTGTAGCACTGAACTACATCAGTATACTCATAATTCCCCTCCAACTCATATATGTTACCTCTCGTGCTCGCCGCGAACCCTCTCACATGCGCCGAAGTAGCTGGTCGCTGTGCTCGTAGTTGGAGATAGCGCTGCCGACTACATCTCGCCAAGCCCTGCGCTGGTCGCTGTAGTACCTTTGCAAGAGCTGCGCCTGATCCTGCGATTGCTGCTGACATTTTGGTATAAAGTGTGCAAAGGTCCGGGCATTGAAGCTCCAATGGTTTGAGTTGTGACGCTTGATAGCGGGTCGGGCGGCCGCTCGGATGCGGAGAAGCGGGAGTCCTTGCACTTCCGCGAAGGTGAATGAACGAATGCTTCACGTGCTAGAATTCCATGTCCATCACTGGCAGATGATTCTACGATACAAATATGCTCTATGAGCTGATAGGAGTGGTATGACCCGTTCTAAGGATATAAACACTTAATGATACAGTAATACAGTAACACTGACATCCACAGGTCCGCCCTGGCCGCGGCGTAAACGAAATAAAAGAGTACGACCACCACCACCACCTCCCCTTGGCCAAACCAACCCACATCAGCTAACTCTTCCCAAGAATCACCCGCACAACCGGCGCCCAAATCCTCACAGCCGGTGGCGTAGTCCGCGGCATAACAAATTGGGGCACCTTCCTCCTCCCAAAACCCGCACGAAAACAAGGCGCCACCTACAACCAAGGCCATTACTTCATCCTGCGATTCGATTCCAGCGCCAAGACACAACATGCGGTTAGGCGGACGTTGGGACTGGATCCGAGGATGATAAGGTTCAAAGTGCAGAAGATGGGAGGGAAGTTGGAGGAGATTGCTGATGTGGGCGGGAAGGCTGAGTGGCCGAGTCGAAGGGCGGATTTGTAGGATACGCTTGATTGTGTGTGCATATGTTGATTGGTATTGGGGTGGGACTAACACGCTATGGCGTGGCGTTGGAGGTTTTGTAGGAGATGGAAATAGACGGGTACAAAAGCTGCCTCACAACAACCAACCCGGGAACACTTCGCAGTCCGAAGCTTTCCTTGAACCAGCACACCTCATCACACTGCTTCGCCCAATCGTCTAGCTTCCCTTGCGTTGTCAGCTGATGACACACGATGCCATACACCCACAACCTCGTCCTTCATGTTCTCCAGTGGCTCGAACGTAACAGTCCGCCAGCTAGTCAATGGACATGTAGAGGTGTCGGCACTTCGAAGATCGCGATTTTGTCCAAAGCAACACGGGTCTCTGATGAACAGGTCCCAAAGAAAATGCTCGGATTGTGTGATCTGGAAGAGATACTCTAGTGGTCGGGGGTGTTGTTCTAGGTCAAGTCAGCTCGTGTTTGAAGGAACGCATTTTCGTGCGAGGCTTCTGGTTGCTTTGTCTTGAGATGATTGCCGAGATGATTATTAAGTAGTAATGCGCTGCGTCGAGGATGTACCGACTTTGCAAAACGTGATCAGCACCGGAGCTGTCCTTGTGAGGGGGTGGCTACGTGAGAAGGAGACGTGAGCGCCATGCACGAGGAGATCAAAAGCTAAGTTCGTTGCTTTCATTGAGCGTGTATCGTTATTTTCGTAAGCTGTCAAGACGGGCTTGCAGGTCGTCATCACCAGGATCGCCACCGCCGATAGCCTGCGCCACCTTGCCATTGGGCACAGCGTTACTTTGCAGACCCTGTGGTGTCTCGCCAAGCTGAAGATATGAATCAGCACAGATGTCAAAGGTAGTATCATGAAGATGAGAAATGTTACCGATTGACCAAGATCAACACCAATCTCATCCAGCACCTTGTTGACCACTTCCTCGCCTTCCTCCTCATCCTCCAGTCCAGTAACATCATCAATAGCATCATCCATCATCTCCTGCCGCTGGTCCATGATATCGTTCTCCTTCTCAAACTCCATCGCTATTCGCTGCAGAGCCGGGAGGTTCATTTGTCGGTTCATGCTGCCGAGTAGTTGTGTCGCGCCCTTCATACTCTGCATCATCTGCTCATTACTTCGCACAGTCTATACAACAACATCAGCACGTCCTCATCACCTCCGCATACACATTCTGTAAGCTCTCACCTGTATCCTCAGGCTAATAGCCTGCAGCTGCGTCCGCATCTGGTAGAACTTCTGGATATACCGTCTCGTCCGCACCAAATCCTTCGCCTGCACCTTCACTGCGCCCATTTGCCCATTCTTGGCATTCTTTTTGATGTCAGCGACTAGCTTCTTCTCCTGGTTCTCGAGCTTAGTGCGTTCGCGGTCGAGTTCTCGTTGCGTCTTCTCTAGCGCTCGTTGATGTTTACGAAGACGTTCCGCTGGTGTCATGCGCTTGCCGAAGGCCCATTCTATGATCTGTACGGAATATATGAGCTTTATTCAATCTAGTCAGGGCGGGACTTCACTTACGTTCATGGTCACGGCTGGTCTTGTGCTCTAGCAACCAGACGATCGAGTGGAATGTGGACGCTAGAACAAGGACGAAGACGATTGGTGCAACAGATGGATTGTTGAGGTCTAAAAAGTCGACATTGGGAGTGGAGGGTTTAGCCTTGAGCAACCAAATATATCGCAATCAATGTCACTGCCTTGAAGTGTGCTTGACGCCTGTCACGCACGTGATTCTCGGGAGCGACTGCCGAGGGCACGGACGAAGATTGGAGCGGGATCGCCTGAGCATTCGTTCATCGCCAGAACCCGTTCTTTCACGGCGATTACACTTCATAACGCGCCACTCATCTCATCTAGACCTCTTCGCCTCTCTACTACCTGTTATGTTGACGACACAATAACGATGAGTTCCAGCAATCCCTTCGCCAATGGCTTCGCGGCCGCCGGAAGCAGCCGGTCTTTTTCTGGCGACAGGCAAAAAGGTGGACGGCCACAGTACATGACCGTTGGCGGTGGGAGCGCATCAGAAAGCGCTGCGAGGCTGCAAGCGATGTTGGACGAGGACTCGGGCTATGGCGGCAGTATCATAGGCGATGAAACGATGGAGAACGTATGGCATCCTGGTCCTGCAGAGGACCGGTTCACACCCAACCATACGCCTGTGAAGGGCGGACAAGACAGTGCTGCGGCAGAGCACGAACGCCATGCGATGGCTGCGCATGTCCACCAGATGTACTACAACCAGAACCGGACAGCCTTGGCCCGTGCGATAAGTCAGACGGCGGAGACGCTGCGCAAGCTTCAGGAGATGAACGCAAAGTGGCCGGCACATTATCCTACGGTACAACGACCACCTTCACCTGCAATACCGTCTCGGCCGGATGTACGTCCTGGTCTCCATCACACGCAATCTACAGCCGGCAACCACCGAGAACTCGATCGACCACCATTACGACCATCAGGACTGCGTCGAGCAGGCACTTCTCTCGGCGAATTACAGTCTGGCGAAGGAAGTAGTAGCAATGCCGTTGAGAAGGCGTCGGAAGCACCCCCACGACTCGTTACGCCACAGCTCGCTCAGGACTTCTCAGTGCTGAAGATCGAGCTGAAGATGGAGGGGCTGCCACAGAGCGAGATTGTGCATTCACTTGAGAAGCAATCTGTGGCTGCTTTGCTCGACAACCAGATCAACAACAGCATCCGACATCTATTTGCACTTCGCGAGCGTATCGAGGACACTTCAAGTAAAGTGCTGGTTACTGGTGATCTCAATGCTGGCAAATCGACTTTCTGTAATGCCTTGCTAAGACGGAAAATTCTTCCCGAAGACCAACAGCCATGCACCAGCATCTTTTGCGAAGTTCTCTCTGCGAGCGAGAACGCTGGAGTGGAGGAAGTTCATGCTATTCCACATGGCTTTGTCTACAACCGCAACGACGAAAGCACATATAGCGTGTTCGACCTCAAGCAGTTAGAGACTATCGTGGTTGATGGCGATCGTTGGTCGCAGTGCAAGATCTACATCAAGGATATCCGATCAGTCGACCAATCACTACTCAACAATGGTGTGGTAGACATTGCTCTCATCGACGCACCTGGACTCAACAACGACTCGCTCAAGACTACAGCAGTCTTCGCCCGACAGGAAGAGATTGACGTTGTGGTGTTTGTGGTATCTGCGGCAAACCATTTCACTCTATCTGCCAAGGAGTTCATCTTCAATGCTGCACGAGAAAAGGCATACATGTTCATGGTCGTAAATGGCTTCGACAATATTAGGGATAAGAGGAGGTGCCAAGAGATGATTCTGAAGCAGATCGCGCATCTCAGTCCAGCAACTTTCAAAGAATCTTCCGAGCTGGTTCACTTTGTCTCCAGTAATGCCATACCCGTGGCGCCTGGACCCGGAGACGGCCCTCCTGGTGGTTCTGGTGGCGGAAGTGGGGGCAGCTCCGGCGGCGTCTCTTTCGATGGTGGCAACGATCGGCCCAGCAAGCCAGACGACGAAGATGACGGAGATAGTGGAAAGCACGGTGAGCCTGGTTCGCCACCAAAGAAGGGCAAAGGCAAGGAGAAGGAGGCACAAGAGGACTTTGACGAGCTAGAGGCATCACTCCGCCGATTCGTGCTGGAGAAGCGTGCGCGCTCCAAACTTGCACCTGCGAAGACATACCTCATGAATGTGCTCGGCGATCTGACGACTCTGGCCGGCGTGAACCGCGACGTTGCACAAAATGAGCTCAACCGCGTGACAGAAGAGCTCAAGCAACTCGAGCCAGTATTCGAGAAGTCGAAGAAGGCTCGCACCGAAGCCGATGACGAAGTCGCAAGCAATATTGAGAAGACTGCAGAGGATGTCTACGCACTCACACGCAGTACACTCACTACTTCTATCGCACACGTTGCCGAAAGTGACCTTGGGGTAAACTACCCAGGTGTCTTAGGCGCGTACAACTATGCCGACGACATAAAAGCCGCTATGCTGAACCAAGTCGCCGAAACAGTCCGATGGTGCGAAGAGCGTGCTCGCGAGAAGACAGTCGGCGGCGTTTCAGCCATCAAGTCTCTTGGCATCTTACATCTCGGCGACTCATACGTCGACTTGACTTTCCGCTCAGAGAAGATGTTCCGCAGCAGAAGAGATGCTCTGGCACGACAGGTCGACTTCGAGACAGAGCTCTGGGACTTCTTCGATCTAACAAGTCTCTGGGAACGACAGGAGAAAGTGGCTGGGACGAGCATGGCTCTCACCGTAGCAGGTGTAGTCGGAGGAAGGATGCTAGGAGGAGTCGGGTGGCTCGACGGCGCTCTAACAGCCACACGCGTCGTGGGCGTTACCAATATCCGCCGAATGTTGATCCCCGGTCTCCTCCTTGCCACCGTCCTAGGAGTCAGCTACACCATCTCACAAATCCCCTCCTCCCTACCCAAACGCCTGAGCGCTAAACTCGCCGCACAACTTGCTCAGCTCGACTATACTCACGCCAATAGCACACGAATCAGTGCTGAAGTACGACGTGCACTCAAGTTCCCGGCGGACAAGTTGCGCGAGGGTCTGCAGAAGAATATGGAGGGTTTGCAGGAGCAGCGAAGGGAGACGGTCAAGGTGCAACAGGAGAGCGAGGTTGCGAGGAAGTATTTTGGGAATTTGATAAGAGAGAGTGGGGAGGTGAGGCACAGGGTTGTGGGGGTTGACTTGGAGGGACCTGCGCCTGGGGTTGCTGGTGGGATGGCTTAGGAAGTGGGATGATGGGACTATGGAAAAGGGTTGCGGCGTTTTGGGTAGGGTAGATACCATTGAGTCTTCACTCGAGATCAAGCATTTTCCTTTAAGACGATCCTACGGCATCGAGGACCTTCCTTCTTCCTCCAACCCCATCTCGATTGATTACTGGCTCGTTCGCTGACCACGCTATCTCACGTTCCTGCAGCGCTTCACGCACACGTGCAGCCGACCTCACTACACTTTGAATCGATGGAGCATGTGAAAGTCGATGTCGGTAATTGGCGCGAATCCATTAGCTTGTATCTCCCTGGCGCCAGCTCTTGTGCGTTTCAGACTTCTCGAGCATCACTGACTACTAAGTTCTGATCGTTCACTGTCACTCAAAGGCGCTTTCGTTGGTATACCACTACGTCATCGTCCAACGCGTCTACCGTCTTGTTCGCGTTGTCTTTTCCACACCATATCGCTTTCGATTGACACCTACTTGTTGTTTTGGAATACTGCCATGATCGAACGATAACACGAAGTACTATCCACATCATCTTCATTCCACCATGACCAAGCGAACGTTACTTCTCGTCTTCATCCACGGCTTCAAAGGTAGCGCTAACACCTTTGGACGATTTCCCGAGGATCTGGCCAATCTGCTCTCCCACTCGCTACCCAAGATCGCGGTCAAAGCAGTCCAATACCCACCCTATGATACGCGAGGAGATCTCGCGCTATGCGTCGCCAAGTTCCGCGAATGGCTGCAGAATCTGGTCATAGAATTGGAGGTCGAGAATGGGACAAGGAATCCTATGCATGAGCCTGGAGTACGAGTGGTGTTATGTGGGCATTCTATGGGTGGGATCGTTGCAGTCGAAGCTGTGTTGAGCATTCTTGAGAAGGATAAGGATGTTGTGCAAGAGGGGTATGCGAATGATACTACCAATTCTTCTGCTACTGGTGAAGACGCGAAGGCCATGGAAGGCGGTAGTAAGGCTAGAAAAAGCGGCAAACTTGCTGTGCCGGATAGGCATGAAAGGGCTTCTTCTGCTCCGCCTGCACAAGGCGAGCCGGTCTCTCCGTTCTTTCCGCATATCCAAGCGGTACTGGCGTTCGATACGCCATACTTGGGCATAAGCCCAGGTGTTCTCGCTCACGGGGCAGAAGAACATCTAAACCAGGCTTCGTCGGCGTACAAGGCTTTTGGCACTGCTTCAGACATCTTTGGCTGGAACTCGCCGAGGAGTGCTTCGCCGCAACCCATTGCAAATGCTTCGTCTAAAGGCTTGCCAGCACCGAGCAGTGATGGCGCAGGCTGGGGTACATGGGGCAAATATGCTATGTATGGTGGCGCTGCTGCGGCTTTGGCGGGAGCAGCGGGAGCGGCATACATGAACCGCAATCAGATCTCACAAGGTCTTTCGTGGGCGGGAAGTCATCTTGAGTTCATCGGGTGTCTTGCTCGTGGTGCGGAGCTTCAACAGCGAATAGAGAAGATGGTGGCGCTCGAGCAGGCGAGAGGAGTGGGGTTTGGCAACTTCTACGGGGCCCTCTCGCAGCAAGTAGCAGGAAAGACCAAGTGGGCTGGAGCAGCGGTAGGGAAGGATAGGACTTTCTGTGTCATTCCTACCCCTTCTCCTCCCGTTGAGAAAGGTAGTCCAACAGGCACGAAGCGAAGCAAGCCATCATCAGCCACCTCAAAACCAGCACCACCAGCTAAAAAGCGAAAGCAGGATGTAGAGGATGAGAAAGAAATGGCTGCAGAGATGGAGGAAGGCGAGGAGGTTGATCGATATGCGAAAGACTTGACCAAGGACAAGGGTAATTGGGTCAAGTGTGTCAATGCTGTTGCTCAAGACGAGGTCACGGCACACAGAAGTATGTTTAACCCGCCGAAGAATCCAGATTATCATGCTATGGTTAGTCGTTCTAGAGATTGGCTAGATGGAGTTGTTGATAAGCAATGGTATGAAGCATCAAGTACTGGTGAGGTTGAAGGAGAGGCTAAAAGTGGTGCGGTGGTCAAGAAGCTCGAGGATGGAAAGTTAGAAGGCGAGGTTGAAATGCTGGGAGCATGAGGATCACCATCCAGGCGCCTACGGCATATGTACTCCTATGAAACAACATCCTAGACATAAATATCAATTCTTGTGCAAGCCCACGAAACACTGCATCACGTGCTATACCCACTCCAACACCCCGCAGTCCGAAAAGGAAGCTGCAACACGCCAAGCCCCCTTATCTCTCGCTATCTGGGCGCTAACTCTACCTCCACCTATACTTCCCAACCCACATATCCACACCAACACCTCTCCAATAATACGAGCGCGACTCGCCTATCTGCACCCAGTGATCGACCTGCACAGCATCACAAATTACGCACATGATGGCTGACGAGCCGGCCCGATGACCGGGGCGCAGACCGTAGACGAGAGACATCCCACCTGATGATGCTGACTCGGGCTAATGTTGGTGGTGGGCGGCCTCGGACTTACTTACTGTACTTGTGCTGCGTGCACCTGAGCTATCGCTACCGCTATCGCAACCGCGCTATGCGTCAGGCGAGTGACTATCCTACCTACTGCCTCATGTGGAGGTTATGATTGAGCTAAGTGTTGTTCTGTATACTGTTGCTCGTGAGCTTACTTTTCCTTGGACCTAGTCCTACACGTCTTGCATTCTGTTAGACATAGATCGATTCCGCTGCTACTCTTGCCTATAGCATCGTCTTTATCGCGCCTTATCTATCTTGGCCGACTTCAGCCTACTCACGAGCATAGCATAGTGACACCATCTGCGTCCTCCGTCTGACCTGAACAGGCAGTGTCGGAAGACGTTGGCAACACATATATCGACTTATCCAAGCAAGAGATAAAAGAGCACGTGGTCGGTCACGAGGACACCCAGTCTGACCATAGATACCTCCCTCGCATGGTTACAAGGCTTACTTATACAAGTCGTTGAGTTCCCTCAGCCTGGTCACTAGTCCCGAATGACAACAATGCAATGGCTGTCGGCATCATCCTTCCAGCCATCCCTACCAGCACACTGTGAGCCTGCAAATGACTTCCTGCTTCGATTCAGCAGTACCTTCCACACCTGTGTTCCAACACCTCTGGCCTTCACCTCGAATGTGCTCGGCACACTCAGTATAGTGGCATGGCTCTTCGCTCAACTACCGCAGATATACAAGAATTGGAGCATATCAAGTACATCTGGCTTGTCAATCTTCTTCCTGGTAGAGTGGTGTCTTGGCGATTTTGGCAACTTGCTTGGAGCACTCTTCACGCACCAGGCGTCATGGCAGGTCGCGATAGGCGGCTATTATGTTTTCGTGGATCTTTGCTTAGTTGGGCAGTGGATGTGGTATGAGCGGCTGCGGCACGGGAGTATTATCCGAAGAGCATGGCCGAGACCTGGATTTGAGGACGATGATGCTAGGAGTGGTGATATGGAGCAAGTTGTGATCGAGGGTGTATCCATGAGTCCGACATCGAGCAATGACGGTCCACAGTCACCTGGAGCACAGGCCCAGAGCAAGACCAAGCAGCCGACGAGACCCAAGATCATATTCCGAGCCCCCACTTTCCAGCAGGAGTCTCGAGATGCCGAGGAGAAAGCATCATCCACTACGCCTGGCGGTACCACAATATATCGAGTTGGCAGATCGTCACCACTGCCTTCACCTTCACCGCGAACGATGCTACTGATAGCATGTGTGATCGCACTGGCACAGGCTTCACCGATCAACAAGCATGAGTCTATCATGAAGGTGTCGATGACACGAGCTACGCAGCCGACAAGGCTAGAGACTGCTGGCACGATCTTGTCATGGATGTCGACTTTCCTCTATCTTGGGTCTCGCTTGCCACAGCTCTTCAAGAACTGGAAGCGAAAGTCGACGGCGGGACTAAGTCCACATCTTTTCATGGCTGCTTTCTGTGGTAACTTGTTCTACTCATCGGCTTTGCTCACGAACCCGTGCGCATGGTACGACTTCGCTGCTTATGGAGGAGGTGGCTGGGTTGGCGCTGAGGGCAGTGATCGGATAAAGTGGGTGCTTGCAGCTCTACCCTTCTTCCTTGGTGCTTTTGGCGTACTTGGGCTAGACGCTAGCGTTGGCATACAGTTCTTGATATACGGCGAGAAAGTCAAAGTGGTAGTTTTGGAAGACGAGGGGCCTGGTCGAAGCTGGCATTGGCGGCGTGTCAGCGGGTGGATGAGAGGCTGGACACCTAGCTCGACCGCAAGCAAAGACGGCGAGCGTGAGGCATTGATTGAGCGTAGGCAGCAGCATAGCGAGGGTTATGGGACGAGCTCATGATAGCATGATAGACGCATTGATACAGAGCGTGGCTTAGGATTGGTATAGCGAGAATACATCAGTATGTTTGATCCTTTACCATCGATTGGACCGCATTATCCGCAATTAAGCATACCAATTCACACGCCAGATCGCAGGTTCCCGCCTCCTCTTCATTATCCACCATAGAAATCTTTCCTTCTTGTAAGCGTTGCAACCCGTAACTCCATAGCCTGTCTCGCACTTCCTCCTGCCAAAGAAAGGTCGATGAACGAAAACAACGTCAAAGCCTACGGGAGTTTCGATGGTTCTCCTCGTAAGGGTGCCCACGTCTGAATGGATGAGGGCGAAGACTATTAACTCCATCGCCCAGAGTACGAGCGTGGCGATGTTGGGTATGCGGCTCGATGGCGTTACAAGAGCGTATATCAGTCCTGGGAGTGCCGATGTGAGCAATATCAGGGTGATGATCGATGTGGATAGAGGATACGAGTAGACTGTCTGAGCCTCTGGGTGAGGATCGAGGACGTTATAGGCGTTTCCTGGTAGGCTGAGTGTCTCGTAGCGCTCTTGTCTCGAGATGCGTGGCATGGTATCTTGCTCTAAGAGATCCTTCTCGCTTGAGACGGTGAGATGTTATGCTTTCGGCTGCCAAGTTGTCGATCGAGTTGATAATCTACACCCATGGGGACTCGGACGGCTCGGGCTGCGCTGGCTGTCTATTGAGCTCACTTGTGTGCACTAAACGGTCGCTAATATCACTGACCTGGAGAAGGTGGAGAATGGTGTAATGGACAAAACAATGAGATCGGACTTGGTTCTGAACTTCGAAAGCTAAGATCGAGGAATGGTTGTTGCCGCTGTCCGTCGACAAACTTCTGTCGACCTTGCTAGAGCGACTCATGCTTTACACATTGTAGACAGCACGATGAGGCTCGTATTCAATCAAATATCGTTGATGAGAAGTAGCTGCTGTTCTACTATTCAAGAGATAACTCGGATAACTTGGTGAAATATACCCAAACCCTAACCCTAAGAAGACGATCTGGTGGTGACTACCAAGTTCGGAAACACTACAGTCAGAGAATACATTGATTGATTCCAACGTGCTGGCTAGACACTGGAGTATATTAAGTTGCTACCGACTATAATGATTACTTGCCATGCTTGTCCATCCACTCCACGATCAGTCTCGCAATCTGATCCGGACACTCTTCAGGCAAATAATGCCCATACCCGTCGGGAATGCCAACCAACTTCAGCTCCGCCTTCCCATCCGCCCACTCTGGCCAAAGTGATTCAACATCATGCATCCTTCCCAAATTACTCGCGGAGTAGCCGACGAAAGTCGGAATCCCAACCTTCTTCCCAGCCTCCTGATCCTTCTTCTGCTCATCCACGTCCTCGAAAGCACCAGCATGATAATCTGCACAAGACCCCGAGATAGCCTCAGGATGTCTGAAAACCCCAGCATAATGATCAATAGCATCATTCTCCCTGAATTTCGCCACACCAGCTGGGTTCTGGCCCTTGACACGCTCAAGATTCATCTTGATGTACTCATACCCACCCATCATCTCGATCATCTGCGGTGCCGTCGTTGTGGCTAGGAAGGGCCAGTGGTAGTATGCTGTGGCGGCCAAAGGATTAGAGAAAGCTTTCCATTGTTCCCAGGTTGGGACGATGTCCCACAGCATGGCTGAAGTGATGTTGTGAGCAGGATCATTGTCGACGATTAGACGGTGGCCTACGCGTCCTCCACGATCGTGACCGCACCAGATCACTTTTCGTGAGGTTCCGAAGACGGACTGGAGGCCTTCGATGATTAGTTTGCCGACTGTGCGCTTGTCAGGCTTTGGCGGCAAGGAGCTGATGCCGTAGCCAGGGAGTTCAGGGATGTAGAGGGTGTACTTTGACTTGATCATTGGGATTACATGACGCCACCTACTGATCGTCAGTGTGCTGATGGATGGATTGCTAATACTAGCGGGCATACATGAACGCGGACTGTGGCCAGCCGTGAACAAGGCATAGCACTGGCCCAGAACCCGTATCATGGCTGTATGCTCTCACGGTGCCGCCTGAGGAGACCTTGCTGTCATGCTGTTCAAGCGAGGGATCTAGAGTGAGGAGGGAGTTTAGCCCGCTCATCTTGATGGCGGTGGGTGCGGATGTCCGACAAGGGTAGCACTGATAAATAGGAGATGGTGACCCAGCTTGATGAGAGCACTTATATGGCAAGGAGGTTCGAATAGACTCTCAAATGCTGACAATATACAAGCAGAGATGCTGAAGCTTGTGTCAGCCAGAGCTGTTTCATCGGGTGAAGTCAATGCCGAGGTGGTCGACAGTTGTATGACGCACTGACCTGTTGAGATCTAATACGCCGATGATCTTGCGAGGAAGGCACGCAAGCATATCCATGGCATCTGAGAGGTCTTAGAACGACTCCTCTCTCCTGATTATATAAGCTCGTACAATCATCAATCGTACCCATACTGCAAGACTTGGTCGTGTTTCGTATTGAGCAGTTCCTGGTTGATGGTGGTTCTTCAGCCCTATGAGACGCTTGCAAGGATCTCGCTTTGAAGTCTCCACTTGTCCACGACCCTCCCTTGATACGCGGCCACACCCATCTCTATCTATCTTCAAACCCACTCACCTTGTGCCCTTACACGCGACTCCCTGGAACTGCAGTATACGCGCGACTTTCGAAGCGTACCGATGCTCCGACCACCATCGCCCTGGATGCGCATGACGCTTTAGATCCTCTGGCCGCACCAAGAGCGCTCCCCGAACGCTTCGACACTCACAAGAGCCTGGGCGATGCTGCCCACTTCTACCCTCGACAAGCGGCAGTTATGGAATACGCCGCCTACGGAGACGACGACATGGGGCGATGCGGCGCACTGTACACCTTTCGTGCTGCCCTCGCGCGGAATTCTGTCCTTTGCCAGCACGGTCATCACGCTCTCAACCAATATTCTGTTTCAACCTGAATGTACTGGCGCACCTCTGAATGGTATCAGCACCGTTGATCAGTTCAAGGATCCCTTCTACGCTTCAACGACACCGCAGACATATGTCGTGGCGGCGACCACCATGATTGCGTGGGTGCTAGTGGTGATGCTGACCATCACGCCGCGAACGAGCTTTCTTGGGAACCCGAGCGCAGGACCTGCTTTTGGGAATGGTCATGGGATCATCGGAGGTGCAACAGGAGGAGGTACAAACTTGATCGGTGTGGGATCTCGACCATGGCTGCAGAAGATTGCTGCGCTTACGGTTGCGGTCTCCTTGACGATCGCGACGGCGGATACTTTCAGAGAAGCAGAAAAACAGTACAACAGAGGCTACATGAACGCGAGTACCATGCGAGAGGAAGTGCTTGGTTCCCTTGAGATTCGGATTACGCGTGTGATATCTGATATCTTTCTCTGGCTTGCACAAGTCCAGACACTCATCCGGCTCTTTCCGCGACACAAGGAAAAGGTACTCATCAAGTGGATAGGCTTCGCTTTGATCATCTTCGACTCGCTGTTCTCGTGCCTGAACTCTTTTCTGGTCGACCGAGATGGACGACTCTCGCGACCAGAGCAGTTTCAGGATGCCATACCTGCTCTTTCTTACCTCTTCGAACTTGCCCTTGGACTGCTGTATGCGGCTTGGGTCATGTTCTACGCCGTGACCAAGCGTCGATACTCCTTCTATCACTCGAAGATGCGAAGCATTGGTCTCATTGCGCTCTTGTCTCTTGTTGCGGTCTTGACACCCGTCGTGTTCTTCGTAACGGATGTCTCCAACCAGGACGTTGCAGGCTGGGGTGACTATTTCCGCTGGGTCGGCGCAGCTGCAGCCAGCGTAGTTGTGTGGGAATGGGTGGAACGTATAGAGGCGTTAGAGCGAGATGAGAAGAAAGATGGTATTCTGGGTAGAGAAATCTTCGATGGAGACGAGATGCTGGATGTAACGCCAAGTGAAGAAGCAGTGTGGAGTCAGAGCAGACGAACACGAGACCGGCTGAAACGCGGTAGTGGACGCAGTGATGACGATAGAGATGATGGAAACCAGACCAGTGCACTCGAGATGGGGTTCAGTGGGATGGCGAAGAAATTGCGTCGTACACAGCAAGCTGCTCTTCGCCATCACTTCCCTCTCGGACGAGCGCATTCTTCTACGAATACAAGCGGTGCTACCACTGATCCGAATGCGGCTGCTAGTGGTAACGGCCGTATCACGTTCGACACTCTACCCAAGCCAGCGGATTCTCGTTCATCACATCAACCGCTGGTCGGACACCCTGCACCGCCACCGGTGGCCAGTCCAGTCAGTCGAGCAGATACAGCAAGCGCAGCCAGCACAGTGTATGTGGTGCGATATGACACCGCAGCTAATGCTCCACAACCTGTAAGAAGGAGGCTGGATCGTGATGCCAACGGCAATGCTGCGGCGAAGGAGGGAGAATTGCAGCAGCACAACGAAAAGAATGAAGCCACTGGAGATGAAGACGAGCCAAAGCCTGACAATGGTCGAAGACAGGAGAAATGGTATGCTGTCGCCAATCCATTCAAACGGAAACGTGCATCGCCACCAGCAGAAGTACAACAGGCACGCCAGGCTGCTACAGCTTCGCAAATGTCAAGATCTGCGACACCATCGCATAATTTCTCACGCTGGGATATCAAGAATCAACTTGGTGTACTTGCGGCACAAGCTGGCGAGCGTGTACACGATCGGCGAGCAGGCAGACACCAGGAAGCAGATCTACCCGTGACTATCATCCCGGCGCAGCCAAGAGGTAGCGGGAGAACATGGAGTCCCGAGGTGCTAGGACGACCTGAGCCAAACCCACGAGGACCCCACGATAATCATGATGAGCGAGCCGATATGCAGCGAGGACAGCATGATAGTCCTCTCGGCGGCGGCGATGCAATCTCTCCTCCTATCAAGACCAGGTCTAATCTCAGCCCTCCGCCTCGCGCCGATGATATCACGCCTGCCGGTGGTCGTATTATGATTGTGCCCGCGCCGCGGAGATCACCGTTGCGCCAGACGACTTCTGCTCAGGATAGCCCAGGTCGATCATCTGGCAGTACTGGCAGCGATGCGACCCCTGGCGCATCGAGGGATGGCGGGGCTGGGTAAAGCCAGTTGCAAGCAAAATTTTGTCTTTAGCGTAGGCGTTGGTTGATGTCTTTGGAGGCATGATGGATTTATGAAATGTAGCCAGTGATGACTTGTATATACCCATTGAAACAGTGCGATCTTTATACTACCTTGTTCTGCTCTGACGCAGTATCTGTCGTGCTATAATCTATGTGGCGAGCAGTAAGTACATGGCGTGGCCAGAATAAGAAGTCACGTTTGCTTTGATGAAGAAGCAATTGTGGGGCAGATCGCGCCGGCTCTTGCCGTCTTTCAATGTCGACGACATGTGCCTGAATCCATCTCTCGAGCACTCTTGAAGTCCTGACTGCATAGCTTTGCGCGACGACCGTCTCATCAAGAACATGATGGCGAGTCCCGGACTGTCGGACTGCGCGACGAGATGAGGGTCTGATGAATGCATAGCAAGACTATGTTGCCCATAATGCAGTGCTCTGAGCTACGTGGTCAAGGTTTGAAGGAACCTCGTGCACATACCTCATGATGGCGACTACGACGACGAGAGTGTGCTCGAAATGTAACAGGGGCTGATTGACTGCGCAGGCACGATCGCAATGTCTATGGAGTGGCGACAGCATGCACCATGTATGGTGGCAAGCGACATGATACATGCATGAATTGGCTTTGCGATGGCGATGATTTGGAAAACTTGCTTACGTCACGACAGCAACGGCGACGATGAGCTTGGGCATGACGGTGGAGGTGGCGAGCATGACCATGACCAGAAGCGACATGACACAGACTTAGTGACAGCAGCACATTGCGGGGAAGCAGCAACGACAATGACATGGAAATCGACGACAATCCGAGTTCACGACAAGGAGGGTGACAACGACGATGAGTTCCTTCTCCAGCACCCACCACAAAGGCAGGAACTGATGACAAAGAAATACCTCAAAAGCCGCCGAGCCATCTCCCGAGAGTGAGCCCTCGAAGGCGGCATATGACACGACCAAGGCTTCAGTCTACCGTCCGATGCATCCGACTTACGCGTGAGCTGCAGATTCACACCGTACAAAGTAGACATCCACCCCGGCCACCAAAAACTCCCATGAAGACCTCAGTGCCCCCGACTTGTGCGTGAGCTGCAGGGTCACACCTCGGATAATCATGTCGGAAGAAGGGTTGTCGTTTGAAGTGGTTGGTGGCAACCTCCCGATGCGTCCACCTTAGAGACTGTGAGGAGAGAGAAGAAGGAGAGAGCGAGGGGCGAGGCGGGCTTTTATGTATTCGCTCCCGGACTGTGCGTCAAGTGCACTGTCACACTCACAGCGCCGATTCCGCCGCTGTAAGTTTGTTGAATTCGCAGCGTGATGCCAGATGTGGAGCGTGGGTTTGCTTACCAGAAGGTCATGCTGCACGTGCGGTGGCGAAAGTCGATCTTCCGGACTGCCCAAGCACTGTTTTGAGCATGGCTCTTGTAGATCCTTTGTTCGTCGACCTTGCTTTGCTTGTGATGTCGATATGTCTGGTCACACGAAGTCTGTTTGGATCATACCCACTGTACCTTCCAGGATGATCTCTTCTTGTGGCCCGCTTCTCTTGGACCAAGCTTCCGCACAAACTGTGTAGCCCTCGACCAACAGATGTGCGCGATGAAGCGTGTCAGCCAATCGCCGGTCTTCGTTGGGCTAATGACCTCGAGAGCTGCATGACTTCGATTCAAGTCCACCGAGTCCTCTTTAGTCTCGAGTTCGAGGGCACACGTGCGACACAACGTCTTGACCACCAAGATGCTGCAGTCTTGCAAGGCATCAGACAAACATGCGAGCAGTGTGAAGAGACTTACTGTGTGGCCTCGACAAAGCTTAGGTCTTCGGCAGACTCATCAAGTCTACCAAGAGGCAACTTATCCACCACGAAGCGGAGCACCGCTTGAGACTTTGTCGTATACCTTACAGCACTCACATGCCGACTCCGTCCCCTGATCGTGACACCTGTCAGCTTTGGATGCGCGAATAGCATCTCTAGAGACATGTGGCCTGGTCTGTTGTCCTCATATTCACCTACGAAACAAAATCACCAACCAGAGTGCGTGAGATTGGTGGTTGGTAAGCAGAGGACACAACTCTATCCCTGTCCTCAACTAAGAAATCTACACTACCATGGGAAGTACATATTCTGCTCCTGCGCTCCTTGTTGTCATCTCAATTGCGTACAATTAACACACTGCTGTCCAGCTAGAACGTACCACACCAAGCAACTATACAGCCAAGCAAAGACAGGGCAAGATGAAGACCATTTCCGTCCCACATGAGCTTCTACTCAACGAGCTCCCAGTCCACCCAAGCAAGGCCGTCTACCGCCAAGCAAGACGTCTCACAAAGTGGAACAACCGCATGAACGAGATCAAGCGCGAAGCCATCTACAAAGCACGCTCGTCCCGTGCTTTCGCCAAACTCAACCAAGACGCGATATCCGTCCTGCTATCACATGACGGCCTGGACAGCCCACCGTTTCCCGTCGAGCTGGGAAGATTCCTCGTCCATCGCGGTATCTGCGACGATCCTAACGTCCTGCACTCCGATCTCAGGGCGTTCGTGACCTTGTACAAGTCCTGGCTATGTGAGGTCCTGTTGCCGCTCGCGAACGACGAATCACTGATGCGTCTGGCTCACTTACTGGTGCTTATCCACAAGGACCGTAGCAACGACGTGGCCGAAGCGGTTTCGATCGCGCTGGCCAATGAGACGATGACGCGCTTCCTCGGTGGCGAGGCCAACGTACGACCTTTCCTTGAGGTCCTGGCTTGCAAGGGTCTCCGTAACGGTCCAGACGTGCTAGCATTCATGTCCCGAGTTGAACGTCGCCGGCTCACGGCGATGTACTCGCATCTGCCAGAATGCCCGTTAACGCCATACCGGCCGTTCTCCTCATTCACGATGCAGAAACGAATCATGGCGCCCTCGGCCACGGCCGATAAGCTGAGACGGCAAGCTGGGGTCTGGGAGGTGGATGATCTGCGCGAGGTGCTAGGCGAGGGCTCTTTGCGTTCATTTCCGAGGGCTCGGGCGGATCGAATTAACGGGGTGAGGACATGTGACATGGATGAGTTTGCATACTGTGTGAAGGATAAGAGAGCTTACAACATGGTGAAGGGGGCGATGATGGCCGGCCGAAATTTGACTCCGAGGGAGAAGGCGATTGTGCTTGAAAGTATGTACTTGCTATGATGGTGAGATTAATGGTGAGAGATTGAGATAGGGATGCATGAAGTGGCGTATTTGTGTCCGACCTTTGTAATCGGCAGCACAATGTAAGTCAGATAACATCACCTCGCTGCCTCCGTTTCTTCCAAATCCGACCTCATGAGACGTCGCCTCACCAAGGGACTGTTATCATGAAGACGCTTGTGATCGTGCGCATCCATACAAGCTTGCCGACTCGCAAGGACTGCCACAGCCGTGCGCTCAATCATCTCTTCCTCGTAGTGATGGACTGCTTGCTGCCACTGCTCGTCGCTAGTACTGTCCTTGACAAGCGGGCGTAACAAGTCAATGAGGTGACCAACATCTACGATAGAATGATTTGCGCCTTCTCCACGATACATGACCATCGCATGGGCTGCATCCCCAACCAAGACCACATGGCCGCCGAGCTCGTGCCCGAGGGCAGTCGTGCTTGTGGCGCGCGGTAGCCAGTCAGCTAAGAAGACCTCCTTCACCTCGCTTGCTGGTGGTATATTCTGTACTACACACCTGAACGGCTCGGTGAAGTCACTCGCCACCTTTTTCATCAATGCTAGCTTCTCTTCCTTGCCATCTGGCACCTCAATCGGCGCGTCGTGCCCTAGGAAGCCGGCTCGATATGGCCACGAAGTCATGATTTGGCATCGATACATTTCAACTTCATTTTCAGCTTCGACATCATGGGAGATGGTGTGCGGATCACCTGGGACATCCAAAAAGCTGAACCACAGAAATGCGTCTGTGCTCGGGTGCGAGCCTTGCAGGAAGAATCGATCGAGCTTGTACATGCCGTTGATTTCGGATCGAGGATATCTTACGCCAGCACCGATGAAGCGGATAGGTAGCTGCTTGTTGCGATAGTCCTCTGGATGACAAAGTTTGCGGGTCTGTGAGTTGGCGCCATCGCAGCCTACAAGGAGACATCCAGTCTCTTCGCTTCCATCACTAAAGGTGACTGTCACGCCATTCTCCACTTTGCGCACAGCACTGAGTGCCTTGCCCCAATTGACGGCCAGGCCGGTAAGCAAGAGTATTCTCAACCTCTCCCTACTGACACGGATCCTCTCGGTAGCCGGCACCTTCCACTTTGCAGTCCCAGTGTCGAGATCGAAGAATGTGAATGTGCCCTTCTCACCAGCATCAACCGCTGCCTTGTTGACCAGAGTCTCGGGAAGCTGTGCCAGAACATGGTCCGGCACTAGCGAGCGGAACGTGGGTAGTGACCAGTTCAGTGTCAGACCCCAGCCTGCGCTTCGTGCTGTCGGCGAGATGTCGCGCTCGAAGAGTAGGTGCGGTATGTCGTACTTGCAGCATGCTTGGGCAAGTGTGAGACCGCTGATGCCGGCGCCCATGATAAGGATGGGCAGTTGTGTGGCGCGACTGCCCATGATGACGACTTCTATGTCACAGACTTGTAGAACTTTTTGTTGTCCGGAAAGAGGTTGAGGTGTACCTCAAACGCAGGTTCGGCTCTCCTGCTGAAGCATAGAGTAGATGTAGTGTCTATCTCCACTGGGGCCAAAAGTTGATGAAGTCACGTCGTAGAGCTCAGCTGCAGGCACCATGGATTGCATTGCCGATGCACGCTTACGTAAGGCGAAGCTGATTGTCCCTTTCTGCTGTCAGTGGCTGGAATGGAAGGCTCCGTAGTCTAAGCCGCACCATCGTAGCGAGCAGTTTCTCAGTGTCGCTAAAAGCTGAATAAGTGGTCTGCAATGATCGTTCGGCCGCTGTAATTGGGGTCCTCGGCCAGGCGTTGATTGATGCTTGCCGCCGTACGGGTTCAGCAATCTGTGGACCTTTGCAGCAGGCCTGTCTTTAACGTGTACCAAGCATGAATTGACTTAGTTCAGTCCACTTCGTCGTCATCCTCATCGAGTACGGCATCCTGCAAGCCATGATTCAAACGCTTCCAGCGATACATCCAGCTTCCCCATGTCCATAACCCAATGACTTTGCCCGTGACCAGAGCCAAGGGCAAGGGACCCCAGATCCTCGAGTCGCGCGAGTACGTGAGATTATCGCCCACGACCCAGCAATGGCCAGTAGGTACCTACTCGCATTGTGTCAGTACTCCGACAAGCACACTCCTGTGCACCCCACAAGCAACAGGGCACGACTCACCTGCATCATCGTCCCGTCCACATCCGGCGTCCCTCTCAGCACAAAATCTCCCGACATGCCAATGATTCTCTTGACCGCAAATTCTCCTTGTACAATCGGGCTTCGAAAGCTAACCACATCTCCCACTCCCAGTCCTCGCCCTCGACGATAATATTTGGAAATCCACAGCAGGTCTCCCTCAGAGGCTATAGTAGGTAGCATACTGATGCCCCATGCTCCTTGTAGGGCGAAGAAGTACTCGCAGGTGATATGCCAGGCCAGGCTAGCGACTATGGTCCATCGGAGTCCTGTTACGAGACCTGCTTGGTAGGGATGCTTGCTTAGGTGTCTAGCCAGGCTTGGGGAGAACTGTTCGAGGATTGGAGGTGGGCGGGATGGCAGCCATGACCGCAGTCGGGTTGTCCAATTGCTGAAGAGTGTTCCTACATCCCGTGATGGTGGAGCATTGGCATTGGCAGGCCGTCTCGATTTGTTCGAAGCTGATCGCAGTGGCTGGTTCAGCCTATGGCGAAGTAGTGCATCTCTGTATATGCGTGATCTTGCCAGATTTTGTCGAAGCATGCTCCTTGATGGAAGAGAAGAGATCTATTCTCGTGCTCATGCATAGTGATCTACATTGTTGCACGCGAGCAGCGACCTACATGTTTCAGCCACAGAAGCGCGGAGGTGCCTCTCGCATGTCCGCGTGGCCGTCGACGACGACGATGACCTAAGCACATAGTCTACATGACGCTATCTCCTGCTTTACTACAATAGCAAAGTGTTGGAGGAGAAGACCTGATGCGCTGATAACCACGGCGCCTCACACAATATGCACAACCAAAGATAGCACAGCCATGTCGCGCACCACATTCGACGATATGCCAACACTGACCCGCCCATCACCACCTGCCAGTCCACGGCGACGGCGACACTGGGCAAAGAAGCTAGAGAGATGCTGCTGTCAAACCTTCGCATACTTCCCACTGACATTCGTGTACGGTTTGACAACATGGGCAGTCTGGGTAGAAGTCAACGTCTCTTTCTTCGGCTTGAGCATTAGTGGAGCCAGTGTTACTGGACCCTTCAATTGGATCAGAGCTGTGCTAGGAGTGATATTCTGGGCATTGGCCAATTCCTCCTATACGATCGCGGTCTTCACGTCCCCCGGTTCGCCCGCAGATGAGCGGCAGGATTATGGCAGAAGAGGTCGCAAGGACGGTGGATACGAGGGTCTACCGACATACGAGGATGAGGAAGGAGGGGTGGCAGAACACGCCGTACCACAGGGCATGACAATGGTGACTGCTAAGAGCAGCGGGAAGCCGAGATACTGCAAGAAATGCTGTACCCTGAAACCCGACCGAGCGCATCACTGCTCTTCATGTGGGAGGTGCGTGCTGAAGATGGATCATCATTGTCCTTGGCTTGCGACCTGTGTCGGGTTGCATAACTATAAGCCTTTTATCCTATTTCTGATCTACACGAGTCTTTTCTGCTGGCTTTGTTTTGCGGTAAGTGCGACTTGGGTATGGACAGAGATACTGGACGAGTCGCAGATGCAGGAGGGTCTGAAAGTGGTGAACACGATTTTGTTGGCTGTCCTGGGTGGGATCATCGGGCTGGTTCTTTCTGGTTTCACGGGATGGCATATTTATCTTGTTATGAGTGGGCAGACGACGATTGAGAGCCTGGAGAAGACACGATATCTTTCCCCATTGAAGAAAAGTATGGAGGATCAGGCACATCGTAATTACGTTGACCAGGCAAATGGTGGTGATGGACCAGGCATTGCCGATCAGCTGAAGGAGATCCACGCCAACGCTCTGCCGGGTGTACTCAGACCGGAAGAAGGCGAGGAGTCACAAGACCCATCTCGGACGAATACTCCCGACCCTGCGCACAATCGATACTCCAGCACAAGCTCGCCCGCGAAGGATAGTCTCCAGCGGTCCTACGCTTCCATGGAACAACAGCGCGAACGTGATCGCTATTCAGCATACCTTGACGAAGTTGACAGCGAGAAGATGCCCAACGCCTTCAACCTCGGCTGGAAACGCAACCTGCTCCACGTCTTCGGCGAGACACCTTTGCTCTGGTGGCTGCCCGTGTGCAATACTACAGGCGACGGCTGGCAATGGGAAGTCACGCCAAAATGGTACGGAGCACGCGACGACCTAGCCCGACAACGTGCGCAGCGTGAACGAGAAGAGCAAGCTTGGGGCAACGGTGGCCGCTCTTCCGAACATCCGCCCAGTTTCGAGCCGCTTCGGCGTGACGTTCGCTGGACACCAGGAGCAGGATTCGTGAACCATGCACGCAATAGTCCTCTTCAGCCACCACCACGTAGATCACCGCTGCCGAGTAATGTAGCACAGGCACAGCGTTCGGACTCGGCTGATCTGCAAATGCAGACGTTGAGTTCGGCGACGAGGTCAGCGCAGGAGTCCGATGAGTATGATACGAGTAGTGATGAGGATGTCAAGAGGATGTATCAGCATGAACAGATTGCTGGTATTACTACGGAGAACTCGAACGATGTCCCTGATGGGTTCTTAAAAGCTGGGAAGGGGAGGAGTGGAGAGAGGAGTCGATCAAGCGGACGGAGAAAAGGTGACTGAGAACTCTGACATAAGATGGTAAATGACTTGTGTATTACGATACTGGAATAACAGAAGACGACGTCCACCCTCCCACGATAGCCATCGTATATTCCTCGATCGGTTGGGTTGCAACATCTCCTGGCGCAAGGCCATCGATCACGATGCCCATCAACATTGTTGGTGCCCATCACTCTTCGTGACGACAGGCTTTGACCATGGCCTCAATCTCCGCAGCACGGTCGTCCTCTTGACACAGCTCTTTCCACGCTTGCGGATCCGGAATGTCGTGACGTTGGTTGAGCTTGATCTGCTGATCCAAGCACGACTCGACGTGATTCGGGTGATCGATGGTGCCGGACGTTGTGGCGTTGTGAGTGGCGAGCTTGGCTTCTGTCAAGGTTGAGACATGCTTGGGTGGCGTGGTAGTGGGCTTGCGACGAGGCTCGGTGGTAGAGGCATTGGTGCGATCGACTTGATCGATAGACGATGCGGCGTGTCTGATATCGCGTTCAGACGGTGCTGTGGAGACGGCCGACGTGCTGGAGTGACGACTGTGCCCTCCGACGTTCGCTTCGGCACTGCAGTGATCGATGTTGGACCATGTCGCGTCGTCCATCGTGACAGATGAATTCTGCCTCTCGAGATCGATCGCTTCTGATCGATAGGTTGTTGAGGAGGAGGATTGTAAGACTTGTCCACAACGGTGGATCTCTTCATAAATGTCAGTAAGAAGCGCAGCTCCGAAGGACGATGACCTACGGTAGATGGTAGCGCTCTTCGTGAGAAGACCAACGATCGTCAAGATAGTTGTGATCAGACCGAAAGCCAGGGCTAGTTGGTTGTCGAGTTGCATTGCGGGCATGAGTGCAGGAAGGAAGCAAGAGTGCATGAGTATGAGGCGATATATACCTATTCCTCGGAGAGGGCACCGTTAATGAATGCCATCTTTTACCTGTGCATTTCGCACTGTGCAAACTGTTGGGCGTTCCAGAAGATGGGGCGATGCTCTTGACAGACTGCATCATCGGCCACGAATATGTTGTTGGCTTGGGGGATTGCACAGTGCATACTACAACATGTGGCCCGTATCCTGGTTAGAAGTTAAAGTTCAACCAATGGTGCGTGCACTTGCACTGTGCAAAGTGCACGCACCACTCTGTCCAGCCGACAAGACGCTTGCATTAGCTCCCTGTTCTCTGCTCTGCGTTGTGGAGTTTGCACAGTGCAAAGATCATATTTCTGGTTGGTCGATGCCACGGTTTCAGACGACACAGTTCATCGTGCATCGCACAAGCCTGCGAAAAGGCTGGCATGCGCGGCGGATACCTTGTGCCTCGATGCGGGCTATGAGGCTTGCAGTAATTTCTGCCGGCCAAGCCGTGTCGTGAAGTGACACCAATCCTCGTGGGCAGGCCTTCAGAGCTCTGCCTTCCGACCTCCTCTCATCATCACCAGGAGACGAATGCAGAATACCTATCGGTTTTCACATAATATACAGAAAGGCTGCGTGGTCCAACGAACTCGTATAAATGCTTTTTAAATACAGACCTGGCCCTTGCATCCTGTCGCCACGCGATAGTAGCGCTAGAGCATTCGACGCGGACGACCATTGCGATTATCGCTCTTCTGCCTCATACGGGCGAGCCTTAGCTCACCATGGGCCGTGGTGAATCTATCGACTGGTCCCCGGTTTGGAGCGAGGTGGTGAAGCTTCACAACGAAAACATGACGTTGTCGCAGATCCGGAGCGAGTTGCAAAAGTCTCATCCCAAATTCGAAGCCTCGTACGTCTTTACATATCATTCATTCAGACTATCCTAGGCTTGCTGATTATCATGGAGGATACGTGCCTATCGATCTCGTTTTAAGGAGCGAGACATGACCAGGCTGATCCATATGAACCGGCAAACTCTGCTAGGGTCCTCAGGCCCTAGGCTTGGTATCGCAGAGCTGCAGGACACGCAAGATCCTGCTAACGAACTAAGCGTAATGCCAATACCTTTGACTGTCAACAGCATCACCACGGATTTGGACCACGCCTCGAAACGGAGGAGATTAGACTTCCATCTTGAACAACACGAGAGAGGATCTCAGTCCCAGTCCCCTTACATCTGGTCGGGGGCGCAGAGAGTTGACATCGTAGCAAGGACTACCAAAGATGGGGTTGCAGGTCTTGCGTCGAGCTCGTGGGGTGCAAGTCAGAGCAATGGACGTCCACGAAGTAATCTTATCGATGCTGCCTTAGCTTTGGGTACCAACGCGGGTATCCTGCAACGATCAAATCTCGAAGAGACGCCTTCAGAAGAGAGCAATTTAGCCGTTGATCACTTCTCAGGACAGCAGCATGAGGTCCAATACTCACTACTGGAACCGAACGCTCACAAACTTCAGGATATCTTGCTCGCCACGAAATTTGAGCCTGAAATCACGAATGTACTACATCGCGCAGCCGCAAAATATAGCACTATCCTTGGTCCCGTGCTGCAGTTCATGCGGCAGCGCAATATTAGCATCGATCTCCTGGACGAAGAGGGACGTACAGCACTTCACCTCGCCATCAAAAATGGACATAATGAGTCTGTGCGAAGTCTTCTGGATACTGGTGCCTCGATCAATCGTCAGGGTTCCACGACCGCTTTACATGTAGCTGTTGAAGCTGCGGAGTTATCTGAGCCCATCATTAATGTCCTGCTCGATCATGGCGCTAAGACTTATGCTATCGACTATGCCGGGTCGTCATCGTTGAGACTGCTTGTGAATCGCCTGGGCCGCCAGGGGCTCGATGGTAAATACGAAACTCTAAAATGCATATTGGACGCGATCACAGCTCTCTTGAACAAGGGCAGTACTCTGGACAGCGAACAAGACAAACCAACCTTTGAGGCCTTCATCGACTGGTTTCAACCGCTTTGGCTTGCAAGCTCTCTTCGCTGGTACTATCGTGACTACGCGTTGCCCGTACTCCGTACATTCCTCGCCAAAGGATATTCACCTCTACACGACGTTACTGTGCGAAGCTGCCCTTATGAGTACTGTGATACCCTTGCTGATTTTGCTGCTTTCCATCTCCCCGACGATGAATTATGGCGCTTAATAGCAAGATCCTCATCTATTGACACTCATGTACTCAGCCTCGCACGACGATTGCTAGAACCCTGTTTCCATTGTAACCGCGCATTTTCCCCAGCAAAGTATATGGAAATGCTGCCGTGGCATGGAGCTCACTTCACCGCAGAAGATTCGACAAACCTACTCCATGAGCTTTTGGACCAGACTTACACCCACAATTCGGGAGACAACCATACTATACTACAAATGTGGCTCGACAGAGGCTTCGTGACCGACGTTCAGCCATTGAAACATCAACAGCGGCCACTCGAAGCGTATCTGATGCATTGTTTGGAATATGCAAATGTGCCACATCTAGGACTTGTGACGACCTTGTTATCTGTGGACAAAGGTCTCTCTATCGCGAGGGAAACGCAGGTCGACGACATGGCCGACAGTCTCTTCTGCTACCATCCCGGTCTTCATTACCGCAAGTACATGGAGCCAGACTACGGCTGTCATCTTCTACAGTATTATTTTGCTAGTATCGACTCTCTGGATCCAAAAGAATTTTATTCGCTACTGAAAGACTCTTGGCGATGCGTTATTCATGTTCTCACTGCGCACTTGATTGCTGACGACCTTGCCATACCACACGCCGAGAACAGATGGCAGAGGACTCTTTTTGCCGCCGTTATCAGAAAAGAGGCTAAGCTACCACTGATTGCTGTCGGTCATGACATACTGATCGAAGCGATTGGAAGCGCACCTGAATCTGCAGGATATGTGACTGCGTACGAGGGAAGCTGGGACAGTTTGAAAGCCAGTCTACGGGAGTTACCTCAATTGCATGACTTTCCACTTGACGAGGATGAGGATGAGGATGAGGATGAGGATCCACCTTGGACATGATTGAGTGGCTATGAAGCAGCAGCGCAAACCGTTACCCATCAATCCACTTTTCCGCCGCAGCCGCCGAATTGAGTGATTCGATGGCATGCTTGCTTGATCAAGAGCTTTCCCTGCCGTTGGTCTTGTCTGGGCTACGAACTAGATTATGCTTCAATCCTGAACGATTTCAACCTCTAGCGCCGCAAGAACGTCCGCGACATCGTTCATTCCGGCCGACAATGAGGTGTAGATCACAGGTCATCCAGGCTACGGCAATGCAGACTGTTGCTTGTAACCACTTCGACGGCCTCGGTCCCAAAGCAAGCTTCGCGATCGTCTACGCTGTTGTTGGCCCGACAATCACCGACAGCTAGCTTGACGCTCTCAGCTGCCCCTGTCGGAGTCGGTCCTATGATGCGTTCTTCAACCGCACCGACTGCCTCAAATCGGTCGAGCTGGCTTGCAGAAGATTGATTGAGTAAACATGGCTCTGCTCGATGATGCCGCATCTGACGAATTGATACTGTGCTTCCTGTTAGCTTGAGAGGCAAGACACAAGGGCTTGCCATATAGTAATTCGTCGTGATATTGATACACAAACCGAGGAGGGTGAGGCCCGTCGTGACGAGACCGAAAGCGAGGGCTAGCTGATTATCGAGTTGCATTGTGCCGTCAAGAAGTCCAGAGTATGGAGATATGTGTTGTGGTATGGTTCTTGCGTAAAAGAGAAGATGAGAAAATTGGTGACAAGGACCGCTAACGTTTGTGATTGAAATTCTCCTTTAGATACTTATGATAGCATCCAAGTAAGTGGTTCGAAGGACTCATGTCTGCCCAGAAACAGCAGACACATCATAAAACAGCGCTTGAACGAACCAACAAACGCTGTCCGCATTCGACCTAGCGCCGCGGTGGATGGCTTGCATGAAGTATCTGACTCCCCCGTGATCAGGTCGCGATGCCCCCCGTCCGTCTGCCATTATAGGTTGCATGCAGCCAGCGTATACTTAGTTGCACCGAAGGGACGTGAACGTCGTTCGCGAGCTCGACCGTAGGAGGATGACTGAATCGGAGCCTGCTGCACGCTCTCGGGCTACGTATCAGTGGCGTCGCATGCCAGATCGGAGTTCTCGCGAGCGATAGCCAGACAGGATGCTCCACGTGATGGCACTTTCGATATTCTCTTTCTCGATGACGTTCGTTGGGTCTGGAATGCCATCCGCATGCATTTGCATCAAGCTTGGGACCACTACACACCCGGTGGTGGAAGGGGAGTCCTCCTCTGAAATGATAGGTACGGATATCTCGTACGTCAGGAGCAGTATTCGAACGCCCCACAGCCTCGAACGAGACAGCTCTCAAGTCCTAGCCCTCTTACTCTTCCCCGGCCTCTTCGCCCCACCCTTCGCACCCCCCTTCATCTTCCTCGCCGAAAACCCACTCATATCCCCCGTACTCCTCGCATCATTACTCTTCGCAAACTTCTTCTTCCCACCGAACCCAAACTTCTCATCCTTCTTTTGACGCTTTCTGTTGGGCCCACCATCACCGTCACGACCTCGTTTGCCACCTGCAGCAGCGCCTTTGGCTCGCCGGTCCGCACGGTCCTTTTTCTCGGTCGTCGCGGCGTCTTCGAGTGCGACGTCGAACATGGAGTCCTCGTTTGCCGTGAGTTCGGCGCCGCCGGAACGTTCTGATGGATCGTGTTAGCATGACACGACACAAATGGACATATGGCGGGAAGGACATACTCCTCTTCAAAGCCCCAACCTTATCCAACATGTCCCTCTTCGCTCGATCCCTCTCCTGCAACTTAGCAACCTGCACTGCCTTTCCGAACTTCTTCAAATCGCGCTGCCTTCTCGCATCCGAGCTTGCCTTCTTCCTCGCTGCCTCGTCAACCATCTTCTGCTTCACTTTACCCATCTGTTCTTCACTTTTCACCATTTCGGCGAAGTAATCTGCGGGTCGTGTGAAAGGTACACCTTCTTTCTTGAGTTGGATGCGAGCTTCCTTGACCGCGTTCAGGGATTGTTGGTAGAAGGCAAGTTCGCGGGTGAGGTCATCTTCTTCGTCTGCTATTTGAACTGGCTCGGAGGTTGTCACTGATTGAGCCGCTGAGAATGGTAGACTGGATGGTAGCGCGAAGGACTTCAGTGCTCGTTGAAGGGCGGCTGTGTTGTTGATTGTGAGTCGTTGGTGGGGTATCACGTCGCCTTTGTCTTCCGAAGCTAAAGACTCGATGTCGGAGAGTGGTATGTCATCTTCGTCTTCGACATCATCGTCCTCTTCTTCAACAGGGACACCACCTATGTTCTTCTTCTTGGGTGACGTAGCTGCCGCGGTGTAGAATGTCTCGTCCTCATCGGAATCAGAATCTGACTCATCCTCGAAGGTGTCGAGATTGACCCCGCCTTCTGCATCCTCCTCATCCTCTTCTCCGTCCTCACTCTCGTCTGTCTCCCAGCCCTCTGCCTCTCCATTCGTCTTCTCCTTCAGCGATGCGCCATCTGCGGCAATGATCTGTGCGACCTGATCCCTGAGCTCTTCACTCAATGCCTGTGCCTCTTCGTCCTCCTCCTCCTCACCAGCTACATCCTCGTCCAGCGCATCGATATCGACCTCACTGCGCTTCTGCTTGAGTTTGCGCTTCTGGGCTTCTTTTTGCAGTTTCTTTTGCTTGTCTTTGGCGTAGTCGACACCTTTATTGCGATCTAGCGCAGCCTTCAGATTGTTTTGCTTGACCATGGCGGGCGATGTTGTGAGCTTGTGCCTGGAAAGAAGGTGCTGTGCTTCGGTGCTCGTGCATGCGGACAGAGAAAGCTCAAACGATCTCGAAAATTATAAGCTTTCTGGAAGCGGAACAGAGCCGCAACACGACCTCACGTGTCAATCGCGTCCTACCAACGATCCGTTTGAACTTCACCTCATCTTGTTTTCCGTCCTGTCACTGTCCGGTCCAACCATCAACGCGAATCGACCCTAACAAACACTTCTTGCCGCCAGCATCATCCTGAACACTGCTCCCATCATGTCTAACGATCCCACCACATTGTCCGCTCAAGTAAAGCAGCTCAACATCGGCGATGACTCCGTATGTTCATGTGGCCTAGCTGTCAAGCCCAATCATCGCTGCAATGTGCATGCTCATACGCCTCATCTTCCGAGCTAATGACAGTCCAGTCAACAACCGACTCAGGATCTTCCGAGCTGGTGGCGGTGGTGGATGACCTCCTCAATCAGCTCAGTGGCAAGTTCAGCAACTTGTCCAGCGAGCTGATTGGCAAGAGTGGGACCTCCTGTCTGGACAACAGCATGCAAACGTAGATGGCTGACCCAACATAGTGGACGAAATGTCTCGTCGACTAGACATCCTGGAAGCCAATATACAGGCAGGCAATGCACAAGCCCAGGCCGAGAGCGAGTCATGACCAACCTGGTTGTTGGTAAATTCCTGCGATTTTAGCAAGGCGTTAAAGGCGAAACATTTCTATGTGTGGGCACGAAAATAAAGAAAACCATCTACCTCTTTCCTTTTCAACCACGACGAGCTGCCTTTCCGATTCGCACGTGTGATCCAGGTCGCTTTCTAGCCTGTAACGATGACATCAGGTCTTGGCCATTTCCGGCATTGCGTGCGGGTTTTTGCATCTACGCATGCGTCCTAGGTATATTCTGGTCGCCGCTTAGCACTGATCCATTGCCGAAACATTGGTGAGGCTTTAAGAGTATCTAATTGCCACCACCTAAAAGCTGACTTGCCACTGCAGCAATGCCTGCCGTCCGAGCACAGAGTCCGTCTGCTGCGATTTCTTTCCAGCAGGTTTGCCATGCTTCCCTTGTAACGCCCAACCACAACGAACACCAGCTAGCCCATGTGACCGCGACGCCGATACCTGGCGACGACATTGCACGAGTGAGAAACTTCCGCGCCCACTTCAACAACGCTTACTGGGCAGCGACACACTTGTATCAACGCTTGAACCACCTGGTCCTGAGTGCCTTCATTTCAGGTCTAGGCTGCCCGCTTAGCGATGCGGCATGGCCCGCCGTCGTCAGTCTGAAGCGGGACTTGGCTGCGCTGTCACAGACACGCCAGCAGGAGCTTATGTCGTTGTGGGCGGCGAGGGAGGTGGAGTTGGCTGCACAGATTTTGGAGCGATTTTTACCACAACGAGCAAGCAACCTACGTTCGATATACGCTGGACTGGCACAAACGAATAGGAAGTGAAGCTGGAGATGCTGGCTGTCTTGCATTGGAGGTCTGGCTGTGAGATTGTCAAGTCATGCAGAGCAGGATGGTAAGAAGCTACCACTATGCCACTTGTGGCGAGTGTCAGTAAAAGGACCCTTGTCAGTACTACAACATAATATGCATCATGAGCACTGCCAGATACAAGCCTGTATCGATATTCTATTCCCTTTAGAGACTTCACAACGCACTGTCGGACATCTAACGCCACAGAGCTCTCCGGGAAGACTGGGAAGGCGTGGAAGTATGAGGTAGGCGTCACCATTACCTTGGCTGGTCTCCTAGCTAGCATGGCAGTATGCCCTCGGCCCGAGTAGTCATGCGGCAGGTCTTCTATGGGCAATAATGTTGGCCCAGGACAGTTGGACAGTGAGATACCACGACGCCGCATCTTGGTCGTTGCTGCCACGCCGGACCATCTCAAGAGACACCGTCGTCAGCTGCAAAATGCATCGGTCGCGACTCAACCCGTACCGGCATTCAGGATGATACGATCGAGGCCGACAGCAGCAGAATCTTCGTCGTAAACTTGTTTGCCGCAAGCTTATGCAAGAATGCTGCAGATAGGGCGGCAGCTCTTGACATGATACGCTCGCTAAAGATTGTGGCTATTTGGGCCAATCCGATCGTACACCGGACCTTACTGCGCCCTCTTCAATGCTGCAATTCTGCAATGCCGGGCCATCATCAGCCTGTATCGCCGGTCTACTCGCCACGATTCTCGCCCACAATGCAGCTTACTCCTGCTCGTCAGTGGCTGGATGTGGACTTAATTTGCGATGATTGCTATGTATAACCTCGCCGGAGAGGACTCTTGCCGAGCATCCTGGCAATATGATTTTGAATACTGTGGCACATTGAGGCCGACAGGCCTGACCAACGCCTCTCATCATCGCGCGACGAGGCGTAGGAAGATCGCTACTGGTTCACGAGCTCCTGTACGACGTGTTTGCGCCATACCTTGACCGTGCGCTTCTCGCGTTTACATGCCTCCGGTGCTGTACTTTCGTCAAGAGCTACTTCCTATAGCTCTCCCCGGCTAAAGTTCTGACCATTACGGCCGCTGGGTGCATTAAGCACACATCTTTGCGTGTTCTAGTGTGCCTTCTTTGCATACTGCTGCGGATAGCCTCGTCGCCTTCTTCGTCATCCACAGAATCTTCACGATACAAAGTGGCAGCCACCTGCCCACAATGCCAATGTCCAGACAGAAGAGCATATTATGTTGAAAGCGCGCATATAAGATCGACCACGTTCGTTTCCCAACGCAGCAGGTCTGCTATATTGCTGGACAAGTCACTCTTTATACACTCACTATAGCTGGCTATAGCTACGCCAAACAATAGTCACCAGCGGCCCAAGTGTCCCGGACTTTTCCTTAAAACAAGATGGCGACCAACAACACCCTCACGATCGACTCGGACGAACTCCAGATGACAGCGAACAACATCAGCATCATCTTCGGCGCGATCGGGACCTTTCTCGCCGTTGCCGCTATAGTGGTAGCCGTCCATCAATATCGACTCGGCATCGGCATTGGTGCCATTCGCCAACGACAAGGAGACGATGTCGAGCAGCAAACACCAAGTCCGAAGGATGGTGGCTTCCAACCTCTTTTGCGAGCGACTACCTCGACCGTCAGCTCGATTGGACAATTATTCTACACGAAAGGAGAGCTTTGATGTACGGTCCGAAGTCCTCAGTATTGGCGACGGAGCGTCCTAGATTCTGTATCCATGTGGCGTTGTGGCTATTGTGTACGATATGTTTTCGATACCCTGTGCTTGCGAGGAGTTTGGGTGGGAGATCTGGACAGCGAGGCTTGACCGATGTTATGGACTGTACCTCATGGAGAATTCATCAAGATTGCTCGTGAGATAGATAGAGATAGAGGTCATTGTTTGCTTTTGTTGGCACGAGCATACTCGCTGGCTCCTGTGTAAAAGACGCGGTGATCGTCGGGACGCCAGTATACAAGAATCGCAATCTCATCTCTCATCATCTCGTGAATATCATCATGTCAATCTCATTATGTCCGCCTGCATAGAGACTATAGATATTCTGCACACATTGATCTCAAGTTCGACCTTTTCGATGCCCCTGTCGAAGTCACTTCGGATAGCCTTGAGCTCGTCCAGCCGCGCGCTCTGTCTGGTCATGGTTTCTCGGAATTCCTGTACGCTTGCCTGGAGTGTACCGAGCTGATGATCATGAGCAGTCATGGGTGCTGCGGCTATCATGACTGGTGGACCGATATCGAGAGGTATGGGACATTGGCGCAGGAAGTCGAGAAGATGGTCGGGTGACATCGTTGTTCCTTCCGAGTGCTCGATTGGAGAATAGGCTGCTGTCGGCTCCAAGGCGGTAGTGTTCAGTCCAAAGCTGTCCGATGACACATGTCTTTGTGCTGATGTTAGGTTGGTATGATCGGTTGGTTTGCTCGAAGGATAAGCGTATGGAGTGTTGCGTGCTTCTTCCTCCAGTAATGGCCTGACACACATATTACCTCGACCAGAACGCAGATGTCGATCAAGCCCCTGGGCCAAAGCAAATCGTTTGCCACATCCCCACGACCTGCCACAGCTTAGTCTGCCCTCGCAGACATGTTTCCGTTCCCCAGTGTGTAGATTCTGGTGCCGCTTCCTATCATTGTCACGAGCGAAAGCTTTGGAACATATGCCGCAGATGAAGGGCCGGTCGTCAAAGTGAGTCCGCGAATGACATCGCAAGGTGTGAGCAGTAGTGAAGCGCTTCGGACATAAGGTACACCCGAAGTCTCGAGGATGTTTAGTAGGCGTCAGATCGTCCCGTGTCCACGGCGCCGTCAGTGGAATTGATAGTGCATGTGATTCCAGAGTGGACGCCTCAAATGTCAGTGAGCCACTGGGCATACCAAGGTTTGTAGCGATATCCATTCGATGCTCGAACTATTCACCCTTGATCGCGATTGATGAAGTCCCGCACGCGCGGGTAGGAGATGTCAGCGCGATATGTGACAGGTTAGCTCCAATCATGCATTGATGCCGTAGAGATATACAAGTCATGACTGTCCGCAAGGGACCACAAGAAGACGGCGCGGCCGACCAGCTTAAGAAGGGTCTCATGTTGCAGCGGTGCAGTAAAACGAGGTGGTCGCCGTGGCTGCTCTCCTGCTGTGAAATCCCCAGCACACATATTTGACGCTTCGCGCAGAGACTCAGAGGTAGGTACAGAGGCGCTCTGCGCCTGACTCTCGTCTAGTGCCGGGCGTAGTATGTCAACGCATCCAGTTATGAACACCTTCCTGCTCAGCAAAGAATGGCTTAGTACAGACAGTTGCAAGAAAAGATGCTGCTTCGAACGCCACAAGTCGCATGGAACGGCGACGTAAGTCACCGGTTGGTCTATAGTTCAACACACCACCAACCCGAGATCTATTGCAGACACACCCTCCAATGACCAGCACTATCGTGCGACACTCTACCGCTGTCAAGCCAAATGACCAGCACTGTCACAACAGGTCCAGACCCAGATGTCCTACAGGAGCGAGCGAATAACCTCACCATCATCGTCGGCACTTTGGCAACCGTCCTGAATCTCATGGCGACCGTAGTAGGCATCTGGCAATATCGGACCAGATCAAGCCACTTGGCAAGGAAAGTACCAATCGACGTCGAGATGCAGAGGCAGCATACCGATAGGACCAGTACCTTGTCATCTGTCGCGTCCGATGGTCCACCCAGCAGGGAATCCGCGACACATGCATCGCAATCAGCCCCCATCACATCATTGAGCGACAAAGGCTATGATACACGGCAGCTCATTGTCCCGGCGCAATGAGCCCCAGTCTGGCGGGTTGGAAACAGAACGTGATCCTGGGCAAACTAGGTTCTACCAGACTGTTATGCTGTTACACATGCGTCTCCTCATCGTGGTCAAGCAGCTAGAGAAGGAAGCTGTTGTTCGTGGCTGGCTGCGATCGAGACACATCAGGACTTATTAGATCGTTTCTTCAGAGATTCACCAGAATGTGCGGCATTACTGTATGTAGATGCGAGCGAAATACATGTCTCGGACCAAATGAGCGAGCCAATTCTGTCAAGCTAAGATACGGCATGCCGAATGTGTGAAACGGCCCGAGCATGTGACATCAGAGCCGAGATGCTCTTCCGCCAGTAAACAATTACGTTCGGGTTCCACATCTCGACGCTATCAAATACCAGGACCTGACTTCTTCGTGGACTACATTGCAAGCGACTGATGGTGCGACGATGATCTCGAGGCTGCTGTCCTTACGGCTCGCCTCCTCTGCTCCTCAGCCCGCCGTAGGCCTTCCACGAGGACTCTCATCGGCACGACATGTAACATTGTCTGGACTTGGCAGCAAAGCTGTCGCTAGGCGGACAGTCTCACAAGCAGCACTATCACGAACTGGTGCAGCATTGCGAGCCTCGTCAAAACCATGGCCACAACGACGAAATTGGCCTTTTGGCAGCAATGCCATCCACAACTTGCCCGCCGTTCGGCATGCCTCATTCGCGCGCGTAATACCTGGCCTTGCCATGAAAATGCTACGAGTGCCGGCGATGGCAGGCATGGGCATGCTGGGACTCGTCGCATACATACAATACCAAGCTAGCCAAGGAGCAGCATATGCGGTCGACCTCTTCGGCAAGGCCAAGGATGCAGCATCAGGAGCTGCTACGGGTGTTTTCGAAGGTGCCGGTGGGATCTTCGGGCAGATTGGCAAGGGCTGGGATAAGACGAAGGAGGATGTAGGTGGAATCAAGGTGGAGATGCCGCAGTGGATGAGGGACATCTATGAGGGCAAGACACAGCGGGAGGAAGGCGGGAGTGGCGGCAGTGGTGGACCGAATGAGCCAAAGCAGGCTGGAGGTGGAGCTGTCGGAGCAGGTGCAGCGACTGCAGGTGCTTTTGCGCTTGGTAGTGATGGCGAAGAGGACGACAGAACTCCCACCGAAGCTGCACGAGATGATCAGATGATGCTCCTCACACGAAAGATGATTGAGATCAGATCTTTGCTACAAACTATCGGCCAGTCAGAATCACTCACGCTGCCTTCGATCGTGGTGGTGGGATCACAGTCATCCGGCAAGAGTTCGGTCTTAGAAGCTATTGTGGGCCATGAATTCTTGCCCAAGGGCTCCAATATGGTGACAAGACGACCGATCGAGCTCACACTCGTCAACACACCAAAAGCTCAGGCCGAGTATGGCGAATTCCTAGCTCTTGGCTTTGGCAAGATCACAGATTTCAGCCAGATCCAGAAGACCTTGACTGATCTCAACCTGGCTGTGCCAGAGACAGATTGTGTCTCTGATGATCCGATCCAGCTTAGGATATATTCGCCAAACGTGCCCGATCTCAGCTTGATCGACCTGCCAGGCTACATCCAGGTTGAAGCTTTTGACCAGCCAACTGAGCTGAAAGCCAAGATCCAAGACCTGTGCGACAAGTACATCCAGCCACCAAATGTCATTCTTGCGATCTCAGCAGCTGATGTGGATCTTGCCAACTCAACGGCTCTGCGCGCGTCACGACGAGTAGATCCTCGTGGCGAGCGTACCATAGGTGTGGTTACCAAGATGGATCTTGTCGACCCCATACGCGGCGCACAAATTCTAGCTGATCGCAATTACCCGCTCCGACTCGGTTATGTCGGTGTCGTGTGCAAAGTGCCTCGAGAGACGAAATCAGTCTTCTCACGAGGATCTGCGAACATCACCAGTCTCATTACGAAGAACGAGTCTGCATACTTCAGTGCACATCCTGAGACGTATGGTCCAGACAGCCAGGTCACGGTCGGCACGTCGAACTTACGCAAGAAGCTCATGCATGTGCTCGAGGCGACCATGTCTGCGTCACTCGCCACCACGAGCGAAGCCATACACCAGGAGTTGGCCGAGGCTACGTACGAATTCAAGGTGCAGTACAACGAGCGCTCGTTGAGTGCGGAGAGCTATCTGGCTGAGAGTCTGGATGCCTTCAAGCACTCCTTCCGAGCCTTCTCAGACACTTTCGGCCGGAAAGAGGTTCGAGACATTGTCAAGCAAGAACTTGACCAACAGGTGCTCAACCTGCTAGCACAGAGATACTGGAACAGACCAGTCGAGAACCTTCGACCGGTAGATCAGCTGGCAGAAGGTCCACAAGAGCATATCGAAAACCTGCCCAAGGCCGACCCCGAGAATCCACTCTGGCACCTTAAGCTAGACGCCAGCACATCGACCCTCACAAAGCTTGGGATCGGCCGCTTAGCCACTTCCATTACGGCGCAAGCACTGCAAGAGAGCGTGCAGAATCTGGTTCAAGGTAGTACCTTCTCTAGCCACCCCTTTGCCATCCAAGCCATCACCCAAGCTTCCACCAACATCCTACGAGACTTAAGCTACGACACCTCCGACGAGCTTGAAATCTGCGTAAAGCCCTACAAGTACCGGGTGGAGGTCTCCCAAGACGAATGGCGACGAGGCCGGGATAACATCACGGAAGTGTTGAAGTCTGAGCTCAAAGACTGCGACGTCGCGACCAAAGCCGTCGAAGATCAACTCGGGGGCAAGCGAAGAGCTAAAGACGTCCTCTCATTCATCGACCGCGTGCGGAAAGGCGAAGTCATTCTAGACGGCAATACAGATGCAGGTGCCGGCGGCTTCAGCGCTGCTCTTCTGTCGAAAGGCCGCGAAGCTCTCTTCCTCCGCGACCGCTCGGACATCCTGCGACTCCGTCTTGCAGCTGTCAAATCCCGCCAGTGCTCAAACCCAGCAAACAAATACCACTGTCCTGAAGTCTTCCTCGATGCGGTAGCGGACAAACTCACCTCCACTGCCGACCTATTTCTTGACGCTGAGTTGTTGAGTAAATTCTACTATCAGTTCCCGAGGATGCTGGAGCAGCAGTTCAGGAATTTGGACGAGGGGACTGTGCAACGCTTTGCCAGGGAGGATCCGAAGATCAGGAGGCATTTGGATGTTGTGAAGCGGAAAGAATTGTTGGAGCATGTGCTCAAGGAAATGGAGGGGCTGAGGGAGTTGGAGAAGAGGGAGGTCAGGCGGTCTGGACGCGGGCAGGTGGAAGAGGTCGGGAGGAAGAGGAAGGGGTGGGGTTTGTTTTAGACGTTGGCTTGTGTGTTCTGTGGCGTTGTGGAGTTTGGATGCGGCGACGGCTGTCACAGATACCATCGGCTGAGTATGTAGCTTCGGGTGTCTATTTCCGCTCTTGTCATGATACAGTCTTCGGTGCACTTTTCCCTGTACTCATTGATCTATCCTCTGTTCGCAGATGTGTAAAGCTTTGTGCGAGATAGAGCACAAGCAACGCTTGTTTGCCTTCGCAGCACTTTAGCTAAACCGCTCTGCTTTGGGGCACAGTCCGCAATAGCACTCCGGGCATGGCGACGTGTGTCCCACCATACACAGCGACATCCCGTGCCATTGTTCAGCTTGACAGCAGTACCGAGCAACCACCATACTATGACCAGCCTCCCACAGCTAATCCTCCTTGTCGTAATTCCTGACCCAAGGCGAACACGTCCCCTTCAGGCCATCACGAAACGCTTCCAATGATTTCTCGACTGTGGCCCATCCATAGTAGCCCCAATGCGGTACCGCATCTGCGAGATTGAACGCCGCATTGACGATGTGATCACTCGGCCTCGTCTTGACCTCCAGATCCGGGCGCAATCCAGCCCAGAGGAAGTAGTCCTTGACCCATGCCACGAGGTTCTCCCAGTGGGGATCATTGTCGATAAGGAATGTGATGTTCGAGTTGCCTTGAGGTCGTAGGTGCCGATAGATGCGATATTGGCGTGCGAAATGAGTAAAGGCAACGCCGTTGAAGGCGGTGATGCTTAACCTGAATTTGTTCTCGGTGTAGTAGATACTCCTCGCCTCCTTGCGGACGCCTCGACAAACGCGCAATAGCGCCGGCTCTCCGGGTCCCTTTGGCTTCAGTTTGATTTCTTCTCCAGAGACCAGCACGTGGCGGTAGATGATGTTACGTAATTCGGCAGGGAGCTTGAAGAGGTGGCAGCTTTTGCGTTGTCGAGGTCGACGAAAGCGTTTGCGTTTGGACACACCTTGTGGTGCTGCCTATTGTGCATCAGCCTAAGTCTACGTCAACTGCAAGATCACGATGGCGAACACTCTGCTTCGATGCTTCTGCAGCCTTGCCAAGCTGCAGTCGCTCACTTGTGCGTGATGGCTTTTCAGCAGAGGGGCGTCGTGATGGCATGCTTGCGGCTACGTGAAGAGAGGCATAGACCACGATGTCAAGAAAGAGAGAAAGGAGATACAGAAGTCGAAGGTTCGGAAGATATGTTAGAAGGTAAGGTAGGCAACCGTGCGCCCCTCGCGTGCACGCGTTCCTTCCATTCACTGACAAAGTTCTCTGCGGGGCCCGACCCCGAGATTCGCATGGCAGGCGCGACCATGAGAGCCCGTCCATCCACCCACCACCGCCGCGATGCAGCCCAGATCGTCGTCGGTCGCATGCTGCTAGGCAATCCGGCAGTCGACCTAAGAACTCTGATGCGTTCACGAGTCTTGCTTTCTGCTCTCGCAAAAGCGTTTCCAGGTCTCACCTGCCCTGCATTCGGTCGAGCTACTGTCTTCACTTCCAGAGCTGTTGTTTTCTGGCTGCCTGATTTCGTTCCTGCTCCGCCTCCTCTGTCTTCTCCATGATCCCGCGGCAGTCCGTCTCCACGTCGACCGTGATGTAGTTCTCGTTGAGCATGATACTGATCGAGATAGAAGGGAGGGGATACTGGATGGTAAGTGTCCAGACCAAGGACCGGAAGATTGCTCCAAATGTTGTACCTGCCTACTGCAGGACCGCAGCTTGTCCATGTCGCACTTCTGTCATTCAATCAACATGTCCCTAATGCTGCATATTGTGTTCGAGAACGTCGATTTTTGCTTTTTCATGATCATACCAGGCCACGTCAAGCTGCGGGCAAGACGTGTACCGAGTGCTATCGATTTCATCTGTTTGCTAGCCATCCGTCTCTTATCACCCGCTTGCCAAAGAAAAGTGCTCCAAGAATGAGCCCGAAGCCAGCAAGCGCTACTCCTGTGTACTTCGCGCAGAGCATGCCGTACTTCATATCCACAGTATCAGTCTTGTTGAGGTTTACTTGGACCTCGACACTTCCAGCGATACCGAGTGCGAGGGAGATGGAGTAGAAGACGACTGTGTTGACGAGAGCCGGGGCCAGATTGTGGTGCTCCGGAGGCAAGCTGTCGGAAAGCAGAATTATGCTAGTTGGGTATATTAGGACCATACCGAAGGGCATAATCAGCTGTACACATTAGCGTGGTATTTTTGAGTGACGTATAGAGCTCAGCTTACAGTAGAGATGAATGTCTGAGCCCAGTAGCTTTGGCGCATCGGCTGCGCGGCGGCAATGATCTCGCTCACGAAGAACGATAGCAGGGCCATTAAGAGCGCAAATGACAAGTGCTGATGTTGGACCATGTAGACCACGACAGCCGCAGCTATACTACCAACAAGTAGTAACGGGATGAGTCCAGCAGCGACTGCGATCGCCGTTTGGCCTCGTAGCTCCACGAGATAGCGACATGAGTAGACCAGCCAGATCCCGAAGGAAGTCCACCCCAGAGCAAGCATGACCACAATCCACAGTACTGTCAAATTTAGAGATTTGACTGGAATCAGAGGATACAAGTCCCGTGACTCGATCCAGAAGAAGACGGTGAAGGAGATTAATCCAACCACGAGCAGGAACACCACGTGTGGCTTCTGCCAGCCGAAGACAGGTGCATTATTGAGTCCGATAGCCACTAGCATCAGTCCGACAACACCTAGTAGCGAGCCTGTCCAGTCCATGCTTGGTCTGTCTTCCATGTCGAAGAATTGAGCATTGTGCACCAATGATTCGGGAATGACAAGAAGAGCGAGCGTACTCAGAGTCCAGCTTGCAATCGCAAAGCTCCAGAAAGCCCATGGCCACCAAGCGCATTGTGCGAAGATGCTGGCGAAGACGGCGCCGAAGACCAGCCCACACGGTGCCATCGCGCCGAAGACTGTAAGTATCATCTTTTTCTTCATGCCGGGATGATGTGCTCGGTCGAGCAATGAGAATGCTCCGGCGATCAGCATAGCAGAGCCGATGCCTTGCATGCCCCGGCAGAAATCGAATGGTGCTTGTTGACCGATATACGCTGTACAGCCAGCAAAGCCAGACCATACGCCTAGCCATAGGTAGCCAAAGATGAATATCCGTTTATGACCCAAGACATCACCGATGCGACTGGCGATCAGGATGAAGATGCCGGTAGTCATGGCATAAGCTGCCGTGAACCACATTCGCTGCGCTGGTAGAACCGCGTTCAAGCTCTTGGCCATAACACCCGCTGGAGCTGTGGCTTGTCCCAACCCAGCCATGGCCATGAATTGTGCTGCTAGTACAACGCCGAGGAAGAGCGCCTCGTGCAAAGCAGAAAGCTTCAAAACTTTCCTCCGAGGCTCCTCTGTTTGCGACTCTGGTTTGACGTAGTCGTTTGGCAGAATGGGTTGCTGCGGATCCGTTCCATCGAGTTCGGCTGGCTCCGGATTGATAGATTCTTGATATGCCCGAGCGTACATCGCAGCTTCGAACAAGTTGGTTGAGCGTTCGTACATAGGTCCGTAATGTGTATCCGGAGGAGCAAAGTGTGGAGTCTGTCGGCTGTAAGGACTAGACATGTATGGATGTCCTATATGTACAGTCTGCAAGCTTGCAGGCGGCATGGTAGGTATGCACCATGGACAAGGGTGATTATCCCGGCAGTCGGGACTATTCCTACAATTGGGGACGTCTCTCACATCAGCTCGACCTCGTGCGGTTTCGGGCTTGAAGTCGGTCCAGGTGCTTGATGCACCGCAAGAGCTCACTCGAGAGTGTGCAGCCGTAGAAGGCATCGAGATGCCAGAGTATCGTCGGGTGCGTGCAGCTGACAGACTTCTCCCACTGACAGATGGCGCTGGTTGTCTTCGACTGGCCAGACTAGCTGCTCGGCTTTGTATGCTCGGCGCAATGCTACGCTCAACAGTCGGAGCTCCATTGCTCATCGAAAGCGGTGGGAACCTCTGACCCACCAGACTGGGTGATCGATCGTGCATGGCAGGTCGTGGAGATCCCTCAGTCGTCGCCGGCCAGATAGACAACATCGAGACAGCAGAAGAGTGGCTGTTGAGGACAGTCGGAACAAGCAGAAGGTAAGGTGCCTGGCAACCAGCACAGATTTATCGAGATAATGACGGAGGCTTGTGCCTGAGTCAAGATGGCGGTCTCATTGAAGACTTATCGATTTCTATGTCTCTCTAGCCTTTGGCACTCGCCCAGATAGGTATGCACTGTCGTCGATTGGGCCAAGAACCGTTCAACGGTGCTATTCGCAGTGATTTACCATGTGCAGTTTGCTCTAATGGCCGGAGGGTTTAGCCGTTGCTCCTTAGTCAGACCTGCGAAGGTTACCAATATCGTACTCGTCACATGTTGGAATGATGAGACGACTCGAGGTACCTCTCAAGCCGAAGCCCTGACCAGTCCAAGTGAGCCAGCTTGTTAGATCAGTACTCGATTGTCCCCATAGCCATGAGCGCGAGCCTACGATAATCATATAGCATAGCCTCAAGGACGTCTACCCGTCCACGGAGGTATCAGTGGTGCTGCGAGACATGTTGCAACTGCCAGCCCGGCGCCGTTATGACCATGCTAAGACCGTCCAGTTTGTCTACGGAGACTGGACAGTATGATCTGCTCTGTACTAGACGCAACACGCTGTATCGCACTGCAGCTTATCAGGCTTGTGAGCGTATGCATTGTGCTTCGAGACACAATCAGTGGGTGATGGAACAGTTGGTGAGCGGGAGAAGGGATGAAGTGGGCTACATTCGGCCAGATCCGCTGAAGTCAAAACGGTAGTGTCTGATTTGTGGTCTCACCTCACCTCCTGGCCAAGATCAAAATATCTACAAGATGGCACATACAAGAACTGACAGCCCCCTTGAAGAACAGGCACGATGCACACTGAGATGAAAAGACCGAATACGCAATGAAGTTAACACTAACCTGATCAAGTACTTTGCACCGTCGCACAACTAATTAAGACGAGCATCGCAACTCGATCCAACTTTTCGCCCTCGCCAAATGTGCGTGCAATGCACTGCCCATGCATCCATATCCTTCCTTGTAAACGCAATAGTGGTATCATGCAAGAAGACACGCAATAACCGCATCCCCGCCGTCGCTCATGGGGTATCTCTTCAGCCGTGTCCAGCGTTCAGTCCGTTCCTTCAGGCAGTACTGTGAAGCCCGCTATTTGAGCAGCTAGCACTTAGACCTGGCCCTGGAAGACCGGGTTGTTCTTGCCGAGGGTGGTGTGGTCGCCAGTAGAGCCGACTAGGCCACTGGTAGGTTGAGTTGACCCTACACCCGCACTGCCAAGGCCGAGGTTCTGCTGAGGAGCGCCGAAGGCACCGTCGACCTGGTTAGCGAAGCCGGCGTTGTTGCTGCTGCCAAGAGCACCAGTGTTGCTGCTTCCAAGCGCACCGGTGTTGCTGCTTCCAAGCGCACCAGTGTTGCTGCTTCTAAGCGCACCGGTGTTGCTGCTTCCAAGCGCACCGATGTTGCTGCTTCCAAGCGCACCAGTGTTGCCACCGAAAGCACCCGTATTGGAGCCGCCGAGGACGCCAGTGTTGGAGCCGTAGTTAGACTGGTTGGTGCCGTAGTTGCCAGCGTTAGAGCCATAGCCACCAGTAGTGCCATCGAGCTGACCGCTCATGTTGCCGCCACGGCTCTCGAGGCCCTGGCCACCACGAACGCCACCACGGGTGACATCGTGGGTCTTCCGCTGTACCTTAGACACGCCTGGGAGGCTCGAGGTCTCCTTGGCGTGGCCGAGGGAGAAGACTGGTGACTCCCACCTGTCACCCTTCTGAGCCAGGTTCTTGTACTCAGTGGCCTTGGTGGAGATACCGCCTGGCAGGGCAATGTTTTTGAAGATGGAGTCTTGCTGGGTGATGGCCACGTTCACCTTCTTGTCGGCAGAGGCGTTCTCCGCCTTCTTCTGGCCCTTGTTCATCTGAGCTTGCGCGGCGGTGAAGTAGCGCTGATACATATTCTGGATGTGCTCTGGGTCCGGGTTGTTCTTGGCCTCCTCTTGAGCACGGTCGGCCTCCTGCTTGATACGATATGCCATGGCGTCGAGCTGCTGGACCTGGTTCTTGATCTGAGTCTCGGCGACCTTCTGGAGGGCAGGGCGCATGACCTTGAGCAACAAAGGCTTGAAGAGAGCGAAGAGCAATTTGTGGTTAGACTGCTTGAGCTTGATGTTGATGTTCTTGATGTCGACGGTGACGTTGTTGATCTTGAAGAAGTGGGCGCGGTCGCTCTTGTCAGCAGTCTCCATGGCCACCTTGAAGCTCAGCCCAGTGCCGCCAAGGAAGATGTCCATGAGACCCTTGTCAGTGACACCTGGGAAGCCTTCCTTCTTCTTGACGTAGTAAGACACGTCGCGCAAGTCCATCTGGATGCCGGAGACAGAGAGCATGACCTTGTTCTTGTTCTTGTTCTGGAAGCCCTTGCGGCCCCAGCGGAAGTAATTGTCACTGCCGAACTCGAACATGTTTGGGGCGAGGTTGTCGCCCTCGAGAACCAAGTTCTCAATAATCATATCGATCATGTGGTCTGAGTACTCAATGCGAGGGACGGGTACGTAGCGGACGTGCTCGAAGAAGCCTGGAAGGATGACCTCCGTCAAGTCCTTAAGCAAATGAGGCTTGAATGTGGGCTGGCCATTCTCGTCGTTGCCGAGATCCATGAACAGTTTGTTCATAGCCTTGGCAAAGCTCTGGTTTTGCGGGTCCTTGTCGAACTGGTCGGCCAAGAACTTGAGCTCATCGACGATACGGTCGGTGTGGTTCCTGTAGCGGTCGCGCAGGAGGTAGTTGCCGTGGTCGTAAAGCCTGTTCCACTGCTCGTTGGAGTCGTCCTGGAGGATGTAACCCTGCTCTTGCAGGCACTTGCGGACGTAGCGGTCCATGGACTTGAACCAGTCCTTGAGCTCCGGGTCACGATCGGCATCGGCGTACATCTGGTTGACGGAGTCGAATAGGTCATCGAAGGAGGTGCTGTTGGCGAAGCGCTCCAAAAGGGTCTTCAGATCTGTCAGCATTGGCTGACTTCTCTGAGTGAAATCTAGATAAATACCTTGAGGTCAGCTTCAGCAGACGTTAGGCTATCCTGGTCGTGGGCACCTTTCACGGCCTCCTTGCCCTGTCCGGCGATGGTCTTGGAGTGGCCGGTGTACTCTTCAGCGAGGCGGAGGAGAGTATCAATAGCTTGTTGGTCTGCCCAGATGATTAGTATCTGAGCCTCACGAATGAAGCATGTTCGGTGACTTACAGTCAGAGTGACCCTGGATCTCAACAACCATCTTCTTCAAGCGGTAGATGATTTGGTCGCGGCGGTCTTTTGGCACCTTCTCCTTGAAGTAGTTGTTGGTACGCTCACGGTATTCGCGAGCCTGCTTCTTGGTGTCTTCGTCAGTGTTGTCAGACAGCTTCTGCTTAAGATTCTGAGCGCCAGCCTTGACACCGCCCTGTGCGTCAACGCTGGTCTGGCCGGCGCCGGCCTGCTGCTGGTCTGCCATTGCGCGGTCGCCAACAGCGCGAGGATCGCGCTCGCCCGATGGGTGGGCAGCTTGGGAGGCATCGCCGGCAGCGTCCTGCAGATCCTTCTTGCCGATGGGCATCCTAGACTGGACCTGTTGCCTGAGGTTGTCTCTTGACATGTCGGGCTTCTCGTGCCATGTGTTGTCGGGCGCTGGCTCGTCGAGTCTCTGAAGCTCCTCCTCGCCGGGGTTGACCTTGCTCGCGGCCTTCGTGGCAGCATCACCTGCGATGTCGCGAAGAAGGACGGTAGCGTCGCTCACTGGAACGCGTTAGTGGGAATTTATATAATGAGCAATACTCGTACTTACGAAGCTTGCGGAACTGGCCGTTGGTGATGAGAAGTTCGCCAAGAGTGCGCAGACCCTCGAGAGCCTGATTGCCGTGCTGCTTAGCGGTGGCCTTGTCGAGAGGCGCGTTCGGCGAGCTGGCATTGCCCGCGCCGATGTTCTGGGTCTGCCAGATGAAGTCCTGTAGAAGATTGCCGTCGTTCTTGCTGAGCAGCAGGATTTTGGCCTCCTCAATGACGTGGCGCAGATCGCCAACCAATTGCTGGCCCTCGGTAGAAAGCTTCTTGGAGGGGGTGCGCATCGAGTTCCACTCAAGTGCGGAGTTCATAGCGACATCGATTTGCTTATTCTGCGAGCGGGTCAATACATCTTCGAATGCTATCACGAGATCACGTCAGACTCACCGAAGGCACCTTGCCCTGTGCAAAGGCGGCGTAGATGCCATAGAGCTGGAGCTTGGCGTTGACATCCTTCTCCTTGATCTTCTCGTTGGTGGGCACGTTGACACCCGAGCTCGTCATGTTGGCGGTTGGTTGCTCACTGACGGTGGCTGCGTGTGAAGTTGTGAGGGTTGATGTGTTGGTAGAATCTGCTGGAGGAGCAGATGTGGTGCGTGGGGTTTGCTTTCTGATGCAATGGCAACAACAGCACAACTAGCGCTGCATGTGAAATTACAAGGCGTAATGGGGTATCTCAAGATATTAGTGTGTAGAGGAGAGAGCTCGCGGGTGAGGATGCGAGGGAAGTGTTTGGTTTTGTGTATTGATGAAGGTTTCAAAGCAGGAACGGGAGAGAGTTTGGCAAGCAATGGTGCAGGTGGCAGGAAACAAGGTTTGTCCTACGCACGGGGTCGTAACTGTGACGACACGAGGGTTGCGACTTTCACTTGCCGATTCTTGAACACACTCACTCACTCGCCCACGCCTTTCACCTTGGCAGTCCGAGTCACCCCCGTCTCCGTTCGCTCTTGCTGCTGTACACGCGCGGCTTGCGGTGCCACAATACTGTGCTAGTGAACCGCCTAGCAATATGTCGCGCCGCGCCACCAGCTCACCGTGAGCGATTGGCAACAGGGATGGAACTTGCAAGCTTGGATCCGACGTCATCACCGTGGAGATCCCAATCACAGACCTCCAGATGCGTTCTGGCCAGACCACCACTGTGAACTACTGGGAGCACATAATACCAGACACCGGCGCAGAGATCCTAAGCCATTGATAGCAGCTCATGCTGCCCTTTCCGTTCGGTATAGCCTCTTGACCATGGCGGCCCAAATGCTGTCTCCCGGTCGACCATCTTCAACTGTCCGAGCTTGGAGATTCGCGCTTGTGGCGTACCAGTGGCGCACAGGCCAGATGCTCTGGATGATCGTCTGCACACACCGACTGCTGGTTCCTGTTTGGTGACGCACGAACAGATTTGCTACTCCATCTGGACCGAGTGACATTTCATTTCTCCTTCGAGGAAGTATATGCTAGCACGTGCGGAGGCCATGCTAGTCGGATCCTTGACGTGCATGTGCTTGTACGAATTACCACGGTTGTAGTCGCGAGGAGCGGAGGAAACTTCCCCGCCAACAGCTCTCTCCTTCACTCTGTAAAACGCTACACTACGAAAGCGTCAAATTGTTACTATGGCTGTGAACGATTTGACCAAGATGTGGTATGTCGTACCACTTGCTAACATGTGTCCTTCGCCGTACTTAGGCTGGCTTGAAGCCGTGAAGATTTGGCTTTTCTACTGTTCTTATAGCATTGGCTGAAGGTGAGATTAAATGACCACGGAGAGTGTACAGAAGGTCACGCGATCGTGCGTCTACATCGACCTGAAGCATTCGAGCTGTTGCCCTAACATGCGCCATGACGTCTTCTGCCACGTTTCGACCTGTGCCCCCGCTACCATGAAATCAAGACGCGCATCATACGGTCAGCATGGATTCAGGCACGTCGTATCGCGATCCTGAGGCTTCGAGGTAGGTTTCGTAACTTTGCATCTAGCTGTTCGTTGTCGCGTCCAGAGCATTCTCCAACTATACAGACCTTAACAAAACCCAAACCACCAGCTCGAAATCATGGAGACTCTCAAAGCGGTAGTAGGCTTTGGTAAGAAGGAGCAGGAAGGTCAAGAACCCGTCAGTGGGGTTCAAGGGGAGGGTAGTGGCGTAGAGCCTTATGATGCTGGCAACTCAGGTGTGCTATCATTCCAGTGGTCAGCATCACGATACATGCTGACTCGAATTTCACAGCCGAGTCCGAGCTAGGTGGCAAAGCGCCTCAGCACACTGGTATGTGGTTCCCAGTAGCAAACTGCGGGTGAATTCAGCGACTTATACCTCACCAGATGCGACCCCAGCTATCGATCAACCCAGCGTGACTCACGCCACGCCTGCAGACGAAACCACGAGCAGTGGTAAGTCAGAAGCACCTGCACACGCGCCCGAGCCTGCTCTAGCGTCCACTGCTACCACATCTCCTCCGAGCACTTCTGAAACTTCGAAGGCAAACAATAGCGAGACGAACTCCAAGCCGTCGATTGGTAGTCCGGGCTGGTTCATGACAGCCTTGCCACTCGGCAAGCGCAAGCCTGAGGAGAAAGCGGTAGGGCAGCCAGCGGCAACGGACCACGAGGGTGCTAGCAATGCGGTCCAGACTGAGACTGGTATGGCGGCCGGAGCGGGCGCGGTCGCTGGAGCAGGTGCAGCTGCTGGCGTTGCTCATGAGAAGCATGAGGCGAATCAGACGAGTATTGGACTTCCACCAAATCACCTTGGTTCCGACGTGCCGGCAGCACCAGAGGCAGAACTAGCAGTAGCACCAGTACATGAAGGAGCTACCAGCAATACCGCGACTGCTGTGCCAGAAACGCAGCATATTACCCCTGCGACTACTGGTGTGGCGACAACCGCTCAAGATGATGTTACTGATCAAGCAACCCAAAGCGCCGCTCAGCCAGCAACTAACACAACCACAACCACAATCACGAAAGGAAACGAAGTACCCGACAAATCCGGCGGTCTCTTCAGCAATCCCTTCGGCTCTAACAAGAGAGAAGACATGGCCGTTCCTCAGACACCCAAGCAAGCTCAGCAGGGAACACCGAAGCAGAAAGAACCGCGCGAAATGCACGGGAGCAACCCCAGCGCCATTCCTACGGCTGGTGGGGTGCCTCTGGGAGCCGCAGCTTCGGAGGACCGCCGCAAATCCCGCGACGTGCGTCGGAGCATGAGTGTACAGCCGGACGATATTCCGGAAGCGGATGAAAGAACTGCTGCGAATACTGCGGCGAACGCTGATGTAGGGATGTCGAGCAAGTTTGTTGAGGGGACTCCTGCTACTGCTGAGGCTCCTACTATTGCTGGAGCTGAACACCAAAGTGCTGGCATTGTCGGTGCTGGAGCGACGAGTAATGTCCCTGCTAGCAGTGCGACATCGTCTTCTGCTACGCCGGAGAAACTTGGATCGCCTGAGGCTGGAGAGGAAAAGCATAGGAAGAGGAGCATTTTTAGCAAGGTGAAGGAGAAGATTAAGCACTAGTATTCTCGACAGGATGCGAAGCATAGAGTCATGCTCGGCTGTACGAGCCGGTGCGACCTTCAGTTTGAGGATGGGTGTTGTTCTGGATAATTGATGATGCTTGGGAGGTTGTCGTGGTTGACTTTGTTGGTCGTGAGCGTTGCGGATACCCACTTTGAGTTGTGTACATGTCTGTAATCAGGTATATTATCCTTCGTAACATAGCATCGGCCCATTTCTCTGTTCATGCTCAGCCATGATACATGTGGTTGACGTTGCAATGATTGATAGAGCGCAGGTTGTTGCCGTCTACATTGCGCGATACGCGATTCCAAAACCCTGGTGACCTTCTCGCATTCGTTCCAGCATCTATGCAGAAGCCCTCCCGGTCTCGGATGGCTGACGAAGTTGTTAACACTGATCTTGAGGACCACAAATGATTCTCATACCAGCCGATTAGCGCGAAGGATTGGCGAGCCAGGCCTTCTCATTGGCTTTCGGATGAATACGGCGAAGACGAAAGGGGAACTTTAATTACAACAACTGGAGCCCAGCTGAAGCACCTTCCGCAGAAGCGAGAACGGCCATTTTTCGGTATCTGCGCATGTGTGCTTCCCTTGCCCTTCCATGTCACTCCTTGACATATATATTGTACACTGTCCCCAGCCATGTCTACCAACGGCAAGACAGAGTCTTTTCCAGCAGCGATGCCGCAGAGCTCCATGGTTCGCAAGACCAGCGCACAGAATGTCCCAAGACGACGACGGAAGAGCAGTACACTCGGCGCCGACCCACGAGGAGACACTGGAGCGGGTGCTATAGCTACGAATCTTTCACCTCACGAATCGGACGGCTCACCTACATCCTCTGTCGAGCGGAAAGCGAATGAGAAACAACCACGCGAGCGCAAGAGGAAGAAAGCGCTCAAGCTCTTGAGAAGATGGAGACGCATGTCACGACGCCATACCTGGCTCAACCCTCTGATCCTCATAATCGTCGTATTATCAGCCTATTTCATCAGCCCCGGCGAACAGAATCTACTCCACCCATTCCTGTACCTCTCCTATGCCGACCCTGCACTCGAAGAACGGACGAACACACTTCCAGCGCATATTGGAGACGTAACACAATACGGCAAAGGACCCCAGGACCTCAAGTTCGTCGGCTTCTACATCATCGTTTTCACCTTCACCCGAGAATTCCTGATGCAGCGTTTCATCAAGCCGCAAGGCATCTACTTCGGCATTGGACGAAGTAAGATGGCGCGGTTCTTGGAACAGTATTATACGGCCATGTACTTCGTCATTTTCGGCCCGTTTGGACTCTTCGTTATGAGCAGGACGCCGGTGTGGTATTTCAATACTACCGGCATGTATGAGGGGTACCCGCATCGTGCGCATGAGGCGTGGTTCAAGGCGTACTATCTGCTGCAAGCCGCGTACTGGTCACAGCAGGCTATTGTGCTCATGCTGCAGCTTGAGAAGCCGAGGGGAGACTTTAAAGAGTTGGTATTGCACCATATCGTCACGCTGGCTTTGATCGGATTGAGCTACCGTTTTCATTTCACATATATGGGTGTGGCGGTTTATGTGACGCACGATATATCAGACTTCTTCCTGGCGGTACGTAATGATTGTTTTCGAGCAAAACGCAGACTCTGCAGGACTGACATGATTGCTACACCAGACCTCGAAAACACTCAACTACCTCGACCTCTGGCTCACAAGCCCCTTCTTCGCCGTCTTCGTCTTCGTCTGGGCCTATCTACGCCATTACGTCAATCTCGTCATCCTCAAATCTCTCCTCCCGCCAGCCACTTACACCATCCCGTTCACCTCTCTCACCATCCAGACTGGTGAATTTGCCATCGTCGGACCATACACGCTAGATTTTGCAACTCAACAATACAAATGCTGGATCAGCCAGCCCATGGTTTTCCTCTTACTAGCTGCTCTACAGTGCATTAACATCTTCTGGTTCTTCTTGATCCTCAGGATTCTGTGGCGGATTCTGGTTACGAGTAAGCTGTCGGATGTCAGGAGTGATGATGAGGGTGGCGAGAAGGAGGAGGAGGAGGGGGAGGAGGATGTTGTGACGAAGTCGAGTGCCATCGAGGAGAAGAAGAAGGCGGCTGGGTTGGGGAGTGGCAACGGGCATGCGAAGACGCCTATGCTTGCTGTTAATGGGAGGCCGATTAGTCCTGTGGCAGAGTAGCGGTCGAGATCGTTCATGAACTTCATCCCTTCTAGGAAAGTACAATAGTGTGATGACAGTTCTGTCGGCCTGCGGGGACCGCTCTGAAGGGTGCTTGCAGTTTGCTAAGAGCGAACGATAAACCCACTTGCTCCAGCTCTGGACATTAGCGCCAGGTTACAGCACTGTGTAAGTATCAACGCAAGGCTCTATCGTTCTCTGAGCAAGCATGCCACCAAAGAGCATGAAGGGTCAGCCACGATATTTGCTTGCTCCAGATGAACAAAGCGCCGGTGTGATAAGTAACGACGACGGCCAAACCTCCACCTGAGGTGTCCTCAATACTGCTTAGCATCACGATGGCAGCGCCGTCACTTCTAGCGAAACCTCGGTCCCGTCTGGAATCGCTCCCGACCGAGCTCATCGTCTCTGTTCTTGGCTTTCTTCAAGTGCCAAGGAGGTCGTCAGAGCTCGTCATTTCTGCCACCAGATTAGGACAGTCGTTGACAGCGTTGCCAGTGCTAACCGCGTGGCTTCTACCGTGCGAGCTCGGAGGATGTCGGAGATCGAAGCCTACGTCGCTGAGCACATCAGATTTGACAAGGATAAGCCGTTCCATCGTGTGCTGGCAGATATCTTCAACAGCAGAGGCATCTGGCCACAGCCAGTTGATCGTGATCCCGAGCTGGATGCCGTCGGTACAATCTGGACATACAATCAGCCCACCGACGTTGCACCTTTCGCTGGAGAAGAGCGTTGGACGACTGGCTTTGGTCATGCTTATAGACTGGCGCGATGCATTCTTGAGCTACATCTTCAGCACCACGCACCTGACTTCGTGGACAGTCGAATCGACATCATGGACCGTACGGCTTCCATCCACGAGATGGCTCGGAATGACTACGGTCTTCGTGAGGGGTATTTCGCAAAGGTGTACAACGAAATTACCACCAAAGCATCCAGAAGAAAAGCGATCCCTGGCAGCCCTCTCCCCGCGCCTCTACATTACCGTTGTATGCCTCACCGACCGCGGCCTCGGCCCTTCCCCTACACTGAACCGATGAGACGTTTTCGTGATGTGCCTGTCTGGCCACTCTCGGTACTTATCCAGACCGGTTCGCTCCGGGGCCTGGACGAATGGTTGATGCGTGCCTCCTTTTCAGTCTGTAAGTTGAGGTGGTGCTCAGACACTTTTGGTCTGCCTTTGCTACTCCAAGGGAGTCTTTTGTTTGCTGTCAGGACCGAATGGGCTTACGAAATTGTGGAACGGGCTGTGCAGACCGGAATAGCGATGGACATTCTTGTGCAGGCTGCAGTACTCGATGAGATATATGTTTACTAGGCTTCTGGGCCTGCGAGGAGAGTAGTGTGACTGCGTGCATCAAGTAGACAGATATCCAATGTATAGATAGATGCATAGTCAGCAGGGCTTGGCGTGGAGTACGAGTGTTTTCTACATGTATCCTACCCAGGTACTTTGACTCATGAACGCCATAGCCTCATGAACGCGGCTGTGCAAGTAAAGCCTTCACCTACCACGCTTGCCAGATTGTTCAAGACTACTGCCAATTGTAGTTGCTTCGCTTTACGCCTGCTGTGAAGTGCAGCATGAGTGAGTCATTCCTTTCTCTGTCTCAATGACTGCATGTCTTACACGCCAATCGCTCCGTTCCTTGTAGAATGAATCGTCACGGCTATATCTTGTCCCAGGCTTCCTACTGATCAGCTATCACGATAATCATGGCGCCTCATCAATGCTCAAAGGTAACCAAGACCAGATTTGAGAGTCTTCCACCAGAGCTAGTCACCAATATCCTTGCCCATTTGCCAACAAAAGAAGTCCTGAGAGCGCGCAACATATCGAGGCACTTCCGAAATCTCCTCCACAATTGGGACAACGAGAAAGCGATCGCACTCACCATTACAAGGCGTAGCCACACCAGGATTCGAAAGTTCATAGACTCCACCCTACTATTTCCCAAAAGCAGACCTTTCCATCTCGCTTTTGCGACCTTTCTGGTCCACCGTGGAATCCACCAGAATCACCCTGATCGCTTCGTGGACATCACCGCCTTTGTGCATCTTTGGCTGTACGTGCATCATGGTCCCATCTCACCCGATCTCGGACCAGAAGAGAAATCTTTTAGGACATCTGGTCTTTCCGTTAGCCTCATCATCTTTGCAATGGCAATCATCGATGTTTGGAGCCTCCAGCACCACCCGGAGTTCCCGACCGACCAGCCCAAAGCAGTGCAATCCCGGGCTGCGTTCGTGGATGCCGCATTGAGGAGATCATCACAGTCGAGGGTGATATCGAGAATATATGGGTGGGATGAAGGCTACCTTGGCAAGGTTTGGGATGAGCTGACAGCTCCTATACCGCCGTTCCTGGAGAGTGCAGAGGCTGCCAAATCTAGCGTTCAGGGCGGCGACAGGCATGTCAGAGGAAGCAACAGCAGCGTCGCGAGAGAAGCTGAAGAAATCTGGAATGTGTCAGTTGCCACGATCCCCCCAATCGACCCTTGCCAGACCACTCCCACGGCAATCCAAAATACCGCGTCGAGCCCCTTCGGTCATTGACGAAGCTACGAAGCCCTCAATACCTACAAGAGCAACGCAAGCACCCGGAAGGACTATGCTCCAGCGAGTGGCTTGAGCAGACGTTCGGACTACCGCCTTTGCCTACTGTGTCCTTTGCATATTACTGCAAGCACGAATGGTCTTATCGCATTATCGAGATGACGATTGGAGAGCTCGATCCGCTGGTCAAGGCTGCTGTTCTTGAGGACATACTCATCTTCTGAAACACAGGCCTCGATAATGCATGATGTATGTAACCCCAGCATAGACTTGCTTTGCTCGCTAACACTTTGAGCTGTTGTTAGAAGAGGCTACCCGATTCCCTCCACATGCCTACCATGGGACTGACCTGATGCCTGGTCTGATACACAGTAGCTACTCCCGTCTACACGCGGGGCCATGTGGTAGGACCTTGCAAAGGATATGGTGGCAGGTGCTATATTCAGCTTGCAGTTGTGCACGTGAGAACGTCCAGCATCGAGCTTACATGACAATCCTACACGCATACACCACGCCATGGCATGAGCCTCCTGACACGTACCTCTCTTTACAGCGAACGTGACGACACGTTGACGGCGCACCTTTGTTAAGATCTCACGGCCTGATCTTGTGCCTCACCTGGATACATAAACTCGGATCAGTGCCCACGACAATGACCTTCTACATTAACGACAATACGCTCTTCCACCCCTCTTGCGTGGCTGGTCTTGCTTTTGAGCGGGTTCGACGACACTTTAGCGCTTCCCACTAAGAATGTAGCTCGCCATGAGACAAGCTCGTCGTCCGCCCGGAAGGACGCGGACGGTCCGAACAACTCCAACAATGACAGCATTACCTCGTCTATCGAGCCGGAATGGTTCAGCATTAAGAGTACCGCTGAAATTACGAAAAGCAAACCGCAGTGGCGAGAAGATCGAGTTCACGAAATATGGCCAACCTATAACATCGAAGTCGGCCATCCACTCTTTCCACATGGGGCGGTGCGTACCTACATACCGTTCTGTTTCGTCGACGACACAGCCGCCGAGCAGTTTTGGAAAGTGACTGCTGATGCTATCGCCATATGGTGGCCTGCTATCCAATACTCGTTTGTAATGTTCATCCCGGATTTCAGTTGCCATCCGCCTGCGGAGAAGGTGGAAGAGGAGAAGGTTGATATTCGCTGCTTGTGTCAAAAGCCGGCGGACGGTGAGACTGTGGGGAGAACCACCGTAAGGATCAGCCTCGCGAAGAGCAGTACTGGTGCTGCGGAGAGTGAAGAAGTGGAAAGTGGTCCTTCGAAGGGGGTTCGAGTGAGGAGCGATACGGCGGGAGATCGTTCTGCAGAGAGCGATTATGGTACTGGGTCGGAAGACGAAGATGAAAAAACAGCCACGTGCCCAGACCGCAGCTTTTCTACATATGGCTTTGACTCATATCACACGGATGCGATTGACCCTCATCGCATCATAATTGCTGACACAAGGGAGGCCGGAGTCAAATCGCAACATCTGCACAACTGCCAGGTTAGCTCTCTGGTACACGAGATGGGCCACACTATGGGCTTGCTGCAGTAAGTTTTGCTATATGCTCTTGATCTGTCGTGCCGGCTGACTTCAATCGTAGCGAGCACCAACGTCCTGACCGGGATCATTTTATGAAAGTCGACTGCACAAAGTTGAAAAGCTACAAGGAAGCAGAGACACTAGTGATGCAGCCAGAGTATGCTCGTGACTGGGAAGATGAGCCTGAGTTGCATGAGAGAATGGCTCGCGTGTGTTCGGAGTCAGGTCCCGCTAGAAAGTACTTACCTATGGCTGCCACTATGATTAAATGCCGGCCATCTGCAACGAATGATCCCAAAGGCTGGGTGCTAGATCCCGACTTGTTCAATTTCGGGAGTATCATGATCTACGGCTCAACAAACCTGGGCGAAGATAGCGATGTCACGAGACCCCCAATGGTAAGGAAGTTTCCTTCCGGATACAGGACTAAAGCCACGGTCGAATCAGGAGACGGCGCTAAGGTCATCTTGGATGAGCACTTTTTCGAAGGCGGCAGTGCGAGAGTGGTGGTAGGCGACCTTCTACCATGGACATCAAACGCATAGCAGCCCTATATCCTGGCAATCAGGCACAGAAGGATGCTGCAGCCGCCTTAACGCCTGCCGATATGTGGAAACCAATGCATACAAGTGAGATGATCGGTAATCCAGCATGGGGTCATCAAATCCTCGAGGCTATTGGGCCCAAATGGATCGAGCCTACCATTCCTGACGTAGTCAATGAGGAATTGGTACCCACAGTGCCGCCAAGTCAGAGATGGTCAAAGATGTTTCCAGGATGTTGCGAAGAGGACCTCGATGAGGAATGTGCAGTGGTAGACATGGCGAAAGTATTAGCCGAAGCATCGTGTGGCAAGGGGCCGGATAGCTCTGACAAGGAAACAAGTCATGCAGGCGCCACAGGCCAGATCAAGCATGACACACAGCCCAGCGATAGCCATTTGACCGGATCTACCGAAAACCACGGTGCTGCAACGGAAAGGATCGCTAGCAGTAAGTCCGATGAGTCTACTGCTGTCGGCTCTGGCAGCAGCGACGGCTTAAAAATCAGCTGCACGGGCAAAGGCGAATTGGCGTCCGACAGTTCCAAGGCCGAAACCACTTCGTAGAATCCACTGGGCTCCACACACGTAGCCCAGGATCGAAAGGCGACTTCTACGACAGAATACAAGACTGCTGTGGACAAGCAATCCCAGATCATATCAAGCAGTCGAATTCGCCGCCTCCTCGCCAGCTACGGGAACAGAGGTCGACTTGAAGACGATGCTCCCATCGACAGTGCCACCTCTGCTATTTCGGTAACATTTTGTCCACATTACACCATTACTTTCTCCGTCGGAATCTGCGTTGGTTTTGAGTTCACCACTCGTGAACGTTTGCGTCTTCACTGCTAGATCTTTCAACATCTTCTATCGTGCTTTGCTGCTTTTCTGACCCTTGAACTAGACTCGAACAAGGAGTGTTCAGCTAGAAAGCTAGACCGGCTGATGACGTAGCTGAGTCTTGTGTTGCGTTGAATGATTCGAGCGGATCAGCGGTTTGCCATACCCTTGTTAGCATGAGCAGCGTCTCAACTGAGAATACACACGGAGGCAGTGGAGGACGTTGGTGAGGACAGGACGAATATCCTCATTTACTCAGACACAGACTGCAATATTGGCCATGGTTTCAATCACAAAGCCCTTTATCGTCCGGTCGACTGTGAGTATTGCTGAACGTAGTCTACCTAAACAGGCACATCAATGCTACTGCTGGCGCCCATGCATGCCGCTCGTGATGCACCATGCCGTAGACAAACCGCTCTGACTGCCGTCCCAAAAGGTCCCAGTCCTGATATCATATAAGCATCTCTCGCATTGCAATTGTCTCATGCCTCAAGTCCCACCAACAACAGCCGCAGTCCGAGGCCCACTCGTGCTCGCCCCAGGCGCCGCTGAAGCAATAGCTTCGCCCGCTCCACTACCCGCTCCCTCTTCCACCCTACCGTCATCACCCTCCTTCTCCTTCGCCGCGTCGGGGTTCAGCGGCTGAGAAGCATCATACCCGACTTGCTTCACAATGCCGAGACCCTTCGTCCTGCCTTCGCGGAACAAGATCCTATCGCCTACAGCCAAGAACTCTGGCCTCTGTACGAACCTGAACGCGACTGTTGCCCGGTCTCCAGTCCGAATGTACGCTCTATCGATGTCGATAATAGCACAAGTCTGCGACACAGGACCCACATGAAGCATAGCCTGATACTTCGTCCTGATAGTCGTCGCGTGGCTCAAAATCAGCACCTCAGCCACAAACTCCCGGTGGACTTTTGGTTGAGTAATAGGTGTGTTCGGATTCGCATCAGCGGGTTTGGCGAGTAAGACCACCATACCTTTTCGGACGTCTCTTCTCCTTACTCTTCGTAGAGCGAAAGAAGCGCTTTGGCCGGCCGAGCAAGCAGGGACGGGAATACGTTTACGCTCGATAGAGCGGATGGTGGTAGTGGTGAATTGACCTAGCCCGTCCGGACCGACTAGGACCGTGTCGCCGGCGTGCACGATGCCGCATTTGACTACACCCGAGACTACCGTGCCGACGAAGGGGACGGAGAAGGTGTCGTTGACGTGGAATTCGAAGGGGGCGGAGATGTCGTATTTACCATGATGCGGCAAGATATTGAGGAATTCTCTGACTAGATTAAGAGATTCTCCTGTCACGTTCGAGACCTGGAAGATTGGACAGATGCGCTGGCTGATGAACTGGGTGGCGGTATTGACGCATTCCTCGCGGTTCTTAATGAAGATGGGGATCTTGCGGGCGCCGGGAGATTTGAGAATTTTGGTGAGTTGCGTCAGAGTCTGCTGTAGGATCTGAGGCGGACAGATGTCGATTTTGGTGATGACGACCATGACGGGCACATTGAGTGCGAGAGCGATACCGAGATGCTCTTTCGACATGCCAATAAGACCATTGTTCGCGGCGACCATGAGTAAGCAGTAATTCGGCTCGCTGCTCAAGAGTCCAAAGACGGTAGTGCGTAGATATCGTTCGTGACCGGCCAAGTCAGTGAAGGAGATGACCTTCGCCGAACGCTTTCCAATCTCCTCCCAGCTCAGCTTGCGCCCTGGCACACCCGAGACGACGACCTCGCCTTTGGTATCGAAGCCCATGATCTCCATGCCCACTGAGCTTGTCCGGCCAGACTCGATCTCGTGCTTATGTCGGAAAAGGTTGACACGCATCTTACCCCTGCCATCGTCCAGGCCACCCTTGACCAAGACGCCGAGGAGTGTACTCTTGCCCGCGTCGACGTTGCCCACGACTGCTATCCTCGTCTCAATCACATCGTCCACGTCTTCCGGCCACCTCCTGATCAAGAACTTGCCTATGCAGCCTCGCTCCTTCTTCAACTCGTTCCCGACATCTGATTTACCGCCCTCAACATTCTTGGTCATGAGGACTCTTGAATCAGCCTTCAGCTCTTTCAGCACAACCTCTAACCGTGCCAATGCAGCGTCCCACTCCTGCTCCGTCAAGCCCTGACTGTCTCCATTGTCCTCCAACCCGACATCGAACAAGCACTCGCCATGTCCTTCATCTAAGCGTAACGAGATGATGTCCTTGAGCTGTTTGCTGTTGTCGCCACCGTCACCCAGCAGCAGGTCCTTTAATCTGACCTTCGGCTTGTCGTCGGCGAGATTTAATGTGTCGAGGAGGTTGTCGAGTTCGGCGTGTTCGGTCTTGGCTGGTGGTGCAGCATTAGACGTGGTAGGGGCGTTGACGCCTAAAGGTGGTTTGCGTAATGCTTGCTGCTGTTGAACATAATCGGCGAAGTCGCTGAGAGCCTGAAAGAATATCCTGTTAGGTCGCTCTCCGATATGGGTGCTGCAAGTACATACACTCTCTCCAGCTCTCCGCTCCTGTGCGCTCTGCGGCTGCTTATATCGTTCTGCTCTCGTCGACATGTTCGCGGTTGGTCGACTGTTCACTTAGGTGGCGTCGACAGTGATGGATGAAGCTCAGTTTCGTATTCTTAGGATCATCGTTGTTATGGAGGGTCGGATAGGTGAGTCTGGGGATGAGATGGCTTCGAGATGCTATGGATATATAGATGACTAGTCGATATGGTATAGCAGTCACGTCCACATCTCCAAGTCACGCCCCACACCAGTCATCGCGGGGTCCCAATGCATGACCTAACCACCACTCCAACCACAATCTCGGCGCCACACTTCTCCATGACTCCTGACTCCTGACACTCCACTCATGATCGTCGACATGGACGTTGGGGACACGGATGCCTGTCGCCTCGTGGACTTGACAACATCCCGTGTTGATGAGGTCGCAACGGGGCTCAGAACACCACTTACCTCACGCCTCCATGCCATCTCCATCAAGCATGGACAATGACTATGCTTTCGAGAACCGCTGCATACATGATCGCAGGCCCGTCCCGAGTTGTCCTCATCTCAGTCCAGAATCGTGCCCGGTAAGCATGAGGGAAACACTCGCGATGCTATCCTCGAATGGAAATCCACAGCCGGTAAGCATGAAGACAACTCGAATCCCTCATACCTATATTATCATGTCTTCGTCTGCTCCCATTTTCCGTTGTGTCAAGAATGAGTACAGACGATTGTGCGTGCCATGCAAATAACCATAGCGAACCGCAATTACCACGGAATCAGACCAGACGAAACCCACGAACCAAATGGTGACACGTACTACCCACCTCGGGATCTCCCTGCTCCAACAAGACTGTACCCTCTACGAGCTCCCCGGCGAGCTACGCAACAGGATCTGGTCTTATATATTCGCTTCGCCGCTCAAAGCACATTTCCACATCCAAGGCGGCAAAATTCAACAAGACTTCTGCACGTTTGGTAGCTTGCCAGATCCAGCAGCCAGACAACTCAACCACGCGGCCACACGCACATCGATCATTCGCACCTGCCGTGCCTTCTACCGCGAGGTCACCCCGTTCTTATATGGGAACACGACCTTCGACCTCGTCCTCGGGTCCGACAAATTAGCAACGCGAACATCTTGCTTACTGGGAAACAACAACCTCTTTGCTAGGCCCCAGGGACATGGACCAGATTCTTCAAACTCGGTGCAGGTCTGCACCCTCTTCCGCCACATATCCCAAACCAACCTAATAATCCAACCCGGTACCCGCTCAAACATCAACTCCTACATCAACCAACTCCAATCCCTCCTGCGCACCCTATCGCTCAGAGCCCCACGACTCCACCATCTCAAACTCCACATTTTCATCTCTCGCCATGACCACATCGACCATAATGCCGCGCCTCAAATTGTGCAAGCTCTGTTTGGAATCGCTAAGCTCCCTGCCCTCAAGTCGTTAGATTTCTACGGAAGCAATTCAGCCGATCATTACGAGTGGGCCGAGGATCTCGAGTTCATGGACGCCTGCTGGGAATTACACGAATATCTCGCCAAACGTCGACCAGATATTGGCGTGGCGTACCCCGTCTCGGATGAGGAGGACGAGCACTGCTGTCGTGCCCACCACAACTTGTCATTAATGTACTCAGTTGCAGATGCGATTCGTGAGGTTTGTGGGCCAGTACTGTTGTCGACCTTCTGGACAGAGGTATTTTGGGGATTTATGGGATACCTGAAGGTGGCGCACGGGCTGGTCTTCGTGGCTTGCTTTATATACTGGTGGACATGCAAATCGTGAAGCGGGAGTCTGGTGCATCCCAGTGACGGTGATCTGAAATGTGCGATTAGCTAGTCTTGAGATAAGTAGACTATACACTCTGCTCATACAGCGATGTCACTGAGAAACTCGATTTGGCCCAGCTGCTCTCCGATGAGGGGACAGTATAGCAGACACACGCGCCTACCCACGTGATCGAAACCTCGACTGTGTACAGCACCTCTCCTCGTTCTCATGCCTCCCCTAATCCATCGTAAGCACAGCCCTAAATCTCACCTTCCCACTCAACATATGCTCCATAGCCTCATTGACCTTCTCAAGCGGAAACTTCTCAATCATGCACTCCACGCCCTGATTCTCCGCAAACGAAATCGCCTCCTCGCTATCCAGCGCATGACCAGAAGGCCATCCGCATACAGACAGCGCGTTGAGGACCATAGGCACGGTATCCAACGGCACTGGTCCAATGGCAGTGTGCACGAGCAATTTCCCCATGGGTGCGAGTCCGCCGAGCAATGGCGAGATGACTTCAGGGTTGGGAGCAGTGATGACGACGAGGGCGGCGCCGCCAAGTTTCTGGAGTTCTTCGGCGACATTGGTGGCGCTGATGTCGACGTAGTCGTTTGCGCCGAGCTTCATGGCGAAGTCCTTCTTCTCTGTGCCGCGGGAGAGGGCGACGGTTCGGAAGCCCATCTTGCGTGCGTACTCTGGGAGTAGTATCAGTACGTGCTTCACAACACAAAGAGGTGAAGGACAAACTCACGAATAGCAAGATGACCTAGTCCTCCAAGCCCCTGCACAGCAACCACGTCCCCAGGCGTGATACCCATATGCCTCATCCCGTTGAACACCGTGACGCCCGCACACAACAACGGCGCAACTTTCGCAGCATCGGCACCCTTTGGAATTCTGACGGCGGACTCGGTGCGTAGGGTGGCGTACTCAGCGTACCCACCGTTACGAGTCACGCCATTAATAGCCTTGTTCTCGCACATCTGGTACAAACCGCGTCCACAAGCTTTACAGCTGTGATCGTGGCCACCGTGCCAAGGGCCGCCGACACGGTCACCTACTTTCCATTTCTTCTCGGAAGAAGGGACGGCGACGACTGTGCCGACGAATTCGTGTCCGAGGTGTTGGATTTGGCTGTTTTGGTGTTAGTAGTGACGATGCTTGTGATTCCTCTCATGACTCACGGAGGTCCCATGTCGCCATGGAGGACATGGGCATCGGAGTGGCAGACACCGCAGGCATGGACCTTGATCAGAATCTCGCCTTCTTTGGCCTCGATCATGGGGATGTCCTTGATCTCCAAGGGTTTGTTGGCGCCGGTAAGGACGGCGGCCTTGAAAGTTTTGGGAAGTGAGTTCGACATGGTGGAGCTGTCTATTTGGCTTCGAAGTTGTTGATTATGTTGATGTCGAGGCGCTTGGCTGAGGTGTAGTGATGTTGTCTGTGACTGCTGCGGGAGAGCTCGAGGGTGACGTAGCTGCCTTCTTGTTTCTGGACGAATTGAGTTTGCGACCAAGAGCTGTTATGCTCGAAAGTCCGTCGAAGTGAGGGTAGGGAACAAAGGTGTAAAGGAGTTGATGGAGTAGTCAAAAGAGTAGGATCTGCCTCATATACTTATGACTGGGCCAGTCGTCTCGCCAGTGCAAGCATAGTGACAAAGCATTTCATCCAAATGGTAATGCAGTACTACCTGCAGCAGCATTGCTAACTCCCAATGTCCGGACTGGAAGGCAACATCATGACCTTGCACTCGTCGATAGCTCATATCGATGTACTCCTGCAGATGTGATGGCCCAAAGGAGTAGCTACACCTTTCTGAACCAGGTAAACGCTTCGATGGTAACGAGCTTAGTGCGGAGGAAGCTGCACGATAGCGTTATCGGATCGGATTTGAGGAGTGAGTAGTCCGGAGCACGTGATGATAAGACTTATCACGTGACGATAAGGACGGCGATAGTCTCGTTCATGTACTGGTCAACCCGGTCTCTGGCAGTGGCGAGGCTGGAGCAGATGGGCGTGAACCATCAGGTCTTGATGTCCCACGTACGAAAATGACCATTCAGCAGAGTCGCCAGCCTTTGTACGAGGAATTCGGAAAAAGGTTGTTGAAACAACGTAGGGGTGACCATCAATGTATCGTGATGGCATACTGTGAGTCGTCATCTATCTACAGCGGATCAATCTTCCAATTCGGATCTCTCCTCCTTCCGATCATGAATGATTAGGTCTCGCAGTACTACGATCGTCTAGGTACTTCCACGTCACATTCTCAGCAGCACCACTTCCCCATCCAGTCGTGATGCATTCGGCCATCGGGTGACCTGGGCATAGATCGCAGAGTCTATGGCAGCAGAGTCACCGTGAGACTTATACTACAGTGCTGGCTGCATGCTTGGACTCATCTCTGGGAGGGATGGAAGCTTTTGTGATCCAATAGGCTGGGGCCTGTTCATCATGTACGCGTTGATCAAGCTCCTTTCCTGCCAGTCGTCGGTAGAGATAGTGTGATGGTTAAGTTGCCAGTGTCCCGGAAATGGGACGAGCATGCGCCTTCTCTCGACCGGGCCAACCACTTCGTTCGGAACTTGGCTATAGCTGCAGAATCTGGGTGATGCACCGTTCTTCCCGGGCAAAAGAGGCACAAATTTTGTACCTGGAGATCTCGTCGTGGATATGCCGGTCATGCGAAGAAATGAGAGCGTAGCGAACGGTGATTCAAGCCTTGTCCCAGCCAGACATCTTCTCATCTTGCCCCGGATTGTATTCATCGTACTCGACAACAACCTGACGTGTGATGTTCTCAGGCCTGGCAAGGTACTCCTCGCTGCTATTTCGAGACCGCCAACCGCTCTGCGACTTATATTGTTTGCTCGAGATGACTGTTCTGACTCCCTGTCCAGATTTTAGACCATCAAGCTCCATAGCTGGAGACTTGCCTCGTGTCCCGAACGCAGGTGTAGGCATCGGCGTGTCAGTGTGCGTGGTAGCAACCCCGAACTTGGCTCTAATAAGCTGCACAAGCGGCCACAATGTTGCGATATTACCCGCTGTAACACCAAGCCCTACTTCGACGGTCGTCCAGATTGCTACACCGACCGTATCGTACAAGAAGTCCCCGTTCCATCCCAAGGAGCTTTCTTTCAGACTCGAGATATACGGCAGTCGGACTATAGTCGCAGTCGACGCGACGGCTGCCAAAGCCATGATCACAGCGACAGAGATCTTACGTCGGAGAGGCATTTGCAAGTCTTTGACCACAAACCCTGGTAGAAGTGCAAAGATCCAGTCCGCCAGTACGTTGAAGGCCGATATCGTGTATGTGAGAGCGCTCAAGACTTCGGCGTTGACACAATGTCCATCATCCGGGTTCAGCGTCCAGAATGCGTGGATGGGCCAGCATTGGAAGATCAAGACCACAGCGAATGCGCCACCAAAGACTGCCGTCAATAGCATAGTGAGGCGGATGATCCATACGTGAACCTTGTTTACTGCGACACGGAGCAGAAAGAAGCCGATTGAGACCTTCATCATGACGGTGGCTAGAGCATAGAAATACTACGAGGGTCAGTGAGATCACTTATGAAGCGTTGCTCCATAATCATGGTCGACTTACCTCGCATGCCCACCAGAAGGACAATGCGCGCTCAGCTCTTGATGGCTCCAGGTCTTCGAGATGCTGCCCAGTGCCGTATACTGCCCCTCCTATCTGACATGCGAGATAGATTGAGAAGAACAGTTGTGTGATCATCATGGTCCAATCGTCGCGACCTAAAGCCTGGATGATCCTTGTGCGCACCCATATGCGCAGGAACATCGTGACCCATGTGAGAATAGCAAATACGATAGCCACCGAAAGCACCGCTTGCGCCCAACCTTGATGAACCATAACGAGAGACAACAAGAAGAGTAGGTTAGGACAAAACGAAAGTGTGGACCCAAATCGAGAGATGGGTTGGAGGCCTGATCAGAAAGTGTAGAACAATAAGGGCACAGTATCCCAATGCATACCTATCTGCACCTCGGTCGTGCAGCAAGCATGCTCCATAACCATGTCGTCCTCAGCGGCCCCAAGAGGGCAAAGAATAACACAATGGCTGCTCTAGCAGCAAGCGGACACAAATCTTCGTGACTCTCGTTGCTCGTTCTCGCCGCATGGTCGTTTCAAAGGCCCGAGCTACGGAGAAAAGTACGCATCTAGAAGGTCGTCTGTGTGTCCACCAGCATATATGCCGGGAAACATCCGGTCGGCGCAATCCACCTGGGTCAACGTTCCTCTTTTGCGCAACTTCACCGATGTCGTGGGCAAGATGTCAGCACTCAACCTTATGCACGGCACGATGAGCAAGCCATCAGAGCGGCGTAGCCATTGTCGTTGCGATGGCAGTCATGGGTTGCATTGACGGTAGGTCGCTTGAAGTCTGGCGCTTCAACATCGCTGCAATCCTTCTTCGTCTCGTCCCGCGTAAGGAGGCGACAGGGCTGAAGCTTAGCGAGTCATTGCCCTGCAGCAGCTAGGATTGCCGGCGTTTGATAGGCGGACTGTGCCAATGTCAAGAACGGCAACCAGCCACGGGTGTGGTTGTATGAGATAGGACGGTCTCTACTCGACCCAGTTTCGGCAACAGAGTCAGTTCGTGAGATGATTTAACATTGAGGTGAGGACCGAGAAAGCTGATTAGGCCGAAAAACATCACGTGATCAACCCCGAGCTGCGACCAAATCCGTGAACGATAAGGACTATCACCTTCAAACTCTTGCTTGAACCTTGCAGAAGTCAGAGGATGGCTTCAAAAACCAATCGGAGCCTGCTGAACGTGCTGACAAGAGCCGGTCGGCGTAGTGACGCCTTCCTGACTCACCTCAATCGCGTACTGGCCTCCTCGGCAGGAGTGGAGGCAGTACTATGCACCCTGTGCTATACCTTGTACTTTGTCTACGCCCGCCTACTCCGGCTGCTGGAGCGTCGCTACGAGCGGGTAGCACTTGCGCTCGCAAGCAAAGCGTCATCTTCGATGCTCCCCAGCGAGACAGTCGTGGCCACCCTCGAGCCACCAAAGTCCTACCTGTCTGAAACATGTGGAGGTATCAAGGCCCTAGCCGACTTAACAGACGACTTCCGCTTCTTTACACGATTAGGGGGACTAGTAACCATCTACAGCTGGGCGCGGGACAACTACATCAAACCTCCTGGCGATGCTATCCTCAAATCATTAGTCTGGTGTCAGGTTCTCATGAGCACGATTTTCCAAGTACTAGAGAATGGAGCTTACCTAGCAAGCAAAGGCGTGCTACGCGGAGAGAAGTGGGAGCGCCGTCAGCCGAAATGGTGGGTCTGGAGCAACAGGTTTTGGCTCATGCATGTAGGTCTGGAAGCGTTACGATTACTGCGAGTCAGGCAGCTGCGATACAACGAAGACTTTGGAGCCAAGGCCACCGACACTGATGATGGGCGAGTGACGACACAAAGCGTAGCACTCAAGAAGAAGTGGAAAGCGGATTTCTATGCTAATGCTGGATGGTTTCCACTCACACTGCAGTCGAGCTTCGAAGACCAGACACATGGTCCTTTGAGTGAAACGTGGATAGGTCTATTCGGTATGATACCAGGTATTGTGGCATTGAAAGATGTATGGGAGCAGACGAGGGTGTGATTGTCCGGACTGTCTACGCCAGCGACATTTAGTTCATATCTTACTCATGCTGCCCGCCCAACAGACCAGCATGTCAGACAACCATCCAAGAATCTCATAACCCATTCAAATACCGTACAGCTTTCGTAACCCTGTCCATTGTCTCGTTCAGCAGCAACAACTCCGCCACAACGCCATTCGTCCTCTCTTCCGCTAGCTCACCACCCTCATCTATGCCTTTGCTGAACCGCTTCTCCGCATCTCTCAACGGCTGCAAGAAGCTCCCAGCAACATCATTATCTCTCCACATGTCTGCGATCTCCAGTCCACGATGTAGATGTCTAGCGCTAAGCAGCAGGAACAAGAAGTTTAGAGCTGTGAGGTAGAATGATAGGTTCAACTGTAACGTCTGCCAAGCGTCGGCAACAGGAGCTCTCAGCAAATCTGCTTCGAGAGAAGGAAACAGATAGGGCGCTAGACTATCAAGTGCTAGCGGTGTGGCAAAGACTGAAGTCGTGGTACCAGTCTCGGCATGACCAGTGTGACCAGCGATTGGCGCTGGCGGGTTTGCCTCGATTGTCTCGCCCTTGATCCAGCCCACCGCGCTCACTTTGAGATTCTCGAATGGACAATGCTCAAGCGTATCCCTGATGAACGCTAGTCGCACTTTATCATCTGGCTGAGAGCGTAGCACCGTACTTGTGAGGTAATGTGCGTGACCTCTTAAATTAGGGCTAGGGCAGTTGGACGATAGTAGTGCTATCACTTGCAGATATTCGGTGAACTGCTCATCCGTCTTTGGCTCGCCAATGGCATCGTGTTCAAGGCAAATCAGGCCCAGGGCTAATGTGGCGTCAATGAGCGCTTCTGGCTCCGTGCCTAGCGTGCCTGTGCCTTGTGCAGGGGTGGATAGGCAATGTTTGAGGACTTCTTGATGATCTGGGAAAACGTCGAAATCGGACACGTGTACTCCCGAAGAAGAGACTTTCGAGGAGGGTTCGTACAGGACGCCGGATACCTGCCGTGCTGCAAGTAGGAACAGAGATCCAACTCGAGATAACGGGATGTCGTCTGCCGAGTTTGGTGGGTCGTCTTCTTCTTGACCACTCCCTACTTTGGTTTTCTCGACCGCTGAAATGGTTTGTAGTAGTACCTCGTCATCGAGCTTCAGATCCTGTGCCAGCGTCGCAAGCTGTCCGATTACGTCTACCCGTCCATGCAGCTTCTCGTCGCTCTGGAAACGATCGGCCATTGTAGGTGCTCCTGGTATGGTCCGCTCTGGCTGGCACTTCTCCATGATGCGACTGCACCATGCCATGCCAGGTATATCCTCGCTCTCGGATGTCAGGATGAGCATGTATTCCTCGATGACGTGGGTGACGAATGATTGTAGAAGCTTCCGCTGCATTGCACTCTCCTCCGGTGCTACCTCTCCGGTTGTTGAAGCTTCAGGATCCGGAGCTGACCGTGCAGACGCTCTTGTACTCAGCCTGACCATGCCACTACTCTTGCGAGATGGTAACATAGGCCTTTGCACACCAGTGAACGACTTCGTCATCTTGATGACTGCGAGCACCATCTCCTCGCGATGTGACACGGTATTGGAAAGGCTTGCCAAGATTGCCTGCAGAGTGGTACTGAGAAAACGACTGGGATATTTCGTCTTGATTCTAGGGTGTAAGGTTGCAAGCATTGATAGCAAAGCGACGAATTGATTGACAGCTAATGGCAGTGGTGGCGGAATTTCGACCATCTGCGAGCTTCCTGGCTGCTTCTCGCCTTCTGTGGTTGCTGCTGTCTTGGTGGGGTACGTCGTTGACTCTGCTCTGGCTCGAGAATCAGAAGCATCACCTAAAGCATTCGCAATGCGATTCACGGTCTCATCATCGTCAGGTAGCTCGTACTCGATCAGCCGTAGACTCTCTGTAACCTTCAATATGACTTCTCGTGGGTTGCCGAGCCGTGCAATATCTTGGAGACACTGTTCTGACTCCGGTAAGAATGGGACGAGCAGGTGAACCAGATCCCAGCCAATGTTGGTGGTTAACTTCTCATCCTGCAGAACCTTGTGGAGTATTGGCAGGTTTTCCTGCGTAAGATTGTACTCAATGATGGTAAGGTATGTTATGTAGTCAGTCTCCGGGGGTAAGGCTTTTAGCAAAGGGCTTTCGCTGTCTGCCATGGCTGGTAACAGAACAAAGAGTCAGTCGTGTCGATATGATGTCCTGGGCTTGTTGAATGAAGTCTCGCCTCGTTCAAGCAATACACCTGATTGCTGCGAATTCGACTCGACACGTCTTGTAAGCTATACGTCTGTGTCGAATGTCCGCGACAGAATAACAGCGGGCGGAGCTTGAAGACTAATGTGAATATCGCCGACCTCGAGAATGCAGACAGGGATGTTGTTCACATGCAAGCGGATGTGTTTCGTCATTGCCGCGGTCTCCACCAAAAAGTTGCCCACTTCAACACACTTTAACAACTTGATCACCTTCATCTGCTAATATTGCTGGAGAACACCACTTGGACAGCATGATGCATGCCAGCAAACGACAAAAGATCGATCGCGAGACGACTGCCGCATACGGCGCCTCACAACCACTCTTCGATGCTCTTCGCAAAGGCGCCGCGAATGCTGGGGAACAAAAGCTTCGCTTGACGAAGGCACGCGACCTGGTTCAAACAATTCATGTCAAGCTTGTCGAGGTGGACAAGAACGACTCCGCGCAGGCACGAGAGGAGTACATCTCAAGCTTGACGAAGGCTTGGGCAAGCGCGACAGACGCATACTGTACCATTTTCGAGGAGCTCTGCAAAGTCACGGAAGCGAATCCAGTGGAGGGGAGGGAAGAAAGCAAGGGTCATGCGCAATTCAAGAACATGGCAGAGACGGCGGCCGCGGCGAGTGCAGCGGCTAGAGCGTACACCACGAGTGACAGCAGAGCGGCAAGCGAAAGCGCACCTGAAGCCACGCCTGCCACGTCTCGATCCACGAAGCGCACCGTCGATGCTCTGGACGACAGCATGATGGAGCAGGCTCCAAGTAGTCCACAACAGAATGCGCCGAACCACGGCGCAAAGCGAACCAACAAACGAGCAAAAGTCGACCGCTCTGTATCTAGCATACCAATCACGACTGGACAAGCGACACCGGCACCACCGAAGAAGATGGCTGCTATAGAATACGAGGACGTCTCTGCTGAAGTCACAGCAAGACTGAAGGCCAAAGCAGACAAGAGGAAAGCCAAGAAACAGGAAAGGAAGCGTAAACGCGAGAGCGGCGACTCACAGCTCGATCCTGCTGTCTTGGCCGAGAAACCTGATAAGAAGAAACCGAAAACACTCACAAGTGGAACGAGCAACAACGCAAGCCCTGGAAAGCGCAAGCAGGACGATGTGGTTGCTGGTGCTGCATCTGGCGAGGCTGTCGCAGCGAAGAAACGGAAGAAGCGACATGTTTAAGACCACAAGTACATGGATTGATGACTGGATGGGAGAGCTGTATGATTTAGCCGCGAAGGATGGCACGATGATGATCTGGATGGATCAGTGGCTGGCGCCTGTGAGGCTCAGGATAGCAATATGTACGTCAAACATCTCACACGCATCTCAGGCCGCCACGTCTTTGCCAGCTTGGCGGGAAGCCGAGCCGGTAAGGCTGCTGGGGGCCAGAAGCTGATATCTCGCACGAATAGTTCGTCTTCTCCACGATCTGCACACCCGAGCATAGCATTTTTCAGCTAATCTGTGGCCTTGGGCTCAGGCTGATCGTGGATGCCGTAGGTGGCCTGATGCACAATGTCTTTGTGGCGCTTCGAGATCTTGCTTACTCAAGTATCAAAGTTTCCTCGGCTCGCGCGTAGTTTGCGGGTGGCTGCAGCGAGAGTTGCGTCTTTCGAAGCTACCGAGACATGTGAACCATCCCTAACACACCACTACTTCCTCCACAGCCCCACGATGAGGATGGCAGCTGCGAGATCTATTCTGCTTCATCTTGCAGACAAAGGCGGGCTGTAAAGCCTGTTGTGGAGTAAGTGCAGCATGCGCTGTCAAGCAGCTGGCCTTGCTTTGACGCAGCACCAGCGACGGAGACGGCATTAATTTGCGTCTCAGCCCTTAGGATATCTCGATGGCTTCACCGGCAGCAACGAGCCGCAAATCATGAGAGCCTCTACGCTTTCACATGTTGAGTCCTTCTATCACACCAGCTCTCGACCCGCGGGCGGCCTGGCGTTGTTGTCGCACGGGTCTACCGGAGAGCCGCAGTAAGTAGTCGCACCTACCTCGTTTGCTTGCTTTCCTATCTGTATATACATCTTGGTTAAAGTGACCCTCATCCTCGCACTTGCCTCACCAGAACTTGTAACATCTTGCCTCGTGCCACGTGCTTCCCGCCGCGGACCCGACGATGCCCGCCGACACGATGGAACAAGATTTTGCCTCAACGTCACTCCTTCCTCCTCCTACTTCATCATCGATAGGAAAAGATAGCGCCAAGATCAACGAAGAATCGCTCGCCAGTTCTCGGACTTCGACAGTGAAGATGACTGGGGACGAGTGGAAGCCGAGCAGGGAGATCTGGCTGGTCATCTTGGGCCAAAGCTGCTGCGTCTTCGTCGTAGCTCTGGATGCTACCATTCTTGCGGCTTCACTTCCAACAGTCTCACATGCTCTCAACGCCGATGCGGTCAAGTCATACTGGTTCATCACTGCCTACCTTCTCGCCAGCGCCGTCATCCAACCACTTTCTGCAGCCCTTGCAGACGTACTCGGCCGACGACCGACATTCTTCAGCGCCATCGTGCTGTTCACCGTCGGCACGATAATATGCTGCACCGCACACCATTCACCTCAGATGCTAGTTGGCCGGACGATCCAGGGTATCGGTGGAGGTGGCGCACTATCCGTCAACCTCATCATCTTGAGTGATATCATCCCTCTGCGACAGCGATCGAAGTATGTCGGGCTCATCCAGCTCATCAACTCCCTCGCCACCACCTTCGGACCTCTTGTCGGCGCTGCTCTGATCAAGACTTCCTGGCGTTGGCTGTTCTACATCAACTTTCCGTTCTGCGGTATCGGCATCGCTGCCATTCCATTCTTACTCCGTTACGTCAAGGCCGAAACTACCTTCTACGACCGACTCAGCATGATCGACTGGACTGGCTGTACGATCTTCATCATTGGCGCCACTTCCTTCTTGGTAGGCTTATCCTGGGGAGGCAACCAACACTCCTGGGGCAGTGCTGCTACCCTCGTTCCACTCGTCCTCGGCGCACTTATCATGTGCCTATGTATAGCGTATGAAGGCTACGTCGCGAAGACACCGTTTCTGCGACTATCGGTGTTCGGCAGTCGTTCTGCTATTGCATCATACTTGTGCACGATTCTGAGCTCGCTGACAGTAAGTGACTCGCCCGCAAACATGACCTGCGCCTGCTGACCCTCCACAGCTCTTCTCCGAGATGTACTTTCTCGTCCTCTTCCTCGGAACCGCAAAGCTTTACTCTCCACTCAAGAGCGCGATCATCTTCCTCTCATTCGCAGCATCGGTCGTGCCAGTCTCCGGCATCACAGGAGCTCTGATCACCAAGCTCGGAGGGTATCGCTGGGCATTAGTCACCGGCTGGATCATCAACACCTTCGGTCTCGGTGCACTCATGATTCTCGGACCAGAATCGTTCATGCCAGGGCTGGTCTTCCTCTTCATCCTGGCTGGCATCGGCCAAGGCATGTTGTTCATGGCACACCAAGTCGCTACACAAGCCAGCTCGCCCGTGAAGGATGTCGCCTACGCATCAGCAATGTTCTCATTCTGCCGAAGCTTTGGCTTCTGCCTGGGCGTGGCTTTAGGCGGTACTGCTTTCCAGAACTTCCTCCGCCACCATTTGGCACACAACGGCCTTTCTGCGGAGTTAGCCGCAGCTATCGCGTCGAATGCCGAAGGTTATGCGACACTACTGCGCAGTATGGCGCCTGGTCCGGCGAGACTTGTCATCGTTGATGGCTACACATATGGCTTTCGCTACTTGTTCGCTACCATGGCTGGCATTAGCGCTCTTGGGCTGATATTGTGTATGCTGATCGAAGACCACGACCTTGACGTTCAGCATGACTCCAGCCATAAGCTGCGAAGCAGAGACCCGAATGGATCTGGTCGTCAGAGTCCTGAAGATGCCGCGGAGAAGAGAGTTTCTATGGTATGAGGTGGATTTTATGATTGATGAGTTGGCATGTGACATGTAGAGATCGTACACACTTACAGAACGTTTCTTAATACATTGCTGTCATGTTGGAGATGCAGAAACTCGCCGCACCTTTACTGGGGTCCATTGTTATATGTGCATGCTGCTTCTCATCTATCAGTGAGCCTATGGCAACTTTTGCTTCGAGGTCCGGTAAGTGCGCGTTCGAGCCATCCATGCGTTCTTTCGATAACAATATTCGATTGTAGAGTTACCTCGTGCAGTATTCACTCATGATGCTCACTCCTCCCCGCAGCTCTGCTCGTGAAGAGCATCGTAACGCCCACTGCTGATCGCTTGGTCTGATGTGAAAATCGTTGAACGCAACGCCGAGACGAATAGTCCTGGTCGAGCGCTCGTGGAAATCATTAGGAGAATACTTCCATTGCAAGGAAGCCAACGCTCGCAACCGTAGGTCGCATCGTGCCATGAAATTCTTCCGAATGATGATCACCATTGAATGTAGAGGAGGTTGTTTTTGAGAGCTACTTGCAGTCCAGTTTAAGAGTGCGTCCTCCAGATCTATTAAGTCAAGGTCGTAGGAGACGCTGAGGAGGGTCGAAGAGGCACGCACGTCTTTTACCACAACAGCACGACTCTGGCATTGTATGCAACAAGCAAGAGAAAAGATGTAGCCAAAAGGAAGGGCACAATCACATCACTCCCTGGTTGATGCAAATGACAACCTCCTCATGCGAAGACTCTCATGAAGGGCAAAAGGACAAAAGAAGATGGACTTCTCTCGGTGCTGTATTACCGGCTGTCACGGTCTCTGCTCGGGCAGTAGGCTCTGGAGTTTCACCAGATTGGATTCTTTGGCGCAGTGTGTCGAACTTTAATGGAAGGCGGCAGTGTGTCGAACTTGAATGGAAGGCGAGAACCCGTGTACTGTAATATCGCCAGCCTGGATTGTGGGTAATTTGATTGGAATCTGTTTGTAGGCGACATTGTTATGAAGATTACCCGCGTACTGTAATGTCGCCAGCCTGGGTGGTGTCGCCTGCCTCGTTGTCGAGGGGATCAGATTCGGTCAGGATTGAACTGACGACCCCCAGCGATTCGAACCCCCAAACGGGAGCGAGAAGACTGGCGCTCTACCACTGAGCTTCGAATCTGACAGCAAGCTTTGTTTTGATGTTGATATGCCTACAGCCAGAAAGCCGGGGATCTGCCGGTTGGAGTGAGGTCAGTAGAGTGAAGCGGGTAGCAGGTTGGGGCAGGGTGAGGCGGAAGAAGGGAATGTTATACCTTAGCGAAGTCGCCATTGCCAAGCGATGTGACTCGTGTAAAACAGTTCGGCACACTGATATGCACATCATCAAAGAAGCCGTATACGTGACGGCTGCGCGGTTCTGCTCGTCGCCCGTATGGTCATAGGTGCCTAGATTTCATAAGCCCGACGGATCCCTCCACAACCACTTGGCAGGCGTGAGAAAGAAGTCGTGCTCACTCATTCAGGGAAATTCAGAGAGTCGTTGCTCATGACTGTGGTGGCCGCCGCATTCGAAGTTGATGGTGAGGCCATGAGGAAGCGTTGCTTCTGTATGAATGGCGGCTTTCATGCAAAGGGTGTAAGTCTCGAGCGATGTTCGCATCATTGAGGCTAAAGTTTCGATCTGGGAGATTATGGCGCCGTAAGATCATGTTACAAGGGGTATGTCTTTGAGCAATAGGAGTCTCGCCGGGCTTGTGATAATCACGCGGGTGAGCATGGCATTTCCCAGGAGCAACCACGGATTCCCGACCGGTCGGGCCTAACCGTGGTGACGAACGATTCTCCATTGCTTAACTACAATGGCAAGGGCGACCTGCTTTGCCTGCAGTACGTGGGCCTGGTCGAGGTTTTCTGACGACTTCACGGTGGCTTGGACCCGGTCCTTGAGTCTCAGGGCTTCGGTCATGGTCGTGCCCATTTCAGAAGGGACTCGCACACTGTTCAACCAGCACACCGGGATAGACGGACGTACGCATGGTCTTTAAAGTGAAGACGACTGGCTTTCAGAGTTGTCATCTGGTCGAAGTAAAGCACACGTCAGGGTTGACGGTCTTGGCAGATACATTTATTCATTGGCCAATCAGCGCACGATATATAACATTTCTGGGCTTTTGTCTCCTCCCTCTATCTGTTCCTGACATATATCTTGTGATATGACAATGGCTTGACCCTGAAGATGCATCCATATGCCTGCTCATGCTCTCATCACGCCAAAATCCTCGTACATTTACTGGGAAGAGCCACCGGAGATGGTGATGACTTGGCCTGCAAACAATGTCAGCATAGTTTCTTGAATGATACAATACTTCTTTGAACGTACCGTTGACCCAGCCACCGTCACCGGAGGCAAGGAAAGCGACAACGCGAGCGACATCCTCGGGAAGAGCGCAGCGCTTGAGTGGGCAGTGGTCGGCCATGAGCTTCTCGATCTTGTCGGCGGGCCAGTCTGGGGTGCCACCTGGGATGTAGTGCCATGCGTTCTGCAATCAATCAGTATCCTCTCTATGCTCAAGGCTTGTTACTGCTTACCTGAGTGAACATGTCGGACTTGATGCCACCAGGAGCGACACCGTTGACAGTGATGCCACGAGCACCGAAGTCAGTGGCGAAGGCCTTGATCATACCAATGACAGCCATCTTGGAGGCGTTGTAGAGGACGTGGTCGTGGACACCAAGGAGACCGGCGGCGATGGAGCTCATGAGGATGAGACGGCCGTCGTTCTCGAGGTACTTCCACGCTGCCTGGCCAACGAAGAATTGTGCGCGAGCATTGAGGTTGAAGACGTGGTCGTACTTCTCCTCCGTGATCTCCTCAGTCTTGTCCCATGATTCGGTACCGCTGTTGCTCATGACGATATCGACCTTGCCAAAGTGCTTCTTCGCCTCTTGAAACAAACGCTCGATCTCGGATTTCTTGCTCACATCGGCCTGGATCGAGATGGCCTTGGCACCGCTGCCGGACTCCTCGATGGCCTTGACGACCTCATCGGCGGAGGACTTGCTGTTGGCGTAGTTGACGACAACGCTAGCACCACGCTTGCCGAGCTCGATGGCGCAGCCTCGTCCGATACCACGGCCAGCACCGGTGATGAGCGCTACCTTGCCGTGAAGGGAGGCAGACGGGACGGTGACGACACCCTGGGATGAAGACATGTTTGCTGTGTTGTCGGTAGATGAGTTACTGTACAAGAAAATTAATAAAGCTATCCTCGTAGTCTCGATCGTCTAACGGAAGGGCTCTTACAATGGGGAGTGAGATAGATATGGTCTTGTGCTCAATGGTAAGAAATGTCAGGAACAATCAGGCGGTGTAAGAAAATCATTCAGCACCTGCATGCAACTCCCAAGCTTATACTTACAGACGGCGGCCGGAGCTCGATGCTCCCCTACCACTGAGAGACTAGGGACATAAAGATGCAACCCACCTCTCAATGCACTCGCTAGCCGGTGGGGTTCCGTCTTCTTTCTGACGACACAGCAACGCGCAGTCCACGACATGTAGCCTCTGCCGCATCATGGCGTACGGCGGACAGGTCTATAAAAAGCGTCGTGCTTGCTCAGGAGTTCCAACGTCGCATGCATTTGGCTGAGATTATCCAGTGCTCCTGGTTCGGGCTCCGTTGAAGAGCGAAACGTGGGGTATGACCGTCCGATTCGTACAAAGGTGGGGCGACGATAACAAGGGACGAGATCGAACTCTAATCGAGTAGCCTGGTATCCGAGAAGGCAGCTGTATCATGCAGTGAACAGTAGCAGAGGTAATCGACCAGTAATGCTTCAATTCTTCGAATTCATGGAGTGCTTCTATCAAACGCTACCCAACCAAACACCCTACCAACAGTAAGAGGAGGGGTGGTGAAAATGGGTAGCCTGCTCAGCACGCCAGTATAGAACACCTGTCTCCGAATGCTTTCCACCAGAAAAACGCCTAGACACCATCTTCCGTACCAGCACGTCCCAACCCTCGTCCCAAAGAGTTCCTCCGCGCTCAAGCACGATGACCGATAAGAAAAAATGCAATGAAAGTAAGAGAGGCTTGCTGCTGACCCATTCCAAGCCTGAGCTGGATGAGCGAGCAGAAGCTTTATGAGTATTACAGTTGGTTCATGGCGTCATTGTTGTCGTCAAGGTCGTCGTTGAATGCTCCTCCACGAGCTTCATCGCTGGCTGGCATGCTTCGAAAGAAGCTCATGCCGCTGTGCGTGCGGCCGAGAAGGAGCGTCGGCTGAAATGGTGGTGAAGAGTAGCACAACACCATGCTTTGTAGCCGCGGCGCATCTACCACAGACGTTGGCATGCGAGGTCCATTGGTCCCGACGAGGCTCCTCGCACCACACCTGGCAGCTGGAAACCCCTCTGCATCTCAGTAGCCACGAATGTCGAGGCTCGCTTATACCGCTTGTCCATGTACTTCTCGAACACGGCGGCATGATGCTTCTGTGGCTTCTCACAACACTCCAGGATACCCGCCAGCAACTGCCGAAGCTGAGAATAGGTGTAGTTGGAATAGAAGACGTGGGCAGCAGACCAGTCGCCCTTGCGTAGCATAAGGCGGGCAATGCAGTGAGCACCGGCCGCGAGGAAGCTTGGAGTACAGCCTACGAATCGCTCGTCCATGACAGTGACTTCGAGAAAGTACTTGGCCAACGTACGAGTCTCAAGGTCGTAGTCGTCGGCCTTGCTGATGCGTCGAAGAAAGCTCATGGGTCCTGGCCAGCCGAGCTCGAATTGCAGCATGCTGAGCATGAAGCGCTCTGCTTTAAGTAGCTCATCTGCGCTGTAGCCACCATCGACCATGTAGATGATCTCGGCAATGGTCGGGCATTGCACCTCTTCGTACTTGGCAGCCACGAATATTGCTGTGGCGCCGACGAGCTGCAGCTTCCCAAGTGACACTATCTTGCAGGATAGGAAGCGGTCGATGTAGTTGACGGTCAAGAACAGAGTCTCCGGCAAGAGGTTGAAGCGCTGATGTACTTGGACGACCCAATCCATGAGCACCGCTCGCATTGACCACTGGATCTCCGATTGCTGCTCCATGTATCGAGGATTGGGTGCCATGCGGACCTCCATCTCGCGCATGTAGCTGAAGATCTCGTCGCCGTACTCAGCCACCATTGAGGTGTCCCACTGTTCGTCCTCGATATCCTCTGGAGTCCTGGTAGCGTCGACAAATGCTCTCGCGCCGTCAAGCTCCTGTTGCACCTTCTCGGTATGCTTGGGCGCCAGTATTGTGGTCACGCCGCCTGTGCTCTCGCCCCTGAAGCCAAAAGACCTGCCGGTGGTGTAGCCGTCCTCATAGAATTCTTCTTCGTCGATGTCGTAGAATTGCTCAGCAGGGAGCTGGTCAATGCCAGGATATTGTGCGTGGCCATTGAGCACTGGCTGATATTGCATTTGAGCAACATTCTGCGCTGTCACGAAGTTGACATACTCCTGCTCTGACGCGAAGCCTGGTGGCAAAGCTATGCCTGCGCTTACTGGCTTATGCGTGGGTCTGACGACTGCCTCGTCACGCAAAGGCACGCTCTCGGTCTTGCGCACCTCCTGAACCTTGATGGCTGCTGCTGGCTTCTCCAAAGGAGGGAATACGGCTTGCTTTGGCGCGGCTAGAATGTGATGTACTGGCGCTGTCGAGGCTGGTCTTCGAGATAACTCCGGATCCGCAGCCGTACACACTGGGACATCCTTCAAGACCTTCGTGCTTTTCTTGGGTACGATCTTCTTCAATGGCTCTGGCTCCGCAATCGATGTTTGATTTGTGGTGCTGAGCGTCGATACCATGGTCTGGCTTGATGCTTTTGGTGCCAGAGGTCGCGTGGCCGGTCTCGCAAACGTGGCGGCTGGCTTGACTGGTTCCAGCAATTGTACTGCCAACTTTCCTGGCGACGCCTTGCCAACCTCCGAGTCGTCCCTCGCCATCTTCTGGTTCGCGTTCACCTCACCCAAGATCTTCTTATTCGCTGCCTTCACAGCGCCCGCTTGCATCAAGGTCGAAAAGGCTGGTGTTGACTTGGTCCGCTGGTGCAGTGTTTTGCCGGGAAGAGCAGGAGGTGGCATGTTCTCGTCGTGCACCTTGAGGGCGCGTGGCCGCTGCGGCTATAGTTCAAGAAAGAGTCAGAAATCAAGTCATGTATTACAGCAGAGCGATGCGTCAGTGTGGAGCAGTGCGATGTCACGGTCGGCTAGAGCAGTGTTGTCGCGGTTTGGAGAGGTGGCGGCGGTGAGGTGTCAAGTTCGAGTTGGCACGCGGCATGAGGGGGTATATGAGCTTGTGAAGATTCTGCTCCTGCCGCTTGTGGACGGGGATATGAGGACAGCGGCGACGGCAACATACCTTGGCGTCCATTGTGATGCGGTGGGTCAGCAGCTAGTGCTGGGTTGCTCGTTGCGGATCTTCTATGGCTCCAGGGATGCCTTAGCTTGGCACGATGATGGCGGTGCTGTGTTGCCTCGAGGACGGATGGCGGCGCAAGGTGGAAGTTGTCACCCGCGCATCTGTCGAGCTGCTGGGCTTCGGGGGAGGATGTTGGCAGCACCGCGTCGTGAACAAGTGAGCTCCTAGGCAACGTGAAGCTGCGTGATGCTAACACTGCTGAGTGAAGTGCTGTTGTCGCTAAGCGATGCGAGAGTATGATGATTGTCGCCTCTGGCCCTGCGCGGCCTTTCAGGTAAAGAAAGCTCGCGGTCGATGTTGCCCGTCGTATGTTATGAGATAAACAGACCGTCCCAGCTACACAGTTCGCGCTAGAGCCGTTGCGATGCCTCATCGAGCTTAGATGTAAGGCTAGCGGCCACTCCCGCGAGACGTCACTCAAACTTCTGCTAGGATCGCGTCCTCCCAGAAAGCCAACATTATGGCACAACTATAACAACACCTACCAACACAGCTTTCCCACCTCACTCGGCCCTCTCACCGAGACTCTGACCTACCACGTCTGGTATGGCATCATTTACTACGTCTCTCGAGCCTCCGTCTTGCCTTCACACCAAGTTATTTGCGTGCCGCGTCGCAAAGCACAGTCTCAAACGGAATTACACGATCATGCAGCGTCAACACGTGATCTCATCTACGTCTCAGACTACCTTCATCTGCGCGAAACAAGACGTCGCATCACCATCAGCATCGCATTTCTGACCTCACTTTGTTTACATGAAGTACTCCTCCTAGCACGGCTAATGCGCTGTCCACTCCATCGGCATCGTGGCCTTCTGAGCCAATGAATCTGTCACAGCGGGCAGATTCCGGAACACCTGCTTCGGAGTGCTTCGCAGAGTTGGCGTGGGAAAAACCCCTCGTCTTCATGCAGGTTGTCTGCTGGTCTGCTTTGGCTAGTCGCTTCCATCCGTGTAGTAGTTCGGGTATACTCTCCAGACGGCAAAAGCGTCGCACGATGGTGGCTTTCCGCGGAGTCTCTGAATTGTGCTCGCGCGCGATATGAGCACTCCTGACGCCGTTGTCGCTGGTGACTTTGATGTCTCATCGACGACGCATTTAAGCACTTCTTACCTTTCTAGTTTGACTATTATGTGGTCGTGGCTCAAGTCCACAATTCGTGCCCCTGGTATATTGAGGCATGCGTCCCTTTCCTTGCGTCGCCAACGAGGCGCAAAGTCTAAAGTGTGCCTTCGTAACACAATCCTTCAAGCCTGTGCCATGTACAGGCAACGGCCGGCATCTTTCTCGAGCAGCGCGTCCATCGTCTCATCTCATAACGCAGGTTTGAATGCGACGAACATAAACCTGACCAGCGACGGACATCAAGTTCATCTTCTAACATGACACGGTGCGCATGTGCGGCAGTTTCTTTTGAGAACTGTGATTGGAGCGCAGCCACGAGCGCCGTCGGTCTGTGTGGTTGGCATGCAGCTAGGGAAGAGAGTCTCCATACGCCTTTTCACTCGCGCTGCAGGCGCTTCTCTTCTCCTCTGGTAGCGACTCTGTGTAAGGCGAGGCGTGTGTCTATGGCTGACTATCATGCTATTGCAGTGGGATCTGAGGGTCTGGGCTGGAGCGGGACCAACTTGGAGTTAATAAAGCTTGCTTATTCGGGCGGCTATGAGTGGTATGAGTTGAGCTGCGACTCGTGAAAGGACACTCTCGCATGAAGTGGACCAAAGGCTTGATGTAAGACTGTAGCCATTATCCCGTTGTATACATGCCGAAGTTATAGTCATGTGAAGTGGTGTTGAATGGAGCATTGTCAATGACTTTCTGATCCGCAGCGGGCGGAGTGCGGCGCTCTGAGGTTGCATCTCGCAGACTGGCTTCCTTGACCTTCTGCTCTACCTCCTCTCCCAACCTTCTATCTCCACCTCCAAGTCGTACAATCGACGGCCAGTACCCTTGACTGGCCTGTTGACTACCTTCTACGCTCGTTATTGTCCTTGATCTACTCCTCACTGGCGCCGGACTCGCTGCTGCTCGCTGCCCTTCTGCGCCTTTCGTTTGGCACGGCGGCAGCAAGGTAGAGGCTGACAACCTCATCAGAACCAGCAAATATCCATCAGGGTCTTTCTGACAGTCAAGGCGATCCTAGGTGAGCAGTGTCTATCTCATTATACCTGCAGACGCTCTGCGATATCTGCTCCTCACCGTCTTCGCTCGACTCCACTTGGTCAGCTGCGGATCTGCATACACTACCCACCTAAGGCGGTGCAGGTGTTTGCTTTGCCATACCAATACCTGCAATAAAATATAGCAGCTCAGTGGAGGCGAGATTGCTAACTATTCTTATTACAGCTCTCGGTAGCGCACCGTCGTTGCCGCTCCTCCCTGGCTCGAGCCAGCCCTTTGCGCCGACGACAGCGTCATCAGCACGCTAAATCAAGATCTCTCCAATACCCTTCGCACGCACGCCCATATAGTCAGGCTACCCTGGCGAATACGAAAAGAGTGTTGTTCGTCACGATATGGACGTAAACAGCATGCTGGCTCAAGGTGCCCACGCTGTCACCGAGTCAGCTGATGGCAGGCGCCAAACAAACTCCCACTCCACCCGGCATACAGGAGCACAGTCTACAATGCAAACACAAGCCCCACAGTACGGCAACGGCCTCCATCGACCATCAAGGGGCAGCAACGGGTCTTCCTACAGTTCCGGACACTACCGCAATTCGCCTGCCAAGAAAGAGCAGAAGCATGTTGTCTTCCAATTGATCGATGAACAAGATCCACGAATCCAGGCTCGTCTACCAATGCGTGTTATGATCTCCCCTAGCGACTCCACCGAGTCAATCATCCCGACCGTGAAGAACTTTTACGGCTTGTATGATTATGGCGTCAGTTTCGAGAACAAGGAGGGCATCAGCATGATTGCTGCGTATGACAACTTCGAGAACGATATGGTAGTGTATGTACGGACTATCGCGCAGCCTCCTGCTGCCAATGGTGGAAACGGTCGTGAGTCGGTGTCGCCGAGAAAGCCCACTCTGGGCGCACCGTTCGAAATGCGCCCGCCGCAGCTCAACCCGCATTCGCCTTCGCGCACTGCCGCACGTTCTGCTGGTGTACGTAGTCTGTCACCAGGGTCTGAGATGGGCAAGCGCAGTGCCTCGGCGGCTCCAGGTGGGAAGCCTCGCATGCACAGGACCAAGAGCAAGGACAACAGTGTCACAGGAGACGCAGATGGTTATAGTAGCGACGACAATGGAGGAGGCTCGGTCACGAGTTCCAGGCGCTCAAGAACTGAGCACGTCAATGCCGAGATCAGCGTGAATAACATCGTGGAGGGCGGCAGGCGCAACCGCGCCTTCGAGAGTTCGGTAAGCTTCTGTCATCAGAGTCCTACCAGATCGCTTCTAACATGGTCTAGGAACTCCCTCTCTTCGTACCACCACAAGTACCTGTAAGCGCATCGATCTCATCGATCTCTCCACAACGGCGCAATGGTCCAACCACCATGGCATCGCCTTATGCGCATTCCAACCAGCAGACGTTTGCCTACACTCAGCCTCTGCCGTCGCCACAGAGCTATGGAGGGAGTGCAAATTACATCCAATCTGCGATGCCAAACAATGGCTTCAACAACTACCAGGCCAGTAGACCATTGCGCAGTAGACCCATCTCCTATCCAGCTGGCCGCCACTCTGGTGGGATCCTGCCTACTCCCGATCCGACTGTCGGCAGCGCTATCTCGGATGAAGACGTCGCGCTGCAACTCATGCGACTCGGCGACCCTGCTGCGTTCTCGCATGGCCGTACATCCACCTCCACTGTCGATGATGCGCTCAGCGGCAAGGCAGAGCTTGCTTCCTCCGACGAGGAGTCGAGCGAGGACGAAGCTGAGCAGAATAGCAACAAGAAGCCGGCCGTACCAGCCTTCCACGATGCTGGTCCACAGCGGAAGAAGCAGCGTACGATGAACGAATTGCCAAGCGACGGCACGAGCGGTGAGGACTATGATGATCAACAAGATGGCACTTTCAGCAATGATGGTGCAGATGGTATCCGCAAGATGAGCAAGCCGAAGAGCAACAAGCCTCGTGCTATGTCGATGGGAAAGCCCAAGCTCCTCAAGTCAGCCTCAGTCGGGCTTCCTAAGATCCCCATGTCTCCATCCTCCATGCCGGCTGGCTCGCGCAAAGGCTCTATTGCCTCGACCATTAACTTCCACCATCAGCTCGGCGAAGGAGAGGACGATCTCAGCTCCAAGCCACGCTGCCAGCGCTGCCGTAAAAGCAAGAAGGGTTGCGATAGGCAGCGTCCCTGTGGCCGGTGCAAGGATGCTGGAATCGGTATCGATGGGTGTGTTAGTGAAGACGAGGGCAACGGGCGTAAGGGCAGGTATGGAAGACATATGGGAGTGCCGATCAAGAAGGGCGAGGAGGGTTATGTGGAGGAGGAGGACGATGAGATGCAGATGCAGCAGTATCCGCCCATGGGTGTACCTGCCAACGGCTTGTTTCTGGCGCCCGCACTGCCGGACAAGAGCAAGAAGAGGAAGCGGTGATGAAGTGTTCGAAGACGTAGCAAGCGTAGCCGAAAGCAGGGTTGTGCTCGAGACGTTTAGAAGACACTGCAAGACTGGCAGGGACAGAATCAGAAATGCGCGGACAGAATGGGATCTCCGGACTACAGCATGAGCGGGAGGATGGGAGGCAATGTCGCGATGATTTTATGAGTTTCTTTTGTTCACGGCTTGCCCCGATGCACGCGAGGCCCGAAGGTCGTCGATGAGCGCTGTAATGCGTCGGAGATAATGAAGCGCTTTCGGAATGGGGTCTTGTTCTTACCAGAGAAAAGTTTGAGGGAAGGCCAAATTGTCTTGCTGGTACTGCGAGTACCGCGAGGGTGTCGAATGATCAGACTGGGAGCTTCACATGCACTGGCAGACTGTTGTATGCGAAGGTTTGTCTAACGTAGAGGATGGTATGGACGTCGATGCGATTCGATCAAGTTAGGATATCTATCTGTGCTTTTCTCTAATGTGGTGATATCTATTCTGGTGTTAGTCGACCGTGACCTCTTTCGGTGTGGCACAGTCTAGCGTATAGGATGTAGTTGACTGCCTTCTGAAACAATCCCAATATGAGTGTACAAGCGCACGGACAACACCACCTTCAGCCTGCTGCGCCACGATTCCTTCCATGTACCACCAACGCAGAGCGAATAGATACACAGTCGTTTGCACAATCTACGACAATCTGACCGCTCCGGATCTCGTCGAACGTTCACCCTTACTTGCCAGGAGCCGTCATTCATTTCGTTTAGAACTGAGGCCCGACCATGGCTGACGACGCCGAGCCGATGTCCGTCAAGGACAGGATAGCAGCTTTGAAGCTGAATCAAGTTGGCCGCGCACCTGGACAGACGCCATCGACGAATAGCGTGGCGACGAATGGTATATTGAATAAGGCAAGGCCGCCGCCACCTCCACCGCCCAGGCCCACTGTGCCACCAAGACCGCAATCGACGAACGTGCCACGACTACAGGATCATGTGCCAAGCTCAGCAAATGGAATCGCGAATCAGCCGGAGGGAGAGCGCTCAAATCCCAGCGCGAATGGCATGGACGGCATCTCACGACCTGCACTACCACCTCGAACATCGACAGCTTCATCTCAATTCTCACCAAATCCTCCCCTGTTTCCTGAGAGATCTACCGAGCCTTCACCAGCATTACCATCAAGACGACCTTCCGAGACCCCTTTTCAACCTGCCAACCGGCTGAGCCGGCGAGACTCGAACGCGTCAATCAGCTCTGTGGCGACTGGCAGATCGTCTGTTTCTGGCATGTCGACCGCCACTTCACAATCTGATCGCATGGTCAAAGCACCGGCCTTCGACCCTGCGGCTCTTCCACCCTTGCCACCAAAACGTACTGAGGAGCAGAAGCAAGCATACTATGACTCCGGCAGCAAGGCAGGTCGCCGGCCGCTGAAGTCCATTTTCTCCTCTCCAAATGTCAATGGTATGCCCAAAGGCACTACGCCACCTCCGTCGAGAAGACCTTCGGCGCAACAGCCTCCCCTACCTAGACGAACCTCACAGCAGCAGGTCGAACCTGCGCCGCGCCCCGTCTTGGCCGAGCCACCACCGAGGATTAAGCGGTCTGCTCTGGATATGGGTCTAGATGCTGGTTCTCGTCCGCCTGTCGCACCTCTAAGGCCAGATAGCGTACCGCAGACTAATGGTGGGCCGCCGCCTGTGCCTACCGGATCACGACCGGACCTCGCCGCTCTGCAGGCATCGAAGCCAAAGGCTGGTAATAGCGGTGCTGCACCCGCAGTACAGCCATCGCAGTCGTCTTGTCTGCATTGCCGAGACTTCTCTGCCGTCGATGCACATGCTGCTCGGTTCCCACGACAGTCGGTACCAAACAATGACATTAGCTGGCTGGCTCAACAACTTACGGCGCCATTCTCGTCGGCGACAGACAAGGCTCGAGCGATCTTCACCTGGCATCACCACAATATCTTTTACAATACCGAGGCTTTCTTCAGTGGCAATATACAGCCAAGCACACCGAAGAGTACTCTAGCGTCGGGGTGGGCAGTATGCGAAGGTTATGCAGGTCTCTACGCCGCAATAGCACTGAAAGCAGGTCTCGAGTCTTACGTCGTCGTTGGTAACGGCAAAGGCTATGGCTATTCTGAACTCAAGCCAGGCGATCCACTACCACCTTACGACGCAGGCCATGCGTGGAATGTGGTCAAGATTGATGGTGGCCAGTGGAAGCTACTCGATGCCTGCTGGGGCGCTGGCCACATTTGCGGGAACAACAATCTCTACAAACAGGAGTTTAGTCCGGAGAGGTTCACACAGAGCAACGATGAGTTCGGCCTCGACCACTTCCCCGGTGAGACTCGGCACCAGTACCGCGAGGAAGGAAGGACACTCACATGGGAGGAGTACATCACTGGCAACAAGCGTGGTTGTGGCGCACAATTCTTCTCCGGCTACACTAGTGCGGAGGGTATTAGTGAGACATCCTTCCGACCTGTCGCAAATCCTATAATCACATCACAGCAGGGACCCAGTGTGCGCTTCAGCTTCCAGAAGATTTGTCCTCACTGGGACCCTGTACGCAATGGCAAGGGTGCGCATTATCTCTACACACTTGCTGTGGATAATCTGGAAGGCACGAAGAAGAATCATATGCCATTTCAAACAAATGGCGATGTGTGGTGGATTGATATTCCAGTGCAGGATCTGGGGAGGGCAGGGCAGAGTGTCAAAGTTCTGGCTGTGAACAGCTTTCGGGGTAAGGAGGGCAGAGGATTGACGGTGCAGGAGTATATGGAGTGGAAAGGACGGTGTGCAATGTCTTGGGCGTTTGTGGCGAAGTGGGAGATTGGTTGAGACTGATGCATGGAGATACCCTTGGAGGGGTGGGGCTTTGCAGTACCTCATATGGCCAGGCTAGACCTGTGCCAGCTCGAGGTGGCGTTCCTACGATTCAACGATTCTAACGAAGTCGTAATGAGATCTGCCGCTCCAGGACACCATACCTTGCACGAGTGTCAATCTGCTTGATGTTGCCATTGCCTTTTTTGCGAAGATGTGAAGACGCGAGAGCTATCGCACGGCGTTTTCGAGCTAGAAGTAGCTTCGGTCAACGGCCTCCATTTGGGGCTGCACCTCCTGCGCGTTGTAGCGTGTGGTTTGTGGTTCCAGTTTCCTCTTTAGAGCCAGCCTCCACTCATTGCTGTGGCGAGATAAGCACGACTGAATCGCCTGTCCGTAGTGTTAACAACCGGTCCTCCTCTCCATCGTTGCTCATGCTATGTCCATACCTCTTACGAAGAGCATTTCTGACTGCTTCTTCACCGTCCGCACGTTCTCACTTCCATCCTCCTCGTCCACCACATATATTGTCTCCGTCACTTCTCCCAGTACCAGGTTGCAATGACTATCGTACGCCTACTTGGTCGTCAGCTCGGACCACTGCGTTCCTGTTGTAGATGCTTATACGTGTAGCCTGCCCTGTAGCTCTCGGTCTCCTCGTAACTTCACGAACACCACCTCGTTCAATGACAATCGCACCAAGTCCAGAGGCTCGTTCACCGGGTTTCCCCCAGACTCTTCGACTTCAGCCATCGATCATAGACAAATATGCAAAAGTAATTGTGGTTGGCGCAAGGCTCAACTGCACGGCCAGCACCTGGCCAAAGTTGGACTTTCGGATCTATGTATTTCCGTGATATAGGCGTGAGTCATGCTAGCGCATCGATCGAATGCTCGAATCAAGGTTCGAAAATCGTCCTTGGATATTTACACAAGCATACCGCCCAAAGCGATGCGACGCAGCATACGGGCAGAATGGCGAACGCCGGCATGGCTCCAGGGCTAGTTCACCATGGGAGTGTCACGGCTCGCTTCACCTTTCCCACATCACGTCGTCTGCTCAAGCGCAAAGGTGTGGCGGCGAAGATCATATGCACCGGTGATCAGTCAGGATCAATACCAGCACACAGAGTGCTCCTCCGCGAAAACCCTACACGCTTTGTGTAACAATTTACCCAACACTTGCAAGTGCACTCAGTATCAAAAACACTATGTCTGGTGGATTAGGTCACGCGCCACAATCACACCTCACCATCGGCAAGAAGACCTGCAAAATCCTGGAAGTAGAGATTCACCCCGTCTACACCTCGAGAGGATACAACGGCTCGCGCAGACGAAACGGGAGAGGGAAATATACTCAGCCGTGCCGTACAAAAGTTCTCGACTTCAGCGATGGCTCCTACGTACTCCATCAAGCCAGCCATTGGCGTGCACGAGATTTCGTGAAGAGTCCTATTTTCAAAACCATCAGTTTGCTGCTAATGAGATATATGAGAGAAGCAGCCGAGCTGTATCGTGTCCATCGATAGAATGGAGTGGGCTCCTAAAGAGCGCGCGAAGCAGGAATGCGAGTTTCATCCCGAGCCCTGAAAGTTGATGTGCCGTCAGACGAGTTCTACGGTCGATGGTAATACGCCGGTCTCATCAATCGGCGAGACACTTTCTGGACGAAATGCTAGCTCCGACTCCTGCTAACCTTCCTTTGGTAATCAACACCGGTGTGTGTCACGGGCGAGGCTCTACATCGTGAAGTTCCATGAATACTGCTGGAACTCGTGGTCTTCGGTCCTGATCTTGTCCTTTATAGCATTATAATGGGCATGGTAAAGCATCCAATCGTAGAGTGCTCGGCATAGCCCCGAGGTGATAGGTCATAGATGGGTGAGGAATGGGCCATTCGCAGGACCTATGGGTGTGAGATGGCCTGGCTTCTGCATTTGTCGAACTGTGGATACCGAGTAGACGACAGTGCAAAGAACGTTTACTGGTGAAGGCAGAAGGGTTGACCTGTCTAAATTTTGGCTATGAAGAAAAGCAAGGCCTGCGGGCTCAAATGAGAAATGTTACTATCGAGTAGTGGCTGGAAAATCATAGCACACCTCTCGAATTAGATAGGATACACCGTACAAATCATTTGTACAGCGTGATAAGGTTAGCAGGCCGCATACACTATACAGTTCGGGCGCAGTATCACATTCACGCAAAGAAGCTTTCACCATAGAGTCGTTCGTTCATTCTAATGGGCACACGTGCTGCAGGAACAGGCTGTTCGGAACACTCCTCTCTTCGGCACGGGCCACTTGCTGTCAGCAAGACAATGGTGCGTCACTACTGGCCGCCGTTTCCGTGTGGAGACTTTTGGGCTTGCGTACTGTACCAGATCAGGCAAGAGATGTCACCCACTCTATGAGGCTGGCCTGTGGAGGAGTGGAGATGTTTGCTTGCATTACGCCGCGATTGTGGTCTCGCAGCATACGTTGTGCTTGACGCACTTGCTTTAGGTACGTTTTACTTTCGCGCGCGACAGGTCAGAGCTTCATGCGCAGGCGCAATCGCATTGCATAGCGGGGACAGGCATTGAAAGAAATATGCCTGGTGATGTGGAGAGTAATGCTAGGCAGCAGAATGGGTCTGGCAGCGAAGGCGTGAGGAGGAGGCATTCGGGTCAGCATGACGAGTCACTTGTGGTGGCTAATTCTGAACACGATGGTGTGCAGATGGGTACAAATGTCGTGCAGGCTGAGCCGCAGCGTGTGCGGTTCTCCGTGGACACTGCACGGCCGAAGAAGAGGAAGAGCGACGAGATGTCGCGGGATGGTATGGAAGGATCGAGCGAGCGACGTGGGAGCGAGCCAGCAGTGAGCATCAATGCGAGAGCGGCGAATATAATGTCCAGCAGCAGTGTGCCGGCGCAGCCTATCGCAGGTGGTCCTCGAAGTACGGGATCACCAAGCTCACCCTCTGGACGCGTACCTTCAGCCTCGCCACCAGCACGATCCAGAAGTCGAGGACTATCTATGAGGAGTTCATTGTTCGCCCGCAACTTGGATCGCAAAGCATTCAACGACGATTCTATCATGGAGATGCAACCAGTCGGTCCTGTCGACGGTACCACGGACAGACCACAAACGACGAAAAAGGGTAACCAACCATCTGTGACTGTCTCAACCATCGCTGAGGCCGCACCACCTCGCCCACCATCCTTCACGGCGTCATTGCCTTCCTTTCATAAAGTCGGTCACGCAGCAAGTGCTCTCCCGAACTACCAGGCCTGGATGCAGCACAAAGCTCGAAGACATCTACCATTGAAGCGCATGTCGCAATGGTATTCGAAGACTCGCCAAGCTGTCTTGCGAGCGCAGGAGACTCCGCCTTCGAAAGATGAACGGCATATCGTGCTCGATCCGACCGTCAGCGAACCATTAATGGACGAGCGGACTAGCAAACCTCACATCAGCAACACTATAAGATCGTCAAAGTACACACCTTGGAACTTTGTGCCCAGACAGCTGTTTGCTCAGTTCTCCAAGATCGCAAACTTCTACTTTCTCACCATAGCGATTCTCCAGATGATACCTGGCCTGTCAACAACTGGAACATATACGACGATTGTACCATTGCTTTTCTTCGTGGCGATATCAATGGGCAAGGAGGGCTATGAGGATTTCCGGCGGCATAGACTGGACAAGCTGGAGAACAACAGTGAGGCCAAAGTATTACGTGCCCACGACGCAGTACAAGGAGGGCACAAGGAGCAGGCCGGCAGGGGTCTGCATTGGGCTTCCGTCAAGTGGCACAATCTACGAGTGGGTGATGTCATCAAGTTGGTACGCGACGACCCTTCTCCGGCAGATATTGTGCTGCTTCGAAGTACGGGATCGAACAGTCTGGCGTATATCGAGACAATGGCGCTGGACGGTGAGACGAACCTCAAGCCCAAGTCACCATCGGCCGCACTTGTAACAGCGTACACGAGTACCGAGTCAGTAGCGGCTGGTGGTGCGCATTTCGTCGTCGAAGACCCTAATCTCGACCTGTACAACTTCGATGGCAAGGTCACGATCAACGGCGAGACTGCGCCTCTGACCAACAACGAGATTATATATCGCGGAAGTGTACTGCGCAATACTCCTGAGATCTGGGGCATGGTCACTCACTCTGGCGAAGAATGCAAGATCCGTATGAATTCGAACAAGAATCCGCGCATCAAGGCCCCTTCTCTGCAGGCGAAGGTCAACAAAGTGGTTATGGTCATTGTCTGCTTCGTCATCTTCTTGGCGCTGTACAACACTATTGCATACGAAGTCTGGGCCGCCGACACGGAGACTGAGGCTTGGTATCTCAAACGTGCTCGTGTGCCTTTTGGTCATGTTTTGGTCAGCTTCGTGATCATGTTCAACACCATGATTCCATTGTCGTTGTACGTCAGTATGGAGATCATCAAAGTGGCGCAGATGGCGCTACTCAACAGTGATATCGACATGTACGACGAGGTCAGCAATACGCCACTGGAAGCAAAGACATCGACTATCAACGAGGAACTCGGACAAGTGTCATACGTGTTCTCTGACAAGACGGGCACTCTGACAGAGAACGTGATGCGCTTCCGCAAGCTGAGCGTTGCTGGTACTGCATGGCTGCATGATGCCGATTTGAAGGGTGATTCTGCCAGCGACGAGATGCTGCTGCACAAGAAGCGGAAGCCGAAAGCCAAGGGTAAAGGCAAGGAGCCACTACGTCGCATGTCTACGAAGTCCAACTCCGTTGCGGATGGCGAAGATCTTCGACCCGGTAGCGAGGTTGACCTTCCCCGAAAGTCGACTCAATGGGCCTCTCCAGGTACAGATGCAACTGTCCAGCAACAAATGTCCACGGCTGAGATGATCCATTTTGTGCAAAGGCGACCGAACACCAGTTTCGCGCAGAAGGCCAAGCTTATGGTCTTGTCGATGGCACTATGCCATACATGCTTACCTGAACGGATAGAAGGCGACGACGAGGATGTCTCGTACCAGGCTTCTTCACCAGATGAGTCGGCTCTTGTGCAAGCTGCCAAAGACTTGGGTTATGTGGCTTGGGAACGTGATGTCTCGGCTTTGACCTTGAAGACCTACCCAAATGGACAGAATGCGGACCCTGCATATGAAGTCTTCGAAGTACTGGACGTGATCGAGTTCTCGAGCAAGCGTAAGCGGATGTCGGTCGTTGTACGCTTCCCGGACGGTCGCATCTGCTTGATGTGCAAGGGAGCAGACTCGGTCCTGATGCAGCGACTGCGTCTAGCGAACCTGGCAAACCAAAAGATGGCTGAAGTGGAAGCTCGTAATGACGAGCGCCGGAGCATGGAAGTTCAAGAGGTCCTTCGCCGCAAGAGCAGCGTAGGTAGCTTTCCGAGGTCTAGCGCGCAGCTCTCCAGAACATCGGTATCTCGACCCAGCATCGGTAGACTTGAGCCGATCAGAGATAACATCGATGGTTGGCTATCTCATCGCGAGCAGGATGTGGCGTCGCTAAGGGTAGATGATAGGCATTACTCGCCACGACCGTCTGCGCAGCTCGGTCGACCGTCAGCCTCTGAGCGTGCTGGGTCTGTGCAGACTGACATGGACGACGAGGATCTTGTCGAGGAGTCTCTGGCCTCCAATGAAGCGGCAGTAATCGAGAGATGCTTTCAACATATCAATGACTTCGCTTGTGAAGGGCTGCGAACATTACTCTATGGCCATCGCTTTCTCAACCAGGACGATTATCGAGGCTGGAAGAAGGTCTATCAAGAAGCGACCACTTCTCTCGTGGACCGACAGAAGCGCATTGAACAAGCTGGGGAAATGATTGAACAGGAGCTGGAACTAGGAGGCGCCACTGCAATCGAAGACAAGCTGCAGAAGGGTGTCCCAGAGACTATCGATCGTCTGCGACGTGCTGGAATACACACGTGGATGCTGACTGGCGATAAGAGGGAGACTGCTATCAATATTGGTCACTCTTGTCGTCTGATCAAGGACTACTCAATTGTCACGATCCTTGACTGGGAGGATCGTGATGTGGAGCAGCGCATCGCTTCTTCTATACTTGCCATACAAGGTGGAGGCGTAGCCCACTCTGTCGTTGTGATCGACGGACAGACACTGAGTACTATCGAATTGGATAAAGCACTTCACATACTATTTCTGGATCTGGCTATACTGGCGGACTCGGTGATCTGTTGTCGTGCCTCGCCGAGCCAGAAAGCTGGTCTTGTACATGCTATCCGAAAGCGTGTCAGCCATAGCGTCACACTTGCTATAGGTGATGGTGCCAACGATATTGCCATGATCCAAGAGGCACATGTTGGTATTGGCATCACTGGCAAGGAAGGCGTACAGGCCGCAAGAGTCTCGGACTATTCCATTGCACAATTCAGATTCTTGACCAAGCTACTTCTGGTCCACGGGCGCTGGAACTATGTACGGACTTGCAAGTACATCGTTTGCACTTTCTATAAGGAAATGCTTTTCTACTTGACCCAGGCACTTTTTCAGCACCAAGCTGGCTACACTGGCACATCGCTATATGAGTCGTGGTCGCTCTCCATGTTTAACACTCTGTTCACATCGCTAGTCGTCATCTTCCTAGGCATCTTCGAGCAAGATCTGCGAGCTCCTACACTCATCGCCGTACCCGAGCTATACAACAAAGGACAAAGATCAGCTGGATTCAACCTTAGAGTCTACGCGGGCTGGATGTTCATGGCAGTCGCCGAGGCCACGATCATCTACTTCACAATGCAAGGCTTGTACGCTCAAGCCAAGTTCACGCTAGACGACTCTCTTTATCCACTTGGCGACATGACCTTTACAGCTTGTGTCGTGGTCATTGCGACGAAGCTCCAGGTCATTGAGCAGAGGTATCGTACCTACATGGCAATAATTGGCTGGGTCCTCGCTGTCGGAGGTTGGGCTTTGTGGAACATCATTCTGGCCGTCACGTATCACAACGCCAAGAATCCAGAGTACTTTGTCAAAGGTGGTTTGTTCCATGGCTTCGGCCGAAGTGCTTTGTGGTGGCTGACATTGCTCGTCGCGGTCATGGCGCCACTGGCGTTCCAAGTCGCTATTCGCGCCCTCAAGAATGCTTTCTTCCCTACCGACGTCGAAATCTTTCAGGTGCTCGAAGGCGACTTGAGTATTCGCAAACGCTTCGAGGAAGCTAGTGCGCCGTGGCTACAAGCCGGATGGCGTCGTGGGACTAAGAAGAGTAGCGTCGAGCTGCAACGTGAAGCAGAGCTCCAGGCGAAGCGTGAGGGTGAGGTGCAGGACTTACTCAACCGGCCGCGTGTCATGGAGGAGGGGAAGAATAGCATGCGTGTTGATACGGAAGAAATGACCATCATTGTTGATGATGGAGCTGCACGGCCCAGTACTGATATCAGAGAGATGCTATCGAGAGGCTATGGAAAGGTTAGAAAAGAGAGTCTGGCTAGGCCATAGATGCTATACCCCGTGCACAATTGGATAACAGTACACTTTAGAAAGGAACAGTGACCTTTGAATCGTGATCTCTACGGCTATACTAAAGCGTCTCGTGTAGTAAACGACGTCAAGTCTGTCCTACCTATCATTGCTCGCCAGTTACTCTATTCGTGGACACAGTCAACACTCTTGGCGATGTTCTACTTCTTTCTTCTCTTTCCACTTCGGTGACAGTTCACGCCTCGGCCCACGCAATCGTCTCAAATTCTTGCCATTGGCTTTTCTGGTGCATCACCACAGCATTATCAATCCAGCTCGCCCATATATTTCCGTCACAATGCACATTCTTGTAAGCCTTCGCATCGAAATCTGATGGTGAATCGAGGTTAATCACTATACCAGGTAACAAACGATGACGGCCCTCCTTCCACGGAGAGCTCGCCATACATCCTGCCGTTCGTACGAACATTGGAAGAAGCCGGCCACACCGTCTCTGTCATCGTACCAGATACCCAGCGCTCTTGGATAGGAAAAGCCCACATCGTCGGTCAAGACGTCCAAGCCTCGCACTACTGGCCTCCTCGCTCAAACCCAGACGTGCACTCCGCCACCGCATCGTCACCACCCAAGGACGACAAGAATACCCAATCCTGGGTCCTCGTGAACTCCACACCAGCCTCCTGCGCTCAATTGGGTCTCAGCCAATTCTTCTTTCAAGATCGTGCACCTATAGACCTCGTCATTAGCGGACCGAATTACGGCCGCAACACAACAGCCGTCTTTGCCCTTTCTTCAGGAACCCTAGGAGCAGCGCTCGAAAGCTCAGTCTGCGGGTACAAATCCATCGCCCTCTCTTTCGCTTTCTTCGACCGCAACACAGCCTCTGATATCGTGAATGAGGCATGTGAGCAAAGTGTGAAGGTGTGCGAGTACCTTGCTTCCAAAGCAGAGTGGGGTGGCGGAAGACTGTACTCGGTCAACGTGCCATTGCAGAAAGGTGTGAAGGGGAGGAAGGTACAGTGGACGACTATGCTCCAGAATGAGTGGCGGAAGGGAGCGTGCTTCCAGGAACTGCCAGCGGCAAGTGCCGTTGATGGAGCAGAGGCTGAGGAGGCGAAGTTGAGAAGGCAGGAGAGCAATGATGGGAGTGCTAATGGCAAGGAGGCGTCCGGCAGCGACAAATGGCAGAATAGACATTTCAAGTGGGCGCCTAGGTTCACGGACGTTTACGACGCTGTTCTGGAAGCAGGACCGGGCTCTGATGGGTGGGCAGTGAAGGAGGGTGAGACGAGTATCACGGCTATACGAGCTAATTTCATGCATGCTGGGCCGTCTGAGGGCGAGGTAAAGCTATGATGAGTGTAATGTCTAGAGCTAGGACAATGCTGCGAGGCACATATAAGGGGATGTAGCCGTCGATCATCAGCGTCGTTACAGCATCGCGAGCTAGCATATGATAGATGAGTATCTTAGCCATCACAAACCCTCATCTCCAACAAAGTTCTTCTCATAGTCTTCAGCGGCGATGCCCGGCCTCTTCTTCTGCACCTTCTCCATCCTTGACTTGTTCTTCTCCGCCAGCTCGACCCTCGACAGATTGCTGTAGAACGTCCTGACCTTCTCATGCGCGACGACTTTCTTCGGATCGAATCGCATAACTTGTAAACCAGCCATACTCGTTGCGCGCGACAATGCCACATAGGCTTGTCCCTTCTCGAACACCTTGCCCAGATCCACCTTGACACGTTCCAATGTCTGCCCTTGAGCTTTGTGAATCGACAAAGCCCAGGCGAGAATGAGAGGCACTTGAGAGCGTGAAGCTTGGACTTCACCATTCGGCAGCTCGACCTTCCAGGCTTCGGGCTGGCATAACAGATCCCGCGAGGTACCGTCAGTCACCAAGAAGCGTACGACAGGATACTTCTTCGACGTTGTGATGCCTCCACCCATGGTATGGACCAAGGCTCGCTGCTCCGCTGAGAGGTGGTCGTCGTTGCTGCTAGAAATGGTACCTCCTGGAGACGGGCAGAAAGCCTCTTCATTGTGGCTGTAATTGTCGAAAGTCTGCTCGCTCATGAAGCCAATGACTCGGCCGATGGATCCATTGACGAGGCTCTCGTCCACATTCTTGATCAGCATGACCTGAGCACCTTTCTTGAGCGAGATGAGCTCAGGCGCCATGCAATTGCTCAACAGCTTGTCACGTTGACCCTTGTCGGCGATCGCGCCACCATCTCTGGCTTCGAAGACGTGAGTCTCGCCTTGCAAATGATGCAGACGTCCAATGTTGGCTCTGTCGACCTCGGCCCGCGTTGGAAAGAGTTCGGTGGCCTGGAGCTGGTCTGCGAACTCGATATCACGATTCAAGTTTCGAAAGGCGCGGATGGAGGCCTCAGACAGCCGGCCCTCGCGCATCTCATTCAGCATACCGGCGAAAACTACGATGCATTAGTATGTGCGGAATGATGCTGATATAATATCGACTTACTGGGATCCTTCTGACGAAAGACATGGTGCAAACCAATAGTATGCTCGATAGTAGTGTTCCACGTTCCTGCATCGAACGCAAATCTGGCAACACGACCATTACCTTCGGGCACGGGCGGCAATTGGAAGAAGTCGCCTGTAATTACGAGTTGGATGCCACCGAAAGGTCGACCATTGTTGCGCAGTGAGCGAGCTATGCTTTCGAGCTTGTCGAAAAGATCTGCGTCGACCATAGATACTTCATCGACAACCAGGACCTTCGTGCGCATCCATCGATGTCTCGCCTTCTGATTCTTCTTGATCTTACGGACGAGCTCGGGCGCATCCTCCTTGCCGAGACCAATACCAGCGAAGCTGTGAAGAGTGACACCACCAACATTGCAAGCTGCGAGACCAGTCGAGGCAGTGACTGCGACACGATCCGGCTCGCGCTGATACTTCTTCCGTAACGATGAGATGATCTCGCGGAGCAGAACAGACTTGCCAGTACCGGCGGAACCAGTGAAGAACACACTCCTCTTGTTCTCCACAACCAGATCGAGGACGTGTTGCTGCTCCTCGCTGAGAAAGACCTTCGCTGGTCTTGCGCGTGTGCTTTTCGCCTTTCGTGAGCTCTCCTCCGTCGCATCATTCTCCTTGACTGCCTTCTTCCTGTTCTGCTCTTTGAACTGCTTCTGCTGTTCCTTCACAGCACTCGCAGTCGTGTTCCACGGGTACATAGACTTCTTGCTATCCTTCGGTAATGGAGTGAAGTCGCCGGCCGTCTTCGCCACCAACGTGGCCTTGATGCTCGAAGCATCCGGCTCTTCTGTCGCTTGTGTTGCCCATGGCAGAGTGCGGCGTTTCACTATCTTAGGCGGAGGTGGATCATTCTGACGTGCTTGGGTTACTGAGGGAGCGTACGTGTATGCTGCTAGAGGTGGTCTCGTCGAAGTCACATGCTCTGCTGGTGAAGACGACCACAGTAGAGGCTGACTGCTTTTCTGTGGGGATGTCGCAGTCGCTGCATGGACGGACCCATGACCTGAGTCAGGTATGCTGTGTTCAGTGGACAGGCTAGTAGCTACTTGCTGTTGTCGTGGTAGCGATGGATAAATGATCGGATTTATTGCGCCAGACTTGGTCGCCTGTTGTGTCAGTCGCGGATAGCTTGCTGCACTCTTGGCTTTTGGTTCCTCGAAATCCAGATCAATGTCATCGTCAAAGTCGTTCTCGTCAATCACCATCTGGCTGTTTGTCCGGAAGTCACCAATCGTGATAGGCTTCTGCTGCGAGCCCGGACCATCATCAAACGAGCCATCCGTAGCTTTCGCAAGCCCGCTTGCTGTCCGCTTGATACCAGAGACTGCACTTCTCCCTTGCTGCCGACTCTCCTGGCTGTTGATCGCCGATGCCGTTGCTGATGTCAGCGGGTTCCGGTAGCCTGGATTTGTCGTCTGGCTAACGGGCTTCTGTTGCGACTGTACTGGAGGACTCGAGCTGAAGAAGTTCTGGGAGGATCGTGGTTGGGACTGTGCAGCCTGCTGTTCATGCTTGCGGACAGCGCCTTGTAGCATCGTCATGCCGAGTCGAGGCGAAGGAGTGAAGTGCGATTGTCGTGGAGGAGTACTGTTGAAGTGGAGACGGCGGGGGGTTGGAATGTCGGCGGCGGCGAGTCGCTGTGATCCCTTGCCCGCAGTCCTTGCTATAAGCATACAGTACAGTATACACAAAGTCACTAGTAAGAGCCCGACAACCAGAATATCCGACGAGGACGATACGTCCATGAAGCCACCATGATCTGGAGGAGAAACATTCGATGTTCGAAGACGCGATGCGATTAGACGCGGCGCGATTTCAGGCGCTTACTTCCGCTGCGAAGAGGCTCGTGCATGAAGTATCGATAACACGAAAGCCTTTCTTTTCAAAACAACAGAAGACCACAAGATTTGAGGCCACGCATGTGAGAGTCTCATAGGTTGGCGGTGTGACGATGTGAGAAGCAATGAAAGCGGAGGTCGTGTCTGAAATGCTCGCTTTACTGATCATGACCTACACCTTTACCACCCCAGCAGCTATCGACATCAGCATGCAACTTTGGCACCTCGATATGCTCGCGTATCTTCGCCTTGTGCGAGCTATCCACTCCGAACCTCCTGTCCCGCTCGCCCACCACTGTATCAAAGTCAAATTGGTCCCTTGCAGTAAAGCTCTGCATAAGCTGCGGCTGCCCAAGCGGCAACTCATCTCCGCGATCCGTCTGCCAGAGATGGAAGACCTTGCCGTATAGGACGACCACCTCCTCCATCTCCTTGTTCTCTGCAATCTCCCACACGGCGTCCGGAACACCTTTCGGTGCAGGCATGATGAGCATACCGCTCTTGACCTCGAAGACGTGGCTGTGCCACAGCTTCCTTTCCTCGGCGTCCAGCTTCTCGTACAGATGCGGTTTGATCATGTACTCGATCCCGATCAATCTGGCGTCGGCTTTGTCGCTGTCGTAGAGAATGCATTGGCGGACGTCGTTGTTGAGGTGTGCGCAGTAGTGGTTCGCTTCAACGTGGCGGCCTGGCTGAGATGCATAGGTATGGAAAGCATTGAGGTGAGCGCACAGTCTCTTCGGGGGCTCGAACTTCTGGACCATCGCTGCCCCGGTTTCGAGGGTTTTGTTCTTGAGAGATTCCGGCTCGCCTTTGACGCCGTTGTCGGTCGCTGGAATATCGTCCATAGCGGTGGCTTCAACCGTGTATACTCGTCTTTGCTCGACACCAGATGACGACTGCAGAAGGAAAGGCTGGAAGTATATGAACTTGCCACTGTTGACACTACCTTTGATGCTTCTTCACGCTCACCTTGACGTCACATGCTCATGGCCAACCCCACCTTGGAAAGTGCATTCGTTGCAAGAAGCTTTCAACCATGACATATCACGAGCTTAAGTTGCTAATGATACCTAGCATGACCAAGGAGATGTGGTACTATTGAGGTCGAGAAAGTCGAACAACCTAATTAATTTCTACCGGTACCCCACATGACTCGCACGGATCGCCACGAGTTCAGCACCACACCTGCCGCATGCAGGCGTGTGCGGGACAATCCTGCGCTCATATTTGGTTCCGGTCATGCCCGCGCCCGCCACAGGCGACCCAAAGAGAGATCTCGTGCACATCTTGCTGTATAACCACCTGACACCTGCATAACATTCGCAGACCTTTGGACACCATTCACCTCTTCCCACAATTCCTCCATTGGGACGACTATTGGCATTCATTGTATCAACATATCGCATTACCTTATAGCATTTCTTATTGGTCGATTACGGAGGCCGAAGCTTTGGATCCCATGTGGCACTTTGGTGTGGTGAAACATTATGTTTAGCAGTAACGCGAAGAAACCTGTCATCAAAAAGAAGACCGTCCTTGTTCCCTTGAGCAAGACACCCACACTTACACCGAAACCCTCGAACGGAACTGCTGCTGCTCGACCTCGCGACCCCAATCGCTTCGCGCTCTCCTCCACAGCTGCATCGCGGCTCAAGCGACCATCGAAGACTGTTCCCGCGCGAGCACTCGCTTCTGCTCGAGGCGTGAAGAGGAAGAGCGCGAGTCCTGGTAACCAGTTCAGCGACGAGTCGGATGGCGACAATGATAGCAGCGATATCGGGGCCAGCGATTCAGATGCGTCGCGAAAGCGAATCAAGAGCAGTCGCAGTTCTGTGAGCTCTTTGAGTGGACCACGGAGGGATCTTGTGCTGCCTGCAGCATTTGGACAGGATGCGAAAAAGCTGAAGCTCATTCATGGCGCAGATGCGACGTCGGGCAGATATCAGACCAAGTACAAGAATGCGTGGGCAGAAGTTGCAAAGACATGCGAGTTGCAATATCCGAGCAAGTTCCCGCCAGAACGATTTCAGCTGAAGCTTCCAACCACTTCGGACGATTACAGGCCCATGGAGGATATCGAGACCACGATTGAGACGGTTGTGAAATACTATTTGCCTTATGAGTTAGGCGCAAAGTACTTGGAGGGTGAACAGAGCTTCCAGAGCCGATTCAACAAAGCAAAAGCACGCGAGGATATCCGAGAATGGCTGCACGTGATCGAGGACTTTAATGCTGTGGTAAAGCCGCTCGTGGAAGACGGCACGGTAGAACGCGAGCTTCGGAATCAGGGAAGCCTGCACCTGAACTGGATCAAGCGTCTGCTCACGCAGATCTATGTGCGGGTAGTCTCGCCAAACGTGAGCGAGCTCAGCAAGTACGAGGCTGGATCTGATTACGTCTACGGAGAGCTTCTCCCGCGATTCGTGACAGACATCTTCCACCAGACTGGTCTGAACCATGAGCAGATATTCGTCGATCTGGGCTCGGGAGTCGGTAATGTCGCCTTACAAGCTGCCCTCGAAATCGGCTGTGAGAGCTGGGGCATTGAGATGCTGCCCGGTCCTTCTGCTCTTGCAGAATTGCAAGCCAAGGAGTTTAAAGCCCGCACTCAATTATGGGGTCTGAATGTCGGCTCTGTCAATCTGTTGTCAGGCGACATGACGAACCACAGCGAGATTCCGCCACTCCTGCGTTGTGCGGACGTAGTATTGGTCAACAACCAAGCCTTCACGCCCGAGCTCAACGAAAAGCTGCGAACACTCTTCCTCGAACTTAAGGAAGGCGCTAAGGTCGTCAGTCTGAAGCCATTCGTCGCGGACGGTCATAAAATCACGGAACGCAATCTTTATAGTATTGAGAACCGTTTCGTGCAGACGAAGCAGATGTATTATACCGATAGTGTCAGCTGGAGCTGGCAGGGTAATGGGCACTGGTATATTGCCACGAAGGATAGGAGACCTTTGGATGCTTTTATGAGGAGTCGAAGGAGGACTAGTACTGGATGATTCTGGGATGTTTGCGTAGGACAGGGATGGGGGTCGGGTGGCGGTATTCGCCCTTGTTGAGATACCCAATTGCATGGCGTGTTGCTGGATAATCAGGACGCTGTAGCGTAGGATGTGTACTGCTATGTGACAGTAATCCTTCTCTTGATTCTTGCTACATATCCTTGACGATCGCATGTGAAAGCTCGGGCTCACCCCTCCAACGACCGCATTGTTTGGATTGTGACGTAGGTTCATAAATCACTGCCATACGCGACCGCGTTATCTCTCACATATCCAAGTACCACAATGGTGAGCATAAAATTCGACAGCACTCTCCTTCCAATTCCATGCTAACGAGACGAAGCCTCCCAAGCGAAAGACACCCGCGAAATCTTCCGCGCCAGCAGCACCCAAGGCTCGCCGGTCGAAACTCGCCAAAGAAAACGACATATCCGCCGAAGAGGAGGCCGAGATCGCAGAAGCCTTCTCCCTCTTCAGCACACCAACCGATACCAAGAACGGCGACATCGCCACGTCTGAAATCAGAAGATGTCTCGTAGCCCTAAACTGTCCTCCACGCGACCAGAGCGAGATGAACGAGATTCTAGATACGATCGACCCTGAGAAGACGGGACGAGTGGAATATGAGCTCTTCGTGGCTATTGCTGCTATGAAGCTCCGGGCACGAGATGATGGGGATCCAGAGGCGAGGAACGAGGAGGTGGAGAGGGCGTATAGGCTGTTTACGAGGGAGGAGGAGAGGGAGATTAGTTTGCAGGATTTGAGAAGGGTGGCGAGGGAGTTGAGGGAGGAGGTGCCGGAGCAGGTGTTGAAGGATATGGTTAGGGAGGCTACTGGTGGTGGGTTGGGTGGTGTGGGGAGGGAGGAGTTTGAGGGGGTGATGAGGAGGGCTGGTGTCTTCGGTTGAGAGTTGGGGTTTCATGATGTGCGTGTGGAGCGGAGTGCAGTCTTGTGGTGTTCATGGCGTCTGTTATGGTTATACCCTGGTCGGATCTTCTGGCCGTCTTTGAGAGCTAATCTGCCTTCATACCCGCTCACAATGGCACTTCGGCTTGTGTCCCATGGGAGCCTTATGACGATCTCGCCCTCCTTTGTCTAGGTGAATGAACCTTTCTGGACAGACTCACAAACAAGATGGCGCTAGCGTCGATCGTGCTTGGTGCTTGGCTCAGCTTATAAGTTTCTGTCACTTCGAATAACATCGCGGGTCACAAGTAAACCATATCCATAACCATCATCTACCATCATGGAGAACTCGCCGCTCGCACGCCTCCCACCGGAGCTACGCAATCTTGTCTACGAGCACGCTCTTGCCGAGGATGATGCATACAATTTGATGCGGTAATCTGTATTAGCTTGTTCTCTATGAGTACTACACCTCGAGCCGACAGCCTGCGCGTCTGTGGTCTTCCGCGCACCTGCAAGGATATTCGAGCAGAAACATACGGCCTCTACTTCGCGTTGAACAAGCTCGTGCTTGCTTTCGACGCTTTCGATCTCGCGGAGTACGGGATCTGGCGATTCATGGAAGTCATCATAGATCGCATTCGTCTCATGCCGCATGAAAACGCTCGGCTCATTCGCCACTATGTTTTGGAACTAGATGGTTACAGTACCTGGATCCAGGCTCGCTTCGACTGGTGGCGTACAGACGATATTGACGTGCTCATAGCGCTGCTGCATCCCTCCGCAGTCGTGCAGCTTCACATCAACATCCACTTTGCGGTGGGTGAGTACCCAGACAGACGCTGTGTGTGCAATGCGCGTGTCATACTGCCGCTTCACAAGCCGCTCACCATCGAGGACGAAGTCGCCAGTCAATTGAAGGAGATTGTGGCCACAGAGAGCGGCATGACAGTCGTGCAAGGCATGAAAGAGATCAAATCCAGCATCACCTTTTTGGCAAAAGATCTGGCGGTTGCGCTGAGCAGATCATCAATCGCAAGAGGCACGTAGACTGTTGCAAGCCCTCTGCAAGAGGATAAGGTGTATATGGCTCATGCACCTTCAAAACGAAGACTTTTTACAACTTAAGTCGCAGTCCTCCGTGCTAGGCTTCATGTCCTGCTCGCCACCATATCACCGTGGCGGGACCATCGAAAACTCATTCTCGATTGTCTTGCATTCTTTGAGCAGTAAGCTCATCACGCCACTTCGGCCAGTCAATTCGGCTCCATGCCTACAGAACTACTACTCTTTCGGTATAATCGCCTTGAAGTCCATTGTCTTGACACCATCCAGCGGATGCTGGCCATGCCTGACCAACGCACCACCCTGTTGCACCACGAACGGCACCTTGACCTGTTTAGCCTCCAAGAAGCCGCCGGTGATATCGTCGAGAATCTAGTACACGGTCAGCACGTGGCAATTCTTGACATGATCCGCTTTACTTACGTCCATGAACTTGTCATGTTCCTTCACCCTGCAACGTGTCGTAGCCTCCATGTGCGAGACCATTGCCGTAGCGCTCTGGAAACGCTTCAAGCATGTTGGACATACGAAGAGGAGGCGGAGATGCGCGAATTGGATATGACCTTGGAGGTCGGATAGTGTGTCGAACTCGCCTTCTCCATCTTCGCATTGTGGGAAGAGGCAGATGTACTTTTCGGTCAGAGGGTTGAGGAACAGGTCGGGGTTGTAGTCCGGGCTGTAGATATCGTAGAAGCGTGTTTTCATGATACTCTTCGACTCTGATAGTTGGGCCACACTACCCTCTGTCGGCTTCTTCATAAGCGCCTGCTGGTCTTGCTTTGATACTGGGCAATGTTGGCTCGGCTTGAACAAGGCCTTGGATGTGTTGCCTGTAGTCCATGCAACCCGTCGATCTGTGTTGGTAGTCAATGGGGATGCTACACTACTGTCGCCACTAATCGAAACGCCTCCAGAAGGCGAGTCCATGGACGGGTATGACTCCGTGTACTGGATCGGTCGCGGCTTGTGCCCACTACGGCGACCCCCGAAGGATGTCCCAGAACCAACATCGGATCCCGCGATCGACATGCTTGCCATTGATGTGGTCAGTTTCGGCAAGATGTGCAGCCCGGGTAGACGAGGCCAAGATTCGACTGCGTGACGGGCCTCAGAAGCCGTTCTTTTGGTGTCGATGAGGTCGATATCAGGCTTCAAAGGATCGATCAGATCCTTCTGCTCGATGTGCTCTTGTTCAAGCAACCCAATTCCACCCTCCTCATCATCCGCATCAACACTTTCTGCACCATCTGTCGCTTGAAACGAAAACTCATCCAGCGGCGCAATCGACTTCTCGGTAGCTGCGAGTCTTTCGTTGACCGTGTTGATGTTCCTCATAAGCTCCTTACGAACGTGCTTCTGCAAGACCTGACCTCGGAACTCAAACGCCGTAATTTCAGGACAGTCGCCGCCTTCGAGATGAGCGACCATGTTCCCTGCTTTGGTGAACAGGGCACAACAACCTGGGCACTTGATATCCTGGTCAGCTGGGTGCATTTGCTGCCTGTGCAGACGTCTGCCCCCGAAGCTCTCGAAGTCTTCACCGCAGAATTCGCAAGTGATGTGAGCGGGACGCTCATCCTTCTCGCGGTACTTGATGCGCTGGAAGGCATCCATCATGCTGACTTTGTGCTGCGTGAAGGCCTCGAAGTCGTCGAAGTCGATATCGCATTTCTTGCAGTAATCATGATCTGGGTCGTGCTTTTTGTGCTTGTTCATGGCTGCTTGGTCGTCAAACTCCGCGATGCAGTCCGAATAGGTACATTGAACCCTCTTCCTCGTCACCTCTTCATCTGCAACCTCTCCTCCCGGCTTCTTGCTGAACCTAGCCATGGATGTACTGGTATCAGACGGTCTCGCCGAGATGAAGTCTGACATCTGATTAGTAGTCTTCGTGGTTGGCGCTGCCTTTGGTTGGGCATAGTATGGCGGCATCGTGGAAGGAGTAGGTGTGAGTGTGCTATGGCAATGCTATAACAGCAATATTTTTGAGGGATGCAGAAAAGTGTTTGAAAAGATTCAACCGATGTGATGCAAGCTAAACTTACCTTATCTCAGGGGTGATGTCGGGGAGGAAGGTGCGACCAAGTTGGTCGAGATGATGTTAGTGTTGGTGGAAGAGCTGGGCATGGTGACTATATAAGTGGCATCCTCGATAAGCACTGTTGCCTTGCCATCATCACCGGTGAGCCCAGTGAATCACGTTGGATAGATCGAGTGACGTGGCTATATGTTGCTAAGCTATGGCAATGAAGCGCGGAATGAGGTGGCGTACCATGGTAGCGCAAATGTACTTTTCGATATTCATAAGCAGTCTCCTACTGCAAGATTCGTTTCCAATGTGACTCCGATACTACAACTCTGTATAGATCGATACAGCACTCTAGGCGTGAGGTGGAGGTGGTGGACATGCTGAGCAGGCAGGTGGTACTTTCGAACAATCTCGCATGTGCTGTATCAGGCGCGGAAGCAATTACGGCAACCCTTGCGCTACTGGACAGTCAGTACACAGATATGACTTCAAAAGGAGTGCAACATACCTTCTTGGACTTGGGCGGTGACGGCATCTGCGCAACAGCAGGCTCTGCCTCGACACCCATTCGACTGGCTGAGCGCATCTTCTCACGGATCTCCTCCTGACGTTCGCGCATGCTCAAAGGCCGATCAGGATGAACAAGAAACTGCTCCGGGGCAAGGAGATGACCGCTCGGTGAGCGCACATGCGCATCGATTGGCAACTCCGCAGGATCGATCAGCTCGCTGAGATGGCGGATGCGAGGAGGTGGCGGCGGACGGCTGACGTCAGCATGTCCATCCATGTCGTCAATGCCGAGAGAAAGTGTTGTGCTGCCAACCATTGTTGAGCCTGTCATCATTGCAATTAGCTTGACTGTACGCTTCTGCAGATGGCATTGCTGCGACATACCGAAGCTCATCGTATTCGCGCGACTGCGAGTCGCTGTCGTCCCTCCATAGCTCGAATGCTTCTCCGTGATCGTCGAGCGGTCGATATCTAGATCAGCAGCCTTGACAGCAAATGGCGTGGAGGAGTCGGCGGAAGTGTGCTTCTCTTGGCTGGGCGAGCGCTTGCCATCCGTCTTGGTTGTAGCTGATCTGCGTGTCGATTGACTCTGACCCATTGCGTGCGTGATTGGACGGTAAAGAATGTGTTACCGTGTCAATGGTAAGCTCGAGTACGGCGGCGTCTTCGATCGCGAGGAATATCTTCTTGTTTGATGCATTTGCTAGGAACTGCGAGATCTACGATATTACACTGTGCGAGTCGGGTACTTACGGAAGTAGCGGTGGGCGTGTAGTGATGTTGAAAGAAGGGGAGAGCGGCCTACCGGTATACCAGCCCCACACTTGCTGAAGCATGGAGTGTGAAGACGAGGAAACTGCTGGCCTTGCACATTTGATAGTCTCAGCTACATGTACGTCCGTGATACATACAATCGATCTAGAATCGCGTGTATGGGAGCCTATCACAATATCAGTAACTTGCACCAGAAGCATAGGGGCGAAGCAAATCGCAACAACAACATACCACTTCCCCCTCAGCGTGATCTTACACCACTCCCCTTTCTCATCAACCTCCTTCTCCACCGTCGTCGAGAAAGAAATCGCACTCATAATCCCATCCCCAAACTTTTCGTTCATGACCGCCTTATACGCATAACCGTAATTCTGCACGATCTCGTACAATCTATACATCAACGGCTCCTTAGGTGGCATCTCCATCTGCCTCCCTCGGTCCGGGAAGCCTGTCATCTCGGTCTCTAAAAGCTTCGACTCGGGAATGTCGAGGAGCTTGGCGAGGTTGGTGACATCTTCTGGAGAGGCCTTGGACTGGCCGTAGAAGAGTGCTGCTACGGCTACTTCTTCACGGCCGAGGGCTTTGGCGATGGTCTCGAAAGACAAGTTCTTTTGCTTTTTCGCGGCGAAGAGGAGAGGTGATTGGGACGGTAGGCGAGGAAGGATGTCGGACTGGGAGGCTATGTTAGCAGGAGGTTTTGGTTTGAGAATGTTTTACAATGCCTTACATTGAGCACCGCGATGGGGTGCCCGTTTGAAGTGCCTTCTTGTGCGGCCATTTTGGTTGTGCTGGATGTCTTCTTCTGCTGGGTTAGATACGCAACACTTGGGCTGGCGGACGTTTTTGAGAGTATAAAAGATAAGGTACGGACGGAAAGCAATCTGGAGGTGATAGCAGCGGAAGCCAAGGTGAAATCTAGACAGTACTTATCATACTAGCTGGTGCTCTAGAGCTCTTGGACAGTAGTCGAGCTATACTCTGTTCCGTTTGCCCAGCCAGCAGATCGTCGTGGTCCAGGTGGAGATGCACGATTCTGAACTCGTAGCTCAAACGTCACCGTGCATAGGTCACGACTTCCGCTTCCGGGCAAGCGGCATGCAGCCCAGACGACCCAGACATTTTGCGCGGGAGTTGAGCGGAAGCGAAGACACAGGTCTTGTTTGGAGTCAACTATCTCGTTACAAGTGTTCCAAGTACCAAGTCCTACCGACATGTTGGCAAAGTCTACCGACAGCTCATACTCTTGGCGGACCCGCCTCAATAGATTGACTATCATAACCGTTGTCGTCTATCCGATCCCTCAAACTTCTGCGATTGTGTCCGGTATTTCATTGTCAAGTTCGCCGAAGATCCATATACAACTGTCGCAGCGGCAGGACTATCAGGTGTTGCTGGTCCCGGCACAGATGAGCGCATAGCCTACATCGCAGCCAAAGTTTCTTGGAGGTGGCATCATCATCATCGATGCCGCTTGGGACACATCGGGATCTCGTCCCATCCATACTTCGTCTGGCACATCCATAGGCGTCCTGATAGTGCTGCTTTGCAACTAGAAGCGGGAGCACCCTAAGGGTAGTGGTGGGGCCTGCACGAGGACATATTGTGCTTGTGCCGTACATGTCGAATGAGACCTGATTGTCGAGCTTAAGATTTGACTGTTTATGTGCCATGTTCATACAGTCGAAGGGTCATTCGAGGACTTGTGACGTTGAGGCGGCGCCTGTGACGATGTTGAAAGAATGTGGGAAAAGTGGTCAGCTGACTCGGCAATACTTCTGTACATTACGCAGGTTGTTGATGGCGTTGTCTGATGGTGCTCGGCTGGTGCTGGGAGTGGACACTTGGTGCTCATCATCATGTTGTTGTTCGCCTCCCGCCCCTGCTTGAAGCGAGAGAGGGATACGCGTGTTGGCTGCGGCTGGTGATGTGAAGACATCCTGCCCTATCATAAAGTCAACTGGAACGGGAGAAACCTAGTCATCTGAGCTGAACTACACTAATCAAGAGGATGCGTCTTGTGCCGAATGATTGAAAGTGTAAACATAATTCGTGTGTGCTGTCGATTGCTTTGTCTAGCTTGCAGCATCCCCTAGAATACTCAGCCCCCTGCACGGAGGCAGTACACCGCCCGTCTCGCTGCTAGACCTTGTTGTCTGCAAAGCGGCAGAGTCGGCGTAGAAGTGACTGTACATCTCGCGCTGACAGTGAGCGGTCTCGTAATGCTTCACTTCACGACAGTCGCCAAGAACGAACAGTCGGCACTCAACTTCCGACACGATGCTTCATCACCGGTCGGTGCTCAGTGATGCTGAACAGCACATTCGTTGCTACTTGACACCATAAGTTCGTGATGGGTTGTCAAGTCGGTTTCATTGCTCCTTTTCGTAGAAGATCTGATTGTAGCGGTGGGTTGCATCGACAACGGCATCCACTGCGTTGAAGTCTGTCACAATCAGTACAGTCCTCCGCACCCAGGCGCGATGCACCTACCAATATTGCCCTCCGGTCCCATATCTGTACTTGCCATGACCTTGACGCTCAGATCATTCTGCACTTTCCCGATGATCTCAACAGCATGATTGAGCTGGAGGTGTGCATCCTGAGTTTGTCAGTCTACTATTACCGTCTCTACAACCAGCAAGTTTGAATTGGCACATACTCTGTTCAAATGCACTTGTATCTGTCCTCCAGCATCGATAGTGGCCTGCTCGCCACGGAGCTGCCTGACCTTGCCAAGGATGCGTACGGTCTGATGAGAGAACTGCTCGAGATATGGTGCGTTGACACGGGGCGTTGATTCAGTCATCTTTGCTGTGTTGCCGATGGTGTCTTGATCTTATGTTGGTGATGTAAAGACTGTCGCCTGCAAACGCGACTCTAGACGCGTCAAAGTGGCTCGGCTGGACTTGCCGAATGCCTGCTCGCTATCGTAAATCACCCGTCCATCCACTCTCCAGGCCACCATGACATGTATAGGTAATAGCGGCCTACACCACTCTGCTGATACCGTTCACTCTTCAACACAATACCATCACATGGAGCAAACTGCTTCTCGGACCTTGGATACAGCCGGCGGCATCTTCGCCTTCACGATCGTTCTGGCGCATCCACCATAAGAGTGACCAGGCTGCAGTATGGCCAGCTTAGAGCCCCCCACACCGCCCGTGGCAGTAGCATCAGCCGCGGAAGGCTTGGGACTGGGTAGTAGTGCAGCGCCGGGCGGCCGCAGTAGTACAGCGAGTACCGCCATTAAGTCTAAGAGATGGATGAAATGGAGACGAGCTGTCGGGCTGTTATTGCTGGCGATAACAGTATTTCTGTGGACGGCGTCGAACTTTCTTGCAAGCGTAAGATGTCGTTATGTCTTAGCGGACCAGGACGTGGTACTGACGTCTGAACAGGACATCTTCGCGGACGACACCTACAGCAAACCATACCTAGTCACCTATATCAATACGAGCTTTTTCATCATACCCCTGCTTCCCATTTTGGTTCGGCGTCTCTACAAACATCCTGAGGATCTACGAGACTGGTGGACAGCATTATGGCAGAGCTCACGAGGGAAATATGCCATGCTTGCCGGTGGTGAGGTCAGCACGAACAATTCGTCCTACACAGACAGTCCACGCAGTTCCCATAGAAACCAGAGTGTGGACCTTTCCGAGGAAAACCTCCTTAGCGAAGGCGTGGTCGACAGCCAGGAGCTCGATTCCAAGAGAGTTGTGGCTACTGAGCCATCTCGCAGCCGCTCTACGAAGCTCACTCTACCACAAACCGCCCGTCTTAGTCTAGAGTTCTGCATCCTCTGGTTCGTCGCAAACTACTTCGTGGCCGCCTGCCTTTCCTACACCACAGTCGCCAGCAGCACGATCCTCACGAGCACTAGCAGCATCTTCACGCTCCTCTTCGGCGTGCTTTTCCGTGTGGAGCGCTTTTCGCTCCGCAAGCTCATCGCCGTAATAACGGCCCTAGGCGGTGTGGTTCTGATCAGCTCTGTGGACTTCTCGGGCCAAAATTCAGACGACGAGCATCGTGGTGATTTCCCGGAGAAGAGCTTTCACGAGATGATGGTGGGCGACATCCTGGCGCTCGTATCAGCCGTACTCTACGGTCTCTACGCCGTCTTCATGAAGAAGCGTATCGAAGACGAAACGAAAGTCAACATGCCTATTTTCTTTGGTCTCGTCGGCTTGTTCAACGTTCTGCTCCTGTGGCCAGGGATGATCATCCTCCATTATACTGGTATCGAGCCTTTCCAGCTTCCGCCATCATGGTCTGTGTCGGCCATCGTCGTATCGAACAGTCTCGCGAGCCTGGTCTCGGACCTTGCATGGGCCTACGCTGTCTTGCTTACCAGCCCGATTGTGGTCACCGTCGGGTTGAGCATGACTATTCCTCTGAGTCTGGTAGGACAAATCCTTTTGAATGGGCAAACAAGCAGTCCGCTTTACTGGGTAGGCGCAGTGGCTGTCATACTGTCGTTTGTCTTTGTCAGCTCAGAGGAAGAGGAGAGGAGCCCGGAAGAGACGATTGTCTTGGGCGACGAACAGAATACGGCTCATGCAGAGACTCCGTAGGCCATCTATCCAAGCAGAGTTCTCGAGTCCACAAATCCACAGTCCTGGCGACTCCGTCGTCTCATCCCAACAACTACATATAACCATACACCATGACTGGCAATCGCAATGCTCGCCGCATTGCTGCAGTCATCTAGATGACTCAATCTAACGAGCAAGCGGACGCCAAGATACATTGTCGCCTCCCAATCCGCCCGTCGCGATCGAAACATTCTCAACAAAAGCTCATCCAGACACATTGCACAGCATGTCCTGGGCTGACGTTGGCCTGGCGATTGTGCAACACTTGACCGACGAAACGGAAGAGACGAATGAGCAGCAGCAGCAGCAAGACCCGCAGGATCGCCAGGAGAGGAGCAGTAACGATGCTGGGGACGAGAGCGACTCAGACAGTGAAGAGAATAAGCAGTCTTCCGAGGGCTCGAGCGTCGAGCATAAGACTACTAGTCACGAGGAAGATGATGATCATCTCGGAGACGGAAGGCATCCACGCAGCTACCGTGAATTTCCAATGCGGATTCATGATGAAGCGGATACAATCGATGAGACGAGCGAAAGTCGTGGACGCCCATTCTCGCCACTTGGTACTCACATCCTCAGGAGGATACCTGGAAACCTCGAACAAATCCTTGCGGAGCAGCGCGAGGTCATGATGCGAGAGTACAGTGCACGATCTAGTTCTCCGCCCGAGCAAGAACGTCACGACTATCAGGAGGATGAGCAGCTATATCTTCGCAACACCCGAACTCATACTCGACGCCGCCGCTATGCATTTGCTCAGTCGGATCCCAGCGAAGTCTTGCTAGCGCCTCCCTCTCCCGTTGCCAGATCACCTCTCCATGAGGACGAGCAAAGCCCAATATCGTGGCTTGATGACGACCTTCACCAGGACGACGGCGACTGGGATAGCTCGGAGGATAGCGATGACTGGTCTACTCAGGCTACCGCGGGAGGAGATGATGATGCACAATCGTCGTCCGGATACGCGCTACCGCCATTGCCGTTTCCTCCAGGAAGGCGTTCTGGTCGACGATGAAGTTCAGGTCCAGGGCGGTAGCAGTCTACCAAATTTAGGGAAGGAACCATACGATAGTGATTTATGATTTTTGGAGGCAGCGTAGTCACAATAAGTGTTCGAAAGCACACTTTGCCGCATCGCCTTTGGCAAATGACGAACCCCGAGTTGAGACGTGCTTCCATTTCACCTCCACTTCTTCAAGGTTCGCAAGTCTACAGCCAAGCCCCTGTGCCACTCCCAACAGACGAACCCTGGTACCATCCTCCTCACCATCACCACACCTTACAATATCCCCCCTCTCTCCCCAACTAATCCTACAAAAACGTCTGGACCGCCCTCCCCGTCAACCCCGCCAACGCCAAGCTACTGACGGCGAAGATGCCAAACCTCACCATGATGGTATTGCTGATACTCTGCACCAAACTATGCGCCACGCGGAGTCCGACGTACGCCCACGCGAGGTTCACGGTCAGGTCGTCGTTCATGCCCAATCGGTCGAGGGCCAAGATGATGGCGTAGAAGCAGGTGGGTTGTTCGTGCAGGTGGTCGTAGTTGTCTGCGGGCCATTTGACCGAGGGGGGAAGTTTGGCATTCACTGTTTGATCCGTTAAACGCTTTGTGGTTGGAGGATGCCCGGGGTGGTTTCGTAGGCTGGGAAGATGGTGTGGGATGATGTATGTACGTACTGGATTCTTTGGTCATGTTTGGGTTGGGTTGCACGCCGTACTTCTCCATGGCCTGCAAGTCGGTGTTAGTAGCTGTGTCGCGCATATCAATTTGCTCATCGAAGCCCAAGCCTGCGAGGGCCGAGTGTCCTCTGGGATGCTGTCGCATGGGTGTGCTAGAATACGTACGGGAAGCCGAAGCGCATACATCCACCCCTCCATCACAAAGGTCCAGGACACGAGACCCACGAGGGGTCCGAGCAGAGGGTGGGAGCCGGGGAGGATTGAAGTCATCTTCGCAGCACTAGTTCGTCTTGATCTGGCGAGGGAAAAGATGTGTTGGGTGGGTGGGTCAAAGCGATAGGCAGTAGTGAGGTCGCAAAGGGAGCGAGGTGAAGGGAAGTCAGGCAATAGCAGTAGGGTTGTGTAGGCAGATATATTAGAGTTAAAGTTACAAGGTACTTTGGTATAGCTCCCAGGAGGGGCCCATTGGACCGAGGCGACACGAACTTGACGCGAACGGAAAGGTGTTCGTCCGGATATTACTGAGGGCGTTGGTACAAAGTCTGCGCCTGTCGTCGCTATGATATAGGGTATATGTGAGGTGGTGACGGGTAGAAACAAGCGTTGGAATTTCATGTGCGTCTACCAAAGAAGAATGTATTTCTACAGGTCCTGTCAAAGGCGCCTTCCAACGCCATATATACACCACAAGAAATACACCAGACGAGCCATAATAGATCTATACATCAACCCGCTGCTGCTGCTCATCAGCAAGCCTCTCCCCCTCCACCCCCATCTCCATCTCCCTCCTCCTCCTCTCCTCCCTCCCCCTATCCAACTCCCTCACTTCCTGCAAAATCCTACTCTCCAACCCCTCAACAAACCCCTCCCTGTCCGCCCTCGCCCTCCCCGCCACCCTCTCCCCAAATGCTCCCCCCACACCCTCCCCCTCAATCTCATTCTCCCCAACCTCCCTCCCCCTCCTTCCCAACCCCTTCCTCCTCTCCGCCTGCATCTCCCTCCACACCCCAACATCATCCACCGCCTCCGAGTCCCCCCTCGGCGCAACAAATTTACTCCACCCCATGCGTTCATGCTCCACATTCGCCGGCCATGCCGCGGCGAACTCCGCGTCGAGGATGTTATGCCATTTCACCTTCACCCCTTCCGTGCTAAAGATGGGCGTGTTGAGTCGCTTGAGCTTCTGACGCAGGTGGCCGCGTTTCGGGATCGTGGAGGGTTTACGTGGGGTGAAGGAGGGGAGGAGGGAGGACCAGTCTATTGGCGCTTCGATGGCTTCGGCTTCTGCTTCCGCTTCGGCTCCTTGGGTGTCGGAGGAAAGGGCGTCGGTGAGTTTGCCGCTTTCTTCTTGTGGGCTTGCTGCTGCTGCTGCGGTTTCAGAGGCGGAGTTGTCCTCGCTCGCTGGGGCCTCCACTACTTCCTTCTTGCGATATTGTCGCTCCGTCGACGGCTCACCTCGCGCTTCCTGCTCTAGCTGCTTCTCCCGCGCTGCCACCATCTCACGTAGAGACTCAATCAGGCCCTCATTCTCGCCTCGCTCCTCGACCTCCTCCAGATCTTTCGCCATAAGGTCGAACTCCATCTCTCGAAGCTTGGCCATGATTGCAGGTACCTGGGCGACCATATCGTCCGTGTAGCCTGGTGACTGTGTCGCATTGTATGCCAACTCCATCTGCGCACGATCTAACTGCTGGACTCGTAATTCTGCGCGCCGGCTCCCTTCGCTTCTGCCGCCGATACTTGCTGCCACAGACGCTTGCGCAGCTAGGATCGCAGCGTCGCAACTGGCTAGACCGCCGTCCTCTGCACGGACTGCATCTTCACTGAGTTGGCGTGCGATCAGTAATGGTGTACCTTCAAGATGCGGTAGCACCGCGGTCTTCGCACTGACTGCGACAACATCTTCCTGCTCTGGCTGTATCAATTCAATATCCCTACCATCCCTCTCCATAGCCTCCCTCGCATCCTGCACAGCTTGAGCAGCAAACACCATCCTCGTCCTCGTCGCGCCCAGCTGATATGCCTCCCTCTTCAACTTCGTCCGACTCGTGCCCGCCAACTCATCGTTGACATCCGCCAACCTCTTCTCAATCTCCGCAATCCTGGCCTCCATCTCCTGCACCTTTCCGGCCTCGACCTCTTCCGCCAAAGCCAACATCTCCCTGACCTCCTTCTCCCGCTCCAACAACCGCCACTTCTGCACCTTCTCCTCCGCCTTCCGTCCTGCTTCCTCCTGCTCGATCAGCACGGCGGCTAGATCGGCGATACTGTTCGCTTTCTGATTCATCACCATCCCGACCCGGATCTTCCGCTTCCGCCGTTTGATGACATCGTAGACGCTCTCCTTCTTGCTCCCGCCTCGGTCCTCCAACTGCTGCTTTTCGTGCTCGATGTCTGCATTGCTGTAGTTCTGACTGAGGCTCAGTGGGGGCGTCCAGTTGAGTTCGTGGAGTTTGCGGTACTCGCGGAGCTTTTGGAAGGCGTCGAGGCCTTGGGAGAGGGCGTGTGGGTGGGTGGTGGGGAGGGCGAGGGTGTAGAGCGGTCGCCAGATGTCTTTGCGGATGGCGTTGGGTTTGTTGTTGGCGCCGAGGTCGGGCAGTTGTTTGATTGATGCGTGGCTCTGGATGATATGTCAGTAAGGTGGGGAAGAGTGTGTGATATGGATGGTGATATGGATGGTGCTACGACATACATTCAAGGTATGGCTTAGTGAGTAGACGACTTGCTTCGTCCGGACATTGCAGTAGGCGTAGATGTATCGACCATGTTCAGCAGGAGCTGTCGAGGATGCTAATCGTACTTTCTTCATTGTCGCTGTGATCTAGATATGTGCGTCCGAATGACGCTTACTGCTTACAATGTCACGATCAGATCATGCTGACTGTAATAATATATCGAGTTGAACACCCCCGAATCCCCGCAAAGTGACACAGGCATTCAATCAATCAATCACATGGCAATCAACTGCACAGGCATCAGATGAATATCGTTATTACACTTCCCATCATTCGCCAAGAGTGTAAGCATCTCACCTTAGCTGATGTGACGGGCATCAGGATGAATGGCGTTCCGCTCCGCCACCACTACCTCCCGGCCACCACCACCACCACCACCACCTCCATCCCACCAGGATAGCTTCGCGCCCCGAAGCAAGCCATGGCTACTACACCCGGTATGCCTCTACTCTGTGTAATGCCCCCTGCCAGTAGATGTTCGTCTCGTCTGACATGTAAGTACTTCCCAGAACCGTAAAGTGCGCAATCTTGTCTCCATCTCTCTTCGCAACCTGTCCCTCGCCCCACCTTCACCTCTACGACGACGAGGGAAGACGATCGACGACGATGCTGTGCCACAATCTCTCACCTCGCCTGCGAAACTGGTCGCCTTGCGGGAACAGCGGCCGTTAGAACACTCCCGCAGCTCCAGCGACCTACGAGGCAACAGCTTGCAAGCAGTGGCAGAGGATGCATTGACCTTCGACCAGGATCGTGATGACAACGTACTCAATGTATCGAATGGAAGCCCGAAGAGCAAGACGAGACCGAATGGTGCGCCAAGGACACCCCAGCGACCCGTCTTGTCCAAGATGCGACGACGGAGTACTCTAGAGTGGGCGAATGCAACACCGCAGCGCCGACAGGAACGCCTAGAAAATGTGACTAGTGAACGCATGGCCGATGTCTTCTTCAGTTTGCACGTCGATGGCATCACAGAGTCTGTGTACGTCAGTGAGACGATCGAGAGGACCATGAATCCGACCTTCCGGCATATTGACTGGTCGTTATGTGGACCAGGCATCACGAGGATGGATCATCTCACCCTTCGCTTCTGGATCAAGCGTGCGAAGACGCAGAATTGGAAGCAATTGCTTGAGTTTGCTATCAGTCTCCCAAGCTTGCAGTACCTGGGAAAGAGCCTCGACCAGCTACACTATGCCTTGCCTGAGAATGCAGTTGTCTTCCACCTTACCGACGGCGTCTACACTTCATTCCCGTCGTTGTCAAGCTACGTACCGCCGCCTACCGGTCCACCAGCTCGCTCAACGAGCGCAAGAACACTCCCCACAGCATCCTTTGATGCTCTCCTGCGCTTGTCGAAGCTGGACGACAGCATTCAAGACGCGCTTGTGACACGGGACAAGATCGCCGCCGATCTCGAAGCACTTCTCAAAACCAACCAGACCGCCCTGACCGATCGTGATCGCGTGCCCGAAGCTCAAGACCGACTGAAAACAATCGACTACGCCAAGAAAACAGTGGAAAAGCAGCTCGTCAAAGCGCGGAAGCAGCAGGACGAAAAGCGCGCCTCTCTCCAGAGCCGCCGAGATCTCATGGCCTCAGACCTCAACCATCGCAAGAAGCAGGTGGAAGAGACCGACAACGCGCGCCCCGAGCTTCCACTCCTTCGCGACGAACACAAAGTCAAACAAACAGCCATCCGCTCCCAACGCCGCCGAATCTGCTTGGACCTCTCCGCCATCTACCCCATCACCCCACACCCCTCCCAACATAAACACCCCCTAGCCTTCACAATCCGCACCCTCTACCTCCCCGACGCCAACGACCTCGACACCACCACCACATCCACGAACCCCACCACACTCTCCGCAGCCCTAGGCCACACCTCCCACCTCATCCACCTCCTATCCTTCTACCTCCGCCTCCCCCTCCCCTACCCCCTGCACCCCCACAGCAGCACAACCACCATCACGGATCCCCTCAGCCTCCTCAAAACCGCCGCCAGCACAACCAAAACCTACACCACCCCGACCTCGCTGCGCACCTACCCGCTCTTCCCGCAAGGCGTCCCGCGCTTCCGCTTCGACTACGCCGTCTTCTTGCTCGGGAAGGATATTCAGATTTTGGTGGAAGAGGGGTTTGGCGGGCGGGTGGTGGATGTGAGGCAGATGTTGCCGAATCTGGGGTATTTGTTTTTCGTGGCGACGGCGGGGGAGGGGGAGGTGGTGGGGAGGAAGGCAGGGGGGGTCAAGGGGTTGCTGGGGATGAAGGGGGTGGGGGCCGCTGGGGGTCGGGAGAGGAGGGGGAGTGGGGGGTCGGAGGGGAGTTGGTGGAGTGGTGGGGTAGAGGTCAAGGGAAAGCATCAGCAGGCGAGTGCTGTGGAGAGTTTGAGGCGGAGTGCTAAGGGTGCGGGGGGGAAGAAGCAGGGGTAGCCGTTTTCCATCGTCATGCTTTGGCTGGCGGCCACCACGACTGTGTAGACTGCGTACCTAGGTACCTTCTTGCCTTTCCAAGTCCGAACTTACATGATAGTCTTAACAATCAAGAGAAGATGCACTATCCTGCTACACATGTCACTACAAAATAAATGTCGTCTCGTTCCTACTCACACCCACCCATCAAATCCGAATCCGCTCAAAAACATACTTCCCTATCCTCCGCCTCTTCTCCGCCATCTCCACCCTCTCACTCCTCCCCACCTTCCCATTCCTCCCCAGCACTCTACTTGCCATCGCCCGACACCCCATCGGCAAAATCCTACTCTCTTCGTCCAAATCCTCCGCCTCCATCGCCGCAATCCTCTTCCGTTTCTCCATCTTACTAGCTAAAGACAGCGATCTCTCCATCCCGGCCACCTCGTCCAGAAACACCTTGACAGTATCGTTCTCGAACAATCCCTCCGCGCACGCACTCACTTCCGCCCGGAGCTCCTTGATGAATTCGCGTGTGCCGTAGATATCGCCGGATGCGGTGCCGCTTTGGCCTACGAGCCAGCCGCTGAGACCGATGGCGTCGATGGCGCAGTTCATGAGGCGAGAGATGAGGGATATTGCGCCTGGTTGCGGGGCTGCCTCGGCATAAAAGGAGTCGCCGTTGAGCATGCCGTTGATGTCGGTCTGCCCATTGATCGTTCCGTTGGCTTGCTGTTCTTGTTCTTGTTCTTCTTCGTCTTCTGGTGAAGAGACGTATGCACGATGCCAATCACCACTCAACAGCTCGATACGCAGCAGTTTGAGGAAGAAGAGAAGTTCGTCGTGTGTGCACATCTCTCGCATAGCTTTTGTGATTGAGGTCGATGGGAACGTTGTGAGCTTTTCCAGCACAGAACGGATCGTCTCGCTACGAAACTCCACACCGTGGGTGAGGGTAGAGATGGCAAGGTCGAGTTCCTGCTGCGCAAGAGCAGATTCCGTCTCGAGAGTCGAACCTGCGTCACTGATACCATTGGTCACCGCCATGGCGATATCTTCGTCTTCCTCGTCGTCATCTCTGGTAGGGGCGGAAGCTAGAGCGTGGTAATGATGTCTCGTACCCTCGGCAGGCGTCTCGAGCGATCTTATCAGCAATCGAAGCGCTTGCACAAGCTCAGACACATCCCAGTAGACCGAGGAGCTAAGCATCTCATGCAGAAGCGCAAAAGTACCGTCATAGTCCTTGAGAGCAGTCATGATGTCTCCAGGCCTTGTCACCCCAGCGGCCAAGCTCTGATCACGTATGCGCATCGCTCGATCGATGTTCGACACGTTCAAGAAGCCTGCCAATGCAAGAGCTTTGTACGAAAGTTCAGATCTTGCAGTCATCACTATCCGTCCCTTGCCACCATTTCGTTGTTCTTCTTCAATCGCAGGTCGGAAAAGCTGGCTTATAATGAACAGCACATCTTTCTTGTCGACTTTGCCAAGGTCAAAACGCATAACATCCATCCGTAGGCCAGGTCGAGCGCGATCAAAATACTCGCTAACGCTATCAAGAGACTGGCCGCGGTCTCCTCTCATGTGCAACTTGGTAGCAACATGACTTTCTATCGCTGCCAGGTCGCCCTCCCCAATTGCGGTGACGAAGCTTGTCTTCCAGTCTTCGGATTTCTTCCCGGACATAATATTGGCATCGCCCTTACCGAGGACATCCGCCAGGGTAGTGCCATGCATTTGCCCTCGCTTTGGCTTACGTAAGTCCTCGGGTAGTTGTAGAGATGTGAGCTCGTGCCCAGACAAACCTGCGATAAGACCAAGGTCCTGGAAGTTCGTGATGAGTACATTGTCAGAGATAGCTGCAGCACGATCGCGTCTTCGCGTCAGACCAACGAGTGCCGTGCTCGACGAATTGAGGGAAATAGATTCCAGTACAGCACCGAAGCGAGTCTCGTAGACGACCAGCCTGTCACCTTGCACCGCCAAGACAGACGCAGACGAAGCTCGTGTGAAGCTTACAACTGGGCCTGCTCTACTCCCGATAGTCATGACAAATCGGGGGACCGTGCCACTGAAATCGTAGATGTGTAGTTTGCCGTCTAGCATCTGGTAGACCTTGCCCGTCGCAGCGTGTACATCGAAGGTGGCGTTCCCTAGGCCTTGTGCACCACTTGTAGTAGGCAACCTCATTGCAGCAAGATGCTGTAGGTTGGACTTCTGGCTTTGTACGGCGTCGACGGCAGCAGCTCTCAACGCGAAAAGCTCAAGACTCCGCTCGCCACCTTGTTGTCGCATGACTCGGCATATCAACTGCTTGGTTTGAGCTGAAGACGATGCTGAAGTATCGAACGCTGCAAGTATGTCCTCTCGGCTGGCTAGCAGACCTCGCTCGGCCGTTTCAATGTCGACGAGTGCAGTATACTCCACGATACCTTTGCTTTCTTCATCCCCGCTGGCTGATTCTCGCCACGTAGCCGAGGTCAAGTCGCCAACGAAGCACTCCTGTGAGCCATTGCGATGTGTGACCAGGACTTGAGGTTCGCGATCAGATTGTGCTGGCGGCACCACTTCGACACTAAGGACACCATTGAATGTATCCTGTAGCTTGACTTCGTGCTTTCTGGGACCAGTTGGAGTGTCAATTGATGACACAGCTCCCGGTACATCCTCCACTAGACACACCAGCCGCCTCTTCGTATCCTGTGGCCCGTCGCGGAGAACAAGATAGGTCCGTCTCTGTGCTCCCACTGGTTTTGGTCTTCTGATGTAGACGGAACATGGCGGACAGCACATGTATGCCCTCGGTGGCAAAGCATGTGACGTGACCAAGCTCTGGCCCTGCACGTTGTAGATGTTCACACCTTCTCCATCCACACCCACGACAACTTCATGTCGCTTCCTCTTCTGTCCAGCTCGGACGCCATACACAGGTGCTGCATGAGTTCGTCCATGTTCGCCGTCCAGTGGCTTTGGTAGAGAGGCGATTGTGTATGGCACTTCCATGTTGTTACAGGACTCCTGTCCACCGCACCTTCCTCCCACTGCTTGTTCGTCCTTTCTTCACACGCTCTCTTGAGAACTTTCGCCAGAGAAATGCTATCGCGCGTAGATCCGCTGAGCCGCAATGACTAGCGCGATAATGTTGAGTGATGCACGCTGCACGCGCCAGATGACGGCCAATCAAGTGACGTATTTTGTGCTACTGCTATGGCGCGCTCTTCAGCTTCGAATAGGTTGAAAGCTCACCCTCTTCTCCACTAATCATGGCTCTACGCAGTTGACATACACTGCTCGTGCCTGCTAGATCAAGTGGTCAGGATGGCCGGATTGAAGAAGCAGAAGAGCAGGGCGAATAACGACACACCTATCGAGCAGTCGCGACCAGATTCCAAGCCTGATAACGCGCTGCAACCACAAGCTGAGCCCACGACACCGAAGCCGACATCACTAGACATCGCCCGAGCGCAGGCATCATCCTCGACCGCGTCACCATCTCGCCCGAATAGCTGGTATAATGCTGGAGGATCATGGCGAGCCAAGGCTTCACCCGTGGCGCAGATCGCAAAGGAAAGCGTCTCTGTCGCCAAGGGCGCGACGAGTGAGGCTAGCGAGGAAGCCGCTCGTCGACCGAGTCAGAGTGTGAGCAAGGGCATGCGAGGAAGTAGAAAGAGCGTTCCTCTGCTTGCGGAAGCGACGAGGGTCCATGCTACAAGCGAGGCAAGTGCCAAGGCTCCACCGCGCCTCCCAGATCAGGAGAAGGTCAAAGGTGTGGGTGTGGATGAAGTGGCGGCGTCAAAGGGTGACGTGAAGGGTGTTTCGGTAGAGGAGGCACCTCTTCCGCCCGAGCCTGCAGATGGTGAGGACGTGAAAAGTGTCAGCGGGAAGAGCACCGACACAAGACCACAGTCTGCACCATGGTTTGGCTGGTGGTCAAGACCGGACGGCTATGGCAGTGAAACTGAGAAGGGGAAGCAAGGCAACAAGAGACGGAAACTTGATACCGAAGAGGCTAGTAGCACTCCTCTCCCTGGATCACCTGAACCGCAGCCTGCAGACGCCATCGACACTGTCATGGCCGACGCGCCCGTTCGGGGGGATATGGTGACGAAGGCTGCACAATGGGAGGGTGTTCAGCCAGAGATGAGCGTCAATCAGCATTCCACTCGGTCATGGTTTGGTCTGTGGAGCAATGCTCAGAACGAGCAGGCGGTAGCACAGGCGGACCCAGACGCACAAGTGCCACCACAGGAACCTGAAGTGAGGCTGTCTGTAGAGCCTCCCGTGACAGAAGCAGCCGCAACCAGGAAAGACACCCAAGCCGGGCCAGACAAGAAGCAGATTGAAGATGGACCAAAGTCATCAGGCTGGGCATTCTGGTCATCTGACAAGCCATCAGATGGCATGACTACGCCAAGTGGCACACAGAAGGAAGTCGGTGAGATTGCTGTAGCAGATACGCCCAGTCAGAGCCATCCCGAAGCAGCACAATTCAACGAGCAATCACAGCCGAAAGCTGACGTGAAGAGAGGAAACTCGCTGCTCAAACCGAAGCGTGGCCGGACAGAGCGGGTAAAAGAGGCAGTAGAGTCATTAGCAGCCTCACCGATTGACTCGAAAGCACAGACACCCACAATATCGCAAGTGCCGACTCCGGCAGAGACGCCACCACGAGATACATCAGAAGCACCGGCACCCATAAAGCGTGGCAAAGTACCTCAGACACGACCAAACCTCGTTCTTCCATTGTTCAGGGACCTCTATCCACCTGTACCGAGTCCAGGATATCTAGAAAGGCTATCGACATACCTCTCACAGGCGCTGCGTCTACCCAATAGCGACACCCCGCCACCACCACAACATGTGTACTTCAATCCGAATCCACCGAAGATAAGAAAAGCAATAGCAATAGGTGTCCACGGCTTCTTCCCAGCTCCTTTAATCCAAAAAGTTCTCGGACAACCAACAGGCACCTCCATCCGTTTTGCCAATTACGCCGCCGCATCTATCAAGACCTGGTGTGCTGAGAACCAACCTTCATCAAAAGACGGAGTCGAGATTGAAAAAGTGGCGCTAGAAGGCGAAGGGACTATCAATGACCGCGTGACGACGCTGTGGAAACTGCTCCTGAATTGGCTGTCACATCTACGACAAGCAGACTTCATACTCCTAGCCGCACATAGCCAGGGTGCCCCTGTCGCAGTCATGCTACTTGCGAAACTCATCCAGCTCGGCTGCCTTGCACCCAACGTGAAGATAGGTATCTGTGCGATGGCGGGAATCAATCTCGGACCTTTTCTCGAATACAAATCACGACTATTCGGCGGCAGTGCACTCGAACTCTTTGACTTCTGCGACGCGGGAACAGCAGTGAGTAAATCCTACGTCGAAGCCCTGGACGTTTGTCTTCGGCACGGGGTGAGGATTTCATTCGTGGGGAGTCTGGACGATCAACTCGTGAGCCTGGAGTCCTCGCTCTACGCCCCGCTTGGTCATCCCTACATCAACCGCGCAGTCTTCATTGACGGACGATTGCATGCGCCGAATTTCCTCACACATCTTGTCGTCTTTGCTCTCAAGCTCCGGAACCGAGGTATAAGTGACCATGGGCTTTTGAGGGAGCTCTCGGCACCACTAGCAGGCAGTCTCGTGGGCGGCGACGGCCACAGCCGCATCTACGACGAAGCTGGCGTCTACAGCCTCGCGATTGACTTCGCTCTCCGTAGCACCGACTTCACACCCTCTACCCTTACCCAAAGTCCTGACAGATCTACAACAGCAGCAGCAAGCCTCCTAGCAAACGACAAAGACCGTTCCCGCTCCGCCGCCGCCGCCCGCCGAGCCTCCCTCTCCGGCTACCCCACTACACCCGCCCAAGCCAACTCCATCCGCCGTGGCGAGGGCTCCGCTACCGCGAATCTACCGGGTACAGCGCCAGTATTTGCGCATTTCGAAGCGCCTACTACGAGTACGAGCGGGGGTGTGGGCGCGAACCCTTTCACCTTACCTTGGGCTGTCAGAGGTATGCTGGAAGAAGGGGAGGTGAAGCGGGATGGGGTGTTGATGGCGGAGGTGCGGGAGTTGGTCGAGGAATTCGAGGAGTGGAGGCCGCAGACGAAGATTTTGAGGGATGTTCGCTTTCGGTTGGAGGGGGTGAGGAGTTTACTCTGATTCCTCACGATGTGAGGAGCTCGGGTGCCGTTGCGCGTTGTGCAAGGCTGGATCGATGAATCGATGGAGATGTTTGTTCGTTGCTGCGGGGGGCTGAGGCTTGACAGGAAGACGGCGAGGTAGACACATGCTTGAGTTATATACCCCCTATATCGTTCGTAGACCTACCTGCTGGTAATCATATCTTCAACTCCATATCTAATGAACAAGAAGTGCTAGAGACCACGTCTTCATCAACCAACCGGCATCATCCTTCTCATCTCTCCACTGGTCTCCAATCGACATTTGTCCAAATCATGCACATCTCGCGCAACAATCCCGATGTTTGACGGATAGATTGATCCCTTAGAGTGGCAGACTCGGCCTACTTCGCCTTTGTCAAAGTGCCAGAAACATGCGGTATAGTGTCGTATTTCCCTTCGCCTGCTGTAGGACCTAGCTGCACATCGTCCCATTTTCCGGCTTGCAGAAGCCATTCGTCTGTCGGGCGTGTGATGTCACAGCCGTTCAGGAAGTGCGGCCATATGTTGTTGAGGACTCCTGTCGATAGGGGTTGGTAAGTGATCGCGACGAGCAAGAAAAAGTGGGCAAGTAGGGAAAACTTCATCTCTCCGTTTAACGATCGACGTGATCAATCTGCAAGTCGTGCTCGATGGCAGTACGATTGTGTTGTCAAAGTGATAGCAGAGAGGGTACACGACTTACTTTGCCACGTACCCACGAAGTCATTCTGATACTTCGTCCTCACGTGTTCGAATACAAGCCACTTCCCACCCGGCTTCAGCAGCGGATACAACTCCTTGATGATCTTCTGAGGGGTGGGAATGGAGCAAAGACACTGCACCGTAATGACCGTGTCGACGCTTCCCGGTTCTAGCCCGCCTTTCGTGGCCAACTCCTCAGCTCCGCATCCAATGATCTCGTATTTGTCGCCCAGGCCGGCTTCGACAGCATTACGTCGCAGCTCGGCATGGAAAGCCTTGTTCGGCTCGACTCCGTAGATTTTCGTAATGCTGGGATTACTGGCTCGGGCGAACAGGTAGACCCATTGGCCTGTTCCAGGTCCAATGTCCAGGCATATGCCTGTGGCGGAGTTTTGAAGGAGCGGCATTACAGATGGTGCGGCGTTCTCGCGGCTACGGGGACCAAACCAGGACCCTACGAGATGGAAGGAGATATGTCAGCGGCAGGTCATGATACGTGAAGTGAAATGATAAGTATCGGCGTTCCACATAGGCCGAGGCAGTTCTGGCGTCTTGAGTTCCGGTGTGGAGTTTCATGGCTTGCCGGCTGATGTGTTCGTTGTCAACTTACTAGAACGCCGTCAGTATGTTGAGAATCTTGCGATATCTTTCCCACCATTGCTTACCAGAAATGGGCAAACCATGCTTCCTTGAAGTCGGAGAACGACGACAATGACTTGATGTCACCTGTAGTGACTAAGGTGTAGATGGTAATGGGGATGTAGTAGGCGGAATAGCACAGTAGAAGTAGCGGACGTAGCAGGTTGATGGGACCATTGGCCTCTGTCGTCGTTTGTGGCGGCATAGTGAGCTATCGAAATACGATTGTGGTAATGAAGGGAACTTAAGAAGACGAAGGAGTTGTGAACTTTGAAGATATATGTGGAGTGGAGTAGTCGACGGCTATGCGCCGGCTACTAGCCGGATCTAGAAGGCACTGTCGTTGGGGTGAGAGATCGCGATACTGTTCACTCCGGCTACACTATAGATGAAGCTCATTGATCCCGCTATATAGAGAAAGCGCAAGCTCTCAACTACCAAATGATTCCTGTCAATTCGCTAGCCATTCAGGTGTGGCATCGTCACATATCATCGCAACGTCGCAGCTTTAGCCGCTAGCACATCTTCACAAGGATATCCATTTGGTCGTCGGTCCTCGACCTCATGACCTTCCCTTAGCTCAAGCACATCCAACCCGTTCCGTCTCTGCTGTTCTCGACGAAGAGGATCGGGCAACGGCCAGGCACCGCCATCCCTACTTTCAGCCTTCTTTGCACTTCTTTTCTCTTTGCCGACCAAAGATCGAGCAGTTGGACACAGCCATAACTTCGGCCAAGCCTCGTCTTCTAGGTCCTCAAAGGCTTCTAGATCTGTCTCTATCTGTTTAACGACCGTACGATTGCTAGTGATAGTGGTTCGCTGCTTCGCCCACCCGTACAGGAACACAGATGTGTTGATAGAAGTCATGCCTTTGGCCACATCGTGGGCCTGCTTTGGCAGGGCACTAAGACAGCCATTCTTATCCTGCTGAACCACTTCTATAGGTAACTGCCACTCCGCCGGAACTTCGTAAGCAGACCAGGCCTGCATCTCTTCGATCAACGCTGCGCGAGAGAGTGTTTTGTCGTCGCCCAGCATGATGGTTGTTCGAGCTTTCTCCGACGTTGTACCGATTGTGTCGACAATCTCCCGCATACGACTTGCTGCTTCCTCAGTGCAGACTAATCTGTGCCTTCCCATGGCAGGATAGAGTAGAGACGGCAACAATTTCTCGTTGTCCTCGATCTCAACCTGGCGTCGCAGAGCAGTGTGGAACCATGGTTGCTTCGAGACCTTTGCGTGTGAGAACTCCGAGACTAGCGCTAACAGGATGGTGCAATCAATGTTCAAAACGTCAGAGAAAGACGTCAGCGGGTCGGGGGCCATGGTTTGTATGGCTATGTTGATTTCCGGCGGACTAGTCAAGTCGATTCCGCAATACAATGTTGCACCCGCAGCTTTGCAGGCATCAAGCATTGTGTCAACCTCGGGTGTCTCGCCATACTTCACTCGTGGGAGGACTATATGAACGACGGGATGCTTCGTTCGAACACGAAAACTTTTCGCAGCTTGGCAAAGCTCTTTAGCGGTCTTGACCAACGGCACATCTCGGTCTTGATCGTCTAACCCCGAGCCAAGCTGTTCGTTGTCCTCGTCCTCATCAAAGTCTGAGCCTCCTGAGTCCCAACCTTGTTTCGCGAGATCGAAAAGTAATCGTGAGTTCGTGATTAACGACACTTTCGTCCATGTTCTGCCAGAATCTGTGATGGCATCGACGACTACAGCACTGTCCTTGAGGCCCCTTCCTCTTGTAGGAGTCCCACTGGGATTCGCCTTTGGAATGCTTCGAGATGCCTGCTTGACGCCTGGAGTGGTATACACTCGTTTCTGTAGCGAGGTCACTCTCCTAGACTTCTTGACCGTGCTCCATAATGTTTCGAGGAACGGTAGATTCGAGGATCTCGCCACATGGATCGTAGCCACGTCATGCGGCTTGTCAAGTAGACGTTCTAACATCTTCAATTCCGACTGTATAGTCCCTCGAAAATGGCCAAGCTCGACATTACCTTCTTGTCGAAGGTGGCGTAGACGATCCCGGAAAATCTGCAATTCAGCCAGTAGCACCTTTGCTCGGTCTACGAGGTCGGCGATTGCATTGCCAGCGTTTCCGACCATTTCGCCGTTTGTGGTGTTCATAATGCCAAAAGCTGACGGGACGCTTCCGTGGAGGAGACGTTCAGGATATGTTGACCAGGGTTTATTTAATGCTTAGAGGTGCGTGCGCTAGGCTGGGCAGTCGAGTGCCTATATTGCGTTGTTAGCCTTATGAGACCTTCCTCCATCCCAACTGTTGACGTTTCTTGGTGTGGGTAAGAGCATCGAGTTATTAAAAGTGCCGTGCTTGTGACTCGAAAGCACTTTGATATGCAGGTGCAACACTCGATACAGGAAGCACGGCTTCGGGCCGCATTGATCCGAGCATCCGAATTTCATTGAGACTATAACGTGAATGAATAACTATGGTGAAGCACGCGACGACAGACAGCATTCGCGATCTTACGACGATCACGATGGTCTATCTAGCGACGCCGGAAGACTGGCAGCGTCAATCATCGCTGCTGCTGCAGGCACGGCCGACCACGGTGCGTAAGTGGATTCCACCATCTTCGCTGTGCGAAATGTGCTAATCAGCACAGGCACGCATAACCACGAAGTACAAGATACCCAACCTCGAATCGTCAAAGTACCAGAAGGCTCTCAAGCGCAAAAGGGATACAGAGACAGGGGAGAAAGACAATGCCGCACCTAAGGTACCGAAAGGATCGCTAGTCCTGAAGACATATGACCCAGAGTCTGGCGTGGTGTTGAAGTTCAAGACAGACAAAGCCGCAGATGTGGGTAGGCTGATCGGTGGCCTGGGACGACTAGGGAGGCATATGGCTGCGTTGCCCGAGAGCACTGAGGGTGAGTGTACACTTCCATCGGCGACATGGTCGCAGCTGACAGAGTTCAACAAAGACGCAGTGATGGAGGATGCTGGTGCACCCGAACCAACCACTGCGGACTCATCGAGGACTGCAAAAGCTGGTCCGAGTTCAGACAGCAAGCCACAGCAGGCACCAGCAGGGAGTGGAAGTGGCGGAGGTGGCAAGAAGAAGAAGAAAGGCAAGAAGTAGATCTACAGGCCTCCATTCACAACATTGTACCGGCCGTACACTCACATCAACTCTTGGCCACGTTTCGGTACCGTCTGTCGGCGGCATTATGACTTCACTTAAAGGCCTGGACACGCTGCATATGCGATTGTCAGTGTCGAGGAATAGCTGATCAATACTTAACGGCATGAAGGACAGTATTCCAATGCTTCGTCAATTGATCCCATAGCCGCCAAGCCGTATAGGCCGCTGGACCCTACGCATTGCTGGCTCAAGACGGCAGAACGCAGAGAGATCATCGGCTAGAGGACCCTTGGTACGTAACAGGTAGCACAATGCATGCTCAATAGCATGTGAACATAATATGCACCGAAGATCTCCCACGTTGACAGCTGCCAGAAGCGGTATTCCGTTTCTGCGGTCTTGTTCCGTCTGCCATCGGCTGTAGACGGACATTTTCTCGGCAACTCAGTGGAGACATCGTCGCAATTGTGCATGCGTCAAGAACCACTTCGGCAAGCCGGCGTAGTGATCTCGTTGCACGCTGCAGCAGACGCAGCCTATGCGTGGCGAAGATGCAGGTTCTTGAGCCGTTCGTCACGATCTTCGGTACCACGTTTTGCGAGACTTGCCGTCCGATTCCGTCGATCTCATAATACCTACTGGCACGGCATATATCCCTCGAGTTGTCAAGCTTATTGCTCGCTTGTAGCATGGGCGTTGGCTCATGGACCTTGATTTACGTCGATACAGTAGTAGCTCTCGAAGGCCATCGACGAGTGTTATGTGCGAATAAATGCCGAGCCATCAGCCGCCCCGAGCAAAGCCAGGCATTGTTATCATGCAGAGAGACGAGATGGGCTTGCCGGCTTTGCTGTTGCCACCTCGAGCAGTATCCACGATCCTAGTGCACATCACTGCGTAAGGTCAGATGGCCTGGTCCGTGTTCGAAAGCGCTTGGCATAGTAACATCGACAACAATAATGCAGCATTTGCAGGTGAAGAGTAGCACATACTTCAACTCATCGACGGCGCTCCACGCACTCAGCCTTAAAACTGATGTTCATTTACCAAAACGATACGCTTGTCCCTGCGACTCACGTACATTCTGTACATTGTAGTAGGAGCTTATTCCCGTGCGGCGTCGCTGTTGTACACCATGCTGGCATAATAAGACGGCAAGACGCCTGCCGCGGTAGCTGCATAATGGACGTCCTGTTTTCCCGGCGTGGCCCGCACGTACGGACAGTGGGCGCACAAAAGGCCGAAGAGGCGTGTGCCTTCATTTTGCAGAAAGCCGGTGGTTTGTGCGAACGCCAAAGATGACGGACATGCATCAGATTAGCAGCCGATCATTTGCTACTGCGACATCCGCTAGGCACCCTCCTGCTCGAAGCTAGGGAAGTTATGGTATATTGGGATGAAGCTTTCCCTGCACCGTGACAACAGTGATGATCGTGTTGTACCGTATCGATGTGGCGAGGTCCCTTATTTACCATGTGTGAGCCCGCGGACATGCTGCACGGCGGCGACCATCGTTCGCAAGACCAATGAGAGTGGAAGCACTTTGGCGCTTGGACTGACACGAAGGCTAAGCAAACGGGCGCGACAAGGATTCCTTCGACCTGCAGTAGACTAGCTCCCATGGGGTTTGAAATCTGGGGCAATCCACTGCAGAGGCAGCAGAGGTGAAAATGGCAAGCGCATTTCCAAGGCGCTCGCTGCGGATCTTGTGCAGCAAGCGAAGCAGAGACTCCAGCTTGACCCTCCGAGTGCGCGGCAGTGATTCGATGGATCAGCGACGGACGTGGTGGATCAGACAAGCAGCAGCTGACACCTTCGGAAAATGGCGCGTTGCTGCACCGAAAACGTTACTTCCACTGTTTGATGACGATGGGTTTGGAGCTCTGCGACCTACGGTTGGCGCGGAAGTCTGGTGGCTGAATGATCACGAGCACTTCCTAGAAACCATGTGCTGCCGGCCGGTTAACTTGCATCTGCAAGCGTTGGATGCGCTGCGCAAGTGGACAACGTTGAACGACAGGCACAAGCTTGGCAGGTCCACAGCAGTGACATCGGGGAGCCATTGAGTACCCTCCCTGATGACAGTAGTGTATGAATTGTCGATGGTGACGAGCTTGCCGCTGTGCTAGGTTAGGCAGATGCATCGTCGACGCTGACAGCACCAGTATTACAAATGCCTGTTGTGCACAGGATACTGCACTGCCTTGGTGAGCTTTGCGAAAGCTCGATCGTTGATAGCCCGAGCCCGCGATGGCGCGAAGTGTCACGCTCTGCCTGGCCCACTGTCGAAGTCAGCCAGGAGGATGTGTTCAAAGGCTATCAGATCGGCTCTCGAAGCTGCCGTACTATTGCAAGGGATGGCTGAACGATCAACTCGCTTTCTTGAAGATCCTGACCCCGGCTCAGATGAGAGGGATCGAGCACTGTGGTCAATAATTTCTCCGATATGTACTATCTACATTGACTCTCTCTAATGGGCGGTGTTCTTCCCGCGAACTCAAGGGCCGCAATAATGATCTAAGACGAGATCGGCGTAGTGTAGTTGGCGTGCAGGAAGGGTCTGCACGACAAGGTGGCCACACTCTTGGCTGGAAACCCTGGCAGGTCGCAAGGGTGACGGCCGCGAGGTCCAATCTGGTAGGAGCTCTGAGCGGCACGGCACCAGAATGCATGAAGCGCTCATGCTGGCCGTTAGTGGCACAATCGCCATTGCAATTTGCAATGCGCAGGCAGCCGGTGATGCAGCTTTGCTCTGTTCCTACGTCCTCGAACAAAAGTCTCGCAAGGCTGTCTTTCGGGTTCGCAGTCATCATTTTAGCAATATTACTACTGGGTCAAAGCATCCTCCTGGTTCTACTTGAAACGTGATCGCTGGGATCCCGAATACGGGTTAAGCAGACGCCACTCAGCAAGCCGATAGCCGTACAAATCTCACTCGTATGCCGCCTTGTGCACAGGCAACACAGCTTTCTCCAGGTTTTCCCCACGGACATCTTCTTCTCTCATTGGCGGCCACGACGTCAATAGCAGCCACCAAAATATCACCGGACGACGAGCGTTGGTTGCATGCTGAGTCCTTCATGCGCCGGAACTCCATAACTATCTGGGACGATCGACGACGAGCCTCTACAGTGTTCGGGAAGCTCAAGCTTCGCTTGCAATAGACTTTAGCGCTTGCTTGGAAGGGAACATCGACCAATCCAGAGTCAAGTAACGTGAGTGGGTGAAGACCCTCGACCGGTACTGGCGAAAGCCTATATGCTAGCCCACCTGGTTGTCTCTAACGAATTGGCTCAGTTGTGCATTTTGGTTGTTGCGGCTCCTCTGTTCCCGCGTAGCTCTACCCGTTCCATATCAGACGAAACCATCGTGCATACACGAATTGGAGTGGCCTGTCCAGTGATTACAAAGGATTTTTTTATTGGGCGACTGGCGTACCATTAAGGATCTCCAGATCATACCATTTCAAACTAGCAAAAGCGTTCGAGGCCACCTTACGCTTTACCGCACCAAAAAAGAGCTAGGAGGACCTTGACGCCCACGAAACGATCGTGCGGTCAGGCACAGCCGAGCTGTGGTTATTGTCATCGCTCAGGTCCAGCAGGACGCGTCTGGGCTGATCGTGGTGGACAATCGAACGGTGTGGACTTCCGAGAGATACAGGACAGGCAGCTCACAAGCTCGCCTTTGGCTTTGTGAATCGTTTCGTCACGAGGCATGCAGTCTGAGAGCACGGTCAAGGCCGATCCGGATGTCGAAACACAGGACATTACGGCGGCGGAGCAGAAAGGCAGCACAGCGAATAGTAAGTCGGCACCATGGGGGTTCCAAGCACATGGGTGGGTTTGGCTGATATGAGGCAACATAGAAACCGACTCGAAGGCTCAGAATGGCAAAGGCCAGAACACCGTCAAAGGCCAATTCCCTCCACCGAAGACCGATAAACCACGACCTCATGTCTGTGGGACTTGTGGGCGTTCCTTTGCTCGGTTAGAGCATCTCAAGCGACACGAGCGATCACACACGAAAGAGAAGCCTTTCGAGTGCCCTGAATGCACGAGATGCTTTGCAAGACGAGATCTACTCCTCCGACACCAGCAGAAGCTTCACATGACAAACACGACTTCATCGAGACCAAGGAATGGACGACGTGAGAGCGTAAGCGGAGCCTCTGTCTCTGGTTCGAATAGAGTCCGAAAGAACTCGATAGCCAATGGCAATGTCGGAGGCGCGGCTGGCCAAATCAGTGGTCATCGTCCTAGAGCAGCAACGATCAGCCATATCGATCTCTCGTCGCTAGGACTCATGGATGGATCTGGCTCACAACTCAGCCGTATGCAGGCACTCGGCCTACACCCTGGAGGACATCTTGGTCACAACGGACTGCCAGCGCACATGAACTTCGACTACCGAGGGATGTCCAATTCAATCGGTAATCATGGTAACATCCATGCACTACCGAAGCTGGACTTGTCTGCGGTCAACAGCCTCGACACCACCAACTCTTTGAGAACTGCTCCGCCAATGGGCGGTATTGCAAGCTTCGCACATTCTGCTGGTTTCGATCTAGAGAACCTCTTCAGTCCCGCAACCACTGTGAACCCGGCACAGCTACAATTTGGAGGACCGACTTCTGCTACATCACAGTTTCCCAACTACGAGGCATTTACCTCTCAGCATCCGATAATTCCTGAAGGTGATGACTTCCACTGGATGCGACAATGGAACATGCAGATACCGCAAGGCAATGATATGAATGAGCATGCGATCGACGAGTCTTCGCCGTCTCGAATCAGTAGTGGAGACAGCCCAGCCGACTACAGTGATCACTTGAGCCACAGCACACCCGCTATGGCAATGCCGAACAACGATTTTGGATGGTCTCAGCCAGAGCTGCACTCCTCGCAACCGCTCTCGGGTGGTGGACCATTTCAATTGGGTGCATTGGGCACCGGACTGCCACAACTAGATGCACCGATGGGGACGATCTCACCTTCAACATTAAATGATCCCACGGCCACCGGTGGCGCATACTTCGAGACTCCAATGTCCAACCACACGTCTCCACAGCAATTGCAGCAAATGCACACGGACGCAATGTCTGGCAGCATGCAAGGCCAAAGCCCAAATTTCTTCGCAGCACCATCGCTTTCGAACTTCAGCTCCGATAGTCCGAGTATGTCATCCTCGTCGGCGCGGCAGAGCTCCGTGACCTCCAACTCTACAGACTCTATTACAGATGCCACCCGGCAAGCTCTTCTGACTAGCCTTTCGCAGCCCTCTGTGTATGGCCACAACCACAGGAAATACTCGCAGCCTAACATTAGCTCCCCGTTGTCGCCAGCAGGTACACGTACTGCTATGCAAGGACCCAATCTACCCAGCACGGCGGACATAAGACGATACGTGGATGCCTTCATCAATTTTGCCCATCCACATCTTCCAGTCCTACACATACCGACATTGTCATTCGACGCTACGGATCTTGGCAGCAATAATCGCGGTTCAACATCACATGGTGGTTTCGGTCAGAACGGTCCCGTTGGAGGAGGAGGTTGTCTGATTCTTGCAATGGCTGCCATTGGAGCGTTGTACGAGTATGATCATCCGGCATCGAAAGAGCTGTTTGAAGCTGCAAAGAAAATGATCAGCTTATATCTAGAAGAGCGCAGGAAGGCAGACATGACGGCTGCTGTCAACGGGCCAAACTTCGATGGGTCCTCTCACACTCCGCTTTGGCTTGTGCATGCAATGCTCTTGAACGTCATTTATGGACACCAGTGTGGCGACAAAACTGCCGCTGATATAGCGAGTACACATTGCGCGGCCCTCGTAAGCTTGGCCCGAGCAGCCCACCTTGCTCAGCCATCTTCGAATGCTGGCTCGCCTAACGATCATCCTTCGACAGCCGACGTTGACATGGTCGATGCCAGTAACGTGTCACCAAATTACTCTGCCAGACGTGGAAGCCAAGCATCAAGCCTGCAAGTCCAATGGATGACCTGGAAGAACGCGGAGGAGCGCAAGCGCACGCTATTCGCGATTTTCATCCTTTCAAGCTTACTGACGACGGCTTACAATCAGCCTCCAACGATCATGAACTCTGAGATATTGCTAGACTTGCCTTGTGACGAAGAGCTCTGGTCTGCAGAGTCAGCACAAGAATGGCAGAATCGAGGAGGATTGGCTGCTACAGAGGACAACGCAGTATCTTTCGCAGAAGCGCTCAGCACCCTGCTCATGGCGAATCAACGGCAATCGAGCAGCCACTCTGGTCACAGCGGCAATAATCCTCTTGGTACCTTGCAAGCTGGTGATGGCGCTGCTGATCATGACCTTCGACCGAGCACATTCGGATGTCTAGTCTTGATCAACGCCTTGCACAACTATATTTGGGAGACCAGGACACGACATCACGGCAGACAATGGACACAGCAGGAGACCGACTCCATGTTCTCGCATATCGAGCCTGCCTTGAACGCCTGGCAGGCTGCGTGGAAGTCCAATACTCGTCACAAGCTAGAGAGGCCCAACCCATTCGGTCTTGGTCCGCTCTCTGCTGATAGCATACCACTGCTCGATTTGGCATTTGTTCGTCTGTTCGTCGACCTTGGCCGGACGAAGGAAGCTTTCTGGCAGCGTGACTTTGATGCGATGGCTGAGGAGCTCGCAAAAGGCACCGATATAGTGCTGCATGCGACGAGCTCGCCTAACGCAGATGGCTCCTGGAACAGCAAAGCGAAGAGCGGATCGCCGGGTGGGATCGCAAAGCGCCGACTGTCTCAAGCTCCAGCAACGGACCATTCCTCATCTCGACGAGAGCGACATCTGCGTAAAGCGGCATTCTATGCTGCCGACTCTTTGACCATTGCTTGCAGCTACAACCTCACATATGCTGACATGACCGCTCACGAGCTCCCGGTGCACTCGGCCTTGTGCTTCTTCGACTGCAGCCAAGTCCTTGCTGAGTGGTCTTCGACAGTGCAAGAACGCATTGGACGATATCTAGGTGTTCTTGGGCGAGATGCGGTCGACTTTACAGGCGTTCCAGCTATCATGCTGCTCGAGACAGAAGATGTGGAGTTATTCAGAAAGATCGAACGCATCTGTGAAAGCTTGGAAGCCAAACGGTTTCAGCAAGAGAACATGCTTGCGCTGGATCTACAGCAGATGAACCCTGCCGCCTCAACCAACTCCATGTACAACAAGGTCAATTTGAGCACATGCGGCTTTGGTAGTAAGATCTTGAGAGTCACGGCCTTGATGCTGGAAAAGGCCGTGGTCTGGCCTGGTAAGTCTCATGATATTATTGAGTTTCCCCTCGCATGCTAATCCTTTCCAGTCACTCATGTCATGGCCAAGGCCCTCGAGACTCAAGCTGCGCACATGGATTCTCGCGCAGAGAACTCCACAACTTCATAACTTCAACGACAATGCTAGCTCCAACGCTACGGATGTCTGCTCACCGTCGCAACTGGAGATGACTCAACAACGGCACGAAGCAGTCTTTTACTGTACACAAAAAATCTTGCTTGTTCATATGAAAAGTTCGTACCCTTCTGTCCATACCACGAATCAAAACACGAAAAACGCCACAGCTGGAGCACCGACCCCGGCTATCTGTATAGGGCGAGGCGCTGGGTTTCCTTCGGTCACGAAATAATGACGGTATGACAGGTGACTGTTTATCCTATCGGGTTTAGGATCGGGTTGGAGTTCTTGCTTGGCCCATGGTGACAAGGGCCCGGTCTGGTGGAGAGGAAAAGTTGATCTGGTAGCACATGTAATCCTCAACGAACTGAAGACGATCTTCCATGCCAAAGGCACCGTCTATCTGAGACGAGCGCTGCTGTTCACTGTCAAGTCATGGGCGATGAGTACAAGTGACCTGCTAGGTTTCGTGTTTCCAACATCCTGAATTCCCACGAGGTGGCCTTTCCTGTTCCTCTCTGCCCCAGCAATCTGGGAGACACCTGCATAAATTCTTTACCTTATCTTGGTTGTGTCTCCGTACCGTCTTGCCGTTATCTCGCCGAAGCGTTCGCCGTGGTATCACCGTTTGCGACCCCTTACGGCTCCGCATCTTGCAGTCCCTCATCAAGGTTGTACGAGGGGAAGTGAGGAGGCGTACTGTAGCAAACTTCCGTACATACGACATTAGAGCATGTTTACTATAGTTTCGTCTATACGAGTATTATTCGCTTAGTAGTCGTCTAATCAGCTATATAGCTAGCGAGTAGCTACGCTAATAGAGTTAATTATTATCTAGTTATTATCTATACTTAGATACTTACTATAGTCCTTATAGCGCGTATTAGTTATAATATAAGAGTTATCTAAAGTAAGTATTTAGTATTATCTATAGATAATAATAAAGAAGTTAGTACTATTTTAATACAATTAATAATAGTATTAACTTATAAATATAAATAGCTCGCTCTTACTAAGGTATTATACTATATAAGACTAACTATACTATAGCACTTAATTAGGAAGTTCCTATAATTAACTAGGTAAATCTATTTAAGTTACTGCTAGTATATCGAATATACTAGGTACGAACTAGGTAGTAAAAGACTACCTAAGGGTTCCTTACTAGCTTAAGCTTACTAGCGCCTTGCGGTAGTAGCTAAGCGAACTAGACGACTTAGTAATACTATTGCATAGACTATACGCCGTAGTAAACATGCTCTATTGTATTAGTCGAGCCGAGGGTTAGGGGACGATGTGCCGGTTCCTGATATATTCTGGCCATTCGCCAATCCTACTCTCTCATCTCATCACTTCACCTACACACAGCATCTTGACGCAGTCGTATGACTCCAGGCTTCGGCTGGATCAGACGAGGCCGCACAATGGCGATGGCTTTGGGGTAGGATATTACACAGCTGTACCTACAAGGAAGAGAAAGAAGTCTGATGCTACGGAGAGGGGAGAATGGTCTGCCCAGGATGAGGTGATCGACCTAGGACCGGAGCCATGTATTTTCACCTCGACCATACCAGCGTGGAATTGCAAGAATTTGGAACGCCTCGCCAGCAAGACCGTATCACCACTGGTTTTTGCTCATGTAAGGGCCAGCACCGAGGGAGCATTGAGTGACAGTAATTGCCATCCTTTCAGCAGAGGAGCATTGATGTGGATGCATAACGGGGGCATTGGAGGATGGAAGCTGGGTGTCAAGAGGAGGCTGGTCACAGACGTTGCAGACAAGTGGTTCGAGGGCGTGAATGGTAACACCGATAGCGAGTGGGCATTCGCGTTATTCCTGGATAGTCTCGAGAAGCTTGGTGTCGATCCAGACGATGAGATCAAGCAGCGAGACGGGTTTGGCCATACTGTGTTGAGGAAGGCTATGCTGAGGACGATCGAGCGTATCAACGAGTATCGCGAGTCACTGCCAGAAGAGGTTCGCCAAAGCAGCGATACCAGGAGTCTACTAAACTTTGCAGTGGCCGACGGGAAGACGGTGGTATGCACAAGATACGTCAGTAGCAAAACGGACGAAGCAGCCTCGCTCTTCTTCAGTTCTGGAACTAGCTGGAGAGAACAGCCATCAACGCTAGGCAGCAAGTCCAAGGTCGGCAAAGGCGAATACAAGATGGAACGACGTGATAAAGGCGCAGACATCGTGCTTGTGGCCAGCGAGCCGCTTACGTTCGAACGCGATAATTGGGTCACGGTGCCAACGAATAGTGTCTTGACCATCCATAATCAGACTGTGCTTATACATCCTATCTTGGACCAATACTACAATCACACTCCGAGCTTCGCTAGAAGCTCCCGGTTCGCTGCCGACAAAGGTCAGACTACTGGTGATGGAATGGCGGAGAAGAAGAGCGCTAAGGCCGCCATAGCTCACAAAAGTTCTGCTGATGATTTGGCGGCTAGTGTTGGGAGAGTCGCGCTGGCGGTGGCTTGAAGACAGCCAGACGACTTCATTCCATTCTGTACAGTTCGGAACGGTCATATTTGGTAGCACATGGCATAGGCATCCCGTAGTGTCAAGCTTGCGGGGAAGCTCGTGATGTTAGGTCCTGCAGAAAGGGCAGGTCAGGAAATACCAGGCAAAATACCGAATCTCACATGCGGTGTGGCATCTACCTTTTTCTCACGCGAGTCTCACTCCTGAGAGGAAGGAGCGTCGTGGCCATCATAGGAAGTCGACCGATCGCCATGGTTGGAAGCAGCAATGTTGCGAGGTTTCGGTGGCTCATGGGCGTTCATGGTGTCGAATGAAGTGCGAGTGCTGTAGCCGACGAGGATGGTCGACTTGTTGCCGGATATAGGATCGTAGAACTGCGAGGTTCCGACAGGTCATGCACATTTAAGGTGTTGAATGAAGTGTGTGTACTAGAGCTGGCGAGGGTGGTCGAGTTGTTGACGGACGCAGATGCCACAGGATTGAAGGTTGTACGGGTGTTGGAGTCGGTAGAGACAATAGCAGTGGATTGGGATGTCTGGCCACGTGGTGTGATCATTGAACTGGGCTTGGAGTGTGTCACCTCGATGTAATCGTCGTCGGGTTTTGCTCTGGTGGATTCACCCTTGATCTCTCGGAAGGGTGGTCCATCTGTGGTGTGAAGATGCAGTGCTGGTGGTGATCTTTCATCAAACCCAGGAGCTTGTCTTTCCATTCATCCAACCGATCATGGAGGTGGGTGCCCTACACATGGGAGAATCGATATTCACAGCCATTTCCAGTATGCATGCAATATTCGTGGCCTTCGCGATGTTCTGCCATCATCTTCTCAGGAGTTTTCACTCTGAGATCTCATAGGTACAGTCGTTGGTACTACACGTCAGAGCTTTGTCCGCCAGTCGTACAATAGCATTCTCTTCACCATAGTGCGAGGGATGCTTCTGGTTCTGGGTGGCATGCAAAGCGCATACGCGACGATGAGCAGCCTCCAGTGTAGGAAATTTCTTCCTCCAGTCCTTCGAGATGGGCTGAAATCTGAACTGAAGAGCGCATTCGTATCGATGTCTGCAGCCATTGGCGGCATTCTCGCATGGCTCGTGGGACTGTGAATGATTAGCTTCGTGGTGAGTCGCCACGTTCCATACATAGTCACACCCCATTATGCCACACGTAACTGGAATCTGGTCTGTTGGTATGAAACGGAATGCTCGAGGCGCGCGCTTCGAGCAGTATATTCCGTCGAGCTCGGGATGCTTGAGCAATGTTGCCTTGTCGGCGGTTGGGATGCCGGTACACGATCGGATGTGCCACATGTCTGCGACATGCTCTGATGACATCCCGGGATTCGATGTCAATCCTTCTGTGTCGATGTCTGACTTTGGTAGCGACTTATGATGTGAGGTCGATTCTGCCATACCGCTCTCTAGCCTAACGTTTTGTGTCTGGTACCTTAGAGAGCAAGACGTAATGATTGGTCCATCTGTTTCGAGGCAAAAGATAGCATGGGGGGCTCATCCTGATCTTATTTGTATGTACCTATAATGATGCCGAGATCGTTGTCGCTGACCTCGTCGGTTAAATTAGCACTATATACTGCACCACATTTCCATGGGCATTAACTGAAGGGGTGCTGCATCATGTGATTCTTGACATTGCTGCTGTTCCCAGAGAAAAAGCAGGGTGGCACTAGACACTCGTGGTCCCTGATCTCCATCGAAGAGAAACCTTCCCCGACAAGTGTCTGTTCGTCGGTATCCGAGTCCACTTTCTGTCAGACTTGCGAATGTGCGACACGGAGGTCCTAGAAGCCACGATGTCGGATCTCGTCCTCGATGAAGGTAAGGGTGTCATCACAACCCAGGCAGTTGTCGTGGTAGCGCAGCGTGTGCGTCGCAGTCTCCTCGTCATCCCAGCGAGATTGCAATCTTGTGTTACATCACAGATGCCTTCGTTGGTATGAGCACAGCCCTCGTCGGGAGGAATCCTTTTTTCCGTTTCTCGTGTACGTTGCTGGCACACTTCCAAGTGCACTGCAAAATGGCCGTAAAAGCCATGAGTCCTGATCTCATCTTCGGTGAGGGTGAGGATGTTGTGGCAGTTTGTGCAGAGGTCGTGAGAAGTCGGTTTATCATTGAGCAATCTGTGCCTGTCACTCGTGAAAGAGCAATCAGACGCCAGGTAACAAGCTTTTGAACCAGTCGTGCATCGAACCTCCTCATATTCGTGTCTGTTCCAGCCCGTTGTGGTGTCTGAACCTTGCACTACAGTAAGAGGCATTCATATTTGCTTTGATGACTGCGTGATATGATGTGTCCACACGCATCTTGGCAGAGTGGGTTCCAGCTGGCATTTGGAAGGTGCAGCTGTCGATGTCACACGAGAAGGACTGCTCTGCTGCGGATGTGGGTGTACTATGGTGGTGCGGTTCTTGGGTGAATGGTATCTCGTCATTGCAACTAATGATGCGAGGAGGCACTGTCGATGTCTGGTCATCTGATGAGGTTGCATTCTCGCACGCGGAGCTTTTCGTGCCGAGTGTAAAGAATGTACTGATGACCTTTCGCGTGCCTTCCCAGTCCTCGTCTGTGTTGAAAGCAAGGTCCAACCGATAGGGCATAACGCTCCTGCTCCACATCTCCTTCTCCATATTTGTTGCATCGCCGAGTGCAATTGCCCGATGGATCCCTCTACAGACCGTGAAGATATGCTTGGTTTTTATGTTCGATACGTGATCGCAGCGTAATATGATCGTACTTTCGTCACAAGCTACAAGCAGAAAACATCCGGCACGATCGTTCAGAGGGACATCATCGGGTTTCTTTGCGAGAGAAGCCTGTGATCATTATGTCAGTCGTTGCAGGCCTAGCAAGCAGTGGTTCATGCACTCCAGCACTCGCGAATAGTTTAGGCGTCTAATTGAATGGTAGTGATGAGGGGAGCTCGCGAAAAGTTGATGTGGCATGCTGACCGACCGTGGACACGAGACTGTCGACACCCATTTTCTAGAATGGCGTGTATGCCTCGTGCCATAGTTGGCTGTGTTGGATAAGGCATGTGGTGACCTCTCGGAGGCGTTCGAAGTATCGTGCGCCCTGATCGCGGTGGTACTCCACAGCCAAAAATGAGTTTGTCGCGCAAACACGATCGCCACTCAATATCACGGTAGTAGTCCTCGAGATAGCATCGCAACTTTCCCTGGGGATGTGATACTAAGAGTTTATCATTCCGACTATGACCCCAAAGCGACCATCATCTCATGGGAACACGATTGCCACTCGATCTCACGGCGGTAGTCCTCGAGATAGCATCGCAAACGTCCATGGGATATTGAACGGCTTTTTAATTCGTCTTGGTGTGCAGTGTGGACTTAATGAGGGCAGCAGAACAAGTTTATTTTGTATGCTCTCCGCTCGGGGTACCGATTGCTTCTCGAGCCGCTGTCGTTCACTTGATAGTGCGGCTGACGACTAGGAGCGTTTATCTGCGGGTGTCTGCTGGGGACACAGTACATAGGCCTCACCCGGTAGCACCATAGTTGATATGTCTTCGAGCAGCTCCTTGTGGTTTTGCATTATCAAAGTCGACCTTGTCTAATCATTCCCATGACATCCCAGCGAGAACTTGCGACATCATCTCCAGGGCTACCGCCGCAACGGCGAAAGATGATTGTGTTTGCGCGAGACGGGTTTGGTTCTTCAACCTAAAGTGGAAGCCGATAGTGCAACAACAGCATGGCAATCACGAAGCTGCCGCGATAGTCACGTGTCTGAATCTACGACCTCTCATGTCTTCGTGTGGACTTCTGAGCTTCCCATCTGAAGTACTGCACTCAATCCTTCTTCGTGCAGATATGCAATGCTGACAGAATCCCCAACACGTGGGATCGCCATCCTGGCCGCTGCCCAGCCGCCAACTCTGCATCTGGAAAAAAGCTGTGCTTGGCTTCCTGGGCGTCCGTCATGTTACACTCAATCCAGCCACAGCTGGAAGATACATCCAGTCAATGGTTCTGCTCGGAGCACGAGTATCTTGGAGTCCAACCCATCGTGGAACTGCTGCAGGAACAGTGCAGGATGTAAGATCCGTGTCGACCATGGGCGAGCCGCAACACAATGCACATAAAAAGCCATGACCCCAGCATCCATGCGATGATTGTGCTCTCTCGACCCTCGCCTCGGTAGCCATAGAAAGCAAAAATGATGTCTTCATTCTCCTCCATCCTCGCTGCGAGCTTGACCATCGGTTCCACCACTGCTGCTCCATGGGGTCCCCAGTGGTGGGGTGGACCCAAGCCTCAATGGGGCGGTAGCAACAACAATGCCGGCCAGAGCAGTGGCATAAACGTACAGCTCGGTCCTAGGCCCTACTATCTCGTCAACAACATGGATCCTGGTCCTCTGAAGGACAAGCTCGAGTCCTGCTCCGAAGGACCTTTCAAGACTTCTACGTTCTCGATCTCCCACCGTGGAGCACCGTTGATGTTCCCAGAGCACTCTCGACAAGGCTATGTTGCTGCAGCCCGCATGGGAGCTGGTATGTCCTTCCGAAGGCTACACTGAAAGCTACATACTGGTGCTAATTCTGCCAAGGCATCATCGAATGCGATGTATCCTTCACGTCCGACCGCGAACTCGTGTGCCGCCACAGCAACTGCGATCTTCAGTATACCACCAACATCCTTGCCCATCCAGACCTTGCGGCGAAGTGCTCCAAGCCTTTTGTCCCATACAATGCCACAACCAACACTCCTGCCAGTGCAACTTGCTGCACATCTGACATCACACTCAAGGAATTCAAGTCTTTATGCGCTGAGATGGAAGCCACTACTTTCAATGCCCTCAACGTCAGCACGACGACCACTCCCAACTTCGGTCGGATCGGGACAACACCCGACTGGAGGACGAATATGTATTCCTACTCCTGTGCCGAGCCTATGTCACTCAAGGACCAGATTACTCTCGTCGACAGCTTTGGTGTCAATTTCACAGCAGAGGCGAAGACTCCCCAGATTCCCATGCCATTCCAAGGAAATTGTGAGTAGCCCGGTGCAGTGAAAATGCAGACGATGCTTGCTTCGTTCTGTCCTCTACTTCTTCCCATGTAGACGAAGGAATAGACTGACCGAACGGCTGCAGACACGCAACAGGACTTTGCCCAGCAGATCGTGGACACTTTCAACGAGATGAAAATTGCCGCAAACCGCGTGTGGCTCCAGTCTTTCCTGCCGGATGACATCTTCTACTGGTTAGCGAACGACGACTCCTTCGGTGTACAGGCCATCTACCTCGACGAGCGCGCGGATTTGACCGCTGATGGCTACGATGTGGCTGTCGCCTCGCTCCCGGGTCTGGCAGCGAAGGGCGTCAAGATTATCTCACCATCTATCTGGCAGCTTGTGACAGCAGACAACGCTACCGGCAAGATCGTGCCGTCATCTTATGCAATCGCAGCCAAGAAGGCTGGCCTCGAAATCATCACCTGGTCGTTCGATCGCTCGGGTCCATTGGAGATCCAGGGTGGTGGATACTACTATACTGGTGTGAATAACTTGATCAACAACGATGGCGATGAATACACTGTGATCGATGTGATCGCGCAGCAAGTCGGTGCTACTCGCATCTTCGCTGACTGGTGAGCTACCACATGTGCTTTGGCATGAGGACCGTTCTGACATTTGACAGGGCTGCCACCGTCACCTACTACGCCAACTGTTTCGGTCTCTAGATAACTGACACGGATGGGGATAATGACCTTGAGGCTAGACACTGTCATACTATCGTGCTCCCATGTTCATGATCTGTAAATAACGATTAATCAATGTGTATGGCATCAACAAGAAAACAACCTGATTCCTTGACTGCGGACGTCTCTTTATTACTTTCTGCAACCTCATTTTTCGTCCTGTACACAACTATGACCGTGATTCCACAAATCCCAAGATGATCTCTCCCCTTTCCTCCATATCTCTTTTGCACCTACTGTGCATTACACGCACCAGGCCTATCCGAACATCCCGCTATTCTGAAGTCCGGCACCATAGATACCCGAACGCCGTACGTCGAGCAGAATATGAGACGATAGCCGAGCCAGCCAATAATGTCGTCAAGCAAACCTTCAGCCTTTGCTATTGCCCGTATGCGATCACGCTCTGACTCACATTTGCAGTTGATCGATCAAAGTGGCGTCGGGCTAGCGCTTCGGCCTTCGCCTGAATTAGGCAGGTACCAAACAGCTCCCAACTGCAAGCATCGCTACATAAAGGCTTGGCTGTTCGTCGTCTATTGCACTTCCACAGAACCTAACGAGTAAAGACTGCAGAAGTTTTCGCTTCGCCTTAAGCAAAGGGTCGCCATGATGGATCAAATAAAATTACCATCAGGCGACGTGCTGGACATCGAGATATCTGGCGCAAAGGATGGCTTTCCTCTGGTTTGGCTACACGGCACACCTGGTGCTCGTACCGTCATTCCAAGTCTAGCACGAGTCTGTGAGGCAAAACGGTTGAAGCTCATCACCTTCTCCCGAGCTGGGTATGGTAGCTCTACACGACGAAAGGGACGAAAGATCGTCGACGAAGCCGCTGTTGTCGAGGCACTGCTAAAGGAGTTGGGACACGAGAAGTGCTATGTTGGTGGCTGGAGTGGCGGTGGTAAGTCGTATGGAATGCAAAGGCGACATGAAGATCACGGGCTAATGGCGAGCGTCCAACAGGACCGCACGCATTAGCTTGTGCTGCGAGGCTCAAAGGCTGCGTTGCAGTTCTACACGTAGCAGGTGTTGCACCATATGATGCCGACGGCTTAGACTGGATGGCTGGGCAAGGTCAGGACAGTGAGTGGCAGATACGAGTGTACCCAAGGCATAATCCGAAACTGACGAAATCACAGACATCGACGAAACAAATGCTTCGTTACAAGGCGAAGACGCAGTCCGCAAATTCGTGGAGGACCAGCGCAAAGATATGCTTACAGCCGACGTCAAAGATCTGACAGAGATCATGGCCACCATCCTTCCTGATGTCGACAGAGAAGTACTACTCAAGGACGATGAGCTTGGGCAGGAGACAGTGGACTCGTTCAAGGAGGGCTTGAAGCACGGCGCTGATGGTTGGATCGATGACGACCTGGCGTTTATCACGCCGTGGGGCTTTGACGTGAGTGAGGTCAAATGTCCTGTGTTTCTGTATCATGGCGATGCGGATCTTATGGTGCCGTACTCTCACGGGAGATGGCTCGTGGAGCACATACCGGAGAAGTACTTAACCAAGCATTTGCAGCCTGGACAGGGTCATATTAGCATCTTCATGGGCCAAGCGGACCAGATGACTGACGAGCTGCTCTCGGTGAAGTACTGAAGCGCCGGGCAACTTGTAGCACGATTTTGCCAGATAGACGGCGATGTGTGACTCGACAGGTGAATTAGCTGAGTTGGGCAATATAAGCATGTCTACTGTCTCGCGCAAGGGCTCAAATACTGGATTGATGTGAATGAGCGATTGGCTGGTATGGCAAGTCTTGTACGATGATATTAAAGCTAAGGTCTAGAATCGAAGATCAGAAATCCTGCTGAGAGCCGAAGATGATCTCTGGAATTCCTGATGAGAGCCGGAAATGATCTCTGAAACTCCCGCTGAGATCTGGAATTGATCTTGGAGATTCCAGCTTAGAGCTGGAAACAAAGCAACAAGCATCGCCAAAGATATGATACAGGCATGCAAGACTCCCAGGCAGTGCCGACATCGCTTTGTCACTTCTCCGCCTATGAGTTAAAACGACCTCGAGATGTTCGGTGTACAACGAGGACTGCAAGCGATGATCCCAGGTAAGCTCTGAACCGGCAGACTCTATCGCTTCTGGTTAGGCGGACATACCCAACACCATCTCTGCTGATGTTCGACAAGGGCTACAACATCCCGAGAGCAATTTGGCCAATGGAACTACTGAATTATCCGAATAACTTACGCTGGATACCGAACTATCCTCCCACTTTCAATCGGAAGCCGAGGAGATTATCTGCCATGACCGCCAATGGTACACAGCTGAAATCGAGAAGCCCAATCTTTCCATTTCGAATGTCACTAGTTGGCATCCATTATCTGTCACTGTTGTTCACTTCTGTTAGACGCCTTGTTGCAGCTCGTTCGCTCTGGACCTTTGCATGTCGAAGAGTATTCTCGATGGGCCGCAAGGAACCGAGACAACTGGGCGCACTGTAGACGCCCTTGTGGGAAGGCACGCTGTCGGGAGCCTCCCTGGTCGAGTCTAGGTACCGCCCGATCATATGCTCACCAAGTTACGGGTCTTGCAACAATTTCAATGTTCCAATGCCGTTTCACACGCAAACTCGATGGAGGTGAACAGTTCTATTGTATCTACCTAAACTCTGAGTACATGTATCAGCTGCCGTTGCCTCCGAGTCACTCTCGTGTCCTGCATCATCCTATACTACCGTGATCGAACTCCGAGTAAGCGTATGTCCTTCTATTTCAGTCTCCGTGGGCCCATGTATGCCTAGCGCCTCAAGGAGATGTCGGTCTGTGCGAGAATTTAACCCACAAATGCCCGTCCTCCGACATACTCCTTTCTCCAGATCGCTCTCCTCCAAGATCAAGAAATGCACGGTCCAGACTTCGAACGCTGCCAGCATCAGGCGATGCTCAGCGGCTCGACTGGAAAGTGGCAAGCTGCGACGAGTCCAGTCTGGATACATGAATGGAAGGAAGGGGGACCCTTCATTCTCCTCCCAACACCGAGCTGCGGATGCTGCAAAGTCTGTGCGGAATTCTGAACTGGGCTTCTCAAGATTCCAGGAATCATTACCTGCCCTGTCGACGACGTGTGTCAGGCGTATTGGTATGAGGAAGCCATGGAGCTGTAGGCGTCCGGTTTGTCGAAGCTGACCGTCTACTAATGCGAGTGGGCCAACGTCAACCTTGCGCACTTCATACAAATATGGTTTCTCCGGCCTGAAGTTGTAGCCGATGTGACGGATTCCACAGTCCAGTGACAGCCATGAGAAGCTCGGAAACTCTCGGCCAGATTGCTTCTGCGCAGCAGTAGGGAGACCGGCTTGGCTGTCTGGAAGTTGTATCGCTGCCCAGAGAAGTTGTTTGCGCAAGTGGCCCAGAAGCATGCCAGCCACATAAGTGTCCTTTATGCTCTCACTAACCATCTTGCCAATGCCCTCGAAAGCCAGAGGCCTATCATCGGCATAGGTTATGCTAGCCGATGTGAACGGACTCACAAGATCTCCATACCAGCTACAACAGATGGAGCACCGGTTGACGCAACTCTTCTCCTGCCATTCCGGCGCCCAGTATCGTGGATACTGGAATAATCCTATCCGCTTGGTGACTCCGTCGAGTTGTAGGCCCTTTCGAAACGTCTCCGTAGCTGTCATACCACGACACGCCCAAAGAAGCTGGTCCTTACTGAAATGGAGCGTCCTGCGCGACAGGAAGCGCTCTCGGAGGACCCAGGCCCGCTGATTGAGGGGTGCGGTTGTGACTCTGCTGTCCCATAGCGAGGAATCAAGGAGGGCAGAGTTTACGATCCGGCCTAGACGTCCCTTACGATAATAGTGCAGCAAGGCTAGGTCTGGCGGATTCCTATCTCGGAACAGAACTCCATTGTCATTCTCGCTTGCATCGGCAGCAAGGTTGCAGAATGCGCGCGCGTATATCTTGCCCATCTGTGCCGCTTGGCTCATCCAGTCTTGCGGGTCGTCTTGAATGATGCAGAGCCGATCGATCCAGATATAGGAACTTTTAAGATATGAGCATACGACCAGGGCGTCCCTCAAAGTCTTGGGAAGCGCTTGAGCGTCGGTCCAACTGCTTAGCGCGAATAGCGTGGATTTTGTGAGCCGGAGGCAATCTGAGCGACCCCATCTATAGCTGAGAGTGAGGTATCTTTGCGCGGGTACCATATCACTGGGAGGGCTCACGGAGCGAAAGCAGTAGCCCGAGTCCGAAACGGACTTGATCTCGATCAATCGCATTGGCATCCACCAGCCGTCAAGCTCGTCATTCAGACAATCTTCATGGTCCGAAGAACGTTCTTCAAGCCACCTAGAAGCAAGCTCCAGTACACTATCGTTTCCAGTAAAGGAAGCCATGGGGACACTCGAGACAACCTCATGAGCCAACCAGCCTCCACCGGCATCCATGACATAGGTAGTGGGCGCTCGTACAGAGGTGTGAGGTCTAAAGGCTAGATGGACCGAGATCTTCGTATTGACCTTGCCCCTCGAAAGGAGAGAGACAGCTTCTTCCGTAAAGCTCATGCCCACAGTCCACGGGCCCTCGTCTACTGTCTGGCCACCAACGACACAATACTCCACGACCTGTAGATCCTGGGTGCGGCCTTCAGTCGAAGCCAGATCGCCGGGACAACTCTCCTCCAGCCTTTTCCAGAGCATAACGCAAAGCGGACACCCATGCTGGACAGCCTGCCCACAAGCTTGCAGCGATCTGTGATGGCGAAATTGGTCGTTGCCGAGATAGTAAGGGGCTTCTTCTTCCGCTGCGATTTCTTGAAGACAGGCGAGACATGTAGTACACATTGAGACAGGTTCGACATCGGTGCAGCCTCTTGTCAACGCGGCGATACAGTCCCACGCGGCGATGGTATAGCTGCGTCATAGTCTGTGTAGCGCTAATGACTTCCCAGCATCCACTGGTCTTCCTCGTGACTTATAGACGAGTGGCCTCACGGCTGGTTTCATCAGGCGCAGCCCCGTCGTTCGACGTGCACTTATTTCGCTTGTTGGCGGCGGCTGCTGTCATCCGTCCATTCAAAGCGCGTCGCAGATGTGTTGGCCCCCAATTGCATGCTCTGTGTTGACCGGACTCCTGTCACCCGTCCACCCAAAGCGCGTCGCAGACGTGTTGGCTCCCAGTTCTATGCTCCATGTTGACCCGACTGGCGGGGAATCACATCCACTGGCGAGGATCAAACTGCACAACAGGCAGGTCATGTTAGGTCCATGTATTGTTCAGCCTCTACTATACATACATATCTCCAGACTGTGGAAGCCTGGAAGGGTATCATGTTCATCTCATCTATCATCGCACCACCTTCCTTCCCAAAAACATCTATCCACCATCTAACCCACTCCACTACTTATCATCATGATCCTCGTCCAGCGGACTGTTAAGAGTGTAATCCAAGATATCGCTCAACGACAGCACGCCTTTCAGCTTATTCCGCTCGTCGATGACCACCAATCGGTGAACCCGCGACTTCCGTATCGTGTCGAAGATGGTATCGAGCCGATCGCTGAGGGTGCAGGTGTAGATGCCGGGAAAGTCCTACAACATACGTCAGATGAACCACCACCTCAGACAACAAATCTCGGCTCACCTCCGACCTCATCGTCAACGCCTTCCCAGCGCTCAGATTCAAATTATCATAGTCCCCGCCCTTGATCAAAGAAATCACATCCACCGCCTCGAAAACGTTCAACACCGTCCCCTCCTTATCCAGAATCGGCACGCACGAGATATTTCTCTTAACCAGCTGATGAATCACATCCATAACCGGCGTATCCATCCTCGCCGTCGTGATATCTGTGAACGTCCCACACGCAATATCCCGCAAAGGCTTCCTCAGCATCTGCGTCTCTTTCACATTCACCGACACGAATTTTAGGATCCTGTATTGTGTCACCACGCTCACCACCATCTCCCTCCTTGTCTCGTCGTCTACGTCTACAAGTGGGATTCTTCGTGCGCGGGACTCGAGCATGCGTCTACAGGCTTCATAGAGCGGTTTATTGGGGTGAATGGAGACGGTTTCGAGGGGCGTGACGCCGATAGCTCGTTCGATTTCGCGGAGACTGTTAAGCTTGAACTGGTCGACTTGGGCTAGGGCGTCTGGGTTCTGCCAGTAGTATTGGACTACATTGATGTAGTCGGAGGTAGTGAGGAGGCCGGCAAAGGTGGAGGTTTTGCTATCCCAGAGTGGGGCTGAGACGATGCCTGTAGAACATACTGTCATCATGTTGTTCTGATCAATCACGTGCGTTGGATGAAAAGAGGACATACCTTGCTGGGTGAGGATATTCAGACTCTTCTTGACTAGCAATGAAGTGTCGAAGACGATGAGTCGGTAGCTGAGGGGTAGGACATCGTAGCTCGTGCGCACTTTGAGGAAGGCACGAATGGCACGCTAGATTCTCACACAACCATCCCGTCAGCCAACACATCTCTCCACAGCATGTCCTCTCGCATACTACCACTCACCAGACCCTCAAGCTGCTCCCGATCCAACGGCGAGCTCATCTGCCCACTCCCACGCTGTGAACTTCCCGGCCTCGAGCCGGTCTCTATCGCAGTCGCAGCTTCGGCGGGCTGTTGTCCACGTGATGACAAAGGTCGCAAATAAGAAGACGGCGCGACGAATTTCGGTGGTCCAGCAGCAGCGGACGTGGGATGCGCTTCTGTAAGCGTGGGCGTCGGTATCGCTACTGATCCAGCTACACCCTTTGGAGAAGTAGTCGGAGACGGGCTGCCCTGTTCGGTAACAGGCGTATCTTTCGGCTGGGGAGGACAAGGAGCATCATCATTGAGGACGTTGTGGGAAGCAGGCAAGACATGTTCTGCATGGCTAGCGTTGTCATGAACCTTAGCAGCGGAAGAGGCGTTCCCTGTCGCATGATCTTCTTCTCCTTCGCTGCCCCTCACATCGCCTGCTTTCGATGCGTCATCTGACATGGCCGCCTGTTCTTGTGCGTCTGTCCGCAGACATGTATATCGATATGCTTGGCAGATTGTTCAGACGGTCATCCGATAAGCCAGATCTGTTGAGGTGCGACTTCCGCCCACAATCCATATCCGTCATTTTTGGACACTTTGGGCAGAGTGATGCGGGGTTGTGGGGTCGTTGGCACGTGGGCTGGCGTCATATTCAGTGATAGCCATTGGAAGTGAAATGGGATATATGTGACAGCCAATGCTGCACAGAATGTGGTGATATGCAGTTACTTGAGACTCGCCTCACGTGCTTTATCGGGCGCACAACATACGGTTATACCGTCTCTTCAGTACCACATTGCTATCTGACCCTAGGCAGGGTGCGCCGTCAACACCGAGTAGAAAGACCCTTTCACCCAACCATACTGTAGTAATCACGGCGTACCACCATATAGTACCAGATCTATCTCCAGATCAATTACTGCCATCCTCTAGGCTACCCTCCGCCACCGGCGCACCGCCATCTTTCCTAGCCTTCTGCAAGGCCTCGGGATTCAACTCAGGACCCGGCTCAACGACACCCTGCTCATGACCCTCCATCAACTCCTTGGTCGGGATATGGTCAAGCTTCTCTCCGCTAGCTTCAAGCTGGTGCTGACTTTCAGCCACGAGAGCCTCAGCTTCACTGACTCCACCCCTCTTTGTCGCTGGGTCGCCTTCGACACCGATGGGCTCGACTTCACGGGCCACCGTCTGCTGCACTGCTTTGCTGTCAAAGCGGACCATCATACAGGAGAGGTTATCGGTGGAAAAGCGGGCCAGTGCGTGCTCGACAAGCTGTTTCGACGCATGCTGTGGGTCTTGTGTATGGCGGACAAGGTCGACAGCTTCTTGGTCCGTGCAGACATCCCAGAGCTGTACACAAAGTTAGTACGATCCAGTTCTCGTTCGGTAGTTTTCACTTACGCCATCGCAAGCCAAGATGAGGAACTCATCGATGTCGGGCTGGATAACAGTCTCAGTTGTGTAAGGATGCCCAGTGACCAGATCCTTCATGTATGCATCGCCAAGCGCACGAGTTACCGCAAGCACGCCGTTCACACGGTTGTTCAAGATCAAGCCACCCGCGCCAGCAATTCGTTTGCCTTCATTCTCGTCGCTGCCCTTGTGGTCGTAGGATAATCGCAAAGCCTTGCCATTACGGCACAAGACAATACGTGCGTCGCCCACGTTTGCAGTGTAGAGCACACGCTGGCGTGTCGCAGCTTGACGAAGCTTTGTCTCCGTCGCACCAACTTCTGAACCGTCAGCAGGTTTATCAGAGTCGACCGCGGCAGCTGCAGCAGGCGCAATAGCAGTTGACCCTGTAGCAGACTGCGAGTTCGGTATCCGGTCCTCCCAGCGCAGGACTGCGACAGCGGCAGTGCAACCACTATTTTTAAGGGGCAACTTTTCCAGCTGCTGATCAACAGACGTAAAGGTCATATCTAGAAGCTCCGGAATAGGACTGTTCGGATGTTTGCGGATGACCTCTTCCAGCAGGAGATGTACCTTCTTACCGCACCAATCTGCTGCGAAGGTACCCGCATGTCCGTCGAAGACGGCGAAGTAGCCGTTGTCTGTTTCTACCACGTCCTGACTGCTAGTGTTGGACAGCACAGATCCAGTCTCAAGAGAGCTGCGGTTCTTATTCGATGCTTCCGAGCCGAGTAATGGCGCCGGGGTGCTCAGGAAGTTGTAGAGGAAAGCATGAGTGTCCTCCATCGTTCGGCGGCACTTCTTGTTCTTGTCCTCGGTCACACCCACACGGAATGTGGATCGTGGTCCGGGTACAGACTCGCCAGCAGAGTTGTTAGCCGAGCCTTGCAGCACACCAAGCGCCGGATCGGTCTTCGCCAGCTTCTGCATAGGCGTCTGGGGCGTCCTGTCCGCACGGCTCTGCTCAGGCGATGAGTTACTGAGACCGTCTCGCAACGATTGCTTCGCGCTGCTGAATAAATCGCGAGCTCGGCCAACACCACTACTTCTGCGTTTCTTCTCGGCGCTCGACATATCGGTAGATGTCCTCGTGGGACTTCGCATATCACCTGGAGTCTCGTCTTTGCTCTCCTCAACCGCTCCCATAGGATTTTGAGATGCACTCGGACTACTCTGCGTGCCGTCACTCTGGCTGATCTCGACGGCTGATACGGGAACGTTATTGTTGTCCTTCGGGTTGGAGCTGCCGAACATTCTGTTCAGCAAGCCTCCCTGACCGGAGAGACTGCGTCTCTTGCTCCCGGCCAGATTCTGGCCTGGCTTCGGTTCGCTGCTGCTCATGTATGTAAGGCCACGTTACAGCTCGCTTCGTCTCGAGGGCGGGTTGATGTGGATGTGCGAGTGTCGCGCTTGTGCCGAGGTGGGCAGATGAAGTTCGGTCGTAGCTTCCGTTCTTGGAGACTATATCTGCAATCAGGACATTATTAGCACTTCACCGCAAAATCGAGGCCGTACTTGCTTGCTCAAAGAAGAGTGTTGTCCCAGCAAGCAGGCGCAGCGGAAAGCAAAGAAGGCCGCTTACGGAATGTGTGCTCCGAGTATCACAAAGGCCACCCAGCAAGTCGGCTATGAGCACTTCCCAGTCTCAGTCTCTCGTGGGTGCTGATCGTGTAGTTAAACCCGCGATATTGTTGTAGATTCAGGTACGGCAACGTTATGCCAGCCTGGACTGCGAACTCCTCCAGTGCACAAGTGGGGGTGGTGGCCAGTGACGGGTGACGTGCGTGCCGCACGATCGGATATATCGCAGCCGAAGGGCCGATTCCACGTAGAAGAGCACGTGAGGTCTGCTATAAGTCCGCAATTAGTAATATGCAGACTCGAAAAGACGACAGCGGCGAGCAGCGGCAGCAGTGGATTGGTAGTTGCAGGACACAAGTTGTGTGGTGGCTACGTTGTCGCGAGACGGCTCAAGGTGCAGCAGATAGACAGTGTGGAGAAAGGTCTCGCTTGACGAAGCAATGAACACAGATCGCCAGGCAATAACTTGATGCCTTGAGGCGACGAGGAGCTCATACCTAGCCATAGATCTTGTTTGGGTATCCTACGTCACACACAGGTGTACTGTAGCCTACATTCCATCTCACACTCCCCATAATCACGACCGTCAGACACAACGCTCCAACAACGCTTGCGAATGCATAAACATATCCATGCCGTCTCTTCGAACCATTTATCTCGGACACCCAACTACTGACAGTGGTGGGACACCCACAGAAACCATCTTGGACACCATGCAAGACCTGACAGCCGATCCTGCCACCTCCTGTCATACCCATGACACCTACTCCAACGTGCTGTACATCATAACACATCCCTTCGATGGCTGTGCCCAGCATGTTTACTGTAAACGTGCCAAGCGGGAAGACTACGACCAGGCCATTGAGCCTTTGGCTGGCGTAGAACCGTAGTAAGCATCCGGCCGGCGCAAAGACAAGCGCAAACAGGACTTCGCCTCGCCAGGTCTGGTGCGGTGGCCAGATAGTCAGAAAGACTGCACCTAACAAGCAGCCGAATCCTAGAAACACCACAAGAGGGTCTACCAGACGGCGCGTGATTGGTGTATGTATTCGCGGTGTAATTCGATCGAATGGAAGCGCAAGATGTGCGCCCACAATCAGCCCGCCTAGTGAAAGTGCTAGCGTCGTGAGCACCACAGCCGCCCACGCTTCGAAGGAGTAGCCACCATGACGACTCGCAGACGACCCAGTAGTGAAGGTATTAGCATTATAGTCAGCCTGGTGGTTTAGTGGCGTTGGAAGATTGTTTGAGAGGCCCATGAAAGAATCTCGTGCGAACGATGAGAAAGAGGTCAAGCTGCCGCAGAAAACGGTCGCAAGACCAATATACATTGGGATAGCCTTCTTCCGCTTCAGACGTTCAGCCTTGTGCAGAGCTGCCAGATCCTGTCCTTCCCTCTCCCGAGCAGCGGAATAATCAGCCTAATCATCACGGAATAAGCCCTGGTCTTCTGCTAGAAACCCCATGAACATTGAGCCTGCGAAATTGGCCCATATTACTGGTGTCACTATCGGCGCTCTGGGGTAGAAGGTGAGCCACTGCAAACCCAGTCTAGCTAGCGTGCCTAGTATCGAGAAGAATATAAGATATGAGATCGTGTATAGCTCAGTCAGCCATCGAGGTGTGGACGGGGCTGCTTCCTGATGACTTGCAACGAAGTCTTCGGGTCTTCGGGAGACGAAAGGCGACGGTGCACCAGATCTTGAGTCCTCGTCGTCTGCATCATGTGCTTCACCTGCTTCGGCGTCTTCAAGAGACTTGGGTTTAACAGTCGTGGAAGAAGTACCAGGTGGCTCCCTTGACTGCGCGATCGGCGGCGGGATTGCTTCCTCCGTCAACCCAGATTGAGTCTGCCTGCCGCTTGGTCTTCGGCGAACAGATTCGCCACCAGCCCTTGCTAGATTGGCATCGAGATTGCCGATAGACTGCGGTCTTGCTTGACCAAACTCAAGGACATCGTAGTCATTGCTATCTATCTTCGATGCGAGATTCACCTCGCCGATGTTGTCGAAGTCACGAGGCTGTTGGTAGCTGGCTCGTTTGCCTTTACTTCTTGTCGTGGTCTGGCTTGAGCTGCTGAGAGGCCGTGGGCGCTGTCCAGTGCGCTGCGCCTCGTAGTATGAATGCCGTCGAGACACGGTGCATGTGCTGTGCCGAGACTCATGCCGAGACTCAGGTTGTTGAGGGTTCAGTATCTCGTCATGAACACGAGACGATGATACCTCAGCAGTGAGGGTCAAGTCTTGACTGTTCGGAATAGTCCATGGATGATGTCCTCCTATGATAGATGGAACATAAATGTGCAGTCTCTCGTCATTATAAAGACGTCCGCGGCGGTCTGGCTAGTGTTGGTGATATCCTAGGAACAACCTGTTGCTTCCCGTCTGACCATTTGATAGGGTTGATCGTGCAGCGACGGCGACGGATCGGTCTGGCACGTTCCGGCGAGGTCTGCTATACCATATTCGTCTGCGCGAAGCCCCACAATAGCTGTGAGCTTGGTCCCTCCAGCAATCAACGAACAGCAACAAGCAGCATCTGTCGACTGTTCAGACATTCTTGAAGGTTCATTGATGGTATAGCAGTCTCGGTCCCAGGTTGTATCAGTCGACGTGTTCTCAGATTAAGACCATGGCCATCAAACTCCCAAGCAACGTACATGTCTCGACCCATCCATGTCTGAGGGCGAAGCTCAGCCAACTACGATCCTCGTCAACCAATGCTGCGGATACGAAGCGTTTGGTGCACGAGATATCGACCATAGTGAGCTGTGAAGCACTGGCACATGGCTTCACAACGGAACAAGTAGGAAGTGTAAGCTTTCCCACCAATTCTGCCAGCCGAATATGGCTGACACTACAAACAGGTGAACAATCGCTGATAAGTATGTGTTATGTACGTGTAGGACGTGTCACCCCTCGGCTATGAGTTCACAGTGGAAGACATCTCGCCTTCACACATCAGCCTCGTCCCAATCCTTCGATCAGGCTTGAGCATGCTCGATGCCGTCCAGTCTCTCCTGCCAGCTCCCGTGACAGTCCACCACCTAGGGATGTACCGGGACAAGAGCACGCTGCAAGCGGTCGAGTACTACAATAACCTTCCACCATACCGCACTGCCGACGATACAGGAGGCATGGATCTGGCAATCATCGTGGACCCCATCATCGCTACTGGGTCGACAGTATGTGCTGCTATTGATACATTGAAAGACTGGGGTGTGCCACGTATCATATGTCTGGCCGTATTAGCCAGTGAAGAGGGCTTGAAGAGGGCTGCTGAGCTCTGGCCGAAAGGAGTGGAGATATGGGTTGCTGGTATGGATGCTGAGACTGACGAGAAAGGCATGATTAAACCTGGTCTGGGCGATATTGGAGATCGATTATACTTGACAATGGGCAAATAACATAACTTTAGAGCTATTGTGATGTAGCTTTAGCAAGCCGCCTTTTAGACTAGACAAAGACTACGCAGTAGATTTCAACAACATAACTCGACGTCTTGCCCGCATCACACGCATTCGAGAGTCTGGGGCTGATCGGAGACCGCGACTTGATGGTCGTCACCTCCCCAATATACTGATACTTTACACTCTCTATAAATCCTATATACACGACTACATTTTGTGGACGTGCTGTACAGGCGACACGTAATGCTTTCGTCCTCGGACAGCGTAGTCCAAGACTGCAATCAGGAACACGCCACCAAACATCAGTATCGACCAGTTCATAGATGTCGCCGTGGGGTCGTTGAAGACCGGGAAGAAGCTTGCTATGGCGGCCACAATAACGTAGGCCACGGCGAACATGTTGATGGGTGTGCCGAACTTGCCCAGCGAGAAGCGAGCTGGTGGTAGAGGCTCACGGCGAAGACGCTTGATCATGACACAGCTGATCGAGAGGGCGTAGGAAAAGCTAGTGGCGCCTGTGAGGAGGGCGAAGATGGTGTTGAGAGCTGCCGTCGACCCGATGTCTGAATCGTTGTTAGTACGATAGTCAATAAAATCTACGACGTCCTCGATTAGACTCACTGATCAATGCAATGATAACCAAAATGCCGAGCGAGAACATGATCGAGTTGACTGGGATTGGTGTACCGATGACAACGACCTTTCGAAACCAAGGTGAGAATGGTAAAGCGTTATCACGAGACAGTGCCCATGCTTGGCGTGAGGCCGCAGCGAGTGCGTTCAAGCAGGTACAGACACTGAGAACCATTGGAATGACGATCAGGCAGACAGTACCGACCTTGCTGTTCGTGGTGGCCAAGAAGACCTGATCTGAATTAGCATTTATCTAGAAACGGTTCTTCGGCAGACGTACATCGATGAATGGGAATGGTGAAGTTGAGTTGACGAGAGCCTCAATGTTGGTGATACAATAGCAGTAGGTGATGATGAAGACGAGGCCCATAGCGCCATTGATCAGGACAGTTCCGACGATCATGCGTGGCACCGACTTGCTGGCGTCTCGAGTCTCTTCACTCAAATGCGCAGCTGTGAAGCAAAATCAGTACAAGTATTCATATAGTTAGCTGTCATACTCTGCTTACCTGCATCAGATCCAGCAAAGGATCCAGTAGCCGTGATTGACCCGACATAACACGCGGTACCAATGCTAGACCATCCACCAAAGTTCGAAAATGTGCCGAATACATCCTTTGAGGTTGTCTTCGGTGCCAACACCCACAAGACAATGATGATCGCGAACCAGCCGAAGATGTGCAATATGAAGATTAAACCCTCCAGAAGCGGTAGTCGCTTAGCGCCGAATGTATTCATGCAGGTTGCAAGTATACCAATCAATATCATGAGGAGAGATTGATGCCAGTTCTGAGGTACATAGTTCTCGTGGTAGATGGATGCCATCACCAGGATCAGTACAGCGGCTGAGTATGCAGTAGTTGCGATCAAAGCTTGCCAGCCCAGTGCTGCGAGCCATCCGGTGATGTAACTGAGGAATCGTTGCTGTGACCGAGGCGCAAACTCTGAGACCTGTTCGCATCATCAGCGCAGGACTTACATCAGTACAAAACTGCCTCCACTCACCCAATGATATTGCCCGCCAGATGTTGGAGCCATAGAAGCCATCTCAGCGAGTGATGCTGCGAGAGCGAATGTGAAGATCCACGATGCAAGATACGTCCAGACTGCGCCTGCCAAACCACCATTGACCATGACGAAGAAATTCGTCAACAACAGAGCTGACCAAGTCGCCATGGTCGTTACACTCAAGCCGAGGACTGATAGCGACTTGAAGTTACGACGGAGCTCCTGGGTGCGTCCGAGACGAGCCATATCGACCGCGTCTGCTTCAGTACCAGAGTGCATGCCAGTGGCATCGTGGTTGATCTCCTTGTCGCTTCTGTTGCGCGAGTTGCCATAGAATGCTCCATTATTTTCCTCGAAACCCTTCTCGCCAGTCTGGCGCAGCTCATAAGACTCCATCCTTCAAGCAGAACAACGGCGCTCTCTCTCAGCGACCGTACAAAGCAAATGAACTGATGGGTTTCTCTCTACCAGCAAGCATGAAGGGTAGGAGATATTCGACGTAAAGCGAGTGCCAGGGCACGTTCCTGGACTATCCTGAGACGAGCATGTAGGCGAGTATACTAATGCCGCCTAGATGGATAGAGCGGATCTCACGGGTCCTCGTTATTATTGATGGTTTGCGCCAGGGTGATCGTCCATCGCGCATTCAAGGACGTTGTGTCCGAAACGTGGCTAGCCTTCATCACTGTGCGAGCCGTTTCTCGCCCTCGCTGGGTAGGCCCCGGCTCCCAATAAGCTGATCTACCAATCATGATTGTTGCCGATTGGTGCCGATCTCTGGTTCTCCACTTGAGTGATGGCCACATGGTGGATGCCACGAGGAGCTAGACAACTTGCAGTATACTGCGTACCGCGTGTAGCGTGGGCCTTGGCTACGTCGCGAAGGTAGCCGCCATCTCAACTTCTCTTGCATACGCGAATATGCACAACTGCCGTGCCGCTTCCAAGCAAGGAGACGACAGATTGCCGATTCGCGTGGGATCGTCCTGCCCAAGCTGGAAAGTCGTCGTGTGGCTCGGTGTTGTAAGTTGTCCCTTAGAAATATCCTTACTACTCCGAGACGTTCTACGTTCATTGGCACAGCCGCTTCTACGATATTGATCGACAATAACGTTGAGTCAGTCTACCTTTAGCCGCATCCTGTAGACACACGGCTCTCAACCTCCATCTCCACTTTCCAAGAGACGGTCTCCCTCCCGGTGCTCGGCGCCACACTAACGGCACCGCTTGCCTCTGCCGATATGCAATTACGCTATCCGCGTGGTCGGAGCTGCCTTTTGCGTGCTAGTGTGGTGGAGGTTGCTCGTCCATCGTGACATCGTCAGCTCGTCTCTCCTGCTGGCTCTTCTTGGAGGATCTCAAATCGGACGCTTCATCAAACTGCTTGTTATTTGTGGGCCGGCCTCCTACATACTGGGCCACCACCACGAGCTTAGAGTTTGAGGACTCGAGAGCCAAGTGCCTCGGTAGCAACAATAAGGACACATGAACGGACGGGATTATTATCCACATTATCTGGACTATAGACTGGCGGGTGCTACGCGGTCCAGGAAATGAGGCATCCACGCACCCACTTCTCGCCGCCTGAGCAACCAGTAGTCGCACGCAACGAGCAGCTCGTCCGTCTGGCGGTGTCGCAGCAAGAAATTGCCTGTTCAAACCAGGGATCCGCAGTAACCAATGTGATCGTCAAGTGTGCGCCTGTTGTGGAGTCTCCCCCCATACTTTGGACGTAACATCTCTTAAATCCTCATGGATACCCTGTTTTCTGACTAGCAGATGGAGGAATGGTTAAGCTGAGACAAGCCCGCCTGCACACGGAAATGGCAAATGCCACAGATGCAGTATTCTTCCATGCAGCATACTGGAATGGTAATCGCGCCGGGTATGGTGCATGGCTGTCCCGTTCGTCCTGGTAAATGTGATAACGTACCTGCGTCTTGCCTAGAGGATTACCATATTCAGGAACGGGCCAAAACTAAAAGAGCCACCCAAGAAAGGGTCCTTTGATGGCAAGATCTTGTAGTTTGCACATACGACTCCAATCCCACATATTCGAGTTCCACTCTCCACTGGTTGTTTTAGACATGCGCTGCGCCTGAAAGTCCTTGCCGTGCGATAACACATCATATCATGGCCGATCCTTCAGCTCCAGTTCCTACGCTCACTGTCAGCACGGCGGTCACACCTACTGACCACAGTGCTCTCATAACACTTGCTGGATGGCTTTGCATGGTAGCGGGAGTACTGTGCTCGCTGACGCGACTGCACATCCGTTGGCCTCTCAGATCACTTGCCGGATCGGATGATGTTACATGCGGCGTTGCAACCCTTCTTGCTATCATACAGACAGCAATCACACTGCAAACGGCGAAGCATGGTCTTGGAATTACAGTACAGGACTTGACAGCAAGTCGAGAGGTTGGAGTTGAAAAGGTTAGATGTGTCGAGCATTATCGAAGACTTACGACTCTGTGCTGACCTCCAGGTTTCACAGACACTATATGCCACAGACCTGATATTTGTGCTATCTCTATGGATTGGCAAGATTTCGGTGGCCCTCCTGTTCGTCCGCCTAGCCAACTCGTCGAAGAAGACAAGACCCGGCTGGATCCTCACAGGTCTCACGGTGGTGTTCGGCTTTATCTCGTTTCTATTGATTGCGATCCGACCACCCACTAGTCACCCATGGCGATATGACGAAGTAACGGCATCTTCGGCATTGGCCAGATGGATAGTCAATGGGGTTTTGAGCATTATCGTCGACCTAATCGTATGCGGCATGTCCTGTTATCTGGTCTGGGACTTGCAGATGAACTTTCAATCGAAGTCGCTCGTCGTCACCGCTTTCGCTCTCCGTATTTTTGTGGTGCCAATCACGATACTGAGGTTGGTGAGCTTGGGCAATGTGATGCCGGACAACATCTCATTCACATATACCCTTCCGGAGATCTTCACGCAGCTGGAAATGCACTGCAACCTGATCGCAACGACTCTGCCATGTCTGAGACTGTTCTTGACAGCATGGAATACGAACTTTATGAACCTGAACTTGGAGGAGATGGATCCACAGGCATACAAAGAGCGTAAGTCGTCGGACACGGCCGGACCCAAGCGTAACGCAACTAACATGAGTGACAGATGTGACCTCTCACACACAAAGCTACGAACTGTCATCCCAGATCAACGGCAACAGCAAAGGAGGATCCAGATTAGGGCACAAACAGAACTCAAACAAGCACGGATGGGCAAATCGATCACAAGGGAGAAATACAACAATGGTGGAACGAGCCGAGCGAGACGAAGATGCAGCTAGCGACAACTCAACACAAGCAATTGTGATCAAGCAGACTATCGCCATAGATAGGGAATGAGATATTATGATACGAATGTACATATGCTTGCAATCTTCAAACAAGATGCAACACAACTCTTGTCCAGCACCGAAATAGGTCGGCTCGACAGAACCCGTACAGAACCACGCCGTTGAAGCTGCCACATTGAAGCTCACGTAACCAATCCTGGCTGCCATTGATGCTGTGGCGCAGTACCGCCGCACTATCTCGCCAACATTAGAGCTCCTTGACACTGCCGATGTAGATTACGCTCTGCCTCGATCGCCTCCAGCTCAGACGGTGAGTCCCAGTTCAGCCACCAAGTCGCTGATCAGACTTCCTACCTCAGTCAAGTCGAGCTGTCGCAGAAGCTCCGAGATCGAAGTGTCATCGTTGTCACCCAGGGCGTTCAGGATCTCAGATACATCATGACCGACCACACCGAGCTTGATCAGTAGAGAGCTGGCGAGAGCGTTGTCGTCCAGGCCAGCGGCGGACAGGAGCTCAAAGATCGAGTCCGAGCCATCTAATCCGAGAGCTTGGAGGGCGCCTTCCACGTCTACATCGGAGAGGTCGAGACCAAGCAGGCGTTTGTTGAGGGTGTCAATGTTCAGAGCATCCATGTCGACATCCAGAGCGGATAGACTGTCATCAAGCAGGCATTTGTTCAGAGCGTTGATGTTCAACGCATCGGTGTCAAGTTCGAGGTCACTGAGGCTCACCTTGCGTTTGTTGAGGATGTCAATGTTCAAGGCGTCAGTGTCAAGGTTGAGGTCTTCGAAGTCCACCTGGCTTTTATTGAGGGCGTCGATATTTAGGGCATCGGTATCAAGATTGACATCGTCAAGGTCCACCTGGCGTTTGTTAAGGACGTCGATGTTCAAGGCATCCGTGTTAAGATTGAGATTCGTGAGATCAACCAGACGTTTGTCAAGGGCCTCGGGTTTCAAGGCATCCGGGTCAAGGTCCAAGTTCTCCAGGTCCACCAGGCCAGCCCCACGCTTGAAGGTCGAGTCGCCACCCGTGAGGCCGCCTGTGACAATGCTGGTCAGATCGGTCACAGTGTCAAGGACACGACGCTTGACTGAGCCATGACCAAGACCGGAAGTCAAACCATCAACAGTCTCGATCACACCCTCCTGGAGCTCACGCTTGCTCTTAAGGTTACCCAGGCCGAGCTTAGAGGTCACATCTGTGACAGTTCCAACAGTGCCGTCGAGGAGAGCATTGCGTTTGACGTCGATTAGGGCCACACCAGTGACGCCGTCGACCAAAGGCAGGACTGGGAGGAGCGGGAGAGCTTGGACCGCGGCGCCAAAAGCAAGGGCGAGGATGAAGAACTGCATGGTGCTTTGTGACGTGGTTGACTGTCGTGAAGGACGGGTTTCAATCGGAAGCGGCGGGGCCAAGGAGGATTAACGAGTGACTGGGTAAAGGAATGTGGTGGTGGCTGATGGGAGAAGTCATTTCTCAAGGACGATGTACATCCTTATATCACGTCCCAGCTGCACTGTCGGAAAATCTGGCTATCGTAGTAGGGATCCTCTTGGTGCAATACTCAGACTCATCAGGTTCTGGCTTTTCCCGTAGGACGAGATTGTACTCCGTACCGCGAGGCGTCTAGCAGGTAGCGAGTAAGATATCGCAGTCTCCATATCAGATTGTACTGGTGCTTTTCAATGAAGATCGACCTGGGGCGTATGCCATTGTGCTTCTCACGAGTCGTTGGCGGCGACTAGTCCTGTTCACAATCGATATGAGGTCCATGAGTCTCACACAAGCGACTTGCATATCTGGCAGTTGCCGTCGCTGCAACGGCCGGATAATGTTCGGTGATATCCATCACAAACTTCTGCTAATCGCTGCCCTCCGCCCTGATTAATGAATGCATGCTACTGCTGCCAGCTGCTGGCGACTGCGCTCACAAGCTATCTCCTTGAGCGCAGTGCCGATGGGGCCCAGAATCCTCATCACGCCCAGCTCATGAGTCGACTTCGATAATGATCATCATTATCACGCCCAGCTCACGAGTTGACAATTGGATAATAGTCATTACACGGGTGGAGTGAGCATGGCGTCGAAGACTGAGACTGTCTCCTTTTCACCACTCATCTCATCCTCACAGCACGGACGGGGACCATGACCACGAGATTATCGTGCAAAACACAGCGACACACATTTTGCGCACACATGCAGCTCAGAGGTCTGCTAGCTCGAGACGGAAATCACTGGGACCACTTCGCGCAGCCTTCCGTAACATCATTGACTTCTGCGCATGAAGCTGTTGGGTGTTGATCCTTCTGGCTACTTATTTGTTTTGTTCATGGAAACCATTTTTGGATGCATGATGGCAAGGTCAATGACTCGTAAACTTGACGGACTTGATAGTAGATGGAGATCGGACATAGGTCAAAGACCAAGGCAGGTCGACTACTAGATAAGCACAAGCTTGTCGTGACGACGAGGCCAGCGACCACTACTAGGTGGTATCAATAAAGACCAAATCTTTGATAAGACCGCCAGCGTGTCTACCTCAACACCTGCCCTCAGAAACGCCCTTACACTCTCTGCCTTTCTCCCAGCAACAGCAAGCATCAGAGCCGTGGCGCCTTTGTTGTCTTGTATACTGGCATCCACCCCTGCGCCAAGCAGAAGGCTGGTAACACCAGCACCAGAAGCAGTACACGAAGCCTCCATCAATGCTGTACGACCGTGCGCATTACGCAAGTCCAGCCGAGCACCTTTATGAATCAGCAATTCAACCATAGCTATCTTCTCTGATAATGCGGTCTGGTGAGTGACTTCCCTCCTGCACACAAGATGCAATGTAGTATTGCCATCTTCATCCTGAAGGTCTAATAGTGCCCCGGATCGCAAAAGGGCCGCAGCTTCGATCACGCTCGAGTGCACAGCGAGCATGAGCGGTGTGGATCCACGTGCATTGGATGCGTTTACAGAGACTCTGGCTTCCAGAAGGGGAGAACGAATGGCTTCACGTGTGGACTTTGCGTATTTGTCTTTGAAGGTGTAGTGCAGCAATGAGTCTCTGTTGCTGTCTCGGCTGTCAAGATTCGCGCCGTGATCAAGCAGAAAGTTCACAGTCTCGCGAGCTCGCTCGGGCTCCATAGCACAAATGTGATGCAGGCCTGTGTGACTCCAGTAATCTACCTTGAACGCCTCTGCAAGGCAAGCCTGAATGATCTGGGCCATGGTAGTGTCCAGTTCTTGCTTCGTTACAACCAGGGCATTCCGTCCAAGTTCATCCTGCAACAGCACGTCCGCACCTGCGGCGACGAGGCACCGTACAGCGGGAATAGACTTATAATGTATAGCTAGCATCAGAGGGGTCATGCCGCTTGGATCTCGAACATTGACGCGGGCGCCGGCAGCAACAAGCTCGTTAACCATGCTCGCATAATTGTGGACACTGACATGCCGCCCATCGCATGCGGCTAGTAGTGGATCACACGTGCTGGGATCGGCACCGACCTCGAGCAAAGCTTGTACGGCTTGCTTGTTGTCGCTCCGACAGGCGAGAAGCAGAGCGGTGACTCCATCTTTATTGACAGCGTTAATGCATGCTCGGATCCGATCCCTCTGCACCAACAGTACTCTGAGCAGTGCGTTGTCGCAGGTCTTCACAGCTTGGAGCAGAGGTGTGTCACCGTGTGCATCGTCAGCAGCTATCAAGTCGGCCCCATGATCCATCAAGCACTTGACGACGCTCGATAGTCGATGTCGAACGCAGTGATTCAGCAGGGTCTCGCTGTGATGATTGGTGTTGACATTTAGACCCGCCCTTATCATTTGCTCGAGGCGTGAATGCTTATCTTGCTTGCTCAACGCAGAAATGCCATGCTGAGAGATTGAAGCAGCATTGATCGGATGCGACTTGGTCGAGCCAGCTAAAGTCGACGGCTGGCCATCGTTCCAATGATTGGATCGAGTCTGATGCGCGAGAGTGATGAAATAATCGGCATGAATGTCATATTTGGATGCAATAGTCAAACCACGACGGAAAAGCTCGTCTACAACATCATGACGTCCATAGCGCATAGCGATCTCCAGTGGTCCGCCAGATCCAAAAGCGATTGATAGTTCCCCGTATGCTATTGCTACCTGTTGGAAATCATCGACCAGGATCGCCGAGTCGAGAAGTCTGATCACTGCTTCGAGGTTCCCAGCACCGCAAGCCCAGCACAACGAGTACCACTCGCAGTTCGAACAAGTGTGCCGATGGCGATTGTCCAAAAGACTCGCGAACTCTTTGGCGTTCTTGGACGCAAGGGCACGCATGAGCGGACTAAAGCTGACTACACATTGCGTTGTTTTCGAGGTACCCACCAGTAGCACTGTCTGACCAGTCTGCATTGGCGACGAATTGTGCTCGAGGCTGGTCCGAGCAAATGATTTCGCAAGAGCCTCAAGATCACTCGCTAGGTCCGTATCGATTCGTGGCATACACGAAAGGTTTGCGGGACGAATTCCTCCAGGCAAGTAGGAAGCCACCAACTTGAATTGTGCTTCTGAAAGCCTCAGAGTCTCGAGTCGCAATCCTTCGAATTGTCGACAGAGCATTACCCGAACGCTATCGAAGTATGCTTTGATCTGGAGAGTTTCCCAGCAACGAAGTTCGGATATATAATCTTGCCGCGTCGCCTCGAGTATCCAGCAGTTCGCTGCTTGTGGGAGCAAGCTCTCACAATCGCTCTGTGGTGATGACGCTGATACGCTTGAGTAGTCGAGACGCGGCTGACAGTGCAACTGGCGATCGGCTTTGAAGACAAAAGCGATATCACAGGAGCTACATTTGAATTTCGGCTCCGGGACATGCTCAACATGTACCTGCGCATGGCATAGTAATGCGCGTTTCGTGCTGCCAGCATGGTGACCACAGATTGGACACAGACTACCCCATTCGACTGAAGTGATCCTCTGGCCAAACTCTGAGGATTGCAAATACTGTTTGATGCTGCTCCGGATAGCAGAGCCTGAGAGCATATCATCGCGAGCTTGCCGACCTTGCATCGCGTCCCATCGTTCTTGATTCGCATTCAGACGTGTCAGATACTCGTCAGTACTATCTTCAATCTCCATGTCGAAGAGCATGTCTTCTGACGTGGCCATGATCTCCCTCTGAAAGTTGGCTGACTGCAAGAGGTCGACTTGGAACATGGCAGACGAGCCAGCCGCTCGCGCAGCTCCAAAGCCCATACGCTCATCCCAGAGCTCGGGCTCTGCCTGAGACGCATCGGATGGCATACGATATGCAGACTTGATTCGCGATGGCCAAAGTGGCCCTGGGCAAGCAAGATTTGACGACATCTGCTTGCCATCGTCCATGTATGATGAGGTGAGTTGCTCTGGATCGTCCACAATCTGCACGTCTGGCGTACATTTACTGCAAGCGGCCGAGTGGCTCCTGAGAAGCTCTAGATCGATGGGAGTCGAGTGGCTCCCACTCTCCAAGCCCGGAGGACTGGGGCGGTCGCTGGTGGTAGCGGTGCTACCTTCGGTGTCCGCGGATAGATTTGTAATGAAGCGGCGCGGACTGACTCGTCGTGACATATGCGCGACGGTGGTAAAGGCGGACGTGTCTGCTTCGGGGTCCACTCGACCGTCATTGCGCGACTTCTTCGACACACTCAGTGCACAACGCCAATTTAGCGGCGCCTCGGTATGTTCGTGAAGCACGTCTTTACGGAAAAGCTTGCCACAGCCAGGACATGGTATCTTTCCATCGCTGTGCTGATTCTTAACATGCCTTTCCAGCGCATCGGGGCGCGTGAAAGTTTCACTGCAGCCAGGTTCCGTACAGGTGAGCTGGGAAAGGGCGTGTTTCGTAGATTCATGTCTTTTCAACACATAATTAGTCTTGAAATGCTGTTGGCATATTGAGCAGTACGGTGGCACTGCGAGTCGCGGTTGCTTGCTGTGCCCAATAGATCGTTCGTTCGTAGCGCCCTGCCGCTTTCTTGCATTGTTCAAAGTAGCCATTAACAGTTATTAGCTTGGATGAGGAGAATGGGCGAGGTACTGGCGTGCTGACAGCATCGTATGTTTATGCATGAGCAATTGTCCAAGGTCTAGGTGAAAAGAAGGCAACCTGGTGGTGTGCGTCCATCCCATCTGCAGGGGGGGCTGCGCCATGTCGAGGCATGCTTGCCTTCAAATCGAGGCTGACCTGAAATCTTGGTGGTGCACTGCAGGCGTGGCGGAACAACTTTACATACCCAATTATACTATAGGTGAGGTACCGCATATAAACATGAAGTCACGATATCGCCTGCGCTACTAGATTCTTTGGCGTGCATCCTGGTGGTCGAATACAGATGTATAGAAGATCAGAAAGCGTATCGTTACACGAAAGTGCAGTACATGCTGAGCCCAGACTATATATGGAGCAACCGTGAACGTCACCGAGGCTCGTTAAGTCCGATAGCTGCATATCGAGCTGTGCTGTGTGATTTGGTCGTACAACGTCCGGTAAGGCTACATTTCGGAAGCAAAGTAGAACCCTTCGAACGTAGTGGTACAAGGTCACTCGATCTCGATGTTCACATGAAGCCGTCAGCAGAGTTGGAAGCACCAACAGACCGGAAGCGCAAACGTGCAGCACGTCAGCCATCGCCGGAGGACACCAGGAAGCAGAAGACGCTTCAGTCTCTATTCACCAACCAGCAGAAGCCTCACTCGAACCCGACAGTGAATTCGCCGAGCAGCAAACGACACAGGACAGACTTGGGACCTCCGAGCACGCCACCACGAGCTTTGCCAAAGTCAGCTATGTACTCCTTCCCATCTCGATCACCAGCTTCGAAAGGATCAAATGGCGTCATCGACCTCACAAATGGTAGCCCACCAGTATCACCCCAGGCTCGAAGAGTAGGCGGACGATCAGGTTTGAACCCACACATTGGAGCAAAGAAGCTCGTGGTCAAGAATCTCAAGACGAACAATACCTGGGACAGCAAGGCGTACCTCGAGAAGATATGGGGACAGCTAGACGCCGCACTAGCCATCATCTTCAAGGATGGCAAGGAAGGTTTCAGCCGGGAGGATTTGTATAGAGGCGTGGAGAATGTGTGTAGGCAAGGTGGAGCACGGACACTGTTCGAGAGGCTAGATGGCAGATGTCGGCAACATATCGAACGAGACATGCGAGACCCGTTATTAGAAAAGAGTGGAGCGGATAACGTGACGTTGCTTAAGGCTGTTCTCGCCGAGTGGGCACGCTGGAAGGAGCAGATGGTCACTATCCGAGCTGTCTACTTCTTCCTGGATCGATCATACCTGCTCTCCTCAAGCAAACCAACACTATCGGAGCTTATACCACAGCTCTTTCGCGAGATTGTCTTCAGTCACGAGCTGCTGACGTCGAAGATTGTGGACGGTTCTTGCGATCTGGTCGCCTCTGAGCGGACCACACAGAACAGCTATGATGACAGCTTGTTTCGACAAGCAGTGGATATGTTCCACGAGCTGCAGGTCTACACGTCTTCATTCGAGCCGAGATTCTTGGGCACTACGCAGAAATACGTCGCTGAGTGGTCCGATGAGCAGATCGCAGAGAGGACTGTACCGGAGTTTGTTGCCATAGCAGAGAAGTTCATCGCTACGGAGATGACAAGGTGCGAAGATTATGCACTAGATGCAAGCACAAGGAGAGACCTGCTGGCTTTACTCGAGGACCATTTTGTCACGCGGAAGGAGACCGATCTGACAGAGTACGAGCCTCTTGCGAAGCTGCTGGACAAAAGCCAGCTCTCAGAACTCACCGCGCTCTACGCTCTCCTCAACCGAAGACGGATTGGCAACAAGCTGCGGCCAGCATTCGAGAGGTGGGTAGACGAAACAGGCACAAGTGTGGTTTTCGGCAAGGAAGATGACATGGTTATCAGCCTCCTCTCGCTCAAGCGCAGACTGGACCTGGTGTGGAAGACGGCATTTATGCGTGACGAACAACTTGGTCATGGTCTACGAGAGACTTTCGAGATGTTTATGAACAAGACGAAAAAGGGTGAGGCGACATGGGGTACTGACAACACCAAAGTTGGCGAAATGATTGCAAAGTATGTCGATCAGCTACTTCGTGGTGGCGCGAAAGCGATACCGGACATTCTGACAGCAAGGAGAGCATCGAGCATCACTGGTCCAGCTCCAGGTCTGCAGCTTGAACGGATTACAACCGCAGAGGGCGCCATCGATGAGAATAATGAGGAAGAAGATCTGGACGAAGACTCGGAGATCAACCTCCAACTCGACCAAGTCCTCGACCTGTTTCGTTTCGTGCATGGCAAAGCAGTCTTCGAGGCTTTCTACAAGAAGGATCTCGCTCGTCGTCTCCTTATGGCTCGCTCAGCGTCAGCAGATGCCGAGCGAAGTATGCTTACTCGCCTCAAGACTGAGTGTGGTAGCGGTTTCACGCAGAATCTGGAGCAGATGTTCAAGGATGTTGAGCTGGCGCGAGAAGAACTGCAGTCGTACAAGCAGCGTCTCGAGGACCGGATAGGGTACGAGAAGGGCAAAGGTGTTGACCTGAGTGTGAACATCCTTAGTGCGGCGGCTTGGCCGACATATCCAGACATACCCGTCGTTGTACCTTCTAATGTTAAGAGGGCTATTGATGACTTTGAGTTGCATTACAAGTCGAAGCATACAGGTAGGAAGCTGGATTGGAAGCATGCTCTCGCTCACTGCCAAATGCGAGCAAACTTCAAGAAGGGCGCAAAGGAGCTCGTGGTCTCCTGCTTCCAAGCGGTAGTGCTCTTACTCTTCAACAACGTGGCAGACGACGAGCATCTGACATACAACCACATCCTTACCGAGTCCGGATTGCGTAAGTGTTTCGAGAGACGTGACGGAGATATCCCTATTAACACCTCGCACAGCTGAAGCAGAAGTAAAACGCACCCTACAATCACTCGCCTGCGCCAAACTCCGCCCACTCACCAAACACCCCCGTGGCCGCGACGTCAACGAAACCGACACCTTCACCCTCAACTCCGACTTCAGCCACCCCAAATACCGCGTCAAAATCAACCAAGTCCAACTCAAAGAGACGAAAGAAGAAAACAAGGAAACCCATATCCGTGTAGCCGAAGACAGGAATTTCGAATGCCAGGCTGCTATCGTGAGGATCTTGAAGAGTCGAAAGACGATCGGGCATCCGGAGCTGGTCTCGGAGACGATCAAGGCGACGATGAGTAGAGGTGTGCTGGCGGTGGGCGATATCAAGAGGAATATCGAGAGGTTGATTGAGAAGGATTACATGGAGCGGGAGGAGGATGGGAGGTATAGTTACATTGCTTAGATTTGGGACCGTGGGTAGGTTGTAACCGGAGGGCGAGATATTCATGAATGTGTCTTGTGTCAAATTCACCCTGTGATGGGAGGCGCCATTGGTTTCTCGTCCTCCTGGAGACCAACTGAGTGACGATTCGGGACAAGCAGCCAAGAAATCAGTTGGGAAACTTGAAATACGCGAAGCATAGTCCTCCATCTTATCTCTTCCCCTTCGTCTTTTTAGCCAACCTCTTCTCAGCCCTAACATCCTTCTTCAACCTCGAATCAACCATCTTATACTTCCCCTTGACACCCTTCGGCCTCCCAGCACCCTTATTCTGCCCACCAGCCCTAACAACCTTGACCTCCTGCTTCCCCTTCTTCTTCCCACCACCCTTCTTCGCCTTGGCCATGAGCGCCGAGATTGAGTTCGCCTTGTCCCTTTCAGTCTCGTCGCCTTCAGCCAGCCCTTCACTCTTCTTCTTCAGCTTCTCGATCCGTCGAGCTGTGCGAAGGATCTTGCGGGCTTTGGCTTCGCGGACTTTCTTGATGGGTCGAGCGTTCAGGGCGCGGGTTTTCTCTTTGATAGCAGCGGCAGCGGCGGCACTGATGGGTCGTGCGGGACGGGAGTGTTTGCCTTCGTCGTCTAAGAACCAGTCGGGCAGGCCATCGACATCGCGATGCGAGTATTTTGTGAAATTGTCGTCTTCCATTTGATGGCGAGTTATCTTACCAGAGGCGAGAGCGTGTGCCAGGGTCATGGCTTCGGCGGTGATGATGTCAATGTTCGGTCTGCCTTCTGTTTCTGTGGTAGGCTTCTCAGTGCCCTCTTCCCAGTCTGCTTCTTCTTCAGCCTCTACAACTTCTTCAATGTCGCTCTCTTCTGCCTCTGCTTCTTCATCGGCGCTGTCTTCCTCGATGTCGACCTCTTCAGCGGCTTTGAGTGGCGGTGAAGCGGATGAACCAGAGTTGACATCCACGCCACTGTCTCTTGCTAAATCGACGTCCTCATAGTCGGGCTCCTCCTCAATACCACCTATGTCCGCGAAGATATCCTGCTGGAAGAAGCTCGCTGCACGTCCAGATAGCTCACCCTTCTTCAGATTCTCCTTTGGCGCTAATTGATTCAACAGCTCAGCTTCCTCCTCGTCAGTCTCGTCGCCACTCTCATCCTCGACAATGCCAGCGTCACTGCTTGCATCCGTCTCAGCGCCCTTGTCCTCACCATCGAAACCTTCGAACTCATCATCGTTGTCTCCGTTCGCCTCCATGCGTATTCGCTTCGCTCGGGCCTTGGCATCGCGATCCTCCTTGCCTTCTTGATACTTCTCATACATAGCATCAAGCTCCCTCTCCAGTCCGTCCAACTCTTCATCTTCTTCTTCCTCCTCGCTCTCCTCGACCTCTTTCGGCTTCTCAGCCTCGCTGTACATCCTGCCACGAGTGATTTGTCGACCAATGCCAGCCTTGTCTACGTCCCTCAATCTGAACGTGCCTTCGTCGCCCATAGGTCCTCCGGCATCCAGACCAATCTCGGAAGACACTGTCATGTTCATCTGCATGCGGGTGATTTCTTTTTGCTTTCTCTCGTTGTCTCTTCTCCGCTCCTTACGCTTGAGCTTGGATTGTGAGTCCTGCATCGCTCGGATCTCTTCTTGCATGCGCATCTCATCGTCCATGCTCTCGAGGACTGCCACTTCCTCGCCAGCTTCGCCTTCCTTCGCACCTGCCTCGGCAATCATATCATCCACTGCGCCTTTGGCGGTTGTAGTAACAGATTTTGCGCCGGTATCCTCAGTCTTCTTCTGTCGCAGACCGAACGTATCACGTGCCTTCAAACGCCACCGAAGCAGCAATTTAAACTCCTTCCTCCCCAAAACCTTCAGATCCTGACAGCATATCCTAACTTCTTCCGTGGTCTCAGGTAGTCGATCCAACGCAGCCAAAGCAATATCTCCACCAGCATCCTCCTGCCTAAAGTGCAGCTTGTTCACGCTGCCAAGCATCTTGATCGGATCCGGCGTCTGCACGAACTCACTCGCAGGCACTTCCTTGAACTGTGTGTAATCACCCTCCTCGTAACCATCACGCTTTCGCTTCTTCTTCTCGGGATTGAACACTCGCGCTTCCATGTTCACAGCAGCTTCCTCCACTTCTGCAAAAGCATACTTCGAGTCCAAGAATCGCGGGTCCATGTGCTTTGGTGCCTTGTACCCTCGACAGACGTAGAATGTCTCGGCAGACACATTTCGACTACTGGGTGGCTTGGTCTGCTCAACACGGCCAAATAGTTGCTTGAAGATCCACTCGAGCTTCGCGCTATCCTTCGAGCGGAAGACTTTCGTTACGAAGTTACCGCCGGGAGCCAGAAACTCTGTGGCGAGCTTCAGAGAGGCCAGGACAAGGTCGTTCTGGCTGAAAGCGTCCTGCACCCATGCTGTACCAACATTCGGCGCACCATCGTGGATCACTGTATCTGCCTTCCACGTCTTCAAGTGTCCACGAATTGTGGCTCTGCATCGCTCAGTCGTGATATCGTCCTGAAAAGTGATGGTCTTTGGGATAGGCTTGATCGGGCTCAAATCCACACCGACAATCAAGCTCTTCGCCGGCATCGTCTCTGCTGCCACTTGCAGCCATGATCCTGGCGCCGCGCACAAATCGATGAGACATTTCGACTGTTGGAGGAAGGAGTATTTCTTGTTCAGCTGGATGAGCTTGAAGGCGGCACGAGCACGATATCCTTTCTCCTTAGCCAGGTAGTAGTACTTATCAAGACGCGCCTTGGCGTTCTTCTTTTGGATCGCCATGTCGACGATGTATATATTCTACATCTCTAATATCTCGTAAAAAGTTTCGTCTTTGCATGTCAGAATGGACTTCCGAGTCTTGGCAGGATCTTATCTTATCTAGAGATGTACTTTCGGCCAAAACGTCGCGTCTAAGCGCGTCACCTCGCGAAGCCGGAAAGGGCGAGCGTGACTTCAGTACACCTGCGTGAACATCGTCCCGGCCGACCTCACTTCACAACAGATCTACGAAAGGGCTGCCGGTCAGAAACAGTCCCACATCGCCAGAAGGATGATTGAATGGCCACGGCAGCACTATGGCCTGCAATGAGTGCAGATGGAGACCGAAGCGTGCATCCATTCTTCAGACAGTCCAATGGAAGCCACGATCAACCATCATCACATTACCAGGTGGATGGCGACCCAGAGGACGATGGACTGCAGATGGACCAATTGGACAGTGCTAGCGAAGAGAAGGCGAAGACGAAGCGGAGTAGAAGAACCAAGGCCCAATTGGAGGAAGACAGGACTGGAAAGAAGCAGAGGACTCTACAAGACATCATCAACCCGAATTCGCGCCAACAAGCAGATATACCGGACAATGTGGCTGAGGATATAGTTGATCTGGTATCCTCGGACCCTGTAGTCGATACATCTCGTCGGAAACGAAGACGAATCACTCCGGCCCAATCAGCTCAGCTGCGGGATGAACATGAGATCGCCAACTCAACCTCCGATGCTCCTCTGTTGACTAGCGATATCATTGATCATGCCACTCAAGCACGAGCGCCGAGTTCGCCGCGGGTGATCATTCCAGTCTCTTTGCGGGTCGCTGCCTTGCCTGAAGTGCCTGTTACCACAGCCGACGACACCACGACGACGCCACAAACCCCACCTAGGAAAACACTTACATTGAATGCGAACGGCAAATTCAGTTCGCCGGTAACGAAGAAGCCAAAGGCAGAAGATGTGTCTCCTGCTGCACCAAAGCGACGAGGTCGACCACGCAAGTCCAAGGATAACATTGCGCAGAAGAGACGAACTGTAGTGCTAAGCTATGGAAGCTCTGCAGCCGGTACTGGTGCCAAGATTGATCTCATCCTCTCGGGCGAGGAGAGGGTTGTAGTGGAAACCCCACGACAGCCAACACCGAGAAAGCTTCGCACGCCAAAGAAATCCAACAAGCCTCCACATCCGTTTTTTGCAGGCAAACCGAAGGAGCAGCCGAAGCCTATAAAGCTGGAGTCGCCGAGGAAGGTATCTGCCACTACTCCAGGCAAGCTTAGAAGGCAGATCATGGCAGATCGACCTCCGGAGGTGAACGGAGAAGTTCCGTATGCTGTTGAGTCAGCTCTGTTAAAAGATCGTCTAATGATCAGGCATCCTGGTGCAAGAGACCCACCATGGCCAGATAGGCAGCAGGCACATGTTCGAGGACTGGACGATCGTGACAAAGCGGCTTATCCGGGCATTAGCAACCAGTTAGCTGGCAGCCAACGCAAGCGTAAGGCTTCACAAATACCACTAAAAGGGAACGAATCAGTACTACGACGGTTCGGCGCACATCTCAAGCCCGAACTGGAATGCGTAAGGCGTGCTGATGGACTTTGTGAACCGCGCAAAGCCTTGCGAAGGCCCGACAGGTCATTGATAACAGGTCATCAAATCCGACAGCGAGTAGCGCATGAGCTCGCGGCAACAATGAGCGAGGTCGATCTAGCAGCAGGCGTCTTGCTACAAATCAACCACAGAGATTATACAACACATCCCGGTTTAAGGAAATTCTGGAGTCTGATACCAACGACACTTTCAGCTTTCGATGAGCTTCGTGGCGAGAATGTAGGCTGGGCTCAGAAATATGCTCCAGAGACTGCGGAAGAAGTCCTGCAACCAAGTCATGAGATGCGAGTCTTGGGAGACTGGCTGAAATCTTTGAGGGTGAGCTCGGTCGAACATATCAGCACCGTTTCTGTCAAGACGGGAGCAAAAGCTGAGCCGAAGCCGAGAAAGAAGCGTCGCAAACACGATGATCTGGATGACTTTTTGGTCGACGACGATGAGGATGTGCACGATATGGATGAATTGACGGACCCTGAAGACACAAATCTCATCGACAGCAGCAAAGGCCCAAGGTCAATAGTGCAGTCCGCTGCGCAAGGCACGAAGCTCAGTAATGCTGTTCTGCTCAGCGGACCACCAGGATGCGGCAAAACTGCTGCTGCATATGCTGTCGCAAAGGAACTCGGCTTCAAGATCTTCGAGATCAGTTCTTCTGAGCGACGAAGCGGCAAGGATGTCCTCGACAAGATCGGCGATATGACGGAGAATCATCTGGTGAGGCATCATGGTGTTGATCCTGGTGAGTTGTCATCCAACGAGGATAACAACAAGGAGAGTCTTGATGAAGCGTTCCAACGAGATCTTGCTAGTGGCAGACAAGGCAAAATGGCCACTTTCTTCAAGCCTCAAGCGGCTGTCAAGAAGCCCGCAGCACCTAAGCAGAAGGCGCCGCCGGCGAAGGTGAAGACGTTGAAGGCTGTCGAGGAAGCCTTAAAGAAGCCACCCAAAGATCAGCAGCAATCTCTCATCCTGCTCGAGGAGGTCGACATCCTCTTCAAGGACGACAAGGAGTTCTGGAACACGATCTTCAAGCTCATCGTCAGCTCGAAGCGACCCTTCATCATGACTTGCAACGACGAAGATATGGTGCCCTTGCAAGCCATGAATTTACACGCCATATTACGGTTCACACAACCTCCGGTCGACTTGGCTGCAGACTATCTGCTACTTCTTGCGGCGGCTGAAGGGCACCAGCTTAAGCGCAATGCAGTCACGTCGCTTTACGAAGCAAAGAAGCGTGGTCTGCGTGCCAGCATTGTGGAGCTGGACTTTTGGTGCCAGATGGCTGTTGGTGATCCCAAGGGAGGACTGGGCTGGATCTACCAGCGCTATCCGCCCGGATGTGATATTGACGAGCACGGTCGGACGCTGAGAGTTGTGAGTGAGGGTACCTACCAGCAAGGCATGGGTCTGGCTTCCGAGGAAGGTTTGTCTGAAGACGATCAGATATTGTTCGCCTGGAGAGAACATGGTGTTGTGCCCACATCACTGTTGGAGCCGCCAATCAGGAGCCCTGACGACGATGATATTGTCGGCCCCAGCCAAAGACTCGACGCGCTCGAAAGACACGCTAGACTAGCGTATGCTCAAAGTGCGTTGGATGCCTTCGCTGGGGAAGCCTTCCTCGAGAGCCCATTGCTGGATACCACGACGCCGCAAATGCCCGACAAAGCTCGCCACCACTACATCGAGGGTCTAACTTTGCTGCAGACTGACGAGCTCACCGATCATGAGGATCTTAGCTCGCAGCTTGTTGTGGCATCTGTCCGTGCGATAGCACATAGCTTTCACGCGAACAAGTCTCTACAGACCAGTCTCGCACACGCCATGTCAGGCTCCCGGGGGAACGCAAGCCCGCCACACCTCACCCGCCACGACTTCGCCGTCTTCGACACCATCTCCACCGCTCCGGAAACGTCCCTCTCTCTCGGCCCCAGCCTGACACAATCCGCTTTCGACGGTCCAACCCTAATCATAGCCACGGACCTCGCACCCTACGTCCGCTCAATAGTCCAATTCGACTTGGCGCTCGAAGAGCAACGCGAGCGTCTCAATAGGATCATGACGGATGGCGAAACCAGGAAAGCCAAACGAGCGAGGACTACACGCGCGGCGAGGAGTGCGCTTGAGGGGAGTCAGAGGGCTAGTACGAGGAGGGAGAGGTGGTTTGTCAAGGGTCTGGATCTGAGAGCAGTATTGAGGACGGGAGGTATCGGATGGCCAAAGACTCTTCTAGGTGTCCAGACTGCAGACACGGAGAGTATGGATGGCTGTGAGCCGCCTGCATCTAGTGCCGAGGGTGCGTGAAAGGCAAAAGATCTAAAGCGGTGTATAAAATCTGCCGCGATGTAATCATTTATACATAGCATATGGTCCTCAAGTGAAAGCAGGCCGATGACTCCCTTCAGAAAGACCATCACAGCAGGACAATCGCATGCAGCGATCGCTCCCAAGCATGATTCACAGCTCTCTCATTGCGCGGCTACATCATCATAGTATCATCCCCATCCCCCCTCCCCACATCCTCCGGCTCAACCATGGTCCCCCGTCCTCTACCTTCAAGCAGTTCCCTTCTCACCTCAGGTCCAATCTGCCTATGCCCCCGCACCAACAGCAAATCAAGCAGAGCCTCGCGCTGATCCTCCGTAATCTCATTCTTATACCTCTGCGCAAACGCAAGGAGACACTGATGCCACAAAACCGGCAATCTCAGATCCGCCGCCGCTTTCCTGCCCATCTGCCCCCTAGCCCCAGCCCCACCAGCTCCAATCATAGCGGTGTCCTCCCCCCCCGTTGCTCCTTGGCTTTCTTGCACGGCTCGGAAGCGCAGGAAGTGGAAGACCAGCGCATCCACCACGCGATAAGGCAGCGCGTACTTCTTCTCCAACAGCGTCCGGATGAAAATATTACAAGCCCCCGCCGCCTCCACATCCCCCATCATCTGCTCCGCGGCAATCTCACAGAGCCTGAACAACGCCGTAGCAGAATGCAAGACGGGGATCGACACCCTCGCTACGACAGAAGAGACAATGGTAGCCTCCCTCAACGTACACGTCCCGGACGCCACGAGCGGGAACACTAATCCCCTAAAGAAAGCAGCGGGCTTATACAACGACTTCTTCAACGCCTTGTAGAGATGCACATTCAATTTCCGCGTCTCCAACACATCCTCCCTCACCCTCGGCAGCAAAATATCCTGCACGAACGCCTGCGCCAACGCGGGTCGGGAGGAAGTGAAGAGTTTCGTGGCTTCGTACACGGCATTGGGGGTCCAGGCTTCCGGGCGCGTAATGCTGAGCAGGATGTCCCATTGGGGCAAGGTGGGGAGGATCTTGAAGGGTTTGGGTAATTTGCCAGATTTGTAGCGGGAGAGGAGGAGACCGGTTTGGGTGTAGACTTCGACGACTTTGGCGGGGAGTTCGATGGCGTCGTCTGGGTCGCCGCCGCCGAGGATTTGGCGGACCGGGGGGGCGGCTGGGGAGGGGTCTTGTTGTTGGGCTTCGTGGAGGGCGATTTTCTCGAGGATGATGTCGGCGAGGTTTGTGCCGGGGCCTTGGGGTTCTTCTTCGTTTGGATCACGGGGGTGGAGAAGGGTGGAGGGATCGAAGGAGGGGTTGAATTTGTTGAAGGTTTCGAGGTCTTCGGGGTCGACTTCGATCTCTTCTACTTCTTCTTCGTCTGAGCCCCAGGCTGCTTCGTCGTCGTATTCGCCCACTTCGGCTCCTCCCCCCACCCCATCATCGTCGGTAAGGTCGTCTCTGAAGCCACCGAAGCCCTGGAATACTGGTGTTTCTGTCGCTGCTCGCTTCGCTAGTCTTTCTGCATCGTCTTCACCTGCTAGCTCCTCTCCTAATTTCAGAATGTTCCGCGAAGACTTGCTGTCGACATAGCCTTCCTGTGCGCCATCCTCGCCGCCCGACTGTTTTCTCTTCTTCCCTGCCTTTTGCTTAAGAGGTTGTGTGGGCGCATACTCTTCGCTGAGAGGATTATGGCGGCGATCTTGCCGTGAGACAGAATTAGATCGTGTGGTCTTGGGCATCGTAGTGGTGGTGTTGTGTGGGATATCTATTTATGTAAAGCACATGTCAAATTGTCGAATGGCAAAATAATTCCAGAGACCCTGCAGCTGCTTCACATGGTCGGCCAAGATTTCGCCCCACTTCGGCCACTTCGGGCCACTTCGGTCCCGCCTCCACATCCGCTGTCGCGAAAGCTAAAAATAATAATAATCAGTCTCAGAGAGCAGGCACGCGTTGAATTCGTCGGTGACCGGTGATGCAATGATTGTGCTTTGAAGAGAACAAGAAGTCTTAACGCAAGACAAGACAAGACAAGATGGCAGATTCTACGCCACTTGCTCTGTCGCACCTGCCATCCGAAGATCACGCTCCTTCCGTCCCATCACCACTGAACCCATCCACCGCACGAGCACCAGCACCGACACCAGTACAACGCGAGCAGAGAGAGAAGAAGGAGTCGTTGAAGAAGCGCGAGAGCAATAATAATAACAATAATAATGTCAACGGCACCTCGTCCAGCTCAAACCTCGGCAAGCGGAAAGCCAACAGCAATAATGCCTACTCATCACCCCAACGCTTCAATGTCCCACCCCCGCGATCCCAGGACTTCGAGGCGCCAAAGGAGGACATCATGATCTCGCACGAGCCAGTGCCCTTTGACATGCCGGATGGAGAACGGCAGCTATACAAACCCATCGACTTGGCGGAGAATAAACGCTGGTATCGATATGGTCGTGCCATTGCAGACCCGCTCTTTCCTCATAAGCAGTTCTATCGCAGCACCTCACCCCCACCCCACTATGCACGTCTCAGCTTCGAGGATGCCGACAAGTGGATGCACTTCACCACCAACGCCCTCATCACGACCAATGAAAAGGGCTGGAGGATGGTGCGGAGTAATGTCTGCGCCAGGGAAGGAACGCTCTACTACGAGATCAAAGTGCATCGGGGCGTGCCTGCCTCGGGACCAGAGGCCGACGCACCTGGGCCCCAACCTCACCTTCGCTTTGGCTTTGCTCGACGAGAAGCTCCCCTCGACGCGCCTGTAGGTTTTGATGGGTACAGCTACGGATTAACAGACATCCGCTTCGACACCATCCACCGCAGTCGTCCAGGCAAATTCTTCCATCCCAAGAAAGCAAAGGGCAAAGGCAGCAAAACACTCGCCACCGCAGGCCCCACCCCCGTCGTCCTCGCTCCAGAAGACCAGCACGTCAAAGAAGGCGACGTGATAGGTGTAGAACTGCAACTCCCCTCCCTCACCCTCCACCAAAAGATCGTCTCCGGAGTCTACAACCCCGCGGTAGATATAGGCGATGGCTTTGATCACCCAGCCTGGTCCTCCGACCCTTCCGGCGCGGAAGCAGTGGCGGATGTAATCCGCGATCGAATCCCAGTGGCCTACAAAGGCAACTCCTACTTCGAAATCCTGGACCTGGTGAGTACGAAAACAATGGAAGTCTACTCGGACCGCCAGACCAACCTCTCCAACCTCACCAACAACCTGACCAACCAAGCCACGACGAGCAAAGACGTGATCAAGACTGCACCAAACCCCAACCACGAAGACGCATCTTTACGCACCCTCCCTCATTCCGCAATCCGCGTCTACAAAAACGGGAAACTCCTAGGAACAGCCTTTGAAAACCTCCTCTCCTTCCTCCCTCCTGCCTCTACCCCAAGCAAAACCATGGGTGCACGGGAAGGTTTCGACGACGGCATGATTGGTTATTTCCCCGCCATCTCCTGTTTCTGGGGCGGCATAGCCGAAGTCAATTTCGGGGACAGCAAGGAAGGGTTTTGGTGTCCGCCGGCTCATCTTGCTGCGCCTACCAACCCTGCTGGGAGTAAGGAAGTACAGATGGGTGGGTGTGGTGGTGGTGAGAGTGGGGAGATTAAGAAGGGCTGGCAGCCGGGGAGACGGGCGAGGGGGGCGGGGGAGAGGTATCGGGAGCAGGTTGCTGAGGATGTGGTGTTTGATCTTGTTGATGAGGTGGATTTTTTCGTGTTGGATGGCGGCGAGGTGCCGGCTTCGGATGGGAATGGGAATGGGAATGGGAATGGGCATGAGAGGGGTAAGGGGAGGTTGAAGGAGGAGGATTGAGCTGGTGCGTAGAAGAGATGGTGGAAACAGGTGGGGTGTGCTTGCATCTGTTCTTCCTCACCCATGTAGCATACTACATAACCTGACCTCCCCTCCCATCATACTACCTCAAGCCAAATGGTATGGCCTCTACTCCTCCCGCTCAACCTTTACCTTCGTCTTATCTACGCCATCAATCCCCAAAAGTCAGCACAACCATCTATTACCCCCCCTTCCAAGAGAAGTGGGAAAAAGTCACGTAAGATGGAAAGCAAGGGTAAGGTAAGAGGGACTCACAAAACGCAACCATCCCCTCCAACCCCTTCGCCCTCTCCGTAATCGTCTTGGGATAATACCACGCCGCGTTCTCGTACTTCTGCCCCTTCACCTCGATATCGTAGTAACTCGCGTCGCCTTTCCACGGGCAATGCGTGCTGTGCGAGGTCGGGGTGAATTTGATCTCCGGGTTGTCCTGCGTGAGGGAGGAGGCGGGGAAGTAGACATTGCCTTCTACGAATTCATAGGTTGCGGTTGAGGCGATGGTGGTGGTGGAGATGGTGGCGGTGGCGTGCATGGTTGTTTGCTGGAGTGGGGATTGGCTTTTGGTTTTTGAGTGGTTTTGGGGGCCGGGAGATAAGTGCTAGTACGGAGGGGAGGGGAATGGACTGGGATGGTGTTTCGATATGTATGTCTTCTAGGTGGGAGGGGTATATAATATATATGCTCGATTTCCGAGGGGTTTGTCATACCGACCTCTCCCACCCGAAGACCGAAGCTCGAGTGATGTGTGGCGTAGATGAGCTAGCTAGCTATCGAGAGCTTGACAACTCTCCGCAAACAGGCTGTTATGCATGGATCTACTCCCACACCCTCAGCAGCTGCTGTATGAGGTAAGAGCGATTTGTCACCCGATCTCCCTTCACGTGTCTTGAGCCCGAGCAATCGACACGTCGCCTTGGACGAGGCAGTAGACAAGAGCAAATGTGTTCATTGGGTCGACTAAACAAGCATATACATGTGTTCTAGATCAGGTCATCCCGCCAACAAACGCCTCGCTAACCTCACTCAACATAAAGCAAAAGCACAAACTCCGACCTTCTCATCATCTCGATCTCGACAAGGCCGACCCAAGCTGTGTATGCCACACACAACACATCAACGTCCAACAACCTCCACTCACCTCACCGCCCAACATCCCTCCCCCACCTAAGCGTAGTATTCCTCCCCTTCCCATTCCCCTCCTGACCCGGATCTCTAACAGGCGCCTCGTCCGCAAAGCGAATCCCCTGCTTAGCCGCCGGCGCAGCTCTTGGCACATCCTCCTCCTCACTATCGCTCTCGGGCTCCTCTCTCAAACCCAACGCGCCTTCACGCCTCCGCCTCTCAGCAGCCGTCTCGTTTTGTTCGCTTCCGCGATGGCCTTGTCGAGGTTTGCCACTGTCGTTGTTGGTATTGCCAATGCGACCACGTTCCGGTGCAGCGCCACCAAAGTAGTCACTTCGCTCACGAGACGGACCAGCGCGAGCAGGAGGTGGTACACGGTCTGTGCCGTCATCCTCCGAGTCCTCCTCGTCTTGCCGTGGTTGCGTGAGCGCTTGTCGACGACGGCGCTCGGCTGCCGTTTCCCCTGTAGGCGATCCCATGCGCATCTTCCGCAGGTCGGCATTGACGTCGTGGAAAGGGACTTCCTCCTCGTTCGAGTTGACGAGTTTGAGTTCGCCTTCTTCATTACTTGTCACGGGATGCAGAGCCGCTTGGCTGGGTCGATGTCCCTGGGTCTGGGCTTCTGGTTCCTCGGCGCCTTCAGCCACGACGGGCACACTCGGCTCTTGAGCAGCTTTGGAACCACTCGCTTGTTCGCGAGCGTCTTTTCGCGCTTCCTTCTTGATGGCTTCCGGAGCATCGCTCTCCTCCACGACCTGTACTCGCGACCTCGGATCCATCTGTCGAATCTGATCAATGAACTCAGCCTTACTCATGCGCCTGCCATTGCCTGTCGCGATGGTGAAACGCAAGCCAGCATCGTCAGCCTCCTCAGCTTGCCTAGTACTCTCACGCCTATCAGCTCCAGGTCTGACAGGCCTACTCCTGTTCTCTTCATTCGCGGCAGCAGCAGCACTCTCGCCCTCCTCAGCAGCCTTTGGCCCTCCCTTGCCGACACCAAGCATCTTACTCATGTTGCCGAGACGAAGGTGTGATTTGGCTGGATTAGCAGCACCACCTGGCTTCTTCTCTGGAGCAGGGATGTCGTACTTCTTGATGACTTCACCATCTTCATCTTCGACGATGATGGTGTTGCCGTACTGGTAAGCGCGCGCAGGCCCGTGCTTTTTAGTCTCTTCAGCTTTCGGTTTCTGCTTGCCCTCCTCATCATCGTTGCGCTTGAGGAGACTAGCCATGTTCCTTACTGTGCTCATTTTGGTCATACCCTTGCGCCACTTTTCACCTGGACGAGCAGGTGCTTTGCTCTCGGTAGCTTCGGGCTTCTTCCAGCCTTCGTTGACGGCATCACTGGCCTCTTCATCTGGCTCATGATTTTCGTGCCCGGTACCATGCCCATGATCACCATGCTTCTCATGCATAAGTCGTCTGCCCTCCTTCGCTTCGAAGTCCTCACGTGCCTGCTGTCCCTCATCCGCGTGCTCATCTCTACTGTCTTCAACAGCCAGGACGTTGCCTTCCTCATCCTCGTACACAGTCTCATGACCCTCTTCAAAGATCTCACCAGTCTCGGAATTCTCATCCTCGTGCTCTGGGTTGCTGTTACGCTTGTGCTTGACAGGCTTAGCCTCCTGCTTGGCATCGTCTGAGTCTCGAGGCGACTCGCTCTTTGCAGCCAATGTCTCAGAATCACTTCGGCTCCATGGCTCCTCGAATTCTTGCCGAGGTGCGGGCGCGATAGCAGACTGGCTGATAGGACCACCCGGACCTTGGCCGCCATCCCACTTTCTACTACGCCTGGATCGTGTTCTGCTCGAAGCGCGACTCGCATTCCTACTAGGATTGTCCTCTTCCTTCTGCCTTCGCAGGAAGTTACCGTTGGAGCCAATTGGTGGGAGCATACCAGGTGGATAGTTTGCCCGATCCTTCTCGTCAAGCTCGGAGTCATCGCCCTGCAAAGACATGGAGCTCCTTGATCGCGATTGGATGCGTGGCAGGCGCTCCATCCAGGAGGTCTCGTTGGCCTGCGTGTATGACATGGTGAGGGTCAATGTGTTGATGTGTTTGCCGAGCGTAAACACAGCAATCGAAGAACCATGAACTGCGATCGAGATGATGACGAGGAAGCAGGTGATCGGCCAGATGACTTCGATTACGTTCCAGTGCTCGAAGCCCTCCTCAGGCAGTACTGCCAATGGCGTGGTAGTCTCGAAATGTGACTCTAATTCTCCACGTGCCAAGATAGCCACAAAGATGGCACCCACACCGATAGGACCAAAGTGGCCAGCGAATAAAGCTTCTCGCCATGTCTTGACATCCGGTATGAGTGGTTTTAATGCCATCATAATCGGTATACGCCGGAAAAGTATGACCAACACACCAAGTACCACAAATCGCCAAGCGTCCAAGTTCAGAAAGTGCGCATTGAATTGCGCCCATGGGATGATCGTACCGAAGTATACAAAGAATGCCAAGTTGATCAGCAAGTCAATGACGTTGGATACGTGAGACTCCTCAGTCTTCTCCGTGAACCAGCCATCGTTACTGAACCCTACACCACAAGCGAAGCCGACAAGTAAATCGTCGATACCAAGGATCGAGCCAGATCCGGCACAGAAGAGTGCGAGGACGAAATAGAACACGAGGAAAGATTCGCGGTCGACCCAGTCTTTCTCGTGTGCATATCTGATCAGGCGTCGTGCGATGTAGCCGACTGCAACGCCATAGACAGCTCCGAAAACGCACTCGTACAGGATAGTGTATAGGATCCAGTGCTCAGCAACGCCGCTCGGTTCGTGGCGAAATTCCATGATGTAAAAGCCGAGGTAGATGAAAGGGAAGGCCATGCCATCGTTACAACCAGACTCTGCTGAAAGTAGATCACGAAGATGCTTCGGCACACGCTTCGCAAACTTGCCTTTACCAACGACCGAAGAAGCAAGGACGGGATCGGTGGCTGTAACGCATGCTGCGACGACCAAGCTGTCCAACCAGTTTAGAGAAGGCATGAACAAGCCCCAGATGAAGAGACTTGTGATCAGCCAGCCGAAAGTCATGACGGGTATAAGCAAGAACACAACGGACCTCCAGTGGCGTTCCATGTATGCCTTAGGCAATTCGACACCGACGGCGAAGCATTGCACGACCAGGACAATGCGGGAGAACTCGAGGGTGATCTGGTCGACGTTACCCCATGTCGAGGGGTCGATGAGGTTGGCAGCATGCGGTCCGAATATGATGCCGCACAGGGTGGCCACTGTGGCTTCACCAATGTACAATCTTTCCTTGATGATGGAGGAGCATAACATGAATATGCTGGTGAAGCCTCCCAAGATGATATACACCAAGTGAGGCTTGTTGATGTCGATCTGTGCCCACACCATCTTGTCTAGTTGTCTTGACTACAAGGAGTCAAGAAGGGATATAGTTCTCCAAGAGATAGCTTCAGCTACCAAGCTCGCTCCAACTCTTCAAGTCGGATAGATAGACAACCGTTCGTCGTAGGATGCAGCAGAGTCGCTGCGGTCGAGGGTTGAAAGTGTTGGATGCTGCGGATGCATATATCGATGTGGTCGCGCCCAGTCGCCGCTCCCAGTATGCCCTAGTTGGCGGAGGCGATGAGGATTGTAGACTCGAAGACTACGAGAGGCGAAAATTGCACCTCAACCAGTACTGTACACTGCTGAGCATATACGGCGTCTGCCAAGCATCTGCCAATCACTCGGAAGTGGAGAAGTCTCTCTCTTTCGACTCTCGAGGCCGATGACGGCTGGTGAGGTAGTAAGCAGATCGCGTGGATGTGAGTGAGCGACCGTATATGCCGTGTGTATAACGAGAGCAGGCGGAAGTGCTCGCGAAAGTACAGATCTAACCACGAACCTTGTCGTTGTAGACTTTTGTCTATCGCCGACTGAAAGCGTGAGGATGACGAAAGGAGATCATCGCGTTACTCCTTACCTTACTAACGCCCGGAACATCGGGACATCTATTCCTTGGCGTGGGTGGACCGAGTGGGCGTCCATGTCTTTCAGAAGCAGGTATCAGTTCTTACTACGAGACAGCTTGTTGAGTGTTCAGGACCTGCAGATGTTGGAGAATTCGCGAATTATTGACGCCGTACCACCTTCGTCAGACGAGTTCGGCGCGATCATCGGCGAATTGAGCCGAGTTGATCCTAGCACGGATGTAGCCGCACGCAGGCGACTAACCCCATCAAACTTCTCTTCGGCGCTGTCATCAATGCCAGCAGTGCCCATTGCCCGAGTAGGATGCCTGGTAGACCACGACGGGAGGTCACAGTCGACCGCAGTCTGTGTCGCCGCTGCCAGGACAACGAGCCGACCATCACCATCCGGACAGAGCCGTTATGCGCCACATGCTTCGCCAAGTATGTGTCGACGAAGGCCGTGAAGCGGATGGAGAGCTTTCGCGTACGCCATGCAGAAGCTGGTAGTGAGCGGATACTACTACTACCACTATCCCTCGGAGCCTGCTCAACAACACTAATCCACGTCTTGAGCCAACATCTCGCAGGACAGAGCGAGAGAACAGGACGAACTGGCTTTAAGCTGCATATCCTACATGTAGACGGCACAGAGCCTGCTCAGTCCTCAAGTTCGCTCAACAAGGTGAGGGAATGCTATCCGCAGCATTCATATTCATCTCTTCCACTTGCAGACGCACTTTCCTTGGAAGGCATCCATGAATTGCTCAACCTTACTGAGAGTCAGGAGAACACGGCAGAGGCTTTGTCAATCGCGGTTGCAAACCTCAATTCTGCAACGTCCCGCGATGATATCCTGCAGCTGCTTCAAAGAAAGCTGGTTGTGGACTTTGCCAAGCGCCATAACTGCGAGGCCATCTTGTGGGGTGACAGTACGACGAAACTAGCGGAACGCACTCTCGCCGAGACAGCTAAAGGTCGAGGCTTCAACTTACCATGGACCGTCTCTGACGGCGAGTCGCCACATGGCATACCATTCTACTTCCCAATGCGCGATCTACTAAGCAAAGAGATCGTCGCATTCACAACAATGACAGAACCGCCTCTAGCCGATCTCGTTGTGCAGCGAGAGCAGAAGCGCATGGTGAGCACGAAAAACACCACGATCGACGAACTCATGAAGCAGTATTTCGAGTCCGTTGAGCAGGAGTATCCGGGTATTGTGGCGAACGTGGTCAAGACGACTAGTAAGCTTAAGGGGCTATCTCTGAGTGAGATCGAGCAGCAGTGTGAGCTATGTGATGCTCCTTTGCAAGGACAGGCACCGGCAAGGAGCAGACTTTGTTATGGCTGTATTCGTCTCTTACCACAAACAGCAGGATGAGAGAGACGGGGCTACGTCTTGGACGCGACCTTTTGAAAACCCTTCTGTACAGCCGGTGCGCACTCTCTGCCACGCACTTACACGCGATCGTGTACCGAGCATACTCAGAGGGTGCGGAGGAAGATCAAGCCTGCTGGCATTGGGAGGAACGCGAATTGCAGCAGAGCTAAGCTGGCTTCGTAAAGCGTCCCTTTAGCGACACCATCCGAGCAGTCCATGACTTTGACACACGACGTGAAAGATAAGCAACATCGCATGCAGTCGTGCGGAGCTCATGCCCTCCCTCGTGGATCGCGGTTCTTGAAGCGACGCCAAAGACAGGACGAGCAAATTGGGTCCCACTTGGCTTCGGGCCAAGCTCATTGCTGGGAGTATTTGAGCCAGCTATAGCATTTACATAGAGCACTTACGAATCTGCCATTGGTAGCTTTACAATACCAAATGTCCTGGAGAGGGCGGTGCGGCACCAGTGTCCCACCTCGTCTGCTGGCTTCCAAGCTCGAACTCAATCGTGCCACCATTGACCATCACATCATCGTGCAAAAGCCAGTTTTGATCAGTCTGCTTGCCGTTCACTTTGGCCGACTGGACGTAGTAGCTATTGGTATTATCAAGTCCGGTGGCTGTAATCCGGAGAGTTGCGTTGCCGTTGATAGTCATGTTGATATCGTCGAACCAAGGTGATTGAATCAGATAGACCGGTTGGGTAACAACAGGATAGAGACCGAGCATCTAACATAGTAGATCAGTACTGCACAGGACCTCAGCGACTCTTGATACAGCTTACCTGCCAAATCAGCCACGAGTTCAATGCACCAGCGTCAGAATTGCCGGGTACACCATAGTTTGCATCGTGGAAGTATTGATTAGCCAGCTCTCTCGCACGCTGCACACTCTTGTACTGCTTCGAGATATAATTGTACTCATAAGGTGTCGCAAAGTCAGGCTCATTACCAATGTTCATCAGCGTCGTGATCCCACCACCGTTGGCACCAAGGTTCTGCTCGGATGTGTTGGGCATGAAAATGTAGTCTAGCCTTCGCTCAAATTCCGAAGAACCTCCCATGAACTGGATGAGCGATTCCATGTCGTGCGGGACGGTGAAGGAGTATTCAAAGGGTGTACCTTCGTAGGTAATTGAAGACCATTCGCAGCCACCACAGAGGGCAGGGTTATAGTCGCTTAAGTTGAACTCGCCAGTCGAGAGGCGTGGTGCGAGAAAGCCTGTGAAGTTCCTGTGGGTCATGTTGTGGGACCAGGTGTTCTGCCACTGTGCTGATCGTTGCAGATACTTCTGTGTGTCGTTCGGAGCAACACCCTTCGCAACCTGATATACCGAGAAGTCGTTCAGAGCGTACTCGACTGATCGAGACAGTGCTCGTGTGTTACCGTCGGCACTGACATAACCAAGATTCTTCCAGTCCCCCAGTGCACCTCTCCCCTCCTTCACACTTGCCGTCGGGTCTGTAAAGCTGAATGTGTTATATGGTATCACCTCTGCATCCTTAAGCATCGCCTGATAGGCTTGCGTCCAGTTTATACCAGGCAGGTTCTTGACATAGGCATCCGCAAGAACATTATCAGCATTGCTGCCACCTTGTACAAGACCGTTGTAATTGCCACTCCGACCATCCGGCATATATCCCTCCCAGCGCCAGATGTCGATGATGCTGCGGACCATACTCTGGTAGTATTCGGGCTGTATGAGGTGATACAGTGATGTTGTACAGCGAAATATATCCCACAGCGTATAGAAATCGTCCCAGGATGGCTCGTCGTTGGACCATAGAGGGTTCTCACCGGACCTGTCAGATGGCATGAGATGCATGAAGTACAAGCTAGAGTATAGCAGCACTAGGTTGGTCCGATTCTGAAATGAGTCGGTCGGTACACGAATCTTGCTAAACACATCCTGATTCCATTCTTGTACTGCGGCGGTGACAGTGTCATTCACGTTCCAAGATGGAATCTCCTCATTCTTGAAGTTGCAAGCCATATCAGCAGATATCATACTGATGCCGACTTTGGACTTCACCGTCGAGACAGAGGCATTGCTCCAGGTAAAAAGAGCACCGACACGATTGTTGAGAGGTCCGGCGACTTCACTCAGGTTGCCGAAAGTCGCTTGTGGGACCGGACCGTCAGACCACGTATGGTAGCGCTGTATTGGATCTGTCAATCGTCCGCTGAAGGTATTTGCTTGGTCAGGTGGCTGGTCGAATTCACCACAGAAGTAGACAGTTATTGGTGCACTCTCGCTGAATCCTCCGCCGATACTCGTGTAGCCTGTGTACAGCTTGCCTCCTGGTTGCAAATCGATCGCACCGCCAATGTAGAACTGAACATTGCTTCCACCGTTCTCAGATGGCAGGTAGTGCGAGATGTCGACCAGAACGTGCTTTTCTCCAGCTGGAAAGTCGTATTGCATAATGCCAGCATGGCGACTAGCACTCAAAGAAATACCAACACCACTCTCGAGCTTGGTCGCGTAGTAGCCTACAGAAGCTGTATCATTGACAACTCGTGATTGCCAGTAGGTAGTGTTATCAAGAACATTGACTCCATCGAGAGTGGTCAATGGCATTTGTGGGACGATGCCATACTTTGGTGCTCCTCCAGTGCCACTTTCGTGCATCATCGAAATGGCAGTAACCCGTCCTTGAGGTGTATATCCGCCATTGGTGGTGGAGAATGTGACATTGTCTGAATATGATGGTCAGTGCCCATCGAAATCATATGAAATACTCTATCTGTGAGTAATAAGCTCGCCTTCATAAGTGTCTATCCCAACCTTCGTGACTCCAAAAGGGAGAGACCCTCCGACAAAGACATCACCGCCACCAAAGGCCAAACCTGGGATGAAACCTTCTGATCCGATGAACGGATTGACATACTGCGAATAGTCGACTTGGCCGACTGCACCCATTACGAAGGCAGCAATCAGATTTAAGGATTGTACCTTAGCCATGATGAATTTCAAGGTATCAATGTGAGTGCCAAAGAGGTGCCCATCTTACGGTCGATGCGGTGGTCTAATATATCGGATATTAAGAACTGGAGTATGGTTACATTGTATGCGGACATTGACATCACGCCCTATGCCTGCCTCCGCATCGTACAGAAATTGTCCATCCTGCGAGGGGTAGTCGTGCGAACGATCTGCGATCAGGTACACAATTGGCTTTCACACTTTGCGCGGGGTGGGTGATGAGAGATCCGATGTGGAGGAAAAGCTACCTTGTGTCCCCGACGATAGTCGTTACATGGTCTTGTGAGTCGCAATCGTCCGCATGTCGAAGTGTGATGGTCGAAGATGAGATGCTAATGGCTTGCAATTGCACCTCCCATCAAACGCTTGCTGACCAAAGCTTGGCCAGTGCTTCCAGTCTGATCGCTACGACCTTGAAGTTTCTTACCTTCCTTAGTTGGAAGCCCACGAAAGGCTTTGGACAAACGACAGACTTAGAGCTGCTTTTTACGGATTAAACACTTGATGTCGTCTCGCACTCCATCGTGACCCGGAGTCTCGCCACTGGTCCCTTTGACTCGGTTTACGCTTTTGCTCTCCTTCCTACATATCCAACACCCTCCAGCTCTCCCCTTTTGCGCGCTTTCTACTTGCGTAAGCAATAAGACCGATAGGTAACAATAAAGGCGAAGAGATAAGCAGAGTCGCGAGACCGAGAGTATGCTTGACCTTGCGTACTCTTCGTTGCCTGGCCGTCATAGGCGGTGGATGGTGGGCCCTTATCATGAGCAAGCGATCTTGTTTCGAGTGCGAGCCGTGCTTCTTGCAGGCAGTCGCCGGATCTATCGAGTAGCTTTTGACACGTTGCGCTTTAGGTGTCTTCAAAGTCTTTACCAGCGATCCCACCGCTGAGACGTATCCTGGGAATCTTGCTGGGTGGGCAGGGAAAGGCAAAGCCAGGGAGATATGGCTGGTGTGGATAAGCTTTGCTGTTGTGGCGAGAGGCAAGAAAGCTAAAATGATGGGCGCGGCGACTTGCTCTCGATCGGTGTAAGTATCAAAGTTGAAGTTGACGGTGAGCGCTCTGCAGTGCTTCCCATATTCGAAAGCTTCCAGGAAGGCTGCTAGCCGAGAGAGGTAGTGCTCGAGCGCTGGTGCCCAGCTGGGTTGGACGGTCAAAATGACATGATGCATACGCTCAATAGATAGATTGCTGATTGACCTGCCTTGCCGCCACGCCTTTGGACGCTGATCGAGGTCGGAGGAAGGACGAGGTGTGCCTGCGAGCAACACGAGTTCGAACTTCGTGTTGCCATATACTATCTTCACGACCTCGCCATAGATAGCTCTGCAGGTCCGAAGAAGGCTGACAGCATGAGGTTGTTGAGGCCTCGACTCATGTGGCTCGTAGAGGCAGTGGTAGAACACAGCATTCTTGCCATAAACGTGAAAGTGTGGAGAGGTCGGGACATCCGTCAAAGCATATGTCCAGATAATCTCGCGGAGCTCGGCTGGTAGTCGAAATAATGGGCTGTCGTTGTGAGACATTGTAGCGGGCTGTTGTTTAGATCGATGCTTCGCCATTGCGCTATTGGGGTACAATGTGTTGACAAGTCTTGTATAACGAGATGGATTTATGTAAGGTACAATGCTGCTAGAAATGCAGTATGATTTGCGAATGGCATAAATCTGTGCATGTGTTTAAGCTGGAAGTGAGGCGGGAGGCAAGACAGCCTTGCCGTGGTTCGCTCAGGCAACGACGACTCAAAATCTTGCCCCAGTCCCTCAAGAATGGTCACATGAGGCAAGTATCATTCACCATCGTGAAATATAGAGTATACTATCTAAGTATAGACAACCTCAGTCAAAGCATTCAGGCTCATGCCCTCTTTAGCTAAATCCTGCCCTTCCTGCTTCAGGAACATCAAAGGCATCTCCACCAGACTTCCCCTGACCTGGCTTAGCACCTCCTTCACCTCGCGGAGACCATTTGGGCCTTGCGAGAACTCGCTCGCAACGACATGCCCATACTTCCACGTACTCGGTCTTGCAGCAGCTTCGCCCTTCTTCGCTTCCTCCGGCTTAAAGTACGTCCCAAAGAAATCATCATACTGCTTCCAGTTGCGCACATTGTCTGCAGGCACTGGGTGAAAGACTCTTGCGAAAGCTTCGGTGTTGCGCGCAGCGGTACCCTGCCACAATTGGTAGAAGTCCTGAGATAGAGGATCCATGACTGCTTGGTCCTCTCTACTGTTCCAGTCATAGTCGTTTGGCTCTCCGATGGGCATGAAGTTCGCATCAGGTCTCTCGATATCCTGAGGCCGCAGCAAACCCAGATGCTTCCGGAAAATCTGTCGGCGAAGAGATGCGGCGAATAGAGTCGCCCTCCAAGGCTGGCCGGCCATATAGCTGTCAATCTCTTGCGGGTCCTCGATCAAGACCGCGATCTCGCTGTCGTGACTACCGAGCTGTGACCGGTCGTTGAGATTAGCAGAGCCGCAAATGACCACCCTGTCATCGGCGATAAGCAGCTTGCTGTGGATATACAGTTCTTCCGAAACGAAGGCGTCCATCTCTGACTGCCAACCCCCATCCCAAGGTGCGTCGCGTATATCAGGGCCACCCAGCATGTAGCACTGTGCCACACTGTCCCAACTCGAGCGTGAAAGCTCGCTCGCACCACCCTCGTGCCGGACCTCTTGTGCAGCTTGCTGGTATCTGTCAAAAGCGTTCGCATTGCCGCCCTGATCTGCATACTCTTGTCCATAGTGCTGCGCGTCAACAAGCTGACCATACTTCTGGTCATGTCCTCTTCGCGCGTCGTCGTAATCTACACCAGCCTTTTGTTCTACCTGCGCCATAGTCCCGCTAGCATTGATCCGATCATAGTTTCGAAGATTGTAGAATCTCAAGTACTGCATCGGGTTCACCCCCTGCGCAGCAATTGCCTCCAGTATGCTATGGCCACCGCGATTGATGCTGTTATACTGGAACTCCATGATAGCTCTCGTACCTAGGCTACCGTCATCCTTTAGATCTCCAGCGAACCCAGGCACAGAAGGTATGTTCACAATCATGTGATACTGCTCGTTGTTCCTGGCAGCACGCACGACGCGCTCGACCATCGCAGCGCCAATGCGATTTTGCACCGGCTTCTGCTTGTCGGAAGTAGCTGTAATGAAGAATTGGTTCTCTATATAGACGAAGTGCTTGCTGTTCCTGATGGTCTCGATGTAGGCATTCGCGATGCTATGCTCGAGTGGGACGCCATGAGACCACTTCGTGCACGATCGCATGAGCTGGACCTCCACGCCACCGAGCGGCCCAGGAGGGTACTCGACTTTAGCACCACGGTGCATCTTGTGCATCTGCTCGCGCAGCTCTTCCTTGCCTTCCTCTAGCCCCAGTCGACCTCGCTCGTACTGATCTCGCACGCGTTCACGGAAGTGATGTGCTTGGCCTTCGCCTTCTACGGGTGCGCCAGGCTCACTCTGAACATAAGGATGACCGAATATGCCAGCTCTCTCGGGGTGGAATACGATGGGATGGTAGTTCTTCTGTCCACGCACGTCGTACTTCTCAAAATAAATGAAATTCCATCTCTGCGCGAAGTGTGCTTTTAAGTCTTCGACCACAGGTCCAGTAAGGCAGATAGAGATATCCGACCAACCCATGCGTGAGTTGTACTTGCGATCAAGCTTATTGTTCTGCCAGTTCTGCACGTCGGTGAAGTCCATGAGGCGAGCATTGTTATAATCTTGTCCTGGAAAGACAACGCGATTGAGATCACCAGGGTGAGCATCCGCGATAGAGTGTTGGTTCGTGTCCCAGCGGCCGAAGCACATATCGAGACCTCCCATAAAGGCCGTCCGACCATCGATCAGACATAGCTTCTCGTGATGTGCCTGCCACTGTCAGTTGAAATTCAAGATCACTAATGAGGGAGACATCCATACCCAGTACATGACGGTGTCCTCGTTCATGCCGTAAATACCTTTGACGACATCGCCTGGCAGTTGACTCAGCTTAGCTGCACTCAGGCCAGTCTGCTTGATTGAGGACCAGATGTTCGACGCCATTACCTGCTTGTCGGGTAAGTGATCAGGATGCCTGAACACGCGGATGTTGCCACTCTTCTCGTTGTCTTCCAGCCAATGCTTGGTGTGACTTGACGATAAGGTTAATGCCTGGGTAACTTCTTTATAAACGATCACATTGACTTGTACACCTCGATTTGCCGCCGCGAAGAGCATCTTGTCCAGCCTATACTGCTCATATCGCGCTGGTGGCCTACGTAGGTAGAGCTCCGGACTCAGCCACCAATCCAAAATCCAGATAGACTCTCTCGCTTGCTCCAATGCTACACTGACTGCCCAGAAGTAACCGCAGCCGTCCACGTACCACTTCGCATCATTGCCCTCTCTTTGCGGTGCGAATGACTGGAATCGATGAAGGTGGTGGCTGTCTCCATCAGAACACTCGGAGGCTCTGTGAGTGTGTGTATGGATATGTCGACTGAGAGGATTACTAGGTTGTGCCTGGTCTGGTTGTTGTTCATTGAGTTGGTCATCGTTCTTGTACCCTTTCATCTTACTCCCAACATCGTGGACCGCATCCTTCATCTTATCGAAGAGGAAAGACATGGTAGTGGTGGTGGTGGTGGTGGTGGTGGTGGTGGTGGTGCAGTCCTTCAGGTATGAGCTGTCTAGTGGTTCCGTCGCAGACAATTTGTCTTGCAGAGCATGAAGCGCTGAGCAGCTGATGTAGCAGAGGTAGAGAGGCACGGTTTCAAAGAGGAGTAATTGAAACACTTGGTTGGTCGCACTCTTACCAGATGGTCATGTGCCAAGAGGACCGATGAAGCTGTTTGCATAAGGTGCAGATGCAAGCAGGCGCGTCACATGCAATTCACAATACACAAGACCTTCGGGAGTGCAAGCATTGAACGCGGATGGTACACTTCGTGATACCTAAGGTAGTATGCGTATGACCAGCTACGCCCTCCAACGTGCAGCTTCTTACGTTGAAGGGACGTAGCGGTTGTAAAGGTAATACTTGAGACAAGTAGGGACAAATCGATGCACGGACCACAGCGAGTGAATACACATATGAACTCTAGATTGGAGCCATTTTCTAGTCCGGTACTGGCATGCCATAGTACCTTACAGCTGAGTTGAGGAGCAAAGTACAGATGTGGCTGACGGACAAGGCATGGTAATACTGCATTACATCGAGTTCTTCGCCTCGCGTAGAGCAGCCATGACATCTACCCTGTCTGTCTTGCCAGTGTACTTCTGCACAGTAGGATCCTGTCATGAATGTAAGCGAGATTCGACAACATCAGAAGGGAGTCATTAGACTTACATCTAGTCTCATGAAAACATTGTGTTGCTGGAGGTCGTGTCAGCTTCGTGATCATCACAATGACCGAACAACCACAAACCTTCTCGTCACCAATGGTGAACTTCCCCTGCGTCTGCTTGTTCGAACCGGCGAATGCCTCGAGCTTCTTGATCGGCTCGCTCTGCGCAACTGTCACGGCAAACTTGACATTACCTTTGGTGTACTCGTGCCCGGGCTGGTATCATTAGCATACTTTCTGGGTCTCTATCAAATGCTCCCACGTACGTAGACCTTGGTGTCGTCAGGTAGGCCAGCAAGCGTCTGGTTCAACGCCTTATCCATCTCTTCCGGTGTACCTTCGAAGAATCGACCACATCCTGTTCATGTCAGCCTTCCTTCCTCGGTGTCACACGTAATAGCTTTGCTTACCTCCAATGAACAGGGTATCGCCTGTGAAGACGGCCTTGTCGTTCCCATCCTCAAACAGAAAGCAGATGCTGTCTTGGGTATGGCATGGCGTATGTAGCGCTTTGACCTTGATGTTGTCGCCAATTGTGAAGGTCGAGCCATGCTCCGGCGTCTTTGTCACTTTATCGCAGTCCTTGCCACCAATGATTGGGACACGGTACGCCTCAAGCTGGGATCAATGGTCAAAACGCTGCTTTGTGTGACCTTCTGCAGCTACTCACAATCTTAGAATTGCCGCCAGCATGATCGTGATGACTGCAATGCATTAGCATGGCCGTGGGAAACGAATGTCATAAGCATACTGATGAGTGTTGATGATGTTCGTGATCTTGATGCCACTGTCCACTGCCTTCTTCAACGAGGGCAAGACTCTGTACGGAGGATGTGTCAGCAATCGGCCGTCCAGCAGTAAGCATTAACCAAACGGACTCTGATGGATTGGCAGGATCAATAATCACGGCATCTTTGCTCTTCTCGTCAGTCACAAGATATGCGTAGTTGTTACCACTGCCCTCCCCTGTCTTAGACCATTAGCAAGTCGTATTCCTCCTTGCGTCTGCCGTCAAAGTGAGATCTCACACATGGGGATAGATTCGACATGCATCTTTCTGGTAGCTGCGGGCTGGATTGATGGATCATCAGCACCAAAGTAATACGCTAGAATAGAAGCGGCAATGCCTACAAGAATAGCGAAGTTTAGTGGCCGTACTATCGATCGTCTGGCTGTTGCAAGGAAGCTCATCGATGTGTTTGTAGTGAGTCGATGGTCAACCAAGAACCGGATGATGCAATCTATAAGCGAACAGGAAAGACGGTGATTGGCTCTGAGACCGTGTAACTTTCTGTCGGTGTCGAGCACAACTCGGTACCGAGGCGAGATTTCTCTACGAACCTGAGGCTATCAGAATAATGATTGATTCCTCCATGACATGCTCTGGCACGATCTCAAGACCTTAGCATCACGGTTCGCCAATTCTGGTCTTTTCAAACACCCGCCAAAGACCGAGCAGTTTCCCTGACGTCTGCAGCAGGACAAACTCTGGCCTACGAGATACGACAACCGAATCATTGACTTCGCTCGTGACCACCACAAGGGTTGCCACTACATAGGACTGCCGAACACATTGCAAATATCCAGTATCCCAGAGATTGCCGAGCAGGTTGGACTATGTGTATCGCTGTCTCTTCTCCCGACTCATGGCGCTGCCATGAAGCCACCTAATCTTGCTCTGGTTCCTTCACGGCTGTAATCCATGCCGTTCTCGGTATGATATGGTCATACCAGCTCAGCTCCGGCTCGCAATTCGGCCTATATCAAGGGGCGACGGCAACCTGGCTTCGTTCGCCATCCGCTCTAGGACCCATATCTCGCCCGAGACTCTGTCGTTGAGGGCTGTCGGTCGACCTCACGATGCCTGTTGCCCAATACAGATGACGTGAGTAGGCGTCACTGATCGGATGACAGAATGCATGGAGTTTGACGGGGAGATAGCGTCCACTACCGCGAGTGCCGTACCCCTGAAGGCTTTAAAGTCCATTTTGTTGTCGTTCTGAGACTGAGGAGTCGGCCATAATTGTCTCACCGTGGCAGCAGCATATCGTTCACCCGTTCAACTCGCCATATCGCAGCCTCGAGTTTTTCCAGTCTCCGATTGCGCTCCGCATCTCTCGACTTCAGTTCGTGAAGCCGCTCCTGGAGCTTCGCGGTCTCCATCGACGTGTCTACGCTCCCACCACGACCTTGTTGCGCACAAAGGACCTGCTGTTCCAACATCTGTACTCTTTCCACAAGTCGTGCATTCTCTTTGCGCTCACTAGCTACCATCTCATTCGCCTGTTCAAAAAGTGTCGCACTCAACTCCTCAATCTCATCGTGCGCCTCCTTAGCCTTCTTCTCAGCCTCCAATCGCGTATTCTTTTCCTTCGCCAGCTCAGCCCTCAGCTCTTCTTCACGAGCAGCCGAGGCCTGTCCTAGACCATTGGTGGTAGGCGATGCTTTGCGCGAGTGCATGAAACTGCCGAAACGTGAGATGCCAGGTTTTTCTGACACTGTACCAGCGGTCGATGTATCGCCTGCGCTGCCATTGCTTCCTAACGAATCGTTGCGTCGTTGTGCTTGGCGGACTTGCGCCTTGAGGATGTGAATATCGTTCTCGTAGTCGGCGTAATGCTGAGCTGTCAAGTATGTTAGGCTGCAAAGCCCGGAGGCCACGTTTTCTACCCCATGCGTGACGACAGGAGGACTCACTTGCAGCGTTGCACTTCTCAAGCAGTCGTTTGTTCTCTTCCTCTAACTCCTTGATACTCACCGCATCGGGAGTCGTGGATGAGATCCGGAGGGCAGAGTCGCGTGGCGCATGCTGTGCCATAACATATATTCGCACTTCTTATAACTAGTCGATACCGCATGAGCGCAGATTCACTCCATGAGATGTAGACACTGAGAACAGCTGTCAAGCGCTGCACATGAAACCATCTGTAACCACTACGCAAAGAGGCTTGGCTATGGCGGGGTTTCCCATTGTCCAATCGCTAGCTTTCATTCCAGAGAAGGATAATGATATGAAGAGTGTTCGCCATGGCGGCACAACGTTGTCGCAGTCAGGTGGTGGTGCTCACGACCATCTGAAGACCTCGTTTGGTTGTTCGTTCGTTCGTTGCGCTTTGCGCGTCAAGGCTGTCGCCGTGGAGATGATACACGACTATGGTGAACTTTGGACATCGTCGAGGATGTGGTGTGTGCCTCCACTTCTCTGGCGAGTTCCGTATTTCTTGTCATGTGGAGTGAGAGAAAACGAGGAAATTCTGCCATGCGTTGGTAGAACATCAAGGTATGAGTATGATCGTGGGGAAAGATGGTCACTTTGCCTCTGTCGAATCAGCTCCATCAGGCTTAAGGACATCGCAGGCTGACTGCCAGCTCCAGAGGTATTGGAGAGTGCCACGATTAGCTAGAATCACATCAAGTAGTCGAGATAGCCGTCTATGGTTGTGTGGATATAGCTCCGCCTGTCTCTCCATGTTCTCAATAATGATATGCTTGTGGACGGCTCGGATCCCGGGCCTCATCGGAGGCGGCGATACGCCCGACGACCTCGCTACCATCTCCAGCCTCGATTTCGGTAATCGGTGGAGCTAGTGAATGCAGGTCCCAGCTCCACGTGCGACGTATCGTGGGGAAGGTGTGCACGGATTTCGATGTTGAGTAGACATCACCTCGTCTTCGAGTCAGGACGGCAAGTGATTTGACCAGGACGTGCAGCCTTAGCATAGACAACACGGGACTGACATGGTAGGCAATCCCACGACCGACCCGTATGAAATTTGCGCGACCAGTCTTGACAATACCGTCGACCTCACCTCTGGTGGCATCGCAATTGGAAAGGTAACCTATCGCGCCCATCTTGTGCATGATCTTCACTCCTCGACATCATCCCATGCAGACTTGGACCAAGGCTGAGGAGTTATAGAGTAGGAATCGTTTGCGCCCTCCAGATATTGTTGCCAATGCCAGCTTCGACCTCGGTCGACCTGCAACAACTGCACGAATCTGAACGAAAGCGAATGGCATAGATAGCTGCTTCCTCTTCCCCACTCAGATGACAGTACTCGAGCTCAGCCACCAGTATGCATTCAGCAAAGTAACACTTTGTCGGCTAATCCATAGAATCTAACATCAGATCGCAGCTTTGGTGCATTCTTTGCCTGACGACACTATGATCACAGTTGATATGGGATCGGCACATCGCCGATCATTCGGTGTGATTGTGCATACGGCATGCCGAATGAAGATGACTCAGACGAACCGGTCGCCGTAATCACACAGAACAAGGCAGTCCATGGCGAACAGCAGGATCGAATTTGTGGGGAGATAAGACGTCTTCGGCACGACCGTCTAAAGGCGGCAGGCATCATTGATCAAGGCGATCGGACGTTTCGTGGCGGACGGATTCTGTTTCATCAGAAACTGCTACATCTGTACTTTACCGGATGATAGAAGCGGCACCGATCATGGATGTCACCATCCGCTGAAAGCACTAGCCGGATGATGGCCATGATCGGCCATGGAACAGTCGAGCAGCCAACCAGCAATTTGGCATTTCTTCTCTGTTTGCCGAGAGACAAGGAAGCAGGACTGCGAAGAGTTTCGGGAAACATTCGTTCGAGTGTACTGTACATAAGTGGGGACGAGCTCAGAATCGCCATGGCGGGGTCTCTTCGGATTGAAGCTCCGTCATTAGTGTTCGGATCGCACTCCGCCCTCCGATCTCTCTCAGCTTCTGCAATGTATAATACTACCGACACGCATTACAACGTTTGCATTGAACGAGCATTACTGGATAACTGCGAGTTTGAGCTTGCGGACCGTTCGAAAGACGTCGCGTAAGGTTTGTGGAGAGGTGAACGCACCTCCGACGACCGCCTACGCACCTGTTGACATCGTGCGCAGGATTTGCCACCCAAGCAAATATCGACTTGCAGGACTGCTACAACTCCTGTCAGCCATTGCAGTTGTCATTCCCTCAAGAACTCATTGTCTGCGCCAGCTCACACCGCCACCACTCCAACATCAGTGCCTCACTCGGCTATTAGGCCTTGCGGAAGCGCAAGCGGCAAACACTGCAATAAATTCTCCCAAAGGGAACCAGGAAATACAGCTTAGTTGAGAGCAATCTGTTGAACACTGCTCAGGCTAGTCGCGACGCCTTGAGAGAAATTCCAGCCTCTAGACGCCAGAATGAGCGGTTCAGAGAAAGGCGGCATGGCCACTGCACCTCCGATCGCAGCAAGTACTGGGCTTGCACACACCACATATGGTGATTCGGCCTTCGAGCCGCACCCAGAATTCGATTTCGACGCTTCTGAAGAGGACCTCCGCAACATGCAGCGTAGCATTACTTCGCTAGACATGTTCGACCAGAATGGTAACCCTCAATTCCAAGATCCTGATGCCCAGAGGTATGTGATCTTAACGAACGAGCTAGCAATGGCATGGTCCTGCGAGACATTTGTACTGACCACTTGCGCACAGTGCCCAAGACCTTTCTGCTTTTGACTTTCCAGTCGGCTCTGCTGCCTTCCCACCGGACATGAGCTCCATGGACCCGACCAATATGTACGCAAACGTCAGTAGACCAGGAACCATGTTCACGCCCATGAATCCAAGCGCACCCTTCCCAACCTCCAATCAGAGCGAGATTGTCAGCGCTCGCAGCGGTAGTGCCGTCGAGCGATACGGCCAGGTAACACCGCCAGACAACACGTCCGTAGCTTTTGATGGACAGAAGCAACAAAATGTTGGCGCGCCAGCCACCAAGGGCGCAAAGCTGAACAAGTCAGAAAGAGCGAGGAATGCTGCGAACCAGAGACACTCAAAAGCAAGGATCGAGCGAGAGGCAAAGGTGGCCAAGATCAAGGCAGGATCGGAAGAGCCATCCGGGGACAGCAGCGCAGAGATAGGTGACAAGCGCGATAAGTACCGCGAGAAGAATCGCTTGGCTGCGGCCAAGTGTAGGGCGAAGAAGAAGGAGAGTGTCGGCGGTCTCGAGGTCCAGAATCGAGAGATGGGCAGGGTCAACAGACAGCTGAAGGAAGAGGAGCGAAGATTGCGAGACGAGTTGAGCATGTTGCGGACAGAAGCGCTGCAGCATGCTCCAGGAGCCGCGGGTTGCATGTGCGGCGATCTGCACCAGTACAATCGCAACAAGGCCAGCCAGGTCGTGTACGGCTTGCATGGGCCCATGATCTCATCGCCATTGGAAGACATGATGTCGAATGCCACATCGCCTGAGGCGTTTGGACCGATGTCGAGGCACAATTCCATGCCAGGACCTCACGTGCACATGGCGGGCCAGTTACTCCACCAAGAACGACCACAGTCCTTCTCCGGTCCCAGTGGTTTCGGTTTTGTTCCAATGAACAATGTCGAGGCCCTTAGTGACCAGCAGAGCTTTGCGAACTTTCTCCACAATCCGGCTGACGGACGAGCTGGCTTCTCATGATCAGATTGAGGCTGGCATGATCAACGACGCTGGGTACCTGTGTGTCTAGGGTGGTTGTCAGGCCGCGCTGCGATATGCATCGTGTGGTGAGGCTGCGAGCGGTAGTAGAGGTGGTTCGGCCTCGCTTGTCGAGGATTGTGATGACTGATGAGGGCATGACTGCAATGGGTGGCGTCCTGGAGGAATCTCGTGCTTTCGATTGTCAATGTATGCAGTTTAGTATTAGTACTCAGCAGACTGCTGGTATCATCAAGATCTTTTATGACCAAGTTGACATATCCCTGTATCTTCCACAGGTATATCCTTCAGTGGTAGGCTTCATTATACTCATCAGCTGTGTCGATCTTGCCAGCTAACTGGAAGTGACGACAAGTCTCGTGCACAGCATGAAGCGGTCTTGACTCTCCTTGTAGTAAAGCCGAGACGGTGGAGTCTGTAGTGACAAATTGTTCCCACGCCTGTCAGGTTGTGTGTCGGTCTCCGCATAAGCTGCAGTGAGTGCTGTCATTGTGACAGCTGTGTTGAGACGTGGACCCTGATTGGCTTACAAGACTTCTTGCCACTCGCCACGAGGGTTGTCGTGATGGCCGGCGCCCCGTTGCAATAGTAGAACGTCATACAGTCGTAGTTTTACTATCAATCTGTCGTGGCGCGACGCTGTCTTCGAGAGTTGATGTGCTGTACGCTGCGCCTGGCCATGCTCCGTCAATGAAAAGCTCGTCATTTCAGCCAGTTATCCTGTTCGTTCCAAAGCATCGTATGGCTTTTCAAGCTTGATCAACGTTGGTCTCGTCTGCTCTCATGCCGCGCGTGTTTGCTACGTATGTGCGCAAGCTTGCCGTTCAGTAAGGTTGATACCAGACTAAGACGTTCCTTGGGCACAATCGAATGTGACGAGTGGGCACCTAGGGTCAACATAGGGTCAGGCGTACATCTAGGCAAGAACTTGGTCATCAAGAAGGATACCGTGGTTGTCGTTGTAGATATGTTGTGACAGATCGTGTCCAACTTGGAGCCTTGTTTGTTCCCGCGAATGCAGCAGGTGTATGGACGGCCAGTCAGCTCCCTAGTCTCCATCCATGATACAATATTGTCGAGACGTCAATAGGGCTCCTCAATGACCAGTCTGGGGCGCCAAGCATATCGAGCATTGCTCTAATCGTCGTTGTCGTCCTCCTACGGGCCACCATTTCGCCACGACAAGCTCAAGACTGCGCCCGAAAGCACGGCAACAGGTCGCGCATGGTCGGCGACGCCCACATATTCAGTCTCGGTATTTCTGGATCGTTTCATGATGCTGCTGTCCAGTTCGAATTTGCTGTGGCAACTTCTTATTGTTGGTGAAGTGAAGTGTGTGGGAATAGGAAGAAACTGAACAGATGATCATGACCATCGATTGCACAATCCTACCGTCACTACAACCTCGCCAAGAGCGGCGCTTCCCGTGGCGAATGAAAATGCCTGAGCTCACATTTTTTGAAGTTTGAGTGGACTTCTCACACGGTGGGGATGCAGGCCGGCTCCGAAGCTTCCTCACAGTAGGCAGGACGACATTCTTTCCGCCGTACTACCATTTAGCCATGTTATTATACAGGTTTTTTCGCAGGTGTCTCGAAGGCATTGGTTACATCCATAATTCTTGACTCGACTTTAGACCTTTTGACCTCACTTCTGGGTAAGAGTACATGCACACTTTGATCTATGCGACTTCACAGTCTGTTATTGGTGTGTCCATTTGTATGAGATCTCATTACTACGATTAAGCTCATTGTGCATCTCATACGCACTGAAGCCTGCAGGTACTTGTGGACATGTGTCTGGGCTGGTCCTGTTGCGGACTCTCTCCGTGAGAATTTTGTACAGTCAAACTATTGGAGGTCCTCCTCACACATCGACGCTTTCTACCATCCATGGGAGACGAACACATCCATGCCTCCCAAGCAACATCATTCTCGCGTCATTCAATCTCCATGGATCTGTGCTAGCAAAATACAGGTGGGCACAATTGAGAATCCATACGCATGCAAGTAGTCTTGCGACAACCATGGGTTTAGCCCAATGCTACCAGCTAGAATGACGTTATGTGCATCACCCAGCTTTCGCCTCATCCTTCTCGACCTCCTGCACAACCTGCCCATCTTTTTTAGACTCTCTGGGCGACTCCCTAGGGCCAGTTGGGATCCTCTCCCTCTCGCGCTCCCTCTCTTGTGGCCTGTCCTTGGTAGCCTCGCGACTGCGCTCACGAACCCTCTCCCGGCTTTGACTCCTTTCACGTCTCGCACGAGGTTTGTCCGATGAGTCTTCCGTTCGCTGACTACTACCGGGAATATACCGATCGATGGCTGTGTCTTTAGAACGATCATCGTATCTTGACTCGCGCCTGCGACGGTCATCCCTGTCGTCTTCATCTACACGTCGACGAGGAGCGAGGTCTTCATCTCTTCTGCGGGCTGGCCGCTCGTCGTCGTCTCTGACAGTTCTCCTGACGGGAGCAGCAGCCCCGCCGCCACCGCCAGGTACATACCGGTCGATACCTGGCGGACTTCTGCTCCTCTGCCTGCGGTCTGGCGTCCTCTCCCTCCGTCGAGGCGGGCTGTCGTCACGGCGTCGACCGTATCTCGGTGGCGAACGACTTCTCGAATCAGCACGGTACCGCCTTCTAGGCGGCGATCGACTTCTCGAGCCTCGCCTAGCAGGACGGTAAGAGTGAGCATTGGTATCCCTCGACCGACTCCTCGCCACACGAGCAGCGCCCCGTGGCTCTCGTGGCGGACCTTCCACGACCTCACCTTCCTCACCGGCGGCCTCGCGTGGCTGCTGACGCTGCTGTTGACGAGCTTTCCACGCTTCACGCTCGGCACTAATGTCACGATACAGCGTCTCGCGCCTGCTTCCATCACGACGAACCGCACGTCGATCATCCTCAGGCGATGGGTCACGCAGGCGGCGAGAGGTAGCACTCGACCGGGGTGGTGTCGGCGAGCGTCTAGAAGGACGTGAAGCTCGAGCGCGGCGATCTTCATCAGCTGCTGGACCTCGTGGTGTAGAATCTGCTCTCGGTCCTGTAGGTGCTGATATTGGCTTATCGCCTTTGCGTAATGTCATGCTCGTCGGCATCAGACCCTGCGCCCTCATCTCGTCTCGAGAAAGACTATTTCGTGCGGATTGGTGCTTGAGCAGTCGCGGTGGTGGCTCCATACTCTCACTTCTCTCCAACTCTGGTCTCTTGCCTTTCTCAGCCATCTTCTCGCCCTCTCTCAATAGCAGATCCAGTGCCTCCTGTTCAAGCCGCTTCTGCTCGCGATCTGCACGCTCCTTGGCTCGGCGATCCTTCTCCTCTTTCGCGGCCTTCTCGCGCTCCTCGACCTCCTTCTTCTGCTTCTCTCGCTCCTCGTTGAACTTCTGTATGCGATCTCTCTCACGCTGCTTCTCAGCCGCCTTCCAAGCTTCGCGCTCAGCACGCCGCTTCTGCTCGCGCTGCAGCCTCTCCGTCTCCTTCATCAACTCCTCCTGCTTCTTCTTCAACGCCTCAAATTCTTTCTTCTTCCGCTCCTGAGCCTCCTTCTTTTTGCGCAGCTTCTCCTGTTCTACGTGCTGCTTTGCACGGTCAGCGCGACGTACATCAGCTTCCGCAGCATATGCCTCATCGCTTTTGCATCCTCGCTGCATCTCCTCCTCTGCTGCCTCCTCTCCAATGTCCTTGCGCCTGATCTCGCGCAACGCGCCCTCCGCACTAGCCAAGTACTGATCGATGTACGCGTCGATATCAGCTGCCGTCCTCTTATAGACGTCGCCTCTCGCCGCCGCTCCTTCCAGCAGTGGTGCACCCATGCGCCTGTCGGGCTTGAGATACTTGATCGGGTCGCGCTCGATCTCATTCGAAGTAAAGGTTCGCAACGCCGCCTCGAACATGCCCCGCTGAGCGCTTTCATTGTATTGCTGGAATGCCTTCTTTCGCAACGCGTCGAATTCGCCCTTCTTCTTAAACGTATGCAGCATCCCATCGATGGATGCTCGTTGTGCAGAGGATAGTGGAAGTTCTGATACCTTTGGTTTCTTGCGCGCCGGCAGTTCGAAGTCGCCGGTGCCTGACATGACTACGTAGGCCGCCATGTTGGCGAGTGTGATGTGTTGTGCTTGAGACAGTTGATGAAAGATATCGGCGAGAAGTTTGCTATTCGAGTCCGGGTACATGTATATCAGACTGAATTGTGTCACTGAAGCATCGGATGACAAAAGTCGTGGGAAGCTCGCGTGAGTTGCCGCTCGTGACCAAGCTTCGAATGATGAGGAGACGAGCTTCGAGACACTGTTGACGGGCTCGACATTCACCATCCCCTTACGCATGTGACTGCTCGGAACCTTCAAATAGCAACTGCCGACCGCCCGGACGACTGCAAACACAGCAGAGGAGAGAGAGCATATCCCACACCTTCCAACGCACACGCGATGGTGAACAAGATCCTTTTCTGGTCTGGCTTCGGTATGCCAATCATATACACACAGCAAACGAGAACGACGATCGCATGCTGACAACTGACCTGCAGGCCTCGCCGTACGATTCTGGCAACTGGGCATCGAAATGCGACCTTTCCTATCTCAACCTTGGGTATATCCCATGTATGCATCACTGGGCGCGGGAGTCGGCTACTACCTGCAGGGTGTGGAGAACAGCCAGATGCGATATCTTCGCGAAACCAGAGACAGATTACTTGAGAAGCGACGGAGAAGGGCGGAGAGGGAAGGTGCAGACGGCAAGATTGGTAATGCGGGAACAGCATATCAGAGGGAGCAGGAAGGTCTGTTTGCTAGCCCAAAGGTCGTGGTTGAGCGAGGTGCCGGCGTACCAAACGGTATGGTTGAGAGGACGGCAGCAGCCCACTAGAGGTGTTGCCAGGGCACGAAAGCAGTGCGAGTTATATTGGCTTGTGGATGTTGACCCGCCCAGGGCTGCGTTCTGGCTTGGGCACATGTTGGAGGTCGGTGGGCGCGAAGTTCTCGTGTCCACCGACTATTAGCCTCCATCTTGTGGCGCACCTTGGGAGGCTGGGTACCTACGAGCAACAATGTATCTGTTTGAGAATGCCAATGCAATGCTTGGCGAAAGTGTATATATTTGCAGCCGAAGGATGCCGAGAACGCTTCACTTTCTTCACACCTATCCGCAATGTTGTGAACACATCTACTGCTGCGCCTATGAAGGGTGCTTCAATTTTGAATCTTGATATACACGACCTTCTTTGTCAATGTTGCAGCGTGATGGTCTCTCGATCGTTGACTATAAACCTGCACCATGGCACTGATAACAAACGGCATATCACGAAATGGCATTGCGGTGTTTTCTGGTGGCACAGCAGCAAACAGCCTCGTCGATGTGTTCGAGTTAGTCCGTGAAGCAAATCAAAGCACACTTGCATACATCATACCGGTGAGCGACAATGGCGGATCCTCGAGCGAGCTCATTCGCGTCTTTGGGGGACCTGGTAGGACCCATCGGTCGCCTGATACAAGACCATGGCTGACGAGACACAGGTATCGGCGATGTTAGATCCCGTCTTGTCCGATTGATACCAGAGAATGGCGAGGAGGCTACAGCAATCAAGCACTTCTTCAACCATCGATTACCCAGATCATATGTTCCAGCTCGTTCGGAATGGCTGGACATTGTTGAGTCTACACATCCGCTGTGGACTGGCATTTCTTCGCCCAAGAAAGAACTTATCCGTAGCATACTGAATTCGATCAATGTCGAGATGCTGAAGCGCATCCGACCTACTAGCAGATTTGATTTCAGTGGAGCCAGTATTGGCAATCTCTTCCTTACTGGTGGACGACTCTTCACTGGCAGTTTTGAGGCTGCTATCTATCTTCTGTCATCTGTCTGCGGTGTTCCGCCCTCAATCTCAGTCCTCCCGGTCTTGAACACAAACTTCGCGCATCATATCGCTGCCGGTCTTGCCAATGGAACAGTCATCACAGGCCAGAACAGCATTTCTCATCCTTCTGTACCGACGGCCGCGGTGCCAGTCGAGCCTATGTCGCCGAGTCTACGTTCCAAGCGCGAGGCAGAAGAACGAGAAAAGACTGAAGATGCGAACGGACCAGGCACTCTACCCAGTCTGCGGAAGCCGGCTCTAGTATTCTCTAAGGAAGATGAGGAAGACCTCCCTGCACGAATCAAGCGGTTATGGTACATCAACCCTTACGGACAGCAGATTACGATCCCTGCCAATCCTCGCGTACTCGAGGCGCTTGGAAGTGCTTCGTGCATAATTTACAGCATCGGCTCCCTCTTCACGTCGATCATCCCATCCTTGATACTAGGTGGCGTTGGCGAAGCTGTATCCTCCACAACCATTAAGAGGAAGATTCTGATTCTCAATGGGACGATAGATCGCGAGACTGGACCTTTGGCCACTCCTTTCACCGCAATGGACTTTGTAGCAGCGATTGCAAACGCTTGCTGCGAGTCGAGGCATCTGAGTCGCACTACGCCCGCCAATTACTGGCTCTACGTCTCGCATGTCGTCTATCTGGACACACCTACGAGTCCCAGGATCGACAGGGATGCCTTCAATGCTCTCGGCATCGAGACTATGAGAATCTATGGGCGCAAAGGCGAGGAAAGTACTTCGCCAAGATATGATGCGAAAGCCCTCACACAGGCACTGGAGGCTATCATTGGCAGGAAAGATACGAAGGGTGGGCCGACGAGGCGAAATACACTTATCGGATAATACTCATTTTGAGGCTATCCATGCGTAGAGCAAATTGATGTTCAGATTGGACAACTAGAGCAAATTCTTCACGGACTAATTTCTCCGGAGCTGCATAGCACGCCATCTCGAACGTTACGTGAGCCTTGATATACAGTAAACATCAAGTGGACCGACATACTGGCTTCCTGGCGGGACAGGTCTTACCCCGCCTGCAATTCACCAAGTGTGAGATCGTCATTAGCACTCTTATACCGATATAAGTCACACAATTCCCACTAGCACCGCAACACACCAATACAGCCCGTTATGAGTACACAACCATTCAACGTCGCCATCGTTGGCTATGGTATGTCAGCCAAGGTCTTCCACATACCACTCGTCCGAGCATTATCAAAAGACTTCAAGCTCTATGGAATCGTGCAACGTTCGCCAAAAGCTGGTGACGATGCGTCCACGGATCACCCGGGTGCCAAAGCGTGGAACAGCGTAGGTGATGTCTATCGCGACACGGCGGTCGACGTTGTCGTGGTGACCAGCATCCCAGAGACACATTTCGAGATGTGTAAAGCCGCACTTCAGGCTGGAAAACATGTGGTGGTTGAGAAGCCATTCGTCCCAACCGCCAAAGAAGCTGATGAGCTATTGGAGGTCGCCAAGCGTAGCGGGAAGCTGTTGACTGTCTACCAGAATCGACGATGGGACTCGGATTTCCTGACCGTACAGAAAGTGCTGAAGGAGGGTTCCCTAGGTGATGTCGTGGAATTTGAGACACACTATGATCGCCATCGGCCTGACCCGCCACCGAACACCTGGAAAGTGAAGGAGGCGCCTGGTCACGGCAGTATCTTCGATCTTGGCACGCATCTCATCGACCAGGTATACTGCCTCTTCGGCCTGCCTGAAGCAGTGAATGGCTTCATCACGACGCAGAGACGTGAAAAGATACCGGGCGGAGCACATGATAGCCATACCTTGATCCTTCAATATAGAGATGGTCTTATGGTAACAGTCAAGGCAGCTATCGTCTCCCTAGAAGAACATCAACTTCACTACTGGGTTCGTGGTACCACTGGCTCATTCAAGAAATTCGGCGTCGATGTGCAGGAGGATCAGCTCAAGGCTGGGCTCCGGCCCGGTGATGAAGGGTTTGGTGTCGAGCCGACGGAGATGCATGGTAGCTTGACTAAGATCATCGACGGCCAGCCCAAGAAGGAGACATATCCTACAGTGCAGCCGATGATGTACATCGAGTTCTATCGACAATTTGCCCAGGCGCTGCAAGGCAAAGGCGAGGTGCCTGTCAAGCCAGAAGCCGCGAGAGATTGCTTGAAGATCGTTGAGGCAGCCTTTGTCAGCTCGAAGGAAGGCAGGACCGTGGAGCTGTGAGGCCTTTAATAATGTATCGCCTTGTGTGGGCGCGAGATGGAATGCATACAGCGCTCTGGACCACGTGCCCTTTGCGGCTAGGAGTCTGCATGGACGAGATGTTTAGAGAGGTAGATCGTGCATGTCGAAAATCCACCCGTCCAGATGTTGTCCCGTTATCTTACTAATCCTTGCGTATGTTTTCGGACTACCACGCTTGACTCCGAGCATTTTCGAGACGCTTGCTAAGCCGCACTCCACGTCACATCTAACCGACGTTACAGTATGATGGAGAAGCACCATCTATTTGCCAGAAGACTGTTGCCATGGCGCCTAAGCGTACCCTGGCACGACATAGGATGACGGAGAGGCTCAAAACGTACCATGGATGCCTCGTTGGGAAAGGAGCTAATCAAGCCTGCCATATTATCGGCTAGTTCCAAAGATTAGAGCGACTTTGTTGCTAAGCAGGTAGGACCTTGCGAGGACTATATATAGGCGTGCTCTCGATCGCCGTGGCACCACATTTCATACCATCCATCGAAGCAGGCGAATAGTCGTGCCTACCCTCCCCTTCTTCCATAATCAAAAACCGCACAACCAATACCAGCAGTCATCATGTCAACTTGGGAGTGGCCCGCGTACACCAAGACCATTCATAGGTAAGCTACGGCTCCCATGGTTGATCCAAAGTTTTCATCACCGATAGCCTGCAGGTCGGTCTATCCTGCCATCAACCCAACGAATCCACTCAATAGTGTTACCGGTAAAGTCGTCGTCGTAACAGGAGGCGGGGCTGGCGTCGGCCGCCACATCTCCGAAGCATTTTCCAAAGCTGGCGCCAAAGCGGTGGCCATCCTTGGTCGACGCGAAGAAGTCTTGAAAGCAGCAAGAGCAGAGATCGAGAAGGCCGGCAAGGCCAGGGTCCTAACTTACAAGGCTGATGTGGTCGACGAGGCCGCGCTGAATGCAGCCTTTGCCAGCATTGAGAAGGAGGTTGGCAAGGTCGACATCGTGGTCGCCAATGCTGGGTACCTGCCCACTCCTGCACCGGCAGCCGAGGTTGATCTCAAGGAGTGGTGGAAAGCTTTTGAGATCAATATCTTGGGCACACTGCTTACCTTCCGTGCTTTCACGGCGCACAAGAGCAAGGATGCACCTACCTTCATCTCGGTCAATACTGGCGCAGCTCATGCCGGCTCTTTCCCGGGTTTCAGTGGCTACACTGTGTCGAAGCTTGGTGCGGCACAGCTCATCGCATCGCTCCAGGTTGAGAATCCGGACATGCGGATTATATCGTATCATCCTGGTGTGCTTGAGACGGACATGAACGCTAAGTCCGGCATGCCCGTCAGTAAGGACGAATTCAGCTTACCGGCTGGTTTCGCAGTATGGCTCGCCAGTCCGGCTGCCGACTTCACGAAAGGCAGATTCTTGTGGGCGCATTGGGATGTGGATGAGCTGTTGCACATGGAGGAGGAGATCCAGTCGAAGAACGAGCTGGTGGTGGGCCTGAGCGGATGGCCTAAGCAGGTCGAGATGAACGTGGTAGATTAGTGTGAGGATGCGTGCCAGTAAGGCATGCGTGATGGCGAGACTGAAGATGGGGAAAATGAGTATTAGCATTAGCATTAGCATTGCTGTGGAAGGCATAAGAATGAGCTTCGCAGTCACGTCCGCCGTGAATGATCTCTACCAGTGCCCGTGTGGCCATCGCTATCAATCATCGTTTTGAGATAGCCACCTCGCTCTATCTCGCATGATGGATGTCGACGCAGGATGTGTTCAGGAGATGGGAGACCAGAGCGAATCATTGCTTTAGGACGGAGGTATATAAGCCTTGTAGCCCCACTGTCCAAGCGTCATATGTAGCGTGTTTAGTCACGCGTAAAGTACGCGACTTTCTGATCCGTCTCGAGTGCTGCTCTATTTAGAGATCTACCCAAGTACATCTTTCCACATCGCAACCATGCCGGGCGTAATAGCACACCCTCCGGCCAAAGTCCCAAGCAAACGGGTACTGCAGGAAACCACCAGCTCGCGGACCAACCAACAGATCTCACCGTCGAAGAAGAGGAAGCTCGAGAATGCTGCCACTCCCAAGTTCAAGACACCTGCAAGGAAGCTGCCCAATGGCAGTCAGATGGGCTCAAGCCAGCCGAAGAGCCAATTCGAGTCCGAAGTACTGGAGAAGCTCACGCAGGATATCGATGCCTTGAAGCAAAAGAACGCGGAGAAAGATCAGCATTGGTCACGACCGCCACTCCGAGACTTTAGCGATAAGAAGGACACGTTATGCTTTCAGCAGATTGAAGCGGAAGAAGGCACGCTACATGGTGGCAGAGCGACCGTGAAGCTGTTCGGTGTGACGGATGATGGACACTCGGTGCTGTTGCATGTCACAGACTTCCAGCACTATCTCTACGTTGCAGCACCGGTCTCCTTCACCAAGAATGACTGCGACCCTTTCAAGACATACCTGGAGTCTGTCTTGGCGCAGCACTCTCAGGCCATCAGTTCGGTGCAAATGGTGATGCGTGAGAACATGTTTGGCTTCCAGGGCAACCAGAAAAGCCCGTACCTGAAGATTACCGTCTCGGACCCAAAGCTCATCAACCGGCTTCGGACGACCATCGAGCAAGGCAATGCCAACTACAAAGGACTCTGGAAAGCGGCCGAAGGAGGCATCCTTACCTTCGACAGTATCCAGTACGTACTACGCTTCATGATCGACACCAAGATTGCTGGCATGTCTTGGGTATCCGTGAATGCTGGGAAGTACCACATAATACCGGAACGAGATCAACATTCGCACTGTCAAATCGAGGCTTTCTGCCATTACAGAGACATCATCGCTCATCCCGTTGATGGCGACTGGGCAAAGATGGCCCCTCTGCGCGTCCTCAGCTTCGATATCGAATGTGCTGGTCGCAAGGGTGTGTTCCCGGAGGCGAACGTTGACCCTGTCATCCAGATCGCCAACGTCGTGACGCGATATGGAGAAGAGAAGCCTTTCGTGCGGAATGTCTTCTGCATGGACACTTGCAGCTTAATTGTCAACACCCAAATATTCGAGTTCGGCTCGGAGGAGAAGATGCTGATGGCATGGCGTGACTTCGTGCAGGAGGTCGACCCAGATGTGATCATAGGCTACAACATTTCCAACTTCGACTTTCCATATTTACTGGATCGAGCGGCGCATCTCAAAGTGGGCAAGTTTCCATACTGGTCGCGACTGAAGAATACCAAGTCACAGGCAAGGGAGACGAACTTCTCCAGCAAGCAGATGGGCAACAGAGACACTAAATCAACAAACACTAACGGACGTCTTCAGCTGGATCTGCTTCAGCTCGTGCAACGCGACTATCAGCTCCGAAGCTACACTCTGAACTCCGTTTGCTCCCATTTCCTGAACGAGCAGAAAGAAGATGTCCACCACACAATGATCACCGAGCTGTACAATGGTACTGCTGAATCGCGTAGACGTCTAGCAGTCTACTGCCTAAAGGACGCCTATTTGCCACAACGCCTCATGGATAAGCTCATGTGTCTGATCAACTATACGGAAATGGCTCGCGTTACGGGCGTGCCCTTTAACTACCTGCTTGCCAAAGGACAACAGGTCAAGTTCATCAGCCAGCTGTTCCGGAAAGCTCTCGAGCAGCAGCTTGTCGTGCCTAACTTGAAGAGCGAGGGCTCTGACGAGCAGTACGAGGGCGCCACGGTCATTGAGCCCACCAGAGGCTACTATGATGTGCCTGTGGCGACTTTGGATTTTGCTTCACTATACCCCAGTATCATGCAGGCTCACAATTTGTGCTACACGACTCTACTCAACAAGACAGCTATCGACAAGCTCAAACTTGTCAAAGATGAAGACTACATCCAGACTCCAAATGGCGATCTCTTCTGCACAGCGAAGGTCCGCAAAGGTCTGTTGACGCAGATCCTGGAAGAACTCCTTGGTGCTCGTAAGCGCGCCAAGAAGGAACTGGCTGTTGAGACAGACTCTTTCAAGAAGGCCGTACTTAACGGCCGTCAACTGGCTCTGAAAGTGAGTGCCAATTCAGTTTATGGTCTCACCGGAGCTACTGTGGGCAAGCTACCGTGTCTCGCCATTGCGTCGAGTACCACGTCGTATGGCCGACAAATGATTGAGAAGACGAAGGAAGAAGTCGAGAAACGCTATACAATCGCCAATGGCTACAGCCACGATGCCCAGGTCATCTACGGCGACACTGACTCCGTTATGGTCAAGTTCGGCCCCAACGATCTTGCCAAAGCCATGGAGCTTGGTCAGGAAGCCGCCGAGTTTGTCACTAAACAGTTCATCAAGCCAATCAAGCTCGAGTTTGAGAAGGTCTACTACCCCTATCTGCTCATCAACAAGAAGCGCTATGCGGGCCTGTACTGGACGAACACGAAGAAGTACGACAAGATGGACACCAAGGGTATTGAGACTGTGCGACGTGACAACTGTCGACTAGTGCAGACTGTAATTGAGACGAGCTTGAAGATGTTACTCATGGACCAGGATGTGCAAGGTGCACAGGAGTAGGTCACCACCTCACTTGATGTAAAGGTTCGTGCTAACAATCCTGCAGCTACGTGAAGGAGACTATCTCAGAGCTACTACAAAACAAGATCGATATGTCGAATCTGGTCATCACGAAAGCACTGGCAAAGGCCGACTACGCCAACAAGCAAGCCCATACGGAACTCGCTGAGCGTATGCGCAAGCGTGACGCTGGCTCAGCTCCGGCATTAGGTGACCGTGTAGCCTATGTCATGGTGAAGGGCTCTTCCGGATCAAAAGGCTACGAGAACTCGGAAGATCCAATGTTCGTCCTGGAGAACAACCTACCCATCGACACAAAGTACTACCTGGACAATCAGCTCGCGAAACCACTGGGTCGTATTTTCGAGCCCATCTTGGGTGAGAAGAAAGCTGCATCGCTTCTGACAGGCGAGCATACCCGTAGCATTTCAGTCGCGGCGCCGACAATGGGTGGACTCATGAGATTCACCAAAAAGACAGAGACTTGTCTGGGCTGTAAAAAGCCGCTGACTACACCAGAAGAGAAAGGCGGAGCTGTGGGCGAGGAATGTCGACCACGCTTTGGCGAGCTGTATCAGAAGAGTCTGGGCAAAGTCAGCGAGCTCGAGATCAGGTTCGCCAGGTTATGGACGCAGTGCCAGCGGTGCCAGGGCAGTATGCATAATGAGGTTATTTGCAGTAGTCGGGATTGTCCGATCTTCTACATGCGCATGAAGGCGAAGAAGGATGTGGAGGATGCTGGGAAGGAGATGGTGAGGTTTGATCGTGATGCGACGCTTTGGTAGAAGCATGAGATGGTCTGTGATGGAATCCTTCTTGGCGCATTCGAGCATGTATGGGCTTTCTGGTTTTGGAGGTCATGGACGCTCGCGCGTGACGCGGCACGCAGCGATGTCATTCGGTCGCCACTGGGTCAGTGTCACTTTTGTAGCAAGAGCACTGCTCGTCTAACCAACTTCAAGTCATGCTCCGCTGTTGCACGGCCATTGTATAACAGCACATCCTTACTGCTAATCTCGCAGATCTCGTGATTGCGTGGTTTGCTTATTGATCAGGCTGCAAGGCTGCGCCATGTGGTACTGATCATTGACTCGAGACGACATCTGTGACGATGGTGGCCGTTGGCGTTTCATGACTTGGCATTTCTTCCACTCGTTCCATAGGGCTTCTATAGGATGTCATGTCGGTGTCGGGATGGAACGGACCCGTTTTCCATTAGAATTACATGTCGTAGTGCTGGTGTTGCCTCTATCGGTGCTGTTTGCTTGAGCAGGCGGTGGTCTTGACCTTGACTTCTGATCGTGCATACACCTCGGCCCTGAGCCATGACCACGAACATCAATGAAGCGTGCGTATCGTGCACCTCCGTAGTCGGTCCTCTCACACTACGGTGTACGTGTCGACTGATCAAAGTCCATCTGCGAGACTACGAGAGGAAATGAAGTCGAAGTCGACGTTTGACTCAGACAGACCTTTATAGATTTACAGGAGCTTTGCCACGATCGGACTTCGAGGCTCACCTTGCACCGCCATCCTCGCTCCTGTCTCATATACAGAGTGTTAGACAGTGTCTCGACATGAATGGCACAATCGTGAGGCTGAACACTTGGTGAGGTCAGTCTTCGAATTGCAGCTCACCACGCCAGCGTGATCTTGTCTTGAGCCGGCTCAAGCCAGTCCAGCTTTCCTTGTCTGTCATCCAAGAACCAATCGTCTTCGGTACCCGATGCCTTGCAAGGGGGTGTCGCAACACGCACGTGTCTGTCTCACCGCGACATCATACTGATCGACCCGGACTTGAGCGAGCATGTTTGCCCTGGACGGCACACAGCAGAGGTTAGGCGTGCTGTACAACGCGAGCCCTGGAGACTCGAACCAAGCGGCTGTACCTGGCGCTAGTAAGAGCTTGCAGGTCCCGTCGATCCTCCGGACCCCTAAGCAGCCTATCAACGATCGAGCACTTGTTGTAAACTCGTTGCTGTACCTGCATGCTGACCGCGAACTACCAGGACGGGTATGTCCAGCTGCAGGTTTGCGTTCGCGGCTGACATCTGATGGGCGCTTGCGGCGTGCCAATGGCATGCTCTTCGACGTGGAGCTGGTACTACACGCGAAGTCTGGTCGGTGTAGTGGACCGACATTGCGACAGCGTGAGAGTTTAAGGTTTTTGTATGTGGCGCCGCCGTTGAAGAACTTCAAACCGTCAAGTCCCTCACCATACCGATCGCTGTGCTCGCGCCGCTCAATGCTCACATGGCTCTCACGATCAGATGGGATGGCTGCATCTGGGTGAGTAGATGCCCGACCCGGGTTAGCAATGCACGGTACATAGATTGTACAAGACGCAGGAGTCGACATGGAGCATCCTGGTCGCGAGCGTGTTGTCGTCCGCCCCACGCCCGCCTGCAGCCACGATGAGGTGTGCAGCTAAGCGAACAGAAGTTGGCGGCAGTTTTACCGTTCCAGCAAAGGCATCAGGCGAATCAGGGAGAGTGTAACAGACCAGGGTGACCATCGACGGGCAGTTTTCGAGTCGACGTCTGTGCTTTGTATCGCACACGGACACGGACACGCGCTAGTGAGCGTGTCAGGGGGCATCGCTTGTGGTGGAAGCTCGTATCCATACAACGCTTTGCGCTATCATTCCTGTTGATCGCTCCTCACACTCTCCTCCCTCCTATAGCTATCTATCCATCTACTTGGCCTGCCACAGTATAGCATCACCACTCTTTTTGGTGCTGTACTGCTGACTGTCCCATCCTTTCTTTCATTGTCTTTGCCTCTCCGGTCCGCCGTCACTCTTTCCGGCACCGATACCCTCCTTGGGCAGCCTCTTGGGTTTCTTTATTCCCTGCCCGACCTTTGACGATACCTCCATAGGACAATAGACTGGACGTCGTCTACTCGTCAGTCAATACTCCATAGCCTTCACAATCCGCCTGGTCGCAAGGAGCGCTGCGCATACGGCACGCCTTCATTCATCCCTTTTTATTGGACAACTCGTCTCTCCGTCATTCACACACCAGGCTCGGCTTACTCTACCATTCACGATTACACGCCCCCTGCCACTGTACACAGACGGCAGAGATACGAAGCGAACGACGTTCCGACTATTGTATAGCATAGATCAGCGGAGGAAGGAACGACCCCAAATATGGCGGACATCATGTCAACGCCTCAGGCACTTGAACTTCACATCGAGCTGTCTTCGCCAGACTCTCCTTCGGAAGATGACAACATGCAGACATCGTCTGTCAATGGCAGCGCCGCAGCTGCGAATGCCAACAACTCGCGGCGGCCCCCAAGGAAGAGCACTCTCACGCAACAACAAAAGAACCAGAAGCGTCAGCGAGCGACGCAGGAGCAGCTGATGTTACTGGAGGTCGAATTCAACAAGAACCCAACACCTACCGCGCTTGTACGCGAGCGTATCGCCCAGGAGATCGATATGACCGAAAGGTCTGTCCAGATCTGGTTCCAGAACAGGTATGCCATCTGATGTAGTATGTGTTGATAGTATGCTAATCTATAGCCGTGTAGGCGTGCCAAGATAAAGAACATCGCTAAACGAAGTATCGAAAGTGGCGAAGACTGCGACAGTATACCAGAATCTATGAGGCAGTATCTTGCGATGCAGGCATATGGCCCGGGCGGCAAAGGGCTTGCAGCGAGCATGCTCGGCCGTGTCGGGTCTGGCTACGGACAATATGGCGCTGGCACGCTCATGCTTAACACTGACAATGCTACCAGCAAGGTTGTGATACAGCACTTCGCTTGTCGGTCGTTGTCAGTCGGTACGTGGAGACGAGTAGGCCAAAGCACCATGGATCTCGTCATCTTCTATTCACCGGACAAAGCATGCGTTACCTACTATATCAATAACGAGAATGTTGGCTACAAGATCGAGTATCCTTTCGCCTGGATCAAGAACATCTCACTGGAGCAGGGTGATGTGCTGTCTGCGGCTGAAGGTGCATCCCAACGGTCCGGCGGGCTTGTCATCGAGCTCACACGACCACCGAAGTTCTACATGGACAGCTCTGGCCAAGGAGGATTCTACGAGTGTGGTGATTTCACTGAGGATCAACAAGCCACGCAAATCATGGTACACCACCTGGGAGGTCCCTCCAAAGTACTGAGCGGCCAACTGGCAAAGCTCGTGTCCCTCGAGTCATACCAAAACCGCCATATGAACATGTTCGACCCAACACAATTTGCCGTCTCGGCACCTGTCTCGCCAATGCGACCCGCAAGTCAGCCGAACCACATGCTACATCCTCATCACCCACCACAGATGAGCATGTATCAACAAGAAGCGATCGGCCTCATGGGCCCACCCGCCCCTCGCGGACACAAACGACAGCGTAGTCGATCTGTGCCAGCTGCGATCGATATGTCAATGCTGCGGCATCCCATGCCATCCTTCTTGATTCAGCACGAGCAGCCTTCGGCTCAGCCATTGATGCAGGATCCGAACATCTTCGCGCCGATCCCACAACATCATGCACCGCCACAATTCGCACCTGGACCCGGCTTGAGCATAGATACCTCGGCCGCGTACGGCATGGGTATGCCGTTCAACGGACCAATGTCGGCGACCACTGCCAACTCACCGAGTGAATTCGGGACCCCTGGCTTCTTCACCTCGGCGCCTCCCCCAGATGCAATGCATGCTGCTCAATTTGGCACGCCGTACAACAATGGCTTCTTGCAAGTCGATGCCGGTGCTATGCTCGGAACGAGTAACACGCCACTCTCGATTACTAGCCACGGTGACCCTATCATTGCTGATCACTCTCCACCGTTGTCTGGCCTTGGTCGAAGTGCTAGCGCCGACATCTTCTCGACTCCTGGCGAGCATTCACAATTTGGTGACGAAGGACTGTACTTGTCAGAGACCTTCAACAAGCAGATACAGCTGCCATTTCGAAGTCCCATGTCGGAGCATACATTCCAATCGCCTCTGCATCATGGATCATTTGACTTCCAGTCGCCACCAGGTACCAGCCAATCACATGTGCGCAACCCATTCGATGGATCAATGCCGCAGACCTTCGATATGCCACCACAACAAACCCAAGACGGATCGATGATTTTCCACTCAACTCCGACACATAACCCTCACGTTCCTCAAAACCATCAAGACAGCGGAATATCCTTCTCCACTCCCTCACAGATGTCCCGAGATCACTCCAAGGATGGCGGTCTTCTGTATCAGGACTCGAAAGTCTACACCAGCCCAGGACAGATGCACCAGCTCCCCGATGAGCAGAGCATGTACCAAAACAGCCCCTTGGCACACCAGACGTCTACCGGTGACGAGTTCCTGTACATCGACCCCAATCACCTTGGTTAGCAACCACAGCAATAGATCACAATCAGCAAACAAACGAGAGGCGACTGTCTCAAAGACGCCAAGTGCGTCTTGCAGACCCGACACAAATTATTATACCCACACTTAATTTCTATGGACGTTGCTTTACTTGACAATCCTTTCTTTCCCCGCGCGCGCGAGCTTGTGCAGCACCATTTGCCTTCTCTTATCTTTGGCGGGAGTTTGCTTGGCACATTGGCAAGAATCTTAAACACTAATTCTTAGTATGTGGCGTTTCTGGGGACCAGATCGCCGCTGTGCGTGCGTGTGATGAGCGGGCGGCAAACAAGCAGGATGCGAGAGGGAGATGCTTGACAGGCATGGGATGAGATTGATGAAAATGGTTGGAGCTGTGGTTTTACATACTGGACTTTATTGGAAATACCCGCAGGATGGACTTGGGATTTGGGCTGGAAATTGAGGAAGGACAAGTAGGCACCGAAGCAGGATGGCTGTGGTTCTGGGGAGAGAAATGTTTGATAGCTGCCCACCGTCTGGATACGGAGTGTGGCGAGAGAGCTAGACGCACAATGCGCCGTATGCAAAACTTTCAGCTTCTATCATTTCTGCATTTCGCTCGCATCGCGGTTCGATCTATGTCGACTGCTCTTGATCTAGGCTTGTCGTGCTCCGCCCGATAGTGAAGCACATACCATCTGTTTACTATCTGGACGGGTTGTGTTCGTAACGACTCCGACGTTGGCCTTCATCTGCAGCATCGAGGAAGGATCCTCCATACATATGCGGGTCGTCTGTCCTCTTCACAGTCCCTTATGTGAGTCGTGACGGCAGTCTCCAGGAATCCTATTCTACCTGCATAGCGTCGGCACCAGACCTCTTCTCCTCCTTCACCCACCCCACGAACTCATCGATGACGCTCGGCCAACTGCTCTCCTCATTCCAGAACCCTAGACTCTCATCCTTCATCGTCTCATTCGCAAAGTTAAGTGTTTGCTTCCACAAATCCCTGTTCACAGCCTTGGTCTTCTTCTCTTCTAGAAACTCCAACCACCAATCTAGCCACGGACTTGAGGGCGTCCGCCATGCGAATGAAGGAGACACGAATATCATGCGCCAAAACTCTATCGCGGTTTCTAAGGGTACCGTTTTGGCGTTTGGCGTGAGTGCGAGGATGAAAGTCTGGACGTAGACGTTCTTGAAGATGGTCGGGTCGGTGGGAAGGGCGGAGCGATGTTGGAGGACGAGGGTTTTGATTTTGGGGAGGGAGTCGGCGTTTGCTTGGCCGAGACCCTCGAGGAAGCCTTCACGTGTGATGACGCCTAGACTTGTTGATCTGACGATTTCGAAGAGGACGAGAGCGCCTACGTCGTCTAATGGGATGTCTATTGCGCCGAGGAGATTGCCGGAACCTTCGACGTTGATCTGATCGGGCTCGTTTCGTGGGTCATCGCGGTAGGTGTCGAAGATGGCGTTGAGGGCTTTGCGGTTTGGAGCGGCGTTGCTTGAGGAAGGGTTGTTAAAGTAGCTGCGCATGGTTGGTTAGCAGTGAACTTGTGATCGATACATCCACAACAATCAAGTGCTATGACAGGAAGTATGGGCTGCGTGGAAGGAGGACAATGGGCCCTGGCGGGATCGCTTGCGGTGGTGACACTCGTGGTATGGGAGGCTCACGCATTCACTGCTGAAGGGACATTCCAGTGGAACTGCTTAAGCAATTTGGCTGCACTACTCTTGTCCGCTTGAGTCACACCGGTAAATTCGCTGATGGCGGTCTTCTGCTGCGAGGTGTAGGACGAAGGCATCTCGGGCAGTGCTTGGCGTGTAGACAATGTGCTTTCCTGCTAGGCGCGCATCTGCTGTGCACGTTGCTACTATGCATGAACGTCGCTCTCGGATCCCTGCATTGCTGTCGTCTATGATGTGGTATGAATATATGCTGTGTTGGCCGTCGATCTTGTTGTTCAGTGTGTCTGTAGCAAACTTGCACATATGACGGAGCGTGGGATGCAGTTCACCAGATCCAGAGTGGGGCCCGACAGAGACTAAATGACTAATCGATAGCCAGGCAGCGAAGCCAAGCTCGTTTGAGAGCTAGCCAAAAGCTAATCCCGCAGCGCTAGGTCGGGGAACAATAATAAGAAAGTGAATAATAATACCGGTATAATGCAACTCACCTCATGCCGCCTGTATGATCCACCGCATTCTTCCTCATTTTCTTCGACTTTGGCATCCTGCTCATCGTTGCGCTTTCGACCGTTTCGGACTTGCGTTTGGGCAAGACCATCTCCGTTGACGTGATCTCCTGGGAGAAGCAGAAGCAGAACGAGTGGAAAGGTCGCATGTGATTTCAAGCAGTGAGCATTAGCCAGTAGGACAAGCAGTGCTGGCAATCGAGGTTTGTTACCTGCTCTTGCACATCAAAGGAAGTCATGGAAGCTTTGCTAGACGAGGCTCGTGCATGTGTCAGGCAGCACACACGCTGGTCTGAGGCATGAGGCGGCTTCACTTGAATGATATGTGCATTCAAAATGAACCTTGTGGATTTGTGGATGACGAAGACTGATACAACGCAACAAGGAGGAGAATGCGGGAAATGACCTGGGACAGGCTTGGACGACCAAATAGTGGGCTTTCGATACATACTCCGACTCACGCGACGCCGAAGCCTCCACGTCAGCGCCCATCAATCACTACTATGATGGTCCATCCGATGGCCTCCATTCGCTATTGGAGTACTCTTACAGGTGTACTCTACTAATCTTATCAGTCTCAACAACCCCATGCTCACGTCTCGCGATAGCAATCTCACGTTGAACATCCTCAACAGCTCGCCCGTCTTTATCCGCCGCGGCAACGATGGCAACCCGAAGCCGGCCGGCCAACAGACGACAACTATTGCCACTCGCGCCGTAGATGCTCGCAAGATGCTCCGCGATCTGTGCCCGACTATACCGTCCGGCAAGGTAGATCAGGCGGTCGCCCCTCAAAGCAGCAATACCGCTGGCCAAAGCATGCAGCTCCGCCACGTCGGCATCGAAGTAAGTGCGCGCCGTGTCGAGCTCCTCTTGACTTACGATGCCGAGGGCGAGCTATGCGGCGTCGATCCTGTCTTGGATTGTGTCTCGAGGTTCGTCACAATCCCGAGCAGCTCTTCCTATTGCGTCGTTAAACACGCCTGGCAAGTTGCTTCTTGGTAATGATTGGCCTCTCGAAAGCAGCGTTCATGCGGTCTGTGAGTTGTTGCTGCGTGTATCGTTCGTGCAGGTCCAGGACAACATCGCCCACGATCACTTTTGGGTTCTCGGTCAGCTCATCAAGGTTTGCTTGTCCATTCGAGGGACGACATACCGATGTCGACTGGAGTGGACTCACTTGCTTGTTTGGGGAGGACGACACTTCTGGCTCGACCGGGTTGAGGAGGGAGTGGATATCCATGATGGATCTGCTTGTATCAGGGATCGAATCGTGGTGTCACATGTAAGTCGGATATAGTCTACAGAACAGGTTCGGATGCATATGCGGCGGGATTATATGGCGTGGGAGTGCGGACAAGGACATTGTCCTGTGAGATTGTGGCTCTTTGTGTCTACGACGCTCAGTACCATTGCCACGAGAGTCAGCTTCGTTCAGACAAGGAGCATGTCCAATTTTATGAAAGCTACCGGTGAGCCTTGACATCCTATCAGCTCGGCGCAATGGGGAGGGAACTGAGGTCCTTAATGATGATTGTGCATTATATGATCGTGTCCATGGACTTGCTTGCTAGACGTGGAGTGCTCAGCACGGTCTAACCAGGGTATCAACGCTCTGCAATTCCAAGATACCCTGTTCGGTGGGCTGACAGCAAAGACCATAGTGCACGGTGGGAGGCAAAGCAAGCACCGAGCGACGGGCTTTTGATACATGACAAAGTGTACACCTTATATCTACCTGCACGAATGATGGTCAATGATTGATGTATAAATCTGCCATATCTTACAACATGATTTGTCTGACGTAATAATCACTCCCAAGCCTCCTCCTCGTGCCCTTCAAATCATGATCGTGCCAGTGTCCCTCGTCTGAGTAAAAAATCCTTCCAGTTCCTCACCAGCCATTGTGGCTGTGTCTTTATATCGATGCCACGTTGCACTGAAGAAGCGAATCAGACGTGCTGCTGTCCTCGTCCGGGCACACTGGTGCTACCGTGCTCTCTCAAAACAACTTCAAGGCCCCTCGTTGTCGGCAAGAATATCCGGAATACCCGCCCTCACAGCCTCCTCGGTCAAAGCAACACCACCTTCCACTTCCACCTCACTGCCAAGACTGCTGTGACTATCTCTACCGCGCAAGCTGAAGCCCAGTCTCTTGCGAGGCTTGGCGTTCAAGAAGGGTCCGGAGATGGTCGCTGCCTTGCCAGGCTTCTTCTTCATGCGCATCATAAGTGCATCCTCGAAGCACTCGTCTGTTGGTGTGATCGGCGTGAGAGGAACAGCATTAGGTGTAGGGAGACTGACGGAAGATGCTGTAGAGACACTGCCACCCGGTGTATCAGACACGCCGCCACGGATACGTCCCAGGCGAGTTTCTGAGTTCTCCGGAGTCATGCGAGTGAGATCTGGCTCAGGGCCGAAGCCATGGTTGAGGGCGCGGAGACCGTCATCGAAGCTATGTTCGTAGGCACAGCCTGCGTAGCGGCTGTACAGTGGGCATACGCCTGCGCCTGGGCATGGGTATGCAGTCGCTTCATCAAGAGACTCCGAGTCTGTCTCGCTTATCGTCACGCTTGTTGGCGTCCAGTCAGATGTTTCCTCGTCTTTGCCATCATGCTGCGATGCTGGCGTATTGGCAATATGTGGAGATGGCGGACTCGAATTTGTGGTTCGAAGTCCCAGGTTTCGCACGATAGCTACATTGAATACAGGCAGTTGCTGCCAGTTGTCTTCGGTGACAGGCGGCTCGCGGCCACTCAGCGCCTGCTCGAAACTTTGATAGAGCCGATCTTTAAAGAAAGGTCGACACGTGTGACAGACCTGAAAGTTGCAAGGCTGTCGCTTGATCTTGTGAGTCGCATCTCGTGTGGCGTTGCTGGCATCCGCCTTGGTCGGTTCAGTATTAAGACGTAGATCCGAGAGCGGAGGAGGGCTGGGCGCCATTGAGCTCCCGACCGAAGCAATTACATCCTCCAGGGTACACTTTCGGGTTGATTTGGTGCGCTGAATCTGCATCTCGGGTGCGTCTGCCGCGGTAGGGTTCTCCTCCTGTCGAATTACTGCAAGCACGTGACGCCTCTGCTCAATGAGTTTGTCGATTTGGTCAATGGTGTAGTCACCGCATCGCATGCCCTCAATGACACCGGCTCCTATGCTCAGCGATTCAGCCAAGGATGCTTGAACCTCAAAATAACCGCTTTCATTAGAGACACGTGGGTGCTCATCAGGGTCAGCGGCATCTTGCGAAAGCTCGCAGTCTTGTCGACAGATGTAAAGCCAGCCGATCTGAGGGACCTTCCCGCACATGAAGCATATGCGCTCATCATACACACGGGTCACAATCGTGTGTGTGCACTGCGGACGACGTACTGCTCCCAGAGGACTCTGACGCGCTTGCTTGATGACCGGCGCTGTCTGTGTCTGCTGGCGGTGATCAGTACGACTTTTGGTCAGAGCAGAAGTCCGCGGTACGAGCGCGGTCCGATTTGGATGGGCATTCGAGGGGCTGCTCGTCATCGTGGGAGGATGGCTATGAACGAGACTGACCTGAGGTCCGCCAGGCTGTGAGGATCCGATGTTAGAACTGGGTAGTGACCTTGGCGTAGCCTGCCAAAATGGATCACCCTGTGAGCAATTCTCTCCGTCATGAGCGAGCGAAGAGACTCGATCCGGCGCGAACATTGGCGGAAGCGTCGACATTGCGAGAATGTTCGGGCCGAGTCGGTAAAGTATTGTAGAAATAGGTAGGTGCCGAAACCTGTCGCGTGATAGAAGTGAAGTGAATGGCTCAAGTGCTTGTGGAAGTGGGTGGGCATAAGTCAGAAATGTGAGAACGTGTGAGGTCGTGAAAGGCAGAGCGTGAGTGGCGGACGAGGGATAGGGATAGGTTCTATCATGAACGTGGTAGTTGTGACTGCACGTGTGCTTACCTATCCTGACCGCTCCTGTCGTCGCTTTGCCTTGCTAGACCACCACTACTCCTTCCTCTACATAGTAGACCATTATCAAATGGCAGTCGCGCCCGGTTACGCGCAAGAAGACGCAGCGCACACTCGTGAACCGTCATTGCTTCGGAACTGAGGGCTTCATTGTAGTAGACTGCGACTCTGAGGGGAGGAGGGGATCAAGACACTTGACGAGGCGACCTGCCCAGAGCATACTCGTACGGTCTGCAGTAGCCGAAACACTCCAGTCTGTCGGGTCCCGTGATCTTCGTTTTTGTCTCTCCGCCAAGCAATTGGCAGGCGACGACATCACCGTGTCGCTACGTCTAGCTCAGCCCGAAGGGTACCTGATGGAATGCTACCTTTTATCGCAGAAGAGGTCAATGGAGGATGCTGCAGAGGAAGGGCTCATACCGTCGTCTCACTGCCGATGTGACACGCAGCCAATCACCGCCATGATCATCAAGTGGACCCTGCCCCCAATCAGCTTGTCGTCTGGGGACCTTCACGAGTAGTAAACATCGCAACGGAGCTGCCCGACCACGTCGACACCGTCATTTGTTCGCTCCAGGTGTTGATACATACCGCAGAACCATCTCAGCTACTCAGACATCGAGAGGCACTTTAGGGACACTCTTACCACTGGACTCGCGCCTTCCCGTCCACATTGCGCATTGTGAACCACACACCCTGATCCACCATGTCGCAAGTCAAGTTCGAGCAGAAGGAGGACATTCGCGTCACGCAGTCGAGCGGCGCGAATGGTGCTAGTGGAGGTACTGGAGGTACTGGTGGTGGCTTCTTCAGAGGCACAGGCGGTCCTCCGCCACCAGCAGCACCACATCAGAAGCATGAGGGATTCGCGCATGAGGTGGGAGACGCGCTCACCAAAGGCGCTGGACCTAATGGTTACCTAGCCGTATGTGTGGATCTTGCTGCGGCGTGCAACGCAACGTAGCGCACGACTGACGTCTAAACTAATACATCTTGCGACAGTGGTATCTCAAGAAGCTCCAGACCGACCCTATCCGCACCAAGATGATCACGTCTGGATCTTTGGCTGCTCTGCAAGAGTTCCTCGCTTCCTGGATCGCGAAGGATCGCAACAAGCATGGCCACTACTTCACCAGCCGCGTGCCGAAGATGGCCATCTACGGCGCCTTTATCAGCGCGCCATTGGGCCATGTCATGATCTCTCTCCTGCAGCGCATGTTCGCTGGAAGGACGAGCCTTCGCGCCAAGATCCTACAAATTGTCGTGTCAAACCTCATCGTGCGTTCCAAACCTCGCATTCCGCGATTATGAAGGTGCTAACATTATACAGGTCTCACCGATCCAAAACGCAGTCTATCTGACCTCTATGGCCGTGATCGCAGGCGCTCGCACCTTCCACCAGATCCGCGCGACCGTCCGTGCTGGCTTCATGCCCGTCATGAAGGTCTCCTGGATCACTTCACCCATCGCACTTGCCTTTGCACAAGCGTTCCTGCCTCAGGAGACATGGGTGCCGTTCTTCAACTTTATCGGCTTTGTTATCGGCACGTACATCAATACGCACACCAAGAGGAAGAGGCTGCAAGCTTTGAGGAGAAAGTACCAGGACGGCGGCAGAAGCACTGAGACGAGAACAGAGACACGCACTGAGTATGAGAGGAGGAGCGACAGGCCTGGACCTGGAGCATATCCGTAAATCTTCGACGACCCGAAAAAGCAAATAGCGCGGCACAGCTTGATTGTACAGGAAGCGCATGGCGTCCGTTTACCTTGCTCAGCAGATTGTGTGGCATAGCAATGCGGCTATGTGCTGTTGGTACTCTCTGGGTATGACGGAGTGGGGTCACTGGCGAACGTCGCGTGGGAAGACGGTACATTGAGTATTTCCTCGACTACCACTGAGCCAATCGCACTTATATGCATGGTTTCTGTTAACTCTATATAGGCTACGTATGAAGGATATCAAAAACAAGTTGCTCGCACTCCCTGTAAGAAGTCTCCAAGGGCGGTTGGATTTCATCACCGTGCCCAGAGGACTGGCCGCTAACAGGAGTCGTGTGTGAGAGCTAGGACTTGTCCCGTCCGTACTCCTCGAGACCGAACCAGAGCGGGACGCAGCATATCGTGCACGAGCCATGGTTGGACCTTAAATATCTGTCCTACGATTCGTGCGGGTCCTGGTTCGAGGTCAAAGTTTGCTATCACAAAACGTCAATTCTGAGGAGCAAACATCTGAACTTCTTCTCGTCTTCAGATCACGCCACACGGTGCAGTGTCAGTCCCACGAGCGGCCATTGGACCAAACATCCGCTCTCTCTCTCCAGAGGTCTTTTTCGACGCGGCTAATGCTAATACTCACACGGCATAGATGCAGGCTCCCCCAGGCTTCAACCAATTACTGTCCTCACAGCTTTGGCATGACGATACAGCATACCATGCTACTGGGACTCGAGGCGGTTCATCGGCGCTTTAGCAATGCGTCCACGTCCATGTGCAATTGCCTGGTTAGTCATGTCGACCGGAGCTCCATGGTCGCGCAGAGCCGCCCATTCTATAAGACTTGCGACCCTTTCGAGCCCCGTGCAGCAAGCTCTGCGACCGAGGCTGCGTTTTCGCAGATCGACCCAGAGTGATACAAAGCAGATCCCGGTCCGCCAAGGAACAGGGCCACATGTACACTTATGCCCTACCGCAACTACTCTCGCGACATAGTACCCCTATCCCGCTCTAGTCGAAGCCGAGACCCATACGCCTACGCAGTTGTTCGTCGCCGCAGCCGTTCTCGAAGTCTTGTCAATGAACGCCGTCGTCAGCGAGACAAAGCATGGGAGAGAAGTGTGGACGCACTCAGGGACCGAGCAGCGAGGGACTATGTCGGAGATCTGGGATGGACGCTTGCCTATGCTACGGCTTGGCTGTACAAATTCCTGGTCGATAACAGGACCGAGGTCGTGGATGCCGTTGATAGAGCGCGGGAGGTCGAGACTGTAACACCGGAGACGCCTTACCTTCTCTTCAACCTTCTCGATCAGTCTTGTTTCGATGGCAAGCTTGCGGGAATGGTCTATTTGAGATGGAAGGCGCTGTCTAGTAATGTCTCTGGCTGCACGAGCGCACAAGGAGTCATACCAAATATAACAAGGATCTGCATCGAACTCAACAAGTCCGAATTCGAGGATGACGACGGCGATATCGACGATCTTCTCGACGCACTGATACACCAGATGATCCATGCCTACTTCGTGGTGGCGTGTGGGAAGGTGCCAGAAGGCGCAAAGAACGACGATCGCTTGCTGGATGGTCTCCATTTCGGAGTCATAGTGTACACGATATGCGATATCACACGACAATGTCGGGAAGACCGCCTCGAGCTCGAGTTTTATGCCGCTCGCCGAAGGACAGGTTTCAGTGCGTCTCGGAGCCGCAAAAACAAGTTCATCTCCATGATGCCGCAAGGCAACGATTTGGCCAACGCATCACGCGACCAGAAAACACACTGTAACCTCGACAATCGTGGAGTCAGGTGGGCCCAGATCAAGAACTGGCAGGTCAACGAGTTCTCCGTTACGTTTGATCTTGGCTTAGTTGGCAAGGGCGACTTCATACATGACTACCGCCCGAGTGGTGTGTTCGAGCGTTTCGAGCGTCGGACTGGTCCTGCCTCGTCTACATATATTGAGCTGATCTGGGATGACAGGCGTGTCATTGTTAGCCGGAAACATGCCCTTTCATATTCTAGTATCAAGAGGCCTCTTATGAAGAACAACAAGATGGAGCTCACGATACCAGAGTGTAGCATACATGTCTTCGGGCAAATCTATGACTTCTTCAACCGCGGTTCATACTACAGGCAGATCCCGGCCAAAAGCACGACCTCTACCAGCTCTCGCCTCAGTCGTCAAGGTCCACCGACACTGGTACCTGGCCGCCATTCATGGCGCCGGAGTGACACCAACCTTGTTGTGCACCTCGAGACCTTCAAGGTTGCTCAGTCCATGGAGTTTGAGGAGCTAGAGACTTACGTGCTTCGGGTTCTGTGGGATCTGCCTGTCATATACGACGATCCCATCGCGGCGCTCAAGGTGCTATATAACGAGAATGACAACAGCGGACCAATACACGCAGAGCTGCACAAGTGGGCTCGCAAATTCCTGGGCCGAGTGGATCGAGGCATTCATCATGGCGATGGACTTCAGTATGGCAGGGGTTATGCCGGCACGACAAATCTCGATAAGATCAAAGCATGGTACCCAGAAGAGTTCAAACAGCTCTACTATCGTAACATGGCGTTCAAAGACGACATCAAGCTTGTTGAAGCTGAATGCGAGAAAGCGATGCGCGACTCGTACTATGGCGAAGGGTATGGCGCTATGTCACCCCTACGAATTGGAGCGGGCATAACGGAAGTCGTCGACACTGTCGCCCGGCGCAAAGAACTCAGCATGTACCCGACCTCACGCCAGCTCGCGAGGCCAAGAAGTTGGAGCTCGCCTTATGATGCTCTTGTACCGCTTGCTGCACACGGCTCGATGTCGACCCTCGACTCGCTTGATCCTATCATGACGCCTAGATCACTGGATGATATGAGAATTCCAAGAAATTTGGGCGGAGTGCCGAAGAGGTTGACATTTGGTGGGCTTGGCTGGGGCCAGGGTGGTCTTGCTTTGCCTGGCTTGAATGCTGGCATGGGCGTTGGTATAGATCTTGGTGGTCGAGGACTTGGTCGAGGGCTTGGTCTGCGGAGCAGAAGAGGAATTGTTGACGCTTGGGAGGAGGAGGATGACGACGACATTTTGGTCCGTGGTCCTGGCTTTCGCTACGGGAGGTGATGTGCTTGATCGCGTACCCATTGCCTGGGTCCTCTGTTTGGCACTGCCAGCATTGCGCGGCGTGAAGGGTTGGACTGAGACCGATTCCGGTTTGTCTCGAATAATGTGTAAACAATTTCGGATACTATACGTGTGTCAGGCGCGTTGAGTTCTGTCAGGATTAGCCTTGCACAGCATCATAGTCTCCATAGTGTGTACATGTTAGCACAAAACTTACAAATATCCTTTCTTTGTACCCACACAAGCGCTTCTGACTTCATCGAGGACCACGGACTAGTTCATACCAGCGTCCATTATACACGGCACCTACAATGGGAGATTCAACGGCCAGTCTCATAGAGGCCTACCACGATCTCAATGCTAATATAGTTGATGAGCTAGAGGACGAACCAAGTGCATTGGAATTCATGCGATATGTGGCGAAGAATAGACCTTTCGTGGTCAGAAAAGCCGCGACAGAGTGGCAGGCGTTCGAAAAGTGGGATGCTGCCTATCTACGAAAAGCAATGGCTGGAGAAGACGTCAAGGTTGCTATTACGCCGTCGGGGTAGGTAAGTCGATGAGGAGGACAAGGAAGAAAAGTGCTCACGATGAAGCTGACCTTTGCAACAGCAATGCCGATGCTGTTGTGCGCCAAGAAGATGCCAGTGATGTCTTCATGGAGCCTTACGAGATCGAAGAACCATTTGGCAGTTTCCTAGACGCCATACAAGAATCCTCTGGTCGAAGAGAAGTGGATAAGGCAAATGTGCGATATGCTCAAACCCGTACGCCACGCAAGCATTGAGGACAAGGGGTGACAGCTGACACGGAATACAGAGAATGACAATCTACGGAATGAGTACTCACCATTGCAGTCCGAGGTCCCAAGCGAGATATCCTTTGCCCGCATTGCTCTCGAACAAGCTGCCGATGCCATTAACCTATGGCTCGGCAACGATAGATCAGTGACTTCACTGCATAAGGACAACTACGAGAATATCTACGTCCAGATTCGGGGCCAGAAGCATTTCACCATCCTGCCTCCGGTCGAGATGAGCTGTGTGAACGAACGACTACTACCAAAAGGCCGCTTCGCTCCTAGTGACATTAATGTCGGGCAGGAGACTGACGGTCTGATCGTAAAGCTCAACACGAATGCTGAGCCAGTACCAGTCGCTACATGGGATCCAGACACGCCCGAGGAGAAGACAACGCGGTACTCGCACCTCGCGAAGCCTTTGCGTGTGACGCTACGAGAAGGCGATATGCTCTACCTACCTTCACTATGGTATCACAAAGTTAGCCAAACGGCAGGCGAGGAAGGCTTCGTATGTGCTGTCAACTACTGGTATGACATGGACTTCGCCGGGCAGCACTGGGTGGCGAATCAGTTTGTCAGGGATGTGTACCAAGACGAGCAGAAGAAGCCACAATACCCGAGTCTGACTATCAGTACGGGAGAGTAGGAGGAGGCTGGGACCACTGGAGGCTTGCCTGCTGTTGATGGTAATTGCAGCACGAAAAGGAGATCTTACATCGGGTATATTCGCTCAGAACGACAGTTGTAGACTAGCCCAACCCCGGAACACCTCATAATGCATGTACGCATCAATGCATCTTCCTTATCTTGATCCCTTGCAAGCCTCGTACGCTAGCCCAAATGCTTTCGGTGACCTTCACAGGCAGCTTCCTACCCTTGAGCCGTTGGTCAATGAGCCACATTCCCACCACGAACTCTTCTTTGTTCAAACGTCCAATTTGATCGTTGTCGACTAGTTCCCATACTGCTTCCAGCACATCGTCGTTCAAGCGTGAACGAGACCAAATGTCGCGGACGACAATATGGGAGACACACTCCAGTGCAACAGTCAATGATGGGGTCGCAGCGGGTGAGCCTGGCGTGCGTTTCAGCTCTCGCTCCTCATCGGGAGTAAAGGAGATGTGTAGTCCTTTGTTCGCAGCCCAGACCCCTTCGTAGCGCTTTCGTTCGCGCTCTGTGACTGCGTCTCGCCATCGTTTACGATCGCCTTCGTGATGCTTGTTCGGATGCTTGCGGACCCTCCGCTTTTTCCTATGCTTGCCGTATGGGTGAGCTTCGTCTTCGGTTTCCGACTCCTCGGACTCTACTTTCCGTAGAGTGTGGAGCATCGTACGTTGCTTTGCAGGACTCGGGGTCCGCGATAATGAGAGCTTGTGATGGTGATGGCGGCTGGACGACATTGGTACTTCTAACTTCGAAGGTGACGCCGCTCGTGAGGATGCCAGGCTCGACGCTACCATTGCATTTGCCAGATCATCGCCGGTGCTGAGTGGTGTCATACGGCGAGGATGAAGCATTCGATACTGTGCAGCAATAGACTTTCCAGACTGTGAGGATCCTGACATTTGTTCCGGTAGCAAAGTACCAACTCGCGCTGGTGCTGGAGCAGGCCTAATTTGGATCGGCTGAGTAGAAGCATGTCTCAGTGGTGAGGGTGATGTGCGGTTCCCACTCGGGGTTCTGATCGCTCTCATCTCATCTGCTGGTCCATCCAGTGCTCGTGCCTGTCGCTTGCGAACAGAGACTGGAGTGGCGGGTGTTGCAGTATCTTCAGAAGCTGAGAAGTAATCTTCGCCTGATGAGCGATCGTCGACATTAAGCTTGCGTGCATCCTTGCTCTCGCCCAGCTCCATCTGGAACATCGAAGTGATGCCACCGCCACTACTAGCAGGTACTCGCACGGGTTTAGGAGAAGCGAGTGGAAGGTCGAAGTCCGCTTTCGACTGTGCCCTTGGAGTCCTGACAGACGCTCCTGCTTCCGTCGACTTGCGTTCGTAGAGCTGGACGAGGGATGAGGTTGGTCGTGTGGGACTGCTGTCGGTGTCTCTGCTTGCTCGCGGGCGTGCATCACCATTGTAGGAGCCGGATAGTCTACGAGGCTTAGGCGCGACCGATGGTCTGTTGGTAGTGAAGGCACGTGGCCTCGCTGATTCAGGCACAGCCTTTCCTTCACTGGGTGGTCCAGCAACTCCTCGCGGTATGCTCTTGGTGGGTGAGACCGCCTGATATTGTGCAATATCCCTCACGTTCTCCGTGCCTCTCTTTCCTGGTACAGGTCTCTGCGTAGGACCTGTATGTGAAGGCCGCATCATCACGTTCCCAGCCATTCCCGATGTGTTCGACGCACCATTGCTGGATCCCATGGGCCTGCCAGCCGGTCCAGCTCTCGTCGCTGCTGCCAAAGCGCCATTGGTCCCGGTGTATGTCGTCGATGGTGTCCTGGTATTGACTGCAGGTCGCCCAAATGCTTTGGTGGCACCTAGTAGAGCAGCATTGCGCGCGTCTAGGGTGTTGATACTGCCGTAGGATGACTGTCTCGACGGAGCTCGTGGGCCAGACATTGGCGCATCGAGGAAGGATGTTGTTGTTGGCACAATGGCATCGTCACCAGACTGTCATGTCTTTGTTGTGACAGCACATGCACGCAAGACCTCCTGCGTTTCGGCTGGTCACGGCAGGTCATAGTAATAAGGCAGGCTCACTACCGTCAGCAACAGATTAATCTGGGACATGCTTGCGCGTTTACGAGGTCCACTCCTGCGAGGCCGCATCCCGCTCCTACGCCACTGTGGCGTTTTGGCTGCCGCCTTCCCTCTAGCACTTCGATGCTTAAGCACGCCAGGCTGCCACCTCCATGGTCCACATCAAAGACCAATCGTATAGTAAAGCAGCCTGCATGTAGGTCGTACACCACGCTGACTGTCGCGTTACACTCATCACCGTCCTCGCCTTGTAAAACCTCTGCACGTCTCGGGCATCTATCAACACAATTCAAAGCTCTCTGTCCAAGTCCGCCTTCCACATGTCGGACCTGGACGATACCGAGATGCCAGACGAGCAGCCCGATAACGAGGAGCACATGATGTACGGTCATGGCCTAATGACCGAACAAGAGCTCAACGAGAAATATCCTAATCGACCGCACAATCACTCCAAGACATTGCCCTTCCACGACCTCTACCTGACTCTGTTCAATCCTCTCAACGAGAACAAAAAGAAACCCACTGGACCGGTCGTGGCTCGCAAGAAAATCGGTCCGCATGGCGCTCACACTTCTGTCCAAGATGCTCGGAGGGCCATCATCGAGCGCTTCATCTCTCGGTGGCGAAAGGAGGTCGGCAACGATATATATCCTGCCTTTCGCCTCATCGTGCCCGAGAAAGATCGAGATCGAGGCATGTATGGTCTCAAGGAGATGACTCTTGGCAAGTTGCTCGTACGTGTCATGAAGATTGACAAGAACAGCGAGGACGGCTACAATCTACTGCATTGGAAGCTACCTGGTGTCAAATCATCTAGTGCCATGGCTGGAGACTTCGCTGGTCGATGTTATGAGGTCATTAGCAAGCGTCCAATGCGTACGCAGCCAGGAAACATGACTATTGGCGAAGTCAACGAACTACTGGATCGTTTGTCCGTCGCGCAGAAAGAAGAAAACCAGCAGCCCATCGTTGAGGAGTTCTACAAACGTATGAATGCCGAAGAATTGCAGTGGCTGATCCGAATGATCCTTCGACAGATGAAGATCGGTGCGACCGAGAAGACCATTTTTGAGCTTTGGCATGCAGATGCCGAGAATCTGTTCAACATATCCAGTAGCTTGCGACGTGTCTGCTGGGAGCTACACGATCCACAGATCAGACTAGAAGGCGACGACAGAGGTATTGGTTTGATGCAATGCTTCCAGCCTCAACTTGCAGCCTTTCAGATGCGATCGATGGAGGTCATGGTGTCGAAGATGAATCCAATCGAGGAAGATCCGGTATTCTGGATCGAAGACAAGCTGGATGGAGAACGTATGCAGTTGCATATGGTCGAGGATGAGTCGATGCCTGGAGGCAAACGTTTCAACTTCTGGTCCCGAAAAGCCAAGGACTATACTTATCTTTATGGCAAGAGCTTCGAAGACCCTCAGGCTGCTCTCACAAATCGTATCCAAGCAGCATTCAGCGAGGGCGTGCGCAATATCATACTTGATGGTGAAATGATAACGTGGGATCCGAAAGCAGATATGATTGTCGGGTTTGGTACTCTGAAGACGGCAGCGCTTTCGGAGCAGAGGAACCAGTTCGCTAATGGCAACCGACCACTTTTCCGCGTCTTCGACTGTCTTTACCTGAACGATGTAGACCTTACCAAGTATACACTTCGGAAACGACGCGAGGCATTAGCTGCAAGTGTCACTGATGTATTTCGTCGTCTGGAGATTCACGCCTACAAGGAAGCACAATCTGCAGCCGACATTGAGCCTTTACTTCGCGACGTGATCGCTACATCTGGCGAAGGTCTGGTGCTGAAGAATCCTCGATCGCCATACCGTTTGAACGAGCGAAACGATGACTGGATCAAAGTCAAGCCAGAGTACATGACCGAGTTTGGTGAGGCGCTGGAGTGTACAGTTATCGGTGGCTACTACGGTTCCGGGAAACGAGGTGGTATCCTTAGCAGCTTCCTCTGTGGTCTGCGCGCCGATGAAGACTACCTGCAGACCCTTCCGCCTGGTCTACGGAACCCGCAGATGATGATCTCGTTCTTCAAAGTCGGCGGTGGTTTCACCGTGGCTGACTACGCCGAGATCAGACATCATACCGAAGGCAAATGGATCAAATGGGACTTCAACAACCCACCCATGGACTGGATCGCCATCGGTGGTGGCCCAACACGACAGTACGAACGACCAGATCTGTGGATCAAACCCGAGGACTCGATCGTAGTGTCTGTCAAGGCTGCGCAGGTCACGGGATCGGAATTGTTCGCTTATAGATATACTCTACGGTTCCCGCGGTTCAAGAGGTTAAGGCTGGATAAAGATTGGAAGAGTGCGTTATCAATGTTTGAGTTCAGTGAATTGAGGAAGCGGATTGAGGAGGAGCAACAGGAGAAGAAGTTCAAGATTGATGATGCGAGGAGGCAACGGACGAAAAAGAGGAGGAAGAGGAGTATGGTTGTGCAGGGTGCAGAAGAGGATGTCGTTGCATCTTATGCTGGTCCTGCCACGAAGATATTCGATGGACTGAGCTTTTTCATCATGACCGAGGCGTTGAAGCCGAGGAAGAAGAGTAAAGCTGATCTTGAGCAGCTTGTCAAAGCTAATGGTGGGAACGTCGTCGCTTCGGATAAAAATTCAGAGACTATCATTGTTGCGGACCGAAATCTTGTCAAAGTTGCTTCGGTGCAGAAGCGCGATGAGAGGAACATTATTCGACCGGCGTGGCTATTCGACTCTATTAAGCAGAGTGAGCTTGACATTGGTCGACCAAGTCTGCTGTTACCATTTGAGCCGGAGCACTTGTTCTATACGACCAAGGCCGAAGATGGAAATTACGATGACAACATCGATGAGTATGGTGACAGCTACACTCGAGACGTTGACGAGAAGGAGCTGTCAGCTCTCCTAGACAAGATGCCGAATACTCTGGAAGATGATTATGATGCACAGAAGTTTCTGGATCAGCTGAACGAACACGATCATAGTATGGACGAGCTGTCCGGTTTCATGTTTCGCAGCTTCACTGTATACTGCGGGAGCGATGTCCCGGGACACATTTTAATGTTGCTACGGTTTGGTGGTGCTACGCTCACCTATAACCTGGAGGACAGCGAGGTCACGCATGTGCTTGTAAAACCAGGTGCTAGGAACCTGAAGGACATCAGACTAGAAGTGGCGAAGAGACTGCGGCAGCCAAGGATCGTGACACACGACTGGGTGACCGAGTCTTGGGAGGCGAAGACTTTGCTGGATGAAGAGCGTGAGCTAATGCCTTGTCTGGAAGGGCTTGACCTGCCAAGCTGACTTACCGACACAGGGTTCGAGCCTCGATGATGAACATGCCGATCTTTAACACCAGTGGTCTCCAACATCTTACTAGCTGTGCAGCCTAAGTACTCGAACTGCGTTGTCGCCCATGACAGCAGAAGCCATCTTCGAATCGCCGGAAGACGCGGTGTGTACGGCTGCTGAGTTCGACTTCACACTCAGCCACTCATCCTCGCCTTCGTCCAGAGGCGGAAAGAAAGGATGATCCGTGCCTGGCATTAATTAGTATACAGATGAAGAGTATAGTTCAGTCGTGGCCCGACTCACCAAACATCAACCTGTCAGCACCAGAAGCATCGATGGCAGCTTTCAGCCCGACTTCGGAGTAAATCACAGCATCAAGATATATGTTCTTCTTCAATATATCCCAGACATCTCGTCTCGCCCTAAGCTTCCCTTCCTTCTTCAGATGAGCATCATGTGCTATACAGCTTTCTATCCGCCCCGCCAGGAACGGTAGCGTGCCGCCACTGTGTGCCAGCAGCACTTTCAGATTTGGAAACCTGTCCCATACACCCGAGAGCAGCATCCGGGTCACCGCCACGGTCGTCTCTAGTGGGAAGCCCAAGGCAAGTGGTAGAACGTGGCCGTAGTCATTTGCTCGGGGCCCGTAGACAGAAGTAGGCATCCCGTAATGTGGATGGAGGAAGATCATTTGCTCGTGTTTCTCTAGCGAGGCGTAGAGGGGATCTAGTTCTGGATCGTCAAGACCAGAACCTAACCCTGAGGTTCCCATCACTATCCCACGATGATGGGGAAGAGTGACCAGTCGATCGATCTCGGCAACGATCTCATCGGCTGGAGCAGATAGAGGGAGAGTGCCGAAAGCAAATAGCTTCCCTTCATGCTCAGAACACATCCGCTCCACATCATCGTTGACCTTTCTAGCCGTTTCTGCGGCCGAGTCAGGAGGTAGCCAGTCCAGCCATGGATTTGCTAGACTGAGGACTGATATGTCGATGTTGTGTTTGGACATGAATGATAGTTTCTCGTTGACATCGTAGTATTCTGATCCGATTGGTCGACCACGGGAGGTGGAAGCTGTGTCTTCTGCTGGGAGGATGACTAGACGGTCCCCTGCTGCTGGATCATCTGGAAAACTTCGTACGTATGGTATTTGTTGTCGTGAACGTAGAAGGTCCATGTAGACTGGTGGGTACATATGGGTGTGCACATCGACGACAGGCATGGTGGGCGTAGACTTCAGTATCGACACTGGTAATCCTTGTCAAAGAAGAAGTTGTACTGTGGAAGTTGTACCTTTGGAGTAGCGATGTCATAACGAGGTTTATAATAATAGCGTGGTCTAATGCATACCTGCCTTATCTTGGAGGCAGCCAAAGAGGAGCTTATCGTACCTACCCACTTAGGTGGCTTTGAGCAACGAACAGCATATATTTCGCCACATCGTAAGGCGCTCATAACAAGACAACAACATCATCGACAACTGACCAACAAACCATGAACGGAACACCTAAGAAGGCAGTCTCCTCCGACACCCTCACAATCCCACTAATAGACTTCTCAACCTTCGTCTCCGGATCACCCCAAGAACGCCTGGCAACAGCCCAAGCAATACTCAGCGCCTTCCAAACCTCAGGCTTCATCTACATATCGAACCACGGCATAAATCCGCAAGCAATAAAATCAACATTCTCCCTCAGCGCCAAATTCTTCGCCCGCTCCCAAGCCGAGAAGGAATCTCTGGGATGGCAAGGCCCCGAGTCCAATAGAGGGTACTCGCAACCTGGACGGGAGAAGACGACAGACCTAACTAATGCCTCGGATATCGAGGCAAAACGAGCGGAGGAAGGAGCGGACCTTAAGGAATCCTTCGAGATAGGACGAGAGGGTGTGGAGGGGTGGCCAAACATGTGGCCGACCAATTCCCATCCTGATGATGGAGAGGGGAGGGAGTTCAGGGAACATATGCTGACGTTCCATGACGAGTGTAAAGGGCTGTATGTGCAGGTCATGAAATCCATCGCCGTGGGCTTGGGGATCGAGGAAAGGTGGTTCGATGGGTATTGTGACGGTGGCGACAACACGCTCAGATTATTACATTATCCCGCGGTCTCGAGCAAAGTATTCAAGGAGAAAGTTGGGACTGTGAGGGCAGGGGCGCATACTGATTATGGTAAAACCTCATCCCTACCACCAACACCCCCCTCCCCATCTAACCCCCGTCCTATCCACAGGTTCCATAACCCTCCTCTTCCAAGACACAGCCGGCGGCCTCCAAGTCCTCTCCTCCTCCAACACCTACATCGACGCCACCCCCATCCCCAACACAATCGTGGTCAACGCCGCGGACCTCCTAGCCCGATGGTCAAACGACACGATCAAGTCAACGAAACATCGGGTCGTGCAGCCTCCCGCTGCTAAAGGAGCAGAGGAGGTCGAGGTGCATCCGGCACGGTATAGCGTGGCGTACTTTTGCAATCCGTGAGTCCTTGAATTGCCTGTGCCTGGGTCTGATGATACTTTATGATCCGGCAGCTGATGGTGCGAGCACAGGAATTTCGATGCGTTTATTGATGCGATACCCAGTACCTATAACGACGCGCGCCCGAAGAAGTATGAAGGCATTAATAGGTAAGCTTGCTCGTGTACCACATTTCCTGACGTCCTTGGTGTGCACTATATGTGAGAGACTGACATGAGATCCTTAGTGGCGAATACCTGGCTCAAAGGCTGGCAGCGACGTATTGAGACCTCCAGATCAATCATCTCTTCGACTTCGTGATCGCGGAGCAGCTATTACCCTTGAGTGTTGTGGAGCTTGTTGGTCGCGCCTAAAAGTGACTTTGGACTTATGTGTATATGTATTAGTCCGCACTGATCGTACGTTATCTCCTGCTGACCATTGACGCTGATGGTACAGCAGTTTTCTCCTCTACCATTCCCCAGTCACCCAAGCGTCCAAGTCGTCGTATCGTGTACGTCCTCCTTCTTATCAATGGTCCTACGTTACCCAAAATCTCGTTTATACATGCGATAGGCGGCATTCGGTCCACCTCGTCCATACTTAGCGCATATCACAGCTGGAATACAACATACGAAAACCATAGCGCTCAAGCCCCGTCCTGACCTCCAATTATTCCCCGGTTCAACGATATCGCCTGCAAAATCCTATCCGCGCCCTTCTTGACCAAGATCTGCGCGACCTCCCACCCAAATTCGTCCGCATCTTCTCTCGACAAGATCCGCCTCCTAGCTTCCGTCTCAGCCACTTCGTCGCCGTCCAAGCTCACGACCAAAGCGCGCATGATAAGTTCATCCGTGGCGTATACATCAACCTCGACCGCAGCACCGTCTCTACTCACATATCCATTCCCACTGCTCTCTCCATTCTCCGCCACACCACTAGCTTTATGATAATCCGCCTTCGGCCGTGTCCCAATCCCACCGCTCGAGTCCAAAACACCAACCCTCGAAACCCACTCCGTCTCCACCCCAATAGGAACACTACACCCTCCCTCCAACGTCCTCATAAGACTTCTCTCCACCAAAATCTGCCGCATAGTGGCTTCGTCATTGATCCTGCCAAGAAGCTCCGCAGTCCGCGTATCATCCTTCCTCGTCTCGATCCCCAGCGCCCCCTGGCCAACAGCATGCAACATGCCACCTTCCTCTTTCGTCAGGTAAGATGTGATACGATTCGTCATGCCTACTCTTTGTAATCCTGCGGCCGCGAGGATGGTGGCGGAGTATTCCGAGTCCGGGTTATCTAGTTTTGCGAGCCGTGTACCGATGTTGCCTCTTATATCGGCGAACTTGAGGTGGGTGTAATGGCGTTTCAGTTGTGCTCTTCGGCGTAGACTTGATGTGCCTACTACTGAGCCTTCGGGTAGGTCGGCGAGACTCTTGCATTTCGCTGCTAAGCCGGGCTTGATGACTAGAGCATCTCGAGCGTCACCACGCTTGGTCACAGCACCCAGTTGGCAATCTATGGGTAGTTGTGTCGGCATATCCTTCAGACTATGCACTATCAGATCCAGTTCTCCATTCTGTAAAAGGACTTCCAGCTCCTGCGTCCATAGCGCTTTCTCGTTGAACTTATGTAGGGCAGTCTTCTGGTTATTGTCGCCTGTAGTGCTCATGGCATGGACCTCGAAATGACAAGATGGCCATGCTTGCTTCAGCGCTTGTAAGACAAGATCGGCCTGGACACGTGCGAGGATGCTCTGTCGAGTGCCAATGTGGAATGTCTGCTTCTCGCCATTGTGAGATGTATGGTGTTGCGATGCGGGGACGCTGCTTTCTGTGATAGTCGCATTGACGAGCGGTGCGTCCTGTAATCCTGCCATTGTAGGAATAAGTATAAGTGTATGTACGATCAGACGACAAATGGCGCATACATGTCACTTTTCGTGTCATTACTACAGCTACAGTACATCATACCTCGGAGAAAGGCATTAGGTTTTCTTGGGCGAGTGGGGCTGAAATCTTATTATCGTCTTATCGTGGATTCTGAGTTTATCTCGATGCAGGTACAGTCTAGCGTGGAACCAGCCCGCCAGGCATTATTATACGCGATGGTCTGCGATGCTGCGACAGCTTGAATATGCTGTTTCAGTGGACCAGTATAGCCTCACGAGGCTGAGACGTACGCGGCAAACAGGACGACCATATACATCATTATAGAACTATAGCCAGCCATATCATTCTCGTCGTACTTACAAAACACAACCATGGCCGACCAAACACCCAGCAACGCACCACGTCTACGTCTCCCCAGCGCCTCTCCCACCGCCAGCGACGATGCCTCCTCCACCACCTCCCCAGCTCGTGGAGCGGAAATGCGCAACTTCCTCCAGGCCCGTCTCCAAAAGAACCGCGCACCCCCACTGGTCCACAGCTGGGACTTCTACCACGACCGTCAAGACCGCACCAAAGCCACCAACCTCAGCAACGTCTCGCAAACAACCACAACGGACGACCCCAGCTCTTTCACCCACGGCAATGGTAAGCAGGACGAAGACGACTACTCCACCCGCCTGGAACACCTCGCCATCATCGACGACGTCCGCAAATTCTGGAACGTCTTCAACAACTTCGACACCACCCACCTCGTCTTACGGGACAGCATCCACCTCTTCCACCACCACATCCGGCCCATCTGGGAAGACCCGCGCAACCTCTCAGGCGGAAGCTGGACCTTCCGCGTCCCGAAATCCCTCGCCCCGGCCTTTTGGCAAGAGATCTGCCTCCTAGCCATAGGCGAGCAATTACAGACTGCTGTGGAGGAGGAAGGGAGGAAGGAGTTCCGGGATGATATCTGTGGGGTTTCGTTGGGGGTGAGGTTTAATTCGTGTTTGGTGCAGATCTGGAATCGGGACGGTGGGCATGAAGACGGGATTCAGAGGGTGTTGGGGGTGGTGATGGAGGCGTTGAGTGAGGATTTGAAGCCGAGAGAGGGGAGCTTCTATTATAAGAGGCATAGTGAGCATGCTGGATATGCTGTGCCGGAGGTCAACGGGAAGGATGGTAAGGGTAGCAGTAGCAGTAGTAGTAGACCTGGAACGAGTACGGGGGCGAGCATTGATGCTGTGTTGGCTGAAGGTGGGTCGTGATGTCTGGCTATCTTATGTTTGGAGAGAGGTCTACGAGGATGATCGGATTTGGGAATAGCTTGTGAGCGTTTTGAGCGACTGCATGGATGGGAATGGGAATAGTCTGGCGTAGAATGCTGGATAGCGGAATGAGACACGGACGGAGCTGGCTCTCCTGACTCCACTGGGCCATGATATCATGGAAGTCCATCACCCTACTCATGATGCGGTTTGACACGTGCCTGACTTCACTCGTGATGTCTGTCATCGACCCGGTCTGTAAATCCTTTCAGATTCGTGCATACTGACAATGGCATATTGCTTATCATGACCTTCCAAGCCCCCTTATACCTCCATAGCATTAGCCATCCCATGCACCACCGGCACCGAACTCGGCGGCACAGACCCATACTCGCAAATGACCATGCGAATGTACTCCGCCGGCGTAACATCATACATCAAATTCAGCACCTGCAGATTCGGAATCTCCTTCCAGTCCTTGAGGTGTTTCAGCTTCGGTGCTTCGTCGTCGTCATCGTCCTTTGTCGTAGTGCTCGTCATCGCGCTGGGTCCCGCTGCTGCTGCTGATGATGCTGGAAAAGGTAAGAGGAGCTCCTCGGCTGGGGCCACCTCATTCAACACAATCGAGTCCAGTGCCACTTTACCACTAAACTTGACGCTTTCACAGAGCACAATAACAGGCACGTTCCGTCTCTGCGCCTGCATAGCTACACTCGCGGTCCCAACTCGTGATAGTAGACGGCCATTACTCAACATCGAATGCGCCCCTAACAGCACCAACGTAGCATCTCTCACCGCATGCGCCAAGCCAGAGAAAGGCAGGTACTCCAATTCTAGCCCAGGCGCTGCTTGGATGAGGCTTTCAGCTAGCTTGCGACCTTCGAATAGAGGTCGTGAATCGACGACGATGACTCTGAACTCCGTCCCTTGCTCCCAAGCTTGCAGGATGGTCTTCTCCACGATCGAGCTCTTGGCGTAGGTGAGTACCACACTACCCCTCTTGATCTGTTTCGAGGCCGTGGCGGCAATGGCCTTGCCACTGACTACCACCCTTTCCCTCACGAACCTCCCAATCTCCTCACCTAGGAAATCCTTAGCTTCGTGCTCAGGCATCGCTGGATCGATCTCAGCAATGAGCTTTTTGAGCCAGCGAATCGCATTACCCATGCTCTCCGCTAGCGGTCGGCAAGATTTGAGGTACTCGATCTGCGGTGACAGGAAATACGGGGTCAGATGTCGTGGCAGGGAAGTCCCGGCTGGAACGGTATAGCTCGTTTGTATCGCTTCGCGGAAAGCGAGGAGCATGCTTACGCAGCGAGCACTACTGCCGCAGATGGTGTAGGTGCTGTATTGGTACCCTAGAGCTAAGACCGCGGGATGGATGTCCTTTGAGATCGATGCCGTGGTTCCAGCTGTATGAAGGCGCGGATGTGTGGTTAGATGGCTGAAAAGCTCAATTTCTCTCTTCTCTTTCTTGGGCTGTAGGGTGGGCTTCGAGGTCGTGGTGTTGGATTGAGACGGTCGCCGCCGTGGTGGCATTGTGGATGATGAAGACTGACCGGGTCGCTCTGGCCTCGAGTCTTGTGCTGGCTTTTGGCCGTGCCTCTGCCTTGACTTCTGTTGTTGTCCTTTCTGCTGCTGGCCGCCCTTCTGCTTCAATTCGTGCTCCTCTTGTCCTCCTTCAGTAGCGCCGTTGGTAGATGGTTCTGCAGCGGCTGGGCCGCCCGTCTGCTCCTTTTGCGCCGCTCGCCGTGCCTGCTTCTCTGCCTTTGCTCTTTTCTTCAGCTCTGCCGGGCTGATTTTGGTATCCTCTGCTGCTGGCTGTGTAGGCTTTTCGCCCTTGGGTTGTGCTTGGTCTGACATGATATCGGTGGGTGGTGCTCTTCAGTCTGGTACTGGATCGCTGATATGCGGAGGGTTTGGTCTGACTTCAGACCTCACTAGTATTACGGTAGGAGATCTGACTCGTTCGTACAGGCTACTCAAACTGCGTAGGCGTGCGAAAGACTCCATCTTCTCTAAGCAAAGTGCGCCATGATGGATCGCGAATGTTTAGGAATATTTGGCTTCTGATGACCTAGGGGATTGCTGAGTCTGCTTCTCGAATACGCGCTGACCATCGATACTCTGCAAGTATGATCGCTACTGCTATGTTTTGATTATCTTCCTAGGTGTCGATATATTGGTGAAGCAAAACTCCCCGCGCCCGATCCAGCTCGAACTTTTGTGACAGGGATGAGTGAGTCAATTCGCTTGTGACGCAAGGTGGGAGATCTCAATATAAATTATCTATCGACACACGGTACTGTACACCACTTACTATACACCACTTACTATACACAGATGCCCACAAGAACGCCTTCGCTGATACCTCAGTTTCTGCCTTTATCTACAGCCCGCTCAAAACCAAGCACACCACCCGGCGAAGAGCGTCGCCAAATTCTTCTCATCCGTCGCCTGCTGTATGAGTTCGTTGACAGTAGCAGACGTGCTTAAACTCTTGCTCAACTTCGTCTCCACCACCGTCAATGCCCGCTCCGCCTCGCCACCTTCATCTTCTCGCGACTTCGAACTGCCATCCTCGTCATTGCCACCCCCATCCTTCGACATCTCCATCGCTTCTTGCATCCTCTTCGCTCGTAGAGGTGAGACGGTCCAGTTGACGAGAGGGTCATATCGCAGGACGTTGAGAAGAGTCATGATGCTCGACTTGTCTTCTCGTAGTGCCTCGAGAGTAAACTCGCAGCAGCGGCGGAAGACGCCTTCAGTCTTCGTGACACCCATGGCGTCCACAATGTCCCGCGTGAGCCGGAATGGCACTTTCTCGGGTATCGGGAGTACTCGTCCAGCCTCGAAGGCGACACCAAGGTCGATGTGTACTGCTTCGCCGGTCTGCTCGTCGAGGAGAATATTCTGGCAATGTCGATCACCCAGCCCGAGCACCCAGCCAAGGATAGAGATTGCGGCCGTGGTTCTTGTATATGCTGTCCGCTTTGCAAACCATTCGTCTGGATCATCAAATAGTTCGAGGAAGAAGTGGCGGAGTACAGGTGGGGTTTGCGCGCAGATCTTGCGGAACTCTTTAACTCGTGCCTCCTCGGACGTATTCTCAACCGTACGGACCCTCCGAGTAGCCTCGTCCGAACGAATGCTCTGCGGATAGTAGGTCAGATGCGCAGGTTTGAGGTAGTCGCCTATCGGCTTGGTGTTGAGTACCCACTCCACCACTGCTGAGTGATTGTCGAGAGGGATGACCTTGTAAGCCCTGACATGTAGATCACGCTGCCTTGTTGTCTTGTGATTGCGCAGCATCTTTGACGCCTCCTCGAAGATCTGCTCCATAATGGCATCTTGACGCATGTCATCATTTTTGCTGCTCTTGAATAACTGCTTGTATATCTTGCCGTCGGTACCACGAAGGCCAAGAGACTTGGGCTTGCTGATACCGCCAGAGATACCCATGACTTGGTCCATGTGGGCGATTAGCGGCACGTTGTCGTATTTGCGATCAGGTCGCAAAGGTATGCTGATGATCGTGGGTGGTACATTGAGGCTCTTCACTCTGGTAACAAACCTGTTGACCGCCGGAAAGTCCTTGACTGCGACTTTGCTGCTGTTAATGCCGTCTACCGATACCCAAGCCAGGTTCTGGCAGTCCTTGTTCGCGCTAAAGACCTTGGTGAGCAATGGGCCCGACGTGGTCTTCTGCTCCAGATGATGCCTAATACTCTGGGCAGCTTTCCAGCGAGACATGGCGGCCAGGTCATCATCGTGATTAGGCTTTCGTGTCGCAGCGAAGATGTGGTGCACGATGTGATGAGGATGGTCCACACCAATACGTGTGATCAACTTAGACAAGGTGGTTTGAAATGGCGTCCTCTCACTAGCCAGTCGCGACATCAACTGGTTGTTCAGCACAACAAACTTCCAGCTCGGGACCGTCCCGAGATATCTGGCCACCACCTCGTTTGCTTGAGGAGAGTCACAATTCTCCAGCCACATGGCGAAGAATCGAAGGAGCGAAATATCATGCTCGTTCGAGGCATGCAGAGCTCGCAGATAATTCTGTAGACTTTGATGGATGTAGCCATCGCGGCTGTTACTGAGCTTCTGATACTCTTCGTCGTCCATCTCGAACCAGGACCGTGCCTTTCTTTCCGCTTGCTCGGCTTCCTTTAGGTCCCTACTCGATTTCCGCGAGCTCTTTGTGATCGTCTCTAGGTCGTTCAGGTCCTTTAGCTTCTTCTGTCGCATCCTAGATATGCGGCTGAACTCCTCAATGTTGCTCGGATTCTGCAATTGCTGATCACAAAAGGTTGCAAAGGCGTGAAAGACATTACCAGCTTCTCTGCCATCTGTACGGCCTTTGAGCTGCTCGATAGCTGGCTTCAGATAGCTTTGTAGGATATCGTCAGGACGCTCAAGTCGAGCCTCTGCAAGTCTGCCTGCAATTATAGCCAGCACACCGGATTCACCGACGGGCAAATCTTGGCTTTCGCTGTCTTTCATGGCGAGGACATCTTTGAGCATCTTGACTGATGCCTCAAGTTCGCCCGTCGCCCAGAGTACGGAAGATGTCTCGAGAGCTGTTGCGGCAGAAATTCTGAAGCCACTCTCCTGCTGCTTTTGGGAAAGCAACGTGAGCTGTGTTGATGCGGACAGCGCTTTCTGCAGGTTGTCGCTCTTCCTCGCCATCTGAGCGACACTAAGCAGGGCCTGAGCCTCAAAGAGCTTCGCAGCTTTTGGAGGGAAATGCATGTCCCGTAGGAGACCAAGGTTCCGTGAAAGCACACTGCATATTGTCGCACGATCGTCTGCTAGCTCATCGGTACCTTCAACCCGTGCACTATCGATGTGGTACTGTGCTCCATCTTGCGTACCGAGTCGGAGCTTCAGTGCTTGCTCGCCAGATGTACGGACAACGTCCAAGATGCCGCTGATAGAGGCGAGCGTATTGTACCATTCAACTGAAGGTAGCTTGGCTGATGAAAGCAATTGATGTTGAACATGCGTGGACAGAAGTGTAGTGAGCTTTGAACCGATTTGAGCTCGATCCGATGCGCGGCTAAGCTCTTGGAACGCAGAGAAGCGAATAGCAGCAGGGTTGCTGTCGTTTTGAGGCGCCTGTATGTCCCATTGTTGAAGCTGCCTGGCAGCATCGAACATCTTCGCCGACGAGCTTGCCGTGTTAGCCAGCGGTCCAGCTAAGAGAGCGTATCTGAGGCCGTGCAAGTCCATTGCATTCAGCGATGGCATCATGGCCATCGAGGCATCGGCCGAAGTGCTATGCATGGAGCGCATCGCACCGTCCATTTGTGCTGATTGATACATCAAGCTATTCAGGCCGTTGCCCTCGTAGTCCAGCCTTTCGATGACTGTGCCTAAGGAAGCGGTCTGTTGCACGCCATAGAAGGAATCTGGCTCCTCGACCTGCTTGAAGATGGACAATAGCAATTCGTTGGGTATACCAGCTGGCTGCAGCTGTGATAACGACACCCGACCGGATGATCTTTTGGGGTTGTTGGTAGTGGGTGGAATTGACTCAGCTAGCAACAGAGCGGCGTTGGGCAGGCCGCATCGACTTGCAGCGCGCGCGGCACTTAGCAGGTCGACCTCGAGCCATTGTATACGGTCAGCTTTTGTGGCTTCGCCCGGCCAGGACTGCCAACGGAGATAGAGCACCAAACGAATAAGCAAACGTTGCCGAGATCGCGAGGCTTCATCTTGCTGACCCAATTCTTGTGCGAGCGCGCTTGAAAGCTCGATCCTTGAGATCTGTTCCCTGTCGATTTCATCGGCAAGCACCAGATGCACAATACTGGGAAGTAGTCCCTCTGCAAGACCAGCGATAGACGCAAGTAGTGCGTTGAGGGAAGCGAGGAGCGGAACATGTGAAGCTAGCCTACACAGAGCCGAGGCCAGCCCAACGCACCAGTCGCGGTCTGAAACAGAGTTGGGTGATAGTAAAGCAAGTCTGAGTTCTGATCGCCCACCCTGCTCAATGTTGAGATGGGCCCTCGCGGTGTGCGGCACGTAACCGGGGGCTCCGTGTTGGATTGCATAAACCAAACTTCTGGGCAGCATCTTTTCGAAAGCTAACCTCTCAGCATCATGCTCAATGTTGGACGATATCGTGCGCAATGTCCAGTCTGCTAGGCCCGCTTGCGCACGATCCGACGCCATCAGAAGATCTGTCAAACTTCGTAGGATTGTGGCTCTTGAAGATGCCGTAGGTTCCTTCGCCGTCTTCTGTGCGTGGGCCAAAGCCTTCGGGTCTCGGTTGTTGTTCATTCGTCGCACCCCAGTGTATGCATACGCACGACCCAGAACGCCACCCGACCAAGAGGCGAATGAAGCGCCGGGCTTACTGAGCGACGAAAGTAGCCACAGACTGTCTGCATATTGAGCGCAAGCAGCGCCATCATTCAAGCAGTCCTCCTGTATCAACATAGGGACCTCGAAGTCGGCCGTGAGGAGGCTTAACGCCTCGATACACCGTGACCTCTCCATGAGCGGCTCATTCTGAGAGAGCTGGCGCAGCAGAACCAGTAATAGAGCACTTTCAGCAGTGTCCTTTTGAGCAGTACCGGGTAGATGGACAGTCTCTAATATCTTTGCGAACAATGTGCGATCTGGATGTGCGCCTGACTGCATAGAGCTTCGAGCAACATATTGTACTAGCCATGCCTGGAAGGCTTCCATTCTCTGTACAGTCTCGCGGTGCTGCGTCTCCTGTGTGGTGCTGTCTTGTCTTGTGGTCGAATGGGCCCTCATCTGTAGTATCACGACACAGATGAATCCATGCATAAGCGACGGGTCCTCGGTCTCGAGATACGATTGGCCTTGCTCTAATAGATACTTGAGTATGCCAAGGGCATCGTCTGCGCAATGACTTTCACTCAAGAATGGTCGGATAGAATGCAAAAGCATTTGAAGTGGAAAGCCTGAGCATGCAATATTGCCAGCCGTGCTAATGAGTATTCTGAGCTTACGCAGTACTTGCGAGCTGTGTAATGGGCCAAGTGCGCGGTCGATCGAGTCGATAAGCATTCGAGCGGCAAGCGCAAAGGACGAGGCATCCCATGGTTGTACAGGATCGTGGCCCGTACGTCGGCACAAACGCTCAATCTGATCCGGTAAGAATTTGCTCTTGAAGGAGGGCTGTTGACTGAGAGGAAGCTGCCGTGCAGAGTAGCTATGGGATTTAATCCTGGCAAGTGCTTTCGCTGCTGCACCATAAGCGGCTCGCTTCTCTAGCCACTGATCCTCCACATCCTCTTGCTGCATGGAAGCATGAAAGTTTCCGACGATGACGGGAAATTGCTCTGCCATGATGCTGATCTCAGTCTCCTTGCCTCCAACAAGCTGTCGAAGCTTGCCTTCTTGTGCAGCGTTCGTGACACCCGTCGACGACGAATCGGTAATATCCCAAGCTATGGTATAAGCGGCAATTTTCGCAAAAGATCGTAGGGCGAGGTCTTTCGGTGGTACACCGACGCACTTCGCCATGATGTGCAGACCGTCGTCTCTGCCCCTCATGAGCAATTGGGCCGTCACCTCCGCTTCGTTATCTCTCAGTAGTTCTTCTAGATTGGCGTACCGGAAGGCTGCGTACGGCAGACTGTTCAGGGTACGTTTCTCGCCTGCTAGCCAGGTGTATAGCAATTGCGAGGCGAACAAGCGGAACAAACGCTGAGCGCTATCGAAGCCCAAGGCGGTTGTCAGCTCCGAGATGCATCTTGCTGCATACGAGCCCGCGATCTTCACAAGACCTGCAGTCTCAAATATGTAATACACGCATTGCCTGAGGAGCGTATGCCAAGCAGCTCCGAGTCGCGAAAGGTACATCAGTCGTATTGCCAATCCCTCGGTACACGCGAACTCGTCAGTCAGGTTCTTCTGCAAGTCGTCGAAGATCTGATTGTGTGCCGAAAGCACATAATGTCCGAAGATGCTGTGGACGTTGTTTGCCAAATAGAATTGTACGCTGATCTTACCTTTTTGCACAAGCTTAAACAAACTTGTGCGGGCAGACTGAACTGCGCCTTCACTACCATAATCTGCATCGATGTTGCATACCTGCAGCAGGTACGCGGCAAAATGACGCTGGCCTTCCGCAGAGAGTTTGTCGTGCTCAACAGCATCGACAAAGTAGTTGTAAGCATCCTGACCCAGGCTCAACAACTTCTCGTGCTCGGTCTGGATGAGTAATGGCAGCAGGCTTGACATAACAGTCAAGATCGTGCAGAGAGCTGGCTCCGAGCGATCGAACTCCTCCGCCTCGAGAATGCGATCGGCAAGGTCGTCAAGCAGAGTGTAAGCGATCTCATTATCCAGCGGGACGTCGTGCTGTAGGATCACTGCCAGTGTCGCTCGGCTTGCTATCAAGTCTGCTGCGGAAAGGGACTTGATATAGTCTACGACCATGCGAGCTGGAGTTTGGCTTTGCGGCGCTGTGTCTTGCCGAAACGAGACTGTGCTGGAGACTGCGAGTGCATAAAGTGCAGTATTGGCTCGCAGCGCCAGGATGCTGTATTTCATCTGAGCATCGTTTCCAAGCTCATCGCAGCTGATACCCGCATCCCCGAGGTTTCTACTATGCTGAGATTCAAATTCGTCATCAAGGTCCATGTCCCCAATCTCTTTGCCATACGATGCTTGCTCACGCCGACGTCCCTGTATTGCAAGAGACAAGTGGCAGCATAACATATCCTGCGCTTGTGACACCGCCGCTGGCCGCGTATCACTGACGTGCAGGCCTGGAAGATGGCAAGTCGCAGATGTGATGACATTGTCGAAAATCTCTTGTGTGCAGTCCGTGGTAGATAAGAACGTTACGACGCTAAACAATAGCTTCTCCAAGAGTTCCTTAAGCTGCAATTGCCGCCGCTCGTCCTGGAAAGCGCTGTCGTATACGCTGAAAGCTATTGTACAGATCGCTTGGTACAAGAAGACGACCCTATCGCTGCCAATGCTACGAGCGCGATCATCGCGCCATCTGAGCCACAGTTCTTGAGCTTTCTGCACATCTGATATGTATCGTGTCAGTACTATGGACTCGTCCTGTATCGAACCAATCTGTAAAGATGTCTGTGTTGCATTGCAATTGCCGTCAAGGTTAGCCAGCCAGCTGTCGTGATCTCGATCTTCCAGAAGCAAATATGCTATCAGCTCATCCTGTGTGCGATACACGGTCCACGCCTGCCCAATTTTGGTCCAGCAACGCAGCTCGTTGTGAGATGTCCGGTGACAGCTGTGACCGATACAAGCATTGATCAGACGTACTATATCACTCGGCTGGGTACGAAAGTGGATATGGCACTGAATCTTGTCATCAAACATGCTAGGCGTGTAACGTCGAGAGAGCCACTGCAGGATACTCTCTTTCAGAGCGGAGGACGAACCGGGATTGAGACGCCACGACCTCTCGAGCAAAATATCTAAGAGGCAGAAAACCGAGTCTGCGGCGATGCTTGGTCCACTCGTGTCCATCGAGGTGGCGATCGCCTGTATGAGCTCGGCGATACTGGATTGCGGTACAACACGTCGGTAGATAAGAACGCAGAGCAGGTGACTGGCAGCTCGGCAGCTGTCCACGTCCGATAGAGCTCGGCAAGCCATAGTCCAGACGGCTTGCCACTTTGCTTCAATCATGTTCCCAGTAGCAACCTGCTGTAGGGCACAGCTGCAGAGTGCGACGAACGCCCAGGTAACGACCTCTGCAGACGCATCATTACAGACTTCGGCAACGCAATCCACTATTGCGCCGAGTTGTATATTGTTCATAGCCTGCTGTTGTGCAACAAAGCTCAAGACTTGCAGAGAGCAGACCTTGGTTCCCACGGAACCGATGTTGACGCCAGCGAGGATCTCTTTCCTCGTATGGTTTAGTCGTTGGCGTTTGCGAGGTCTTCTCGCCGTTTCTTCATAGATGTCGTTGTTATCCTCAGGCTCGGACTTGATGGTCTCGTTGTTTAGTTCATCACCATCGGGACTCTGTAGTTCAAGAAGCCCAGTCACAGTGGCGAGGATGCTTACGGCCGCCCAGGAGTGCTCTTGTGTGACACCAGCGGAGTGTAGAGCGAATAGGGTATTACCGATGTCCGGTTGTTCTGACTTCTTGGTTGATGAGAATGCGAGCCTCAGATGGTCGAGACGCAGCCGATCTTTATGGTCACGCTTGCTGTATTCAGATCGTAAGATCTCGAAAAGACCGCTCAACTCGTTCCAGATAGTGGGAGACTGCTCTTGTCTGGCAAGACTCGACATGTATGGCTGGAGATAGATGAGTGTTATCAACATTTCGTCCCGGAGACCACCGACACGAGTTGGCCAGAAGTGCTGGATTAGTCGGAGAAGCTGCGTAGTGTTACCTTTCGTGATATCAAGGTTATCGGTCGTTGACCACTGGAGCACACTATTGATCGCAACAAATGAGTCCTGGTGGCTGACACGAGAGATGGGGTTGCTTTTCAAAAAGTCCACCATTGCTTTCATGATAGCTTGCGCCTTGCCAGGAAGTGGTGCGTTCGGGACGGCGCTTAGAAGGGCCAGTGTTGCCACTATCTCATCCATAATCTGTTTCGTCGCAGCTCGCGATTCCTGTGAGGCAGAGAATTCCTTTAGCTGAGATCGTGAATTTGTTCCTGAGCGAGAGGATCGATGGCTCAGTCCAAGGGCCGGAGCGGGAGACAACCTCTGCTCAGCGCCAGATCGAGCGTCGCCTTGATATTCGTGCCCTTCCTTGAGTGTATCCAGGCAGAATTGAATAATGGCTGACCACTCAGCTGACAGCAGGTGTTCGACATGACGCTGTCGGCTAGCAATCGCGCGGAGGCATCGGATGTACCCCAGGGCCAGTGGAACGCAGAGACCACCCCGGGATACTGAGATCGTGTCGAGAACATGCCTAATAATTGACGAGATTGTCTCCTTTGAGATACTCCTGATGCCAAGCTCCACAGCGAGACGAACGGCAGTGGCGAGATTAAGCAGCCTATCAGCCGTGGTTGCTTGTGTTGTAGAATATCTTGCGCTTGCGCTCAACCAAATCGATCGGTCAGCTCGAATTAGCTCAAACAAGACCTGGTATATGGTCTGATATGTCTCGTCAGCAAGCGAAGTAGCATTGACATTGCGCTGATTGACACGCAGTATGCGAGTCAGATCCTCGAGACCCTTCTTGCGATTTGTCAAGGATCCGTCGAGCAGCTCCAAAGCCTCATCGAGGCCCACGTCGCCGCTCATCTTGGCCAAACTCTCGGCTGATGAGCGTGGGAGCCTCGAATTCGCAGCTCATCATCCCGTGTGCCTAGCGAGGGTGAGCTCAGAGTTTTCTTGCTTGGCTTGACTGGTATATGGAACAGCCGAAGAAAATAGAACGGAAGCATCGGTAAGTTGAGGTTCGAATGTGAGATGTGGTAGAAGTATAAGGTTTGGCTGTTCGGCTGTTCCCGCCGAGATGCCGAAACACGCGACGCGCTGACCTTGACTTCACTCAAAATTGCAGAAACATTCATGCATGGGATAGGGCGGCGCTAGCAGCGTCTTACAGTCCTTCCAACGAAGTAGTATTCAGCAAAACCTTCCCGGTAAACTGTTACAGCAGACAGGTGGACATGGAGTCTCCGTTGTTCCGGCTGCAAAGCCTACAGGGAGACCTGATCGCTTTCTCAGAATCGCGGCTTTCCAATGTCGACAGGCTGTCGGCAGAGCTGGACGCAAGCATCGATGACTTACGCAGACTGCTTGACAAGAGCAGGAAGAGTGAGACGAGTCGGAAGGAACTAATGCCCAACACGAGTCCGATACCAGAGACTCTGAAGATTGGCGGGTTGGAGTACAAGGTCAACACTGAATTCAGACAATACGCCGTCAAGGTGGCCGATGAACTGGACCTGGATGAGCTGGAAGCGGCACAGCTTTGTCTGAATGTCGCATCCGACGATGCAGCGGACGAAGACTTGACGATGCCGGACAGAGCTGTGCTTGATTTTCAACATCAGCGATCCGCAGTGCTGGAATGCATGCGTTTGTTCTTGCAGCAGTATAATGAGATCGATGATGTGGATGATCCTTACGTGCAAGAACTGTATCAGGATGCCATAGGTGCAATACTTACCAGTACGAGTGGGCCCCCTGATGTAGGCACGGAGCTCTTCAGAAAGTGCATCAAAGGCCTTGAAGAAGTCGAGACTTTCCTGAAAAGGGTCGCCGACGCCAAGCAAACGCGGTTGATGACTGGGAGTACATCGGCGGGTGATCTCGCCGGTAGTGCTGAGTCTCAGCGTCTGTTACTCACCCGGCAACATGAAAGCCTTGCTGCTGTTCTGGTCCTCCTGCTCAACGGCAGATTTGGCATCACAGAAATTGACTACAGGCAGCTGATAACGCATGCGACGTCGGTTGAAACGACTGTCGACATCGCGATCCATTACATCCCAATATTTGTTGCAAGCGCAGCACGCTTCGGCGCTGGCCTTAACACTGACTTGAAGGTTGCAAAGGAGCTGCACCTCTTATATGCTTCAGGCCCGACACAGCTGCGGTGGAGGATGCTAGATCTTCGAGCCGCGGCGACAACGATCTGGCTAGCGGGATTCAGCCACCGTTTTGTAGATCCGGAAACGGAGACTGAAGTCAATGTCGCGAAAAGACAGCAAGCAGAACAGGATCGTTCTGATCTGTTCTTACAAAGTGTCAATGACCGAGCTCTACACTTCATACTAGCAGCCTGCAAGTGGCTCCAACCAGAGCTTTGGCACGACCCGGCCAAGGTTGGCCTGGTACAGTTCCTGCTTGAGAACAATCAAAGTGTGCCGCCTGAAGCACCAGCACCAGCCAGCGACTTTGTCACACTTACAATGAACGAGTTGCAGGCTTTCACGGAAGCCTTTGTGTCGAACATGCCCGACGTAGTGCGAAGACTGAAGGCGGAAGAAGATGATCGAAGACGGATGAAGTTCACAATGCCTCCTACGGACGCGAGTGGCTACGAACCGGACATGGAGCGCTTCATGCTCGTCATGGCGTATGCTTATCAGGACGATCCAGACAGCGCCGAGGATTTCTGGTCGGACAAGGAGAGCAATCTGTACGGCTTTCTGAGATGGGTTTCGCAACGGCTTCCTACCCCTCGTGTGGCTGCATTTTGCGAGCTCTTGACCAGCGTCTCGAGTGACGAGAAGTCCGCCAACCACGCACACCGCTTCTTACTGGAAGACTCAACCATGGTCTCTGGTAGATTGCGCAAGACATACAGTGTCAGTTGGGGCCAAATTTTCGCCGAGCTCGATACTTATGCCTCGTCACTACGAGACAAGCCTGCCGCTCCTCAAGCTAGTAACCAGGATGCTCAGGTCAATGGTGCAGATTATATCGAAGGTGTCGAGACGGGGATTATGCTGGAGGCCTATCTTCGCCTGGCTTCTCACATTTGCCGCACTAGCCCAGAAGCACGAAACTGGCTACTTCGCGAACAACCGTTTCACCTTGGCGATATCATGTTTCAGCTAGCTTCAAGTGGCATCGAAGGGCGCCTGCAAGCTTCTTGTTTCAACATGCTGGCTGCTATGCTCACGGACAAGGTGACTGAGGTCAACGATGGCATGTGGGTAATGCTTGATAACTGGATATCGGCAGGCGGCCCAGCGGGCTCAAAAATGACACGGCCTACCACACAAGCGCAAGGTGTCGTATCTGAGAAGCAATATCTTCAGCGGTTCGGCGATCGGCCTGAAACTGCGACCGCTGTGGTCACATTATTGAACGCGCTCGTACGGCCATCGTCTTCTCCCTGGAACGCCACGTTGGATGCTCTACCATTTCCGGAGAATCTGGGCGCTCCACATCGACACGCTGGAATTGATGCCTATGTCGACTTTGCCATAGGCATAGTGTTTAGACGCTCTCTCGACTACCTAAGTGCCGGCTCTGAACCTGATGAGATCAGCGTCTTGCGATATGCGTGCCTTGACTTCATGGTCCAAGCACTCTCGACTTTTAACGAGGATCTGCTGGTACTGGCGAATGCGACAAACATCGCCGTCGACGCCACTATCCGTGTCTCATCTCTGTCTACATACGCCAAACTACATCCGTTCGCTAGAGTCATGGAGTGGCTGTTCAACAACAACGTGATTACGGCCTTGTTCGCGACCATGCAGCAGGATCTTACTCTACTGGACAGCTTCGGCCCGGGTACGCCATTCTATCAGGCGACATTGAGAAGCGTCCAGGTCATGAATCTAGCAATGAAAATGCAAGCAACTTACTTCGACATTGTGCGGCCCATCATCAAGACTCAATCCGGAACACGTGCGACATCTGTGGCTAACGCTGCATTCGCTTCCTTCGACGATGTAATGCAGAGCCATATTTCTGCTGTTGTCGACATTGCGGGCTACGCTGCGAGCGATCATGCTGAGCTTAGTCTGGAATCGTTGGATCTGCTGCAGAAGCTCGCAGCATCACGCAAGATCTCGGGTGCTGCTGACGTTGGAATTTCGAGTGGTCGGGCTGGGAACAGGCTGATCAGTGCATTTGGCAATGCTGGAGATGACGTAGCCAGTGAGATCGCTCCAATATTTCAGATCAGCGACATCGACATTGAGACGGGAGAACAAACACTCAAAGTCATCAAGGCCCAAGCTGTTGCAGACATGCTTGTTGCGGGCCTTGATGCCTCACCAGGCCGACCGACCATAGCTCACTGTCTGTTGGGCTTATCTTGTGGAGAACGGACAGTGAAGGTCGAACCTCACGGCTTGTTCAGCCGGGGACAATCTCTGTTTCACACAATTGCAACTTGCGGCGTCACTACTCCAACGGTCATACCACCCAGCAATATATCGTGGCTGCTCGCCCTGAAGCGCAGCTGCCTTGACATCGTCCACAAGCTTGCCTTGTCGCCTTTGACGTCGAGCCTGGTTCAACCGGAGCTGCTTTCCATGGACTTCTTGCTTGCTCTCGCGTCAAGCCAAGTACCCGTCACAGCATTCCCCTTGTTCGATAGCCGAGCTTGTCACGATGGCGATGTCCTCCTCGAGACCTCCGCGAGCGCGATCCGAGACTTCCTAAAGTGTCGCGAACTCTTCTTCCAACACGGTACACTTCAGCTGAGGTCAGCCAGTGATCAAAATGCATACTCGATACAAGAGTCTACAATGAGCATCCTGTGCGGGACCATACGATCGGACACTGGAGAGACAGAATCGACCGCGAGTGTGTTCGACCTCTCGGACTTCATGGACTTAGAAACATCGTCAACGTTGGGACTCGCACATCGCTTTCTTGTCGGAGTCGACCTATCCTCATGTATCAAGGCCGGTGCGGAGGCTGGCTTGGCATATGATCTGAACATGGCTGAGCAACTGCTTAATTTTCGAAAGCGGGAGCTCATCAGCAGTGGGAGTATCAAAGATCCTGCTGAGGAGCAGCAGCTTGGAGATGAGATTGCAGCCACACTTGCCTCCCTGCTCAGCGAGAACAACCTCAGCGCCATCCAGCAAACCCGCTTGTCGTCCCTCGAATCCTGGACAGAATTGGTCTCCTTAATGATGACAGCAGGTGGCCTCCAGGACCGGAAGCTCTCGGACTTGGCCTTACAAGGCTTCCAGACTGTCTTACCACGTTACGAAAAGGCACTCACCGAGAACCCGGACTTTGCTGCGCTATTGGCTAAGTTGACCCTAGCGCTTGTGCAACCTGCTACAGCTATACTAAATAATTCGACTGAAACTGCCAGTACTGCTCACGAGAGGCTCATGGCGGCATTCAGGATATCGCTCAAAACATTGACAGAAAGCAGCACCGGCTTGGGCCTGAGAGATGTCTGCTACAGAAGCTGTATCGCAGTAATCGGATGCCTTCCCCTTCAGAATACAAATAACAGCAAGGTCTCTGCTTCACCACATGCCCGGCAGCTACTTGTACTCGTTCAGAATGCAGGCGACCGTGTGCTGGCTGTGAGCACTGAGGATGCCTTCTCCGGACGAGGATCAACGCGTGTTTCGGCTGTGCTCTTCCTGGATGCGTTAATGGCAATGTCACAAGCCGGTGCCGTCAACTCCAACATGCTTCGCGCGCTATCGAAGCTCAACTTCGTCCCGGTGCTCATTGATACCAGCATTGGTAGCGTGGCATCGTCGTTCCAAGCTCAGAACGAAGAGCTTGCTACAATGCTCGCGTACTTCCACACGGCGCTGGCGCTATTGTTGCGAATTTGCAGTACCACAGATGGTACGCAACTTGTGCTCAACAGTGGTTTCTTCTCCTCAATCAGCGACAGCCGTCTTTTCAGTACTGACCCAGACATCGGCCTCGATATCGACAATCCAGTAGCCTTGAGAGAGTTCTACAAGCTGCTTTCCGCGGTGTTAAGAGTGGTCACTGCTACAGTCATGACTCGTGGCTCTGGCAATGCCACGACTGTGCAATTGGCCAAAGGTTTCTTGCAGCAGAACAGATTCAGCATACAAGCAGTATTCAAGCGCACGAGCTCTGTGCACAGAACATCTGGCCCGCCGGAGAAGGAGGCATTGCACGTCGCCGAAGAGTTTAGCAAGCTAATGCTCGTGACCGGCTTTCTAGATGTAAGTGTCTGTCCGAAAGAACATATTGCTGGAGCAGATGCTGACCACTTTACAGGATGACGAGTCTAGTCAGCAACGAACCGCCAGGTTGACGGGGTTCACGTGAGAAATTGCGCAGGACAAGAAGGATGATGTATTGTAGATCGACCTTGATATAGCAGGATGCAGAAAGGATCGTGATATTTCATCATTCAGCTGTTCATCGGCACAGGCTTCATCGGCACAGGCTTCATCGGCAGGTACTATTATGTGTTTCTTGACCGCCCAGTCGGACCCTTGCCACTCAGCATACAGTCCTACTACGACTTGCACACAGCCTGTGGGAATCGAAGTAGTGCTGCTCCATACCTCGTCAGTGGACACTGTGTGACGCGCACGGACCATCGGCATCACCTTCTGAAGCAGTCCGATCTCTCGCAATCTGCATCGCGTGCCAAACGCACACATATTTTGTTTCGTGAAGGAGGTGATTGGAGGTGTTGCCAAATATGGTGAATATGTAGATGTCTTAGGGCGCGTTCACGACTAACAAAACCATAGTCTCGCGACTCCTCGACCACCTACATCCACCTCCACGCATCCCACCATGCCGACATGCTCGACTCTCTAAACGCACTGTTCAAGCTACCTGCCGAAGACATCTACGTTCCGCCTCAACACCAGCCTATCGACCCGGACGAGGAAGATGACGTCGTATCTGACCAGCATGCGGCATTTGGAATACAGAGGGCGACACAGAAGGCACGCGAGCCAGCTTGGAGAGACTTTGGTTTGGAGAGTCTCATGACTGCTGGCCCCCCTGCGAACGGTGGAGGTCAGGCAAAGGCTGGTGCCCGGCAATCTACTTTGACACTACGATGAAGCAGTATGGGAAAACTGATACCTCGAATGGGAAGAGCATATTCAGTCAACCATCCTCCGAAATTTACGACACAGTGAATTCTCGCTTTTTCAGCAATCCAACGTCAAGTCAATAATCTGTGGTCACTTGGGACTTGCTCCCCAAGCTCCAAAGCATGCAATACAGACGAAGCAAGCCCAGCGAGCAATGATATTTGTGCATTACGAATCACGAGGCTTTACTGTCTCGAGGGCGACGCAAAGGAAGTGATGTCGTTAGGCTATTCACTGCTATGGATGACGATTATAAATATAGGGCAAACATGTGGACCTATCAGATAAGGTAGTTACGTCCGAAGGCTATTTCTGATGCATGCCGAGATGCTGAAGATGCTGCATTTCTGCGCTGGAACCCTTACTGGAACTCCTGCATCGTGCTTTGGTTAGGCCATATGTACGTAGCTCGTACTTTGTGCTCGAGCATAGCACAGCTGAACAAGGCTTGAAGCTCGATGCTCGGTGGTAAGCCAGCCGTATAGCTCATATACCTTTAAGCAACCTGCGCACTTTGCTCTACGCTTATCCGTCGTCTGTGTCGGTGGTTCAAGGGGTGGTCATATTGCGAATAGACATGTCGACCACATGGAGGAGTTCTGGTAGTTCGCGTAATCGATCCACCGAGTTATTGTTTCCAGATCTTTGCACGGAATCTAGCCAACGAAATTATTTGTCTTGCGAGGATGCAATATAAAGCTCGGTACATAGACTTCGCCATTGATCTCTCGCATGAACGCAGGCATGGCGTCGCTTGGTATAGGACGTAGATCATCTTCAGCCTTTGACCCGTATATCCAGTGCTCAAAGACCAGATTGCAGAGTGGACTGTACCAATTGAAAGTAGTGCGCGCAGTAAAGAAGTTAACGGCATGAGCCTTGTAGGCTGCGGGTCCGTTGGCGATGCCATCGTGAAAGTCGCGAGGTATGCCGCCATTCATAACAAAGTTGAGTTCGTGAATGTCTCTTTCTGGGTCCTGGAACAGCGGCATCGGTGCTTGAACGACCTTCAGGCCATGCCAAAGTGCAAATGTGGGCAGAGTAGCTTCGCTCGGTACAGCGACACCGTCTTCATGCTGCGCTATGTGGATTGCCTCCAGCAACTCCCAAGATGCGCGAGCTTGCGCAGGCACAGAAAGGAAGCGCGGATCATCCTTTTCGACACCACCATGATACCAGTACTTGTAGACCCAGTCTCCATCCTCGGTACGAAGTACATCGCCCACAGGTGTCAACAGAACCAGGTCAGCGTCGTATCCAACGCCGAACGAAAAGTCGTCGTCTTTAGGATCGACCTTGTTCGGCAGCAGGCCTACTGGCTCTACCACTTTCTGCTGTAGTGGGCCCCAAACCGTCGCGCCTCCATCCAATGTCTGATTGATGGCCTTCGTGAACTCATCGTATGTGCCATGCACACGAGGTATGTAGGACCATGAAGCACGTTCGCGACTCTGCTTGTATGGCTGGTCAACACCAAATTTGTCGAGTGCTTGCAGCATCTCTCCAACATTACCGGTGAACCTCGTATCCATCTCAAACTGCCAAAAGTGGTCAAACTCCGGATAGAAGTGGGCAAAGAGCTGTAGTGGCTGCATGATTTGAAAGTTCGCCCGAAAGTCGTCCACTTTTGCATACCAGCTTCGTTGGAGCGTCTCGTGGAAGAGAACAGCCATGCCTTGGAACTCCTGCGGCACTATCTGATCCAGGACTTGTCGATATACGTCGTCATCCTCATGCAGTCGAGAAGCATTCTCCGCCTTCACATCGACGAGTAGAAACACAGTGTATTCTGACCCAGTGGCGAGACTTGCTTCGACGATGGTAGATCGGATGTGGTGTAGGTCCTCAGGACGATATTCAAACTCATCCCAAGCTCGCAACACGATAGCTTGACGACCAGTCTTGGTGCGAGCAAATATAGCGTCGCGAGAAGGCTTTGCATTGTCTGTCAGACGGAAACGTGGTTCGATGATGCTATCTGCTACACCGTTGAAGCGCTTGGCGTTGGCCTTCAGACATTGTTGCTGTAGTGCACCCCAATCGGTTTTCGACCAGGTCACGGGAGTGCGATTGTACGATGCTCGATCCTCACCATATCCGTAAGGACCATATCGCTCGCCGATCGTTAACCAGTTTTTCTTCAATCCCAAGGCATCATAAGATCCAGTAGTAGTGTCTGAGAACGTCACATTCCTCAGTTGCGCTGTATGTGGTATGTCTTCGCTGTGAATGTCATCCACGAAGCCTCCTCGAGGTCCAGAACAAGGTACTGGGGGGGCAAGCTTGATAGCAGGCGATGCTTGAACTTGCGATGCTGGACGAGAAGAAGACACGACCTTGGGTAAGGGTTTGTGTCTAGGCGTCCTGGTGTAAGAGAGGCTCAAGAAACATGCTGCGAGGAGAAAGCAGGTAGCGATAATCAAGATGCGCCAGCCGCGAGTGGACAGCGCGTTGAGCCTGCTCATGGCGGTATGATGGACCTGCTAATAGCAATGGAGTGTGCGAAATCAATAATTAGCAGCATATTGCATGACGGAGGGGAGCTCGCGTCAGCTGGCCGTGCAACACGGGAAGTCGCAGTAAGAACAAACAAGTTGTAGTTGGGTCTGTATAGTAGTCAATACTTGATCTCGTACCAAGTGTGCGGCAACGGGATAGCCAAGCAAGCCAAGATTGCCCATCGTCAGTCAGCGGCGGCTGGGATGAGGCGTGGCCCGTAATGATAGATTGTCGTGGGATCCATCCTTCCTCGTGGAGATCCTTGATCGCTCTCGCTAAGCCTGCAGCACACCCAATCGCAATGATCCTGGTACAGGGCAAGCGGGATTAAGGTTCACAAGACCGACATGAGTGGCCTCACGTCTGACATGGCAGAAACGCAACTCTCCCAGCCAAAGTCACACCGCCTTCACGGACATTCGATGTTGCAGCTGTAGAAAGCTTCGTGCAACAAACAAATTCGGGCCGATGACAAGGTTTACGCCAATGACTACGCCGTTCTCCTACTCCACTTTACATTACGCAAGCAGGTTTCAAGGCTGTTGACGACATGTGCTCGTGGACGTGACGAGCAAGTACGCCGATCATGGCTCTGCTGTGGAAGCGATCACGTCACGGCGTATGCTGATGAGAGCAGTGTATACTGCAATTACTGTCTACACAGCTCTAGGGCAAACAAACCCTATCTCTAACTGGATACTTGACACATAAATGTGGCAGACTGCTCGTCTGTGTTCTCGTAGGCCATCCTCACCGCAGAGATTCATGAGTGAAGAGTTACGCAGCAGTGTATGCATAACGCACTGCGTCGTGTTCGCAGTAGAGCAAACCTCGCTCTTGATAGGTAGCACTCCATATACTTGTTTCATGCCTGTGCATCCTCCTTGAACAGATCTCGAATAGCCTGCGCGGCCATCCTCTTCCTTTGTGCTACAGGCAACTCTGCACTCTGCTCCTTGACCGCAAGAAGCTTGCCCATCATCCTATTCAGGGCTTCGACCTGATTCTCCTGGTTCGCTCGTGGGAAATCTTCAGCCTCAGGCTCGAAGTCGTCAGCTCCAGAAAGAGCAGCTTTCATACCAAAAAGCTCCGCCGTCATCTCTGCTTCGTCTCTGCCAAAGCCAGTCCCAGAGTCGTCTCCTGCGTCGAAGTCAAGGTCGTCAAGATCCAGCTCGCCGTCTTCATCATCCGCAGCCGCCCACTCGTTGGCTTCGAGTGCCTCTTTCAGCCGCTCAAGGCCTACCCTCTCGCCGTGGTCATTTCTGCCTCTTACAGCATAGTTGACGAACTCGAAGCCGTACGCTATGCAGATGTCCTCCCAGTCGTCAAGTTTCACCACAACATTGTCCTTGCCCAGCGGAGGAAGAGCCACAGCTAGCATAACGTTGTCCGCGCTGTAACCAATGTGCTCCTCGTTGATGGTCTGGATCGCCTCCATCATCGTCTCTGCCTCTTTGCTGACACTACCATCTGCTGGCAAGCGAAAAGCAAATATGTAGCCGCCAATGGCTTCCACCACTTCTTTTGCTTCAGGCTTTAGGAACTCTGATTTCCATTCATCGGCATCAACGATCTCATCTATCCAGATCGGTACTGTCGCACTGTAGTATGCGGTCTTAATGGCCCATTCGTGCACAGAGCCGGCTGCTGAACCCGAGTCATCTACTTGAGGTGTGCTACCTGTCAAATCTTTGACGACGTCCAGGACGGGTCCATTTGGAGCACCGACAGCCAATATACGGCGTGTGTGTTTGATATCCATCATGAAGATGGTAGTGAATATGGACTACATTGTTCACTCGTGACGAGAGAGCATGTTCATGATAATGAAATGGAAGTTCCAAGGTGGAGAGCAGAAGGGGAAGTCTTGGCATCAGATGAAAAGTGATTGTGTACAAAGGACAGCCCGTATCGCGCGGGCATACTCTATAGCCTGACGAGGCACTGCTTACGTCTTATCCTGCAGCCACAGCATTGATATTTCGTGCCCTTGCAGCCCTTTTGTTGGCCTGCGCCGGCTTTGTAGCATTCGCCTAAACGCCTCGCTTGATTCCAGCGTACGATGTCCGCCTCCATGTCTCCTTCAGTCTCATGTTCTCATCAAGCAGCTCAAGCTCTCAAGACCCACGTCCGCCCCTCTGTCCACGCGCCCTGTTGACTGTAGCTCTTCCTCTCGCCAACCCCACACCCCTGCCCCTCGTAGCCTTCGACTTGAACATGGGAGCATTGCGCAACATGTCCGGCACGATGAATAATCGTACGTGTGAACCTCTGATATATACGCGATCCAGGTGGGTCACGCGACCATCGCGTTGTGTGACGTTTATGTTCTCGAGCTGGCAATTCATGTTGTCTTCGGCTTCAATAAGTTTTCCTCTGTAGGTCTGGCCAGAGTCGATCTCAACCGTCACTTGATGGCCCTACGAAATATCTCGTCAGCTGTTGTGCGCTGTAAGCACAAGTGTGCGCAAGGTAGGTCGTAGCCGCACTTACGGTGGCTTCATTAAGGAGCTTGATCGGGATGCCGATCGTCGAAGTCATGATTGCGGTGTGCTTCTATTGACTAAGTATCGGTGCTGGTAGATGTGTAGCCTCTCGCGTTTGGGTAAAGCGAAACGGTGAAGCGTTAGTGATTCGTCTACGCGAAGGGACATATATCTGATTGCTCAGTCAAATCATCGTGAACGCATGACTCGCGTGCGTCGCTAGCGCCGAAACTCTCATATGCGCAGGAGACGACGAATATCGGCCATCATCCTCCATCATCCAATTTCATCTCATTATACATGAATATCTCTGGGACTGTCAACGTCCTCCGTCTACTAGTCAACCCGGCACTGTGTCTACCACATCATACATGCGCTACATTCGATCAGTTGCCGATTCCGCTCTCGGCAGCATTCTCCAAACATGGCGAGAAGCGACCTGACATTCGTGCCGTAGTACTAGACAAGGACAATTGCTTTGCGATACCGAAACAAAATTCTGTATATCCAGCATACGAGAAGAAGTTCGAAGAACTGCGCAAAGCTTATCCTGGATCACGGCTACTGATTGTCTCGAATACGGCTGGCACGAACTCCGACAATGGGCACGCTGATGCAGATCTGATCGAACGCACTACTGGTGTCAAAGTCCTACATCATGCTACGAAGAAGCCCGGATGCCATGAGGAAGTCATGTCCTACTTCAGAAATCAACCTGATGCTGGTGTGACGCACCCAGGCCAGGTGGCGGTTGTGGGTGATCGATTGTTCACAGATGTCATGATGGCGAACATGATGGGTTCGCATGGATTCTGGATCAAGGATGGCGTGGTGCGAAACCATGGTCTAGTAAGTTAAGCTATTTGGTTGCCATTGCTCGATTGCTTGCTCACACCTCTTGCCAGTTATCCCGAGTTGAGAACGGTCTAGCCAACTTCCTTCTGCAACGAGGTTACTGTGCGCCCGATCCACACAGTGGCTTCGAGTGAGCCCTGGAGTCTTTCGAATCTTGACCGTGAGGTAGTCGCGCTACCGACCGGACCTCGAAGACTACACAGACTTCCAGATGGCTTGCACCAATATCCTTCTGACCGACACTTGTGCGGACCATCGACCAGTGCAGCATAGCTGCATACCTAGCGATCAGCCCGCGTCGGGATCAATCGATGAGGAGACTCCAGGGGCGTGGCGCTTCGCTTCTCAAGCATTGACGCTGAAGGCCAGAGATCATGAGCAGAACGTGGCGATCGGCAATGTGCCCATGATCCCGAGTATGCTCACTGGTCGCCCGCCGCTGGGCGAGGTTGTGGTAAACGTAGCGAAGGCCGCGGTACGCCTGTCTCGTATGGCCGGACTACTGTTGTGAACACCGCCTCTCAAAAGATGGTATAATTCTTCCACCACAGATATGCCAGATTGCATGCCACACTCGCAGCTCCATACGCAAGCTTCATTTCAATCACACTCCAAATCCACAGCGTCCCCAACGGAGGCGTCTGCTTCATGACATAGAAGTAGTCATACTCGTTTGTAACCTGAATAGTATAACATCCACTCGCCACTGCTACCACAAGATAGAATAATTGCTTAGCCGTGTCGAACCTTGCCGCTAGCTCTGATCGTAGGAGGTAGACCATCAAGAACAGCACTGGTATGATCGTTGCCGTGCGTTGGAAGATGGGTGTCCATTCCATTTCCTGCTTGTATTGGTTATGCACCAGGACATCAAATGTAAAATGCATCATTCCTAAGGTGAAGGTCCAGAAAATCGCTTGACCTATGGGTCCGATGGGCTCGCCATCGCCTAGACCTGCTTCGAGGATGTTGCCCCCTTCGTCCATAACGGTCTGGTCTGCACCTTCGTCGAAGGGTTGGCCTTTGGTCAAGAGAGACTTCTTTTCTTCGTAAAGGTCGAGTAATGTTTTCTCAGTCGGTCCTGATCGATTCGGCTGAGATAGCTTGAGCTTTGGAGTGCTTGTTGGAGCGGCCATCGGCTTTCCAGATTCACGGGCTGCTGCTCGTCGTTCTTTGCGATTTCGTGGAGCATCATCGTTAGTGGCCATCTTGAGATCGAACAGTTGAATATCTGTAGTCCAAATCTTGTTTCTATCGAGATGTGGAACTCTGTGCGATCCGTCTTTCCGATCTTGATACAAATTCTCTGGTCTTGGTGTGAAACAGTATTCTGAGCAGGCGTCGAAATCAAGCTGGTCGTCGATGGTGAGGTTGCGGCTCTGCTACGATCATCGCCTTTAACCTTCGCCAAATTTAGTAGACTTAAACCCTAGCAACGCCGCGTGCCAGCGCAGTCACTCCCGCGTGTATCGCAATCGCCTCTCCCTTCACTCAACTATCGAGCCTGACTGCAATTCACATCGCCTTTTATCTTCCAAACCGCCTCCGCCGACCAACCCACGTTCGTAAGACCGCTTCACCCGCTCCACACATCGATCGCGACACGACTCTTACTCTTCCGCCACGATGGGCGGCTTTGGCGACTTCACCTCGACTTGCGCGAAGACACCACTACCACTATGCCCGCTCGTGGGACCCATCAGTCCGATCACTGGCACACACTACTCGCAATCGAGTTGTTATGCGCGGTCAGTGGAGGTAGCGAACACTACCATATTTGAAGGAGCAACTGGTTTTGCGCATATATTAGCTCTGATCATGACGGTGATCATGATTATACATGTCAGGAGCAAATTCACGGCTGTTGGTATGTAGACCGGATGGGAATAATGGGATGTGGAGGTCGGCATGCTAATGGGATGTTCCAGGCCGCAAGGAGATCACGACCTTCTTCTATTCATACATCCTCCTCACGATCTGCTCCCTGGTCATCGATTGTGGAGTGGTACCACCTGCATCCGCAGCATACACATACTTCGTCGCTGTACAATGTGGTCTGGCCTCAGCAACATGCATATGTCTGATGATCAACGGTTTCGTGGGCTTCCAGCTCTATGAGGATGGGACGACACTTTCGGTCTGGCTTCTGCGAATCTGCAGTGTTGTCATGTTCTTGATCAGCTTCGCAGTATCGCTTATGACGTTCAAGACCTGGGGAGGCCTCGGACCAACGAACACGGTCGGCCTGTTCGTGGTGGTGTACATGTTCAGCGCGATCTTCATCTTCGTGTACGTGGTTATGCAAATCTTGCTGATCGTCGGTACGCTGCAAGAGAGGTGGCCGCTGTGGCACATTGGATTCGGCATCTTCGCACTGGTCATTGGACAGGTGATATTATATGTCTTCAGCGAGGTCATCTGCGACAATGTCCAGCACTATCTTGATGGATTGTTCTTCGCAACACTTCTCAATCTGCTAGCCGTGATGATGGTCTACAAGGTATGGGATCACAGCTACAGTGGACAGGAGAGTTGATATGCTAACGAATATCTTTAGTACTGGGACTCGATCACGAGAGAGGACCTCGAATTCTCTGTTGGTGCAAGACAAGGCAACTGGGAGGTCAAGCAACTCTTGCCAGAGGACGATATGCACAACGCTCCATACGGCGGCGACAACAGCGACTATGCGTCAAGCATGTATCAACAGCCTGCAAGGCGCGAGTCATCGTACGGTGGCTATTGAGTGTGTAGGATATCGCAATGCTCTTTGATCTTGACTCCGGATTTAGCGTTTAGCGGTGTGAGCGTAATGATAGTGTAGCGAACGGACTATTTCGTTTCAGTTTGGGACCGGTCATTTGTCCTCCAAGCTGTACAAGCCTTCCCATCAGTCTAGATCATGATCGAAGTCCGGACGCAAACAAAAGTCGTCTGAGGCGATCATTACCATCGACAGGGGTCATGACAGCGCTGCACGTGCGGCTCGGAGCATCAGAAAAGCTTGTCCTGCATGCATCATCAGATCGCGCCAGCACGCGATCTTGGAAAGTCAGTCACCACCTAGCGGTCATGGCTCCCGTTCTGGTGACTGATCATCTGCGGCCTTGAGTGTAGCGACTTATCATGATAAGTATTCGCATCTTGCTGTTCTTTGACAGCGTCCGTTCCTTCTACACACAGTAATGGCAAGCCACCCTCCTTCTCCGGCGCCTACGCCACAACCTAGCGAACGAGCTAGCATATCTGCCGAGATTAATATCGCCACGAGGAAGCAGCATACCGAGCTCAACCGTCTGATAATTGAGCGCTTGCCTCTCGCGCTTCCGCCGCATTCTTCTAATCCAGCGCTTCTTGGCCAAGGGTTGGCGGCTTTCGCGAAGATCTTCTTCGTGTTTGAGGCAGTATGGGCTAGTCTGGATGATGGCAAGACAGCGCAAGATGGAGGGAAGGCCGGCGATACACGGAAGACTGAGCTCTTATCAAGGCTCAAGTGTCTGCGACCTGAGGTCATGGAGCGGTCGCAGAGGCTGGCCACTGATCTGAGGCACATCGAGAGGATCACTGGCCAGGATTGGAGCCATCATACTTCAGCTGAATTGCCGGTTGGACAGGGACTTATCGCCAAGCCGCATTTGCTTCTTGCGTATGCTTGGGTTATGTACATGGCTATCTTTTCTGGCGGACGTTGGATACGGCAGCAGCTGCAAAGCGCTGGGCCTGTATTCTGGGCTGCACCGGTCGGTATCACCGTGGACGACAGCAAGAAGAGCGCCGGAGTCATGCCTGGCTTTTCTTTCTTGTGCTTTGAAGGCGAACAGGATGGTGAAGACATCAAGCGGGACTTCAAGCCCAGGCTTGCCGAGACTGAAGCCCTTCTAAATTATGAAGAGCGGCAGGAGGTCATCCATGAAGCACGACGCCTGTTCGAGCACTGCGTTGCATTGGTCCATCAGCTAGACGACCTGGTCTTGAAGCAAAGGCTGGTTCGCGTGGCAGGTGTCGCTGCGTTGCTTGGTCTCCTTCTTGTTGCTTTGGTATGGCTTTACTGGTACGACCAATATGGATACTTGTCGACATGATAGTCACCGATGCTCACGGGACTGTCTAAGAAGGGAGCATGTGATGGGCGGTCGTCACATTTCCTCCACATAGGCGCTGAATGGCTCACTGGTGGAGCAAGAGGAAATTGAATATCAGTATATTCTACAAGCCACCATCAACATTCGACCTCGCAGTACCACGGCAGCAGTGTAAGCACTAGCCATGTTGATCTCCTCATGACGATACTGACAAGAACTAGGATCGAGCGCTCTTCATTGCTCAAGCTGCCGACAAAGGGAGCGCAGTAACATGTACGAGCTTGCGTTGAAACGCCAACGCGCAGAAATCACTCACGGCGGAGTCCGATCTCATAACAAAGGCCACCTCCTAGCTTCTACTCAAGTCTATCAGCTCGCTTAGCTTGATGGGTGACAAGCAGCTTAGCCACTTGCAAGATGTCACCATGGTCTCGAAAGCCGACAGCAGGGACGCCAGAGCCTTCGGCAAAATCTCAATCACGGTCAAGCAGCTGGCCCCATTCCTGGAGGTGTCGCTCGTTCCTTCGTCGATTCTTGATCTCATATGCAATTCTGTAGTTCCAGATAAGTGTGGATGCGGGCGGTACATCGCCACTACGGTACAAGCTGTCGTTGGCAAGTGGGATCGGGGCACGATCGTATCTGGCTGATCTTGTTGAAGAGGTGCATGACACAAGCCTGCAGCCTAGGTCTCGTCCCTTACACACCCGGGGCAGGTCTCAGTTGCGTTCCTTGGTAGCCATGGCCGTGCTGACAGGACAAATGTCGCCATCAGAGGCCATATATCGACTGGGAATACAGGCTGCTCTGCTCACACGAGTCGGGTACGTGCACGTAACGGGCAAAGCGTGGCGTAGATGCACAATAAACCAGCTACGTCAGGTTGGATGTTCAGGTTTGCCAATGCACTGACATGCATTAGCATTGGTAGGAGCTCTGATGTACGTTGCACTACTACGGTCAGCATCATTCATCATTGATGGGAGAGCTCTCTCTGCGTACTAGCTGCCGCCGCCTGAACGTTTCCCTTTCGGAGACTAGCGTGCAATTTACTGATGCCGGATCGAGGCGTACGTCTTTATGCCATCCCTTCCCATGCTACATCGCTGATGGTGCTCTCTGTCACCGAACAAGTTCACTGTCAGGTTCACAGCTTAAAATTGAGCCAAAAATGGAGCACTCGCCACTCTCTCGCCTGCCGGCCGAATTACGCATCCAAATATACGAACTGGTGCTCACAGTTGCACACCCAATCGAGATTAAATTGCATTCCGATGCGATTACGGTCAAAGCTTCTGGAGTACGCCTCGCCCTCACGAGTACTTGCCGTACTGTTCGAGAGCACACCCTGAAGCTCTTCTATTCAATCAACGATTTCGTTCGACGCACAAGCTATCTGTCCTTACTGCGTCAGGGAGACGATAATTACACCAACGCGTCGATTGCGCCGTTCTTCGACTGAATCGACATGATCGGCGCTGACAAGCTCGAGCTCATGGGAGACCTCGCCCTTGATTTAGACTGCGCGGGCATATGTGACTTCCAAGACGAACCGGATCCCGAAATATTTCGCGAATAATGGTGTACGGCAACTACAGCTCCCTATGGTCTGTGCAGTCTACAAGGACCTGTCCTACGATATAGGCGCCCATGCAAGATCAAGCTTGGCGTGAGTCTAAGCCTTGACGACGGCTCTTGGCCCCCGATGAAGATCTCTGTCGGTGACGAGCACTTCAAAGTGGAATTCATGCTAGGTCCAACGCGAGCATCTACGGAGGTGTCGATGAAGAGCAGTGCGGACAAGGTACTTTCTGATTTGAGAGCCATGGGACCTATAGATGATTCATACCTGGTAGCAAAAATGATCGTGGGCATGTGCCAGTCGGTCTCTGCGCAATTCCGGGAGATCGTGCTTGAGATGACGCCGTGGTGAGTAGTGACAAATCAATCACTTGATTTTGAGAAGTATGAAAGAGGGACTGTCTTCGAAGATAGACTGAACAGACATTGTAGACGTGGTCAGAATGTAACGCTTTTCATCGGTGGCTCAAGGAAGATCACTCCTCCCGATTCTGATCACTCGCGGTCAGCGCTTGCCATACTCAGGTGTCCCACTTCTGACGCGAGCGTTTAGGACCTTCGTTGGCCTTCGACATACTACAAACACAGCTTCTGATCTTCGCATTTCTTCCCAACAGGAGAACCTCTTCGGAACAAATCCCAGCCAAAGCACACCAGCAGCGAAGGCAAAGATGGACGGCTCGCCTCTCGGTCGCCTGCCGCCAGAACTACGAAACTACATCTATGAGCTGGTGCTCGGGGGCCCGAAACCTACTCAGATACGCCGCACTGATTAAAACAACATACGAGGCTTTGGCACCTCAACCGCAATCACTACCACCTGCCGCACCATCAGGTCGGAAAGCCTTGGCATATTCTACGCAGTCAACACATTTACCATCGGTCCCACACAAGGTTCAACGGCTAGATCGTGGGCAAGCACGGAGGTGATCAAGGACCCAAGGTATGAGGACGAGGGTAATCCTGATAAGGTGACGTACGAAAACAAAGTGCTTTGGGCGGCGAATTAAAATCCGTGAGGTTGTGCTCGATCCTGCGATGTGGTAGACGCCATCAGCAATGGTGGACAGGCGACGAGAAATTGGATACGATGCAGAGTCGTCGCAGGGCTTGAAATTGGTTGATGTGAGACCCTGGTGCGCCACAGTCACAGTAGTACTGAAATCCAGCTTGGATTCATGCTATATGGTGCGTGGAGCTCGATGCGAGATTGCTGGAAGGATTGGAGCGAAGTGATTAAGCAAGGTCGACAGGCGGCGAACGAGCGCGAAACTGAAGAGCTGGTTGAGCAGGTTCGTGACATAATGCTAGGTGAATCACCGGTCACTTTGCGTTGATAGATTCGTTACCTCCTAGTGCTGTATACTTCGCCTCCGCTTCAATACTATTGGTGTATACAGCCAACCAATCTTAAACAATGATTCGCTCGAAATGACCCCAAGAATGCTATGCCGACACTCAGCCAAGCTCTCCTCACTTCACACAGTCGATCGTACAAACGCGCTTCGACATACATAAGCTCAAGCATGCCCACCACTACCCGCCCTCAGAACCTCGACTATACGTGTAGCTCCAGCAAAGGTATCCTAAACACTCAGCTTCGCCACTCCAGCTGCCGCCAAATCCGCATCACTCTTCACCTCCCCATTTTCACCAGACACCGCATCCAGATCCGCCTCGCCGCCCGCGTCCTTGATGACCTGCGCTAGCGATGGATGGTTCCCACCACGAATATATGCTTCGTACTCACCAATCATCTTCCCGCCTTTCTCCCACCTCGCCCTGTTCTCTCTCCTCCGCTTATCGCACTCGCCTGTGAGGAACGGCCAGTAATCGTCGTGCTTGTACTCGAACTCCAGATCACCACCATGCGTCTTCCATAATTGAACAGGTGGGATGTAATTCCTCTGTGGCTCGTTGAATCGCATCTTGTCCCTCGTCACGGGATCGATGAATGGAGATATGAGCTTGAAGAATGTGGTCACGTACCAAGGGAGGTCGGAGATCAGTGCTTTGCCTAGTCGTTCGGGGCTGTGGTTTTGCAGGATATTGAGGACGCTGCGGGCTTGGGCTACTGTGGGAACATGGCTGTTTCCTGAACCTTTGAAGGAGATGAGTAGACATGCTGATTCCTGCCCAGGTGGCAGCATGTCGATTGTGCGGTCGAGCATGTAGCAGAGATGGTGGATCTGGCGGTCTGACATCTTGGTGTTCTGCTTGGCTGGGCTCAGATACAGACACGGTCGGCATTCGTTATCATATCCAAGCACAAGCTGCTTCCCTGTCTCGTTCTCGGGGGAGATGTAGTCGGCTGTGAAGGTGTCGGCGCCGTACTCGCGTCGCCAGGACAGGGTGGACTGAAGCCTTTTGAGCGCGGCTGGTGTTTGCCATTTGGTTGCGCGAAGGTAGCGGAGGAGGCACTCTCGGGTGAGCCACATGCGCTCATGGTCTTGAACGGGTGCTGATGCAGCGCCCTTTAGTGTCGTGGAAGGCAGGGACGACCATTGAGATACAGCTGCTAGGACTGTAGCGTACTTTGTCTCTTGTTCAGGTGTCAGGGCTGCGGGGTCCTTTGGTTTGCTGGCTTTCATGGGCCGGGTGATGGGTGTTGTGAGCGCACCAGTCTTTGGTGCTTGCCATTCTTCCGTTTCTTCCGCTACGGTGGTTGCTTGTGTAGCTTGTGAGCTGCTCGCTGGTGTCTCCGTAGGAGCTAATTGTGAGGATGTCGACTTGAACGACGATGCAGAGGATTGGGCGTGGGAGGAAGGATCAATTGTGGACGAGCCATTGGGCACCGTCTGTAGAGTTGGGTCGGCCATAGGCACGATAAGCGTTGAGTGGGTTTGTTGTGTTGATTTCTTATGCTGCAGTGTTGGTATGCAGCCAATGGTCTACGATATGGTTGTGTCGATTCAGCTGATGCTTGTACACTATATTTGCCAAGATGAAGGAGGTCAAGTGTTGCGTGGTTGAGGTTCTTATTGCTTGAGATTATTTATCCTGGGCAAATCTAAGACGAGGGCCAAGCGGCTCATATTATGATGCTACTTGTGGACCCTGCATCTTCTTCATAATGTGAATCAGCTGATTCAGCTCGTGCTTGCCCACCGTGCGAATCCGATGCTTCGTGTTCTCCATCACAGCAAAGTACTCGTATCGTCTCATGTCAAGAGGGCAGGCTCTCTTTGCCAAAGGAAATGTACTGTGAGAGCTGCTCTGGGAATCTCCCGTGACTAGACTCGTTGTTGGTACAGTAAGTGCAGGTCGGAAGCGATCGATGGCATAAAACTAGAGCTGTGCTATGCTGTGTTATGCTGTGCATAATTTGAGCGTGTAATTTTGGTGATAGACTTAACGCGCCCAAACGCGTCCCTCTCTACCTCTTAACATCACTTCTACACACAACACAACAACACAAGAACCATGTCTGACCACGATATCCTGATTGAGCTCTTCGCTCCTTCTGCTGGAGGGGAGATACCCAACGATGTCACGACAGAACTCCAACATATCATCCGCCTACTAGACATCAACGCCCAGGAACTCTTCTTCAAATGGGAAAGCTACGTGATCAAGATGGGTGTCGAGAATACCAAGCTCGACTCGAAGACTGTGCGCGATTTCAAGAAGGACTTGCAAGATGCACTGGAACGGGAATCGAGAGCGAAGGGTCATGTTGTCCACCAGAGTGCCACGAAGAAGACTGCAGCTACTCCTCGCAATGGTGGTGGAGACGTGTATGGCATGCTGGACGGTATGGTCTCTGCGACTCCTGGTCCACGCATGGGTGCTGCTGGAAAGAGGAAAGCAAACAACTTCGACACGCCAGCGCCGAAGTCGTCGAAGAGTGGCCTGAACAGCTCCCCTGCAGATAACAGTCGTACACCAGCGCCGACCAAGGACATCCCCGGTATCAGCTTCGCCGATCGACAAAACCCTGGCGAGATTGTGCAACAGATCAATGGCCAGTTACCTGCTGCGGTCGCACCAGACGAACGACCCACAGAGGCCCGCGTCAAGCTGAAGGCCAATCTCGAGCTGCCAAAGTTTGCGTACAAGACTATGGCCATGAAATTATCCGAGGCTTCCGAAATCTTAGACGATCGAATTGACAGCTTCACCGACCTCATCCAAGCACATCATGAACTACCGGACAATGCGTTTGGCAACCCTGCAGCACAATCAACAGCAGAGATCGTGGCAGTTGGCCGCATAGCTTGTGATCAGCCGAACGGAAGGCTCAACGCAGCCAGCACAGTGCTCGAGACCAGTCGGCGGATGGGTGCTGGACTTCGTGTGCCTCTCAAGTTCGAAGGTGTAGGCTACGATCTGTTTCCCGGCAAAATTATAGCTGTACGAGGCACGAATGTCAGTGGCGAGTACTTTGCCGTGTCCGAAGTTCTATCTATGCCTCCTCTACCGCCGCCAGCATCTACGCCAACGGAGCTCGACATACACAATGACCGCCTTGCCGGAGCTGACGGCGAAGCAAGGCCACTCAGTCTGCTTGTTGCCAGTGGACCGTATACTACTGACACAGACCTAGCCTACGCCTCGTTCCATGCTCTACTGTCCAAGGCGCAGGACCAAGTAGCAGACGCCCTTATCCTCACCGGACCCTTCCTCGACCTCGAGCACCCGATCATAGCCTCAGGCGACTTCGAAGACCACCTCCCGGCCAACGCCAGAATCGAGCCCGACCGCGCCACCATAAACGACGTCTTCCGTATTTTTATCAGCGAACCCTTGCAGAGACTTGTCCAAGCCGTACCGACCATCACGATAATCATGGTCCCCAGTATCCGTGACGCGACCAGCAAACACGTCTCCTGGCCTCAAGATCGATTTCCCAAGGGACCATTTGGTTTACCAAAACAAGTGCAAGTCGTGACGAACCCCATCGTGCTCTCCATCAACGAGATGGTTGTGGCGATAAGCACACAGGATGTCTTGTCCGAGCTGAGAAGGGAGAATGTCTTCCAGCATGGCAAGGGTCACGCTTTCGGAGATGATATGCTTGCACGATTGACGAATAGTGTGATTGAGCAACGGCACTTCTTCCCTGTCTTCCCACCTGCTGCACGAGAGGACCTGCCGAAGCCTTCGGGCATTGTTGGTGAGGTACCGGAAGTTGGCGGAGAAGAACGTATGCCCGTTGGCGCAAGTCTGGACATCGCCTACCTCAAACTCGGCGAGTGGATAAGTGTGAGGCCTGATGTGTTGGTGCTACCAAGTGCACTCAACCCTTTCGTGAAGGTGTGCTGCGAAACGCGAACCCCAGCTCCTCATGATGTGAGCACTCTGCTAATTAGTCTGTCTTCCCAGGTCGTCGAAGGTATCACGTGTCTGAATCCAGGTACACTCAGCAAGAAGCGTGGTGCGGGACATTATGCTGCACTGAACGTACAAGCAAGGAGTCTGAGTGAGGAGGAGCGAGAAGCTGGACAGGCTGTTGCGCATAATGTGTTTGAAAGGACACGGGTGGACATTACGAGGATCTGAGGCATATGGTTATAATCTTTATGCTCGATGGCTTGACTAGACTCCGCAGAGCCCAGTCCAGAACAATGTCTATGCTACTGACCATAATCGAAAATATTCGAAGTAAACAAAGCCAAACACACCTAGACTCGAGGTCTGCAACCATGTAAGCGAGCGTAGTCATATCAACGACTCTCAAGATTCAACATCGTCTCCCATACCCAGCGCTCAACGTTCTCCTCAGCCAGCAGATGAATCAATGGGCTACCAGCGCCATCACTCCTTCAAGTGTGGCAAATTGCAAGCCAGACTCAACCCAGCCCTTGCGACCGACCCAACTGTGCCTCCACTCAGCCACCCAAGTCCAGGCAGAACGCTCGCCACACCAGCCAGAATGCTCAAAGCGAGTCCCGTATCCGAACAAGCAAAATCGTCCGCGCCAGCTTCAAGTTGCATCTTCACTTCTATATTCTGGATCTTAACCGCGCCACCTGTGGCGACCGTCTGCTCCAAGTAAAGTGCCTGATACAACGAAGGAACATTGGTAAGATTAGTAGTCCACGGATCGATCCCACCGTCGTCCAGACAAACGGGAAACTGGGATTTATCACAATCATACCAGGTCGAAGCTGTGTTGTTGGGGGACTGGGTGTTTGCCCGCACGCCTGCGGCCACGAAGGCTATTAGAGCGCTGAGAACGGTGGGGTCGGAGACGGAGATGAGAGGGATGTCAATGTCTAGTGTTCCGTCACGGTAGATCTCGTAGGTGTCGACGTAGGTTAGGCCTGTGACTTTGGCGGAGGAGGAGCAGGAGGTGAGGGTGCTGCCGCTTGTTGGAGCTGGGCAGGCGGAGGAGAGGGCGGAGGTTATGGAGGTCTGGTTGTCGTCAGTGGGCTAGGGACTCGTCCTCGGCAAGGCTGGGGACTCGTCCTCGGCAAGGCTGGGACGGGTGCGAGAAGACTTACGAAAAGTGCGGATCCGCCGTCCGAGATCGTGCCCACGTTTGCGGAAGCCGTGGGGCCCATCTGCAGACTCAACGAGGTACCTGCCTGCAGCGTAGTACTGGCACCAGCACATTACCAGACCCCACCTCCCGGATAGATTGTCGTGGAAGCATACGCCACTATAGCCTCATTCGACATTGTCCTAGTGAACGGGAAGCCGTTGACAGTCGTCTCGATGGCGGTCGTGACGGCGCTGTAGTCGCGAAGAGTATCATCGATCGATGTGCGAGGGAGTAAGTCGTCGTAGCCATCGCACGAACAGCCGTCGATCCCGGTGCTACCGGCGTGTGGGTCGGCGTAGTTGTAGCAGGAGCTTACGGGGATGGTGGTTATGACTGGGCCGTCGCGGAGGACGAGAGTCGGCGGTTTGGTAGCCGTTGGGGATGGCGAGGAGGCAGCTCGGGGCTGTTGGGCTGCTGAGGCGATGGGTCTGGTGTTCTGTTAGCCACTGGACGTTTACGATCTCGGTCCTTGGTATGGACGAACCCAGCGAGCGCCGTGGCCGCGATTGCCATGAGGGGCAAGATGGTGAAGGCCATCACGAGCCTTGCTGAGCGATTTGGGCCGGGAGATTGAAAGTATTGTAATAAGAAGATGGAGTGAATGTGGCCTTCTTGGTCCCTCGCTTTGCAAGTCAGACAGTGCTGTAGTACCTTGGACAGACCAGCGACGACTCCTCCATTCTTATACCATCTCATTCCTAGCACCCCAACTGCTCCCACCCTCATCACCACGTCCAACACCGCAATCGTTTCCACATCCCGTCAAAAACCCCTGCGCGTCAAGATCGACACAAAAAGATCACATCAAATTCAACGCACGTGGTCTACATCACAATCATCAATGGTCGCCTCGCGAGGCTCTTGGTCCTTCAAAGCATCCCCAATACTAGGTGTAGCATCCATCGTCTTGTAAGCGGAGCACAGGAGTCTGCCATGGCATTCGGACCTGAGACAAAAAGCATCATAGCAGTGAGAGCATCCCAGGTAGTCCTCGGAAACCAACAGTCTGTGCCTGCGGATGTCGAAACCTGACGTGCATAACGTGGACAGTGTTCGGAATGTGCTTTATGCATGATTGGCGGGCGCAACACAGTACATGGTCATTGGATTGTAGGATCGTCTGACAAGGATACGTCCCACTGCTAAGCAGCTGTAGGCGAGTGACCGACATTGAGCTTGTGGGTTTCGAGGGATTTCGAAGATATGGTATAGAATCCTTCGTTGATGGCCGAGTGCACGTTGTGAGTGCTGGTGGACGAGAGCTCGCCGTCTGTATGAAAGTCCTCGTCCAGATGTTGCAAAGTTGCCGATAGACGTGTGTTGAAGAGGGTTCGTCAATGAACAACTCATTTTGTCGGTAATCCTATGAAAGCACTGCACAGTCGTGTCTCGCGCGCTGTCGACGATGGACAAGGCGACGGCGTCGACTCTATCATTACTTGGCTCCACTTGCTGGGCAATCAAGTGGTAATTGTTAGCTAGCTCCAGATCAGCCATATGCACGAACTGTAGACTCGTGAGTGCTTGGGAAGGGTGCTATGGGCTCGATCGACTCTGCGGTTGTTAGCTTTATCAGATAATGGCGAGATCGTAGCGAAGTTGGTGTTGTGAGAGATCATGGCTGCATTCACTGGGTCCCTGCATTTCTCCGAAAACTGCAGTATTGCGTTATACGATCAGATTACGGATCTAGACTCTTATCGCATCGGATGAATTGGGTGATACTGCGTACTGAGCGCGATGTTTCGGGGACGGAGTCTGATATGTTGTGAAGGTGGATAGAATTGTCGTGAATCTCTTTGAAAGGCGGCTATCTCTTGCATTCGGCAGCCATCTGCTAGCAGTTCGAGCACAGATCGACCTCAAGACAAGCCCTCAGAACGCCGAGTGATCGCAGGTAGTCATGCTGAAAGGCTCTCCACCTCGCCGTCGCGGGACATCCTCCACCGCACCATCCCTTGCTCTACCATCTCCTCTTCGCGAATCTACCGGTGCTGCATTCATGTCAGTATCTTCCACTCCCGCATCTCGAAGTCCTCGTGCGTCCGCACCTTGGTGAAACCAATGTCGGCCGACTTCTCCCTGAAGCACTGACGGCAGATGTTCAGGCCGTACTTGCGTATGAGACCAGCTGGGTGTGTGCAGACGCGGCTGTGGCATTGTTAGTCCACTTTCTATCGCCGTTCTCCATCCCTCATTCATCTGCTTTTGTAGACATACCACTCACGGGAGCCCTTGCCGTAGTTGCGAGGGCGCGAGTACCAGACCGATTCGTGAGACATGATTGCGGTGTTTGTAGGGTCGAGATCGGTTCGAGGAGGGCTGTACCTCGTATTTTGGAGTGAAAGATCGGTGGTGGGTGTTGCGACGTGTTCCTACTATTGTCGTTGTCGTCAAAGTATCGCTGTGATCGTGTCTATCGCGGCTGCTGATCGCGGTCTTGGCAGCAGAATTTCGATGTGCAGATTCGGGGTGCGGAAGCTTCCGCGTATGTCTTCGCTTAGCCCGCGCTAGTGAACTGTGTTAAGTCCAGCACATTTGAACGACAACTTCACCCTGCTGACTACATGACCACGAAATCTGAGCAGAAATATACAAGGCATTCTCCTCGAGTAGCGTGGTACAGATATCGGTACCGAAGCGGTTACCGTCCACAAAGTTCGACATCATCGTAACCTCCATGAGATGGAAAATTCACCATTCAGCAAATTACCACCTGAGCTCCGCAACGAGATATATTCGTACCTCGACTTCCCTCCCAGGCGACTTATCGCAGTCCGTGCCTCATCTCCATCTTGGTATCAACATCCCATATCAAGAACATGTCGTCAGTTGCGAGCCGAGACCCAGCATCTCAACTACCGTGGCATTTCAGATCAATACTTTAGATCCTCACAGGCGTCAGCATCCTCGACCGTTACTTGAAGCAATTGGCTCACTAGCCAGTAGCAACCTTCGTTCGATAGGCGATTGCTTTGAGAGAGCTGATCTCTACGCTGCAAGAATGGCGAAGTGGCGAGGCGAGTGCGAGGCAAAGGGGATCAAACTGACGACTGAGGAGGTCGAGTACGAAAGCATTACTTTCCGAGGCGCTGCCAAAGTCGCCTCGGAGACTTATGAGATTTTAAGAGAGATGGGTATTGTTCTAAAAAGTTGGAAATGTATGTTCAAGGGTGTGCCTATGTCGCCTACTGTCACTTTCGAACCTCTGAAGTCTGGAGGCGGTCAGGCTGCGTGATCGACGTCGGCGACACCACTCAACGATCTTGCCATGGGCAGACTGAGCTCAGGCGTTCGGAGGCGAACGATGTCAAGCTCCGACATGCGCATGGAATCATCACGTATGAGCTACGTTGTAGTGACGATGATAGCATAATCCCGACAGGCGGGTTCCGACGAGGCCCGAGGGACACACGATTTGGTCAGATCAAGGGGGTGACATCCTGGCAAAATCGGGTTTGAGGCAGCACGTCTCTGCAAGCTTGTCACATTCGATCAGCAGTATCACATGCTATTTGGTAAGACTCTCATCGTTCCACAAGCCCAGTGATTACCCGGCTTCACTTCGGCCGGAAGGGGTGAAAAAGTTATATGTTACGAGCAAACCATGATTGTCAGAAGCTACCAGAGATCTTGCACAAATTCGCAAGTGTTAACTGCTAACACGAAATACAGTGACAACCGGAGTACCAAGCGAAATCATTCACTTGACAAAACTGCCGACACCTCCACCCAACCCGACCATTGAGAATCGGTCACCAATAACAACTACGAACCAGAAATAACGATGTGTGTGCACACATACCACCAGCGTGTCGAAGGAGTTGCGACGGAGCCCGCAAAAGTATGTCTAGCCGAGAAGCGGCTGGATGCAGAAATTGGGCCCGAGTGCATCAGAAGACCAGAAAATCGTGCAGTCCGAAAACAGGATTGACAGATAAAGCAGATAATGTATCCGATGCCAGACGGCGCGGCAGAATTACCAGGTAAGTACTTAATTCCAGCAGGATCTCTGCTAGCTTCTTTTTTGTCACTTGGCACGATCGTCGCTGATGTGTTCAAGATCTGCGCGTGCTGTATGTCAGGACACGCATATCCAAGGCGCAATGCTGCTGCTGCCGCAAGAAGCTGTGCGAGGCTATTCAGCATTCAACAAGCCATGGCGGAGCGAAAAGTTTTAAGTCGAGATCTCATTCTGTGGCTGGTATGCACGTATGCAATGGATAGAGCAAGGATCAAGTGAAGACGAGCATCAGCAAACAAGAATCTTTCTTCTACGAAAGCCGCATTCTACACCCTATCAGTCTGCTAGCCATCACCGTAGACAGTTTTCCACCATCAGCATCACCTTCTCCTCAGTACAGTCAAGATCTACTGCTGTTCGTGGACCTTACGCATATGCTCCTTGAGCTTGTTAGGCCTGGTGAACGGCTTGGCCTTACGCTTACAACCCTCGATAGTACAGGCATGAGTGCCAGCGAAATGGGTTGCCATGTGACGCTCTAACTCGAAAGGGCGACGGAACACCTTGCACAGGGAACAGCCTTGGATGCTGCACTGGAGGGGCTGAAAATTCTCTTGTCGTTGCGTGGGATCGAGGAAATCCCTTTCGGCTGGAAAGCATTCCGGTTAGCAGGTTCTTTTTACTCACGATTGGCCGCAGTCGAGAGTGCATCGTCGTGCCTCCATGCTTCAGCGACCCAGTCAGGGTTGTCGGAGTACACCCTCTTATCGAAAACCGGCGTTTCGCCAGGGCCTGTCATGACGGCTGAGCTGGGTATGGTGATGCTCGAGGGCGACGGCTGTGATTGGATGCTGGTGCGCCACGCAAGGCTAATCATGACCTGAAGTTGTGCCAGGAAGAAGTGGGAAGAGGGGAGCAATGGCGATCGTGGACAAAAGCGGAGAGAGAACCTTTGGCATTACGCAGCTTTATGCTTTCAGATGCCGGTACTTCAGCCTGTGCGAGGGGCGACTGCAGAACAGGGCGTCGGTCAGGGGCACAGCCACCACAAAGAGCGGTCAGGCGCTGGCAGATGTGACGAATTTGATGAGACGTGGCCAAATGACAATCTAGTACATGTACTCAGCCATCGTCCTGATCCCACTGATTGTCAACCTCAGCCCATCCATGTCCCCATCTTGACCCTCCACCCTCACCACATCCACGCATCTCCCGTGCCTTCTCTGCATTCTCACGCCAGCATCTAGCGGTGAAGTCGTCACTGATGCTCACGAGCTCGCCGTCGTGCGTCCATGTTACAGAGGTGACCTCTTTATGGTGCCCTCGTATGAGCGGCGTGCCTTGTTCTCCGATCCGCAAGTCGTCAGGGGCCTGCTTGCGTGTCTGTGAAGGTAGCGGCGTGAGCTCGTCGTCCTCGCTCTCCTCCGTATCACTTGCTGCGCTTCGACGGTCTCTGCTGAGTATGTACCGCTCGTCTGTTGGAAACAAGATCGGTGCACCCGTCCCGCTACCCACAGCAAGCAACTCGCTCTTGTCGCCCTTCACCGGCCGCATAGCTAGCTTGACATAGAAGCTCCCAGCCGAAAGCTTAGTGTGCTTAAAGCCATACAGCGGCCCTACAGAAGCCTTTGGTTCATGCAGAGTCCGTCGTCGGCTTGTACGAGATGTCAATTCGGGCGCGTGCCCAGTCATGAGATGGTTGGTGGAATACGCATATATCGTGGCGTCCTTGCACAGCGTATACAGCCTTGCGCCGTCGCCGGACAAGGCCATTGAGCTGATACCGAAGTTTCGGGTTCGTCGATGGCTTTCTGGCAGAGAAGTGGAGCCCAGTGGTACAGGATCTCGTCGACCAGCGTTCCGTAGATCCCAGAGTTTGATCGAGGCACTGAGCTCGCTTGCCGTGACGAGGAGGTGCTCGCGGCCGTTCGAAAGATGCTCGATAGCAGTTACAGAGACTGCACTGTCCTCCGAGTTCTGCGTGCAGGGCGACTTCGTTCCTGTACCTTTCGAAGAACGATGCGCTGGACCAACCTTCAAGCCATGTCGTGGATATCTGACAGACGGCTCGGCACCGCCATCTTCGTTAAGACCTTTCCGTTGACCTAGACGTAAGCTCTGCATAGATCCCCGTTCTGCACATCTCAAGTCCCATATTTGCACTGTGCCATCTCGACTACTTGTGGTCATGACGTTATCATCGTTAGGCTGAAATCGAGTCTGTTTCACACTGCTGTTGTGCCCAGTCAGCACGCAGATGGTTTGCTGAGTATGCATGTCCACGATCCGGCTAGTCTGGTCGCCACTAGCGGTCGCAAGCATGTAGTCGTCTGAGCTAAAAGCCACGTCCATGACAGCATTGCGGTGTACACGGAAATTGACATGAGCCTGTGAGAAGTCGGAAGTAGCGGCGGAGTCGACCAAGCGAATGCTCCCCTCCTCGTCACCAATGGCAACCAGCGAGTTGGTGTGACAGCTCGCTGAGCAGAAGGGAAGAGCTGTTCCTGCGTGGAAGCTGTGAACGTCCGTAGATGTAGTGACAAAGTTCGCAGTCTCTGCTTGCCAGTCGACGCCATGGCCGGCACCTCGCCACCCACAGCTCAGCGCATCATATCCTCCAAAGCTGCGTTGCAAGATACTGCGTGATCGGCCGTTGTACGGAAGTCGTCGAATGGGCTCGGGAAATGGCTGAAAGTCTTGTAGTAGATCAGACAGCTCCTCGTCATCCGAAACCTGTGTTGACACCGGCTCGTCTTGGAAAATCTCGATCTCGCTGGAAATCTGTACATGCTTCAGTGGCGAGGACTGCGGCGGAGAGCTCGCCAGGTCGATAGATCGTTTCCGTCGCTTCAGAGGTCGTGTGGCGAGCTCATCATTCTCCAGATGCTGCAACATCTCGTCCTTGACCGGCATCTGCTGCCGTCTGCGATTGACACCATTCTTGGTGATGTCACGAAGTTGCCTGCCAGCTTTGCTTTGGCGAGCACCACGAGTTTTGAGAGTGTGTCGAGGGGCGAAGAACTTGGTGAATCGTTTCGGTGTGACAGTCGGCGGTTTCCTAGGCTTCAAAGAGCTCGATGTAGGTCCTTGGGGGCTTCTAGTCCTGGTAAGCGGCGAAGAGGCGATATTCTCCTGGTCTGGCAGTATCTGATGAGCTTCATAGTGGCTTCCTTGGGAAGAGAAGAACGGTAACTCCGCCATGTTGATGCGTAAGACCTAATAGATAGCAGAGGTGACCAGAATAAGCAGATGTGGCAACAAGGAAGAGACACAGATGTCGACCCCGAAAGTTGGAGAACGCGACTTCACGCGTTGAGTTGCGGGTGTGACCGTGACCGAGATCTGTGCGGAACATGCCCGCTCTGTCTTGAGATTTTCTGGCGATTCTCAAAGCTTGCGACTTGTAGAGTCGACTTGTAGAGTCGAGTTTGTTCCAGTCTTTCGATAGGACAGACAGCATGTCGTCGGTCAAGCGAAAAGCAGTGACGGAGGAGCGTCCTAATAAGAAGTCCAGGAACTCTGACGCTGCAGAGACGAAGAGACCAGAAAAGAAATCTGAGACGCCTCCGAATCCGACGAAATCGAAGAAATCGGGCGGTGAAGATGGGGAGCGCAAAGCTCCAGTGAAGTCCATCTTGCAGCGGGAAGAAAAGGCGTTTCCTCGTGGTGGCGGAAGTGTTCTTACACCAATCGAGCAGAAGCAAATTCGAGTGCAGGCCGAGCAGGATGTGTTTTTCGAGCAGCAGACTGGCCAGAAAGCTCCAGCTCGAGAGGACGAAGATGGCGCGCTGTTCGACGAGGAGACAGAGGCTGCACCAGCGGCCAAAAAGCACAAGTCGAAGAAGAATGCACGGGATGCGCCGGCGAAGGTGCCAGGTTCTGGAATCAGGATCCAAGGCTTGAGCTACAAGAATCTGGTCGTGGGAAGTCAGGTGCTGGGATATGTGACTGCGATCACTGGCAAGGATGTCGCGCTGGCTCTGGCTAATAACCTTACGGGTTATGTGCCGATTACTGCTATCTCGCAACTACTCAACGAGCGCATTGAGAAGCTACTGGCGGAGGATGAGATGAAGGATGATGGTGAAGATGAGGATATCGACCTCAAGTCTCTCTTCCATGTTGGACAGTGGCTCCGAGCGACAGTCATGTCTACTGGTTCGGATGCTGGAGAAGGCAAGAGCAAGCGACACATCGAGCTCTCTGTCGAGCCGCAAAGTGTCAATGGAGGGTTGGAAGCAGACAATGTGGTGGTGGACAGCATGCTGCAGGCCTCAGTCCGAAGTGTCGAGGATCACGGTCTGGTCATGGATCTCGGGCTCTCTAGTGCGGATGTCAAAGGTTTCGTGAGCAAGAAGGAGCTGGGCATCGGCTATGAGCTGGAGAAGATGCAAGAGGGACAGGTTTTGATGTGCTTGGTGACTGGCAAAGGTAGCAACGGCAAGGTTTTGAAGCTCTCACCGGATGCTCTGCGCTTCTCTGCTTTGGTTGTGAACAAGGCACCTGTGGTCAGCGAAGCTCCAACGGTCGAAGCTTTCTTGCCTGGTACCGCAGTACAAATCTTGGTAACGGAGACAAGTGCAGGAGGTGTAGCTGGGAAGGTCATGGGCATGGTCGAGACGACGGCAGATCTGGTCCACTCCGGTGCTGGCGCCAAGGACGTGGACATGAGCAAGAAGTTCAAAGTCGGCTCAAAGGTCAAGGGTCGCATCGTCTGGACACTACCGAACGATGATGGCAGCCGACGCGTTGGTGTCTCGATGCTAGACACTATGCTCGCGCTCCCGCCACCCGTATCAAAGCTTCCGGAGAATGCAAGTCCGAAACAGAAGCTGCATTCAGCGGAAGTGTCGCCGCGTATGGCGCCGTCATCTATCGTTGCTGATGCTACGGTGACTCAGGTACTACCAGAGCGTGGCATCTTCCTCTCTTTGCCATCAGCATCTGGGACCACTTTATCAGCATTCGCACACATCTCGCAAATCTCAGACAAACGCATCGATGTCCTGACATCTGCATCTGGGCCTTACAAGCTGGGCTCGACACACAAGGCTCGCGTCATTTCACACAACCCTGTCGACAATCTGTACCACGTAGCTCTGAAGGAGAGCGTCCTCGCGCAGACTTTCTTGCGCATCGAAGATCTGAATGTCGGAGAAGTGGTTAGTGGTACAGTGGATCGTCTGATCTTAGGCGGCAAGACTGGTATTACTGGTGTTCTCGTCAAGCTTAGCGAAGGTGTGACGGGTCTTGTGCCGGACATGCATCTCAGTGATGTGCAGCTTCAGCACCCTGAACGCAAGTTCAGAGAAGGCTTCCCGGTCAAAGGCCGCGTCTTGTCCGTGGATCTGGAGAAGAGACATGTCAGGCTCACGCTAAAGAAATCGTTGATCAATGATGAGAGCGGCGTGCCTCTCTGGAAAAAGTACTCTGAGCTAACACCTGGTATGGAAGGCAAGGGCACAATCGTGAACCTGTTGGCAAACGGCGGAGTGGTGCAGTTTTTCGATAACGTGCGAGCATGGTTGCCCGTTGCTGAGATGGGAGAAGGGTTCATTCAGGACCCGAAGCAGCAATTCCGACTTGGTCAGACTGTCAATGTGAGGATCGTATCTGTTACTCCTGAGACGCAGGAGATGAAGGTCTCGTGCAAGCAGGACGACACCTTCGATGATGCGCAGCAAAGTACTTGGGATGCGTTATCTGGTGGTGATCTCGTGAGTGGGTCGGTCACCGTGAACGGTGGTGAGAGTGTGGAGCTCGACCTTGAAAACGGTCTACGTGGCATCCTCAAGCTCGGTCATCTTGCTGACGGCGAGGCATCCAAGGCCGAAAGTGCATTGAAGCGTATTCGTGTCGGCCAGAAGCTTACAGATCTTCTCGTCCTGAACAAGCTACAGCGAAGTCGTCAGGTTTTGCTTTCAAATAAGCCAAGCCTACTTAAGGCCGCGAGAGACCAGCTTCTGCTTCGCTCTTTCGATGATGTGAAGGAAGAAACATTGGTACACGGCTTCGCTCGCAACATCACACCCGAGGGTATCTATGTGGAATATGCCGATGGCTTGGTTGGTCTTGTGCCCAAGAGCCTGGTTGACTCGGATCTGGTTGGCAAGCCTGCTTTCGGTCTTGTGGAGAACCAGACCGTAAAGGCCACTGTTCTGAGCGTCGATGCCGTGCGGGAGCGCTTCACACTTACCATGCGAGAACAGAGTGGCGAGCCTGCCCAGAAGCCGACGGCCGCAACCCCTGGATCGCATAGCGTCACGATGGGACAAGTCGTCAAGGTGAAGATTGCATCCGTCAGGTCTACACAGATCAATGTTCGCCACCAAGATGGCGCGCAAGGAAGAGTGGACTTCAGCGAGATTTTTGACTCGTGGGAGGACATCTTGAATAAGAAAGCTCCTTTGCAGAAGTTCAAGCCTAACGAGGAGATCGAGGTCAAGGTTCTTGGTGTCCATGACGCAAAGAATCATCGCTTCTTACCCATCAGCCATCGTCAAAGCAAGGCTCCTGTATATGAGCTTTCTGCCAAGCGGACAAGAGTGCAAGGCGGCAATGAGGACTTCCTGAGTCTGGACAGTGTCAAGGCCGGATCTTCGCAAGTCGTATTCGTAAACAATCATGGCGACAACTGCATCTGGGCCAGCTTGTCGCCGAATGTTCGTGGACGCATCGCGCTCATGGATCTCAGTGACGACGTTGGTATGTTGCAGAAGCTGGAGAAGAACTTCCCTGTTGGCAGTGCGCTGCGTGTACAGGTCAAGAGTGTGGACCTCGCTACCGGCAGACTCGACTTCATCACCGCTTCTGGCCAAGAATCGACTCCTGTGACACTTGCTGAGCTCTCTCCTGGAATGGTCCTGCCAGGTCGGGTCACGAAGATCACAGAGCGAGGGGTCAATGTTCAGCTATCAGACAATCTAGCCGGCCCAGTACCGCTCACTGAGCTTAGCGACGACTTTGATCAAGCGAATCCGTCGCAGTACAATCGTAACGACATCGTGCGAGTCTGCGTACTGGGCGTCGACGCCTCGAACAAGAAAGTCTTCCTCAGTCTCCGGCCATCCAAAGTCCTCAGCTCAAGCTTGCCGGTCAAGGATGCGCAGATAAATACTGTATCTCAGCTTGAAGCAGGCCAGCTAGTCAGAGGCTTCGTCAAGCACGTTGGTGATCGCGGCGTCATTGTCTCACTGAGCGCGCGCGTGGACGCCTTCGTACGCATCTCGGATCTCAGCGATAGCTACGTCAAGGACTGGAAGACTATCGTTGAGGTTGACCAACTCGTCACAGGCCGTATCCTGAATGTTGATACTGCAGCTAGAAACGTACAGATCAGCTTGAAAGCTTCGCATGTGGATAAGGACTACAAATCTCCTCTAACTATCGCCGAGCTCAAAGCTGGTATGATTATTACTGGTAAAGTGAGGAAGGTGGAGGACTTTGGTGCTTTCATTGACATTGACAACACTATGCCTAAGCTTTCTGGCTTGTGTCATAGGAGTGAAGTCGCTAGTAAGAGAGTCGAGGATGTCAGAAAGTTGTATGGCGAAGGCGATGTGGTCAAGGCTAAGATACTCAACGTAGACGTTGATAAGAGGAAGATCAGCTTGGGATTGAAGGCGAGCTACTTTGCTGAGGCTATTGGTGAGGAAGATGAAGAGGAGGAGGACGATGAGATGGAAGGTGTAGAGCTTGATGGTGAGAGCGATGATGCCGTCGAGGTCGACACTGAAGGTGGTGTTGAGCTTGAGGATGTTCAGGACATGGACAGCGATGACGAGGAAGCTGCCGAGGCCGTGGTGTTGGACGAAGACGATGATCTAGTAGGACCAACGGAAGGTTTGAAGACAGCCGGCTTCGACTGGACTGGTGATGCCTTCGATAACAACAAGACCGCTACTCTTCCGGACTCTGAACCTGATACCGCTGCCCCGAAAAAGAAGAAACGTAAGGCTGAGATCAAGGTCGACATGACAGGCGACCTTGACAAGTACGGGCCTCGCAACGCTAGCGACTTCGAACGCCAGCTCCTTGGTCAGCCCAACAATTCAGGGCTCTGGATCCAATATATGGCCTTCCAACTACAACTCAGCGAGACACAAGCCGCACGCGACTTGGCCGAGCGCGCTTTGCGTACAATCCACATCCGCGAGTCGGAGGAGAAAGGCAATATCTGGATCGCATGGCTGAATCTCGAAGTCGAGTACGGTGATGACGAGAGAGTGGATGACGTCTTCAAACAAGCTTGCCAAGTCCAGGATCCGCTTGTGATGCATGAGAAGCTTGCTTCCATCCTCATCAATTCGGGCAAGTATGGCAAAGCGGAAGATGTCTTTGAGAAAATGGTAGGCAATAAGAGCTTCAGGGCAAATGGGGATATGTGGCTGAATTACGCTTCGTTCCTGATGGAGAAGATGAAGAATGCCACCCGAGCAAGATCGATGCTCTCGAGAGCTCTGCAGTCAGTACCAGCAAACGAGCACAGACTTCTTACTGCCAAGTTCGCTGGGCTGGAATTCAGGTCCTCAGAAGGCGATCCCGAGCGCGCCAGAACGATCTTCGAGGGGCTTGTGACGGAGTGGCCTAAGTGGAGTGGTGGCTGGGATATGTGGGTTGATCTTGAGCAGTCTCGTGTAGCGCATGCGGAGGGGGTAGAGGCGAAGAACGAAGCGAGGGAGAAGGTCCAAGCGTTATTCGAGCGTATGACGAGGCAGAAGATGAAGCCTAGACGTGCCAAGTTCGTGTTTAAGCGGTGGTTGGTTTATGAGGAGAATCATGGTGATGCGAAGGGTAGGGAGAGAGTGGAAGGTTTGGCTAGGAGTTTCGTGGAAGGTTTGAGAAAAGGGGATGTGGAGGAGTAGTATGCAGTGTATAGATAAACACATCACTATCGTGGCCGCTTCTCCAGCTTCAGGAATGTTCTGTAGACGTCATTTTCTGTCGCCAAGTGCTTGCATGTCGTCTCTAGTGCCTCGCATTTGCTCTTCTGCTGCTCGAGTTGCGCTGATATTTCTCGAAGTTTTGTCGTCAAGCCATCTACGAGCATCTTCTGTCGGTCGCGATAGGCTCGTTGTCTGCGCGCATGCTCATCAGCACTCTGTCACCTCGGCTCAAGTCGTTCGGCCTATGCCTACGATGCTCGGTTCTGCTCTCGCCGCTTGTCGCTGAGCCTCTTTCCCTCAGATGTAACGCCTGACCCCGCCGATTGTTGCTGAGGGCTGGGAAGAGCGTCAAGCCACTCTGCATATATCTGCGATGGCGAAGCATCCACATTTGTGTTCCTGTCGGTTGGACTCGTGGTCGTGCTGCTCGTGTTGCCTGCGAAGTTTTCGCTCATACCATCTAGGGGGCTGAGACCTTCATCTTGAGCGTCAAAATCTACCTAGGCTGTGTCAGTACGCAGATTGTGCTGTGATAGTCAGTAGTAGCCCACGCACCCAGTCGTGAAATGGATCTGCTGCCTGCTTAGAACAGCCTGCTGTAGGCTGTGTGGAGCCGTCCATAGTATGCTTGGGACTGTGCTGCGAAGCTCATGGTTCCGGTAGCTGAGACGGCAGGAGTCTGCTCTTATGTCAAGTTGCGTTCCCGGGCATGGATGCTACCTTCCTTCCCATCAGGCCCAGCTGCATATGTGCGGCACCTTGGCGATGGTAAGTGGAGGGTAGCTCCAATGGCTGGCCAGGCAGAGCTTTATGACAGTAGCCTCATCCTGCGGACGAGCCGAAGATCGAGGGCCTCGGGCAAGTTGCCGCTGCTATTCAAGTTCGGTAGCTGTCTGGGTTACATGACCCGTTCAGATGATCCCAGCTATGCAGGGATCGGCTTAGTGAGCGTCAAGGAGATGCATCAGTGTAAGGCCGATGACACGAAGCGGAGATTGTCTCTTTTGAGAAGTATCAAGCACTCGGAAGACTGTAACTGCAACTGATGGTGTAGTAGTGAGAGGATGTTATAGTCTGAAGCGAAACTCCTCCACATAATGAAAGCAGTACGTTGATTCCAAGTCATGGCGGGCCAGCGACAACGTGGTCGAACAGATACAGCTTAGCTCATGAGTTTGCTGGCAGAATGGAGACCGTCTTCGGAATCTGCGAGATCATGAATCGGTTTCATCCACACGAACCGCCAAGGCTAGGGTCCTCTTGGATGATTCCCAAGGTCCGAACTATACCCAATTAGGCAGTTATGAGCCTTGGCCTCCAATTTTCTCTCTCCTTGCTCGTCTCTCTGTTTCGGAACGAAGCAATATCACTGGTGCAAGTGGGCTGTGCGCTGGGCGGCACTTGACCTGCGGGTGTTGCTGACAGTGCATTCAACAGCCACATCATGGACTAAGTGTCCTAGGGCCGGTGGAGTGATGCAACGATCCGGCGAAGACCAGGTAGCACGCCGGATACCTGGCCAGAATTAGTCTGGCGAATCATTGCTCAATGTCCAGTCACACGACCTGTGGTCTCTTCCCACAAGACGAGACCACCGGGTCCGCACGCCTCTTCGGACCACAAGAAGCTTTTCAGCATGTCTTCAACTTCCGCCCACTCCTTGATACAAATCTTCTTGACGATCGAACGGAACGTCTCTACGAACCACTCGCGCTGAGTCGAGCCAAGCGACGCGATGCCGCCAACGACCAGACACCAGATCAGAAAATCCGGACTATTGGCAAGATAGGCGAACCAGTCGTGATCAGACAGGAGAACATGCAGCTGCTTCAAAAGATTCCTGTGCCAGCCGGTGTTGAGTGGCAGTGGAAAGATGACAGCATTCGAGTAGAGCGTGGCCGCCACTCGGCCGCACTCGTAGGCAACTTGAGCGCTACAAGGAGGACCGTGACAGAATGATGAGAGCGACGCTAGGCTAAGGAGTCGATATTGGATTGCATTTCGAGTGTCGATGAGGCCTTCCTTCTGCGCGGCAGTCAATGATCGCGTACGCACCTCTGCTAGTACTCGATCTATGCCAGCCAGATCAGCCAAGACGTCGAAAGTCTCCTCGGGCCAGAGGGTCACTGCGGTACGGACAAACCCATGGCCAGGACAAGGAGGTGTAGGAATCTGAAGTTTCAGGCATAGATCCTCGACGGATAGAGCCGCCGACCAATACTGCGGTAGCTCAGGGCTTCGGAAAGCAATGCTGGCTGCGATAAGGTCACCACTGTAGTCTGTCAAGATTACTGCTGATGCGGAGGAGTGAGTTCTGTAGGGACCTCGGCTTACCATGAGATAGCGAATGCAAGGCCCGGAAGCTTCAGGCTTTGAACACCGCCCACTCGAGCAAGCAATACCATCAAGGGTCGTGTGTGAGTCGCTACACCTTGTGTACGACCATACACGTGCAGCCAGTTGGCGCTGGGCATGTGTTGACGAAATGGCAAAGAGCCAGCATCACGGATCTCATGGTCCTGTAGATCGTAGTGCCACATGATCATAACAGCGAAGATGATGATCTCGATGTCTTCATCCTTCGCATCTGCCACAAGCTTACCCATCAACCGAAATGTCTCAGTCTTGTGAGCTAGCATGTCTCTCTGGGAAGAGCGAGAGACCTGGTTTCGAAGAATATCCTGATGAGTCGCAGAGGCATAGCAGAAGCCGTGCATGATCACCGGGTGCTTGCAGAACATCTCAAACCAAGCCGATGCTTCGCCCTTGGTCAGTAAGTTCGGCCAGTCAATGTTGAGACCTGTTGGTTAGCATGAATACCCGCGGATGGCAATATGAATGGCTCTCACTAACAATAGTTGGCAGCTTCAGTTGCAGATGTGCACGTTCCAGCGTGAAACGCATCAATCGACATCCCACCGAATACAGGCGAGATGGGCCGCGGAGATGGCGTCTTTCCAGCGAGACTGATCACCGGACATCCTGCATCACGGGAAGAAGCAGACAGAGTCGCCAGAGTCTCGGCAGGAAGTGCAGCAACGTTCTCGGTCCCGGGTTGTCCAGGACGGGCTTGCGATGCCGCGTTGTGAGCTCTGATGTCTTGATGCCGAAGTCGCCGGCTTATGACCCTTGCGGTGTGAGACCTCGCCTGTTTAGTCCTCCGTGGTTTGGATCCATCTTCTAGCTCACTGGTATAAGACGACGAGGATTAGCAGGAGGCTTGGGCACTTGCCGAGCATATGATCTCGTTCTTAACTTGCCACTCACACGGGGACGAAGGTGAAGTCCGCTGCGTTACCAGTCGAGGTTCGGGGAGGCATTGAGATAGTCGACACTATGACTGTAAGTAGCAAGGATTGTCAAGCAGACTATCGAGTATCCTGTCTCAGCTATCGTGGGTGCGGTCAGAGGCCACTGACTGTGACTTCGAACATGAGCACGAAAGGCAAGCCTTTATGGCTCTGGCTCTGCCAACGACCTTCGTCATCGTCCTATCCTTCTAGCCATGTCGAGCGCAGTCTATGGCAACACGAAGCTTCTACCCACCACAGAGATGATTTCACAAGCAAGAGCATTCATTCTTAAGCGTGACAAAGCTGTTTAACTTTTGGTGACACGTGAAGTCCGCGCTAAGGTTCAGCATCTTCCCTCATCGGGCTAGCACATCTTATCGCGAGATCGCGGGGTGGCAGCTCCGGTGCGACAGCTGCAGGTGATCATCAGCTATCGGTCGTACATGTACTGTATCTTTCGATAACTCACCTCGCTCACTCACTACTGACCTTCTATCTACATTACGACACTGTAGTTTGCTGTCTAAAGCCTCGTCCGTAACAACAACTGAACCTCTTACCAACTTGTTATCATCGTCCTACCACTCACAAATACAGTCGAGGTAAGCAGGCATCCGATATACCCCGCGCCTGGTTAGGCAGTTAGGCAGAAGCACCACCCTTCCCAGTTACAGATACACGTTATGAGGCTGTGAGTGGTGCAAGTGTTTGACACTTTGCTACCTCACCCGTACCAATTTGCTAGACACAAGCACTCCCTTTCCACGACCTACTTGTTACATGTCACCGTCGCCGCCAGCCTTGCTTGGAGATGAACAACGACGCACAGTCTAATGATCTCGATGATCACATGCTGACACAGCACAACCAGGACAACTTCCAGGTCGCTCAAGCAGTCTCGGTCGCAGGGAACGAGGTCAAGGGTGGCCATCACCATACATCAGACCTCGACACTCACACACCATCCGACCTACCGTTGACCTTTCCGACTCTTTGCCCTGACGGCTGTGTCGAGGACATATCCACGCTGGCCACGACGATAGCTTACACCACGCCTCCAGCTGCGTTAAGCTCGCTTGGAGCTAGAGCCAGCATGGCTCAGCAAGATACCATGTCGGAATCCGCTTCCTCCTTTGCCGACTCCCAGTATGATATGGTCGATGACCTGTCCGAGATCTCCAACGATGATGGCGACACTGCATCACTCGCTTCCACAGACGAGGGGTCGAACGGACGTGGTATGAATACTCCAGAAGAGCAAGATGGGGAGCTAGAGGACTCGACCGAGGATACCATATCTGGCCCAACCGTCGTGCTCCCATCGAGCAGCGGGATTCTTCCCGCACACGACCAAGATAATGAGCTGCTCGATAGCTATATGACCGGCGATCTCGAGACTCCGACACAGTCGACGGTGACAGATTTCAGGTCCAACCCCCACACTGCTCACTCGAAGCTTCATCTGTCAAGATCAGCAACTCGCGTGCTTTTCGTCTCCAGCCGTGACGTGCCTGAAGCAGAGAAGACCCAGATCTGTGCCAAGGTTACTTCAGCGTTGGCTGGCTCAAAAGATGCATCAAAGTGCCGTGCCACGATCCTGCCACTCACACCTACTGGCATCGCTCCGTCGCCATTCATCTCTTATCACGATGGTGGCGTCACAATCGAGGTTATGCACTGTGTCGGTGCCGAGGCTGTGGACCAGACGCTACCCAATGGTAACAAGCCGTACAAGCTGCAAATCCTGGATGCGGATGGCGAGCACAGCTCCATCTACATTTTCGACGATGGTCTCAAGCCCAAGCTTGGAATGCCACAGTTGACCATCATCTATGACGCACCCTCTGCATCCGGCTCCGAGTGGCTCACCACTGCTGAGGAAGCGATCAAAAGCATGAAGCTTCCAACTCTGGTCGTGCGCGACTCTCCTATTTCCGCAGCTCTCGCTCACTGGAGCATGCACACCAACGAGCTCCTGGACGCCGATAATCAGGTCCTTCGCACCGATCTGAAGTGCCTGATGAACCGCGATCCGATCTTCAAACCCTCGTTCGCCACAGATCAGCCTAAGGGGCCAATGTCAGCGCAGAAAACACGAGACTCGAGCACGTGGTCGTCGGTCTTCCGGTCTGTGTCCTGGAAGTCAGTGCTCTTTTCTCTCGGCACAGTGCTCGTCAGTTTACTCCTGCCCGTCCTCCTTGCTCGACTACTGCACACCGATGAGATTGCCGACGCAATCATCCGCCGCGAAGCCCTGTCGTCACGTCTCACAAGCTTGGTTGACGGCGCGGAGCCTGCCAAGTTGGTCAATGCTTCGTACCTCGTACCGCAACCCAGCGTCACTGGATATGACTGGGCCGGCTGCAAGAAGTATATAATTCAAGACAATATCCGCTTCGAAGTCCTCCAACCTAACCACATCATCGTTTCGCTTCCTCCGATCCACGATCGACTCGGGAAGAAACTGTTCCGTGTTTTCGGTGACAGGAATGGTGCTCAGGTCAAGGTGAACGCCACTGAGCTTGTCAAGAACGTCTACGATCTGGCCATTCCAATGGATGACGCTCATGGCGCGATCACTTTTGGTGGTTTGCTGCCCAGAGGTGGCCAAATGCTCATTGAGCACAACTTCGGCAATCGGATGCTTCAACGTCAGACATACCAGAAGGCACGTACAGACCTCAGCAACTCTGTCAATAAGGAGTTGACTGTCGCTCGCGATACTGCCAAGGTCATTCGTGAGAAGCTTGGGCTTGAGGTAGGTGCTGGGGCGGCAGCAACGAGGAATATCACCAAAGAGGTCGCCGTCCAGATGACTCGTGATCTTCAAATCTTTGCCAATGCTGCCGCCTCTGCGATTAGCAAAATGGACAAGGTCATCAACAGCACTGCCACCGTCATGATCAAGGATCTTGCTCTTATGAAGAAGGACCTCGTGAGATTCACCGATGGCATTCGTAAGACGTTAGCCTTGGCAAAGAAATCTGCTACCGACAGTCTGCCGACGAAGAAGACCGTCACGGAACCGCTGAAGCTGTCTCGTGAGCGTGCGCTGAGCTTCAAGGAGAAGTTGCTCCGTAGAAAGGCGAAGAAGTTTGGTGGCGCAGCGTCAAATGGCGAAGAGCTTGCGGTGCGTGTTAAGGACTGGATGACTTCGCTTGTGTCCAAGAAGAGTACGAAGTCCTTGTCTGTGATGCCCGAGAAGGGTATAAGCTCTCAAGGGAAGGCTTCAGAGAGGCCGAAGAGGACTCGTGACGGCTTCGACGGCGCCAAGGAGGCCGAGCTTGTTCGGAAGATGCGTGACAGAATCAAGGCGAAGAAACAGGGCGGAGAAGTGTCGAACAAGAAGATGGTGGACGTGGTCATGCAACTTCGTGAGCAGGCTGGTCAGCAGGCACAGCAGGGCTAGGGACTCTGGTGATGGTCATCGCTGGCGCAGTCATGGGAGAATTCGGACACTGGCGTTTTGATGAGGTTGTTTCATGTATTTGTTGGTGTTATGGGGAGATCGAGGGGCGGACGATATGTGATGAGAGCATGGCACTGGCAGAGTAGTGCCAGACGGAGTTGACTATTGGCGCTTCATGACCTTATGCGATACCCTGGGAGATATAAATGACTTGGCGCCTGGAGAATGTAGTAGATAGCCTCTGATAACGCATACCTCGTTAACAACAATTCTTGTGAGTGCCACATCCCCGAAAATTCCTGGGCAGAGTGAATGCTCTTCGCGTTGGAGTGCCTAAGGTAATCAGGGTCCGCAGCTAGCCCCACTTAGACTTTTGGTGTTTGTTCATGTTCAGGCACACAAATCCTCCTACTGAGCACAACACCATTTTGTTCAGCAACATCGACCCTACGACCAACACCCTCGCAAGCGTTGCAACAGAAGCACAACACAAATCAATCCATCAACTCAGACATCTACTGCCTATCATGGCGGAGGAAGACACCAAGCCCGCGACCGCTACTGCCAGCACAACCACCGGCGATGAGAAGACTGTGACTGAGAAGGCCACCGATGCGGCATCAGCAGTGAAGGACAACGTCTTCAGCATGTTCGGCGGCGGCGCAAAGAAAGACACAAAGCCCGACACCACAGCAGACGAAGAGAACGACCGCTCCGGCTCCGCCAAAGCCCAAGCCGAGAAAGCCAAAGCAGCTGAGGGTGATGAGGAAGGCGAGGACAAAGCAGAGGAGGAGGAAGCAGATGTCCACTTCGAGCCTGTTGTGCACTTGACGGAGAAGATCGACACCAAGACCAACGAGGAGCTGGAGGAGCAGACTTTCAAGATGAGGGCCAAATTGTTCAAGTTTGATCGGGAGAGCAGGGAGTGGAAGGAGAGAGGCACGGGGGATGTGAGGTTGTTGAAGCATAAGGAGAATAGGAAGACGAGGTTGGTTATGCGGAGGGATAAGACGTTGAAGGTTTGTGCGAATCATTATGGTAAGTCTATGTAATACTCTCTGGAATGAGTTTTGGATGAGGTGCTAACGGTTTTGATGTAGTGGTGCCCGACATGAAGCTCTCGCCCAACGTCGGTTCTGATCGTTCTTGGGTCTGGAATGCCGCGGCGGATGTTTCTGAGGGCGAGCCGGAGGCGCAGACGCTTGCTATTCGCTTCGCCAACGCTGAGAATGCCAACCTGTTCAAGGAGGCGTTCATGAAGGCGCAGCAGGAGAACGAGGCGCTGTTCGCCAAGACCGATTGAGGCAGAGCAGGCACGCTGGATCTGGTTGCAACGGCTGGTCATGGTCTTGTCGTAGCATCAAGGCATGCAGAGGTGACTCACTAGCAACCTGGTGCCATTGCTGCAGTTCAGATCAAAGCGAGAGATGGAGCGATGGCATAGCATAGCATGAGCTGAAGGCGCTGCATTTCTTCATAGCACATCCAGTGCTTAGTAGATAGATACCATGAATATGACTGCATTGCATGTGTCTACCATTCCCGCTACCGCACTTACAAACAGGTTCTGCGTACTCTTAGCCAGCATAGTGACTTCTAGGATACGGCTTACTCAACACAGACCGTGGCAGCTGCTTTGACTTCACTTTCTTACCTCATTGCCATATGGTCCAAGCGTAAAGCGAGCCGAGCATTTCGAGCAATCACTTGCCCGCAAGCGCGAACGACGATCGATCACCCCACACATTGAAACACTCACTACACCTGCTCCATCAACCTTCTGCGAGAGAGAAAGACTTCTTACTCAATAGCTCCAACATTCTTTGCAACTTGTCGTCTACTGACAGACGGCACGCGACCACGTTCCATCACACACAATCTGTGGATATTCTTCAGCACAAACAGCACATCCATTGCGCCGCGCCGCACGCGCCAAACCACCCAATATGCCTGACGTACGTGAAGGTCAATCACCACCATTGTGTGACCGCAAACACTGACAACATTCCGCAGGTCAAACGCACGATCAAGATCCGCACCCACCAAGAAATCCTCCCCGATGTACCCCAAGAAGCAGAAGGCTACCCCATGCGCGGCTGGACCATCTCCATCTTCCTCGTCGGCCCGGACGGCGAAGACATGCCCGCCAACTGCTTCGAGCGCGCGACCTACCACCTCCACGAATCCTTCGGCAAACGGCAAAGGCAGGTGCTCAAGAACCCGCCGTTCACGATCAAGGAGAGGGGGTGGGGCGAGTTCGATATGAGTATTGTGTTGTCGCCTGTTGGTCTGCCGAAGAATGGCGATCAGAGTGTGCAGCATGATTTGAACTTTCAGCAGGAGGAGTATGAGAGTACGCATAGTGTTGTGAGTACAGACATCTCTTCGAACAGTGGTGGAAGGGTGGCATGCTGACCGTCATGTGATGGTGACAGACCTTCCGCAACCCCAAAGAGAACCTACTCGCCATCCTCAAGGAGTCAGCACCAGCTGGCGAGAACACGAATGGTATCACGGCAGCCAGCAAACCGGAGAAGAAGGCGCGACAGAAGACATCACGGAATGTGGATATGGAGAAGTTGGCGGATGCACTACCACAACTGCAAGAGGACGATCTGTTGCAGATTGTGCAGATGATTCACGATAACAAGACTGATGATACGTACACTAAGAATGATGTTGAGAGTAAGTTGACCTACATACTGTCCCGCCACCAGACTCGATTGATCGAAGAAGTCTGGTGGCGAGGATTGTGGTCTATGATGATATGGTATGCTAATGCTATGCCAAACAGACGGCGAGTTCCACGTCGACCTCTACACCCTCCCCGACCCCCTCATCAAAATGCTCTGGGACTTTTGCGATAAGAAAGTAGATATGAATGCCTTGGCCTAGACTGCCAACGGCGCCGCCATCGTCGCAACCCTGACAACGATCATGCAAGTACCACTTCAGGCGTGCAAAAAAGTATCGCGCATGAGACTTGGCACTTACCTTCGCGTGCGAGTTTGGCTCAATGGACTGCCTAGGCCGAAGGCTGTGCGGTATGATGATCTTTCGTTGTTGCGGCCGTGGAGGCATTATGGGCATGCTTGAGAAGATTTTAGGGGCGAAAGTGCTTTGAAGGGGGTGTGGTCCTGACGCCACAATGGGAGTTTGATGCTGGATGCTGGTGGGCTGGCCATCGAGCAGGCCCTTTCGTGCACTGGTTATAGGGAGCGTGGCGTCCGGCGTTCGTTGTAGCTGCGATGTTGCAACGCCAGATGCTTAGGCAGAAATGAAATGTAGTGAATCGATGTCACTAATCCGGGTCCTTACGTTTCCTTTTCACGATGTCGTTTACCTTTGTTTGTTCTTGAGCAGACGCTGCTGGTCAAGACGCCTTCTGCAACGGACAAGGAGACTGAGTACCACGTACCTGATCAGCTTGGACCATGTTCCTTCATCATCACTGCATCCTCAATGACAGGGGCCGAGCAACCAATATGGTTTAGGACCAAGCGGTGTCGTGACAGGAATGTATTGAGGGCAGAAATGCACTTGGGGTAGCGAGGTTGATATCAATGGGTCTCTTCTTGCTACATGACTACCGAGATATTTGAACGCAGCAGATACAAAAGAAAGTGATCGTGGTAGCAATACATGCATCGAGACCATACTGAGGATGTTGAATCCGAAAGCAAAGACGACGCGCGAGAGGTAATGAGCAAAACGTTAAGCGCCAGAAAATCAGATCATTATGAGGCCGTTGTGTTCGAGTCAAGGTCATATAGCAGTCCAGCTGAGAACATGAGCCAAGGCAACCGTGGGTAGGTGCCTATGCCTGTCTGAGTACACCCTCTGTAGTGGCGGTGAGTGGTTGGTGCATGTCATCCCACAATCCCTCAGCATAGACGAGGTCCGGGTAAAGCTTGACCAGCTCTATCCGATGGGGTCTGAGTGATTCGACGTCGGCGAGCATATCCTGCTGGTGACAAACGAAGCACTTATCGCGACCAATCTTTCTTTGGCAGTAACCACACTCGATACGCGGGCACTTCATGGCCCACCATTCCTTGACTGGTGTGAAAGTCTCGCTTTGCTTCCAGCAAGATTCAAGCTTAGCTGATACCCACCATATCGTGAAGTGTTGACGTTGCTCGGGTGCGATGAGATGTTCCAGCTCCAAGTGCTCGCCGAAGCCAGAGACGCCGTCGCAGAGAATGCGGCATATCGGACAGCGTATACACAGTCCAGTGGCCGGGCATGAGCAAACTTCCCCGTTCTTGAGATAGCACTGAGCGGGAACCGATTCGAAGCCATCATCTAGCAGTTCTATGGCCATGCCAGCTTGCTCTTCCTTGGGATGTTCCAGTACATGACTCACAAACATATCAAGCGCTACGTATTTTGTGGCATGTCCACCATGGGCAGTAGCGGTATCGACTCGTGACAGCATTCCGCAGGGGCGCACCATGTTCGACTGGCTTCCTCCCGACAGAGCCTTCTAGCCATCGCCTTCTCACATGCCACTCCAGATGGACGCTCACTAGGCATCTCTCAAGCTGAAAGCTCTCGCAGTCATCGTATGGGCAAGCGAAGGAAGTGCCATCACGATGAGCCTTTCGAATGTGGTCGGTAAGCTTGTGTGGCCTGGCAAATATGGTACGCTCATGCCTCTTAAAACATCCCAGGACGGGACAAGTATACCAGACGGGCGTGTTGTGTTTCGAGGCTACATGGCGATTCAGTTCAAATTGTCGACCAAATGTGCGAGTGCAGGTACTATTGGTACACCTGAACTCCGATCCCTGCTTACAACCCCTTGGTGTCGCTCGGCTAACAAAAGCTGAGGGTATGGGCAGGAATTTGTTCCCGAGTGTCTCGGATGATTGAGCTGAGCCTACATCCTCGAAGACCATAGCATCTGGCACCGACCACGCGAGAGTCCAGCTCTGAGCAGCGTGTCCTACTCGGTTGTTCTCGCACACAGATGTCCTACAAACAGGCGCGGCCAGGATTTCCGCGTTGGGAGCGATCTCGACACTGTCAGTGGCCAAATTTTGGTTTGGGTTCCTGAAAAATACACGGTTTTCATTGGTGTGTGACACAGCGCATATCTTACTGTCGCCCTTCTGTTAGCCTGCTTATTTTTTTTACTCACCTGTCCTGGGGGGCGTTATGTGCGCCAACCCAGTTCAAGTCCAGCCACGCCTTCCAATCAACGTCCTGCAACCACTGCAGCTCGGAGCTCCAGTCTGGTGGTGGGGTGTCGCTGACAACGTCGTCCTGATGCTGCGTGCTGACGTGGTCTGACATGACGATCGGCTGTCGGGCGCCTGACGGCTGCAAGTTTGCCTCGTGGCGTCTGCTTTCGAGAGGGCGAGCAGCGAGGCTGTGATGTCGATCGGCGATCTTGTGCAGCTGGTGGTCTGTTTTGTGAAGAGGAAGAGTGCAAAAGGCCGGTGGAAAGAGGGTGGGAAGTGCTACACCATTATGCTCCGCAGTATCGCGAAAGGGCGATGCTTGCTACGACCGTGGCCGTGGCCATGATCTCAAGACCGCCAAGCGAATGCTAGCTGTAGCACTTCTCCTCGTTTGTCCAGACGCCTCGTAGCAGACGTACGCTTCGCTCTAAGTCTGCGTGCCTAGCAGGACTAATATTCTGAAGCTTGAGCCGTGTAGAATGTGAAATGAACGTTCATTTGCACGATGCGGAGTGGGTGGGCGGATGTACCCGCCTCTAACCAGAAGAGGAGCACGCGAGCAATGATGAGCGTGTCTCGACATACAATCGATCACGTTTACATCCTACTCCAAATACATGGTCGTCGCAATGCATGGCCGACCGCCGAGGCTTCCTCCTACCACTGGTAATCTTCGCCTTCTTTATCTTCTCTCCCGTAAATCGCGGACCGATCGACTCCCGCTTCCAGGAACGACCCAGCATCGAGGATGCAATAGCTGAAGAGGAGAAGTCGCTGGGAGTGCTACAGAACTCGTCCTACAGCGACTTCTGGGGACGATCAGCTGATGGAGACCTCTTGATTAACGATGGCCCGCAGCTAAACCTCGCCGGCCTACGGCGTGATCGGGGTGTTGCATGGGCTGCTCTTCCTGCAGTCAAGAAAAGGGCGGAAGAGTTCTTGGGAAATGCTCTAGGATCTGCTGGCATTAATGCTTTAGGTGCGGTAGGGCGATCAACAGATCTACCACCACTGTACAGCAATGTGACGGGCTACGTACATGGCCCATGGGTCCGATCGAAGCTGCGGGAAAATATAGCTCAACCGCATCTCAATCTATCATCGTACGCCGGCCAAGGGCCATATGGCCCGTTCCAGCTAAACACATTCGAGCGGAACATCACTGGAGATACCGGCGATGTCAGTATACGCTTCCACGAGAGGACGGCGCACGATTTGGTACTGCCAGATCATGCCAACGTCACCAGCATCAGCGTTGAGATGACGCTGCGTGAAGATGTCGGGGAGAACGACGCCGAATTGCAGCTCTACGGCGTCTACAACATGGATATTGGCCAAGCCATCCTGACCACAACGAGCGACAAGATGGCTGGCATATTCATGCTGCCCCACTTCTCACTATCGGAGAGCACGTTCGAGTCAGCCAAAGCATATCTGAACCAGTCCATATCCCGCACCATAAAAACGCGTAAAGATGGCGACATCGAGTCCTTCAACCCATGGCCCTCAAGGGGTAACACCGGTCCACCAATGAATACGGACTTGCCACTCTGCGAACTCATTGTCTGGCTGCAGCAAATGTCTCCTCGTGCTTTACCAGCAACGAATACTCAACAGAATATACTAGGCTTCCTGGAAAGCGAGCTTCGCTCTCCTACTGGTGCATTCTTACCTCCTGCACCCGAGCTTCGCTTCAACATGATTGCATTCTCGCCCGACTGCGGATACGTACTCGAGTCGAAAGGTGAGCCGGACTTCGTGCCTCAGGATGGCGATCATCTAGTTGGACCAAAGATAGAGGCTTTGTTTGGTAATGGCAGACACCACCTTGTGTTCTTCGCACTGGTCATCGGTTCGCAAATCGCCCTGCTTAAGCGCCAGATGCAGGAGGCTAGTACGCCTTCGACACGAAGTCGCATCAGTTTCACCACCGTCGCTATGCTGGCACTTGGCGATGGCTTCGCAACAATGACATTCCTACTCGTCAGCCTATTCATTAGCAACCTATGGCTTGACCTCATGGCCGCTGCGTTCCTGGCTTTCGTGTCGGTGTCGTTCTTTGGTATGCGCTTCATGTTCGATATATGGACTGCTCATGCGCCGGAGCGTGAGCGTGCGGCGCGAGAAGAGGCCGAGGAGGAGCGACAGAGGAGAGAAAGGTTACAGGTTGCGCTTGATCGTATTCATGCTGATCGGAACGAGAGGCTGAGGCAATTGGCTGAGAGGCAGGAAGCGAGGGTTGCTAGTGGTCCTCCTACTGATGCTGAGCTGGCTGCTGCGATCCCTCAGCCTCCCTCGAGTGATCAGACGAGCTCGCCGACCGAAGTGTCCGCTGCCAATGCTGACACAGCGCCAACGGCCAGGGATGCACCTAGCACGGAAGAGGCGCAACCAGTTCCCGTAGCCGCTACTTCTACACCTCTACCAGATCTACCGGCAACAGCGCCGCCAGTAGAGATGCCTGCAGTACCCGAGACGCTTCCGTTACCGGCCACAGCTCGTCGGCCACCCGAGGCTTTTGCCACACCGCTTTGGATGCCGTTGGATCAGGCAGGTATCGTGACGCAAACAGCCGATGGCTTACAAGTCAACATGGAAGTCGAACCTCAGACCTCCAGCTTCGGCTCACTCTATATGCGTTTCTACCTTGTCCTTCTTGCCGTCTTGTTCATAAGCCTGAATGCCGCTGGTTGGCCTACAACGCTACGAAGAGTCTACTTCACCACCCTAGCACTCCTCTACCTCTCATTCTGGATCCCTCAAATCATTCGCAACGTTCAGCGCAACTGTCGCAAAGCCTTTCGGACCGAGTTCGTGCTCGGCGAGAGTGCCTTGCGTCTGATGCCATTCGTCTATTTCTTCGCCTATAAGCGCAATGTCGTCTTCGCCAGCCAAGACCTGTACAGTCTCGCTCTTCTCGCCATCTGGGTATGGATCCAGATTGTAATCATCACGAGCCAGGAGATCATCGGACCACGATGGTTCGTTCGCAAAGACTGGGCGCCTCCAGCTTACGACTATCACCCTGTTCTCCGCTCGGATGAAGAAGGCGCAACCTTACCTCTTGGCCTCTCAGATGCGAACAACATTTCCGCGCCCACCTCGCCTCTGCTCGAGCGCAGGGTCAGCTTATCATCACCTGCGACAGCGCGACGGACCTCACTCGCCACAACCAAGGAGCACAAAGAAAAAGGCAAACGAATGTATGATTGTGCTATCTGCTTTCAGGATCTCGAGGTGCCTGTCATCGAAGCTGATGGGACTGGCGATAATGCTGGGACGGCTGCATCGCTGGCAGGAGGACTGCTGGCGAGGAGGAACTATATGGTTACTCCGTGTAGACACATCTTCCACAGCGCTTGTTTGGAGGGGTGGATGAAGTACAGACTCCAATGCCCGATTTGTCGCGAGGGGCTGCCGGCGCTGTGAGCAAGACGTCAAGACATGGTATGTAGTATCAGCGAGCAAGTCATACACTACCTCTTACCTCCGCAAATGTCTCTAAGCTGGTATGTCTTTCACGCCGGGCCTGGGTCCTTTATGCTCAAGGCCTTCTGATACTTCCAGCTTTGCTGTTTGCGAAACGGTGTCATGTCTCGCACCCGGCAAACAGCCAACTCTCCCATCTCTGGGGACTACAAGAACGGTACAGTGTCGTGCAATGTAATACAGCATCAATCAGAACCACTTCCACAGACCACGAAGCAACTATGATCGCAGCCATATCGAAATGGCTTGACGCCCAGGCCACCACACTTCACGAACCACTCCTACCAGATCCAGCGACGTTCGACTTCGATGAGCAGGACAACCCACCACGAACCAGCACCCATACCCTTACTACTGCAATCGAGAGACTGATCCTCGCCACAGCTGCTTTACACCGAGCTGGGCCGTGGTACACCTCGAAGTCTGAGGCGCTCTGGCATTTCATTGCTGGTTCTCTATCACGAGCAGAGTATGATAACAAAGTTTCGAAGGCTCTGGCTAAGTTGCCGAAAAGAACAATTGTGGAGAGGGATGTAGCGTTTGCTGAGGGGAGGACGCTTGAGGCCTTGATGACGCTGAGGAGGGAGGGTGATGTCAGGGATGTTAGGGATCTGATGGAGTGTTTGGATGAGTTTGAAAAGGCTGGAATTTGATGAGTGGGCTATGAGTGTGAGGATGATGCTTAGGTTTGAATGAGATGCTTAAGAGGTGGAAGCAGAATGGTACTTTGTGAGTGATATGTACAGCTACTGTACGCAACAGTTTTTAACGATTACCTCAGCACTTGCTACCTTCTGCCAACGAACTCCGCGTCTGGCGACAGCAAGTTTCGTTTGTGCCTTGACTTCATTCAGATCGTCAACACAGGCTTCGTTGCATTCGCAATTCGAGGAGGCTTGGCTGTCGGTAGACCACGCATCATTGCTGTCGTAGCTTCTCCGCACATTCAAGGCTTTCGTTGACGCTTCATGCTCATCCTCATTGCTACGCTGTGAGATCTTATCTTCTACCGACCACTTATCATTGTCGTTGCGCTGTCCTTTCGACTGGGCCTCTCTCGGTTTCAACCGGTCGAGGAGGTCCATCACTTCGTCGTACAAGATCTCGATGGTTCGCGGGTCACTTTCAGTATGTTCTCGGCCGTACCTGTGGTTTGGGCCAGCAGTGGTGTCGTTGTCCGAAGGCTCGGAGTTTAGTGACGTATAGGTCGATGGGAGAGCACTTCGGGCTGAGGACTGCAGTTGTTCGACGATGTCGTTGTGCCGATCGATAAGGTCGTTCACATCGTCACATCCAGCGACTTCCAGCGTGGCGACAATATAAGGTGGTGCTTGGTGAGCCATACGACGCTTGACGCGCCGACGAGCTTCCTCCATGAGGTCGTCAAGACTATACAAGGTGTCGTCCTTGGTATTTTGCGTTGAGTCTGGGACCATGCTTTTTCACGTGGTTACGAGAGCTATCAATCTTCGTGCAGGTGCTGAATTTAGTAGCCTTAAGCAAGTGAGAATGTGTCTGGCAGAGATATTCACCGGGAATGTGACAGGAAAAGGCAGATGAGACGTATCATGGAAGATGTGTTCAGCAGAATCGCTTGTGATGTGACCATGGGGATGAAAAAGTCGCAACGCTATGTTTGTTCTCGCTACAGATGCATCTCGATATCTTGTCAGTTTGCTACATGGCATCGCAACTTACCTTTACAGCATAGTGAAACATGCATTACCCACATATCCCAAGCAATAATCGCACAGCATACCGCCAACATCACCACCAGTCACGAAAGGCAATGGCTGAGGTGCGGTCAGACTAAGTGCAAAGCTATCGGCACAAGTACAACCTCCTTTAACTTGCTGGCTCCCGGTCCGCTCGGCCACAAGATCAGCTGGATTGTCCGAAGTCAGGTAGTCGTAGTGCGAGACCAGCTCGCAACTTTGACTTGACTGCGATCGACTACTTCCGGGGTACTGCGTTGTCTTGCGAGGTCAGTGGCGATGCACTTGAGCTGCTTCTTGTACTCTGCGCTCGAAGGGTACTGCCACAGTGTTACGTCTATGGCTTGCGCACCATTGACGAGAGAATCATTAGGAGACTGAAGCCATGCCTTGACCTCACGTGGCTTCTTGAGCCACTCGATGTTGGATGTTTGTAGTCGAGTGTTGAGTACGCTTGCATTTGGTAGCCGGTAGCCGTGCTTATCCAGTACGTCGATCGAGCTCACGACGTCGAATAAGAGATCATTGCTGCGGTCGAGTAGAGAGTCTGTGTACGCATTAGTCTTCTTGTAGCCGGCGTACCAGGCATCAGCCTCGAGCTTCTCGGCCTTCTCAGTGGGCGTGAGATCCTTGGGTAGATGTGCTTTCACTGGCGTGTTGATGGCAGCAAGTGCCCCGGTCAGTAAAGCGTTAGACCTACTGCGTGCGCTGTCCAGACGCTCATTGTGATCGAGCTGCTCTGGGGTCGGTGGCATCTGCTTCGACAGATGGGTTGCAACATCGGCCCGGATGGCTGCCATCTGTATCGGATCAGAGTACTTCCGTCGAGCTTCTGCCATCATGCCCTTGACGACTGCCGAGGTGTAGACAGGTGAGACCATGACTGGTGAGGAAGAGGCTGTGCAAAAGTAGTAGCTGCCGGAGCTGGACGATGTGCTAATGCTGTCGCAGCGAGCAGTCAAATGGATGGTAGATGGTTGAGAGCTCATAGATGATGCGTGAGAGCGCATTCCTTGGATGTTACACGATGCCACGCCGGAAGAACAAACTGGCACCACTGCTTTTAAATCATCCTATTGCCCAAGACAATAGATTGTAAGATGAACATCTTTCTTCGTCCACTATCAATGTCAGCAAACAAAGCGATTGAGCGGCTTGTGGTAGTCGTCTTTGTTAGACGGGCTGATAATCCTCAACATGGTCGAGTTGATGCTAGCCACGATCCAAAATGACAACATGAGGTTAGGATGTGGTTACTGTTTGATAGACCTGCTTTTCCAAGCGACACGGCAAGCTCATCACTGAGACGACAGCGTAATGTATGAATTCCAGCGAGCGCATACCGCCGGGAGACTCCTCTACAGTCATGGGCGCAGATTATGCATTGAGACTGCGAATGTAGAGGCGAAGTTGTTCTTGCCTCGCGATTCTGATCGCGAGCGGAAGGCTTCCGCACTGCTTGACTCTTGACTCGCCAAAACTCGCGCTGCATGAAACCGCGATTGACTTGACCGTGATTGCTTAGGAGGTCAGATCAACATTGTAAAGCTAAGATGTTGTGCGCAAGTACGTAGATCTCCAGACTATATCATCAAGACTAGTGCTGACGATCCATAGTCTCCGGCGAAGCTCCAGAACACCCTGTCGCATCGAGAAAGTCTGGTCAGTCGAATCCTCCATGAGACCAAGAAAACACAAAACTTACTGGTAGGTGTAGGCAATGTCTTCGAACGCCGGCTCATAGAAGCTTACGTCTCCGAGAATGGCACCGACCCTGTCAACGGCGAAGAGCTTTCCACAGACGACCTCATCGACCTCAAACAATCCCGACTTGTCAAGCCCCGACCTCCTACTCTGACCTCGATACCTGCACTCCTATCGACCTTTCAGAACGAGTGGGATGCTTTGATCTTGGAGACCTTCCAGCTGAAGCAGCAACTGGCGGAGACGAGGCAAGAATTGTCCACAGCTTTGTACTACAATGATTCGGCGCAACGGGTGATCGCAAGACTGCAGAAGGAGCGGGATGAGGCTCGGGATGCACTCTCGCGAGTCTCGGTATCCGCCACGACGAATGGCGCCTCTCACACAAACGGCGATGCCATGCAAGTGGACGGTCAAGAGCTACCGCAAGCTGTGATCGCAAGGATGGAGGAGACACAGCAGAAGCTTTCGGCCACAAGACGCAAGAGGCCTGTACCCAAAGACTGGGCGACAAACGATACTATCGCGACGTACGAGGTCAAGACAACAGCCGACTCGCAATTCACGGGTGCCAAGTCTTTGGCCAGCGACAAGACTGGTGACTTCTTCCTTTGCGGCGATTCAGATGGTGCTGTCGGGGTCTACGACTTGAAGGCGGGTGCATTCACTACGAGGAGCAACCTTAAGTCTGGTGCCATTCTACATGGTGCGTGGGCGAACGACAAGCCCATCGTGGCGACTTCGAGCGGAGCTGTTGTGGTTACGTCTGAGGGTACGGTGCAGGCGAAGTTCACGCAGCATGCTGGTGCGGCTAAAGCCGTTGCCGTGCATCCCAGCGAGGACATTTTGGCATCTGTTGGCTCGGACAGGAGTTACGTTCTGTACGATTTGCAGGACAACAAGGTGTTGACGCAAGTATTTACGGACTTTGGTAAGCTATACTGTGAAGTTGTGCCGAAGACATCTACTAACACAACGCAGTCCTTACAGCAGTGTCTTTCCACCCCGACGGCCATCTACTGGCAGCCGGCGCCACAGATGGCTCCATCGTCTTGTACGATGTCAAGGCCGCCTCACTCGCACACACCTTCCCACCAACAACCTCAGCACCAATCACAGGCCTCACCTTCTCCGAGAATGGCACATGGCTAGCAGCAGCCACAGAAGGCTCAAAAAATGTCACTATCTACGATCTTCGCAAGCTTGCCGCCCTCAAGACTCTCGACGTTGGTACGGCTGTCACTGGACTGTCCTGGGACTACACAGGCCAGTTCCTGGCTGCTTGTGGACCCGGAGGAGTGGTTGTCAGCGAGTACACGAAGAAGACGAAGGCGTGGTCTGAGCCGCTGAGGAAGGCGCTCAGTGCTGTTGATGTGAAGTGGGGTGCCAATGCTCAGTCGCTTGTTGCTTTGACAGGTGATGGCGCTGTCAGTGTGCTTGGTGCTTAGACCGAGAGGAGGTAGTGGGGATGGTGTCATGGCGCTTAGGATGAGCGTGTAGCATATCATTGAAGGCGATGGGTCGGCGAGGCTCGTGTACTTGTCTCCCTGATCAGGTCATTTCTGTACATGTAGTTGTGCGTATCGAGCTGAGAGCAAGCTGGGCAAAGCAGTGTAAAAGTTTCATTTCGCCATTTGATCTTTCACGTGTCGATGGTGGTTCTTCCTGCTGCTAAGCACTTCTGGAAGACTCGTGTGAATCACTGGCTGTCCAAGAAACTGCTGGGCTACCTTAGGACTACGATTTATGTAGAGACAGCATGCCAATCATGAGGTGAATTTGAGGATATATACAAGCGTGACGCGCGAACCTTCGACGCCACAGAACCCCTCTGCTTCCAACAACAGTTCCCGCGGACCTTACGCTCCTCTCATTTCACTGCAACATCAACAAAGAGATTCCTGGCTCCTTCCGCAGCACGAATACACAAGCACAGATACACCCATCGAGAACATCTGAATGCAAGACTGCTGCGAGCATGGAAGGTGTCGGTGGGCATCAGCACATGTTTCTGCCGGCTCGAGAGCGTTCTAAGGTAAGCAGATATCAAGAAGACCCACTCGTTCTTGCACTCAACAGCGTGGTCTCAGCAGCGGAATCATGCTGACATAACCACCACAGCGATTGTACAGCACAATGGCCGAGCCACAGCGAGAACCGAATGATCCATCCTCATCCTCCCTCTTCATACCAGAAGACGAGCACTACGAGAACGAACACGCACGTCACAGGCCACGATTAGCACTACCGGATATCAGAAATTCACCGGCACGGTTTGCGGGTGATGGGTTGGACTACAGAAGGCCGTTGATGAGTGGAGTGACGTCGGCAGCGAGGGCGCCCGTGATCGATCTTACGGACGATGATTTGATGCAAGAGAGCGAGAGCTCACAGGGCTCTAATGTCTTGGGTCCAGGCCCCTCAAGATCTATAGCAACTGCTACAGCACAAGATGCAGGGAGATTGCCGAGGTTCGGGAGGAGGGACATCATCAGTCTGGACGACAGCATGAACGAGGTATCAGAAGAGGAGACAGAGCCGCAAGGGCGATCAACGGGCATCTCAAGCTTCGAGCGTGGGCAGCGAGGTAGTGAACGGCCGAGGGTCTCACAGCTGAGAAGGCCATATCGTACACCATTTCTACGAGACGCACCAGCAAATCACGACGAAGATCTCGAGATAGTCTCCGAGCGCACCTTGTCACGACCACAAACTATGAGCCGGCACGTCTCGCCACACAACCTCCAGCAAAGAAGTCTGACGCCCTACCCTGGAGACATAGGAAATGCAGGCCCTGCCCCAATCGATCTTACAGAAGACGACGACGTAGTCTTCATGCGCGAGAACCCGCGCGAAGGCGGAGGAATAAATGGAGTACCACCCGCCACGACAGCAGGCCTAGGCACTAGAAGTGTCCCAGCGGAACGAAATCCCTTGGCAGGAGTAGCAGAACTGCTGAACGGCACTCATAGATTGATGCAAAGGATGTACGACTATCAGGGCCCACCAGACGAGTACTTTAATCCTCTGCAGGGTGCGCCTAGGCATCGCGATCCTCTTAGACGGTATAGAGTGCCAGTGCCACCACTTCGCGACGTTCCCGTTAGCGGCTTCGTACCTCCTGTCGGGATGCCTGGGTTGATGGATTATGGCATGCCGGCTTTCGATCTAGGTGTGGAGCCGATTGCACGACCTCCTTCACCGAAGTATTCTCCACCACCTTCACCCGGTGCGGGCTTCATCCGAAATCCTGGCGAGGACGATGTGGTGGTTTGTCCGAACTGCGGTGATGAGTTGGCAGTGAGCAAGGACGATACGAAGTCGCAAGTCTGGGTGGTCACGGCTTGCGGCCACGCTTACTGCGGTACCTGTGCCGTCAATCGAGCGTTGAGAAAAGGCAAGGGCAAGGCGAAAGTCACGGATCCGAAGGAGCCGAGGCCATTTTCGAAGTGTGTGGTTGATGGATGTGGGAAGAAGTGTTCGAGCAGTAGGGACATGGTGCACGTGTTCTTGGGGAGCTAGTGTCTACCGTGAGGAGCACAGCTGAAATTGAGCGATGTCTTATCGATACGGAGACAGCGGGCCTCTCTGACTGAGGCGTGTCCCAGCTATCATCAGCCTGACCGATCGTTGAGGAGGTAATGTGCCTAGATGCGAGCGTGGCTTTGGGAACTCCCAGGCAGCATTCGGTGGCTTGAGCCCTTGGTAGTAATGTATTCCTACGACCATGAAGACGATCGTCATTGGCATAAGTCTCTCGTCTATCGTCTACTTGCCCAACTGTGCTGAAGCCGAGGAGACTATGCACTGTCATCTCTACTGCTTGCCATCATAAGGCCAATGGCTCGAGCTCACATACTTCATGGACCTCGGTGTCGAATGCTAACATCTGCTGTGGCACCATGACATAGCATGCCGATACGAGCTCCGCTTTCGCGTCCATCTGAGTAAGGCGACGCCGGACCAAAAGGGGGCGTGTATACGACGAGCAGCGTTCTAGCTGCGTTGGAGACGCGGAATCGTCTCAAAAGCTATGCAAATCATGTTCCGGTCAGATGGTACTTACCGTATTCGACGTACTCTGACTGACTTGGACACAGCAGGTACTAGCGTGCTGATCTCAACTTGTATTGAAACGGCAGGCATTGCGCTCTCTGGACTGCTGACTACGAGTATCAATGCATACGAAAATGATGTCTAAGCCTCTACGACGCATTCCAGCTAGGTATGAACACCAATTTCGTTGCTCGCAAGGCAGGCGGCAGGTTAGTAATGATGTGCGCGTTCATATAAGCCTTGGACTCCTCAGGACGAGCAAACATCGATCACAACTCCAAGCCTCTCTTTACCACCTCCTTCGTCGTCCCAATGTTGCGTACGGTTGCTATACGGTGCCTCATTTTCTGTTTTGCGTTCTTGGCCATTGCGCATGCCTTCCCTCCAATTGAATGGGTGGACTGTCAGACACAAGTCCCTTTCATCCTGGAGGACACTGTTACCTCTCTCAACCTTACCGCCTTGCCTTCGACGCTTCACTGTGGACGACTCGTCGTTCCAGTCGACTATGCCAAGCCCATCAATGCGGTTGACAACAACATCACTCTTGGCTTAGCAATGTACCGGCCACATAATCCGAAGGGGGTGATTTTCTAGTACGCCTCCCCATGCTCTTCTCCTGGAGCTTGAGGGCTAGGACATGCTGAACTTGATGACTAACTTCACCTAGCTGCCCAGGAGGTACTGATGCCGGCGCTGCAGTCGCATGGCAAGTCGCTTTGGGCCTCAACAGTGACTCCACACCAAACTTTGATGGCTTGCTGGATTACGACCTCATGAGTACGGTTGCTTGATACGTGTTATCCATGTACCAGTCGCTGATACAACAGCTAGTGATGGACATCCGGAGTACATGGAGCTCCAACAACATCAGCGTCGACCTCAGCACTATCCCTCCGGTCATCGGACCATAGTAAGTCCTGCATACTCAAGTAGTAGCATCGCGGCAGCGGCTGTGCTGACGACGATGGTTTGATCCTCCAGTCCAAGTGACGCAGAAGAGTTCGACGCATTCCAGGCCGCAGCAGCGAAGGTCTTCCAGTCATTTGCGAATTTGAGCTCTCCGCCAGGTATCATCAATCATGCTGGCACAAGAGAAGTCGTACAGGACTACGAGCGGATCCGCATAGCGCTCGGATACGAGAGGATCCATTTCTTGGGGGCCTCGTAGTAAGCGATTTCTCTCCTACTGATGTGCGAGAGGGATGGGTCGCTGACGCTGCTATGTAGCGGGTTCTACCGCAATGCCCAGTATGCTGTGACATTTCCCGAGAGAGTCGGCCATTTTGCACTTGATGCTGTTGTCTCACACGGCATTGTGAGTGCACAGTATGTTCGTCGATCGTGCTCGATATACTAACGGCAAATAGAGCATCGAGAATCAGGTCGCATATGACTTGATCTCAGTGAACCGTGCCTTGCTACGAGCAGATGCATACTGTCAGGATCACGCCACTTGCCCCTTTCACGGGTAGGGACGCGGTAGTGTTCCTCGTGTAGGCCACCCATGCCGTGTAGAATCGTTCCGGATCTGACGTATCTTCTGCAACAGGCATGGCTGTATATTCTAGCCCAAGCCGAGAATGGCACACTCATTGCCTGCGACACCAATGCAACTACCAGCTGTAACAACACCGTCCCGGCTTGGGAGATCCAAGCCACCCTTGCTGGTGCACTCATGGGCCAGCCGGATTTCCCAACCATTCTCGAAGCCCTCGCAGCTGCATATGCAGGTAATGCAGCGCTGTTTCTTGGGGGCGGATCTCTTACCCTCGATGCTACATGGGGCCTTGTCGAGATCTGTAACGACCATCGTGAGTCTGACCGCCATGACGTGCGGAAGTTGCTGGTTGTGAAGAGCTAAATCCTGTCAATAGCCGTCGCGGACAAGTCTTTCGCTCATTACAAGCATCTCATCGATGTTGCCAGCAGCGTAAATTTTGCCTGGCGCAGAGATCTTTATGAGCGACCGCGCAGCTAACGGTTGAACCAGGTTGATACGTACCGCGTCAACCAGTCTGCTGGTATACAAGCTCAGCTTATCTGCGCAGCATGGCCGTATGCTGAGCCGGCAGCATCCACACCACTTCAGCTTACCCAGACAATGTTACTGGTGACTGCAGACTTTGAAGCCAGGTAAGGCTCTTCTCTGGACCAACTGCCGCGAAAGAGGCCTTATCGACAGCTAATTTCCGATTACCAGCATTGCCACCGAGCAAACCACATTCGTTTGGGAGACGCAGGCTCACAAATCTGGTCTGGTGGTGCGTCATGGAGACGACCATGTCTCCTTCAACGGTATGTGCGAGAGGCAATGCCCAGCCAGAACGAAGACGAGTAGAGAGCATGATCAGCTAACGCTCGCATTCTCCAGAACCTCTGGTCGCGTCGACGAACATCACAAAGCGGTTTCTTCGTACAGGAGTGCTGCCGTGTCCTGAGGATAGCACGTACGTTACTGTCTATGGACCGGGCGAAAAGAGGAGGCCCGTGTCGAATCCCTATGATGTGCCTACTGGGCTGTTGGCAGGCGATATCGACAGCTCATGAGGCAGAGTGTGCGCGGCCAGGCGCGAGCCAGATTTGAGAGATGTGGAGGCTTTTGACTTTCTGGTATTGGCGTTGGAAGCATTCGTGCGTGCTCGAGCTTTGCCAGGCATCCTTGAACGAGTAATTTAGTCTTCACCTTGACTTCATTGTGGGATGGTTTCGTTGATGACTACTGTAACCTGTGTGATGGTAGACTAAATTCAAGTGATGTAGTCGTCTTCTCCCAGCAGCCTGGTCAATGCTGTCGTGATCCTCAGGTACTGCCTCGGCCATGTGCTCTAGCGGAGGGTACATCCGCCGGGCATCCCGCCGCTAATCGAAGATTATACATCCATGCTATTGACCATCTCGACGATCACTAAAGCTTTCTCCTACCACATATTCTAATACCATGGACCGCCCGGGGGACTCCCAAAACCCAACACGAACCGACCAACAAGAAAGTAGTCCTGTCAAGGTGGTGCCTCCGAGTTACAGAAGTCTATATTTGATCTGCTACAATGCGATATCCGCTCTGCTCTGGGCTGTAGTGCTTGGAAGAGTCGTTCTTATAGCTGGCATCCATGGGCCGAAGTATGTCTTCGCGGGTGTTGGGGAATGGACAAAGTGGACACAGACATTGGCGGCACTAGAGATTGCGCACGCTGGGATAGGTACGGCATCATGAATTCACACCTAGCTACAGGCATGACCATGTATGCGATGTACGAGTAGCTAATATTTGTTTCAGGCCTTGTGCGAGCACCTTTGCTCACAACTCTGATGCAAGTCGCCTCCCGATTTCTCCTGGTCTGGCTGATTGCCTTCAACTTCCCATCGACCGTTTCTGCTTCTCCAGCCTACACGACTATGCTTCTGGCTTGGTCCATCACAGAAGTCATCCGTTACTCCTACTTCGCCGTCAACTTAGCTTATGGGGGCGTTCCAGCTTTCATGACCTGGTTGAGGTATAACACCTTCTTCGTACTGTACCCTATGGGCATCTCGAGTGAGTGTTGGCTTGTCTGGTCAAGTCGTGGCCCAGGTGTGAGTAAATTTGGGATGGGATATGAATGGTTCGTGAGGCTAGTGCTTTTCATTTATGTTCCTGGCAAGTCCTTCCGGCGCTGCGGTGGCCGTCGTTCGGTAAGTGGAAGGCCGGAGCTGACGAAATGCAGGTGCGTATGTGCTCTTCACTCATATGATGGTGCAGCGGCAGAAGGTCATGCGGAATATCAAAGCGAAGAAGAGTGTCTGAGCTCGGAACCCAATCAACGCTTTCCCGAAGTGCGTAGGTGTATTCCTCTGATCAGCCATCCACTGGAACACCTGGGTCGAAGTCAATCCATCCCTTTGCGACCAGGTCCCTGGTATCGGTTCGACCAAGCCGTCCTCATCAGGCAGCTTTCGTGGATCGCACGGTAGGCCACTATCGATCTTGGTCAGTGTGGAGTGCCAATCTTCCTGTTGAGCACGCGACTCTAGCCCAATGCTAGTTGTGACTACGGTACAAACATGTGTGAACTGACGAGGTACATGGGTAGTCAAGACGATCAAGGTCGACAAGGCTGAAAGCGGCTGTTGCATGGGGGTGGGGCAGCCTGGCCGCCAACACGACTCGGTATTGTAACACCTGTCGTATCTACATAAACACTATCAACACACAAGCTCTTGCCATACTCATACAACACTTTGCAAAATGTATACCCGCTCAATGCCTAGCATAAGCAGCCCTTCCCGTCCAGCGGTCTCTCTGCGGCTGCATGCCAACGAAACTCGTGTTGTTCCAAGTCTGCTTTCCGTCTACCACCGGTGGTACATTGAAGTGGTTGACCCAGTCACCGTTGTCGAACGCGACATCAGAGTACTGGAGCTGTGAGCGGTACTGAGCTGGCTTGGGGTCGGCTTTCATCCTCGCGGCTGCCTCCGGAAAAGTGTTGACAACTGTTCCTGCTTTTTCCTTCGGCTTTGTGACTCTTCGTGGTTTGGGAGCCTTCTGTAGCGACCCTCCATCACTGTCCGAGCGATCGGGATGTGGGTTATCCTTCAACATCCTTGGATTCTTGGGTACACTGGGTCCGAGATCCTTGGCGATGGCTTGCAACTCCGTCCTATCCTTAGCAAGTTGTGCCCGCAAGTACGCCCTCGGGTTCGCCGTATCTGTATTTAGACTCTCCATAACAGGCTTACGACTTTTATACCCGAAGTCCTTAGTCTGCGATATGGCGACTTTGGAATCGAGGAAAGCTTCCTCGCCCTTCGCCAGCAATTGCGTAATGTCCAGGCTCTCTCCCGCGGGAATCGCATCCGGATGCGAAGGAGTAACACAATCCATATCCACCTCCTTCCTAAGCACATGATCGATATCCACCGCGCTGAAATAAGCGCAGCTCTGCGGGAGATCATCCATGCCCATTTGCTGACTGAACATCCCTCTCGTCCACACGTTCGCCACCTGCAGCGCCATGGCACAGCGGTACTTGTCCTCGGTCTTGGCCAGATAACGGATCTCGTCGTGCACTGTCAAAGCGAGGCGGGCGTGGATGTCATATCGGCGGCAGAGGTACTCCATGCTCACGATCAGGAGGTGAAGGTAGTCCACGCCTGAGCTCTGGATAGCCCAATTGATACGACTGGTGAGAAAGTTGTTACTGCCCTTGCCAGAACCCAGGAAGCGTTTCATAAGCGCTTCCGTGATTCCAGCTCCGAGCACAGGCGTCCTGGGCTTTTCTTGGCTCGCAAAGTCTTCGAGAGCATTGAAGACCAGGCTCTCGGTGCCACCGAACCAGAAAGTCTTGTCCTTGATAGCCTTGCGACCACCCTTCGTGCCTTTGGTCTCAGCATACAACTTCCTGCCGATCGTATCTGCTTGGGCCTGGGACAAACTGGGGTTGAAACGTCTGAGTAGAGTTTGAGCGAAGTTGAGGCCAGCACCATAGATGCGACCGTAGTTGAAGACCTTGGCATCGTTTCGTGAGATACCCAATATCTGAGCGGTGCGCGAATGCAGGTCAGTACCAGCAGCTTTCGTGCCCTCCAAAGTCATGAAGCCGAGCGCGTTGCCACCGTGAAGCTTGAAAGCTGCGTCGCCAACCAAGGACGCGATCCAGAGTTCTTGACTATCCACATCGGCACCTACGAAGCAATATCCTGGAGGCGCAGTGACGATACTCTTCAGCTCGGAGCCTACTCGGTTCTTTTTTGCATTAGAGGCTGTAAGCCATGTATTTTCCACAGCACGACGAGTGACGGTACCCATAGGCACGATCTGAGGCAGGATGAACCCCTGCTCATTGCCTTCTGATGTCGTCGTGCCAGCCAGCTCGCTCTCATAGACCACCATTTGTTTTGTGATCCGGTCACGAGCACTGATCCAGTATGAACAAGACGTGTTCATCTCGAGTGCTTCCTTTGCATACGCGTACTCGGAAGACAAAGTGCGATTCTCCATGAATTGAAGATACCCCTTTGCGATAGGACTGGCACATCTTGCTTCAGGTCCACCAGAATGCGGAAGCTTAAAGTATGCATGGCTCATGTCATTTTGCAATTGTGAGTTGTCTTCTTCACTCATGTCTGCACTGACCATACCCTGTGAGTACTTCCCGGCCTCACTATGCTTGACCTTGAAGGTCCAGCCGTGCTTGTTTGACCAGACTAGCGGATGGCCATCCCATGCTAGTCGAAGCAGAATCGGCGCGATACGAGTGCGAACAGTCAGCGCCATAGGCGACTCATTCTTCGCGAAAAGATCTTTGTACCATTTCGGCATGCCAGGTTTCTTCTGCCTAGCAGCTGGTCGAGGCGGATCGTTTTTCTTCTTACCCTTAACCATGCGCACTTCTTGGCCAGTCCACTCCAGCTGGCACAGCCACGGGTCATTCTCATAGACGTTCGGCTCGTCTTTATGCTCGAGCACCTTCTCAGCCAGATCCCTCAGACGCTCCTCGATCGCGGATGAAAGTCGTTTATACGTGTCCTCGGCGTTCTTGATGTACGCCTCCCAGCCCTTATCGACTGGTAAGATCTCAGTCGACAGATGTCGTAGCGCGGCGAAAGACACAGGATGCGGACACGTCTCGAGGAAGTTGGGAAAGACACGCTTATAGACTTTGTGCGTCACGTCGACATCAGCTGCGCAGTAATCCATGAGTTCGTCCAAGCGCTCTCTCACGCCTTCCCTGTCCAGCTCGCCGAACCATTCTCTTTGCGTCTTGTCGATCGTGATGTTGCAGTGAAACTTCGCCACATCTCGAAGACTATTTGCTGAAGATCGTCCAATCCATAAGTCTTCTTCGTCTTCCATGGCATTCGAGGACTCCATCAGCGAACCTAAGCCATCGTACTCCTCATCCTTGGAATACTTGTCTTGCATCTCTCGCGCCTTTCGTGCTTTCGTCCAATTGGGTCGCTGTCGACTGCACATACCATTCACAGCAACGTGAAGCGACATAGTATCGATGAAGAAATTCTTCGTCTGCTTGAGATCGTACTCCTCAGAAATTCGTGCTCGGTCGTAACCAACATTATGTCCAACCACAATTCGAGGCTTTGTCGGATCACCCAGAGGTATCAGGTGCCTGTCGTTGTCCGTCTCGCCCAACAGCCAAGGAGATAGCCATGCGTACCAGTGGTCAGCCGAAGCTGCGCATGCCATAGCTGGGAATTGTGTCTCACGCCACATCACTTCCGTATCGAATGTCAGCACGTCTGCTTCTGGCGCATCGACGGCTTCAGTCTCTCCATCTGGATAGTATTTCGTCCAGCCACTCCTCCTGACCCATTTCCTCGGCTTCGGTGGTGGCGATGCTCTGGCGTACTGTTTTGATAATTTCAAGTACTCTTCCGCACTGTCCATGCCCAAGCGATGGAAATGCTCGTCCAGTGACGCCCCTTGCAAGTCTGGTAGATCAAAGCCGATGGCCTCGGGCTGGTCGCTCGTCTTGCCCAGCAGGTCATGATGCGCCAAGTGCTTTCGCGACAGCTCAATCAGTTCCTCGTCTGGTTTCGTCGCCTCCTTGCCGTCTTGTCGTGGTGGGAAGAGCTGTTTGTGAACATGGGTGGAGACATGTTGCACGCCAATCTCATTGTATCGTGCTTCGGAAGCTATCGAGAGGTCCCTTCCCGGGTGTTGTCGTCGTCCGTCTTCTACAGTGGCATAGCATCTCTGCGCACACGACCATTTAGGGGGCACGCGGATCCGTAGAAGCGATGTTTGTTGTGTGCGCTCGAGCGTCTGCACGAGATGATGTCGACATCTTGATCGCATGTCGATGAGGAAGACCTTTCTGCTATCGGGCCATGGTTTGCGTTCTATTCAGAGTCGTGTGTAGTGTAGGAGACAATCACTGCAGCACGCGTCATGAAGCTTCGATCTGAAGCCTTCGGATTTATCGGCTTACATCCGCAGCTCCTCTAAAGGCACTACCGTGAGAAGCTCTTCTTCGCCAGACTTGGAGCATTGTACTTGCCATCATGCTTTGATCGTACTGCGAGGTCAGGTGTCTGTTCAACGAACCGGTGAAGCGTAGACAGTGAGGGCGCGGAATCATGGCGGCAGCATGGCCTGCGAGGGAAGGCACAAGGAACCAAAATTGGGCTCAGTTCCCAGATCTCATGAGCGACGGCGACGGTCAAGGGCATGAGTGGGGATTTGATGACTTGGAGGATGAGTATCGGTATACGGATCTGTCAGTCCCACATAATCTATTATGAGCAAGAGCACGAGCAGGGACTGACCATCATCCAGCATTGCACATAGGCCGACTATAGACCCAGATTACCTTGCCAATGACCTCGACTGGGATATCGATCGCGATCTTGGAGATCACGACATCGACTTGGCATCCTCCGATATTGTTACGGCAGACGGCAGCAACCATCAGCAGGAGGAGGACGAAGATACTTTTGTTCAGTCACATTCACATGCAGGACGAACGTCATCTTCAAGAATGGGCAATGAGCAATCGAGCATAAATTCCGCACGACCAGCTTCACGTGGAATGAACTACCTCCCGCCCGCCAGCTTGTTCACAACTCCCTCACCACGGCTGCAACAAACGCCACCAAGGCAGGGTAACAGGCACGAAGACTGGCTAGATCGCACCACTCGCAGCACAAGCACAGCCGGCTTTGCACAAGACGACTTCTTTGACGCGGTATCAGATCGTACACTACGCTCTCCGGTGCACGACCTCGAAGACTTAGACAGCGACGCTTCTGAAGTAATGCCGACCTTCACTCGCCACCGTCGAGAAAGCATTGTGGACCTGACTGCGGATCCCAGCTCGCCACAGCGGGCTGTACCATCACGACCAGCGTCTCGGCCCACTAAGCGCAGTGCTGAGAATCAGGCATCAGCAGCTGCGTCAAGTAGCAACAGCCATCGGGCCAAGAGACAGCGACCGAGCACGACTACTACTTCAGCTTCTGCCGCGGCCTCTCGCAGTCAGGCACAAGATGAACCAATTGAAGAGCTCGACCTCACTCAATCACCTATCTCAGCTATGCGCGCTGCCGAACAAGCTCGTGCGGTCGCCGCTCAGCAGGCCTTGGAGCCTAGTGGGCCCCTGCGCATCGGCCAACGCCAATGCATAATCTGCATGGAAGCCTATACCAACGCCACTGTCACTCCGTGCGGTCATATCTACTGTCATGAATGTCTGGATCAAGCGCTGAAGCAGGGTGAGAAGAACAGCGACAGGCATATCGGCACTTGTCCGGTGTGCAGACAAGAGATCCACAGGGATGATAAAAAGAAGAGGAAAGGGGGTAAGCCGGTGGCGATTGCATTTATGAAGAAGAGTGCTTTCAGGTCGAAGGGAAGGCCTGCTCTTGAAGCGGCGAGTGGGTGAATGTGGGAGGTTATGGCCTTCTAGTTCATGATTAAAGGCGCATCCGAGGACTACAGCATTGATTACGCTGGTTTAGCTATATACCCCTTGCATTTGGCGGCGTTGATAGAAAAGCTTCATGCAAACCGCGAGATAACTCGCCTGCAGAATCATTTCTATCACATGCTTAGTCCCGTTGCATTCATGGTCGAATAATGGTACGTACTGTATACATGAGCACGAACCAATGACGAAACGGCTCGCATGGGACAGCACAGACATGATCCGCTCTCGCGTGGCATGGATCGAGCTTGGAAGCTGCACTCGAGGCATCAATCACCTCTACTACAGTCTTGCTACACCATACACTCTCCATTGCCATTGCCCGCGTTCCTAGTCTGCTGCTCATAACGACCATAACACCACCATCACAGCCACCCAACATGTCCCTCTTCGGCGAAGAAACAGCCACACCCAGCCCTCGCAAATCCGCGGGCCTCTTCGGCGACGACGACGATGCGCCATCCCAAGCCAAGAACAACAGTAGTATGTTCGGTGACTCCAGCATATCCGCCACCGACGACTCACCATGGGGCTTCACACCCAGCAAGAAGAACACCACTGGAGGCCAAGGCGGCGTTGTCAAGAATCTACTCGTAGGCGCCGAGGTGCACGATAGCTATATCGATACCTTCGACTCAATGCAGAGTGGTGGACATGTGAGCAGTCATGAGTGTAGACGATTACTAGGCGAGGTTGTGCCGGCGCAGAAGGAGAAGATCTGGAGTATTGTTTCTGGCAATGGGCAGGCGCAGGAACTGGGACGGAACGAGTTCAATGTGCTGCTTGCTTTGATTGGCTTGGCGCAGGAGGGAGAGGAGTTGAGTTTGGATGCGGTGGATGAGAGGCGGAGTAAGCTTCCTACTGTGTCTCTGCCAAAGAAGCCGGTAGCTCAGCAGCAGCAGCAGGCGCCCGCCACGCCTAAGCAGTCACAGCCTGTGCAGACGGGAGCTCAGCAAGCGACACCTCAGCAGCAGAATGGGCATACGAGGAACACTTCCTTTGGTGCTGGGTTTGGCGATAGTGATCCTTGGGGCTCACCAGACGTGCATAAGGGCCATAAGCATTCGAATGGTGCTGCGCCGCAACGAACCACGAGCACGTTCACCACAAATGCTTCCGAGCCTAGTGAAAGTGCACCAACTGGTGGATATGGCAATGCACAATCATCCAATGCAAGCGACAGCCAGCAATGGGGTGGTGCATCGAGCTTTGGAGCGAGCAGCACTGGCAATGAAGGCTTCGGTGGGGCTGGGGCAGCTGGCGAAGGCTTTGGTGAGGGTGGCGGCAGTGTTCGCAAACCGGCTCCGCCACGCGTTACGACGTCCAAAGGTGCCGAGGAGGTGGTTACAGTGAACCTGCTGGAGGAGAAGGAGGGGATGTTTATGTTTCAGCATCGCAATTATGAAGTCGCCAGTGTGCGTCGCAACAGCAAAGTCATCCGAAGGTATAGTGACTTTGTCTGGCTTCTGGACTGCCTACACAAGCGCTACCCATTCCGACAACTACCCCTGTTGCCACCAAAGCGAGTCGCGATCAATGGCAACCATATCGCGGCCGACGATAGCTTTGTCGAGAAGAGACGGAGAGGCTTGGCAAGATTCGCGAATGCGCTTGTTCACCACCCAATTTTGAGAGAGGAACAGCTAGTAGTCATGTTCCTGACTGTCCCAACGGTAGATGCACGCCTTCCATGTCTTTTGGTTGTGACGGTCTGCTAATATCATCTTACAGGAACTCGCCGTCTGGCGCAAACAAGCCACCATCTCCGTCCAAGAAGAATTCGTCGGCAAGACCCTTCCCCCAGCCCTCGAAGACAGCCTGCCCCAGAACCTCCAAGATACCTTCGACACCGTCCGTTCTGGAGTCCGAAGATCAGCAGATCTCTATATCAACCTCTGCAACCTCACCGAGCGCCTATGCAAACGCAAAGAAGCCATCGCAGGAGAATATTCGCGCTTCAGCCTCAATCTCCTCAGCATAACCGAAACAAGCCAAGATACCTACGCGATCGACACCAACGACGTCCCGCTCCTCAACGAAGGTGTAAAAGGGACCGCAAAACATGTCTCGAATTCCCAAGCTTTGATTGAGGATGAGTCAAGGGCGTGGGACGAGGGGTTGTTGGAGGATCTGAAGACGATGAGGGATGGATTGGTGAGTATGAGGGAGATGTTTGAGAGGAGGGAGAGGTTGAGTAGGGATAGTATCCCCGCGCTTGAGAAGAGGATTATGGGGAATGAGCAGAAGTTGCAGGGGGTCAAGGCGAAGGGGGATGCGGCGAAGCCGGGAGAGGCGGAGAAAGTCGAGAATGCCATTGTTGCTGTGAGTTGTCCTGTCGGAATCTTTGAAGCTTGGGCTACGATGGCCATCATTTGTTGCAGGTTTACTGACTTTGGTGCTTGTGCAGGACAAACAATCCATCGTCAATCAGCACGCCCGCGGTGTCTTCATCAAGGAATGTGTACGCGATGAGATTGTCTTCTTCAACACGACGCAATATAATGTCTCGCGACTGCATCAAGATTGGGCGCAGGAGCGGGTCAAGTATTCCGAATTGCAGGCGGATTGTTGGAGGAGTTTGGTGGATGCTGTTGAGGGTATGCCGTTAGGTGATTGATTGTCGTATAATGTACTGTAGGCTCGTGGGGGCGAGATAGGAGGGATGTAGAATGTGTTTAGTGCGTGGACTTTGAAAAGGATGCTCAAGACCAAAGTGCAGGGAAAAGTGGAATCTTGCATCAGAACTTCTATCTCTATCTGTCTATCTAGTATCGATATAGACTCGGGGAACCTCACACGACCGTCTTCGCCTTCCCCTCCTCCTTCACCGCAGGCATGAAACAGAAGTAAGCGACAGCCGTGGCGAACTTGATTCCACCAGACAACCACAGCACACTCTCAAGTCCCCCTTGGCTCCGCATCAACCACCCACTGGCAATCGAGCCAGCTAGTAGTAGTACCACAGCGGCTACTCGTCGATTTCGTCGTACATTGTTCGTTGCTAGCAGCTTGAAGTCGCCCATGATATCGCAGTAAGTGCTCGTCACAACGTTAATCGGCAGCTCATTGAACCCGAGTAATCTAGATGTGGCAATCTGCATCCCCGCTTGAAAGGAAAGTGGCGGAATGAGTGATACAATGAGGATGTTATGGATTACACGCTCGTCATCTAAAGTATGTCGACCATTACCACCGGGATTTTGGGGGATAAGTCCTTCCGGTGTCGCGAGTGCGGCGGCGAGGATGATGAGCATGGCCTGGAGCATGAAGAGTGTGGCTCCCCATAGTCGATTTCGATTGGGTCCTTCGGGCGTAATGACTTTGGAGACTCGGAAAGTAAGAAAGGCGCCTATGAGGAAGGAGATGATTGAGACCAGAGTCGTGAGCCAGGCATGGGGGTTTGCTGGGAGGCCGGCTGTCGAAAGACCGAGGATTACTGTGTTGCCTGTTGTTTCTCGTCAGAAACCTGTAGGCTTGCTAAACCATCGAGAGGTGAAGGTCAAGTGGTAGGCCCGCATAGAGAGGAAATAATGAGCATGGTACATACCCGTCTGCATCCCAATAAACATGCCCCAATTCCTGAAACTCGCCGCATCCACCATGCCCGTCACCAAACAGCAAGCCAGTAGCGGTAGATCTCCATAGTCCTTCGTTACAGGTCCTAGGATGTTCCTGCGTGAGAAGAAGGATGTGCGAGCAGGCATGGGATGTTTCTCCGGATCAGCTCCATCTGTGTCGAAGGTATTTTCGTGAGCGCTGTTATCCACGGCATGAGGTGAAGGCACCGAGTCCGGTGCTTGTGGCATTGTGTCTTTTCCCGGGACCAATCCCTCGACTGGTGCCGGTTCTGGTGCTGTAAGAACTAGAGGTCTCGTCCTCCCTCTCGCCACTTGCTATCAATTTGTTTTCCTGTATGAAAATTCTATTTCTATCCAGCACAAACAATGCACGCGAGCAACGACAAGTGGACAACCCTTATCTAATCAGCCACAACGCCAAAAGAGTGAAATGCAAGATGATGGGAGACGTGGTAAATCGCCAGTGCGGAAAACAGACAAGACGAGATTGTTAAGATAGGAGATGCGCCGTTACGTGCGGTTATCGCGGGCCAACAAAAGCACATACCCGATAAGGTCATTATCAGCAGGAGCGCAAGTATCGCCTGTGATTGATGCAAGACTCAAAGCAGAAAGGAATGCAACGGTATGCAACAACATAGAAATCATGTTTATGGTAGAGAGAAGCATAGCATCTCCGAGCTCAGGAAGAGGTGAAGTGAGGAGAGTTCTGCACCTGCCTACTGGCGACTTGGCTACAACACGCGGGTAGTGCGGGATCGAGTTCGTGGCCACCAGGCAAGACAAAAATGTATGGCTCAACTTTATCACATGATATGCATGATGAAGTGACTCTCCATCGAGTCTGTTGTACACGCCTCTGACCTATTGCCTGTCTGTTCAGTACCTCAGTTCTCAGCTCAGCAGTGCTGCACGTGCGGGTCCAAGTAGACCAAGACGGTACTTCGAATGTAGACCACTGGGAGGCAGTCTGCCGGTTCACTCAGCACCTCCGAGTTCGTGGCAAACCCCACCCTACCACAGCCGATTACTCTCCGCACCACTGCTCTTCTTCGTCCTCGCAGCCCCCTTCTTCCCATCCCTGCTACCTGTCCCCGGGGTCCTAAAGAACAAACTGGGTCCATGGCCATCCCTAACCATATGACTCAAGTACCCTCTACGCGCCTCATCGCGGTAATACTCCAAATCTCTCCTACTCGTGGGATCCGGCAACCTATACTTGAACCTCCTCCTCTCCTCCACCAACGCATCCGCCGCAGCCTCAGCACCTGCTTCGCTATCTTCGCTCATCGCAATCCGTGACTGGAGGCTGTGGATCGGATCCATCAGTCCGGCTTTGATCTTCTTGATGGCAAAGTCGGTGTAGAAGCGTGTTGTGACTGTTCCGCCAGCCTTTTCTACAGCTGCTATTGCTGAGGCGCTGGCTCGGGATACGATGACGTTGATGGGCGTTGTTAGCTCTTCGGAGCCGCGAGCAAGGAGCTTGACGCCATCCCGGGCTACGCCGTGGATGCAGCGAGATGAGGAGAGTTCCTTGAAGGTGATGGGTTGGGATGGATCCAGCCGATCATTGTTGATCCAGTATTGAATCTTGTTCAAGTTGACTGGTGACATTTCCGTAGTGAAACTAGCCGTTTTCATTAGCTGTCGTAGATCATACAATATGAGTTATACATACTGCTGCTTCTCACCCCTCGTCCCATTCACGACCCAGTCGGGCGTCTGACCTCCATTGAACCCCGCCGGTACTTTACCATGCTGCTTCTGGCCCTTATGACCTCGTCCTGATGTCTTTCCGTAGCCACTTGATGGACCGCGACCTACGCGAATGCGCTTATTGTAGGCTCCCTTGTTGTCGGACAGATCGGACAGGATGGAAGCACTGCGGTGTTGCTGAAGGCAAGGGTAGAGGAAGGGCGCGAGTGGTTGATAGGCGTGGTGTGTGACTGCTGCCGATGCTCGACTGAGCAGCTGTAATCGTGGAGGCATTGCGGTGATACTGACTTGAATCTCATTGCGATGGCTTTGTCGAGTCGAGTCTCCTTTCTGATGGTATGCCAATATTTCCCGCTTAGGCCACCGTACTTAGTCACGTTTCTTGGTTAGCGTGACCACGCTGCGCATGTGCTCGTTTCCATATATTGCGACCAGGCATCCAACATTCACTTACGATTGGTTTCAAGTCTATCGCAGCCAATGACGAGGTGTTACACGACATGCTGGCTCATGTACAACAAGCCTGACCGAGCCAGATGAGAGAGCGACGGCGCTCCCACGGCAGTCATGGCCCACCTCCTTCACGGCGTATCATATATTTAGCCATAGGCTCGCTACTTCTGCTCTTGGTCACGAACATATATCTTCTGAATACGACAGCGGCGTGTGATGTGTTGTATGCAGAGTGGCTTCCCGCGAGCTCAGGTACACATGAACAGCGCCTAGGCGGCCATATCTGGCGCAAGAGCAGAGAGCCTGCTGCCTCGAGAGGAGTGCAAGATGAACACCCTATACGGCATTTGATGCAACTGGCAGACCACAGATTCAAGATTTACGATGCGGATCGGAGCTTGACGTTCAAGGGCACGGTAGACAAGTACCGGCGCAAGTATGGACGATATCCACCACCAGGTTTCAAAGCGGTATGCTGGGCTGCGAACAAGTGCTCCTTCCTGTTCTAACACGCAATAGTGGTACAAGTTTGCCCGCGAACGAAACGTCCACAACATTGACGACTTCGACCAGATCTATGCAGACCTACGACCATTCTGGGCAATTCCGCCAACCGATATACGACACTATGCAGCTCATGCCTCTGATATTCGTGACCATGGCGTCTCTGTAGTATCTCTGCGAAGCGGCCAGGTATTTCAAGAATTATGGGGCTGGCGTTCAGAGACATTCGTACGTATGCTGAGCAGCTTCGCCCACTGGTTGCCAGACATGGACATCGCCATGAATCGTATGGACCAACCTCGTGTAGTCGTACCGTGGGAGGAGTTGCAAGAGATGCTGAAGATAGAAGAGAAGTCGAGGACGCTAGAGGAAATGGGCATGGTCGATGCATTCACAAAGAACATGTCTGGCTTTTGGGAGCGACGACCTCCAGCTCCTGAGCCAACTTGGCTGAGCAAATGGAGTCCTTTCTGGTTTCCCATTGAGCATGTCGAGGACTCTGCCAATCCACCTCCGGAATATGGATGGTTTTGGCATGGTGGGAAGCAATACATGGACATTGCTGGCAAAGCATGTCCACCGGACTCATATGCTCGCAACCCAGACTCTGCTTTTCATCTCATGGCAGCAGAAGGCCGCTACAAAAATGAACTAGGTGGGTTCGTTACGAATTTCAACACGTCCTCCGACCTTTGCACTGTCGGTCCACAGCTACACGATCTTCACGGCATGCTCTCCTCCGCCGCTTCAGTCCTGGCCACGCACAAACTGGTGCCCATCTTCGGCGAGTGCAAGGTCAATGTCAACAACGACATCCTCTTCCCAGCCAACATGTATTGGAAACGTGATAAGCGCTACCAATACAACTCGGAGCAAGACATCAGCTGGGATGACAAGGACGATATGATGCCGTGGCGCGGCGTCACATCCGGCGGAACAGCATTCGAAGACAAGCCCGAGCAGTGGCGAAGTATGCACCGACAACGACTCGTACAACTGGCAAACTCAACAATCTTGTCAGAAAGCGACACCAGCACTAACATCCTCGACCTTACCGATCCGGTAGCTGGCGCCTACGGACCACAGCCCTTCCACCCAGCATCTTTCGCAGCAGACCATACAAACATCGGCTTCACAGAGAAGATTGCCTGTCTCCCAAACTGCGACTTCTACAACAGCACCTTCACGCTCCTCAACCAGACCACCTTCGCCCAGACCTTCGGGTCAAAGTACTTGGTAGACATCGACGGACACTCGTTCTCCGGTCGCTGGCGAGCTTTCTTGCAATCGCGAAGTCTAGGTATCAAAGCCACGATATTCAGAGAATGGCACGACAGCCGGCTGTGGGCGTGGCGACACTTCGTACCCATGGACAATAGATTCGACGACTTGTACAGTTTGCTCACCTACTTCATCGGCTTCGATGATGAAAACAATGGTGCTGTTACGGTCCCGAGACACGACTACGAGGCTTTCACTCTCGCGCAACAAGGTAGAGAGTGGGCGGAGAAAGTTCTGAGGAAAGAGGATATGGAGATTTATCTTTTTCGGTTGTTGTTGGAGTATGGGAGGGTGATTGATGATAAGAGGAAGAAGATTGGGTTTGTGGGCGATGGCGGGGAGGAGATGGAGGAGTTTGATCGGAGGGTGCCAGCTGTGGAATAGGTGGGTAGTCACGTTGCACGGACAGAAAAACATGGCAACTCCCTCGGGGGTCCCCTTGGGAGATGGTCCGATTAACCAACCTGCCTTCGATGTTGCGGTTCTGCTCGAAAAGACAGACGACAACACGACCATATCACTGGTCACCAAGCAAAGACTCACTCAACAGTCAGACTCCGGTGTCCTCGTTTGATCTGGCGATTTTGCTTCGAGCTCGGAATCGATCAGCCTCGTCGGAAGGGCTACCAGAGACACGACAATGGTGGCCTCCTGAGAGCGTGACCAAGCAGTATCACGTGGTGTTTGCAGATGATGGGATCATGCAGAACCTCGGCCACGCTGACAATAAATTGGTTCGTCGACATGCTTGCCGCCCGATCCTCAAGAGCACTCTTGTCTCAACGTCCGTAGTACACCACTCATCAACGATGTCAACGGAAGTGCTACAGGCTTGGTAATCATCGCGTTCGTGAGTGGCTACAACTCGGTCCGGACAAGTTGACTCCTGTGCGGTTGAGTGATGAGTGCTGTACCTCCTCGGGCGCTTGTGTCGCGACAAAGCTTGATGAGAATTGTACTGTCGTGCCGGTCGACCTGCGTCGTCAAACCATGTCGTGTACGGAGTAAATGCACGCCGATAACGGCTTTCGTACAGTAGGCACCTCGTGTAGGCGATCTGCGAAACGTACTTCCATAGAACGAACGGTGGCAATAGCCTCATGGCACAAAGTCGGCTTATTGAAATCAATAAACGAGCGGTACATAACTCAAGTGGAAGCATGTGAATTCGAACGAGATACAGTACATTAGTGGTGCCGATTGACGGGTCTCGAACCATGCCCACCAAAGGATCCCACATATCTAGTCTGCATGGGCTGAGGTCAAATATCCAGCAAATCCGAGTCGTGGTATCGAGATTACTGATGGCGTCCGGTGGGAGGAAAGGCTATTGCTTGTACACATCCGCGCAGATCCATATCATTGGAAGCTGCAGCGGCGATCGGGTGAAACGATGAGATAGAGACGAGTGCAGCCTCGGCTGAATGCAGTCACATCCACGAGAGTCGTGCTCGCGATCCTGACCAACAACGTTTCGAGCGTTCAGACGTGAGCAGCGGGAAAGGCGCAGAGGTGGCGAATCGTCCAAGATCTGTGCAGCTTGCCGGTGAAGAGTACTGCGCTGTATGGCGACTGCATGTCGCGGCAAGCGGGCGGCAGAGAAGAAAATTACATTGTGGCAGCTGAGATGCAAGGAAAGGATCGTAGATTGTTGCCATGTTCGTACTGTACCAGGTTCCGAGTGGTACTGCTCATCTTGTAGACCGCTTCTTGGGAGGAGCTTCAACTTCAGACCAAGCAAGCCCCGCAGATGGAAAGCTCCATACACTTGACCAGCCAGTAGACAAGGTCAAACGCAAACGCCGCGTTCAAGCGTACAGCGTACGGGTCATAGGCGGTACGTCGACGCCGAGTCGTAGGGATGAAGACGGACGGCTGCAAATCGGGATCCTGGGAAGCCTGCGAGTTGGCGAATCGACTAACAGGTATCACTACTGGTTTGAAAGGAATCCTGCAGTCACACACGTATCAAAGACATGCTTTTGTGGCTTGATACATGGTCCACGACTGCAGTGTATTTGTGGAGTATGGACAGCCTGCTCGGCGAAACCCTTGACGGACGAAATGAGTGGGACGTAATAAGCAGCGAATATGCCGCTCAGCAGGGAATTCGCTACTCTAGCCTTGTCTTTTGTCACGCAGTAGCGAAGTGAGCTGCGCCACAGTATACGGGCTCACCAGCGGGAGCTTGCGTGGTGTGTACGTCGGTTCAAGCCAAAGGAGTCGATGCGACCGCCTCCGTAACTCCCACGGGATGCCGCGGACACATATTACGATTCAGCGATGGAAGCGGACAGTCGGCTTTCCGTGGTTTCAGCACAAACCCCGAGTGGAGTCGCAGCAGAAAACGAGCTGAAAAGATCCTCCAAACAGACGACATCACATCTTGCTGATGAGACGATACGATGGTTACGTATGAAATTTGCTCGGGCATCCAGCCGGCGGTCGACATTTTCACAGGTGGAAAAGGTCTCAAGCCTTCCGATTCGCAAGCTCTAACGAGTTTTGGCCGTTGTCGCGTCGCGTCGCGTCTTGGGTCAGCTCCACCAGTCAGTAATGCCGCAGTGCCGCAATGGTCATCCAGCTGGTGATCTCGGACTATAAGCGGCCATTTGGATGATACGATAAGTCCTGAGGCGAGATGATGACACGGGTGCTGGCAGAGAAAAGTGGTGCACGACACGTATAGACCTGACCAAGAGCCGACTCGCTATTTGCTGACGCGACACGCTTCCTCATGCACTCAATTAGAGCCTGCACGATTCCGGACTAGATTAGTGGTGGTGCTCTCGGCGCGCCAATCTCTCCTCGCACCTTCTCCATTCGCCAAAGTCTCTCCTTGTGGTGTTACACTTTACTATCAGATCCTTATCGCGCTATAGTTCATCAGCGTTTTTATTGTGGTGCAGCCAACAGTCGTGATCGTCGGGTTAGTCTCGCGCTCGGCTTGATCCAGATTACTTCTGTACGCTGCAGGCGAAGTCTCATCTAGGATTGGGTTCCAGGAGCCAGCTGAACGCCGTTGTGCTGGCCTGACTATTGATGGATCTCCGCGAGATGTCGGTGCAGGATGATCCAGGTCATGATTGCTGCAAGACTGTCATAGTACGGCGGTAGCTTCGTAAACAGCCTCGAATTGTGTGAAGGCGATACGAGGTTCGCAGGGTTTGTGTACACGTCGTCTCATCCGATACACGCAAGCTGTGGGCCTGTACATATTTGCAACGTTCAGCGTCGTATACGCTGATCATCACAGTCGTGCCGCAAGGACAGCCCCAACGTGCAGGGAGGTAGCGCGGGCTTACGGGGCGAACAAAAGCAAGCGGGCTTGAGACATGCGCCACGAGTGCCAGCATACGTCGTGCGCGGCAACGACGCGAGCAAACACTGGCATAGGAGTGTGGAACTTGCTGGTCGTTGTTGGGGATATGCGCAGTCTACCGCTATATGGTGTGTGTGTGGCGGGGATATGCACACAGCTCTCTAGCTTTCTCATCAGTGACATCTCCATCGATTGGTCGAGACGGCCTTCAGACGATCGTAGGGATGACATCTGCGACAGTCAAGTGGTGGCCTGCAGGTCTCTGACGAATCGTGCACACCCATTAGGCATGCGCAGCTCCACTGTAGTCAACGAGTAGGGGACTGCGTGATGTTGATTGCCTAGCTTGACTTCTTGTTCGTCGTGATCCAGAAGAGCCTGTGTCAGGCGCACCAGCAAGCCTTCGTGCCGAAAGCTGGGCAGGCATCCGTGCAAAACAACTTCGCATAGAGGCAAGCACACGGGAGGGTCGAAATGATGACAGTGGCCGCTGCAATATCGTAACATTGAGTACATTTCACGAGGGTGCATCCTTCCGGTGGCGCTCCTTGCGATATCTAGGCCGTGAACAAAGGGCTGCTCCCCGTCATCTACCGACAAGACATGCAGAGTGAGTGGAGTCCCACGATGACACGGCGCTCAGCGAAAGTGCGACCGGAAGAGGGGTAGATAGATGCTACTTTTGCCTTTGTGCGTCTGACTTTGGGTGATCTGAACTTCTGACTCTGGCTGGCGTCCGGTACCAGCACCACGGCCTATGGGTCGACCCCTGTCCGTGCAGACTTACGGTTATTGGCTGCCGGGCTCAGCGAAGCCTTCCAGAGTTTCGTGGGCGGAACAAACTGCTTGATCCGTTATTATGACTGGGGACGCTGCTGTATGGTCGTGGCGCTCCGACGGTCAAGTCAGGCGAGCGATAGTGCATACAGCAAGTGCAGTAGCAGCCCGTGGGCGCCAAGCGACCATCTGGGCGTGGGTAAGATCCCAGGGTATGTTTGGCGACGCATCTGCACTGAGCCGGTCTGCCGAGCTTCCTGGTAAGCTGGGCCAGGCGGGAAAAGGTCATGATTATTTGCGGCCTGCAGGAGGATTTCGCTGGTCAGAGGGCTACGGCTTGCCCACCCTCGTTAGCGAATCCGGTGGGACGGGCGCCGTCTTGACCTCGCGTACACTAATTGCTATTCTGCAGTCACTGCGGTGGAGAGGCAGCTCAGATGAGCTAGACCTCTGACAGCTAGACTGGGCCTGGTGTGGCCCGTGATGACCTTGCCTGCTCTTGTAACTAGTAGCTTTCTCTCTAACTTACATCACTTTCGCGGCGTCTCCTTCAATCATCAATTGAGATCAGCCTCCCTGGGTCAATGATCCAGTTTGACTCTGCAGCCAAGTGGCCGTAGCCCGTTGGCCGTGGCTCGGATTGGAGACACACGATATGCTTCCACACATCGGCAGCCGATGCGAGTGCCATGACCAAGTCGCATGGCTCTACCAGCATAACCTTCTTCCTTGACCGAGACCACTTATTCGGCACTAGTAGCACGCGCTCATACAGTATGGACACCTTCACACTGCGCTGCCGCCTGCCCATGTTGTGGTAGACATTGGCACTCACGTTCCTCTGCATCTTGCTGCCGCTTTCCCTTGCTTGAGCAATCAACAACGTCAACCTTATTGCTGTTCGTCCTGCCTTCCCGAAAGCTCACATCACCAGGCTCCATTCTTGCATAGACCAACGAAACTCAGCCTCTTGACGACAAACCAACCTATTTGCTACTAATCCTCTCTCACAACGGCCCCTTCCTTACCGACGAGCCACATGATCGGCCCTACAGACACTCGACCGGTACCTTGACATTTTCTTCTCCTCATGACGAACATACATTCGCAGCACCACATTTATGCCTCCAGCGTACAGTTCAGAGATCCCTTTGCTCCCAAGCCCAGTCACCGCCACGAGCAGGCAAGCACGAACTGGAGCTCCTACTCTCGCCCATACGACCTCGCCCGCTCTCTCACTCCTCCACCTGAGATGAACACTGTCTCACTTACGAACAAGCCGGTGTACCACCAACAAGAGCACGGAACTCATTGCAGAGACTATGCTCAAGGCCTTCAACAGTTTGGAGCCGCGTCTGCACCATATGCACGGCCAGACGTCACCCACGCTCGGTCACACTCGAGAGGGGTCCACACACAACCTAGCAGTCGAACTATTTCTCCCGTTCCCGGACCACAGCAACCTGTATTCGAAAGTTCACAATCACGACGAGGGTCACAAGTAAACGCAATAGCACCGTCGTTTCAGATACCCCGATCGGTAAATGATAGCGGTGGGAGTCTGTCAGAGTTGGCTGCTCAGATCACATGTCTGTTCTGGTTTGAGTCTGCGGACATCCTTCAGATGATCGAGGACTCATCTACGCCGTATCATCTGCCAAGGTCACTCGCGGCAGATGCAAAGCCCAATACTGGTTTTCGAAAATGGGTGACCACCATCCTCTCCACAACGCTCGTGGCCCAAAATGTAGTCTTGTTGGCTCTGCTCTTCATATATCGGCTAAAAAAGCTGAACCCAACAGTGAGGGGCAAACCAGGTAGCGAGTACAGACTCCTCACCGTGGCATTGATGCTTGGCAACAAGTTTTTGGATGACAATACGTATACCAATAAGACCTGGGCTGATGTATCTGGGATTGTGGTTGGTGAAGTCCACATCATGGAGGTCGAATTCCTTAGTAACATGAAGTACTGCCTCTTCACTTCCGAGGAGGACTGGACGAAGTGGCAATCACTGCTGGGCAGGTTTGCAGCATTCTTCGAGAGAGCATCGAGACCTCAGCCGCCTCCTCCAGTAGCGGCGCTCCTCCCAGCGTCGTCATTCCACCTACCGATGGCTCTCCCTTCGCCGCCGCAGTCGACCCAGTCGTCTCCGCCATACAACCCAGAAATTGGCCCATATGCTTTCCCATATGGCATGGCAGGTCAGCATGGGCCCACGCCACTGCCTTCACCGTTCGCCGCCATGCCAGAAATGCAGCCAGCCATCAATAAGACCCGAAAGCGGAGCTTGGAAGACTCAAATACCGAGCCTCCAGCAAAGCGAGTGGCAAGTGCCTATCCAAGCTATAGTTCGCCTTTGGCATACTCGAATGGCTCGGCAGCAACAACACACGCAGCACAATCATCCCGTCTCAGGCTGCCAAGCCTGGCAATACCAGCTGGTTCAGCACCTTCAAGCACTTACGGGTCAATGACGAGCCAGGCACCTCAATTGCCACCACTCAATGCTCCGTCTCGAGCGATGGCATTGGTGTATCCACCAACATCATCACAAACGTCAGCTATTCAGCTACCGGCACCACTTGGCATGTCCGCACAGCCATCATCACAATTGCATTCACAACTACAATCAAGACAACAGAGCCCGTACCCAGGGTCAGGTACCGCATCGCCCAGTGGCATCCCACCTCACAGCGCAGTGTCACTACATCCACCGATCCAAGTCTCTCCAACATACTTCCTGCAGCAGCGGAATTCGCCATACCGACCGATACACAATGTGTCCACACTATTGTATCCTCCTCCATCTGGAGCGCTACAACAAAGGCCGCATAATATGGAGCAGAATGAGATGCACTACCAGCCTCTCGGAAAGTCGATCCAGCAACGACATGTGGGTCATCTACCATACGTATCACAGAACGTCTGGCTCAATGGACATGGTCAGCAGCCCATGACGCCTGTGCATCAATGGCCGTCTTTCATGGCAGCACATCAGCAGCATGTACCTCCGCAACGATGAGCTGGGACTCTAGGCACTGGAGGGAGAACGTGATTCAAAACAGGGAGATAGTGTACGCTCGCCTGCATGATAGAGCTGTTTATTTTCAGCGTTGAAGCGTGCAGCATTCTACTAGCGATGTCGGAAGCATTCGACGGAGTTCATATGAAGAGGAACCAAGGCCGACTCGGCCATGCTATTGACCAGCCTCAGAAGGGTTGAGTATAAGGCCAGAGCTGAGCCTTGCAGCGAGTAATTCGACGCTGCCAAATCATGGCAATCTCAGCACGATGCTGCTGCTTACGTAGAAGTAGACCTTGCCACTTAGTAGCTGTTGGTAACTACCACTAATAAAGCACGAAAGTGTGCACAAGACTGTTCTTCCAGGAGACTTCTTCGCCCATCATCTTTCTTCTCTGCTGTCACAAGTGGCAATGCCGACATGTGATGTGATGGCTTCTCGGTCTCGCACAAGAGCATGACGTGAGGCGCTACAGCGCTGTGTTGCTTCTATTGGCTGACCACGAGTGAGCGGCAAGGTGTTTCATACATGAAACTCGACCAGGACGTAGACTGTCACATAGTACGATCTGCGACAAAGACACCGAAAGATCTATAGTATCGCGGTCGAAGCACTTGTTATACACGATTAGTTCTTTGCTTTCTTGGTATAGTAGTCGTGTATATTGCATCTCGTTTTCGTCGACGACCTAGGCGAATCCTATCAGACCAGCAGCCTATCAGCCCCAGGTGCCGTTGCTAAGCCATGGCCGTTTAGTGAACCCCTTCGCTAAGCACATACCTTCGCTACTCCTCCTCCTTCCCTTGGGAAACTGCGCCTGCGCCTCTCTAGCATACACAACATACCGCAGGCACACCGACGATTGCTATACTAATTACTGTCACTCTATACACGACTACGCTACTCGCATTGCCCTTGCAGCCCGGTGCTCGAGGCCACACTCATTTGTTCGCGCGCGTGTCAGCAAGGAAGGAAGTGCGGAGGGAGACTTGAGACGGAAGGAAGACGAAAGACGGTTGGTGGATCAAGTATCGTGATATTGTGATTCGAGGAAGGCATTGAGGAGGGCTTGGGGTTGTGCGCAGTTGCACGACAATCGAGTCGAAATAAGGAAGGAAAGCATCAAATACAGGCGGCCACTTCACGTTCTTCGATCTCCACCACAGACAGACGTGAACACCAAGGCGACACAGGTCCACCAACCAGTATTCACATCAGCACGCGACACACCACACTTTACACAACATGCGCTCAATATTAGCGCTCCTCGCGCTACCCGCAGCCACACTTGCGGTCTCACTGGTCGACTTCCCGCCCAGAGTCACAGGCCTATCTTCATCCTGCCAAAGCGTCTACACACAAGTCATCGACGGCTGCTCAAATTCAGACTTCGCCTCAGCTAAGAGCTGTAGCCCTGGATGTATCGACGCCCTACAGGCCATGACAGGCCCTGTACAGCAGGCTTGCAGCAGTGACACCAATGTCGGCGGGACAGTTATTAATGCTTTCCTGCATAATGCCGGCACTGGCGCGATCTGCGGGAATGCGGCGAGTGTGCTCGCCACTATGAGTTCCGCTGCTCCGAGCAGTACGGTTGCGGAAAGCTCTTCGGCGGCACCTACATCGTCTGTCGTGAGTTCAGCTGCGCTCATGAGCACGACAGCTGCATCGAGCTCGGCCGTGGAATCAACGATAAGCTCCTCGGACTCGACGGACAGTACTGCGGACTCGTCGACATCGAGCGAAATCACGACCTCATCCTCAAGCATTATCCTTTCGGGCACATCAACAGCCAGCCCTCTCGCCACTACAACAGCAACAAGCACAGCGACAGCATCGCATACCACTTCAAGTGCATTGATAGTGGACACATCAAGCTCGCCTTCATCATCAAGTCACAAGCCTTCAGCAACAGGCAATTCGCAAAACGGCGACAACAGCAACAGTGGCGGAGGCAGTCCCTTTGACTCAATAAGCAACCAAGCCAGCGCTGGCAACGCGCTAGAGGTTCTCTCGTACGGCGTTGCGGGGATCTGCGGGTTGGTGTTCGCAATGGTCTGGTTATAAAAAGCACATGAAGGGAAAGCGATTGTGATTGATTGAAGTTCTTGTACTGGCAGCGTGATGCGATACCCATGAGATGCTATTACTGAATGCTTTGCTTTTCCTTCCTTTTCACCATGTAAATAATTCTTCCTTCAGCTGTGGCGTAGGGAGTCTTTTCAAGGATGAATTACAGGTGGTAGTGTGTAGTAATGCTTTGATGACATTGCTCTCGAGTCCTTCCTTTGGTCAAGAGCTGAGACATGCGTGTCAACCTCCTGTGTTGGGTCAATGCGGAGAGTTGCTGCTCGCAGGAATTCTTATTGTTCGGCGAAGCGCTCCGTCCTTTGATCCGTCTGCCCGTACTAAATCTTCTCGTCTCCGGCATCACAATATCGCGAGGACGAGCGGGTCAAGCACATGCATTCTTCCCTTGTCGCCGCCTCAACTACTCGATTCTCCTTAGCGCCGGGAGTCGGCGAGGCGGAAAGGCATTACGTCAAGCGCTCTGATTGCACGCGACTTTCACGGTATCTTTGCTTGAAAGGGGACCAGGAACTTTTCTTTTGGTTGACTGACACAACAAACATAACCTAATCGCCACCTCTCTGGTTCGACCATAACCATCATCATGGCGACCAAGGTGTTGGTGAGGCCATTGGCCTCCGTAAGCAGCGCCAATGGCTTCATGAGGAGCTTTGCGACGGGTCCTTCGAAGCCGGTGGCACACTTGTTGAGGGCTGAGCCTGGGAGACGAGCTGTGCAGATACCACGACAGAAGGTGCAGAATGCTTTCCGCAGGTCCTATGCGGAGATCTCGCCGGAGACACAGAGGGTGGTGAAGAGGAGATCATGGCGCTTTCTGCGATGGACTTGGAGGTTGACTTATCTGAGTGTTATCGGTGGATTGGTGTATACTGGTTATGGCATCTATCAAAATCGCACGCCGGCCGAGCAGGTCGATCCGGATCCGAGCAAGAAGACGCTCGTCGTTCTGGGTATGTTGCATAGGGTGTGATGATGATCGCGAGCCTGGCGCAAGACTAACACCTCTCATCCTAGGCACTGGCTGGGGCTCCGTCTCACTTCTCAAGAAACTCGATACGGAGAATTACAATGTCATCGTTGTCTCGCCTCGCAACTACTTCCTGTTCACGCCACTCCTCCCATCATGTACCACCGGCACAATCGAACACCGATCCATTATGGAACCAATCCGAAACTTCCTACGTCACAAGAAAGCTGCTGTCAAGTATTACGAAGCCGACTGTACCAAGATCGATTACGAGAACAAGATGATCTATATCAATGACGACTCTGAGATCAAGGGCAGCACATCTGCAACCGAGGTACCTTTCGATATGCTTGTGGTTGGTGTCGGCGCCGAGAACGCTACTTTCGGTATCCCTGGTGTTCGTGAGAATGGTTGCTTCTTGAAGGAGGTCGGCGATGCACAGAAGATTCGCAAGCGTATCATGGACTGCGTCGAGACTGCCACATTCAAGGATCAATCGCCTGAGGAGGTCAAGCGTTTACTACACATGGTTGTCGTTGGTGGCGGCCCGACTGGTGTTGAATTCGCCGGCGAGCTTCAAGACTTCTTCGAGAACGATCTCCGCAAATGGGTACCTGAAATCGCCGATAACTTTCACGTCACGCTTGTTGAGGCTCTACCCAACGTCCTGCCGTCCTTCTCGAAGAATCTGATCGATTACACCGAGCAGACTTTCAAGGAGGAGACGATCGAGATCCGCACGAAGACTATGGTCAAGAATGTTACGGAAAAGTACATCGAAGCTCAATACACCGACGCGCAAGGCCAGAAGCAGCTGGAACAGATCCCTTATGGTCTGCTTGTCTGGGCTACTGGTAATGCTCTCCGACCTGTCGTCAAGGACCTCATGTCCCAAATTCCGGCTCAAAAGGACTCCCGTCGCGGTCTAGCCGTCAACGAATACCTGGTCGTGAAGGGTACCGAGAACATCTGGGCCGTAGGTGACTGTGCTATAGCAAACTACGCTCCCACGGCACAAGTCGCGGCGCAGGAAGGTGCTTTCCTCGCTCGTCTCTTCAACCAAATGGCGAAGACGGAGGAGATCGAGACGGAACTTGCCTCGCTCTCCATTGCGCAAGAGAAGGCTGCCAACAAGGAAACCCGAGACGATGCGTTTGCCAAGATCAAGGACCTGCAGAAGAGGCTACGACGGGTGAAGTCTATGGGTCCATTCGAGTACTCACACCAGGGCTCACTCGCGTACATTGGAAGTGAAAAGGCAGTTGCGGATATTAGCTGGCTGACCGGTAATCTGGCGACTGGTGGACAGCTTACCTATTTCTTCTGGAGAAGTGCTTATTTGAGCATGTGCTTCAGCAGTAAGTTGTTTCACCCTTGTTGGCTTCGTGACCAACAGTTACTGACTTTATTTTGCAGCTCGCAATAGAATCCTGGTGATCATGGACTGGATGAAGACTCAAGTCTTTGGTCGTGACGTCTCGAGAGAGTGAAGTCACGGCTGAAGTCGTCCTACTCAGGAAGTAAGGTACAGACAAACAAGTCAGAAATGGCAAGTGTCACCCTCACATCCATTCACCGCACGTGGTCATACTTGAGTGCATGTGTTGAGAGGAGTGATATTGTGTGCGATATGCCAGATGAGAATAGAGCTTCCAGCGTACTGCTGGACCACGGAGTTGTTGCTACAGTAGTTCTGCATGCTGTATTCGATAGAGTGTCTTGATAGCGTACGATGCTTGTGTACCTGATCCATAATTCTTTCCATCCATCATATCCATTGGGTATCACATAATCTCCTATCCTTCATCGTACACCTCTTCTGTGCTTTTTGCGAATGTGCCAATTGTGTCCTCCCTATTCGTGCCATGCGTCTATACATCGTATCTCATGTGCAGTATAATACATCTTCCAAATTATGCTATAATGCCTCATAACGCCGTACCCAACACAATATCATCCACTACTAGGAAAATGCTTTGGTCTCCATCGGTATCGACTCGGGTGATGCTCTCGAGGCGGACGTCGTTGCTGATGTGCTGTGACCCATATCGCCAAGATCCCGTGCCCAGTTCTCTCGGGGTAGCCAGCCAGCGCTACGGCGGGCGCTCACGTCCTCCATCATCCTATCGACTTGTTCGAGGGTCAAGCCTTTGGTCTCGGGTACTACGAGGTAGGCAAAGATCGCGCAGGCGAAGCATAGGGCTCCCCAGATGTAGAAGACTTTGACGCCGAGTCCGGATGTGCCACTTGTGCCCTCTACCATGTATGGAATGATGACGGCTATGATACAGTTCCTAGAACATGCGCGCATTAGCAGGGTAAAAGGGGTGGACGATGACGTGATCCAGGTACTCACCAAAACCAATTACTCGAAGTTGACAACGCGACCCCTTTCGACCTGATTGGCAGCTGGAAGATCTCTCCGATCACCACCCAGGCGACAGGACCCCAGGTACTGGCGAAGAAAAAGATGTAGACACACACGAGCGTAATCATGCTATAATTCGCCGCTGTTGAGTGTGGTAGCACCGTGCCGACAACGGCAATGGTCATCTCACAAATGCTCATGGCAATGCCACCATAGATAAGCAGCCGTCGTCGACCGAATCGCTCGATAGTGTAGAATGAGACTGGCGTCGATACAACATTGACGATCGTCGTTATCATTGCCACCAAGAAAGCCCTCTTCCCGAGGCCCACTTGCTGGAAGAACGTCGTGTTGTAGTAGAAGATGAAGTTGATACCAGTGGCCTGTTGCATAGCCTGCAGCGCAACTCCGATGAAGATCTTCCGAGCATTGCTGTTACTGTTGAGTATACCGCCGCTGAAGCAGCCGAGCCAGGTGACCTCGCCGAGCGACTGTTCGTATTCGTAATTGGCCTGGATTTCCGCAAGTTCGTGAAGGATATACTCGGACTCATAGGATTGACCGCGGACGCGAGCCAGTGCTTTCATGGCATTGGCTAATTGCCCTTTCTTGACATAGTACCGTGGCGATTCGGGAAGGAGCGATAGACCAGAGATCAGTACAGTAGCCCACAGGAACTGAATGGCGATGGGAATGCGGAAGGCACCGGTGTCTTCTCGCCTCGATGTGGCGTAGCCGACACAACTGGCCAACATGATCCCGATCGTGACAGCAAACTGGTAGCAGCTGACCAGCGAGCCTCTTACGTTCTTTGGCGCGATCTCGGACATGTACATTATGTTCACCGCAGTTACGAAGCCGACGCCCAGACCAGCAATCAGCCTCCCGACGACCAGCGCAGATATGCTGATGGTTGTCGTTTGCACGATGACTCCGGCGATGAAGATGAAGCAGCCTACGATGATCATAGTCCGTCGTCCAAACCAGTCGGCAAGTGCGCCACTCAGTAAAGCCCCGAAGAAGGTGCCGCATGACAGTATAGCGACGATAAGGGACTTCTGGGAAACAGTGTAAGTGCCTGTTAATGGGTCTCCGTAGGCCTTTTTGAACTGGTCCATGGCGAGTACGGAGCTGATGTAGCCAGTATCGCTGTTCTGTATGTCAGTTTCATTCTTGCGCCGGGGATTCGCAGCACTCTACTCACTAGCCGAACATGATACCAGCGAAGGCACTGAAAGCGCACATCAGATACGCCTTCACAGTGACCGGGGCTTCAACCCGCTCGAACTCCATGGCGGAGGTCATATTGGTGACTGTTTGATCTAGAGAGCGAGTTGCAGCGGCTCAAAGAGGCCGGTGTGCAGGTCGTCGGCTACACACCCTGCTCGCAACATTCGGGGGGTTCGAGGAGTCGAGGATGCTCATTTCGTCATGCGTGGTTTGTCGCGGAAGCAGAAGGAGAATGTCTCGTGGATATGTGAGCAGATTCAACGTTTCATGCTGGGATGACAGGCGGGCCGCAGGATCTACGCTTCTCGAACCGCCAATTGTTCGCATGAGTGGTCGTGTGGTACAATCGTGATGAAGACTCCACCTGCGAGGGTCGATATGCATGCTCGTTGCTAGCGCTTTATCTTATGCATGACGCTAGAGCAGGAATGTCACCTCCAGCAAATGGCCTTCTCGCGTGGCGTCGTGCTTTTCCATCCTTGTGCCTTCGCCCCAGACCGGACTGCGCGGAGAAATTCCCTTCTTGAGTGAATGGACCTTGATTTGCTGTATAATGCAGGCGGCTGGTGAGCGAGTCAAGACGTGTCGAAGTGAGTCCGCCTGCATGTCATCCATTGGATTGGTATACCCGTCTTGCCCCACAGCGACGACCACGCTGCTAGCCACATCTTGGGGTCATCGCCGGTGCCGCTTTGTTGGAATCAGCACTATACGATGTACTAGTCGAGCAATCATCGACGGATGTAGGCGAGCTCGATGTAGGTACGGTCTGGTCAGATGATGCCAGGGACATCAGCCACCAGTGCAGCACGCGCACCAAATGCATTATTATTACAATGTCTTTACCATGTACTTTGTCTTCTGACAAGTGAACGGCACAGCCTGTGAGATCAGAGCGTACGTATGGCGTTCGTGTAAGTGTACTAGGTAATAAGACAAAGCCGTGCTCCTTGGGTAGTGTCCAGGATGTCGCTACTGCGCTCCTTGTGCTAGGGACCTGAGCAGGCCTGCGAACATTGCTTGACCCTGCCGATCGAATCCGAGAATGCAGCATCCGTCCTCAATACGCATCTTGGAATAAGGAGGAACGCCGCTCGAAACCCGGGCTGTGCTTCGTGACGCTTTGTGCGTATACACCCATCTTGCACAACAGTTCAGCGAAAGTCGAGGCAGGACTTGTCGATCGTCCGAGGCTGGTCGGGATGACAGCCAGACTTGGTACCTCGGTACGACTTTCACAACAATGTGTGATTCATCGTACGGTAAGCACAGCATACTGGCTGTGATGTGACAATGCATCAGTCTCACGGCGGCAACACGTATTTGCCATTCCAGGACCTCGTCGCCGTGGAACAAGTGGATGAGAGGACTTTCCGATCGATAGCCTTGCCGTTTCAGCCTGGTGGCGCAGTGGGCAAGAAAAGGGCATATGGAGGACATGTCTTCATGCAGGCAGCTTGGGCAGCGTGCCATACTGTAGCAGACGGCTTCGTGTTGCATGTAGGCAGTTCCTTGGCCCACGCTGCTGAATTACAGCAGGCATTACTTTGACTTATGCTGATATGGTCAATCCAACAGAACGTGACTGGGAACTTCATCTTGCCGGGCTTGACAGATATACCATTCATCTATAAGGTTCACATTATCCGAGATGGTCGATCGTACTCGACACGGATCGTCAACGTCACACAGGCCCGAGGGAAGGGCATCTGCTTCACTTGCACCTGCTCGTTCAAGAACCCTGAGACCTCGCCCCTTGACGTTCAGGAAAGTGTGAATATATGGGAGAAGTACAGCTCCATCTTGTCTGGCAAGAAGCCTAGCGACTTCGAGGAATGTCCTGGTATGGATGTGCCATGGTACTGGAAGCGGCGGAAGGAGACTGGAGTCAATGAGCCTTTTCCCGGCCTGCAAATGCACAAGGTCGACATGGATCGTTACAACGAGCCACTACATCCCTTGGATCGGCGTCAGCTGATCATGTATCGGACGCTTGATAATCTTCCTCGAGATCCGAATCTTCATCTTTGTGCCCATCTATATGCATCGGACCGAAACAGTCTTTTCATAGTTGCCAATCACCTGGACATGGGCGATACATGGACTCAGATGGGCACCCTGGCGCACACGGTTATATTCCATGCTGCTATGAACGACCTATGGTTCGGCCCATCAACGTCCCAAGATTCCCCACTTGACAGCCTGGATGGTCGCTGGTATTGTAAGGAAGACTGGTCTGATCGTGCTGGCTCGGGACGTGCGATGTTTCATAGCAAAGTCTGGGCGGCAAGTGGTCGGCATGTTGCAACTGTCGTGCAAGATGGTATGATCAGACTCACGAAAGACCCTGTGGCCACTGAAGACGAACGGCGAGCGCTGAAGAAATTGGAAACCGCTTGGAAGCCTAGGCTTTGATCTGCACAGCTGGCGCGCCAGGCAGTACGAGTATGAAAATTGCGTACTCATACGGTAGACAAGTCAATTCGCGTATTTACACTGCTCCATTTACTTGTATCATACATTGCCATGTGCACGTGTATCTCATCACTGTCGTAAATCCACACGGTGAGAATGTGCTCTCTCAGGCTCAGGCGCTGCCACTGACTCTAATGCTGACTCCGGCAGCAAGCCGTCTCAAATGTAGTACCAGCAGATATCGATGTCAGCCTCCAAAACCGTTCAATACCGGGTATTCGTACTGGTCGCCTTGCGAAAAGTCGAAAGGCCAGGGCCTCGCCTTGCCATCAACAAGATCAGCGGGCAGCTGGAACTCATCCAACGGCGTAGCCATTCCCATCCTCCCCATCGTTTGTGGCGGCATCGCAGCATGTGCATGTGGTAATGTGATGCCCGGAAGATTATTGATGTCGTTACCAACCTGCTGAGATTGGGGCTGCTGCGAACCAGCCGCGGATGAAAGGAGCTGTCGCTGAGCATCCATGTAGCGGTCGATCTTTTCAATATGTGCCCGTAGATCATGACTCGCGCCTGTTGTCGGTTGCAGGCCGGATTCGAGGCCCTGCAAAAGATCTGCCATGGAGACCAGGAGGGCTCGAACACGCTGATAGGACTGCTCACACAGTAGACCTTCCATTACAGAGCCGAGGATACGTCCGATACCGCCGAGATGGTACACCAAAGGCGTACTTATGGCGCGAAGGTACTGTGGAGCAATGCTATGGAAGGTCGTGAGTACTTGCTCAGCCACATAGCATTTCTGGTAGACATCATGGTTGGTGTTGGTCGAGAACAGCGTCATACGGACCAGCTGTAATGTGGCTTGGATGTTCGCTGCCTGGAAACCGAACAAGTCCTGGTTCTTATCACCTGTGACTGCCACGTTGAAGTTGCGGAATCGTGCCGATAGCTGATAGTACAGACCGAGAACATTGTCCATGACTGTCGAGTCAGGTAAGTCGCCTGCACACACTAGGCGGGTGACCGACATACGATCGAGTCGGCCTTCTCTCGTCCTTCGCATTCGACATATCGAATGCTCCAGGACACGATAAAGATCTGTGGTAAAGTTCCATCCCTGCAGCCAATTCTCTCCTGTAGTAGGGCTAGGTGCTCGGCTTGTTGGACTTATGTCCTCATCGTTGATCTCGCTTGGATACATGACTTTCGAATGATTTTCCTGCGCCATGACCACACCATCAAATACGACCGCCACATAAACCTGAAAGGTGTACATAGACCAGAAAAGTCTTCTTCGCTCTTCTCGCTCAACGACTGTCAATGTCGGTGGCCAATAAGTTTCGTCGTGGAACTGCTGCATCGCGGCCAGTGTCGTGTAATTGCCCATGAATTGATGCATCATATTGATATGTCCATACTGGATGCTGCAGAGCGCCAGCAGACCGGCAGCTCTCATATAATTCTGACACTGTGCTTTGCCAAGATCCTTCGGTATAGCGTCCTGGGCGGCGGCGAAGAAGACCTCGGAGGATCGCTCCGAACTCTCGCCCAGGTCGGGTCTGTCACCAATGGCACCGTCTCTCGCCCTGGCGGCGGCAAGTGCACAAGCAGCCATAGCCGCAGCGAAGAAGCCTCGATCAGTCAGATGGTGGCGTTTTGCCAACTTGTCTTTTAATGTTGGGCCATGGAATAGTGGGAACAACGGATATACAATGTCCATGTATACCTCGATATACTGTTCAATCGTCGTCATGCTGGCGAGCGCGAACGACCGCCATGCCACGTCCAGGAGGTCCTCGCGCGCTCCTTCGCGTACGCTGAGATATGCTCCAGTATAGTCAGGCTGGCCACTAGCCATGCCATTGCCGTTCGTCTGCCGGCTCGTTCCAGTATCCTGTGTTTTGGACCCGTCGGACGAAGGTGAGACAGTGTCCTGTTGTACTGCACCGCCCGACAATACATTCGGTGGCGAAGTGTGTGCCAATGAAGGGTTTCGTCTTCGTCGCGAAGGACGATTATATGTACAATCGACAGCAAAATCGTAGCAATTCTGGCATTGCTGTTGTGGGTTCTCCGCACTGGGTCTGCATCTGATGCTCCGTCGATGGCAAAGATCGCAAGCCTGCGAGATTCTCTGAATTTTCTTGGGCCTTTCCGTGGAGGAAGACATGATTGGATGTATAGCGCCGGCGACGAGCCCGCGCCACTCGATCGGTCGTTCGCTGTTAGCTCCTCAGCCAACGAGACGTCTCGGTGAACACCAGCAGCGGTGGAACTCTATGACTCGTGGCAAGGTACGGCGATCGCGAAGTTGCTTAGTGCAATAGAAGCCGTGTAGCAGCTGTTGTGAAGAGTGTAGGCGGTGAGGAGAGTTGAATACAGGCTTCTAGAAACTATGGAGATTTTCTCTCTCGCGCCGAAGATTGAAGTGGCTAATTCCTGCCTCATGCCGCCCCTCGTTGACAATGACGGACGTCATTGCTGAGCGTTTGACCTAAAGATGGGTAACGTCGTGGTCGGACTTGCCTGATTGTAGATTTGCCATGAAGTCATATGCTACATCAGGTTGTCATCCAGATGAGGACGTCCTCTTCTTGGCTCAAGCTTCTCTTTCATCAACGTTCCTATCTCATCGCATTCGACTTGTTCATTCTTCGGCTTCTCACGAATCTGGCGATGCCCGGTTCCCCGGCTAACGGCTGCCGCTGCAATCATGTGGCGCATAGTGGAGATAATGGCTTACGAGCATGAGTCTACTACCGTGAACGACGTGTGTAAGGGGCACTTTTGAGGTAAAGACCGCATCTAATTAATCTCCGCTAAATCGCTATCACAAGAGGAAATCTATCAGTCGTTGGTACACTCATGATATAGCATGATCCTCCAACATCCACATATCTCCTATCATTACGCCTAACAGATCTCTCTTGCTCGTCCCATTCGTAGGCGTGAAGTTCAAGTTACCAACATCGCACCAATTCGTCGTTCCAGTCTTTACAGGCAAGCACGAAAGGTATTTGCACCACGAACACCCGACCATTGGCTCCTTGTAGAAGTTCGTGAGGAGCAAGATGAACCCAATCAGACATCCAATCAATGCCGCTGCACGGACAAGCCACCATGCCCACCATATACCTCGGCGGTTCTGGAAGAAGCCCAGTGGTTGTTTGAAGAAGCCAAGAAGACCTTCTTCGCGTCCAGATGTGCTTCGAGCGTTCGAGAGGCCACTATATCGGTTCTCGCCTGTCGATGTGCGCCGTGCAACAGCTGAGGGTGAGCGCAGGATGCATACCCCAAGGACGAGTCCCATGAGGAAGCCGCCTATATGGGAGAAGTTGTCAAGACCTGGTAGAAGACCAAGCACGAATGCAATGATAATGTCCAGAACAATCCACAGTAGATCCTTGACTGGTCCTTTCCGGTCTTTCCAGGTGTAGAGAAGATCAAGCAGATTTATTGCAAGAATGCCAAACAGGCTTCCAGAGCAGCCGCAAGATGCTATGCCATTCGCTGCAAAGTTGCCACCAAGGACGAAGCCGAAGATTCCCGCTGCAAAGTAGACGATTGCAAAGCGGACGCTTCCTATCAGCCGCTCGATGTCCTTGCCCAGTGTGAGCTGCAGGAGCAGATTGAACGAGATATGGATAATACCAGCATGGATGAAGATGGGCACAATGAACCTCCACCACTGGTTAGGGGCAGGCTGATCATGAATATCTCCCCCAACATGCGGATCAGGCACACCACTAAACCCACAAAGCTCGGACAACGAGCACGACACATCCGCGCCAGTAGTCGATGTGGCATTTGGACAAGGCCAGGATATCTTCTCTGTAGCATTTTGAACGTTCGGCATGTTGTGCATGCAGGGCTGATATCGTGCGCCCATGTTGATAAGGACGTATGGTGATGGTCCGATCATGGGGTTGAAGGAAGGATGTATCTCGATTGGTGACTTCGTCAGGACTCCCATCTTAACCAGCTCGGCGATGAAGACTATCAGCTCCACGACGGAAAGGGTATACACCACCCATGGTATGCGTCCACTAAACCAACCGTCCCTTGGCACACTTCTTCGTTTCCGTCGTTTTCGTGGGTCTACATCTCTTACGAACGAGTCTTCTGTTTCTTGTTGGGGAAGTATTGGTGATATGGTAGTATGCGATTCGTGTTTCCGGTTCTGCTTTAAAGGTATGGCATTCTGATCCTCGAAAGGGTCGGGCTCATCGTGCAGTCGTCCACTTGCGCCCGAATAGGACTGTGATGGTGTTTGATGGGAATATGGGTAGGCGCTGTGATTCCCATAGGATGAGCCGCCGGGAAGAGGTGGCAGTTCATCGTCTCGTCTGTTGTATGTGTCGTATACTGGATCATGATATGGCGTAGGTTGGGCATAGCTCGAATTGTAGTAATCGTGAGAGCTCATCTTTGCAGTTGCTCGCCCGGCTCAGGCTGGTCGTCTTGGAAACTAGCCGGTGCTCATGCAAGACCAATTCGGTGTTGGAATCCGTGGTTAACAGGAGCAAGTGTAATATTGCTTTGTTGCGCGGACGGCGAAGTCAATTGCACGGGCAGAGTTTCTACTTCGCTTTTATCGTACAGATCCCGCAGCGTACAGAATGAAGGAAAAGGAGAGCGTAGTCTGACAGCGCCCTTAACGCCAGCCTTGTCACATCTAAAAATGAGAGTACAGTAGTCGTAGGTGTATGGACAGCCGCGTTGTTGGCACCACCACTGTGGCTCAGCACCTGCGGCTTTGATCTGCACCAGCCCGAAGCAGCCAAGCGCATCGAAAGCTACGCGTAATCGTCATCGTCCAAAAGGTACATATAGAGGACCATTAAGACAACGACGCCTCTTGTCAATCGATAGCAAACACCAAGGTCCCTACCAGAGCATTTTTGAAAGTAGCAGAGTTCTCGCAAGTATGCCATGGAAAGGTGTCATCTTATCCCCAAGCCGACCACCTTAGCGGACATGATCTCGACGTCGAGAAGTATACTGTAACGGCATATCAGAACTTAGCCAATGCCCAAGAGAAACTCCCGAGATCCGCTGGTGAGAAATCATTATGTTCTCCTGTCACCGAGAGGTGACAGACATCGTCGCACTGCTCGAGATCTACTCTTCAATATTGCTTTGCGGGCCCTCCATACACATATCCGTGATATGTTCCGCTGGTAAGACGACATGATTGGCGAGACGTCCGGATGGTCTCTTCTTCCTCAGAAAGACATGCGAAATTCTTGAAAAGCAGACCAAGGATCCCTCCATTAGCACTTCTCTACTCCGACTGTACGTTTCTGTTGGTCACGCATGGTCGACCTCCCTATCCGCGATCAGTCTTACCAGGTGGTCCTCGCTACTGATCGCTGGGGGGCTTGATTGAGCTTCGTGTCGTTGCGTGCAACGATCGACAATGATTGGAGGCAGTGGAGCCGGGACGACATCATGTCTGCTCACACGGCATTGTTGCAACCATATATGTGACCCAGGCAGTCTGGAGGATCTGGAGGAATCGTAGGTCCTTACTTCGATGCTTTCGAGTGCTCATAGCGTACAACGATGCGTACCTGAGCCCAGTTTGAGATTACGAGATCCAGCCAAGACGTGGGAGGATGTCCTGCATGCAAGCAGCAGTTCAAAAAGGCATCGTTGCAGCCCTTGTCCCCACGCGGTCTGCACGGCGGCCTTATTCAACGGCGTTTCTTTTTATGGCTATCTCCGCAACTTTCACCGCATCCTGAGCGATCGTAGTCGCTGGAGTCCTTCTCAGGACACTGTATCATTCGAGGAGAGCGATGTAAGCAACTGGATAGCATGCTTCAAGGCTCGGAAGTCGTACACTTGGTTGGCTTGACTGCCAATGGTTGTTCGGGCGGCCTCGGGAGCTGTCCGGTAAGTTGTTCGGCGGAATACGGAGGAACCTGGCCCCTCCAATGGTGGAGGGGTTGCTTCAGATTCTGTGGAATGATCTCTTATTAAGAGGTCTATTTCACTTTCTTCACTCTGCAATCACAACTGTACTGTACAAAACCACAATCAGAACCTCACACCTAACTCGAACTACCAAACCATGTCTTCCTCCAACAAGATCGGCGTGCCAAACGGTGTGATCTATGGCGAGGATGTTCGCAAGCTGTTTCAGCATGCGCAGGAGAACAAATATGCCGTCCCTGCCATCAACGTCACTTCCTCCTCTACTGTCGTAGCATCTCTCGAGGCTGCCCGTAACTCGAAGAGCCCGATCATCCTCCAGGTCTCGCAAGGTGGTGCTGCCTACTTCGCCGGCAAGGGCGTAGACAACAAGGACCAATTCGCTTCGATCGCTGGCAGTGTCGCTGCTGCGCACTACATCCGAGCTATTGCACCAGCATATGGCATCCCAGTCATCCTCCACACCGACCACTGCGCCAAGAAGCTTCTGCCATGGCTCGATGGCATGCTCGACGCCGACGAGGCATGGTTCAAGGACAACAAGACCCCGCTCTTCTCCAGCCACATGATCGACTTGTCCGAGGAGGAGGTGAAGGAGAACATCGAGACCACTGCCAAGTACCTCAAGCGTGCGGCGCCAATGAAGCAATGGCTCGAGATGGAGATCGGTATCACTGGTGGTGAGGAGGACGGTGTGAACAACGAGTCCGTTGACAACAACAGCCTATACACCCAGCCGGAGGACATCTATGAGATCTACAAGACTCTCAGCCCCATCAGCCCATACTTCTCTATAGCGGCTGGTTTCGGCAACGTGCACGGCGTCTACAAGCCTGGCAACGTCAAGCTTCACCCTGAGCTCTTGAGCAAGCACCAGAAGTACGTTGCCGAGAAGGAAGGCACCAAGGACGAGAAGCCCGTCTTCCTTGTCTTCCACGGTGGCTCCGGCTCCAGCAAGCAGGAGTTCCTCGACGCCATCTCCTACGGTGTTGTCAAGGTTAACCTCGACACGGATTTGCAGTATGCGTACACTGAGGGTATCCGCGACTACATGATTAACAAGAAGGAGTATGTCAATACCCAGGTTGGCAACCCGGATGGCGCGGATAAGCCAAACAAGAAATACTACGATCCTCGTGTGTGGGTCCGTGAGGGTGAGAAGACCATGACCAAGCGCGTTGAGACTGCTCTCAAGGACTTCAACACTGCTGGTCAGCTTTGATCATCATGGCACCTTTGAAAGCATGTCTGGAAATCTGACGAGTCGTTATGAAGGGAGCGTGGATAAGTCTGCTGTTCGGCAATTAGTATGAGGCAGCAACAATGAGTATGTAGATATCCTACCAAAACCAGAAAACCACCTCACACCACCGCCAAGGCTCGCATGGCCTGTGCGCCACCTTCATTGTTTTCACTTCGTCTGCTTCCTCCTGCCCTTATCTTCATACACCAATCTCAGGATTGTCTTTCCACATCACGGCGAGAATGAACAACATGTTCCTCCTGCCATGCGTGTGCCGAAAGTATACAGACAGCCAAGGATCCCGACCGCACTGCAATCTTGAAAATCTGAGATTGGCGCGACATGAAACACGGGCTGCCGAAGTTTGATTCCTGGCTGCCACTGCATCTGGTCATTTTCCAACCACACGAACATCCTGTCTCAGGAGGAATACCAACATCTTTGGCACCACATGGCAGAAGGTGGATCTTTGGTTCTATCGAAGGACTACCTCACTGCTTCGTGGCTGCCGCGAAGGCGTTTGGCATTCACCGAGAGGCCTCTGCTTGGTGAGGTGCCGCCACTCCGCGGCCGAGTGAGTTCGTCGTTGACTACCTACGTACGGAGAATCACAGTAGGTACATCAGGTCTGTATGTCTGCTTTCTCTGCTTGACAATCTATTCTTTGTTCCATCCTCTTGGTGATCAATACCCACGCTGTCTTTGTTCTATCGACGCTTTGTACACGGCTGTGCCGTTACGTCCATTCATTTCACAATCACGACAGTATCACGACCTATCTCGATTATCGACACGATTCTGCAGACCTTACACTTGTTGAGATCCTGCTCCAACATGCCCACGACGATTGCTCTGGGGCTTAGTCTGTTGGCCACTTTCGCGGCTGCAACGCCAGCGCATCATGTGCATCACTCGCACCCTCAAGTCTCGACAAAGCGAAGTACCTATCCATTCAATCAGCTCGTGGCATTTGGCGATGAGCTGAGCGACAATGGCAATGGGTCCTACGCGCACGGCATTATGGGCGGGCCAACGGGCGACAGCTATGGATTTGGAACCTGGACAGATGGCCCAGTTGCTGTGTCATATTTGGCGGACCTACTCAACGTGCCACTTGCGGACTATGCCTTCGGCGGATGCTGTGGAGGCTCTACTATCGGAGCCACCATCAACAATACTTACACGAGCTCCGGCCCGAAGCTCCTGAACGGCGACATCATCCCATCTGTGCACGATCAGATCTTTTGGAACTACACGAAGGGTGGCAGCCCTGGGAATATCAAGAATGCTCTACAGTTCATCTGGACAGGACATACTGATCTGATGGATCATACCGACTGGTTCTGGGAGGGCGACCCTCATAACGATTGGTTCGCGAGCAACATGTCGGATCGCATCACATACAATGCGGAACATTTGATCGAGCTTGGTGCCCCTTATGTTTTCATCGCGAACATTTATCCCAAGCATCGTGCTCCCGTTGGTTTCACATACCTCTGCGGCACAACTCCATGCGACAAAGTCTTGCCTGTACTCGGCAACATCATCCAGAAAGCCAATAACGCCATCGAGCAAGCAGTGAAGGAATCCAAGTACGCTGACAAGCTCATCTATTACGACGTGTTCACCTTCATGGATAACTTGATGGACAACAAGGATCAGTACGGCCTGACGCAACCCCTGACAGACTGGTGTGATGGCAAAAGTGACGCAATTTGGGATACATGTACCGCCGGCTCATACTATTGGGAGGGTGCTACGAAGTTCTTTTGGATGACCTATATTGAGCCGACTACCACTGTACACAGTCTAATTGCTCAAGACATGAAGAAGAGGATCGATCAATTCTTGGGCACATGAGCTAGACATTCCCTGCGGCGAAGAACATCACTATCGCGCAGGGCGCAGCATCTTTGACGACATCACATTCTTATACATTTTTGCCAAGTACAGGAGGCCGGCTTTTAGAATTGCTTAGATGTACAAATGATACCTTTCCAAAAACATGTGTCCCAATTCCGAGCTTGAACGTAAAGGAGCAAGAGGAATATCTGTCTCGACATCAACTCTTTGCTACAATCTGTGCAGACGCTTCCGATTGATCAATGTTTTTGGCAGGCACTATCACCTAGTGGAAGTGCTTACCACTTCGGGTGTGATACCGCTCGAGACCTTCCCACTTCACTGTCGTACTCTTCCACAACGTACACATATCTCGAAATAATCTTATACTTCTTCAGGGCGCCATCCATCGATATGGGGTCTATTCCCGAAAGCGAGAATAGGATACCAATCATCGATATACGAGACAGCAATCCAGAAGCTGCTCAGCAATTGCTCAGGGCGGCTGCCAACCATGGATTTGTTTACATCGACAACATTGGTGGGCCAGTCAAGCATCAAGCAATAAATGATGCCTTCGGGATCTCAAAGCGTTTCTTTGCATTGCCACCAGAAGTGAAGCAAACCGTGGCTATCGGCAGTAACAAGGCGGGTGGAAACTATGGATGGCTGAGCAGAGGGGTGGAAAAACTGGATCCGGCAATGCAGAAGCGGCCAGATGTTAAGGAGTGAGTGCAGATCTGTGGTGAGGATCTTATCAAGCTGACTGGCTGCTCGTAGAGCCTTCAATATTGGCGAGCCCGTCCACGGCGTGTTGCAACAACCCGTGCCTGCACAGCTCGCCGCAGTGGCACCACGGATTGCACTCTTCCAGCAGAGTTGCCACGAACTCTGTCTCAAGATCTTCGAACTCCTCGCAAAAGCTCTGAGTGTACAGCAGGACTGGTTTGTCTCACGCCATAACTCGAACGACCTTTACCGGCCGTCTGGAAGCGTCTTCCGTATGCTCTATTATCCGCAAGTGGAAGATCATGAAGAAGGCGTCGACATTCGTGCTGGTGCTCATAGTGATTTCGGTAGTATCACCTTGCTTTTTCAACAACAAGGTCAGCCTGGTCTGGAGATCAAGACACCAAGTGGCGATTGGGTAAGTAGAGGAATCTTTCACGAGGTGATGATAGACTCTGACCTGTGCCATTAGATTCCAGTTCTCGTTGATCCTCGAGATCCAAGCAATGGCGCTCCCCGGCAGACGATAGCAAACACGAGGAACTTCTCGGATATATTCATACAAGCAATGGAGAAAGCCAGCTACCTGCGAGAACACGAACGTTATGACTTTCTGATTTTCATGCACCAGTACAGCCAAGATAAGGATACCGAAGCTGTGCTTAGCAAGATGGTCACAATGTTCCAAGACCGCCCAATTATTCTCAACAAGTTCAACATGTTTCTACCACAAGGATACCAGATCGAGTGTCCCGAGACTGCTACAGGTGTGATTGAGATTTTTACGCCGCTGGGATTGATAGCACCACCCCTACATATGGGCCGAAACAGATCTGCTGTTGTCGCGCGATGGGAACCGCCCATCCTGCCGATCCTCGTGAACGTGGGTGACCTACTCGAAGACTGGACAGGCGGTCTGCTCAAGTCGACCGTTCACCGCGTCATCTTCCCCAAAGATGGTGGCGAAGATAGATACAGTCTCGCCTACTTTTGCCATCCTCTCGATGATGTGCTACTGGAGCCGGTACCAAGCGCACTCGTACAGAAATACATGAAGCAGACTGGTAAGAATGGTTCGAGGGATGGCAGGGCAATGACCGCGAAGGATCACTTGATGGCGAGATTGGCTGCAACGTACACCATCGATTCCGAGCCAGCCGAAAGACGGGACTCGCCTGTACGAGAACCGGGACAGGTCATGGAGGAAGTCAAGGAAGAGGTGCTATCTGCTTGAAGACCAAGAAATCGGACTGGCCGCGTATAAGGGCCACGAGTTCTGTGTTCCAGTACTTGTTGAGAGTGGAAAGGGGTGTTTGCAGGTTTACAAGGCAGATAACCTTCTGCTTTCGCGGAGATACTTGTAGGAGTTTTGAATTATTGTATCTTTGCATCACTATCATCAGGCTATGCTCAGGGGTATCTCAAGTAGCAGTCTCTAAGCACGAGGCACCACCGAAAGGCGTGGCTGGTAAGGCCCTTGCGCCATCGCGACAATCGCTCTTTGTGCATTGCAGAAACGGCACATATGTGAGCGTCGAAAGAAAGCCACAAGTCATCGAGCCGTACCGCAGTCAGTCAGAAGCCATCTTTGTAGGCAAAGCTACAAGCCCTGACCACCCCAGCACCGACATAGTCGTATCACTTCTTCATCATCATCGTCGTGTCTGTCGTCAGCGTCGCAGTCTCGTCGCATCTAAGCACCAAACCCGTTCCCGCCAATCTGCCCATTAAGCAGGACTTCGAGCATATCATGATCGCCAATCTGAGGGCCCCACATAGTCTGCTCAATCACAGCTCCATTGCTACCAAATAGACCATCCAGAGGCAGAGTCAACCAATCTTCTGGTGCTGTGACGCCGCCGCCGTAAGTATTAGTGCCGTAGACAGGGTCGTAAGCGCCTCCACCGGTAGTCTGAGCGCCATTTGTACCGTTCAGGCCGTGAGTGTTGGTTGGAGATTGCATGTACGTGGGTGGTGGCATAACGGAGAAGTCGTTGCCGGTCAGGTCGTAGGCATCGGAGGAGATGCCAAGGAGTGGATTGTTGTAGCCATTGTTGACAGTGTTATCGAAAGCGGTGTTGCCATAGGTCCACTGTTGATGCTGTTGCTGTTGCTGCTGTGGCATCGCCATAGTAGCACCCGCCATGGCTTGCTGCATCTGCTGCACGTAGGCACGGCTGTGCATGTCATTGCCGGGCATGGACATGGGGACTGGTGTGCCAGGCATGCTGGCACGAGTGCTGCGATTGACGCGACCATCGGCTGTGATGCGCACAAGGCGTGGTTTGAGGCTCTCGCTGAGACGACTGAGTAATTCGGCGAAGCGGCTAGCGACGTGCACATCATCCACGATGCATGTCTGCAAGGCATCGATAGTGCGGTCCATGAGATTGAGGGAGTCAGCCACATCGCTCTCGCTGGCGCCGAGAGAGAAAGATTTGAGGAGGATGATGGCGACACTGATGATGCGGAAGTAAGTGCGGACGGGAGCGTGGCGCAGATACTCCTCAGGGTAGAGATCCTCGACCACAATCTTGAGCAGGTTCCGAGCAGCGTCACCGACTTCAAGCATGTAAGTCCGGTCGCCACCAAGCCATTTGGCAAGGGCATGTGGCGAGATAGGCGCATCACTCCTTAAGCCGTTGGTAGTGATATTCTGATTTTCGCGCACGATCTCGACGGCAGGATTCTCAAACACATTGAGAGGCTGCTCGTTGGCACAGCGCTCAGCGACAGCCTGAAGTGCAAGCGCATTAGTGTAGACACGGCAGTACTCGTACTCGATCATGAGTATAGCACGCATATGCTTCGGAATGGTGAGACACCTCTCGAAGTCTTGACGCCACTCGTTCAGCTTGGCCGAGAGCTGCTGTATAGCCTTGCCATACTCGCCATTCTTGATGAGGTCTCGCGTGAAGGTCTTGTTGGCGAAGATGCTGGAGTTGCCTTCGCGGATGATAGCAGCCATGCGAAGCCAGAAGTGCATGATCGTCTCCTGCTGACTGGCATGGTGAACGTACTTACGGTCGAAGATGTTGCTGTCTTCGGGCTTGCTGTAATTGGTCGGCAGCACAGTAGTCAGGCCGAGCCTACCACTCGTCTGGGTGACGTAGACGAGAAGCAAGTCCCTAACACTACCACGGCGCTTGTCGTATGTCTGCAGATCACCAGGCGAGAGCGGCTGGCCCTCGATAGTGCGAGCGTGCCTCTGCCAGTCTGAAGCATCGAACACCCCCACTTCGAATGCGAGGGACATGGCCATGCCGAGAAGCATCCAGCACATACGATCGGAGCGCCAGACGGGCTCGAGCCAAGTGTCCATGCGCTGACCACCGATGCCCTTAGGCACATCGTCCTCATCAATCATGACCGGCGTGCTGACAGGCTCGTCAGGCAGCATAAGCTCAGCATCTGCCTCGTCCGGTGGGAAGTGCATCATACGAGGGTGCCATTCCGTCAGAAGCACAAGAGACTCGACGGTACCCAACGTCCTGAGACCCTTGCGAGCAAGCGGGTTCATGTCACTAGCTGGCACACTACCAGCAGGCGTACTACCAGCACCACAATAGCCACCACCGAATTGCTCCTGACCCCAAACCACACGATTGATCATACCTTGCAAGTAGCTCCACAGCCGCTTGTGTATCTCGTATGGACGGCTGATGGAGCCTGGGCCGGAAAGCTTCATGTGACGAGAGGCGATCAGGAGGATAGTGATCGTGAGCATCGGTTCTTGGGTGAGCATTCGCTCGTGCGCGCTGTGAGGACTGAATGTTGGGAGGGCGACCGGCGTCAGAGGCGCAAGGTACTTGTAGAAGTACTGGATGTAGTCGATCGCCTCTTGCGCCGTAAACCAGCCTTCGCGAACGAAGCGGAATCTTGACCATGCTTTGAGCGAGTCCGCGATCGCATTGCGATCAATAGTCGTGGTCTCTTTGAAGCTGGGGTGTGATGTGTTGGTATTGTGCCTGCCTCGAGATGCGGCTTGAGCAGCAAGAGGAGTCCGCGAAGAAGTAGCATCTGTCGAGTTGCCGTTGCCGTGCTTGATCGAGCGTGGGCTGATCATGCCTGCTGGCAGCAAAGGCGAAGTGCTATTGAAGCTAGGGCGCTCAAGTGATCCACCGCTGTTGTTGCGGTCGCGAGGGAGTGCATTGTAGGCGACATGATAGAGCACTTTCAGGGCATCGTGCCCACCATGCACCTCCGAGCTCTGCAACATAGCGGCCGCATGCTCACTAGCTTGATGATCCTCCTCAGTGTACTGTACAGGCTTCTGTGGGTGTGGGCGACGAAGTGGTTGGCGTCTACCAAGTGAACCACCCGGCGTACGTGGCTCCTCCTCAGCTTCTTCTTCATCGACACGATCTGGAGATTGCCTTGCTCTCTTCCTAGTATGCTTGGCTTCGGGGACTTCCTCGTCCGAGTCTTCGGCACCATCACCGATACCACTCTTCTTCTTCTTGCGACGAGTCGAGGAGAAGTAGCACTCCTTCGACTCCCTCTTGCAGCGTAGACATGGCGGATCGCTGGGGTTGTCGACAGATCCTAGATCGCAACGGACTTTGCGGTTTCTGCATGGAATGCTATACAATGATCAGTGTTTGAGTATCGTCGACGACATGTTCCAACATTACATACCAAGCCTGATAGGTACGCTGATGAGCAGCAGGATCCTTGCCCTGCTGACCTGGATCGGGCGTGCCATCATACTGAGACCCACCATGCGAGTTCGTACGAACATTACTAGCGTAGATGTTGGCGGCAGAAGCCATGGTTGGATTTCTTGTCATGTAGACAACGAGGATGAGCTTGACCCGGCGCAAAGCGCTCAGGGTATTCGGTCAGCCTCGGTCGAGTGTGCTTATCGCAGAGACTCGAGGCGACCACCCGGGTGGGGATTTGTGGCCCGCCGGCGGGGCAGCGCTATCGACTGGGTTGCAGCGGCCGCTTGTGCAGGCTGCCCGAGAGCTATGGTCGCGTGGTGGATGTGTGTGTTGATTGGTCAGGTGTTGTTGTTCGGGAGGAGGATGATGGCGATTTTCTTGGAGCTCTTTCGAAGCTCTGTTTGTTGCATGTTTCCAGAGTGTTGTGAGTCAGTCGAATTGATCTCTTGTAGGCCGACGTCAGCGATGAATGGATAGTGGCGGTGCTTGGTCACACGGAACAGGTCACTTCCGGAGGGAAACGGCGTTAGTCGTCGGCAAGGCCGTGTCACGAGCTGCCGAGGTGACAGCAACGAGCACGAATAGGAGAAGAGTGAAGCTTAAGAGATGAAGGAGATATATGATGGCTGGCGACGATAAGCATGAGCATGAACGGTATTGCATGAGAGATGGTGTGAAGCAATCAAGAAGACGGACGAGCTTGGACGAACAAGAGGGGCTTGTGCTACGTATGGTCGAAGCATGAACGCATATGTCGTGAAACGTGGGCGCCTCGTTGCCTTGCTGTCGTGCCTTCCTAAGCTGGAATGCAGCATGATTCTCGCAATAGGACCATCGCATCGTAGCATTCATCGCCTGGTGAGATTGGTAGAAGCGGAATACATCCGCTCGATCGTCAGGTACGAGCGAGGGAAGTGGATCTCGCGGAGCATGGTGAAGTGTGCAGAGTGGGGTCGTCCTCTCCTGCATCGTCGACGAAGTGCCGTGCGTGTCTTGTGGATGCCTCGAAGGTAGAATGTCGAGCCGTTATCGTGGTCCCTGTAGCGTGCTGTCCCACATGTCCAGCTCGGATACTTCTAGAGTGTTCCTAGTACGAGATCAGTAGATCAACCGGAGAGAGATCCGGGACCAGATACCATCGACGCAATTGCCCGAGGCGACTGCCCACCGAGACATCTTCAGGCCCGATCAGCTCGATCGCCTGAACGGAGCCAGGTGTACATCTTGGAGAGTGAATCCGTGCACGGAGAAGCTACGCCCATAGGCCAGCGATAATGACGACCCAATTCCAGCCCGGCCCAGCGTCCAGCTTGAAGGGCAAAGTCGTCGTCCTGACAGGCGGAGCTCTGGGCGTTGGCCAATCCCTTGTCCGTCTCCTCCACACGGCGGGAGCTCACGTCTTCTTCGGGGACGTCCTTGACTCAGCTGGTCAGAGCCTAGAGAAAGACCTCGACAACCCCGATGGTGGCGACGGTCCCAGAGTAAAGTTCGTCCCCTGCGATGTGACAAAGTACTCCGACAACGTGACGCTCTTCCAGACAGCCTACGAACTTTGCGGCCGAGTGGACCACGCGATCGCGAACGCCGGCCTAGGGGAGCAGGGGAATATGTTCGATCCCGCTCTGGATCTGGAGAGTGTGAAGCAGGATCCAGGGAAGAGTATGGCTGTCGTCGATGTCAATCTGAAAGGACCTCTGTACTTTGCTCGCGTGGCAAGCGTGTACCTGCGGCAACCAGCGCGAGAAGGTGGCAATGACAGCAAGCAGGATAAAAGTCTTACGCTCGTATCCTCTGTAGCTGGGTTTCGAGAAGATCCGGGCTTGTATGTGTACACGGCTAGTAAACACGGTGTTCTGGGTCTCATGAGGTCGTTGAGAAGGTGAGTCGTGGCATCCCTTCATTCCACAGAAGCCCCCACAGGCTTGGGTTTATTAAACTGATGTATCATAACTCCCCACAGTTCCCTGGCCGAAACCCAACCCAATCCAATCCGCACGAATGCTATATGCCCCTGGATGACGACCACACGCCTCGTGGCCGGTATCGAGGACATCTGGAAAGCCAATGATCTCCCTGCTAACAGTCCCGAGGACGTCGCGAGGACAATTGTAGGCGTAACCTCGGATGGCAAGGTGTGTGGAGGAACGATATATATCGAAGGTGGACGGGCGTGGAATATTGAGGAAGGGATTCTGGGCACGAGGAAGGAGTGGCTGGGTGAGAGCAGAGAGCGAGATCTGGGGAAAGGGACACAGCTGATGGGTGGAGGAGATCACTGGACAGCGAACAAGTCTAGCCAAGTATGATAGAGGATAGTATGTGCCTGGAAGCTTGTGCTGTTGTGTAAATGTGGCCATACCGTCTATGATACACATTACATTTCTACACGTTTCTGGACCTTCGGCCCACGTAATCGGCCTCGTATCCAGTCTGGCACGAAGGCCTTGACTGCCACAGCGCCATCGCCTTCCTTCGCCTGGACCATGAATCTATCTTCAGGACCGAACGAGCTGCCTTCGCCCGATATGCTCAGGTCACTCATCTGTTCCAGCCTGCAGAGTCCTAAGCCCACGTTCCCCGTCCTCGCTATCAGCTTGCCCGTGGGTCGTTTCCTCTGATCATCTCTCCTGATCTCTCCCTCTCCTAAGCCCGCGCCTTCATGACCAAGCACACTATCAATCAATTCTGCTGCGGAGGAATCGTAGACCAGATCCGCTCCTCCCTCCTCTCCTCTTGATTGGAGCACAACAGGCAACACTCTCCTCCTCACCACACCCGTATGATGCGTCCTTACCGTCAGCTCTTGTCCCGTATAACAACCCTTTTTGAAGTCGATCCCACCCATAAGATCGACATTGAAATTCATAGGTAGACTCTCCTCCCTCGCAAACTCCCTCTGACCTTCGGGTACACCGCGTAGATATCTACGGATCGTGTATGCGCTCAGAGGCGCTTCCTCCAGCTCTAATTCGGCGGGAAGGCCGCTGCCGCTTTGTGAAGAGGATGGTAGCAGAAGCCGTGTACCCATCCCTGGTGCTCTGGCATCCGTAGCACTCAAGTACCCTTCTTCCGAAATACTCTGATTGCTGTCTTGCGAAGGATGCGCTGTCCACCTCCCCTCCTCCCGCCATGAACTCCACAGCCCCATCTCACCCTCCTCTAAAACCCTCATCTTGAATTTACTCCTCAATTTATGCTTCTTGATATGCTTCGCCAACACCTCTAACTCATTTGCATCCACCTCAACCAAATATCCCGGCTCTCCGTCTCCATATGCTTGACCATGCCATCGCGAGCCTTGAGTGGGATATACAAAGACATCTACGACCACCCTTCCTTGTCCTGTGAGGAAAGCAGCGTAGAAAGATCCTTGTCGTGCGGGTGGTGTGAGGACGTTATTTGTGATAAGGCCTTGAAGGAACTTCGGACTATCTGGACCGTGAAGGGAGATGAGGCGACGGGTGGTGAGGTGTGCTGCGCCTGAAGCTGGTGGGAGAGGAGGAGCTGCACTGGTGGAGATCGAGCGGCGAAGGAGGGCTCTACGTGCTTTTTGCTTAAGCAGGCATTGTGCGCATGTCCAAGGTGCGCGGGTGGAGCGTACAGGCATCGTTCAGAGCATGAGATGCTTATAGCGAAGCATAAAAGTAAAGCTCAGAGTCGAGGTTCACGGATCTGATGTCATGCGGGACGATCGGGAATGCCGAAGCGGAAGGCCCGCAAAGTACGTACGCATACCTTAGTATAGTACGCACAGTAAGGTATTTACCTCAGGCACTTTGCCCCCCGTTTTATGTAGCTCTCATCACCAGCATAGAGTACCGCTCGGATCAGGTCACAACGACCGCCAGTTTGATGAAACCATGTGACAGTTGGCCAGAGGCATCATGACTCCGAACGTAGTCAAGTACACCACGTGTGAGTGATACAGTACAGAACGACCTAATCTCTTCTGCTACGACAAGCTCGTCTCCCTTTCCCAGCGACTGCGTCCCATCACACCTGTATCAATGTCTTCTAGGACCCCTACCCCCGCCCTCCTTAGCAACAACACCATTCAGATAATCCAGCAAGAACCCCTTAGCCTCAACAGGCGTGCCAGACCCACTGCCCTTCCTGCTTTCACTAGCACTTCCCACACCATTCGCAGAAGCCATACTACCCAGTCTTGATCTGCTTGCCTCCCCGACAATAGGAGTAGGTGTGAGAGCTGCCCCGGATCCGGATCTGATGTCTTCTGCTATGGCTGAGGGGTTCATAGTGTTTGTTGCGGATGGAAACGTAGGGGGCTGGCGTGTAGCTGGTGTGCCAAGGGCAAAGGGCGAGATAGGCGTTCCTGGGCTATCTAGCTTGTTGACTGCCGGTGCAGAAGGTCTGTTGAATAAGTCTAGTAGCGCGTTCTGCGGTGTTTGTTGACGATGATGCTGGATGTTCTGGCTGCTGGCCTGCCTCTCGCCCTTGAGCTGGGGTGGAGGCGGTGGCTTCATCGCGGGCGGCTGTGCTGGACGTCGTGGCTGATCGGGAACGGGCGCCTTATTGGCAACAAAGAGATCAAGAAGATTAGTCTTGGGTGCTTCTTGGGCAGGCATCTGTAGAGGAGCTTGCGTAGCAGGCGGAGAGGCAGTACCTGACCTCCCAAACAACGCAAGCAACTGATCCCTCTTATCGAACCCAGGTGCGGCATTGTCCTGATGCTCCTCGACAATCTCAGCAACCTTTTGTACAGTGATTGGATCCACACTCTCGGGCCTCTTCAGAAGCTGTACAGCCGGGTTTTGTGTAGCATTACTGGGCTTCGGCGTTTCATGCCGTAGCGGACTCGAAGGCGGTTTTTCTGCTTGCAGAGCTGGATATTTCTGCGCTCGCATGGAATCAGGTCGGGCTAGAATCTTGAACGGTGGCTGTGGACCTGCGTGCGGTGTGCCGTTCTCGTTGACTTTGCCTGAAAATGGCTGTCTAGAAGGCGACGCGTGCTTCGACTTCGGAGCTTTGGCCGGCCGTTGTGCGTGATGAGGTGGTGGCTGCTGCACTTTTGGTAAAGTCGTTAGGCCATTGTTGGCTGGCGCTTGATGGACTGATCGTGGGCCGGTGCTAGGAGTCGACGGGTCATACAGCTGACCACTGGAGCTGGGTCGCTCAAGCGATTGTGGTGAGGGCAGCTTTGGCTGCATTGAAGACGGTGAAGATGGTTGTGTTGTAGGCTGGACTGGTAGTGTTGGATGCTGCGATGCTGAGGAGGACTTCCTCTTAAAGCTCGTTGGTAGCGTCCTTGTGATCTCATTGATGGTCGAAGACTTCCTGATTGGTGCCTGAGGAGGTCTGACAGTAGCCTCCGTCGACGTTGGCGAGGGTGGAATCTCAGGTGCAGGCCCCTGTGCTCCAGAAGGTGTGGTAGATGACTTGCGGAACAGATCCAGCAAGGCGCTCTGGTGCTGACTTGGCTGTCTTGCGGCACCCTGGCCTTTACCGGAAGCTGAGGGCTGTTGTGGACCACCACTCCTGAATGTATCAAGCAAACTGAGCGAATGCGCACTCAACCTTGGCATAGGCAAGTTTTCGGCCTTGGGAGCCGCAGGCCCGCCACTAATGACACCTTGTGGACCCTGGGGAGCCATGAGTGCGTCTGAGTTGCGGGAGAAGTGCAAGGGCGCTTGAGGCTGATAGGCGGGCTGAGGCGGTATTTGAGGTTGGTTCTGAAATGGTGGCTTAAAAGGCCGTCGTTGTGGTATGCCGAAGGGGACGTCGCTCTGATGTCCAGACATAGGTCTTTGCAGGAGATTGTGTTGCTGTGGCAGTTGGTGTTGCATGTTTGGATACTGCTGGGGTGGCTGTACGAAAGGGTGCTGGGGTCCTTGGGCAAATCCTCCATTGCCAAATATGCCTGGCGTTGGCACCGTGAAATTGTGCTGCTCTGCCTGCTGTTGAGTTCTGGTTGGGCCGAATGGAAACTGTGGCACAGGTTGCTGGTACGGTATGCTAGTCTGGCGCGCGTGGTGAGGATGTGGGCTTTCCGGTTTTGGTGGGAAAGCATTGATCTGCTCGAACGGCGTTTGCGGCAGGCCTGCCTGAGCTCGAGGTCCAGATCCTTGAAGCATGGCCAGAAGATTGTTTGGACGGCCTCCATCAACAGGAGGTGGCTGTCCCGATTGCTGGGTAGGTTGCGAAGGAGGTGCCTGTGTCAACCCACCAATGCTAAGCAGCCTCCTCAAATCTGCACTTGGATCCAATGCCTGCTCGGCCAATGGCTCCTCTAAAGCCTCCGTCTCGTCCTCTACATTCGCATGCGCCATCTCGTTTCCAGGCGCCACGGTTTGAGCATCCTGCTGCGCATCTACCCTCTTCTGCTGTCCAACCCACTTCTTCAATGGTCCCAAGAACGGCGCGACCATATAAAACTTGTTTGCGTGGTGTGCCTGATCCGGCGCACCATGTTTCTGCTTTTTGAAACCTGGTAGGTCACGTACATTGTACCAAGCAATCTTGCTGATCTCTTTCCGTGTCTGAGGCTCGAAATGTGTGTCCTCTCGCACATTGCGGAACACGAATAGCCTCATGTGCTGTTCACGCATAGTCACATCGATGAACTTCACATCCTCCGGGTTCGCTGGTATGAGACCAGCACCTCTAACATCGAAGCCAGTTTCCTCGTACACTTCGCGTATCGCACAATCCAAATCCTTTTCGTCCTTGTTGATCTTGCCCCGCGGGAAGGACCAGCTAGCGCTCTTCTTCCAGCCCTTGACAAGTACCAGCTTCTCCATAGTCTCATCCATCAAGATCGCTCCTCTCACAGGCACTCGTACCTTATATGCCAAAAACTCCTCGTAAGCTGCGATATGCTGGGCATCGGTGAAGCCGCTCAGCAGCGGACAATGCTGAAATAGCTGGAGACAGAACTGCCTTAGAGGCAGACTGGGTAGTGGTTTACCCGCCGCCGCAGCAGCTGGTCGTATGAAATCTTCGTAAAACCATTGTGCTTCTTCTACCTGGAAGCATAGGCGTGGGACTGAGGATAGCTCAGATGCTGGGAGGTTCAGTAAGAAACGAACGGTCAGGTCGTCGAGCCAATCAACTAGGCTCATGCTTGTAATCTCTCCCATGGTGATAATATGTGAAGTGATGGGTCATGGCGTGCCTCGGAAGAGTCGAGGTGTAGAAGTAAGTGTGAAAGCGTAGCTGCGCGCTTGGAGCAGCTGCCGCTTCAACGGTGTTGACTTGTGCCAGTCAGTCTGCAAGAGACAAGAAACGAGATCTTGTCTTGAAGGATAGATTGCAGCTTGGTGCGTAGTATGAGCCGATCGAGGCATACAGAACAATACTTTCTTTGGAAAGAGGCTGTTATTCCGATTAACTGCTGTTCACTCGAGCTCGAAAGGCTGGCTGCTGATCGTGCTTTCGGATCGGACATCGGCATCGGAAGCAGAGACGGGCCGTGCATTAGTCATATTGTATATGGCTCGATCCAGTAATCATCAGACGCTCTGCTCACACTCTTCCTGTGTCGCGAGCCAGAGGTCAGAGGGTCGTTTGACGCCTCTATACATTCTGAAACCACCTGGTCACGCAAACCACCGGAGCAGTCTCGCAGTGCTCAGCAGCCTTGCCACAAAGCCAGTCTCATCATGGCCTCGGACGACCTCAAATCCAAAGCACTCGACTCCTCCCACGACTTCTACGACCTACTAAACACCTCATCCACCGCCTCCGCCTCTGAAATCCGCACAGCCTACCGCAAGACATCCCGACTATACCACCCAGACAAAGTCGGCCCCAACAACGTCGAAGCTCGAGAAAAGTTTGAGCTCGTCCAGATAGCAGCCGATGTGCTCAGTGATCCGGCGGTACGCGAACTCTACGACAATGCGAGACGGGCACGGCATGAGAAGAAGGAGAGGGAGGCGGCGTTTGACGGGCGGAGGAAGTGGATGAAGGAGGATTTGGAGCGGAGGGAGGGTGGAGCTTTGAAGAGGAAGAGGGACGAGCGCGCGGCGGAGGATGAGTTTGAGAGGGAGTTAGGGAGGATTGCGGAGGATACTAGAAGGCGGCGGAGGGAGAGGGAGGGTGAGCTGAGGAGGGAAGCTGAAAGCATGGATGTGAAAGAAGAGAAGACGGAAGAGGTGCGAGAAGGTCAGACACCGGCCCAGCAGAGCAACAACCCGTCTGAGATGGATCGATCGGTGACTTTCCGGTACCCTTCACCTTCAGAACTCGACAAAGATGCAGTGTCGCGGCTATGGGGGCGCTTTGGTCCCGTAGAAGTCTGTGTGTTGCGTGAGAAGAAGATCAAGAAGGATGGCGAGAAGCACAGACAGCTCTACACAATCGCCATGCTCGTATACAAGAGCATAGTAGGAGCACATGCAGCAGTGAGCGATTTCTCGAAAGTACAAGCAGCAGATGAAAGCCACGATTGGAAGCAATTCGAGGCAGTAGGCTGGGCAGCTGGACAAGAACCAGACTGCATACCGAAGACTTTCAATAGTTCCGATCCGACTGCACAAACCGGAACACCACTTTCCACAGCTCGAGCAGAGGCCATAGGACTCGGCAGCCAGGGAAGTACTGCCAAGGCTGCGACCAGCAACGACCAAGGTGCGGGCTCAAAGAGAGCGCCAAGCTTTGCGAGCTTCAAAAGTACCACAGCTGGTACGCCAAAGGGTGGAGATAGTTATTCGCTGGACGACATTACAATGATACGACTCAAAAACGCTCAGAGGCGGCGAATGGAGGAAGCGATAAGAAAGGAGGAGGCCGGAGGTACCACCAACGAGTGAAATGTTCTTGCTGAGTAGCCGATATTGAAGCCACATCATCTCCGAGCCAAGCATACACCTTTTCTGATTCTTGGTCTAGGTCTTTTCAATCGCACAGGGAAATGCCAAGCTTTCGACCAACTTGCATGCACTGTGTTCAACCCACACGATGCAGACAAGTAGACCATAAGAACTGCTATAGAGCTGTAAGATGCGATTCTGTTGATCCCGCGCAGCCAAGAGAGGGACCTTTCACCAGAGCTTTCACAGGCGGCACGAATACACAGTATCACTACATAGGACACAGGGGTAGCGTCGCCCTCGTCTACGTGTCGGTGAACACAGACGCGAAGAGCATAAGTGTACAACTCTCCCATCACCTCCCTTCAAGCTCTTTTTCGCATCTTTCTTCACTTTCGAATCCACCTTTTCTTGCTTCCCAGCCAATCACCGATCATCTACGCCCCGAAAACGCCACAACTCGCCCTCGGACGCCTCTGCCAACGCATCGACATGGCAAGCAACGAATACGACCACTTAATGGCTTACATCGAGACGATGTCGAAGGAGGACTGGGCGGCTCTGGTCAACCTGCAGACAGATGATCCAATGGTAGTCGTTGGTCCTTCCGAGGGCTACGCTACCGGCGGGTGAGTTTTTTTTGACAGGGACTGATTTACATCGGAAACAAAACAGCGTCCGACCATCGAAAACCAGGCACACTCTTGCGGCCCTCTGAAAGCAGTAAGTTGCAAAGAAGCCTCGTCGACCGGTCCGTGCCCATTCAGTCGCACTGTTCGACGGCAGACGTTGGCGTCTTCTCGACTTCACCCTTGCAACCAAGCCCCTTCCGATGCTATGATCATGATTTTCAAGCACGTCTGGACGTGTCACCTTGGGCACATGAGCCATCGAGTGGGGCCCGGAGTGCTGACTCTAACACTTACGTTAACGTCCTTTCAATGGATCACGTTGACTGGCTAGCTTATGAATGTGGTCCCAACGCTGTTGCTGGAGTCTGGGACAATGATCAAGGTGCGCCGGGATGCGGCTCGGGCTTAGTACCTGGGCAGATGAACAACCTTGCGCGCAACGACGAAGGGCCTGCGCCCATGCCGGCACAAACGAATGGTATGTATCCAGTATCACAACGTGGGAAAGTGCCCATACCAGGGGTAAAGGGCCAGCAACAGATTATGGTACAGCAGCCAGCCAAGGTAGTGTGCTACAATGTTAGCGACATCCCGCCGGGTCGCCAGCCAGCCAAGATCCTCCAATGCGGCATATGCTTTTCTGGCAAGCTCTTCAACGGAGCCTACGAGATCAAGCGCCACATGGCGACACACTCTCAGGGACAGTTCGCTTGCGATGAGCCAGGTTGCGATTGTGTCGGTACGAGCGCCTTTACGCGCAAGGATAAGTTGGTGAAGCATATGCGTGAGGCTCACCCTGGCCTCTGAAGGACATATCCTTGTCGAAGGTCAGTAGTGTCTCATGAGTGATGATGGATAATGGTTGCTTGATCTCCACGGGTTTGCGAGAGATTTGTGCTGTCTGTCTCCAGAAGTACGTAGCGTCTCTTGGCTAGCTTGAAAACATGTTGACTTCACCTCACGCTGACGTTCGTTTTCTCTTCCTGCATGATGCACCGCGCGAAACAACCGTCGACTTGACCTCAGAGTCAATCCTGTGTCAGCAACACGTCACAGTGCTATTGATTGCAGACTGCCATTCTTGTGTTGAGCGGTGTGCAGATGCGGTACACCATGCCGACAATCTCGACACTGCAAACACGACAACATGAATTATGGGTCTAGCCTGTAGGGACCACAATCTAAACATCATGTACGATTATATGACCTGGTTGGCTGTAGATACCGATATCCCATCGTCCAGGGAAGCGGAAACGCAGGATAGACGCACAAGCGTCCAGTCAACCACCCTCCATGGCTCGTCGCGAATCGCGAGAGCAGTACGACATCTATATGACAGGCTCTAATAATCATGGCCAGCTGTTCCCGCGCGAAACAGGATCCAATATATCTACTTTTCGCCTTCGCTTTGCCGACCAGCCTCCTCCAGCGTACAGATCGTTCGACATTCTGTACGTAGATAGCAATACCACGGTGACACTGGTAGACGACGTCATCGCTAGCGAAGGTCGACAACGCCATTGTGCGCGCATGTTTACCAAGCCTATACTTGGAACTGCTTGCGGCCATCCAGATGTCGGTATGCTTGGCTTCGTCGACGAGCGAAGCCAGCTCAATCTTGTGCGGCCATATCCTTTACCGGGACAGATGGGGGAAAACTGGGATGTCACTCCTGCTGCTCCCTATGGACTCGAGAGGAATGCTGTTTTTGTTACATCTGTGTTACGGCCCGAGAGTCCGAAGCTTGGGCTTGTTGCCATGAGTCCGAATGGGAGCGTAGTTTGTACGATCGAACACCGGGAGCATGAAAGTGCAGAGTTGAACGACGGTGGGACGGGCGACGTAGGGAGATATATTCTTCTGTTCGAGAGCTGCGCGAAATTCACGACATGGCATGCTCAAGGAGACGAGCCAAGCGAAGATCAGCCCACGGGACGGTGGACCTTCTGCGGTGAGCCTTTACAACTAGTTGCTTTTGACAGACACTTCCTACTATTACTGGACATTGGTATCGTACATGTGCCCGACGCGGATGATCATGATTCTCAGACCATTCAATCTCAAGGAGATGCTTCCAAAGCTCAACTGCCAAGGACCATGAGCGGACTGGAAAGTGTGCTGGTAGAAAAGATCGCAGCAGGGAGTCGATATGGAGCAGCTATATCAAGACAAGGGAAACTTTACCTATGGGACAGTCGAGGAGCAGACCATGACGACCATCTAGCATGTCTTGAGATGGCTCAGCCCAGTGTGGCCATGCTCGTTCCAGTCCACGACAGCAATCATAGGCTCGTTCCTGGTATCCTCGATATAGCGGTAGGCTCTTCGCATATTGCCATTGTGACGACGGACCATAGATTGTTCGCTATTGGGAGCAACGATCATGGTCAACTCGGCTTGTTGAACGACCAGCAGCAACGATTTCATCTCGACTGGATCGAAATAAAGCAGCCCAAGAACGTGCACCGGGTCATCTGCGCACTGGATGCTACCGTAGCGTTCGCGACACCTAAAAGTGTACCCTCCAGTGACTATGACGAAGACGAGATATTTAAGCTCATGACCTCAATCTACCTTACCGCAATCCGCATGGGCATGTTCGAAGACCACGAAGTCACCTTCGCACCTCCACAAGGCCATGAAATCGACCTGTCTCAGCTCGAGCACCATGCAGATCTAGACCCTCGCTGTGTATCTCTGATGAGAAAGCTACCGTACGCACCAGCGGGCTATCGATGCGTGATCTATGAGATGGAAAGTGTCGACTACAGATCCGCAGAGATTATCCGTGAGACGAAATATATCGATCATCCCGTCATGCTGACGCCCGGTCCCGAAAAAACCGAAGGACTGCAGTGGAAGGCTAGGCCGGTAGACATGTTCCTGCTTCATAGTAGCGAGGGGGATGATCCCTCGCTCGTGTTAGATGTGGAGAATAGTAAATCCCTCGCTACCATTTCCGGTACGACAGATCTCGACTGACATGATGTAGATGTTGTCCGCCACCTCGGAACAGACCTTGGCAGACATCTTCCCGAAGGAGCGCATGATTTCAGACGCAGAGCACGCCATGGGAACGAGTATCTGTACTGGCCAGCGGAGCACGCGCCGACATACTTGACGCGCGTGCTCGTGCACATGAATAATGGTGACTGGATCCCTGAATCTGATGGATGGTTACCTGAACACAGAAGGTAGTGAGGAGAAGCCATGGGCGATCAAGCTCAAGGATACATTCCTGAACGACGAGTACGGCTGGCCAAGAGAGGACTTTCAGACGAGCAGACTGGTTGCGAGATGGAGAAAGAGTTGGTGCAGCAGATCCTGGAGGAAGAGGGCTATTACTGAATTTGAACCATTTCCCTAGATTGGAGCTGGTCTGAGTTGCAGCTGGTCTGATGAATCAAAGCTGGCCAGACTTGGACCTGGTCTGAACTGGACCTGATATAAGACTGTCTCTCAACCGTCATAAAAACTAAAAACAGAAGAGGTATCTCCGCCGAATCCATTAACGCTAGTAGCAAATATGCAGCAAAACAATGATAACCATGAGCCCATCCATGCCTTTCCCATCCACTTGCCAGAGTACTCCAGATACAGACAGACTGACGAGGAGGGACAGATGAACGCCATTCGAACGCCTTGCCTGCTTGCTCGCTTGCCATGTTCAAATGCGCCACTGGTCTTCTTTGCACGCTTGCTTGCTTGCTTCGACGTGATATGCCGGCCAGATATCCCCGCTCTTCCTCAAATTCCACCATGACCTGCCGTAAGCAGCATTTTCGGGCCTTGGCTGGCGGACATCCCGATCGCTCATGCCGCCAGCTCCAGTCATCCCAATCCTCACCCTCGGTCCCCCCCCTCCCCACCCCCAATCTCCACACACCGTCTAGCCAACGCCACAACCTCCTGCTCCCCATCCTCACTCTCCGCCGCATCATCCCCTCCCTCTTCCCCCTCATTCTCCACATTCCTCTCACTAATCCCCCTCACCACCTCCATAACATCCCGACTCCCATTAATCGTCTCGATCAACTTCTGGTCGCCGGATTCCAGGAGCTGGAGCAGCGTCCAGATGGCGATGTGTTGGAAGGTCGGGTCGCCGGAGTTGAGGAAGCGGGAGAGGTAGCCGTGGATGCCGCCGGAGGGTTGGTTCCAAGAGGAAAGGAAGAGGGTGTAGTCGCCGACTTGGGGGTTTGTGTTAGCAGGGTCCTTCACCAAGACGGAACTCTGTATGGACGTACCTTTGCTGCTCAGGTTTCCAAGCGCCGCAGCGCTGTTTCCCTGGACCTCTATACTCTCGCTCTCCGTCAAAGGGATGAGGACATCGAAGACGCCCAGGTTGAGCAACTCTGGCTTCAGCTCGTCGCTTAAAGCCAGCACGGCGATCGCAGCCGTCATCTCGCTTTGCACAGATAGCGGTACTTCAAGAACCAACTCTTTACACTTCTGCACCGCTCCTGCTTCCAACACCAATTGCTTGTTTCTGTCTGACGACGCCGCCAGATTCCGCAGCGTAGAGATCGCATGACATTGTATCTCCTCATTGTCCGTGTTCCCCAGCAAATCCACCAGCGGTCGTAAGAATCCAGCATCGATAATCGGCGACTCGTTCATGGGATGTATGCTGATATTCCGGATACATGCCACGGCGGAAAGTATAAGTGGCAGATAACTGCTCTGCAGCAGGTTGAGTAATGGTGGCAGACCTCCCGCCCTCACAATCTCCAATTGGTATTTCTCATCGCTGGCCAGATTCCTCAATGCCAAAGCAGCTTGACATTGCACCTTCGGCGCCTGACCCTTCATCAAATGCACCAAACTCTGCACCAATTTTGTCTCCGTCTGCGCCAATCTCTTCCTGTTCGCCGAGTCGACCGCGATATTGCTCAACGCCGTGGTGCAGTAGTACTGCACGTCTGTGTCCGGGGAGCTCAATAAGCTTACCAGAACAGGAATTGCGCCGGCAGACACCAATTGTTGCCTGTTGTCGTCGCTGTGTGTCATGTTGAGAAGCGCACCAGTGGCATTGCGCTGTACTCGCATGTCCTTGCTCTTCGCTAGTCGGGTCAGAGGTGCTAGGGCGCCGGATCGTGCAATTCGTGCTTTGTTGTCTTCGTGTGTCGCGAGGTTCGTGATGCAGCCGACTGCGTTGCACTGTACTTCGACATTGGGACTGTTCATCTGTCGTATGAGTGGGGTGAGGCCGCCGAGCGAAACGATCAGGACTTTGTTGGCGCCTAGATATGGTCAGCTTGATTGCTGTCATTGCTCAGTACTAAAGCTCACCATCTACAGCCAAATTGCCCAATGCAGCCGATGCTGCTCGCTGGACTTCGATGTCGGGGCTCTCAAGGAGGAAGAGTATGGGTTCGAGTGTTGCGCGGTCCACGGGCCGTACATCTGTAGCTAATGATCAGTTTTCCTGCCCCAGTCCATCTTCCCTGCTCTCCCGTACCTCTTTCCGTGATCTCGGCGAATGTCAAGCTTGCGCTTCGTTGTAGGTCAATATTCTGACTGTATACCAGCGTGCTCAATGCCACCAAAGGCTCGCCGGAGAAGAAATCGGTCTCAGCTCTCTGTTCGTCTCGTCAGTTATAACATGTCCATGCTTTCTCCCTTTCCTATCAGACATGGTCTCGTGGGCTCCACGTACATTCTCGAGGAAGTTGAGCAGGTCGGCAACAGCTTCCCGTTCCGAGTCGGCGAGGACATTGTCGTAATCTACTTTCGATCGGCCTGCGCAACGCGAGTGATCAGTATACAGCAATCTCTAGACTCTTCGTCGTGCTCGCGTGCACACATACTACCACAACAAGGGGCGAAAAGCCTTCTGCATAGGTCGGCCATCGCATGCCCTGGGCAGGCCTGCCCAGCTTCTGTCCTACAGACGCAGGTCCCGTAGCTTCACCGTTTCCAGCTAAGATGCGAGTTCGTGCGCGTATGGAAGGTGATGTATTGCGGACAAGGGCCAAGCTATGCTCGTTCAATCTCAATGCAGGCGGAGATGTGTGTGGTTGATGTGTATGTCGTGTTGCATACAGATACAGTATCTTGTGAAGAGGCGTCTCAGATAGTGCCGGTCTCTGGCGTGACACTAGCGTTCTGGGTCAAGAAACGCGGCTTGCTATTGGATTCTGGACTGTCAAAGTTCCCGCCGTTGAGGATTGCGTGGGGATGTGAGGTGAATGCAGATTATTATTTGTCTCCAGATCTGCCATGCTATTGAGTACCTATGGTGTATATCTTACATACAGAGGGCAGGTATCAAGGGCAACGAAAGCACGTGGCAGACAACAAACAAATTGTATACCGTTGGTTTGGCAGGCGCCGCTTGCGATGATGATGTCGAACCAGTGCGACTGGCTTGATTCCACCACTCTCGCCTCGGCCAATTGCAGCCGACTCATTACATGATTTACTCAAGAGTCAAGACACAGGCGCCGGTACATACCTTAGACCATGGGAGCATGAAGTTGCAGGAATAGCCGAGCCTGTACAAGATACGTCCTGTTCATGGACAACGAAGACATTTATTGCGCTTCTTCCAAGTGCGGCTTCTTCGACACTGCCAAGCAAGTGAGATACGGTAGTCCCGCAGTGTGCAGCGAGCTGATGAAAGATGAGCACGCATATCGTCTGGAAGAAGCTGTCCTTTGCGGAGCCTATTCATGCAGCCAAGGCAGCCCAAGACACAGCTTCGCTGTTCATCAAGCTGCGGGAGCATGTCACTTTGGTGCGGCAAAGCACGACTGCCGAAAGGTGGGTGAGATTATTATTGCATGATGATTGAACACTTCCTCACCGACCATCAAACACTTACTTGTCGATGCCGGATTATGTTGTAATGGCATGGATACGAAGGGGATGTGGAATCTCTACCGACGTGATTGGTGACCACGTGCGAGAAGAGGCCGAGTTGAAGCGCTTACCACTGGAGCGGTGGCTTGATGCGGCGGTCGCGGTATGCAGATGCAGATGCAGATGCACGAGCTTCTCTCATACAGTAGCAAGCTTCAACGTCATGATCATCCATTCATCCCCAATCCGAGCTCGCGCGGCCGGATTCGAGGAAGAGTGATTTGGAAGCCATAAGGAATTTCTTACTACCATGACAAGGTAAGAACAGATATGCCACAAAACCATCTCGCACGCGATAATCCCACCGAATCTCAAATCACATGTTTATAACACAAGTCACACAACGTGCTCGGATTCCGAGGTGCAAGAAAGATGGCTGCCCGCCACGCGGGCCGCCGCACGGGAGACAGTGTTGCATGTACTGTAATACTAATGTTGCATTTATGCGGGGGAGGCTAGATTCTTTTGACTTGGGCGGGTGCAGAGCTCTCCAGTGTCTCCACCGCAAAAGTATCATGTGTAAGGTGTAATCACTGCGCCAGCGTGCTTGGCTAGAGAGGCTGTGTGCTTGGCAGCATGTTGACTCTCAAAGAGCTCAAAGAGCTGACTGCGTGATCCATCTTCACCACACTACTCCCCATCCCTTTGTCTCGTTCACCATTACCCCATCTGTGCGTGGTGTGTTGATCAGCCAAGCTTCCCTCCAGCTCGTTTGTACGTGCCTGCCTGACTGCTGCTCGATGCCCCAGCCCCGACGACATCCCGAAAGCGACACCCTCGACGCCCAATAACACGCTGCCCCTCCTCGCTTCCAATAGCAGTACATGGCCGCGTACGATATTCAGCAGCATTTCAAGGGCCTGCGAGTCGATACCGGCTCGAAGAAGGGCCGACGCCGTGATCCATTTGCGACCGGCTTCGAAGATGATGGTGAGGAAGAAGCGCAAAGATTCCGACGTCGCGAGCGTAACAACAACGCCAATACGAAGGCGATACCGGTAGAGAAGCCGAAGGCTGTGTCGGCGGTGCCGAGTGGACCGGGAAAAGCGAGCATACTTGATCAATTGCGGGATAGCGACGATGAGTGGTTAGGCGTGTCAGGGAAGAGGACTGATCGTCGACCGAGTCCGGCGCCCGCGCAAGTGGCCAGTCTGCGCGTGACTGACGGTGCGGGAAGGCGTGGTTCTCTCGATAAGGGCCTGCAGCAGAGCAAGCCGCCAAGAAGTGCCATCGCGCAGGCGGCGGGTCAGCTCGCCTATCTGGACGACAGCAGTGACGAGGAGCTGCTTTCTGGCGGAGGCAAGCGTGGAAACCGACGACCCAGTCCCGCACCAAGGAAGGACAGTGACGGTGCAGAGCCTGGCGAGCGCTCCTCTACGCCACGCGGAAGTCGAGCGCCTTTATCAGAGCAATCGCAGGGACGTGTACAGCCATCTCAACATACCGTAGCCTCCGCGTTTGCGGGTACCAAATACTTGCAGGACAGCGAGAGCAGCGACAACGAGGACGACGACGAAGACGCCGTAGCTTCTCGTAAAGGTAGTGCCGACAGTTCCACATCACCGGACACCCTCGATACACTGAATCCCTGGGAGAGCGCACTGACCAGCCCGGCAAAAAAGCACCTTGAAGTCAAACGCGTGGACAAGCCGAAGCAACAGAATGGCTCAGGCATTTCCTGGCGCGCCTTCTCCGCCTCACGAAATGAACAGCGCAGCGCCGAGATCGAGGCTCTCCAGGCGGGCCTTAGGCAGCGTGGAAAGTCCATCTCATTCACCACGCACGCCGTCACCGACGACGGCAAAAAGGTCCCCATCGCCGCCGCCGTCGAACTCCTTGCCCGGAAACAGTCTAACACTGCACGAGGACGAGCCAAGGGTAGAGGGAAGTCGCCACCTAGACGGAGTGAAGATTCCAAGCCCACAGAGGATGAGCTGGGCGGAGATGAAGGAGCTGAGCAGGGGCAGGTCTATGATCCACGAGAGTACAAGACCAATCCATTCACGGGTGAGTTCTCGTGAGAACATGTGCACATGACTGGGTCAGCTGACTGATTCTTCCACCAGGACAACCAGTCAAACGCACACTCAGCGATCCAGACCACAAACCAGCCATCACCAAATCCTTCAACAGCCCGAATCTTCCCGACATCAGAATCGATGACATCTCAAGTGCTTGATGAAGATCTCCATTCGCCCACCTCACCCACCATGCCAAGCAATATGACTGATAGTAATGAAAGTATACTAAACAAGCTCGTCGTTTCACCGCAAACAATACCCGAAGGAAAAACTATTGAACACTCGCTTGAAAGTCTGGCGGACCTCACCAGCCCCTTGAGTAGGAATTCAAGTACACGCTCTGCGCGACTCTCAACCTCACGACCTACACGCATACCCAGACGTCCTTCACGGCGCAATACCGGCAACAACAATATATCTATCAGCCCCGCTCAAGCATTCTTGGGATCATGGTCGCGGGAAAGCATGGCAGCCGAGCCTGTTGCCTTACCCCGAGCTGACGAAGAAGGTCAGTCCTTTGGCATGAACCCGGAGTATGTGATCGGACGTCTCATCAACTCCGGAGGATTCGGCGTGATCAAGGAAGCGCGCACGATCAACAACGGGCAGGAAATCGTGCGGGCGGTCAAGATCGTGCGGAAGCCTCAGGTAGATGGTGGTGGTCGTGGCGGGGTGGCCAAGGTGGAGGAGGATCGAGACAGCGAGAAGGCGCAGCACGCGCTGGAACACGAAGTCTCGGTCTGGCGATGGCTGAATCATCGACATATCCTCAAGCTACACGTTACCTTTGATACCGAATTCGCCACCTTCTGCGTCATGGATCTCAATATCGGCGGTACACTCTTCGATCTCCTCCGCAAGTCGAGGCGGGAAGCAGGACAGAATAATGGACGGAAAGGCCTCGATCCGAAGTTAGCCAAGGCGTATGCATGGCAGCTTGCCTGCGCACTCCGCTATCTCCACCAAGACATGAAGGTCTGTCACCGCGACATCAAGCTCGAGAATTGCTTGATCGATACTACCGTCATCGATCCCGAGACTGGGGCGGGAAATCTACGAGTCTGTGATTTCGGGCTGGCGGATTTCTTGCATCATGATGGGAGTATCATCGACGATGATGATGAGGTGGAGGAGGATCTAGAGCACAGTATCACCATCACCCCCGGTATGCACGATTCCATGCATGGGATCCCCCAGCCCACCAACCCGACCGCAGGAAGCCCTATCTCGCACCCCGGCCGCACGTCCTCGATCATCGGCACGTTGGAATACGCCTCACCGAAAGGCCTCTCCGTGAATCGAAAGCTCTTCGAGACAGCGGGGGATATATGGGCGTATGGCGTTATCGTCTATGCGCTCTGTACGGGCGAACTCCCCTTTCGCCACCCGATGCCGAGTCGAACCGCCGAGTTGATTCTGAGAGCGGACTGGGATGTTCAGGCGCTTAAGGAGGCGGCGGCGGGCGGGGATGCGGTGTTGGAGCTTGTGAGTGGGTGTTTGGAGCGGGAGGTGGAGTTGAGGGGGACGGTGGGGGATGTGGTGGGGTGTGGGTGGTTTGAGGGGTGTAGGGAAGCTGGTGATGGTGGTATTGATGAGGCGGTGGTGTGGTGATGGGTTTGAGGGTTGAAGGGAATGGGTTGGGTGGGCGGGGTTGTGGATGAGGGATATGTATGTGGGATTATGATCATGATTGTTTTTGACGGCTGAAGAAAGTGTTTAGATGGTGGGTTTTCTGTTTTGGCGAATGGGATGGATTTGGTTTACGGAGTGCGCGGATTGGATTGGACGAATGGATGGATACACAGTTTGCAGGATACCCTCACTCATGTTTTGTGGTTTTGGTTTAGGAAATCGAGTCACGGTATTTGGTAGTTCTTGGTAGAGAGGATCGCATATCATCGTCACTGGGTACATTTCTACCCTTACACGCTGATGAGCGGTTAGCAGGTCATGGTGCTAGCTAGATGGTCGAGGATACTATCGCCTCCTCTCCCCCTGCCTCCGCCGTTCTTCCTCATACCCCTGGTCTCGCCTTCGTTCCCTCTTCTTCTGCTCCCGCCGGTTGAGATTCCGTAGTACGTTCCCGCCGTTAGTCTCGTGCTGGTGTGCTTCATTCCATTCACGGAAACAAGGGTCTGGGCCAAAGTTGGGTGGATTCACTAGCCATGCGAACGTTACTAGGACGAAGGTGGCGATGATTCCTGGGCCGGGCATGGGAAGATTTTGCTTCTGATGGTGACGGTGATGATCTACTAGGTAGGGAGTCCATTAAAGATGTTTCACAGTGCTTTTTGTAGAGGTTCTATGTTTGCCTATCACATTGGGATCTCGTCGCTGCGTTTGCCTTATGGCCGTCTGTGGCATAGTATCTTATCTCATGTCATCTTATCTCAATAGGCAGATCAGATTCACGAGGCAAACATCGCCAGGGCAAACTCTACCCATCGCCCAACGGTGTTGACCGAAAAGACTTTTCCTCCATCCAACTCAGGTGGCGTGCTCACAGTGGTAGTAGGCTGAGATTCAGGTTGACAAGCCCGGCGCCACTGCCGGATCTTGAACAAAGCCAATTTCTCAAAGCATGTCTGATTGGCTGACCCCGTCTTCAACGAGGGCAAGATTCCGGCTTTCACTCGCGGTCTCTTGCGTGGCCCTTGCCAACTGCTCTATTACGATCGCCTGCTTCCTTTCGCATTCGAGCATATACAACATCGACAACCCGACGCGACTTCGACACTCTCGCTCTTACTGGACTGGACTTGCGTGTTAATACTGTCGTTCCTATCAGCAAAGCACTTCACACGCTTCGGACCGGCCTTGCCATCTTTCTCCGAGTACACTATACGTTGGGCCGGAAACGCACTTGCAGGAAGAAGGAGGCGGGAAGATCGCATCGCTGTGTATATACACACATACTGTACGACACTCCAGACATACTGCAGCGAAGTCAAAAGAGGAGGCTGCACTGAATACCACGAGGCTTGCCCTGCTTCATTACGTGTCTTAGACACCATTTCCCGGCTGTGCATAAGCATACGACGTTTGTGGCTGTTGGACACTGAGACACTTCTACGCGGACCACGCCTTGGATCACCTCTCTTCTTGTACAATCCTTCGGCCACTCAACAATACATCGCAGCGCGATCTCGACTGTTCACACATACACAACAATGAAGTTCACGACACTCCCCTGCATATTGGCAGTCGCAAGTTACGCCATAGCAAAGGCCATCGCCGAACCGGACCTCGTCCAGGCACCACATCTCGAGTACGTTTCAACATTCCTACTACAACGCCCGGTCATAGCAGTATACTAACAAATGGTCTACAGAAACCGACAAGGCGCCGCCGTCGTAGCCCCCGCCGCAACACAAGCTGCTATTCAATACCCGTCCATTACCACTCAATGGGTTGAAAGCACGATCGGCTCCACAGCAACTTACGTACAAGTCATCTACACACAGCAGTTCTCCGCCGTGCCGGACCAACTACCTACGGCCGTGCCGGGTGCGATAGGATATGGTACTTTGACGAAGCATGGGAAGAGAGACATGCCGATCGAGACGGGTATCGCTGGTCGGATACGGGTATAGGAGCAGTTTTCTCTTCTTCGTAAGAGATTGCTGTGACTGTGCTCGATCTTTCCCTTGCGAGCTGAGGCTGTATGCTGATCTGGCTGTGGGTTGTATAGATTACCTGCAGCCGATCGTTATCGAGGTACTGGGGGAGGTTGTCACGCAGTGGGTACAGGCTATTGAGGAGGTCCTGGTCTTGCACACAATCTTCGTCGTGGACAACGCGACTCTGCACGGTATCAACGGCAACTCTACATTTGGCAACTGGACGCTCGGCAACTCGACTCTTGGGAATGGTACTTACTCCAACGGCACAAACTTGTTCAACGGCACATACATCGACTTCAACGGCACAGACCACAATACCACGACCACCAACACAACAAACACGACCGCAACGAACACGACCACCACATCCTCCTCATCAGCCGTCACACCCGGCTTCAGCTTCTCCTTTTGATCTTTCTTGCTGTTCTACAGCGAGTTGTGTACAACCACATAGCATCATAAACCCGGCGCGTAAATCTGAAGATAACTGGGATCGGAACACGGCATTGGGCGTCTACGGGTAGGCAGCCCTTCTTCCACACCTAAATGAATGATAGGTGCATATGGATTATACATTAGACTTTTTGAATATGGCTGTATAGTAGTTCTGTAACACTGTACGGAATGTATACATCATCCTCATCATCACACGCAGGCTTTCGGTATCGGCTTATCGCTTCAGGATTTGCTTGGCTATCCTTCGTTCGGTTTCCTCGAGTAACTTTAGCACGCTTTCGCGCCGGGTGGGCTCGCCGGCGCTGACGAGGAGGGTTTTGTACTCCTGTTTTTCGTTCCGTGATGGTTAGTTGCTTGCGGCTGGGAAGGAGTCTTTCTTGTAATTTGTGTAGTAGATACCTTGTTGATGCTGGCGGACTTGTTGTCGCTTGCCATTAGGGCGGCATAGTGGAGGCTTGCTCGCGCTTGCGCGGTTATGACTTTCAGGTCGTGGTCGCGGGAGAAGAGGACTTCTGCGTTGGCTGTGTTACGGTACGTTGCGATTAGATGGATAGTCGAGGTTTTCGTTGAGTATCTGTACTGATGATATGCTTACTTATGATCTGCTGGGTTATGTCGGTCATATGCGCGAAGTCGTGAGCCTCGAGCGTTGAGTTGATTGGCATTATGGGCAATGGATTCGCCAACAGACACGAGCTCTACACTGATTATAATCTGCTATCTTGTAGAGAAGCGCCATCTCTCTACAGGATACGTTGTCCTCGATTAATCCGCGCCTGCCTTGCTCGCCATCTGTTTGACGTAGGCGGCTCTTCGGCCATCACCTGGGCTGTTTGAGCTCCATCTCACCCGGTCCGAGCTTCTTGGGACTTTTGAACTTCTCAGGGAGAAACATCTCGCGTGAGGGTCTACGACATCACATATCTACACCATTCCATCTTTACAAGCCTTGCATATCACCTCATTAAGGTCGCCAAACACCAGTCTACCAGATACACAGACGTCACGATGGTCAAATTAGAAGAGGTGCCTGATGAGGAGCTCAACGCACCCCAGATGGGGCCCAAGTCGGATGAAGATGAGTGGGATACTGATGATGGTTCGTCTCCTGCCAGCCCTGCATGATAAGCTCGGCTTACGTCGAGGCTTATGTACTAATCTGCTTCATTCGTACAGAATCCGAAACCTCCTCCATCGCCTCCCTCGATTCCGACAACCTAGACGAAACCCTCTTCGACCGCCTCGCCGCACTCCAAGACATCGTACCCCCCACCTACCGCAAATCCATCTCCAACGCCGCTTCCACAGGCTATTCATGGGCGGCGTCGGCGGCGGGCTTTTCGGGAACGGCGTTGTGGGTTGTGAGTACGAGTGCGCTTTTGCTGGGGGTGCCGTGGGCGTTGGCTTTTAGTGAGGAGCAGCAGGTGCAGGAGATGGAGAGGGAGATGCGGATGCAGCAGAATGCTCAGGGAGTGAGTACTTGATTCCATTGATATTATGGGATGGGGCGTTTTGTGGGTGATGGCTAACGTTTGGTGCTTGCAGATGCTGACACAGGGTGCGACTGGCGAGGCCAAGCCTGCGCTATAAGTGGCATGAAGACTGCGATGAACAACATTGAAACGCGACCGTAGCATACATCTTTCCCGGCCGTTGCAGCGTTTGGCAGGTCATTGTACTATGTTCTCTTCTCCTCACCAGTATATCCCCATATGATAACATCATTAATGCGTATGGGCTATCATCATATCATAGCCTAGTACTGCGCAATATTTACCTCGAGCAGAACGCAGACCGCAAAAAGTAAAGCTACCAGAGGTCCTCAATCCGGGAGATAGGAGGAGAACTTACACCAAACATCACACCATTGGATTGCGCCCGAAGTTCAATGGAGCACCGCGGGCGGATCGGGAAACACCAAATTGAACTGATTGGATGGCGTTCCTGGATTGAGGTTGTTTCTGTTCGTTATTGATCTTAGTCGCCCAACGGTTCGAACTCGATGGTGCCGGGTGAAGAGGTGTCGGCAAGGCAACCGAAATAGCGACGATGTGCAGCTGTTCACAAGGTCGTTCGGCCAGCGAGTTACTCTGTTTGTCGTGTGTCGGCGGAACACTGGGCGCATTGGCCCCTGGCTGGCTCTTCGGCCGAACCAACTGTGGTTTGGACGTTAGCAACGTTGCCATAGGAGATAGTTTCGAGGACCTCTGGTAGCTTTTGATGTGAAGAGAGGCTTGGTGAAATGAAGATATATGTGCACGGCTGAATTTTCGGCGCGATACCATAACCATGACAGCGGTAAGCTGATAGCAATAAGCAGTAGATGCTCGAAGACCTCCGGCCGGCGAAGCACACGTACACGAGCAAGCACCGCACATATCGAAGGTTTGAATCGTACACTATGCTATGTCGCGTCAACCATAACACACAAGTGCTTGCCATTAATGGCTACCGGTCACGGCTCTCCATAAAATACCAAGGCTCACGATCACCGAAGTCCTTGCCAGGTGTCTCGAACGGTGGAGTCACAAGACCATGGAAGACACCCATGCCGATCAAAGGTCGCTTTTTACCATTGGTACCCGACCGCTGACTCTCAGCTTCGTTTTCGCTCTCCGTCTCGGAGTCTTCGTGCTTAGTCTCATCCTCGCTCTCCGTTTCCGAGTCCTCACCCTCCAACCTCTCCTTCTTGACTGCCACAGACTTCTCCTCAGCCTTCACCACACCACCAAGCTTCTCCTTAGGCACAGGTAGTAGAACACCACATTCCCAGTTCCGACAATTGATCTTCCACGCCTTGACCTTCTTATCATGAACCAGCTTTCCCCAGGCTGATTCGGACATGTTCGCAGATCCAACATATACCCAGGCCACAGCCTCGACTTTGCTGCCATCTGTCGACTTTCGCTTGCCACGAGCATAAAGGATCTTGTTGTGGCTGAGCAGTCCGGATCTTGTCGAGATATAATCCCGAAACACACTTCGCGGGAACGGCATGTTCTCCCACCATTTCCGTGATAGGCAAATCGTGCCTGCTGAGCCAGCCGTGGAAGACGTGACAGTTTCGTGAGTCGGGAAGTATATCCTGATCTTGTCGCGAATCTTTTCCGGTGCTGGCTTGGAGGAGCCTTTGCTGAAAAAGGTGGCTTTGGCTGTACTCGCGGCTGCATCTGCACGACCTAGCATATCTTCTCCTTTGGCCGCTGCATGGAGGGCTCGAAGGTAGTCGTCATTCAGTGAGCCGATGGATGACGCTGCAAAGTCGATTTCGAGATTCTCTGCTTGTAGTCCTAGCTGGCGAATAGCACGACCTAAGCCAGGCAGACCTGTTCGCTTGGCCTCGTCACCATACACGATGCCGCCGATAGTATGAACGAAAGCCATGTCTCGTGTGGCAAAGAAGTCGAACTTGAGCACGCCGTCCATGACATCCTGATACATACCCTGCTTCTCCAGAAAGTGCATCACCTCACGGCCGAAATCTGTAAGGCCGTCCCTCGTAGCCTTGACCCTTTCATCGAGTCGTGGCAGATCAATAATGAATACACTGTTCTCCATGACGCCTGTCTCGCCCCAATCAAAATTCAGTAGATTCGCGGTTGGTATCGCCACTCTCAACTTTTGCTTGTGGAACAGCAGCATAAGCTTCGAATGCATACAGTGTATCTGTCCGTCCATAGGAGGAAAGCACAATCGTAGAAACGGTCGCATGCCCTCACTCTGCTCCAGCATCTCCTGCTTAAGCGCTTCATCCTTGGCCTGCATCACGAAGACACATTTCGTATCCCCGCCATTCTTCGGGACTTTGAGCTTGGAAAGCACCCAATCTGTGTCCCATTGGAAGGCAGAAAGGACGGCTGTGCGGACTGATAATGGTTCGAGCACTTCTTCGAGTTTGATGTCGTCGCCTGTGCGTTCGTGGCCGAAAGCCCACGTCTTCTTCACGATGCCATTTGGGTAAACCAGACCACCTTGTGATCCAGCAGCCGACATGCTCTGCGACTTGGATTCATCCGCTTTCATATCTGGCTCGACCTTGAGCGGAGCATTCGCGGCTTGCGCAACTGATGATTTGCGACCAGCTTGATCTTGGTCAACCAAGGTCGAAAACATGTTCAGCCTGGCGCCACTGGGTAGGTCGACAGTCGTGGTCTCCAGCTTTGGCGCTTTCCGTGGGGAGGGAGGTGTAATCGGGCGTTCACGTTTCCGAGCAGCCTGTCTGGCCAACCGCTCACGCTCCATGGCTGCTCTATCAATGCCTGCTAAATCCATGCTTCTTGTTGCTTGTGCAGGAGCAGAAATCGTGGGCCCGGATTCTTCAGAAGTTTCTCCGGTGGTGCCATCGTGAGTCTTGGTTGCTTGATCGTTCTCAGCCAAAGACATGGCGATGGCAGCCTCCAGTTCAGCATCATCGTCCGACGCAGCCATTCTCGGGCTACGAGAGCTTGTCTATGTTGTGTCAACACATCAGTCGTTTCGGTGTGTCAAGCAAAGGGTTTCGGTCTTAAATCGCCACCGAGATGCGCTCGTCTACTCTACGCCCAGCTATGACAGGATAATTTCACTGTTTCAACATCTACTGATGTCGATTTGAAGGGAGTCTGTAGCCTGGCAAAGGCCCGAGATGAGGCAACAGTATGTACCTGCATTAGCTCGAGGTAGCAACAGCAACAGCGGAAGCAATCCGCCTGCTCCTTCCTGTTCAGGTGGAGACTGTTAACTTTGTTCCGCACCATTCACTTTTCACTCGCTTATTGACTAGAGGATCTCTTTCCCTGCCTTTACCAGTACAAAGAGATAAGTAGGGACTACTTCATCTTAGTTCAGTATTCCTTGCATAAACCACATCTTTCAATTCTTGATACATAAATTACAGAACCATTAATCATGTCGTCCACAAAACGATCAACTGTCCTCCTAGCCGAACGTACCGTCCCACCACTGGGGATGACAGGTCCCGCCTTCCTCCAAGCCGCAACATCAGCCCTCCAGGAAATAGAAACATACTACAGCACACTTCCCGACCGCCCAGTCCTCCCATCAATCTCCCCAGGCTACCTCAAGGAACTCTTACCCTCGACAGCCCCCCAGCAAGGCGAACAGTGGACCGAAATATCTCGCGACATCGAACGAACAATACTGCCCGGGATGACGCACTGGCAAAGCCCCAAATTCATGGCTTTCTTTTCCGCCAGCTCCACTTACCCGGGCATCCTAGGTGAAATGTGGTCAGCTGCCCTCACAGCACCGGCTTTTAACTGGATCTGCTCTCCCGCTGTCACAGAACTAGAGACGATAGTCATGGACTGGCTGGCTCAGATCCTCGCCTTGCCAGAAACATTCATGTCGCGAGGAGAAGGGGGCGGCGTGATTCAGGGTTCTGCTTCCGAAGCCGTGGTCACAGTCATGGTTGCGGCACGGGAACGATACGTCAGTCGGCAACTTGAACGAGAAGGCGTGCAAGGTGAAGAGGAAAGGGAGGATAGGGCATGCGAGATTAGGAGTAGACTCGTCGCCTTAGCATCCGCAGAAGCGCATTCCAGTACCAAAAAAGGCGCCATCATAGCCGGGACCCGCTTCCGCAGTATCCCCGTCCATCGCTCCAACGTCTACGCCCTCACAGCGTCCGAAGTCCGTCCAGCTCTTGAAACCCTAACAGCCAAGGGACTGTGTCCGTACTACCTCGGAGTAACCCTCGGAACGACAAATACCTGCGCCATCGACGACTTCACCTCCCTGGCTGACATAGCGGAAGAGTACCCAGATATCTGGATCCACTGCGATGCAGCTTACGCCGGGGCCGCGCTGGTACTGCCAGAATACCAGTACCTCTCAGCTCAGATGAGCATGGTGGATTCGTTTGATGTGAACATGCATAAATGGCTCCTAACCAATTTCGACGCTTCCTGCCTCTTCGTGCAGAAACGAAAGGATCTCACCGACGCCCTCAGTATCTCCCCCGCGTATCTCAAGAACCAATTCAGTGACAGCGGACTAGTAACCGATTACCGAGACTGGCAGATCCCACTCGGTCGCCGTTTCAGAGCGTTGAAAATCTGGTTCGTCCTCAGGACTTGGGGGGTGCAGGGTTTGCGGAGACATATCCAGCATCATATCAATCTGGGCAATTTTTTCGCCCATCTCGTGGGGGCGAGAAAGGATCTCTTCGATATCCTGGTGGAGCCGCGGTTCGCATTGACGGTTTTCACTGTCAAACCACCCGGCCATGAACCAACGCAACACCTCGCCAACGGTACAACGATAGATCACGGTGACCCGAGACCGTTTGAGGAGCAGCATCTTCCCATCAAACCAGAGACTTCGAGTCAAGAGCTAGAGCTCGCGAATGAGATCACGAAGGAAGTCTATACCGCTATAGACGCGAAGAGGGAATTCTTCCTCACGGCGTCGGTGGTTGGAGGCGTCTATGCTATCCGTGTCGTTTCGGCGAATCCATTAGCGGAGGAGAAGTATATCAGGCAGGCGTTTGATCTGCTTGTGCGGACGACAGAGGAGGTGTTGGGTGCGAGACGGAGGTGAGGTGAGGGTGATGCTGCGGGCAGCACGATAGATAGATGTGTATGGGTACAGAAGCCACGGCAGCAGAAATCTGTCTGCATCGCATATTGATAAAACTATATCTACAGTCCTTGCTTCCCGGTTACTCTCATCATCACATCATTTTGTTAAGTGGTACACCTTTTTATACAAATCCTCGTCGTCCCTTGCCACTGCAAGTACACTTCTTACGTCACGACCTGCATCTTGCCAAACTGCTCGATGGCAGGCGTGGACTCGTTATCTCCTCGCTGTCGTTGTACCAGCTCGTCCGTATCGGCATCGAGATTGGCGAGTAAGCTCTGCTTGAACTCGCTGGCGGCCTCCGAGACCTGGTCTGCAGCTTGTCGACCATCGATCCTGCGCTGTCGGCCATGGATCCTCCTCTCCGCGATCCCTTCCACCCCCTGCATAAACACCTGCTCCACCCCCCTCGCCTTCCCAGTAGCGTACCTCTCCTGCAACGCCGTGAACCACGCAAAAGCAATAGCAAGCAATACGCAGAAGCCAGTAGCGATGAAATGCCACGTATACACCACCGTCGTCCCCGCCCCCCAAGGAGCGAAAAACTTGACCATCTGATCGACGGGATACAAGTCCTCCTGACTCTGGATGTAATACCTCCGCCCCTCCGGCATCCCCCTCTCCCTCCGCCTCGTCAATGACAACTTCGTCGTCAACCGCACCGGCGACCTATGGAACGGCACGAACCAGATGGCGAAGACCTGCTTGATATCGACATACAACACCATATTCTTCTCATCGTACGCGATTCCGAGCACGTGGGCGGAGATGCGGGGGGACATGATTTTGTACCACCGGAAGATGGAGTGGATTAACAAGCGGGAGTTTTGAAAGGAGCCCGTGCGGCAGAAGGGGTGGGTGAAGGAGGCGGTGGGGGTGAAGTATTGGTTTATGGTTGTTTCTTGTTGTTTGGGCGTGCCTTCGGTGAGGAGGAGGACGATGTTTTCGATTTCGGTAGGGGGGTCGTCCATTGCGGTGGTTGCTTGGTTGGTTGGTGGGGGTGGTGGAGTCTTGAGAGGTGAGCTTGTGGGAGTGGGGTGGTGGGCGTGGGCGTGGGCGTGGGCGTGACGTTGGGACTGCAGTACAGTATAGTACAGTAACAGGCAGGAGTGGATGGGTTGATAGGAAAGTGGAAGGTACGTGTTGGAGCTCCCCGACAGGAACAAGAAAGAGCGCGCTTTCACATGTCAAACGCTCGGGCCAATCATGACGTTAGTACGGAGGTCGACAAACTTTCACGTGCTCCGTCCCAAGCCGCTGGGAAAGAGCAGAGCGGTGCAGTGCAATTAAAGAAACAATATATAGCTTCCTTCCCTCCAAATCCTCACTCGACCAAGACAACACGACGTCGACAGCAAACATGGGCATCGTCGACAACGCCACCCACACCCTCGCCACCCTCATCAATGCCCCCTTCGAGTTCCTCTATCGTCTCCTCCAGGTCCTGCTGAGCTACATCTTCTCCCCTCACCCACCACCCCCCAATACACACCTCAGCGGACCCAAGACCGCCATCGTCGGCGCCGGACTGACGGGTGTCTCGTCTGCTGCTCACTGTGTTGGACATGGCTTCGAGACGACCATCTTCGAGGCTGGCGATCGGAAGTCGTTGGGTGGGATCTGGGCGAAAGTGAATGTGAGGAGTCTACCCATATATTCGCTTTATATGTACTCATGCTAACAGTATATGCCATGCTAGAACACATCCGGCCTCCAGATCCACTCCATCATGTACCGCTTCTTCCCCTCCATCAACTGGTCCGGAGGCTACCCCAACCGCCAACAGATCGTCGCCCAGGTCACCAAGGTCTGGAAGCAATACCATCTCGATGAACGCACGAAATTCGATACCAAGGTCGAAAAGGTCTACCAAGACAAGCAAGGACGATGGATCATCAACAATGAGAGCAATGGCCGTTTCGATGGAGTCATTGCTTGCATCGGCACGTGTGGAGATCCTAAGATGGTCTCTGTCCCGGACCAAGACAAGTTCAAAGGCGAAATCTTCCATTCCTCGCAGCTCGACGGAAAGGATGCCAAAGGGAAGAAAGTCCTAGTCATCGGTGGTGGAGCCTCCGCAGTCGAAGCCCTCGAGTTCGTCGCCCATGCTCAAGCAGAGAAGACTTACGTCCTCGCGCGCAGTGAGAAGTGGATCATTCCCCGCAATCCATTCATCGACATTCTCCTCTCCCTCAACATCTTCGGCTCCGAAACAATCTTCTCCTGGATCCCCGAGAACCTCCTCCGCCTCTTCTTCTACCGCGACCTGGCCGACATCTCCCCACCCCGCAACGACGCCGGCAAGGGCCTCTTCACCGAGACCCCCATGGTCAACAACGACGTCCTCGAACAGATCCGCTCCGGCAAGGCCTCCTGGCTCCGCGGCGACATCAAAAAATTCACCCCAACCGGCATCCTCTTCAACCACCGCAGCCAAGGCGTGCCGAAAAATGGCCCTGGCCGCGAAGAACTGATCGAAGGCGACGTCTGCATCCTCGCCACCGGCTACCAACGTCCCTCCCTCTCTTTCCTCCCGGAAGAGTGTTTCGAGAAATTCTACGAACCCCCGAACTGGTACCTCCAGGTCTTTCCCCCGAAACACGCCACCATCTGCGCGAACAACTGTACCTACATCAACGCCATCGGGACCGTGGGGAACTATCACATAGGAATCTACACCCGCTTCCTCCTCATGTTCCTCGTGGACCCCCTCGCCCGGCCTTCCGAGTCCCGGATGAAGACCTGGGTGGATTTCACACGGTGGGTGAAATTGAGGGCGCCCGCGGGCGCGTTTGAGTTCTTCACGTATGCGGAACTGATCTATTGGTTCGTTTTCGTCGTGGTGGTCAATCCGTTCCGGTGGAAGTGGGCGGCTTTTGTGCTTTTTGGGATTGGGGTGGGTTTGCCGAGGAGGATTGTGGAGGAGGAGGATAAGTTAAGGAATGGGTTTGCTAAGGCGAGGGATGGTGGGGAAAGGAAGAAGGTGTCGTGAGGGATGGGCTTGGGGTTGGTGATTATGCTGTTCGGAGTTGCCACGAGGGCGTTGAGTCGGCTTTGTTCGATTGGACTGAAACGCGTGTATATGAAACGCCGAGAACGATGAAGCTTAGCTTGTAGAATAGAAGAAAGCGTACGCTATGTATATCAGCTCATACCGACGGACAGCAGACCTCCCAGTGTCCAATTGCGTGCCAGCGCTCATTTGCCTCCTGGCGCTCATCTCACCGCTCAACTACTCTCACCTACTCAGCTTTCAACGTCAACCTCACACCCTCACACCACCCCATTCTCCTCCCTCCGCCTCCCAACCTCACTCCTAACCCACTCAACCCCCACCCTCCTCCCCTCCCTCACAAAACTCTGCTCCACAGTCCACCTCTCCGCCCCCCTCAACCGCCTCTCCAACGCCCGTCGATTCGAAACACCGGCTCCGGACGCCCGGCATTCGCCAACTCCATGATCTGGGCATTCGAGTGGGTTTCCGCCAGGCGGAGCAGGTTGCCGTAGGCTAGCATGCGGGGTTCGGCGTGGAAGAGGATGGAGTCGGGGATTTGGGGCGGGCAGTGGCGGTAGGTATGTGGGGTGGCGAGGTTGCGGCCTAGGTAGATGGTTTGCGGGTTTGAAGTCGGCGGGGGTGAAGGTTTGGGCGAGGTATGTGGTTGGGAAGGTGAGTCGCGGGGGTATTCGTGGCGAGGTGGAGGCGGAGGCGGGGAATGCTGCTGGCCCTGGGGGTGCTCTGGGGTCGGTGCGAGGGAGACGGTAGGCCACTTTTGTTGTGGTAGCTCGATCGCTTCTGGGGTGGCTGTTGTGGATGGTGTTGGGAGGCCCACGAGATCGATTGAAGTCGGTGTTGCATGGATTCTGCCAGACTCGATCGCAATGATGGCGTCCAGTGCTTCAGGGGTCAGTGCATCTACGAAAGCTTTCGCGGCACCGTGGCCATCAGTCTCGAGCGATAGGGTGGCCTGCTGAGCCTGTCTAGCTTCAGCCTCGGTTTCGGCTGGTAGGGTATGCTGTGTGTAGGTATGCGATCGCAGCTTTCCCTCCGTCTCAAACCCCTCACCACATTCCACACACCGATGAGCATGCTCATGCAAGACATGCATCGACACACCGAGCCTACTCTCATTCGCGAAACCGCACGTTGGGCAGCACGGCTCCGCAGCATGATCGTACCGCAAGTGCCGATCCATCATATCCTTCGTCGGGGTCGCGAGGGCGCAGACTCGACGGCGAGGACAGGTGTAGTATGCCTTTGTGTCATTGTGCTGAGTACTCATGTGCTGGTCGTGGAGAGCCTTGGTCGCTGAAGTGTGCGGGCAGCGTAGGCAGAGCCATGGGTTCTCGGCGTCGTGGACGTCATGGAGATGAGATGACTGCTGGGCATGAGTAGGGAAGTGCTTGGTGCATTTTGTACAGGGAAAGTTATCGGTGTCAAAGGGGATGGTCATGATGGAATCGTGCTCGTAGCTCTCTTTCTGCTGGGATGAACAGTGCGTATTGGACTCGCACGCTTTCTGGTAGCTTGATCAAGTGGGAAACCTCCTAGAACTTTGGTAATACTTATGTTTCGATTCGATTGACGGGGTGTGTCTCGAGGCAAGACGGAACAAAGGGACTGTACTTGCCTCACAAAGACATTGTGTATCGCAAATCCACTTGCTCGGTGATTCACTAACCTGAACACAGTCTGCGAAATGTGAATGATCCATTGAGTCTGGACTGAAGTGGCCAACCTGAGTTTACTTGCCTTGAGGTCCTCAGAGGCTGCGAGATGGCCCATAGCCGCTGCTCAAAGACAATCCTCGGGATAATATCTTGGCTCCCAGGAGCACCGGGAGATGATTCGTAGAATTATGATGGCGATATATGTTCACTTCACATCAAGTCGCATCTCCAGCATAGAAGGCCAAAGCAGACAAGCGGTGAAGAACAGAAACGTAACGTGTAGATACGCTCTGCGGATTTGGTCTAGCAACTCTGTCCACACCGGTTTCATCCTTATGGGTTGGAGATGACCAGCTCTAGCTATTCTCATTGCGTTCAGGACTGGGGAAAAGGATTGATGTTGAGGAGTGAAAAAAATTGGCAGTGATATCGTGGTGGCCTGGAATTGTCTCGTCTTGACCATGGGCGAGAGCAGATGCCAACAGTCACGCCTTTGACCGTCTGGTCTCGTGCTGTTTGACGTTGGTGAGGTCTGCCTTTCGGTCTATATGGTTATGTGGTGTTGTGAAGCCCAGAAGCCAAAGTGAGCTCAGCAAAATTTGCGTGCCAAGAGTAAAAGTCACGTTCCTCGCTAGAAGAGCCAAAAATAGCACTTTCTTGGTCATCCTCACTTCTCACTGACTTCGCTTCCTCCATGTTTGGTGTCTGCACAGCCCTAACGAACCAGAACGATCCGGGCTGAGCGTTCTCCAATTCCAACACAAGCATGCAGCGGACCGCTGCATCAGCTTATGCTTCTTCGCAAGTCGACCAACAGCATCGTCCGGGCCCAGCCTTACTTGTCAAAGCTGTCACTAAAATCTCACGATGCTGACTCCAGCATACGACCAAGCGCTCACGACAGCTTAGCCGCATGCAACCGCTACCGATTCTGAGGTTACAGTACTGCGGCTTTTGCGATCAGATCATACAGAACCACTGTGCAGCATATCAGACTCTTGCCAAGCAGCGCATGGCTATGGGCGCAGTCAGAAAGTGGCTGGAACGTAGTGCTGCTCGTAGCGGACCTACGACCGTGAGAACGGTGAGTCCGCGTGAGATGGGGAGGTATATGAGACGCTTGCCCGTCCCTTCAATCGAAGGATTCTCATCATACCAACGACTCGGCAACGCAATCTTAAACCAACCATTTTCCTTATTTCCTTTGTATCTGTCTATCGTTACATCTTGCTACGTTCACTACTGGAAATCGACATCTAATCAATATCACCAATTACCTCGACTATTACACCAGCTTCGAACATCTCTACCAAGCACTGTCAATCAGCAACGATGCCTTCCTTCACCACCGTCGCGGTCGCCTCCTTCTTCGCCATCGGCGCTTTTGCTCGCCCAGCTGCTCAGGTCGAGAAGCGCCATGGTGGCGGATACTGCCTGTCCGGGGACGAGGCCCAGCAAGTCGCTACCAACTACGGCAACCTCATCGCCGATTACACTGATGCCTTAGCCGACGCTGCTTTGGCCCCAAGCTTCACCGACTACTCCGAGTCCGTCAACAGCCTGATCAACGAGTGCCCTCAAGGTTCCGCTGCTCACACCTTGCCACTCCTCAGTCCCAGCTTCACCAACCGCAGCTCCTTCGAGCTCGGCCAGGGCCAGCAAGCTCCCATCAACTTCTATCAGCTCCAGATGTGGCACAGCTGTGACACCGTCATCGTCCGCTGGGAGACGACCAATACCGCCAATATCACCAACGTCCGCCCTGTTGTCGGCATAATCACGATGGAGACTTGCGAGGCGCCGGCCGGGAATCAGTACCCTTACTACGTCGACACCGTCTACTCCGAATTCGATGCTGCCGCCTGGCTCTCCAACATCCGCGACGCTGGTTTCTGCCCACCCGCAAACACCACTACTGCCGCAGCTTCTTCCGCCCCAGTTGCTGCGCAGCCTGCTGCTACCACTGGCGCTGCTGGCGGTCCTGCAGCTGGGCATTAACACAGTTGAGATGATGATGATGGGATGGATATGGGAGCGATATTGCTCGATGGTAGATGCCATGCGCTTCAGGACCTTGTACAGCCTGTCCTGCTGGTAGCGCAGTGGATGATGTGACCTGGGTAGCGAGGCGTTTTTGGATTTTGGTCGGCTTGCTTGGGCGAGCTTGTGTTTCTGTACTGACAATTATATCATACAAATGGGTGTCAATGGAATGGAATATACCTCTCCGATCAGCTCAGGTCCTCTCTTACCAGCTCACAGTCCTGACGCGCGAGCAAATGAGAGCAGGAATTGTGAACACTGCTGAAGTGATCGACCATTACGCTCGTATAGTCACGACTTCTCCAACCTCGCACATCTCGCCTCATGCGCTTCGGCCTTTGACGGTGCTGTGCCAGATTTGTGACTGCCAGTGACTCAAGTCTGCAACACTTGGGCCATGGAAGACGAAAAAGCAATCTGCATGTCGCCTCCAGCAAGGCGACACATTGCATATGCTTAAGACATTCGACCACTTCTGGGCCTGACCAGCGAAGCAAGACACTTGGCGGCAAGAGACGTGATTTGAGATCGGAGGCATACCAGAAAATGTAGAAGTTGCCACTTCTGGTCGGGATCGACAGCCACGGTGCGTGTTCAATACTTCACGGCCAAGTTCGTAAAGAATCTTTGCTGTCTTACATCCACCTGGCACGTGTAGGACGATACTTTCCTGGGGCACTTTTTGCCTCGTGCCTAAAAAGTGTCTCATTGGGAAGATGACGTTGGAGACACATGGAGGGCTGCTCTACTTCGATGTGTTCAGCGGTGTGTCGCCATGAATTTGGGCTTCACCTTCGCTGTTGAGGATCATGGCGTCGATGTATAGAACGATGTTCGATGCATACAGTACATGTAACTGGAGTTGCGAGATCGTTGAAGGGCTGAATGCTTTGACCTAAGAAAGTTAAAGTGACGGCAATGGCCGGGAATTGACTTTTTGCTTGAGCCGCACTTCCATCTTCAATCCACACCCAACTTCTTATTAGCATGACCCCTATCTATTACGAGATCCATCCTGCTAGCCATAATTACACATCATGGACCTGGTTTCTACCTCGTGAGCCACTATACTGCATCTCCGGACTCAACGTCTTATGACATGCGGCGAACCGGGCATAAGACAATCCTTGTGGCGTGCTAAAGCCTACAGTATGCCTCCCGACTTGCGTCATGACGGCGAATTCAAAGTGTCCTGTACACTACATGATGGCTAGGCTAATGCTGCTGCATTCATGAATGCAGCCCTGTCACGGAGACTACCAGCGTTGGCAGTCTCTGCTTGGCAGCAGTCTCTGCTTGGCGAAGCTCATCAGGGGTGCTGAACTGGAGCGGGTCATGCGAAGTCCATGCTACCCACAAGCTGATCGCCACTTCTCGTTTCGCTGTGTCTATCCATGGAAGCTGAGGTATCCTTATGCCTGAGCCTGTTCGCCGCTACAGTAGCTCTTTCGACCGGGCATTGACCTAATCGATTGCGTTACTCCATAGCAGGAACCTCAAGGCTCGGCGCGCTGGCCGGCATTACCAACGCCTACCACTTCCGGCAGACCGTTGTGTACGGCTCGCTGCCGATCCTTATGCGTTGTAGCGGCTTTTGATGAACTATCGTATACACTTTCGAAGCACGTCAGCGAGCTTTCTTCTCTTGGACGGAAGAGCACACGCAGCTCTCCTTGCACCGGCCTATGCCTGCTAGATCTACATGGAGATAACCGACCCGAGATCTTCTGTGAACTCAGAGACAGCGTACTGTAGGGTCTCTGGTCTCACCCATAAGGTAACCATCAAGAAGCAACTTTTCGACCTACAAGAAACAGCTGCCTCGGTATAGTAGTAGCGGTCCCAGACAGACACGGAGGATACTACCTTCTAGTGCCGAAGCCAGTGGTAGCAAGGATTTGGATAGCTCCGGAGCGAAAGTCAGCGTTCATGCCTTACCCACAAGGTTTGTTACCCTTTCATACATAGCCTGGTGCCATTCCTGTGCGCACCCGCTGACTACAGGATTCCTCATCCTTTCCCTCCCACACATCGACGAACGTCAGAACATGTCCTGGCCAGCGAACACAACCCGCTCGAGATCGTATACGAAGAAGGACCTCACTGCTTTACCACAATTGCCTGTCCCGAAAGATATCGTCGTACCAGCACATCTATTGAGCCTTACAAGCGACCGGCAATCATGGAACCCAAACCGCGAATACGGCAGGGAGTCGTCCTCAGAGCGTGAGGACTCCAGAGACGGATTTGACGTTACGCGCATCGCCCAGCGGCAGCATAGCATCCTTCACCAAGCTCGGCAACGGGCAAGATCGACCACGGCTGAACGTCCTGCGTACCTTCGGAACACAAGTCTGCCCATCGTACCAGGGCGCTCTTTGCAAAGCCTCATACAAGACGACAACGATAAATTTGCTGTACAGTCAAGAAAGCGACGATCTGCGCCTCCTGTTCCCACGATCCCGCCCGTCCACCTTGCACCGGAGCGTGCAATATTGTTTGAACGTTTGGACGCCAAGCGCACCAGTCGAGCTTCGCGGACGTCTCAGGTCATTCTTCCTGACCAAGAGACCGACGCTGCTCAATCCGAGAGCGAGTGCACTGGAGAAGAAGACCCATTTTCTGCCGAGCAATTTATTGTTCCGGACTTCGGTAGCAGGCATACGAGCTGCGAGTATTCCCATGGTGGAGATCTTGAGGCAGGTCGGCGAGAGGATGGCGATAGTTTATACCAGACGACGTCGATTGTTCGGCGAATCACAACGAACCGTTCCGTCCAGGTTGCCAAAGATGCGGTGTCGGGGATGATGCGAAAGAGCAGCATGCATCAGACGTACGAGAAGGCGAAAGCTCGTGGTGAGTATCTGCAGCGGAAGAAGTGGGTGCAGTATCTTTTCGAGTACACAGTGTACGCCTTGCTGCTCTGTTTCATCTACTTCGTCCTGGTTGGTCTCCCATTGTGGAGAGGCGCGGTCTGGTGGTTCTACTGGGTTGTGGCTACGAAATTTGTTGTCTCGGGTACATGGTCCATCACCATCGGTCTAGCTGCATTGTAAGTGATGGTAGTTCCATCGGCGTGGTCTTGTAGAGTCCGCTGACATTTCTAGCTATGCTTATGCGCCATTACTCATTCAATTTGAAAAGGAACCTCCAATGCCGGGAAACGTTGCAAACATAGACCCAGCTAAAACGCCAGGTGTGCACAACACTGCACTACTCATTCCCTGCTACAAGTCGGCGAATATCATAGGGCCAACTTTGCAAGCTGCACTGAAGATATTCGCTGCGCACCATATCTATGTGATCGCGAATGGCAACTCGCCTACACCACTCGACAATACCGAGGAGGTTTGTCAGCTGTACGGTGTCAACCACATTTGGTCGCCAGTGGGCAGCAAGATTGTGGCACAGTTCGTCGGCTGCTATGCGGCCAAGCAGTTCGAGAATGCTCTGCTGATCGACGACGACTGCGCTCTGCCTGCGAACTTTCCGATCGTTAGTGAGAGACTTTCCGAGAAAGTCAAGGTCATTGGATACACTATCAAGTCAGTTGGGCCGGACGGTAGCAGAGGCACGCTGTGCCAACAAGCACAAGACATCGAATACAAGATCAGTGGCCTGCAACGAGCATTCGCAGGCATGATCGGCTCAGCCACATTCCCGCATGGCGCGATCTCGCTGTGGAACACCAAGTTCTTGATCCAGACATTCCACACGCACCCGGGATTTTCGGTCAGCGAGGACTGGTTCTTTGGCCATGCCGCTCGGAAGCTAGGCAGCCGAATCAAAATGTGCACCGCCATCTTCGTCGAGACCGAGACACCTTCGGCCATCTTCTTCGCTGGTGGCGGTTCTCGTGGAGGCTTCGGTGAGATGACCATCTTCAAGCAACGTTTCTTCCGTTGGAACTTCTTCTTCGTGAATGGAATATGGTTCAACTTATCTTATATCTTCGGCAGCTGGAAGCTCGGCTGGTGGGAGATCGGCGCCAAGCTCTTTGTCTTCCAGGAGGTATACGAGACATTGCTATACCTGCTGGCTCCTTTTGTGGTGCCCATTTCGTTCGTGGTCAAGCCAGCGTTCTGCGGATATCAAACTCTCGCCACCATTGGACTATACTATGTCAACGTGACGGTAAGTATAGGCTTATGCTATCCAGTTATGTCAAGACTTTGCTGACCCTTACGTCCCCAGATCTTCAACGAAATCCATCTTCGCAGGCGGAATGAGCGTGTCGGCTTCATCGCTCTATATGTCTACTACACTGGGTATAAGATGGTGCTTACCGGAATCAACATATTATCCTGTTACTGGTCGCTATTCAAGTATGCACGATACTTTGCTACAAGGTGACTTGCTTCGCGTCCTGTCAAATGAAGCAAATCACTAAATGGTACTGCAGACACCCAAAGGTCATCGAAGATGAACGTGCTGTAGAGGTAGTGCTACGCCTCGAGGATGCCACACCACCGATGCAGCGCAAAGAGAGCCTAGCCCGTCAAATGCACGTGACAGCAGTCGGGGCGCGGATAAACAGCTTTTCAAAGAATAGTCGTCTTAGCACACTGAGCATACAGCCTGGCGATGTGGCTGCTGAGGCTCGCTTGACTAGGACACCGGGTGCATCTGGCATCCCTACCATGCCAATGATTCCTAGCGTGCCGGTCTCGAGCAATGGATCAGTCTCGGATAGCCGAGGACATTCGATCGATGGCGATCATGAGTTGAACGAAAAGTCTTCCTGGTATAGTGATAAGGCACCATCGGATCCCTTCACAGCACCTGAGGACTCAGAAGTCTTCGACTTTGCAACCTCGTCCGGCGCGCCGATTACCAACAGTGCGATGGCGAGCAATATACCTGCCCGACCCGATAAATCCGGGCCGACATGACCATGCTCTGATGGAGAGCCTAAACCAAAGACGCTCGCGATGTCCACACGTCGGTCTTCGCTCCGGCATGCTCATCCAAGCGCATAGGGCGATTAAGAGTCCCCACGAACCACGACTTATCTTGCGATGCACGTCGCTAGAATCCTGCTTGTGAATGGCGCGGACTGTTGTATCATTGTGTGTATGCTCGTGGTCATCCGCTTGGTCCAGAAGTTGGGCAGCTCTGCCTGTAAGCGTCGCGAGCTCTGTTCCGTATATTGCCTTAGGATAGCTCCCGCAAGCTCCTAAGTCGTCGCCCTGTCTGCAGCGAGATTGGCCGTCGCTCGTCTTGCATTGATGGCTGCAGCTTGATGCGCTGGCAAGAAGCTCCCCACTTTATACCATCGCAAGCTCGTATAGTCCTTCGCCAACTTCGTCTAGCGGCTCTTACGACCTCTCGGAAGGTTCAACGAGTATGCAAACCATGTTAACTTGCATTGATATGCTTTTGTTGCAGAAGACGGCGTTGACTTGAGATGCACGGCACGACAAGTCTTTCCAACGGGATACTTACCGACATCAGTTGTGCATTGGACACGCAGCAGCGTCCCCACGAGCTTAATACAACTTCATCACCAGCCATGCGAATTTCGAGACATTGTCCAAATCATGATGTTCGGAATCTGAGACAAGGTTGCCTTCATTTCGCTACGATGGAGCCAAGTTGGACACATGATACTCTCTACCGAGCAATTATGCAGGCATTGGGGCGAAGTGCATGATGTGAAGCGGGGCGATTGTCGAACCGGTCAGCTCGAGTTATGCCTGATTGTAAGATAGAGCCAGATGTTCATGAAACCACCAAAATCTCGAGCACGAGGACAGCTTTCGAAACGATGTCCTAGCATACCAATGCGCTTAGACGTGTGTGGCATTTCTGTACAACTTCAGACGGTAGTGTACAGAATTTACGGCATCGTTCCAGTTGCGCCAGGTCGATGAATGGTATTGACGATGCCTGCAGACGTGCATGGCAGCTGAGAGTTGCCTTGTTCTAGCTCGCGTTACGACCTCCCTGCATACGCCCTGCTGCAGCTCCACTGTGAGCTCGAGAACATGTTGATGCTTCGTAAGGTCCGGTACCTGCTGTTACGTTGTACGCAACGACGAGGGAGGAACGAGACTCGACCTGACAGAGCTGCTTTCTAGGCTGCGTTTGTGGTCTGAACCATGCCGTGCGCCCGGGGCGCCGGCAGCCAACGCACTTATGTACACCCTCTTGTACTATGCGTAGGAATCTCATGAGCCGCTGGATGATCCTTAGCCTACATATTCCTGCCCCGTAACCCTTTTCTCCCAATCTGCTGCACATCCCCAACATCTCCTATTTGCTGGCCGAATCACTTCACTCGGGCTTCCCACGGCTACTCCCAGCCATCTAACAGCAAGCAAGATGCCACCTGCTGGAGCCATACCTGTGCCGCCCCATGACTGGCTTCCAGGTCAAGCTATCTACGATGAACCCATCGGGCATCACGTCGTGGACCCGATTGCCACTGTGTTGGATGACACAATGCCTTTCACAAGTCTCAAGCCCAAGAAAGGCAAGACAGTAAAATATTCGGAGCCAGTGCCGACATCTTACAAAGGCTACTTCTTGCGAAAGGATCCACTACCTGGCCAGAAACCCCACTGGGGCCGAGTTGGCAAACGTGATATCGGCCTTGACAGTGCAAAGCTACTGCAGATGGCTCGACTCCATTTGAAAGGAAGGACTGGAGCGCTGGAGACAGCGTACAACAATCTGACATCGAGTCAGCAAGGCGTTGTGAACAACGTGCGCGACGTCGAGAACGGCTTAGAGAGGAACGCAAACGCGGAATGGGTGTTGGCGGACGTTCATCGCTACGGTCCCGAGCGTTTTGGTAACTTGACGGATGTCACCAAGATTGGTGTCATCTTGCGAAGGCAGGACAAGCAAAAGGGCATGATCGACACCAAGACAACAAATCTTGCCACTACCTATTACGGCCCGGACGAGATCATCGACCTCCAAGCTCCCACACAGGGAACCAAGGAGAAGTCAGGGAAGGCAAACGGTCGCAAGAACTCATCGCCATTGGAATCCATTCGTCGAGGTCGATCACCAGACATCTTTGATCCGGTCAACATGAACATGAATCCCTTCGACGAGCCAATTCGACATCATCAGCCAGTGCAGCAGCCATGGCCAGAGACCATGGCCCCGCCACCGGCTCCAATGGTGCCACAATATCCCGACCCGGTCGCAGCGATGGGTGGCCATCCGGGCCCGCCACCGCCAATGCCGCCGCAGAACTTCAATCCGTTTCAACCATTCCCTGGCGTCATGGAGCCCCCACTGCACGGGCCCATGTACAATCATCACGATCATCGCGGCCCCCGTGCCCTGACACCAATACCAGACCCGACTCGACTTCGCCGAAACAGTAGTGCCAAACGACTAAGTCGTGTAGAGAATGAGAACCGTCGACTCGAAGCTGAAGTAGACGAGCTCCGGGATCGAATGGAAGCTTTCCCGATAGGTAGCAATTCTTCCGGAGCTAGTGCACGAGATCGCGCGAGGGATAGGTTCGAGGCGTGGAGTGGTACTGGCGGATCGCGCACGCCTCAATCGTCACCGCCACGCTCCGAAGACCTGTTCTACGAAGAAGGTCGCCGCAAGCATTCTCGTGATCGCAATGGTGGGCGTCGCAACGAGCGACAATACCGGGGAGAGAGGCGTGATGGCAAGTACAGGACGAATGAGCGAGTAGAGGTCCGGGCCCACGCAGCTGGTCGCCCGCGACGACTGTCAGGTCGGGATTATGACCGTGACGAGTATGATGGCAGGCGTTCGCCGCCTCGTCTACAGCGTGCCCACACCTCAGACTACCCACTTGGCAGCATAGGCGATCGACGTGAACCACGATACATTGCTCAGCAGCCGCAACTGCGCCGTCAGCTCACCGACTACCCTGATGCAGTGCCTTACGCTGAATACACTACTACTGGTCGACGAAGAGGCGGCCAAGCGTCGAGTTTCGATCCCATGGCCGAGATGTTTCAAGCGGGGAGGCGAGCAGGGCGTAATGACGGACACTATGATGGACGACGGTCGGAGTTCGTCGAGGCTGATAGAGACTACTATCATTGATGCAGGTGATTTTACATCGACAGGAGACAGCTCAATACTGAACAGAAATGGGACGATGGCTTTTGTTGCTTTCATGCGCGAAACTCAGCTTAAACATGCAGCTTGCTTTCTTGATTGGGTGCGCCTCACGGCCGGATCTGTAGATGACCCTCACAGCCCTGTATGGATAATTCTTGAAGTGACTTTATGAATATTCATCGTCTTGCTCCACCCGTGCGATGATTTTCCAGCATCAAGTCCTCGTCAAGTCGTCATGCGTGGTACGGAGCATCGTCCGCTTGCTTTCATCCTCTCGCGACTCCGCCAGGTCCACTCAGCGCCCTGCGGAAAACCCTGGTCGGAACACAGCCGGCTCTTATCTTAATATGAATGCCAGACCGGTCAAATACCGTTGAATCATATAGACTGGATGGCTCTGGTCATGGCTGCGTTTGTTGTGGGTCGCACTTGCCACCCTCATCAAGATGGTTATCGTTCTCGGCCTCGACATGATGCCTCAACAGACTCCCTCTTGCCTTAGCTCGGCTGGTGAAAGTCCTGAGCTGAAGGAGATCTGCTTTAAGCTTGCGAGGAAATGCGAGACGTGCAGTGCTCATCATCTTTTCGGAGTCTTGGTCCACAGTACGCGCGTGTTTGCGAGCGGCATCTAGCTTCGCCAACAAGCCGTCCATCTTACTCCAATCGCTGTCAGGATCATTCAGGACATCCATGGCAGTCTGCACCCCCTCAACAGCCTTCTTTATCTTTCGATCGCACTTCTCTCGCTCCTTGAGACGCATACAGCCGCCACATTTGCGTGAGATCCGGAATCTCAGGTATGGAGTTAGTCGACAGTGTTTTCGGTGCTGGCCCTGCAGCATATTTATTGCTTTGGAGAAGGAGCCCAGGCAGGTGCTGAGCTGGAAGTCAAATGCGTGACCGCACTTGTGTTTGATTGTGATGACCTTACACATCTTGCAGCGATGCGGAACAATGTGAACTCGACGAAGGCGGAAGATATCGATAAATCAACGCATTGGCGGAGGAGAGTCGGTGTTTCCAGGCAGCAGACCGGGTGTTCCCGCTGTGGGTCCGTCACTAGAAGTGGCAGGAACGCTCGGAATACTTGTTCACCCCGGCGTTCACGTGAAATGCACTGCTGAGTTTTCATTCGAGTTGGAGGTTCCCCATTGCTACCTATCCTTCTGGTTCTCGTCGCACGACTCCATCTCGCGTATTCCATGCCCCTACGTCGTTGCTTCTGTATAAAAAAGTGGCAGTGGCGCAGGTGCTAATGCAGCTTGGCGAGGATAGAGTGTCCGTAAAGTCGCAATCTTCCCATCCACTCCGGTATGTGTGTGGGCCATGGTCCTTGGAACAACTGCCAGCTCCTCGTACAACACACCGGTGCCTTCAAGCTCACTATGGTCATGGACTTAACCCAATAGCTCGGGAAGTCGATCGATCGTGCGCCAGTTGGCGGAAAGTACAACTGCTTGAGCATGCTTGGAGGAGCACTCTACTCCACACTCCCGCACTCAGAACGAAAGCCGTCGCAGAGCAAGCTCGACTGTGTCATATATCGGATTGACTCGGACATCTGCTAACATAGGTTGTGTTGGCATGTGCGCACAAATACCTGAGCTTGCGCACTTCGTACTTTGTCGTGCGAGGATGATGATCAAGGTCGTCGGTAATTCGGCAATCGAGGTCATTTCTCGGAGTCGCAGGAAAGGTCATAAAACCGTCTCGCGTGATCAAAGCCACATGCTAGCTAGCCAGATGCACTCCAAGCATAGCAGTCCTCCGTTTGCGAATCCCAACAAGCACCAATGAGCAATTCTATCTCGAGATCCCAGCCTCGGAATCTTCTCAAGGTGGCTTGTAATGGGTTATGAACACTGGCCCATACACGATGTATGTCTCGAATATGGTAACGGATGCCGCTTGCCTCGAGTAAGCAAACATGCCATGCTCGTCTGCCCGATCCTGCACGATACGCGCACTTCGCATTATTCCAACCGTCTCTCTGACACTGCGGGATGGCCTTTGCGGTATATATCCCGAATACCTTCTCACACCGGCTTAGCCACCTTCCTCAACTCCTTCGCACCCGTCACCGGATCGTGAAACTCTTTCCACGAGAGCGGATACATCTGGTGTCCTCCCTCACTCACCGCCATGACCACCCCGAGCTCGTTCTTCGCCGTACTCAGATAGTAACTCCTCTCATCTCCCAAGCTGATCACGACGGCCCTAACCACGTCCCCCACCCTGAAACTCTCTGTAACCTTGACCTTATCGATCTCCGTAGCACGAATGTCTTGTTGCTGTATCAATGCTGGAAAAGGCTCACCACAGACGCGTTCGCCTGTATTACCAATCGCGAGGATGGAAATATTTGCCTGCCGAGGATTTGTCCTGGTGATCTTGCCGAGGATTGTGGTGCCCACTTCGGGTAGGGTAGCGCTAGATGGCCGCAAGATCGAGAGCGTGGGCGTTTTGGAGCCTTTGGTCGTGGAAGGTGTACTAATGATCTGACCAGCTACGCTTGCAAAAAGATGGTCGCCTTGGATATGCGTCCCTGCGCCCACATTATTGGAAGCTGTGGGGCCCAAGTCCTGCCCAGGCAGGGCTACTGTGGTTGATGACATGATTGATTATGTTGGACACTCATAAGGCAATGGGTGCGAACATCGATGTATGAAACAAAAATGAAGGTTCACGAAGCCTGGCGAAGCCTCAAGTCTTGGCGCAAGCTGGCGCGGAAGGTACGCCTTTGTGGTCCATATAGCTTCGATCAACGACGGTATACTCGCGATGCAGGAAGACATTATGCCTATGCTAGACCTATGTACAGACTAGAGTGCACTCCAAATCCTCCAAATGCTTCTGTGCCAACACTCTCCAGAAACGCTCCGACGCACCACTACGCCAGTAAATGCAGATACTGCTTAGACCAATTACTGACAGTACTGATAGCAGGCCAAGAGCAAGTAGGACCGCATGCTTGTAAGCGTCCAGAACAAAGTGAGGCGGTGGCCAGATGTACCAACGTCCTAGTCGCAGGTACTGCCACATCTTATAAGCCCTGATTGCCGTCCAAGCATGACCTTTGGATCAGAGCAGAACTCGACTTTAGCAGTTGCAGCCTTGGTTCTGCTCGCCAATGTTGATGGGTATCGTCTCAGGGAAGTCGGGATTGAAATCTTGCGACTCTTCTTGCGCAAGCGCGTTTCTCGCGATAACTGTGCATTGGTTAGCATGTCTTAAGAGCTACCGAAGACAGACAGAATGTAAGTTTGTACGCACCCTCGAAAGCCTGCTCCACATTCACCGCTTCCTTCGCGCTCGTCTCGAAATAAGGTATCCCACCCTTGCCCTGACAGAAAGCCATTGCCCTCTTACCGCTCACCACCCTCTTGTCCTCGCCGACATCCACCTTGTTTCCCAGCACCACGAATGGAAAGCTCTCGGGGTCCATCGGGCTCGCTTGAATCAAGAACTCATCCCTCCACGAGTCTAATGTATCGAAACTCTTCGCGTTGTTCACATCATATACTAACACACAGCAATCCGCGCCTCTGTAGAAAGCCACACCTAGCGACTGGAAACGTTCCTGGCCAGCTGTGTCCCAAAGTTGCATCGTCACCAGGCGGTCGTCAACCAGGACTTCTTTCGTGAGGAAGTCGGCGCCGATGGTAGCTTTGTAGCTTGCGCTGAATTTCTTGTTGACATATTGGTTCATCAGAGAGGTTTTGCCAACACCGGAGTCACCCAAGATGATCACTTTCAGGAGGATCTTCTTGCGAGAAGACATGGTTGTGTGATGATATAGAGAGTTTTTCGGAGGTGTCTGTTTTGCGCCTGTAGCGCCGCGACTCGGTGGCGGACCTGTACTATCTTTTGAACAGTATCTCTGACTTGACGAAACGGGACTGGTTCTCCTGTAGGCACTGTTTGTGGGTGTGGTGTTTGTCGTATGCTGTAGAGAGACTTGGCTGATAGCTGGCTATGTCATGAGGGCAGCACAAGCAGCTTGTAACGGCTAGAAGCTTGGACCAGTTGGCGACTTGTGCACGTGACAAGATGCACGATTCTTATCAGGACTATACCGTGAGTAAGATAGATAAGGTTGGCAGGAAGAATCAGACTTGGATAATTATTCAAGTCTTTTCTTTTCTCTTCCTTTACAAAACGGAAAGCTCTGTTTCGTGGTTATGGGAATTACCGAGTTACTTTCACTACTAATTTTGAGATCCGGACTATCAGCAACGGAGCAACACCAAAGTGATCACGTATAGGACCATTTCGCTCGTGATGGGCTCCTGCAAAACGATTCTCTTTACACAAGATGCAGTCGCAACTATGACTAGGCATGTCGACCTGATGCGAGGTCAGGAAGGTGGTAACATGGATTCCAACCCTCACCAACGGTGACTACGACACCCGTCGTACCGAGCCTTCTCAGCACTTACCCTAGGACGATTGCAAGACCAGGCGGAACGATTGCAAGCAGCCAGCAGCGCCTTTTACCGAGAAAGCGATGGCAGAACTATCAGAGCGATCTCGTAACGCCCTAGCTGATAGACACCTCATTACCAGCGCCTCGAAGGCTTTGTGGCCTCTCGCGGACACTGAATTCTGCGCACAGGTGCAGGTCAAGATCCTTTGGCTTTGGCAAGCCACGATGGCCTTGGTTTGGCGCCCTTGCCACGGGGAACCTTTGCAATGTAATCGACGCGGTGCTCGATCTCCAACATAGATGGAATGGCTGGCGCCAGCACCTTGCAGCGTTATGCTCCTCCCCAGGTGGTTTGTACAGCTGTCATCTGCAACTAATGATTACTGCTGCTAGAGTCCGGAGCCGCTTGCGACCCTCGAGTCAGTACCGGTGTACCAAGAGACCAAGGATGCCCTTGGCGCCGGCGAATGAAGTCTGCCTGTTGTGCCCCTCGGGCGTAGGTTCGCCAGGATCGTGGTACTGTGTTTCAGAGCAGACCATATGACCAGAGACATGGCTGTCATTAGATGAGACGAGAGTAGAGTTTGCATTCAAGCGTCCAGACAAGTTCTTCGAGCCTTACCTACCGAGGCGCCTCGTAAAAAGACGAATCACAATCGGGGACTAGCCACGCACGCCGACAAGGTACCGCTGCCACCGAACCGCGATTTTATGATGGCACAAATATTCTTGCCAATAACACCACCGGCACCTGTCGCCGGCTTAGCCTGACATCTGGCGCGCGCCGAGACGATCGCTGTGGGGTAGACTGGGATCGCGGATCGCGATCTTTACATCATTTTGCTTCGGTACGCCGCTCACTGTTCGTGGCGATGCTTGGCCCAATAAACTCACCAGGACTCAGGTGAAATGGGACAGCTCACGGATGCAGATGCCGATAGCAAGTACGGCTATACGTCTTCTAGTGATGGCTGAGCTGTACGAGACACGTGTTCGGCTGCCCGGGACAATTCGAAGCTGCAACAACAAGTACACAGCTCTGGTGTGCTTCAATCAGAGCCACATGGGTCGCGCTGCAGTCTTTGTATCTTGGTCTGAAGCTAGATGAGGCCTAGTCTGGACGCAAGCTCTTGGCCTGGCCAGTCGCGTGACGAGATGGTTGCTCGCCAACGGAAAGCGTGCATCTGGCTAGTCCACATCCTTCTAGATTGTCTAAGCCTCCCGGAAGCTTGACAGATCGGACGCGTAGGTTGCAAGCAATGTCAGAAGAAGCAGTTTATAAACTGAGTAGTACCGCCTGCGTCCCTACTCCTGCGGCTCATCTGTCTTTCCCTCCAAGCAACAAGGACGCGACTCAAAAACCCGTGCACGTTTCGACCCTTTACTACCATACAGTCATCTTCATAATGCAGATCAAGCACATTGTTCCAGCCGCATTGGCTGCTTTCGCGGTCCAGGCACAGAACAGCACCATGAACCTCACTGCACTCATTGGCTCCAACAGTAACCTCACAGGCCTTGCTGGACTCCTCCAGCAGTACCCTCAGGCGGCCGCCGGTTTGGCAAATGCCACTAATGTCACTTTGTTCGCTCCCAGCAATGATGCTATCAGCGCTGCAACAGCTGTACTCGGCTCCTCCAACGGCAACACCCAGGCCTTGGTCCAGGCTCTCCTCAGCTACCACGTTCTGCAAGGTGTCTACCACGCAAGCAACATCACTGCTACGCCTGCGTTCCCACACACGACCTTGAACAACACTGCATACAGCAATGTTACCGGTGGTCAAGTGGTTGAGTGCCGATTGGTTGGCAACACGACCGTTGAGATCATTTCTGGTTTGAAGACCATTGCCAATGTGACTCAAGCCGTAAGTACATACTTCAAGCATTGTTTGGGCTATAGACTGATGATTCTCGCAGAACCTGAATTTCACCGGGGGTGTTGTCCACGTGATCGACAGCCTGTTGCAGATTCCAGGCAACTTCTCCTCCGTGGCAGTCAACGCCAACCTGACCGCCTTGCTCGGCGCTACCACGGCAACCAACCTTACCTCAGTGTTGGACTCCGCCAAAGACATTACCATCTTCGCTCCATCGAACAGCGCTTTCCAGGGTATTGGCTCGGCCACCAGCAACTTGACCGCTGCGCAGGCCGCCCAGATCCTGGAATACCACGTTATCAATAACACCATTGCCTACAGCAGCAGCCTCGCAAACGCGACCATTCCCACTCTTAACGGTGGCAATGTCACTATCACAATCGAGAACGGCACCGTCTTCGTCAACGGCGCCCGTGTCATCAACCCAGATATCCTCATCTCCGGCGGTGTCATGCACGTCATCGACTCGGTCCTCAACCCCAACAACACCGCTGCCAGGGGTAATGCAAGCGAGTCCGCCGCCGCTACTCAGTTCTCTGGTGCCTCTTCCGGCACTGTCGTCCCATACACCAGCGGTGTGCCAACGCCAACGACCACAATTGCCGTCCTCGTCACAAGCTCGACCAATGTCGCCTCAGGCTACACCAGCCAAGCCCCCGCCGGTGGTGTCAGCTCGGCTGCGGTCGGTGGCGCAAGCTCTTCTAGCAAGGCCGGCGCCGCTGCCGTGCAGACCGGTGCTGTTGGTGCTGCTGCGCTTTTCGGTGGCGCTGCTCTCTTGGCCAACTTCTAAACGTAAGAGCTGCAGTACACAAACAAAGGGATGTAGATGAAGTGGAGCAGGAGTGGGATGGTGGTTGTAATAACGGGTGACGAGCAGTGATAGTTCATGTACATCCTCGCTACGAGTACCGCTCTCATCCTTGCAATTACTTGCCGACTGAATGAGTCAATTACTTGCCTACTGAATGAGCAGAACGACTACGACTCGGTTCGAGTCTGGTCGCGTACGCTGATTACGTGCCGGGTTGTCACTTCGCCACTCTGAACCGCCCTGGCCTGATGTATCGAAGGCCAGTCGCTCACTGCTTAACAAACGTAACATACGAGAGATCTCACACTCGCATCATCTTTTCGACTGATACAGTATATGTGAGTTATTGCATGATATACAGCCGGCTAATCTCACGCAGCCATGACGTTAAGGCTTTCGTGATCGTGCAAGTTGTAAGTATAGCCTCGATGCTGCCACTGGCCAGCAGGAGTGAGGAGCTACGGCAACAACTCACAATACAGGCTGTGCTCGCTGTGCTCGAAGGCAAAATCGGCTAGACAATCTTCTCAGGCTCCGTGGCCTCGCGACGCTCTGGCGACTCGTCATCGCTATGCATCCTCTTCCCAGACAGATCGCCACCTTCCATGCGGAGTGTGGACGAGTAGAAGTTCTTGGTCTTCCACGCCTACGAGAATGGTCAGCTCTACACCCCTTAATCCATGTCCGAGGAAGACTTACAGGAGTTCCGATGTATTTGATGCCCGCCGGATCCTCAAACATCTCTGTGACTTCTTCGAGAGGCTTGCCTGCTGTCTCTGGGAACATGAAGAAGACATGGATCGTCATGGCGACACAGAAGACACCGAATACGATGTATGTTCTCCACTGTAGCGATTTGTCAGCGTGGTGTGAAGTGAGTTTTGATATGATTTGTCTTACTGTAATGGTTTCGAACGCAGGTGGAACGAAGTAGCCAAGTGCAAAGTTGAATGCCTACATAATGGCGGGTGAAGGGTCAGCAAATGCTCCAAGATGTACTGCAAGGCTTCGCCATCAGCTTCTTACCCAGTTGCCAGATGTTGCGAAGGCTACGGCCTTGCCACGCAGCTCGTTCGGATAGAGCTCTGGGGGGTAGATCCAGGAAACAGGTCCCCAGGTTGGAGCCTTTTGGAAATCGTCAGTGGAAGGTTCTCATTTGTGTAGATTGATTGGTGCCTTACATAAGAAGCGACGAAGAGATACGAGCAGGCGATGACGGCCTTGCTAGCAGCACCGGTGACTTGGACTTGAGCTTCCTTGATCCCGTTGACACCACCGGGTACTGGCGTGCCTTTTCCACCAAGGATGCCTGCATTTACGAACAGCCAGGTCGCCATCAGACACGAGCCGACTAGCAGTGTTGGACGACGACCAACGCGGTCGATCCAGATCAGAGCGGGAACAGTCATGACCACGTTGATGACATACTGAATGCTTGATGAGACCAGGAGAGTGTTGCCGGTCAGGCCAGCCATGGTGAATACATATGTGATGTAGTACATCATTACGTTCATTCCTGTGAGCTGACTCCAGATCTGGGTGAACAGCCCGATGTGGGTGCGGTTGATGTAGCGGGGGGTGAAGAGGGTGAGGTAGCTGATCTGCTTGCTCTGGCGCTCGATCTCAATCCATTCCTTGATTTCGGCGAACTCACGCGCGACCCAGGGACTGTTGACGTCTCCATGGCCGTGCGTCAAGACGAGCACATCCCTGCATTCATCCCAGCGGTCTTTGGAAGCCAGCCAGCGAGGAGATTCCGGAAGGATCGTCATGCCGAAGAAGAGAACGATAGCTGGGATCATCTGGAGAGCCCATGGAACACGGAAGGCGCCAGTCCCCTTTAGGAAAGAGCAGCCATATGAGATGAAGAACATGATCATGATACCCCAAGTGATGGCCCACTGTTGAGCACCCACGAGACGTCCTCGCTTGCTTGGCGGCGCGATCTCGGAGATGTAAACTGGCACTTGAGCAGAGCAGATACCAACACAGAAACCGTTGATGACTCGGCCCACGATGAGCATGGCGATGTTCTGCGAGGCGGAGACAATGATGCAACCGATGACCCAGATCACGGCGCCGAGCATGATGGCACGCTTGCGGCCGAATCTATCGGACACGAAGCCGGAGCAGAGCGAGGCGAGCCAGGAACCGCCAGCCATCGAGGCTGTGATCCCACCTTGGACATTTGAAGTAGGACCAGTGCATGGCACGTCACCTTGGTTGAAGTAGCAGAGGTATGGCTGGGAGCATGTCAATGATAGGCCAGACCACATCAACCTAAAAGGTTCGGCGATTCGCACTTACCTGGGTAGCTATGATGGCGGACATGGAAGAGATATCGAAGCCGAACAGGCCACCGCCAATGATGGAGATGGCCGCGATGAGGTAGACATTGCCGAACTTCTTCATGCTGGGCAATCGTTGATGGTGTGGTCAGGGACAAGTTGTGTGCCTGGACAAGGCTGTGTTATTATCAGTCGGACTCGATGTAGCACAAGATTCTGAAGGGGGAAGAGTAATGGTCCACAAGAAGAAAAAGAAAAGATTTATGAGGAGCTCATGAATCCTCAAATAGTGGAGGAGCCGGTGGTCACACGTACAGGACCTTGTACTCATGACTCCGGCCAGCAGTGAGTGGGCGAAGAGCCGCAATGAAGCGCATGCTTGTAGTCACCCGGGCCACCTTCACGGGGATGTCGATGTCGATGCAACATTGTCAGGTCAGCCAATGGAATGTGAGAACATGACCCCATCCTTCACTGTACCATTCTCGAGTACTTCAGCTTCTCGATTGTAGCCAATTGAACGACGTTCCAATAATCCTTCGCTACCAAAACCTAGCGCCGCACGATGTCAGTGGCGCCGTCACATCCATGCAGGTGCATGTGCTCTCCGCATTTCCTCTCCGCATTGTCCGTCTGCTCCGATGTTGGCAAAGTTCGATCATGCTGTTTCACTCGATCTTGAGGAGAAGCAGACTTCTTACTGGTATGGCAACGGACTTCTCATGTTTACTACTGACCGAAAAGACACGGAAACTAGTCACCGTTCTGCAAGCAATATCGTTTTCGGCTCACGGAACGGGTAGCTGAAGCCGCACACGAGGCGTTTTAGAGTTGTGGGTTATTTTCAAGCTTAGGTCATCAGCCTCACTTTGCTTTGCTTTCCACAAGTCCTTGGACCACTGTTCATTCACTTCGTCCGAACTCATGCAAACCAGGCTCATGCCGAGGGCGCCAGCTCACGTACCAGAGTCTCGGCAGGCATGCGTCGTACGGGATGTTCTGCCCAACTGTGATCCTGCACAACCTGCTCGTATCCAGGCATTTGACAATAACCCTGCTACGACCGAATGATCGTCAGACAAACAAAGCAGTATCTCCTAGCGTGCATCACACGTGTCGATGTCACGACAATCAGGACAGCGCTCCACGAGGCCGCTCGGGAGCAACGGCATAGCTCTGTAAACTTTACGACTTGGGTAGCAAAGATAGGCAGGCATGTGTCTATGCGCAACCACCATGTATGCTCGCATCTTTGTGCAAACCAAAGCAAACAAGCATTGTCTCCACTGATCATCAAATCCTTCTCTCGAAGTAGTGCTGAAGGCAGACGGACGACCAGGATGTAACAATGTTACCCTCAATTCAGACGGATATTTCTCTCCACTTCCCGCTACACCGCCGTGACCCAACACCGAGCACTGCATAATGTCTTGCAAAGGGGCACAATCGAGCCGAGAGGCTTACACGAGCGGTTGTGCAAGCTCTGAAATCTATCGCTCCTCAATCTCGTTGTCAGACTGGACTGCTGGAAGTGCAACATATGGGCATATTGCATCCAACTTTGTTAGGGATCACAATGACAGCGCATCAAAGTGCCTTTGCCCTGGAGTGGGGTCCGAGTCTGCCTCACGTCCTGTTGACAAGCATAGTAACAGCCATAAGATCCAGCACCGGCAGCTGACTGTGAGAAGTAGCACCAACAAAAGGTCCGTCCCACCAAGGCCCATACTGTCCATTGCCATTAGTATTCCGCTCCTGCTGGCTTTGGAAATTGATGTTGATAAAGATCTTGATATAGCTGGCCGTCTCCATAGACCTCGGATCGAGGTCTCTGCTCTGCCGGATGACTTCGTAAAGCGTACCTAGATGTCGGACCAACACAGCCTTGAACCCGACACCGTCGCCATTCTTCGCAGGCTCCTCTACGCCACGACCCCAGGCTCCTAGATCGGACAGTACACCATTTTTCTCGACCCATCCAGGCTTCTGCATAGAACAACGTGCCATGTGGCAGGCCAGCAGCAGGTACTCCTGCTCGCGAGTAAGGTCGTATATGAGTGCACAGACACCTATGGCTACACCAGTATTGTAGGTGAAAGTCCAGTTCGTCAGCGAGTTCTTCTTGGTATCGATGCCGTCCATCACCACACCATCCCCAGGGAGATACACGCATCGCAGGATCCATCCAATCGAGCAACGTGCGGCTTCGAGAAAGTCCGTACCACCCATATGGTGGTGGAGACTGAAGCGGTTCTTCAGCTTGCCGAAACTCGAATGGCCTTGAGGACCGCGCCTCAATTCGACTCGAGCGATGCGGACACTCAGCTCAGCAAACAAGCTCGTAGTGATAGCATTCAGATACCCCTCTCCAGGTTTGTTGGTCCAGTAGCATCCCCCCAACATGTCCTGCCCGCAGCAAGTATGGCGACCTGCTTGGCAGATGTACTTGTGGCATTGGTGCCAGATGACAACGGCTTTCTTGAGAAACTCCTCGTTGCCATCGATCTCGTAGATGCGGATACAGCAGAGGCCCCACCATAGAGTGTCATCGTTGAATTCATTGATCAGCATGGGATGTTGATCTTCGCAGCAATTGAGTCGAGCTTGTAGGAGGTCAAGGTTTCGATGGTCGCTGGACCAATCGATGTGGTTGGCTATTGCTGTATAACCGTTCGCCCTGCCCAAATAGCATTAGTACTCTGTTCCTCCTCGAATCTCGATTGCACCAACCATTGCCACCACCCTACGCCTCCGATACCGCCATCTGGTGTCCGAGACATCATGTAGACATCAATGCACCGGTCTGTGATGTCCTTCGAACTGGCTGGAGGCTGATATGGGGAATCTGCCCACGCTGGTCTGCGGACTTCAGTCCCAGCGGCAGCATTGACAGCGTCCGGAAAATTGACCATGGCCGAGATATCTCTATCAACGTAGATCTCATTTGCTGCTTGACGGACTACTAGTAATCTTAAATTATGGCGCGAGATACCATGCTACCAGAGTGATATGCATCATATAACATTACTGGATGCATGTTCCACATTTATGTCATGTCTCCGAGCAAGGGCAACTCAAGCTTCCCTGTCACATGCCAGTCACGGATTAGGGTCCAGGACGAGGCAGGCACAAACCGCGCTAATTAATAGTGTAGCGTGAACCTGTCATGCTTCAGCAACATACTTATCGGCCGTCAGGCAATCATGATTAGCTTCGGGAGAGAAAGGAGGAATATGGAAGCATATCATCGAGAGCATAAGTTGTATGCAAGATGAGCGACTGGATTGAGCAGTACTCGGCTGCTCTCACGGAACGAGATGGCCGCGAGCAGACGCACAAGGCATACATAGATGCTTGTATGGCAGCAGTGATTGTCGTCTGCGTTTCCATGTTATACTGATCGATTCCAGATACCAAGCTTGCCGACCGCACCGTAGCCCTCTCTTCCGAAGCATCAGCACCGCCCACACCCTCCTCACCAAAGCCATCATCGGCACGAGAGCAGTCCGGTACGCCAGTGAAAGGCAAAGCAGTAGTTGCGAGGGGTGGAGAGCAAGACCCCACGGACTTTCTATCACGAATCCGCCAAGATCTGGCCACTACACAGAAAGCCCGCGCAACCCTACAAGCCCAAGTAGACGACCTTACCACGTCCATCGCAGCCCTACAAACTCGGAACAAAGCCTCAACGACCCAGATAGCCCAGCTCACTCGACAAAAGGCAGAGGTGGAGCGCAAGCTCCGGGACCGTGAGGAAGAAGTGCGAGTAAAGACCAAGATGGCCACTGATGCTACAGACGAGATGGTAGCTCTAGACCTGCAATTGAATCTAGCAGAGGCCAAATCGAAGAAGCTGGTAGGCGAGAACAAGGACCTGGTGGACAGATGGATGAAGAGGATGGGTCAGGAGGCGGATGATATGAATCGCGACTCGAAGTGGGAGTGAGCTTGCATGATAATAAGGCTTTACATTCCCAGGCTCGTTATGCTATCCTGCGCCGCGCCGAAGTACCTTTGAAGCAATAATACAAGGACTTGCCGTCTAGAGCCGTGCCGAATGCATCTCAATGACCCCTCAACCGCCTATCCCGATCCCTCAAACGCCTATGTGCCCTAATCCCGCGCTTAGCGAAGAAATCTGAGATGTTATCCCACAACATCGTCGCAAAGACCACGAGCATAAAACCTACGATACTCGGCACCGCCACAACCCAAAAGAATGCAAAGGGATGCGCCAGACCCGCGCCACTCGAGAAGTTCATTCCAAAGTACCCGCAGATAAATGTCAACGGAGCGAAGAAGACGGTGACGACGGCCATGATCATCATGAAATTGTTCGTTTTGGCGCCAACGGTGTTGAATATCAGCGTACTGATGTTCGTGGCCGAGGCGTCCATTTGTTGCAGGGTTTGAATCATGGTTATGCAATGGTCCAGTACGTCGCCGAAGTAGGTATGTGCGAGGGGCGTTATGGAGACGCTCGTGGCGGTTTCGGTGCGTTTGAGGGCGGTGCGGCGGTATTCGGAGATTTTGCGGTTCATGTTAGGCGCACCCTGACGCTCACGTTTTGCTCTTTCGGGTGCCTGGGCGGGGTACTCAGTGTGGTATTGAGGGCTGGAGTCGTCGGAGTTCACTGGGAAGAGACCTGGGCCAATATCATGGCCCATCATTCGCGCCGCTGGAATACTTTGTAGTAGTGGTTCGGCCTGGTGATCGCGAAGAGCATTGACCAGGTGGACGATGGGCTTGAAGAGGTTCTGCAGCATGTCAATTTCTTCGCCGAAGATGTGCAGAGCTCTTGAGGTCTTAATATTCGGGCTCGTCATGGCATCGACCTGCAGCTCCTTTCGCGCCTTGTTGTATGCGTCCTTCACCGGCACTGCCAAATCCACGATCGCGTCGATGATGGCTTGGAGCATGAACGAAGCGTCACAGCTGCGCCGAAGCATGGTCGTAGTGCTTTGCAACCGCTTCAAGAGAGGCTCCTCCACATCCAGAGCGGAATGCTCGAAAAACGAAATGACCGTGTTATCGGACATCAAGAATATCGAGACCTGCTCAACGCTGACTGCATGATCCTCCTCTGCCAGTACAGAGTGTCTAATGCAATGTCAGTGGCGGTTCAAGCCTCAAATAGGATACCACTCCACTCACTTCTCCATGAATGCAGTATGACTGGGTATCTGCGCGCTCTCATATCTATGAAGTGTCCGAATCGGCTTGATTGGCGTGCTTTCAGAAGTGCCACTATGCGCAGCGATATACTCATCAAGCTTTTCGTCCACCTCTCTGCGTTGATATGTGGGCAGCACAGTCTTCGACTTCTGCTTCGTCTGCCATTCGAAGAAGCTCGCCATCGACTTCCGCCTCGCTGAAGCTTTCTCGTCGCCGATCTCATCCTCCGAGTCGCTGTTGGTGGCTGCATCGCAATCGCATTTGCCGTTCGAGCCCTTGTGCTGATGTAGGCGCACGAGCTTTTGGAGTGTTAGAACCACGTAGGCATGATCTGCGTACCAGTCGACTTTCGTCCGGGTGTGCAAGTGTACCAAATCCTCAATGGCCAGTCTGTGCAAGCTGTACCTGTTTCCAAGAGCTCGAATGACATCCCAGCTTAGACCATTGACAGAGATCCATCTACATGGGAGGTTGTCGGGCCTATGTTGATCGAGGGCTTGGGGTAGACTACTGTTGTCTGCTTCAACGTGTTGGATATCCGTGTCCGAGAAGTCGATGATATGAATCTGACACTCCGCCTTGAGGTCGGCTAGATGGGACGGAAGTGTCTCGTCTTCGGCTGACGTATCAATACCAGGCTCGGCGCCAGGGAGGAGAAATTCCGCCTCTGGTTCGTGGTGCTCGTTGTGGTAGGTTGTAACGGTGTTAGATCGTGTCGCCCGTCGGTGTCTCATACCCTCCGGTGAGGACATTGTAGTCATACGCGAGACGGTGCTTCCTCTTCGATCTCTGGACGGCTGATCCACGAAAGTTGCTGAGCGCTGAGATGAACGGTGATGTGGCGGGGCATGGTCCTGCATGGGAGGTGCATCCTCAACGGCAACCTCTTGCGAGGCAGCGAAGTCGACGACGGAAGACATGACTGATGATAGTTGCCCAGAGCCGAAGGTATGATGGAAGACACCAGGGGTACGGAGAGGAAACAATATAGATTGAAATGAGTGTATCCTCAGGGGAGTGAGATCATTTTCCTATCTAGGCGCGCAGGCTGACGGCCGCATGCGTGTCCTTGAGCGTCAGGAAACTCCAAAATGTGTTTGGCGGATCATGAACGTGAATGGTAACAACGAGAGGTGTGTTTTGGACTGTGCTGTAGCGACTGGAAGTGAAGAAGGAATAAATGCTAGGAAGCGACGTGTCTGAGGGTCCGGCCTGGAACCCTCGAAACTCTTTTTTTGCAGCGCAAGCGCCGGTGCTAAGCTTTGTGGGGAGAGACTCGAAAGCTTAACTCTTGTCACGTGACCGTGCGGAAAGTGTTGGTAATGGTGGGCTCCGAAAGGGCAAGAATGATGGCATCGGTTCGAATAATGAAAGGTGCGTAGTTAGTTGTACAACGAAGCAATAACCCGTATAGAGCCTAGCCCAAGATCTTCTAGAGCTGCTGCCACACCTCCAAGACAGACGTCCTCGGACCTACCAGCCATTTGTAGCATAACAGCAACGCAGCACTGGCAGGGCCCTACATCACGTCGACGCACATGGCTGGTCGTCCATGGCGGGGAAGGACTGCATTGCACGATAGTCGAGCGACTAGGTAGTCCCTAAAGGTGAGTCCACAGTTTCAATTGTGCTTCATCATCGCTCAGCCCTCGAACGCCCGCGTCAATGAGCCTATAGAGAAGAGGAGGATGGCTACATGCTGGCACTGCCCTTAGTGATAGCCAGATGATGCTCTTCCTCTCGACTGCATGGCACGTCAATGGTTTTGCAGTCTGGATGGTAATCATGGGGCCATGGGGGCTCGGAGGGATGATCGCGAACTAGACGGCCTGAAGGGGAACCTGAAAGTCACGCTCAAGTGTTCTTGTAGTCGTTGCTTGTAAAGCTCACGAAGATTTAATGTTGTAGAGAAATGGTAAGCAATTGCGACTTTCGCCGTATCCTACGCACTCGAGAAATATTGGCTAGCCAGCCACCATGTCCTACAAAGAAACATCAGCGAAAGATGAGAGAGCCCGGCTTCTAAACATTCAACGACGTCCAAGGGCGAATTTCATAAAGTTAATTCGATCTGAGCGATCCAGATTCTCCGGGGATTGTGTCCAGCTGAGATGTCTCCCCAGTCAAGACTACCTCGATGAGCTGGCCTGATCCGGTGGCTGCCAGTGGACATTTCGAGTCTAGTTTCAGCTGAACCACTGCCAGTCACGAGAAGTATTTGCTGGCCATTTTCTCCACAGATATATGCATTGAGACTCCAGCGACGTCTCTAGAATCGATAACGAATTGATCTGCTCGTGAGAGTGCTGTCATTCCATGCCCATATTTTGATGTGGTGCAAAGGGGATGACGGACGTTGCGACTATCGTTTCAAATCAAAACCTGGAGGGTGTGCAGATGAAAATCGAGATTTGGTCGGAAACAGTCAGCAAGGGCGGGCGGATCCGTCCAAGTCGCGTGGTCGGAAGTGAAAACGATGGCTTGCCGACAAGAGCTTTTTTGGGGGAGGGCGACCGCCACTGAGCTGAAGTGCAATTGTCAGCAAATTGCGTGTTCATGGGGCTCTCGCTTCCAGGATTGTTTCTTCTGCACATGCGTATAACGTGACAGAGATATTTGGATGAATAAGGCAATGATTCTTGCACGTGCTGGGCCTTCCACGAACACGAAGTGGCAAGAAACCAATCGCTCAGCTGGATCGACAGTTCCACTTTACATAATTAGAGCAGCGTCTGTACAGCGTACCGCCGCATTCGACTTAATCTGCCGTTGAGCGACGGTCGTTTGCTTGGCGTGATTCGGCGCTCGGTCCCTCGTCTCGTCTCAGTCTCTCCAACCCTGCCTTACCTCACCAGCAGAAGCAGACACCAACCTCTCTAGCATAGAAACACCTCTTTCCACCACAGAGCCCGATACCACCACCGTACATGTCGAACTGAGAATATCTGGAGCGGTCGAGGGAGCGTGTGAATCTGTGTCATCAGCGCAGGAAGGAAGGACTCGGTGGGATCGCGAGCGGGCAGGCAAGCGCCCCGACGGACGGCCTCTTACCTCCCTATAAGCAAACAACCGTCACCATCAGCGCGGAGCGCAAGTGGAGACATTTCACCCACCAGCGCATCACCGGCGACTCGACTCTCATCCAACTCTGGCAAGGGACTGTGCAGAGGACGTCTGGCTCTTCGCTGAGACCAAGACGATACCACCGCCCTTTGTTCGCGAGTCATAGTGCCGACGCTTTTAAAGCGACACCGCTGACTGTCCTGGGTCGGGAGACGACGGGCTGTGGATACCCATTCACGCCATATACAGTGTGCTGTACTCGGAGCAAACAGTGTCGCTGGCGCTCCAAACACGCCACTGTCGCCCAACCACAACATCATCGCCGAGTGTGCCAAGGCATCGGCTTACACCGAGTTTGCCTCCCAGGAAGTCCCTGATCAGAACTGTCAAAGTCTGCTCAGCACTTCAACACGATAGCTCGTGAGCATGAGGGAAGTCAATTTCAGCATACCCAATGCCAACAAGGCCTCTGTCGGGATCACTACCGCCCTTTATGACCGCAGGGCGCTCGACTGCACTTCTACTTTGTCCCTCATAAATTCACTCAACAACCTTGCATACCTCACAACATCGTCTGGCCGCATTCGGGACATCCTTACCGTCGATGGCGGTATTGAGCGACTGGTATGCATTCTCAAGGAAGGCAGAAGCAAGGAGAACATGGAGATGTGGAAGTGGAATCTGGCTTTCCAATGCATTGTAAACATCGGTGTACGAGGCTCTGAAGCAGTACGAACACGAGTGGTCGAGGCGGATATGGTGCCTGTCATTGCGACTATCCTGGACAACTATGTACAGGTGATGGAGAAGCTGAAGGAGAGACAAGAGCTTGAGAGCAGGCGAAGATGCCCATTCGGCTCATCGAAAGGCTTCTCGCGCAGCTCTAGCAGAGTCGATGCCGCGGATCAACATGCAGCTCGCTCAAGACGGCATGCGCCACCCCCAATCGCCATTCCAGAACCAGATAACGACCCGGAACAAGACGAGCCACTCAGTGAGATCACGCCGACTGGTCCGACCTCAGTACTGTCCCTCAGTACACCGCCCGAGAGGACCACTTTTCCACGACAGCATAACCATCAGAGATCTCATGGCGGTCCTTCACACTTCTCCTCACCTAGCCTTGGCTCAAGCCGAGCATCTGTAGAGACACCTCTTTCTGCAATGCCATTGCGCGGCAACGCCACGAGTTCATTTGGCTTGAGGCCAGTACGCGACATCGACCGCTTACCATCTATGGTACCAACGTTGCACGCGGAACTAAGCTCACAGCCACAAAGCCCGACTACACCAGTAGCTCGGCCAGGCAGTCCTCAAGCTTCAACGAGTGGCACACGGCAGAGGCCGCGGCCCTCTATTCGTCATCAGCTATCCATCTCAGGATCAGATGATGACGGCCAAATAGACGAGTCACCAAGCGATAACTCGACTCCGCCGGCTGAAGTTCCGACAGAGCCTGTAGTAGGCTTCCAAGCTGACATTGTCATGCAAGACATTGTGGACGATGAGAGCTTGCTTGAGCCTCAACGCGAGTCGGTAACTCTAGCCGATGTAACAGGCGCAGACGACGAGACTTTCAGCATCACACACAGAGCATCCCTTGATGGCAGCACTAACCCTGCTGTCACACCTACACAAGGACAGCTACCGTTTCCACAGACACAGATGCCACCACCAGTCAACGCTGTAAACGCAACACCACCGAACATGCAGCAAGTACCCGCATGGTATCCATCACGACTCACGCTCGACCGACCAACGATCCCTTCGACACTCGCCCACGCCATGCCTCGAGACGAAGACGTCCTCATGTCGCTACAGCTTCTAGCATACGTCTCCAAATACTGCAACCTCCGAACATACTTCCAGAAATCTCACCTCGTCCCTCGACTGAAGATTGGATCCGATCTCCGCGTCCTAGAACCTGACTACGACCCTTCGATCGACACAGGCCCGACTCAAGAAGAGCTAGATGAGGAGTGGGACAATGAGTTCGTGGCACAGCCACTGTTCAACATCTTCCCATTGATCGAAAAGTTCACGGCCAAGCCCTCCTCATCCTCATCCCGACACTCGCACTCTGCATCAACGCCGCATTCTCCACAACAAGGCGATATGCAGTATTGGGCAGGTGTAGTCATGCGCAACCTCTGCCGCAAAGATGATAGTCGTGGCGGCATAAGGCAATGCGCATACTGGCAGTGCGGCAAGTGGGAGGAGTTTACACGACAGTTTGCGAAGTGCCGGCGTTGTAGGAGAACGAAATATTGCTCAAAGGAGTGCCAGAAAGGGGCATGGGGCAGCCACAGGTTTTGGTGTGTAGCTGCTGACTCGCAATCACAAGCTGGAGAAGGCGGAGAGGGCGCTGGTGGTGAGGGCAGGCATCGGAGACATCATCATCACCATCACTCTCATGGCCAGAGCCACACTCATGGCTCCACTACGGGGCACCATTGAGCGTCGATGAGCACTCTTAGCTTGCTTGCACGACTAGCATGGCGTTTTTTGGCAGCCACATACGAGCAGGGCGTATCTTTGTTGTTGACGACCAGCATAGCGTAGCATGGCGTTCCTCGGCGAACGACAAGGATATACCACTACTTACTACTGTGCTCACTGCAAGATATTGGATCTTGCTGGGCATTGCGATTTGATACGATCTGGGCACAGACGGATTCTTCGTTGGTCATGACCTCTGGCCAGCATTTGCTATCCGGCAAATTTCGACAGTGTATGTCGACCGATTATCATGGCGAAGATATGATACGAATTGGGAGTTCTTTTTGGAATAGTTGGAGTGGAAGCTTTGGGATGGTTTGGGAAATTGCACTGCATGGTACGAAGTATTCTAGCAAAGGCATCTCTATGTAGCATAGCGATGCTAAATGGGATGAGATGAACACACCCATGCTGCAGTCGTCTTCGTACAGCCCTGTATGTTTCATACGCACTTCTGTCTATCATTAGCAGTGATTCGGCACGTGACTAAGGCGTCCAAGCTTATTCACGTAAGCAACGACAATGCTCTCTCTCAGCTCAGAGTGTTTGGAATACTGCTGGTAACATACGACATACTGAGCACATGTCTTGCACGACGACTGGAGTCAGAGTTCCCTCTAATGGCATGATACTCCGTAATAGCAGCCCTGCCACCTTGCCCACAGACTGCGGAGACACCTAGAGCTTACCCCACCACCGAACCAAGAGCCAACAACAGAGGAGACGCAACCGCTGCTAGCAGCCGGGGCTCGAAGGTCGAATGGAACCTTTGATCTTACTCTGCCTACGTGATGTTCATTGGCCACATGACCACGATTCCAACCCTTGCGGCCGTGCGAGCACTGAAAGTCTAAGTTGAGTATAGTGTGCGTTATAAGCCCGGTGTGCCTTCCTTCCTTCTTATTGTTATGACCGCAAGAGCGTCAAACAACATCCCTCCTTCCCTTCGTGAACTTTGGGAATATCAAGATCTATTTGGTCGTGCCGCTGAACCTCCTTCTGCTTCATTTTCAGCCGACAACATGAGTTCTGGACGAGCGATTGTGTGCCATGATACGCATGCCAATGGCGGATGGAAGATGGAGGAGGTGGGCGTGAGGAAGCCGGGTGAGGGCGAGTTGTTGATCGAGATGGTGGCATCTGGTGTCTGTCACACGGATGTGTTGATTGGCGATCTTCCGGGAGGTGGTGAGTGGATGACCTGGTCTCTCGTCCTGACTACTGGATCCGTGGACTAACGGGTTGCATAGCTGCTCCTATCGCTTTCTAGTATGTAAGAGTCTACGAGTGTGATGATACAGATATTGACACTTGCGTGAGCCCCAGAGTACTCGGGCACGAAGGCTCCGGATACGTCAAAGAAGTCGGCAAGGGAGTGACGGTGGCGAAAGCTGGCGATCCAGTGCTGCTCTCGTTTGCCTTCTGCAAGTCCTGCGAGCTTTGCAAGGCGGACCATGTCTCGAATTGTAACAAGTTCATGGACTTGAACTTTGGCGGGTGAGCTTTCGATCTGGAACGCCATCACAGCGTCCACATACTCATGTCTAGAACAGGCCATACAAGGATTTCCATTTGGCTTCCAAGGGCGGCGAGCCCGAGGCCGTACGTACTCGAATGCTTCAATCATAGAAATGTAGGCGTATGATGCTGACTTCAGCACAGGGTGGTGGGTTCTTCGGACAGTCATCCTTCGCGAGCCTCTCCGTAGTCCGGGAATGCAGCGTAGTCAACGCCAAAGATCTCGTTCGCGACAAGAAGGAGCTTGAGCTTTTCGCACCTCTGGGTTGCGGCATCCAGACTGGGTCAGGGACAGTGATCAATGCCGCCAAAGCAACAAAGGATGACATCGTCTTGATTCTTGGTCTGGGTGGCGTGGGTCTTAGTGCCATCATGGGCGCAAAAGTCCAAGGGTGATTTCTGCCGCGAGAGAGACTCTAGACGAATCCAGCTAATGCAGCCCAGCTGCCGTATGATTATCGGCGTGGACCGTATAGAGTCACGCCTTCAGATGGCAAAGGAATTGGGTGCAACGCATGTAATTGACGGCTCCAAACTTGGTGACAAGTCGCTCCCCGATGCTATCAAAGAGGCAGCCGAAGGTAATGAGGCATCCACATCGCCGAGAGACATGGATTAGTCCTTGGTAGATTGCTGACCATATGCTTGGCAGGTCTCGGTCCGACTGTAGCGATTGATACCACAGGTGCTCCACCTCTCATCAAAGCCGGTGTAGCTGCCATGCGAAACAAAGGCCGCTACATGTAAGTGCCCACTATCCACGCCCTCATTTGCTGTAGGGTCGTGCTAATTGACACTCCTTTAGCCAAGTCGGAAGTGCACCGTTTGACTTCAACCTCGACTTCAATTTGTTCGAGTTCATGGCCGCTGGCAAGTCAGTAGCTGGTGCAATCGAGGGAGAGGCGTATCCGCCTGAGTATGTGCCTAAGATGATCCAGTAAGTTGCCACCCCGTCAAAAATTCAATGCTATGGCGGATATTGGACTAATGGCACTTCAGGTGGTACCGCGAGGGTCGCTTCCCTGTCGACAAACTGGTCAAGTTCATGCCTGCGGATCAGTTCGAGCAGGCACTTAAGGAGATGCACGATGGCACTACCATCAAGCCTATTCTCCGGTGGACTTGAGAGTGAATCAAGAGAGACTAGCGACTTAAGCAGACTTTGGTCACGGCGATGGTTGGGACGGTCTCAGCATCAAGGTTCATCAGCGAGACCATCAATGTCTTCCCGAGCTTGATATACTATGTCAAAGCCATCAATCAACCACGTAATGGAACGTCACGCAAGTCAGGTAGCAACTATATTCTCACCTCAAGACAAGTGCAAGGAACAGTGCACGCGCGGGCACAAGCACAGGCGTGAAAGAGTATGTTTCTGATCTGTGCGAGTTGAAGCGCTATGCTACGCTATGCTACGATATGGAAGCACGCGATATCATGCAGCGCTATGCTATGCTCAATCTATCCACGCCGTCCATCTTGTCCACTGCCCGTCCCACACGCTTTTGCTCAATCTCCGTAGCATGCGCTGATGTGGACATCGTCCCAGCTCACGGGCCACAAAGCTCCTATTGCAGACTGTCTACTCAACATGGAAGATGCCTTCAGCCCCAAACCACTCATACGCACCTCAAAACTCCGCCGCCCCTCTCATTTCCTCCTCAGCCGTCTTAAGCAACGGCGCCATTTCCTTCCTGACCCACTCAAAATAATCCCTCCATCCTCTGCTCTCCTCCACCCCCGCCGCAGCCCCCTTATTAAGCACGACCGAGACCTTAATGACAGCCTTCTGCCTTTCATTCAACTTCTCCACATCCTGCTTGACAGCATTCTCCTTCAACTTCTCTGCCAACACCGCTCTCAGCGCAGCAGCCAAATCATCCAACCTCCTCATCGTCTCCGCTGGGGCGATCACGAGGAGTTTAGACAGCACAAGACAGCAGAGGATTTTGATTTCGTGTTCGTCGCCTAGACCGGCTACGATGCGGTCGTAGAAGGCAGGAATGTCGAGGCGTTGGCGCGAGGCTGGGGTATCGAGGAGTGCGTAGAGGGTTTCGTAGGCGGAGTGTCGCATGTCCTTACCATCGTCGACTTTCAGCGTGAAGGGACCCATTTTGACTTCGCGTACGAGTTCGGGGCGAATGACGGTGGCGCGCATGGCGTAGGGGAGTAAGTCTTGAAGGTGGGGGAGCACGAGGTCGGGCTTATTGTGCAGGGCTGAGTTGAAGGTGGTGAGGGACATGCGTTGGTTGTCGAGGTTATTGTCGGCGAGCATGGTGGCTAGCATGGGGATGATGGTTGTTCGCAGGTTATCATCGTAGCCTCCTTCAGTCTCGGAAAAGACGTAGCGTAAAGCTGAGATCACCATGCCGCGATCAGCAGGATTCGAGTTCTGGAGGAAGGTCTGGAGTTGAGGGAGATAGGCCGCAGGGTCGATGATGGCGAGACGACCAATACACTCAGCCCCGACGACCTTGTTGTCTTCTGCTTGGCCAGAGTTGACGATGTTCTGCCACAGCACTTCCATATATGGCTTGATATCCTCCTCGGCGTTGCTGTGCTGTAGGAGTTCCTTGACGGAGTGCAGCAGCAGATACTGACGCTCATTCGAATTCAAGGCCTCCATAATGCTAGGCAAGTATGTCTTGACATCACCAGCGCCCGCACGGCCAAGAGCAACAGCAGCAGACAACTTGACCTTGTCGCTATTGTCGGCGAAGTAAGGCGTAAAGCTAGTAGGCTTGAGGGGACAGCTCGTACCCAGCCGCAGAGCAGCCTCGCCAAGCACAGAAAGCGCCAGACACTTCTTCGTCTCATCCTGCTGCACCGAGAGCTCCCTCGTGAAGTCGGCCAGCCTGACGCCCATCTTGCCCTCTCCACCCGCCACAAGCAGAGTCCCGATGACTTGCCCAGTGATATCGGGATCACCTTGCGTGCCGACATTGAGCAAAGCCTGCATGAGATTCTGTCCCGCGCCAGCTTGTCCAATTGCATCCACACAAGTAACCAGTGCATCGAGAGCGACACCCGTGATCGAAGACGAAACCACGATCGCGCAGATACCGCTGATAACGTCACCCGTAGCGACGAGGGTAGGTCTATCCTTTGCGAAAGCTGCCAGAACGATCAGTGCCGGACCCATCATATGCAGATCATCCGGCCTCAGTAACGACACCAGCATGCTGACCAGCTGGCTGATCGTGCTATCGCTCAAGGACTCCCGCGATGCCTGATTTACAGCAAGCATCTTCAACGCAGCCAAGCTAGCTCCACGCAAAGACCGACTAGCCTTGTTGAGTTGAGCGCCAAGCTCCAATGCAACAGCATCAACCCAGCCGGGCTTGAAGTCCTGCGGACTCTGGGCCAGCACGGCAATCGTGTCGACGGCACGCACACAAGCAAGACGAGTGAGCTCGTTCCGTAGTCTTTCGGCAATGATCTGTTGGCCCGCAAAACGATCGTTCTGGCTTAGCAGATTGGCGCCAGTGGAACCGCTCGTGCGACCAATAAGGAGACCGAGAGCCTGGACAGCCTTCTGCCTGACCTCGGTATCTGTGTCCGTGGCACCGACTCTCTCAACAGCAACCTGATATAGCTGAGACAGGTACTGCCCACTCTGTGCCTTCGTAGCTCGCGGTGGGGTGAGAGCCTTGATGTAAGCCTCGATAGTTGCCAGCGCCTCAGCAGAAACTTTGGCATACCGGTCTTTACTCGCCTTCGCCAGAGCCGGAACAACCTTGGCAGGTTGAATAACACTACTGCTGTGGTACTCGGCAATGACGCGAAGCTGATGCATGATCTCAACGCGGAGGCTGTTGCTCGCAGGGTTCGAGCCGAGTGTGCTGAGGACATCGATGACAGGGTCAAGGACTTGGTCGGTGCGGTCAGCTAGGCCACCTTTCTGGGCGATGACCATGTCTTTGATGAGAGATACAAGAGCTTGTTTCGAAGTCGTGGGGACAGTATTGCTCTTCAGTAACTTTGCCACTGCCTTGACAACTTCCGGGTTCATCTTAGCTAGACCCTGCGTCGCCTTATCCGTAGGCGGTGGTGTGCTCGGCGAAGCATAGCCATTGGTATGGTGATGAGCAGAATGATCAGAGCCGAGTGATTCACTAAAGCCTCGTCTCCTCTTCCTGCTTGGTTGGGCTGTGCTGTGATGATTGTCTGCATGACCAGCAGCGCTGAAACCAGTCTTCGCGATCAGGAAAGCGAGCGTAGCAATGACCTCGTTGCGCACACTCTCCTCCTTCTCCTTGAACCGCACAATCAGCGCTGGTGCGATCTGACCATAAACCACAGGATCGTTCGGATCGAGAGTATCAATCAGAGCATGCAAGGTCTTGGCCGAGCAGCGACGTACTTTCCAGCTCACATCGTCCTCATCGTCGAAACCGGTCTCCTCCTCAAAGTCCTCGTCGGCCTCAAATTCCTCCTCATCCTCATCCTCTTCCTCCATTTCCTCGTCCTCGTCGTCCGCGACGTTAGGCTCGTACTTCAGGAATCGTGTCGACGAGTCCGCGACATCCTTAATGTAAGCCTTCATATCCTGAGCACAAGCCTGCAAGAAGTTCTCGATAGCTACGAGAGCAGCTTCGCGGGCCTCCTCAAGCTGAACATCACGCTCGCCCTCGTTCTCAGCCTCCGACTCACGCTGTTGCTCAAGCTCCTCCTGACTCAGCGGAGCCAGCACGAACGGCGTAAGAGTCTTGAGATAAGGCCCAAACTTCTGCGGAATCGTCTTCGCCAAACTCCCATAGACCTGCAGATACAGCTTGCGCTGCTGCGAAGTTATATGCGGCTGCCTGAGCTGCTCAATCGAATAGCTCACATGATGCGCCAATAGTCCATCCGTGAAATACGGCGACAGCGCCGCAATCGCAGTAACAGCCTTCTTCTTCATCACCATCCCACACTTCTCCGCCTCCAGAATCCTCATACAAATCTGCTCCAATGCCTGCAACTCCACCTCCTGCAACATCGGTCCAAAACACCTCGCCACATCTGTGAGCAAATCAATCGCATTACTGTCATGTCCACTCGCTAGATCATCCTCCAGCATCCCTCTAGGAGGCGAAGGTAGACCCTTTGCATTAGGCACCGGCACCACGACCTTGCCCACTAGTCTCGGGATCAACGCTTTGGAAATGGCATTGTACGCCTCCAAGACCTTCCCACTCCTTGGTACGCCCGCCACAGGCTGCGCCAGACTCGTAACAATCTGTCTCACAGCCGTCGCCGCAAGGGTCGTATCCACACTATTCCCCGTCTTGACCTGAGAAACCTTCTCGATCGTCGGACACAGAATGCTCTCCGGCGCCTTCTTCACGAACGCACCCAGCGTTTGTACACTCATATTCTGCACATCCCCATTGCTGTCGTTGAGGGTGTGGAGCAGGCCTTCGACCAGTTTGGCGCAGGTAGTGTAGTCGTGGGACAGGAAGTTGGGTCCGCCAACGAGGAGCATCTTATGCAGGTCGTTGAGCGTCATGTAGCGGATGTCTGGGTCTTGGTCGGAGAGTTTGGGGAGGATGGTGGCGATGTTGTGGGAGGAGGGGTTGGTGGGGACGCCTTGGGCGGCCATGGTGGATGGGTGGTGTGGCCGCCGAGGCGGTGCGGTGGCAATGGGGTGATGTTTGGGGTGCGCTCACTCGGTTGTAGTGGAGGTGAGAGGGAATGCGAAGTGAGAGAAATTGTGTAGAGCTCAAGGTTGCAAACGCGAGAGACGGCTTTACCATGTCATCGGAATAAATAGTGGGGCACGCGTGCCTGCCTGGCTCAAAGCGCGGGGTCCAAGAAATGGAAGCCTTGAGGCACGGTCATAGAGTGTGAATATCCCCTTGAGTCCCTCCACTGATTACAAATCCGAATGAGTTGATGTTTCGACCAGGCATGCTTTGATCGCTAAAGACACTATGATACTGCATAATACACGGCCCATGACCCCGTCACTGCTCGCCGTGAAGCACGATGCCATTACTTTTCGCCACACTGAGCCCCTCTGTAGACCTTCTACAATCCGTCCTTTGCGTCACATCTCCTCGTCGAACAGCGTACAAGCATTTCCATGTCGGTCATCCTCACGTGCTTTGCATTGTGTGCAAAAGTGCCAGCCAGCCAGCGTGCAGCCACAAGAAAATCGCCTTCTCCATCCCCGTATCATCTGATGCATGTCCCCGTCACTTCATCACATCGCCTAGTCGGTCGCAAGCAAGCACCTCTCAACCCATAGCCTGATACAGCAGCAGCGGCTCACCCACGTTCTCTATCTCTGGAATCGTGCACCGTAAGTCGAAAGCCTTCGCCAGAACGATCTTGAAGATCTGCAACAAACGCATTAGCATTGCCCCTTGACCCAATCAGATTGTTGTTGAATTCGAGCTCACCTTCTGCACATTAATAGAATGCGAAGTACTCGAAAAGATCAAACTAGCCTTCATAGCCTTCGCGAACCGCTTCGCCTGCATACTTATCTCCTCCTGCTCCTCCCGTGGAAAGTTGACAAAATGATCGTACTTCGTCCCTACCAGGAAAGGAATCGCGGTCTTGTTGAAGCCGCGACCTTGTCGGTACCATTCCTTTATTGAGTTGAGGGTGGATTTCCGCGTCAGGTCGAACATGAATAAGATCGCCACGGCATCATTGCAGACGAGCGGGAGCATATTCACGAATTCGCGTTGCCCTCCCAAGTCCCAGATGGAGAAGGTGATTTCGGTGTTGCGGATGCTGATCGTTTTCTCCATGAAGTTGACGCCTGTTCAAAGTCCACATTAGCATGTCGCCCCCAATTACTCCTCCTTCGCTGCTGCATAACCTTACCGAGTGTCTGGATATAGTCCTCATCCCAACTCCCCTCCACATACTTGACCATCAAACTGGTCTTGCCGATCTGCGCATCTCCCACCATCCCCACTTTAATCACCACACTCGCATTCTTCTGTGCCGTTTGCCCTTGCCCTCCTGCTCCTCCAGACTGCGAACCATTGTACCCTTGACTCTGCGTACTAGGTGGCCTACTAAGCCCATTCCCATTCTGCAGGTGGTGGTCGGGCGTGTTGTCGGCGGATTGCGAGTACTGTCTTGAGAAGCCCGTGTCGGAGTAAGAGGTCTGTGGACGGGGCTCGTATTGGGGTTGTGATTGCTGTTGTTGCTGTTGTGCTTGTTGTTGTTGCTGTTGTTGGGCGGCGTGGGCTTGATATTGGTTTTGCAGGGTCGAGGCGGTTATCGTGTGCATGCTCGCGTCGTCTATCGAGGCTTGTGAGCCGCCGCCGCTAGTGTGGGCATCGTTTCCATAGTCCATGGTTTCTCTCCTGTTTCCGCTTCTGCTTCTGCTGCTGCCGGCTGCGAGCGTGGCAGCTGCTCAATGGCTGCTCCACACAGCTCTACTGCAGCTAGCCTGTAATGTGTTGACGACGGTCGTGTGCCTCGTCTTGGCTGGGCCTTCCTTTGCTGCAGGAACGGCACGCGTGGTCGAATAGGGTAGACCCAGGCTGTCGGTGCTGCCCAGGCTTTGCCGTGGATGGTGAGAGGGTAGATGCAGGTGTCGTGTTTTGCGTGCCAGTCGGTACTCGTTCCGTTGCACAAGCGTGTCTCGAACGAGCAGGATTGTTCGGTGAGAAACTTCGTCAAATTGTCAGATATACATTAGCAATGGCAGTGTCCCCGGCTTCAGCTCTCGCAGCCTGTCATAGGGAGTTCTCGCAGCAATAATGGGTTCGCGGTTGGCGGAACCCGTCCTATGACGGCCGGCGAATCAGCTCTCACTACGCGCTCACTTGCCAAAGGCTAGTTTTATGCATGTCAACGCGCTAAGGATTGCAATCGATAAGAGGGTGGGAAATTTGGTCGAGTCCCGCTGTGGTCAGTAAGAAGATTCTGTCGCATACAGTCCAGTGCATTCGCAGAACTATCACGCTTGAAACATAGCGTCTTGGGCAATCGCATTACAAAGCCATCCCAAGTTTGAGTATTCAAAGATGGCAAAGCGTGCAGCAGAAGACGATGAACAGACCTCTCCGCAGGCCTTGAAGGCGGGAGAGAGGCCTGTGAACGATGGTGGCTTGGCGGACGGCGAGCAGTTTGAGGATGAGTTCGAAGACGAGTATGAGAGTGAAGATGACGTTCTCGAGGCGGGAGTCGACGGTAGACCGGATGAGGAGCGAGAGGCAGAGGAGAGGGCAGCGGGTGCGATGGAGGTCGATCGAGAGACATTCATACCAGGAAGACATAAACTGGACGCTGGACAGACGTTGGCACCCGATTTATCGACATACGAAATGCTGCATACGCTTGAGACACCGTGGCCTTGTCTATCATTCGACATCATCAGGGACCAACTAGGAGACAACCGCAAATCCTACCCGGCAACCGTCTATGCTGTGGGAGGCACGCAAGCAGCTCGAGGTCGCGAACGAGAGAACCAACTTATGGTTATGAAACTCTCCGGCCTATCCCGCAACGAACAAGCCGGCAACATCGACTCCGACGACGAGGACGATGATGACGACGAAGCAACGACCGATCCAATCCTCGAAATGAAAAGCATACCCTTAATCAGCACCACCAACCGCATCCGCGCCCACCAATCGCCCCAAACCAACTCCGCCACCTTGCCAACAACAATCACAGCCTCAATGCAAGAATCAGGCGACATCCTCCTGCACGACATAACCCCCCACCTCACCTCCTTCGACACCCCGGGCTACCAACTTCCCCCTAACTCCAACAAACCCCTCTCCACCATCCGCGCCCACAAAAAATCCGAAGGCTATGCTCTAGACTGGTCCCCCTTAATTCCAGCCGGCAAACTCATAACCGGCGACACCACCGGCAAAATCTTCGCCACCACCCGGACCGAAGGCGGCGGCTTCGTAACAGACACCACACCTTACACAGGCCACACAAGCAGTATAGAAGAAGTGCAATGGTCGCCCAACGAACGCAACGTCTTCTCCTCTTGCTCCGCAGACGGCACGGTCAAAATCTGGGACGCCCGAGCCAAGACCCGTTCCGCACCCGCCATATCCGTGAAAGTGAGTGAAAGCGACGCGAACGTCTTGTCCTGGTCGAAACAAACCCCGCATCTCCTCGCCTCCGGTCACGAAGACGGGACTTGGTCAGTCTGGGACTTACGGAGTTGGAAATCGCAGGAAAGTGCTAAGACGAGCAAACCCGTTGCGCACTTTAATTTCCATAAAGAGCAAATCACGGGTCTGGAATGGCATCCCGCGGACGATAGTATCATTTCCGTCTGCTCGGGGGATAATACGCTCACGCTTTGGGATTTGGCTGTGGAGTTGGATGATGAGGAGTCGAGGTATACGGCGGATGTGAAGGACGTGCCCCCGCAATTGCTGTTTGTACATTTTATGGAGGGGGTGAAAGAATCGCATTGGCATCCGCAGATCCCGGGTGTTAGTGTCGCGACGGGGATGGGTGGATTTGGGGTTTTTAGAACGATTAGTGTCTAGATTGATATCTTGTATCCAATTTGGCAAGCTCGGGACTTCTCCTTTGACTTTCTGGTTTCCTGCCTTGCTACTTGATACTGGTGCTGCGGCTGCTAAAGTGTAGTTTCCACGTCATTCCTAAGCGACCACAAATCCTATGGCTGCAATGCACAGGAGCCGACCAGGAGGAATAGACGACAGGTTCAACCAGAGCGTGATCTACCTCCTGCCACACCACGCGGCTCCCATCTCAGTAGACTATCAGGGCTACGCCACCTTTTCCCACCTGATCATCTGTACCTTCAGCCGCGTCTTCGCCACGACGGCAGTAATACATCTCAACCCATGATAATGGAACTGCACGCCACTTCCACGCTGTCCGCTCTCAGCCTCGCATCCGCATTACCTCAAATGCACAAACTGCAGTGTCCGATTAACCACTTTCTCCGTGAACTCATAAAGTCCATACGGCATCCTCACCCTTTCCTCCCACTTGCCAAGACTCCCCCTGATCAACCGTCGCAGATCGTCCGCGTGAAGGAAATCTCCCATGAGGCGGCCGCCGTCCTTGCTCTCTAATCTCCATTGCCAATTCGGTTTCCAACTCATCCCCTTTCGCCTCCCTATCCATTTCGCATGCCGTCACCTTGTACGCCGCCGTGTTGGCAACAGTCCCGAAGCGTCGTGCGAATTCAGAGACGAACCTGCGATTCATGAGCTGTACGAGGGCGGCGGTCGTGCCGAACTTCTCGGGCGCCCAGAAACCCAGCTCCTCGACGTGGGTGTAGTCAGGTCCGCTGAAATATTGGTACGTCCGCTCGAATTCAGAGACAAAGATAGGAAGTTCTGCCCGATGCACGGGCTGGAGCTGTAGTGGTGTAGAGACCTCCGGTTCCAGACGAGCATTGAAGAGGAAGTGCTGTAGGATCTCCGTCAAGATCTCCGGCTCGATATCGATGGTAGCGCCGTTGTTAGATGCGAGATTCTTGTCGACATCGTCGCAGGAGCGCTCCCAATTCTCGTAATTGGTGTACCTGGGATCTGGCTCGTAGGTTTTAAGGTCGGGCCCACGGACACCGTAGTTAAGATAAGCGATTGTGGACTCGTCTGTGAAGATCTTGGCGCGACAGGTGGGACAGCCTACATTTTCGGGACCGGTGGCGTTACACCAGTCTAGCAGACAAGATTTACCGAAAAGATGCTTGACGGGCTATTGACAGTCGAGCTCCTGGGCTTGATGATCCGCATCGTCGAAAATATCAGTGCAGATTGAACAGACTGCTTCATCTTCGCTTAGCAGAGTGGAGCTGATGGTCCTGATCAAGGTCGGGAAGTGCTCTCCGAAAGGCGGGTAGCGTGGTGCTTTGAAATGCAGAGGTATGGTGTCCGCGAACCTTTCTCGCGCGGCGTGATCCCGTCCCATGCGAACACGAATGTGTCTATAGGCACGGTCGTTGCGCATACCAATCAAGTCGTGGATATCACGTATCCATTCCTGGCCCTCTGGCAGTTGTTGCAGATCGATGTAGCGGCCTTTGTACCTGCGGCGGCGCAGAGCAAGGATACCTTGGAGGTCGCGGTGACATGTCGTCCGCTGGATCCTGAGAAAGCGTGAATCGTCGATAATTGCGCCAGAATGCTTCTGGATTTCATGTCCAGCTGGTGTGTACGCATGAACCTGAATTAGCGTTTCTCCTACAGCGCTGGTAGCTTTGGCCATATCTGCCAAGAGTTGTGTCAATGTCGTCTTGTTCGACAGATCGGGAATGCCCCTTAGACCTGGCTTGCTGGTGATTTCCATGCTGTAGAAGTCGCTCTCGCGCTCCTCGTTCCTGGTTGTATGATGAGTCACTGCGATATCAATGATCAGTGGTAGGAGCGCATACCTTCCATGAGCGTTCATGATGTCAAACACTGTTTCGGCGTCCTTATGGTGTGCAGACAAGAGGGACGGGGCTGGAAAGCAGACATGTGTGACGTGGTGAGGTCTGTACACACTGTCAGGGCCCAAGGCTGCTACATCCTTGATGTTTCTGGCCGTGGTCGGTGTCTGTGGTGTGTATCCTTGGCTCATGGTGGCGTCGCTGGTGTCGTTGTTCATGTTCTGGTTTAACGTAGGTCAATGGAGGATAGTTCACCTGCTTTTAAGTACTGCTCACTCTGCCCAGCTGGCACTGTGTCTCGAGCTGCACTATAGACCACAACAAGGCGATCATAGTTGACAGACAAAGGAATTTTTCTGGATACTCGGCCGTTCGACAATGCCATTGCTGGGAACATGGTCACCAGCAACAATGTGCAGACAGACGAACAGAAAGTGCTCATTCACAACGAGTGGGCTTATCTCTGGTGATGTGCGACGATTCCAGGCTGAGAGCAGCAGAACGATAATCGTTGAGGGATCTCATCTGAGCGTGAAGATACTTGGAGACCAATGGTGCTCTCGCGCTGCTGCTTGAAGGTCTCAGATAGGCACCATTCGCCTAGCTCGTGTAGCAACCTAGACAACTCGTGCAGCTCTGCAGCGTCGTTTCGCATGATGCCCAGAGTCCACTGTCATACCTCTCGTGGCTGTCCAGTCGTAACGATGGGCTTTGGCTGGTGACACACTCCGGGGCGGTCGACTAGTGCGTTGCTACGCTGGCCAACGTACGACTCGCCATTGGGCTCCAGTCATGGCGCTGTGGGCGAATGCATCCTATAGACAGCGCAGAATGCCTGCATATGGACACTCATTACGACGTCGTCAAACAAATGTCACCGTGTAGCACACGCGGGACGCTAACGATGAAGTGATGTATTGGCGCGCATATGATTTTCAACCTTGTCGGCGATTCGGGAAGGAAGGAAGATGTTGCGCTCGGCCCGCTCGGGAACCGTTCGCTCCTGCCTGACTAAACCCTAAAAGCGAGAGCGCTCAGGCCAAATTGTGCTCAGGGGAAATCTGGCAAATGAAGGCGGGTCGGTCAGAGGCCAAGGACCAGGGTATGTAGAGGTAGGGCGTCTGAGGGTGGGAAATTGGGATCGAAGGTGGTGAGATAAGGTCTTTTGAAGAAACGCCTTCGCATACAACCATTCTTCAGATGTTTAACATCGTCTTGTCTTTGGTACACCCATTGTGAAATTCATGCACGAGGAACACACGACAGTCCTTTAACAGAGGCTTGCCATCCACTGCCACGCGAGACCCCTGATCGTCATCGATTTCACACGCTAGGAACACTGGCATTGGGAAGAGCTGAAGAGCAGGAGGAGAGAAGATAGCATTCGAAGAGAATACAGATACAGCAAGGACGCTTACACAACACACGACGACGCACGCGAGGGCTGCACACAATCGCGACAGCTTTATAAGCGTGCAGGAGTGGTGGCACATCGGGGGATCATATAATTGGTGAGCTCCAGCTTCCGATCTTCCCTTGCTCAGCCTCCAGGAACGACGCAGCCCCAGCATTAATACATCCTACTGGCAAAGCGATACAAGACCTAGACCATTGTTGCGAATAGAGAGTCACATTTCATGTTCAACACAATCTCGACATCAGCGACGTCACGTTTGAATTGTCGAAAACATAATCCATCACCAATCGCAACTGCTTCATTGGCGGTGGCGGAAGTGCTCGGAGGCTGACTTTCCGGTGCTGCCGTCTGCACAAAACATCTTGCATCACCGTCACCCACACTCCCTCCTTCCTTCCACCACTACACTGCACTCCTACCATAATTTTGACCGTCCCGTCCACACTGTCCACACCCGCGTCGCTGTCTGCGGCATTCGCTCATTAGCAACACCTCTTCGCCTGCAACATAGCAGTTTCGGCTGCACTAATCCATAATACCATAAACAACACCGACTAATCATAATACGGCAATACCAGAACGATGCCTATCCGCACTCTCAACCATTTTGCGACCATCTCGCCCTCCTCCACAACCACGACCACCGAGATCATCTCTGAGAAGGAGCCAATATACATCGAGACACGCGAGACGGTCGCGCCCAAGAAGGCCTTCCGTCCCCGTTTCTCCATTCCTTTCGCAGGTTCTCCCAAGACGCCACGGACTGCAGAGATCGCGCCACCACAGACACGACTCGAGCCTCCTTCACAGCCCGCCTTCCGACCGCCTTCACCTCAGATCCCGACCTTGAGCCTCCCGACCATCAATCTCACCTCAGCACAGGGCGAGCAGAGTAAGATGGAAGACATGAGCAAGCCATTGACCCTCTTCCAACCACCCACTCCAGCGGAGGCGAGGCGGAGAGCAAAGGCACATGCAGCGTTCGGTCCATTGGGATCGAAACAGCACCTATACACCTCACAATTCACTGGCACGGAGTTCCCTGAGCCCATAGAGGATGAGCCACCATACTACTTCCTGATCACGACATACATCTCTTATTTGATCCTAATCATATTCGGACATGTGCGAGATTTCTTTGGCAAGCGATTCAAGGCCGAGAACTACAAGCATTTGCGAGCGAACGACGGGTATGCGCCCTTGTATAGCGACTTTGACAACTTCTACATCAGACGACTGCAATTGCGAATCAATGACTGTTTCAGACGACCCGTGACTGGTGTGCCTGGTCGTTTCATCACCCTGCTGGATAGGACGAGCGATGACTTCAACTTGTCCTTCAAGCTGACCGGCACGACGACCGAGACTCTCAACATGTCCTCCTACAACTACCTTGGTTTCGCACAAGCCGACGGTGAATGCGCAGACGCTGCTGAGCAGAGCATCAAGAAATACGGCATCTCCTTCTGCTCTTCCCGAGCAGATATCGGCACGAGTGATCTCCATCTGGACGTCGAACGCCAAGTCGCGAACTTCGTCGGCAAGGAGGCCGCTAGCATCCACAGCATGGGTTTCGTGACCAATGCTTCGGTTTTCCCGGCTCTGGTTGGAAAAGGCTGTCTTCTTATTTCCGATCAATTGAACCACGCCTCAATCCGCTTCGGTGCCCGTGTCTCCGGAGCCGTCATCGACATGTTCAAACACAACGATATGAGTGATCTGGAACGCGTGCTCCGCGAGCGTATCTCGCAAGGCCAACCGCGTACTCATCGCCCATGGCGCAAGATCCTCGTTGCAGTCGAGGGTCTGTACAGCATGGAGGGTACTATGTGCAATCTACCTGGTCTCGTGGCTCTCAAGCGCCGCTACAAGTTTGCGCTCTACGTGGACGAGGCGCACAGTATCGGTGCCCTAGGCCCTCACGGCCGCGGCGTCTGCGATTACTTTGGCATCGACCCTAAGGAGATTGACATCCTTATGGGGACCTTCACGAAATCATTCGGCGCGAATGGAGGATACATCTGCGCCGACCGTGCCATCGTCGACAAGATCCGCGCTACGAACGCCGGAACTATCTTCGGCGAAGCACCCACGCCTGCTGTTCTTACCCAGATTACGACATCGCTTAAAATCATCTCTGGCGACATCGCACCAGGCCAAGGCGAGGAGCGTCTGCAACGTCTGGCTTTCAACTCTCGATATGTTCGCCTCGGTCTCAAGCGTCTCGGATTCATCTGCTATGGTCATGACGACAGTCCCATCATTCCGCTGCTTCTATACCACCCAGCCAAGATTCCCGCCTTCTCCCGCGAGATGCTCAAGCGAAAAATCTCTGTTGTTGTGGTTGGGTACCCTGCTACTCCTTTGATCTCCTCCCGTGTACGACTGTGCGTGTCGGCTGCACACACCAAGGACGATCTTGACCGACTGCTCGCTGCATGTGATCAAGCGGGTGATGTTCTGCAGCTCAAGTTCTCTTCTGGTGTCGCTGGTGGCCAGGAGCCTCCGGTTGCTATCGAGGGTGCTCTACCAGGTCAGAAGGCTGAGCCAGAGGAGGTCGAGAGGTCGTGTCTCGAGATTGGTGGAGGCGTACCAGTCATGCCACCAAGGTGGAAGCTTGCGGATGTCATCAAGCGTGGTGTGGCGGACGTGAAGCAGCCACTTTACTAAGGTTGCTGGACTCTTCTCTGGTCTCCGATATTTTGGCGAGCAATAAACCTAGTTGACACCAAGTCCTGGGGTTGCTCGCGATCTTTTGTCTTCTTGCAACATACTTTGGCGAGGAGTTTTGGCGATTTTTTCTTGTACGGCACGGTATCCCAACAGGACCAGGGCCTTGAGATACAACGAGTGGAGCGGACGAAGAGCCGCGAGGCTCTGATGTGCATGCTTTACATTACTGGCGGATTTTGGCTTTTGTTCACTCGGGACGTTTGATGAAGAAGGGGTGTGCTGTTTGAGAAGGTGACAGGCATAGATGGCAGGGTGGACGGAGTGAGATAGATGTGGGTTCGAGGTATCACTAATGTCTAAGCATCAATTGATTTTGAGTATTGGCTGGCAAGTAGATGGAACCCAGAGTATGGTGATAGTGGTAGTAGAGTAGTTGTATGGAAGTGGGATACAAGTCAGTCGTCAAATGACCTCTTCCCGCATTCGTTCGAGTCCGTTCGGGCCCAATGGTGAACACGACTGTGCTCTGGTGAATTTGAGGCCTGGTTTACGCCTGGTAGCACTTGATCACTGGTGGAATCCGGATTAGCAATGCCATTGTCCCCAGTCGAATCATGGATGTGGGCATTGTTCGTTCTTTGTTCCATACAAGAATACCGCTGTATGGGCTGCTGATGGCTGTGTCTTGGACTGCATAGCGTCACTTCCAGGCACCGCATATAAGCCCTCTAGTACGACCTGTTGTCTAGGATCTCTCAGCTCTCAGATCAGACCGGGACCACGCACGATACCACCAGCAATACCGCACCCAAACCCAAACCCAGAAATTACAGCACACCCAGTCACAAGCAGTCTTACTGTTCCGAGCAACGACATAACCAGCGCCAACCGCGGCGCTAACGCTACTATGTCACCCTCACACTCGACACCAGAACTCCCTAGCTTCCTCCAACCACATCACCTGACGCATGTCTACTATCCTTGCATCAAGCTCTTGAACGTAAAGAAGGAGTTCCCGTTCTTCAAGGTGCCGTATGCAGTGGCCCAAAGGTATGAGCCTCTGCCCCTGATCCAAGACCCGGCTGTTGAAGCCCACACTAACCTATACGAGGCTTACGAGACGAGCTTCTACAGCGTAGTCCGAGCGAAGAAGTCGGGGAAGAAAGGCTTGCCTGGCCATAGGCTGAATGTCTCGTTTGGACAATTGTTGATGGATATGGCGCAGGTGACCAATGGTGTAGGCGAGACGGGACTAGAAGTGTTGACCTACCGCGATAAAACTGATCGACACGACACGTCTCTTGAGCCAACGGAAGGGACTATCCTTAGGGTTAGGATTGTACGTCAAACCACCCACATCACGAAACGAGACAATACTATCGACAGCTTCTCGTACTATGAAGGCAATCTGGACGAGCTTCTCGGTCTCAACTCTCCCCACCAGTGGCTCGTGGACATCCAGGACTTGGTGACCTGGCGCTCTGATCGGGCTTACAAGCACATCCTCTTCCGTCTTCGTCGTGATAAAGCTCTACATGGCTTCGGCATAGGACGACTCATTGAGGACAACAAGAAACAGTTCAAGAGTCCTCGGTCAATTATCTACGATCAACACCTTCCACTCGTCACGACACCAGCTAATTTCGTGGACATCGACTCAGATGACACGACCTGCGTGATCTGTACCGATCTCTTCGACGACCAGCCCGATGAGGAACACGCCCCTATCACTCTTCCATGCGAGCAAAGTGGCAAGTCTCACGTCCTTGGCAAGTCATGCTTGACCAAATGGTGCCGAAGCCAGGGTCCGACCAAAGCGCAGTGTCCACACTGTCGACACTCGATCTTCTCAGATTCTGCCATGCTCCAGAGCTTGAAGTTCGGCACGTCGCTGACGGACCCGAAGGAGTATGTCTACGACGCTCGCTACACGGCATACGAGAACTTCGAGCGCTCGTGCGCGGATTTGGACAAATCGCTGGCGGCTTACGACAAGACTATCGTCAAATTCGACGATGGAGCATGGCCCAGGAAGCTGACGGAAGTCTTCGACTACTTCATGCTTCCTCCTCCTGAATGTACAGCCTCGACACCATATCATTTGCAGCCGCAGCGTCGGCCCGAGCTCAGGATCTTCCGTCAAGCGATCGTGCAATTCCTGGAACATCATGCCGATCTAAGCCGTCCGGCCCAGGGGATAGAGGAGAACATCCTCCGCTATTGTGTCTCGGCCTATCAGGCTGAGATTGTTACACTGGGAAAGAGGACGAAGAAGATGGGTATGCTGGCCGTCTATCGATCGAGGGAGGATCTCGATGGCCTTCTCGCCAAGAACGGACATGCTAACGAAGGGGATCCTGATCCCTTCTGGGTGCCGATGGGATTGTGGGAGTTCGTCTTAAAGGCTGTGAATCGGAGTTTGAAGTTCTTGGTCGAGAGGAGCTGTGGGAGTGAGTGTTGGCGAGAGAAGGATGGCCTGCATTATCATGGCGGGAGGCTTTACTGCAGGCAGTCTAGGGTCGCGGATATTGCGGAAGGGCTCGAATGGGACATCGCAATACTAAGCCTTTGACGACAATAGCAAGAACCGATCGTCGTGACGGATTTCAAGACTGCGCGTACGACGAGGAGTCGTAGCAGTGTCTTGTTGCAGCACTTTTCTACCTGCTAGGTAAGGCGAAGCAGGTAAAGGATTTCCTGGACTCTCATCTTGTGAGCTACGCGAGGATCCACTATTCTTGATGTATAAGGACTTACGCTGTGTAGGAACAACTGTGTAGATCATGTGCAAGCATGCTGCGCTCGATGACGATAGAGATGGCAGATAGAGTGAGCATGGGTGGGTAGACAACGGGAACAAGGGTTGCACTTAAGCTTGCATTGGCCCGTCTGGCTGCGCGGAAAGATGCTATCAGGGTGATGCTTTTCGACATGCGCGACTAGAATTGTACAAATCCTTGTAGTGGGTATCATTCGTAAGAATTAGAGGTAGCTGCAACCCTTCCATATCGCGATCATGTCTTGCTAACGCCCTAGTGCTCACGCTACACGGTAGCACGAAGCTTTCATCCTCCAAAATCACAACTCCACTTCCTGAATGCCCACCTCCCTGTGCTCGCCCTTACTGCGACCCATGAGCCTCTCCATCGCATGACCCTCTTTTGGCTCATGGGCGGAATTGGCAGCATCTGAGAAGATTGGCTGCTCCTGCTTCACCAGGCCATCATCTTCCTCGTCACTCGAGTCATCACTTTCGCTCCCATTCTGCTCCTCTAATACTCCAAGACCAAGGTCCATCTCGATATGCTGCTCATCCTCAACCACCTCCTCCATACTAAACGACTTTCCTCCATCCTCTTCAAGCAAAGCATTCGCATCTCGTAACCGCGGCAGCAAAGCCGAGATCCTGGCTTGTAAGTCCCCAGCACCTGTTACCAGCTCTCTAGCAGGCTTGAAGACAGGTTTCTTTGGGCCGCCTACAGTCACGATCCTCTCTGTGTCGTCCTCATCCTCGTTGTCAGATGGCTCCTCGCTAGAACTGGACAAGCTGCTTTCGGAGTCGTCGTCTGAATTTGCTGAGACCGAGCTCACGCTGCTGTAATGCTCTCGCTGCTTTGTAGCTCCGGGACTACTTTCTAATGCAGATGCGACCGAGACCGAGCAAGATGATGGCTCGCTACTGTCGCTCTTCGCCTCTTCGGATGGTGTGAGTTTGGTGCGCTTGCTTGACAGACGGCGTGGCCGAGTCACGGTATCTTCAATTTCGGACGAGGGTCGCTTGCAAGACATTGCGAGCTTTGGATGTCTGACTGTGAGAATGTGCGAAGGAAGAGTATGGTACCTTGGTGTCGTAAATTTGACATGTGCTTGGGAGCACGGATGAGACCTTGCGGAATGGCTCCGCTGTAGATCTATACGAGTTACGACTATCACGACCATGTCTCACATCCACTTCTCCTTGAGCAACATCTGCATCAACATCGCGTCCTGCTAGCCAGAAATGTGGATCGCTTGCATCGGTCATCTCTTTTTATGGCACTATGCATCGCTATATCGTCTGTGCTTCATGAGCCGGCTGTCCCCCATGAGACCTTTGCTCGACGGCAGGAAAACGTGTCTGCATTTCCCACGTTTTGACTGCTCATAGAATAGTCGTGCCAAACATCCTAAACAACTTCTTATACCCAAACGGCACTTGAGCCTTCTCTGGATCATCATCATCCAACTCGATCCCATATTCCTGCAAACAGCACTCAAAGGGCCGATTGCTCGTGTCGTGCTCACCTCCTTTCTCCTCAAGATTGCCCCATAAGATACAAAGTTTCTCTCGCAGCTTGGACAACAGCTGCGGGTTACTTCGTAGATCTTGTGGATCATTCATGTCGTTACCGAACAAGAACTGTGCATCCTCGTGACGGACATGTGCCCATATTTTCGGCTTCTCGGTCCCTGGCTGTGTCGACGAGACATCTTCTAGGAGAAGTGAGAAGTGCCATTCGTACTTTTGCGAGGCCTCCCAATCCAAAGCATCGATCGGCGACGATTCGGCGTCCTCGTCCGGCAGTGGTGGTACGGCAAAGTCTGCCAGTGCTTTTGGTTCGTATCCAACGACATGCACTTTGGTGCGATATTGTGCATTGACGAACGGCAAGACATAGCTTGTGCCGTCACCTACGTTATTGGTATGTCGAGCGTTGTCGGGGTCGAGGATATCTTTCACACTCATCAGAGCTGCCTCCTCATTACTGCAGCGGACATGCTGATTGCGCTCCGCTACCTTCGCCTCCGCGGCAGCTGCTTTTGCTCTTTCCTCCTGCTTCTTCATCTTCTTCTGTTGCTTCTTTTCGGCCTTTGTAAGCTTGAAAGGCTCGCCTTGAGATTTCGGCTGCAGCGTCTGACGCTTCGCCCAGTAAGCCTCCTTGCGCTTTTGCAATGCCACTATCTCCGGGATGTCGCGTCTGGGTAGGAGAGTAATCTTGACCTTGTCAGGATCCATATCATCGCGCCACATGTCGCCTTCCAGCTTGCTGCCTTCTGCCATGGCTTTGATTTTGACATTTCTCAGCAAAACGAAGTCGCCTTCCTTCACTCTCGTATTTGCAAAAGTTGCATGCGGATCCTTGGCATTTATCTTGAGCACGTACCAGCCATATGGTCCGGGCCAGGACTTCCTTTGGGCACTGTTGTAGCCAAAGGTGTCGCCTTCTTGAGGTTCGGAAGTCTCCTCCTCTGGTGCTTTATACTTGAACATGTCTTGATTCTCCGTGTAATCGGTCACGTACAGCTCGCATGCACCAAAGCTTGCATTGTACTTCTTGACCACTTGCACGACCAGATCAGCAAATGTCAAATGACGGGTGTCTTTGATCAAGCGAAATTTCTTGCCGAGTCCTGAAGGGGAATCATTTGCATCTTGCCGTGGTCTCTTGGCTGGAGGCATCGCATTCGTGACAGGAGCAGCATCTCGCTTCCTCTCAAATGGAATTTGTTGTGGTCGTGACAACAGTAGTTGTGTTACATTAATCTCACCCTTCAGAGTCATGACATAAGCTTGCTCCTCCAGAGTGAGTAGTCTGACTACGTCGGGTGTACCGCGCGACTCCAGTCGTTTCGTACCTTGAAAGGCTATGCTGTAGTTGGCATTGGGTATAGACGCAGCCGAGAAGATCTGTGCACCTGTCTGGAAGTGCGAGAGGGCAAGAGGTTGACCATTCTGTTGGACCATTTTGATGTTTCGAAGTAAGACTATATCACCATGTTCTTGCACTTGCGGTAGGTGACTTTGATCTTGCTTGAAGTATCGGATTGTGAGACCTGATGAGCCATGCAGGGAATCACGGAGGCTTGGATCAAGCAGTTTGAAAGTGAACATCCATTGTCCAGAGGATGCTACCTTCGGCGGCATAAGGTCGACTGTCACGCCAATGATGTTCACCAAGGTGTTTTCCTTGGTCCTGTATGCCGTGGCGAGGTCGATGAATCCTCGTGGCGGTGCCATGATGAGTAGTGCCTGCAAACTACTGTCATCTTACTATGAGCACTTATCTTTCGCAGATTCCTTCGTAAGACGCGAACGACAGCAAGAAGCAGCAGCGACAGCGGTATTGATCGTATGGTGGGTTTCGAAACTGGTTTGGAGTTTGCGTTCATTGGAGACAGCAAGGCAGCAGTAAACTCATATCACTGTCTGAACGCGTGAACGCGCTTTCCATTTCAGGCAGCAAGCGGGGCGCTTCGTCTTGGCATAGAGGGCTGTCACGTGCGTGTCGATGTTCACCTTCAAAATCTTCTTCACTCAAGAAAAGCGCCGTGAACTACTTCTCGATGTCAACGAGCAGTTACTGCAAATCCAGCGCTCGTTAACAAAACCTCTGGTGAATAATGCCCCTGCTCATTGCACTGGACGACGTCCCACACTTTTAGTCCTAGCGCGGGCGTTTTGCTGACGCACGGTCCATTGTTTTCCAGTTTGAACGTCACTTTCCGCGCTCTTGCAAACCCCCGCGAGCACATCTTTGCTTAGAGTCTTACTACAGCAGTCGTGCAGTGTACCCGCTTACTCATACATACCACTGCACACTCGTCCCGAATACCTCGACACATATTTGCCACCCCACATACCGCGAACATGGCGGAGCGTTACATCCCGGAGCACAGGCGGACGAACTTTAAGGCGAAGAGCACCTTCAAGCCTGACGAGCTTCGTCGGCGTCGTGAGGAGCAGCAGGTTGAGATCCGAAAGCAAAAGCGTGAAGAAGGGCTTGCGAAGAGGCGAGGCATCAGTGCCCGTGACGGCAGCGCTCCTGGTGCCTCGTTGGGGGCCGCACCGGACAGCGATGATGAAGGTGCAAACACTGAGAGCCAGGTAAGACGCACTGTCAAGCATGTAAGGAGCCTTACGACGTGTACTGACATGACTTACAGCTGGACGAGGATCTCCCACGTATGGTGAGCGGCGTCTTCTCGGAGAAGATCGACGACCAGATCGCTGCCACCACCAAGTTCCGCAAGCTGCTTTCCAAGGAGCGCAATCCACCCATCGAACGCGTAATCGAGACTGGTGTCGTCGGCCGCTTCGTCGAGTTCCTCCGCTCTCCCCACACTCTCGTGCAATTTGAGGCAGCATGGGCCCTCACGAATATCGCCTCTGGCTCAGCCCAGCAGACTCAGGTTGTCATCGAAGCAGGAGCTGTACCGATCTTCGTGGAGTTGTTGAGCAGCCCTGAGCCTGATGTTAGAGAGCAAGCTGTTTGGGCGCTTGGCAACATTGCTGGTGACAGCCCACACTGCAGGGATTATGTTCTTGCCCAGAACGCTCTGATACCACTTCTACGTCTGCTTGGCGACAGCAGGAAGCTGAGCATGCTGAGGAACGCGACATGGACACTGAGCAATTTCTGCCGTGGCAAGACACCCCAGCCAGACTGGAACACGATCGCCCCTGCACTCCCCGTCCTTGCCAAGCTGGTCTACTCTCTCGACGATGAGGTTCTGATCGACGCCTGCTGGGCTATCTCCTATCTCTCTGATGGTAGCAACGACAAGATACAAGCTGTCATCGAGGCCAACATCCCACGCCGACTTGTGGAATTGCTCATGCACTCCTCAACCTCTGTGCAGACCCCAGCCTTACGCTCTGTGGGTAACATCGTGACTGGTGACGATGTTCAGACTCAGCTCATCATCAATTCTGGTGCTCTTGCGGCTCTCCTTTCGCTCCTTAGCTCGCCGAAGGATGGCATTCGCAAGGAAGCGTGCTGGACTATTTCCAACATCACGGCAGGCAACAGCACTCAGATCCAGGCTGTAATCGATGCTAATATTATGCCGCCACTCATCCACCTGCTCAGCCATGGCGACTTCAAGACTAGAAAGGAGGCCTGCTGGGCCATTTCCAATGCCACTAGCGGTGGCCTACAAAAGCCAGATCAAATCCGCTATCTCGTCCAGGGCGGCGCTATCAAGCCACTCTGCGATCTGCTCACCTGTCCTGACAACAAAATCATCCAAGTCGCTCTTGATGGTCTGGAGAACGTCCTCAAGGTCGGCGATATGGACAAGGAGGCCGCTGAGGGCACAAGTGAGCAGCCACCAGTCAACCGCTATGCCCTGTTCATTGAAGACTGCGGTGGTATGGAGAAGATCCACGACTGCCAGAACAATAGCAATGAGGAGATCTACATGAAGGCGTACAATATTATCGAGAAGTATTTCTCTGACGATGAGGGCGAGGCTGATGCAGGCGATTTGACATCCCAGCAGGGCCAGGATGGTCAGTTCGGCTTCGGCAACCAGCAACAGCAGCAGAACTTCCAGTTTGCCAACGGCGGTGACAACAGCATGGAGATGTAGAGGAGTAACTCACCGCTACATGAATGAGATCAATATGAAGACACAATAAGGAGGAAACGTCCCGCTGTAGCCACATTGGCTTCGCGGACGTAATAGAAGGTAAGTCAATGGTAGCATTGGTACAACAGGGACTGGACACACGCCACTCCCTCGACCACGCTCCCATATCCCATCAATCCAGCATCCGGCCCGAGCACAGCATCGATCAACAGCCCAGCAATCACAGCCCCAGCAGCCGTAACCACGAGCGATCCCTGCACGACTCGGTTCTTCAACACACGCCACTCTCTTCAGCACTTACCTTACAATACCCCCTTTTGGACCCCTTCGACATCGACGATTCACACATGGACATGGACTGAAGCACGATGAGACTCGTGCTATGAGTGCCTCCTGATGGCACAATGGGCGATGTGTTTATTCATTAGCACGGCGTATTTGGCGGACTGAGGGGCGAGGACAGCAAAGCAGGAGAGCTCTCTGTGGAGGCGGCGGTAGAGGCGGCTATGGAGGAGCTGGTCAGGCCAGGCTTGACCATGATACATATCTGCTCTTCCTTGTCTTCGTCCATAGATTGCTTTGAACCGCTCATCACCATACCGTACCTCAAGTGGACTATGTATGTCTTTCAGCTCTGCCTTATTTCATGCACCTCACCGTCATAGCTTAAGGGGTAATGGCATACGGTATCGATAACGGCTCGTATTGAACTTTGTTCGCGTCGGTCTTGTTCTGGGCACGCGAGCGTTCCAATGTATGCTTTCTTCCTCACTTCACCAATCTCATCAACCATAGCCACCAGCGAAAGTTCACTTGCAATTGAACCTCACTTCCCTCGAAGGTTTGCAAGTACTTTCTGGTCTCACCTTCATAAGTCGAGACGCGGAAGGGCAAGGGAGGATAGCACTACTTCGAGGATCCGAGACCTGGCCTCAAGACCAGCCTCTGAGCCTGTCACACACCAGATCTGGTGCCATCATGCCGGACTTTACGGGCATGCTGGTGCAAGTCACATTGAAGCAGTCCGGTGCAAACATCCACGGCAGAGTTCGAAACATCGTTGCTGGGCAGACATTGACATTGGAGGATGGTAAGATCGACGCTCGAGTCGCACAATCAGGAGATATGTACTGACCAATATCACTAGCTTTTGTGCCGAACACTGGTCATCATTTGGGGTCATGGACAGTGCAGAGTACGGCTATAGGTGATCTGAACGTTCTTGATGGACATCCGGCTCCTGTCTCTGCCATACGGACTACGGGGCCAGCACCAGTATTTCCACCCGTCCAGAGAACTCAGAAACAGCAGCAGACACAGGTCCCTTCTATCTCACCGCCCTTCGCACAGCAACAGCCGCAGCCTCAACGCCAACAACCACCACCTCCGGCCAAATTCGTAGATCCTGCCATTCTGAGCTACGGCAAATCGCCAGCACCACTTCGAGCTACACAGCCAGCTCCAGCCCCAGTCGAGGCACCGGCTACGCCCGTCAAGAGCTCGCTAGCTGAAGCCGCTGAGAGTTTGCCATCCAATGCCAACGGCTCACCTTTTGTTGCTGAGCCTGGTAGTGTCAAGCTTGATGCATCCCGAAATGTGGGCAAGGTACAGAGTCTAGCAGAGAACCAGGCATCGCCTTCTGTAGCAGCAAAGATATCGAGAGACACGAGTGGGCTGGGTATTCAGAACGGTAATACCAATGGTGAGGATGCAGAGACGGGAGCAAAGAAGAAGACGAGGAGAAGTCAGAAGAAGAAGGTCACACCACCAGCGAGCGCAGGTCCGCCTTCTGTCATGAATATTGAGGTCTCGAGAAATGGAAATGATATGGAGGCCGATGTGAAAAGAGGCAAAGGCTGGCGACAAACACCTCTACTTCAACCAACACCATCTATAGGGAGTCCCGCACAACCCACGCCAGCGAGCAAGAAGCAATCACGGCGTCAGCGTGATCAACAGGTTGAGATGAACAACGGGTGGGCTACAGAGGAAGCTACAGATGTCCAAGACATGGGTGACTTTGACTTCGATGCCAGCAATAAGCTCTTCGACAAGCAAACTATTTTCAAGGAGCTACGCCAGGGTGACACGACTGCAGACGAAGATAGACTGATCAGCCACAATAAGATTCTGGCTCCGAGACCTGGCACGCATGGCGGCAAGAACCTGCATCCTACCGAGAATGTGCTCAGTCCGAAGATTGCGCCGACCAAAGCTGCTAGCAATGAGGCGGCTGAGAGCTCGAGTGATGCTGATACAGAGCTGAATTTCGCCAATGGACGTTCGTCGTCCAGACATTCTGTCTCGCGAGCTGCTATGACGAGGAAAGCTCCAAGTCGCCAGAGTAGTGCTCAGGCGGAGATGAAGCACCCTCTAGCAGCATCTGTGTCGTCAGAGCAGCGCATGAGTGCCGGCCGCCCCGTCACTTCCTTGGCGGGCAGGCCGAAGGTCACTGTTGCCCCTCGCACAGGAACGTCGCCTATGCTACCAGAGCGTACGCAGTCGCCGCATTCGACTGTCTCCTTCAGCAAGAATTCTACGTCCCAAGCAGCGTCAACGAGTCCAGTGGAGCCACATTTCTTGATCCAGCCCTCGAGCGCGCAATGCCCAGTCTTGCATCCGCGTGCTCTGGAGACTTTGGAAGCCCAGACGATCTCGGCATATGGCTTGAGTCGCGAAGCGATCACTGAGAGTGCCGCGAGGGCTGTAGCAGAAGCTGCGACAGCGATGTTCTCCGAAATGACCTCAAGCAGGAGCAGGCGAGGCTCGCGTGCCAATACCAGTACGGCCCGAGGCAGTATGACATCGAGCATGACTCTGGACCGCAGTCAACCACCCGTCATCGTCATCTTGGCCGGTAACCATACCCTGGGCGCCCGAGCTATAGCAGCAGCTCGCCATCTTCTGACGAGGAAATGTCGAATTATCGTCGCGGAAGCATTCCACAATGCCGAAGACAAAGAGACGCAAGATGAACAGATGCGTACCCAGACCGCCATCCTCCGCCGTCTACAGCGAGGTGGCAAGGAAGTGAAACGTGGCAACTGGAAGAAGGCCCTAGGCTACATCAAGAACCTCACCGGTCCGCCAGCCGTCATCATCGATGCGCTTCTCGGCGGCACGACCTACGAATCACTAGTCCTCGACGCCGATTCGAAGTCCAGTCTTCAGCAGGAAGCTAGAGAAATGATCGATTGGGCGAATCGCTCCCGTGCGCCTGTCCTGTCCCTTGGCTGTCCCTCAGGCGTCTCTGGTCTCGATGGCAGTGCGCCCTTGATTGAAGGTGAGCCGTTGGCCATTAGACCAGAGAGGGTTCTAGCTTTCGCTGCACCGATGCAGGGGCTGCTAGAGGCTGTCAAGGCCGGTGAGAGGTGGGAGGTTCATGTCGCTGATATTGGCCTGAATATTGCTTTGCGCGAGGACGAAGCAGTGGAGTTTGGTGAGGGCTGGGTGGTGGAAATAAAGTTTCAGGATGGTGTGGACAATGTGTCTATGGAGGGGAGAGCTTGAAAGGTTTTCCTTTGGCACATAGCTGGAGGTAGATGTGTCGGGTAGACCAGCCATCCAAGCCTCCTGCGGATCCTTTACTCATGATCATGCTTATGCAGCACTTACTTTAGCTTCACTTACAGATGACACAAATGGAAAGTGTGCTAGCATTTGATTAAGATGTGCAATCGCACGCACACGATTCTTCTCTGTAGGCTGCAAGAGGTATCTATGTAATTCGAAATCTGCCGCCAAACCAGTTGCGTAACGCTCTGCTACCTATAATACATTCCTAATCGTGTGTACCAGCGCAAATCATACACCATTAGGCGCCTGCCAAACCGCAATCTCAGCAGCGAAAGCACAATACCACCAATCCCCTGCTCTCCACCCACCCTGCCAGATCCCGTTCTCCTCGTTCCCAGGCCCAAAACTGACGGCCAAACCCGTCTTCTCCATCCACTGCAACACCAGCTCAATCTCCCAAGCCCCGAGCTTCCCACTGTGCGCCTTCTCCATTGCTTTAGCTGTTGTACCTGACCTGAAGACGATAAGGTGGAGGACAGATCTCAGGACCGCATCCCAGAGGCTGTCGATCAAGTTACCGTGGATGTCTACCCAGAGCGGTAGACGTGCATCTGGGCCTTGTGATGTCGTTGCAGGTTGCAAAGGTATCGTTGCGCCTTTCAAACGGTGCTCGAAAGTGAATGCGGGCGTCTTATGGTACTCGATAGGGAAACGTAATCGTTCCGGCTTCGTGGCATGCGAGTTGTACATCGTACTGGGCTCGTCGATACCCCAAATGCTGATCCGAGGGAATGGAGCATCGAGGTCGTTGTTGATGGGAGGCAGGACTGACGCAACTTTCAGCTGGCCCTGCGCGACCATGTTGGTCAAGACTACTACGTCGAAATCGTCGGTATGGTAGGTGAGCTGCAGGGTATCCTGTTGTGCTAGTGTAGACATGATGCGATGACGAGCTGCAGCCACGTTCCGTAGGTAAGTAGTATCATTCCCGGACCATCTTGTTAACTGTTTGTAGACTGATCTGTCTAAGTGGAAGTTGCGACCAGGTAGCTGACGGCCTTTCTTCTCTGCGCAAAGGATCTGATCTGTCAGCAGTTCGTCTATCGCCTGCTTCATCAGATGTTCCGGGTACATTCCAAGTTTCAGATTCGCCGCTCTTCCATCGTATGCAACTTCAGGAGTAGCGCTTACAGCACGACACAATGTTTTCAGAATCGACAGCGGACTCACAGATGGGCACTTTTCGGGCCTTCGTGGTACACTCGTACCATGTGCTATACGCAGAGCTGTGACTGTCCTTTGTATGTCGGTTGCAGAGTCATGGTAGTGTTCAACATCAGGTCCATGGTGTGTCGATGGTGCTTGCACCTCGAAGCGAGCCTGCATGACGTCTGATGTAGCCGGTAGATCAAAGCTGAGTGTGTCTCTGGACACTGAACGATCCGTTCGTCTTGCAGATGAGGGCTTGACCTCTTTCTTAACCCATCTAATCAGAGCTGGCCAGTCGGTCGACGACAGATTCTGAAAGTCGATTTGAGGGACTGTGTCTTTTTCGTACGCGGCGAGCAACAGATCTCGAAGAACATTCTGCAGCGACTGAACATCATCGGCTCGCGCCTTCTTCTGGTTTTGCCAACTCGCCTTAAGAACTGTGGCATCGTAACAAAAGTCAAGGGCATGCGAAACCACGTCCCATGGAATGGTCTTCTGATCAAGACCAGAGCAAAGAGTCTTCACAAGCGCCAGGGCGACAACCAGGTCGTCGAGATCTGGTGCAGTGAACACTGCACCGTCCTCCTGCACAGTCTTCTGCTTCTTGCGTGGAGATCCATAATCTACGTCTTCGTGAACATAGCTGTCGATTTCCACCAGATCTGCATCGGCTACACGTTTGCGAGACTTGTATAGAGGCCTTCCTGCCCGAGAGGTCTGCGGCAGCTCAATAGCAGGAGACACTGGACTATCTTGTACCGTAGCCGGTACGACTGATGGAGGCTGCGCTGGGATGAACTTAGGTGCGAGGAAAGTAGTTGCGGGGGCCGTGGACCGCGACTCGGCTTGTCTTATCGCGTCGCTGAGCCAATCCTGCTGTGGTACTGCGGTCTGCTGCGAAAACGATAGCGGTTCTGCTGACGGCATGCTGTAGTCGACCAGTTCCGCTGCACTGACACGGCGGATGCGCTGGCCCAAGTCGTTCTTCCTGTACTTGCTGTGACCGACATGTCCCAATGACTCGTCAGTATACTTTTCCACGTGGTCTTCATGATAAACCATATCCTTCTCATCCAGATGAAACAGCTCGTCCGTGGAGCTGGTCGTCAATCTCCTGTAACGTCCATTGCCAACGTGCTTGAACTTCACTTCCCGATATGCCAGCACGTAGTCCTTGTCATATGTCTGCGATGTCAGAGAAACAGCAGTAGACTGTTCATCAGGCTCGTCCTCGCGCGGTTGATAAAGGATGTCAGCGTTGGGGAGATGCCTTTTTCGCTTCCGAACAGCCGTGGCAGGAGCTATGATAGATGGTGGCCAATAACTCCTCGTACCGAAAGTGCCAGATGCTTCATGAACACTTTCGCCAGGTGCGAGACGAAGCCATTCACTGTTTATAACACCGGATTCGATAATGTTCAGTATCGAAGGCGGCAGGCTGAGGACGACGAACAACGTCTGTGCCCGGCCGTCACGTTCACGTAGAGTCCGCTGTGCAGGAGCACGGACGATCCGTCTCTTATCTGGCGTAGCTTGCATGTCTGATGCCGCTTCTTCGTCCTCTTTCTCTAGTATATGCTTCCGCATAGTCTTCCGCTTTCGAGATCTCCTATGGCCCTGTGGTCGGTCTGGTGCGAGGTCGAAAGCTGGCAGCTTCAAGCCTTGCTCAGTGCGGTGGACTATCAGACCAGGTATGATGGCAAAGTCCTCTAGATCATCTATGGCAGGTGCGCTACCCATGAGCCCGGAATGACCTGGAAGGAGATCTGCTGCAAGCTTGGTTGAGAAAGGCTCAAGTGTCGGCAGATCTGATGCTGGTGTACTTGGACATGGGTTTTCAGAGGTAGCAATTTGACGTCGGACTTGTGGACTGAACGACTGTGGCATGCTAGGTGCTGTATTGTCCGGCCGCGCACCGATGGCTTGGACCACACTTGGTAGTATTGCGAGAGATGATACCACAGGTGCTTGCAAGCCATCGCCAGGTGGTCTGATGGCCGGTGACGGGAGTACGGCTGCTCTCACAGAAGGCATGCTAGTCTCAACGCTGGATACCACACTAGCAGCAGTCTTTACTTCTGTGTGCAGTTCGGCAGCAGGCTGACTGCTAGCTGTTGCAAGATCAGGTATAGACTTTGCAACTTCCCTTCTGCGCTGCTTTGGCTTCTCGCGAGCGAGGGATACATGCTCATCCGATACGGCGGCCTCATCAGGAAAGTGAAGCTCTGGATATGCATTTATAACGGCTTGCTTCATCTCGTTCACCACCTTGGAGCTTGGCTCAATATCCGGCAGTGTCAAGACTGCGCACATCTCATTCGTGCCAGTCTTGCTTCTAAAACTGAACGTCACCTTTCGCAGTTTGCCAGTATCCAGCAAGCTCTTGACGGTACGATCGACAATACTGCGCTGCGGAGTGGTCTGTGTGATGTTCTTCCACGCAGCAGCGACTGGATACCAGATCTCCTTATTACCAGGATAGACTCCTCCACAGACAGTGACGAAGTGCATAACCAGATCTGTCCGTCGAGCTGGCATGCCACTCCCTCCAACAGGCGTTGTCAGCACGTCAAACGCCAGCGTTGAGCACTTTCGCTTTTGGATCTTAGTAGAGGCTCTAGTCTCTTGCACGTCAGGTAGTATAGCTTCGACGGGCCGCACAGATATTGGTTCTTGAGCACTAGGTCCGGCTGCCATCAGACTCCCCACAGTAGACTGCTCCTGCCTCTTCAACGTCTCCTGTTGTATGTCAGGGGCTTCCGATATCAAGGACTTTTCCAACGGCGAAGAAGAAGAAGAAGTAGGAGGAGGAGATGCGGGTGGGCTTCGTAGGCTCGCATTTCGAACAGTGACCTTGGGTGTCCGGGCGCCCCATCTATATCGAGCATTACCAACATGATAGAAGGTCTCTTCAGGATGTGCCATGACGTATGCCTTGTCAAAAATCGCTGTTGTTTGGTTGGGCATCGGCGAGTCGGAAGTCGAAAAAAATTCACCTTGTGAGGTATCCACTGGCGCTATCACCGGCAGTGATGCTTGTGCCAGAGTCTCAAGGTCTACAGTACCATAGGGACCAGGTCCCGCGGCCGGAACATCCTTTATCTGAGGCTGGTCATTTGCTGGCAAACTATCTTCAATTCCCGGAGCAGCTGCCGGAGGTGGATTTGCAGACAAGTTACGACGTATCCGCTCTCGAGGCGTCGTCTTGGATGGCCTGTCGCCTCTTCTCCAGCGCCCACGACCAGTATGGTAAAAAGACTCGTCTTTGTGCGTTATGACATAGGCTTTGTCGAATGTTGCTGTGAACTGGGAGAGCGCTGGTGGATCCGTCGACGGGACTGTCTCAGCTTGAGATGGGGGCACTGGGCATTCAACTGGCATCGGCAGTTGTTGCGGACGCTGGAGACCTGAGGTATCATGATGGCTGCGTGACGCTGTGGGCAAGATCCCAACACTTGTAGGGTCATGGACCGATGACACAGCATCTTCTATCGTCGCCTTGGACACTCTTACACCTCGCCTCCATCGTCCCTTACCCGTGTGATAGAAAGACTCGTCTGAATGTGCCACGACGTACGCCTTGTCAAAAAGCGCGGTCGTGTCCAAAAGAGTTGGGGAGTGAGTCGGAGACATCACCTGATCGTGAACGGGTGCCTCGATTTCCCGAGCACCCAGGAGCGAAGGAGCCATGACTTCTTTGTTGCCGTTCGCTAGTCCAGCTTGCTCAGCTGCGCTATGTTCTGCACTGTGGCCAGCGATCTGCGTCTCCCGCTTCTTCCGACGCGGTCCACGCTTGTAAAAGGCATCACCAACGTGGTGAAAAGCTTCACCAGGATGTGCCAAGACATAATCCTTACTGTAAGTAGTGCTATCGGTTTCGTTGGCTCCCACCGACTGCTTAGGCGAAGTCGGGACGGTGACAACAGTGGTCTCAGTGGATCCAACGTCGACTTGGTTGGGAAGGCTAGACTTATCGATTGTTGCATGCGACTGCGGTCGCGCTGCGACGACAGGCGGCTGAGCAGCCACTGCTTCAGTAGCGATTTCGGTACTCCCGGGATTGTCCAACTGCTGACTTTGATCGATGTCGTGGCCGTCCTCAAGCACCTCGGTCGGCTTCTCGTTGTCCTCGACGGCTATGGCTGTAGATAGGTCGATTAGACGACGAGTGCGGCGTCCCGTGGCAGAAGGAGCGGTCCCTACAGCGAAGTCGTCTAGGAACCAGGTCTTGCTTTTGAGCCTCTCACTCTTCAGGACAGCGATCATTGCTAACCTTGGCCGGCCACGTTGCACATAGAATTGTGCTTTTGTTTCCTTGGCACCTGGAGGATTGATGTATAGTCCTGAACGAGACCTGGACAGCAGATCTGCTTCGATCTCTGTGATATGCTCTGCTATCGCTGTTTCCGGGATTTCCGAAGCCAAAGTGTGGTACGAATTGGTAACGACTCCATTTTCTCTACTCTTGGCCGATAGTGGTGATTCTTTGGCTGCACTCAGCCTTGCAAGGCCTTTTGCCGTTCTCGCTGCCCAAAGCTCGAATGCTTCCTGATCTTTTTGAGATGTCATGCGAGGACGGACGATAGCCTTAGGAGTACGTGGCTGGCTGACATCAGGCACAGGTGTATCATCTGCTGTTGTGTCCGCTCCTTCCAAGAACGATTGCGGAACGCACCTATTGATGACCGCGGCATCACTACCAGTCGTGGCAGGTCTGCATTCACTCAGTGTCGCACCACCGTGACCATGAACAAATCGCTCGCTTTCAGGCTCAGTGAAGCCCCAACGGTCAAGTGTCCTTGTTGGGTTCGTTGTAGCTTGACCGACGTCTTTTATGTTTGGTCGACCGTCCTGCTCGGCAATGTAGATACGGTAGCGTGGCACATTATCCGTAGAATGTGTCGTATCCATGACGTGGACGGTTTGCTTGTGAGTACTACTCGTCTGATCAACCAAGACGGCCAGAGTCTGCTCAATCGCACGATCTGACACGGCTGCAGATATCTTCAGCCGCAGGTCTGAAATCGTAATACCACCCTGTCCGGCTGTCTTGATGTAGCGAACCAAAAGTGATGCCAATGGCATAGACGGCGCAAAGTGCGTTGTTGGTCGCGCGACCTTTCGAGACTCCGTCAGAGTATGCTGATGTGGTTTTGAGGGCGTGTCCTGCGGCAATGCCGATCTTTTGTAGTGTGGCTGCCTCAAACGCTTTCGCTGTGGTGTGTGCTCGATAGACACATGCAGTTCTTCCTCATCCGAGCCGGAACCGCTGGCAGGCTCCTCTTCACTCTCATCAAGCTCATCGTAGATCACTCGACGATGATTGCGAGGCTTCCTCGGCTTGACGGTGGCGTTCAGTCGTGGGTTCAGAAGCAATGACTTCTCGTCTGACGAGAGCTCGCGTAGCAGCTGAACACAACGGATGGAGCCTTCGCCCTCATCATCTGAGCCTTGACCCGATGCCACCTTGGCTACAACTCTTTGCACACAACCGGCGTCCACAATACGACGCATCGCTCGCAGTAAGACCGTCGTCCCATCGAAGTTGTTTTGATAAAAGCCGAATGCGTGGCCCAAGTCTCTAAGCGCCATGATGTGACCGGGCTGTTGCTTGAGCAAAGGCACTGCTTGCTCAACGAGTGCTGCAACGTCTGCCACTAGTCTATCCCTGTTGTCGAAACATGTGACCGGTCGTTTCGCATCGCTGAAGCTGTCATTCTCGGTGGCGTTGACTAGCCTGGTCAACCGAAGCAAGCTTGATTCAGTATGGAAAACGCATATCGGCGTCTTGAGAAGAAGGCCCTTGCGCGCAAGAGAGTCGGTTCGTGCTGGTAATGATTGCTTCTGTTGGCCTGTAATATCTCTGACACGACCTTGCTGGACGCCAGCAGCACCGAAAGCTCCAACAACAGAAAGACTTTCAAACTCGAACAGAGGAACGCGCTGTTTGTCAACCGCATGGCCGGTGAGCTCAAGCCACATGCGTTTCTCAGTGGCAAATATGCGATTCGGCCTAGCAGGTCCATTCTTACTTGTGGCCGGGCTTGGTTCAACAGGTCGATCAGCATCACCGGTAGAAGGCTCCGTAGCCACGGCAACCTCTTGCTCCTGTCGACGTCGACTTATCTTGGAGTCTATGTCATCATGTGTTTCTAGTCGCTGCCACACATCGTCCAGCGAAGCAGCGTCAAGCTCAACGTTGCCATTGTCGGTACGCGTAGAATTGTCATTGGGAGTAGTAGCAGTATTCCTGTATATCCGGTTCAGCGTTCGAATCCTTTCTGCGAGATGATGCGTCTTGAAGCCTGGTATGCGGAGCAGTCAGCACTTCGATAGTCATAATAAAGACAAACGATGGTTAAGAACAGTGCAATGCCATTCAAGTCGATCACATTTGTGCACTGACCATAAGTGCCCGTGAGCGCAACCTCAACCACCAATTTCTCCACCAGCTCCTCCACCTCCAGCGCCATACCACTCCCCGGCTGTCCGTTGTCAATTACCCAGGGCTCATTCGTCAGCGTCGTTGTCCAGCGATGTGACAGAGCAGCGAGTTCGAACCACCACTACACCAGGCGAGACTTGCTCACATTTGTGACGCATCGGTTGTTCATCGGTGACAGTGGTAAATTCTCGTTGTGACAGAGGTGGGGTCGCAACTCGTGATGCCTGAGGCAGTCAAAGATTGTTCTCCCTTTGAGCTGGCCGGGAGTAACGCATTCACGGTTTCATATTCACTTCTCCATTCAGATAAGCACACAGTGAACAGCATGAACAGAGACTCGGGCCAAGGAGGGTGCGCACACAAGTTATCAATATGAATTGGCTCCTTGCCATACAGTTGCCGGGCCTGGTCATCGTACTATGGCTTTTCACGTTCTGGATGAGCCAGTCATTCCCGACAATATCTGGCAAACGAATATGTCTCCTCATTGCCCATCCCGACGATGAGGCGATGTTCTTCGCACCTACACTTCTCTGGCTTACTCGACCCGAATTTGGAAATCAAGTCCTTGTACTATGCCTGAGCAGTGGCGATGCAGATGGTCTGGGCCATGTCAGGAAGGGAGAACTGGCTAAGAGCGCTCTACTACTCGGTGTGAAAACGAGCGAGCATGTGGTGGTCATCGAAGACGAGAAACTTCCGGACTCAATGACCACGACTTGGGACCCAAAGCTCATCTCCAGCATTCTGACACGATACTTCGCCTCCAAGATCGCTAGCACGCCGTCAACATCAGCACCGCAGGCCAATCTCGATGTCATCATCACTTTCGACGGATCCGGCGTCAGCGGCCACCCAAATCACATTAGCCTTTACCATGGAGCTGGGGCATTCCTGCGCAATCTCATGTCTAGGCATACGGGGTGGCAATGTCCAGTGCGACTGTACACCTTGACGTCCGTCAATGCGGCTCGAAAGTACAGTAGTGTACTGGACGCGACATCAACTGTTGTCACGTTTCTGTGGCGGCATAGGGAGAAGGGCAGCTTTCCTACGCCACTCCTTGCTGTCAGTGGCCCATTTGGAGTGCGGAAAGGCCAGCGAGCCATGACTGAAGCTCACAAGAGCCAGATGAGATGGTTCAGGTGGGGATGGATTGGCGTTAGTCGATACATGGTGGTGAATGATCTGAAGAGAGAGAAGATTGTCTAGTCTAGTAGTCCATATCTCGGGCCCCCAGCGACGGGGACCGATGCGTGAGGCGCCTGCTGAAACATCATGCAGTGATGCCGGCATCCTCTTGCAAGATTCTGTTCAAGCCATCTCTCTTCAGACAATTCTCGAGCTTGAAACTCGCCGCCAGCTCATCGAGCTCTTCCGTCGTCTTGCCCTCGAAGTATGAGGCATACTCATAAGTCAGCAGCTCCGAGACAAGCAGCTCACGCACCACGCGATGCACATGGCCCTCCAAGCCCCAATGCTGAGGATATCGCCGTCGCTGGAACTGCTCTGGGATCTCTTCCTTCAGATGCTGAATGAGCGGATCGTAGATATGCTTGACGTGTGTATCGTCACGGCCCCCTATAACGTTAGGGAGGACACGTTAGCTAGGTCTCTAAGGCAAGGACAAGATACTTCAAGGTAACTTCGGATATCTTGGTGTCTATTTATCGTTTAGACCGAGTTTTAGCGATGCTTAATCGATCCGCAAAAACAGAGCTAGTAGGGATAAGAGGAGTATCGACATACTATTAACATGTTAGCACAATTAGCTTATGAACATGTCCTCCCTAGGGTTCTGCACCACTTATCAACACCTAACCGCTTCTTCTTGGCAAAGAATGGCTGAAGGAGACGCATATATGCGGAGTCGGGGTTTGTGTAGACCATACCCTGGAAGCCGATATCCTTGTATAGCCAAATCGACCAATGGATCTGGTCTTGCTTGTAGATCGATAATTGCTCACCCAAGAGATTATACCTTTGCTGGTTGATAGTCTCGTAGTTATCCTCTCCAGGACTGGCATATACAGGGCCAAACTCGCCATTCCAGATAGGCACTTTATGCTCTCGCATGAACTCTACCTTACGCTCATACTGCTTACGAAGGATCTGCTTTTGCTCGTCTGTGCCGTCATAAGGCTGGCCTGCTGGGAAACCCATGTTGCTGTAATCATGTATCGCGTACACACAATTCGGGAGCACGTCCTTGAAGCCAGAGAAGTCCATGGAGTAGGTGTTACCATCCAGCCAGAGAATGTGGTGAGGATCGACTTCTCGAATCGCCTTCTCGACTACAGCATACCACTTCTGCAGGTGGTAGTGATCGGGATCTCCTGGCTCGTTCATTGGGTTATAGCCTGCAACCCATTTGTTCCCAGCATAGTGCTTAGCAATTTCGACCCACATGTTAGTGGCACGGTCCTGCAAATCCTGATACTCCCAGAATAGTGCTCGATGTAAGCCACTGTCTGAATGCCAACCCTGATTCTGGCCGCCTGGAAAGGTGTGCATGTCTAGGATCGTGTAGAGGCCTTCCGCAGCGCAGGCCTCGACAATACGGTCTACAAGCTTGAAGCCCTCAGGCTTGATCACAGATGGATTGAGGTCGTCCATGAAATAGCGGTGGTTAAGCGGGATTCGGAGGCAGTTGAGACCCAGCGATGCGAACAATTTGGCGTCCGACGATGTGAAGAAATACTCGAGGAACTGGGTAGGAGGGTGAGCATTGCAGATCAATCGTGCGGGTAACTTGAAGCTTACTTTTTCGAAGAAGAATTCATACTTCTCCTTGCCCAACACTTCTAGTAGAGCCTTTCGCATCTCATGCTCGTGTCCTGGGTAACCAGTGATGAAGTTCTCCATGTTAGTGTGGCCGCCAGTAGCAGCGCCCTTGAGGATGACCTTGTTGCCATCCTCATCGACCACGTCAGTGCCCCTGACACGCAGGTAGCCGTGAATTTCTGGCATGGTTGGCTTTGATCGACCAAGGACTGTCGTACGCAGAGCGTGGATTGACTCGAGCACAGGTCAACCAACGAGGAAGGAAACAATGGTGGATGTGTTTACTTGCCATGGCCATCTGTGGCCACTTCTCTACTTCGGCAGACTTCCGAAGTCGCTACAATCGTGATCCACTCACACGCTGAACGGCGAATCCACGAGCTAAAGGAGAGACCTCCGGTATGGAAATCTTTCCCGTGCGACCAAGAAGGAAGAAGCACGACCCCACAGCACGCCTGGAGACCCCAAGCCTTTCACTTTAGCCGCTGAATTTAGCCTTCCAACTTCCCACTACGGACATTGATCTCCACCTTTGTCATGCCTCACGACTCGATGACCCGCTTTTCACTGCATCAACCCCATCGTCAAGCACATGGCAATTGGTAGTGGTATGTACCGGTTGTCGGCAATCATGCAGCATCCCTGCTCAAAGCAAGTGATCGCCATGCCGATTAGCAGACTGGGCATGGATGTTTTAAGGTGTGCTAAGCTCGTCGTTCATGTACAAATTATACATAGCAGACGGTGTAGCCCTTCGTCGATTCTGCTGACCGCACATACTCAACCTCCCACCCACGAAGTCACGCTGGCATAGCAGATATGGCGTTCGCCAAGCAGACCAATGTCGACGAGGTCGCTGCTCAGTCCGAAGTCAAGCGATTGATGGACTTGGACACAACACCATGGTACAAACGACCCAACCTCAGAAGACTATACTGCTGTCTTCTGCCAGCTGTGCTGGGCTGTGAGATGACCTCAGGATACGATGGCTCGATTCTCAATGGCTTGCAAGCCGTGCAGCCTTGGCTGGACTGTGAGCATGAGCCGCCTCAAGGTCGTTGTGGACAGAAGAAAAGCTGACACTAGCATAGACTTTCATAATCCGCAGAAGGCACTTCTCGGCTTGATTACTGCGGCATTCAGTATTGGTGCTTTCGCTGCACTGCCGATAGTACCTCTGGTCAACGATCGAGTCGGAAGGAAGCATAGTATTACCATCGGCTCAGCAATCATCGTTCTTGGGGCCGTGCTGCAGACAGCTAGTGTCAACCTTGCTATGTTCTTGGTAGCACGCATCCTGCTCGGTGTCGGTCAGTCGAGGAACATGACAATAGATGATTCTCATCGCAAACGCTGATATGATAGGAACAGGCATTCCATTCTGTATCGGCGGCGCTTCTCAGCTGATTGCAGAGCTGACATATCCTCGCCATTCAGCTGTCCTTAACGGCCTGTTCAACGAATCGTGGTACGTCGGCGCCATTATTGCTGCAGGAGTCACACTTGGAACATATTCGCGGTCGGACGATTGGGCATGGAGAATACCTTCGCTCTTGCAGCTCCTGCCTTCTGTGTTACAGTTGACCTTCATCTGGTTCATCCCAGAAAGTCCTCGATGTAGGTAACAAGGATCCATGACCACCGGTCACGATGCTGACCTGTCTCGCCAGGGCTCGTCTCTCGCGATCGAAGCGAGGAGGCACTCGAAATTCTGATCAAATACCACGCCGAAGGCGACCGTGACAGTGCGCTCGTCGCAGCAGAATTCGCTGAGATTCAATCGACGGTCCGCGCGGAGCTCGAAGGCTCAAAGCGACGCTGGATCGAGCTCTTTGAGACGCCTGGAAATCGCAGACGAACCTTCATCGCCGCCTGTGTCGGCCTTTTCTCTCAATGGTCCGGTAATGGATTAGTGTCCTACTACCTCGCCAAAGTCCTCGCGACTGTAGGAATCACGGATAAGAAGGTGCAAAATCAAGTCAACTTGGGACTGACATGTTGGAACCTTGTCACGGGCTGCACCAGTGCTTTCCTGACCAAGGTTCTACGCCGTCGGACACAATATCTCATCGCCTTCATTGGCATGACCGTCGTTTTCGCTTGCTGGACTGGAGCCAGCGCTGATTATGCCAAGACCAAGAATGAGCAGGCTGCTGGAGCTGTGGTTGCGATGATCTTCGTCTACTACATGTTCTACACGATCATGCACCCACTGACCTACATCTACATCACCGAGGTCTTTCCCTTCGTCATCCGTGCCAAGGGTGTCGGATTGACGCAGACCTTTTCACGTGGAGCTTCGGCATTCAACCAGTTCGTCAATCCTATCGGCCTTCAGAACATTACTTGGAAGTACTATATCGTCTACGTCGTGTGGCTGGCCATCGAAGCGACAATCATATTCTTTGTCTATCCTGAGACCAAGGGGCCGTCGCTAGAAGAGCTGTCGCGGTTGTTCGAGGATAAGAATCCGTTGACCAAGGGCCATATGGATCTGGAGCGAGGTGCAAGCATTGACGAGAAGCCTGTCACCACGATGGAGGAAGTGTCGAAATTGTAGTCTAAGATGTACAGTAGTAGCACAACGCATATTGGTTTTGAACGAAGAATAATGATGACCTTGGACTGAAGCACGTGAAGTGGTGTAAAGTTCGCGCTTTCTCCACTCATCCGCATCACTCCATCAGTCGTTTGCGGGGACGAAGTCTAGAATTATAGAGAGCTTCCACCGCCACCATCACAAAACGGAAATAAGCTTGATCGTAGTAATGAGGGTACCAGACTTCACTCCAAGTAACATTGGAAGCAACGTTCGAGAACCAGCGCAAGCTTTAGTAGAAGTCCTGTAAGTGCGCTGTCACAAATCAATTAACATCCTCCCTTGCCATCCCATCCCGTCCTCTCCAACGTACTTGCATTCAGGTTACACCTCGACAACCGTTCGAAGACCACAGACCACCCTGAGTCCATCCCATTCTCATACGAACAATGGCTTCCCTTCCCCCAATAATAGCGTGGGACTACCAGTTCGCCCCCAATGCCCAAAAGTCTCGCAACTACCTCTACGCAAGCTCTACCCCCTTCAAGATCTGCGAACAGCCCTTCGTAATCCCCCGCCCCATCCTCCAGGATCTCGGCATCACATATCGACGTGTGCCCGTACTGAGTATCGGCAAGGATGTCTTTTGCGATAACACGAGTTTCATCGATGCGATGCAGCAGTTGCTGGGCTCAAAGGGGTTGAAGAAGGCGGCGAGCGATCGGGCTTGGGAGGCTTGGGGGTATAGGACGTTTTGGATTTGTTTGCCTTGTGTGCCGGCGGAGTTGATTACGGAGGATTTGGGGAAGGATAGGAAGGATCTGTTTCGTGAGTACTTAGCCTGCTTTAAACCTATTGGAGCTTAAACGGTCTTGTGCTGACAGGAGCGATTGTGATGGGTAGCGGTCTTTGCTCGCAAGGACTTTGCGACGTTGCGACAGAACGGCTTGTCTGAATTACGATCGTTGCTCGACACGGCCGAGCACGAGTTCCTCAGCGGGAACAAGCCTTATATCAATGGCCAGGATCTCTCCTTAGCAGATATCCATGCCAACTGGATGATCAAATGGGCTTTTGCTACCATTGGTGTGGCCAAGGAGGCGGGATTCGACAAGTCTTCGTATCCCAAGACACACGCCTGGTGAGCTAGATCTTGCTTGATCGAAGAGACAATACCGTTGGCTAACGCCCAAGCAGGTGCGAAGCAACACCTACCCACGACGACGAGATCCAAAAGGATGCCTTCCTCTCCGCTGAAGAAGCCTCCAAGCAGATCCTTGGCTCGGAGTACGCTCTTTCAGATATCGGGGTCGATAGCACGGATCCATTGGGGTTTAAGGGCGGAGAGGATGTGGCCATTGAGATGACGGACGCGACGCCGGGATACTGTCCGCAGAACGGTAAGTTGGTTGGCTTAAGCAAGTCGAGGATTGTGGTGCAGGTTAAGAATGGCCTGAGGGTGCATTTCCCGAGGATCGGGTATGTGGTTAACAGTCAGAAGGGTGGTGCTGCGACGAATGGACATTAAGCATTTCAGTGTGGGCTATGATGGCTATCGTGGTGGATCTCCGTATCATCTAGTCAAAATGATTCATTCGATAAGGGTCAATACTGATGAGAACCCTCGAGGTCGTGTGGTTCATGTTCCTTGACGCATCTGTCAATATTCCCATACGACCACCTTACGAACTGCCGATATAAACACAAGAACGTGACCATGAAGGAATCTTCTCTTCCAATCTGGCTATGTGCATTCTTATATTACGCCCCACTATCTGCACCGCCTTTAGCGCGCACGCGGCCTGCAGCCGTTGCGTAGGTTTAACGGGCCGTTCTATTGGCTTTGGGTTGGTGGATGCTGTGGGCGCTATTGGTTCGAGGCCTGATCGTCGGTCGTTGTGGTTTAGATTCGATATATGCTGCATATTCCATTGCCTGCGTGGGAAGTGAAGCCGCTGCTACTTACAACCGAAAGAATCATCCAGTGCGACTTCCTCGAACACTTGCCTTGGCAATCGAACAGCCGCAACCTAACAAGCGTGTTTGCGGGGAGCAGCTTCCCGCGCCATCTGAAGCCTGTCATCCTGGACGGTGGTGAAACAAGAGCGAGCCACAAGTACTGTGCGACAATCTGCGGTGCGGTGCAGGAGGAGAAACAGGGTAGGACGGCAGTAGATCGTGCGACCGCGGTGCCTGTCGTAGGCCCAGCGGTTGTCATCCCAAGCCTGTCAAGCTGGCGCACGCACAACCGACCTTCGACCAGGCGTATGGCGGCAACAACACTGGCTCGAGCAAAGGGTCGTGGTTGAGCAGGGTGAGTGCTGTCGGAGATATGGAGAGGATCATTCACGGACAATGAAACCATGGGAAGCTGACTTTGGTGCGCTTTCCCGCTTCAGGTATCCCATCGAGCAAGCCACATTCCAAACCGTCCGCTGCCATTGAGAACGCCGGGCAGCGCGGGCAGCAGTGGCAGCACCGGCTTTCCGAATCAAGGTGTGTCACGGTCACATGACAACCTGCCTGTGCTGCAGAAGACTACCAGCTATCCGGCCAGTCCTACGAGTCCTATCAGCCCGACCGAGACCGAATTTGGCGCTACGCCTATCGATGCGAGTTTCGGTGAAAGAATTGACTCGCATCCGCCTGAGCGACCAGCGCCGGAGAAGCCTGCGCTTGGAGATCGGAGTGGATTGCCTAGTCAGAAGAGCAGAGGAGTTGGAATGAACTACACTGAGCCTGCGAAGAAGACGGGGAACAAAATGGACAAGTACGCACGGCAAGCAGGAGACGATTCATACGAGAGTGAAGGAGCGGATGCAGACGACGAGTTCGAGCGAACCATCTTCAACCAGGCTGCACCTACCATGTTCGACGATGGAGAGTCGGACCACCCTTCCGAATCAGACGATGAAGACCATGATCTACTGGATGGAGAAGATACACCGACGACGCAAGGCTGGGGGGATCGTGAAAATAGAAGTCCGACCGGCAACATGACACAGTGGAATGAGGAGCAGGTGGCCGACTACATCATTTCGCTTTCTTCAACCTACAAGCAGTATAGCCAGGCATTCATTGACGAGGGTATCAAGGGTGATGTGCTGGTGGACCTGCATCATGATGATCTGCAGGATCTGGGCATTAATAGCTTGGGCGACCGGTTGACAATCCTGAAGTCGGTCTATGAGCACAAGATACGGTCAGGCATCAAGGGCGAAGAAGGGCAATATGTCCCTCTGTCAGCAGCAGACGATAGGAGCGATCTGAATGCGACACAGGATGATATCACTCGCGTCATCGATGCCATCAAACAGCGCGACCAGCGCATTTATGCTGCCGAGGCGGAGTTGAAGGCGATGAGGCAGGACTTGGATCGCATATTTGAAGAGAACAGAAAGCTGCGAGACGAGACCCTGCCGATCATGCGACTGGTGAAACCTTTGCCGGATCCGGCAGGAGGGACCATACCTTCACCACGCGAAATCGACCTCAATAAGCAGAATGAGAACCTCGCACCTGCCGCGGCGAAAGAGAGCAAAGGAAGCTCACTGAGCCGCAAATTCTCGACTAAAAAGCTTTTCCTTGGTAGTGCGCCAAAGCAACCCTCACCCACGCACCCTCCACAAACACATACACCACAACCCCAACGAGAAGTTAGGGACGACCTGGGAGGTGCTCAACTCGAGGCTTCTGCAGCAGCGATGGCGGCTTCTAGCCATTTGACAGCAAGCATGACCAGCCAGATCTCACCCAGCAGTGTTCACGGCTCCCAACTCAGCCCTACGAGTCCAGCCTACAGCACCCAAGCACCTTCGTCAGGAGGATCCTACCAGCCACCGAATTCAGCTGCTGCCCGCTCCTTCCCACGTGAGGTGGCAAACGCACGTGATCGTCACCCATATGACCGACACAACCAAGACGACAACGGCACGGGGACTGGCTACAGCGGTACTAGTCACTGGTCTCAAGCCAGCACGATCGTGGCTCCGGATCGTGACCGTGATCGTGACCCGCCTGCTTCGGCCAGGCCGTCGAGACGCCAGCTGCCCACTCCTAGTCCACGCGAGGATGAGATACCGCAGACCGCGCCCTTGCCTAGGGAGAGGGACAGAGATAGGTATGTGCTACTCTTGGCTTTGGAGGAGGTATTTTGCGACGTTTGACTGACATGTGCTTGTGCAACAGAGGCGACAGAGACAACCCGCAAGTCGAGATCTTCAAGAGCTTCCGCGTCAGTATCGAGGATCCTTGTCGTGTGGTTCTCCCAGTGGTGCGTTACTATCATCCCCTTCCACACCTCACCCTTCAAGCCATCTTCCGCACACTGACTGACTTTCATCTCAGGCCCTCAAACGCTACAACATCACCGACGACTGGCGCCAATACGCCCTGTATATCGTGCACGGCGACCAAGAGCGCTGTCTCGGCTTGGAAGAGAAACCTCTCTTGCTGTTCAAGCAGCTGGATAAGGAGGGGAGGAAGCCGATGTTCATGCTTAGAAGGCATGCTAGTCCGGCTGAGGGGTGGAGTAGCCAGGCCAATTTGTCTGGAGCGCCTGGTGGATCTGGGCAGGGGTTAGACGGTGGTAGTGGTAGTGGTGGCGGTGGTGGAGGAAGGGAGAAGGTAAGTTGCTGATTGAGTTCCTGGCTATGCGTTTCGGAAGCACGGCTGACTGTTTCTTGTATCAGGCTATACCCGGTGGTGTGCTATGAGGGAAGGAAGGAAGTGCTTAAGCCCTTGAGGGCGCTGAAAGCTCGGCCCCGGCGAAGGCAGTGGGTATCTGCAAAGCTGTAACGTGTCATTACCGATCTAAGCTGTCGCAGCCGGCGCACAAATAGATCGACTTACGATCGCCGTGTGCAGAATCTAGCATGGGTCAAAACGGAAGCATTAGCATACTCACATGACTGTAGGCCCATCACTTCCCGGCAGCGATGTAGTTCTGTCAACATCACATATATTTTTCAGTAGCACTAGCACATGTATCACGAGTATGCTTTACTTCTCGTTCGTTAAGTTAAAGTACTGAGGGCACAGATCGGAGGCTTGCTTAAGGGGCCATGATAAGGGGAAAAGTGGTTATAAGCAATTCTCTCATAGCAGTATATAGGCTACCCTATACGCCGCGTGATCATGGCAGCAGCAGCAAGAAGCTAGTAGAAACAATCTCTATTACTCGTTGCCGCGGAACGCCGTAGTATCTGCCCCAACGCAAGACTGGCTGCACCGAACGCAGCAAGCTACTCTCTCCTCTGCGGCCTGAAACCAATCGTAGCACTCTAGTCATACAAGTCCTCTTCGCCCGCACCTGCAAGTCATGTCAGTACGATGAATCAATTGTCAAGTATTCGTGTGAAGGGAAGACATACCGTTCTGCTGCTGCGCACCATTACCACCCTCCTCGCCACCCTCGGGGAAGCGGAAGAACGCACTGCCACCAGCCGAGCTCTTCATGCTCTGCGCGAAAGACTCGTACCGTCTAATCTCGGTGTCCGTAACCGAGCGACGAGCCATACTCATAGCCTCCTCGAAGTGCCTCTTGGTCAACTCCGGCACAGGGTCCTCCGCGTCAATGTCCTCCTCCATCTTGACATCGTCGCCTTGGCCGGCAGCAGCCTCACGCTTCTTCTCGTTGTCGATGGCGATGCCGATGCTCTCCTTGATGGCGAGCTTGACGGCACGCTGGGTGATGAAGCCCAGATCGGCACCGGAGAAGCCATGGGTCTTGCTGGCGATGTAGGCGAGATCGACATCGGGAGCGACGGGCGTCTTGCGGAGCTGGGCCCTGAGGATGCTCTCGCGGCCGGCTTGATCAGGGAGAGGGACGTAGACGAGGGTGTCGAGACGACCGGGACGGCAGAGAGCGTTGTCGAGCTGCTCAGGCCTGTTGGTCGCGCCGATGACGAAGACGTTCTTCTTGCTGGTCATGCCGTCCATCTCAGTGAGAAGCTGGTTGACAACACGGTCGGAGGCACCACCTGCATCGCCGACAGAGCCACCACGGGACTTGGCGATGGAGTCCAACTCGTCAAGGAAGACAACGCAAGGAGCAGCAGCACGGGCCTTGTCGAAAATGTCACGGATGTTGCTCTCGGACTCACCAAACCACATGGAAAGCAGCTCGGGACCCTTGACAGAGATGAAGTTGGCGGAGCACTCGTTGGCGACTGCCTTGGCGAGCAACGTCTTACCCGTACCAGGAGGACCATAGAAGAGCACACCACGCGAAGGAGACATGCCGAATTTGAGGAATTTCTCCGGATGGTCGACGGGATACTGCACGGACTCGATGAGCTCGCGCTTGACATCCTCCAGACCACCGATATCGTCCCATCGCACGTTGGGCACCTCGACAACAGCAACCTCGCGCAGGGCGGATGGGTTGCTGACACCGAGGGCGAAGCTGAAGTTCTCTTGCGTGACGCCCAGGCTGTCAAGAACCTCAGCATCAATGGTATCCTCGTCCAAATCAATCAGGTCCATCTTCTCACGAATCTGCTGCATGGCAGCCTCAGAGCAGAGCGAAGCGATATCCGAACCGACGTAGCCGTGAGTCTCGGCGGCAATCTGTTCGAGATCGACCTCATCGGCGAGCTTCATGTTCTTGGTGTGGATCTGGAGGATCTCGAGACGGCCGGTAGGATCGGGAATGCCGATGTCGACTTCACGATCGAAGCGGCCGAAACGACGAAGGGCGGGATCGATGGAGTTGGGGCGGTTGGTGGCTGCCATAACGACAACGTTGGAGCGGGCCTTCATGCCGTCCATGAGAGTGAGCAGCTGAGAAACCACACGCCTCTCAACCTCGCCGTTGGTCTTCTCACGCTTGGGTGCGATCGAGTCAATTTCGTCGATGAAGATGATAGCCGGGCTGTTCTTCTCCGCCTCCTCAAACGCCTTGCGCAAATTGCTCTCGGACTCACCAGCCATCTTCGACATGATCTCTGGGCCGTTGATCAAGAAGAAGAACGCGCCAGTCTCGTTGGCGACAGCGCGAGCCATCAAAGTCTTACCGGTACCTGGCGGCCCATACATGAGGATACCGCGCGGTGGCTTGATACCAATGGATTTGAAGAGTTGAGGATGTCTGAGCGGCAGCTCGACCAACTCACGGACCTGCGCCATCTGCTTGCGGCAGCCGCCAATGTCGTCGTAGCCCACCTCGTTCAGGTTACCCTCCTCATCCTCGCGCTGGATCGGCTCACCCTCGCAGTGGATGACGGTGTCTTGTGCCACGATGCCGTACTCTGGAGGATCAACCTCGACGACCTTGAACTCCACTGTCCTCATGGCAGCTCTGCATGTGAAGAGATCACCTTGTCTGACTGGTCGGTAGGCTTCGCGGAAGTATGGGGCGAGGAAGACGTCGAAGAGAGAGCCGGTCAGACCCTCAATGGTGTCAGCCATCGGCAGGACTGCCAGGCGCTTGGCGTATTTGATGTCTGGGCATGGGTTGACGGTGACCACATCGCCGAGCTTGACGCGGAGATTGTGGCGCACGACACGGTTCATGCGAGCGGAGCCGTCTTCGAGGTCGTCATCAGCTAGCACAATCAGCACGGTGTCCTTCCTCTTCTTGCCCTTGACCAAGACTGTGTCGCCACGGAAGAGCTGGAGAGTCTCCATGGTGTTGTTTGAGAGGGCGATGATGGAGTTGTCATCGGTGGTGGCATCAGTCACGATCAAGCTGTTGGGCTTCTTCTTCTTCTTCAGGATCGCGGTGGCGGTCTCATCATCACCGCGCTTCTCTGCGCCACTCGGATCGTGGCTCAAGTTGACCTTCTTCTTCTCCTGCACGTGCTCCGGCGCGCCCGACATGATGGCGGTGGTGCGGTGTGTGTGATGTGGGAGATGGAAATGTCGTGCTTGTGTGTGTTATCGGCGATGGTCTTACTACGAGTCCGAAAGTGTTGTTGATGCAAGGGAGAGTGTGGTGGGCAGGTAAGAGACTGCTCAGATACAGCAGAGGATGTGTCTGTAAGGTAAGGAGAATGTGAAGGTGGATCTGTGATGAGTAGATCCAAATTCGTCCGGGTGTTTTTGGGAGAGATATTTGTTGAAAGGTGTCGTGGACTCGTGTTGTACCTGAAGATGAAGCTCCCGCCTCGGCTTAGCTCCGGAGCAGGCGTCAGTAGTGACGTATGGAGCGAATCAGACACTCGGGCACCACCCGTCCGCTTAGGATAAGTAAGCGCAGGAAGGACGTAGAAAGTCACCGACTGAAAGACGTGTCTCACTGTTGCCTCTCGGACAACGTGCACGTTCGATGTGAATGGTAAATAAGCAGATCCCCAGAGACTCCACTCATGCTGTTGGTGAATGCCTCCGCTCCAATCGGGCGAATTGTCTAGACGGAGCACATCTTCCTCATCAATTTTGGGTGAGTGGCTCCATGCCTACATACTGTGGCTACAAGTTGCCATGTGTGGGCTTCAGTAAGTAGGTGAATATCAAGATGTTTCCATCGGTCGTGCCTGCCATTTTCGGAACGCTCTTACCAAGTGGGTCCAAAGCCAATTACTGACAGGCAATTCACCCCATCTCTGCCACCAACATCAGACGGCCATCAGCACCCGCTAGATTTGCCCAGCTGCTTCATTAGTTGCGACTAAGACACATACAGTCATTACAACAGTCACAGGCCTGCCTTTCAATCATATAGACACCACGACTGAAGCTATCTTGTGCCTTTATTCAGCGTCAGCGGCCATTCATATACCGTTCGAAGCCACATATCGACCACTACAGCCATTGACCAATAACAAGAACTCAAATCATTGCAAGGACATCTCAAACAATGCACTGGCACGCCCGGAATCAATCTACTCGCGCTCACGAGGATGCAGCACACGAGGAAGAAATCCAGCTCAAGGACGCATCCGATCACATTCCAGATGACGAGGATTCTGACCACTACGACTTGCCAACGAGTATCCCGCTGGGAAACGACGACGCAGCAGATGTTAAAACGGGCTGTGGTCTACCAGATCTGTGCCTACCTCTACGCGATGTTCATGTTCGTGACACACAACCGGAAGCCTGTGAAAGTAGCTTAGAAGCAGGTGACGATTTCCTTCAACGTCTCATCCCAACATCTACCCCTGGTACAACACCATTCGGCTACCAACAGGCGCTAAAGAACAGGTTAATGAACGGCAAGCTCCAACCTCATGGTGAATATGATATGCACGCCTTCACGCCGACCTTCATCCACGACTGTCTCATGCTACCAGGCTCACTGACACAGCTTCTTAAGAAGGTCAAATTTGTCATGTACCCATATGAAGGACTTCAGCTGATTATCCGCAGCTAGATACGCCGGAGACAATCCGCCGAATGACTCCAGCACTACTACCTGGCTTCCACGCATACGTGCAAACGGATACACTAAAACCATGCATCATGCCCTCACTTAACACAAACGAGTACGTCCAGGGCATGGTCGTCTTCGGCCAAGGCAAGGAGAGTCGAAACCTCATTCACCAGCACTACCGTGAAAATTGTCGTCGAGTGAAAGTCGAAGTCGAAATAGACGTTTCCGCGCCCGTCTCATCTGCAGACCGCGACCACCCTCTCGAGAACTGGCGACTACAGAGACGCAAAGTGTGGGCCCATGCCTGGTTGTGGGCTAACGTAGGAAGTGGCGAAGTCAAATTCAGGAGTCAGGCAGAAAGATGGACGATTGAGGATTATCTGAGTGGTGCTTTAGAGTCGCACACAGAGCCGATTAACATCCAGGAGGTATGGCCTGATGTTGATGTTGATGTGGATGATGATGATGCAGCTGGGGAAACGAAGCTGCCAAAGCGAGAGATTGTTTATGGTGGGCGCGGGCATCTTGACTATATTGTCGAGAAGCATTTCACAGGGTGGTAGACTGGCAAGAGGCTGACCGACAGATAACTTAGACTGTTCTCGAGCACTATTGATATGAGGCGAGCTACCACGAAAGGCAGTGCCTTCGTGGAAATTCATAGACATTTCATGCACCGTATTCAACGATTATTGCTAGTCATGCTCCGTTCTCATTCCAATATCACATCTAGCGGTCCGTTTACAGCTTTGACTCGCCCTTCCATGCCTTGGGTATCCACTCCTCAACGTCGGCAAGCAACTCTGCTGGCTTCTCCATAGCCTGCAGCGAGCATATCAGTAAACGGACTGCATTCACCAAACAAGAAACTGAAGGAACCTACAGCAAAATGGCCACCTCCAGTATGCCTTGAATACGAAACGATGTTTGCTGTTGCAGCCGCCCAAGATCGTGGTGTTGGGACCAATTCTTTTGGGAAGTACGAGTACCCACAAGGTTTATTAATATACGGTAGCTGTGGTCGCTCGAAGAGTCTTCGGTAGGGATAGATACATCGCGGGAACGTATCCGTGAGCCAGTAAAGCGAAACGCTCGCCAGTATGGTATCGAGAGGCGGGTCCTCGTCAGTCCACTCGAGAAACTTCTCGCCGATCCAGGCTAGCATCGCCAACGGCGAGGAGCTGAGCACGAGACCAATGGTACCCGTGCGGGTCCCGTGTTCCAGTGCGTACGCCATCCCCTTATCACGGAACTCCTGCCCGCGTTGCAAGCACTGAGCTTCAAACTCATCGATATCCTTCGCCTTCGCTTCGTCTTGCGGTGGCGGCGAAGCGAACATATTAAGGTGCATACCCTTACACTCATCGTACTTGGTCGCCATAGTCTTGGAGACCATACTTCCCACATCACCGCCTTGGGCAAGGTAGCTGGTGAAACCGAGGCCGAGCATGAGTTTGTGCATGATTTCTGTTGTGCGGTCGAGGTGAAGATCCAGGTCTCTTGCTGGGCCGGAGGAGTATCCGTAGCCTATCAAGCTGGGAGCGATGACATGGTAGGGGAGGTCTTTGGGTGAGTATTTCTTTTTGAGGAGGGTGAAGAGTTCGAGGAACTCCATGAAGGAGCCTGGCCAGCCGTGGTAGAAACCAATGGGAATGGCGTCCGGTTTCTCGGAGAAGAGAGCCATGAAGTGGACGTCGTAGTCGCGGCCTTCGGAGTCCTGGATCGAGATCATGAACTGGGGGAACGAATTCAGGTGGTCTTCATGTTTGCGTCAGGAGAAAGTGTTGAGCCAATGGTCCTTGGCGTTGATGAGCCAGTCCTGACGCATTCCGTGCTTGCGATCGGGGCGAGACATTTTGGTCTCGCCTTGGTCTTTGCCTGTGTTCTCCCATACTGCTGGGCCGATGGGGGAGAGCTTGAGGAGGTCGAGCATGTGTTTGAGCTTCTCCTCGTCGACGTGACATTTGAAGGGCTTGGGCTGCAGCTTTGCTCCGGCTGGGATCTTGCTGTAGTCTGCCATTGTAAATTGCAGTGTTGACCTCTAGTTATTCGCTCTCGTCAGCTGCTCAGAACTTGTCGTCGTGGTTGTGTATAGTGTTGTTGGCAAAGACGAAAGGAGGCCTAAAGTCATACACCTCAAACCACGCTAGTGTCATCTGTGCTCAGCTCCTCACAACTATCCCGAAGCAGCGGCTAGTGAATAAGTCTCCGCTCGTAGGAACAATGCCGGAACAAGGGCTTACGAAAGACTGCACATATGTCTCATACGTTCCTGGTCACCGCGAGCTCAAGTCGCATTCGCCAAGCTGATTGACGGTCGGCTACATCATTGCTCACTAATGCCTCGGTACAGATGCAGAGCGATCAACGGGCAGCATCGATCGGCAATGTGTGTATGGCACTACCTGGGACCAAGTCGGCAGAATATATACCCTGCACAGGGCTGCTGATCGTAGGATCTTACAAATAGCATTTCGGCCAGAAGCGAAAACAAGGTTCAGGATCGAAGACTATACCGACTTTCCCTAGCCAGATGCGGTCCATCTATATCGAGCTATACCGCTATGCATCATATCGAGACTACCAATGCAAAACAATACGAGGAAGTCCTACCTATCCAGGCCGTCAAAAGCAACCATCCTCGAAACCAACTTAACAATCTCCGTCTCACTCATCTCCAACCCTGGCTCATCGACCTTCCTCGCCAGAACCTCATCGAGCATCATCCTCATCCTGCTCACTAGCACCCCAATTCTTGCCCATCCCTTCAATCTCAGCCATCCGTCAACCAGTAATCCCCTTCCTTGCTCATCGATCTCAATCTTGCCACCGAACATTAACAAGCTGTAAACATTGCAAGGCGTGAGGTCGCGGATGAAGATTTTGCTCGTGGCCATCTTGGCAAAGAAGGACATGAATGCGCTGTTTCCTGGGAAGCCTTGTGCATCGAAGATGGTGGAGCTTGGATGCACAAAGACCCGGCCATTCTCTTGGCTGAAGTACTTGATCGTATGGGCCTCCGGGTTAATCGCCACTGCACCCGCTGCAGAAGCTTTGTACTTTGCGTCTGGGAAGTCAATGCGTGCTAGCTGTGGCTGGAAGGCTCCGGCTATGAGCGAGCGAAGAAGCCCCTCGTTCTGATTGTTGCGGTTGTAGGTCTCGGGTGTCCTACCGTGCGGCACAAAGCCGATCTCTTGCAAAGACGAGACGTACTGCGACCTGGTAGAAGCAATATCAAACAAAGTCTGGTTGTTCAAGAAGTTGCCATCGCACCATCTTCGCAGCATCGATGTCGGCTCGCCTTGTGACCTTCTTTCTGACCACTGCTCGAAAGCTCTGAGATCGCACAAGAGATCGCCATTGCCGCCACCGAACGATGCTTTCGAAGCTTTCGCCTCGTCACGCTTCGCCTGTGGTGCCACAAAGGGACTCTTCACAGTCAGTGTAGCGGCGATGGTCAAACAAGCGTCTAAACAGCCGAATGCTGCACCGTAAACCATGAGCTTACTGCACCGAAGGTCCGCAGGTATCATAGACATGTGTCGTCCAAGTGCAGTAAGCTCATTCTGATCAAGCGCTCCCACACGACCTAGCAAGTCTAAGGCGCCACTGACCGACAGCGACTCGGGTGGCGTTAGAGCAGAGGCCAGAAAAGCTGGCACATTGGTGACGCCCATCGCCTTGACGGACAAGCACAGCTGTTCGAGCGGCACTCGCCTGATCTCAGGTTCGGGTCGCTCAGCCATTTTGCTCTCCTGGTTTTCGGTGTATAGCTTATAACACTTCCCAGCCCGCACTCGTCCAGCACGTCCGCGACGCTGTTTGCAAGCTGCCCGCGAGGCCCATGTCTCGGTCAAGCGTACCATGTTATTTGCGGGGTCAAAACTGGTCTCCTTGACACGACCTGTGTCGATCACAGCCACGATGTCGTCGATCGTGATTGAGGTTTCGGCTACATTAGTCGCTGCCACTACTTTGCGTAAACCTCGTGGAGGCTTCGCGAACACTCGCCGTTGTTCTGCACTTTGCAGTCCTGCATGAAGAGGGAGGGCATGCAAATTCTGCACACTGCCCAAAGCCCGTATAGTGCGATCAATCTCCATTGTACCAGGCAAGAAGATAAGGATTCCTCCCTCCTCGCCACCAAGTTCACGATCAATGTGCTGTACAACCTGGCAGATCATGTCGTAGTCGATATTATGACCATCATGACCAATCTGAGTATACTGCTTCCGAGGCTTCTCCTTTCGTGGTGCACTACGGTTACCAGCCATGCTCCAGTCGTCTGGTATACCGCTGTCAGGTTCAGAAGCGTCGTCGTCATCTTCTCCTATGCCAAAGCCATAGCCCAGCATATTGACAAGCTGTGTCCTGTAAATATCGTTCACTGGGTGAGTACGTCCTTCGATCTCGACCTTGCCCACAGAAGAGACGCCAGAGAAGTATCGCTCGAACACCTGAGCATCGAGCGTGGCGCTCATCAATATAAGCTTGAGATCCTTCCGCATCTTCAGCACGTTTCTTATCAGCACAAGCAAGAAATCAGTATCGAGAGAGCGCTCGTGGACCCTAAGAGAACCGTTAGCATGGATCCGAAAACGTCTCACAATTTTAACCTATCCCACTTACTCATCGATCACCACATGGCTAACATCTGCCAGACTATCGACCACATCTTGTGCACTGCCACCAGAAGTCTGCAGTCGTCTGAGCAATACACCAGTCGTTACGAAAGTGATCTTTGTAGTGCCAGCCTTCTGCTTCGACTCTCCTCGAATCGTGTATCCGACCTCATCGCCAACTCTACCACATCTCTCATCAGCAACGCGATCCGCCAGACCAATAGCAGAGATACGACGAGGTTGTGTACAGATAATATTCGCATGTTCTCCGTATCCTTGACCTATCAGATCGTCCAGGACGAATTGTACGCTCTGTGTCGATTTGCCAGAACCTGTTTCTCCTGAGATAATGGTCACCTGGTTGACGCTGACGGAGGCCACGATGCGGTCTCGCAGCTTCCACGCAGGAAGATTTTGTCGTACCTTCAGCATCTTCATCTGGTCGGCAGATTTTTGTTTGTTGGTCCAGTCTTGTTGTATACGCTTGCTGGTGGGTGTATGTGCGGACCACACGATTGGTCTTGGGTGCCTCTTCGGCCGCGACCTCGCAGTAGTAGGCTTCACGGAAGTGTCTACGGCAACCGATGTAGCGTTGGCGATCGTTCGAAGAGGGTCTGGCTGCTCAATGATTCTCGGGATTTCCTGCTCTAGCCAGTCGAGAATATTGAACAGCATTATCTCGCCTAATAGATTCTGCTGAGCGTGTACGAGTGCCTGGCGGAGTATGCTGAGCTTGATGTAGGCTGGTAGAGAAGTCTCAACAGAGACAGCCGGCAGTGATCGAGGGTAGTCCTTCGACGGTCTAGCACGCACGGTGATCATGCTTTTATTTGGCGTACGCACTTCCAGTTCTACACTGCAAATGCTCTTCCTGATACTATAGCGATCGATGAAGATGGCTTCGAGGGTGGCCTGTTCCTCTTGCCAGAGTTCGTTGCCATGGCTGTCCTCGGCATTGTCGCTGCGAAGATCCTGTGAGGCAATGCCTAGCAGTCTACTCTGCAGCCCGAAAGCTGCCTGAGCTTCACTGCCACCACAACCATCTAGGACCTCCACACACACATCTCGAGAGTAGCCAGCAGCACATAGTCGTTTTATCTTGCCCTCGCGTGCTAGATCACTAGCTCCAAGTGCGAGACCAGCCAGATAGTTCTCTGGCAGAGCCCAAGCCGGTACATCGTCCTCAGGAAGATGAATCAAAAGCCACTCAATGCACTCTTCCTGGCTCCCGCACATCTCCATGGCTTCCTCCACATGGCTAGGCCGGAACCCATACTTCGTCAACTTCTCCCTGATCTTCTTCTTGTGACCACCATCAAGCTGCACACCGTAGGGGTTCCAGACACCTTGTGACCTCACCATAAACTCAACGTCCCTCCTCGTCTTCACGCCCATCTCAACCTTCGGGGCTTTCGACCACCCCTTATCCAGCTTCCGCACTTGTCCATCCATGCTGACACTGACCTGCGCCTGCTTGACCTCCGCCTCCCTCTTTTTTTCCCTCTCCGCTCGTTCCTTCTCCTTCGTCCTCCTATTATCATCACGATGCTTGACTGCTTGGAAAGGATCTGCTTCATATAGATACCCGTTGCCTTGTGCCACTGCCTCCTTTTTCAACTGCTCGAAATCACCTTTCCAGAGGTCCCGATACTGCGGCGGAAGCGCCATGGCCATGTTCTTCATGTTACAGACTCTGAACAGGGCATAGGTCGCTGCGAAGTGCCTAGCCTCTACTGCACTAGGCTGGGCTCCCTTCTCCTCCATGTATGGTCTTGGCGGCATAATCGGCGGCAGCACAGTCACCTCTTGCGTCTTAGGGTCTTTCCGTCGCAGAGTCACAGCTCCCGTGAAGCCGTCGGGAGTCTGTCGTACGCTGTAATCTGGCTTCTGCCAAGTTGCCTGCTTCTGTACGTGTTCATTGAACAAGGTCTGGGGCAGCTTGCCAGTCCACGAAGCTCCAGCGATGAGTGTGCGAGTATCCAATCGTCTCTTCTCTGCTTCTGCCACTACCGGTGGCGTAGCAGTGCCATCGGTCTTCGCAGTCTTGCCCTTGCCATTCGTTGGTGGCGGCAATTCAGGCTCCGCCGGCGCGGGCTTCTTGCTCTTCTTCTGTGCTTTGGGTGCTGGCATGGTGAGAGCAGTGTCGCTAGCATGTCAGTGGGTGGCGGGCGTGGAGAAGAGGGAAGCAGCTATGGAAGAGCTGCTGGTCAAAGAAGAGTGACTGGAACTTTTTCTCCACCTACATTCACCATGGGCTGGCGCAAAGTATGACAAAGGCAGACAGCGCTGGATTGCAACCTGCACCGGCCAGTAACGGTGTCAAGTTCGGGGTCAGTCCTGCCGTGTGCAGAGCAGGAATGGGCTCAATGAGTAATTGTTGCATTCATGTTTATCAAGTCGTGATGGCACGTGAAGAGGGGGATAACGTGGGGGCGAAAATTTATTGTGCTGGTAGAAGCTGAGGTGGCTTAGAGGCAAATGAGGAACATGTGCTTCATAGTTCTACGACCTCGATAGTTCTCTTGGAAACATGTCACTCCCTCTCTGCCATTCCTGTAGCAGTACACTCGTCTCTACCCGCAGATCCTCACAAATAGCATCGACCTTGATATCTGCCCTATCCTGCCCAAACGGATCCTCCACCTGAGCCCCGATGGCTTCTATACCATATAACGTGAACGCAATGAACGACGTAAGCATGATCGACCACCACCCCATCTCTCCAACCAACGCAAAAGGTACTACACAACAGAACAGTGCCAAGACTTGCCGCATATGGATCAAGTACGCCACCGGTAAGGGCGTGAGATGGATGGTCTCTAGACTTCCATAAGCTGAGACGAGGGCGTTGAGTTGGACAGTAAGTTGACTAGCCTGTGGTGCGTGAAACCAGCCTCTGTCGTGTCCTCGTTTAATGTAGGCTTCGACTTGTATGCTAAGCTGGAGTAGAAGACCGAGACCTTGGTCTTCGAAACCCCGAGTACCAGCAGGTAGGAGCTCGCTATATTCTGGTTTTGCCATGGAGTGGCTTTCGCGGCGGCGGCGCACGACTTCGGAGTTGGGCATCAGGAGGGGGAGATTAGTGGAGCCCCATTCTGCTCGAAGGTGGTGTTTGGTAGCGTACATCATGGCCAATAGGATGCGGACTGTGCGTTCTGTGTCGGCTCTTTCGGCTTCTGTTAATGGTGGACCATTGGCTTTGTAAGAGCAAGTGAAGAACGTCCTCGACAAGTTGCGGATGCAGGTTTCGATGGCCGTCAGATGCTGGGTGCCCTGCCAGAATCTCTCGTACGATGTTGAATTTCGAAACACCAGTAAGAGACCTACGACGATTGATAGGCTGGGGATCACAGTGCTGGGGATGCCCAGGTGGCCGTCCTTGAGCATGTCGATGTAACAGATGAGTACTGCAAAGAGTGCATGTAAGAGGACAGGTATTGCTATGTCAATGTGTATAGCTCCCTTGACAAATCGTAGGACTAGCGGCCAGCGTCGAGGCTTCTTCCTCGTCGAATTGTACAAGGGAAATGTTGGCGACCGCATGTGATGTCTGGCAGTTGGCATCGCGGTATATCAGCCGTTGTAGACCTGGTTCTCGGTGTCCTGATCGACAAGACGGAGACGACAGTCCGGTGAATGCGAGTCGGCAGTAGCGTTACAGCTTTTGTTGCAACTGTTGTCGCAATATAGCAATGTTTTGGTCGGCGGAGGGGTTCGCTTCGAAGTCGGCTTGAGTGCCGCAATACTGAACTCTAATTGGACAGGACAGCGGCTGCAGCCGCTGGAAAGGATGTTTGTGCACGTGACTGTTGTTCCGAGCAGTGTTCAGAGTGGTGTGTCAACGCCGGCGATGACTTCTTCGATTACGTCCTCTACCGTGATGCCTCTCAGCACCTCACGTATAGCATCCGGATCGCTTCCATACCGTAAGGTTCGCTCTGTCTCTGCCGTGGCCAAGATCAATCTATGAGGATACACTTTTTTCGCAGCCAACGTGACGAGTGATGGTGGTACGTAGTCCAGTCCATGTAGAGGTGCAAGGGCTTTAGCTACTGCACGCAGGTGTCGTGTTGCGGCTGCGGTGACTCCCCCATTGACATAACGACTTTGGCGCAAGAAGATGACGATGTTGTGAAGATATGCGTCCACTTCTCCGGTCAAACGAACGTTGACGGTCTGCTCTTGTAGAGTGCGCAGCTCGCCACGTGTGAAACTTGGCAGTGAGTAAACATCCTCTCGGCTCTCAAGATGCGGAAGTCCATCCTCTGCTCCATGGAAGTGAGACATGCCGAACATGTCATTGAGGTGATGGCTCAAACGAGCTCCTCGCTTGGATGCGACTACGATCAGCAGGAAGTCTCGCGGTGCGCTGTGCATGGCCGTTCTAGTGAAGATGCGTTTGGTGCGCAGCAGCTCCAGAGTCTGAACCTGGACGCTTTCACTTGCCACGTCGAGGTGCATTGCAATGACTACATCTGCAATTCGTCGATCGTCCAATGCGTTTGTGAGACTGCTGAACTTCCCAGGATTGGCACTTGGTCGTATATTCTGCCGGGGCGGAGATCCAGCATGGTTGTTGGCCTTGTCTTGTCCTTCCTCGGCGTCCTCGAAAGTGTCGATAGACTCGACCAAGATGGCTTCACTAAATTCGTCGACAGTAGTCTTTCGTGAGCAATTTATAATGGCAGTCTGCAGGCCAAAAGTCTCGCGGCAAGTCAAGACCAGCTCGTTGCGTAGATCTTTGCCCAAGTGTGAGGGCGACGAGCAGATGCAATGCTGTCCAGAGGCAAGTGAGACCAGTACGGCGAGATCAAGGTCACTGAGTTGCTGGAGGCGGCCATCGACTATACTGGCCATGGCAGTTGACAACCAACACTCTCGGTCGCGCACCTTTCAGAGTAAGCAGAGGATTAAATGCATGTTTCACGAGCAATTCGGCATCCGATGCTGGAGGTCATCATCTTTAAAGTGTTTCTGCACGTGCGACCTAACCCTAACCCTAACGGATCAATGCCGCACGACTTCACAAGCGATAGTAGCTGCTCCTCGTTGCTCTCGTGCACACATATCATGCACCTACCATGATACACAGGCGGCTGCTGCTATGTCGAAACCACGAGCCGACTGGGAGCAGGTCGGCGATCGGTTCTATCGAAAGACACAGCTGTACACCTCCGTCTTCGACCCCGATCTCGAGCTCGAGAACCACGTCGTCACTGGAGCTCCATATAGCGGCGCTGTAGGTACGCACGTCTTCATGCAATGTACGAGCGGTACTGACCGGCTTAGCTGTCTATCGGGATGAGTCAAAGATCTTCTCTCATCGGGGCGCGCAAACGACGAAGCCGACCATTGACATATACAGTTGTGCTGGGAAGCTAATACGGCAGATCGCATGGGACAGAGGGACTATAAAGGCTGTCGGCTGGTCAGAAGATGAGAGACTACTGGTCGTGACCGATGACGGCAACGTGAGGAGCTATGCAGATCTACAAGGCGAGTTCACTCCGTTCAGCTTGGGTCAGGGCGCAGAGGAACGTGGTGTACAAGCTTGCAAGTTCTGGTCTACTGGTTTTGCGGCTCTCCTGGGCGACAATAGCATCGTTGCTGTCACGCGATATGACGAACCGAGACCACAGCTGCTGGCATCAGCACCGCATGGAGAAATTGTTGCCTGGTCTGTCCTACCGCCAGAGTACACATCTTCACGCTCGGTAGAAGTCCTGCTGGCGATCGATAAGACTGTGTATGTTGTGGATGCGTCAGAGTGCGAAGATCGCGGTCTCGAAGCGGGACCGTTCAGACACATCGGCATCTCACCGAACGGCAAGTTCATAGCGCTATATACAGATGACAGCAAAGTCTGGGTCATCAGCAGCGACTTCCAGGCGCGTCTCAGCGAGTACGACTCAAAAGTTAAAACACCACCCAAAGATCTGCAGTGGTGTGGAAATAATGCAGTGGTATTGGCTTGGGAGGATGAATTGCATCTAATCGGACCCAACGGCGCTGCTTCAAAATCCTACTACGACTCCTTCATGCACCTACTGCCTGACATAGATGGCATTCGAGTACTGACGAACGACGTGTGCGAGTTTCTGCAAAAGGTCCCGGATCCCACTGAGGAGGTCTTTCGTCTCGGCTCAACATCTCCTTCGTCTGTGTTGTTGGATGCCCTAGATCATCTGGAGCGGAAGTCGCCAAAAGCAGATGACAACATTCAACTTATCCGCACGAGTCTCGACGAGGCCGTCGATACCTGTGTTCGAGCTGCCGGGCAAGAGTACAGCATACACTGGCAGAAGCAGTTGCTCAAAGCTGCTTCTTTTGGCAAATCAGTACTCGACTTGTACAACAGTGACGACTTCGTCGATATGACGGAGGCGCTGCGAGTTTTGAACGCTGTGCGCTTCTACGAAGTCGGCATACCCGTTTCGTACGAACAATATATTCGCTTGACTCCGGAGAGGCTGGTGCAGCGCCTGGTGAACAGGCACGAATACTTGCTTGCACTGAAAGTTTCCGAGTATTTGAACTTGCCTGTAGACAGGATATATGTCCACTGGGCAGGGCAGAAAGTACGATCAACAAGCACGAACGAGGACGGTATCTGCGACGAGATTGTGCGAAAGCTCAACGGCAAACGTGGCATTTCCTTCGAAGAAGTGGCACGCGCAGCATACGACGAAGGTAGAAGGGACCTTGCCATCGAACTTCTTGAGCACGAACCACGAGCGGGCAAGCAGGTACCGCTGCTGCTCAGTGTTGGCGAGGAGACAATAGCACTGGACAAGGCCATCGAGAGCGGCGACACGGATCTGGTGTTTTACGTACTACTCACCCTCAAGAAGAAGATTCCACTGTCCAACTTTTTCCGGACGATCAATAGCCGATCAGTTGCTACAGCCATCGTAGAGTCATCAGCTATTGATCAGGACCAGGAGCTTCTGAAGGATCTGTACTACCAAGATGACCGCCGTGGTGATGGCTCGAATCTACTCGTTACAGAAGCACTCTCAGCATCAGACCTTGGCCCTGCCACAGACAAATTGAAGATGGCTGCGAAGCTACTACGTGACAGCAAGGAGTACGCAACGCAAGTCACTGCTCTCGAGGAGGCGCAGAAGTTACTGCGCTTCCAAGAAGCCTTTGAGAAGGATCTCAACGATCGCTTCATTGGTCTGAGCGTTAACCAGACCATGAGCAAGCTGATTGACAAGGGTCATATGAAGCGAGCGGCGAAGGTACAGACGGAGTTCAAAGTCAATGACAAGGTCTACTGGTGGACGAAGTTACGAGCACTTGTCCGTAAGCGGGATCTGAGAGAGCTGGAGGAAATGAGCAAGATCAGGAAGAGTCCCATCGGGTGGGAGGTGAGTCCGATCACACCTCAGCAACATGCAGGATGCCTTGTACTGACCAATGCTGCAGCCGTTCTACAACGAGATACTCGGCGCTGGCAAGACGGAACTTGCGGCCCTTTTCATCCCAAAGTGCACGACTTTGACAATGGCGGAGAGAATCGAGATGTGGATGAAGTGTGGTAAGGTTGCTAAAGCTGGCGAGGAGGCTCTCAAGGCGAAGGATAGAGGTGCGCTGGAGGACTTGAGGAAGCAGGCGAGTGGGAACGCTATGCTCGATATTGATCGCATGATCAGTCAGTTGCAGAAAGGGCGTTGAAGGATATCGCCGCACAGCCATGTTGTCTGCTGAGTCTCCTCCAGAACAACGTACTGTTCACAATATGCATGCTTGAGACCGTGCCAACGCCATCACAGGCTATCAAAGCGCTCTTTTCAGCCTTCGGCTGCTATCTGCGGTTCATTTACCCCATGCTCCCCCGCTTCCATGCCTGATCGTCAGGTACCGCGAGAGCATCCTAGAGATATTGCCTACACGGACAAGCTCGTCAACTGCCATGCCACGAGTACCGATATTGTTAGCCGTGTAATGCTGACCGACTATGAGCTCGGCAATGCTGGCTGACGCACTTCCATGTCACGCAGCAACAAGGATAAGTTCGTGTCAAGGTCTCGCATTTCTCTGTGGGACGTGAACAAGACTACCCATCAATAGATTGCTCTGGAATACGAGAGACAATGCGATTCTCGGTGCTGACATTTCTTTCCTTCGCGGCTCTTGGACTCGCCCAAAGCCCACCACATGGATATGGAGGTGGTGACGAGCCTGTGGCACCGGGCTTGACGTTTCTTTACCGATCTTACGCTGTTTGTGGTAATGGACTATACAATACTGAAGGTCCCAGAGGTATCCGCACAGCCATCCCTATTCTTGGCGGCAATGTTACCGGACCGCGTATCAAAGGCCAATTTCGGGATCTGGGAGCTGATTGGGGTGTCACCGATGTGCAGACAGGCAAGTAGCAGCCGTTCTAAGGGAGGCACAATGCTAACATCCTGTGATAGGCATCTTCAGTGCTGATACGAGGTACAATCTGCTCACCGACGATGGCGCCAATATCTTCTTGCAGACCAGCGGTCCCGCACAACCCAGCGGCGACCTGCACCTGAGGATTGTGTTCGAGACTGGTGACAAGAAGTACTACTGGTTGAACAATGTCATTGCCGTGGGCGTGCTCCATGAAGTAGCATCAAATGCGACGACGTTCACGCTCCGCATCGATGCTTGGCATGTAAGTCGACACGAGCAGGCTGGCCTTCCTGACGGCGCGTTGCTGACTCGTTGCTTGTTTGCCAAGATGACATCCGAGTGGAATTCGACGACTTTTATCAACGGTACAACGTACGCATGATACTTCGAACGTGACAGAATGCGAGGACCTAGCCGTTGTCGACGGCTTAGACCGTGACCTGTGCGTCAAATGCGAGGAAACATGGCGAAGGAATCAGCTTGGAAACACGGGTGGTCGAACGATCTGTATTGATGAAGCAGCTTAAAGCAATCACAATCTCTGTTATAAGCCCAGGTAGCTGGAATGATGTTGATCTAGTACCATATCCAGCGATGTACATCGGCATGGAGACGTCTAGTGTTGATCGTTTGAACTAGTGTGATCATGTTTGTGGCCATGTCTAGTCCACGGCGTCTTTTCTGTGGCCTTAACATCAAGTTAACATGGTTACGACGCCACACACCACGCAGCCTACGTAATAGTATTGAAGTTACAAGGGGTGATGTCCCAGAACGGTGGGACTCGCGAGACATCGTCCGACCGTTCGACTTTCGACGTGATCTCGAAGTCTACGTTTCCTTCTAACACGCTGTAAAAATTATATTTATACTTATTAATCCAGACAGAGAGATGTGCTTAGTCTAGAGGAATGTAATAAGATCTATCTTGTCCTTATAGTGTCCCTACAGCCTACGTTATAAGCCAAATGGTCGAAATCTCGTCGAGATCTCTTCGAAGTCCTGCCCTTCTTACATCCTACCCCGTATAACGTTAAGAACAATGTGGTTCCGTCGACGCTCAAATTCACCGGCGACGGAACGGTGAAGCACAGACGATCGATCTGCATCGGCGGATCTGGGAGCTCAATTGTCCCGGGCTCCGAAGCTCTTGCATCATGACATTGCAACTCATCATCGCCCACGCGACTCCGTCGCGTCAATGATGTTGCGATAAAAGTAGGTCTCTGCTAACTGTGTCCTGCTCTTCGTGACCGTCAAATCCCTCATCGGATCCGTCATCAACAACACAACCTCAAAGCAGACTCCCAAGATGGGCGTCTCACTCTCCACCGCGCGTTACCTTGCGCCAGCGTCCTTCGCCTACGACTTCGCAGCCCAGCAATATGGCCTCTGGTCCAGCCCTAATATGCAAGATATCCACGACAAGAACCTCTCGTTCTTCAGCCCCAATCCATACTTCATCGGCGCCTTCTTCTTCCCACAGCAGTTCTTCCAGCTCGCATGGCTCTACAGACTCTGGAAGCTCGATGAGCGCAACCCACAAGAACAAAAGGAGCTGGAGACGATCAGGAAGTTCGTGCCGTACTATGCTCTCGGAAATGTCTGCATTGGCACCTGGATGTTCTTCTGGAACTCGAACAGGCTGGATATCAGCAACATATTCGTGATCGTCAACACGACTACGCAGTTGTGGTATTGCTTCACTCAGCTCGAGCCGATGAACACGCGCAGTTGGAGCTCGATTCTTACCCATGTGGTCGCTAAGACCTTCGCTGGCATTGGTGTGCTCGATCTGCTCCACAATACCAGCGCTGCCTACTTTGTTGGCGAGACCCCGAGCACGCTCGTCAAGGCAGCTACAGCTGTTGGATTCTTGGGTCTCGGGGCTTGTAGTGATTGGATTCTGGGAGGCTGCCTAGTGTACAACCTTGTTGGCCTTTCAGTTGGTCAGGCGGCATATGGCGACAAGAGCTGGAGCACGATGTTGGGTGCATACGCTGTCGGTACTGCGGCAGTAGTTGGCCTGAGGAACTACATGCGGTAGGTCCGTACCATGATGCCACATGGGTTCGCATGATGGGTTCTGTGGCTGATCGTGCATAGCCCACCTTATGTGACGAAGAGTGGCGAAGGATATGCACAAGCTGCTCAGGATGAGGTAGATGATCGTGTGTGAGCGTTGATCAACTTCAAGCTTGGCTTTATGTAGCAGGTGATGGTATGGTGTACAATATCTCTTTTCATGAACTTCTACTCATATATCTACACAGTCAGATGGACACTGTCATCAGTCGCTGAGCAAAGCGACGACCTGTGTCTAGATGTCGGACGTGAGCGTTCTACTCTGGAACGGTCTTGGTTGGCACGCGCTCCACAGACACAGCTCGTGCAGCTTCGACCTCGTTGGAGTTTCTTCCGCTTGTGTCTGCGCTCATGGGAAGCTTGCTACCATCCCATTTCGCAGATGTGATGGGATTGACACCGAGCACATACATGGTATCGATCTCTTCAAGAGACCTGTCCTTCGATTCAATCACGCAGAAGAAGACAATAGCAATCAGAGCGGCGCAGCATCCGGCGAAGACAAGGCCGTAGAGGTAGTCGATAGCGCCTGTGATGAAGCGGGTGAAGAACGACATCACTACATCCACGTTAGCATCTGCCACGACACTTGCGAACCGAATGACACTTACAGAAGTTCCAGAGCCAATTGGAGGATGTAGCAAGAGCCATGCAAGGCGCTCTGTATCTAGCGGGATACAACTCCGCGACCACAGCCCAGACGAGCGGTCCCCATGTCGTGGCGAAGGCGACGATAAAGAGACAAGAGAAGACGATAAGGATGTTGCCGGCCGTAGGTGTGTTCATTGGGTTTGTCTGGTCCAAAACGAAGTGTCCGACAAAAGCGAAGACCATAAAGCACATGAACATCCAGGCGGCTCCAGCCATCAGTGCGCTTCGTCGACCACACTTCTGGACGACGTAGAGACCACCGAACGTGCAGCCAACATTGACTGATCCTAAGATGATTTGTGTGACGTATGAGTCCTTGAGACCAGTGGCGGAGAAGACAGTTGTGCCTGATGAAGTGAGGTCAGCAACGAGATTAACATGAACTCGCTTTAGTCTGCAACGCACCGTAGTAGAAGAAGAAGTTAGCGCCAGTGAGCTGTTGGCCGGCCTGAAGAGTAATGCCTAGGATCGTGCGGTAGACTTGAAGCTTTGTCAGTAAATGTTGGCGAAGAATGACCAGTGGTGAGCTCTAATTACTTACATATGCGCGGGCCCGTGAAGATCTCGTGCCAAGCTGTTTGGGCACCGGCCTTTTCTTCGTTCAGCTTGACACGGATTTCAGAGATCTGGTTGCTGACCACAGGCGCCTCAGGAGACAGTCCGGCGAGCTTGGCAATCGTATTGCGAGCCTCCTCTTCACGACCCATTCTGTATGCGAAACGTGGAGATTCTGGTAGAAGCAGGATTCCTGCGCCAAGAATGAGTGCCCAAAGGAAGGAGAGGCCGTTCGGTATCCTCCAGGATGCACTGGAACTCATCTCATGAGTCCCGTAATTCACCATTTCGGCCGTCCAGATGCCCAGAGTGATGAAGAGCTGGTATGAAGCTACCAGTACACCACGAATGATGGCCGGGGACGATTCAGATTGGTACATTGGCACCGTCACTGAAAGAGCACCTATACCCAGTCCATTGACCAGTCGACCGATCGCGAACTGATACCAAGCATGCGATGAAGAAATCTCGATGATTGTGCCAATGCAGCAAAACAGTGCGGAGACCGAGATGGCTAGTCGACGACCCAGCGAATCTGCCATCTTGCCCGCGATGAGCGAGCCGAACAGTGCGCCGATGCAGAGCAAGCCGACGATAGCGCCTTGACGGGCGGCAGAGAATAGAAAGCTGCCATCGGCTTGTCGTTCACCGAATCGAGAGGCGAAGTCTTCCATTGCGAAGAAGCCAGAGATCTGTCCGGAAACGTAGCCGAACATGAAGCCTCCAATCGAAGCAACGAGGCCAAGGTAGACGGCCATGAAGGTAACTCTTTGCTCTGTGTCGGCTGAAGGCCTCTTCTCCAGTTCGGCGGCATTCTGAGCTTCACGCTCTCGACGCTTGAGGAACGGCATATTGATTGATAGGCGACTGAGGAAAGGAGAGGGATCACAACGGGACGAGATGTGTTGTAAGGAAGGGTAGAGGGATGAGAGCTCTCTTAAGGAATCGAAAGCACGGACACATCGACATGCAGAACTGTTTGGGATATGGAGCTCAAAATACCGGAGGCCCATGGCCAGCCCACATTGATCATGCCGGGTTGCCGTTGGCAGATGCCTCGAAGGCAGTATTGTTGCGGACAGCATACTCCGTGTACACGAGACTCGAGTGGGCTCGAGCTCGAGTCACGTCTGCCATACTCGACTAGTGGCGATGTTATGGGTCGGTCGTGTCAAAAGTTGTGGAACTTCGGTATGAAACTCGGTGTCGTAGTCGATCACGATTAGATATGCTGTGATCTCATCAAGGTCTGCTGCAGTGTACGTCTGGACTCGGTAGATCAGATAGTGTCATTCGTTCGATCGCAGCCATACAGCTGCTGTCTGTCTCGTCGGAGTCACCGTCATGGCCTGGATGTATTTAGTGATCGGTACAGGTTGGAACATATAGAGCATGCTGACGTAAGGAGAGCGCCTGAGCTGCCAAGCTGCCAAGCTGCAAGGTTCTGCACAAATGCTTGGTGGTAAGCACTGATGTTGAGACCTCAAGTAGTAACTTCGGAGGTTGTCTGCTAAAACTGGGTCCCGGCCGGTCCCTAGCGTCCGAATGAGCCGTCATCACTGCAGTCCGGACAGCTTAATGATCAAGGTCAGTCTGAACGTTGCTTCTCCAAGCAGTATGATGTTTACCAGGCGTTGAGATTCGCCGCTGGATGAATTTAACAGCGGAGAGCAATGATGATGCCGTCTTGTCTTCACACGAGGTGTTGAATGACGCACGTCGATCGGCAGAACTCAAACAGGTTCGCCGCCGGTGTACGACCGACACCACTTCGTGCAGTTCCACCGAGTGAAGTCCATGGTTCCGATGACAGAGGGATTCCGGTCGAACACAGGACCAAGCTCGACGGATGATGATCCACTCCCATCCTTGGCTGCAACGAAACCTGCATCGCCACAACGCTAGAAGATGTTTAGAATACACCAAGACAAAGCTCGAGCGAAGTAAATCTTTTGCTTCTTGAGCTTATGCCAAGGCGGCAGAGCCAGGGCCTTGCATAAGTACACGTGACCCAATTCAGATTGCACTACAATGTTTGCCTCGCAGCGTCACAGGTACACAGCAGATCGTAGCACAATTTATGAAGACTCAAAATGCAGAGACCGATCTCAAGTCATGTCAAGTCCTTGTCAGCTTCTTTTAACTCGACTATGTATATTACACTATGCTGCCTGTCCAGGGGTCTGTTAATGGTTTCCCAAGACTGATCCCTTAGATTGTTGATGATTGTCGCGCTTGTTGGCACAATGCAAGTCTTTCTGCACCTCCTCCAATGTGTAGCATACATAGCTTGCTTCCTTCTGCGTCCTTGCCGCACTTCATATCTAAGCAGCCCGGCTCTTTGGGCGGCCACTGCCAACTCTCTTCGCTGCAGGTCTCTGTAAGTGGCCTGCAGGGATCCAGGACTCGTCGTAACCACTTGTCTTCGTCACAGCTGGCCCATCAGCACCAACGACTGAGGCCTGGTCAGCGGGTTCAACAGGTTTGCTACCCCCGGAGCTCCTCTTCGCACGCTCTCCGCCCTTGCCACCGCGCCTCTTCTGTGGGAACAGGGTGGTAATCCAGGTGGTGTAGATGAAGTAGCAGAGACCGCCGAAGCCTGCGAGGAGGAAAAGGTACAGGAAGATGCTGCGACAAGATCAGTATGCGTGCCATTACGGATGGACACTGTACGCCCTAACTTACATTTGAGGGTCGAAGAAGCTCATCGGAGCCTCGACCACGCTCACGGTCTCGTTGTATGCCAGCTTCGTGAAGACTGCGCCCTCCTGATTCTGCAAGACAGTGGCGATGCTCAAACGCAGATCCTGAGGGTGCATCTCCGTAGCAAAAGCGTAGGTAAGAGTCTCGCTCTCGCCAGCAGGAATCTGTATCGCATATTTCTGTGCCGTCAGGTTCCTGAGCACGACTGGAGGGTCTGGAGCGCCAGGAGTGTCGATCGGCGTTGTGAGGGAGCCACCGACGATCAGGACGGAGATGGGTACAGGTTCATTGTTTGAAACATCCAATAGTGCTTTCGTAGCACGACCATTGACAAGCTTGACCCCAAAGATCTCGGATTCTGGGAAGGTGGTCTTGATCTCGACGGCGAGGTTTGGAGTGCTGCCGACGGTATCTTCCTGTGTGATCTCATCCTGAAGCTCTTCCACCGCCTCGACCTTGTACTGTAGTTAGTATATGTAAGAGATCGTTTGCATGTGATCGTTTCGTCGTACCTGAACGCCTTCAGGAACTTGGGCAACAGCACTTAGTGCTCGTAATGCCACAAGGGCGAGCGAAGTGAGCTTCAACGATACCATGGCTGTAGCAAAAAAGACCCAATGGGGTTTTCAAGAGAATGTTGATGCCAGGGTGGTTGTACAGGTGTTCGAATCTCCAAAAAGTGCGGAGCACCAGCATTCGGCAGCGGCCGCTCGCCATCCACGTCCCGGCTCACGCGGTGGATTTCTTATCCCTACACTAGGTACACTTCGACAACAGACATCCACATCGCACAGTAAAACATCAGTTCGGGCTGAGCATGAAAGACCTGACCCGAAGCCAGCAAAAGGTGCCCGATGCGATATGGAATCATCAGAAGAATGTCCATAAGACGCGACCTGCGAGCTGATTAATCAGTGCAAGGCATCATGCAGCTGCGCTCGATTCGGATGCGGCGTAACATGACTTCCATCAGCATACTTTGGCGATGTTTTGCAGGCTTTCGTATAAGTGTTCACCATCCCCTTGCTCGAAGTTTCAGTCTCCCCACCACAAGATCTCCTACGCTCGTGTCGTCTCTTTCATCACATCACATACGTCCCGCAGCCTCAGCATCATGGCAAACCAAAGTGGCCAGAAGAAGCCAATACTCATATCAGGAGCGGGTCTTGCTTCCCTACTCTTAGCACAAGCACTACGACAAACCAGTCTTCCATTTGTGATTTACGAGCGCGATGCATCACTCTCATTCCGTGCCCAGGGCTATCGTCTCAGATTGTCGACTCTAGGTCTGGACGCAATTGAATCTGTGCTTAGCCCAGAGGACTGGAAATTGTTCTGGGACACCTGCGGCAAGACAGGTGGAAGCGGCTTCGCTGCTCTGAACGCCGTCACTGGTGAGGACATTACACAACCCAAGTCCGATGCACCGCCTCAGAAAATGGTTGAGCAAGAACGAAAGGGAGGACCACTCGATCTTGGATCTCGTGATGGTAAGATCGTTGGCATTGCTCGTGGCGAAATGCGCAGCCTGTTCCTGCGAGGCATTGAAGACCGTGTCCGATGGTCTCACAACGTCACTGGATATGAAACCACAGAGACTGGCGTCAAAGTAATCTTCGCCGATGGCTCCAAGTCAGAAGAGGGCGAGATGCTGATCGGTGGCGAGGGTATCTACTCGAAAGTCGCAAAGCAAGTCTCTGGTGGCAAACTCAAGACATACGACACAGGTGCACGAGGTATTCACGGCCAGGCACCTACCACATCCTTCAAGGAGCTCGGCGAAGGTGTCTGGCGGGCCGTAGACGAGAGCAGAGGAGAGGGCAACAAAGTCTTCATGATCACGAACGTCCGACCAAACGACATGGACGATCCGAATGTGAACTTCGGCTGGACCATGGGCGCCCAGCCAGGCGTAATTCAGCCACCGAGCGGTGATTATGCCATCATCGGTAAGCCAGCGGCGGATATGGCAAAGGAGCTGTCGAAAGACTGGCATCCACGACTCATGCCACTATTCAATAATATGTTGGAGACAGAAGCCGCTTTCTGGAAGATCACATGCTCAACTCCATGGGGCGTTCCCGAATGGCCGAACGATCCTAGAGTGACTGTCATAGGCGATGCCGCTCACAGCATGACGCCTGCGGGTGGCATTGGGGCGAATACTGCTCTCCGCGACTCTGCCCTGCTTGGGAAGTTGATCGCCGAGGCCGGAGGCTTCGCCGAAGGGATTACGGCTGCGTATGAGAAGGAAATGCGTGTCTATGGCAGCGAGGCAGTGGCTCAAAGCTATGGGATGGCGACGGGACAGTTTGGTGTCAAGATCACCGAGGACTCGGCAACAGTGTAGCAGGACTTTCAAGACTCCTGTTAAACACTAATGTCATATTGATGTAATGTAAGCTGATAGCGCTTTTGTGGAACGATGCCGAGCAAACTACAACCTCACCTAACCTCTCATCGCAATCTCATAGTGCTTTGCGTTGTGATCATGTTTTAGGGACTATCTGAACGAGCCGGTCTGATATTAGTAGTTCGAACGTACAGTGATGGAGGCGTGATACGTAGCCTTGTTAAAGTTGAATGATATAACTATGGATGGATCTACATATGAATACACCATGGCCGTTTCCCGTGTGTAGCATGAAACCCGTTTCGTAAGTGTCAATCATACATCTGATCGTCGTGTGAATAGAAGTCCGAGTAATGAATAAGGAAAGGTGGGGGCGTAGGGCGTGAAGAATAGCGAGTTCCAGTGTGGACTAGTGGCCTGCAAGGCGGCGGCGTCTACACAAGCATTCATCATGTCGAACATGAGAATGTGTGGCTCGTTCGGAGTGTCGTTAGCATTTGGAGCGCACGGCATCGTGGTCTTCGAAGCGAATCGTAGTTCCTACGCCATCATGACAAGATCTGTCGCCTACGGATCATCCTCGTCAGCCAAAGAGTGCAGCGAAAATGAGAACCCTTCCCGATGCAACTCACCTCCTCAACAGGCTCTCGATCGTGGTATCGTTCAAACTAGCATCGTCAGGTAATTCATCAAGCACAGGCACCAATCCAGCAAATTTGTCGCCGCTTCGGTAGGCTAGTAATGCTGGAATGCCCGCTGGTTCCATTTCAGCATCAAGGTAGTGCATCTTTACGAAGCGAGTCTCGAGATGTCGTCGTGCTAACTGTCGTACACACTCTTCGATTGCACAACTGACTTCGGACTAGAAGAACTTGTTAGCAGAATCTCACCTCTTTTGGCGGTCCAGATGTTGTCAAACATACGTATTCATCGTAGATATACACAATCACCACGGTATCCGCAGGCGACTTATCCACCGCATCTAGATACCCTTCCCCATCTACCGGCGTCAAACTGCCATATATCCGTCGACTAGGCGTACGGTTGTGCATACGAGGCTGATTTCCACCTCGATGTTGTAGCTCCCTCAATCTGCTGTTCCGCCACTGTGCCATGAAGTCATCATCAAACTCGTCTTCTTGTTCTTCCTCAGGATCCCGAGCAGATTCCGCCGCCGCTGCTGCTGCTGCTGCTGCTGCCGTCTTCTCCGCCTGTGCCTGGTCTTCCAGTGACAGACCGTTCTGTACGTGCGATGCTAGTGTCGACGAGCTGCGGACAGAGACTCTATGCTGTCTGCGTGAGTCGCGAAAGTGTTGAGCGTCCGAGATGACTCCTTTTGGGCCGGTGTTGGCGTTGTAGCGGGTGAGGGGGATGGTGCTACGGGCCTGGCTCATGCTGGGTCGGGGCTCGTCATCATCGGAGTCTGCGTGAGAAGCTGGAGGTGTGGCATCGTCGTCGTCGTCGGAGAGGTTGAGGAATGATCGAGCATCTTCGTTGTCGTCCTCTGGGTGTCGGCTTCTGCTCTCCTTATTCCTCATCAACTCGTTGAATTCTTCCTGTGCGGTGGCCATGCTGAGCTGGGGGTGAAGTGGTCGTGCGCAAGCTGATGCCGATCAAACGATGTGCGAGGAGGAGTGGTCCTATATCGCCAGATCTATTCTTGGTCGCCAGTGACTGACTAGGTAAGGTAGATCCTCGAAGTCAGGATCCTAGATAGGTACCTCCCCCCAAGCAATTCGGTAGCGAACACAATCTCACTATAGGCAGAGGACATACAAACACCCAGGCCCTCCTTGGTAGACCACTGAGTCGCAGTCCCGTACTTGACTGAAACACTCGGCCGCAAAACCTTTCAACTTTCACTCGACTCGCATCTCCCGAGACAAGAAGAGTCGAACACCGCCTCGGTCTCGGTAATCGTAAGCATAGATTAGCCACATGGCCGGCCACAACCTCATCGCTCATCGTGAAACATCGCGTGAGTACCTGCAGTAGACAGCATGCACTCCCAGGGGTTACCTCACCTGAAAGCGAGCGAGCCATCAAGATGCAATTTGGGCAGAGCCCCGCCATGCATCGCGTGGTCGAAGCAAAACTCCAGCCCTGCAGCAGCGGCCGCCCGAGCCATCCGAATGCACGGGCAGGTGTAACAGTGAAGGTTTGGTTGGATGCTGTACTACCATAGCTGCGTAGCACGAGTGATCAGATATCAAGGGAAGGATTCTACGCTCTCAACATCGACATGCACCCTACCAACATTTTCCATCAATAATGACAGCCAGTGACGGTATGCACGAGCTGAGGAAAGATGACGCTTTTGGCACCAATATAAGGACCGCTGTTCGTGCATATGCACACTGCAAGGGGCAATAATGTCAATGCAAGCCGCGCATGAACTACAAACGGCTCTGCTAGACGGAGCAAACGAAATCTGTCGGTGAAGGAACGGTGACAGCCGCATGATGATGTAGACAAGACGCTTGGGATAACAACAGTATTTGGGGGGGGACCACAAGAAAAAGGGAGCCAATCGCTACTACCCGTTGCTCCTGGTTGCGCCATGACAATGCATACCAAAACCCATTGGGCTACAATAAGCAGCGAGCCCAATCTTTCAACAAGGCGCGCCCAGGGTACGTGAAGAAGAATCTGGATATCGGTTGTAAAAAGCCCATGATCCCGTACTGCTATTGAAAACCCTCCAGGTGGCGCATATCCTCTACCTGAAGAGGTCACCCGACTTACTCCTTCGCCTTTCCCCGAGCAATATCGTACCAGGCTCACTCGCCAGGATTTGCTCTCTTTGGTCACTGTCGGGTGCTGGAAATCTCTCTTTTGTGGACACGCCACATCGTACATGAACGCTGATCAAATGGTGACTGGGTGCACTTCCGCTCCTTGGCTCGTAGTGCATGAATTAGAGGTAAGGTAGAGGTGTGGAGTCGAAGGGAGTCGGATTGTGTTCTGGCTGTTCGGCAGCTGTGTTGTGAGAAGAGGATCATGCCCAGATTCTCAGCTGTGGAGTCGTTAGCGTGAATTCATGATGTATGTTTCCAAGTGCGAAAACGAACCATTGAATCCCAAGAACCAGTGCACAACGACATCGCATCGTTGGAGACCCCTAAACAGCTCACACGGTTGTCGTGCCCTTGGAGTGTGCCGACGCGATCGCCACGGAGGACATCCCAAACCTGGAGAAAGCGTTAGTGACGATCAAAGCCAAAGAGTTTAGCCGTAAAACAGGCGAAAGTTACTGACTTTACACTCGAAATCGTCGTAGCCAGCGAACAGCAATCTGCCGGATACAGAAAATGCCACAGACGTGATGCCGCATACGGGCTCGCCAATCTGTCAATCTGTCAGTCTTACCGCTATTCCTCTTGCTGTCCATCAGACTCACTGTGTAACTTTGCAGCTCGCGATCTGCACGTATATCGAACAGTCGGCAGGAAGCGTCATCAGAACCAGTACCGAAAGCGTTTCCATTCGGGAAGAACTGAATAGCGTTGATGTCAGAGTCGTGTGCAGCAAACGTCTGGCTGCATTTTTGTTGTCGGATATCCCACAGCTTGGCGAACGCATCACAAGCTCCAGACACGAACTGATTGTTGTCGAGCGGGTTTATGCTCAAGCTCATCACATCGCCGAGGTGGTCCGCGAACTCCGAGATCTTCTGACCAGTCTCAATGTCCCACAGCACACAAGTCATGTCACCAGAGGACGTCAGGATGCGCCTGTCGCTGATGAAGCGGCAGCAACTGAGATATCCGGAGTGTCCGCTTAGTTCTCGTGCTACCCGCGTTGGCCCATCTCTTGCCGAAAGGTTGTAGATCGAGCAGATGTTGTCCAAGCCACCACATGCGACGTAGTTGCCACTAGGTGAGTACGCGCACGTCATGACCCACGATGACCGGAGAGGAATGGCGTGCACCTTGTTGGTCGTATACGCATCCCAGATGATGAGTTTGCCGTCCTGCGATGCGGACACGAGATGCCGGCGGTCAGTCGACCAGTGCATCGCGTAGATCTTAGCTAAATGTCCTCGTAATGTGCGCTTGGTTTTCATCGACAATCGTGGGAGGGCTTCCACTCTGTCTCGCGCGACAGCGCGCACTGTTGCACGATTTGTCAGCTGGATATACTTCATGGCCAATGTGTACGACACGACAGTGTTTGAGCACGTGGGATGGCGATGACGATAGACATACGGGTGGTGTCGGCGAGATCATCCTTCTTGCGCTTTATCCTGTCCTTGAGGGCCTCTGCATCCCGCCTCGCTATCTGTATCTTCTGCTGGACCGACTCCGCGCTTGGATCCGCCATGCCGACCGTCACCGACCGCAGACGGCGTCAATGCCAGTCGCAAAACTCGTAGGGTGGTCGTAGAGAGGGTGTTGTTCGAAATGATGTTGGAAGCCGAGGTGTGGTTGGCAATCGACGGGGCTCGGTAGCTCCCTCCTCGTCGCGCCTCGTAGCTGCGTCGTCCTGGGTGCCCGCACAGCGGCGTAGTCACTTGATCAAAGATGTTGTTAGCCTTCGTTCACTGCTGGCAGCAGCAACGACAGATCAATGCAGCGGTCCAGTAGGCACGGGCGAAGGTGTATGGCGCGCGAGGACGAGGTAGATCCGAGTGTTTCGCTCTCGTCGAACAACGGGAATCAAGGTCCATGAATTAGGGGAGCGGCTGTGGCCCGTGCACCAGGCCCGACTAAGTCGCAATGCCACCTTCCGCAGAAAGCAAGAGGTCAGTAAGGACAATGTGAACGGTGATGATCTTCGCTCGCCCTATTTCATTGGGCAGCAGTCTGCTGATCATGCCTCATGTGCACAACTGTTCACAGGCTGATATCCTGAGGCGGCAATGCTGCACGACTACCACGGTGGTGCAGAGCGAAGCTGAGCAGAAGAGCTACAGGACGGAGATTGATGGGTGCATTAGCGGGCGACTACTCGAACGCCAATACTGCAATTGCCGGTCCATTGTTTCCCCAACATCGAGCATTGATAGGTGACCTACTGAGGTCTAATCGGACGTGAGGACGATCATGATATCTTCTCGAGATCACAATAATACCTGAAGGACAATGGCTCGTCGCCTCCATCATGCACGATCATCCTCCTTTGCCAGCTTCTAGAAGCAGGGTCCCTCGTGAGTGACTCGCGGTCAGACAGCAGGACAGTAATGATCTCCATCCATTGGCGAAGTGAGGAACAATGATCGCCCCATCTACTCGATACTCTACCTCGCCTCATCCAGATGTGCCGTCTCACAACTGTTCCCATTTGTTGTTGCTGTCCACGCTCGCTCACTTCATACAAGCGACCAACACTCACATCAAGATGATGAGAATAATGAGTGGCGGTCGAGAGCGGCGAGCAATTTGTCCGCCTGCATAAACCCAGTATCCACACCACAACGCTCAGATCGCATCAACGTCCTGCGCTCGCCCACGCAGATCTTCCGCCACAGTGCTTCCACCGCTTGACTCGCGGACGAGGAAGCACAGGCATGCGAGATACGACATTATCACGGGACGACCGATTTGCGTCCCTATCGATCAACAAGATCTTAGGTAGATACTGATCTTATGTTGAAAGTGAATCTCGTGTACGAGTACAAACATGTCAATGTGGGATTCTGCGTTGTATAGATATGTTGTTACATGCCTGATATCAGAAGCGGTAGCTAGTATACAGATAATATATAATACAAGCCAGAAGATCACGATGCTGATATGCCAAATCTGGGTGCCAGATATCCCGCCCAAGACCAAAGATGCTGCTGCATCGTTGCGTGGCGGATCGGAAATAAAAAGCGCGCGCCGATATATTAACAAAGTCGTCATATTGTTGGCGGCATTGCTGACGTTGTAGCGAAGTCATGTAGACGTTGAGATCCGCGTAAGAGCATCTCGTAGATGCCTTGTCGAAGTCAACGTGCTCGTACGCATGGGTAGAGGCTAGTCGTCGTCGACCTCGACCATCTCGCCAGACTGCTTGATAGCCTTGAGTCTAGGCAGAGCCGCCAGGCTAGCGTGGGCCGGAGCCCGCATGATGTGTTGCAGAGGCAGAGTGTAGCAAGTGGGCAAGTCGCCAGTGAAGCTGACGTGGGCGAGACCACGGATGTCGGCGAAGTTGCTCAGAGAGAGGTGGAGTGTGTAGTCTGGGTAGCTCTATTGAGGATCGTCGAGGAAGCGGTCCTTGAGGATGTCGCTGAAGCGGACGTCGAGACTGTGAACGGCGGGTGTGAGACCGAGAATGGGCAAACCGGTGGTGGGGGTATTGTGATGAGTGGTAGGGACGTTGATGGCTGTGAAGCTAATGTGTTGGGCAGTGATCGGACTGACACTGCCACTGCTGCCAGTGTAGGTGCCGAAGTGGGGGAGAAGAGAGTCGAGGCTGTACACCCACTCCCAGCTGCCGATGTCGAGCACAAGATGCTGGACATATTTGAGCGTAGTAGGACTGACGAGGTTGAGCACGACGGGCACCTGAGCTTGGTACTGCAGGTCGTGGTTGACGGGTAAGGAGAGCACGAGGGGCTTGTTGCGCAAGACCACGAGAGCCTCGTTGGTGATCTGTGGAAGAAGTCAGCACGGTGTCATCGCAGTACACTCGAAGGTATTAGGTTTGCACATACCTGCTTGTTGAGCAGCAAGATCGTCGGCGTCGAGCGAGCTGGCCACAAGGGCATCATAGTCTTGTTGAGCCACTTGCTCATGGTCTCGGCAAGCTGAGGGGTGATATCAGACCAATCGGCGGCGTATCCATAGACTTTGTTGCGCAGCTCAGCAGGGAGATCAAGGAAGTTGATGGGCGTGCTCTCCATGCGTGCTTTGAGCTGCGACGCCAAAGGCTCAGGAAGACCTCGAAGCGTGACACTGCCGACGTTGCGCACACTACGTAAAGCATCGCACGCCTTGCGCAGCGTGTCACGGAAGCCGCAATTGTAGGTCTTGGCCCAACAGATCGTGATGTGCGGCACAAGCTCCTCGTGCTCGAAGCTGATCTCGAAGGTCTTGAGTTTGTGGCCTCTGCTGAGGACGTCGGCAAGCTGCTCGAGGAGAGTCATGTAGCCCATCCAGGAGGCGGCGATCATATTGGACTTGAAGAGTGGGTGGCCGGAGTCGTTGATCGTGATCGACGAGACCGTGTGCAGCAAGGCTGGCGACACGAAGTCCTGAAGGTCGGCGAGGTCGAGAAGGCCATGATCGAAGGTGAGCTGGCGTTTGGGCACGAGTTCGTAAGCCTCACGGTGGATCTGCTTATTGAGAAGAAGGATTGTGGGAGTCCTGAAGTAGACCAGCGGGCCCATGATCTTGGAAATTTCGGTGGTAGTAGCGTCGCGGATCTTGTCGTAGTAGCACTGCAGGAGCTTTCGAGCACCAGCAGTATCGATGGCATAGTCGTAGACGACCATGCGAAGTTCTGCTGGCAGAGCAAGGAAGGGGAAGACACCGCGGATCTGCTGCTCTTGGGAGCGAGTCAGGCGTCGGCGCTTGCGGTCGGTGTCGATGTTGCTGGTGTTGCTGCGTTTGCGGATGGCCTAGGAGGGGGTGGTCAGTGACGTTGACGGTGTGACAACATGACCCATGCGTTCACATACCATCGCAGGCATGTTGCGGGACAATAGGATCGAAATCCTATTGTTGTCAAAAGCAAAGTTGAAAAGGGAGATGGGCGTTACTGCCCAATAGTAGATGCTGTTGTGGATAATAGGACTAGATTGCCATTGTCGAAGGGGGTGGAAATGTTATATACTTGCCAGAAGACGAACCTCACGCCGTCTCCGCCGCCGCCGCTACCGCGCTAGAGCTGCAAGGTGGACTTGAAAACAGGCTTGAAGGTCTCATTGCCCGCATGTAGACAAGCACGTGTGCAGTCACTCACTGAGTAAGTTCGTGGTAGTGGGAGGGAATGGGTGGGTGGAATGCGGGAAACTAGTCGTGAGCTGGCGGAGCTGACTATATGGTCAATGACTACTGATGGATGCCGATCTTGCTTTGGTCAGCGCGTGCAGTCTTGATAGAGGTCCAGACGGCCCCTGAAAATCTGCATGGCCAACTTGGGATTGCATTCTGGTGCTCATGGTCTGAGCCGTATACAAGAAGGCCCACACCCTCCCACTTAACGGCCATGTGCGGCTCACTCGACCTCATTTCGTAGGCCCTGAAACAGCCGGGGAGCGCTAGTGCCCAACGTGCCTTCCTCAATAAGGTCCTGCAGAACTTCCCCGGCTCCAGATCAGGGAGATACCATGGACTGCCGTGGTGATACCTCCTGCGCTCGCGCGGTGTGTCTCTCGACTCAGATTGATCAGATCTGTCGACTGCGAGAGAAAAAGTCACGCAGCTTGAAATCCAAGACCATGCATGCTCTAGCGGTTGCAGCTCAGTGTAGATAGTGGTCAAGCTCAAGAGGGCTGCTGTAGGAGAGCCATTGGTTATGCCAGCCCAGGATCTTTGAGGACGATAGAGCCAAGGATAACGACTGAACTAGGCCCGAGGATTAGTATTCCACGACGGCGGTTGATGCCGGGTCTTGACGGGGTACGTTATAACAAGATCGGACCGCGCAACTGGGGCGCATCCAGATGTCCAGCCCCTGATATTGTGCGAGCGATCCACGTCTCTGTCTCGTGACACCCAGGGAACAGATTGCCTCCACATGAGACTGTGGTCCGACATGAAAGAAACAATCCAGGTGTGTGGGAATGCATCTGTTTCCGGTTATGATGAATGGCCGCTATACTGGGCAAGATGTCACTGCGCTCAGCCAAGGCGAGTCCTTTATAAGGAGGCGGTCTTCTGGACGCCAGCATCAAGTGCTGATATCGTTAGTTCTGTCTCTCTATATGGCATGAAGTGGAGAAGCGCTTATGCTTCTCGCTTCTGTCATCTGGTTTTGCGGCAGGGTGAACTCCGCAGGTCGAGCCATCTGCGTGCCTTTCATCAGGGAATTTCTCAGACGTCACGTCCATCTCGCCAGCTGCCAACTTGTGCATCGCGGCCGTTTGAACAGCAGCAACTTATCTGCACTTGCATCTTCATCATCCACAGAAATACATTCGCGGCAAGTGAACCTTCGAACAGCCGTTCGGACGACCTGCTCCAAAAGATGTCGTCCATGCGCGCGTGGGCGCGTTGCGGGGTTGATACACATGCGACCCCTCATCTGGTTCACTGCCTTTGACCAGCAAGTAAGTGGGTTGGCATGGAGGCCTCATCTCCGGCCCAAGGTATGAAGGGCGCAATATAACAAGGCCAGGCGAGCAGAGAGCTCGCAGGTACATACTCATCCCCTCAATACCTCAAATGCTCATACAGCAGCGTCACTGTCAACATGTCATGTGAGAGATACTACTGACCACCATTGAGGCCATGTTGCATAACTGACTCATTTCTAGCTAAACACTTCATCAATGATCCCACCCATCTCGTGCTCTCGGCTCTGAAGTCCATCACTCTCACCAACCCAACCACAGCCCTCGACGAAGAGAACAAAGTCCTCTATCTTCGACCAGACGCCGCCAAACCCCAGGTCTCGCTCGTCTCGGGTGGAGGTTCTGGCCATGAACCGTCTTTCGCAGCGTTCGTAGGTCGTGGTCTCCTTTCAGGAGCAGTCGCGGGAACGATCTTTGCTTCTCCAAGCGCAGAGCAGATCCGAAGATGCATTCTGCAGCGCGTAGAGGCGAGCAAGGGCGTACTGGTCGTAGTCATGAACTACACCGGCGACGTGCTGAACTTTGGCATGGCTGTTGAAAAGGCCAAGGCAGCAGGCATGGAGGTGGAGATGGTCGTTATGGGCGATGATGCTGGCGTGGGCAGGGAGAAAGGTGGCAAGGTTGGACGGAGAGGTATTGCTGGTACGGTGCTTGTGCATAAGATTGCGGGCGCTTTGGCGGCAGACGGAGCAAGTCTTAAGGAAGTACACAAGGTGGCGCAGATGGTAGCGGACAATACTGTTAGTATTGGGTCATCGCTAAGCCATGTACATGTCCCTGGCCGTGGTGCTACAGAAGAGGAGCTCAAGGAGAACGAGATCGAGATTGGCATGGGTATCCATAACGAGCCAGGGTCGGAGAAGACGAAAGCAGATCTTCCTGCCAATGTCAAGACTATGCTGAAGTATATGCTGGACTCCTCGGACAAAGATCGAGCATTCTTGTCCGCTAGCAGCTCGGATGAGACCGTGTTACTGGTCAATAATCTAGGTGGTGTCAGCGTACTCGAGCTCGGCGGTATCACAACAGAAGTCGTGACGCAGCTGAGCAAAGACTACGGCATCAAGCCTGCCCGAATCATAGCAGGCACTTTTATGACCTCCCTCAACGGCCTCGGATTCTCCATCTCTTTGCTCAAGACCAAGGACACCGGAGTCGGCAGATCGATGATCGAGCTACTGGACGCACCAGCCGAATGCGCGGGCTGGTCTGCTCCAATTTCAAGCAGCACCTGGGCCAAACCGCCAAGTCAGACTCGTGATCAAAGTACTGCAGGAGCCGGCGAGAACAAACCTTGCGGTCTCGAGATCGATCCAGCTGTCGCGACGAAAGCACTGAGGAGCGCACTCGAGCGTGTCATCAAAGCGGAGCCCGATATCACACACTACGATACGGTAGTAGGCGATGGCGACTGCGGTATTGGTCTCAAACGCGGCGCGGAAGGAGTCCTGAACCACATCGACGGCGCTCAGCAACAGAAAGATGCGGGGCTCTATCTCGACAAGATCATTAGCATAGTCGAGAACAGCATGGATGGGACATCAGGGGCACTATACGCCATCTTCCTCAACGCTCTCGCCCATGGTCTACGCTCGCAAGGCAACGGAAGTGGTTCGAAGCCAGTAGATGCGAAGGTCTGGGCGAAAGCGCTGGAGATTGCGTCGCAGAGTATGGGTAAATACACGCCTGCCAAGCCGGGCGATAGGACTCTGGTGGATGCTCTGGCACCTTTTGTGGAGGAGTTGGGCAAGTCGAGTGATGTGCAGAAGGCGGCGCAGGCGGCGGATGAAGGGGCGAAGAAGACGAAGGGGATGAAGGCTAGTCTTGGTAGGACGGTGTATGTTGGTGGGAGTGGGTATGAGGAAGTGCCTGATCCGGGCGCGTATGGGTTGGCTGAGTTCTTTAGTGGACTGGCTGCTGGGCTGCAGTGATTAATCTACGTGTTATCGCGCTGAACCCTCGAAGCGATGCTCGTCTTTCCAATATCAGCTCAAGCCGCTGCGTGGGATTGGTGCCTGGGACACAGACAGAGCGTATTTCTGATACCCGCGATCGTAAAGCTTTGTTCATCTAGTACCTCCGCCTATACTCCATTAACGCCCGCCGAGGAAGTTATACACTCCTTTCACTGCAAAATGCGCTTTTGCTCCATTCAGTGCTGAGCCCTAGCACAGTAACAGGAACCCTCCGAACTGAAATTCTCACTCAGCTCAACAGCACCAAAATCACACTGTCCCCTCTCAAGAACATTTTACTAATAAACCTGTCCTTGTTGATCGGCCGTCCTTTCTTCCCATCGCTTAATCGCGGCGTCTCCGTCCACATCTCCTTCACATTCTCCAGTACCATATTGCAGTGTCGGTCGAAGGCTTTCACCCGGGCGAGCAGTTTTCGGTTGTTGCGGCACGAGATCAGGACTTGAGTATGATTGCGCACGGCGGTCTGGAGGAGGGATAAGGGACCAGCGGTGAACTCGTGGGTCTCGAGGACGTTGATCTCGTATTCTGTAAGTTCTGCGCGTGGCTTTGACTGGAGTTCTCTGGAGGGGGGGTGTTAGTGGTGCTGGGAGTGAAGGTAGGGTGGTGGAGCGACTTACTGTATTTTGGCGTCGTTAGTCGCCATGGTGTTCTGGATTCTGTGGTAGTGTCTGTTCGCGGAGAATGCTCGCCTGATGAGTGTTGTATCAGGCACGAGTCATGTACGACGAAGTTGTTTCGGCAGAGCACGGGATCGCGCGCGACTCCTCCGGTGTCATGCGGCTCGAGCTTGAGCTTTGGACGCGAGAACGCGAACCTGCCACATCAAGAGACGGGTTTGCTGTGCTTCAAGAGCCACAACTCCCACCACTACCTGTGCACATCCGACATCGAGCTCTGACTCACGAACATACTACCGTCTTCTACGACGACCACAACATCCGCAATACGTGGCCAGAATCCGTCTGCTACTGCATGCTTCACTCGTCCAGCATGCGGTAGCACGTGAACACTCTTGAGCCGGCACGACAGCTTGTATAAAACCTCTCCATACTTTCGATCACCACTTAGCACCTTACATCAACCTTCGTGATCACGATGGACTTCGATTCGAGCAGCGATGGGAGTGCGTACGGCGACATCCCGACGCGTCCGATGCGTGTAAAGGTGCTCTACTCCTTCGATCAAGACAAGACCAATTGTCTGGCAAGATTTCCGAATACATTGCAGATACCGGCCGTGGCCATCGATGAGAGCTCGCAAGTGGGTGTTATAGAGCTGCAACAGTGCATCCAGGCGATAGTCACTGCCTCCCCAGAAATCGTGTCACGACTTACCGACGGCGACTTCACCGTCTATGCATTCGACTACAGCGAACCTGACACACCGCTGGTTGGTCAGGGTATGCTCTCTGTTGCATTGGCACAGACATCCGCTCCCATCACCTCCAAGAAGGTCATGATTACTGGACGTGTTTGCAAGAATCTGCCAGCTTTGTTCAGCAATGGTGTTAAGGAAACTCTGGAGGTGAAGCTGCGTCTGGCACCCGTGGCAAAACCAACTACGACTGTAATGACCAAGCCCAGTACTCCAGCAACATCAGCAGGTTTTGATCCGAATGCATGGAATGCATCTGTCAACCAGTCTCGACCTTCGCAACTCACCAGCAGCTATTTCGATTTCGACGCAAGCCAGTCTGGGACGGACAGTGGCATGGCACTAATGGACGAGATGTTCGGGTTGGGAGGCGGGACCAGCGGGAGCTCAAGCGGACAACAGACAGCTGGGTGCGTGGGCATCGCTGAGACCCCGAATGAGCCGACTTTTGGTATCAGCCCCGCATTCTCTCATAGCGCGCCAGGCAGCCGAGCTGGGAGTCCTATGATGGGTTTTGATTCCGACATCCATAACGACCAATTACGTCACAATAGCTTCTCTGTTCATGCTCCAACATTTGCGGATCAATCTCGGCCCGGCTCACGTGCCAGCGTTCGAAGTGAAGTTCGTCCATCTCAACATCAACGCCAAGCATCAGTGCAGTCTCTACCACCTCAGGCCCTACAATCACAATCTGAGCAATATTTCAACGAAGATGGACAGCCACGGAAGCGTGCAAAAGTCACGCAAGCAGACTGGCGCGGTCGATCATCCTTCGGCGCGAAGTCTGCTGACTTGCGCGTTACTGCCGCCACTGCGCATTCCGTGCAGATGCATCGTCCTGTACCAAGAAGACCTGGTATGCCCGGGAACGACCTCGAGCCGCCTCCCCGCGTGCCTACACCCGTGCCTCAGATGCATCCGATAATGCGCCAACAACAAAGGCCATCGCGAAGTTTTCTTCGACAAGCATCGACCATGACTTCTGATACAGACAATCTGTCGGATGCTGGGCAATTCTCAGATGCACTCATTAGCGATGAGGAGTCTCCTAATATGAGTAACACTGCAGAGAGCACTCCGCAAAATATGCCGTCATCGCCTCCTGTTCCCATGGGCCCAAGCACTGTAGAGCCTAGTAGTCCTGGTCTACCAATGCTGCCCACGAACCGCATGCTTGATAGTGGATACATGAGCGAGCGTGGTATACGCAGTGGCAATGTGGCGGAGTGTGATGATGAGGACGACGAGAACCGTAGCCCTACTGCGGAAGACTTGGAGATGGCAGCACAGTATCATGCGCGTGGTAAACAGGCGGCCATCAAGAAGCAAAGTGCAGAACCTACAGCAGCTGCGCCTAGTGAGTTTGGTTTCAGTGAGATGAACGTGGAACTGGAGACGCCAGGAGACATGGATCAGCTGCCGCAAAGGATGCTCATCAATATGCCGCCTGGGCGAAACAGGCAAGGCAGTCAAGGGTACGTGGATGTTGGAGAGGAGTTGTTCGACTTTGCGATCGATCCTCAAGCGTATAACGAGACATGAGCAACGCGACTGACAAAAGTACCAGACCAAAACCACTTAAAGCCTCAGCCAGCTCCAAGATTTACACTACGACCTCGACCTCGGCCGGTACGGCGACTACCGAACAGGCTCAAAGGCCATCAATGGCGGCAAGCAGGCGAAGCTCTCTTGCTCTCCCAACAAATAGCCATGCTACAGCTTCATCAGAGCAGGATCAGCGAGCCAGCCTGATGCCGGAGCAGCGCCCTACCCTCAACAAGCGCAAGAGCACAAAGCGGTCACGAGCCGAGCTACAAGGCTCGGAAGCAGGCTCGCCAGCACCGAGTGACACTGAAGGGCGACCCAAAGGTTCTCGGAGATCTGGTTCTGGAGCGCAGCGCCGTATCATCATACAGCAACGTCTCGAGGCCTCTCTTGCCAATGGTGAAACGCCGACGTTCTGTAGCCACTGTGGTGCTATCGAGACACCAACTTGGCGCAAGCTGTATGTCAAGCACTGCGATGGTGAGCCTTCGCCTCTCGATAAAGCTGAAGGAGAGGGTGAGACCATTGGTGTGGAAGAGACTTCGTTTGATCCGCAGACTGGTGTTGCGACAGCTTTCGTCATCCGCAAAAGTATGAAGAAGACTAAGGAGTCTACCCCTGGCGAGGGTTTCAAGGATACCGTTGTCTGTAATCCTTGCGGGCTTTGGTTCAACAAGTTCAGAAGTATGCGTCCACGCGACAAGTGGAATCGCAAGTCAACCCGAAGGATTAGCAAGAAAGCAAAGGGTACTCCCGGTGGTGATCTGATGACTGACGGACTTGAGCCACCTTCGGAAGCATTCTTCACTGATCAGGTTGATCCTGACGACGCCTCTGAGGAAAACCAGGACATGGGGAGTGCTCAATTTGATGGTGCAGCGAGCAACCCCCCTCCGAAGCCGACCATGGGTCAGAGACCGAGGGCTAACAGTCTTCAGACTCAGACTCGACGTCAGAGTGCTGATGGCCCAAACGCCTCTCAGCTTGACGCTGCTCTCGCTCGCGCTGTGCAGTCCAGTCCGGCCCCATTTCGTGGATCTCAAGCCTCGCCGATCGAGGTCGACGAACTGACCCCCAGGCCGACTCGACGACTACTCTTCCCGTCACCGCGTCGCGACGGCGAGGTCAAGAGTCTGGACGACAATGGTCAAGCCTCCTTACACGCCACACCATCAAGTACCAAAGGCTCTGCTGCGAGAACGCTCAACACTTTCGATTCGAAAACACTACCCGACGGTGGCATCGAAGTCAACATCTTCGAAGCCTTCACCTTCGACAAGGAGAACCTCGAGCCCGGCATGGAACTCGACGCAGACCTCATGCACCTCTTCGAAGGCTCTCCACAATACACTTTCAAAACCCCAAGCAAGAAGACTCCCCGCAGCAAACCCCACACCACCCCTCCTCGCTCCTCACAACGACAATTCGAGCAACTCCTCAAGACTCCCACACCAGGAAGCCGCAAACGCAAACCACTCTCCCCCAACCCCAACGCGGCTCTCAATCCTCATGTAGCAGCAGCAGCGCAAGGCGCAATCAACGACTTCATGACCTCTCCTTCCTCATCGCGCTACTTCCTCCGCTCAACACCCAGCCGCGTGGAGCGTACACCCGGCGGCGGGCGTAACACAGCTCACAGCAGTGGTGGGCGAGCCGCAGACATGACGCCCTTTTCCCGCTACTTGGCGCAGATGGCTACTGAGGGTGGCGCGGGCGCTGCGGCAGCAGGTTCGGCGTTCATGACGAGTCCTAGTCGCGCGCTGGATTTCAGTGACTTGCCCGGTGGTTTCGGAAGTGGGTCGCCAGGGATGGGCCAGGGAATGGATTGGAGTGGGATGGAGGAGATTTTGAGTAGTGAGTTTGCTGCTTTCGAGGGTAATGGTGGTGCGGGGCAAGGCAGTGGTGAGGATACGCAGGCTTGAAGATGGCTGGACAAGGGGGAGGTGGTGTCAATGGTGGAGCTCACAGTCATGCCAATGCGGACGCCGCAATTTTACGTACTTCCTATAAGGGCTCGGTCTTGGCATCAATGCTGCCGCTGTATATCATCATCATTCAGCCGGAACGTTGTTGGACATGGTTCATTTGATAAACCACATCTTATCTAGAGACGAGCTAAGCAGTACAGGCATTCGCGAACGGCAGGTTTCGAGGAAGTACCTCGCACTCTGCCAAGTTCAGTCGAGAGCTGGGACCTCGACACTCCTGTCCCTCACGCCTTGGGCTCCGTAACCGAGATTTCCGGCTGCCGACTCTGCCCCTGCTGCTGTTGCTGTCCCGCCGCCGCCGACCCAACACTCCCCCCATTCCCCAGCCTAATAGGCAACAACCCCGTTCCACCCACGTCGCCACTACCCCCGCTCTCAGGCGTTTGCGTTCCACTATTCCCCCTAGCTGGCGTCCCCAACCCGCCCATGGGACTCACAGCCCCACTCACGAACCCGCTAGGCGGCACAGGGATGGAAATCCCCTCCGGACTTCCCGGGACCATCTTTCCCTCCACGCCCGGGATGGTGATCCGTTTGACTTGGTTGTTGTATGAGGCGGGGATAATCTCGATGATTTCGTCGCGGGGGAAGGAGAGGAAGGGGATGTCTGTTGCGGAGCAGGCCATGAGGTAGCCGTACAGGACGCGGAGGACGGATTCGTGCGCGATGATTAGGAGGTCGTTTTGTTCGCGCTCGAGCTCGAGGATGATGGGTTCGAGGCGGACGGCTAGGTCGTGGTAGGACTAGAAATCATCCGAGTCAGTGGGGTGGAGGGTTGGAGGCGGATTGGGGGTTGGTGGTAGATCTTACCTCTGCTCGTGGATAGCGATGGTGATAGGGGTCCATCTCGTGCTTGTGCACTTCGTCGGGATACTCGAGTCGGATGCGCCGCTCACTCATCTTCTCGCAGACACCAGGGTTCAATTGACTCATTTGGCTTCTTTGCCTTACACGGTAGCCGAGCGAGGCCAGGTACTCACTCGTCTCCACCGTTCTCCTCCGCGTGCTCGTCCAGATGGTGAGGGGCTTGAGGGCCGTGCCTGCGGGAGCACCATGCTTGATGAGATTCTGTCGCTCGCTTTCCCGGTGTGCCAGAAGTGTATCGGCCATTTTGCGTGCGTAGTCCTGTCCTTCTACAGATAGTGAGGCATCGGCTTTGTAGCTGTCTTCATCTCTCGTCGTACCAGCTCGGACGAAATATGTCTGCCGGGACTTGATGTGCAGATTTAGGAGATAGAAGACGATTCGCTGACTGAGATAGTTGAACGAGCACTGATTCGCGATCACGCGCTGGCCGGCGTTGATCATTTTGATATAGTGCAGATCTGGTTCTTCCAGGGTCTCGTAATGAGGTATACGAGCGTTAATTCGCTTGAGATAGTCCTGCACGGCATCTTCAGGAGACCAGCCGAGATAATCTGGTGAGCTGATCTTGACAGAGCGGACATTCTCCTCAATGATGCGTTCGTCGGTGCAAACGCTCTCGACGAAGAGGGTATGGACGCCTTTCTTCTCAAACTCCTTTGCGAATGCACGGCGGCCAGTCGAAAGCGGATTGACGGCGTCGTAGATGGCGATCTGTCCGTTCTCATGGTCAAGGAAGCGGAACATGTCTTCTCGGCACTTCTTTAAAATCTTGTTGCGCAGTAATACAGAAGACGTGCTGGCATTGACATGGAAATAGTCGTCCGGTACAGCTCCATTCGGACCAAGATACTCGCGTCGATAATCGCTTAGATGGAAGATGTGAGTTTTGACGCCGAGCCAGCGAAGGTATCGTGCTAGTGCTACAGAAGTGTGCGTCTTGCCTCGTGCAGGCAGTCCGACTGTGGCAATCACTATTCTGCCTGAATGGAAGAGTCGACCAGATTCTGTGGAGTAGAGTTGGGCTGGTGCCATGGACGCCTTCTCCGGCAGCTCATGGATGGCGTCGACATAGGTGCTTGATTGGCGGCGGCGGGATGAGGCAGCGTCCGCCAGGTCGGCGGTCAGGAGTGTATCCATTTTGGACGAGTCAGAGAAAGATCCAGAGCCAGCTCCTGTAAGTCAAAGAGTTGCTTCGTTATGTGTCAGTGGGACAATTTCGTGCTCAAGACCTGCGGATATCGATAAGCGGTCAGATGCGATTGCTTGTGGTACGAGCAGGGAAGGTGTTTTCGTGGCAGCTTTGGAGGTAGCTTTACTTTGCAGACTCGGCAACTATCATTTACTTGCAGTCCTAGAATTGAAGTAAAGTGTCCCGGCCCAACGGATAGAAAAGCAATGAGACCCGCCTAAGCAAACGGTATCAACGCCCCAGTCTAATTGGGACTGTAATGAGACTGATTCGGTCTTCACCTGATAGGACCGGTATCGGCTGAGGTTGGCAATGACGGTACTCCTGACTTGGCTGTGTATATGTCAGTGTGTGTAGTGAGCTGTGAGATATGGGAGGAGTGGCTGCTCTGCTCTGATAAGATGTCAAACTATCGCCGAGCTCTGACCATAATTATTGACACTAGCTCGCTGAGTACGGGCCGAGGCGTCACGCCAGGACCATGGGAAGCAGAGCAACATTTTGTCGGAGCTGTAGCAGAAGACGCACGCAGGAGAGTCGTGTGCCTTGCGAAACAATCACTACCACCACATCACCTTCACTCTATCCATCCATCCATCCATCCATCCATCCCATCACCACCCGGGAACTCGATCGCAACATCTCCACCAACACGATACACACATAGATTTTAGTCAACATGGCCGCGCCAGCAATAGCAACAGGGACGCAACAGCCGATCGTGGTCGAAGTCCCCCCCATCAACAACCCAGCCATCGACGTCTCCACCCTCCCACCCCTAGACGTCACCAAACCGCCTCCGCCGCGCACCAACGCCCTCTTCGACACCCTCCTCGACACATACGCCTCCTTCCAGGCGCGGCGGGAAGCGCTCGGCCTCAGCAACCCGGGCACCGTCGACCAGATCTCCAAGGAAGTCCAGCGCGACGTCTTCCTCACCAACCAGACCTTCTCCGGCCTGCGCGCCGAACTAAACAAGAGCTTCTCCATCAACCCCATCTTCCAAGTCAGCCATGCCTTTTCCATGGGCTCCCAGCAATTATCGCCCTATACCTTCCTCGCCCTCTACGGCACGGATAATGTAAGTCTTGCTATCATCAATACAACAATAAAAAGTAAACTCCATCCTAATATGATGACTACCAGCTCCTCCTCCAAGGCCAAGTCGACTCCGACCTCTCCTTCTCCGCCCGCCTCAACGCCCGCCTCCACCCTCGCCTCACCCAAAAATGCTCCCTCCAAATCCAACCCTCCGCCGGCATGTCCCCCGGCGGCGCCCAGATCTCCCTCGAACAAGACTACATCGGCTCCGACTTCACCGCGCAACTCAAATCCATCAACCCGTCCATCCTCGAAGGCTCGCTGACGGGCATGTTCATCGGCTCGTACTTGCAATCTATCACGCCCCGACTCAGTGTGGGGTTGGAAGGTGTGTGGCAGAAACCGGGCGGGGATATGGGACCCGAGGCTGCATTGTCCTATGCCGCGCGGTGGAAGGGCGATGATTGGATCGCTTCCGCACAACTACTCACGCAAGGCGGGTTGCAGGGGAGTTATTGGCGGCGGTTGACGGATAAGGTTGAGACGGGCGTGGATGTCAATCTGCAGTTTGCCGGCCTGTCCGGGGCGAACGCCATGATGGGCGGGATGAGGAAGGAGGGGACGGCGACGCTGGGGGCCAAGTATGAGTTCTCCCGGTCCATTTTCCGCGCGCAGGTCGATAGTCAGGGCAAGATTGGGTGTCTGTTGGACAAGGTCATTGCGCCGCCGGTGCGCGTCACGTTTGCGGGGGAGATGGATCATGCGAAGGTGAGTTGCTCCCGTATACCGACATATATCAATGGTTTCGGGAGGAATACTGTTTTGAAGGGCGCAAAGCTAACCTGTCTGTCTCGCACAGAACGCCGCCAAGCTCGGCCTCGCCGTCTCGATCGAGGCGTCGGGTGAAGAGCTCATGGAGCAGCAGGATAGAGTCATACCAGCCTCGCCGCCCTTCTAAGCCATTCGTGTGGACCTCTGTCTAGTCTGATCGCAGTCTGGACGGGCGAAATCTTGCTGTGGCGCACTTCTTCACTCTGTACAACCACGGAACTCTTGTCCGAGGCGCGCCGGGTCTGTGCATCAGACAGCACCCTCTTGCACGTTTGTCCTTGAGCTCAGGCTTGGGCTTGAGGGTACGGGAATCAGGCATGGGAGATGGCTGATCCGCGCTGGGTACTAGATGCGGTGGATGGGACTTGTAGCATAGCGTGGGATTGTTTTGATTTGAAAAAGGTGGTTCGGTGGGAGCAGTACTCCACATGCTTCCCTCGGCCACGTGTGTACGTCTAGATTTCTGGATTCGTGCAAGGAATCCTTTTTTTTTTTGAAAGATGTGTATGTATGGACCATGTATATATACAGCCGAAAGGGATTCATTCTACAATTCCAATCGGGATCAATGCCCGACTGAGGATGAGCTGCACGGATGCTATCTACCTATCTGCCTACGAAAACCCAAAGTCGAATTCCGGATGATTGTCCTTACCATCTCCAGTGCCGAACTCCTCGCCGCCTCTACCTCCCCCATTATCGAAATTGCTAAAATCCATCAAGTCATCAAAGGTACTGTCTCCAACACCTGCCATCCCATCTCCATCTCCATCCCCGCCCATCAGATCACCCGGCCCATCACCATCCGCCGCGAACAGCTCGTCGAAGTTCGGCTGTTCCATCCCTATCCCCATGTCCATCTCCATCTCCATGTCCAAGCCCTCCATCGGGTTCTCCGGCTGCATATTAGCGTAGTCCTGTACACCGGGGAGTAGGGCCGAGAGATCGTTATCGGCGTCTTCGCCGCGCCCGAGGTTGAGGTCGTGGTCGTTGGTAGTGGAGGGTTTGGACAATGAGGCGTTGAAGGAGCCGAAGTCGATGCCGGTGGTCAAGTCTGGATCCGGTGCTTCTGAGGCTATGGTGGCGGGGCCGGAACCTGGTGCTGAGATGGCGGTGGCGGAAGCGGAGGCGGAGGCGGGGTCGTTGAAGAGGGATTCGAGGTCGGCGTTTTCCGTTGCTGTCGTTGGGGCTGTGTCGGGTTGGTCGGTCATGGTTGTGTCGGTATAGTCTTCTTTGCTGGCGGTTTCTTTGGCTGGCTGTGGTGGGTTCGTGTCTATGGAGAGGTCGGCGGTGGTGGGTTTCTTGTCGTCTGGCGAAGCAGGTAGAAGCGTCGGTGATGCTTCGGCGGGGAGAGGTGGTGTTATGGGCTTGACCTTGGCATCTACGGTGCCGGGATCTTCTTTGTCGGCAGATTTGCTGGAGAGCTGGACGGATGCTGAGGATTCATCTAGGTTGGTGGATAATGATGTTTCTGTAGCCCCAGGTTCCTCGTCTTGGGCCTGTTCCGAAGGTGCCGAATTCGATGCTTGTATCGGCTTCTGGTCTTGAGCGTGGCCGGGAACCTGCTTTAGGGTAGTTCCTATCGATTTCGTATCGGCCTTGGGAGGTTGAATCTCAGATCGTTCGCGACACACGGCCAAATCTCGACGCATTACCGCCTTTGCTGTTTGCTACAGGCATAAGAGTTATTACTGGGGACAACCGGTAAGTTTTCGGTCAGGCATACCAGTTCGTCGTCTAATATGTCCAGAGCAGCATGATATCTATTGATCGATTCAGGCATATCCCGTTTGAGGCGAAGAGCCCGAGCCGCTGCGGATCCCTTGACACCACTTTGTGCGGCGGCGAACAGACGACCAATGTTCTCGAGCTATGTCTGTCAGCGTTTTCCGTCTCATCACGGCATTCTTGTGATCCTACAGTGGCATTGACTTCTTTCTGTAGCTGGTCTAATGCTTCGACATGTTTAGTATCAGCTGCCATCTTGTCAATGGCTCAGCAGGGACCCTCGTATGGCACAGGATAGCAGGTCGGGCACCATGACGAGGACTCGAGAGTTTCAGTAGCCTACAAGTATATTTTTCACGTGCAATACAGGAGGCTCAAGCAATGCTGAAGTGAGTTCACAGGGCTGACCGTTGGCGTAGCGTAGGTTGTCGCCGGGCGGCTGGGCCCGAGAAGCCTCTTTAGCGCCAGACTTCGCGAAATGGAAATGCAGGGAGCTTTGTCACGCGGGAAGCTCGTCTCGTCTCGTCTCATCTCTCAAGCCTCAAGCCTTTGACCTGGCTCTCTTTCTCCTCTCTCTCTCCCCCCCTCTCCAGCATAAATTGACGACCTGCGGACAACGAGGCTCGTTTCTCCTCTTTCTCCTCCTCTCTCCCTGTTCCGAGTCTCCTTTGTATCTCCTTCGAGCGTGTCGTCGTCGTCGTCGTCGTCGTCGTCTTTTTCAGCGTCGGCGTGAGAAGCGTGGTTCACACGGCTGTCGGTCAGGCTTCCCCAATTCCTGGTACTGGGCTTCTGCCGGACAACGCAACACATCACATCCGCAACGCATATCAAGAGGAGTTCTGCCTGCTGTGTTCTTACTGCTCTAAAGATACCCATCCGCCGCTTTTCTCTCTGGCGCTACAGCTAAGCAGTCATCGAAGCTCATCTCATTTGTGCGTTCAGCTTGCTCCCCCTTCTCTTCCACCCAACACCACCTAACCTGCCGTCGCAGTCGCAGCACTTCCGCTTCTTCTCCGCCGCTTTCTCTGTTACAGCTCTCCTACATCGTACAATACTCCGTCTCATCGCATAATACATCATGGCGGACATAGCTACAGCTTCCTTACCACAGCCGCCCGCCAACGATGTTCCCACTGGATTCGGCGGCTTCCCGCAGCCGCCCATGCCACCAATGCTCAGCATCCCGCAGAACAACAACAATGTCGGAGGCGCCATTAGCAGTGCAGATCCTGGCTCAGAATTGCTGTCACCTCTCAGTGCTGCTCGCCGAGCTGCACCCGAACCGAACAAAAGAGCTCTGTATGTTGGCGGCCTGGATCCACGAGTCACCGAAGAGGTACTGAAGCAAATCTTCGAGACGACTGGTCACGTGCAAAGTGTGAAGATCATCCCTGACAAGAATGTAAGTAGACATGTGATTGCTGCATGTGCGGCTGCAGGCAGCTGTTTGTTTATGCTAGCGTCTTTCCAAACGTTCGCTAACAAGCAAACAGTTCCAGTCAAAAGGCTACAATTACGGCTTTGTCGAATACGACGACCCTCAGTGCGCCGAACGAGCCATGCAGACCCTCAACGGACGCAGAGTCCACCAGCAAGAGATTCGTGTCAACTGGGCATACCAAAGCAATACCACTTCTAAAGAGGACACTTCGAACCACTTCCACATCTTCGTCGGTGACCTGTCAAACGAAGTCAACGATGAAATTCTTCTGCAGGCTTTCACCGCTTTTGGCACAGTCTCCGAGGCTCGTGTCATGTGGGATATGAAGACCGGTCGCTCTCGTGGCTACGGCTTTGTGGCATACCGTGATCGTGGAGAGGCTGAGAAGGCTCTCAGCTCAATGGACGGCGAGTGGCTAGGTTCACGTGCAATCCGCTGCAACTGGGCCAACCAGAAAGGCCAGCCTTCCTTCACCCAGCAGCAAGCCATGGTCCAGATGGGCATGACTCCCACCACGCCGTACGGTCACCATACCTTCCCAACTCAAGGCGCGCAGTCCTTCGACATGATTGCCCAACAGACTCCGCAATGGCAGACCACCTGCTACGTCGGCAACTTGACTCCATACACGACCCAGAACGACATCGTCCCACTTTTTCAGAACTTCGGCTACGTCACTGAATCACGCTTCCAGTCCGACCGCGGCTTCGCGTTCATCAAGATGGACACGCACGAGAACGCGGCCAATGCCATTTGTCAACTTAGTGGGTACAATGTCAACGGCCGACCTCTCAAGTGCAGCTGGGGCAAGGATCGACCACCCACTGGACAATTCGACGGCTACTCGCCCGCACAGCCACCCCAGTCGGCCTTCCCATCAACACCGCAGACCTTCTTCCCACAGTACGGTCAGCCTAACCCGATGTCGCCACAAGGTATATCAGCTCCCAACATCGTTGTTCAAACTATGCATACTGACCTCTCCACAGCGATCACACCAGCTAGTGGTCAACCTTTCGGTCAGCACCCATCTCCAGGCAGTTGGCCAACTCAGCAGATGACGCCTCAAACTATGCAGCCACCGCAAGGCAATTGGCCGGCGTCTCTACCTCCACCAAGTGCCGGTGGGTATGGTGGCAATCATACCCCAGGTGGCTACATGCAGCCACCTCACGCTGCACCTTTCGGTCGCGGCGGCTATCCCTATCAGGGCTAGGGCTAATGGCCACGTTTCTAAGTTCTTACGATGGCATAGCGTGGGCGTGCTTTGCTTCGAAGCGTTCCTGTCTACGGTCATAGCGGGTTTGAGAAATGTCGGGTTTGCTTGGGTAGCGCCGGCATGGCTGCGCTTTTGCTGTTTTCATGTCCGCGCTGTTGTCAGCTGATTGTCGGAAATGGTTTTCTGGATATGTGTTCACTATCTGGCTGGGCTGGGCTGGGCTGAAGTTACGTGCGTTCAAGCAAGGCGACTGCTTTGGTGGCTGTCGGACGAGGGAAAGCACTCTGAGCGAGTCTACATAATATATCAAGCTCTACACTCATCTTCGGCTCCCGTCTCATCCTGTCTCTCTAACGTATATACGGTCCTTGTGATTTCGGCTCATGATAGAGTTCTACGGTGTGGTTTGCTCGCGTTCGCGGAAGAGCTCCGAGCTCGCTTTTGTGGCGTACCTTCCCATCCTCACCTTAATCCTTCGAGAACTGACTACTCTATTCATTCGGCCCCCCGAATCCTACATCAAACGGCTTATACAGGGCTGGGAGAACAGTCTACGACCTCCTACAACGCGGATTGAAAGGCATTCACTTGCAAGTGGGCGGCACGAGCGTCGATCATGTCAAAATCTGCTACACTGCTAAGCACTCATTGATCGCCCCTTCCACCCCAGCAGCCATGGCCACCACCACCACCACCACCAACAAACCCTGGTCCAACCGCCCACAGAAACGCTACAGACTAGTCGACTGCACGCTCCTCGACCCCAAAGACGGCGGAACATACACCCACGTCACCCTCGATATCAAAGACGGCCTGGTTCATAGAATGACCAAGCTGTCGCAATGGCCTTCCCCGGGCGACGAGGCACTGAGCTGGACGTCGAATGAACAGCTTACTATCATTAATCTTGATGGGAGGTTCGTTTGTCCGGGGTTGATAGATTGTCATGTCCATCTGGCGACGCCACCTGGAGAGGATGGGTTGAGAGGGACGCTGGATCAGGATTCGCAGACGAGTTTGTTGCGGCAGCCGTGGTTGGCGGGCGAGATGTTGAAGCGTGGGTTTACCAGTGCGAGGGATTGTGGCGGGGCTGGTCTTGCGCTCAAGGAGGCTTTGGCTGAGGGGTTGTATCCTGGTCCCAGGCTGTTTATCTCAGGTCATGGGATCTCGCAGACAGGAGGTCATGGCGATTTGAGGTCGGCGAAGGATGCAGAGTATGCATGCTGTGGTGGCAACACGCGCGGACTCGGGCGGATAGCAGATGGCGTCGAGCAGTGTCTGCATGCTGCTAGGGAGGAGTTGAGATGTGGAGCTGATTTTATCAAGATCATGGTGTCCGGTGGCGTGGTCTCCAGCACCGACAAGCTCACGGGCTTGCAGTATACCCCTGAGGAGATCAGAGCTTTCGTCAAGGTGGCGAGTGATGCTGGGACATATGTCACCGCGCACGCTTACACACCTGCTGCTATACGAAATGCTGTCGAGAATGGTGTGATGGGTATTGAGCACGGCAATCTGATCGATGAGCCGACTGCGAAGCTGATGGCGGAGAAGGGTGCGTTCCTCACGCCCACATTGGTGACATACCAAACCATGGCATCAAAGGGATTTGGCTCGTTCTTACCACCATCCATCGCCAAGAAGAACCTGCAGGTACTCGCTGCCGGCTTGAACAGCATCCAGATCGCAGACAATGCGGGAGTCACAATGTGCTTTGGCACCGATTTACTTGGCCCTTTGCAAGTCAAGCAGAATGGCGAGTTCGTGCTACGGAAGCAGGCAGGTCTCAGTGCGTTGAAGATCTTGCAGAGCGCGACTGTGAATGCAGCTCGGAGAGTAGGCTTAGAGAACAAGCTTGGACGTGTCAAGGAGGGTTTCTTTGCCGACCTACTGATCTTGAATGCTAATCCGCTGGAGGACATTACTGTGCTCGATCGGCCGGAGAAGCATCTGCTGGCTGTTTTCAAAGATGGCAGGGTGCTGGAGAGCCGATGGTCCAAAGTGCCGACTGATATGCCGTCGTCTTCCAAGATTGAGTAGAGATAGTGTCGTCTCACCGTGCTGTTGCTCAAGGCGCGAACTTCGCAACAGGCTCAGCACTGATGTCAAGATTATCCAGTCCCCAGATCTCCATATTCTGCACTTCGGCCTGCGACCCCAACGTGACCTCCGTTCGCCACTCTAACGAGCCATCTTCCATGGTGACTTGGTAAATTTTACCGACCTTGTACACAGCGTCGCCGATACCGATATATTGCAAATCCTTCATCCCTCCTTTCCACATATCCTTACTCATCATCTCCATGCGCTGCTCATGAGACATGACTCGCATGTTCTCCGCCACGTGTTCGTTGTGTAGTATCCGGAAAGCACGGAGCTTCGAGAGGAAAGGGATCAACAGGGGTATGATGGCAAGACTCTTCGTACCCAACGCCATGCCGAGTTGTTCTAGATTCGGACAACTGCGCACGAGGTTACTGATCTCTTCTTCTGTCAGAGCCCATTCGTCGCGCAGGAGTAGATGCTTCAGTGATTTGGAGTTGGGTCCTGTAAGGACGGAGAGGTAGTCTTTCCCTAGCCTCGTCATCTCTTCTTCTGAACCCATGGGCGCATACTCTGGCGTGATTGGACTCGCAGTACTATCCGCCTTTCCTTCGCAATACTTGTGGCTGACAAAGTACATGTTCTCCAGTGGCACCTCGTTACGACGGATTAGCTCGACGTGTTGTGGTGCAACCTCATTCGTGCGCATTTGGCGGAAAGCACAGCGCATTTCAGGTGGTATCTGCCTCCACGAATCATCGATGTAGACGTTCCGTGCAGTACTCATGCGCGAGCCAACGCCACCAAACATGTCTAATGCACACATGCTCCGGCAAGCGTCTCGATCGAGTATTTCTTCCATGCCTCGCATGTTGTTGCCGAAGAAGTTTTGGAGGCCGATATGTTTGACTTTCATCGAGTAGCCTGCTCGTATACAGCGACCGAAATAGGTGTCGAGGCTCAACGATGGCTCGGCTTCTCGTCTCATGCGGGAGGACCAGTGTAAGCGTAGATCCTCGAGCTTACGTGAGTGCAGCAGAAGCATCGAGATGTCGTCTGGGTAGCACAGTGGATCGATATCCATGGCCTTGAACGCCCGCAAGTTCGCCATGGGCGGGATCATGACACTCGGCCTGGGGACCCTACTCGTTGGAAACCTGATCGTCAAGGACGTGAGCGTTGTATGCGCCGATAGCCCCAGATACAGCGTCTTCAAGGGCTTGCAATCCAGTTGCCAGCAGAAACTCCTGAGCTTCACCATCTTGTCCGTAGCCGCTCTCAGCAGAATGTTCAACATCATGCTATTATCCGGCACCCTCCCCTTCGCAAAATCATCTTGGCCGTGTTCCCTCCACCCGCCCCATAGTTTAAACTCCTCCACGAGCTCCGCATGCGTCATCGTCACCAACCCATTCAATGCCATCACGAACGGACTTCCTCCTCCAAAGCCTTCGGGTCTGCCATTCACATATCGTATGTCTGGGTAGGAGTGGAGCGTGACTCGGCGGTACAGCAGCGGCGAAGTCATGTAGTAGAGCAGGCGACAAGTACGACATACTCGGGCAAGATCTCCCGTATCGTCCAGCCATTGTACAATCAATGCGACAATGTTGAGCGGGAGTGCGAGTCCAAAGCCATCTTTTACTCGTCCCGTACTGACCGGCGACGTGAATTGGACAAAGCGTGGGACATCGCCAATAGCACTGGTGCCATTCTCTCTTGGGTCCTCCTGTGGTGTCATCCTACCCAGCGCCTTCGCGCTCATCATCGAAGAAGGTTGATACATCGTGCTGGGCGCATGTGATCGTCGTCATGGACTCGGGGAGATGGTGTGATACGAGGGACTGATCATTTGGTCAAGTGGCCATGTACATGACTTTCATATAACTGCAGCTATCCGACTAGAAGCTATTGCTCGGTCTCGCATTGCAGGAACGACACGCAGCTAGATTGGTGAAATAAAGTGTAGCCTAGCGTGGGCGTGCGTCTGACGATCATGAGCAGTCTTTCTTTGTCAGCAACAGGCCAGAGCGATACGCAAGCCTCATGGATTGGTTTTAGGAAAAGCAATGTCGCTGCAACATATGAGTGGCTAACAATAAATGCACAGGCGTACAGATAATAACGGAAGTAGTTCAGATCGAACAGGTTTACCGCTTTTCTAGTCATAGTCATAACTGAGTATACATCACACAACTGCATGCCACCCTTCCGTCACACGTATGGCAACTCATCCCTCGGAGGCAAACCCCAAAGCTACAGTCCACGGCAGTCAATCATACCAGATTTACAACTCATCCTTCCCCTTCTCCTCCGTCCCCAAAAACCTCGCCAACACATTACTTCTCCTAGTCAAATCATCCACCTTCTCCGGCGCCAACCCACCCTTGGCCAAAATCCCCTGCAACCTCGCCGCCTCCTTGGCCACATACTCGCCATTCTCCTCAGCCTTCTTGGCTACTTTGGAGTAGTACTCTGCGTACTTATCCGTCACACCCCCGACCGCCTTCTCAAACTCCCGGTAAGCGGCTTCGCCACCACTCTTCAAACTCCCAACCAGGGAGTCCAGACTAGGCACTGTTCCCGCTAGAGGGTTCAACCCGCCACCAACAGAGCGGTAGGTTCCGGCTTTCTCGTTCATGAACGTGATCAAGTCTTGTTCGCTGCGGCCGCCGGAGTAGGGAATCCCTTCCTTGCTTCCCTTGGGGTAGTAGAAGATGGTGGGGTAGGACTTCACGCCTGCGTCCTGCGCGGTGGCTTTGGCGTTTTCGGCTTCACAGTCGACTTTGGCGATCAAGACCGATGATTCGGCGGAGAAGTCGGAGGCGACTTTTTCCCAGATTGGGGCGAGGGTTTTGCAGTCTACGGAACAGATAAGGTCGTGTTAGTGGCGAGGCTCGAATCAGAAGCACTTGGTTGGATGATTGAGAAACTTACGACCACACCACGGCGCGGTGAACGCAACAATAGCATCCTTATCCGCGCCAACCATCTCCTTAAACGTCTTATCATTCAACATCTCCACCTTACTCGCCTCGGCCTTCTTCGCCTTCCCCTTCAACCCCGTCTTCTCCTCGATGAACTTGCTCAAACTCTCCAGGTCTCTGCCCCCCCTATAATCCTCGGGAGTCTCACTCTTCCCATCGAACCATTTGAGCGTCGGAAACCCCTGCACGCCGAACCGACGGCCCAGCTCCTTCTCGGAATCCGCATCGACTTTGGCGATGTTGACTTTGTTCTGCGCGAACTGGTAATTGGCTGCTAATTCATCGTAGATCGGAGCCAGGGTTTTGCAGTGGCCGCACCAGGGGGCGAAGAACTCGACGAGCGAGGGTTTGCCGGAGTTGAGGACGACATCGTCGAAGTTGGAGGGGATCAGGTCTTTGACGGCGGATTGGGCCGAGGCGAGCGCGGCCAGAGAGGCGAGTAAGAGGTTTGCGAGGCGCGCCATCGTTGTTGTTGTTGATATTTGTGAGATTGGGGATTGTGAAATTGAGCACGAGGTCGAAAGTCGAGTATATATTTAAGGTAGGCCAAGCAGTGACGAATGGTGGGGCGCGGCTGGACCCTGAGCCATGAATTTAAAGAAGTAACAGGTGGCCAGTAGCTATTCACCGACATGGTAAATGCTTTGAAATCGTTCATGAATGGAAGGGCCATGCACCGGCCGTGCTTTCGACAACTACTCGGCATGATTCGAATGGGACAGTTGGTAGTGGGAATCTTTGCGTTACTGACTTATGCTCGTCTGTACTATGATTATAATGTACTGTATATATTGCCGAACCTCGCATATAGCCTATCCCAGAACCGCAACATGGGGTATGATAGTGAACTGATATCGCTGCCCTTGCACATCCTCCTCAAAATCCTTCGTCCTGTAGATGCCCAAACTAAATTTTCCCAACGCCAAGATCATGCAATAGATAGCCTTGTGAAATGGGCAAGTTGTGCCAACATGTCCGCAACCGGGTTGCAAGGCGCAGTTCAGGCCCCACCCCAACTCCTCCAGTAACCTCTCAGAACATGCAACACCTGCCTATGCGTCATCGCATCCCCACAAGCCGCCTGCAAAGTCGTCTGCCCATCCCCAAAATCAAGCATAACGGAATGTGGCAGCTCCTGCCGATCCAGATCCGGCGCATAAGGCTGCTTGAGCTCGCTCAGGTGGAAACGCTTCGAAGTCCCCTTGTGGATGTCCATGGCTTGCGGGATGGCGAAGACGAGATACCCTGCTGAGTCGATGGAGACGATGCGGCGTTTCCAGAGCTGAGAAATGTCTTAGTAACAAGGCAGAGTTAGTCGTCAAGGCAAAAAGACTTACTAGTGAGTCGGGAAATTGGACGTTTAAATCTCCAACCACAACTGGTGGCGGCATATCCGACCGATCCTGCTGCTGACTATTCGACCTCGGCGCACTCGTCGGCGGCGACTCGACCGCACCACCGCCGTTCGTCGAACCACCGAACTGTTGAACACCACTCCGCCTCTTATCCTTACCCCCAAAATTGCTCATGCGCTTGAAAAATCGGCTCGTCCTGCTGCCGTCCCTAGCAGCAGCAGCATTATCGTCGTTCGAGGACGCAGTCGAGGCTCGTGAAGCGGCTTTCTGCATGTTCCCTTGCATTGGAGGGGGCGGGAAGTCTTCCGCCGAAGGTGTCATAGGTGACATATTCTGTCTGTATCGACCTAGAGACTTACGGTGCGCCGAGTGTAAGGACCTGTAGTCTGAGGAGCCTCGGCCAGGCGCCTGTGGTGCTTCGTGTCCAAAGGCTGGTGTCAGGTCCCAATTCGGATTCGTTGCATCTGTGTTTAGAGGCGGTAGAGACTTGTTCACCTGAGGCTGCGAAGTCCGTTGTCGGTTGATGTGAAGCTCTGAAGGCTGTAGCGGAGTATCACCGGAAGGCACCTCCTCACGTTCGGTCTCGGATCTCGTTCTGACGATCCTGGCCGATACGGATACAGAGTTGCGATTGCCTGTAGGGTCCGGCTGAACGCTCCAAGTTGGTGTTGCCTCACTAGAGTTCTCCCGTGATATCATATTACCACTAAGCCTCTTGCTTTGCCGCGCCAGCTTTTGCATCGAAGTCGTCCGCGACCTGGGTGGACTGCGTACAGACGTTTTTCTTTCTCTCCAAGCTGTGGTCGGCAGCTGCTCTGGAGTGGGTGAGCGAGCTGGAGGGTTGGGGCTGACTTCTCGACTCGACACTTCGGCCAGGGCCTGGATACGCTTCGTGATGCCGGTAGACACATTGCGCCTCAAGCCTTGCAGGGGGTCAGCACGCTCCAACTCAGGCGTCGAGCTTGCGTGTTTCCGCCATGGAGACGAAATCTGCGGGACAGGTGAAGCTCGATCAGACCCAGCTTCGAATGGGTCAAGAAGATTTGACGACGATCGTCTGATCTTCACGGACCGCACAGACTCGGATAGTGTTGACTCGCTCGGATGCCTAGGGAACGATAGGCCATGTGGAGATCGAGCCATCGTCATAGTGGTCGCATCTTGAAAGGTCGCGCTCTGTAGCTCCTCCATGAGCTCGTCGTCGGAAGCAAAGTCGCCATCTCCGTGTGACGTGAGATGCAGAGGCTCAACGATGCCTCTTCTTCTCCGCGCCAGATCAGTGTTGTTGCGTCTAGGGCTCATGTTCGCGGGTTCGAGCGTCCCGCTGCCGCTCATATTGGCGGGCGGACTGCTCAGATCATTTTCTAGAGACCCGCGCCTAGAAGGCTGTGCATTATCGCTCGCCGGCGTCACAGGTCGAGTGCCCGCTTTCACAACAATCGACGGCACGTCCATACTCGATGAGTTGTTTGTGGTGGGCGCTCCAAGAAGGTTTGCTTCTGTATGCTGTAGTGGCATTTCGTGCGTATTACTAGCATGTTGAGGTCCGTCATCGAGCATGTCGAGGGAGAATATTGGCTCGGCGACCACAGTGTCAGCGTATTCAGAAGAAGGTGGCCGAACGGTCATGAAGTCTTGCGTGCTCTCTGCTGTACGACTTTGTTCCAACGTGTGGTCCTCCGCACGAGGCTCCTGGTGCATTGACACTGCATCTATCACCGCTTCAGAAGGTGTCGAGGACTGTAATACGCTTTGCACCTCCTCAGCATTGCGGTCTGGTAACGCTTCACCTGGTGCACCAAGCGACGCAGGAGGTGTCAGAGCTCGTGTCACTGCGTGCACAGCCTTCATCTGGTCAGCTTTTTGCGGCTCTTCTTCAACGCCATGTCTCGGTGGCGTAGCAGGTCGGACTTCGTTGGGAGCTGGCTCAAAGTCTTGCTTCGCCTCCGGTTGCTCATCAGTGTGGCTGTACTTCATTTCAATACCGGAATCCGCCTTCTTCGTGTGTTGTGCTTCTTCCAAAGCCGCAAGTGCCTGGTTGGTGGCATATTGAGTTCTGCCTGTGGGTTGATATGTCTCCATAGGCGCCCGTGACTGAGCGGGTAGTGTAGGCACTGCGGGAGCTTCTTCATCGGGAGGTGGAACGAATGAAGCGGGCTGTGGATTTGATTTACGCAACTGCTTTTTGCGCAGCTCTACCGCCTTCATCAGTCTCAGCTTGTCGTTCGTCATCCCGACTGATTTGTGCGAAGGGAGCGACTTGATGCTACCGCGTGATACTGGGCGAGGTGTATACTCGGGTAGATTCGGGATTGGTGGTGGCGCTGGAAGGTCTTGAAGAGTGTACTGCGGAGCAATCTTTGCTGGAGTTTGCAACACTGGCTGACTTGGCTCCGACTTCTTCTGCGCAGGTCGAAAGTTGGATGGAATTGCTGCCGTACCCGAGACCGTCGTTCGCTTGTTGCGTTCGCCAGGAGCAACGGGTCGCGGTCCGAGCTTGACTTTCGGTTTCATGAAGTCAAATTTGCTGAGGTCGTAAGGGTCATCATCAAGCTTTCGATTCGTGGCCTCACTTATGCCTTGACGCTCACTTACACTTGGCCTGTCTAAAGGGCGGTTCGGTACTGTACCGGTGTGTAAGTCGCGTGACGTCGAAGCAGGAGCATACGATCTATTCACAAAATCATTACGCCCCACATTTGGATCGCTACGCTCGTTCGCTCGCAGCGCTTGAGGCTCATGAGTGGTGGCCAGAGTCTCCACAGTCTTACTAGAATCATCTGAGCTGGCATATCCAGCACTGGAAGTGATCGAAGGCTGAGAGCTGAGCGAAGTTATTGAGCGCTGTCCAGACTCTTCGCGCACAAGGAATTGTGAGATCGAGGCTTTCTGAGTTGTGGGTACCGTTGCAGCTGGCAGACTGGTCGGATCATCTGTTACTCGTATCGAAGGGGTTGTACGTCGATTAGTTTGGCCGGTCATGAGCTGATCAACCCGCTTTTCACTCTTGTACCGCTGCGTGCCAAAGATCGAGCCTGTTGAAGAAAAGGTCTGCTTCGTTGTTGGTCTTGGTCCATGATCTTCACCATCCTCACTGATCTCGTGCAGACGATTCGAAGATGTCGAAGGCGACGCTGTGTGGAGTGGGAATGATGCAGCCAGAGATGTGTCGTTCAAGCTCTCGGGTGTCGTGATCTCCAGCAAAGTCTCATAAGGCGAGTATCGTTCTAGAATGTGACCAAAGTGTACCACCGTGCGTGCTACTTCGTCGTCAGCGCTCATCCATCAACCTCACCCTGCAGCCATTGTGCTCACCTTGCAGTAATCTCGAGGTGCCATCTGGAATATACTTGATAAGAACCTTTCGTCGCCGATATATGATCAGGCCGTAAAGTGGCGAGGCTTCCTCGTACTTGGCAAGCGCAACACGGGCTTCGTGCACCCCTGCCTTCCCTCGACCAAGCAGCGCAACCGAGTCGCGGGAAGTATACTTCAGCAAGAACCTAGAAATAAAATCTCAGCCACTGTGCATGTACATCTGCCATTGTCTCCGTCGCCATTCAACGCACCATCCTCCAGCCTCAGCCATCGCGTTCTTGTATGCCTCCTCGACATCCTGCGCATCCAATCCATTGAGCGACATCGTTTATCGTTCTCGTGCGCCCAGCTGTTTGCCGCAGCTCGTCGGGTTCAGGGGTGGCGGTCGTAGCAGAGTGCTATGCGCTCGCTGGCGCCACATTACACTGATCGCATCAGTTGTTCCGTATCGTCCTCGCTATCACAGTGATCATCGGCGTCTTCGAGGGTGTTTGTTCGATGTCATGCAGCCAGGTGAGACAATAGCGAAGAGAGCAACAGAGACACGAAAGACATCCAAGCGCGCAACCCTGCACCGGCACTATCCTGGATCGGCACACCTACGGTGCTTGAATTAGCTTTTGCGTGTGCTGCCGTAGTATGGTCAGTGCAAGCTTCCTCTCCACGCTCCGTCCACTTCTAGCCAATCCACGACTTGCTCAGCAATCTGAAACCTGCTCCACCAATGCGTGATGATAACACCGCCGCGTCGGTAAGGAGGAGCAGAATAATCAAGCCGACCGTCTAGACCTGTTCGAGAAAGTGCAGCTCGCTCTAGACCGTCTTAATCTCGATATGAATAGCTCCATGGTCGAAAAGTGCTCTTCTATTTGCGTATTCGAGAACAACCACTACCCTGTCCACAATCTTGCTATTTTCCGAACGTGCATATAGGGCCTACATTGTGGCGTTGCACCACATGGAACAGACCAGCTGAAATGCTTGCACCGAGGCCCTGGGCAAGAGCAACGATTGAGGCGGTACGATTGAGGCGGTATCAATGGCACTTGCAATTACATACAGGTGTTCGCTGCCCAGCAGTGCATTTACATTTGATCTTGTCCACCCACACGTACCCCTTCGTCCTGCATCAGCGCCGCCACGCCTTTAGTGTCACGCCAAGGGCAGTCGTCACGAATTCTTTCAACAAAGCCGCCGAGTCGAGTAATGTAAACTATCTGCCGGCGCATATGGCCATGATCGTCTCGAGGAGCATCTATTCGGTGGCAACAGCATCGTCTAGGATAGCTTCGATGTGTCGTCAATTGTCTCTTCTCCTGCATGAAGCGCGATCCATTCTCCGAAGCTGCATGAAACTAAAGTTCACCAGGATGCATCCCCGTCCCGATTTCTCCCAAAGCTTATCCTTAATATTCCTTTTCCGATAAACACCGTGCGCACCTGTTTGACCTCACCTAGACACAAGCTATACAGAATATCTTCAGGACGACAAGAAATCCTCAGAGTGATGGCCGGGCTGAGCAATTTACCAAGCATTGACTCCGTGCCTTCCTTGTCAACGGAAGTGCGAGCACAGATACTTGACTTGCTCTTCGAGCCCAGCACACAACTGCACACTCTCTCCGTGCCACTGTTGCACGAGAAGACCTTCTCGTCATACAATGACCTGATTGCCGCCGTTGGCGTACAGCTCACAGAGTTGTCAGAGTCTGTATCGTCCTCAGACACCAAATGGCTGGAGGACATACTTGGCAGTCATCCTCGGCTGGGAGCCAAGAAAGTCGAGAGCGCACAGAGTCAGGCGGAGCAAGCACAATTACAAGGCAGTGCTGCGGAAGCCGAGCAACTTCTGCACTTGAATCATGACTATGAAGCAAAGTATCCTGGCTTGCGATATGTCGTGTTCGTGAATGGGCGTAGCCGATCTGTCATTATGGACGACATAAGGCAAAGGATTGCTAGCAGTGACTTGCAGGCTGAGCGTGCGGCCGCTATTAGGGTAAGGCATGAGTCTTAAGGACTGACGGACAGAGCAACTGTTAATGAGATTTAGGCCATGTGTGAGATAGCTGCTGATAGAGCAAGCAAGCTTATTTGACTAACTCAATGTCCTCACTACTCAACGACCAGATACGGACCATGCATCGATCTCCACGACGGTTCAGCGCCGCGGAACAACCAACCGTGATCGATCATCAAGACAAGATCGCGACCGCTGGCATTGTCGATTAGGTTCCTAGCTGGCAGGCAGTGGACGTAGCAGATTCAATCGCGCTTCTTAAGCTCCCCCAACTGAGCAGGCGCAGTACCTGAAGTCTCCTTGCCGTCCTCGGGTTCTCTTACCTCTGCCGCAGTCCTCTCCTCTTCGGGACCACCAGAGGTTCTAGCAGACTCTTCGACGCCCTTGTTAGCATTTGAAGCCTCCATCTCCATGGCCTCTGCTGTCTCGTGAGCTTCTTCGGCACTGCCACTTACAGCCTCCTTATCGGTGTCATTGATGCGCCGCACAGCTTCAGGCAAGCTGCTATCTTAAGATGTTTACTTTCCGCTCACCACGAACGGTACCCCAGAACCCAACTGCTTTTCGATTGGTTTCCTCAACCTTTCGACGTTCCCGGGGTGTTGCAGCTGTTGGTACGCCGTTGTTGGGTAGACTGGCAGTCATACGGCCCCGTGCAAGGTACCAAAGCAATTGATGAGGTCTCTCTCCAGCCTCGAGAGGTTTGGGCTTGCGGACGTGTTGCCAGAACGACATTCTGAGGTTGCTGCCACGAGATATGAAAGTGAAGTCAGGCATGAACTTCTTGAAACAAAGTAGTGCTATATCATCCGGTTATATCGCCGCAGTAAATAAGCATATATTGTATGATGGCAAACACAGAACACCGTCCGTCAACACATGCCCTCATGGTCACTGTCTTGAGCGCGCGGAGTGTCAACTTTCGACCTTCACTACCGTACTCCTCTCGGGAACGGAAAGCCTTGCTCTGTCCTGCACGCAGATATCCGTCCTGACACTGATATCACCTTGCTCACGCCTACCACCAGCCCGCTCTACGTTCTGCTCTGCTCCTCGCGAGAAGCGGTGGTTGTCGACAAGCACTCTGCTCGACTTAGGACGTGCTGGCTCACTGATTGCTACTCTACGAGCAGGCGAAGGACGTACGATAGCCTTCAATGGTGCTGTAATTGCACTTCGTGGGGTGGCGATGCGGTCGTCAATGTCCTCGCAGTGAATTTGTTCAACGGTGTACAGTGCTCGCTTGAGAACAGTGAGCTGCTCTGCTGTTAGAAGTGACTTCAGCTCACGGCATAGCAGGATTCGTTGATCTGTGGGGAAGTCTCTGGTCAAGTATCGCACCGCCGCAAGGGCTCTCGCTGAACCCATGTCCTGCATAACGAGTATTTCAATTCCCGGTCCATCTCCAGGCTTGTATATCCCGATTCCTGTGGACTATCAGTCCGTTGCTGGTCGCAGATGAGCAGCTTTTCCATCATCACCTACCTGTGACTTGTTGCAAGCGATGCTGCACCTCTTGAGCCAAAGGTGTCAGGAAGCTCAACTCGACCTCGTATCCGAAGTGGTCAAGAACTGGCGTGAGCCCGAATATGCTTGAACGCTTACTCGCATTTCGTGCCAGTTGTGGCCGAGAAGACTCCAGGGTTTGCACAAGGTTTGTGGCCGGCGGCATCGCCCTTGGCTGTTCGAGCTTGATGCCCCCTACGTTTGCAAGGGTCATACCACTGTCTCCGTAGACGGCAGGACGACGCTTTTTCTGTAGCTTCTTCCCAGGGCTCTTCTGCTTCGATATAGGCTTTTTCCTCCCAGAGAACATGTGAATATGTAGCCATTGCAGGCAGCGTCGCCAGAAAGGATTTCGCGGTACCGCCTCGGGATGTGGTGATGCCATTGCGTAATCGGAACAGAGAATGCAGAGCAGACCTTCAGGATGGGTCAGATTGAAAGGTGTGCTCCCAGAAGCAGTTCTACCAAGGTGTATCGAAATCTTGATATAAGGGGTGCATTTCGTGTTCACTGACAGCATGTGCTGTGACCACGTGCAGATGTAATCGGCCTGGAAGTGACATGTGAAAAGCATCAGGAGATATACCTGGAGGACGTCGCGAATGTATTGCGCACTGGTACAGGCCCAAGACTTTAGGGGTAAATGGGAGGTCCCGTATCATCCTGGCACCCGGCGCGAAAGTGAATATGTCGCTCCATCCCTCCACGTATTTGTTCGCAGTCTTGCCAATCGTAACAGTCATAAGAGAGCACAAGCTCTTGTCATGCGGTCGCGATGACAGGCCCGCGCAATTGGGAGCCAAGTGGGTTGCCCTTTCGTGTACGCTACAAATGGTCATGATACCATCGTATGGCGATCCATATGCTTGACTCGGCACTTGTTTGATAATCGTCGTCCTGCTGGTGCACGCCGCTCTCAAGATCTTAGTCGAGGTCGAGTCTTACGCTCCATCCTCTAACACACCAGCCGTGATATTGGATGCAGGTGCCGAGCTCGGAAACATCAACCCTTCTATTTTTGCCTTTGCTGTATACTACCTGTGCTACGAGTGTGATATGCCGATGCTGCATTTGAGTGGCAGCGGCATACCCGAGCAATGCTGATCATTCGCCATCAGGGTACACAGAGCATCGAACAACTCCTTTCCCATCGCCGGCTGTGGATAGATTATGAATCTACGATGTCTGACCCAGGATCTAAGGGCTACAATGGGCAGTGCGTCTAACTTTGTGTGAACATTGTACGTCTAGCAGAGGAGCGGATGAAATCGCCTTGGACGTAGGTGGAGGCCGTGAACGTGAATCTTCTGGTGGTGTTTCTACCTCATCAGGTCTAGTCAGTCAGACTGAGCCAGGTTCATTCCACGTAAAGATATGAAAGGGTTACGCAGACACGATGAACATGGGCCGAAGAGGCTAGCGAGGGAGATTTTACTGGTGACACCACAACTGCCAGCTTTAGAGTCCCAGAGATGTCCTTCGTCTTCCAGTCGGCAGCCCAAATGTTCTTCGGTTGGCATGTGTAACAGAGGAACTAGGCGAGGTGGTATGCGAAAGCGTGCCTCAGGACATTTTTGCGAAGTTGCGTCTCCGAGAATGACTGTGTCGCATGTCGCCTGTCGCCTGTCACTTCTATTTCTGCGACATCGCTTGCGGGGAAATTCTGCATGATCTTTCTTCTGGAATAATAATAACCAAGCTGGCGGATCCGATTGACGGTGTGGTGCAGCAAGACTACATGTACACTCAATCTTGCTGTCCGATTCTGTCTCCTAAAGAGCACGTTTTTGTTGCAGGAAAAACTCCGACTCATGGTGGATGGATCGTGCAAGGCGGTCTAAGGTAGGTAGTCTTACCGTGGCAGGTTTGTAGCGTGGTATCCAGGTATCCTCGGTCAAGGTTAGACTTTGAGGAAGCCGCCGATCGGCTGGGTCAAAATTATGACGACAGGCACGGCACTATCCTAGAGAGGAAGGTGTTTGCACATGGCGATCAACAACCAGGATGATGAGAAGACAGGACTCATCGCCGCGATAGTAGTAGTACCGTAGTAGTGGCAGTCTGAACGCATCAAGCTATGAGGAGGTACTTCCAGCCGTAGTCAGGCAACACGATGACTCCACCTGCAGATGCTGAGCTGCGCAGGACACGGCCATAGCCTCCAAGGCGCGCACGCGACTGGCTGCGAGCCTTATCAGTTGCGCCTTCGTATCGACCCCGAGACATCCCACGCAGGTGAAGTATCGCCGTTGGCTGCAGATGCTACCTCAGCATCCTCCACAACATCCTACGTCCTTCAACCTACGCACCCCATGCCTCCAACTGACGTTAAACATCTCCTCTCACAAAGCATTTTCCTCACGCCGGGTCTCGGAGTTGCTTATATCAATAGACCCTGGTCAATCTAGGTTACATAACAAGAACACGGCCCGTGGTCACCGCCGTCTTTAGTCCCATCGGTAGACATCAGTCAAGCGTCATTTGGATATTCAGGCACCGCAGAAGAGCCAGGGTTACGGGTAGTTCAGTCCACGCAAAGCGATTGCGCTTTCGAGCCACAAGACCGGCGCACGCTTGGACCACGCTATACCTCAGGTGCTTTGCACCGTCTTTTCTTCGACACGATGATGGTCCCACGAAGTTATCGGTATTCTTCTTCGCCGCCGAAGGATGCCGTGATTGTTGACGAGAAGAGTGGTGGGAGGAGAAGTCATAGGAAGCCCGCACAGCCGAGGGAACCAGAAACATCAAAGTCAAGAGCTACGCCAACGACACCGATCGCAGCCGAGCCAGCACATGTTGCTTCGCGACCAGTAGCAGTGCCACAGTCGCGACTAGATCGTATCCAGGGCAGCATGCCTAAAACACTGGCCAGCCATGGTCAACACATTTCGACTCGAAGCCGAAGACGAGCACCGCAGGGTCATGACCCGAATGCACTACCACCAGCGGTAGCCGCTCTGCTAGCGATGACCGCGATCCCGCCTAGACGACCAACCCAGTCGCGTAAGCAGTCACGCGAGCAGCGTCGCGTGTCCATCGATGAGCTGGTCCATGATTGGAAGAACGATGACAAGCTCAAAGCAAGCTACAGTAGTAGCCCAGCATTGAGTGTGTTATTAGAAGATGTCAGCGATGGTGAAGATACAGTCGCTGCATCACAGGACAGCTGTGTGGACGACGGGTACTTGTGTAACAGGTCGGCGTCCAGCGAAAGTGTACCATCCTTGGATTTGGACGATCGATCAGTTTTATCGCTGAGCAGTCCACGGACACCAGCATCGTTGCGTAGCCGGAGGTCATTGACGAACCTGAAAAGAGACAAACCTCGTCCGAGTTTGTCGCGGGAAGAAACGGTTTCCATCCATCCACTGGCATCGCCAGCTCCGCAAGCAGAAAGCGATGAAGAGGACATCGTGTCTTCAAATGCTGGCAGCCGGCCTTCGACTCCGAAATCGAGATCATCTTTCACCTCCAACCTGACAACATCTTTGCGGGCGCTGAAGAATGTGACCTTGAGCTCGATTGCGTCCTTCAGTCTTAACAGCGCAACAGCAGCATCGCAACGGTCACAGCCTTCACGCTTCACAGACGTCATGCTTTGGTCGCACCCCTACCTGTTCCCGAGGCTGAGCTCCGAGATCAGGCCCGCCATCCAAGGCACTGCCACAGAGGCTCAGCGACGCTACCACAATCCGCTTCCGCTCAGTTTCGAGGAACTCGAAGCTCCGTTCCAGCTTGCTTTACACGCTCCGTACCTGCGAGAAGAAGTCGCCGAGATGCCGACAATCCAGATGCAAACGTATGGTGGTAAACCTGGTAAACGGAAAGGCCTAAGCAACCAGAAGCGAGCCGCTAGTCCCGATCCGAATTCCGAGGCTGGAAGAGCTTTGCAGAGCGCCAGTGGTACACGGCAGCGTGAGCCTCGTGAGAATAGCGATTTCTTGCGCGTCGTGGTCCTGGAGATGAATATGAGGAGAGAGGGAAAGCTGGAGACCGGACGAGCGAGGATATGGTTGCCACCAAGGCAGGTGAGCACGCCATCTGCAGCTGTGAGCACGGTACCAGAGCGATGGGTTGGCTTGAACGCTTATCCTTGAGCTTGATCAGGAAGTACCAGGAGCGTAGAACAATGACGACTCGACGTGACCTCAAATATGATACATTGTCAAGTTATGCAGTGCGTTTGATACAGCTGACTCTGGCAAGGAAAGCCGGCCGACGATTGCAAAAGTGGACAGGGCGCCCTCATTCACATCTCTCACATCCATCTCTTGGACCACAACCGATGAATACCTGTACCTGCACCTATACACTTACAATTCACCTTGCACACTGCATCATGTGTGATGCTACGACACCTTCTCGAAGGCCCATCTTCAAATAATCTATGCGTAATCATGCCCACCGCTCCATAGTCTGCTACACCAATCACATGTGGTTACTGTATTATACGACAATGAGAGTGACCAGGATGTCTTCATACCAGGGACGTCGAAAGTATGAGGTCTAAAGTTCTGCGTTCTTGACAAGGATAGGCGTTCGTGAGGTATGTATAGTCCTCGCCAGAGAGGCCATGGCCTTCAGTGCCATCGTTGCGGCTTTCAACGCGGCCCCCGATGTTCTCCTATACCATGTTCATTGGCTGCATCACGATTGAAAGCATCCGTGGCGAGAGCCTTTTTGCCACAGAGATTGGAATCGGGTGAACTGCCACTCCATCTTCCCTCGCTGACCTTCTTGCCAATCGATTTCGTCTTCTCCGTGTAAAGGGATACTGACAACCAAAGGACGGCTTAGCTGGAACGTGTCCAGCTTCTCGCTTTCAACTTCCACCGAAATCCAGCATGAATGGCAGACTTTATTTGGACGGCAGTATGTTCACCGCGGCTGCTGTGCTTGGGTTTAGCTGCTATCGGTATGGTGCCGAGTAGAGAACACGTGGCGCCCACCAGGTTTGTGAAGCAATTTCCAGTACGGCGCGCGCAACATGTCGCCAATCTAGAGAGATATATGGCTCGTCATCGTGGTACCCAGTGCTTCCATGTGGCATCGCGAGCCTTCATGTACTCACGACTCTCGATAGACTTCGTAAGACCATAAAGACCACTGACTGGCCACATGTCGAATAGCAACTGTGTCCAGGTCTTATCGAGCTCCTCGTCAGAACCACCTTTCCCGTGCTTCACGTGGACCTTTTCGTAGACGGTAGCTAGACTGCTGGCATGATACTTGTCGCGCAATGCGTCGTAGGACGACTTGTCGAATTGAGACCAGAACTCCTCTTCTGTGTAGTACGTCTGCGCGTACAACCACTTCATGCCTCCTAGTTCCAGCAACTTTGCCTCCAGCTCGCGATTTGCTTCCAGGAAGGCTTTGTGTTCTGGCGGCGCAAGGCCCCAGAGGCCAACATTGAGCATTGGCTTGAGAGTCGTACCATCAGACTCCTTTTCATTCAGATGAGGATGCATTGTCGGCAACACACTTTGCTTGAGCGGGCACAGCCACAGCGGGTATATGTTGAAACGAGAGTCTGTGAAGTCGACGAAGTCCTTTGCGGTGGCATAAGGGAGCGCTAAGTCCTGCACGATAAGCCTTTCAGATTGTCCACTGCTATGGAGTGCATTGTACAGCATCCGGGTATGTAAGAAGTCATCTAGAAACCAGCATGTGAAGCTGTTGAAAGGTAATGGTTTGAAGTAGTCGAAAGCAGCGGCGCCGACCCAAAACCCGCCTCGATCGTAGCGGAAGAGATACTCAGGTAGGGGCACAGCCTCAGAAGCTGACTCGCTGTGATTGCCGATCTTGTCTTGCACATGGAGATAGAACCACGGATCGCCGGGAGCGCTAAAGCGCTGTACTGGTATGCCTGGTGTTGGATTGTCCGTCAGACGACCAGTAATGATTGCCCCTCGAGTCTTGGAGAACATAATCCCATCAAGATAGTCTACCTCGTCTGGTCGGTTGGTGAAGAGCTTCAGCTTCGCCATTGCTTCGTCCATGCCACCCTTCACAGGATGATATGTCGTCTCCACATACTTGCACGCCTTCCTGAGTCGAAGCCTGACCAACGTCGTCACGCCGAGCGTGCCAACAGCTCCAGCCGCACCACGAAATAGATCTCGATGTTCGTCTTCCGAGCACGTAACGACATCGCCATTAGCCAAAACAATCTCGATTTGATCCAGAGTCTGATCGAAGAAGCCATGCTTGAACGAGCTTGATTCTCCAGAAGTACCAGCGTAGCCACCACCCACAGTGATTCCTGGAAACTCCATAACAACTGGTGGTATGAGGTTGTACTTCAATGTCTCCTCGACCAGGCGATCCATGGGGACATTCGGCTGCACGAGAGCATAGGGTGTATCTTCATCAGCATGAACTAGCAGAACCTTGTTCAATTGGCTCGTGTCGACTACGGTGTTTGCGTCGCGGCCCATCGCCGACTTTCGTGTGCTGTTCGTCGAGCCATGGTAGATGCGGAACTTTTCGCCACGGTCGTGGAAGCTTCGGACACTTGCTGCGACGTTTGCCACTGCTTTGCGGTGCTCATGAAGCAAATCTATCGTGCCGTCAGGCTGTGGGATACTGTTCGTCCACTTGCTCATCCACTTTGAAGTGCTCTCGTGGGATATGAGCTCTCCGTTCATGGCCGAAGATCTGCAATGGTACTGCGTCGAGGTAAAGATTTTAAGGCAACTTCCTACTTGAGCGGGCGATCGATAGTTGATCCGCGCCGAGCCCTCGACCACAACGCCTTTTGCTTTTGCGCGCAAGCAGCCCGAGTACATCAATTCTTTCGAAATAGAGCGGATTCAGTGGTGATCATCATACATTAAGATCAGGGAATGCCGGGGGAAAGCTAGCTTACTCGACCATCTCCCCAAAAATGTTGCAGCTACATGGTTGGTCAACCACATGGATACACACAGCCTCATGCAACTTTGACATACTCCATTGCGACATATATCAGGAGGCCTTGCCTGAGTACCGGGTGTCCATGACCCATGACACACCACAAAACTGCTTCGTCTAGCTCGATCATCCTCATGTGGTCCATCGATCTCCTACTGCAACTCAAGCATCTTCGTAGAAACGATCCTGACACGACCACCACGTCTCCATGAGCACCGTGCAGTGCACTTGATCGTAGGAGAGTATGTTCCAAACCGGCACTATGCAGTGGTTGAGCCTCAACGTGGCTTTCTCGTACCATCTGGTGCGCATCATTTAGTCTCGCTTCCACCTTTTCCTTCTCTGCGTCACAACCGTACGGCACTGAATATTGCATGGTGCCGGCTGTTGCGGGAATATCTAGGTGCGCTGGGCGGTAAGTCTGGAGACGCATATGGACTCGAAAGTCTTGACGAGGTACGATAGGCCTACGATCTCGAAACATGCCCCAGTAACGATCGTTGGCGTACTCCCAGAATCTCGAGAACTCTTCTCTAGTGAATACGTTTTTGCTGCCTTCCAAGTTGAAGAGTAAGCCCTGCATGAAATTCACCCGATCGTGATCAATGTCCTTGAGCATCTCCGCGACGGCATCAGCCACTGCTTTCTCTTTCACTTGCGGGATCCTAGTCCTGCCGTCGATCTCAAACGCGTGAGCGTAGTCGGTCATGATGGTGAAATGATTGAGCGCGAAGAACATATCGGCAGTCTCCTGTTTGGCTCGTCGACAGGTATGCGTGATAGTAAAGCCCACAGTGTATCCTTCGGGTACGCCACCCGCGACGTATAAGTGAATGCCCTCGGGCACGTGTGGAACGAGCTCCCAGATCAAATTGCACAACTCAGCGGGCAGTTTGCCAAGTGGCGACTGGTTCATTTTTGCTGAAGACGCTGGCAATGCGTGGCCACCACGGAGTCCCACCCGAACTGCAAGTAACGATTTGTCGAAGAACAATCTCGTATAGCGATCGGCGCTTCTCGGATGAAGATGTTTTGCGGCTGTTGAGTGTTGTTAGAAGTAATGACTCTACGCTCATGTCAGAAGACGTGAGCTTGCTACGTCCAGGTCCGAGCTCTTCACGCTAGTGAGTGAGACGAGCGTGGAAAGTGTGATCCAGTCAGTATCATATTAGCAGCTCAAGGCCGCCTTGGTTTGTCGATGAACATGCTTCCTATACCTACATATGTACACTCACCATAGCCTCCACCGCGTGAATACTTTTCTTGCTGCAGCCACTTTACTCCGTCTCTTCTACACATGATGTCGTCTTCGAACCTACACGGCAGGCCTGTTAGGGTCTATAGTGCCCATGACCTTGGCAGTATCTGGGCCTCCTTCAGACTTCTTCGATTTCTCTGGGTCCTCGTCGATCTGATACGAGTGTCGAGTAGGTGTGTTGGACAAACCAAACTGCTTGCCAGTAATGTCACCCTCCTTACCTTTCGCAGGAGGCTTTGAGGTGGCGGCCTGTAAACAGTCAGCATGCAACTAAACCCCGCAGGCGAATGACAACACCTACCTTCTCCTTCTGACTGCCATCATCTGCCTCTTCATAAGTCTCCTCGCTAGCACCCAGGTCCTTCTGCAGACCAGAGTCTACGCGCGTCTTCCTGCCGCCCTTGTTGTCTGGCTCGCTCTTGCGCGACTCGGTGGCGCCATCGGATTCGGGCTTGACGGCACCCTTGCCAATGCGAGAATCCCCACCACCTTCTTTGGGCTTCGAGTCCTCGCTTGATGTTACAGAACCAGTATCTTGACCCTCGCCTTGCGACCCGGATGGCTTGCCAGAGGCTGACTCCTCACCAGGAGCCTTGCCCTTTTCTTGCTGATCCTTTGGCGCCTTTCCAGTAGAGGACTCGTTGCTCTTCTCCTCGGGCTCTGCCTCGCCTTGTTCTTGAGACGAGGTGTCCTCCTCTTTAGGTGCCTCTTCCTCCTTTGGTGCCTCCTCTCCTTCGGCAGGCGCCTCCTCTTCATGAGCCTCCTCTGCGTGCTCGTCGTGACCGTGATGGCCAAAGTCGGCGTGGGCAGTAGGCCAGAGGTACCAGCACGCCGGCACAGTGACGGCCGTCCCACCGATCATCCTCCCTTGTGTCAGCATATGTTCGCAAATTCTCACTCAATCTTGTCGTGTACATACCATGGGATATCTGAAGTAGGCTCACCATGACCGTGGCCACCACCACCGCTAGCATATCTCCTGCCGACGGACAGCTGCGTTCGGGCTGGCGCGGAGATTCTCGAAGTAGCGCGTGTAGTAGTGGATCGGAACGTTGATTGAAGGCCTTTCAAGGCCCTGGCGCGTGCGACAGACATTTTTGCAAGAGTCAATGGCAAAATTCGAAACAGTGGGTAGAGTTGCAGGACCTTGAGCTACGTTTTGGTTGTCTTCGGAGCTCTGGCTGGAGAACTAGCAGTTCCCGTCCGTGCACGCCCACGTCACATTGACCGATATGATAAAAATTATGTATTGTTCTATCTTACGACGTCTCGTCTACGAATCTTGCGTTTAAGGTGCTGCACGCGCTTCGCTTCAAATAGCTCTCCACGATGGCTATGTTGACTCAAGCTGGAGGCCACCCATGGGCAGGTCCCCACCCAGGCCTACCATCAGCCCCAGCACTAGCAAATCCCAACTGTTGCTCCACCTGCCTCGTCTCTACGTTCTCCGGCGCATCATAATCTACAGTAAACAAGGTAACAGCGCCTTGGCAAGCCGTCACCACCATATTCTCCCCTGGCAAGCTGCAGTCACCATTGTAACACTGGTTCTCACCAGCTGGCTTCAAGCCAAAGTAGTCGTTGTTTGGGATCCCGACTAAGCCGGTGGTAGTGTTACAGTATATCTGAGGCATGCCTGCGCCGCCGGTGAAACGTGATTGCACAAAGGGTGGGTTCTGGCAGCTCGCATTCAGAGCTGGGTAATCGACATTCAGGCCGTAGCCGAGTGGTAGTAGACGTTGGCCCGATTTGGTGCCATTGGCGAGGCGCTCGATCAATTCAACTGAAAGCTCGGCTGCCCAGGTCGCTGAGCTGGAGGTGTTTGTCAAGGTCGTATAGCTCTGCGTAGGATTGGCTGGTGAGGTCTTGAAATGTAATGACCTACTTCGAACTCGTTCAGACTTGACAAGCAGACCTACCTTTTACAGCTTCTTATACTGCCGGCCGTCCCGATGCTTTTCCTGTTGTTTCTTTGCGTCGGACCGCGTGGGATGAAAGAGCTGTAGCCATGTTCATGCACGACCAAAGCAGGTACAGAACCCGTGCATGTCTCCAGAGCTTCGATTCGCCGCTTCTGCTCAAGCGCAGGGTGAGGTGACTGTTGGCCCACCTGCTTTGACTCGTGCATACTACCTTAGATATGTTGGGTGCGGATACAGTCGCAGTGGCTAGGTGCCAAAGTGCGTCACAAGGAGCTTGACCATGAGCAGAAGCCATGAAACCCGTGTCTGTCTTTGCACAAGCGCTATAAGCTTTTCGGCGACCAGAAATATGTGTACGCATACATGCATCGAGAATGGCTGGTCCAGGGTATCTTAAGTCCATATAACGCCATCTACATATATCGTTTCTTACATCCATCGACGTAAGAGCATGAAGATCAAAGCTCCCACCACAGCCCAGATAGCCTTGTCGATCCAGGGCGGTAGTCCTTCTTCGACTGGGCGCTGTTGCGTTTGTAATTGCTGTGCTTGTGAATGTGCGGGTGCCGCGGCTGGTGCTGAGGACGTCCCTGCTGCATTGGCCATTGCGGATGCTGCTTTCGTGGTCGGTCCGTCATGAGGCTGCGCTGTACTTGATGCAGTTACAGCAGATGGTGATTGTGCCTGTGATGTACTTGGATTGTCTTTCCTCTCACTCAAGTTCTCCCTGTAAGCCAGCCTCAACTCCTCCGGCACAATCTCTTCCCTCTGGCCATCCTCGCCAAGCTCTTTGACAGCCTCATCCTGCTCCTTCATAACCTCTACATTACTCTTCCCACAAGCTGTACACTTGAAACTCGTACTTTGCCCAGCCATCCGTCTCCTCACATCATCCGAAGCCTCCATACCACCTAGCTGCCCACTAGCACTAGTGTCCATGAATGATCGGATCGCGACCAGCGCTGTCCGAATACCCCATGCAGGCTGCCATGTCTCCTCGTGATGGCCTGATATACTTAGACATATCTCACGGTTGACTTCGAAGCGTCCAGTAGGCGTCAGGAATCGGAAGCTAGGTGGCTTGAGTGGGTATGCGGGTGGTAGGACTATCCGGCCATGATACAATCCACCTTCGAATGGTGACGGTGAGGGCGGACCACGGATTGTGAAATGCCATTCGAAGAGATCTGTTTCTAGTGGTGCCGCATGATAGTCTGAGGAGGGTTGGTTGGCGAGCTCGGAAGCTTCTTTTAAGATACGTTTGATGGTTGGGTTCTTGGAGGAGAACTGGCCGGCGGTTGACATGATTTGTCTTTGACGACGGAGGTATTCAGGAGTGTGTATTCAGGTTCCCGACATTGCTATATCTCAGAAGTACCTTTATCTACTTGACTTCTGTCCAGCTGGCTAGAACATGTGCTTGTGACATAAAGTGCACTTGCAGTACGCTGGCCTAAGCACTCAAATAACATTCACTTCTGGAGGTCGGAGCTATTCCGCTTCTGGACGTCCACCTGTTGTTTCGCATATATCCTCTGTGCTACGCTTGAGTCGTCATCTCGCATCTCTGATTATCATTTGTCTTTGATTCGATATACTGGTTAACGAGCAATGGCTAGGACAGTGATCCACAAAGCAGAATCTCGATACATCACGCAGGTCGCGTATTGAGCGCGACTCTGAGATGTCAATGAGCATAAGGTATCCATCATCAAACTATGGCATTCTCTTCCTCGTGACTTCCTGCTTGAGATGGAACCACGAGTTTGCTCGACACGACCTGGGATATTCCTGGCTGCCAGCCATATGCCTGGGCCACAGTGGATGCGCACGATCGATGTGCATGTATGTACGCATCGTACATGGTGGAATGAGTGCCCGACCGCGATCTGCGCCACTTCGCACTCAACATCAGCGATGAGGAAATCTCACTCTTCCGGAACATGTGTGTCCCTACGCATTCGCGAACGTAACCACGCTGGCGGCTCCGTGTCTCCGACACCACGCACTGAGTCAAAGGTGCGATGTCGTTAGCAACAGCGCAAGGGTAAGGGGTTAAGTAGCCAAAGCTCGGAAGCTTGCTGCCGGGTACGACGAGGATAATTTGATGTCTCAGGAAGTATATTCTCGTGCCATGGGAAGTCTTGGTCGAGCCAAGTGCTAGCGATGCAATGACTACCTTGCGGTCGACGGTCACCGATCGTACCATCTGCAACATTCACAGCAGTCGACTTGAACCTCCGAGCGTTCACTTTCCGCCCAAAGAGCACATCGAGTTCTGCGTACGTCCTGTTCTTCGCTTCTGGAAGCCGGAAGATTGTCCATACTGTCGAGAGGATGCTGAAACAGCCCCAGAAGAAGCCTGCTTTGCCTCGCCAACCCCATGCGTCGGGGTTAAGCATATATGGCGTCAACGACGAGTTGATGATGCCCATGACGCTCCAAGCGCTCGCAGTAATGACGATCGACTTCTGTCGGAGCCGTGTTGATGGCATCTCACCTACGACGGCGTACAGCACCGGTCCCATGAAGGTAGAGTGAATTGAAAAGAAGATGAGCAGTAATGCCCCAGTGGCCCAGTTTGCACTTTCGTTCGCTCGAGGCGCCAGGGAGATGAAGCCGATGGTAAAAAGTATGATGCACGACAGTACTGTTCCAGCCAGGTACAGTGTTCGTCGACCGAAACGTGCCATTAGCGCCCAGCTGCAAATCGTACCGAAGAAGCCGATGGCATATTGTCCCATGGTGAGATCAAAGGCATTAGTCGGCGAGAGTCCTGCTTGCTCGAAAAAGTAGGTGCTATACCCAGCAAGGCCATTGCCGTGAAGGTACTGAATCAGATAAGCCATGACTACGATCTCAGTCCGTCGCAGGTCGACACCTCGAAAGCAGTCCAGGTATGAGGTGCCGGTGCGGATCTCCTGCTCGATTTCGTTCGTACGGATCATCAGCTCGAGATTGTCTTTCAGCTCACGTTCGTCCTGGTGGCTGGTCAATCTCCGCAATGATGCTTTGGCGTCTTGTAGTCGACCTTTTCGAACGAGCCACCATGGAGATTGCGGTGCGAGCATGATTCCGAGGAAGAGCGGTATGGGCCATATCCACTGGATGGCGAACGGGGTCTTATAACCCCATTTGTCCGTCCGTGTAAGCAGAGCACGTAAGATGCCGGCACCGAGGAAGTGACCGAATACCCAGCATAGCTGGAACGCAAAATTGTGTCAGCAGTGACCGGTCAGAAGGTGCCAACATACTTACATTAATGTAGCTCGTGATATACGAGCGCAATGCTACTGGTGCAACTTCCGAAGCATATGCGGTTGTCAAGCCTTGATACGTTCCCCACGGTATGCCACACCTAACACTAATCAGAGGGTCATTTGTTACCTTGGTGCTCGAAATTATACTCACAGGATTTCGCCAACGACAAGGACTCCCAGATTCGGCGCGAAGAATGGTGCGAAGATGAATAGAGTCGTTGCGCACAGAGCTACAAGCATGACATGTTTATGCCTACGCAATGGTCAGCCCGCCGAGCTGGAGTCATGGTTCCGCAACGTGCACTATCCGCTACATGAACACCTACCCGTAACGATCTGCCAAATAGCCATTGAGTAGCAAGCCGATAATTCCACCAACGTTCGAACCATTCGATAGACTACTCTGCCACTTGGCTTGGACTTGGCATTTGGCCTTGCCGTTGACGGTATGGCATGTTCCATACTTCTTTTGAAAGGATGGGTAAGCGTAGAAGCTGTTGAGGAGAATGGTATCGTATGCCAGCATGACAATGGTTGTGCTGAACAGAATGGACCATGCCGCTGCTTTCGGGTATTGTCGTAGTGCAGTGCGCAAAGTCATATGCGTCTGCTCATCGTTGGCTGCTTTGGAGTCGCCGCCTTTGATGGCGTCGATGTCATCGCCATCCCGGAAGGTTGCACTTGTCTTGCTGGTGGATGGTTCGTCGTTGCGCATGTCGATAGCTGTGCTAGTGGTGGACTTGACTTTCATGTTTCAATCAGGTCATTTGTGCACCACCAGACGTTGTTGATTACTGCTGGAGTTCTAACTTCACTCGCAGTTAATCAGAGGTGGATTGCTCCCATTCGCACTATCACGCAATACCATTGCAAGATTATGCAAGTACCCTAGTACCGTCGAGCTGTGGTTGCGGGGAGGATATGTGCGCTGCCGAAGGATTCAAAACATCAGCTTTACCTTCGAACGAGTTGAGACAATGGAAGCGACGGTTCTTGACATAGCAAGTTGCACTGTTGGCGTTCGGAAGTCGTAACAGGGCTGCTTATCTACCATTGAAGCTAGCACATTATGTTCACCTGCACCGACAATCCATCATGGACCGATTTTGGTCTCTGGCACTTGTGATACACAAACCTCCCCCTATAGTCCCAGATAATCGTCGTTACGATAGTGTTTGACAGGTGTATGCTTGTACGAGTCACGAGCAGTATTGCGGGTGTCACTGTTGGTGCTGGGCTAGGAGACCTCCTGGCCTTCTCTCCATAGGACCTGACGGCATATAATCTTCGACGATCTTGTCACCGTCCTAGTCATTATCTATGCCAAGTCGCTGTAGACTATCGGCACGGTTTCATTGTAATCTACCTAACGTTTTACTCCGGTAGTGCGTACGCTGGAGCATTGTTTGATACTGACTTGTTAACATCGCTGCAATGTTCAGCCTGGTCCGCCTCTCACATTGACTGTCTGTTCCTCACTAACGTTTGATGATTCGTGTAGCTCTTCCATCTTCTGGTCATCGAGCCCCAACTGCTGCGGAACTTGATGGTGCAGTAGTATCTTGTATCTGCTACTTTGTAGATGTCCTGACAGCCCTTATGTCTGCTCTTCGAAGGGCGAATTTCAGTAAGATTTTTAAGCAGTTTTATCCTTACTCTGACGGCACTCAGTATTCGTGCTGCCTTGGACTGGTTTTTCGCGATAGGATGGTAATCGTCCGTTCGTCATACCAACACATGCATGGTACCTGATCTGCAGACTGTGAGGCTGAGCCAAGTAGTCGCCAAGCAAACGTGGTTTCAGCTTCCGGCCGCCTGCATCTGAGGTTCTTCTTCAGTTATCAACCTTGGAACACCTTCGTCTTATCCAACTCGACCTTTGACCACCATAAAAACGTCACCATGGGAGTAAGTGATACCTTCACACAGTTGTATATTGCTCTTCCTGCCAACTATGGCCTTGGCCCCTCCACAACACAGCCCCGCGCTACGTCATCGTCAACATGAGAGACATTGAACTCGGCATACTGACAAAAAGTGGTAGTTGGCGAGTAAATTGGCGGCAGCCCAAGGAGGCCAAGCACCCGTGGCAAACTACGGCTCCCAGCAGTACCCACCCCAAGGCCAGCAGCAGCAGGGCGGCGTACCGCCACCCGGAGGTGCACAAGGCGGAGCTGGCTACCGTACGTGACGTGTTGCTACTTCAGCAAACTTTGCGCTGACAAGCTACACAGCCGGCAAGCCCTCGTACACTGCTTACCCAGGTGGCGCAGCTCAAGTAAGTTATTAAATTACCTGCTTGCTTTGCGCTATTCCTTGCACATGCACCATTCCCTGCTTTGCTTCTGAATCTTGGCATTCCGTCCATCCACAACACACGACATCACCTACCAACGCCATGCCACTTGCCGCGAAGATGGCTGCAGGCGGTGCCGGCGCACCACCATACCCACAAGCTCTCCAGCCTGGCTATCCGGGACAACAGCAACCCTACCAGCAACAACCTCCATATCAGTCGGGTCCACCAGGCTACGGCTCGCCGGCACCTGGTTACGGTCAGCAGCAGCAGCAGGGCGGTTACTCACGTCCACCTCCGCCGCCGCCAGGTCAGCTGGTGAGTCCTTACCCAGGTCAGCAGCAGCAACAATATGGCCATCCGCCATCACAACAATACGGAGGACATGGTTCGCAGCAACAATCGCAGTACGGGTCACAGCCACCGTATTCACAGCAACAATCACCATATCCTCAGCAATCGGGTCCACCAGGTTACGGCTATGTTCGTCCATGTTGCGCCTTGCGATATCATCTCTGCGCGTTTGTTGATTCTATACGCGCATGCTAACCCAAGATGTTTTCACAGGGCGGCCCTCCTCCACAGCAAGGCGGCGGCTACGGAGGACCTCCTCCGCAAGGTCAGTATGGACAGCAGCCACCTCAAGGCGGATACGGCGGACAGCAGGGAGGACCCCAATACGGAGGAGCACCACCACCACAAGGCGGAGCACCACAGAATGTGCAGGGCTACGTTCAGCAGCTGCAGCAGGCAGTGCAGGAGAAGCAGCTAAATGCGTTCTACGGCCCTGGCACGCCCGGCGGACAGCGTCTCCCGCAGATCGCCCAACGTGCTGCACAACAAGTTGACCGCCTCTGCCAGGCGTGGCGCATCCAGAGAGAGATCGCTACGGATATCGTCCGTCTTGCACTGTATGATGTCGTGATCTACATCGACGACTCTGGCTCCATGTCCTTCGAAGAGAACGGCGAGCGTATCAAGGATCTCCAGCTCATCATGCAGCGCGTGGCATTTGCCGCCACCCTCTTCGACGAGGACGGTATCGATGTTCGCTTCATGAACGATGAGCAGATCCCGCTCAACATGCTATCTGGTCTTCGCACGGAGCAGCAGATCGAGCAGCTGCTCACGAACAAGCGCTACAAGGGATTGACGCCGTTCGGTACCGAGCTTCGCAAGAAGGTCATCGATCCGATCCTCATCCCTAAGCTCCGTAGCCAGCAGCTGCAGAAGCCGCTACTGGTCATTGCCATCACCGACGGTCAGCCGGCGGGCGAGAACCAGAATGAGTTGATTGACACCGTGCGCTATGCTCTTGATAATGCACGTCGCTCGAGCTACGGTACAGGTGCGATTGCATTCCAATTTGCGCAGGTCGGCAACGATCAAAAGGCTACTGAGTTCTTGGCCAAGCTGGACAATGACCCGGTGGTCGGCAAAGAGGTAGACTGCACTTCTAGTAAGCGAAAACAGTCGTATTATCTACCAACTTCAAGCTAACACTCTTTAGACTACGAGAACGAGTCCGCGGAGATGGCTAAGGCCCAACCCCCAGTCGACTTGACCCCCGACTTGTGGATGATCAAGCTCATCCTCGGTGCCATCGACCCGAGCTACGATACCAAAGACGAAAAGGCCGGTATGGCTCCTGGTGCAGGTATGCCACCAGGCGGCGGCTACGGCGGCCCCGGAGGCCATCAAGGAGGCTATGGTGGTCCGCAGCAAGGCTACGGCGGTCCACCCCCTGGTCAGGGCGGCCCAGGTGGCTATGGCGGTCAGCAGCCGCAGCAAGGTTATGGTGGTCCTCCTCCTGGTCAAGGTGGTTACCCGCCCCAGCAAGGGTACGGGGGACAGCCGCAACAGAGCGGGTACGGTGCTCCTCCACCACCGCGACGCTATTAGGAGTGTTAGAAATGACTCCATAAGCTGTTCTGGCTAGCGAAACCTCCGCATAATCATGAGAATAGGAAGATCTGGTCTGAGCCGACCAGCTCACATGACCTAGGAACGACGTGAAAAGCTCTGACTAAACAATTCCTAATATCAGATGTAAGTAGCTCTACCATCCAATCAAATCTGATATTTCAGCTCAATTGGCTGCCCATCAGCCTCTCCGCTCTTCAACATGGTCTCGAGAATTTCCAGATCCGCCAGCGCCTCCTCAGGCTTCTGCTTATCTTCCTGCTTCCCACTGACTAGGCTCTTGGCCCAAGCGAAGACCTCCTGCTTCACGCCCCCGAGCGTATCAGGTTTCTCCTCCACTTTCGCCTCTCCGTCCAGTGGCGTGATGGTGACCTTACTTCCATCAATAGTGATACTTCCCTTCTCACAAGCAATAGCCCACTCAGCGCCTTTGAAGGTAGTGCCAAAGGACACGGAAAAGTTGCCCGTCGAGCCATTTGCGAGCTTGAAAGTCGCATCTACTGTGTCCACGGGCGGTAGATGCTCTTTGTTCAACGCCGTGAACGCGGAGACTTTCTTCACTTTCGCCTCCTCGCCTAGCAATTGTCTCATCCCTGCTATGAAGTGGACACCACCATCTAGTAAGAAACCACCTTGGTGTTCGGGCTTCTTGCGCCATTCGGTTTGCATGTACTTCATGTCGTGTTTGACGTTGCCGGATAGTTTATGTCTGAAGCCTATGACTTTGCCAAAGAATCGAGCTTGTTCGGCTCCGTACATGAAGGCGTTCAGGTAGCGGAACTGCTCTGCTACGCCGAAGGTGACTTTCTTCGTATCGATGTTGGAATGATACCAGTCCACGAGCTCCTTCCCGGTCTTGACATCAGGAGCGAGTGGCTTCTCAGCAAAGACGTGTTTGGCTGCTTCTAGCGCTTCTCGGATGAATTTGGGTTGGACCATGATTGGGAGTGCGATGATGACGGCTTGTACATCTTTCCGGGCGAGGAGATCTTTGAACCCTTTGCCAGGTTCTGAGTCGTCTGAGTACAGGTCTACGTTCGAGAGTCCTTCCGAGACGCCTTCGGCTGACTTTAGTGATCGAGAGTAGATGGCTTTCAATTCGAGCTCATCGCTGGCTTGGACGGCGGGAAGATGCTCCTCTTTTATGAAGATACCACTGCCTATCAGAGCGACTCCGACTTTGTTCGACATCGTAGTGGAAAGTCTGAGGGTGCTTCTGGTCTGTTGGAATCGACGATATGTCTGCACGGTGCGCGATACTGGCGATTGTGTTTCGTTATAAGTGCTTTGTTGACGTTGTCGTTGCGGTTGTAAAAGTTGCTTCTCACGTACGTAGCAGAGTCGTCATGCAATTGTGGTACCTGCCCTTTCAGTAAAGTTCAATGCATTGCAATTGCAAGACGGACTTTATCCGGTGAGACGTGGAGATTGTGTGGGTCCAGCAGTCAGGACACGGGCCGAATACTATCAGTAGCGAAGATGTAGCAGAATATTAGGTCGCATAGACCAGCTATGTATGGTACATGGTTAACGAATCGCATCGCTATACAGGAACGCTAGAAGAGTCGCTAAGACGCTCAGAGTGGGTATCTAATGTAAGGACAGTTGCGCCAAGGGCAACGTACAGCAATGCAAGATGACAGTCGAGAGATCGAGTAGAGTCGTCCCTATCGACGTGTGTAATAGGAGACGTTCGTGTTGTCCAGAAGGCGTCGTAACACCACAGCCACCAGCCATGTTCGCCGACAAGGTATTCCTCCTGATCACCTGGATCATGACATCCTTCCCACCCCTTCTTGATTATGTTATCGATATAGGCGCCAACTTCGGTATTGAAGCCTTGTTCTTCAGCGCCGGCATTCGTGGCTTTGGCATCGGTGGTCGCTTTTCAGCCATCCGTGAGTTTTGACCGCGCACCCAGCTTCTTATGCTTCTGAAGCCAGGTAGACTTCCTACGGACGATCGCATACTCAGTGCTGCCAGACGTGGCGTGGTAGGTGCCTGCGAGTTGGTCCAGCTCCATCGCTCCTTCAAGAGTTGCGTCGAGTGCTGTGACCTGGGCGACTCGGGAGGTGTAGCGTGGCCGGCTTCTAGGTCGTCTGTTTTGGTGCTCCGCCGTATCGATACAATTGGACCTGAATTCCTTGTGGAGCTCTTCGGTGGGGCTTGTTGTGGCTCTATTACTCGAGCTCGCTCCGGCTTACTGACCACACTCTGTGGTGGACTCGCGTCGAACAGGAATGACCGACCATGTACCTCCCGCAGTGGCGTCTGCGGCGCAGTAGGTGGATGGGCAGACTTCCAGGCACTTGGGTTTGATGCACTCTGCCTAGCCAGCTTGCGTGCGGCTTTGCTGCTCGGTAAGGATTTCCTGTTCGTAGGCGGATGTGACAGATTGATCAGAGATGGGTGCTTGGACGATCGGACCGAGTATCGGTATTCTCGATAGATCGGTAGCGCAGTCAGTCGCATCTCTTGTGCGTCCGTGCCTGATAGTATGGTGCTCGGATTGTGAGGTCGACAGGTCACAACCTCAGAGTACGTTGCACCCTTTCGTCGCCGAGAGCAGATATATATGAGTATTGCGATGAACAGTACTCCGCCTAAGACGATGTCAGTGCTAGAGACAAGTCAAGGAAGAAGATCTTGCATTACCTATGACCGACACTGCGATCGTTATTTGCCTTGATTTGGGCGAGAGACCAGTATGAGCTGGCGGAGGTTGACTGCTATTGCCCGAAGCCTCCTGGGTCGGGATGGGTACAGCAGTAATATCGGGACCCCAGCTGATGCTGGTAGTGTCCACGCTGTCATTGAGATGGTTCGGACCAGCCGTAACAAGAGGCAGAGACGTCGATATCGGGGACGATGTCGATGTCGTCAAAGTGCCCACGGCCACATGGCTCGAAGTGCTGCTGCTCAATAATGTTGCCGCGGATTGAGCTAGGCTGGACGTCGTGATGTGTTTATTTGTGGATAGTGTCGCAATACCACTTGTCGAAGTTGTTGCGGCAATCATATCGCTTGTCACACCGTTTGCCAGCGAGGAGGCCATTGCGAAAAGCCCGAGTACCAGATCTGGCAAGCAAGAGAGTCGAGGCGATGCCGGTTGGAAGGGTATGAAGTGCTGATAAGCATAGAAGGTTGAGTGACAGTCGACCCGGCTAGCGATGGTCGTGTGTGGTGGAGCCGTGCAGTAGCAAAAGCACAATTATGGAGCCGTAAGCTGTTATTGAAACTCGAAGTCTAAGATAGCCAGACTGGTGCGAATTCAAAGAATATACCGTACCGCGCCCACCGCCGTTCCACGTCGCCGACCAACAGTAACACTCCAGTTGTAGTCGAAGGTCCGAATAGCGTGAGAGAAGGACGTCGCGACGTAGACAAGTCAAACCCACACCGTCACAAATGAAAACACGAATATCGGACAGAGACCTACACTTCAGGCTTACCATGTACATTGGCCTAACCACACCGCGACACACCGTCCCAAAGCAGGACCAAGGTGCAAGCATCCATTGCTTCAGTTGAAACGCATGTGCGTTCGCTTGACAGCCTGGTCGAGGAGATCACCAACGACACCCTGGTCATTATGTGGCAGTTAGACGGTGCTTGTCGTGGAGAAAGGGCCTGCTGGTGAGCCAGGATCCGACGCTCGCGCCTCTCCAGGATTTTGCCGCTAGTCCACAATTCCCTGCTAGCCTCACAAAAGATGAGCAGAAATTCGAAACCGGCACAACGATGGAGGGGATGCCCGGTCGGAGATGTACCGGTGCTCACCGCACTGATGGCAGAGGGACTTGGGCCGTTGCTGGGATGTATCATGAAGTCGCCGAAGAACGCATTGTTCGACGGCATCTTCCTAGCCTAAGTCGTCCCGTCTCGGTTCCATCAAACTCAATCGTGTATGATATAGACGCCTATAGTAATATGGTCAGAGTCGAAAATGAAGGAACGGTTGGTTAGATAAGGTCTTCACACGGCCCGCAGACGTTGATGGTCGTTTGATGTTGAGAGGAATTTGGAGGATCGACGGGTGTCGTGAGAGGGGGATCAGCCTATAGGCTCAGATATGGTACTGAGCCGCTTCTCATGTAGGGCTGCGGCGAGGACAATATATCTTGCTGGAAGCCACATGAGTGAGATTGAGGATCAATATGAGCTGCATCGACGAGAGTGACGCCGCAAGATGTGAAATGATTGCGAGAACCAGAACCTGGACTCTGCAGGAATCCAGTCACGCGAGATATAAGTGTGGAGACCTGAGGCGCCATTGCTGGTGAGTGTGCTGTCAATAATAATAATAACCGCTGGGGATGACGTAGCAAGGTCAACAGTGAACATAGCAGTAACTTGTTGGAAGTGTTGTGCTTCTAAATGCAACATCATATTCAGATCAATATCGGAAGAAGCTGGTAGAATAACTATCAACCAGACTGCCATCGCAGCACAAGCAAGATGAACATTCTCGACCTTCCAGTCGACATACTGCTGCTCATCTTTCCACGGCTGGATGCCACGAGCTTCCTACACCTCACTTCAACATGTAAATCACTCCACCAGTCCGAGTTCGTCCATGATGCTCAATTCTGGTCCAACATAGTCCGGGATACCTTCCGTGTCCCCAACCAACCTCAAGTTCAGCACGATGGGAAACGCTGGCAGAAGCTGTACAAACGCCTACTCACGCAGAGCAGGATTTACACTTGGGGTAGCAACGACAAAGCGTGTCTAGGCCACTCCTTCGAGGCACCGCAGACAGCCCACCCTCATGTACCTGGTCTGATCGTGCGTAGAGCACCAGGCCACCGTAGAAGACATGTTAGCTGGCCAGCGGAAATGGAAGGCACGGAGAACTTGGGTGTGGTAGCCGATGTGCAGTGTGGTGGGTGGTCAACCAGTATGCTTACTGCCAAAGGTGCGGTGTACACCGTCGGTGTCATGGACGGTGAGCAATTCAATCAGAGAAGACCACCGTACATGCAAGCCATCAAGATGCAACCTACACCACTACGATATCCTCCTGGCTTCACCCAAGCTGCCGAGAGACATGACAACAAGACTGCGATCAAGCAGTTCTCAACAGGTAGATCTCATGTCCTTGGCTTGTCAGATAGTGGTCGAATATGGAGCTGGCAGGACATCGATCATGCTGCACTGCACGTCAAGTTCTTACACCATGAGACGAAAGAAGAAGTATCTGCAGGTCGAGGCACGGTGCATAAAGTCGTCGGTGGCTGGAACAAGAGTGTCGCATTAGTCGAAGGGTGTGGCATCGTACTCTGGGATCCATTGAGACGTGGACACGATGATACAGCCATCGAAGACACTGCACTCGTCATGGAGACCGCCGTGGTACCCAACACCACTTATCGGCAGACCCGAGGCAAAGAGGACACTGCCGCTCCAGGCACAATCGACAGCACGGCCGAGATCATTGGAGAGGTGCAGAGCATCGTTGCTCTCGAGGAAATAGTGCTCTTCAACACTCATCTTGGGAAGCTCTTTATCTCGAGCATAATCTGGACACGTGATGAACAGCGCCTTAGCGAACCTTTCGAGCTCGACGTAACGCAAGGCGTGGAGAACGCAGATGTGTTCGTTACGGATGTACAAGGCTCCTTCCGCTCCTTCGCCGTCTTCTTGAAAGATGGCACTGTGCTAACCAGCAATCAAGATCGTGCCTTAGATGCGTTGCACAGCACCGGAAGTCAGGACCCACTTTTCAAGTCTGTCGCTGCTCTTCAGCACAAAGATGTCATTAGCGTGGCCTTTGGCGACTACCACTTCCATGCTCTTCACGCGCCAGGCTACATCACGAGCTACGGCAACGAACCTCAAGCCTGTGGTGCATTGGGCTTAGGTGGCCACGGCGATCCTGAAGGTCGACTGCGTGGTATGCGTTACCAAGGGATTGGTGGCGATGGTCGCCTCCTGCCACACGCATACTCCGAAGGCCGCCGAGTCTGGTTCGAAGAGGAGAAGCGGGATTGGATCACCTTCTTGACAGCTGGTGGTGTTAACCCGGCTGAAGCTGCACCACGTTTGAGGATGGCGCTTGGTAGCCCTGGTATGGATTGCCAGGGTGAAATTAGCGAGTGGATTGAACAGCAAGGCAGAGACTGGGAGGACAAATTTGATGTGCGAAGTGAAGAGGACGATGGCTTGGGTGCCTATTTCGCACTCAGTGTCACTGCTGCAGGTTGGCATTCGGGCGCTCTTGTACTTGTCAACGAAGACCTTGCCGCGAAGGTGCAAGCTGCGTGCGAAGTGCGAGACCCTGCTTTGGTGGAGGAGGAAGAGGAAGAGGCACAGCCAGGAGCAGATGAGCTCCAAGCTGACTACGAGGAGGAGTCCACATCCGCAGCCAGTCCCTCACTCCTCGCCTCAGCTACAGCAATAGCATACGACTGGGGCCGTTGGTTCCTGGGCCTCCCACCTTACAACAGTGCAGCAGGATCTCAACAGCACTTGCGCGATACACTCGCAGCTCGCAACAAGGCAAGACGCGCAGCAGAGCGGATCGAACAGATCCACTCTCCACGCAATTATGGCGAGTCGCCGCGCAAAGGGTACAAGTACGTATGGGCCAACGACCACTTTCCTCGGTTGAGGTTGACCAATGGTGTCGAGATGCCTGGAGAGGTGGAATTCGATGAGTGGCGCTTTGCACGGCCAGAGTTTGATGTGCATGCTGGTGTGTGAGCTGACGGTGCGTGTGCAATGGAGTAGCAGGTATTCACGAGCTATGACATTATTGAACCATGCTACGATGACCACGACATCACCCAGGTGTCTCCCTGTTTCAATTCTCGTCTCACCTGTGTTCCGCTCGAAGCCTTTGGCCACGTCAGCAACGCGTATTACGATGTGAGCGAGGCCTAAGTCCAAGAGACGCACTGTGACTGAGAGCATCAAACACGTAAGATGCTTAATCTGATCTAAGGCTGCCGTCCAGTCATCTCAAGTAAGCACCAACGAGTCAAGAAACATTCAAGTGCCGTGCACGTGTCGACGCCGTCTCAACTCTGTTTACAAGAGCCGAAACCTGCCACAGAACCGATGGCGCAAAGACAGCACATGAAAAACACGTTGCCAAGAAGTGAGCCGGGAAACCATTTTGCGCAAAAGTATGTAAATCTTGATATCGCATCTTGTGGCGTTTGACACCGGATGGATGGAGACACCCGGGCTCAGGCGCATATTGAGACGTGTCGCGGGTTGGGAATTGGGATATGAAACTGAGAAGCTCGAGTCACATTTTCTTTTGATTCTTGGTTCAGCAGGTGTTGGTCCTAGACAATCACATGCAGTGTTCTGAACTCTCCGACTGTCTCCGATAACATCGTCAATTTCATAGCTTGCTTATCGAAAGCAGCCTTTGTATAGCATTAACGCCTTGATACCCATTAAAGACCAATTTCGCGGCTTGAGTATTGCCTGCCGTGGAGTAATCCCCGCCATATCTTCGTCGCGGAGCGAGTATTCTAGTACTCGCCCTCACGCTTGTGGTGGTGATGGTGATGGCCTGAGCCAGACGAGCCGCCGTACTGCGAACCGCCACCGTACTGCGAGCCGCCGCCGTATGATTGCTGCTGGTTGTTCTTGTTGCGGTCCTTGAAGGCATCTTCGGCTTTGCTGCCTGCGAATGCGCCAAGCAGACCACCGATGATGCCGTGGCCGGCTTTACCGCCAAGGAAGGCGCCGCCAAGGCCGCCTGCTATGGCACCGCCGAAACCACGCTCGCCTTCTTGTGGGTTGTTGGGATCGGCTGGGGCGCGGTCGTAGCCGTATGGGTTGTTTGGGTCGCCGGATGGTGGTGGACCTTGGCCTGCGAAATTGTTAGTGATCTTGTGTGAAAGCTGTGAGCTGGCGAATGATATATACCCCAAGGACCACCCTGCTGGTGCTGCTGCTGACCATACTCCCCCGCTTGACCCTGCTGTTCATAGCCCTGCTGATGCTGCTGCTGACCATAGTGGGCTTGCTCGCCACCATAGCCTTGATTGCCATGCTGGAAGCCGCCTTGCTGTGGTGGTCCGTATGAGCCTTGTTGCTGATAGTCGCCGCCGTATTGAGGTGCGGGAGGGGCGCCGTAACCTTGATGCTGCGCAGGTTGTCCGCCATAGCCTTGTTCTTGACCGTACTGGCCTTGTTGTTGATAGCCGCCTTGATGCTGACCATAGCCTTGACCTTGTTGACCGTAGCCACCGCCCTGGTTATATTGGTCGTAGCCTGACATTGCAGAAGTCGCGCTTAGGTTGTGGTGATTGTAGAGAAAGGTCGAAAGTGATGGTAGTCCGGATTACGAAAGATGGGGAATTGTTGCGTAGATGAAGTAGGAGCAGGTGAAGGAGAGCAATATAAGCTTATACCTACCCCTCCGATGAATCTGACTGAGCAGCTGGATGCGAGATGTTCACTGCCACCTGCCTCGAGAGCTCAACAGCTGAAGAACGTCACATGTGGATAAGCTGAGCCACAGCAGTGCCATCGAAGCCGCGAATGCTGGCCGCAGGAAGCCGAGACTGGCCGAACATGATCGTTGTTCACGTGCCTGTGGTATCATCATGTCGCCTGCCGATGCCATGCTTGCCATGCAACCGTATGGTAACGGAGCGCCACTACTTGCATCAACTTCAGCTCTCTTCTTACGAGATGGAGAGTGATGAAAAGAGGCATAGAAGGAAACAGACGTTCGACGCACGCCATCGCCAAGCACTGCCACACGGATCCCCCAGATGTGAGGCTGTGCAGGCGCGATGAATGCCATGTAAGACACTTCTCGTCAAACAGATTATGCCTAGCAGTATTGGCGACGGCTCATGGTACAACACACGATCACAATGATCAGCATGTGTGCAAGGCAGGCATCAATACGCCCGCCGTTGTGACACCGACGGACATATTCCAGCAGCTCGATGAACGTTATGATATTGCTGTGGACCAGACGAATGCCGTACTAAAGCAGCAAACACCTACGCTAAATGTGTTGAAATCCTCGCCTCTCATGTTCTATGGCGTTGAATGCCATCTATGACCCTCCCGTCTATGCTGCAAGCTAGCACTTCCTATGCTGGCATTTCAACGCTTCACTTGCTCTCCAATCCGTACCCCCCCTTCCCTTCCAGATCCGGATACGTCTTGCCCTCATTGCCCTGCCCCTTTCGTGGCCCTCTCTCCTCGAGATCCTCGCGGAGCCACTGTAGCACGAGTTGACCCAGTCGTGAGTTTCCTTCCGCACCTCCTTTCGTTTCGGGTACGTTGAACGAGTCTATCGCACCCCATTTCTTGACCGTGCCCAGGGACATATGCACCAGATGCGTAGGCCATGCAGCGAGATTATCTAGGATGTGCGTGGCATACACTATCGTACATGCCCGCGACTCTGTCTCCCGCTTCAGGAACGATAGGAAGTTGTGGCGTGATAGTAGATCGAGGTCGACGGTAATCTCATCCAGCAACAACACTGTCCATGGCCGAAGCAGTCCCATACACAGCTGCACACGTCTCCTCTCTCCATCGGAGACTGCGTGCATATGCCAAGTCATATCAACATCCAAGATCTTGATCAATTCATCTCTCCGTTCAGGATAGTGGTCGCCGCCGACACTTCGGAGAAGTTCCGGTACCGCAATATCCGTTCGTACGATGGGATTGAGCACCCATTCCAACCCTAGGTAGGTCACGCCAGCTAGTCCAGTGGCGAAGGGGTCAATACCGGCTATGAAGACTGTTCCGCCAGGGGCCATCCGTTTGCCGGAGAGGAGGCGGAGGAGGGTTGTTTTGCCCGCGCCATTTGCTCTGAGGATTTAGTCATATAGTCTATCATGGATACAGAGGTCGTTCTTACCACCGATGAGCAGCGTCCGGCTACCAGCTGGCACGTCGAGACTTATATCCGTCAGTCCAGTGGTGCTGTCTGGGAATGTGAAAGTGAGGTTCGAGACCGTTATCGTTGGTGGTGGTTGTCCTGTCATGATGGCGATCTGTAAAAGCGGCTATTGTAGGTACCTCGAATTTACTGTAGCTGCCTCTCGATATTTGTATGTGTTCTTGAAGTAATCGTGCGATACAGCGAAGCAATGGTGAATCATTTCCAAACACCGACGATCGAGACTTTCCTTTCGGCGTTCGTGAACTCCGAAAGCTTTTCGTCCTCATGCATCCGCTGTTATTGCTCTCACCAACATGAGTGCATGGTAGATACTTATGTTTTTACTGCGGACGGGCTTTCGTTCCGTGACCACCATGACACGTAAAGTCCCTAAGACCCCACTGATAGCCATCATCGGCGCGACAGGCACAGGAAAGTCAGATGTATATCTTTCCAGCTTTCATGTCAACTCCCCTTGTCTACTGACCACAGGAGATAGCTAGCAGTCGACTTGGCGAAGCGACACAATGGCGAGATCGTCAACGGTGATGCTATGCAGTTGTACGAAGGACTGCCTATCATCACGAACAAGATCACGATAGAAGAGCAGCAAGGCATCCCGCATCACCTGCTTGGCTGTATAGGGCTCCAAGAGCCGACATGGGTAGTTGGAACATTCGTGAAGCGAGCAGTGAGAGTGATCGAGGAGATTAGAGCGAGAGGAAAGCTCCCGATTCTTGTTGGGGGGACTCATTACTATACGCAATCGGTACTGTTCCACGATAGGCTGGCCGAGGAGGAGGATGACGATGATCAGCATCTTTCGGACAAGGAGGAGGATATCTTGCCAGCTCTGGAACAACCCACAGACGTGCTGCTCAAAGATTTGCAGAAGGTGGATCCGGTCATGGCGGCGCGATGGCATCCGAACGATAGGCGAAAGATTCAGCGTAGTCTCGAGATCTTCATAAAAACTGGACGGAAGGCCAGTGATGTCTATGCTGAGCAGCAAGCACAGAAGTCCATTCGAATTGAAGCCAACGAGAAGGAGTGTGATACAAGTGCGTCCATGAAATACGATACATTGCTCTTCTGGATCCATGCAGAAGCCGACAGCTTGAAACGGCGGCTTGATGGACGGATCACTAAGATGCTCAACGCCGGGTTGTTGGATGAAGTGCGCACACTGCACGACTATGCGACTGATGAAGCCACACATGGTAGATCCGTAGATGAGACGAGAGGCATCTGGGTCAGTATTGGTTACAAGGAGTTCAAAGCTTATGTGAGCGCTATGCATGGCGGTACGGCATCGGATGAAGAGTTGCAAAGCTTGAAGGACTACGGTATTGAGAGGACCCAGATAGCCACCAGGCAGTACGCAAAGAGACAGGTTCGCTGGATCCGCATCAAGCTTCTGAATTCGCTCGCCTCCACCAACAACATTAGCTCACTATATCTTCTCGACGGCTCAGACATCTCGGGGTTCGCAGAGACCGTGTTCCAGCCTGCAGTTGACCTCACGTCAAACTTCTTGGCTGCAGAATCTATGCCAGAACCTAGCTCGTTGTCCTCTGCTGCAGCAGAAATGCTGCAGCCCAAGCGAGACTATGATCTCGCGGCAAACCCGGAGCTTTGGACGAAGCAGCATTGCGAGGTGTGTGATGTCACTTGTGTTGTGCAGGAGCAGTGGCTGCAGCATGTTGGCAGTAAGGCGCATAAAAAGGCTCTCAGGTGGCGCCGTGAGCGTGAGCGAGGTGTGGTGGTGCCTGTCAGTGGCAGCTGAAGTCGAAGTCCTGCATGCACATACAAAGTACGCCTTGGCGACAATGTGTCCTGGACTTCTCCGAATGAGCTGTAAATCTGAAGCGGAGTAACCGTATGTTGCGTAGATGACTCGTCAGATGCTCGAGTTTTGCGACCGCGCATACATGCACTCGCATAGGACTCTGGAACTTTGCAGAGGTAGGCCAAGGACGAGTCAGGTGTCTACATCATCCCACAAGGGTGCAGAAGTACACGCCGGCCGAACACTCTCTCTGCCTACTTCAAGTGTAGAGCTCCTGCTCCTCATGCGAGCTAAGCGGTCCTACGCTCGGGTCCGGCGACGCGCGGCGTCAGCGCATCGAACACGTCGTAATTAGGGCTGAAGGCCAGCAGCTAGACGATTGGTATAGGCTCGACCCCATGAGCAATGCACTAGGCGCCCGAACAGCTTATCAGGGTGGGGAGCCCGAGGTCACAATATTGCCGCGTCCGCATATCTCAGTGGGTGAAGTTGCGAAGGGATCGTGGAAAGGATCAAATTCTTCGCTCATACTCATAAGCTATCTGATCTAGCAACCGGGCCATATAGCGCTCACTGGGTTTCCTCATGGTGCTAGCTTGTGGCCCATCCATTCCTGCTACTGTTCGACTCATGCTCATATGCCTCGATTGCCTACTCACCCAACATCACCACGCCAGTGACATATTTGTGCATCTAGCATTGATAGACACCATTCCTCAAGGTGTTGCACGTCTCATTCACACCAGCAGTGCTATCACCAGCATCGGGTCCGGGCTTGGCAAAGTTGAGGTCGCAGCGATAACCGGCGAACAAAGGTGCCACAGCGCCACTGAGGAAGGCCTGGACGGTGGCGTAGTTGTCGACAAGTGCTGGGCTCAAGAAACCTGGGGTGTTGTCGAAAACTGCACTGGCGAGGAAGCAGGTCGCCTGTGCAGGGGTAATGTCGCTAATATCTGTGCCAAGCGGGACGAAGTTGCCGAGTCCCTCGTTTGCGCCGGGTGTGGTGAGCTCGGAGCTGGCGGCGAGAAGAGCAGCGATATCCGTCCCAGTGTTGGCAAGCGAGTATGGCGTTGGGCGACGGAACCATTCACGTGAGAAGGTCTCGTTGAGGTAGAAGGGTGCCACGTTCTGAAAGTTGGCGTTGTTCAGGTCGGTGCCGTTTGGCAGAGCACGAGGGATCTAGAGACAAGGATCAACATCCGTTGGCATTCGGTACTATCAGGCTCGACTTACAAAGACACGCTCAGCAGTAGTGACAGCAAGCCACCTAGTGCCGGCATCAAACCGTGGGTTGGTGGCCTTGGCCTCATCGTACAAGAGCACGCGCTCCTCAGCAAAAGTGTCGATCCCAAACTGGCCACCGTAGTTCTCGGTAATATTGACCAGCCTCTGCCAGCGAGCAAGCTGGAAGTTTGCCTGGTCACCGAAATAGGCATCCTGACGAGAGATGGAGTTGTCGACCTCGAAGAAACCGTGCTTACTGATACCAAGAGATGGGCCGAGCGTGTTAGGGACGCGAGCATGAGCGCCTCCAATGGAATATTTGCCCGAAGGCAAGCCACCTCCAGCGAGCAAGCCGAGGGCTGATAAGAAAGTGCAAGTGTCGTAGCCGAATCCGAGGGTGATCTGGCAAGCGTTCGCAGCCTCAGCGAAGGTCGTGATGCCGGTGCGGCTTATAAAGCCATGATTCGCCATGGTATTGAGAGTCGGGCACATGCCGCGGACGTCTGTTGAGCCTGGCGCTTGGTACTGATGGGCCCCGTCATCGCCGGGGATCTCTTTGAGGCTGAACTCCTGGGGTGTACGACGATTTCACTTGGTCGGTTCCTTCAATACATGTGCCAGAAATACATACGTCGGGAGACCAAGGCCAGATAGCACTCTGGGGAATGGCTGGAGCACACCACCAAGAAGTCCGCCGTCAAGGTTCAGGATGCCTCCGAGCAACTGGCGCTTCTAGAACTGCTCTTGTGCAGCATGTTCAGCGTCACGTCCCACGATCTCGGCTGTGATGACGCTTTCTTTGCCCTCAAATCGCTTCTCGCGGGCAGCGAAGAACTTGGCAGAGTCTTCGGCGGACAGCATGCCCTTCTCAGCCATCTGGCCGTATGGGCATGGCGATGCGGCCGCAGCAACCGCCAAAGCGAGGATAGCGTAAGAATGCATCGTGGCCCGAGGAAAGAAGGAGCTGGTGGTATGAGAGTTGGTGCTGCAAGTGGTGATGCTGAAGTTCTTTGGGATGCGGATGGGATTGTAATCGATAATCGAGCAGACCTTTATACAACATCGTCTTCACATTCTATACATCGTGAGAAGATAAGAGCCATCGACATCTCCGTCGGTCGTCGTCGTCGACCCATACAGCGAGGACATAACTTGCCTTGACGATAAGATGCAGTGCGTTGTCGTCAACAGACCATGCTGACATCCGCAATGATCGACACTGACAGTACAAGATCAAAGAACTTCGGTATCAGCAGCAGTGGACCACCAGCCTGGTCGACCAATGTAATGTCTCGTACTGGTCAGTAAAGAACGAGCCGCGGTTGAAGCACAATAGTCATGGTTGCTGGTTGTTGCCAAGGTGCCGGATCCGGTATATTTTGGTCGACTATCGGAGATGATCGTCATGTGGCTGATAACAGCATGCGTGTTTGCTTCCACAAACAGATGTCGGCTCTCGTTCAAAGCGTGTAGGAGGCAGCTACCTGCCACTCTTGGCGGCTAAGTAGTATTGAAGACTGATTGAATCATGCGCTAGCTCCGTGATGCTGAAGCAAATACTGGAGCAACACGCAGGAGTAGCACAAGATTAGCAGTTGTGATCGTCCGGATGATCACCCTCAGCACCTGGCTGTTGGAAAGGTTCCGAGGAGTACACTTCTCGGTAAAGGATAGTGATGTGGACAACGAATCTCACTGTAAGCTATGGGTCCATTAACTTGGCATCCGTGAGTTGTAGCAAGCTACTTGCCGGGTATCCTGACCAGTATCGTAGGCACCAAAGACCACAGCTTGAGCGACCTCTCGTTATGCCAGGAGGCTCCACTCTCGGCTGCGCGGCATGCTAGCTTGGTCGCTGCCAAGTCTCAGATGTCAGGAGGTGATCTCGTGCTTGAATGTGGACTATACTCGCACATCGTAAACATTGCGCGACATTAGCTCATGGCGAGAGGCAGAGAAGAAAGTGGAGGAAGTGGTGAGAGAAGAGAAACCCCAGCGCTCACAATAAGGCTACAGGCCCGCACCGTTAGCCTTAGTGTGAAGCTTAATGCCTGGGAAAGATATGGGTCGTGCATTCGTTGATGCAACGTCAGCTGGAGCCAGGTCCTATCATGAAATATTCCTGTTTGGGATTGTATACACTACTGCAAATGGTACGTGTCAGACAATTTCAGATCTCCACGACTCGCAGCCACTACTTTGGGCTGTTTCTTCGCTGATCTTCGTCCAGTCTTCCGGCATAAAATGTGCATACAATCTCTGAAAAGGTAACGAGCTTACTCGGACTGCAGACGTCCTAATTAAATTGTGGGCCATCGCAGGTACTGGCAAGTTTTGCAGGGTGTGGAGTACACCACATCTGCCTCGAACACGTGCGAAGTCATCATGATCAACCATGGAGCTCATAATTCGTGTCCACTGTCGGCGCTCAAAGTCGAGCCTCCGTAGCAGTCTGAGTGTGCTAGCCAACCAGGTCCACTTCAGGAACGTCCGCAGAGAAAGCGGTAGAGGTTGAAGGCGGACCTTGCTTGACGATACTACACTCTACTACACGTATGCAGCGGGTAGCAATGTACCACTCTAATGTTGGCCGAGTTGCCAGGCAGGGAAGCGAGGGAAGTAGACGTGCTCGGGTCAACACTATCACCGCTGATCTGTGGAGGTGTAACCCGGGCACGGTGTACCCAGCACAGCAGAAATGCCTTCTCCGAGCGAACCAGCTGTGAGATCACCTTACGCCAAGAATTTCTGGTCTCCGTCGATCAGGCGGTGCCATTGGTCGTTGCACGTTTCTTTTGCAGCCACTCGTCAGCATCCTGGAACGAACGCTTGACTGCCTCCTGGGCGACAATAGTATCCGCGGACTGGACACCAGCATTGACCTATTGATAGTCAGCTCACCACACCAACTCTAAAGTCTGATAGATTGGCAAAAAGGACTCACGCATGCCCACAGCTTCCATGCCTTCTCCAAATCACCCTCCATGTCCAGCACATAGTTGAACCATCGAGTGATGTCCTGTCGCTTAGAAGGCTCGTTCGATTGCTCGTCTAGGTAGCTCTTCACGATGAGGGCCAGGCCGAGATCAGGTTCCTGGACGAAAGGCAGCTTACTTGCGAGCTCCTTCATCGAGCTCTTCTTGATCGTCTTGCGGTCAACAGCACCAGAGATCGACATCGCACAAGCGTTCATCTCGAGAAGGTCACGCAGACTGGCACGGACCGACGCTGCCATTTGGTGGTATGCAAGCAGATGCCTTGAGAGAGGCCCAGTATAACCAATCTGGCGATGTCGGAAGAAACCCAGGCACGCAATGCGGCTGATGAGTAGCGTGTTTTGCTTGTCCGATTCGGTGCCACGCAGAGGTTGGCCGGAAAACTGTGGCGTTGGGAACAGGTTCTGGTTGTGCAGTACTCGCATACGAAGCAGCTCAAAAGCCATGAAGATTGCTTCCTCAGCCTCAGTTCCTGTAACACACAAGTCGAGTAGACCGTTCTTGCTGGCCTATTTTACGATTAGCTAATGACCGCTACCATGAAGACAACCAAGTATCGAATGCGACCCAGATAGCATACCTCTTGTAGCGCAACATTGAGTGCTCGGCCCCAGGGTGTGAGTGTGTGATCCGCGTTGGCGTACTTCGTATCCTGTAGGAAGCGGAAGACGGTGTTCCCCACCAACTCCTTCGTCGACGACAATATGCCGCTCGAATGTGCGGGTCGTTTTGTGACTGTAGACTTTGCAGTTCCTGCATCTGATAGCATGCCGAAGGCGGTGGTCAAGGGATGCGTAGTCATGTCATCAGACAGCGTCTGGTCCTTCACATGGAATGTGCTCTGCGCTGGGGGCGACACCTGAACCTCGTCCTTAAGCGAAATCCTGTTCGTCTCTTCGTTAAACCAGTAGCTGACTTCCAGCGCAGTGAATTGATAGTGACGATGTAGTTGTCCACAAATGACAGCTAGTGATCGTCGACGGATGTCTGTCAACTTGTTTTGCACCAGATCTCTGTAGGCGTTGGAGTTGCCGCCATCGAGCGGTGGTAGCTCAAGAACTTGCTTGGAGACAGACCAATTGAGTACTCGTGGCCCAGCAAGACCAGTCGACAGATAGTACATCACCTCGGTCGGAAGACGATGGCCGGTGACATCGTGATAGTCGCCCGGCATCTTTAGCTCGGGCAATCCTTTGGCTTCAAATCTGCCTTGTGTGGTCATGATCACAGGATGCTTGATAAAGTACCTGGCTTTGCGATAAGCAGCGCAGTATTCTTCATCCTTCTGCTGAAGTAGGGAGTGGACATCGCCGTTCGCACGGGCGATGAACGGCCTCGCAGCTTGGATTTGGTTTGGTTCGACCTCTATCTCCGGGAACGAAGGCAGCAGATGGGGAAGACAGCCCGAGAGTAGCATGGTGTCTATGAAGCCGTCAAGAGTGAACATAAGCTTGCCTTGACAAAGTTTCGATTCCACCCATGAGACGGTTTTGTTCTCCCATGAGATGGACGTGATGACTTTGTCGGCGCCGAATGCTAGAGCACTAGCCGAGCCCAAAATGCCATCTACCATGCGAGTCTCGACAAGGTACACAAGCTGGGCCGCGGCGGTGTATGGCGCTATCTGTACATGAACTCCACGGCCGTAGAGATGTAATTGCAGCCACCTGACAATGTGCGCAGTTTTGTAATTGCCTACACTTAGGTCAGATCTCACTGGGTGATCATTCAGTAAACGGAACACTTACAAGCTTTACCGAACGCATTCACAGCTTCTTCGCCGCGGCCTTGGTCGTAGATGCTCCATGCTTCATCGAGATCCTTGGCAGCCTTTCTTGCTTCTCGCATCACGATAGCCTTGTCCCTGCTGGCCAACTGGAGGCCGTTGAAAACAAAGATGGGAGTGATGTCATTGGCGGCGAAATTGTTCAAATCATCTTTGACATGCTTATCGAGCGCGAATGGGAGCCCGCCAAGCGCTGGCAGGAGAGGCTCGCGTGTCAGGTTGTTCGTTAGCAATGTATCCAGATATTCATCGCCGTCTATGGCTATTGCTGCACCCTGGAATTGATCGATGGTACCATGGCTGTCGAGTGACTCGGTGCGCACCCAGTCTCTGAAAGTCGCCATGCTGTGCTGATAATGTTGTGATGAGAGAGGATTGCGATGTGCAACAGCAAGAACATTGAACTTGGGGCGGCGTAGCGACAGCTCTCGGATGCTGTTGCCGAACATTTAGCGCAACGCTTCGGACCGCGAGCGCTTGCGCAGGAACGAATCCTTTCCATTTGCGGAGTCATCCTTCCTCAACACCATGCCCAAAAGATCAGTACCCGATGGTATTGACCAATACGACATGCCTGGTCTTATGGCGGATACGAGCCCATTTCGTTGGGTAAGAATGGTCTCAAGCCTAGTTGACTGGTGTGAGCACATGGCCCAGTCGTAGAACCAGCGTATGCCTTCCATATGGTCATCACAGGCTCCTGAGCACTTCTTGTCTGCTGATATAAATGCGGCAGTACATCTGACTACCTGCATGTGTTGTCCTCATGTCTCACGTACGGTATAGAATGGGAACACTGAGGCATTCTCTAACTCATCGAGACGGTCTATCCACTATCTTAACGACAGCAGCTTGCGAGCACGACCTTTGGTGCAAGCATGGCCGGCGACAAAAGCACCATGACACTCTCCGGTTTACCCCTAGAACTCCGAGCAGGAGTACTGGAATATGTCGAACTAAAGACGATCTTCGCCGCTGATGCTACCTGCAAACCGCTCCACGAAGCAGTCGAATTTCATGCACCATATATCCTGGCACATGAGCGTGCCAAGACGATGGCCGGTATCAGGGAGACCTACGGCAAATTGGTCACCTACGATAAGAATACGTCGATCGTCAAAGCAATTCAAGACTTTGCCAAGCATCGACCTTGCAGCCAGCGGCCGTTCAGAGGACGCCATAACCACCTCAAACAATTTGCGAGCCAATACGTCGGCAACACTCTAGAAATTCTGGACCCCGCCCAAAGTTTCGCACAAACCTACGAGCGGTGCACCAAAGTGGAGATTGTGGCACAAAGCCTCCTTGAAACCTGCAGACCCAAGGCCTTCGACTGGTGTGTCAATCATATTCAAGCGCGTCTTCAAAGTCTGCTACTGTGCTGTCCGTCGTATCCGATAATGACCATGGGGACGGATTTCAATGAGCTCTACGGAAACTTCACCGCAAGCAAGTCCTTCCTGGGCGTGCCCATGAGCCGATCGCGGCCGGTGCTTGAGCCTGCACGATTCTTGCTGACGCCGACCCGTGACAACCACGAAGAGTACCCATCTGACGGCCAATACATGCCACGTGCAGAAGGCGATCAGCCATGGTATTGCACGGTCGATGAGCTAGCCCGTGCGCTCGACATGCCCCTTCCGAGGTTACATCGTGACAACTTCTCTTACTGTGTGTACACCGACAAAGCCTACAAAGCTGCGCAAGCGCTGGTGGAAGGCGAGGGTGTAAGCTGGCGGCAAATTCTGATGGTGGTGACGGAGTTGCATATCTACTAAAACTGCCATTCCGCACCAGCAGCGTGTGCTGGATACTCCATCAAGGGGCGAACTAGCGAGCAGCGTTGGCATTGTACGTACCGTAGCCAACCGAGCAGTACAGACTTTGGTTCAAGTGCGACATCCTGGGAGCACGTGGCATCACAGGCTCCGGCTTCGCCACAAGCACGTCTTCTCCCGAACCACGTCCCGAACCTCGTCACGATCTATGATATGTTCTGGTCGACATAACATCCTCTGCGATCGGCGGCAACTCTTTCATATTCGGCAAATACCTCTCCTGCTTGTCGAAGTCTCCCCGCCCCTTCCCCTCTGCACACCTATCATCACGAACTCTCCACCACCCGAACTTCGAAATGTCCTTGAATAGCGGCCTAAAAGCTGGTACACTGGCGCACAGCATAGCCAGATATATCTCAGTGAAACTCCAGGTATTGATCGGCGCGGCATCCTTTAGAGCTTCACCAGCTTCGGTATAGATGCGGACTGAGTAGAGGCGAATACAGCTTGCGAGTGTTGCCACGGCTCCGACAAGGAAGGTGGCTAGGAGTCCAAGTTTTTGTCCTCGTGGGTTTTGGAGTTTGATAAGCATTGGGATGGGTAGGGATAGGATGATGACGTCTGTTACGATTGTGAAGATGTTCGTTGCTAGTTGCTTGTTATCATATTTCCTGTGTGTCATGAGACCTACGCTCGGCCTCACTCAGAAGAATGCCGTGACGTTCACACATCGTCCAGACATGTTGCCCTCCCGGTATTTGTTCGTTGGGTGGCACTGCATACCCACTATCACCATCGTCGAGAGGAACTGTACAACAATGGCTGCCATGGTAATAAGGGTGCCTTTCCAGAAGCGATTGCGGATATTGCTTGCTACAATATGAAGACTCAGATCTGTGCATGTCCGACCGTCTGGATATGGGAGTTTTTGAACTTACACAGCCTCAAATAGAGACATAGAATACTCATTTTGATGAAGAACAGCGCAAGATAGTAGATCACCTCGATCACGTAGAGTGCCTGCCAATCACCCTGTTCGTCAGCAGTCTGCCCTTTTCGGACTCTTCACTCACCACTCCGTCGCTTCCTGGCTCGCTCTTTACCACGCAGACAGGCAGATAGACAGACAGGCAGACGAATGAACGGAGCTGACTTACCCCTATCGCTCTCGATGGCCACTCATCGGGGATCCAAGACAGCGTCTCGGTCTCCACCCTCCCAATACCCCACTTCAGACTCACGAACGAGGCGGCTGTGAAGCCCATGGAAGCCAAGAACCCGAGAGCCAGGCTCAAGTCATCCCAGCTGAGAGCGCGGTGGCGAAGGATGATTGTGAGGATGCGGAGCAGGAGGGTGAGGACTAAATCATGTCAGTGGCAGGATGGAGGAGAGGGGATGCATTGGGAGGAAAGGGATATGTACCTCCGATCGAGGTGAATGTGATGCCGACGCCGACCAGTGTCGTCCGTGCGTTGGTGGGCGAAAGGGCGAATTGCGGTATTCCTGAGCTTTGGGAAGATGTTCAATCCATATCTTGCTGGTGGCAGAACCGATTCCTTTCGATCTACGGAGTGCTTTTCTGCGAAAGCACACAGCCGGTCCCGCAAGGAGTGTCACAAGATAGAGCAGTGATTGAAAGGCATGAAGGACGTATGTTTGCTAGTGCAAGGCCCTACTCTAGTGACTGCTTCCCGCCTTTTGCGAAACTTCTCGTCTATGTTGAGCCCCAGTCACTAGATAGCAGTGAAGAATGTGTAAGTCTGAGAGCCCCCACCACGAAGGAGGCAGCGGCCGACGCCTGCGAAAGATGTGATGCGTTGGCATGCTTGTATCTTCTCTGGGGCCAGTGCAAGGCGCGTGTGGATGTGAGTGCTGTAGTCGGCCGATCGTGAAGGTCAGAGTAAGCCTGCCACTGACACTGATCACTATCTCAGATTTCTTCAGTGAAGCCCGGACGGTAGCGCCAGTGACTTGACTGTTCCATCGCTTCGCTCTGGGCCCGACGACCAATCATAACGGATCCGCAAAGCAGTGATAATTGCGATTATTCTGGAACTGTTCAGTGGCTCTATACTTATCCTGCCCTCCCACGAGCCAATCACAATACCCATACACATACGCATCTGCCCACGCACTACGTGCTTCGCAAAGCCACTCTCACATAGCCAAGAACGCCACAAACACCATGCATACCTCCCACAACAAACCCGTCGCACTCAAGCAACCTGCCTAACCCGACACTTCCACCCGCTACTCTGACTCAAGAGCGGTAGACTAGCGCCTAGACACCACCCCAACTCGTTCCCCTTGATCTTCTTCGCAACCCTCACCTCCCGGTCAATCGGCATCTCATACCCCGTCAATAACAACGCCAGCATGAAATTCAAATCCAGACACGTCTCCGGCCGATCCGTCAGCTCCTCCATCGCGCCAGGGATGGACTCGAAAACTCTCCACGCATCGCCTCCGGAGCAGACGCGCGAGGTGAGGTCTTTGAGTTCGCGTAGGGTGAAGGATTCCGGCATTCCGAGTGGTGCGGTGCGGTCGTAGAAGTAGGAGAAAAGATACACATCCTCTCTCGCGAACGTCTTGTCCAGCGAAGGCTGATGCACGCCATTGAAAGCGCAGGGAGCGATTTTGCACTCTGATTCCTTCTTCAGTGTCTTCTCGGCCAGGGCGCGGCATTGGGCTGGGGCGGAAGCGGAGCCCGCGACTGGACCGGTCATGTTGACTGTCACTGTCTTTCCCAAAGGATGCCCTTCGTCCAGAGGTACTTTGACCTCGCGGTAGGAGCCGGGCAGGAGACAGGGGTTAGAGATGGGTTGGGAGAGCCAGGATTTGCTTTCGGGATGATTCTCGTGCATGCCTTGGACCACTACGCGGTGCAGATTGTTTCGGGCTTCCATGAGGCCGTACCCAAGATAGCTATGCTGATACAGTTCGAAGTCGCGACCGCCGAAGGAAAGGGAGTATTTGTGGTCACCTTCTTGCATTTTCTCGGGCATGCCGCCATCGGGAGATTGTTTGAAGGTAGGTTGAAAGACGATTTGGGTGCTTCCTCCACCGAGATCGAAGACCGCTGCTGTGGGAGTTTTGTCCGGGCCACCGATTTTGCCGAGGAGATAGTTGGTTGTGATCCAGGCGTAGACGCCCTCGTCTTTGCCGTCCATGACCTCAACGCCGTGTCTCTCTTCGCTCACGACAGGAAAAGGATAGACCGTTTCTAATCTTGTCCGTACAGCTTTCAGAATAGCGTCACTCATCTCAGGGCCTAGCTTCCTTAACCCAGCCGTTGCTTTGACCGCAACAGGCGTACAGCTCTTGAGTTTATCCGGCACCGACGCGACCGCCACATCCATGAGCATATCCAGGCTCTTCGCCGCACCCTCTGCATCCCCCTTGTAACTGCTCAAACCACTACCCCCCTCCTTCTTCTCCGTCATCTTGAACACCTCGTCCTCCAATTCAGGCGTCGGGCCGCAGTTGTTGAAGCGGTAGACATGGATCCTGCTTCCCGTGCTTCCCGCATCAACCATAAGCGCATATTGAATCAGTGGCTTGTCCTTTGAATAACTCCGTGTGCATCTCGTCGTCGCAACGGAAGGGTCTGATGCTACATCCCCGCCCGGAAACTTGCCGACGCCGGGCACCACAGGTACGCTGGCACTTGTACCACTAGGAACGATATAATACAGCACCAGCAGAACAAAGGCAATCAGACAGCCGGTCTTGATATACCGCGCCCGCTGTCCCTGATTCATCCACGCGGCCCGCACCTTCTCCGACATCGACTGGATCTGATCTGTGCTCCCGTGACTCGCGGAGGAACGGTGGGGATCGCCCTCTCGTTTTGGCAGAGGAGCGGAGGATCGGCGACGGGGTTTGCTGGTGGTGGTGAAGCCGGTGTAGGACCAGGTGGATGGTTTGGAGGATGGGGGGTCGACGTCGCTGGGCATGTAGTTGACGCTTTTATCGCTGCATTGGCGATTTGAAACGAGTGACGGAGAGGGTGGAGTGCGGTGAGGTAAGCTAATTTGAGATGCAAGAGGAAGGAGTTGTCGATTACGTGGGAGAAAGAAGCAGGCACGATCCAATAAAGTTGCCAACACTACTTTCCCTTGAACCCTGAGATCCTAAGTTAGGAAAGCGGAGCCCAGCCCTCGGCCACCGTAGCCACGACGTTGAAGATCGCTTAGTCAGGTACTGTATATATGCGTACATGTCAAACCATCCTCCTTTGATTATTGGAATCTCTCTGACAACAAAAATTATGTCAACCAATCAAGAAAATCTCATAAGCGAGGAAGCCTTCCTGGCCCGTATGAACAACTACACTGCCCCGGACCCCTCCCCCCGGAATCCCCAAATCAGCACCCAGTCCAGCCACGCCGACCGCATCGAAGCCAACTACCAAGCCGATGGCCACAAGACCTGGGGGTTTGTCATCTACCGCACCACTTACGACAATGATACGGACTGGACCGAATTCATGCGGCGACTGCGCGCGTGGACGGCGGAGAACATGGACTTTTATCATGGAGACGATGTGTTGCAGCGTATGACCTGGACTGTATTTGATGATCGAGCGCAATTCGACGGCGTGGACGCGGCAGCCGTGCGGCGGCATTTTCGAACGTGGGCGGAGGACGCCGTGCGTTCGGAACAGGCCGACGCCAGCGACGCGACTCCCGTGAGCATGGGCCGCTCGCCACGTTACAGATACTGTATCCAGATCGACGCCGCCTCGCTCAAATCCGCCGTCCACGACGCCCCGGCTCCACCAGCTTACGACCAAGAGCGCCAAGGTTGGGTCAAGGTCATCGGTAAGAATTGGATGCCGAACACACGGCCGGAATCTAATACTTACGAGCCTGTTGAAGGTATCACGGAGCATGATGTCGGATGGATGAAGTGTCCGTTTCCGAGCGTCATGACGGAGTATTATATGCTTTTCAACGATTTGAATGGGTATAGGACGGCTTATCGACGGCCTCCGGCTGTGGTTGGGTATCCGTGGAATTGAGCCGTCACGACGGTGCCACAGTATCACTCCCTTCACAAACTCTGATCAGTGGCTGTTCCAACACGTTGTCTACGGGCAGGAAAATCCGATGAAGTGGAAGTCACAATCCCGTAGAACATTGGGAATGCGAAGGCAAACTGCGCAACGAGTAATATCTAGTGTCACCATCCGCGTCCTTCACACACCTACGAAGGTCGTGAAAAAAGGATTTGCTGCCTGCTCAGCCGATCAAGACGAAGCGATACCAACACAAATCGCATACCCCGGCCATAGACTCTGGCAATCATCCCCAATCGCCGGATTCCACTCATACAGCTGAGCGAAAGTGTCACCGAACTGCGTCTCGATCTTGGCGCAGGAGTCGCCGCTCGCCACGACGTAGTATTCGTTGCAATTCGCCGTGATGCCGGATTGTGTGGGTGCTGGAGGCGCTTGGGAAGCGGCAGTGGAGGTTGGGGCGGTGGTTGTAGGTGCAGAAGATGGTCCTTTGACGCAGTAGGCGTAGCCGAGCCACATGCCGGTGCAGTCGGATCCGACTAATCGATGAGGAAAAGTGGTTGGTTAGCAATTTTCTTGGTAGGAACTGAAGCACGGGCACATCTTTTTCCTTTTTCCTTTTGGAGAGGACTTACCACTAGGATTCCAGGCGTAGAACTGCGAGACGGTGATGTCGTAGGTCGTCTCGATACCATAACACGAATCTCCATCGACAACAGTATGATACACTTCGCACCCTTCCACCTCGCCCGAGGCTGTCGGACCCATGGCTACTGTCGTTGCTGTCCCACCAGTCGTGACGGTCGTGGGCGAAGGTGTCCCGCTGGGTCCGGCGCTGATGGTGCCGATAGACTGAGTGGCATTCAACCCGACGCAGAGCGGTCGATAGTCGCCTTCGTCTAGGTTCGCGTAAAGACCGGTGTCACAGTCTGAAGAGCTGAGCCAGGTGTTCCAGTCGATGAGCGAGGAGTCGGTGAGGCTGTACTCGGACTCGATCTGGGCGCAGCCATAGGACTGGGCATACGTCCCTGACAGACGAATGAAGCAGTTGCAGTTCTGCGCGGTCCCAGTGACAATCTTGGTGGCGTTTATGGGCGTGCAGTCGTTACGGGAAGTATCTACTGCGGCGTCCGAGCTTACCACGCAGTAGCTGTAGCCCGGCTGCAGACTACAGTTGCTGGGGTCCGAGTTGAGACTGGGGTTCCAGTCTAGGAGTTGCTCAATGGAAATGGCGTACTCGTCCGCGATGTCCTGGCAGGACATGGGGACCGCGGAGCTGTAGTTGGCATACCAGGCACAGTCTTCCCTGGTCCCGGCCGCATGAGGGAGGAACGTGGGTTCCCAGTCGAAACCGGCAGGTGCGGGCGTGGAGGTCGGGATGGCGGTGTTGACGGAGGAGAAGGTGTTGGGGGCGACAGTAATGGTTTGTTTCGTGCCGCTGCTGGTCGTGTAGTTGGGATACGTGGTTATGGTCCCGACGGGCTGGACGCAGTAGGCGATGTCGAGTAGGAGGTTCGTGCATTGGGTGTTGATCTCTGGGTTGAGAAAGTAGAAGTCGTCTAAGGTGATACCGTTGCCGACGGACACTGTTCCGCATTCATCGCCCGAGACGATCTATTTCGGATGTGTCAGTGTTGTGGTACTTGGGCCTGGCAGTGATTTGGGAGTCGTTTGGTGCGACGTACGTTATACCATTTACCACAATTTCGGTTGGATCCGTCCATTGCGTTGGAAGGGACTGGTACCGCTGCCGTTGGTGCGGATGAGACACCACCACCGAGATCGCTGGTGGCGGTAGGAGTGAGTATGCCGCCTGGAGGACTGAAGAGTATTTAGTCAGTGGCGGTACGATCGAGCCTGCGCTCGCATGAGTGAAGTATAAACACACCTCAAACAGACCTCGTAGCCAACGAAATTACCTGCATTCTGGCAGAGAGGGTCGAAGTTCGGGTTCCAGGACATGAATTGGGTCAACGTGATGGATGGATTTGCCAAAACTACGGCGTTGCATGTATCTCCGACTTGCCATGTGTACGTGTTGCAGGTCGGGGGAGAGCAGAAACTGGTGCCAACAGAAGCGTTGAAATTCCGACAGTACATGTCCCATCCGTTGTAGACCAGGAGGTTGTACGTACTGACGTTGAGGTACTGCGATAGGTCGAAACATGTGTCAGTAGCCTGCACGTAGTATGAGCCAGTACATCCAGGTGCGGATGTGGGCGAGGCACTTGGCGCCGTATCGGTGGCGTTGAGAGCATAGGCGGTGGGTGTAGCATAGCTGTACTGGTTGGAGCTGCAGCTCGAGGTCAGAGAGGCGAAGTTGTCGGCTTGACCTTGGTCGTAGCCCAAAGGATTGCCCAATTGGAGTGCTTGCGCGCCGAGCCAACAGTCCGAGCAGGCTTGGGTGGAGTTGACGCCGCCTTGGGCTTCCCAGCCTGCAATGATTGGGTCACAGTATTGTCCGGTATTGCTATCAGGAGATCGGGTCAGAGAATTGCTGCGGTCAGATACACGTTCACCGTCATACCTGTCTTTTCTGCATGCAATATCGTAAGTGGATATATAGGTATCGGCAAAGAAAGTGGCTGAGAAATCTTATCAGCGAGCCAATTCATGGACGGGTCGATGTAGGCGAATGCGTAATTCACGCTACGGAGATTGTCATCGGCACCGAAAGATAAGGCACGGGGAGCAGAAGACTAACTGTGTCAGAGCATCCAGTGGTAGATCGGTAGGCGCGACTTTGTGGCAAGCCAAAGTGTTGGCCCAAGACTCATAGTAGCCAATGACTTTATTCTGGAGGATGCCAGTACTTGAGCCTCCACTAGGCGGAGTTGGATGTTCTACGCAGTTGCTTTGGCATTTTGCTGTCGCAGCAAGGTCAGTACGTGAAGAGCTGCAACGTTGCTCTCGGCCGACATACTTCCACAGAAATCTGATGTCGTTCCACACTGCCGCTTGTTAGACGAATGACAGTCGTATGAAGTGTCTCAGTTGCACTTACAAACCCGTATTGACTACAGCATGTGTTCAGTGGGCACTTCTGTCCACTTTCCTTGGCATCCTTTCCACACTCGGCGGTAGCATCGCAGTTGGATGAACACCCGTTGCCACAGTATGTAGAGCCTTGCCTACAATCAGTCTCCGGATCGAATAGGTCTCTGTGTACCGACGTCGCTTACCATAACCACAATAGCCACCCTCACCACAGCAAGCCCCGTTTCTGCAAGGGTTACCGGGTCCGCAGCTGTAATCGTCGCGCCGCGCTAGCGAGACATTCGTCGAGTGATATGAGAGATCGTGGGAGCCACCGCCGAGGCCATCATTGATGCTGCTAACACTTCTGGACACTATGGTCTGGAGCTTATGAGCATGAGCGGGATCAGCACAAGACTGTATGTGGACATAGATCGCAAAGAGAGCAGCAAGAGTACAGATGAAGAGACCACCCGTCGTTCTTCTGCTGAATGAGCGATTTTCGGCCATAACGAAGAGAGGGGCCGTCGAGAGCAGAACAGCAAATCCGAGAGGAGCAACAAGGAATAAACGATATATGAGAAGAAGGCAGAACAAACGCAGACAGCCCTATGAGTGCTCGGTCCGTGACGGGCGTCCTTGTGCAACATCGCGTCTTCCATAAAGTGGATGGAAGGACTACCCCTGGCCCCATGGCTAAGCGTAGGATTCACCTAAGGTTGAGGCCCACAGGCATGTGCAAACCTCGTCATGGGCCCAAGCCAAAGCTTTACACATGGCTAAAGTGTCGATTGCAATTCCAACACTGCATAAGGTCCTGCCAGAATTGCCCAGCTCAGAGGAAATGTGGAGTCTGAGATCCGCTGCTACACATGCTTCTTCAGGCTTGGTCAGCTTGCCAAGATAATATCGCGCTGCTTCCCATGCTGAGCGTCCTTGGCGGGTGACGGAACTATCGTTTCGCCTCGAACTTACGACCAGCAAAACGGGGACTAATTTCCGTGTGTTTCGGGCGATGGAAGAAGGATGAACTGCGGTGCCAAGCCATATATATGCGGATTCTCGACGGCCCCTGACGGGAGGATTGCGGGTTGAAGCGCCCGGAGCCAAAGCAAGCTGAAGCCCTGTAGATCGTTGCTAGCAATACATACTCAACAGCCTTGGCGATGTTGGTCTACTCTACGAGGTCGAAGGCGGAACTAGACTAGTCACAATGGCAGAAGATTCTCGCTTGGGACGCCAGTCCATATCCACATACCGTCCCATCCTGGACCTCTTTGCAATCTGCACTCCTGATTATCATGTTCTCCGCGGCAAGAATTACCCATGTCGCCGAACACTGCTGGTCGTTTGGACGTGCACACTATGCGACCAGTCCATCGCGATTGGGTTCTGGTAAGGCATTTCACCAAGTTGCGTCTGATGCTGTAACAGGCATCACCCACCGAAATTGAATTGAGTCGTCTTCCGTCTCTACGTTGTTGCTATACAGCTGTCTGCCTTCCTTCGGGGGGACTACTGAACCTCGTCTTTTCCGCAAACTACTCAACAGTTCGTTTGAGGGCAAAGGACGCCATGCTGTCCCTACTACTGGCACTGGCCGCTGCTGCAACAGCACAACAACTCCAGGGACTGTACATGCCTATGCCGTACAACGTGTCTACACCTTGCCTTCAGGCTCTCAACACCAGCGTGTCCTGCCCTGATGGTTTGATCGACCTGTCTTTGACGTTGGTGGCAACCGGCAACATAATGAATTCGTGCATACGCTGATCCGTACCATAGCGGCGAGGCCATTGATAGCGATGGGGTGGCGTATCTCTGCACTGGTGACTGCGCGAACTCTCTACAGAGTGCACGTTCGACCGTCGCTTCCGCTTGCTCTAGTGCAGATGTCGTGGTTGTTAATGGCATCGCTTACCCTGGTACGGTATATGCAACGACCCAGGCTCACTCCAGATCGTGACGATGGACGCTGCCACCGAGGCCAGCTTGTTCTCGGACACGACCAACATCAAAGTCGTCAAGCCCGATCTGAAAGTCTTCGTCAGTGTAGGAGGCTGGTGTGTTGTTTCGGAACCTCCACACGAAAGATACGAGTACTGACGAGATTGCACACAGGACTTTCTCAGACAATGGAACCGTACGCAGTGTAGGAAAAGCCTGCCACACGACCATCTGCTGACTAGGCCGTGCAGGCAACGCAGCCAGTATTTGGTGATATTGCCGCCGACTCTGGCAAGAGACAGAAGTTCGCAAACAATGTAGTACAGTTCATGCGACAATATGGTAAGGACTCGCTGATCAAGCATACACCTTGCATCATGGACACTGACATATGATGCTGCAGGCTTTGACGGCATTGACCTTGACTGGGAGTATCCTGGAGCGCCTGACCGGGGTGGTAAGAAGGAAGATACCGCCAACTATGTCCTTTTGATGCAGACATTGCGAGAAACGTTCGATGCAAGTGGCGGCAAATATGGACTGAGCTTCACTTCACCTTCTTCCTTCTGGTATCTTCGATGGTTTGACTTGCCCGGCCTGCTCAAACATGCCGACTGGACGAATCTCATGACGTGAGTCGGGACTGGAACCATTCTTTCATACTGCCTATTGACTGGATTACAGATATGATCTGCACGGCGTGTGGGACTCGACCAATCCCATCGGCTCCATTGTGCAAGGCCACACTAACCTGACGTATGTTCGCTCAGCTTAGCACACGCGAACAGTATCGTGCTAACTTGTGCCGTAGCGAGATCAAACTGGCTGCAGAGCTGTTCTGGAGGGTTGACATCCCACCGTCCAAGGTCGTAATGGGCTTCGGCTTCTACGGTCGTTCCTTTACCCTCGCCTCTTCCGGTTGCACGACTCCTGGATGCGGGTTCAGTGGAGCGTCTGATCCTGGACCGTGCACGAAGACCGGAGGATCTCTCGCCTACTACGAGGTCGAGAGCGTCTTGAAGAATAACCCTTCTATTAAACCGATCCACGACGATGATGCTGCAGTCATGTACTTCGTCTGGAATGATAATCAGTGGATCTCTTATGATAACGCGGACACTTACAAACAGAAGGTCGATTGGGCAAATGATGTCGGGCTGGGCGGTGCCATGATATGGGCCTCAGACGGAGGTCAGTACGACCCCTCCATACATTTTATTCTCTAGCTGACGTTCCATCTTCACTGCAGACGATGATAAGTACAGCGCTCATGCAGCACTTTTGGGGAGATCCATCCAATCCACTTCCAGCTTGGGAGACCTGCAGCTCAAGAATCTGGCCAATGCGGACCCTGAGTCGGTTTCTCAGAGTGCTTCAGCATTCAACGGCCAGCAGTGCAAGACGTACGACGGCAAATGCGTGGATCTGAAAGACAACAACGCTATGGCCGCAGCGTGTGGCAGTGGCATGACGGTCGTGGGCTGGGATGACGCTGGTTGCGGAAAGAAGAATCACGTGAGTCTGCGTTATAGCATCTAAACCACCAGGCTTCTGACTGACACCGAATTAGCATTATGGCAAGCCTGTCTGCTGTCCAGCTATAACCGCACCAAAAGATTGCACATGGCGAGGCGACAACAATGGCAAGGGCAGCAAGGGTGACTGTAGCGCTCAGTGCTGGGCCGGTGAAGTGAACATGGCGGGGATCCAGTCGTCATGGGGAGGCGGCTTCACCAATGATGGGAACACTGACAAATGCTCGAGGGGCAAGAAGTCGTTCTGCTGTCCTGATCCGGGCTTTTCGCAGCTGACTCAAGGGTGTGGCTTCACTGGATGGTGAGTAGGAATCATCGGTGAACATGTACTGCGGACGAAACTGACATCTCGTAGTGGCAAGAGTTGTGCCGTTGGTCTAGACCAGCTGTTCGAGACCAACTGCGTTTTTGGTGGGACGAAGAAGTACTGCTGCCCGTCACCGGCACCGTTCAGTGATTGTCGCTGGGTCACCAAGACTGACAGTAAAGGCGTCGACTCTGACTGTGCAAACGCCATCTGCGCCAAGGACGAGATCGAGATATTGCGGACTAACACTGGGAAAGGCGAGACTCGCTGTGCCTGTGAGTCCTTCCGGTCGGACTGCACTACTCGAGGGGCTAATGAGACTCGCAGACGGACGGCAGCAGCCCGCTTGCTGCAAGATCAGCAAAGCACCAGACGCTCCAGCAATGTGCAGCTTCGATCTTTGCAAGCTGCCGGGAGTCTGCACGAACGACGGCACACCAGGTATCGCTGCAAACAAGAGAGAACTCGCTCTCGACAGCCCCATGGAGACCCACGTACTCGAGACTCGTGGGCAGGATCACTATGAGGCCAATCTAGGCCGTTACGTATTCATTCTCATCGCTGCAGCCGTCAACGAGATCTCGAGACTCTATGCCGGCCGAAACGCGAATCTTGTAACCCGTCAACAGTACAGGTTACGACCTGGGAGCTGTGTCGGCCCTGCTATCGACATCTTAACCGTAGCGGCTGGTGACCATCCGGGTGGCTTGACTGGTGATCAGACTGAGCATCCTATTGAGGTGAGTACATCGTCTTCGGGAATATATCACAGTTTCAGCACTGATTGCATGTTGACAGCCGCAATTCGGTGCTCGATTTCTCGAAACGATCGTTCTAGGCAGACTACGCGGTGCCAACGGACAAATTCCTTCGCCGTATCTGCCTCCTATCCCTGCTGACACGATCAACTTTTACTGGGATCATCCGTTGCATGAGTTGGCCCAACGGCCTGCCATAGGTGGTCCTTATGGCGATAAACCTGCCACCGCCCAAGAAAGATTCATGGGAGCTTTCGGGTCCGTCGACTGGCCAGAGCCTCTCATCCCCACTGATCAGCAGATCAATGGACCCAAGGGCCAGCTTTGGAGTCTGCACGATCCCATCTCACTCGATGCCATCAATCGTAATGCTCGGGCAGCAGTCAACGCAGATACCGTTCAGACTCAAGACGCCCTGTTGCAGTCCGTCCGTATAGTAAGTTCGAGTCTACATGCGTTCCAGCGCCGTCAGCTGCCACGGAAGATATCTTGCTGACCTTTGTTGCACATTGCAGGGCTTCGCTATCATGGAATACATGAACGATCAGAACTTCATCAACCACTTCAACATCGCTCGCAACCAGATCAGAGCGCAGCTCGGCTACATCGAAACGGCGTTTGCGAACCAGGGCTGGCCGGTGACTGGGCTACAGGAATGGTGGGATGTCGTTCTGGACGACTTCATGGCGCAATTGCAAACGCGTGTCCGAACCTTCACCGACCAGGCTATCACGGCGGCTTTCGCGCCTTTCAACTCGCAACGCGGTCAGAATCTCAATATCGCACCGGCGATACGCGCCACGTTGCGGGATTATCTCACCAGGCTTCAGAACGGCCAGGGTATGACGTTCGATGCGCAGTACTTTGTCAATATACACCCACCACCTTGAAGAAACGAATCTGGGCTCGGAGGATTGGCCAGGTAGTACGGTGTGTAGTCATGTCATATTTCCAGCTTTTGCAGTCGCAGCAGGAAATGGAAGATAGATACGGCATGCTATCCTCAAATCTCGTATGTTTCGTGATCATGATGTCCGCCTGTTCTAGTGTTGGTCGCGATATTGGATTATGAGTCAACGACCTGGTTGTAGTTTCTTTAGCACTTGAAGTCGTTCTCGATGTACGTGAGAACAAGGTACTTTGACCTATAGCTCCGAGTCGTACGTACCGAATGACCTTTTATACTATTTGAACAATATGTACTATCGATCTAGGTATATAGAATAGTAACATTCAGTACTAGTATGTGTAGGTAGACTAGGTAGGCTCGGAGTTCACCCCGGGCACGTCCATACAACTGACATTGTGTCGCTGGCGGAGGCGGTCACGTAGGCCGTCGTCGGAGCTACAATAGTATGAGGTTGGCTCATGAAAGCAGCGGATGGCGAGGAGGGAGGCAGCATCTTCATGGACCGTGCGGCAAAGGTTGAGCTTGTCACATCAAACACCGACAGGCACGCAGCATGCAAAGACAATAGTAATGTGCTCGCTCGGACTGCACTTCGACCCCTCAGCGCCCATTGCTGCCACTCCCGCTTCACCCAGGCCCAAGAGACAAGGAGTACGCGTAGCGTGTCAGGTCTGGTACGTCACAGTCAGCAGCTATATCCTTATCCATACCCATACCCAGCCGCCACGGAGCTGTTTACTGAATCGTAGTGACCATGCAGTCGACGGCGGAAAGTCCGAGTATGTCTGCACAGCATCGCATCCTCCGTCCTCCCCGCAGAGTCGCACTGGCTGACGGCTCGCCATGTGCTAGTGCAACGGACAGCGGCCAATCTGTGACAAATGCGAGAAGGGTGGGCACGTCTGCCAGTATGAGGCCAGCGACGATGAGACGGGAGCGGCGCCTTTGAGGAAGAGGACACTGGCCTTGGGACAAGAAAACCAGACATTGCGAGAGCAGAATGAGGAGCTGCAATCGAAGCTGTCGAGACAATCCCCCGGGTACCACGCGTCTACGTCGCATCACGTGCGAAGAGCGCTGACCAGGTGCAAAGCAGGTCCACCTCCCCCACCGCCGTCACCTCCCCGCGGAGCATCGTCACCGATACCCTCTCCTTCCATGCCACCGCCCAATCCTCATTTCCCTACCTGGTTGGCCCGCTAGAGTACCAGCTGTTTCTGTCCCACTCGCATGCCTATGCCTACGACAGGCTCCCCGACATGGCAACCCTGAAGGCTCTGCATGCCCGAAGAGTGCATCGCATCATGGGCGACGTTCCTCTCCGCATGGGGTACTCATCCACCACCAAACCCCAGCGTACAGTCCTACCTGTCTAACAACTTTTCTGACAGAGATGACCTCCCGCCCTCTCCGGCAGAAGTACCTCCGGAACTCGCTCCAGCGTTTCAGCATGGCTCAACATTCCAACAGCTCCCGCCAGACTCGCCGTTCATTCGTAGCGACAAGCGCTTGGCACGGTTCAATTTAGCGGCGTGGTGTCCGGTGACTGTTCCGAATGAGCTCGCCCGCCGACTGCTTGACTTTTATCTCCATACCGACCATGCAGTGCTCGGGCATTTCGACTCGGAGCTTTTCATCGAGGACCTCCTCAATAACAACACCGATTTCTGTTCAGTGTTGCTGGTCACGTCATTATTGCTTTGGGCCTGCGTGAGTCGAGCCTCTTGCATGATGTACACACACTGACAGTATTGCTAATGGTGACAAATAGCACGGATACTCCCTTATCGATCAACGAGCCCTCATGCTCAGTACTCCACTTTTCGATGCGACCCTTCGCCTATGGCAACAGGAGCGTGATCACAACTCACTTACTACCCTTGCCGCCGGAATCTTCTTCAGACTGGCTTGTACTGTCATTGGCAATGAAGACATTGGTCTGAGCGTATTCGCAGATATGTACGACATGGTACAAAGACTTGAGCTGGTGGGGACCGTGAGTGACAATCCGGAGGCATATACCCAATTGGACGAGCACGAGAGGAAGTGGTACCGAGCACGAGCGCATGCGGCGTGGGGTTTATTTAACTTCACCACGTGAGTTGTAGTGGGTCATTTTTGTTAAAGTACCGAGCTAAATGTGGCAGACTTCACTCGTTCTCCTACGGACCACCGATGATGTCCGAGCTTCCCAAGTTCATGATTCCTGGAGAAGCATACACCTGGCCGCTTCCGGACTTCATGGGAAACACATTCACCAAACTTTCCAAGCTGTGGCTTATCCTGAACGAAGTCTCGCTTGCCTACTTCGCTGACCCTTCAGGTGGTTCACCGGAGCACCTATCGATCGACTTCGCCGAAGGACAATATCGGCGACTCCTCGAATGGGCGGATATGAACGGACCCTTGATCGAACAGTGGGACCGCGATTCGCGCCACCAGTCCTACATCCAGGTGATTTTCCACACCTGCGTCCTCGAGCTCTTCCGGCCCTTCCTCGACACCAATCTCCCCCTCAAGACTTTTCAATGGCAGCAATGCACCCCGCGCGCCATCTACTCAGCCTCCACCCGCCAACTCCACTACCAACTCCTAATGTTTCCCATCATCCACCCCTCGGCCGATTTCATCTGGTGGTGGTATGGAGTCTGCCAGATCGCCAACGCCGCTATCACCACCCTCGAGAAACCAGACTCGCAGTGGATCTTCCTCCTCTGTCTCGTCTGCTTTCACGACCTCGCCGTTTGCTTCCCCGTCATGGGCGATGTGTTGGCGGGATTGTTGCGGATAGCGACGAGGAGGAAGTTTCTGCACCGCCGGGATGCGCACGTTCTGTATGAGCGGTTGAGAGAGAATCGGAGGATGTTGACCCGGCAGGATCAGAAGGGCGTGGGGTTTTCGATCGATCTTTCCATGTCAGAGAGGGGTTCGGAGATAGCGAGTGTGTCACAGCTTGCGAAGGCTTCTTGATGGGTTGCTTTTGCTTGGGTGACGATGCCTCTTGTACTTACCGGGCCAATAGCTGGGTTGAGTGGCTACGATGCAGTTCCGTCGGCAAATGGCGTTCATACTACTCTATGCGCACATCAACTCAATTGCACTTGAATGCTGATTTCTGCAACCTCAACAAAACAGACATCCGATCTGTCTGTGCCTATCTGTACGCTGTTTTGATACGCGCGTCACTTCTACCATTGTTGTCCAGAAGCCTGGACATCACTTCCGGCATTTCATCTGTACGCATGATACTAAGTCCGTCCCGTGCAATATAATAAAGTTGCAAAATTCAGGAAAAGGGGGCTGCGAGACGGGCGGGATCATGTATCCTCTGCGACGTGTGATCGCATGTGGTTATCATTTGATGATGGGTGTGGTCAATCCCGTAATCTAGTTCGATCTATGCACCCATCTAGTGTATTGCATTGACATCACAACAGACTACCAACCTCACCCGCCAAATCCGTCAAGCCTTTCATCTTCGCACACTCCCTCGCCGTCTTCTTCACGTCCAAAGCTCGACACAAGTCCATGACTTCACCATTTGTAGGGCCGCAATACAACAAAAACCCTAGACTCAACAGCAAAGCCTTGACAGCCTCCTCGTTAGTCTCGGAGCCAAGAGTCTCAACTATCGAAGCAGCGAGCTCGACTTGCTCCGCTTCGGCCAGAGCCTCTTGTTCTTCTTCCCGTCGGACACGATAGTTTGTCGTGGCGAGGTTGAAAACTAGCCATGCTGAGCTGACCCGGACGCTGGGGTGGGAGATATCAAGGAGTGAGCGTGTGACGAGTTGTATCAGCTCTTGTAAAAGATCGGTAGAGCCTTGTGTGATTTCTCGGATGAATAGTGGGGAGGGGAACATGTTGCAGGCGAGTTGGATTGTGACAAGGCGTAGATTGTGAGGGCAGGTTGGAAGGTCGTTGATGTGTTTGAGGAGGGTTGGGATGAGTGCGGGAGCTCGTTCTTCGGCGAAGTAGCCGCTCACGCGAGGGTCGATCGTGGCGCAGCGCAGGAGGTCGACGGCGGCGAAGCGGACGTCTACGGGAAGGGAGAGGACTTTGTTGCGGAATTTCTGGCTGATGGCATGGAGATTTGGTAGCGGTGCCTCGCGAGCATCTTTGTTGCGTGTCTCGATGAAGGACTTCAGGATCGTGAGTTGTGGGTCGTGGCCTGCGTTCCCGAGCTTCGTCATCAACTTGTCCAGGGGAGGGACCTTGCTGTAGGTGACAGGCTTCAGGCTTCCATACTGCAGCGTTGGTACCTTCAGCGAGGTGTGTGGATGGGGAGGAAACACAGTATTGATCAGCCTCTCCACGTTGCCTTTCAACATATTCGGATCAGCTCCCAACCACTCGTCCTGCTTCACACCCTTCTTGAACGTCATGAATGTCGGTGTGGCCCTGACTCGATACTTTGCACCGACATCCTGGGCAACATTCACATCGACCTTTACGAACAATGCGTTCGAATACCGATCGGCCAGAGTGTCGAACATTGGGTAAGCGATCTTACAAGGCGCACAAGTCGACGACGTGAAGAAGACCGTGGCAGCCGTCTCCTTCGCACCCTGCAGATGACGTTCAAGCTCCGCAAGACTCTTTGCACCGATCACACTCCCATAAGTTCTATTGCCAGTCATGCCGTTCCCGTTTGTACTAATGGCTGTCCTCTGCGCCGAGCCTTCCGCCCCGTGAGCCGTCCCGTTCCTGGCGGCAGTCGAAGGTAATGCATTCTGCTCGTCCAAAGGCCGCTGCACTGTTCCTCTCATGCCTGCTTCAATCTGCGGTCGTAGCATCTGTCCGAATGGTGTGTCCAGGACTCGCTTGGGCAACGAAGTAATATGCTCCGGGATCCCTCTTCCAAGTAGGAACATACTAAAATCATTGGTGAAATTGTTGCAGTTATGCGCAAAGAGATCGTAGGATTCGGGTGTGTAGACTTGTTTCAGACTTTCTAGGTAGTCGAGGATCACTTCGAGGGGTAATTGTGTTGACCCCATGGGTATGGTCTCCATCGGTCGGCCGTGGTGGGTTGAGCCGGCTCGACATGTTTGCACACCGGCGCCGAAGAAATACTCGATTCCTCCGAAGACGAGAGAGGTATGGTAGACAGCGTCGATCTGAATGCCAAGATATGCCTGGGAAAGCTGCCGTGCCATGCCATTGGTAAGGTCGTAGACATAGAGTTGGATCTCCATGGTGGCGTTGGGTTTGTGTCGTGTGAGGCTGAATGTTATAGTCGTTATTATGCCTCTGGGCGCCAAAACACGACTGAAGTTTCCCGACGTTGGTAAGGATCGTGCATGTCACAATGGAAGAAATGGATTTTTGGCAGGCGGCAAAAGTAGTCGTAGTCAATCGTGCGTTGACAACGGCGCCACATTCCTCCGAGCCGATCTCTTTCCACTTTCCATGGCACTTCATCGAGGCGCTTTGCTTTGCATAACTCCATCATATGTGACATTGTACTATCTGCTCTTGGTATTACACACTCCCCGGGCACAGCCTCCAACGTCTCGGCTGTCATGTTTCGACCTCATGACGTACGCGAAAGCAACGATTGCTCCTTACCGCATAACAACCGTTTCCTTCAGCATCGCTTTCCCATTGAACAGCGTCCATCATGATTGTGCAACAGCCCTATGCCCTTCAGCCTGTACTCATGCTACAGGGCTAGGTTAACGAACATCTATTCACGACGATGTCTGTCCGCCATGATTGTTCCTGCCTGGTGAGAACTCCCTCCTTGGCTTAGACTGATGCCACTTATAGCCCACGACGGCGACGCGCCTCTTCATATTTGTTCCACGATGCTAGACCCCACGGCTCACCGACCATGCCGCGATAGAACTCACGCTGTTGGTGCTCCTGCTGCGGGAACTCACGTCCTCCACCCACGCCATGATCTGGGCGAAACAAATTGTCGTAGCGACAGCCGCCCGGAGCGAACGGATTACGCGGTTGTTCGAAACCTCCATACGGATCAAAGCGACCTTGTTGTGTGCGACGCTCGAACGGATTGCGTGGGCCTGGCGGATCCATCGACAGTCTCTCATCTCTGAAGCCACCACCTGGTAGCCCAAGGCCACCAAAACGATCACCGAACCTATCGACTCTGTGCCTGCTAGCTCTTGGTGGTGGCGACGCTGACAATCGAGCAAAGCCGCCATAGCGGCCTGTGCGCTCCAATGGAGACATGGAACGCCGAAGATCTTCCTCTGGACGATTGATTGTGATGAGGGGCGGTCTGCGGGAGTCTTGCTGTGGTGCACGACGACCAGTGGCGTAGTGGTCGAAGTTACGGTCGTAGATGTCGTCGGATCTTGCACGGCGATGGGCGAAAAGGTCGTCTTGCTGCGCCATGCCGTTGCCCTTACGGCCACCGTACGGGCCGTGAAGATCAGGGCGAAAGCCACCGTAGCCGGGATAGCCTGGATAGCCGGCCATGATGATGAGTCTTTGATGAGTCAATATGTAGATCAAGGGGTTATGTATCTGCTGTTTGTGGTCTGCTAATACTCTTCTTACCGATGTAGCCGACGTACTGATCGTCACAGTATTCGAGGTTTGTGTTTGTTTGAAAATAGTAAGCCGAGAGTGTAGACTTACGGGCACAAACTTACTGCTATAGGTGACTGACAGTTGTGTCTGAATCTACGGTATGTTCACATATCAGCGGCTTGTGTCTGCCGTATTACCGCACCAGCATTCACCAACCTTGGTATTTACTGAAACCTACCGCACTCCGACGGAAGACAAAGATTGCTACTTCCTGGGTGTCTGCCTCTTCATCCGCTCCCACGTTGTATAATTTACAGCATCTCAAGTTCGATCAAATCAACCCACATCGGGAGCTGCACGATGCAACAGAATAATCCTTACAAAGCCGTCAATCTTCTATCCTACACGAGATATCTGTTCTGCGCCCCTGACATACTGTCTCGCCATCATGGAAAGTCAGGTGAGGATGCGGCTGATGCGCTCAAGGACTCGGATGACAACACAGTGGTTGGCCATCTCTAATCAATCGCCAACTCCCGGCCTAGAGGACGGAAGAGAAATACATGCCAGGTTGATGTTATACCTCATGCTGCTCCTCACGAGTAGCGAATGACCTTTCCGGTGAGCTAAGAGTGTGGCGCTATGATGCTTGATGGGACGACTATCTACAGTATGCCGGGACAAGAATTTCTCGCCTGAAATTGTACGGGCTCTCTATGGCACTACTCATAAAGATCGGTCACGCTACAAGCTAGAGCGCAGTGCCTGCAAGCTCCTGCAGCTTTTGGTCTGCCCAATTCCCGAGCTCGCCAAGATAGTGTTCGGGATCATCACCTCGCCAATCTCGCAGCTTGAACCACAGGTAGCGTGCATCACGACCAGCAGCAATGACACGCTGATAGCCTGGAGCACACCTGAACAGAGCACCGTGGTAGTGCTGCGAGTATTCAACATGCTCGACAAGCTCGGCGGCCGTCGCATCCCTTCTTCACGCGGCTGACCACTGGGACTGCATTGTCTGCAGTTGTGAGATTACCAGATACTATAGATATGGTGGTGTCCGAGAGTAGAGCCGGTGTGATACAACCGGTCTCCCAGTCGTACAAAGATGTTACCACGGGTGTCCCGTCGCTATCGATCTTGACAGACATATTGTGCGTGCCGAAGTCACCATGCTCAAGGACGAGACGGTATATTAGTGGTTTGTCGCCGTCCTCTGGAGGCAAGATGTGTGGAATCACCTTTAGCAAGGAAATTTTGGCTGCAGCTGCGCGAGGACCGACAGTGTTTCGATCACTCTCCCAGCCGATCATGTCGCCAATTTTCTTGATTGTTGCTTCGATCTTGGACGTAAAGAGCCCCACACAAAAGTCACGCGTCGATGCGACACCTATCGGAAGCTTGTCTGGTGTTTGCTCGAAGAGTCGCTCTCGCAGCCAAGATGTCGCAAACTCATACAGTACGTCGAAGTTGAGGAGTGCTGCTCTAATTTCGGCGCACTGTTTCAATGGGTGAACTACGAAAAGCGCAGCATTGATACAGGGCACACACGATCTCCCTGGAAACCTACCTCTCCTGCTTGATCCAAGGACCTCCAGACATAGTCTTGACTTTCAGCTTGTTCAAAGACCATGAATCGACGGCCAACCAGATTTATCGATCGTGCTTGTCCGCTACCTTCGCAACGCTTGGGTATTCGGTGATACAGTAGCTTTGAAGACTTGATCTCAAATTGACTCAGGAGTAGACTGTATGTTGCAGCTTCGAACGCCACTTCGGAGGCCTGGACTGCAAGAGGAAAGCCATCGAACTTTGGCATGTTCATCTCTCCGCGGGCTGGTCTTACAACGACATCCGGCCGATTGTCTAGCTTTAGATGGAAACCCTGCCATCGGCATCAGTATCGAACTGTATGTACCGCTTGTTACTGTGATGACAGGGCGTTCTTACGTAGTCATTGGAGCCATTGTACAGCATCGGAATATCCACGACTGTCGTGCCAAGATTCTGCTCGACTTCAGCGATCAGCTGCTCGACATCCCAGTCCTGCTTGAAGGGGCTGTTGCAACTGCGGACCAAGGCGAGGAGCCCAAGGTCATCAAACTTGCTGCCGTCTGGCATGGAAAGCCAGCAGTCCTCGATATAGAACTCGTCTTTCTGCTGACATTTCGTGGAATATCGTCTGGGACGCTTTGCTTCAGAACTTTTGGAGCGATGTGCAGGCTACCTGCATACTCTCTCTAGGCTATTCGCACTGGCCGGACCACAGAGCCGATTTACTCTGCGGCTTTGTTCTGCAAAGCCACTGCATCTTGTATGTCGCAGTGTGTCCTCCTTTTGTTTGCTTTGTAAGGCCGCATGGTAGAACACGAACCGGTTTTGTTGTACGTCAAAGGTCACGAGGAGATGTGGCTAGATGTTTTAGTTCGCATCGTTACTGGATTTTCATTGAGTCTGTTCCGAATCGACCTACAAGAAGTGGCTCTTTACGTGGAAGTCGATCGTCAAGCTTGTCTCTGCCAAGGACCCGTCTTACTGCTGATTCTATGAGCCTTCAGGCGCATGCCTCCCCACAGATCCTCCGGGTACTGCTTCAATGGCCAAGTCTAGATTTGAGCAGTCAATGCAAGCAATCCCAGCATGCCGAAGGTCGTAAGGCAGCGACTGTCCGCGAGCACATTTGTAACATTGAGTATCTATGTCTGAAGAGTTTCGGTGATGTAGAAAGAAGCAAGACTAATGATGATGAAGACCTTGAGCAACAATGCGCCAGTCAGCCTGTAATAGTCAACATGCGGTCCTTCTGCGGAATTCGAGCGACTTACCAATTTGTTCTGCCCTCCTGTACAACATATGTCACAATGATGATGGACGCAAACAGAGACGCCACCGCAAAACCGTCGAAATCGAGCGTCATCTCGTCGATCCGCATACCCCATGCGATGAGGACGATAAGTGGCACAACCATGAGCGCAGTCTGCATAGCTCGTTCAAGTGTAAGAACCAAGGCCATGTCCATTTTGTCGTTCTTGGCCACTGTGATGATCGCTGGATCGTTGCTCATGAGGGGCAAGATTACAAGGCCCAGAAAGGTTTGAGGTAAACCACGAGCGCTCATAGCCTGGATACTGTTGGTAGCGAACTCCGTGTTGAGAGCTAGCAGTACTGTGGTGGCCACAATCGCCACGATAGCCACCGGCCATGATAATTTCGGTATTGCCTTCTCCTCTGGCTGGTCGTGGATCAGGTTCTCCCGGACGATGGTACCTCCAGCCATGCTAGCACCCATGGCACCCTGTGCTGCGACTGCTTTTAATGCTGCACCAGCTTCTCTGGATAGACTACGTCCTTCCCACGGCTTGGACGCTTTAGCAACCTCGTCCGGTAGATCGAACAGCGAGCGGTTGGTCTTTAGCTGGAACACTAGCCATAGCACATACGATGTCATGATGACTACCGCTGTACCTCTGGATTGCGCCAAGATGCCCGCGGGAGTGGAATGGCCCCAGAGGCGAGACACTGTTGGTATCGTCAAGCTGAGCACAGCCAGCAATAGAAACATGCTGATGGTTTGCGCAAGCCTTATGCTGAAATATTGTTCTTTGCGATGGTAGCCGCCGACCACAAATGCCACGCCTGTCATAAGGAGTAAGTTTTGTAGTATGCCCCCGAGTAAAGATGCCTGCAGCACGATGATCTGTCGACTTCTAAGTAAGAGCACGGATGTTATGAGTTGAACAGCATTACTGCAACCTGTCAGCGGTCAGAATTTACCGTAGGATCTCTCCTTACATTCCTGAAGGTCATGCTCAGCAGACCTTCCAGGCGATCGCCGAAGTGCATTCCTAGCTGTTCGACTCCATACGCGAGCACCTCATTAGTAGGTATGATCGCAAGAAAGTTGATGATAAAAATGATGATCGGGTCTTGATGAGTGTAGTATACTGCGAAGCCGGCAGGCACGAAGCACCAGAGTATCATGGTCCAGCTTCCAAGGAATATGAGGCCTAGCTGTCTTCCGAACGGTATTTGCTTGGAGACCAAGACTTCCTGTTCAGATCCTGCTGCATTGCCACTCTGCTTCCATGGCAAAAATTTCCTTGCCTTCCGACGTCTGGGTCCAGAGTCAAGGTCCTGAGACTGCTCATCATTCTCAAGCTTCGTTGTCGTCGTGGTGGACTGTGCAGCGTTCGCGTTATCAGGAGCTGCCAATTCCGTTGCCGGTAAGTCTATGGGGCCCGCAGACCATCTTCGCGTCTCGAGTGGTGCAGGATAGGTGTCTGCCCTCCGAGGTCCCGGTGAAGGGTCCCAGCTGGACGCGATAGGCCTGATTTCCGCGTCGTTTTCGGTGTGGACGACAACCAGTGGTCGATTATTCTCCAAAGAGTCACTACGTCTCCGCTGCCGGTGGGAATTGTAGCGGCCGAAAGGATTGTATACCGTGTCTTCGGCATACCAAGCTTGCCGACGTGCCACCTTTTTGATTGAATCTGATGCCCATGCTTCAGTACGCCAGATGCGTGCAGTGACACGTAGAGTTTTACTTACGCATGGCTGTCTAGTACTGACAATACCGTTGCTGTCCTTATAGGCTGCGACTGTCGACAAAGGCAAGCGAGCAGTCAGACGAGTTGGCCATCGAGGACCATTGGGGGCCAAACCCTATTTATGATTGACCTCAGCAGGGTGGCGAGAACGGTGGCGACGCTAATACCGCGCCAGACATGGCCATTGAAGAGTGCATTGGCTGTACATCGCTTGTCACACTATCTTTGGCCGTTGAAGGGCGGCCTCAATATACGTACCGTCGCCAAGGCTAACTCAGCCCCTAGCGCTAAGTCCTCCGCCCCCATCGATAACCATTGCGATATACATCACAAATACATGACACAGAAATGAAAAACATGCAGAGCCATAAGGTGCAACCGGAACAAATGGCACAGCTGAAGAACGGAGTGAAAATCACTAGGATAGGTTCTTCCCCTGGTTCTGGTAACGTCAATGGACAGTAGCGAAATGAATCACGCAAGGTGGCAGCACGCAAAACGTTCTTGGATTCAGTCGTGAGGCATCGTCAAGGACCTGCAGACTCCATCACCTCGTCCGCCGCGAACCTCCGAACACCCCTCCAAATCCTCTAGTCCGTCCCAGCGCTGAACCGCCCTTGCTTCGAATTCCTCGCCTCATCAATTCCCTTCCGATACATCTCCCACATCCGCCTAATCTCCCCCTTCTTCTCCATCCGATCTGTGATCTTGTTGGCCTCCTTCTTCCGCTTTTTCGTGGACTTCTTATCTCGCTTCACGATCGCCTCCTGCCTTAGGTACCCTTCTTTCTCGAGCCAGAAGATGGCGAGTTCGTTCAGGTGACAACGCCAGTGCTGGAGGTTGTGGGCGGTTTCGGCATTGGCCATGCAGAAGTGGCCGATGTAGTAGAGTTCGTTTGCCGGGGCGACTTCGCTTCCTTGGTAGTCGTATACTGTCTCGTCGTCGTCGTTTTGGGCAGAGTCCGAGTCGTCTTCATTATCTTCGTCATCATCGTCATCATCAGCGGCATTTCCGACTTCCTCCAGAGTGTGTGGGTGATACGGTTTGCCCTGAAACTGCACACGAAATGTGGCAGTGTGACTACTGCGATTACACGCATCGCACCGCTCGGGACGTTCCATAGGATCCTCGATGTACTCGTATGCAATCTCCGGGCGGTTCTTGAGAGCCATTGTGAACTTGGGTGTCCAGGCCGCGGATCTGAACTTCGAGCCAGCTAGACCCTGGACCTCGTCGTCGAGTTTACGGAAAGTCAGGTTGTACAGTTCGTCATTCATGTTGAAGGCTGGGTTAATCTTGCGCTGAACCATCCATTCTACGGCATAGACGAAAAGCTCCTTAGGCTTCATGCTGGCGTACTTCGTGAACTCGATCGGAACGCCGTCTGGAACGCCGAGTGCCCCATCTTCATCGCCATCTGACTCTAGGAAGTCGTCGTCGTGCTCATCTGCTGCGAACATTTGACGGCTGCTCGTGGGTTTGATCGTTTCCTCGACATCGTCTGGATTTGCATCCCGACCTTCTTCTGCATCCTCCGAGCCCTCTTGCTCGTCGTCTTCCACAATTGTCTCCGGTGGTCCAGATCTTTGCCGCTTAAGCTTCTCCAGAGCAGCCTTCCGAGCATCCTTCGCCTTATCTTGTGTCGACCGAGGTTGTCGATCCAGCGCTTCCACATCGCTGCTTGGGCCAAGAAAGTCCAGATCCTCGTCCAGATCCTCTTGTTCGCGCTGGGAAATTTTTCGCGATCGTTTGAGCTTACGCCGTCCAGGTGTTTTCGGCCCCTCATCCTCGTCTACTTCGTCATCGTCAGTCTCTTGGCGCCGTCGCTTGCGGTTACTCCTTGGCTGCTCGATAATCTCCAGATCATCATCACTGTCAATTGCGATAGATGGCGATGAGCTGATGAAATCGTCTCTGGCGTAACTCTGATTTCGCTTCCTCCGTGACTGCTTGCCCCGTGTAGTTGGCATATCTTCGTCGTCGGAGTGGTCTGAAGGCTCTACGGCTCCTGCCCGATTACCACCCACGATTATGGCTTCTTCGTCGTCAGACTCAACCACGACAGGCCTTTGCGAGGACCGCATGTGCCTCACTGGTGCATCGTCCTGATCCTCACTCTCATCCGCTGCTCCATCAAGCTGCTTCGCTCCTGCCTTGTTCCTCAGCTCACTCGTCGACGGTACCTCATCGCCTGAACCATCCTCTTGCTTGTCGCTTAAGATATCCGCCACTGGCCGATACTTCTTCTTGATCTTATTCCGCTTTGACCCAAACATGCCTGCTTTCGACGATGATGGTCTCGGCGACGAGTGAAGCCGCACGGAGGAGTCGAAGCTGTCGGCGTCCCGTGAGCGTGTAAAATCCAGTTGCTGCTGCCTAGCACGACGCGTCCTTGCGCTTTGTCTGCTTGCTTGCCTACCAGAAGACTCAATCGACTCTCCGTCTCCGTCTCCACTGATGGTGCGCTCTCGCGCGAGGTCCATTGTCGCAGCAGGTGTGGGCATGTCTCCGTTTGCTCCAGGCTGCACCTTGCTGAGACCATCGTCATTGTGAACCTTGCGCCTCTTCGCTGAACTACTACCTGACTCGATGTATCCTACGGCAGCAGCTCGGTCTTGTATCTGCTTGTGGTAACCTTCGGCTGCGGGAGAAGAGGATGGCAATGGTGTGAACTCCAGCCTAGACTGCTTGGCGCGAGTAGAGCGTGGCATGTTGAACGTCCTCGTGGTATCAATAGTCCAGCTCTAGTGGTTCTTCATCGGACTTCGCTGAGCCAGCACTGAGCCAGTCTTTTCCAGAGACTGAGTACTGAGTGCAATCTTATCATCTCTTGCTCATCATTCACGTCCAAAACTTTACGCGTCTTCACGCGCAGAGTGACGGCATCGCCAAAGCTTAATCAGTTAGTGGGGCCGATACAGTACGGTAGCATGTGAATGGACTCGGGTTGTGTGTGGAATGCATTCCTGCTCTAACTACATGTACCCGAACCACGCCTCTATTCGGTCTTTGCTACGATCACCAAATAGTAGGGTCAGGTGCTTGACCACCGGGCATCCAAGTACCTTGAGAAGACAGAGTAGGAGGACAACAATGGCATCTGCAGACGACTTCGACGACCATGTCGAGGATGCGGCCGTGCCTGGCGAGCAATCCACATCCCACTATCCACCCTCCGACAAACCAAATGCCTGTACGTATCGCTTTCGGAGAGATATCTATACAGATCTGATCATTGATCTAACAGTCACAGAACTCATGTCCCCGAAGAAACCGAAACAACCCAAACCCACACCTTCTCGAACCGACCAACCGACCAAGCAGACGATATTCGCAGGAAGAGATGGTCTAGCTGCTTACACCACTGACCCTGCGTCCTTTCCAGCGAGTAGAGTGGTGTATTACAATGACAAGTTTGTGGTGATCAAGGATCTCTTCCCAAAGGCCACGGTACACTTGCTCTTACTGCCGCGGGACACGTCGAAGAATGTGCAACGAGGACAAGAAGCTTTCGACGATCTGGGGTTCTTGGAGGAGTGCCGGGAAAAATTGGAGAAGGTCAAGGAGATGGCTGGTTCTGAACTGAGGAGAAAGCTCGGGAAGTATTCAGCCAAAGAGGCACCTCGCCTCGCCGCTCTACGCGAAGACGAACCTCCCGACGTACTACCTGTTGGTCGCGACTGGACTGCCGATCTGATCACTGGCACGCATGCGAATCCGTCTATGAACCATCTTCATATCCATGTGTTGAGCAGGGATATGGTAAGCGAGTGCATGAAGAAGTCAAATCATTACCTTTCCTTCACGACAGATTTCTTGATCGGTCTGGATGAGTATCCTTTGGCCGAGCAGGACCATAGGCGGGCGTACAAGCACTTTCCGGGTGATATGCTGTGTTGGCGATGTGGCAGGAATTTTGGGAACAAGATGGCTAGGCTCAGAGAGCATCTTGAGGAGGAGCTTGTGGAGTGGAGGAAGGAGTGAACGAAATGACGACGCAAGAGTGAACGTGAACGTGAACGTGAACTGCACCAGCAGCAATGAATCACATATATGCAGGCAGCAGCGCCTGACATGTGATTGATCTTCAAAGGCAAGAAAGGCTTGAAAACGGCATGGGAGGCCGCCCACATGCGCGTCTGAATACAGTCAGTACAGTCGCCAATCTTTCACTACCTATCTCTTTTTCGTCGCACTGGCTAACGCCCAAGCAGTAACAACAAAGCTGCCAATAACGGGAGATCGACGCCCTGTGTTACGCGACCTTGTGTTTTGTGAGCTGTCGACTTGTTGACCGACGCGAGCCTGCAGGTGTGCCAGATGCACGGGCCAGCTCTGCCGAATTCGACTTTCACCGTAGATCTTGTAGATTGTTACAACACTTGGAGAGCAGATCGTTCTTGAAGAAGTCCTCATAGGGAGAATTTCTAGTATCTGCGCGCTGGTGAGTTGTTTGATGCACGTCAAAGATCTCGAAATTCAGGAAGCTGGGAGTGGATGCTGGAAGTCGGATCCAGATCTCGAATTCTGCTTCCCAACTCCCAAATCTGAGAATTCGATTTCGGACTTCCAGGAACCACGCCTTCGTGCACTCACGATCCGGCGACAACATTAGGCGCCTAGATCAGGAGCCCTTCACAAGATATATAAAGGCCCGCGCAAGCACGAGATATCGCAAAGCATACAATTCACAGGCCAAGCCAATCATCGGCTAAACTCCCACCAACAGCAACGTCACTCCTCGACAAACGCACGCTTTCCTCTTCTTGCACAGCACACAACACATCTTCAACACACAATATCAGCAACACACCGTCGTCATGCCGTCACTCACTTTGAATGGCAACGCCGCTGGTGCAGACAACATTTCACACATCCGCAGCTTCTGGGCTCGCCACGAACACCTTCGCGACAACGAGACTCTTCGCACAGTCTTACTAGAAGATGTCATCACACGCTACGAGAATCTGGTCAATACGCATGCGGACTACGTCGCTCACCACCAGAATGAGCTTGAGCAGAGCCTGGCGCTACAACAAGCTCAGAACAATGTGCGCCACCTGCAGAACCTCCTGAACCGCGACCCCTACCTCCTGGTCCTCATTGAAGGCGACGGTATGATCTTTAACACTATCGAAGATGGTGAAGCCGGTGGAAAAGTGGCGGCTACGACCTTGCAGAATGCTATTCTTGACTGGGCCACGACCAGCAACAACGTTCTTGAGTGTCCGCCTGACGTGAAGGTTGTCGTTCGCGTTTACCTCAATCTGAAGGGCTTGGGCGAGGCATGTGCAAAGGCCGGTCTTATTAGCTCGCCGGCTGTACTGGAGGAGTTTGCACGTGGATTCACGAGGGGCAAGACTATGTTTGATGTGGTTGATGTTGGGTATGGCAAGGATAGGGCGGATGTAAAGATTGCTGGTGAGTCCAATTCCCAATATGTTGCGATCCTTTATGGCTTTGTGGCACGGCCTTAGGTATTTTCGCATTCGTCTTTCGCATGGCTGGGAGCAAAAGTCATCTCAAGACATTACACCGCTAGACAAGCCCTGCTTCGCGCAGGTCGCTAATGCCTAGACTTGCGTGGCCACAAGTAGGTAAACACGTGCTGATAGTACTTCTTTACAGAAAACTTCAAGCTCTTCTTGCACGACTACCACTGCCGTCAAATCGTTCTCGGCTGCTCCCACGACAATGGATTCGCCCGCCTACTGGAGCAATATACCGAGAGCCAGGAAGCCCAGATGCGAGTCACCCTCATGAAAGGCGTCCCATTCGAGAAAGAGCTCACGGTCTTACCCTTCAGGACTGTAAAGTTCGACCGCATCTTTCGGGATCTCAAGACCGTGGTCAATACACCTGACCTCTTGACCGGCATTTCCCCACGTCGAGATTCGCATGCTCTCAGTGGTGCCAGCAGTGCTTTTACGCCGCGCTCGATCACGCCAATTACGCCTCGCTATGCCACACCCGCCTCGAATGGCATGTCACAGCTTGACGGTGTGTCTGGTCATCTACGCAGCATGTCTTTGACCTCGTCCAATTCTGAATCTGGTGGAAGTACGTGGGCGACGCTTGCCAAGGCTCGCGCTGACCGCCCGTTGACTGATCTCCGCAAGATGTCTTCACCGGCTGATGTACAAGATCTCGGCCCACCAAATCTGCGGAAATCAAGCATCTCACGCAATCGTGCTGGCCAGCGCATTGACGACAGCTTCGACTACGACCGCGATGAGGTCCAGTATTTGAAGAAGATGAAGATGTGCAATCAGCACTATATCGGTATGGGATGTTGTCACTACAACGCTGGGAAGCCGGACAAATGTCCTCACAAACACGATATCAAGCTCAACAAACACCAGCTGTACTGTCTTCGTGTTGTTGCTCGAGAGACGCCGTGCAAGAAGGGGCTGTACTGTGCGGACACTACGTGCATCTATGGCCACCGTTGCCCGTTTCCGAGAGCTTCGGAAGGCTCGATGAGAGGCTCTGATCGGTGTCTCAATGGCGAGTTGTGCCGGTTTGGGGCGGATATGCATGGGGTTGACACTAAGGTTGTCAAGATGACTCGTGCGACTGGTCGGTTCTAGAGGAAATGTCCTGCTTTGATGGCGCAAGGGGTTTGGCTTCGGCCACGGTCGGTGTCTTTTGGGCATTGCTTCAATCGGGTGTACCAGTAGCATTAGCTCAAGCACTGTCAATCTTCTCATCATATCTCCAGCTGGGTGTACTCCTCAGTCTCCTTCCGCAAATCTGTTGTCTAAGGACTACCGCGTCATACCGCATCTTTTCAAATATTTGCCCTTTTCACCGTGGTGGAGAACATTCGTGCAGATCTTATATGCTTTTGGCTTCCACGTCGTGCTCCGTACATGACATCCTCGGTTGTCTTGTCTTATTGATCCTCCCTTCGTTTCTATCTACCACTCGGTCGCTATGACATACGACAATTTGTTGGACTGTCTCCAAGCCCGGATCAACGAAGTCGAGCAGAGCAACGCTTGCGAGGTGGCTGAACGGTTGCCATCATGTTTACACCTAAGCTGCTAAGATCCGCCATTGGCGGTTCCGCCAGGCTTCCAACGTTCATTGGCCACCACGGCCAATATAGAAACCTTCAATACCGCGAATTAGCTACTGCAGCGACTCGGAAGTCAAAGATGGTCGATCTCAGCCGGGAGCTGTACCATCGCAGCCCGGCTCATCCATTCCATCCTCCTGTCATTATCACACCGTGGGACACCCATCAAGAGAAAAAAGCAGGCAACACCATCCTTCGCTCAGCGTCGTATGCACTGTCCATGAGCGATCATGCTGGTACGCACGTTGATGCTCCGAAGCACTTTGGCCCTGGAGGCAAATCCATCGATCAGATGCCAGTCGAGGACTTCTATACTTCGGCTATCTGTCTCAATCTCTCGCACGTGGAGCTCAAAGCTAGTATCTCGGTATCGGAAATGGAAGAAGCATTGTCCAAGTCTGGTGAAGAAATCTACCAAGGCGATACTGTGCTCCTCTATATGGCTTTCAACAAACGCATTCACTTTGACGACCCTCGCTGGCAGCACGACTTTCCCGGTCTGTCCCTCGAAGCTGTGCACTGGCTTGCTGATAAGGGCTGCAAGATTTTTGGAGTCGAGGCTATCAGTCCTGCACCTGAAGGTGAGCTGAACTTTCAGGCGCACAATGCTTGTGGTGAGCGCGGTATCACGCATATCGAGGGCTTAGACAATCTTGAGCAGGTGCTTGGCAAGGGCAGGTTCACGTTCGTCGGGTTTCCTCTCCGAATACGTGGTGGAAGTGGCGGGCCCATGAGGGCGGTTGCTATATTCAATGATGCATAGCAGTGAACGTCATCAGCTGAGATACATCGAGTCTGTGGTTGTCTACGACGAGAGGATCATGGCCGCTACTCGATGCTTCTTAAATGCATTCATTTTAGCACATTTCATGTGGTAAAGCATGCTCGAGACGGATTCGTGCCTGGACCTGCCATCTGAATGGTGACAATGCACTGAAGATGCCAGTCCCTCGATCCGGCTAATCCCCATACATTTACCCACATGTAGCGCTGGACTTCTGCACATCCGTGTATTGAGTTGTAAATTGGCGATGAGCAGGAAATATCACGGCGAGAAGCTCATGCTGAAGACAGCGCATGGCTAGCATGGCTTGTGGGCCTAGCAGCCAGATATAAGTATGACTCTCTGCCCACATCCAAGATTCTACAACAATGCACCGAGCACAATAGGCAACATGCTGATGCGAAGTGTCATCTTGCTATTTGCTCTAGCCTGTATTAGCACCAAGACAATCTCAGCATGGCCACTGTCCGGCGTGAGACATGCTACCGGAGCTGATGACGGCCAAATCAACACGACCGCTTCGTCCAGCCGCTCGACAGACTCTCTTAAACGAAGATGGTTCGCCTTCAAATCCGAAGATGAACTAAAGGGAGAGGGTGGAGAGGAACACGCTCACACACGAGGTTATGGCACTTGGCCAGCCAAGACATATCCCGTTGGACATCCATATCATACGAACGGAGCCGCACGATCGCATATTCCCTTCTGCTTCGTGGAAGATGAAAATGCCGATACGCTTGCTGAGCAGATGGCATATGCTGTTGCTATGTGGTGGCCGGCATTTCGTCTGTCTTCTGCAATGATTCTACCTGATGCAGAATGTTATGATTCAAAGGCCTCGGGGCCCGAGAGAAAATTGTTGCTCCGCTGTGTCTGTGGCAAGCAATCTCATGGCAAGAGCACGGGTGATGAGACCCTCCAGATCTCACTTCGACCGTTCGGTAATCAGTTCTCTGACACATCCGGTGGCTATGACCATCAGACCAGCAAGCCTGGGCGCCACGGTCTTGCGCTCCTCTCATTCGTGGCTCCTGATAAGATCGTAGATGAAAATGAACGTGCGAACTTGTGGTACAGGCAGGCTAGCGACTTGACACACGAGCTAGGTCACGTACTAGGATTGCTGCAGTAGGTTGCACCATGCATCTGACCAGGCCAAGACTGACTGATAGTAGTGAGCATGAGCGGCCAGATCGCGACCACTTTCTTGACCTTGACTGCACGGCTTTACTCGGCTACGGGGAGGCCGAAAAATTAGCTTTAGATCTGGCTAATGCAGGAGACTGGAAGAACGAGCCCACCATGAAACAGAGGATGGAGCGTATATGCTTTGATCCCGAAATGTGGGAGAAATACCTGCCCAGTGCTGAACTGTTCAATAAGTTTGACTCTGCGGCCTGGCACGACCCCAATGGCTTTGTATACGACCGGAATTATTTCGACTACGGAAGCATAATGATTTATGACTCGGTGATCGAATGCGTGACACTTTACCAATTGCCCATCTCACGCAGATTCCCACCAGGATATGTCCCGGGCCTTGGCACGGAAGCTGGGAACAATGGGAAAGTGTACCTCGATGGAGCTTACTACACTGGTGGCGCCTACTCCTCTCCAGCCCAGCGTATCTCCACGATGGATGCAAAGCGCGTAGCAATGCTGTATCCGGGAACGAAGGCGCAGCAGATCGAGGCCAGTGCACTATCGCCATCCGATCAATGGGAGGCTATCAACACCCGTGAAATGGTTTATAATTCAGCCTGGCGCCACCAGATACTAGCCGTCTTAAAGGATAGGGATTTCAGGCCATCAGTGCCAGACGTGGTCGACCAGCGTCTCCAACCCACCGTCAACCCCAAGCGGAGATGGGCGAGCGTGTACGAATGGTATGAGCCACCTTCGTACAAGCAGATCGTCATCAACAAGACCAAGAAGCTGGTTCGTGCCAAGGATTGGGAGAAACTGTTTGAGAGGCTCAGAGCACTGGTGCGAACGTTCAGAATCAAGCCTGAGACATCAGAACCAGAAGTCTACTCACCTTCTGGATCTCTTGCAGGCTCTGGGGCCAACAGTGGCCACCGGTCCTCCACTGGAGCAAATGATCAACCTGAGATCAGCGAGCAGGCAAGTGAAGCTGAGCGTACTTGGGCCGACCAGACACATGCCGCTATCGGGCAGATCGCCAATCCAGATGGGGCAGCGCAAGGTTCCGGAGATAGAGGATCGTCCAGGTCCTCGGTGACAGATGAAGGTGGCAACTAGAGGGGATTTGATGATATGGGCCAGAGTGGTGGCTCCGGCGAGAATGGCCGTTCGGCCAGCAGCGGTTGGCTTTCAGACCTTCGAAGATGACTACGAGGAAGCGACGACCTGCGATCCAGAGCTGAAGATGTTAACATGACTTTTTGAGTTCAAGTTTGTCCGACGTACGAATTTATAAGGAGAGAAGGAGGCTTCATACATGTGTCCTTATCAGGGTTACAGGATTGTGATACATCAGTAGGGATCACTTGTAGGAGCTTTCCGGCTACCAATGATACAACTAGAGCGAACCTGGAGAATCTTGGACACTAACTTTTCAGCGCAGGCAGGACGCGGCGTAAGTACGGATGAGTTGAACCATATCTGGCCAGGCTATGACACCACCGGATGAATCTTGATAATCTGGACACAGCCGATCTTGTATCAGCATGGACAGCTCGATCCGATGTAGACATGTCATTGCCACTCTACCACAGCTCTCCACAGAGTACTGTATCACTGGCCACGTATGAATGTTTCAGCAAGCTATCTCGAACGTCGTGGCTTATTGACATGACACGAGCACATCACTACGAAACTGCAACCTCTCTGTCTCCCACCTGCCTACAATCAAACAAAAGGAAGTCTTCGATACCAAGGTCTACGCAATTGACTTGCCTTGTTCCGGTCATGTTCTTGCTAATTGGTTATCAATCGCGAACAAGTCCATGTCCGTCTCAGGGTGCCATGTATCCAGGTGCTGGCACACGTAGAAGACACGAGCGGTAATCAGTATGTCAGAGCGAGCTATACACGTTGGCTTTCACATGCACGCCAGCGCAGAGTGCCGACATATCTCGCACGTACTTCAAGAGATATATGTTGGCCTTTCTCACCTTTGTAAGCCGGCACATCCATATGAAGAAGAGCGACACTTACTTTGCAGAGCAGCTTCGACGGTAAAGACGATGCACCTCTCTTTGCCTGGAGCAATCTTTCTGCTACTTCTCGCACGATCAGTACAAGCCCTAGTCATTGCCCAACAGAGCACGGCCCAGCAAGACTCGTATCATGTCGTTACTAGTGGGAACGGTAGTGGCTCACATGACGAAAGTGACTCCAGCATTCAACCGCGACGGAACAGCATCAAGACGGAGCAGGAGCTCAGAAATGAAGATCCCCTGCGAACGGCAATGCCTAGGAAGCAAGCCTTGTGGCCAGCCGTCCAGTTTGGGAAAGTCCATCCTTTCTACCCCAAAGGCGCCGTTCGACACTTCATGCGATATTGCTTTGCTACTGAAGCGGATGGCAAGACGCTCCAGCCCGTTCTCGCGTTTGCACTCGCACGCTAGTGGCCAGCATTCCAACACTCCTCTATGATGATATTGCCAGACCAGAGCTGCTATACAGGGATTGCGAGGCAGTAACAGACGCGACTGAACATCATGTGCATTTGTGGCAAACAGCTCAATGGCCAGTCCACCAACAACAAAATGACATTACAAATTAGTCTTGCAGAAGCGACGTCGGTGCCGAACACTATCGAATTGGATTTTGAGCAGATCAGTCACTGTGGCATCGGGTGCAATACCTGGGATGATGATGATGCCGGACGTCACGCTCTCGTAATAAGTCGTCACAGTAGTATAACAGACGGGATTCTTCGCCTTCGATTACAGATACGAGAGATGACGCACGAACTAGGCCATGCCTTGGGCTTGATACAGTAAGTAATAATAAGGTGAATACAGGCTGTAGCTGATCACACTATCCCAGCGAGCATCAACGCCCAGATCGGGACAAGGTTATACACGTTGACTGCATAGCATTAATCGGCTACAATGTCGCCACTAGAATGGTCCAAGAACTCCAAGATGCACATTATTTCAAGAGTACGCCACTACTCAAAGACAGAATGTCCCAAGTCTGCTCGAACTACGAATTAGCAAGGAAATTCTTTCCAGTGGCTAGTGAGCTTGTCAGGCTTGACCACAGGCCGGATGCTAACGACGAGGGGCACATCTCCAGTCCCGACTTTTTCGATTATGGAAGCATAATGATATACGATTCGTTTGCATTTACAACGGATCATACGCGATATGCTATGTAAAGGAGATTCCCTCCCGGTTATACACCAAGTGTAGTCAGAACGCGGCCAGATGGATCAGAGTTCTGGTGGGACTACTTCTTCTTTGAAGGCGGAGAAGGGGATCTATTCGCCAGTCGAATTTCGGACATGGATATTAAACGCATAGCACAGCTATATCCTGGCACTGAGCAGCAGCAAAAGGCTGCATCGGATCTTGAAGTTTCCGGAATGTGGAATCCAGTGCGCACAGAGGACATGATCGAATCACGGAAATGGGACAGTCAAATATTCGAGACCATCGGGCACTGGCTCATTGACCCGTCTCTTCCTGATGTCGTCGATCAGCACTTACGTTCTACCATCAAGCCCGAGGACCGGTGGGCTCAGTGGTACGGAAGGTCCAGCAGAACGACAGATCATGAAACTTTCGAGCGTGGGCAGGATACGGCTGATAGAACGGTCTAGCAACCCCGAAGCGCGCCAGCCCCGAGCAACGACCACGCTGGATCCTCAGCGAGACCCGCCTAACACGAGACATATGTTGGCCTTCATGGCGAGTCTGACTACGAACAGCTTCAATTCGGTGGCGAGTCTAAAACCTCAAGCTAACGCCGAGTGCTGTTGCTGTGCTGGCAAGATACGATAAGGTCGGTGCTGACTGAACGCTTGACGGCTAGTCTCATGATGGGCCCTTCTCGCATATTTCATGGACTTGTTGAAGATGATTTTGCTGCTTAAACGCACCGGCGGTCCTGTGCTACCATCATTCGATACGTGGACTTTGAACGCGAGAGTATGTGCGCATGTGATCATCCGTCCCAACGGTGACTATGACCATCAGCTGTCGAACAAAAGACGAGTGTTGATTCTACCGGACCTGCGGAGACTGTTTTGCGAGGGGCTGTATTTCTGTTGATCAAAAGCCATGAATGATGACGATTTCTTGCTTCATTTCGATTTTTGTATCCTAGATAGATAGCCCATATCATCCTCCAATTTATACCAGTAACGACAAGCGAGCAGTGCATCTATGATTCAGTCATCGAACTCCATTGGCGGCCGATACTCGATGGGGTTTGGTACAGTGATGCTGCAAGACTGCCGTGCATCTCCTAGGGCAAAAGTAAAAACCACACAGACGGAAATCGCACCCAGCTCTTCGAGTTGATCTGGCGTCGTGATCTGTGAGTAAGCAGTTTCCTCGTCGTCTACCAAGAATGGCGGGCTTATTTTGTAGCCTATGGCGGCAAGAGTGAATCGGTGCACAGATAAGCGTATACCTCATCCAGTCCGATGGCCACAAGACACTGCTCATCCGCCGTGGAGCGTGGACACGAACACGATCTCGTCGTTCTGCTGAAGCTCGTACTTCTCTTCGCCTTCGAGCTCCCAGTCAGCATCATTAATGAGCACTAGTATGCCGGGTCGACTGCGTCAGACTTGTTAGCGAGATCAGCATGGATCGGGGACACAAATATCGTACACAGTGTCATCGAGCAAGAACATCTCCTTTCGTGGGTCCTTGATAAGGTTTTCGCAGAGCCATTGGATGAGGTAGGCGACAGTCGCAGAGCTACCCTTTGAATCCTTTCCAGGCACAGTGATCTTATGTTTGCGTTGATTTGAGAATAGTAGTTCGAGACCACCGCTTGACAGCAGATCAGTATCGTAGACTCCTAGTGCGCATATTGTAGGTAACAGGCGTACGTGAACTCTACCTTCAGCGATATTGAGTCTGCCATTGCAACTTTTGTGTGCCAGTCTCGCGATACTGTATTACGTAGTAGTAGGAACACTGATACGTGCGAGAAATGAAGGCATTGGTAAGATGGGATCGTAGCATTGCCACCATCTCCTTCAACATTTTTGCCACTACCCGATAAGGCTAGCGTGAGTCTTCAAGACAATTTTCACAGGTCCAGAAACAACATTATCAACTACGCCTCTCCGTTCACGAATGATGACTAGCGACGATCTGGCGGCAGAAGTGAGCCACACTGCCGCTGGTGGTAACAGACATCCATCAGCGGCCGACTGGGGGCCTGGAGTCCTCGCTTTTGGAGCTGGAGTCAACATTGCCATCTGGAATCCAGCTGATCCCCGATGTCGCGGTGTATCAGCACTGCTTCGTGGTCATACAGATACAGTAAATGCTATCAAGTTTAACATCACTGATTCTGGTTGCCATCTCATTAGTGGCGGTGCAGATAAAACTGTTCGAGTATGGAAACCTAGCCATGACCCTTCGAGGCCGTCATACGAGCAGGTGGCTGTCCTTACGGAGCACTCTGCCTCTATCAATACCATATCGGTCTTGCCAGATTGCGACATCTTCGTCACTGGTGCAGCAGACGGCACAATGAAGATATGGAGACTGACTGGAGCAGGGGCGGATCTGATCCAGAGTATCTCGCTCAAACCACGAATGTTACCGCTAACTACTGCACTTGTTCATCTTAGGGGTGGATCAGTCACTATAGCAGTCGCTGGCACATCCTCGACGATACAATTGTTCTCAAGGCCTAGTGAGGATGCAGAATTCGAGCTGCAAGCATCTCTCGCAGGACACGAAGGATGGATACGATCTCTTGACTTCGTCCACAGTGGGGAAGACATTCTGCTGGCTTCTGCTAGCCAAGACAAATACATCAGACTTTGGCGTTTCCGCAGTGCTGGCGATCACGCCGGAATTAAATTGAGTGATGTGCCTGATGCAGGATTAGCGGCAACGAAAAAGTCACTCTCAAATAAGGCGCACAGAGTTGGCCTTGAGACCGCGAAGTTCGCTGTGACATTCGAAGCTCTTCTCATCGGCCACGAAGACTGGATATACACGGCGAAATGGGCACCTTCTTGGACCGATCAGAGCGCACCAAGACTGCTTTCTGCCTCCGCAGATAATTCGCTAGCAATATGGCAAGCCGACGAGGCCTCAGGCTTTTGGGTGTGTAATGCTAGACTGGGAGAAATAAGTTCGCAGAAGGGCTCGACTACTGCCACAGGCAGTACTGGAGGCTTCTGGATTGGCCTTTGGCAGCCAGATGTCGAGTCTGTAGTGAGCCTTGGACGCACAGGTAGCTGGAGAAGATGGTTATATGACCGTGCTGTTGACTCGTGGCGACAGCAGGTTGGCATAAGTGGTCACACCCAAGAAGTGCAAGGTGTGGCTTGGAGCCGGGATGGTTCGTATTTACTCACGACCAGCTCTGATCAGACTACGAGACTTCTGGCAGAGTGGAAGCGCGATGGACACGTATCCTGGCATGAGTTTGCACGACCACAAATCCATGGGTATGATCTCAACTGTATCAGTTCCCTTGGAGTGAACCAATTTATCTCCGGAGCAGATGAGAAGTTGCTACGAGTCTTCGATAAGCCAAGGGCTATCGATCATCTTTTAACAACGCTATCGGGGACTCCATCGACTGTGGACGGCACACTTGCAGATGCTGCAAATATACCAGTGCTTGGCCTGTCCAACAAAGCCGTTGCTGCTGTAGCCGACGATGAGCCTGCGGATGGTCAGGTCAATGGTCATGCTGACGAGCACCAAGTAGTTGCTCCCGATTCCGTCATCCACAAGTCGACCCTTGACATCGATCATCCCCCATACGAGGATCAGCTTGCACGCCATACATTGTGGCCTGAGCATGAGAAGCTCTATGGTCATGGCTACGAGATCAGCGCAGTAGCCGCGAGTCATGACGGTAGACTTGTCGCCACGGCATGCAAAGCCAGCTCGATCGATCATGCTGTAATTCGCTTGTACGAGACAAGCGAGTGGCGTGAAGTGAAGCCGGCACTGACCGCGCATACTCTGACTGTCACGGCCTTGGCTTTCTCAGGGGACGATCTATATCTGCTCAGTGTCGGAAGGGATAGGCAGTGGGCTCTCTTTGAGAGGAACTCAAAAGAACCGACTCGGTATGCGCCATTGATCGCCAATCCTAAAGGTCACACGAGGATGATTCTGGACTGTGACTGGGCGCCGACAGCTGCAGGACACGTCTTTGCCACCGCTGGTAGGGACAAACATGTAAGAGTATGGAAGCTTGCAGATGGTCAAGCTGAATGTATCGCGAATATTCCAGCGCATGTCTCTATCACAGCCGTTGCGATTCACCACGAGACGATTCTGGCGACACTGCTGCTGGCATATGGTACCGATGATGGCTGTGTCGGTATTGTCAATCTCAGCACAAATGCACTAGAGGTCACGCAGCAGCGGATGCTACCCGTGCATCATTGTTCTTCGGCGGCGATCACATGCCTCCGATGGCGACCCAGCGTCGGTACAGGGAAGGAGGAGCAGAATTTGGCTGTTGCAAGTGAAGATGGAGCGGTCAGGTTGTTCAGGTTCCAGACATGAGAGACGTCTGAAGGATCGCCGTCGAGATTGCTATTCGTCAGTTTTGGTGTCCCGGAGAATGTTTGGGTGGTGCCTGCCTATTGTGAAGTCCACAAAGAAAAGTGTGGAACATCCTCTAGCGCGAAAGGGGAAACATCATGTCTTTCTAGGTCAAGCACGCCATAATCTACAACTTCACTCATTCTGAAAGCAAGAGAATTGACAGCGCCGACACCGACACTAAAGACGTCCATACCATGGAGAGATCGCCACTCGCGAAGCTCCCACTCGAGCTGAGGCTCAACATCTATGAGGCCGTGCTTCATGAACCAAAGCCTTTTCGCCTGAGTCGTGATACCACCAGCAAGAGTCGCAAAAGATCGAAAGACTTCCGACAAGAACACAAGAACTACGGCAAGCTTGTGGCCATGACGGAAACCTGCAAGCAGATCAGAGAAGAGGCAATGCCGGCTTTCTTTTTCGCGTCAACACCTTTCTCATCCAACCTCGAGTGTGGAATGTGAGCGGTAAATGGACGATGGCACAGAGTAGCATCTATGCCATGGAGCTCACAGCGCTCAAGCGATGGCTCAAGATGATCGGACCGAGGAATGCTGCTGCGATCAGATTTCTTGGTGTGGAGTCGTGGTGCTGGAGCTTCGAGGAGCTCAGTACGCCATCGGGACGCGCTTGGGCACATGCGAGAAAGATCGAGAACAAGGTACTGAAGCATACCGGCATTCAGCTCGGCTCAATACATGCAATCCTCAAGGTCAGATTGACTCGAGCCGGTCGGTGGCCGAACGAGTTCCGCCAAGAGTATCCCACGAACGAGCCCTACATCCGTGATCATCCTGGCGGGCGTTGGTGCACAGCATGGCCTGATCAGAGATTCGACGAGCTGCCACTCATCAAGTACGTCCTTCCTACGCGCAACAAAGACTTGGCACGCCAGATCGTACGTATAACGACCGACGCTAAGCTGGCTTTGCTCGAAGAACATGCTTTCCAACACCGCTGTTGGCTCGCCACGGGGCTGGATAAGTTTCGCGAGCGACTACGGGGCGTAGCTGACAACACTCTCGGCTTTTTGCAGGACTAATGTCCGACACGAATCGGTTGTGGCAAGGTTGTCTTGTACTTGAAATTGCCTTGCCTGCACAGTGTCATGTAGGGCATAACAGGCCATCTGACCGTAGAGGTTTCACACCAAAGAAATTCGTAGAAGCAGTCATGGAAAGATTCGCGCCGTCGTACCATGATGGGTGGTATGCAGGGGGCCCGCCAAAACGGAATAGGTATCGTTGTGCTCACCACGGGTTTCGGGTGGAAGCTGAAGCATATGCATAGCTCTGGCTTTGCAACCACCGGTTGACATGTATTACATATCTGGTGTGCTTCATTTGTACATTCGTATGGCTTGTACACATTTCAGGTCATCCACCAGCCTCCTTACTTGGCTGTGCCTGTGCCGCTGCCGCCGACGCCGAGCCCTGCAATATCAACGTCGCAAAGCCACCCAACTTCCCATCCAATGACTTGATCTCCTTGGCTCCTGGCACAGCACCCAAAGTCTCCCGTATCTTCCCCAAAACCCCTTCACACTCCACCTTCGTAGCTTTCCGGCCTCTCTTTTTCGCCGCAAGCACGATCTCCACTCTCCGGCCCTCGCCCAAGAAATCTTGCACCTTTTCCAGCCTGTGCGCCAGGTCGTTGCCGTCGATCGCCCAATTCAGCTCTAGTGTTTTAACGCTACTCGCTTTAGCTGACTCCTTCTGGCGTTCTTTCACTTGCACTTTGCGCTTTTTGTCTGCATCGAATATTTGTTTTTTGCTGACGATTTTGCATATTGGTATGAAGTAGCGATTGTCCGGTTCGTCGACACTTAATTGTATTAACCGATGCGTCTTCTTGTCGTAGCTGTGCAAAACATCGTAACGAGTCTGTACGCTCTCGATGAGCTCGCCCGTCTCTTCATTCCGAGGGAGCTGGTTCGTCTCTGGATTGACTAGCTGGATCCTCTTTGCTGTAATCTCTTCGTCCCACTTCTGTGTGCGCTTCTCCGGTTCTCGTGTCTTGCTGGAGCGGATCGAGGTGTGTGAGAAAGATCGTGTGGGCTGGTAATGCGGTACGGAAGTATGTCGTGACGTGTGATTCGCGTTGTGAGGCAGTATGCCTGGCCTCGGTGCGGATACATGCAACGCTGGTTGAATGAAGACTCGGAACAGTGCTTGAGCTGCACCTGCGTTATGTGAGGTGCGCATACTTTGGTGGTTGATCATACAATAGCAGTTCCTGGTGGTTACTGGTACGTTGAAGACGAGATGCGGAGCTCAGCGGAGGAGCCGACAGGGAAAGCAGTCACGTGAACGATACAGCAATGGCGAGCATGGAACTTGAATCTGTACATGAGCCATCTGCTTGGTAATCTTTCCATCAACGCCTTCAAATGCTCATATGGGCTTATGCAACGCCTCCCAAAGTAATCAGGGTATTGTATCGAAAGCCAGGTGCCCTTCCTGTCCTTTTCGCCCTGATAAAATGCTATGCACTAGTCTCTCAACGTTCTCAAAAGCTTCTGTCCCCCGAGCAGCAGCTTACTCTTCCGATTCGTCTCTTCGTTCTCTTCGCCCGACGTCGTCGTCGAGTCCTGTGTGGCTCTCTGCCGTAATCGTTCGCCGAAGCCCGAGATGTGGCGACTAAACGAGGCCGCCCTGGTGCGGGATATTGAAGGCTGCATAATGTTAGTCGCAGTCATACTGTGTTCCGTTATCTGGCTTACCTCGCTGTCGCCAGGCATGTGCAGTCGAGGCTGGCTACGCGGCCTCTCGTACGACCCATCATGGTCGCCGTTGGACTGCAGCGCTTCCGCCATCTTCTGCTCATCATGACCAAATCCAGATCCGTTCGCAGAACTACCAGGGGTGGAGTCTTGTGATATGGTCCTGTTGAGCGTGCTCGGTCTAGCACTCGCGGTCGAAGGTCTACCAGGAGTATCTCCAGTCAAGTCCAACAAGCTATTAGTCTCGGACGTACCTGACGAGCCACCGTTGCCTGCTGAGGCAACAAACGTACTCATATTCGCCAGCTCGCGCAGCCTGCTCTGCTGCTGGCGAGTTGGTCTGTGATGGCTGAATTTGTTAGTCACGATAGCTCCGGCGTGTGAGATCAATGCCCTTATAACATCTTTCTTCAGCTGCAGGGCGAGGTCGAGGTTCGACCAAGTCTTGTTGCGGTACTCCAGCGTGGGCATGCGGAAGACAAGGTCGTGCACATCTTCAATGTTGTGCCGTCCTGAACCCTTGTAGCTCAAGCAGAGGACCATACTCGGTATCTTGACAAACGAAAGGGTCATGTAGTTGGATGCACGGTTCATCATCTGCGTCAGATCGTCAGATCGCTCGTCCTTCTTCTTGCGCTCTACGCTGTGTGTGCGGTGCAACAGCGCCCTTCTGCTACTGGACTTTTCGTTGCCTTCACCAGCGTTGCTAGCCATTGTCACAATCGAGCGCTCGCTTGGCGATCGTGACATGCGAGGTGAGTTGGCAGCTGCTAGAGCTTGCCGAGATGTGTTTGTTCGAGGTGCAGCGCCAGGTCGATCGCTCTGGTGGAAAAGCCCAAAGCCGTGCGACAAGCCAGCATGCGAGATACCCAGGCCTTTGCCGTCCGCTTTTGGCTTGCGTTGCTTGTTCAGGTGAAGGGTAGGCTGTAAGCGGTGCTCCAAAGAGCCAATGAGGTTACCATTGCCGTGAGGATGCGCACTTTCCGCCTCACGAGACTGATTGCTCAGGCGTGGAGTCTCAGTTCCTGCTGTACCACTGGCCTTCTCGTTCTTAGTACCCTCATCTTCCTCTTCCTCCTGCGGCGGGAGCATGTTCTTCACCATGAACGGCGAGGCATTGTTGCCCTCGAATGCATTTCCTCCAGCACCTGGGAAGACGTACTCGAACAGTCTCTTAGCCACTTCTCGCTCGACTTGCATCTTCAGTGGCACAAGGTCGATCTCGAAGTAGTCAACGACCGGTATACCGGCGATAGCCTCAAGCATTAGCCAGTGGATCCGAAGCATGTTTACGCCTGGAACAAGCTGACGGCCACCTCGACTATCATTGATGAAAGGAGCGATGATTTCGGGATACAAGGCGTCCGGTAAAAGGTTGAAGCCGTTGATACGCCCGATCTCCATCACATTGTAGTTGGACCCGTCGTTGTTGTCGGTGCGTTCGAATGAAGCATCCTTGAGTTGGAACTCTACCAGAGGCTCGGAGCCTTCGCGCGTTAGATGCCAAGCAATCTCTTTGGAAAACATGCTAAGGTGCACAACACCGGTCGCATTCTCCTGCTCCCTACGATCTTCGATCCGCTGCTGGGAAGTTGTGATAGCCTTCATCATAAAGAAGAGCTCGTCTTCACAGCTCGCCAGGTCCTGATCCATGGAGATCCGATCCTTCCAGCCTTGACGGTCAAGGAATCTTTCGTTGATCTGAAAGTGCATCTTGATCTCCTCGAGCTGTCGTATGCGTTCCTGCAGCATCTGCACCATTTGAGGCGCACCAGTCAAATCGCTGAAGTCGGAAGCAAGCATAATCTTCTCCAGTCGCTCGCTTCGGGTCTTCTCCAGTGGCTCGTTGTAGAGCAGCAGATCCATCACGATAATGTACATAGCGTAGTATTGCGCCGAGTCGCACATGGCTCGCAAATATGGAAATACGAGCCATACATGGTCCATCCGCTCTTCGTTGTCTTCTTCAGTCTTTGTTCGCTTGCGGTCTTCGCCAGCGACGTCGTCAGTGTATTTGAGGCGAAGATTGTTATACTTGTCGTATCGCAGACTCGCAGAAGTACGCTCAACGACCCGGTTGAAGCCATAAGGATTGGTCACATACTCAAACATGATTTCCATCGGCACCCACGGTGGCCATTGCGTACCAGCCTTCGCGCCATAAAGATTGGCCGAGTACATGTGGAAGAACTCGGTCGAGAAAGTCTTCGTGCTCGTCACGAACATCTGCAGATTATCTGCCGCAGCCGTGAAGCGACGCTGGACCAGTCCGCTTACATCGTCATTGACATTGTCCTTATCCATGATCTGTACAATCTTCAGCTGCATGCCCTTCGCGGTCACCAGCACCACGGACTTTGGGTTCTTCTCGCTTTGCAGCTGCACTTGTGGTGCAATGAGACGGAAGTGGTAGACGTTAAGACGCGTGTATTCTTGGGCGATATTGTCGTTCGGGCCGTCGCCTCTGACATTCTTCGTGAACTCTTGCTCCACCATTGGCTCATCTGCATTAACAAAATTCCTCCCATCCTTCAAGATCTGCTCGATTCGGTCTTCCACGGTCTGCTCGTCATCAACGCCTGGCGATAAAGCGCTTAGCTGTGTAAGCTGTGAGTGTCTTCTCCCAGAAGGCGTAGAATTGTCGGACTTTTCCCGCCCTTCCAGAACATCCAAGATGAATTTGATAGCTCGTCGTGACATGTAGTATACGAACCCTCGGCGCTGACTGTTTTGATGGATGTAGCGCAAGATGATGTTACGCAAGGGATTATTCCATTTGATCTGTGCGTTATGAACAACAAATCGGTTGTTGAAGTCGCTATTGTAGTCCGCGAGGGGCGCAGTGTCCATCTTTGCGTACTCGTCTGTCTGTTCGGGAGCATTCTCGTGGTGGTCGAAGAAGGCTTCGCTAGTCTCGAGCTCGGGCACAACTGCAGGGTCATTGTGCTCGAGACGGTGCATGAGTGTTGCCAGCATGTTCTCGAGGAATCCTCGCTTCTTCTGAATGTGCTCACTGTGACTACGCAATACACCAAGCTTCTTCTCAATCTGCTGGAGCGTGTGCTTGTTGCTTGCACCCGTCTGGGCGAGCTTCAATTCTTGATCACCTATTGCACGCTCGTTGTGCTCCCTTTGCTCACGAAGTGTGTCTAGCCTATGCTCAATGAGGTCTACCTGCACTCGGCGAGGGTCGGCCTTTGTAGACATGTTGCAGTAATGTGTCGGCTCGTCTCCAAAGGGACTAGTCCTGGACGGATCACCAGCTATCGTACCGCCATGATCTGTCTGGCGGAAGTACGTGAATCGTGGTGCGAAGCCCAAAGGTAGGATCTTGGTTTCAGGGTCAGACTCTGCTGGTAGGATCCAGTCAAGCTCGACAAAGTCGTCCATGTCGATCCAGCCGAAGTCATTGTCTGGTATGTCGAACTTGGACATGTCAACGGTATCACTTTGGCCCTGCAGCGATGCTAGCAGGTCATCATCAGCCTTGTCGATATCGTCTGAACTCGTGCCGGCAATGCTCGCGGATAGTGCACGCAGATCAGCATGGATGAAGTCAAGTTGTGCCTGGTTGATGCGCATCGCACTTGTCTTCTTGGTGATGGTGCCTTCTGAGTCCTTGATGTCGAAGTGCTCTCGGCGCTGATGCAGGTCGAGCATGAAGCTATTGAGCTTCATCTTTAGACCAGTGGCAGACACGGTACTGCCTTTGTAGTCTTCCGCCTCTTTGTGCTTGTAGACATGGCTGATGTATAGTGGCGATAGAAGTAAATTGTACTTGATAGTTGCAATGTGGCGCCCGAACTTCTTGCTCTTCTTTTGCATGGCACCCCAAAGTGGCCCTTGCCTTACTGGCAGAGACATGATGCCAGAGAACATGCTCCACCAGCTGAAGAAATGGGAAAAGAACTTCGGGGTAAGGTGCACTGCATTGTAATTGTCCGACGGTGTTGAATTCGTGACCGACCAGTCTCGACCATGCGGTGCGATCACAGCGATCGACATGTGGATGTGATCGCTCCGAAAGCCACGGTAGGCATCGTAGTTTTCTCCCGGACTAGCTTTGGCAAAATCTGGGTGCTTGAGGACGACGTCGTAGTGCGGCTTAAAGTCAAACAGACGCTTACCGTCGGTTGTATCTCGTTCGAACACGAGTCCCGCAAGCCATTGCACCTTACCGGACAGTTTCATGACCACCTTACGGAAGATAGCATCTCTCTTGTAGCTGGAAGTCGAGGAAGTACCGTCCATCTCAGCACCATTCTCTTGAGATCTCCGAGCATAGCTATTGAAGTCGGGTACCGCGAGAATGTAGTCACCACTATCGACCGTCATGAACTTTCGACCATCTTTGTTCTGTGCCACATTCCATCGTACATCATTCCGCCAGACCATGACCAGCCCAGCACCGTTTCCAGTGACCGTGTACGGATCCCGAGTGCCCTTGAGGATGAGGTGCAGGTCTCCATCACCTTTCCATGCTACATTGACTCGAGAGTGGAAGCTCAGCCTGATCTTGTCCCAGAAGCCGACGCGATCGGAAGGGTCATACGGAGGCTTAGTGAATCCTTCAATGACTTGCATTGTATCTTGAATTGCCGGCTGATATGAAGTGCCCCATGTGATTTTTGTCGGGTTGCTCGTATGTATCTCAAATTTCATGTCCGAGTACGTCTTCACCGCGGAAATGGTGCGTCGTACATCGATAGCGTACGCATCAGCTCCAGCGTTCATCTTGCTAGTAGGAACTACTTCAACCTTGACAGATCGCTGCGACTCGATGTCTCTGAACTCTTCGGCGATCACGAAGTCTGTGCGTAATGCTAACGTAGGGAGGCGTGGCGATTGGCCATTCGCGAGCATAGGGACGTGAAGCAGCGGCAGTGGATAGTCTCGGAGCTGAAATCGAAGTTCGCCCATGGTGAGATGTAGATTCATTGGTAAGAGGAGGCCATAAATCATGTCATACGGCATGCCTTTGCCAATGTCATGAAGAAATTTCGGATAGTCCTCCAAGGGGAAGGAGGGTTTGTCGACCGTCAAGTTGAGCTCGCTAATGATCGCGGTCATCAAACCCGGCCGCTGGTTCAAAGCCAAGATTGACTCTTGATTTTCGGCCTCCTCCTCGATATCATCCGCGCCTAGCATCAGGTCTCGAATTTCCTTGATAGCATGAGTCTGGAATTGCAGAACACGATCTATTCTGTTCTTCCAGGACTGTGAATTCAGCAATTGCAACTTCTCCCGTGCGCGTTCAATACTTAGTTGAGAGGAGTCGCTTATGCCACACCTTCCATCTGCATCATAGCGCAGTGCGTGTCGGCCGTGGCGATGCCTATCTTTTGAGGTGGCTCGCGAGGTGGCCTGACCGCTGTGACTGCGCTGCTTGCCAGTGTTGGGCGTAGGCGTGCGGTTTCGTGATCGTGAACGATTGCCTAGGTGAGCAGACTGTGCTCGGAAACGGGAGCTCCCTCGTGCTGCTGTCCGCGAGAGTCGTTTCTCCTTGAGTCGGAATGCTTCCTCGCGAGCGAGTCTTTGCTTCTGCTCTTGTAGCCCGGTGCGATATATCGCACCTAGCTTCCACTCGAAGCCACTGTCCTCGACATTAAGTAGTAGCTGCTTCGTACGCAGTGTGATCCGAGGCACGTGCTTCGGTTTTTCTGGTTCTTTCGTGAGCACATACTCGTTTGTGCCAGTGACAAAATGGTGTTGTAGCTGCTTGGAGGTCTTTATAATGTTTGTGATATTGTCGAATATGCTATGCACTATGAGTGAGTGTGGTACAGAGAACCGAACGTTATCAGCGACGATGTCGAATGACCTCTCGGTCGCGAAGTCTCTGCCAGCCTTTCGCTTGATGTCACGCAGATCAGCGCGCAAGTTCCTCGTGCCGACAACTCTGCTCCACACCTGCTTCGTCCTTGGTGCGCGTGCATACATTCGTGCCATTCGGCATCGCATGAACGGGTTCGACCACCGATGCCTTCCGGTCTCGATGCCGCATAATTGCAACATCATCGGCGGATCGGCGGGCATGCGTGCTTTGATCTGAACAAGCTTGGCCTTGAAGTCAATCGTTGTGAGCTCGGTCCTGGCAAGCTCGTCCAGTTCTTCCGAATCGGACAATGGACTACCAGGTACTGTCAAGCTAGGCTGTCTTCTGACCGGAGCTGGTCGCTTTTCATCTTCCTTGACGTGCTCCAGGAAGGTCTTCTTGATGACCATGACTGCCACTCCCATAGCAAAATGATGGTACAGAGAATACTGCAGTAGTAAGCTCTTTGCATGTGAGTTGATGTGGAATATTGGGCCGTTCGAGTCGGTAGTGGTTGAGAAGGCAACCTCGAATCGAGGCAAGGATAGGAATTGTTCGGGCTCAGCAGCCTCCACGGAGTCCACAATTAAACCCTCCAGGTTCTGGACATGTACAGTGAGCCGTCGACCATCGGCAAAACTTTGGTATCTCCTACGAGGCGATGCTTGTCGGGAGGATGGACGATCCCTGTCGGAAGTGTCTTTGCTAAAGGATCTCCGACGTTTGATCGGTTCAACAATATTCTCTCTATGGGCTTTGTAGTCTGTGTTCCATGACTCGAGCTGCAATGCGAAGCCTCTAGTGTCCTTGGAGACCTGATCATCCACACCTGCCAGCTCGAGACTGAAGTCGGTGCCCTCCATGCGGCATGAGTCCAACCATGGCGGCAGGGTACGTAGAAAGCTTGCTGTCTTCTTCGGATCACATTCTGGACGCGCGAGTACGTTCTTCCGAAGCTGCCGTACTATCTGGCGAACACCTGCACAAATGTCGGGTCGTACCAGGAATAACGACAGGGTGCGAAATTGAGCATTGGCAGTCACAGATGGCTCGGGTATGGCATTGACATCAACCTGAACTTCCACAGTATCACTCTGCATGAGATCGTGACGCTCCCCAGCTACAGTCTGGTAGTATAGATGATGCCGAGTGTGCCGGTATTGAGTAGCGAAACTGTAGCGTACACCTTCTTCTGCAGCATGAGAAGACTCGAGATCGAAAGCCATTGAGGACATGGACGAGATGAGCAGGTCGAAGTCCTCTTCACCGGTATTGGCCTTGTCCATTGGAGGCAATGACACACGGATGACGGGCTCCTGTATAGAAAGCTTGACATGGGCCTTGGGTAGGAGCTGTGAGACGAGATTGTGGCGGTTCGAACGTGCGTGCGGAGGAGGTGACTTGGAGCTCGTTCTTCGTTTCAATATGTCGCGTACGAGCGGCAAGTGTTTTGGATCGAGGTCGACAGATGGCGAGGTACAGACGAAGTTGGCGTACAGCATATTGGTGTTGCGGTCTTTTGCATTATTCTCCTTGTTGTAGTGAATTGTCCGAGAGGGCAAAGTTGTCTTGACTGTGGCTGTGACCATAGGGATATAAACCATCCGCTCCGGATGCTCGTGGCCGTCATCGATGCCAGCGGAGATAGCTATTGCAGTGACCAGACCCTGGTGAGCGACATCTTTGGTGGAGAAGTACATGCGATGAGCTGGACTTTTCGGATCGAGCCGCAAGACATCTAGGCCGACCTCCTTCATGGCGAGATTGAGGTACACATCCTTGTCCGAATGGCCTTTGACAGCAAGTTTCTGCGACAGACCGAAAAAGCTGACTGCGAACTGCACTTCCTGTATGCCGCGCAATATTGATGCAACGAAGGCACGGGAGTCCGAGACGGTGCGCACAAGGTCTTCGTCATGACTGCCAGGCTTCTGGAGCTCTTTGAGAGCGTGCGTGAGGACGAGATCGCCATTAGCATGCTCAGCGTGCGGCTGTGCGTACTTGCCACGAAGCAAATCAGCACACTTCTTGGCATGTTCGATGTCATCATATGGCACATTGAGCCGCCCAAGCTTGAGAGCGATCGATGCGTCGCGGAGTCCCTGCAGCTCATTATGCAGCATGCCATGTATGTTGAGAGCACAGTAGTCCAGTAACTCGCTTGACTCGCGACCGTCTGCCGTGAAGAGGATACTGCGAACCACACATTTCCACTCTGCTGGTGCCTGACTCTCTGGCTTCGTCTTGTGATGCTGGAAAAGCCTGCTGCGGTCTACAGTCTTGCTCCGCGTGTCCACGGAAAGAGTCAATCTCTCAAGCTCAATGCTTCCGACTCCAACCACGTTGACACTTGTCTCTATTGCGACCAGATCAACCAGTCGGATGTAGTTGATCTTGCTATGCAGTCTCTTGATCCTTTCCTTCACGTCCATCAACTTCCGCCAGAGCTTGCCATGACCTTCTTCAGCCTCCTGCTCCGCCTTCGACTTCCGTGGTGCGCCATTACCCTCCTTCTTGACGTCTCTTGGCTTGCTTGGCTTCCCTGAGGATATCGCCTTGAGATCAACGGTGACCGCAAGCTCTGTCACGACCAGACTACACCATGTTGGCAAGGCAAAGGTCGGCCTGTGCAATGACAATCCGAGTCCGCGGACATGGATTCGCAGCCCGGGACGTGGACTGAAGGACACACGTCGAAAACCAGAGTATCCCACACGTTGTATAGACACTCCAGTAAGGATTCGTAGGACGGCGAAGACAACAAAGGTGAAAAGGTAGCCGAGTACAACCAGTCCTAGCAAGAAGGACGCTGTGGGTAATGGCATCGCGGCGCAAGCGCCATTGGTCGCGCGTAACGCGCACCCAGCGCTTTGTTATCGCTTTCTCGCACAAGGCTCACTGTGTGCAGTCATGCTTCAATTGATCGTTCCAGCATGTCTCATGGAGCTTGGGCGCGCTGACAATGCAAGTGTGGCGTTCACGGTCGTTGTAGGCTGTCACGCAATGCAAGGGACTAGGGGAACTTGCTGTGATGGGGTATCCGTCCGCAAAGGAATGAAGCGGACTCTGTCACCCTTTGATCGTACTGTAGTGAATAGGCAAGTTGCTCCACTGTGCCAGATCTTATGATGGAGCTGCATCTGACATCAACCTCTCCGCTGGATTCCGGAAGAAACGGGGATCGACAGATCCGAGCACGAGGCAGAAGTCTAAATTATGCACGAGCATGTTGTACATCTAGAACCACTGCAAGCACAACAGGAGATGGACTGGAGGCAATGGAGAATATGTATTTAGCTCCTACACACCATGCTATGCTGTGCTGCACTATGCGGCCTCGCATGCGCCGAACGCCGAGCACGATTGACGCTCTGTCGCGTGCTTCCCCGTTTAAGCTTCCGCCACCCCAGTGCGCCTGAGCGCCAGCCCCATGCGGCTGTATGCATGAGTCATGAGATCATCGTGGTCGTGATATGCAGTTTTGTCAAGCAGCCTTCGCATCCGCCATTTGCGTATCACCACCGTTGTTTGCAATATTGCGAGCAGCATCGTCGGTAGCTTGAGCTTGTGGGGCAAAGACCTTTCCTTTGACCATCGCTGCCATGAGACCCATTTTCTCCTCACTGGCAATCTTCTCCGCAGCCTTCACAACCTTGGCGAGCTGATCGTTGTTGCCTTTCGGTCTCGGCCCCATAGGTGGAAGCGACGAGTTCTTTTTCATGTTGTCCAGCACCTGGGCTGTTTTGGCTGCAATGTCCGCGATCTGGTTCGTGACGTAATCACGGTTCGTGAAAAGTGGCGAGGATGAGAGAGTCTGCACCCAGTACTTGTTCCAGAGCGCCTCAAGGATTTTACTGTCGAGTGTAGACTTGTAGTGTGAGACTTCTAGTGAGTAGTAACGGTTTGCATGCGCGCCAAAGTCTGCAGCCTTGGCCATAGGCACTGCTGCACCACCGTCCGTGGTCGACTCGCCACCACCGCCACTATAGTCCTTCGGATAGGTTCGGAAAGCTCCGATCTCGACTTTGCCAGCAGAGATGGTGCGATGTGGGTCGATAACCACAGCGAGGAAAGGCTCGTTGATAGTTTGGTAAAGCTCCTGCGTGCCAACATCGATGCCAGAAAGCCAGCAGCCGTAGCCTGGATGACTGTGATACCACCCAACCGCATTCTCCATCTGTCCTGCCTGTCTCGACCGCTCCAGAAAGTTGACCATGTACTCGTCAGCCTCGCTCGACGCGTTGACCCTCGTTTCCGTTCCCTCTACTGGTAACCGCAGTGCATCTGTTACGATGAAGGTCTCGTGATCGACGTATCCGATCATTAAGCCCATTACTTCGATATCGCCTCCTGATCTCGCATGCATCACCATCTTGACCAGTGCAACAGCAGAGATACGAACATGTTTGTAGTGGTTTGGGTCGGTCCTCCATGGCTTGGCTTCGTTGATCTTCTTCACCTTGTCTGTGTCGTATCTGTATAGTGCATCACGGGCAGGGTCGACGAGCTTGATCGCGTTCTCGATTTCTACATTTCGATGTTAGTGCTTGTTCGCAACAGTGGCTAAAGATGTGACTGTACTGACCCCACCCTCTCTGAGCGTCCATCGTTGCGGACCTAGAAATGACTTGTGAGGATCAAGCGAACCTACTTGACAAATGTAGTCCCCGATTGCAACGAGTGCGTGCGGGTGTTTGCACTCTGTGTTTCTGCCTAACATATGAGCGAGCTTGAGCTAGAGCTACATGGTTTGCACGGACCAACGCTTATCTTCTCTGTGCACGCAGCATTCACTGCACGCAGACGTACGGGCGCCTGCAGATGTTCCGAGTCCATGAACTTCGGAACGTGACAACCGTTCTATGAACAATGGCTATGTCGCGCTGGAGACGACCCTGATACTCTTCCTGAAAGAAGCCGCAAGCTGCTCATGGACAGCATTCAATACCACAAGATCGTGACGCGCTACGAGGGACACATATCGTGAGCAACCGAAAGAACACATCACGAACTCGTGTTGAGATATGCTGTGGTCCTCGGCACCGATGAAGGTCCTCAACCTCGGACGCAACCAGTTCTAGCGTGGCCACTGCTATAACCAGCACGAGTATGGATCATCCTGTACTTGGAGGCTCCTTTCGATAGGTCGTCAATACTTTCCCTAGGCTTGAAAACTTTCGAGTTCTGGTGAATGCACATTTCCCGTACCTCCTATCGTTTCCCAAGCATTCACTCCACTCTTGACATGTGACCAATCCCCCGCACTAGCCTTTTACGGAATCCTGGAATAATGATGACTCTTTCCCCTACAGTAAAGGACAGCAGAGCCGTCGATGTAAATCGACAATGCTCATGCGTAAGCTTGGGGGACGCCTGTCGCCATTGGCATATACTTGCCTACGCCACGCCAGCTTGGGTGGGAGGAAGCGACAATCTCGCCACATCAGTAGCGCCAGCATGATGGACGTCATTGGCAAAGAGTAGACCGGTCTCAACGGCCGCAAGTATGTGGTCACCGATGTACTGTTACAGTGCAAGCAAGGTGACTTGAGCTGCTTCGTCTACAAAGCAAAGTCTGCTCATCGTCTCAGCTTCTTGGTTCTTATACACACACTAACGGCTACCTCCAGATGCGCTGATGGCCACAGCTTTGTGCTCAAGAATGTGCCGGACAAGACTCACTTCGACTACAGTATGGACCTCTACTGTAAGCTTGACGGCAGTCGACACCTTCGCGCACTGCATGACACGGTGCCCTCCGATTCGGTGCTTGTCTTCCCATTCTTGCGCGACGACCTTCTTAAGTTCGCTTGCAATGATCTGTCAACAGCCTGCGTCAAGGCGGTCCTGAATCAAGGACTGCATGGCATTGCCGAGCTACATGCACGCGGGATTGTGCACCCAGGCGTCAAGCCTTCCAACTTCTTTCTGGACTACCATGAGGCAGATGGAAAGCTCGCTCTTGACAAGGTGCAGCTCTCTGACCTTGAAGACGCACGCATGCTCATGCCCAGCGAAGCTGTGAGCGGAACGCTCACTGGTAACGAGTTGTGGCGAAGTCCGGAAGCATGGGCGAAGGGACCTTTGGCTCTCCCGTCAGACATGTTCTCCTTTTGGCTGGTCTGTCTGTACGTGGTACTCAGGCGGATCGTACTCGCCTACACCATGGAGGAGCTCGAGATGGATGAGGAGAAGCTACGACCGGAAGTCATCATACTTCACCGTCAAATTTTCTACTTCGCTGAAGAGTCAAGCTTCGCTGCTTTCCTGGAATATCTCGGCGACAGTCCATATCGTCAAATCTTCGAGGTATTGCTAGGTGGATTTGATGACGACTCTCGACGGGAGCCAGTGCGTCTATGGAGTTTCGTGAAGGATGAGGACGTCAAGGATCTTGTCGCTGGCCTTACAGACTTCGATCCGAGAAAGCGGCTTACCACAGACGAGGCCTTGAAGCACAGACGGTTTACGGCTTTGAACGATGACGAAAGCCATGTCGATGGGGATTACTTCAATGGTGTCTGAGTGTCTTATTATCGACTAGTTTGAAGAGATGGCAACAAAGATTACGCGCCAAGCTTGGACGCATGACATATTCGTGTTGAAGGGAAGTATGCTTTGGTGTACGGGTATGCCTTGGGACGGGTTGATAGAGAGCAAAAGAGAACACGCAGCTTTCCCAGCTAACTCACATTTTCCGTGTGGTTCCCGCAAGGCGTTTGATATGCTGTAGCTCATGTACCTGGACTTATACTTACTCGCTGTATCATGCATCGTGCGCCGCATGGATTAGGATGGTGTGGTGAAGGAACTCTCTCGTGGCCATGCCACTTTGTTGACAAGAGTCGTTGGTTGGTGAACAGCGCAAGGCGAGGTTGAACTCAGGCCCTATCGCTCCCATCCTCACTCTGGAGCTGTGTGTTATCTGGAAACTCGAGGTCTTCGTCGACCCAGTACAAATGCATTGTTGGGAAAGCCATCCCCTTGATGTCGAATGGCCAAACAGTCCAGTGTGGGCGGCTGTCTTTCGGACTCGTGTGTTGCAGCAAGCTGTCAGTAGGTTAGTACCGTAACAAAAATGATGCATCTCGTTTGACATACTTCAGAACGATCTTCGCAGTTGCTGGTGGGAAGCGGTCTCGATTCTGCTGCACGACCTCAACGAGTCTGTCCTGCTCGCTAGTCCTCGGGATTCTAGTAGGCCTAATCCACTGTTCTGTCTTTGTGGCACACTCTACCTGGACCTTACGAGTCCCAAGCTCGAGTGAGTTGAAGATCTCCTCGTTCAACAGCTTGTTGACAGCCTTGAGGGCATCCTTCTTGGTCTTTGATGCCATGGCACTGTACGAGAACCTTACCGATTAGAGGCGCGCCTGTGCATAGCTGATGCAGCGAGGGTGTTGAAGCTACAGCATCATGAATGGACCAGCGGCATGATGCAAGCCATCGTGTGGTAGCTGACAATAGTAGTCATTCGATCAATATAAGGGGCGACCGCATGATCAAAGGCAAGTTGGTGAATGCTTCTGAGCCCCCAATGAAAGGCATCGTTATAGCACGAGATTGTAGCGTGATTGCCACATCTTGACCTCCGTAGGGACCAGGGGTCGTATGAAATTGTTTCGTGGCCAGTCTCTGCTCACATCATCCTAGGCGCAGTGTAGCTGTGTCGACAAGCCACGCGGACCCTGGTTCGCGCGGACTACAGCAGCTCTGTAGTACACCGTATGCCGTTCATTGCGAGGTCACGATAGTAAGCTGCCTGGGTCCGTATTGTAACAATCAGTGTGTCACACCGTGTATCCCATGGACAACGAGTACATGCTACTTACACGATTCGTACAAGTACAGTGGACGGACAGTAATCGACCGTCATGTCCACCCGGCTGCACACTCGAAGACGACATGAATGACTTCACCAGCCTCTATCGTCCTATGACGTAACACCCAGCCTCCTTGAACACTCCTCGTAGCCAAGCAGTGCCATAACAGATCCAATACTGGGTCCGGAAAGTCCGTAGCTCAGTTGATTGCGCAAATATTTTGTGAAGGCGGCTTGATAGGCTCTCTTATCCAGTGCCAGACCCTGGAACTCCGACTCCGTCAGGCGCTTCTCGATGCCAGGAACCAATGACTTGCAGAGGGCAATAAAGTGACCATCCTCGATCATTTCCGGCGAATCCGGAATGTCGGCATAATCTATCGAATCTCGGTCGCGAGCATCCAAAGACTCCAGAAGCACCTTTATTACAACAGGCTGGAAAGATAGGCTTCCAAGAGTTTTAATGTCGTGTTGCAGGACTTCCTGCGCTATGAGTTGCAAGGCCCGCTTCTCGACTTTGCGAAGCTCGCCGCCTCCTTTAACCTCGAGTACATCAGGCATTATAGGCACTTCTTCTTCATTGTAGGCGAACAAGTACCGGTGCCCGTCAACGAAGTGCTTTGCGTTCTGGTAGGATTTACTGTCCGCTAAGAGCACATCGGAACAGAACTTCCAGAGCTCTTCATCATCTTCGAAACGGTCGGAGTTTGACAAAGCCGGCCACCGCTCTCGCACCTCGTTCGCAATCGCGTCGACGAGTGGATGGATGGGTTCGAGATCTCCGGTCTGCTTGGCTCGTTGGGACTTTTGTGCAACGTGCTGCTTCTGTAGATACCACAGCTTGTCAAGGTTGACGATACTGTTGCCTTTTGTGAACTTCAGGTCAAAATTCTTGGCCAGGCCATCGAGATCGTAGACATCGTTTCGCCATGGATTACTCCAGCCCAGCAGCGCAAGAAAGTTCACCAAAGTCTCCGGAAGTACGCCATGCTGCTCGCGCATGCTACGTACATCAAGTGCCAGGTTTCCGTTGCGCTTAGACAGCTTGGCCTTGTTCTGATCGAGAAGCAAGCCAACATGAGCAAAGTGAGGTGGCTGCCAGCCAAAGGCCGAGTATAGATCGTAATGAAGTGGCGTGCTTGCCATCCATTCGGCTCCACGAATGACATGCGTAATCTCCATGAGATGGTCGTCCACTACATTTGCGAAATGGTAGGTAGGTGTGCCATCAGACTTCATCAGGACAGTATCAGCTGCATCGATCCCAGCTTCGCCGTCTTCTGATGCCACGTCTGTAAATTTTCGTTTGAGAGGTTTGATTTTGCCGTGAACCAGATCTGGGTAAATGCGATCCTTTACATCTATCGCCCGTTTGAGTCGAATCGTGGAAGCCTGCTGCTTGTCGTTTACTTTACTCAACGAGTGTTCTTGGGATAGCGACGAGCAATCTTGGTAACATCCGGAGGTCACGTGCGCTGCCTTGCCCTGACCCGATGCTTGGGGAGTGCAGAAGCAGCGATATGCGGCACCAGTGGCAAGAAGCCCCTGGGCATGCTTGCGGTAGATATCATTTCGCTCAGACTGTCGGTACGATTGATTGGATCTGCCCACGCCGGGCCCCTCGTCCCAATGCAGGCCAGCCCATTGCAAGTCCTCAATGAGTCGTTTTTCGGCTCCTGGTACCAATCGTTTCTGACACTATTAGCTAGGCTTCCCGAGCAAATGCGACTGATCTGAATACTCGATCTGTATCCTCAATGCGAAGGACGAATGTGCCCTCAGTGGCCTTAGCCAGTAAGTAGCTGAAGAGCGCAGTCCTCAAGCCTCCAATATGTAAGAAACCAGTGGGCGAAGGCGCGAACCGTGTCTTTGCTGGTCTGTCTGGCAGTCGACATTCCCTATTCGGTGCATCTCGCCAGACGGAAGATGATGAAAATGCTTTTGTGTCTGATGACTTCGAAGTGAAACGGCTTCGTGGCCTGGATACTCGAAGTGGCGGAGAGTGCTTCCATCGCCGATCAAGCCACACTTGACCGCCTTGACACTCACGGCATATCCATCTTCCTGTCCTCGTCAGTCCAAATGATGGAGTGGCCATACGCGGTGATGCCAAATGTGATGATATAAATGAGACTTGTAGAACGCGTCTCTAAGCGCGACCTCGTTTGCTCGTCTTGGCGTCTGTCGGCGTTTCCCCATGCAAACTCCGAGGTGACGAGATCAGCCAGGAATATTCCAGCTGAAGTCAATATTTCTTCCTTTGCGCTTTCAATCTCTCTTGCATTTGCTCACCCAACCATCGGAGTATCTACGAGCTCACCTAAGAACTCACCCATGTTGAAAACCTTCTCGCAAACCTGTGAAATAGTCTGGAAGGCCGACAATCATGGCTTCGGCAGATGATATAGATCTATATGGTTAGTAGGACGGCAACCTTGCGTCTCGAGTGATGGACTAATCGATACAGAGCTCCTCAACCTTACGAAAGGCGCCAGTAAATCAGAAGTCAAGAAGGCCTACCACAAAGCTGCCCTCACATCCCACCCCGACAAAGTACCCGAAGACGAACGTGAAGAAGCCGACATAAAGTTCAAAGCCATATCACAAGCCTACGAGATCCTCAGCGACGACGACAAACGAGCAGCGTATGATCAGTATGGCATGGCTGCATTTGAGCAAGGTGGTGCTGGTGGAGGGTTCGGCCAGGGACCAGATCTAGACGATATACTTGCACAGATGTTTGGTGGCGGTGCGGGTGGTATGGGCGGTATGCCTGGGATGGGCGGCATGGGCGGAATGGGTGGCGCAGGGGGTGGACGGAGACAAGGTGGGAAGGGAAAGAATGAGGTACAGCAGTATGAGGTGTCGCTGGAAGAGCTTTACAAGGGCAAGACCACCCGCTTTGCATCAACGAAGAAAGTGGTGTGTGAGCACTGCCATGGGAGCGGAGGCAAGGAAAAGGCCAAGGCGAAGCCATGCGACAGCTGCAAAGGACGAGGACAAACGACGAGAATACGACCAGTTGGGCCAGGCTTGGTCACACAAGAGACTGTACCCTGCTCAACGTGCAGCGGCCGAGGCAGCTTCTTCGCTGATAAGGATAAGTGTAAGAAGTGCAAGGGCGTGCGGACTGTGAGCGCGAAGAAGATCTTGGAGCTGTACATTCCCCGAGGCAGCAGGGAAGGCGACAAAATTGTGCTTGCCGGCGAGGCAGATCAGGACCCCGACGATGACTCGCCTGGCGATATCATCTTCGAGTTAGTTGAGGAGCAGCACAAGACTTTCCACCGGGCAGGCGCAGATCTACAAGCAGAGCTCGATATCTCATTATCGGAAGCACTGACTGGGTTCAATCGGATTGTCCTGACACATCTAGACGGCAGAGGCATCAGGTTACATATTGAGCAGCCTGATGGTAGGGTCTTGCGACCAGATCAGATCCTCAAGATCCGTGGAGAAGGCATGCCAATCAAGCGATCCGATGCGAAGGGTGACTTGTTCCTGACGGTCAACGTTGAGTTCCCGGAAGACGGTTGGTTGAAGAGTCAAGCAGCGGTCGACAAGGTCAAGGCTGCGTTACCTACGGTAGAGCCTGTCTCGTTCGGTGTTGGCGAGACGCCAGAGATCGTGGACGAGGTCGACTTCGAGGAGGTGGAGAACCTGGAGGAGTTTGGTGCCGGTTCAGATGACCCACGGGCTGGTGGTGACTGGGAGGACGACGAAGAGGGGGCACAAGGAGCGCAGTGCGCGCAGCAGTGAGCATGTGCACGATGGTGAAGCATGAAAGGTCAGAATCATGGCGACGGCGTTGGTGTGAAAACATTAGAGATACCTACACGTCGTTGTATACACCGATTCGAGTATATGGATGGGACGGGATGTAACACTCGTGGTACTTTGCTATCAATGGTAAGTCTGGGCAGGTGAGGTTCCGAACCTTGTACGTTCCTTCCATCTCGAGCTTTTGACCGACCACGATATACGCCACATCACCTCATGAACACTTCATATCACCAACTATGAACTCTTGTTCCTACTCTTTACTTTTTCACATGAACGAACATGACACCGCTAACCCCAGCAGATTCGCCATCCACGCCAAGACGGCCTAGCCAGCAAGCCATTGCATTCGCCATATCAGTAGTATTGTCTAAGTCTGAAGGTCTGAGTGTGCAGGAATATATACGACTACTCCGACAGCACATCGCGAAAGGGCGTCGCGAGAATGCCATCAGCTCAGTATACCGGCATCTCGACCGCTCTTCGTACTGGCGCGGGCAATATGAGTGTACGAAAGACGCACTCCGTGGTATGATCCGGCTAGGCTAACTACTAGAGCATTCGCTGATAATTCCCAGCTTCCGAGGGCTCGTTCGTAGACCTGCAGCGCGAGATCGAACATCTGAAGTCGCAGCTTGAAAGTGCGAAGCAATCTGCCGGCAGCAATGCACCCAAGAAGCGGAAGAAGTTTGTCGATGAAGATGTCATCTTGGTACCTGGCTCACCCAAGAGGGCAAAGCGAGATACCAGTCCAGCTCGAGGCAGTGGTGCGACTGAAGTGAGCATCGAGAGAGACTTTGACTTTACAGATGTTAGCGAGATTGGTGAGCTTTTGGAGTCATGGCACAGGAGTTCACGACTGACTGTCTCAGGAAACATACTCATGCACAGCCTCTTCCAGATGCATGCCGTGCTCAAGGGTCCTGCCAAAGTCGAGCCTGCAGTCCTTGCTCGTCACCTCATACGGACAGCATCGGCATTGCCGCAGGTCATGCAACAAGCAGTCGTAGTACAATTTGCCAGCGAGCAGTCAAATCTCAATGTGCTCAAAAGCACTTTGAACGCAGCCGCTCGGGCGACGACTATGCTCATCGTCGGGGTGACTCGGTTGAGCAATCTCGCTGACAGCATCGAAGTCCATGGCCAAGTCATCTACGCATGCGTGCACATGTTTGCAAATTTACTCGATCTCGTGGCAACAGCTTCAGCGGCTGAGATGCGTAAGGCTGACCAGATTAATTCGGTCTTGTCAACAAACCAGAGACCTACGACAAGTAAGGGCAAGACGAAGACGGTACTACCGAAGCAAGTCAACCTCAAAGACGTACCCAGCCTAAACGCCATCGTCTGCTTCTTGTGCGGAATCCCCGACCTATTCGACCCCAAGTCAGATCTGCACAGGCAGCTTTTCGAGGGCTTCGCCTACTGCCTCCTGAACAAGCTTGGCAGCCGCCTCTACGCCTGCAATTTCGGACGTACTCGCGGTCCGAGCATCGCCGACGAGATCGAAGACCAGCCTGCTACTAATCTCAATCATCCACAAACCGATAAAGATGTCCGACAAGCCAAGTTGGAAGCCCCATACCTCATCCACATTCTCTCCCGCCTCATGGCCGCTGCTCCCTCTCATCTAGGCTCCATCGTTCGAAATAGAAAAGGCAAGACCAAGTCGATCACCTTGAAGAACGCTTCGAAAGCCAATCTCGCTATTGATGCGAAGGAGAAGCTCCAGCGTACTCTCATCATTTGCATCTTTGGTACAGAAGGAGTGAGTGCTGAAGATCCGTTGATGGATTGTCTGAAGATGCCGGGAATTTGTGAGACTTCCAAGCCTTTGCCCTTGCCAAAGGTGAAGGCGGTTGATGTGCAGGAGTGGTTCAAGGAGGAAGTATGGAGGATCGTTGGGTGGGAGATTCTGGGGCAGGAGGATGGCTGGTGAGGCAAATTTACGGTGGACGGACCCAAGACTCTGGCGAAGCAACTACATATCCCGGCAATGCAACGACCTCATGATCGAAAGAAGCGCAATGAGATGTAGTGATCGTACCAGTGCTTCATTAATTGCACCGTGACCATCACGCTTCTATAATTACCAGCGTCACTGATACTATCATCGTCCGCCAAGTCCCTCGAGCTCTTAGGGTTAGGGTTTGGGTAAGCAGAAAAGACATCGACAGCAGGACCCGAGAGACTGCCACGCTTCTGGATGTGTAAGTAACCTTCTTCTAATCTATAGGGGTATATATGTAGCTCCAGCAGCATTATCTCAGAGGTCTTGATCAACGACAAAACGGAAACCTGGCAGGAGGGTGTCCACTCGTGTACTCTGCAACTCAATGGTGTTGGGGAGTATGTAGTGTGGACGGATGTTCGACAATCGGAGTAGATGCTCCGGACAGACGTTGTGCTTTAACCTCTACACCCTGATCAAGTCTTATGGGAGACATCTCTCATATCGCAAGTCAAGTCATCTATACACTAACACGTGTGTGACCCCCTATCCAATAACCACAGCCAAAGCGTACTCATCCAATAGTCATCTCTGCATACCACACCCATCCAAGCAAGTAAGCAAGCAAGCAAGCAAATATGGTATCACAACCCCCAAGAAATCCAAAGAACGCCGTATTCAGGGTAACGATCCACTCCCGCTTCCACCACCAGGCCGCATGCCTAGGTACATGAACCAATCCACCAACCAACACCTTACCCTCTGGCCCTCAATATCGTTGCCGAATGGCTTCTGGAAACCTACTCCCGCCCACTTTACTCGCCGGGAACGCTTCGATCCCGAATCTCGCATGCTCTCGCACTTTATCCATCAGCCTCTCCACTGGCACACTCGGCGCCTTCAACGCTTTCACCATCTTCACTCTCTCATCATCATCGTAGGCATGCAGCGAATAGTGCTCGCGGATAAGACGTTGGGATTCGGGTGCGGAGGCGAGGTAGATTTTATGGGAGCAACCGTCTAGGGCACAGAGCCAGGTATCTTCTTGTACGGGGTCCGGGGCATGTTTGAGCCGGACTGGGAGGTCTGGATCTCGGGCGCCGGAAGCCGTGTCTTCGTCTGGCTCGGTGGCTGTCGGTGTGGCTGCTGTGGAGGCGGTGGTGGGTGGGGAGTCGGGCATATCTATGCCTTCGTTCTCCTCATCCGCCGTCTTACTGTTCTGTCGGATTTGTGGTCGTGGCTCGACACGTGCCGCGTACTTCCCGCCTGTAGGTGAAGAGGCTAGTTCGTCTTCCGATTCGTTATCATCGACGGGTGCTTTGCCGCCTTTCCTTCCTTTCGCGCCTTTGCTCGGCTTCAGACGCAAAGCGGATCTCCCTTTGCCCGCGGTTCGTCTCGCTTCAGCTTCTTCGGCTTCACTCGAGCTGATCTCGGCTACGGGGGTGGCTGTTTGTGCTGGTTCAGGTTGCTCGGGAAGACTATCATCGGATGGCGAAGGTCGATGTCGTGCTCTTCGTGTCGGGACTGGTTTGGCTGGCTGCGCACTTGACGATTTTGTCTCCCTAGCAGCTTTCCCGCCTTTCGTCGAGCTCGTTGTCGTCGTTGATCCAGAGTCAATGGAAATCACATCTACCGCCCTACCGGTCGTTGGCGGCCTTCCACGCTTCCGTTTCAGACTGCTAGTCGTCGACGACGCTGTTTCCAAGCTCTGCTGCCTCGAGTTCTTCCCAGACTTCTGTAGACGTCCAGTCTGTCGCCTCGTTACCTCCGCATGCAGATCCGGAAAGGTCTCTTTCAAGTACATGTACAATGGATTCCTACTCCAGTCAACTCCCTCCTTCTTAGCCAGCATGCTCGAAAGTAAGAAATCCGCATGTTTCTCCACCCGCCCCATCGCTTGCACCCGCTCATTGATCCCTCCTAGCTCCTGCTCAGCGTAATTATCAAATATCTCTCCCGCTGAATATGGTGGTCGTGTCGATGTCGTATTTCTGGCTTTGTTGTGCCGTCTCGGTTCTCGATATGCGTCAGCGACGAAATAGAGCATCTTGATCGCCTCGCTCATGTCGTTATACGTCTCCCGATACGATCGAGCAGGCTTGAGGCGGAACCAGCCGGCTCTGCCTGCCGCCCATAGTGCGATACTCCCATCTGCAAACTGCCCATACGCAAAACTCCGGACCTCACCAATATCAATGGCTGCCGATCGACCATGATTCTGTTGTCGGATCAGGTGTGAGGATTGCTTGGGCATGGAGTGAAGCTGGACATCGCCCACTACTATCAATGGATTATGCTCGGTGGCTACGAGTAGACTGGCTGTTTGAGTGCGATCAGAAGGGTGGTAGACACGGGCGTTGTTCAGTTCAAACTCAGGCCATTCGTCGGTGTTGGTGGTGGACGCGGGGTCGAGGGGGTGGAGGACGGCGGATTCGGGGAGGGAGGAGGTGGTGGTCATCTTTGGAGTGAAGCCGTCATTGAGCGTGATACATCGCTTCGTAAAGCTGCGTATTCATCGTCATCAAGTGACAATGATTGAGTCGCGAAGCCGGTATCGATGTCGCGTCGATCGATCACGTGCCGAGGTTTAGATTCAATTGAGCTTCGCGACTTGCACTCGACACAGTGTGCACTTTTTAACGAATATCGCTCAATCACATGGGCGGCCGCCAACTAATCTGGCGAGGGCTAAAAGAGATCCAAGCAGCAGCAGCTAAACCACTTGTCACCACCAAGCCGACAACCACAACTATGTTACCTACCAGTAGCATAATCCACGAAGGCGTCTTCGGTACAGTAGGGTTCCAATCCCTGCCCTACCAAACAACCATACTAACCACCCTCACCCCCTCTAGCTATCAACAAACCCCCGGCCATCACCTCCGCCCAGGTCATCCGCGATGTCCAACGCCACTTCAACCCTTCCACCCTCTTCGCACCCTGGATGAAACACGAGCATGATAAGAAGGACGCTGAAAGTCATAATCAGAGGAACAAGCGAAAGTCATGGAAGCAACAACAGCCGCCGCAGTTGAAGATGGGGCATGGTGGGACCCTCGATCCTTTGGCGACGGGGGTGCTGATCTTGGGGGTGGGGAGTGGGACAAAGGCACTCAATTCTTTCCTTGGCTGCACGAAGAGTTATGAGGCGGTGATGTTGTTCGGGGCGGCGACGGATACGTATGATTGTGAGGGGAAGGTCGTTGCGAGGAAGGGCTATGAGCATATCACGCGCGACGCCGTCGAGGAAGCCTTGAAGCAGTTCAAGGGTGAGATCATGCAACGTCCGCCTATCTTTAGTGCATTGCGCGTGCAGGGGAAGAGATTGTACGAGTATGCGCGCGAAGGCAAAGAAGTTCCTGTGGAGATTCAGGAGAGGCCGCTGAAGGTGGATGAGTTGGAGTTGATGGAGTGGTATGAGGGCGGAAGTCATAAGTGGAAGTGGCCGGAGCAAGAGGCTGGGCCGGAGGAAAAGGAAGTAGTGGAAAAGGTGCTGCATCTGGGTGGGGATGTTGCTGCGGAGAAGGACAAGGAGCAGAGCTCGAGTGGTGCCAAGAGGAAGCGTGAGGTAGAGGAAACCGTCGGTGGGAATGTTGTTGATGCTGAGGCAGGGCAGGAGGCGAAGCGCACGAAGAGCTCGCCGGAGCCCGAATCCGCTCTAGCATCTGGCGCAATGCCTTCGGCTGAAACAGCTGATGCCAATTATCCACCCTGGACAACAGACGCAACCATAGAAACAATCACAGCTGTACCATCAACAGAACCCTGCCCAGCTCCAGCGATCCGCCTCCGCATGACTGTCTCCAGCGGCTTCTACGTCCGCAGTCTAGCCCATGACCTAGGTGCTGCCGTTGGAAGTTTGGCGATCATGACGTCTCTCGTTCGAACACGCCAGGGCGAATTCGAGCTCGGCAAGAATGTTCTGCAGTACGATGAGTTGGCTGAAGGGGAGGAGGTCTGGGAGCCTAAGGTTAGGGTCATGCTTAAGGACTGGCAGGAGGGGAGGAATACTAGTGGTGGGTTGGTAGCGGGTGAAGGTGAGGGTCAGAATGAAGGTGACGGGAAGGAAGAAGTCGGAAAGCAAGCGGACGGGGGTAATGTGGGCGATGAGAATGAGGGTGAGGATGAGGATGGGCGTGCGAAGAGGGCGAACGCTAAGCCCGAGCGCCGGGCCAAGATTAGGAGGAATTCGAGCTCGGATGGCGGTGCCTGAGATGGTTCTGGGTCTTGGAGCCACGCCAAGTTCCGAGCACGTTTGTGTACCGGTCGATATACTGCCGTACGGCGGTATGCGATTCCATTCCGGCACCTAGGCCATTACCGTGTTTGCGGCATAAGCGCTTAAGCCGAGCTCGGACCCTACGGCATAACAGCTCGGAACTGCAGCGAAGAAAGGCGTTACCGACCTAGGACGGGACGACACAACAATGATCTGCTTACTCATTCGTGCTGCAGTGCCGCATTCTATCAAGTATCGACCGGCTTACGGCCCCTACTGCCCAGCTTTAAGCTCGATACGACAAGGCTAGCTAAGCATTGCCAATATGCAGGGTCTGAGCTTGACTTGTTCGACATGTTCACGGCCGAGAAGATGCCATTCTTACTGCAGCTCTGTCATCACGATAGGCAAGCCGAAATGGCAATGCAACAACGAAGCGAAATTGTCCTATCGATGCGATTGCGAGGGTAGGGGTATGCTAGATGGTCAGGTAGTATAAAATGTGCAAAAGCCCTACCTTTTATTACTTACGACCATCCCAATCGCATTCCTCGCCCAAACTCACACAGGTTAGCTACTGAAATATTAGTTTGGACGACGAGCTCGCATTTGGAGATCAACTCTGACTTTTTGGAAGCTATAGCAAGGACAGCAAGATGTCCCACCTCAAAATCAGCGATTACCTCTTCCAGCGCCTCGCGCAACTCGGCATCAAAACCGTCTTCGGTGTCCCAGGAGGTACTTCACCTTTCCACGCTCGCTTTCCATATATGGCCATCCCACTACGTTCAACTGACCACGTAGTCTAGACTACGAACTCGCCCTCCTCGACCTCATCGGCGATGCCGGCGTCAAATTCTCCGGCAGTGCCAACGAACTCATCGCCTCTAACGCCGCGGACGGGTACTCGCGCATCAATGGCGCTGGGGCCTTTGTTACAACGTTTGGACCCGGGGAGTTATCGGGGTATTGTGGGCATGCCGGGGCGTATGCGGAGTTTGTTCCTGTGGTGCATGTTGTGGGATATCCCGGGGTGGAGGCTATGAGGGAGGGGAGGTTGATGCATCATAGTTTGGGGGATGGGCGGTTCGGGTAGGTCCTGTTCTTTTTCTTTTTGATCGTTTCGGGGTTTGTGGTGAGGGTTGGTGAAGGTGGTGTGGTCTGTGGTGCAATTGGCTGATGTGGTGTGCGCAGTGTGTATCACGAGATGGCGATCATCTTAGCCGACGGCAATATTGTCCGTAACCACCTCACCGCTGAAGCAGATAAACTCGCCGAGCTGACTAGGTGGCCTTATTTCACCACATGTATGGGCAAAGGAGGCGTCAACGAAGAGTTGCCGAATTATGCGGGTGTCTATGCTGGTGGCGGCTCGATCCCTGAGATCCGGAAGGCCATTGAGGACGATTCGGATCTCGTGCTCTGGTTGGGAAGTTACAGGACTGATTTCAATACCGGTGAGATGACGGATTTTGTCGATGGGAAGAAGATTGTGGATCTGCAGCGCTTCTTCACCAAGATTGCGGGGGAGAACTTTAAGGTGGGCATGCACTCTGTTCTGCCTGCTCTCATCGCACAAGTTAAGCAGGACTCCTCGGTCGTCAAGAAGGAGTCTGTGAAGGTTTCTTGGGATCCATATCCCGCACCTGCGGGCCAACCCGATAGCTCAGCAGCTCTCACCCAAGACTACCTCTGGGCCACCCTCCCTCACCTCTTCCAGCCTGGCGACTTAATCATAGGCGAGACTGGCACATCCGCCTTCGGCCTCGCTGCCTCCCGCTATCCCGCCGGCTGCAAGGGCTACAACCAGACAGTTTGGGGCAGTATTGGCTATGCCGGCCCCAGTGCCGTCGGCTCCTTCCTTGCTGCCCACGAGGCTGGGACTCTAAACCGTGGGATCTTGGTCACGGGTGAAGGGAGCCTGCAGCTCACACCTATGGCTTTTGCGGAATTCTTGATGTTGGGGCTCAAGCCGATTGTGTTTGTGTTGAAAAATGGAGGGTATACTGTTGAGCGGCTGATTCATGGAAAAGATGCTTTTTACAATGCAGTGCCAAAGTGGGATTATAAGCAGTTGAGTACTGTGTTTGGGGTGGGGATGGAGAGTAAGTACTACGGGCCGATTGGGACGTGTGGAGATTTCGAGGCTCTAGTCAGGAGCAAGGACTTCAGGGATGGGAATTGCTTTCAGGTGAGTTCTACTGTGCTACGATGATGACTTGTCATGGGTTTGTGGCTGACTGACTCCTGTGGTATAGCTTGTTGAGCTTATTCTTGGCGAGATGGATGCGCCTGCTTCTGTCGGGCTCTCAGCGGCGGCGATCGAGGCTTTCAATCAGAAGCATGCTCCGAAAGAGGCTGGTGCGAATTTGGGAGGTTGAAGTATGGATTGCCTACGTCTCTGGCTCTTGGCAGTGCCAGTATGACAGAAGGTCAGCTCGTTGGAAGTCTACCCGATCTAGGCCGCACGACTCTATGCCGCTCTCCAAGCACCATGTACACAACGTCGCTGCTTCTCAATATCTCGTAGGATAGACTGAGGACTCTCTTGCACCAAAATACTCGCGTTACATGCTCGTCCAGACAGGGCAAGACGAAAGTGCAAAAAGATGAATATATCAGTGGAATTCTCCCATCCTTTGCTGGATAGCAATGCTAAGAACAGTAGAAGGACTGGTGACCAGTGAAATGATCGTCAGTAGTCTGCTCCACGCCGCTTGTCCTCTCTGGTCTCTGGGATCGGCGGATAGTCGAAGAACCTCGCCTTTCCCTCTTCCCGGAATTTTCGTGGCTTTTTGACGGTACGGTGCGAGATCGGGCCAGCCTGGCCTCCCTTGATACCACAAAGACCATCGAGGTCCGGTATCAGGCGTCATGGGGTGCAATTGACTGTCTACAAGGTCGGGAAAAGCGGGTTGAAGCAGCCGGTTGCTTAACTGTAGCCATAATTGATGACCCCATACCCGGCTGTCGATCATCTCGCTCGTGTGTATGGGTTTCCACATGTCCCCAGGCTTATGAGCGCCCAAAGCCTGTTGCTGCTCTAGTGTACCTGGGTATAGCTGCGCGATTCGGATCACATCTATGCTAGATATGCTCTTCTTATGTGGGAGTTGCATGCCACCCGCATAAAAAGCGTCGTCGAGCCAGAATTCCACTCCGTCATTTCGTCGCCAACGAAGAACCTCTTGGTAGTTGGCAGCATGTCTCTTCGAAAGAACGAATTTTCCAGGACGTCGGGCTCCCTGCACGAAGTCGTAGGTCATGATGCTTGCGAAGTCGAAGTAGCCTACGCTCCTCATCGTTGGCCGCGAGAAGCCGTCGTTGGGACCTTGCATTTTGACATAGCAAGCAGCGGCAGGGATGTATTTACAGCCCAAGCATATTGCGAGCAGATTCGATCCATTTTGGCAGCCAGAGGTATTCCATGTTCCCAATCTCCAGCGAAGTCGGAGTTTGCAGCCATCGCTTTGGCCTCGAGATATCCTTCCAATGCCGTGCAGTCGAAGTAAAGATATTAGTTTCGATCAGGACCCTGGTGTTCACTGCAAGGTCGCCGTTAGTCATTCTATTCGGTGACTGTGAACGTTAGGACTTACTGCAGCGGACCCATAGCATGGCCCAGCTCATGCATCATGTTCTCAACCAGCCTGTCGAAGCGGACACCCTTGTCAGAAATCTGCGTGAGCCGATTCAGCACCAGGCGATGCTGTCCATTCATCCACGGATTTGCCGCGTCACACCCTCTGGTACAATGACTTGGATTATATTTGGTAGTCGGCTTTCCATCACCCAGCGAAGATGGTGTCGTCTCTGGGTTCTTAAGAGCGATTCCTCAATGTCATCAGATCGGTTCGCCCATTACAGATGCAGCGAAACTTCAATTCTCTCCGGCTCCCATCATAACAAGCCAAATCGGGGAGTATCATTACAGCCGAAAATTGAAAGGCTGGCCACCAGCCGGCAATAGCCTGTGCAGTCACCTCCAAAAGCTCCTTAGCGACATCATCATCTTCGAAGAAAGATGGGATCAGATGTCGAAGCACTCCCTGAGGAAAGGTAAGATCGCCGACATCAAACAGGCGAGCGGGCCACGGGCCCTGATAACGCGGACCTGACGACCCGCCCTCGAGCCACGATAAGGTGCTGAAGAAGCGCGGTTGAATAGCAGGCTTGGGCTTGTTGTACGGGTCACTGGTGCCTAGTCGGTCGGTAGCAGTGTTTGGGCTGTCCCGAGATGTGTGTTGAGAGCAGACTGCCAAAGCATGAAGGAGTGCCATCCAAACCAGGAGCAAGAGTGCCAAAGAGATGTGTGGAAGCATTGTTGTTTGTGTTGAGAACCACAAAAGAGTGTGCTGAGGCAAACGTATGTAGAATGGCCCACCGCGCCGTATGAAGCCTGTGATGCGCACGATGAGCTCGAGCTGGCAACATGTGCTGTTGTGATATTGCTGACATGATTTCGGTGTGTCGTGGCTCTTGTCGCAACGAATACCGGTAAAGCACGTCTGGTTCAATGGGCGTCTCCAGCTCAACTTTGAATTAGCCTTACCAGATCCTCACCTGACATTGGTCTCCCTGTGTCGACTATCACCTCTGGAAGAACCAAGACCTGCATCTTGATTCGAACCTGGACCTTGTTCCATCCCCTTCTGCTGCTTTATTGGTACTCGATCAGTGCGCCAAGCATCAGCAATCGCCTTCTCCAATTCCTCCGGCGAACACCTCTGCAAACCCTGCGAACCACAATAAAACTCATACAACCTCCCCAACAGCTGCTTAGGCGGAACAGCAGATTGGAACTCCTTATCCACCACGTCCGGAAAATTCGGCCTAAGTGTCCATTCCCCAACTACCTCCCAAATCTGATGGCCCCAAATATGACTATCCACCATATCCCTCGTCTCAACCGGCTCCCACATATCCGTCACCTTAAGCTCATCAGCCTCCCGCTTCTGGTCCTCGGTACCAGGGTATAATGCAGCGATCCTTTTGACGTCCACAGTCGATATCTGCCTATCTTCGATATGCACGGCGCCGCCGGTGAAGAATTTCGCGTCGAGGGCGTATCTGGTGTTGTCGGCGCGATAGGCTGGGATCACTGGCTTATACCCGTAGGGTAGCTTTTTCGTGAGAGCGGGGCGTGTCGGGTCCAGGAGCAGGGTTTGGGAGTCGTATATCATGATGCTGCCGTAATCGAAGAAATTCTTATTCAGACTGTAGCCGTGGAATTCTTCCAGGGTGGACTGCTCATACACTAGCAATGATTCGACCGCAGGAAAGTACTTCTTGGCTAGTTCCTTCTCCGAGCAAACCCGAGCCATTCGTGATTTTGAAGTTGGCTCATTCTTCCAGTCTTGGCCGTTTCGTGCATCGTCCGCCATTGCTACTCCTTTATCGTAACCTTTCACAGCTGCGCAGTCGAAGCGGAGGAAGTGGTCCCGGTCTGGTCGTTGGTGTTCGCTGGGATTGAGAGTCAGCATGCGTATTACATCAGCAAGTTTGCGTAGCTGGTAACTTACTGCAACAGTCCCATAGCGTGGCCCAGCTCGTGTACTATGTCATTGATCTGTTGAGTTCGTCGAACAGCAGGATCTGCTATCGCATCGTGCCGGTTCACAATGAGACGATGACGTCCTGCCTCCTCTCCCTGTAGGTTGCAGCCAATCCAGCACTCGCTCTGCTCGGAAGCTCCATTCGTGTCCGTGCCCTTCTTCGAAAGACGGATTTCCAGGGCCTCGGGATCCGTAGTCTCACCGTCCTCTTGCGAACCGCAAATACACCGGGGGTTCAGTGTCAGACCGTTCTCAGTCTCCAGGTGACAGTGCGGATCGGGATACACCATCAAGGATGACAGCTGGAATGCGGGCCACCATCTCGCAATAGCCTGTAGGGTGATTTCCATCAGGTCTTCGACTTCCTCTTTCTTAGAGAAGCAGTATGGTATGAAGTTACGCTTAGTCCTTTCATTGTAGATGCCTTCAGAGCCGTCGAAATGTTCGGTCTTCCATAGACCGTGGACCCGATGCATTTGTGGAACTTGGTTTCCCTCGTCCCGAAGCTCTTGTAGTGACTTGATGCTGAACCAGCGACGGTGAATGATCTGGGTGGCTTCGTTGTGTGGCGGTGTCGTGGTGAGGTCCGAAAGGGTGGCCGTTGAGTTAGACTGGTGTATGTCTACGGTCAAGGGTAGAGACAGAATCTCCAAAGACCGGGCCAGGACTAGGGTCAGCAGTAGTGCCGGCTTCATCGACCGCACTTTTGTCTGTTCTGTTGGCGCAGCTCGCGAATCGGTAGGGTCCCTGTTGAAACGCTCTGATGGTATATATTTCTTCGACCGGAGAGATTCCTCCTGATATCTGCACATGGGATTTTTGTGCTGGCAGAATGTGCCGTGATACCCTAATGGTAGCATGTCGTGAAAAGTACCACGAGCTCATGCCGCACCGTGGCACATATGTGTACCACGCCATCGTGCTTCTGCGCAATCCGGGGTAGGGCATGACCCTCCGCCTAGACACACATCGAGGCTCATCAATGGCTTTGATGGTACAAGCAGGTGTACGAACCGTCATGGCAAGACCCAGCGGGCGGCAGACCTGGAGATTAAGTACTGGTCCTTTCCATTGTGGACAAAAAATTATAGCCGTTGGAGCAGCTACGCAATCGTGATCATTCGATAGCAGATCCAAATCCCATCACCCATTTAACCCCCACCCCATCCCATGCCTAGCCAACCAAGCCTCCCACCCCTTATTTCCCCCAATATACATCTCACTATACCCCTCCACCTCCGCCCCCTTCCCACTCATCATACACCCAGCCAACCAATCCGCATACCTCCCATCGCCCACACTCCCCCTCACCACCGCCTTGCCGACCCCTCTGACCCCCTCAAACAACTTCAACACATTAAAGTCACAACTCGCGTACATGGATTGGAAGACCTCGATCTCCAGCTCCTCGACCCCCATGAAGCTTTCCTCGACCTGTGCGCGGGTGAATCGCGGGTCTGTATCCAGACGGACGTGGAGGTAGTATCTCCGTATCAGGCCTGCGACTCGGGGGGCGGTGATGGGGGTGTGGCTGATGATTTGGACGGGTGTGTGGCGGAGGAGGAAGTAGGGGAGGGTTGCGAGGAGGGAGGCGTGGGCGGAGAAGACGTTCTCGCCGTAGAGGATGGGCGTGCCTTCCTGATTGGCTTGTTGACAGGTTCGGAGGATTGGGGTGTGGACGCGTTGGTGGTGGGTGGTGTAGGGGATGGGGAGCTGGTTGATCGGGATACTGGCTTCGTGGTCGATGTCGTGGACGAGGAGGAGGGTCCAGATTGCGTTGCGCAGTTCGGCGGGGAGGGAGAGGAGTCCTGAGGCGGTCTGGTCGGTCATTGTCGGTGGGTTGTGGGTCGCTGGCGATGGTCGCTTGCGGATTTGAACTATCATGGTTCACAGAGTAGAGGTTAGACTAACGACCACGCGACAGCTTCTACAGTATATCGTCTCAGATTAGGTTCAATGCCACAGAGAGCTACATCCCACGCCGATTGGAGGTAATGATAAGAGACGTCATGCCGATCGTGTCGGTACCTCTTCTATCGACTGCACATGTGCTATATGCTGTGCCATTCCACTCGGCATGATGGAATACGATGATTGTATATTCATCCTACGATTAACCAGATGAAAGATGTAAAGCTGCCCTCCTTCCGCATTTGTTAGCGCCACCTGACTAAACGACGCTAGCTTGGCTGGAGTCTGTCCTCATCAACGATATAGGTCTACATAGCCAGTACAACACAATGGCTCTGTGTCGACTATGGTATACCCGAGTCGAGGGTGTCTGACATGTAAGAAACGACGTATCAAGGTCCGTCAGATCTCCCGACCACTACAACTCTGCATCCGTTAACACATATCGCCAGTGCGATATCCTGCGGCCATCATGCACCCGCTGCATAAAAGCACAGCGACAATGCGACTGGGAAGATAGCGATGCAGCATCTCTACCTTTCCGCAATGAGACGACTTATGCTCGCGGCCAACCACGACGACCTCGAAAGCATTCCCAGCGGCTGAACAGAACGACCACCTTGTCCATCTCGCCACCCACACCTATTATCACCCGTGCACTGCAATTCCCCCTCGAAGTCCACGCCTTCCAATACTGGATCACGAACTTCACCTCCATCATCTCAGACGGGAGCGATGAAGACATAGGCCACAGCTACTGCACCCACGCCCTACAGCACTACCACACTTCACCACCGTCCTCGAGTCTCCCCCTCGCTGTTGCCGCCTTCTCCCACGGCGTCTTCGCTCGAGCGAGAAAACATGACGACGCACTCCTCGCTTCCCAGCGTTGGTATGCGCGAGCCGTCGTGCAAATCCGTAAGGATCTCAACCGACTAGGAGATGGCGATGAGGGGGATCTAGATGCTTTGATCTTGTCCACGATGCTTCTGGCTGGGTATAGTGTAAGTCTCGCACGAAACAAAGTGTGCTATCATCTGCTCGGGCGTGCTGATACAATAAGGTAGAATGCAACCTACCCAGCCACAACCACCACCGCCGCCGACCGAACAACCGAGGAAAACTTCTAGACCTCAGCTCCTCACATCAAAGGCACAGCTGGCCTGCTCGAACTCATAGCTCAACGCAAGTCTATACAGAGCACAGATCTCGAGCGTCGGTGCGGGCGAATATCGTGAGCCATTTCCCCAAGGCCAACCATGCAAACACGAGTAAGGAGGCTAATACCTTGCAGTTGAAAGCCTGTCTGAACAAAGCGGAAGCGGTACCGTACTATCTACGGGATAATGATGTCTACTTCCCTCCTGGACCGCAACGGGATTTGGATGTTCTGCAGGTACGGGTTACGGATCTCAGGGCCCGGTATGCAGCCATAGTCAAGAGTAGCCGCTCCAGAATACAAGTGCATGCGTGGAGCGAGTCCGTTGCTCGTCTCCTCGCACAATTCGACGAGGTGCATAACGCATTTGTGGACTGGATGCAAGGACTACCGATGGGATGGCGATACTCGAAGCAGAGATTATCGGCGAAGACTTCAGATACGTTGGCTCTGCCAGCTGAGATTTCAAGCGAGGATGTCTACACTTTCAACAACATCACCCAAGCGATCGTCTGGCTGCAATACCACGCCCTACATCTCGTCGCCACAACCCTGTACTTACGCTTACTTCGACTGAACATCCATGACGAGCCCTGGCAGACATATCCCGACCCAGCCACGTCCAGCCAAACACTCCCACAAACCCTCAACAAACTAACCGCATCCTTTATCCTCAAGATCCCCTTCTTCTACCACCACAGACGCTTGACCCCACGAAAAGCCCTAATACTAGCCTGGCCAATCACAATCGCCGTTGGGACAAAAGCCTTCTCCGACAAGCAAGAGGCGTGGTTACAGAGCCGACTAGATGGGATAGCGGACGTGACCGGAGCCCAGATTTTGCGGACCATCAGCCAGAATCCCGCGTTCTGGTTCTGAGTCCGTCGTGGACCTCGACGGAGAGAATGCCCATGTCGTACCCGCAAACTCATGTTGGATGCGAATGTACCCTTGTCTTGCTCCGCAGCTAGCTCGCTTCGAGTAGAACGGCGGGAACGTGTTGAGACCCAGTGTAGTATGTTATCATCTGCATCTATTGGCGGAGTTAGCCAATCATCAATCCGAAGTGTGATCGGCATGTAGAAGAAGAAGTGTAATGCAAACGCAAGAATTTCAGACAACGGATCGCGTATATATATGACTCGTCACCCCTCCGCCGAGACGGAGGTAGGACAGCTCCAATATTTTGTAAGAGTATCATCATGGTAGTACGGGCAGATTGAGGAGGGGTAGGAAGCATACCTTTTAGTCTCCGCCCTAGCAATATACGCCATTCTGCAGCATTTCTATGCTCAGAGGAAGCTTGCTTTCGGCGAAAGACTTCATGTTGATGTTGTGTATTAGTCTGATAGCCCGACCAGTCAAGTCCAGGCCAGAGTCGTTCAACCTTCATCACCGTGATCGAAAGCAAGCTTGACGGGCTTCACTTTCTTTTTCTTTGACTTCGACGTGGCCTTGTTCTTGCTTGTCGGGCCATCATCGCAAGGTGCATCGATGTCTTTCTCCTCCCCAACGACCTTCCCCGCCTTCCTCTTCCTCGCTCCAAGTCCCGTTGACACCTTCGCGTCATCTTTCTTCCCACCATCTACAGGCAGCGCACCAGAAGCCCGCACTTCTTCTACTCCATCACCACCATCACCTTTCCCCAAGTCACCTGAAACACTCCCTCCCACGTCCTCACCGGGACTATCACCACCAATAGCATCAGCATTGAGTTTCTCAAGCTCGTCTTTGCTCACCACATCCCCACTCTCATCCACCACCGTCGGCCCATCGTCTTCATCAGCATTCTTATCTCGCTTAGGGCGAGCAAGCTGCCGTTCATGCAGGTCCTGATCGCCTCGGCCGGCTTTCTGATCGTGGAGACGCTGCAGGAAGGGCGGTAGGCTGGAGTCGTAGCTGAGGTCTTTTGCTTTGATTTTGCCGGCCATGCTGCTCGGACAAATGATGTGCCGTTCTATCTCATGGTTGGGTCCACCTTGCTTTCCATCTACTCGACTACGGTGTAGATGTGAAAGGTGTGTTCGTGCTTGGCGTGGAGGTGAAGGTCGAATTGAGAATTGTGCCTGCCGTGAAACCCTTGACGCGCCAAGAGCCACTTACGCAAGCGTCGAAGCTTCGCTCGCTAGTGGCTGTTGTTCGCCAGATGGGCGGTTTGACGAGGAGGAGAAGTGTAATGATAATGATATACTGCCACTTGTTCATGCCTTGTAGACGAGAGTATCGCCATTGCACTTGCCTGGGAACTTTTGAAACATCGCACTCCAGATAGGAAGGTGCCAAGAATTGCTTAGGAAAGCTCGAGGGACCTGCAGGCACCTCCTTTGAGACTTTTGGCGACAGGCGAGACTCGACAAGCCACTTCAGCCTCAAGTCTTGACCACCACACCAGATACAGTCACGAGATATAGTCACGAGATACACGACGAGACGATTGCTGGGCTGGATAGGAAGCAAGCCACGGCATCATCCTTGACTCAGACTCACCCTAGTCGCTCGCTTCCACCACTACCTGCGGACCACCGCATTGCGCCGCCCTATTCGCCCACCCCAAGCCCGGTCCCCACTACCCACTACCCACTACCCACCCCCGACTGACCACGAACCTCACCTCCGCCCCTCTGCGGGCCATACACATAAGCGACCATGGACTACCTCCGCGCCGTGCAGAAACGACTCCCCTCCACCGAGCAAATGCCGACACTAAAAGCACTACAAAACCTCTCCCTCAAAGACGCAACCGCCCAAGTGCCCCAAAGATTATCCTTCTTCCGGAAACGGATCCGCATAAGAGGCAACAGCAAAGTCAGCGTCCCCCTATACCTCGTCCTCCTCTTTCCCGTCTTGGTATTACTCTTAATACTCCTCCTCTTCGTGCGACATCCCAACAACCCTGCTGGACGATTAATACCCGCGGGAGCACCACCGAGTATCCGCAAGATCAGCGAGAAGCATGATAAAGTCTTCGTGACGGGATGTCTAGACCCGAATGTACAAAAAGATGCGCCCCGGGCGAACGCGGCGTTTGTGGTGCTGGCGAGGAACAAAGAGTTGGACGGGGTGTTGGAGAGCATTAAGAGCGTGGAGCGGCATTTCAATCGCTGGTTCAACTACCCCTACGTCTTCCTCAACGACGGCGAATTCAACAGCACCTTCAAAGAGACCATCCTCAACCACACCTCGGGAACCGTAGAGTTCGGCCGCATAGGCCCCGAGCACTGGGGCTACCCCGAATGGACCGACATGAACGTAGCCAAAGAAGGCATCCGCAAGCAAGGCGACGCGGCCATCATGTACGGCGGCATGGAGTCTTACCACCACATGTGCCGCTTCTACTCCGGCTTCTTCTACAAGCACGAACTGCTGCAGAAATACGAATGGTACTGGCGCGTGGAACCCGAAATCAAATACTTCTGCGACATCACCTACGACCCCTTCCTCCACATGGCCCGCTCGAACAAAACCTACGGCTTCACCATTGCGGTGAAGGAGCTGAAGGAGACGGTGCCGAATATCTTCCGCTACGCCAGCGCCTTCAAACGCACACACAACCTCACCTCCCAGGGCCTCTGGGAAATGTTCGTCGAGCCCAAAGAAGGGTTCAATCAAGACGGGACGGCGAAAAAGGATGCGAAACTCGAGGATCTTCCTAAAGATGACCCCAAGTATGCGGATCGACAGAAGCCTTTGCCGGAGGATATTTTGCGGACGGAACCGGGGGCGGGCACGATCCCGGAGATTGATCCCGAGGCGATGGAGGGGGAGGTGTATAATATGTGTCATTTCTGGTCGAATTTCGAGATTGCCCGGTTGGATTTCTTTCGCAGTCGGTTGTATGAGGAGTTTTTCGAGATGATGGATCGGAGTGGGGGGTTTTGGATGGAGCGGGTGAGTCTTTCTATATATCTTCCCCCATTGGAAAACTCAATGCTGGGTTTGAGAATTTGAATCTGCATTTGCTGACTTGATGGGTTTGGTGTGATGCTTAGTGGGGCGATGCACCCATCCACTCCCTCGCCGCCGGCGCCCTCTTATCCCCGGCGGATATCCACTACTTCCGCGACTTCGGCTACCGCCACACCACCATCCAACACTGCCCCGCCAACGCCCCGGCCCGTCAATTGCCACGGGAACCTTACTTGGAGCAGACTACTCTCCATTCTTTCAAGGATCGGGGTGCCGGGGAGAAGGCTATGAGGGAGGAGGATGAGTATTGGGCTAAATGGGATGGGGAGAAGGAGAATGGAGTGGGTTGTCGGTGTAGGTGTGATACGGATGTGGTGGATGTGGAGGGGAAGGAGGGGAGTTGTATTCCCGAGTGGGTGGAGATTGCGGGGGGGTTTGTTACGCCTAAGGGGCGGGAGTAGTGGCGGGGATATATATATAAGGGGGAGGGGGTTAATGTGTGTTGAGTGTGCGTGGAGGCAAGGGGGTTGTAGATACTTTGTCCATTGTCGAGCTGGGATGGGGAGAAGGGTTGGTAGCGTTTACGCATAGCATATCATCTGGAGTCCGTCCGGTTCTGATTTGATTTACCTGTGGAGTAGTTCAGCGTCGTACGCATCTTCCAACTCTCCGCAACTTTGCCATCCAACCACTCTCCCCAGGCCGGGACTCGCTTGTTACCTTATCACTCATCTGATCCCCACCCCCAGTCCCAACCTCTTACTCGTGCCATTGACTTAGGTAAGATCTCTGAACAAGTAGATTATGATTGACTTGACTTATATATCTCCATCTTCAGTCGTGGAAAAACCAACTCGGGTGACTTTTCATCTGAAATATCTACCGTGTCCCCGTTCCCACCGCCACGTCCTTACACACGAGCCATCTCTTCTTCTTCTTCTTCCCCGTCATCCTCGTTATCACCCGCCCCCCCCCTCTCACCTTTAACGACTCGAGTCCTTCAGACTTCCCTCGCGGAGAGCAGTGGATCATCAGCACCCATGTACCGTTTTTGCAACCCCCAGCACCCTAAGACACTCAGAATTCTAAAATGCGTACAGAGCGCCGGTGATCGCACCCCGCGTCACGGGAAATCCTGCCCCGACTGCAATATCCCTGACGGCGCTTGTGTGTGTGTGTGGCTTGAAGACTCGTGCGCGCAGTATGGTCGATGGGTAGGAGTTTCCGCACCAATTCGCGGGGCCCTTTTCGTTGATACTCTGGTGGTAAGTGAGGAGGTGAGTAGGCTGCTTTTTTGAGTATATCTCGGGTCATTGACAGGGCGACTTTCTGTACTGGAGATAGAGAGCGTTGGATCTTTCCGTCCCCATGAAAACCGAGCATTGGTAGCCATCGTGGACGACCCACTTGCAAGCTTCGTCTGGGGCCAACCACAAATCAATGCGATGATAGAACCCTGCTCTATACATCCCCAGCCCCACCCACCACCTTCTCCCTCCCCACCCTCTTCCCCCCCACTGTCCTCCCCCTCCCCTTCTCCCACTGCACCAACTGCTCCCCCGCCCCCAAATCCCCCTCATGCTCCACAAACATCCACTCCAACGCATCCCTTTCCACCACCACCCTCCCCATCTCCAACAAATCCTTCACATCCACCTCCACCACCTCCAACGCCCGGCCCTCGCGTCCCATACCCTCCGCCTCGAAAGCCGCGAACAGCATCTCTCGTCGCTCCAGTGTGATGAAGAGTGTACGGCCGTGCTGGTGGCCTAGTTTATTATGCGTGAGGAAGTCCCGGAGGTAGCGGTCCGCACTATTTTCATGCACGTCCGTTAACTCGGCAAGATCCTCCACGCAGATCAATTCCCCCTGCTTATACCGCCAACTCAGCGCCGTGCGCCACGCCAAATCATACACCTTCCTCTGCAACCTCGTACTGAAATCCCTCGGCCGCGGTCCAAAAGCCACCCCGCCTCCTCTTAGCATGGGACTTTTCTTGTCCCCTAAGCGCGCGGAACCCGTGCCCTTTTGCGGTCGGACTTTGCGGTTGGAGCCGTGGATCTCGTAGCGGGTTTTGGTGTTGGCGGTGCCTTGGCGGGTGGCGTCGCCTTCGTAGACGATGGCGCGGTGGAGGATGTCTTTTCGGAGGGGGAGGAGGAGGTGTGTCGACGGGTAGGTGGCGAGGGAGGTGGGTTCGAGGGAGGGGAAGGCGTGGGTGGTTAGGGTGGCTGTGCGGGCGAAGGGGTTTTTTTGTTGTTGGGGGTGGAATCTGGTTGGTTGGGGGAGTTTTGATGGTGGTGGTGGGATGGTTGGGCGGTCTTGTAGCGTGGCGGCTGTTGAGGTAGAGGCGAGCTGGGCATCCGCGTAGGCTTGCGCGATGGTTGCATTAGGTGAAGTGGTTGTTGTTTGCGTGGTTAGACTGCGAACGAAACATTGTCGCGTGTGGGCCGTCCATCTATTGCTATTACTACTGCTGTTGATGAGAGTATCTGCCGTTGTCTTTAGTCGTTTGGCTGACATTTCGGTGCTATGTCACGAGATGGTGATTATTGCGAAGTGAATGGATATTGTGCATCTCGGGGGTGAAGTCGTGACTCGTGAACACCGCAAAATGTTCGGGGGAGAGCAGGACAGCATCACTGTGATATTCAGGTCATCATTCTTCAATATCATGGCTATGGACAAGATGGCACGACCACTCACGCAATGCCTTCAATGCTCCCGTCACACCCACAAAGCATTGCACATCCGCACCTTCTCTACCACACCGCCCTCACGTCTCGAAGTCGAGCAGCAGACACCACCACCACCACCCCCCAATGATGCCCCTCCACCCGCCCAACAACAACAACAGCAACGAGATCCCTACACCGTCTCCACCCGCCATGCCGAGACTCAACTCCTCCATCACCAACGCCGCGTCCCCATCGGTTCCCGCCGCCGCCGCGCAGCCATGGCTTCCACAACCCAAATCCCCTTCTCGCAACTCCCCTACCAATGCTTCCAGGAAGCACGTGCGTATCTGAAAGAAGACAGGGATGAGAAGCTGGGCGCGATCCAGCAGCAGCGGGAACGTATCGAGCGACTGAGGCAGAAGAGTGTGCCGCCGGAGTATGCATGGAGGCATGAGAATCGGGTGCGGAGCATGCTGACTTCATTGGAGGAATTGAAGATCCAGGCCGATATTAATGATCCGATTGTGAAGAAGACATTTGAGGATGGGCAGGGTGAGACAACACCATCCCACTATGATCTACATGTCTGTGTGGACGACTCTTTACTGATTGAATATGATTGAATTGGCAGGCGACATGTCGAAACCCATCTACCGCCACCTAGCCGACAAACAATGGCGCGCCTACAAACGCCTGATCCTCATGCAACGCATCACGCAAATGAACGTCATCCCCGACGTCCTCCCCACCATCGACCCCACCGTCTCCACCGACCTCGCCTTCCCCATCATGAAACCCAGCTCCATCGACAACACCCCGCGACTCCCCCGCCTCAAACGCATCCAGCACGGTGACTTCGTCGACTCGGCCCTGAGCGAGAACGCACCGACCCTGTACATCCAACCCTACGACAAAGGCACGAGACTCGTCACTATCGCGGTCGTGAACGCGGACGTGCCGAATGTGGAAAAGGACGGCTTCGACTACCGCTGTCATTTCCTCGCCGTCAACATCCCGATAAGTCCGACGGATACGAGGGTGCAGCTCGGTCAGCTAGGTGACGATCAGGTCGTCTTGCCATGGTTGCCCGCTTGGGCGCAGAAGGGTGCTCCGTACCAACGCATGAGCGTGTTTATTTTACAACAAGCGCAACAATCACGATCACAATCACAAGCACAAGCACAATCACAACCACAATCACAATCACAATCACCATCCGTCAACACCGCCACGGACTCTACATCGCCTGGCATCCCCCTCGACGCCGCAGCTATTCGAGACGAACCCAAATACTCCACCCGCCTCGGCTTCAAACTCCGAAGTCTAGTCGACCGTTTCGCCCTGCAGCCTGTGGGCGTGGATCTCTTCCGCACGAAATGGGATGGTAGTATGGAGGGGGTGATGCAGAGGGCTGGGATCGTGGGATGGGATGTTGAGTTTAAGCGAAAGAGGATTGAGCCGTTGCCTTATGCTAGGAAGGAGGGGGGGCGGTACCGGTAGTATTATTTTTCATTTTTTCAAGCGCGAGTAGGCGAGAGGATGGGTGGGCTGGGGGATGGGATGGAAGTGAGATGGCTTAGGGGATTGGGGGAAGAGTATTGAACTGCTCTCTATGTATATTATACGTGTACGCGTCCCCCAGTAACACCCATCATTTTTCCACCGAAGCAAACTTCACACTGTCGGTACATCCTGCATCATTGTTGTGAGCGTTTTGTGGTAGCACGAATCGATCGGCCTCGTGGCTCCGACTCGTTTTCCTGATCAGATGCCTCCATGAAACGACCTTTCTCGCCATCATTCGAGCTGCTTTTACGGAGCAAGAAGCACCTCACTTGCGGCACGCTGCCCGCGGAAGACGAGATTCCTCGACTCGATCTACGGACCCCATTAGCGTTGGCCCGAGGTGGGAAGCATCTCGCCTAGTGTCTCGATATCTACAAACGGACTTGCACACTCCTGGACGCCCCCGTACAGTCGGCTGACCTGGATGGATTGCCTGTCCCCACTGTCTGCTCTCGGGGACGGTCTGGTCCTTCCCTTCTAAAGAGCAGCGGGTCACTACCTCGATTGAACTCCACACCGATTACGGTAGGCAATGCCTTGTCAGATGTGGCAGGGAAAGTGGAAAGTCCAAGGTTTGATTTCGTCCGATGCGCTAGGTCGGCGCTGGTTGAGGTATATTCTGGCCTTCGAGAGTGGGAGGTACGCCGCTTCTTCCGGCTGGACATCGTATCCTTTTGATGCGTGCTCTGGTCAGTGGAGTGAAGAGCCGCCGAAAGAAATGCGTTGACTTGGCCTCAGAGCTCATATACGTCAAGAATGAGGACATGGCATGGCGGTCGGGGAATTCCATGCCAGTATAAAGGGCTTGGCGACTTATCCTGGGCAAGCGTTCAGTATCAGCATCGTCCCGCTGTCTGATGAAGTTGTGGTGGAGGCTCGACCGGGCTACGCGGGCGGACCAGTACGGGAAATATACCAGATAGCGAGTGGAATCCGGTACGGCTCTATCTCGATCAGATGCATTGGCCTCCGGATTAGTCTTGAACGGTCGACGACAAAGAGGACACACCATCATCAATTCTCGCGATATTTCTGTGGGATCTTCTTAGCAGGCGCTGTTGGCACCACGAAGGCCTGCGACGCATCCGGTATCCACACGCGCATGAATTCCAGCAGCGCGTTCATCTGACTCGGCCTGATACGGACGGCGACGTGCCCGTCCGGTCGAACGAGATAGATGGTTGGCCGGAAAACACCGTACACCCGGTGAGCTACCTCGTCCAGATCGTAGAGGACTTGGAAATGCGAGACCGTCGCCGCTTGTGTGGAAATGATGAAAGCTGCCAATGGCGTTTCGGGGAGCATCTGTAATGCAGAGAGGACCTGCTGGTTTCCGTTGTAAGATGCTCTCCCGGTGAAGGCAAGCAAGGTCCAACCACCTCGATAGATGATGTCGTAGATATTGATGGTAGCTGTGCCATCGACGACTGCCGCGTCCAACGCACGATCGCCGGCTCGCACTCCCGAGCTCCGTTGTTTTTCTATCGAGAGGGAGCTAGAACGAACGTTGATGGTGAGTTCACTGAAAGCTTTTGCCATTGCGAATTCCCCTCCCGCATTCAGCAGGGGCTCGGCAAACCATCTGAATGCCAATTGCATTAGATACGGTGTATATAGAGTGGTATATTTCAGGCTGTTGTACTGCGCAACTTGCAGTGTCTTCCGTAGAGCATGCCGTTCTTCATCATAAGTAGCAAGTAAGGCCGTTGGCGCACTGTGCTTATAGACAGCTGCGAGCTTCCATCCCAGGTTGAATGCATCACCAATACCTGTGTTCATGCCTTGACCACCATTCGGAAGAATGGGATTGCTGACATCGCCCGCAAGAATGATCCTGCCGTCGATCATTCCAGGCCCAATACCCATGGATAGATCAGTATAGCTGAACCACTGCGGAAGGCTGAGCTGGACACTGTCATCTCCAGAGACTTGGCGCAATTCCGTCTGCATTTCGTTCAGTGTTGGGTCACGCTGCGGGAAGTCCTCCTTTGGTTGGACGAAGAGGATCCTCCATGTTTGCTCAGGCAGTGGGATGATTGCTGCAAAGCCGCGGTCGAAGTAAAGAAGCCACATTTGCTCGGCAGTCTCCAGACGCTTCCACTTGAGATGGCAGTCAATCTGGCGTATACCGACCCCGGTCTTTGTCGTTTGAAAATCGAGCTTGGTCCACGTTTTCGTAACGCCAGCGTACCCATCACAGCCGACCACATAGCTGAAAGCACCCTGCTCCTCTTCGTTACCGCACATCAGCTTCGCCACAACAGAGTCACTGCCTTGTGTCAGACCAGACAGCTTGGTTGTGAATTCGATCTCGATTCCTCTGCTCTCAAGGTCTTCTGCCAGTATACGCTCGTAATTATGCTGACCACAGAGCAAAACTTTGTGGAAGGGCGTTTCTTTCAGATACATAGTCCTTGGACCAAAACACGTTCCGTAGGCTAGTACCATCAACCGGCTCATATGGCCGCTGACCGCCTCCAACTGTCGCTGCAGTCCGAGAGCAAACATAACTTCCTGATTCCGCTGCATAAGATTCGTTGCTTTGGTCCACTTTGATAAAGCCGGTTTCTTTTCGATAATTCGGAAAGGTACTCCGTAGCGAGCGAGCAGGCTGGCAAGAGTTAGTCCTGTTGGACCGGCACCTACAATGAGGACTGGTAGCGCCTTCGCTTTCGAGTCTGGAAGGAAGATTCTGCGGTCTTGCAAAGGGCGCCGTGCTTGGAATGACTGCCATAATATTATGATCGTGGTGACCAGCGCAAGTGCGGATGCGATTGAGATTGATGTAGGGTGCGATGCTCCCAATCGCAGCAACTCGTTGTATAGGTCGAGATATCCCATCGTTGCGGTCATGTCAGCGCAAACTCATGGTTATGGACCTGCAACTTGCAGTTCAGAGCACATCGAAGCCATACGAAAGGGGGGGGAGGGCCTAGGCCTTCGCTATCAAGGCGATGATTCAGCCACATACGGAAGCAGCTAACTCCACTGAATGATGACGGTATTGATGATTACATTGATAAATAGAGGTCAAGTGAATAGAGCATGAAACCCCAGATGGAAGCAAAATGAGATTCATACTTGAAGCAGAGGACTCTGCATGACCTTGTTATTCTTTGTTACAGTCGCGTCGTTATTCGATCCCGACCACTTTTAGTGTGTGCCATTGTCGGAAACCGTTGGCTTGCGTTTGAACGTAGCTAAAAAGATATTGGGGTTTGTGCTACTTTAGCAGTCCTTATATGCTCTGGGATCATCCACTCTTTGTTCCTATTCGTATTGCGTGTTAAAGCCGATCCTCTACAAGCCTCGCATATGCGAAGCGGCCACTACGTGATCACGATGCAATGGCCAGACTTGTACTTGCGCATCAAGGCCTTGCAGAAGTCCGCATGGCACTAGGTCTAGCAGCAGACCTAGGTGACATGCCTCGATAGCGTCAACGTAGAAGAAGCTATGGTAAGTTGGAAGGGGTGACTAGGCCGCGAGTACTCCCGCAGTGCTGGAGTTTCTTCAAGCTGCTCAACATACTTTTGATAGATACATCAACCATCTCACCACACTTTGAGTTGTGGAGTTGACTGCAGATCGAGGACGCGGTTCAATTCTATGCTTTTATTTTACTCTATAAAATCGACCTCAGCCTGAACAAATTTCGCCGGATCACTTTCACTCGTTACTTCCACAGGTCCCTTAGCACCCTCAGGCGGTAGCGCCCAAGCAGGTAACGGCGTCTCATAGCCCCATCTCCCATCCGCATCAGCATACTTCTTCGCATGAAGATAAATCCCCAGCTCATGAGGACCGGGGTCGGAATACAACGGCGTGTCACAAATCTCACACAACTCTCCTGTCATTTTCTCCGCTTTCTTGGCATTGTAGTCAGCCACCATTTCGTCTTCGTAGGCGACCGCTTCGGCGATTTCATCTTTGCCCATGCGGGCTAGGCGGGTCATTATGTCTTCGTCGTCATCTGAGGTGCTTACGGAGTGGCCTAGAGCGGAGCCGAAGACGCGGCGATTGGCGTAAATGGGGTCGTTACTTATAGGGTGACCAAGGAATTGGAGATGGACGCGAAGTTGGTGGGTGCGGCCTGTAAGGGGGAGGCAGCGGACGATGGAGTAGCCTTGTTTGGAAGGACCTTCTTCTATGTCGGTGTTCGGCTGTGGAGGTTTGGGTGGATAGTACGCCAGTCGCTTGAACACAGTCTTGGCTTGTTTGCCATTCGCACGAACTCTGTTCAGCCCCAGTTTCGGCGAGATCTGCAGGATCGGCTGCTCGCAAACCACATCCTCGGCTGGGAACTCCCCTCTCACCCTTGCCACATACTCCTTCCTCACCGTCCTGCCCATCAGCTGTTCCGTGAGCGCCTCCGCAGCCTTCTTATGCTTGCCGATAAACATGACCCCACTCGTCAGTCGATCCAGGCGGTTACAAGGAAGTGGGTTCCATTGGTGGCCCCTCTGCGCACGCATAATTTCCACCACGCTGTTGTAATTGTAGCGGCCTGCAGGGTGAACAGGTACACCGGCAGGCTTATTGATGACGATCATATCGTCGTCTTCATGTACGATACCGATGGGCTGGGCTGTCACGGGCGGCTCATGGCGATGCAGAGTATGACTTATCACATCGCCGTTCTTGACGTGAGCGATGCGGGTGGACGATTGACCGTTGACTTGGATCTTGCCCGTATCTATGGCATCTTTCTGGACGTGTCAGTCAGATAATTACAATATCCTATCGCCGACTGCAAGCATACATAATACTCCTCCGGCCGGTCACGAAACTCCTCGCGAAAGATGTCCAACAACTCTCTCCCCCGCCATCGCTCTTTTACGTTTGTGTTGTATGTAAAGTGGTATGGCGCAACTCTGCGGAGATTGTCTTCGAGGTAGTAGGGTCGAGGCCATGGGTCGCAGGGTGTGGTTATCACATCAGGTGGAGGAGCGAGGGATTTCGTGGATTGGACGGGAGGCTCGACGGTCGTCAGTGCCATGGCGGAAGCAGGAATGCGACCCCGGCGCAAGAGGTGTGCGAGCACACGGGGCGATGGCGCCAGAGCTGATGGGGTGGAGGATGCAAAATATGCGAATGGCAACAGAATGTCAAGGCTGCATATACGTGTGCTTCAAGTCAGAAGTCTAGGTTGAAAGCTTAAATTTATGCTTCTTTGCCATGCTTTGAGGGGATGACTGTCCTTTACTGTACTCCTACACCACGAAAACCCGAAGCCGTGACGATTTGCACAGTGTTAGCTGGAAAGCAACTGTCGTCTCGACGTGTCTTCGTTTATGCGTGAGCGCCATGGTGATGATGGTCCTTGCTCGGCCTTGAAACGCCTGCAGACACGTCTATCAGCATGCCCGTACAACAACAACTTCACGCGGGCTCCAACAATACAAGATGACGTACCTAATGTAGGATGGACAAGCAACTCATCCTCGAAGATATCGAATCTCCTCCCCTTCGCCCACGCATCTATGGCTTCGAAGTTCTTGCATTCGTGCCAGCCTTGAAACACTGGGGAGGGATCGGTGTTGTTGGGTACCCATTCGAAGCCAATCAATGTAACGTCGGCTTTGCACGTGACTTCCTGACGGAGCTGGTCGATGCAGTGGTCTAGTTGCGGGTCGTCAGTGATATGTTGCGTGGGTGATGGTGGGTGCTTTCGGCGAGATGAGTGAGCTGCGTACCTATGTGGAACAACCCCATGGTAGGATCACGTTCGTACTCGTCTTCATAGATGTGTTGTCTGATTGCTTTCTAAAGAGTACCCAAGAGTCAGCTGAGCAAAGAATCATTACTTCTAATTTCCTGCAACAAGCTTACCAAACAATGCAAGAGATGATACACCTCTACGTCCCTCGCCACCATTATTAGCATAATGTCGAGGAGAAACCGAAAGCTACTCAATCCCGATCTACCACCGAACTATCCTATAGGAGGACAACTTACCGGGTACCCCATACCACCCACTCCCATCCGCCAGCTCCACGGACGTCTTATTCGCCTTCTCCAATTCCTCCTTCGTTACACGAATATTCTGGTTCTCGAAAAGGCCATGCCAAGCTCGATCTAGTCTGGGACTTCGGGATCCTTTATAGATGTTCGTGGCGCCGAAGGAGGCGTCGATGAACTTAGCTTGGGGTTGTAGAGCGACTTGTGCGGGCGCTGTTGTACGATTGATTGTGTCAGAACTTGTTTCATTGCTCTTGCTAATCCCGGGACTGGACGTGGTCATGTTTGGACAGGGGTGCTCACAATACAGTCCTAGGTCTGCAGTCGCTCTTCTCGAACGCCATTGAGCAAGATTCGTAGCGCTCAGGACGATGTTGACCATCAACAGTACCACCAATCCAGTCAACGCCACTTTCACTCTAGGCGTGGCCTGACGATGCCGTGCTTGTCTCTGTAAAGACTCGTCAAGCCATCTCTGATTACTCTCGTCACTTGTGCGGTGGGTGAGGAGAGCTTCCGAGTCATCGGGGGAATGCTCAATCTTGGTATAGGAGGATTTCATGATGGTGGGACTTCCTGCAGTATACAATCCAGATTGACTTGTCGGCCAAATGCTGTGGATGTTTTGCTGCTGCACAATTCTCTCAAGGTGTAATACAGACTGCCAACAATCAGCGAGAACGAAAATGTAGACCGCAAGAGCAACAACAGTTACAGGACATGACAGTGCTCAGGAGCATGACTATAAACCCACTATAGTCTAGTCAAGGCATGTTAACGGTAACAACTTGATGCTCGGAATGCTGTATAGCAGGCTTCTTCGGACACGAAGTCAGTACAGTCATACTAACGACCTTACAGTCAGTGTTGCGCTACTTAGTCTTGGCAAGCAACTCGAATGTGGCATTCAGCAGAGTAATGATGGTTGTGTGGCTGCAAAATTCCAGATCAGACCGCGGGAGGCTCGAGCCCTATCTGTGAGACTGTTGAGACGGCCACTGAGGCACAAGAAATTGGAAAGCCCGTTATGTTGAATGCTCTGGAGATAATTATGGACACCTACAGGAACCCGGCGGCACATCGAGCAAGCCACTCTGCGAGGCGATTAAAGCCGGCAAGGTCTCTTGACCGAAAAATCTGAGCTCCGTGGGATCGACCAGACAGTTACAGAGCGTCCAGACGAGACCAGAGCCTCCCGGTGTGTGACTGTCCAGGCTCCACTAGTCATATCCGAGGCCAGCAAGCATTGTCGGTACTCAGACTCGCAGCGACGACACAGCTGACTGCTCTTGCGACTGTATGCTCCGGAACTCAAAGCATATATCCTCGATGACTACCCAAGTAACAACCGATCGCCAGGAACATCACCAAGAACAACATCAGGATACAATCAAACTCGACTTTTGACGACCATGCACGCCACTACAATCGCCGCCGCTCTCTTGAGCATCGCTTCATTCACTCTGGGGGCTGCCATTCCTCGTAAGCTGCAAATCTCCTCTCACTCGCTTGAGTTTTGGAGGTCAGGCTGATAGATGGAATGAAGACAAGATCTTGCCTGATGCGGACCAGTACAATTATGTCGACGTGGCCAAGCGGGTCGCTCCCGACGCTGACGAGTACAATTATGTTGATGTGGCGAAGAGGGTCGCTCCTGATGCTGAAGAGTACAATTACGTCGATGTGGCCAAACGTGTGGCCCCAGACGCGGATGAGTACGACCACGTTGATGTCGCAGAGAGGGTGGCACCAGATGCGGATGACTACAACTACCTTGACGTAGCCAAGCGCGTGGCCCCGGACGCCGACGAGTACAACTATGTCGACGTAGCTAAGCGTGTGGCCCCAGACGCGGATGAGTACAACTACGTTGATGTCGCAAAGGGGGTTGCACTAGATGCGGAGGAGTACAACTACGTTGATGTGGCGAAGAGGGCTTCCGATGCAGATGCAGTCTACTGAATCGTTCCGGGAGGCTCTCGGGAGGCAGGGAAGAAGACCAGAGGTCTATGTCGAGCACGGAAGGGTCTGTGGTGTGAGTTGAGGTATACAGTATGTTGTTCGCAAGCATCCTGTACGCCGAGATAGTGCGATGAATATCAGAGCAACGCTCCTCTGCATGATTTCTGGATCACATTTCTCCATCTCAACGACCTCTCCGATACCATCGCCATTCTGGAGTCATCACAGTAGTCTTCCGTCATTCTCGAAGCCGAGTTGTCTTGCTTACACCATGCTCGCCTTGAACGGATTAGGTCGTTTGTACTTGGAAGGACCTTGACAGACGCCAGTGGACTGTGTCTACCATGCTCTCCAGGCAGTTCATGTGACCATCTTTGTCGAATTGTGACGCCCTAACGCCTAGATTCGTGGGATTTTAAATTTCACAATGATTTACCTGCTCTAGACTAGAGTTACTAGTGTGAAGCTTATGTGTTCTAGCGCCGGCAACGCCAAATGTTTTTAGATCGCCATCCGTATGAACACCTTCGACCAGGAACTATCTTCATAATGTTAGTGCAAGTCACTACCCTCACGGAAGCGGATATCTCTGGAGCCGTAACTTGTATCCAGCAGGCTTTCAAGGACGATCCGTACAACCACTGGGTGTTCGACAAAGACAATTTCTCCTTTGAGCGAAATGCCGTCTCCCTTGCCATTAGATGCAGATGGGGCATGAGCCATGCTCTCTTCCATGTGGCCAAAGATAATGACGATCCAACCGGTGAAGTCCTGGGTGTGGCGTGCTGGCTCCCTCCGCGCTCCTCGCAGACGGCGTTGATTTGGCATGACTGGGCGGGCGACTGGTGGCTATGGTTCTCTCAGGTCCGAATGAATATGTGGTACGGCCGGGGTGGACTGAACGTTCAGCGCTACTGGATCTGGAAAGCGCGACAGGCTGAGGCACAAGAACAACTCTGGACTGATGCAAAAGGATACTATTTCTGCAACATCGTGACTGTGCTACCAAAAGCGCAAGGCAGAGGTATTGGGAAGCTGCTCTTCAAGCATGTTATTGATCAGGCTGATCGCGAGGGCGTGAAGTGCTATCTGGAGAGCAGCCGTGCCGTGCCCAACATGGCTATCTATGAGAAAATGGGATTTGACATGGCGAGGGAGATGGAATGTGCTGATGATGGGACTGCGATTACGCTCTATTGTATGATGCGCGAGCCGAAGTTGAGCTGAGTCCTCATTGACCACTACGGCGGTAACTGATATGCTGAGGCCTGCACTGTCGATATACTGACAAGCGGACAATTTTCACGGTGCATAATGCATTGGAAGATGTGAAGATGTGAAGAAGTGAGGACGACACGTAAAACTGACCTGCTGCTGCTTTAGTCTGGTATGGTGTAAGGTCAAGCCACGCAATCTCATATCAACAAGCTCACTAATCTAGACCAGGATTCCGTCTCTACTCTATCGACAAGAAGACAATAGCGAGCCCTGCGATCGCAGCGCCGGGCAACGCGTGAAATACGGCGCCCTTCGTCCTCCCGGAATGATAAATAAAGAAGCCATCGGTACCTGCAACGAGGAACCCCATTATAGCAAGCACAGTCGCGACTTCCGTCCACTTGTTTTGGTAGGCGAAGACGAGTAGAATGATGCCCGTAAAGAGCTGTCGGACGGACATCAGGCTTATGTAGGATAATGTAGTGTCCTGGGATTGCTTCTCCGGTCCCGAAGCAGCGGTGAATGACTTCCCAATATTGCTATAGTCAAAGGGCAGACCAAAAGAGGTCGCGAAGCCAACAGGGTCGAAGATGCCTTGAGCGCCTGTGAAGATGGAGAGGACAGCGAAGATGACGGCTGTGGCCGTGAAGACTGGTGGTAGATATTCGAGCATGGTGTACTGTATTGTGCCGAGCTTCTAGCTGTGCCACTTCATGACTTTGCATCGTCGAATAGAACAGGCGCGGAGCCATTCCGCAGGCACCAACAGGCAACAATGGCCGACCATACATACAGTCGCTGCTCCATGTCTCTGAAGCATGACAGTATGGAACGGTCGTGTGAAGTACAGTATAGCAGAAGAGGCGATGCTCCTTTCATCGGGAGATAAGACTGCTCCAAAGCTTGAGGCATGACAGCGGCAACCCACCCTCGGGTCGCATTGATATCAGGCCCGCTCGAGGTGTCCCACGAGTACTTCAAGCACTACTACGAGCCTCGCATCACCAAGGCAATTGCCGCGGACGACCACTTTGTCGTCGGACCAGTGAGTGGCATCGATGCACTGGCCCTCGATCATCTCCTCGATACAGCTCATGTTCCCCCCTCTCGTATCAGCGTTCACATGGCCGGCTTCGAAGCTCTCTCTCGCCCAGTGTTCGTCAAAAAGTTGGAAAGCAGAGGTGTCCAGGTCGTGAACGTCAGTGAGGCAACGACGACATGGGACCGCGATGCAGCCATGACACGAGCAAGCGATTATGATATCCTCCGCTACCGCACGGAGTGGGAGCAGCAGGCTATCTACGGACACCGATGGAGAGCGCGGGTAAGTAACACCGAGAGGAACGAGCGAAGGGGTCACGATTCGCGGCGGGAAACCTGAGTGGTGAAGAAGAGGTGTAGGTGGAGTATGTCAAGCATTTGGATTCCCCTGTTGATCCGGCGGGGAGGTCCATCTCCAATTTACCTTCCAGGATTTGCGATAGCACATGTGATGGGCATCGCGATGTTATCTACCCAACCGACAGCCAAACGGTCTTCGGCTTCGGTACTGATGGACTGACAGTTTCGTGACCTCGCACTTCGTCACAGGCAGTGCCGAAGCACTATAACTCCTTGGAAGCATGGGCATGACTCGCGCTTATGCGGTCGGAAGAACACTCTACCAGAGAGCAGTGCCGACATATCATTGAAAGTAACCTGGCACATCTCCATATTCATGATGCATGCATACAGCCATATAGCCGGGTGCGGGGAGTGTGTTGCGGGGCATCAAAGACCGCAGATCTATTCCACCCCATGGCTTGATATTCGGCTGCAACCTCAGGAGGATGAAGATAGAGCCGGAGCCATGCCTACAACTGTGAAAACTTCCTGTTCCCAATGATGCTAAACGACCCGGACCGTTCACGAACCACAGAGTCAAACACAACCATGCTGCCCTCACCCCGATGGAGTATCTTTCTTGCTATGGCCCAAGCACTGGCCCATCCACCATCATACCCAGGATCTGATGGACTCACCATACCAACCACGGCCGGACCAGTGACTGGCTTCGTGAATGATACCGCTCCTCAAGTTCGACAATGGCTCGGGATACCATACGCACAGCCACCTGTCGGAGACCTTCGTTTCGCACCACCTCAGAAGACCTCGTTCTCCTCTCATCCGATCAATGCCACAGCTTTTGCACCTTCATGCATGCAACAATACAGCAACGGCAGCACGATCTACACCGAAGTCCTCAACGAATTCCTGATCAATGGCGGCGACTCAGAGGACTGTCTCTACCTGAATGTCTGGGCCCCAGCAGCCACTGGCACCGGCAAAGGCACCTGGCCCGTGTTTGTCTACGCCCCTGGTGGCGGGTTCACAAGCGGCGGAGCGAATTCCCTCTACAAGATCCCGGACAAATGGGTCCAGCGCACCCAGAACCACGTTGTAGTCATAATGAACTATCGCGTCAACGTCTTTGGCTTCCCTAATGCTGCGGGCTTAGGGACACAGAACGTGGGCCTCTTAGATCAACGCGCCGTTATCGAGTGGACGAGGGACAATATTGCTGCGTTCGGTGGCGATCGGGAGAACATAATCTTCTGGGGCCAGTCCGCCGGCGGAGCCTCAGTCTCCCTATACACTTATGGCTACCCCCAGGATCCCATCGTCAAGGGCATATCTGCCGATTCTGGCTCTCCCAGTATCGCGGGAAGCGCAGATTACGCCAAAAGCAATTTCACTTTCCTCGCCGGACTTGTAGGATGCGGCAGTCTGACTTCAACAGCAGAGTTGAACTGTATGCGCCACAACATCACCGCTCGGGCGCTCGAGAACGTGTTGTCGCTATACCAGATTAGTCAACGCAAGCCAAGCATTTCCTTTGGGCCAGTGCCGGATGAGAAGACAGTGTTTAAGAACTACACGGAAAGGGCGATTAATGGGCAGATTGCGAAGATTGTGAGTATGCGCGGAAATTCGGCGTGATACCAAGCTCACTGCCATCTCAGCCCGCAATATTCGGCTCCAACGCAAACGAAGGGGCAGGCTTCGTGCCCTACACGCCTGGTGGCCCAGGGTCAAGCGCCCTCCTTAATATCACCAATAGTGTAATCGCCTGTCCAAGTGCGGCAGAGGTACAGTATGTTCGAAAGCCCATATTGCTTCCATTGGAACAAAACCAGCGTAGGTCGAATGCTGACCTTATCTAGACGACGCGAAATTGTGGGCTTGACGACCTACCGTTACCAATACTCCGGCGTATTCAACAACACCTCTCCTGTCGGATGGTTTGGGGCGTATCATAGCTGTAAGCTCACGCCTCCATGGTCACGACGACGGTATCAAAGGCTAATATCCTGACCAGCTGAACTGCCACTCCTCTTTGGTACGCACTACGAGTACCGCGGGAACAGCACACCCTACGAGTACGAAGTCAGTCATTTTACGGAAGGTAAGTCGTTCCTGCACCATAATACTCTAGCCATACCATCGTAACGATTGATACCTGACGACGTTGGATTCACAGCTCTATGGCTATCATTCGCGACCAACTCCAGCGCAAACCCGACCGCTACATTACCAAATGGTGAGATATTCTCCTGGCCGGCAACTACGACGAAAGATCAGGTATTGATCGAGATCGCGAATGGGACGAGTCTTGTCTCGGTAGAGAGCGCGGATATTATTGACCAGTATTGCTCTTGAACCCCATTGGAAAGCTAGCGCTCTCATTGAGCTTGAAGCGAATGCTTGGAGGCACAGGAGCCAAGGTAACCATCCACAACAACACAGAGATAAGACGGATCGAGTCAATGGAAGTCAACGCTCATTCACAACTCATCGCATGATTTCAATGCTGCAGACTCCCGGACGCCATTTCCCAAGCTTTTCAAGCTTCGTGCCAAAAGGCTTGCACCACGTGGGGTGCGAAGCTTCGTGCGACCCCACTTTGAGCTGCACTACTCTAGGTTGGTCTTGATAAGCGAGCCAGGAACTAAACATTCAGCTGGACCGCGCGACAGACTGCAGCTGGCGGCAAGGATGTGATCTGTCTCCAGTGATTGAGAATCATGCATGGCGTTGCCAAACGCAAGCCCAGAACATTGCATCAGCCAGCCACCACGGTGAGATATCCTACCTTTCCGCAATGCTGTCAAATACCTCTTCAACCCACGACTGTCGCAGACACAGTTGCCAATCGAACCGTCGTCTGTTGCTCACCCAAAACTTCTCCACCGTCCTCATCATATCCGATCGTCTGATTGTCGCCGCCCGCAGTCATGGGTGCCAATGCGTCTTGCTTGTCGTCTCCAGTATTTGGCTATGACATGGTTGTGGCGACCACCCAAGCCAGTATCAATTCGACACTGTTGGAGTGGCTATCGGAGTCGAACCAGCTAGCCCGCTATGTCTGGTTCACGAAAGACCCGAAGTCAAAGACCGGCCAATCCATGCACCAGGGCCATGTGTCTCCGCTGTTGATGCTGGCAGGTGGTATCAATCCGTTCGATATCCCAGACCAGACTCCTCCCACCGATCCGCGCATTGTAGCGCTGACTCAGGCTGGTTTTCTTGGAGCCATCAAGATGCAACTCGGTGTGCCATCTCAAGTCTTGCCTAAGGATGTCACAATCGTGAGCCTCGGGACCAGCGCATCGACTATCCAGTTCAACATGTATTGTTCACAGTTGTCAATCGTGCAGAATCTGTCAACTGCCTGGACTGTGTGGACGCAACCAGATGATGTTCCATGGACCGTCGGATCCACTGTTGGTCTCACAACGCAGGCGCTCGATCCCACACTAAATGTCCCCTACTTCAACAATGGTAGATCCAAGACCAGGGCTGCCATACTTGCTAGTTTGGGAAAGAACAAAGACCCATTCACTCTACAGCAACTTGTATTCGATTTCAGCAATGCCGTGCCGACACTGACCAACCCTGTCTTTTTGCCGGAGGGCTCATTCGCATCGCAGATGATCAATCAAGGCTTCATATCCTCCTACGTGGCTATTATCAGTCAGCTTGGCAGTCCGCCAGTCTCCATAAAAGCCATCTCGCCAACGACAGTCAACTCTTCGGCGCTTGCAATCACTAGTCTGGCCTGGGAAGTCAGTCCGCCTTTGGGTTTGGGCCCTAGTGCCCCCGGCTTTCAGGATGCCACTACTTTGAATTACCTTTGCGCGGTCAATGGCCACCAGCTGCCACCTGCAAAGCCCTTCAGCTGGACTTGGGTTCTGCCTGAGGACATCGACAACGAGAGCGGGATTATCGCCATCAATCGCAACCTCATCGCCAACTTCATCTTGCAGCAAATCTTACCACAGGCCATCCCGTGCTGCGTCAAATGCAGTTTCTCAACCACAGCTCATTGGCAAGGCGGAGCGAGCTACTACTGGACTCTATCCTCCAACCAGCAGCCGGAGATTGCCACGGTGACACCGAACGGACCCAATGTGATCCAGATCAAGTTTCAACCCAACTACGACGGGCACCTGGAATCTAGTGGGGCCGTATCTGTTGGGCTACAGATTCTGCCTACCTATACATGCGACGTGACCTTTGATAAAAACATCATCACGATCACTCAACACATGGCGTTCCGAGTCTACGTTCGTTACGACAGCTCGTCAGATACCTGCATGGTCGTTGATAAGACCATCACAGACGAATACACAATCTCTGTGGACCAGCAAGGCAGCTTGCAGACCAAAAGAAAAAGCCTCCCGCCGGTGGACAAGTCCGAGAGCCCACACAACAATGTGATACTGAATTGGTTCACAAATATCAACGATATGGTCAACGATATAAAGAAAACCGTCGCCCCATTAGCTGCTACTCAGCTAAAGCCTATCGAATTCGATCGTCTACAGAGCTTCATATTTCCTGGCGCAAGAGTTTTCACCTTCAAATCTGCGACATTCTCGGCAAATCAAGACCTCTTGTGCGAAATCACATATGTGGTCCCAGCTTCGGTGGCTGCTGCTAGTGGCCTTAAGAACGACAGTAAGACCACGCCGAAGATGCCGGTCAACCCGAAACAGTTGCCGGGACCTTCTGGACAGCCCCAAGTAGCACCTGGGTTTCCGATCCCAAGTCAGTCCCAGGCAGCATCTGGGCTTCCCGTACCGAATGGTACAGATTCTGGAGCAGCCAAAGGAAGCAGTGCGAATGCCGGTACAGGCCCTGTTCCGCCAAGCGATGGTACGGCACCGTCAAATGGCACATCGAGTGGCACTGCTAATCTCGGGTCCTACAGTCTCACCTATTCCTCAGAGTTGATACAAAATTACGTTCATGGAGAGCTGGTGTCGCCGCAGGCCAAGTTCGAGGCACTGCAGACGGCAGACGGCCACAGTCTACTTTTTGCCGTTAGCACTGCGGGTGTTCTCAACGTGATAGTGGAATCGAGCGGCACAAGCCAGACTGGCTGGAGCTGTATAGACCTGTCAACAGCAATTATTCAAAAACAGTTTTCAGGTGCAACGGTGAGAACTTTCGATGCCGGACAAAGTGCTCTTGATGGCACCATCGGTCTCGCGATGAGCGTGTCGTCCGCAGGCTCTGATCATCTTGTCGTCTGCTTGTCAAACTCGAACACCAATACCTCGTGGATAGCCCTGCCAAATTGGATATCCTGCCCCTTCGATGCACCAAATGAGAGCCGGACTTCCATCTCAATTGTAGGTGTGCTGTTCTCAGAGACGATCAGTAAGCAGCAGTACCTTATCGTCGACATTGACCGCGCCCTGGACTCCGCAGTCAAGGAGATCACACGTTATTATGTCAATCCTGCTAAGCCGGGCGGGACCTGCTGGGTGCGACACGACGTGCCTGTGGATATCCAGAGCGGCAACTACCAGAGTCTGACAGGTAGAAAGGTCGGAGCTCTTGTTGATGGAGTATATACGGCCGGTAAATCTGGCGCCTCAGCCCAATTGGTATATGTGCCAATCATCAACGCTTTTGGCAATGGACCGCCCGCGCCAACACGTTTGAGCTTACCCGGTGGGGTTGCCGTATCGGCGATGACTGTTGCGCGGAACGAGACGCCGGGTTCTTCTATGCATGGCCTGACGGATCTATACGCTATCGGAGGCTCTACCCTCTACTACTTCGACTCCGAAGCCCAGCGGAATGATGGCGGTGTTGCAAAGCCTGTGACGACAAATGCCATACTGAGTGGCACAAGTCAGCTTTTCGCTATGACCCATGATGGTGTAACGACCTTGTGGGGCAGGAACGGAAGCGGTGTTGTCTACTATACCACATCCTCCACTACGAAGATCTCTGTTCCTGGCTCATGGAGTAGCTTGAAGCCAGTACTGAGCGGCATTGAGAAGATCTCGCCATACATCAATCGCACCGACGGTGGCAATACGATATTCGCTGCCGGCGGGGGCAAGCTTCAGAGATTAATACAGGCCACGGCCACTGCGTCAAAGATGTGGCAAGCTCAGCCGATCACGCTGGCCGCAGAACCAATGCAGCCCTCGCTGGCCTTCAAGTCTTATACTACATCGCTCCAACTGCAAGGCCCAGACAGCGCTCCAGCACGAGGACTAAGCGTTACTCTTTCGGCCAAGTCTCGCGCCCCAGTGTACATCAACGGCCTGTACTACACTCTGGGTCCACGGGCAATCAACGTCCCCACCGACAATAACGGCTTGATGATCATTGTGGAAGCGATCACGAAGGTCCATGGGACGATAATTACTGTGACGGTGGACGGCGCAACTCCTGTATTGATAAATCCTATGGAAAAGACGTTCAAGAAGCTTGCCGCGCTGAACACCAGGGATGCACTCAATGCAGCGACTATCCCGCAAGGGACCAAAGCTGGTGGGGTCGTGGGAGGCGCGCAGTCCAAGCCTTTCGTATCACCCGGAGTCTCGAAAGACGATGTCGGCGTAGCTGCCAGCAGCATGTCCACTTTGAACCAAGCTTACGATGGTCTGAACACGGTGAAGGTAACATCGCAGAAAATGGTCCAATCAAAGCTTGCTATTCCTACCAAGTCCCTGATGTCCACAAGCAGCATCGAGATCGGGCCAGGTGACTTGTTGCAAATGGCTGCGGCCGGAGTCGAAGGGGCTTTCGATAAAGCCATTCAGATATTCCACGATGCGGCCACGGACGCGTGGACCTTTGTCGCAAACATAGCTGGCCAAGCCTATTATGCTATCTTGGACTCGGTTGAGACGGTGGTGGGTGCGGTCGAGTGGGTGTTCAACAAAATCAAGACCATCATCGATGACATCCTGCTCTTTCTTGAGCTTCTCCTGTCATGGGATGATATTCGCCGGACAAAGGACGTCATGTGTGGCATGACCAAGCTCTACATGCGTGATGCTGTCTCCAGCTTAACGGAACTCCAGACCCTCTTCGATGGCAAAGTTGCAGATCTTGAAAGTCAGATCAACAGTTGGAGTGGTATTAAGCAGTGGCCAAGCCTTGGATCATCGGGTACAAAACCCATCGGCTCTAGCTCTTCAGGCGGGTTACAGAATTTGACCACTACTGGGCACATGTTCATAGGCCATCTCAACGATAACGCTGGATCCATGAGCACACAGTTTGGTACAGCCATGACCGCGGCTCAGGGTATATTGCGGGACCTAGCCAAAGCCGTCGAACAAGAAGGCGAAGTGTTCCAGGCTGTTGGCCAGCAGATCCAGACCCTGGCCAGCGAAATCACAACGATGAGCGCTGAGGATGTGCTAAAGCGGATAATAGGTATCGTGACGGACGGAGTCCTTTCAAGTGTGCAAGTCGTGGTAGACTGCCTGTTGAAAGTTCTGAGCGAGCTCTCAAGCGCCATCGTAGATTTCCTGGACACACCAGTCCACATCCCGGTCATTTCCGATATCCTCAATGCACTGGATGTATCTGACCTATCTATTCTCGATTTGTTCTGCTGGATTGCTGCTATTGTCACCACACTGGCATACAAGATAGTCGAAGGGGGCTCCGCACCGTTCCCCAACGACACAGTCCCCAACAAGATCTCTTCTGCCACTGATTGGACCAGCCTGTCAAGCGCATTGATTGCACCTTCTGTGCAGTCCCTTAAGGTATCAACGCATCTGACAGTCAATAGAGTGGTGGTAAGGGCATCTCCGAACGACATGAAGCCGCCCCCAGAAGACCCACATCCCGAGGCCAGTAAGTGGTTCAAGGTCGGACACGGCTTTGCTGGCTGCTTCCAGGTGGTCAAGACCATCCTCCAGCCCCTGGAAAGTGTCAACCCGAAACCACCGAAGGGCCTATCGGTAGCGAACATTTCTGCCAATGTTTTAGAGGCGACCTCAGCGTTCCTTGGCAATCATTTTGGATTGCGGGAACCCGAGGCTCCGTGGCTACTATGGATGTCTAGAATGACGACACTGGTCACGGTAACAGCCACAATCGGACTATCCGGTCCAGTCATGGGAGTCATAAGTAACATTGAAGATTCTCGCCCGCTTAGCAGTAAGGTAAATGCGTTGCTGACCATCCCAGCTTTGGTCTGTTCTGCGGCGCATCTTCAAGAGTTGGAGCATGCCGAACCTGGCTACAACATAATACCATCGGCGCTGGAAGAAGCCTCCAATATTGTTGACTACGTCGACCGGTGGATGTATGCGAACATTGTTGAACCTGCCACCCCCGCTGAGGTCAGAGCAGTCTCCTTATTTGTACTGTGCTGGGCCAATTCTACGAGGTCGTTCATACAACTATTTGAAGGCTTCAGCTCCACCGTCTGATCTGGAAATCAGTATCGCGATTTCCTCCGCCGCAGAGATATGGCCATGGCGCCTTAGTAGCTCCAGCTACCCTGAGTACCGCTCTTGGCACAATGGAGCATCAGTTAGGGCAATGAGCTTGTCCCCCGAGTACGAGCGGCTGAAGCGTCTCCCAGAGCAGATAAGAAGGAAGTAGCTGACAACTGGACTGATGTTGTGCCTGGACCACGTGATACATTCGAGCAGACCAGGCGCACCGCCTATCGAATAGTATATAGATAAATCTACTGGCAGCCGTCTGTCATTCTGAGTGTCAGCAGTCACTGTAGGTCCGCCGTCATCTCCCGGCTAGCCAACCATCGAGTAACTGATGAGCAGATTCCGACATCCACTCCCCGACCACAGCGCTGCAGAGACCACGCACCATCATGAGTACTTCGAGTTCGACAGTGTTTAAGTCGTGACAAGTCTTGGCATTGCAGGTGTCGCCAGGTTACCAAATCGTGCCTTATACACGCTGATGCTCCGAAGTAATGGTAGTATTGTCTCGTGATCTGGTATCGTGCCTCTGCACTTCCCTCGCTACCATGTTGCGATTTGGAAATGACACAAGGCGAAGGGCGCACGTCTCCCAGTAATGTAGCTCGATCTCAGCTTCGCCTGCACTTCGAAGTGGTCAAAATCGAGCTCCCGTTCTGAATGTGAGCCACGAAGGCCGGGGTAGCCGTTTTCCTGATATCACAGCTTATTTACAGATGTCTTGCTCGAGATCGTAGTCGTGATTGGGTCCAGACACCAGCGACATTTTCACAGCGAGGAAGAGCGCCCTGGTCTCATTAGGCGAAAATGAGGTCGTCGCTGCTAGGTCTGAAAGGTGTCTGGCTCATGGTTGTGACGTCTTCGTGAATAGTATGTAGGTCTGATCGCGTAATAGAGGCGGCAATGAGGTAGTCATCGATAGGTTCCAGAAGCAGGAAGTTGTGTCAGTATAACACTAATTTCCAGTCATAGAGCAATCAGTAAAGCATCGACGAAGGGAGATGAGAGACCATCGATCGAAGGAATTCGGTACTCATTAGCTCATAAGCTCCTGCTGCGTCGGCCACGGCGAGACGGTACAGTCGACTATCGAAGAGGGCGCGAAGACAAGAACATTCGCACATGACACATCAACTGCGTAGCGTTCTCTCACGTAATGGTCTGCACCCACTAGCGCATCATTTCATGTTGTGAGCGAAACACTCACCATGCTAGCGAGTCGAGGGACAATCGGCGCGCTCCGGAGAGATTGAGGGTGAATGGCCTGTGAAGAGGAGAGTTCTTCATGTGACTCGGTTAGCAGGCCTGATGAGGACACATCGCTTTGCACAGCAGCGATCGAACCTCGCATACTACTTCTAGTGACCTCGGGAATGTCTCAAGTCGTGATCTTCATGATCGCAATGGATTATCGGACTCGGTTGGTACGGCGGCGACATGCGTCGTGGTAAGCAACTTGATCTACATGCTAATGTCAGCACGCGATCTCGGACGCCAAAAATGTCAAGACGGGGATACTCACTCATTCTGGGAGTAGACCCATTTCCATCCTAGTGGCCGCATGCCAAAATCTCTGCCTCTGAAGAACTATCGAACGTGCTCTGCGGAATGCGCTCCACTCGCTCGACCGCGACATGCCGAACAGCAATTGGGCACCCGCAACGACTCCAATCTTTGCGATGCGAGGCGCGCCTATTCTCGCTGTACACACCTCGTGAGCACCCTCCACATATATTCGATCATACACCAGTAGCCGTTGTAAAGACGATACCGAAGCTCTACGAAAGCAGATCCGCCACGTTCATAGGCATCTCGTCGATCTGCGTGGAGTAATACACTGCAGGCGCATCATTAGCAAGGTTCCCGCATCATTCTAAAAAATGCAGCTACTCACACTCGATATCTCTCAGGATTCTCACATCCTCGCTCGTAACGAAATTGATCGCCACGCCCTTGCGTCCAAATCTCCCAGATCTGCCGATGCGGTGGATGTAATTCTCACGATTGCTCGGCAAGTCATAGTTGATGACCAAAGATACTTGCTGAACATCAATACCCCTCGCCCAGACATCCGTGCTAATGAGCACACGGCTGTTGCCTTGCCTGAACTCGCCCATGATGGAGTCTCGTTCTTTTTGCGGCATCTCACCGTGCATCGAGCTGACAGTGAAATTGGCATCACGCATCTTGTCAGTAAGCCAGTCGACCTTGCGTCGAGTATTGCAGAAGATGACGGCTTGCGTGATGGTGAGTGTGTCATAAAGATCACAAAGCGTATCGAACTTCCACTCCTCCTTCTCAACAGCAATGAAATACTGCTTCAGTCCCTCCAAGGTTAACTCATCACGCTTGACCAAGATCCTCACGGGATCGGTCATGAATTTGGTCGTCATATCCAGAACATCATACGGAAGCGTGGCGCTTACAACCACGACTTGCGTCGCCGGTGGCAAGTAGCGATAGACGTCGTAGATCTGCTCCCGGAAACCTCGATTGAGGAGTTCGTCCGCCTCATCCAGAACAAGCATCTTGATATGGCGAGTGCGCAAATTCCGGCGGCGAATCATATCCGCCACACGACCAGGAGTACCAGAAACAACATGCTGTCCGTAGTCGAGTTTGCGGATATCCTCGCCCACATTCGTGCCGCCGATGCAAGCATGGCACTGTACGTTCATGTAATCGCCAAGTGCCAGCAGGACACTCTGGATTTGGGTAGCGAGTTCGCGGGTGGGTGACAACACCAGCGCTTGTGTCTCGCGAACAGCAGTATCGATGACTTGAAGGATGGCGATACTGAAGGTAGCGGTTTTACCAGTTCCCGATTGGGCCTGTGCAATTGTGTCACGGCCACGGCAGATTTGGGTGATGCCTCTGCTTTGGACCTGTAGAAGTGTGAGTGAGTGTGAAGAAGTTGCCGGACGTATGTACGTACAGCACTGGGACTCTCGAAGCCGTATGCGTAGATGCCTCGAAGTCTGGGATGGGTTAGTAGATCGTGGTGGCGTAAGGCCAAGAGGATACTTGCAGGCCTTCCTTCAGATCTAAGGATGGACGTCAGTCTATCACTTCCCTCACGCTGGGAGCGCATCATACTCACGCATAGCCTCAAAAGTGGGCGCGACGGTGACTTCTTTGCTGGTCCTGCTTTGAGTCAGCCTCATGGCCCACCCGGACTGAGCTCTCAGTGCTCACGAAAACTCGAGGCGCGCATCCTCGCGACGGTCGATGCCTTCCTCTGCCATGATGAGTGATATGTGCTCTGGTCTTATGGTTGGCGTGTTGTGTCGAACTTGAGTTAGGGGAGATGGTTGTCGCTGTCACTACCTGGAGCTTTGATCGCAAGAAATCGCAGTGAGCAGCCAGAAAAGCTAGCGCGGCGTGGCGTTTGGCGGGCCGCCCCCGCAAATCACGAGTCATGTATGTAAAGCGAAAGAAACTCTGTTGGCCAGATGTTTCACATGGATGTGAATATTAGCTCTTCGGCGTGCAGGTGTTCTGTCGCTTGATCACAGACACTCACAACATTCACGACCTACCGTCGTCTTGTGCAAGTGATAGCAGCGTATCGCAGAAAACTAAAGATAAGCATCAAGACTACAAGTCACTGTCGTGGAATTTGTAGCAAAAGTGATCGCAGAGGAGGCTCGAAGGGCATAGGAGTGTGGATTGGATGGGGGAAGGAGAGCAGTGAACAGAGCAGAATAAAGCAGGTGGGGGTGGCAAGATGCTGCTCGAAGATCTACGCCTCGCTCACGAGTCCATCGAACGCCTCGAAGCCGGTATCAGCGATCGCATCCTCGATGATCCCAAACAACTCCGTGCGCGACTCGCCCGCGATCACGAGATCAGTGCCTTCCTAAACCAGATTCAATCGCAGTCAACCCGTGCACTTCACATATACAGCCACGAGCAAGAAGCACGGACAGCCGAGGTGCAAGCCATAAGCACCGGCGATGTGTTTGAGGAATTCTACAAGCAATTGAACGACATCAAGGAATACCAAAAAAGATACCCGAATGCGCCAGTGGAAAATCTCGAGCGGGCGTACAAGAAGGCGGAAAATGGTGGGCCGGGCTTCGCAGGTGACATCGATGGCATGTTCACTGGCGAGGAAGCTTTCGGGCGCTTCTTTGACTTGACCATGCTGCATGAGGAGTATCTGAACTTGCCTGGAATAAGAGGAGCGAGGAAGTTGACATATCTCCAATATCTCGACACGTTCGACCACTTCGCACCACCACAATGCACCATCAGCCGGCAGGACAAAATGACAGACGAGTTCTTCAGCTATGTGGGCAGTCTGGCGCAGTACCTTGAGAGCTTCATACGACGTATCAAGCCGCTGGAAGATCTTGGTAAGCTGTTTGGAGGCTTTGACGAAGAGTTCGACCAATCGTGGGAGAAGGATGAAGTAGCGGGCTGGGAAGCACAGAAAGCACACACGAACGGTACAGCCGCGAACGGGCCGAAGACCGAAGGTACAGGTGAGGGTATATGGTGTGCGGACTGCGAGAAGGAGTTCAAAAACGATAATGTATACAAAGCACATCTGACCGGCAAGAAGCACGTCAAGAATGCAGAGGCACTGAGTAATGGTGGCGACGCAAAGAAGACGAATGGCGCGGCAGCAGTCGTGCCAGCACACGGCGAGCGCCTAAAGGAACGTGCAGTTGCCGAACGCGAACATCGCATCCGCAAGCTAGCCTCCTCCATGACGACCGAACGAGAAGACACCCGTGTGAACGTCGAGCGCAAAGCCGGCATGACCGACCGTGAACGCCAACAAGAGCTCGCGGCTCTCTACGCCGAAGACGAAATCATGACCAACGCCCCCAACGGCCGCACAGGCGAAGATGGCGAAGAAGGTGACGACGAAGAGAAGATCTACAATCCGCTTAAGCTGCCGCTAGCATGGGACGGCAAACCAATCCCCTTCTGGCTCTACAAACTCCATGGTCTAGGCGTAGAGTTCAGTTGCGAGATTTGCGGAAACTACGTGTACATGGGCCGACGCGCCTTCGACAAACATTTCTCCGAGGCGAGGCATGTTTACGGTCTGAAATGTCTTGGTATTGGCGCTCAAACTGGTCTGTTCGCGCAGATCACAGGGATAGAAGAGGCGCAACGACTTTGGGAGAAGGTGCAGAGGGACAAGAAGGAGGGAGGTGGAGTTGGTGGGAAGAAAGGGGGTGGTGAGGCTGTGGAGGAGATGGAGGATAGTCAGGGCAATGTGATGCCTAAGAAGGTTTATGAGGATCTGAGGAAGGCTGGGTTGTTGTGAGCAGAATACATCATTGTAGTGCTACGAGCATAAATGCAGCCGAATGGAAGCCAGGGAAGGACAAGATGATCATGGCTTGGCATCGAGCCGGCGTTCGCGATTAGAGAGTTCGGAGCTCGGCATTCGATTTCCCAATACGGAAGGAAGATCTGCATATGGACACGAGACACCGCAAAGTTGCAGCGTCTGTTATGTCAGCTCTTCATTGCAACCACGCGAACATGCATCACATCAGCATACCAATGTTGCCCATGCAGGCGGCGTCTACCACTCCGTTGGTGTACTCGACTTCGGCTTCTGCGGTAGCTACGATTAGCCAAGATCGACAAGACGCAGATTTGTATAACAACTAATGAAATACAAAACTTTCACATTGCTCATTATACATACAGCGTACTTCTGTTGCAGTTGACATTCTTAACAGCACAGAGGGTGACTATGGGCTGGCTCAATCGCTACAAGCCCGCAGGCTACACAATCGCCTCCCTTGCCATCTCAATGGGCGGCTTTCTCAACGGGTGAGTGGAGGGCTACCCTGATACTACAACGCCCTCGCTGACGCAAACAAAAGCTATGACACAGGCTCCATCGGCGCCGTAGTCACAATGCCACAATTCCGCGCAACAGTTGGCGACATCTCCCCGTCAGTCACTGGTCTAACAGTCTCGGCCGTCATGTTCGCGGGCGCCATCCCTTCTTCCCTCGCCGGACCGCCAGCAGATAAGTACGGTCGAATGCCCGTCGTTGCGTTTGGTGCTGCTCTGTTTGCGATCGGGAGCGTGCTGCAAGCTTCGGCGTTGAATTTGGCACAATTTATTGTCGGTCGAATCTTTGCTGGAGCTGGGGAGGGGGTGTTCCTGGGAGTGCTCAATGTGTGAGTCCTGGCTCGGAATGACTCGATCCGGGACACGGCTGTGCTGACTATCATCATAGCTACATCTGCGAGATTGCTCCTAGCAGCCGTCGAGGTACCCTTGCCTCACTACCACAGCTTTTCTCGGTCTTGGGAATCTGTATAGGCTACTTCATTTGCTACGGTACTGTGCGGCTCGACTCTTCCATGGCCTGGCGTATCTCCTTCATCATAATGGCCATTGTCTCGACAGGGCTTACAATAGCCTGCTTCTTCCTTCCTCCATCGCCTCGAATCCTCATTCTCCATGGCCGACGAGACGAAGCCATCAAAGCAATAGAGCAGCTAGGGATTCAACAAGCCGAAGCAGAAAAAGACATCCTGCGGGTTCGAGACGAAGATCTGGCCATGACACGAATCACCTTCTGGCAATCCTTCACCACAATCTGGAAACGCCAATACCGATCCCGCACAATTCTCGCCCTGTTCATACTCGGTATGGTCCAACTCTGCGGTATCGATGGCATCCTTTACTACGCACCCACTCTCTTCGCCCGCGCCGGCCTTCCGGAACAGACTGCCGGATTCCTCGCTTCCGGGTTGTCAAGCATCCTAATAATCGTCGTATCCATCCCTGCTGCCATGCTGGCAGATAAATGGGGTCGTCGGACCTCCATCATCGTCGGTGGGATCTTGCTCTCCGGGTTGATGTTCTTGATGGGAGCGATGTATGCTGCTCGCGCTGTCCATGTCACGGGAGCAGGACGATGGGTAGTAATTGTATCCATCTTCCTCTTCGCAATGACCTACTCGGCTACTTGGGCATTCGTTGGCAAGATCTATGCGTCTGAGATTCAGCCGAGTCATACGCGGGCTGCGTCAAATTCGGTGGCGCAGGGGTTGGGTTATGTACGCACAGCAACTTCCTCATCTCCTTGGAATCATGCTGATTGCTGCACAGTTCACAAACGGCCTCGTAGCCCTCATAACGCCAATCCTCCTCGCCAAATCAGCATTCGGCGCCTACTTCCTCTTCGGTGGCCTTAGCCTTGGAACCCTGATCGTGCTAGCTTGCTACATGCCTGAGACTCGAGGCGAGCCACTTGAGACTATACAAGAAGTGTTCTCCAAGCCTTTACGTGTTCATGGACTCGATAGGCTACGGTCAAGGAAAGGTGCGAGGGGCGCCTCAGCACTGACCACGACGTCTGGAGTAGATTTGGGTGATGAGATCGAGCTTGGCAGTCATGAGGTGCAGTTGGTACGATCAGGCTGGTGTAAATCACGGCGACAGCGCCACTAGCATGGCGGCAACGCCTCGGATAGTATCAAGAAGATTCCCTCCGTCAAGCTCTCGGCAGGCTTTCGAGGGGCACGATGGTGACAATGGCTCGAGAGGCAATGGAATTGTCTTCGAGGGGTAAGTCGCAAGTATCGTAAATAAATTCGGGCTGAACTCAGAAGATCTGCTTCCATAAATGGGTGTGCGTCATCAACAAGCGCTCGATGTGCTAGCAATAGCACTGTTCTCCTTCACCGCTTCGATGCCCTGAAAGCGTATCCCGGTCTCGTTCTTGAAGAGATACGTACCCGACGTCGCAGCTCGTACCTCGTCCGTGGTGATTTATGTCATGTCAGATCGTGTTCTGGGGGCCATTTCAATCATGCTACAAGCCACCTGGGAGCCTTAATACATTGCTGCCGTGCTCGATCCTGATGTGACCAGGTGATGACTTCCTTACACACGTCTGAACTCAGTGGCGCCTCCGATGCTGCCGCTTATCGTCTCGTAAACGCTTCACGCCGGTCTCCTTTCCTGGACGTCTACTTCCGTGCAATGGTCGCATCAGTCAACCAACCATGTTTATGGTTGACTGGTTGAGCTACCCTAATACCTCAACCAGTCAACTATACCGCTCTTTAAACCTCAACTAGTTAACTAGTAACCCTCCTCAACCTTTGGCTAACTAGTTAATGTAGTTAAAGGTAGTCTTACTTTATAGTTTATGTAAAGCTCCTTCCTAACTCGGCTAGCGTATTTCCTAATAAAGCTAGCGCATCTCTTAGCCCTCTTAGATCTATGCTAAGAATACAGCGGAATTGCTCCGCTATCCCGTGTTCGCCTGTTAGTTTCGCGCTTCTTTATACTCCTTCAATAATTGCTTCTATTTTAATCACCTTAAGACTATCTTATTATGGCTCCTGCGCGCAACAGAAACAAGCGCAAGGTTAGTATAAACAACTCTTCTCAATTTGACGATGTTCCGTTATCGTAATCGCGTAAAAGAACGCGCCCTAGCTAGCAGTCGACATTGCCGAGAAACCATACTACTATACCACCTCAACTACAGCAACTAGTTAACCATAGTTGCGCAACCATGGCGATTACCTCAACTAGTCAACCATGGCGCTGCCAAAACCTCAACCAGTCAACCAGTAACCCCCCTCAACCATGTGGTTGGTTGACTGATGCGACCATTGCTTCCGTGATAGGTCCCAGGTAACGGAACCTCGCTCTGAACGCAAAATACAACAGCGCGATCAGCAGCACCGAGAGAAAGATCGGGCTCGACCAGTTGAAAGTGGAGGCGGTCACCGGGTAAGACTGAGGCCAGAAGCACCAACAGAAGGCCCACAGAGAATAGAGAACCGCCAGCGAGTCGATGGGAATACCCCATTTGCCGAGTGAGAACTCAGATGGCGGCAAAGCCTCTGCATGGTGAATGCGTCGCCACAACACACAGCCAATAGAGAAGCAATAGCACTGCAGCAGAGCCACAGTCAGTAGCGAATTGATCGCATAAAATGCGACTGGACCTGCACAGTAGACGTCAGCGGGAGCATGAGTAGGAGTGGGCGGTGACACGCACTTCCAATGTAAATGAGTGCCAAACAGATGGCGAATGCGCACGAGAGTGTTGCAGCATTCTGTGGTATCTTCCGTGTTGGGTGAACGGTACTCAGCCATTTGGAAAGTGGTAGACCACGATCGCGGGCGAAAGCGAAAAGATCTCTCCTGACAGCCTGTGGAAGGACGTGGAACAATGTCAGCTTCTGTGCATCTCGAGGCTGATGGATTATATTGCAGTCGCTCACAGTAAGATAAACAATGTTAGAAGCGAGGTTGAGCAGGCATATAATCACAAGGACCACTGTAACCCAGCCCGGCGACATCGACTGGTGGAGGACATGGGCTGCTGGATATGTCGTCGAGTCGCTTAGTGCACCAATACTAGGAACGTGGTAACAGACAGTCAAGAATGCCGGAAACATAAGCAGGAAGTTGCATATGTAGATGGCGAGCATTGCCTTTGGTATGGATGCTGACGCGTTGCGCACTTCTTCAGACATGTGGGCTGCCTGCAGAGTCGTCAGCCAAAGACACATCGTTGATAATGTTCCAATATTCTCACAGTGTCAGTTCCAACCTGCTGGCTGATTCCTGTCAACTGATCGATCAATACTGATAGCGGTAGGCTGCTCCAACCACCCTCGTTGGTGAAGTCTGTCCAGACTTGACTATGTGTCGCCTTCGGAGCACTCACCCAGATGGGAATGATGTAAGCGAAGTAGGCCAGGATGTGGACAGCAAAGACGGCGTTCTGCCAGTACGGAAGTACTTTCGATCCTGAAAGACGGTATCAGCTCTCCGGCAATAACGCTTGTCCAAAAGCACACACCCACCGTAAACAGATCCGATGTATGCTATAAGCATAGCAGCGAAGGCCAGCAGGGTACAGTGCCAAGCAGGAAAGCCGTAGTTTTGATCGTTCACGGCAATCATACACTTGATCAGTGAGCCGACTAAGAATATGCCAACGGCATTGCCAGACTGTCATGCTAGAGTCGACGTCCATCTGAATCTGTTAGTATGCCAGGACTCACTTTCTGAGCCAAGATATCTACGAACCCCGTGATATAGCTCAAGAAGCGCTGGCAGTTCTCAGACGCAAACTCTGATACCTCAAAAGTCGTCAGTCGGTGCGACGCAGCTACACACCAGTCTTGATAACAACATACCCAGTGTTATTGCGCTCCTGCTATGGGCGCCATCGATGCCATCTCGGCCATGCTGAGATATATGGGTGCGAAACAGATGAAGTTCCACAGGGTCGAGTATAGGAGTCCCGGCCTGCCTCCATCAACGAAGGACTGATCGATGGTAAAAAGTCCTATCTCCCATGTCGCTGTTGCTATCGCCACGAATGATGCAATTGACATCAGGCGGAACTGTCTAACGAGCTGCTGCTCCTTGCCCATCCGCTTCATGTCTTCGGCATCCTTCCACGTAGATAGCGTGGCCGATAGTCCATGATCGTCTTGCTCCTCGACTTCGATGTGCATGCTAAGGTCGTTGATTGTGGCTCGAGCTATCTTGGCATCGCCATGTGTACCAGTCGGATGGCGGTCTTGCAGTTGAATATCCTGAGATCCGCGTGGAGCGATAGCATCTCCATATCTAGGATGACTCGATCCCTGTAGTCTCATGTTGGTAGTAGTCTGGGAGCAGTCACACGAAATTATACAGGGGATGACTGATTGAAGTATTCAAGGTGCAAAAGTGGTACAGTATTCACCCTCACTGCTTGCCTTTCCGACCGCTGTCTCGACAGCTCTGTCTAGCGGGCTGCACAAGTCTATTGGTAGGCCATAGCATCCGCCAATCGTGTAAATATCTGCCCGCATCTTGCATTGAAGCCCCGGTAGATTGCAGCCGCCTTTGCAGAAGCGATGCCAGTGAGACGTGCTTACATACGAACTATGCCTGCAAACCCGCAGCGCAGCGCGATAGATTGAGACCGCAATTTGGAGATTGATAGAGGAGTGCAGAAGGAGCTTGAGGTGATGGGATGAAGCCAGTGCCCGCGTCACGTGGTTCCGTCTGGTCGGTGAAGAGGAAGGACTTCAATAGCATCACCTTCTTCTTGCATCCATGTCGTGCAGATAGCGACCATCTGCAAGGACGAAACCCGCCATGCAGTCGTCTTGGATGACAGGCCTAAGACATTTGCAAATGTAAACTGGCGAGGATACCAGATCCTGTGCTGGAACCAGAGTCCAGCACCAGCTTGATGAGTATAGCTGATCTGCACTATATTTGTTGACCCATTCTTACGGCAAGGACCCGGCATTGAGGCGTGTCAACCGACGCACGATATCTTCCCGATTACGCAAGCTCTACCAGGTGTGGTACTGTACGAAGACTTCGTCATCCTTCGCATCGAGATGCGAGCGTAAGCGCACCTCAGCCGCACATGGTCAGAGGCTGTATTCATCCAGTGCTATACTCATGTAACTAGAACATCCAATGCACTGCGGCATACATAGCGCGATATGTTCACAATGGAGCAGTGGAGGACAACAGAGCATCGCATACCAGCGGCACATATACGAGGGTAGCGAACATCCCTGATCCTCCAAAACCCTGCGCCGCTGATACAATGACCAGATTCGAGCGTGGTACGAGGCATGGAGACGAGAATACATCAATGCAGCTTTCGATCAAGCAGTACACTCCTGTATCTAATCGTAACCCAAAGCGTGGGGACGTCACACTCATCCTGGCCCAAGGCATCGACATGTCCAAGGAGACCTTCGAGCCCTTCATCGACGACTTGCTTACCGTCTTCCCACGGATCCGTAACGTATGGACCCTTGACGCCGCCAGCAATGGCGCATCTTACGCTTTGAACAAAGACTTCATCGGTGATCAGCCTAATTGGCTAGATTATCCTCGAGACGTATGGCAAGCGATCAACCACTTCCAGGTGCAAATGCCTCCACCCCTTGTCGGTATCGGCCAGTCCTTAGGGTGCGGAAGCATTACAGTACTCTCCACTTGGCACCCCAGACTCTTCTCCGGCATCGTACTATGCGAACCAGCCCTCGGTCCAAGTCCAGGCGCAGTGTGGCCACGGCCCACCAGATACTACCCAGGTGTACTGGCAGCAAAGCGCAAAGATGTCTGGCCTTCGCGTGAGGCTGCTGCCGAGGCACTGGCCAAGTCAATGCTGTACCGGCACTACGATCCTCGTGTGCTTGAACGTGTGCTGAAGTACGAAATCCGTGAAGTTGACTCCAACGACGGCATTCATGCGTCAGTACCACCCGATCACGTGACCCTAAGCACACCCAAAGCTCTGACAGTCGCACAATGGCTTCGTCCTTCACCACCTCTCCCAGGCTTCCCAACAGATCCAGAGGACACGGTCGCAGAAGACATGAAAACCACGATCCCTGGTTTTTCGAGACCAGAGGCGTGGTGGTTATGGCGTAGTCTACCCCAAGTTTCCCCTCCAGTCCTGTTCCTCTGGGGATCGGACTCAGAACTTTTCAGTGGAGCTGGTCTCAAGTTCCGCGAATTGCTGTACACCAGCGTGATCGGAACCGGACCGGGAGGTAGAGGAGGCCAAGCGAACAGACAAGTGGATGAGGCCGAGATAGCGGGAGCGCACCACTCCGTTGTTCTGGAGAAGCCAAAGGGGAGTGCTGAAGCTGTTGGGCAGTGGCTTCAGAAAAAGGTTCTCGAGTGGGACGAGGGACGTGTCAACAGGAAGACGCAGCCGATCAACGACCCGACGAGGATACCCGCAGCGCTCATGGAGGAACTGGCGAAGCTATGAGAAGTCTCTGCGGTTGATGAAGGATAAGAGTTGACCATTTCTCCCCGCGCCATGTCTTCGCTTATCCGGTGCCCAGGGGCCATCGAAATTCGATACACCGGCACAGAGGTCGTCAGATGACGCCCACAGACTTTATGTTTGCTCCTGTCAACCTGCTGGCCATTGCCATGGGCCATCAGATGACAAATTCGTCCCAGTCCAGTCATCCTTCCTTCGATGCGACGATCTCATTCAAATCGTTCCTAGATGAAGCAAAGATTGACAGCTGGAAAAGCATTCATAGTGATAGATGCTGGTACGGCGAGATTTACAGAGCCGTGCCTGCCATCTCAGACTTCAATTTCCGCAATGTCGCAGAATCCAGCATCAGGACAGTCTCCAAAACACACAACTACTCAGCCTCCGCAGAACAACTCTAATCAGCCGCCAACAGCTTCGCCAAATGATCAAAGCAGTCCCCTATCAAACCTGGGCTCTGCAGCCGAGCCCGAGCGAGGTCCCACGTCGTCGGCAAGAATCTCAAATACGACGTCATTAACCCCTTCAATACCTCAAGATTCATGTCTACCAGATGGCTGGTACGACTGGCTGTGGCAAGCGATGACACACGGCTTGGGAGCACCATGGTATCCAGCGCCACCCGCTCCCAGTAGCCGGGAGCGTGACACTGAGGATGTAAAGGACAAAGTGGCCGAGACTGTAATCGAAAGTTCACCTCACAAGACGACATCTAGCAATGAAAGTGAAGATGAGGATGAAGATTACGTTGTTTTATAGGGTGGTAGGAGTACCTAAACATAAAAGGGAGAGAGTGCTCTGTGTGATTGAACACGCCATCGTATCCCTGCTTCTAGCTGCGCAAAACTGTTCGAAAACCTACCTCCTCGCACCCGCGAATCCTTATTCTCACCATAGCAGACACAAGGTACATATCAAAGCCCACCACGTTCCGTCGATTAGTCAGTGCTAGTTTTATTTCTGCCCTCCTCCTTCGTCTCCCAAAGAGCACCTCTGAACAATTGCTCGATCTCGATGGCTGATCGCCAGATCTATGCACCACGAAAGATCATTTGTCAATCGACGTCACGATCGCCACAGTCACTGCCAGATTTCAAGATACCGTTTCTTGGCCTCCACGCCCACCAAGCAGCCACGAGAGGCGGGAGACAAAAGTAATCACCAGCATTTAAGCTAGATCCATCGCGTTGAAATCGGATATGGCAGTGAAAAGTACCGATCTTGGCAGATGCAGCAAGCACAAGCATGTCCACAGTAATTACGAGCCTGTCCTGCAACAACCCATCGTTACCCCCTTCCCAGTCAATCGCCTCAGACACTCGCACCCAACTTATGAGTGGAGATTCAGATCAAGCCCAACAGGCCTTTAACGAATTCTTGAGTCTCGCTTACCGACCAATCCGGGTCCGCAGTCTAGGAGACGGATACCACGAGGTTCTCGCTCCGGCTGCAGCAGCAGCAGGAGAAGAGGAGATACTGCCAGCTACGGTCTACAACCCGCACTCTCGGAACGATAACGATGTCCCACACAGACGCCATCGGCCGCTGGACCTTCAGTCCACGGCCATAGGGACACTAATGACTATCCCAAGCGGAGAGTCCGATGAGGAGGCGGAGGGAGAGGCAGAGGCAGAGATGCCGGACAGGGAGGTGAACAGTGATGATTCGGACCTCAACCAACAGTACCGGACCCCTGGCGAAGTAGTCACGAGATTATCCAGAGTAGCGGATGATTTGCGGACGAACTGGTGGCGATAGGAGATGGTTTGGGAAATGCGCATCAGGTGTTAGATGATGTCAGGAGGCAGGTAGATGCACTCAAGAGGATGATGGGGATTCGAGTCGCGGGTCATGTTCACTAGTGTGAGGTATCTCGCGGGAGCCAGGTACCTCCCGTGACTGCAGGAGTATGTAGCATCGAAAAGCGTCGTTCTTGACTATGGTGCCGTACCTCATCAGGCGCGATGCTGTGTTTGTTTGCTCACCCAGCCAAGATCGTGGCCTTGTGACTATCCCTCGATCGTCCAGATCCAGAAGTGGCCAGTATATCTAGATGCACAAGAAGCTCTCGCCCATGTCAAAACCTCGTCTTTGGGAGACACTGCACCAAAGGACAAAATCCCCACCATCCACCGCGACCATGATCAACGCCAAGAAAGCCCTGGCAGCAGTAGCCGAAGCCTTCTACCCGCCCCTCTACCGCGCCGATCCCAGCGAGGAGCGATCCTCACATACTCACCCCTTCTCCCCAGGTCCCTTCGCGTCAACTTCTAGACACCACGACGCACATGGCCGTGTCAAATCCAAAACGGGCAAGAAGCACGTACCCATGGTGGAGAGGGGCGGAGCAGTCGATGAGCGGAAAGCAAGGAGCACAAAACCAGCGAGGCCGCGAAGTTGGACCATGCCTAATCTTGGCTCGTCGTTCAAGCGGTCGGCTTCAGATCCGATTCCCAGGTTGGAGGTGAAGAAGGTGGAATTGAAGAAAGATGAGTGGTTGAGAGAGTATAGTCCTAAGGTCCTCGGAGAGTGGAAACCGGGGTATAATGTCTTCAGCCATCTAGACGAGAAGATCGCGGAAATGAAGAAGGAGGATAAGCGGAATCGTGGAGAGGAGAGTATGACAGGTCGTGAGAGGGACTGGGAGGTCTTTGAGGTGATGGGGAGCGCTGTGGTCAGTAGCTTTGTTACCTTTCCCATATTATGTCCTCGACGTGATGTTGGAGGACATGCCTTCGAAGGTCTTGCTAACCCGTGTCGTCAGGATTCTCTACTCCACGCACTCAAAGCGGAGATCAAAGAGAGGAATATACTGGAGAAGACTGTGGAGGAGTTGGAGGAGCGGATGGAGAAAGTGGAGGGTGGAGGGAAGAGAGGGGTGGGTCACGGAGGCGGAGAAGGGGAGATGAGAGATTGGTTTGCGAGACAGGGTCGAGCGGGGTCGCTGGAAGAGTTTGTGTGAGGGTTATCTCATCACCATTTCTCGGCGGCGGTGGCGGTGGTGTTGAGAATGTGGTGGGTGCCGCACAGCCGGGCACACACTCACTGTCCCAGTAGCAGGAGAGAAGTACTAGTGGGTGGAAGAGAACGTCTAGATGTAACGTTGAACAACCACCTCATCCATCCGTGGTCGTGGTCGTAGTAGTGGAGGAAGTCATAGGACCACGTGCTGGTCTGCACTCACGACCGATCGTTTGTGGAGTGCGGGAAAAGGGCCGAATGTGTGGGATCGGTGATTGGCGGTGGTTGAAGTCTGAGGAGTTCCACCTCCACCTTGATCCCACCGCTGCAGCTCGGATGCGGGGACATTGGAAGTCGTGAGGGAGAGTTTGGGGAGTGCATTTGCATGTGAGGAAGTAGTGGTAGCTATGTATGAGCTTTTTTTCATAACAATACCCTGGGTATGACGGTATGACATGATATGCTATGGCTATGCTATGGCTATGCATGCAATCTCGTCGCTGCTGTCATCTTGTGATCTGTTGTTGAAGTTATTGTCATAGCTGACGGTGAACGAGAAATTGCTGAGCGGCTCTAGCAATTGTTTGTGTTGGTGGGTCCCCAACGATGTCATTTGGGCGGGAGTGGATGCAGCATGGGCGGGCAGGGATGGAGCTCGGGCGTGGAGGCTTCAAAAGTGTCTTTTCGTAGTTCTAGCTTCACGCCAGCCATCTTTGATCATACTATTTCGGCCACCTGACCACGGCCACCCTCCCCTCCTCCACATAGTAATATAGCTGGTGTTGCTCTTCTTCCCTCGTGTGTGCTTTGCGTGAGTGTGCGTGAGTATTATTAGCAGAAGGGCGCAAGAGAAGGTATGCACAGTATATGCACAGCATATGCACACCTCCGCATTGAACAGCTCCAGCTTTCGGTGCGGAGGTGAAGCAGACGCACGAGGAAGTCGTAACTGACCAGCGAATTGGCCTGTAGCAGACAGTCTTGCTTGGGCCACCTCCGAGTATCGTACTCACACACAAACCCCCAACATGGCAGAAGCACCGAAGCGCGACGTGCGCAACCACATCCTCTTCGAGATCGCTACCGAAGTCGCCAACCGGGTGGGAGGAATCTACTCAGTGCTGAAGTCCAAAGCTCAAGTGACGACGGCAGAATATGGCTCCCAGTACACCCTCCTCGGCCCGCTCAATCGGGCTTCCGCCGCAGTGGAGGTGGAAGAGATAGCACCCAAAGACCCGGCCATGATCGCAACGATCAAGTCGATGAACGAGCGTGGCATACAGACCCTCTACGGCCGATGGCTGATTGACGGTGCGCCAAGAGTCCTGCTCTTCGACACTGGCACGGGTTACTACAAGCTGGACGAGTGGAAGGGCGATCTGTGGTCCACCGCCGGCATCCCCTCCCCACCAGACGATCACGAGACCAACGAAGCTATCGTCTTCGGCTACCTCGTCGCCTGGTTTCTGGGCGAGTATGTCTACCACGAGAAGGAGAAGGCCGTCATCGCCCAGTTCCACGAGTGGCTGGCCGGTGTTGCTCTCCCTCTCTGCCGAAGAAGGAAGATCGACGTCACCACCATCTTCACCACCCACGCCACCCTCCTCGGCCGCTACCTCTGTGCCGGATCCGTCGACTTCTACAACAACCTGCAATACTTTGATTGCGATGCCGAGGCCGGGAAGCGTGGCATCTACCACCGCTATTGCATAGAACGCAGCGCCGCCCACACCGCCGACGTCTTCACCACCGTCTCCCACATCACTGCGTACGAGAGCGAGCACCTCCTCAAGCGAAAGCCGGACGGTGTGCTCCCCAATGGTCTGAATGTGAAGAAGTTCAGCGCCACCCACGAATTTCAAAATCTGCATCAAACAAATAAAGAACGCATCAATGATTTCGTGCGCGGCCACTTTTACGGCCACAACGATTTCGATCCCGACAAGACCCTCTACATCTTCACCGCTGGCCGCTACGAATACAGGAATAAAGGAGTGGACATGTTTATCGAGTCACTCGCCCGTCTGAATCACAAAATGAAGTCCTCCGGCTCCGACATGACCGTCGTCGCCTTCCTCATCTTCCCTGCCAAAACCACCAGCTTAGCAGTCGAAGCGCTCAAAGGCCAGGCCGTGCTGAAATCCCTCCGCGACTCGATCGACCACATCAAGGAGAATGCCGGGCGGAAACTCTTCGACAAGGCCTTGGCGTGGCATGAGGGTCAAGATCCACCGGATGAGAAGGACCTCCTTACACCGCAGGACAAGATTATGCTCAGGAGACGGTTGTTTGCCATGAAGAGATATAATCTGCCGCCGATTGTGACGCACAATATGGTCAATGATAGCGAGGATCCGATCCTGAACCAGTTGAGGAGGTGTCAGATGTTCAATCATCCTAGTGATCGGGTGAAGGGTGAGTCAAGAACAATCTCGTAACTGAGCAGCCTGCTGATTTCTTCGGTGTCTAGTCGTCTTCCACCCCGAGTTCCTCTCCTCCGGCAACCCCGTCCTCCCCATGGATTACGACGACTTCGTCCGCGGCACCCACCTGGGCGTCTTCGCCTCCTACTACGAACCCTGGGGCTACACCCCCGCCGAATGCACCGTCATGGGTGTGCCATCCATCACGACCAACCTGAGTGGTTTCGGTTGCTACATGGAAGAACTGATCGAGAACGCCTCCGACTACGGCATCTACATTGTCGACCGTCGCACAAAAGGCATAGACGACAGCGTCAACCAGCTCGCAGACTACATGTTCGAATTCACCCGCAAAAGCAAACGCCAACGTATCAATCAACGTAACCGTACCGAACGACTCTCCGACTTGCTGGATTGGAAACGAATGGGCATGGAATATGTCAAGGCGCGGCAGTTGGCCTTGAGACGCGCGTACCCGGCCTCCTTTGGTGAGGACAGCGAGGAACCTGGTTACTTTGATGGGACGGAGAGTGTCAAGATTGCGCGGCCGTTGAGCGCGCCGGGCAGTCCGAGGGATCGGAGCGGGATGATGACGCCGGGGGATTTCGCCAGTTTGCAGGAGGGGAGGGAGGGGTTGAGCACGGAGGATTACATTGCTTGGAAGTTGCCTGAGGAGGTTAGTACTCTACGCCTACATCCACATCCCATGACACCTGATCGAAATTTTTTGCGGTGAGTGAGGACGATGTGCTGACGGTGTGTGTCTGCGATTTACAGGAAGAAACGGAGGATTATCCTTTCCCTCTTACGCTTAAGCAGAAGAATAAGATTACGGGTGAGCTTGAAAGTGGTGCGACGACACCTACGCTCAATGGCAATGGAACTGGTGGTGCGGGTGCAGCTGCAGGGTTGGGGATGGGTGGCATGGCGGGGATACCCGGGGTCGGGGCGACGGGAACGGCTAGTGGGAATGGTCTTGGAGTTATGGGGCAGGGGGTTTCGAAGCAGTAGAGCTGGGTGCAAGAGAGGATCTGAGCTGTGAGGGAGCGAGTAAAGAGTCAGTTGTGAGGGGCAAGAGCAGTAGGAGGGAGGGTCATGGACATGGACATGGATAAAGACACCTTCTGGAACGCAATAGCGTGGATGGTTGCGTGGGCGGAAAGGAAGCTGAAACTGTATATGCGAAAGACAAGCATCCTCGATCTTGTAGAAAGGGAGGTCGCCGTGCTGCGTTGTGATGGTGGGCATGCTCGTGCAATAGCTATCTCCTTGTTTGCATGTATGCATAGTTTTTGCTTCTAGGCCTCATCTCTCCTGCACCCCTGCCTTTGCCGCCGGATGCAGAGAGCCCTACCGCTGCAGGCTAAATTGCTGGATCCGCGCTACGGCGTGACTTGACACCTCGAGGCGGTGTTCGAGCAGTATGAGAGATGTCGAATCTCATCAGTGTCTCGTCTCACGGATCAGTGATCTGGAGGCTGGATCATGGCGACCTTCCGGCTGACACGACGGCAAAAGAGACTACTGCAGCGAGGCTCCTTGGCTATCCTCGCCTTGATCGCGATTATCACGATCTGGAACCGGCTTCGTTCCAGCGGCAGGTCTGACCTTTCACGCTTCAAAGTATCGAATGTCCGGGAGATCCTTCCCCCAAGGAAACGTGACGGCTGCCTGGCCACTTACGAAGAGGAGAATATCGTCATCATTGTCAAGACCAGCGCCTCTGGAGATCCAGGGCGGCTACAAGTACAATTACAATCATCACTCCGCTGCGTCAAAGATCTCCTCATCGTCTCGGACTTGGATGCTGTGGTAGATGGATACCAGATCCACGACGTACTACAATCCGTCGACCCGGCTATCCGAGATCATGATCCGGACTTCGACCTCTACCATGCTCAACTTACTCTTTCAGCCCAAGGTTTTACGCCCGAGCGACTCGGGGATATATTTCGAGGGAGTCCTAAAGTGGCGGTGCTGGAGAAGTATATAGCTTTACAGATGCTGCGGAGGGCCTATGAAGAGATGCCGGGACGGGCGTGGTATGTCTTTCTTCAGAGTGATACGTATCTGAACTGGGCGAATCTTGTAACTTGGTTGGAGCGGATGGAGGCGAGCCAGGGGCTCTTCATCGGCGCACCGAACGTCAAGGCCGGGATTAGATATAATGACCTTAGTAGCGGCTTCGTGCTCTCGGCCTCTGCTCTGCATGCCCTCGCTACTCAGCCGGCGGAGTTCTTCGCGGCTTGGGAGAAGCGGACGGCGCGGGAGGGAAGTGGGGATATGGTGCTCTCGCTCGCTTTGGCAGACGTCGGACTGAATGTTAGTGGTGTGTGGCCTATGCTTGGTGGGGACTCGTTATATGAGACGGCTTATGGGAGGGCAGGGGCGTGGTGCCAGCCCATCATTACTTTGCGAGGTATAGATGGGGAGCAGATGAGTGAATTGTGGGGATTGGAGAGGGAGGTGGAGCAGGCAGGGGTATGTATCGTCTTCCAAACTGTGAGGAGACGTGACGCTGAGAACATATATAGCGCCCTCTGACTTACCGAGACCGCTACCACACGTTCCTGCCGAGCGGGCTCCCCAGCGTAAAGCCAGACTGGGATAATAGCTGTCCGGGCGGGCAAGCCTATCTCATTCCGCACCCTCCTACCGCACCAGGCGACAACGAACCGGGCTACTCGATGCAGTCCTGCGGCACAGCGTGCAACGCTAGCCCGTCTTGTATGCAGTATCTGCATCGGAACGGGGAGTGCAGACTCTTCTCTTGTTTTACGCTGGGGAAAGCGAGAAGGCCGGACGACGGGAGGAGTTGGCATAGTGGCTGGAGGCTTGATAGGATTGAGGCTTGGATTGAGGAGGAGGGTGAGTGTGAGGTGGAGTGGGTGGAGCCGGACTTTGAGAATAGGATGTATGGAGGTGTAGTTTGATTAGATAGTGTTGCTCACCAACGGCTATTGTGCTGCTCGTCACTGCACGTGCGGTCTTTCAGCTCTCTCCTGCATTCCGAGCAACATCGGATACGTGAAGATCCAGTCCAAAAACCCGCCGCCGTTGACCACGACCCATTTTCTGATACCAGTCGCTGCAATCTGACCTCTGAATCTCAGATGGACGAGCGTCCGCGGTGTGCCATCAGCGTCCGTGTCAAGCTCGTGTAGCATCAGCGTCCAAGTAAACCTCGCACCATATCGATCACTCCGATATATCAACACTTCCTCTGAACTAATAGCAACCACATCGAAATAGTCCTCAACACTAAAGCCGTAATCATCAACACGATCACCGGGCTTGAGATCTTGCCAAGCGGGATTGACAGAACGAGTCGCTCGCCAGCTCTGAGGCATCCATTTCTCCCACGAAGCAGGACAGTACCAGCCTCCGCGGCCTTTGCCGAGTTGGAGCATCCATGGCCAGATCTCTGCACGTGAGGCATGCATGGTTCTGGTTTGGTCGTAGACCATTACTGCGTTGGGGAGGAGATTGTCACCTGAGAAAGGTGCGAAGTCCTGGAGCCGCGCCATGATCGTAGGAACCAGCCGCGAGAATATCCACGTGACAGGAATGCTTGGCGGTCACACAGTTCTGCGAAGTCGACAGCAGCCACCTGCGGACAATTAGCAGCAACGACTGATCGAGGTCGAAAAGATCACTTGCGGGTCTCCCGACGTCAACGCTGCACTCCAGCTGGTATCGTGACTATGAGTATATAGTAGGATGGTCCTCGTGATATTCGCACGGGAACTAGCGCGAAGACTGGCTAATATTGCTTGTATTACTTCCGGGTGCTCGTGAGGTATCTTCAGCAAAGCTCACCACGACGATGTCGCAGTCGTGAGCATCAAAGAGCTACTCGACGCTGTCATTCAAGAGACTGGATGGAAGAGGATGATAGCGATGAAATATCTTCGATATCTATGATCGTCGTTGTTAGTGGAGATCCAATACGTGAACGACAACCGAAGTTTGTCCCACTTCAACACGGCTGACACACCCGACGGGCCGCCTTCTTCCACATCACCCCTTCCAACTTCCATGAAACGTCTCGACCGTACACTTTCGCCGTAGACGCCAGCGCTGCTGCAATCTACTCGCTCTACTCTGTCTTTGCATCAAAGCTTTGCGTGACCTCGTCTGCCATGCTTAGTTTCATATATAATACCAGCCAGAACAGCGGCAAAATGGTCAGGCTGGCAGGAATTCATCTGGATATTCTATCTGGAGCAGTAGGCGCATGAAGGATATTAGTTGTGAGATGTCACGGTACAGGATCATATAAGACGACTTCCACCAGCATACTTCTTGGCTTCTGGTTCTTCAGTAACATCGCTGCCACATACTAACGCATTTCCGTTCACCACTTTCGTTTCTTCATCTCATCACGATGCTGGCTCAGACTTCCCTCCTCGCCCTGGCGGCGCTTCTCCCTTTCTCACTCGCTCAGATCTCGGACGGGTTCGAGAATGGCTGGAATAACAACACCTGGCCTATCTACGCTCCCGACTGCAACCAGGGCGGTACCGTCACGCTTGACAGCACCGTTGCCCACAGCGGCAAGAACTCGCTCAAGGTCACTGGTGGCTCGAGCGGCTACTGCGGACACATTTTCTTTGGAACCACGGCTGTCCCGACTGGCAATGTCTTTGTCAGGGCGTGGATGTAGGTTGAAGCTCGTCGTTCGATCATGATTGACACCCTCCTAACACTGTCTGCAGGCGCCACACCCTTGCTCTCGGCTCTAACCACGTTACATTCATTGTGATGCCCGACACGGGTCTTGCCGGCAAGCATCTCCGCCTTAGTGGCCAAGAACAGATCTTCGAGTACAACCGCGAGTCAGACGATGCCACTCTCCCCGACCTTTCGCCCAACGGCGTTGCCTCGTCGACAGGCTTCCCCACCGCCACATGGGAGTGCGTCGAGTACAACCTTAAGAGCGACGGCACGATCGAGACCTGGGTCAACGACCAGCTCATCAGCGGTCTTACAGTCGGCCCCGGCTTCACCAACCCGAACTCCAATGGTTGGGGCAGCGCATACAAGCCCGCCATCACCGGTGTCTACTTCGGCTGGGAATCCTACGCCGGCAGCGTCGACACTGTCTGGTACGACGACATCGCCATTGCTTCCTCCCGTATTGGTTGCTCCGCCACTGGTGGCAGCTCCGCCACTCCTGTCGGCCCTGCTTCATCGACGGGCACACCTAAGACTACTGCGCCGGCGAGCAGCTCGACGCCAGTGACTTCTGTCAAGCCAACCACCACATCTAGCCCAGCCACATCGTCCAAGCCAACCACCTCGGCGGCACCGACATCAAGCGTCCCGGCTAATTGCCAGGTCGTCTATGTTGATGTGTAGATGAAGGATGTCGGTGCTAGCGTACAAAAGTGAGGTGGGTTTCTTTCATGGCAAGCGTGCTTAGATGAACGGTTTGGACAGGTCGATGTACTTCACGGTAGATCTGCTACTGCTCTAAATAAAGCCTCCAACCAGGATTTCATCGTTGTCACTCTCCTTTCAAAGTGGTTCAGGGATTTGACGTAAGCTCAGCTTTCCACTTCGCTTAGTGGTCTGCTCTCTGAGTGGGACGTGCCCGATCGTTGTCGCTCGCACGCCTTGACAAAGCAAGTCCACGGACAAATTGTGACCCGGAGCTATTCTTCCGCGATACTCTTTGTTCTTCAGCAACATCGTTTACGCTGGCTTTGATGTGCATTCTACGTTCAAAGGGCGAAGTCAATGGCATTGTTGTCAACGATAATGGATGTCCAGGCAGTGCGCATTCACAGTGGCACAATGTATATTGTCTTTGGCGCCATGCTTTCGAATCCTGTTCTGCGATTGAGCATACGACTGAACACCAAGCGCAGGACGCTCAAGCAAGCAGAACCCCCATTGTATTGTCTTCGGGCCGGACTCAAGTAAGACAACTATTCTATCACCGATTATTCGCAGCACATCACATCGATCGCACCAGAAATGTCTCATCAGAACCTCCCATCGTGGACACCTGCACCGGAAGGCCCGAGCGATTCCACCTGTTCGACGTCTTCCTCTCGATCAGAGGGAGAGATCATGGACTGGGACTCGGAATCGAACTCGGACTCGGACTCGGACGTGGGTATAATCATCAACGATGATTCCACCCCAGAACTACCCAACCCTTCGATGGAGCACTTCAAGCAAAGATATGTCCTAATTCACCGCCTAGGTGCCGGAGATAATGGTGAGACGTATGCAGCAAATACTAAGGATCATGCTAACCGTATGCTCGGCCTGAAGCGCCTAGGCTACCCCATCAGTCTAAATACGAAGGACGTTGTAGTTGTAAAATTCTACAAGCCAAACAATCTTGAGGGCGACTTGACCAACGAGATCACGTTCATGACGGAGTCCATGAGGGGCACCCATAGCCTGCTCACCCACGCCATCGACCCCCACTACGATGGTGCGATTCAATAGTTAGCACTACCATATTGCAACGGCGGTACACTTCAGAGTTTCATCGCCAAGCATGAAGATGCAATCACCACATCTTTCATCTGGCACGTTGGGCTTCAGCTCGTGCAAGCTGCATGCTATTTGCACTTTGGCATTCGTGATCTAAACAGGATGGAAACAGTGAGAGATTGGCCGCGCGTCTATCACGCCGACACATACACATGTAACATCCTGCTCAAGGCCGATGAGGATCCAAGTCTCTTTCCGGACGTCGTCATCGCTGATTTCGGCCGAGCGAGGACATGGAAGCAGCGAACAACCAACACTCCTGCGGACGAAGAATACGATGCACTTTTCGCCAAAGACCAATTTCGTGATATTAGATGTATCGGCAGAGTCATGGATACCATGCGGGATTCGGTCGAAGAGAACAAGTGCACCTGTGTCTGGCCGAAGTGCAACGATTGCCAAGCTCAACAGGCGGCTAGCTCGTCCTATGGGGTGTTGAATCGGTGGATTGATCAGCTACTTAAAGTCAAGATGCAGACAGAATTGCGCATGACAAGCCTACTGGGCTTCTTGAAGGACTTTGTGCAAGCAGGAAATGCTGAGCTCCTGAGGACCATGCAGCCCCTGCCACTCGCTACCAGCAACTTCTTCTACTGCCGCAACCTCAAATGTGGATCCATTTTCGAGTCCTTGTCGAACTTCGAAGCTCACGACCCTCAAGCCCACCAAATCTCCCGCTTCTCTGATAACCACGAGCTATCACTCCTGACATCAGACTCTCAGCGGAATGTTATTCTGCGTGAGATCTATCGTGAGGTCACTAATACTCTGCCAGGTAGGTACATCTTGTTCGTAGAAAAGATCACGAAGAATATGACACAGGAGCTGAACAACGCTGCCCTGCTCGGTCTGTTGTGTGATGAGAAGGCCAGGGCCGCGGCTATGGATAAACAGCTAGACTTGTTGCTGATACTCAAGGCATATCAGACCGGCGGGACCTGCGACGTTACCAGTCGCGCTCAAGGCTGCGTACAAGGCAGATGAACGAAGCAACAGCTCTGAGATTTTTAGTCAGCGTGCGCAGAATAGCATGATAATCTATCTTACCCCTGTCCCGGTTGACTTACCATGCATCGGTCGCAAGGACAGAGAGACATGTTGTCAGCAGTGTGCATCCTGATGGCGCAGTAGAACTACGAAGACGTAGCTTATACACGCAAACATCGCCCTTCGCTGTGCGGCCAGAGATATAGATCCCTTTGAAGACGTGTTCCAATCCGATGGAGCTGCTGTTGCTTCCATGGCTCTTCCTACCAGACAGAGCTTACATGGCGGCACATCGTCCTCCTTGGTAGCGTTGAGCGGATCCACCGCGTTTAGAGAATTGCTCAGAGACCTGGAAGAACTGCTGATAATTGTGGAGGGTCCCTTTCTGAGAGATGTCTTGCATATGTACACAATCATCGGCCTGAGCACCGCTGGATATACAAGCGGCGCGGAAGAATAGTCTTTTGACCCCAGCGAGCTGCTGTCGACCATGGAGAGTCTCTCTCAGAGACAGAACTTTCATGTACACATGTCATCCTTTTCAGCACCTCCAGAGACATCTAAGCTGGTCCATTTCATATTGATTAGGCTGGGAAATAGCAATGGCGCTAATGCAGGAACCCGAGCCACCGAGCCGCCGATCTGCGACCAGGGCCCCGCAAACAAACATTGGTTGCTAGCGAAGCTCTTACAGCAGGGCGACATTGAAGTTTTCGATGCATCTCTCTCACGAAAGCTATCGCTTGATACATCAAGACGTCCTCCCGGCCACATTCTTCGGTCGTTCCAGCGGAGATGGGTGCGCCACTGATGCCGCCGAGATTTCCCTGTTGGTGCCAGGCCACATACTCATGGGGAGGAGAGACCAAGAAAGACCTCGGATTCATCGAGGGTGACCTCATAGAGGCACTCAATGCCGGTGACGGATCGTGGTGGATGGGACGATTACGAAGAGATCCTCGAGCTATCGGGCTCTTTCCAAGCAATTTTGTGAAAGTATTAGACGAGAGCTTTCAACCCGGGCATGCGAGTCGCAATCCATCGCCATTACCGGCACAATCAAAGGCATCCCCGAGTCCGGCGAAGACGAAAAGTGTGTTCAGGCGGCCGTTCGATGCGTACGGAACTATTGGTGCGAGCGGGAGTCCTGGTACGAGAGACAGCACATCGGATAGTGATCGCGAGAAGAGGAAAGAGAAGAGCAAGTTCCGACCCTACTCAAGCATGAAGACAACACAAGCGCCATCTCCGGCGCCTATGAAGCCACTTCAACAGCAAGAAGGGCCACGTATACCGGCACCACCTCCTCGAGGCCACTCGAGAAGGCCGTCTCGTGCGCCCTCTGCCTCTCCGACGCCGACGCCAGGTTATAGCCAGCCACCGGCCAATTCGATGTCGCGAGCGGCTTCTCCGCAACCGAGCTATCGCGCTCCATCGCCGATGCCATCACGCAGTCCATCACCACTTCCCCAAACCTACCATGATGGCTCCGCATACCCTCAGCTATTGCCATCGTCGAGGGGCCCGTCTCCAAACCCATATCAGCAACAGGACAATTACTATGGGTCGAGAGCACCATCTCCAGCACCTTCTTTTGGATATCAACCATCCTATCGTGCGCCATCGCCCCAGCCGTACGAAGAAGATCTGGGATCGTCGCCACCTCCACCTCCTCCACCAGCGCATCGTGTAGCGTACCAGCAAAGCAGAGCGCCATCGGCGGTGCAAGATTATCAGCACGGCGAGTACGACCGAGGTATGAGCAGGACCCCCGTACCGCCTTCTCCTAGTGGAGATGGAGGTAGTCATATGACACCTTCGCCACTGAGAGATGCTATGAACGATGTCATGTCATCATTGCACGACATGAGCATGTACGGCGAGACCATCGATGAATACCAGGAGCAGCAGTCGCATCAGCCGTCGATGGCTAGTAAAGTATGGTCTCCGGCCGAGTTCGATCTCGTACGCACACGATCGCAGCAGCAGCATGGCCGCGCGCAATCATCGCTGGGCTTTGCTCAATATAACGAGCAGGAGACATCATTGCCGCCTTCGCGAGAGGGGCTACCGGAACTAAGCAACTACGTTCAACGCATGGAACATCAACTTCGGCACACACAATCTACCATCTCCCACGTTAGCACAGGCCCACCCGCATTACCGTTGAAAGGCGCACAATATGCACCAGGCCGGTCACGTCCAACGACTGCTGGTAGTAGCTCGAGCCATGGCTCAGGTGACTGCGCCCTGAACTCACTCAGAAGTCAGCCACCAGTCCTGAAGCATCAACGCTCAGCATACGAGCTCGGCCGTGAACGCCTGAACCGCACCTACACCACAAAAACCAACGCGACGAACTCCACAGAGTCTTCCTCGGCTACACAAAGCAGCACAAGCACGGCAATGACTAGTCGGAGTATCATGTCTGGATATTCAGCTGGCGGCTTCAGCGCCACGAGCGCAGGCAGTCTAGCTCGGAGGAAGTTCGGTCTAGGTAGCCAACGAGGACAACGCCCGAAGTCTTCGTACGAGGTACGACAGGCCGGCGACACAAATTCCAGCTCTCGTAGCAATGCCGCAAGCGAGTACACTGGAGGCTCTGGGCCGAGTTTCCATGAAAGTCATGCTTCTGGGAATCAGCCTCTTACAACACCCACTGCAGACTGGACGAAAGATCCGGTGGAATCAGCAGGTATACTCGGTGGCCTGAGTGCTCCGAAAGCAGCGCGAAAGTCGGGCTTCTTCAAGAAGATGATTGAGTCTGCGAAGACATCTGCACGCACCGGCGCAGCAACTGCTCGTACCACACTTGGTAGTGCAAGTGGAAGTAGACCGGGCAGTAGAGCCGGCAGTCCAACAAAGAGTCTTATGGCAGGCATGGGTCCGACTGTGGTCGCCCCAGGCATTGGCTCGAGGCCGGGCTCGGCATTCGGTGGTGGGAATGCCGCTAGAGATATGGGCCTAGGTGGTGGCGGAGAGTGGATGCAAGTTCGCCGCGATATCAACCGGTCCAACTCACTGAGCCGCCGAGAACGGGAAGAGCGCATGGAACGATCAGACTTGCTCGGCTTACCCGCCATAAATCCAGTCGACGCCCTCCACGAGATAATAGAAGGCGATGAAGGTTTGGATGGCTTATGTATCAGCGACCCAAGCGACTTCCACACGACAACCCTTGCACTAGTAGACAAGAGCACCCGCTTCATCCAAAGCATACCGCCAATGGTCACTGCAGCTGCGCTGGCGCAGAGCTACATATGCCGCCCTCATCGATCGGATGTGCAACGTCTACGCGCGATCTTTACATGGGTTTCAGAGCGCATTACATGGGAAGAAGACTACCAAGGCGAAGTGGATACTCGCCGTACTATCTCCAGCAAGCGCGGCTCGAGCCAAGAGATCGCTGTCCTGGTCAGGGAGATGTGTACGGCTGTTGGCCTATTCGCGGAAGAAATCCAAGGGTACCTCAAAGCACCGGGCGAGATCCTGGATCTGGACACAGTGCAGCATGCCAATCACTGGTGGAACGCCGTCATCGTTGATAGTGAGTGGCGCGTTATGGACTGCTCGCTCGCAAATCCAACCAACCCACGACGAAATGCGTATACCAGCGCAAACTCACAAGTGGCAGAGTCATGGTATTTCCTTGCTAGACCTAGTCAGATATGCTACACGCATATCCCGCTTCTGACGGAGCAGCAGCATATGGTGCCTCCGGTGAACGTAGAGGTACTGATCAATCTGCCGTGCGCAACACCGGCTTATCATAAGCACGAACTGGAGCTTGCGGACTTCAATACTTCTGCTCTGCATCTGGAGAATCTGGATATGACACAGATTCATATCACCGTCCCAGAGGATGTCGAATGCGTTGCTGAGACAGAAGCAAGAGCTTTCGCGCAGGACGCCGATGGAGATTGCTTCGAGAGCGGCGACGTGACGATCAAGAAAGCCTTCGCGCAAGCGGAATGGTGTGCAGGACGTAAACACTTCACTATCAAAGCCGTGCTGCCAAGCGACGAAGGCCAAGCGACCCTCAAAATCTACGCTGGCAAGCGAGGCCTCATGCACTCAGCAAAAGACAACCCGCATGCTCTGGCTCTGGCTCTACCGTTAACGCATACGGGACAGAATCCTTCATACGACTTTCACATCCGCCACCCAACACCCCACGCCCAACGCCACGACCTCTACGTCGTACAACCTCAGTGTGGAAAGTTAACCCTGAATAACACCTTCGTCTTCTGCATCCGCCAGCATCCTTCCAGCCTGTCGAGGTTCACGCCCGATACTTGGGGTACCAACACCACAGGCCGTCCCGCGTCACCGTCAAACAATCAACCTTTTGCCCGTCCAGGCAGCGCAATGAGTATGGTGTCCGCCTTTTCCGCCTCCGTCTCCCACGCCGGCTCGAACAGCGACTACAGCTCTTCGTCGTCCAACAACAATGATCAGCCAGGCGGTATGACAGCCGCACAGTCTAAGCCAGCTAAACTAGCCATCCAGACACCCAGCCAGAAGATCATCCGATTGACGAGAAAGATGGACCACGTCTCTCGACCCGGAGGAGGCGAAGATGATGGATTGACGACGAGTTGGGAAACTGTGATCAAGATTGGGGAGAGGGGGACTTGGAGGGGCTTGGTGCTTGCGGATAGGAGTGCGAGGTGGTGTGTCTTTGCTGAGTGGGAGTGCTCTTGAGTGAAGCTTCGTGGAGTACTTTGGAACGGAGCACTGTATGATATGATATAACATGGTGTTTTTACGATGATAGGGATATATGGTGTAGAGTATAGATCCTGAGCTAGTATATGGTAGCTTCTTTCCAGCAAGCCATGCGCATGGGATAGGCACCAACATCTCTCTGCTGCCTGTAAATTCATTAGTTCCTTGACGCCCTTGTGCATCGCCATTCAGTCAGTAAGCAAGCGCATACTGCGAGGACTTATGCTCTCAAGATGTCTCTAATTTTCTACTGGCCATCATTGACAAAGCATGACATTATACAGGTGAGGTCAATGCAGCGGCAGGTCTTGTGACTGACTCGATCAAGTCCGGTGGACGAATCTGGTTTCGATTTACTCAATGATAGATGATTCAGCAATCTATGTATAAGCGATATACAAGAATAAGCAAGTCATTAGTACCAAGATCCCAGATCAGAACGCGATTACAACCTTTCGAAACCGTGTACCCTCCCTTCCATCTTTTGTCCACCTACCAGTGGACGCCATAAATCAAATGGTTCTTGATAGTCACCAGCACAGATAATATCATGGTACTGGACTGCTCTGCTTGTCTACGTTGACGGGGAGGGCACCAATGTATCTCCCGACTGAGGCGCACGCCTATAGCCGCTAGAATTTTCGATATTCTGCATCTGCACTGGCATAGGAAGATGACCCTCTTCGCCAGTGGCAGTAGAGGGCAAAGAAGTAATCTCCTGGTCGTGCGGATGCGCGTTCTGGACAGCTACCACCTCTGGCTGCTCGGCAGTTGCAGTGGTCCCGTCAGCGTGTACGACCTTCCGCTTTTTCATGACCTACATGTATCGCTTCCTGCCGTGGCGCTCGGACGGTGCTTGTGCCTCCCAGTCCTTGTCGCCACGAAGGAATTTGAATACACGCATGTGGACCGGACGGAGACCGCTAACCTCGTGATCAGAGTCTTGATCCATGACGGCGGAATTGTACTTGAGAGCCTTGAGAATTTGGTGGTAGATCATGCTCATGATGCCACCAGCTAGTGGTGCGATCCAGTAGATCCAATGGTTTGCCGGGAACTTGCCTGCGACTGCAGCAGGGCCTAAGGAACGTGCGGGGTTCAGAGAGCATCCGGTCCACGGAACAAGGAAAACGTGCAGGACGAAGAGGGTGAGGCCTATACCAACAGGCGCGAGGTATGTTGCACGATGCTGTAAAAGTGGGTCAAATTCCGCACGTTTAGCATTTCGCATGGTGCTATTATACCTTTTCGACGGCCAGCATCAGTACTGCGAAGACCAGGACACTAGTTCCCAGGAACTCAAGAAGGGCACCTTGTGCCTGGGTGACCTGATCAGAGATGGTCGTGTTGACTATATCGATGCCGAAAGTGCCAGTCGGGGTGAGACCAAGGACAAGTGCGGATGCGATGATGCCACCGAGTAGCTGAGCGATCAACAGGAAGAATGCACGAGAGGTGGTGAGCACACCATTGAGCCAAAGCGCCAAGGTGATGGCCGGGCTATCGATAAGTCAGTGGACATTTCGCAAAGGCACAAGCGCTGTACCACGACTCACTTGAAGAGTCCTCCCGTAATGCGATAGAACATCCAGGCCGTCACCAGGAGGGAGAGGCCGAACGCAGTTGCAATCATCATGATAGTCTGCGAATCGAGCGGTGCGTTCGTCTGTGTTTGAGTAGCAGTCCTCGCGAGGTTCGCTGTCTTTGCAGCACCTTCAGCCCGTTGTCAAGGACGTCAGAACATTTGTCCCCACTCCCCATCGAGCAGCTCGTTAGGGTTTCGACACTCACGATGAACAGGAACATGGCGGTGCCGACCATCTCACCGATCGCGGCCATACTGTGCGTCTTGACCTGCTCATTATTTGCCCGCAGGGACAGTCCCTGAAATCGTTTGCCCATGGCGAAGATACTGGTGTATCCCTGGCTGGCAGGGGTGCTGATACAAAGGCCCTGGTCGGAATCGGGAGGGAGTAAGGCACGCAGCTTATACGCAAGAGCTATGCGAGCGACGATCAAGTGACGCCTGTGCACCTTCCCTCATTTGCCTTGCACACAACGCATTCAATAATTGTGAGCCTGATCGAGGACACGCTATCGTTGAATCGACCGCGTTAGACAAGCGTTGTGACGCAAGGTCCAGACCTTCGTCAGCCATCGTGCGCTGCACGCTCCGTACGAAGCTGGTCCAAAGGCCACCAAGGAACCATGATGGGAGTCTTGAGCATATCTCTTGCCCAATCCACGATTTCAATCGTCCGAGCTCTTCCGATGGTTCGGTTCGTGAACGGTAAGCCACATCTTTAGTCGAACCTACATCCACGTGACTAGCTGTCAAGCCACTCACGAGCTCTATCGTCCTTCCAGCTGGAGGAGGGGCTGCTGTAGTAGTGATATAAAAGTACCGAGACATCAAGAGTAATTCTCCGCGGCAATTTCTGTTAAGCTCGGCGATCAGGGCCAGTATACCGGTATACAAGACGACAGCCACATCGATGGCTGAGACCAAGTCCAGAGACTGGGATTGGCTTCGGAGAATAAGTGGTTTGTGTTGGCGCCACGCACGAACGCTCGGAAATATAGATTGTGTGAACTATAGCAGCTTATAGCATGATTTACACAGGCAACCTTAAGGAAGCTTTTACAATTCGGAGATTTGTGATCGCGTTTGGTGCTCGGTCGCTGTCGTGGTCGATTCCTGGGGTCGGGGTGGGGTTACAGGCTCGGTGCGAGAATTCATTGCTCGAGCATTCAATGCGCATCACGAGGCCCGAACTCCTGTCCTGTCCAGGCGTATGTACAATCTTTCAAGATAATACCCAGCATCCTCATGTCTCGTCCTCAGCCAGGCGGCCTCGGCGCTCGTAAGATACTGAATATGATCGCACTTACATCCCACCTCCCTCGCCGGATTGGATGTGGGTCTCTTCGTGGCACAAGTGAAGTCCAGTATCCAATAATGACTGGCTCCATCTACTTATAGGCGACAAGAGTAGAACCCTTCCTTCCCAGTCGTTCACTTCAATGTCAATATATCCCATCTATCCTCCTCGAAATCGCCAGGCTCCCACCCACTGTCACTCAACCACGATCCAGGTTTGTCGTAATTTTCGAGGTATACCTCCCCCACATACAAGAAATGATGGTTAGGACGGAGATGCGGGTGCTTGGTAACCACCTTCCGCAAGACCACTGGCAATGAAACATCAGGAGTGACCGGGATTCCGAGATCATCTGACGAATGCGACATGGTCTCCATTGATGTTCTCGGGGTTGACCTAGACCAAACAGATGGTAATAAAGAGCGATGTTCAATCCGTGTTGCACTCCGAGATCGACTTCGACTGCTATGCGAGGTCGCTCGCGACGGGATGGACAAGAACGAAGAGCGCTTCGTGGAGAACACAGCATTTCGGGAATGCTCGTGCGGACCGTGAGACTGTGCCTGAGACTCAATGTTCAAGACTGGAGAAGACTGCCCACTCGGCGGCGTACTGCGAGCTTGACTGCGTCTGTTTCGGGACATCTGCGCAGAGGGCAATCGAAGTGCATATATCCTGTCACCCACTTGGGCCTCCTGATACACGATTCTTAGCTGGCCACTTTCGGTTAAGGCGATGCGCATGCAGTTGCGCTCTAGTCGTTGGAGGCCGTCTTCAAGCATTCTATGTTCGATGGCAAAGTCTGTGCCGCACATGGGCTTCGATTGTTGCACAATATCTAGACAGTGCTCCCCAAGTGTTCTACCATCTACGAACAGCTTTCCATTGGTTCTGAGCCAACCTGGCAGTGAGACCGAGTCTTCGTGGCCACTGTCACTCAGACAGCCTTGGAGTAGCGTTGCAGAAGCGATAGGATACGCTGGCGAATGGACCTTAGCCGTACAACTCGGCAGCCCACATTCGTGCGGTTGTATTCCAGCACGGAGGGTCAGTGCCCGCCACAAACTTTGCCAGAAAAGGTCTTGTGGGAGCACTTTTGAACCTCGAAGCTTAGACTTCTTCTTTGTGCTGGCATACGGATATCTTGCGGTTTTGCGATTGTCTTTGACCGATGCGGTGATGGCTCGAATTTTGTCCAATCTGACACCTCGCATGCTCAAGTCGTCTTAGTCATCCTTGACTCGATCAGTTTTAGCAACCCGGCCACGTGCAAGAGAGCCGTCTGCATTGGACTGTACCAAGTTCCAGATCCAAGAAGGATAAATGCTCTCCGTGTTACTCCAGTCTGGTGTCCAGCTGTTGGTGATGAATCGTGCAGTATGCTTAGAACCAGGTGGCGTATGGCGGTTCAACAAGAGCACGTCAACGTAGCCATGCTCAATCAATGCTCTGGTCATGTCTCGGAAGACAACTGCCTCGTCGTCGCCGTAGCTTGGGAATGGGATAAGCGCCTCACCATCGTGAGCTAATGACCTCAAAGCGTAGATCTTGTCTCGTTTGTCTGTTGCTTGTGAGTGGTGACTTTCCAGCAGTGTGCCGAGTAGTGTCATCCTCCTCGCCGATGACACGGACTCGCGGAATTTGCGTATGCCGTCTATGGTTCCTTGTTTGTCTTGGAGTATCAGCCTCATATCAGACAGGTCGTTGGGATCGCCCAGAGCCTTCATTAAACTGTCGAAGTCTACGCTTTCCTCTCCGCACCAAAATGTTACAGAGCGCGCCATACTGATTTCTTGTATGATCCACACTCGTTGCCAGTATGGACGATCCAAGATGTTATGGACAGCCTGCTGTGTGGGTCCAAGTGAGTCTTCTTGATGATGCTTCAAGTGTCGTATTCTGAAGCGCTCCTTCATACTACGTGGTGCAGAGCCTGTCGAGGGGTCACTCAGGTACTTCATGCCAGCAGCAGAATTGTCATATGCTGGCCCGAGCCACGCATAAACCCCAATAGCCATCTGGTATATGGCACCCATCATTCTGATTTGCTGCGCTTTCTCTCGTTTGTCGAATTGCTGAATACAGAGAGCATCGATCCATATTCTGTAAATCTTTTCCGTGCGCAGTCGAACGAGTGCAGCATGGAGTTCGGGCCTAACCTTAAGTTCAACACCACTGACTCTGATCTTCTTCTCTGGTGCTGCTGTACCTTGACGATACGATAGCGCATAGTAGCCGTCCTTGGATTTATTTGGTGAGATGCGTTCGAGGCTGCACACTATGGTGGACGATGTGTGGAAGATGCGAGGTTCGTGAATGACCAAGATCCGGGTTTCTTCATCACTATTCAGTACGACTTGTCGATACAATGCTGCCAGTCCCGAGACATCCCCACCAATGCCAGCAGACCGCAGTTCCTCTTCCTGGTCTGGATACAACATGCTAGAAAGCCCAAGATGCGTCAGACTTCAAGAGTAATTAAGACTTGAGTCGAAAAGGAAGAGACGAAGCCGTCGATGTAAGACCACCGCGACGACAATCACTTATCACATCATGTTGGCTGGTTCTGAGAGTCGGCCAGGGAAACAGTAATTCGCGAAAGGCCACAACGCCTGAATCCCATCTTGTAGGGTCAGCTTGTACTATGATTGGTCAGAGCCGGCATGTTGTGGCGCAACAACGCAGGATGCAGCTGAAACTCATCACTGCTCTAAGGCTCGAGAAACTGATAGAAAGGCTGCGTGCCGTCTTTGCCACGCAAACATTTTGTTGGACTCTCTGCTCAGCCTGGCCGTCGCCATCAGCTTCGGTGGCCACGAGGCATTTTCGCTGTAGCCTGAAACCGCATGCGATGATCACAATCACTCCACCATTTCAATAACTCACATCTTCTTCCCGGTCGGAATATTGAATGCCATGACACTCTCACCATGCTTGAAAGCCCGATCGATTCTAAAGAAGCCCTTCCGATCAAACTGCACGATTGCATCCTCCTTCAGCTCCGCCACATTGCAATCAGCCAGCGCCTCGGTCTTGAACTCGGTGTCGTGGCTCAAGATATCTTCCAGCGAGTCCTCCGGGTCCGGTTTGTCTTTCGTGATCAGGTAGTCGAAATCGTACAGCGTGACAGGCACAAGCTCCTGATCTGTCGAGAGCCAAGTGATCTTCTTGCTGGTCTTCTTCACATCACCTTGAAGACGGAGTTCGAGCTCGAGCTTGGTCACGGTACGTGAGTCTGCGCCTGCTACTGAAGCCGCCATGTTGAGTGGGTTGAGCGAGTAGTGCTTCTTGCGGACAATAGCATTGCCCCAGTTCATCAAGGTGATTTCTTCATCGTCCGCAAAGCTCTGAGCATCGGCTTGATCAAGGATAATGTTCTTGCTGAACACGACCTTCTTCTTGCCCACGTCAGCATTTTTGGCATGAAGCTCTCTCTCCTCCGTACGAGCTGCTTCTGGAGCACCAGCTATAGTGCACTTGACATGATTCAACTTCTCAACAGCGGTGTAGCGGCCAGCGACAGGGTCGATGTACTTCTTGTTCGTAGCCCAGAAAGATGTCCAGTCCTGAAAGTTGATGTTCTTGCTTGGACCCTGCTTGAGGATAAACTCCTGGAGAGCCGGGATGGTCATACCACGTCTTCGGATGCCTCTGACTGTGGCCATACGAGGATCGTCCCAGCCCCACACGATACCGGAATCGACCAACTTGGTAAGCTTGCGCTTTGACAGTAATGTGCGGATGAAGTTCATGCGTGAGAAATTCCAGTTGTATACGCCTCGTAGGTTGAGTACTTGGATGAACCACTGGTACTGCGGGTCTCGGTCATTGTACTCGGTCGTCCTGAGAGCGTGGGTGATGCCTTCGACTGAGTCGACAACAGGGCAGGCAAAGTCGTACGTGGGATATATCTTCCATGTGCTGCCCGTGCGGTGATGTGGCTCGGGGTTGCAGCGATAGATGACAGGATCTCGCATGGCGCCATTGTTACTGCTCATATCCATCTTGGCGCGGATGAACCATTTCGTGCCCTCCTCACTGCCTGACTTCATCTCCTCAAAGTGAGCCAGGCTGTCCTCGACAGAAGCATTGCGATGAGAACTTTCGATGCGCTTTTCGCGCTCGTCACGGAGTTGCTCCTGCGGAGTGTTGTCGGCGTAGGCATGGCCATCCTTGATCATCTGCACACAGCGATCGTACAAATCCTGGAAGTAGTCGCTAGTGTAGGTAACCTTATCAGGCCTGACACCCAGAAGTTCGCAGTCCTTGACGATCGAGTCTTGATACTCTTGCTTTTCTTTGCTGGGATTTGTATCATCGAAGCGCAAGATCATCGTGCCCTTGTACTTTTTGTGTGCGAAGTACTCGTTGAGCAGGGCAGCCTTAGCATGGCCAATGTGAAGGTAGCCAGACGGCTCTGGTGGGAACCTAGTGACTACACCCCTTTCAGTGCCTTGTAGACCAATGTCGTAGCTCGCACCTTCGTCAACCGTTTTCTCGGTTGGCTTGGCTTGTTCGATGCTTGGGTTCTCGGTCTCGGCAATGAAGCTGAACCATCGCCATACACTGACGAGAGCTCCACCTTTGATGTATCCGAACGCGATCCGATTGCTTCTCAGTGCCTTCCATACTGTCAGATCTGCATCTGTCAGACTATAGCCAACGATATATGATCGAAGGGTGAGATGATTGTCAAGCTCGGTCAATGGCTGCTGAACTTTCTTGAGGTCGAGTGGCTCAAAGGCCTTGGACCGCTCTTGCCACTCATGGATTTGGGCTTGGTGGGCCATCATGTACGATTGAAAGAGGAAGAGCAAATATGTTTCACAATCGAGCAACGAATTGAGTCAACTTTTTGTGGTGGCGTCAAAAAGTGGGGGCCTGAGTCAGCACGTTTTGGTCAAAATCATGCTAGGGGAGGATGTTCGACATCTCTTCCGGTCATAGAGATAAGATTGGATCAAAACAGATACCCGGGACTATGTATACGTGTAGCATAAGAGCTCACCCTCTACATCCATGACCTCTGCGACTCTAACCTTGGGAGCAAGTCCTTGCATATTGATCTCATCCTCCAAGCTAGACATCTCCGTTGAGTGTCTGTGCTTGTGCCCCCCATATGATACCAGACCATATCCTGGCTGCCGCTGCTGCCATAGCCACCACAATCGGTCAAGCTGAGTGTGATGGAGGAAGAACAGCGGATCTATGGTCTTTGTCAGTAGACTCAGCATGGATAGGCCAGGATCTGCGAGACCTACCATATGGAGCAGTGAAAGTCTCAAAGTCACCTCCGATACCAAAGGGTATTGCATCGTGTACGCGGCTTTCCATAAGCTTGACGAAACTTTCGTAATCGCCGAGACTGAGCACTTCTTTGATGGACTCCGGACTAACATCATGACCATCGATATGGCCTAGCTTGCCTTCCTGGTCACGAAAGCCTCGAGACAGGCAGTGAGGATTATACTTGACATCATAGTAGTCTGCCATGATCCCCACGAATGGACCATCAACCAAGCATCGTCCTGTTCGTCCAATGCTAATCTCACCACCCACCTCACCATCGCCACCAAATCCGCTTTCGGGATCGAAGACTGGACTGAGCTCTAGCGCATCGCTGTCAAGCGTCCAGTCCCAGTACACTAAGCTGCCTTGGTAGCCGCAAGTATCTCGAAGCGTAGACTCGTATATATGTAAGAAGTATCGATGCCATGGCAAGAAAGGTGCACTATTATGCGTGTAGTAGCCTACATGGCTATGTATCCACGGAAAGTCATCGTAGGATGTCCTGTTGCTGTCTGGCACGAGGATGGACGGTTGAGACCGTAGGCATAGCACGGCTGAGATGTAGCTCCGCTGTTCGTCCTGTGACAGTGTGCGCCATTCGCGTCGTGGCAGACATCGTGGAGATGTTGCGTTTGATTGCTCGCTATCGTCTCCCGGCAGTCCGATATTGTCTGTGCCATTGGCTCCGTCTCTCGAAAGCCCGTATGCGTAGTATGCCGAAGCTGCCAGCAGTGGTATCAAGATGGTAACTGCCAGCAATATCGCGAGTGTTCGCCTGCTCTTACTGCCACTTCTTCTTGTGATGGCAGGTCTCGGGCTGCCTGGGGATTTCAATTCCTCCTCGTCTGCTGCGACCACCTCATACTGCCGTCTCTTGCTATCGAACGGCCACATCGTCCTGTCCTCACATAGTCGTGCAACGCCACAACAGCCTCTCCACTACGTGATCGATTATATCGATGAAAGAGAAGAACATCACTTACTTGCAGTCTACATGTACTAGCTCAAGCCATTTTGACAATGCAGTATTCCAGGCACGGTGTCGTCGAGCTCAGGCAGGACGAACCAATCAACTGCCAAGCATACAGCATGCGGAGCGCCACAATCGACAAGCTTCAGCCAAGAAGTGACATGCACGTTTGCTTCTTCGGCGACCATAACTATACATATATGGGTACTTCGTAGACACTATCACTGAGGGATTTGCTTATGCGGGCACACCTAGCCTAGTGACTTGTACTTCTGAGTAATCTCTACGTAGCTTCACAATGCACAAACGACTTGATGGCGGAAGGAGTACTTCCAAAGGCTCCAAAGCAGACTCGCTGTCTCGTGACCATGTCTATGAGCAGATGAGGTGGCTTCAAATCCATCATGGATACAACGCGTCGTCAAATCGGATCATCTGCAGATGACGCTGGGCTTGACAACAGCCTCTCTGCTCCCTACCATTGTTGTTCGCCTGAGTACGGAGTCCAACGAACCCGGCTGGATATATGCGATGAAATCTGATCGCTGGTGGGGCCCACACGGATAGAGTGGGCGTGCTGTGCTTTTCGAAATATCTATAGTGCTGAAGCTGCGCGAACAGATGTGTACCTCGACTACACATATCCTATAAAACTCTGTCAGCACCCATCCTCACACCAAGACCTGCACGGGAACCAGAACATTTTGGAGGCACTTACCTTTCCGCCCTCCAGTGAAGAACTGCCTCACAACAAAGACCTGCAGACCCGCCATCGCAACCATCAATCCACTCTCCAACAAGCTGAAATTGAAGATCCTCCTCTCTGTACTCCTCACCGTGCTGAAGTTCCTGTTCTCTCGGGTACGGAAATACTTCTGCTGCCTGGTAAGGGTAGAGACCTGACCAGAGAGCTTGATGACAGTCTCTTCTACGCCGGAGAGCTGTTCAGGTGAAGCACCGGCTTTCTGTGGAAGGGAGGAGCGGGGTTCGTTTTCCACCTGTGCAGTAGATTAGAGCTAGTTCTGAAGCGAGAGTCATGCGGATGTCGAGGTGAGTATCGCGGTGGTGGGTGCAATGCCTCCAATGAGCAGGGTTGGCGTGAAAGGAGTCAGAACGTACAGTAATCTCAAAATCCACCAACTTGTCCGTAAAAGTCGAGACAGTATTGTCAAAGCAGAACCGATACTCTCCAACATCATTGGCCGTGAACACAAAGTCACCTTGACGTTCCTTCTCCCCTTCCATGATCACGATCTCTTTACCAGGCTCCTTTCCAGGGCCAAAGACTTTGTAGTCGACTGCAGCACAAGCGTAAGTCAGTGATTATCCATGTTGACACACCCTTGGTGAATGACCATGAGGGGATTGGTGTATAATATTTCCGTACTGTCAAAAGACCCTCCTGATTGCACAGCAAAGTAGAAGGCTATCTTCTGTCCCGCTTGGTCGATATGGGTGTAAAAACATTCTTTCTCGTTCGGCACCAGCTTGTATGTCAATGCCGTCGCTGTTACATTTGCTACCAGGAGACTGAGGAGGGTGAGGAGGGTGGTGGTGGAGAACATGTTGGCGGTGTTTGGTGTGAGTGTATAGACAGTGTCGCAATGCTGGGTTGTAATGTGTGGACACGCCACGCAACATGTGAAGAGCAGGGGAGGAGGACCCTGAGTGAATGTGATTGGATCGCCATTTCAGCTGCATGTACGACACCGAGCCACGTCGCCATGAAGGCCAATATGTCAACAACACATAGATCGACTTGAACAGGGGACTAATGCTTCAATGAAGACGTCTTCCTGCATCCATCACCTTTGGAAGCTACAGCTTAGCCCGAGATATCCTACAGCACACTTCCTGGAATACGGATTTCTTCTCCGCTTTGGACGATATGGTTCAATGCTTGAAGGTCCCCTATGTCCGCATCAGATCGCATCTATTAGCATCGGCGTACCTCGACCAGAAGCCACACACTGTAGCATTGAAACAATGGCCATGATGGCCCCTTCATCCGCTATTGATAGTGCGCCAATGCACGCATAGCCAAGTCAAGCACTTGCGGTGTCGATACGTCCAGCAACACGATATTGCTGGTGCAAGGTCTGGTAAGCATGGTAAGCCGTGAGTGGGTGAGTTTTCCTCAGTCCAATCTCGAGCCTATCATAGCTGCTGCAATGATCATGACGCGAACTCTGTTCTCAATTCGAGCACGCGCCACGGAGCATATATGAGCAACGCAGTCCTGGAAGTCCACACTCACTTCACAATCCTCTGAGTTCCTATCACAACTGCAGTACCACTCCACCAACGATAGCCGCAAACATGGGTGTCGACTCACTTACCCCAGAAGCTCTCCAGTACAGAGACAACATCATCTTCTACTTCGACCTAGTCCTCATCGCAGCAACCCTGGTCTCATACCCGATGATCGCGCTATACCTTTTTCTGAGATATACGACAACGCACAATCGGCTCTACATCCTCCTGGAAGCTTTTCTGTCCTTGGTGGGATTCTTCGCTGTCTTCACTAGCCGCTTCTTCCTCATCTACCACGGCATTCCCTTCACCATCCTCGGGCTCCATCTAGGAATCGGGCCTTTCCTGCCTAATTCCTGCGAAACCATGAAAGCGCCTTTGAACGTCAGCAGTACATATACATGCATCGAGCAGAGATATCTCAGTCTCGCGCAAGATATGACCACAAACGGCTCCTGGCTCGCGAGCATCATCTCCGGACTGATATGGGAGGTCCTGTTAGGTACTCTGTTCGCATCAGTGGTGATCTCACCATTTGTTGTTCATGGGTCTCTAGGAGCGTGGGGGAAATGGTGGGATTGTGCGACTTGTGGCCAACCCAACATCAAAGCGATGATGATGTGCAAATTCGTCCAGTCGATGAATCCGCGAGAGAGCGTTTTCGGAAGGTTCGATTGTTTTGACAGTGGGAAGGAGGCATCAGATCAGCGACCGATGAGGGACATGAAGGAAGTCGTATGAGGCAAATTCATGCTTCCTGATTAGGCGAAGATGACCTGGACTATATGGGGTAGGAGGTCCTGTCATGATAAGTGAACTGTGAGTCTCGTGCAAGCATCTGAGAAGCAATCCCTGTTGGCAATATTGTCGTACGAAGGTGCAAAGCGACATTTGGAGGTGTGAATGAAGTCGTATGCCGTTGGGATGGAGTGTCGGCATTGATATGGTTTGTGGCTACCAGTCGCGCTGACTACTCACCAAGTCCCTTCTCGCGTTGTAGTGTTCGGGGTGTCAGTAGGATGGGAAGCGAGCATATAGCAGTAGCATATAGCAGTAGTATGATCATTAGCCTTCCCAAGCTTCGCTCTATCCTTTCGTAACCTGCTTCATATGCATTGCTTGAGACCATAACCCTACGCAGGCTTCCCCCGATTCCTCTCCCCACCCGCCTCCACCTTCAAATCCTCCTTCTTCACCCCCTCCGTGCCCTTCAGCGGTGGGAACTCAAACTTGCTCTCCCCACCCTTCAAACCCTGCCATCTCCCGATCGACCTCTTACTATCCCACACCAAAGCCCCAACATAGGGCTGCACATTCCAATGCAAAGTTAAGGTAGCATTGCTACGTTCGGCAATTCTGCCACTGATATCCGTGATTTGATACTTGGGTTTCTGACTGCTCAGCTTCAAGATGCCAGGTTGTGCACCGGCTGGATATGGCTTGGTCGTGTCCTTCTTCGACTTGGAGCCACGTTTGGCAGGTTTCTTTGCTTTCACGTCGGCTTTCGAAGAGGGGTGGATGTAGGTATTCTGATGCCAAGGTGCGTTGTCGGCGGGGATGATGGCGTCCCAGATGATGGCTTCCGAGGCTGGGATTGTGGAGGGAGTGGTGGAAGGGTAGGAAGCGGTGATGTAGGCGAAGATTTGTTTCGTGTTCCAGTTGAAGAGAGTGCTGAGGTCTGAGTTAGGTCGAGAGTTAGCATGGTTTGAGGTGAATGGAAGATGTCGGCCATGTACCAGCGTCGAGGTCGAACTTCACGTGAGCATATTCCTCGCGTTTGGTGCTGTAGTAGTGCGGGCGGCCTTTGACACTGTATTATCATTAGTCCCATACATGACCGAGTATACAGTAGATTACATACACCTGCACATTGCGCAGCTCGAGCGAGGCGGAAGGTGTCTGAGAGCTTAGCACGACGCTGAGAGCAATGGCTGCTGCGACAGCAAATGCTACAGAAGTGAAGAAGCCGAACACATTTTGTATGCGAGTGAGAGTGTTGTGCATGGTCAGAGTTGTTGACGGCTATACTGCCGACTCGTATTGTGTTTTATTGCATTGTTGAATCACGAGTTGCTAGCACGAGCAAGCACATGTTACAGTAAAGGTGAGGTGTCGACTCGAGCATTGCTTACTAAGGCAAGCCACCCACTACGACTTCGATTCTTTCCCCAGCACTCTCACCATCATTAGACTCCATGGTCTGTCATGCTTCGATCCTTCGTCTGGTCTCATCATGGCCAGCTTCCGGCTAGCTTGGCCCTTGATGAATGACGCGGGATATACCTGGTTGTAAGACTTTCGTTACGAGCATAAGCATTCCCATGGCTTGCTCGCAATGGAGAAAGTCGTCGACTCGCCACCTCGGTGAGCGAACCACTGGCGTCTCCGTCAAATCGGGATGAGAATTCGTACAATTCTTCGTACGATGAGCAGCTAGAGTCCGGCTGTGCCCGACTCCTTGTCGTGCTGCCCGCCGAATTTGGTAGTCCACTGGTCTGCCATTTATCAAGACATGATCTCAAAGATATGCCAGACTACAATGCGCTATCCTACTGCTGGGGTGATGCAACACGTACCCACCAGATGCAGCTGGATGGCAAGCACTTTGCCCTTACCACCAGTGTCTACGAAGCTCTGCAGCGTCTAAGACCCGAGCGGGACAGCTTGTGCATTTGGATTGGTCAAGTGTGCGTGAACCAAGACGGCATAGAAGAACGTGACGTGCAAGTCCAGCAGATGGGTCAGATCTATCAGCAGGCAGCCAACACTTTCATATGGCTTGGGCCAGCTCATCCAGGTATGGAGGAGTCTCTGCAAATTATGCGCCAGTTCTGCAGCGTCTCAAAAGACGATAGTTGGACGGCCTTGCACTATACTCACATTAAAATAGTTCTTTATGATTCATGGTTCCATCGTGTCTGGGTGGTGCAAGAGGCTGTGCTTGCGCAAGGATGCGTCTTCGTCTACGGTCACGACCAATGCAATGAGACTGAGCTAAGCAATTTCGCACCATTGTTCTACCGCTTTTGCAGCTCGAGAGAGATGCTTGCTCTTGATGCCAGTGCCATGGACCCGAGGGGTTGTCGCGACGGTCTCGACAGCTACCACAATATTTTCAGTCATTTGAGGCGCATTGGCCCCAAGACGAGGACTCTCGCCCTGCCATTGCTACAGATGAGCCGGAATAGAGAGTGCAGCGACGAAAAAAAACACGTCTTTGGTCTGCACGGGCTCTTCGCAAGATCGACCCTTGAAAATCTTGTTCCGAGAGTGAACTATGGGAAGAGCACTATCGAGATCTTCACAGAGACTACAAGATTGGGCATAGTGTCGGATGGTTCATGGAAATCTCTGATCGTTGCGCATGACAGAGAGGCCCAGAGCAGACACGATTCGGAAGTAGTGGCTGTGAAGGGGTTGACTCGTCTCCCTTCATGGGTGCCTGACTGGTCCTGCGGATAGTCTGCGCAACCGTTCGAGCCTTCTCTCTATCACGCAAGCGTTCAGAAAATCTGCCTTCCTTGTGATGGACTTCACGACCAACGGCGGACGCCTTCAGCTATCAGGCTCTATCGTTACAATTGTGGAGACGGTAAAACTGCGCAGCTCAAGAAATTGGAACCACGTAGACATCCAGGACTTATATGACCAGCTCGTAGCTCGTGAACACAAACACTACCCCCGAGATAAGATCTCTGATGCCTTCGCAAGGACCTTGGCCGCTGACCTGCAGGTTTCCGGGACTGATCCTTCGAAGCGATGGCCACGCGACGCCCTAAGCACGAGTGGCATGCCATGGGTACACAGCAATCTTGACTGGCAGTACTACAAGGCCATGGACAAATGTATAGGCCACCGGAGCTTCGTCTTCACACACGCGGGACATATCGGGCTCGGACCATTGGTCTGCCGACCAGATGACCTCGTTGTCGTCCTTCATGGATTCAGCATGCCAATCGTTCTCCGCAAGCGTCCTACCGGCAGATTCCACCAGATGATCGGCCCAGTATATGTGCATGGTATCATGGACGGAGAGGTCATGGAAGCCGTGGACAGGGGCGAGTACGAAATCGAGACATTCAAGATCGATTGAGACCGCACGTTCAGGAGAGTCGTGACACATTGGGTGCGCCCGCCCACGGTACACCGCTGCTCTTCCCCGTGTCCACTGCTTCTCACACTTAGGCAAAGATGGGTAGGAGGAACTTGCAATGTCTCATCGGGTAGACAGTCCATGACTGTCCGTTGCTTCATTGCTTTCACGGTCTGTCCCTGAACCAAAGACCTTGGATATCGCTGCGCCGGAGCTGCTGGCCGCGTATCGCATCATCCTCGTTTTCACCGCAGTCATCCGTTTGAATCAAATGTGACAAGAGCTTGAGACATACTGGACAAGATGGCCACTGCCCACCTGGGCAAGCATAGCTTAGGTATCTCATGGCGATAGAACTAGGGTCGTGGTAAGGAACTCCTGCTTGTGTCCGTGATCCTGTTCCTGTCATATTCGCTATGGATGTTCGTCATACGGATGAAGCCCTATAGCGGGTGGCGAAATGTTGTTCGCGAGATCTTGTGCCTGTGGCAGACGGGATGGGCAGAGGAATACTCCAAGCACATCATGACTACCGAGTGAGAGCGCAATTTCCTGACTCTCCAACGGAGGACGAGATACACTGAATGACGAAGACGGCGGCAGAGAAGCTTACACCCATGGTGGATGGCTGGATGTAGAATCTATAGCACAACCCGAGCCAGAAGCATCCCAGGAACAGATATTCTCACTCTCAAGGGGCTTCCGCAGCAACAGCAACCTTAATCCTCTTCTCCCCGGGCAAAGCACCCTGCGGCATCTCCTCCGCCTTCCTCTTCTCCACCACTTCCCTCTCTCTCCGTCTCGCCTCCCGCTCACTCTTCTCCTTCTCCTTCCTCAAAGCCTTGGACTCGAATTCATGCCAATCGCCCTCCAGATCCGCCAATTCCCAGACCTGCTGCGCCTGGGGCTCGTTGGTGAAATAACTATGCTCCAGGACGTCCGATGCCGGAGGTCGATTCGCCGGATCGTACGAGAACATGGCTTCCAGAAGCTCGAAAGCATCCTCTCTTATTCTGCTCTTATACTTGTCGCGGAAAGTAGAGGGCTGGCGGTGAGATGGGCGTAGGAGCTCGAACCATTGGAGTTGAGTGAGGCCGGGCCAGTCGCTACGGGATGGTGTGCCGAGGACGTTGTAGATTTTGTCGAGTTGATTGATCTCGCCACCATCGCCTGGGAAGATGGCATGGCGGGTGAAGATCTCGACGAGGACGCAGGCGGCGCTCCAGATATCGACTGCTGGGCCGTATTGTGTCTCGCCGAGCAGAAGTTCGGGTGGCCGGTACCAGATTGTAATCACTCGGTTGGTGTAATCTTGTGTGCTACGCTTCTGGTAGAAACGCGCAAGACCGAAATCCGCATACTTGAGCTCGCCAGTCTTGGAGACGAGGATATTTGCCGCTTTGATGTCGCGGTGAAGCACTCCACGGTGGTGCAGATATGCTAGTCCTTCGAACATCTGCTTGGCTAGGTGCTTCTTGTGACCTTCCGAGAGTGTGAAGGTTGGATGGTTGAGCAGGCCAGTCAGATCGTGAGCCTGGTACTCGAACACCATGAAGCAGTCGTTCTTCTCCACCATGACTTCCTGTAGCGGGACGACATTGATGTGATTCAGCGACTGTAATAGTTTGATCTCGCGGGTCGCTGTGACAGGAAACTGAAAACAGGTCAGCATGTAATCATTAAAGCGTTCCCAACCATGAACTTACACCATCCCGCTCACCCTCCATCCGGATCTTCTTCAGCGCCACCATCTTACCAGTGTACACATGTATAGCCTTATATACCTTGCCATAAGTCCCGCTCCCGATAACAGATTCATTCCCGGTCTTCCTGTAGTATACACTATCCGAAGCAGCAAACTCGTCACTCATTGTTGGCCTTGCCTTGATACGTTTTCTCCGCACAGTCTCCTTCTTGACAAGCTTGTTGGGAGGATCACCAACACGAGTGTTGCCGACATAATTCTGGCTCTTCGGTACGCTCGCCTGCACAAGCGGTGATACTGTCGCGGGTAGCTTCTTCGACGCCAGTGGCGATGTCTCTGCCTTCGATGCATGGGCTGACTTCTCAACTTGCGCATTTTGCACGCTCGCCCTGCCTTTTATGGAAAAGGATATCTTGTTCTTTTCTTTCTCCACTTCAACTCCGGCTCCCTCTGGCGCGATCACTACGGATGCCATCTGCGAAGCTGGTCCAGATGGTGTAGGCTTTCGTTTACGAGCACCTTCGTCCTCTGCTCGCATATCCGCGGGAGGTCGGAAGGGGTTGTCATCATCCTGTGCATCCGCGTCCGCGGTCACTGAATTCTCTCTTGACTTGTCACCAGGCTGTACTAGGCTCCCACCGCGTACACCATCGCCAGGTGTCCATGACAGATTTGCGAAGTGACCACGCCCAAAACGTTGTGACGAGCCTCCTCGTTGTGGCGTCTGACTGCCGGAGTGTGACGGTGTGTTACTGAACTGTCCCGACGGCTTCGGTTGGTACTGCGGCGCACCTGACTGTGATGATGAGCCTTGTGGGTGGCTATGGTGTGGTTGTGGGGGATGGCGGTAAGCTGGCGAACCTGCGTGTGAAGCATAGCTCGGTTGTGGATAGTTGCGGTTGTTGTATTGTGGTTGGGTGGATGAATAGCCGTGGTGGCCACCGTAAGGCGGGCCGCGATTGTGCATGTTGTCAGCCTTACGCAGTGACGTGGTTTCGCATCCAGCTCACGAGACGCTGCTCGTAGGGTGCTCGGTAATCGGTGGTAGTACTGTCAAGACTCGACAGCGAAGCCTTTTCGTGCGCAGGCGAGCGGCGTGGCGAGCGGAGGTCCTTTCAACGACGAGGCCGTGAATGATGGGATGATCTTAATATGCTCTTGTGTTAGGAATTATGATGGTCGCAGTCTGTGATGGCTAGGCCGTATCCTTAGAACAGTCGTCGTTCGCACGGCTGCGAGATACCAACGTGACCGCGGTGATGATGCGTGGGAGATCCCCAGATTCTCGTGCCTGGCAGGTGATTGTACGACTCGCGGGCTCTGTGGTCTCACACTCCTTCTCCACTGTTTGCAGCAGTTGCAACGTCGCAGTATTGGTCCCTCAAACGTGATCGCCAATCCCTATAAGTATGCCTGCGACGCCCCCCGGTCACGTCACTGTCTCTTGTTCACGCAGTCGTAAATCACCTGGCACTTCCTCCAGCTGGTGCTTCTGCACCTAGACCTTCTTCTCACCCCGGTAGTTGTGTACTAGTGACCGAGGCAGGGTTGTTCGTCCGGGCGTTTGAATATTGGGTGGGACGCGGTTGAGCGGCGTCTGTGCGACGTAGGAGATGATCGGTGCTGGCGTGTGATTGAATGGGGCCCGTTGTGGTTCGGCGTGATGATTGAGGCTTGCAGGCAGGTGCGCACTTCAGGCTTCCTACAACTTTCCCTCGTGATGCATCAGATGATTCTGTGCCTGTCCCCCTGCTGCGTTCGTGATGAAGTGGTGAAGCAGAATGATGTGCTTGTTCAGAAGAAAAGTGTGGAGGTGAAGCGATGCCTGGCTTTCGCTCTCGTTCTGCTATTTGGCCATAAATATTCTTTGGGGTGTTGGATACTTCACGCTCGATAGCTCCACCCTGGACAATGTAATCGTTCACGACAAGCCCTCGATACGCTGCCGATAGCCTCCTCTCCTTGCACGGTAGCGTTAGTTGACGACACGGCCAAATGGCGCAACTCATGTGCGCGCGTTCCCGCATGCGACTTTCCCGAGATGCGGCTGATAAGCTTCGAGCATCAGGATGAATCGATGTCAATTCCAGTATAGTCCGCCACCCTGCACAATGATGAAGAGAACGAAAGACTCACATCATACTCGCCTGTGACAACTACAATCATGCATCAGGAGCGTAATGGGCCTGTCACTTGCGGTGGCCTTGAGAAACTCATCTGTTCAGCCCCGCCCGTCTCCAGGAAGTCTTGGCGTTGCCGTCGTGTAAGATTGACTCGAGCAGGAGCAATACCTTGAGGCTGCCAGGTTTTATCAGTAGTAACACATTGTGATATGCGCTCCAAGCCCAGCATATACGCTGTCATTGCATAGCGTTGGCCAAGCAGATGAGAAGTACTTGTAGACGATGAGCCTTCGCCGATGTCCTTTCTCGTTGGGCTGGTTCACGAGCAAATCTTTACCAAATGCAAAGAAGGCGCTCGCAATACACAGCAGAAGTGGAGAGCAGCATTCACAGCTGCATGTCAGTAAGATCTTCACGATCTGTTCTGGACGAGCCAATGCCTGCTTGCCAGTCATGCCAATGCTGCCAGTGCGAGCGCCATGAAGAGCGATCATGCTCAGTGACCAAGCGATCTGCCGACAATGCTTTCGGCTGTGTTCGTGCCTATGGAGGACACAACGGTTCGGCAGGCAACAGGCAAGTATTCTCCGTTTCACTGTCGACCCTTGGTCATGGTGTCAGGAAACACGCTCAGGAGCAGCGTTTGCTGGGAACTGGGCGATGCCATCGTAGCAGCTCTGAGCCTGCAGCTCATACGCATGCCGCATTTCAAGCACTACCAGGAGTGGTGCGTTCACCACCCATGCACTGAAGCTGGCCACTGTTGACTGCGTAGGCACTCCCTAGAATGCCCACATTGATAAGAACCCCAGCCATCCCGATCTTCGCCGCTTGAGTCTCTCGGCTTGCTCCGCGTCAGAATTGTTTCACGGCGAATACATCTATCTATGAAATATGGAGGACGGATCACCAAGCAGAGAGTTGCGGAGCAAAGGGTTTGTGTTAGAAGAGAGCCGACCCGGTGGACAGCAGCTTCAGGGCGAACCCACTGAGCGTGGTGGGGATGAACCAGAAAATGTCGCCTGCCAAAGGAAGGTCGACGATGTAGGACCAGAATGGTTGGGACTGGAGCGTAGCCGGTCATGCTAAGTTGCTGTCATGCTGCCAAAGGCGAGGGTAGGATGCGCCATCATGACTCGCTATCTGCACGTTGTCGCACGCTCAGAGCTAAGGATGGTGTATAGTACCAGAAGCTGCGCGGCCCCGTGCCGTCTACAATTGTGGGTGGATGAATTAGTTAAGGATGTTGATGGCGAGCGAGTGCAGAATCCATCGTCGCATGAAGCGCTGAAATTGTGTTGATGCGCCCGCGCGGAATGCTCCGGTTCAAGCTGGCGCTAATGACGCACCTCGGCCGATCAAAAATCTCGAGGTCTGCGAGGTGAATCTCAAGCTCGAGTTGACTTTACCGGGAATCTCTAGAATAATGCACATCATGAAGAGACAAATAGGTGCACGGTAGCATTGTACTATGACCTGGCTCTCTATCACAACGTCTCAAGCATCTCCGGCCACTCCATATAGAGTTCACCCCAGGCTCTTCGGGTATCTCTACCACATAAGCACCGAAGACTAGTTTGTACATTTTTCTACTACAAAGCATCTCACCAAGCATCAAATCATGGATCCCGAGCACCAGCCTGTCCCGCGACCTAGAGCTATCCCTTCTCACCTCATCAATGGCCATTCTCCTCTCCACCCATCCTATACGGCCGAGCGCGAACGTGAGGATAGAGAGCATACGTATGAGTCAATAAAATCCTCAATGGGGCCTCCTCGAGAGCCAATAGATCTCGCAAACCTAAGCTTGAACAATCACGACCGAACGGAACGGCCAAACGGATCACAACAAAACTCGGCGCAGCAGTACGAAGAAGTAGAAGATGCCGACCTCGACGACCTTGACCTCAAAGTCGCAGCCCGGGACGACCGAGACGAGGCACCTCTGACACCACCCGCAACCGCCCGCTCCATGTCTCCCTTCACCGCAAATCCCACGATCGACTTCGATGGCCTCTCCTGGCCATCAGCCGGAACCCTCGCACGCCTCCACGAGCGCGAAAGTCCCGAGGACGCCCAAGCAAGATTGACCAAGCTCTCTGGCGCTGTGAGAACGATCCTCGAATGTATCGGTGAGGATCCAGATCGCGAGGGCCTACATGGGACGCCGGAGAGGTATGCAAAGGCTATGATGTTCTTCACGAAAGGTTATGAGGAGAATCTGAGGGATATTGTGAACAATGCTGTTTTCCATGAGGACCATGATGAGTTGGTCATTGTGAAGGATATTGAGGTTTTCAGTTTGTGTGAGCATCATCTTGTGCCTTTTACAGGAAAGGTGGGTCTTTTTTGTTTAATGCTTGGATCATGGTATGGTTGTGCTGACCGTGGACGTAGATGCATATTGGGTATATACCGTCACGAAGAGTAATTGGATTGTCGAAGCTTGCGAGGATCGCAGAGATGTTCAGCAGACGACTACAGGTCCAGGAGCGCTTGACAAAACAAGTTGCTCTTGCATTGCTAGAAGTGCTAAAGCCGCAGGGTGTAGGCGTGGTGATGGAAAGCAGTCATTTGTGTATGGTGATGCGAGGGGTACAGAAGACAGGAGCAACGACTACGACTAGCTGTATGCTGGGCGCTATGCGGAAGCGAGCGAAGACACGAGATGAGTTCTTGACCCTGCTCAATAGAAGATGATGGAAGATTTGGGGGCGAAACGAGGATATATGGGTGGGCGGCCGATTCAACAGGTCTTGGGATACGGAGTCTGGATGGGATGATACCAAAGCGCTCAACGCAGCGTATGTATTTGTTTATTACTCACTTTCGCTGTGCGCGAATCCAGCTCACATCAAGATTCAGAGCCCTGTGTGGGTGAAGAGAACAGCTGACAGGGTCGCTCCTTCCCCTTCCAGTGCATTCACTGAACAGGTCACGCGCCGACGTAATGATCTACAGCAGCTCCCGCCACCCCACAAGCTCCACAAGAACAATACTAACGATTCTTATTGTCGTTTCAGGTTCCAGTTCAAAATATTACAGACGCCTTACTGACTCCAGCATGGCCATCAACCGCCTCTACTACTACGTCCTGGCCATCGCAGTCTCGGCTTTTCTTTGCTCATCCCACATTAAGACTGAGTGGCCACAGCGTGGTTGGAAGCCGCATAGCTCTATGGGCAACGTGTGGAAGTGGGATCAAGAAATCAAGAAAGGTGGGCCAAGGATAAGAAAGGAAAGTCGACGAGTAAACATGAAGGAGCAAGACCTAGTCGGTCGAAGCGCAGAGAGCGATCACGAGCACCCGACCCAAGAAGACGCCGACACGAAGATGGCGGACGAAACAGAAGTGAAGGGCGCGAGCGACGACAGCATCGATACCGTACCGAAGAAGAGGAGTACGGAGAGCCCGCCGTGTTCTTCGACAACACTGGCGGACCGATCGTCACAACAGTCGTCTGATACAGCGACACCACACTCGTCACTAGCAGCAGATCCCACATCAGAAGCTACCACATCAGACCTGCCAACCCCTGCCCCTTCAGCTCCTCGAATCGGTAAACTACACAAGCGACGTGCCTCTACTTCGCCCGAAAAGTTCAACACTGGCAAATTCGAGCCATTGCCACTACAGACCACCGTCAACCCACACAAACGCCCAAGGCTCGAGAACAAGCTCGAGATCAAGTATGACGAGGATGGTACTCCTCGAATTGCTTCCGTCACTCCCTCATATGCGTTACCTTCTGGTCGCACAAACGTAGGCTCAACACTCCTCAATCCAAAGTATCGACAGATCCCACCTACGACTTCTCGACGACCTTTCAGTGTCCTGAACGCTATACTCCGCAATGGAGACCTCATCAAGCATCTCGTTAGCTGTCTCCCGATTCCAGCACTCATCACTCTATACGCCATCAGCAAGCCTTTCCATTACCTATTCAATGGCGCCTATACTGCTTACATACTGGAGAACATGCGAACCTGGGCACCCGGCGCGGACAAGATTTACCCCTGGCGTTGCTATGCCGAATTATGCATCAAGGACCCCAGACTTAGGCAGAAGAGTCTATGGAAAGGGCAGGATGTGAGCAAGAAGTATGGAGACCTTCGCGATTTACCTAGTATCCGCTGGCTGCAGATGGTGGCATGGCGATATGCGATTTGCAAAGACATGCTCATCCAGCTGGCAACGAAGGGTCTGCGCTGTCCTGCTGGTACTCTGGATGCAGTAAGACGGGTGTGGTTCATCATGGACTTGCCACTGAATGCTCACCGCATCGCGCTGATGAGGAGTGACTCATACATCACAATCAAGACCTTGTTTCGAGCAACGACGTTCTTCCTCAAGGTGGACATGTACTTCACCGATCCAGCCGCACCGATAATACCACACAACACCGGTACCATGAATCCAGCTATGCATCCACCACAGTGGCAGGGTAGCAGCTTCACAGGTGTGCCTTTCCGTAAGCTACTCACTGCTGAACGCCATCTCACCTCCCTCTGGCGAGTCCTCCGTGGCTGGGGTCCAGATTCAGCGACCGGTATGATGGCCATGACTCGCCTCGACCTTCTCAAACTCTGGGTCCGGCACAAGTACCATCTACCAGTAGATGTTCCAGACCACGTCAAGCGTCAAAGCATCATGGGCGTCCCGTGGGACAAAATCGGCATAGCCAACCTCGAACGCACAAGCGTTTCGATCATCAAGCTTTCTTCGGGCGGCACCACAGCTATTTTGCACCCAGCCATCTTCTCCAAAGCGACCAACAACACCCATCAAGAACAACAGCTCCTCTATCCACACGCCAAGCGCCTGCTTCTACCTACCACAAAACCCCGGGAAGAACTCTTGCGTCCGGATGAATTGATCATGAAGGAAGGTGTTAGACGCAAGGGACAGCTGCATAGAGGGTGGGCGAGAGCAATGTTATGGGGCTTTTGTGACGATTTTGGGAGGAACTTGCCACTGCGGACGGAAAAGGAACTGCTTGAGTGGAGTCAGGGAAAAGGGTCCAAGAGCTACTTCATTCGGAATGAGGATATTGAGAAGGCGAGGGCGGAAATGATCAGGAGGATGAGGAAGGATGATGAGGAGGCGGAGAAGGCGAAAGGCGAGGCAGAGGACATTGTAGGCGCAGAGATTGGGGATCAAGAAGTCTCCAAGCAGTAATTGGTTTTGGGGCAAGTTTATCATAGTGCTGAGATCAGCGCATCCGTCCGAAATATGGTGGTAGTTTTCTTACGAATACCCGCGATCAAAACGAGTGGAATACGACGAAAGAGGATGGATGCTCGAGAGTCGTTGCGTCTCTACACGTAAATAGCCAATCCTTAGCTCGAGCTATCATGGTGAACTTTAATGTATAACGTTGTCATGCAGACCATTCCTGTTGCCTGATTCCTGTTGAGATGTGATACGCAGAACTGTCGAGCTATATCGTCTTGGTAATGCTCTACGTATTGCGCCCAACATCAACGCATAATATATAAATGCTCACCGAGACTTGGAAGGACCACGTAATGCCTGTGCAGCTACTCCATGGTAGTCGGCCAGAGGGTATTGATGAAGATGAGACGTGGGAGATTGTTGAGCGCCCTAGCGAGACCGACACGACCAAACAGTCTTCCAGCGATGCATACATCAACTTCCAGCTCAACAGCAGGTTCGGCAGCCTGTCACTGCAAGTCAAACCTTCCATCGAGGCGACGAGCAACACTGAAACGCCACATATGGGAAGCGGGCATCAGCAAGAACAATCGTTGCTCTTCCAGCTGCCTGCAGAGCTGAGACTCTGTATCTACGAGATGGCTCTCCACGTGCCAACAACAGCTCATGGACTTCGGCTCATACGATCTCCCGTAGGAAGCAATAAACCCAGTGTGCTAGCGCTCTACCTGACCTGTCGAAGAGCGTTGGCAGAGGCTGAAGGCATCTTCTACTCTATTAATCGCCTACATAACGTACCGCCGCTCTTCTGGCAGACGATAGGCCAGAAGCGGCAAAACGCCATCACCATGCTCTCATTGTCAGTCACTTCAGCTGCAGCTGCGCTTGTTGAGCTGCAAAGTCTACGCATTGCGACAAATGTGAGGTCGATTCATGTCGTGCGCCAGTCAAGCATCAGATTCCTTGACCCTTCTTCATGGAGGCTGATGGCGCCACAGTTGATCACGGAGCTGGGAGGCTTCAAGCAGCTTAACGATGTCCAGATATTTACGCCAGAAGCGCTTGACGAGACGAATGAGGAGCTTTCCAGGAAAGGAAAGCTCGATGAGGTCGATCGCAGATTTCGTGATGCTGCACCAGCTAGGAACACGGGACTGATTCCGGACGAAGGCGTAGCCAGTGTGTAGCTTGAATACGACCAAGCTAGACCGCTGGGTGTTTGTATCAATCGTCCTCGTGGAGACGATGAACTTATCGTATCAGCACAACGGCAAGCGCGGCATGATCTAGACCGGAATTTGAAAGCTGTGTGAGGACTGAGAGCCTGCAGCCTCCTATCCAACACAACTCAACGCATCTCGCATCTGCTGTACTCGTCACCACAGTTTGACGAGCATCCTGGGGATAAGAGATGCTTCCAGCCCCATCAGAGATCGCACTCTGACACACGCTATGATCACGATTTGGGACCCAAGGCCTGTATGAATCATGTATCACTCATACCCAGACACTTCTCAATCCCCTCTCCATGCTCATGAAACTCAAAACCCGGCATGCTCCGGATCCTCAATCCTCTCCCATCCCTCTCGCCTTCGCCGTGGTCAGAACAAGATCCGACCAGAATCTCTCCGGAAAAGCCTCCCGATGCCGTCCCAAATACTCCGCCACGCTGTCCTGCCGGTAAACATACCACGCAAGCACCAGACGCTGCATCGTGCAGCCAGGCTGTAGATTGTTGTAGGCGTAGGCGACCAAGTCCACGCCTGGGCCTTGCTTGTGGTATCGGATGGAGGCTCGTAAAGTGTCGATGACCTTGTTCTGTAGGGTAGTGTCGAGGAATAGACTGGCTAAGCGGTAAAGTCTGGACAATGCACGCTGTTCTTCTGCACCTCGAGTGATGTTGAGTGACTCATCCGATCCCGAGGTAGCTGGCCCGATAGAAATGGTGTCGTTATAGCACCACTGGATGTAGGATCTGAAGGATTCGATTTCTGCTTCTGGTAGCCGGATGGTCTTCTCCTTGGCAGCTTTGAATTTCCCATTGCATGCTGCACGGAAGAACTCTGACTTCTTGGTTACAACGCTGTCATGGATAGCGAAGGCTCTCTCATGGTCGCCGATCAAGACTGTAAAGATGTCTTCATATTCGATTCTGTTGTACGGTCAGCTCATTGTGATGCTGCTAGCCAGTGAGGGAGGCCTCGGCTCACCTTGGCGCCGTACGCGGCCGCTCGAGTGCCATCGATTGTGCTTCTGTCTGTCGGTGACGTTGTTGTATCGCTGAGTGAGTCTGGCTCTCTGGCTCGCCTCAGCGGATGGTGTAGTGAGGCAGCAGGTCGACAATGGACCGTCACTGCTGACTAGGCGAGGTTTGTGAAATGGCGCATCCTTCAACTCTTGTTCATTCACATGTGAACGGAAGAGAGAGGTCAGTGATGCACAATCTAGGTAAGATTTCATGACTTACGACTGTCAACGATCACAAAGACTGGGAAGAATTCAAGATCTGGTAACGAGGAGGCAGGGGATGCATCTGTCGATACCCGTGATCTTTTATGAATGCAGCCCGGATTCACATTGGAATGTTACCCAAGCAGATCTGACTTCAAATAGCTGCTTAACCGTTGCCACCAGCTCTTACCAGAAAGCCTCAGAATATGCATGGCCTGTTGTTCTCTCACGGGTTATTTCCGACCACGGTGGTGATGCCACGGAGGGACTTCAAGCAGGGCATTTCGGCACCTCATCGTTGTGCTCGTGGTAGTGGCAAGGGGCAAGATCATTCGGGTTTGGCACTTTCTCGTGTTTGGCCTTCGAGACGCGAATCAGGACATCTCCCAGAAAAGCCGATGGGAACTGTGCTCGATGCTTTTGGAAGAAGTCGCTCAGTTCGGCGCAGTGGTTCGCGTACCAGTCCATCACATACCGCTGCAATGTACTCCCTGCTGGACCATTTTGATAGATCTCGTGGAGAGCGGCCATGGTGGGTCCCTTGTTGTGAACGAGCAGAAAGGCCTTAAAATCGTCCACAACCTGATTCTGAAGCTTGACGTCCAGCAGCATACTTGCCAAAGTATATAGCCTTGCGTAACCCCACTGTGTGTAGGCGCCGTGATCAGCATCCTGGTCCTTGAACAAATCTGGGACCAAAATATGGACCGTGTCATTGTACAGCCACTGCATATACGACCCAAAGACCTCCGGATCCGCTTCAGGCAAAGGAGTTCTTTCGCCTGACTCTCCTTGAATTGGCCATTGCAGGCGGCGTCGAAGAATGGGGACTTAGCGGAAGCTATGGTGGCGTGCAGCACAAACGGCTTTTCTTCATCGCCAACGAGCACCGTGAAGGTATATCGATACTCAAGTCTGGTAGGTGTTAGCGATCAAAGCTTCAAGGATGTTGTACATTGGACGAGCATACCGTGCTTTCTTGCGAGCTGGCTCGCTAGCCATGGTAGGCAATCCGAGAATAGACATCACTGGATTGGTTGTGTTGTGCCGCAGTAATGAAGTTGCGAAGTGAGAGAGGTTGGAGCGAAGCACTTGTATGGAACTTTCAATAGGTCTCACGAACCACAAACGGACGTGGCAGGGTCACTTCACAGTAGGTGACCGCAGTTTTTGTGAGGGTCAAATGAACTTTCTTCATTCATTCCGATCGCTACCCTGGGTATTGTAAATCCACGCTATTACAAACATTATGCTCACTGTCGAGCACTGGCGTATCGAGAGGGCTGCAAGTATCCATCATATGTCCCTCGCACGTCAACTCTCCATCCTCTAGTGCACCGTACCATATCCAGCCTGAGGAGGAGGCTGGTTGTACGCGGTGGTCTGAGCCATCTGATCTTGACGGTGGAAATGCTTGTACTCAAGGTAGAAAGCATGAATGTGGCCAGGCTGTGTTGACGCCGCCGTTAGTATCACTGATCTTTCGGCGCGGGAGAAGTGGAAGGAGGTGAGTTGAACTTACGAAGTACACAAGTAGCGTGAGAGCGATGTTGATGAGCAGGTCGGCACCGCAGCCCTTGATGAGGAAGACGCCGACGGGAGGGACTGTGTAGTGTTAGTATTTGCAAGAGTACTGGATGTTGAGGCGCGACGGCGTACTGAAGATCGTGATGATTACGAGTAGGATAACGTTGATCATGTTGATGGCTGGGTTGGTCGTTGGTGCAGATTGGTTGTTGTTGGTCTTGTGAATGCTGAGATTTATTGAAATGGATGTAAGTCTACTGCCAAGAGCGCCGCCGATGAAGAATATATATTCTCGTTGCGATAGAAGAGCAGTGACGTTATGACGCGTGAGCTGCCAGTAATTATTGCAACTTCGTTTCAGATTCACGCGCTGCAGGGAAGCGTGCTGATCGTGACGTTGTAGTGCATGTGATCGTGGCGTTATGATGTGGCGCAATGAGGCGGTGCAAGAAAACATCATGCGGGACAGAAGGCCTTCTCTTGGACGCCACAGTATGCTGGACTCCGATCATCATGCCGTTCGAACTGAGGCTGAGTGGATCGGTACTGCCGTCCTTCGGCGCAGCTCACACGCCATCCATCGCGGCTCTTGTGCTTAGCACCTCATTCTTATTGCCTAGCCTGCTGACCTGCAGGAACGCATCACAGCCATAGCCTTCAAGGCTATGTAGCTCGAGACTACCGGCCCAGTATTCGGCATAGATCCTGCTCATGGGTAGTCCAATGCCGAGACGCAAGTCTGGCGGTCGACTTGATAAACTTGCTAATGAAGACCCGAACCTCTCCCCTGACTGCTCGTTCTCAGTCTGATCTGGAACAGAGGGAGGCAGCTGTAATTCTTCCATCGTGGCTGCTAGTCGAGGTACCTGTCCCAGATTCTTCAGTCGCTTATTACGGCGAGGTCCTTTAGCGAAACTCCAAAGGTATGGTAGGATCTCTCGATCGATACCGCCGCCTTGATCAGATATGCGGAAGATGACTTGCTGCGCCGCCTCGCAGATAAGCACCTCGATAGGCGGTGGGTTACTTGAGCCAGTCTGCTCGACTACCGCTTGTATGCTGTTGCGCAGCAACTCCCCAAGGATATACTCGAGATGAGAAGGAATATACGGGAATGTCGTGTCCAGATGTCCTTGTAGTATAATCTTGGGAATCGTGACCTTTGGTCCATAAGCCTTCGCGGTGAGCTCTCGAGCCCTCTTGGCGCACTTCTCCACGATCTCGCGCGCATTGCACTTAAGGAAGATCTCGCCCACGAATTCGTCTTCGGGTGCCACCGACGACTTCTTGCCGTCAAAGTGCCAAGGAGAGTGGAAGGTCTCGGTCAATGCTAGGTGCTGCTCGGCAATCACTCTACGACTGATCCGAGAGCGTAGCAAAGTCGTCATGAAGCGGTCGCACTCGTCGCCAGACACCGAGTCCTGGATCTCCAATATGCCCATGGCCAGGCGTGGGATCACCGTCAAATGATCCGTCAAGGCCGTCCTCAAGACCTCGCACAAGCGGTCATTGTCGTCCATATTGTGAATGGCAGGAACCTTTCGAAAGAGTTCGAAAGCTCGGTAGTATAGCTCGTATACATGAGCGATATGCTCGTTGGTCAAGGCAGCATAAGGCAATGTCTGCATATTCCGCAGTCGGTGGGCAAGACGTGTGGGCAGCTCCAGGCGAACATAGTTGGCCGAGCTGAGCAACCGCGACTCGGTGAGCGTACGTCCGAAGAATGTCAATTGCCTCAAGCTGATGGGACGAGATTCTCTCTGCACCCACTCATCCAAAATCACGGAGGGTCGCCATGGCGGTGTACTGCCAGTTGAGTACGACCGGGATGCTCCAAGTACCGTCGTTGCCTTTGCATAGTGTCGAGTGGCCACAGAGGGCAGCCGTGGACGCAGAAGCATTACATGTAGGCTCGTGTATAGGAGTCATAGCTTGGGTACCTTGAATTCGTTTTGGATATCATCCCCAGATCTTCTCGAAGCACGGGCGTTTTGCGGGGCAGTTTTGGCTGGTGCCTTAGGCTCGTCAACGACATCGCTCCTAGATTGCGTTTTCTGACATTCAATTATGGAGGAATCTCTGTAGCGTAGTAACATATATGGAGACGATCAAAAGAAGATAGAGCAGCCAATAAAGCTCGATGGTCATGTGATGTGGTATGCTCGTGACGTGTCGTGATATGGTGTTTGTGACGTACTTCCCAAATTCGTCGGACCTTGACCTTGCAAAGAAGGAAGTCAATACCTTTTGAGCTTCCTGCTGTCCACATCCATCCACCGTAACATACTCCTCGCGCCGGTGCATAATCTCCTACCTCACCGCCCCTCCCACATCCGCCCTACGCGCCACACGTGCTTGCTACGGATCGGCGTGCAGCGGAAGAGGCAGCTGCATCACGATGGATCAGGTAAGCTGCTGCGTGTCTCTCTACACCTGCACCTGCACCTGCCCGAAAGAGCTCTCACTACCATTTCATTCATGCTCTCCACCGCCTAGTCAAGATCCTCGCAACACACAACCTGGAGGAGACAGCAACTGACAAACCTTGTCTAGATCGGCAGCGATATGCTGCTCGACTCCGACTTCGATGAGAAGCGCCTGACGCCTAATGACGACAACGAGAACGTCGCCATCATCACTCCCGACGATGTTGACAGCATGGTGGACGACATAGAGACATCCGCCGAACCAGCGCTGCCCTTGGCGACAGATCACGAGGGAATGAAAGAGCGGTTCATGCCGGCATATCCGGATTATGAGACCGAAGCAGAAGCGACTTTCACATGGGACATTACAAATTGGCGGTCGTTAGCCAAGCGGACACATGGACCCAGCTTCACATGCGCCGGCCATCCGTGGAGAATACTGTTCTTCCCATTCGGTAACGCTGCCTCGGAGAGTGTCTCCTTCTACCTTGAGCAGGGCTTCGAAGAGGAGAAGCCGCCAGAGGATTGGTATGCCTGCGCGCAATTTATGCTGGTCTTACACAACCCCAACGATCCGTCAATATACATACACCATGAGGCGAATCATAGATTCACAGCCGAGGAGGGCGATTGGGGCTTCACGCGATTCGCAGACAAGAATCGCATCTTTGCCGCCAAGTTCGACGGTGCTGCTGATCGACCGCTGGTGGAGAATGACTGCGCGCGCATGACTGCATACGTGCGAGTGCTCAAGGACCCCACAGGTGTACTATGGCATAATTTCGTCAACTACGACAGCAAGAAGGAGACTGGCATGGTCGGCCTGCGCAACCAAGGCGCTACTTGCTACCTCAATTCACTACTACAATCACTTTACCTCACCGGCTCCTTCCGGAAAGCAGTCTACCAAATACCGACCGAGACCGAGGAAGGGAGGGACTCCTCTGCCTATGCGCTTCAACGACTCTTCTACCGCCTACAAGCCGATCCCATAGCTGTGTCGACCCAGGAGCTCACACACTCTTTCGGATGGGAGAGCAGACAAATATTCGAGCAGCAAGATGTGCAGGAACTATCTCGTATACTGATGGAGAAACTGGAGGCGCGCATGAAGGGCACAGAAGCAGAGAACGCACTAGGCAACATGTTTGTCGGCAAGATGAAGACATATCTACGTTGCATTAATGTGGACTACGAGAGCAGTAGGATAGAAGACTTTTGGGATCTGCAGCTGAACGTTTCAGGATGCAAGAGCCTGGCAGACAGCTTCAAGAACTACGTGGAGGTGGAGACACTGGAAGGTGATAACAAGTACGCTGCTGAGGGTTATGGACTACAGGATGCGAAGAAGGGTGTCATCTTCGAGAGCTTTCCACAAGTTCTGCATCTTCAGCTGAAGCGATTCGAGTACGACTTCCAGCGGGACGCTATGATGAAGGTCAACGATCGATATGAGTTCCCTGACGTCTTTGACGCATCGCCGTACCTGGATGAGACTGCCGACAAGTCGGAACCATACATTTACCATCTACATGGCGTGCTCGTGCACTCCGGCGATCTCAATGCTGGGCACTACTACGCTTTTCTAAAGCCTGAGAAGAACGGCGAGTTTTACCGGTTTGATGACGACCGTGTGACTCGTGCGACCAAGCGGGAGGCGATCGATGACAACTTTGGCGGCGACTACGCTACTAATGGTATCAATGGTTTACAGAAGGGTCAGAATCCCTACACTCGGCAGTGGTCGACTAAGCGATCGAACAACGCGTACATGTTGGTGTACGTGCGCGAGAGTCGGTTGGACCAAATTCTGCCACCACTAGACGATGTCAAGGCGCCTGAACATTTACCCGTACGACTTGCAGAAGAACGTACAGCAGCTGAGAAGCGCCGTAAGGAACGCGAGGAGGCGCACTTGTACATGAATGTGCAGGTGGCAACGGAAGCTAATTACAAAGCCTACCAGAGCGTCGACATAATATCATGGCAAGCGGAAGATTCGGATGACCCAGCCTTACCGAAGCAATATCGACTGCTCAGAAGTATGACCGTGACAGATTTTACGGAATTTGTGTGCCAGCAACATGGCTTCGAGCTGGATCTAGTCCGACCTTGGATCATGGTCAACCGCCAGAACGGCACCGTGCGGCCTGATCATCCGCTGAGCTGGACGGATATGACGCTCCAGGAAGCAGCGGACAAGTTCACGACTCGTAATGGTGGCTTTCGTATTTTCATGGAAGAGACGACCCGGGGCGCCGACGGAACACCTATTTGGCCAAGTGAGGATGTGAGCGTGCCATCCTCACCTGTGGTTAATGGTAACTCCCCGCAGCAACACAAGCCGATTATCATCTTCATGAAATATTTCGATGTTGACAAGCAAGTACTGCGCGGAGTCGGCCACGTTTACATGAACCCGTCTGAGAAGGCGCAGGACCTGGCACCGCATATTCTGCAGATGATGGGCTGGGAGACTGGTGTGCAGCTCGAGCTGTACGAGGAGATCAAGCAGACTTATATCGAAAAGATGAAGCCGAAGAATACTCTTGTAGCATCCGAGATACAGGACGGCGATATCGTGTGCTTCCAACGCCATCTCAGTGAGGCCGAAGCGACTGCAGTACGACAAACGAATCCCACAGCATGTCTTGACGCACCTGCATATTACGACTATTTGATCAACCGCATCTACGTGACGTTTACTCAAAAGTTCTCGCCTCCACAGAATTACGAGGTTCAGACAGAAGGCGACGAGAAGTTTACGATCGCGTTGTCAAAAAAGGATAGCTACGATGCTCTTGCACACAAGGTCGCCGACCACTTATCTACTGTGTGCACCGTGCCAATCGACCCAACATATCTCCGCTTCACGACGGTTAATGCCCAGTCCGGAAAGCCGAGAACATTGGTCAAGCGTGCAGCAGGTACCACTGCGTCATCGATACTGTTCAGCAACTCTGGATACGGTAGCTACAATTACACACCGATGCATTCGCAAGATCAACTATACTATGAAGTCCTGGAAATGAGCCTTACAGATCTTGAGCAGAGAAAGAATGTCCGAGTGATATGGCTATCAGAAGGCATCCAGAAGGAACAGCCATTCGAGATGGCGTTACCGAAGCAGACACAATTTACAGATGTCCTGGCCGCGCTGCAAAAGCGAGCTTCGCTACCAGACGAGATCCTGGATCAGATCCGCTTCTACGAAGCCCACAGCAACAAAATCTACAAGCTCCTCCCACCAACTCATTCGGTCATAGCACTGAATGAGTACATGACTGTGTACGCCGAGCGCATTCCGGAAGAAGAACTCAAGGAGATGGATGAGAGTAAAGGTGATAGAGTCATTTACTGTTTCCACTTCGAGAAGGAGCCTAGTAAGAGTCATGGCACCCCTTTCATTTTCATGTTGAAGGAGGGTGAAGTGTTCAAGGAGACGAAGGACAGATTGTCGAGAAGAACAGGCATTAAGGGCAAGAACATGGAGAAGGTGCGATTTGCGGTCATCAAAGGTGGACAGAATTACTCGAGGCCGGTCTGGGTTGAGGATGGTATGTTGCAGATATTTGCTGTCCAATAGTATCTCACTTTCACGATGCTAACACGTTTTGCAGACGACATTCTTTCCGAAAAGCTTGGTCCCGAAGATCACCTTGGCCTCGAACATCCGAACAGACAGCGAGGTAACTGGGCACGGCATGAGTCTTTGAACATCCGATAGAGATCCGGCATCACGACGGACTAGACGTATCTGCACAAGCGGCGGTGGAACTCTTGCAACGATCATGCTGGACGTTTCTGATGTTACTGATGGCGTTTCCTGTACATTATGTACGCCATGTTAGAGCTCTTGCATGGGTATCGAGTTGATGGTCCTGGTTTCACGCATGAGCTATGGGGTATGGAGCACGGCTTATGGAGTGTCAGGCGTTGTGGCGACTTGGTATTGTGCTTTCTCATTGGGCAGTATTGTATTGGGGGAACATAAAGTGCTTCTGATGGCACGAAAGTGGGATGATGGGATGCTGAGATGATAAGCCGGGTTGATATGAGCGTAGTATGTTGTCTGCGCTTGGTAAGAAGTTCGTTCGACCTCAGTCCTCTTCCATCTATGCGGACACCACGTGTTCGCAGCCTCTCAAGTGCTCCGGCAACTCGACTGGGCTCCTTGCCGTCGGATTCGGACGGGTCGGGACTCGGCTTTCCGCTCATTGCCCTCTTCCCATTGTCGTCTCCTCCCCCCCCTCTTACTCGCATCGTTGGCCAGTGTACTCCGCTCGTTATTTGTGGTTGGTAGTACCACTGGTAAGCTGAACCAACCGACACGTTTGAGGCCCTCGGGGGTGTACTGATATATTGTGATACAGGCGGATTCTCCACACTGCTGCTGTCGCAAAACCAGAGGCAGGTATCTCATGGTCATGGGTACTGAACGGGTCATTGGAGACGGTCGATGGACATCGTCTGAGTAGCACAACAACGAGCTCTATTAAGAGCTGCTGCTCTTCCTCCCACCCAGGAACGGATATTGTGCTTGTATCGGGAGGCCGTGGGATGGGGACTGAACCGAAGACTTCCAGATCAGGGCACCATCATGTTCTTTGCCGACTTGCTTTGCGCTGTAGCCCAAGCCGCGACGATTTTGTTCGGCCTTTGGAAAGGGAAAAAGAGAAGCAGGTCCCTTTATCCCACATGTACGGCTACGTGGTTGATGCTTTCAACGGATCTCCATATGCAGGTGTCGACTATCCATGGCCTTCGAGTATACTCGGTACAGTGGGCCTGACCAGGAATGCGCGCCGTCGGGGATGGAGCTTGATGAAATGGCTGTTCGCTACACGTCAATATCTTCTCAAGACTGGGATGCTGACAAGTTGGAAACCATCTCACGAAAGAGAAGCCGCGAGAGTCAATCTAGAAGCTCGAACCCTTATTTGAAGCGGATCATGGACGTGAAAATCGAAGCAAAGGCAATCATCGTGTTGACGTAGAGGCAGACTCTACCTGTGTGGTTGACCGTCTCCTGTAAGCTGGCAGTCTGCTGTTCTTACAGTCACCATGGTGGTGGTATGTGCATCTACTGCAAGCCAGTCTTGCCAGTCAGTCGTATCCGCTGGTGCTTTCATGCCTTACTCATTCGCAGAGACAGAATCAGTCCCAATTATTACTAGAGTGGCGAGCTTGTGACACAGTAGAGCGTGCCGTCGACAGTCCATCTGTAGGTGGCGAGTGGTCTCTGGGCTTCATCACCGGCAGAGTGACTGCATTTGCCACAATAGTCAAGAGCTCCATACCAGTGTGCGCGCTCCAGTAACAAGAGAGTATTGACGTTGGTGTAGAGCCAGGCACTTGAGTCAAGTAGTGAAGCCTATCACACAATGACGAAGATCTGTGGTGGTGTGGACCACTACTGACCTCCATCGGCACCCCGAAAAGCCGTGTCTGCTGGGGAAGAGGCAGACAAGTCATACACAAGCACAATTCCTCGCCTCTTGTGTTTCTGGTGCGCGGTGTGAATCGAGACAATAGGAGACTGCCCAGCGCCGCCGAGAGGCTCTAGGAATCTCGGCCATGCTTCACTCCATATATCCGTCTATGTTTAGGGAGGACGCTGGCCGCTGGCGCTGGGAAGAGATGAGATGTGGAGGCTGATCATGATGTGGAGCCACGCTCGGACCCGCAAGCCACTAGCCCTCCTCGCAATTTGCGACGACTTGCTGAATCTCACGCGATGGAATTGTGCTCATCTCCAGTGCTGACAGCAGGGCTTGGTGTCGTACAACGTGGAAAGACACTCTCGTGCTACACTGCGAGTAACAGCAATCTTCGGTAAGGCAATACAGGATGCCGTCGGAGAATATGTATGCACAACAACTCGATCCACTACTCGACAGAGCGGATGTGGCGATCCCAAGGAACTCAAAAATAGCACCACGCGCGTGGTCGGCTCGCATCTCTGCCGGTTTGCCTGCATTACCGGATTCTCACCTTCTGTCATGATTCTACTACGGCGGCTTCCTATAGCAGAAGATTCGGCTAACCGACTCCTGATGGTGAAGATGGCCGCTTGGCTTGCTCCAGTCGTTGCGGAACCCATGTGCCTCTCTGCACCCAAAGAAGCGAACGGTAAGCCTCCTAAGCATCTCGAGACAATACCAGCCAATGAAGGACGCTCCCCTGGCCCTCCAGCCCAGTGTTTTCTCCTGTCCGCGGTCCGTGAGATCTCCCAAAATGGTCGCCTAGCCAGGTGCGCGAACCGTTTTTAGATCATCGCGTTTAATTACTTGTTTCAAACGGGTTACTGCCCTGGCGTGGACAGTTAGGCCTCACTTGGCGACTTGCACAACAAAAGCGAGAGGCCGGACCTGCACTTGTAAGTTTCCTTGCTTTCGTCCCAACTCGTCACTTTTGAGGTCTCTCTTAGCACTTCCCTGCCAATCCTTTCTGTTCTTCATACAGTCTCTCGTTCAATACATTCAAATAGCGATATCTGCCTAATCCTTTCGACCTGCTACCTCCACCACAACAACCTGTCACTCTATTCAAAATGCGCAGCACTATCATCGCAGCGGCTTTCGCCATCGGCGCTTTCGCCGCCCCTTCCATCCTCGAGAAGCGCGACTGCAACGACACTTGCATGAGCTACGATGCCGCTACCAAGGTCGCCAACAACTTCCAGACTCTGATCGCCGCTTACACCGATGCGCTCGCCGTGCAGGTCATGACCGTCGACTTCACAGATTACTCCGACTCCGTCACCTCCCTCATCGACTCCGGCTGCCAGGGCCCCCAGCCTCTCGGCGCCGTCACCTTCGACAGCCGTGCCTCGTTCATGGCCGGCCAGAAGGCACAGCCCGCGATTCCCTTCGAGATCCTGAACTTGTGGTACGCATGCGAGGGCCCAGTCGTCATCCGCTGGCGCTCTGCCCAGACCCCTGAGATCATCACCGGCAACATTGTCATCGAGGTCGAGCGTGCCACCGACGGCAGCGAACCGTGGCTCATCAAGACCGTCTACTCCGAGTTCAACAGCGGTGCGTGGCTCGTCAACTTGGGCGTGTTCAAGCCCAACTGCACTGCCGATGGCAACTCCGCCGCCGGCCCAGTCGGCAAGAAGGCCAAGCGCTCCCTGCCCGCCCGTATCATGTAAGGTGGTTCTCTAACCATCTTCATGACCGCACATCCGCCTCCGCCGTGGCTTAGACAACAGCACCACTCGACAAACAAAATACAGCTGGTACGCCGGAGAGGCTTCTCGTTATTTCGTGTCAACTTGCATGATACCACTTCAAAGCTAGCCGGCGTTTACTCTACAAGACGGCTCTGGGTCTCAAGGTGCAATGCTGGGGGAACGGGAAAACACGTCTGATTCTTGTGGGATGGATATATTAATGATAGCATATGCACGGCACCTGTTTATATTTTGTTTGACGCCTCCGAAGACACGGTCCTATGGCGAGGTGGTTGTGTGGTCTCCCTCCTGTAGATTTATTGCTACGCAGTACGTATGCTCTGCTCTTGGAGCTGCTGTCCCGAATTGTGAAAGCTATCGCTATTTTACCATATCTTTTTGTCAAGGATCTAATTCGACTTCGCTTCTACTTCGCCGTGTCATCTCGTCTTTGTTAGACTTCATCTCGTCTGACATGTATGAGATGAGTTACAGCGTCCTACGCGAGACTCTGTGCCACGTTATGGTTGCACAATGCCACGTCGTGCAGGCCATGCTGCCGCTTGCCGGACCAGGCTGATGGGTTCGTGGAATGCGGATGCTGCGTACGAAGTCAGTCCGTCCACCCATGGTGCACAGCGCCTCTCCATCTTCTTGAAATCTGATGGCTTGACCAATTGTCTTACTGCTGAGCATTACCCACGCCGCGCAGCGTTGCCGCCATCCCTCGATAATCACGCATTGGAGGAGCTCCACATCGTGCAGAGCAGAATGATGCAGTATGTGCGAGTACACGATGCACAGCTTTCGCGCTCCTGGTCTGCTCGGTAGCCTGCAGGGTCAACATATCCACGGAATCGTTCGAGGCTGCCAGAATGGCTATCGACCAAGAACTACCTTCGTCATGTGTAGTAGTGTCGATGCTGTCGCCATGGTCACAGCCACTGGAATCAGCATCCGGCAGAAGTTGAGCTACTTCATCCCGTCATGTAGGCTGACCTCATTACCATTGTGCCGGATAGCTTCGGAGAGCTTGTTGCTGAGCTAGGAGCTGCAGGCATGAAGGCAGTCCCACTTCATGTCCATCTGTACGTCTAATCATTGTGAGATAAGTCGCACGAAATCGTCTTGTGCTACATCTCATCACAGCCCTGGTGTACTTACGCCATCAATCTGGCCAAGCGGACTTCCGAAGATGATGAATAAGGTATTACACACCGCACAGCAGTGGAAAGAAGAAGGATGGTCGACAGTATGGAAGACGGCACTTGTTCGTCTTCCCCGAGCAGTACCAATCCAGGCGCTGTACATCACGAACCCATCTGGACCGCAGCCCTTCAGACTTGACCTGCCATCGCGAAGACGAAATGTTACGATTCCGGTATATGTTTTCGCTCCTCCTGTCAAGTTCCCGGAGCTATCTACAGAAGAGACACAGCCAACACCACACACATTTCCGATCATCATGGACTACCATGGTGGTGGCTTCTACCTCGGATCATGTCTGGAGCAGGCACCATTTTGTGCTAAGCTGTGCCGTGAGCTGCAGGCGATTGTGATCGGTGTGGACTATAGAATGGCTCCCATCGACAAATTCCCAGCAGCGATCGAGGATGCGGAGGATGTTGTATTTGCTCTGCTCAACGAACGCAATCCTGGCTACGACATGCTTCGCAAAGGTGTTGCAGATTACCTTCGAAGACAATGGTATGAGACTCTTGGCACACCCGAAGAACGAAAGAAGGACAAGGTCCCCGCGCCACCAGTCCCCCATATCACACTAGACACGACTCGTATCGGCTTCAGTGGCGCAAGTAGTGGCGGTAATATCGCTCTCAACATGGCTATTGATGCACCCGCCAGTCTTGGAATGCCCGAGTGGAAGTGTCCTATCCCAGCAGACTACCCACATCCCGTGCCTTTATTACTTCTGTACCCAGCGCTAGACCTCCGACAACTCCCAGACGAACGCTTTCGGAACGAACGACTGGGCCCACTTCCCGAGAAGAAAAGATTGGATATTGACAACCACCTAGCAGCAACCTACGTCAGCCGTGAAATGTCTGGCCACCCTCGTGCCTCACCCGGCCTGGTGGATACAAGCAAATACCTCCACAAGAATGCCAAATCCCTCCTCATCCTTTCCGGTCTGGACACACTCTGGGAACAAAGCGAGATCTGGGTCGAAAAGCTCGAAGCTGAACATCGATTCAAGGATGTCAAAGTCATGCGCTACGAGGATCGGAAGCATGGCTGGACTCAGATCCCAGAGATAGCTCTGAGCAAAGAGGAGAGGAAGACGAGAATGGAAGTGTTAGATGAATGTGTGAGGTTTGCGAATGTCACATGGCAAGGTCGTGATCCCGTGGCGGTCATGGACAAGGAGAACGGGGATGTAGTGGCGGCGCAGGGCAATCCTGAGCTGAAGCATAATGAGAGGGAGGGATTGAAGTTCTTTGCTGATAAGGAGTAAGGCTCTACTCAGCCATAGTCTTGGTGAGATTTTTGAAACTCGAAACTAGCTTGGAAGTGCGAACATCGCGACGGGTGACTGCCAAATTTGACATCCTAGCTGGCTTTCTGCACAACCACGACCCTCTGCTCCATCGACACCCAAGCACCACTACTCGCCTCCTTCGCGCCCTGCATAACCAACTCAGCCAAAATCTTCCTCGACAACGTCTTCGGCAGACCAGGCACAGACGGCAACGGGATCTCCTGCTCCGGCAACAAAGAAATCACACCCAGAAAGACCGAAAGATTGTTATCCGACCAAGCTCGCGCCAGACTCGGGAAAGGCTTGATATGCTCCTCAACCAAGACCTTGCAGCGTCGCTGTTCCAGTGTTCGAGGCAGGTTGAGGAGCCAATCACTAGACATCTTGGTCTGGTGAACCGCGAAGAACTTCTGGATATTGACAATAGTCTCCAGAGCTTCGGCTTTGCCGCCTTGGATAGTATGCACGGCAAGAGTGTGGAAGTCGTTCTCCGCCCATTGCAGATACCCACCCGGCTTGAGCATAGCCAGGAGATTGGTGAGGAGTGGTTCGACTTTGTTGTCGATGATGGCGCTGTAAATCGTCCTGATATCGACTATGTCAAAGGCATTCTTGTACTCGTCTGGCAAATCTGCGAAGGCGTCGAGTTCATGCAGTTGGACGTTCTTCGGGAGCAGTTCAGCGGCGGGGAATATTCTGGGGTTGATGTCTAAGCCGTGGTATTCGTGTTCCGGGTGTGCTCGTTGTAGGTCGAGGATCCATGCACTGGCCCCACCACACCTTGTCAGCAGGCACTTGTATCGTGATTGCGTTGGACTGTAGCTAAGACTTACGCATTGCCGCACGCGACGTCAGCGATCTTGAGTGGTTCAGATTGATCGATATCCGGGTGGAGGAGGTATCCGAGTTGGTGGGTGAAGATCCAGTGCTGTAGGTGTAGGCTACGAGTAGAATTGATCAGTAGACTATCGAGCCCCCAACCATGCCGTGAAAGCTCACCGTGTCGAGGTCTGGAAATCCTGCTCCACCCAGAAATTCTTCGCATCCCATTTGAGCTCCGGCATGATGGTTTAAGTAATGGGATCGTCACACTATTGCTTCTCAACTTCACGCTGGCAAAAGCAGGATCGATGGTGAAAGGTCAGCGAGCTACGGACCTGATATCCCATCTTCCGTAAATCAACACGAGCACTTATGATCTCTATGTACACCGTACTTTATGCCGCCGAGTCGCAGGATCAGCTCGTCAGACACTCAGCCCTAACAGGCAAGCTCCCCGACGCGAGCTCGCCTTTCACGAGGATGTAGTAGCTGCTCCACGAGGGCGATGATTGGCGAAAGGCGCCAAAGGTACTTGACCCTGACTGAGTACGACCTTAACGGCTATATCGCTTTGTCGTTCATCCGAGTCCGTGGGTGTGGACTGTTCATGACTCGAGATGATGGGCAGAATTACACCTCGTGTATGATAGCCTTCTACGGTCATCGCGCGAGTAGAGCTGAGCACAACAAGGTGAACAATGTGAGAGGACTGGATTTGGCGCTCGAAGACACTGGACCGACAGATTGTGCTTCAGCAGTAATCGGGTTGTGCAGGCGCCGGGCAGGCAGATAGTGGGGGAGTAGCTGGAAGGAGGAAACGACAGGAACAAGTACATCGATGTTTGTAAGAGGCTTCTGCCACTCTTCATCAAGACCGTGTATCCAGATCATGCATCACAGGGGTATAGGACTCAAGCCAATATCCTTCTCATAACCAACTTCGACACTGTTCATCTCCACCACAAGCGCGGAAAACATCTCAAGGCGGTCTCGCTCGCTACCCCCCATCAACCTCCATCCCCTCATCCCTTCCCCCCTCCACCCTCGCACCTCTCTTCCGTCTCCCACCCCTCTCCCCACCAGCAGCCCTCACCCTCCTAATCCCCTCCACCTTCCCAAGCAACCCAGCATCAACAGCCTCCTCATCCTGCCCACCCAACACCCCCTCCCCCTCCAACAACCCTAACGCCTTCCCCAACAACTCACTCGCCAGCGGATCCTGCGGCGAAAGCGCCAACCCCTCATGCAACGCCACCGTCGCCTCGAAAACCCGCTCCAACTCCAAAAGAACCAGCCCCTTCGAGGCGAAAACGCCACAGTCCCTCAAACCCAATCTAATCACCTCATCAAACTGCACCAGACTCTCTTGGAGCCGGCCTGCTCTCCGCAATGCATGCGCGAGATTGAGTCGGACATCCCGATATTGTTGCGGCGGCGCCTCACAATCCTCCGCAAGCCTGAGCGCGAGATCAAACGACCGGATTGCGGAGTCCAGATCCCCTTCTTTGTAAGAACAGACCCCGATCTCGTTGATGAGTAACGGGTCGGTTTTACAAAGCTCATAAGCAGCGGTCAAATACTCCCTCGCAATCGCCAGGTTCTCCAGCGCCATCTCCTGCATCCCGAGGAAGAGCTGGGGGAGATGCGTTCCCTGGAATAATCGAGCAGCGGTGCTGTAGGCTGCTATAGCTTGGTCACCTTCCCCTTCCGCGGCGAAAGTGTGCGCGAAGCCGATCCAGGCCGGCCCAAAATGGGGATCCATGAGCGAGGCTTTGGAGAAGTAGGAGCGGGCTTCGGGGATGCGGGAGGTGGCGAGGTAGTAGGTCCCTACTGCGAGCCAGGTGCACGGTTCGCTGGGGTGAGTATCGGCTAGGTCGTGGGAGAGGGCGAATAAGGTGGTGGTGTGGTGGAGTTGGTAGAGGAGGGAGAGGTGGGTCGGGAGGCAGGCGAAATTGTAGGGGTCGTGGGAGAGGATGGCGGAGGTTAGATGTAAGGCGGGCTCGAAGCGAGAGGAGGCGAAGAGCATGTCTGCTCTTGCGAGGAGGATGTCGGGGTTCTCGGCCAGGTGGTAGTGGGTTGAGAGGGTGTCGAGGGCGGTGGAGAAGTCATCTAGGCGGCCGTATTTGGATAGGCGGGTGATGTAGAGGTTGCGGACGAAACCGGCGGCTTCCTGCGCACCATCGCCTTCGCCGGTTTCGAGCTGGATGCTCTCGAAATTCAGACTCTCCAGAAATGCCCACTCCTCTCCAGGGCTCATGAGCGAATTCTTCATCAATTGGTCAAAGGCTTCAAAGCACTGGACGTCTATCCTCACGGCGTCCTTGTAACAGTCCTTCGCTCGCTCGAAAGCGTTCTGCTTGGCGTAGCATAGACCACGGAGGTAGCACATCGCCGCCTCGTATTTGATGCTGCTCTTGTCCTGGAAGTCCCGCTCTTCGCTTCGGTCCGCCCGTTCTAGTCTGGTGGAGGCTTTTGCTTTGCCATGGCCTTTACTCGTGAGGCTGCTGTTGCTGTTTAGGGCTTGCAGTTTCCGTCGTGACGCGTCAAGGCTGGTGAAGAGGTGTGAGGGGTTCTTTTCGCCGAGTACGCCCAGCGCATCGTCGTGTCGGTTCTGCTTGATGTAGCAGTAGGCGGCGAGGTGCTTGGCGGCGGGGAGGCGGTGGTGGAGTTCTGATCGCGTGACGAGGGAGAGGGCGCGGGTGTATTGCTGGGCTTGGAAGTGGGCGTTGGCGAGGTCGAGGAGGTGGTCGTGTTTGTTGGTGATGGCGTAGAGTTTGTCGAGGACGTATATTTGTGTCACGTGTTCGTTGCGTTCGCCAGCACTTTTCGCCCAGTCGCGGAGGAAGGGTTCCATCGTCTTTCAATTCAGATGATTCCAGGTCGTGTGCGCATCTATCAGGTAGTGGTTTTGATGCTCTGTTCTTGCCGTTGGTCAGACTTGATCCAGCGAAAATAATCATGACGTGCCATCGACCTACACCTCCAGTCGTTGCTGCTGTCCAAGTCTAGGCTACTGTACTAGCGACGGTCAATGTCACTGATGCCAATACCTTTGTGATTGACTGATCGTGATAGATTTCAAGCGCGTAAACAATGGTAAACAATGGAAATTGAGTCGCGTGATTGACTAGTCGTCCTAGTCGTCGGAACATACCTACCTCTTGTTTCGGCGGCGAGAACATGTTGTCAGCATAACAGGCCAGCTCATGTGATAGTACGTAAATCACTACAAATACCGTGGTTGTATATCGAGCGGGAGATATTGTCCGGAATATATTGTCCGGAATATATCATGGACAGCAAGAAAAGTGCTTGCATGTGACAGCAGAGCAGATGCGGAGAAGGTCTTGTGCTTGACTCGTGTGCCAGAGGGTATATTGCTTCACTCGCTCTCATTATTATTCGCAAACCCACTCGCAACACTTGCCACCAGGATAGCCCGAGTCCACGAGTGGACTAGAGGCATATCTGGAGTACACCGAGTAGCAATACTAGATCCATACCAAACCAGCCAACGAGACACTCCACCACCAACCAACCACGCCTAATTCTAATTCACCACATCTCCATTAACCACCACTACCCTCACCATGTCCGAACGCAAAGTCCTCCAAAAGTACTTCCCTCCCGACTTCGACCCTTCCGTCCTCGAACGCCGCACAAAAACCAAAGACAAAACCGGCGCCCGCCAACTTCAAACCATCCGCCTGATGGCCCCATTCAGCATGAAATGCACCGCCTGCGGCGAATACATCTACAAAGGCCGAAAATTCAACGCCCGCAAGGAAACGACCGAGGAGAAATACTACGCCATCAGCATCTACCGATTTTATATCCGCTGTACACGCTGTAGTGCAGAGATAACCTTCAAGACGGACCCGAAGAATATGGATTATACATGTGAGCGGGGAGCGAGGAGGAATTTCGAGGTGTGGAGGGAGGCGAAGTTGAATGAGGAGACGGAGGAGGAGAGGTTGGATCGGTTGGAGAAGGAAGAACAGGAGAGGGATGTGATGAAGGAGTTGGAGAAGAAGACGGATGATGCGAGGACGGAGATGGCGATTGCGGATGCATTGGATAATGTTAGGATGCGGAATGCTATGCGGGAGAGGGTGGGCGGGGTGGAGAATGCGTTGGCGAGTGGTGCGGAGGTGGGGCAAGGGGAGAAGGATTTGGAGAGGGAGCGATTGGAGAGGGAGGATGGGGAGGCGGCGCGGGTGGCATTTTTGAGCGCGACCGGGGAGAGGGTTAGGCGGTTGGAGGAGGATATTGAGGTGCATGATGTGGGGGATGGGGGGAATGGTGGAGAGGATAATGTGAGGAGGGTGGATAGTACGAGATCGTCGGAGGATAGTGCGCTGATGCCTCCGCCTTCTGCTTTTCTGCCAAAAGCTAGGGAGAGGAAAGGGCCGAGTTTGCTGGCGGGGATCAAGAAGAAAGTGCCTGTACAACCTCCAGTACCGGCGGCGGCGCTGGTGGCGTATGGTGATGATGACGACGATGATGATTGAAGGAACGATCTTATGAACGATGCGATAACCTACCTTGGCCTCAATAAACGTAACTTTGGGCGACTCAAGACCATGATAATTGACAGATCTGTGAGCCGGTACTTGCAATGCGAAGGAGATCCCGACTTCTAGACCAGCGTAGCTTGTCTGGCATAGATTCCGAGAGACTCAACATGCCCATCCCTGTAAGTCTGACCTCGACTGCAACAATCGATCGCTTCATAGACGACCTGCTGATCCAGTTCTCCCAGCGGCCTCATCTGCCTCATGTACCAATGATACTCTGCATACCCACATGCCATTCTATCAGCTTTCGGAAACCTTCCAGGTGCGCGAGCATGTTCAGCCAGTGAGGGAGAAGTACGTCGGTCGCGCAAAAGCGGGTAGCGACAGCAACTGCACGAGCGAACGATTGCGTCGGAAGAGGATCGTTGGGAGATGCAGCTTTCATTTTGCACAAGCACGACGGCGCAACTCCTGCACGAGAGGCTCGGTGCGTGAAGGGGGAAAAAGTCTGTTTGTTTTACAGTCGAGATGCGGAGTAGTATCTCATGCATGTTGGAGGTCTCGTCGCACCAACTCGCTCCTGGACCGGGAATGGCAGTTGCAGAACGGCAGAGTGCTTCAGCTCCACAGTGTATGGAGTGCCACGCGGCGCAATCGACGTCCTCTTCTTCTGGAGTGCCGTGAGCCGAAGGGGTCTCCTTCAGTAGACTCATGGTCCATGTATATTGCTCTCTGGCGGTTTCAAGGGTCTGATGGCTCGATGGAGAACGGAGAAAAGCACAAAATTACAGGATCTTCAGACGTGTGGCAAGCAGCACAAAACCTCCGACTGTTGTACGTCTCACGCACGAAATGAGGCACGACTTCAAATTGAAGTTCAGGTGCAGTCGCGTGGAAGAGCAGCTCTCTGTTCCATTACGCGCTTGCACAAAAGTCATGCCATGCGGTGCGCATGGTCGGAAACGAGCAGCCGAGAGAAAAAGAGATCCTCCATGCAATCAAACTCCACCGTCGCGTATGTGAAGATCTACGGGTCCGGCAGTGTAGCCAAGCTTTGATACACCGTCCAAGCGTTGGCAGGATCGGGTTGATTCGTGCGGCCAACTGTTCCACGACATGAGTGGAGTTTTGTGAGTCGTGGCATTCGTGTTCGGATCCTCGGCGCTCATGAGTCTGATCTATGCTCCGGCGATGTCGTGGTATGGTCACAGATGATGAACAGCGCTCGGGATTGGTATGCGCCGTGCGATCCAAGATCTCATCCAATGCCATGCAAACGAAACTGCAGTGAGCCGCTCTCCAAGACGTGCAGCACAAAGTGGTGGCGGCTACGGATGTATGAGACGGCCCGCTCCGGCGCTTCATGATAGGCCGAAAGTATGAAACACAGGGACAAGCGCGCTAATCAGGCATCCTTGCAGCTCTCCCTAGTTGATCCCTCTCTGCTTCGCCTACTCACCCACCTCCTACATTCCACAAAAACCTCGATATCCCGCCCGGAGCGAGCGTACGTGCGTGCGTTATTACACTGTCTTTTTGGGTCGAGCGATCAGACTGCAGCCACTCCTTCACTGTCACTCATTTTCAACGCTCAATAAGGAATCCATATCTCTCTTTGTTTGTCCTGGCTGCGCCGCAACAGACAACAATAGGATATTTTCCGCTTCCATTCATTCAGTGCACATATTCGCAGTTCACGGCTTTACCACCGAGGTCCCAAGCAAGCAAGGTACATCGAGCACACGACCACTTGCAGCATTTCGAAAGGACAACTACCAAAACAACACGATCTCCCACGTGGAAGCCTCTTACGCACTCCTCGCGATAGCCAAACCCATCGCCGCTTTCAGTACTTTTGGCTTTTGACACGGCGCGATCAGAGTCACCATGAGGTCGCAGGCGACCTTCACCGCGCTCACGCTTGTGGGAAGTGCAGCGGCGTTTTGGCGTATGCCATGTCGTTCTCAGACTGGTGTTGGACGCCTGGATCCCATCATGGATGCTGGGTCGATTTCGGGTCACGTTCATAGTATTAGTGGTGGTGGCGGTATGTGCTCTCGCATTTCCAGACTCGGAACCATAGAACTGATTGACCTTGGCAGGATTTGGATTCAACGCCGACTTTGATAGCTTGAATGCACCTGGGTCTTGCACTTCGTGTGAGGTGACCCAGGACCATTCAGCCTATTGGACGCCAACGCCGTACTTTATGTACGACAATGGGACGGCAGTCATGGTGCCGCAGGTTGGTGGCATGCTAGCGTGAGTATCAGCGTTATCGACCAGGTGCCACATCTACTGACTATCGACAGATACTATCTGTATTACCTGCAGAACGTCAGCGCCTTTCCCGAGGGCTTCCAAATGGTCGCAGGCGATCCAAACATCCGCAACTTCACAGGACCATTTCCCGACACCGACCTCAGCTCGTGGCCGACAGATCCGACCGACCAGTTCTTCCTGCAGCAGCGCGCTATCGGCTTCAACTGCTTGAACTATGCCAAGACACCCGAGCCCTCACTATACCGCCACCAGCTGCCGTCAAAGGAATACATGGATGCCAACTGCGCGGACGGTCTGCGTTTTGAGATGGCCTTCCCGAGCTGCGGCAATGGACAGCCGGATTCCAAGAACCACAAGTCGCATGTCGCATACCCAAGCCTGGTGAAGGAGGGCAACTGCCCCAAGGGCTACGACACACACTACCCGTTCCTGTTCTACGAGACGATCTGGGCTACCAACCAGTTTTCGGGAGAGAACGGCAAATTTGTGCTGTCCATGGGTGACCCAGTCGGTACAGGCTACCATGGCGATTTCATCATGGGATGGGAGTCGGCGGACTTCCTCCAGAAGGCATTGGACACTTGCACGAATCCATCCGGCCAGATTTCAGACTGCCCATTGTTCGACATCCAGTCGGACGCTGTTGGCGCCAAGTGCACCTTCGACATGCCGGATGCTCTCAAAGATGATGATGTCTTCGGTCCTCGCGACGGCCTCCCAGTCAACATTCCGGTTCAGGACGGCCCTGAGCCCGCTACAGCTTATGCCGTCGCCGGTCGCGCTGGTGTCTCTACTAGCTCGCTTCCATCTACTACCGGAACGTCATCGTGGGCTGTACCGACCTTGTCTTACACTCCCGCCAACCCCTCGCTCACGTCTACTGCATTGGGTGGCATTGTCGTGGACAGGCCAACTGGTGGCAACTACGGCTCCATCGGCCCAGCCGGCGGCAAGTCCGAGCCTGCTGTGCCTACCAGTAGTAGCAGCAGCAGCGACGATGGTTGGTCCTTCAGCTCTTCTACTGAAGCTCCTACGACAACTGCGCCTGCCGCATTGTCTTCTTCTGACGGCGCCGATATTATCGCTACGAGCTATATCACAACCGGTAACACGATCGTGGAGCTCGCCATCGAGCAAGTCGAGGTCACCGTCACTGCGACGCCCTCAGCTGGTGTGAAGCACAAGCGACACATGGACAAGCACCGCCATGCTCACCGTCGTCGCTAAGCTGTAAGCGAGTGCCGCATTTGTCTTTGCAGCGTTCATGATGGCACTGGAAGGGGGTGCACAGCATAGCATTTGCGAGCTGGATAGGGCGCGCACGCGTGAGACTGCTGCAGACTAGGCTGGTCCTGTTCTCGCTGGTTGCGCAAGGGTCATGACAAATGATATGATCGAACGGCAGATCTAAAGCAAGATGTGTACATAGCATACTCATACCAATGGCCGGTCAAACTATACCAGCTTTCTTTCTCAATCTTCACCTTCGCTCTGGGGTTTTCTTCGCCACGCCGAGCCACGCTCGGCCGAGCTGGAAGTGCGGCACAGCGGGCAGCCTTAACTTTTCCTGCACGCCTGATCTCTTCCAGCTACTGCAACAACCAAGCACCTCTCTATCACGCAAAGCTACAGCTCCTGACCGGACAAGGTACATGGTAGCTAAGCTGACTCACGATGTACCTGCATAAGCTCCATAAAATCCAGGCAGCGAGGTTGTGGCGAAGGCTGCCTCATGTGGCTGTGACGTGTCGCTCCTCAGGCCTGCTGAGACCTACATAAGTATTTGTTTGCCTGTTGTTTGTATATTCCTGGCCAGATATATACACTCACAAGTAGCATCTCTATCTCTCCATCCTGGATAGAATTTCAAGATGGACTTCAGGAAGCTGGCACGGATGATGCCAGACGTTGCGGCACAGTCGAACGACACAAATGTCCCCAACCTCACTGATCTCCCGCCGAATATTCTGGAGGCAATCATACCGGGCTATAGTATCATCTCCCGCTACGCCTTTGCATACCTGGGCTTCGACATCTCGGTCTTTGTCTCGATCGGTATTTTACTCCTCGCTCTCATCAAAGGTGGACAATGGCTTTCAGGTCAGATCGCCTGGGCTTTCAATTATGCCTGCATGTCTTCTGTCTACATCGACGAACACGATGACTTGTTCGACATGGTCATGGCATGGCTCGCAGAGCATCAGACTTCTACCTCCCGGTCCAGGAAGATGCGAGCCAAGACCCAGAGAGGCAGTCGAGCGGACGATGCCTTCGATGAAGTCGCTGACGATGCGTTGGATGAGAACGGGATGTTCTCCTGGAGTAAGTGGCAGGCCCGTACACCACCACGCTTCGAGCCTTACTATGGACGTCAATTCGTGTGGCACAACGGCCAGATCTTCTGGTTCAAGCGCTCTCGACGACCCAACGAAGGTCAACGAGTTCAGGTGAGCTTCGGTGGCGCTGCTGAAGACGATATCATCGAGCTCGACTGCATCGGTCGTGATATTGCGCCCGTCAAGGACTTGCTCAGGACGATTCGGGTCTGGTCTCTGAATCGCACGACTGGAACGACGACGATCCGACATCCGACTCCCAAGGATCGAGCGAGATTTGGTGGTACTTGGAGCAAGACTTCTTCGAGACCGTCTCGGCCGATGGACACAGTTATCTTAGATAATGGGCAGAAGAGTATGATCATCCATGATATGAACGAGTACTTACATCCTGCGAGTCCGAGATGGTATGCTACTCGTGGTATACCTTACCGTAGAGGCTATCTCTTCCATGGTCCTCCTGGTACTGGTAAGACTAGCTTGAGCTTCGCTTTGGCTGGGATCTTTGGGTTGGAGATTTATGCTATCAGCTTGCAGGAGCCGACTCTGACTGAGGGCGATTTGATGCAGCTGTTCAACGGCCTGCCGAGGAGATGTATTGTCCTGCTTGAGGATGTTGACGCTGCTGGGCTGGTCAGAGATGGTGCTAGTGATGATAAGGATGCCGAGAGCAAGTCTGAGAAGAAGGACGAGAAGGATGTAGAGAAGAAGAAGCCTGAGGTGAATAGTGAAAAGAAGGAAGGTGAAGGAGAGGTAGCAAAGAAGGTCGAAGACTTCACACTCAAAGACCTTGCTCGCGAGCTGAAAGCCGTCGCCGCACCCCAGCCTGGTAACAGAGGTGGCAAAGCTAAACGCGGTAATGCGACCACCGCAGACGGTCAAACGAGCAACACTGGCATCTCGCTTTCCGGTCTCCTCAATGCCATCGATGGTGTCGCCACACACGAAGGTCGGGTGCTCATCATGACTACAAATCATCCTGAGCAGCTCGATGCAGCTCTCGTCCGGCCTGGCCGTGTCGACCGCAAAGTTGACTTCAAGCTTGCGATGCGCGAACAGGTCCGTGAACTGTTTGTGAGGATGTATGCTGCGAGCGAAGAGTCATACGTGCGCGCTGCTTCACGAACCAAGAAGAAGATAATCGATGCTGGCTTAGCAAATGGTCACACCAGCGGCGAAGGGTCCAGGCCTGACAAGAGCCTAGGTCCAGTGACGGACGACCAGCTCGCGTCGATGTCGCGAGAAGATCTGGAGACGCTGGCTTCAGACTTCGCGGAGCGTGTACCTGAATCCACGTTTACGCCTGCTGAGGTACAGAATCTGCTTATGATGCATAAGAAGGAGCCGAAGACTGCTTTTGAGAAGGTCACAAGTTGGGTCGAGGATGAGTTGCGGGAGAAGGAGAAGAAGCCAGCTGCCAGTACCGAGGAGAAGAAGAAGTATGAAGAAGCGAAGGCTGGTGCTCAGGTGAATGGAGAGTAGGCTTGGACTGCTAAATGACGATATGATACCACGCCTGTAGATACATTTCCGAGGAACATAGGTTATGCGTAAAGTCTTTGCCGCATAGGTCACTTCATGAAGAGATCGATCGGAGATATAGGCCTTTGTTGATAGATTCCGAGAGTAAACAGAAATGATGCTAAGCTTGAGATCTTATAAATGTGCGAAATCCAATGGAAGGCGGATAGTCTTGTAGTACACCATGAACGAATGAATGCTTACGTGACCCCTCGCATTTCGCACACGCGGCATTAGGTAAACGAGCAATATCGAACCATTATGTGCATCGATGCATGACACGGCGTCTCCGTGCTACTCGAATCATTCGCGAGTGACCTGATTGGTCCTATCGTGTAGACGAAGCAACCCCCCCGAATCCATCGCTAGTCTCGCCCAGGGTACGCGAGCCCATACCGCCAGTAGGTGGCCTAATAAAGAGGTCTGGCGACCGTCTCAAGCAGCATGTACCGTTGTCCACTTCGCCTTTGATCGTTGACCGCTCGAAATCATCAGAGCCTCTCGTCGACGTAGGATGGACGCCACGACGAGCGCGAAGGGTCATGATGGCATCGCTCCATGGCTTGCGGTCACTCTAGCACTGCTCACCCTCCTCCTCAGCTCGGCCTACTATGCTCTACAGAAGCCGCCTCATGGCTCGAAAGCTCCACCTTTGACGAAAGACGCGAGCGCAGTGCTCGGAGCTTTTGCCTTCTTCACGCAGAGGTGGGACTTCCAGCAGAAAGCTTCCAGACATTCTCCCACAGGGAATTTCTCCTTTTATGCCGGCAAGTGGCCCGTCGTCTCGATAAGAGGCGAAGAAGCCCGGAAGGTGTTCTTGGAGAGCAAAGACCTTGCTTTCAGTGAGGGGTATTCTGCTCTACTTGCTGGCTCTCCAGAGGTCAAGCCCGACAATAACGTTCTTGCCAGCGATGTCACGCACGGCAATGAGTCTGGCTTCAGCGCCTACTTCAACAAGCGATTGATAGCTATGCTGAAAGGCAACCGACTGCGAGACGGCTTACCTCAGCTCTTGCAGGATGCTCGGCTCGTGCTCGACGAGATGGCGGCAACAGGAAAGAACCTCACGGATCCGTTTGATAGCATATATCGCATGGTCTACAAGTTCACCATGCGAACCGTTGCCTGTAATGAGATCGCTGATGATCCAGTGCTGCTTGCTAAGACTCTCAAGTGCTTCGAAGAAGTAGAAGGTGCCACGACGCCCCTCAGCATCATGTACCCATGGCTACCGCAATGGGCGACGGTTAGACGTACTATAGCTGGCGGGAGACTATATGTCATCTTCAAAGGGGTGGTTGATGCCAGAAAGAAGAACGGCACATGGCAGGAAGACGCATTGCAACACCTCATTGATTCTGGCGATAGTATCACAGATATCCTCAAATTCGTTCTTGGAGCACTATTCGCTGGCCAGCTGAACTCTGGCATCAATGCGGCTTGGATTCTGGTATACATGACAAGCAAGCCATATTGGCTCTCTCAAATTCGACAAGAGGTTGATAGAGTGGCCGACCGCTACACACACGATACTTCACTGCCTCTCAAGGAGAGACTGATGCATGTGCCCATCGAGGCATGGGAGAACGAGTTCCCGATCGTAGACATGTGCCTCCGAGAGTCAATGAGACTACAGTCATCAGGGTCGTTCTTTCGCAAGAATGTATCCGATCATGCGGTACCGATCAATAAGGAAGGTACAGAAGTCATACCTCCCGGTGTCTTCGCCACCTACGCCTTGGGCGATATTCACTACAACCCGCAGGTCTATACCAATCCGGATGAGTATGATCCGACTCGATTTTCGCCCGAAAGAGCGGAGGACAAGAAACAGCCATATGCATTTGTGGGCTGGGGTGCTGTGAGTGTACTGGCTGATAGTGATTGCACATCTCGAAGAAAGCTGCTGACTTTGATACAGGGGCGACATCCATGCTTGGGTATGCGTTTCGCTAAGCTCGAGAACAATATCATCGTTGCCTTCTTTCTCGCATACTTCAGCGACATCAAGCTCGCGAATGCGGACGGTAGTGAAACCACTCGGATCCCGGAGACGAACCGCAATAATCACACAGCACATAAGCCCGACGAGCACGTCTGGCTCAAGTACAAGATTGCTGCCAATTGACTCCCTTTCGACTAGATAGTACTCTTAGCAGGCCGTATCATAAAGAGATTACGGTACAACGTCCCAGGCTTGACGCGCTCATTCTCGATCCACGTGTCCGTCCTGCCTGCTTCACGAAAGCCAAAGCGTTCGTACAGAGTAACAGCATCTGGTGATGCCTCTAGGTAAGCCTCGAGGTTCTCATTGTCTGCTCGCTCGAGACCCCAGCGCATCATTTGGGAGCCAGCGCCCTTACCCTGAAACTTGGGGTCGGTGGCGACCATCTCGAGGTCTGGGCAATAGATCAGCTTCGTCTCCGAGAGATGTATATGAATAAAGGTGACTAACACCAATGCGCCCTCGCACCCATCAATTGAGGATGCTTGTTCGCCCAGTCGCCGAACGTCTCATCTGCTAGTCTCTTGTCTGACCCCTCGGGCCACTGAGGTAAGCTCGTGTCGGCTTCGTGACCGGCTTCGTATTTTCGCCACTTGCAGTAACCAGCAATGTCTCCACTTTCGTTCGCAACAGCTTTAAGCCATTGTGAGCCGGGCTCGTGGAGCTCGTCTCTGATCATGTTTTCCCACCATTCTCGAACGGCAAGGACGTCTCGTGGCCAGCATCCGAGTGAATGTGCATTTTGGAAAGCTGCAAAGTAGATTGCTACACATGTAGGCGCATCAGATATCTCCAGAGGCTTTAGCTCGAATGACATTGTCGTGGACATCCTCGGCATGTCACAAGGGCGATTGCTCGGTTTGTGGACGGAGACATCATGTATCTATCGTTCAGCCTGCTCGTTTATCTTGATTTCGTCGTCTTACTTATCGAACTCTTGAATTGGTCACCGTGGAAGACCATTCCTCAATTGGGGCTAGCGTTGGGGCTATGAAGAACTTCTTTTCTCTACTTCGCTTCGATTGGCCTTGGTTTAGCGTTGCAACTAGCTTGCCGAGCATTGAGAGTGTGTAACTATTATCATATCGCACAACAGCAGCATCTTTGCCACGTTGGCATGAGGAATTGAAACCATCCCTTCCCCCAACGCGTGGATGCGTCTTTGGCAAGCTTGATCATATGCGAGGTCGTCCCGTCATGGGGCTTGGAGGCTGAGGCTGTGCGAGGCTGGACGCCATACAGTTCGAGCTGTACATCCTACCCGTGAGCGTCTTGTCACTATGGAGGTAGTGAGAGACTCCCAAAGCACGTCGCCGCTAGATCCAACCAGATCATCTTTGCTAGCGCAACACAAGGACCCGAATGGGTTCGAGACGCAGTCCACCCCGTCTGATCGACGTCAAAAGCTATAGGCTGGTACCATTTCCCAGAGATCAAGCACCGCCATATGCAATACTGTCACATACTTGGGGTCCTGAAGGGGAAGAAATCGCGTATCAAGAGTGGCTAGAGGCAGAAACACTGGCCACAAAGTCCACAACCGGCTCACCACCGGATGAAGTGCGTCCTTACAGAAAAGGCTATGCCAAGATCTATGATGCTTGCAGACAAGCTGAGGCGGATGACTTCAAGTATATATGGTCGGACACATGCTGCATCAACAAGGAGAATGACGCTGAGCTCGGTGAGGCAATTCGATCCATGTACGCATGATACGCCCACGCGCAACGGTGTTACGCACATCTTTCAGATCTGAACATCGATACTGATGGACATGATCTTTCGACACCAGCAACAACCACCGATGTCGTTACCGCGAACGCTCAAGCTGATCTGGCGCTCGGACTATCACGATGTGTCTGGTTCACTCGCGGGTGGTGCCTACAAGAGCTGCCGGCGCCAAAAGAGATCTGCTTCTTCGATAGCCACTGGCGCAGCGTCGAGTATCCTGACAACCTCCCTCAGCTGATCTCGGCCATAACGAAGATTCCTGTGGCCGTCCTTACTCAGCAGATACCGATCACCGATTGCTGCTTGGCCCAACTTCTTTCGTGGGCAGCTGACAGACGAACCTCACGGATGGAGGATCGAGCTTACTCGCTTTTCGGCATCCTTGGAGTGAACATGGCGCCTATGTACGGCGAAGGTTCCGATGCGTTCGCAAGACTGCAGCGGGAGTTGCTGCAGGACACCCGCGACCCTACCATATTTGCGTGGACATCCGCTGACCCAGCTCGCAAGACCTCTCTCCTTGCCGCTACTCCAGAAGGTTTCAGACATAGCACAAATATCAGAGTGAACCGAGCGCTTGGAACTTCGTGCCACTTCAGCCGGACCAACGTTGGGATAGCTGGTGAGATCCTGATAATCGAGCCCAGGCCTCACGATCGTACACCTTGGTCCAGTGATCCCCGAGCGATGACCTTTCGAGCGCCATAGTACGACCGACAAGACCCATCCTACATCGTCATCCTCCGCGAGATGGAAAACGACGCAGTCAATGTTCTGTTTGAACATACCCGTTTCCTCCGGAGCTTGGGGAAGCACTAGAGGTGCGAGTCCGTCGCACGAGGACGAAGCCCAAGACCGGCGCGGCAAGATTTGGTTGCCGTGATTAAAGTGGACCGTCTGTGACAAACATCAAGATGGATAGATATATTGATGGCGCTCAGTATATAGCTCAAGCATCAACTGGGCCCCGGCTCCATCTCCGACCACTCTCCCTCCTCATCCCAAATCCCAGCTTTACTGTAATCACCCACTGAGCTTCCAGCCATATATCCAAATCTAAAGTACTCCGGCAACCGCCTGCGTCCCTCTATCTTTACATCATCGCCGTCCACATGAACATCAATATCGCTCTCATGACCCAGTATATCGTCCACTCCAGCCACATCGTCATCATCATCCCTACCAACTCTATGCCGCCACCAAGTCCACGTCAAATTCCCACCAGCTGAGGCATCACCCCAGTCCGATCTATCGTCTCCATATCCGCGGAACCTCTCAACATCATTGACAAGGACGCTGATGCCGTCGAATGTCACGCCTGCCTTCTTGTCGTACTGTGGCAATGATCCAAGACCAAAGGTGATATTGCTCGCCCCAATAGCCAAAACACTGACAGCAGGTATCAACGTCCCTCTCTGTGCACCCTTGAGTAACTCCCCGGGAGTCTGCAGAATAGAGTCAAACCCCCATCTCGCAATTCCATTCACGAACAGTCCAACGAGAAGGCCCTGATAGAGGAGACTAGGACGATTCTGGAAACTTGTCCCTGGCAGCAGCAGGAGAGCAAGGATGTAGTGATGGATCCTCAGATTCAGACTGGGCAGAGCCAGCATAATAAAGATCGCGAGGACGAAAAGGCCATAGATAGCTAGATATCGCGGCATTCGGCCCTCGACGCGGAAAGACCACGCTTGGCCAAGGGCGATGAAGAAGATTGTTAGGACGACGGCGATCAAGGCTGGTATGGCACCGGGTTGGGCCTGAATATCGTGCGATGTCAAGCGCTGAATGGGTATCTTGTCGAAAGTATGATTGTTCAGTGCACCGACCCACGCGGGTCCAAGCCAGAGGACCGTTTTCTCGATCTGCGCCGTCAAGTCCGTAAGGCTGCGTTTGACGGTGTACCGATATGTTACCCAGCCACAGAAGGCCGCAGGAAGGAAACGGCCAAAGGCTAGGGAAAGGAGGGAACTCGTAGTGAAGAGATTCGGTGGATCGGTTGCTAGTGCAGTCTGGAAGAAGAGGATGGTGAAATTCGTCCAGAAGAAGATTATTGGGCTGGTGGTGAAGAGGCTTAAGACGGTGGTAAAGGCTACGCTTATCCCTAGGGCTGGCCATCGGAGGTCGTGGCAGGAGGCTTCTGTTCCGGAGAGGAAGCCGAAGGTTTGCGGGAAGTAGGATGCGAAGGGGATGCTTTCTATGCCGTGGTGGGTTGAGCTGGGGAAAGAAGTTTGTTCGCCTGTTAGGGAAAGGACGCCGCATCCTCCTGTAGTGGAAGTAAGGAAGCCGGCGTGGATGGCGGAGGCGCAGATGAAGCTATCGCTGCGGTAGATGGCATTATTCACCAGTATGTCTTCGAAACCGGTGTGAGACTCTGTGGGACCGCCGACGGCGAGAGAGCGATAGACGATTTCTTGGTCGCCGATGGCATGTGGATTGAGGGCCTGGATCTTGTGGCAGTCGGCTGGGCAGCGGAAAGCAAGAGTCTCGTTCGCGAAAGGGCGACAGCGGTTGCCGTTCAGACCGCAGCCGTTGCCTTCCTCCCAGTAGGATGCGCCGCAGTGGAGATGGATGGGTTGACCGTAGCCGGGGATGCTGGCCGAGAAGTTTGAGGCGCGGAGGATGAGGGAGAAGGAGAGGAGCCAAGAGGCTAGGAGGAGTACGAGAAGCCAGAAGCGATGCATTCGTTTCGGTGCATAGCGATCAAGTAGTGTAATAGGTATGTGTTGTATCAATGGAAAGATGGGCGTTATGGTGAAGATTCTCGGAGGGTCTGGACCTTTGACCCATGTCTTTGTCGCTTCCCAGGCATTCTTGACAGGCTGAGGTAGTTGATCTACTGTCTTGCTCAGCCATGCCGGACTGCTGCCTCCAAGATGCAACCCGTCGAAGTCGGAGGATGGTCGAGATGATGCGCCTGGTCCGCGTAACGGTGCATCCGCACCAGTGATCGCGTCATCGTCCGATTCGTCGTGATATACCTGGACGTTCCCATTCAGACTCATGCGATCGTTCACCGCAGCCTCTTCGTCCGTCTGACCCTGTCGTCCCATTTCGTCGTCTTGTCGTAATTTCGCTGCTACTTCTCGTTATGGTGACATTGTGTGATGAGCGATGCGGTATGACCGAAGAATTCAAGGAGAAGCTGTGTAGACCTACTTCTACGATAGATCCTATACTCACTGTCTATGTCGACAAGATGTTTGCGATGTGAGATGCAATAGTGCTTGGCTTGGGATGTCGTCGCGTATCGGAGACGGGATAGCTCCACGTGCCGGGGAGCCGCATGGAGTTAAGCCTGATTTAATGCCAGGCATTGAACACAGCATGAAAACATTAACATCTGTTGGGATAGATCCAATGAAAAGTACAGATAGTTCCAACACATAGCATTCGTACGCTCTCGCTCGCAATGTCCCGTCGAGCTTTGATTTTGACAGATATGAGTCTGAATCAGGATATTACTGATCATACTCCACCATGAATGCCGAGCGCCGTGCATCATCATCGATTTAGGCTTGCAGGCATGCATTGGTGCATTTGTCAGGAACCGAACACCGCGCCGTGCATGTTGTATAGCTCTGATAAGGATCTCACTGCTCATCAACAAAGGAAGGTTTGTATTCAGCTCAGCCTACCCATCAATTTGGAGGTACTACACACGATGGCGACAAGCATGCGACCACAAGATAACCCGGTCGACCACCGACCGCCTCCCAAGGACCTCACACATCACCTCAGTCGAGCGACCAAAGCCAGGCAGGCGAGCTCTATGAAAGCATTCTACAAGTATTTTTTCATCCCTGGTATCGGTCAATTAGCTGGAGGATTGCCGAACAATTACTATTTCCCATTCGACACTCTCGAGGCCAAGATAGCACGGCCAGATCGATGGACACCGACACCAAACAAGCCCGTCGACCCGCCATCCCGCGATGACGATGAGAGGGGCGACGTTGCTGCTCCGATGCGCAACCTGAATGTCGGCACAACCAGCAGTCCCCTCAACCAACCTCAGGACACCCTCACAGTCCCACATACCAGCGCACAGAAGAATCCGGTCCAGAAGATCGACCTAGCTTCCGCACTACAGTATGGTACTGCACAGGGATATCCACCACTCTACTACTTCCTCCGCCAGTTCACACAAGACCACATGCATCCCAATTGCCCTTATAAAGGCGGGCCAGAGATCATCTTGACTTGCGGTAACACAGACGGCTTCAGCAAGGTGCTGCAGGCATTCAGCAATGAGTGGAGTGAGGAGAAGGACTGGATTAGGGATAGAGAACACTTGCTGGTTGAGAGCTTTTGTTACATGAATGCTGTCCAGGCAGCTCTTCCGCGCGGGCTGGGAGCTGTGCCGGTAGTCCTGGACGATGAAGGCATGGTTGTGGAAGGCAAGGGCGGGTTGAGAGATGTGCTGGAGAATTGGGACTTCAAGCGGGGCAAGAGGCCACATCTGATGTATACTGTGACGTGAGTACAATACTCTAAGAACGACATTGGAGAAATGCTGACAAGACTGATGCTAGCATGGGCCAGAATCCGACTTCTGGTGTCCTTTCGCTACAGCGTCGCCGCGACATTTACGCTCTATGCAGCAAATACGACATTCTAATCGTCGAGGACGATCCCTACTGGTACCTCCAATACCCCACCTCAACCGCCACAAACACCACCACCGTCTCCTCCTCAGCAAATACATCTTTCAACCCCGACGTAACCATGTTCGCCAATTCCGAGCCCCTCCCCGACAACTGGAAGTCCTCCGGCTACCCTTTCCTCGACTCCCTCGTTCCCTCGTTCCTCTCCGTAGACACCGACGGCCGCGTCCTCCGCCTCGATACCTTCTCAAAGACAGTCGCACCCGGCTGTCGTCTAGGCTGGATCTCCGGCCAACCGGACCTCATCGAACGTATCCTACGCATCACAGAGACCTCCACCCAACAACCCTCCGGCTTCGTCCAAAGCATCATTGCTGAACTGATCCTCGGGCCGGAGCAAAAAGGCATCGCAGACCAGAACCTCAAGAAGGACAAGAACGGCCGAGGTGGCCTTCCCACAGGTGAAGGCTGGAAAGCCGATGGTTGGGTCCGCTGGCTCGAAGGCCTTCGCGGCAACTACGAGCGTCGCATGAACCACATGTGCAAGATCCTCTCCTCCAACTCCCACATCGTCAAGACCGGGCGCCGCGCAAGCCTCACACAAGCCCTAGCCGACGGAGAGGAAGAAGAAGACGACGAATGGAACGTGGTGGAAAAACAACAAATCTTCTCCTTCGACTGGCCCGTAGGCGGCATGTTCGTCTGGCTCAAAATCCTCTTCGACTCTCATCCGCTCTATCACACCTACGCCAAGGCCAACCAGCTTGACCGTCTTTCCCGTGCCCTCTGGATCCTGTGGACCACGAAACCATACCTCGTCCTCGTCTCTCCAGGAGGGATCTTCTCACCCACGCCTGAGATAAGGGAGGCGGAGGGGTGGAAGTACTTCCGGTTATGTTTCGCTGCTATCGACGAAGAACAGCTTGGTCCTGTCTCGGAGAGGTTGGTCGAGGGCGTGAAGGCTTTCTTCAAGATTAGGGAGAAGAAGGTTATTGAGAAGTTGTTGGAGGAGGATGAGGTGGCTTTGCAGGCGAGGATTGAGGGGATGGGGGAGGAAGGGGGGTTGGCGATGGTTGGTGGGCCTTGTTAGGATCGTGGGATTGGCGAGGTCAAGTTGCAGGTCCGTAGATCGGATTTCATGCGGTTATGATGTACACGACTGAGGCTTTTGCACGCGGTATATAGGATCGGTCAAATCTGCACTTTCACACGATGCGACTCTGGTGAGGTCTCGTACTCGTGCGACGCGAAGTACCCGTATTGCATTACCACGTCCTGAGCTACAACTTTCGTTTGCTGCCGATACTGTACCGCTCTAAACCGCTGCATGCCACATGATTGCCTCTGAAGCTGCCCTGGTTAATCCACGTGGTGAGGAGCACTGCTACACAGTGTGTGGTCCTTCGGATAAGACTAGACTCGACTCTTCTGTCAGACAGGTTTCCACCTCAAGCGATGTGATATGCCGAAGGTGCCGTGGTGGGGGCGTCACTCTACGTAAGCAACAGCATTGAGGCCATGGCTGAGTCGCGTGGTGGCCTTACTATGCATTGTTCCGGAACAGATGGACGTGCGCTTGACAATTCTGAGCAATTCTTATACACATTCCAATTTGTGGGGAACAAATCAGCGGCTGGACCGAGCTCCCGAGGACGGAAAACGACGGTTGTGGCTGCGCTTGGGACTCTTTCGATAAAGCCTCGAACCAGACCATCGCCCAATGGTGATGGTGGTGACTTTGGTGAGCTGAACGCATCTCATGCTGTAGACGTCGACGCGCGACGGTAGGTAAAGCAGGGCCCTGCATCTACTGTTTGTTCCTCTTTCCACCTTGGTACCTTCTTATTGACCATCACCACGACACACGAACTCGCGGGTTGGATAAGAAAAGGCAGCAAAGACGTACCTTTGTGACGTAGACAATCAGAAGAACATCATCAACGCATCACAAGGACGACGTAAGCAAGGGAAAGAGCCTTTCCAGCGTCTTCGATACCTCCACGTGGCCACCTCACGATGACACTACCTCTCACTTTGTTGGCCCTCCTCGCCACCAGACTAGCCGCGGCACAACGGGTGATCAAGGCGGAGATCTGGAAGCCCCAGGTAGCAGACAATAGCACGACTGTTGACGCGAACGACACGCTGTCAACACGGTCTATTGGCACACTGCTCACACCTAGACCAGACCGATCACTATACTGGATCAATATCACGATCGGCACTCCAGGCCAACCACAATCACTGCAACTCGACACAGGTTCGAACGTGATCCTCATACCGGCAACTGGCTCAAGTCTCTGCAGCTCGAGCCTGATACCTTGCGACGTACTCGGAAGCTTCGACAGTTCAAAGTCATCCACATTCTCCAATACCAATCAAGCTACAGGCGAGACTTTCACGGACGGCGCCAGTGTCAGTGGGAACTGGATATACGACACCGTCGGCATCAGCGGTGCAAGCGTGACTTCGCAGCTCGCTATTCTTGGTACGAGTGGTAGCAGTATTACGGAAGGTGTTCTTGGTGTGGGCTTTCCAGCCAGCTGGCCGACACTCAACCATAATCTTGCTACACAGAACCTCATCTCGAGTAATAGCTACAGCTTATGGCTTGATAAAGCTTCAGCCGCTAGCGGTACTATCCTGTTCGGTGGCCTGAATCTCGCTCGCTTCACAGGCGCGCTTCTGAAGATACCTATTGTCGGCAGTACAAACGCGGATGGCAGTATGTCATACAACCAAGCCACTGTCCAACTTACCCAAGTATCGACCCTTAACGGCCTCCTTCCCGTAATCCAGACACCATTGACATACTCCGAGAACGCGATTCTGGACACAGGCACCACCCTTACAATCCTCCAACAAGATCTCGCAACCAGCATAATCAATGCCATGGGAGCACAATACTACCCACTCGGCTCAACATCCGGCAATGCCATCATACCTTGTCAAGCGGCTACCAACAATAACGGTCCAAGCATCAACTTCCATTTCTCGAACTTGCTCACTGGTCCAACCATAAACGTACCACTATCTCAGCTCGTCGGCACGGTCCTGGGAAGTCTGAACGGTATCAGCTATTGCCAATTCGGTATTTACAGTGCTCCTGCCGGAGCAGGCTGGCCTACAATTCTAGGCGACACGTTCTTGAGGAACGCCTATGCAGTTTATGATCTCGATACCCACCATGTTGGTCTGGCACAAGCGGTGTATGATTCGAATGTGGTCGATAACATTATTGAGATCCCTGCTGGTGGGATACCTACCGGGATCGTGATTGGGTAGGACAGGCAAACTGTAGCAAATGAGTTTGCAGTCATGGCTCTGGGGACACGGGGCCGTTTGCGACTGTGGTTGCTAAGGCGGCTTGCTGTGCTCACAGGCGAGACGTTGACACATGCTTAGGCACGCAAAATGACTCTACAAAGGCTCCCCCCCCGCGATACTGTCACGTTGCTCTCGTATGAACCTCTATAAGCATATATTCGTCAGACCATGCCCGACAACGAAGCCTGAAAGATCGCCGCACCTCTCGTAGCGGGAGTAATACTTCTGGCATGCGCCATCGCACTAGGCAACTCTCTATGGCGCCGTCGACAGGCCCGTAGAATCCTACAAGCCGAAGCTGCAGCTGCGAACAGGGGACTCGATATGCCATCCTATGACAGCACCCTCGACATGATCAACCCCGGTACAGCATATCTACTGGGCGACCTCGAGCTCGGCGGTAACACACACCCCGGCCAGCACTCCATCCTTGATCGACACGAAGAGCGCACACCTCCGCACCCCAGCGTCCGCATTCTCTCTTCTCCAACGACGTTAAGTGCTCCAAAACTGACTGTACGTGCACCGACCATACGAGAGCAGAATCATCTGAAGTGGACAAATGTACCTGTACCCAGCTCAAGGTCATCAATGCGTTATGGTATTCTTCCGGCGCATCGAGATGTACATGTGCTTGATAATGGAGAAGATGGAAGGGAAACTAGCAAGCTTGCGGCCGTGGAGTGAGCATACTCGGGAGCCCACGGAGTAGCAGAAGAGAAACTGGCCCGTGCTGTGATAGAAGGGTCGATATCATGGAGTACGATCGCACTTTCGGATAGATCATCCTGACCATGTGGCTCCTGTATTGACAAAGCCTATCGTTTCGTCCAGGGCTTGATCTCATTGTGTATCGTTGCCGTAGTCTCCGCCCTGAAGACTATGACTACCGAGCGATTGCTCCAGAGACTCATGACTGACCGCCAGTAACTACCGTGCACTCTCTCGCCCTCATCGGCAATCAAATGACAATAGCCACTACCACCCCTCCCACTGCCTTTCATCCACAACGAGTCCTCAAATCATATCACCGCAACTTCCTTCTCAAACACTCCAATGACACTCATCATGATTACTCCGACCATAACGACTCCCACCGCCCCAGTCTTAACAATGCCCTCAATTCCCCTCCTCGCACTATACTGGTACGTCGCCCATATAACCTACCGCCGCCGCCTGGAAACCGCTATAGCACATGCGCCAGATATCGAGATTGCCAAGAACGCCGGCCGGGCGGCGCAAGAGAGAAGGGGTAAGAGAGTTGGTCCTGCTAATTACCAAAGGGACCTTGAGCTTGAGGACGTTGATAGGAGGCGTGAGATGAGTGGTGTTTTGGACGGAGTATGTGCCGAGAGAAAGGTGGAATCCAATCGTTCAACAAGCCAAACGACACATTGGGAGGGATGGCGCAGGCGTGCGAGCTGAGGGGCGGGGTGAAGGGTGGCCGACATAGCCTGCTGTATGGTGTGAGGGCTCGCGCCTTCTTGTCAGGCAGCGATGGGCTGTAGATCGGATTGACATCTCTTGGCCTGCCAGGGCTGGACTCGAATCTCTTTTCCAAGTTCTGATGCGGCTTAAGCACAAGCAAAATCGTGCCAATTCCGATGCTTGAAGCTATTGCGATACACCGACGCTGTCATATACTCATGCCCGCTAAGCACGACCTTGTTGTCCTTCCAGCGCCTCGCTAATTTCGCAATGCCGGACTCCTTTCCGCGACAACCCTCACCCCTCCATCTTGACCTCCTGGCCACCCTGCTCCCCCTCTCCACCAGCCAGGACCTTCACCTTCACCCTCTCATCCACAACTCCACCCGGCGTCCAAGCCGTAACAACCCCCTCCTCATCCACAAACTCCCACCTGAACCTACTCAAATAATGCGGGATAGCACTCAACTGCGGCCCATACCTCTGACTATTATCATACAGCTCGAAAAGCGGCACAGCCAGCAACTTCATATTCTTCGGCACGGACAACACCTTACTTTTGGGTAGCTGAATGAAGTAGAGTTTCTTCAGCTCTTTGGGTCGCGTCGTGTGCGGGGGGAGGTAGGGGTACATGAAGGTTTCGAAGTTGGGTCGCCACCACTGGGCGAGGGTAGAGGTGATGTTCCAGTCGGAGGAGGCGGCGTCGTCGCGGGTGGAGAGGGAGCTGGACGCGGGTGGGGCGAGCTTGGCGGTGAGGATGGTTTTGAAGCCGGCGATTTCGTCGGAGTCGTGGGGGAGATAGTCGCCGGGGCTAGAATGTCTATCAATATCTTGCAGTATCTTGCAGTATCTTGCAGTATCTTGACGGTGTGTATAGTGGATGTAGATGTGCTTACAGCTTGAAGAATGCATTGGCGATCTGTAGCATCAACACGTGAGGGTGGTTGTGTTCGTGGCAAACTAGTATCCCTTCGCACGTTCGACGCATGCCATGCTGTTCATAGTGCTCTTCTAACCGCCGTAGTCGGTCTTTGACTGACGGGTCCTCTTCTGGCTGTGTCTCCTTCACGCCGAATGTGTAGTTGCTAAGTGGGTACAACTGGATAGCAGGTGGTTGTCGATCATTGAAGGGTAAGCCATTGGGCGGCTGGATCTCTGATTGCTGGTGGGATGGCGGTATGGCGGACATGTCGGTGGTGTTACCGGCACGGTTTGAGTGTCATAGACTCATAGCATAGCAACGATCGTATTATTATTGACTTCAAGCTATCGCGACTCCAGCTCGGAACAAGCTTCATGGAATCATGGACATCCCTCCCGCCCGTGTCACCCAATGGGGAAGGCACCGCAAAGCCATACCACTTCCGTATCCATTTCTTTCGCATTAGGAAAGTCATCTGAAACACGCACAGTTACAGTATGACACAGACGAACACTAAGCACTCTCTGCAACATAGCCGTACGTCTTCTGCCGACGACCCGCGTGCGTATGGCGAGTCAACCATCATCGTGTTATGGAGCACTGATAAGGAAGATCTTCGGTAGCTGATCTACTTGGCGCGTTCTACCATAGCCTGACTATCAACATCGAGACGACGACAGTAGTAACGCCCGCAAAGTCTTCAAGTACTGATAACACTGCAGCTGTAGCTCCACGCGATGCATGCTCTTGCTCTGCACCATCAAGCTTCTTCGCCGTGTCATCCAGCATGATCAAGCATGACAAGAAGGTTTACAGACGGTCTGGGAGAGTCTACAACTCAGGACACGAGCATCGAGAGCAGCCGAACAGAACCCAGATTACTGGACATGCCAGACAGAAACATTTCAGCTCTCGTGCGAGAACAATCTGCTATCAGCTCTTCGCGATAACAGCGCAGTAGCTACCTCTTGGCATCTTGGCGAATGCTACATCGACTTGCACCTCTATGCTTCGACCTACCAAGTCTGTACTGGTATTGTTCAGGTATCACAACTCGCTCAGTACTGCTGTCAAGGCTATGTGTAAGCATGAAGAGTAACACCCGAAGATCCTACGAATGCTGCAAACCCCCGGCGAAGGGCGGGTATGATGGATGATTGAAGCTTGGTATAAGTATCCGAAGGTAGATCTTCCAGTACGAGCTCAGAATCGTCTCGTGCTTTCTGTCGTCAAGATGCCTTCCCGACCGCTGTCGCTTCTCTCGCTCACTGCTTTTTCCTTGCACACTCTCGCATTGGCTTGTACTATACCAAGATCGAACTCAGTCTCTTTCCAGAGCGACATAAAAGCAGAGGCAGGTGGAGCACACAATGTTCACCTCACATACAACGCCCCACTGAGCGGTGGGCTGTCTCTCCATTACGGAGGCTGCGACATTCTCGCCAGCTCAGACTGCCACCACACCCTAGGCCAAACACATATCGGGGATCATCCCCTGGCCAAGCGGCATGTCGATCACCCAGAACAGCGACCAAGACGTTTCGTTTGGCTTCCACCTTCGGACGTGCAATCTGGAGGCTGTCTCCATGCCTTCTCCGGCGGAGCACTAGTCGGCAGATCCAACCCAGTCACTATCGTCAGACGCAACGAGCGCCGCTGGATCGCAGCCTCCGAAGTCATGGACTGGCAAGGTCCGTGGTTTGACGGCGTGGAGTATCTGAAGGAGAAAGAACCAGAAGATGTCTTCGTTGCCAAGGCCAAATCGCAGAAGATCGGCATCATCGGCGGCGGCATGTCAGGACTCATGACGAGCCATCTGCTGACCTCTGTCGGCTTCCACGACTGGACTATCATCGAGGCTTCTCACCGCATTGGTGGTAGGGTACACACTTCGTATTTGAACGGCACCAAGCCGGAAGATTACCAGTACCAGGAGATGGGACCTATGCGCTTCCCAGTCGAGATCACGCAAGGCAATGAGACGATTCCAATCAATGATCATCGTATGGTCTTCCAACTTGCGGATGAGATGAACAAGCTCAACGGTAATGATTCCGAGTTTGGGGTGAACTTTATCCCATGGATACAGAACTCGCCGAACCTGCCTGCGAGTACATCTAAGCGTAGACCAGATGGGACTGTACCGAGTGTGACGGAAGTCAAGAACGATCCAGCCGATTATGCCGTCAACGCCAATCTGACATACTCGAACGCAACAGCCGTCGCTCTAGCTACAGAAGGGTACGAAGACTGGAAGAGCTCCGTAAGTGTAAAAGAGACAGCAATCAACGTCTTCGAAGCGCACAAGAAAGCCATCGCAGACGGCCTCTTCGACTACTCCGAAGCCGGCTACATCAACTACGTCCTCGGCTACAGCAAAAACACCACGGACCAAATCGACTCCTTCCAAGACGTTTCCCCCTCCTGGGACTATGACACTGGCTACTTCAGCGCCACCAAATGGCGCACGATCGACAAAGGTCTGTCCCGGCTCCCAGCGTCCTTCATCCCGCATGTCCTAAACCGCACATATCTAAATACCACAGTCCAAGGTCTACACTGGAATGACAGCATCAGAAAAATGAGCGTCCAATACCGAAACCAATCCCTCTTCGCTATAGAGCCCGAAAGCATGGACTTCGACTACACCATCGTAGCCGTACCCTTCAGCCGCGTCCGCCTCTGGCGCTTACCAGCCTACACCTCCCTCCTCTCCCGCGCCATCAGCCAACTGAATTACGAACAATCATGCAAAGTGGCCCTCCACTACCAAACCCGCTTCTGGGAGCACCTACCCAAACCCATCCTCGGCGGGTGCGGGAGCACAGATATCTCAAACATCGGCTCGATCTGCTACCCGTCCTACAAACAAAACTCCACCGGCCCCGGCGTCCTCCTAGCCTCCTACTCCTCTGGCGTTTCCGCTCGAAGTCTCGGCTCAATGACAGAAGCCCAACATGTAGCCTACGTGCAACGCGCCATGATCGAAGTCCACGGCCCCCTGGCAGAAACAGAATTCACCGGCGCTCACGACCGAATCTGCTGGGAGGCGAACGAATTCCAAGCCGGTGCCTGGGCGTCCCCGATGGTGGGGCAGCAGGATTTGTATCTACCTGCTTACTTTCATACGGAGAAGCAGACGGTTTTTGTTGGGGAGCATACTAGTTATACGCATGCTTGGATTTGGTCGGCGTTGGAGAGTGCGGTTAGGGGGACTACGCAGATGTTGCTTGATATGGGGTTGGTGGATGAGGCGAAGGAAATTACTGGGTTTTGGATGGCGAGGTGGATTAGGGTGTAATTGGATGGTAAGTGGGGGAGGGCCCGGGAGCTGGACGTGTGAAGAGATGCGTGGACTCTAAGATGGCGATGGAACATGGTACTTGGCTCTCCCTGTCCGCCGACATGCCCGGATATAGACCCTAAAATTAAGCTTGAGTCTGTTCGTATAAGCTTGTCCCATGCCAAGGAAGGTACGGAACGTGGGGTGCATGTTCCCACGTCAATGGCGTCGACCATGCCGATAAGCTAGTTGGTGAAGCAAGCATGATCCAGCAAGGCAATCCGTCCTCTAGTGAGCCGGATTGTAGCCATCTAAAGATAAGTATCAGTGTCCTTTCGTTGCATATTGTAGCATACCTATTCACAGCCCGTATCAGCATCTTCCTCTCCACCATGTGCCGGTCAGTATACCACTGCCAGCATGATCCCAGTCTGCTAATATTGATGAAAGCTGGTTCGCCTACATCTCCCCTACCGAGCCCTGCCTCCTCGACGATGTCCTGGTCCGGCCCCCCAACTCCCTCGCCAAACAAGTGCACGAGCATTACCTCCCCCAACTCATCGCCCACAACCCGGAAGACCTCAAAAGCGCCGATCACCTGACCACAGCCCGCAACAGTATCTACAACATCGATGGTGCGGGGGTAGCATGGTACACTACTTCCCTCTCCGCCTTCGAGTCGCCAAACAGCGATGACAACGACCTCATGCCCGCGGTCTACAAGACGATTGTCCCGCCGTCCAACGATCTGAGTTTTAGGAGTATAGCCAGGAACACGGAGACGAAATGCTGTTTTGCGCATATTCGAGCAGCGTCTGGGACGCCGATTGTGCAGGTCAATAACCACCCGTTTGTTTTTGGCCGGCATACTTTTATGCATAATGGGGTCGTGTCGAATTGGGGGGCGATCAAGAGAAGTGTTTGTGGGGAGATGAGTGAGGCGGCTTTTGCTGGGGTGGTCGGTGGTATGCTATGCTCATGATCCGATCGAGATGGTGGGCCGGGAGAGGCTATGGCTGACTGACCGATTTGGTGTGGAACAGGCACCGACTCCGAACACATGGCCGCCCTTTACATGACCTACCTCACCTCATCCGGCGACTCCAACAGTTTCCTCAAACCCTACACCCTGGAGCAAATGGCCACAGCCATGCACAAAACCGTCTCCACAATCATAACCACCCAACTCCGGCTTCTCGGCCGCTCCAAAGCCGCACCCAACAGCCTCAACCTCTGCGCCACCGACGGACAAAAACTAATAGCCTACCGCTTCCGAAATCACGCAACAGAACAACCGCCATCGCTCTACTACTCCACTAAAGCCGGCACTACCCTAAATCGAAAATACCCCGATGTAGCGGACGGCAAGGACGTAGAAGGACGGTATGAGGGCCTGGCGGTGGAGAGCCACGGCGAGCATTTGATCGTGGCGAGTGAGCCCAGTACGTATAAGGCCGAGGATTGGCATTTGATTGGGAAGAATCAGTGTGTGGCTGCTGAGGCGGGGGGGAGGTTTGAGGTGAGGGATGTGCCGTATAGGGATGAGTGGGATGTTGAGGATCCGATGGCTGAGTTTCATACTTGAGGTATGAATTTGAGGCTAGCCACGGAGTACGAAGGGTGGATAGTTTGATGGTTGGTGGTTAACATACCCCTAGGAATCTATGGGATGGATGACCTTTCGATTATGCGCCCATTCCATCACGAAAGGCCTGGAGCCTGGGCATATTGGAAGACTACCCACGATACCTTTTCCTCGTCGCAGATTTCTAGATTGCACGATAGTAGGCTAAGCAAATTGGCTGCATGATACTTTCAGCCTTGCCTTAACCTTGCTGGTCATCTGGTACCCCATTCACTCCCTCCATCTGGTCTTCAGAGAGACTCTCCTCGATCGTAGGCATCGGTACATACGCCGGTGCTCCACGCCTCCCAACCAAAGACTGCGGCGCATGCGGTACTGGCACTGATTGAGTAATCCTACCACACCATTCATGCTGCACCGTTGTCCCGGCTCGAGCGCCAGAATTCGCGTCAAGTAGAGGAAGAGTACTAGCCTGCTCGCGCAAGTTCCGCCTTTGTGTCGTGTTCGCACCGCTGTTCGTAAGTGAGGTGAAAGCACTTCATGACTTGGTCGTGTGTGAGGAAGCCGATCGCAATGATGAGGACGATAACTAGGAGGATATGCATCTAATTTATGGTGGTATACTTTGCCTCTTGGAAGGACCTTGGCAAGCGAACAGGTCGCGCGTATATTGGCAATCGACCAACCGATAGATTGAGAGGAACATGACTTAGAGCCGATCGATGTGGCGTCAGCTGGCTGATTGGTCGTTGTTGCCCATCATCGATGATTTCAGATGACTGATTGCTTGCCTACAGGCCTAGTGGATTACTCTGGCCATATCGACGGGGATGCTTGGAACGCGGACAACGAGGAGGCACAGTACATCATGATTGATGCCTACACTGAGAACAAGTCCCCGTCAACTGAGCAAGGCGACGATCGAGAGGCGATGACTTCGATTCAGATATGCTACAACCCAGCAAATGTCCGGACTGTGGCCACAACGAGAAGAGACAGAGGAAATTGATATGGCTCGATATGGCAAAACAAGCTATCGCATCAGCTCGATATGCGTCTTCAAGGACCAAGCCTGGAACAGTCCCAATTGACGCAATGCTCGCATCCCAGAACTTCAGCAAACGATCAAGCAGTCCTTGCTATCTGAGGCGCGGAGCGTCCTATGTCAATCTCCTCGCCACCTGCAGCCCCATCTCAGCCTCTGCCCTCCCTCATCCACCACACCGCCACGTCTCCCCGCCCAGCACCCCAACTTTAAGCCCTCCCACTCCACTCCTCACTTGCTCCACGACCCAGACATTCATGTACCGATGATTGAAAGTTCACCCCTTCGTAGCTCTGGCTGTGTCCGAGTACACCTCGTCTTCCAGCAGCGCTTGATTCTCGGCCAGAAGTACCAGAGCAGGGAGAGAGTGATGATTCCCCCGATGGGAAGGCCGATTATGAGGGCTAATTTTGCGTTGTGTGATAGCATGTTGGGATGTTGCTGTTGCTGTTGCTGATGCTGGTTGGGTGGGCGGATGTTAGAATAGATGGGTAGGATATGATATGGCGTTAATACATCATCGTCTCGCTCTCCCTAGGGGTTTGCTGGTCTTGCCTGGACAAAAGGAATTTTTGCCGTTGTGCTGTATCTTCCATCAGCAGAACAATGTGGCATGCCGATTGCGTTGCCATATACACATGCAAGCAGGATCATACTTGCAATCGACAAAGCAAGACCAGCGTGAAGAGTGCTTTGAGTGATGATGACACAAGGTCAACGGCCTGGTAGCACTCCTGTTGGCGATACATGTTTGTTGAAGCTACAAGGGTGAGGTCTCAAAGTCAGGATAGTGTTCACAGCGTGGACATTGTTCAACTGAGAGACATGGTCGGAACGAAAGACTGGCAATTGGCCGCCTTCGAAGGGGTACGTTGCATGGCTGCGAGGGCAAGTCGTGTCTATAGGCATACTGTGAATTGACGACGGCAAGCGATTGTTTGTATCTTGAGATTAGTCTATCTGCGTATCTGTATTTCGACATCAAAGGTCTTTCGGCGGCTGCGTGATCTGTCAAGTTGTCAGAAAATATCAACTCGGTGCAGCGATTCTTGAATCACCTTGGTCAGATAGTCTCCGTTCAAAGTCTTCATGATCTTCCCTAGACCCTCATGCGAGTAGTCCTGCTCAAGTTAGCCACGTTGTTACACATGATACTCCGGCATATCTTACATTGTGGTTCCACCTTGATAGACACATGTGTCAGCAAGCCGCAGATCTAATGGCACATGTTAGGTAACTTACATATCCTTATGATACTTCACCTTCTCATTCTCATCCAGCGTAAGCGTAATGAGCGAGTTGACCGGCTTGGAGAAATGCGCCACACGCGGCGTATATTCCTGCTGCTGCTTGAAGATAATCCGATCGGGCTCATTCGCCACCACTTCCGTCTTCAGCGTCTGCGACTTCGCCATAACCTTCGGGATTCCGTACCACTGGCCAGCAATCTTGTAGCGAGTGTCACAGTAGCTCCATGGGTCGTCGTACACAGACTTCTCGGCGTAGACTTGCATGTCCTCTTCGCTGGCGCTGCCGCTGTAGAGCCGGGTGATGGCGTCCACGATCTTTTGGCGGGACGGTGGGAGCTTGATGCTGTTTACTGGGTTTGGATCATAGTCGACGCCTGTCGATGTGTTGCGGGATTGATCGTCGTGGCCAGTCAATTGTTGTGGATCTGGTCGGATCTCGTATTGCGTCGGGTCATCTCGTTCGGGCATTGCGATACAGAGTAGTTCGTTGTACCTGCTGGTAAATAGTCAATACTTTCTTAATAGGAGAATCGCAAGAGAATATGTCGATAGGAGAAGCCTGTGCGAAACAAAGTGTCCTTCGTTTATCGCTGGGCTTCAAGTGATGTGTCGTCATGACTTCGCCATACCAATCTCGTGGTGGCAAATCATATCGAGGCACTCATGGGCCAAAGCTGTTCACTGCAGACACGGTTCGGACCATTACTGATGGCTACAGAAGACAATGAGCAGTTGCTTACACATGTGTGCGAAGGGTGAAGCATTGTTTGATGACACCTCTTCATCGATATGCTTGGCATATCACAGCACTAGCAGGGTAATTTGAGGACTAACAACGCTATTACCATCGTCTCCTCTGAAGACTATGGCGTCGGCTTGGCTGCAAAGAACCAGACGCTAATGGGTATATGTCAGGCTCTGGTCAGGATCGAGGCTTCTCCATTCCTTACTACCCAGGTAGTTGTCCATACATCAACACCGTCGGCAGCACCGTCTAAATCAACTGGGAGAGACGCACAGTCTGAATACTGTCAACGCGGAGGGTATTTGAGCAACGTGTTTGAAGTGCCAGACTACCTATAGGCTACATCTATCCAGAAATGCTAGGCTACGTAGCTCGCTCTGGATTCATGCACCAAGTGCATGTCAGTGCTTGCGGCGGAAGTCCGGCCGGCATTTAGTACTACCTGCTAGGTTGTTGCGATTCCATTTAGTGTAGGCTGCTTGGAGTGCCGGCTCCTTCGCTTCAGCTTTACCATCTCCAGAGCAGCGCGAACACAACCATAAAGTGCTCTACCGAATATGCCCTTGCTAGCGCCTAGCACTTACCCCGAGCCTGTTGCAATAGAGCGCTCTTCCGCCGAACTGTTTACTTCCACTTGACTGTTCGACTCAGTCTTGCCATCGTCACTGAAGTCAAACCAGTATTTAGCAAATGCTGCCTTGTAAGCCCTCCTCTGCTTTTCCTCGTGGTAGAAGTCCGATAGTTTGCGTACTTCGTCGAAACTGCAGGGATGCAAACAGCAACACTCTGGTGGCCTGTGATGTACATTAGCAGATGCAATGTTTGCAAGGAGGTTGTCTAGCTTACGCTGCAGCTGGCGATAGCTTCTTGATCGACTCTTTGTGTTCATTGAACATGCCCGCCACGTCAATTTCTGTCTGATTTGCTAGCACCCATTCCCACTTCTTCCTGGTTTCTGTCTTGATGTAACCTGTGAACAAGACCTTGCGGATACCTAGCAGGTGCTCGATGGCAAATGTCAAGATCCAGTCGAGGAGGACTTTCTGGCACGGAGATGGTATGACGTCCTGCCGGAGTAAGTACTGGGGTTGGTCATCGTAGCCTGCCCATGGAGAGTAATAGCAGGAAGCCGTGGATGGAAAGAAGAGGTTGAGCTGGACCAGGTTTGGAAGTGTCTTGAGCATACTTGCCGGGACCACCGCGTTATGATGGGCACCAATGTCATCCCATGGGCGGACCTCGACCCCAAAGAAGAGAATGTACTCGCGATAGGTGAAGCGCAGCTCAAGGTATCGAAGGTCTGTCGGATCGAAATGAGATGTGATCATCGAGGCTTGCGCGAAAATCAGATGCTCATATACCTTGATAGTATCCTTAAGCAGTGTCGACATAGCCATGGCATGCGTTCGCTTGTCCAAGCGTAGTAAAGATAAATTCGATTGAGGTACATCGGCCGGTCGAGTCGAGTCGTAGAGTACGGCGGGTTCGCTATCTGTCCCGCTCCCTTGCGAGATTGTCTGAACAAGAGTTCTTCGAGGGTCCAACGGAGCTTTGAATAGGACACGCTTACCAAGAGCGTAGAGCATGATATGTTGCTGGATTTCGACGGGTAGCTTATTGTATTGGAACTTCGCCCGCTTTTCTCCCGGCATTCTACTCCACCAGATCCACTGCAATTTGAACCCAGATGGACCGACTGTGCGAATCGACGGTTCAGGGAGCGCGGAGAGAAAGCTGCTGAGTGACAGCCAGCGGTCTTGGTCACGAACCATGACCGTGGCTGCATTCCATCCACCGTCTAGGTCACATACCAACTTCAGCTGGACCAGAGCAATGAAGTCGTGACGCACCAAGCAATGCACAGCTGCAGTCGTATCGCAGGCGTAGAAAAGGGTTGGGCTGATAGGCAGTGCTTCGATAAGGAGTGGGTCGGCTGTACGCGTGAACGACTGGCTGTTGTATTCTTGCATACCCGGAACAGAGTAGTGGAAGATAGCATCATATGGATGAGGCTTTTGTATCTTGACTGGATGCTGCAGGCCGTAACGGGCGTTCTTCTGGCCAAGAATGACGGGCTTCTCGACACAGACACGGCTGATCTCCTCAGGGGTTTGCAGGCTCAGTGGGACAGGTCTCGATTTGATACGACGGCGTTTCTGAGCCGCAGTCAGTGGTAGAGTAGTGCCCGCATTGCCAAATCCACCGTGCGTGCCCCACACGACCGATTTGTTGTCGTCACCCCAGCCATGTGTGTCCGGACTCGGGGTTGTGTCAGCTGTGTAGCCGTCCGTGGCGTGATCCATTGCGCGGTTGAGTGGGTGATGGCGCAGTATTATGTCCCGCGGTGGCTATGGAAGTAGACAGGGTGCTCGGCGGAGTCGGTTGGGTCCTTTCTGAGGTCGTTGGGTGCTCTTCGCGCTTAGCAAGGTGCTTCTTGATGTCGATAAGCTGCTTTTCGAGTCCGTGTTTTGTGATCGAATGAAGATAGTAAGGTTGAGCAGTGCGGAAAGGTTGCAAGAATGCGGGAGAGGATAGATATAGGCCTAGATCGAGCAGTGAAAGCTGACCCCGAGCGTGTATTTTGCGGACCGGACCGTAGACGCCACCGGACTCGGCTTGAGGTGAATGCAAAAGCTAGTAACGGAGTAAACAGCAGAGACTGCAGTGAATAAATCAGTACAATCCAATTATCACCTCCAGAAGCCCAAGGGCCAAGACTTACAACCATTGGCAAGAGCATCATTCTGCTACCGCGAAACAGAACGTACAAGACACCCAAGCAACGCCATTCTCCCGAATACCACGCTTGTTGAGCAGTGCCGCCAAATCGAGGCCGCAGCTCCAGCGCCGATAGCGACCAGCTCATGCCCAGAGCTCAACGTCTTTGCACCCCTGCAACCATATTTCTGCCTGCCCAGCCTACCCATAAACGATTTTCTTACACTCCTCCATGCCTTTGCCAACGCCATCGTCATCGAAGTCGAAAACGCATTGCTTATAGCCCTCTTTCCACTCATCCGGCTTCGGCCTATGACCCGAGCACCCAATCCCCGCACAATTGCAGTAGAGTCTCCCTTCGAGTCCAGGCAGCTGACGAAATACCTTCGTGGTATCGAGCCAGAGCGCCTCGAGTGCTTCAGCGCGCAAGGCCTTGTTGAAACCAAGCACGTTCGTTTGCACAGGCTTGAGTGCAGCAATCTGAGTCCAATCGTCCTTGCGTTGGAACTGTGAGCCTTGCAAAATTGACAGCCCGTTGGCAGAAGTTCCGTACTGCAGCGGCTCTACGACAAGGTCTCCTGAGTCGTAAGATCCATCTTCTAGTTGCCTAGGTGTGGTGAAGCGGAGCTCGATAGATTCAGCAACAGCATAAAGGAAGATACGCTTACGTGTTTCCGCAGCCAGGCTCATGAAGCTCGTCTGTTTGTGAGTGACTGTTGTTGAAAGTGACGTCTTTGTTGCAGCATTCGACTCGGCGACAGCCCTCCATGACTTCCACTGCTCGTCAAGAGCAGCCTGAGCCCAGTTTTGGCCCTTCACCTCTGGCAGAGTGCGCAAGAAGTCACCGAGTCGCAGCCAACGATCACCGTCCTTGACCTTCACCGTAGCAGCCGCCCACCCCAAGTCGAGATCGCAGAAGAGTTTGAGCTGCACTTTGATGAACAGCCCGCTTCGCACGAGCAGGTGGACTGCACTCGTGCTCTTGATATCATAGAAGAGAGTAGGTGAGATAGAGAGGGCTTCGAAGAGTAGCGGGTTTGCCTCGTAGAAGAAGTCTTGATTGTTGTAGGCTTCGAGGATGGGTAGCGCGAAGGCGAAGATGAGGTCCTGTGGGTGTGTGCGTTGGATCTTCAGGAAGGGGTCGAAGTGGTGGCGGTCGCTCTTGGTTTCGGGCTTCTCGGCCGTGACGCTGTTGTTGACCAGGAGGGTATAATTGGGGTAGGAGTAATCCATGGTTTATCGTAGATTGTGTGATCGGTTGTAAATGGTGTGCTCGAGTGTAGGTGGTGCAGTTGGTTGTAGGTGGTGTATAATGTACGATGTAGTTGCGGAATACAGCTTGTTGACACAGACTTTGTGTTACTGGAAGACTTCTTTGCTGAGGGTGTGCGATTATTATTGTAAGTCGTGGCTGAAGTTGTTGTGGAACCCGGAGTGTAGTAATTATCGAAGCGATCAGACTCGAAGATATACGTCGAAGTTCCGAAGTCCATTCGTTGTATATAAAGATTAGTAGGAAGCGGCGCCTAAGTTCTGTCATGAGGGACACGGTCCAGTCACGAAATTGGCGAAAGCAGAAGTGAATGCGTCTCTCCATTCACACTGGTCGATTTACATGGTGTCCATGAGCTCTGATTTCGCCATCGCCTGTAGTCTCAGCAGCACAAAGAAGCAGCATGATTACGAGGTGTGCTAGGTATGGGAGGAGAAGTCGGGGAGGAAGCAGACGGATTAAGAAACGATGCTTAGCCAGTAGGGGAGAACAGGTTGTCAGGTTCAGGTGCAGACTGGGCGGATCACTACTCCTCTTCAGCAAAATCATTCCAGGCACTGTTTGCTACTTGGCTCGCAACGTATTCCGGCACATCTTCTCTGTTCGCAACAGAAGACATGGGCTGGTCGGGAGTGAAAAGTGTGATCGGCCGGACGCAATCGTGTCGCATAGCGTTCTTCCAGCAGCGTAGTGAATTGTTCTTGACAGTACGTGATGTCCCTGTAGCACAACCTCATAACGAGACCTTGAGGTGTGCTGCAATATTGTGCTGAGGTGAATGGCAGAGGAAGAGAAGTGAAGTAGAGATGTCGGCTCATCTTCGGCGAAGTACAGTGGCCTAAGCGCACCTCCGCGGCCAAAGCCCAAGATGGCAGCAAGACGATCCATTGCACCACACACGAGACCACATCCGCCACCAGACGATCAGCCCATACTATAGAACAATGGCGACCTCACGCTTCTGCCCCGCCTGTCTCTCCAGCCTGTCCACCTCTTCTACCCTCCTCCGCTTAAGCCGCACCACCACCACCACCACCTCCATACCCTCCGCCATCCAACACCAAATCCGCGGCGCAGCCTCCTCCCAAAACGCCCTCAAGTACCGACGCAAAGACACCCCCGCCTCGCAAAAACGCAAGAAAGCCCGCTCAACCTTTCTCCAACCCAACCTGAAAAATGCAATACAATTCAGTCTTGTAGACGCGATGAGGTACTACATCAAGCACTACCTGCCTATTGAAATCACTCTGACAATATTGAACAGATATCTCCGTGCCAGCGAAGTAGCTCACCCACCCCAACAATCCAAATACGAACTTCACATCCGGCTCCGCACCCCCAAGAACGGCGCCGTGGTCCGCAATCGGCTCCGACTCCCACATCCCGTGAAAACCGACCTTCGGATCTGCGTTATCGCGCCTCCTGACAGCGCGGCGGGGAAAGCGGCCAAAGCAGCGGGAGCCGTGATAGTAGGCGAAGATACCGTTTTCGACGCGGTGAAGGAGGGGAGGGTGGAGTTTGACCGGTGTCTTTGTCATACGGACTCCCTACCCGCACTGGCCAAGGCAAATCTCGGTCGGATTCTAGGGCCTAAGGGTCTCATGCCCTCTGTCAAAACCGGGACAGTAGTTCGCGATATCGGATCCTCTGTCCGGGAAATGGCAGGTGCGTCAGAGTACAGGGAGCGTTTCGGGGTCGTGCGGATGGCGATAGGACAGCTAGGGTTTGGGCCAGAGGAACTGTCACGGAATATCTGGGCGTTCATTGAGGCGGTGAAGAGGGACATAAGTGGTATTAGCGATCAGACGGCGAAGGATGTGCATGAGGTTGTGCTGTCGAGCACGAATGGGCCTGGGTTGAGCTTGGATGGGACGTTCAGGTCAGAGGGGAGTCTTGAGGCGAAGGGGTTGGGTGTGGATTGAGCAAAACGTCCAGAGAAGCCCAGAGCGCGAGACCGTAATACGCGCTTGTGTATACTAGTTCCTGTACAACGTATATCTATACCAACTCGAGCGTCCATCCATCTACACCACAAATGACCCTCACAAACATATCGCCCTCCCCATCTACATCTTCGCCACCCCATTAGCAAACCCATTAACAACACTAGTCATCAACTGATTCGCAATCGCCGTACTAGGCGGCAACCTCAGTCCCCCCTCCTTATACTCCGGCCCAGCATCCTCCCCCAACCCACTCGTCCCCACCCTCAACGCCTCCCGCACCTCGCCAAAATCGAACCACCGCGCATCATCCAATTCCGGATCATTTCCCAAGTCGATCTTCTCCCCCTGTGGGATCGCCTGCCCCACGGCGCCGATCATGAGATTTGCTGGGTAAGGCCAGGGCTGCGTGGAGTGGATGACCACGCGACCAACGAGGATGCCGGCTTCTTCGTAGACTTCCCTTCGCACGGCCTCTTCGATGCTTTCGGCGGGTTCGGCGAAGCCGGCTAGGGTGGAGAACCAGTAGGGTGGCCAGCGTTTCTGGCGTCCTAATAGAATTTTGTCGCCAGCGTGGTTTATTACTGCCATAATGACCGTGGGGTCTGTGCGGGGGAAGGAGAGGTTAGAGATGCCCTTTCGGGTGGCGCAGGGTGGGCGTTCGGAGGCATCGGTGGGTGCCACGCCGGTGGTGGGGAGGGCGTTGGACATGCGGGAGAGGTCTTTGGGCGGGCAGGTGCGTTTGAAGCCGCCATTGACGGAGAGGGTGGGTTGGCCGCATTGGGCGCAGAAGGGGTTGCGGGCGTTCCAGTCGAGGAGTTGGCGAGCCTCGGCGTAGATGGCGGCTGAGGGAGGTATTAGCGAGTTTGCTCCTTTGCCAGCTCGGATACGGGAGGTGGGGCTCAAAAGCAGCTCTGCGTCGTGGTCAGAAGGTGGAAATGAACATACCGTCCAAAGCCTCAATATCCATAACCCTACCCTTGGCAAACGCCAAACCCTTCCCCTCCAGCTCCTTTATCAGCCCCTCACACGCCTCCTTGACACTATTCTTCGGCGTCACGTCTACAGCAAAGTGCGGAATTCCTGTGTACGTATTCTTCTTGTTCGTGTACGCCAACCCATCCTTCCCCTTCTCATCGATCCCCAGAAATACCATCTGAGGGATGTACGTCCCACTATCGTACTTCCCCAGCATGTCCTGTTCATTACTCGCATAAGGGTCACTGGCAATTACCTGTTTGACATGGTCGTGTTTCACCCAGGCAAGTTTGTCCCGGGAGTCTTTGCTGCTTGTTACTAGTGGTTGCAGTTCATTGCATAGTAAGAACTGCGTCGACGGATGGTTCAAGGCTTGGGAGAGGTATTTGTGATCCCCTCTGAGAAAGCCCACGCGATTCAGTGGTGAGCCGGAGAAGTAGTTCGCGACCTCCTTGCCGAATTTGCGGGAGAGCATCGAGTCGTAGTCGGGGGCGGGTTCCGGGTTGGCTGGTTGGCTAGGCATTGTGAGTGGAAGAGGCTATTGATTTAGCATTGGGCCAAGATTGATTGAAGTGAAGCTGTTAGATATGATTATGATATGCAAAGGTACACTAATCAATGCTGCACTATAGTGTATCGGCATTGTTATTGCCGTTCGCTCGGACATAGCGGGGTACTGTACATGTATCTGGACGTCATCGGGGCACGAGTCAGACGAGTCCACGATCACGAGCTGGCTTGACTCTACACGAAATACCACAACATCAAGCCTCCTCAGTCACCACCCACCAGATGCAACAATCCATGGACCGATAACACAGAGGGACGAGGTGTGCCAAGATGTCCCAATTCTACATCCCCTCCAGCACCACGACCTCGACTCCAGCCTCCCGGCCCTCCTTCTCCGCCAACTCCGACGACGACGAAGACACCCTCCCCTACCCCGCCGAACTCCCACGCTCCGACTTCCTTGCCCAGGACTTCAATCCCGAAACCTACCTCTCCTCCCTACGCAACCGGCATCAAACCCTCGAAGACCTGCGCTCAGACCTCCGCTCTCGAAGCCAACTCCTGAACCGTGAGCTCCTGGACCTCGTGAACGGGAATTATGAGGAGTTCCTCTCCCTCGGCTCGGACTTACAAGGTGGAGAGGAGAAATTCGAGGGTGTAAGGGTTGGGGTTTTGGGGTTTCAGAGGGAGGTGGAGGGTTTAGCGGGATTGGTTGAGGAGAGGAGGGTAGAGGTTGAGAGGTTGCTGGTGGAGAAGAGGGAAGTGAGGAGGGAGGTTTTGGTTGGGAGGGCGCTGTTGGAGGTTGAGGCTGGAGTGGCGGAGTCAGAGGAGACGTTGGGAATTGCGGATGTGGAGCGAGAGGAGGATGGGCATGGGGAGGAGGATGAGTTTGACGACGACTTTGACGATGATGAAGATGATGGTGTGGAGAAGACCGCTCTTCTTCCACCGCAACTTCGGCGGCTACAAAGACACACGGAGCAGTATATCCTACTCATCCAAACGGTGGAGCACATCGGTCCCAGACACCCTTTCTTGCAGGCACAAACTCCACGACTTGCCGAGTTGCGGAAAACGCTCTTGCTTGACTTAGCTGCTGCAATGAGGCAAGCAAAGACGAACAAAGCTGCTGAAGATTTGCTGGTTATTGTCCAGCTTTACGGCGATCTTGGGGCTGAGAGTGATGGAGTGCGGGTGCTTAGAGGTGGCTGAGAGGATGGGATGAGATCACTGTAGGGAGATTTTTATCCTTGTATGGGTCGTCAGATTCCTCCGCTCACAGCAAGGTTGCCACTAGATGGATTAGGATGGCATCCCAGGCTCATTCCAACGTTGATGCGTATACTGGGCACCAAGTAGCCAGCTGCTTGTACGTGCTACGGTCGTCTCTGTGTGGCATGCATCGCATTAGACACAATGCCGCTTGCAGCCGTGCTACGACCTGAGACCAGCATACATTGGTCGAGCTTTGTCTCACGGCTCCCAAACATCCAAAGAGATTGCCGATGCTCTTTCATACCTCCAGTAGAGAGATGGAAAGGCGGAGAGGTGAAAAGGTGCCCCCAATTGTCTTTGCAACGGGGCCGTGGATGTATATCTTATATACCGCCCACTAGTCCCTCCATCGCTTGCAGCGTATCTCTGCGCCGAGACTGGCATACATTGACTGAGCTTTGTCCCACGGCCCGCAAAAATTGGAGGGGAATGCTATAACTCGTCATCTTAGCACGCGAAGATGGGGATGTGGAGAGAGAAAAAGTATACCACCCACTTTCGCAGCGGCTGTAAAATTATATTCTCCACATCTCACGTGCGCGGCTCAAGCTCTACGCTAGTCGGCTACGACTGCGAATGTTCGCTGGAAGTATATATACATACCTCTATTGTCACCAGAACCAATCTTTAACACTCGCCGACATTAGATCAAGCTTTTCATTCTATGCACCCAATCGCCAGGATGGAAATCGGCCACGAGTTGCGAAAACTCTTCACTCGCGTACATGATAGGAAGGCACGACATGTAAAGCTTTCCTCCCTGAGCACACCACAGAACACATCGAGATCTCGTGACGAACAGGCCAGTGAAGACCTACCATACAGTCCTTCAGCAGCGAAGAGCAGCCATGCTGCTTGGGACAGAACCCGTTCAACCTCACCATCAGCGCCGTAGACTGCTGGTCAGGAGACTCAGGAGCTCGTCGGTGAGCAGGGCTACGAAAATTTGGGGTAGTATTGGGAGCGCAATGGAAAGTCGTTTCGAACTCTGGCTTTGCCGTCAGAGCTGCGCTCGCAGCTGCTGGAAACGATAGTCGGGTCTATGCTCTATCCGTGTAGTGACCACCAGATCGGCACCTTTGGGGTAGGCAGCGAAGATGCCCTTTACGCTAATTCAAGAGCTCGACGCATCAAGATCGATCCAGGGAAGGCAAAGGTATCCGGGCCTGATCTAAACATCATCTTCACATGTTGCCAGCTGTACGAGGAAGGCAAGCAGTACCTCTACTGCAACATCACCAAAGCCTTTGAAGCACCTTGCGCTCTGAAGAGGTATGCAGCGCTCCTGTCTACTCGAGCCCCTGGTGGGTTAGAGCACGTTCGCCACCTTAAACTAGACTTCTCCCAGAAAGAATACATCCTCTTCTTCGCCGTCCACGTCCCGCCCTTCCTTCCCCACGTCGGAAATCACGAGTCTGACCCGTGCTACGGCGCTGCAAAGATGCTACGAGAGTTACCGCACGTACAAAGCCTGACGCTGAACTTCCGGTCTCCAGTCAGCATGGCTTCAGACAGCGCCTGGGCGTACACCGGCGGCTACAAGGGGCACTCCAGCTCCAGCGACTTCGCTGGTCGAGAATTCGATGACGTTTTTACTACGCCTTGCCAGAGATTAATCGTTGACTGGACCCTAGCTTGTGCAAAGAAGTACATTCAACACATCCCCCACACCCACCTCGAAGGCTTCCTCAAGACCTCTACGAAAGAAAAATGGGACACCATCTTTGCGGCCGAACGAGCAGGTCAGGCTTATGACGAAAGTGCGGAGAAAGCTATTATTGAGAACTGGAGTCTTACTGATCTGCCGCCAAGTTGTCACTGCACCACGCCTTGTGCTTTTGACAAGTACGACCAGATTCTTCGCGATTCGAGATGTCGGGAGCATTGGGGTACGTGTGCTTGTAAGGTTCCGCTAGACGAGACGATGCGGAGGTGGATGGAGGAGTATAAGTTCGAGTATGCAGATTGAGGGCGTGCAAGATAAGGTGAGATATAAGCGAAGATAGCACGACCACTCGACTGTCTAGCGCAAGAGGCTTCTCTACAGCGACGACAACGTAGCTTGTAGATCCGACACGACCTCAACGTCAAATGATAGACGCTAAAGATGAACACGGCCAACGATCTGTTGAGCTCGTACTGCTGGCGCACAGGTGCACGCTCTGTGTTTACGAGCGAGCATTCAGCCATTCACCTCTTCCAATTCAACCTCCGCACATGAGGCGGGCCGCAAGAGCTATGCATACAGTCTCTAGCTGTCCAATATTTGCTTCCGACTTACAACACCTCGCCTTGCAAGCAGATCACTCGCAATTGATCATTCACCTCCACCGAGCAAGGTCCGTGCGTCTTCGGCCCGCATCACGCCTTCGAGTACCAGGCGTGTTCGCAGCAGGTAGTAAGATACTCCAGTCTTCGTCACTACACGCAGATGGTACATTTCCAAGGATTACAATCCTACCGAGTCTACGGCAATGGCGACCAACAATGAGCAACATGGCTGGACAGTCGTGACTCGGCGGACAAAGAAGAATCGAACATCAAGTCCGTTGACGGCACCACCTATCGCCGTACCCCAGGTCTTCATATCGCCCACCACTCACGACACGTCCGGCGGCACACCCACTCAGCTCAATGCATCGCCACCTCGAATCCCGATCAAGAGATACAGCAACTACGAGCAAGGCATCCTGCGAGACGCCAAAGCCGCAGTCGCGCACTTCAACAATGGCAGCTTCGATACCTATGTTGATCCGTTCAACGTGGCGAAGCTGTCGAGTCCAGAGGCTGCCGTGCTAAGTACCAAGCCGAACGCGCGCGTACTCGATATCGCTCGGGACGGCCAGTACATCCAAGTACTCGTCCGCATGGTGCCATCAGAACCCGAAGGTGGCAAGTGCGAGCTCAGAGCCGTGAGCAGCAGAGGTGATGATGACTTGCTTTTCTCGTCGTGGCTCAGCGCCTCGGCTCCCAGTTCGCCGATGGCGTGCTTGCCCTCCACCTTCCTCGACGTTGTTGGCGCGGAAGGGTACGAGATACAGTACAAATGGTGGTGTGCACGTGACTCGACGTTCGACCTGGCTTCTCTGCCTGAGGAAATCCAGGATCATTTACTGCTGCACGTGGTTGGCGAGGTGCATCAAATTTATGACCACTGGGAAGCCAAAGCAGGATACGCAATTGCAGAACAGCATCAGTCCGCAATCGATGTCTTCAGGGATCGGTGTGCTCTTACCGGGAGTGCAGGCTTCAACAACTCCCTTCTCTGCCTGGACAAGGCTACCCGGCGCAAGGTGAAGCACCTCTTACAACATAGAGTGTTGAAGCGCCTATGTGGTTTCCGATTTGGTTCGCTGTATGATGGATCGATGTTCACCCTAGGCGGAGGCCTTCGCTTCTTGAACAAGCTCCAGCTAACAATGAACAACTTCGAATACCTGGACTTCTTCGGGACCAATATCGGTGACTCGTCCAGACGCATGTATTACCGGTACGGGCCTATCGCCCCAGCCGCCATCCTTTTGGACATCTCCGGCCTTGAGTACCTCGAGCTGTGGTTTGAGGCGACGCTGCACGGCGAGCTGTGTAATCCATGGCAAGTATGTGTCGCCGACGCTACCCGTGGACCTAAACTTGATGAGAGAATCGAGCCACCCCCCTTTCCATGCCGCAAGGCCACCATTGACATGATCCTCAGCTTCGGATATCAGCATATCAAGAGCATTCCATCAGTCCGCTTGACGGGCTACATCAAGGACTCGACAAAAGATCGGTGGTCCCAAAACCTTCAGCTCCCCCAATCGGGATCATTATGCGCAGCGCGTAGCTGACCGTGCCAGCGAATATGAAGGACTGGCTGTTCCGCCTCAATGCTTCTGCCCAAGGCCATGTGGCTACAATGCGCTCCACAAGGCGCACCCATACTGTTCATTCTTACACACAAGCACGGAGCCATCAACCAGCGACTGGCGTATCACGCGTAAGGTCCAGAAAGCGCTAGACGAATACTCCTTCGACTTTGACTACAGCAGCGAGGCTGTGCTCAAGGAAAGGGTTCCAGGTGTGAAAAGGCCGGTGCAGCGTGAGATCAGTATGCGTGGTCATGAGGAATGGAGGGCTGTGGCCAGCTCTATAGGAGCCTGGTGGATATCAAGACATGAGAAGAGAGTGCGGTGGTGAGTTTTGAGGTGTGCTTTATTCGCAGCAGAAGGCCAGGAGCGGGTGTGACGGATTAGTGCATAAAGCTTGACAGATGTGCTGGTTCTGCTGCTGTAATTTGAGTTATACTGTATGCTATCAGAAGAGATTTGTGTGTTCCCATTGTATCGTCGCCGCGTGCATAATGTTGATGCCATGTATCCCAAGTCTTGGCAGCATAAAATGCTCTGTACGAGGCCGAGGCAACCGAAAAATCCTGCGGGCGGAAAGGCGGCGCAAATGAGGTCAATTTCCGCCTCGACCCCTTAGAAGCAGGACAGCAAGACCAGACATTGCGCCTGTACAATTCCTTCTTGCGCTTTCCCACTCTGTGCCTCTTCTTGTCTCGGTCTCATACCTTTCCAGTCACTCCTTTGACACTGTTCGCGAGTGCGTGAAAGTCAACAAAGACACCCCGAACCGAACAAAGTTACGCCGCACGCAACACACTTCCGCCTATACCCGCGACATACAACTGGGCCGTGTGTCTCCCTCCTCACCACCACCACCACCACCACCCCCAAGCACCCCTCCCCGTCTGGTCGCAACCATGTCCACCCTCGACTGGCTCCAAATCGGCGCCCCGACCCTCGACCGCCCCTTCGGCCTAGCCCTCTGGCCCATCTTCTCAAAATGCTTCCAAGCAGTCCGCCCCTACAAACCCGAGCACTTCCGCTTCGAGCCAGGCTCGACACCCATGGCGAGCATTTACGAGACCGGCGGGTTTCTGATAGCATATTACCTCATAATCTTCGGTGGAAGGGAATTCATGAAGGACCGGCAGCCGATGAAATTGAATGGGCTGTTCAAGATCCATAACTTTTATTTGACGGCGATTAGTGGGGTGTTGCTGTTGTTGTATCTGGAGCAGTTGATCCCGACTTTATTCAGACGGGGTGTATTCTATGCTATTTGTGATTATAACGGTGGATGGACTCCTCAGCTTGTGGTGTTATACTACGTAAGTCCTACCCTCGCTCAAGCCCACCTACACCCTCCTAATCCTCCTCCTAGCTCAACTACCTTACCAAATACCTCGAACTTCTCGACACCGTCTTCCTCTTCCTCAAGAAGAAGCCCCTCACCTTCCTCCACACCTACCACCACGGCGCCACGGCCCTCCTCTGCTACACCCAACTCCTCGGCCACACCGCCGTCTCCTGGGTGCCCATCGTCCTGAACCTGACCGTCCACGTGGTCATGTACTGGTACTACTTCCAATCGGCGCGCGGCATCAAGATCTGGTGGAAGAAATACATCACCATGCTTCAAATCATCCAATTCGTCATCGATCTCGGCTTCATCTACTTCGCATCCTACACGTACTTCAGCGCGAGTTACTTCTCCTGGCTCCCCACAGCCGGAATCTGCGCAGGAGAGGAGTTCGCGGCTTTCGCGGGCATGGCGATCATCACGAGCTACCTCTTCCTCTTCATCGGATTCTACATCTCGACGTACAAGAAGCCGATCAAGAAGGGTCGTGGTAGGGCCACGAGCGCGCTGGTGGAGATGAAGGATGAGCAATTGCCTGACATCAAGGAGGTGAGGAGGAGACTGTCGGGTGGTCAGCTGAGTTTGGCGCAGAATACTGGTGTTAGCACTGGCAAGGAGAACGGGACGGCCAATGGCAGGACCGCGCGATCGAGGAAGGCTTAGATGGTCTCGCCTGAGAAGGTGGTTTGTTTCCGCACGCGAGAGGCGTCGGGGAGCGACATGGTGTAGTCACTGCGTTCGCCGGGTTAGAAGTGGACAATGCTCGACCTGTTAGGCGAGGTTGCCAAGCAGCTCTCGGCTTTGCGTCCCGAAGCGCAGTCGTGTTGAAGCAGAGCGAGGTGGGGGAACTGATGACTTCGTGTCCAACATTGCTCGAGCCAAGGATAAGCGGTGGAGACTGTGGGCCGGGTCTTCGAGTCCGAAGCGAAGGAGACGAAAAGCGAAGGTCTGTATGAACAATGTACGAATACTAGCGATAGCATACTTGGCGCTGGAAGACATTGGGTGTGTGTGTAAATAAAGTAGCTTGTGGACGGAAGGCATAATCGAGGATACATCAAGGAACTCGTGCTTCCCATTGCAATCTGGATTTGACCGTGAAGGTATCGCATACTACATTGTCGAGGAGATGCCACCATTGTAGTTGTGATGGTACTGTGCCTCCTCGGGCTGATGATTTTACTATTTCATCTCAGCCAATCAGGAACCAAGCAATCCTCGCCACGCCCCACTAGCTTTGTTCATTCGGTGCAAGAAACCTTCATTACTTCGACATGTGACATGAAAAACACAACACTGCCACTGGCGGTCCTGACTTCACAGAGCATGGCGACAACGCCTTCAGCTTACCGCGCCTTCGCAGGATCATCAGCGTTCTCCGACTTTCGACTCAAACGGCTCGCCACTGCCATCGGCGCAAAAGATTTACAGTCGATATGGGTTCATTATGTTGCTTCCCACCAAGAACTTCCGGACACTCAGATTTCGATCCTTGATCAATTGCTGGAGTATGGATCGTATCCCGAGTCTGGAGACGAACTATATGGAATATTGCTCAAGTCTGTTGCAGTCGGTGAGGACAAGACTACGAGTGAACAAGATGAGGTAAAGCTCTTCTATGTTGCTCCTCGACCAGGGACGATCTCGCCATGGAGCTCGAAGGCGACGAGTATCGCGCAGGTCTGCGGTCTTGGCAAAGTAGTGCAGAGGATCGAGAGGGGCATCATCTTCGCCGCTAGATTGGAGGGATCGATCGATGAGGCGAAGATGAACGCCTTACATGATCGAATGACGGAGATTCTGGCAACGACTCCTCCAGATTTGAATGCTATGTTTTCGCAACTCCCGCCTGCACCTCTTGAACGGGTTCGGCTGCTCCAAGGATCGACGAGTCCCAAGAATGCGTTGAAGGAGGCGAATGAGACCCTGGGGTTGGCGCTGGATGACTCGGAGATGGACTACTTGATCGAGGCATACACGAACCAACTTCAACGCGATCCGACCGACGTCGAGCTCTTCATGTTTGCGCAGGTCAATTCCGAGCACTGTAGGCACAAGCAATTCAATGCCGATTGGACGATCGACCGCGTCAAGCAGCCGAGGAGTCTGTTCTCTATGATTCGTAACACTCACAATACACATCCCGGACATGTCATCAGCGCATATAGCGATAACGCTGCCGTGCTACAAGGTTATGAGGGTGGCGTGTGGTCTCCTGACCAGTCAACAGGCGAATGGAAGCACGTCAAGGAGACTGTGCACTACCTGGCCAAAGTGGAAACACACAACCATCCCACAGCAGTTTCACCTTTTCCAGGCGCGGCGACTGGTTCAGGAGGCGAGATCAGAGATGAAGGTGCTGTGGGCAGAGGCTCGAAGCCGAAGTCCGGTCTATCCGGGTACACTGTCTCCGATCTTCTCATCCTTGGGCACACGCAACCGTGGGAGCTGGATGTCGGAAAGCCGGCACATATCGCAAGCAGTCTAGACATCATGCTTGAGGCTCCGATCGGTAGCGCAGCATTCAACAACGAATTCGGCCGGCCTTGCACCACAGGCTACTTCCGCACACTCACGACGAAAGTGCAAACTCCAGATGGCAAGGACGAGATCAGAGGCTACCACAAGCCCATCATGATTGCTGGTGGTGTCGGGACGGTCCGACCCCAGAACGCTCTCAAGACAAAAGGTCTAGTCAGTCCTGGTGCCCATCTTGTAGTGCTAGGCGGACCAGCGATGCTCATTGGACTCGGCGGCGGTGCAGCTTCGAGCATACAGTCTGGTGAAGGCAGCGTGGACCTCGACTTCGCCAGTGTGCAGCGAGGCAATGCAGAAGTACAGCGACGAGCACAAGAAGTGATCAATACGTGCTGCTCGTTAGGTGCGCAAAACCCGATACAGCTTATTCACGACGTCGGTGCAGGCGGGCTATCGAACGCTTTGCCCGAGCTGGTGGAGGATGCGGGCTTCGGTGCACGCTTCGAGCTCAGAGAAATCGAGAGCGCAGATCGGAGTCTCAGCCCGTTACAGATCTGGTGTAACGAAGCGCAAGAACGATATGTCATGGCCATCGCACCAGACAAGCTTGACGCCTTCGTACGCATCGCTCGGAGAGAACGATGCGGCTTTTCGGTCGTGGGCAAGGCTCAGAAGGAAAAGAGGTTGATCCTCATGGACAAAGATTCGAAGGACGAGCCGACACCGATTGACCTACCAATGCCTATCCTCTTCGGCAAGCCACCTAAGATGCACAGGATAGTGGACTCGAGACGACTCAAGCTGCCCACTTTTGACAGCACGCTGTCAGCATACTTGCCCAAAGTTCCTGCCCAAGCAGTGCTCGGCAATGCCATTGACCGCGTACTCACACTACCAGCTGTGGGCTCAAAGTCCTTCCTCATCACCATCGCCGACCGAACAGTCGGCGGCCTGACGGTACGTGATCAGATGGTAGGACCGTGGCAGACTCCCGTGGCCGATGTCTCCGTCACAGCGACTTCGCTCACGCCTGGCATACGCACTGGCGAAGCAATGGCGATGGGGGAGAAACCGACACTTGCGCTTATCTCTCCTGCCGCGTCTGCAAGAATGGCGGTGGCAGAGTCGCTGATGAATGTGGCAGCTGCTAGTGTCGACAAAAGACTAAGCAGGATACGGCTTTCGGCCAACTGGATGGCAGCGAGTAGTCATCCTGGTGAAGGTGCTGCATTGTACGAGGCCGTTCAAGCGATCGGCATGGAGCTCTGCCCTGAGCTCGGGATCAGTATACCCGTAGGCAAAGACTCGATGTCTATGAAGACAAGATGGCAGGACAAGGAGGTCACGGCGCCCTTGTCCCTCGTCATCACGGCTTTTGCTCCTGTCAACGATATCGGCAGCACATGGACGCCTGCACTCCGACGACCAGAAGAAGTTGGCGAGACCGTGCTCATATTCGTTGATCTTGCCGAGGGCAGGAAAGCTCTGGGTGGCTCCGCGGTAGCACAAGTCTTCGGTCAAGTCGGCAACGAGGCACCGGACGTGCGAGATGTCGATTTGATCAAGGACTTCTATCATGCTATTGAGCAGCTCCATGAGTCGAACATCGTACTCGCTTACCACGATCGCTCAGATGGTGGTCTACTAACCACACTTGTGGAGATGATGTTCGCAGGTCGGTGCGGCCTAGAAATCATGCTCGACAAGATCGTCAAGTCCGGACGAACACAGGATCTGGTTGAGACACTATTCAACGAGGAGCTCGGCGCAGTATTCCAGATCCGAAAGAAGGATGAGAATGAATTCCGCGGCGTGTTCGCGCCTCTGCGACCCATCTCAATTGGGGTGGTGGCGAAGGCACCCAAGCAAGATCTTGCCATGTACTATGGTGCCGACTGCGTGTATCGAGCGTCAAGGAAGGAATTGCAGCAGAAGTGGTCACAAACATCCTGGGCGATGCAGAGACTGAGAGATAACCCCGACTGCGCCGATGCCGAGAAGGAGAATATCAACGATGATAAGGATCCCGGTCTGCAGTTCAAGCTCACTTACAAGCCACAGGAGAATATCCTCACTTACGCATCGAGCTTCACCTCACAGATACGAGCGAGGCCTCGAGTCGCTATCTTGCGAGAGCAGGGCGTGAATGGACAGGCGGAGATGGCTCATGCGTTTGCCTCTGCTGGCTTCTCGCCGATCGACGTGCACATGACGGACATTCTCGCCGGCCGCTTCTCACTCGCTTCAGTTGTCGGTATGGCAGCCTGCGGCGGCTTCAGTTACGGCGATGTTTTGGGAGCAGGCCAGGGCTGGGCTAAGAGTGTCCTTCTCCATGACGGTGCACGCAAAGATTTCCAGGACTTCTTCCAGCGCAAGGATACTTTCACCCTAGGTGTCTGCAACGGCTGCCAGTTCCTCTCGCGCTTGACGGAGATCATACCCGGCGCGGAGAACTGGCCGACATTCGAACGCAATACGAGTGAACAGTACGAAGGTCGTGTCTGCATGGTTGAAGTCAACGATCCGCCACAGCATCCCCCCAGTGTATTCTTACACGGCATGCACGGCTCATACCTACCCATCGTGACCGCGCACGGCGAAGGACGAGCACAATTCTCACATACTGGGTCCTCGACACCACAAGCACTCATCGACCAAGGCCTGGTCTCTATGCGCTACACGGATAACTACCTCAAGCATACCGAGAAGTACCCTTATAATCCCAACGGCAGTTCTCTAGGCATTACAGCCGTGCGAACACCAGATGGTCGAGTGCTGGCGATGATGCCACATCCCGAGCGCACCATTCTCAAGGACGTGGGCAGCTACACTCCTAAAGAGCAAGCGAGGGAATGGGATCTCGGACCGTGGATAAGATTGTTCAAAAGCGCTAGACGATGGTGTGGTTAGCGACGCAGTTCAAAAGACCTGGTCAGGTGTGTCGCGTGAAACTGCAGAACCGTGGAAAACATATTATAGAAGCCCGCGTGATGGCAGTCGCGGGGACAGTTTCATATATACCCGCAGGCTTGATATATTAGAAAATTAAATTGAGTGCAGGAATCACGTTTAATTTGCCGGCAGTAGTATCAGAAGCGTTCTGGACCCCGTATTGCTGTATAGCAGTATAGTAGTAGGTCGATGTGCTCACGTGGACTGCATGTCCTCGTGCCGTCGGGCATCTCGGAAGCGGAGGTAAGCCTGCCAGCAGATTTTACCCGGGTCGGTGGTTGTACTCCATGGATTTGGCGCTTGCGCGGTCGGCTAAGCATTTCGCTCGAAAGGTGTGGATAACGTGCTGGCTCTTGTCGCTCTCTTCTGATTCTGGATTGTTTCGGGTGGGGTTTCGGGATTTTGACGAGAATGGCAAGTGCGCGATGTCCGAAGTTTCTAGGGTCTGGTCGAAGATGGGTGTGGAGTGGGGATATGTGGGCTCCAGGTTGGGAAGAGAGCGGTATCTTGGCCTTGATCCAAGGTTTGTTCCTGCAGGTCAACGTTGCCTCGGTGGAAGAGAAAGCTTCGAAGGAGTACGTGGGATGGGTACACTGTTACGCTGCCCTTGGGACGTCCGCGGCAGTTGAGCGTGCGCGAATCGCTGTACCTGGTATGTTCGTCTTGTCACGCTCTACGTTGGACTATGGTAGTGTTATCGAGACGAAGTCAGTAGTCACCCCACTAGTTGAATTGAGATAGTTTCGCCTGTTGGTGTCGTGGCTTGTCAGCATTTCCATTCTCAGCCGCGAGCCTTCGAGAGAGAGTTCTCGCCCATGTGGGTGTCCACAGTTCTCGGATGGATCGTGGAGTGAGATGAGGATGACGAGTGATGGAACGTTGTAGCTCTACGACCACGGAATTGATGAAGGTTCGACGACTGTTCTTGTCTTCCTCGCTTTCTACATACTACTGAGCGTGATGGTGTGGTGGACTCTTGTTTCAGGCAAAGATCTTCCGCCTGATCGCGGTCAAGGATAAAATTCTAGCTCGGCGCTAGTGTTTATCAGAGTTTGGGGCAGCAGCGACCCAACAACCTCTTGCGGCCATCTTCTCGCCAAGACTTAGAGCAGCAGTAGTGCACATGCATATGCAGATGCAGGATGGAGCCTCGCCGAACAGCAAGCTGCGTCTGTCTACTGACCGCCCGCGTGACGCTGAAAGGTGGTAGAAGGCACACCACTGCCAAGAGACCGTCAGATGTCCAGCATGCTTCCTTCCTCGTAAGACCCGAGCTTGTGCGCTCTTTCCATCTCTTCTTTCTGTCAACGTCCTCCGTCACACAAGCATCAAACCTGAAGCAAATCATCAATCTGATACACAGCATCCATCCGACACACCCTCCCCACGAGGCGTCGACGCCCCGACGCCTGCTGTGCAACATTGCGAGCACGACTGCACGCGGAGAAATATTACGGGTGTCTGAGCGAGATCATCACCAGCGCGTGCGGGTGGCAAGCACCACCAATCGATCTCCAAAGCCTGCCACACTGACGTCTTGGGTGTTCGAGGCACGAGAAGTTGTGTCCGACTGTACATGCCACAATCGCTCTTGCTTGTGGGCAGTCACTGCTTGACCTGAGCTGGAGACGAAAGACTCGCTTGACCGCAAACCAGGATCCCTTGGGCACCACCCAGGAACCGCATCCATCAAAGCTACCTATAAGCTGCATCTTCTGCAGTGCATATCCGCGAAATCGTGGTTGTTATCTCGCCCCGGTTCCGTGGTTCGACCAACATCCTAGCTTAGTACTGCAATCAATCTGACTTGCGGCGGACCACGTTGCAGACGCGTCCGAACGCAGTCAGCGCCCGAACCACCCGAACATCGTTTCAAGTCAGAGACTAGACGACATGGCCGCCAGACGTCCCATGGAGGACTTTTTCTGCAATCCTACCGACAGCTTCGTCGACCGCGGCAGGAAGCCTCGTTCAAGAATGGATTATCAATTGACTCACGCAGGCTACAAGCTACCTGACGCTGCCGTGGATCACAAGACTCAACGACGATCTCTAAAGTTGAAGGCAACGCCTAAGGAATTCTCAGCCTCGCCGGTCTTCTGGCGCACCTACAACTCTGAAGAAGAACTCGCCTCACCAACCAGTCCAGGTGATTTGAGCTCTCCCATCGCGAGCAGTGCCAGCTCCATCTCCGACGGCGGCAGCTTCGAGTCATTTCCTGAAGGGTTCGCCGACACATGCAACAAATTCGAACAACAATGCAGCTGTGCACAAGCGGTGACCCTGGTTTCGGTAGGGAAGGCGAAAGTGGTCTCGATGCTTAAGCTGGTTGATGTTCCCGCCAGCCCTCGCGTAATGGTGCCGATCAGAACGACACCGATTAGCGCCCCGGTGTCGCGCTTTGCCAATGGCACTGTCAGCGAGCCATCACGGACGCCGAAGGCGGAAGTTCCACCTCCAATTGTCGATCAATTTACGCCAGTACCGACGACACCAAAGTCTATATCAAAACTTGTCAAGTGTAGCAACAGCATTCGTGAACAACCTAGCTTGCCGAATATTCAAAACGCAGCTCGATCACAATTCAGCATGTCGAGTAGATTACTACCGACTGGCCAACTGCCAGTCGCCGCAGACTTCCTCAAGCACGACCCATATCCGACTACACCACGCCACATGCCAGACTCACCGATCAGCCGCAAGTCAATATCACCATCAAGACGACGAATGCACAAGCTATCCTCATCACTCAGCCAATACGTGTTCGGCAAGGACGGCACTCGCAGCCCCTCAGCATCAAGCAGCGACGACGAGCACCTCGAGGATGCCATCATCATGACCGCCTCGCGGCACGACCTCAGATCACCAACAAAACCAAGAATGGTCCCCCGAGGCGCCAGCGAACGCGCACCACCTCTCGTCCTCCCAGCTTGGTCTAAAGGCTACGAGAGCGAAATCGACGTCACGCAGTGGCCGGTCAAGAAGGATCGAAGTGGCTCCATGCCACGGGGTCCAGTGCTGCATAAGCGTCGTCGCAGCATCGCAGCCGCTCTGACGGTGCCCACGCAAGCCTAGGAGGACGTGCGATGGTGTCGTCAGAGTGCTATATTTGTTGTTGCTGCTGAGCCGGTTTTGTGTTTTTGCGATGATACCATGGGTCACGAATTTTTGTGTGTGAGGCGTACGGGATGAGTGGCGGGTATGATGTGAGCGGTTTGATGACGAGCGAAGATTATGATGATGATGACTCGCTGCTGCCAGGTACACAGCGGACGACGTGGTATGTCTTTGGGCTCGCATCAGTTGATGCTTGAGCGGGTGGTCGTGAGAGGTCAGAAGCTTTTGGGGATGCATGCGTAACCGAGATAGTAGACTTAGTACAGTTCCTTAGTAACATGAACGATCATCTTCCATAACTCATCAGATATTGCTCTTAACAATCATCACAATTGTAATAGACTGCAAACCTCTGGACGAGCATCATATCGACGTCGCATACAATGTGGCGATGATGTCACTTGAAGATCGAACATTGATACATTCATATCAACACCCCATCTCATCTATCTGAATTATTCCTGATTAAAACATCCTGACATAACCTCGACACCATGGGTCTCCCACAACAACCCAACCCAGACACCTCCTCCCCCTCCCACCCTCCTACCTCAACCACCACCACATCCCCGCCAAAAGACCCCTCCACCCTCCCCCCCGAAGCCCTAGACCTAGCAACCAAACTCTTCGACTTCGCCCGCCAGGGCCTTACCCAGCAACTAAACCAATACATCACCGCCGGCATCCCCGCGAACCTCACAAACCACAAAGGCGACACCCTCCTCATGCTAGCTGCGTACCACGGGCACGTCGAGACGGTGAAAATGCTTCTTGAGGCGGGTGCGGACGTGGATGCGTTGAATGAGAGGGGCCAGAGTCCGATTGCTGGGGCGGTGTTTAAGGGGTTTGAGGAGGCTGGGGGGGTGGTGGAGGTGTTGGTCAAGGCGGGGGCGGATTTGAGGACGGGGCAGCCGAATGCGGTTGATTCGGCTAGGATGTTTAGGCGGGAGGGGTGTTTGAGGTTGTTTGGGGTGGAGGAGTGAGGGAGTCAGTAGGAAGGGCAGGTTTGGTGGGGAGGAGGGGATGTGTATATGGCTTTGTGCTGCCTCATTACGATAACGATGGAATGACGATGTGTGGAATAGATGTAGGAACATGATATACGAGCATTGTACAGTCGCTGTCATTCAACAATGCCCCGACAATCTTCGTCCAATCCTGTATTTTGCCTGTGAACGACCCACGCCACCAATGCTGCTACTTCGCTTCCCACCCATACTCCATCGATCTCAACAGACACCCCGGAATGCCGAACCAGGCATACCGACATCTTCCCTCTCACGTATCTGTACTGGCAATAGCAATCCTTCCTCGGGATCGCCGTTGGCCTGCGCAGAGAGCATCCTGCCCAATTTATCAGCAGCATGCTCGACCCGCTCAGTCAGCCTCTCGAGGATATTTTCACCCCTCGGTGGCTGCGCCGGAAAAGTTGCTGCAGGAGCTAGGGGCGTCCCATACGTGCTCGCGATCGTAGGAGTATAGGTACCGCTCTCCAGCTCGGGATCTCCACAGCTCGTCTCGTATTCCTTCGCCGGCCTAGAGCTCTTCGGATGCCAAAGATGCACAAGCGGTGCGAAGGCTTTGATACTATGTATCGGTGCAGTCACAGCCTCCCATGCAAACCGTGCTGGACTCATCGATCGCTGTGACCTAGGCGCAAGCTTCACCTCATCGTAAGACTGGCGGCGTTCACGTGAGATAGCCACAGCAGGGCTGGTCTCAGTGCCGTGTACAGCTATACCTAGACCTTGATGGGTCGTCGAGGTGTCAATGCTGAGCTTGTTCCTCTTTCTTGGTTTACCTTGCTTCTCGGCAGCACTCGTCGTGGCGGTCGAGATGGAGTCACTCATTTCGATGTCATCGTGAGGAGACACTCTAGCGTATCTGTTGTGACTGCGCAGCCACCCTCGATTCCGGCGCCGGGGAGGGAAGTTGATGAGGTATAGCAACACCGCCAGTACGAGTCCGAAGCTCAGAAGGCCGCCGAGGAGACCGATAGCCCACTTTGGCATAGGCGGCACATCGCGTTGCAGCTTCGCTGAGCTATGATAAGGAAGGCCAGCCATAGGCGTCCGCGGGAGGAGGGTGGTAGCGAGACAGCTGGTCTCGGCAACGATGGGCGTGGCGACAGTAATCATGGCAAGGATCTTCGGCTTGAACGCCCCATAATGGTCGGGTGAGAGGTCATAGTTTGCAGCCCTCAAAGTCCTCTGAACTTCCGGAAGCTCCCTGGGCGGTACTTGCTGTTGGGCACGATCGAAGGTGCGAGGTGGAGCTTGAGGCTTCCGGTTTATGCTGGATGTGTGAGGAGGTGTGGCAGCGTGGGACAGTATAGATGCGTCCCCTCGTGTATGAAGATCCTCACCCATGGCTGTAGAGGTGGTTGAGACTGAGCAAGACTACTAGCAAAGCTCTTCTAGTCGTTTGCAGAGTCTTCCTGGGCTGGTCACACGTAACTGTGTCTCCAGCGTTGTTTGTGGGAATGACGGTGTTTCACAACCAATCATGACCGTGAACGGTGGAGCTTTGCGAGCATGAAACAGCAGGCTTCAGTGATTGTAATCTGCTCGTTACGCACTCACATCGTAGCTTAGCAAGCAAGTGAAAGTGTGAGAAAAGGTCAAGTACCACCCTGCAAGCGAATAACATCTTCTTACACACCTACTCATCATCGTCAACCCTGGCCCTCTTCCCCTTTCCTCCACCTACTTCCTCATCATCCGCGCCCCTCTTCCCACTCTTGGTATTCTTCACCACATCAGCAATCATAGCATCAACCCCAAACGGATCATCCCCACCAGGCTTCCCACCACGATCCCTCTCAAACTGCACAGGTCCACTTCTCGCCTCTGTCGTCTCGGTACCCCTGAAACCCTCCTTGGGCGCACGACCCAGCGACTCGAACCTCTTCGTGCCCTGAATCTTGTCCATTGTCTCACCACCATCATCTTCGTCCTCATCGTTGCCGACGCTGGGACGGTAAATACTGTTCAAAGCATCACGTTCAGCGAAAAGTGGTTTGTCGTAAGCCTGATCTTCGTTGAAGCCTGCGGCAAAGCCAGAACTCTGGTTAAAGAGGCGACTGTCGTACATAGTCTCCTTGCTCTGCGTAGGTTTCGCGAGACCCAAGGCAACTTTCTCCGAGATATCACGATTTTGCTGCCGAGCCATCATCTGAACGCGGCGTTCGTTACCCATATTCTTCTGCCGTAGCTCGCGCTGCGCTTCTTGGCGTCTTTCAGCACGCACGCGCTCACGTTCACGGCGCTCTTTCTCGTCGTCTGGTGATCGTGATCTACTACGGCTGCGCGAGTCGGAGCGGTCAGAGTATGAAGAGTAAGATGAGCGGCTGTCAGCTGATCTGCTACGTGAACGTCCATCTCTGGCCGAGGACTGGCGGCCGGAGACAGCTGCTTCGCGATCTTCTCGAGCTTTTTGTGCAAGCAAGCGCAAGTGCTCTTCCTTCTCCTCTTTCTCGCGCTCAGCCAGCCGCTGCTGCATCCGCTGTCTTTGCTGCACTTCTTCTCGTGCATGTCTATCTGCTGTTTGTAACGCCTCGGAAAATTGGGCGAATTTGTCGTTGATCGTCACGTCCTGCAAGCCACGCCCGTCTGCCGCCAATCGCTTGTCTAGCGGTACAGTGTAACCCTTCGGATTCTTCCAATTGCTCACAGGTGGCGGTATCCTCCACGCTTCCTGGTCTTCAGCAGTCAACTTGCGAGGCGGAGAGTGCATGACTGGTGGAGGTGGGCTGGGTGGACCTCGCGGAATCTTCTTGACTTTATGCTTTGGTGGTTCCATAGGATCTTGTTGTCGCTGCACGATCTTCATGATACGATCCTGCTTCTTGCTGTTGTCTCCCATCTGATTCGCTGGTGTGTACCGGACAAATGTGGGCTCTGGGCGTGTCGTACCCTTGACGTTCTTCGGCTTCTGCGCGGCAAGAGTTCCATCGACCAGAGTCTGTAGCGCCTTTTGTGTCCTCTCTTTACTCGCCTGAACCTCCTCCTCACTCGGTTTCTCCAGGTTGACATCGCCAGCATCTGCTCGCTGCCGGAGTGGTATCAAATCCTTGAAGCTCGCATGCACAATCCTACCCACGCCATGGCCTCTCCTTGCTATCGCATCGTATTTCACCTTGCCCTCTCCATCAACCTGAATTGCCAACGCATTCGAAGTAGAAGGTGCGCCTTTCCGGCCCATATCAAGTGGATATTGTGCCACGGCCACTTCTGGAAAAGCACCTCCATCCCCAAAGTCCTCTGGGTTCCGAGGCCGCCATCCTGGTCGCTGTCCATATGGTGGTGGACCAGCACGCTTCACCACTAATTGCTGTGACTCGATTTCGCGAGCATCTACTACTCGGGGTCCCTTTTGCTGGGTATGTGTTGGCAGCTCCTCATCTTCTCCAGCATATCGTGGCTTGGGCAGTGCGCTTGACAGTGAGATTCGTGAGCCTGCGACTGCCATATTGTCTGATATTGAATATGTCGTGTGAGCAGAAGTGCTGGCGAAAGTTCGATGTTCACCTTCTCGCGATCTGCCGGAGTCACTCCGCTAAGTCTGCCAAGCAAGCCTGACTCGTGCCAGAAGTGGAGCAATGAAGTTGAGCATCTGCCTGTGCATGGTATGAATTATCCATAATCCTTGGGCAGCATACCTCAGGACGAACGCCGTCTTTCATATCATTGTGCGAGATCGTATAAATGGCTTAATTCAAGATGCCTTGACATGTCAGAAGAACTGGACGATGAAGTCCTCTCAATCAACTCAATCTATGGCGACAGTACCTTGACGGCATCTTCAGACGGTCCACTTATCCACATTCTTGTGCTACCGACTCAGAAAGACATCTCAATACGAGTAAACTTTGCAGTAGACTATCCCGAATCGCCGCCTTCGATTCTTGGTACCCATCATGTCGGCGACAATGTGGCGAAAGGCACCGGCAGCGACCTCGTTGATCTCGTGCGAGAAGTGCTGGCTGAAGTTTACATTCCCGGCTCACCATGCATCTTCGACCTTATCGAGGAAGCGGGCCAGAGACTTCAGCAGCTCGATCTGGGCAGCAGCGAGCCAGAGGACGAGAGGCCACATGATGCTCAGAGGGATGGTCAGCTGTCTACTTTGAATAGGATCTCGAACGAAGTGCCTGACGTATCACAGTCGATGGACAACTTTGGCGAACCACCACCTTGGACTTCTTCGGACGTCGTGACAGAGAAGAAATCCATCTTCATCGCCCGTGCCGTAGCCGTGTCCTCAGTAGGCGAAGCAAAACAATTCCTCGCTCATCTGCTATCAACCAACAAGAAAGTCGCAAAGGCAACTCACAACATCACTGCCTGGCGTGTCCAAGGCCAGAACGACGTAAAATACCAGGACTGCGATGACGATGGCGAGACAGCTGCAGGAAGCCGGCTGTTACATCTACTGGAGCTCATGAATGCCTGGAACGTCATGGTAGTAGTCACGAGATGGTATGGTGGTGTTCAGCTTGGGCCTGATAGGTTCAGGATTATCAATCAGACGGCTCGCGAAGCTGTGATCAAAGGTGAGCTTGTTGAAGAGGTTGGCGGTAAGGATGGGTCGAAGAAGAAGGGCAAGAGGTGATAAATAGTCCTTATTTCCACGTCTTACTCCGAGCTGGTCTTAGCGCAACAATCGCCATTTTCCGGACTGCCACGATGTCTACTACGCTACGTGCAGATGGGGCCAAGCACATCAGGGTGCGGCCTACTCATCTCCAAAGCCAATCTCTGACTTGGATGCCTTAGCTAGCCGGCGGGATGCTTCTGCCCATCTATCCGCCCTGATAATGCTCGTGGTACTTCACAAGCCAAGCGGCAGGCTTTGCTGTGAGGGATAGGTCCAGATGACAGGAGGAACGATTGGCTTACGGCGAAGCTCTGAACAACCTTCGTAGACTTTGGATACTGCCATGGACGGCGGCACTGTCGACATGTTGGGACTGAAATGTGGCACGACTTGCTTGATGCTGTTTTTGCACAATCCATTCTGTACAGTTATCAAACACAAGTCCAAATGACTTTCCAACGTTCCCAGAAGCAAACTTCGCAGCACCTTGCCAGTCTATGCCAGTAACGATTGGGTCTATACACGCTCGGAACGCTCGCAACCATAATCCACCAACTTTCGCAACTCACTGTCTCGGCAACGTCGGTCCAGCAGACATGCCGCCCGCCAACATCGCACCGAAGCTGCTACCACGCCTATGCCCACGTCTTGTCCCACCCTTACTCTGCGTGGAATAGATGTCCCGACCACTGGCACGACTATCGGTCGTTACCGCACTGCCTCTCCTTCTCAGCTTGCGCAGACCCTCCGGACTGTGCTCACCACCAGCACCAGCTTCCATAGCATTTTCAATAGTGTGCTGTCGGGGTAGACCGCTCTCATCCAAATCACCATCCTCCCAGTTCGTCTGCGAGGACATCCGCCTCTGCATCCCCGCAGCAGCCAGCTCGTCCTTCCTGTGCAAGTTCTCGCTTGGCAGCATGATAGCGCGATCCAAGGCATATGGCAGACCACGATGCCGTCCTCTGATCATCATGGCAATGATGACCAGCTTACTCAACGTCTTGAATTCCGCCGAGAAGCTGGCGTTGATGCCCGGATATCCTAGACTCAGGCCCACAGTACCGTACGCGCTCACAATCTCGAACAGGACACTGAACATCGTAAACGAGTAATCCGTGGCCGTGCTGAGTCTGCTGCCTTCTATAATGCAAATGATGAAAAAGCCCAAAAACACATACCACAAGTCGAAGCTCAGCTGCCTACGCAAATGCTGTCCAACATACGACTGCTCCCCCTCTCCCATATCTTCTTCGCCGCCCCAGACACCGAGAGATTTCTCCTCGTAGACGTTGGTTCGGCGGACCGAGATGGCAATCGGGAAGACGGAGATGTACATCATTACGAGGTAACTAACCTGGATAGCTGGGTGCAGCGCCGCGAGATTGATGCAAGAGAAGCCAGCCGTTCGAGTTGACGTTGCCTGGAACCAGCCATCGAGGAATCTGATGCCTAACGGGAGGACGATAACGGCGTCGTCATTCAAGTCGAGGATGAGGAAGAAGACCAGGTCAACAACGTTCAGGCCCACGAGGACCCAGAACAGCCACCAAGTCGCGCTCGACGGGAAGAGCAGTGTGAAACACCGACGAGGATGGTCGAGCAGGAAGCGCAGTTCTTCGTGCAGTTCTTGCTTCCCTAATCGCCAGGTCACTTTCGACGCCACCCAGATCACGAAGCGGAGCATACAGGGGAAGCCAGTGTTGCCGATGATGATGAGGAACGATCCGATGAGAAGCGGCCAGATGCCGTAATTGAAAGAGTTCATCGAGTCTGGGGTGACGGTAAGACCGAGATCATTGAACATAGACGCCGGAGTGAAGACGCCCCACCATCCGGGCGATGTGCCAATGGATTGGACGTAGCCTTTCCACGGCTGGTTGTGCAGGATCCACGGGAGCAGAGAGACCATGCCAAAGATGTGGAAGCCGACAAAGTAGACAATCAGCACCTTAGCCAGTGTCTTCAGAGCTCGATACTCGATGCCGCCGAGCTCCTCCCGCTGCTCCTCACTCAAGCCCAAGAAAGCACTGTTGCGGCCGATCGTGACATGTCCAGTAAGATATGGCATCTCTTCTTCCGGTCTGCTGCCGCTTCCTGCTGTCCTGAGCGTGCTGAACGTCTTGGCCATACTACCACGAGCATCGGAGAGATTCAGACGTGTTGAAGAGCGCGACCGATTCCGCTTGTGACCCAGATTACTCTTGACCTTGCTGAGTGTGTGTCGGAAGCCATGCGCTTCCGGATTGTCGTCGTCCACGTTCTTAGCGGGTCCGCGTCGATCCGGGTGTGCAGGCTCGTTGAAAGTGATGTTGCGAGGTGGGTGGTCATCGCCATTGATCTCCGCGCTGCGGTCACCAATGCTCAGCCTCCGCGCACGCTCCTCCTCACTATTGACAGCACCCAAAGTATTCCTCGTCACAGGTCGCTGCAGCTCGTCGTCGCTATCATCAAGCTCCTCTGGTTGCTCGCCACGGTCAAAGTCGCGAGGTCCGGGGATGCGTAAGGTATGTGCCTCGACCTTGGCATTGCGCTGCTTTTCAAGAAAGCGGATATGCCGATCATCGTGCTCTGGTCCCCCTGGCGCCGTTTCGGATGCAGGCGTCAGGGCCATCTTCTCACTCTCGGGTATATCTTCTAGTCCTGGAGACTGGAGGGCATGCCCAGAGCTAGGCGTGGGCACCTCATCCGCGAACACGATCTCGCGCTGCAATCTACCGGGGAGACCGAGGTACGTGGAGACAGGAGTATCTGGCTCGACTTCCTGCTTGGTCTTCTCGTCCGGTGCCAGGTCCTCTTCATGCTTGCTGCCCTGATTACTGTTGTCTGGTGTGGGTGAGACACTCCTCGACTCCTGCTGCAAACCCAGCTTCTCCACGAACTCCTTCTCTGCCTGAGGGTTAGGAGCAGCACTACCACTCATACCGTTCGGCTTTGTCGTTTCATGGAGGACGCGGATATGTCTGCCTCCCACTCCCCTCTCAATCTCACTCAGGCTTCTCTCGCTCCGCATTGTACCATTCCGGCTGAAGGTCTTCGCCCTTGACTTCCGTGACTCTCGTGCCTCCTGCACCACCTTCTCAAACCTCTTCTCAAACCAATAAAGTCGGACGAATACCACGGACGTGTTGATGAAGATCGGGTTGGCGACACAGGCAATAAACATGAGGACGATCTGCTGGTACAGGTAGGCTTCGTTTAAGTCCGAGGTGTTGAGTCCAGCTTGTGTCGCAGCTCCAGAAGTGAAGAAAAGGGCGTCGATGTATGACAGTCCACCCCCGGGGAAGACAATGATGGATCCTATCAGCGCCCAGCCTAGGATGTACATGTAGTGGCATGTTATGAAGTTGAAATGGGGTCGGTGCCAGTTCTTGGGCTGTGCAGTGAGGACCGCGGCTTCGACAACTTTGCGGACGAAGTTGAAGGCGCCCTCGAAGGGTTCGAAGACCATCGTGGCGTTGGGGATAGAATTTCCGGACTATGCGTCGGTGTGTGTATATATAGGCCTCAAGCTGGCGCCGGCGCCGCGAGATGACAAGTGAATCGTCGCAAGTGAAGTCCGAGTCGAAGTGAAGCTCTTGTTATTGCGCCATAGCAATCATCTCCATCTCCTCCTTCTCTTGGGTGAATGCCGGACGGTGTAGTTGGTACGGCTCCACGGGCACCCTTTGCTGCCTCAGGAATTGCAGTCTACCGTGTTAGAGCGCTCGAGCGCACGGGGGCGACGGTGTGGTCGAGCTCACTATCTCCTGCCCAGATCAATGCTGCTTTTCATTGCCGTCGCAGCAAGTGCTCGAAACCTCACTTGCCAGCATCATGATCGACGCCAAGGAGCTAAGCCAAAGCTTCTTCAGCTTCACCTGGCAGTCGATCCTACCTTGTACTCACGCGAAAATGCCCATTGCCTGTGATATGATTTTTTCGTACCTGTCTCATGGCTTCGGCGGTGGCCAATGTTGACATTGAGCTCCTCTTGTTTTCGCCTGCCTCCAACGGACACCGATGTGGCGATCAAGGTTGATCAAGATATCGCAGCGGGGAAGGCATTGCCAAGGACAAGAAGACGTAAGGTCCGAGGCTTGAGCTGGCACGACAATCATGGGCAAGATATTCAAGATCAGAGGAAGTCGTTTCTTTAAGAGGGCAACGGACGAAAGTTCTCTATATACAGCGATTTTGCGTAGCTGCACAACTGCATTGTTACCAAAGCTTGCGCGATATATCAACCCGTCTAACCAGGAATGAGACATTTACGTAAACCACCTGCCGGGCAAATACATCCTTTGTCGACCAGCAGACTAGCAAGAGACAATTTCGATCAGTATCAGTGATACAACAACTAGCATTCTCAATACCAAGCGAGTGATGGTAGTAGCAGACAAGCAATACGAGATTCGAGCAGAAAACCCAGCCACAATCCCCAAGACATGATACCTCCGGACCATTGCGCCAGCGACAACATCGTGATCCATAAACCAAGCAACGCAGACGTAAGCAGCATTACATCGTAGCAACCGGGACAGTGTTCTCATCGTAAATCTCAATCTCGACTTTCGTAGATTTCGTCGTCTCGGTGGCAGCAGGAGGCTCTGAAGCAGGCTCGATGATGGTGGAGGCATCATCTTCGAACACAATGATCTCGCCCTTTAGGTCACCATCGGCGTTGACGACAGGCATACTAGATGCAGCCTCATCCTTCACACTTTCCACTTCAGCTTGTGGCGCCGTGAACAAAGCAGTGATATCAACCTTGGAAGGACCAGCGGTCTTCTCTGGCGTACCATCAACGATGACGTGAGACTCCTTGTCTAGACCTTCCGGGAAGAAAGGATCAGTCTCGAGCTCCGAAAGAGGGGAGCGCTCCCCATCATCCATGTCGTCGCCCACAATCTTCCGCCTGATAATCCCAGTCTTCTTGATCTGCCTCGGAGCACCGACACTAGCTTCCACAGCCCGCGACGCAGCGGGAGCATCATACCCCACCGGCGGCGTATTCTCCTTCCCACGATCGTCCCTGGTCTTCTTACTGCTCTCCTCGTCCGAGCTCAGATCCAAGGTAAGCGTACTATGCTCCATTAGATTCGACGCCTCCTCCTCAGGACTATCCTCATAGATCTCGAAGAACCAGCCTTTAGGCATGCTTTCCTGAATCGTAGCACCTGCGCTCTTGGCGGCCGGTGCAGCAGGAGTGGAGAAAGTGCCGCTGAGAGCTGCGTCGAGGCTGAAAGGTAGAGAGGAGCCACGGCTAGCGAAAGGAGGTTCGATACGAGTGAAGGGTGCTGATACACGTCTATTCTTGCTGATACCTGCAATCTTGCGTTTGGGAGAGCGTCCGGCTGGTGCTGTCATCGGAGTGCGTGTGGACGACATGTTGGCTCGAATGGGCGTAGCAAGACGTGCTGGCACGGCTGGAGGTGGCATAGCCTTCACAGGCGTCAAGGAGAAGTTGAAAGCCGCATTCTTGCTCTTCTTGGAGGGAGAGCTGAAGACAGAGGGGTCAATATTCTCGCTATCATAGTCGTCGAAAGTGCTGGAGGGGTCGAATTGGCGTTTGCTGGGCGATTGCAGTGTTGTCTTAGATAGAGATGACATGCTAGCTTTGCCGCTCAGAGAGGACTTTTGGGAGGACAAGCCTAGGATACGTGAGTCTATGCTTTACACGATGCCTCATACGTGACTTTGGTACCATTCTGCCTGTTCTTCGCACTGGCAAGGTGCTGGAGACGTGGGTTGTCAAGCGGAGCGAATGGCACTCTCGCCATTGGGCTGATGGTCGTCATCTCGTGCGTGTAGTCCTTCTCGACGCGTTCAGATCGAGTCTCTGCTATCCGCGGGCTTCCAGAGCCGGACAGTAGCAGCCTCGACACCACTGATGCCTGTGTGGCGAAAATAGGATGCGTATAACAGTCAATGATCTAGTAGTGAGCGTGATGTCAAAAGACGAAGAGCCGCCATAGCGAAGAAGCAGCCCAGCACGCGCTTCACTCGAACACGAAACGCACAGACGACGTTCCAGGGTGTCGCGATGAAGTGGCGCTAATGCAAGAGTTGTGCAAGAGGGAGACGATTTACAGCGACTCGGTCCAGGCCGAACCGATTTCTCGCGTCTCCCAGCAACGCGCTAGCGCTGCTTCTGGTACAGCGTGAATTTACGGTGATGGATGGGTTGCACATTGGGGAGAAGGACTGGATCATATAGACACGATGATATGGTTGTGCATATACCGTCCGAGGAGGCATCTCTGGCTGTGCTTGCATTGTATGAAGGCTGACGTGCCGAGGGCAAGAAGGGTAATGGCACCTTTCCAATCTTGATCAATAGCGACCATAAGGCCATGTCTATAAGCATCTTGCCATGTCTCGGTATCATACTGACAACCCAAGTCGGTATTAAGCGGTCGTCCTACCGAACATCAATAGCACTCTACCCTTCCGGCTGGCTATTCTCTTCAGTTGCTTCTGCGATCTCATCACCGTCGCCATCCACATCGGCTTCCCTGTCATCCACCTCACGCTGACCATCCTCCTCAACCTCCAAAGTCTGCTCCCTCCCATCACCAACCGGCGCCGAACTCTCCGTCTCCTCTCTAGATCTCCCCGTATATCTATCTCTCTTCCCATACAGTTTTCCCATAGCCCTAAAACCCCCCACCAGCTCCATCACCCGATCACCAGCATCCTTCTGCACCGTCGCCTTTGCAAAATCCTCCTCCATCGTGAGCACATCTGGGAACCCCACAATCGGCGCATATACGACCTCATCGATCGCCTCCCCAACAAGTAGACACCTCGCCTTATCTCTCAAAATTACTCTAACTTTAGCCAAGGTACCGGGATGAAACCAGCCAGATTGATGGACTTCGCACTCCGAGCGTATAACCTCAGTCTGCAGAATAGAGTGCAGCATCGGGTCCACGATGTCGCAGACCTGCCAGCTCTTGATACTGGGCCGCACAGTTTTGCCATCGAATAGATGATCCTTCCTCGTCGCGCTCTCTTTACGATTAGCCTTGTTGATGTACGCGCCAGGCTTGGCAGAACCAAGAGTTTTATCAAAGGATAACAACATAGTCTGGTAGAAGCGGTACTTTGGATCAGTGCGCGGGTCCACACCAAATTTGATGAGGATATCTCGCCATGGTCCAGCGGAGAATGAGTAGCCGACCCATTCTGTGGCTTCCTTGATTGCGCCTTCGGAGTACTGTGGTATTTCGCTTGCGATTACACGGCGGCTGACTAGAGGTCGCTTGTTGAGAAGTTCTTTCAGAAGCTTGATGGCGGCGAGAACGTTCTTCTCTTGTCTACCACTTAGTCTTAGTCCTTCTGGTGGTCCTGTGGGCACGTCTGGTGCGTCAGGTGCTAGTGCTTCGCCCAACCGACGGTTGGAGTACGCGTTCGTGTTGATCGCAATCGGTGTCCCTTGCGCGTTGAATAAATACTTGACATCATTGGCTTGCTGGTATTCGTAACGATAAGGCTGGTCGAGCATGTGCAGATTTGGTGGAAGTGGTAACATGTCGTTTGCTGATCGCCCTGGCGTGAGATCCACCTTGAACTTCTTGAAGTCCTCGTATTTCGAAGTCAGTAGATGTGACTCCACCTCGCGCATGATAGGTATATCTCGAGTGTGCATCTGGAAGTCAGGCTGACCCCGGAAGCGATGGGTTTCGGAAATGACTCCCAAAGCTTCTAGTTCGTAGCTATCGTCATGGTCGCGCAGACGTCGTAGTAGATCCGGGGCCTTTATACTTGTCTCATTGGCCTCTGCTAGTGGTGCAGGTTCAAAAGGGTCGACTGAGCCGCGCTTTCGTTTGCGTCCAGTCCACTTTGGCACAGAGACTCGAACGAGGACGTTTCGTGTCTTGACTCCAGTAGAGGGCATTTTCTTGGCCAGCACATCGTCTGAACGGAGAGACACTCCTACGACAGGCTCGGCGTAGACATGGCCCTGTGCATTGACTCTGATCTCGCCATCGCCGACTTTGTGCTCAAGTACCTTGCGTGGCTGTGAGTAGAATGAAGGGGAACATGCCAGAGATGGCACCTACATGTTTGATCTGAGCCTCGCCGCCAAGTGACTTGACGCCTTTCTCGAGGTTCTTGATAATGCAGGGGTGCTCGATACTCACGATCCGCTGCAAAGGTACTGTGTATGTTGGAGCCGTCTGTGCTTCTGGCACTGGTACCATGTTGACTCAACAGACCATTGCTCCAAGCTACTCGACCGTGTATACGATAGGTAGAGAGATTATATGTGAAGCCGTACTGATCTGAACGATCCCCACCATTCGACGAAGGCTGCGGAGACGGCGCACGGGGAGAGCCGGTCTAATCAGCGAAGCGATGGCACAACAGCCAGCGAACCCTCGACTTGCAATGTGAGGAAGAGAAGTTGGAGTGACAACAACGAAATCCCCTCAACCTGACACAGTTGCCAGACCGCTGCTGACGACTCTGCACACCTCTCCTTCCCCCTATTGCATTCGTCTCCGTGCCGTGTGACTGATCACGTGTCGCCAAGAGATTGACTTGGATACAGTACCGTCTCCGACCCACTCGTGCCGCTCCTGACGCCAGCACCGGCCGGCCCTCATGGCTGTGTGATTGACGCACTCGCACTGCACCCGTCGACCACTACTACCGCCCACTCACTCGATATACCTACCACGAAGCTCCATACAGCTACACAGATCACCACCGAGGCCGCAACAAGCTCCCTCAGCGCACGGCATCGCTGGGAAGCGCTTCCCTTGCAGAGGCGCGGCACTGGCGTCGCTTCAACATTCATTCCATTGGCGCTGCTTCTCCCACCATGAAAGGCTTCAGGCAAAGAGTGGTAAGTCTGCGTCCTCCCCCTTTGCGACGTCCTATGTGCGCATTTGTTGATGACGTGGTGTGTCTGACAGCAAGAACAGCTCTCGCGAAACAAAGATCGAGAGGGCAACAAGCTCGCCAAGAAGAAGGATGGCTCGTCTGGCACAGCCTCACCTCATGGCGGCTCCTCGGGACAGTCGCCGGCCAACTCGAATGCAGTCACGCCAACCTCATCCACATCCAACCTCGTAGATCCTCGAAATAAGCCTTTGCCGGGTCCGGAAGGCCCTACACAGCCAGGGCCAGGCGCACCATCGCCCGGCACACAGCAGGCCAACACGGGCTTTGGATTCGGTATGGGACAGGGACAACAGATGAACAATGGCGGCGCGCAAAGTCCCGGCTCGGGGCCCGGGCAAGGGCTCGGCACCATGACACGGCACAGCTTACCAGGCGGACCACCCAGCGTGGTAGTGTCTCCGAGCGCACCTGTCAGTGTACCATGAACATGTCGGATGAACGAGAGCTCTACTGACGTTGGTACAGCACATCCCTCCTCCTGGTGCAGCAGAAACGATGCCACATGACCTCGCACCTCCCAAAGCCGGTACGAAGAGCTTGATGTTTGATCGTCTCCAGGCCACGCCAAAAGACACAGTGCCAGAAGGCATCCGAACACCTAAAAGGCAGCACTCTTCCCGCTTCGACATCTCAGATCAGCGCCAGCGTGAGCTCGAAAAGCTGCCAGGCTTCCACGAGGTCCCTCCAAACCGCCGCCAAGAGCTGTTCATGCAGAAGTTGGATCAATGCAACATCATCTTCGACTTCAACGATGCATCGGGAGACATGAAGAGCAAGGAGATCAAGCGTCTTGCATTACACGAGCTTCTGGATTATGTCGCGCAGAACCGCCAAGTCATCTCCGAGCCCATGTACCCACGAGTAGTCGAGATGTTCGCCAAGAACTTATTCCGACCCATACCACCGCCTATGAACCCACAAGGCGAAGCATTTGATCCGGAGGAAGACGAACCCGTCCTGGAAGTCGCCTGGCCGCATATCCAAGTCGTCTACGAATTCTTCCTCCGCTTCATTGAGAGCCAGGACTTCAACACAAACTTTGCGAAGCAGTACATCGATCACGGCTTTGTGTTGCAGCTACTTGAGCTTTTCGACTCCGAGGACCCGCGCGAAAGGGATTTCCTCAAGACCACACTCCACCGGATCTATGGCAAGTTCCTCAACCTGCGATCATTCATCCGACGGAGCATCAACAACGTGTTCTTCCAATTCATCTACGAGACGGAACGATTCAATGGTATCGCGGAGCTTCTGGAAATACTCGGATCCATCATCAATGGTTTCGCTCTTCCGCTGAAGGAGGAGCACAAGCTCTTCCTCACACGCGTGCTCATTCCGTTACACAAAGTGAAGAGCTTGAGCATGTATCACCCGCAGCTGGCATACTGCATTGTACAATTCCTCGAAAAGGACGCGGCGCTTACTGAGGAGGTGGTGCTGGGTCTGCTACGCTATTGGCCCAAGGTCAATAGTACGAAGGAAGTCATGTTCTTGAACGAGGTCGAAGATATTTTCGAGGTTATGGACCCGGCCGAGTTTGCGAAGGTGCAGGAACCGCTGTTCAATCAGCTTGCGAAGAGTGTTGCTAGCCCACACTTTCAGGTGAGTAGTACGACTCGAGGATTGTGGTTAGTGCCTGTACTGATATACGACAGGTTGCTGAACGAGCGCTCTACTTCTGGAACAACGAATACTTCTGCAACCTCGTCAGCGACAACGTGGATGTCATCCTCCCGATCATGTTCGCACCACTGTACGAGAACTCGAAAGGACACTGGAATAGGTGAGCATACAAAACCCATGTGTTACTATGAGATCCTCGTCAGCAGTCGCTAATTACATATCCAGAACCATCCACGGCATGGTCTACAACGCCATGAAACTCTTCATGGAAGTGAACCCACAACTTTTCGACGAATGCTCCCACGACTACACCGAACAACAGAACAACGCCGAAGCCGTCAAACAAAACCGCCAAGCGAAATGGGACCGCCTGTCCCAACTCGCCGAGTCCATGAAATCCAACGTCAACGGTGGCGCACACAACACGGCCGTCAGCCGACCCCCTGAAGCCTACGGTGGCGGCCGCAACGGAGCTGGAATTGGAGCTGGAGCTGGAACCAGTGGTGCCACGAATCTGGCTCAGTATATCCGCCCGGACGGTGCTGGGGCGATCTCGCCGGGGAGCGATGGCTTGGCGCAGGATAGTCAGCGTAGGATGGAGCAGTTGCGGTTACAGGATGATCGGGAACGGACGGGGTCTAGGTCGGGGCCGAATAAGGACTACAACTCGGTACGTTGACCGCGAGTGCCTTTCCTATAAGAGCTTCGTTGTTCGACGTGGGGTGCCGAGTTGTGCGTCCACCTCCCCTCCTTCTTCTTCTTCACCACCATACGAGGAAGAGCACGCGCTGCGGCACTGTCCTGAGGCGGCCACCCTGATTTCCTCTTCTGTTGCTTGTCCTAGGGAGCTGTTGCGGTGCAAAAGAGCGAAAGCGGGCGTTTTGAGCTGTTTTGAGCGTAAGGGCGGCGGGCAGACTTTTGTAATCCTATGCCTTACATGGATATTGCAGTCCCTCTAATCGCACGTACATTGTGTGCGCCACAGCGCATCCACTACTGTGCGATTGGCGCATAACGCGGTTCTTCTCCCTCGAATATATTATAGCTCGCGCTGCCCGCTGGTCGTCTTGGGTTTTATGTCACGTCTGCTGCTTGCTGACATCTCGTCTGGGATAGAAACGGCGCGATTCCGCCTCCGCCATCTCCGGTGGCGGCAACAACAGCAGTAGCGGTAACAATCACAGCAGTAGCGGTAGTAACGAAAGACCCGGCTCCGCCCCTTCGGAACACCATGGGAAGCACTCGTCGCAGCAGCAACATAAGGCTCACGTGGTAGGTGGTGGACATGGGCATGGTGTCACGAGGGTGAGGTCAAGGAGTAATAGTGGTGGCATCTCCTCTCAGCATCGTCCGGGTTCTTCGAACTCGAGCGGTGGGGGCAAGGGCGCAGGGGTGTCTGGTAAGGGATCTTCTTCAGGCGCTGGTGCGAGTGGAAGTGGAGGAGTTGGTGTGGATGAAGGTGGAGTGGAGTAGATTGTTCTAGGTTGGTTTGGGTTGGGCCGGGTCATGATTGGAGTGTTCAAGGGGTTTGGTCTGCTGTAGGGAGATGTGATGGGTGTACGAAGTGTGAGGGGCGGGGAGAGTACGAGGCAGTAAATGCGGCGTTGAGTGGATAGAAATTCCTCTGGTGGGGTTGCCCTCGAAAAGGCTGATACCTGTGCCTCTTGTTACCTTAGAAAAGTAGGTGCAAGTATCATAAGTGCACTTCTGGCCAAAAGGTGCGGTTCGATCTTGGATGTTGAGCACACGAAGCTGAAGCCGCCAGAGCTATCCTGTGCTGCTTTTCGCCTCTGGAAAAGCAACGGAATCTTGTCTCCCTCAAACTTTCGCCCTTGCCAAAATACTGCTTGCGAGTTATAAGACGTCGTGAAGTTAAAAGCGGTAGAGAACTGTACAAAGAGAACATGGCATTGCTCAGCGAGGACTGTATATCAGTACAACAACATTGCTTCAAGCACGCCCATCCATGCGCACTTGTGTAATACCCACTCCCACCCTCTCCCCACTTTCGGCTGTCCAAATGTACAAAATCCCGCCCTCTCCTCCCAACCCGCCTCGACAGTTCTAGATATTGTGATTGTGAAACACGCCCTCATCTACGCCGAATGCGGGCCCTCGGTCTTATGACTCGCGGGATACAGATCCTCCTTCAACATCACGCCCATGTTTTCCCGGACGGAGTTGAGCTCGGCGAGGTATTCGTCGTATTGGGCTACATTTTCCACTTTGGCTTTGATGCCTGTAATTTCATGATATATTAGCGACCACAGCTCTTCAGAATGAGGTTGCCCGGTGGGAGTAAGGCATACCTTCAAAGACTCGTACAGCAGTAGGGTAGTCGTTGACTCTCCTCGCTGCTCGCAGGGCGGCGGTGATGACGGAGACGGAGGGGACGAGGTCGTAGGCGAAGGCATTGTTGAGGTTGCGCTGCAGCTCGAAGACGTCTTGGACTTGGTCGAATTCTTTCTCGTATCTGTCGTCATCCTCGTGGATTAGCTATGGCTCCATATATATTCCGTCACACTTCCACAATGGCTTGGATCCTGCGCTTGTTTGAGCACTCTACGCCTCCCTCTTGTCTCCGCACAGCCATTGGTGGTTCATCTTGGTCCGGGGTTCGTGATACCATACCTAGCAGTGAACTCCTCGAAACTCTCCTCGTGGTGGGGATCATGCGGGTCCGCGTCGGGCATCTTGAGGCCGGCGGGTCTGGTGGAGAAGCATTGCACAGGAGTTGTTATGCGCTGCGAAGCTGCTGGGCGGAGGAGGACCGGTCGGGCGGTGGAGGCACGGAAGACTCTTGTCGCTCGTGAGAGGCGGGTGAGGGACATGTTTGTTGGATATGGGTGGTGAGAGGAGAGAGAGAGAGAGAGGGTCGCGTGAGTGTATTGGATCTGGAGCTCTTCTCGCGTACTGCAAGCAGATTCTCAGCTTCTCAGGTGATGGAGCTCTTACCCTCTGGAGTGGCTGCTTGTGTCGGGAGAAGCCGGCCAGGAGAATGGCATGGGTGTGATTGGTTGGTGGGCTGGCCGCACGTCACCGAGGTCGAGATGAGAGGGTGAATCTTACATCAATACATCAAGGACAATTCACATGACTTCAATATGCAGACAGCATAATATTGATCACTCCATACAGTCACGAACCAGTATAGCAGCGCTGAATCCCGTAGCCATTACCAGGCCAATGCCTTGACAAGAGAAGTACCTCAGTCTTACGATTCCTCCCTACCCTCGTCATAGCTTCGAAATTTCGCCCGTCCCAAAAATATTTAGCATTGCTTGTTCGCAGTACCATTCCGAAGCTGCATGTGTATTGAAACTACAGCGCCAACATGGCAGAAATACGCCAACGCCGGCCGGTAGCGCCCCCAGAACAATCCACAGAAGCATTCCCTTCTGCCGTCGAAGAAGAAGCAGAAGACGAAACCATCCTCGGAAAGGACTTCAAATGGAGCAGCTGGCAGACCTGGCCCATGTGGCTCCGCTTCGCCCCAGCTTGGATCACCCTCCTCATCATCGGCGCAGTAACATACTGGGACTACCACGTCACGGAATACGGCCTCGACATGCGCACCTATGAGAGTTGCGTCGCCACTTTCAATTACACTTACCGTATCAACGCCGCTCGACACCAGGCAGAACATCATGCTGTGCATAGCTGGGAGTACGGCACCACCACCGAAGCCGTCCTGGAACTCGTCAACCCCGAACGAGCGGTATTCGCGGGTAACCCTTTCCCCAACGACGAGGTCGAGATGCAAGGCTGGAAACTGGATCAGGCCTTGATCTGGGTATATCAGAATATCGCCACGCACAACGAGACGCTCTTCCCCTCGGACGACTTCAGCGCCACCGACCCAGCTTCCCTGGGAATCGCAGCCGTAATGGTCGGACGACGCTGGGACGTCTACATGGAAGCCGCCGAACGCCAAAAAGAATACCTCCTCCAATCCGCGCCCCGCTACATCAACAGCGCCATCTCCCACCGCCGCCACGCGACCGAATTATGGTCCGACGCCATCTCCATGTTCCCGCCCTTCCTAGCCTATTACGGCGTCCACAAGAAGGACTTCGCTTTGCTAAAGGAATCCGTCCGCCAAATCCAACTCTATCGCGATGTCCTTTCCATCTCAAAGGGTCCGACGAAGGGCTTGTGGAAACATGTTGTCGGGCCCGCGGGGGAGAAGAGTATGGCGGATGAGGGGCCGTGGAGTACGGGTAATGGATGGGCGGCGCATGGGATGGCGAGGGTAAGGGCCACGTTGTCGCAGTGGCGGCCTAGTAATGCGACGATGCGCCCGAGATCGGGCAGTTGGATCGCTGGATTGGGGAGATTTTGGATGCGGCGATTGCGACGGATGATGGTGGTGACGAGAGTGGGTTGTTGAGGAATTATCTGGGCCAGGGTAGTTGGTGAGTCCCGCCGAATTCCTAGCTGTCTTTATAGGTGGCAAGCAACATACTGATTACGATCTGATCTAGGTTCGGGGAAACCTCCGGCACAGCCCTGCTAACAGCCACAACTTACCGCATGGCCGTCCTCAACCCCTCCGTCTTCGCTCAGCCGAAATATCTCGACTGGGCGCACGCGAAACGCGCCACCATCGCCGCGAGGGTCGACGATGATGGGTTTGCGCCGCCAGCGGTGAATCCCTTGAAGCATAGTTCGAGGGATTCTGTGAGGGAGAGTCCGGAGGGCGCGGCGTTCTTGTTGATGATGGGGGCTGCGTGGCGGGATTGTGTGTGCAAGGGGATTTGTGATCCTGCCGATCAGGGTCAGGTTGATTTCGCAAGGCCGGCGCTGCGGGAGAGCGGTGAGAGTGGGGTGAAGGAGGGATTGTGAAGATTTGTAGATGTAGGTGTAGGTGTATGTGTAGATGCAGATGTAGACGTAGATGTAGATGTTGTGAGCGCTCATCGTTGCATACCGAGACCAGCGAATTGCTGGTGCATGTATCAGAGTGTCACCACAGGTGTACGTCTCCACGCACACGAGACACGACATACACGTCCGCTCACAAGCACTACTAGCGTCTACTCAACCGCAACGGTATCCCAGCTCCCTCGCCTCCATCCGCAAGATCATAAATGTCATTCATCTGCAAAGTCAGAATAGAAATACTATCCCTCATCCCCCTATCCAACCTCTCAAATACCGCAGCATTGTCCTTCTCATCCTTCAACGGCACGGCCTCGAGTCGATGCCGCGGAGAAGCGTCATGAGGACCGCTGTGAATTCCACTTGTGCCATTTTCTGGCCTGTACATATTCGTGGGCCTAGTGAGGGAAGCATTGTTAGCATGCATGTCTGCACGTATATATGTAGGAGGCAGGGCTGGGAATTAGACAGGTGGGCGGATGTGATCGGACATGATGTGATGAAAAGCACCAGCCGAATATGGCAAAAAGGAGCCCTTTGGAGGTTGGAAGAAAGTCTGCTGGCTTCCGCTCAACCATCTTGTTGGTCGGAAGTCTAATTCATCCGATCCAGATCCCTTTTCGCCGGCTGAGAGGTTGATGTTGCGGTAGACGTCGGGATCGAGATGTAGGCTACGCAATTGATGTATGTCGTTACGTTAGCAGGCAACCACTTCTCACCCTGGGAAGTCTTTAGTGTCTGCGGTGTTCGAGATTGTTTCGATGATATGGATTTGTGCCGTGTAGAGACGCAAGACTTCGAACATGAAGGCCAGCATACGTGTTGCTTGGGGGAAGACGGAGGTGTAGTCTACTTCTTCGCTTGTCAGATTCGGCGGTAGCAGACGGTCGATTTCTTCTTGTAGCCATTTCTGCCACTACGGGTAGCGAGCCAGTAACACAAGGGCATGGGAGAGCGTATTAGCAGTCGTGTCGAAGCCGGCGACGGTAAAGATGAAGATATTTCCCACAGTCTCTTCTTCTGTCAGAGCTTCGCCTTTCCCACTATCCGCCGATGCTTGTAAGAGCTGCGAGATGATACTCCGACTGATCTGCCCATCCTTAGCCGTTCGAGATCGTTGTCGTCCTTCTTGCAGTAGTGCTTTCGTATGGACAGGAAACTCATCCACCGCATGACCCAGCGAGCGGATGAACTCGAATCCTGGCATGAAACTGGGATAACCGAAAAGGAACCATCGGGGTAAGGCCATTGGTCCTGCGATAGCTTTGACAAGGACTTTGATCGCCTCTACATATGTCAGCTTGAACCCAGCTTGCGGCTTCTCGGGTTCGGTGTCGTTGAAAGGGACACTTCTCCTCATTGTGGCGCCGCTCAAGACGTTCATGGTGATCTTCTTCATCATGTCAAAGAGCTTCGTGGTTTCGGTACCGTGATCACTCACGCTGCAGACTTCTCGTAGTAACCCATCAGTCTGCTGTATACTCTCAGCGAAAACAGCCTTGGACACCCTCTCATTGATCACACCAGCCACGATTTTACGCTGCTTGGCCCATTTCTCGCCATTCGATGTCAAAAGACTATGACCAAACCTCGCAAGCAACATGTCCACCAAGCCGACCTGCTCGAAGGATCCCGGGCGCCTCAAAATCTCAGTCGTACTCTCAGGATCTGCAGTCCAGAATTCGAGTCGTCCACAGCCGACGTGCATGTAGGATTTTCTGACCGGCGAATTACTGCTGAAAAGGACGAAGACGCTCATGGAACTCCCAGCCATAGATTGCCAGGGTCAAGCGGTCGAAGCTCTGGGTTGGAAGCCATTGTTTGAGCTTCGGGCGCAGAGGGACGGAGAGTATCATCCATACTATATGGTTTTGATCCCAGGGGATGATGATGCTGGGGAAGCCTGTTTTGCGGGCGAGGAATAAGTTGCGGAGGAGGGCGTAGATGAAGGTTGAGAAGTAGGCTCCTGTCAGCAGGCCAGCGAGGAGGATGAGCGAAGGCATATTCAAGCCTGGCCGAGGTGCTGATTCCGTGATGATGATGGACTTGGCTCCTGTACTTATTTTGTGATCGTTTATTTACATCCTCATTCGAGCTCGTGGTGGTTAGATGAGATAAGATGACTTCTCCCCGGACCAACAAGCGAGCTGAAGGAAGAGGCGCTTGTGGGGAGGCTATCGGCTGACACCAGATTGCACTGCTCGTCAAAGACGAATGCTACCCTTTGTAACAAAATAGCACACCACGTTCGGCTTGCAATTTGCACAATTTGCAGAGTGATGCCAAGCGGGTGTCCATTTCACCTCGTTCCCGAAGACTATTTACCTCATAATCCAGGCTGATGCAACGCCAGCCAAATACAACAAAACAAGGGCGATGTAATTATCTTGACAAGCGTTCACGACGAACTCTATCAGAACGTGTATCGCAATGAGCCATTGCTACGAAATATCGGACGACGACGACGACGAATCGACATCGATCTTGATCGACGTCAAAGGTCAACCACAGAAGAGTTCCAGTACGAATGCCGTCCTTTGGTAACAGGTTGGAGTGTTCTCTATATGGTTGTACGAAGGTACCCCCAATGTTGAGGTGTAAGACGAGGAGAAACAGCCTGACGACCCAAAAATTGCAAAAATGTAGTGAGAGGTAGTACCACTATCACTCCCTACTCGTTAACCTGGGGCCCGTCCGCGATTCGAACGCGGGGCTGGGTAGTGTGAGCGAGTGGTCGAAGATCGGAAGATTTGGAGATACGTACCCTCTTGCATTATTGAGCAAAGCTCGTCCCAAAGCAAGAATCATACCACTAGACCAACGGGCCGTTTCTGGAAGGAGAAGGCAAGGCTAATCATGGAGACTAATGGTGGAAATATTGATTATGACCTCTTACCAAGGTCGCCGACGTGATGCCGAAGTTACAGGGCCCCCGAACAGCTGATCTGTCAATGAGTCAATCCTACAGCTCCTGGTAGAGTCCATCCCGGAGCCTTACACGTCCATCAGCGACTCGATCCAGTCCCTGTTGACAGTTATATTGTTCAGAACAGTGCATGAAGTATCCCATCCAGACGATCGATGAATGCTTATGTAGCTTCTTCCTCCACCTCGTAATCGACCAGACGGTTATTTACGTAGACCCAATCAGACACCAGGAGACGGAGCTACGGCACGAGCCGTGATCAAGCTTCTTTCGTCCCTGTTCGAGCTTAACAGAAGTCTACATCTGCACATGTGTTCACAGCAATGCAGCGAACGCCTTGGATGACTCCGATACAAGCTTGTGTATACCAATATCATGACAATGCAGCCCTTTATGCCTTGCTAGTCACTGTTCAAGAGACGAGATCGCCAACATGTTGACAGCCGGCTATGCGGCACGACATGGAGAGACATGGCTGTTATGTCCGAGCTAATTATTGATCGTCACCGCGTCGATTACTACTGAAGCTAGTGGACTGTGAGCCGCATCTCTATCTCCGGACATCAACACGGAGACATCTAATTGTTCGTTCATTACGTCTTGGCTTTGCTTACCTTCCGTCGCCAAGCGATCAACATGGTTTTCGAGACAAGCACCGACGAAAATGCCCAACCTCGAGTAGATAGCGAACCTGAGAAAGACTTATCTGGTAGCAAGACTTCGTCCGTAGACGACAGCAGGCTCGACGACAACAACGGTACGAACGATTGTCTGGACGAAGCCGTCGACACACAGCATACCAATACGCTAGACATCGAGAAAATTGCTACCCAAGATTTGCCACCATCTCTGCAACCGCCAGACGTCGACCCGAATCTCGTGGTCTGGGATGGACCTGATGATCCGGGCAACCCACTCAACTGGTCAGCGAAGCGACGAATAGCCATTACTGCTTCGATGGGTGCCATGACTTTCGTCGTCACATTTTCCAGCTCCATCTTCGCTTCGACGTTAGGTCAAGTGGCCGAGGAGTTTCAGATAGGTGAAGTGGTGGCGACCTTAGGAGTGGCTTTGTTTTTGCTAGTCAGTATCATCACAAATTGGGAGCTGACTACTCGGCTGATCATACACAGGGCTTCGTGCTTGGCCCCATTGCCTTCGGTCCTGCATCAGAAGTGTTTGGCAGGAAAATTCCTTTGATAGCTGGTTATGCCTGCTTTGCCATCTTCCAAATCCCCGTAGCGGTCGCACGGAACGTCGAGACGATCATGCTCGGTCGATTCTTGGGCGGCTTTGCAGCTTCAGCACCTTTAGCCGTAGTCGGTGGTGCAATGGCTGATATTTGGCCTCCACTTACTCGTGCCTACGCCATATCCGTCTTCGCCGCCAATGCTTTCACTGGTCCCGTCGCTGGTCCAATCGTTGGCGGCTTCGTGACAGAGTCCTATCTTGGCTGGCGATGGACTCAGTGGATCACTCTTATTCTAGCATCTTTCTTCGGTATCATCGGTCTTTTCGTCATCCCAGAGACATCTGCAGCTCGCATCCTGCAACTTCGCGCGAAGGAACTGCGGTACCAGACTCAGAATTGGGCTTTACACAGCAAAGCCGATGAGAATCGGATTACTGCTCGTACGATCATGACAGTCTATCTGATTCGGCCGTTCGTGATGTTGGTACAGGAGCCCATTTTGGCACTGATTACCGCATACATGAGCTACCTCTACGGCGTACTCTATCTACTCTTCGAGGCTGTAAGTCTACGACACATCCGCACCAGGCTTCTTTCTAATAATCAGTAGTATCCAATCGAATTCCACGAGAAGAGAGGATGGAGTCTCGGCGTCAGCGCACTCCCATTCTGCGCATTTATGGTGGGTATTGCTGGTGGCGCTGCCATGATGGTCTACTCCACCGCCACGAACTTTAAGAAAGCATACTACAAGCATGGCAAGCCTATACCGGAAGAAAGGTTGCCACCCATGATCATTTGCGCCATAATACTACCCATAGCACTATTCTGGTTCGCCTGGTCTAGCATGACATACGTAAGCTGGGTGCCGAGTGTCATTGCAACTGCCTTCCTTGGGATGTCCTTGCTGGTCACCTTCTGGCAGGGCATCAATTATATCATTGTAAGCCTGTGAATGGATTTAAGGTATATATCGATGTGGCAGCTGACCATCGCTTGCTCTAGGACGTCTACACGATATACTCGAATAGCGCTATCGCTGTCAACACTTTTATACGATCTATTGCCGGCGCTGTATTCCCACTTTTCGCTGCGCAAATGTGAGTGCAACAAAAATCATGGATGACATGTAGAGCGAAGCTGATCTCGGATTGTAGGTATCGTGGCTTGGGTGTACCATGGGCCACAACACTGCTGGCTATCATTACGGTTCTCTTCATTCCGGCTCCAATATTGTTCTACAAGTATGGCGCGCAGATACGAGCACGGTCCAGATTTGCGCCTACTGGGTGACAGCGTTCGCTGCGAGGTCCATTCGAAGGAGATCATTTAGATACTAGAGCCATAGATGAATGTATTCATTCTCGATACTGCGCTACGCATGAGATACACTCTTTACCACCGGAGAGGGGTTTTGTGCTCGGGCATTTCAGCTCCAATTAGGCTACTTCTTCACGATCTCCACTGCTTCTGTGAGCATCTCATCTCATGGAGTCATGGCCAAACATGTACATCTTTCTAAATGACAGTTGCAGGCCAATACCAGCTTCACTCTGATTTTGAGGAGCTAAGCAGGGGCCATATCACTAGTCCATATCGGGAAGCTCCAAATCGTGAAGCACGTGAAAGCCATGCATCAGACATGGAAACCCGCCAGCTTCAACAGAATGGTAAGCACTGTATGTCATCGATTGGAAGCACGAGACCAGCGCTTGTCCTTACACATGTCCATTATCGTCGTGAAGCAGTTGCAATGAAGTAAACCAACAACGAAGCGAGTTCTCGGACTTCCATCATCAGCCGAGATCGTCACTCCTGTCACATGAAAGCGCCATTTCGGGTCTGTGCGTACGTCTCTGCCACCGACAACGACATACACGGCACACTTCACTCTGCTCACTCGTTGTCACATCTCTATACCACAAGCTCAACGGCATTGATGTGTCTGTGGCATTCGTTCAACGATCCCCGACCCTACCATATCGATAACTCCTAGTCCTGATCTTACCACACTATGGAAGTGACGCGAGCAACACCTCCGCCATACTCGGCTTTAAGCCCCAACGACTACGGTCGACCACCTCTTCCGCCTGATGAGATGGTCGAAGCAAGACGCGCACAAGCAGACATCACATTGCCTGACCTCAAGACTGTCTTGTCGCCAGAATTCCAGCATTCGTCACCAGAACCAGACAATGCTGGGCAATATGGTTCCCCAAGTCACTCGGTTCGCAGTCTACCTCGTATTGAGCCAGGGCGTCATGCCAACGACAGCACTTCATCGATGGATGCGATTGTGGCTAGCCCAGCAGAGGGCACATATCCGACATTACATGAGCATATGCGGTATCAAGATCCCTCCAATACTCTGACTGGCGAACAGCTTAAAATGCGTGAGGCTGCTGAGGCATTGGCTGGACTCGGAAATTCGAGTACGTCGTCTGGCTGTGGGAAAGGCGACCGATACTAATCATCGACAGACTTTGCGAAATCGCCGACCTCTTCACACATGCAAGCACATGCAACCTCGGCCAACGACCAACAACAAGCAGAACCTTTACTGCATCTTCTGACACAAGCACATCCGTTCATTGGCGGTGCTGCTGGTGGTGCATTGAAAGCATACGCAATAACAAAATCATACACACCAGGATTTGTACAAGCAGGCGCAAACATGGTCGAACGCAATATCGCTACACCAATGATTAGCACTGTTGGTTCTGTAGGCAGGTATACTGGCGTTGAGCAGGCTGCTAGGTGGTATCTTACGCCGAACGGTACGCGACAAGAGATATCTACTGAGGACGAAGAAGCAGGCCGTGGCAAGAGGAGGCGTATCATGAGTGATGATATGGACGTGGAAGCAGGCCTTGCTGGATCGCAGGAAGGCGCAAGGCGTGAGTCACAGGACTCGAGATTGGAATTTCTTCCCGCGTATCGAGCCAGCAAACCACCGTCATATCGCGAAGAGGCCAGCCCAGCAACAACGGATCGCGCAGTGATGCGCCAACGACCAATGCATAATCGCACTTGGTCGCAGCAAGTGATTGTGTCTGCAGGAGGACTTGGAGTTGCACTCAGTGATCGATCTCGACAGACTCTCGCGTTTTGTTTGAACTTCCTCGGACGCAACGCCGAACATATCGCCACCGTCACCAACGCACTCAAACTAGTACTCGAGCAGTATGATCAAGCTCGCGATCAGTTCCACCAGAACCGTGACTCATCGTTGGAAAAGGGCGAGCGACCGCGTACTCCCGATCATGACGATGCTTCACGCAGACTTGCCGAACTCATGAAGAAGCATTGCGACGACATCAGCCAGACGCTAAAGCAGGTCGTGACTTCTGTCTCTGAAACAGCGGGTGGCGCACTGCCAACAAATGCTCGAGCATTCGTACGTGGCCAGCTTCTATCTCTGCCACGTCGCTGGCAACGAGTTGCGAGTGATCAAACGGGTGAGAGCGAGACCAGCCGCAACGCACATCGCATGATTGCTTTTGCAACCGAGGGCCTAGATATGATGGCTCATGTTGGACACGCATGTAAAGCCACCCTCGACTCCGCGGAGGCATGGCTCAAAGCAGTTGGAAGGAGACCACAGGAGCAACAGCCTGCTGAACATCACGATTACAGGGATGAGAAGATGGGTAATGGTGGCGCTGAGCATGCGCAGTAATGGGGGGACAGGACATGAGAAGGCTGGAGCTGACGATGACGAGGCACACGAGAAATATTGGAAGACTTGTGGTCGACAGATGCGTTAAGTCACCGCAGGCTTGTGGCGATGACGGTGAGCTGGAATGAGATAGCTCACGCATCTGCATCTGAATCGTCTGACATTTAGGGTTCCATCTCTTCCACCTGCCATATTGGGCTGCGGAACTCGCTATTGGCAGAAGCTTGGTTTGATGTAAAAGATGGGTCCGGTATGAGTCTGAGCGAGGAGTTTCGGCGTTCCACAAGGCATTCAAAGATACCGTATAGCTCTGTACAACCTGTCCATACCACTGACCCGTTGGAGAGATTATGGTGCATTTGAGCCCATCAAGATCACAAATCAACTCCGAACATGGCACGACATGACATGAAGCGGGGGTGGGTCTGGCGCGATCGAATTCCGCATCCTTTGCCGCGGGCACGATACCACCTCACCATCCCTATGCTATACGCCAAGTTGCCGAGATGACTGCGACTCCGGGTAATGGTACTCGAGTCGTGCGGGTTCGTACCTCATCACTGCAGTAGTGGATCTTCTGCGTACGTTAGCCGCAATGCATCATCTTATACCGGACACCGTCATGTGCGTGAGCGATTGTGAGTCGATTCATTCCTCCGATCTGTTTCCTTCGTTTCGCTATTCCGTTTGTTCTCGTTGGTCGATTTGAGCATGATAACCACATAGTACGTTGGAGTTGGTCGAGTGTGAAACATACCTACCGCATTGGACATAATTTGTAAGCTTGCTGCAAAGAGATGGACAAGGCAGAAGAGAAGCTGGAAGAGGCGTTGCAGCTCAACCATCCTGGACATCACCATGGTGGACTGATGACTGCTGGAGACGATGCGGAAGACCCGAGGCAAAGTAACATCGGCATCAGCCGCGACTCGGATTACACACTCGTTGGCACAGACTGTGAGAAGGTGGCGCTGTCGAAAGAAGCGGTAGAGAGACGAACGCCGTCTGTGAGAAGTTCTCTGGATCGCGACAGACTGGGCGTCAACGTATCAGGCGCACAGAAGCACTTTGCAGAACTCCAACGCGAGCTCAGTCATACTTCTCGACTGGAGAGACAACAAAGTCGTAGGAGTGAGAAGCGTCAGACGAATGATGTCGAAAAGGCTGGATCATCTGGAGCGAGCGAAGATGACGAGCCCTTTAACCTCGAAGAGACGCTGCGAGGGAATAAGCAGATGGAAGAGGATGCCGGTATCAAAGGCAAGCAAATAGGCGTGATCTGGGACAATCTGACTGTCCGAGGTATTGGCGGATCAAAAATATTCGTCCCAACGTTTCCACATGCGTTCACAGGTTTCTTCTTTGCGCCGTTCAACCTGATAGCAGACGTGTTGAAGGTCGGCAAGAAGGGCAAGCAAGTCGACATTCTGAAGGGGTTCAAAGGTCTTGCAAGACCTGGCGAGATGGTGTTAGTGCTTGGGAAGCCTGGCTCTGGCTGTACCACCTTTCTGAAAGTGATCGCGAATCAGCGTTTTGGTTATACCGCTGTCAACGGCGAGGTTTCCTATGGCCCGTTCACCAGCAACGAGTTCGAGAAGCGCTATCGTGGCGAGGCGGTCTACTGCCAAGAAGATGACATCCATCATCCGACACTAACTGTCGGCCAGACCCTAGGCTTTGCACTCGAAACGAAAGTACCTGGCAAGCGACCTGGGGGTATCAGCGTAGCTGAATTCAGGGACAAAGTGGTCGATATGTTGCTGCGCATGTTCAACATCGAGCATACGAAGGATACAATCGTTGGCAACCCCTACGTTCGAGGTATCTCAGGAGGGGAGCGCAAGCGTGTCTCCATTGCCGAGATGATGATTGCAGGTGCTGCAGTATGTTCGCACGACAACAGCACGAGAGGTCTGGACGCATCAACTGCAGTAGACTATGCGAAGTCTTTACGGATCATCACCAACATCTACCGCACAACGACATTCGTATCGCTCTATCAGGCCTCAGAGAACATTTACAAGCAATTCGATAAGGTCATGGTTATCGATGATGGACGACAAGTCTTCTTCGGGCCCGCGCAAGAAGCGAGAGCATACTTCGAAAGTCTCGGCTTTTTACCCAAGCCCAGACAGACCACGCCAGACTACCTAACAGGTTGTACCGACCGTTTCGAGCGAGAATATCAGGACGGTCGCAACGAGACGAATGCGCCATCTTCGCCCGACGGCCTCGCAGAAGCTTTCGAGAAGTCTAGCTACGCTGCGAAGCTCGAAGACGAGATGACATCCTACCGAGCAGAGGTGCGGTCCGAACAAGAAATCTTTGACGATTTCCGCACGGCGGTGATTCAGGGCAAGCGTCATGCTGGCAAGAAATCCGTCTACTCCATCCCGTTCTACTTGCAGATCTGGGCCTTGATGAAACGTCAATTCATCCTCAAATGGCAGGATCGCTTCTCACTGGTTGTATCGTATGCCACGTCCATCATCATCGCCATCGTCACGGGCACCGTCTGGCTCCAGCAACCCCAGACTTCGGCTGGTGCCTTTACACGAGGTGGTATCTTGTTCATCTCACTGCTCTTCAACTGCTTTCAAGCTTTTGCAGAATTGGCCTCGACCATGGTAGGACGACCGATGCTTAACAAGCATCGAGCGTACACTTTCAATCGGCCGTCGGCGTTGTGGATCGCACAGATTTTGGTCGATTTGGCTTTCTCATCTGTACAGATTTTGATCTTCTCAATCATTGTGTACTTCATGTGCGGACTCGTGCTGGATGCTGGAGCATTCTTCACCTTTGTGCTGGTCATCATCACTGCATATCTAGCAATCACTTTGTTCTTCCGCACGATCGGGTGCATGTGTCCGGACTTTGACTCGGCTATCAAGTTCGCAGCTGTCATCATCACGCTTTTCGTCTTGACCTCTGGCTACTTGATCCAGTACGACTCTGAGCAAGTCTGGCTACGCTGGATCTTCTACATCAATGCTCTGGGTTTGGGCTTTGCCGCTATGATGATCAACGAGTTCAGCAGGATTGACATGTCTTGCGTTGGTAGCTCGCTGATACCCAACGGACCCAGCTACGGTGATATCAACCACCAGGTCTGCACCCTGCAGGGCAGTCAAGCTGGCAATGCGATCGTGTCTGGCTCCAACTATGTAGAAACGAGTTTCTCATACAATCCTGGTCAGCTCTGGCGGAACTGGGGTATCATACTCGGTCTGGTTGTAGCTTTCCTAGTCACCAACGTTGCGCTAGGAGAGTACATCAAATGGGGCGCTGGCGGTAAGACAATTACGTTCTACGCGAAGGAGAACAGCGAGAGGAAGAAGCTCAACGAGGCCTTACAAGCCAAGAAGGCAAAGCGAAGCCGGCACGACAAGGAAGAATCGAGCTCAGATCTCAACATTGCTTCGAAAGCTGTGTTGACCTGGGAGGATCTGTGCTATGATGTGCCTGTACAGTCTGGGCAGCTACGATTGTTGAACAATATCTATGGCTACGTGAAGCCCGGTGAGCTGACTGCATTGATGGGCGCTTCGGGTGCTGGAAAGACTACTTTACTAGACGTGTTGGCATCACGCAAGAACATAGGCGTCATCAGTGGCGACAGACTCATTGACGGCTTGGCCCCAGGTACTGGCTTCCAGCGAGGTACGAGCTATGCTGAACAGCTCGATGTCCATGAGTCTCAGACCACTGTACGTGAAGCTCTGCGTTTCTCAGCAGACCTTCGACAGCCGTACGAGACACCACAAGCAGAAAAGTACGCTTATGTGGAGGAGATTATAGCATTATTAGAGATGGAGGATATTGCCGATGCCATTATCGGAGACCAAGAAGCCGGCCTAGCAGTCGAACAGAGGAAACGAGTCACGATCGGAGTTGAATTAGCTGCGAAGCCAGAACTCCTACTCTTCCTTGACGAGCCCACGAGTGGTTTGGACAGCCAAAGCGCTTTCAACATTGTTCGCTTCCTTCGCAAGTTGGCCGCCGCTGGGCAAGCTATCCTCTGCACCATCCATCAACCTAACGCCTCGCTCTTCGAGAACTTCGATCGCCTGCTTCTCCTACAGCGGGGCGGCGAGTGCGTCTACTTCGGCGACATCGGCAAAGACGCGCACGTTCTCCTCTCATACTTCCGTCAACACGGTGCCGACTGTCCCTCCGATGCCAATCCAGCAGAGTGGATGCTCGACGCCATCGGTGCAGGCCAAGCCGCACGCATAGGCGACAGAGACTGGGGTGAGATCTGGCGCGAGTCAGACGAGCTCGAAGACACGAAACGAATCATCCTCCGTATAAAAGCGGATCGTCTCGCTGAAGTAGGCTCACTACCTCAAGTTGAGCAGAAGGAATACGCCACACCCCTCTGGCACCAGATCAAGCTCGTGCAGAAGAGAGCTCACAAATCCTTCTGGCGAAGTCCCAACTATGGCTTCACTCGCCTCTTCAACCACGTCGCCATTGCCTTACTTACCGGCCTAATGTTTCTCAACCTAGACAACTCTCGCAACGCCCTGCAATACCGCGTCTTCGTCATCTTCCAAGTCACCGTCTTACCGGCCTTGATCCTGGCGCAGGTCCAGCCGAAATATGACCTCAGTCGCCTGATTTTCTACCGCGAGGCGGCAAGCAAGACGTACAAGCAACTACCGTTTGCGTTGTCCATGGTTTTGGCCGAAATGCCGTACTCGTTGCTTTGCGCTGTGGGTTTCTTCATTACGATCTATTATCCTTCGGGATTCAACCTTGCTTGTAAGTCTCCATCCCCGCATCCGACAAAACTGCTCACGAATCTCCCGCTCACCATGATCTTCACACTACACAGCCAGCAGAGCAGGCTACTTCTTCCTCATCGTCTTAGTCACCGAACTCTTCTCCGTCACTCTCGCCCAAACCATGTCGGCCCTGACACCAAGCACCTTCATCGCTGTCCTCCTCAACCCCTTCGTCATCATCGTCTTCGCCCTTTTCTGCGGCGTCACGAACCCCTACCCCCAAATCCCCGAAGGCTACCGCATCTGGCTCTACCAACTCGACCCCTTCACTCGTCTGATCTCGGGTCTCGTCGTGACAGAGTTACATGGACTGTCGGTAGTTTGCAAGGAGAAGGAGCTCAACTTTTTCACTTCGCCACCTGGACAGACGTGTGGGGAGTACATGCGGGCTTTCTTTGAGGCGGGCGGGCCGGGGTATATTGTTGATAATATGACTTCGAGCTGTGGGTATTGTGCTTACAGTGTTGGAGATCAGTTTTATGAGCCGCTGAATATCAGCTATGATAAGAGGTGGAGGGACTTTGGCATTTTGACGGCATTCATTGGGAGCAATCTGTTTCTCTTGTTTTTGGGAAGTCGATACCTGAACTTCAACAAGCGGTAGTGGATACCGATCCGCTACAGTGACATATCAGCAAGGCGTCTCTTGGAGTCCTAGTAGGTCATAGACTTAGATCTCTCCACGAATCACAGATTCAGGAGCGTACCTGTTATCTTTTACATTTTAGTCAATCTGATCATTATCCTACACGTTTGCCTTCGTCGATGACCATGTATTCGTCACCAACCATCATCTTCATCTCTGACACGTCCCGTTAGCATTACAGAACACTAACATATATACCTTGACATATCGACTTGCCATCTTCAACCATGAAGTTGTCGTGGTCGGGCGTCAGCGCTTTCGAGGCTGGGTCGTACATCTGTCCCATACTACCTGGTTAGACCGACATCTCCAAAACCTCGTTGGTTGGTAAATCGGATCTGAACGATTCGTTCCGCTTCTCGCCAGGATCAAAGTCTATCTGTCGTCGGGAGATCGTACTCACTATAAGATCAATCAGCCATCGAGTGCCTCATCTCGTATCACGAAAGATGCATACCAAATCGTGCAAAGTCCTTGTAATCCTTAAACACAAATGTACAAATGGCATCATAATCCAACATGTTCGCCTTCCCATGCAACATATCCGCCAAAATCGTCCGATCCCGTTGTAGGCAGTACGTCTAACGCTTGATATCTCATTAGTCCATACACTCGCCTCAAGGATCATCAAGCGGATTCATACCAAGCTGTAGGTAATCACGTTATGCTTTTCCAGCACGGGCGCCGCCATCTGGGCATGCTTGTGATTGTAGTGCTCGATGAAATCGGCATCGCTCATGCCCGGTTTCTTCTTCACAAGGATGGTGGCTTTGGTTACTTTGCGGAAGCCTGTTGTGTTTGGGTATCCGGCTTCGAGGACCATGATGGATGGGGAGCACACAGGTCACTGTCGCTGGAAAGCTGGAGGAAGCTGGGAGGGATTGGTATCGGAAACGGTTGGGTAAGATGTTGGTGTGGGGCTTAGTCTCGACGTTCGGATGAGTTAGGCCAATCGTCTCAGCCCAGACGATGGAGATGAATGCTTTATATAGTGGCCCGTGCTTTTGCCTCACCACGAATGGGTCTGTTCCTCGACTTGTCGTCTGAGAATAGCTGGGTAGAGCAGGGCCAAGGTAGGCTGTGAGGATGGAGAGAATGTGGGAGAAGAGGATAGTACCCCCTCGAAAGTGACAGACGAACAATTCAAGGTATGGCCACGCTGACTAGACTTGTGTCTGGTTGATTGCTGTACAATGCCTTCTTACACTACATCATCTGCATTTTCACCCTGCCATCCCATCCCTTGCAAAGTCTTGCCCTACCATCCACTACGATGGTACTCGAACCCTGCTTGCTCAGTCCCGAGCTCGTCTGGTACAGCGTGTATCTCTGCGAGACCTTGGCGGGGGACACGCTTCATAGCTGGTCTCAAGTTGTCGTCGTACCCAGTGCAGTCTTCGGGAAACATCCCATCTGATATCGCTGACTCCCGTCTCTTGTCGGGACGACACGGAGTAGCCATGGCTAGATGGAGGACAATCATTCAATCACACATTCACACATCGATGTCCTCAATCCCGAAGAATACTCCCCCAACACATCAACGCCTGCCCACCATACGTGCCCTCCTTTTCCAAGGCACCATCTCCTCGAGCCTCAAGTGCTTGTGCGAGAACCGTAAGGCCGGCTTCGTAGTCGTCCCTTATGCTGCGTGCTTTCTCCGCCCGAGGAAGTGCTGAGCCGAGTATTCTATCGGCGAGGAGTAGCCCGTGGTAGATCGGTACGCCGTGCAGCATTTCGAGTTGGGGACCGAGGGATAAGGGGGTGATTGAGGGAGGCTGTAAATCGAGTTAGTAAGGTATGATACTGCTAGAGGGATGGCAGGAGTAGAATTACCTGTACCTCATCACCCATACAACTAAGCAAACGCTCCGTATACATCCTCACCGTCCCATCCACATCCTGGCCCCCTTTATGCTTAAAAGCATCCACAGCAGCCAACTCCAAAAACAACCCCAGCACCTGCGGCCTCCTCCTCGCATCCTTCGTCCCAGCACCCACCTTCCCACTACCATGCTCACTCCTCTCAAGCAGACTCGCAACCTCCACCGCCCACTTCCTAGCCTTAGTGACAGCCTCCGCATTCCACTCCGCTCGAGCCGCATGCTCTCTTATCCCGATCAAAACTTCCCTCATCACTTCCTCGCTCTTCAAACTCAAGCCCGTACTCTCGACCTGCTGAAGACAAACCAAAATCGTGCCCATCCTCCCCCTCAACCCGGCTTTCCTCACCACCTTCCCCAGCGTATGTTCCGACATCTGCGCCTTACAATCCCGCATCCCCATCAATAACGGAGCGAGATTCTTCCAAGCTTCTCCACTGCCACTGGCACACATCATCTCCACCGCTTCATTGAACAATTTACCTCTGTTAGGAATCTCCTTTGCCCTGTTGATCCATTGGAGCGGCACTTCCTCGTCGCCTATTTGGGTTGAGCGGGGATTATCGAGCAGGAGTTGGCGGTTCTTGGTTCCGAAGATTAAGCGGCGTTCAGAGGGGCGGAGGGCGGCGGGGATGAGGTGGTGGGTGCGGAAGACGGAGAGGAGGGTCGTTAGGTCTGGAGTGGAGGCGGTGGGGTGGAAGGTGGGGATGCCATCTACATATCACGTTAGTAATGCTTTGTAGGCATTGGTGGGAGGACTTGCGTTGTCGTCTTCGTTGGGTGGTGGTGGAGAAGGCGCGAGAGATGGGTAGGGGATCAGCAGCTTGAGCGGCGCGGTGGATACGGAGAGCACAGCGCGCGCAGATGGACATGGTGGCGGTGGTGGGCGGTAGTGGGTGGTACTACAGTTATAGTAAGCAGACAGACTCCCATGTCAAGCTCATGTCTTGGCATTGCCGAAGTTGCCCGCGAAGAGGAGCATCTCAAGTTATGAACATGGTATTGAAGCGCTTCACAAGACACGATATCATCATGTCTCTATCATCCTCGTCGACCCGCCCACTGGCCTGTATAAAGCAAGCAATTGGGCAATGTCGAGCCGGAAAGCAACAACACCGCCGCTATGCCGCCGCAGCAGCAGCACCAGACTCCGCCTATCCGTCCCTTCAGACAAAGTACCCACCACCACCTCCCGGCTTCCGCACCTCGCAGACCACTAACCAGAATCGTACGTCACCTCCTCTTCCCTCCCTTCATATCATACTAACACCCCCTCCCAGGCTTCGAAACCGGGCTCAGACGCATCCCCACCGTCCCCCCACCCCGCAGCACCACCAAACTCTGCCCGGACCCTATCCAAGCCCTAACAACCACCCAGCTCCTCACCCTCGACCCCACCGGCGCCCGTACCCGCCTCTTTTCCCCTTTCAACCCCGAACGCGTCCAAGTAGGCGATATCCTGCTTTTCCGCCTCAAAACGGGCGATCCCGTGAGCGGCATCGTGCTGAACGTCCGACAACGCCATCAACCGATCGATACAGCTGTGTTGATTAGGAACAATTTGACGAGGGTGGGGGTGGAAATGTGGTTTAAAGTGTACTCGCCAAGCGTGGAGGGGATAGAAGTGGTGAAGCGGGCGGAGAAGAGGGCTAGGAGGGCGAAGTTATACTTTCTTAGGGAGAAGAGGCATGATCCTGGTTCTGTGGAGGGAGTGGTCAAGCAGTATTTGAGGGCTAGGCAGGGTGGGGTTATGAACGTGAGGGAGGGGCAGAAGGGAGGGAAGGGTGGGAAGAAGGGCAAGCGCTAGAGGACGACTGGAGCACTCGTGAGAGCGTGTGAGGACTAAATGTTGTATCTGAAGACTGAAGGTCTGGTATCTGGGTCATTCCGTGCCGATGGAATACAGGCCATTCAGCTACAAGTGGGATCCGACTTGACAGCTCATTTCCTCACATACAATGGACTACCGCTTCAAGCATTAAACCACCCTTTGCTCGTCTTCCTCCGCACCGGCCTCCCAGGCCGCTCGATACCAACACCCAGGCCGAGCGCCTGCGACAACAATATCTCCTCGGCTTCGCCTCCAGGACCTGGACTAGGCAGTCGTGCAGTGGACCGAGCAGCAACATTGCCACTGCTCGAGGGAACAGCATATGATCCAGCCGGGCTTTCTGCCGCGCTTGCAGTACCTACGACTGGTACACGATCCGGCACAGAGGCATGATTCGTTGACCAGCCACCATGAGCAATAGGAGCCTCGCCGACCTACTGTCCCCGGCCATTGCCGTTACGTCTGGCGACTACCGTCCCCATGTTCATCCGGTCGACCGCGGGATGAAGTTGGAGGTGTGTCGTTCCTGTGGCGCCACCAGTCGAGTATCGAGGCGAAAGGACTTACGGACCGGCACGGTGACATGATCGAGGGCGAGGAAAATCCGGAAAGGAAGGGCTAGAATGTGAATGAAAGTCGAATTGGGGGGATGTAGCGAAGCACGCACGATGAGGTAGTCAAGATGTTTGATCGGTACATTTTGTTTGCTGGTGTGACTGTATCCTATCCATCCAACTCAAAGCAATCACAGGTGATTCAGAGCGCGGCAGCTCAAGGATAGTCAGTATCAGGCAGCCTTCTCACCTCACGCTTCTATGGTTTGCGGACATCTGTGCTTCGAAAGGACAAAACACAACACCACATCTGCCGGCTTTCCTCGTCCGACTCCTCTCAACCACCTCCCTTTCGATCCTGCAGCCCGGCAGTTAGCCCATCACACCACTCTGCTCTCTTTCCTCTCTCTAAATCTTCTGCGACGCAGGAGCAGCGCTCCCGGAAGCCAGGGCCACCATTGGTGCCACTGACACACTAGCCACGTCATCCCCTACCCTACCCGACCCTATCCAACCTCCGCCTCTGCACCACCAGCAACCCATCCTCCGACTCCCCCGAAGGCGAGTCCGTAGACCACAGATCCCGCTCTCTAGCCCTGCGCACCGCCTCGGGATCCGGACGCCGACGAGGCCGGAAATCGGGGACTTGTTTGCGAGGTGGATGCGGACCGCGACGCTTGTAGGCATACATGTGTCTCGCAAGCCGTACACGTTGTAGGCGGTGGTCGCGCACCCGGCGGCCGCGTACCCGGCGGCAATGTTCGTGGTCTTCCCAGCGATCTACGTCTCCGCCGAAAGCAACGCAGAAGAGGAAGAGGGTCCAGAGACCTGCGAGAATGATCGAGATGGTTGCGATGGATTCCACGATGGTGGTGAAGTCTTGTGGCATGGTTTGGTGCTGAAGTTTGGTGCACGTTGATCGCTGTGATAGTAAGGGAAGGAAGAAGAATTAGGCTCTTGATTGACTTTACATATCTGCAGTACCTGTCTCAATCGTTGCTTGTTGAGAGTTTTGCCGCCCTGTCTCTCAAACATATGCTCATTCAAGGTAGTATTATGAGCCTTTGAATGTACAGTCGCACATGTATCAAGTTGTCGGTGTCCTTGGTAGGGATTGAGCTGGACGCATTGTCCCTCAGAGGGTTGGCATAAGACTGACATTCGGAACACTGTGCCGAGGAGCATGGCCAGTCGAATCTCGCCATCGGGTGTGGCGGATCTTGATCCATGCGGACAGCCAAGAGGCAGCATACTTCAGGTTCGTCAATATTGCAGAGAATGTAGTCTTGTTACTGTGCTGCATGTACATTGGGCTGAGGCCATTTGTGCTGATTGCAGAATGTCAGGTATGTTCGATAGAGTCTATACTATGCTATAGGCGCCTACAAAGCAAGTAAATTTATCAGATTAACTAGACGAGACACAGCTGAGTGTCAAGGGTAGGTAGGAGGCTCGTTTGGGCGCAAGCAACCGCAGTGGCGATAGTGCGGATCTGGTCCTCAAGCCTGGACTCAATTGCATGCCCCAGTAACGACAGTAAAGCGCCTATCGTCGCGGCATCGAAACATCTCAGCATCGACGGAAGCACCATCAGCTCACCGTGTGTCCTCGTAACACACCTGCGGTCTGTAAGCTGGGTTTTGGTGCCTCGATGTGAGGATACGACGACTCTCACTATGCAGAGGACTTTCCAGTAGAGCTTCTTGAATCTTCTGTGGTCGTGATTGGTGTAGATCTTGGGGTCGGAGGTTCCGATGAAATCTAGTGCGAGCATGCCCTGTGAGAACACGATTGAGATTACTATGCTCGAATGCGTAATTTGCGTTTCCAGGTACATGCTAAGGAAGCCACCGTTCAAAATGAACGAGCACATCATAAAGGCTGATATTGCTGAGGTCGACTTGTGCGGTCTGTAGGCCGGTACTGGCCGGTGAAACCAGAGCTGCTGGTGGGCATAGACCTTGTCGGGATTTGTGACTTGTGGAACTGTGCGTACGACTCTGGATCTACAACGGCGGCCGCGGCCGGACCTGAGTCTCTGTGATTTGGCAAGCAACTCATGCTGTGCTGCAGAAGGCATCCTAGTCTCCAAGCAAGAGCGAGGGAGAGATGTATCCGGCGTTCTACTGCTGAGACACAGACATTGGTCGTGTGAAGCGGTAGTGGATCTTGCGGAGATACTGTCGAGAACACCTTTCGCCGACGGTCTATTGCCCGCATCAGGGCTGATCATACTTCTGCACACAGTTATGATCCTCTGGTGCAGAGAAGCGGTGGTCTTGCTGCTCAGTATGTCAAGCCATTGTCGTAGTTGCTCGATATGCTGTGCATAAGTGGCTCTGCCACTCATGCCACAACTTTGGTGCATACTTTCAACGGTGTGCCCGAGCTCGGTGGTCAACATCTCGGCATAGACACAGCCTAGTGAGAAAACATCGGCCTTGGTACCACGTCGTTGCTCAAGTACAACCTCAGGGGCTGCATACCTCGGCGTCATGAGAGCGTGGCCTTCAGTCCATGACTCGACGGGAGAGTCTATGTAGTCGTGTGAGGTGCCGAAATCGGTGAGCAGCACATCTTGGCCACTCACGAGTATGTTGGCCGGCTTGATATCCTTGTGGCGGCAGGAAGCGCTATGCATGTACTCGAGGGCTGCTGCAAGACAAAGGTACCACTTTGCGATGTACCTCCGCCGGTCCGGCCATCTGCTGGGCTCGGCCATGTATTCGCGGAGCGTGCCATCTGCCACCGGTGACATCAGGATATTCCAGGACTGCATTGTATGATCGTAGTACGCCGACTTCGAGTGCGATATGTGTCGGTGATTGAGCCTCTGCATGATCAAAACCTCCTGGAGCTTTGCATTTCCTTGCCGGTTTTTTAGGCGAGACGTTGATAGCTCTTTCCGAGCAAGTACTTGCTGGCCAGGATTCACTTTCACCTCGTCCACAATGCCATAAGATCCGTGGCCAAGGTTTCTCACGTGTGAGATGGTGCCGTGGTGGTGCGCCCACGCATGGACCTCCTTCACATGCGCACTGTCACAGGCGAAATGTAGCAAACTCTGCGGACGTTCTGGACAGCGTACAGATACCATGTGGAGCGACGCGCGTTCCTGAATGCTACGCAAAACGCAACTTCGGCTCTGCGGTTCACAGAGCTCTGCGATCCACAAGTAGGCGTAGCCGATACCGTGAGCGAATGCTCTAAGTTGCTCAAGGGGAATCGGCAAGCGTTCATCCGTCAACAGCAGGTCCGTAGTAGCATTGAAAGTCGCGCTGGCCAAGGTTCTTGACTTAGGAGACTTTGCTGCCCATGTATGATCGAGAGCAAGATACCTGGCGTTGAGAGGCGGCTTCGACAATCGAGCAGTGGGGACATGGATCAGCAGCGTCGGTCTAGTTCGTTGCTGTGTTGAGCACTCCCTGCACTTCAGTGGTTCCGGAGCTGCGGACACAGCCTCAAGTGGCCACGTTTGCTTGCCGGCTGCCAGTGTCGCAGCGTGTCCACGTTGGCCATGTTGCTGTTCATTTTGGCCACCAGACCTCGTACCAAAACCCGACTCATCACTGGAAGTAGGCGACGAATCAGGTGCGTTGAGTGAGCCATTCTGTTTGAACCCGTTAGGCCCTCCTTGCCCATCAGCATCGTCGTCATCGAACCACTTATTGCGGCCATACAGCAGATTCCATGGGCCATACGATATCTGACCTCTGAAATGAGCAAGATAATGGTGTACTCGGTCCTCCCAAGAGCCAAACGTTGATGGACATGGACGTCCTAGAGTATCAACGAATTTACATTGAAGTTCGAAGCCGGCTGCGTCAGTCACTTCGGAATGATTTCGCAAAGTCGTGTAAAGCGCCTTATTGATGTGCTCGTGAGCAGCCCTGAGGTGGTCGAGGAATTTATCCTTTCGAGCGCAAATGAACGGAGTCGCACCAATGCTTCTGCAACAGACGCAATGCCAAAATTCCTGTGGCTGCCAGCCTAGCTCATGCCTCCGCCATGCATCGATTTTGTCAGTAGAATAAGAGCAGCCGGATGTGCACTGAAACTGTAGATCGGTTCGCGAATTCTGAGTCTGCGCCCGTTTGCATACTTGCCAAAACTTATTCCTAGACCATTGTCGGACTTCTGCGACCGTCTGGGATGGCTTGCTGGGATCTTGAGTAGGCGGCAGCTTCTGCTTGCCTTTCGACGAGCCAGTGGTAGCGCTCGTAGATGATGTGACTGAGGCATGCAAGTATGCTTGAAACCATGCTTGCACAACGTCGGGACCCAATTGCTCAAGGGTAGCAATGGACTGGATCTCAGCGTCGGTGGGAAAGTGGCCCTGGGTAGCCCATCTTTGACGAAAGCGCTCAAGCGTATCCACTTGACTGCTAGACAGATCGGGTTGTAATGGCTCGAGATCAGGAGGTCGTTCAGGCACGACGTGAGCACCGACGTCCAGAAAAGCACGAGAGACTTCCGGAACATCATACTGCTCGACGGAAAAGCCGGTGCCGTCGCCACATCCAGCATTGGTGTTCTGCAGACTTCCCGTCCAATCTGTGCTCGTAGAAAGGCCCGTGGCGAGACCGAGCTCGTGATATCCGGCCACATACGGTAAGTCATTGGGATAATAGGAGGACCCGCTGTTGGTTGCATCGCTAAACATCGTCGATTGCGTTGCTAGTGGCGAAGCAGTGTTTTGCGCTTGAAGCGTCTCAAGCTGCGGGTCCCTCCAATTGGCATTGAAGCCAGGGAACAGATGATTGGAGTCGGCCTGTTACGATTGATCAGCTTGGTTCTACCTGATGCACTGTAACACCACTTACACAGAGCCATGGCTCAAAGATGAAGGGATTGCAGCTGGCACAATATATTTGGCCGCGGTCGGATATCTGTGGGTTATATGGGTGCGGCTGGGATGGGCCTTCCCCTGCATCGTCTGATCCCCAGCCATTTGGCGGGCACTCTTGTGAAGCCATTCCTTGCGTCTAGCTCAGGTTAGCTGCGGATGACAAGGCTGAAGTGGCTGAACGCAAGCTCGAGTCTACTGGGAACCTGGGAGCAATCGATTTCTTTGGAGTCAGCAGAGGGGTCGATGCTCACCAAAGCTCGAAGGAAGTGAATGAGACGACGAAAGACCTATTTCAGGGGGGCATTGTACTCCCTGCAACTTTTGTATACTCACCAGAGTACTAGTGAGGCGGCCTAGGATCGAGGTAAGGCAAAGACGACAATTCACCGCCACACTGAGGAGGCCAAGCACAGGCGCGCTGGCGATTAGGTGTACATGGCGTACAGCTCGGGCGAACGACTCGCACGCTGTGACTGGTTGCAATCTCATCAAGGGCGAGCCTAGGATCAAGTCCACTTTTCTCGCTGAGGCTTGATCGGAGGCCGCCCAAGTTCGCCTTGATCGGAAAGTTGCCTTCGCGGCCTTCAGAGATTTCAAGGCATCGAGGCAGCAGTGTCGTCAGCATGACACCCATTATCCTGTTGCCTGTCGGGTATGGCGCAGACAACACATCATCGGTACGGTCTTGGCTGGCAAGAAGAGCTGTATCATGAGGCAGCGTCGATGATGGAGGAAGAGGTCGCGCAACGTCGCGAACGCAACGCGTGGTCGACAAGCGTGACATTGGAGTGGGGTCAACATCTCCTCATTGGTACGGCAATATCCGCCGCTACTTCTTAAACACTTCTTTCCTGGAGCTGAGACAATAATGACATGATCAGCATAGTGGTCTAGCTCGACGTCAAGCTATCGAACAGCAACCACGACTTCTACCATCACTATAACCACAGCTCCTCAAGCCGTTGCTTTCACCCATCTCTCGGTCAGATATTGGATCTCTCAGGCTACTGTAGCGGCCAGTGGGATTTGGTGACGGATTTGCGATGATGATACCATGACACGGGGGGTCGACAATATTCATTCACTTTTACAGAGTACTTATCTCGAGCTTTCGCCAGCTACTAGACTCACAACCTGACCGTTTTGGGGAAGCAAAACTTTCTCGAATATCTTGATTATCCGTCTCCGTAGCCTCGTGAACTCGCTCGAGACACTTGCCTTCCTTGGCCCTATCGTAAATCTCGTGCTCCCTGATAAAAGTGTTGATACTGTCCGAGGCCGATGCGACGCCTAATCAGACAGCTCTCGGATGATGGCAAACACGGATCGGCCAAGAGATTACCGTAAGAGATCAAGTCGTTCAATATCTCGTGCTATCATATTCACGTAACGACCGTCTCGCCTCTACCCCTCCCACCTCTGCCTCTACCACCACGTCCACGTCCTCTACCGTTGCCCCTCGCAGCGTTCAAGTCTGCTGGTGGTGGCACACTGCTGTAGCTCTGCGGCCGGAAAGAAGGGTTGTTCCTGACCACTCCCTCGGTTGGATCACTATTGTCGATCACATTGTAGCCCTGGCGATTGCCACCACCACGACCACGAGGAGCGAAGCCTCTTGCATCGCCGTTCATGCCACCTCGGCCACCACCACGATGCGCACCATCTCCATTGGCCTGTTGGAAGCCAAGTCCACCTCGACCACGAGTCGCAAAGCCTTGACCATTCTGCTGTGGCGCTCCATTCGGCACACCACCGCGGGCTCTCTGCGCGTACCCACCTCTCAGCATAGGGGGCGCATCAGCCTGCCGGTACTGAGGACCGCCGGGCAGGCCATAAGCCCCACCGTTCATGTTGGCACCACCGGCATGCTGACCAGGCCTTAAGGATAGATGCTGCTGTTGTGGCATCCTAGCCTTGCCCGCCTGACTCATAGCAATTACTTGCTTTTCGCTCAAATTCAGCACAGCATTACTAGGGACTGTGCTTCCTCTGAACGGCGAGCAACGATCATTGAGTGTCGTGCCAGACATGAACTTTGAATCGAAGACCACATCGAGCAGAGTCTGTCGGCTCGTACGTGTCAAGCCGACGACCGTACCACGCATAGCGATAGGCACTCGTCCAGAGTCTAGCACGTACACCACGCGATCGCCGAGACGATACTTCTGATGCTGCGTCCTCATTTCCGCGTCCTGCGGCTTCAGCAAAGCCATACGCGGGACCCCAGCCATCTTCTTGCCGTCCACTTTCTGACCGTTGACATTGTTCTGATCAGCCGCCTGCTCAATCTTCATGACTGTATTGCCGTCAAGCTGCTCGGCCTCGAGCGGCACGCGCTCGAAAGCCTTGGTCTCAACGGTCTTCAGCCAAGCGCCGATCTCCTTCATTCTGGCCTTCGCCGTCTGTGGGTCAGAGTAGAAATTAGTATCCTCCCAACCGTCGCCTGTAGGATGGTCTTGGATAGCTGCAATGAACTCCGGAAACTGTGTCATGTACCCGACAAGCAGATTGACAGCCTTGTCACTGTACTCCCATCCGCTAGCGTTCTTCCTGCTGTAACCAAGAACCTTCATCTTTTTCGCCTCGAACTTCAGGTTCAGACCCAAGTTCAGGCGCAGCCCAGAGGAATTGACGTTGAAGGAGCTCGTAAGCTTCGACAGCACCAAAGGATGCAGGTGCAGCATCTTGGCCACCTGATACGAAGGCCTATACGGGTCTGCTCGCTCAGCCTGGAACGCGATGTCTCTGCCGAACTCAGGCTCGCGGCCCACGAGTATGCTCACCCAGACTTCGGCCTTACCGCCCGACTGGTGACCAGTAATCTCCAGTGGGCGGCCATAAGCCATATCGCCTAGGAAGAATGCGCGAGTATTAACAGGGAACTCCTCCTCTATGGGAACAGCTGCCTTCTCCAGGAAGCGCTGTTCCTCACTGATGACTCGGTCGACGATGGTCTGAGTGGCAAAATCTGGCTCTCGGCCCGACATGGGCGCGTATTCCTTGATCGTGGCGCCGTCCTCAGCTTTGCGCAGGCCAATAAGCGTGTCAATGGTAATCAAGCTCTCGACCTCTCCAATTTCCATACCAAGACGTTTTGAGTATGTTTTCCCAATACGATCAGCTTTCTTCTTCCAGTCCGCAAGATTCTGCGGCTGGTGTGGTGTCTGCACAACGTTCGCACCCTCTGCAGGCGAGCTTGGGTCAGCGAGCCTGTATGAAAACATCTCGTCGCTGACAGCAACGACCTTGCCCTCGGACAAGAATGGGTACCCAGCGTGCACTGCCAAGCCAAGCCGTGCCATAGCATGGGCAGCTGTGCCTTTCTCCTCCCCTTCGGACAACGTAACGACCATGCTTTCATTCCTACTGTCCTGCTGGAAGACGTTGACGCCATGAAAGCCAAGAGTGCCAGTGTGCGCTAAAGTATGCAGGCTCGGAAAGCCAGACAGCGCCGCCGCACCAAGCTTCACACCAGGCACCAAACCGATATGGTAGTCGAGGCCTTCCATAGTCGGCAATTCAAATATATTTTCCACGCAATGGCAATGCTCCAAATCCGGAAAGATGCCGGGCATACTACTCGGGTGGGTGTAGTCCGTCATGGCATCGTAGACAAACTTCAATGTGACGCCGAAGGAGTTGCGATGCTTTTCAGCATCCGACAGCATGGCGTCTTTCGGCGCCATACCAGCCAACAACCTCTTCTCGTCAATGAACGGAATCTTGACCACGGCCTCCCACTCCTGCTTCTTGCCATTCATGTCTAGCTCGAAATCACGAGGATAGAAGTCGATGATTGGACTGCTCTCCTCCATCATGAGCGGCCAGTAAATCTGCGGCACAATCTTCTTGCTTCGCTCCGGAAGCACACCCATCAATTGCTGAAACGGCCGAAATGGCTGACCAAGCTGGAAGTTCATGTCCGCCTTCAGACCCTTCTTGACATCGGAAATCATGGGCGAGTAATGATATTTGTAGTACCATGGCCAGCTTGCCACTCCTCGATAGTAGTAGAACAAGACCCACTGCAGGCCCTGAACGTAATTCTCCGTTAGCTCCGTCAGCTCAGCATCATTGTCGCGATCCCACTCGAATTTGTCTGTGTAATGCTTGTTCTTCCATTCCAAGAACTTGTTGTCGTACTTCTCCTGCGCCTTCATCTGCGCCTGCTCAACTGAAACATCCTCAATCTTCGCACGATCGTATTGCTTGAACACCCGTAGTAGTGCATTCTGCGCCTCCTCATCTTCTTCGTCGTCCTCACCGTCCATTTCTGGGCGTGGAGGAAAGGCGAGCTGGACGTGACGGTCACCCGAGTCGTCCGCGACAGTCTTGTATTGCAAATGCAGGCTCTTAGCCAGCTCTTCAACAAAAAATCGATCGGTGGCCTTCAGCGTGGTCGACAGATCCAATGGTCCTGGCTGTGTCTCGCCAATACTTCTAGTATTGACGTACCGCTTGATGACCTGGTACAACTCTTTCTGGCCCGAAGTCATGGACTGAATGCCGCCCTTACGCTTGACCTTCTCCATGACATCCTCCTTTTTCAATGACTTGTCCTTGAGCCAGCTTGCATCGGAGTGCTCCGACTCGAAATGCCTGTATTCAACATGGCTTAGCTCGTCCAGAAGTATCTCCAGTCTCTTGAGGTTAATGACACCGCCTTCGTTGATGTACCCACCAGCCTTCGGCAGCACTTGCTTGTAGACGCCAAACATGAGCGAAAGAGCGCCCTCATTGATGTGTAGGTGGGGTAGATTTGGCAAGAAATCATTACCCACGAAGAAGGCCATAAGAATGAAATCATCAATCACACGCTCCATGTCGAAAGGCACGCTCAAAATACCCGGCTCTTTCAACTGCTGGAATTCCAGCTCCAGATACTCCCGAACGATGCACAAGTGCATCAGGTAGAAGTTCTGATGCTCCAGCTCTGTATTCTTCGCCTTGCCTTGTCTGCCGAACGTTACCTCCTCACGCAACAAACAGAAATGCGGATCGTGCGATAACAAGCCTAACATGATCAGATCGGCATCCAAACCATAAAGGCAGTGACGCACGTTCGGATTGTAGTTCGGCTGACTCTTTGCTTGTCGGATGTACTCCATGATCTTGTGCTCGCCTTCACCAGGAACCTCGTGACCAGAGAGGACGATCTCGCAGCCCTGCCAGTCAAGATCCTCGCTGACTTTCTTCGCAACGAAGTACTTGAGCTGCTGTGTCAAACGGGCCATGAACTCGGTACCGGGTGTGATGCAATTCGAGTCGAATGGATCCTCCTTTGGCAACTCTTTACCCTCCTTGATCGCCTTCTCTCGCGCTTCCTCGTTATCACGTGCTGTTCGGAAACGACGTGCACGCTGCTGGTTCATCTTGGCGCGAGGAGCTACTCCATCGATGGCCATGAAGAAGAGTTGCTGTGGCTTGATCTTGCCGAAAAGATGCTCGATATAGTTGAATATCTTGATGAACATGTCCTCCTCGGTGACATGTTTCGTGATCGAGGAGCCACTGTCGTTGTGGGTGCAATTATGGATGATGCCGTTCATATCGAGGTAGAGGCAATCGAACTCGGGTATGCGGTTCTCGGCGATGAGCTGGGAGATGGCTGGATATCGCTCTGACATCCAGCGGAAGAACTTGGGGACACCTGAGAACTCATGTCAGCAGGCACTCACCTTGTGGTGGCGGTGTGCTGACGATCACATACCCATAGTAGCGGTGGCGAAAATCCGGGGACTTCGTTCACGAGTTGATTTGTACTGATATTAGACGTGCAGGAAGAGGGATGGGGTGGCGGCGTTCTGACTCGGAGTCGTTGTAATCGAGCAAGGCTTTGAGTAAGTGCTCCAGATGATGATGGTATTCGGAAGTGCGGCAGATCCCGAGTGGCGCCGGATAGATCCTTCTGCTGATAAGACACGCGAGCTTCACGCGCTCTGTTGGCGACTGACTCTCAAGAAGTCACTGATACACCCATACCAACATCAATATGGCGGACAATGGCAGCGACATGGACCAGGAAGCGATGCAAGCAAAGGTGCTTCTGGAGGAGTGAGTACATCACTGAAAAAAGCTTATGCGAGACAATGATGATTCTAACAACCTTGATAGGTACAAGATCTGGTAACATCCACTTATACAAACTAGCAATAAGTCCAGACACTGACAACGTTGATCAGGAAGAAGAACAGCGTCTTCCTATACGATATCATGTACAGCCGTGCACTGGAATGGCCAACACTCACTACCCAATGGCTGCCAGACGTGAAGGAAGTGCCTGGCAAACCAATGCGGACCCACCGACTCATCCTCGGTACACACACATCTGATACTCCTGGCCACAATGACTATTTACAAATCGGTCACTTCGAGCTGCCAAACCCACCGCCTGCCAACATCGCCGACTACAACGCGCAAACAGAGGAACTGGGTGGCCACGGAGCAAGTAAGGAGCAGATCAAATTTACGATCGTCCAGAAAATTCAACATCCAGGAGAAGTCAACAAAGCCCGCTACCAACCTCAGAACCCTGAGATCATTGCCACCTGGGCCAAGGACGGTAATGTGTATGTGTGGGATCGAACAAAGCACTCTGCTGTGCCATCCGGAGGCATCAAACCACAGGCAACGCTCGCCGGACACACTAAGGAGGGGTTCGCGTTAGAGTGGAACCCGCATGTGGCGGGACAGCTTCTCTCGGGGAGCAACGACGGGACTGTCAATCTATGGGACCTCAAGAATGACTTCACGCTCGACACCAAGACCATCAAGCCGAAGACAACTTACACTCATCATTCTGCCACTGTCAATGATATACAATACCATCCTACTTTCGCAGAGAATCTCTTTGGCTCTGTCTCCGACGATATGACATTCAAGCTTATGGATATGCGCTGCAAAGACACCGCACGACCAGCAATTGATTTCGTGAATGCGCATACCGATGCGATCAATAGTCTTGCCTTCCACCCAACGCTTGACAAACTTTTCGCTACCGGCTCTGCTGATCAAACGATTGGCGTCTTCGATCTCCGCTTCGCCGACCACGGCAAGATTCACTCCCTCGAAGGCCACAAGGACGTCATCACCAAGATCGATTGGCATCCAACCGACCCAGCGATACTCGCTTCGTCATCAGACGACCGCCGTATCATCTTCTGGGATCTCTCACGAGCAGGCATGGAGCAGACGCCGGAAGATGCAGAGGATGGGCCGCCGGAGATGCTGTTCATGCATGGAGGTCACACTAATCGTGTGAGTGACTTCAGCTGGAACAAGAACGACCCATGGGTCATGTGTTCGGCCGCAGAGGACAACTTGATCGAGGTCTGGAGGGCGAGTCGACATTTGGTGGAGAAGCTACCGCCGGGTGTGCATAGAAGGGAGGTCAGCGAGTCGTAATTCGGACTTCATGGTCCAGATGTTTACAGTGGCGAGAAAAGCAGCATCGCGGGACATGAAAGCCGTGTCTAGCAGTCTTTGTGTCGTTTACCAAGCGTGGCGTTCGGTTTGTGATTATCTGTGCGTAACACCAGTATAGCTGAATATCAAAGCCACCGGTGTAACTTAGCATCGCGACATCTACGCCGTGTTCGCTACAAGCACACAAAGCTCGCACTCGCCCACAATCATATACACTAACGAGAGCCGTCATGGAAGCGTTTCGGCTTCATCTACAAAGACGAGGTTTGCTTGCACAAGCAGGTATCTTGTGTAGCGGAAAGATACAAGGCAGCTCGTTTGTCAGTCATTTCCAATCTCGCCAAATTCATACAGAAGCAATGCTCATTGTCATCGAGCTCATGACGAGTACTTTCTCAGATATCCTGACTGTCACTGCAGCTTCAGCGAAACCCGCAGCTAAGACTGCCGCCGTGGCAACGACCATCACAACTCCTGCAATCATAGCACTGCCAACAGACAGCGAAACCTCACAATCGCGGTAGTAATGCGCTCCATGGACACCGGACACGTGCTCCGTCTACCTTACTGGGACAGGCAACGATACGATTCGACTCATGATCGGGCATATTGTCGTTGATAGCGCTTCGCCAGTGATCATACTTTATCGTGCGTGAGCCATGCAAGCTAATAGTCTTGTGGGTCGAGAACGGTGGATGGAGCGAAAAGGCCGCAAGCAATCGAACAGGGCCACGAGGATGCTTTCAAGGACCCTTTAGTATGAAGAGATGGTTGAGTAGGTTATCAGAATGGTCGAATTGAATGGACGATACCAACTTTGACCCCCAGCGAATTCGGGAGACAATAGAGATATCGGGCTGCATGGCCATATACATCGAGCAATCTATAGTTTACTCTTCCCAATATCATATATCTGCGCCTCACCAGGATTCTTCCTAGCGGTCTCGCTTCGCTTCAGATCTGATGAGACATCGCCAATCGGCTTGCCTCTGATGTCTGCTTCTGGCTGCTTGTCAACGATGAGTTTGTTGGCTCCGGTGAGAGTCTCGATGGCTTCCTTCTCGATCCTGCTAACCAAGTCCTGGCAAGTGGGGATGTCGTGGATGAGGCCGATGACTTGACCGGCTGTCCAGACCTGTATGCCATATTAGCGGATGCATGTGATATCTTTCATGCTTTACACGTACGCCAAAATCCTTGTCACCGTTCAAAAAGACTTGTCGGCCACGCTTGCCGCTCACGAACGGTGCAACCTCCTCGAACTTCCCTGTTGTGCTCTCCCGCTCTACCCTGGTGGCCTCGGCGGTCACCTTGTTCTTGAACAACCTGCTCGTATTCTTCCATCGTCTGAGCACTAGCTCTGTATCTGTCTCTTGCGCATCCACGATCGACTGCTTGATGTTGTGGTGGATGGGGGCTTCGACCGTGCACATGAACCGAGTTCCCATGTTGATGCCTTCAGCGCCCAAGCTAATGGCAGCTGCTAAACCCTGTCCGTCCGCAAAGCCGCCGGAAGCGATGAACGGGATCGGCATCGTTTGTCGTGCTCGGCTGAGGAGGATTAAGTTGGTGATGTCTGTCTCGCCAACATGACCGGCACATTCGAAGCCATCGATGGATAAGAAGTCAACGCCTAGCTTGACTGCACTCATGGCATGTCTGATAGTAGTACATTTGTGCAGGATAACACAAGGTGGATCAGCCTCCTTCAGTTGCTTGATGATTGGGCCAGGACTATTGCCGGCTGTCTCGACGATTCGGATCCCTTCATCAAGCACAACCTGCGCGTATGCACTGTAGTCCGGCGGCACCATTGCTGGGAGAAGTGTAAGGTTCACACCGAATGGATACTTTGTCATCTTCTTGCACCTTTGGATTTCTTTCCGCAGGTCCTCCGGTGTGGGTTGTGTGAGAGCAGTGAGTATACCGAGACCGCCAGCATTCGAGACGGCGGAAGCCATCTCAGCGTAGCCCACCCATTGCATGCCACCTTGAACGACAGGTACACGGATCCCGAGCTTGCGGGTAAGGGCGGTATTGAAGGGCATATTGGCGGATCGTCTGCTGTTGTGTCGTTGGGTGCGTCGCGTGGTCGAGAAACCGACGTTCGAAGTCAAACTCGCGAACACGAGGAAGATGGTAGTACTTATCTGTTACGTCGGCTATACATGTATCTACCCATGGGAGAATGGTACTATGAGCCTAGGTCTGACATTCAGCTCGTGATCCCCTTCTCCATGAGCGAGAGTTCACGACCTCGGCAATGTCAGTGGACCTGCATTTGTGCACGTTAACATATGCATGATCAGTCATCAACCTCCATATATTCCTCAATTTTATTTCATGAAGATCTCTGCGGCCTTCGATTAAAGCTGAAGATTCGACGGGACACACGGGAGCGTATCTGTCTCGCACTTGAAGGGAGACGATTGCCCAAGTGCCCAGACTGCTAGGGTGCCAACGAATCGAGGCATCCATTCCCACTTGCGTGCTGCAAGTCGAGAGCATAATGGTCGGACGAGCAACATCTCGCGAGTACAGCGGTCAGGAACTCGTACCAAAGGCCGTCGAAGTAGCTCATATCACTCGACGGGCCATGGAGACAGGATGTTGTAACACCTTTTCTGTCATCTTTATGCTTTTTAGTGCGGCTCGAACGTAATGCTTCTCCTCCTGCTCCAGCCCAAAATGGATACCATTACATCCCACGCCAACTGTTCAAAATCGTCTACAGCATTCCAGGGATGGACATATGTGTCTCTACACCACTCCCTGCGTGACGAGGTCATACAAAGCCAATCAGCATCTCGAGTCCATGAGTTGAAGCTCTTGTGGAGCCAAGTCTGTGCACGGCTGCTGCATCCACACCGTGAAATAGCTCGGAAAGTGTTCTTTTGGAGCTTGTGTTTTTCACATACACTCTTCCGAACGCTATGATGCAGCTCATTCGATCGATGCTCTAGAAAGAGGACTATCTCCATCAGTGTGTCGCGGAAGGCGCACACAGCAGGAAGGAGCGTGAAAATGACGAGGCAAGCGCGGCTGAGGTTCGGCCAATTGTTCCGAATCATTATAGGCTACTGTTGATCCTTTATTTTCTGTACTTCGGTACATTTGGTCAATTTGAAACAATACAGAGAAGAGTACGCGCGCGCTTTTTCCAGCTGATTTTACCGCAAAATTGCTAACGTTTCCTATAGTTAGCATGGCCCCTGCACTGTACGTGCCTTCCACCACTTCCAATATCACCGAACATACTGACAATTAACAGAAGGATGACACATGCAAACAAAGAGTGCTAAAAGTTTTTTTTGATCTTCCCATATCGACAGGTCGTCGTCGGGTTGACGTTGGGTCGATATTGGCGTCGACGCTGGGACCGACGTCAATCACTAGTGTGATCTAATGTGATACTAGGGACGATCTGACTCGACGTCGAGGAGGTGCGTAGACAAGTCTTTTTCGCCCTCCATATTAGACCACTTACTGTCGATCGAGAGCGGTAGAAGGGCGTAATTTGCAGTGGGTCGTCGATTGGGGCATGGGCACAGAGGGAGCAACAGATAGACTGATATATGGCGCATGCACAATCGAATCCATCGACTTTCCACGCCACACTCACGATTCCTAGCGAAGCCAGCGGGGTGGGATAGATGTCGAGGGCGGTAGCAGAGGCCGATAGCGAGGCATTTCTATCTGGCTGAATCGTAACAGATCACAGATTTGGGAGTGCCAGTAGAGCGGTTCGAACCCCAGCTCGAACCACGGACACACACACATGGTTGGTGATACAGACACCAGGAGACGAAGCACAGGGGAAGAGAGGGTACAGCCGTTTCCTTCCGACGCTCCTTGTCTCCACGTACACGCTCCGTATCATGAAGAGGTATCTCTAGAGAAGAGGCAACTCTACGACTGTTGTTCGTTGTCGCATGCGCCCGGTACCTCCGCTGCAAGGCGCGCTAACGATCCCTAGCGTCGATTAGATAAGCAGCTGCAGCTAAAATTAATTCTACCTACCTGCTCTAACATATCAACACAAACAACCTCGCACACGCGACTTTCCGTGATGGAGAACGTTCTTGCATACCAGAACGCAGTAGGTGTGCGCAGGCTCACACCTGCTTATGCATCGCGTGCTCCAAGGACCAAGAACGTCCTTCAAATGCACTCACTATGTGCATACGAACCGGCGACCCTCATAACAGTGACCTCAAACTGATCTACCACAGCTCAACGCCTAGACTGCCAGCCACGTGCTGTGCTCCTCAAATGATGTCGCACTCTACGAGTCTTCACTACATTATCTCTTCCACAATCTTCGGCTTGCACGGCAGTATCCTTCGCGAACGCTGCAGCACGTAGCACCTCGAAAGTGCTATCTTGCCATCAGCACGACCGATAACACAGCATCGGCGTCAAAGAGAACGAAACCTGGGGTATAGCGAGGCCCAGCTGATAGTTCGGGCAACAACCCACGCCTTGACTGCTAAGATATCTGAATTGGGTGATTAAGCTTTGTGCTTGTCACTGCCTTAACCATTAGTTTGACTGCACAAGACTGACGCAAACAAATCTCGGAACTCCAACGATATTAGCCTTCTCTGTAAAGCGGAAGTCCCGCGTCCATGTTAAAGGACTGGAAATCTCCTGCGAGATTCGCTCTGGCGAGTCATTCCGAATTCCCAGTCATGCTTTACACGTTTCACCATATCTCGAGGCGACTGATGTTCAGAAAGCTCGCCGCTGAGCTCCAAAATGTCTGAGGCACGGAACTCCGAACGGGACATCTGTTTGCGGCTTATGCCAGCCTGTCCTTGTAGGTCGTTGGCCTTCGACTCGTGCTGAGATGGCCATTATCCGAAGGTCGGCCCTCGGATCAGGGTGGAGTGATCAGATCTGGAGCTTCACACTCAGTCGATGGCGAGATGGTCGTCTTTGGAGCTCTCTCCAGAACTCGCGGCGATGATTTTGTCTCTGCCCTGAGGTCATGGGCAAGTCCTCGTCGATGAAGCTTTGCCCTGAACTCGCGGTGAGATGCTCGTCTTCGAAGCTCCGCCCTAAGCTCATGGCCAAGCACTCGTCTTGGAAGTTCCCCCCTCGACTCGTCGCAAGTTGCTCGTCTTCGAAGCTCCCCTAAGCTTACGCCGCGGTGCAGGCTAAAGCATTGCATCCGGAGCTCTGCGCTCGACTCAAAGCATAATATTTGCCGGACCGACCTCCTCCTCCAGAAGGCCAGCACCTGTCAGACAGAACGTCACTACGATACTACGATGAGGAGTTCGGCACGTAGCAATCACGTAGTGGACTTAGCGCGACATGGCCACGTGGAATACTGACGCGACGAGGCAGCAATGCCAAGCATTCTGCCTAGCACGATTAACTCCTTAGCTCTACACACCTACAGCATGCTCACGACGTCGACGACCATGCTACACCTTCAACATGAACGGCATGATGGTGAACAATGCTCACGAGCTCTTCGCCGGTTTCGTCGACGAGCTTGCGCGCTCATGGTCCAATACATTAGACAGCAAAGCAGAGATTGGCATCGAGATTCCAGCAAGTAAGTCGATCTCGTCTGCTTACGCTGTACATGACCTCTAATAGGTGATATTAGATCCAGTACTCGGCGCTCTTACCACTATTCGTGTCGATATGCCTATTCGCCAGACATGGATGCTGCTTCTCGAAGCATTCCCCGATGCTGCCCGCCACACCACATTCGTCCGGAGCTATTGGCAGCGTGATGAATCACTCTACATCCGCGCGGGACGCGAGTCCCTCCGGGCTGTGCGGAACGACCGTGGCATGAACTCCCGATATCACAGCACAGAGTTCGCGGAGCCGTACCTATCCACGAGAAGACTCCAACTCCTGAAGCTTATACCGCTCACTCCCTCACTACCAGTCGCTCCCTTGCTACCACCACTCGAGACATCACTTCAGCTCTCCTACGATAAGCACATCACCTCGGCATATTTGAGCTTCGCGCTTCGGATGAATCCTCACGATATAGCCTCTGTGCTTGCGGCTCTCGAGCCGAACAAGCTGATATGGGTGACTGACTGTAAGTCTCAATCCCAATGGCCCGCAACAAGTTCACCCCCCTAACTGCCGACTTAGCAGAGATCGAGCTTGATCATGTGCTGGGGAATAAGCTTAGTAGGGCGACTGACCGTAAGCCTTGATCTCAACGGCCCGCGATGAGTTCATACCACTGACAGCCGACATAGCAGAGATTGAGCTTAATTGTACAGTGGGGAAAAAGCTTATTCGGGCTACTGACGGTAAGTCTCAACCCCAATGTCAAGGGTTCATACCACTGACAGCCAACGTAGCAGAGGTTGAGCTTGACAATAAGGCTGGGAACGTTCTTGCGGATGATACTCCCTTGCGCGTAGCACTGTCCAGCCTGGAGCTGCCGAAGCAGCTTGGTTGTGTCTCGGAACTTCGTCAGGTATGTGAGTTTGCGTGCTATATCTACTTGTGACGCTAATTTTCGCAGGCACTCCAGGAGATGCGTCTATTGGGAGACCTCACCACTCGGCATCCAATACTCGTCTCAGCTATATCACCATCGTCCTGCTGCATGCTTGTTCATTTCCGCGACGGACCTGGTCAACGAGCCAGTCGCCATCTTGCGCCGTCGTATTTCGTTCAATGGTCTCCGGCACTCCGGACGATCTGTCATCCGCAAGTACACATCCCGGATTGCCGCGTAACGACCATGAGCAACTGTCATCTCGTACTCCTCGCCTGGCAACCCGAACCACGAAAGCTCGCCATGGCCATAGAGCAACTGGCAACACTACCGGGAGGCGACAGCGCACGAGCTGTGAGTACCGCCTGCTTCCGAATTCCAGCATGATTCGGCATAGACGGCAGTTTGAGTCGAGTGGCGCTCGATTTGATTGTCCCACTAGCTAAGACTGCATTGAGCTCTGTCACTCGTGGAAGTATCTCCCGCGACATCACTGTATCCGTGGACGGACATCGGCCGACTGGACCTCCCAGGACCTACGTGATCTGGACGAGACAGTCAGTGTCGGAGACTGCTGTGACAACATCCATACCACGGCAAATCTGGTCTACGTTGACGGCACAAGAATCGCCACTTACTAGCATGAGATCGCATGACCGCCTGCTGGTTTTCGTGGAATACTGCTCCTCATCCGCACATCCATGGCGAGATAGGCAGCTGATTAAGCATATCCCGCGAGAACGACCGTTGATCTTACTGACCTCGAATCCTGATCGCCTCTCTCGCAGACCCGAGGAAATAAAGCTCACTGTGGAGGACTTCCTTGCGCCAGGTGATACCTGGCTCTCGCGAGGCGCAGGATTTGATGGGGTGGAGAGGGATACGTGGTTTGATGTCGAGGATGAGGTTGGCGGAGTCACAGAACAGCTACGTTGTGGTAAGTATGGCGTGAACGTCCCAGTGCAAAGCATGCGGGCTGACCAAAGGTAGGCCGGCAGAAACCGATGCAACTAAGCTTCTACACTCGAGCTGTAACGACAATGACACGCTGTATCCTGGCGGCCGACAACCAGCAGGACGCTCAAATTACGGCACTACAGGACTTTTTCCGGCTCGTATGCAAGTTCCATCACATCGGCTGCTTCGTGGTCATTATCAGGCAATCACCTCCACGTGGGACTGAGCGCGAGGGAGCTCAAGACTGCATAAATACGTTGGCGCGCCAGGAGCACTTCGTCAATATAGCATTGTCGCGCACCAACGTCGAGGTCCGCTATCTACAATTGCCCAGGACGAGCGCATATGGACCTGACGTCGTGGACGCCATCGCAAGTGTGCTCGAGGGATGTCCAAGAAGAACTATGCTGATCTCCTCTGCTCTGGACCGCGTTGTACGCAGTAGGGCAAATTACGACTTCCTACAGAGGCTACTGCTTGCTGGAGACCATTGTGCTACAAGTCTTGTGTGGGACAGCAGCACCAACCTTCATCCCGGCGACGCCATGCAATTGCCAGCCCCAGCATAGAACACTGAGGCTATGCAGTTATGGGAAGACGCCCTGGAGGTACAAGACCGCGCGAGGCCATCAAATCTGACCTTACCTCTCGTGCAGCCATTGATGTGGATCTCCGTAAAGCTAGATGCAAGCTCATCCGCTCACCCACACATCGTTCGGCACATAGTAAACGCCGAGGAGTTCGTCAAAGCTGATCGCCTGTCTTCATTCCAAGGAGAATCAAGTCTGAACATACCAGCGGAGCTCCAGATTGATACCGGAAACTCTTGGACGAAAGAGAGGAGATCACAATGGGTCGAGTTCCTTCAAGCTAGCATGCCGGAAGTTGAGGTCGATATTGTCATACCACTCGGACGAAACGAAGCTTGGTCCTGTTCGTGTTCCGCAACCACGCCTCACCCTCACGATTGCCAATGTCAGTGCGAGAATTGTGCCGGTCATCGGAAGTGCGAATGTACGGAGGGAGACTGTGTATGCCCACGGATATGCAATTGCACATGCAGCACTTGCTTCCATGACGGCAAGGTCCTGCAAGATCGGCTCTGTGCAACTGATGGATGTGGAAAAATAGCTCCGACGGACAGGAACCGAGGCAGATTCTGCGGAGTTTGCAAGCGCGCGAAAGAGAAGTCAAAGGGCGTGGAGCATGCGAAGCATCCGGAGAGAGGGACGAAGCTATGTATCGAAGATGGTTGCTCACGTCCGGCACAGACACACGGGGTGGGGGGCAAGCGCTGTAGTACATGCTATCAGCAGCGCAAGGCCGCACAGACAAAGACAAAGCGTGATGCCTTAAATGGCCCAAAGACGACCAAGCCGTGCAAGACTCCCTACTGCGAGGGTCTAGCCGGAGTGGGCTCGGCGTACGGTAGGCTGTGTAGGAGATGCTACCTTGATCGGGACAACATCAAGCGAGCTGCGAGGAAGTCCAAGACAGGAAGCTAGAGGCAGGATCGGATATCAGATAGGCGTGGTAGTATTCCGCTAGGGAGTGGGAGAAAGCTTGATCAGACCACAAGCAGGCGTGAGATTGCTTGATCCCTGCCTTATGCATGCTGATCGAGCTCAAGTCGTTTCCTTCTACGTGCTGCTAGGCACCGGATGGATCAAGCTTCATTTCATGTCCTTACCGTATTGGTCCTCGAGCTCAAGACATTATGTTGCTGTGCCCCATCTCGTGGGAAGTTCAAGCAAGAACTTAGCGTTCCTGACAACGTATACCTTCCGTGTCGGAATCCTCCACCAGACGAAAGCCTATAGCTTGTGGCCGGATTATGCTTGTACTCTCACATCGTCACTTGGGGCCAGGCATGTATGGCTTCGTTCTCAACTATAACGAAGCTTGTGCACGACTTCCACTGCCAGATTCCAATTTCAAGTCCTCTGCCGAACTCCGACTTTGGATACAGCTTAAGCCATGCGGAACTCCCACGCTCACTACTAGACCTCAACTACAACAAACTTTGAGTCATGGGTCCTGCTATGGTCACGGCGGATGCCATGGAAGCTCGAGTATGCCACTGCAGGTCTGGTCGACGAGTACGAAGCTCTATTGAGCTATAGATTCCAGGCAATTACGAGGACGACACCTCATGACAAAAGCTCATGGTGATTCTGGATAGATCAGACTGCCGTGCCTTAGCTTCGTCAGTATCGTACTGTGCCAGCAGTTTCAGACCAAGCTTGATCGCGATCGAACACGCAAGCTGGTGACAGGGCCTCCACGAGTATGCGGATTAAGCCTGATCAGACCCGAGTGCGCAAGCTCCTAACAGGGCCTCCTCGAGCGGTTACGGACTTGACAAACAAGCTTCATCACGTTCAGATGAGGTAACTCATGTCAGGACCTCCAAGAATGATTGCAGATCAAGCTGAATCCCAAAGTACATGCCACCTAAAAAAGCAACCACCGGGGGGACCTATGAGATCCGCATTGAGCTTGTAGAGACCCAGAGGAAGCATGTTTTGAGTCAGACCTCTGATGCGACTGAGCATGAGCACTGTACCTTGGAGCGCCTCCAGGGCGCTCCGTCGAGGTCGACTTTGCCAGCAGGGACATCTAGCATGCGTATAAATCATGGTGGCAGGGCGAATGTCGCTGTCATAATACGGATGTCAGCAGTCAAGCACACCTCCAGTAGCCGACTACGATAGTCATACGTGGGTGTCAATCGAAGCTTCTTCACCAACTACATTCACTATCAAGGGGTGAATGCCAGGATGAATCTCAGCACTTTGAGTTTGAATGTCGTCCACAGGGTACAAGGCTTGTGAACGGGAACGAAAGCCTGCACAATGGAAAGATGGCATGTGCATTTGCCAGAATAGACGGTGAGCACATCGAGCATGTTGTGTTATGGAACACGCATTCCTCCAAACCCTGTTTCCCGTGGCAAGGATGTCAGCATATGCACGATAATCGCAAGGCATGGATGGTCACCGACAGCACTCGCGAAGCGTCAACAATCGCAGGACGTACTTGTACCTAATAAGATTAGGGATTATATCACGACTGTTGCCGACAGGACTTATCAGCAAGAACATGAGCAGAGTCGACCAGATACAGGACTTCGGTGCTTAACAGACATCGATCAGAACCAGCCCAGGCAAAGCTCGAAGCTCGATCGTGCCTTCCACAAACACAACCGCAACCCCACTTGCAGCGAACTCTTCTTCTTCTCTTCGTCCGTCCTTGCCTTCTACGAAAAGAAACAACATCGATCGATCAACCCGCCTCCAACCTCGCGATCAAGACGCCTAAGACAACACTCAACATGCTCGCTCTAACCATCGTCGCTGCATTTGCCACCACCACCATCAGCATCGCCATCCCTCAGGGCGGCGACAGCATCCTCGTACCTTCCAACACCAGTGTCTGGTACTATCAAGCCGGAGGATGGCCGAACTCCATCGAATGCCTCGATCATGTCGCAAATGGCACTCTGGTTGAGGGTGTCTGCACATGCCTCGACTATGCAAGTCTCGGCATATTCCAATCGCCCTCCAACGATTGTTCCCTGACGGTATATGAGGGCACAAATGTCTGCGGTGCTGATGCTACATCGAAGACAGTGAGTTCAGTGCGCGTGTCTTACCGCAATCATCATGTACTGACTTGTGTCGCAGACCACGAGAATTCCAGCAGGCAATAGTCTCACCTGTGTCAACACGGACGTCGATGCCGGGTTGACAGCGAGCGGTGTGTGGGCGTGTGGATGAATGAGGCCAAATTAGCGACATGTCGAGCTCGTTGCGGTCCAAGCGGACTTTCACCGTAGTTCAGACCGCTGTGAGCATTGCAATGAAAGACGAAAGCCAGATTCCAATCATGGAATGAATTACTGTGGGCAATGATCCGCATGTGCTACCAGTAGAACTAACGATACAATGTCTTCAGTTCTGGTTGTTATTATGTCCATGTTCCGAGTGACCCTTCCATTGTAGAACTCATTTTGCTTGGGGTTGAAGCTGACCCAAACCCTAACCCTAAGCTGTGCCGGATTCCTGTGGAATGGTCCATTGTCAAGTTCGATGAGATGATTGAAGGATCGTACACGCTTGCTCCAACGTACTATGATACAGAACCATGTCATCGCTCCTCCAACACCATGCTAAATACAATAACTACAGGTCAAACTTCGTGACCAAGCCATGGCTTCTTACTCCTTACTCCATAGATCACTATTATAGCCACCTACAACCACGGCATCCACAGCATATCCGTCTGACACAACTTCTCCGGATTCGTCGCCCTCGCCACCAAGTCCAGCACACTCTGGCTAGCCGGCAGATTCCCAGCCGCCGGCTCCTTCGCGATAACCAATGCTTTGCTCACAATAGCATCGGCATTCCTCTGCACATTGTCTCGGAGCTCATTCTCCTTAATCGAGTTGCGATGCGAGCTCATGTACCAGAAGGCCATCTCGTCCCTTATGAAGATCGACAGATGGTGCTCGAGCTCACAACTAGTGCCTTCCAGAAACCCGTTCGGCTGTGCAGCGCCATTCGCCTGAGCTGTGTTCGCGCCCGTGTAGGACGAATCTGACGTGAGACAACGAGCGATGGCCATGAGTGCACAAGTGAAGATGCCTTCGGTGTGGATAGGACCCATCAGCGTCTGCAGATTCGGCGTGAGACGGAATGGTACTGGTTCGGGGTTTTGAAAGTAAGGTCGAGTGCTCGGCATGAACGGGAGTAGCTCTGAGCCCCATATATTACCGTTGCGTCGTGCAATGCTCATCTTGTTCGGGTATCGCACGGTCATGTGCATGGTGAAGGTGATGTATGTGAGTGCAGCCAGCTGATACGAAAACTGCTTGCGGAACAGCCAGAAAGAGTCGAAGGATGGGTAGGTGGCGGCAAAGTAGTGGCGGACGATGTCTTTTGGCACATACTTGTCCTGCACATAATGCAATGCCTCCATTCGAACATTGAGAAACTGATCTTGCTTCTGTGGTGATAGACCTCGCAGCTTTTCCATCGTAAAGATCGTCGGCTCATCCTTGTCAATGTCGTTGCGGCGGCAGTAGTCCTCGTAGACGCCTTGCAGGGTGATGTAAGAAGCGTCATCCTGGATCATACGAATCTGCGGCGATAGTGGCACCATGACTGGCAGGTGGAATTGGAGATTCCTACGCCTACTCTCTTTCTTCTTGGCAAGAGTGCTGTTGAAAATGCGGAAGAGCTGCAGTATCCGCTCTTCACGCCGTGAGTGTCGTGGCGCAGGATGCTGGATGGCGAATGGGTGGATACTACCGTCGTGCCCGCGAATCTTCAGCCTGCGATGGCAACCTGCAACACCCCTCACTAGATCGACAACAGGCAAGAAGCGCTCGATCCTGACGAAATCTTGGTTCTTGTCACGATGCTGCAAGTACTGTCCAGGCACCTCGACCTCGTCGAACCACACAAATCTGAAGCCACTCAGATGAGTCGTCTCGGCGAGATGGAAGGTCGTCGGACGTCTGTCCAACCTCTCCGCAAGCTTGTCCCGCCATTTTCGCAGTTTCTGAATGTACTCAAGCATCGTCGGCTTCTTCGCCACGAAGTCGGCCTCGAAGCCCTTCCGGATGTGGGGTGGCAGAATCGACTCGGCAAAGCGGATAATGTTTGCCTCTGTCTGATTTGGTAGCTTGCTATCAGTGGCGAAGCTGTGTGGTGAGCGGCCAACGTAGCCAAGAGCGTCATTCAGCAGGGCGATGATGAGCCTGTAGGCATCCTCATCTGGTGGACATTTGAAGTGCTTCTGAATCTGATCGACCATGGCCTCCATGGAAGCGTAGAGCAATGGGAAGGCGGTCCTGAGTGTTATCACGAGCGCTTCAGTGTGCTCCCAGGCCTTCTTTGGTCGGGGAGTATCATCCGCTTTGCCATCGTCACCACCCTCCTTCTTCGGCACCTCTTCAGAAGTGCCATTGGTCATTTGCACATCTCCACCAGCAGTGCCTGGCCTTGACAGACCACCTGAGCTCTCCGGTCGAGCAGAAGGCGACTCTTGCTTGACAGCCTCGCCGCGGCTCTTTGCCTCCTTTGAGGCCTTCTCACGCTGTTCCTTCATTGCAGTCGACTTCCTGATGACCTGCATGTCGTCGTGTGACGTGCGAAGCTGGAAGTGTAGAGCTTGTGGATAGGTCTTAGCAAGATTGGTCAAAATCTGATGCGCTATATTCGCCTCGCCTTCTGTGCGCGACAGGTTGTTGAGCAGCTGAGGAATGAACGTCACCCAGTACCACCATGGATGCTCGCCTTGGAAGTTGCTGTAGACCTTGGCAAGTGTGCCTTGGGCATCGTCCAAGCTGAGCAACCACAAGATGCGACTTAGCAGCTTCCTTGACTTGGCACTCTTGTATTGACCAGCAGCCTCCAAGTAGCAGCTGATGGCATTGCCGGCGAGCTCGAGATCATTCGGATTCTCCTTGAAAAGATGGTCGCTATATCGACCCCACTCCGCCCAGGCCTTTGGTAGCTTGATGTCGAAGAATAAGGCGGTGCCGAAAGCATCGTGCGCCTCATCTTTCTGATTGAGCTTGCTCAGGAACATGCCCTTCAGTGTATAGAATTCCGCCTTCTGCTGCTGTCCGAAGTAGTTGAGATTGGTATTGTTGATCACGTCCAACCCGCTTGTGAGCTCACTCTTGTTCTGATAGTGGCATTTTGCTTGCTCACGCAACTTGAGGAAGGCTTCTTGAATTTCAATGTTCGGCAATGTATAGATCTTGCTCAACTGTGTAATGCACACATCCGGCATATGGTGCTTGCGTGCTACGTGTGCAAATCGGTTGATAATCCATGCAGTCTCGTGGTAGCCGCGATAGGCAAAACTATTGCTCGTCGCGTTGTTCGGCTGAGGTTGAATGAGGCCCAGGTAGGTTGTGTTGATCAGCTGGAAGATATGCTGGCGCCAGGTAACAAGTTCTTGCCAGGCATTGATGTCGTCCCACAAGTTCGGCAGGCGGTCTCGCCATGTGCTGAGAAGGACCTTGAGTTCTTGCGACTTGGAATCGAGATTCTGAGCATTCGTCTGGGCCAAGCTCTGGCAGATGACGTTAGCATCATGTAGCTCGACCAACTGTTGAAAATTCTGCAGCAGCCCGATGTGTGCGTTCGTGATGCGGTGTGGCAGCTTGTGCCAGTTCTTAATTGATAGCTGGATATTCTCATCGCAAATTCTCTGGAAGTCTTGTAGTGTCTCTTCCTTGTTGTGAAACTTCAGTAGAGACATGAACGCAGAGAAGAACATTCTTCGTGGCGTCGGAGCATCGGACACAGCCTTGACAATGCTGTCGAGACCGTCCCTGCTTTCCTTCTCGCGCCAAGTAGGCTGATCGTAATTACGCCAAACAGCCTCGAGGTACAAGTCGTTGATGTTTTCATGCTTGGCAAACTCAGCAAGGACCTCCCACTGCTGCAACTTCTGCGCACAGAGGACCCACTGATCTTCCCACAGCATATACTCTGCTTGTGAGAATGGCAGTGAGCCAGTACGAGCCTTGATCTGCGCCTGCTCGTACATGTTCTGAGCTTTGTCCCAGATACCATTCTGCTCGTAGGAAAGCGCCGCGTTAGTCTCCACGAACTGCGCTCTCCGACGCCAGGTCCCATAGAACAGATCCCCTTCTTCCAGATTTGCGTACAGCTCGACAAGAGCGTCGAGATTGCTTTCACGAACGGTGGATGTGTCGATGACGGGCTTCATTGCAAGGTCCTCCATAAAGGTGGCGGCCACATACCATGCATCATAGGTCTTTGCAAGATATTTCATGACGTGTGGCGGAAATTTGCAGACTGGTTTGGCTCGTGCGATACCTTCAAGGAGAGTCGAGACGCAATTTGGTCGCTTGTCCACTTGTCGCTGATGGAAGTCTTTGGTGAGCAAGCCGACAAGACCTTGCTCGATGTCCTCACGATCTTCTTTGGACAAGGTCGACCAGGCCATCGGGAAGTACGCCACCCATATGTCGTGCGTGAGCTGTGAATCAGTGTGCTGGAGGTCCGCAAGCGGGACTAGTAGGTCTCTGGTACGCACACTGCCAACATCCTGCATGAAGCGCTTCTCGCTTGAAATCAGGCTTTCGAAGGAATCGTCGAGCATGACATCTGCTAAGCGCGGCTCGTTCGCGTAAGTGGCAAATATCTTCGAGGCAGGCAGGCAGCGGAAGTCTTCGTGATGCAGATGCACAGCACTCTGCTGATCGATGGAGCCAAACATCTGCTGGATGATCTGACTGAGCCAGAAGCTGTCACCAAGCACATCCCACTGCTGTTCGCTGATGAGCTTGAAGAAGCGGTTGCTAGTAGATCTGCTCAGCGCACGGTCGAAAATGGTCACGAACCGTGCCCTGAGCTCGACGTCAGGGCTACGCAGTCCAATGAGGAACGCTTGCTCCATGCGTACGGCCAGCTCGGACCGCAAGATCTTGGGATCCTCGTAGATTCTGATAACGAGATCCATGAAGAGCATGTATAACGTAGGATCAGCCTTGTTCTCGAAAGGCATCATCTTCTGTAAAACAGCCGTCTTCTCCTTGAGCGTTGGAACAGGCTCAGTAGGATGGAAGATCCACTCATTGACTTGGTCCAGGATCTTCTTGCAGAGCTTGTTGTTCGCGCTACGCTCGACAAGTGATGCGAGTACACTGAGGTAAGGTCTGCGCTGCTCGCCCAGCGTGCTGATGCGCGCCGAGAGCATGTCGATGATCTTGATGATGAGGTTGACCACTATTTCGACTTCTTGCGAGCTTGGCAGCTGAGGTTGCATGCCTTGTGCGAGGGCAATCTGCGGATTCATAGTCGCAGCCAGATGGTCTTTGGCGAGCTTTGTCTGCAGCGCCTTCAGCAGGGCTGGGATGTGAGTGTCTACTTCATCAGGTTTACGCTGCGCCATCTCCCACAGGATATTGATGCCAGCAAGGTTGTTCCCACTGTTGATGACATCGCCCGCGAGCGTGCTCAGAAAGGTAATGAACTCTTCCGTCGGACTATCAGCATCGGGAAGCTCGTCATCTGGTAGACCGACAGGGATGGCCCTAAGAACACGCTGGAGAAGTGGGACGTCGCCTTCCGCTAAGTCGTTGTTGAACAGGGCATCCTGCACCTCCTGTTCTTCGCTGCGCAAGGGCTTTGCAAGCAGCTTCTGCAATTGCGGCAGTCTTGCCACGATCCACTCTTCCGATCTGCTGGCGACAAGCACTTTCAGAATCTGCACCGTGTTGACCACGCGCGTTGTCCACGTATCGACCTTCTCGTCCTGCTTATGCTCACTGCACAATATCTGCTCGGTAACCTTCGGAAACATGGCATCGATGTCTAGATCGTCCCAGTATGGCGCTGCTAGAAGCTTGCTAAGCAGATCCAATGATCTCGTGACAGTCTCAGTCGAGATCTGGTTCGGTTGTTGCAATTGCTGGGGCTGGGCTGCCTCTTTCGGCTTGCTTGTTGGGCACCTCTCTGGCAGGGTGGCGATGAATTGCACCATGTACTTGATCAACATCATGCGCACAGGAGCTGGAGCTACTGCTGCTTTCTTCACACCACTACCCTCGGCAGAAGGCGAGTCAGCACCATCGAGCGACCCATCCTCAGTAACAGTCTTCTCCTCCCACTGCCATATCAGACTGAAGATATTAAGCGCAAGTCGTCGACTCTCCGCAGAAGGACTAGGCAGCTGCGCAACCTTGCCAATGCTAGGAATCAAGATCTGCGCAAAACCATCACGAGCTTCATAGAAGAGGTCTGGATGGCGGACAAGGAAATGGTAAATGCTGGTCAATTGCGGAACGTTGCCCTGTTCCTCGCTCAAAATCTTCCTAGGTAGACGAGACCAGACACTTTGCCTGCCATCAGGTCCGCCACCAAGGCGCTTCTTCAGGACTGGCTCTAAGATCTCCAGGGATTGCATGACGAGATTTCGGCCTTCAGCTTGGTGGGCGCGTAAGAGTGTATTGTAGACTTGCATTGCAATCTTCGCAGGTGTCTCGTAGTGAGCGATGAAGTAAGCAATCAGGCAGTAAGCGGCGTACTTGTTGATATGATCCTCAAGACGGATATAATTCCAGCCGAATTTGATGAGATCCTTGCGAGCATCTTGCACCATGTTATGATGATACTTGACCAGAAATGCGCTGGTTTGAAGCAGCTCCATGCGACTGTGATCAACGCCTTGCGTACCGTCGTCCGAAATGTCAGCGACCGATTGAGGTTTCCAGAGTTTGTTGTGCACGGCATCCGCCATCTCTCGATTGAACAGTGGCGTGCCTTTGTTGTTGGCCTCGAACAACTTGTCCCAATTCCGCATGACGTCGCTTGCGAGAACAGGGTTCAGGACATTGTGGAAGATGAACCACTTCAGCCTTTGCGAAGCGCCTTGAGCGGTCGCGGTATATGTGTCGATACAGCGAGTGACAACTGATCGTTGGTACTCCACGTCCTCAGTCGTGATTATGTCAGTGTACAGGTAAGCGAACAACGGCGGCGTAGCCTGCAGCTCGCCAGTGGTACAAGATTCCATGAGTCCGAAGAGCGTATCCAGATCGTCCTTCTTGTGCTCCAAGTAAACAACGAAAATACGCATGATTTGCTCGACCGACTGCACAACAGCCAATCTCAAAGTGGCAGAGAGTGAAGCTGGCTCGGCCTCACGCTGCGCTTGAACCTCTTTCGCAGCTTGCAGTAAGCTGTTTCTCATCGTCTCCTTCTCCATCAACACCTTGCCAGTGTCCACGAAGGAACATATCGAGTCAGCAATATGTATAGCATTGACCTGCGCCTGTGCCTTTTCCTCGCCAAGAAGCTCCGGCGCAGTGAAAGCAGCAACGAAACCCTCGGCATCATCCACAATTGCTTTCCTTAAAGCATCAGCTTCGGGATCAGCGAGTATCTGCGCAAAGAATCTGCCCTTCTTTGGATCCTCGATAGCCTTCTTAAAGTAGGTCCAGCTCTCATTCGGATAATGATTGAGGTACTTGATCAACGGCTCACGGAAAGGACTTCCTCTTGTCCTCCTCAAACCCTCCTCAAGCCTCACCACCCTCTCCACCAATTCATTCAGGAACTGTGCTGCCGCGTTAGGTAGTAAATGAAACACAGAGAAGATGGCCTGGACGACTCGCATCTTAGGTTGTGCCTCGATAAGCGTGAAAGACACTTTCTGAAGCACCGTCGTGTCGGCGATCGTCTTCATGTGGTCCAGAAGTCTCGTTCCTATCTCGACTTTGAAGTAATTCGTTAAAAGCTGCAAGAGCGTGCGAAGTCCCTCCAGACCCTCAACAGATAGTTTACGAGGGTCTTGGACGTTCATGAGTATGGGCCGAAGACCATTCTGCAGCAGGTCCTTTGGCAGCTTCTGCGTGGCAGCGAGAACAATCTTCAGACCCGCGTTGGCAGCGGCGGCGACTTCCTTGTTCTTGCTATACAGACTTTTGAAGAAGATGCTGATGACACGAGCTCTATGCTGCCCGCCTTGTTGCTGTTGTGGTGTACCTTGTTGAGAAGATGGTTGCTGTGAGCCATTCGCACCTTGAGATTGTGACTGAGTGCCTTGCGTGGGTGTGGTAGTCTGCTGCTGTCCCGTAAAGCCCGGGAATCTGATCGCTGTGCCTAATAGTTTCAGACCAGCAACTCTCAATCTCACAATGGACTCTGCAGTCCTGTACTCGCCGGGCTTGGGCGCCAGAGCATCATCCTCGGCATCAACAAGCGCGAGTGTCTCAAACAAGAGCCTCGTCAGCTCGTCGTTGAAGGTCAGGACATCGTGTTCCATATCTAGTAAGAACTTGATAGCTTCGATATAACCAATCTGCGCCGGGAAAGGCAAAGCACGAAGCGGCTTGTTGAAGATCGGCTGGATGAGGGGATCTTTGATCGGATTGACCAGGTCATGGATAAGAATGCTCAACTCTCCAGCCAAAGTCTTGAGGCCCTCCTGAGCAGCCGCACGGACATGGCGGTTCATGTGGCTGACCTCTGTTATGAGAATGTTCGCCAATTGCCGCACCTTCGTCTCCTTATCCTCCAGGCCCTCCTTCGAGGCCAGATCGCTACCACCAAACCGCTTGACGAGTGTGACAAGAGTCTCCCAAGCCTGAAGTCTTATGCCAGCCGGAAGATCCTGCGGCATGTCCTTGATGACATAGAGAAGTGCTCGCGCGAAGTCAACCAGCTTGTCCGCAATCCACTGATTGCTGAACTTCATCTTTTCGACATCACTGAGGATACTAATGCCTAGTGCGCCTGCAGATTTAGTGAACCATTCTTCTTCGTAGCAAGCGTGAATACAGCAGTCGGCAATTTTGTTGAAGAAAGGCAGAGTCTCGGCTACCGCGTCTTCGCCACCGAAGATTGAGGCGCGACCAAAGAGGATTGCAGAGGTCTCGAGGCAGTCTTGCATAGCTTGCTGCGCCACCTGTCGCACCTCTAGCACATCACTGGCTAAGGAGTGGCAGATAGCATCCGCAAGGATGCCCGTATCGACGTATACTGGACCTTCGCCGCTCTTGACGTCGAAAGGCCTGCGTTTGCGCTTCTCCTTTGCCAATGCTATCCCCAGTTCAACGATCATGTGATGCCGATAGAGGCCCGCTAAGAACTGCTGGGCTTCCTGTTGCACGTCGCCGGGCGTGCCTGCGGTCCATATCAACGCTTTGAGAAGCTGCAGCAGAGTTTTCTGCTGCACATCACGCTTCGGAGCGCTCTTATGCCTCTCGGAGACCGAGAAGATGTCCGCACCAACATCGTAGTTCTTCTCCGCAAAGTCATTAGCTTGCAGTCGAACCAATCTTGCGAGGTCGTCTGGAAGCTGATCGAAGCCAATGAGAAGCTTCACATGGCTCGTCACAAGCCTAAAAGCCTGCCGCTTATAATGATCATCCCTCTGCTTCTCCTTCTCAGCCTTCGGCGCCGGCTCCCACAATCTCTCGACGGCCGTGTCGATGCCCAGTCGTGCAGGCAAAGCTCTCTCACCACCATTAGAAATTGCACCAATGAGCCTGACATCTACCGAAGCTTCATCATCCGCATAGCCACGCCACTCAAGCGCTGGAGGACCAGTCAAGAACTTGCGATTCCTGCCTCCAAGCTTGCCAAGGATGCGGACAGCAGTATGCGATTGCTGATGGCCGGTCACGACACTAGGTAGACCAGGTCCAGCGGTCGTGGTAAGACTGGGTCTCAGCATTCGCCATAGACTACCCATGATCTCTTCCATATACGGTGACATGATTGGGTCCAAATAATCCGCTGTCAAATTGTCAACGCATAGCTCGAGGGTCCTAAGGCCTTGCGCCGTAAGCTCCGAGGTTCCCGCACTGCCTGATCGCATCTCGGAGGCTGAGGTAGAGCCGAGCTGGGAGCCACGGGCTTCGCTTGCTGGTATCTTGTCGCCAGATCGGAGGGCGACTGTCAGTGGCCGCATGAGGTAATTCAGATGTGGAAGTAGATGGCTGAGCCGGGCGGGCACTGTAAGCGAGAGCTCGACGAACAGATCTCGCTTCCCACCATCCTCTGCAGCAGCGAGCTGAACATTAAGCACTTCCAGAAGCATCTCCAACAGCGGTAAGATCTCCTTGTAAAGATGCTCAAATCTTCCTCCACCAATACTCCTGAAGAGACTTCGCAGAAGCAGGAAGTAGTTCGTGGGCTCGTCAGCCGTTACACTAAGCTCGATAGAACGCGTAATGAGCTCGCGCACATGCGGCAGCAGCACGCCCTCATTGTGTTGACTAAACAGTGTCACGGCCATGAACGACAGCTTGAACAAGCGCAGCAGAACCGAAGTCTTGACATTATCCCGTTGCCCGACCTCGTCCAGCTTGCTCATCAGAAACCTCAGTAGCATGCCGCAGAACGCTGGAGAGGTGGCTTCGGAGGCGAGCAGGAACTGCGGCACATGCAGCAGAGCCGGGTGGGTGAAGCAAAGCTGATATAAGAACTCCATCCCCGTCTCCATTCCCGCCCTAACAGCATCCGAAACCGGACTCTTCGAAGTGAAGATCTCGTGAAACGTCGCCGGATCCAGATGATGAAAGATCGTCGCAAATGTCTCCAACAACTCCTTCTCCTCCTTGGTGATGGCGGTAGAGGACGCAAGGGACTGGGAGCTGGCGGCTTCGGCTGTGGTGGTGCTGACTGATCCATCGCCTTCTAGGGGCGAGTAATACTGGAAACACCTTGCGCCTTCGCGGAAGAGTTTGATCAGAACTTCAACCTCTTCGGCCTCAAAACCACAGGAGAGTTCAGCCCAGTTTTGAGGAACGAGGGACGAGTCGAGTGCATCTTTGACTTCCGGGGTGTTGCTGTTGCGGAGTTGGTAGAAGAAGGTTTTGAGGCCGTGTAAGAGGTTCTTGAACAGGAACTTGTTCTCTGTGACTGGATCTGTTGCTCGGTCGCGTGGACTGACGGCTTTGATGGGCATGGCGCCGGAGAAGATGTCGGTCTCATCCCAGTCTGGCTTGGTTTCGGAATCTGCTAGAAAGTTCTCTGGTACGGCATCGAGATGGCCGCCCGTGCGCTCGCTCGCTTCGGTCTGCTGGCGTGCAAGTTTGACAGAGTTAGGGTATGCGCGGTTCATGGCGGCAAATTTGTCAGCTATGCCGTTCAAGACGAGCATCATGAGGTATCGTGCATTGCGCTTGTCCTCCATCTTTGACATGCACTCGCCCATGTTGAGTAGCAGCTTCGCACTCATAGTCTGGTAGCTTGTACCCGGTACCTCAACTCCATCATCGCCAGTCAAGTGGCCAACGTAGACAGAGACCACCTTCGATATCTGCTCTGGTTGCAGTGACTCGCGGACGTGATGTATCAGATCGGCAAGCATAGTATACGCCAATGGTCGCAGTGTGATATCCGCAGTAAGCGAGTCGCCGACCAGTGTCTTTGCATCGAGAAGCGGTAGGATGACGGGCAGGAAATGCGCGCGGAAGCTAAAGTTGATGATATGTCTGATCGCCACCAACAACTCCTTCCGTGTTGCGGTGTGACTGCGTGGCACATCCTGGAGTAGCCGCACAGTCAAATTCGGCAGAGTCGTCAAGAAATCTTGTAACGAGTTCTGATAGGCTCGTAGCAGATATGCAAGAAAGCTCATGGTCTTGACCTGAGCAGTAACCAACTCTCCGAATGCTGCGGCTTGGCCTTTTGTTTTGATCTCCTTCGCGATTTTCGTGAAAACCTCGCCTCTGCCTTCCGCCTCCTCATGTGCTCGCTTTTGTGGTGTAGCCTCGATCAATAGCGTCTTCTTGATCATGGGCGTGAACTTGTTGACATTCTTGGGTGCTAGACCACGATGTGCCTGGAAGATGGACACAACAATGATCGGACATTCCGCGACAACTTTGAAGCTGTGCATGCCCTTGGCGAGCTGTCGAGTCTGCTGCTGCTCGGATCCGGTGTCCACAGACGGAATGGAGGAAGCCACAGAAGCGACGGGTGAGCCTGGAGTACCACCAGCACTTGGTGTACCGGGCGCACCGACAGCCGCTGTCGCTCCAGCATTAGGCGATGGTGAATCGAATGTGTCCCGAACCGTCTGCTCCATGCCATCAAAGAGTTCGAGGATGAGCTCCAAGAATGGTTGTGCCTTTTCGTTCACCGCCGGAGTCTTGGTGTAATATCTGCAGAAGTCCATGACGATCTTTAGACACAACACCGCATTGTCCTCGTTTTCAGTCTTGACCAACGCCAAGCACATATCAACGATCTTCTCCGCGTAGGGCTCGGCCACGCTGTTGTCCGCAGCACTTGAGCCCAGAGGCAATCGGTGGATGATCTCGAGGGCGCATTGTCGTAGTTTCTGTTCGGGTGAAGTCGATATGAAGACTGGTGGGCCAGAAAGTATGCTTAAAAGGGCAGGCACGAATTTGTCCAAGAAGACGCTATAGCTGCCACCTTGACACCAAATGTCAATATTGTCGCGCAGCTCAGTGAGCAGGATGCCTTTGGTTTTGACGTCCGTACTGGCATCCTGGAGCTTGGCCTCGTACTCGTCCAGGCTGCGGGCGGCCATGTCGGCCTCGAGTGGGCGGTGCTTCGATCGTTGTCGAGTGTCGTGTGCTCATCAACTCATATCTCGCACTGAATTGATCATGTGCTCAATTCTTCGCAACTGATTGCCTGAAGTTCGTGAAAGTGTGTGGTGAATGTCACCTTGTCTTGCAAGCAGTCGAGGTAGGTATCCGCTTCTTTCATGTGCACAGCGGGCCCAGGCGTGTTTGCTCGTCGGTCGCGACGAGACACCACGGTCGTAAAGTGTTCCTAGAAAGGTGTGTGTGTTCGGAATAGCTAATAGACACAGTGAAGTGCTACAGCAGAGTGGCTTGAAGATTTGCGCGTAAGGAAAGGCTGGCAAGAGTAAGAGTGAGGCTGTCGGTTCATATAGAGACAGAGGGCTTCTTCGGAGGCCGCTGCGCGCTTTCGCTGATGGGCATCGCGGACTGTCAGTAAAGGGTATACCCGGCGCTACTGCAGCGTGAGCGGCAGGACCGGCCCCGACCTGCTGATCGTTAAGTGGAGTCACGATCTGGGTGAATGCTTTCAGTGGACACACGGTTCGGATTGACTGGTAGTTCGACTTGTGATTTAGAAAAGAGCTGGGTACGCAAATATAAGAAAACTATGACGATTCTAGATCTCGAGCATCGACTGTACCTTGCTTTCAGCTGCTCGTGATCAAAGAAGGCGAGATCTGTGCTCTCTAGCACTGACCAAGGTAGACTGTCATGTCCAGCGATGGCTAGGTATACTTCCATGGTCTCAGCTATCAAGAAGTCTTGTTCGTTTGACCGTATGATCAGGCTCTCGGATCAGCAGACACCCTTTACTGGCTGTAGACTACCATCCCAGTCAGATTGCCGCCATTGTATACTGGCATGACGATCAATGTCCGTTCTAGTCCCAATTTACACCCCGGAGATCTCGTTAATGTTCCCCTCGAATACCAATCGGAAGAACAGATGGTGCGTGATCGAAGTCAATCCACATGGCTCAGTAATCTATGATGCTCAATCATATTAGCAATGTCGCCGAACTCGATGTCCTCTGTGAACAAGCCAGGTACAGCAGGACGAGGGTCGACAGCCATCGACATCAACATGAAGCTAAGTAGCGTATGCTTTACTGCGATTGCTATAAATCTATCGTGCTACTATACTGCGCAAATGGTCGTTTGGCAGATAGTCTTCGTCCTTGGTGAGAAGATCAAACCATTTCGTGACACAACAATACGACCAGATCCCTACGGAGCTCCTCCGAACCGCTTTTGCGAAAGTTGGCCACGTCCCGGCCTTCTTCGAGTCCTTCAACACTGCCAAACTCCATCGAGCTGAATACCAGCGCAAGCCCGCTTTAATGAGCTCTTCGGTCTCGGTATGGTAGCTCAGCTCATGACCGTATACATTGACTGATCAAATCACAGGCGTCGAATGCCCTGTATGCGGCTCTTATCATCCGGACGATGATGTTACTTGGACCATGATAATGATGCTTGGGTGCGGGCTATTCACGCCTGCAGCATGGAAACAAATCTCGGCAAAGGGATACGAAGTCTCACGCCTATGTGGACGTGCATGGTGTATCAACCCGTTCTGCGTGGTTATCGAACACAGTGAAGCAAACGAATCTCACAAGGCCTGCCATCGGCGCCGCCAACGTTGTCCGTCGACTCGACCACGTATCTGTCAGGGACATCAGCCCTCACGCAATATCGGCTATGGCGACCTGGGTACGTCTTGGGAAGAAGCGGTATATGCACTACTGGCCCTCAAGCTTGATGGCGCTGCCAGATGAAGGACCCTATTACCATCCGCAAATGGGAGCATCCTCCTCGGCGAATTTGAGAAGCTGCTGATTTATTGCCCATCAGCAAACCATGCCCCGGCCGAGGAAAGCAGAACCGTCTTCGGCGTTCGTCTGGCAGCTCTCCGCCACTTAGTCAGTATGCTTACCACCGTCTCCCCTAGGAGTGGATGTATTTTTGCTTATGGTCAGAATTAAGTCATCGGCTCAGCATGTGAAGATGGAACTAGCTTTCGATCCACCCCAAGTGTGATATATATATCGTCTCCCCCGTCCGCAAAGCTCCGTAATACTTAGCAGCAAACAGTCGTCCACTCCCGAATCAGACGAAGCAAGAATTAAGAGACCATCGAAAATGCTCACAACGTACGCTGTTGTGGCCCTGTTCGCCACTGTCGCTGTCACGGCGCCTGTGGCTGTCGACAGTGATCCAGGAGTGTTCATCAACACCCTTCACCATCATGGCGGGGTCGTTCGCAACGGCGACCCAGTCCAGGCGCTCGCAGACGAAGCATCGCCAACTCACTACACTATGGATGAGAAGCCATACACACCGTTCCACATCCCAGAGCCGGTCGAGCCGGTCACGATCGGTGCACCAGAGGCTCCGGTAAAGCCACAAGCAATGGCCACGCCCGAGCCCATCAGTGTCGCGCGACACACGACCTCAGGACAAGCTCACCAAAAGCGCTGGTGCTTGTGGCCCGTCGGCACCTTTTGCAGTGGACGCGCATGGCTCGATGGGAAGAAGACTGATATGTGGGGTGATCCAGTGCGGCTAGACAAAGAGAAGCCTGGCCATTCGACAAGGGATCGTTCGGCGGAGAATAGGGAGCATCTGGAGAAGAGACTTTGCTGTTGGTACAACCAGGATGGTGGTTGTCATCAGAAATGCTGAGAAGGCGGAGCAAAGAATGTCAGGTCGCGACCAACGGAATGGCTTGAAATAGTAGTTCGATAATAGTAGACGATTGAATTGAATTTCCGATGGTGTTGATTGGGACTGGTCGAGTAATGTCCAGATGTTATTCTATCCAGATTAAATCCATCCTCTGCCCTTGTACTGGTGTTCATTGGTCAGGTTGTAATAGTGAAGGTCTCCGCAGGACTGCTTCGGCTTGCCGGACAACTTCACCTTCGCGGCTGGTGAGCCGCGTGCCGACAGTGCGTTCCGATGGAGCCGAGAATAGCTCGTGGGTGGTAGCTTAAGTTCACCATGGTGCCCATTCTCATCGTCTGCAAGCTCTCGACACGAGCATTGCCCGATGTGTTGCAAGGGCGGCATGGATCTCGAACGACGAGATGGTGGTACGGACGTGGTCAAAAGAGGGAACATCACAGGACTACAGTCTACGACGCAAGGACGCGTCCTTGTCGAACAGCATAGATCTGGTGCTTCAGGAACAGCCGCTCTGGTTTGAGAATCGACCATCGATGCCCGAGTCGACACGACACATAGCGTAGATACTGGACAGCATGAATTATCGTCAGCTGGGTATTGGGAACAAAATCATCAAGCACACAAAGAACATTTGCCTGGAGCATCATGTCCCCTGAGCAAAGGTGTCCTCCGAAGGTCTTGCACCGCTGTCCGTACTGCTTGAAGCACCCAGCGTCCAAACAGGCGTACTGGTCAGTCGTTGTGTCCAGCCAACCATGCTGAATCAGCTCTCCCGTCTGGGAACAGCGGCAGCGAGGTTGCTCAGGTTACAGGAACCAAGTCGAGCCCCGCTCGTGCACAACGGTCACAGCGAATGGAATATGTCCGGAATTGCGTCCAAGATTAGGATTGCTACCGAGACTACTTCTAGCGTATGCCGTGGAATGTAGAGCGCGCAGGTGGTAGGTCTGGCATCCCTTCGCTGTCGCTTCCTTTTGCTACGATTTCTTCCCACACCAACGACAACTTGGACACGTTTGACGATAGCTATACACATAAGGTCCATACCTCTGGAGTGATGATACTCTGAGCTGACTTTCTAGCGACGGATCGATCATGACATGCGCTTCTTCCTCCTGCTTAGGTGCTCCATCTTGGCACGGGAGTTCCACAAGGGCTGTACTGGCAAGTAGCTGGCACTGCACCAAACCGTGGCGTAACCTTCGAGTGGAACACACAGCACTACAATAATGGCACAGATCTCTACCACTTCTTACTGAGCTTTTACGAGTCCTTGCCAAACATAACCACGATCGACTACCTCAATACTACTGGCGTCGGATATGCATCGACGGTTGGAATGGAGGGTTCTGGTAAGTCAACTTCCAATCGGCTATTGATGTGACTAACCCTGAATAGCGACTTTGTATAAGCAGTGCTCCTTCAACCAGCAGATTCTGCAGAATGGGTTGATGATCACGTACAATGGAACATGCAACGCTGCTCAGCCAAACGGAGTGTTTACCCAAGGCTTCCCAGTAGGCATCAGTTCGATTCCTGTGGCAACGTACTGGTGAATAGAGCAGGACAGAAACGTTACACGAACGATCTCTGTTGTTTCGATCGGAGCTGAAAGTGCAAAGGGATATACGCTGGCTAATGCTTCTCAGAATTAAACGGAGAACGAAGCCCTGCTAGTGCAGTCTAGCCGTGCAGTGGTGACGGAGCCCGCGCAGAGATCCAGATGTCGCTCTCGTAAAGCTGTGATGCGAAAGGCCCTTGTGCGAGCTTTTGTCCCTCAAAGTCGAACTGGGAACGGTCCATACACCCGAAATCTGCTGTTTACGTACGTAGACAGTCTGATTCCGATATGAATTGCGGCCAAGCCAAAATCGTCCTGTTTCAAGCAGACCGGTTTGCTCGCATCCCCATCACGGTTCCAAAAAGCCAGAGATAGAAGGAGCCAGCCTATGGCCGCGTTTATAATCACGCCAGTCCAGACCCAGCTTCCACCCTGCCAAAGCAATCCTCACTTCCATCCTCCTCTCGGCGCCGACCACGATCTGACATTCCCGCTATCCGCCACGATAACATCCGCAGCCTTCTCACTAACAACATAAATACTACTCTGGATGTAAAATCCCGGAATTACAGGAAACACACTCGCATCCACCACCCTCAACCCCTGCGTCCCTCTCACCCTGAATTGTCCATCCAAAACAGCCATAGGGTCTCCATCAGCACCGATAGGACAGCTACAGCTTGCATGGTGGCCCCAGGAGGTATTGAGGACCCACCGCCGCAGATCGTCGTCGGTTTTGTAAGCTGCGCCAGGGACAATCTCGCCGGTGGTGGTATTCGTGAGCGAGCTGAATTTGGCAAAGATGGAGCGGGCAAACTTTATGCCTTCGACTACGGCGTTTAGGTCGTAGGAGGAGTTGCCGCTGCCGGCATCGAAGTAATTGAATTGAATGGATGGGACATCGCGCGGATCAGCGGAGCGGAGGGTCACAGTGCCTGCGCGGTTCGTCGTATGTGCTTTGAGGACCTGAGGAATTGCATGTCAGTGATCCGCAGTCATGATGATATGTGGAATGCTGAACTCACAGGCCAAGTCCACGAACTGGGGAACTTGCTCCCTATGGTCGAGTAACCATGAAAGTAGCCTCCAAAATACCCTGGCCTACCGGTCACAATAAGATCGTTATTCCCATTTGGTGCACCACTAGATCTGAGCGGGATATGAGCCGGTCGGCCGTTTGTTGCGTACTTGGTCTTGTTACTCTTGTCCGTATTCCAGGCCACCAGACAAGGATCCGAAGCATTCACACCACTTGTACAACCCTTGAACACCGTCCACGGCTCGCTGGCGTTGGCGATGACACTATTCTCAATGCGGTCCTGCAAGTTTTGACCTACGCCTGGAGCATCGAGAAGGACAGGTATACCGAACTTATGAAGCTCTGCAGCTGGCCCGATCCCACTGAGCTTGAGAATCTGCGGCGTGTTGTATGCTCCGCCGGCTAGAATAACTTCCTTCGATGCGAAAGCGACTCCTGAAGCGCCGGTCTCTGCTGTGGGTGAAGCTCGAGGATCCGCTCGGTAAAGACTGCTTCCATCCAGAAACTCCACCCCGATCGCTCGTTTCGTGCCAGGTGTGAAGACCACCCGAGTTACTAAGCAGTTCAGTCGTATGTCGATGCGACCCTTGCTCCCTGCGTTGACTGCACCGGCGCTATTGACCAGGAAGTCCCGTGGTGAGCTTCGCTTGTTGTTGTCCATGTTCAGAGGCGCATTATATACGCCTTGCTCGGTAGCATACTCGATCGAGCCGGTGTTCAGATCGCGTAGCAGCGACTGTGTAAGCTCAGCGGGAGTATTGATGGTCTGCCCTGACAGGTTGGCGGCTGCTTGCATCATAGGGAAGACTTTATGGTCACTATCCAGAAATATGCTCGGATCGGCACGATTTGTCGCAAGCCAGCCACTGAAGCCATGGCCTGGTGTTGCGGGCGAGAGATACTGGCAATTCTCCAGTCGCTCGAAGTACTTCCTCATACCTGTAGCGTTCCATGAGGAGTCGCCTGTCAGGTTCGCAATTTGAGTCCAGTCGTCATCAAGAGGGTACATCATAATCAGCGCATTGTGATTCACACATCCTCCCAATGCCGCTGTCCGCGGGTATAACAGACCAAGCGGCTTCGCATCATCGGGAGGATGAAGACCAGTATACGAAGATCCGTTACTGAGCTGATAATTGTACTTCGGATCCGCCGCCTTTCTAGTCGCATCCTGGTAGTGGTCGACATAAAAGGCCCATGAGAGCTTCTCGTCCTCGCTGGCTTTGGCATTGAAGTAAGGGACTGTAGTGTTCCAGTCGCCCTTGGCAACTTCATCGTCACCAGCTTCGATGACTAGGACGCGGAATCCTGCTAGGCCAAGACGTGCTGCGAGAGGTGCACCGCCCGCCCCTGTGCCCACTACGATGTAATCATAGCCCTTTAATGTTGTTGCCGGTGCCTGGCCATTGGACGATTGTGGGTTCCACCAGCCTTGGAGAGTGTGAGAGCCCCATGGTGGAGCAGAAGCTGTGGCGGCGAATTCGCAATAGGTGGCAAAAATAGCCAGGAAGTTGATGAATCTCATCGCTGCGTCGTCAACAAAAAGGAACGAGGACGGCCTCTGAAGGATGCTAAGTGGACTTTGCGGTGGAGAAGTACTCTGTCCTTCACTCAATAAAGTGAGCCGTGTCTTGGCGCAGTGTTGGGGGCCAGTATGCACCTTAGAGTTTGTCTAGGCTGCGCTTTTAGATGGGCTTGCATTTTTCAATATAAGATACCATGTCCATCTCGCATCCTTCCCCGGATAAGTGGACTACAGAACGAGGTAGGGACCGTCCAGCTAGATTGGAAATGGAGACAGGTAATGGAGACAGCAAATGAAGAAGCGCGATGTCGAAGGCTGAGGCGGCATGACTGAATGTACATAAATCGGGTACTGCTACACTGGGAGACCTATGAGTTAATAGCTCACCTCTCACCTATGGCGCCGGTTGCAGGTGTTCACTTAATTGACATCAGGTACCTGGGTGGTGGCTCTTGCATGTGAGGTGTTATTCGCCGCAGGACAGCCACGATTGTTGGCTTGCCCGATATGGTCTTGGCCATGTTGGTTGGACTCGTGCGTACAGCCTCGTACCGAGCGTCCATCAATGCGGTCATCTGTCGTGTGCTGTTGCTGGTGTGGCATAAGCTCGACTATAATCAACGAGTTCTGTCGCGCAATATGATTATTGAATGTGATGTTGTGAAAGAGGCAAGTCTGGATTCGAAACGACCTTTCAAGGTGGCGCAGGGCTCACTCATCCGGCCCGAGTGTTGATTGACGTCGACCTCTGCGCGAAATTATTCGCGCACCAGCTGCATGATCAGAATTCTCTTGTTCGCCATTGCATTTCACACCCATCATATAACTTTTTCCGTTACCAAAAGATCTCACAGCCGTAGCCTAACAGAGCCTCCAATTTACTCTAATCGTCACCAGAAGTTTCCCAACGTGCACAAGTTCAAGCACTGAAGAGATCAGGCATCTGCCTGACTGCGACAACAAGCTGGCCGACCATACCAATTGACATCTACGAGACCAGCTCGCAGTAGAGCTCGTCTCGATATCGAAACAGCCAGTAGTTCCCTCCCACCTTTCTATGAGCCCAAAGGATCTTCTAAGACTGTTGTGCAAGCCGAAGAAGTGCGCACACCTTCCACCGAGACCATGCGGATTGCAAGATTTACTGACGACGTATAGGCCAAGATAACATAACCAACTCCCACGCCGAAGATAATACAAGCAGCACGTAGTCACTGACTGCTCAACAATCTACCATCCCGATACTTCCGCCGGGTATCGGAGACGAACAGAGCTCGTCACACTCCAACCGACACAATTCCTCCACGAAAGAGCTCTTTCATCCCATTGTCCGCTCGACCTCCCTAACGTTCCTTTCGTCGTACCCAGTCAACACACACCTGCCGCTGGCGTAAGCCAGCCTCCGAGAAAGAGATCAAGGTAGTGCGCCTTCCCAACCAGAAAGTGAAACCAGCCAGCCGGCGGAAAGTGCCCACTCAGGAAGGCACGAATCGAGTCACGTAAGACAACAAGGAAGGTGCAAGCAGCAGATACCCGCAGTCACACAGACACTCCGGAGATGAGCAACATCGACATTCCACAGCACTACACCAATTCGCCATCGTCCATCAGTGGAACGCCACATTTAACGATCAATCGCGACATCACTGCACTTGATCTCGATTCCAGCAATGCTTTCGAGGGACCCGAGAAGCTCTTAGAAGTATGGTTCAGTGCGTCGGAGAGGACGCTTCCGGCGTCGGCCTCTCCTTTGGGATTGAAGGCCGTTTCGCAGGACTCATGGAAGGAGATGCTTGATCTGGTCAACTGCAAAGTCTTGTCAGTCGTCGAGTCTCGCAATGTGGATGCCTATTTGCTCTCCGAATCGAGCATGTTCATCTTTCCGCACAAGGTTGTGTTGAAGACTTGCGGCACTACGACGTTGCTGTGTGGACTGCCACGCATGCTGGAAATTGCCGCGCTCGAAGGAGGATTTCCGCATGTCAAAGTCGACCTGTCTGTATTTGGCACGTCTGCGGCTGCCACGCCTTACAGGGTCTTCTACAGCCGGAAGAACTTTTTGTTCCCGCACCAACAGAAGGGCCCGCACCGGAGCTGGCGTGACGAGGTGCGCTATCTGGACAAGATGTTCATGAACGGAAGTGCGTACATGATTGGGAAAATGAATGGGGAGCATTGGTACCTCTACATCACGGGACCAGGTACTCAGCTTACTCCTCCAGCCACTCCAGAAGAGGGGCGTATCGTGACCAAGATTCAGCAGCTTCACTTGCCTGGAGGAAACGTCTGCGACAACGAAGACGGAGGCGATGAGACTCTGGAGATCCTCATGACGGACCTCGATCAGCGCAATGCCGGTCAGTTCTACCTCGACGTCGCAAGCGACATTGCCAAAGACAACGCACGTCGCGCTCATGAGGCTCGCAAAGACGCTATCCAACATTTGGGCGTCATCCAAGAGGCCAACAGCTCGGACCCTAGCATCTCCGGCAACACCCTCGTAGATGGCACCAACCGCTCTGACGACGCCTCCTTCGATGTCTTCGCCCAAACCTCAGCCGACCACTCCGGCTTCAACTCTGATAACGAGGATCCATCCAACGAGCCTCTCAGCTTTTCGCAGGAGTTGAGCACAGAGGGTCATGTTCTTGGAAGCGTGGTCACTGAGAACTGCGGTCTTGCAGACGTCTACCCTACGTCTTCCTATCCAGACGCTCATATTGATTCCTACCTCTTCACGCCCTGCGGCTACAGCGCCAATGGCGTCGTTCCCTTGCCCGGATCAAACGAAACGACTCACTACTGGACCGTCCACGTCACGCCAGAACCAGTATGCAGCTACGCCAGTTTCGAGACAAACGTGCCTACTCATGCTCAGGGACGTGAGACGGTGGATGTAGTGCAGCAAGTCGTGGGTATCTTCAAGCCCGGCCGTTTCAGTGTCACGTTGTTCGAGGCTAAGGCCGAGGATGGTGGTGATAGCATGGGCATTAGTGCGGCGAAGAGGGACAAAAGGTTGGATTGTGTCAAGGGGTATAAGAGGATCGATAGGATTGTGCATGATCTTGAGGGGTATGAGTTGGTGTTCCGGTACTTTGAGCGGGAGGACTGGAAGGGTGGAGCTCCGAGGTTGGGTGAGAGGGGTGGAATGATGGATGAGTGAGGGTGCCAGATGTGGTAGTACGAGGGAAGACGAAGTAACGGCTGACTTGAGAGGAGCGATTTTCCTTGCGCGTTGCTTTCATGGGTGGTGTTCTGCGATTGTACGGCAAACGGGTAATTCTTTAGTCTTCTCATCTGTGCTAGCAATTCATGCGCTGGTGTGGAGTTTTTCCATGAAGGTGGATAACTCCTATTTCTACATTATTGGCACCTTGGTTTCTCATTCACTTGATCTTCTCAGCCGCCTCCCTACAGCTCTGCAGCGCAGCACGAGCCTGCTGCCAATCCCGGAGAGCTTCTGCTCTGGTCTCCGTCCTGCCTCCCTCCATGACGAGCTTGCGAAGATGCAGCTCAACATCTGCCAGCACAGTCCGTCCGTTCTCCTTCAGGCTCGTTGCGAACGCTTCCCGTTCTTTCCCCCACAATGACTGCAAGCGTCGCAGACTCCAGACGATACCCAAAGCAGCTAGAGCGCCCGCAGACTGTATTCCTGCTCCGTTCGTAGCAAGCCAGATCCAGGCTCCCAGAGCTGTCGAGCCCCCTGCTGTACTCAGAGTCGAGAGAAGGAGCGCTTGGGCTTTCCGATGAAATTGCGGGACGTCGGAGTGAAGCATTTGCTGCCGAGCGAGATTTATCGTTCGTGGCCAGGGAGGGTCGAACATTGCGTTCACGCCTGTTTGGGCCTTGATCCGCTGGGCTAGGCTTTCGACTTGCATAATATCAGCGTCGAGGCGGGCGTCTTGTGTTGGTATGCTAATGACTTGGCTACGCTGAGGTTGTAGATCAATCACTTGGACCTCTACTTGATTAGCAGCTTCCACGGCGTTTGATGTAGCGGTGCCTGCGCCGCGCAGTTGGTCAGATGTGGCCAGACCGGCTTCTTCGATACGGCCGCTCAGGAAGGCTAGGGTTTGCTCGGCTTCTGTCAACCAGCTTAGGCGAAGGACGTCGGAGGCAGAGACTGAAACGTCGTCGATGCGCCAGAGGAGACGAAACCAGGCTGTTCGGCTCCATGTTCGGGATTCTAGTGCTGTTTGGAGATTTGTTTGAAGGTCGCGGTGCCAGTCGGCGGCGAAGTGGGAGATGAGGGAGTTGAGTCTTGTGCGCGTGGCTTCGGGCACTGTGGTGCGCTTGTTGGAGGCTATTTGTGTCCTTTCGGCTTGCTCGATGGCTGCCAAGCCTGTAAGTAGCACTGAGTCCATGAGACTGCGCATAGAAGGCTTGAACCCCTCCTGCTCGGCTTCCCGCGGTCCAGATATCCATTGCGAAAGTGTGGACATGCGGCTTGTTTGCCACTCCTCGCTGAACTGTGCACCGTTCGCCTTGTTCGCACGGAACAAACCAAGAGCGTGGGTGGCAAGGTCAATGTCGATGACATTGTCCGTGGCCGTCTGCTCAGCACTCTTCTCGCCTGTCGAAGAGCGTAAGGGCAGACTCAAAGCAGCATGTATGAGCTCTGCCTTGTCCAGAAACCGAGGTAGTCTTCCATACTCTACAGCTCCAGTAATGCCCTCGGCCACTACTAAAGCCTTGTGCACAGGGTATCGCACGAAGCCCACCCTGCCAGCGCTTGAGTTCGGCGTGACCAGGGAAGGCACCAGAAGGGCCTCCTCAATCTCCGCATCGCTGACACCGTCCGCCGCAACGGACGTGTTGAATGTCGTCACCAGTATCTCAACATTATGCCGTCGGAGAAAAGGCGAAGGTAAACTCAATGTCTGCATGAGCGGACTCTGCTGCACCGTGTCCTCAACATCCCCGTATCGTAGCAGAAGACTCCGACCGTCCTGTCCGCTACGCAATATATCTTGCTCCCATTCTTGTTTGTCGCCCAGGGCATCGCTTAGCAGGACCCGTGCTAGCTTCCTTGCTGCTTGTGCTCCATTGATACCCAGTCCTAGTAGCGCTATTCTTGTGACTGGCGTATCGCTCTCTAAGCTCCGTATAGCTAGCTCTAGTCGTGATAGGCTGATATATGTGCCTGCTTCGGCCTTCAGTGCCGACAATCTCTGGTGAAGGTCGCGATACGCGGCCGGCACTGTAGTGGGCGCATTGATAGCAGTGGCAGAGGCTAGCGAGCCATGCGAAGCGTGCCTTCTTGTTCCGGACGTTCGCACTGTCTGCTGTGAATGAGCAAGCCGGCTCCGCTGTCTCCTGTCGCTCGCGCTGCTGTTGCTAATGCTTCTCCGAGCTCCATCCACCGGTGCAGCTCGCACGCCTGCTGATGCTTTGACCAGGCATGTTGGGCAAATATACGGCTCTGTGCCAGCGACAGTGAGCGCACGCCTGCCGACAAGGCTGCTTTTGTGCATCGAATGATCGTAGTAAAGCTGTGTACGAAGATCAAAAGTCGCGAAAGCTTGCGAACCGACCTTGAAGCTCGAACACGCGCACAGACCAGACAGGCTCGCCCAAACGACGGCAACATCAACACGGACTCGGTTACAACATGGAGTAGCAAGACCTGAGGGACTGGAAGAGAACGTATGGTGTAATGCACATTTGAAATTACATAGATGGTTCGTATCCTGCTCGTCATCCTCACCCCGTGAAGCTTCATCTAATTTGGACCAACAGACGTCTTCGTCCTCTCGAAGTAAGAAATGGCATTCGCAGCCTTAGCACAAGAGCTCGAACCAGTTTGGTTGATGTGCTGCCAGTTACCATTTTGAGGCCTGCCGTAAGAGTGGAAATAGTACCACACCTCACTCAACTGAGTCCTTCCATTGTCTGTCGAGTTGCGTCCAGCAGTCGTCTCATTGTAGCGAGGGCCAGAGCAGCCAAGATATGGTGTAGAGCCGTACTCTGCTCTCAGAGCTGCTTCCATGTTGCTCAAGGTGTATGTAGTGCTGTTGCTGGGGTAGATGCCGTGGCTACCAAGCCAGCCCCAGGTTGGGAGGCGCATGTAGTAGAGGATCACGGTCTGGAAGAAGTCGATCACTTCTTGATGAGGCTGGTATTCTGGTCCATAGCAGGGGACGTCGAACCTGTACATCGACGAATGGATGGGTTAGCCGGTGCCTTAGATGATACTGAGAGCCTTCAAGGGCAATGATTGCTTACGTGCTGAAGCAAGTCGCATGCTTGGAAAATTCGTGGCCCCAGAAGTCACCTGAGCGAGTTAGCATTGACGAATCTAATCTCTCATATACCTTGTGAAAGGTGACTCACCGTTGGGTTGGCCCTGTGAGACCCAGTACTTGTTCATGTAGGCGAGGAGATCAAATCTGCCGAAGGGTGCCAAGAAGGTCGAAATGCTAGGACGCTTGTATGCCGGAACAACTGTACCATTGGGAAGACCATTTGTGGTGTTGGGCGATGGAGCAGGATCGTACTGTCTGGACAGATCGCAGTACTGGCTACTCCTCGTAAGTCTCAGGCCCATCTCGGGGATCTTCAAGGAAGACATACGTGTAGGAGCCTGTGTGCCAGGAGTACAAGAATTAGCACTCATCCGAGACATCTGGTGTATTCAAAACGACCGACCGTTGCAAAAGTCTGGCCTTGTAAACGTTGTTAGCAGGGCTCAGAGTATCTAAATGTGTTCTCGATGTGTGCCCATACCATAAGCCATGAATGGTCCAGCTGAATTCGGGCAAAACCTGTCCTTGCGCCTCATATCCAGTGTATGTGTCCCAGTATTGCGTCGAAACGAACAACCCTCCGAAAGTCTCCACGCAGCAAGAGTCGACGGTCTTGGGATCGGCCTGAGCCGAGCAAGAGAGGTAATTAGGTTGCAGGACGCAAGTGTGGTTGACGTTGCTCTCGCCATACAACGAAGCTGAAGCCGTTGCCAGCAGAGCTGCCGTGGCAGCGACAGTGTTTGTCTTCATCATTGCGAAGTCGTGACCGTAGTAATCAAAAGAGACGAGACGACATAGTATGAAAGACCTGTTCTTGTAGCGAACGACCCTACCTTTGAACTACTGTGTTGCGGCTCACACCAATGCACGCAGCCGCATGAACCATTGCATGCTACGGCATCCCGTCATACGTATACCAACCTCGTGCTCGCCATGCGCGCGGCGATTCGTGAGATGTAGACTTCAGAAGCAAGTAGGCCAAGAAGTCAAAGAGAGCCGTTCTGCTTGGCGAAAGATGATGTCAGGTACCAATATCCTATTGGCTGAATACGATGTGTAAGCGAGATGGCTTGCCCCTGGGATCGCGGAGACACCGTTTCTGGTTCGATAATCTGGCTTGCTTATCTTGTAGACCCTTTTAAGGTGTGATCAAATACGCAATGGCGAAGTATCTACATGGCACGTGACTTGGGATAATCCACGCGCTTGGTGATAATTCAGGTCGTTCTAGTCGAACGCCGAAGGACCAACGAGACTTTCGTTGCCGTGAAATCTGTGCTAGTAGTACAAAACAACCGGACGACTGTTCGAAGAGCAACTATCAAGGCTCATCAGCCATCACGACGTGGGTATCATCCATCCAAAAGATCCGAAACCAGCTCGTCTCTCACACAACGACACCACCAAAGACCAAAGCTGCGAGCTGCCTGATATCCATCACGACTTCAGCTGGTCGTTCCCACGCTGCATGTCGTACTCGTCCTTCCCTCCTCGTCAACATCGCCACGCGATGATATGCTTCGCACCATTGCGGTGGTGCTTGACCTGTTCCTGTGCTAGGCATGATAGGGTCTCGAAAGTGTGTGATGCCCAGTGGCACATTACTGTAGCTTAGCCATAGCGAGGGAAGCAAAGCTGCCGAATTGACGAGCCATCGCATTGCTACTTCGGGCCCAGGCAGCCAGTATACCATTGCCCAGTTTATGATTGTCGTTGGCGTCCAGACCGTCGACAAGCCGGCGAGCTCCATCACCTGTGGCTCGAATGGTGAGCGTGCTGGTGCTGGAGTGGTAGGAGCGCTCGCAGCCGCCGAATTTGGACTTGATGATTGTCGCGTCAATGCTGGTGAGCTGCCTTCCGAGCGATCGCTTGCGGCGTAAGGACTACGCGATGCCATACCGAGCGTCGGAGGACGAATGGCATCGAGCACAAAAGCTAGAAGCCCTGAGGGTGAGTCGCAAAGAGCATACGAAGCTGTCTGTGGTCGTTCTCCAAGCTGAGGTGGGACTCCTGGCGACAGAGGAGGTGAGTGCGTTGCTGAGCCAGGACTACCTGCCGCGGCGGCCGGACTCATCATATCTTGTGAGCCACCGTAGCCATAGCTCGACCTGACAGGTGCGAACGTCAGCTGGAAAAGACAACTTCTGATACGAGCGTAGAGAGTATGAGCGAACCTTGCGGCTGGTACGTCCGGATTGACGGTGTGTATGGCGACACAGCTGTCAGCACAGCCTAGCGCTAACATGCGACAGATTCTGAACCCCCTAAAGATCTGTCAGTAACGATTCAGCTTCCCACTCGTCGACCCAGTACGCGCGTAAACGACGATCGAGATTGGGCTAGGCTAGAGAGATTCGATCTTTATCGTCGCGACGCGTCAATTGCCGAGAAGCACTAGAAGATCTGGAGAACTCACCATCCAGATCCATGTGCGATGTATTGCTGATAGCCAAGCATCTTCATCAACCCGTCGAAGATGGCTGCGGTCGTAGGCATCGCGTTGCCTTCTTCATGGACGGCATCGCTAAATCCAAAACCAGGGATGCTCGGTGCGACGACGTGGAATGCTTGCATCTGATCCATCCCATGCTGAGAAGATGCAACCGGATCGCAAAGTGCGTCTATCAGGGACGAGACCGTGATGAAGCTCTCTGGGAATCCATGGACGAAAAGCAGTGGTATTGCGTTCGGTGATTTGGATTTTCGATGGACAAAGTGCATGCGAGCGCCATTGATGTTAGTCCTGAATTGTGGAAGGTTGTCATTGAAAAGTGTTTCCTGAGTCCGCCAGTTATACTCGTCGGTCCAATGATCGATCAATGGCTCGAGGTCCGCTTTGGTGACTCCGAAATCCATGTATTGCTGTGTCGAAGCTTGAGCGTCTCTGGGAAGCCGGCATAGCTCCAACTTCTTCTTTGTCAATTCAATATAACGCTGGGATACATGCATTCGATATGGTTGTATAGTATGGTTGGCAATAGGTGAGCGAGAGGGGGAGCCACGCGAGCTAGGTCCCATGATGGTGGGATGAGCTGTGCTGATCGCCAGGACATGAGTAGCTATCCTTCCTTATAGGTAGTCTGTGAGCCTGGCAGCCGCCATGCATAACCACACATACGCAAGAAGGCTGGCGGATATGTTCCGGTCCCTGTGGAGTTCCTTGCAGGGACGTTCAGCTTCCGGCGGTCATGTCCGAGTACACTGCCTTTCTAGCAGAAAGTCTGAGCATACTGAGCGCTGAAGTCCAGGGAGCAGCCCGTGAATATTCAGATAGAAGTGTCGACATGTTGAATCATACACAGCATTGTTGGTCCCCAGAAGAGATGAAATGTAATTACGACGGATCCGTCGCCGGATTCGAGCAGTGATGCCGGGATATTGCTGTTTGGGCCATATGTGTTCAGACCAGCTCTTAGATCTTAGGTCGATCTTTCGAGCAGAATAGAGTGGGAGGCTACTCGATTGGTTCCCATCTGCAACGTCCCTGCATTGCAGAATCTGCGTCAAATAGCTGCACCGCCACACATGTGGCAATTGTGGCGTTCGCGGCGTGTTTTTGTTCCTGGGCTAAAACGTCTAGTGTGCAGCAAATCTGCTTGTACTGTGGCGCTGGCTGTGGTTCCTGGCTTAAAGGCCAAATACTTGGCTGACTGCTCCATCACTATCGGCACCCCTGGCTCTCGATACAATTTTGAATAGGCGCCGAACATATCCGGAGGCCCGGAGTCAATGAGCACGCGTGGGATCTGATCTTAGGCAGTAATTGTCGATCGTGTTGGAGGCGTATTTTGGGTTTGGAGCAGACACATTGGCCTCGATGTCGACCACAATAAATGATGAGCGAGTTGAGCTGTTTAGGGTTCCCTGCTTGTGCAATGGAGTCGACCCGCATCATGTTTGCGGGGCACTTGAATGGCAAGTGGATGCGAGTGACAGTACAGCAGGCTTAACATGCCTTGAAGACGTGTGCTTTCAGCTGCGCAGGGGCTGTGGCATCACGTTGTAAGGTCGCCGTCTGCATCGAATTCTTGCGTCGACGTTCTGGACCCGGCGGCGGATGGGTGGGGTTGATGCACGGACCATATTCGACATTGAACGTCACGCATTGGAGTTTTAATTTCTGATACAAAGATCGATATGGGCGACAGCAAGCAAACCGGCGTGTCATATCTATTGCCACCGCCAACGTTCGGGCTCAGGTCCGCAGCCATGTGTCACTACGAAACTCAATGCTGCCTGGTCAGTATGTAGGCTGTCAACCGGGACAGTCAGTGGAGGGTTGCCAATGCTTGCATTGCGATCGACACCTGTGCACAAATCAACTTTAGTGGGCCACAACCATCAACTCAGGCGCTCCCGTGTCTCCGCTTACTACGCGTGGCGGGACCTCCAAATATGATGAGGTGCCGATAGATATCGGAGGAGCTTGTGCGAAAACAGTAGTCCTATACGTCTACTTCTCTTGTGATCGGCAAACCCGAGCATTCATTACTGACTCAAAAGTCGTCATGCGTCTCTCATGGACGACCAAATTCGCAGATTGGTCAGTGCTACCATTGATGGCTGCGGACAGTCCGAGCACTGGGTGCATCCCCGGGCCTGTTCGTATCTCGCTGGCAACAGGTCACAATCTAACAAGGTGATAAAAATTTGTGCCGTTCAGTAATTCTGCTCTCGGCTGAAACGGCGGACGCGGGCATCCATGCCTTCCACCTTCCAGGAGCCATGCTGCTGTGTCGTGCTCAGTGTTCGCGCGAAACCGCCATCGGCATCGTACAGCTCGAAGGTGCTGTCCAGTGTGGTCTCATACAAGTGCACTTCCACCTCGTCCGCATTGGTCCAGTCATAAACCGTACGCTTCTCTCCTTCCTTGCCCAGCACCAAGATTGTACCTTCCCGGATATACAAGGGTAGAGTGTCAAGATCATGTCTCTCCTTGACCCACTGTGGGCCCTCGACGACTTTACGATCCCAAAAGCGGGTCCACTTGCCCTGGGGCAGGTAAAACTCTACATCACCTGTCTCGTCAAATACTGGTGCTACGAGAAGACTTGAGCCTAACATAAACTGCTGATCGCATGTCCAGGCAGTGCGGTCGTCTGGAAACTCCAAAGCCATGGCGCGCACGCTGACTGGCCAGCCGTGCTTGATGGCATCCATGGCTTGACTGAAGATATAAGGCATGAGCCTACACTTAAGCTGCGTGAACTTCTGCAAGACCGCCGAGGCACCTGTCGAGCTCTTGTCGTCGTTGTCGATTAGCCAAGGAACGCGGTAGGAATTGCTCCCGTGTAGTCTGGAGTGCGAGCAAAGGAGACCGAACTGCACCCAGCGTTTGTAGATCGTGGCGTCTGGATAGCCCTCGAAGCCACCAATATCGACGGACCAAAAAGAGAAGCCACACATACCCAGCGAGAGACCGCCTCGCAGCGACTCGGCCATGGCTTCGAAAGTGGACTCGCAGTCACCTCCCCACTGTAGAGGGAAGCGCTGTGTACCAGCACAAGCAGCCCTCGCGAAAAGCACAGCTTCGTCGTTCCCATAGCGTTCCTGCAAGGCTTCGAAGACGAGCTTGTTGTAGATGAAGGCATAATAATTATGCATTTTCTCGGGATCGAGACTCGAATCATGCCACTGGACGTCCTTGCTCGGAATACGCTCACCAAAATCCGTTCTGATGGCATCAATGCCGGTATCGAAGAGCTTCCGCAGACAAGACTTATACCATTCACATGCCTCAGGATTGGTGAAGTCCACAATGCCCATCCCAGCCTGCCACAAGTCCCATTGGAAGACGTCACCGTTCTTTCGCTTGAGGAGGTAGCCTTTCTCCGCCGCCTCCTTAAAGACAGGAGAAGCTTGACCTAAGTATGAGTTGATCCAGACGCAGACCTTGTTCACCAGACCAGACTCCTTCAGCCGCGTGATCTGGCCTTTGGGGTCTGGGAAGTGCGAACTGGAGAACTCGAAGTCGCACCAGTGGAAGCCACGGAGCCAGAAGCAGTCGTAGTGGAAGACTTGGACTGGGATCTCGCGGTCTCGCATTCCTTCGAGGAAAGAGCTGACTGTCTTCTCGTCGTATTCGGTCGTGAAGCTCGTCGATAACCAGAGTCCGTAGCTCCACGCCGGCACTTTATTCGGCCGGCCGGTGAGCAAAGTGTACCTTCTGATAACCTCTTTTGGCGTAGGTCCGTAGATGATATACCATTTTAAACTCTGACCTTGAACACTAGTCTGGACTCTGCAACATCTCTCACTACCGACTTCGAGCTCGACACGCTCTGGCGCATCGATGAAAACACCATATCCTCGGTTACTCAGCCAGAAGGAGATGTTCTTGTATGCTTGGTCGCTGGACGTCCCACCGTCGGCGTTCCAGAGACTGATGCTTTGACCGACTTTGTTCAGAGCTCCGAAGCGTTCACCCAGACCAAAGACTTGCTCGCCTACGCCAAGGGTTGTCTGGGTCAGGATATAGTGTTCAATCTCTCGCATATCAGCTGTCTGCATGGGCGAGCTGGTAGCGGGTGAGTATGCAAGGCCAATACTGCGGTCAAGGAGAGACGTGAGTCTGTTCTTGCCATCTGTGCTATGAAAGCGAACGTCGAAGGTGTGCGGGCTTGCTGACACTGTGGCCGCTATGCTACCGGCAGTGAAGGTAGTCCCTGTCTCGGTCTTGATCACGGCAGACTCGACTTCAGGTTGTCCATTGAGGAAGAGGTCGAAATGTGGGCCTTTGCTGACGGCACCGTGCCAGTGTGTGACCTCGACGGATATTATGCCATCGGCTACAGCTTCGAGGTCCTGGCAATGTCAGATCTTCGTCCATTGACTTATTCGAATCTCTCACATACCACTGTAAGCGTAGGTCGATTGAGTGTGTCACCACGAGATCGTATGTGTGCCGTCGGACACAATAAGCTCAACTTTTTGCCATCAGCGGATGGATTGATCGAGTAGACCTCTTCCGCATATTCCACTCGTTTCCCTTCCGCCACCAACCACATGCCTTATTACTGTCAGCCACAACGATTGGCTCAATCGGGCGTAACCGAACGTACCATCGCGAAACTTCATCTTGTTGCTCGTAGACCCTGTGAGCAGTGTCAGGGCAGCACGGAACAAAAGCAAAATTTATGAGCGACGATGCTGTAAAGACTTATAGCACTTGTGTTGAGTTTCGATGTGGTCGGTGTACATATGCCTGTCCGTACCTGCATGCAACCATACCTCGAAGCTAGGCCAAACATGGCAGACGGAAGATCTATCGCCGTTTCTTCTGCGCAACCACCGAGCTCGTATTCGTGATCAGAACGTATACCTTGGTCCTTTGCGATCCGACGTCCCCTGTGGAGTGGACGGTTTGAATATACTGAAGACGCGTTACATGCTATGGCTGGAGCAATTTCTTGCCGGGATCTTTCCTCAGGGCTGCCAGTAAGTGAGCACACGCGAGCATGGTAAGACATGATTTGGGCCGTTTCACCTGTCATCTATCTCATGGTCACATCATATCGTACCGCTCCGATGAGCATCATACCAACCTCAAAGTCCCATCCTCCACTATTGAGCCAGACACACCAACATCGACCTCACCACCACTAACAGCAGGCCCAGTGACTACGAGCCTACCCTTTGGTCTCGAACCCTCGAGCTCGCTTTCATTCGAATTCAGCAACTTGATCTCTACAGAGCTCAAAGGTGCGCCAAATTGACTTCCAGCATCAATCCGGTAGTCAAAGACATTGCTCTGCGTGATAGCTCCCGCTACAGACGCAGCGGTGAGAGCATAGCAAATTCTCGCTCGTGTGTGTAAGCGGAGATCAGATAGTACGGTCGATGACAGTGCAGGCGAACCAGTGCCTATACGCTCTGAAGTGAGTATCAGTCGGAGCTTGCCAGGTGTGTTTCCTGATGCTGAGGACGGTGGTGCAAGCATTTTGAAGAGGACACCATCTGTCGGCATTCTTCCTGCGGCCATGGCTTGTGAGTGAGTGTATTTTCCTAGACTTCGAAGTATCGATGAGGCGCCAGCAGTCTCCTTGGCATGCACTTTGGCCATTGTTTCAGCGCTGGCAATGATTACTGTAGGACTGATAGAACGACTTGCTGTGGCGAGATCGACACCTGGACCTGCTACGCTCGTTATGGCCAGATTGGCGTGTGTGAAGAGAGTGGCGAAGGTCTGGCAGAGGATGTAGTTGTGTGTGAAGCCATCGGCCGGTAGCACGAGGTCTGCTGGAGTCAGACGTTGACGTAGTGGGAGATTGGTAATAAGAGCAGAAGTTGCTGCTACGATGTTGTGATGTGTGAGAGTCGTAATGGTTGGTTTGCTGCTAGGGTCAACAGGTTGCCAGACCGAGATTATCGGAGCCAAAGTAGGTGATTGATCGTTCGTAGGGAGGTCAGGACTAGCTGATCCTTTCTGCTCTTCGACGACATCATGCCAGACACTGACTTTCAGGTGGTCGGCGGCAGAACCTGGCACGCCATTCCAGTCCATGTGCCGGCTCGTCTTCTCGACTACCCAGGTAAGCAGCTTAAGATTTTTACATGCTTGTGCTAGATCGTCCAGAGGCACATTACCAGCTGCACATATGAGTGCATCGGCACCAGTACTATTTATGAGCTCGTAGACCTTGGCGTGAGGTTGGTTGTAAGGTAACAGAACTGGTGACAAGCCATAGAAGGCACATGCTGGGCTCATGTCAGCATAGCTCCTCATCTCCAACCGAATACATGGACCCACCGAATACGGTCATCAGATACTCGGCACTATTCGGTAGGTATATAGCCACTTTTCTGGCTCTTGCCTGGCTTATATGCGTTCCCAATATACCAATCTCTCTGCTCAGATCTTGCACATTGTGCTCCACAACTTCATCCCGCCCGAGGATCGTCATGATCGAAGCTTTTGGCACAGGCTTGCCATCGTCTCCAGTACTACCACCTCGCATGACCTCCCTCCATACATCTCTCACGTCGCCATCCTTCCCACTTGCCCAACGCGGTGCTCCCGCGTCCTTTACGTTGAGACCAGAGCGTAGAGGCGTGCCGTATGGAACTTCGGGCGAGCGATATGCTGCTGAAGAGCCCTTGTTTCTGATGGGAGCAGCACTAGATTGGCGGGCCAGAAGTAGAGGGTGGGTGTCAGGTTCGGACGGGTACAGGATTGGATAGCCAACTAGAGCTACGATCACAAAAGTGAGGACGGAGGTGATCAGCGTCCAGTCCGACATGAGGTTCGCTAGTTGAGCATCGAGGCTCTCCAGTGTAGACGCCATGTTTACTATAGCAAAGGGCTACATGGAAGCTGTGGTTATGAGAATAGTGGAGGGAAGTGAATTCGAGTAACTGAGACGTGAGCGCGCTGACTAAACCAAGAGAGTGGGGCCGAGACGAGGGGTATCGTTTTGGTATAGGACGCAGATGTTAGCACCACTACCGTGTTACTCCTGTGTACTTACAGAAACAAGTCGCATGACCGGACTGATGGTTGTCATGCTGGAAACGAGTATCCAAGTACCAGCTCGTGTGAAGGTATCGTGGGCGAGAAGGTATCGTGGGCGAGATCTGCCAATGACTACTTCTTCGACCATCTGCTAGCAAGCATCGGCAAAGTATTACAAGATCAGAGATGGAATGAGTCAAAGTGTGGACTGTACGAAGAAGATCGAAAACTGACGAATACTGGAAGACGTTTCGTGGTATCCCTCTTTCATTTTATTCATACGAAGATTGTGTCACAGCTTGCTCTTCGGCTGCACCACCTTCTCCACCTCAGCAAACTGATAGTAAAAGTCCAGACACTTCTTGTTTGCCAAGGTATCAGATGCCTTGATTTTTTTGCCCGACACAATCTGCTTGACAGGTAACTCCACCTTCTTCAGGTTGATAGTCGTGGGTATCTCCGGGGTCTCGAAGACGTACTTAGGTACACATCGTCGTCCCACATCCCGGGCAATGGCGTCCTTGACTCTCTTTACCAGCTCAGGAGTGAACTTCTTACCAGGCTTCATGAGCAAGAACAGCATGACGTTCTCGTCCATATCCTGTGCTCGGCGTTGTCCAACACAGATGCTATCTTGTATCACTTCTGGAAACGAGGCGTCGAGACTATTATAGACCTCTGCACTCCCGAAACGGACACCGCTTGGGTTCAAGACGCCGTCAGCTCGGCCATGAAGGTAGACCTGGCCGTTCTGTGGGTGGATCGAGATGAAGTCGCCGTGTGTCCAGACATCGTCGAAGCGAGCATAGTACGCATTGAAGTACTTTTCGCCATTAGGGTCGTCCCAGAACTTGATAGGCATCGTCGGAAACGCACGAGTACAAACGAGTTCTCCTGACTCTCCGACTGGTACTGGCTTACCTTTCACACCCTTACCACCCTCGACGGTTTGGTCGTAGACTTCCACCTTCATCCCAAGTGCCGGGGCCATTGTACCACCGCAATACAGTGGCTTCATCGTGGTGTCCATGGTGAAGCAAGCAGCTAGATCTGTGCCGCCACTGATGTTTCCTAGTTGTACATGTGGCGGGAAGGCGTGATCGTAGAAATAATTGAATTGTGCTTCGGAAAGCACCATACCTGTACTTGTCACTCGTCTGAGCTTTGAGAGATCTGCGATATCGCGGGGTATGATGGGCGGGTGCGCAGTAGCCAGTGTCTGCATATATCGAGGTGAGATGCCCAGATCAGTCACCTTTTGATCACCGACAAGCTTGATGAATGCTTTCAGATCTGGCTGGAAAGGTGAGCCATCGTACAAGATCGCGCGAGCGCCATGAAGCATGGTCATGCAGCTAGTGAGGTACATTATCCAGCCTGTGGTGGTATACTGGAGGGTGCAACTCTCCTCAGGATCGTGAGCCAGAGCATCACGATGCAAATTGCCTTCTTTCTTGGAGTTTATCAATACGCCGCCTGCCGAATGGACAATACACTTCGGCATTCCGGTCGTGCCGCTGCTGTAGACAATGATGAACGGGTCGCGAAAGTCAATGCGTTCCCAGCGGGGTGTCTTGTCACCTTTGCCAGCCGACAGGAAGGCGGCGAGATTCTCACATTTGGGTACCGAGGAGATGTCGACAGGTTTATTCTGCCATCGTGGCATACTGACAAGACCCTGTACGTCCTTGACGTCGCGGAGACCTACTTCAATCTCACACATCTTCGGTCGAAGATCGATCGAGCGTCCGTTGTAGATTGCCCAGTCGTCCATGAAGACATACTTCGGCGTAACTTGCCGCAGTCGATCGAGAATACCTTTTGTGCCCATGTCCGTGGAGGAGCTGCTGAAAATGCCTCCTACCGCTGTCGTAGCGTAGAAGACGACTAATGTGTCCAGTGAGTTCGAGGCGACTACAGCGACTCGATCACCCTTCCTTACACCACGTGCACGCATGGCATTCGCCAGCAGTGCTGTTCGCTCTCGGACTTCTCGCCATGTAATACCGCGGATTTCAGTACAGCCTTCTCGAACCTCAGTGCATGCTATGGCGTCGTCTCGTTTCCGGTGGGTCGTAGCTATACTTGGGTCCTTGTCGTCTGCCCAGTAGAGGATATTCTCAGCGAAATTCAATTTCACACCTTCGAACCAGGCGGGAATTGAATCCATTCGGGCTGCCTCGTCGACGACTCTGCTATACTTTCCCGAGTGGATCAACGGGTACTGTTCGAACAATTCTCCCCAGAATTCTGATCGATGGTCGACTGACCAGGCATGGAGGTCCTCCCAAGTCTGCATCTGGCGATGATGCTTCCGGTTGGCATCTTGCATAAATTGATATGCCACACTCGCTTTGGGGTCCTGAGGCTGCCATAGCTTTCGCATTTGGAGCTGAGATTCTGCCATTGTGATTGGTATGATCACATAAAAGATATTTGATGCAATCAAGGGCTGGGGACGAATCTATAGCCATCTTGCCCCAGCTCTGGTGATCCATCCCGAATGTATTGCCGATGCAGCCGCGGCTGTAGGTCGATGGGGTACCGGATTGTGTGGAGTCACTGCGAGACGCCACATGTGGCGTCCTTGGAGGATATGGCAGCCTATATACTCCGTACCCCTTCCGTTAATTTAACATATCGCACGAGCTGCGCCCCGATCAATGCAATTTTAGTTACTGCCTACGTGACAGTGACTCCTCGCAAGAGGATGCTCGAGTGATAAAAGCACAGGGTGATGTCTAGCTGTTGCTCTTCAGGTACAACATACAAAGATGGCGTCTTGCAAGCACACTCAGCTCTGGCTCGACGTCTCAGCGCATGCCAAAGAAGCTGGATATACGCAGCAGTCCTCCCAGCAAAGACTGGCAGCTACGCAGGCTTCGGGGCGATGTTCAAAAGACAAAGCAAGCTCGCGGGGAGTCCGAGATGCTATGAGTGCAACGACTTTCCGACCGCCTTTGGTCTTGCCTGGAGATGAACTTGCATGGGACCCGAAGTGCTCACCTCAAAGCTTCCGCTCATGGAAGCAGGAGAAGAACCGAAATGCTGTGACCAACCGGCGTCGAAACGTCTACGTGACAGCGCCTCCTACTTTAGGTAAAGACAGGGGATGTTTCAAGCCTGACACGAATCTGAAGCCGATGCCTCGTCCGAAGCTGCAGTTGCCTACAACCACTGACGTTATCGACTATTTACAATCCTTCTATCATGGAATGCCGGTAAAAGTACTTGATCCACCAAAATCAGAGCTTGTGCCCTGGTACGTGGGAGAAGGATCGAAGGACAAGTCCACACGCATCGGCCTGAACGTTAGCGGAGAGTTTGTAACTATTCGTGTGCGCTGGACTGACTTGTTCGCCGTGCAACTTAATCTAAACGACTTGCTTGACGCTGCAATCTCCATTCTACCAAACGACGCATATGCACTTCTAATGATGGTCGACCACGATCTGTATGAAGATGAGGAAGATGACTTTTGTTGTGGCCGTGCTTACGGCGGAAGCAGAGTGGCTGTTGTGTCGACAGCTCGATACAATCCCAGACTGGATGAGACGCACGGTGTAGATCGAGAGCACGCCTGGTCAGCTTCACACTGTAGAGCATATGTCGGGGATTGTTGTGCTCCAGATCGAAAGAAGAGCAAGAAACGCAAATTGAACGAGCTGGAGGGCCCTGTGCCAGCCGACAACCCGATGAGTAGTGCTTTGGCAGCACACATAGCTTGCAAAACGAAGAAGGATAAGATCGCACAAAAAGCTGAACTCGAAACACTTTGGCTTGGTCGTGTCTGCAAGACTGCTTCCCATGAATTGGGTCATTGCTTCGGTATAGGTCATTGTACTTACTATGCTTGCGTGATGCAAGGAACCGCCGGACTACCAGAAGACGCGAGGCAGCCGCCATATCTATGCCCGATAGACACGGCGAAGCTTCTGCATGCAACTGGAGCTAAGGAAGCGGACTGGATTAGAGCCGTGATGCGATTTTGTTACAAGTTTCCGGAAGATCGATTGTTTCGCGCCTTTGCGGCATGGCTAGCAGTACGTATCCAGTCTTTGTGAGACCAAGGTTCAGAATGGTCTAAACCTTTGCGCTGCACTGCCGGAGTTGATCCTCAGATTTGTAAATCTGCTTGAGTAAGCTACCCAACCCTCTTACCTCTTTGGGAAGTACGTGAAAAGTCACATGCGAGGCATTTGCTTGAGGCACAGCATGATATAAGTGCAGTCGTAGCTATGGTTTACCAGCGTCAGGAACACAGCAAATCACTCAAGAATCAGCTCCATACTTTACCAGAACATCATGTCGACTCAATTTCTCTTGACCGGCGTCACAGGCGGCCTGGGAGCCAGAGTTCTGAATGACATGCTGCACATCCACCATGTACCGCCTGCGAACATCATTGCAACCTCACGCTCGGGAAGGAACAGACAGCGATTCGAAGCTCTAGGTGTCAAATTCCGAGTTGCAGATTACGGTCATCCCGACACGCTCCATACTGCATTCGAGGGAGCGGAGAACCTACTATTCGTGTCTAGCTCCGAACGAGATACGCCGAAGCGCAACAGCGAGCATGAAAATGTTGTTGCTGCAGCGAAGCAGAAAGGCGTCGGTAGAGTGTGGTACGTGAGCCTGGCTCTCGGAGGTTTTGGTAGTGGCAGCATGGTCGGTTTCCAGCAGGCACACTATCAGACGGAGGAAATGCTCAAGCAGTAAGTCCGCGATATGCTGCAAATTTTGTATGCAGCAGTCGCTAATAGATGCAGGTCCGGCATCAACTTCGTCTCCCTGCGAGCAGGTGTCTACACGGATGCTTTCCCCTTGTTCCTGAACTGGTATCCATCCTCGGTAGAGGCCCTGCTTCCGAGGCTGACACCATCTGTTGAGAGTGGTCGAGTAGCATGGACTTCTCGTGATGAGCTTGGCGAGGGGATTGCTACTCTTTTGGCCAAAGGCTTGGACGCCTTTCCTTCTATCAAGCCACAAACCGACAGGAACCTGATATTACTTACCGGCCCGGTCGCTGAGTCTCATGTGGCCTTGGTGGACGCCATTAATCGTGCTCGAGGGACAGATATACCAATTCAGTGGTTGGAGACGCAAAACTGGGTCGAGGCTTCTGCCAAGGATGATATTTGTGGGAAGCCTGCGGCCTGGTTCCAGGCGAGAGTGATCTGGTTCCAAGGTATTTGTGATGGCGACGCCGCAACTGTGGATATTGCTTTGCAAACATTGCTTGGCAGGAGGCCAGCGTCAGGTCCAGAGACGTTGCAAAGGCTGCTCAAAAAAGACGGCGATTATACTTGGCACCAGAATCACATGAGTGTCGGCAAGTAGGACGTGTAGTTAGGCACAACAGCAAATCGCGATCTTCAAGTCCCGAGCACATTCCTTAAGTTTCGTTCCAACGGGTGGACTGCACAAACATGAACGAATGCTAGTGAGCATGGGGATAGAGAGCGTTACCAGACGTTTCGGCGACGGCCGGCTCTCCGAGAAGGCGATTATGCGGCTCTGCGACGAGATGAGACGATACTCACCAAAGAGAATATCGTCTGCGGAGCGTATGCACAACACTTCCAACTTCCAAACCCACGACCAGGTTCGCGGGCCAAAATCGCAGATCCCCAGATCTCATTTGCACGGAGCCGCCTTGGCGTCAGATGCCTAAATTTCTGCAATGCTATTCCTCACGTTTCAGTTCTCGTCATCAGCGGTCATATTCCAACGGCCAGAGGCCCACAGAGGTTCATTTTTGCCACTCTCGTTACCGGGAATGCGAAAATGACCAAGATTTTAACACCGCAACCAGATCTGTTTGGCAGATCTGCCAAATCTACTCTGCTAGTGGCTACTTTGGTTCATGGATGAGCTTTGGCGGAGAGGCCGCTGTATTGCTGTTGATCGTTCGGTTGTGGATCATGATTCCTTGGACTCTGTGCGGCGTACGTCGTTGTGCTGCTCTTGCAGTCCAGCTGGGAGAAGTCCGCTCCAAGCAGACTCTACCATCCTGAAACCTTGGGGCTACCTTCCACGGTACAGTCTGCCTTCATCATGCTACGCCATTGTCTGACGTAGGTCACTGTCTCGACACCTCGTGAATGGTAGGGTGGAGTAGACATAAAGCAGACAGTCGCCGCGACGAGGAGATAATCTTGTCTTCCATCGCCCAAAACAATCATTGATCTCACCAAGACCACATCAACTCCACCACAACAAGGAGACTCTCGATCCCACCATCATGACCTACCTCGAGTAATTTCGCTCCAGCAAGGCCAATGCCGCCCTTCAGAAGGCCCTCAGGGTCATACAGTTCCTGTCGCCAGTCATCTCTCTCGGACTCTTCGCCAGCCGTATCGCAAAGATTGTCCGACTAGGAATTCAGATCACACACTCCAATGGCGCCGTTCTTGGAATTCTAGCCGCTGCAGTTGCCTACACCCTCTTGGCCATGATTTTCCAATTTGTGGTCAAACACGGCGGTCCCAAGATCTTCCGGTGGTTGATGATGCTACTCGACTTGTTGTTCGTTGGCGCATTCATCGCTGTCGCTGTCCTGACAAGACCATACGGAGGGAGCTCAGGCCCATGCCGAAACCAGAACCGCTACTTAGCCACTGCTGTAAGAGGAGCTGGACAGGACTGCAACTTACCATGGGGTGTATTCATCCTCTCAATCATCAGCACCTTTCTGCACTTCTTGACTGCTGTGTTCCATGAGGTCAAAGATCGACGACATGAGCACCAGGAGAAGATGAGGAACGCCAATGGGGGTGGCAACGAGAATGGATACTAGAGGTCGGGGTTTATGGATGGATCAATGTATAGTAGGTGCTCATAGTAATGATGTTCTTCTGCATGAACCAGTAGTCATCATCTGGGTTGTGTCCCAATTTCAAGCCTACAGCTCAAAACGCATGGCCGGCAAGCAGTGTCGTAGTCGACGAAGAACGCTCATTGAGATGGTCTCATCTTATCGCCCTTGCCCTGTTGCTTTAAGTAGGGTGGGTAGGTAATAATGTATTGAGATGGTGAGATAGCTCATTGTGAGACATGAGAGGCACGATTTTAATTCCCAGGGCGCCACGATCAGACGGGAGCAGCCGATGCACGCGAACGCCACTGTTTTGGATAGCAACCCAAGGTACCTTCACTTTGTACATGTTTGAAGAATAAAGATGCCGTAGAAGACTAACAGATACTACAAGCAGAATACTTACATACTAACGCCACAGGTACAGCATCACATTACCCACCGCCGACATGTCGACCACGGCACTGGTCCAACGCGCCGCCCATACCTTGACACCGGCTTCCAATCGCAATGGCTCCACCAATCTCAACACCGCCTCAGCACTAACGACAGCAACCTCGATACTACCGAAGCTGAGTTTGACACCCTCGAAGTCGGCTGGTACCGTGTCATCACCACAAAAGCCCGCGACGCCATCACAGCAACCATCACCTGCTATATCCACGCCAGGACAATGGCAGCACCCACGTATGCAAGAGGTTATACGGCGGCAGAACGCGAATCGCTTCGACGCCAGTAACATGCGCGTTATTGGACTCAACGTTGGCTTCATGGTGGCTAGCATATTCATACCCCATCTTGCCTGGAACATGTAAGGGCAATCTTCCGGCGCAACGACGATCTCAGCTGACACTTAGCTAGACTCCCACACCCATGGATCCTCGCAGCCGAGCCCTACTCCTCTTACTTCCTCTACCTTCTCCGAGCCTTCTTCACACTCAACGTCGTCCTCGCCTTTGCGCCATTATTCCGCCCGAAAGACAACTGCGACGATGTGCCTCTCAACCCTTCTCAACGACAGCTCATGGGTCTGCCACCTATGTCACGGCCAGCGACTCCACAGGAAGAGGCGCAGTATGTGACACCTCCGCGATATTCACGCAGTGCAACACCACAAAGTAATAACAGTCTTCGCGCCCAAGCCAGCGGATCACCGCTAAGTGGAAGAGGAATGGGCACGCCGATGGATGGCAGTCAGCTGCGAAGAAGTTTTAGTGGTTCACCTCGGCCATCGCCGCTAGGTACGCCAACAGGACAAAACAGCCGGTCGAGCTTTGGACGCAATTCTCCGCTGAGCACGCCTGAATTTGATGCGGCTGGTAGTATCAGTACGCCGACGAAGAGCAACAAGGCCAGTGTGAGCTTGAACAGCAAGTGGCTGTACGAGAAGGGGAGAGCAAGTCCGAGGAGCAGCTTCAGTGGGCTTGGTGGATTTGGTGGAGGTGGCAGTGTATTCAATTGATTTGCGTTCCAGCGACATCAAGCATGAGCAAGGCGTTTATGGTCTACCAAGGCATGTATAGCATGCGCATGAGGTGTATGTATATTGCAGCTGCAATAGACGAGGATGCGTGCATCCATCATGAGGAAGAGATATCGTTGAATGTCACAAATCAGCAGCAACTGCAGTCGCCACTGTTCACGCTGTACCATGGATGAGCGTGTCGTTCAGTGAATATCTCACCCGTGCCGGACAATCAGCTGGGCCACTGCCTCGTACATAGCTCACGTTGGTCGCCAAACACAACACCAGCGCATGACCCCACCATTATATCCTTGGGCATAGGATGTGTTCATCAATGCAAACGGCCAGAGGCACGGGGAAAAACAGCGAGAGAAGCAAGATTTTGGATCAAGACATGGCTAGCGGTAGAGCTGAACTCTGCAGAAACCTCATACATTGTCAAGCTTGTTCCGAGTATAGCAATAGCGACGGTCCAAACGCCACTAACGAGGACTTCGCAGCACAGAGAGTCAAGATCCAACGACTGGTAGACATGAATCAGGAGCTGTGTGCGGCCATGCGAATGATGCTACGAGAAGGCGAGGATCCGGAGGCAGTCTACGATATCGAAGATGTGGGTTATCTTATGCAGCTCGCAAGGCCCAGTAAACCAACACGAGTGCGCGGACCTGAGGGTCACCGGCCTGGCACACTGGATCCCGCTTCCCCACCGACCAGAAGAGCGGTCAGAGAGGATGCCGAAGCAGTAGGCCTTCGCTCGCTGTTGGGCAACGGACTTCTTAACAAGTTCTGGGATGCTGTTGTGCTTGACAGGACCCCTGAAGAAGTCGCCGAAGCCTCGACTCCAACCCACGAAGACCCAGGGAGCACTCAGATCATGACAACGCCGAAAGCTGCCGATAATGAGCATGAACAGTGAAGCAAGATCAGGTCAGCAAGGCGTGAACTTCTGGGAGATCTTGCAGGCAGGACTTGTAGTAGTCATGATTAGGATACTGTCTAAGTTTCCCTCTCATGAAGTCAGTGAAGCAAGCTCCAACAACGGCTACCACCGTGTCTTTCCGATCGTTCCGTCCGACCTAAGCCATGAACCAGTCGCTCGTTTGGCTTATGATATGGTAGGTGAATGACGAAAAGTGTGGTTGTAGGTGATATAGTTGACGTCGGCTCGCACTCGGCCGAAGACACCCGAGCCGTGCTACGCGTTTGTGGAAGCTTCAGTCGCGTCCTTCCTTCACTCACTTTAAGGTACCTTCCATCCTGGATCGCTATCTTGTGCGCCAGTACGGCAAACGGATGTGCGCTACCGACTGAAGCTCATCAACATGACTGAACCATTGGACGCTTGGCTTCGACGACATACACTCTATCTTCATTCCATCAGAGCATTACCAGCTTGATCAATTCTGGGATGCCGTTTCCACTACCAGCATTTGCTCTTTTGTTTTCACGCCTAGAAGAAATCGAGACGCGGCAGCCGCCATTGCTACCTCGGGAGAAAGCGGAGGCTTTGAACATCGAAACGCAGAAGTGGTTCAAATCTCATCATAGGGCAATCAATGAACTCGACGTACCAGGATCAGTGGCCTTGCTATCAGCCCTCCTACCCGAACGTCGGACTGACCGGGTCTATGGTATTCAAGCGCAAAGTCTATGCCGGATCTTGTGTCGGAGTCTGGGCCTCACATCGAGCAGATCCAAGGAATTGCAGGTCTATAAGCAGCCTGGATATGGTGACCTGGGAGCTTGTCTAGAGCGCGTGCTCAAGGCTGGCGGCTCGGTCGCTAGACCGCCTGTGTCACTGGAAGAAATCGACGCAATGCTCGAGCAGCTGGCAGCACAGTGTCGCTTCTCTGGTCCAGCGGTAAAGGGCTCAGTTCCGCCCAGTTCCTCAGAAGCACGAGATAAGCTGATCGGAGACCTTCTCAAGCGTACTCCGCCTGAGGAGGGTAAATGGCTTGTTCGTCTGATCTTGAAAGATTTCTCGCCCGTGCGGCTCAATGAGGCGTTGGTGATGAAAAGCTTCCACTTTCTGCTCCCGGACCTACTGCGGTTCCAGGGCAATTTTGAGACTGCGACGCGGATGCTTAAGGATGACTTGCATATCCGGCAACTTCCTGATCATCCTGATCCTCGATCTGAAAGATTGTTTCGACAAAGTGCAGGAACATCTCTCCGACCTCTTATAGGTGTGAAGGTGAGCAGGCCTGGGTTCGTAAAAGCTCGCAGCATTGAACACTGCTTGAAGATGGTAGGTACTCGCAAATGGGTGCTTGAACGCAAGTATGATGGCGAGTACTGTGAAATTCACATTGATAGAAGACGATCCACTGTGCCTGTCGAATGCATACAGATCTTTTCGAAGAGCGGCAAAGACTCCACTGCCGACAAGAAAGGCATACATTCCACCCTTGTAAAGTGCTTGAGGCTCGATCAGTCGGACTGCAAGATCACGGAGCAGGCGATCTTGCTTGGAGAACTGGTTGTATACTCTGACGTAACGAAGAGTGTCCTAGGCTTTGATGAGATAAGAAAGCACATTCTACGCTCTGGTGTGTTCCTTGGAACAGACCTGGACTCGCAGCCACGTGCTCACGAGCACCTTGCCATTGTTTTCTTCGATGTGCTACTATCAGATGACGACGTAGTCATGCATAAATCTGTTAACGAGCGTCGACAGCGACTGCGGCAAATGTATCGGAAAATACCCGGTCGAGCCTTGGGAGCTGAGTGGAAAGAGGTCAACTTCGCCAATAGTGGTCCCGCAAGAAAACGACTGCTCGAACAGTTCGCTGCATCCATCGTGCAGCGGTGTGAAGGCCTTGTCTTAAAGCCTTGTGGAGTGCCTTACTTTCCTCTCGACACGCATCATGATGGTGTACGTACCTGCATCATCAAGCTGAAGAAGGATTACATAGCCAACATGGGTGACGAGGCTGATTTTGCAGTGATCGGCGCGAGCTACGACGCACAGCTAGCGCTGAAGAGCGGCATTCCTGGTATCAAGTGGACGTCATTTCATTTGGGCTGTCTGACGAATGCGGTTGAAGTCAGGCGCTACGAAACAAGACCTGCCTTTCGAGTGGTAGAAACCATTCATTCAGAAGCATGCATTCCGAAGCCTACGCTTCAGGCTTTGAACCAGCTTGGCACGTACACTGCAAGACCGTACAGTCGTTCGAATACAGGAGCACCGTTCGATGTTGCTATCAACACACCAAACATTGACGTACTCTTTGAAACACCACTCATGGTAGAAGTGCTCGGCTCGGGCTTCTCAAAGCCATCAAATGCCAATTTCTACATGCTGCGGCACCCCAGGATTATCAAGCTGCATCAGGATAGGTCATGGACCGAATGTATCTCGTTTCAGGAGTTGCAAGAGCAGGCACATGCTGCAAAGACTGCGCCGACCGAAGCTTTCAGTGAGCTAGACGAGACACGAACTTGGGTTGCTAAGCTCGAGAGCAAGCTAAAGCACAGACTGGAGAAGGAGGGCACTCTCACGCCTGAGTCAAGGCGTGAAAGTCCGAGATCAACGAAGCGCAGTGCTGAGTCCAAATTACATGGTGCGACTCTTGTCGACAAGGCCTCCCAGCAGCTGACCGCGACTGATGCGCTAACGGATACCACGCCTTGTCCGCCAGGCAAACGACGATGCACTGCGGAGCATTGCGCAACACCACCTCGTCCTTCACCACTTTCTGACATCACGAACCAAGCCGAGAGCCTTAGCTCTACCCGCCAGCTACTAGCGTTCACGAAAGCTATGGTCTCGACAAAGCCGGCAGTATCTTGCAGAACTTACGGGGGAGCGGGATCCAGAAACGACGTTGTTGAGCAACATCTATCAGCCGTATGCTCACGAAGCAAATGTCCTTTCAGCAACGCCGCGGTCTTCCTCGCACCGTGCATCAGAGGAGTCCCATATATCACAGAAGACTTACTGCCTTCGCACGACGTTCTCCTCACTGCAAGCATCGAGCACTGGGATCGACAAAGCTTCTCGCATGCGCCACGCACAGCCACAGTCTCCGAGAGTCAAGCCTACAGCGGCATGCACAAGATTGTCCTGGTTGAAGCCAAGAGACCTGCCATGGTGAAAGTTGTGCTGGGACGAATCTTTGCTTTGAACCACGGAAGGATACGAGAGCGCATAGAGCTATACGATTGGAGAGTTCTTGAGCAATGCGTTAAACACGACAGGCAGGCTGACCATGTGAAAGAGCACTTCATTGGTGTTACGATGTTCGATGAGATGAATGACCGAGCGATTTTCGTTTCTTCGATACCCGGCTTCGGCCACACTGGTTAGATGTGAATTTGTAACCTCTCATGCTAAACTAATTTAAGCTATGGAAATTCAATGACGCCCAGAAGATATCGGCTAATGCGTGATCCACCGTGCATCACTCAGTACGCCATAACATATAACATATCGTCAATACTACCTGCGCCTCGCTATACCCATTGACTGACAACCATCTTATGCTATTTCATCCGGCACGCCAGCCAATGATGTTAGGCATTGGTCTGTCACTCTCCGCCGGACTGCCTCGCCTCTTGCCACCCTTTGAATTCCTTCGTTCGGCCTCCTCGAAGATTGCTAGCGTGTGATCCCATACCTTTTGCGGCAGACCGAGGTCGCGGTATTTGTCCAGAATTTTGCCGTCTCCGGCACTCTTGCAGTCCCAATCGAGTAGATAGGCACCACTTCCCACCTCGCCGTTGCTGCCCTTCATTGGTGTCGCCTCCTCAGGGGCAGGCACACCGCAGAACGATGAGCCTCTTTTCGGCGGGTAGCATTCATTCGTTATCTGGAAAAAGTGACGTTCTCCCGACTCCATGACGTTCAGGATCCAGGGTGTCATTACAGCATATAGTACCTTCACCGCTAGCTTTACAGGCCCAGTGAGCTGGTTCACTATGCCTGTCTTCACCGTCCCGGGGTATGAGTGGCTGAATGAGACATCTGGATGTCGTTCCGCGAGTTGTTCGATCATGAAGTCCGTCATGATGACACAATGCGCCAGGCAAGCATGGAGAGTAAAGTTGTGCTTTAGATCCAGGTCGTCCATTCGTACATCGCCTTCTGAGCCGGCGGCCAAGACCGAGATGACTCGTGCCAGTTCGCGGTCCTGTGAGGCTCTCTCTAGGTTTGGTATGAGGTTGAGTGCACATCGAATGCGAGAGTAGTAGTTCACGCTCATCTTCTTGTCAACCCCCTCAATCGTCTCCTTTCGCCCTTGTAATGACATGTAGCCTGCAGTCAAGAATAGACAATTGATCTTTGGCTCCCGCTTCTTGAGGTCATCGCAGAGTTCGTCGACATTCTTGATCAGGCTGATGTCCTTTTTGATGAAAATGGCTTGGCCGCCATCATTGATACCTTTCAGTTCGTCGCATAGCTTGTTACCTTTCTCTTCGCTCCTGCTAATCATCAGCTGACTTGTTTTGCTGGCAACCATTCGCGACAACTCACGTTCCGATGATATAAATCCGTGGCGTACGCGTCCGCCTGAACACTTCTTTCGCTGTGGTGGCGCCGATGCCTCCAGTGCCACCAACGAACACGCACACCAGATTCTCTATCCGTTGCGCTAATGCATTGGCTTGCCGAACGACATCGATATGGACCATCTCTGGAAAGCAGATTAGTACCGGACAATGGCTCACATTCGAGTCTACATTATTACTATGCTTACCTATATTAGCCCCATAGAGGAGGGTGTGAAGTCCTTCACTCGTCGCTCAGAATGTGGACTGGCTAACGCCCCAGTCACAAAGCCCTAATGCTGGTGTGGCGCGCCGGCTTCAGTGGGGTAGAAGTGATGTTGTTACGTGTAATCGCCCTGCGTTGGTGAGGATATATGTGGTCACGTTCCACGATGACTGGGAAAGCTCCTTGTGAGGTCGGTGGCAATCTTTTAGCTTTCGTCCCAATCCAGACGCGCCACATCGATGGCTTTTTGTTGCCATTCAGCCCGCTCCGACATGATCACGAGACGCTACAATCTGACTAGCCATTATTTCCTCAGAAACACTCGATAGCCCGGGGAGACGGCCATCTGACCCGATATGCCTGTGTTCGAGTGGGAGAGTCTCGATTTGGTTGATGTTCAAAAGCTTGATGACGTGGGTGGCTACTAGAGGACGCTCCCACATCACCTCCTAGGTTGTACGGCAATGTCTGTCATTGCACAATTTGTCCCAGAAGACTTCTGGGCACTAAGGCGTGGTCGGAGTATGTACGATGATAGATTCCGTGTTATGAATCAAGCCTGGAACTGGTATGCATCAAGATGGCAGCGAAGACTGGCTTGTGGTGAGAAAGACTTGCTCATGTCAATGCCTGCTATATCTCGATTCGCCTACATCTGGCATTAACACGAGGAAACCAATGGGTCATTCTTCCCAACATGGTCATCGTGGCAGAGCCGCGGGCCCATGCCCTCTACGAAGCGCATTTCAAGAGTCAGTAAAGTGGAGTGTGGTTGTTTCGATCGAGGAATCGAGGAGATGACTTATATAGCTTGGCCGTGGAGCAATAAGTGAGCTCGACGTCGCAGTGAGCTATACTCACATGAGGCGTGAGGGAGGACAATCAGATGGCTGCCAGCGCGGGCGCGATCATTGGGATACGCGTGAGCAGTGCTGTCTTCCATCAGAACGGAAGATCTCTCATACATTATACGATGGCGATCGGCATGGGCCAAAACACTGAAGTAAAGGATGTCAATTGTTCGAGTACCATACGTAAAATGCTCATGGGTATCCTGCCCTTGCCATCCATATGCCGATTCACGTACAGTACATCATATCATTGCGAGCCATAACGACCATCCACTCTCCGAAACGCCGGACATAAGCATGGCAAGAAAGACTGCCTCCGTAGATATACCATTGGTCAATGTGTCGATGATCAGACACCACTCCTATGCACCAGCGCACCTCCTCGTCGGAATTGCACACTCTCCCTCCTCGACAGGACTTGCAGGGCGCGATGGAGTGATTGCTCACTATACCCCTTCCTTTCCACGAACTCGCGCCGAAGAGTTTGTAGGGAGGATGTATAGCCGATCGGCAACCTGAGAGCAGTCAAGTCAGCGTAACTCCTTCGAATAGATAGTAGGGGCACGTCATACCGCCTCCTCAATTCCTCCTCAACCTTATGCACCTCCTCCACCATCTCCCTATTTCCCGACAACCCCGCCGCACTCGTGTCCCCACCAGCACTCATAACAGCATCCATAGTCGACCCAAGGAAAAGTCGTATAGCCTCATCAACATGCCTCTCCGTCGCCACAGCCTGCAACTCAATCTTGGCCAAACTCTCCGTGATTCTTACAAGCGACTCCAACTGCCTTACCGTAATAGGGATACTCGACCTCTGATTCGCATCCGCCTCCGCCCTAGCAACTTGCCTTCTGATGGAAACGAAATGCGAAGATAGTTTCTCCGCCGCTTCGGGAGACATCCGTGGCGCACATCGCGTTTTGGCGTAGGAGATGTATCGCTTCATTTTCTCCACTGAGATCTCGGCTTCCGCTTGGTCGGAGGCGAGGCCCTGGCCTCCCATGTGGATCCCCATGACATGCTTTGCGATTCTTTCGTCGCGGGCGCGGTCGTGATCGTCGCGGACGATGAAGATGAGGTCGAAACGGGATAAGATGGTGGTTTGGAAATCGATGTTCTCGCCTGGAGACTTCATGTCGTCGTATCGTCCGAACACCGGGTTAGCGGCGGCCAGAACCGACGTCCTGGCGTTCAAGATGGTGGTGATGCCGGCTTTGGCGATGGAGATTGTTTGCTGTTCCATCGCCTCGTGGATTGCTACACGGTCTTCATCCCGCATTTTGTCGAACTCGTCGATGCAGACCACACCACCATCTGCGAGAACCATGGCACCACCTTCGAGATAGAACTCCCGCGTCGTGGTATCGCGCTGCACGGATGCTGTGAGGCCAGCCGCACTGGAACCTTTGCCCGAAGTGTAGATTGCTATAGGCGACACTTTCTCGACGAACTTCAGAAGTTGGGATTTGGCAGTTCCTGGATCGCCGAGCAGGAGGACATTGATGTCGCCTCTTAGTCTCATGCCATCTGGTAAGATCTTTTTGCTGCCGCCCATTAGTAGACATGTGATAGCTTTCTTGATATCTGCGTTTCCATAGATGGATGGAGCAATGCACGAAGCGAAAAGACTATACAGATCCGGTCGCCGAGACATTTCGAGAAACTCTTGCTCTTCTTCCTCACTGAAGTGCATGCCAGCTCCGCCAGCCATATCGTGGCTTAGATCTGTCTGGATACCGACGGCGCGGAGGTAGGGGTTGCGGATGGCCACTGCGCCACTTCCTTTGCTGTTCTTTTGGCTCTGGTAGATGCTGAAGACGCCCATCACTACGCAGCGAGAGCCGGGGACAACGCGATTCGCTAGGTAGCGATCGGCTGAGACGAGAATATGGCGTGGCAGTTCGCCGACGGGGACGTCGTCTGGGGCCTCTTGTAGCTTTAGCACCTGCTGGTCGATGAATTGACTTTTTTCGTGTACGACGTAGTATGGATCCAGTGGACACTTCTCCCCGGCATCTCCGGGAACTTTTTCCCTACCACATGTTCGTGGGAGTGTGAGGCCTGTAAAGCCACTCGATACAGCGAGGTTTGTGGAGTACTGGCAGTTTCTGCATTCGATGTGCACGCTTGTGGCTTTGCTGCTGAGAGTACTGGCACCGATGACAATGCCGGGTATGCGGACGAGGTGTGAGACATTCGTTGCTGTCAAGCCTCGGATTGAAGTCTGCGAGACGGAGGAATGGATGAGGAGTTGGTGTTCGGGGAGGGATTTCGAGGAGCGCAGATCGTCTTCGCTGCGCGAGGGGTAGAGGATGCGTTGTGTGCATGTTTTGAGGGCTGCTTCGAACTATGTAGTATGTCAGAGTCTGACCTGGTATCTGGGATCACGTGTATTATACTATCGGGATGATGTCTGCGGGCTCATTGTTCAGTCGCTGTGCCAGGTGCTCGTTGAAGGCGATGAGGTGTGCAATGTCAACGTCGCAGTAGTATTGCTTCGACAGCACATTCTCTCGTATTTGGTCGCTAAGAGATGATCAGCTATAATCTCGCCGCTCATAGTCTTACTGTTCTGCTCTGCTCAGCTCACCGGTATATGAAGACATTGTCCAGGTGGAAGTCGAGTATGAAGTCAACGAGCTCCTGTTGTATCTGCTTGACCGATGCTTGACCTCCGTTGGATGCCCGATCCTCTCCAAACAAGCTGAGCGTGTACACTGATTGCCGATCCATTGTGTACGGATGTGTGACGGATGTGTGTGTGTGCGTGCGTCAATGGTGGGTGGTGGGGTGATTTGCGTGAATGATATGGACTATTATTATGGCAGCCGGCGATCTGGGCAACGCGAAGAGGACGCGTTCGCAGAAACACGCTTGAACTAGAGATTGGCTTTAGTGCTTGCAGTAGCTCCAACGGCTGTCCGCTGTCTCGCCCGCTGCGCTCGGATTCGATCAGGCCGACATGTGCAATCTGGCAATAATAATGGCAACACCCTAAGCATAAGCGTGCGACTATACATCGATAATGCTTCCACGATAGTAAATCTGGCACTCTCGGCATATCCTCCGCCATGTCCTCACCCTCCTCTCGCTTCTCCATCGACACTTCGGTGACCACACCCACATCTCCAACCTCAACACGTTCTGGCTACCCTTTCCCGGAGAGTCTCCATCGCCAAGCACCCACCAACCGATATGCGCCGCGTCGAGGCAGCAATGCCAGCACAATCTCCGTCGGATCCGTAGGAGGGAGTCTCGATCTCCACAGTCCTCGCCGGAGCAGTAGCGTCCGCGATACAATTCACAATGCCATCTCCACCCTCCTCCAGCCGCCGATCATGCGGACGGGTCTGGTCGCACATCCTTCTGCTCCACCAGGCTACAAGGCTCCGACCACACGTGACATTCCTCCAGTGACGTTGACCAATATCCCTCACGTGCCTCCAGAGAACTTCCGCGATTATTTAAGTAGGATTGGTCCGTTGTTCGATAGCTTCCAGCGAGGTTGGATAGAGCCGGAGCAGTCGGCATGGCTCAAGAAGGACAAGGAGTTGGAGAAGACGGACCGGTTTGCGGAGGCACTGGAGAGGAGGTTCAGTAGCAGTGGTCCGCCTTCGCCAGCACTTTCGCGGACCACGTCGATGGCAACACTGTCGCCGGCAATAGAGACCCCTGGAGGTGCGCCAGGTCAGGCTAAGAGACGGCCTAGCGCACAAGCCAGACGGAATCGGAACGAGCCTACGCCATTATCTACCATACCAAATGTTTACTTTGACGATGACTTTCACCTGGAGAACCCGCGAACATTTGATGTGGTGTCCGAACGAGCGGAAGTAATCAGGCCAGCACCCGGGAGCGAGCAGAACGGTGCACCACGAAAACCAATCACGACGAATGCCATCTTGCAAGAGAAGCTCAGTTGGTACATGGATACGGTGGAAGTCCATCTAATCTCTAGTATAAGTACTGCGTCATCTGGCTTCTTTGCAGCTTTGGGCAGTCTGAAGGAGTTGCAAACGGAAGCGGAAGAGAGTGTGGCCAAGATACAAGGATTGCGGGCAGATCTGAAACGGTTGGATGAGAAAGTGGCAATGCGAGGGTTGGATGTAGCGTCGAAGAGGAGACGGAAGGCAAATATTGGGAAGTTGGCCAAGGCGACGAGGCAGGTTGAGAGAGTTGTGGAGGAGGTGAAGCGGGCGGATGAGCTGGTTGACGAGGGAGAGTTTGAGGAGGCCGCGGATCAGATGGATAGGGTGGGAAGGTTGGTGTGTGGTCAGGTCGAGCCGGGTGCTGGTGGTCCGGACAACGATTTGATCGACTTGAGACCTTTGAAGGCGTTGCAAGGATTGGACTCGGGATTACAAGAGCTACAATACCGCATAGACGCAGGCTTTGCACAACGCTTCGTCTCGATATTGATAGAAGACCTACGACAACATGTGGAGAAGGTATCGTCAACAGATACCTTGAAACGATGGTCAAGGCAACGAGGCATTCCGCCAACGTATCTAGAAAGTACAGCACGATTTAGAGAAGATCTGATGGCGGCGCTGGATGGACTACAGCGAGCAGGTCACACCGCACCTGCGACGGCGGCGTACCGTGAAGCTGTGCAGAGGGAGATGAAGGCTCTTATACGAAAGCATTTGCCAGCCAGCACAGACGACGATGTGGATAGCATGGTCTCCACTTCCACGCGAGGGGGCACAAAGTTGAGTCAGCAGGAGAAGAGCACGATCTTGGCTCGGAATTTGCGAGCTCTAGAGCCAGAAGATGCTGAGAGTCTATTAATCAAGGTCTACACTGCTGTGGGTGAAGCCCTGAGACGAGTCAGCACGCAGACGAAAGTGCTACTTGATGTCACGAGTAGTATGGATGCGCCATCAGCTCCTACTTCCCCGCCGAAGTCACCTGGTCTGCTGCCCAGGAGTGCTATCCTTGGCAGTATGGACGCACAACTCATGAACGGTGCTCTGAACGGCGCGCCGAAACATCCTTCCCGAGATGTTCAGGAAGAACTCTCGCAAGCCCTCGATATGTCCAGCCTCCTTGGCCAAGCCGTTGATGCCGCCCAGGCACAAATCACCAAAGTCCTCAAAGTCCGCAATGAGCAGTCCGTCCGCCTCTCCATCGAGCGCTTTTTACGATACTTCACTCTCAACCGCCTTTTCGCAGACGAGTGCGAGGCCGTTAGTGGTCGTGGCGGTGCGACGCTGAAGGGGATTATCAACGCGCAGATATCGGGTTTTGTGCAGGTTATGGGCCAGATGGAGGGTGAGCGGGTGGCGAATGGGCTAGATGGCGAGGAGTGGAATGCGAAGGACTTTGGGGAGGCGGATGAGATCGTGTTGGGTAGGGTGCTGGGGAGTATGGGAAAGGATCCTGTTGAGTGGGCGGAGGGGGTGAGACCCGTGTGGTTGGATGTTGGATCTGCGGCTCCAACGAATCGGCAGAATGGTGCGGGTACCGCCGAGCAGACGAACGGTACCGCGACGCCAGAGACTAATGGCACCCGTCCCGCCCTACCCGCCCCAGCACCAACCACGACAGGACCCAAACTGCCTTCCAAACCAGCCTTCATAGACGCCAACCGCTATATCCTCGTCGCTTCCGCCATCGCCCTCCTCCCGACCCTCGAACGCTTCCTATCCCTGACCTACCACCTCCCCTCCATGACCTCCACCATCTCCACCGCCCTCCTCGACGTCCTCCGGATCTTCAACTCCCGCTCCTCGCAACTTATCCTCGGGGCTGGTGCAACACGTATAGCGGGGCTGAAAAACATCACGACCAAGCACCTTGCTCTCAGCAGTCAGGCTTTGAGTTTTGTGGTAGCGTTGATACCGTATCTACGGGAGTGCGTGAGGAGGCATATCGGGGGCGATAAGAGTGGAGTCGGGAGCGCGAATCTACTGGCCGAGTTCGATAAGACGAAGCGGACGTATCAGGAGCATCAGGTGAGTATTCATGAGAAGTTGGTGGAGATTATGACGAGTCGGAGTGCGATGCATGTCAAGACTATGCTTAGCTCAGCCTATACTGCACCGCCTCCGGACACGAAGTCCACCGACGACGACCCGACGAAGCCGAGCCAATACATGGATACCCTCACTAAAGAAACTACCACGCTCCATCGTGTGCTTTCGAGGCATCTGAGTGAATATGATGTTGGATTCATTATGAGGAGGATTTTCGAGGCGTACAGGGAGCAATGGACGAGGGGGTTTGGGGAGGTCGAGGTTGTGGGGAGGGTCATGCAGGGCAGGTTGGTTAGGGATGCGGAGGGTTTTGAGAGTCGGTTGGGGAAGATTGATGGTGGGGGGGAGGTGGGGAAGGAGGTTTTGGCGGTTGTTAGGGCGAAGGTTGGGTGAGAGGGTGATGTCGAGGACGAGGTGTGAAGACGGTATAGGGCGTGAAGATGGTATCCTGGCGTGCAGACGGCATAAAGATGTGCCCGACATCTCCAAGGCACGATTTGCAGGTCAGACGTTCACGAAACAATCACGAGATTTGAGAGAGCTTGGATTCGTGCTTACCATGTCCGTCTGATAGGCTGACATAGAGAGTACAGCTCGTTGGCTGAAGGGCTGTCCTCGCGGTTGTCCTCGAAAGTCAAATCGTCCTCAGGAATCAATTGTCCTCGAAAGTCAATCCTTCTCGGTGGTATATATGATCGCCCTGCGCGCCTGATGATGGGTGCGGAATCTCTCGTTGAAGCATCCCATGCTCCTGCTTCAAGTACAGACTCTGCCTTGCCGTACGACTTGACCGCCACGCCACCACTTTCACGTTCGAAGCAAACGTTGCTCAATACAACTCAGAAGACTATCAGACGATCAGCAACATACAAGACGACCTCACTCTATCACCTCGTGATCAAGCACAAATCCAGCCAAGATGCCTTTCTGCAAAGTAATCGGATACATGTACCCAGGCATATTTCCGCCTGAGGTCGGCATGGTGATCGAAGACAACTTCAACGGCACTGACCTCCTCGTCTTCCGACAACTCAACTCCAAGATCCGCGACAATTTCCAGGAGAAGTGGCTAGACGCCTTCTTCACAAATAGAACCCACGTCTACTCCTATCATGGTCTTCGCGCCCTACTAGACATCACCAAGCAACCAACTCTTGTACGGGAGATGAAGGAGATCACGTTATGTGTCCTCGACTTGGACCATATATCGGCCCCGAGAAATAACCCGGGCCAGTTCTCCAAGCACCAGAAGGCCGATGGGCGCAAGATGCTGGCAGCCTGGGGGAGACAAAGGCGAAGTCTCCGCCGCTACGACACTGAGACCAGATTCCTACAAGATATCTTCTTCAACTTGCAGAAATTGGGCATTATCGTCTCGGTTCGGCTTGCAGACGAGTGGAGAGATTCGGGCGATGCTGGAAACTTGCTGCGGAAGGCACTGGGTCGAGATACTGTCAGGACAATCGGTACTCCACTCGATACAGCGCAGCTTGTCAAAGGCCCTTGTGAGGGTCCTGCTAAGACCCTGCTCGAGTCACTGATCCTGACCGGATATCCTATCCAGCAACTCGACCTCGCGTGTCCTTACGACAACACTGGACTCACGTGCAAGAGCTTCGACCTTTCGCGGCGCGTGCTGAGCAATCGCGGGCTAGCCTTTGCCCATTTGACGCATCTTTCGATCAAGTTCGATCCGAAACTGTTCGTTGAGCTCCCGAAAGATATCGCGAACGTGGCAACCTGCTTCAGAGACTTACCCCGGCTGCGGGCCCTCGACATCGGTGTGGCGTACGACAAAGGCTTCATGAATCTACAAGGCTATATCATGCCCATGCTCGACTGCTTTCCCTTGCACCAGATTGAGAGTTTGACCCTGCATGGCGCGTATGCGACGGCTGGGGAGTACATCACCATGCTGGATCGAGCAAGACTGAGTCTCGAAAGCCTCGATATGTGTGGGTGTGATGTTACCGCCTTCGACTGCTGGTCCGGTGTTTTCCGTTGGGCGCAAGGCAAGATGGGGGTGTTGCGTTGCTTGGAGGTCAGGGACATCGGGCACGTCTTCAGGGGGATCTATGAGTATGGCGAGAAAGATTCTCGGCCCGTGTGCTGGGATGGGCTTGTTAAAGTCTCGCAGGGTCTGCGGATGTTGAGCGATAGACCTCGCTATCAGCCGCATGAGGAGTAGAGCGATGCTGCTGTCGTTCTTTCATGATCACTATGTGGGCGTTGCCAATGCTCTTGTGAGAACTGTACTTGTGGATTTATCAGGAGGGCACATCTGCTGTGCCGTCACAAAGCACGTATGTAAACATCTTGACTGAAGACAGTTGGAAATGCTGTCATAAATTGCCCGCTCACACCATGGCAATATTTCGTCTCCCTCTTAGCGATGACGAACTCATTCAATTATTCGAACGAGGACGTGGACACCGCCGAATGGCATTGCCTGCGTGAGTTCGTTCATGAGACGTGGGCGACGGAAGTGTCCTCGTGGAGCATTTGTGGCACTGCTGTCCTCACTTACTGCTCCCACTAGCTCGCTGACCAATATGAGAGTTCTCGTTGGCTGATATGGTCCGCATGGGGTTTAGGTTTTGTCCTCAAGAAATCAATATATCGAGGCATCTATATTAGTTCTCGCATGTCTTTGTTATTGCCTACATGCGTGTATGATGTCTCGTCTATACAGCCAATATATTCACAAAGCACAAGTAGTTCGGCAACCATCATCAAGCAAGTATGGCGCCAAGTCTGGCTGTGAGCCTAATCCAAGCAGACGTTCTGCCGAACTTCCCTCCTGAGATCTGTTCGCTGGTTGAGGGATACCTCGACCAGTCGGACCTCCTTTCACTTCGGCAGATGAATCGCCGTCTCCGCCATTACCTTCAGGAGAAGTGGCTAGAGGCGTTCTTCAGGAAGTGGACTCACGTGTTCTCCTATCACGGTCTCTCAACGCTCTTGCAGATTGTGGCCCGGCCGGAGATGGCTAAGCGATTAAAGAGTATCGAATTTCGAGTTCTAGATTTTCCGGAACCCGGAAAGGACCCACGCAGAGACACAGAGGCGGAGACAGCTCGTATGGCTATGAATGCGGCGTGGGAGATGCAGGAACTTCGTCTTAGACGTGGAGGTTGCGGCGCCAGGAAACTGAAAAAGATCTTCACTGCCCTAGTGAGACATGGTGTGGTCATTCCGGTCACCATCGACGATGATTGCCTGGAGGCAAACGAGAGAATCCTGCGAACGGCCTTCGGTCGCAAGGTATTGACGACCATGGGAGGGGACCCAGAACGATATCTACTTTGGCGCGAGCACGATCGTGGCAGCTGTGACGAAGTCGGCTGTGCCGTCATGACCGCCATCGCTGCTACCCAGTATCCGGTCGAAAATCTCCGCTTCCCCTGTCGGTTATCCAACGTAGGTATAGGACGTCTGACCTTGGGGCTCGAGTCCTCGATCTCAAAGGCCTGCAGCACAGCGTTGTCAAATCTGTCCAGCCTTGACTTGACCCTGGACCCACACATGTTTTTCGATGAGCGGAATGACTGGACTGGAAATGTCTTCCATCTTCGCAGCCTGCCCGCGCTGCAACATCTTCGCCTCTCTCTTGCGCATCCTGCCTGTGCTGACGCATCGCCGCGTGGCCTGACGAGAATGATGAATTGCTTTCCCATGAAGCAGATCCGCACGCTCGTGTTAGGCAATACATACGGAGAGCCGAAGGATTACATCAGCATGCTGGCTAAGGCTAAGCACAGCCTTCGCAAGCTGAGACTCGTCGCGTTTGATGTCCTGTTTGGCGGCTGTTGGTCGACCATTTTCAGATGGTTAGGCCAGAACCTGGAATTGGCAGATTTATGGCTAGAAGATGTGGGCCACCCGATGCTTGGCCTGTACGTATGTAGGGGAGCAGCTGAGGCGAATGCTCACGAGTGTAATCATTTCATTGGGGCTGCAGTCGTACGCGACGGTCTACGCAGCTTGGTCGATCGACCGGGTTACGCATTTCCGTCAAAACCAGAAGCGTAGGACAGAACGGCAGCTGCGCCGTTCGATGCCCAAACAGATTTGCATCAAGAGTGTCGGTAGCATGTCGAAGTGGCTCCGTGGTGTTGTACAAACCGCGAGCAGAGATCTTTGCTCAACTGTCAAATATAGCACCGAATGCAGCGATCTTCCTACTCTCCATACCATACACCACCTCCTGTGTCACTTTGGGGTTACTGATGATCATGACAGCCTCCGCATGAACTTGCTGAACGAAGGCATAAGTCAAGGCCACGAGATTCGGAGTGCCCGTCTTCTTCGTGTCGATGATGAGTGCGTTGCTGTCCGCTCGCAGAACGTTCCTCATGATGTCCTTCCCGTACGTCGTCTCAGGGGATCTGGCACTCCATATGACTCGCATCGGATGATCCGGATGCACGTTCAAGAACGAAAGACATGGTCCAATGCCCGACCCCGTTGCAACAACCACTATGGGTCGGAATAACGACGATAGACGCATGACTCCAATGGTCGGTGCTCCTCGCACCCAAAAATGCTTCGGTGGAGTCTGGATCATGCCTTTGGTGAAGTCGCCAACACGACTGATGACCACGCTGTACCCTTTCTCGACGTCCGCTCGGCTCTCTGATACATCAGGGATCGTCGCAAATCCATGACACTCGATCAGAGGATTGTGCGCCAGACGAATGCCACGACATGTTGGCAATTGTCTGTCGGCGAAATGCAGCTGGGTCGCGTGGTCGGAAAGCTTTGTAGCATTCACGGCAAGGCGTTTTAGCCGAAGCCAAGGATAGAGGAGGCAACATGTAATGGCGATCAAGAACCAGAAAGTCGGCAAATGTATCAACGCGGTGCCCAAAGGACGCCCGAGATTATGTGTGTCTGCTGTCGCAATGGTCAAGATCTGTGCCCACACAAGACCAACTGCAATCCAACCGCCAAATCTATGGGACAACTCCCATATATCGTGATATTGCCGTCGTATCGCCGGGTGAGAGACCAGGATCAGGATCGTGAAGATTACTAATATGGCTGCCGATATTGCTGCTACTGCTTTGCTCTGAACGTTGCTTCCTTCGAACTGCTGTACGACCAGGACAGTGTAGTACATGTACCATAGCAGCGCACTAATAGCCGAACCCGAGTGAATCCCACCATTGTTGTAAGCCATCTTTGCAGCGATGCGACGTATTGCAAGGGGTGTATTGACTGGTATTGCGCATAATAGATGGAATAGCAGATTGATGACATGCTCCTGGCGCATGAGGACCGCAGCCAGAAGGTTGGCTCCAACCGCAGTTGCGGCTTGACTGTAGCTGAAGGAGCCCGGTTGGCGGACTGATCGTGCAATCATACACAGTATGACTACCACATTCGTCACCAGCAAGATGACCATGAGTCGTCGATAGAATGTAAATGTCTTGAATCTTGTCTCGTTTATAAGAGATTTGCCCGATGTTGTTGGAAGTGGATGTACCCGCTGGAGTGCTATCAGGTATATGCTATTGGCAATGTGATTTGAAAAGTCCTGGCCCTGGTTAGACGAGACATCTGTAAAGTCCTTTTCGTTTAGCGTGGTAGCTTCGCTGAAGATGTTGGCCGAGCTGCTCTTTTCTAGTGGACGTAGGTGTACTTTCGAGGGACATATGATCTGGCCCTCGAGTTGCCAACCCAGTGATGTCGTCTGCAAGGAATCCTTCAACGACGTTGACGAGAACGAATCTGACCGTCGCTGTCCCCCACCCGGCGGGAAAAGTATGCTCTGGTGAGGATCAGAAGTGCCGACCGTGTGCAAGATCCGTGTGACTACAGCGCAAGACCTGCAAGGCTGTTGTAGCGAAACGCTATCTGGTGATAAACATGTCTCTGAAATTGGCTTACGGGTTGGCTCTCGCCAACAGTGCGACCATGTATGACCGTCGTGGATATGGTAGCAGCTTTGTTGCTTAGAGCTGACTTCATGGTCGAGCGCCATTGTTAGGGTTCCTCGAATATCGCTTGGTGTAGCGTCTGTGGCTCCGGCTAGCAGCTGAGACCCTAGGCCGAACGTTTGCGCAAATAGCTGCAGTGACTCGAGAAGTACTTAGACCTGCCTAGGCCCGTACATCTCAGGAGTATACGCTCGATGACAGCGAGGGAGCAAGACTAGTAAGGTTCTGATATAGTCAGGAAGATTGGGATGAAGAAAGGAAAGAGATCCGTTAGGAAGAAAGTAAAATATAAACAACTCAGCGCAGATAGAGATGTAACCTTGAAAGAAGACCAAGCAGCCCGGTAAAGGCGGCCTAGTATGCTGCCGACGATGTCGAATGGGACAGCGTACGGCTGAACGCGGACATGAACCAACACTCCTCGATAGTGTGTGCCGGAGCGCTTGCCCAACAGTACCTGGGTCAACGTACTGGAAAGGTTAAAAACCAACATCTGATGTGCAGTCACCAAAGCCCAGTCCGCGTCTATGGCGATCGTCGGCTAGCTCGTGACATTTGGAGAAGCCAGCTACCTTTAACAGCAGGTGCCGCTGATTTGGTCCTGACAGCTTGGGTGTACAGCGTGGGAAGCCATGAGCCAGATCGAGGACCCGAGATCCACAGTGCGATCGATGAGAGCGTTCGGGGCTTTGCTATGCCTGTTGGATCATTGTGGCCGCAGCGTATATTCCTTGCTACAAGTATTGCATTCGCGTTCTCTAGGTGTACTCTTAAACGCTGAGCAGCTCTTGTGAGCAAAGGCTACTGCATGTTGGCCAAGCCATGCATATTGCAAGATGAGCTCGCGTGGTATTAGTGCGCGAAAATCATCTCAGCCTTCCAGGGTGAGGCTGGAGTGACTTGGCCTATTGGCTCTGATTGTAGCCCAGACAGCTCGATAGTATCGCAGGATCCCGTTCTTGGCCGTCGCCGCCGCCATCACCGGTCCACCATCAGCCCAATATGAGCGTTGAAAGCCATTCGATAAGCTGTAGGCCGAGGTGAGGAACATCGAAGGCATGCAACGGGCAGCTGACATGCAGTACCGATCAGCGCTGACTCGTTAACATCCGTGATGACAAGCAAGCACTCTGATAGATTGGGCGGTTCTTGTCGAAGGATCTCGAGGGTGGTCGAAGCCCTGCTGGAAGGACTGCGGCTGGCGGAGAGACTCTACGCTAAGCCGCTTGCGCCATCCCCGACATGGCGTTCTTCTGTGCGCTTCGCGTCCCTCAATAATCTGCACATCTGTACTTCGGGCGCAGCTCCTGAACGCCGACGAGCATGTCCGCAGTCTGCTTTTGGCAACCAAGCATGGAGGCTGGTCCTGCTATGGGACACCCGTAGGTCCTCATGGTTGGCGCACTATGCAAGCCCGCCCACCCATGGACAAGGGAGATTAGACGCCGCAGCCAAATAAATGGCCATGAAGCTGTTCCTAGACCAAGGAAAGGATCACGCACCTAAGGGGACGCAGATTGGGTTCGCGTCTACTGCGATAGTCATGCCGATCCGCCGAGGAAAGGCAGAAGTCAGTGAGAGGTCCAACAGATCGTGATCCTATGTGGAAACCGATCTAGGTTAGGCATCATTAAGATCCATGCAGCCCTTGCACGATCGCTGCCACGAGATACCTACATACACTAGATCACTATCTTGATAAGAGCTCACGTTCCAGGGCATGAATTATCCCAGGACTGATGGTCACTGGTCACACGGAGCACAATCAGTCTAATATCATCCACCCCATTCAACGGCTTAAACCTTGTGGCAAGTTCGGTATATGTTCCTGCCTACTCACTGCTTTCTGAAAGGCCGGCACGTGAGCGAGATCCTTCTTATCCCACATTCGACGACTACGCGGTAATTCTCGGTATCATCTGGACCTGTTCGGAATTCAAGTCATTGCACTGGTCCAGCGTATCGAAAGTGTATCCGAGTCGCGAAATATCTATCCCCGGCGGACAGTCCCTTACGCTTGACTTGAACCAGGGCTAATACACAGCCTTGGCGAGGGCGTCGCAAACAATCCTTCAGGGAGGAACAAAGCTGAACATGCAAGTCATGACGGGAGCAATAGCAGATCTCGGCAGAAACGAATCTCAGCCCTTACGCATCTGCTTTACTATGGCAAATACTGTGCTAGACCTCCTCAGATGGCTGGACGCGCGTTTACGATCGTCTGCCACTATGGTCGTTCGCCGCGTACCAGAAACGCAGGGCTTGAGGCATTTGTACGTTGATCATAAGATCGCCGCCACCACCACAATGCGACCCCCGACAGCCACTGACTGAGCCGCAGTGATCTCATGGCAGAGACAGTGACTGCTGCGCACCCACATGAAACGAGGGATAAGTCGGCCGATCTGCAGACTGATCTAGTTAGCTTCACTTTGTCTGGTTCATACGACCCAAACATACCGGTAAGTCACGTACGGCTGTAAAATAGAGGAACTAGAACTCACCATATCTCCAGATACTAATCGATGCTGAAGACCACTGTCGATTCGTTACTCACAACAAAGCAACCCGGCTAGTGGACTTGCTCGCTGCCGTTTTTGAACCAGGCTGTACAGTGTGTCTACATCTTCCGAATGACGTCCTCTACCCAGTGCTGGTGCTTGGCATACTGGCTGCTCGAGCGCAATGGACTGGTACAAACCCAGCCTACACTGCACCCGAGCTCGAGCACCACTTTCGGGTGTCCAAGACCAAGTATGTGATCACGATTGCGGAATGTCTGGAGACAGTACGCATAGCTGTACGAGCTAGTGGGACTGATGCTGAGGTCATTTTCTTCACGGATCTGCTAAGCGATTGTTATCAACACGACGAGATCCGGGGGCACTCACCGAGATGCTGTCACTCTCTAGGTGCATCTCCGCGGGCGATTAGGACACTTTGCGACATCATTGAACAGGTTCGAAAGAGTGGCCCTGCCATCGACAGTTCCAAGCCATTACCAGACGACATTGCAGCACTCATGCAGACTTCCGGAACCACTGGTCTTCCAAAGATGGCCGCTCGTACCCACAGATCTATGGTACATGAGCTTGCTGCTATTGCGGATGACGATAGTCTCAAGAACTATCAGGTCCGTCGACTCTTCTGCACCCCTATCTTCCATGCCTTCTCAGCGCCAGAAATGATCTTCAACGCGCTCCGGCTCGGTCGACCTAGTTACTTCATGCGACGATACGACGAGACATTTGCACACAAAATCTCGCTGTACCGCATCACGGAGACCTTCGGCCCACCAGCGATGCTCCTGAGGCTCATCAATAAAGTCAACGATCATCATCTGCTGCAGTCTTTACGATACGTTGCGTATGGTGGGGCACCATTAGGGCCCGAGCTGCGCAGGAAATTTCTTGGTCTTTTCGAGAATAAACCACGCTTGATACCTGTCTATGGCATGACGGAAGGGGGCTGGTATACGACTCTCAAGGATCTAGAGAATGACGATACTGGGTCAGTCGGTAGATCAATCCCTGGCTACGACATTCGCATCGACGAGCGCGCTGGTGACAGCATGAACGGATGTAGGACTGGCGAGCTCCTCGTTCGAGGGCCACCCATGATGCAGTCATATTTAGGTAATGAGAAGGCGACCACTGATGCCTTCCAAGACGAGTGGTTCAAGACTGGCGACATTGGATATTTTGAAGATGGTAGAGTCTACCTCATTGATCGGATTAAGGAGATGATCAAGGTCAATAGCTGGCAGGTCTCGCCGACTGAAGTTCAAAATGCACTGCTAGAAAGTGACGCAGTGGCAGAAGCCGCCGTCTTCGGCATTGGATATGGTGTTGAGGAGCACCCGGTGGCGTGCGTCGTCCCGAGGGGAACTTCTTCTGCAGACGAGCTCAAAGCTCACCTGCGAACAAGGCTCACAGGCTATAAGGTCAATCATACCGAGATTCGATTTGTGAAGGATATACCCAAGAACTCAGCAGGGAAGATACAGAAGCAAATTTTGAGAGAGCAGGTCTTGCGGGACATAAAATCGTGATGAGTCCAGATAGCATCTAGAAATGCACAACGCTCTGCTCTTCGTCGCACCAACCCTCGTGATCGCTGCGGTCGTCTCTACACTGAGAGCCGGCTCTAGCCGATCGGGCCGCACCAAGGCCCGCACCTTCCCATGTCACTAGACTTTGACTTCTACTCCACCCTCGATGCGCGTCACTTGTTGATCGAATGTCGGCTCGGTGTCATGTTGGGATGTGCGGAAGGAGATGTAGGATGAGAGGAGGATGTGAATCAGCATGAGCGACATGGAGATCATACCAATACAAAGCTTGTCACTGGACAATGCACCGGATGAAGGCACATCAATACGCGGAATCGTGACGCTTTCATGGCCATACTCTTCTTCAACGCGACAATGTGCTCTCCTGATAGCGGATCTGGACTTTCGATTGCGAGCGAAGAAAGGTCAGGTGCGCGTCAGGTTCACAGCAGCAAGCGCAGAAGCGATTGCAAAGGCCCACATTGGCATTGGCGATGAGGTCGTGCTGCAATTGCAAGGCGCGAAATGGGCACAGGATATCGAGGTAACGCGCACACCGGGCAGAAGTGTAGACGGGGAGTTGCTGTACCGGAATAGGCTAGGCCTCACACTCGCTAAGGCAGACGGAAGTATCGAAATTGATATCAATGCGACCACGCCTCCGCGCGTTACCGAGCAGCTGGAGAACGTGATTACGGCGACACCATTGCGACGCACCGTGCAGACTGTACGTTCGAGCTTCAACGGTTCCCTAGACAGTCCACCAACCTATAGCTCTCCACCTTTTGCTCAACGGCAGCGCCTGTCTAGCAACACCTTTCTCGGTTCTGGTTACGACCCTTTCTTTGACGTCGATCTAGACGTTGAGCACCCTGCTAAACGGCAAAGGACGTCCTTTGGAACTATCGGACAGTGGCGATACGCGGAAGGCTCGCCATCCCCAGAAGAATCTTTGTTTGATGGCGATGTGACTGGCGAGGTTATTAGAGGCAACGACGAAATGCTCGAAGTTGCTCAAGATACACTCGGCGAGGCTCGAATAATCCTCGTACATGCTCCTGGAGTTGCTGAAGTTGTGCAACCAGAAGATGCCATGCAAATCGACAGCGTAAGCTTGCTAGACCAGGCCACAGCCTTGAATTCAGACGTGTCGTTGTTGCCTGATATATCACCAACCTCAGTAATACCCGACATACTACCTATCACAATACCTGCGCTACAGCCCTCTGAGCTACATGCATCTCACCTAAAACTGTCAATACCTGGTCCGCATATCACGTCGGCCGAGGAAGAAGTCGCGCCTTCGACTCCTCTGCTGCAAGCTGTGCCAAACTCTGCACTGCCAAACCCTTCACCATTTGCTAGTAAGACTACGCTCACTCACGCTGCCCGAACTGATGATGACTCTGCTCCAACAGAAGAGATCGTCAGCACGGTCACATCGCCAGTCGGATTCTCACAACCAGGCAAACAGGACGAAGGTAGCACGATAGTTGAGGGAGCTGCGGACCTCATCATCAATGGTCTCGAGCCGGGAAAGTCGGGTGCTCTGCAAGAAGCTATTTCCGACGCAGCTGAAAGTGGTGGACAGGCTGCAGCTTCTATTACGACTGTCGCTCGCGATGACCTCTTTGCTGCTCCATCAACACCCATCAAGCTTCCTGGTCAGGCATTCGGCTTTGACGGCTCATCTTCAGCAAAGTCCGAAGCTCGTATTACGCCGCAATCTGAGCGCGAGCGAGTCATGGCGCAGACCTTTAGGAGCTTATTCGGGTTTGCGAAAGCACCTATGGAGCAGACCAAGGCTGCTCAGCGGTCCCCAAGTCCCGCACCCCAAGTCCAAGGGCCCAAGGGTGTATCTGTTGACGGACATGACTTCAATCCTGGATCTGTGAGTCTAATAAGCACACGCAGCAAGCATAGTCTGTCGCAGTCGCCGCTACCGCTCGATCATAATGCTTCCGCGCAAACGAGAGGCATTACCGGTGCAGATGCGGAGATGTTCCAAGCAGCTGCGACAGAAGCATCGGCCAGCCAGGTCCAGCGTGGTGTCCCGATTGACTCCATTTCGGACTTCACTCAAGACCTCTCGCAAGATCTAGCAAAACATGGTGCACGTGGTCTTGACGATAGCATGGTTGCAGACACAGCTTCAAGCGCCCCAGAAGTAATCGATCTTCTCTCAAGCTCAGACATTGAGGGACAGGTAGGGGACGAGGAAGAACATGTGGCAGAGGATGAGCAGGTAGAAGACGAAGAGATCGAAGACGGGCAAGCAGATGACGGTCGTTATGTTGAAACGTACAAGAGAAAGCTTGACCCCAAGCTGGGACACTTGGAGGCACTAGCTGACTTTACTGAAGCGGACGACTCGGTCCTGAGCGATCGAGACGAAGCGACGACATACGAGACGAACGAGCTCTCTACGCAGCAGGATTACATGGCTGCCACACAGCACGAGGATGGCACTATTCAGAGTCCTTTCATACCAGATTCTTATGAAGATGATCAGATAGACAGCTCGTCGCAACAAGCTTCTGATGCAAGGCTTCCCGCTCGAACGTCTCACTTTGCGGACAAGTCAGTCACACAATCTGCGTCACGCAGCGATGTATACAGTGAGCGGCCGCTGGGGGAAGCTCTTCAAAGCATGGAAGGTGGAGAGTCCTTGGGGGCTACAGATCACAGTCTCTCCTCCGATGATGATATTGAGCAACGGAGATCTAATTTGAAGTCTCCACCACCGCAGTCGGTAGATCAGGAAGATTTGCAAGATCTAGACGAGCTTGGAGCCGTGTCTCCTGGGAGCCCGGCTCGCGACGATATGTCACAATGGCCACCAGTCGCCAGCTCACATCCGACAGAAATCGTTGAGCTTGCCTCGTCCTCACCGGTTCCACTGATGGACACCGACCACATCGCTGATGGTGTCAACGAGACGACTGGAATGTCTGCCACCAATGTCGCTCAAAGCCCTGCCTTTGACGACTTGATGGTGATCGATGCCGGCGGTGATCCCGCACCGAAACTATATGACGTACATACACCTCGCCGGTTCTCTGTGGAGTTTCAAGTGAGCGAATTCGCATCGCAAGCTGAAATCAGATCCAAAACGTTCGAGTATGACGATGTGGAGCAAACAACACTCCCGAAGATTGATGAGTATCAGGCTATTGAGTTCCGTCGGGCACCGCCAGCTGTGTCAGATGACGGGGATCAGATTGTAGTGCAGTCCTCTTCGCCTCCAGTCGATGATACTCTGCCACGTCACGGCAGTCTTCATGAAGCAACGGCCACCTTCGAGGAGTTGGCGATTCCAGCGAATCAAGATCAAATCGGATCATCCTCATCAATACCGCAAGTGAACGAGCTTCTAGACGAGCATGACGCCCATTCCAGCCCTATCGAGCCAGCTCAAGGCCTGCAACTGCCTACTCAGGTACATCGACCTGTACAATATTCGTCACTGCCTCCTACACCGATAGAGTCACAATCTCGAACAGACCACGACTTTTCGTCTACTGTCGACGACGTGCAGCGGAGACTACAAAGCAGCGCTCTACCACATACGCCGCAGCTCACTCAGAAGGAATCGGATCTGCAAGTGTACGAACAGCCAACTAATATCCAGGACTCGGACATACCTTCGTTGATGGACGAACATACGTTGGCGGAGCAGGAAGTGCATGAGATGCAGATCGAAGAAGTTGAGACCATTGCTCTAGATGTAGGACTGCATGGCGATGCACCAAAGGGCGACCTAATGGATCTAGATGTGAGCAATGGGCTCGGAATCGGCCAGTCCGTGGACAAGGCCTTGCTAGGAGGCAGTGATCAAGGCATCGAGGATGACGTAAGCCTTGTTGAGCCGGAAGCTCAGACACCGGAGATTCAAGGGCCCGCAGAGGCTTCATTGCACGAGGCTCGCGATGATCCGCTGAGCGGCGGCGTGGTCGACAAGGAGGAGCACTTGGAAGGTACTGAGGCCAACTGCGTACCTACAGAGCTTCAGCTCCTACCGAAAGATACGCACGCACCTGCCGAGCTACGCGAGAGGAAGACGACTGCCCGGAAGTCGTTGAAGAGTCGCTTGAGCAACGTGCCCGACGTCATCTCAGCATGGTTCTCGCCAAAGGGATCTGGTAATGGGGGTTTAGCGGGGACGACGACAGCGACCTCAGTGGCCAAACGGGCGAGCAAGCAAGCTCCGGGTCACGATGTACATGATTTGACGAAGGACCATCAGGCTGGAACCGAGCACACTGGATCGTCGCACACAAGTGATGGCGTGCTTACCACCATGGCCTATTTTACTTCTCTGTCGGATCTGCATCGGAAGCTAAATATGTCTAGCCAAGACTTCCACGGGGCCAACACTGTCGATGTCCTTGCTGTCGCAGCGGATAGCACTAAGGCGCCGGAACGAGCGAAAGGTGGACCTCGAGACTACTACACGATCTTTCGTGTCATGGACACATCTCTAGACTCAAACACAGCTGTGAGGGTTGAGGTATTCCGCCCTTGGAAGGCCGTACTGCCCGTTGCTGAGGTCGGCGATGTGATCCTATTGCGATCGTTCACCATTAAGTCCAGAAAGCGGCAGCCTTATCTCCTTTCTACGGATGCAAGTGCCTGGTGCGTCTGGCGGTACGCAGAAGGTCACAAAGAGATGGGCGAGGATACACGACCTGTGTGGGCTCATAAACATTCCGAGAGCCACACCGGCGAAGTGCGCGAGGAGATCAAAGGTCCTCCAGTCGAGCTTGGAGCAGAAGAACGCCGGCATGCGGATGCTCTGCGCAATTGGTGGATGACAGCTCATGCAAACGGACGTGGCAATGATTCACACGATGTAGAGGATGAGCGTACGCATGAAGGTCTCACAGGAGAGGTAGCAAAGCTATAGTGATGCAGCTGCCTTCAAGGCAATTTATGAATGAAAACTGTAACGGTAGACCTTTGCTTATCAATCCTTGACCTGATCTACTCGGCTGCACTTCGGCAAATGAGTCGACCAATGAGAACCTGAGCGTTCCTGCATCGTTCCACTTCTGCTATTGAATATATGTTCCTGCCACCTTTAGCTGCGAACTTCGTATCGGTATGTAGGATATTAGAGAAGAATCTTTAGAACACGAGCAGGCTGAGCTCATCGACATGAGCATGAGAAAGCGTGGCCCAGTGAACGGCCATTCTAATGGACGTCTTAATGGCTCAACCACGAAAACCACACGTATAGAAGATCCCAAGACCGACTATTCTCGATGGCGACTTCGAGACGACCGCGGTATACAGACATGGCACTATCTACAGACAGAAGAGGAAATGGAAGCATGGCCACAAAGCATTGCAGATCGTCACTTCATGGGTCTGGACACGGTAAGTCTATCTCCCTAAGACTTTGCAGAATTACGGCGGGATTGAGCACTCCGTCGATGGTCTTGAATGGTTTGGAGGCTCGTCGTTACCACGTTTGCCTTTTCTCGATCTCACACGATTTTCATAGGGTCTTCCCGCACTGCCACGTGCAAACAACCCAATGCAAGCAGCTGAGAACGGTCTCGAGTTCTATTCTAAACTACAGCTGGAGCCTGGAAATTGGGCGTGCGAATATGGAGGACCAATGTTTCTGCTACCTGGCTTTGTGATCACGCTACACGTAACTGGTATGCCTCTCGCCTTGCCAGAGCAGACGGAGATCATCCGATATATCTTCAACATGCAGAACCTTGGTGAGAAGAACGGTGGCGACGGTGGCTGGGGCCTTCATATCGAGGGCGATTCTTCTGTCTTCGGTACAGCCATGAATTACACAACGCTACGATTATTGGGCGTATCACCTGAGGATCCACGCATGCGAAAGGCGAGAGGCTGCCTCTACGATTTAGGTGGGGCTCTCAATGGACCTCACTGGGCTAAGTTCTGGCTCTCTTTACTCGGCGTCATGGAGTGGGAGGTTGTCAACCCAGTCCCTCCAGAATTCTGGTTGCTTCCTGATTGGGTACCCATATCGCCTTGGAGATGGTGGATCCACATGCGTCAGGTCTTCTTGCCCATGGGTTTTGTGTGGTCGAAGCGATGGGTGTATCCAAAGGCGGATACGGATCCCATCGTCCGTCAATTGCGTCAGGAACTGTTCACCCATCCGCATGAAGAAATCGCTTGGGCGAGATATCGCAATGCCATCAGTCCAATAGACAACTACAACCCCAAATCTTGGCTCCTCGATCTCATCAATTACATCTTGGTACTTGTTTGGGTTCCGTACTTACGGTTTGGCTGGCTTGTGAAGCGAGCAGAAGCGTTCGTCTGGAAATTGATACAGATCGAAGACGCGAACAGCGACCATGCTGATCTTGCTCCCGTCAACTCGCCCATGAATCTGCTGGCATGCTATATCCAAGAAGGTCCCGAAGCACACTCCGTGAAACGCCATCGGGAACGACTGCAAGAATATCTCTGGCTCACAAAGGACGGAATGTTATGTTGCGGGACGAACGGCGTACAAAATTGGGACACATCTTTCACCATACAGGCAGTGTACGAGATTGGCCTTGCGGAAAAGCCCGAACACCGTCAGATGCTGCTGAAGGCCTTGGAGTTCCTCGAAGATCAGCAGATCCTGGAGCACGCAGTGGGATACGAAGGTTCTTCTGCATACTCGGATCCACCAACAGCCAAGACGTCGGCAGAGTGTGGTTGGCGACATCCACGGCGAGGTGCTTGGGGATTCAGTAATCGTGCACAAGGTTACACAGTGTCCGACTGCACATCAGAGGGTATCAAGGCCACTCTGATGCTGCAGACGCTGCGAGATCCGAACAATGCCTCAAAGAACTTGTTTCCGCAGGTGATACCCGAGCAGAGGATCAAGTGGGCAGCCGATATACTGCTCACAATGCAGAATGCGAATGGAGCCTGCAGCTCATATGAAGCTACCAGAGGGAGCGAGCATCTGGAGCTGCTGAACGCAGCCGAAGTCTTTGGTCGCATCATGGTCGAGTACGACTACCCGGAATGCACTACAGCTTGTGTGACTGCTCTCGAACGCTTCACTCAGGTCTACCCCGATTATCGGACAGCAGACATTCACAGCTTCATAACACGGGCAATTGCATGGATTCGTACCAACCAGCGGGCAGACGGGTCGTGGTACGGTAGCTGGGGTATCTGCTTCACATACGCCGGATTCTTTGCACTAGAAAGCTTAGCCACTCAAGGCGAGACCTATGCTAATAGCGAGCGCGTACGACGCGCGTGTCAATTCTTCCTGGATCGACAGAATGAAGATGGTGGATGGGGTGAGTCTTACAAAAGCTGTGAGACTGGAAAGTGGTGCCAGCATCCCGATGGTTCACAGGTCGTAAACACCGCTTGGGCGGCAATCGCGATGATGAAGGGTGAGTACCCGCACAAGGAGCCGCTGGAGCGCGCTGTGAAACTCTTGATGCATAGGCAGCAGCCGAATGGCGAGTGGCTGCAGGAGGGCATCGAAGGAGTCTTCAACAAAAGCTGGTAAGCCATTTCCTCATGACTGGGTTCCACGGAAGGTCGCAGACTAATGAATCACAGCATGATCTCATATCCGAATTATAAGTTCATCTTCCCGATCCAGGCACTCGGAATGTATGCGAGACGGTTCGGCGATGCGAGCAGACTGTGAGTCGCATATACGGAGCAGTCGATAGAGTGTCTCCCATTGCACTATTGAACTCACAGCGCCATGGCCCATGGAGAACGATCAAACGTTTATGGTGCTTTTGACCGGAAATGAGACAACGACCACGCTTGATCACTGGGAATTTGTCTTAGACGTCGCATACATTTCATTCTCTTTGTTCACCTCATCTGATAGACGTAGATCGGCTCCTTCACCAATTCCTGTCTTTACATTTGGATCGGGACATGAGGATAGATTGCATGTCCAATAATTGCGAGACAGCCGCCACTTCCAATCACCAGTCCTGCAATGTAAGGCGCAGGTACGGTAGTGTACACTGTCGTGAGTCGTGCCAACTGCTTTCGAGATCAGGCGGCTACGATATTACGGCCACTTGGGGCCAGTAGTTTGGGATGAAGAACATATGTAACGGATCGCATGCTCGTTCGGGAGAGAGATGCATGGCTGCGTGACTTCCCGTTCAGCCTTGTGCGACAATGTGCGAGATGCACGGTTGGGTCTCGGTTCATCCCCACGAGCGCGGGTGCGTTCGCATGGGTGATGAACTCCCGTCATGCATGTGTTTCGGAAGTGCATGTGGGCGCGGAGATGAAGTGTGACAGGTCGCCACACTCCGTCGAAGTCTTCCAGAACAGCTTGCACCGAGATGCTGTGGGACGTCGAGTCTGTACTAGGAACATCACATGTCAGATGGAAGTGCGTCGATTATTGGTAGATGCCATTGTGTTTCCTGCGATTGCCCGATCGCGTGTCTATGTCAGCGGTATGTGATGTTGAATTGTTTTGTGGAAAACCTGTGCATAGCAAACCTATCACCGCGTTCGCAATGGTCTGTTTATGCTTTTCGCGTTGTTCTCAAGATCGACGACCTTTTCAGCTGGAGCACGCATAGCTTTTCAGATGAAAGTGTGTGCAAGTATATATCTTCTGCTGCTTCGCCGTCCGCATCGATCCTCCTGCACTGGAATACCATACCTCCCGCTGATAGAGACACTGTTAGTATACATCATCCGGCTAGGTATCTCAATACCGAACAATGCACGGCCAATCTCACGAGTGACCATGTGCATGCCGGTTGACAGGGATATCAAGTCTTGTAATTATTATTACCCGTGCCACGCTAGGGTCGATTGCAGCCGTTTCATGTCGCCGACAGCCGAAGGCAAATCAGGACGGAAGAAGCTCGAAGCTTTACCCTTTACACCTCCCGCATATGCTTCTGCTGCTGGGACATCAATACCACTGTTACCACCACATCGAACCAGATTCCACCAATACATCGACGGACCTGCTTCAGCCGAGTCCGCCGCCCACCGTCCGCCCGCTGCCGTGTCCTCGACTGCTGCCACTGTTTCTGCTGACGTTGAACCTGGGCCGGAGTCGCTAACAGGACATTCTTCCAGAACATTGGCTTGAGCAAGGCTCTCGCCCTCATCATCATCACAAAACCATTCTCACGGCATCTTAGGGGTACTTGCTTGGAGTTACGGCGTTCGTCACGGGAGCAATTTGAACATTAAGCAAGAGATATGGCTACACCAACACCTGGTCAACCCTTCCAGGGCAATACCTATGGAGGCCAGGCACCACCACAAGCTGGGCCTACTGGGCAGCCACAGGGTGGTTTCCCAGAGCGTGGGACTCATAGTGCTCAAGGTCAATACCAGACACCCACACAGTTCGAAAAGTACTGTGTTATCCACATTGCAACCACGTGTGATGAGCATGGAGTTTACGTCACGAAGGACAGTGCCGAAGTGATCGAGATTGGCTGGACGATCCTTGATGCTCGGGATCAAGGTTTGCCAGAGGTATGTCTCATGTCAATAGTGCTATTGATGAGTCATGTCTACCTAAGCTTGTATGTGCATATGCTAAGACATTCTCCAGCTCCACCATCAGTCCGTGCTTGTCAAGCCTGTCAACACCCCCATCACGCCACTATGCACCTCTTTGACTACATTGACATGGGAGCACGTCCGCAATGCCGGAACATTCCGCGACGCCATCATGGCTTTCGACGCATACGCCAAAGACCACCTCGTGGCCAAAGACGCTGGACCTGGTGACCCACCAACTTTCGCCTTCGTCACATTGACACCATGGGACCTGCGCGTTCAGCTGCCACGAGAGGCACGTGATAAGAATGTTGTACTGCCTGCCTATTTGCAGCACCCAGTCCTTTTCGGCCTTCGTGGAGAGTATCAGACTTTCCAGTCGCACCACCCTGAGACCCTTGCTTTCAGCTCATCTGGCCTGTCCTCCATCTGTGCTGGTCTCGAAGTTGAGGAGGTCCGTTCATCTGGCAAGGTCACTGGTGGCCTTCCATTCCACCTCCAGGCACTTGCACCATCCTCACCACGCCGTGCGCTCGAGGAGGCTCTCACCTTGACGCGCTGCTTGCGGTCTCTGTCACAGAAGTCTCGTCCTTCCCAGGCAAACCCAAGCGGCACTCCCGGTGTACTCACGCGTCCTCTTGATGCTCGTAGTGATGTTCGCGCCTTCCTCGGTGAACGATCCAAGGTCATCCACCTCAGCGGTCTACCTCACGACACCACCCAGAGCGAGCTCGAAAGCTGGTTCACACAGTATGGCGGACGACCTATTGCTTTCTGGACTCTACGCACGCCCGAAGGTGGCAAGCCTAGCGGTAGCGGCTTCGTCGTCTTCGGCTCCCACGAAGAGGTCAGTACTGCGCCCCAAAAACAGTCTATCATCGCACCTTCCTTGCCATCATGCTCGCTGCTCCTTCTTCTTTTGTAAACTATTGCAGCCCAGCTGTACATCATGAGACCTGATGTAGTCTTGTCGACTGGCTATAAGATCCTGCTCAATTCATTCTTCACACCTCAGCACTTGCTCTTACTGCACTCTTCACACCTTTTTGCACAGCCTCAAGCTCGGATACATACTGCCACAGCCTGTGTTCAGCGTAGCACGCTCGTGCTTACCCGAAGTCCAAGAATGAGTACTGACACTTCAAACTCTCAGGCTGCCGAATCTCTCAGCATGAACGGACGTGCTTTGAATGACCGCGCCATTGAGGTGTCACCTTCGAGTTCACGAGTAAGTGTAGGCGCCTCGCAGTTTCGACATCTGCTAATCCCACCACAGGTCCTCGACCGTGCCGCTGGCTCGCAGCCTCCTGGTGGACCACCTCTCTTGACACCTTTCCCACCATCAAAGAACCGCCCACGTCCCGGTGACTGGACCTGCCCAAGCTGCGGCTTCTCCAACTTCCAGCGTCGTACTGCTTGCTTTAGGTGCTCATTCCCAGCTATAGGCGCTGGACCGGATCCTTATGGCTCGAACAACTATGGGATGCAGCCAAATCCTTACGGCGGCGGCCAGGGCTACGGACACCCAAATATGATGAGTGGCGGAGGTCACATGCACGGTGGTCAATATGGCGGAATGGGTGGCATGGGCGGATCTTCTGGTCGTGGCGGTATCATTCCGTTCCGCGCTGGTGACTGGAAGTGTGGGAATGAAGGTTGCGCTTACCACAACTTCGCCAAGAATGTCTCCTGCTTGCGCTGCGGCGCCTCACGAAATAATGCTGCGGTCGTGGCTGAAGGTGGCATGAACAACTTTCCTGGTTCCGGATATGGCGGTCCTCAAGGTCCTCCAAGTATGATGCCGCCTTCCATGAACAACAGCTCTTATGGCGGCGATATGTCCCAGGGCGGTAGTGCTTATGGTGGTGGGAGCAGCATGGGTGGTGGCTATGGTGGTCAATCCTTTGGTCCACCATCGAGCTATTCTTTGCCAGGTGGTCTTGGTGCACCAAGCCCGTACATGCAGGGTGGCTACGGTCAAATGAGCAGTAACGGAAGCATGCAGGGTCAGGGTCAAGGTCAGGGTCAGGGAGGATTCGACAGCCGTGCTGAGGCAGCTTTCAACCAGGGTAATGCTTCGTCTGCTGGCCAGGGTGGTCAGAGTGGGTATTCGAACGGCAGCAGCTACGGCCAGGGTCAGTACGGCGGTGGTGATGCGACCGACTTCAGCTTCCTGAACAGCGGCATGAATAATCTGGGTCTGAGCGACCGCGAGCCGCGTAACGGCCAAGGGGCTAACACCAAGTCGCCACAGTAGGTCGCTGACAAGGAGAGGAGGGGAGAATTCTGTGCATATCATTGGTGAAGCAAACGAACGGACATATGGGGATGGGAAAGAATAAACGGTTGTACTACCAGGATCGGACTTCGACAACTTAGCGCGGCGCTGGAAGAGAGACGGGGATGCTGTGCGGTGTGCGACTTAGCGTGGCGTCGGTATGGCGGGGCGAGGTTGCGATACATGGCTGCGAAGGTGGGAGGGAATGGGCTGCCACGGGGCACGGACTAAAGGCCCCTTATAGCTGAAGGTTGCGTTATTGTTCTTCTTCACACGATGGCTGTGGGTTGTGCTGTGTTGTGTTGTAGTGTAGTACCACTTGCATTTTGGGTACGACACTTTTTGTCCGCTGTTGGACTTCCAATTCCTCTCTATCATTCTGTGTCGACTTGGGTGTCCAATATTCCAAGTCTCAGGAGATGGATCGTCTCATCCCTCTTGACCTCATAGGTGATTTTGATGTTCACGTGCTTGACAGCCAAATTGAGTTTGCCACCACGTGCCCCGCGTCACTTTCGCGGGACCCGCGTAAAGCATCATTTCTAGCTTCACCACTTCACTACCACAGCAGAGCAGAGCAGTCACAGCGACATGCTCAGCAATGGCGTCCCTGGCCGAGAGCAGCATCGCAAGCGTATCCTTGAAGGATCTTGCCGCCGTGCGAGAGCATTTGGCGAAGATTGTGCCAGGAAATGTGACAGATCGCATGCAGCATCCTAGCGCGTTGACGCCATCAACCCTGCAGCGAGGCCTGCCGATAGAACGAGTGCCCGAGGCAGCCATCGGCGTGCCTCAACGCGACCGTTTCGACAACACGAATGACACAGCGAACGCCAGCGCGGTAATACCAGATTCGGGCGATCTTGCCACTCCACCAGCCGCCGTCGCGATCACCGCACGGCCGCCACATCTCACGTCCGCGAGGTCGGCGCCAGAGGCAGACATGGAAGCGATGAAACAGCAGACGCCTTCGCAACAGGCTTTCAAAGACATGACACGCGCCGAATCGTTCAGCGGGTTTCTTGGTGGCGACACTCAGCCCATGGACTCGCAGATATACCATCAACACTTTGAGTCGATGGCGCTTGCCAAGTCGAACACGAATACCGTTACGCCCCAGAAACCGGTGATGAGTGTGAGGCGGTCACCAGATGGCAGGTTCGAGACATATGATACGACTGTTACGGACAAGACACCGCACACATTTGTGGAGGGCGAGACGGGGTTCATTGATCTAGAAGGAGCCTTGCAATCCGAGCATGGGTCGCCTGGCATGCGATCAACTACTTCTGGTATCGACGAGCTTCTGGCTACTCCGCAGACACAGCTGCAGGCTCTTGAGGTAGCGAGGATACCTACTATGCCTGAGACACCATCGCTTGCAGGCCACAAGAGACGGAGTAGCGGCGAGATCGTCAGCTCGACTACTGTCGCTGCCAAGAAGACACCAGGTTTCTCTCAAGTCTTTGGATTCGTCGCAAAAGGGCCAGCCATGAGTGCCACGCAGCTTTTCGCGCAGACTCAAGCACCTTCTTCGCCAATGCCAGACGCCCCACGATCTGATCCACTCCTCACACGTCCTTCGCCTAACATGCTAGAACGTACTGCATTCTCTTCGCCGCCAGTCTTGAGGTCCTCGCCGTTGATGACCATGCATAGCAGACCTACATCTGCAGCGACTGAAGATCCGAAGGAGAATTACACGAGTATGCAAGAGTCGGACGAGAGGAGAAGAGTACGCGAGATTGAGCAGGAAGCAAATGCTGTATACCCTGATGTGGACGACTTCGATGTGGACGATGATTTCGTGCGACCTAGACTACCCAACACACGCATGCAGAGGGTCATGAGTGACCAGACACTACATGAGTTGGCGAGGCGGAGAGCACCTTCACGACCGCCATTACGGCCTGGCTCAAGCAGGGGGGAGATTGCTACGATTGATCTGATCACACCTGCAACGGTGCGACAGAGGCCTGGACGAGTCGAGTTTGGCTTTGATAATGTCAGCGACGACGGCGAGCCAATGGACGAGGACGAGCATCACGAAGATGGCCTTGATCTGGGTGACGACGATGATGTGTACGATGAATATGCACAGACGGTTCTCAGGAGCCAACCGGATGGTGACAATCAAGACGACATCGGCGAAGATGACCACATTATCGAGCAGGCCGATGAAATGCACGACCAAGGTGCCGAAGAGGCTGCAGGCAACGAGAGCAATGGGGATTTGCATCTTGATGATGGGGATGGGGAGAATTCACGTGATACGGACAACGTTGCAATGTCTGGTGATGTTGTGGATGTAGAGAAAGCGGTGACGGCAACACAGCGGTCAGCAGTCGCAGACTCGCAACCATTACCGGGCGAAAAGCGACGTCGTACTCATCTCGAAACGATCGCACCCTCCTCGACGACATCTTTCGTGCCTGGCTCGCAATACGCTGGTAGGACCAGTGAGGAGCAAGCATTTCTACGCCGGGATGGGTTGCGGCAGATATCAAGCGGTGATGGCCTTCTTGACAAGGTACCAAGTAGTCCACCACTACTGGCAACTAATGACACCCTTCCAAGTGATCCGCTTGGCGCCTCGCTTGCCCGACAGCAAGCACTAGCTCTTTTCCAGCCACAGCAGCAAGAGCATACGGAGCAGGAAACGGAGCGCGAGATACCAGAAAGCGATGCGCTGCAATCTGAACCTGCTCGACCACGAACGGCCGACGTGATTGAAGCAAGATCCAAAGGGCAGATGAGGTCGGCTACTGAAAGCAACAGCATGCCTGCTCCATTCTCGACAGCGCAAACACATCTATCTGCCGGCGGACCGTCACCTTTAAAGCCACAGTCGAAAGTAGAGAAATCACCATATAAAATGCTCGCGAGCCAGCGCAGTAGGATGTCTCTCGACTCGCCACGCAAACGTGCCGGCGTGAGAAACTTTGCTGATATCGCCGCTGACCCCTCACCTCCCGAAGCTAGTGGCGAGGCAGAGGTCGATATCGAGGCTATGATGAGCGACGTCTACACTGCTGAGGACCACGCATTCCTTGACGCCATGTCGAGTCCGGCTAGCGAGAAGGTGAGCAAGCGTCGGCGGTTGAACAACACCGTTGCGCGGCAGGTGTCTTCTGTGGCTACATCACCAACTAGAGCCGTTGCTGATGAGGCTGAGCCAGTGAGCGAGCAAGCTCAGGCTAATTTGGTGCCGCTAGCCGTCCCTGCTCTGGAACATATGGAGATGGCGAGTCCGCACGTTCTGCAAAGCAATGAGAGTAGAGGCAATGAGCTGCCAACCTCGACTCCTGAGAATGCCGATGCGCTGAAAGGTACTCAGGACAGCACTAAGAAGCGCGAACAAGCAGGGGCTGCTGTAGTCTCACAACTGCTGGCTGCTCGTTCGACCAAGACTGGGCAGAAGCTCTCTGGTCTAGGACGTAGGACGACCACATCAGTAGAGCTCGAGGTTGCTCCCAAGAAAATTGACACGGCTACACGGAGGAAGTCAAGAATTGGGAAACGCAAAGTAGCTCAAGCAGCAAGCACACCAGCAGAGGCCGCCGTTGATGATACGGAGACAGCACTGGCCCCTCTGGACGGATCCCTGGACACCGCAGCTCCTGTTGCCATGACTGTGGCAACAGACGAGGTCAATAGCGCAGCAGTAGCACACGCCGACAAGCCTGCTGCTAATGCAGTCCTGGCACCCATGAGGGTCTTTGCACTGTTCAAGGGCACTCCCACGAACTTCTACCCTGCCACCTGGCTTGAAGCTGCGAGCGACGGGAAGGGTCAAACTATACGTTTTGATGACAATACTGCTGTCAGTTTGGACCGAAGTCACATCTCTATGCTCGAGCTCCGTGTTGGCGACAATGTCAAAGTAGATGGTGCTGGCATGCGAAACAAGTCGTGGGTAGTGAGAGGCTTTGGCGATGTTGCTCGAACTGTCCAAGAGCGCGCTGTCGGTTCAGACATCTACGGCCACACTACTATCCAAGTGCAGGCCAAGACTGGTGGCCGCGACAGCACTGCCGGGACTGATGGTCCAATGAGCAATGGCGGAGCAGTGATCGATGTACTCATCAACAGGATCTATCTCACGCCTACCATGTGGTCTGCCTTCTCCAAGCGCGAATTCATTCCGCCACACCCCCGAGGACGCAATGCCACTAGACTCGACACGCCTACAATTGGACTGCATACACCAGATGCCGAAACTCCTGGCTCACGAGTGCGCCGCTCAATCATACCATCTGCCAAAGCCACAGCCCAGAAGTCGCATTTGCGTGACGACTCGGTGACGTCGAAGCATGCTCACAAAGACTCAGGGTTGTTTGATAACATGGCATTTGCTATATCTTACGGCTCGAACGAAGCGGTGAAGCAAGACATCACAGCAAGCATACAGCGCAACGGTGGCATGATCCTTAATAGCGGCTTCGAGGAGCTGTTCGATCTTCCTACTCTTGCTGATGCGGACGAGCAAGGCGACGATGGACAGACCGGTCTTCACCTGAAGAAGCAATATGCTGGTCTTGGTTTCGTAGCACTGATTGCGGACCGGCATAGTAGGCGAGCAAAGTATGTGCAGGCCCTTGCACTTGGCCTACCTACGCTGTCTGGCCGCTGGATCACCGATTCGCTGAAAGCTGCCAGTGGCGAAGGAAAGGATAGTGCCCCGGTGCCCTGGAGCAAATACCTGCTTGCAGCAGGCGAGAGCAGCTATCTTGGCGGAGCCGTGCGATCTCGCACAATCACGTCATATGATGCCGCTGAAGCCAAGCTGATCGACACCATCACGAATCGCGAGCTCCTTCTCGCTGGTGACAATGTTCTCATCGTAGCATCTCAGAAGCACAAAGCGTGGGACCGTCGCAAAGCATATGCGTTCCTCACCCTCGCACTCGGCGCAGCAAGAGTGAAGCGCGTGATCGATGTAGCGAGCGCCAGATCTATACTCAAGACTGAGAGGGACCAGTGGCAGTGGGTCTACGTCGATGGATCGGTGGTGGAGGCCAGTAAGATTCTCTTTGGCTTGACTGTCTGGAACGCTGCGGAGCGCGAGCGAGAACGGATGCGCGGCGATGACGGCGTATCGAAGGGCGATGCTAAAGTCATGGTGGCGAGTTCTGCGAATGGCGTGATTAAGGCTGTCAACGATGAGTTCGTCGTGCAGAGTCTGATACTTGGTGCTCTGGTGGATTGAGCTCGCAGCACAATGGCTGAACGGCCTGCTGGATAACAGCCGACAGCATCGCATAGCATGGCATGATAGCGCTAAAGTACCATGTAATGTTGTACACCATGTCTATCTATATAGAAATCCTTCCCATGTCGCTTCATCCTCGACATCATCTAAGGCCTAATGGCGCCAATATCCTCTCCCTAATCATCCTCTGCGCCACCTCACCACCCCTCTGCAACGCCACAGCCCCAACAATACTATACACCGTATGCGCCAATACAGTCTCCACCCCCGACCCCTTCAGATTATCGCTCTTCTTCGGCTTCCACCGCACAACTCTGTCTATCCCATAATTCTGCGCTAATTTCGCCATTCTCGAAACTGAAAGGATCTGGGATCTGCTGAATTTGCTTATATTGTCCACGTTGTCCGGCGCTGGGTGGGAGAAGATGTTGCGGTCTGAGAGCGGGTATGATGCTGAGACGCCGGAGGAGGCGTTCAGGAGCGCGAGGCTGGTTTGGAGGTCTACGAGGCGTTTTCCTAGATTCGCAAGGCGGTCGTTGAAGCCTTGACGGCCGTGGTCGTGGGATTTGTGGGTTAGGGCTAGCCACTGTTGTATAGACGTGTTAGTAACGAGACGTCCCCGCGACCTGTTTCTGGTAGGGCGTGTGATCAACATACCTTCACCTCCTCAGGTAACAGATCCCTCCCCCTCGTACCATGTAAGCCTGTCTGATCCTTCGCCGCTTCTCCTACTCGTCCAAGAAAGCGATCGTAGACTTCATCTACTGCTTCCTGTGAGTCGTTCACTCGCCATTCGGGTTGTTTGGGCATTGGTCGAAGGCGGAAAGGCGCTTTCATACGAGGTGGTGTTTGCTGCCATCGTGGAAGATCTGGGGATGGGAGTTGCTGGTTTGTGGTTGTGGTGAAGGCGCGGGTGGTGTGTTTTGAGGTGGTGGAGCGGAGGGTCCTTGCGGCGCAGGAGGCGCAGATAAAGGGAGTGCGAGAGGTCGACATGATGGCTGTGGACGGTGCAGTGGAGAGGTATGTCGTGTGCATGTGATCTGGGCAACTTTATGTCGGGAGTGTCGCATTGAAGCCGCAAGACGGCAACCCTAATTTGAGTCGCCGAGATCCGAGAAGTGGGCGCGTTTCCACGCGACTTCTCCTGCTTGACATCAGTAACACAATAATTGAATATTGATATCCCAGGACAGAGCAGTTTTTTATTATCCGTTGGAGTGAGTATTGTAGCCTGGTCTTGAAGTATGGCGATGAGCTACGAACGTTCCGTGTAATCTCACTTGATCAGATCTCAATGGCATCTCAGGACAATGAAGACGAATCCCTCGCACAGGCTTTGGCAGCAGCAATTCCAGGCGGTTCTGACGACAACATACTCGATGGTCTCCCTCTGGCCTCCGGTTTCAAAGGCAAGCTTAGATACATCCACTCGGCACCTCGACCATGTGATCCTCTCTTCCCACCTCCACCCGGACGGGAGCCGGAGAAAACAAGACTATCGTCACATTTCCTATCGTTAGGAGTAGAGCCTACGCGAACAGCTGGAAACTCTGTATTAATATCCCCATACCTCAAGGAACAGGAGGAAGGAGTTCTAGGTCTTGGGGTCGAAGTCTTCATTTACCACACCAAATATCTAACGACTATATTCGTGTCGAAAGCCGACACAAACGGCTATATCACTGCGCGAAACACCACGAAGCCGGCATGTACTGCCTTCCTCCGATGGTTGGTCAATCGAGAACGAAGAAAGCATCCACATCGCAAGATCGTGGTGTCCCTCTTCGCCCGCGCACAGTCACAGTATCTTTTCCCAGGATCTGCAGAGCAAAGCAGCAAACATGTCCTCGACGATCGGCAACTCATCAAGTGGTGGGCAAAGGTACTGGATCCTCTACTCGATCTGCCATGTACCGGCGAAATTAAGCCAGAAATCAACGGATATGTCACGATCCCAGGGTACGACGCCCAGGAACTCCGAAGCTACCTTCCACGGACCCAACACGCAGACGGTCGTTCCTGGAGAGCTGGACACCCACTGGGTGAGCTCGCGGAAACTAGAGGCGTCTCTACGGCAGCGCCACCACGATCATTACTTCCTCGCTTTCCAGACGACCCTAAAGCAAGATTCATCCAAGAACTCGACGATGAAGTCGGTCTTGCCGAGATCGATATCACGAGCAGTCCATCCAAGCATAAGAGCGGCAGATGGAATAGTGTTCGTAACCTCGATCGGTTTTGGGAGGCCATGGAGTTCAGGCAGGAGTGTTCTTCTGGGCGGGTTGTAGGATTTCTTTGGGTTGTGATCTCGCCATCACAGGTCGTCGGTAAGGATGATCTCGAGAGTGGTGCGAGTCAGGAGCAGCTTTCGCAGAACACGATTAGTAGCGAGGCAGCTATCGAGGGCACGCCAACGCCGACGCCTAAGAGGCGTGGGAAGCGCAAGCCATTGACTGGACCGGTCGTGGCGAGACAGCCTCGACTCAAGGGTGGCTCTTCTTCCTTGACAGCCACTTCTACAGATCTCGACGGCATGCTAAACAGTGTCCGTGGCGACGGATTACTGGTGTCCAGGGAAGGCTATGACAAAGCATTACAAACACTAATGCACCTCGACTTTGCCAATGTCGAAGCCGCCGCTCGATCGACCAGCAAGTGGTTGGCCGAGGTGAGGAGTATCTGTGGATTATCAGGAGATTGGGCTGTGGACTTGGTAGGTACTGCTGCTCATCCACCTGCTCGTGGTGGTGGGTACCTGTACCCGAATGAGCAGGAAGCGCAGGTCAATGATTTGGGTGGGATAGTGAAGAAGAAGCGGAGAGCTGGTGATGTTGGTGCTGAGGCCGACGGGCCTGCGGTCAATATGCTCAGTGGTGGTGCATTAAGGAAGAAGCCGAAGCCGAGCGCCACATGAGCCCGAGGGCAAGTTTGGGTGTTGATTGAATTAGCAAGGCGTTCTGGTTATGGGCGAATTTTGGATTATCTGTAGCCCTTGTGTGGGTCACTAGCTGGTGAAACCCTCTTCATCAGGGTCATGATTCGTGCCGACTTTCGTCTACATCGTCGCATTTTCACGTCATTACGCTTCCATTCCGAGTCGATGCTGGTACGCAATTGAGCCGTCGACCAGATGCTGATGCTCGACCCCACTGTGATGTAACCCTCGCTGGCCTCCACGTCGGAAGAATGCGCATCGCGTGGCCGAAGAGCTCAAATCTCCGCAGGTCTCAATCAGGTAGAGGATTCGGTCAACTGGGATATCGTCGTCACATGCGATTATCCGAGTAATCGTGATCGTTCAGTCGTCTGTTCCTGCTCGCTTTCCTTGGTAGTCTTCAACGCCGTCCGGCGGACGAAGCTGCTCATGTCAGCACGCGCCACCAAGATGAATGAATGGTGATGGTCGTCCTTACGAAGTGACCTTGTTGCTTCTCCGCCACTGATGCTCCTCCTTCGACCCGTCGTCATCGTACTTCAGTTCCCAACCATTCCAGCTCCCAGTACCAAAAGTCTGATTGAACCTGAGCAGCGCAGCCACAATGCCTGTCAACAAGGCTAGTGCAGCGATGGTGGCAAAGATGGTGACGATGATGCTGAGGAGAGTGGTGGTCGAGCATCCGCATCCAAGGGCTTTGGTCCTGAGCTCGAAGCGCTCGCCACGAAGAGGACAGACTTTGGCATCTACCACTGGCTTGAGTAGATTCGTGGTCGGTACACAAACTCCACTGAACGGGCACCAGCCACAGCCGTGCGAGCTGTGGGTACAAGAGTAGCAGTCTTGGACTCGCCAGCAGGCATGCTGATGGTGGCTGTAAGAAGTCGTGATATTGTCCATGGTCGATATATTGTCGATTCGTATTGTGAATGAGCAGGTACAGAAGTCCAATGTTCTTCGCGTAGCAGGTGCCGAAGACGCATGGACCCACCAATGACGAAAGCATCCCAAGCTCTCCCCACATTCTCGGCTTATGAGCCGGCGCATATCGAGCTTCAAAAATTGTTGCCATTCGAGTCTGCTTCACAAGCATATCGACTAGCTCAGCATCATTCTACAATGGCAGACGAAGTACCAGAAATCTCGTACGAGGACCTCGCCTCAATCGAGGATGACTTTGAAGAGATCGACACCCAGATCAGTAGGCGGTCATCAAGTCACGCCATTGACGTCTCCTCGCTAACCATTATGACAGTGCGAAAGCAGTACGACATCTCCAAACCAGCATACGCCAAACGAGCAGAGGCCATCGCCAAGATACCGACCTTCTGGCCTCTGGTATTTGAACAGGCCCCGCCAGAAATCGACCAGTACATCCAGCCCGCCGACTCGCAAATCATCAACGACCACCTCAAAAGTATAAGCGTGAGTCGTATTGAGCTCGAAGACAAACCTGAAGGTGGCAACCCGAGATCGCTTAAGATCACCTTCAACTTCAGCGCGAATGAGTACTTCGGCAATGAGAAGCTCGAAAAGACATTCTGGTACCGACGAGCGAGCGATGGCTGGACCGGACTCGTCTCAGAGCCTGTGAAAGTGGATTGGAAGAAAGGCAAGGATCCTACAGAAGGCCTGACAGATGGTGCACATGCTCTTTCTGCTGCGCGAAGGAAAGTAGGAGACATGACTGGGAAGGGTATGCCTGAATACACTTCTCTTGCGAAAAAGCTGGAGAGCTGGAACGGTCAAAACACTACTTTCTTCACGTGGTTTGGGTTCGTGAGTGGGAGGCGATATGTCAATGCTGAGGAGAGCGAGAAGGCCACCAAGGAGTATCAGCAGAAGAAGGAGGCTAGGAAGCAGGGCGATGATGCCGGTAAGGATGAGGCGGAGGACGAGAACGAAGACGAGGAGGCGGAGGATGATCAAGCCGTGGAAGTGCATGAAGCCGGAGAGGATCTTGCAGTGGGTATTGCTGAGGATCTCTGGCCCAATGCGATCAAGTTCTTCACGCAGGCACAGGAGATGGGTGATATGTCTGATCCAGAGTTTGAAGATGACATGGATGATGAGGAGGATGAGGATGATGAGCCTGTTGACATTCGGAGTCTGGTTGGCGGAGCAGAGAAGGGGAAGGCGAGGGACAGCAACGGTCCCCCGGCGAAGAAAGTGAAGCGGTGAAGGGTCGGAAGTGATGAAGTGTTGTCTGAATTATTTTCGGAGCACAGCCTACCATATTTGGCATGATTTGCTGGATGATTTCTAAAGTCGGAGCGTGATATCAAGTCTATGCGCGGGGTCTTCAAGGCTGCGGAACAAAGTCGATTTGTCAATGTCAGGGGGACATCGAGGAGGTGTTTACGCCGTGGGCGTGTCTGATCTTGCTCATGTCGGTGGTTCAGCTGGTGTAAACGGCACACTCCTGAAGACGCCACTGGGTATTCAATTCAAGCGCATCATCAGATGGTCTCGTTCGCATCATATCGGATAGTTGATATCCTGAATGATATGTTCCTGCTTGGCGCCGCCAGGATTCTCCTTGACAGAGTTTGTCTCATGCTGCAAGAACTCCGCAAGACTCTCGTAGACGTCTACAGACACATCATCTTGGTCGAATACTCGCCATGAAGCATGAGCAGGTTGCTCTGTGCTTGTCTTATGGCAAAGAACATATTAGATCTGACGATGTTAAACACAGCCGCCGCATTCCCAGGCGGAGAGGAGTGCGTAGCCTCGTGACACTACCCAATGGGATATGCTTTTGAGCATGTCTCTGTTGGTGTAATGCTGATCCAGCGGGCGGACGAGCTCGGTGTACGCTGTTTCGGATGGCACACCCGTACCATTTATGCCGTTTGTCAAGGACAGAAGGTATTCAAAGTCCTTGGGCAGCTGGATGGCCATGCTGTCTGTCGCTGTTGACTTATCGAGTTGTTCCTGGAGGAGACCTCTTAGAGCATGCAGCCTTTCTTCACTTCACTTTGTGGAGCAGGGTCTGTCAAAGGCTTGGGAATGAGATTCATCAAGTCATCTGTGTTTCGCAGAAGGAGGACTTCATTCTTGAGTTCCGCTTCGCATAATTCGCCGTCACGGTGTGGCTCCCTGTCTCCGAAGGCAAGCCTATATACGCAAAGATTGAAGGCTCCTTCGTCAGTGTACCCTTCGGCACGAGGGAGTTCCCAGTCCGCCAGCGCTTCTGGATGCCATCTCTGTCGAACATCCTGGATGAATCTGGCCATCTCACGTCGATTGACAATATCTGCGGCCTCAGCATATTGATGTATGGTAGTTGCCATATCTTCAGGCATGCGGAACGCCATAACCCAATGGGCACGTCAGAACTAGCCTTGCGTGGGCAGGATGACGAGGATACACTGGAGCGCAGTCAGCGTCCAGCGCCGTCAACATACTGGTTCGCTGGTTGAGAGACTCACAACTTGTCCGAGATTGTGGTTCGTTGTGATGACTGTGTGGCAGCGCGAGTCGCAGGCTACAATACTTCAGTCTGTAGCACGACTCGCTCAGTATATGGCATGACTCGGTCGAGACGTGTCCGCGTCGCTGAGATACACTAGGAAGGCACAGCCAGTGGCTAGTCTGCATTCGCCGATTGCCGTACCGGAGCAAATACCATGACCCAGGAGACGGCGGAGATGCTCATTCATGAGGTGGAGCTCACTCCACCCCATACGCAGCTCTTGCGAAACTTGGGGTAAAAAGATGTCGTAATAACAAGCACTCGGTACCTGTACGTATATATTCTGCGAATCAGCGAGGGATGTTGGTGGCCTGATGCTATATATATTGCGTGCTTCATGACGGACATGATGTCAGCATGGATGGATCTGCTGTCTCCATATCAGCACTCCGCAGGTCATACAATGTTGTAGCCATGTTCATCCAGATGTACGGAGTATGTAGGAAGCATGAAGAGACATAATGCCTTTCGGAACAAGTATGCGAGAACCGAGAATATTCCACGTGACGCGATTGCTGCCCCTCAACCTGCACCCATTATTGCCAGCTCAGCTCGCAATAGCCCAATGACTCCATCCGTTGCGCCTACACGCCCTGCTGGTACCACTCTGATCCCATCAATCGAGCACGAAGCTGATTGTTCGCAGCCACTGCCGGGCAATTTCCCGTCCGTGCTGGCGCGCTTCTCATTTTCCTCCTTCCTTCTCTGGTCTTCTGTTGTTAGTCATAAAAACCTCCAAGCGTGGGAACCAACGCTCGCTCGTCCCACTACGGTGGTACTGCTGAAAAAAACGTGGTCGTGTTCAACCGCTTGACGGCATCAGCAATCCCGTGACCTTGGCAGATGCGCGCGAATGAAATCGTCCGAGACAATACGGTGACACTGGTGAACTTTGTCTGCTCGCTGCGTGCTCCTCACCGAACAGATATTTACGACCAGAAAGTGCTAACCTTGACTGCTTGAACCAAAGCCTGCTCCGACCGTCGGCCGCTCTGATTGCAGGTGTCGTGGCCTTGTCTCCGTATATTGTCTCGCTCCTGCTGTTATCAACACGAGCACACCATCCAATCGTTCTGACCTTCGCTTCAGAGTACATAGCGGAGCCGGGACGCCTCGCCGGGACGTCTGACCAACGATCGAGCACACCTCAACCCTCTTAATACCACGAGTGTTCGAGACTATAGATCCGTCATAACGCAACCGTGTCTGCCGTAACGGCGCGTCCCCATCGAGAGGCTACCATCGGCCGCATTACACAACAGCCGCGGTCTAGGGAACCTTGACACGGTCACGAGAATTTCTCCACGTCTCGAACCATCTTCCACTTTTACTCATCAACTGGAAGGCCAGACAGTGCAACACCAGCTTCGAAAACGAATACGCGTGTCGATGAAGGATTTGTAATGCCCACCAAAACGGTCGCGACTATCAACTCAACTGGAAGACAGGCTGCGTCCTTCATCCGAGCAGCATCGGCTGTTGGCTGGCATGTGAAGGCCCAGATCCGTAGCCAGGATGGTCTGGTGGCTGAAGAACTGGCCGATCTTCCCAACGTCGAGTTCATCGAGGGCGACCTTGCTGGACCGGAGAGGTCTCGTCTTCTCGCTGGACTCTTCGCCAACGTCAAGATAGCCTTCGTCAACACTACTCATTGGGGTGACGAGGTGGCGATTGGCAGAGCATGTGCAGATGCTGCGAAGAAGGCTGGCGTGGTTCACTACATCTACTCTTCCATGCCGGATCATAGTACCTTTGGCAATGGCTGGAGAGCACTGCCGATGTGGGCTACCAAGTTTGCCACCGAGAACTACGTACGGCAAGTAGGCATACCAGCGACATTTGTCTATACTGGCATTTACAACAACAACTTCACCTCATTGCCCTATCCTCTTTTCCAGATGGAGCTGCAGGACGATGGTAGCTTTGTGTGGCAAGCACCATTCCACCCGGATGATCCTCTACCCTGGCTGGACGCTGAACATGATGTCGGGCCGGCTCTGCTACAGATCTTCAAGATGGGACCTAATCACTGGAAGGGACAGAGGTGAGTGCGACCCAGGAGTCGTGACGTAAAGAATTTGCTGACATTCTCAACAGAGTTACCCTAGCCTTTGAGCGCCTAACACCACTCCAATGCTGCGCACGATTTGCGCGCGGCGTAGGACGACCTGTCAGATATGTGCATGCGGAAATCGACATCAAGGTCACCATTCCATCAGGCTACCGAGAACAACTTGAGATACTCCAGGAGACTCTGGGAGAGAAGCGGGCACCTTATTTCCCTGATCTTGAGTATCCACGCGAAGGTCGAAGCATCTGGGAAGGCTACCGTGGCATCGAAGAGTATGCGCGCGAAGTCTTCCCAATTGAGGAGTATGCGAATGGTGTGCGATGGATGGAGGAGCCTGGTGCTCAACCACCCAGTGACGTAGACCCTGTGGAGGTTGAAGTGAGTGGCCCAGCGTCGAGGGTTGGTTCGAGACCTATCACGCCATCTGGCATCAACTCGCCACTACGCTTCTCCGGCGCCTTTCACCCTCGTTCGCATCCCGAAGGTCTGGACGATGACTTCTTCGTGGGCAGCACGTAGGCATATGTTAATTGCAGAGTGCTGCGGTTACTCGTGGGAATGGGGATGGGAGGCAATGGTCATGGCGCTGGCAGGGACTTTCTTTTGCCCTGCTTATAAGCATGGCGCTGGCATGGATATGGTATGGTTTCGGGAGGACAAAAGCATTTTTCACTGCATGGACGAGGCATGAGGAACACGGCCGACTAAAAGCATTGATTCATTCGGTAGTAGTAGCGTGCCAGTGGCGCGGAAGTGTGGCTGATAGGCATGAGGTGGAGTGAGTGAAGTTGCTTGACGATCTAGGCGATGTTAAGGCTCCACAAGTCCTACCGCTTACATAGCTCACAAGCATCCTGTCGATATGCCCTCTCAACGTCACAAGAACAGTGCATGGAGGTCAAGAGATATGGTTCAGATATTGTCTTGGCATTTACGTCGTATCTACATGCACAATGATTTACTACTATCGTCCGACGTACTTCAGCCTGTATTATCATAATGTTAGTCATGTCGAGTTCGCACAAAACGAAAGGAATTAGGACTTACTCGAGGTAGCGTATGGGAATGTACGACAACGAGGTGGCGGCGAATGCAAGCTCGTTGGCGATGTCGCCACCTTGTGAAAGTCAGTACAGCATTTTGAAAGGCAGAGCATGCATAGAAACATACCGTACGCGCCAATCAGCTTGCCAATTGGTCCGACATACCACGTCTCAACCATGCCCATGCACCACATCACTACGCCGAGCGCGAAGGCGGAGAAACCAGCAATACCAAGTGGTAGTCGTTTTGGATCATTCCAGCCTTCAAGATCGTAGTTCATGAAGTTGTCCTTGCGGAAGATGTAGTGCTCGCTGAACACGATGACGAAGTAGCTCGTGCACCAGTATCCGAGTAGGGATAGAAAGTTCTGTAGGTAGGCGAGAAGCTGATCTCGACCGGCTAGAGCCAAGGCGATTATAACGCCGAAGCAGAGGAAGTTCCAGACGAAACGTGGTACCCTGGCGAATGGTCTTGCGAACTGTTGGCAAGAGATGGCGGCACTGTAGGTGTTGATGGTGTTGCAGTTGATGCCACTGAGCACGAGAAGCACGAGCAGGAAATCTGCGAAGCCACGTGGGTAGAGCATTTGCTGGATCAAGAAGCCAATGCCTTTGTCCTCGTTCGTGGTGGCCCAGTCTTGACGATTGTTTAATGCCGAGCTGACAACACAGCCAGCGACCATGCCAATAGATGTAGGGATCGCAATGCCCAGGGAGGTAAGGATGAAGACCTTTGTTCGGCTGACGTTGACTGGATAGAGGACGTAGTAGTCACTGGCGACAGTGGCCCACGATGCAGAGGAGCCGTAGACAATGGCCAGAAGACTCAGTACAATCCCGCTCAGATCGGCGCCTTTCAGTTCAGACTCGGTCTTGTTATCAGCGTACTTTCCAGTTTGGCCGAAGATGATTAGAAAGATGACGAGATAAATAAGCCATGCGTAGCGCTCGTAGATCAAGATGAAGCGTAGACCGACGAGACTGATCAGGAAGCTGACGAAGGCAATAATGATAATGCCAACGACGATCGAGAGACTGCCGCCAGATACGGCCTGCAATGCCAGACCACCAGTAATGCAACCAACAGCTGACCAGCCGAGCTGTTGCAGGGTGTTTAGAAACGCAATGATCTTGTTGGGATACCAGCCCATGCTGTATCGGCCAATGGAGATCTGTCGAAGGCCAGTGGCCGCACCGAGGGTAGCACAGAATCCAGATACAGCACCACCAAGAAGTGAGCCAAATATCGAAATCAGTATTGACTGCTTGAGCGAGAGGCCGAATTCATGTCCCAGGAATCCTGTCGCCATGCATGAGATGTTCATAGTGCCTGACGCCCACAGCAAAGACATGGTCATTGTCGTCTGCCACGTCAATGGTTGTCTTTCTTCCGGCAGCTTGCGATCGATGGCCTCGCTCTCAATGCCCAGCTTCCGGTCCATTGCAGCCTCGACATTCCGCAGCTTCGATAGTATGCCATTGTCTTGCTTCACCACCGTGCCTTGATACTCTTGTTGCTTCTCGCTCGATCCGCCTCGCGACTCGATATCGACCGTGGTAGCAGCTACTTTTTCGTCCGTCGTCAGCGGCCGTAATGCTCGGTCTGGCGGCGTAGCCGGGAGCACGCTTGGCTCACCATGCTGCTTATCATCGTACGTCGACATTATTGTGGTCGTCTGCCAACAAGGGCAATGGGACAAATCACAACCACGGCGGAGGTGAGGATGGACGGAGGAGTCGCGTGCCCGCACAGAACTGAGCACGAGCGCAACTGCTCCTACTAATCCATTTTACTTTTCCATCCCACAGTGCCACTAGGACATATCGCACTACCGTTATCTGTACAGGGTCGCGCCCAGATGCGAGACCAGGGCTTGATTGGCCAAGCTTCACGTCGCATCCGTGATCGTCTCCGCATCTGTGGCGAAGGATTGCGTTCGAGGCCCAGCTTCCTCTTCTGTCTTCGGCGTGCCTGCTCGATACGGTAGTACATACGCTCGTGCGTCAAGCAGAGACTTGAGATGAGAAATGGGAAATAAGACGGTGCCATCTTGCACGATTGGTTTTCTTGTTGATGGACATCTGACTCAGACTACATCAGGCCTCGTCAAGCAAAATTTGAAGGCCACCGACTGAAAACATATATCTGGCTCATGATCTCCACCCTGGTGGTGACCATCCATCCAGTACCAGCGGCATTCGAGAGGTCTTGAACTGCCTGGGCGTTGCTGGAGAAGAATCCATCGTCCGCAGCCTATTATCAAGCCAACCAAATCACGTCTGCCCTTGTTATCAGGACGAGCAGCTATCCGCCTCCTTCCAATCCTCAGCTTCGTCACTAATTCACGCGTCCTCGTCCAACATGTCAGGCTCATCTTCGCCGTCTGCCTCGGAGTCCAGCTCAAACATGTAATTCTTGGAATCGTCGATTCCAGATTTCTCGGACGTATAGAGTCCCATCTCAAGGCCATCATTGTCATCGATGAGAATGTAGCGTGCCGATGCGCAGATCTTTTCGACTTCGGTGCGTATCTCGTCCTTACCTTGGAGCTTGGCAATCAGTTTTCCGGTGTCTCGGCAGTAGTGCTCGTAGTCACCTTCACGGTCAACGAGCAGGCCGATCAGCTCGAGGGTGTCCAAGTCGAGATGCTCGATCATCCACCGCAAGATCTGGGGCCAGCCAGCATCACCAGCTGGTTCCATGATCATGGCCCTGACAAGACGAACGTTACGAAGACTCTGCTTGAGGCATTCGAACATCCCGATCCACTGCTCAGCTGGTTCGATTGCACCAGTCAATTTGAGCGTCCGCAGGTTCTTGGATCCTGCGAAGCACGTTGGGACCATATAGCAGGTACGCTCGAACAGGCTGTCGAAGATCAGACTCAGGGTCTGGAGCCTCGGAATCTGTGCGAAAAACTTCTTCCCCTCGTCGCGGTCTCCAGGTAGATCCACCCCTTCCGCGAGGTACAAGGTCAGCGAAGAGAGATCTCGCACAGCATGGCGCACCGCTTCAAGGGTCTGCGGACTGACGTCGAAGTGGGACCCATCAGTCATGCCACGATGTTCCACAGAGCCTACGGTCAGCTCGGAGATCGACAGTCCAGAGGAAAGAACCGTGTCAACCAGGCGTTGGGTCAGCTGGGTGCAACCACTTTCCCGGAAATCTTCAAAGTCAATCCTTGGACCGAGCGCAGCTGCCAGGGCCCTGAAACCGAAGAAAGAGGTCAGGGAGCGACCAGCGTGCCCTGTGAGAGCAATAGCGGGGCTCACACCAAGCTTATTGAGGTTCGCAAAAGCGCGCATGAGCGGTCGTTTGCCGTTGTCGAGATCATCGAGCAGCTCCTCCTGCCGGCGGAAGTTCTTTACGACATCAAACTGCTCGACCTTGACCGGCCGTCTGCCGCCGTCTAAAATTTTCATTGAGCTCTCCCAGAAGACCTGACCAGTATGCTCCTTGTGGTGATTCGTGTCTAGGCTGACGAAGCGGAACTCGATGGACTTGATGTGTTTAGCAAAGGTTTGGTGATTACTGATCTCCGCGAGTGTCTTAAGACTATAGGCGGTCCACATATGCTTGCGGTGCACGAAGAATTCCTGGGCGAAGCTTTTGGATGTAGCGGCCGCCATCGCTCGATATGATGCCCTCATTGCCGCGAGGTCATGCTTGTCTGCCTGCTCGGCGACCCTTGTAAGCATTTCCGCCGGAAGCATGTCTAGGAGATTAGGAGCCATGATTGATGATGTCGTGCAAGGCGAGAGGGGCGAGGGACGGCCACGATCGAGTGTGTCTGGATGGTGGATTGAAGCGGTATCCCAACGAGAGAGAGGCAGTTCATATCAACAGTAGGTGGCACAGACCAGCTATCACAAGCCACGAAAAGTGAGAGAACGCTCACTTACTGCTGCGCGTTCACTCACTGTTGCGCCAATTTCACTTCGAAGCATCAGGTGAGATGAGCCACAGGGTGAACGTCCAATCAAAACTGCAGCTTTCCTTATTGCATCCATCACCATCTTAGTCGTACTCGATGTCGGCCTCATCGTCGTGCCCAACTTAAGAAGGTTCGTCTTCGGCTTTACACTCTTGGCAATACGGGGGGTCTGGACGTCTTAGTACTTTGATTTCATGTGGAATTGCAAGCATGCAACGACCAGCTATCACACATCGCAAAACACACTGCCACTCCTCCCCTGCCACCGCAGAACACCATACCGCTTCAACCGTAGCTGTCGACGAGCACACATCTACCACCCACTCGCTTCCCCACGCAGCACTCCATCCTCACCGTCCTTCCTCCGCCCTCAACGGCCTCAACGCTCCGACCGGAACTTCCCACTCCCCCACCCCCTACCACCCTGCCAAGCATCATCGTCCTCCTCCCAGCACCCATCATCCTCTCCATCATCATCATCGTAAGTCTCATCGTCCTCACTATCCGTATTATAAGGACCCTTGCCCTTCTTTGCAGCAACAGCGCCAGCCCGATCTTCGCCTGAGCCCAAGCCCGAGGCTGAGGCGGTGGTGTTCTTGCTCCGAGCTTCGTCCCCAGACTTCTCCATGCCAGCAGTAGCCTTAGCAGAAATTGGCCGCCTCGGTCTTCGTACCCAATTTCTTCTGGATCGTTTCCTTCGAGAGGGATGGTGCTCGGCTTCATGCCAATCGTAGTCTTCCCGATGGCCTCCTTTCCCAGCACGACTTTGCTCCCACCCCTGTCACCCGTCGGCATAACAGCAACACCCGCTCCCTCGGTACTCTCAACGAGATCCTCCGTATCATTCATGGCGACGAGTCAGGGTATGGTGATGATAAGATCCGGTTGTAGCTGTTTAAAGTATATTGTTCTTGAGTGGGAAAGCGATGAGGGATGCCTCAAGAGTATATATGTCCGGAGTCTAGCGATCACATGTCAGTAATCTCGAGCCCTTTGCACAACTTCAGTCCAATCACTCGGCTTAGAACAGCTTCAGTTCAGTCAACCGGGCTCAAGTCACCGGAACGCCTTTGTGGGCGGGCTAGAGTGCAAGACTTCAATACCACGCAATTATCTGTGCTCGGCAACATCTACTCACTCCGTAATCCATGCCGTGAACTGTGAACACCATAACCTATGCACAGCCCATGCCACAGCGTCCAAGGCTTATCATCGTGGGGCATATCCATACCATAAGACCCACGGACTAGTGGGCGAGCCTTTTCCTGCAGCAGTGGCGACCTTTGCCGACATGAACACCCGTCTGCGAGCATCATTGTGGAAGGACCACCGCGTACCCAGCCATCCCAGAGTTTCCCCACAAGAGCTTCGATCAACTCAGCCCTTCCTGCTCCGTCCAGATCCAGAAGACATCTAGAAGACCGTATTAGCAAACTCTCCACGTACCTCCCAAACTTCTCTCAAAAGGACTAACCGATATCCTCCGAGCAACCCCCGCCAACCTTTCATCCCCCTCCGCCTCCCTACTCGCCCGCTTAAACGCCTCATCCCTCGCCGCATCCGAACTCCGCCTCACCTCCTCATGACTAGGCGGCAACCTCTCATTCTGCAAATCCACCTTGCGCGCATCCTCAAAATTCGTAATCGCGGCTTTAATCCCCTCGGCGCCCAACATCAGCGTCCCTGCTGGCAAACGCCCGCCCGACGCAGTTTTCAATTCGGTCACGCGTTCGGATTCCTCGCGCAGGACTTGGAAGACGCGGGATAAGCGGCCGATGGCCAGGATCTTGTTCTTGATGGCGCGGCGCTTGAATTCGGTGCTTTCGGGGTCCATGTTGGGTTCTGCTGCTGCTGCTCCTCCTGCTCCTCCTTGGACTAAGGGGGGTGAGGCCGGGCCGGAGGAGGATGGGGTTTCATCTTCGAGTTCTTCTTTGCTGCAGGTGTTGAGAATGGCGATCAGCATGTCTGTGATCTTCTCGCCGACGAAGGGCAGGGACCAGGTGAAGACGTCCATGAAGTTGGGGAGCCAGTAGGGGTGGGGCGTGCAGTTGAACTGGCGGATGTTCATTACGTTGTTTTCATACTTGAGGACTGCGGCTTTGTTGTTGTAGACGTCGAGGTAGTTGGGGGCGGAGAAGATGGTCATCACTGAGGGGAAGCCGGTGGTGCGGGTCTTGCGGTACATTCTGTAACCTGCATCTTGGGCTTCGTGGGCGCGGATGATGGACAGCAAGTTGTTCTTCTCCAGGAAAGCGCAGGCGGCGGGGTAGGAGAAGAAGTAGGAGCAGCCCCGGACGTGGTTGTGGATAAAGAATTCCTGAGTCTTCTCCTGTCCGAACTCCTCCAGTGGATCTGCCCAAAGGATATCGCACATCAAGCCGTGGGTTGGTGGTTCCCGGAAGCGGTCTAGCGCCTTGATGTCCTCAAGAGTGTGCAGCTCAGGGCTCAACCCACCGTGGATGCAGAGGAACTGTTTGTTCATGACGGCAGCCAAAGGCAAACAGCAGAAAGCCTCTATACATGCCTCGTACACTCGTTCGCTATACTTGTGCTTGCACTCCAGTCGGAAGGTGAAGTAGTCTGTCAAGTGGCGACACTCGTGATTGCCTCGTAGAAGCCACAAAGTGTTTGGGTACCACATCTTGAGGGCCCACAGGTAAAGCACACAATCGATGGAGAAGTATCCGCGGTCGACATAATCGCCAAGGAAGAGGTATCGGGTCTCTGCCGGGTCGCCACCGACCTCGAACAGCTTCATGAGGTCAAAGTATTGGCCGTGGATATCTCCGCAGACTGTGATTGGGGCGTCCATCTCCAGCAGATTGGGCTCTGAGCGCAAGACCTCTGCACCACCGCGGATGATCCATAGCGCCTGCTCTTCGGTCAAGCGTCCTTCTCTGTATAAATGCTGCTTGAGGAATTGCAAGTTCGGCTTCGATCGGTCGGTTGGTGAGACGAGCTGTTCTTCGGTCGGGGTGTTGAAGGCGGGTGCTTGTACGTCTGGGATGAACAGTCAGCCATTGTCGCTATCACACCACCCGGCTCGAGGGATGATTGATTGATTGATTGATTGATTGATCGATGGATTGACATACCTTTACACACCCTCTCCTGCGTGCTCACCGTCGTCCCATCCTCCATCGTATGCAGCGTGAAGTCAATCTCCGGCACGGCTTTCTTGTTCTGCATGGCGCGGATGGCATTGTCGGTATATGACACGGGTTTCTGCTCGACCCCCTCCATGATTGCTGCCTCTGCCTCTACACTATTTCAACACTCCTGGTCGTTTCCTGTCTCTGCCTTCCTCTTCGGTACGTGAGACAGTACTCAATGCCCCGCGAAATGAAATAATAAAGTTGACAATGATCGCACGAGGAGTCTCGCTCACTCAAGTTGTGGCTAGTGCACGCTGTTTGTCGCGCGACCTGAAAGCTTGCGGCTTGCGGCTTGCGGCTGAGATGGGTGGGGACGATGAGGTCAGGGTGGTGAAGGTCGCAATCTCAGGTATTTCAAGATCAGTCTTGCTGTCTGAGATTTGAATATCTGTCGTCGTGGAATATGGTGTGAAAGTGTTCAAGGCAAGGCAAAGGTAGAGGGGTACAGTAGCCCGTGATATTCGTCGCACAGAGGCTGAAGGGCGAAACGAAACGCCACGAGCGGCTGGATCGTGCGCTGAACCAGTCCCTGCAGTTGGGCAGCGCTTGGGAACGACCCCACCTTCTTGCTTCCCTCCTTCACCGGTTCCTGAACACCCAATGCAGAAGTTCTGGGCGCGGTAGTGCTTGGACGGCAGCGGTGAGTACTGTCAGTCCTACACGTCCACCACAATGAGGCTAGGTCTTGGACATACGAGAGAAGCAGTTTGTCAAGGAGTAGCAATCATTGCAAAAGTGCATCACTCATCGCGTACATTCATTCCTATGCTATATCAATCATCACCTGCCGTGAAGCAAGCCATTTAGATAAACCATCATCCATCACGTCAAAATCTCATGTCCATAAAACTTCTCCAGCGCGCATGCAGCCCAAGCATCGCCGAACCATGCAGAAAGACCTAGCATCCAAGAACGCCATCCCAAGCCACCTCGTTCGTCCCTCATAAGCACATTTAAATACACACCCTATTCCACTACAACCTCCTCCTCCCGGCCAGTTGCCTCCGGCCATGTCTCACACTCCTCCTGGCAATAACACCACCTGAACACGTAGTCCCACTAGCCAAAGCCTCAGGCACAGCACAATTACTGATATCACAGAGCCCGAATTGGGTCGTTCCAATGCAGACAACTGCGCCTGGGTTGGAGCAAGCCACTGCGCCGTTTGAGCAGGTGCCTGAAGATGTCGTGGAGTTGCTGCTGCTGCTGCTACCACTTTCTGGTGCGGCAGCCGGAGCGGCGGCGGGAGCTGGGGCAGAGTAGGCGGGTGCTGGGGCGGAGGAGGTTGGGGCGGAAACAGCGGCCGATGATGGCGAGGCGCTGGTCACGGTCGACATGGTTGTTACCGTGACAATCGAGGAATCAGCACCGCTTGTCGCTTGCGCAGCCGGGACAGATTGAGGCGAAGCCGGGGCAGAATAAGCAGGAGCCGTGCTAGCCTGGACTGGCGCCGTCATAGCAGCGCTAGAAGCCCCGGAGCCATAAGAAGCTGGTCCACCAGAAGCAGCGCTCGCCGGCGCACTCGCCACCCCGCTTCCAGCCCCCTTGCCCGTCACAGCCGCGCAACCCGACCCCACTGTCTTACTGCCCAGGGCGGTGCTGAACGGCGTCTCGACCGAGTCACCCGGAGAAGGGAAAACGAAGTCCTCGCCCTCGACCGTAGCGCATTGGCCCGACGGGATGTTGATAACGAACATATCCGGCAACTTGCTGAAAACGTCGTTGTTGTCCGCGCCACCGGTCACAGTAATGGGAGCGCAGTTCATATACATCTCCCTGTTCCCCACTTTGTTGAACCAGGTCCAGGCGAGAGTGTACTGTCCGTTAGGCATCCCCTTAGGGATCTGGTAACTAAACACAGATGCGGCGAGGGAACTTGCATCCTCGATTAGATTCCCCGTGACGTTGGAGGGGCAGCCGCCGATGATACTGTGGATGACTTTCCACTGACTATCCTTCGTCGGCTCCTTGTCGAGGGAGACGGAGACTTGGCAGCTGCCGCCTGAATGCGTGGCGCCGCCCATGAAGGAGAGGGTGTTAGGGACGCCGACTTGGAGGGTGTTCATCGAGGTGATGTCGTAGACGCCCGGGCGTTGTTTGCAGGGGAAGTCGGAGCCGTCGTCTGCGAGGGGGCCGTTGAGGAGGGTGGATTTGCCGTAGGGGACTGGTTCGTGGATCACCATGTGGGCAGTGGTGGTAGCGAGCATGCCGAGGAAGGCGGCTGCGGAGATGGTGGTGGGGAAATGCATGATTTGTGGTTTAAGTGATTGTGTTGGAAAGAGTGTTGATGTTCGCTTAGACCTGCTGTGCGAAGAAGTTGGATGTCCTGGTGGAGTGTTAGCGATATTCGCTGGTGGTGGTAGTAACTTGAAAGAAGTTCTATTAAACTCGCTCATATCAAATTGTCTCTGGTAAATGCCTTTGTGTATGCAGTGGCCTTGCTGTGAACAATAAGGAAGGAACAATAGACGCACGTACCTTTGTCTTTGTCTAGTGTGTGGAGTTTCGAGTGCTGCTGGAAAGGATGTTGTGTTTGAGACCGACTCTGATGATATCCGACCTGCGTGTTTATTGAGAGATTGACAGTTCCTTTGCACCAGGCAGAAGGATGTTGTTGAGAGTTGACAATAAGAGAAAGTGGTGCAGGTTGTTGTCGAGGCAGTAAAGAAAGACAAGCGAGGACTCGACCTTTAGTGAATGTCTACAGGAGTCCCACCAGGAGTCACGGGCAGGGATGCCTCTTGTGCTTGTGATGGTCATTGACTAGATCTGCATGGAGCGAGAGGTGTATGCTTGGCGAAGGCAGGAGGCGGGTGTCGCAGATTCAGGCTACACTTCTTGGTCTTTCGCCTACTGCAACTCGCTTCTTCCATGCCCGACGAGCAGCCATGTCGTGCCGTATGGAGGCAGAATCTTAGGTATTGGCGGTACAGGCGCTTGCTGATGTTCACGATCATGCCGTGGTATTGCTATATTGCTAGAGTGAAGTGGGTGTTGTCGCAGTGAAGTGGTTCAAGGTCTATTCCTGGCCAATCATGGAGCAGGAGGTGTTTCGTGGCGTTTCACAGCAGCAGATCGTTTCAGACCAGCGCCTCGGCTTCTCGAGTCGCAAAGACATACACACGGTAACACACCGGGTGGGACATTATTATTTACCTACGGTCTTGTGACTATGACAAGACCGTAGCTCACCTCCACGCGAAAGCGTTATCCATCGTTATACGTCCCTTAGTAAGCCACGCCATACGTCTTGGCAATGCCAGTGATGAGGGGCAAGCTCCAGTATATCAACATCTTATCAGCCCATAATAGTAATAGCCAACATGGAGGCGAGAGCACTGTCCATGCCTGCCTACCACCACAATGAGCTCAAAGTCCATCCCCCAAGTCGTAGTCAAAGATGACGCCTTCCGCGACCCCTCCAACACCGACTTCCGCCCCACCCACAGCATCCCAAAAGGCGGCCTCTTCTCCATCTACCGCGAGATCGAAATTGCCGCCCCAGTCCAATCCGTCTGCGACGTCCTCCTCGACGTCCGCAAATGGAAAGACTGGACCGCCTTCTACGGCGACGTGACCATAACCTCGCACCCGCACTCTCACCAGCGGGACCTCACGATGGTGCCGGGAACGAACATGGACTTCAACATTCAGATGAAGCCCGGGTCAGGGGAGGAGAAGAACAAACTCCACGTCACATGCTCACACGTCGGTCGCGTGCGGACGCTAGAGGATCATGATCCGCCGGCCCTTACACACATAAGATGGACGTATCATAATGCAGGACATATGCAGCCGGCGTTTGTGCTGAAGGCGGAGCGGGAGAACGAGATGGAGGATTTGGGCGGGGGGAGGACGATGTATCGGACTTGGCAGAGTTTTGGCGGGTTGGCGGCTAAGAGTTATCGGAAGAAGTACGAGGCGAGTTTGAAGGAGAGGTTTGCGGAGTGGTGTGCAGACTTGAAGGGAAGGGTGGAGGAGGTGCATGGGGCGGCACACAACACGTCTGGGAAGGACGGTGGGATTCCTGAAGTTGTCGTTGAGGCGGCGGAGAGCAGATGAGATCTTGGTCCATGTGACTTTGTTGTAAGTTATGTACATCACATAGACCACGCCACTTCTACGTTACACTACTCATCTGACAACCCATCCACTCCCCTCCCGCTTCATCCGTACAGTCTTCCCAGCCCTCGCACCTGTCGGCGTCCCCTCGTCCACAGCCAAAACACCATTAACCATAACCATCCTAATCCCCTCAGCAGGCTGTTGCGGATCAGCAAAAGTAGCCCGATCGCGTATTGTCTCCGCATCAAACAACACAAGATCCGCTCGATACCCTTCACGTATCAACCCCCGATCTCTCAGGCGAAGTACATCCGCTGCTCTCCCAGTAAGATGATGCACCACCTCCTCCAGCCCACCCTCGAAAATCGTCTCCGGCACCACATCCTCAAACTCCTCCTCCACCGCTCCACCTTCAGAACTCCTCTTCGGAGCATGAATATCCCTAACCCTACCTTCCTTTAGATCTCTCCCATAATGCCCAAGATACCGCGGAAACGTGCCCCAACCCCTCGGATGCGGTTTCGTGCTCGTCAGAATCCCATCACTACCGCCCGTGTGTCGCCGATGCCGCATAATCTTCCGCACATTAGACTCGTGCCCTACATGCATTAAGATGGTGGTGCTGAAATCGTCCTCCTTCAACAACCAAATGAATGTATCGAAGGGCTCCTCGTCCCGCTCTTCAGCGATCTCGGAGATGCGTTTCCCGACGCAGGAAGAGGCGAGTTTGAGGTTTAGGACGCCGCTGATTTCGAGGGTGGGCCAGTCTAGGGTTCCGCCTGTGTCTGAGCCGGTGATGAGGCATTGGTGTTTCAGTTTGGCTAGTTGGATGGGGTCCTTCAGAAGGGCGAGTTTGTCTGAGCTGCTGGATACCCAGCTTGGGAGTTGAGCGGCTAGGGTTGTGGAGCCCGGGGTGTAGGGATATGTGTCGAGAGTGATGTCGACGCCTTCTGCAAGTGCGTCGTCAATTATCCTGAGCAGCTCATCAGCTCGTCCTGCGTTCTCTGGGAAATTCAGTGTAGCGTGTGTGAGATGGAGACGTACGCCCGTCTGTCGTGCTAGCTCAATCATCTCGGCGTAGGCTTCCATAGCACCGGCGCCATACGAGCGATGGTGGGGACAGTAGTAGGCATTATACTTCACAAGCACCTTACAAAGCTCCACCAGCTCATCGAACGTAGCAAAGTTGCCAGGCACATATGTCAACCCACTCGACATCCCCACCGCCCCCTCTTCCAGCGAAATCGTAAGAATCTCCTTCATCCTCTCAGTCTCCTCCCTCGTAGCCGCACGACTCTCATAGCCCATCGTCAGAATCCTCAAATTCCCCTGCGGAACCAAGAAAGCGGCATTAGTAGCAATCCCCTTCCCATCCAACCCCTGATCCAAAACATCCAAATACTCCCTCACACTCCTCCACCTGTCAAAGAAATCCTCGGGGCTCTTGGGTTCGCCATTCCAGCCGGAAATCTGTTTCTTGATCCTCGCCATCGCTTGATCGTCAACGGGTGCATAAGCGATACCGTCCTGGCCGATTACTTCGGTCGTTACTCCTTGGGTTATTTTGGCTAGGTGGGCGTGTGTGTGCAGGAGTGAGAGGTCGGAGTGGGCGTGCATGTCTATGAAGCCTGGGCAGAGGGTCCAGTGGCCGGTGGAGCAGTCAATGACTCTTTCGTCTGTCCAGCCTAGGTCGTCGGACTCGTCGATGCTGTGGATGAGACCGTTGCGGATGTGGACGTTGGCTTGATAGGCTGGTCGTGCGCCGGAGCCATCGATTACGTTTGCACCGAGGAAGGTGGTGTCGTTTTCGTTTGAGCCCGACATGGTGGCGACTGTATGAAACCTATTTCGGTCGGGCCTGCTGTTTAAGTTGTGATGCTATCGCGAGTCTCAGGGGAGAAGTGTCTTTGATTGTCTAATGTGTCCAATGTATATTGTGGCTCGGCGGTGAATCTATATGCCCTGTATACGTGGGGTTACGACGGTGATGTACACTGGTGCCTACCATCTCGATTGTGGGATACACGAATTCACATGATAATAGACGGTTGTCCAGGATGGCTCGCTCAAGTGGTCTTTCACGATCATTGCACAGCATTGGTTTTATTGAGAGACTGGCGCCGAGCTATCGTGCATGACTTACTTGAGACTCGTCCTTTCACACAAGCAAAGGCAAGGCGACGTTTCGAAGTCGTTGTCGTATCATGCTCGTGCCCGGGGAATAGCTTGGTTAACCCAAACCCTAACCCTAGGCGTTTTCAAACACAGCGACACCCCCGCAACTCGCCGAAACGCCGCATCCGCTAGTGGACGTACCCAAATTGGCACGAATAATCGAGGCGAGCCTCTCAAATCGCGCCTTTTTGGCCTCTCCTGCCTGCTACGCTCTGTCGTTTTGCATTTTGATCACACGAGGATGATATGCGAATGGTGCTCTTTCATTCGCGTATGCGCATCTATGATATGAGTGCAAGATGACTGCGCGAGAGGGGGTGAGTTGGTGAAAGTGTCACCCACGAGATCTCCGTCACGTGACTTCGAGCATCAATATCGCGAGGCACCCCTTCACGATTGCTCTTCGTCGCCACCGCTACTACTGTTGATCACGCTATAAAGTCGGCCACAGCAACACCTGCACGAACCTGAATTAGATAATTCTCAGCTCGCTGCGGCCAACGCTGTGCTTAGCGTCACCTGCAGGCTGAACGATGGAATCGGCTTTTGGCCCCCATAAGGCTGAGCCGCTTCGAGTGCTTGGTTGGTCAAGTATAGTAGTCTTCGTTGCCCTTCTCTCGCGGCTCTTCTCTGCCAAGCAGGTCATAGACAATGTCGGACAGCGTCCACAGCGCGTCGAACATGCTACCAGCAGCACAAGTGAGACCAGACACTGGACATCAATCACCTGGACCTGTCACGAAACCGAATCCACGCCGAAAAGGGACATGGTACTCCATCCGTAACACAGCTTCGAAGCTCTGGCTGTCAGAGGCCTCCTGGTGGATATTCGGGACTGCATGTCTGCTCGCCATCGTCGGGACTCTCGCAGCCTATGATGGACGCAAGGTCCCGAGCTTTAGATGGGGCATCACGCTGAACACCATCGTCTCATTGCTAGCCTCTGTCGCGACTGCAGCCTTGATGGTCCCGATCACCTCCGGTCTTGCACAGCTCAAGTGGCTATGGTTCCAGAAACCACGAAAGCTCTCAGACTTCGAGATCATCGAGGATGCGAGATCGGGCCCGTATGGGAGCGTAAAGCTATTGCTCGGCGCTACAGGAGGGTAAGCATTGAGGCTAGCTTGGATGGCACGGGTGTAGCTGACTTGACTGCTCCTTTCCAGCTGGATGGCGTGTATCGGTGCTCTTATCACCATAGTCATGCTTGGTTATGGACCATTTGTCCAACAAATCATCGCGACACCAACCAGAGGCACGGCACGCAATGGCTCCTCGATACCTGTGGCCCACTGGTACAACAGCACTTATCAAGATGATGGGGCAGACGTGCCTCTGAACCTCAAAGCAGCTGTCCTCAGCGGTATGCTGAGCACGAATAACACTGCTGGCCAGTGGCTTGTACAGCCCACTTGCCAGACGGGCAACTGTACCTGGCCTTCGTACGCAAGTCTGGCGATGTGTAGCACCTGCGCCGACCTCACGTCGCACCTGAACTCGTCGGTCCAACCTTACTATGGAGGCCACGCCACCGAATGGCAACTCCCCAATGGCGTCAATCTGACCGTACCTTTGGGCCAATTCGGCAACACGATGGTCGTGAACAACACCAACGATGTCAGTCCTGTGACTGATATGGCCTTTGAGAGTGTGGCGTTCACGGATAGCCTTTACCCTCTACTGGATATGTTCGTGGTTGTAGGCAACTACAGCTCGAAGCCTGACAATCAGGGCAAAACGATGCCAATCGGACCATTTGCTTCAGAGTGCCGAGTCACGTTCTGCATACAACAATATAATGCCAGCTCGACCAATGGCTCGTTCTCGGAGACAGCGATAGGCGCACCTGTACTCCTCAATACGTCAACCACAGGTGTCAATCTTGGAGATGCAGATAACATCACCGCACCATCGGGCGGCTTCACACTGTCTTTCGACGACCGAAACTTCACAATCGACTACGGTGCCATCAAAGCTTTCTGGTTCTACCTCCCGACTCTATTCTCGGGTAAGTTGTCGCAAAGTGACAGTTTGAGTCCGCAACCACTGTGGCCGAGCGATATGGCACAAGCTGTCTTTCAGCATCTAAACGCTACGCCGCATACTCTGGATAGCATGTTCCGCAACATCGCCGACAGCATGACCCTGGCTATACGAACGCAGTCCAGTGCTGACACCGTGGTGGAAGGAAAGTACTTTGTGCAGGAGACATATATTCAGGTTGTGTGGCCATGGATTGCTTTACCGGCTACGGTGACGCTGGTGACACTCTTGTTCTTGATTGCTGTTGCGGCGGCTAGTAGACGTGCTGGGTTGGAGCCCTGGACAAGTAGTCTGGCTGCGCTGTTCCATGGTATGAAGTGGCAGGATGCTGAGGGGTATAGCCATCTTCATGAGCCGGCTGAGATGGATGAAGCTGGTTCCGCGACGAGAGTCATGCTGGTCAATACTGGGATGCAGCGATATCTGGAGGTGCACGAGGATTCGACTAGCTACATCCCATTGCAGAACTACAATGCGAATGATTGAGAGGACCATGACTCTGGATCAGGAACCCGATAGTGGCGGACGGGCGAGATGAGCGATGCGTAAGGAGGAATGCAAAACATAACAAATATCACGTGGATCGCAGTTACAATGGTGATGCATTCCGTACACAAAACGGACGTCGACTTCCACTTTCGACTCCGTCAGTAGCATCCATCAATCGCTTGCCATCGACATCGTCGCCCCTTTCACTCTATACAACTGCAGTCGTTACCCCGAGATCAATAACATGCATCGCTTCGCCATCATCACCGCGGCAATAAGCCTGCTAGCTGCGCAGGGTAAGTGTCACCTCCAACAAAAACAAGCCGACACAGCTAACCCTCACATCTCCAGCCCTCGCGCAATCCGGCCTCTACGCCGTCGCAGCAGCCAACACCACCACCGCCACCCCAGTCACCCAAACAATAACCTACTACGACGAAGAATGCACCTGCACCAAAACCTCCATCACCATCACCTCCTCCTCCTGCACCACCACCCCGACCGCTGCATCCTGGTCCGCCCCTTACCAATCCACCACCACCTGGTACGATCACGAATGCGGGTGCACCAAGTCCGCTGCCGTTCCCATGCCGCCACCGGCGTCGATAGGGAGTAACTATACTGCGCCCGTGCAGCCGGCTAGTGTGCCCGCGACTAGCACGCCTGCTCCGGCTCCCGCGCTGGCTAGTTCGAGTGCGGTGCCCGAGCAGTATACTGGGAATGGAGGGGCGCCGAGGATTACGCAGGCTGTGATGGGGGTTGTGGGGGTCTTGGGCGCGGCTTTTATGATGGTGTAGGTTGCTTAATAGAATGGAATGGAATTGAGCTTAATTGATGGTCGTATGCTATGCTATACACTGCTGTTGTTGCTTAGGGCTCTGGTTTTTGTCTTTTCTCCTTGCACGATTAGGATGGTGGCGTTGTCGGGAAGATATCTTAGATTGTGTTGTGGTACTTTCGCTAATTTTGATTTCTGCCCTGGTTTCTATCATGATGGTCGACTGATTGTGGGTGTCTTCGTATAACATTTTCTGCTATGTATTGGCATGGTCACAGAATAGAGTAATACTGTACGTCGCATCCACGTCACGCGACTCGGCGCGCTAGCGCGGAACCCTGAGCTGTTTCCCATGTCGAAAAGTCGCAGATGCGCATTGATGGTATACATATTTTGTATTTCATCGCAAAGATGATGCCCAGTAGAGGTCTACATATTGCCCGAGGGCAGACGCCTCGGTTATACCAGCTGCAAAGTCGGAAAGTATGATTATACATAATGCGACCGTTCATGAAGGCATTGATATAGCTGACCATGATTCTCCATTAGTTATCATCCGCATCACGGCAACCCTTTCCTTCTTCAACCATACGCAGTCGACCTGCACCCAGCTCAATATACACACAACGATGGCAGAAGCACGCTATACTCGCACTACCCGGCATAGCATCGATACGGCATGCCTCAACCAACCCCATACCCACCCCACCACCTCCCGGCCCAGCAGCAGCGACAGCGATGCCCGCCACCCCTCCCCCCACTACTGAAGCCCTCCCAACCAAAGACGTCACCTCCATCACCCTCGACGACCTCGACCTCTCCGCTCTTCCCGACCTCTCCACCATCCCCGTCAAAATCGGCTACCTCCACGAAATCGGCCTCTCCTATTGGTACGGCCCGACCTCCATGCTCGAATGGCTCATGGAGCATATCCACGTCTACTCCGGTCTCCCCTGGTGGGGCAGCATCGCCTGCACCGCCCTCGTGATCCGACTGGCAATATTCCCGTTCTTCTTGAAGAGTTCGGACAGCATGGCGAGGAGTAATGCCCTAGTCTCTGTCACCAAGCCGATTACGGAGAGGATGCAAGCGGCGCAGAAGACCGGGAATACCCAGGGGGTGATGGAGGCTTGGCAGGAGATGCAGACGATTCGGTCGCGGGCGGGCATATCTTTCAGGGCGCAGTTCGCGCCCATCATTATGCAGGGCGTGCTGGGCTTTTGCGGGTTCAAGCTTTTGCGGGCCATGGTTGCTCTCCCCGTGCCGGGTTTCATGGACGGCGGGTTCCTATGGTTGACTGATCTGACACTCCCGGATCCGTATGGAATTCTACCGTTGGTAATGGGCGCAGCGATTCATCTACTTATACGGATTGGAGGGGAGTCCGGGGCCGCTGCACCGGGCGCGATACCGCCTGCGATGCAGAGTTTCATGTGGTACGGCATGCCGGGCATCGTCATCCTGATCATGGCATGGCAACCCGGAGCACTATGCGTCTGGTTCACGGTCTCTGGGGCTCTTGGCATGGTGCAAGGGTTGATGCTTCAGCGACCAGCGGTACGAAAATACTTTGGCATCGCCCCGCTGTATAAACCTACTAAGAGCGAGGGTCCCGTGAAGAACGAAGCCTATGCGCTTTTCGAGAGTATGCTACCCAAGCCTAAAGCTTCCTCCGCTGCGACGGCGGCGGCCGCAGAGGCGGTCAGGAATAATGCGGCATATATCCGCACGTCGTATCAAGCGCCTAATCTGCACACGAATAATTACAACAACACAAAAGGGCCTCTGGGATCAACGAACAACGTCATAGACGTCGTGGCCAAGAACAGCCGCTCAACGCCTTCCAATTCTACTTCCTCGGCAGACGCGCAGGAGAAATCCGGCGGGATCATGGGGAGTTATAATGGTATGAGGGATGGGGTGAAGAATATGAGGAATTTTGTTCGGGAGACGACGACGGCGCAGGCGGAGAAGAATAAGGCGCGGGCGAAGAAGGAGGCGGCGGCGGCTTATGAGAGAAGGGCTGGTCAGCGGCAGGGTGGGAAGGGTGGGCGGTGATGGGGTGTGGGTGGGGTGGGGCGGGGTTGGAGGGTAGTGTATAGTATGTATGTACATTTTAGCCTCATCTTCGCTTTTGTGTATATGAAGACTTTTTTGTGCTTGTAGGTTTGGCCTGAGCCATCCCAGCCGGTTAGATCTGGACCTTGTGATTAGAAGACCGAGGACGTTTCGCTTTCGCTTACATCCCATCGACGCTATGCGAGGGTTTTCGGGGCCGAAATCTCCTGACGTACAGCTGAAGCTGGAGGGTATGTTGCTCCGTTCTGGGGGTAACGATTACTGATCTACGTCGAGTATTGTACTAATGCCTACGGGGGGAGTATATAGCCAGTGTGCTGTCCTCCTGCTCCTGGCTGAGAAGAACAGTATTTCATTCCCCTCAAAACATTCCCAGATTCACCACCAGCACGGAACTTCCACGTCGACAATGGCCGCACCTTCTTCCCAGCCCGCCATGGCATCCATCCCTATCATAGCAATAGGCAAGACTCGTGCCACCGCCCTGGCACTCTCATCCTTCTTCTCCGCCGGCAATGGGACGCCGTACTATTCAGCTGCTGTCCTAGATATGACTGAGAGTCCAGAGGAGTTTCAGTTCTCTGCGCAGAATTTCGGGGCGGTGTTGTGGGCGATGCATCCGAGGCCTAGGGCTGTGGTATGTGGGACGGCGGTCGGGGAGGAGTTGTTGGGGGTTGTTGAGGGGGTTTGGGGGGAGTTCGTGAAGGAAAGTTTGCTTGATGGGGAGGGAGAGGGTAGGGGCAGGGGTGGTGTTGTTGCTGTAAGTCCTTCCTGTACTCGACAGTGATTGATGATACGCCGAGGTTTGTGGGTATTTCTGGCTGATGAGATGTTGTAGCTGCATAGATGGCATCCTACTACTGGTCCGCCTCCCACGGGTCTCGAAGAGGAACTGTTGAGGCAGCTGGATGCTATGTTTCGCCACTAGGTCGCTATTTACAAATGCTCCAAGGCAGCAGATAGATGTTCATCAGTAACTGTTTTGAGACCACAATTAGATATTGGGCGCATGTATCGATTCGACTCAATCGGGCGAACGTCAATTTTACTGCAATCCGACAGGACAATGTGTGAGATCTCCTCTGCAACGGCGGGCAGTCCGCCGAGCTGTTATGGATCCAGGAATGTTGATGTTTGAGGGCAGAGGAGGAAGAAGTGGTAGCGAAAGTGGGCTTCTTGCAACTATTTATACCACTAGCGTGCCAAGACTTTCGGCCAAGGGGCGCACGACTCGCTCGCTCATTCACTCAGCCCCTCACTTACTGCTGATACACCCTTATCCTCCAGCGATTCGCGCGGGAGTCCGGAACGAGAGTTCTCACCCTTCGACTTTCGTCGGTATCGACAGATTACTTCACAAGCTGTCGTGCTGGACCCTGGATGTTCGCTGTTGGCCAAGTCGCTGTAAAGATATTGACTTACATAGCGCCGTGGCGATGTTCCGGTATTCATCGCCCAATGCTGCGACGCTCATGAGTGGCTTGAGGCTCGAGGCTTGGCAGAGCCAGAGGCGATACCGGCCGGTACCATCGTGATATGCTGTCGAAAAGGCATGTCACAGTAGAGTAGCCCACATTTAGTAGATCAAATGGAACGGAATTTTGTACCTTCAGGATCTCTGCCCTACCAAGTCACAGTCTATGCCATGCTGGCTGTTGCAGCAAGGTCGTCGATCTGTTCGCATTCTTTGCCTACCCTTGGCAGTGCATCGGGAAAGGGACCAAAATGAATATTCCGAATATTATCAATGGACCTAGGCCGTTCGATGCAGCTGCGGACATGATCTGGTATCGTCGCATAATACGGATAGGCGACAAGTCAATCGGTAGCATCCGTCGTTGGATGGCCATCAGCATTGGCTCAATGGGCCGGGGAAGACGAGCTGGGACATCGACTTGATCGCATGCAGATCGAGACAGTATCAGCGCAGTCACTCGAAGAATGGTATGATCAGCACCACTTAGCTAGCTGTAGGTCAAGATTACGTGTCCATACCAAAATTCCACACGTTCGTGCCTCAATGATCTTCAGGCGAACGATAGAGTGGAGTTGTGTGGTATGGCTTGGGTTCGAGCTTGAGGATACAGTATGCGGAGCTACCCATCCCCTCTCAGTCTAGCGCCGTCATATGCGATTATGAGATGCGCCAGCAAGCGAGCAATCACGAGTCTATCAGTCTCTTGTCGCAGCGTTACTGTCCTTGTTTCCCTATCCCTGGAGTGTGATATTCAGGCTCATCATGGCGTTTCCAGGTATGGGCGGTATGGGTGGGCGCAGTTCAGCTGAGGTGGATCCGCAGCAACTACAGGAGCAACAGATGATCAAATATGTATGCGCCAGCTTCCACTCCACGCTCAACCGTATTGGCTAATGTATGTACAGATGCAAATGGCCATGGAATCATGTCCTGCAAAGACCGTCATCGCCGGCACAATGGGATTTGGTCTCGGTGGTGTCTTTGGTCTTTTCATGTCTAGTATGCGATACGATACTCCTCTCGGAGCTGGTCTCCCTGGCGGTGTTGGCACAATATCAGATCTACCAATGCGAGAACAGATCAAGCGTGGTTTCAAGGACATGGGGAAAGCGTCTTGGAGTAGTGCCAAGAACTTTGGTTACATTGGTGCAGTGTTCGCAGGCACCGAGTGCGCAATTGAGGGACTAAGGGCGACGAACGATCTGTACAATGGCGTGGCAGCGGGTTGTGCAACAGGAGGATGGCTGGCTAGGAGCGGTGGGCCACAGGCTGTCGTCGTTGGCTGCGCAGGCTTTGCGGCCTTTAGCGCGGCTATCGATGCGTATATGCGTATGGACTCGAACGACAGAGCTGCGGATCCCATCATATGAGGCATGCGATATGGGCATTTCGCCGTCCGAGAAAGAGAATCTTTGAGACGAGGTCACAACGGGCACACGCCTTCAGCATTGAAGACCTCGACCGCAGACACCTGCTCCATTCTGATCGGGCCAGCCTAGCCACCAGCCCGGGATATGCTATTGCCATCAACCCGCGCTACGTGTCTGGACTTCATCGCTAGCACCACCCAACCTGGCAACGCAGAGCCACCTAGCGAGAAGGTGGACCTTGCACACCGCAACATTGTCGTACTCCATCCTCATCCAGACGATGTAGTCGGACAGTGCATATCGTGGACTCGTTCACATCCAACCTCTCCACTCATCTCCACCGGCCTAGGCTGATCTAAGAACGAGCATTTCTGACGGAGCAGAAGCATTGATGTCGTCGGTATAATGCGAATCGCGGACTCGAAGCGAGACGCATATTAGCCGGTGATCTGCTGGATGGATGGAGGGAAGTAAATCCACTCTGCCATGTGGTGGCAAATCGCAGAGCAGATCTCCCGTCAATGCATCTCGTTCACGCTAGAACTGCACAACGAATGCGGCTCATGTGGCCTGTGGGTCGATATGTCTTTGTAGCATGCGAATCTAGATGTACACCTCTACTGAACCCGAACCATGTCCAAGCATTCATTGCTGTGAAGGCTAGCCATATGTGGAAGGCGGGTAGCATGAACCGAAAGGTCGGCAATTCGATCTTCCGACCTCATCTCGTCTTGTCAGCTCTAGAGTCCTGCTTCATATCCTTCTCAAGCCACATCATCATCATCAGCGGACTTCGAAGGCTGACTCGTGTACAGTGTTGCACTTAGAACAAGATTTATCCAAGGACGACAAGCCGAAGAAAGCACTGCTGCCCTGCGAACCAACCATACCAAGCTCGACTTAACCAAGGTTGGCACCCCGCAAGAATGGCCGAGCCGCATCGACTGTATTTACCCGGCGAACACTGCCTGCACGATTGCATTTCACCTTCCCTTTTGCAGCCGCACTTGGTCCTGTTCCTGTCCGTGTGCGGTGGGTACTTTCGATGTACCTGCACCCGTGGGGCTCCAACTATGAGAGGGCTTCCCCAGATGTGGTATAATGTGGCTCTGTCGCGGCCTCGGCATGCACCCGTCTGCATCTTGCACGAACCGTCTGGCATACACCTTCAATCTAAATTTTCGCTTTCGGGTCTGTTCATGGACACTGTCATTTAATCGTTCATTTTAGCCGCTGCTCTGGATCCCGAGTTGCTCTGATCATGCCATCGACACGGCCGCCATATGCGGCTCCCATGAGTCCGGGCAGGCTAATTGTCTTAGGAGTCTTGGTAGGTATATAGTGCCATCTGCATGCTCAATCTACAGTCCTTCCTTATCGCACAGCATTCGCTCCTCGTGCCTCTCCATCGTTCACAGCCACTCACTCCATCATCAAGATGTCCGTCCGTGCTCTCCTCACCACCGGTCTTCTGGCTGCCGGTGCCGTCGCCAGCCCTCAATGGGGTGGCAACAACGGCTGGGGCAATGACAAGACTGTAACTGTCACGAAAACCGTTACCAGCAGCCACGTCAGCACCGCCACCAAAACCGTCACCGCCACCGGCTCTTGCAAGCCGTCAAGCGTGACGAGCTTCAGCACTTCCAGCTCCACCTCCCACTCGAGCTCGTCTTCGCACTCTACCTCCGCCACGTCCTCCGCCACAAGCTCTGCAACATCTTCGGCCTCCAAGTCTGGATCCAGCTCCGGCTCCAGCTCTGCCAGCTCTGCTAGCTCTTCAAGCAGCAGCGTAGTCGCTACAACCACCACATCGTCCGCGACGAACACCAACCCAACCACTACTCTTGTGGCGACTGCGACCGCTACTGGCCTCGACACTGCTGCAAAGGCCGCTGGTAAGCTTTGGTTCGGTACCGCCGCCGATATCCCAGGCACTGGCGAGGCTCAGGACCCATACTGGTCTGCTGAATTCAACAGCAGTGACTTCGGCGAGGCTACGCCCGCTAATATCATGAAGTACATGTTCACCGAGCCAGAGCCGGGTGTTTTCGACTACACTGGCGCTGAGCAGTTCCTTGACTTCGTCGAGGGTACTGACAAGCTCGTTCGCTGCCACAACTTGATCTGGCAATCTGAGCTCCCAACCTGGATCACCAGCCCCAATGTTACCTGGACCAACGCTACTCTCTCTGCTGCCCTCCGCCGTCACGTCACTACCCTGATTGAGCACTTCGGTGACCGCTGCTACTCATGGGATGTGGTCAACGAGGCTTTCTCCGACAGCCCAGCTGGTGCATACCAGAGCAACATCTGGTACAACACTATTGGTGCTGCTTACGTCGTTGAAGCTTTCCAGGCCGCCACCGATGCCGTCAAGGCCAGCAACTTGAATGTCAAGCTCTACTACAACGACTACAACATTGAATACCTAGGCAACAAATCGTACGCTGCCCAGAACCTCGTCAAGGACCTCAAGAACCGTGGCATCCAGATCGACGGTGTGGGTCTTGAGTCTCACTTCATCGTCGGCGAGACCCCAGACAAGGCTTCCCAGCAGGCCAACATGCAGGCTTTCATCGATCTTGGTGTCGATGTCGCCATCACCGAGCTTGATGTCAGACTCAATGTCCCCGCTACCGCCGCCACTGAGGCCCAGCAAGTCCTGGACTACTACAACTCCGTCGCTGCCTGTGTTGCTGTCGGAAAGGGCTGCATTGGTGTGACTGTCTGGGACTTTGATGATACTTACTCTTGGATCCCAGGTACCTTCCCCGGCCAGGGTTACGGTGACCTGTTCCTCCAGCCAGGTGGCGCCAACACAACTCTTGTCAGGAAGGCGGCTTACGACGGTGTCCTCCAGGCTCTTACTGGTGCCCCTGAGTCGTCTGCTTAGAGTGTGCAATGAGTTATGTGAATGTTGTAGCATACGACTTCATGTTCTATAAGAGTATGTAGTCGATATACAAGATAATGCCAATGCATAATTATCACAATTGCATTTCCCTACCCATCATCGCTATGCCTGATGACAACTTGGACCTCATTTTCGAGCCTCGAATGCTTGAAGTCTCGCGCTCTGGATTGCTCGTAAAAAGTAATACTTCAGACCATGCCTACACCGCCCATCGAACATTTGTGGTCGTCCTGGTCTTGACCGCCTGCGTTTCACAGATGAGCGCAGCTCTACGCCAAGTATGACCTCGGAAGCCTCATCTCGCACGAAGCACTTGTCGTGCAGCGATGGTTTTCATTGCCTTGCTCCGGCCATCCTCTCGACCTTACTGACATCATTCTCGGCCAATGCTCTCAGAGCATCCAGAATTTCAGCTTGCTGCTGGTCCATCTCGCGTAGCTGTTCTCGCTGTTGGATACCGACCCAGTATGCGGCACCAGTCGGTATGAGCAGTACTGGTAAGGGCTTATTCCATCGAGACGATAGGATTCGATCTGTGTTGCCGTCAGTGATGGGCATTCGCCTGTAAATAATGCGTCCGTCAAGAGCCTTGAGAAACTGACCTATGGCTATCCTCCATCCGGACATATCTATTCTATGATATACATGCAATTCATGAGCATACAAAAATGCGTGCCGGTTCACAGGGGCGTTAGTGTAATTGTGCGTGAAGGTGGCAAGGCTGAAGCAAAGTGAAGATGAACCATGCCAAGCGTTTTGATGGGGCGGTATAACATTTGCGTCAGACTTCTACCAGAGAATATATCGCGCAGGCCAAAGCAGACAATCGTCAAAGATAACGAGAGTACATGAGCCGGTCTGATCCGGCGAGAACATGTGATACCGTAGCCTTGGCTGTCACGAGAATCTCGGACTCCGAATCGGTCTTCCTCCAACGCATCAACATGTCATGATACAGCGGCGAATTTACGATGCTAGAGCCATGTTGAAAGAATTCACCACAACGCTGCCACCCAGCGACTTTGTTGCAAAGTTGAACATACCATAACGATAGCCCATGAAAAATTGCCAGGCAGTCGTCATGGTCTGAGCATTGCCAATGTTCGTGAACGTGTTGCCATTCGTTGAGTAAGCAAATTGTGCTTGATGGTTGCCAGATGGCAGAATATTGGCCGTACAGCGCAAATAGATGGTGCCAGTCGCCGTGGCGGACGTCGATGTAGCCAACGAACCAGCATTAGTCGTAGACCAGCCGCTGCTCCCAGATGTCAGGGTAATGCCCGACCAGACACCGAGGGTGACTGTGTTGCCATTTTTGATCAAGCCGACCCAGTCCGAGACATCACGTAGCAGTACAAGACCTGCACGATCTCCATCCTGCATCTTGCTGTAATCCAGCTTAATGGTTGCCACACTCTTAGGGCCTAGAATACGGTGAGTGAGAGTGTTCCTGGCCATGTTGAAGTCCGAAGTGACAGTAGCAGTGTTCAGTGTCAATCCGTTGTTCACCTTGAACTTGGTCGTATCTGGGTTGTGGTTCCACTCATACTGAGGTCCGAGAGTGGTACCCGAGAAGGTGTCGGCGACTGTATATGGCGCGATGACGTTGGCCGCCATTGGTGTTGTGATGGTTGTTGGCCACGACTCTGTGTTAGGCAGCGTAGGGAAGCCTTGAGAGTTGAATTGGATGGGGGCAAGGACAGGTACTCGTCCGCCAGGAAAGGCATCGCAAAAGGCCATGTAGTACCAGTTACCATTGACGTCGTCCACGATGCCACCTTGATGTGGTGGGCCTCCGCCTGACACGGGGCAGGCGGGCGCAGCAGCCAGAGTAGTAGAAGTCCATGTTCCGCCGATACTGCTGCTTTTCCTTGAAACGATTGTCAGCTCACTCTATGGTCTTGGGTGGAGAAATACTTACATGACATATTGAGTGAATGTGCTCGGCGCGTCGTTGATAATGTAATACGTGCCCTTGATCTTATACATACGGCTGCCCTCGACACCTACAGGATAAGTGTAGACAGCGGTGTCCTTAACCCGACTCTTCAGGTCCTTTGCAAGCTGTGCGACATGGATGGTGTTGCTGCCATAAGCGATATATGGTGTCATATCATCGTCAAACAGGAGGCCGCAGTCGTAGTAGCACTGATTCGAGAACTGCACAAGCTGAGTCCATGGTCCAGTGGCCGATGGGGCAGTATAAACGTAAGATCTGCTGTACTCGATACAACCAACCCAGAACCACTGCCCGTCGCTTGGTCGGCGACGGAGGGATGATGCGTAGATACCCTTGACGTAAGCATTGCCGCCTTGGAGCGAGTACTTATTGTTACCAAAGTCAAGCGACGGCACGGCGTGGCCGATGTATGCCCAGTTCACCAGATCGGTACTCTCTAGGATAGGCGCGCCAGGCGAGTAATGCATGGTCGAGGCAGTGTAGTAGTATGTGTTGTTGACCCTGAATACGTCTAAGTCGGCAAGATCCTCATAGATGACAGGCCCGCCCGATATCGTGGCCGCATGGCCGAGGCCGCAGGCGGTAACCAGCACCAGCCAGAAAGAAGACAACATAGTTCGACTGAGAAGCAGCGGAGGAGTGAGATGAGGTGCAAGACTTTGCGCAGTCGGCGGCGGAGGGCATCATAAGTAGAACTCCATCTAACTTAAGTGGCTCCACGAGTCCTCCACGGCTGTCAAACGATCCATAGCCTGTCGATGAAACGACCCGGCCTAGCGTGGCGTCCGGAAGAGGCTACGAAGAGTCCGTTTGGCGACCTTGGAGAGACTCCACGTATCAGAACGCAAAGTCATATGATGTACCGCTACAGCAAAGACATCGTCTAGGCCGAAAGCATGCTACTAGGCATGTAACGGCGCGTGCAACATTGTGACCACATTTCTGGACGTCCAGCATGTAGATGTTTCATGTGGCGATGCGAAGCGAGTTGAAAAGGCCGAGGTGGGAGAAAGGGAAACTTACGGCGTACTGTATAATATGTACGCGACCATGTGCGTGCCGCAAAACTGTTCCGTCTATATTAATCCGTTCGGTAGCCTACCGCGCGTGTGTGACTTCGCTCTCATGACGGAAATCCTGCTTGCGGCAACCGGTTTGGTATGAACATCGTCGTCGCTTCTGATAACGGCCAACACATAGAGACACATTCGACCGTAGCAGTCACGACAACACTGTACACGGCGCCCTCAGACATCTCTGCTCCAGATCCATTCTGATCGCCTTTTTCTTTAAGATCATCTTCCTGGCGCCGGCTGTGCTTCTTCAGACTCGCTCCGTATGCTCTATTGAATCGACTCGCGGCTTCCCGAACAGACCAACATCTCTCTCGTGCTTCGAGATGGCTTGTGCATCCTCGTCAATATGCGAACTTGGTTTCCAGTTGGTACCAGGCACGAAGGTGGGATGTTCTCGGAATAGCTCGTCCATGTCTTCCAGATTGAGCCCCTTGCTCTCGGGTTGAAAGGCCCAGAAGAAAGCAGCATTGGTGAGATTGCAGACTATAAAGACAATGTAGTACTTCCACCCTATGGCCGTGACGGCAATGGGCGTCACCTGCCCGATCATGGTGTTGAAAGCAAAGGAAGTCATGGCGCCCCAGCTGACACCTTTCAAACGCATAGCTGTGCCGAAGAGCTCAGCGGGAATGGCCCAACTCAGCGGTCCTGATGTCCAGAAAAAAACAAAGTTGAACAGCCACGTGAGTACCACGAAAGCCCAGTGAGCACCCACCGATGGTGCAGAGGCTGGGAAGACCTTGATGAGCGCAGCGTTGATGATGAAGGTGATGCCAAGAAAGATGCAGCCATAAATCTGTAATGGTCGGCGGCCAACGGAATCGATGGTGAGGATGCAAACGCTTGTGCCGAGAAAGGCGAAAATGGCGTTCACTGCTGACAGAAGTAGAGATTCTCCAGTCGGAATGCCTAGTTGAGCAAAGATCTGAGGGCTGAAATACTGGATGGCGCTCACGCCTGTCATCTGGCACGATGCTTGGATTGCCATAACAAGGATCGTCCTACGCAAATTGGGCCAGCCACGGAACAGATCGAGGTATCCGATCTTCTTGTGAGAATGCTCTTCTGCAATTTGTGCATGGATGAGCTCGTACTCAGCAACGACGTATGGATCGTTCACATCTCCGTGAGCATGAAGTCGAGCCAGTGTTCGAAGTGCCTCCTCGGATCGATCATGATCGGCAAGCCACCTAGGAAAGTCAGCACTCTCTCGTACCACTTGTCGCTCTCTATCTGCTCACCTGGGTGATTCTGGAAACAGGAAGATGAGACCTCCTAGAAATAGTGATGGGACGATTTGTATGGCGAGCGGTATACGCCATTCCCGACTATCACCTGTTCCGGCCCATGTCATGTAGCAACCATAGCCGATCCAGGTCGCGAAGATCTGTCCAGTCGCATTGAAGAGCTGCTGCAGAGAGGTGATCTTACCTCGGATCTTGCGGTGAGCCAGTTCAGCTTGGTAGATGGGGATGATCATGGTTAGAAAGCCAACGCCAAGACCAGCTATGAGACGACCAACGTAGAGCATTGCTATGACGACGCCTGCCGTCTGTATGACTCCGCCGACGACGAAGATGCAACATGCCATGAGGATGGTCCCACGACGTCCAAGAGGATCGGTGAAGGATGCTAGGAAGGCACCGCAGAACTAGGAGTGATAGTTAGGACCCATCAATGTCTTGCTTGGGGGATCAAGTTGTGTCTTTACTTACACAGCCACCTGTGAACAGGGCAACGACAGTCCCTGAACGCGTGTCGCCGTCATTCTGTAGGAAGGTCTTCTTGAAGGAGTCGGATGCGACCACTTCGGCAATAACACCAAGATCATAGCTTGCTAATGTCAGACCTGTCTTGGGTATTGGACATAGTGAAACTTACCCAAAGAGAAAGGAGCCAAGTGCAGCAAAGCAGCCGACCAGGAATTGGTACACTCCAGACTTCATTGCGCTGAGGAGAATATGTTGGGAAGCGCTTGTTGAGAAGGCCAACTAGAGTCGGAAGCTACCTACCTTTCATACTTATCTATGATATGTCAATCTGTGATCAGCACTGGCAATCGGAACTCGCACAATGACGATTTGCAACGATCGCGGAGGGAGTCGCCGCATGTCGGCACATTGGTACCCATAGTATGCTACTGTAGCCATACAGAAACCCCAGACATGTAGTCGGGGTCAAGCTGTCATCGCGCGGGGGAATGATCGACAGTCTCAGATGTCGACGATTGTGTATCTACCACGAGGTGAATAGCCGTGTATTCTTCCTTCCTATCAGGGACTGAGCATGCGGTAAATGAAGGTGAAGAGCTCGCCAATATACTTTCGTGTGCTGAGATCGGCCAATCAGTCACCGCAATGGTGATTCGCTTTTCGGCTACACTCAGAGAGCAGTGTTATTTGCCGATGGTACTTGTGGCGAGAGCTGGTGACTTGATCGTGCTTGGACAACACACTGAGTTGTCCTACAGAAAATTAACCCGTGATTTCGGTCGAGACGGGACCGAGAGAGCATACATGTACAGGCTTCGCTCGTAGATGGCCTGTAGATTGACGTGCACAGCTATAATAATAATAATAATAATAATAAACACCAGAACTCGAGTCGCACCATGATTTCTCTAGGTAGAACCGCCGATCGCACTTACGATTTCCCGAACGAAGAACATGTATAATGACATTGCAAGCGATACCTGCGCCGGATAGTGTCTTCCATCGTGTTGTTGTGGATGTTGCTTCGAAAGAAATCTACCCAAACCCTAACCCTAACATCTTGGATGAACAGCTGACAAATCAGCGTCCAGATCCCGATGCATCAAACTTGACGTGGCGACACACGTCAATTTCTTCTCACGAGACCATTCAGTCCAACATGTCACTCCGGGAGATCAAGCACATAGTGCTGGTGCTGTCAGGCAAAGGCGGTGTTGGAAAGTCAAGCGTTACGACTCAGCTCGCTCTGACGCTCTCCCAGCGAGGGCATAACGTGGGCGTGCTAGATGTCGATCTTACAGGACCATCAATACCACGATTCTTCGGCATCGAGAAGGAGAAAGTGAGGCAAGCCCCAGGAGGATGGATTCCAGTCCCAGTACACGAAGCACAATCTGGTGCACGCACGAATGGTAATGGAACTTCGCGCGATCACGACGATTATAGTACTACAGGCACTGCTGCAGAAGGGCATGGCTCGCTGCACTGCATGTCACTTGGCTTCTTGCTTGCCAATAGGAGCGATGCAGTAGTATGGCGCGGACCGAAGAAGACAGCAATGGTCCGGCAGTTGCTGTCCGATGTACACTGGGGCTCTCTGGAGTACTTGCTCGTAGACACGCCACCTGGTACTAGCGACGAACACATCTCCCTTGTCGAGACGCTGCTGAAGGAAGCAACTTCAGAGCAACTTGCGGGCGCGGTCATCGTCACCACACCTCAGGCCATTAGTATCAGCGATGTGAAGAAAGAAATCAATTTCTGCCGAAAGACTGGTGTGAAGATCCTTGGTGTCATCGAGAATATGGCTGGCTTCGTGTGTCCAAACTGCTCGGAATGCACGAATGTATTTTCGAAAGGTGGAGGTCAGGTCATGGCGCAGGAGTTTGATGTGCCCTTCCTGGGCAGCGTCCCTATTGACCCGATGTTCATACGACTCATCGAGGAGGGCAAGCGTCCAGTCTACCCCGAAGGCACTGTGGTAGATGGGAAAGCAATGCCAACGATCAATGGACGTGATGAAGATGCCTCTTCGGACACTGCTGGCCTTCTGGTAGAGAAATATACATCTTGCTCGTTGCATCCTCTATTCGACAGCATGATGAAAAAGCTCCTTACCACAATCGCCCCTTGACAGCATCAAACGGAGTATTCGGCTTACGAGCCGCATTCCAGGCCCACCGCTTGTGTAGCCGACCGAGCTGGGCTTCGGAATGCAAGCTCAGACCGAGCCATGTTTCGGCTTGCCGACCAACCGACTTCATCTGCTACGGGTATTCATGAATCATGACCTGCGTAATGTTGCGACTATTATGCAGGAGATACTAATGTCGATGCTCACTTGTGAGGAACAAGCGTCCCGCTTGCCAAGTCGTGTGAATCGTTTTATGGATCGTCACTGAAGCACTTGTTGGATACCTGAAGCCATACATCGATCCTGCTCATGGCCATATGGAATGCGAAGACACTTTGACCAAAGCGCCAAGGCCGCAGCGAGTCCCGACACTTAGCACGTTTAGCTGCGATATCTCTAAATGATTGGCCATAGCACTTGAAGCTCGGACCATAATAAGAACAGCCCACTGTATACACTCCCTCTAGATTGGTCATTTCACAAAAATCACCCGTTTCGAGCTCCTCGCCATCCACTTCCAGGCGATGCGCGAGGGATGCTATCCATCGTCATCTCGCAGCTCGGGCCGGCTCTGACTTGTTTGTTGTTGCTGGAGTTCCATACCATGCTATGGGACAATCACCTGTAAAACGCGTTCATATTGCCGACGGCTGCGTTCCTCGCATCGTTCCTACCCTTCGCTTGTCCTGCCGTTGCCTTGCCTACGACCTGTCTCACTCACGCGGGTCCCCCATCAATCTGGGATCGAGGCTTGCCGAGCCTTGCTGCTCACAATGAAGTCTCCTGGGCCCCTTCTACTTGTTTACCTGGGATTCACTAACGCCTTGACGGGTGAGTGCCAACCCACCGGCGTTGAACGACGGCTAATCGGCAAGTAGATATATCGACGACATGTCCCAGTGCGATAACTGTGACGGTCACCCCGACGGAGTTTACAGCTTCGTACACGACAATCACTATCACGGCCTCACTCACAAGCTCCAGCCCGAGCGCGACATCGGCCATAAGTCCACGTTTGAACATATCGTCGACCGCCAGCTCGGTGTTGGGCACGTCTTCGGTCACGACTTCAATTCCAAACATATCGTCGACCTCAAGCGCCAGTTCCAGCCTAAATGTAGCTAGCACATCAGCCGTGTCTGCAAGCATTCCGTCGACGTCTCTTTCACCCTCCACCATTTTACCTACAACTTTGCTGTCGACCTCGGGGACCATCACCTCTCCTCTTCCAACTGCTACCCGGGTCGCAGAGTTCGCATGTCCGGCAGGTAATGGCCAGAACTACGTCTCATCAAGTGGACAGACTTATCAAATTGAGTGCAACATCGATGAAGTCGGCTATGACATATCCAGTCAAGTTGTTGCCGACTTCGAGAGCTGTGTCGACTCTTGTGGCTTGGTCGCTGGCTGTGTGGCGACTTCATGGCATCGTCTCACACAAAGTTGTTTCTATAAATCCGCTGCTACGCAGGGCACCCCAGATGCTGCCTTCGACTCAGCTGTACCTGTCAATCTCATCTGTCCTAACGCCGATGGAGCTCAGTACATGGACGCTGCTGGCAATACCTATGAAGTGATGTGCAACACATACTTTCCCATGAACTCGTCTTCCACAACGACATCAGGTAATAGTCTGACTGATTGCTCAAATGCTTGCTCTAACGCTACGTCCTGTATGGCTACGACCTACAACAACGGGACCTGCTCATACACGAGTAATCCAAACTCGAATACGGGGAACTCCTCTTCAGTACATAACGCTGCTGTATTGGTCAACCACAAGGCATTCTTCGTCAACAATGCTTGGAGCACAATGATCAGCACGAGTAGCGCGACCATACCAGCTTATTCTGCCTCAACATCACTTGTGCCAATGTATAGCACGCCAACAATGTCTTCCAACGTCAGCTTGGCATCCCTGACAGTCAGCTCCACGACATCTGGCCCAACAACCACCCTGGCTCCTGTCTCGCCTTCGGTCTCGACTCCAAATACATACCTCAGCACATCGCTGCGCAGCCCCGTCACGACTTCGCAGAGTGTGAGCTTGAGTACAGTCTCTGGTACTTTGACGCCATCATCAGTCTCGATGGCAAGCTCAACCATAAGCATTCCGTCGAGTGGCCAAATTACATTGACGACAGCCTCTGTCACGTCAGGGAGCACTTATAGCATCAGCTTAAGTATCTCTAGCTCCTCCGCGACTTTCTCCGCAGTGCTCACACCCTTGGGATCCACATCTCTACCCATGTCATTTCCAAGCACGTCAAGTTCACCGAGCAGTATCAATATTCCAAGCACGACCTTCGGGATGAGCTCGCTCTCCGTGCTTTCCACAGCCTCGGGTGCTTCGGCTGGTTCGTTCAGCAGAAGTCCCTCTATCTCAGTGCCTAGTTCAAGCATTAGCATTGCGATCAGTAGCACATCTGGGAGCTCAATCAGCCTCGCGACATCCAGTCTATCGACTTCACTATCAAATACAATTACCAGTGTCACAGTACCAGCATCATCGCCGAGCCTCTCGCTATCGGTGACCTCAACCTCGTTATCTCCACCTTCGACGAGTCTTTCGTCGCCTGTAGTCTCAGCTTCAAGTGCGATCGTGCCAAGCACATCCATCGGCGGAACCTTGACCAGTCTTACGTCACTGTCAACAATGACGAACGCCCCTAGTACAAGTCTCTCCGGGACCAACCTGTTGAGCACCAGCCTAGTGCCTTCGACTAGTCTCTCGACGCCATCTCTATCTCCCTCCATCTCCAGTATCTCGACTTCGCTCACGAGGGTCTCATTGACAAGCATCAGCAGTCAAACCGTTACGCTCACATCGACATCGGTCTCGGTCTCTTCTCTATCTACCAGCGTAGGGCTACCAAGTATCAGCACAACCCCGATGATTAGTACTTTCAGTACTTTAATCTCGCCTCTTCCTACAGCTTCCAGTCTGGGATGCAGCAACGGCCAGCAAGCCTACAACTACGTTGATCAAAGCACTGGAAGTGTCTACACTGTGGAGTGTAATACTACGTACAGCGGCGGTGTGTGCAAGACACTACCAGAGCCAAATATGGCTGCTTGCTTGAACGACTGCTCGAACGACCCTAATTGTGAAGGTGTTGGATACGATACATCGACAGGCACTTGCTACGAGTACTGTAGCGAGGTCTCGAACAGTGGTTCTTACTCCACAAATGTGCAGTTCGCGCAGCTCAAGCAGCGTGCTGTCGTCAAGAGTGGAACCACATATACCTTCCCGATCACCACTTCGCTCACCAGCAACGGTATTAATGTACAAGGTGGAACGACCTTTCCATATACACCGACTTCCTCTTTATCGTCAGCTCTGGGTGGGTTGACTTCCGGAATTACCGCCACGTCTCCATCAAGTGGCCTCGGGGGCCTGACGTCCGGGCTCACCACATCGACCATATCGAACCTTGGCGGGCTGACTTCCGGACTCGCCACACCAACCATATCAAATCTTGGCGGGCTGACATCAGGCCTGTTAAATCTCGGTGGTGTGATGTCGACTTCGGCCACGGCTTCTTCTGCGGCCACAATATCCTCGGGCACTTACCCATCTAGTACATCTTCGAGTACGAGTGGCGGGTTGAGCTTTTTATCTGGCGGATTTGGCGGCAATCAAGGAGTATCAACAGTCAGCTCGCTCTCATCAGCAACAGTGCCCACCTCCGCTGGTCCAACAGAAACCGCCGCTTCGTACTCTTGTCCAGCAAATGATGGCCAGACTGTAATCGAGAATGGCAATAGTTATGTCATCGGCTGCGGTGGCTCTTTGACAGGCACATACTACACTATCGGCTCCGCCGCTCGTTCCTTCAGCGACTGCTTCGCTTCTTGCGATCAGAGCAGCACCAGCCAGGGGGCAAAATACTGTACTGGCTTCAGCTACGTCGGCTCGACAAATGGTGACGGACCTGGGACTTGTTACCTTTACAACAACGTTGGCAATGGCATGGTCGCCACTAACTCGAGCTCGGTGGCTGCCGCCCGTTTGGTCAATTATGTCGCCGGTGCTTTGCCATCTGGTAGCGCAGGAGTGGGCGCCGGTATTACTGGCGTATCCGCAAACCTGCCCTCGAGCACCATCTCCCCTCCCGTTAATACGTGCACGAACGGTGGCGACCCACTCAATGGCTGCGTTGCCGCTGTCGTCACAGCTACTCCAGCTGCTGGTGCCAGCGGAGGCCTTGGTTTGACAGGTTCCTCCACAAGCACGATATCAAACGTGCAAGCCTCAGTCACAGCCATCGCCTCACTATCGGCCAGCGGATCTGCCGGTCTAGGTTTGAGTCTTGGATCTTCTGGACCGAGCGTCAGTGCGACAATGAGCTTAGGGATCGGACTGTCCGGCACGCTGGAAGCAGGTGCCACGGGTACCCTGCTGCCGAGTGGCTCGTCTGCTTTGACAAGTACGAGTGTGGTGTCTTTGCCGTCCACGAGTACGGCTGTCAGTTTTTCGATTACCACAGGCTTGAGCAGCTTGCCTTTGACTAGCCCCACCCTGAGCATCAATACGAACACAGGTCAAGGCATGATTGGCCAGTCCGCAGGCCTGCCTTCGACGAGTACCTCGTACACCACAGTCCAGACAACAACGACCATAACTTCCTGCTCGAGCGTGCTAGGAGGCCAACTTACATGCCCCGGCGGAGTCTCAAATACGCTATTGGCGTCAGTATCTACTACGTCGAGCTCAGGGAGTGCAACAGTCTACATAGCCTTCACGACGACCGTAACTACGACGACAACGACAAGTAGTACCGCTCCTGCTTTTTCCACAGCATCACGCAGCACTTCATCGAGAAGCAGCAGCAGCATCTTATCTCTGTCTCTGTCAACAATCACGGCTTCCGCGACCTCGATCTCAATTTCCACGCCATCCGTATCACTGTCCACTACATCGTTACTAGCACTGACTTCGACATCCTCGACTCTGTCCCCCTCTCTTTCAACAATCACACCTTCCACAGTATCAACCTTGATCTCATCACTATCCGTTACGATATCCACTACATCGCTACCACCACTCAGCTCAACGTCTTCCACCCTGAGTACAGTCACAGTATCAAGCAGTCGGAGCTCCACAACTACCTCGTCCGCACCCGCCGCATCCTCATCAGCCCCAGATTGTACCGGTCTGCTAGGTACTGCTTTGACGAGATGTCAGGCTGGACTTTGCAGTAAGCTGCTGAATACTTGTTAGGTCATTTAATTAGCCCTTGATTTGCAGGTCCTGAGCGGTGCTATCTGGAGCATGTGGGAGATGTATAGAGTGCTTGACGAGGTTGAGCTTTCGTGTATGTGATCTGGAGGATGTCGACGTAGCGCACATCGTTTGCGATATGGTTCGAAAGGATATTGGCCGCGACTCGATGAGCGCACGTACCGAAATCGAAAATGAGGAACGGGCAGCATGCAGGCGGGGAGGCGTAATATTTAGATTCTCCGTCAGATTCTACTGTATAATTGCTCTTCCGCTAACATTGAAACATATCATCGCTCATTTGGTTCCCGGCCTCTTCCCTCCCCGTTAGCCCTCCTAGGCACATCCTCCGCACTCAAGTCCTCATCCCTTACAACATCCACACCTCTGTACATCCAAAACTGCGCGAAAACTCCCGCATCCAATACCAACGTGCCCAAACTGCCCACCAACCAAGATAGATTGACCAGGATATATCTTCCATATATCGCTTGCGCTTGTCCAGGTCTACAGCTCCCTCCGACCCAATGCCCATGCCTGTGTTTCGTGCAAAGGGGATCATAAGCGAAGATGGAGAAGACATAGGTCAGATTTCCGATACAGGCGAAGAGGAAGAAGAGGGCGTTCAACCCTTCAGTGCTTTTGCGGCGGTAGTTGAGGAGTAGTTGTGGGATGCGGGAGCCTAGGTATAAGACGGCGCAGATGTAGCCGAAGATTTGGCCCCAGAAGCTGAATTGTAAGCTGTCCTCCTGGTCATCTGCTGGGGTGGTATGATCGTGCGTCTTTTTCGGTTCGTTGGGGCTCGACGGAGATAGGTAATAACCTGCAATACCTGCCGCTATGACTAGGAGTATCACGGTGCTGTTGAAAAGAATTGCTTGGGTCCAGGTGCGAGGCTTGGGTGGGGTAATCGCTTGGACGTCGCTGGCATCCTTGGGTTGTGGGTGCATGGGGACGGCAGGGGACATATGGTTCATGTCTAGGCTTGCGAAGCGTTCGCGAAAGGACGATTGAGATTGAGCGCGGGAATTCCGTTCGATATCTGCCGCGTTCGGTACGTGTCGTTCATCATGCCCAGAAGCGTGTCCGTTCTGCACAAGTGGCGTCCTCTCAGAAGCCGACTCATTGCCATTCCCATTCGCGACCGGGTCCGGCTTCGGATCTCTCAACGTAAAGCCCCTATAGTAGAAGCATTGGCCCAGTAGTACTATATCGGCGAAAGTATAGTAGATGGCCAGGATGATCATAGTGGGAAGGACGCCTTGCAAGACTGCTCCGAGGATATTGAACACATCTCCAGCCAGCCAGATGATGATGAATTCTATCGATAGACCTTCCGCAGAACTCCTTCGAAAGTTCTCGATGATTTGAGGGGAGAAGACAACGACCCAGCAGGCGATACTGATCGAACCACATATCCCGGATATAGCTTCGATGTCCAATGTGTAGCCTCCGGATGGGGGGAACATGACGCTCTGAAATTTGCAATTCTGTAGTCGCTGGAGAGCTCCAAGGGTGTCCAATGGTAGTATTCGTGATCCAATGGCCACCTTTGATATGCTGTAGAGACAGACAAGACGAGACTATGCTGATGTGACAAGAAGAGGAGTCAATGCCGAACCAAGTTTTCTTCGAGACGGTACGTTACGTAAGGAGAACGCGGCTCAAATAGGGTTTGCGGGGTGCAGACACCCCTGCAAGCGGGCGGAAAAAGTGACGTCCTCATCCTCATTTTTCTGATCAGATATGTGACTGCTTAGAACAGAGATATAAATATGGCCGGCCCAGCGGTGACAATCGACGAGATCGACGATGTGTTGTACTTCACGCGAATAAACGAGGCACAGGATCTGCAGCAGACATTGACGGGCCTGAGCCAGAAATATGGTTGTCAAGTGAAGGATGTCCTAGAGGCTTGCATAGATCCCGAGACGGGAAATACTCTGCTGCATTTTTGCTCTGCCAACGGCTTCGTCGAGCTGCTCCAGAACCTACTCATTCAGCTGAAATCTGGTGGCAATGGCGTGGCAATCAATGGCAAAGCAGCAGATCGACCGCACTTGATCAACAGACAGAATCAGCAGGGCAGTACACCTTTGCACTGGGCAGCTTATAACGGGCAGCTAGATGCGGTGAAGTTGTTGGTAAAGGAGGGCAGTGATATGTGGATCAAGAACTCTGCTGGGCATCTGGCCATGTTCGAAGCCGAGAGGGCGGACAAGAGTGAGGTTGTGCAGTTCTTGCTTGAGGCCGGTGGGAAGGAGGTCGAGAAGACGGGAAGGGAGGGTCAAGCTGATACGGCTGAGGACGTGGAGGAAGCGGATGTCAGTATGCACCCTGGTGAGCTAGACGGAAATGGTAGCAATGGTGGCCAGGCACAAGCGGCAGGAGGAGCGGCTGTGGAGATGGGTGAAGCCTGAGTCGCTGTGCTGGACGGGATCATCGCCTACAGCCCCCAATTAATCGGCCCATTGAGAGCTTCCCACGAGCTCGCCATCAAGCGGTTTGCAGGACCCGCGGCTCTGACATCGAGCACAGCTTCCGACTCTTCTGCCTGCGAACGACCGCCTATGACTCACCGCGCAGGGCGCTCAGAGCCATATCTAAATCTTGAACGCATCCCCTCGAACATCATCTCGAAGGGCTCCGCTTCATTCCTCGTCATATCATTTAAGCGCCAATTCTGCATAATTATGCGGTCGAATGCAACGCCAGTCCCGATTAAAGCTCTCACGAACTTGCGAAGCCTGGACGCGGGCCTCTGCTTGAGCGAAATCTTCTGGTGACCTTGGAGCGATGCCATGGAGAGGATAGCCTTCTCTTGCTCTGCCATTGTGATGGATCTGTCGAAGACGACCGCCAGGTTTGACGGTTTTTTAAAATAGGAAGCTGGTTGTGCCTTCAGCCAGGCGGTGATGCGGTCGACGTAAATTGGCTTGATGCTGAGTTTGACCTTGCAGTTGGTGTACATGAGTGCTAGAGCTTCACTACGGATCTGCTTGCAGACTTGCACAACCGCAGTGTCTTCAATCTTGACTTCAACGCCGATGTGGACAGTCTCGATGAGTCGAAGAGGTTCTCGTAGATTTCGTTGCGGAGCTCGGCTGGCAGGCGAAGGAGAGACGAATGCTGACGTGCATCTGTTGACTGCGCGCCACATGATGTTGTGACCATATTCGCCTGTCGTGGTGGGTATGAGTTGTCTTAAATCATGTTCAGATATGAGACAGGATATCGTTCAAACAAATCACGGAATTAGGGGTCTGGTGGTCCGAGCTCCACAGAAACTTGTCACACGCGATTGCGGCAGTCACGCACCGGCGTAACGTCGGGCACAACGAACCACGGAGTAGAAGTATGCAAGTTTCCCGCCATACTATCTTTTCGTGGTAGACTGTGTTGGTAAAGAGGCTGAGTCCAAGAGATATTTGGAGATTTTGGACGGTTGAGCCAGACTATATGGCATCGTGCCTGCCTAACTAGGGCTGGAGACGCAGCGGAGGCTCAGCGCAGTTCAGATTTAGACCAGATTCACCTATATTTTGAATGCCTGCAATTCCTGGTTTGTTGGCCGCTGAGTGCGTAGTGGATTATGTAGTAGAGACCAGAGGTTATGTCTACAATAGTATCTTCGTGAAGTGCCATATGTCCTCTTCCTTCCCACGAAGATTCAGTGACAGGCGCCAACAAGGCAAGCTATCAGTCCTCGGACACAAATAAGTACTGAAGGCTACAAACAATACCACCAACATCATGCTAAAGCGCTAGGTACATGCTGACTGTCAAATCATTAAGGCAGCCTCTCCATCTCTTCTCGTTGCCTCAAGTACTCAGCGGCCAAAAGATCGCCACCCTCGGCACTCATGCTCATCCAATGATGTGCCACACACATAGTAGCCGGGTCACATCGACTTGGATCCTCATTCTTCTTCCACTTACTCTCGAGCTCTTGCCTGAACACATCTCGTGGTCTGGTGAATGGAGCGAGGGTGTGGTCGAGCAGTTCCGGATGTGTCAGGTATAGCGTTGCCAGTTCTCGTTGTGCCACCGCATCACCTTCCTTGGCTGTGACCAGCAGCAGGTGTGCAGCACCGGCCATGCCATATCGGGCCACTTCTTCCGCAGAAGAGGTACGGCTGGGCACGCTGAAGGTCGCAGAGTCTCTCTGCTGTTGCTTGATCGAATCTCCTTGGCCATGGCCACGATTGTTGGAGTTGTGTGCAATGATGCTATCAGCCGTTTCGACCATGACCCGCAGTATATCTTGTTTGAGGCTGGAGGCAGCGACGAAAGCATTGCAGAATGCTTTCCCTGCTGGCGAGCTCTCAACGGTCACATCAGGCACCAGTGATGCGATATACTGGAGATCTCGGAAAATGGCAGCTGGCCTCAGCTCCGCGCCACGGAACAATTGTCGGAACCCCTCTATCCTCTTGTCATCGTTGGGACCGGCCAAGCGAGGGTCATGGAGCTTCTTGACCCCGGGAATCATAGAGTGTATTGCAGCTGTACCAATTCCAGCCATATACCCTGGAAGCAGCTCATTCACAGTATGCAGTACAGCAAGCTTCCTGGATGGATTATTGCTTGCTGCGAAGTCGTGCAGCATATGACGAAATGTGTTCTCGTAGTCGAATCGAGGCATTGGTCTAGATTCTGTGGGATCTGCCAGATGATCTTCAGCAATGAAGGCACCTCGGCTCTGTTCTACATGCTTCTTCGCAAGCTCGCCACCAATACCGGTCCACATAGCTTGATCCGTCTCGCTGCCATCATGGAAAAGGTCGGAACCAAGATCGCTCAGCAAGAGGCCGACCAGGCTTTGGCGGAGCGCTTTGATCATGCCTTTCCCAGCACCTGCTCTGGGCATTTGCATCCTCGGTGAAGATTGCGCTAAATAGGTGCGAGGAGAGCCAAAACTAGTAGCAGTGGTCGCCGACTGTGCCTCGGTCATGGCTGGGGACCAGAATGGTGCTGAGGATCTGTGAGTCAATGTCGGACTCTGTGAATCCAGCCACTCCCGTGAACTGACGCTCGATAAGTAGTTCGACGAGCCGGACATAGTGCCTATGCTTGGAGTGACGTTGGTACGCAGAGTAAGTTTCTCGTAGCGACTGCTTGTGTGCTGTAGCCTCGGAGTCAGGTTTGTGCCTGGACCTAGCATATAGGACTCACGCGCGAAGAGCGGATTAGATGCCAAGAAGGTTCCGTCGCCAGCAGTGATCTGGTCTACACACTTGCGCAAGTCCATGCAGAACTTGTGTAGCCGTTCCTCACCACGACACAAGTTCTCAATGTTGTTGGCCTTCATCCAGGCTAAAGTACCACGTGCCATGTCATCGCTCAGCTTGTTCGGGCCACCTTGCTCTGGCGGAGCACTCAGAAGTTCCAGGATTTGGGACTCCATTTTGAGCTGCGATGTTGCGGAAGGCTTCAGTACTCCCGGATGTCGTAGGGTCGGCACGTCTCGCGCAGGGGCCAACTTTCGAGCTTTGCCCATGATACGCAGTGCTGAAGCGATGGCCTTCGCTTCGTCGTATGGCCCAGAAGTCCTGACGTCTGCCACAAACCACATCTGGACGCGTAGCGCATCTGCCTGTCGGCCACCTACCTGCAGCTTTGCATTGAAAGAGTCCAAGCTGGACCTGACAAGGCGCATCCATCTATCGCGCGATTGCGCAGCAGCACCATGCTCGTCCAGCCGCATACTTGCATTGTCCATCAGGTCACTGAGCTTCATACCGAGCAGGCCGAGATTCGAGTCGCTAGCATATAGATATCGAAAACTGTAAAGCTCTTGCAGCTTGTATTGAGCAGTGAGGAAGTCCGCTACATCGTACGCAGCCTTGTATGCATTCTCCAGTATCCGTTCAAGATATACAAAGACTGCTATGTGGTATTCCTGTGAGTTACGCCCATCCAGCTCCGGCACACTGTGGCCTCGTGAGAATGCATCATCTAGCAACGTGGAAAGTGTACGATCCGTGTCCTCAAGGGCTGGATCCTGGCTTGAAGCATCATCCCACCCAGCAAGTGGCGTCAAATTCCAACTAAGCACTGTTTGTGGTTGCTCTGGAGTCATGGCCAAGATAGCCCACCTCTGGCTGTCCTGTGTAGTCCTTGACTCGCAGTCATCGATCTGAGCGCAAATGTTCCAGATTGTTTCTGGGTCGAGATGCACAAGACGATCGGCTTGCAGTGGCGTGGTCAATGGGTCTGAGCCGCTGGACATGGAACTCGTGCTAAAGACGCCGGTGTTGATGGGTGATACGAACGAAGTCATGTCCAGGCACTCAGCATCCATGGCTCCAGCGGAAAGAGCAGGCGCCTGAAACAAGGACAACCCGGATACAGACGATGCCGAAGATCGCATCAATGTCGAGGATATTGAGGATGGCCTATGCCTAGGATAGAGCGCATGCAGCATCGTGGTACAATCGTTAGCGGTCAAGGCTAGAAACGAGTCCACTCGCGGTCCCTGCGCTGGCATTGGGTGATACTCGCACGAGTTTTGTAAGCGATCGATAAGAGCTTTGACTATCAGGGTAGCTGCAGGGTCTGGGCTGGCTCCATAGCAATGTTTCCTGTAAGCAGGTTAGTCAGGGACGGGACACTAGTTTCAGGGAGCGCACCAGGGTTGAACGATCTCAAGCACAGTATTCTTCGCCCGAGTGGCGATCTCGCGTAGGATGCGAAAGCGCGTGACATTGGATATGTAGTGGTCTCTGAGCATGCCGCGAGCCTGCTAGTGATTAGCACTGATATACCGGATACTGCAGCCTTAGCTCACCTCAGGTAGAACAATCGCCTCTGACAAGTATGACGATAATAGCCAGCGTGAGATAATGAAACAGGCAAGGTCATGGTGGTGTGTTCCCGTTGCAGGCATCTTCCCCTTGATGGCATGGATCATCGCGAGAGCCGGCTTTGGAATCAGCAAGTCATCTAAGTCCTCGGAAACTATCTCGAGCAAGCGAAGAACGGTATGAGCGTAGAAGGCCTCGGCGCGAACCTCGTCTTCGTGAGGTACTCCTGACCTTGGTTGCATGCGTACTTGGAAAGACTGCTTGCTCGGTTGATCTAGCAGAAACGCGCCGGCCTGTAAAGTTTGAAGCAACCAGAGTTCTAGCTTGGCTTGTCCTGTCCACGGTCCGCCAGCAGCCCATGTATCGAGCACAGCCAAGACAAGGCTGTCACTACCGGGTCTTTTCTCTAATAACAGGCGTGCCGAAACAGTGGACCAGACATCCAAGGACTGGCTTTCGATCAAGAAGGATGATCCGAAGAACCCACGAGAACTGTATATGAGAGTCTCCAGAGGACTTCCATAGCACTGAGTAGCAAGTGAATCTATCTGTGAATCGACTGCGAAACCAATCTGCCTTGAGGCACGAATCCATGATGAGGCGGAAGATTCAAAAACAGATCCTGTGGATTTGGCAAGACCTCGGCCAGGTAGTAGAGCTAGTATTTCCTTCTGGCTTAAGGAAGCCAGTTGATCTGCGAGGAAGTCGCCATTACTCCGAACCTCTTGAATGACGTCGATAAGCATGTCCTGGGACGTCTTTGGCAGCTGGTCCAGAAACGTGGGTTCAGGCGGTAAATCGTCCAGGAAATCTTGCGGGCGGTCGCCTGCTCTGTCAATAGCATTCTGGAAAGCATCGAACAGATTTGTGAAACTTGATTTGTCTTCGCATCTCACGCATTCTGCTAGCGTCTGTAAAGTGAGATCCGTCGCTTGTACCAGTCGAGCTGTCCGGGCAGTGGCAATCTGCAGACGCCGGAGTTCACCTTGGAGCTGTCGACAACGTCGCCTCTGATACTTCTCGAGCCTCAGAATCCGGGCAACTTCCCCAAGATCTGGACATGGCGTGGTGGGCAGCATGGATCTGACGTCGAGTTCCTCAACAGACTTCAGGCGGGAAGGGTCCTTGGCATCGTCCTGTCCAGAGCCTCCTTTCTGCTGAGCATCATACACTGGCAGAAACACAGGCTTGATGGCCATTACCGGGGACGGTGGACTTGAGACTGGCCTCGTTGGAAGGGCGATAACATGGGATGCAGGACACTTCCAACCAGTGGCACTGACATCTGGTGTTTTAGATCTGGAGGTATGCAGAACGCCTGGGAAAGATACAGCTGCAGCAGGTAACATTCGTTAGCGGCTATGTGTCGACATTGCCAGCTCATCAGTACAGCAATGGAAGCTGCGTTGATTGGACAGGCTGCATCACTGCACACAATGCGCTGCTAGTCGGCAATTTCGAGGAGAGACGTACAGCATGAGTCCCTCTCGCCTCTGCACGAAGGCGAGCCAGTGTCGAGCATCGTTGCAGCACAACTGGAGTGGCGTTGCAGAGGGTCAGAAACAGGTGTGACTCGAGTCCACCTCACATCGTCGCAATCTCGTGTCCACGCGCCAGCGCGCTATCGGGAGTCTGCTGCAGGAAGCCGGAGCTGAAAGCAGCACAAGATCCGGCGATCAGTATGGACGAACAATCGCGATATGTATCACGGTCGTCTGGGCTCGAGCGCCGGGCGTATGTTGCGGCTGTCCTAGGCTGTGGTCGATGAATCGACCAAGAGCAAGATAGCATCTGTGAGGCTAGCAGTCCTGCAGAGCAGCGATCACGAGCATTCTGCTCGTCCTTTTGGTGTGTGACGAGGAAGAGATGGCAGCCAATCACAAGATGTACGAGAGTGTGCCAGATCTAGCAAGCTGCATTCTGGACACGTCGATGGTGCATGAAAGCTGCATGAGCTAACAGCTATGGTCATCCCCATGATTTGCTTGATCTCAATCCTGTTTTAGCGGTAGCTTCGGTACCAGCTAAGTATATTCTGTCCTGTTAGATGGGATTGAAGTATTTTGAGACCAACGTAGTCGGAAGGATCGAGCATCTACTTGACCCGTATCAAGTCGTAGGGTTAACAATGGGAAGAGTCATACCAACGCGATATCGTGCGAGGTTATTGAGAGTGAATTTGGCTGGAGAAGTCGTTAGAGCCGCCCCGCAACATCCCCGACTCCTTCAGCCGGCTTAGATGTGTGCCTGTGCTTCTGGGCAACACCATCTTGTGATTTGTTCTTCGATCTGAGACATGCAGCTGGTGAACTTGCGCAACGCGGTCGCATTCATGCGGCCACGTAGGCTAGAGCGGAACGAGGAAGCGCAATCAACTGGGAGGCGCTTTCGACGCCTTTCACTCATATTGCGCATGGCCTTCTTGGTCGCTCTGCTATGAACCAAAGATGCATGCGCCATCGATACAGAGGGGGGACTGAATCGATGGGAAGCGGGTCCAACCCACAGAGCCAATTTGGGTTCGAGCACAAGCAGACCGGCGTGCTTATTGGTAGAATACCACGTGAAAGCTAGCAGGGGGTCCATCGATTCAGTCCACCCTCTGTACTATACACGCACTCAGTGGCCGAGCAGAGGCCGCCACGCGATCTAGACTACAGACAGCTTGAAGCATCCCGTGTCAAGTGCTTGAGCCTTTTGCTCAATGTCGACTAAACAGTCTCAACACGCCTCTGAGTACCTGATGAGCTGTCGGGAACGACAGGAGTTAGACCAGTCAATCATGTTTCCACTGTGTCGTACTTACCCATCAATTGCTGAGGAGGAACTCTGGGGCCAACATAACCCGCGATGGGCGGCTCCCACATAGCGTTTGCACCATTGTCCAGCGCATGCTCAATCTCACCAAGCTCGAACCACTTAGCCTCCGCAAGCTCAGTCTCGGGATATGTTATGTCTTCGCCGCCTCGCTCACACTGACCCATAGCACCAATAAGTAACGTATGGCCGCCCTATCACATGCTCAATGTCATTGTACTCCAAGTAAGTAAACTTTCCATCTTCAGCACGAAGTGCATTGAGCTCGTGGAATGTCAGATATCTTGCCGCCGGGTGTGTCGATGCCCGATCAAGAAGTTCGTTTTGTGTTCGCAAGAAAGCATGACGGTTTATGCCGCCGTTGGAGAAGTAAGCATTATTACCTGTACCAAACAGTTCTGTCAATGTAGACATCGTGGCGGTATACGGTCGACACCAGTACAGCGCTGGAAAGGAGCGAGTTGGGGTCTCGACTGCGTTCATACCATGGCCCCGTTCGGTTGATCGTTGTCTAATGCCGGAACCTTGTCAGCTACGGAGGCGCCATTAGAACAATTGAATGGCACGCCGTTATTAATGTCCTGTGCCAGAAGAACATATGTGTCCTGTAGAGGCTGCCGCTTACTCTTGCTAGCCGGGCAACATGGTATACCGCAGACTATTTCGTCATCCAGACCTGACGCACAAACGAGATGGAGCGTAGCCCCCACGCTGCTGCTGCGTCCGGAACAAGGACGTGAAGGCAAGGGCCGAACGGCATGTGCCGCTGTAGAATAATCCATCTGCCCAGGCCTAAACTCCTATGAGATAGCTGCTGAAGTCTGTCAAGATTACCATTTCCTCGCTTGCTGGCCTCACATATAATGGACGTCACAGCGCATACAGATGTCGCGACAGTGACCACGCGCCAGCTAGGCTTTACAAAGTCTTGGCCCCCAATTCAAGACCTCATCCTCTCGCAGACAAGCTTCAAATATGGTCGGTAAGGCGCGCACGCTACGTGGGTGCAGAACGTGCAACAAGCGACGGAAAATCGTAAGCACCGCCGTCTGGAGATTTGATTATCGAAGAAACTGACAGAACATCGAGTGTGAATTGCGTCGACCAGGGTGCCCCTGTTGCAAGGGTGACGACGTTATATGTAATGGCTACGAACCCCAGCAGGCAGCATACTACGAAGAAAGCCAGCAAGCCGTGCAGAAGCGCGAGTCCCTAGTGCAATCGGTAGCAGCGACGACGCCCTTTGTGTTACTACCGTCAACACTCCAGGCTTCTGCGGCGAAGAGTATCTACTTCGATGTCGCGTGGCAATCTCTAAGACCAGCACATGGCGTCAACATTACTTACGACTGGATTCAAGACCTACCCGGTGTTCACGTCAATGATGCGCCGTTACACAATGCCTTCGCGGCGGTCTCCTTGGCCTGCCTAGGCCGGCAACGTGGCGATCCCGCCCTGATTCACCAGAGCCATCTTGCTTACGGCAAGGCATTGGGACGAGCTAAAGATCAGCTTTCCAATCCTGCTACGGCAGCTTCGGACGAGGTGCTGGGATCTGTCTTGGTTCTAGCACTCTTTGAGGTAAGTGTGGCGGCTACTGCCAGGGATGGCCACTCGATACTGACCACCGCCAGACGGTACATGGCTCAGGCTCGCAGAAACTGCCTGGAATGTTAGCTCACATGGCTGGTGCGTACGATATCACTCAACTTCGCTCGGCATCGTCATATGCAAATCCTACGGGCCGAGCTGTCCTCCGAGAGATGCGCTATCACGATGTGAGTTCCCTCAGCCTCGATTCATAATCTTGCAACCCACTAACAAATCAAAGTTCTTCCAAGCGCTGGCAAGGCGATCAAAGTCGTTCCTAGCGGAGGATGATTGGCTGAATACGCCCTGGAAAGGCGTCTCCAAATCGGCCGAAGATGCCATCTTAGATGTTATTGCTCGGGTGCCAGATCTCCTCAAGCAGTCCGATGACTTCCAGGCCAACGTCAAAGCAGGCACGAAGACCGAAGCCATCGAGGATCTAGAGGACTCCTACCTGGAAGCCATCAAGCAGCTCGTTACTATCCGTGCAACCACGCTCAAGGAAACGTACGGTAGTACACCGTTCTCCTGGGACGAGCGCTCCGCAATTTTCGACTCACAGCGTGACAGACGCTTTTCTGCCATGTTTCCTTCTCGACTTCGCTACATCGATATGACTTCCGCGAACGTGGAGATCCTGTACTCGGCTGCCCAACTCATCTTATGCAGTGCTATGCTCGGAGTATACTATGTGATAACGCAAGCTTCTGCGGCTGGTGCGGGATCTGAAGAGGCGAGGAAAGCGAAGAAGAAGGATACTACGCCAGCCTCTGCCGCGCCATCTGACGACCTTGGCACGAAACTAGCAAAGTACGGCGAAATGTCACAGAAGCATCTCGTCACCATTGTTCGAAGCCTGGAATATTGCCTAGAGTCCGGCATTCTCGCCGCTAGTACAGCAGTGGCTCCTATCATGGTCACGGTGGCGACGCTGCGAATCTCTCACGACACTCGCCTCGACTATGTCATGGAGCTTTTGAAGCGTTACCAGAAGAAGTCTGGTGTGCCCCTCGCCGATCTGGTCACGGAGTGTAGCGGCCTGCGACCTATAGTGGGGTCGAACGAGTTCATGAAGAATTACTCCAAGACAGTCTACAAACCATTGAGAGGCAGCAAGAAGAAGCCGGAGCCTGTCGAACAGATTGACACCGCACTAAATGTGCTCAGCCACAGCGAGCGCACATTGGCGTCTATGCTGCAATCACGCCTCGCTGAGATCCCAGTCAATCTGACATATACGAGGGATATGGCACGATCACCTGGTAGATTATTGTCCAGCTCGTGACAAGACAAACCTGAATATCGATTGACTATACATATATACAGGAGCGGCCATTGTCTTACAACAGAGCAAAGGCCAGCACAGCGACCAGCACCAACGCAGCATTGGCGCCCATTGTCGCCGCAACGCCTGTATATGGTGCGGGAGTGCCAGCGTTCCCAGTCGTACTATTAGAAGGGCAAGTACCATTGCTTGCGGTGCCGGTCGCATTGTTCTTCGCATTCTGTACGCGCATGTAGTTTGCAGCAACAGGTGCACCAACCTGGTTAGCGATGGCCTGGATAGAGAAATTCATGCGTGCCGAGGCGGAGGCGTTGAGAAGGTCGCGGCCAGCATCCCAAGCTGGGAGGGTGAAGTTGGCGGGTTGACGGAGGAGGTAGAAAGTGTAGGTGTGCGGAATGTCGTTAAGTGGTGGCATGGGACCGGCTGTGAAAAGGGTCAGGAAAATGCACTGCTGTAATGAGATGGCATGCAGAAAGAGGGCCAACTGACCATACATAGCGATTGGCGCAGAGCCAGCTACTAGACTGCCATTGCTCGCGCGGGTGACGTTGCCCTGCAACCAGTGGAGACGAGTAGTACGGCAGGGCTCAAGGCCTGGTGCTTTTGGTCCGGAAGCATTGTAGCTAGATGCCGAAATGCTGAGGTCTAGTAGGGCCAGCATGTACGTGCCGTTCAAGGCGCTGCTGTAGGTGACTGATGGCTGGGTCGCGACCACTCGGGTTGTGTCAGTAGATGTTGCCCGCATATGATGGTGGAGACGTACATGGCTGTGGCAGCAGAACGTTGGGTGTCACCTGCGTGCCATTGTAGCTGACGGCCAGATTTTGGCTGGCGGATGGGCTTGAGCCTGGTGGTGTTTGAGCAGACGCCAAGGTCGAGAGGGCAAGCGCGCAGGCCGCGGTCCAAGATGGCGTGTACATGATGCTGCAGTTGGTGATGTGGTACGTTTTAGAACTGGAATGCAGTATGTAGGTACACCACAGGTGTCGATCGAGGGATAGGCGACAATGTATACTTTAAATACCTTACACGGCAGTCAACTTTGCCTTTGGTATATTCGAACGCATGCAGGGATGTAAACAGGCCATTGGTGAGGTGATCGGACATCGATGACGGTACCTGGCATTAGCGGGCTTGGCGATGTCTCTCTAGTCGATGCCACCAAAATTCCTCAAACTGCTGAATTCTTGTTGATATGTAAAGTACAAGTGCACAACCCTCGCACAGCATACTGCATAGCGGGTACTTTGTCCCCTTGGTCCCGACTGTCCCCAAACCACGGTATCGGATACTCGGCGTCGCAGAAGCGAGCGCTGTGAGCATGGTGAGTGGCTCCGTCCATCATCTACGCTAGTCTTCGTCTGTTCCATCAGCGTCAGTAAATGTCCAGATTAGTCGACCCGCATGCTCGCAGCGAAGTGTAGCGAAGCAACACCTTGATGATTCTTTCGCACGCCTTACATAACAAGATTTCATTATCGCGAGTCCCGTTGTCTATATACAGATAAACGAATATCATGAATCAGCAAGGTTTCTACATATGGATCATCAAGACATTTGTGCCGAAAATCAAAGAGATCCTGTTTCCCCCAAAGCACGAGTCGAAACTTAAGTGGCTAGAAGATCGCCTTCCCTGAACCAAGTATTGTTGCTAGAATCGCCCAGATATTGCCTTTTTCCTGAACCAACTATTGTTGCTAGAATCGTCAAGATATTGCCTTCCTTTCAAGCAAGACTCAATGCTGAAATCGCTAGAGTTAGGCCGCGGATGAGCACAAACGGCCATCACAACCGCTAGAGTATGCTCATTTCTCCAAACACATCCTCCTGCTGCCATCAATAAATGACCCAGGAGGCACAAGAAGCAACTGAACCCTTTGTCTCTCAATCTCTCCGGTACTCCACTTGGCCCTAGCAGTCTGCATTCTCTCCCTTCTCCTTACGATAGGCCCTCCACCTGCTCTTCTTTTCGCTAGCTCGGCTGAAGCTGACCTGACCCGGGATGGTCAGATGCCGCCGAGCCTGAAGCCTTCTTCGCCGAGCTGTCATCCCCGTCGTTGCTGGTCGGGGGTTTCCTAGGACCTCTTTTGCCTCCTGTCCCAGTAGAAAGTCCAATCTTGAAGACCAGAGTTATACTTTGAAAGCTGCCTGCTGGTGTCTGGTCGTCTCTGAAAGCAAATATGTCTGTGACTTTCCTCGCTTGGGCGTCGTGTCGTTTGTGCTGCGCGAGGAGAAGAGCGATACGCTCGCCTGGAGCAGTTCCCATCAGGCGTCTAAATCCAGGAGTGGCTCTCAAGGTACCCCTACCCCAATGCTTCGGAGAGTTGCCCCCGGGAAGTGGGAATGGGACTCTGCTCTCATTGCCCAAGATGGGATGTGAGATACTCGCTCTCAACGCCTCTTTGACTTCGGCATCATCGCATTTGACCAAAATGACATATTGCAGGCCTTGCATCGTGCCACCAAGCTGGTGCCACTGTAGTTCAGTGACATCTGACCACTGTAGAAGAGGAGGGGTGCCTTGCCAGTCAAAGCTTCTGATCTCTTGCGGTGTGGTGTTACAAACCGAATAGATGACTCCATTCAGGACATCATACATAGTGTGATACTTTAGATTAGAGGCCTAGACGTTGGATTAGCGAGGGAATATCGGCGTGCTTTCACCACTTACAGCGATCGGTGGACCATCCATCAACTGGAAGTTCCGTGTTTGCTCGTGTCTGTGGATATGTCTGTTGGTGATTGTTGTGCTTATACTCAGAGATTGAAGGCCCTGCGCTACGGGAAACAGCCCTGTGTGCGCATTGAATGGATTCCCAAGATAGCCGAGGGGGTCAAGATAAGTCTCCCATCCGTAAGTGACAAGCTGTCCATAATGACTATACGGACTCTGCTGGAACGGGAATGGGGGAAAGTCGCGTCTGTGATCTTGTGCGTCAGTCATCTGATCGCCATGCTGGAGCAATTGCTCTGCAGTTCTTGGCACATAGGGTGCAGCATTTGGATTGGGTGCCCCGCCATAGATGTTGTGGCCATGACTGGAACCTGGAGCAGCAGCCGGGACACCGGCGACTGGAGGGTAGACTCGACTAGGGATTATGGTATTACCATCGGGCCCCACGATTGAGGCTATCGGAGGTAGATTGTCGGGGGCAGCAGCACCGCCATGACCACCACCTGGAGGAGGATAGGCAGCAGCGGCAGGATACGCACCGGGAGCAGGTAAGCCACCAGGAGCAGGATATCCACCAGGAGTAGAAAGGCCTCCAGGAGCAGGATAACCGCCGAGAGCAGGATATGCACCAGGAACAGGGTAGCCACCGGCACCAGGGGGGGTTGGTGGTGGCAAGATGATTCTGTTGGTGGAGCCCGAGCCGCCAGCCCCAGCACTGCTAGACCCACTGGGCCCCTGCCCACCATACGGGCCCAACGGTGGCTGCCTATCGGCTCTCTTTATAATCCCACCTACACCTTCCTTTTCCCCCTCCTTCTGCATCTCCGCACGAACTTTGCTCGCCAATTCAGCATACACGGCCGCCTGCTCAGCATCCCTCGCCACAAATACCGTAGTATTCCCGCCTCCAGAGCTCCCTCCAGTAGTACTAAGAATCTCATGGGCAACGAGATCGTTAGACAAGTCAGGTACTGGGAGAGAATGAGATGAAGTAGGGTAGGACAAGACCAGGAGTAGAGCTAGATGGATGAGCTTTGCAGGGGTGCCGAGAGTAGACGTGGAGACCATTTTTCCTGGTGTTATCCTGAAATGATCAGACGAAACTTGAGTAGTCGACCGGTTATACGTCGGCCTTCAAATGTGGTTCGATCACGGCGATGCGGAGTCCAGAAGAGGATATATCTCGGTTTCGCTGGAGTCGTTTTAGTACGCTGAACGTTGACGTATCAGCTGATGGGAGCACTCACGCCACGTGGATTGGAAGTCCAGACGACGAGTTCTTCGCGTGATGTCCTCGTGATCTGTAAGATATGTTAGTATATCAAAGGGCTATAGCATAGCCATTGGGCGTACTCACATCCTAGGGATATGTAACCTGAGTCGTGGTCTCGTTTCAAAAATCCTTGTCGAAGTTGAGGTACCGACAGACTATAAGCCAGCCAGATATTGGTCAAGTGGTTCGAGATGAGTGTGCTCAGATAAGTGTGTTGGAGTAAGTATCTGATGTTCAGAGTGATATCAATCAATCAAAGTAAGAAGGACTGCTTTGTGTAGACAAAGTATGTCCAAGACTGAAGAGTGTTGAGTGTTAGATGAGGAAAGGAATCTTACCGGGAAGAGGGAGGGGAGGCAGGTATATATACCCTTCCTGTCCTATCAGCAGCAGAACGCAGATGCTGGCTGGACAGCGCAGTGGTGCGCGCGGATGCTTGTGAGGGTGGTGGGAGGTTGACGTGGCTGCTTGTGGGCGCTCGTGAGGGTGGTGTGGCGGCTTGTGCTGGGCAGTGAGGGGGCATATGTACCCTTCCAGACCGTAGCAGGAGACAGGTGCGGGCGCTCGCTGGACACCACAGCGGTGCTGGAAGGTGCTTGTGAGGATGGCGTGACGGTCTGCGCATCGTGTTCCTGGCTTGGCTATTCAAACACGTCAACGATACGAGAAATCATCACGGTCGCATCAGTCTTGGCTACGCCGTTGGCATGGACAGCGAGGTATACAGCAAGTTCCGTTCATACACACCTATACTAACCAAGAGAATCCACGGCCGACCTAGCATTCCCTCCGCACCGCGGCATACAGACCCAGTCCTCCACCAACCGCACACATCACCACTCTAACATAATTCTGCCTCGTCCAAGCCTTCAACAAGCCTGTCACTTCACCACTCTCCTGCGCCTTCACCTGCACAGCACTATCGCTCTTAGCAAGAGCAAGAAGTCGATGGATCCCCGGCATCATGGCAACAGCAGTCAAAGGGAGAATACCAGTCGTCACAGCTCCGGCAGCGGCATAGACGATACATTCCTGGCTCGACGTGGCGGTATATGCCAGGTAGGCGGAGGCGGCGGTCGAGATGATGGTGCCTGGGATCACGAGGGAGGCACCGCGGTGGTAAACGCCGGCGAAGAGTGGCGTGGTCGTTTGGGCTGGGAGCGGGTAGAGGAGCGGGAGGGTGACTTGGGAGGCGGAGAGCATGTAGCCGGACATTATGAAGGCGGTGCTGATTGAGACCGCTTGGGCTAGGAGGGTGGTGTCCATTGTCGGCGGTTCGCCTCGATTATATAAGCCTGTAGACGAAGGTGTGTCCAGGATTGCCTTATAGGAGGCGCCTTGTGCCTTATCAGCTAAGAGAGGTCGCTGTCTTGGTGTTATGTTGAATGGCAAAACGTCCTCTGAGCAAAAGAGGTAGGAGGCTATGTATGCTCCTCAGCTTGCTATGGATGTCTTCACATATACTTAACTTACGGCGAGTTCAGCTTCTATCATGTGATCGGGTCAATGTTCGTTCGTCCAAGATAGCTGTACAATTTAGGTCCTGTCCTTACGGCCGAGGGAAGAGACAAGCTCGCATAAGATGTGCCATGACTGGGCTCGTTGAGAAATGGTGGTGTCTCTGAGCTACGAGCCCTGCGCCTCGCATTGGAATGCTCAGTCAGGACACCCATCAGCGGAACATCTACCCGAAGGAGCTGTTGGTGTAGATGACAAAGAGATGAGATGGTGAGGTTGCGCATGGAAGGCCTCGGCATGTGTCACCCGGGATCGCGCTTGCTGACCAGCACATCACCACCACAAACATTACCGCACAAGCAAGTACAAGCCCTACTGTAAACACATACACAAGAATATCACATACCTCTCCCACCGCCAGCAATACACAACTTCTCCACCATGAACTCCGTGGCGTCGAAACGACTCTTCCAAGAGTACGAACACCTCACGACCGACCCACCAGATGGCATCACCGCCGGCCCCGTGAATGAAGACGACCTCTTTGTATGGGAAGCCATGATCCAAGGACCCGAGGGTACCCCATACGAAGGGGGAGTCTTCCCCGCCGAGCTCAAATTCCCCAAGGACTATCCGCTCATGCCGCCGACTATGAAGTTCCAGTGCGATCTGTGGCATCCTAACGGTATGCTCTATTCGGGCGTGATGCTACCAATCTCTATTCCATGAGCTGATGTTTTGGTGTGATATGGCAGTCTACCCAAACGGCGTCGTATGCATATCCATCCTCCATCCACCGGGCGACGATCCAAACCATTATGAGCAGGCCTCGGAACGCTGGAGCCCGATTCAGAGTGTCGAGAAGATTCTCATCTCCGTCATGAGCATGATTGCTGAGCCGAACGATGAGAGTCCGGCGAATGTGGATGCCGCAAGGATGTGGAGGGAGCGCAGACCGGAATTTGAGAAGAGGGTGAGGTTGGATGTTAGGAGGAGTCTGGGACTCTGAGGGGCTGTGATCGTTGGGCTGGATGGGCTCTGGATGAGTATGTGGAAGTATGAGACGGTGGAATTTGGATGTGTGGTTTTTAGCAAGGTGTTGGTGGGAAGACAGCAGGCTCAATCAAGTTTTTTCTACATACTCCCCTCTGGAACTCTCAGCTCACTCAACACTATCGATCTACGCACTCGGCCGCACGCTCCGACACGACTTGTGCGTTAGAGCTTCTGACCGCCGCCACATCACCTTTGCCGTGCGCGATCACTTGTCCGTCTTTTTATACCGCACCATAGCATTCTCATCACCTGGTCTTATCGACACAGGACCCTTGTCTTTCTTTTGGCGTACCACGGCCTGCTCTCCACTTGGTTCAACCGACACCAAATCCTTAGCTTTCTTCTGCCGCACCATAGCATTCTCATCGCTCGGCTTCACAGACCCAGGACCCTTGGACTTACCACTGGATGGCTCGGCGTGAAGCTGCGAGAAGGTAGCGAGCGCGCCTATAGCCAGCGGTCTCAAAGACGTAGCAGAGTGAGTCTTCGATAGCTTGGCAGGACCAACAGCCTTATCGTCGTGTTGCATGGTCGTCTGTGCTGCCTTTGGCTCTTTATAATGCTTGACACGTATAACAGCATTACCATCGCTCGGCTTGACTGAAGGTGCTACGGTATGATGCGAGCCCGATGCCGGCGCCGCCAACTGCTTCAACGCCCTCGCGGTGAGTGATCCATCCGATGGAAAAGCCGGTTCTGATGGGTTCGCCTTCGCGACGGCATCGATAGCGGCTACTTTGCTCAAGCCGACTCTCAGATGAAAAGACGATGGGTCGACCATTGGCGCTGGCATCAATGGCTTCAGTGGCTTTGATGACCCCGACTGGTTGGCTTTGGCTGGTGCTTTGGACGACTTTTTGGAGCGGACCAGAGCATGCTCTCCACCTAGTTTGATCGATGCAGTGTCTGTGGCCGGACCTTGTGCTAAATGCTGATGCGATTGTATACCATATTTCGCCCTGGCCAGGGACGTGTTATAGCTCGCTTGGCTAGCATGGACAGAGTTCGCAAGTTCGGATGTATGATCGATCGGCGCAGGCAATGCCTCTATACTCTTGAATTTTGAGGCTTCAGGTCCTGGCGCTGGCAACGCTTTCGGCTCACGCTTCGACCTTTGCTCTGCGAGTCCAGGTATATGATCAATCGGAGCAGGCAATGCGCTCGAACTCCAGGAACTGGAAGCTTCAAGTCCTGGTGCTTCCAAAGCCTTCAGCTCACATTTTGAACTCCCCGTGCTGTGCTGCGATTTCAGCCCAATCATTCGACTCCGCCCTGGCTGACTGACAATCCGCTGCTGCAGACCTCCATATTCTATCGCCTGCCTTTGAGGTAGCTTCCCATACCTCGCAGCAGCCTTCTGGACCATGTCATCAATACCCTTGGACACAGCATCCTGCACATCCGCCGCAGAAGCAGAAGCAGGCAATTGTCCCAAAGACTTCTGCACCTTCGCGACCGAGTTCTCCAGGTCCTCCGAGCGCGCCACACCCTGGAGCTGTCTACTCATGGTCTCCTCCACTAATCTTGCCACATCTCGATCCTTTAGACTGTGCGCTTGTAGCTCGGCGAGGACCTTTTGCAGCTCGGCTGAACCGGTCTGTGGCCACGAGGCAGACTGCGCTGCGAGAGCTGCGAGTTCTCGACTATGGCTCTGCTCGATCTCAAATTTCTGGCTCCGCTCGTACTCCAACTGCTGTCGCATGGCCGCCATGTCCTGGTTTTGCTTCTCCTGCTGCTGCTGGAACTGCAATATGGCCTGCTGGCGCTCCTCCTCACGCTTAGCAGCTGCCTGCTCTTCTTTGTGGTGCTGCTTCTCGAGCTTAGCAGCCTCCTTGGCTTCTTTCTCTTGAGCCCTATGTTCCGCTTTCTCGCGGCGTCTGTTCTCCTTGGCCTCCCGTGTTTCCTGCTCCTGGGCTTGCTGAACCTGCCACTGCCTCCTCTCCGCTTCGTGAGCGGCTTTTTGCGCAGCAAGCGCTTGATCTTTGGCTTCTTTCGCGGCTGCTTCATTCGCTAGCCGGACCTGCTCGTCGTACTTCCGCTGAGCTTTGTCCTGCTCGCGACGACGCTGCTCATTGACCTCTTGCTCCTGGTTCTCGCGTTGCTGTTCAGCCATGATACGTTGCATAGTTTGCATATTCTTTTCGGTAGCCAATTGGCGCTCATCGAAATGCTTCCTCTGACGCTCGTTCTCTTCCTTCTGGTGCTGGTATGCCTTGGCCACGCGAGCTGCTTCAGCTACTTGGCGTTCGTCTTCGCTGTCGGTATCACCTCCTTCCTCGGAACTACCATCTTGCTCCTCGACGAAGCCTTGAGGGGGCGCAGTGATTTGATGCTGTTGCTGTAACGGCTGTTGCTGCTGGTACTGCTGACACTGCCCTTCAGGAGTCGCAGCCTGCGATGGCGTATACCCAATCTGAGCCTGCTGCGGCATCGATGGAGGTAGAGCTTGCTGGATTTGCGCTGGAGAACGTTGCGCCATAAACTGGGCATGCTGTTGCATAGCCTGTGCATGGGCCTGATTGTGTAGATCAGCTGCTTGCTGCAAGAAGTTGGGTGGCGGTAGCATTCCTGGCATTGGTGGAAACTGCGATCTCAGCATCTGTGGCTGGGCTATTAGCATCATGGAAGACGGTGCTGGGACCTGCTGGCCACCACCGTTGTATGAGACAGACTGCTGGTGGAAGTGGAAGAGCTTGCGACCATCACTTTGTTGATGATTGTGGTGGAACCCACCGGGGCCTGGTGTCTGTGACATGGCTCACGATTTCGGACAAGGCAAGTTTGAGATCTTGATTCAAGCAGCGGCTGGCGCTATCAGAGTCAGAGTATGGCAGAGTGTAATGTGGGTTTGTAAGGGCGTGGAGGCTACTCGGGTATCTAGAAGCAGAGGTCTTAAAGTATCCCGATAGTACACGTACACAGTAACTACAGCTGCCCATCGTGTCCCAAGAGCATTACCTAGTGACCAAGTCACAGCTGCTCATAACGAGTATCGGAAGCCCTTATTGTCAAGCTCAGTCATGTCATGCATACCACTCTCGATAGCAGCCTTCTCCTGGTCTTCGGTAGTCATGCCTTCCTGCAATGCCTGCCGATCACGCTTCTTGTTGACTGACCACATGTACACATAAAGCACAATCACCATGATCAGCTTGATCATGTATCCCACGAGCATGGCAATGTATGCTGAGTGGTATTGCGGTGCTTCGCTGGCCTTGAATGTCTGTGGTCCGATGATGTTGCCTGCGCGCAGATTAGTAGTGAAGGCGGTACTGTGCAAAGAGCGTAGAGTACATGACTTACCGACGCAATATCCAGTGAAGAGGATAGCAGCTGTAAGTTGCTTCTTGGTATATCCAGCAACGTTCGACGAAACCATGGTCAAGCTCATACTGAAGCCCAGCCCTTGGAAGAAGCACAGCCACAACCCGACAAGACGTGCCCATTTCTGTTTTTCGGGGACGCCGACAAGCATAGCCGCTCCAGCGATACAGATGGTGTTCGCGGCGATCATGGTCGGGCAACGAAGATTTGGCCACCTTGAGCAGATGACTCCTCCTCCAAGTAATGCTGCGAATTGAATGGCACCACCTGGAATCTGTAGGTACTGTGTTCCAAGTGTGCCTACGCCGAAGCCCTTGATGATCAGACTCGTGAACGAAGTAATGGCTGAATTGGGTACTTGAGCGCCCACAGCCATCACAAATAAAATCCAGGTCTTAGGATCATAAAGTGTCTGGAACACCTGATCCTTCTTGAAGTGGCGGTTCTTCACGCCCTGCCTATTGACAGCGACCCTATCAACAGCCACCGCACGCTCGCGCTCGGTCAAGAATTTGGCGGTCGATGGCTGATCGGGTAGAGCAAGTAGAGCCCAGACACCAGCAGCCAAGGAGCAGGAGCCGAAGATCAAGAAGACGTACATCCATTTTGGTAGACCAGAGTTGATGTGGCCAACTGCATAGCCGATGAGACCACCGAACATGGTCGCTACACCGTTGGTGCAGTAGTATGACTCCAGACGCAGCGGCTGTTCTCTGGAAGTGTAGAACATCGACATAATCAGCACGAAGCCAGGGTTGATGGTTGCTTCAAGGAAACCAAGAAGAAAGCCTAAGTTGGCTTATCAGTGCACAACTCACGATGTTGGAATTTATCGACTCACGGTTCGTAGCAATGCCCGCAAAGCTCGTACATGCAGGTGTGGTGAGAAGGACGATGCCCCAACATATGGTTGTCACGCTAATAACTTTGCCCGTAGGCAGTCTCTGCAGTAGAAACCCTGACGGCCATTGCGAAATGAGGTACCCGAAATAAAAGATCGATGATAGCCAAGAGTAGTCTTGACCATGAAGGTTCGTGCCCTTCTGTAGACCATAGACACTCGCGAAGTTGATCGAATTTTTATCGAGGTACTGAATGAGGTATATCGAGAAAAGTAGAGGCACAAGTCGTACATCGATCTTTCGCAAGACTCCCCTGGCCTCCCTTGGCTCGATATCCGTACTCGCTGCTAGCTTGTACAGATCATAATTATCGTCCAGGTCAGACGGTCGGTCCAAGGGTGCGAACTCCGGTGATTCTGGTGCCGTCTTTCCAGCGGCGAGATCTTTGTCCAACATGGCCATGGTCTACCGATCCTCTGTCCGGCAGACTGTAGTTTGAGGTAGAAGATGATAAAATGGAGGCCTGCAGAGAATGCTGAAAAACATTTCAGCAGCCACGTGGGAGTTCGTCCGGGTGAGATTAGAAGCGGTCATCCATACGTGCTCCAGCTACTCAGCGGATATGCCGTAGCGACTACTGCTGGTCCAGTTCTCAGAGAGAGTCTAAGTCTTGCTGGCGCACTGTCTTCCATATCCGCAATGGCCAACATTGATGAGCTGATTGGATGCTGTATGGCTTTTCAGCGACCACCCCACCCCATTGGGCGAGCACGACATCGTTGACGCAACCTCTTTGCATAATTCCGAATGCCGCCTTCTTCACGTGAGTCCATCACTGGCAGAAATAGAGAACGGGGCTCCTTTCTCGCCATCTCGTCGGCGGTGTCTTCTGCAAGGACGACGGTGCTCTGGTGGTGGAAAAGGGGTTGCAAAACATGCCCATGCCTACGCAGAAGGTTGGCTTCGAAAAGTGGGACAGACGGAAGTGCCTGGGCCGTCCCGTGATCTAACCCAAGCTCGGTCAGCGGCTAGATTATCAGTGACACGCGACTTGCACACGTTGTTCTTTGGAAGCTTCGTGACTGCCATATATGACTCCTGCTCTGTGACAAGCCTTCGGTCCATGCGCCTTCCAGTCCGATGCCTGATCTCGTCTCTACCTCATTTTTCCGCATGTCGAACAACACCACGCCAATCCTTCGATACCGTATTCAGACCGCATCTGGTCACCATAACCAGACATATTCGCGGAGCATCATACACAACAACAGATAGTCGTGCAGGACATCGGCCGGCGATGGCACAGCCTCCATGGCAAGCTCCTCCAGAGCCAAGCGAATTAGTGCGAGCAAGGCTACCAAAGCTGTTGGTGTACAATAGCTTGACCAGATCCAAAACGCCATTTGTGCCAAGAGATCGAGAAGGGAAGAAAATAGACTGGTATGCTTGCGGACCTACGGTATATGATGATTCGCATCTGGGTCACGCACGCAACTATGTCTCAAACGACATCATCCGTCGCATACTGTCTGACTACTTCAAGTTCGACGTCAACTTTGTCATGAACATTACCGACGTGGACGACAAGATCATCCTAGCTGCAAGACAGCAGCATTTGTTGTCTCTGTGGCTGGAACAACATGCGGCTGTTGATCGAGATGTCTTAGACACCACACATGCTGCATACAAAGCATACCTCGAGAAGACCTTGCCAATGATACCGGCTGTTACACCACCGGAGTCATTGCCGGCAGGAATCGAGCAAATCTATGGTCATGTTCTAGCTGGGAAGAGCATCAAGAATGATGGTTCGCCACCAGGCGATGATGAGGCCAAGATCAAGATGCATCTCAAGACTGTTTCACAAGCTGGAGAGGCGCTGGTATTGACTGAACCAACGATCGAAGAGTTCTCACTTAAAGCATCTGGCGTTTTACTACCACACATCGACGCACTACAAAAGCATACCATAACCGGCAAGGACTACGACATATTCACGAAGCTTACGAAGAAATACGAAGATCGATTTTTTCATGATATGAAATCTCTCAATGTCCAATATCCGGACACGCTTACACGAGTGACAGAATATGGACCACAGATTGTGAACTATGTGAAGCAGATTCAGGATAACGGTTTTGCGTACGAACACGAAGGCTCAGTGTACTATGATACCCACGCCTGGGAGTCCACAGGCGGCGTATATGCACGACTGGCACCCTGGAACCGCAATGACAAGGAGCTACAACAGGACGGTGAGGGATCATTGTCAACAAAAAACACGGGTTTCAAGCGCTCGGGAGCCGACTTCGCCGTTTGGAAAGCTAGCAAAGCAGGCGAGCCGAGCTGGAAGTCGCCATGGGGTGAAGGTCGTCCAGGCTGGCACATTGAGTGCTCAGCTATGGCATCAGACGTACTTGGCAAGCAATTTGATATACACTCTGGCGGCATCGACCTCGCCTTCCCACATCACGACAACGAGCTAGCGCAATCAGAAGCCTACTGGTCGAAATCTGGTAAGGACAGTCAACAGTGGGTGAATTACTTCTTACACATGGGTCACCTGAGCATTACGGGCAGCAAGATGAGTAAATCACTAAAGAACTTCATCACTATCCGAGACGCCATCGGGAATGGTTCATGGACACCTCGTGGTCTGCGCATCGTCTTCTTGCTTGGCGCGTGGCGTGATGGTCTTGAGGTGACTCGCGAGGTCGTGAAAGCTGGCAGGGCTTGGGAAGACAAAGTAGACAACTTCTTCATCAAGATCCGGGATGTGCAGGCTCGGCAACACCCAGCTCCAGGCATCAATGGTGCGACGAACGGGGTTCACAAGCTTGACATCCAGGAGGTAGCTATCAGTGGTCCAATGGCCAAGGAGCTCGAACTGACGAAGAAGCAATTTCACGAAGCGATGTGCGACAGCTTTGACACACCGACAGGGCTGCGAGTCATCAGTGATCTCATCACACTGTACAACACGCAGAAGGCCGTCGATATCCCGGAAGCTGTGGCGTTGGAGCTGGGCAAGTGGGTAACGGAGATCGTGGTCATGTTCGGCCTCGACGCAGAATACAAATCTGGCCAGCTGGGCTGGTCAGGCCTCGACATTCCCATCGAAGCGAAGCCTTTTGTCATTCCGCTAGCACAATTACGGGACCGAGTCCGCGAAGCAGCAAAGGCTGGTGCCGTCAATGTCAGCGACTTGAGCACCTTGGAGGACAAAGATACCACCTACGATTCCAATCAGCCATATGCCAACGCCTACGCCGACTTTCAACGCAAGCTCCACCAACTCCAAGCCCAGAACGCCGCCGCCAAAGAGTACCTCGCCGCCTCCGACCACGTTCGCGACAAAGTACTCTGGGATCTCTCCATCTACCTTGAAGACCGCGACGCCGAACACCTCCCTGCTCTCATCCGTCCACTCTCGCAAAGCCTCCGCGAAGAACGCTCAACCCGTGACGCGGCCGCATTAACAAAGGCAGCAGCGAAAGAAAAGGCCCGTCAAGACGCGGAAGCCGCAGACAAGAAAAAGGCCGAACTCGGCAAGATCGATCCGCTGAGGATGTTCCGGACCCTCGAGTATAGTGCTTGGGACGCGGAGGGTTTGCCCACGCATGATGCGGAGGGGATGGAGGTGGCAAAGTCCCGGTCGAAGAAGTTAAGGAAGGATTGGGAGAGGCAGAAGAAGGCGCATGAGAGCTGGAAGATTGAGAGTGGGGTTGTTGGGGAGATTCCGGCTGGTAAGGGGGCCTCGTAGGGGAGGTCGCTCCAGAGACGGATGGCTGGGAGGATGAGCTTGCGAGGGCTGGGTGGATGGAGGTTTGAGTGAGCTGCTCCTGGTCCATGATGGACTTGCATTATTAGCAGTCTGAACGAAAATTATTTCCAACGATATCATACGCCGATTACTTGGCAAAAAGTCATTGCTTGGACGTGTCGCGCCGTGCCGCATGGACGAAGCCCGTAGTGGCAGGCAGTATACGAAACATCACTCAACCGACACCGCCCGTTTCTCACGCTATAGAACGAGCGGTATCTCTCATCTATCCGCATACGGTTCATGTTATACACAACTATCCACAATAACAAGCTGAGTAGTGTATATTCCTGTCGTCGGCGTCTAGAAATTGAGTGGTATCATCGTCCCCATCCATGAATATACGAGCAAACCCTGAAAGACGAAACATCTATACCCAACATACATCCCAATATGCAGTCCAATCTACCTGGCCTGATCCAAACTCTGAGCCAAACACATAGCAAAGTACCTCCCTCTCATCGCCTGCAATTCCTCATGCGTACCACTCTCTGCTATCCTTCCATCTTGCACCACGTAGATGCAATCGGCGTGCCTGATCGTACTGAGACGATGAGCCACTGCTACTGTTGTTCTGGTTGAGGCCGCTTCGTCCAGGGCCTTCTGGACTATGCGCTCGCTCTGAGTATCCAATGCTGAGGTGGCTTCGTCCAACAAAAGCAGACGAGGGTTTCGGATAAGCGCGCGAGCGACGGCGATACGTTGACGTTGACCACCGCTGAACTGGAGACCTTTCGAGCCACAGGGAGTGTTCAGGCCTTCGGGCAGAGAGGAGATGAACTCTTGCGCATTGGCTTGTCTGCACGCCTCCTGGACTTCCTGCTCGGTCGGTTCGTGATCGAGACCAATAGCGATGTTATCTCGGACGCTGCCGAGGTAGAGTGGTGGCTCTTGTTGGACCAATGACATGTAATGGCGGTATTTGTGCGGAGACATGTCTTTGATATCGACATTGTTGAGGGTTATGCGGCCGGAAGTGGGATCGTAGAACCGTTCGAGAAGGGAGATCATGGTACTTTTACCACAACCAGATGGACCAACGAAAGCAGCGTAGGACCCCGGCTCGATAGTCATTGTTACTCCGCGTAGGACGCGAGAGGCGGCACGCTGCTTGTAGCGGAATTCGATGTCCTCTATCGCTATCGCGCCATCGCCAGAGGGACCATGTTCACTATTCTCGGGCGTCTCGCGGATGTTGGCGTTGATTGTACGAAGCCACAGGATATAATTTGCTGCTCCTTTAGCTTTGGTGATGGAAGTCGTGTACTGGAAGAACTGCGCGAAGCCTTGACCACCGAAGACAACGGCGATAAAGATGACGAAGAATTGCTCGACACTGTATTCGCCGCTTGCGATCAGGCGGGACCCGTACCAAAATCCGAGAGCCATGACGAGGAAGTCGAGCGATTGTGATAGGGCGTATGGGATCAGTGTCACCGTCAAATTCTTCACGGTCCTGCTGACGATGTCGCTGAGAGCGGCACTGTACTCATCCAGGATCACGGGTTCCAGTGTAAGCATGCTGACTGTGCGTATCGAGGTGACGGCTTCCGTGGCCAAGCCAGCGCTGCTGGAGAAGCGCTTCTCTGTTGAGGCGTCAAGCTTTTGGTCGAGTCGAATACGTAGGTAGCCAGCAATGACCAGGACTGTCATGCCGCCGAACACAATAACCAAGCCAAGCTTCCAACCATATGCGATACCGAGTGCACTGCTGGAGACGATATTGACGCATACGTTCAGAATGAGGCCAAGATTCGCGGACAGCAGTTCCTGGAGAGCAGTCGGTGCAGACGACATGTTAGCCGTCAGAGCGCCAGAAGAATTCTCAGGTCGGTCGAAGAAGTCCTGATCATAGTTTGTAATTCTCTCAATCATCTCCCGCCTATAGCGATGCGTGATGACTTGGCCAATGATGTTGCACGCCCAGCCGATGGCAAAGTAGGCAAACAGATTCGCTAGCGCGAGGACGAAAAACATTAGAGCCCAAAAGTCGCCTGCTTTCTGTGCCGCTGCGCCTTGGAGCGTGAAGACGTTGATGAGCCGAGAAAAGATGATGGCTTGCGCCGGGTACGTGCCACCACCGATGATGGAGCCAATGGCGATGACGATGTACCAGAAATAGAGATCTTTGTGCTCAACCAGCATAATGCCGATACATTTCAGCAGTGAGTAGTGGAGTGTTCCAGCGGCTAGATGATCGATTTCGGTCTCAATGGTATCGGGTGCTGCCTCAGTCTTGGTCCTCTGTAGAGTGAGTGGTCGCTCAAGGCCATTGGCATCTTCTTCCTCCTCCTTCTCCTCTTCCTCCCTCTTCTCCTCATCCCCAGCACTAGCACCAAGGTCCTGGGCTCGTACCATGGCGGCGTACAGGCCGTCGGCGGCCAGTAGCTCAGTGTGCGTGCCTTGCTCAAGCACTTTCCCATTGGTGATCACGGCAATGGAGTCAGCTGCGACAACGGTCGCGAGCTTGTGGGCAATAATAAGGGTCGTCTTGTTGACCGAGACACGGTTCAGCGCGCTCTGAACGACAGCTTCTGCGCGAGGATCAAGGGCGGAAGTCGCTTCGTCGAGTAGCAAGACCTTCGGGTCAGAGATGATGCTTCGAGCGATCCTGGGAGACGTGTCAGTACTAGGTTTTACGATACTCGAGCGGACCATGGAGTACTTACGCCACTCTCTGTCGCTGTCCTCCGCTTAGCATACTCGCGCGTTCACCAACCTGTGTATGATAGCCTTCTGGGAGCTGCTCGATGAAGTCGTGTGCATTGCTGGCGATACACGCTTCCTTAACCAGCTCCATCTGTTTCTCCTTGGACAGATTTTTCTGTTCGCCGACCAATCCTTTGATGACATTTTCATACACAGTCCCTTGAAACAGTATCGGTTCTTGCTGTACGAGTCGTATGTTGCTTCGCAGCCACTGCGTGTTATATTCGGATACATCGTATCCGTCTAGGAGGATATCACCAGAGGTCGGTGTATACCATCGTTCAAGTAAACCAATGAGAGTTGATTTGCCGCAGCCAGAGGGACCAACCAGAGCTGTGGTCTTACCGGCAGGGATATTAAGGTCCAGGCCTTGCAACACTTTGGCAGATGGTCGACTTGGGTATGCGAAGTCTAGATTCTTGATCACGATGTCTCCTGCACAAGAGCTTGGCTTGATGCCTTCAGTCGAAAGAGGATCAATCGTGGATGGCTTGTCAATAACCGAGAAGAGCTCCGCTGCTGCAGAACTTGCGTTCGTGATGGCTTCAATCTGCGGCAAGATGAGCATGGTCGAGGTGGCACCTAGGGTGACGCTGAGGACGACAGTGAAGACTGTCCCCACGTTCGGTATCTCGCCGCTTCGATACATCCTGAGACCCTCCCAAAAGGCCAGAGCAGTGCCTGACATGACCAAGAAAGTCTGGGTGGAGAAGAAGATGCCAAACAGTATGGACTTCTTGTTGCCTTCCTTGTGGGCTTCTTCTAGGAAGCCATCGTACTTTTTGACAATCTTCTGTTGTGCTCCGAAAGCATGTATTGTCTTGATCGAGCTGATAGCATCTTGCGCCAGCACTGCAGCTCGAGAGTATGTCTTGGTAATCCTCGTCTCAATCGGTATGATGATTGTCATACAGGTACCGAGAACGGCGATGATGGCAGGCACGATACTCATGGTGATGAGAGCCAGCTTCCATTGCACCGAAAGAGCCACAATGTAGGCCGAGAAGAAGAGAGCAATACCCTGAATCAGCGAGAAGAGTTTCTCAGCGATACCTTGATTGATTCGGTTGCCATTGGTCGTAACCTGCGTAGCAGCTGAACCACCGCCTTCCTTGTCGAAATGCGAGACTTCCTGGCGCAATGTGCTTTCTACAAAAGCCCGGCGTATCGATCGTGTCGTGCGTACAGCGGCAATGCATACACCTAGAGTCCCAAGATATCTGACCAGGAACACAGCAATGAAAATGTACACGAAGTAGAGGACGAGATGGTTGATCTGGCCAGTGAATTGGGAAGAGCTGGTTTGGCCAACAGCATGATCATTGAAGGTGGAGGTCGAAGAGCCGAACACAAGGGTCATCAGTGGTAGAGCAGCGCCGACTATGATGGCGCCAGTAAGTGAGGCGCCAAACAGCAAGCGGTCGATCCAGTCGGCATATGCAAAGATGCGCTGCCAGAAATTAGTATCAGGCTGGCGGGAGTAGGACGCTTAACTCACGAAATACTCCTTCATGTTGCCCTCTTTCTCCTTTTTCTTCTTCTTGCCCTTCTCGTCTGTGGCGGAATCTGCATCATCGCTGGAATCATCAGTCGACTTCAAAGCAGGTGCTGCGTTGCTGGGCGTCGGCGACTCCATCCCCAGGGTCTTCTCGACATCGTGTACCTCTCGCGCGGAAGCTGCCTGGGCGGTGTTGTCCATGTTGAAGAGCGAAAAGTCTATGCGCCTAGAAACTGCAGCGCATGGTTGTTCTTTTGTGATGTGGCGAGGCCGCAAAGGTAATGTAGTTTTGCGCCAAGCGTGAAGGAGTCACACAACCACGGATGGCGGACTTTGTTTCACTGCCTGGAGTACTTGTAAAGAGAACGTAAAAGTACTATACCTATCTTTGATCGACCTGATCGATAGGTGTTAAGTTCAGCATCCCAGGCAAACATCATGAGTCTTCACGGAACGGACATTGACAAGTCCGCGACCCCAGCACTGACGTTAACGACACGCGATGGCGTACATGGGGGCGGTAAGTCTAACCACGTTCATGTTGCTTGCCGCGCTTGATCTAGATTCGTTTGCAGGATTCCCCGGCCGCCGGACCTCTTGTTATCCGCTTTGTCAACTCAGCCTCCACCAACAGCCTTACAACTACATGTACTTGAGCAGCCGCTGTATTGATCGACCGGAAAGCGTCTGTGGCCATCCGCGACTCCAATTGATCTGTTGCCACACGCGCGCCTGCTGGCTACTATTGGCCTGCCCACTCAGATCTGATGCTCATACTTCGCGGGACGCGGCCGTCTATCAAATTCCGCCGGAATGTGATAAGTTATGAGCCCAATGGACGATGACGTGCCATGCGAGGAACGAGAGATACTTATTGAAGGACGGTTGATCATGCATTGAGTGACGTGAGTATTCAACATCTGGCCCACCTACCATTTACAACCATTGACTGCCACGATGCCGACATATGCACTACTTGGAGCCACAGGCGGAACCGGTTCTGCCATTCTCCGATATCTTCTGGAAGTGCCACTTCCAAACCTGAAGCTGAAGATCCTGGTCCGTTCGAAATCGAAGCTGTTGAAGACCTTCCCGGATCTGGAGAAGACATCTCCGTTTGGTGTCGAAGTCTTCGAAGGTACACCAGACGACAATGCGAGTCTGCAAAACTGTCTCGAAGGAGCACAGGTGGTGTTTATGTGCATCGCTACCAACGAGAGCAAGCCAACTACGACGATCTGTTACGACGTGACTGCTGCTATAATCACCGCCCTTGAGGCGTTACGCGCAAAATCTGGCTCGGCTTTCACTCGTCCAACTATCCTCCAACTACGGAGTGCGAATCTCAACAAGATAGCCACAGAAGGCTACGCATTCATTGGCGCGGCTGTGCGCTTTTGCTTGTACTACGTCTACTCAGACCTGGAGAAGGGCTGTGTACTGCTCGAAGGCAAAACAAAAGAAGATCCATCATTACTAGAGTACGTCTTCGTTGATCCGCCAGGGCTTCACGACGCCAATGGCACGAAACGGACTGGCCATGAACTTCTGGTTGACAAGGCAGGAGAGCAAAACCTGATGTACGGTGACCTTGGTGCTGGCTTTTGCGAAATCGCTGAGAGGAGGGACGAGTACAAGGGCAAGGCTGTCATGGTTTCGGCTACAGGTGAAGTCGATTTGACCATGGGCGTTCTCGTTGGTTTTGTGGGCACAGGACTGAAGTCGAGGATATGGGGCTGAATGTGGAGTGAGGTCTGTACCAGCATGCAGATGGGTAGCGTGGACGTCTTAAGGGGAGCTGCTGGTACGTAGCCGTAGCTAATTACACCACGTGCCATAGGATTTACCCGTTCGCTTTCGCAGTCAGCTTCACTTCCAACTATCAGCATCACTTCGAGACCTCACTTCAAGCACTACGTGATCGGTGGTCCGTGCATCTATACATTGTTGCCTCTCTATTGTCGTTGCTGTCAGTATCATGACTTCGCGCCTTTCTCGACATCAGCATTCCTCAAAGTTTAGTACACACGACAAGCGGTTTCGACATGCCTTCCTACCTGTACGCCACCGATGGGCTCAAAATGCTTGTCAAACACAGCGCAGACCCAACCAAACAGCTCGATAACGTACAACTGGTCGTTTGCGAACTAAACTCTGGCGCCTACAGCTCCGAGCTCTACCCTCTGATAGTTTTCAAGGGCGGGCCCGACCTACGCGAGCGACGTGAAGCTGTGCAAGATCTGTGGCTCAGGGACCAGCAAACTCTGTCAGGCGACAGTACCGACGGAGCTGTCTCCTTGTTGAGCCAATGCTTCTCGCAACTCAATAGGACCGGCAGGACCATCTCACTTACTGTTGTCGGTCGTACTCAAGGCTGGCACAGTACCGCTGAAGACGATCAGGTTTGGGGGTCGAAGGCATACACCAGCAAGCTCAATGAGTTGGACGCCTGCCTCGACAAGAAGGCCTTCAAGGATGGAGATTGTGTGAAGGTAATGGTAAAACTCTTCGAAGCCAGTCACGATGTCAGCGCACCTATCAAGTCCCTAGCCCTAGACCTGCAGAATGGTTACCACAGTTCTAGTAGCGCATCCAATGGAGCCCTGCAGAAGATGTCGGATCATTCGGGAAAGTTCCTACCAGTACTCGAGCGTCTTGACCTGAGACTCAAGATCTCTGCCCCAAACGACGGTCTCGACGATGTCTCCGAGGCCAGCTCTGGCACGATGGTCGAGGAAATGTCCGACTGCGAGACAGAGATCAGCCACGATGCAATTTCGACCTTTGAGGCAATCAGTCTGGGTGGTCTGCTCGAGATTCTCGCAAAGGGTGCCCGTCACCTCTCTCTCAGCTCGATCTGACTATGTGTGGTCCTGCTGTCGATAATGATGCTTACAATCTTACCCTCGACTCGATCAACAAGGGTCTGGGTAATGCATACTTTCAAGAAATCGCTTTGCATCAGGGCCGTTTTGATGCACTAAGCCTCCAAGGCTTCCTCGAGTCTCATTCTATCGGGCTGAAGACGCTGATCTTGGACGACGTACAACTTCAGAGTTATGACAGCTGGCGAGCCTCGCTAAAGTGGATGGTCGAGAACCTGACGCTCGACGTCTTGGAGCTGCACAATCTCAAGGCCACGAAATGTTGCACAAAGTTCGCTCGCCAGCTCACGAAGGTCCTTTGTGGGTTGTGTGGTGATGGTGCCTGGGTGAGCTACAGATTCTTCGATGGTGCCGAGAAGGTGGCGGAGGGTCTCGAATACTTGGTCGACATCGCAACGGGCCAGTACAAGTGGCTGGACCGCTTGGTGGAAGGAAGGACGAAGCCGTTGATGGAGGAGGACAGCGATTGAAAAGCGTAGTTAAGAGGACAAGAAAGAGAGAGCAGGGACAGACGCACAGGAACGGGCACAGCCGCCTCTGCATGATCCATATAGCTCAGGTATTGCATTATCGTAAGGCTACATGGAGCACAGATAGCCTGCCGTGCATGCAAGGCATCAAATCACTTCTTCCTTGCGTCTGCTTCATCAAGGTGAATATATCTTAGAGACGTTTGCTCGTTGTTGCGGTGATCATCAAGCTATTGTTCCCAACGCCACATTCGCATTCCCGGCCATCTTGCGCTTCCTTCTGCACCACGCGACCACCTGCACGTTCTCATAACCACTTACTCATGCTCTGGCGCTCGCACAAGCATGCGGTCAATGTTACAACAACTGTTAGGATTTCTCACGCTGTAAGCAGAGCGTTCTGTATTCCCTCACATCCTCCGCCACGTTTCATTGCCACCACACCATCTTCGTCATCAACATCATCAATCAGGCACCCGAGTCAACGAGGACAATTATCACGGGGTCTAGTGTCTGACTGCACAACTACACCACCTTTACGGCCTGCTTCCAGCTATCATCTAAGCCCCACTGTCAATCTTCTGCCTCTTCCTCGACCGGACAGCAGTTTGTCTAGAGCTGCAAGACGACGATCAACTGCGCAGCGCAGCTACTCGACCATGACTGAAATACCACTTCACAGCCAGACCCACACCGATGGCGTCCAGCGACTGGCCGATCGCTTGGAGAAGCCTCTCCTCGACAATCGATCATATCGAGTAGTGAAGCTCAGCAATGAGCTCGAAGCACTACTTATTCATGACCCTGATACGGACAAGGCCTCGGCCGCTATGGATGTCAATGTTGGCAGCTTCAGCGATTCGGATGATCTACCTGGCATGGCGCATGCTGTAGAGCATCTGCTGTTCATGGGGACTGAGAAGGTATGTCTAGCATGAGAGGTATCAGTGGATGTGGTGGAGACTGACACGTGCTTCACGTAGTATCCAGGCGAGAACGACTACAATCAATACCTGACCAAGTTCGGCGGCAACAGCAATGCCTACACAGCCGCCACGTCCACCAACTACTACTTCGAGCTATCCGCCTCAGCCAAATCAAACAGCCCCGGATCGTCCGTCAACACAAGCAAAGAGAGCCTACCTGTGTCGATAGCCAATGGCCAGGCACCACTATACGGCGCACTAGATCGCTTCGCGCAGTTCTTTGTCAAGCCTCTGTTCCTTGAGGATACGTTGGATCGCGAATTGAAGGCAGTAGACAGCGAGAACAAGAAAAACCTGCAGAGTGATGCTTGGCGGGAAATGCAGTTGCACAAGAGCTTGTCTAGCAAGGAGCATCCTTTCCACAAATTCTCGACTGGCAACTACGAGGTTCTACACGACGATCCAATAGCAAGAGGAGTAAAGATACGAGATGCCTTCATGGGGTTCTACGAAAAGCACTACTCGGCGAACAGGATGAAGTTGGCTGTACTTGGCAAGGAGTCTTTGGATGAGCTGCAGAGCTGGACAGTCGAATTCTTCAGCGATGTGCCCAATCAGTCTTTGGAGAAGCTGAGATGGGATGACCTTCCGCTGTACGGTGACGAAGAGGTTGGCACACAGATCATGGCCAAGCCGGTAATGGAGCGGAGAAAGTTGGACATGTTCTTCACATATCCGGATGAGGAGGAGCTATATGATTCGCAGCCTAGCCGGTATCTCAGCCACCTGCTGGGTCACGAAGGTCCTGGCAGTATACTTGCATACTTGAAGGCTAAGGGCTGGTGCAATGGACTTGGTGCTGGTGCGCAACCTGTATGTCCTGGCTCATCATTCTTCGCCCTGGGTCTGCAGCTCACGGAAGAGGGACTAAAGAATTACAAGGAGGTCATCACAATCATATTCAATTACATTGCTATGCTGAAAGAGCACCCACCACATAAATGGATGTTTGAGGAAATGAGCAAGCTACAAGAAGTCGACTTCAGGTTCCGTGAGAAGATACCCGCGAGTCGAACGACGAGCATGCTATCACAGACAATGCAGAAACCTTTGCCGAGAGACAAACTGCTGAGCGGACACAATCTACTGCGGACATTCAACCCCGAAGGGATCAAACTTGGGTTGGCACATCTCAATCCGGACAACTTTCGCTTCGTGCTGATCAGCAAGGATCTGGAGACCGATCGCAAGGAGAAGTGGTATGGCACCGACTACAAATGCGAAAAGATTTCACCAGACTTCATGCAGTCGCTGAAGAAGGCTGCCAAAGCTACAGCTAGTCAGAGACCTGCTGAGCTATTCTTGCCAGGTAAGAATGAGTTCGTCCCACAACGGCTGGATGTTGAAAAGAAGGAAGTCTCCACGCCTGCTGTCACGCCTACATTGATACGCAGTACGAATAGTGTTCGAACGTGGTTTAAGAAGGATGACCAGTTCTGGGTGCCGAAGGCCAATCTTAATGTGCACCTTCGCACGCCGTTGCTGAATATCACACCTTTGACTGCGGTTACTGGACACTTGTACAAGGAGCTTGTGGAGGATGCACTGAACGAGTATGCCTACGATGCCGAGCTTGCTGGTTTGGATTATAACATAAGCCCGCACTCGCAGGGATTTGACGTCTCGGTGTCTGGCTATAATGACAAGATGCATGTGCTGCTCGAGAAAGTATTGCTTACCATGCGCGATCTGGATGTCAAGCAAGAGCGTTTCGATGTGCTCAAGGAGCGACTGGGTCGTGCGTACCGCAACATCCAGTATGCGGACCCCTTCAGGCAGATATCGACATACAGCAGATGGCTCGTGTCTGACAAGACATGGCTATCGGAGCAGTATGAAGAGGAGCTGGCGAACGTTACAGTAGAAGACGTTCGAGCCTTCTACCCACAACTGCTACGCCAAATGTTCGTCGAGATCCTGGTCCATGGCAATCTATACAAGGAAGACGCACTACGTATAACAGACCTTGTGCTGAACACCCTGAAGCCACTGCCTCTATCTCCAACCCAATGGCAGACCAAGCGCATGCTAGTACCTCCACCAGGCACCGACATCGTCTATCCACGAACCCTAGTCAACCCAGACAACGTCAACCATTGCATAGACTACATCCTCCTCATCGGCGCCAACATCGACTATACCACTCGTGCCAAGCTCCTTCTCCTTGCTCAGATGACGAAAGAGCCCATTTTCGACACTCTCCGCACTAAAGAACAACTCGGGTACGTCGTAGCCAGCAGCAGTAATTTCCACTCAACCTTGGCCAGCTTCCGGATTCTGATACAGAGTGAGCGGGACTGTGATTACCTGGAAGGCAGGATTGAGACGTTCTTGACAGGCTACGCTAACACGTTGAGGGAGATGCCGCATGAGGAATTCGAGGCACAGCGGGTGGGGTTGATCAATAAGAGGTTGGAGACTTTGAAGAATCTGAACCAGGAAACTGGACGGTTATGGCGTCATGTTACCTCGGAGGTCTATGACTTTGAACTGAGTGAGTAAATTATCTGAATATGCTTGGGGAAGTGGGTGATGCTAACGCGCTGTAGTCTACACCGATGTCCAACATATCGAGCCACTGACAAAGGACGACATGCTGGAGTTCTTCACCACTTACTTCCATCCCTCATCCGCAACCCGATCAAAAGCTGCAGTGCACATGCTAGCACAAGCCAAGGCAGAAGATGTGGCGAAGAACATCGACCCAGTTGAATCACGCACCAAACTCGCGGCAGCACTTTCGCAGGTCCTCCAACAGCTGAATATCACCGCCGACCCTTCTGCATTGTCCCAAAATCTTGAGAAGGTCGACGTTGCAGGTGGCGACACCGCTGCCATTACCACAGCATTGACATCTTATCTCAAAGAAAGCGGTACAGCAAGCGAAGAGCAACTCACTGGTCTCAACACCCATGCTCCAACTGTGCTGGCGCAAATACTGCCTCAGCTTGGTATCAAGGCGAAGGGCACTGGGCCTGACGATGGTGTGGTGGAAGACTTGAAGGTGGTGAAGAAGAACAAGACTGTTGTGATTGAGGATGTCAAGGCGTGGAAGGCTAGTTTGCCGCTTTCTGCTGGGCCTGTGGCTGTCAATGAATTGAGTGCTTTCGAGGAGGTTGAGGCGAAGCTGTGATGGTCTGCTTGACCTATAGTAGGTTACATTTCTGAGGCGGCATCACCTCACTTAACATAGACGTTCGCAACTTAGATCACAAGCTCAAGACTACTTCCATCTGCAGGCCACGGCCCAGGTCGATAAAGAAGCCGGATATTCGGTACCTTTCTATCGGCTCTAAACTGTGGCATGTAATCAGCTTACCCACCATTATACTATACTATGTTATGGAAACGCACACTATGTCCGGTCATATCAAAACTACATACCTTCGTTCGTACGTAAAGTACTTATGCGGATGCCTCGGACTTTGTCCTGACCTCGTGCGAGCGGCTCGTACATCTTATAACTAGGCTTTTACGGCCCGCGCGATGCGAACCCGAAGCTAACCTCTGCTCGCAAAGAGCAACTAATCGTTCCGCCGTGATCTTCGGGCCCAGTTTTCGACCGATTGCATAACAAGTTCCCTGCAGATGACATGATGCTTCGAGGTGGATATAACGTGGGTTGGCTGGTCCGGTGACCGCGTGCAAGGCGGTTGGACAGAGGTAAGGAGAGGGGAGGAGGATATAAGTAGGGTGCAAGTCGTCTTCTCACTTTCATGTTAACAATCATCAACATCTCCATCACATCTTCCAACAATTCAGAAGACAACTTACACGATAATCTCAGACTCGACACGAGCTCGGTACAAAAGATCAAGGCAAAGGACAATGTCGACCTCGAACTACATCAAGAATGTTGCCATCGTGGGCGTAAGTACCGTGTTACCTAGCCCACCATCGCCCAAATCGACTAACAGCACTTCCAGGTAAGCGGTCGCTCCGGCTCCCACATGACCGAGGAGCTCTTGAAGACCGGCAAACACACCGTTACAGCCATCACTCGCTCGGACAGCAGCTCCACGCCACCACAAGGCGTGCACGTGGCTAAAGTCAACTACGACGACCCCAGCACCCTCGTCGCTGCCCTCAAGGGCCAAGATGCCTTGATCATCACAATGGGCACCATGGCGCCGCCGGATACGCAGTCGAAGCTCATCCAGGCTGCGGCTGAAGCTGGTGTGCCGTGGGTTCTGCCCAATGAGTGGGGTCCGGATACCGCTCACCCGGGTTTGCAGAAGGATGTCCCGCTTTTTGGGAAACTGGTTACTGTGCAGGAGGAGGTGAAGAAGTTAGACGGTAAGGTGTCGGCGCTTTATGTGGATTGCGGATTTTGGTACGAGTGGTCGCTGGCTATTCCCGACTCGTTTGGCGTGGATCTTCTGAAGCGAGAGGCCACGCTTTTCGACAATGGAGAGGTAAAGATGAGTGTCTCCACTTGGGCTCAAGTCGGTCGTGCTGTGGCCGCTTTGTTGAGTCTGCCTGTCCACGCCGAGGGTGGCGACAACGAAGCCTGTCTCGACAACTACCGCAACAAGAACGTCTACATCAATTCCTTTACGGTCAGCCAAAAGGATATGCTGGACTCCGTGTACCGTGTCACAGGTACCAAGGAGTCGGAATGGAAGTTTAGCAAGGAGCCCTCCAAGGAGAGGTACGATAACGCCATCGCGAAGATGAAGGGCGGTGATCGAATGGGCTTCGTTGTGGCGATGTATACTCGTGTCTTCTTCCCGGATGATTCTGGGAACTTCGAGAAGACGAAGGGTACGGCAAACAAGGTATTGGGTCTGCCGAAGGAGGATATCGATGAGGCGACTAAGGTGGCGATCGAGCGTGCTAAGACGAATCCTTGGGCTTGACGTGGTCCAGGTAGGGGTGGGAGTAATAATCCGGTTAATTAGATACTTGATTTGTTTCCGTCTCTCGACCAAGAGTCTCGTGATGTCGTGCTTGGCAGTCTGCAATTCGCAGTCGTGCCTTCCTCCCACGAAACTGCCACGTTCCACATCAACCAAGCCTGACAGCTTCGCCCTCATCTTCCCACGCACTCAACATCTCTTTGCCCTTCACTCTATCATCTTTCAGCATCCTACTATCCTTCCTCGCATCCTCACCCTCAACCTCCAGTCTCGCCTTGGGCTCCAAAGCCTCAATCACGAAATGGTTGTCACAATTCGGGCAGTACTCGTCACTATCCTCAAATTCCTCCATATTCTTCCGAAACGCCTTCTTGCATTTTTTACACGCGAAGGTCATCTCATTTGTCTGTTTGAGTGTGTGGTCTTGTGTCTCGGCGTGGCATTGCGCGCAGTCGAACCACTGCCGACAGCAGGGCGAGCGGATGGAGACCTGGGCGTTGAGGATGTGTTTGCTGTGCAGATCATGTTAGCACGGTAGAAACCATAGATTATAGCTTGTCTCCTCGTCGTCTTCATAGACTCACCACATGATTGCTGTTTTCACGAGAATCAGCTAGTCGCAGAAGAACGCGTTCGTAAGGCAAAGTACGCGCTAAGCCTTGGCATCGATCAAGTTTAACGTGGAGTTTTGCGCGTGATACTGTACGTAACCGAGCGGGTGGTCAACCGCTGCTCGTTCTACGTCTTACGAGGTGGTAGTCATTTAGTTTGATCAAGGACTTATATGTATCGCTGGTAAGAGTTTTGATGTTCTATGCTACACCTTGGGACGACATTGTGCGTGGCCACTTCGCTCACTAGCTTTTCCCCGCCGCATCCTCCAGAATTACCTCAGCCGCCTTCTCGCTCACCATGAAAACAGGTATGACAGGAAATCCTCCAGGTATCTTCGGGAAGATGCTAGCATCTACCACTCTTAATCCACGTACGCCACGGACCCGAAACCGTGAGTCCACCAGAGCCATCGGATCGTCGATTGCTCCCATCGAGCAAGTACTAGTAGCATGATGAGACCACGCTTGACTTTTGATTCGAGCTCTGGTGTCACACAGCCTGTTGCAGATCCGTTGATACAGGGGAAAGTTTCGGTGAAAGGTGATATAGGCGATACAACGGATCCGTAAACTTTTCTCGCAAACTCCACTCCTTCAACCATAGCGTCCAAGTCTTCATCTGACCCCTTAATCTCAAAGTACCTAAAATTGATCTCCGGCACATCGCGAGGATCAGCACATCGTAACGTCACAGTTCCCGCGCTACGACTGTTAACATGCGGATGCATCTTGATCATAGAGAAGTCGAAAGTACTCGGTGGATCCTGCGGAATAGCGTTGACTGTACCAAGCGGCCAGAAACCACGGAATCCACCTGTCAAGCCCCACATGAAGAGATCACGCTCGTTGTATGCCGCTCGAGTAGTCTTGTGCATAAGCGCATCAAGAGACGTGTCGGTATAAGGACCGGTGCCGTTGTACCACATGTCTAGACATGGGTCTGGCCCGTGTCCGTACGTGCAGATTGGGCCGGGAGTGGTGAGGTTCTGCGAAGCTTGTGCGATGACACCGATCTCGTAGTTGTCTTGGAGGTTGGTGCCGACGCCAGGCAGGTTCACTACCAAGGGTATAACTAGTGCCTTGAGCTCAGCTGCTGGTCCAAGACCACTGAGCTTTAGCAGTTGTGGGCTGTTGAATGTTCCGCCGGCAATTATGACCTCTCTGCGGACAAATGCTTGCTTGAGGCTACCACACTTTGAAGAGTTGTACGGCGGGTCAACATTGTACATGCTCTTGCCCTGAATGTATTCGACTCCGATCGCTTGAGGCGTGCGAGCGCGAAGTTCATGTGGCGACTCTCGCGAGAAAAGCACCCTAGTTGCTAGAGCCTCGAGTTGTAGCTTGAGGTTGTACAGTGGCAGACCGTCTGATCCGGTGGCCTACAGGACCTACAAAACAGCGTCTATTGCACTGACACGTCTGCCAGAAGGAGTCTTGTGGGCTGGCAAGCCGAAGATGCCCACCTGCTGATCCCGGTCAGGAGACGCATTATTCAGATCAGCCTGAGTCAGGTTGAACACGTCACCAGTCTGACCGCTTGCAATCGCTGCGGCTTGCAGTACGGCGGCGACTGCAGGCTGATTTGCCAGTACAGCAGGATCATTCGGACTGATATCTAGAAATCCATCGAAGCCGCGTCCAAATGTTCCGGCAGATAAGTACTGGTTTCGTTCGACTCTCTCAAAATACTGCCGCATGTTTCCTGCTTGCCAACTCTCGTTACCAGTCACATTGGCAATAGCATGCCAATCCGAATCGCTGGGAAGTGCAGCCGCCAAAGCATTATGTGTCGAGCAGCCACCTAGCGTACCAGTTCTTGGGCAATAGACACCGAGCTTGGTGGCATTGACGGGAGGATCGAGACCAACGTTAAATCCGCCTTCTTTCGTCCGCCAGGTCAGATGTTCGTACTGGTCGTTCAAGGTATCGTCGCTGTAGTGCTTCACGAAGAAGTCCCACCGTAGCTGCGGGTCGTTGGATGCAAAAGGATACCAGGCAGCTATCGTCTCATTTAGATCATTGCCGCCGTCGTCTCCAGCCTCGAGAAGTAGTACTGAGTGTTGGCTCTTCGCGAGATTCGCAGCCAGAGGGCCGCCGCCAGGCCCGCTGCCGATGACGATGTAGTCGTAGACTGACCAGTCTTTGCCATAGTTTTGCTGTTGTGATGCGGAAAGGAAGGCTGCGCTGCGAGCGAGGGAAGTCAATAGGCACGCGATGAACCAAATTGCAGGATGGCGCGACAAATGCATCGTGGTGATGTTAGCTTCTGTCTTGCCATCGATGAGCGCACCTACTCTACTATCACTTTATAAACCCAAAGTTGAGCAACACTCAACATTGAGCTTGACTAACATGCCGCATTGTGCCAGCTCGAGTTCGAGTTCGGGTTTTGGCTGGACCGTTCTGCAGAGGGACCGACATTGCCTGGAGCGCGTCTGCTCATGGAGCTTGATGTTTCTACGGTACAATCTGTCGTTCATTGCGATCAGAGTCGATCCAGGTATTGGCAGGCATCCGCTCGGCGGCAGTGCGTTCTTGTTGAGGAGAAGGCACATTTTGTTGTCCCCTCATGTAGGTCCATCAAGGAACGCCGAGCATCTGGCCAGGCATCATTCCCAGAGCGGCAGACATCTCGTGTCCTCCGTCTGGCGGTAAGTCTATCTACTGTCGGAAGTGTGTAGATGTGTTGTTGTGTTCATTTGGTTATGAACACGTGTTTCGAGGTTTCGAAGGCCATTTCCTAGCGCGTTCGAGCACGTTTCAGCCCACACTCCCGTCGTCCCGAACCTTTGTCGCTAGCGCGTGCCTGGTGGTGCTGTTTCGAGTTGCATGACAAGATTGAAAGGCAACATCCTCTCTGACTTACCCCCTCTGCAAGACCACCTTCCATGCTCATAACACGGTGACAGTGAAGGAAGCCTGCTTGCGCATTGTTATTGGCGGCTACTAGGGCTGGAAGGGCTGGTTATGATCACAAGACAACTTAGAACGCTGGAACATGGCCTGGCCATTGAGGAGAGGTTGAGAGAATAGAAAAGGACAGTTGTGCTGTAGATATGGCGGATGGCGAAGACGTGACAGACTTTACCTCAATAAAACCGGTGTCTTCACTGCGGTCGAGATTCGAGAACTTGGGCAAGGATGTGGAGCCGCAGACACCACCACTGGAGCGTCGACAGGTGTCGCTGACAGCTACGAACACTGGGGTGTCGGAGAGGCCAAAGACAGCGTCGGGAGAGAAGCCACAACTTCTCGCTGCCAGTAATGCTACCGCACCACTGCAGTCTGGTCTACGAAGACCGAAGCCTAGCCATCTTCAGTCGAGACCCCAATCAATGATGGACGTAACGCCTTCGCAGAAGTCGCCGCCCATGGTGACTGTTGACTCTCCGAGCTCCCCGGCGCCAGATAGTATCAATGCGCGGTTGAGTACACCACGACTACTCCCCACGCCCGATTCCACAGGCTCACCGACCAGAAGCCATGCGCGGACGCTCAGCAGAGCAACCACTCCAGCACTAGAGAAGCGCATTTCCATGTTCTTGCAAGATGCGCCGCCCAAGATCGACCTTGCCAGTAAGCCAAGAGTCGTGGCGCCTCTTATCGAGACTACCCCGCCAAAGGTCCCACCCCCTGTCAACCGCACAGCCAAGCCGTCGGTACCGGTCAAGCCTGCTACACTCGCACAAAAGTCGAATGGACTGGCAGCACCAGAGCCGAAGCTGTCAGAGATGACAGACCATAGTGTCTCACCTTTCAGCACACCTCCTGGCAGTGGCGCAGGCTCACCAGAGATTCGGGGCGAAGCTGGTGTGCCGATTGGTCGCGAGCGCAACACATCGGATGCATCGTTCGTCGAGCGATTACGCAGCGACTCAGGAGCGTCCTCTGCAGTCTACCGTACGCGTTGTGATTCCGATGTTTCGTTTGCTGAACGAGCTCGAGCAGGCTCGAATGCCTCGTTCGTGGAGCCATCATCTTTGCCAGAGACTACGTTCCATGCGCCATCCTCACTTTGGCGAGCATCAAGCAAACGAGATCAGGCATCTCCTAGTCTTGCCAGGACGCCGACTATGCCAGCACGGTACGGACATGCTCGTAACAACAGTGCTGGCGGCGAGGTAGATGACGACCGACCAAGACTACCTGCCCGGCCTGAACTACAGATTCGCTCGGGGCGGACAAGTCCCACGAAGCCGAGATCAGGCAGGACGAGTCCAAGCAAGCTCTCGCAACAGATACATCCTCGACGATCACACGATGGCCTGAGACGAGCTGCTACGTTCGGGGATCAGCCGCCACCACAGCGTATTCCTGCGACCAGAGCGATGCCCAAATCTGCGCTTACCGAAGGTTTTGACCGGACGGTAAGTCTTGCTCCAGGCAAAGCTGCACCAGCAGTCCCAGCACCTAGGAGGTCAGTGGACATGCGACGGCCACAGATGCCTCCGCCCGCGAAGTCAAGCGTGCAGGATGCTGTGCAGACCAATGGATACTCCCACGACGATCAAGAAGACTTCATGCCGATTGCCCAAGCCGATACTTCCACGTCAGCCTCGGAGTACCCCGATGCCACTCAAGCGAATCGCAGGCCACCGAAATACAAGCAGCGGCCATTCCAGATATTCACAGAGTACGATACCAGACTCTGCGCGGTGTCTGGTGAAATCGTGGTGACCAGTGGCTACATCACGAAAGCATGGAACATCAAGACGGGCGAGCAAATTCTCAACATGATGCACAATGAGAATGTTAAGGCCACTTCAGTAGCCTTTAAACCTGCTCTGGAACCTCGTGACGAAGGCACCCGAATCTGGGTTGGGACAAACATTGGCGAGATACACGAGATTGACATACCAAGCCAACGACTGGTCAAGACACGAGCGAATGTTCACACACGTCGGGAAGTCGTTCGTATGATCAGGCACGGCACGCAGATCTGGACACTAGATGATGGTGGAGAGCTTTGCATCTGGAGGCCAGATGCGAAAGGCCTTCCCAACGTTGATGGCCAGTACCATAGCTTTCGTGTCCCTCGAGGACATTCTGCTTCTGTGGTTTGTGGCAACCACCTTTGGATCGCTACGGGAAAGGACATTCGTGTCTTTAACCCTACCGCCAGCAACGATGCTGAGTTTCAATTCATGCGCGGCACTCTTTCACAACCCGGCGCAGGCGACGTAACATGCGGCACCACGCTTACGAGCACACCTGATGTCATATACTTCGGCCACTCAGACGGCAAGGTCAGCGTCTACAACTGCAAAGACTTCTCTGCAGTATCTGTCGTCACCGTCAGCTTGTACAAGATAGCATCTCTAGCTGGCGTAGGCGACCGTCTGTGGGCTGGCTTCAATACTGGTATGATATATATTTACGACATTTCGACGACACCTTGGCGAGTGAAGAAAGACTGGGAGGCACATGAGAAAAAGCAGGTCTGCAGCATCGTGCCTGACGCTTCTGCATTGTGGTCTATGGATCGTTTGCAGGTTGTCACGCTTGGCACAGATAATATATTGCGGATATGGGATGGTTTCTTGCAAGAAGACTGGCTCGATAGCCGAATGCAGAGCTATGATTCGCGATACTGCGCCTACCGCGAATTGACCGCCTCAGTGCTCACCTGGAACGCTGGTGCCTCCAAGCCACAGTATCTACAGCAAAACCATGAAGACAACAACTTCTTCCGGGATTATCTCAGCTCTGGCGAGCCTCCCGACATACTTGTCTTCGGCTTCCAAGAACTGGTTGACCTTGAAGACAAGAAGACGACAGCGAAGTCGTTCTTCAAGTCGAAGAAGAAAGATGGTGGAGACCAGGAGCACATGTCTCATCAGTATCGTGCCTGGCGAGATCATCTTACGAGGTGTCTTGAGGAGCACATTCCCGCGAACGTTGGCTACGCTCTACTGCATACTGCTAGCATGGTTGGACTGTTCACATGCATATTTGTGAAGTCTACCGTACGCAGCCGCATCAAGCACGTCCACACTGCGGAGGTCAAACGTGGCATGGGTGGCAGGTACGGCAACAAAGGTGCCCTCATCTTGCGAATGGTCCTAGACGATAGCAGTCTCTGCTTCATCAATTGCCATCTAGCAGCCGGCCAAACTCAAACCATCAACCGCAACAATGACGCAGCCGCCATTCTCGAAGCAGAAGCACTTCCTCCCTACCCACTCGCCAACAGTAGCGCTGCCCAGCACAACGATGTCTTTGCTTCGGGTGGCGATGGCAGCCTTGTGCTCGACCACGAGATCTGCATACTCAACGGCGACTTGAATTACCGCATCGATACCATGGGTCGAGACACAGTGATCAAGCACGTCGCCCAAAACAATCTCGCCCGCTTACTAGAGCGCGACCAACTCCTGCTCAGCCGCAAAAAGAATCCAGGTTTCCGCCTTCGAGCCTTCCAAGAGAATCCCATAACGTTCGCACCAACATACAAGTACAACCTCCACTCCGACGACTACGATAACAGTGAGAAGCGCCGCGCACCGGCCTGGTGTGATCGCATTCTCTATCGTGGTCTTGGACGTGTGAAGTTGGAAGAGTATCGACGGTGGGACGTTAGAGTCTCCGATCACAGGCCTGTGAGTGGGAGGTTGAGGATGAGGGTCAAGACTGTTGATGCTGGTAAGAGGGCGCAGGTCTGGGAAGTATGTAAGGGAGAACTCGAAGTGAGGACGGCGGAGATGGGGAGGAGTGTGATGGTGGAGTATTGTGTGAATGTGCTTGGCATGACAGCACAGAAGGCGAGCGCGGCGGTAGGGTGATGAGCTGTAGATTGTGGAAAAGTTCAGCTATGCAGGGCTGCTGAATGACATGCTCATCATTTTGGCTGTACATGCTACTCTCTGTGATGATTGACTCGGTCTGAGGATGCTTTCAGCCGCGATCTTGTTTCCACAGCGTTAGATCTCGATAGTGCCGAGTCAATCTCACCAAGATCGTGGGGTTCCTGATGCCCGGACCCCATTGCGGCTCAAGCTAAAACACAGATCAGCATTGAGTGAGGTCACTATTTGTCCTTCATGAGGATCGTGACGCGCAGCACGCGAGCTTTTCTGGCGGTCCATCGCAAGTGCATAGATGATGCTCTCGCTACACAATCAGGATCACCTAGGTAAACCCGTGATCCACTTCCTCCAGCTGTAAGACCACTTTTCTTACTCTGCTACTGCTGCTGCACCTCCCACCTCTTCACATACATGTCTATTAGAGTACTACTCCCCTCTGCACCAACTACCTACCAACACCTCCTTCGATCGAGCACCAGAGCTACTGCTCGCTTCACAAGCCAGCGTGCGCCAATCCCACGCATAGCAACGACAACTACCTCGATCAGCAAACGCCTCTTTCACCTCACAGCCAAAATGGACGACGCAGAGGCTCAGGCGAAGCAGTCGATGCCCGCACAGGACCACTGGAAGACGAAGGCGCCATACAAGGTCCACGACCCTCAGGATAACTTCAAGGTCAGATATGAGGCAAGCTGTCATTGCGGGAAAGTGAAATACCAGCTTTCTCGCGATGAGCCGTTGGACAGCAAGTTGTGCCATTGCACTACTTGCCAGACGCAGCATGGTACGTTCGTCCAATATCGTCGTTCGTGGCCTGACGCAGCACACTTGCTAATTTGAGTTGTCTCCGACAGCTGCTCCTTTCCAATGGGCCGCCATCTTCCACAAGGATGACATCAACTTCACTCACGGTCATCATGACTTGGAGTGGTATGATCCCACTGAGAAGTCGATCGAGCACAAGCTCCCCTGCAAGGTCCGCTGCAACTTCTGTCATTCGCCCATCATGGACGAGGGCCGAAACATGATTCTGTTGTTCCCCACTTTGGTGCATTTCAAGACCGATCAGGACAAGAAGAACTTCAAGCCTAGGTACGTTACACCTCGCGTGTCCAAGCAGCTTCACGCACATCATGTAAGAATTCTGACTAACACGTGCACAGATGTCATATGTTTTACGGCCAGCGTGTGATGGACATCCCGGACGGCCTGCCCAAGTGGAGTGGATTGAACAACAGTAGTGATCTCATGGAGGATAGCCCGCCGGAGCTCGTCAAGGAGATGGAGCGCAAGAGAGAGAAGGAGCAGCGGGAGAGAGTTGAGAATGGTGAGAACAAATGATCACTGCCATACCACGCTCAGAGATCGTAGACAGAGGTGTCAGAAGTACGAATAAGCACGTTCTGTGCTACTCGGTTCGCAGGACGATTTAAGGAAGAAGTACTTGCTGTGCCACATGGTCACCACCGCTGTAAACTAGTACAAGACCACTGAAGGCAGACCAAGTTTTCTCTGCTCGCCACCAGACCTTTGATTCATAACCCAAGTGCATCTGTAAGGTGAAGATAGTGGCACTGGATGTGCCTCTGCAGCGTTTCGGGTCCTTCAATGGGAACTCGTGAGTGAAAGTGAGCGGCCTGAAAAGCGGTCACTGATTCACCTTCGAATTATGTCGCTTCTTTTAAGTTCACAAGTGAGCTTTCTTGTCTCGAACACAAGTCTCCAATCGCCCGCGGTACTTTCATTTCTTCGGAGATCGTGTTAGAGAGCAAACATCACTTTCGCCATGGTCGCGAATCTCATTACGTTGACCACCCCACACGGATCGAAGAGCACGACCAGAAGACATCTCATCGCCATCACAGACGCACGTCCGGCAAGTTCCACTTTGCCAAGACCCAACTGCCAGACATTGCGCCCTCGACTTAAACTCGTATGTGCACCACCAGCCCTGACGACTCCATGATAGACCTAAGGAGACGAGGCACCACTGTTTCGAATATACACTGATCATGGCAAATTTCAGGGTGACATCGTTCTCTTCGTTGCAAAATTAGAACATGGGCAACAAGCGCAAGCAATCAATTACGCTTGATCAAAGTAGGAAGCGCGTCAAGGGTATGTCTGCATTTCATGTGGTTGTGATCGGATCGCAGTGCATCAATCGAAGCAACATCACTCCCAATGATTGCCCTGTCGTGACGCTCTGAACATATGACTGACTGGTGTCACAGGCACACCAATCCAAGGAGCTTCAGCTTCGCCACACCCGCACGGCGAGATCGACCCTGACGAGTACTTTGCCGTCCGCAGCATACTTGACGAACGTCCTGGCCAGTACCTAGTCGACTGGGACGACAGTCCGCGGACTGGGGAAGCCTACCAACCCACCTGGGAGCCCAAGAAGAACGTTACCGCTGCTGCTATCAAGGAGTGGAAAGCAGGCAACGCACCACCACCAAGTGCAGCTGTTCCAAGTACGCTTCCAAGTGCTGCCGCAAGTGCTCTTCCGAGTGCAACAGCTTCGCCTGCCCCTGCTACCCTGGTCTCGGCTCCTTCTAAGAAGGTTAGAGGGAGGCCACGGAAGGTCATTGAGAGCTCCCCGGACGTCTCGCCGCAGATTACGAGACAGCAGGCACGCCAGGAGACTAGCGAGTCCGTGCAGTTAATTCACACACCACAGACGAACGCTCGGCCGGAGCCTGAGATCATAGAGTCACAAGACGGTCAGCATACAGTCAACGACGAGTCTACAGACAGTCCACTATTCGAGCCTGTCGGCACTCCCGCCGCTGAGCCTAGTGTAGAGCCATCTGATCCGCCGGCAAGCTACTACACAGGCGCTTATCAAGCATTTACATCCTCTGAGCTTGGGTTTACCTCCGCAAGTGCGCCACCAACCGGCGAGCAGATAGAAGGGCCACTGGAAACACAGTCTCGCTCTGTGCCCGTCAACTTTGGCGAGGCCTCGTCAAGAGTCATACCCGACTCGCAAACATTTGTTGAGTTCACAAGCTCAGCACCAGCAGCAACCACAAGCAGTCGTTCGGATCAACGGAATCTGTTGTCTCAAGCTGAAGCAATCATCCAGACTCCCGCTCGTCTAGTCAATTGCACTGTTCCATTAGCTCAGGCCGAGACAGGCGCTCCCATTATTGAAGGACGTACAGCAGAAGACACCTCAGCAGAGCCATCGACCAACAGCCTGCTCCGAGACGAACCACATCAGGCACAGCTTGATTCACAACTCGAGCACACCTCCTCTGGCGCTCGACACGAAATTGACATTTCGCAAGCTACGCAAGCGCATCCGGCTGAAGAGACGGGTGGTGCAGAAACCTCTCCTTCCCTCGAGCTGCACGAGTCTCTCGGTTCCCTCGCAGTTGTCTCTCAAGCTAGCAGTGGCGGCGCGACAGCACTACACGATCAAGACTCTCCAACGACTGGTCCTGTGAACGATCAAATCGGCGACAATAGCGCTCGTATATCTCAAGCGTTGGCTGCTACTCCTAAGTCTTCGGACCTCGTGCCGCCAAACCCCGGTGGCAACATACAAAGTCAGTCGGCCGCTGATCGTGGTGACACAGAGTTGACTTCACAAGCTCAGCAGTCACGACTTGAGGATCCAATAGACCTGACAACGTCCACCTTCCCGTTTCAGATACAGGTTAATCGATCGCCAATCGAAAGTCCACCTGGCTTCACTTCTTTACTCAACGGCAGCGACACCGTCCTCCCATCCAAAGAGCCTCCGTCGCCTGTTCGATTCTCTAGCCCGTTCCCATCTGTGCCGAGCTACTCGATCGGCACATTCGGCGTAAGCGCACCACCACAGCCGGTATTCTCGTCAAACCAATCGATACCAGCGATGCGGGCATCGCAGGGTTCGTTGGACTCGCGAGCCTCACTGAAAGCTAAGCTCGAGGCAAGCCGTGCGCAGCGCCGAGCGCAGCACGCAACGAACGAGTTGACATCTGCTCGGCCAAGTCAATCTAACACACCTGTCCCGCAGACGCAAGATGCCGAATTAATAGTATCACAAGCGCCCAAGCTAGTCTCTTCGCTCATTGTTGACGAGCAAAGTCGTCGTTCTCCTTCGGCTTTCCCTGCTATGGAGCCTCCTCCCGTCATCACGCAGGAAGAAATGAACACTTCCGAACGATATGAGACATTACTACCTCAGACACGCGAAAATGGTCTACATCGTACTGGCTCGATGGCTGCGCCGACTCTGAGCAGACAGCCGAGCAAGGATCTCAACCCACCACTTTCGCACACATATGTGCTGCCAATTGCGCTAATCGGCCATCAGCGCGACCAATACCCAGCCACTGTACACGCGTCCGCACATTTGATCAATGAATTATTGACATCTGCTGCTCCGGGCGCAGATCTATTGCGAGATGCTGAAGCTTTCGTTACTCGTATGCAGAACCTCACCGTGCATCCAGATCTCGTCAACTCCGAAGCGTTGTCACAGTATGCCGTGGAACCAAGGCAGCAAGCTCAATGGGATGTGGACTGTAGTGCCAAGTGTCGCTTTCTGAAGCTGCTCATCGATGAGCTTCGCGATCAGAGTATGCACATTGCAATTGTCTCCCAACCAGGCGAGATCATGAACATCCTGGACGTGTTCTTTTCAGGCATCAGCATACCACATAGACGACTCTCTGATATCCATGCGTCTAGCTTTCAGAATGAAGATCAAGCTCTTACGATCACGCTAGTGTCGGTTGAGGATGTGGTTGTCGACCAGACGCCATCGCCTGCTGATCTGATCATTGCAATGGATTCAGCTGTGTCTGCCGAGTGCATGCCAATCAAAGCACTACTACGAGGCGAGCATAGAGCGCCTATGGTCACTATGGTCGTACCGTACTCAGTGGAGCACATCGCGCAGTCGTTGTCTGCCGCACTTAGTAGCGAAGCACGTCTGCGACTGATGATCAGCAGCATCCAGCAGTACAGCAGCATCGCTGGCTCGCTCGAAGAAGGTCAAGCCAGCATACGAAGTGCCGCCGAGCAATTGGCGAGCTACCTAATGTCTGAAGAGAGCGAGCGCGAATGGCCATTGCAAACGCTCGAGCCGCTCGCAAACCTCGACAGTCAGACGGAAAGTGATGTCGAGATGCCGGCTGCCCTGCACGAGCAAGATTTAGAGAATTCTGTGGGCATCAAGCGTGTGCACGAAACCAGCAATGACACTACAGAAGCCGTCAAGAAGATCCGACTGGACGAGCTGACATCTGGCATTGTGGGAGAGGCGCCGTTGACCATCAGTCCTCAGGAAATCCAGATGACGCATATCAGTGACTCTGTTCCACGACCTACTCAAGTCACTTCCGACGGTCTCGACGCTGATACTACGCTCATGCTCACCGACGCCGAGCAAAGCCTACGGAACATGCTCCGGGACGCTCAAACCCGGCTGGACGACCACGTAGAGGCAATCAGTAAGCTACAATACAGATTCGAGGAGCAGCGCGCAGACCTTGTGACGAGGACGGCGGAGCGCGATTCAGCTCTGATGACTGCTGCAAAAGCTGTCGAGCGCATGCAGTCAAACCAGAACAGGCTGGAAGTCATTCAAGCAAACGCTGCAGAGACTGGAGTCCAGCTAGCTCAGGCAAATATGCGCCTACTAGACCATACTATCCCCGAGCGAGCCGAGATCGAGCGTGTTCGCTCCGAAGCCCACCAAGCCCGAAGCGAGAAGGAGCAGATCGAAAAGCGTCTAGAGAGACTGAATCAGGAACACGAGTATCTTCGCTCAATCTACCAGACGGCCTCACAAAGTGCGCAGAACCAGTCTTCTCAGAATACTGACCTCGAGAATGCGCTTGCGGTCGCTCAAAACAAGGCCACGAGCGAGCAGGCTCGGCTGAGAAGTATGGGCTACGATGCCCAAACCACACTCCTCCGGGACGAGAACAAAAGGTTGAAGGTTATGCTCAAAGATCGTGAGGCGGCAATCAAGTTTAAAGAGGAGGAGCTCACGCGATTAAAGGAGGCGCAACGAGGAAGGATGGGCACCAGGGGGACGAGTGTACCTCGCAGCCCAAGGGTCGGTAGTCCGATGAAGATGGCTGTTGAAGGTGGGATGAAGGGACGTGGGAGTAGGCAGGGGAGTCCAGCTGCTGGAGAAATGAGGAAGGGCGTGTTGCTCCACCCGCTGCGGAACAGCTGAGGTGTGATAGGATGAACAGGAGTGAGCTTTTCCACATTGGCCACATTGGCGTGACGGCACTTTGAGGCTCGGAACTTCGGGACTGCTTGCATACGGATGCACGGCAGCCGTTAAGCAGAGTTTTCATATAGTTGGCCACTTGGAGAGTCTTCCTCACTCATGATCCGCTGTCCATAAGTTCCTTCTCACCTTCTCACGCAGCTGCCGCTGTAGCAGCGGGCTTCGCACCCACTACGTCGAAACCATGCCAGCCATCAATCTTCGCTCTTATCTCCTTCTCATACATATTGATACCACCCACATAGCTAGTAAAAGCAGTCAGCTCCATCGCGGAAGAGTGGACACAGTCATAGGTGGTCTCAAAGCCAGTCACTTACATCATATTCTCAGCCTTCTTTCCGGGAATATTCGCTCCATTCCACCAACTATCCGTGAACGGCAGAAGCGTCATCTTACTCCTCGCCGCCAAAGTCGCTTTCCACTCCTCCTCCGCTTCCTCCTTGGCCTCGAACTTCCTCGCCCCTTCCGCTTCTAACTTACGTATCATATCCACGATCGTCTCGACCTGGGCCTCTATGATCGTCGGTCCATTTGATAATGCGGTAGGGGCTTGAGGGGTATATGCGTGGAAGAAATTGGGGAAGCCGGCGATTGTGATGCCAAGGTAGGTGTTTACGCCCTTGGAGGACCAGATGTCGGCGAGGTCGACGTTGTCTTTGGAGTGTAGGCCCATTTGGGTCAGGCTGCCAGAATACGAATCAAAACCTGTGGCCAACACCACCAAATCAAAGTCGTACGTCTTGCCATCTTGCATCTCCAAGCCAGTTTCCGTGAATTTCTTCAATGGATTCTCAGTCAAGGAATGTAAGTGCACGTTCGACTGGTTCAGGACTTCGTAGTAATCCTGTTCCAGCGGTGAGCGTTTGGTGCCGAAGTAGTAGGGTTGCTTTTCTACTGGTGGTGCCATGATGGCGTGTTTGGCCGGATCTGTGAGGCGAGCGCAGACTTTGGACCGCCAGAATTCGTAGGCTATCTTGTTCGCCTCGGGATCGAGCAGGATGTTCCCGTAGTTCCCAAGGGCGAAGTTGAAGCTGCCGCGAGCCCAGAGCTCCTCGAACAGACGTTGCCGTTCTGGAGCTGTGGCATCTTGGAGTCTATCACCTGCTCGGCCAGCGGGGAAGCCTGCGGCGCTGTCTCGACCTGTGGTGAAGAGAGTTGGATAGTAGGTCTTCCAGCTGTTCTGCTCTTCTACCGTGAAAGCCCGTTGACCCATTGGTAGGCAATAGCTTGGTCGACGGAGGAAGACCGTGAGTTCTGAGGCTGTTTTGCCAAGTTCTTGTGTGATCTGCACCGCGGTGGCGCCCGCGCCGATGAGCCCGATCTTCTTGCCTTTGGGATTGAAGTCTTCTGGCCAGGCACCGGAGTGATAGACTTCGCCTTTGTAGGAGGATAAGCCTTCGAAGTTGGGTGTGTATGTCCGGTGGAGGAGGCCAGTGCAGGAGACGAGGTACTTGGCTTTGGCGACATGGCCTTGCAAGGTCTTTACTGTCCATTTTCCGCTACTTTCATCCCATCGTGCATCGTTGACCCGGGCGTTGAAGTATGCATCTCTCCGAAGACCAAGCACTTTGTCAATGTGTGCCATATACCGCCTTAGCTCAGTATGATCGGAGAAGCGTTGTGTGAATGACCAGTCGCGATAGACTTCCGGAATGTTGAGTTGATAGAAGGGTAGTTCCGAGTCTACACGAGCTCCTGGATATCTGTTCCAGTACCAGACGCCACCGAAGTCAGAACCGGACTCGAAGCACTTGACGCTCATGCCCATTTCGCGGAAGCGATGGATGGCTGTGATCCCGCTGAAACCTGCGCCGATGACAAGGACATCGCATTCAAGTGTCTCCTTTGGGACGGCATTGTCGGCCGGCTTGATATCTTCGTGCACATGGGCGCCATTGGGAGCAGTCTCGGGTGTAACCAGAACTTCGCCGCCGAGGACTTCTGTAGCCATGATTGAATGTCTTTGCTAGGAGTGTGTTTAATGCGACGATGATTCCTTGTTGACCAGAATTAGAGGAGGTTCTCGGCTACACCGCTGTAGACGGAAGGAAGCTCGAGGATATGTAAGAGACAGTACGCAGTACCTACCGAGGTCATAGAGGTACGATCGAGTGGAGCTATAGGGTTGCACAATCCTACATTCTATTTAGCTCGGCCATTCCTGCTCAAGTACCCTAGGCGCAAGAGGGGTTCTTCGGGGTAAACGCTGGTTGACGCCAGTCGAAAATGGCACAGCGAGATCCCTGCCATTGATCGATCCCACTCCATCGGGGAGGGCGTCTGCTTGGATTCGATCGCAAGCTGTCCGAAATTTACGAACAGTCCTATAAGGATTGATGGTGAAGAGCTGAGTGGAGTGCGCCTTATTAGGGTTTGCCGCCGAACGTTTATGGGGCGGGGAGACATCACGTGTTTTCGGAACGGTTGTCGCCCGTAAATAGCGTGCGACAGGCGTCATTTATGCACAGGCGTCTCAGGTACAGTACGGGAGTGGTTTTGTAGTCGATACAGCACTGTAGTTACGACTATCCCTACACTCCCTATGTATTCATTCTAGGGGAAAACAACGGACACGGCCGACGGGCCTCGACTTAGCATGTCTGCGAAGAAGAAAAGCATGGCGAAGCCTCTCGAGGTGATTCCGACAGCAGCCATGTCAGGAGGCGTTGCTGCGAAGACGGGTCCTGCTGAACCTGTCATGTCGCCTGCAAGCCCAGGCAGCTCACCCGGACGGAGCAGCTTTCAAAGCCACGTGCGAGCAATGTCGATAGCCGAGTCTACCACCGGCTCGTCCATACGAACCAACCGCTTCTCGACATCCTTCCCAGTACAAGCACAAGCCTCGGCCTCGACAAGTCCTACACGCATTGCAGCGAAGTCCCCAAGTCGAGAGCCTCAGGCAGTCGTGCCTGAGTCGCTGGCATCACCGACTGGCCCTACAGATACCAACTTCTTAACTGCGATCGCTGCACAAGAGCGAAGGGTGCTGGAGCTGAAGGAGGAGTTGCAACGTGCCGAAGCTCACTTGAACAAGCTGAAGTTGAGCTGGACGCAGCACGAAGCGAACAAGAAGCGGAATGATGCGCGGAGACTAACACAGCTGCAGCCATTGCAGACCAGTCCGACGGTGGCCGACAACGAGGAGGACGCGGACGGGTCCGGTGCATTGATGCAGCAGGAAATGGAGAGGCGCAAAGCGTTGATCAATGGTGGTCGGAGTAGTCATCGGACCGTCTTTGCTGGCTCGAGACATGCCCGAACATTATCTCTCCTATCGCCTGGACGAGATGAGGTGCGGTCGCCTGTTGGACGTATGGGACCTCCACCACCACCGAGAAAAGAGAGCCTGGTAGGGGTAAGAAGGCCGAGCTTGGATTCGATAGCCTCGGCGAAAAGACCAGCGCTTTTGGCAAGGACCTCGACCACGCCCGACTTGACGACCGAGATCTCCCGCTCAGCCAAGCCGAGCATAGACCTCTCAGACAGCCTGGAGAAGAGCATCGATCATGAGGCACTACTGCAGACTGGCAAGAAGATGGCTACTGATTTCCGGGACGGACTATGGACATTCCTTGAGGACCTGCGGCAAGCGACAGTTGGTGACGAGGCTACTCAGCACCAACCTGTTGTGCCTGGTGCCCCGCCAATTTTGAGAAGACATGCATCGACGCGCACTGTCCAGTCACGATCGAGCAAGACCCGACTTCGTCCAGCTTCGAAAGATCGTGGCACCAAGACACCGAGCCCAGCTCGTAAGCACGCTAAGAGCGCCACACAAGGAGCCCTGCCGGACCTCGCAAACCCGAATTTCTGGAACGAGCATGGCGTAGACGCGACTACACCCGTAGTTTGTGCAGCAACTGTCAAGAAATCACCTACAGTGAGAGGGCAGCACAAGTCAACTCCTGCCAAAGGAGGGAGCGTCGCAAGTAACGACGCGTGGGACGCTTGGGACGAGACAGCCGACAGCTCCCACGCCTCCCGATCGTCCAGCGCAGCCTCCGATACGACAACATTACCCTCCATAGTCTCCGGCTCCGGAGCAGCGAGCCCAGCCGTACGACTGTGTCGTGAAAGTGCCTCGAAGCTCTCCACCTCGCCTTCGGAAAGTACACCTACGAAGACATCTCCAGCATCGAAAAAGGATCCTTTACCGTGGCCTACATTGTCCAAATTCGGGCCTGCTACTTTGAGACGGACTGCAAGCCATCTAATGAATGAGTGGGAGAAATCGTTGACTCCCTCACCTGGAAAAGAGTTCACAGGGCAGGAAGATTATCTTGGATTACATACCGAACATACCAGCACACCTAGGACCTCCAAAGGAGCAGGAGTAGCAGTGGGAGGAGGAGGGAAGAAGGAATGATACCATTCATGTATCCCAAATTCGACCCACGAATAATGTCAAGACTCTCGAGCGAGATCCCAGAAGCCCAGATCAACAAAACTTCCCACTCTCCACAGCGGCCTTCAGATCTTCGTTGAACGCCGCGAATAATCCCCGTATCCACGGGCGTAGAGGCGAACAATACCCGAATGCCCAAGCTGTAGGCCCAGAGAACTGCTCGCAGTGCTTGAAAAGCGTCGTCTCTGCATCCGCTGCTCCTGGTTGCATAACCCATGAATGTCGGGCTGTGAAACCGTATGCCTTGCCTATGTAGCCGAAAGTCTGCTCGTTGTTGACCTGACACACGTAATCAGTTCCCCGATACAAGTGGCATAGAGTCCCATGTCATGCCATACTCTGGGACAAGTGGTGAGGTGGCAAGGAGTCACGTACATATACCTCGGCAGTAACAGCACCGGATTGCACTGAATCAATGTACATCACATCTCCCGCTTGGGCGTCTTGGACGAGTACGGTACTATCGTCCGACGTCTTGACGTGTAAGTGGTTGATGATGTTCTGTTTGTTCTTCCATTCTGGCCAGCGGGCGAAGTCGAGGAGGACTTTCCGTACGGTGGCGGGTGGTGCGTTGATTGTGATGGGGACTTCTATGCTAGCGTTTGTGAGGAAGGACATTTTTGGGATGGGGCGCTCGGGGTCGGTGATTGTGGTAGCAGCTGGACTGGAAGATGAACAACAGATGGCACAGGTTGATTCAGAGGTTCTAATCAAAACAATGGCTAAGCACATCTCTCAGCCCCAGCTCGTCGAGTGCACGGTCTCGACGTGATCAATATTCGTCCATGTTCAGCTTCGGTGGAGCTCAGTCTGCTGGTCTTGGTATAGCTTGCATGAATAGCGTTGTTTGGAGACTATGTTGATTAGGGCTTGACAACGAGACTACCTAGCGAATTCAGCCGGACAAGGATGGAGAGCCTCACGACATGAGCTCATGGGACTTTTGCATGTGGTGTTGACAAGTGCCGACGCCAGTATATTTTGTGAGATCTTATATAGACGTGCTAGCAATAGTAATAGATTGAATCGACCTCACCGCCCAGCTTTCACTTCCCAGCCAGCGCCTTCAATGGCTTCGTGCCAGGGAAGAAACTGGTCGGCATGGCAGGAATAGGGATACTCTCCGTGAACCCCCAAGTAGGCGTAGCCAGATCCGCCGCCATGGTCGGGGCAGCATACCCCTTCGGCGCAGCGGTGACTGTCGTCGTGGTAGCGGCGTATGAAGTATGTTTCGCAGCATTATGCAAGCAGAAGGCGTCGGCACCAGTATTGTCGGTGTAAGCGCTGCGACAGCTATACCACTGGCTCTTGCCTGTCTCGGTCCAGAGAGCGACGTCCGAGAGGTCGACACCGTTGCAAGGTGTACCGTCTGCGCAGATTACACGAACGGGACCACGTTGGCCGCCGTTGGATTCTGTACCGGTCCAGTTGTTGACTTTGATGTTGGTCAGTTGGACGCCAGTGCCTGAGACTGCGCTCATTGAGCTCCAATACTGCGATGAAGGCTTGGTCAGCATGTGTCAGCTGGGGATGGAATGGCAGTGCCGTACCTGGTCGATGTCGAGGCTGTAGGCATTGCCGTGGCCGATGAAATTCTCTAGCACGACGTTCGAGACTGAGCCACTCCCACCATTGGACTTGATCATGTACATCTGGTTAGAGGACCAGGTATAGATGTTCCGGTAAGTGATCGCGGAGACGTCGACGTTGGCACCAAGACTTCCCATGGCTTCGAGATGTGTAAGCGTATTCCCACAGGTGTCTTGCATATGGGTTTCATTTTTGGAACTCACCACACCCTCCGGACCAGTTGCAGTATACTTGCTCCACGAGAATATCTGCGAGGCCGTCAGCTTCCTTGACACGTCCGTGCTTATATGTCACGATCAAGGAATCGTCATCAATACAAAGCACATACTATTGTACAGTTAGCATATGTGATGTGTAATCGTGGTAGAAATCGCACTCACCTTTTTGCTGGAGACTTCACAGTCACACATTCATCCTGCAACTGATCAGCGACGACCTAATCGACTGAGCACGAAGCAATAGTACCTTGTTGGTGACCATGACATCGTGAATCCAGATATTCGTGGACCAGACATCAATCCCATCCAGGCCACCGTGGTTCGCGCCACGAATAGCCATATTATACACCTCGCCACTGTCACAAGTATCCATACTGAAGTGGAAAGCTGGACTGTCAACCAGGATAATATCGTGCACCGAGAAATTTGTCATTTCGTAAAAGCGCAGGAGGCGTGGACCACTGATGCTGCCCGTCTTGTGGAACTCGTAACCATAGCCCTGAATCGCTCCTTTGCCAGTAGTAGAAAAGAGTTCGAAGTCAGTGCCGTGTTCGATGAAAATCATGTTGCCCCCGGCTGTACCAGTGCGGTAGATCGTGCCATCGAGCTGTAGCGCCCATGCATTGCCACCCGAGAGCGTCACCCAGGTAGCCAATGCATAGTTGCCGGATGGGATAACTACCACGCCTCCAGTCTTGCAAGCGTTGAAGGCGGCGGTAAGTGCTGCAGATATGTCCGTTTTGCCGTCGGCCTTGGCACCGTAGGAGGTGATGTTGCAAGTCTTCTTGGCCGTCTTTGTGGCGGCAGATGTCTTAGGTCCGACCTTGCCAGCAAGTTCTACGGATTGTGCTGCGACCAGCGCAGAGACTGAGGCTGCCAAGTAGCAGAGAGAAGAGAAAAGCATCTTGAAAGCTGTGTCAATAGCTCACGAACTTGGTAGAAAAGAGTGTTGCGAAGAGGAGATGTTGCACGCCTGGCAGGAGAAAAGGATGTACTGCAACTTCTCTATTGTAGGTGTATGCTGGCCCAGACGTTCCCAAACCTTATAGCAGAGATAGGCGAGGTTTCATGAACAGGGATGGCGCATCCCGATGACCGGTTGCTGTTCGCATGACACTCCGTGTCGCTTTGATAGTGACGACGAAAAGCGGTTTTGGCGTCGAGACGCCGTGTCACTATCATGTGTCACACTATGGACGAATTCTTCCACGTGGCGAGATGATATGGCATCTTCATGTCCTGCTCCAGATGGCACGCAATCAGAGTCTGGCATTGGGCCTCTATCTGCAACAATGTGTCTAGCATGTGTGATCATCGCCCGAGGCTGCTTTCTTCCGTCCGGCCATGCTGATGTTTAGAAGACCACTTAGACGGAGTATTTACACCTGCCACGGAACAGGTGCTCCATGATCTCCCTCGACGATGTGGAGGTGCTGCTAGTGAACATATTTAGCAGTGGAGGGACATTCTTGAAGATTTGTGACACGGCCTGAAACGCGGCTGTTGCCGCACGGATCGCGCTTGGAGCATTTTGTCTCGTCAAGATAAGAACCAAAAACAACGATGATGCGTATGTCATTGCTGGATCTCCCAAAGCAACGTCGGCGAATTCGACGGGAAATTCAGCATCTGGCTTGTTCTGGCCATGACCATGAGTGCTAACTGCTGGGAACAAAATCGCCTGACGCTTGAGTCAGTGGACAGAACATCCCGATCATGGAGCGTGTCAAGCGACAGAAGCAACGCAAAGTGTTGCTGATGGGTCGTTCGGGTGCTGGAAAATCTTCTATGAGATCTATCATCTTCAGTAATTACGTTGCCAAAGATGTACGACGACTGGGCGCCACAGTAGATGTCGAACACAGTAACATAAAATTTATGGGCAACCTCATGCTCAATTTATGGGACTGTGGTGGGTAAGCAGTCTTGCTACTGTAGGAGAGTACGTCAGTCGCTGATCGTACGCAGGCAAGACTCATTCGTGGAATCATATCTCACGAATCAGCGATCGCATGTCTTCACCTCTGTGGCGGTCTTGATCTTTGTTTTCGATATCTCTTCGAAAGATGGAGGGTCCGACATGGTCAGCTTTGCCTCGACGATCAGAGCTCTCCACGAGTTCAGTCCGCAAAGCAAGATCTTCGTACTCGTCCATAAGATGGACCTCTTGCCAGTGGACCAGAAGGCTCGAATCTTTCAGCAAAGAGCCATCCATGTCCGAGCCACATGCGAAGATGAGGGCTTTCTAGGTCAGCAGGTCGATTTCTGGGCAACGTCGATCTGGGACCAGAGTCTCTACCGGGCCTGGACGCAGGTAATCTACTTCTTGGTACCTAATGCATCAGCGATCGAGAGCATGTTGCGAAAGCTAGCCGAACTGCTTGATGCGCGGGAACTCATTCTATACGAACGGGCCACATGCCTTGTCGTAACTCATATCACTCGCGGAGGCGAGGGACAGAATCCATATACGGACCGCTTCGAGCGCATCAGCAGCATACTGAAAACGCACAAGCATTCCATGGCGAGGCATAGTGGCGTGATGGCGGCTGAAGTCACCTTCGCTGAGATGCAGATCAAGATGGGAGCATTCATGTTTTTCATCACGCGGCTGACCGAGAACACGAATCTGGCTGTGGTCATGCCGAGTGACGAATCATCTTTCAATGCTGCAAGGGTCAATGTGCAGCTGGCACGACGCGAGTTCGCCCAGCTTGATATCGTTGAGAAGAAGGGTAAGGATTCGCAAACTACAACGGGAGCAAGATCTGGACTTAGTGGTACAGATGACATGGTAGGGAATGAGGACGGTGAAGGATCGACATCAAGTCGTGTCGGTGAACCCTAACATGCGAGATCCATGGCTAGAGGTGTGAACAACAGTCGCAACTGCACAACGCGGGCGGCCGAAGAGGGACCACTTGCCTGTTGTCGACTGAATTTCCACTTGTGAACAACATCGGCCGAGAGATTTCTCTTGGGCACAACATAGGTCGATGCGAAGCACAGCACCTCGCTTGCGTGGTGAACATGCTGTGGCAGATCTGATGATCGGATACGAGGAGATCAATGTTGACCAATCATTTGCTTGGCCGAGCCTGAAGAGGTAGTCAATTTGCACAAGGCTTCATATACGCCGCTCGGCCGCATACAAGGAGGAGTGGCAACGTAGGCGATAGGCCGTGATATCCGCGCAGCGAACGATTGTAATTGGAGCGGGTAGTGGTCTGATAGGCAAAAGCGAGTCGAACGAGCCGCTTGCGCTCATATTGAGTGACTACATATACACGACTTACATGATTACCATACATTGAGTGGCTTTCATTCTAAGCGAGGTGTTGATCTTTCGTGAAGTTGCAGTCGACAGCCGGTTCTAGCATCAGTACCGACGTTGATCGGCGGCCAGCAGCAAGATCAAGAGATCACATGAACAAAACAAGAGCGATGTACAGAGGGTGGAACGAACGGATGGACCCCCTGCTAGCTGCCGTTTGCAGATCTGCCAATAAGAACGCCAGTCTGCTTTTGCTCGAGTCTGTAGTGACTCCGTGCTTTCTGCAACGGTCGACAGGGGGTCCATCCATTCGTTTCACCCTCTGTACTTATCACTCTGCAAGCTGCGAGCTTGTCATTAACCATGTGCCGGATCACATGGCCAGCCGCATCTCGATTCCTGCGCACCTGCATATTCAGCTCTCTGGTACGTGGCTGATGTAGGACCATGTCCCGGCCTCTCTATGCCGTCTTGCCAGTGTGCCGTCACGCCTCGGGTCGGAGGCCGTGACGATGGGTGGCTTGATTGGGGAGTCGAACATACAGTAGTGCCGTATGCTTAGTGCGTAAGGAGGAGTGGAATACCGTGCCGCATCTGTGAAAAGCCGTCTTCTTGTGGCGATACTCGCGCCATTGGTTGGATCAAATGCCGTATTCGCCTAACACTGTCAAATGCACGAAGATGGCCCCCACACATTGCCTGCATTTGCATAGCAATAGGATATCAGGACGACTGAGCTGACAGCGCGTGCCGAAGCCGAAGAAGGTTTGTCTCATGTCGGGTCACACTTGCTGGCCGCCTTGCCGTACGGCACGGCCTAGACTGTGCAGAGCCAAGGTACCAGGATGATACCGGCTCCCGCAATGCGTGTTCCTGCAGTGCGTCACCTAGCGACCTTCTGCCCTCACTGCTCGGCTCGATGGACCGAAGCGACGTGCACTCAGCTAACGCCAACATGCATGCTGCGTAGACAAGACTGCTCTACGCAGTTTGTTCATTCAGCTGTGGCAGACTTGTCGCCCACGTGTCATCTTCCCCATAAATACAGGCTGCTATGGACGAAGGAATACAGGCATTACACTGGGGTCGTTCAGGACGTTCATACAGAGCTCCTGGTACGCGCGAAAAAAATGCTCTTCCTCCGATGCAGTAAGTGTTGATCATGGTACTGAAACCCACGAAACATGTAAACCGAGAATTCCTGCCGTACAAAGAACACCCAAACCAGATCAGTCGACTCGCATGCTGCCAGATCGTTGAGAGCTTCTTTGGGCCTCGTCACTCAACGCATCGAAATACGAATTGTGCATCTGGTCTTCCAGCCCATAGATGCAGTCGTGATTCCTATTGTTGACAAAATCCTTCTCGAGCGGATCCTTCATTCCCCATTTCCTGCCCAGCCACGCACCCGCTTGCGTCTTGGTGGGCCGCGTCATAATGTTCTGCATGCTCAATAAGCGCTTTTGTGAGCTGCTGAACTGATTTCGTGCCGTGTTCCAGTAAGTTGCGGCCTCGCGGAGACATTCCACACCACCACCGACTGAATCAAGTGTTCTGCCGATGTGTGAATCAAAGCCGCCTGCACTGATGATATCTATAGCAGATAATATTGAATTACCCAAGTATGGAGCGGAAATGACCGAGTCCACAGGGTCGTACCCTCCGTCATGCGATGGGCGTTTCAATAGTCTTAGAGAATGCATCATGTCCAGAAGAGCGTTGGCAGCCATGTGTGCAGCCCGTATATTGCGTTCTACTCTTGTCTGCCCAAAGCACTGGAACTTGACACAGCGGTTTAGGCGCATGAATGTGAAGTGATATAATGCGTGAGCAGAGACAAAGATTGGTCCATAGCCGGCGTGAACGCTTCGCGCCAGGTTGTTCTCGGTGTACTGTAAGTACTCTGGAAGGCATGACGACCAGCTGTGTAGCCGGTTATACGTCTCGACGTAGAATGTTTCATATGCTTCGGAGAAAGCATTGGACGGTCGGTGTACCGTACGGTTGGAGAAGTTGAGCACGTCTCCCCATATCGACGAGATCAGACACAACCAAGCCATCGGTGACACGGGGCTCTGTGGTTGTAGCTGTGCTTTCTGCGGATCGATTATGCCATTGTTGAAATGCGGTGCATTGGATGCCAGTCCTCTGTCGTAGTCGCTGTCAGCGCAAGGTAACCGCACGAATATGTCCGCGGTACTGATCGTGCAAGTCGAGCCATAGGCAAAGCGATCAAGGAGAAAGCAGGACCAAAAGGTACGCCTTCGGCACTCCGCGAGCTGGTTTGGCGCCAATCCAAATTCAATACGAGCAGGATGCTGGTCTTCGCCTCGGTGCAAGCAGGCTTCCTCCGTCTGGTAGCCCAAGGTGCCACTTAAGCACGTCCTGATCGCACTCCCTGCATAGTCCCAGGCCATGCCATCGGAGCCTCGGGCGGCGTGGTAAAGCGATAGTAAAAGACGAGCATGGACAACTGCTAGATTGAAGGTGCCGATTTTCTGCGCGACTGCGCCTTTGGCAATCTCAGCACAGCATTTCCCGAATCCGGAATATTGATCACCAGCGAAGATTGAGCCTACAGCCAGGATAGAGTACAACGCCATCCTTTCCAGCTGACATTTGTCCTTTTCCGAGGCGACCCAGGTCATTAATTGCGGCTTGGAGTAGAAAGTGTACGCTGCGTTGTTAATGTGTGTGAAGTACAGGTCCAGGACGTGCATAGTCAAGGCGCTATCGACATTGTATGGATCCTCGTCCCACGTCAACATCAGATCAGACCGCTGCACCATCTTTGCCATGTTGCTCGACACCATAGCGCCATACATATCGTTATGACTGGTGGCGCCAGCGTGTGCGACTGCGTTCGGAGAGGTAGATCTCTGTTTCTTGGTAGGCACATCGGGCGGAGAGGGGTCGTCGCGAGACCTGCGCTTGGAGACAACTTCTGGGTCGAAGTCCTTACTTCGCATTGGGCTTGTATTTGATGTGCCTTTGCATACCGGCGAGCTCATACCACTGTGCCAGGAGGTTGGTGCTGGCGTGCTCTCGGGAAGACCAGACTGAATTGGGGCTCTGTGGCATCGTCAGCTATGTCTCCGCAACTTCGGGAGGGCACGTACCTGCGGCAAGGCCGTTTGGCCTTCTCGCATTGTAGACAGCTACTTGCACCTGGCTCACACTTAATCTTCTTCTCGCGACAATCGAGGCATGCCAAAGCTAAGCGTTTTCGGGGTTTGTTGGCTTTCGTCAAGCCCCAAGCCGGGTTGACTGTCTCACCTTCCACCTGTGTCGGGATTCGGAAGCCGCCTTCGTATACATGGAAGGACCCCTCGCCGACCACCTCTTTGACCCCAAGATACTTCCGCTGGGGCTCTGCGTTCGCGGCTCCGGCCGGATCGTCACCGCTGCCCTCGTAAGCCGCTAAGGCATTCCTGTAAGAGACGTCATCCGGAACGCTGGCATACGGACTATGGATGGCGTTGGCCTGGTAGGATGTCGCTGATGCTTGTCGATGGATGTCTGGGCGGGTATCGCCATAGTCACGATTTTCGGAGAATGAAGCGTACGGCGATATTGGGAGTGATTGCATGGATAGTCGAGAGACTGGGTTCGACTCAAGCACCGGAAGTTCGACTCGACGTCCGGTTGGATAGTGAGCCGGATGGTCATTTGGAGGGTGCAGGGCCAGAGGGGGATGGATACCGGACGGAGGGTAGTAGCCATCATAGCTTCGGTGGCTAGTAGTTGAGGCTGCAGAATTGACCCATGCTGTAGAGAAGCCAGAAGATCCTCCTCCGTGGGAACCGGGGGTGAGGATGTCGCGCAGTCCAGGTAGGCTGTGTCCAGCTGGTCTGTATTCTGGCACAGAAGCAGATGCGTAATGCCGATGAGACCCAGACGATTCGGATAGTGATGTCTGTAGGCTCGGTCTCGGCTCCAAAGGTCGAGGAAGTTCAATAGTGTTGCGCTGGCTGTAACCTTGAGTTGGCTGATAGTTCAAACGGCTGGTGGGACGTTCATATGGGTTTGTGTCCGTCACAGATACTGGCTGCGTGCCATTAGACAACATGGTCCGCGATTAGAGTTGAGGTCATGCGGATCGTGCACAAGTCGTCCGTCGTGACACGAGGCACCAAGCAATGTGAGTATTTGTGCCGTGTTGTGTCAAGCTGTTATTCATCGGACACCAAACGTACCACAGGCTGCGTCGCTCCGCTGGTAGTGGTTCCGGGGGTGATTCAGCTGATATCAATCCAAGGTGGCACAACAGCGCACCAGACAACCTTTACGTGGAAAGGGACACGAGTGCCGAGGATAGGCCCGGTGGCTCCCAAAGGACGAGTTGCAGTGAGAGTCAGCAGAGTTCTCTTGAGCCGCTTCAGAAAACTGTAGACAGCGGCAGTTGTGGGAACTGTCGGTAATGCAAGATTTGCTACTGAGGCGCTCAGCTTGGAAGTCGGGAAGGGCGGACTAAACTCCGAAGTTCAGGCGACGAAGGGCAACGGCAAGCTGGATTTGGGTCGCAAGAAGGTAAGGCAGGACCACAGTGCATTCAGTCATGGAGTTTGGCGAAGTCGTTGATGAAGACGACGGCGTTAAATCAGCAGCCTGCAAGATGAAGGGACAAAAGCCCTACCGAGAGGCCAACGCTCACGCCAATGGCCACTCGATCGGGTCGCCAACGAGCTTAGATCAAGCGTGCGCGGAAGACGGGCAGGCGTGTCTGCGAGCGTGCCTCTAGCCTGCTGCACTCCGCCTGCAGGATGCTTGTAGCTGCATCAATTGGCGAGCGAGAGGCTTCGGGTCTGGATAGTGAAAATCGAAGATCTAAGCACTACTATTCCGCTACCATAGTATTGGCATCTAAGCTAGCGTGCGGCACAATGATAGTAGGCGGAGTCCGATACGACATGCCACGGGTCACGGTCGGTGAAGGATTTATTGACAATGGGACGGGGCTCTGTCCGCCCAAAGCTGTGGTTGTGACGATCGAGCCGTGTATGGCAGCTGGGAAAATTGAACGGCTTAGATCGCCGGGAGGCGTGGATGAGACCCCTGCGCTCACTAGCTCGACTCTATGCTCGGTGCACGTTGCCGACAGCTAAGTATGAACCGGTTGTATGACTTTTATGTCTGTACCTTACTATCCAGATGAAGTCCAGCCGACGATCTGCAGTCATCCCATCTCCATCTAGCTGCTATCTTGGGCATTGATTGACGCCTTCACCTCCCCTCTTCCTGTCCATCCGTCCTACTCATATCTGTAGCCCCTTGGCATTCGCACGAAATCTCGTGTCTGTGCTTCCTGCGTGGACTAAAAGTTATCACCACAGATTCGTTCATCGCCCAGCATGTCAGATACACCCGAGCAGGGAGAATGTAAACAGCAAGTTTGCGCTGCTGTGCATCTCGGTAGTCTCACTCCAAGGTGATCTGCCACCTGAACGCAGATGTTTCGCTTGTTTCACAGTATCGATGGTCACCGTAGCTCAGATGCACAGCTCCGAACAGATTTACTCCCTCTTCCTAGCACGTCGAGGAAAGGCTTCGCATCACGTAGATTGCAATCTCGTGTACCGTAGAAAGATGAGCAGCCGTAGCTGACGTTAGAGACATGCGCATGAGTAAGCGGCTTGGTTATTGAAACTGAAAACATCGCTAATGCTTTCTACCGGCATACTACGGGCTACATGCATCTCGCCAGGAAGCATATCTGATGACCCGAGTTCATGACGCTAGTATATATTGTCAGCTTCCAGTAGGAAAGTGCATACCAATGGCCTTGGCGCGATCGACCCTTCGCTCGAAACAAAGTGACGCTTGCTGTGGGGTGCATTCTCAGGGAAAGGCTGGTTGTTTGTTGGTCAGTCTCGCGCACGCCGGCCGACCAACCAGGTGTGGCATCGATCCGGCACGATGGCGCAAGACCGGCGTGGGTAGAGGCTAGGGCGCAAACGCCGGCAGCGTCATTCATGCAGGTTTGAAGCCTATAGCCGACACCTCTGCATGGGCAGAAGTGCGCCTGGGTACAGTACATGTGTGAGGACTTACATGGATGACACTATCCTCGCATCGACTCCCATTCTGCTCCAACACGCTGTAGGTCGTTCGCGGTGGCCATACGCCTGGTACATAGCCATGACATGGACATGGACGGCCTGCGCTGGCTGTTGCTCTACGCCAAACGGTCAATAGCTTTGGCCGCACCGGCCTCTCCGCAACGGCATAGCGATCCACGAGCCGAACGGACAAACCTTTTCTAGTTCAAAAGCAACTACCTGACTTACATACCCTGCTGTTTGTGCAGGATTCTGCGGAGCAATACCGACCTACTGGTGGAGTGCGAGATAGCCACCTTGGGACCACGTTCCTAACGACTGGCACAGTCACCTTTCCTTATCCGGCGTGACTTCGTGTTATGCAAAGCGGAGTGGAAACGACTGGACTACAGCATTGTGCTAGTTGCCGGCCAAACGACCCATCTTCCGGGGGTCGTTATTTCTTCGCACATGTCTCGGCAAATTCAGTAGGACAGCCCATGGCCGCGACGGCCGCGGCAAGTCCTTGCTAGTCCTTCGGGGCCCTGAGACATATGTTCCACTAGCCGGGACTTGGCTCGCGTGTCAAGGCATACACAGCAGACGGTCCTCGGGTTCAGTAGGTTGTCTCACATAAGCTACCATGCTAGAAGTAACGAATGTTGGCAAGCGAGCTCATACCTGCCACGACCCGGAGATCCATCGAATGGACTCCGACATCGTGCTTGCAGACCTTTGCCCAAGGCCTAGATTCGATCGAGCTACTACCCTTTTCCGTAATGGACGCCTGATGCTTGGCCTCACCTCCGCGCAGGACTCGGCCGTGAATAATCGCTGACCACGTGCTGGATCCTGACCGTACAATAATCCGACCAGTTGGAGGCTGCCACATCCAATCTACGTGGCACTGATCGGGCTGTCAAAGCACCGACGATCACCCGTGGCGGCAGCGACACCTAAGGAGATCCCCTCTCGCGGTGCAGCGCTGTAGTTACTGGCACTATCTTGTTCCTAGGTATGGCCGCGGGGGTTGAAATTCGACTATGTGCGCGACTTCATAGGTATACTCTGAAGATATGTCGGCAGAATGTCGAGTGGAGAGCCTAGTGACGACTTCTACCTTTCGCAGCTCATAAGACATCGTCGTTTTCGATACAACATCCTAACACTCTAAAAGGAGGGCTCGTAGGAAATGCAACTCCCTCGTCGAGTAGAGAAGGGGTACAGGTGCAGTCAAGCAACGCACTCCGAGCATTTGCTACGATTTGAGGAACATTGACGGCACTGTTGGACTCCCTGTCCTCGTTGCGATGCCCTTGGCTGCACGCTGTATATACGAGTAAAAGGAAAGCTGCCCCCAATGCTCGTATACACACGAGCGCAACTGTCGTAAATGTAGAATGGCCTTGTCGCAGGAGCCATCTATCGTCGATCTCTCATCCGCATCGTTTTTCCTAACGATCGAGAGTTTGTGAGACGACAGGCTGCTAAAGGACTCGGAGTCGAGCACATGTCACAGCCATTACGCAGACTCCGAGTACTGAAAGATGTGAGAGTGGTGCCTCCGAAGATGAGATCGCACTGCTGATACATCGTATACCGCTTTCTCCCGTGTGGCGGCAGTAGGCCGAACTTAGATATATAAAGCACCCATCAAATCGGCGAAGACCAGCAATCTACCGGAAGCCTGTTCAAAGGAAGTATGGGAGCGCTGTTTTCCTAGGCTACAGTAATGGATCAACCTAGGCTATTTCAGCCGAGCGGGCGGCGTGTAGCCTTTGTTATATATTTGCGCTTTATACCTCCACCATCGACTAACAGGTTACTTGAGCTAGCTGCGGACACATCATAACCTCCCGCGCGACTAACAAGATTGCGTCGCTACCAGGCGGGTTCTGACGTGATGAAATCTTGTGATCAGGCTTATGCTGAATACCTCGATCTGGTCATCGTGCACAGACTGCGGCTTCTGCTGGTCTCGGGCCCGCCTCCGATGCGGAAAAAAGAATACACCGTATTTGACAACCGATCGTGATGCAGTCTCGAGCTTCGCATATGCCAAACGACCAGCGGCCATTGATTTTCAGACGGACTCTTGTTCCCGAGGTCGATGAACAGAGAGGCACGGGAAAGTTCTCTTTCAGTTCTCAAGTTTACGCAGATCTTGATGGTGCTCCACGCCCGTTGTGCGAATCTTCGAGTGTCCATGCATCGTCCAAAGCCATATTGGTGTGCGGCGCGGAGCAGAGTGCTCCTGGTTGGGACTCATTGAGTCATGCACGTTTAGTGGAACGAACATATGAAAGAGCAGGAGCTTGCAGAAGATGTCTAGGTGGCCTCGACATAGTGGCAGACACAGACACCGATGGCTGCTCGCCTCCCTCCGCCCGTACATCGTTCTTGCTGTCAAAAACAAGTGATTTCGAGCTGGGCATTCGCCGGGTCTGCTAAGGTCTTGCTCAGCGGCTAGTACACGCCTTCTGCCTTATGGAGAAGAGCTGGAGCATTGCTGTACAGCACGATTCACACCGTCCTTCCAATGTCTCCGTGCAGTCGAAGAGATTTTCCACTCCTCAGCTGCTCGCAGCCATTGCGCTCAAATACTCGCATTGGCGTCACATTCAGACGCGTCTTCTTGATGCCTATTCGCGTACTGATTTGTGCTTCTGATCTTTTCTGAGACGTTTGCTGGATTACCAGCATTGAAAAGTTCATGGAACATACGAGTGAAGCTCATGGCAACTCTACTGAGCAGGCACATCTGGAGGGCGAGCATCGCGTCATGGTGTTTGCAGTGGGTAGACCTGTCTATGCGCCAGTAGATCTCGGCAAGCTAGATCTTCGCATATTGGACTCTGGTGGCGCGAATGTTGCGTAGTCTTCGGAAAGATATTGTCACGGGCTGACCTTCACTGACAGAGCGATGGCTTCGAGACGTTTAGATGTTGTGCCCTCCGGATGCCCAATTCACCTGCATAGACGTGGTACCGTCGGACTTCCCAGCTGGCCCGCCAAGGGGCATGATGTTCCAGGTGTAAGACATCAACCACGAACGGCCGCCGGATATGCATGGGACTTTTGATCTTGTCCACGGACGATTCGTGATGCTTGGCGCCGCGCGACAAAGTCCAGAGCCCGTCGTCCTATGCCTTGCGCAGTTACTGGTTGCTCGCCTTGTTCCATTCCATAAAGGCTGCGATCGACCTGGGCGAAGACTTCGGTAAAAACCATCAGGGGATGGCTGTAGGAGGCTGGACTCAAGCGTGTGAGAGACTGTCATACGTCCAGCTCATGGTCATATCATCGGCGATAAGAAACTGCTACGAGAGAGCATCGAGAGTCCGTGTAGCGCGATCGCGCTTATGCTGCAAGCGCTAAAGAGTGGGTTCACAATGGTCGTACTCTCCTCTTGGGTTTTGCTGACAAGCTGCTAGCCCTGCCGCACCCATTCGATGTGCAGAAGCTTGACACGCTCGACATTAGACTGCGATGTGCTCTGCGGGACAAGCGTGGTTATACTAGATTTCGTGTCGTTTGGGGCCAGAAGTAGAGAGATATTCACAAGTGACTTCAGGATCTGTCAGCTGTAAACAATGCAGTGCCAGCTGGGTGTAGAGACCTTACGGTTTGATTTACTTTTTGTTATCTGCTGTCTATCGTGTCATGTGTCAGATCTCAGTAGACGTTGTAAGCTCAATGTCGCTTCGCTAGAAGACCTTGTATTCCATGGCCGCATCGAGTCAAGGAGAGTGTCTTTATCTTCCCGATGGTGCAGTGGGCTAAATGTTGTCACCAGTGCCGTAATGCCACCAACAGATACGGTTCTACCCATGCTGCCGATCCTGATGATCCGTGTTGGAGCCTGATCAATGGCCGGACGCTTTGCACGTCTGAAGCTGAACATGGCACGCCTCCTTGTACTTCTACCACCACTAGCTTCGCTACCACTAGAGCTGGCCTCAGGTACACTCGTCAAAGCTCTCTTCATACCTGTTGGTCGTGATGTATGCGCTCTTCCAGTTCCCGTACCTACAGCCGTGATCTCGCCGACAGGTGGCATATGGGAGCCATACTCCTCAGCCAAGCTCATTCGGTTCTTGGCGCATATGTCCGCGATCCCGTCGATAGCTTGCTGGAACTCGGCGTCATCTGCATCCCGTAGTATGCTTGCAAAAGCATAAGAAGATATGGGAGGTAATGCTTGTATGGGCGTCGCTGGAGCGCTCCAGGCGCGGCCACTAATTGATTGACCCGTCGTGTCAGTGTATGCCCGTACTAGGACGGGACCAGCCATCGCCTGTACGCAGGACTTTATGATAGTGTGAGGTGCCGGTCACTGCATGAGAGCTGTTTCGTGAGTCGTGCGTGACACCAGAGCAGCTGTTCCGTTCGGGACGTGCCGAGCCTAGTGGTATCAAAATATTGTTCTTGCATTAAGTCTGTCGCATTTCCGTCTTCAGCACGAACCACGAAACAGAACGGTCTACCGTCACATCACTATGACAGAACAAAGTGCAGCAAAGGAAGGAATCGCTCCTACTGACCAGCCTATCGGCAGCAAAGTGGTCGAGCAGGTATGTGAGGAGGAATTTGAGAGCAGCATGTTCTCCAATCAGGTCGACCTTTCCTGTCGCCACGTTGTGTTGTGCTCAGGCAGAGTACTGGCGCATTCGTTCCACTTGCTAAGTCTGAAATTATGTCGACCTTCGTAGCGTGCTAACAGCATTGCTGGTACAGGTCAGTGAAGCAAAGAGTCCCGCAACGAGAGTAAGTGTGCTTTTATGTGGTTGCAGAATATTGCTGGACCCGTTCAATCACTTGGCTCTTGTCAGGGTCGGGCACAATATCTTCTACAAAACTTTGAAAGTCATGGAAAGTTGAAAAGAACCGATCGCATGTGCCTGCTGTACAGAATTTCTTTTTCTGCTCTCTGTCGTGATACATGCTACCACGAGTATCTCTTCCATCGCACTGACCACAGTCCAGTCCGAAGGAAAGTCCGAAGAAATATCAGGGGATGACGCGACATCGCCCAAGGACGAATCGGTGAGGCTGCCACAGCTGAGGAAAACAGTACGACCTGTCACTTTGTACTAATCTGATGGGGCTGCAGAAAGAAGATGGTGAACTCGACCAGGACGAAGTGAGTGGGGACCCGAGCCATCAGGAGACATCTATACAGGACTCTTCATTCCGCAATATGAACATGTGACTTCGAGTCTCGTGTTTGCCTCAATACCATGCTGACAGACTTGCCTGTAGGACGACGAGGAAGATTCGCAAAATGAGACAGCGCGACAGCAAGCCGACTTCAAATGGTGCAAGATCTTCTACGAGCCCACAGACCCTACGATGCAGAACTACTACTACATGCATTTTGACACCCGAGAAACCGGGTACGAGGAGCCGACTGAACCATACTGGATCTGGGATGCCTTGACCAACAACGTCCACGCTTCCGGCCTACAACAGCCGTCCATGACCGCAACATCTGGGCCAACGTCGGCTACACCAGCAGCACGGCCCAGTGAGCCTGTGCAAGAATACCAAGGCTACAACCCCGCCATCCACGGCAGCTACGACCCCAACGCCCCGTACGCCCAATTCCACAACTCCAAACGCGCCGAAGAAGACGGCGTCCAAACCAGCACTTCCCTCGCCACTGCTCAGACCGGGACGGATTACACGGCAGTCGGAACTTTCAACCGCTTCACCGGGGGATTCCAGTCTGCAGACAAGTCCGCAGAACGTCACGACGATTACAACAAGAGTGGCAGGCAGATGAACGCTTTCTTCGATGTCGATGCGGCGGCTAATAGCCACGAGGGGAGGTCGTTGAAGGAGGAAAGGAGGCAGAATAAGTTGAGCCAGAAGGAGATTAGGGAGTTGAGTAAGAAGAGGCGAGAGAAGAAGGAGAAGAAGAGGTTGGACTTCTATAAGAGCTGATGAGCTGGTGTTATTGTGGCTTGAGGCACTGAGCAGCGCACGAGCTCGATGGGGTTTTATACTGGACCATGCAAGGTCGATATTGGCCATCTCTGCCTTCGTAGTCACATAGCACCAGCGCATATGCTTGTGGTCTACCAATGTCTTACGTAGCAACGAGCATGGCTTGTCATTGATGTTGAGCGACGTAGACCAGTCGTACATTGAGATCCCAAAAGGAATATTCCAAGCTAGAGCCACAGCAATGACAAAGTCCATGTACTCATCGTCATTGTGGGTGCACCGACATACCTCTGGAGCGACTAGTCGATGGAAACATGATATTCTGCAGGCCGGAGCTTCTCGAGCATCAAGCAACGTCAACATCAATGGTTGGCCCCATTGATCTGAATCCTGGTGATTGTAGCTACTCATATTTCTGTTGCTTGGCTACTGATAGTGCAAGGCGATCGAGCTCGTCGCCAACCAGCTGGGCCGTGCCACCTGGCGCAGCATCGAGCAGTTGCAGTTCTGCTTTGATGTTGAGCATAAGCATAACGCGCAATGCTGCGGATACCTCCTCGTCGTCCTTATGTGCAAGACTTCCGTCTCCCTGCATAACACCTCGCTCCAGCATTTTCTTCGCCTTCGATCTATCCCTCATGCTTAGTATCAGTAAGCCTTGGCTTGCATGTGCGTCAGCGGTCGCGAAGGTCATGTGCTCATCGCGCAGACCCAGCCACTGAAGCTGCGGGACTTTAAGCTCCGCACTCTCATGCGCAAGTGCAATCGAGCCGTGCTTATAGACCGACATGATGGCAAGCCCGTCTGGATCGTGATCGACGAGAGCGAAGCAAGGTGGTGAAGCGAAGCCATTCTGTGGCGATGGTGTACAGAAGCAACGCAGTAGTGCACGAGTGGCGACATCGGGATATCCTTTACCAGTGATTAAGACGCCTTCGAATGACAACCTGTCCCAGAAGCTCGAGGCTGCGAGGGAGCGAAAGCTAGCTTCCTTTTCAATTACGATCACCCATTTGGCGGAGGTCAAGTCGACTGACAGGATATCTTTAAGGCTCGGCACGAGCAGACCTTCTCTGTCCCCAGAAGCGGTGACAGTAGAACCATCTCGGCGGCAAAAAGAGACTGCTCCTGCTACAAGGCCTTTCACCATGGCCGTGACGTTGAGTGCCGATCGTGGTACACCGAAGGTGAAAGCAATGTCGTCAACATAGCGGTCAACATGTCGTTGGTTTCCGAAAAGTGCTGGGTCGCGATAGTAGATGTCACTGAGAGGAGAGTGAGCTAAAGCATGCTTTCGCTACATCGCTTTCCAGTCCTACCGTTTCGAGATCGTGAAGCCTGTGCATAGAGCACCGTGTATCAGCTCGAGGATGCGGATGACGATGGCTGAGACCGGTCAGCAGAAAGTGACGAGCCATCACTTGAGAAAGAGCTTACTGAAGCGCCACGCCTCGTCTTCCGTCCGGCCTGGGAAAGATAGCCGCTTTGACCGGATTCTCGTATCCGAAGAGTCAGCAGTCAGTACAGCTTGCGACTGAAGGGGTTGTCTAGATCTCATGTTGAGTGAGATCCCAATCTCTGCTTCCCCATCATCGAGATCGGTTGAGATCTGTCTGAAGATTGCTTCGATCCGCTCGCGGGGTGAGCCTTGTGGATGGGAGAATGAGCTTGCTTTCTGTTTCTTGCTTAACCTGGCTTTCTTGGGATGTAGCTTGTCGTGTTGGATTTGTCGCGTGGTTGGCAGCAGTGCTCCAGAAGCAGCTTGCGGCAGTCCCACGGCTGAGAGCCCAAGGTAATCCGCCACATCGAGCTCATCGAAAGAGTCGACACCAGGCGTATCCGCATGAGTCTCCAACAAAAGCTCATCCTCACTCATGCAGAAAGGTTCATCGGCCGAGCTTTGAAGAGTTTCCTGTGATGAAAAATCAAGAATATCATCACTCGCGAGGAGATGGTCAAGGCCATCATCGTCAATATTCATCATGCGAGACCTCGCATAAGCAATGGAAAGATGTGGTGTTGGACGTAAGCAGAGTAAAGGACGGCATGAAGTCAAGTGTCAAGCCGCGTATGCAACGCGTGAAAGCGCACGGGCCATCCGCTCAACGCGTCCGCCTTTCGCTCTTGCTTCACGAACGAGCGCCGTTTCGGCCTGGTCACGATTTGTGTTTGGACTTTACTGGTGACAACGCCTGTACTGCTCTGCAGATACGTAGTGTATGGAAGCTAGATTGATACAACATCAACATGGAGGACATCGACTCGTCGCCACTGTCGCCCCACCCGAGGAAACGCGCAGCTACCGACGAGGATAAGCCACTGAACTTGAAGGGCACACAGTTCGTAATGCCCACACCGCCGGACACAGAGGAGTCGAGTAACGCAAGTCCGAACACGAACGACAAGCCAAGGGAAGCTTCTCCAGCGCCCAGCATATCTACCATGACGAGCATTGAGGTTGAGGTTGTGGGCAGTGATCAAGCCAATGCAGGTGGCTCGGCGGCTACACAGCCTCCACCAGCGAAGCGGCGAAAGCTGACTCCTGCAGAAAAGGAGGCAGAGGCTAAGGCCAAGGCGGAAAGGAAGCAGGAGCGAGAGGAGCAGAAGGCACTTAAAGACGAAGACAGACGCCAAAAGGACGAGGAGAAGCGGCGTAAGGCTGAAGCACGAGAAGCCAAGAAGCGTGAGAAAGATTTGGAGGAGCAACGGAAGGAGGAAGCGAAATTGAAGAAGGATCGAAGTCAATTGAGGCTTGCTTCATTCTTTGGTGGAAAGCCAAGCACTCCAGCCAAGGCTGGCGTGTCCGATGAGGGTACCGAGAGTGGCAGTGGCTCTGCTAGGCGCAAGTCTCTATCACTTGAACCCTTCGATGCCGTGGCAGCTCAAATCCGCAGATCTGCATCGCCAGTCAAAGGTCTACAACCAACAGCATCCAAAGCTGCCACGCCCACACCCACACCGGCGAAAGCAAAGCCATCTGTCTCAGACTACGACAAGTACTTCTTGCCTTATCAACTGCCAAATCACAGCACTCTGGCTGCCACTTATGACATTCCGAATCCAGATGATCTGGCCTATTGGCAGGGCGAGTTCGATCGCGAGATAAAGGATCCCACATTCAGGGAGAAGGTCGACCTTGGCCTCATTGAGGCTACAGCAGTAATTGACCATCTGTTCGATCGAGACAGCAAGCGCAAACGAGGTCTGCCTCTTCTGGGCATGCGTGCCGTCGTAGATAGGGTTCAAGGGACGTCTCAACGGCCAATCGATCTTACAGAAGAGACTCTGTCGAACCAGCAACCAACAGACCTTCTCCAGACGGTCACTAGGCGTCATCTACAGTTCCACGAGGATGTTCGACCAGCATACTTCGGAACCTACACAAAGGGGCTGTCGCCACGCTCGACACGTCGGCTGATGGTGCAACCTTTTGCTCCTCTACGAAAGGATACCGACTACGACTACGACTCCGAAGCAGAATGGGAGGAGCCAGAGGAAGGTGAAGATATCCTTGGGGACGAGGATGACGAGGCGGAGTCCTTGGGTGACGCTGACGAGATGGACGGCTTCCTTGACGACGAGGGAGACACGAGCAAGCGGAAGCTCATCACTGGCGATCTACTGCCTACTTGTTCCGGACTCTGTTGGGAAAATCATTCCAATGTCATCGTACGCAGCATCGAGAGCGAGGACAGTGAGCTCGCGACTACAGAAGGGACACCCTTAGGAATGAAGGGCATGCGCCTCGGCGTACTCCTACCGCACTTCACTGGTGGCTCCATCGATCCCTTCTCGAGCGTATACTGGGCTCACGACATGGCACCACCTGGCGTTCCGCTCGCAGTCACAGCACCCTCTCGACCACCCTTGCAAGAGCGGAATAGTAACGGCTCACCCCTCTCGCAAGCAACACTTCTGGGCGCCACACAAGCAGGCGCGGACGGCGGCATCACAATCGGTGCAGCAGCCACGCCCGGAGCCAAGCGTGGCCCGAAAGCTCAGCCGAGAACGTTGAGTAAGGAGGACTTTGACGAGTTCAAGCAGGCCATCGTTGGCAATACGGTGCCGAAGGCTGAATTGCAGAAGGCTCTGAAAGCTAGGTGAGTAGATTCGTGTTGGTTGGACGGACGACTCACAGAACCCGTACTAACGTGATGGTAGTTTTTCGAAACTCACTATGGAAGCCATCAGAGACAACCTGAGCACCCACTTCTCCTTCATGGGCCCCAAGGGCAGCAAGAAATGGTACTTTGTTGAAGCTACCGCGGTCGACCCAACAGCTGCTTGAGGATGCTCGATCCAGTATCAAAGCCTGGCGTCCCACATTTCTCCTTGGAGCATGAAGCATGATGTGCATGATCGATATGCTACAGTTTCACGTGCAGAGTGATGAGGCTCTGGTACATGAAGAGCGATTTGCAGAACATGTATGAATAGTAAGCATATGCGAATGACTGACGGTACTAAAAGGTGTAGCGCAAGAAATGTACCAAGCATACATACGCAGCTGCATCGCATAGCTAGAAGAAACAATCTTGTGTTCACGCTTCATGACCATCCTGTCTCTCCTACCCATCTACCCAATCTGATTCGTCTGCGATCCTAAATCAGTATAACCTCAAAAAGATCCGTATCTCCTGCGCAGAAGTCATAACCGCAACACAATCGAACCCTTACTCCAGCATATCCCTCTGCGCCTTCTTCCTCCTTTCCCGATCCCTCGCCTCCTTGGCAAAAAACGCACTCTTCGGCTTCGCCAATTCTTTATTACTCCGACTCCCCCTCTGATACTCCAAATACGCCATATCCTCTCCACCCGCCAGACTCGCCAATGTGCCCGCCTGCCTCTTGACCCCCGCCCCCTTCCTACCCCCAGTCCCCGCCTTCCGGAACGTCGCGCGATCCGAGAACAGATCATCGACGATTTTCTCCTCGTCTCCCGCCGTTTCGCTCTGCAGAAGGACGTCGGTGAGGAGGGTCATGCGTTCGTCTTGTTGGGCGAAGCGGAGGTCGGGCATACTGTCTATCCCGTTCAGGTGGGTGATGACTTTGAAAGCGTAGCCCTGATCTACCAGGAACGCTTGGCGTTTGCTGGAATAGTACATTTCCATCGTGTCCTTGCTGACAAGACTGTAGAAGAAGGCGTTGAAGCCTTCGTCGTTCCGGCGTTTGGCTCGCAGGATTCGGCCGAGTCGTTGCGCTTCCTGGCGGCGGGAACCGTAGTGTGAGGAGATTTGAATAAGACAAGTAGCTTCCGGGAGATCGAGAGAAGTGTCGCCGATTTTGGAGAGGAAGATGGTGCTGACGGCGTCGTTGAACTGGAAGTTTTGGAGAACGAGATCTCGCTCGCGTTGGCCTGTGTCGCCGAAAATGTAGGGTTTCTTGAGGCCCTCCGCGTATTGTTTCAGGGCGTAGACGTTATCGGAGAAGACGATGATTTTGTCACCTCTCCGCTCGTGAAAGTCGATCAAGAATTGACAGGCCTGGAACTTCCGAGGGTTCATGATGGAAAGCAGACTCCGTTTGTTAGTCGTCCCGGCGCGGATATATTCGGTGTGGAACTCCATTGTCATCGGACACCAGACTTCCGCGCATTGCACACGAGCAATATGCCCCTCCTCGCTGAGCTGGAGCCAATTGGCTTCGTAGAGTTTGGGTCCGATGAGGAAGTTGAGGTCTTTGATCTTGTCATCTTCTCTCAACAGTGTAGCGGTGAGACCGAGTTTGGAGTGGGTCTTGATACGCTCTGTCACCCGTCGGAACATTTCAGCCGGAACAACGTGGACTTCATCCAGAACCATGAGGCCCCATTCTCGTCCAGTGATCTGGTCCATGGTTTGTTGGCTGTCATAGGCGCGGCGGGTGTTCTGGGTTACCATGCTGTACGTGCAGACGATGATGCAGGCGCGATTCGGCACGCGACCCTTCTCGCTCGATGTGAAGATGATCACATCGTCTGGATTAATGTTAGACCATTTGATGAACTCGGCTCGCCATTGGCCGGCGCTGGTGGCGGATGTGCAGAGGACAATCACGCTCTTCTTCTCTGTACAAGCAGCTGTAATGCCGACAAGGGTTTTGCCGGCACCGCATGGTAGCACGATGATGCCAGATCGTGCACGACCGTTACCGAACATCTTGCTGAGGGCATGTTCCTGGTAGTATCGAATTTGCGTTGCTGGTTTGAGATCAATGTCCAGAGTGGCGTTCTGCTCGTCCGCCCGGAAATCATACTCTTCTGTCAAGGGCAGCTCGAGCTGGACGTTACAATGCTCTTGCACCGTCTGAATCTTGCCTCCATCAATCTCGAAAGAGTGGACCTGGTCGACCTCGTCGTCGTCATCATCCTCTTCTCGCAAGAACTCAGTCATGTCCTTCTCCGCCTCTCGCCCACCAAACTCATCATCAGACTCCGAGTCCGAGTTGTCATGTCGCTGCCGTTTCTGCTGTTGCTGCTGCTCCAGACGTGCTTGGGCCTCTTTATTTCCCTGCGCTTCTTTCGTGCCGGGAATGACCAAGCTCCCCATCTTTGTCGCCTTCTCGGTCAGCAGCTCAGCCGTTTCCTCCACTCGACATCCTGCTATGACCGGGTCGCGAAGTAGCATCTGCAATACAGAAGCATCGTTGCTCTCCACGAAGTATCGATTATGCTTGAGCACTAACCGCACCTTACCAAACGACCTGGTGACCTTGTGCACATATTCGATGATACTTTCCGGCAGTCTCGTCTTCGAGAAGAGTTCCAACTGCCTCACAATATCCTGCTCCGTCAGACCTACCGATACAGCGGCGAAGAGACTATGCGCGGTGATGGTATACTCATGCATATTATTCGTCCGACTCTGCGGCTCGGCGATATTGATGAGGAAGTTTTGTGCTTGTTTGAAACTCGGCGAGAAGGTCTCCAGTACCACCCTTCCCTTGATATGATCAAGCCATAGCGGCCGCAAGCGATGATCAGGTTTGAGCTGGAGGTCGGAGAAGTCACGATCGGCACGGAAGAGGCTGTCGGCGACATCGTGGACTGCCTTGGTGTTCTTCTTGACATAGGCGGAGGGAGTGTATTTGTCTACGACTTCTATATAGCACACGTTTTAGAGTCAGCATGCCGCGCGGAGGAAAGCTAGACAGGTGCAGTTGCGGGAGATGCTACTGACTGTCGAACTTCCGGGGCGCGGCGCTGTTGGGGCCGATAGAAAGATCTTCATCGGTATCCACGCTATCGCTATCGTAGTCGTCGTCGCTGTCGATGCTTACAGGTGTACTGACGCCTGATGCCACTCGTTTTGATGGTCGGCCACTCGCACCTGCCGCCTTTCGCTTTGATGCCATCGCACCTGTCTACAGTACCGTCTTTCACGGATCTCCCTTTCCGTTGCAGACGTGAGATGGATAGTGACCACCTCACTATCTGTGGTAATGGTGAGCGGACGAAAAGAAGACTGTGATGAGGACTGTGTAAGTACTTGGAGGCGCAGCGGATCGATGAGTCAATCTACAGTCAGCAGCTCGGCTCAATCGCGGCATGTGCTCGGCTTAGCTCAGGATAAGAATGATGAGGCAACTCTCACAATACAATCAACGCAACGGTAATCTTTGTACAATATTCCTGTGACCAGATAGTTTCCGTCCGAGCAGACATCAGGAGTGACAGGTGACCGGCTTGCCCATATCTCGCTGTTCTCCCCGACAAGACACGGGCGAAAACGGACATATGCGGATGGCCAAAGCTCTCCTCCGAATGATACATGTATAGACGAGTTGATCATCAATTATATTCTGTACTTACTTGCTGTTGATTTGTACATTAGCTTACGCCCCTGAGCCCTGTAACGATATATCACTTAAGCCGGAGTTACCTCGAACTATGAACACAATCAGATCCGTAGGCTACGGCTGGGGCGTTCTCATCGTCGCCGGCGGCGGTAGCTATTACTTCGCCAAACGCAGCATCAACGCCGACCGCGAAGAGCGAGCAGCAGCAGAGGAAAAGCGAAGACAGCAGAGAGATCGGATGCGAGTGCAAGAAATGATGCGGCAACGGGATGCGGCTGCTGGTACTGGGGCTGGGTCGAGTAGTATCAGAAGAAAGGAACCAACGGTTGAAGGTGATAATCCGGACCCAAGTCAGCAGGCCGACGCTGATCCGGCGCCTGTTACGCATGAGCAGATTGAGATGGCGAAGAGGGGAAAGTATGAGGCTTTGGAGCCTTATAGGTCGAGGAAGGGGGATAGGTTCAGCTGAGATCTTATGAGAAAGAAGCAGGAGAAACAGGACTGCTGGAAAGGATCAAGGCTAGTCTGAGGTATCCTGGAAATTGGTGAAGCTGGGATGCAGCTTAATGCCATCAGCCGCCTTGGCCGGCAAGAGACTGCTCAGTCGCAACCAAAACGAACGCACATTCAGTACCACCAACGCCATGCATGTACCCAAGGACCCCAAACAAACGCTGTCCAAATCCGATAAACATGGTCGACGAGACCATCACCCCCGCAGCGCACCAGCATAGTCATCAAGCGGCGAACAGCGCAGACAATCTCTAAAACTCAATGGTCGCCTAGATTGGATATCAGAATCATTCTTGCGACTCGTAAGAACCACTGGCCCGAGATTGCAAGACACTCACATCTTAGCATACCGCTTATCGGACCTAGCCCTCGAGCTGACTAACGCCGCTCCGGCGAAAGGTGCACTGAAAGCTACGCAGCAGTAGCCCATGACGGTTGCGGCGGCCAGCTTATCGTGTCGTGAAGGGCCGGAGCGTTGTGAGTAGAGGCGGAAAGCTTGGAGGAGGAGACGTTGAGTTGGGAGAGTCATTGCGAGGGATTTGATGTCGTGGTTGATGTTGATATTGAGTCGATAGAACGATAGACTCTGGATTTCGATCACGTGGACTTCCAGTTGTTGTTACTGTGTTTCAATGGTTGGCAATGTTTGCAGTATGGCTTTGTAATGCTGCGGATTTGTTCGTCTAATGCGTCGGCTGCAAGCACGCCTTTGCGTCTTGATATGGCGATGTGTGGAGCAGGACTGAGACGTGAAGGTGAGCAACGTCTCTCAAGCAACAGATATGAGCCTGATCTCTCCAAAGTACGTGATATATCAAATATAACAGATCTACTCAATCTATGTAGGTGGGCGGCGTTCAGTGTATACATAGTGCTGCCATTACTGCTGTACTTTGTACCAAACCACTGGAAGTATCGGATGCCCACCAAACCCGGGCCTTCTTTCCGCGTTCACATGCGCGTCAAGATTCATCCTTTCTGCAGGACGTCGGCATCTTTCCGGATGAGCATGAGAGGGAGCTTGGCGGACGGCATTGTTTCCGTCGTGCTTTTCGTGTTCGGAATCAAGCCGACCAGGTGAGGTTCGAGGGGTTTGTGGTTCGGTTCGGCATCTCCATGTGCAGTATGTACCCACATTATTCCATGTGTAGCTCGCCGATTGAACGAGCTGCGAGCCAGGCGCTAATCTTTGCTCTTTGCAACACAGCTTAACTGCATTCTCCTAAAACAACTACATGATCCAAGACTGTTCCAGACCTGGTCGCTACAGCCGCTCGACATGCTGGTCATGGAGATCATGTGTATACCAATAGACATATTCCGTGTCCCACCGTCCTGAGATCTCCGCCCCCAGCTCGTTGACAGTAGTCATTGCCACCAGACACAGCTGAACAACTCATGCTCACAGCTAATTACTGCCTTGCACAATGATAGCTTGCAAACCTAGAGCCACCTGTGCGCGCGACAAAGAGTTACATAGCGAAGCTCCGCTCCCGTCTTGCAACAGCTGCTCACCAATGTCTATTCGATACAGACCTCCCAGGCAAATTTCATCCAGTTGCAAGTTCCCTAGAGTCCACTCTAGTAATGTTGTCCAAGTTCTCCGATTCTGGGATCTCAGACCTTGTCAATGAATCGTATGGGTACCGTAGTGTGCACTGTTGGCGGAGCCAGAGATATGACTACCCAGAACTTTTAAGCGACGTAAGGCTTGACCCTTAGGATCCTGGAAGAGATGCGACAACATTCCTATGCGCTCGTAGGCCTTGTCTTGACGTACTCGTTTGTCCCTGCCGGTGCATGAACAGAGCGGCGGATGATCCAACCCAAGCCTAGCATATAATGTGCTTTTAGTGGTGATGTATATGTAGCTACCGAGACTGTATCTGTAGGTTAAGGCTTTCTGATTTTAGCTTGCGAGTGTAGAGTACCTGGATTTCCGCTCGTGCAAGCACGGCAGCTTTTTATTGCTGGCTGATGGATGCTCGGAAGGCTCGTGTACAGTCGGCTTGAGAGCTGCAAGGAGTTTTGGTTCTCAAAGAGACGTGTAACATGCCGACGTGACTCGAAATCCGACCATCACCGCTGTGTCATGCTAGAAAAGGACTTGGCCAAGGCAATGTGCTGCACACCCACCGACTTCCAAAATACTACACAAGGCGTTTGATATGTAGCACGGCGAAGAATGCAGCCACAGCGGTACTCGATCATCCAATGCCACGTCTTGATTGAAATCGTGCTTGCATTGCTCCTATTCAAATTGTTGATGCTAAACACTGTGGTTACGCGACTCAACATGATTATTGATGGCCCGTGTCCACAACCCAGTCGCTGTCTCCGTAGAGTCCGTACTAAGGGCCATCATCACCCCCGGAGTTTGGATGGATGGTCAGGCAGTGCGTGTCTATACTAGATCGTACACCGTCTCCTCATTCTCTATCAGCCAGTCCTTGACGCCTGCAACATCGCGCCAAGCCGCAGCCTGTCTGTGAGTGCGTCCTTTCAGCAGCCTCGATCTATCGCTCCGGTACAATCCTGACACCAGCACTCGATCGATACTCAACACGAACGCTAAGAACTTCAGCACCGGGGTCCAGCAATTGTCGGTCGGGATCGTGGCGAGTGCGATTGCCAGAGATCGCAGCGTAGCTCTTGAGCGCGCGAGACCGTCGATGAAGGAGAGTGCCGTACCCGAGATGTTGAACAGGCCGAGCGATTTTAGCTTGGTGGTTTGGATCATGCTCATGAGAGCTTGCATCTCACGGCACTCACTCCCATTGACAGCACACGCGCCTTTGGCACTCAACTTCTCTAGAGCATGTGGGGAGCTGAAGACTCGAGAGGCCGCATATAGATCACCTGGTGCCAAGGTGGGTAGTGCTTCGCCAAAGCCAATGCCGAGAGATGTGAGCAAGCGGAAAGGCTCATTAGGCGCCTCGAAAAGGTCGAGCGGCAAGTTGAAGGCCAGTCCGCCCACCCAGGCATCGCGATGGAAGGTGCAGAGATCCAGGGCCGCGGCCTTGAAGCCCGACACAGCCATGGCCACAAGTACCTGTGCGATAGCGCGGTCGCATTGATTATCGCAAAACACTATATGATCCTGATCAAGCCCAAGCTTGCGATCCAACTGCCGCTCTCCGTGAACGATCTTATGTCGACGCTTGCGCCATGGATAGATTTCTACCCGAGGCGACAATCCAAGCCTTGCCAGATTAGAGAAGATCTGGGTCAATGTAGTGGCGTCAGAGCCAGCCCATACACGTTGCTTGATGTCGTGCTGCTGAAGCGTATAGCCCCTGCGTACTGTATCGTCGGAAAGATAGAGAGTGTAACGATATATGATCTTGTCGAGCAGTGAGATCGACTTGATCTTCCTAGCGAAGACCTCGGTCCGACTGACGTCGGCCAGGACTCGTAGACCATACGTGGTCGTCAGATGGGCCCGCGTAATGAAGAACGCTTCGAGATATGCCTTCCACGTGGTCTCGGTTATCCTGCGGCTGACGAGTCGCATCGAGGGAAGGCTACAATCTTCTGCGTGTCCCGCTATGCGCACCAATAGCGCGGCAGGTAATCGCAAGAGCCTCGAGCTCACCACCTCGGGTTGAGTCATTTCGGCAGCCGCCATGAGGAATGATCCGGTAAGGCTGGTATCTGGCGCAGTATCTGAACCGGCTCCTGCTTCCTTCATGGTCACGGCCATGTCTATCTACCGTGACCCGCACGAATCCTGAGGATGTGAAAGGGATAAGTGTCACCGTAGCAATGGGGTAAGAAATGTTGCAGGACCTTCAGATAAGAAATCGGACCTCTTCACACACCAGAAAGTGCTAACTGACCGTTGCAGACATCGAAATCTGCCCAAATCCAACAGGCCCGAGTGAGGTCGAGCAAGGCAGGCGCCGGTGAGGACACCGAGACCTGAGTGGGCCTTGAACGTTACACCTTGCCAGAAATTCGAACAATTCACTCGCCTTGAAGAATGCACAAAACCACCAACGCAATCGCTAAAGTTCATGATGACGGTCATGCAAGATGAGGTATCCACATGAGCAGCCTCCGCTCGCCTTCGCTCCTTCAGACTCAGACTCAGACTCAGACCTCTGGAGTCTGTCGACCTACCAACCCTCCACTTCTGACACGTTGGCAGAACTTTACGCAAGTGACTAGGCATAAGCGAAGTAAGATTGCGCTCCTTCGTTGTTCAGCCTAATTCCAACCAACACCATCGCTAATCCCCATCCATAACGCCCATGCAAAACAGACCTCATCACCTAAACAACCTCCGCCCACCCATCCGGGGAGCAGTATTCTGCGCCCCCTCCAAGCTCAACCCCGTGAAACCCACTGGCCCACCCGCCCTCCGTTTCTTATACCGTCGTAGCGCCTCACGCAAATGATCAGGCAAAAGCGGACCACGATTATGTTCCTCGATCTCCAGGCCCAGGCCTCCAGCACCACCAGCGGCTAGAGGCGGCGGATCATCGTCGTCCGCTTCCCCCTTGACGCTCGCTTTCGTGTCCGTCGTGCCGTTGACAGCTGGAGCCGTGATCTGCTGAGCAGCGGGAGATGTCGGCTCGTTCTTAACAACACCATCCATCTCGCCATTGACCTTGATCACATCACCCGCCTCCTCCTCAATCTCAACCTTAACCCGACTCCTCTCCAGCCTCCTCCCCGCCCGATTCGCACTCCCATCCGCACACCTCCCCTCCACCGCCGTCCACTCCGCCTGCACCTCCCTCGCCTCCTCAATTAAACTCCCCGCAAACAACTTCACATACGCGCTCACAGCCAAAACCACATTCTGCGGCACGCTCTGACTCAACGTCTGATTCACCAATCGCCTCACATCCCCCGTTCTCAACTTGGCTTTATTCCAGGAATCGAAACGCTCCTTGTGCGCGTTACTCATGGTTTCGTAGAAGGCGTTTTTGCGCTTGTGCTCGGTGGTCATTTCTTCGCGCGTCATTTGGCCGCCTTCGTAGAGGGGGACGCGGCCGCCTCCTGCGCCAGCTTGGTCTGCTTCGTCGTCTTCGTCTGCGTCGTCGCCTTCGGCATCGGCGTCGTCGCCGCCTCTGTCCATGGAGTTCGCGCCTGCTATTCCTCCTCTCTTCTGCGAGCGGCCCTCCTCGCCATTCACCACATTTCCCCTAGGCTTCTTCGGAGGCCGGCCAATGGGTCGCTTTTCGCCTTTCCGTTTCCGTTTCAGCCCTGCTCCATTCTCTACACCTCCAGTCGGTCCACTGATAGCACTCCTGATCTCATTGTCGTCGCTGAAATCGTCCAGACTGCCGTCGGCGCTGGGAGAGTATTGTGCAAGGTGGTTGTCTTCGGCAAGCATGTGCTGAGCTTCGAGACTGTCGGCAGGCGGGAAGGAGGTTTGTCGCAGTGGATGCGCGGAGGATGCTGCGCTTACTATGCTGGGTTTTCGTGATAGTGGTGCACCGGGGAGTGCCAAGGCTGGTCGTTGTCGTGGTAAGGCGAGAGGTGAGGCTGCTGGCGGTGAGGTTGCGCCGCCATACGGAGGTGATGCCATGTTGTTGATGTTGTAGCAACGCTCGAAGCGTGCTCAGAAGAAGTGTTTCCAGTAGCAAGAGTGATGGACAGTTAAAGTGATTGGCATGTGAAGCCGAAGCTTGAACCTCGCCGGCAGGATAGTTTCTCCGATCTGCCGCTTCCCCCAAGTCTTGGCGACGCACATTGTCACGAAAACGACATGTCGAAGTTTGAGCTGCGACGATACAGGTCGACTACTAACCCGGTAGCAACACATCACACCACCTGCCACGATGTCGCGTCCAACCGTCACAATCCACGGCGCCGATGGGGCTGCTGGCTCCGAGAGCCACCCCCTCCCCAATGTCTTCAAGGCACCCATCCGCCCAGACATTGTCCAGTACGAATCAGAACATGCAAGAAGAAGGAATTGGCATAGATGTATATACTAACACAATGGCAGGGCTGTGCACACCGGTATGGCCAAGAACAAGAGGCAGCCATATGCCGTGAGCGAGAAGGCGGGACATCAGACCAGTGCTGAGTCGTGGGGTACTGGTATGTGGCACACAGAATCAAAGGCATTGGCAAAACGGCATACTGATTGTGATGTCTAGGCCGCGCTGTCGCCCGTATCCCCCGTGTCTCTGGTGGAGGTACTCACCGCGCCGGCCAGGCCGCCTTCGGCAACATGTGCCGCAGCGGTCGCATGTTCGCCCCCACCAAAGTCTGGCGCAAGTGGCAGCAAAAGGTCAACCTGGGCCAGAAGCGCTTCGCCACCGCCTCCGCCATCGCCGCCTCCTCGTCCGCCGCCCTCCTCCTCGCCCGCGGCCACCATGTCAACACCATCCCCGAGGTCCCGCTCGTCGTCTCCAGCACCGCCTTCGCCGACGGCGCCATCAAGAAGACCAGCCAAGCCGTCAAGATCCTCGAAGCCGTGGGCGCCGGCCCAGAATTGGAGAAGGTGAAGAACAGCCGCAAACTCCGCGCCGGCAAGGGTAAACTCCGCAACCGTCGCCACCAGCAGCGTCGTGGACCCTTGGTCGTCTACGAGCCAGAGAAGGACGGCAAGGACTTCACCAAGGCCTTCCGCAACATCCCCGGCGTCGAGACCTGCACAGTCTACGCCCTCAACCTCCTCCAGCTCGCACCAGGTGGACACCTCGGCCGCTTCGTGATCTGGACCTCGTCCGCTTTCCAAGCCCTCGATACCATCTACGGCAGCACCACGACCCCAAGCGAACTGAAACGCGACTTCCTCCTGCCATCCAACGTGATGGCGCAGCCCGACCTCGCAGCCCTGATCAACAGCTCCGAGGTGCAGAGTGTGCTTCGTCCCGTCAAGGGCGGCGCCATCACCAAGCGCAGTGTCGTGCAGAAGAAGAACCCGCTGAAGAATAAGCAGGTGTTGCTTCGTTTGAACCCTTATGCGGCGGCTTATGCGAAGGAGGGGCTTGGGCATGTTAAGGCCGAGGGGGACAAGCCGGAGAAGGGAGAGGGGTATACTAAGCTTTTGCACGAGAACTAGAGCGGGTTCGATTGAGTGTATGTGGGCGTGTGAGAGAGGTCTTACGTAAGGCGTAGGGCTTTTGGACATGGTGGTGCTTTGAGTGGAGCGTGAGATCGTTTCAACTCTAGCCTACGTGTCTGTCGTTGAGCACAATGAATCCATCTTATACCATTTACAGCGACTGTCGCCATGTTGACTCAAACGCTGACTCGCTTCACAACTGATCATGTCTGATGACAATAGACGCAGACTTGCATCTTATAATGATGCACTGCACATGCCAACATCGAAGAACTTGTAGAGTTGAGACAAAACTAGCCATGCAGCCATACATATATGCACGCTCCCACCGCCCCGAAACGCCACGCTTCCCTCAAAAAAACACCATACAAGACCAAGCAAGTATCGTGAAACAAGTCTGTAGAAGCACTCCTAGAACTCCCCCCTTCCCCTCGCCTCCCCTGCCCCCAACGCCCCCGCACCCCAAACCCCAACCAACCCCCAAAACCCCACCCTCCAACCCCTAACCAACCCACTAACCCCTTGGCCCCTCCTCACCCTCACCATCCCCGTCCTTGCATCCTTCGTCCGTGTTTCCCCTTCGAGGTACAAGATATTGTACACCGTTCCCATGACCCCTGAATACTCGGCCACGGGAACAATGGTCAGTAAATCCGGCTCGGAGGATTTGAGACAGGAGATCTGGGCTCGACGGACCAGGGTTTCGAGCGGGAGGCGGAGGAAGAGGTCGAGGGTCGTGGTTGTTAGGGAGGCTAGCGTCCACACGTTCGGAGTGGTTTCTGGTGAGACTTTGAATTTGGTTCGGAGGAGTAAAGGGGTGCTGGCTGAGAAAATTGAAGGCAGGGTTTGGGAGAGGGTGATGGGGAGCCAGAGTTTGCGGGGCGGGAGCAGGGAGGGGAGGTGCCGGAGGTTGGCGAGGAGGCCGCGGGGTGCTGTGGAGGTTGGGGTGATGATCAGTCGGGTGCGGACGAGGTCGAGGGGTGCGAGGAGCAGGCCTGTTATGCAGCTTGAGAGTGCGACTACGATCAGACTCCCAAGCGGATTGGGGGAGTCGTGGAGGTCGAGGCCGCTTAATCCCAGCGCCCCCGTCACACCTAGAGCGGGCGCTAGTCCGTTCTGCTCCGGGCCGGTGATCTCGGGCAGACCTAGGAGGGCGAGAAGGAGACTTCGCAGGAAGGAGTCGGTGGTGCGGAGGAGGGCGGAGTAGAGGAATGTGGTGTTTGTTCCGCGCCAGAGGCCCACGGCGCCCGAGGTGGTGTAGAGGGTTGAGAGAACGTGGGTGAGGCTGTTGGGGCGTTTGAGGTTGAGGTGGTAGGAGGGCTCTTCGCCGTGGCGGTTGCCGGGGGTGGTGGTTGGGGAGAGGCCTTCTGCTTCTTCGCTTGGTGGTGTTCTTCTTCGTTTTCGGGGAGAGCGGGAACGGGGTGGGACTGTGCCGGAGGTGAAGTAGTCGGGGATCTCGTTGTCGCTTTCGGAGGTCTCGTTGCCGGTTTCGCTCTCGTCTTCTTCGTCTTCGTCTGGGTAGGTTCTACTTCGGCCTTTGCTGGTGTTTCGTATGTTATCGGCTCGTCTTCGCGGATCTAGCCGTGTGCGTTGGGGTGTTGCTTCTGAACTCCCCGGTGGTAATGAAACTTGCAGTATTGTCTTGGCGACATCAAACGGTTGGGCGAGTAGGATGCTGGTGTAGCGGTAGAGGAGGGTGTCGAAGAGGCTGCGGGTGTTTTGCCATGCTTCGCCTGCGGAGGATTTGAGGTCAAGGTCGATTTCGGGGAGGAGATCTCGGGCTGTGCTGCCGAGGGAGGATGAGGGGGGTTTGAGTCCTGATCGGGCTGCGGCGTGGATGGGTTGGGAGGGGGAGGCGGAGGGGTGAAGGCCGATGGTGGGTTCGCGGTAGTAGGCGCTGTATGGTCGGAGAGGATTGGGCTCTCGTGAGGCGCTGGCTGGGAAGGTGGGTTTGTCCATACTAATACACCCTGCTTGGTAGAATGATCTGGTCGATGAGTGCCGAGTGATGGTATAGTCGTATAGTCGTATAGTCGTATAGTCCACATGCTCACTTGCTGTATAATACTGATGAGGCTCGAGCTTCATCTCCGCGACTCCGTCATCGCACATGGCAGTGAACATGACTTTCGCCATCACATGAATTTATTTAGGAACCACGCGCAACCACCACATCGACGCCAGCTACATCGGAGGAGGTAGTGAGTATCTACACATACTATGTCGCAAAGACAATGCATACAATGGGCGACCTCAGCATCAACAGCATGGCGAAGCGCATCCCGAACACCCTCATCCCGAATCCTCGACACCACCACCACTCGATATAAACGACACTACAGCACTCCCACATCTCGACTACTCCCTCCAAAGCCTCGCTTTCCACCCCGAAATAGAAACTTCACCACCAGCTCAATAAGACTACACAACGACCTCATTCCCCCAACGCCAGGAAACGAACGCAGCATAACCTTCATAGACAAGGACCTGCGTCCCACCACCCTCACCGTAGCAGACGGCAACAACCTCCTCGACATAGCCCAAGCCCACGACCTGGAAATGGAAGGCGCCTGTGGCGGCTCCTGCGCCTGCTCGACCTGCCATGTTATTGTGGAAGGGGAGGAGATGTACGACAAGATGGAGGAACCCAGTGATGATGAGAATGACATGTTGGATCTTGCCTTTGGACTGACGGAGACGAGTCGCTTGGGGTGTCAGGTCTCCATGAGGAAGGAGTTGGATGGGTTGGTGGTGCGGTTGCCGAGTATGACGCGGAATATGCAGGCGTCGGATTTTGCTGAGAAGGAGAAGAAGGGGTAGCTTATCATTGTGCCCGAGGATCGAGATGCTTGGCTTGTATTGTATGTTACACATGCTCTCAGGCGAGGAGCACAGCGTTTGGGTGTGTATGATTAAGCACTGCATAGCGAAAGGGGAGCAGCGGCGATTCTAGACACATTTCCGCATTGTATATCATAACTAACCACTCCTCCTCCTCCTCCACTCCATCTACATGGTACATCTACATCACACACCCCCACCTCACCCCCTCACACCCTTCCCGCCTCCTCACGCAAACCTCAACATCATGCGCGGGTTTATGCACGCCCGCAATCACCTTCATCTTCTCATACGGAGGCCCGACATACGGACTCCCATCCACCATACTCACTTCGAACCCCGCGACGAAGAGGCCGATGATGGCGAGGATCTCGTTGGCGGCGAGGTGGCGGCCGGGACAGATGTTGTTACCTGTGGAGATAGTGCGAAGAGATCAGCAGGGGGCCCTGGGGAGTGGGGATGGAAGGGAAAGGGGAAGGGGAGAGGTGCTTACCACCCCCAAACGTCCTAAACGCCCCCGGATGCAATTTCCCATTCCCATCGCGAAACGTCGCAGCGGGATCATGCAGCACCTTCCCCTTCCCCTCGAACTCACCGCCCGCAACCCCATCGACTTTCACACCACCACCATGCTGTGACAAGAACCTCCTTGGACGAAACTCAGCGACATCCTGGCCCCAAATCTCGGGACGGAAATGCAGCACATTAGCCGCTACAGTCACCACACCTCCTTTCCTCAAGACGAAAGACTCTCCCGTAGTATGATTGACGATCTCGGTGTCCTGGGTGATGTAGCGGTTTATGTTCATTGTAGCAGCTATCCGCATCGTCTCGCGCATACAAGACCAGAGGAGTGGAGCCTTTGCTCTCAAGGCTGAGATACTTAGAGTGTGTGTGTTGGTCGAGGGGTCCGTTGTGATGCACCGCTCGACTTCCACCCGGATATCGGAGAGGAGAGTGGGGTCGGAGAGGATATAGCTTAGTGTCCAAAACGCCACGGGCCCGGTGTTGATCAAGGCGGCGAACAGCAACCCAAGACTCTGTCGTCCCGCCATCGCCGTGCTGAGGCCATGGTCCTTGGCACTCTGGATGTACAACTGCACTATCCGTGAACCTTGCTCGTCGTGGTGTTGCACGGTATACGATTCAAACGCCTCCCATAACCGCTGCCGCGCCTGCCAGAATTCGGGGAGGAGGAATTTTGGAAACGGGGTGGTGAGGAGTTTATCCAGACTGTCGTCTACAATCCAGACGTCTTCGGCTAGGCTGGGGTTGATTGTAAGGGGGTTGGCGGGGCCGAAGATGGCGGTTGTAGAGGCGAGGGAGAAGTGGGTGCGGAGCCAGTGCCAGAGGTTGATCTTCTCCGATGCTTTGTCTGCGGTGGCTAAGATGTTGATGTGTGCTGTGAAGGCTGTGAGGAAGGATGTGTTGATCTCCTCGATACTTGGGTCCGTGAAAGCGGAAAACAGGAGGTCGTGTTGATCTACCAAGATATTGCCCTCGGCGTCGGGATCATTCTTCACAATCGTCATACTCGTTTCGTCTAGGCCGAAGAGGAGGCTCATAGCTTGTGAAGCAAAGATATTGAAGGAGAGCGTCTGCCGGTGATGTTTCTGCATCGCCACGGCCCAGGAGGCGGAGTTGATGATGTAGAGGTTGGTTTTGTTGGTCCAGGGGAGGAGGGGAAGGGTGTAGATCCCGGGTGAGTTGTGCCGCGTGTCTAGGTCCGTGAGATAGTTGGCTCCGTGACGGAAGAAGGCGAGGAGGTGGCCGATTAATGAGAAGGAGGAGGGGAGGTGAGGGGGTTCGTTTTGTTGGAGTCTGGGGGTGAGGAGGTAGGTTGTTAGGAGGAGGATGGCGGGGAGGAGGAGGAGGGCTAGGAGGATGAGGAGGGGAGACATCTTTGGTTGTGCTTTGAGAGGAATGGTAGGGGGGATTGAGAGTAGAGAAGGGGATGCGAGGCTGTGAGGAGGAGCAGGAGGAGGTTTGCTTTATATTCATCCTTATGGCTTCAATGATATTGGGCACAAGACCAATGCACTAATCTATTGAGTCGGGTCTTCGCTAGGCAACCGAGTTTTCTTGTCCTGGATCTTTGATGTGGGTGGTGATATGCCGTGCAACTCGAGCTTCCTTACTGAAGCCTGGTGATGTTTTTCGTGGCCAGTGAGCTGCTTCTGCGCGTTTCGTATTCGCGATGCGGTTCTACGGGAGCAGCCTGGAAATACTAATGTGTGCCCGCTTTGGTAGTGAGATTTGGGGTGTGGTGCTTAGAATTGGTATGCTCGTCACCTGCCTTGCTCAGGCCACCGTCTCCGTTGATTTTCGTTTCCGACCGTCCAAGCACGATAGCACAGTTTCCCGTGACGAGTCTACCTAGGACTACTGCACTCTCGACTCGTCTCCGTTGTCTGGGATAATATAATAATTATCTTGGAGTAGAGTGGAATACGAAGGATGCGAAAAACCAATGAGCACTTGTGAGCCACGTGCTCGCTGCCATTGGAGCGCGGGGACTTCCAGCGTCATCATGGTTTTCGACGGGCCTTCAACTTCGGCATCCTTGACGTCGAGCACGCAGTAGTCAGGTAGGCGGACCAGACGGTATAAGAAGGGTACGACATACCCATTTTATGTGTACAGGGTATCGATTTCACAGCATTCTCACCATGCTCTCATCTATCCTCACCGTCGCTTTTGCGGCCACAGCTGCATATGCCCAGTCCGATATTCCTCTCTCCCAACCTCTCCAGGCCATTCTTGCCAAAGCCCAACAAGGCCCCCTCTACACCTACCCTACCGATCTAACCCAAGGAATCGTACCCAAGGCCCTCCACAGCCACAACGACTACTGGCGCCCCCTCCCCTTCTACTCCGCCCTCTCCGTCGGCGCCGTGAGCGTCGAAGCCGACGTCTGGCTCTACAATGACACCCTGCACATCGGCCACGAGACTAGCGCGCTAACCAACGCCCGGACCTTCGACGCCCTCTATATCCAACCCATCCTCGCCACCCTTCGCGCTCAAAACCCCAATTCCAGTTTCCTTACCTCTGGCCCAACCAAGAACGGCGTCTACGATACCGCCTCAGGCCAAACCCTCTACCTCTTCGTCGACGTCAAGACCCCCGGCGAGCAGACCTGGCCGTATGTAGTCAGAGCCCTCCAACCCCTCCGCAGCGCAGGCTACCTCACCACCTTCAACGGCACGGCCGTGACACCCGGCCCTGTAACCGTGATCGGAACCGGCAACACACCCCTCGACCAAGTCCAAGGCGTAGGTAACGCCACACACCCCCGCGACTACTTCTACGATGCTCCCATCCCCACCTTGAACACCACTTTCTCCAACATCACCGCCTCCGTCAGCCCCATCGCCAGCACGGATTTCGCCGTCCAGTTTGGCAACGTCAAGAACGAGACGTTTAATGCTACGCAATCTGCTCTGTTGGCCAGTCAGGTGGCGGTTGCGCATAGTAAGGGGATCGCGGTGAGGTATTGGGATCAGCCTGGTTGGCCGGTATCGACGCGGAATGCGATTTGGAGGATTTTGTGGGATGCTGGGGTGGATTTGTTGAATGTGGATGATTTGGAGGCGGTGGGGAATTTTTGGGAGGGGGATACTTATTAGGGGTTTTGCTTGCTTGTAAGGGGATGTTGATGGGGAGGACAGGCAGAGGTGATGAGATAGATGAGATTATGTATATAGCGGCTGAATGAGATAGAGTGTATCTAGATACGATTATGATCACTTTGGCACAACGAATTCCGCCTAGGCCGTCAGGCGTCCAGTATTCGGAATGTCCACCCGTACTGTGTGGAAGAATTGTGGCGGATCAGATGCTGCAGATACCGCCTTCCTCGAAAGACGCGACCATTATGACTTAACACATCGAGGGTGGCAAGTGCAGATGAACAGAGAAGAGCAATTAGAAGCATATCATATTCTTGTTTTCTGCTCGACCTGCACGGAACTCGACTGAACCACCCACTTAGATATCACTCATGTTTACTACGCACTACACACTATGGCCATCGACCAGTTGAACAGCAGGTTGCTCGACCTTTGCCCGGAGCTACGCAACGCCATCTATACTCACACCCTCGTATCCCACGAAAACATCGTTGTGTCACACGACCTGGAAACCAAAATGCCCAGTCTTTTTGCGACCTGCAGGCAGATCCGTGAGGAAACCTACGCCATGTTCTACAGCCTGAACTCCTTCACCGTGAGAGTCTCAGACAAGCAGAAATCAACAGCGATGGACTGGCTCAAAGACAAGTCTCGCAACACAGCATCTCTGATAAAGAATATGACGCTCGAGTACGATCCAAGTGCGACGTGCAAGGACAGGGGGCATCCGATCTGGCATGTATCTCCGAGGGCCAGATGCTTGCCGAAGGTCTGCAATCTTTCCAGAGCATCAGGATCTCGCGCTCTAGGCGACTGAGATACCTTGAGACCATCGCATTGATGGTTCGTATTTTTCATGTGTCGTGGAACGCCCATGGTGCTCTACTCTATGTCGCCGGCTTGGATTGCGATTGTCTTTACCTGACAGTCTCACCGCAACGAGGCCGCGGCGGCGCTGCAGAGACTTTGGAGGACGAGTTTGCTGAGATATGGACGGCGATGTGGGTTGTGATTAGACGGAGCCTGGAACGTCTCAGCAGGGCGGGGTTGCGTCGTCGGTTGGATAGACGGGAGGTTGAGGGTTTGCTGGACACGTCGCTCCTAAGTGGGCCTTGAACTGATGCTGAGAGTAGCAGTCAGGGGGTGGGAGCAGACTTGGAGCGGGAGATGTAAAAGTATTGTTGAGCTTTGCTTACGGCCAGCTAGCATTCATCGATAGGATTACCAGCCACGGACGACCATTTCTCCGCTCCAGCCAGTCTTACTGGTTCCTTGATACCGCTGCTGATCTCCACGAGTGAAGTCAAGCTGAAGGGAACCGCGCTTCCTGTTAATGCATCTTAATGGCACCCCGACCGCTTCATTCTCTCTCCACCTCGGGCAGTTTGGAACCCATACATTGTTCGAGCGGCAGCGAAGTAGTTCAATAACCATAAAAGATCTTAGATAACCGATCGAAGTGCAGTTACAGATAACAACTTTGTTGTCCCGAGAGGTAGCATTGCACGCCCTGGAGTACCTCTGCATTGGCAATGGATTCAAGCTACAAGCAAGGAATATCGTACTTCGTACTGCCGCGAAATCTAGCAGATACGTGGAAGTTCTTCTGTCTGTAGGAGAGCGATAGTGTTCTTGTACGTGTTCGAAGACTGCCAAATGGAATGAGCTCGAAAAGCTGAACTTCTGTCAATCACCGCTTCGTAGGTGTGAATGCAAAGTTCAGGTAGCAAAGCAAGCAAGCGAAGCCGCAGGTCTAGAGTTATCATAGTGCTCGCGAGCTATGGATAGATGCTGCGGCTGGCGATATGCTGTTTTGATGCCGGAGGCGACTGGAGTCAGGTTTACCACAGGTGTAATCGGAGCCTCGTGGTGGCTAATGAAAGATGGAATTGGTATTTCAGAAGCTCATCAATGTACGACTTCCAGCGATACTTTCACTTCGTCCTTGAGCTGATTTCTTTCGGCAAGACTCCGGCTCCAACAGCGCCAGTCCCAGCTGCAGGTGATCGAGCAGCCGTTCCAACAGTTCGACTTTGCCATACTCGTTGGACTGCTGCGGTGAATGGAAGTACAGTCCACTTCGCAAACCATGGCGTACCCCACATACTCAGGATCAACCTCAAGGGCAAAAGAGCTTTCGTGATAGCATAAGCAGTGGCCAACTCCACCACAATCCTCACGCCACCTTCACTTCTGCCCCACCACTTTCCACTGGCACCAGCTTCCTCCTCCGTGCTGATCCAGCCTTTCTTGCGCAAGTAGCGTCCGAACTTCTCGATGCCTTGGGAGACCCATTTGCCTTCGCTGATATACGGTGGCAACCAGTTAGTGTAATGGAAGATGGCCGCCAGACCAAAGAGTGGCAGAATTGCAGTCAGCTCATGTAAGACCAGGAAGGCACTGATATGCGAGACCGGTGCATTGCGTAATGGGGTGGTGAAGTGCCTCAGAAAGCGTGGTAACCGGGACTCGATCCGGGCTATGCGAGAAACTGAAGCTGCGGTCGTAGCTTCGGTTCCAGAGTGGCGTACGAGCTGCTTGGATAGCTGTGTACCGTGCCGCAAGAATGTTGCTCGCCGGCTGAGCATAATTCTTGATGAGCTACAGTACAGTGTATGTTTTGGAAGTCCACCACTCGACACTACATCAATTCGAGCTAGCGGGTGAGCCGCCCGATCCCGAGCACACAGCCGCTAGCGTAAAGCAAGTACGGCCTGTCACCGCACCACCAATACAACTTCCACAAGCGAGCTGCAGCCTTGATAAGCGAAAGCTCCTTCGGCCGCTTCTTCTACTACAAACCCGTCAGCTGCCGTGCTGCGCCAGCATGAGCTGAACCACCGATCCGGTCCTACCGCTGTCATGCGAACGCTGTCTTAAATGCTCACCGGTTCGCGAGAATGGCATTGTGACTGCACCATGCTCGAGCGATTCACACGTGTTACTGGACGCGCAGCTTTAACTCAGCCCCAGTGAGGCCGCCCGACTGCCTGGTTGCCTTGCGAGGACACGCAGCTCAACGATGGAATAGCCGATACAAGCTTCCTTTGTCTACACCATATCTACTGGTCCAGCCTGACGTTTGGACCAATAGACGTATCGCGTGATCTTGCTCTCACCATCGAAAGGCCTCGCTTCTCACTTGGTGGCCGACCCGTCTCCTGAGAGGTACTTTGTGGCTTGGGGCTAGCTTACTGAACAATTGCACTCAGCAGATCGGCGTGTCGTGTTGTGTGAGCGTGGCCATACTTATATGTGCCAACCCCTAGCACTGATAGGTAAGCATGCTCTCTCGACTGCTTCCTGTCACACACGCTCGCCCTCCGATCTTCGCTACCATGAGCACAATTTCGTCAATCACAGCTTCCAAGCAGGGCACACACACCCCTCATGGCCCTCCACTACCACAGCTCCGGAAGCATGGCGCCCGTCTGCTTGCTCTAGACGGCGGTGGCGTCAAGGGCGTAAGCTCGGCTCTCATACTGGACGAGATCATGACCCGAGTCAAGCGCATCGAGCTCCAAAACAGCATCAGCACTTCGCAAGCTGATCGGAAACCAGTCGATTATTTCGACCTCGCCGCCGGAACCAGTACCGGCGGACTGATATGCCTGATGTTGTTCCGACTCAGGATGAATGTCCCGTCTTGCCGAGACTGCTACCACTCGCTCGCTAAGCATATATTTGCGCCACGGTTCATGAATTCGGAAATGCTTGGCAAGATCTTTGGCAAGCTGGGGCTCATGCTCAACATCATGTTCAAAAGCGCCGAATTCGCAGCCAAGCCACTCGAGGACGCGATCCGCGAAGTTGTTGGAAAGTACTCTAGAGCTGGTGACCCAGACCAGGACTACCTAGTCCACCCCGAGAGTGGAATGATGTAAGCCATCGTGTCATACTACCACACGAGTCATCCTGACATATTGCAGGTTCATGTGTGCAACGCTCAAGGACAAAGGGGAGTGCGTGTTGATGCGCTCGTACATTCAACCCAGTGACGCTGTACCATACTCCAGTGTCGTCAAGCAGGCCAGTACTGGTGGGGGCGATGACACTCCTATGAACAACATTCCTATCGTCACCGCTGCGAGAGCTACGTCAGCAGCGCCTGTATATCTGCCAGAAGAGCGGTGGATACCTTCACCTGGAGGTGATACAGTCAACTTCTGGGACGGTGGAGTCCTGAACAATAATCCTATCGAGCAGTTATGGGGCGCGCGCTATGATCTCGTCGACGTCAAATCACCGCCACCACCTGTCTCAGTCGTCCTTAGTCTGGGATGTGGTTGGGCTGTACCGGCTAAGCCTCACTTCTTGTTCCGGATCTTCGGAATCATGACAACGTTCTCGCAATCCTACATGGCCAACACAGAGGCCAAGCATCGTGACTTTTGGAGGTTGACTGAGCGAATGAAGGAACGTGGAGATCAGAACAACGATATTCGCTACTTCAGGTTCAACGTGCCGACTGGTGACAAGAAGTTCAACATGGCGGATCCCAAGATCATCGAGCCATTGGAGAAATTGACCAGGGACTATATAGGTCGCCCTGAGATATCCAAAGAGCTGGATGAGGTCGCAGCGCTTCTAGCTAGTCGTGACTGATCTAGATGACTGACACGGCGCAGGCCCACGTGGCAGCGCGGTGCTTGTATGCTGACTGCTTAAGAAATGAAAGTTGGGTACCGCTATGCGCCTGGAGCGCTGCTTACACGTACGTTAGGCCTTGATTTATGTACAAGATTTGAATGGCAGATGCTTGATTGGGTTCATTGGGGTGCCGACCATGAGGCTGCAATCTAGATCGGGCTAGAAATAGCACTCGCAATGACAATCTTATACCAGTGCCCTGACTAGGAAAGACATGGTACGCCTGAGTGGAGTGGGGACGCTGCTGCGCCCAACCAGCTTGCGGCTGATCAAACTTCGATTCGAGCGACCTTGAGTGGTCTTTTCCTTGTCGGCCATACCACTGGAATATAGTAGCTATGGCTGACTTCTCACCATAGTCTGAAGTAGACAGCTTGCTGATGCATGTGGTACGCTCGCTCTCCCATGTTCAGCATTCGCGACACAAAGGACGGCACTGCCAGCTGCTTACGGCTGCATCCTGCATGTAAGCCAGAGCACATAGCTTGACACTTGGTCACGAGCTGGGCGCACCAGTCATGATGTCTGGAACGCAAACGCAGGCTATCAAACCCTTAGCTATAAGCTCATGTAGCAGGATGACTGTCCTTAATCATCGCTGTTATCCATGAAGCACCATTCGCCCTTTTCCTGATGAACCTCGGAGCGGCGCACGACTGTCACCCTGGCATCGACGCCCCATCACAATGGTCAATGATGGCCTCATTCATGAGCTACAGCACGCCGCCGACCTCTTCGATGGCCAATACACTGCTACCTCAGTCACCATCACGATCTCGGCTGCTTTAGCTGTCTACAACGCTCTGGAACTCATCTTGTTGATCCTGACCACCTTCAGGCGCTTCAATGGCTTATACTTCTGGAGCTTGTGCGCTGCGACGTATGATGTACTCGTGTATACTACTGGGTTCATGATTGAGTATTTCCAGTTCGCAGCGCAACTCACTGGGCTTACTATCAGAGTGCTCGGATGGCCTGCTATGATTACTGGGCAGAGTCTTGTTCTGTACTCCCGTCTCAGTCTGGTGATGGGTCAAGGGTACGATAACCTGCTGCGGACATTGAAGTGGATGATCATCTTCGACGCGGTTGTGCATCATTCTGGTACAATCAGTATGCGACCATAACGCATACTTAGGCCATGTCACCCTGCTGACTTTGTTGTACAGTTCTGACCTTCGGCGCATACTATGCTTCTCCAAGCGCTAGCTGGATACATGCGTACAATGTGCAGCACAAGATACAGCGGACCAGTTTCTGCATCCAGGAAGGACTCCTATCACTCATCTACATCTGGCGTGCTCTGAGTATATCTCGGCAGACATCTTCGCTAAGAAACAAGAAACAGAGTTGGCTGCTAATGTGGCAGTTGATCGCGATTAATGTAATCATAGAAGCGCTCAACGTTCTCATCCTAGTGGAGGAATATGCAGCGTTGGTATGTGCAACATGGCTTGTCTGCAACGTTCATACAATGCTGACAAGGTGCAAGCACGCCACCAAACAAGCCACAAAGGCATTCATGTACAGCATCAAGCTTAAGCTGGAATTTGCTGTTCTAGGTCGTCTTGTCGAAGTGACGGGCCACAAATATAGCAAGGAGCGGCCAAGGCTATTTGACATTGCCGGAGTGCACGTCAGTAAAGACCAGGAACTCAAGCAACCAATCACTTTCATGTCCAGGCTCGGCCGTCTGTTCTTCATCCAGCGGCGAAGCGTCTCGTCGTCAGACGTCGAAAAGTGTCATGCGACATCGACGGCGACAATCGTCGAGCAAGAGGAGATGCCAGCTGGCTATATCCAACACACAGCGTACTCGATCACCGCAACAATAGCTGAGGATAAGTGGCGAAGGCGGAACTTGGAGGAAGACTTATATACTGGTGCATGTCGGGATATCGGAGACTGAACGAGGAGACCGTAGTGAAGTCAGGGCGTTGGTACGACTAGCCGGAGTGATTGCGGAAGACGGCTCTTGATCATGCCAGAGTACTATCTGGCGTATCGTCGAATGTGCCTGGACCGTTGAACGACCACTCCATCAAAAGCGCGCTGTTCGAAACCCTCTTAAATCATACCAACTCCGCCGCCTGTACTTTTATGGTAGCTGGAGTCCACGAGAAGGGTGGATGCCATCTTCGCTCAACGTTTTGAGGCTGGTGAGGCAAGAAGAGATCTTCCTCGTCTAGATATCCATGAATGCTATTATAGCCTCCTAAGAAAGATGAGCTTGGCTCTTGCGGGCTAAAGGTGAGCGTTGGCTCATGGCGCGGCTCGTGGTCGTCTTGAGACGCGGGTGGCGTTGCAGTGGATGGTCTCGCATCTTGGTGATGGGCCGACAATTGCGACGAACTGTCACGCCGACTGCGTAGGCTTGTCGAATTGGCCGAGTATAATGACAGCCGATGTCTTCTATATGCTAGCATGTAGCTGTTCGGTGCCTGACGGACGGAGGTACTGATCCAGTACTCTGCTGCTGAAAGTCGAGATGTGAACGCCAGGAGAAAGATTGCAAGGAAGACCAGCAGACAGAGGATTATGAAGCTGAAGACTGCGAAAGGATCGAGTGCAGAAAGATCGCTAATCCGAGAACCATTCTTGATATCTAGGTAGCTGGCCCAACTCGACAGGAACATGATTATTTGGAAATAGTGCGGATATGTGCTATGCTGAAGATGAGACTCGATGGTCGCTGGTGCTTGCTCTTGTATATCTGTGACACCAACACCGTTGTTCGCTGCCGGCTGCGTAACGTACCTCTGCCTCAATGTTGGTATTCGCGTTCACCAGGGCTTATTTGCGCTGACTCGCAGAAGTGCTTACTGCGGATCCTTCGTTCATGCTAGTGAGACCTTGATGATACATTCTCTTGATCGCGCGCCAGAACAGGAAAGCAATATACAGCAAAGAGACGTGTGGGCATGTTGACGTCTTCAATCTCGATCCCCAAGTAGTATTGAGCCTAATCCGGTTGGAAAAACCCAAATTCCGGATCTCTCTTAGGGAGGCTCGAGTGTTCGCTCGACGCCTCCAAAATTTCTCGCCATTGCTTGCTGGGTCACACTCTTTGCTGCCAGGCACATGTACAGTGATGGTCTAAGTGGACGAGTACTCACTAGCCACACGCGAAGAGTAAAGACATGTGGATTAGCCTCATCGCGATAAATATCCGAGGCGAGGCGAGCATTCGCCTCGCTTGCCTTACCTGTGTATCGAATGAACAAGCACTTGCCGACCACTCTAACATGGTCGTACTCGACGTTGGGGTCGCTTGCACAAATATGCTTGTCGTCTTCGCCGTCCCCAGTATAGCGCAGGATGTGCGGACAGAGACCAAGAGTGCTGCCTCGTGGTACGCCCGCTGTTGTCATCGCCGTCAAGGTATTGCCACTCGAAACCAGAGTGATTTTTTGGTTGGATTGCAGATTCTTGTGACCACGGTAGCCGAATTCCACGCATGTCTCGGTCGCCATATGGAAGGAGTCCACATGCGGAAAGCCATAGCCGTTGGTCGGATCGGCAAACGAACAACTACACTTGACCGTTGCGCTTACATATTTGCTGTTCCCACATCAACTGCCATGTCCGCAAGAGCATGGTATTCACCAATGTCTTCGCGCCTGGCGCGCTTCTCAAGGGCGCGATACACAGGCTGTAGGAGCAGGTCTCCTTAGCATAGCTCTTCAACACAAACTTCTCATGGCAACCGCAAGTTTTGAAATCTAGGAAGCATGCTCGTGGGATGGAGCATCATGTTGGAAGGTGCTTAGAACTAACTCAACCTCGGCCTTCTGCTCAGCCAGCAACTTCCAACTGCTCTGAAGCTAGATGGCGCGCTTCAGCAAAAGTTCTTTTGACGGCCAGCCCGTGGTGGCAGATGATGATGAATGCGATGGTTGTTTCTTGAGTCCCTTGATTCTACGAATTGTGAGGAGTCTAATGAAGGAGAGAGAACCGAATGTGGAGGGTGGAGGTGAAAGGTGCTTACATAATAAAAGAGGGAATCCGGCTAGGCTGATCGACATCGCCAATGCTTCTTGTACCTTTGTCGAGATGGTTCTTCGCAAACTGCGGACATCCTACACACGATGTCTGAGCAGGTAGCAGGCGTGAAGCGGTCGCCAAGTCCCGGCGCGGATTCTGAGAATCATAGTGGACGACAGCGTTCGCGAGCCGCCTGCGCACCATGTCGCCAGCGAAAGCGAAAGTGTAAGCCTTACAAGCAGCCCTGGTGAAGCCACGCTAAAAGGCCGGATGTGCTAATAGTCGCCATAGGGTATGTGTTAATTCCAGCGAAGCATTAGACCGTTACCTGATCTCTTCATTTGCTGATTGCAATAATCAACAGCGACGGCAGGCTCCCATGCTCTACTTGTACCCGTTATGAGTATGACTGCGAGTACATCACGTCCAAGCGTCTTTCCCACGCTGGTGTAAATGGCGATATGCCTCCGGAGCTCCCGCCGCCGGTGCGAGAGCAGCAGCAGACAACGCCTAGCATCGTTCAGCTCCAAAAACATCCACTCACAGCTCCTGGAGCTCGTTTCCACCACCGCAGCATGCTGGATCCCGTCAAGACGCGCTTTGTACGCGCCAACTCCGCCATAGCGTTCCCTCGAATCTTGGGCATGGATCTGGAATCCGAAAGTATCCCTCGCCTACACTCTTTCGCCTGGCACTGCGGCATTCGAGCTGAGATCATGGAGGATACCGTCGATGTCACTACCCTGCTTACCTGGAAAGATCTCAAACGATTAGCAGGTATATACTTTAGCGTGGTGAATGTCGAGTTCGGTCTCCTCGAAGCAGCGACTTTTGAAGCGCAAGCTACCGCACGTTGGAAACAGCCGACAGGACGAAACGATGTCGATGCCGTTATGCTTGGCGTTGTGGCACTGGGGTCGTTTTTCTCATCAGCTCCACATGCGAAGGAGAATGACTTTGTGCGTGGAGCTCGCGAGCTACTGATGGAGAAGAGCGTCAATCATCCGACCACTAATAATGTCGCCGGGTGGGTCCTTCGCACCATCTACCTTCGCCTAGCATCAAGACCCCATGGATCGTGGATCTCAAGTTGCGTCGCTATGCATCAGGCTGAAGCTAGTGGATTGCACAAAGAGGTCCAGACGATTGCGGTGGTGTATCCTGCTGCGCCTACGGGTGATCACAAGGTTGCGAAGGCACGGAGAAGGCTTTTCTGGGTGGCCAGAGCCTTGAATATCATCTTATCATTTGAGTATGGACGATCAAGAGTAGCTTTTGACGTGATCACCACAAAGCGCTTCGCTGCTGAGCAAGGAGGGTTCGCTTATCAATTTGTGGTACGTCACGGCCCTCCTCCATAGATCGTTACGGTTGGTGTTGATTTCGCACGTAGGAGATGGCAGAACTGCTACCCAACGATTACGTTGATATTGAGCGAGAGCCAGATCCGCCTGGCGCTCTTTGTAATGCTCTGACGAAGATCGAGGAGGTCAAGACAGAGTCACCATTCATTCGGCTCCTTAAAGCTGACCTTGCTTTTGCTATCTATCGCCGACTTTGGCTTATGAGCCTTACAGATGCCAAAGACCGATCCGACTCTGTCATCAGTATCGGTAAATCAGCCGCTTCCGCTTCCGCTAAGCTTGTCGAAACTCGTACACCATGGTGGAATGTCGTACACGCTCCATTCCAATTCCTCTGCGTTCTCCTTGCTATCGGCACACCGCGAAGCCTGGCGCACATCAAAGACAGTCTGGCACTCCTCCGTCGGATAGCAGATACGTACGACACTCATATGACCCGCGAAGCCTACAATCAAGCTGCTATCCTCGTCAGGATGTCACGAAAGCGCAAAGAGCGAGAGTTGGAAGCTCTAGGTGGGGCGGACCAGCTGCCAGCTTATGAGGATCCGCCAACCTTGGGAAGTAGTACCAGTCAGACGGGTTTGACGGATGTGCCCAATCTGGATTGGGCAAGTCTAGAGTTGCCGTTCGAATGGGAGACGTTCTTGAATCCAGAACTTGTCATGGGTGCCCAGCAGCAGCCACATTTCATGGGGTTACAGGATGGAGCCCAGACGGTCCCGCAGCAGCAAGGCCACGGGATTGATGTTGGATCTGTTTTCGGAGTCAGGATGGGGTATCCGCCTTGATCTGTAACTGCCAGCCAGCCCAATCAGTATCACCCTAAGATCGAGATGGCACGCGAAATCACTCACTTCGACCGCCCAAGCAGTGTCATCGAGAAGCACTCCTTCACTGCCGCGAATAACCCAAGGCGCGGCAAGTACTTCGTCAGCTACGTTGGCTACAACGTGGAGACATCCAACGGGGCCAGAGATGCACTTATCGCCGCGATGCAGCTTCACACCGCAGGCCAGCAGTCTCTTGTCGAAGTACTCGAGATTATCGGTTGTTCCTTCGTAACATTTGACATGATCGCTTCCGTGAAGTTCCATCAGCTATTTCCGAAACTCAGGCAACTCACGGTGCATGGCTGCCCAAAGTTCAGCTTCGATTAGGCTGTCGACATGACACTGGACAAGTTTGATACACTCCCTTTCTACCTAGATGCCGACTTTTCCGAGCCTAGGTGTAGCCCTTGGGGTCTCGAGGTAGGCAAGAACGGTCGAGCACAGTGGGCCGCTCAACTCCAATCTCTCACATGTGCCAATTGGGGGTACACACAAGGCACAGAGTCTCCGTGTCAAAGCATACTACTCAAGCAGGACACGATGCTACGCCACGTACAGTTCTCGTTGAATGCCAACGAAACGCAAAGCACCACAAGAGAGCTGAAGAGCTCATCTCGTGATCTTGGTCCCACGTTGACGACTCGCCATGTTTCTCACGACACTCTGCTCGGTGTTCTAAAAGGCCAGAACTCTGATAAATTCCTCTGCGACCTTGGAATTCGCCTCTCCCCGGCTGCAGCCAACGTTCCGCCCCTCCAGCTCCCCAATCACGAAACACTGAAAATGCATGAGCGTTTTGCATGTCCGATCGGTACGGATGAGCATCCGGGTGTCTTCTTCTCTGCTGCGGCAGCGAAGAATATCCGCGGTCTCAAGGATGATGCAGGGCAAGAGGACGTGTGCTAACTGAACCGAAGCTACGAAGCATCCGGCGCTCATGTTTTAAGGTCAACGAGGCCGCCGAGTTAAGGTTCCCACCGCTTCGTCCCGATCAAATTGTCACCGCCGCCAATCACACACGAATGCACGATGTGGCCGACTCTGACGGGCTGTATGCGAAGTGGGAAGATATTTCCAAGACTCTGCTTGTTGGATGTCCACTTGTCCGCAAGCTGCGTGTCTAGTCTTCCGAGTGGGATGAGCACGCTCTTAGACGTCTGGGTGGCATTGTCAGTCGCGGCATTTTACGATAGGCCTTCTACAACATCGATGTCAGTGCGCGCCAATTAGCGGCTTCCCGGTGGCGCGGTCGCTGTCTCTAGTCACCGGTTGTCCATCGACAACAGTCACCGCTATTCATCCCTAGGGGAGACAGCAATTGTCTACGTAATTGCCTGTTCACAGACGGTAAGGGGTGAGGAGGGCACTGATTGCGGAGATGCCTGATCTGTCCTGGTACTTCTGCAGCACTGCCAAGTTGTAAAGACACCAGTTTGGTGGAACGGGGCGAGGTTGCCATGAAAGTTTGCTAGCTATTAGTTCACCTAGCCGCTACCTTTCTACCCGTAGTCAGCGAATTATCAAGATCTTGAGCCCGCGGGGACTAATACACTCGTACTATAGCTCGGACGATAGAATTTCATTACTTTCACTATTACAGTATGTACCATATAGCTTATAAGCGTGAGCGAGGCGAAACTTCAAGGAGTTCCAACCCGCCATCCTTCAACGAGTAATGCCGCCCATTGTTCCATCCCATCCACTTCGCAAGCACTTCTTCCCCGTCATGGCCAGGTCTCAAGCCCTTGCTGTTCCAGCCACTGCCCTCCACTCCAATGCCTTGGCCTTGTGCAGCAGATCGACCATCAGCCTCACCTTCGGACACTGCAAAGGCTGGTGAGCTTGTCAACGTGACGATTGGCCTTTGATCGAATCCGTCTTTCTCTAGCTCAGGGTTCGTAAGTACAGGTGTACAGCAGGCATCTGTACCGTCGAAGATCCTCTCCCACTCTGCTCGCGTCTTTTGCTTGAAGCGTTGTGTGTACAATGCTTTCTGCTGTGGCCATGTAGCCTTATCAAGCCGATCGCCTTTGATTTGCTTCACGTCGAGCTCAAGGCCCTTTATCAAAGCAGCGAAGAATTGAGGCTCCAATGCTCCGACCGCCATGTACTGTCCGTCTCGCGTCTCATAGGTGTCGTAGTATGGACATCCGCCATCTAGCATATTTGTCCCTCGCTCCCCACCCCAAGTCGGTAGCTTCTGAGCAAATCGTGGCATACTAGCCAAGAACGAGCTTCCGTCGACCATGTTCGCCTCCACAACTTGACCCAGACCCGTCCGCTCTCTCTGCATCAGTGCCAGAAGTATACCCGTGAAGCACACTGCCCCACCACCGCCGAAGTCACCTACGATATTGCCTGGAGCATATGGTTTCTCGCCCTGTCGACCGAGCATTGACAGGACCCCAGATACTGCGATGTAATTGATATCATGGCCAGCCATATCTTTGTACTTCCCATCACGCCTAAAACCTGTCATACGAGCTACGACAACTCGTGGGTTGAGTCGAAGAAGCACTTTCGCGGGATCCAGGCCCATCTTCTCCAGCACACCTGGCCTAAATGGGTCGATGATCACATCGACGTTCGCGACGAGCTTCTTAATCAGGGCGATACCATCAGCAGACTTCGTGTTGACGCATATGCTACTCTTGCGTCTCGTGAGCTGGTCACCTGTAGGAGGTGGTGGATTGGCAGTATGGGCTTTGGGATGTGCCCGGTCGAGTCGAAGGACTGTCGCGCCATAGTCTGCGAGCAGTAGTCCAGCGAAAGGTCCTTACCGATCATCAGTATGATATCAAGCTCACATCGTTGACAATGCCATACCTGGTGCTAGACCAGCGAATTCTAAGACCCTCAGACCTTGTAAAGGCGGTGATTGTGTCATGTTGTCAATGTCTCCAATCCAGTAGTATCGCGACGGCAACGCTGCCATTCAGCGAGACCAGATCGACTACATAATCACAATCATCAGACGCTGCCCCGGAGCTCTTGAGGAGCTGGCGAGGCCGGAACATGACAACCGCGGCAATGTAGAGTTTCATAGCGCAATGCCAAGAAAGCTGGGGTCGATGATGAGGTGAACTTCAGTTCTCCACCGCGATCCTTCGTGTCCACAACGACGTCAAGAATAGGCGACAGGAGCGACACAAACTCAGATAGTCATCGTATATGTCGGATCTCCAACACGCGTAAGTATGACACCAGAGATCTAGATTCTTCATTCTAAGTTCTTCGTCGTTTTGATGGCCGACCTTTTGCATCAACTCACACTCAACCACGCCAGCATACCTATAGTGGTAAAAGGCAATGCACTCTACCGCGGCTGCGAACGTTGGCTGGTGAAAGGCATCTCTTATCTTCCCTATGCATCAGATCGAGAGCCGAATGGCGACAAGGTACTACTTGATGCTTTAGCCCACGACCGACTCCACGAGCTAGAAGCCGACGTATTCACTCTGCATGATCTCGGACTAAATACAATTTCCGTGCGTCACCTGGAGCCCGACACAGATCACACTGCCGCTCTGAAGCTACTGGAGAGGGAAGGAATCTACGTTCTCGTCACTATCTTCGATGGCCTACATAAGCGTCGGAACAGATGGCCGACCGAGGACAAAACCACTCCCGAAGACTACGTGAGACAGCATTACAACGCGGAGACCATGATAAGCAACTTAAGGCTTGTTGAAGAGCTTGCCGACCATCCAAATGTCCTCGGCTTTGTGGTTTCTGGCTCAAGCATGAACACGGTCCGAAATACAAAGGCTGCCGAAGTCCTACGTGCTTGTATCAGGGACACGAAAGCCTTCCTCCATGCTCGCGGTAAGCGAGCGGTCCCTATCGGAGCGACCATGAGCGACCTCGCCTCGTTACGCCTGCCTTTCTTGCAGTACTTCTCCTCAGGCTCACCACCTGAGTGCGCAGACTTCGCTGCCATTGATTGCTACAGTTGGGCTGGAAAGTCGTCGTTCCAGATTTCGGGCTGGAAGAATCTCGTCGCGAGTGTCTCGAAGGTTACACGGATGCCACTCATGTTGAGTGCCTTCGGGGCAAATATTACCCAACCTCGACTCTGGGACGAGCTGCTCTGCCTTTACAGCCCTGACATGACTGGCGTCTTCAGTGGAGGCTTTGCGTATACCTTCTTCGAAAGTGGTAATGGACATGGCATTGTCAAGACTCAAGAGGACGGGTTCCGGAAGCCAGCGAGGGACTTTGATCGGTTCAGAAAGCACTTCAAGATCATCAACTGCAGGGCCGCGAAGGAACTCTTCAGTCAGGCATCTGATGCCGAGGTACCAGCTCTCGAGCTGCAGAACCTCCCGAGCGACAGGTGGGCCGCGGGTCCAGAGCTTTCGCCATTTCCTGGTGACTGGGATCGGACCATCGGGGATGTGGTGCATGCCAGAGCTCCTGATTCCAGCGATGCCATTGTTCTGCCGTATCGACCGCGGTGAGTACATGCTGGCTGGCGATGCCAGCATTATGCAGCCACCCTCCTGTCCGTGACCAAGATCATCGGTGTCGACTTGGCTATCTCATGCCATTCCCACTCACCACACAGCAACAATGGGCAGTGAGGGACAGGCTGCAGAGCTCGCTACCGCAGGACTACAGTCTGCAGAGATCCAGTCTCGATGATCCTCTCCTGCTCATCCGATATCGTGCTAGCAGTCGTAGCCGCTGCTTCGAGTGCCAGCATACCGATCCTTGGGCCTCCAGCGAAAAGCCCAGCGGTATCACCCATGTTCTGTGCACTGATCTCGGCACCGGCATGAAGATCCTGATAAGCTTGAAGCACCCACGATCTTACCAAGCTCGATGGCATAGAGCGGAAAATACTCATATCTGCTAGAGCGTTCCAGATGACGAGTAGAGCGATTTGTCGACATTTGGGGTCGATGACGTTGCTGTGTTTTGTTTGCCAAGACATAATGATATTGGCTGTCAATCGGGTTTGCTCTGCTTGCAAGGATGTAAGATGCTCGGCCCTGGTGTTGGTTTTTGATGTCGGCAGCGAAGGATCTGATAAAACACCCGGCTCTATGGTATAGAGAGTCAATTGGAGCTTGATAGCGATCAGCCGCAGGTACCAGTAATGGATGGCGGCAACGAATTGATCGAGGGTCTCGAAAGAGTATGTCGTTGGCATTATCGCTCGCTTCGTCTGCGATGCAGGTGTCGAAGTGATCTTGACGCGATGAAGTAATGTGTTCTCAGCGTCTGAGTCAACGAGCCCGAGAAGCTGATCAACCAGCTGGCGTGCGTTGATAGAGTTTGCCGACCGATATCTCGCAGTAGTCTCTCCACGTACTGCCCGCACAGCGGCTATAGCACGAGGCACTTTGATAGCCAACCTAGTCATCAAGCCCTGAATAGTAGCCACTTCCGTCGTTGCACTCGGTGTTGAGAAGTTCAGCCCGTCCCAACTCTGTCTGTCCCAACCCGATGCTTTCCCAACCCCACAAGCAAGCAAGAAATCCTTGTCAACCGACTGCCAGATTAGGTATCGCCCAAAATCACTCAATCTCGTGTCCGGAGTCCTGGCGGCTACGATTGCTCGAAGCCCATCTAAGTGGGGTGCTTGCTGTACTATGTCAAAGTTGGCCACTACGCCGCCGGCGAAAATGAGGAGCCCGACGCTCATAAGAGAAGCATCTGAGCTGTCGAGGTTGGTACGGAGGACCGTGAGGGCTTCACCTCTACTTCTTGTGGCCTGGCGGGCTGAGGTCGCAGTGCGGTGGAAACTCTTGAGAGTCAGTCTTGCTTGGCCATCGCATGGACACGCTTATACATAAGTGTGACTATCACGTACTAGGACTCCAAAGCCGACACTGCCGCTCGTGCGGAGGCATCGATGGTGGCGCTATAGCCGACATACCGTGGTACGTAGGCAAACCAGGAATGTTTGAGGTAAAAGTCTTCAAAGCGAAGGCCGACCTGCTTGGCGAGGATGGCATTGGGTGAGCTTAGAACGATTGGGGTCGGTGGCGTCAAGTATGGTACCGCCGGTTCTTTCGCCACGCATAGTCGCTGATGCGGACGGTTTGTTGGGACATGAACACTGAGGTGTTGTTAGACTCTAAGTTGTGCGCACAGGAAAGAACCATACCCACACAATACCAGACCTGGTAGTCTTGAGCATACAATCGTTCTTTTGAGTCACGCATGTATGCCCGTCGTCATCATGTACTGCATGACAAGTCTGACAATCAGGCCTCAATCGCTTGGCTCGCCGGACCTTGCGGGCCATCATATTACGTCCGAGGGAACACAAATGCGAGTGGCATGATGAGGCGGATTGGCAATACTGCTATGAATCTATTACAAGTCAGATGTTTAGGTAGGGCTGGAGTTTCATCAAACGCGGCGAGGCTGAATCGCGCGCCAAGAGCAGAGCGTGATCGGCAACATGGAACTACACGAGAGGCTTCATCGTACACCAGAGAGAGGAGATTCTGTCTCACAACTACAATGACGATACCTATTACACTTCTCTCGTCGTAGGCGTCGTCGGCGTCATCTCTCTCGCTCCACCTCCACCACTGCCCAACCCCAGACTCCCAATCCTCATGGCAATAGCATTCCCCACTGCATCAACCGCTCCCTTCGGACTACCCAAGCTAATGCCCGACCCTTGCGAACCAGCCATAACAGAGAACAATTTGATTCTTGTCCCGGTCCATATCCCATTGATACCACGATTTACGGCAGTATCTTGCGCGTAGATGAAGCCCCATATCAGCGAGAGGTACCAGCCTAGTGAAAGGGATGTCCAGACGAAGTGCTGCACCTTCGGTGATGAGGTCGTGCCACCCGCGTTCTGGGCCGGCGATGTGGCAGTAGTAGATGATGCGTGGACTCGGCCGCCGTTCTGTATTAGTTCTAGAAAGCCGTGAAGCTGGAGGTGCGGGAGCCATGTCTCGAGCTGAGAAACTTATAGTCAGTACACCATCTGGTGTGACACGAGCGTAAGGGATTTGTGATTACTTACCCACTCAGGCGTCGCTCTAAATCCCTGTCCTGGTGGTGCGCCCGCAAGTCCACTACTCGACTGCGCAGTAGTAAGAGCAGGCAAACTAGCCGTGCTCGTGTTCCTACTCGTCGACCTCGAGAAAGAGCCCTGACCGACCGGCTGCTTGCCTCTAGCCTTCTCGGACATACTTCTAGATTGCAGCGGTACGGCGTCCTCGGTCACACTACTGCTTGCACTCAGGGGCGCCGTGAAAGAGGCACTGCTCCTCAACTCGCCTCCCTCTTCCGCCTCGTCATCCTCATCGTCCCCGATAGCAAAAGCACCATGCTCGGGCACATTTCCAAGATGCGGCGACCTCGTCGAGGCCGGGCTCCGCAGACTATCGATCGAACCACCACGGACAGGGCTCCTTACTCCACCCGCAGCAGCAGGGCCGACCAGCTCACCGCGATCTTTGCGCTCTTGCGATTGTCGATCAAGCTCCGCCAGCGCACCTTCAACCGTGAAGTCCCGCAGTGCATAGAAGCGTTTGCGCGTTCTAAGCACAACGTCCACGAATCTGCGATTAGATTCGACCTGATACTCGAGGATAGCGTTGAGTGCTCCCAGAAGCTGTTCTAGCAGTAGATGATTTGCTTCCTTTTCCAGCAAGAAATCGGGTGTTGACAATGAGCCGAACAGCTCCAAAAGTTTCGAGCTGGTGGCTCGTTGCAGATCTCGTACGTGCGGAGCGATGTTATTGATGGTGGCTAGGAGAGCAGGATAGATAGATTCCAATCGACCCTGTGTCGTGGTCATGAGGGTGTGTACAGTCTGCATCACATGATCAGCATTTCACCACCATATTGCCCTCCCAGCGTCTCAGAATACATACTGTTACGAGGAAGTCTGCATAACTTCCATGGAAGTTATGAATCCTGAGCACAGAAGGCAGACTATCATGCCCAATCAACGGCTTATTTAGTCGTCCTCCAAAGGCAGGCTCCACGCTCATCGTCTGCAGAATCAGCACACACATCCTCACAATTCCCTGCTTGCCCCGATCATCTTTGGCGCTCATACAATAAAACAACACCAGAATCACGAAGTCGTGCGCTCGATCCGTTTCTGTGATAAAAGCCCGGAACCGCTTATTCACCTGCAGGAGTTCCCAGAACAGGGCAAGCATTTCCGGCGCCCATGGTATCTGCTTGCTGCTGCCTCCCACGGCGGAAGGGAGGTACGACGATACGCCGGAGATGGGTTGCATGAGGACCGTGGTGAGACCTTGTTGTATGAATTGGAAGTCTTCTACGCGGTGGAGACGGCCGAGGGATTTGCGGTAGGCATTTGGCTCCGAAGGCTGATCTGGATAGAGGACTAGGATTAGGAGAAGGTCGAGGGAGAGATTGGCAAGCTTGGCTTTTGTGTCAGTCTCGGTTATGGAGGTTGTGAGATCGACGGGAACGCGCCAGGAGGCGGGGTTGTACTTCAAGACTGTGTTCAGCAGCGAGCATATGACGCTGAGGGCGACTTGTCGGTCGGGCTTGGTGGTCAGGTAGGATAGTGATCGCAACTCCGTCTCTGCCACGATGTGAGAGGGTGTATAGAGTTGACGGCTGAACAGGCTCAGCAGTAATCGCATGACCTCGATGGCGTGCCTCTCGTTCTCTCGCGTCATACCCACTGACTGCCGACATCCAATTCCACTATTCCAGATATGATATGTGACCTTCAAATCTGGCAGACCATCGGCATCCAGTCGCTTAGGCAGAGTGAACCCGGCGAAGAACAGATATTTCATCAGCAAATCTATCAATTGTTCACCAAGCGGTGGTCCAATATCCTTTCCACCAGCCTCAGCACCATCATCATCCTCCTCATTGTATTTTCTCCCTGGTGCCAACCCATCATAAAGAAGTCCGGGCCGATTGTGCTTGGTATTCCATATCTGCGCCGGCCTTCGTGGAAGCCAAAAGAAGCCATGCTCCCACGGTCCTAAATGATCCGCCTCATAGATATAGGGCAGCAATCTTGTCAATATCCTCACACAATTCAGGACCTGCGAAGCAATTGGCTGATGTGGATCAGCGAAACACCGTTGGTGCTGTAGGGCATCGAGACGAGCGACACAGGCGTAGACCAAAGTCTCAAGGTTCTTCTTCGGGACTGGTGGTGTACCTGGTGGGCGACTTGCGGTGTTCTGAGTGAGATTGCGGACGTCTGTGGGTGACCACAGGGCGAAGACGTCTTCGGCTGTTTCTGGAAGTTGGTAGAATTGGGCCCACCATGCTGAGTCGGCTGGTATATTATCCTCGCGAGCCAGACGGAAGACATCTTCTTTGAAGGTCAGCTTGCTCTCCGAGGCGCCCATGTTGGTGATCGAACGTCACTACTCAGACAGGTAGTCCGGGCAGTGCTTCTTAGCCTTTACTCAGCACATGTCAGCCTGCCTTAGCAAGAGGCAGCTGGAAACAAATGTGGTAATGGTGATCAGCTACCAAGGCTAGACGTTTTCTCTATCTCGGTATCAGTGGATCACAGAGTGTCACAAATGCTACGTTGCTTTGTGTCGTCCAACTTTCGTCGGTGTTGCTATAGCTATCGACGAGATCCGCTATGACTATGTATTAGATTGACTAAGTAGTAAGATCGTTCGGTCCTGAGGCAGCGTGGTAGTTGTTGTCCAGAGGTTTGTCGTCTTCTAATCCACATAAGAAGCTGGGACAGACTGAGGAGTAATAGTGCAGATACGAGAGCAAAACATAAATACGCTTGATAAACGATCAGCTATTGACGCAATGCCTGGCCCTGGCCTCCCATGCAGGGCGCAAATGCTCATGCAGGGTCCAGCGGACTACGGGCCGGGCGCATCCGCGCCAACAACTTCACCTTCACGAACACCACATCAATCTTCCTACTACGCCTTCTCAACACTGGCCACATGATGTCGATTGCAGAGGTGCGGTCGCGCTTCGAGGCGGCATTTGCCCAATCGAAGATACCGATCGATCCTCGAAGACCGCCACCAGATGCTGCGGGCTTCGTCCAGAACATATTCCTAGCAGCCAACATCTGCACGCGACGAAATATCCAGGTTTGTGGCATAGATCTCCCGGTCGGACGAGCACCTGAGCCCGACTTACTCGATCTCCAATAGCAATGTTCATCTTTCATCATCTCACATATCATACCTTCTCATGAGAAGACGATACTATTATGTCAACTGCTCTTCGCCATCAGTAGATCCTTCGAACCACGGGAGCCTGGCCGACGACGCGACACTACAAAAGCAGAAGACACGAACACGGGACTTGGCAAAATCGTCGCGGGAAAGTTGCAACAGCCTCCACAGCCAACTTTCAAACGACTACATATCCTGTATATCGTGAGTGATGTACTCACGACACTGCACTATCGAAGCTCGGACAGTCGCGTACCAAACCCAGAGAGCATTATTATCATCCATCGATATATTCCATTACTCGCTACATTTGCCACTTTTCGCGGCCACGAGACATTCACTCGAACCTACCCTCAGATCCTCTTCCTCCTCCTCACCTGGCGAGATAACGACATCTTGCCGGAGTCCCACATCGCCACGATCCACGAAAACATACTATTAGTCGATTCGTCAAGTCTCACCTGGCCAGCCTTTGGTACCCAAGTAGACGAGGAAGAAAAGAAGATCACCTTAGCTCTCGCCCACGAAGCCGAAAGCGCGAACCTCTCCCTACCCTCACGCCACAGCGTTCCCCACGACCCAACAGCGCCTTGGCATGAGCTCCCAGCCGCTAACGGCCTGTACATGAAGCGGACACGCGGCTACCCGCTGAAAGCCGCAGCAGTGCCGCAAGGAGGATATGTGGTCAGAGAAGCAGGTCAGTCCACTAACTCTATTCGTGAGGACTAGATAAAAATCCTAACCAATACACACGAAGCTCAAGACAAGCCGCTAGATCCTGGGTTGAAAGCCGAGGTGCAGAGTTTGCACAAAACAATGCTCCTGCAATTCGAGAAGTTCACCCCTGCCGAGGAAGTGCACGATATTGACGCCTTGGGCAATATTATCTATATCGACCCTGAACGGCCTACGAGGAATTACTGGGGTTGGAGTCTTGAGGGCATTCCGCGGATGAGAGAGCAGGCTGAGAAGGATAGGTTGGCTGCTAGAGGATATGGAGATTTGCAGCTTGGTGCTTCAGGGCCTGGGGGGGCGGTAGAGAGGGCTAGAGCTTTGGCTGAGGGGAGAGGTGGGTTGCAGCGCCGCGGTGGGATGCAAGGTGGAGGTGGGATGCAGGGTGGTGGTCAGAGGGGTGGTTGGAATGGTTCAGTCAGAGGTGGACGAGGATGGCGAGGAGGCGGTGGCGGTGGCGGCGGCGGTGGCGGTGGTGGTGGGAGGAGATGGTGATGCAGTAGACAGACACGACAGGTTCTGACTCATGGGCTGCACAGTAGGTATGATGATACGTACCATGTAAGATAGTATTCTACACTACTGCGCGAGCCAGGGACTTCTATCGCAGGTCACTCGCGCCACGTCTTACTCTGCATCTAAATCCCTTCTCCGCGCAGCGTCGCACGTTGCTGGCACCGAGCTGAGCTGAGCTGCCCTGAGGTACCCGGGGCGAGATCAGCCAAGTCCAAACCGAACTTAGTGCAGATTATTGCCTGGCCTTTGTGATCGTGTCCCTGCGCCGAGATGATCATAAGTGACAATTCTTGCTCCCGCGTCTAAGCCTCCTAGACGCCATGCAACGCCATGCTATGCTGAGCTGAGCTATCTATGTTATGCACTTTTCTACCCGCGAACCATATCTACAAGGCCTATAGCTTTTTACACCCGTAAGTACCCATCATTCAAGCGCTGTATAAGCATCCATCTCCTCCCCATCTCTTCGTTTTCGCTCTATCGGATCGTCTCGAATAATGACACCGGGGCCCATGGTTCGTGTACCATTGCTGCTACGATGTGATGGAAAGATCTACACCACAAAATCATTAGCAAGCTGCCCTGCCTGTAGGCTTCCCCCAATCTTTCGTCCAGCCTTACCTTAGTGTTCGCCCATCCTAATCTATAAGCAGCCTCATGAGCAAACAGCTCTCCAAAACCCAACATCAGTCCGTTCACAAATGGTAATAATAAGTTTATTGCTGCGCCGCGTAGTATCGACCATATTGTCGGTGGTTGGTATAATATCATTGGACTTGAGGAGCTGGAAGGTGGTGAGCCGGAGGGCGAGGTAGTGTCCTGGTTGCTGTGGTTTGCATCGTAGTTCTCGCTGTCTTCGGAGGGCGGAAAGGTTGCTTGGGAGGAGGAGAGGTCGCGTGGGCTGGCCATGGTTGAGGCCCGGTCGATTAGGTTACTGAGCAGGGCTGTCCGTTACTGGACCAGAGTCAATGGCAGTATGCTTCAGGGAGTGTCTGAAGTGAATGATCGTCGGCCGTCTCGGTGGAGAATAGTCGAATAGCTTGGATGGACATTCAATATTAATGGGTTAATAGGTGGTCTATGCGGATATGAGCTACTTTGGGAGTCGGCACATCCCTCCCAGATCTGGGGAAATGCAGGATTAGGTAAGCGAATGACGTTTCAATCTCGTGCCTGAGCTCGACTTTGACAAACATTTGAACACGAATTCAAGAAGCCCTTCTCACTCCATCACTATCTCATCCGAAAGGCTCATATCACCCAAACAGTATCACCAACTCACAATCGACACTTTCGCCACCATGGATTCAGAGCAAGCAGACAAGGTCGCACAGTTCAGTGCTGTCACAGGCGCCAACCCGAGCACAGTACGTCGCCTGAACAGAAATTGTGGACATATCAGGATGCTAACCTGATTCCAGGCACAGACAGCACTCGGGTCGGCCAACTGGAACCTCGAAGAAGCCGTCGCTCTCTACTACGCCGCCTCCGAGGACCCCCAACACGACCACGATGAGGACTTCAACGCAGATAACGACGAGCATCTCAACGAGGCCATGGCACAGTCAGCAGAACCACAGTCGAGCAGCTCAGCACCAGCTCCATCACAACCCAATGCTCCTCGCCGCATAACTGGTCAGGCCCCAAGAGCGGTGACGCTACGTGATTTGCAGCGAGGCGAGGAGGATGACGACGACCATGATGATCCAGACAAGAAGCCAGACATGTTCGCAGGCGGCGAGAAGAGCGCTCTAGCAGTACAAAACCCCGATCGAGGCGGTGGACCTGTCGATCACTTCCGCAACATCATGAACCAAGCCCGCCAGAACCGTTCCCGCCCCGGTGACGGAGACGACGAGAATGCTCCAGCCCAACCTTCCCACTTCGGCGGCCGCGCCCAAACACTCGGCGGCGACGATGCACCCAGCCAAATCATCAACGACCCTTCCTCCCGCAGTCAACAAGGTGGTGGTGGTGTTGGTCCAGCAGGCCGCTCCTCCCTTCCTCGCGTCACTCGCACACTACACCTCTGGTCTGACGGCGTGAGTATTGACGATGGTCCGCTCTTCCGCTTCGATGACCCGGCGAATCAGGACATGATGGCGCAGATTCACCAGGGTAGGGCCCCGCTGAGTTTGCTAGACGTGCAGCCGGATCAGGAGGTGGACTTGAATCTGATGCCGCATAAGGATGAGAAGTATGTCAAGCCGAAGCAGAAGTATAAGCCATTCGGGGGCGAAGGCACGAGGTTGGGAGCTCCGGTGCCAGGACCTTCAGGGTCGGAGACGAGCCAGGCGGCTGGTGTGCCTGCGGCAGCACCAACGGTAGCCGCACCGGCGTCATCGAGCTCATCTGATGGGAATAAGACGACGGAGATGGCGATCGATGAATCCACACCTACCGTCCAACTTCAGATCCGCCTCGGCGACGGTACACAACTTCGCACACGTTTTAACACGACTCACACCGTTGGCGACGTCTACGAGTTCGTGAATCGGGCCTCGAGTTCTTCGCAGGGGAGGTCGTATGCGCTTATGACTACGTTTCCATCGAGAGAGTTGACGGATAAGGGGCAGGTGCTTGGGGAGATGGGGGAGTATAAGCGGGGTGGGGTTGTGGTGCAGAAGTGGACTTGATGGTTTAAATGGGTGCGAACGTAGAAATTCAGGTCACGGAAACAGATTCTGCAGGCATCTGAGGAAGGTGTTATGATGCTATGAGCATGAAAAGCGATAGACTTGGAGGGTCACCCCCTCACGGCATGAGCGGTAGGACTCTCTTTACCATAGAAGGGCAGTAAGTGGAGCTGCTATGGCTCAAGTAGTCATGGGGTTGGGGCACTACATGCATTTCTACATGTAAACGCACCATCTCCATGTACACGTCCATCTGATTGATCATTGCAACTTCGTCTTATAGCCGTCTGAAAGAGAGCCATCATTACTGAGGCACCACGGGTGATCGGCCGGAAGATCAACGTGCGGAGACATTCTCACTCCACTTCCCTTTGACTTTGCACCACACATCATCGTCGCCTCCAAGCAAGCTACCAAAGTCCTCGTGCCACCGCCACGACCGTTGTGTGGCTCACAAAGTATGAAGGCTGATCAGTGGCTACAGAGGATCTGTCTAAGGCAACATCATTAGCTGGATCGCGATCTCATATCTCTCCAAGATGATCACTGCTTCCGGCAGCCCGCCTCCATCCAAGCAATGTCCTGTACTCCGCGGCAGCATTCCTTGTCAAGCGCGCCTAGTCAAGTCATGGGATTCCGGACTTGTCGTGCTTGTATGGACTCCACCACCATCTCCGTCATAGGACACCCAAGAAAGGCTAGCGATCGACGGCTCTTGTGTACCTCTAGCCTTTCACGGTCCTTGTCTGTCAAACACTAAACGTTTGTTTTTCTCATTACAGTATACTAGCGCGTCTGCCTGCCTGCTTGCTACTCCGCAAGTATCTTTCGTCATCTTGTCTTGGATGAAGTCAAAGTAGTGGGAACGTGTACTGTATACTCTGCTGAGCTCGATCTTTGCCAGTATACGAGATGGCACAATATTTCGTTGATAAAGCACTCGCAGCCATGCCTGATATTGCTCCTGATGGGCCATTGAAGGGAAAAGGTATGTGTATCATCTCGCCGTTGCTGCACGACCGAATCCTGCCCCTCTCTCAGATTTGTGTTCTCATACCGCAGCATGCTGATGCGTGACGTCCAGGTCTACTCTCGCCCATAGGTGACCCTCTGGGCCACGTCTTCGACAAAGGGCTAATGCCCGTCGGTCACGTTGTGGGAGCAGTAGCGAAGCCGAATGGGCAGGCGTTTCTGGACGTGCAGAAGGATGCTAAGGAGAAGATCACGGGTGTGAAAGAAGATGACGACAACGAGGAGAAGGAGAACAAGAAGTCGAATGAGGAGAAGCCGGGTGGGAAGAGCATTGGTGGCAATGCTCAGACGGGGCAGAATCCGCTTGGCCTCTGAGATGGGAGAGTGAGGGAAGACCGTGTATGAGGTGCTTGTGGGGTTGCATTGCGAGGGTGCTTTTGCGTGGAATTGTTGCATTTTAACACTGGCATATGGGATCTATGGTCCAGAACGAGATTGTACGATAATGAAGGTCGGGAGAGCACGAGCATTCATTGTGTGCACTGTAGGAAAAGAAAAGGATACGTCCGCATCAGTCGTCTTCGGGCTTCTTCTGTCCTCGGGACCACGATCATCAGAGATATGATGGTATCGAACTCTGCTCATGATCGCAATGTTGGCCTCGTGGTGGACTGGACTGGACACTGGCTTTCAGCCGTACATCTTACAAATCTCTTGTCTTCATTCGGATGGACCTCTGGCACGGATGTGCACCAGAGACGCAAGCCAGCAGATCCTCCACCTACAGTGCACCAACGCCTCGACTATGATAAGGTTGCTTCATCAGATAGACCACCTGGCACGCTCACCTTACCGCCAAGACTTAGACCTTGGTAAACACCAAGTCAAGATCACCAGGATCCACCGTAAAGTGATCCAACGTCTCAGTCATGATCCGCTTACCATCCTCCCCCTGAGCCAAACTCACGTCAAATCCCGCCAGTAATCTCGCAGTCAAAGTGCGCAACTCAGTCAGCGCCAGATTCTTGCCTATACAGCCCATCGGACCCATGCTGAAGGGAGCGTATGCATCTTTATGCTTGATCATATCGGGACGACTGTACCAGCGCTCTGGGACAAAGGAATCGGCGTCTTCGTAGTTGTGCTCGTCTGCACATCGGTAATGTTAGCGTACGGCAACCAAGGACCACGACTCGCTTGACCTACCTCGACCCATGACGTACGACGGCATGAGATACGTCGTTGAGCCGGGAATGAACGTCTCACCAACATGCAAACCCTCGGGTGGCGTCATCCGGAAGAGGCCACTGGGAACAGGAGGATGAAGGCGAAGAGCTTCGTTGATGGCGCCATTGAGGTGCATTGCTCCATGAATGTCTTTGTCGGACCAGTCACCTTTCATCAATGACTGAACCTCCTTTCGGATCTTCTGGACGTGCTCGGGCTCTTGGGCCAAGTGGTAGAAGAGGTAAGTCATTGCTCCTGCTGTTGTGTCAGAGCTAGAGCATCAGATCAGCACATTTCAAAGTCTTCATCGAGTCATAAGCACTGTGGCATACTGCAGGTCGGTCAGCCAGGTCGAAAGTCAAGAGGTGCCGATGGCAAGCATACCCCAGCAACGATAATCAATCTAGTATCAGCTTGCAACAAGGTCTCCCGTTGCGGCTTGTCAACATCTTGGTAAGCCTTCAGGATCCAACCCATGATATCCAGCCGTCCGTCCTTGCCCTTCGCAACAACATTTGCATTCTCTACCCTCCAGCTCAATTCTTGTATACAGAACTTGACAAACTTTTGGAAACCTGCACCAAGAAAGGGAATCTGCGTCAGGATTCGAAACATCCAAGTCGGAAGCATGAGAGCCAAAGGCTGCATGCCTTCGCTCAGCAACCCTAGAGCCGCATGCTTCTCGCCGGACTCCAGCATTCCGTAGTCCTTCCCAAAAGCGAGCTGGCCCATGACATCGAAAGACCAGAGGTTGAACCACTTCCTCACGTTCACCGGCCCACCATGGAAGTCCGTGATTCGCTGGACGAGAGTCTCGTTATACCGATCTATTGTCGTCTCATAATCCCTCAAGGCCTTGTCCGAGAACGCAGGAGCCCAGACCCTCCTTCGCTTGTCATGAAGTGCCCTGGATCGTGTGGTGTGCATGGAGCTATACGGCTTGTCGTTATCGTACCAGTAGGATTTACTCGATAGAGCATGCAGGCCAAACGTTGGTTCCATGAAGTCTGGGTCGATTATGGAGAGGTCGGAACTACCTATGCGGACAATGGGGCCATAACCGTCGTGCAAGTCTTTGAGCTTCAAATATCCGTCGGACTTGCCCAGTTGGAAGGACCACCAGAGGCTGGAAATGCGGGCGGCGTAAGGACCTGGATAGCGATTTAGGGGATTTAGGAAGAGGCGGTAGACCATGAGGCTTGCGTAGAGCCCTGTCAGGTAGGACAGGAGTGGCGCTGTTGTCGTGGTGATGGCCGGGACGAGGGAAACGTTGTAAGCTTTGGTGAGGACTATTACGTTGGCCACGAAGACAAGGAGAAGGACATTGAGATATTTGGTAGCGTGCATATGACATTCGAAACGGTGGAAGTAGAGGACGTGGCTCGCCGCGCCAGCAGAGCAGGTTAAAAGCAGGGTCATGAGGGCCATGGCGAAGCTGTGGTCCCCAATGTAGGCAGGCTGTACTGATGCTTTTGTTGACCTCTGTAGCGATTGTTGTGAGGTCCAATCTACTCGAGAGGCTGCTCAACATGATATCGCTCTAGCTTTGTGGTTGTAGTGTTGCTGTAGTAGTAGGGCCCGGGGAGAGCACATGACTGCCCCGCTTCAACGCGCATAGCAGAAGTGAACTCTATTCCTACGCTCCCTTATAGCCGTGTTCACATTGGCTGCGGCATTAACACAGCTCGATCAATACCTTGCGGAGATGTGGTCAAGTTATGCATCGCACACATATTGAGCGGACCACCCTGGGCGCGCGATTTTGTGTTCATACTTTGCGTTGTATGCCACAGTGGCACGACAAGGAATCTCACCACCCGGACACCCGTTGCATTCGCACATTAAGGCCACCCTTGGGTCGAGACGTGAGGCCAGTGACAATCTTGATCTCCTTTCCCGGGTCCGCAAGCTCCATCTCGAAGCATCCGACCAGTACCGCAAGCAGACTCGCAAACTCTCCTTTGGCGAAGCTCTGGCCGATGCAGCTTCGAGGTCCTACGCGAAAGGTTAGCGAAGCCATCGTGCTGTGCGACACAGATCCAACTTACCGTGTAAGAATGTCATGTAAGAGTAATTGCTACTCGCACCACCATTACCAGCTTTGCCTACGCCTAGCCATCTGTCTGGCTTGAACTCAGCTGCGTCCTCACCCCATAGCTCTTTGCTATGGTTAATTGCCCTCATGCTTATGATGATGTTGGTTCCTTTTGGGATGTACTGGCCCAGTATTGTGGTGTCCTTGGCGGCCACCCGCTTCGTTAGACCTGCCGGAGGGTAGACACGAAGGACTTCTGAGCAGACGGCATGCAGATATGGCAAGCTGTCAAGTAGTTCTGCTGTCATTGGTGAAGCGTCGGTCACCCCTGGTGGAGGTAGCTTGGCTCGGATCTCCTCTCTTAGCTTTGCCTGCACATCTTGATGTCGGCATAGAGCTAGCGTTGCCCAGGTCATCGATGTAGCAGTGGTCTCATGGCCAGCAGCAAGAAATGTCATGGTCTGATTAACCAGCTGCTCTTCTGTGAATGCTTCCGAGTCTAGCGCTACCGACAAGATATCCTTGTCAATGCTCTTCGTAACTTGTCTTTCTGCTTTCTTCTGCCTAATCAGCTGCCTGGATACTTGCTTGAGAGCCTGCGAAGCAACAGCAATGGTATCATTCCGCTTCGACAATGATGGCAACAGCTCTTTGACGACCATCTTGAGCATCGCCAGCTTTCCTTTCGGAGGCGATTGGTCGAACACTCGAGCATATGCGTTGCAGACTTGGTTGTCTGGGTTCTGGATGGCACGGAAATCTTGGCCTAGACCAGCAACGCCGATTATGTCCAACGTGGCACGTGGCAGCCAGTCTGCAATGTTGACTACTGATCTGTTGTCACTAATTTCTGTGGTCAGTGCTTGTGCCAGCTCGGCAGATTTCGACCAGAATATGGAATATAGATCCTTGACATGCCGGTGCGCAAAAGCTGGCATCAATTGTCGTCGTTGTTGCTGCCGTCGATCAGTGAGTACTGGCGAGAGAGACGCCACTTACAGTACGTTGCCTACCTTATGCTCATCTCCCTCAGCGATAATTAGTCCAACGCCCAGAATTCTGCCAAGACCATAGCGCAGTCGAGTTGGTTTGACGAAGTCATAGTTCCTCTGTACTAGAACCTCCGCGAGGCCTTTGACACTGGTCACGAACACTCTTTCCTGGTTACGCTTCATGCGATAGCGAATAAGGCCATCATTGGGAACCTCGTTGATCCATTCGTGCATTGGCGAACCTGACCGCTCGTCTGAAATAAGCTTGGCATGGCCATTGAACAGTTGTCCACCCTTGAAAGGAACACTGTCAACGTCTTTGCCACAAGGGAAGAAATTATGTACGTACCTTTGGTTCGGGCAAGTGGCGCAAAGGGCTGAAGAGTAGAGGATGTAGGACCGATGTCCATGATAGCAATATGACCAGGTTGACGAACAAGCACCCAACAAGACCGCGGGAGAGACTCCAGTCGAGTAATCTCTGTACAAGGAATGCTTCGACGACTGCTAGCAACAGAGCTGCCCACCTAGCAACCACCATAGCGGTCGTCGTTGGCTCGACGTGAGAAGGCAGTACCGCCACGCGTGAGACTTTACTGCTACGTGGTGTCAGAACCAAGCTGAAAATTGCCTCCGACCGTCTTGATCTGTGTAAGCGACACCACAGCCAGGCTTGTCCAGCTTAGATTGGACGTGCTTGGAGTCTGCATAGATGCTAGCGTAGGATCGCCGACGGACCAGAGCAGATATGCAGCTAGAAGCTCGAGGGGACACGCGAGTATGCCGTTCACATGTCAAGTACCCGTAGACCAAGGCGAATCGCCTGGGTGTCGATTACTGCCCGTCTAATGTCAATCGATTGGTGGCTGGGCACCGTGGTTGCCAGAAAGGAAGCTGAGCGCAAGTGTCTTTCGAAGTTTGAACTGTACCTGACTGCTTAGCATAGACACTTGCCAATTTGGCAGTCAACAATCTGTGCCGGAGTAGGACGCCGTGGACATGTCCTACCATACCGGACGTATTTATTGGACCTTTCGTACGTCTAACCCAATTGAGCGCGGACGGAGACAGCCGAAGCGCCTCCTAATCCTTCGTCTAACCAACATCAATGTGACTTTCACTTGCATATTCCTATGCTCCACACGAGGTTCAACGACTCACGAGCATGCAGCTGCATATTCCTACGCTAAATCACAGATCTGCCGATATCGCAGAAGGAACAGCGGCCGGCTCAATCCGCTATCTCGCGACATTGTGATGTCCTTGGCACGCAACTCACTTGTAATTTCAGGTACTACGGCCATGAGGACGGTGTGATCAAGGATATAGCATTGGTCTACCTCTCGGCATGCTAACTTTAAGGCTGACTAAAGCCTTACTGGTGTCACCTTGATCTTCAAGGGTACTTTCTCCCACGTCGTATAGATGTACTGCTGATCGATCCAGTCCTGCGACTCTGGCATCAACTCAAGATCGAAATGCCATATGAGCTTTGCTAAAATCAGCCTCATCTCAATATTCGCTAGGTTGCGGCCTATGCAATTTCTTGGCCCGAAGGAGAATGGTTGTAGAGCCTGGTAGCGACAGGCGTAAGGGTCAGTAGATGTCTTGGACCGCCCAACCACGGAGATCATGATTGTCGCTTTCTTACCTCTCGTTTGTCATTGGCATACTTCGGGTCATTGCTGAACCTGTTCAAGTTGTCAGAGCCATCTGCATATCTCCCTCTTCTGAAACAAGCTCACCATCTCTCTGGAAGGAATTTCTCCGGATCAGCAAAATTTGTTGGGGAGCGGAAGACTGCATATTGGGCCATCCCCATGGATGTGTTGCCTGGCAGCCATTGGCCCACGATATTGGCTCCCTCTGGCGGTGTCATTCGAGGATGCGACCCTGCCGCCGGAGGATACAGCCGGAAGGATTCATCAAGCACACCTACGCATCGACGGATGTACTGTCAGCAATCTTACAAATCGTACTACAAAATTCACCGCCACAAGGACCTTACCATTAATGTAGTGCAATTTGCTGACTTCTGCGATGTTGATCTCATCTGGACTAGTAAAGCTGGTACGGATTTCTTCTTTCAAAGTCTTCATGACATGGGGGTGAGTGAGCAGGAAATATGTCGTCCCAGACAGGATCGTAGCCGTTGTCTCGCTTCCAGCAATTACCATTAGGTTGGCGTTGGCAACCAGATCTGGGATGGTCAATTTGCCAGCCTCTTCTGCCTTCAGCAGATGAGACATGAAGTCCACATATTCTGGCTCGCGTGTCTTACGGCGCCTAACCTTCTCCTCGACGAGGCCGATGTGCCACCTGCGCCGTGCCACCATCTTCTTTGGCATGATGCGCAGGATCAAAGACCGGACGTCAAAGAATCTTTGCAGTGTCCTGATCCAGTGGACATAGAGGATCGCATTGAAGATCATGCTCATCCCTGAGATAGAGATCAGAATCGTTGAATGGATGTTAGACAGGATGAGAACTCACAGGGATGGTAATCTGTGTTCTTCAGACAGTCGAAAGGCTCATAGAACGCCAGGTGGCCGATGATGTCGAATGTAACATAGTTGTACCACCGCACGATGTCCATTATTGGCTCCTTGGCGGACTCTTCCTTGAGACGCTCAACGAGCAGGTCGACATAATGCAGCAGTACCGGCTCCTGCCTAAGAAATATGGATCAGCGAGGACATCACAAGGCCATGAGCACTGCATCACGGCCATCGAAACCAGCATACTGAACAGGGTTGGCCTTACCCCTTGAGTGTCTTATCTGAGAACGCATTCGATAGCAGCTTGCGAAGGTCGCCGTGGGTCTGTCTGTTCGCATTGATGATTGTGGGATGCCTGTGATCCGCATCCGTGTTCTCGCCGGGATCCTGCAATGGTCAGCTTGAATGGGCAATACAAGTCGTGCTCGACTACCTTGCGATTTTCGGGTCTGTACTTGTCAGCCCTGGGTTTATGGATATTCCTCGTCCGGACCCTACTCACAAGCCATTGCGGAACCCATAGATATCCTTCCACGCCGCAGCTCCAGAGAATGAAAGCTCTGTGGGCGCGATGCGGACAATCTCGCCATGCTTCAGATGCAGCTCATGGACCAGTAACGGAAAGCGACCACTCAGCTGCTGTTTTGCCCACCACAAGCGAGTCAAAGCTGCGATCTTTGGGCCTGGATATTTCGCAAGCGGATGGAACCAAAGACGGTAAACAGCTATCGCTGTAGCATATATGACAGGCTGAATTCATCAGACTTCACTCTCCCCGTCTCAAGGGGCATACGTACAGCAATTACGATTAATGCCAATAGCACTGGCAGGCTGGGTAGCAGCCGTAGTCTAGCAGCATCATGCTGCTCACCTTGCGTGGTCCCGGGCATTGTGTGATCGATCGGCGGAGTGTGGTTCTCAGAGGCTGTCAACGCATGGCAAGATAAGATCCAACCTCACAGTAAGCACGAATGTCCTTGAGTAATTGGAGATTGCTTGCTTGTGGACACCGCGAGACCGGAGTAGATTGAGTGTGAGTGGGTGAGGTTGCAGTGCGCTAGCTTTCAGCAGCCCCGCACACCTACTCCTTCGCTTCATCTCTTGCAGCTGATGACCACTTCTTGATCAACTAACAAAGTCACTACGTCTGCTGCCCAGCCATTCTGGCTCCTTGGATGCATCAAGCTACGGTCGTGGAGCTTGCTATGGCTAGGCAACGCTGATCTCGCATGTGTAGCGTGTAACAGGCCCTGTCGTCCTCCCTTGTATGAGCTATCGCTAAACGTTAGTCGGGAAGGTGGATGCAACCATGGGACCGACGTGGAGAGGGACTTTCACGTGCGTGCCACGGTGTGTGAACCAGGAAGAAAGGAATGCCGAAAGTACCAGCGTAGGACGACAACTTTGGGATCATGCCTTAGCGATCGTTCAGCCCAGCGCTGAGTGGGTGCCAATCCGAGAAATCAAAATCTGTAGGGACGCTCACGTTCTCCATCATCACTTTTCGCATACGTGATGGACGAGTCTAGTCTGGACTGGAGAGCTATCTCTTTGCTCGACGAGCTGACCAGCAATCTGCGAAGATCTCACGGTAGCGGCTGCATGAGCGTAGCCATCTACGATACTGCGTGGGTTTCGTTGGTTACGAAGCGTACCGGCTCCGACAAAACGTGGCTCTTCCCACATGCTTTCGACTATGTATTGGGCACTCAACTCGAAGATGGAAGCTGGACAGCCTATGCTTCACAAATCGATGGCATCCTGAATACTGCCGCATCACTTCTGTCGATCCTTCGCCATGCAAAGGAGCCACTGCAGATCACCTCCGACAACGCTACCATAACAGCAAGTATAGAGAGGGCGACCACTGCTCTTCAACGACTTCTAGACTCCTGGGATGTCAGCTCTACGGTTCATGTCGGATTCGAAATTCTGGTTCCGGCGGTTTTGAAGTGCATTGAGGATGAAAATGTCAGCTTCACCTTTCCACAACAGGAAATACTACTCGAAATCAACCAGCAAAAATTGAAGAAATTCGAGCCCGAATATCTGTATGGGAAGTACCAACTCACAGCCCTACACTCCCTGGAGGCTTTCATTGGCAAACTTGACTTCGACAAAGTTGCTCATCACAAGGTCAATGGCTCGTTCATGGCATCGCCGTCGTCAACAGCTGCGTACCTGATACATGCATCGACGTGGGACGATCAGTGCGAAGCATACCTTCGGCATGTACTAGCCTATGGTGCTGGTCAAGGGAGCGGTGGTGCGCCAAGCGCTTTTCCATCTACGATCTTCGAGCTCACATGGGTACGCATAAGTGATAAGGTTGTTTGGCCAGAGCTGACACCTCGCAGGCTCTGTCTACCTTACTCGAAGGTGGCTTCGACTTCACCAAGATCTCACCTTTCCATGCTACAAAAGCGGCATCTTTTCTCGAAGCACAACTCGCGGCCGGCAAAGGCGCTGTCGGCTTTGGTACGAGACCAGGGGACTACCTGACTATGCTCAGCTGACGGCTCTATAGCTCCTGGTCTTGGTGCGGACGCAGATGACACTGCCAAAAGCATGCTCATTCTGAGGTTGTTGAAGCAGGATGTGTCCATCGATCCACTTCTCCAGCATTTTGAGAGCGATGCGTACTTCAAGACCTACCCGCTGGAGCGCGATCCGAGTTTCTCAGCAAATTGCAATGTTCTTGCTGCATTGTTGCATGCTGCGGAACCTGCGAAGTACAGCAGTCAGATCGAGAAGGTCGTGAAGTTCTTACTGTCTGTATATCAAGACCATGGGCTGAGGATCAGAGACAAATGGGTAAGAAGGCTTGCTTCCGTCTAGGTGGCGCATTGTGCTTACTACAACAGAACATCTCGCCACTGTACTCGCTCATGTTGCTCGCCCAAGCTGGAGGCCGCATCATGTCTCTCGTGCAACAAGGCGTACTCTCAACTCTGCCGAGTGACATGATAGGGACTACTGTACCCGAAATGCTGGCGAAGATCTTTGCATTCACGATCAGCTCGCAGAACGAGAACGGTTCCTGGGGGGCTGAATCCACACTTGAGGAGACAGCATATGCACTGCTGATTCTCTCTACTGGCTCTGGGCTTCCTCATCCACAGGCTCAATCCGCGTCCGCACGCGCGATGGAGATTGGACGCCACTATCTCACCTCCACCAAGTCGACAACGCTGGAGTATCTTTGGGTCGAGAAAGTCACATACACCTCAAAAACCCTACGCGAATCGTATACGCTGGCTGCACTCAAGTCAACTGAGAAATTTATGCCCACCGATCAGGAGACAATTAATGGTCAGCCGACAACAAAAGTGGTCAATGGTACTGCCAAACAGAATCTTACAATCAACAGGCACCATAAGTTTGACTCCGCTGTGGCATTTCCGTCGGATGTCGTAACACGCTATGATAGCAATGTGAACGCCAGCGATGGAAATACTGTGCCAGCCACTCTTACATCGTGGAGTATCAAGAACGAGAAGATTGTGCTTGGTCCATATGACTATCTGAAGAAACAGCCTGGAAAAGATCTCCGGACTCTGTTCATCGCAGCATTCAACGAATGGCTACAGGTGCCTCTGGAGAAGCTAAAGGCGATACAAGAGGTCGTGCGGATGCTCCATACCTCCTCCCTGCTCGTCGACGACATCGAAGACAACTCGGACCTACGCCGAGGCCGACCAGTTGCCCACAGTATCTTCGGGACAGCACAAACCTTCAACTCAGCCAATTACGTCTACTTCCTTGCGCTCGAACAAGTCCGAAAGCTCAACAACACCAAAGCTACGGATGTCTTTGTAGAAGAGCTCGTCAATCTTCACCGTGGCCAAGGGATGGAGCTCTTCTGGCGCGACTCGCTCATTTGTCCCACAGAGGCGGAGTACATCGCCATGGCAAGCAACAAGACCGGTGGTCTCTTCCGTCTCGCTGTACGTCTTCTCCAAGTCGAGAGTCCTACTGGTCGTGACTGTCTTCCTCTGGTCAACCTCCTTGGTTTGCAATTTCAGGTCTGTGACGATTTTTTGAATCTCATGTCTACCACATATACCGCCAACAAAGGCTTGTGCGAGGACTTGACAGAGGGCAAATTCAGCTTTCCCATTATACATAGTATTCATGCGGACGAGTGGAATAAGGAGCTACTCGGTATACTCAAGCAAAAGACCAAAGCTGTGGATGTGAAGAAGTATGCTGTCGAGTATATGAGGAGCACGGGTAGCTTTGAGTACACTAGAGCTATTGTGAAAGATCTCGGAGGCAAGGCAGAGAGACTGGTGCGTGAGTACGAGGAGGCAGGGTGGGGTGATGGGAGTAGTGTGAGGAAGCTGCTGCAACGCATGAGTCTCGATTAGAACGTTGCCTAGAACACACATTAGACGGTTGTAGATGCGTGCGTGAGGTATTTTTCGTGAATAAATGTTCATCGAGCATGCTTCAGTTGAGGAGTACTCTTGCAGTTTTGCCAGAGCGTATGATAACGATCTTAGTCAGAAATCCACGAGTGTGTAATGCTGGAATCTTCCTTCGAACATTCTGGGCCATACATGATCGTCGAGAGTCGTGCCAGGTGTCAGATGATAGTCCGTGGTAGTGGACTCAACTGTACAAGTGTCAGCGTCCGCATTCGCGCAGCGTGACCTTGAAACTCAACTCAACCTCACCCGGGCTGCCATCAATTGCTGTGTCCATTCGACATCATACACGCGTTCTTGACTAAAACGATGGCAGCACTCGTCGCACTGACACAGGAACAATCCAACTCTGCTACGGTGCGGAACACCATCCTTGACGCCGACGGCTCGACGTTACCATCGCCGCCATTCGCGAAAGTCGAGGGCGTACCCAACTTTCGAGATCTTGGTGGCCACAAATGTCCCGACGATGCTGAGTTTGGGGTATCACGATGCATACGATACGGCTACCTCTTCCGAAGTGCTCAACCGGCTCACATCACATCTACCGGCATCGACACCCTTACAAAGGAACTGAACATTCATGATACGTACGACTTGCGGTCTTTCAAGGAACTTCGATTGATGCAGCAACGCTACGATGACCTCTCAGTCGAGATCCCTGGAGTGACACGCCATCATGTACCCATTTACAGGGACGAAGACTACACGCCCATCTCCATGGTCGAGAAATACAACACTGCCCAAGCCGACACCTCAAGCATGGACCAAAAGCTCAACAAGCTAGCTGGTAGAAGCAAAGACGGCTTCATCCAAGCCTATGGAGATATCCTCGTCCAAGCAGCTAAAAGTGGAAGCTATCGCACGATCGTCCAGCACATTCTCGAGCACCCGGATAAACCGCTCCTGGTGCATTGCACCGTGGGCAAAGACCGCACAGGTGTCTTCATAGCATTGTTGCTCAAGCTGTGTGGTGTCAGTGATGAAGCCGTCGTGTGGGATTATGCTCTCACCACGTCAGGTCTGGGCAAGTGGCGAGAACACCTCATCAAGCGGATCCTAGATGGTGCTGGCAAGGAGTATTCAAATAAAGGCCATGACAAGGATGAGCAAGAGGGAAGCGGAGTCACCAGAGAGCAAGCGGAGAGGATCGTTGGAAGTCATGCGGAGGACATGGAGATCTTCCTGGAGATTGTTCTTAAGGGAAAGTTCGGCGGCGCACGCAAGTATCTCAGGGAGGAGTGTGGGTTGAAGGACGAAGAGCTGGACAAGGTCGTCGACCACCTCACGATTGAGGGCGAGGGGGCTGATTTTGCCGTGCATGCGGCATTGTAAGCTGGGTCTACCATATTGCTGTGTTTCAGCACGACTGTCATCAGCATTGAATAGCAGTGTCGACGGCAAACTCCTGTCAAAGACACGAAATCGCTGCAAGTATCACACTTGTGCTCTGTGACTGTTCGGAATTCTCCGGACGCGTGTAATACATGGCAAAGCGCTCGAGATCGCTCATCTCACGTCTGGACGCTGTCGCCCAGATTGAGCGCTTTGGTAATAATCCTGGCCCCTGAAATAGCTCGTTCGGGCTCGATCCCGATTGGCTACCGCTGTTGATTTATATTTTCTTTGGAGGCCATTCGCTGAGCATTCTCTTTATTATGTGCCACCTGCAAAGGCAAGACAGTCTGTGGAACAGCGACATCAAGGCTAGCACCTGTACTATTCGCCGCGCAGTACCATTCACAGAATACACCCGACTTACGCGGAGGCACCATGGCGGCTGCTTAGTCTTCAGGCAGTTGGATCGGCTCCTGCTTCCCACCACTATACGCCGATCTGGGCAGCCATATCGAGAGCTGCGTACGGGGTGCAGGCTACTGTTGTAAAGCGACTCTTGTTGGCACAAGTTTCTCGTTTGGTATCTTCCTCCTTCCAGCGCTGGTCGCATCATAGAACCACTTCGGCCGAAGATGGCGTGCGTCTGGTGGCCGGCCTCGAACAGGGATCCTACACAGACCAAGGTGCACTCATGCACTCAATCCAATGCCCAAGCTGCTCTGATCTTTCTGGGGCAGGCATAATGCAGCTGCCACAAACAGCAAGAGCCCGAACATAACAAGAGTGACCTGTAGCTGCAACGTTGAGGCGCACAAGTGTTACGACATATCGAGCTCGTTCCAATCGCTCGCGAGACACATGACGTTGTCCAGTGTCTGCTGTGACTCTTTACTTCGTTGGATCAGGAGCATGCCCTGTAGTCGGCAGGGCATGCTCCACTATTGACCTCAGTCTTCTTCAGCAAAAGCAGAGTGCGTTCCACAACAGTCGAGCTGTGCCTTGTGCACTGAGTGTATGAGACTATCCTTTTCTATGCCGCAAATCTATGCACTGCAATATTTGCACACGGAGTTTGGACTAACTTCAACAGAAGCGCACCAATCGTGTCTCGAGTATCTCATTGCAGCACAATACTACTAGCAGTACCTGGGTCGACCCTCGAATGAGCAAGCCATCGAGACACCTGGATTTAGTCAAGCCTAGTCATTGACAGCTTCGACCAAGTATCATCTGATCATGCCGGTCTTCCGACGGGCTGATGTCCTCAGCAGCGTTGCTGTGCTATGATTGGTCGAAGGTAAGGTGAAAGTAGCTCACGATCCGCAGAAGACCTAGGGGCCATCTTAGAGCTGTGCTTGCTTGTTTGGGCATGGCAGCTCCAGTGGCACTTTCGAAAACCTGCAAGCACCTCTTGATCTTCTCATCATCAACATAGCTGTCTTTGACGGGTCCACGCTCAGCCAGGGATGTTCCAGGGCGCCTATCATCGCAAGCAGATCCTGGAGCCAGTCCAATTCGATCGGAATGTACCTTGATCTCAACAAAAGGGCCCAGGAATCCACTCGTGGACGCATGACACCGGTTCCGTTCGAGATGCTTCGCTCTTTTGCGAACCTGTTCGCCTCGCAACCGGGCTTCAGAACAAGGCAACTGACTGCGCTAAGCTACGCCCCAGTACATGACGCTGGCACTGTATGTCCAGATGTGCTCGTCATATTAGAGTTCCTAATCGGCCTCAGACAAAATAGTCTTTTCCGCATCGGAATCTGGTACTTCACACACACGAACGGACCACGAACAATCGATCTCTCACCGTTGACCATACCAAGTACCGACCACCAAGGCATCTGGTGCCATCCGAGCATCGGCCGCGGGTTGCGGACTGGACGATAAGCGAGGGCTATCAACAAAGTTCAGACAAGCGCTTCTCACCTTGTCCAACTCGAAGCGTGGCCAGACTTGTATAGCCGAAGAAACAGTCTTGGTTGTTGAGCCGCATTGTTGAGCCTCATACGCGCCACAAGCTCACGTGTTCTATCGGACAGAGTACCGACGCTCATGACTGGCTATCGTGCTTGTGACGGCGGTCGTCCCCAGGATTGCCCGGTCAGGACGTCAATCGCTGCACTAAATACGAGATGATCCCTGCTGGTTGGATGAGGCGGTTTGAGGATGCGCTGCCGTACACTAACATGATGATGTTGTGGCTGCGATCGTGCTATCGACAGCCGCTATACATTACCATAACTGCCGCTCGCATCTCCGCAATCTGGAGTTACCTGTGATAGTGTCCCGAAGTGGCCGAGAGACTCTCCATCACCGAACCGTCTTCTTCAAGTTGCAGGCACTGGCCTCTATGATGTCTCAAGAACCACAACGGGGTTCTTTGCGCAAGGCAGACTTCGACACCATGGACTTGGGTCTCATGAAAGCTGACTTACTCAATGTACTGAAGTTTATGAAGCCGTCAACGGCACGATCTATCCGTGTTGTGAAAGTGTTCTAGCGATACCCTCCTCCCATGGCCCGACGAACGATAGTGTAGCTTGCTTGGAGCTGTCGAGCTCTGTGGTTGGGTAGCCTCCTCACCGGTCCTTTGAGTGGTGGGTATCGAGCGACGGAGCAGAGGGAGGAGAGATACGTCAATGTATCAGTCAACGAACAAAAGCAAGAATGGCTTCAATGACATGTGTAGGTGCTGCCGGTGATTGCTTTACAGCTGCGTTCCCGATGTCCATGCTGGTTCTTCTCATACATTTCTGAGCCTGTAGTAGATGATGAAAATTTCCTTGTCACATAAACCAAGTGCTCTTCATCCTAGACTATGACGACCTCCATGACGATTCGGGAAGACTGGCAGAGTTTCACTGCCACAGTGAGGTCTTGACTGACGAAAGCTGGCTGAAGCCTGCCATGCCAGTCAAAGTCAGCATTGCAGACAGAACAAGAGGTAGAAGCTGCCCAAAGAGACCCTTCTGTATAGAAACAGCTATAGCTAAACGAGGCAATGTGTTTTAGCCAGTGACACAGCACAAAAACAGCAAAGGGGTATATCCCCAATGACTTCTAGCCCATCACGCAAACATAACAGCACGAATGAGCCCCTCACACTTCACGCCATTGTCATGACAGCACACCACATCTCACCGCCAAACCTCGGAATCGAGTCTAATACCCCTCCCCAACTCTAACATCCCTCTCCACCCTCTTCTCCCGATCGATCACCGGCCTCCCCGGACCACCCTCCACAGCCTCCACCCGGTTCAGGAGACTGCCCGGAACAAACCGACTAGCCTCCTGAAAATCCACCAATGGCGCCTTGGCCCTCGGCCCGTCAACAACAACACCGTGGCCTTTGTCCCCTCCACCCCAGCCGGCCTGGGCTTGCGAGGACGCGAGGAGACCTTCACCTGTGAAAGCTGTTCCGGCGTTCTCGTCGGACTTGGCACGGGACGACGTTTCAGGACGTTTGTTCACGGAGTTTGCGCGACGGTGGGTGGATTTCGAGGGTTGAAGGCCACCTTGCTGATGTTGCGACTGTGGCTGTGGTGGATTTTGCGCGACGTTATTCGGACTCCGTCTCCAATCGCTCGCTGGCGGTGCCCCAATGAAGTCCTCCGGACTCGTGGCATTAGCCACCAAGCCCCCGAGACCCGATGGATCAGGCCTGAAAGCCTTACCTTTATTCGTATGTTGGAGTGGTTCGCGATACTGCGGTGTCAGATCCACGAGCGGCTTCGGCGGAACCTTCTCCCGCACAGAGCCTGAACGTCCTAGCTCGTTGTGATTGCTGCTGTTGGGAGCGCGCGTAGACTTATGCCGCCGCATATCCCCACTACTATTCTGCTGCGCGACCACTCGTGTCGACTTCCCACGCTGCGGCGCCTCAATCTCGAGCGATTTCCGGAAATGACTCCTTTCTTCCTCGCGCGTGGCATCCAAGCCACCGTTTAGCAAATTAGGTCCGGCGGTGAAAGCATCCACTCTCCTCGTGTCCTTCTCAGCAACATCCCTCTGCCGCTGCGAATAACTCCTCCCAAGTAAACCCGTCGTAGCAAATTCCTCCTGCCTCCCAGAAGCATCCGTGGACGTCCTTTTCTTGTCCACTGACCCGCGTCTGGCCAAGTTCGCAAGGGGCTCGTCATCAGCCAAGACTTTGCCACCCGGAGCCACAGGCGGAAGCTGTGTTTGACCTTTCTTCCGCGTGCTCGTTCTCCGCTCAGGCGAGACCATAGGATCGAACTGATTAGCCGACTTGTTGAACCCAGCCGAAGACTTCGTAGGCCCCTGTTGCTCAACACCCGTACCATCAGTCCCATTCACAGGCATATCGAACTGTCCGACATGCATCGACAATGGCCGGAAAGACCCCAACTGATAATGCGAGCCCACACTATCCGCACCCCTCTGATGATGACTCCTACTCCCCGACCTCGCCACTCCCTTACCCTCACCCGGGTGAGCTGCCCCTTGCGTCGCATCGGCAGCCTTCGTGACTCTCTTCCCTCCCTCCCCAAGCACATTAACCAAATACCAACTCCGCCAACCCTGCACCGCCCGGAAAAACTCGTCCGCAGTCCTGGCATCATTCGTACAGAAGAAATGCACGAAATTCTGCGTCGACTCGAACATGATCGCTTTCTGCTGGGACTTGATAGCAAAACAGTGTTTCTTCGGCGGCTTAATCTTCTTCCTCAGTTTCTCCGGCGTCGGTGTGTAAATGTCAAAGTCGCTCAGGTGGCAGATGTTCTCCGTCTGCTGGGGTTTGTTGGGATCGCGTTGCATGGAAATCTGGCCGGTGGGGTGGAGAGTGATCATTCGTTTGTCCCATTTGCCTGGTTTCTGAGAGACGGAGAGAAGCCAGCTTTGTTCGGAGGGTTCTTCTTTCGGTGCGCCGGCGAGACTGAGTTCGGCTTCGGAGGTACCGGTACCTGGATCGACGAGGAGGAGGCTGTTTTGGCGGTCGGTGTCCCAGCTGTTCATTACGTCGCGGACGTGCTCGTAGCGGCGTAGGGCACGTTGGATACCGACGCTGCCGAACATTTCGAGCAGAACTGCGGAGCGAGGGTTGATGCGTTCGGACATTACCGTTGCTGCGCTTTTGATGATGTCTATTGGAGTTGTTTCGATGGTGACGGGAAAGACTGTCTTTGACTTGCCACATTCGACCAGGACTCTTCGGTCACCACTATTGACAGCTGATTTGGGTACATCCTGTGTTGCAGGCGCAAGCGGTCGCTTCTCCGTGTGTCCTGGAGTAGCCTCACCTCGCTTGCGCTTGAATAAGCCGAAACATCCTCCCTTCTGTTCGTCTTCCTCATCATCAAATCGCGGCAACTGATTCGTACTCTTCGTGGCCCGGATCTTATCGGACGAAGGCGGTCCATCCATGACCACCGGCTTAGTCGAAGGACGAACAGGGTCAGCGCGAGGAGGAGGGAAAAGCTCAGTCTGCGGAGCAGTATCTTGTTTCCTAGGCGACTCATCCTTCCTCACATTCAATTCCTTGTCATACGCGCTAAGCTTCCTAGGCGCATTCCCATACCCATCAGCATCAACCTGCGCCTCTACCTCCTTAGTCGCTCCCAGCCGTGCGGGAGGACTCTCCTGCGACTGCTGTCGATGTACACTCTTTCCCCTATACCTCTGCGCGGGCGAGGACCTCGCATTGCCCTCATCTCGTCGCGGAGAGTCATACCTGCCACTCCCCGTCCCGCTCTCGTCCTTCGGACTACTTTCCACAGCAGTGTTCACAGCATTCGTCGCATTCTTCCGGTGATACCTCGACCGACTCCTCACGACCCCATCACCAGCCTCCACCTCATCCTGAGGGATCGGAGGCACGTCCGGTGTCTCGTCTTCTTCGACCAATTGCTGCTGTGCCCGTCGCTGGCTCCTATAACGCGAGACTCGCGGTTCCATCTTGTCCATGTTCTACCAACTCCATGAGCAGCACACGCGCGTCGAACAAAAGACCAGTTGCCTGTATAATATGTCCTCTACACGCAATGGCCAACCAAGATTGATCCCAAAGGTCTGGCGACACAGCAAGTTTATACGAGGCCTCGCGACAGGGATGTTCACACCCCTCCGTCAAATGTGTAGGGTCCGCGTGACAGTCCACACAATGATCTACCGCAGTAGTCTGAAGGAATCAGGATTTCGTCCTCGAGGCTGTGCAAATGGTCGCTTGAAACGGTACCCCGCCATCCACTCGACAATGAACGAAACTTGAAGCAAAGGGGCATGTCGCATACCAGGATCAAAATATCAATCTCTTTCGCGCAAACAGAGTTTCACGAAACGGTTTAAGCTTCAAACGCCGTGGAGTTGGACGCGTCCCGAAGGGGTCAAGTGTCGGTTCCAGAATCTCGGCCACGGCTAGACCTGCGAGTGCCAAGGACTGATACATTGTCTAGACACTCATATCGAACGACAGCAACCATCGAAAGGACCAAGGGTATTGTGAAAAACAACATGACAGTCTATCTCGAAACGCCCGCTATATACACTCACTCACCTCATCGTTGCCAAAAATCACATTCTCCACCTCACCATTTCCTCCTTCGTACTACCCTACTCATCAACAACCCCGGCAAACTTCTCCCTCATATCCTGCATCAACTGCTCATATATCCCACCCACCTTCTCCTCCCCATCCGACGGCAACTCAAACTTCATACTCCTCAACCTCGACTGAATCTCACTCGTCGACTCTCTAACCTTTGACCAATTCGCTCCCTGCCCAATCGCCTTCTGCGACTCGTCGTGGAAACCCATCATACACCTCATCATCCAGAAGGTCTTCCACAGCGGGCAGAACTGATCGTAGTCCGAGTACCCGTTCTGCTGCAAGAAGTCTTCCTTGATGAGGGTCGCGACGTCGAGGGTGATTTTGTCCGAGTCGCCAAGGGCGGATTTGCCGACTAGCTGGACCACTTGCTCGAGATCCTCGGATGTGGAGAGGAGTTCGCGAATACGGTCACGGAAACGAGGGAACTCGGGCATGGACTTTTGGTAGGTGGGCTCCAGGGCGTTGGTGTATTTGGAGTAGGACATGCTGGTATTGATCGAAGGGAAATGTTTGCGCTGCGCCAATTTCTTGTCAAGACCCCAGAAGACTTGCACGATGTTTAGCGTGCTACTGGTGACAGGGTCGGAGAAGTCGCCTCCTGGTGGCGAGACAGCGCCGACGATGGAGACGGACCCTTTGCGGTCGGGGCTGCCAAGAGCCACGACACGACCAGCACGCTCGTAGAAGGAGGCGAGTTTGGCTCCTAGGTAGGCAGGGAAACCCTGATCTGCGGGCATTTCTCCCAGACGACCGGAGATCTCACGAAGGGCTTCGGCCCAGCGGGAGGTGGAGTCCGCCATCATGGCGACGGCTTTGCCTTGGTCGCGGAAGTACTCGGCTACTGTGATCCCGGTATAGATGGAAGCCTCGCGGGCAGCCACGGGCATGTTGGAGGTATTGGCGATGAGGCAGGTACGCTTCATGATGGGTTCTTGGCGCCCGTCGACATTGATCGTAAGCTGGAACGGAAGTCAGTATAGTCTTTGTGCGCAGTGCGAAGGTGATAGCTCACCTCTGGGAAGTCCATCAACACCTCAGCCATCTCGTTACCACGCTCGCCACCTAAAAGTGATAGTCAGAACCCACCAATGTCTCGTATATGGGTTCATACTGATGGTTCACTTACAGCCCACGTAAACAATAATATCACTGTTCGAGAACTTGCTGACCGACTGCGAAATCACCGTCTTTCCGCATCCGAAAGCACCAGGAATACAGACCGTACCACCCATGACACAGGGATAGAGGGCATCCAGCACTCTCTGCCCGACAATGAACGCTTCAGCAGAAGAGAGCTTATCAGTCACAGGTCGCGGCACACGCACAGGCCACAGATGCATCATAGAGTACTCCGACTTCTTCCCTTCGAACTCCAACTCCAGAATCTTTGTATCCACGGTATACGACCCCTTCTTTGGCATCCTCGTAATCGTGCCCCTGGCACGCGGTGGCAGCAGGATCTTGTGATCATTGAGCAGACTGTTCTCAAAAACAGACCCAAACGCATCACCGCCGGTAATGTTATCACCCTCCTTGAACTGCTCACTAGGAGTAAACTCCCACTTCTTCGTCCGATCCAACTTGGGCACATCAATACCGCGAGGGATATAAATACTCCCACTCGCGTCACTAATCCCCTTCAACGGCCGCTGAATCCCATCATAAATCGTCTCCATCAATCCCGGTCCGAGCTCGACACTGAGCGGCTGTCCGGTACGGTAGACCGGGTCGCCGACCGTGACACCGGCCGTTTCCTCGTAGACTTGGATGGTGGCTTTGTCGGCTTCGATGCGGATGACTTCGCCGACGAGGTTGTCGTGGCCGACTTTGCAGAGCTCGTACATGGCGCAGCCGATCATGTCTTTGGCGACGATGACGGGGCCGGAGATGGAGAAGATGGAGCCTTCTTGCGTCTCCTCGCGGGCGGAGGCGGGGGTCGTCATGGTGGCGGTGTGGTGGGGTGGGTCAAGTTGTCGTTGGTGTGGTTCTTGCGAGGCTGCTGGTGTTTTCGGCAGCTGTTCTTCTTTTCCCAGTAGTATGTCCTCTTCGATCTGTATAACGATCGTAGGTGGTAGCGGTGTCTTGTGCAGCACAGGACTCGTGGGTACACTAGCAGGTAATGCTACCTCAGTCGGTATAGCACGTTGCGTATCTTGATCTTCCAAGTCCTTTTCGGCAGGACTATAACTCTCTGTCCCGATATCTTTGATGCGTTTTCTCGAGCCAGGAGTTTGCCTCTGCTCAAATACAGCCTTCTCTTCCCTCTGTAGCCTAAGCTTCTGCTCAACAACACGCTGATGATGTATAAGGTCGAGTAAAGAGGGACGGGATCGCAAGGTAGGTCGTGGCCGCAGACCTAGCATGCAATTGCTCTAGCTCTTGGATGAACCTATCGGCGAATTTACACAGATGGAGGTGGTGTAATGGTAGGGCATTGGAACAGGCAGCTCGATCGAGCAAGACAGCTTTGAAGCTCTGCCGCTATCGCCAAGCCAGCATGACGGAAGTGCACGGACATTGTTAGTGGCGCAAAAGCAACGATACGAAGTCAATGCTTATGAAAGCAAAAACATGGGAGGGGAAGAATTTTAAGGAGGCAATCATGGTCGTGATAATTCTACTGTTACTGTGATGCTCATAGCAGAGACTTCCACACACAACGACCAGGATACCGAGCCACTCAAGCCCAAAGCAAACCTCGGCCTCCTCGCTCCACCTTGTCCTCACCTGAGTGACCATTCAGACGCGCCATCGCGCATTGCCACACTCTATGCCTAACGTGCTCCATCCCCACGTTTACTCGCTGACTCACAGACAGACCCTCATTCCCATCTCCCACGCACATGACAACCACCACTTCGTTCCGTTCCCTCACTGCACCTGACTAACAATCTCACTAGCCTTGGACAAACTCTCCACCATCTGCTGACATTCCTTCCTTCTCCGAACAGTATACTCGCTCTCCTTAAGCAGATCGTCAAACTCCGCTTGTCGATACATCTGCTCCAGCAACTCCCTCTGCATTTCTTCCTTCGTGTGTCTATCACATCATATTAGCCTCTCGTCCGTGACAACCAGGACGACACGCAAGCCGCATGGTTTCGACTTACTCAACAAGATTGAACATGATAGCCTTAGGCACCATATCAATCATCGTCCTGCGCACAATATTATAATAACTCGTAATCAGCAACTTGATGACCTCCACCTCCTGACTCTCCTTCTCAGACAACGTCCCACTAGCTTTGAGCGAAGGCGGTGGTGCCTCCATAGCAGCCATCTTCTTCTTATTCTTGCTGGCGAAGAAGCTGCCGAAGAAACCCGAGTTCTCGCCATTCGTGAGATCCAGACTAGGCGAGTTCGATCGTGGCGGCGGCATAGCTGAGGCGGGTAGCGGCTTACCAGTTTTCGGGTCAACCTGCACGGGTTTCGCAGCGTTGTGTCTCTCGTTCACGATAGCCATGGCGCGGGATCCGTTCAGGAAGTCCGGGTGTCCGGTGTTGACATAACATGACTCCATACTCACCAGGTCCTTGACGAGTTTGTTGGTCGGATCCATCGATTTCTTGAAGAAGCCAATCACCACCGCGTGGAATTTCTCCTTGAGTCCGGGATATCTTCGGAACAAAGGCTTGTTGAGGAGTTGTCCCAGAATGCGCACAAGTTCGTCGTAGACCAAGCTCACGCATTTCAAGGATGGTTCTTCGAGTCGCCTGATCTGCTGTTTGACGATTACCTCAAAGGCGGTGGTACCGACGAAGAGGGCGGGCGAGGAGCCGGAGGAGTTGTAGAGGATGGTTCTGATATCGATATCCTTAACTTGGTCGAAGGGATCGACGGCTTTGACGCCGTTGGAGTAGAGTTCGTGGTAGACGAATGAGATACGTGCGCCACCGGAAAGTTCGACGGAAGAGAGTTCGGCGTTGTGGCCTTCCAGTACAGTCCGATACTCATTGCTGAACTCAGTGATGATGTTGAGAACGATATTGGCGCTGTTGCCGAGCATGCTATCCCCGAGACTGCCCAGCTCTTGACTGTACTTCTGCAGTGAGGACTGAATTCGAGCTTTGATATCCGGGAGCGTCTGCTTGATGTGCATCATGAGGATGAGGTTAAGTTTTCGTGCCAGGTATGGGGTTCCACAGTACGAGGCCTTGTTTCGATACGCCTTGTGATTCTCGAAAAAGTTGCGTTCGGATTCTAGGGCGCTGGAGATGGCTTTCTTTTGCTCGATGTCTCGCTGTCCTCGGTTGACCACGGGCACGTATCCTAATCGCAGAGGGATGATTCGGCCAGCTAGGATATCCACGACGTCTGTGCCCTCGTCCATCAAGTCCACTTTCGTAAGCACACCGATTGTCCTTTGACCCTCCGGATCTACTTCTCGTGCCAACTTCAACCCGTCCGAGTTCGCCAGATCCGTGTTCGCGGCCGTGACGGCAAGAATGATTGCATTCGGCTTGCTAATCTGCTTCAACACCATCTCCTTAATCTGCCTCTCGATATCCCTCGGCTGATCACCAACAGGCACTTTTGTCAGACCAGGCAAATCCACGAGCGTAAGTGTGAGAACATTCGGACTGTAGATCCTTAGATTAATTGGCGCGGGACTGATGCCCGCATTGCGACCAGTCTTGCTCTCTGTCTCCCGTACGATCTCTTCCCGTATCTTGTTGAAGTCGTAGAATTTCTGGCCTGGAATGTGTAGGAATTCACCCCATTCTTCTAAATTGCTGGCGGAGTCTGTGGTTTCGATTTTGGTTTCGCTGTCCGGAATGCCATTCGCTTGTGTTTTTGGTAGGGGTGCGCGGTTGATCAGTTGGAGGATGAGGGGTCGTCGGGTCACGATACCAGTTCCTCGAGGTAGGCTGCGCAAAGCGATGTCAATAGTGTGTCCAATTTTTGTATATCTCTTGACCTTACAAATCTCGTCCGACTATGTTCTCCAAAACACTACTCTTTCCGCTTGATTGCGAACCTACGACGGCGATTTGCGGGAGATCGATAGGATTTTGAACCTGCAGTATACCATGTCAGTCCACTATTTTGCCAGTTGTGCTCTATCCACGACGTACGCCAACAGTGGTGAAGACATCTTGTAGCTTGTTGACGAGTGTGATGAGACCCGGGTCGTTGACGTTTATCCTGTAGCTATTATCAGCACATGCGCCAGATTGACTATATTGTAGCTCCTGCTCACGCGTTGGGGTTGGTTTGCGCCATTGCTGGCAAGCTATTGTGCTTGTTTCGAGTCTTAGATTATGGTGTCTGATTCTCTGCGTGATTGAGAGGCCAAGATGATACTTCAATCAGTAGTTCGTAAGGCGCAAAGGGAGCATAAAACAATATGGCAGCCTTCAGATATGGGCGCAAGTGACGACGCTCATGCCCACCACGAGACAGGGCCCAGGGTAAACGAATAGAAACACTGTGGCGTCACGTCGGCTCGATACGGCTAGCTGCCGGCGCACATGTCTGTGGCGCAGCATTTTTCTGGATTGGGCAGTTCTGTATGCCAAGAACTTCTAGCATAGAAATTTGTGGATGACTTTCGCCTCCGTTCATCGACGGTCAAAACTACATACATGTAGCCAATATGGCGGAAGTTACAAAACCTATCCATACTCTGGTCCTGGATACCGGCTCAATCATCAAGAACGAGCCATCCGTATCGACACTTCTCGGACAGTCGAAGACACTGGTGACCGTTCCAGCCATCATATCTGAGATAAAAGATGCCGCTACCAGAGCACGAGTAGAGACTACGTTGCTACCGTTCCTGACGATACGGTCACCAAGTCCAGGGAGTGTGAAATTTGTGACCGAGTTCGCCCGCAGGACTGGAGATTTGGCTGTGTTGAGCAAACCCGATATTCAAATCATTGCACTTACTTATGAGATCGAGTGTGAGCGGAACAATGGCGATTGGAGATTACGGAAGATGCCTGGACAGAAGCGAGTCAATGGTGCGCCACCTGCGAAGCAAGATCCCGAGCAGAAGGAGTCTGCCGCAGAAGGTGCCGAGGCAGTTGATTCAGTAGCTCCCGATAATGCTGGCGAAAACCAAGTTGCACATGATACACAGGATGGACAGGATGGAGGTGTTCTACTGACCCAGTCCGCGGGATCTGCTCCGTCTGCCGATAACGCAGAACCAAGTACATCTCAACGACCAGGAATTTTGGTGGACCAAGCGCAAGATGACACAGATGTCACCGTGACTGCAGTGGAAGGAACCCAACAAGCATCCCTTGAGCAAGTGGAGGCAACCATGAATGAACTTGACCTGGAGCATGAAGCTGCAACAGAGACGATTAGGCCGACAGAGGACCCCACATCGCGGATAGACTCAGCTGCCAACTCAGGAGTCAGCCAAGAGGACTCCGACTCAGAAGGCTGGATTACTCCTGGCAACTTGAAGAAGCGACAAACTGAAGACGCTGGCGGATCCACAGAACAAACCAAAGAACCTAAGACAATGCAAGTTGGTGTATTGACCACAGATTACGCTATGCAGAACATGATACTGCAAATCAACCTAAACCTGCTCTCTCCAAGCATGACACGAGTCAAGCACCTGAAGACATTTGTGCTTCGCTGCCACGCCTGCTTCTGCGTCTCAAAAGACATGACAAAGCAATTCTGTCCACGCTGCGGCCAGCCCTCACTCACACGAGTATCGTGTTCGACAAATGCAAATGGCGAATTCAAGCTCCATCTCAAGAAGAACATGCAATGGAATACTCGAGGAGATCGATACAGCGTCCCCAAGCCTGTTCATGGGTCCTCGAATGGCAGATTGAAGGGTGGCGGGAAGGGCGGGTGGGGTAATGAGTTGATCTTGGCAGAGGATCAGAAGGAGTTTGAGCGGGCGAGCAAGACGGAGAGGAGGCAGAAGGAGAGGAGTTTGATGGATGAGGATTACTTGCCTGGGATTCTGACGGGTGATAGGGGTCGGGCTGGGGGGAGGATCAAGGTTGGAGCGGGAAGGAATGTCAACTCGAAGAAGCGGTAATTTGCAAGTACTACGGCTACTCCGCAACGAATATTGCAAACTTATGTCGCATACCAGCAAACATTAAGTCTGGCAACAAAACACGACGCAGCTGATCCTTAGCAACTACGAGACTGCGTCTGTGGCTATGACCAGTGAGATAACATCACCGAGAACGTTTCCGCACAGCCTCCTCCAACCGATCATCGACCTTCGTCCGCTCCACCCGCACTCCCTCCGCCGTCGTCTCCGCCCCCACATCATCCAGCGCCTCCCGGCCATAAGACAGAAAAAGCAACAGCAACCTCGCCACATGATTCTGTCTCGAAGGCTTGAGCTCTTCGTAAATCCTCTCCGTATCCGTGCCGCCGTTGACGGAGACGTGTACAACACTAGCAGTGTCGCGGCCCCCGAAATCCTTGTTCTCGAAGGCGTCTATGAGGATACCTTTGGGTGGGCGCCGGTATTTGAGCTCGGTGCTGATGCTGATGTTAGGTGGTTGTCGAGGCAGCGGAGGCCAAGTGGAGTCGACACCGGGTAATGCAAGCTTTAGGGTGAGGCTTCTGATCAAGAAGAGTTTCTCTGGTGGTCTGTGGCGGAGCCAGTGGGCGACGTGTTGCCAGTCGAACATTGTTACGATAGCGTCGAAGTCGTTGGTATCGTAGAATATTAGCTCTCCTTCATTTCGGATCTTTTTGCACGTGCGTAGTAATGGTGCTTCTGCCGAGTTGCTGCGCGATATTCTGACCGGGTGTTGCTCGTGCAGAGCGTATTCCCAAATCAGGTTCCGCATTTCGGGTGGCAGCTTCAAGAGCCGCGACGGCTCCATGGTGGTCGGTATTGGTTTCACGTGCCAAGTGTTATGTGATTTCGTGTTCGTGGACACCGGTGTCAAAGGAGGAGTGAGGTGAAGGTTGAGCGCCAAGCCGTGGGTAATACAATTGTGACAACCTTATGCTTACATCCACATTCAGATTCTATGGCAGTGAATCATTAGGCGAAAGATTCGGGCTCAAGGACAACATAAATTTGACAAATTAGTCACAAGCTGATATACCCCTTAGGCGCCACTCCAATTGATGCTGATGAAGACAACGTCAATTCCGAGTCCTCTGGTCGACTTGATGCGCTGTGCTACTTCTTAACGCTGGCCTTGCCCTGACGCTCCTTGCTACCGACTCCTGCAGTGCATAGCATTGCAACTTACATGACCTCGATCACGTACGAGATCGATTCCTCTCCATGCCGGTTCGCTGCGACTTCAACCTAGTCATCTGCCAAGGCCGCTGCTATCTCCGTCATCGTTATGATGGGCACGAGAGGTCTCTTGAAAAGCCATGACCCACGCATACGCATGCTCGTTCAACCCCTTGTTTTGGAAAGCTCTACAGCATCCCATAGAAGTCGATCTCATACTCTTGGAGCACCTGCTTCAATAGTTCGCACTCGGCTTCACAGCATCGAGTATATGACTCCGTCTCGCTGCCGTGAAGTCCAGTGACGCGCAGCTCCTTTATAAGGACATGGTAAGCCTTCGGTGTCTGGCTCACCCACTTGCGAATGGCGACCATGCCTCTCTTGTACACGTTCTCGTGTACTCCTGCGTTGCCGATTTGTCTGCTGATGGCGAACGCCGTACGGTCCGCTTCTGGTAGTTGGATGCAGAAGTAATTGCGTGCGTAATACAGTTCCAAAGTCTCTTGACGGATCTGCTTACATGTTCGTGCAATTCCGGGTTGGGTGGGCAGACACGCTTCGGCAACGGCAGCTTCATGTGGAGAACCCACGACCTGCTACTCCTGCCAGCAAAATATGTAGTCGTAGATCTCGTTGCGTAACTCTGCAGGTAGTCTTATGAATGGCGAAGACTCCATCGTTAATGCTAAGGTTGAGCTGAATTACCGAGACCGGTTGAGATGAATGGGAGAAACTGTGCGTTTTATTAGGTTATAGAGGCTCGGGATTGAAGCGCCGTATCTTTTATATGCCAGCAGCGCGCTGAAAATGACGTGTCCCTGGAGTGTTAGCTTTCTCGAATGTGGTCAATGGGTGAATTTGGGCTTTGATGCATTTGGGTAGAATCCTAGTGGAAACGTACCAACACGATATTGCTGCTTGGATTCCGGGATCGTACAGCTATCGTCTTGTCTCGAATGCTTCCTCGATGAAGACTTCTTCCCCTCCTCGGCATATCGTGCCTTTCATAGCATGTGAAATCGGTGACTCGCTTCCCCAGCAGTCGGTGAATACTGAATACGTCGTCTATTCCAGTACTGCACAAATGCATATTTCGCCACCCCATTAATAAGCAATCTTGACCTTCAACCCGAACTCATGGAACGCTGGCCTCACATCGTCGTGCAACGTTGATTCCTTGATCGAAGCAGGGGTACCAGGAGCTACCAGCATCGCAGTAATATCGAAGCGCCTTTTGTAGCGTTCAGTAATCATTCTGAATAAAACAGCCCACAACGAACTGTGATCCCTGTAAACGTCCGTACACTCAGGCTCGACATCGACTTGCATCTCCAGCGAAAGCAGTCCGATGAGCTTGTGATGTGCTCGTGGTGTCTGTCGCAGCCACACGCGAGACTATACCCTTCATGAGGAAGACGGATCCAATACCGTAGGAATCGTCCTTTACGTATGTCCGGTCATAGATACCATCTGGGGTTACGATCTCAAATTGGTTGGCCGCATAGAACATAAAAAGACTCTCGCCGCGAAGCTGTCTACACGTTTGGGTGACTGGCGATTGGACTGCGGATTGCTTTGGCGGAGATGAGGTCTCGAGGATGTACGGGAGTGTGATCGTGAATCGTTTCCGCAGACTGAAGATGAAGCCGTAGATTTGGTTACGAAGCTCAAGAGAAAGCTTGCCAAGGGCTGAGTGATCCATTGCTCAGAGGTTGGCCACCTGTGCGTGGTGTTGGATGTATGAACTTGTCCACAAGCTGCTTGGTTGTGCTGGATGTCTGGAGCTCTAAGTACTACCCGTAGCGGGAGACAAGGCGCAGTGAATGCGTAGCGATCTGAAAGTGTAGCTGATGAAGCCCAAGGGATGCTTTAGTGAAGCAGCAGACACTACATGGTTTTGCAAAGTGAACAAGAAGGTCATTGCCTAGTGAAAGATTCGTGGAGCTTGTAATTCATACCTTCCCTACCAATCCAAATGATCGACTCACAGTACACGCAACGCCCTATGCTTGAAAACTTACTGCACCAACCAGCGAGAGCGGACGCAATTCGGAGACCGTCCATCGCCTAGCCAGAGTTCTCCACCAGCTCAAACCAATCAGGCATTAGCCTCGTTTCATAACCTCCCCCGTCCTCTCCTCAACGAATCGCCGAGCAGCTTCCACAGAGCCAGCCGCCTTGGCAACATAGTCATAGACAGCCACATATCGGTCCTCACCCACGTACCCGAAAGGAGCCAGCCGCTGCGAGAGATCGTCTTCTCGACGACTGGTTCTCTCAACGCAGTACATCTGTCTAAGCCCTAATGCGGCGAAGTGAATCTCAAAGCACTTGATGACGTCGTGGCAGGGCTTGCTGACACTATTGGCCCAGTTCATGATGTCGACCGTAAGTGGATAAAGTTTGTTGACCGAGACAGGCGAAGGCAGGATGGCTTGGACGATCTTGCCGGAGTAGAACATTAGGAGGTTTTCTTCGCGAAGCTTGCGGCAGACTCTGGTGATGGGTGGCGGAGCACAGCTGCTCGGGTCGTTGACGAGAAGTGATTCTGTTGAAGGGACTACGAGCTCCCAGATCTGGTTGCGGATCTCGGGAGAGGGTTGGGCGAGTGGTGAGGCGTCCATCGCGATACAGTGAGGAGGGTGTGCCAGAGTTGCACAAAGGTCGATATCGGTAGGTCGAGTCCTTGTCGAGGAATTTCTTGTGCTTGGCTTGTAACTGGCAAGGGTCTGACGGTGAGTGATGATGGTAGCAAGGGAATACAGAAAGCGTATTTATATCGTGTTTGCAACAATGTCACGTGGCTCGTATTCGCAACATCGCGCACAACCTTCACTCCTTCGTACAATCTTGAATGAATATGGTGAATGTCGAACGCCAAACTCCTCGCTAATCACAAGCAATACTCACTGCTTCTTCGTCTACTGTCCAAGTACCTTCTTATCCTCTACCACGATGTCAGTGAGTACTCTCCAGTTCATGCAATCGCAATCTTGCACATACTCTGTTGTGTAATAAGAAGCCCATATCTCTTCTTAAGCGTTACTCGATGTCTTCAGCACTCTCGTCAGCGACTGTACCCACTCCACACCACATCAACCTCTTGGATGCCATACCTCGAGTACTTATCATCAGGCGAGAACCTAGCCGGATGCGCCGACTTCGTGACCTCTCCGCTCGTGATCTTCTTTAGGGTATAGACACGCTTGCCTTCGGCGTCCATGGTGTACATGAGATGCATGATTGCTGCTGCTGTGCAATTCGCTCGGTATGACGGATCGTTTGTGATATCGTGCTGACTGCTGAATAAATGCAGGTGAATCTTGATGTATAGCTTGAGATTAATATCTCTGCAGTCGCAGTCGCAAAAGACAGAATTTGCGGAGCTCAATCGGCAATGCCAAGATTTCGACCTCGTCAACCGTTTTAAACATATAGCCTGCCGTGGACGCAAGGACAACTACATCACTTCTACAGCGATACTGACTGCCACAATTACAACCAGACGGAGACATTATACAGCCAACATGGAACTCCTCAACTTCCTCCTCTCTTTCCTCCTGCTAGCTCTGCCAGCAACAGCCCAATTCCAATTCTTCGAGCACATGTTCGGCGGCCAACAGCAGCAGCAACAGTCACCACAGAACGCTGGGTCGGATAGTGCATGGTACCAGCAACAGTACGAGGCTGGTAAGTCAGACCCCTCCACCCTCTACCCGACCACAAGATTCTTAGGTCCTTACTTACACGTCCATGTGTGCAGCCCACTGCGACCGCTACCTCTGCCCCCACACCCTATCATGCGTCCACTTCCCACACCACTGTCCATGCCCTTTCCCAGAGGTGGAGGATAAAGTCGAGTTTGGGGATGGGAGCATGGCTTGTATTTCCAGAGGAGGCTGGGCGGCGGGGGAAAGCGCGAGGAAAGTTGAGTTGGCTAGGAAGGGGTTGTTATGATTATGATTGTGATTGTGGTATGGGATAGATGGATTTATGCATGATCAGCTGGGCTACACAGGCACGATCGGACTGGACTGACCATAATGATATATGGCATTCGTGCCGTGTACCAATGCTACGTTACCATCTTACAGGAGCGTCGAGTTACGATCCACCACCAGCAGCATCAACCTCCTTCCTCGGTGAACTCCTAACAGCGTACCTATAAGCATAAGCCTGCGGATCATCTGGCCCAACTTCCTCCCGACCCCACTGTCTCATCAGCGTCTTCGATGATCGCTGTCGCTCGTTCTCGCTCTCGTCTAGCTTCTTACGCAGATGAGTCTCCTTCTTCCGCCACTCGGTCGAGATCCTAGTAATAAGATCGTCGTTGATTTCGGCATTCGTCTTGATCTGCTCCCGTGCGTCTTCAAGATTCGTCTGAGCGTTGGCGAGCTCGCTCCGTAAAGACCCAACATCCTTTCGCAAAGCGGCAAATTCGGTTTCTGCTGCGCTCTGCTTGGTTTGCAGGGCTGTCAGATCGTCCTGTGCAGCATCCCGCTCTAGGATAGCAGCGTTGAGAAGGCTTTGCTGAGCTTCTATATCATTACGTGCCTCATCTGTCTCCGTCGTGGCAGACGCAAGTGCTGCCTCCTTGGCACTTTCCAGATCGACCTTCTCGGTAGCATGGGTAGTCTGTTGATCGCGCAGCTGTTGCTGCAATTCCTTGATACGCTTCTGTTGATCTTCACCGAGCTGTACAGCTCGCTGCCGATCACCCAGGAGCTTGGCCTTGTCCACTTCGATCTCGTCTCTAAGAGCATCGAATTCGTCTCGGGCCTGGTCGCGGTCCTCTTCTGCCTTAGCCAAGGCACCACGAAGACTCTCAATCTCAGTCTTGCTATGTTTGACCTGGTTCTGCAGCTCGGCAGTGAAGTGGCGAGACTGTTCGACTTCACGTCCCAGTTGTCCCAGCTTGGTGGTGGCGTCATCACCTTGGTCAAGCTGAGCATGCAAGCTCTTGACCACCCTTTCTGCAGCATCCCTACCTTGCTCCGCGGCTTTGAGACTCTGCCTGAGACCATTAAGCTCATCCGCATGGCTCAATCGTATCGCCGCCATTTCACTTTGCAAGCGCTCAAGCTCAGACGAATGCTCCTGGGAAGCATCATGGCCTTTCTGTTGGCGCGCAACAGCCTCCGCTTCTACGCGAGCAAGTTTCGTCTTCAGCTCATCGGCTTGCGCCTGACATTTCCCAGACTGCTCAACAGCTGCATTATGCGCAGCATCTGCTTCGTCAAGCAGCTTGTTTGACTCCTTGTCCAATCTCTCATGAACATTTCTCTCCTCCTTTCGCATGCGCTGCTCCTCGTCGAGAGCGTGCCTCAGCGCACTATTGAGATGCTCAAGCTGCTGGCACCGCTCCTGTAATTGCTGCATGTGCTTCTCCAGGTCACTTCGCGCCTCGGGCTCTGTGAATGGGGAGCTGACATTGAAAGTGCTCGCACGCTTCATTACCGGTGATCGGACTGGTGATAGCGTCTCGCTGGCGGGTCGTGCGGACATTTCGTGCTCTGTTTGAGTCGGAGACATCGGCACAGACTTAGATCGTGGATTGATGTTCACACGCAAAGACTGCGCATCTGTAGTCGTGGATGGGAACCTCGCAGGCGTAAGCTCGCTGTGATAGTCCTCGACGGTAGGCTGTAAGAATTGCTTGTGTACAGGCGGCTGCGGTGTACCGGATGGCGCGTACGGGTCCCAATCGGAGCTGTCATGCTGCGCGTCTTGCTCGTGATTCTCGTGCTGCTGTTGTTGCTGAAAATGTGGCGGCTGCTCATGCCAGGGAGAGGCCTTAGGTGGACTGTGATCCGGTGTATGATGACTCGTTGCCTGATCCTCTTCGAACTCGACAGGTGATTGTGGGACTTCGAGCGTACTGCGCTGCCTCACACTTTCCCGATCACGAATTTCTTGTTCCTTCACGGCTTGAAGTCCGCTCTTCGCGCTTCGCATCGTGCTTTTCTCCATTGTGCCACCTCGCATCCACTTGGCCATGTTCAGTGTGAAGTCGCTGGGTCCATCGATATCCTCGCTGAGCATGCGATCAACGTGCTGTTTCGGTATTGGTGAGTTCTCATTACTGTGCTCGTCCAGTCCCAATGCGCCGAGATCAAGAGAGTATTGTGAGTCGATTGGAGACTCTGGAGGGTTCCAGGCCCGAACAGGAGGACTCGAGTTCATCTTGATTGCCCTTTGTCCCAGCAATGGTCTCAACAGTCCTGTTATCACTATGCTCCGTAGCAATACGTTGATGTATATTCCGTCGCTGTGTGCAATTGTAAACAGAGAGATTCGCAGGGCGCGTCTTGCTCGGATCTTCGGGCCGATAACCTCCGAAGCCATCTCAGAAATGTTCAATCAACGAGATGTACAACAGTATATCAACCCATTTTCTTCCTAGAAGAGATCGCGCATGCAGCGTGAGACTGCCTTCGTCAAGGCACACGCGAAGTCGAGCGACAATGACCTATCGACGATAACATTGGTGGCGGCCAGTGCATGCCTGATTTGGTATGTGGTGGTTGCACTGGTCTGCACCATTGGGTTCATCCAATTGTGTGTATGATAGAAGGCTAAGATCCTTACTCCCTGACTGACCGCAAACTCAGATGGCGGCACTATTCCAGTCCGCGAAGCCCAGCAACTGTAAACGATGCCAGCCCTGATATTACCATCATTCGTCCGATCAAAGGTCTCGAACCATGTCTATACGACTGTCTGGCCTCGACATTCCGACAGATATACCCACGTCACAGGCTTCACGTACGCCTCTGCATAGCGAGTCGAAAGGAGCCATCTCTACCGATACTCGAACGTCTGGTCCAGGACTTCCCAGATCATGACGCTCAGATTCTGGTCGAGGAAGAGGATAGCATCTTGCAGAACGGAACTCTAAACCTTGGACCGAATCCCAAGATCCGCAATATGAGCCGAGCATATCGAGAGGCTATTGGTGACCTGATGTGGGTGATTGATTGCAATGTCTGGGTTGCGAAGGGCACCCTGGGCAGAATGGTTGCTCGGCTGGAGGGTAGTGGGTCAGGTCAGAAGTACAAGTTTGTGCATCAGCTGCCGCTCGTGGTCGATACGGAAGGTAGCACGCTGGCCGACGAGACGCAAGGCTTGCTTGAAAGCGCACGGGGCTCGACGACTACAGGTCCTGCTACCACTTTGCCTTCGCAAAACCGCACAGTCTCTGCGATTGGCGGTGGACGGCTCGAGGAGATGTTTCTGTCGTCAGCACATCCGAAGTTCTACACCGCCATCAACACAGTCTTGATCGCACCTTGCAGTGTCGGCAAGAGTACCATGTTTCGCAAGTCAAACCTGGATAGCCTTACTTACGCTCAAGGCATCGATTACTTCAGCGAGAATATTTGCGAGGACCATCTAATCGGCGATCTACTGTGGAAACAGCAGGTCCCCGAGGAGAAGGCAGGAGAGAAGTATGGCAAGCATGCTATGCTTTTCGGCGACCTGGCTGTTCAGCCAATGGCGAACATGTCCGTGGCGGAGTACTGGCAGCGGAGAGTCAGATGGTTGAGGGTGAGGAAGTTCACGGTCACTCTTGCGACATTTGTGGAGCCCGGGACGGAGAGCTTTCTATGCTCTTCCTACGGTGCTTTTGCTGTGACAACGCTAGCATTCTTTAACGACCACTTCAGCATCCCACAAACCTGGACAGGATTCATCCTGTTCTGGCTCATGAGTGTCTCTATCTGGTGTGCAATGGACTGGATTTTGTACCTGCATTTGCAATCAGGCAAGTCCATTGCAGTAAACAAAGACACTCCTTTCTTCGCTCGACCAACTAAGAACGGCAGGAGACGACCCTTCAGCGCGTGGTTACTAGCATGGGTTGGACGAGAGGCGCTGGCCTTGCCAATCTGGACTTGGGCATTCTGGGGCGGCACGCAAGTCGAGTGGCGAGGGAAGAGGTTCTGGGTTGGCATGGATATGAAGGTGCATGAGATAGCTGATGAGGGCCACGATTCAAACGCGATGATAGCGACGAATGGACATGCTAAGAAGAGGTACGATTGACTCTCGTGAGCACATATGGATGAAGTAATTTGTCAAACCATCAATATATTCTTCCAGTGAGCGTTTCTTCTCCGTCCTGGCTTTCATCGACCAGTGCTAGGTGAGGCCATTACCAGGGTGCTTACTAGTCCATGACTGAGGAAACGCTTGTGATGACCACTGATCATGTCTTAGTGATGGCTGATGGGATAAGTCGGTCTGGAACAAGTGGGAGTGGCGGAGCTATACTAGATTATGTATCATCCTCTCACCACCACCACCACCACCACCACCACCACCACCACCACCAGCCCTCGTCTTCTGTACCACAAGCGGCGTGAAGCCCAGCCTTCTCACGTCACCCTTGTCGTCCAATAGCACAGCTCACTAGCAATAGCTCAATGGTGCCGGTCTGCCCACGTCCCAGATACTCACTCCCCGATGATGATGACCATGACGGCCTGTCAACTCCGGAAGCTTCGCCTGCAAAGCTCTCGCATCATCAATCTCCGTCTCCATACTTCCTGCCTCTTCGATACTCCCCCCCACACCCAATGGACTCTTCAACATCGTCACCGTAGAGTCAGAGCTACAAGTCCTCCCACTACTACCGCCGCCCCCGCCAACGGACAACCCAGGCGCCGAAGCCCGCGAAGCAGAAGAGCAGGACCCACGACTCTCGCCGCTGATAGACCGGCTATACACACTTGACAAACTCTCCTTACTCAGCTTCCGATCCAGCGCAGCCAGATTCTTCGTTGAAAGTGCCGGGGAAGGCGGGACGAGGCGGACGGTCTTGGAACTGTTTGTTCGGGATATAGCGTGGTAGAGTAGCTGTTGGTGTCGCGGTGGCTTAGGTTGTCGCACATTCCCCTTCTTTGTTCGGAGACGTTGTCCGTACTTCTCCGGGAGATAAGCAGGTAGTGGCGGTAATGGCGAAGACGGTGGGCGAGATCTCATGGTCGTATGGCTCCGTATAGCACTTAATGACGGCCTTGGGCTCAGAAACGAAGGCGCAGTAGGCTTTGGCTCTGTGCTCGGAGCATAGATCCCCAGTCCTAGAATTGCTTTCTCGGGACAGGTAGGCAGGAGATGGATTGTTGACCCTTGCTGCGAGGGGTTCACTAAGGTATGTGAGGAGAGGGAGCTGGTGGAGCGGCATTTGAAGGACATTTGGCTGTGGTCGTATGGTTTGCTGTGGATGGTGTTTCTGTATGGGAGGGTTAGGGGGAGGAAGTCGTCGTTGTCGTTCTTGGTGCGGCCGAAGAGGTGGGTTGAGAAGGGATGGGTGGACTTTTGGGTGAGGAGGGAGAGGGCTGTTGAGGCTAGACTAAATGCGTTCGCGGTCAGCAGAGGGCCAGAGATGGGAAGGCCGGGGGAGTGAGAGCACATACAGGCACATCAAACCCGCACCCACACCAGTCCTCTGCAGGATACAAGCCACGCCAATATCGATCGGTACCTCAACATCCGTGCCCTGGGCAAAACAATACGGTTCCCTCGCCACGGTGAAAGTGATGTCGAGCCCGCAAGCAGCCAGCCATGCGGTTGCAGTAAGACGCAATAGTGCCTTCACCGTCAATTGTAAAGCAACCGAATGGCCATGTAGCGGTTCATACTGTTGCCGAGCTGTCAAGGCTGCTGTGAGACTGTGGCCAAGTATGTATACGATTGATAGTCCGCTCTGAATCCATCATATTAGCCCACTCGCCACACGCTACAGTGATTAGCGTCTCAGCACGTACAGTCGCAAGCAGCAGACAAGCCGCAGGCAAGAGTTGAGCTGAAATCTCCTGCTGGAGCAGAAGATATGCCGTGCTAGCTAGGACATATGTCGAGCACCAGAGCAAGATGTGCTGGAAGGTTGTGACCGCGTCAGAACAAATTCTGTTGCCATCTCGGAAGATGCTGAGGTTGGAAGTGCTGCACTGGTGGTATTTGCGTTGTAGTAGCATAGCTATCGTCGCTATAGATGTGGTTTGGCAATGGGTTCTGCGACAGTCTCGTAGGAGACGATGGAAATGGGAACAGAAATCTCCTCCCGCTCATGAGTAAGTCGTTGGTCGCAATGGCGGTGGCAGTACAAGGCTGGTGAGAGGTTCAGGCAAAACTGGTGATCTCGTGGCCAGTCGTGACTCGCGCATCAAAGTGCCTGCATAAAGTGCATTCCTCCTGGCAGCGAGGGCGGGGGTCGTGGAATGTTGGACTTTGTTGAGAAGGATGATCATGTGACCATCTGCACTGACATGAACTACTGCTCGTGCTTTAGCTATCAATGTACCTTCTAGTTATACATGATGTGTGCGCAGTCCGGTGGGACGCGTGAGAATCGGACCGCAACTTAAGCACAGGCTCGTCGCGCCATCAACACCGACGCTGAGAAGGAAGGTATTAAGTAATGTTTCATAATCATCGCCTCGTAACCTCGTAGAAGCAGGACGCTGCTGCTGGAATCGTATCAACCGCCTCGCCTCGCCTCGCCTACCACACGGGCATGGCGCACTGTACAATTACAATCGTAAGCAAACGTCGCAAGCAGGACTTCAGAAGACCGGCCAACATACAATATCCGCATCGCGCTTCTGCTCGGCGACAATCCTATCCAACTCGGCCGTCGTGATTTGCTTGGCCTGTCCGGGAGTCGGTGTAGTGCATGTCGACTGACACGGGCTAGGCGATGCTGACGCAGCTTTCACGAATCCTTGGAAGATACTTCCTAGTACGCCGGAAGAGTTTGGGCGGGAGAGTGGTGGGCGTTGGAGGAGTTGTTGGGTGATATTGTGCGGGGTGGGGATGCGCTGTTGTTGTTGTTGTTGCTGTTGTTGTTGCTGTTGCTGCGACTGCGTGTGTTGCACTCTTTTCTGTTGGTCTTGTGCTCGTTGCATGGCTTCTTGTTGCAGTTTGGCGAAGCGCTCTTGGTCTGCCGCGGAACGCTCTTCGAGGTATGCAGCTGGGAGGCTTTCGACCGGAAACATCGTGTCGCGGTATACGGAGGTGGTGGAGTGAGGTAAGGTGAGGCGAGGTGAGGTTGTGAGGATGCCGTGTGCTGGCTTGTGCGCGGTAGGTGCGAAGAACGAAGACGACAAGCGGTCGATCTTCCGGCTTGGTTTGGCTTGTGTGCGCTCGCGTGACGTCGTATGGCAATAATGCGCGCGCGTGTGTGGTCGCCGGCTATACGGAGGTTTTCCACACCCAAGTGCCGATCGAAGGCGGATTACCAACAGGTGAGTCTTTGGCTCTTTGTGTGCCGGAAGCTTCAAGCCGTAAGCAGCAGGGTGTCGCAGTGACGAATGATCCGCTGGTCCAAGAGTGAGACTGTGCGAACGAGCGTGGGTTGCTGGCAGCGAAGCAGGTGTGTATCACGAGCAAGCAAGTAGGAGCGGTGAACGAGGGTGAGATTCTTGCTGGTGAGAGTGTGCGTGTGCGTGGACCTCCATCCACGTTTTTGTTGATTTTCTGTTGATCTCGCTCTTTCGCTCTTGCTTGAATTGTGGGTTTCGTCCCTTCCAGACGCCGCATTCGGCACCCCCACGCGACACTTGCTCCGTGCCTCTTGCAGATCTCGTCTGTGCCTCTGCGCTACTGAAGTTAGTCTACTGTATGTCAGCAAGAAGCTGCATAGAACAACCACAGAAGCTCTACTCTGGAAGCTTACAGTCGGTACAAAACTTTACGGCCACCAACCAACGCTCTCGTATCTACCTGCTGTTAGTGCGCAGTATCGCAAAAGGTGCCATATTGTTTGGAAGCACATGCGTTGGCAAGTGGCATGGGGACGGCACAGAGCAATCTCCGATGCTTCGGACCTCGCTCGATGGCCCGGTGCGTGAATGCCACATATATATGGCATGTAGGTTAACCTCATCATGAGCATGCACTCGCCAAATTCTGCGGACGACTCCTGCTTAGGCTAGTTCTCGAGCATTACCTCGTAGATGGCAGCATATCGAGATTCGACCCCGAGGGGAATGCCAGGGCGGTATACTTCCCGTCAGGGTATATGGCTTCGCTTCTCTTGCAATCGCCATCTTCGTCAGAGATCTGGCATGGCAGTCATGAATAGACTTTGCAGGAGGAAAGATCAGACGTGGTACGACCATCCGAGGCAAAGAATCGTAGTATCGTAGTGGCGGAGACGACCCGCTGTCATCAGATGGAGATTGCCGGGGGAGAAGAAGCATCAGGAGCTCGGTTCAGTCACGAGCGAGACGACTGAGCGAAGAGGAACGCTGCATGACCAACAGATCGTGCTAGATTGATTGGGTATATCGTGCGATGTCCGTGTGGACTGTTAACTGCTGTGTTGTAGCCGTCATGCTGCCTTATCGTCATTTACCCTTCGAACAGTCTTGGTATCGCATACACATATAGTACAGTAATCAATTCCACTCTGCCTCTTTGACCTTACAGGCCCCCTCTGAACTTCATCTACTGCTGTAACTTTCTAATGATTGACAAAAAGCGGGTCTGCTGCACCCCAATTTTGCGGTCCGTGCCTTGCGAGAGCACTTGCATGTGAATGCTGGACTTCGGTGAAGGTGAAAGTGCTGTCAGTCGCAACATCACTTAATGCGCGTATTGCCGTCAAATAGCCACACCTAAATCTTCACGGCCTGGCAACCACTTCCGAGGTGCCATACAATGTTGAGAGATTGACAGGAAGACCACAAAACCCACACACTAGCCCAGATAGTACCATCGCGTTGGAGCACATCTACCCAATCAGACTGGTGAAGGGACAGCCGCGATGTCGGTGTGGAATCCAGAGAACGTGGTGGACGTCGCGGAGTCAATCGGCATAGCATCTCTCAACCGTGATGTCGTGGAGCACCTGGCAAGAGACGTGGAATACCGCATGAGTCAAGTCCTGAACGAGGCACTCAAATTCATGCGCCATGGCAAACGGACGACTCTCAACACACAAGACATCTCGCAAGCACTACGACTGCTTGATGTGGAGCCTCTATACGGATACGAGAGCACGCGACCTTTGCGATTCGGGGAAGCCAGTATTGGGCCGGGACAACCACTCTTCTACGTGGAGGACGAGGAGGTGGACTTCGAGAAGCTCATCAATGCGCCTTTGCCTAAGGTGCCCCGGGAGATGAGTTTCACCGCGCATTGGTTGGCGGTCGAGGGTGTGCAGCCGAGTATACCACAAAACCCTCTCGCGGATCCGCGTTCGGCTGAGTTGGCGGCCAAGGGCTCGGGAGCGAATAGTACGCTTGCGGCTGTGAGTGGGAATGATAATGTTTCGGTCAAGCCGCTGGTCAAGCACGTCCTTTCGAAAGAGTTGCAGCTTTACTTTGAACGGATCTGCTCTGCTATTCTGGACGAGAACAATGACGAGTATCGTTCGGCCGCCTTCGCCAGTCTACGAACAGATACGGGCTTGCATCAACTTGTGCCGTATTTTGTGCAATATGTGGCGGACAAAGTCACGCATAGTCTGAAGAACATCTTCTACCTCACGCAATGCATGCAGCTCATTGCAGCATTACTGGACAACCAAAGCTTATACATCGCGTCATACATCCCTGGCGTCGTACCCTCGGTCCTCACATGCCTGATAGGCAAACACCTCGGCAACGCTGCTCACGATGGTGCTGCGACACACTTCGCTCTACGAGATTACTCCGCCAGTCTCTTAAGCAAAATCGCTCGCCAATACGGCCCCAGCTCTTCAACTCTCAAACCCCGGATTGCAAGATCATGCCTGAAGCACTTCCTCGACTCGCACAAGCCGTTCGGGACACACTACGGTGCTATCCTCGGCTTGACAACAATAGCAGGCGTGCAAGGCGTACGTGCACTCATCTTACCTAATTTGAAGGCATACGATGTCCATCTGCAGGAGGGCATGAAGGATGATGGGAAGAAGGAGCAGGCTGAGTTTGTGGTCAGGGCTATTGTGGATGCGTTGGAGACGTTGAAGGAGGACTCGGTTGGTGCGATGGCGAATGGACATCCGGAGGGTGAGGCTCTCAGGGAGAGGTTGGTGGAGGTTTTGGGGGAAGTTGTGGGGGGTCGGGTGGCTGAGAGGGGGGATGTTGGGTTGGTTGGGGCTGTGCTGGAGAAAGATATGGTGGTGTGAAGAGGTCTGATTGTGGTCGCGAGGCCCAAGAAGGCGGGGGAGATGCCGGATGCGCCAGTTCTTGTGATCAGTCATGGAAGGTAGTGAGACTTAGCAGGGCGTTGGGGTGCACATATCAAGTGCTTTTGGGAGTAGCTGCATGCAAGCATTACAGACAGCCTACTGCTCTCATGACCACCTCAGCTTCTCGATGTCCCCACCCGGCAACTCACGCGAGGCTTTTGTGTTGCTCGTCACTCCGGCATCGACGCACTTACGAGGTCAGGGCCGAAGTGACTAGGCCAGTCCTTCCATCGTCGGCTTCAGTAATCTGGACCTGCAGTCTATGTCAGTCGACCGCCATCAAGGCCACGGATAGAGTGCTTCAAGCCAGAACTTACAGTTGAAGCCATCAATCTCAGGATACAGCTACACCATCCACCACAAGAATCAGCAATCTTACTCCTCTCCTCCACCCCACCACACCATACCACTCTCGCCCATAGGATCAAGATCACTCACCGCATCCCGCCTCATAAATCGCCCCCGCCTTTCCTTGCTCACAACTCCACTGCAAGATGGTATTCGAGAGCGCCGCCCCGATATTCTTCTCACCCTGATAGCATTTGAAGCAACTGGCGCACCATTGATCTTTCCCGATGGCGTTGGAGAGCGCAGTGCCGATGTTGGTGCAGCCAGTGCCGCCGGCGTTGTCGACGCCGATGTCGGTTGTGTAGTCGGCTCCGGATTGATTGGGGTCGTGGGCGACGCAGGACTGTAGGTGGAGAAGGTGGGTTAGTTGGATGGAGTGATGAGGTGGAGGGGATGGGGTGAGGGGGAGGGGGAGGTACTTGTCTGTTGGGGAGTGGAGATTGGAGCTTGGGACCTTTGCGTGTTGTTCGAGGGGCTGCTGTAGCCGTGGTGATGAGGAGGACGGCCGCTGCGAGGAGGGCTGTGAGGGAGAATCGCATCTTGATGGTTGGTCGTTGAACGTTGGAAGTAGACGTGGTAGCTGCTGGTTATTGCTGATTGGACTGCGATGTGGTGCAGGTGTCTGAGAAGACCACTTGACTTCGCGATTATAGGTTCAAGGGTTGGCCAAGCTGCAGTGAAGTGATGGTGACTGGTATGCGCAATCACGCAGCACGTGGTAGTGAAGGAGATAGTACCAACGCCCACTCAAGCCTGACGGATGCTCGTGACTTCCCTCGTCAGACGATTGGCGGGTTTAGGATGCTCAACTGGTATCTACGCCTCTACTACTGGAGGTTGGCCTGGAGACGGATTCGAGTATTCGTCACGACAGATCCCCTCATTGAGGTTCGAAATTACAAGTCAATCAACGCGAAGTGGCTCGATGAAGTCTTCATTGCCACCGAGATCGCTGGTCACCACAGGGCGAGACTGATAACGATCAGACCCTTTTGATCTCTTGCGATACTTGTCCACTCATCGACGATCTGGTCTCCCATCTCGTGCCATCTCGTGTTCGCCAGCCTGCTCACCGAGCTCCAGGGAAGAGATTGTGCCAAATGATCTCCATCGCCTCGCTCTCCTCAATAGTCGGGACCTATTGGTCTGTCAGTACTCTTTACTCTCGAGGATCATACCACTCACAGTTGAACCCGTTGACCTCCGGGTAGATCTACACCATCACAGAGTCAGCAAAACACGTTCTCCATCACGACACCGCCATCATTGATACTGGATCTGAACCACTTACACCATGCAACACGGAATTGATGATACCGCCATGCCCTTGCGTCTCGATGACGAACTGCAATCTCGTGTTGTGGAAGTCCGCAGCGATGCTCTGCTCTCCTTTCACGCACGTGTAGGAGCCGGTCCATTGCTTGGCTGGTAAGGCCTTGTACATGCCACTCACGACCTCCGTGCAGCGTGTGCCGGGATCTGGATTGACGCCGATGTCGATTTTGTACGTGGTTTCACCGTCGGCTCTGTCTTCGGCTACGCAGGACTGGGATGATGTGTCAGGATGTGCATGAGAGGAGAAAGGGGTGGTTTTATGGCTATGAAATACCTGCTCGTTCGGCTTCGGAGAGGCAGGATTGGCTCTCTTGCCGACCTGCTTGAGATCTGCATCTCCCTTGTAGTCGAAGCCTCCAGCAGCATCCGGATAGAGGCCGGGTTCTGTGTTGAGCTTGGCCGTGATGCGAGTATTTAGTAGTGGGGCAGCGGTGATGAAGGTGGCGGCGAGGAGTGCCGCGGCAATGATGGAGAAAAGCTCGGTACGCATGCTTGATGAGCAGTCGACTGTGTGTGAAGTGGATGGAAGATGTATTGGCAAGAAGTGGTTGTATGGCTAAGGTATTTGGAAAGGGTGGAGGTGATGCTCTGGTCGTGACTGCCGATTTGAATGCATCCAAGGAGGATCGTGCCTGCCGCGTTAAGTTCGAAGTCATTCAGTCACAAGTCACAGGTTCAGTGATTGAGTGAACGAGCTTCGAGCAGAGCCGTCAGTCACACTAATTCAACCAACACTTGGCCATGCATCAGCCATCACACGAACAATATCCTCGACAAATTCTCAAATCAAATATTCTACCACAACCGAGACAAGGCTTCGATATGCATCATCAGAACATACTCCTGGCGATTGTCGTCCTTCTCATCGCCATCAGCGCGGCGATCCCGGTCACCGGCAGTCTCGTCATATCCATCAGCTCGGTCGAGATCGTGGAGCGCAAGCCTCATTTGCAGTCACCCCTACCCAATCAATCGGTAAGCTAATATGACCAGCGTTGCTGCGAGATATGATAATGATTTTCAACAACAACATAGTCTTGTGTAGCTCATGACTACAGTCTATCGTCAGCGACCTACACGGTACAAGTGGGCATCGATTACGCCGACCTTCACGGCTGTGCGAGCATCTGGGAGACTCTGAAGAGTGTCGTCGGTCACGGCGAGTCCGGTGGTATCCATGACGAAAATTACAAATGCTGGAAAGGGGACTGGAAAGATCAGCTTCGATTGTAATGATGGCTATGGCGATCTGATCAACAGAGCGCTGTCAGACGTGGGTAGTAATTCAAGAACGATCTGATGGTATTAGTGACTGACTCGCATCCTGTACAGTGCTATCCTGATGTAGGATTCGATTGCCCGGACTATTGAGAAGGTAGAGGATGGAGACCCGTTGTTCGAGCCTTGGGGGCAGGGCAGACATGGCTATTTGCCTCTGCGTAGACTAAGCTATCGGCCTCTTCTGCAAAACATATCCTGCTAGGTCCGACTACCTGGGTAGGTTTTGTTGAGAACAGATTGGCGGTGTGCAGCGATGGTTGTGTCTCGCTTGGAAAGGCTGTTCTGTAAGTTAGGAAGGCACGTTGCGGTCACCCAAGAAGCGATCTCGGACCACTCTCAGCCCAACTTCTACTCGCTTCTCTGCACCTTCTTCACTTCTCATCGCACGTTGAACTGCAACCGATATCTCATTGCTTCGACAGCGAACGACAATTCCAATCTTCTCAACGGACTAACTCCACCATCCACTCCAAGATCATCGCCATTGCCATGGCCATCCTGTCAACCTCCTTGAGCAGTGTCACACCAGTCAGAAATGACAAAAGCAGCACTGCGAACCGCAACACCACGCTCATCGGCACTGATGGCCGCTTCAAGCCAGTAATGCAGTCCCCAGGCCCTAATGAGCAGGCAAGTACCCTCCCACTCAAGTCCCCAATACGCACCAACTAAACTGACCGCTCACCGCCCAACAGTCCTGTCTCTGCAAAGACCCAAGCAAGTGGGATGCAGACTACACCTGGACTGCATCTCGTTCCACAGCTCGCTTATCACCAGGGCTGTCAGTATAGCAGTCGAAACCACCCGCTACGGCGTTGTACTTCTGTGTCAGTACTGCGTTCAACTTCGGACTGGCTTTGGTGTCGTGCGTCGTCTCAACTTCCAATATGGTGTTATCGTCCGGCGTTGGGTTGCATGTGACTGAGCGCAAGGCTCCCTCGAGGCCCGACTGTAGCCCATTAATTATGTCACTACATCCGTCGCCATGATTATATGGCTCTCCTACGATGATTGTGTAGTTCCACTGCTGTTGAGGTGCACCCAGCCACTGTGCTTGTTTGCACGATTGTGTGTGCATCGCTAACTCTCGCTTTCGCTGTGACGTGTCGGTGACTACGCGAACCATGGTACGCTGGAGATCATGCTGCTGTTGAGGTACAGAGGCCCAAGTGACGAGACCCAGGGGATCCCGAGAAAGCCTCTTGTGGTTGGGCTCCTGGGGGAGTTCCCTCTTCTTTAATCGTCGCAGCGGCTTGGGTATATCGCAATCAAATCCGCCGGAAATCTGGTAGACTTGGGCCATTGCACGATTGACTTGATCCGGTGTCCTGGAGTCAGCTCTTGTCGGGAATGTTATCCTGGTGACGTTGTCATCCTCATCGTCGCTGATGCATTTGAATGATGTGACGGCAAAAGCTATCACATCCCCTGATAAGATCATCCGCACATTGTTACAGCCGGCGCCGTTGTTCCAAGGTTTGCCGATACTTAAGTGGAACCACCAAGTGTGCGGATCCAATATTGAGACCCAACAAGATTGAGTGTTGGCAGGAGCGACAGGCGCACGATCCTCCGTAAGAGGCGAGTTCTCGGTACATCCGAAGCCTCCTTGCACCATGGGGTACTCTTTGCCAAGTGTCTGATCAACCTTCTTCGTTACTCCAGGTCGAGCCAAAGTTGTGAAACGCAACGAAGTGCCGCCGTGCATATCATCAACACACTCGTACCTCGCAAATCCGGAATTGGGCGCATACCTTGACCGACCATCCTTGAGTGCATCTTGCATCGCAGTCTTGATATCATCGCAGCCTTTGCCCTTCGCAAAATCCACTCCCGTTGTAATACTGAAGTTGAAGTACGATAGAGCTTCAACACCACCTGCTGTGACCGGCGGTATTGACTGGTCCCATGACTTGATCGAACAGCCTGAAGTACTTGGACTGTCCTTGGGCTTCTTGTGTCGCTTCGCCATTCCTCGACCGGGTACTAATTCACCATGTCCGGACGATTTAGGAGAGGCTTGCTCTGCAACATCCCTTCGGAGGTTCTTAAAAGCATGCTCGGAGGCCTTAGCAGTATCAGCCTCAGCAGATGATCGCCAAACATGTCTCTTCCCTGCCCCCTTCGATTGTGGTGGGATTGGGGCGCTGGCACAATTGAAGCCACCGGAAACATCATAAGACTTGGTCATTGCCTTGTCGACCCGGGAGCCTAACCCCTCTTCACTGGTTGCTGTGAATGTGATGAGGGTGTTTTGATTCGCATCACCCTCCGCAACACAGGCGAATGACCCCTCGTAGTCCTGGCCAACTTCCTGATTCAGAGATGCCATGACTCCATCACAAGTTGTGCGGTCCTTCCAAGCCTTACCGATGCTTATGCGGAGAGATACGTCCCCGATACCGTCAGCGAGAATCCAGCACGATTGAGTGTTCGGAAAAGCAGGCGGCATCAGATCGGCTTGACGCCCGGACTTGGTGTTGCAATCGAATCTAGATCCCACCATGGGATACTGCTGGCCCAGTGTTTTGTCGATCTTCACGGCTACTCCATCCTTAGCAAGAGTCGTAAAATCCAGCTTCGTATCTTTATGGTTGGCTTCTGTGCAGCTTCAGGAAGCGAAGCCGCTGTTGGGTATTGAGGACGACGAGTTGGCAAGAGAGCTGGCTAGTGCCGTCTTGACGTCGTCGCAGCCTTTGCCTTTGGCATAGTCGACGCCAATCACGATCGTGAAGTTGAAGAACGAGCTGGTTTGACTACTTGTGGTAGTATTCCAGCTTGCGATCGCGCACGTTTGCGTGTCAGACGGTATATCTTTTCGCGAGACCAGTCGAGGCGGAGCGGGGCCGGTTGCGATCGGGGGCGTTCCTCTCGATGACCTAGAGCTGTGAGCTGCGATACTGATGGGACGTCGCTTATCTGTACCCGCAGATGAGATGTAGGGGCCCATGTCAAGAGGCATTACACTTCGCCGGTCCTTCATGTTTAGATCCCAATATCTCGGCGGTCCGTACTCTCCCCAATCTCTCTTGTCAACACAGTTGAAGCCTCCTATTACCGAAGGATACAATTTGCCCAGCTCTTGGTCGACTGCGTAAATGATGGCTGTTCCGCTGTAGTATTAAATGTCAATATCGTACCGTACTTCTCATCATCTTTACAGGTAAAATTCCGGAAGACAGTTGTTGGATCCGATACCGCACCTGCATTGCCAGCAGCAGCGCTTAACCCCGTTGTGATGTCGGCACAGCCACTTCCATTATTCCATAATCTGCCAATGGTTGTAGTATACTGTAACCAGCCGAGATCGTAGGGAGAATCATCGCTATACACGTATTTCACACCACAGCTCATGGTATCTAGTTTATCCTTCCAGCTGTTACCATGACGAGATGGATATTTGTGCATGTCGGGCCGAGGATGCAGGATGCTTGCATCGGTGTCATGGACCAGCTCGGGTGATGGATCCAGACTACTGTCACGAGCAGCAACAGCTCTCTTCTGGTCCAATCGTGTCAGCTCCGTCAACTTCTTGCAATCCAGCTGAGCCAATATAGGTTGAACCGAACAGGCCGCAAAATCGGAACCAATGAATCTCGACTCCAACTCGTTCACAATGGCCAGGAGCTTACTCTTGTCCTTCTCAGTCGTTGTTCATTTGGCACGACCGGAGGCGGTGGTCGTGCAAGTGATCTTTCGCTTTCTGACTCGTGGCTCCAGCTCTCCAAGGATGCGCTGGACGGCGTCAGAGATCCCACTGGTCAATCTAATGCCACCTTTGATATCGACCATGCACGATGGTTGAGGAACAGCTGGGCGCTTCAGCCACATACGTCGTCCTACTGGCTGATTCGTGGTGCCTTGTAGAGCGCTCTTTGCAGCAATGGTGCCACTGCTGCTGCCAGCGCTTGAGCTATTCTGGTCGAACGATCGCGGCGTTGGACAAGCTGGTAAATTCCTTGTCCTAGGCTTGATCGGACATTTTTCAAAATTCGAGCTCGGGTAGTACTTGTAAAGTCGCTGCACCACTGCTTTGGGCGCATCAAGATCAGAAGGAATTGGAGACTTGGGAATGCTGAAGCTCGCCAATACGAATTTGGACGAGGTACGCTCGTTGCATCGCCACTCGATAGGGGCCGAAATGTTCTTGCCACCGAACAATTTCTTCCTGAGCGTGGTACAGCGCGGTCTTGAGTCCCATCCTTGCGAGAACTTGGGTAGCTTGATCGAACACTCCCTGGATCTCCCAATTCCTGATCCGGTCGCCCTCCGCCTTATGGTGTTAGAGTGACTTGAAGGCTTGAGCGGGCATTCGGAGAAGTCTGGGTTCAAGACCGTTTGAGCAGCAAGTATGTTCACATAGCGCTGGACCCAGGAAGGATCATCCATCATTACAAGTGCGAAGCGTCCAGGCTGACTCGTGATACTGCAGCTGCTGTGGTAAGGCGGATGGTTAGAAGGATTCACAAGCCATGTAGCATCGTGGCAATTGTTGTCTAAGTCTGGTGGCTGCCCGAGGATGAAAGCGCGCATGTTCAACGTGACCGTGCAATTGATCATCTGGCTTACGTTCTCTGCAGGCGACTTGCGATTCTGTAGAAGGGGGGATACTGATCCAAAGCTCGTGCCTTCACGGGCCAGTTCTTTCACAGCCAAGGTAGAGATACCTGCGTCAACTGCGCGCTCATCCATGACGACCATATCGTCGATTTCTGGAGTGCGATTGTCATGCTGACCATGCCGTTGAACGGTACTCTTCTTTACATGTCGATTTTCTGTCTCCAGATCACGTTCAATGAAATGCTCACCCAAAATCGTGATCGACTTCCCGGGATGTGCACACGAATTGTCCGTCACACCAACAAAACGATGCCGTATTGTCATGATGATGTTAGCCGCGTTGTCGTTAGATACTCGGAACGTGTACGCGATGCTACCATTAGTAGTGACAGAGCAATGATGGTCTGTTGGTACATCGACATAGTCAGACCTGATGGCCTGCCGGACTTCCTTGCACTGCAAAGTCCTTCGGGTGTTTGTGAAGCTTGATCCAGGAATAGTGACCTTGCAATGGTCGCGCCGAGCTTCGAGGCGGGGACTTGACTCTCGAATCTCGAGCTCGGAAGGTGACTTCACCGGCAGATCGAGATGTCCAGTCTTCTCGTTATCCCTTCCCCCACGATCCTTACGCCACACCTTCCTCCTTCGGTCAGCGGTGACCATCCATTGTGTGCCAACGAAGTCTGCCATGATCTCCGCCTTGATCTTATTAGCATGCCCTTCTTTGGCACTAAATTCGTACAGAAGCCCACCATCGTCAGAGCGTTGGCAGGACCCTTCGTCTAGCAGTGTTGCATGCTTCCTGACGTTGGCACGTAGGTTCATGCAGAGTGTTATTGTTTTCTTCTCCTTGTGGATGTTGCTGGCTGGTACTGTGGCGATGAGATGGAGGAATCTCTCCCTCCTGGCTTCGAGTCGTGATCCTGCTTCTCGGTTCCTGGGTCCGGGCGGCAAGATCTCTGACCGCTCCGCATACTTTGCTCCACTATCAATTCCACTCAGCGCCTCATTAATTCCTCCATGCCGTCTCCCAAGTGCCCCAAACAACTCCTTCGTCCTCCCCTCACCACCAATAGTCCCATTCCTCCCGCTCGGCTGCACCTCACAAGCCCCAAACCACGTCCCATTTCACTTCCCCGCCAACACATCCACAATCTTCTGCACATGCCTTTCCTTCTCCTCGAACCAACACACCATCCCCGCCTTCACGGCCCCCGTCCCGTCCTCAGCTTTCCCATGGTTCGAGAAACACTGCGTCTTGCCGTCGGGCTTCTTGGCGCCTTTCTTGACAGCTTTCTCGATCATTTTGCACATCTTATCCGAACTCTGTACATCCTTGGAAGGCAACTTGGTGATGGGGATGACGGCTACGCAGCGCTTCTTCCTTTCTAGGATTGACGCACGGTCTTTGAGCATAGGAAGGGGCACAGGTACGGCATCCGACCAGTCTCCCGATTTCAACGGTTTGACCTCTCCGCCTATGTTGGGGTAGTCGTAACGATCATCATCTCTCTTCAACTTCATATCCGCAGGTTGCACCTCACAAGCAGTAAAGTTCAGCATCTGATATGCCCCCTTCAAGGTCTCGATAACGTGAGGCGTATCCTTCGACTTAGCCGCGAACGTATACACCAATCCACCAATCGTGTTGCCAACGCAGTAGTCATCCTTATGAAGTTTTCCCTTCTTATCCTTGACCGTCTTTTTGACGGCGCGGCAAGCTTCGTTGACGGAGGCGTCTGATGGCAGATTTGTCTGTGGTATTACGACGGCACAGTGGTCGATGTGGTGGAGGAGGCCGCGAGCGTTGAGGCTGGAGTTTGTGTGGTCGGATCTGGCTGGGACGTACTCGTAGACTCCATCGGTCGAAGTACGACGAAGATTCCTGTTGGTATCCGTGGGCGACTCATCGTCCTCAGAGCTTGTGGAAGTCGGAGAAGGGCTCGTCTTCGAACTAGCGGGAACAGTGGTCATGAGAGTGCTTTTGTGACCAGGAACGGAAGATAGAGAAGACGTATTCGGGCCCTCAGTAGTCGTAGTCATTGCAGTAACGGTCGTAGTAGCCACCGCGGTCTCCTTCTCCAGAAGTGTGACCGTGCCCGGCCCGACAACCGAACTTGGAGCCGCCTCCAAAACAACGGCAGTAGAAGTCTCCACAGCCAACAACGTCTCCGTCGTCGAAAGCACAGTCGTACTCGTAGCCATCTCCACAGAAGTCGAAACCTGGATAATCATCGGGACAGTGGTCGTAAAAGCAGAAGCAGTAGCAGTATTTCTCGCCGTGACAATCGGAGCCGATGCTAGACTAGAGCCGGTGGGCAGGTGTGTTGCTCCCGTGCCAGTGGGCATGATAGTGTTGGAAGAACTAGAGGTATTTGGGCAGTAAGGATCATTGCTAGCTGAGTCGTTTGGCCATCGGGATCGTTGGTGTGGGAGCGCTGCGGCATTGCTTGCGACCAGGAGGGTGGTGGCGATGGTTACGACACCAGTCTTGAGGCGCATAGCGCTTTATAGACTTGGCCGAAGCCCCGTTGCCTTTAATGGAGGACGTGTGGGGTAGTATCTGCTTGGGGTGTAAGCTGAGGAATACGAGGGAGTTGGTCTTGGTAGTCTTCGTTGGAAAGGACGACTTGTTTAATGTAAGCGAAGGGAATCAGAAATTCGCCGGCAGGGAGCCAGCTACTTATACCCTCCCATCCAGCACCCGCAGCTATCCTCAAGCAATGCTCGTGAGCTCGTGGTGCTGGCGAGCTGCGTTGGCTAGCACGGAGGGGAACTGCTGAAGCATGGAATAGCTTGTGGGTGCTGGTGGGTGCTGGTGGGCGCTGCATGAGTAATGTGAAAGCGAGTCCGTGGATAGTTGTGATGGTCGTATGCTGTCGATCAAATGTGCAGTATGTGCTTAGCTGCAAGGTGTGCGGGTCTTGTGCGAGAGGCATGAGCAGTGCCAGCACACTAGCATAAGTGTTCACAGCTGCCATCACATCGAAGAAAACCGTCGCTCATCCAGAATCGTGTGAAGAGGCCTGAAGTACAAAGATTCCCATTCCATCATATATCTACAGTCAATCTCCTCTACCAAACTCATCTAATCCAAAACAGCATACCTCCTCAACCCCTCCGGCACTGCCTCCCACAGCCCCTTCTCATGCAACCACTTCTTACTAAACAACCGATCCGCATACCGATACGCCCCATCACACAAAATCGTCACGACCGTATTCCCCGGTCCGAGCTTAACAGCCAGATCCCTCGCCGCGGCGACGTTGAGACAGGAGCTAGCGCCCAAATACAATCCCTCTTCGTCCAAACATCGGTACACCATCTCGATACTTGAGGCGTCGGGGACATGGAGTGCGCCATCCAAGAGATCGATATCGGGTTGAAGATTAGAAGTGATTCGTCCTTGACCAATACCTTCGGTAATGGAGGAGCCTTTCCGCTCGGTCATTTTGCCGCCGGATGAGACGTAGGTGTATATCACGCTTCCTGGCGGATCAGCTACGTAGCATTTCACTTTCCCACCAGAGACATCCTTCAAATATCTCGTGACACCTGCAATCGTGCCAGCGGTTCCGGAAGCGCAGGTGAAAGCGTCGATCTTGCCTTGTGTCTGCGCCCAAATCTCCGGGCCCGTGGTCTCGATATGTGCTTGTCTATTAGCGACATTATCGAATTGGTTGGTCCAAACGCAGTTTTCTCTTTCTTCGGCATAGCGCGTGGCTTGGTGGTTGTAGTTCTCGGGATTATCGTACGCCACCGCTGGCACGGGATACACTTCCGCTCCGAGCAACCTCAGCAGATCGATCTTGCCTTGGCTCTGTGTATTCGGCATGAAGATCACGAGCTTGTAGCCTTTACTTCTGCAGACGTGCGCCAGACCTATGCCTGTATTGCCGGCTGTGCCTTCGACTACGGTCCCGCCGGGTTTTAGCAAGCCGCGTTCCTCGGCATCTTTGACGACGTAGTAGGCTGCGCGGTCTTTGACGCTGCCACCGGGGTTTTGGAATTCGGCTTTGCCTAGGATCTCACATCCTGTTTCTTCGGAGAGTTTCTTGAGGCGGATGAGGGGAGTGTTTCCGATTGCTAGGGTGCTGGGGTATCAGTCAATGGTCGTGATTCATTTGAGGGATGAACGGTATGACTAACCAGATATGAAGCCATTCTCGGCTATCCGCTGGGCGGAGGATATCTCCAGTCCACGAGGATTCATTTTATGCGCGTCGTCGGCAGAGATGGGTTGAGGGGTGGTGTGAGTGGGCTTGACAGAGGGTGTGGCGTAGTTGGCTCGGAGTGTGAGGGTTGGGATACGATTGACGGGTCTTGTCGCAGCCCGCAGCGCTGTACGTGTGAACATTTGAGCAAGTAGCAGTGAAGATTGGTAGAAGGTGAGCTGTAGTGACCAACGATCAAACTTTCGAGCTGCATCGGCCAATGCACGTCATCCCACTTTCGGATCAAAATAAGGCCCATTCCGCGCGGGGAAGCGTGGCCGCGTTTTGTTGATTCGGGCGTAAACAGATGGATGTATGTATAGCAACGACTTTCTCTTTCTCTTTCTCTTGCCAGGACGATTCCACGACATACTAACAACACCATGCCTGGTCGCGTAGCTCGTGGTGGTCGAACGGCGGTCTCGCGCAAGACTTCTGCCCGCACCAGCTCTCCCAGCGCCGATGTACCAGATGAAGGACGTCTCACATCGCTACGACGCGCCATCTGTATCGTGTTTGCCGATGCGCAGAAGAGCACAGCTGGACATCGCAAGGCAGTCATCAGTCTACGGAAGATCCAGGAAGCGTGTTGTTATGAGCCAGTCAACTACAAGAAGGGCAAGCAGAGCGAGGATTTCGATGAAGCAGATTTTAATGTGGAAGTCACGAGATGTGTGTTGCGTATACTGGCTGTGAGGAAGGCGGAGCCCGTGGGTGATCGTGTAGTCAGGTTCTTGGGCACGTATTTGAATGTGGCAAGTGCGAAGGATGCCGAGATTGCCGCGGCGGGGCAGGAGACGGAGATGGAGATCGATGGCGCGACTGTGCCCGAGACTCCTACGAGCAGGCTTACCACCAGTATCCTGAGCACCTTGCTGCCACTACTCAACACCAAGGACAAGACGATTCGATTCCGGTCAACCCAGATCATTAGTCATATCATCAATAGTCTGGACTCACTGGACGACAACCTTTTCCACAAGCTGCGATTAGCACTTCTCAAGCGGATACACGACAAGGAGGCGCCGGTGCGATTACAGGCTGTGTATGGTCTTGGGAGGCTGGCTGCCGAGGTAGATGACGACACGAAGCAGGATGATTCGGATGAAGAGGAAGATGATGTCGGCGCCGGAGTGCTGGCGAAGCTTCTGAACATCCTGCAGAACGACCCTGCTGCAGAAGTGAGAAGAAATCTGCTACTGAATCTGCCGCTCACGAAAGAAGTCCTCCCATATCTGCTTGAGCGTGCACGAGACGCCGACGCCTCGACGCGGAGAGCGCTGTACGCACGCCTCCTGCCTGCACTTGGCGACTTCAGACATCTCAGCTTGACACATCGGGAGAAGCTTCTGCGGTGGGGTCTAAGAGATCGTGACGAGAACGTTCGCAAAGCTACAGCACGATTATTCCGCGAACGCTGGATCGAAGACTGCGCAGCACTACCAGCCGAGCAAGCAGCAGAACAAGAAGGCGAGGCGCCAAAAGCAGTCAATCAAGCCGCAGATCCTTCACTAGACGCACTGCTCGAGTTGTTGGAACGCATCGACATTGTCACTTCTGGTGGAGATGGTGGCATCGCACTCCTAGCCATGAAGGAGTTCTGGTCCGGACGCCCTGACTACATCGATTATGTCTCCTTCCCTGACAACTTCTGGGAGGACCTCTCACCCGAACTGGCTTTTGTCGCACGGACGTTCAACGACTACTGCCGTTCAGCAGGCAAGGAGGATGGATATGAGGGGCCAAGAATGCTCGATGGTATGATCGAGGATAAATTGCCTGAGGTCACCAAGTTTGGCTTCCTGCTCGAGCGAGAAATTGCTAAGCTCATACAATCAGTGCAGCTTGCGGCCATTGGCGAAGATGAGGAGGCGGAGGAAGAGTGTGTGCAGAGGGAGTTTGTGGTGGAGCAGATGTTGTACATGGCCGCCACATTCGACTACTCGGACGAAGTGGGCAGGAGGAAAATGTTCGGTCTTCTACGAGAGGCTCTCGCCAACCCGGAGCTACCTGAAGAAGCTACACGGCTCGTAGTCGACGTGCTACGACTCGTCTGTGGTGTCGACAGGAAAGGCGAGCAAGAGTTCTGTCGTGTGGTTGTGGAGGCTGCGGGCGAGGTTCATGATGTGATTATGGACGAGGATGATACGGCGGAAGTGAGTAGTGTGGAGGAGAGCTTCCATTCCGCTACTGAGGTCATTGAGGAAGATGAGGATGGGACACCGGTGCAGAAGAGCAAGAAGAAGAATGGGAAAGAATTGACGGAAGAGGAGCTGGAGCAGAAGGCTATCAGGGAGATCGTGGTGAATATGAAGTGCCTTCACATCGCCCTCTGCATGCTGCAGAATGTTGGGTGTGAGCTCGGTAGGCCCCGTTCTCTCCCTGACCACAGTGAATCGAGCTGACATGGTACAACAGAATCAAACGCCCATCTAGTAACACTTCTAAACACCCTCATCGTCCCCGCCGTTCGATCCCGCGAAGCCCCAATCCGCGAACGAGGCCTCTGCTGCCTGGGACTCTGCTGCCTCCTAAGCCTGAACCTCGCAGAAGAAAACCTCGAACTATTCCTCCACTGCTTCAACAAAGGACATCCGGCTCTGCAAACAGCCGCGTTGCAAATTATCGGCGATGTCCTCGTCACACATCCTACCCTCCTCACCACCCCAGCCCCAGCAGCAGAAGGCGAAACAACGATCGGCGCCACCTCAGTCGAGACCGCACAAGGACAAAAGGAGAACGCCCTCCTAAAACCCGTCCTCAAAGCCTTCACAAGGAGCTTGAAAGCCACAGACCCCACCGTCCAATCCACCGGCGCCGTCGCCCTATCCAAAACCATGCTCGCCCGCCTCATCACCTCTCCCGACCTCCTCAAACACCTCATCCTCTGCTTCTTCGACCCCGACACGGCTTCCAATGCCCAACTTCGACAGAGTCTATCTTACTTCTTACCCGTGTACGCGCATTCCCGGGCCGAGAATGCAGAGCGCGTGGCCAGTGTTGCTGTGAGCGTTATTGCCAAACTGGCGACTTTGAGGGAGGCGCTGATGGATGAGGCGGAGGCGGATTCGGGAAATGAGGGTGAGGGAGCAGGGGCGATGGTGAAGCTTTCGGTTGTTGGGGGGATGTTGGTCGATTGGACGGATCCGCGGCATGTCGTAGGCTTCAGCCCAAGCACGAAAGGGAGTCCGGCAGCTCAGGGGGCAGGGGATTTGCATTTCGCCCTGGCGGAACATATTCTCGAACGCCTCGTTACGAGCCAAGTCAGCAAAGAGGAGAAAAGAGTCCTCTTCTCCATGCTCGGGAAATTACATTTACCTGCTGCTAGCTGTGGACCCGAACGGCTGAAAAGTGTCCTGGAATTAGTGCAGGAGAGCATTGATTCCCGTGTCGCGACGGAAGTCACACTCAATAAACTGTTGACGAAAATGAGGGATTTGTTAATCGCGATGATGAATGCGGTTATGGCCGCTGAGAGGGGAGGTGGAGGGGCAGAGGAGACGGTGGTGGAGAGTACGGAATTTGTCGAAAATGACCCTACCACGGCTGAGCAGACGACTGGGGCTGGTGCTGTGGCGGATGAGTTCTCCGAACTGTCGGTTGACGAGAAGACTGTGGTGCCGGGGGTTGAGACTACGGCTTTGGCTACTGGAGAGGTTGAGGAGGGAGATGAGCTTGATGATGAGACGACGATGCTTCAGCGGACGGATGCTGTGGGGAGGGATACGACGATTGGGGCGCCGGACGCTGAGGGTACGAGGGTGGTGCTTGGGGTGGGGGATACGGAGTTGTTGTATAGTGATGAAGAAGAGATAGAGGATGAGTTGAGTTTGTGATTGCGGGCGTCAACGGGCGGTGTTGGCAGGTTGGATGATTTCATGATACCAGTGGAATCTTTACAACGTCAGGGCAATTTCGTATGTTCTTGTCTATTGTACATACGCTTGCCGAGTGCTATTGATTCAAAGCATGCACCCATCCATCACAAAGCCGTCCTCATGTTCCCACATCTTGCTCTTGTCCTTAGGCCACAAGGGCCTATCGCTGAGCGGTGAATCGGGAATGATTCTCGGCTTGGCAGGGAGAGGATTAGAAGCCAGCACCGGAGGGTTGAATGGCGATCTGTTAGGTCGCCAAGGCTCTGGTGGCGGTGTCTCAGGCCGTGTGGTCGGGTCTGGTGATGACGATGTTTCTGAGTCTGTGCTGGGACGAAAGGACTCAAAAGCTTCTGTCATCGCTGCTTGTTGTTTCGAAGGTGTTGATGCGGTAGACATGCCACCCCTGGGATGGATCGTATTGCTTTGTGGTATGGCCATCGGATGCAGAAATGTCCGTGGTGTATATTGCTCTGGCAGCTGGCGATACCGTTGTGCGTGGAGTGGTGTACCTCTTCTTGTCCGAGGCGGCGCATAGAGCTTCATAGGCTCATTGGGCAAGAACGGAGCTCGATTGGCTGCTGGTGATAAGGTTGAGATTGGAGCCTGTGAGAGAGTGATGGTAGGCAGAGAAGACTTGTGTGTACTTCTCCATCCACTTCTAGCAGATGTAGGCGTCTCAGGTTGCTTGGCCGTTGTTCCGCCAGCCTCGGACGCCTCAACAGGCAGCGAGTTCTGCATTGGTAGCAGCCAGATACTATACTTCGGCGGTCCATCATCTTGCGTGACATTCGGGAACCAGAGATCTAGCAATGGCCGGAGTGCAAGTAGTGAGGCGCAGATGATGCCGACATTAGCCTCGACGACTGACCAAATGATAGCCCAAACACCAGAGACGGTATACTCGTCTCTCGCAGAGAACACCGAAACACTCGTGAGGCGCGCGATGCCAGCTCCACAAACAAAGAAGCCGAGGGAGAACACTCCAACCAAGCTTAGTTTCTGCTTGCGCGGCAAGTGTAGTCCGAAGACAGCTGGTATGGGAAGACAGAGAACGAAGAAGTCTATGTCAATATCCACGATGGCAACAGAGATCCAGTACCAGCGTGCTGAGAGGCAGTGACCAGGTATCTGAGGGTCCCAAAGCTTGGCCACAGGACTGCAGAGTAGTGTTCCGCCCAGGACTGCCCAGAAAATAGCTGGTAGGAGGGCAGCGAGGAGTACATAGCACAAAGCTCGTGTTGTTCGGTCTGTGAAGATGCGGAGGTACTGCATCAAAATGGAGGCCTTCGTGACGTTGACCAAGATCGCCCAGATATTGTTGTTGGCTATGATGAGTTTGGTGACAGTGGCAGCTTGCAATGCGCTTTCATGAACAACGCCAACGCCCTGGTGGACCGCAGCCGCAATGAGAGCGAGCATGACCCAAGACAGAATCTATGCTTGTTAGTTAAGGTGAAACCCTGCCACTGCTGCCTGATATTACATACCGAAGACACCAACATCACATAGTCATCCCAGCCAACACAGTGCAGAAGCCTCGCACGAGTATACCATCTGAGGCCAACCACGCAGCTCGACAAGATGACGACAGCGATCGTAGGCCCAAGGGCCTGCCAGCCAAGGTCGCGAGCACCGAAGTGAACATCTGCAGCATTGACAACACCGGCGATAGCATCGTCAACATCCTCGTGGAAGACCATGGTGCGTACCCAAAAGTGTGACGTTCGCTACTACGAGATGGCCGCAAGCAGGTGGAGGAGTGCAAAGTAGTAGTCATGGTGAGCAAGCAGACCGGATCAGTGATTCTGTCCAGCAAGCACCGAGCTACAAAGGGTGGGAGGTGTTCGTTCATGCTGAGTAGCTTTCGTAAGTTGTACCATGTAGTTGTGTATGATTGTTGCTGACTCCACAAACGGATGTTCGCGGATTGGTCCGTTGGCTTTCATGCCTTGCGAGCGGGCGAAGGTTTGTAGGTTTGCAGGTTTGCAGACAGTAGATGATGCAAACAAAGACGAACTGATGTTACGCAAGAGAGGGGTCCGGTGAAAGGTGCCGGCTAGATAGTTCTCCATATTGACAGTGTAGTCGCAGCAAGACTTGTCCACGGATTGCGAAGATGTTGGAAGAGGTCGGCCAGCTAGGAGAGACCATTGTTTGCTCGCAACTAGGATACACGGCTTCTATGCGCGGTAAGGGAGGCCCGTCATCTCATCACTGGCATAGACCCATTTACAGTGTGCTGTCGAGGGGCCATGACGTCGAACAGTGCCATCTTCGCCTTCAAGTAAGCTTGCACGACGGCATCATCCTGCTCGGGCTCGGCGGTCACCGAATCTTTTCGAGCTACTGGTATATGGTCCTTCCAGCTCTCGATGGCCGAGACTTGTTGGTTCTGTAGGTAACGATGAGAGCTGTTTTGGGTCGTAGAAGCAGAGGTACGTTCCGCATTACTCGATTTCGAGGATGCCTTCTGCTTGCTGTGGTTATTGTTCTTGCTTGTCGCCATCTTGTTGTTAGTGTCTGTAGCCTATGCTTGCGGTAATGCTGGGTCCAATGGTTGCAAAAGAGTGGTGGTGGAGGCGATGAGAGGCCTGAGGTGGCGAGCTGTAGCAGTCTGATAGTCCTTATACTTACCTCGAGATTTGGAAGCGTGGCGTCCCACATGGATCTGAGAGGTACCTAATCATCTCCATACACACCGCTCGGTACTAATCTCCCCCATGGCGTGCTGAAGCTTGTCCATTTTAGGGCACTCAATCGTGTTGCGATAAGGTGAAACGAGCATGACCGCGAGGAGAAGTAGTGAGCTCGTAACATCTGCATTTCGTAGCGATGTCCGGCTACTTGCCAAGACACCAGCGTATGGGACCGACGCGAAGGAAGCCTAAGATGGAATGTATCTTGACAAATCGGCAAGAGCTTCGTATCATGAGTGGTTGAAGTCTGGTACGGTGAGGTAGTCACAGGAAGGAGATGGAATTGTCATCTGTTGTTCACACTGTGGCGGACTGAGTTGTGGGGGACTGGACTCGTTCTGATTGGAGGAAGTTTGGAGAGATCTCAAATCAATGCTTCCGGTACTGACGACAAAGCCATTGCCAGGCATGTCCATCAATATCATGGTCGCGATCAAACGCACAACTTACAAAGTACTTGCCAGTGCGATCGCAAAAGATTGTCTCTTGGCAGAGTGTACGTATCGTTCACGGACTTGCCATGTCCATATCCTTCGCCCACCCAGATATTCAAGGCATTCACGACTCTCGCATTTCAAGTCCGATGCCTGACGGAGGCACATCCGGCATTTTACATGGAGATCTTGACCATGCACGTGGCCGACCATGCATAACGTGTAGCCGAGAGCTACCACCGATCGAAGCTACTGCAAGCAATTGGAATCTTCTGACTTCCCTCGAACAAACGAGAGACGAGGCGACGACCGTTCTACACCTACTGGGATTAGCTGGCCTTTTGCTTGCCCGTTGACCACAGATACAACCGGAACGGTGTGTCCGACGCAGACGAACATCCCAGATCATCGAACATGTCTCTGCCTCGGACTCTGCTGTACCTACCCACCCAAGCTCGTCAATCTACCAGATGCAAGATCTGTGGCTGAACTCTAATGTTCGCTTGCTCTTGCCTTGCTCTGCGCGTGACGAACCGCCAAAGGCGCTTGAGTACACTACGCGGCTCTTCTACGGACGGTTGATGGAAGCTCTGAGACTGTATCAGTACCATCACTGCTCACGGAGCTGCCTCCACTGGTCAATGTGTACCTGTGTATTGGACAGAGGTGGAAGATGCCAGGCGATCAGTCATCAAAACGCAGCTCGCCAGGACGTCACACCCATGATCTGACGCAGATATGATATCTATGCAACTAACGTACCACAACTCTATATGCCTGTCTACATAGCTCATCTATCATGCAAACGAGATCTTCCATCCAGCTCCGATCTGGATGCCAGGATCACGGACCACCGCCCAAGCAGCTTTGCCCTCTTCTTTGCCATGCCACTCGAGCTCAGCGGACTTAGTGCCAGAGCTCTTGCCGGCCAGCTCTTCGCTGACCTCAACCTCCTTCTTGCTCTTCCACGACTCAGGTGCACCAACGACGATGACCTTCTCCACACGGACCTTCTCCATCGCCTTAAGGTAGTCCTTCGTCTTCCTGCTCGGCGATGCGCTAGCTGCCGCCAGATCTTCGGACATGAGTGTTGAAGTAGCGGATTTGTACTCGAAACGACGATGGATAAAGGCACCTTCTTCGTAGTCGAAGCTCTCGCCGTCGTCGAGATAAAGTGTACCTTCCGCATCACCCGAGTTGCCGATGACGACGACGAGAGTGAACGGATCATAGCGCATCAAGCCCGAGCTGCGCCGTGGTCGATCACGACGTGGAATGATGTGACCACCTTGCATCAGAAGCGGGATTGTATCGAGCGAAGCAGCTAAGCTGACAGTGGTAGGTCCTTCGTACATCCAATAGTCGAAGTAGTCGAAGTACTTCTCCTTGTCAGCAAGATAGATATCTACACCATCGGCACCCTCAGTAGTGACAGGCTTGGCAAGCAGACCTGTGCTGCCGACGTAGAACTGGTCGTCGATGGCGAACCCCTTCTCATCACCAGGATGAACGTAGTAGTTCGGTCGCAATATGGGTGCGCCGTTCGTGTGAGCTTCGTGGAAAGCGGTATACCACGCAGGCAGCAGGCTGTATCTCAGTCTTAAAGCTTGGGTGATAATCTGCGTATACGGCTCGCCAGCAAGATATGGCTCCCGTCGACGAGTATCAATGTGTGCATGACCACGGAAGAAAGGATAGAAGGCACCGGCTTGATACCAGCGAGTCAAAAGCTCTTTGCTCGGGTTGCCGAAGAAGCCTCCCACATCCGCACCTGCGAAAGGGAAGCCAGAGATACCCATAGACAAGAGCATGGGAATGGATGCCTCAAGATGTGGCCATGCGGCTTGGTTGTCGCCAGTCCACATGGCGCCGAGACGCTGCGAGCCCGAGTAGAACGATCGCGTAAGCACAAAAGGACGAACATTAGCTTTATCCTCTTCCTTGTCGCGAGCAAGGATAGCGTGGTAGGTGGCGTTCTGGAAAGTCATGCCGTTGATATTGTGCACATCTCTATGCTCCCAGCCACCATGGTGTAAGTTATCCTTTGGCATGGTCGTTTCCGGACCATTGAAAACAGATGGCTCGTTCATATCATTCCAGATCCAGGTGTTCTTCGCAGTGCCCTTGAATTTGTCGTACCGGAATAGACTCTTCCACCATGTATGCGCTGCAGGGTTGAAGCAGTCGACCCAGTGACTGCTACCAGGCCAACACCACCCTTCGTAGATGTTCCCATCTTTGTTGTGTACTGCCAGATCCTTCGACTTGAGCTCATCGACCACAGGATAGTTGCCTTCGTTCTTGATATGAGGGTCAATAATGGCAACTAACTTGCGCTCGTGCTCGTCCAACTGCTTTTCCATACCGAGTGGGTTGGCGAAAGTATCAGGATCCCAGGTGAAGTACTTCTTACCCTCGGTATACTCGATATCGAGCCAGATGACGTCGTATGGAATGCGGTTCTTGTCGAATTTGCGGTCGACATCACGGACATCCTCGTCGGTAACATAATTCCAGCGACACTGATGGTATGCGATAGCGAACTGCTGCGGTAACTGCGTGTAGCCAGTGAGCTCTGTGTAAGCACCAACGACATCTTGCGGCTTGGGACCAAGGAAGATGAAGACATCCAGCAGACCGGACTCACTGATCCAGTGTGTGTTTGTGGTAATTTTGCTTCCAATGCCAAGGCTCAGCGGGTTTGTCGAGGAGCTCGACTTCGTGATGTCAATCCATGTCTCAGCAGCGTTCAGCCAGAACACACCTACGGTAGAGTCCTTCTTCTGAGCTTGCATGAACGGGATCGCTCCATATAATGTCATCGGACTGTCCATTTCGTACTCGAATACATCGCTGTTGTACAGCCTGTATGGTTCAGAATACTTGCCGTCACCACCTCTCGTCTCCTTGAGTGAGAGTGGTCCTGCGTGCTCGGCGACACCGAAGACATGCTGATAGTTTGGGAAGCTGATGTCAAGAGCCACGGCTTCCGGACCCTTTGGCTTGCTGTCCGTACTGCCACCAAACGACTCATCCCACCAAGTGCCTTCGTCCTCCTCGGTATCCTTGGCCGACTCTCCGACGACAGCTTCCTCGCCTTCCTTCTTCTCTTCTACTGGCTTCTCCACTTTCGGTCGCCAATGCTCCACATTTAATAAGCCACGATTGTTGAACTGGATCTGGGTCTCCCCATTTCGCTTGAAGTCAATGCCGAACGGGCTATGTCGTATTACTGCCTCAAATGTGCCTGCTGGGCCGTAGCTGATGTTGGTAGTTCCTTTCTCAGCACCCTTGCTTGTGGCCGCGCCTTGGCTGAGCGTCGTGCCACCAACGATAGCCCACTTCTCAGCTTCATTATATCGTTGCTTCTTTGCTTTGCTATCATGTCTCAGCACGATATCACCCTTCTGTCTCCGCTCCTCGTCCAAGGTCACGCGAGCAGTACCAGATTCGTAGAAGGCGATAGTGAGTGGTAGCCGAACAGTCTCCGCCGTGTTGACAATGGTCTTCACAACGCTACCAGTCAACATGCCATTGTCGAACTTGATAGAGGCTGGATCCAGGGAATATGGTGCCTGCCATGAAGAGGTTGACAGGGCGGCATCTGCATAGGCACGATTGCGCTTACAAAATCCAGATTGGTCGCATTTCTTGAAGTTCTCGTGCTTGACGGTCACTATTGGTAGTCATCTTCAGCATTAATCCTCAGTCGATATGGTTAGTCCTTGGTATTGCTTACCGACCGGCGTGATGAAGGAGCACAAGAACACGAAAATCAGTAGCAATCCTGACCACCTCCGACTATCACTTCCAAGCACGGCCATGGTGTATGTTCGTGCCAATGGCTTCAGTGGTATATCCAAGAAATATATGTAGGATTCTACCACTATACACTGCGGCTCATATCGAGAGCCTCAGGCACTATATATTGGGCCAGCTTGCACATGAAAAGCTTCCCCTGCATAAACGACTGAGCCCCACGACCCCACCGGCAAAAAAGTCAAGGCGTTTCATCAATGTCCAGCGACACACCGCCGATTTATAAACATCTTGGCCATAAAGACAGAGGACATCTCACAACAGTCATTAAAGCAACTCAAGAGCAAGAGAAGCAAGACATCATGACTTCTGAGCAGACGTGAGTCCAAACGACGACCACGACCAAAAGTGTGAGAGGAAGCATTGGGCTGATTGTTGGGATAGCTTCATCGCGATCAAGCCTGATGGCCTTCAGGTATGGACCAACCTGCTCCAAATTTGCATGAGCATCAGTCACTAAGATATATCACAGCGTGGCCTCGTCGGCGAGATCATCGGCCGCTTCGAGAGGAGAGGGTGAGGCATCCGGGTCGGCAGCCATCGCCTAACAGGACTGACTTCAGGACAGATACAAGCTCGCCGCCATCAAGCTCGTCACTCCATCCCAGGAGCACCTTGAGAAGCACTACGAGGACTTGAAGGACAAGCCTTTCTTCAAGGGTCTTATCACCTGTACGTCTGTTATCAAGCCACGTTCGATGGTGAACATGCTGACAGCAGTCGTTAGACATGGGTAGCGGCCCAGTCTGCGCCATGGTGTGGGAGGGTCGTGAGGCCGTCAAGGTCGGTCGCCAACTCCTCGGTGCCACCAACCCAATGGCTTCCCAGCCAGGTACCATCCGTGGTGACTTCGCCATCGTAAGTTCCAGCAACATTCCGCTTCGCTTTCAAGATATTGGTGACTGATCTCGTTGTGTCCAGGATGTCGGCCGCAACGTCTGCCACGGCTCCGATGCCGTCGAGTCTGCCAAGAAGGAGATTGACCTGTGGTTCAAGAAGGAGGAGCTCAACACATGGAAGCAGGCTGGGCACGACTGGGTCTACGAGAAATAGATTGAGCAAGTCTGGTGGTGTATTATGCTGCTGCTTGAGAGAACATATGTGTGTCGTAGGATAAGGCTATGAAAGATAGCATGAACATGCAAAGATAGAAATCTCGTCATCCTTCCAAAGTGGCATCACATGCAGTGGCCAGAGCCATGGTTATGATGTTGTACTCTTGGATTGCCCTCACTAATGTCGTCTTTTCGACATGTGTAGTGCAACACTGAACGAAGATTCCAGACCTCTTCTTGGCAATGGCTGATGGCTTGGACGCTGAGTCAGCTTTTAGCGCCCTTTCGGTTCCTGCGAATAGGACTCCATCTTGTTCAATACATCGCACCAACCAGATGGTACTTTTGCGCGCACATGGCCAGTATGCAAAAGCCGCGCGAGTCTCCGGATGACTGAACACTTCTTTCCCGATCCCTGCAAAGAAGATCAGACGACAATTACGAGCATGCCAGACTATCCTGGTTCGATCCAATTCGTAGTCTTGGTTCAAAGATAGAATGGCAGACTCTGAGCTACGGAAGGCTGCCAAGCCTGGCAAGGCATGTCTGGGCTGCTATCGTCGCAAGCTGAAATGCTCACAGGAGCAGACAGGTTGCACTAACTGCGTCAAGGCCAATTTGCCCTGTGTGTTTCCTACGGCTGACCAGGGTGTCAAGCGCAAGCGAGGGCCCTATAAGAAGGATAAGCCACCTCGAGAACGTCATCTGGAGCATCTGGTCAAGTATCTGAAGCCACAAGATACCTCGACCGGAGCGGCCCAGTCTGGTATGGACTCGACGACTGTGGGCGACTCCACGCTGCTCAATGGGAATGGGAAAAGCAGGATTAATCTTGCTCGTGTGCCGGCGGATAAACCATCAGCTTCCGAAGATCTTGTCAAGGATGCTCTTATTGCCTTGACACAGACGTCCTTGGATCAGGGACCAACGTTCGATAGCAAAGACAGAGCCGAATCACCCATCTGTATGTCTCAAGCTGTACCCGCCTGCGGGCCTCTCGAGGGACTTGATCTGACACCTGCTCGTTTCGCACAGTACTGGCAGCTCTATCAAGCTCGTGTGGACCCAGTGACGAAGCTGTTACATTGTCCTACTCTGGCTTCGGCATTCTTTAGCCATGTCTCCGAGCTGAGCACACTGAGCCCGGACACGCAAACTCTGATCTGTAGCATTTGCTTTATGGCAGTCGGAACATGTACTGTGAAGGAGGCAGAAAAGCGTTTCGGTGAACCTCGTGAGAGTCTTTTGCGACGTTACAGCACGCTCGTCGAATCCTCGTTCGCAGACGATAGTGGTACGCCAAGCCTGGAGTCTCTACAAGCCCTCGTCTTGTACATGATTGGTATTCGACGCAAGGACGACGCCACCTCGATATCAGCATTATTCGGTCTCGCAAGGCGATTAGTTCAGCACCTGGAACTCAATGAAGATCCTGGCACGTCACATATCCCTCTGGAGGCTGAGCTACGCCGACGGCTGTGGTGGCATTTGTGCTCGGTCGAGTTTCGAGCCGCAGAAGAGTCTAGTGTGCGCACGAAGAGCATCAAGGACGGGTCAGGCGTTAGGCTACCAGGTAATTACAGCGATATCGATCTCAATATCACGACTGCAGAACCTCCGGAACCCTGTATAGGCAGGTCTGACATGACACCTGTCCTGCTGCGATGGGAATGCCAGAATATGGTTCATGAACTCTGGAAGGCGAAGAGACCACATAATATCGGCAGACTCGCGCTTACTCAACAGGAAATCACGGCAGCGCAGACTCGCATGTTCCGCCAGACAGAGGCCCGACTCGAGCGAGACTACGTGCGGTATCTGCACAAATCACGTCCGATTGACTGGTGGGGACTCACATACCACGAATTACTATTCGTCAAGGTCAGGATGATGATTAATCACCCTTTCAGCCAGGTTCCGACCAAAGACATGAGTAGCCTAGAGCGCTCTCAGATCCTGCAGTCATCTGTAGCTATTATCAATCTCACACACAGAATGGTCACAGACCCGAGGGTAGAAGTATGGCATTGGTACGGTCGAGGCTATGTACAATGGCACTCACTTGCAATCGTAGTGGCAGAACTCGGACGCATCAAGAACAAAGTATTCGCGAGCAGCGCATGGGCTGTTCTAGATCCCATCCTGGCTGACTGGGATACACTGTACAGTCAGAAGAAGGAGGAGCCTGCATGGGTCCACGTCAATGCATTGATCACGCGTGCGCGTCAGCTGCGTGATGCAGATGTCAGGCCTACGAAGGACAGCGGAAACACTGCCGAGCTATCCTCTGATCATGCTACCAGCATGACCAGTAATCCATCCAAACAATCAAGACCCAGTGTCCCGAATTCGTATACTCCAGCTGGTTCCGACATGTCGACAAACCAAAAATTGACTGATCCGGCGTTCCTGCCAGATATATACGACCTGTCTGCGCCAGGCGCCTTAGCCTTTGCAGCACAGCAAGAAATGACTCCTCTGTCTTTGCACGAACAGGACGGTCATTACAGTGGATTCTCTATAGATCCGCCCGCGTTCGACATGGACATGGACCTGGCATCCTTCGATCAGCTGGATCACATTGACTTCTCTGCGTTCGACGCGGTGTTTGGTGGAGACCTGTGGGACTTTGAGAACTTGCAAGGCGCATTTGTGACACATTGTCCAGACATGATGTCGTCGGGCTTGGCTTAAAGGCACAAATGCATGAGCAATATGCTCAACACACATGCTTAACCCTATCTTTACGGCACTGCCGTAGCTTGAGAATCTTCGAGCCACTTACAGTGATCCTGCAAGGACAGTACCACGAGTCTTTCCGCTGCTCTTGTGGCTTGTCGAGCGAGTTTGAGGACCCATGCAGCCACCAGACCACATCGCTTGCAAGGTGTGTTCCAACCTGCAGAGTACCTCATCCCATTAGATGGGAGCTGAGGCAGATGAGACGACAACACACAGTAATTGATGGCCTAAACCCACCTGCATTGCTGACGATCGATAAGGCATCGCCATCCCGCGACGCCCCATTAGCCATGACAAGAACAGTAAGCAGGTTTCTACCGCCTCATGATGGAACCGCTAAGGACAAGAGACTAGAGACCATGGTGGTACAGTGAACGACAGATGCTCTCGATCATGAACTAAATCCCTAGCCCTCGACTTCCATAGTCAGATTTGCTGCGCACCAGTACTGCTGAACTATAAGAAAGACTATGTCGGTGCGGCAAACTCGACTTGGGTTGAGATATCCATCACAGGGACCCCAAAGAGGTCTATGAAACGTTACGGTATAGTCTTGGCTTATTGTTACACGTTCCGGTATACTCTCACTCTATCTATGTACCGTACGTCCCTTTCGGCAAATTTGTGCGGGCTCAAGACGTGGCACCTATGGTGCGCTCTTCACGATGGCAATTTAATGATGCGAGTAAATGTGCATGCTTTGGCTGCGTCGGATGCGTTGCTCGATCATGGGCTACATACTACCGACTCGGCGGCGAGGGGTCATACTTGTTGTAATACTGGAGCAAGATGGACCAAGTAATAGTTCTGGCGGATCAGCAGCCGCTTGCGGCTTGCCCGATCGAGCAAGCACCTAATTCCTATACTGAATTCGTACAAAAAACAGAAATTTCTCCCATGATGGCAGATACACCATTGTAGCTATGTGCAAGGTCGTTCAAGATCCGAGCAAAGATGCTGTGGTCGAGAATATCATCGATCCTTCGCTCCTTAGCTCCATCCTCATCTACAGCAGGATTTGGCCCCTTCACAATGTCCTAAATTGCGCTCTGATTGGTTACCGCTCTTCAACATTTGCCTTGGAACGCTCGTTCATCTTCCACTACGACTTCCTCTTCACAATGCATACTGGCGACCCTTCTCTCGTACGCGCGTTGATAGTCTTACTCTATCCCCCGCAAGGTCTGGAAGATAGGCACACTGAGGCAATAAACCTCAACAAGTGTATTTTCACCTCTAGAGCAAGCATGCCATTGCCTCTAGTCATTGCCTACAACGAGTCCGCTGTCCGTTGCGTCGGGAGAAGAGTATCTCGCGACCTGTGGAGCAGCAGCTTGTTGGGCTCCGCACCATGGTATGTATCGTAGGACACGGGCACGATGGCCGCTTGAGCTTTCCTCGTGGGTTGACCACCCATGTGAAGCAGACACGTCCGGTGTCCGGATGCGCGCCGCGATGTGTAGCCTTAGGAAACACTGACCCCAGGTACACCCAGCAATCACGTCAGGCAGGAGCGCTAAGGCGTCTAGAGCTCCGGAACACACGCTTACACCAAGCAGGAAGTGGACGACATCAAGCAGCATGACAAAGCGAGACCTTTCCGCCAAGAGCCCATCGACGTGGACGCGCTCGTATATCTGTTCCTTGCTCTTTGAGGCAGAGGCATCATGTCTTGCCTAAGGAACAACGGGTTTCGACCGTTATTTCCAGCAGTAAGAGCTTGATCGAGAACAACGCAAGCGGTCGGTCCCGGTGCCGGTGCTCACAAACAGCGGCTTCCATCGGCTTGATAGAGTCATACTTGCAAAGATCACGCAAGCCCACCCAATATGGGATGTATACCGCGACTAGAAGATCGCATCTCTCTGGACACTTTCTGCCCTTATACCGTCTTCCTCGCCGTGGACAGTGTCAACACAACTCGCTCGAAACGCCGACTCGGTGAGCTACACTGGCATTTCTTCGAGTAGCCCGGCTGATAAGCCGGCTTCAATCCTCCTGACGCGGCTCTGCAGCTCTTCACGAGGCACCAAGGTCCTTTGAGCTCGGCGACTTGCCGACCTTTCTTCACAACAAAAGAGGTATCCACGCATCGTCCTCAATGGGTTCACTTGGTTCTGGCATTCAGGAGAAGTACCATTAGGGGACACAGATCCGACAAGAGGAGCTCATGTCCGTTGGCTTAGGGCCGTCTGCAAGCTCTATCCAGAAGAAGACCTGGTCGTCCCGCCAGGAAGCTATGCTATGATTGGTTGCACTGGACCTGCTTTTGCTGGAAGTCTCTTACGTGCTCACAACAGCCATCATGGGGCCGTGCTGTGCTTGCTTGTTCAGGGAAGGTAGCTCCCGTGCCACATCTTTCTCAAACTCCTTGCAATTTCCCTCTTTCTTACACATCACATTTTCCCCGAGAGGTTTTGATCATGCTGACGCTAGCTCACGATGTTTACTACTGCATCCTGGCTTAATGCATCCGTACGACTACTTCGGATACGCCTCTAGTCTCGACGGACTTCCTGGCATTGGATCCATTGGCTCACCATGTCCTGACCACCCGGTGCTCTTGGACTGAGTGCGAACCGTCCACGTCAGGCAACCAGGCATCGAAAGAAGGCAAACGACGCTAAGGGACCATACGCCCTGGTGCATCATTCAGGCCACGGGCCGGCTCTGTGCGCCCAATCGTCCTCGTCATGCGACTTTCTCCAAGGTTTCCAGTTATAAAGTGTCCGAGCCGTGACTGCTTCTAAAATGATTGATTGCGCGTTTCGCTGGACCCCAAGAAATGGATTCCTTACTTACCTTGAACCGAGAAGGCCTCTTCTGTACCCAGGTATCAACGCTCTACAGGTCGACGAGTGCCGCCCGAGGATCGGCCGTAGCGGGTTGTGATAAGCGAGCCTATCGAAAGACCCTTGATTCAAGCTCCAAATGCATTCCATCTCGTAGTGCGGCCGGATCCTTATAGGCTGACCGACCATTTGAGCCTCATCTATCACGTGCATTTCACGTGTGCCCGGACCGAAGACCGCTCCGAACGACTGGTCGACGATAAACCCACCGATATGGTCTGCCGAAGTACTTTGCGCCTTCCTACTAGAGCTGACGCTCCCGCGGCCTATGTAGATGATCCCTGCCGTTTTGGTCAGGTGGCTACATACCGTGTTTACAAGTCCCACGATTGCGTCTGGCATGGTCGATGGAGAGGGGAGCGATCCACTCCAATGGCTTGCGGCACTATGAAATCGCCGGCAACTATCGATCTGTGGAGTAGCAGCTCATTAAACCTTCGGAGCGCCCGATACATTCTCGTTCGGCGTAAAGGTGAATATGCATTACCAGATTAAGTTCGACCAGGAAATTATAACTTCCTCGCTTGGGCTAGACAAGCAGCAGGAGATCGAGATGGTACTGCTCTACTATAGCTGGGATATCATCTCATCCTCCAGCGTTGTCAGGTCTTACTGCAACCATATATAGCAAGCTGGACAACACCACCCCGGTAGCTCGGCTTAATTCAACAGTAGTCCCGCTTGCTGTCCTGTGAGTGGCCGCGTTCTTGGACCGGTGATGGCAAGGTGGTGGCATTGACGTTGGCCAGCGATTGAATGCTCGGAAGAGCTGGCCGACGCCAAAAAGCAAGTAACTACGTCAGTCGACATCTGTCATCACATACGAGATGTCCTCCACGCGGCAGAATTTCTTCAACGACCTTGACCTCGTGTATCCGGGCGTGGTAGATCGCAGAGAAGGAATCATCCGAAAGCTGGGATCATGGCGGTATGCGGCTCACTGCTAGCACTCGACGAAGCTGACCCTGACAAGCCGTCGTTCTACTTCACACTGCAGGCGCTGACTATTCACCCCGGGGCCACCCCAATCTACTCCGCGCAGAGGAGATGGTGGCCGCCGAAGAGGCTCGGCGAGAATGTGGCATCCCAGCATGTTCTCTTCCACCACGACGGCGAAACTACGGAGCGAAGTGACGCTGATATGAACGAGCTTGAGCACTACAAGGAGTTCTCGGTGTACCACAGTCATGGAGTCTTCTGGTTGTATCCTGGAGACGCTTCGGCTGAACAAGTCGGGGACGGTAGAGACGGACATGGCCGGCTTCCTCCGACCAATGCAGATGCGAACAGCGATGATGACACCGAAGAAGATAATCCTGACTGGGCTATGCTCAACTTTGAGCTGCTGCCATCTCGATCTTCTTACGCCAGTACGAACACACGACAACGCCGCCTACCCTTACGACGCCGACACCAGCTTTGGCCGGATCAGCTCCTGCCTGATCCCCACCAGGCCGAAGCCGAGGCAGCTTCATATACATCCAACCCTGAACATGGCGGGCTGAACGGAGAGCTACCGGTGCTGCTAGGGCTGATGGCCATGGCTCTGCCACAACAGCATATGTTTGCCATGCTTCCGGACTGCATCGCCAACCCTTGGCTGGTACCACATCTTCCGCGCGGCACAGGGTGTACGTATCACCATGGGAATCCAAGGTCGGGATAAGCTGTGCTGACGACAGTGGTAGGGCAAGACAAACGGGGGGTCATCATCTCAGTATACTATGATCAGGCAGAAACGAGCGAGGGCGATCTGAGGAGCTATGAAGAAGGCCAGGGCGGCAGTATACTGCCTTAGGCCAACACTCTCCTTGCCGTGGGATCACGATCACGAAGACATGACAACTGGGGTAGGCGTTGGACTTCGCGCAGAGCACGGCACTTTTGATACCCAGTGGGCGGTCGTGACTTGCTTAGCCGTTGTCTTCACCTAATGTTTAGTTATGATTGACGAATACGCGATGATGAACTTGCAGACAAATACCATGAATCAATCACAGGCGTCGTGGCGCACATGAAAAGGCGTACTCCGGCTTTGTTTGACAATCACGTGATCAAGGTCTTCTGTGATGGTCACGTGTTGAAGCGTCACACAGCAGAACGTGATCAACGTCCGAGACTGGAAGGAAAAGGACGGGACCTAGCTGATGCTGTAGGCATTGGTACAGGCAGGTAAAGGTACGGATGAGATACTATCTCCACTACACTACATACGCTTGAACCTGAAAAGGCACAAAGCTGAACTATTTCGCCTTAGCCTTGCCCTTATTTCCCCTCCCCATTGCCTTCCGCTCGTTATTCCTCGCAATCCTCACCGCGCTCTTCCGCCACGCCGCGAATCGATCTCCGGGCTTGAAGTCGTCATAAGCTCTCGTCGTCTTGCCTTTGGCCTGCGCAGCGGCTTCTTTCCTCTCGGCCGCTTGCCCGATCTCGTGATTACTTTGTCTGTATTGATATCCTGGTCGCAGGCTCAATTGGAGGCCTTGGGGGTTGTTGGAGGTGGGTTTGAGGGTTATTGTTGTTGGTTGGCTCGGTGTGATGGCTGGGTTGGTAGAGGGTGCGTCGAGGTTGGAGAGGGCGTCTGAGGGCGCGGGGTCGGGCATCTGGTAGGCTAGTAGTCCTAGGTGGCGGCGGCGAGCGGCGTGGGTTGGTTGGGGGAGGTGCTGGTCTTTTTCGAAGACGAGGCCGATGAATTTGCGGGTGGGGTGTCGGGCTGGGTCGCTGTAGTAGCGGACGTAGCCAGGGACGCCGGCGTGAATCGTGTGGTCGCGGCCCTGTTGCAGTGTTGTTAGATCTCTCCGCTTCGCCTTGTTAGATGTCTTGAGTTGTTGTCGTGGGCATACCATAAAACAGTGGTCGCCAGGAAACCAATGTGTGCCTCGCTGCTTGAAGATGATGTTGCCTGGTATCACGTATTCGCCGCCTGTCTTCTTGGCTCCCAATCGCTTGCCTGGGCCTTGCTTCGCTTTGTTGGCTCTTCCTTGTGCTTGATGGGAGGCATTGCGCTGTGGTATGCGCGGTAGTGCTGTAGGTCTTTGGGTGATGCGTAGGGAGGAGAGAGCGGATTCGAGACAGGCCAATGTTGCCATCGATGGCGCCTTGAGTGTTCGAGTGGTCATGGTGTGCGGTCAATATGTGTATTGGATCGTTAGCAGGGCGATTCAGGATGAAGCATTTCGAGATGGCTTGTTGGCACTCCCGCATCTCCGCCATCAACGGCGGGACCAGACAACAACATCCGGTATACTCCAGGCAATCACATTGTTCGAATGGTTTCTTGCATGTGAAACGAAGACACGGTCTGATAGATCCTCACGATAAACCACGCCCTCACCGACGCCTCCACTATCCAAGACAGCAATCTTCGACATTTCCTGACCGCCGGCTGCATCGTCCCTCCACATCAACACCAGCACCCACATCAGCATAACGGCCCTTGGGCCACGAATCCACCCCAACCATGGCCTCCGCTCTCTTCTTCCTCGACCTCAAAGGCAAGACACTACTAGCACGAAACTACCGCGGCGATATCCCCATGAGCGCCGTAGAAAAGTTCCCCATCCTGCTCTCCGACGCCGAAGAAGAGTCCTCCAGCACCCCACCCTGCATGACAAGCGAAGGAATCAACTACCTCTACATCCGGCACAACAATCTTTACCTCCTCGCGCTGACAAAACGCAACTCCAACGCGGCCGAGATCCTATTATTCCTGCACCGCGTGGTAGAAGTCTTCACAGAATACTTCAAAGAGCTCGAGGAAGAGAGTATCCGCGACAACTTCGTCGTCATCTACGAACTCCTAGACGAAATGATGGACTTCGGCTACCCCCAAACCACTGAAACCAAGATCCTCCAAGAATACATCACGCAAGAAAGCCACAAACTTGATGTTCAAGCCCAAGCTCGCGCCCCCATAGCCGTAACCAACGCCGTCTCCTGGCGCAGCGAAGGCATCCGCTACCGCAAGAATGAAGTCTTCCTTGATGTTGTCGAGTCTCTGAATCTCCTCGTCTCATCCACCGGCTCAGTCCTCAGGTCAGAGATTTTGGGAGCTGTGAAAATGAAATGCTACCTCTCCGGCATGCCGGAACTACGGTTAGGACTAAACGACAAAGTCATGTTCGAAACGACGGGTCGGACATCAAGAGGCAAAAGCGTAGAAATGGAAGACGTGAAATTCCACCAATGTGTCCGGCTCTCGCGCTTCGAAAACGACCGCACAATCTCCTTCATCCCACCTGACGGCGAGTTCGAGTTGATGTCCTATCGTCTAAATACGCAAGTGAAACCCTTGATCTGGGTGGAATGCGTGGTGGAGTCGCACTCGGGGAGTCGGATAGAATATATGCTCAAAGCCCGCGCGCAATTCAAACGCCGCTCCACAGCGAACAACGTCGAAATCCACATCCCCGTCCCCGATGATGCAGATACGCCGCGCTTTCGCACGAACGTGGGGAGTGTACACTACGCCCCTGAAAGTAGTGAGATCGTGTGGAAGATCAAGCAGTTTGGGGGTGGGAAGGAGTTTCTCATGCGGGCGGAGCTGGGTCTACCGTCAGTTCGAGGCGATGAGGAGAGAGGGGGTGGGATGATGGGCGGGTTTGGCGGAAGCATGGGTGGGGTGGGGGGTGGGAGTAAAGCGAAGCGGCCGATTAACGTGAAGTTTGAGATCCCTTATTTCACTACTTCGGGGATTCAGGTGAGGTATCTGAAGATTATTGAGCCGAAGGTGAGTTGTTCTCTACGTCCTTGCTGTTGTGATGTGGTTGGGTTCAAGCTGACTTCTATGGTGTAGTTGCAATATCCTTCTTTGCCTTGGGTGAGGTATATCACCCAGTCGGGCGATATTGCGGTCAGGTTACCTGATGTACCGGAGGATAGGCCACGGCCTAGGTAGTCCTGGTCGATTGGCGGGCATGATGATAGATACCAGGCATTATATTGATGCAATGCTCATCGAGCATATGTTTGTTCAAGCCTTGACACGACTTTTGTCCACGTGATCGAGACTACACCCTTGAGTGGTGAACCTTGCATGATCATAACTTCGTCCTTACTGTACCGCGATACATCAAGTAGCGTGCTCTGACATGTACTAGCATGTTGGCTTCAAGAGGTATAAGCATGACTTTGTTGTCTCTTATGGCGGTATTTCCATGCTGCTTGCCAAGACATCAATCTCCTGCGCTCAGCCGCAAGATGAGGTGGCGTGATGGTCGAGCACCGCAGCCTCGTCTGCCTTTCGCTCCACGGGTGAGCTATGGTGCACGAAGTTATGACTCGCCTTTCTCATGAGCCGTTGTGCTCCTCGAGCTCGTGTGCGCCAGCTTGGACTTGTCGCCAGAACTAAAGCTCGCCGTTCGCGTACGACAGCTTAAGGTCCCACCGGGTGATGCAAGACCATGGCGGCCACTCAGACCATATTCCCGACGAATACAATAAATGGTAATTACATATCACGCGTCAAACAGCTTGCAAGCGACTCCCAGGTCCCCTGGCCAGAGACATACTCGCCTAGCACCAACACCATCGCCATCGTCAAAGTCACCTTCCGAGACATCGAGACTATCTCAACGCTATCTGCACTTCGGTCAGTTGGTCAACGCGACAATCAAAAAACAGATAAAGTCATCGTCATCCAAAACATAACATCAGACTGGATCGAGACCATCGGCACCAAATACTCCCTCGACCCAGCCTTCTTCGTCGAGCACGCGCGCAACCCCAGCGCAGCAGAGCACTGGACGACTCAATGGGAGCATGTCTTTAGCGACGAGAAGACGGTGCAGCCGCAGCCGAGAGAGTGGTATTGTCTCAATGGCACATATACGTGCCATGAGCTCAAAGCTTTGACAGAAACCCGCCATCAGCGACCCATGTTCTTTCCGCGCGTGCGTACGTATAGACAGGCGAAGTATCATGACAATCTCGGCTTCCAGGGGAAAGATGCGGTGCAGGTCCGTACGAGGCTTTCGTATGTGAGGGCTGATGCGCATACATGTCAGTGCTCACAGTTCATCGAAAATAGAATGGACTAGTTGATGGCACAGATTCCACTGACATTGAAGCACGGCAGACATCATCTTGATAGACGACATCTTGCACAATGGTGATCCAGAGGCACAGCTCGGTGCCCTAAGCCGCACGACGTTACGAATGCCCTACGCCAACAATCGAGGCGGCGGCATCGTCGTCCCATCTCTATACAGCCAGAGTGATTTCAGTCTCCTAACATCCTTCGTCAGCTTTCTAGAGCACGGCTGGCATCTGGAAGTCCTCTTCGGCCTGACACAGGCATTGCCCATCCAACCTTTCTTGTATCTCCTTGTGAACTCCTTGTGGCAGACAAATCTCAGCTTCGTGGATAGGAAGTTGAAGGAGGTGAGCTTTACGGAAATCCGCTCGCCGGACGATCAGACGGCACAGAAGTTACATGATTTGCGGGAAAGCATCGCCAATATCCGAACGAGAGTGTCGGAGACGCAGCTCCATATGTCGTCTAGTCTGGACGCTTACTATGATACCTTTGGCAAGATCAAGAATCGGCATTACAAGACATACCAGTCGCCCTCGGACAATTTCAGGGAGATACTGGAATCGGCGGATAAACTGGACAGGTTCCTGATGGAGACTTTTCAGTTACTCATGAGTACGCTCAGTGTACGTGATAGTCAGATCAGTATTCGGCAGTCGAGACGAGGGATGCTGCTGACAGTGCTCGCCTTCATCTACGTGCCGCTGTCATTTATCACTGGCATCTTTGGGATGAACGTGAAGGAGATTAATGGGTCACCGCTTTCGATTTGGGTGTGTTTTGTGGCTTTGGGTGTGGTCATTGCTGTGACCGCGCTTGGGTATATGTTGTATCGGTATCTGTATAGACAGGGTATGATACGGCGGAGGGAGACATGGGAGAGGAAGGTGATGATGCCGGTGTCGGGGCGGGAGAAGCGGCCGGCGGTGTAATTCTGAGATATCGAGAGAAGTATACATACCAGCTCAGCTTTTGGACGTCAGCGATTAGCAGGCTTTTAACCCTCTGTTGCTTCGCGGAGACGATAGCAGAGGCGAAAGTCATCCTACCTGGACAGTCCCACACATCTGAGCTGATAGAAGAAAGATCTTATAGCTCGTCTCGCTTCGGTATGGCATCCATAGCACCTCTCCTCTGCACCGTGATACTCGCAGCCAGCGTCGCAAATCCCAGCGCCTTTTCATACTCAAAGTCTTTACCAACGTTCTTGGCACGTTGTACAGCATACCCGCCAACAAACGTGTCACCAGCAGCGGTCGTATCCACAACTTTGACTTTCTTGGCTGCAAGTCTGCCTTTGAGGCCAGCTTTGGTAGCATATACTAACCCGTCGCCTCCCAAAGTGATGATCACAGTGTCTTTGATGCCTTTGGATAGAAAGTGCTGAGCGATATCCTCAGGGGTTCCAGACTTACTGTGCGACAGTATGCTAGACTCTGTTTCGTTCATGACGAGGGTATCAATGTGCTGATATATGTCCTCTGGCAATAATTCTGCTGGTGCAGGGTTGAAGATGACATGTTTCCCCTTCTTACTGGCTTGTCGGACGTTGTGGTATACCTGTCAATCGTCAATACGTCTAACAAAGATCCATTGGAATGTGAGTCCTACCACTCTCGAAGGAATCTCAAGCTGAAAGACAACCACGTCCGCCTCCTCAGGCACTAATTCCCAATCCTTGCTCTCTTCCGGCGAAATTGCGTAATTGGCATTAGGAGCAAACAGGATCCGGTTCTCGCCGTCATCATCAACGATGATCGTACTGATCCCCGTCTTCTCTCCTTTCAGACTTCGCACATTCTTGCTGTCCAGGCCTTCCCGCTTCAGCGCCTCAAAGTAATCTGCTCCGAAGCCATCGTCACCCAAATTCCCAACCATGGAGACCTTAATATCGGAATCAGCCAGACGTGCGCAAGCGACTGCTTGGTTGGCTCCCTTGCCACCAAAGCCTGTGTCGAAGGAGTGGACTGTCAGAGTTTCTCCTGGTGTGGGTACACGAGGTGTCCGAATGATGAAGTCCATGTTTAGGGAGCCTATGACGGCTACATTGTGTTGTGCCATGATTCTGTGATATTTCTGCTTTTGATTCTTTGATGGCAAGGAAAGATATATGAAGGTAATGCTCATGTATGTGAGTACACACGGTCCGACCCGCGAACAATATGCGATGGCCATGCGGGGCAGGTACGCAGTTTGCGAGCCGATACGTCTCAAGTCACGATCATTGGCAAGGATGCTGATGTTGCATAAATCAATGATTTTTACAAAGAACTATGGTGATCAGGCTTTTGACGGCCAAGAAATGCTCTGCTGCTCCTAGTCCTATGATCGATCCCAAGGCATATGCAAATGCACCTCGCCGTCCTTCTCGCTCCAGCCACCGTGATGTCCCGACTTCCTCGAAGAAGGAGCAAGAGTCCTCAACACGCTCGGAGGCTTGTTCTCCGAAGTATATTGCCTGATCTTCGAGTACACGCTATCACTAGCCACGCTCGGCGGCACCCCCTCGCTCCTAATGCTACCATCCACGGTCCCTTCAGCCTGGAACGTGCTCTGCTGCACCTCCTGCCACTCCTCGAAGCTGAGATTCTTCTTGCCTCGATGATGGACTGGCAGCTTCCGATCTGCGCCTTCTGGCAGTCCGATATGGCTTTGCACTGGTGTCCGGCACGAACTGGGTGCGACACTGAGCGGATGTCCTTCAATCCAGCCTGCGCCTGCGAAGATAGTCGATTTAGGTGGGATGCGTTGAGAAGCCGCGCCGATACTACTTGAATTTTGACCGTGGAAGGGTCTTCTTGGTGGCTCCGAACTGTGTTGTTTGACTTCCATGTCGAACTCAGATCGAGGGTAGATCCAGCCTTCGCCTCGCTCCCGAATGCCTCTGGATAAGCCCTGCTCAGACTCAAATCGTGCATTGATGAAACCTTCCCCAACGACGCGAAAGCCATTGTAAGAAGGCTGTACTGCCTGACCCCAGCCATCTGCAGCCGTATAGTCTGATCGTACACTTTCGTGAGCTCGTGAGTGCCACGACACGGCACTTTTGGCCACGTCTTTGTGATCCAACATCCCAGTGTGTACACGAAGCCTGCGCGTAGATTGCTTGCGAACCTGCGATCGTCCTTCAGAACGTACGAATGCGGTATTCAAATGCCCACTAGACCTCTCACTGTTCTCATTAATGGTTCTGACCCTATCTCGTATGCTTTGCATTGACAGGGCACCACTCTGACTGGCGTCCCAGGGCTTCAGAGTGGAGGCTCTGTCGATGTCAAGTATCTCCAAGCTTCCGGCACCGAAGCGATCGAAGGCCATATCCCGACCATTAATGTTGTCCTTGTCGTTCAAACCGTCCATGTCATTCAAACCGTCCTTATCTCCAGCCACAACACGACTTCGTCCACCAGACCTTAGCCCTGGATGGAGAGTGTGGCCATGCCTGACATGGTCGCCACTCCTATGCGAATTGTAGAGCGATTCCCAGCCATTGCTCAAGCCCCTGCTATGTGCACTGATCGACTTCACAGCAGTTCTGACGTCTCCACGAATTACTGTGCTACTCATAGATGTCCTGGCAGGTTCCCAGCCTCCTGACCTTCGGTCGCGCCAGCTCCCCACACATGCAGAAGGTGCATGCCAGCCGTTGTCCGACTTTCCACTGTGCTGGCTCATGTTTGCGAGAGTCTCTCGACTTGCACCCAGTACAGCATCGCTTGAAGTAGCTGAGAAGCGATTTCGAATTATAGAGCCGGTGGACCACCCTGACGTTCTTCGAACATCCGCCTTTTCGTTGCTTACCCATGCATCAGGCCGCTGGCCATTGGTTCTACTGTTCTCGCTGATACTCCTGACAGCGCTGATCAAACTCTTCGCACGCACAGCAGCGCTCGGAGCTGCGGATGGTGCTTTGGGAACGGGTATATCATCGAAGAAGTTGCCGAAGCCGATGCCTGCGTCCTTTATGGAGCCCTTCTTAGACTCAACAATTACCGTTGCATCCCCTCCATTCTTAAATCCCTGCGCCAGCTTACTTTGATTTTGCTCTAGCACCAGTTGTTCTTGCTTCTTGGTCTTGGTCTTGTTCTTCTTTGCTTGCGACTGACCAACATTCATCGGCTTGACCTGTCCTTTGAATACGTTGGCGGTAGTCTCAGCTTGGTCATTCCGAGCATTGTCGTGCGCAGCACCAGATGCCTGCGTTTGCTCGTTCTCCTCGTTGTGCCGCCTGTGTGAGCTCGAGATTGGAGCTGTAGGTGGTGCTGATGTAACGTATGCTTGGTTTGGCAAGGTAACGAAAGCTTCACGACCATCCTTGCTCGTGATGCGGATACCCTGGCCTTTGGAATGTGTGGTAGAAGCCGGCGCCGCTGGTACTGTGTCAATCCTCAGCTTCTTTTCCTCCTTTGTTTTCACAACTGGCGGGCGCTTCTCCTGCTTGGTCAACTTGGCGGATTGGTCCAGCTCACGCCCACCGATATAAGCAGGCACGTGAAAGCGTCGCGTCTTGCTCTCCTTGCTCTTCTCACTGGCGGGGACAGTGTGCACGGATCCAGCCGCAATCTCTTGCACCAGAGGCTTCTTCCTTTCCTCCTCAATGGTAGCCAGCTTCAGTCTCTTCAACAGATCACCTCCGATAGCTCGAATTGGCTCGTCTTCTTCATCGTGCCCACCGCCGACACCATAATCCTTGTTGCAAACAGTAGGACATCTGTCATCGATCGCACTGACAGTTCCGCTCCTTGCGCTCCAGTGCCCAGCTCTCGCTCCGCCATATGAGCTTGCTACACCTGGAGCGCTTGAGAGCGGCGCTGGGAAGACGTTGACCTCGAATGTATTGTCAATGGCTGAGTCATGGTCTGTGAATGCCATGCTACCTTGAGTGGCAGCGTAGTGACAGGGTCCGAGCAGAGAAGAAGAAGTCGATGTTGATCTCGTGCCGCATGTCAGCAATTGCGTTGTCGAGCAGGCAGGTCTTGAAGCAGCGGGTCAACGGCGTGGTTCGGCAGTGCAATTATTGGTTGTTGTTACTCCGGTGGTGGACAAGTGCTTCTTTTATCAAGCCCATCAAGCCCATCAAGCCCCTTTCGCTGCTTTGCTTGGTGGCGGGCTCCAAGTGGGGCGATGAAGTGAGGTGGAGAAAAAGGTGCAAAGCTCGACACAACTGCTCGTTTGACAGTCTAAGGTATGGTCGCCCAGCTGAGGGCTAGGTTCATAGGTGTCATTACAATCATAGTCTCGTACTCACATGATGATCATCTATAGTTTCGCCTTCTCAAGCTTCTTCTCCTGTTCCCATTGCCGCTTGATCCACCAGCTGCGTACGTAGCTCCACGTGCCACTTGCAGCTGCCAGAGGCGGGCAGAGCAATAGCAACCACGCCCACCACTGCGGATGACCTCGACTGACCACACTCATGACCCTGTCGATCTCTCGCTTCAAGTCGTCCTTGTCGCCGTCATTCCATACCACTACTCCAGCCCCCTCCCCTCTCCTCAAACACCGTTCAGCCTTGTCCCGGACATCCCATTGAGCATTGACTCTGTTCTGTGCATCCTCTGCCGTGAGATGTGCATCTCGTTCTCGTAACCGCTGTATTTGCACCTTCGGATCACGTACTGCAACAACCATGATCGTACCACAAAGCGGCTCCCATCCACTCTCAAAAAGCAGGGGAACATCGAGAACGACAGCCCAATTGCCCTTCAGATACGCCATGATCATCTGCCGATACATTTCCTTTCTCACGGCCGGATGCACAATCCCATTCAGCGCCTTCCTCTCCTTCTCCCCTCCCTCACCAAAGACTCGTCTTCCCAACGCAGGACGATTCAAAAATCGGCCCTTGCTCCTCGGACCTGCCTCGCCGCCATTCTCCGATGTTGCTGGAAGTAGTAGATCAGGCGTGCTTGGACCGAAATGCGATACTATAGCTTTATAGCCCGCTGTACCTGGCTCGACGACCTGGCGAGCGATCTTGTCTGCATCAACGACTGGGAGGTTGTACGGTGGTGATGAGAGTAAGCTTGATACGGTTGACTTGCCAGTCGCTATGCTACCAGTAAGGCCTAGTAGTAGCATGACGGTTGACGGTGCGAACGAAATCCTTGATCACGTAGACCTTCGATTTTGTCTTACCAACTGGAGCGACAGTGAATGAGGTTGAAACCTCGGCTGATTCAGCCAATCACTGCATTTATATACTACGCTTCACATGCAGCCAATCACGAGCTCATGGACCCTTATATATAATATCTTGCAGCTAGAATAGCTCTTTTGCAACTAAAGTAGTCCTGCGGACGAAACGTATATATGTTGCCGCTCCGACCATGGCTACTCTCCTCGTTTCTCATCCTTTTGGTAATCTTGTACGTCGTTCTAGAGAATTCTTCCAATCTACCCAGGCTATTCCGAACCGTGTTGTAGTACGTCCCCACCTCACTCCATCCCTCTCACCACGCGGTGGCCTGTAGAACATTATCTAGACCGACCGCGATTGCAGACCAGTGTCGAAAGCGCGTATTTGACCATGTCCTCATTGCTCGGGAGAGTCGTGAATGGCCTGCTTATGTACAGATCGACCATGAACAAGATCCAACTGCTCCCCCTTCGTTGCTCGAATCCTTACCAACGGAGCTTTTGCAACGCGTAGGCTTCTATGCTGAACCGACCGATCTGCAGAATCTACGACTCACATGCCGGGAGCTGGAGTCGAAGATCAGACGAACTTTTCTGGATGCCTTCTACGGGACTAGAAGTTGTCTTCTGTCCTCTTCCGCCAGCACGCAGGCGCTGATTACTGTCTCTGAACATCCCGTATACAGTAAATCGCTCAGAACGCTAGATCTCCGTGTTGGCTTCTTGCTTGACACGTGGGACATGGCTCAACGGCGTAGCAGTTACATGCTGCAACCGCAGACTCGACAGGGGCGTGCAGAGCAACGCAAGATACGAGCTTTCTGTGGCGATATCCATAGAGCCCACGAGCAGTTCTAGTTGTCACGCCATTGGGTCGAGCAGCTACACGCTCTCCTAAGCAATATCGCCAAACACGATAGACCTCTTCGGATCAGAGTCACCGACACATCGTCCGGTGCTTTCAGCGGACAGCAGCGATTACACAAGTTGCCAGATGCTACTGACTACTTGGGTCCATGGTACCCCGATTCAGACGATGCGAATGACATCATGCTGGCGTGTCTCTCATCACCAGCTAGGATCGAGTATTTCGAAGTATCTGGAGCAATTGCTGCTGTACCTTTCGATGCCTTTCGAGCGACGAACAAGATGTTTGTGTTCGCAAGCAGTCAACAAGGAAGTCAACGATTGAGAATTATACTCAACGGCGCCCGAGACCTTGAGCCTGATGAACCTCAACAACTTCGAGTTGACGGCGCAGTCTCGCTCCTCTTGCGTCTTGCCCGTCGCGGGATGAAGCTTTACGAGTTCACATACGGTTCCGTTAATATCCTGGAGATTGCAAGGCAACGTCAACGTCAGGGCTTTGAGCGGCAAGTGGCAGTGGCGGCGAGTGCACTTGGCCGAGTAGAATTCGTCAAACGCTTCCGCGGGCCTTTCGAACAGGCTAAACAAAAAGCCATTCTCTCTGGGAAAGGTACTTCAATGCAATGGTCTCACATGGAGCGGATTCTTGAATCTCTCTGTAACACGATGGCAGCATCGTGAGACATGGAATCACCTCTGAGCTACAAACACTCTAATGAAGGTGGAGCCAACGTTCATCACACAGTATAGGAGAGGACGTCAACATCTATTGAGATAGATCAGGCAAACACTGGGAGTCATTGGCTCTGGGGCAGGCTGCTTTGTTCTTCTCGCAGCGACCGAAGCTGTATGATGTGGCGCTGCCGTCCTGCACAGCCTCTAAATATACTACCTGAGTAACATGTGCGTAAGGAAATCACAGAATAATACTTGGTATCCATACTAAACAGCAGTCAATCAATCTAGGTACAAACCCAACCTCATAGCTCGGCAGCACGTCAGTCTAGCGTAACATCCACCACAACCACTCCAGGCTCGTGCGTATCATCATCGTCATCATCGGCGATGTTCAAGTCGGCTACTGGTGGTGGGGGAGCCTCAATCCCCAGATACTCCTCAAGCATCTCACTGAGCTGGTAATATCGCTCCGATGCGGCCTGCATCCTCGGTATCCACCTCTCTACAACACGAGGATCTACGCCCCATTCCGCCCACGCTGAAGGGTCTTCTTCATTGATCTCCTCAAGAAGGGCTGGCAAAGCTATGTCGGACCTCTCCCATAACTCTGTCCCGTACTCGTTGGCCTCTTCGTTGGCTTCCATCGGGTCCATTGATCCCGGCTCCAGAGCAGCCGTGAAGCGAGCCTGGACGTCGAATGGAACGCATAGCGGACCACTGTCCAAGATATAGCCGACGATGGAGTGGAGGTTTCCGAGGATTACCTGCCAGAAGAAGATATGTCGGTCGAATCCAGTGCGCATGCTGTCTAGATCGCCCAGCCATCTTTCGCCATAGGTAGTGGACACCCTATGGCCCTGCTGCCAAACGGCGTTGAATGCAACCTGGGCCCCGCGGGCGTGGTTCAGGTCCATCTCGAGGAGCGCTGCCTCTTCTTCGACTGTCATGTTACCACTCTCGATCACTTCTTGCGAAGGCTTGTTCTCGAGGGTTTCCGTTCTCATGCGGCCGTCTAGGGCTTCCACCACATCTTCAGGATCAACTTGCACTGGGATGCCAAAATCTGGTACATCGAAAGGCGGCTCGGGAAGCTCCGCTGGGTGAGGCTCGTTGGGATCAAGAGCTTCCTCCCACATTGCTCTTTCCATCTTAGGCTGGCCATAGTGCGGGCATGGCTTATTTTTCTGCCAGTGGTTACTACTCCCGCCCTTCGCCCTAACACCGCAGATGTAGCAAAATGCTGTTCGGCAGCGCTCACAAACCATAGCGTTGCACCCATCCCAAAGGCCATAGATCCGCTCGCACGTTTCGTCTGGTAGCGCTGGTTAGAAGTCATCAACGTCCGACTTGCACTGCTGCTTTACTTACTTGGACAGATTTGGAAGTCGGTGCCACGGACCAGTGTCTTATCGATGGAGTCAAGTACAGTAGGACGCGCGCCTAGCGGACATTCGTGATCATCGGCTTCATCCGTAAACCCGAATGGCAAGCCACATTTTCCGCAGGATGTGCCACGGCAATCATCACAGGTGATAGTATCATTCCCCTCCGAAGCGTTGCCAAGGAAGTACAGGCACTCGCCGCACTCAACCTTTTCGCGTCGAGCGGCCTCATAGTCAGCTTCGCTGATCGCTTCGTGCTGGCACTTATCGCCCTCCTCCTTGTTCTTATTGCGATAGAAGTGCTGGCAGAGCAAGCGCTGCGACCGCGGCGTCTCGTGCAAAGCCTTCCGCACCTCCCAGACCATGAGCTCCTTGTGATCGAAGTCCGGGAAATCAGACGGCTCCAGTTTTCCGCGTGCCCACATGACCGGGTAACTTTCTTCATCGTTCTGGGCCTGGATGAATTGAGGACGCAATACCGTGAGATAGCATTCTTTGCAGATGGCATCGCCGGCTACCGATACGTATGGACTACCAGCCTCATGATCGTCGGCACAGATGCCACACTCGAAGTCCTTGTCGATCAAGTACTCGCGGGCTGGAAATGTGAGCTGGCGAACCTCCGCAGTGAGCACGACGCGAGCCATGGTTTGAGCCTGAAGGTTTATGAAATCTTGCCGGTGCGGGTTCCCCAGGATGTCAACGTCAAGTCATTGTGTCTTGTGGTCCTCCGGTCGGTAAAGTCGAGGCTTTGTCCATTGGGAACAACACCGTGAGCGAGACGCCACTGCAGGCCGCATCCGGTGAAGTCATGTAGTGGTGGGGCAAACCAAACAAAGGCAGCTCGTGGGTCACCGTGGAGGCAGTCAACGCGAGTGCTTTGTTGCGAGAATGTCGATTCTGGTGGGTGCATCCCGCCAAAAGACTTTACCGTGGAAACGGATGGAGCGACATCTCATTCCATCGAGTGCCGAGTCCCGGGTGAGATGTCTCGTGATACCAACATGAGTCTTTTCAAGATGCGCCAGGCCAATGAGGACTCCCTGTCGAACCTATCTGTACCCCGATCGTGTGGAACAGTATCATCCTGCTTTTGGGTGTCATGCGATTGACTGGAAGATGATAGTGCGGTAAATGGAGTGTATGGTCGGCTTACAGCAGCAGTTCAAGTGTCCTGCTTGGTCGATCGTAGGATCTGGAGTGATGAGTAAAGCACGCCCCGGCATGATCCTTCTGATGTCGAGAAGGATACCGTATAAGATGAGCTATCAGACGCGAGAGACTGGTGCACAAGTCGAATCAGTAATCTCATTGTCTACGTAGAGTCTGTACGTCAACTTAGACAGGCTGAGAGCCTGGGACGTGTAGTTTCGCGGCGTTAATCCTCAGTCCCGTCTCGCTCGTGTCTGGATATAGGTTACCATGTCTCGGCTTCCCAGGTGTCCATGTCTAACAAGAGATACCATCTGATCCAAGTATATCGCTGCTAGATAAGTAACAAGGCAGCCTCAGAGTGCAAGAACATGTCTCACCCGTCGACAATGATGCCTGCGAAATCTGTTTCACAACCCAGATCGATCAAAATCCGACCTCGCCCTCGACTTTCCCACAGGATCTTGATAGATCTACTAGCAAACAAAAATTCACAAACCCAAAGAGATCTGCTGTTTCAGATACATCAAACCAAGCTTTCCAGACGAGCCGGCCTCGTCGCAAACACAATTGACTTCAATTCGGCAAGAAGCGCCGCAAACAGACCCAATCGAGGCCATACTCATCACCAACCACGAGCGATATTCCCAGCAATCATCAACCTCCTGGGAACAGCCCATCTCCCTCCATGGACGCCACCACGTACAACTCTGTCGCATTCCAAAGCAACAACGACATTTCCAGAGCAAACGGCTCGACCTCAAGCATCGGCAGCTGGGACGCCTCTCCAGCAGCAATCGGGGGACGTACACTAGCCTCCTACACGCCTTCTGGCCGTCGCAACGCCATTGATTTTGGAGACATACGTGCGCGCGCTGCACAAGGTCTGCAAATGTTTTGTAGACTCTGTGGGATGATATTGGGGTTCTGCGAGCAGCCTTTCTAATCGGTCAAGGGAAGGAAGGCGTCCAAGTCGTGACCTGCTTTGGTAGTCGGTATAGCTGGGAAGGAATCTGAGTTGACTGACTGTTATCGCACTGGAATGAGCTGCACATGTAAAGAGGAAACCATATCAGGCTCAGACCTACTCACTGACGATTCCGCCCCCATCCTCTTCTTACTCCGACCAAGAGTGTTGAGGATTACACAGCGTACCATGGATGAGCCTCCGCTCTATTGCACCTCTCCTCCGTCGTACCCCACCACAGCCCTCATCCACATATCATCTCTAACCTCCTGTAGCGCCATCTTCGCCGCATGCGTCCACCTTGCCACCTTCTTATACTCCCCCCCATCCACATCCTCATAACAGACCACAAACCTCATAGCCCCTGGACCGACCCCACAGCAGCAGAAATACTGCACGTGCCACCAAGCCGCCTCATCCACCTCCCTAACCCTCACAGCCATCTCATCAGGCAGATCCCTGCAAAATGCCGCTTCCTGCACCCCATCATACGCCAAGCCGATTTCGAAACGCGTGAGCAGAGCGCACGCTTGCTTACCTATGATTGCTGGCCAGAAGAAGAGCCAGAGTCGGATGGGCGGTGACGCGCTTCCGCGGTCGGGGACGTAGTGGCGAAAGGTGTTTTGGGTGTAGTAGATGGGTGATGCTTCTTCGCGTATCTGTTGACAGGTGTGTAGTAGGCATTTTGGTCTGTGATGGTGACCGCTTCTACCATCTCGGACGAGGATATGTCCCTTACTGCAGAGCACGTGCTCGTAGATCGTGTTGCGGAGCTCGGCGGGCAGGGTGAGGAGGCGCGATTTTTGAGGTGTTGTAGTAGTCATGGTTTCGAGCGATTTCTATGAGGTGGCAGCTAAAGATGGTGGATGGTATGGAAACGCGCTGCGCTCAAGGCGACACACATGCGAAAGTGAAGAGAGAGGCAGGGTGAAGGTGATGTATGCACACTAGTAGAAAACTTACTCAGGTGCATAAGCACAGACATAGTGTGTTCCCGCGATACAGTGAATGCACATGCATCGCACGAGGCTTCTGCCGGGACCTACCTCTAGATAAGGAGCTCTCCTGCATACGAAGTCTGGCTATATTATGTGTTAGTATCTCCCGTCCTCTCGGGGTGATAATGCGCCGCATAGATCTGCAGAAGCTGCAGAAGCTGCAGGCGCAGGTTAGTACTCATAAAACGTGACAGAGATTTCAAACGGCAGTCAAGATCAAGCAGCCACCTCATCGTCTTCCACCACCTCGTGTCTGCTCCAGACACTCGCGCTGAATGTGGCCTTTCTGCCCACAGGTATGGCACGTGATGTTCTTGCCACTAGACGAGCCACCTCCGCCTCCCCCACTACCGCCACCGCTGGAGATACCAGTAAGTTTGTTCAGCTTGACATGTTTCTTTCTCCGATCGTCAGCCAGGCGAAGTGCCTCAGCTTTCTCGGCATGTTTTCGTGCTTTGCGTTCGGCGCGAGCCTTGTCGCCTGCTTCTTTACGAGCAGCAGTTATCATGGCTTTGGCGCCTGTGGGGTCGTCGCTTTCGTCTTCGTCATCTTCATTATTCTCAGAATCCTCATCGTCGTCCGCGTCAGAGTCGGAAGATGATAGGTCTGGATTCTGTTGTTTCTGTACATGTCTATAAGCTTGATTGTACGACACTGCAGAAGATGGACATACCTCGACCGTCTTGTTGAACTTGCCAAAGCTCTTTCGCCCAACCAATGTCGGTCTTGCCTGCTCTACCTCCTCCTCGTCTGAGTCTCCATCTCGTGTCGTTCCTGCCGCATCCAACGACAAATACCCAGCAGACACAACTTTCAGGGCACTCTCTGCTACAGGTGTGTTGGGCTGCTTATAGCTCAGATACCATTTCGACTCGCCTCGATCCGCAGCCTCTCGTTCCAGTGCATCCTCTCGCTTCTTCGCTTCTGCTGCGGTCGCCTCTTCCACCAACCGAGCCTCTCTTTGAGCCGCCGACGAAGGAGTACTATTGAACGAGCCATTGGAAAGTCTTTGGCGTTTTGATGGTGGGTCTAACGGGGTGCTTGGTGTAGATGATGGCGAAGCCGATGCGCGCTGCATGAATTTCATAGTCGCCAGCCGCGACGACATCACCTTCGGTTGCCTCGTCGATTGCGCCATCGTTGTTACTGTTGCGTCTACGACACAATACTCCGAAACCTGTCCAAATCATGAAGTCGTGAAGGGATATTTATTGTCTGGCACGTGATGCGCTTAGTCACCACATTTTCTTCTTGAGAATAAAACTTCTCACAGATGAACCAATCCTTCTGACTTTCTCTCATGCCCACTTTTTAGACAGTACTTGTCAGCAGATTCCTCAATTGTTGCTCAGGCGATTTTGTGGTGCGGAGAGGGAGTTTTATGGTACTATAAGAGCTGGCTATGCAAGCGTTCAGTTGCATAGATTGCACAGGCGGTGTCAGACGTACCCGACATAATCCACAATCACAGATGAGATGCGCTTATACGTGCTGTAGCACTCGCGATAGTGTTCTAGAGGATCGAGACATGAGAGACCATGGGCGGGACGAGAGTCTGGTAAAAGATAGAGCCATCTTTGGTTGGCTTTTAGCAAGTATCTCCTCATTTCATTGTAGCGAGCCTCGATCGTCCTACCGCTCGGTAGAGTCGAGTATGCTGAAGACGCTTCCAGTCTCCTCAGCCATCTTTGTAGCGATCCGAGGACCGTGCTCTCACAGCCCAGCGACAAACAGCAAGCAACACAGCACCTTCCCGACACTCCATCCTCACAACTTACAAGCATACCCCCTCAACTCCTCAGCCAAACATCCCCACTCCGCTCCCTCGCTCTCACGACCCACACACGCCAAACATCTCCCCACATCAAACAAACACTCCGCCGCATCCCACGCGTTCTGATTCGGCTTTTCCGTCCTCACCTTCGCGGTCCACTGCTTCCACTGCCTAACCTCATCTTCAAACTCCTCCTTACCGACATGATACGACCCGTTGAACTGCGGCTTCCAGTACTGTTCGGCCAATGAGGCGAGGGCGGCGGGGCTGTTGTCTAGGACCTGGCACCAGTGCGGGACTAGGAAGGTGTTGACTTGGGGTTGGAAGGCGGTGTAGAAGCGGAAACTTGCTTCGCGGTAGAGACGGTTAAGGTGGCGTTCCAGGTGGGTGCTGCGGGACTGCGAGGAGGGCATGGTGGCGTGCTGTGAGGTTCTGCGGTCTTTGTTGTTGTCGGTGAGGATGACTCGGTCACTCTGAACTGGAGAATGCTTGGTATATGTTGCTTGCCGCCTACTGTCTTAAGAATTGTAGCCAAAGGATATGTTTGCACGATATAAGTACTTGTGTTCGCAACTTCAGATTACGAATGCAGCGCTTTCACATGCTCGATGATTGTGAAATGTCGCAGACGAGAGCAAGACATTCGACCTTTTTCACTGGTCTCGTTTGCTTGCTAGACAGCCTCAAGATTCTGCACCGCGCAAACAATTCACCCCTTCGAAGCCGCTTCGACTCAGAACAAACAATCATCTTCTAAGTCCGGAGCCGCATCGGACAGCTACCTCGAGCGACGCGATCGTGCATAATAGGCTCCCTACATGAATGATTGATCTTGCGAAAGACGTACTGCAAGTCATCGGCGTGGACGTCACTCGCTGAGCAGAGACAATCATTTCAGTGAGTACTCATTCAAAAGATTCGCAAAGCATGTGAACGAGCGCGCGTAACAGAACATTTTATCTTCCTTCGGCAGGCGGATGTCGCCTCCCTTGCCCACACAAAGCTCTGTAGGGACAGCAGCCACGATGAATGACCGCCAGCTATCGACTCCGTCCTCGAGCCTGCTTTACCCGCAAGGTATGCTGCAAGCTCGCAGATCCACCTTGGACCACGAATCTTTGGACGCGCTCAAGAACGTCACCCAGAATGACGACCCTAAGAACCGCTCCTCTGTCATCTAGCGATCTCGCCTGCTCATGCTTCCGGCAGAGATGTGCAATACCATTTTCGAGGACGTTCTGCTGGTCTCCGGCTACATCGATCTACAAAAGATGAGCCCCTACTGGAAAAGGCGAGGCACTGATCTGCGCACATATTCGTCGTGAGGCAGCTACCATCTACTACGGCTCTAAGGTCTTTCGTTTGGGCTTCGATGGAGACATCGGTTACGACCAGCCGACATTTGCTTGGGCTGCAGCTATTGGCTCGGCGTAGTGCGGTATGCTGAAGCGTGTAGAGCTGTACCTCTACTGGGCAGCCGAGACGGGTCCTGCGCATCAACAAGGGCAGGGTAGTCGTGTCAGTGTCTGGGAGCATTACGGTGCCGAGAAGACTAGATTGGAACAGCTCTTCTCTGCACTGGCTGGAGAGCATATCCGTGGCCTGAGTGGCTATAGTGTGGCGTACCAGGCACTGACATTCTTCAATGCGTCTGAAGAGGAAGATGGGGGATTGAGCCTCTGCAGAAGTGTAGCTGGTTGCTACAAAGACACAGACGAGAAAGCGATTAAGAATCTGCTGTATAGCCTCGAGCCGACCTCCCGGATTCGGGTGAAACGATCGCACTGAGTGTTGGCAAGCATTGCTTGTCTTCCTTTGACAGAGCCTCGTCTGTCTCAAAGGCATTGGAATGTCTAGCACCACCACCCAGCCCTACCAGACATGTAGCGTCCACTGCCTCCGCTTCCATTACTTCCGTTACTTCCTAAAAGTATATAGTCCCGGCTGGCAGGTATAAGTGCTCTGACGCACAGTAAAGGACTCACCTCCGCAATCACAGTTGCAAAACCCTAGCGGAACGTCACAACCATGGAAGCGCACTTTGAGAATCTACAGCCTCCGCCACCTCAGTATTCCACAATTGCACTCATCAGCAAACATGTCACCAGAGTGACGCAGGTGGTCCAAAACTCCCGCTTATTTGGTTTGCCGCCAGAACTTCGCAATCTGGTCTACGAGCTTGCCTTGCCACGCCCACGTGTTGTCTCGCCGGCCAGAAGAAATTCGACTTCGTCCATCAAGGTGACAAGTCTCTTGAACACCTGCCGACAGATCCGGCATGAGGCGGCATCGATCTACTACAACATGAATATCTTTCGTGTACATTTCTCGTGGAGCGATGTCGAGGCGGATCAAAAGCGGGCACTTGAGTGATTGGATGTCATTGGTCAAGAGCAGTGCAAAATGCTTGAGCACGTGGAGCTGTCCTGCCCGTGGATCAGGCGTCATCTTTCGCCAAAGCCGTCAAGAAAACCGGCCTTATCTTACGTCCCGTCTCGTGATGCCCTTGAGCGACAGAGGGCAGTCATGCCTCGCAGAGCTCGGCAATATCTGAAGCTCTTGCACAGCCACGGGGTGCGCTATCAGGCTATAGCGTTCCCAGATCTATCTCGTAGGCGGCGATATGTACACGAGAGGGCGGCCAAGATGTACAAAGAGGCGGGAGAACGTGCACTGAAGGAGGTGCTGGACAGGCTGACGCCTGCAAGATCATCTTCAGTAGAAGGGAGGAGAGCTATATCGGTCGCATGAGGTAGGTCATGGTCGGCCAAATCTTGGGTTCGTGTGATAGCTAGATGCTGGTGGGCCATGTATCTCGTGGCGGTTGACCACTCCACACACTCGGACAGTCGACTCTCGAGTTAGATCCAGAGACACTTTCGCTTTATGCTTGTGCCAAGGGTTTGTCTTGAGCGCCATGTTGAGCGCGGCCATACTCTTGCAATAGACTGTAACTTGCTGCTGCAGCAGTCAGACTACTTCACCCCTTCCACGTCAGCCTCTCAGCCAGCATCGCCAGATGCGTCTCGCCACCAGCCCGACTAACAGCCTTTAGCCCAGCAACGACAAAAGCCAGCCCCCTATCCAGCTCCTCCGCTACATCCGCCGAGTTCGCTACAGAGGACCTCTCCTCAAGGATCGCAGCAATAGCAGGCGCAGTTTGCTCGCAAAGCTCAAGCACACCAACGACCGCCTCACGTATCGGCGCCAGCTTCGGTGTAAGCAGTAACGAGGTCTGCAAGCGCTTTTCATAGTCGGACCAGATAGTTGCCATGGCATCAATGCCATCCGCTTGCGACATCTGTTTCGTGAGTTGTTGATGGAGAGTCGAGCACGTGTCTGCGATGTGTGCTCGAAGGACGTGGGAATACCAGATGAATTTGTTGCGAAAGGCCAACGCGCTACACAGAGCCTGTGTCATCTTCCTCCCGTTGACCTGTAGCTGGCGAAGCGGGAAGATCTGGGGACATAGTCGATGGCTGCAATACTCGACTTGGAGCAGGAACTTGAATGCAGATGCGTGTGTTACGAGTTGCGAAGATCGTGTGATGTTTTGTATAGGCCAGGAAAGACTGTATGCCAGCTCAAGCTGCTCAAATTGTCGTACTATCGGTGCAATTGGTGGAAATTTTCCTTGTGAAGTAATGTCGATCGTGACTGACTGCACGTCGACTGCTGGTGCCATTCCAAGAGTGTCTTGTACCAGCTCCGTCAGCATGAAAGGGTCCTTCCATGTCCTCCCGCTCCGTACGATGCGAGCAAATAATGTCTCCGTTAATGTCTGTAATAGTGCGCCGTCTTTTGCAAAGTAAACACTGTCGATAGCATCAAGGGCGGCCAGCATACCATGCTCGTGAAGCATGGCATGACTTAGAGCTTGTGTGCCATTGCTGCTCTGGCTGCTGAGACAATCGTCGATAGCGTCGTGCAGCAGCTGGTCAAACGGTTGTAGATTGTTGCACTCGGCCAGTCGTTGCTCCAGTCCCGCGCGATCGAGCAGATCTGAATTGGAGGATGCAGCATCCAGCGACGTATTTTCGCTGCCACTCAGTACTTTGAGAAAGGCTCTAGCCTTGCCCGAAGCGAATATGCGTCCAACGAAGGGCTGTATACACGTTGGTGCGTTGGCATGCCCATCAGATGAGGTAACTAGCACATATCGATCGTGCCAGACTCTGCTCAGCTCACAATCGGGCTTCGCCTCGAGAACAAAGAAGTGCTCACTTCGACTGTTCGGAATCTCACCAGTCTGCATCCACCGCTGCACGAGCTTCATGTATGTCTGAATGCTTGCAAGCAGCGGACCCAGGATTGCGGTGAAGAGCACGTCATTGCCAGTCATCTGTGCCAGACAGGCCTCATCATACAATGCATCCAAACCGACAAACGAAAGCTTTTGATTGGTTGCTGAAACTGCTTCTCCCATAACATTGGATAGACGAACCACAGGCCTGGTTATATCCTCGATTGCAGCCCTGCACTCAACGATGCTCACGATCTGGTCGACACTTGGTTCGATATATCGCTGCGCCAGGAATCCAAGATCCAATGTCAGCCTGCTCAGCAACTTCATGATCGAACTCTGCATCGACTGGACGAATTGAGCATCACTAGGTTGTGGCCTGGTCCAGCGGCGAAGGTGGTTCAATTGTGTAGCATCAGATGCAAACTGTCGAAGTATATCCTGCAATGTGGCCTGCTCAGCCGTATCGATGTGACTTCTACCGCGGACCTTCACTTCGCCTGACGCCTCGCCACTGTCAAAGAGATATGATGGCAGGCCCTGGAGGATCGTGATGACTTCGCGTATGACGCTGAGTTCTGATATTGCATGGTCCTTGCCATCAGTTGGTGAGACCTGCAAGCTTGTCTTAGCTGCCCGAACTTCGTCCAGTAGACTCGGCTTGGGCTGCACCAAGTGCTGTCGAGCAATCGCAGCAAAGTCGTCTTCAGCTAGAGATGTGGCTAATGTCGTAGTCGTGGGCTCTGAATCGGTCTCATTGTACGGAGAGGTCTCATCTCCACTTGAGTGGTAGCCGCGATCGACATCATCCCAAATATCGGCTTCGTCCAGAGGACCATCAGCCACTATGCCCTCCCAGCTAAGCTCGGCTTCGGAGGCAGTTGCCTGATTAAGGCCATCCAGGACAGCAAGGTCTGTCCGATCTACAGGTCTCTCTGAAAGATGAAGAAAAAGAGACAGCACTTCCGGTAGGAATTTTGACATTGTCGGCAGCTCGTCCAAACGTGACCGTAGCGCATCTGCTAGGCTGTCTCGATTGCGAACGCTGAACTTCTCGACGAGGCCATCGAGTCTCTCCTTGACTTCGAATTGGTTGGTCCGAGCATGGCTTGCGTCGCGAAGACCTTTGATCGTTTGCTCTCTGATGCGACGGAAGCTGGGGTCATCTTGTGTTCTGCTTGCGATACTCGCGATCAGCTTTTCGGCGAGCTCGCCTATGAGTGCTGCGTGCGCCATCGTTCATGTTGCAGCAATACAAATGTGTTCCCGCTTGGCGATGTCCCGTGTCAATAATCTAACCATCGCTCTTGACGCGTGAAGTCGCGCCAATCAATTGTGGCGCAAGAGTGTGGCGTCGGGGATTCAGATCCCTGCATAACGGAGCCGCGTAACAGAATCGGGGATCTTGAACGAGACTGGAGACAGGTAATTTCATTCATTCGCTTGCGACGCGGCCACATTGGGACTCGTGGTGAAAGAGAGCAAGATGATACTGGTCAACAAGGCGACCTCATACTCGCGACATTGAGAGAGCGATCTGGAATCTGGAATCTGGAAAGTCGATACGATTCGACCAGACGGGACGACACAATCATGGCGATGCCCAAACCAATCCGGCTGCTGGCAGCGTCATGTATGGTTCTATTCATATTCCTGGTCCTGCAGATCATGCGGAATCCAAGCGAGGTGAAGGTGCCTAAGGAGAAGGATCCCAACAGGTCTGGAGAAATGGATCGGGACCCAAATCTAGATGGTAGGCATACATATCATATCTTTCGAAAGAGCTGGACAAGACCCATATAGCTGACTAGGTACGGTACTAGCGACCCTCGAACCACCAGAACCATTACACAGAGTCGTCGGCGACAACTACGCTCCTGAAAACCCGAACAGCGACCGCATTAATGCCACCTTGCTATCACTTGTCAGGAACAAGGAGCTCACGGACTTGGTGCAATCGATGCAAGACCTAGAGAGGACTTGGAACCATAAATTCAACTATCCCTGGACCTTCCTCAATGACGAGCCCTTCACGCAAGAGTTCAAGGATGTCACGCGAGCGAACACAAAAGCAAACATCTCCTACCTGCAGATCCCAGCAGCCCATTGGGATGTACCCTCATGGATAAATGAGGAGTTGATGCATGAGTCGGCGAATATGCTGGAGGAAGAAGATATCCAGTACGCGCACATGAAGTCCTACCACCAGATGTGTAGATGGAACAGTGGCCTCTTCTACAAGCATCCAGCACTGCAGGACACGCAATACTACTGGCGAGTAGAGCCAAAAGTCCACTTCTTTTGCGACATAGACTACGACGTCTTCCGCTACATGCGAGACCACAACAAAACCTACGGCTTCACCATAAGCCTCTACGATGCGCCGCAAACAGTCAAGACCCTCTGGCCCGAAACACTCAAGTTTCTCGCCGCAGGCAACAGCCATCTGATGGCCCAGAACAACGCAATGGACTGGCTAGTAGACAAAGCCGCCCGCCCAGACCACAACATCAAAGCCAACGGCTACTCAACCTGCCACTTCTGGTCCAACTTCGAAATAGCCGACATGAGCTTCTTCCGCTCCCCGGCCTACGAAGCCTACTTCGAGCACCTCGACCGCGCCGGCGGCTTCTTCTACGAGCGATGGGGCGACGCGCCCGTCCATTCCATCGCGCTGGGCTTGTTCGAGGATAAGAATAAGTTGCATTGGTTCAAGGATATCGGGTATCAGCATATCCCGTTCTTCAATTGTCCGAATAGTCCCAAGTGTCGCGGGTGCGTTACCGGGAGGTTGACGGATGGGGAGGCGTTTTTGAATAAGGAGGATTGTCGGCCGAATTACTTCAAGTATGTTGGAAATGAGTGGGCGGATGAGAGTGAGAAGGGGAAGGATGGGAAGGCGGGAAATTAGTGTGACTGAAATTGAAACTTGACATGATTCCATGGGGACACAATCCACAGAACGCTGTGAGAAGGCATCCCGAGTTGTTATTACACTCACGGTACATCGAGGCAATGGGCGCAACTAGAAGCGTGACACGTTGTGCTTCTATCGAGTCGCACTGCACCAACAGAGAGGTGGCGCAAGAGACGATGACAATGGAGAGGAGGCAGCATGACGCAAATAAACGATTGTGCACTTCGTCCACAACCACATCAATCCGACCCGACCTCTTCATCAGCTAAATTCAACCGACCCCTAACATCCCTCGCCAAACCCTTCGCCTCTTCAACCTCCCACCCGTCCTCACAAAGCTCATTAGCAAGCTCCATAGTCCTTTGCCACTCTCCCTGCCCAAACGACCACCTCGCCAACCACAATCTCGCCTTACAAGTCACTTGAGTAACACCCAACCCCTCCTCACCCTCCTCCGCCCCCTCTTCCTGCGCGAGAGCAAGCTCCATATACGCCGCAGCCTCACTATCAGCTCCCTCCCGCTCGTACAGACAAGCGATGTCGTACAAGATTTGTGGATCCAGCATACCGCCTACGGCCTGAGCCAGCGGATCAGCAGGAGTAGCAGCACTACTACCGAAACTTGACGAGGCATCGGGTTGTGCACCGACCACCAGAGCACGTTTGTACGCTTGAATGGCGTTGGCAGCCTTGTTGCATTTCGAATAAGCGTTCCCAACCGCCGCCCACATTTTCGGGTCCCCAGGGTAAAGCGCCGCGGCACGTTGATAGTAAAATAGACTATAGCTGTAGCACTCCAGCATCTCATACCCCTGTCCCAACCCATACCAGGCACGATAGTCTTTGCGATTCGTGTCGACTGCTCGCCGGTAGGATTCGATCGCCGCTTGGGTGTTCTTGAGCTCGATATATTCGTGGCCCATTAGTGTCCAGGCTGCTTGGAAGTTACGGTCCAGATTCAATGCGCGACGGAAGAGTAGAACTGCTTTCTCGTGCTCAGAGATTAGGCCGTAGTAGTTTCCTAGGATGCAGTTTGTTTCGGGGCGGAACTTGTCGGTGTCGCTTGCTGTGCTTGCGAGGTTGGCGAGTCTGGGTCGATTGCCGAGGACAAAGAGGAGGTTGCTATAGACTTCCATTCCATCTAGACGATGAGGCTGGTCTCTTGCCAGATTGTCGAATAGCTGCATTGCTACTTCGTATTCGTGTGCATGGTAGTGCAACATGGCTTTTTGCTGCTGGAGAAATGCCGACAGTGGGAAGATCGCCTGCATCTGAGCTAGAGTGTTGAAGACTTCTGGCGTCTGCTGATATAGCTCCTGATTGCAGTGGATGTGGAAGAAGATGGACATGATGTTTTGTGGCAGGTGCTCGCTGATCTGCTGCATCTCTTCGGGGGACGCGATTAATGAGGCCAGCTCTAGCCATGCCGACCAGTTGTACGGCTGCAAATTGACGGCTCGGAGTAGCCATTGCTTTGCCAAGGCTTCCGACTTGAATCTTATGAGTATGAGTCCATACAGATAATCTAGCCATCCCGTGGAATTGTTCAGGTCCTGCAAGCCGCCACGAGAGTTGAAGTATTCTTCTAGAATGGCTACCACGCCTGGCACCTGTTTATTCGCCGTCATTGGCCCGTCAGACGGACCAAGTACGGTCTCAGAGTCTTCGTTCTTGCGCTTCTCGCCAGCCATGTAGCGGGCATAGAGTGCAAGGAATAGTGACCTCTGGCTGACATGCTTCGGCACACTTCCGTTCGTATGCTTGGTAGCTCTGATGTTGATCTTAGATGGGCCACGTGGCTGCTTTTTGGCTGCTGCGAATGGAGACGAGAGGCCGGGCTTTGATGGTGATGTGATGTCAGGAGCAGGAGCGCCGTGTGGTACTTGTGAAGGCAGGAATGTAGCAGAACATCGATCGAACTCTCGACAGTCGAAATATGACTTGGCCAGCAAGAAACGAGGCAACTCCTTAGCTTCCAGTCGCGCTTCTTTGCGGTCGTGATTCGCTGGCGGTATGTGTGGCGTATCATTGTCATCGTCGACATCAGTGTCAGATGTGTCATCGACATCCTCCTCGTCATGAGAGGCAAAAGAGTTTAGGAGCTCGGCAGCCCTTGAGTAGAGTAAGCGGACGGCAGATCTGATTCAGTGCGACCTCCACATACCACTTTGCTGCAAAATATAGGCATCTCTCGTTGCATGCAATCACAGCCTGCTGGAGTTGAGTTTGGAGTTCGAGCTGCTGTTCATTCGAGAGCGCCATGCTAGGGGGTTGGGATCACTCTTCTATATAGCACCTGGCTATACACTTGGAGCGGTATCTCGTTGATGAAAAGTACATGATATGCATATACCAAACACGCGCGCCGCGTAGCTTCTGTTTTGAGAAGTGTCACCACTAGCGGCGGGTACTGCCAGTAAAGGCCGGCAGAACATCCACTGTTTCATGGACCCCGAGCTGCAGGAACCCGCGCTGGCGCTGGCGCTGGCGCAGAGCCTCGAAGAAGTGGGCTGATTGTGCATTGGCTTGACGGCAATGTAGCCAACTTGTCTATACTACTCCTTGACGACTATTGGGACGAAGACCTGGACTACTTGCCTACATCATCCGACTACCCAAACCATCCAAAACTCCATACAGAAAAGTGAAAGCGCCGTTTTCACCATCATGCCGGTCAGCAGACAAGAATTTGAGGCGGTGTTCCCAAAGCTCGTGGATGATTTGAAAGAGCATGCTGCGAAATACAAACTGCCGTATCAGGCAATGCAGTGGTTCGACAAGGTACGCCAAAAGCATCACCTATTTACGACTACATATGTACCATTCGTTGATCCGTTTGTCTGACAGATGGCATAGTCTGTAAATTACAATACTCTCGGCGGCAAGTACAATCGTGGCATATCAGTGATCGATTCCGCACAAATACTGCTCGACCGCAAGCTCAGTGAGGATGAGTTCTTCAAGGCCTCGATATTAGGCTGGATGATCGAGCTGCTGCAGGCATTCTTCCTGGTCAGCGATGATATCATGGACAGCTCCAAGACACGCCGTGGCCAGCCATGCTGGTATCTTGCGCCTCAGGTTGGTATGATCGCCATCAACGACGCCTTTATGCTCGAATCTGGTATCTACACTCTCCTGAAGAAGTACTTCCGACAAGAAAAGTACTACGTTGATCTGCTTGAGTTGTTCCACGAGGTCACATTCCAGACTGAGCTTGGTCAATTGTGCGATCTGCTCACAGCACCAGAAGACCATGTCGACCTTGACAACTTCAGCATGGAGAAGTATACATTCATCGTCATCTACAAGACTGCGTACTACAGCTTCTACCTACCTGTAGCTCTCTCCCTGTACTTCACAGGTCATGCCTCGGAGAAGAACCTGAAAGCAGCCCACGACATCCTCATACCCATGGGTGAGTACTTCCAGGTGCAAGACGACTACCTCGACAACTTCGCCGACCCGTCTGTACTGGGCAAGATCGGCACAGATATTCAAGACAACAAGTGCAGTTGGCTTGTTAACCAGGCACTGAAGAAGTGTAACAAGGAGCAGAGGCAGGTGCTTGAAGCGAATTATGGTCGGAAAGACCAGGCGTGTGAAGTACGTATCAAGAAGCTATTTGACGACCTGGAATTGCAGAAGGACTACCAGCAGTACGAGGAGAAAGTTGTGGGACAATTGCGAGAGAGGATCGCAAATCTAAATGAGAGCGAAGGGCTGAAGAAAGGCGTGTTCGAAGAGTTCTTGCGGAAGATCTACAAGCGTAGCAAATAGGGTATAATGCTGTGGCGTCGCTGCTCCGCTTCCGGAAGGTAGATAACGGCCGGATAAGGTGCAGATAAACCACGTAGACAAATTCACGACTTCAATTGTAGTCCTTTTGGATGCATTTGTCAACATGTCCATATTCAGCTCCTCGACACCGTTCGATCTTTCTCTCGGACTTGAGGGCACGCACGTTCTAATCACTGGCGGCTGTGGGCTCATCGGCAGAGCGGTCACGCAAGCTTTCCTATCCGCTGGTTGCAATGTCAGTGTCGTGGATCTGGCCGACAAAGACAACGTACTTGATCATCATGATCCGAGGCTGTTTTTCTTCTCTGGCAGTATTACCAAGGATATCGATACCGCATGGCGAGCAGCCGAAACACGATTTGGCCAATCAGTCGAATGCTGTATTGCTCTTGCGAGCTTGGATTTGAGTGTTCTGCCACAAGCTGAGAGTATCTGCGATATGGACCCAGCAACCTGGCAACGAGTCTTTGATGTTAATATCAATGGAACATTTCTTACATGTCAACGCTGGCTGAAGGGTATTAGGGACTGTTCGAGAGAACCAAAGATAGCGGAAAAGAGGCGGAATGTAAGCTGCATTATCATGGGTAGCGAAGCAGGACGTTTCGGCGTGAGAACCATGGCTGCGTATGCTGCTGGCAAATCAGCTGTACAGCAGGGCCTGCTGCTCTCGCTTGCCAAAGACGCTCCGCGGATCTGGCCCTCAGCGCGCGTGAATGCTGTCGCGCCTGGTGCTGTAGACACCGAGCGCTTTCGTGACGAGTGCAGGCAGTTTGGAGAGAACTTTCGGCACGAGGAGAGTGAAGCTACGGTACCACTAGCGAAAGCAGTGCCTGTAGAAGATGTGGCCAGGACGATATTGTTCTTGGCTAGTGAGAGGTTTAGTGGGAGTGTGACTGGGCAGTGTATCGCTGTTGATGGTGGGAAGATGGGGAGTGTGGTTTGGTCCCAGAAGGAAGCTGAGGAAAGAAGAGAGGTGAGTGTGAGATGATTGAGTAAGCTGCAGAATGTGCTATGGATGGTGGGTTCAGCCAGTCCAAGGACTCAGAACTGATCGCTGGCCTGTGCTCATCGCAGCATATGGCTCACAATCTACACATTCACAGCTCATTAAGTCTTTCAAGAGCTTGTCATGCCTCACAAAGTCTTTGTCTGGGGCCTCGAGGACCATCGTCTCCGCCTTTCGCCTGTCAGACTCTCCTGAGTCTCGTCCGAGGACAAGATCGTGCCGGCGAGCGAGTCGTGGAGCCACGTCCGGCATGGGGCCCAGCCATCTTAAGTTGACGGGGACAGAGTCCTATTCTGCCTTGGCGCCACCAGCAGTGGCACCACCATCGGACTCCTTGAGGCCGCCGACATCGCTCGCGGCCTCTGCTTTGTCCGAGACATCGTCTGTGGAGGCAGCGGCACGCTGAGCCAGATCCTCGTGCATGGTCGGCTGGCTGGCAGATGAATTTTTGATGTCGAGGTGAGCAGGAGCATCGACAAAGTCGTCTTCGGGCACTGACTGAGGTGGCACATCGGCACATGCCGCACTCAGCTGCTCAGCAAGAGCCTTTTGCGCTGCCTCGAGAGTGTCTACACGACTGGCATTTGGGAAGGCTGCAATGTAGTCATCACCAAGACGTTCTGTCACGGCAGTGACAGCATCGCGGTCATCTGTTGTATCAAGATCTCCAAAGATGCCGGCATCTCTAAACAGTCCATCCTCGAGAGATGTGGAGCTCGCGCCATCGGCCATGAAGGAGACAGCTCGGCCCTTGCCCCTGGGTTCCAGGCCTTGCGCATGGAAAGAAGAACGTTTATCCTTGTGCACCTGCTCGGCCACAAGCTCGTCTATCTCGCCTCCACAAATGCGGTCCGCAATGGTCGCAGATTCGGTAGCGGATAGCCCGGCCCCGGATATCTGGTTGAGAAAACGTTCTGCCACATTGTCGCGGTCCGCAGTCGTCACGAAATCGGCCATAGCCTGCGTGGCAACTTTGGACTTGGCTACGTCAATCCCCTCAAGCCAGGTCGTAAAAACCTTGATCGTCTCGCCGCGAGCGTAGAACTTTTTGGCTACTTCGAGGTCTTCGAGTTCCGTCTTAGTGATCTTGGCGTTACGATCGACTAGTGCCCTCTTCATTCCGGGCACCAGCTTCTCCTCGAGGGTGCCAGGCAGATCGCTCAGGGACACAGGATGGTTGATCTTAACCTCTAGCCCGGAGCCAGAGTACATCCATTCCGAATATAGCTGGCCCGTCCCGAGCTGGCAGACCTCCTTGGTGTAGTCAGAGGTGACCTGTCCTGTGGTGCTTGATCTACGATTAGTCGAGGGCGCCCGCAGTGTACTTCTCGACAGACCGGCTTGCGAGCCAGCGTGCTGACCATATCCACAGGCACCACCTAACAATGGAGTCGTTCCACCAGCCCCCCTGCCTTGGGTCGAAATGGTGCGAGGTACTCTGTCGATCTGGCTTCCTTGCCGGAAGCTGGAGACACGTGGACCAATGTGAGCTGGATAGCTCGGTGTCATGCCAGTTTCGGTGGGCTGTAAGGAGCCACCGCGCCGTCTAAGACTGGAAATCCTGTTCCCAGTAAACGATGACTGGCGGTGAGTTCCGGATCCATATTTAGACTGTGTCCGGAAGCTCGACGGGCCCTCACCAGCGAACGATGACTGACGGGCAGGCTGAAATCCGTATGTAGATGCTGGACGAAAGCTCAGTAGCCTGCCGCCAGCGTACGAAGGCTGACGAGAAGGCATTTGACAAAAGCCCGATACGGGTCGGAAGCTCGATGCCCTCTTACCGGCGAACGATGGTTGACATTGATTTATTGTGCCGTATGCCGACAGCGGACGGGATCGAGTACCCGAATTTGATTGTGAAGGCATTTTGGATCCCATGGACATACCACGTATAGGTACTAAGCCAGGACCAGAGGTGCGCAGCTTCTGTAATTGACCAGCTTCGTGCGGTACTTCGGCGTCTCGCCTCCGCAGCTCGCCAATCACCGTGTCAACAGTCTGCTTAGCTGCTCTATGTTGCACCGACGTGGACGGTCCGTATTTCTTGCTCATGACACCAATGGACACCTTGCGCGCAAGCTGCTGCAGGAGAACAGCCTGATGCTTGGCTATGCTAGCTTGTTGAATTGGGTGCAGGAGCTTGATCGTTTCGACTCCGTTGATCTGCAAGTGGCGAGCGTCGAAGTGATCGATCCAGTCAGTACCAGAGCCGATGGTTAGGGTAGTGCTGATTGTCGGTACTTCCGTCATCGTTTTCATGCCTGAAGGCTCACTCTGTACACCAGATTCTGCAGGTTGCAGGATTGAAAGACCAGGACGCTGCGGCTGCGTGCTTGAAGAAGTCACGACTTCGTGCGGAGGAGCATTGGAAGTGATCTCCGGGGCTGTGACAGTAGACAGAGGTTGCGCGAAGTCACCAGTGACGAGTAGACTGTCGGCTTGGCGATCAAGGTCCTGGATCGTCCTCCAGACTCCAGAATGTGGTTGGGCGTCGAATAGTAGCTGGCTACGGATCAAGAGGTCTATGCAGATGGCAAGAGTGGCTGCATACCGATCTTGCCATGACAGCCCTGCAGCGACTTCGAGAGGTACTGGGAGCGTGCTCTGGTACCACAAAGCACTAACGTAGCCGTTCAGTGAGTTGAGGGCCGTATAATACGTGTCACTTTGGTCCGCGGCATTTTGCGTGACGAGATCGACAACATCGTACAGAGCTGAGACCATTTCAGCACGGAGCTGCTCATCCTCGATGAAAAATGGCACTGCGCGGACGAAGGCTGGTTGTGCACCATGGTAGTCGTATGATGCAGCAAGCATCGGATTGTGGATTGGGTCGCCGACGCCGTACCAGCGAGGATCGCAAGGGCAAAGACATAGAGACATGTTTCTGGTGGCTTGTTGAAAGCCCAATCTGGGTTCAGTTCTTATCACGGTCGAAGGTTATGAGCTCTCTGATCGTTAGAAGATTGTGGTGTTTGCGGTGGTAGGCAGTCTGAGGGAGAGAATGGACAGAGAAGGATGAGAGAAGGGGGAGAAAACTGAATGTCTTATAACACGCTATGGCGAGGACGCCAGTGAACAGCAGTTCCAAACAGCGAGTGGGAGGCGTCCTCAGCGCCCCATGGTCGAGGCAAACAAGCTCTATGACACCGGATTTAGCTGGCGTGATAAGCAAGGCGTCATTCACTGTGTGAAAGCTCGAACGACATATACCGAAAGAAGTGAACAGGACATCTGCAAGCATAAGTGGCATAATATACAGGGTTCCGCTATGGCTCACCTCAAACAAAATAAGGAATAAACTTGTAGGGCACTCTTTGCTCGTACGCTTGATACTGCTCACCATACTGCAAGCACTGTCAGCAATCTGTGCTCCAGTGTAGTCACTATGGTCAAGTAAACCTACCCGCTCTTCCATGTAGCTCTGTAAATCCGGAATCGAGAGCCGGGTGAACGAATACGTGAGAGACGCAGCTACAACTGCACCCCAAACCCACCCACCACCAGCGAGAGCATAGCCGCTACGCCACATCATGTAGCCGAAGTAGTTAATGTGTCTCGACAAACTGAAAAGACCCCCTTGGTACACCTTTCCCTTGTTTGCTGAGTTCTTCTTGAATTGGTGTCTCTGAAGTTCAGAGAACCATTCGATAAATAGCCCAACCGCATAGAGGACTGTACCAACGATCAGTGGTGTCTGCGGAAAATGCTCGCCGTTGACGCTTGCGGAAGTTTGGGCTGTGAGGAATAGCAAGCTGTTGATCGAGTTGAAGACAGCATTTACGATGCCAATAGCAAGGGCAGAACTTGGCTTCAGTTGTTCTTGCATGATTGTCGTTAGATGGAAGTTTTGCTTCGCCATACTGCCGATGCTCATGGCAAGCAGAATGCTTCGGTAAGGCGATAGTCCCAATCGATCGGAGAAGGTGTTCGTGAGCAGTGGCGGGCCTTGTGGCAGAACAGTGCCGCCGAGTCTTGAGATCAGTCCATTGGCAAGGCCATTGCCCAGGATGCTGTATTGCAAGAATGGATCGACAAGTCGCGAGACGAAGAAAATGGTGTTGCCAAGGCGGTTGGGCCCTTTCATGCCACGCTGGACGAAGTCGTCCTTGCGAGCAGTCGCATTCTTGGGCTGGTTAGAGGCGGACATGATGCCGGGGTTATCTTGTAAGTACAATCACTCCCTCGACTCTTGCAGCCCTACATAACTCATCATATATGCTTCCTGTGACATGCTTTGTAATGGCTGCGTCAGAGATGCAGTCGGACGGAGGAACTTCTCTCCTATGGTTAATCATGCGCGACATCTTCGCAAAGATGAAACGCATTGCCATCTGATTCCAAATCTGAGCCCTATCGAACAATCAGGTACGTACTCGCTTACTCACACGGACACTTGACAAATAGTATCCTGCACCTAACGAAATTTGGTCGATGCAGACAGCTGCAGTCAGCTCGAGACTCATCGAGAGGACAAGTAACAGAACCTACTGACACCGGTACGCTCTGGAGCGAAATGAACCCTCAAATATCAGGATGCGTGATCGTAGACCCTGGGTTCACAGTCGTGCAGCACAGCGACCTGATTGACGAATCAAGGTGAGTGATGTGGCAGAACAGCTCCTCGTTATCGGCACTTGCGATCTAGGCGTATCTATCAACGACCCAACCTTGCAGGACTCTGCATATGCGAGACCGGCTACCGAAGTGGATTTACGCGTCCCCGTACCTCAGAGCCCAAGATCTAGACCCTCTAGGCGGCATGCACGAGCGCGCTATTCTTGTTGCCACTCCGATCGGACGTTGTCGCGGTCTTCTTGAACCTCCAAGCTGGTACTTTGCGCTCGTAGAGCTCGTCAAGCTCCCAATATGTGCGGCCGTAGGTCTGCTGGACGTCAGCGACTTTCTGACAGCCTCGACATCCAGTTCACTCACCTCGGGATAGAACAGCCAAAGTATGATGGTGGTCGGCACAAGAAGACCAGCCCACACGTACACAGCCTTCACACCAAGGTTGGCGGCATCAGGGCTGATCATGTATGAGATAGTCCACTGGAAGACGACGCTATACTCCAATCAGCAGGGTCAGTTCACGAGCCGCTAGTGGGCACTTACAAGCCAGCGCCATAACATCCCAGATTGAAGGATGTTGTCTGAGCTCGCAGACGGGGAGTCGATGTCTCACCAGATGCGACGAAGCCGATGGGGCCGGCAGAAAAGCCGTAGCAAATTACCCACATCAGGAGGCAGGCAAGCGCAGCCTTGTTCGCCCCGTCTGTCTTGAAGAAGCCAGTCGTCGCCAGACCGACGTTGAAGACGCACATCAAGGCACATCCACTGCGAAGAGTTATCAGCAAGCTAGTCAGTGTCCATTGCACTTCTGGACGGCTTACCCAACGAGCAGCGGCCTACGTCCAATGTACTCGCAGGCGATGAGCGAAACAAAGATTGACACCATCAAAAGGACGAAGCTAGCACGTCGTCAGCAAAGACCTTCTACATATCCGAAGTGTGACCTACGTAATAATGGTGACAATGAACGGGTCTGCGATGCCAGCGACCTTGAAGAAGTACTGTCACAAGATTAGCTGCGTGACTCTTACGAAGACTGCTTCTGAGCATCAACAACTTACCGTGGAATAGCTGAAGACGATCGGTGCACCGGCGGACCATTGACTGCAGATACCCACGCAGCCTGCCAAGGTACGACGCCAATTGACACCTCGGAAGATGTCTAGGAATGAGGTGTTTGATGCATGACTAAATTCGAGCTCGGCTTGGATGCCGTGCTGTACAACACGATACTCATGTTCCTAGTGGTTGTCAGCAGTGCCGTCATCCTCCCCGGCCGTGATCCGAGACTCACCAAGTCATATCCAGCAACATTGCCATACAGCTGCTTCATGGAGCGCTTGGCCTTCTCGTGATCGCCCTTGCGGGCATAGTAAAGGTGCGACTCTGGGACGAGCCAGATAAGAAGGATCAGGATCTATGTCTCTGTGGTCAACAATCTTGCAAATGCCGAGCTGACAGCTTCAAACTTACACCAGTGAAGACGAACTCGGTAGCCACCAACGGCCGCCACTGCTTTGGCTTGGTTGTAATGACGATCTGTGTAGCCACAGCGCTGATGAGCTGACCCAGTGCGAGTAGTAATTGGTATGCGCCGATCATAAATCCACGGATCTGGAAAGGAGCCAGCTCAGAAATGTATGTTATAAGGACAGACTGTGCAAGGCCGACTCCCAGCCGTACCAGCACTGCTGCTCCTAGCCAGCTCCTCCATCCAGAGGCGGTGATCTCAGCAATTGAGCCCGCGAGAAGAATTGTGATGGCGCCTATCATTGCTTTCCTGTGCTCATGGTCAGACTATGTTCCCTCCGACAACACATGTATTCACCACTGACTTGCGACCGAAGCGATCCGCGAAGTATCCGCCTGCGAACATTCCGACCATCTTGGACATCTCGGCAAAGCCTTGCCAGTACGAGACTACCTTTGCGCTAACAGCTGGTTGCCCGTTGAGCGTGGTGTCGGCCATCTGATTGATAAAGGTCTGCATCGGGATCACATTACCGGGGACTTGTTGTTGGAACTATCAACACGTCAGAAAAAGACGACTGATAGCGATTCCGGACAGCTTCACGCTTACCCCATCGTTGAGTGCAGCCCAATTCAAGATCAGGCAATAGAGCATAACCTTCCAGAAGACCTTCGCGGCTTCCCATCGACCAAGTTCTGATTTGACTGATTAGCGAGTGTATAGTACAGAGAGTGGTCTATCTGGGAGGCACATACTGGCGAACTTGGTCTCCAAGGGCTCGTCGATTGCGGACTTGGCCTCGACATGGTATTGTTGCTCCTTGATCTGATCCATCGTTATGATACTGACGCCAAGAAGTTCTTTGGCGGGACGATATGACTGAGTCGTGTAAGGGTGTTGGACTGCTGATTTTCAATCGTGGTGCAGAGCTACGCTATATAGCATATCTGTCGGCATAGTACATGTCTACCTTGTGGTACAGGATACGATAGTCGACCGACACTTGCCGTACTCTCAAGTCAGCCGTGTAGTCTCGTGCTCGTAGAGGTCGGACTGCTGCTCTCCGAGCATCAAGCCCCAGAGACTAGTTCTCCATATGGGGGTGGGCAGAGTGTGGGGAATGTGTGGCAAACACGAGCAGCCCTCGTCTGACAGGCTTCGATCATTGCACTTGGTTTAAGCTTCGTTGAACAAATACATCTCTTCGTGCTACAGACTGACTCCGTCTGTATGGGCCGAACCAGGACACCCAGCCGGTGAGCCGCGGCACACGAACTTCATTGACTGCATAGTACTATCCACCTCAATAGTTCGCTATCACTACATCCGCTGGAATAGAATGATCAAAAATGTAATCACCATTCCGTAAGTCATTGTACTCGATCCTGGCAGTGGCGGCATCCACAGACTCCTCGATACCGGCCGCGAGATGCCTCAGCACGAGCCGCTCTTTGGCAATCTCACGCGGTACATCCACAAACCACCTAAGCTTCACATTAGTCCTAACTCAGGTGAAGCCTGTCTCGTACTGAGACGCAACTCACCGCTCCGAGGCTACAGCAGATATCTTGCTCCATGGCGGGTCATTTAGCAACACGTAGTTGCCCTCTAGAACGATGACCCTTGTTGTCGAAGGCACAAGTATAGCGTCTGGTATGGGATCTTGCTTGGCGTGATCGAAGCCGGGCCACGCGATGTCGTGACCGGATTCATGTACTGTCGTTACTTTTGCTGATTTGAGAGCCAGGACTGCAACCAAGAATGCTTCGGCATTAAACGTGTAAGGTGCTCCTCTACGTCGATAAGCCTCGTCCGGGTCTTGGAAACAACCAAGTTCTGCCTTGGAATGGTGAAATCCATCCTGCATAGATCCTGTCAGTACGGACAATGTTCCTGAGAACACTGGTGGTATGTATCATTGGTATCACTATCACATTCCCCATGCCATATTCAACAGCTCGAGTGGCGACTCGTGAGCATAAAGTGGACTTTCCAGACCCTGGGATGCCTGCAACAGCAACGATGATGCGCTCGTCTGGAGCAGTGCCAGTCTGCAGGCGCTTAATGCGTCGTACGAGTGCTGCAACATCTCCCCAATTAACGGTCATAGCGTCAACGGCGGTGTGTGGTCGAGAAAGTCATGCCTCTGCACTTCCTCTGCCGACAGGTATATCTACGAGCTAATCGGGATGCCATGCTCCGAACAACAAACCAGCAAGCCACCTGCCGTTTAGAGTTCCTACGGCGTGTACTGCTTCTCTTTTCACGTCAGCATCGTGAAGCACATCAGGTATCTTCCCAGAGTGCTTCTGAAGTGTCTGAAACTTGTGAAAATGAACATCACGCATACTTTCTATGTTGATGTTAAAGCGCCGTAACGCGCCGTCTCTCCAATCACGGCCATGCCCATCTTCAAAACATCTATTAGACGTCAGGATACTAGAATGCTGATCCTCCACCATCTACCACGATATCACAGCCATTAAGATAGGTACTTGAGGAGCTCGTTAGCATGATCACGGCGCCTGTCAGCTCACTGGGTGCACCCAGCCGCCCGGTAGGATTTCTCTCCTCCCAAATCCGTCGTGCGTCTGCTATGCCGTCGCCTTCATTCAGTATTGTGTCCATGTAGCCCGGGCTGATGGTCTTCGTGCGTATGCCATAGCAAGCCCACTCAGCGGCAAGACAGTTCTTCAATGTAATCAAAGCCGCTTTGATGACATTATACGCAGCTTGTGGTTGAGAATAATTGACGCGATGAGCAGAAATAGAGGCCGTGAACATGATGGAACCACCACTCTGTTGCTCTACCATGGGCTTTGCGACTGCTTGTGCACAGATGAATGCTCCAGTAGTGTTCACGTCCAGAATACGGCGCCAAGTAGCAGTGGGCGTTGACAACACATCAAAACAACCTACTATGCCGCTGAAGCAGAGTAAATGATTGATAGAACCGAAATGCGAGCTTACTTGTTCAACGGCAGCCTCGACGGCCACCTCATCTGTGACATCGACGTCGAAACCCATGACCGTTGCTTTGGGGAAGCGCCCCTGGAGTATTGCAATGGTCCACTCAGAACTTGCGATACTCAGATCAAAAATGGCCAGATGGGACAGGCCATGCTCGAGTAGTGCATTGCAAGAGGCGAGCCCTAGCGTACCTGTGCCGCCTGTCACGATGGCAATGCCATTTATGGCGAAGCGATTCAAAGCTGAAGCCTGATTGTTCTCTTCTGAGACGGGACGATTCTTCTGGGCCGGAGCTGGCGTCAGTGATGAGGCATCACCAGAGCTGAGAACCATGTGTGGGATGGAGCGTTTCGTGAGCTGTGCTCGGTCGTCATCCAAGATCTGCTGAGTGGTCATGCTTGTGGCTGGCGGTTCTGGCTGGGCAGAGTGGCGAGTCTCGTGTCTTCCTTTTTCCGTCGAAACGCAGACGCAACACACTTCTGCAGTCGTGGGTGTGTTGCTTCTGCTCTCTTGGAAGGGCTGCCGGCCAGCATTCTACCGGTAGATGTCACAGCTGGCAAGACGATGTCGCCCATCGTTGCCCGATGTCTGTTTGGTCTACCAATCAGGCCGACCTGCATTGTTTGAACTCATCTATCGCGCCATACTCATCAAAGCAACACTGCATCCTAAGCATCGGACGAGATGCTCCGGCATGGTCAATGCTGACCGGCGCTGGGTAATAGGTCAAGGTGAAGACGATTTGATGTGAACTCACAGCCCCGCATGACCACGGCCTAGACCCAACCAATCATACTAGGACTTTACATCGGAGGACAGTCTTCCTGGTTTCGCTTCGGTCCAAAGCCATAGTGCACCCACGGAATGCGTTACAATGCCGCCAGCCAAACGAATCCGGACCAGCCTGACCGAGAGAGCGTGCATAGAATGTCAGAAGCGGAAGACGAAGTGCCTGGTTGCCGCACCAGGCACCGATGCACAGTCATGTGCCTATTGTAGCAAAGTTGGGAAGAATTGCGTCTTCGTGGAGCCATCACTACGAACGCCACTCACTCGACAGAATCTTGATGATGCTGAGGCACGATGTGCTCGACTGGAAGCCTTGCTGCAGCGGCATTGTGACGCCAACATAGGCAATCCTCCCAGCAACCAACAATCGCCAGTCACAGCCGTCACCCACGCCCAGCATACAGCTGTCGGTGGTAATGGACCGTTCGAATGGAGCGAGGCTCATGACGATTTATCCGAACATGACGGCGACCACCAAGGCGACCAGCAGGATGGTATGGCGGCCTTTGGACATTCGAGCAAAGGTTCAGGATATCTCGGTATGTCTGATCTATCGATCCATTTTATAGCACGCACTGAAAATGGTTGCAGGAGGTAGCTCAGGTCACGAAATGCTACAGACGGTGTCCTCATTGCTACCCGATCCGAACAAAGTTACGAGTGCGACGCTTGCTACACCTACCTCAAGCAGTGGTCACGATTATCTCGGAGCTGGGTTCGCTGACGCAGGAAGCTTGTCCTCAGCTGGTATTGAGGATCAGCTCATCAATGCCTACTTCAAGGGCTATAATGCATATTATGCTGTCTTGCACGAGCAGAGCTTCCGTAAACAGTGCAGTCGACGGCGATCAATTCCTCCGCGCTCATCGTGGCATATCGTGTACTACGCCGTACTTGCCATTGGCGAATGGATATCGGGCCGTGGCGGGAATGAAGTCCATTCCTTATACTACGACGCAGCTCGTGCTCGGCTGACTCCCGATGTCTTAGAAGCAGGCTCGCTAGACACGATACAAGCGTTTACGCTACTTGGCAATTACCTACAAAAGCGAGATCGACCGAACACTGGCTACAACTACGTTGGCATAGCCTTACGTATGGCTATGGGGCTTGGTCTCCATCGAGAATTACCTGCGGCTTCGGAATCTACACAGATGCAACGCCACAGAAGAAGAGTCCTATTTTGGCTTCTGTACAGCATTGACTGCTGGTTCAATATCACGACTGGGCGTCCCGCGCTGCTTTCAGATACGTCTTACGATGTTATGATACCACCAAATATTGACGAAACTGATCTTCCACTGTCTTCAGACGAGGCGCTGGATGCAGCTTATCCAACGACGTGCTCCTTGACAATTTCCCTGGCTAGACTTACCAGGATCGCAAACCGCATATACGGACAATTCATGTGTGGCAGTCATGCACCGGATACCATCAGCCATCAAACGACCGTATTGGAACAGATGCTCCAGGATTGGCAGGCAGCGCTACCCACTTACTTTACAAGTCAGGACTCACCGGAGTGGTTCCTCGGTCCTCGCCAGACAGTACTATGAAAGAAGGCGAATCTATCGACGCTCCTGCTCTTGTCCAGTCAAAAGCACCAGCTTGATGAACACGAGCGACTAGCTATTGGCGTCCGATGTAGCAAGACTGCCAGCGCTACGATCACGGACATTGCCTCGTTCTGCCAACGCCACGGTCGCTTACTGCACCTTGGGCTGACTTGGTATGCAGTCTACTTCATCTTGCAAGCCACGTTGTCATTGAGCGCACAATTCGTATACAGACGACGGTCCGCATCTGCATGGCACAACGACGACTGGAGAGCGTTCGACGAGACGCTTGCGAGAACCATCCAGTGCTTACAGAGCCTAGCAGTACAGAGTCCCGCTGCTGCACGGTCTTTGCGACTGGTCGCGCAACTCTATGATACGGCCAAGGAAAGTGTGATGACGACAGCTTGCGCCGACCTCTCTCCAAGAAGAGCGGAGGGTGTCATTATGCAGTCTACACAGGTCCCGACAGCTCTCAATGCAATGGCATGGCCAGTCCAGACCACACACTCTCTGCCGATGACTGCAGACTTGGAAAGCTACCCCGTTACGGTAGGGCATGGCATGAACTTTGATGGGCTTGACAACGGCATGCCATTCCCATTGAATAGTGAGCTGATTATGCCTGATCTCATGTTGGGTGAGTGGTCGAATGTAGTCGACGGGTCTTTGTACGAATTCTTGAATGGACTGGACGTGTATTCCGGCCAGGACGGCCAGTAAAAATACATCCTGTATACCAACATATCATACTTAGACTATACGAGATTGCTGAAAACTGAAAGTAAACATAAACCATTATAGTTTCAGAAGCCGTCGGGGCAATGAGGCGCTGGCCATTATTACCACACGATCTATGGAAGTACATACCCACCATCAATGATGGTGTCACTACCGGTCTGATACGAGGAGGCGTTGCTAGCAAGGTACAGGTACAGACCCTTGATCTCTTTGACATGACCCTGGCGACCTAGAGGAGTCATACGGTATGCCTCGTTCAGACAAATTGGTGACGCTCCCATCTTGGTGTCAAAGAAGCCAGGCGATACGACGTTGACTCTTGCGAAGTCTCGCCACTCTCGCGCCAAGCTTTTGCCTAGGTGATTGACTGCAGCTTTCGTCGAGTTGTAGACCTGTACGTAAGATGATGAGTAGAGCTCTATATTCGTGGATCGGCGGTAATACTCACTGGTTGATCCACAGGCACGTTAACGATATGTGCAGATATGCTGGAGGTGATGATCAGGTTGCCAAAGCCCTGCCTCTTGAACACTGTACCAACGAACTTGGCGCAGTAGAAGACTCCGTCCACTACAGATCAAAGAAGTCAGCACCAGCACCTTGAGATACCATGTTCGATGCCGCTCACCATTGACGGCCATCTGCTTCTTGTACTCGTCCACAGTCTGCTCCGTGATAGCCTTACTAATCGCCATTCCAGCATTGGCCACAAAAACATCCAACTTGCCGAAATCGTCGACGACCTTGCTGACTGCTCGCTCAACAGCTTGCCAGTCCGAAACCTCGACCTGATAGGCTCGTCCTGTGATAGCATGTTTCTTCGCTAGCTCAGCACCTTTGGAAATAGCTGCATCGTTGGTATTGTACCAAAGGGCCACATCGCCTCCAGCCTCTGCGATAGCTTCGGCGACCGCCCAGCCGATACCATCTGAGGCGCCCGTAATGGCAACGACCTTGCCTTTCATGCTGAATTGTTCAAGAACATTCTCGGGCGTGTTCGGCACTGGTTTGGGCTGTCTTGGCGCAGCAGCATCTTCGAGTGACATCGACATGCTTGTGGTAGTTGTGCTTGAGCAGATGCTGGAAAGTGTAATAAGAACGTGCAAAATCGGATGGGGAAGAAATGGTGGAGCGGCGACAGCGCCTTAATACTACCGAGCCATTGCCCATTCTGTTGGTTGATCTCCACAGAGCAGTGATGTATTAGTGCTACTGATTGACTAGTACGGGCAGGCTCGTAGCAGCATTGACCGGTGTCCACCCTCGCGAAGTTGTTCTCGTGGAAAGTGCGCACAGCTGATGAGCCGTTGAATGGCTTTCGGGTCACTGTCGTCCGATGGATCAGTGTCATCACGTGAAGGAGCCGACATGTCCCAAGAGCTGAATGGTACACCGTAAACACTTCTTTCCGGACTTGATCTGCGTATTCTCGTTCCTCGTACACGTACGCGCGTCGCTATCATGACAATGGACTGGCAAGTGATATCCCGGGGGAGTTTTGTGATCGCACATCTAGTATTACCCACCGTCACCAAAGTGAGAGGCCGCCATGGCGACCCCTTCAAGCACCGCAACGTCGACGACGACACCTGAAGCCAAGCCTCCACCGGTTCTGTCCTCTGGCGCCATAGCGGGCATTGTTATCGGAATGCTTCCCGTACTAGGCCTCATCTTTTTCGGTATCATTTTCTTGCGAAGGAGGCGCCGAGCTTCAAAGAGTGTACCGCTGCGCGTAGCGGCTCCAGACGAGTGGTTCGACAACATGGACACGGCGTACGAGCTCAAGCCGAATGGACCAAAGCATCCAGCTCAAGCCCGGGTAGATCCAGCAACCCACGAACACACTGATGTATATCCTGCCCATGCCTACCGTTGAGGTATACCAAAAACGAACGACCATACATCGTGGATCTCTCTCCTTCGGGCACTAGTTGGCATGACCATGACCCGACAAGAGCTCGCCACCGGCTGTTGAAGCTCACCAACAAAGAATCGTACAGCCCAGATGCCCCGAATCATAAAGCTTGTGCACTTGGGTCTACGATAAAAGCTATCCGCTGCAACGGTGGACTTCTTATGGTCAGAGGCGGCAGCATATTCCGATCCAAGCCATAGCGGCCCAACGTCAGCGAACCATACAATACCTGCTGACTCACATCACGCTGTTGCCACTTCTCTTCAGTGCCTCACATTCGGGATGTAGATACTAGTTATGAAACAAGGTCAAATCATCTGGAGAGAGCAGTCGAGACCTCACGGCGCCTTCGATGCTTTGCAGAGACATCTGTCTGATCAGGCTTTTCGCATTCGAGTCACTCTTAAGTCATATCACGTACTACACCGCCGCACCTTCTGGACGTTCGAAGGCATTAGCAACTTCCAATGGAAGCTTACGAACCCGACCACCGCCCCAGTCTGAGCTCATTCGACGTCCATCGAGGACCTTGCGACAGCCCTTGGGCAGTGAAGGGATGGAAGTTCGCAATCATAATCCTGCTAGTCATTGTAGTCTTGTACGGAACATACGTGGTCATTGCCGGCTCGCACCATCAATGTCAAGTCCCACATGCTCTCCTAGCGGTCGGATGTTGGTAGCGACAGTATTCCTCCGCAACCCTCGTCTAGCTCTCCGCAGTGCAACCTCGTCCGCTTCTCACATCTGTCACAGCTTTAGTCATGGACATGAAGGGCGTCTCACACCCTTGATTACCTAGTCAGACTCAGTGGGATCGTCCCACGTGGTAGTACGCGTATTGTGGTCGATAAAGTACAACCTGCCTTCGCTACTGATTGCCGCCTCCCAGCCATCTGGCAATGGCCCGCCGTTGCCGCTTGTATTCAAGTCTGTAGGATAATCGCTCATTGCCTCGGCGGCGGTCCCATCATTGCTATTTATGCATTCCGACCGATCAGCCATGTTAGGTGAGGATTGTTATGAGTTTTTTACGGCGCAAGTTTCTCGGTGACAGCAAAAACGAAGATACGGGTCCCAAAGGCTGAGAGCGACCGCAGATTTCTGCTGCCTATATATACAGGTTGGAGGGTCTTTCGCCCCCTCTACAACATGGAAGAGGTGGTGTGGGGAATCCTTGTGGTGAGATCGGCAGCGTTGCTGGTACGTACTGCCACCATAGCCACAAATGCCTCACGCTGCTCCTAAAATCGCGCGACACCGAACCCTTTCTCCTTGAAAACATCCAAATTCTCATTCGATCACATTCGCTGGTACTTCCATACTCACGAGCCACGTCTTGACCTCATCATATTCTTTACAGACATGTTTGGTATTCCATCCATCACTCCCTTGGACACCAGTGGGAAAGTGCTCGGCCTTGCCTTCTATGGCCGTGTCCGCACAACACATTATACCTTGCCTTGCATCGTCGAAACAGTGACCCAAGTGCCACAAATGATCATGGTGTTTCTGACGGCCACCTGTGGTAAGATGCGCGGATTTGCAATACTTGACCTGATTATACGCATCCATGATACTATGCAGGCAGTGCAACTGATGTGTCATACTAGTGTCGAAGAGGTTGAGTCCCAGCTGCTGCATGGGAGGGTGTAAGTCCGGGTATCGCTCTGCTGTGTACCATGGTATCGACAATCGGCCAATACCTGCGGGCGCTATGCTTGACCAAAAGTCTTCTGTCTCCTCGTGCTTCTCCGGTTGTCCGATCGAAGCTGTGGCTCGATCTTCGGGAGCGACTTCAACTATCCGCGGGCTGAATCGTGGTACGATACCATTGATGTCGCCCGTGTGCTTATGCCGGTCGCTTGACAGAGCGTAGAGTTGTACACCAAGCAGCAATGTTGTCTGAGCGAGCACTATTGACAGTACCCAGCCAACATTGCTGCATAATATTCGATGAGGAGCCTGTAGCGCTGCACATTCCAGTGCTTCCTCCTCGAGCAGCTGTTACTATTCAGACGGGGAGAGCTGTGAGTATTGGGCCTCCGAAATCGTGCATTTCTCCGAGGAAGTGAGTTAACGACATAAGCAGGATGTGGGTTCCGAGGTGACGATTTGGTCAAGCCGAAAGAAGTCATCAATAGGATACCAAAAAGCGTGAGCATGACAGGGAAAGACTTTGTTGCCAGCTTCCCGGCATGACCTCCACTCACGGACACCAATGTCACCCATGTCTACTTTGATTGCAGAGACTTAGACTGTATTGTGTCCATGGTAAGCGTTTGAGGTAAAACTCACGACGACCTTGGACTACAGCATTGGAACTATTTGTTCAGCCAGCCTTCTAGCAAAGCCTATAGAGACATATCGAGCCACTATAAGGACCCTGCCAGCCTGATATCCCTGGAGCTGGCGCCAACAGATACAGTGAAAGTGCCACTTGGTACAATCCAGCTCTGACTGGCCACATTCCAGTAGCTGAGATCTCTTCGTCGTAGCGGGAAGGTCACGGTCGCAGACGCACCAGGAGCCAGCATTACTTTCTGGAAGCCTCGCAACTGCTTGGGTGGCGAAGCAGGTGCAGAGGACGGCAGACCAATGTACAGTTGTGCGACTTCTGCACCAGCGACTGTGCCGTTGTTCTTGACCGTCGCGGTGATGGTAGCAACGGTGTCAAACAATCCAGATGCACCGCCTGGGGCTGGCGCTGTACTACCGGCTGATCGATCGGTGAACGAGGTCGTGAGGGCCGAGTATGTGAATGTGGTGTACGCTGCGTAGAAGTCAGTCAAAGCTCATAATCTGCATGTTGGTCAGGGCGACTTACACAAGCCAAATCCAAATTCATAGCGAGGGGCGATGTTTGCTTGATCGAAGTGTCTGTAGTCGATATACAGACCTTCAGGGTAGGTGTCAGTCCCACTAATGACTTTGGTGCCGTAGTCCCCAGATTGTTTAGCAATGGTATACGGCAGCTTGCCACTCGGTGCTTTGGCTCCATACAAGATGTCGACGAGAGCATTGCCTGACTCTGAGCTAGGTAAACCAGCCCAAACGACAGCTTGCACATTCGGTTGTGCGAGTATAATCTCGAGGATGACAGGTCCGACGCTATGAACCACAACAATGACCTTCTTATTAGTACTCGCCGCAGCTTGTACCAGAGCATTTCCAGAATGCCAGGGATCCAGGTTCTGACGATCACCGCTGTTACCCTCGACCGTAATGTAGCCTTCGCCAGAGTCAGCATTAATAAACACGATTGCTGTGTCGGCTTGTGCGGCAGCTGAGGAGGCCGATGAAGTGGTATCGCTGGTAGACGTGATGAGCTTCGTACCCGTGGAAGCTGCTTTACTGCTGAGAGCATCATATGGAGCAACCATGTACGGATACTGAGCTGTGCCCGAACCCCAGCCCATACCAAGTGTGCCAGTGTCACAGCCACGATCAGTACATGCGTTGGCGCCAGATGGATTGACGACGGCATCTGAGCCGATAATAGCAATGGATGGTGGATTCTTCAGTGGCAAAGTGTTGTTGTTGTTCTTCAGCAGCACGATGCCATCAGCAGCAACATTGCGCACAATGTCCTTATGGTTGCTGGCAACATTGGGGGCACCGGAGCCGCCGTTCCAGCTAGACCACTTGACAGAGGGATAGCTAGAGTCCTGGGCGGTCAGGTACCAAGCTGCCAGAATGCGAGTGACCATATCGTCCAGGCGAGATTGTGGAACTGAACCGCTAGAAATGGCGTTGGCGAGATTCTGACCCCAAAGCATATTCTGATTGTTGAAATCCGTGCCGGGCATGGACATGTCAAGTCCAGCATTGGCAGCGCCAGTGGTATGCTGGGCGTTCCAATCACTCATCACATAGCCAGGGAAGTTGAGCTCCGTCTTTAGCGTGCCGTTCAAGATCTTACTGTTCTCACACGCCCATGAGCTGTTGAGCTGGTTGTACGAGCACATGACAGAAGCCACATTAGCCTTGACTGCATCGGCGAACGGCCACAGGTAGAGCTCATGTAGCGTACGATCATCAATGTTACTGCTCATCGTCTCGCGGTTGAGCTCCTGCTCGTTCCCAATGTAATGTTTAGCACAGGCTTGCACACCAGCGTCCTGCATTCCCTGGATAGTCTGAGCCATGGCGATGCCTGTGAGGTACGGGTCAACGGCAAAACCTTCCCACCCCCTTCCACCGTTCGGGATCTTCCCTAAAGGACCGGCGACAGGACCAAGCTGGACGTTGACACCGACACCCTTAGCCTCAGCGCCTAGTGCATTGCCACGAGCGTAGATCAGAGACGTGTTCCAGGTCGCCGCAGCTTGAACACCCGGTGGGAAAGCAGTAACGCCTTGGACATAGCGGACACCGAGCGGGCTGTCTTGAAGGCATAGCTGAGGGTAGTTGATCTTTGAAACTGCCGTTGTGGTTCCGACACAAGGACCTTTCTGCCATCCTTGACCAGTGACGATGTTTATCTTGTCACTGTTCGCTAGCTTCGATAGGGCAGATTGAGCTTTGGTGTATGCCGCTGCCCATGGTGTACCGGAGACTGGTGGCGTAGCAGCAAGTCCATGGCCGAGCAAGGCAGCCGTCAGAAGTAAGAACCGCATGGTTCAGAATCGAAATCGTCTGCAAGGTCCGCCAGCATAAGCTGACGAGGTCTGTCGACATACATATCATCTTGAACGTCTCACACTTCTTCAGAGGCGGTCCGGGCACCCGTAGTCATCTGGTCCATCAACATGCGCCTAGCCCAGCCATATTACCTGAGCATATTGATGAAACCTAAGGTCCTTAGCAGCTAGCCGCACCAAGGTGCGATTGCCGTGGTATGTCATAGTCACAAGTCCACTATACATTAGGCGCAATATGATTAGCCGCGGATCAGTCTGTCGCAGATGAGATGAGGTAGGCCCAGCCCACGGCACATCCTGCACACTACTGCGGTTCTGCTGCAGACCAATATCAACAGAGGTCATCAGGTGGAAAGTTTTCCGTTTGTCACGGTTGTGCAACCAGAGATGTACAGGTCTTAGGGTGAGAAAGAGGGGGAGGAGCGAAGGAGCGAGAGGTTGTGAGTGTTTTGTCGCTCCTCGTTCTAAACTCCCCCTGAAAGAACTCCATACGGACTCCGAAACAGCTTCCCCGTCTCGTGTTGAAATCCGAAAGTCATCTAGACCACGGTCCTGGACACAGTGAGAACATTACCCTCTGATTAGGGCGTCCACAATTCAAATGTGATTGGAACAATTCCAACCTTTGCTGAACGCTGCTATGAACATAAGACACCATGAGGACGATTTCTACATATTTTGCGCGCCTATAACCTCGTGCGGATCAACATTACTGCCTTCACGCTCCACAGATGACACTCAAGATGGAGAGTCGATCTCTGCTCAACACTCCATGCTCAACCTTGATGTTCCTTCATATGATCCCGTACAGTTCCTGCACAGGGAGTTGTGAAGCTAGAGACAAACGCCTCTGCGCCTATCCTACATTCACGGACCCATTGCGTGAATGTTGAATTACCATGCGTCACAAGCTACGACGAAGAACGTCTTGCCCAGAAACATTCAACATAACGATGAACCCGCTTTCCTTGCTCCCTTCTAATAAGAAGCAATGTTCAGCACACAACTTACTGACCTATCATATCTTGCTACACTGATCTGCAACCTTGAGGAGTCTGACGTTGCTTCCTTTGAACCTGATCGAATCGTTCGCCTCTAGGACGAGTACGTATCGCTAGACCTCTGCTCACAAGCCCAAACCACAACCTCGTCCAGAAAAGGCGTCCCAAAAAGAAGAGCATTAGGAACTCCTACCATCATGATCTTCGACATCAAGGCCGACATGGACATCATCACCACCAGGCTCCAGCAGACTAAGCTCTCCCAAAGCTCTCGACTGCTGAGTTTGCCACCCAAATTGCGTAACATGATCTACGGATACGCAGTCCAAGAAGACAAGGTCATCGACGTAACCCGTTCCAAGATGGTGAGGGGGCGCGCCCTGTTCGAGGTGTGCAAGAAGATTCGGCATGGAGCGCGACTCACGTACTTTGCCGTCAACACATTCCGGATCAGGGTGGGCGATCGTACGTCTCCAACCCTTCCAAGATACATCGAGAGCTTGTCCCAAGAGGAGTGCGGCGCCATTGGTACACTCGTTGTTCGCTACTCATACATGATATTGGCCACGGTACTGAACACGATGCGCTTCCTCAAGGACTTGAACCCTGCTGTCTTCGTTCCCGCGCAGCAGGTCTGGGTGGAGGAGCGCAGGGACTTTTTGTCGGCGAAGCGGATGCCAGAAGATGCGCCGGAGCGCGAGGCGACGCTCGCGCACTGGGAGAAGATGTATAGCGATCATCGCAAGCATTGGACTAGGTTCGTGGTAAGTCTTTTGGTTTCGGGTGTCTCGTCCAAATCCATGCGATTCGAGCATGTGGAGCGCGTGCAACGCTGTGTACGCACGCAGCAATTGCGAGTGGATGACCGAGTGCGCACTTGCCAGATGTGGGTTGCTGTGGTGGAGTCTGTGAAGTCTGTATGAACCAGGTTGGGAGTGACAGTGTGTGGGACATCTGAAGGGATGTTCAAGGTGTACATGGGAGGGCATGAGCTGTTTGAGTTGATGCGGACAAGGTCTGGTTATGGTGGATCTCCTTACTGTTTGTACGAGATTGGTGGTTCATCCCTCGGCTGTATTGTCTAGTCTGTAATGCCAGAAGGGCAGGGCATGCGGCGCTGAAGGCCACGGAAGCATATTGGCTGTGCGGTGTTGCCTATGTAGACTCTGTATCGGATTCATTCCACCTATGATGAAAGTAGGTGATTGACTTTGATATCCCCAGAATGCGCCTTGGGTGGCCAACCGCACAGCCAATGAAGTCTGAGACCCTGTGTAGCGCACGAGCCACATCACTTTCGGAAAGGGGATTCGCGACTGCTCAAGCACAAGCACAAGCACAAGCACCAGCATCGCGAAAAAACATCCACATCGTCCGTCCACACATCACCTCTCGCGCGTGGTTGTGACAAAGACTTCTTTCACCTCAACCGCTGAAGCACAGCACCATCACAACCATCATGGCGGAAACACTTTCACCCATTGGCATTGCCAATGTGAGTTGTCCCAAAGAGCGGTCATGATAGCCACGCAACTACTAATACCACCCACCCCCAGCTCCCCAACCAGCGCCACAAGATCGTCGCCAAGCGCGGTGCTGCCTTCACCATCATGGTCGCTGGCGAGTCGGGCCTCGGCAAGACCACCTTCATCAACACTCTCTTCTCTACCACCATCAAGAACTACGCCGACCACCGCCGCCGACACACCAAACAGGTCGACAAGACGGTCGAGATTGAGATCACCAAGGCTGAGCTGGAGGAGAAGTTCTTCAAGGTCCGCTTGACCGTCATTGATACTCCTGGTTTCGGCGACTATGTCAACAACCGCGACTCGTGGCAGCCAATCATTGAGTTCTTGGACGACCAGCATGAGAGCTATATGCTTCAGGAGCAGCAGCCGAAGCGCCAGGACAAGATCGACCTTCGCGTGCATGCATGCTTGTACTTCATTCGGCCCACTGGACATACCCTCAAGCCGCTGGACATTGAGGTCATGAAGCGCTTGTCGTCGCGCGTCAACCTCATTCCCGTGATTGCCAAGGCAGACACCCTCACCCCACACGATCTCGCCCGCTTCAAGCAGCGCGTAAGTCACGAGTGATCTCACATCATTTCTACATTACTAACGCTCCCTACAGGTCCGCGCGGTGGTAGAAGCCCAAGGCATCAAGATCTACACCCCTCCGCTCGAAGAAGACGACGAAGCCGGTCTCCAACACGCCCGCACCCTCATCTCCGCCATGCCCTTCTCCGTCATCGGCTCCGAGCGCGACGTCAACACCCCCGACGGCCGCACAGTCAAAGGCCGCCAATACGCCTGGGGCGTGGCCGAAGTCGAAAACGAAGAACACTGCGACTTCAAGAAACTCCGTGCCATCCTCATCCGCACCCACATGCTCGACCTCATCCACACGACGGAAGAAAACCACTACGAAGCTTACCGCGCCCAACAGATGGAGACGCGCAAGTTCGGCGAGGCCCGGCCGAGGAAACTGGATAACCCCAAGTTCAAGGAGGAAGAAGAGGCGTTAAGAAAGCGCTTCACGGAGCAGGTTAAAGTGGAGGAGCAGCGGTTCAGGCAGTGGGAACAGAAACTCATCTCTGAGCGCGATCGTCTTAATAAGGATTTGGAGACCGCGCACAGTGATATTAAGAGGTTGGAGACGGAGGTGGAGAGTTTGCAGGGGAGTGTCAACAGGACTGGGAGGCGCTAGAGTGACTGACTGATGCATAATAAGCTGGTGTTCCTGCGAAGGCTGTTGTGGGAGAGATTGTGAAGGCGGCTGTGCTGGTGAAGCGTTGACATGGTGGAGTTGGACCGGTGGGAGAAAAGTATGAGCGATATACCAACTTGTTTTCCTGTGTGTTTCCGTTAATTGGTGGAGTGTGCTACCGGTACTAGGGTGGTAGCGCTGGTGCTGCCGTCAGCCGCGTAAAGTAATTAGTATGTGCATTTAGCGGATTCTATAGCTGTAGTTATCGAAGCAGTCGTCGTGATGAGGCTCTTCACATATCCATCCGTTGTTTGGTTAATGCCTGTACGGTATACGACACTCCTCAAACTCATGTGCGAGTAAATGTGTCGGAGGAGGTCGCGCTAGCGTACCTTCACATATCAATGCCCAAAGTTCGCCACCAAGCATAATATAAATTTCGAGAAGTCACGCTTCGCAACCCAGAGCCCACTTTCCGTCAAGTATCAACTTGCCAAAATACAATGTAAACAGCAGAAGCGATGGCCTTCCCAACAACCCCCATCGCCCGCCTCCCCAACCACGGAGCCCCCGTCCACGCCCTCACCTTCTCAGCCGGAACAGGCCAATACCTCCTCACCGGCTCCCAAGACCGGCAAATCCGCCTCTTCAACCCGCTAACAGGGAAACTGATCCAGAAATTCTCCGCCCATGGCTATGGTGTCCTGGACCTAGCCGTCGCGGACGATAATGCGCGTTTTGCTTCCGTGGGAGGGGATAAGACGGTTTTCTTGTGGGATGTGGCTACTGCGCAGACTTTGCGACGGTTTCAGGGGCATGCGGGGCGGGTGAATGCGGTGGCTTTCGGAGGGGAGGGGGATGCAGCGGTGGTTTCGGGGTCTTTTGATGGGACGGTCAAGGTGTGGGATGGAAGGAGTAGGGATGGGAGGGCTATTATGACGTTTGCGGAGGCGAGGGATGCGGTTAGTGCTGTTGCTGTGCTGGGTGGGTTTATTATTGCGGGGTCCGTGGATGGGAGGGTGAGGTGTTATGATTTGGGGACGGGACGGGTGGAGACGGATGTGATGGGGGGGAGTGGTGTCACGAGTGTTTGTCCAACGAAGAAGGGGGATGCGGTTTTGGTTTCTACGCTTGATTCGAGGGTTAGGCTTATGGATCGCGGGTCGGGACAGTGTTTGCAGACTTTTAAGGATGATGGCGAGGAGGGGTTTGTAAATGAAGCTTATCGGATCCGGTCGACGTTGGGGATGGCGGATTCGGTGGCGATTAGTGGGTCTGAGGATGGAAGGGTTTTGGTTTGGGATGTGCTTACTGGAGCTGTGAGGGAGAGGCTGTGGCATAAGAAGGGTGGTGCAGGGGCTGGTGAGGAAGGTGAGGGGAGGAGGGATGTTGTTTCTGCTGTGGCGTGGAATCAGTTGAGGAGGATGTGGGCTTCGGCTGGTGGGGATGGGGAGGTGGTGGTATGGGGTCTGGGGGATTAGAGGATGATCACACTGTCCTTCTCGACCACTACTTGCAAAGAAGCCACCATCGAAGTGACAAGTCCCGGGAATGCTCACATCGGCCTGACTACCACCACGATCGCGAGCCCGAAAATGTTCTCCTGACACGGTTCTATCCTCAGACTCTGATACCAGCTGCCATCAAATCTACCGGTTCCAGCACATATGCAGAAGCTGCTGCGTTACTTGAGCACATCTCACGTACGTTCCAGCTTGCTACATCAAATCTACCTGGCCACGACTCTTCACACGACCTCATGCTATGGGCAACATGCTACAGTACCGTGTCACCCGCCATGATGGAGTCGTACGTTGCTTCTGCTTCCAGCTAAAGCCATGAATTACTAAGCAGCGAAACCCTAATGACGCTGCGGCTGAGTTCTGTCGAAGTGATCTGGAGCTCGAACACAGCACTACGCATGACTTGCTGCAGGATGAGCAGCAAGTCGTCTTACAGAAAGTGGTTGTCTGCGGACATGATTTGAGGCTTACATCGTATGCCACATTGCTAGCACGAATTGTCTTCAAAAGAGCGACCTTGGATACCACGCCGCCATTGGCCTGGTCACTTATCAATCACAAAGCTGTCCAGAACCTGACAGACACCCTCTAGCAGCTCATCAAACGCGCACGAGTCCAGAGACAACAAAGAGCTATGGCTGTGCTTAGCGGATGGTCCATGCAAGGCATCGCCGTGATCTTGCTGCTAGTGACGCTCTTATACAGCGCAGCACGGCGGATACTCACTCGATACGACACCAGCCTTCGTGACATCCCCGGCCCTCGGCTCGCCGCATGGACAAGACTTTGGCGCTTCTTTGATGCCTCGCAAGGACACGCACATCTCACCAACATCGAGCTCCATCGTAAGCATGGCAAGCTCGTGCGCGTCGGGCCCAAGGTGATCTCTTGCTCCGATCCAGCTATGATCCCAACCATCTACAACGCGCAGGGTTCTTTTGCAAAGTCCGCTTTTTATCCCATGCAGAGTCTTAGTTGGAACAAGCGTGCTCAGCCGAATGTCTTCAGCGTGATCGATGAGAGGAAGCATCGCGAGATGAAGAGGAAGGTGGCAAGTGCTTACACTGTGGATGCACTGTTGAAGATGGAGAAAGGCATTGATCGGTGCGGTGATGTTTTCATGCAGCGCATGCGCCAGTGTGCAAAGCAGAGCGAGGACTTTGATCTTGGCACTTGGTTGCATTATTATGGTGTGTCTTGCGGAAGCTGTTAGCATCGATTCATTCAGTGCTGATGCGCTACAGCATTCGATGTTGTCGGGATTGTCACATACGGTGAGAGACTTGGTTTCATGGAGACGGACTCAGATGTCGATGGTGTGATCGGTGCCGGAAACGCGATGATGATATACTTTGCGTGCTGCGGTCAGATGTAAGCAGTACTGACCTGCTGCAAAGGTCACCTACTGATAATTAGGCAGACCGTTTCTGCACAGCCTGCTACTCGGCAACCCTTTACTACCCTACCTGATTCCAGTGAGTAGCAACAGTCTCTTAATCGATTACTGATCCTGACATGTCACGCGCAGCAAATCGAGACGGTCAACAGTGCCGTTGTCTTTGCGAAGAAGGCCCTTGATCGCCGTCTGAAGAGCTCAAGCGCGCATGGTATTCATACCGATGAGCATGGAATGAGGGATGATATGTTATCGAGATGGACAGCCATGAAGGCCCAGGATTCCGAAAAGATGAACACTACCGACATCATGGTGGCTCTGTGCACCAATGTTAGTCTCAGATAGTCACGAAATCTGACCGGACCCGCACTAACTCCTGTGCAGGTATTCGCTGGAGCCGACACCACGGCCACTGCTCTGCGAGCCGTTCTATACTACCTCATGAAAACCCCGGCTGCGATGCAGAAAGCTCAAGACGAAATCGACCAAGGTCGTCGAGCTAACCATCTGAGCGACCCGATAAAAGACCATGAAACCCGAAATCATCTTCCGTACATCAACGCCGCCATCAAAGAAGCGCTACGCATGCATCCAGGCACTGGGTTGTTGCTGGAACGCCACGTTCCCGTTGGCGGCGCACAAATCAGCGGGCACTACCTACCCGCCGGCACGATCGTGGGCATCAACTCCTGGGTCGTGCAGTATGACATGGACGTCTACCCAGAGCCCTATCAGTTCCGGCCAGAGCGGTGGTTACCACGCAGTGACAATGCCGAACATCTGGCTCAAATGGAAAAGTCGTTTTTGGCCTTTGGAGCGGGATCGAGGATCTGTATGGGCAGGCATCTCAGTATGATTGAGCTTCGCAAGTTAATCCCGAGGATCTTGCAAGAGTTTGAGATTGAGATGGTGGGGTCCCAGGATTGGAAGGTCAGGAATGCGTGGTTTGTGGTGCAGGAGATGCCCATGTGTAGGGTGAGAGCGCGGCAGTGATATCCATGAGACAGTACTCTATCTGTTGGTGTGTGTCTTGCTGATAGCGCAGGTAGACATGTATTCTACCGTAGTTGCCGACTCGGCTGAAGAAGACGGGGTCTAGGCCCGCTTGCCTTGGGGCACCATCACTGCCCATGCGCTTCTGCACAACTTCCATGGGAGAACCCGCTCAAGATATATTGAGGATCTGCGACCAGTGTCTGCGCGTGACGGCGGTTTGCAAAGTCTTCTGACTTTTCGTGCCGTTGTGGTTGGGCATGAGACTGGTACCTGAGCAATACATGATGATCATGGCCGGACGCCAGCATGGAATGCGCATGTACTACTGAAGGCCACAATATATGCGCGGTGATCGACTTGCAATGTTTGTCGCTTCTGGTGCTAGACCGACTCTGCAGGAGTATCGTGGGTGAACCATGACGGGATATATTCACCCAGCCCACCTCATCTGGAGACACACTTTCTCTCGCTCGACCATATTAAGCATAAGCAAAGATGAAGACCACACTCTTCACCCTCGCCGCCGCCGGCGTGGTTTACGCTCAGACTCAGACCTCTTATGGGCAATGTGGAGGCAACACATGGCTTGGACCATCGGCATGTCCAACAGGTCAGTACTGCTCTGGCGGTAACGATTACTACTCCGGATGTGTTCCCGGCACTGCACCACCCACCTCGACCAGACCGAAGCCAACGGCTACGAGAGCACCGGCTTCTGGCAAGCGAGTGAAATATGCGGGCGTCAATATTGCGTAAGCTTACCTGGGTCGACCGCGTCGTCTTCGCCACTAACACAACAGACCAGCGGTTTCGACTTCGGCTGCGACACAACCGGCACCTGCGGCGCCTCCTCCGCCTTCCCACCGGGCTCCAAGGGAGTAGGTCAAATGAACCACTTCGTCACCGACGACGGCCTCAACGCCTTCCGCCTGCCCGTCAGCTGGCAATACCTCGTCAACGGCGTCCTCGGCGGCTCCATCAACGCCAACAACCTCGCCATCTACGATAAACTGGTCCAAGCCTGTATCGCCTCCGGCGCCGCGTTATGTGAGATTGATATCCATAATTATGCCCGATGGAACGGGAAGATTATAGGGCAGGATTCCGGGGCGCCGACGAATGCGCAGTTTGCGAGTTTTTGGGGTTCGTTGGCGGCGAAGTATGCTAATAACAATAAGGTCGCATTTGGGATCATGAACGAGCCCGTAAGGTCATCCCCTTGACCAGTCATCGAGTGCCTCGAACAATTCGACGGGCTAATTCACTTCCTTCCATCCAGCACGACCTCGACATCAACCTCTGGGCCACCACCGTCCAAGCAGCCGTGACCGCCATCCGGCAAGCGGGCGCCACAACAAACTACGTCCTCATCCCGGGCACGAACTACGCCTCCGCGGGCCAATTCCTGGACAACGGATCCGGCGCCGCTCTCTTGCCTGTCCATAACCCAGACGGCACATTCACGAACATCATCTTCGACGTGCATAAGTATCTCGATTCGGACAATTCGGGCACGCATCCGCAGTGTACGACTAATAATAGTGCTGTCTTTACTACGCTTGGTATGTCCCAGACCCATGTACATTTTCATAACTCAGCCCCACAACTACCTTTACAATACTCTACTCTACTCTACTACACCATTACTGATATGAAATCAGGCAACTGGCTTCGCACAAACAAACGCTCGGCCTTCCTCACCGAAACCGGCGGGGGGCCCACAGATACTACATGTTATACCAACCTGTGCCAGCAGTTCGAGACGATGAATAGTTATAATGATGTGTATTTCGGATGGATTGGCTGGGCGGCCGGGCAGTTCGATCCGAGTTATGTGCTTAGCGAGGTTCCCACGCAGAATTCGGATGGGAGTTGGGCGGATGTGCCGTTGGTGACGAAGTGTGTGGCGGGGGAGTTTAACGGGGATAGTTCTTGAGAAGAGGATGTTGTTGTTGTTGTTGGGGAGTGGAGGGGTGAGGTGTGGTGGCGAAGTACTTCTCCGCTGCCAAATTGGCTGTAGCGTGGTGGGTTTGGATCGCATGTACTGGTCCGAATGTATGTACCATGCAACGTTACAGTGGTGCTTATACTCTTCATCGAATTTCACGGCACGTCTTGGTCCAGGTCACCACGGCCTGCTAACTTGGGACTGCATGGATCTGCACATGTTGCCCCTAAGCACAATACACCAATCGTCCCTCATCCCGACAGTGACACCTACACTCCCACCTTCCGCATCACAAACCCGAAATACTCAAACATCCCCGCCCCATCACTCAAAGTCTCAACCTCCACCGTCCAAACCCCCTCCCTTTCAACCAATGGCCGAATAAAATGCGGCTGCCGCCACGTAATATACAACCACGTGCCCCCCGGCCTCAGCACCCGCGCGACCTCATCTACATAAGCCTTCACATTTGCCCTCACATCCTCGGGGGGATCCCAGAGGGAGCCGTAGAGCATGGCGTCTAGGGTTGCTTTATCGATGCAGAGATCGAAGCTTGAGGGGGGAAAGGTGAGGGAGCGGATGTCCATGGGAAGCCAGGTTATGGTGGGGTGTTGGGCGCGCATGGATGCTATGACTACGTCGGAGAAGTCGACGGCGGTTTGGTGGGTGTAGGAGAGGGAGAGGAGGTCTGAGGGCAGGGTCTGTGGGGTGTACTTGCCTCTCAGCACTTACTCAGGCTATAGTCTATATAGTAGCGGAGTCGAGACATACGCTATTGCCGCTACCAAGGTGGAGGATTTTGGGATCGGTGTCTGGTGGTGGCAAATGCTTCAGCAAGAAGGGTTTGATGGTGTCGAAGTGCCGGAGCCAGTCGTAGGTTTTGGCGTCTCCGCTATCGGTATCGCCATAGCGCTTGTCCCAGTACTGGGGATGAGCCAGCTCTTCTAGGGAGTCTGCAGGCATTCTGTCACCTATACAGTACCTCTTCTTGATACATAGCTTGTGAGGCTGAAACAAAGCCAAAAAGGGTGATGGTGTCTGTGCGGTTGCTGACGAAACGTGGGGAATGCTTCAGGGCCAAACCTTCGCTGCCAATCACTAAGGCCGAGAAAGAAGGTCGCAGCATGTCAGAGGAGAGGGCGGCAGCAGAACTACTACTTTCGGTAGGCATGTCTGTTTGCTGCTGCACCTCCTGTCCCTCTCGCTTCACCCATGTCTGATCTGATCTATTCCATAGTCACTGGCGAGTGACACGTGAGACGGATCTTCATATGAGAGACAGGCATTGAAGCGGTGCAGCAACATTTCCTCGCATTAATTGATTGTACCGGGGAGAGCACTACATTGGCAACCACTCATTTACATCAGCACAAGCATCCGCCATGGGTCTCCTCAAACACTTCCGCAGTCGCTCCCACCTCAAAAGCAATAATGGTCCACAAGCATTACCATCACCACCACCACCACCACCACCACCAGCCTATTCCTACACCAGCCCGCCCCGCGCATACCAAGGCCGCGACCAAACACAACGATTGCCCGAGACAGTACTGGCGACCATCTTCTCCTACGTCTGTCCTCACTCCGAAGACCTCACCTACGAAGCCTCGGAAAGATCCCAAATAGGCGATGGCTGCATGCTCTGCGACCTCCGCGACCTGGCCAAGTGCGCACAGGTCAGTCGGAAATGGTACGGCGTGGCGCAGAAAGCCCTCTACTCCAGCGTCCGCATCGACGCGGTACATTACTGCGCTTTAGAAGAAGAGCTGGCCGAGCGACGGCAAAAGGCGGGCAAGCATTTCCGCAGCCGGAGTGCGGTGGTGGAGCCCGGTGAGGTGCCGAGTATACGCCTCTCTCTGCTCTGTAGGACGGTGCGGGAGCAGGAGCACTTGGCACAGCAGGTTCTGGTGCTGAAGCTGCCGTATATGACGCGGGAGACTGCCAAGGGGGAGCTGGCGAGGTGTGTGAGTGCGTTGTCGAACTTGAGATATGTGGATTTGCCTGATGGCTTCTTTACTGGTGATCCCGGGTGTTTGGCTTTGAGGCAGGAGTTGCAGGCGCGATGTCCGGATATTCGGAAGATGACGTATCGGGGTGGGAGCGAGGAGGCGTTGGAGTTACTGGCGCATCGACATTGGCAGAGCATTGAAATCATGGAGTTGAGCGGGCTGGCCATTGAACCGGCGACACTGAGGATCGTCTTGGCTAGCCTACCTACCCTTCACGACCTCACCCTCAGCCATCTACCCTGGATGGATGACAGCGTCTTCCAGCTCTCCCCCGGCCAACTCCCGGACTTCCCACCTCTCCACCACCTCACCCTCTCCAGCACCCCCAACCTCACCTCCCAAGGTCTCTGCCAACACCTCACCGCCGCGCAGAACCGCGAAGTCCTCTCCTCCCTCACCCTCTCAAACACCGGCATCACAATCCAAACCCTCCACCACATTCTCTGGACCGCCCCACAACTCCATCACCTCTCCATAACAGAAACAGTCTTCAAATCCCTCTCCCTCACCACCGCCCAACTACCCCCCTTGACATCCATCAGCCTCCAAACCCTGCACTACGAAATCACCAGCTCGGAAGAAGTCCACGGCCTGCAAAAACCGGCCGAAAGCTACTATGCCTACCTCGCCTCCTCCCTCCACCAAAACGCCCTCCCAGCTCTAACAGTCCTCTACGTCCGCGACCCAACCTTCACCGACCTCCTCATCCTCCCCCCGATCCCGGCTCCCTTCGCCTCTGCATCGTCGAGTCATGGCTCGCAGAACGGTGGGAGTCTGAGGAGTAAACCTAGCAATCTCTCCACCAGCACGAATCCCTCCCTTTTAAACATCAACGGCATGGCAGGAAATGGCAACGGTAACGCCTTCTCCGGCGCCGGCTTCAACCAAACCCTCGAGGTCTTCTCCAAGGGCATCGATGAACTGGAATGGGTCTTCACTTCCATCGCCCCGGGCCCGCAAACCCACGGTAGGGATCGCGGATCCTCAGCCTCTGCTTCTGGTGGTCGTCCATTAAGCGCTTACTCCGCTTCCCGTGGTCTCGGCCCGCAATGGGCTCAGGGAGGTTTTGGTGGGGAGGCAAGGAAGTCCGTGATCGTGGGGAATGGGTTTGGGGGGTTCTTGGCTGTGCCGCAGGAGGAGGTGCCGAGGCCAATGACTAGTGGGGATGGGGCTGGGGCTGGGGCTGGGTATGATGGGGTGGGGGGCACGAGGTGGGGGAGTTTTGGGAGTGCGGGGACGGGGGGGAGTGCGGGGACGGGAGGGAGTAGTAGGGGGAGTTTCTTGAAGCCGCCGCCTAGTATTGGGAGTCTGGCTGGGAGTTCGGGGAGTGGTGGGGCGCAGCATGAGAGGAGGGGCAGTCGGCATGATTTGTGGCGATGAGGGAGGTTCTGTTAGGGCGAGGCTTGAGCAGTTTGCATTGATGATAGATGGGTTCCGATGACGTGGATGCGTGGAGCTGGGTATGAACTGTGGAGGCGACTGGTTACGGTTTGCTGAATTGGGTAGCCTGATAGTCAGGCTGCAAAAGGTGCGGCGGAAGGAGACGTTTTGATACCCCAAGGAATGGAGTTCGTGGTAGCAGAGCTGGCGGGTGTGTACTAGTATTTATCCATGCATGATCTACAAAATCTTTCCTGCGTAAGTGCAATGTGCTGGTATAGTGATATTCGCGAGTACTGAAGTCGGAGCAGCCGATCGGGTACGATTTCATTTCAAGCTCTGACTGGTGATTATTTTGGTTGGAGACATGATGATATGGATAGGGTCCCCTTGTCGCCATTACTCCGAAGGTGTGTGCGGAGGATCAGTACCGCCAACTCCGAGCTCCGAGATGTGGACGTCGCGGGCACAGTCATAACTCCAATTACTACAAAAATCCGCAACACGCCCCTCCAGAACCCGATTTAATTGATTTTCTACTTCCTCCTGAGTTGAAGTACGGTATGTCAGAAGATACACGACCCCGGAAGCGTCGCCGCAATGGCAAGGAAGCTTCGTGCGAACCGTGCCGGATAAGTGCGTCTTACGATCAGCGACAATCCAACATCCCTCACAAACCGCAAGTCTTGTTCTGACATAGTTGCTGGGTAGGTAAGATCCGCTGTGATCATGCGAGACCGGTGTGTACGAGATGTAGGAAGCGGGCGCTACAAGCGCAGTGCTTTTATCATCCGGCGCCAATGACTAGACGTGGTGAGGCGCTGCCTACTCCGGCGGGGAGTGTGGATGTTACTGTGGAGGAGGATGGGGATGCTGCTATGGTGGCGATGGGTAGCAGGTCGGTGTCTGCTGCTGGGATGAACTCCATCGATCTAGTCGTGGCGTTGGGATCGGATGCCTTTGGCAGAGTTTCCGTGGACCATACCACCGCACCCGCAGCCAATGAATTCTCCAGAATCAACTCTCTCGTCTCTTCCAGTCCCTCCGGTGGCTCGGAGGCTTTCAGCAGGACGAACGCACTTTGGCCGCAAACACCGTCATCCCGGACCATCGAGATCGACGAGGATCGCGAGTGCCTTGCCCAGATCGTGGAGGTCTTGCAGGGGCTACACCACTTCGAGACCATCCGCAACATGCTCCACAGATACTGTCTCGAGAGCAAAGCCTCCTGCGTCCCTGCCGCACTCATTGTGAACGGGGTCGAAACGCTATCTAGTCTCACTGGTGATTGGAGACCTGGTTCTGGCCCACGATCTGGAGAGGAGACATTGCACTTCGCGAGATGTGTCATGGAGTCCACTAAACGACCATTACGGATTACGAGTGCGACTACTCCGGAAGAGTACCTGCGCATGAATACTGGAGCCAACTTACGACTCGAGTACTTGGGGACCTTGTATGCGATTGGAGGCAGGGCTTACATATATGAAGAGAGCTCGGATGGCGTTCGCCCGGATTTCGTGCAGGCTATGTACCGATATAGTGCGGCTTGTCGGGCGCTGTATCAGAAGCTTGCGGCGCCGAATGATGCGGGATGCTGGCATGCGCTTGAACAAGCGCTGTACTGCTCTCACGTCAAAGGGGATAAGAGTGAGAGGTCACCGATACGCGCGGAGTCGTCGTTACATCTGCTGACATATGCCGCTAGGTGAGGACGTCTGGCGTGCCCTGGGCGATGTGTCATCCGATGTTCTCGCCGCAGGCTACCACAACGAGAAGTTGATCACGCAGGATACGCCTTTCTTCCTTGCCGAGACCCGACGGCGGGTGTTCGTCAAAGCATACGTGCTGAACATGGCTCTATCCTCGCTCTTCGACCGACCCCCGAGGATCTCGAGACGTTACTCATCGACCCTCGCGCCGCTGAACCTATCCGATGACGAGGTGCTTGCGGAGCCAGAACAGTTGCGTGCGGCCCAGAGTCGACTTTCTGCCGACGGATGGGATATGAGCGGACCTTACTATCCGTCTTCGTTCATCAGGATGCGCCTAGCGACTGCGGAAATCAGCGAGGAGATCCTCGATCAGACGTATCAGCCTTCGATACCCGGAGCAAGAGAGCGTCTGCAGTATGTCATCCCACCTCCCGCGAACAAATTTTCCCGTGCTCGAGGGAGCTAATGTAATCCAAACAGAGCCCTTTCCGCCCGCAGCTGCGAGGCCTGGCGCACCCTGCCCCCTCAACTTAAGTACAAAACGAATTACTGGACTACAGGCCTCCCACCAAAAGTCTGCCAGATGTTGATGATCACGTATCTGGGCTTTGCGACCACTGACTTCCATATCTATCGTGCTCTCGCCCTGGCACAAGCAGATCCCCAGGCTATGACGCCGTTGATACAGGTCTCGTTTGATGTAGTGACGATGTTGATGGGGCTCGGGGAGGCGAGGATAAGGGATGCGAGGGCTCATCGCGATTTCTCGTATCTGGTTAGCATTTCTTTGTCCTGGGGAATTATGATGAGAACATGTTGCTGACCGTGGCAACAGCTCCTGTTGCACGGCATGCCCGCCGCGGTCGTGCTGATCGAAGCCTTGCAGAAAATGGGACGACAACGGCCTCCGCTCCTCGCCCTTCCAGAAGGCATCACGAGGGCCTCGCTCGTCCGCACCTTGTCCATCTTCGTAGGCCAGCTAGACACGGCGTGCGAGCCCTCCGACACCAACAAGGATGTCTGCACGCAGGCCTCCGACGCTCTCTCGCGAGCTCTAGATGATGTGCTCAACGCGCCAATGGTGGCGGTGGAGAATCATGAGGCTGTGGAGGCTCAGCATGGAGCGGCGATGACGGGATACGGGAACGAGATACCTGATCTTGGTGACACGGTGTGGAATGATAACGATCTTGCTAGTTGGGTGGCGAATATTGATTGGAGTTATGTTAACACTGATATGGGGACGCTGTGGACAAGCAGTCTCTGATTCGAGGAGTTGGGTGAGGTCGAGTTGCCGCTAAAGATCGGTCTGTTCATGAATTGTGTACCTGGTCTTAGAGGCCTGATTGGTATCACGTACAGACGTAGCTTCGAGGATATGTGAATAACTCTTCTTTAGTCTTTGTAACCAATCACACCTGTATGTGCTTCAAAGAAAGTGTAATGCCGTTGACCTTAAGCAACGTCACCCCTGGCCGGATATGTCTCGAGACATTTGAGCCTCGACTATAATCGACCTGCTCCGGCCCACAGTCCTGTTCCTCTCTGATCATCCATTTCAACAGCCAGACAACTCAACTGAACATGTCCACCTCATTTAGCAACCCATCGTCACCTTTCCTGATGCTACCACCAGAACTCCGCAACCGCATCTACCACTTCACCCTCACAAGCGAAACCGCCATCGACATCCCTACAGCTCCGGCCACATCCCAGTGTCAGGCCTGCTCCCAACCTGCAAAACCATCCGCGAAGAAGCCAAACTCATCTTCTACGTCGCGAACACCTTCAGATTGACCGTGGACGACAACACACCGCACAACTCGCACGCCTTCCTGACCAGAATATCCAAAGAAGCATGCAAAGCCATGGCCAAGGTCATCATCCGCTACAAAGCTATCGAACCTTCCGCCGTCACCCACCCACGGCACTCGCTACAGAATATCCATCACAATCTCAAAGCCACTCAAGCAGCCAACCCCTTCAAACTCGAGGCTTTCGAAGAAGTCAAGAATCAGATCATTGCATACTGGCATGGTTGGGCCGGTTGGCTCTGCTGGGTCACCGATAAAATTGGCGGACTTGAGAAGCTCGAGCACGAGTTCAATGCCGATTATGATCCAAAGGATCCGTTGAAGGGAAAGAGAGTCGGTCGGATTTTTACGTCGTTGTGGGATCATCATATCGACCATGAGCTGGCTAGGTGTCAAGACCCGGCGTTCGTGCGACTGATGGTGCGGAGTTTGCAGCAGGACTGGGCGAGGGTAGGGTCTGATGGCGTTGAGGAGGAGCTCGCTGAGTAAGACTAAAGCGCTATGGAAAGTATCGGAATGCTCGGAAGGCGGCAGAAAGCTGATGCAGGAGCCGGCGAGAACCGTCTTTGGCCGATCTAGTAGCATGAGATGATTTCTATAGAGCGAGGCCAGAGGCTCAAACGCATGGACGGCGTGAGAGTTTCGGGCGCGCGAGATTTCACCATTAGCTTGAGCTAGTGGGATGGTTCCGAAGGAAGTTGTTGGCAATCATAGTACATCTGCCCACGAACCAGCAATTCATTCCAGACCGACCCACTCATCAGCCCCACCTACCATCTCCTCATCCTCATCTTCGTCTCCAATTTCTGCATCGTTCGTTGAGTGACCATCCGTAAGCTTCTTCTGCTGAAGACCAGTGCCACCAACCCTCGGCTGCCCAAGAAAATAGTCCACTGTCCGAGCATTCCCATCCGCGACTCTCATGACCTCGCCCTGTATCCTGCCGACTGCCCTCTGCACCATCCTCACGACCTCTGCAAACTCTCCAGGCTTCTCCTTCAACACACTACCGTGCTGCCGCAGCAGGCTTTCCAACCATAGGAAGTTCAGCTCCATGTGCGGTGAAGTATCTACCTCTTTCGCAACATGCCTGAGCAGTCGATCGAGATAGACTCGTGGTAGGTCTCGGACCACGAGCCCGATATCTGATGTGGGTACAGCGCGGTAGACACGAGTAATGAGCTTTGGATGATTGAGTCGAAAAGCCATGACGAGTGCTTTCAGCCATTGTCGCTGAGCGAGCGTCTTGAGCGTGCTTTCGGGTGTGACATCGACATCCAGATCGAAAGGATCAAATTGTACACCCGAATCAACGCTGTAGATTAGCAAACCTTCCGTGCTCGCGGCACAGAAGGCACGCCCTGTAGGGGAGAATGCCACGCCCGGTACACGGACAGCAGGTGCCGTCTTACGTTGCGCCGCGTCGCCCCTCTTGCTCCCAGGTAGACTCTTGTCTAGTCGATCTTCGAGGTCCGAGTTCTCGCCTACCTCGTCGGGAAGTGCTTGAGGCCCAGCTTCTGTTAGTAGTCTCGAGTTGAGGAATTCTTGCGTGCCTTCTAGGCTAAGATTGACACTGACGGTATACTTGTGCAGTAACACAGCAGTCTCGACGGCATATAGGCAGATATACTTGCTATTACCGCCTGCCAGTACGACACTACCATCGGCAGAGTACGTGATCGTATTAAAATTCTTCGTGCCGGCCACGTTAGCCGCAGTACGCCGATCAGAGACTTTGCGACCACCGGAGACATCTCGCCGGCCATCCGTCCCGCCTTCTTGTGTGCCCTCGCTCATGGACCAGAAGGTCAGCTGGCCGTCAAGGGTGGAAACAGCGATTTGTCTACTGTCCGGCCGCACGGCAACACAAAGGACGTCCGCCTGCAGCTGCAAAGGCTCGGAGGTCTGTGTTCGAGCAAAGACAGACCATATCCTGACAGTCCTATCCCAAGAACCAGATACCAAACTACTGCCGTTTGGCGCAAATGCTAGAGAGGCCACAGGACCTTCGTGGCCGGAGAGCTGATCTAATAGCTGACCAGTCTGTACGCTCCAGATATGAATGTCGAAGTCGTCTAAGCTACCAGCTGCTACCACGTCACCGGCAGGGTCGACTGCAATGGAGCTAAAGCTGAGCCTCTTTGGCGCAGTGAAGGTCCTGAAACATCTGTACCGGATGAGGTCAAATGCTCTTACACTGCCATCGAGTGAAGCCGTGAACAGTACGTTCCCACGACGAGCGAATTCACACGCTGTCACGCCAGATGTATGCTCGGTGAACGTGACAATACAGAATCCCGAAGCCGTGTCCCAGACCTTGATTTTGCCATCGTCTGCACAAGTGATGACACGATCGCCGCTAGGGCTGTATGTGAGTGCGTTCAGGCTGTCGAAGTGTCCTTGCTGCTTCAATATATAAGACTCGGATTGCCACTCCCACACTAGCAGCTGTCCAAGCGCAGAAGAGCCGAAGGCAAGCCACTCCCCTGATTTGTTGATCGAGACTGTGTCAATCTTCGATGCTGAAATCGAGAGCTTGTGTATCTCGCTAAAGCTTGGCAGCTCGTGCAGCATGAACAAGCCATTTGAGAACCCTGTCACCAATAGATTCGATGGCGCGTGGAATGCTGCCGTCGTGAGATTTGCTTGGTCCTGGAAGAAGTAATGTCGCTCGCTGATTCGCCATCGCTCATCATCTTCTGTCACCATTTCGAGATCGACGTCTGGCGGTGGTAGATACTGCCATCGAAAGAGAGCGCCGTCCTTGGAGATGGTCCAAATGGTCTCCTGATCGTTACTGAACCAGGCAGCATATACTGCGGTCCTATGCCCGGCAAGCGTGGTGGGTGTAAAACCTTCCTCAGGGTCTAAGCTCCATATTCGTGCCGTCAAGTCCTTGCTTGCGGATAGGAAGAATCTCGAATCGCTACTCCACTCGATACTCTGCACACTATCATAATGTGAGACATACTGTCGATATCGTACGAAAGGCGCGAACTCTAGCCCTCCGTCCTCGTCTTCGTTTTCCGCTGACTCGTGGGAGCCTGGCGTAGACGGCGTTCGCCACACCTCGATCTTGCGGCCAATTGCCACAGCGAAGTGTGTTCCGCTAGGCGAGAAGGCTAATGCCGAGATGGACCGGTTCTCCTTGTCTCGTAACGAAAAGCGATACAACACAATCCGCCTCTGAAAGTGGCTGAGGATTGCTTGGCCGCCTTCATCGATTGTTAATAGCAGTTGTCCCCGAGGGTGTAGCGCTATCCGTGCAACGTTGGTCCGATGTGCAAACGGTAGAGTATGTGATTTATTGTTGATGAGGTCGAAGACGGTCACGCGATTGCCGACAGGCGACAGTAGACATGTGCCATCATCCGTGTATATAAGATTGCCTTTGCGATATACGCTGCCGAGAAGATTTGAAAACTGCTGACAGTCAGTACTCTTCGCACAAGCAGATTCGGGGCTCATGATACTTTGAAGTCGGTCTTCATGATACAAGAACGCCTGTACGCCCGAAAGCACGATATAAGAACAGGAAGTGGATTATTGGTAGTAATATTTGCCTCCTTATGATCTTGATGCACAGTTTCTTCGTGATCGTCAAAATTTCGAGAAATGCTTAGTCACTCTGTCAACTAAGCATTTGATTGAACCCTGAACCCTTAACATTGGCGAATTGTCTCGTGCTTAATTACTGCAATATCACAACCACATATCTCTCCACAGTATGTTACCTCGATAACATTTTCGGAATATCCCATGCTCTACAATGGACGATCTACTGGGAGAAGACTGGCAGGCTCCGGCTAAGCCTACGAATAAGGCTCCTAACAACCCAGCAGCCTTCGCTTCCACTTACAGTAGCTACCGAGCCAGCCCAATGTTACAACCGTCTGCTTCTGGGTCAGCCTCGCCGCAGACCATCTCTCGACCATCGAGCACTGTCAATAACGCACCCAAGACGGGCGTAGACAGTTTTGGTAGTCTGCTAGGGAACAAAGCACAGAAACCAAGCAGTAGCACATTATCTATCCAGGACCGACAAAGGCAGCTAGTGGAGGAGAAGCGGCGGCAGCAGGAACAGCAGTCTCAACTATGGGATACTCTAGGAAGCGGCAGAGGGACACCGGAGGTGCGGGCCACGTCACCTGCCCCACCACATGCGCAGGAGGATGTTGATGATATCTTGGCTGCGTTCAATAAAGATGCGCCTGTCGATCGGGCGAGCCACATGTCACTGCCCGTCAGCTCGACCGCGACAAGTGGAAGGAATACTCCTGTAACAGTGCCGTATTCCCAATCATTTGCCAGCCACGAAGCTGGCTTCGAGGCCGACGACGACGACGACCCTTTTGGTCTGGCCGCAAAATCTGGTCGTGGTAACGGGCATACTATTGTCCCTGCTCAGCACGTGCCGGTCGATGACGATGACATTCTGGGCGACTTAGGTAAGCCAGCCGTCGAGCGGCCGCAAGAAAACAAAGCCTCCGAGCCACCACCTCGACGTCACGATCTGGGAGGCGATGGATTCAACGTATCCCACAAGTCAACGCCTGGAGACAGTGCGCTCGCTGAGCTGGTGGATATGGGGTTCTCAGCTGACGCAGCTACAATTGCATTGTCCGAGACCGGTGGCGACGTGCAAGACGCTGTTGGCTACCTTTTACAACAAGCGCATGAAGAGTCTAAGCAGAAGGCGCGATCTGAAGCGCAAGCCACGCGACAACGAAGTCCCGTCCATGGCGGAAGAAGTCCAATGCGAAGTTCACGAGGTGAGCATAGTGGAGGGCCAGCATATATGCGAGACGATGAGCGGTCGACTTCAGCTGCGCGGCGGCAAGACAGCAGATCTCCTGCAAATGGTGAGAAAGATGCTTCGCAGGTTGCGCAAGAACTTGGCAACAAGCTCTTCAAGGGCGCAAACTCGTTATGGAAAGCTAGTCAAAAGCAGATGGCGAAGACCATGTCAGACTTCCAGCAAGAACGCGATGCCAGCCAGCCAAAATGGATGCAGGAACCTAGCCCAGATACGAGTCGCGCCAGTAGTCAGCGTCGACAGCCGCCTCCGAAGCCTACTGCGAGGAAGCCTCCAGTCGATGTCACGGATGAGGCTGCAATGTTGGACACGCCACGAGAGCCTCAATTTCAGAAGCCTACCCGATCACAAGACATCGAAAGAGTCTCAGACCTTCCGCATAGAGGTCGTTCGCCTGTCGAAACTCTGCAACAGCGCTCACCACCTCAATCCAGGTTTGTGCAACAGCCTGTACCTCAGCAAGACAAGAGACCACCAACCAAGCTGAGGCGTGAAGAAGTGGAAGATCAGACCGGGCAAGCCTATGTTAGTCCCGCTAGGCGTAAGCGACCAACTCCACAGCCCACAGCACAGCCTCAGCGGGAGGTGGATCTGTTCAGCCCGGCACCAGTGCAAGCACCTGCGCCGACGCCGCCAGTAGTGGGAACAAGGCAGGCTCCATCTGTTGTGCGATCAGCACCGGCTATAAAACGTCCATCAGCACCGCCACGCGATCTACCTCCAGTATCGCCTTCTGCTCTTGCAATGTCAGCCAAGCATCGGAAAGCAGGTGGCGAGTCGTTCAAACGTGGAGACTACGCTGCTGCCCACGGGTCATACACCGCAGCTTTGACACCTCTACCTGCTACTCATCCGATCACGATTATAGTCTTGACCAATCGATCTTTGACTGGCTTGAAGACCGGTGAGGCAAAGACCGCAGTAGTTGATGCTGATCGTGCACTTGAGATCATTGGCTCAAGTCAAGGTGTTGGTGAGACCATCGATCTTGGTGGCGAAGGACTGAAGGACATGCGCGATTTCTACGGCAAAGCTGTTATGCGCAAGGCCGAAGCTCTCGAGCACATGGAGAAATGGACAGATGGTGCAGCGGCCTGGCGTCAGGCCATCGAGGCTGGCGTCGGAGGTGCTGTCAGCCTGAGAGGCCGTGACAGATGTGAGAAAGCTGCCAATCCGAAGGCTGCAGCGGCTACAACCAACGGCAGCGGAGCGAGACCTCCGGCCAAGAAAGCACCCCCTGCTCGGCCACTGGGCAATAGCTTGAACCGTCCTACCTTGACCTCACCATCTTCCGCCGCGGCAGTGACCAAGCTTCGCGATGCAAATGCCGCTGCTGAGAAAGCCGACGATGAGAAGTTTGCTCTTATTGACCAAGTCGATGCACGATTGACTGCATGGAAAGGCAGCAAAGCGGACAATCTCCGCGCTCTACTGCAAAGTCTCGACAATGTGCTATGGGAAGGGGCGGGATGGAAGAAGGTTGGTATGAGCGATCTAGTGATGCCGAACAAAGTCAAAATAGTGTATATGAAGGCGATTGGGAAGGTGCATCCTGATAAGGTGTGTTCCCCAAGCAAACACTCCGGATTTTACGTACTGACAGGGCTCTAGATACCGCAAGACGCCACTACCGAGCAGCGCATGGTCAGTGCCGCCGTATTCAGCACGTTGAACGAAGCCTGGGATAAGTTCAAGACAGACAATAAGCTCTGAGACCTTGCGAGGTGTATGTATGCAGCTGAGCAAACACTGTTGACCAATCCCTACCTTCCAGCAATCACATTTCAACTTAAGATGCCCTCTCACCAACAGCTCTGCGATCCTCCAGCTTGAATTAGGGTCAGGAGGCGGAGTTGTCCTCACCTCCTCATCCCGACAATTCACACAACTTCTTTCCTTTGTCAGCAGATTCATTCGTCTCTTTGTTTCTTCTTCCACCTCTATTCACCCTTTTGTTGCCAGGCAACAATGCATCCGGCTAACACTGCCCGGGAGCTAGAGCAGCCAACCAGCGTCGTCTCGATTCACGAAATTGTTGTCCTCAATTCACCATACCACAGCTATAATGCAAATGTTCACTCTGCACGTCCCGGGTCGACGTGATGCGGCTTGTTTGGCGCGTCAGACACGGAGGTGGGAGTGTCACTTGCAACCTATTAGAACCGTTTATATACGAAGGTCGAAGTCTTCTGGGAGACTTGATTCTACCGCCACGGACGAAACTTCGATCGACCACCTACACACGATCTACGACCCATACTCCATCATACAGCATACATCGCACCTAAAGCCCTTCTCTGCTGTTAACCTTTCAACCTTGTCAACAACCGATCCTCTGTCACTATCGGGCTCGATCACTCCCGCAATCAACCGAACATATCCAAGACAAACCTACAACCATGACCGTCACAACCATATCCTACGCTGCGTACGAGGCTGCTCAGTGGGAGGCGTTCCACTGGCGCGAGCAGAACCCATCCCGCGCCACGCAGACATACCCTCTTTACAGCCTCCTTCTACCAGGCGAACCATGCTTTGTGGACATCGAGTTCCAAAACTATCTCGTCGACGGCAGAGGTCCTCAGAAGCACCGCGTCGGTCGCATCGCCATCCTTAACACCAGGGGTGATGTCGTGCTCGATGCCTACGCTGTGTACAACAACGAGGACAACGTTAAGAAGTGCTTCGGCCCTATTTACTGGCAAGAGATGTTTGGCGTCACCAAGAGAGATCTGATCGTGGGTAACGGCGCCATCTGGGCTTCGAATGTGGAGAGGTGGGCCGCGAATATATTCAAAGATCGCATTGTCGTCATGCATGGGGGTAAGCACGACCGCTCCGCTTTCTATCTGACGCCAAACTTCTTTGATACCTCCACCATTGTCGACACCCAGAAACTCTATTATTACGAGCAGAGTAACGGCACCCCAGGGCTGAAGACCCTCGCGGCTAGGATCTTGGGCCGTGGGGTCTAGAAAGGCGCGCACACTCCAATCGAAGATGCTGACGCGACCCGTGAACTCTACCTCCTCAAGCATCCATACGATCGTGCCGCCGCTCAGGCTAAGCTCGACGCTGAGAAGGCTACGGATGCTCGCAAGGCGGCTCGTAGCCTCAAGAAGCCTACGGGCAGCCAGAAGAAGAAGGCTGCTAGAGCGAAGAAGATGGCAGGGACGGCGCAGGCTACGAAGGCTTGACATTAGTAAATGCTGGACGAGAGAATGTGGATAATAGGGGCTGAGAGATGATCATGCGAGCGACGTGCCCTTTGGTAGAATGACGGGTTGTGGTACCACGACTGCCATAAGGGATGGTACATGATGCTTGCTTTTGCTTGGGTTGTTCAGGGTGAGCGTAGCATGCTCGGGTTGTCACGCATTACGACCTTGTCATGACACTTGCTGCATGGCTCATATGGCGTTTGCTCGTTTATAGTTAGAACGACAGTTTTACAAAACAAAGATTGCAACACCACAGAAGTGCCTCGTTGATCTGAACACCAAGAAGCGAGTCTAGAGTGGCATCGTACCCCTAGTCTACATAGATCTAAGCACCAAGAGCCATATTCTATTCCGGTCGTGTTGATCAGCGCACATGTTCTTCTAGTCACTATGTGTTGTCTTGTAATCTTAATATCGCTTGCTTTGTGTGCCGCGCGAGTCCCGGTGCTGCGACATCACGAAGCCTGCTTAATGCCCGGGGTGTGATTTGTAAGATGATCAGCAATTCTTGATGCGGCATGGAAATTGACTGTTTTGCAGTGACATGTTCAGCTGATGGGAGCGTAAGGTCGCCGTATTGGACAGATCAAAGCTGTGGCGTGACGACGTCTACAGGAAGAATCGCTCGTCAGATAGTATGCTTTCCTTGTAGAATGACATGAGGTCATTCGTGAGGTTGATGAAGTCCACGAGATGGGGCATGATTGGTTGGTATATTGGGAGGAATTCGTCTTCTGGGTAAATGTTCTCCCGGAATACGAAGTGAGCGTACGGCGCCGCATACCCTGTCTTGAGCCTGAAGTACTGTGGAAACTCGACAGCTCCGGGAATGATGCGAAAGCACTCTGCGGGTCTGTTCTCTAACAGACAGCCATTGAAGAACTGTATAGTGGCCGTGAGCATCGTGGCCATAGCGAATCGCCCCAAGTGCGCTCTCATACTTGGTAGGAACTCTAGATGAGAACGGAGAATCGGATGAGAAGGTATTTTGTGCTGCAGGAGGTCCATGGCAAAATTGCCCAAATCCGTTGACATCTGCGATCCCAAGTCGTCGACCAGGAATAGAAACGTTGAGAAGATAGACATATCACGAAGGGCAGGACTTGTAAGAAAGCTGAAAGATCGGACCACGCCGTCACAAAAGTAGGGAACCCTTTTCATCGCATGGTCGATAGCGTCACGAGGCCATGGAACGCTCTCGAATTACTTGGCAACGGTTGACTGCGTCTCTCGTACAGGGTCATCAAGAGCAGCTGGCATGGAGAAGTCTGCTTCGTCAAGGAAGTCCTCCAAGATCTCCCGGATCGTGGTCTTGGAGTAGGGGTCAGTCTGTCGTGCCAGGACCAGTCTAGATTTCTGCACGGTGGGATGAGGGAGTTCTTGGGACTCGACGCAAAAAACATGATTTTGAATCGTGCCGGTGATTGGTCCTCTACTTTGTATGCGAGCCATGTCGTGGATCCCTTTGCAATAGCGGAGACGAGGTCTTGGTCTTGGTGATGGCCGCCAAGGTACATGTGTGACAAAGCTCAATTCCTCTCTTCTTACTCAATCAGCAGTGGCTGCTATATACCCGCCACTGATCAGACTCATTCCACGTCAGCACATTCACCGTAGTAAGACGTAGATTAGGCACCTGTGTTATATCGCGAGGCTTGCGATCAAGCACGAATCTGCGCTACAGATCTTTCTGAGCTCTAGTGCCACTCCCAGCAGGAGATACTTTGACTGCCTGAGGATAAGAGAATAACGAAGCCGCGTTGAATATTGATGCACCAGGATTGCACCGGACTATTATTTGACCATGTACGTGAACATATCAGCGTCTGCATAGTACAGTCAGCTTGCAAACCACGAGTGTATATGGAGACAAGCGGTGCATGGGCAAAACCTACAAAACAGCCGATCGGTAGCCGTATCTGAGTAGGCTGCATTGAATCCATGCGCCGGCATTATTACCACCTACTTGGTACTCTGCCTCAGCAGCCCACGAATGTCCTCCCAGTGCTTTGCCACAAATGCCTCGTTCGCTGCCCTATATAGCACGACGTTCTGGTCGCTGTCCACGAGCTTGTAGAGCTCACTCGTCTCGTCACTCAGCGCCGCAGGCAAGACGTACAACTCATGATTCGATTCTGTGACACCGACCCAGCGTCGGAAAGCCCGCACGATTTCGGTAGCATTCTTGCCTTCCTTGCCTGTCGCGGTCATGATCGCTTGCTTGAGCCAATCTTCAGCTTTCCCGTGAGCTATCTTCCGGCGCAGGACGCCAGCTCTAAGATCACGGGTCAGCTCAAAGTAAGGAAGCGATGTATTGATTGTGATTCACTCACTTCTTCTCATGCTCAGCGGCCTTGCCAAACTTCTCCAATGCCTCAAGCAGTAGCAATTGGCGCACGTCTGTCATCGACATGCCCTCATACATCTCACCACCACGTGGGACAGTATGTATGCCCTCCCGGAAAAAGTTCTTGTAAAGCTTGGGCTTGCCTTGATACTTGACCTCAACATTCTCAGCCTCGTCAGCTTTAGCGAAGACAATGGCTCCTCCGAGCAGTAGTCTGCAGGAGGATAGCCATGTATAGAGGTCCTGAAGGGTGTCGAATCCCAACTCATAGCGGTCAACAGGCATGTGCATGAAGCCCATGACTTCGGCAGGATCGCTGGAAAGCCAGATCATGCCACTCTTGTCTGCGATGTTGTGTAGATTCATCTTTTTGGCTTCATCGAGTTCCGGCAGCTGAAGCCACAGGCCATCACCATGAACCGAGCAGCCCACGTCACGGATGATACGACCCAGTATCATACCAACGCCGCCATAAGAGGCCAAAAAGCTGCGCCAAGCAAAGGCTACTAGCGGAACGACTTCCAAGTCGATTTGAGCGCAGGGTGGAGATGTACTTGTGGCATCGCTTCCACCGCCGCTCGTAGTGAGCTGCTTGGGCTCTGGTCGACGGCTGTCAGGCTTCGTGTATACTGCCAGCTCCGGACCGTTTGCCGAGCCGTCCTGGCGTGCTGCAAAAGAGCATACTGACGGGCCACTCTTCACTACAGCAGTGGCACCAACTGCATTAGCCAGGTCGATGAAGTTCACCTTCTCATCCGTAGCCAGTAAATAGTCGATATCGCCGTAGGATGTCTTCTCGGGCGCTTCTTTCAGGACCTCGACCAAGACAGCTTCACCAAGATGTGTTCGGATCTTGCTGAGGTAAAGATTCTTGAGCTGATCGTAGTGCACCTGGTCCAAAGGTTGAATGTTCAGGACGTAGCCTTCAGGGGCATGAGCGGCAGCAAAGGCTTTGCCTCCCATACTGTTCGCAGTCTAGCCGTGTTGTCTTGCTGGGATGTAGTGTTTCCGCATCGATGTGGTACAAGCGGAAACGATCGAGGATTTGCTTCAAACAGAAATTGAATGGGCCGTTTGCACCGGCATGACACACGCTCCAGGAGTCAGATGCTGCGGGAAACGCCAGCACCCTTTCACAGTGATCGACCTACCAAAGAGTGCATCGCTTCTGGATATGAGCAGCAAATTGTTTCGCGACGACGTGTGCTTGTGGCAGTTGTCTGGCGCATATTACGCGCCTTCGCCTCTTGGTCGTGCTTCATGATGCATGTGATCAGTCTTTGGTACACGCAGGATCTACGGCACCGGTACCAGCACTGGAGATATCCAAGTAATACTTGACTTAACGATGCTCGATGCTGATGATAACGTTGATAGCAAATAGATGTAGGCCTGGTGAGGGTGAGGTTCGCAACGCGCAGATCAGACCAGACGATCGCGTCAAGCACTGTCGAGGCACGTGCAGGCGTGATTTGTAGATCCGTACTTTTCCATGCATGCAGAGACGGAATGTATTTATTAGCTAATGAAGCTCGAACTGTCAACACTACGGAACCGAACAATGTGCTCCTTCAGGACTGGGCGAATGTGAATCGATTTCCTGCACCAGTGAGAGGAGTCAGGACCCAGACAGACTAGGAGAACAGGACCGCGAGAGTTCACGGCAGAATGAAGTTCGCGAAAGACCTGGACGACAATGCGGTGCCGGAGTGGAAAAGTCAATACCTTGACTACAAGCATGGAAAGAAGAAGCTCAAGGCTGTGACCAAGGCTATTCGGAATGTTGAGAAGCCAGAGGACAAGGAGAAAGTGGGACGCAAGAGTCCCTTTTCATCTCTGAGAGATGCGCCAGTACACAGTCTGTTCCAGCGCGAGCCCCGGATACCAGCTCCTCAGCCTGAGACTCGTGACAGCGACAGGAGCCACACACCGCTCTTCAAGACAAGGTCGAGAAGCGAAGCGCCGAGTCCTCAGGCTCGAAGGCGAGAGGAGGAGCAGGAGGATGGCAGTCATCAGGTCAAGACATTTCCCATGGACATCAACGAGCGTAGTCCTCTGCGCACGAAGAAGGATCAGGGACCGAAGTTGACTCGCTATGGTAGCATCATTGGTACTCCTCCAGACGCAGATACTCCTGTCATGGCTGCTTTGAGGCAAGCTCCTTCACTTACACTGCCCGATCCTGCCATTCCATCCCAGTCCGACCCTGATTACGATAGGCCTGTAAGTCCTGGATCTCCTGTAGCCGTCTCCAAGCCACCACCGTCCCAGCTCGCCCACACCGGAAATGCATACCAGGTTACCAAGCCCACGGATGGTCCACCATCGAGCGCACTGTCAACACGCCTACAGGCATTACGTACGCCAAAGCGTGCCAATTCCACACCCGACGGAGGCAACAGACCTTTCGTGAGGCGCATGTTCTCTATCGCACCGACCAACTCTGGCCCGAGTTCAGGGCGTGATGTGGCTCTGGAACAATACCGTGAAGTCGACTTCCGACAAGCAGAATTCTTCCTATTTCTGGACAAAGAGCTCGGCAAGATCGAGAAGTTCTACAAGCAGAAGGAAGACGAAGCAGAGGCAAGGTTGAAGGTGCTACGAGAACAACTGCATGTCATGCGCGACAGGAGGTTGGAAGAAATCTTAGCCATGGAGCAGAAGCACAAACACCCACCCCCAACAGCAACTACAGCTCCTCCTGTAACCGGCGACGGTGGCCACATCGATTGGGTGCCCACCCTGCAGGTACCTCCAAGTCGCACCGGTCTAGAGACAGCCACGGACGACCAAGCAGTAGCACGTCGTTCGCACCCCTTCAAAGCAAGCATAGAGGTGACTCGAGACGCCTTGGAGAAAGTGAAACCGGGCCACGTAGGCAAGACATCCCAAGCAATGAACCAGCTCAGTTCACCCGCACGCGCACTCGGCGTGGGTGCAGGACAGGAACATGATCCCAGCCAGGATTATACTCGTCGACCAACGACACATACCGTGCCATACCGAGTAGCGAAACGGAAGCTCAAGATCGCTTTAGGCGAATACTATCGAGGTCTGGAGCTTCTGAAATCGTATGCCCTGCTCAACCGGACGGCATTTCGGAAAATCAACAAGAAGTATGATAAGGCGGTTAATGCTCATCCGAATTTGCGGTATATGGCCGAGAAGGTCAACAAAGTAAGTACATATCTCATTATTCTATGTCAGTGCTTGGCTACTGCCATCCGCTACAATTACGTTTGGCAGTCGCTAGTCGATGGAGATGTGCTTTCCTTGCAGCCTCTCTCCATTCTATTGTCGTAATATACTACAGAACGGCACAGAAGACGACATTTCGACGGAAATTTGAGCTGATCAACCCTGACAGGCGCATTTTGTGATGAGTACGACTCCCGACGACCTCATATCACAAACAGAAGACCTCTACGCTCGATACTTTGAGCGAGGAAATCATAAAATTGCCGTCGGGAAGTTGAGAGCCAGAATAGCTAAAGCGGGCAACTACACAGGTCCCGTTTTCCGTACCGGCATCCTCCTCGCCTTGGGAGCGGTGTTCGGCATTCAAGGTATGTGAGATGCCCCCAGCACCTCAAGAAGATCCTCCATCTTGGGTATAGATCACTAATGATACATACGCACAGGCCTGGTCTACAGCGTTCTCCGCCTTAACGACAAATCACGTGCTATGGACACAGAGTTCCTCCAGCAAATTTATGCTGGCTGGTTCTTGATCCTGGCCTCAATCCTGGCATTCTGCTTCGATTGTGCGGTGTTTTCGAGGTTCAGGGTCAATTACCAGTTCATCTTTGAGCTGGACAATAGGCACATGCTGCACTGGGAGCAGCTGGCGGAGATCCCATCGTACGTGTTCCTATCGGATTGTATTCTCACCCGTCAAGGCCTCCTTCTCCATCTTATCGTATATGTTCCTGTCCCGGTTGAGAGCTGACAGTTCTCTAGCTATTTCTGGTTCCTGCTCGGCTTTTTCATGTGGTGTAACTTCGGTCCCTTCGGCACAGTGAGCAACATGTACGTCTACTGGCCAGTGATCCTCGTTGGTCTGTCGCTACTACTGCTTTACTGTCCACCGCCCTTCTTCTATCCTCACAGCCGAAGTTGGTTTATTAGTAGCAACTGGAGACTTCTACTAGCTGGTATCTTCCGAGTCGAATTTCGAGATTTCTTTTTGGGTGACATGTACTGCTCGCAGACATATGCCATGGGTGAGTGTCTCCACTGCGTGGATGGCCAGTTCGTGATGGGTCACCAGAGCATTTTGGAATCCGGATTGTGCGATGGCGGTGCTGACTATTCATAGGCAACATCGAGCTCTTCTTCTGCCTCTACGCGAAACACTGGACCAATGGAGGACAGTGTACATCCTCACATTCACCTCTACTAGGCTTCTTTCAGACTCTTCCCGGCATATGGCGATTGTTGCAGTGTGTAAGACGTTATTGGGACAGCAAGATGTGGACGCACGTGGCCAACGGAGTCAAATATTCCTTTACAATTCTCCAGTGAGTGATGAATCCCACAACACACTGGAGGGCCTTTGGCTAGCTCAAAATGACACGTTGAATTCGAGGACTAACAGCGACTAGATACGTCAGTCTCAGCCTCTGGCGCATCCACAGGGGTGATGGGTATATGGGCTTATTCATTACCATGGCGCTCATGAACAGCCTGTACTGTTCTTTCTGGGATCTGAACTACGACTGGTAAGCCTTGAGGCACTACATGTATATACATTATCTGATCGGACGCTAATGATGCTGCAGGTCTATGCCGCTTAATATCAACAGCAAGCCATATCCGTTCTTACGCAAAACATTGGCGTATCGCAAGCATGTTTGGTGGTACTATGCAGCTATGGCTGTGGATGTGCTCTTGCGATTCAATTGGATCTTTTATATCATTTTCCAGCATGACACCCAGCACTCGAGGTACGAAATGGCAGGCCGGGGCCCTCTCTGCAGGCTACATTCTCATCAAAGCGTTTGGTATACATGCTAATCTTGCTATAGCTTGGTAAGCTTTCTTGTCTCGTTCTCTGAAGTGATCAGGCGAAGCATTTGGGTCTTGTTTCGAATCGAGAACGAACACTGCACCAACATCGGACGATCTCGCGCTGCGCGCGACCCAGAATTGCCATTCGACCTGCCACCGTCGGAATCGACCAGCATACAACAGGCCGATGGACCGGCGGACGACACAAGAAGCTCGACGAGCGGACGAGACGACATCGAAACTGGCAATGCACCATCCCTTCGCCACAGACGGCCAGGAGTGGCTCCTCCATCGACTGAATCACCCGTGTATCGTGCTCTCCAACGAGCTGGGACGACATTCATATCAGCGCATGCTATGGATTATGAAAAGAAGCGTGTGGTGCAGCCAGTGGATGAGGTGGACGACGATGATGAGGACGAGAGTGAGGATGACTGAGCATATCTCGACAGTACCATTTGGTATATACAATCTCAGAGTTGACGGCTGTACCTCAACGTCTTTTAATAAACCTCGAGAGATCGCCTTGTTACACAGCACAGTACCCGCCATCAACCGTAATGTCTGTGCCAGTGGTGTAGCTAGATGCATCAGACGCGAGGTAAAGATATGCTCCCTTCAGCTCATGTGCCTCGCCTTCTCTGCCCATGGGTATCTTGCCACGCCAGATGGCCTTCGTCTCTGGCGGCACGAAGTTCGAAATCTCGGTCGCCATATAACCAGGCGAAATGCTGTTCACTCGTGCGAATTTGACCCACTCCACAGCAAGCGATTGGCACAAATGCCGCACGCCAGCTTTGGCGGCGTTGTAGGCTGACTGAAGTTGCGGAATGTTTGCAACGTGCCCACTCATAGATGACGTGGCGATGAAGCTGCCGTAGCTATAGTTCTGCAGAGCTTCACCAGTCAGGCTCACGCCACCGTTCTCGTACTGCTTACGGAAGATCTCGCCGGCTGCTTTGGCGCTGTAGAAGACAGAGTCTAGGTCCGTGGCGACGACTCTGTGATAGTGCGAGAGCTCGCCATCGATCATTCTGCCTTGAGTCCATGGTATGCCTGCGTTGGCTACGAATATGTCTAGACGGCCATTGAAGTCCTCCGCGATTTCATTCATGACCTTCTTGACGTTCTCGTAGTCTGTCACGTCAGTCTGGTAAGCCTTGCCTACGACGAGTCAGCTCTGTCATGGCTCACTCCATACTTCTTCTCGACCTCGGCAGCTCGATCCAGTGCTTCCTTGTTGCCATGATACCAGATGGCTACATTGGCACCAGCTTCAGCAAATGCGTGTACGACCTGGAGACCAATGCCAGCGCCGGAACCGGAAACGATGGCCGTCTTATGCTTGAGACTGAACAACGGCAAGACTTGGGTTTCTTTCGGTGCTTTGGTGTTGTATTGCCGGAAGACACCGTTCTTCATCGAGCTGTCCTCGGGCGCCTGCTTCTCCGCTCTTACCATTACCATGATTAGCAGCTATGACCGGTTTTCAATTAAAGTAAACGATAGGGTTGTAAGACGACAGTGTTGTACTTGTGGAAGTCGAATCGATGACCAATGCCCGTTGCTGTTGCTGTGGCGTCGAGATGTGGCTGCGACAGAAAATCGATCCGTTCTTCACTTGAAGCTCGCCGCCTGTCCTTCTTTCCCATCACAACATCATCAATGTTATCATCGAGGCTAGCCAGGCCCGGGCAGACCTCAAATGCCAAGTCTAGTCATTGTGAGTCGCAAAGTATGCCAACCCATATCATCACCGGCAAGATAGGTAAGACGAAGACACATTCATCGCTCCCTTTTTACCCTATATCTGCAAGAAGTCATGGTAGATTCGATGCTCTGGTAGTCTCGCAATACGAGTCTCGGAAGCCTTGACAGTATACATGAGAAGCAAGAAACATGGGCTGTGAGCTATCGGTGTGGTGCAATTTGCCGAGCCAGAGGCAACATTCCATTGCCTACCTCTTGTGGCCACGGCCCGCATACCGCGCTGGAGCATAACAACATGGCTGTGGACCTCTATCAATATGGCTGGCCAAGGTAATCGAGAACCAGAGTGGCTAGTCTAGGGAGTCGGTCATGGCAAGCACCACACGCGGAATCTGGACAGCCCCCTCCTCGAGCGATGTGCTTCACTGATGGTAGACCTAATCCGTATCATGGTACCTTTCATGAAGATGTTCCTCCGAATGCTGGCACGTAATCCGCAGAATCACGTAGATCCAGGATCACAAGGACAAGCCGGTAGCATGGCCGCCCAAGGCTCAGCAGATGCCGCTGGTAGCTCGACCAGTACGCCGATAACAAGCTCATCCGCGTACCTAGGAATAGGCGTTGGCGTGGGAGGAGCAATCTTGATTGCTATAATGGCTGTCGGGGTCCAGATTCTGCGCAAACGGGCACAACATCGACGAGCCGTCACGGAGCTTGAAGATCAAAGTGAGCACATCACAGTGGCAGGCGCGATGCAGGAAATTGGCGAAGTACCGCGGCCTGTCAGTGTGACTCGCTGTGGTCCGCTACATCCACTACATGCGCAAGCTGGTTGGGGCGCTTTGTCTTCTAACGAGACGGTGCACGAGTCCGAGCCGATTACTCGGAGAGGTGGTAAAAAGCGCAATTCGATCTCGTTGCCGAGACGAATACGTGAGAAGACGATCCCGCTGAAGCGACTGAAGCATCTCTCTGCGATCATTGAAAGTCCTCGGAGCAGAACAGTAACATCACCTGCACATACGAAAACCCTGAACAAGACGACGACACCTGCGAAGTCGGCACGCACATCAACATCGACAAGGAAGAAGACGATTCTTATGATCGCAGCGGAAGATGATGACGAAGATGTCTTTGTCATGCCTGGAAGCCCGAAGCCGCATGTTCTGCCCTCTTTCGCCATTCGATCGCCAGGGATGTATGGTGCCGCTATAGCAAACGACGATGATCGACCAAGACCTTCACGATCCATCTCGGTCGGGGCTCTCCAGATACCCCTATATGTCGCGGCTGATTCACTGACCCTCGACCGTTCCAGTAGACCACAGATGCATACTCGGTCAATCAGTCTAGGTGGACCGCAGAGCCGTCCACCCTCGGGACCTGTACCGCCATTGCCAGCATCTGTACCACCCAATTTGCCGAGGAAGAGTAGTGACGACACGAACAGATGTGGTGTCTGTGTGTCTCGCATGTCGTCAAGCAGCCAGGAATCTGCCAGTAGCTCAGTATTGGTTATTAGTCCGATCTTGAAGGTCCATGAGAACGACAGAGCCATCAGCTCACCCACTGTCGAACAAGTGATAGCAGACGACGACAGTGCTCAGCTCAAGACTGTCACGAACAGACAATGGCAGAACCCACTCATCACTGGACCACGACCAATGGAGATACCACGAGTCTACGAAGACACTACCGCAGGCGCACGCGAGCGTAGCCATCACCACAACGCGTCAATACATAGCAATATAGCCCGCTACAGCACCCTCTCCTATCGCCAATCTTCACCTAGCACAATCTCCAGTCTCGATAACGACGACGCATTGATCACGAATCGCCTCTCGATCCCTCGGATCGCCACTGCAGATCGCGTAAGTATATCACGAGTTTCTTCCTACAATAGCCTCAGCCCATCCGCGTCTTGCTCGGCGCCAGCAACATCAAGTCACGTGGCCGCACATGGTGCTGTTCAGAAGATCACCACTCCACGCAAACCCGTCCGCACAAGCGGCAGTAGTGTTTCAGCCAACGGCTCGCCCGCCGAGAAACGCAAACCTCCTGTCCTCCGCGATATAAGCGGTAATGCTAATACTGGACTCACACCGTCGAGACGGACGAGCAATAGTACTTCCCACAGCGCCCGAAGCAGTAATGGCAACCCGTTCCAATGGGACCAGAGTCTGCCTTTGCTCAAGCCTTCCGCTTTGAAAGGCAGCCCAAACAGTAAAGGTAGCCGAGGTCATAAGAGGCAGAACTGTGTGAGGATTTCTACTTTGACGCCCACGATTCTAGGACCTCCAGTATTGAGTCGATCGACAAGCCCAAGTTTCATGCAGGGTATTGATGAGGAAGAGGAGGACGGTGAGCATGTGGCACCTGATGGGGAGGGACAAGGGACTAGGACGAGGTCGAGGGCGCTGCCGAGACTGAGCAGTGGAAATAGTCTGCTTGCTCCACGATTGCAGGCCACGACATCCACTATGTTGTATCAGACGTCGCTCACGCCTTCCTCCCCGACACTTAGTATGTGGACTGCCTACCAAGAGCAGCAGCAGTCTACTGGTATGGCTGAGATCGATCTTGTAGAGATGCAGCCCTCAGATTCGCACTTTCCTGCCTCACCACTATCTGCAAAGGACCGATCGGCTTCAAGACTGTCTGTACAGTCTTCTGTCAGTGGGCTGAGTATACCCATCTTCCCGCCACCAAGCCGTGCTACAGTCGGTGGTCTACACTTGCAGGAGACAGTACCCGTGTTCTGTCTTTCACGGCCATCCACTGATGACGAAGAACAAGAGGAAAGTGATGTGGCACAGAGCTCGAGTCCGCCAAGACTCTTGCATGCGTCTTTCGATGAACCGCATGGTCAAGAATCACCAGTCATACCAGAGAAGTCGGAGTACTTCCCTTCCAGCCCTCCACTACCTGTCAGTAAGGACGAGGAGTACGATCCAGCCTGGCGAGGCCTTCTCCTCATACCCAAGCCTGCACCTGAAGCAGATATGCTCGGCAATGGTAAAGGAGTAGAGTACGATCCGACGAGCCCTCTCTGGCCACCAACAGTAATGGACTCAGATCCCACCGCTGAACATAGCTCACCAGCATTCCCCTTCACGACCACTGCTAGCAACAACACAATGGGAGGAGCAGAAGAAGATGAACACGTTTCACCACACAGCAGGCCTACCACTTACGGTGGAGATCTACCAGATACACCACCTTGCTCACCTAAGTCCAGGCCAGTTGATACTACGACCCACGTCTCCGACAGTACGCTACTGGCACAGCTTTCGCCACCTCGAGTCCGACCAGCACGGCTAACAGCAGCAGAGAAATTGACAAGCGCGAACGCTTCGGTGATCATGGCTACGATACCCGAGAGCCCTCCCATTATCGGCTTCCCGACCGCTGTGCCCATCCTCGCTCCACCAAGTGAGGACACAGCACAAGCCACCATCCCACTGCCGCGTCGAGGCCGCGCAGCGTCTCATACTTCATGTTTACGCCCTCTACGTCCCGCTCCACCGCCACCTCCAATCCTCGGTCTCGATACAACCACACCCCAGCCTCTTCACATCCGCAACCCATCCAATTTGAGTCCACAGGGTCCAAGAAGTGAACCAGCCAAGTCTGTTCTCAAGTCTGCTACCGCACTTCGACGTATGAATTCCGAAATCGATGTTGAGACTCGTGGCGCGATGAACAGAGCCAGTAGACAGTACGTCCGCATGGGAAGGGAGGCTAGTCCTTTACTACCATGGATCGGCGCCACGAAAGTTGGAGCTGAGCCAGGCTTTGGTGGAGGTGTGGTAGGAGACGAGCGTATGGCTGACCTGTTCGACTTTGATTTCGGATCCAGCATGTCTGCTGGAGCGGAGAGGGAGCTGAATGGTAAGAGTGCATTAGATGACGTCGATTTCGAGGCGCTTGGATCAAGGCTAGATGGCGCATTATCTGGCTTCGATACCGTTGGCCTCGTTGCCTCGTCTTCATCGCCTCCGATGGATTTCAAGGATGTGGATTATGGTTCCGGTGTAGAAATTACCTACCAGTCGCGAAGCGGAAGAAGCGGAAGTGTGTGGGAAGATGGCGAATTATTCTGGACTAAGCGCCCCAGATTCTCTTTCACGCCCTCCTCACCACCTCTTGATGTGAATGTTACGCCGATGAAAAAGCTGTACAGTGGTCGTGCTGCGGCGTGGGAGCGAGAAGGCTCGAGGACGCCGACGCAGCAGATGGATATCTTGCTTGGGTTGGATAGACCGAGTAGTATTGTCAAGACGCCGAAGAGTCTCTATGATTCTGATGGATTTTTGAAGACGTAGATAGATTGAGCAAGACTTCCTTCTGCCACAAGAGAAAGTTCCGATTCAGTCTTGGCGTGTCTTCTGTATCAACCAAGCGAAGGCTTGTTCGTGGGAATGCTGATGAGTGCGAAGGCATCAAGGTTTTGACGTGGGCCTCCTTCTTTCGACAGACATATCTTCCCATGATGAGCCTCCTTCATACAATGGAAGCAGAACACTGTTTGTGAAGATCTCACAAAGGCCGGAACCCACAGAGGTTGTGCAGGATCTTGTGCACGGGTAGATATATGTACCCAGCCGGCACATACCTGTAATCATGCTATTGCGTTCATATGGCTTTCGCCAGAATACGCGGGGCAGTTCATCCCGTCCTCTGCCATTTCCCATCATCCTGATCGCCGTCCTCCGCATCAAGATCGGCGGCCGTTCTTCTAGTACCGGCACCTGCTCCCAACGGCACAATCTCCTCATCCTCTGCTCCTTCAACCACTGTCATACCCTCCGGCATGCGAAAGTTCCCATCCTCGTCCATAAGGTCACCCATATTCTCGCTAGTAATCCACCCACTAGCCCCCGGTGCCATCTCATCAAACGCTCCTTCCTCATCTGATCCTTCCGGATTCGGATCTGGATTGAGCTCTTGGCAGGCGGATATAGCTTCGTATAGACGTTGTTCAGGTGATGTAGCGCGTCCGTTGCCGTTCGGGTGCTCTTGCTCGACCGAAGTTGTGGTCTCGCTCATCCCTGCCGCGTTTGGCACGATACGTAGTGTAAGGGATTCAAGGTCCTCGTCGGCGGTCATGTTGGCGTCGGAGAGGCTGAGCTGAAGGAGTACGGCATCCCGGTCTTGGGCGTGAAGGGTGATGGTTGTGTATGGGAGTTGGATGCCCGTGTTCTTCGCTGTCGACCAAAGCGTGAGGTGTCGCGTCGCGACCCAAACGTCGATGCTGGCGATCTCCACATCCAGTTCGTCATCATTCGTGTTGTCTCCTAGTGCAGCGAAGTCTGCTTGTGTAGCTAGCTCGTCCCGTGCAATACGCAGCTTGGAGTTCGCGCATTGCAGATGCAGCACTGCTCGACCACCAAAAAATGTGCCAGGTGTTTGTTCTTGGTGTGCTGAGAGTTCTGTGAAGTCATTCGCACGCGGCGCAATCCTGATCGTTTCATATGCCATTGGTAGTGCGAGACGTTCTAGGCGAAAGGTCCAGATCCTTTCGGGCTTCTACACAATCGTGGTACCGGAAATTAGCTGCATTCGCGAGTCATGTAAATGTCGAAGGTCAAATGACGTAGTAATCACGTGGCCCTCATAGCCCGACGCGTGAGATCCGCCTGATATGTTGGAACAATTTCATACTTTTTGCTGCGTGGGGCGTACACTGTTATCAGATGTTCAATCGCTCAGCCACAGAGGTATGGAGAGCATGAGCAGGAAATTGGAAGCTCTGTCATTGACAGAGGCTGTGGATGCCGACAAGAGCGAGACCGGCACCCCCGATGTGACGGAGCGAAATACCAGGAGCCCCCAATCCATCCTGTCTAGCGGAGCAGTATCGAAGTATATCGTAGGCACTCCATGCTTTCCGTCCATTGTCGAGCTTTGGCAAGTTGTCGTATCATGACAACGTCGTGCAGCTCATAGACGTCAAGCTCGCCATGGCGATAGCCACATTTCTTGATGGCGAAGGCTGGTGCCTCACCTTGTTCGCCGTATCGCCATGTCATGCCCGGAACTATGATGCGATGCTCTGAGGTACCGCCCGCACACCGATGCATGTTCCGAGGCGATGAATTGTACCACCCACTCCACAAGATAGAACCCTTCAAACATCTCTCCAACTGAGCGATATGGCCTTCCAGAGATGAGCATTGGCAGGGGCCATGAGATGCGATGGCAGACTTCTCCGATAGAACTAAGGAGTCTTCATTGGCAACGCGACAGTATTAACATTTGTCAGGCCGGTTGTGACATCGCCGTCTTCAAATCAGATGTACGAGAAGCCGATATCAAGAGCTTTTGCGTAAGGACGCAGCCTTACCAGATGGTGGTGGCGCAGCACGTCCATCGTCCATCGCTGTTGCATAAGGCCACCGGACTGCAAGCGCAAGGCTATTACGTTCGCGGTATCTCATCTCGTGTATGTTTCGGATGAGCCCAGAGCAATGCAGCGGTATTCATCGACATACGAGGGTGACAGTGGTAGAAGGTAGACTGAAGTGAAGGGTGATGTATGCAACGTGACCCACATTTTCAGCCACACCTTCCTGATTAGTCCAGCCAACGTGATAGCTCCTGCCTGGCGACTGGTCACCTGCAACCAACAGCTGTGCTACCTCGACCACGAACGCACTGACACCCCAGCCTTGCCTCAATATAAGACGTTCATAGTCTCCGAGTCTCCATTCACATATCATCACCCAACAAGAGCATGGTACGGAACGCCGCTTCGATGCAGTCACTCCGCGAGAACATGGCCGAGTGCGCTATGCACTCGCCGCCCAACACGCAGCCACGGCCTGCCATGATGCCAGCCCAGCAGCAACAGCCAGAAGCATCGGTCAACCTCAACCAACCCACACAGATCGTCGGCAGCGATGCCTACACTAAATGGCTCATGACTCGAGTAGCTACTGGTGTCGCTACACCAGAAGAGCAAGCCATGTGGCAGCAGCACGTGAATATGGTCAAGTCGAAGCCCACGCCCGCTCCTGCTCTCGCAACAATGCCTCCGTCTGCTCCGCCGCCACCTCAGAGATACAGCGCAGCCCTTCACGAGTCTCGTGCCGGTACCCAGCCGTGCGTCTTTGGCATCCCAACTCTGGGCTCGTCGTCCGAGACTCCACTTGTCTGGGAGCCAGTGAACCCACCCAACATCGCAGAAATGTCACCACACGCCCTCCAGGACTACCAGATGCAGCTGATACTGTTAGAGCAACAGAACAAAACGAGGAATCACATGCCTAACAACGAAGTGAACGAGATAAAAAGTTCAGCACTAGCGATGAAGTCACACCAGTCACCATCCACTTTTGTGTCGCCAAGTCCGTACGCAGAGCGGGGCTTCAACGAAAGTGCTCGTCAGGACTACGAGATGCAATTGATGCTTCTTGAGCAGCAGAACAAAAGGAGATTGCAGATGACGAGGCAGTACGAAGCCACACAATCTGACCTTGCAGCTGGTACGAGCAGCTTCCACCAGAAGCTGGCAGCTAGTAGGACTAAGCCGGCTGTGACAGCAGTCGGTGGAGGACCGTTTGGTGTGGTGCCCCATCACGCCATCGCACCTGCGGCCCTCCGTCAACAAGCCATCCGAATGAACGCCGCCAAGTATGCCGAGCCGTTCTGCAAGTTCTTGACCGAGAACCCTACTGTCTTCCACGCTGTCGATGCCGTTCAGAAGCAATTGAAGGAGGCAGGCTTCAAGGCATTATCGGAGCGCGATAGCTGGGACCTCGAGACTGGTGGAAGCTATTTTGTCGAGCGTAACGGCTCAGCATTGATAGCTTTCTCCGTCGGCAGCGACTACAAGCCTGGTAATGGCGCAGCGATCTTGGCTGGCCATGTCGACGCTCTCACCGCCAAGCTCAAGCCTATCTCGCAAGTCCCTAACAAGGCTGGGTATCTACAACTCGGCGTCGCTCCTTACGCTGGAGCACCAAACACTACTTGGTGGGATCGCGATCTCAGTATTGGTGGACGAGTATTGGTCAAGGAAGGCGACAAGATTGTTTCGAAGCTTGTCAAGCTTGACTGGCCCATTGCTCGCATTCCAACATTGGCGCCTCACTTCGGTGCTGCAGCTTATGGTCCATTCAATCCCGAGACGCAAATGGTGCCTATCATTGGTCTGGATCACACCGACAGCCACGCCGCCCCACTGCAGACCATTGAGCCATTCAGCAATCCATCATTGATGGGCGGTGCAAGTGGCGGCGTCACTGGTTTCGCTGCCACACAGCCTCCTCGTCTCGTCAAAGCCATCGGCAATGCTCTCGGTCTGCGCGCAGATACCTACTCCAACATCGTGAACTGGGAACTCGAACTCTACGATGTTCAACCCGCCACTCTTGGTGGTCTGGACAAAGAGTTTATTTTCGCCGGCCGTGTCGATGATAAGCTCTGCTCGTGGGCGGCAATTCAAGCCCTGATCGAAAGTAAGGACGAAATCAGCAACAGCTCGCAGATCAAAATGGTCGGCCTCTTTGACGATGAGGAGATCGGATCTTTGCTTCGCCAAGGTGCGCATGGCAATTTCTTGCCTACCGTAATGGAACGGGCTGTCGGCTCCTTGGCTGGACATTCTCCAGGCTCCGATATCATGGGGCGTACTTACGCAAATTCCTTCCTCGTGTCTTCGGATGTCACGCATGCGGTCAACCCGAATTTCCTCGGCGCGTACCTGGAGAATCACGCGCCTCATCTGAACGTCGGCATTGTTGTGAGCGCAGACAGCAATGGCCACATGACGACCGACGCCGTCAGCACGGCTGTCCTCAAGCGCTGTGCGGATAAGGTCGGTGCGCAGCTGCAGGTGTTCCAGATCAGGAACGACTCGAGGAGCGGAGGGACGGTCGGTCCTATGCTGTCGTCAGCGACCGGTATGAGGAGTGTGGACGCTGGCATTCCGCAACTCAGTATGCACAGCATCCGTGCCACGACTGGTGCGCTTGATCCCGGTCTTGGTGTGCATTGTTTCATGGGCTTCCTCAATGGCTTTGAGGCTGTTGATAAGGAATTTCGTGATTAGATGAGGAGGAACGAGAGGCTCGAAGGACGATGTGGTGGGAATATGGTGCATGATCTAGCAATGGGATACGAGAGTCTCATTTGAGAAGGCCCATAGATATCCAATTTACGATTAGTATATGGTAACTCTCCTCTCGCCTCAATCGTCGCGGTTTGTGTACAACAGGCCAGCGGCCAATCCAGCTGAACGATATTGAGAGGCATAATAAGATATTAGGCTTTTGTTATCAGATTCCGCGATAGCCAGGATCTTGTGTGCACCAGGAGCCGAAGGATTCCGCTTCTCATGCACTTCACGTCAGTCCTCCTGCACTTCACGTCAATGGCTGCGCGTGAGTCACTACTCCTTGTGCGGACATAGCTGCTCGGCCGAGCTGACGTGCTCTGCCTCAGTGCGGTGCTCGGAGCTCACTTCTATGCTCCAAGGCTGAAATGGCACAATACGAAGGGAGAGATATAAGTAGAGCGTGCCCTTCCAGAAATTGGTAAGTACTGGATCCATATCCTCCACCTCCTTCACATACCCTACTCAAGAAAAGATGTCTTCCTCCCAAGAGCTCCCAGCCATTACTGTCCAAGCCCTTGAGGCATCACTTAAAGCACAAAACCTGCTACTCAAGTCAAACACCCGTCTCGACAATGCAGTGGCCAATTGCGAGAAGAATAAGATCCCATCCATAGCGATCTCTCCACTACAAGGCCAATTCTTGTCCTTACTCTGCAAGATGTCCAATGCCAAAAACATCCTCGAAGTCGGTACCTTGGGAGGTTACAGCACGATCTGGTTCGCTGAGTCCGTTCCCGGTGTTCATGTCACGAGTATCGAATTCAACGCCAAACACAGAGACGTCGCTTTGGACAATACAAAGGACCTGGATAACGTGAACATCATCCTCGGTGCCGCCGCGGACGTGATAAAGCAGCTCAAGCAAGACGGCAAGGTCTTCGACCTCGTCTTTATCGATGCAAATTGGGATCAGCAGGCCGAGTACTTTGATCTTGCGGTCGGTATGACGAGGAAGGGTGGAGTGGTGTATGTGGACAATGTTGTGAGGAATCTGCTTGATGTGCCTGAAGATGGAGATAAGGCGGATTGGAGTTTGATTGAGCATGTGAAGGGGGATGATAGGGTGGAGGCGACGGTTATTCCGACGTTGAGTACGCATAAGGTCAAATTTGAGGAGATGGTTGATGGGTTTTTGTTGGCTTGGGTGAAGTAGTGTTTCTTGCTATTGGGAATGATTATCAATTATATGTCTTTGATTGCGTCTCTGTGGCGAAGCATAGAGTATGCCACCTGCATCCAACACTACGAGACTTTGATTCTCTGCATTACAGTCTCACACGACCCATAGGTAGATCCAATAATCTCCATAGTAGCAACTCATCGTCTCCAGTAGGATCAACATCCGTAAAGCCCTCGGGCCATATATAATCATCCAAGCTCACGTCAGCCAGCTGATTCAGCTCCACGAATCTTGACTTGAGGCAGCGGCCTTTCAGACCACGCACAGCATCAATCAAAGTTTGCAGGAAATGACGGAGTGCTCGCATCTTCCGCTGCAGCACATTTCGCGGGTCCATCAACCAGAACGATTCCAGGGATCTATCGCCGGGGCCAAAACAGCTAGGCTGCTCAACACGGACGGTGAGATTGCATAGATTTGGATAGACATCGGTCACCCCTCGGACCAGACCGAGATATGGTACCCCAAACTGCGCCGCGCCTGAACCAATCGATGCGCTGTGAGTGAGGTGAATGTTGAGGATGAGGTCACGGATGCGAGGCCTCTTGCTACGCACATCTTGTAAAGTCGCGTGGACACTGCGACCTGATAAGCCTGTCAGATCCATAGTGGGAGCACAGAAAGTATTGCGTTCATAGTACTGGTCGACAGCTATGTTCCACAGTCTCGGATTCCGACCTCTGCACATCTAGAATGGCCAGAGCACTCTCTCTTTAGTGCTGATACTGGGGGCCAATTCGTCGCGAGTCAGTCCTTCCATTCCTTCGGTCGAATATATCTCGTAGATCGTAGACCGCTCACGCAAGACATCTTGATGGATCAAGTTCTTGGGGTATCTGGTAGACCTGTGCAATGCTGTAGGATAAGATGGGATGGTGACGACCCACTCGACACACTGTTCGAGTAGCTCGTTAGGGAGGCCGAGAAGACTTGCTCGTGGACATTGCATTTGCTTTTGGCGTATATGGTTTGCCGCGATAACGTCTTTGGCAGTCTGATCGTCGCTGGACAGGGTGTACGCCTTGCGCGGAGAGGAGTAGAGCTCTAGAGATCTGTACGGCGAGTATATATTGGAGTCTGTGGGAAGAATCGGAAGTATACATAATAGAGCGGCTGACTCTCAGTGTCAGTGAACATGCTGCATCTTGTCGGTCGCATGTCTGACATTTACAGTCGAATGTCTCTGAATCTCGAGGGAGTACTGAGCGTTGGTAAAGGACGTCGAAGGAGAACGATGCTGACAATGAGGGAGAGAGATTTTGAAGACACACTGGAGTGCCGATTTCTAGATAGATTATAGTAGAACACTGATCATATGAAGAAGCGATGGGAAATACTTACCGAGAAAGAGACAATCAACTCATAGCTTGCGCTGTTGTACGGTGTTGGATGTGACTCCAGCTGTTGCTCGAGATAATCCGGACGTGAGTACGGACAGTGCTGCCCTTGATTATCACAACCAGCATCTTCTTGCAGCGACTCTATGCTCTGGCTGCCGATCACGAAAACAGTAATTCGGAGTGTGAAAGATCCAGCATCGCGTAGATCGCAGCTCTGCGATGCGACGTACCCGCTTCAGCCGCGTCATTCCTTGATCGGAAACTTACTTCTCGAGCTCGGGTCTTGTAGAAATCGTAGACGCTTACGCACTCCCGGCTCAGTACTCAGTATGTCCACCATACCTACGATATTTCTCAACGCAGTGACGAGCTGTCGAGCATACTGAACGTGGGCACGGTCGACGTATTGAAGTTTCCACGAGTAGCCCGATACTCCAATACTCCAAGACTCGTTCTCGGGTCATGTTCCAGGTTGAAGGTCAACATTTTCGCTGAGGTCAAGTCTGTGATGGGGTGCTCCAAGGCAGCGGTCAACTCACCACGTCGAGCATGTCCATATCCAGTGTCCAGCCAGCGTGTCGTCTTGGGATACAGCGTTAATGGTAGACTAACTTGAACATGCTGCATGCGATCGCTGTCGGTAGGCCGTTAAGGGCTCAAATAATGGTCCTTGTTGTCTGCGACCCCTGTGTCTACGTCGAACCGTTGATGTGGGCCCTCGACATCGACGTAGAAGGTATTGATCCGATAGTACTCGGAGGGACCTACAGTCAATAGTAGCTTGCAGGCGGAAAGTAGTGTCCGGAGGCGCAACTCCGTCTTCCTCCTTTTGTTTTTGTTCATGGATAGCGGACCGCGGTGCTTGACGACGCCTGTAAAGAGCATCTCCAGGAGCTCCATTGGCAGCTTTTCGAAACTATTCATAGACCCTGCGAAAGTGCCGTCTCCGCTTGTTTTCGCCATCTCGTCCATCCCGGTGCGGAGTGTTCATAGGACATAATGAGATGCTGTGCGCTGTATATACAGGAAGAGAGAAGAACAAAGACATTGTTCGCCATCAGTGTAGTGTGCCCCGCAGTGGAGCGGACACTTCGCAAGCCATCGCTCGTCAGGACGTCGTTCGCAAACCGGGTGGGGAGTTGGCCGTCCTGTGGCTATAGACTTTCGACTATCGTACTCCCTTCCGGTTGAAGGACTGAGAAGAGGCTCACTCTGAATGCGTGGCTCATGATGCCCTGTATGCTAATGCACTTTAATGGCGAATGCGAAGCCAAGATGTCAGATTTGGACATCGCCGCCACCACGGTCGATGTGCGCTCAAACAGCGAAAGCCGTGCTATTGAGTAGTTCTAGTCCAGATTGCCAGTGATAGAACGGAGATTCGCTTTGCCATTCGCGGCCATCCGAGCTCGTGGCATGCATACTGCAGCTTGAGCTGGGGATGCCACGTATTTCTGGCGGTGTTGGCTTGTTTGCTTCAATGATACGGCTGATGGTCGGGAATTTGACATGTACCGGGCATGGCCCATCATTCACACGCCAGCATCGGCATGCGAAGGCTTCGTGAGCTCAATTATATCCTCGGCCCAAGGACAGCGCGTAGGGCGGTAGAAGTGTTTGCTGGCAATAATGCCGAAGTGGTCACGCGGGAATGACCTACGATGACGTGCATGCATCGCGCTGATGCAGGTCGCCCGATCAGGAAAAGCCTAATACTGTATGTGCTAGAGGAAGGCACAACACGACGAATGACCCAGCAACCCCCCCGCCATCATCTTATCGACAATCTTCCATATTGCTCTCCCCCACCATCAGAACGATTCTCTCTGCCCCAAATCGTTCTATGATAGTGACAGAGAACTCCGTACCATATTGAAAAGGATTGCGCTTGTAGAGAGGCTCTTTTCGTACCTGCATCGGCAAAACACTCACGTGAGACGTACCACGGAACTGCTCTAAGCTTGCTCGCAAACATCCAATCTTTTCGAGACCACAACATCAGACATCATGGCACAAACAGCTCCAGCTCCTCATAGCCCTGCCGAAGTGCCTAAGAGGCCAAGAGGTGCGTACATCGATCGCAAACGGAAGAACATTCTAACACAAACGGCAGGCATACTCAAGAACTCCAGCTCGTTCCAACATGCCTCGCCAGAGGCACGCATCTCGCCTACCTCCGAAAGCACATCGGCTATGCACGAGTCACCCACGATCAACAGTTCAGAGCGACCGCAGCCGCAGCGCGAGATGTCTGAGAAGGAGATTGTGCAAATGAACACGGAACTGAATGCCGGTGGCCATCGCCGGAACTCGTCAAACCCTCGCGGAAGTGTATCGCGGCGGCAGAGCTCGCATGGTGGGCCTTCGGAGGATGGGCAGACCGATGAGCACAATGCGAGGTTGAAATGGGACGAGGCGAATCTGTATCTGAACGAAGGTCAGATGGGCGGCAAGATGAAGATTGATGAGCCCAAGACGCCGTTCGTGCATTCTGCTGATGTGGTAGAGGACGAGGAGGAGTCAAGTGCGATCAATGCTCAAGACATTGCTGTCGACGAGCTAGAAATGGAAAAGTCAAAGTCGAAACCGAAGAAGAGTGCTGGTGAGGACATTCCGGGTCTGGATATTGGCGAGCCAGAGATGGAAGCCAGGAAGCGTCGTGAGAGCGACAGTGATCGGAAGGTCACTGTGGGTAGCGAGGACATGGATGTTGATGGTTTCCACCACGGCGAGCATGAGGAGAGTATGTCAAAGGATGAGCTGGCCAAGCATAGGAAGTTCGAGGAGATGCGGAAGAAGCATTATGAGATGAAGAATATCAAGGATATGCTGGGCCATCCCGAGGCGGAAGACGATGAGATGGACGAATGATGGCGATTATGTCAAGGCTTGAATGATGATGTCGTGGTGATCAGGCGAACTCTGTGCTATTAGCGTGCATGATTGGAGTTTTGGAATACTGCTGGAGGGACTAGCATAAGACGATAGCTAAATGCTACACGATGGTGACGCGATATTGGAGATGTACGGCATGGCACATCAACAGTATGGCATGACCAGAACATCACGGGGAGTCTGAAGCCGTAATTAGGCAAGTACGGTACATATCGACGAATACATGTCGGGCTATTTGTTCCATTGACGCGCCCATCTCGGTGCCTGGAGTATATCATCTTCCACCAGTCATTCCACATCCCTCAAGCCTGAATCGTTATCTATACATGCGACACGATCGCAGACCCCCAAGTCAAGCTTCCGATGCGATCACATGCCGAAGCACTGGGCGTGTTTCGAAGCCAGCCTGGCCTGCAACACAATCTACGTGAACGACAAAATACGTCGGTGCACACCGCGGCTAGCTTTCCGCGCAGTTACAGCTTCAATCTCGACTTCATCTATTTCTTGCACTTCACATCTCCTTTGCCGCTGACGATGCTTGCAGCGCTTGGCATCCTTTATGATTCACCAAGTGGTCCATCAAATGCACGCGGTTTTGACGATGTATGAGCGGTCTCGCCTTGGCATCGTGAAACGTGGATGGGACAAGGAGGTCGGTATGCCGTTGTGGATTGTCGCGGCGCGCCTCATCCTGGCCTTGGGGGCTCAACGAACATGGCGTATGTATATACTGACACTTTCTCCGTCTCCTTCTCGATCTTCTGGTAAGGCTCACCGGCACCCTTTCTGGCTCCTGCACCAGCTGCAAAGCCGTCCATTCGTTCTCTCATACTTTTCTGCCTCGAATCTTTATCGATCGTTGTACGATCTCTGCCTCTGGTAGGCGTATTCCTTCTCTTTCAAGATGGTGAACTCGAAGACTTCGGCTGCGGCCTTTGTGGTCAGCGCCTCGACGGTTGCTGCGCAGGTCTTTGCTCCTTATACTGCTAGCAATGGCATCTCTTTCTGGCAGGCCAGCTTTGGCACAACTTTGGGACAGGACACGGCACAATTTGGTCTGGCGCTCCCTCCGGCTTCTGAGACGAGCATGACGAATGAGTATATTGGTCGTCTTGTTGTGCCTAAGGTGTCGACGGGAACGTGGATGGGTTTGTCACACATGAGCGAAATGACGAATTCACTCTTACTGGTGACATGGACGAACAATGACGATATCATCACATCCTTCCGATATGCTTCTGGCTATGTCGCTCCGGATGTGTATACTGGGAACGCTACCTTGACACCCATCAGCACGAACGTGAACGACACTCACTACGAGCTCACATACCGCTGCGAGAACTGCTGGAGCTGGAATCAAGACGGTGCTGCTGGCTCGCAAGTACCCACGACTGCTTCGGGCGCAGCACAACTGATTGGCTGGGCTCAGGCCACCAACCCACCGACAAACCCTGGTGAGGTCGACTCAGGTCTGCAGCAGCACGCCAGCGATGGCATCTTTGGTGCTCTTGTTGCTTCTGCTCGTAACACGGCTTACACCAGCTGGGCAGCTTTGGCCACACCTACCGCAGCCGCGACTGCAACTCCCTATCCTGCCGGGAATGGTACAGCTGGGGCTGGTGCGACCGGTACCGGCATGCCACCCGTAGCCACAGCTTCTGCCACTGCAGCTCCTGTCGCTTGCCCAACCAACAGCACAATTGCAAGCACCACATGGGACTATAGCATCGTCGGGGCTGGAGCTGGCGGCATTCCCCTAGCTGACAAGCTCTCGGAGGATGGTGCTTCCGTTCTTCTCATTCGAACGTGGTCCACCATCCTCTGGACGCTGGGGTGGTAGCATGAGACCCGACTGGCTGAACGGCACAAATCTCACTCGCTTCGACGTACCTGGCCTCGATAACGAGATCTGGGCCGACTCAGCCGGCATCGCCTGCGAGGACTACAGCGTCATGGCTGGCTGCGTTCTGGGAGGTGGTACTGCTGTCAATGCTGGTCTGTGGTGGAGAGCTAATCCGGAGGACTTTGATTACAACTTCCCTGCTGGCTGGAAGTCGGCCGACATGCAGCCTGCTGTCGATCGTGTGTTCGAGCGTATCTCGTTCACTGACAGGCCGTCTATGGATGGTATCCTGTACAAGCCTCAAGGTTATAATATTGTCGGTGGTGCATTGGCTGCTGCTGGATGGCAAAATGTGACCGCCGATAATGTTCCGGGCAAGAAGAACATGACCTTTTCGCACCCCAACGAGATGTTTTCTGTGAGTATGCGGAACCCCAATGCCTTAGCAATTGCTAATAGAGTGTAGAACGGCGAACGCGGCGGACCTATGGCTACATACCTTGTAACTGCGAACAAGCGCAAGAACTTCAAGCTCATCATGAACACCGCTGTCAACCGTGTCGTTCGTGACGGCAGCCGCATCACTGGTGTCGATACTTCAGCCTACCTCGCTGGTGGCCAATGCGGCACGATCCACGTCACCTCAAATACTGGAAAGGTCATCCTAGCCGCTGGTGCTTTTGGCTCGCCCAAGATTCTGTTCCGCTCTGGTATCGGCCCACAGGATCAGCTCGAGATCGTGAAGACTGCCGAGGGAGCTGCTATGGTCAATTCGTCGCAGTGGATCAATCTGCCTGTTGGGTACAATCTTGATGATCATGTCAATACTGATGTGGTCATCACACATCCAAACGTGAGCTTCTACGATTTCTATGGAGCGTATGACAACCCCATCAAGGCCGATGCAACCAAGTACCTAACTAGCCGCTCTGGGATTCTTGCCCAGTCCGCTCCCAACCTTGCTGTGGTAGCGTGGGAGGAAATTGAGGGTGACGACGGCATCACTCGTCAGCTTCAGTGGACTGCTCGTGTGGAAGGTGGCGATGGTGTGACAAGTAACCAATCTATGGTCATCTCCCAGTACCTCGGCCGCGGCGCAACATCTCGCGGCAGGACTACAATCAACGGTGCTCTCGACATGAAAGTGTCGCAGGTGCCATACCTCCAGAACACACATGACCTAGCGGCTGTTAAGGCTGGTGTGCAGTCTTTGATCAGGTCACTTTCGACCGACCCGGCAATCAAGGTCATGTTCCCGTCCTATAACGAGACGATCGATGAGTGGCTCGCGGCCTACCCTTTGACGACTAGCAAGCGTAGTGCCAACCACTGGATGGGTAGCTGCAAGATCGGTCTCGATTCGGGTCTTACAAATAACGGCTCCTCGGTCGTTGATACTAATGCCAAGGTCTACGGCACAGACAATCTATTCGTGGTCGACGCCTCCATCTTCCCTGGCATGGTCTCGAATAACCCGTCAGCACTTATCGTTGCTGTTGCCGAGCGCGCTGCCGAACTGATCCCCAAAGTTGCCGTCACAAGCACATCACCCACCAACACAACCAGCTTGGTCAGCTCTTCTGCGCCATATGGGAACGGAACTTCGACAGGTGGCGCGGCGCTGCCTACTGGTACTGCTCCGTACTCTATTTTTGTTCCCACTACGACCCTCGGCACTGTCTCCGTGGCTCCAATAACTGCCTCGCTAAGTCAGTGCACAACGGTCGTAACTGTCCATCGTAGCAAGAGCTCAAGCAGCGTCATCCTACCCGCGACTTCTGTCGGAGCAGTCTTTACCTCGTCGGCGCCATACCATATCTTAAATGGCACGACCGTGGCACCCATAGGCACTGGTACTGCACCATTCACGACTTCCCTCCAGCCAACGAGCTCCGCGACAGCGGGATCTGGCGGTGGTGATGCTATCGCTGAGTGGCAGCGCTGTGGCGGCTCTGGATATACTGGTAGTACTACTTGTGCTTCGGGGCTGATCTGCAAGGCTTGGAACCCATACTAGTGAGTCTTCTCGCTCGTTTTTCGTCTGACATTTGCTGACGTGCCTCCCAGCTCTCAGTGCCTGCAACCAAGCAACACCGGTTAGATGCCCTCATGATGCTTTGTTCGATAGAGTAGCGACGATTGTCTTTCAAATTCCTGTATACTTTTGCAAACTTGCGTTCACTAGCATAGGTCATGTACCAACTATGACGGCGGAGTTGTCTTTTGTCATTGGTCTTTACCACACGTGCGCGGCCGAATGATTTCAGGCTGTTGGCCACTTCAATCGGATGATACACAGTGAAGACGAAGGCTGGTAGCAGAAGACTGCATCATTAACGGAGGTCAGAGTGTTCAGATCGCAGTCACTAGTCACTGGAATGCTCTCGATGCCAGCCGATGCAGAAGTATATATGCTCACGGGCGACACCAATATCTGCTGACGCATACACTTCAGCATTATTACTTACCCAGTCCCAGCGTCCCATTGATCAACAACCATGCAATCCAATACTCAGCGACTCACATGCTGTCTGTGTGGAGACCAGCCCTCGACCACGCACACCGTGGTGTTTAACGATATCGTATGCAAACCATGCATCCAGGACTTCTTCGCACATTCCATCATCAACGAGTCGAACTTTCCTCCGAAGTGGGCAGGCAAGGAGCTAGATCCGCGGAAGTATCAACATGTACTCACACCGGACTTCCTGAAGCAATTCGATACCAAGACTAGAGAGTGGCGATGCCCGGAACAACAACGCATATACTGTGAGTGTACAGATCCCCCACGTCGACCGGAACCATGCGGCGCGTTTCTTGGGCAGTGGGAGAATACCAAGAAGTGTCGGCGTTGTGAGAAGTGCATGTGGTACACATGTCTGCGTTGTCGCAGTACATTCTCGACACCCGCTGCCGAAGGGAAGTCAGCCAGCATCGAGCACGACTGCGATCCAGATGTTGAGAGGCAGATCCGAGAGCAAGCCTTCGAGGGTCTTGTGAGGGGCAAACATTACCAAGACTGCCCGAAACCAGTTTGCCAGAAGCGTATCGAGCTTGCCGAGGCCTGCAACCATGTCACCTGTATATGCGGCACGCAGTTCTGTTACGTCTGTGGTCAGCGTGCCAGAAGCGGCCAGAACCACTGGGCACGGGGTGGTTGTCCCATGTATGGGCAGCCTGGAGAAGGTGTATACAGTAGTGATCACCATGAGGGAGGAGAGCAAGAGGATGATGGTGTACAGTATCAGATGGAGGCTCCACGCAGGGCGGCGTTCGCGGGCTCCATTTTTGCGAGACCAATGCCTCCCTCGTTTGGGTATCACCAGCATTCAACAACGAGTCTTAGAGGAGAGACGGGCATAGGTGACAATCGACACCAGAATCTATTCGGTGTAAGAGAAATGCCGGGTCCGATGCGCCTGTTCGCCGATCAAACTCGTGGCCGGCCTGAGATGCACTCGCTCCATCGCTCGCACAGGTCGAGGTCAATAGAAGGGATCTACCATGACCGTGCGGTGGAGGCAGGGCTCGCTAGCTCATCACACAGTGGACCCGAGATATCGTTGCCATCTAGTGCATTCGGCATTCCGTACGTGCAGGCTGCACATCTGCTGCTTGGTCATGGGCAGGCTTTCGGGGTACCAGGCTTACCACACATGATGGGAGGCTCCTCAAACCACGGCAGCAGCAGTAACATGCCAAGTCTACCACCTATGTGGGCCGATGCGAGCATGCAAGAGCGAGTTCCGCCTTTAACACAAAGAGGTCCATCCAATGCTCCGTTCCTCGGCTATAATCGAACCCAACCACTTGTGCGAGAAGAGCGATGGGTCGGAGCTGAAGAAGCTGCCAGTACCGCTGTTGGGGATGCTCCAGAATCTTTCCGCGGCAGATCCGAGGACAGGACCAGGCGTCACAACCATCACCATGGTAGGCGGAGAAGGCATGGTGGTCATGGACAACAGTGAAGTCGTTGAGCATATCTGGTCCGTTCTGAGCGAGGGAACAACAGGGCCGCCTGAAGAATTATGTCCGTTGCTGCTTCGTATCTAGTATCCCGTACGTAGCTCTGGTGAGAGGTTAATGGGTTCGATCAAGTCGATGCCAAAGATGATGTTGTTCTCGCAACCAACGACAAAGCTATGTCGTGTGACGGCTTCGGCCGTTCCGCGGTGGAGTTCCATGTCAGCCACGATGACGCGCGCCACAGTAGAGGCCTCGATCGAGACGCTCCGATCGTTGAGGATGCAAGACAGGCCGTTTCAAAAACCAGGAAGTCAGATTCCCTGATTGTTGGCCCCAGCGGTTCGCATAGAAAGGCTGGGTGCAAGCTGTCGCTGGTAGGCTCTACCAATTCCCTTCCTACACCTGCTTGCTACCAATTTTCATAATGTCTTCCAAAGCCACACCGTCCGCCGAGAAGGCAAAGACTCCAGCGGAAACAGCCAAGCCATATGGGACTGCTGCGAAGGCTACGGCTTCAAAGGCCGCGAGTAAGGCTGTGACGACCAACCCGGACTCTTCTGCTACAGAGGTGGCGCAGCAGGACACCATCAAAGCGATCGAGAAGCTTGAGATCCGGACGAAGGCTGTGTATGTATGCTGCGATAAGCGAGGCGAGACAGTCCGCTAACTGCAGAAGCAACGCCAACAATATCGCTCGCGTGGCAAACAGCCAATTGACCGCCAACGACGAGAAGCTCCATCCTTTCATGTCGCTAAAGACCGGCAAGCCGATTGAGAAGTTTCCTGCAACTTCAAAAGAAATCGCGAAGCTTGGATGTACGTACTCGCGCACCTGATATGGTTTTAACAAGACTGATGGCCGTAGTGACGACTCTTGACTCGATTCTGAACTCTTTGGATGGTGATCGTTCAGGGAACGAAGAGGCGAAGAGAGAAAAACTGAGGCTGCAAATTGGTCTGAAGCCGAATCCAGCTTGAGCTTATGGATGTTACGACAGTATATGTATAGACATGTATTCCACGAACAATGATACTACTTCTGCGGATGAAGCGAACCACGATTGACTCGCAAGTTCGCAAGGTCGAGTCCAACGCCTTGTTTGGGGCTGAGCTGCAAAGCTGTATCATGACAGCCAATAGATGATTTTGTGACTGCATACATCCCGTGTGAAGGTGGTGGGATCAGGCTACGTCACAGCCTTACTTCTAGGTCGCGATGGCCGATGAGTTTAATTCTCTTTCGTGTCATCGCAGCCTTACGAGCAGAAATATACAGCTCCAGTCTTACCCACCAAGGTCTCGGGAGCGACACGACGCTATGCAGATGACGATCAACATGTTGGCTGCGTGCTTGACGATCTTTCTATTGGCCTCGATCACACACGCTTTCGAGACGAACTGCACATTACCCACCGAAAGAACCGCCTACGTTTCTTCTCCCAATGTCAGAGGTACGACCGACATCTTATGGACATGTCTGGCGACAATCTTCGCATGCACCTACACTGTATTGCATCTCAACGGCCCCGAACAGCGGCTGGGGCGCGATCCAGGATGGAAGGGTGATCTGAAGTGGCAGCTCGGGGGTCTATGGACGAGTCTGAAACGGGCTATCACAACCATCATCGTCCCAGAGTTAACACTGATGTTATCATTTGGTCAAACACTAAGTGCTCGAAAGCACCTTCGCTTGGTCCAGGCGAAAGACTCCGTTGCGACAAAAAGTGGACACTCTCTCATCTCTTCTATGCTGATATGGTTGGCTTTGCGCTGCTCTACCATGACGAAATGGGCGACGAACAGGTATGGCATCTGACCAGCCAGAATCTCATCGCGCTCTGCGAGAGTGGAGAGGTTGATCCTAAGGCTTTGATCAGCGCGGATGATTTGAACGATAAGTCGAAAAGCGACGTAGTGGGCAAGAGTCTCGCTGCTTTCCAGATCGGATATTTCCTGGTCGTCGTGCTTGAGCGAGTAGCGGCCGGTTTGACCATCAGCCAGCTTGAATTGGGCGTATGTGGCTTCGTCGTATGCTCAATTGCGATTTACGCAGCTTGGTTTCACAAGCCGAAATCCGTGCAAACAGTCATGGTACTCAAGCGGTACGATGACCGCATACCTGGTGAGGTGATGAAAGTGATCGAGGACACAAGCCACGCACCAGATGACTGGTCGGGTACACGGGTTTCACCTGGGACCAGAATCAGAAACCATGCCGATCACATCGACTCTGCTGCTGGATCAATACATCCCCTGTCTCTGGCCGCTATCGCACTAAGGGGGGTACATCTAGCAGGCTGGCGTTTCAGCTTTCCATCTGTAATCGATCAATGGATTTGGCGCGGAACTTCCATCACCTCCACTGCGGCCGTGCCCCTAGCATTGACTGCCTCGTACTTTTTCCACAGGGGAAAATATCCTACGCTTCATGTGATCAGTGATGTGATAATCCTGGTATTTGGCATAATGTACGTATTGTCCCGACTTGCCCTCATGGTTGAGATGTTCCGCGGCCTCTTCTACCTCCCACCAGATGCGTTCAAAGCAACAAGCTGGGCCACGAGCATCCCGCATATTGGATAGCACGCCCCTTAAATGTTTCAGGGACCGGATAGCCTTGCTGAACGATCACCATACCGGCTTTCTTCTCCCGACGCAGTCCGACAATGTGGTGGATATCCGGCAACTTTCAGAAGCAGATAACTGCGTACCAATCAGCAGCAAAGTGCTCACCAGAGGCAATTAACATCCCTTCTTCGCCTCCCTGGCCTGTAGGCAGCTGGATGAGAGGCAGCCCACACGACGAGCGAGGCCACAGGCACTCAATGTATCGACCAGATTTAATTCCGAGTATCCGACGGGTCTTCTATAGAATTATCAGGTTCATATCATTCCAAATACAAGCATCATTTCCCGACCGGTTCACGCCACGATAAGCAGCTCTCATGCTTCAGCAGTCGTTCTCACATGTCGGTTTGCCATAACACCATGCTAACATCAGATCATCACACCCAGAAAAGTGACATCTCCATTCCCATCCTCTTATCATGCCACTCCTAATCCTCCCTCCCGCCTGTACAGACCCCATTAACCCCACTGCTTCGCCTCCATTCCATCCGGCGGACTCGTCTCCACCTTACCCTTCGACACCTCCTCCCAATTCGTACTCAAAGCCGTCCCATTACTCTCCTGATAGGACTTCGTCATCGCTCTCCTAACCTCGGGACTAGCATCCTTGAAGAGCTTCTTAAAAAAATGATTCGCTTCGTCTCCGCCTTCGTAATCGTCGTCGTTTTCTAACGAGCCGGCTTTGGCGTCTGGGTTGTGCAGGGCGGCGGTGGCGTCGGCTGTGACTTTGTCCCAGTTCTTTGGGCCGGACTTGGAGGAGGTGGGATAGACGGGTCCGTTGAGGGCGGCTGCTTTGGCTGTTGCGTCTGTTGTGGATGTGGAGGTTGTCTTGTCGTCGACTGGGGTGTCGGATTCGAGGGCCCTCCACTTCAAGCCTTGGGTCTTCTTTACCAAGGTGATCTCAATTTTGGTCGATAAGACACGGGAAGTAGACTGTTCTGGGTCGATATCGTCAAAGAGAGGCTCAAGCGTGTAGTCGTAGGACGAGCCGGTGGCAAGAGGGAAGCTGATGCTTAGTGACCGAGCTGTAATGTCAATCTGGGCTTTGTCCTTCGGTACTCCTTTGGCCAGTAATGTAAAGTAGACGTTCTGATTGTTCTGGTACCAATCGTGCCGGATCTTGTCGGCTGACGTCTGTTGAGGCTGCGAAGGCGTAGTAGCAGCTTCCGTACTGGCCACACCATTCGCAGCTGTCTGCGTCTTTGCCTCTATACCGAACTTCACCTCTCCGGCCTTCCCACTCTCCTCCACCTCAGGTACCTCCTCAATCGTACACTGCTTCTTGCTCTCCTCCAACCCTTCCTTCGCCAAAGTCATCTTACACTTGTTAATCCACATCTCCAAGCCCTTGAACTTCTCATCCATCCTCTTGACCACTCCGAGCACGAACTCCGCATCCCCATACTTCTCAAGGCTGTACAACGCCACCCCTCGCCGGAACTGCGCTTCGATGATCTGTTCACGCTTCGCTCGCTTACGGGCCTCGAGTACTGCACGGTTGGCATCTGCGAGGGCTGAAGGGTAGTTCTTGTGGCGTTGGTAGGCGGTGGAGCGTTGGATGAGATAGAGGGGCGATGTGGGTGACTGGACGAGGGCTTTTGTGTAGTATGTGATCGCCTCTTCATAGTTGCTTGCCGCCAGTGCTTTCTTGCCTAGGTCAGCCTGGTCCATAGCTGTAGTTGAGTTCTGATATTGCAGGGTTTTTAGTGCGTGGCTATGGATTGAGCCTTGGAGACATCTGTATAGTCAGTGAAGTTTGCTTCGGAAGGTGAAGTGGTTGCAAAGGTAGACAGATACAAGGCCAAAGGATTTATATATGGTCAAGCTCAAGACATTACCGCCTCTAAGGCAACACTTTGGCCCTCAATGTGGGGTGCATCACTAGCGCAGGCACATGTCAAACTTCCATTCACTTTCACTTCGACATGACTCTCACAAACACTCCTTGGCACTGGATGAGACTCCACCATGTCTCGCATGCCCATTCGTACCTTCCTAGTCCTAGCAAAACGCCATCTCCAGCAAAACATCCACAATCGAACAGGCTCAGCATCTTTCGTTCTCGGCAATGAGTCCGCCGATCTCGATTCAATCACCTGTGCGTTAGTATATGGCTATATCCAATCCAGTAGACCCGAAGCAAGAAGAAAGAACAGTCTCGTGATTCCTGTGGTCAACATACCGGCTGCAGATCTACCACTTCGACCGGAATTGACTGCACTGCTTCGCCACGCAGATGTCAAATCCGAGGATCTGGTTACCCTGGATGACCTCAAACCTTTGCCACTACCTTTGGACCATACAAACTGGACGCTGGTTGATCACAATGCCATGACCGGTGCTCTAGCCGAGCACTACAGCAAGTCTATAACAGGCGTAATCGACCACCACAATGATGAGAAGGCCATCCCTTTTTCTGCGGACCCACGCATCATACAGAAATGCGGCTCCTGCTCCAGCCTCGTGACAAACTATCTCCGCACCACATGGGAAGACCTAAGCTCCTCGAGTAGCACAGTAGGAGCAGCAAACGCCCAGAGCAGCGACGGCCTCACAGACGACTTCGCATACACCACCGGCTGGGACGCCCGAGTAGCCAAACTTGCTCTTGGCAGTATACTAATCGACACCTTCAACCTTACCGACGAAAGCAAAGTTACAGAGGACGATAAGAATGCTGTCCGGTATCTGGAGGCGAAAATCAACGCTTCGATGAGGTTTGGGAAGGATTATGATCGAGAGAAGTTCTTCGAGGAGATCAATGCTGCGAAAGTTGATCTTGAAAGTTTGTGTGTGGAGGATGTGTTGAGGAAGGATTATAAGCAGTGGAAAGAAGGCAATCTGACGTTGGGGATCAGTAGTGTCATTAAGCCTGTTGAGTGGCTTCAGCAGAAGGCAGGGAACGAGAAGTTCTCGCAAGTTCTGGAGGACTTTGCGAAGGATCGTGGGCTTGATCTTTTTGCTGTTATGACTGCTTACACAGCTGAATCCGGGAAGTTCGCTAGACAGATGATACTGTCAGCCACATCCGACAACGAAAAGGCAACAGGAGTAGTGAACGATTTCTCCATGGAGGCTGGTGCTGAGCTACAGCTGGGGGAATCCGAAGTACGGAGTCAGGACGATTCTAATCTTGGAGTCAAGATCTGGATACAGGGGAATGTAGCGGCTAGCAGGAAGCAGGTTGGGCCTATGCTAAGAGAGGCTATGCGATGATTGTCTCGATTGTTCGGATCTATCTGCAAACCATGCCTCGACCATGTCGCCAAGTCTATCGGCGAATGTCCAATCAGTCACGACTCCGATTGACCAACCACCGCTTAACAACAAATTCCCGAATCTTATACCTCGCCAAAAAGCATCCCACGTCCACATCATCTTCTGCACCGTCCCCACCACCACCTCCACCCCGAGCAACCTCGTCCATCTTAGGAGGCGCAGGAACATCAACATAACACAACACCAACGTCTTATGCACAGCACTCTGCACCCGATTCACACAATGCAACCACCACCAATCCTTCTCCCCCTTCAATCTCCTCGCCATCTGGCCAGCAGGCGTGCTCCAGTACCCTGCTGTATAAGATGGCATAATTACCACGGCGAATTCGGCGTGTGAGAATACCGGGCCGCGGTTGTAGAGGAGGTAGTCGCAGCCGAATTTCACTCCGGGGCGCACGCACCAGCCTAGGGTGCGGAAGTGGTGGTATACGACGTAGTTGAGGAGGAATTTGTTGTCCGGGGCCGGAACTTTGAGAGGTGGTTCTGGCTGCGTAGTTAACGGCGAGGCGTCGAAAGGGACTTTGAGGGATGTGAGTGTCGGGTCGTGGACCAGTGGCGCGGTGGCGATATTGTGGCTTACTGCGCGGGCGTGTAGGGGGTGTGAATTTATCGCTATCGTTGGGTTGAGACCAGTTGGAGAGCCTGGGGCTTGATTCGAGGATGGGAAGGTCGAATGTTTTGCGAAGAGGTCCAGAAGGCCGAGAGAGGACCGTCGAGTTTTGGATATTGGGATAGAAGGCTGGTCGGGTAGGGTTATTTCGAGGACCCCGAGGGCGTACGACAGGAAGAAGGCTTCTTCGAGCATGAGTTGGAGGTGTTCTTGGTTTTGGATCTGCTGCAAGTCATCTTGTTCCGCATCTACCATTGGTGGCCGATCCGGTATTGTTGAGTCCTTCGCCCGACCTGGGAATTCATCAAGTAGAGGCGTCTGATCTCCGTGCGTAGTAGTTGAGCCCAGTAGCTCAGCATCTGATGCCCTCTCAGTTTGCAAAGGCTCAGAATCCACCGCCTCATGAATAGACGCAGGTGGCGTTAACGTCCCGGTCCCATCATGCTCAGCTGAAGCCTTCTCACCGCCCTTCCCACCATCACTCCGAACCACATCGCCCTCCTCCACCTCCACCTCCCTCCCCTCCTCAACAGCCCTCTGCCGTTCAACCTTCTCCCTCTCCACCCTCGCCCTCTCCAACTTAAACAACTTCCTCTCCTCCCTCCGCGCCCTGGTAACCTCCTCCGCCGCCCTAACCCCACTTTTCACCCCTTCCCTCTTCGCCCTCTGAATCTCCTTTTCCCGCTCCAGCCAACTGGGTTCAGAGCGCGAAAGCGATCCCTTGCCGAAGAAGCCCATTTCCCAGAGTGCACGGACGTGGGCGGGGTTTGTGACGTGGATGGATCTGGTCTCGGGGCTGAAGTGGCCGATGTAAGGGCATTGGGGATGAGAGGATGGGGGTAAGAGAAGGTGGGAGAGGTATGTGTAGCATAGTCTTAAGAGGGAGAGGGGGTTTGAGGGGTTGAAGGCGGGGAGGGGGTAGATTTCTAATGGTAAGGGTTTGGCATGGAGTTGAGTGAAGTTGCGGTTTTTCTTGTTTGGTTTTCGAGGCGATCGTTTTGGCTTTTGTTGGTCGGCTTCTTGGGGAATTTGTGTAGTGGCGTTGCCATTGACCTTAGGTTCGACAGGTGTGGAAATATCTGGTTTGGCTTCGATGTGGCCGTTGGCTATGTTCGGATCCTGCATCGTACTGTCCATGGCTGTTTCCAGAGTCCAGTCTATTGAGTCCAGGGCTCGGGTGATGTATGGTATCGCAAATGGTTGTGGTGATAGCAGTCTTACTATTTTGATGGGTTCATGAGTCAGGATCTGGCACATGCAAGCGGCGGCAGCGGAATGTGGAGAAGCTCGAACCCAAACCTACATGCATTTGGTTGTCATCGTCGACTCGATTCGTCGTCGTTGCCTCCCACCATCCATCCTTGTTAATTGTCGTGGTGTATCTGCATCATGTCAGCAGCACGATGGCCAGTCCGGCTGTCACTACAGTTACAGACCAGATCCACAGCAAGAGGATTAGTGAGAAGAGCAGAGCAGCGAAGGTGGCTACAGAAGCCATCGCCACGATCTCGACCCTGGGCTGGCAAGCGAGAGGGAAGAGAGGATAGTAATGATGCTTTTGTACAGCGGATGCAGCAGCATAATGAGAATCGACAACAAGATGCTCAGGCACAGCAGAATGAGCAGCAACAACACCAACCTGGTCGAAATACGCAGCTCGCAGAGACGCTTGCCAACGCAGATACGTCTGATTTGGTTACCGAAGTGCATATTCCACCTGATCCACATGCTGTCCTACCACGCGATCACCCTGCGCTCTCGTTGCTTGGGAACAGTAGTCTGGTCATACAACGACAGCTCGAGATGATGAACGTCATGCTCGGCTTCGAACAGGCGAATCGCTACATCATCATGGACGGGCAAGGACAGACGATCGGCTACATAGCAGAGCAAGACCACGGTCTCGGCACGGCGATGGCTAGGCAGTTCTTCAAGACGCACCGAAGCTTCACCACACATATCTTCGACAAAGAGGAGCGGGAGGTGCTGCGGATACATCGACCGTTTGCTTATATCAATTCGAGAATACGGATTTATGACCCTGTTCCGGAGGGAGGATATCAGGGTACTGAGGGTAGCACAGCCTTACATGGGACATCCGCGAGTTCTGTCATCCAGCCAGGAGCAGAAGCGCAGGTGAGTCCGCTGAAGTTGGACGAGATGAGAATCATTGGCGAAGCACAACAACAATGGGCTCCTCTACGACGGAAATACAACCTCTTCTCCTTCCGACCGCTTGAGCCCGCCGGCGACGCCACCAGTACCACTCCACCACGGATCGAATCTGGAGAGAAAGCAACATCAGATACCATGGCATTGACAGAATCTCAAGCTCCCGAACAGGCCATAGAAGCCGGCATGGCGCAATTCGCCCACGTAAACGAACCCTTCCTATCCTGGGACTTTAACCTCCGTGACGAAGTAGGCAGCACAGTCGGCTCCGTGAACCGGAACTTCGGGGGATTCGCAAGGGAAATCTTCACCGATACGGGCGTTTATGCTTTACGAATGGATAGTGCTGCTCAATCCTCTGTACTCGAAAGTCAAGAGGGGAAGGAGGTGCAGAGGTATGATCGAGATGCTACGGCCATGACGCTTGATCAGAGAGCTGTCATGCTCGCAACTGCTGTGAGTATTGACTTCGATTACTTCTCCCGCCATTCGCACGCTGGTGGAATGGGAGGGGGTTTCATGCCCATCTTCTGGCCCATGGGTGGCGGAGGAGCAGCCGAAGGCGCTGGGGCGGCAGGAGCCGGAGCCGCAGGTGGAGTCGCTGGTGGTGCGGCCGAAGGTAGTGCGATCGCTACCGCCGAGGGTGCGGCTGGAGCTGCTGGTCGCGGACTCAGTGGTGCTGCGGGAGGTGTAGGCGAGAGTGGTGCGGTGGCTGCGGGTACGATGGCGGGGTATGAGGCTATGCAGCGGGGCGCTTATGGTGGTGGTGGGAGTAATCCTGCGAACGAGGCTGTCTTTGATCCGGATAATCAGAGTCCGCAACAACAGGCTAGTCAGGATTCGCCACCCGAGGAGAAGCCTTGGTGGGAGCAAGATAGTGGTAACGATAATGATAATGATCGATGGGGTGGCGGTGGGCCTGGGGATTCTCCGCCACCTAGTGCTGGTGGTGAAGGTGGTGGGGAGGGTGGTGGTGGCTTGTTCGACTCCTTGAGCGACTTCTTTGGAGACAGCTGAGGAGCCACGAAGTTCTTAGACCACATCACTCCGCTCAAGGCTGGAAATAGTCGACTTCTGGATACATGTACCATTACCGACGATACTTCGGAGACGAGCAAAACGACAGGGGCAACCTACGAGCCTACTCCGCATCAACCGATCTGGCATCAAAGCCCTTCAGTACCAGGAGCATCGATCGGCTGATCTCGGCCGTCGCTGAAGCCCTGCACGCTGCCAAGCAGCATGTCGCGTGGTTCATCAGCACACTGGGACATGACGTAAATGATGCGACAAACTGTGTCGTCGACATTGACCCCGGATCAATGTAGCTCCGAGACAAAGAGACGCGATGAGATAGACATTCGTCTTGTAACAACGACAGACGTCTCACGAGACCAAGACACGAAATTGTAGAGTTAGACTATTGTCCTTTGTTTGTATGAGTATGACAATACCTTTGTTCTTCACAGTATAACATATCAAACGTTCGATGCAATGGGTTGGCTACAAGAGTGATGGGCCGGAGACTTGCTAAGCAGCAGCTCGACCAGTAACAAGCAGCAAGCCAAACGAAAGGAAGATGACGGGTATCATCTGCAGCGGTAAGACGACAATCTACACCCACGCCTTCAACGGCAAGCTCACACCTGCTGCTCCTGATCCGACAGCAAGAAATGCAGCGAAGGAAAAGATCCATACCGCTCCTAGCATTGCGGCCACCTCTGCTGCACCGACACCGACCCGGAACTCGATATGGCAGGGCGTATCATACGTAAGTGCTGCGAAGTGCAGAGCCGCTGCGGCACCTCAGACCAAGACGCCCTCTGCCTCGAAGACTTCTCTGTTCAGCAGGGCGGCTAGTACTCCGGCTATGAATTACAGCAAAGCGGTGACGTCGCAGACGAAAAGCACTGTGACCGCAATTACGCCCATATTCACCTTGAGGGTTGTTGGGCCGTGAAAGTAGACAACGTGTGGATGAAGTTTGGTCTGGAGGGCGTCGGCTGGTCCGATTGTTCTCATGTTACGTTGGCACAAACTCATGTATACTAGGCAAAGACCACCATCTCTCCATCTCTTGAAGTCCCATGTCTAGTCTCGTCCTAATCGTTCTCTCCATTGATAGGCTAGAGTTCATGCAAGGGCATTGTGAGTGAGGCAAGGGTTACCGCGCTACGCGAGCACGCAATTACGAACGCCATGCACATCATGCTAAGCCAATGTAGGCCGTTGCTATACATATAGACATATGCCAAGTACTCTAATAGTTCGCCTTCTCTCAAACTGTCCCAAGCAATTTACATACTCGCTGAAATGCACTTGACTGAGAACGCTCATTCGCCGTGCTTTCGCTCTCAACGCCATAACAGATAGAACCCAAAAGTTTTTGTTCAAACTTACTCCTCAAACTCGCTCTCAGCAATAGACTCAGGAATCATACTCATCCGCTCCACCTCCGCATCCTCCCTCGCCTGCTTCTTCACCACGATCTTCCCTCGTATGCGGACATAGACCACCAGCGCAAAGCCGAAGATGAACCCCAGCGCCGCCAATACCACATTGACTGGGATCGGATTACCACCGAATGCCTCGAACGTCAATGCATCGATGACAGGCTGGAACAGATTCGTGAGGCCAGAAAGACAGATGATGGTGCCATAAATCTTGCCAAAGGTCGCGAAGCCGAAGACTTTGGTCGCATAGTCGGACATGGCCGAGTAGTACAATGGTCTGAGCAGGCAGAAGAGGACGACGTTGCTGTATGCTGCCCAGTAGAACGGTAGGGAGCCTAGCACACCGACTGCTGTGATGAGTACGACAAGGACCGCCATCAAGTTTGCCGTGCTGAGACCGTCGAGCAGGATCCCGACGACTGGTGTCGCGGCTATGCCGCCTATGGGGAGTGCGTAGTCGAAGAACGAGTTTATCTGACGGCCAGCCTTCTCGGATCCGAGCATGTACTCGTACTGCGTGCGAATGCTGGCGATGAAGAAGTTCATGCGGAGCATTTGCAGTACTGTAATCAAGCTGATGAGGATGAACCAGGGTGTCAGCATTTGCCTGTGCGCGGGCCAGCCGTGGAGCGCTCCCCAAACGCCAGACTGTATATGTCGTTCGGCCTCCTTGTGCTCACGAGCCTCTCGAAATTCGGCATCACCGACGAGGCCCTCGAGCAGTTCCAATTTCGACTCCCTGTGCTCTCGTCGCTGGGCTCTCAATTGGCGAATCTCCGAGTCGTCTAGGTCATCATCCGAGTCGTGGACATCTAGAGTCGCATCCTCGATCTTCTCGATCTTTTCTTCTAGCTGGGGTACACTTTTATAGCCGTCTGGGGTCATCAATGTGAATTGAGCGACAAATATAAGCGCTGGCACGATCAGATAAGCGAAGAAGAACTTGTCCGGGGTGAAGCTCCCGTTAGACGACTCGTAAGCCAGGCGATAGAAGAGAAAGACAGCGGCCGAAGCATCGAATGCACCTGTCACGGTAGCAACGATAGTGCCGGAGAACTTCGGGAACGCGTTGGATATGGAAAACGACGGCACGAATATGAAAGTGCCGCCCAACGCAAGGAAGATGTTGCCGATCATGTAGCCATCGAATTCTGGTATGGCAAAAGCATAGCCCATCAGAAGACTCCCAATCGCCAATGCAATGCTGCCCAGGACAGCGCATGCTCGAGGCCCATAGCGGTCGAGGATAGTACCAACAGGAAGAGCAGATACGTTGCAAGTCGTGGAAGCAATCGCAAAGAAGAAATTCAGCCTCAGGTCTTGCTCGTAGCAGACCTCAAGATTTGCTTCGAGCTCTTCGGCAGTACAGAGTTCCCGGTAGACCTTTTCGCTGATAAGTACTGGCTTGAGAGCCGCGAAACCGAAGACGATACCTGAGGCAAGCCAACATGCGAGGACTGTGAAGATAACCTGGGCTGACGCGTCGTTAGTATGACAAGCATTCGAAAGTCAATATTCAGCACATACCTAATCGCTTCGCTGTCGATACCTTGTACGCCGCCACGCCACCCTGCGGATGCGTAGCCTGCGAAGGCTGCTGCGAATGTGGAAGAGCATCATAGCTGATCACTCGACGCAACGACTTCACCGAGCCTTTGCCACGCAATGTCGGATGCAGATGTGGCGAAGGATAGCCATTCGTGATAGTGCCATAACTCTGGCCATACCCATTCGCACCGCGCGCAGGAGATAGTGCCGGCGGATACCACTCCTCTGGAAGCCTCGGCGGTTCGCGGTCAGTGCCCTCGATGGAAGTGACGCGCTGGACGAGTGACATGGGACCGTGCTGATGAGTGCGACGATCTGGTTATCCTGTTGAAGGTTGTGATGATGCAGGGTAAGAGATGATGCTGTATGGTTAGTAGCAGTGGCGAGGGAGGACGGTGTAAGATGGGCCTCGTGACGGCGAAAGAACACGTGCTGATGGATAAAATCATGCAGGTGGTGGAAACTTCCTTCGCTGCAGCGATAAGAACTTATAAACAGACACAGCAGCAGCAGTGGTAGCTTCCCTTCCTTTCCTTAACGACCACGAACCTGCTAGCTCACCTTTCACCGTCGATCCACGTATGTATCTCTGCACGAAGCTGGACGATGCGGAGGAAGAGCAAGACTCCTATCTAGAGTGCGCCTGATTTTGATTGCAGAGCTAACAAGTCCACTTTTCCATGTCGCGGCAAAAATGCACCGAGGGCGGAGGTATTGATCGTGATTGGCTCGGGGGGCGGCTGGCTCGATGCAATACCCTATCTCGTGTAGCACCAATAAGCTTACACAAGCATATGTACAAAATGATGATAACTTCACACGAGCAAGGTATGACACATGAAAGGCGTTGGCCTTCTCGACGTGCTCATAAAGTACAGGAATACCACGACTATTTGACAGACGATCTGGCGATGCTCGGATCGTGCAGTGACACATATTGATACTCGATTTATCTTGCTCGCGATCAGGTCATTCCATGATTGAAAATCCTCGAATGTCTCGTCTGGACTGTTCTGGATCCTGGCATATGGCGTCGCTAGGTGGTCCAGCGGCGGATGTTCAGGGGAGTCAACAAGCATTGGGTCCTTGCTTGCCGACCGCGCAACCTCTTCACGAGCTTCCGAGAGATAGCCCTCATTCACGCAGTGCTCACACAGCGTTGTCTCCTCGGCCTCGCTGATAGACATCGTCGGATCCCGGAGTATCAGGCAGTATTCCCTCAGTTCGACCTCAATTTGCGTCTCCCTCATCCTTAGGAGATGTGTTATCCTTTGCTCATGACGGCTTCGGTCTGCATCGGAGATCCTACTGGAAGATCAGCTGAATTACCTCATCCGAGAGGAACATATGAAGGTTGGGCGCTCTGTGATCGTGGAGTATGACATACCTTCTTCGTCCGCGCCATCGTCCAATGCCACTCCTTCAGCTGCCAACCAATCGTCGATCTCCAGAGCCCTCTGAAAACTGGCTCTCAGACGCCGGATAGCAGTAGGCTTATCGTTCTCAACTCCCTCCTCCTCAACATAATCAGCATTAAGCAGGGCGATCGTTGGCTGGAGAGGCAGACAACGGCCTAGCAGGTCAGCTGAAGTTGTGTAAGGTGTGCATGGCAGATACACGAAAGTGTCCGGTCTGGTTACATTCTCTTCCGCAGTAGGGAAACGTATAGCCTCGGCCCCATGTGCCATCAGCATCTCCTGTTCTAATTCGGTCCAGTCGCGCTCGAGTTCCTGCACAAAGGCCCTTGGCGTGGTTTGCGACCATTCGGAGACTGTGCAAAGTCAGTGCCAGTCTACTCCGCCACCATGCCAAACCAAAGGTCACTTACCCAATGAGAAGACGTCCAAGAAATACACAAGCTGCTGGAGCAAGCGTCTTGTTGCATTTAGTCCATATTTGAATTCTCTGACCGGATCCACAACAGGGTTACTGCTGAGCCCGAGACAGAAAGCTTGCCCAATCTGCCAACCGCCGGGTAGCTCGTGCTGTCGGAGGACGTCGACCACGTATTGTCTGCTCGGATCGCTCACCCACTCCTCTCTAATGCGGGCATATCGGCGACTTGCTTTCTCCACGTTCAGGAATGTTGGATCTGCTTCGCTGCGAAGCGAAAGGCGGCGGAATGTCTCGACTGGCCATTTTGCAAGGCCCTTGCGCCGTGCGACTATGTTGTAAGCATGATCTGGGGATATTTGGCCTTCGCCTTCCAAGACAACCCTCTCAGCCGGAGCTCGTGTCAGAGCGGGTAGGCCCAGCTTCCGATGAGACATGACGAGCAAGGCACTCGTCTCAAGAAGCTTCGTAGGCGAGCTCGAAAGGTAGTTCGTACCATCACTACGCCATCACTCTTGTGGCTACTGAGCTGGAAACGGACACACTGTTTGGGCTAGCCCGACATTACGACCCGAGCACAAGGAGCGAACGCATTCTGGCTTGTGGTCAGCATTCCTTTCAGGCAAGACAAAGCGCTGCAGACTGGCAAAGCGCAGACCGGCGGCATGTTTTGTGGTGGTCTGCTTGGTATTGCGACCATCGCATATCGCTGCGACATTCCCACGGTCTCTGCAGTGCCGCTGTAGATGTTGATCAGATTGCAGGACGACTTCCAAAGGCTTCGCCATCTGAGCATGCTTAAGATCTGCTACTCGTATGATATCCTCCCGGATACTCTTGCTATGCCGGGAGCAAGACCATGGGTCACCATTCACATCAGCAGGAAGGATGTAATCATCGGATTGGTAGTTTGCGAGTTATCAAGCTGTGGGAAGACTGCACCACACAGGGGACGCAAACAAAGCTTTGCGATCCGATACGCTCTTCGGACTGCGGTGTTTCAAGCGTCTTGATATCATAGGCACCTAGCACTTGTTGCTCGAGTGGAGACCAATCTCGGTCCCACTCCTGCACGAACGACTCGATCGGCGTCTTGCTCTCGATCGCAACTGCACCATATTAGCCTTGCAGAATGGTTTACTGCTTGAGATTGCACTTACGCACAGCAATGGTGTCGAGATGGTAGACGAGCTGCGTGACGTAGTGGTTGCTGGCATTGAACTTCCCATTCTCGCCGTGACTGAAGTCTCGTTCTGCAGACACGAAGCTGAACTCGGGAAGGCCTAGCATGTAAGCGTCCTTGATCTGCGACTGTTGTGCATACTGCTGGATGGCCCATGCAACCTTCTTTCGCTCGGACTGCATCATCCATCTCTCGCGCGCGCGCACGATCCTAGGCCATACTTTGTCGGGGTCCTGTAACGCAATTAGCGGGAAGCCCATCTCTGTCGTGTTGCTGGACTCCGCCAAGAGCACTTACAGGTACGTAGGATCTGCTTTGCTGCGGAGCGACAGTCGTCGAAACGTTTCAACCGGCCACTCCGCAAGACCCTTCAAACGTGCGACCTTGTTGTACATGCGGTCGGGAGAGATGAGAGCATCGTCGTTCCTGATGGAAGAAAGAAGACTGCGCAGGGTAGCCGCTTTCGCTGGCTCTGAAAAGAGGAAACAAAGCGAGGCCAGCAGAACACGCCAGAGAGTCGTATACCCGCCAAAACTACAGAGCCCGGCATCCGGTAACTCGACGAAGATTGTACTTGCGTATCCCTGTGTGAGTTATGGCGAGCAATGGATACTACCGCACGAAACATAGTGAGCTGCTGCGTATACTACGTCCGAGAGGTAGGTGAAGGGGACGTGTCCGCTAGATGCGGGTCCAGTATTCAAACCACGCGGCCTACATATTCGAAATCGTCTCAAAATTTGCTTGAAATGGAACCATCGATGCCGCGTACTCGGCTCTCACAATTTGGCTCGAGACACCTCTCATGCCACACAAGACAGTACTGTCGCTCGCCCATATCCTCCAGGTGTATGGGGAGTCGACTAATGTTGCTGCTATGCTCAATCTATCTACCCGCCTTGAATTTCTGCCCACTGCGTCGTGGCCACTCCATGTATGTTTCATGCTCACAAAACCAGCAGACGCTGCGTTCGAGCGTCGTGAGAGGCTTCTGCGGATCCCTCACAATCAAGGACCAGTATTTGGCGACTTCAATCTCGATGTGCGTGGCTTGATAATCACGAAGATGTCGAAGCCTCTCCTGATCGATCCAGTGCTCGCGCTCAAGCCTCTCCAGTCGTACTCGCTCCGCTGTAGGTCTTGTCGCCCACTGGATAGCTAAAGGAGCATTGTGAGACTGAGATGAGTTCTTCAGAGCGTTTATGTCCAATTCACAGCCTGCGACATTGCGCGTGAGACTCTCGAACAAGGTGTCGAGAGCAGACCCGCGCACAGCTGGTTTGGCGTCCTTTGCTTCTTTATAAGGAGCATCGATCCAGATGATGCTCGGCTGTAGTGTCGGACAGCGTGCTAGCAGGCCATGACGGACCCACATGGGCAGATGCGGCAAGAAACAAAAGCTGCCAAGACCCGCGAGCTCCTCGGCCACGGGTGGGTGTGTCAACCCTACCCCGTATGCACAGAGCACGTCACGCTTGAGCGAAGTCCATGTCCGGTTTTCCTGGACATAGGAGGGTATCTGCTTGCAGCTGGCTTGGGCGACTGAAGTCATGTTAGTCTGGATTTGAGCTAATACTGCTGTGTCAACATACTTAGCGACACTGTATCGATGAACCAAACAAACTGTCGGATCTGATGAGGAGCGCTTCCGTCCTTGTCGTTGAAACGATCCTCCACAGGCACAAAGGCGTTCAAAGCTAGACCTAGGAAGAATGCATTGTTCACTTGCCATCCTCCCTCGGGAGCAAGAGTCCTAATGGTCGTTGCGACTTTCTGTCGCTCTGGATGTCGAATCCATTGTTCTCGGGACCGGACTATCTGTAGGGAGGATCAGTCCGAACACAATGGTGCCCCGCAAATGTGTGTACATCGTAGCGACTTACCATGGGCCAGACCATTTCAGCTGCCATACTAAGAGCCATGATCAGATCATGACCGAAAGGATATTCAGCTATACTCACTAGGTAGGGTCGGCCTGCCCACGGAGGGAAAAGCGCCGAAAGATCTTGACTGGCCATTGCTTCAGGCCCATGTTACGAGCAATTTGGTTGTACTTGTAGTCTGGGGAGGTCGGCTCGTCTTTGAAGGCTGGTAAGGGGTGCCGGATTACTTGGGGGGAGAGAGCATGTTTGGCATCGGTGCTCTGGTCCCTCGCTTTCTTGCGCCGCGGAAGCGTAGACAGACTTAGTCGTTTCTCTCTCATGATCGACCTGGTATCTCAAGTAATCGGGGTCGTGGGATAGTGAACACTTGTGCCTGACCTAACGCTTGTCGACCTGGAACAAAGGACATACCCAGCTGTAGCAGCGCTGTCCGCATGCGGTGGCACAAAGGAACACGGTTCCACAGGACTTGTCCGACCTGCTTCGGTAGCATGGTAGATGAAGCATCATGGAGGAACAACATGATGCTTGGAAGTACGTGCCACTTACCTTGCCTCCAAAGACCACCAGCCAGTACGCAAGTGCTGGTACTCATCGCCTATGTCCCATACCTACTGGTATTGGAAGTAAAGTTTGCGGCCAGCCGCATGAGGAGCGCAGTGTCCGTTGACAAAGAAGAACCCGATCTAGCCGATGAATCTCTTCAAGGCACGATGTACCCTGAAGCAGGAGACTCGTGCTCGGGTGCTTCAGTCGTTGTCGTCTGTCTTCGACACAGGGTATGCGCTCTTGCCATCCCTTGACCGTCCAACACTGTGCTCAAAGGACCTGTCGCGACAGCCGGAGTGGTTCCCAGCAACTCGATGTTGAGGTTGCTATACTCCGTGACCAAACCCTCACCAGTCGAGCAGCAGCGGGTCTCGGGGTCACACAGCCATGCACAAAGCACTCCCGTTTTTCGGATGGCATTTGATGAAGAACGATCGTAAAGTACGACCTTGTCATGGCATGGGCAGAGGTGCGATCGCTGAATCGTGCATTTGGCCTTGAACCTCTTTCTCGCTTCCCGGAAAGCCTCTTTCCTTTCTCGGACGACTCGATGGTCACACCACCAAGCCCAATTTTATGATTGCGCGAGCTCTACTTCGTTCTGCTGCCAATGCTGCAGCACTCTGCCGCTGAGACACATGTAGGTTCGCTTGCAAGCGTAATGATTATCATTGTTGCAGGGAGGCAATAGCAAGAGATCGTTCAACTGGCCCTGTCTTCATCGATGTAGTGTACTCGCTGCCTCGTCAGAAGCATGCCTGAGCAGCCTCATGCCGCGAGAACGCCTCTGCGCCACCATGCGGGCCAACAATAATTCACGGAGACCTCTCCTCATGAGATCCCGAAGCCTGATAAGGCTCAACTGTCCCCATCAGAACCATTACCACGTATTTCGACCCTCTGATCTGGTCACGTCGGTGCATAACGTATTCTGTCAGCACCAACTCATACAACTGGGAACACGGCGACATATACCACCGAAAGCATGGCCTCGATCTCATATACTGCCCTCAACACTGAGATGGGCTATAGCCCGAATATCTCTCAGAAAGCTTCCCGACACTCATTACGCAGTGTCAATGGCACTGACTTCCCATACGATAGAGCATTATGGACGAGAAACCTCTCAGTCATTGCTCTATGCTGCTGTTGGGCTATAGGAGCCGCTATTACGGGTTTCGGCGTATGGGTGCTCTACCTAGTACACACTGGCGAAGCAGCAAACGATATCTGGATGCTGCCACATATGGCTGCCGAAAGTATACCACTCGGTGTCAACATTCTGGTCACCTTGGTCGTGGAGACGACAGGCTATATTCATACCGCCTCGCTCCGCTGGGCCTTGCAGCGCGAAGGTAGACTGAACTTCAACTCGAACTTACGTCTGCTGTCTTGCTCGAGGAAGTCTGCGCCTAATTGATGGTACTCCAACCTCCTCGTGCTGATGTTCATCACCATGGCATACGCCTCATTGTCACTGACCTTCTGGCACCGCAATCACTCCACTACAGTCAGCGACGTCTTTGATAGTGACGCCGATAATGTCTCCGTCAAAGCCATACCTATACTGTTTCTCGGTTCATACTTCCTCGGACTAGCGGCCATGAGTACGTGGGCATTATGCGCCACCAAGATACCGTCCTGGAGCTCAAGCCCTCTCGATACTGCACTTGCCGCTATGCGAGCCGGCAACATCGCACCACAAGGCTTTCGCTGCATGCGAAGTGTGCACGACCAGCGTCAACCATCCGTACCCGCATACCCTCGAACCAAACAGAAAGGAGCATGGAGCGCACACTGGGAGGTACTATGGGTGATACTGTTGCTCTGGATCCTGGTCATACTTTGCTTCATGTGGGCAGCCGTGGTCGGCCATCTCTTCGCTCTCGTCAACCCGGAAGTTGCAGGTTTTGGTGGCTGGCCTCTGGTGCCGAACAGAAATTCCTCGCAGCTGTCTATCACACCGTCTTTCTCGAATTCATACGCCAACTCACTAGAGATCATCCTCTTGTATGCGCTCGTGCAAGGTCCTCTGACATTCGGCCTACATTGCGCAGAACTGCAAATGAATCTGGCTCGTGACGAGGCGTTTTGGCGCAAGGCTTCCAGTAAGAAAGGATGTAAGCTCCAGGACTACGACTCTGTCAAGACAGCCTTCACGAGCTGGCAGTCTCTCTGTCTCTCCGCATTCAAGCCGGTGGTACACTGGGTCTTCGGTCTCTCAGTGCAGATCTACAATGGCAAGATCTTCTTCGGACCAGCTCAGATAGTGTATCTGGCTCTTTTGGCCACCATTTGTGCAACGTAAGTGACGTGGGTTAGCATGCGACGGCCCAAAGGACCGCAGCCCGCGACCTTTGGACACCTGTAAGTGATTCGTGATGGTGGTTCGGGGAGTGTCTCGCACAGCTGCTGATCCGTAAACTACAGTCAAACGATCGTCGATCTTGTCGACGACTGGTCGGCGACACTACACTGGGGTCACAAGAACGATGGGTATCAAGCTGCTCATGCTGGTACATCACAATTCCCGCTGCCAGACGTGAAGCCAGTACCGTGCTGTGGTTGATGACAGGTACAAGAGGTGTGAGCTCGTAGAGAGCCCTCTCCTTTTCGGATACACGCACATGTCCGTCCATGATCCACAGATATACGTACCTCACACACGCGTCCATAGATGATGAACAGCGGCACTGGATCTTCGTGCGCATTCGCGCATCTTTTGCATCGCTCTGGTTGCGCCAGGATTGGCCGTCAAACTCGTCTACATCGGTCAGCATCCGACAGACTCCCGCCCGCAGGCTTTGCACCAAACGAGTTGCATGTCTCAAACACTCGTGGCATTTGGATTGACTGTCTCGCGCCCGCAAGTCCTTGAAACTTTCCCCATCCGTGTCCAATCTGACAGACTATCGAGCGTACGCCCAACGGTCAAGTGCACGATTCTGGCAAAACGAGATCCATAGCTTCTAGGTCTTGACATTTCGCATGTTTCGCAGTAGTGGTGTGGCCTTCCAGATACGATGTCGTGGAAAGCTACCGTCACAACGGAAAGAAGCTCACCACCCTAGCGGTACGGAGCGCTGTGTGACATCGATCTTCGGGTCCTCCAAATAGATATCTGTACGACATGCCCTGACCCGAAGATCTGTTGATATGCAGGCTTGTGGCCAACCTTGTGCGATGCGCCCTATCCCGAGTCGTGTAAAAACTGGTGGCAGGAGGAGCAAGAGGCTTAAATGTAGTTTTAGTTTGTGGCGTTCGAGAGATGCCGCATTCGTCGTAACCGGCAACCGAATTGGGTTGTGTGTACCGATTGCGTCGGAATCTCGTTGTCCTGCCATGGGTCATCTTATTAAGGAGCTATCTTGACGGCAGATAGGGCCGGGCGCCATACTGGTGATGACTGAGGACGAATACAGCGGTCGCTATCTGATGCTCGAAGGCATCTTATTCATGACGAGATATAAGTGGTGGATTCCACAGCACAATCGCCAATTTGCACTACTCTCCCGCACTGGCAATTGAGGCTTCGGAATGGGAGCCATGACGGCAAGCCAACTTCACTCATCCATTCGCCAAATCTTAAACCAAGGCTTCATGCGACATAATTGGGATAATCGGATCATCTGGGGATGTCAGTTCGGAAGGATCACGATGCATGACGTTGTCCACATCTCTGCGAGAACTGGTCGTTATATGATCCGAGAGAACTCCCTATGTCTGTGCGATGGTGGTTTACGTCTGATGTCTGGCCGCTGGCGCTTCTGGCGACGTCCAATGTCCTCACATATAGCCCAGGTACTCCGCGCTTGCAATCTCGTCTCCATACCAAACCGGCTTCGTATCTCGCAATTGCTCACGCCAATTGACATCATCCTGTCGTTACATTGAAAAGGTGCACATGATTACACATGCTTAGCAACGACTCTCCTCCACTTCCCTTCGTCTTCGGCCTGCAACCACAGCTCCATCGTCGGGCTAGCTCTCAACCAGCGGCGATGTACTAGGACGACACGAAGCCAAGCACAACGTTTGTAAGTTCTCCAGCTCGTGATTCGCTCCGTCGCCTCGGAGCTGAAGGAAAACTGTAAACGGCTCAGTCACTAGCCTTGCCGCTGCATACCATCGCAGCATGCCATGCGAGAGCACGCCGATCTGTTGATAGAAATAGCAGATACGAAGAGCTTCGCAAACAAATGCCACTCGTGATGCGTCCGTAGTGACCATGATCGTGAGTATATTATTGACTGACCACACCAATAGTGATGTACTTGGCCAGAGATTACAGCCCAGATCCACGACCGTGCATGCAGAAGCGTGAAAGCTGAACGATTCTCCACAACTTGCCGGAGCGGCCGCCAAACCATTGCAACTGTCGAAACGTGGGCCACGCAGTTGAGTTTGGTGGTAGGTCCTGGACGTCGTAGTCTTCTTTGCGCGGCTTCATCACCATCAATTACTTTCCTTATCAGCCATCTCTGCCAACATTTGCGACAATCTGCCACTCTGGATGAATACTGTATACATACTGTACTACCGACAATCTGATCAACGACAGGGGTCATCGATCTACTCTCAAAGACCTAACCCCGCCCTGCAGAACTTGAGCCCCCTGCGTGTCTTGCAGGTCTATCTTGCAGGTCTATCTTGCGCAAGCTTTGGTAAAATCGACATCTGGAACTGGGCAGCTCGCGGCTGGCTCGTATCTACAGTACCTCTACATCCGCAACGTGGCTGAGGCATTATCGTTCGACCACATCTCACCTTCCTTCCTAACGACTACCATCGACCAGGACATAGCGTTGCACACATACATACCGACGAAAAAAATCGGATTCGGCACACCGAGCCGTTTCTGAGACACTGGAACGTTACAATGTCAGCAGTAATCATGCACCCGCACCGCAAACCGCTTCCGAGCTATGCTGGATCGTCAGCAATGGCTAGTCAATCTCAAGCAGGGTATCCAAGGACCTCTTCTGGTCTGACAGGCCCACCGGCATCACAGTACAACATGGCACAACAACAGCAGCAGCAGTACAGCCAACACACTCGGCGCACACCCTCCAATGCCACCTCGTCCTCGTCGACCTCCACCAACACTGGCCTTCAACGAGCACCAACGAATTCGGCGTACAGCACAAGCTCCGCTCCTCGTCGGTCTACCTCGTCCCGCAGCACCGGCTCGTCCTCACCGACCTCCTACGTCGCATTGATGCGCAAGCAGAAAGCAACTGTATGGTGTGACCGAGCTCAACATGAAGACCCACGAATTCTCGCAGCACAACGAGCGGCAAAGATGAGAGCAGCAATGGAGGTAGCAGGAGGACATCACAACACAGCATCGAGCATGCGGACGAGCACCAGCAGCTCAGGCATGGTCGGCGGCGTGAGGAGCAAGATCAGACATCATGGCGCCCCCAAGGCAAGCACATATACCGGTGGACCGAATCTTGGTGGCGTGGGAGTGCCGATGCGGCTGAGCGCTAGTGAAGTAGATGAGGGTGATAGCGATGAGGAAGGCAATGCTGCCCAGAACAACCGCTACCACTCCCGGACAGGTAGTGGACGATCGAGCTTGGGAAGTGGTAATCGTGGACAGCACGGCACAATGCATTCTGGACGAGGCTACAGTAATACTTCCACTCCCTCGAACGGCCACAGCCCAGTTGAGAGCATGGGCGACCTGGCAGAAGAAGACACGCCCATGCCGCCTGATCAATACGGAGAGCAGGGTGACTACTTCCAGCAATCAGGCGGGCAAGGCGGTAGTGGTAGCAGTGGCGAAGAAGCAGGATTTGGTGGCGTCACCGGACTACCCTACCGAACGGAGACTCGTGAGCAGCCGCCGAACAAGAAGACCTCGGATGAGCTGCAGCGACGAGGCAGTGTGGACGACAGGACCATGACTATGAGTGCTGGTCGGCTTTTCGTGGCGAACCCTGATTTGAGCGATTGAGGTGTGAGTGAACAGGACGGCTTTGAGATATACTAGCCGGCAGGCAATCGACAGCGAGAGGCTTGGGTTTGCATGGTCTTTTGTTAGCGTCAATCTTCGACTGGATACCAATGCATAGGGAGGAGGACCGGACATTATAGCAGGATCAGGTGGTCTAGGTAATTGCGGTATGCAAATGGAGGGTGCGAACCCTCGAGGTCACATGTGACACTAATGTTGATCCAACGTCACTTCATACAGTGTAGTGCTCTTCTCATGTTCGCTTTGCCACCTCAAACATAGCCTCTTCCTCTTCCCTCTCCTCTTGAACACTACTCACTCCATGCTTCAGCTGCAGATCTAGGAGGAATTCTGCCACGCCTCCTTCACCGTATCGGGACCCGGCTATCGGCACCACAATCATCTCGAACACGACATTACGTAGTCGACTTGATCTCAAGGCCAGAAATTACATCTTCCGTCGCCTTGCCGCTCCAAGCAATCGGAATGGCGACCAACTCAACCTCAAACAACGCGACCACCCTCTTCGTACTCATGAAGACCATCCCACGCGAGCTGCGAGACCAGATCTATACCGAGTGTCTACGGCAAAACTCCGACGTTCTCATCACCGACTGCCAAATCCCGCCACTGCTCTTCTTGTGCAAACAGATTCGACACGAAGCGCTGCCTATCTTCTACTCTGTCAACACATTCCGCTAAATCATGACCGCATCCGCCGCTTATCAAGAGCCCTTCACTTGGCTGAAGTCGCTTTCGCCTGTCGCCCGCGCAGCAATCAAGATCTTTATCGTTCAACTACACACCGTCGTCGAAGTTCAGGCTCGCACCATCGCTTTGCTGGAAGGGAGCTTTGGTCAGTCCGTGTCCTCTCCCGGCTACACTCTTGGAGTCTTGAATCATCTTTTTCAAAGTGAAGATCAGAACCAGGAGAAGCTCATCCGCATGCTGCACCTCAGTGCGCGAAGTCTGCAGAGCAGTGGGATGTTCGAGCTTTCCAAATTACAGTTTCGGGTACTCGTCAAAGATCCTATGATTGATGCCTATGATCAGGATATAGCTGTCGTACTCACGAAACACCGGGACGCACTACTAAACGACGCTTGGCTGTCGTCCCACACGCCAAAGGCATACTCGGAAGGTCTGATCGACGGTCAGGGTTACCACGCATGAAGCACCATCAGAAAAACACCCGCAGCAACGTTTCCTACCAAAGAGGACACATACACAACGCCTACTTGACAGCGACACCCTTATACCCAGCAAACCCACCCACCTCCTCCTTCAAGATCTGCGGCAGCTCATCCTCGACCAAACTAGCCTTCCAGTCCTTTTCTCTCGGCTCCCAACCCAGCTGTCGTAACCTTACAGCCCGACTTCGACTATTCAGACCGATCACAGCATCGTTACCTTCGCCAAACAGATCACCATATTGTTCCTTCGACACAGTCTTCGGCTCCTTGTTCTTAATTTTGCCAGCTTCATGGAGTGCTTCTCCGATCACAGTCGCCACTTCATGCCAGGAGGGTTCATCTCCGCCTGTGCTTTCGCAGAAGTAGTACGGATTGCTCAGGGCCTCGCTGGCGGTAGCACGCTCCATGTGGTGGAGCAATACGATGTATGCTCGGGCGAGATCCATGACATGGATGTTGCTTTCCACAGCTGCGCCTTTGCCGATTTGAGGCGCATAGCCGTGCTTCAGCGCAAAGCGAGTCATCGTCGGGATCTGAATGGTCAGACGTTCGTGCTTTGGGTTGACTGGTATGAAGTCAGCAGAGTGATCGAAAGCAGGGCACTTCACAAGCCACGTACAGCCATAGATACAAGGAGGAATCATGATAGCCAGCTTAGCTTTCTCACCCAACTCCTTCTGAGCTCTGACGATAGCAAGGTCTATCTCGCGATGCGGTGCACTATCGGGCACACTATCGATCTCCTCGCGCTTGTCATCGTGATAGATCTTATCGTTCTTGAACATGCCCTTCGCATCATCGTCCAGCACGCTAGTTCCAGAAGTATGGATGAACAACGTCGACTTTCCGTCCTGTGCACGCTGCTTGACCCCTTCCAAGATAGCCTCAACCGAAGGCAAGTGGTCTGCGGTTGCAGTGTGGAGTACAATATCGTGCTGTAAGGTCTGCTGTGTGATAATTTCCTTGTCGTTCAGATCACCCATCACGACTGATGCTCCCGATGCCTTGATCTGCTCGCCATGTTCCTTCCTGCGGACAAAGCCCGTTACCGAATATTCTTCTCCGAGGAGTAGTTCCAGGACATTCCAGCCAATGAAGCCTGGACCGACTATGAAGACGCTTTTGCCTGAAGTCATCTTGGGCGGAAAACGATGTTGGACAGAGCTGAGGAATCGATGATCGTGTAGAGACTTCGTAATGACCAGGTATTCGTACACGACTTCAGAAAGTTCGTTCCGTGTGGCATTGTGATTTATATATGTCGTCTGTTGCAGAGTGAGGGGTGAAGTCGAAAAGTTCGGACCTGCATGATCGGCATTGGATTCGTTCTCGTTCTCCCCAAAATGCCAACTCGATTTGTAAGAAAGGCATGGCAGCACAATTTTAAGATGCGGACCTTCTGTATCGAGTACTGCCGACGATTTGCAAGTGCAGGAGTCATTCGTAAGATCTCGCAGTAACTTCTGACCGACTGCGGTATTGCCAGATTGGTGAAGGATGGGTGTCGATCAAGCTGTTATCAATGCCATACTGGAGCTCGAGAACGGTCACCACGCCTCGACTTTCCTGAGTGATTGCTGAGATGCAGTGACCTTCTTGGCCACTTCAGCAACGATGCTTGTGGTCTCCTCGCCCACTTCCTCAATAGAACGATCAGCATTAACGACCATAATATCCTCCCCTTCATCGCGATGCCTTCTGAGCTCGCCAAAGAGCTCTCGCACCCGATCCTGCATCTCCTTCCTTTCATACCTCTCGCTACCATACCCACCTCTGCTCATAGCAGCCTTGGCACTGACGTCCAAGAAGACACAGACGTCGGGTCGCGGCAGTCCAACTTCAGGCTGCCGGCACCACTCTAAGCCCATGTCAGGAATCTGCTTGGCAGCAGTATATACACATCCAGAATAGTAGTATCGATCGATAACCACCGTCGTGCCTTCCGCCACCAACCTCTCAATCTCCGCGGCGCTTTCCCAGCGATTGGCGGAGAAGAGAAGGTGGATTACGTGATCTTCGGTTTGTGTTGAGCCGGCTAGGTAGCTGTTAATCATTTGGCCTATGGGTGTGGTGCGGTTTGGGAAGCGCAGGTGTGAGACTTCTTGGCCTGTTGTGTGGCGGAGATGGGAGACGAGGCGTTCGCATTGGGTTGATTTGCCTGAGCGGTCTAGACCTTCCAGGACGATGAGAGTGCCTCTGTTGGGCGCCATGGTATCGGTATGTGTATATCACTTTGTATCCGTGATGATCGCTTGCTGCACGAAATTCTGGACGGCGCGTTGCCTCACGTCGCCGCGAAATTGACTTTTCTTTCGTGAGCACGATTCTATCCACTGGTTCATAGCGTCCTTGATCTACAAATGCCCACAACACTAGTGTGTACGTTATGAGCAGGTCAACTATGGGCACTCAGGTCCAGAAGCATTTTGATCAGCTACCAGACGAGATGTTCAGTATCGTACAAGCAACGACAGCAGGCATTGGTGCACGACTTGGTCGACTGGTCCTGCCTGGTCGTGCCGTGATAGAGACACCGCACTACCTGGCCAGCACATCTCGTGGTGTAGTACCTCATATTACACCAGACAACTTCGTCCGAAGCACGTCAATCCAGGGCGTCTACGTAGGACTAGAAGATTGTAAGTAAATCCACACGTCCACCTACCTCGCGCGTCCTGGCTGACAGCGATGCTTACAGAGAGGTAAGTCATAGAACGCTCTCCTCAAAAGGTACCTCCCATATACCACTTTCAACCACCTGATGGCTCATCACCTTTACGCCGCTTCACCGCTCTTCCCGACTCTACTCTCCTAGTTCTTGGTGCGAGACGAACACCACCCGTAGCCCCTCCTGCTGCGAACCCAAATACGGCCGGGACCATCGCAGTGTGCACTGCTGTAGGCTTCAAAGCACTGCATTCGGACGACTACATCGAAGGTGTACAGCATGTGCAGCCTGATATTGTCTTGTCCCTAGCAGACGTACCGTACGGACGTGCTTTAGGCAATAGGCGGGTGGAGAGGGCCGTCGATCGTAGCACACAATGGCTCAACGATCACGTTGAAGCACGGAGGCAAGCCAGTATGCCTCAGGCGAAGCTCTTCGCCTCTTTGCTCCCTGTCGCCTGCAGGAACCAATCTTATTACATTGAGTCTGTCAGGGACCATGCCGCGAAGGATGTCTCTGGTCTGGTCATACACGACCTCTCGACCCTCGAGAATCTACCAATGGAGCTTGGACCCCTGCCACGCCTAGGATTCACCTCACCTGCAACTCCTCAAGAAGTGCTCAGGCACATCAGGCTCGGCATAGATGTCTGCACCATACCTTTCACGAGTGAGGCCACTGATAACGGGATCGCCTTGAGCTTCGCCTTCCCAGCTCCAAACGATGTTTGCCGAGACGAACCACTGCCACTGGGCGTCGATATGTGGTCAATCGAGCACGCAGCCGATTGCTCGCCACTGACACCGGACTGTGGATGCTATGCATGTACCGATCATCACAGAGCATATATTCAACACCTATTGAGTGCCAAAGAGATGCTCGCATGGGTGCTTCTCCAGATACACAACCACCACATCATCGAGTCATTCTTCCGAAGCATACGACGGAGTCTAGTAGAAGGAACCTACAATCGAGACGTCGAAAGATTTCAGCAAGCGTACGAAAGCCAACTACCCGCAAAGACAGGCGAGGGCCCAAGGTAAGCTCATAAAACGTGAAGACGAAGGAGAACTTGCCATGCTGACAAGATCGATAGGGTAAGAGGCTACCAGTACAAGTCAGAAGGTCCAGGAGAACAGCGGAAGAACAGGCCAGCATACAACACACTCGACGATCGCAAGGAAGCTGTGGCTGGGTCAAAGAGTGTCAAGCTTGATGCTGACTCGAACACGCTGCAACAGCAAGGCTTCGCTGAGAAGCAGTTATGACTTACTATCTCCGACTTGCCAAGACTTTACCGATCATTCGAGTACATTACAGGACCAGCAGCACAAATGGTGGCAAGGTCAGCTTCGAAGTCTGTCATGCTAACAGAGAGCTGTTACATATGTGTCCCTTTTGCCAGTCGCCAGCTGAACATGCTGCCTTTACAGTTCTCGTGTGCTCCCATGACTGTCAGAATGAATGTACGAGTGGTGAACAACTGGTCGTCTGATCTTGCCAGACTCAAGTTGTAGTTTTCCAGCCAGTAGTGGTCACATGGATTCATGGTGAGGGCCAGGAGCACAGACACTAAGTGAATGGAGCTTATCAGCCAATCATACCCCGCTTTGCTCTGACACATCGCACTCGAGCTTCATCAAGGCGTCAGTCGTGGACATTCATAGAACTATCAACAAATAGCAAGACTCGAGCGGTCAAGATGAGCGGCAGCGACCGGAACGATGATAAGAGTGGCTTTCCCAGTGATGTCTTCCGTAAGATGCAGGAAGGCCACGACAAATTCATGCAGGAGTTCCACGAAGAAGGCCAGCGCTTCCAACACGACATCCGGACGGACAACAAATCATCCCGTAACAACTCGAATTTCTTTCTATCATTCAAGGACTTTGTGGACACGAACCTGAACAGTCTGGCCGACAGCTTCAGAAGTCTGCCCAACAACATCGCGGAGCTACGCGCGAAGATGGAAGCCGAGCGCGAGAGGCGAAAGGCAGATGATCTCGAGGTGTGGCAAAGGTGGACTGGCTTGGACGACTCGCCTGACCATTGCGCTATGCTGAATGAGCGCTCGAGCAAGGAAACGAAGGACGAGGCAACGAACGCCACCCTCATGCTTCTGCGTGAAGCCTACCGCCGTAACGCGCATGTTGACGAGGACAAGATCAGACGACTGTATCACGATCCGGCATCTCGTGGGCTGGACGCTTTTGCCGCACCTATGCTCTCACCTGGAGGCGCATGCTACTATCAATCTGACAGCGGCTACAACGCACCTTCGACTGCCATCTTCCGCTTCGGTCCTTACGATCATAGATGGCTAAGTATTGACTGGTTCAAACGCAGTCCGTACTCGCCCATAACGCTTGAAGCCACTCAGCAGCCCGACAATTCTCTATGGCGCGCAGCTTTCGAGGATCTACTGAACGCAGCACTTGACAAGCCGATGCATTCAGAGGAGCGAATCGGTGCCAGACCACGCGGCGAAATACAATCTACGCACACTGGCCCAGGACTGGACTGGATGCTAAGCCTACAATGTCGTGGTATCTTGCCTCCTCAGCTGCCAGCGCTCTACAACAGTATGTTTCACAAGACAGCGCCGAAGCTCGGACTAGTGGTCCAGGCAGAATCAATCATGCGCCACCCTGATGCTCAACAACTCGCTGACGAGATCGCGACTCCCGCCGCACCCAGTGGTGTGGTCTGTGGTGGCCAACAGGGCTTGGTTGAGCAGGATTTGTACGAGGAACTCGACAAGGAAGCTGTTGTCGAACACAAAAACCCAGCTCTTCTAGACTATCAGCAGCAGCTTGCGCAGCTTGAGCAGCAAAATCGAGATCGCCTGTTGAGTGCACAGCAGAAACAGAAGGTCGCAGCCGCGGCCGCAGCCGCAACTTCTACGACCGTGGGCGAAGAGGTGGGAAGTGGACCAGGGGCAGCTTGGAAATTGTACGAGGATCTTGACGACGTGGAGGTAGCTCTCTGCGACGCCGTGGAGCGTGGCGACGGCCTCGCAACCCTACTTAAACTCAGTGAATGGCACAGAATTCATGGAACTATCGCGGATGTCACCAATTTACCAGAAAGCGAGGTCACGCAGAATATAGAGGAACTGGTGTATCAGCTGGAAGCACTCGAACAGCAGCGCGAGGCATTGGGCGTATCGAAGCTTGACAACGATACAAATAGGACCCATGATGCTCAGAAAGGATCGTTTGCTCCCCTAGATGTGCACGAGCCAAAGCAAAAAGTCGACGTCCTCTCCTCGCTGACGACAACTCGAACGACCCGTCATCCTGATGGCACGACCACGACGACTGTGACTTTGAAGCAGAAGTTTGCAGATGGAAGGGAAGAATCAGAAGAAAAGATACATACGTACCACGAACCCAAGCATGACCGACATCAACCCGAGCAGACCGTGGAGAAGCCGAAGTTCAAGGGCTGGTTTTGGTCTTGAAGTAGACCGAAGGAAATGTCCAATTTCAAAGCACACCATGACATGACGGCGTTGGCTTTTTGAGTATCTCTGCTCGTTCGTAGCGCATGTATTGCATCGCATTTGACCTCGAGGACTGCCTCACGTGCCCTTGTCATACAACCGTTTCAGGGCCAGGGAAGCTAATGCAGATCTAACCCAAAGCATACCAGCGCCATGGTCAAGATGCGGGGGAGCTCACACGACCTGTGAGCTCCGTGACAACATACCTCCAATGAGTCTTTCGTGTTCTTCTTGAACCTTTGTTCAACAATCACAAACACTTCTTCCCATCTATCATCATCACAATACCGGTGCAATGAGTGCAATAATCGAGGAGGACGGCCATCATGAGCCAATCAAGGTCCTCATTACCATGCATGAAGGCATGAATGCCATGGACCTTGTTGGGCCATTGGAGGTCTTCAGCTCTGCTAGGCATGACAAGAACGATCCAGGTACGGCTCGTTAGCAATCGCTCATCATCTCAAAAATACGTTCTAATGCTTGCAAACAGAATCCAAAGCGTTCCGTGTAATCTTCGCGGCCACCAACGAGCACGTGCCTACCATGGAAGGCGCATCTCTCCGTGCCCACATCACATATGAAGAGGCCATGAAGCGTCTGGCCGAGATCGACATCCTCGTCATCCCTGGCGGCGGCACCGAGCCTTTGTTGAAGACCAAGGACCAGCCCTTCAGCATCATCAAGGCATTCACGGAATTGCAGAAGAAGAATCCGGCCCGTGAGCGTACCCTGATGTCGGTCTGTACCGGATCCCTCATCTTGGCCGAGTTGGGTATATTGAGCGGCCTGTCTGCTACTACCCATCCTGACTTCATCACCAAGATGGAGATCATCTGGTAAGCTGGAAGCCCATCCACGAACGACTTGTCGCTTTACTGACCATAGCTTTCTCAGCTCTAACGCCGCCCAGCGCGACATGGCTGATCGCTGCGATGTCATGGAAGCTCGCTACGTCGTCAATAACCTTCGCTTCGAGCTTGGCGAGAACGAGGAGGACAATCCATACATTATGAGCAGGAAAGAGTACAAGGACCAGAAACGCAGGCGCTCCTCGCAAGCAGGCATCTCTCCCATCGAGGAGAGGTCGAACGGCTCAGGCAGACGCGCATCTAATGCTCGCAAGGGAAGCATCAGCCTCAAGATGAGCAATATGCGCCGTGAGAGCGTTCTTAAGCGCGCCAACCTGCGTCTCGGTGGGCTGCGTGTCCTGACCACCAGCGGCGTCACCTCTGGCATGGATGGTGCATTGTATATGGTGGGTGCCTTGGTCTCCGACGACGCGGCCGAGGAGACCGCCCGCAAGATGTGTTATGATTGGAAGAAGGGCACCGTCGTTGACGGTCTCGATGTTTAAGCAAGGCGTTGGCTGGCGTCGAAATGGCGCGGACGGGATGGGAAATGATTGAGTGTACGCTATGTGACGAGATGGAATCATCGTGATTTGTGGTGGGTTTACGGGACGATGGAGATGCTACCTCCGAGGTCAAAGCGTATGGGCGCAGCTAGATCTGCAGCTATCTATGACAACAAGAAATACTCCAATGCATGGTTGACAGCGTCTGTCGTAGATGTGGCGTTATTATGATGTTTGCGTCCTCCGTGCAATTCTATTGAAGATATAGCTAACTTATGATATACGTCCTGGATGAACAAACGAGTGAAAATACATGGATATCCTCGGGATTGATCCACAGCCAGCCAGCCACCCCTCCAAGGCGAACATCTACTCCGTGTTTCGATGCAGAGCTCTCCCAAACAAGCATCTACATTATTAAAATCTCTACGTTGAACTATAGGGCAATATGACCCCATCACCCTTGCTTCTCGGCGTTAGCAAAAGCACTAAAGACCTCGACAAAACCTCTAGGAGCATCTTCCGCAAACAACATCTCGCCATTGGCCTGGCTCTCCGTGATCATCGCTATCGCTCGCGGGAACATAAACTTCTCGTACTCAGACACTGCGCTCGTCAAATCGTCGAGGCCATGCTTGACGATCTGTTCCGCGAGCTGAAGGGCATCGTGCAGTGAGCAATTCACACCCTCGCCTGCAAATGGCGTGCTCACATGGGCTGCATCGCCAATCAACGCCACGCCAGGCACGGTCTCCCAGGATAGCGACTCTACTGGCATGGCGTACAACGGCCAGGCTCGGCATGCGCCTTCGCTATTTTTGATGAGATCCGTGACTCTGGTCGACCAGCCGGAGAACTTCTCGGTCATTGCCCAGTCTTTGAAGGTGGATGTGTTTTTCAAGAGCTCGGCGTTCGCGGTTTGTCTACTCCAATTCTCGGGCAACGCAAGGCCGATTGCTACGCTGTAGCTGTCGTCGGTCATGCGCTGTGCGGCAATTTGTCTACGACTACCTGTGGCCATGATCCCACCAGCTCCTACGAGTGACGTGGCTTTCGTGTGATAGGGACTTGTTTTCGGGATCATGGCCGTGATGTAGTGGTAGCCGGAGTATACTGGCTTTGCTTTCGTGACCTATCACATCATCAGCTGGCCGCATAGGTAGGTAATTATAGACGATTTTGATCACTTACCAGTTCTCTGGCCTTCGTCCAAGTCCCGTCAGCTCCAACGACAAGCCCAAATCCACGATGTACACGACCGTCCACCAACTCTACCTCCATGCTCTGATCGACCGGACTTCTCCTCACAGCCGCGACTTTCGCACCCCATACGATACTCTCCTCCCGTACACTATCCAGCAGCAGCCCTCGCAAGTCCCGACGATCGATCTCCGGTCTTCCTTCGCCATCGGTACCATCGAGCGTCAATGCCGCTTCGCCTTCTTTATTGAAGATCACCATACGCTGGGCATCATAACGTGCTTTGGCCTTGAATGCTTCCAGTAGTCCAGCTTTCTTGAGTGCGAGCTGGCCTGTCTCGGCGTGCACGTCAAGGGTTCCACCTTGGCCGATATCTGAGCGATGTGCGTCACGTTCAAAAACTGTGTGTGGTATTCTGTGGAGGTGGAGTAGTCGAGCGAGAAGTAAGCCACTCGGACCTGCGCCGAGGATTGCTATTGGTGGTATGGACATGTTGGTGGTGATGGCAGTTGAGTATTGACGAGTAATAATCTTGAGGGACTTCGTGAGGAGATGCCTGACGAATTGAAACATGGATTGATCACGCAGTTGTCTACTGTAAAACAGGTCTGTACTTTTGTTGAATTCAACAGACCTAGCTAACATATGTACCTACATTGTGAAGATGTTACACTGTGCAAGTGCCGGTGCAGCCACAGAAGTACGTGCTTTCGTTGGCCGGAATTTGAGGTAAGATAAGTTCCGACGCAAGCTCCGGGTTGAGTTCACGACACCATTTCACTCCACTTGCCTATCGCCCGCGACTCCCTATCTTAAATTGCGAGCCTAGTATGGCAGACCTTGGCAAGTATGCTGTGTGTTTCCCAGAGCCTTCTTCGACAGACTGACATGCTGATCGAACGTGCAGTGCGATTCTTGCCGCGCGAAGAAGGTATGCTCAATGTGCCGCGAATTACTCGCTTCCGACGCTCATCATCATACAGGTTACCTGCAATCGCATGCTCAGTGGCTGTCAACGATGTATAAACCAAGCTGCAACATGTGTCTACTCTCGTTCTGGAGGTATGTGCATCAGCTTCGCTCATACGACTGGAACTAACGCAGCAAGTCCTTCGGCGCAAACGCAAACGCAACGACCACGACGATACAGCACCGGCACTAGATGTGAATGAATCTGACGACACCAAGACCAACAAGGTGGATCTTCAGCCACAGATTGAAGCAGACATTGACGATACCCGGGATCAACTCGCAGGCGAGCATGAGCTGGAAAGCCGTGAGCCGCTTGGAGCACTCACATCTCTCTCCGGTCTCTACTCGACGTTTTGGCCTGAGCTGGGAGAGTCCAATCAGATTTCCAGCAGTGTTACCCGACCCTCCAGGGGCTTCCAATTGTTTGCGAAGGAGAAGACTGCTTTTTGGGTGCAAGGTGAGATACGCTGGCCATGAAAATGGCTTCCACTGATTGGACTCATGGACAGACTTCTTGCACGCACTCAAGGATGGATTTCCATTGTTGACAGCTGCTCCGCAGCACGTCATAGATCTGCTATCATCAAATCGCGTGGACGAGATCCGCGACACTGCTTGGCTAGTCATGTTCTACGCAATCACATTCGGAAACATGCGTGGAAAGTCAGGCCACACCGAGGCTGACAAGACTGCCATACGAGCAAATCTTTGGCTAGCATTCAACGACATACGCGTGTTGCTACACCCCAGCGACCCCGCCATACAAGCACTAGTACTTCTTGCTTGCGACATTCAGGAGTTCACTACGCCTTCGCTATGCTGGATGCTGGTGTCCAGCGCTTGCCGTATGCTTCAGAGCCTCCGGGTCGATTCCCGCCATCTCGAGCCGGCAACCAGAGAGCGTCGTCAGATCTTGTTCTGGCTGCTGAACTGCCTTGATCAATCCTTGGCTCTCATCTTTGGAAGGTCTGCGACGTTTCATAGAGCACTGATCAAGACAATACCGATGCCTAGTCTGGCTCAGCTCATGGCTGGATCATCAGCATCAGAAACTCCCGCGTTCCTTTTTGGCGCACATTTCATGCGTCAGATGTTTCTCGTGTCGGTAAGTTCTCGATCGAACGCTGACTATATTGCCGGAATTTCTAATGATTGTTTCACATTCCGTTAGGCCGTCACGGCTGATGTGTGGTCGGCTCTATACGAGCCCGAAACGTCCGTTCTGAGGTTACAGAAGGCGAAGCGAGATGTTGAAGCGTGGTATGAGCAAGCTGATAAGGTCAGATAGTACTTGTTAGTTCTCGCGGCCATATGCTGACGACGATGAAGATACTAGGGGCTGCTGCTATCGCTGAACAGCCACTGTTGAATGAAGAAATGACTAAAGCCGTGCAAGGCGGCCGAGAGTACATGCGTTTCACCTACTACCACCTCAAGATATCATTGATACGAGGTCGCAAGTCCTGGAGCCACGAGTGCGTCGAAACTTCACAGAAAATGCTCCACATGCTGGGAGACTTCCGGCTCGACTTCGAGGAAGCCTACAACGGCATCGGATTCATGTGGCAATTGTCATATGTGCCATTCACATCGTTCTTCGTCTTGTTTGCGAAGATCTTGTCGGACGCAAAGCTGAATTCCGAGCGATGCAAACAGCCGCTAGAGGCGATGGAGTGCTTGCCTGTGTTCCTGAACAGCATGGCAAGTGGGATGCAGCAGGCCGGGAAGTTGGAGCCGATCGCTACCACGTTTGTTCGACATGCCAAATCTGTCTTGAACAGGCGAGGCAAGACTGCGGGCAAACATACCCAGCCATTCTCTGCTACGGAGCTGAAGACGAAAGCGAGCTTGTCAACACCACAGTCACTTGCGACAGACGACTTCGACATCACAGCTGAGCCACTGTTTCAGTTCCTTGGCGCACCAACGATATATACTGCTGGCCAAGAACAAGATCTTGATTGGCAAGATAGGCCTGTCACTGCGCAAGATGGAGTGGAGGATCGCGATCTATGGCAGACAAACATGGACCAAGGTTTCGACTTCACAGACCCAGCCTTCGCAGATCTGATCGATCCTGCATTTGACTGGTTTGCCTGGGAGGATAGCGTATCTTCATGAGATCATTCTTGTTCATTGATGTTCGTATCTTTGTCGTCGTGATCATGAGACTCTGCTCCCGCCACTTCGTTTCCCCTCATCTTCTAGCACCAGGATAACCATCAGTAATCCTCGTCTCCTCTCTCATGTCGAGCGCATTTGGCCTACTCTGATTAATCGGAACTTGATTATCCTGCCGTTCGAGCCCGAATTGCTCGTACATGCCACCCTTTCAATTGATTGGATGGTTCAGTGTGACAACAAGATAGAGACCATCGTAGCGGAGTCCACGAGATGGCGCCCATTTGCTCTTGCCGGTAGAAGTTCGAAGCACACGTACTGGACGCTGCTTTCGCATAGACGTCTGTAGAGCTAAAGAACCAGAGCCTGCTTCAGGCGGTTGTCTTGGGTCGTCATTGTTGTGGCTGTTCGGAGCAGAGTAGTAAAGATAATTCCCATGGTCGGTGTCCAGATCGTCCTATTGCCCACTCACGACAATAGAGTACGCGCCTGTGGTGGCGTCGCCATATATGCCTGCTTGCTGGTGACCATGCGCACCATGAAAGCAGGCCACTAGCTGTCGTGAATACCACATCCCAACCTCAATGCCGTTATGGCCATATGCTTTGGCACTACGGCGGCTCGTGTCGTATCGATCGTCGTACAGAAGTGACTTCCTCGTTGAACCATTCGTCTTCATACTGATAGACATGGCTACACCATGCATGATTCCTTCTAGACCCCAAATAGCATGATCCGCTCGTGGATACACGACCCGCTTTTCGGCGCCTTCAGTATCTTCCGTACGATGTCTTTTCGACGTGGTCTTTGCCCTTGCCGCAGGCAGATCGACAGCACTGTCAGCATCGTTGGCCTCACTTGATTGTCCTTCATTCCACTTCACTCGTTCGTTAATAGAGGGCTTCTGCTGATACTTTTGTGCATCCGGGAAGTGGAAGTCCTCTCGGTTGAACATCGTGAGAAGGACGTCTTCAGCTATAGAGCGCGCTCTCAGTCCTGAAGTCATGCGAGCATCATCCTCCAGCCACGTGAGCATGTCGTCGATTTGGTCCAACCGTTTGCTAGTCAATTTGCTCGTCTTCGGAACCTCTCCCAGAGATTGGCTCACAGCCGCGAACTTCCCGACCGCCAGTCGATCTGTCTCCACGATGTAATTGACGCAGACGTCTAGAGAGTTGTTGTTGGGCGCCATCTCGTATGGTTCTCGGGACGTGTGTCGTGATTCGTCAGTAGTACAGGTCTTCACGTGAGCGAAGCCAATCTAGCTACCAAAATATCGTCGACGGTCGGATTGGCAAGTCGTATGCAAGGTACGGAAATCTGATAGCTCCGTGGACTACTTGCGTGCCACGAGCTGACGATCGTAGACCCAAGAAAAAGGACTGTGCTGGTATGAATACGTCGAGGCGGGTGACGTGTGTCCCAAGCGGAAAAGTGACAGTATACTGTACTCATTATCTTCCACCTGGCACCCGCCTCAATACGCATCTTCAAGGTGGCATCCGCGACATTGACTGAAGGACGGGCAGGAAGAAACATGACAATAGCAGGCATTCGCCAGTCGTCACCAACCTGACAACTCTACCGAATCGCAACTTAAGTAAGCCAAATTCCTCTCCTGCCTACCAAGCTGTGCTGCAGAAGTCCCGTCTGGACGAGCAGCTCCTGGACAGACTATTCTCGAACAAGCCCGCAGCAGTCGTTCAAACGCGTCAACGACTTTCACATTTTAACCTTCATGACCCCACGCCACACGACGGAACTCGGCCTCTGTCGCTGTAGATGTGCAGGTGACAACGCATGTATATTCGGTCATAGCAACCAAATGAAGCGCTATCCAGCCGTCCTCGACGAGCTTCGCAATTCGGATACACAGCTTGTCGATGGAAGGTCCGGTTGGTCCTCTGCTAAGGGTCCAACTGCTGTTCTCGCGGTCTCTGTTCAAGTTGTTCCAGATTATGTCGATGGTTGGTGGCCCATGTGTCATTCTGTCTGACTTGAGCTGTATCGCACCTGTATCAGGGTTCATGGTTTTGCCGTCTATGATCGGCCGCTTGGTAAGGATATCCCATTGCACGTCTCCCACAGGCATGATTGTCTTGGTGGTCAATTATTGTCAGTACGAGGCTGCAGGGTGAGTAGTGTAGCTGACGGACCTTTCAATAGTACGAAGTCCGATAATAACGACCGTGTGAATTAGCAATCGTGGTTTGCTCGTACCCTGGCAGGAACAGCATGCGTGAAAAGTGAGATGCGCCTCAAAGGTTGGAGTATTGGCAATATTGCTGTGGTACTTATGCGTGGTGAGGGGACCGCTGCTATCTAAGTAGACTGGAACTGGAACTGGAGGCAACAAATGGTCGCTCGAGGGACACGTCAATCAGGTAGGTGAGGCACCTGATACGGAGGATGGGAGCATAGGGCGTCTATCATACGATTCGTGCTCGGCTTCTTGATTGGTAGGCCAATTAGAGGTGAGTCTGACGTGTCGCATCAATGCAGTGCACGCAAAACCTCTTCCGATTGCCGCTCGCCAAGAGCGTAGCCAAAGGGTAAGCACAGGATCGACAAGCAGTAGTAAGATTGGGTGACATGGAGGTAGGCAAGCTTTGGGCACGCCAAGCTGTGATTGATCGTTGCGGCGATGAGGTCCAGAAAAGAGTGGCGAACACCAAACCAACCTCGGCTAAGGATGAATAAGGTAGGAACGATCCTGCAGCAATTTGGAATGCATAGATGGACCATCGAAGTGGACTGCATTGCTGGATCGACTTATCACTCACGCCAGCTCCTTCTGGATATAAAGCGGACCGGCCACGACCCATCAAGCAACCAGGTTTCATGATCATTAGTGAAGGAGCAGATCTGAGTAGATGGAATACCGTGCTGGACTGCATTGATGGATCAGGTCGACGGATCATGCTATCGAGACCATGGTCGTCGGTCAGACGACACCGGCCTCCTTCGTCGTCAGCTATAATATCATGCTACGCTGCGCGAAAACGTTTCGATAGTATACTCTCCACACCATTACATCCAGAATATTACGAAGCCCTCCGTCAGGATGCGTTGCACCTTTGTCTCTTGCCTGGCGATCCTGGCCTTTACCCTGTCCGCAGATGCAGGACGTATCGCAGTCTCGGCCGACAACAATGCCGTAGAGACGGAAGATCCTGAGCTGTGTTGCGAATCTACAACATACCAGTTGCAGTGCTCTTCACCAATGGCCACTCCATTCTGCGCCGAAGCTCCACAGAGCTATACCCGCAACGCATCGGGCCAATTGTCGAAGGGTGAAACAAATCTTACCTGCGAAGCGGGTAACGATGGTCAGGGTGGTTGCATGTGCCAAGCCGTGGTATATTGCTCGGCCGCCTCAACTTCCTCCTATGTGGGACCTGATCATTTCACAGACTTGAAAGTGCAGAATTTCGCAACTTCGGTGGTATGAAGCGGCTAATGTGAGAGCTGGACGTAGCGAGGAAGGAGGAAGTTGATCCAAATTGCAACCAGTCGTTCATTGCTTGCTTATTCGGTATTTACGAATACAATCCAGCTTCATCAGCCTGTATCGACTAGTCGACCATGTTTGTATTGCACGTTGCCTCCTGTCCCGTTCGCTACCGCTCCTGCGTTTTATACATGTCCAGTCCGACCTAGCGAATAGGTATATAGCCAAAGCAATGTAGGGTGAGCTCATAGCGCTCCGAAAGCAAGTCGCCAAGGGGCTAGGAGCGGTTCTCGGATTGATCATAGCGAGATTGTACAGTAGAGTTGGAGGTACCTGATAGATAGCCTTCTATGTAACAGTATCCCGCTTCACGTTATAGGCATGTGGAAGCTTTCCACATTGCAGATACGCTAATATGCTTATCCTATTAGTCTCAAAAACAAGCAAGGGTAAGTGCCGATTGCCCAACGCTCGGACACTCCCGTTGAGCTTGTTTGACACACAGATGGTGTGAGAGAAGTGACTTGAAGCTGTCCGATGTCCGCATTCCAGCCCACGAATGCTTCACAGAGCTGGACCAGGCTGTTGGCCGGTGCGAGGGGCTCACGAAGCCCGAAATGGAGTATTGTCCGAGAGGGGCGTATAATGACGGCATACAGTATCTCGTTGACAAAGAGGCCAAGAGACCCATGTGCTTTCAAACACGGCAGCTTGTTTACGGATCGCGGCGGGCTGTGGAGCAAGCTCTCACTGGGGAGGGTAGTAAGCTGAGATATGTATCTTCGGCCCGTTTTTGGGGTAATGAGGAGGACGAGGAGAAAGGACGCGATGAAGATGATGAGGAGACTCAAGAGGATCCCGAGACAGAGTAGTTCGCGGAAGAAGATAGCAAGGAGAGAGTGATCGAGGGGGGGGAGGGTGATGGGAATGCTGAGGAGGCCCAGGAGGATGCCGAGGTAGATTATTTCCGAGGAAGACGACGTTCAAGGGAGAGAGTTGTCGAGGAAGAAGTGGGCAATCAAGGATGAAGCAGAGTCCCAGGAGGATGGCTAAGGAGAATCGATCGAGCAAGCCTCGCGTTTCGCAAGAGGGTGGAAAAGCTGAGGTCGAATCGACGTCGTGGGTCATAGAGTAGCCTTGGTGTTCAGATCCCGACTGAGATGTGGGTGGAGGCCTTACTCTAATCGTTCGTGGCTTCGAAGACACTGTAGTAAGGCGAACGAGCCAGTATGAGTCCGTTTAACCTTGGACCTGCAGCCCAAGCCGCCGTTGGTCGTCCTTCCGCGCTGTTGCCTCCGCCCTTCTTTTCAGGGTTTTGCACCCGCTCGAACATGGGTGAGTGATCGCACGCGCTCTGCTCCAATCACCCATATCCAACATGTGCTGGCCCTTCGCCGACATCTGGCTCGAGACGCCACCTTCATCGCCGCCACCGCCGCCTCCGAAGAGACCCCATCGCCGCCGGGAGACAAGAAAGATCTTCGTTCCTTCCGAACCTGCCAAAGTAAGTGAATCGTTCTTTCCTTCTTCGCTACCTGAGTCTTGCGGGTGAAGCTTTTCGTCATCGTTCATTTCTGCTGCATCACTTCTGCACTGTTATCATCAGCACTTCGCCACCACCAATTCTCGATCTCGCAACGAGCACAAGGTCATCGCTGCAAAACGATCAGCACACACTTCGTTCAACATCAACATGACCGCCACGGCCGAAGACGATAGTGGCAGTGAGCCTGATCACTGGCCTGACGACGCCACCGGTCTCGAACACGTCGCAATCGCGGCTCCAGGCTACAACTCCCACAATGCCCTGCGCTCACAATCTTACGTCGCTGCCAAAAGCCCCTCAGTCGCCCCTTCCAAGGCCCCTTCCAAAGCAGCTTCCTCGCCCAAATTCGAACCCGTCCAGCAACAAGCAGTCTACTACCAAGGCCCAGCCTTCTCAGCTTACCATCAACCTCAGTACACTTACGCTCCACAGCCCCGGCCCCAGCCCTACGCCTACCCGTACCCGCAAGCCTACTACGGATACCCAACCGCACCAGTCTATCCGCCCCAGCAAATGGCGAACTATCACGTTTACCAACCTCAATACGCCGCTCCTCAACAGCCTCGGCCGTATGAGTGGAAGGGTCGCACCAAGAAGCAGGTCGAGGAGGATAATATGATTCTTGCGGCTAAAGTCGGCGCGTATGATAAGCGTAAGGTTGTACCCACGGGTGTTAAGGATGAGCAGATGATGTGGTGTGTTGAGACTGATGGGTCGCATACTTTGCGGTGAGTACCTCTGTAGTCATGATGTTGTGCCTGTCTATCTGTGTTGGATGCTGATCAAATGCTATGACAGTACCTTCGTCTCCATCAAGGGACTCAAGGGCGAGTGGAAGAAGGACCCGAGGTTTGAGGAGAGCTACTACTTTGTGCGTGGGGAGGGAGAGAAGAAGGAGGAGACCAGAGGGGAGAAAAAGGGTGGCAAGATGTGATTGTGGTCTTGCGGCTAGCGGCCATGGAGGGCGCAAAGTATCCTGCTGCAACGAGTAGTAGTTCCGGCCGCACATGCATGCCATTGAAACATGCTATCAACGCATCACTCGAAGGGCTAGTAAGTAAGTGTTGGTAGCATGACGAAGCAAATATGAAGTGAATATGAAGTGCTCGTTCCTCCAAATCCCACCCCACCTTGACGTCACACCAATCTACACATTTCAAACATCATTATTCTCTCAAAACATGCCATTCGATACAAGTCTACGGAACACAGTAATCTTCCTCCTAATCTTCATCCTCGCCTTCTTCCCCTCCGCCTTCCACATCCTCCTCAAACCCATCACATACCCCCTCGAGCTCCTAAGCGGCTACACACCTTCGCCACACCAACTCCTCCCAATCTGTGGCTGTTGTCCACCCGCGAGCTGCCACCCACAGCAACAACACCCACCGCCCACACCCAACCCTAACCCTCCAACCATGTCCTGGACCCAAAAAACCTTCACCCTCCCCCCCAAATCCCGCGGCTCCTACCTCATCACCCCAGAGATCACAAAAGCCCTCCCCGAACTCAAAACCTACAAAACCGGCCTCCTCCACCTCTTCATCCAACATACCTCCTGCGCCCTCTCCCTCAACGAAAACTACGACGAGGATGTCCGGGACGATATGTCCGATGCCTTGGACAGGATAGCTCCGGAGGATAAGAAGGGGGAATTGTATAGGCATTCGGCGGAGGGATTGGATGATATGCCGGCGCATATTAAGAGTGCGCTTGTTGGGGCGAGTGTGACCGTGCCGATTACGGAGGGGAGGATGAATTTGGGGACTTGGCAGGGGGTGTGGTATTTGGAGTTTAGAAGTAGTAAGCATGCTAGGAGGGTGGTGGCTACCATGCAGGGGGAGAAGATGTGAGGGGGATGTTTCTGAATAGGGTGGGGTGTGCATCGTGAAGGCGTTCGGAGAAGTCTCGTGGGCTGCACGGGTCTGGTGATTGGGGGTCGATTTTGTAGCATTCGAGGTTATATGTACAACGCTGTTCGGCATCTTCCGGCCAATCTCTCTATCGCTGCTCCAACGGTCGTCCGCTGTTAGTCTGGTACGGCTCTGTCGAACCAGTCTTGCCCGTGAGATCTGCCGAGGGAAGAGCAGCCGGATCATTGGTTGGGTGGAGAGGGTATGGTGTCGATGGCAAGCTCTCGAGGTATCGCTGGTGCTTGGTGTGTGCCTTTTATATGCTGTTAGCATGACGTCTTGAGTGAGGTGGTATGTAGTGTATAGACATACGAATGGTAGTCCACAATACGTGCACCCATTAATCTGCGGCTTATCCACATTGATGAAGATTCTTGGGTGTCCCAGTGGTCCTCCTCCGCCATCACAAGAGACTACGCGTTGCTTTGTCCAGCGTACAGGCTGCTTATGGATGAGGTCGATAGCTGCATAGGGTCGTGGCTGTTCCGACACATAGAAGTCAGCCCCTCCATCACGCATGCACTCACTCTCCTCCTCAACAGTAGAATATTAAATCTCACCTGATCCTCCATAATTGTCTGCTCAAACCTCGGCCCAACCATGGCCTCCCGTCTGGGTTTCTGATTCCTACTCCACACCATCTCCCGATTCGGCGCCTGCATCACTCTATACTCCTCCCCCTGCTGCGGCGACTCCTGTAGGATCTTATCGAAACTGCCTTCACTTGAGGTCGCGACGGCATTGGTCGTGTTGGGGCTGACTGGGGAGTGGGCGGGTTTGGGGTTCGGGTCGTTGGCTGGGATGGGGTTGTCGGCGGAGTGGGAGCCGGAGGCGTGGCGGAGGAGTTGAGTTTGGGTTTGGCGGGTTGTGAGGAGGAGGCGAGCGGTTGCTCGGAGGGTGGTGCGGATTAGCATTTTGGGCGGGGTGGCTGTTGCACTGGAGGCTGATAAGGTGGTGATGTTGCAGGTGGTGGGCGAGGCATTGGCTTGTGCGCTGGCGGGAGCTTCCTGTTCCGTGGGCTTTCATTGGATCACGACAAAAGGACGCTAAGCTTCGTTCACAGACATTCATGAACGCCGTTTAGACGCTCTTCGACTTCCACATCCTCGCAATCCCACTGTGTTCTCCGTCAAGACAGCAGCACACACTGCTTGGAGGGCGAGGACGTACGCTGTCTGAAGATCATCGATACTGGGAATTACTCTACCAGCGACTACCTCATGGGAACAACATCAGCGGAATACTCCATGATGTCGAATGGGTGCTATCGTGGCAACTCTCGTAACCAATCTAACGTTTTGAAGAGGTTGCCTTGAGGATCCTTTATCTGGCACGAGTCGATCGAGAGGACCGACAGGGTCTCGAAGAGACGTCTCAACAATTCCACTATCTCGTAGCATTCGCCACTGATAGCATTCGACGCCGCAACGGACGCGGAGGCTGGGCTCCTGGCTACATGTACTATCTCTATCAGGTCGTAATCTCGCTTATCCTTCCCTGGTCCAGCGTCAAGGCGAACCCTATCTCTGGCTTCATCCATCGCGTGCCAAAGTGGTTTCGCTGTGTCCTGGGCAGCAGCCTGTCTCATCTCTGCCTGGAGGTGGGTGACCTCTGTTGAAAGAAGATCGAACCTTCCTTTCCTTAAGCAGTGGAACGCAGCTGCGACCAAAATCATACAATTCGACCGCAGGGTGCTAAGCTCTGCGTTCGAAGCCGTGAAATATGGTAATGGCGGCAGTTGGCGTGGCAGTGCTTCACTTTTGATCTTCATCACAAGCCGTAATGCTTGGAATTCAAGCCTGACACAATGTATCTCATAGCGACGCAGCCACCGGGCGAGCTTGGCCAAGGTTCTCTGCCGTGATGCGTACGCAACATGCGCGGACGTATAGCTTGCGGCTCCCGACAACGGGATCAGTTCATCCATATTTGTCAGTACCGGAGAGGAGTGTTGCAGTTGCTGGATGACAAGAAGATCGCACTGGTGTGTCCGTCGCAACATCCTGCTCTCGACGGTCTGCACTTGCTGCAGGATCTCCGCACGACCATGCTGGATCTGCTCTTTCATCTGGAGCTGCATAGTCTGGAACAGAATCGATGTCTGTTGCAGATCGTTGATCGTCTGCTGCTGCATCATGACTAGGCTCTGCAGGCCCGATAGCTGAGCAGAGAGATGTTGGTGGCCCGCTTCCATCTTACGAAGCTGTTCCGCAGCGCATGTCTTTGACAGGCAGCAGAGTACAAAGAGTGAGCTATGCCAAGATCCGTTTTGCAGCTCTTGAGCTGTTCCAGAATTCTTGCAAGCTTCCCATCCTTCCATACCAGCTTGATCGATGTCCGGAAACGTTTGTATTGCATCTGCTGATCCAAGTCTTCTAGTGTGGTACGTACGCTGCCGATACTACTCTGACACAAACCTTCACATTGCTTTAAGACTTCCGTGTCCACTACTATCTGTCGCGTGACTTCTGCGTGTAGGGCGCTGATGAGCTTGCTAGTGACATCGATATCATCGACAAGGCGTTTGAGATGCAGTGGTTCATCGTCGATGCGCTCGACCAGGTCATTAAGCTTCTTTGCGGATTCAGCGAGCTGGAGTGCGAGGCCTGCGACGCCGACGCCGCTTACTACGAGGGCTAGAATTTCGGCCATGGTTCGGAGGCGTTGGTGCCAGAGGTATAGGAATCTAGCTCAAGGTTTGTCTCGCTCATGGCAGTCGCGTCGATCCTCATCATGTTGCGAGACGTCTCTCGATCTTATGAATACAAGGCTGGACAGCGACCACATAAGGTGTGCGGCCTCAAGCAGCCTCAAGGCGCAGCCCGAATCCATTGAGATCGAATCACACACAAGCGAGAGCAGGTGGCGTGGATTCATCCAATGAACGGTACTCTGCGCTGCGCGATCCCCGAAAGCAGTTTGCAGATGTGTATCGCAAGCTAGCATTGCACAACAACCACTGATGGGCTGGACAACCTTATTGCGTGAGGTATACCATCTCCGCGATCCACTCCTAGACTGACACCCGCCTCTCCACGGGCACATCTCAGTACATGCCAATCCGGTCGTTAGAACCCCCTTCCTCCCCAGCTCTGACCACCATCCCAAGTACCCACTGCGCTCCGGCCCCAATCCCTTGCACCGCAATTGCTAACCACTACTGCATTTCCATCCGGCACCGGATTCGGCGTGCCAAAGTAAGACGCGAAGTAGCTGCCAGTCGCATACCAAGCAAAATTGTCCGCTATTCCCCCCCCCAAAAACATAAGCGTGTGCTTCTTACTCAGCCAACTGTTTATCGAGATTGTGCTTACCGTTCCTGGCGGCATACCGGCTGGTCCTAGCATAGAGCTCACAGAGTCTCGGGCCATACACAAACTGGCCGAGGGGTTTGTCGCCCAGTCTCCTATCTCCAATATGATCTACTCCCGAGAACCCATCAATACCGAATCAAGTCCACGAGGGGTAAAACACATGGAGGAGAAGAATCGTATACGTACTAGCTTGTGTCGTCCCCACAATGGAATCAATATGCATCATTTCATGCAGCAAGATCTGGGCCCCGGTCGCCATGACATCGATGTCGCGTTGGAAGACTGGCTCTTTCGACAACCACTTGAGCACGGTCTGCAAAGTGGGCTTGGTATACATGTCCGGCCGGCAAATGACAATTGTCGGTGTCGCGAAAATCGGGTTCGTGTAGGCGTAGGCGCCTTGTCCGTTGCGTTGCGTGGCACAACCTCTTCCTCCGGGGATTTCGCCGCACGCAATAGTCAAAGTTCCCCCTCGGCCATCCTGGATGAAGTCGATGACGTTCTGGAACGTGGCTATGCGCGGGGAATATTAGCTGCTACGTCGTGTTCGTATAGTGTGAGTGGATGAAGAGTTATACTGATGAGCTGCTTGTAGCTGACGCTGCCGAAGTAGCGCTTGGTGAAGTCAGAGCGGTAGGCCGGGCTAGTTCCGGCTCGAGCGAGGCTGATGACGTCTCGGAGGTGTGTGGTCATCGCCTGCAGATCTGACGTTATTGGGCAGTTGTCCCAGATCAAGGGGACGGTGAAGCGCTCGGTGGTGTTGGCGAGGAGTTGGGAAGATTGGGGGGCAGATGTGAAGTTGAGAACCGTGGGATTTGACGTAGAGTCGGGAATCGAGCTGGATGTGGCGTTGAACGTCGAGGCAGAGGTAGAGTTGGCCTCGATCGGAGCGGCGCTGGTGAGGAGAATGAATGCAGGGAAGCAGCTCAGAAGCGCCAGCAGCGCGAAGTGAGAAGGGAGAGGGGCCATGATGATGTTGGTGGATCGCATTTATGATTGCGGGCTCGGAGGAGATACTTATAGACGGGCTGGACTACGAACCCCGAAGCTGGCAGGAAAGCTCATGAGTTGCAGGTCACTGGCACCAACTTGCACGGCGCAGCCACCGGGCTACATTTGGTGCCGAGGATAAGGCGGTATTGCCGCAATGTTACACCTGTACGCCAGATGTGGGAATATTGTGCGACACCGACGTGGTGCAGGCCAGTGGTGTTTGTTTCGGGCGGACGAACGATATTCGGTCTTCGCCAGAACTTTACTTGCTTGGAAGGTTGAGCCCGCTGGTAGACAAGTCATGATGCCGTGGATTTTGGGATCAATCGGCGTGGTCTCGAAGTCTGGTACCATCCTCAAGAGCGGAGGTCCACGCTGGCGAGAGAGACCGGGACAACGACGTCTTTTCGATACCTATCACATGGACGAGCGCAGCACACGCTCGGCCGAGGAGGGCAGAAGTTCCCCAGACCCCCCTTTGACTAAGCTGTAGTACAGCTCCTACGGAGACGCAAATCTACGGTCGTGAAACCGGCTGAGAACGACGTTGGTCGAAGCACATGCCATGACATGTCTAATGAGCGCAGCACAAGCGTGGTCGAGAAGGCCAAACGTTCCAGAACGAATGAAGTAAGCTGTAGTACACCTCCCGCGCGCACGAGATCGAGAGCTCCATACGTTTACATTTCGAACAACTCCAGCCATGTCGCGGCGAGCGTGCGAAACCATGTGCCCGAACGGTGACGGACTCCCAGTGTCAAGCAACACCAGCAGACGCCGCATCTGAAGGCCTCGTTGAGCTACAGAGGACTATGCTTATATGCCAACACATAAACCGGCCTCGATCGTTGAACGCGCCTGACATGGCAAGCTTTGGGCCCTCACTTTGAATCCCTTGGTATTTTCGGAGAGAGGATCCAAGTTTTGCACTCCGGAGTAGCAAAGCGCAGGGCATGCGAACCAGGAAAGATGATGTACAAGGCTCCGTTTGCACCAGCATCCCGTGCAATTGGTTGGACTGAGGTCAAATGTGTGTCGTATATATCGCATTCCAGCCCAAGACCAGCCGCATCAAGCGAAACGTGGTCGTCCTGAACACAACGCCTTCGCTGATCCCCCGAACCGATGGAAGCGAGATGGCGAGTAACCAAGGTCGAGATCTCTCAACGATGCATCCCACTTCATCTCCTCCCACCTCCACCACCACCACCGCCCATCCCCCCCATCCCCCCCATCATCTGCATCATCTTCCCCATATCCATCCCACTCAGATCCGGCATCCCACCACCTCCTCCACCACCACCTCCACCACCCATCATCTTCATCAAACTGCCCAAATCCGGCATCCCCCCACCTCCACCACCCCCCGCACCACCTCCACCACCAGCACCCATAGCAGCCAGCCTCTTCTGCATAGCCGCCATCTGCTGCCCGCGCCCCGCCCCTTGCATCCCCTGCTGCGCTTTCTGCATTCCCGCGAGTCCTCCTTTCATCTTCTTCGCCATACCCGCCATCATCCTCTGCTGCGTCAACAACTCCTCGACCTCCCTAACACTCGTCCCGCTCCCCCTCGCCACCCGCGTCATCCTCGTAGGCTGCTCGACGAAGATTTTCCCATCCGAATCCAACTCCTTGACCGTCATACTATCACAAATAAACACCATCCGCTTCAACTTGGCCGCCCCATCCTCATCATCCATCCCCCCCATCACCCCGGACAAACCCGGAATCATCCCCGCCATCTTACTCAGCGGACCCATCTTCATAATATTCTGCAACTGATCCCTCAGATCCCTCACACTGAACTTTCCCTCGGTCAAATTCTTCATCGTCTCCTTCTGGTCCAACTTCAAACTCTGCACGTGCTCCACCAACCCCTGCATATCCCCCATCCCTAACAATTTACTCACGAAACCCTCAGGGTTGAACTTCTCCAGATCCAAAAGGTGCTCTCCAGTCCCAATAAACACAATCGGGGTCCCCGTGGCGGCTACGGCGGAAATCGCCCCGCCGCCCGCCGCCGCCCCGTCAGTTTTCGTGATGATAATGGCGCCGAAATCCGCCGTCTCCTTGAACGCCCGACTCTGCGCCTCCGCCGCTTGTCCAATCGAAGCATCCAGCACCATGACCGTCTGATGCGGCTGCACGGCCCGCTGAATCTCCACCATCTCCCCGAACAACGCTTCTTCCTGCTGATGCCGACCAGAGGTATCCACGATGATAATCTCGAATTTCTCTTTTTTGAACTTCTCCACGCCGTCCCGGGCTACCACTACAGGGTCTGTCTGTGTGAGACTGCCGTAGTAGGGGATTTTGGCCTTGGTGGCGTTTTGTTTTAGTTGGTCGAAGGCTCCGGCGCGGAAGGTGTCGGCGCAGACGAGGGCGGTGCGGAAACCCCGGGCTTGGTACCAGCGGGCGAGTTTCGTGCAGGTCGTTGTTTTCCCCGCTCCCTGCAGGCCGACGAACATGATGATGTTGCTCTTGCCCTTTTTGGGTTGGTATTCTTTCTGGTGCGGGTTTACGATGTCGACGAGGGCGTCGAAGACGGCTTTTTGGATTATCCGCTTCTTATTGGCGTGGGGCGGGAGTTCGGAGAATTTGACGCTGGTTTTGATGGTTTTGCGGAGGTTGGCGACGAGTTTGATGTTCACGTCTGCTTCGGCTAGGGCGTTGGCGATTTGTTTGAGCATGCCGTCGAAGGCTTTTTCGTCCAGGGTTGGAGCCCGGGTGAGGTCGGTGAGAGCGCCATTGATGCGGCGGCCCAGGTCTTGGAGGACCATGGCGGGGGTGGTGGTATATCGTTCAGTTTCTCCAGGCGAGGGTGAGTGTTTTTATGTTGGCCTCCAGGCGGAGATGAATGTTGTATGTTGGCCTACAGAGGGTAATTCAAGATGCTGAGTTCGGGGTAGGGAACGTCTTAGACCAGCCGGTATATTCTCCACGGGTCCAGATGAGTGAGGGGTTGTGTGAGGTTGTTTTGTCCGCCGTCGATAGGATCCAATATAATAGGTCAGAGTAGGAATATGTGGACACAAGTGATCGTGTGCCCCGCAGTCACGATGGTGGAAGCGGCGAATATTCGGGAGTGGAAAGTCGAGAACTTTTTGATCCACCATTGAACATATACCTATACACTCTCTCTCGACACATCTAACCAACACCAGGAACACGACTACAAAATGGCACAACCACCCCCAAAACGCCGCCGCGGAGAAGAAAAAGAAGAACGGCGCCCCAAAAAGAAAATCAAAAAGGTCAAACGAGTCGATTACCACAGCTCAGACGAAGAAGATGAGGTCGAGGGAGCGGCGTACGATGCACCTAAAGTCAGCGGGGTGGCGAGGGTGGTGCAGCAGGGTCCTGTGGCGACGGGGGAGAATCTGAAGCCCATTTTGAAGAGGGAGGGGTTGAAGCAGGCGGGGGAAGGGGGGAAGGATGGACCTATCGCTAAGGCGGAGAAGGTGGTGGAGGAGGAGGAGGGTGAGGATGGAAAGGGTGAGGGTGAGGGTGAGGGTGAGGGAGACGAGGATGAGGATGGGTTTGAGGATGAACTGGCGAGGAATACCGCGTTGAACAGCATACCGCCCGCGCGCGATGCTCCGGATTCAGAAGACAGTGCGGATGACCAAGACAATGAGCAAGTAGCAGAAGCAGGTGCAGAAGACCTAGCCGACCTAGAAGAAGCCGACGAGAACGATGAACCAGCCCTGGACTCTTCCGACAATGACTCCGAAAGCGAAGACTCCGACAACAAAGCCTCCCAAACATCCTCTTCCGCAAAAGCGAAGAAAAAGCGGAATGATCCCACCGCCTTCGCAACAAGCATCACTCGCATCCTCGACACCAAACTCGCCTCCCGCAAACGTCCCGACCCGATCCTATCTCGATCCACCACCGCGTCGGAAGCGAATAAAGCTCTTGCGGATAATAAACTCGATGCGCGTGCGAGGGCGCAGATAAGAAGCGAGAGGAGAGGTAAATTGGATAAAGGACGGGTGGAGGATGTGCTGGGGTTAAAGAGTGGGGCTGGTGGGCTGTCTTCTACTGGTGGCGGCGCTGATGGTGTCGCTGATGGTGGGGCGGAGGGTAGGGTTGATACGGGAAAGGTTTTGGAGGAGGAGAAGAAGTTGAAGAAGACGGCACAGCGCGGTGTGGTGAAATTATTCAATGCGGTCCGGGCTGCACAGGTAAAAGGGGAGGTTGCCATGAAGCAGGCGAGGGCAGAGGGCGTGGTGGGCATGCGACAGAGGGAGGAGAGGGTGAGTGAGATGAGTAAGCAGGGGTTTTTGGATTTGATCTCTGCTGGTGGTGGGAGTGGTGGTGGGGTTGGTGGGAAGAAGGAGGGGATGAAGGGGGAAACGTAGTGGTATATGCTGTAGCGATGGGGCGGTTCAAGCGCTATATATATGATACACTTATCTGTACATCTCTCCCCTATCATGTTCAAGGAGCATATGGCTTGGTCTACAGAATAGGGGTGAGGGCGCCGTTGAGTGGTTGTTGGTCTACTGTTCTTCTTGACTTTTTATGGCCCTCGCACAATCGCCACCATCCCATCCCCCCCATCTCCAGCCTTTTCATCTAACACTCCGGCTTTCTTGAGCACTTTGACCGTATCCCCCATGACGCCCACCTTCACCCCCCTAACCCCTTCCTCCGCAAATCTCACCGTCTCCATCCACGCCTCGGCATCGGTCTTGGAATAATGCATCGCCGTGGATATATACTCGACCGCCTCCTCCTTATGCGTCTTGTAATACTGTACACCCTTATCAATCGCCTCGAACATCTGTCCCAACCGAGGGTCTAAGGGATCTCGGGCGGCGATCATCCAGCTAGGCCACGGGGTGTAGATCTCCCCTATCCGTTTCAACTCCCCGTTGTCCCAGTAGTGTTTTGTGGTGAAGTGCTCCCACATGAAGAAGTCCGTCTCCTTCGCCCCTTCGTCCTTCCTCACACTGTTGCGCAACGCGGCGAAATCACCAATGACTTCTATCCCGAAAGGCTCTTCTTTCCCCTGTTCTAACCATCCGTGTGAGTCCGCAAGGACATACGACATGACATAACTCCCGCTCCCGATCCGACTCACACCCACCCTCTTCCCCCTCAAATCCTCTACGGTCTTGATATCGTCCCTCTCCGCTCCCGTACTTATAGCCCAGCACAGTGGACTCTGCACATACGTCCCCACCAGTCCGAAGCCGGCTTCTTTACCACCAGCTCTACTCCGTCCGAGATCCGCGACGAAGCCCTCTGTTAACCCGATCGCGACATCGAAGGCTTTTGGGTCGGAAGAGGGTGCTTTTAGACGGGCTGTAAGCGCGCCTGTGCCGAGAGGTTCCGCGATCAGGTCGGCGTTTAGATTACAGTGCTTTTGGGCGAAGTGGAGGGGCGTGGAGAAGTGTTCGGGTATGTAACCTATTCGCAGCTTGTTTTGCTGGTGTGACATTGTGGTTGTGGCGGCGTGGATTGTACGAGTTGTGGGCGCAAGTCTGGGTGAGAATAATTTTGGGAGAGGGCGGAGGAGGTGGGTGAGCATTGACTAATTGATTGATTGAAGGGGGTTTGTGCTCGAAGAGTGTCTAGATGTGATGGAGAGGAAGGCATTTGAGTAGTCCGACAGCTCGAGTGATGGTGACGTTTATCGATTAGATCAAGAGCGGTGTTGATTGATAAGATAAGATGAGATTAGCTCTCGGTTTCGTATTCTAACAAGGGCTTCCAATAGTATTAACAAGGGCTTCCAATAGTATTCTGCCTTCTCAGGCTTCACTTCTCGGTACGAGACTGGCTGCTTATTAATCGCAGGCTGGGAACCGCATAGGTACCCCTAGGCAATCATCCTCGTCGTGGTCTTCCCTAAGAGCTACGGAAAATGCCATACGAAAGTTCGCTTGAGCCTGCTCTCCCCTTGACCTGTCCACTTTGTTAGCAGACACATTATCGAATTATCATGCCCTCCTTCGGCCCTCCCACCATCCCCGAAGAAGGAAAGTCCATCGAGCAAGCCTGGCGTGAACTTTTTACCGCTTCTGCGATAGCTACAGCAGAAATCACCCACATTTGCGAGAAATACATGGTTCCGCAGGTAGTATGGTACCTCGCCGATGGCAAACCTCACACTCTCCCTCAACTCGTAACCATCGTCGCTAATCTACGGGCGAAGTTCACGCTGTTGGATTTGCGGGTCAGGGATTATGTGAGTATTGATCTGGGGAACCAGGGGTGGAAGAGGGTGGCGATGAGGTATGAGAGTGCGAGTCGGTGTGTGGAGGATGAGAAGGTGGTGAAGCAGGAGTGTATGCAGTTTTTGACTGTGGATGGGGAAGGGAGGGTTGTTAAGGGGAGTGAGATTTGTAGGTTTATCGAAGGGGCTATTGAGCTGTAGATGTACGTCTTTTGTATACCGGTGCGCATCATATGTCAAACTGGTTTGGGGGCTCTCGTCCAGCCAGGGCGTCTTTCATGTTCTTGTCGTCTCACACATGTGGTCTACTTCGTGAACCTGAGGATCAGGGGAAGAAGAATCGGATCTGATCGGAAAGCAGACGTCGAAGTCCTGCCGACTTGGCACATGTCATCTTGTTTTGAGCCAAAATCACAGCATCTTTCCAGAAAATCGGCTTCCTCCACAGCATCAAATGCCTCAAAGGATGCAGAGAGACATCATAGTCGCCGACACTACTGTGACCATCTCAGTCCATGCACTAACGATATACTCAGTCCATGCCCACCGAAAGATCAACCTGGTCCTTGCGCAAAATACGAAACCCTCCCCACCAAGGACCTCGGATGCTGCAAATCCGACCACGCAAAGTGCCATCGCGCCGTCTATTTCCTGCCACGCTAGAAGAAACTCGCCACGGACTACCATGAAGTCGTTGAAACTCAATCATCTCTCTCCCACTGCACATTCTCGTACACACGACCGTTATACATCGGCCATGACGCAGCCGTTCCTTTCGTCATGATGCTCGTGGGTACGGTCGTGCGGGCGGTGGGATTGAGTTTTTGTGGTAGGTGAGCGGTGTTTTTCTCCTCATGTTGGATGTTGCCTTTCTCTCTGTTGCTGTTAGTATCTGTGTTTGTGGTGAGCTGGGGTTTATCGGTGAGATCGTGGTAATACACTGGACATATTACCGCGTTGGTCTACTGCGAGGATAGAAGCACGAATCACGACACCCGCTTACCGCGCCAATATGGGCCTCTTTGATCTACCTCCTGCCACTCTACTACTCATCTTCAGCAACAGTGTCCTCGGCTCGCCTCTCACCACTCTGGCTGGTACAGGAACACCTCTTCTCCCTTACACAAACACGACTTCCCTACCATCAATCACGACAGGGCCGTCGTACGCCTCCTCGTGCGTGGCGGCGTACTCATCATATAATGCAGCTTATTCGGCTTGGCAGACTGCCAATTGGTCGACTGTAACTTCATCTTACACAGCCGGTGGACCTGGATCATCACTAGTCACATTCTACGAGAACGCAACAACAGGATGTGATGGGATTCCACGAGTGACGTACTCGCCTGCAATATCACTATCAACAGGGTGGGTCAACGTCACACGAGGTACTGGGACATTGACAAGTGTGACCAATATCGGTGGGCCCGGCTTTCCTAGCACTCAACCCCGTTGTCAGATACAACCTTCCGACTGCGATCCATTATGGACAGCATACGATTCGTCATATTCTGTGTGGCTTTCACAGAATGCGACAGCGGCACCCAACAACACGGCCCCATTCGCTCAAGTCACTCCACCACCTCAGACACCACCTTGTATGAATCAGTCTGCTGCCTCAAGCTACTCGTCGTTCGAGTCATCTTTGTACGGGTGCGGATTGTGCACGATTTACGGCGAAGGGGTGGAGCTGGTGTACTTCCCGGTCCCTACGACAGTTTCGCGCGATATGTGCGCCAGCACTCCGCTCGCAAATCTAACACATTACGCCGACAACGCCGTCATCACCGCATATGCCGGAGACGGATACAATGCCCACGCTCCCATACCCACCGATCCTGGTATAGTGACAGCAGTAGACAACAACCACACCTTCACATCCGGTACAGCTTACATCAGTATCTCCACCGTTTGGGCTGTGGACCGCTGTTCCCAGACGATCGGCTCCACAATCAACAACGCCATCCTCGCCATGCCATCCTCCTCCGTCCTCTCCCTCCGCTACAGCCAAATCCACTTCCAATACTTCTACTCCAGCTCCACGCAAACCGGCTACCCAATCTCCTACGCCGACTTCAACCAACCAGTCCCTTACTCCGCCTGGGCCGGCCAAGCAATGTGCGAGTACCCAGACGACACGTACCGTTGTGGGGTGGTGTATGATATTCCGGGTGCGTATCGACCACAACTCGCTATTCCGCCGGGGATCAAGGATCTGGATCCGCTGTGGGAGGGGTGTCAGATGTGGTATGGTGGGTTGTATGATCCGCCCAGGGCTTTGCAGCCGCAGGTTAGTGAGGTAATGCCTACGATTCCGACGGCGCATGGGAATGGGTGGGGTGCTACGAGGACTGCGGCGCCGAGTTCGACGGCTGTGGTTAGTACGGCTACCGCTACTGCGCTTGCAGACCTGAGTGGGTCGGGTGATGGGCATAGTGGGTATGGTGGGTCGGGTGATGGGCAAAGTGGGTATGGTGGGTCGAGTGGCAGTGGCTGGAGCGGAAATCAAGGAGGTGGTGCTAGTAGTGGTCAAACCAACGCACAGGGAAGTGGTAGTGGCAACAACAATGACAATGGTGCGAGCTCGGCGTGGACCACGCCGGTCTCCGACAACGCACAAACGACAAACAATGCTGGGAGTCAAGGGGTGCAAGGGAACAGCAATGATGGTGACGCCCTAGGCGTCCTCGAGAGCGCCCTATCAACCGCCACAGCCACGGTCATAACGACAATAACTACCGGCGTCGGCGCAGCAGTCGCGCAAGGAATCAATAGCGTTTTCGACACAACTTACAACCCCGCCGGCGGCTCACAAATCCATAATGCAGCTGGTGGTGCATCAGCAGCTAGCGACGGTGGATCTTCGTACAGCAGAAACGCCAATGCATATGACAGCAGTCCTTCTGCAACGACGGGTCATGATGTCGAACAATCGAGAGTCTCATCGCAATTGTACTCGAGTCAGACGGGGAGTGCGGTTTTGGTCACCGTTGGTGAGACGAGTGGGCTTTCGGGTGGTGCTGCGCAGAGCACAAGTGGTATGGGCGGTTCGGGTGATGTCGCGACTGGCACCGCAGCTAGTGGATCTTCCGGTGCTGGGTCCTCTACTAGTGCAGTCGGGGCCGCAGCAAGTGGGTCGAGCGCCGGCGTCGCAGCCTCGTCTGCGGGGGGGAGGAGGCATATGACTCCATGGCTTATGACCGGCGGCATGGTGGTGTTTGTGCTTGCTCTGATGTTTGGATCATAGATGCATGGTATTTTGGGTTTGAAGCGTTCATAGCGTAGACGATGGGGGGTTAGATGATATGTACACGTCTTGATAGCATAGCATGCCATGGGCTTGAGTAAGCACAGCACAACAGCATATTATCCCGATTTTACAGTATTTGATCTTACTGCGGCTGAACAAGAGAACATGATAGTTCTGGCGGCTCGCATCCAGCAGATTTGAAATACAGAGTACTCGGAAAGCTGAGATAGTCTTGGTCTCTTATGTTGCGCTAGACTGTGGTTTCGCCTCTTTCCCGGCTCTGCTTTGGCTCTACCACCCGACTGAGCTCCTTTTGCATTCCTACGAGATAGCAGCCATACAGCTCAAGCAAGAAGCGCTCTTGATCTCTTAGGGTGTGCGCATTTGTTTCGGCGAAAGTCTTTGCAAGCGCAGACTGTACCGAAGCTGTATCGCAGGAACGTACATCTATCCCAGTCAGCGTGCGCGCAGTGCCACTTGAGATCGCCGACTTCTCATCACTTCGAGCTTGAATGTTCATGAGATGACCACCGAATATGTCTGCTAGTCCAAACTGCTCAAGAGTCCGTACAAAGTCAGAGTAGTCGTCCGTGTTTTGGCGCTTCGTCCATATATCTGGCAGACTCGCTACTTTGACGGACAGCCGCACGTTATGCAATAATGTAAGATGTGAGCACAAATCAAAGACCACGCATCGGCCAATCCACTCTCCATATGACTTCCGATTGTATCCTAAGCGAAATCGCCAGAAGAGATTGGCGAAAACTGACCCGAAGACACAAGGCACGATGATGACATATCCATACCATAGAGTGGCGCTCACAAGCGAGCCTGCACCGGACACGAGTACTGTAGCCGCGTTGACAGCTGCATAGAGTTGGTGCTGGCGAGCGTGGGCAGTCATTCGTCGTCGAGTGTCACTGTCGACTCCAGATCGAGCATTGCGGATAGCGGCGAGTTGGCCAGAAGCATGTCGCCACATGTAAACTGACCATGCGGTATTGATGACAGCATACAGTGCGACGAAGGAATTGCCGATGTATCCAGACATGAGGTTGCTGGCGTCGAAGACGACTGGGATATCACCTCTTATGGCTAGCATGGTCCCAATCCCGACCAAGATAGAAGCGATCACCATGATGCCGTCCATGATCGCACGATCAACGTACTCCCATCCCAGCTCACGGTAGTTGATATCCAACCAGGCTTGAAGGAGGACTTGAGAAGCATGCTTTGCATCTTTTTCAGCACCATCCTCTGCCAAGCGACACTGCAAGTCGCGCCTCTCCTGCCAAAGGAGTTTGATGTTTCGGCGGCTGCGGATGAGGTCCCATACCCCAAAGAACGACCACAAGAAGCAGATCGACCCTCCGATGCCCATCAGGACTTGCGCGAAGAGTTTCGGTGGCACTTCATTCCAGACGTTGGCGGGGAAGTCCAGAGCGTTGGTCAGCTCGAAGAGACCTACCGCTGCCAGGAGGTTGTTGCGATAGAGCTGCTTTGGTTTGATTCTATATTCCTGCTTGGCTTGGTCGAAGATGTATTCTCCAAGAACAACATCCCGCGGTGGGGCGACTGAGCTGGTAGACGAGAGCGTTGAACCGGGACATTGTGTGTCTGTTTGTGGTGTTCCATTTTGGTTTCCAGGGAGTGTCGCCTGCACGAGAGGCTTCGCCATTCGACGTGAACTCAGTAATGTCCGGCCAACTCTGGTGTTCCAGTCGAATGTGCCCAACACACCACATGGATAGGTACGCCAGATCCCATTGCTCCAGCAAATTCACCGGACAGGAAGGAAGGAAATGGTGTTCAGTAGGCCGCGACACGTATTCGCCTTGGCCCTTCAAACTTTATTACGACAGACGTTTGCTACTTTGGGCTATTTTTAGGGGGTGGGGACTCATGGTTCCTGATTGTTATCGCATCCCCCTGGTTAGACCAGATAATGTCCATATCGTCAAGAATACATACAAACATTCTGAACATCAATCATTCGCTGAATATCGCTTAGACTCGACGATATGGCACCATCAACGACATCTACAGTTCCTCAAAGACCTTGGATCTTCTGACCGCCAGTCTGTTCATATATCATCGAACGTAAAGCGTTGATGTATGCGTGGTCCAGACCGCGGACCTCCAGCCATTTACGCGCCGTGGTGTTCGGGCTCTCATCGTTGCGGTATACGAGGTCCTGTGGTGGTTTGCCATCATGAAGATCGACCTTGAGGGTGAAGGTTTTGGTCGTTGGCTTTGGCCTGGCTTGGAAGTGGAAGACGTTCTCGGAGTCTTGTTGCGGATCCATGACTGCTTGGCGTTTGATGGAGTCTGTTCTTATTACTTTTTCGTTCTTTGGTCTAGACTTCGTATTGCTGCTTTGATGTGAGAAGAAAGTACTTATGAGAGCGGGTAGTGTCTAGGTTATATACTCGATGTAATGTAGATAGCAATGGAATGTCAGAGCCATACTTCGTTTACTGTCCTCATCCACTGTCCTCAGGAAACTCTATACCAGTAGGTAAGAAACATGCGAGAACCAAGCGATGTGATACTGAGGACAACTTCTCTTGGCACGAACTACAGACTCTTTATATCGCGGAAATATCTGGCAAGTCGATAGGCACAACACAATTCGTGCTGCTATAGATACTTGCCCTATGGTACTCATCTCCGCACCTTCTGCTTTCAACGTTGCAAATTCGCGGCGAAGCGCCTTTATCTCCCCTCTCCAAGACCTCAATACGGTCTCCGTACAGTAGCATCCGCTTCAACCCGTCAATTACACGCTCTTTCGAGAAGACCTCCTTTCCAGCATCCGCGCTGAATCTGAACTTCTGAAACCTCCTGCCGCCATTCTCGCGGACGATTAGGTCAGTAATGGCGGAAGCCAGTCCCCTATCGCCGAGTGGGTAATGACCCAGAGATTCTAGCCATGCCTTGGCGACACCGCGTGGCTCTAGGTCGTCAGAGTAGGCGAGGTCATGTGCTCTGCCATTCTCGAAGAATTCGATACGGAGGTGGTAGGTTTTCGGCACCGTAGCTGTTGTTTGTTTGAGCTTGAAAATAGGTTTCTGGTTCTCGTCATGTCGTGATGTCATGTTCCCAGTCGTCAATGCTCGTGCTGCGTGCCCACAGCCCATGGCAAGCGGCCGGTACCTTTTAAGTACTCCGTGTCGACAGAATGGTTCTTTCATGCCAGATAGCTATACTCCCTACTGCAGCGTCCGGACAACCGCCTCCATACAGATGAAAGAGGAAGCGGTCGCCAGCATTGTGCCTGTGGAACAAACAAGTCGCGGACTGCTTGCTGCAGGCTATAGCCAAGTTGCATCTGCCTAAGGGTTAGCAGGTGTTACAGCACATCTGCTTCGGAAGTCCGGCCTTACCAGTCTCCACAGTCGTCTCCGGATGCCTTGTGTTATGATCACAACAACAATGGTGAAGTCCACATCCTCTCCGACAGCAGACATCCTGTCAGAGCAGCGCTGCCGGAAGAGATCAATAGTCGTAATCACGTCCTCCTCAACACATCAACCATCCACTCCTTACTCGCCACACCCTCCGGCAGCTTGAAACTCCAAGTCAGCGGGAAGACATGCATCTGCTTCTCCCAATCCAACCACTCGCCATGCACGCCCGCCTGGTTGCACTTTTCCCTAAACAACACGGCATCCGGACCCAGAATATCATACCGTCCAACCACCCCATGCACCAAAACATTCCTCTTAGCCAAGGGCGCCACATCAGCGTACAGCGGTGAGACCCTGACATCGCAAGGGTCCCATTCACCTCGCCAGGTTCGTGCCGTCATGTTGATGAAAGGTATGCGGAGGATGGGGTCGTGTTTCTCGATGACTTTGATATCAGGGTTGTGCCTTCTCAGATCCGTGCTCGGGGAGATGCACATCAGTGCGGTCGGACACCTCGCCTGGTTGACGTCCTCGTATAGTGCCGCCAAGGTGAGACAGAGGATGATATTACCACCTGCTGAGTCGCCCGCTAACACGACCGTTTCACCTGCCTCTTCTGCTTCTCGGAGGGCCGTGTGGTACCATTTCATAAGCATCGGGATTGCATCGGGGGCAGCACTGTTGGGTGCGAGAGGGTAGGCGACCATGGAGACAGTTGTGTTGGGTACGGCGTTGGCGAGTTCGGCGCAGAGGACCCAGTGTTCGCTACTAGCAGGCATTTGCCAACCACCGCCAGCGAAGTAGTAGATGCGTTTGTGGCGAGGCTGGATCTTCTCCTGTGAAATTGAGCCTGACAGGGTGGGCTGGAGAGGTGTCATGTCGTAGATGTAAATGCCCTCAGTTTGTCGTTGGGTGATGTTACATCGTTTTAGTGCTTTCTTGTGAGGATCGAGAGGCTGCGAGCCAGATGGTGTGGGCTTGGCGGGTTTGATGATGAATCTGTTTAGTGGTTTGAGGATGTGTTGGAGGACAAACATGTACATCGATCGGTCGGTATGCTTGGTGACTTTGATTGTTGGTCGTAACCTCTCCTCGAGCGTCTCATCCTTTTGCAGAGGTGCCATTGCGAAGGAGTCTTGGCAGTCAGCTGCGACAGCTCTGAAATATCCAACGGAGAACAAACAGCAGAGCGTCAACAAAAGAACAAAGGAGTCGAGGCAAAGGCGATACAGTACAGTACGAGGTGTGTCATAAGGTTCGAGATATGAGACGCATTGCCTACCTTGGTGACATCTTCCCTTATACTTTCCAGGCAACGCGGCGCACCTCGACTGTCACTGCACTACTCTATGAGGCGTGCATATTTGGTGTGGTAGGCCTGATGAGCGAGCGAAGGCTGAAAAGACAGAGAACGAATACGCGTTGCGATCCCGAGCTTGCCGAGAGAGATCCCCTACGTCATCACGATCTCGCTAATCGTGCGGATGCGGATTCGGCAAGCGGCAAGGGACATCCGATCGCGCTTGGACAACCACTTCCTATCATGCCCGGTACGATTTCGCGGGAAGATATGTATAGTAGCATACAGTCTGTGCAGACAAGAGAGAAGTCGTGCTCGATTGCGTCCACGCACGACAATGTCTGCACGATCTTCAATTCACCATGGCTTTGCTAGGGGCCAAGGAGACGACACAAGGCGTCCACGATCGAAGGGTTGCTGATGCACCATCATGTAGGCGTCCTATTCTGGTGATGTGACACCACACTGGCATTCGTGCGATGTCTACGACGCAGGGAAGTATGGATCGCGAATCAAAGGCAGGTTTCGAGTGGCGAGTCAGGTAACGGCCTTGACTGTATTGACTGTACCAGGTGCTTGCAATAACACGGTTACCAGCGTGCCGATGAGCACAAAGCTGACATATACATTGATGAAATTGAGACAGGCGCGCTGTTATGGTTCGGGCACGAACCAAGCAGTACGATATATGCTTATTACTGTAAGGTTTGATGACAAGCGTTCAACTATTTTCAGAGAGGTACAAATGCTCAACACCATTTTCTGCTTCTGCTAGCACGCCTCGCAGTCAGGCTAAGACCGCCCGCAGTATCTGCACCGATCACCTATCGGCACTCACTCAGTCACCGCTACCTTCACTGCCAAGTCTCTCAGCCCGTCTTCTGCGCGGATTCTGGTTTGCCGCCGAGCAAGCCGATCTTCGTGGGATGGTGTGGTTGAGGATAGGCGGCAGTCAATCGAGGGTACTGCACCACGTCGACATCTAGAAGAAAGCAAGGCCACGGTCAGCTGAGCTGAGCTAGGGGGCACGTCCATCTCAGTCTTGTTATCAAATCTCTTCATCTTGAATTCCTTCATCAGAGAATTGTTCGTTTGGCTCCCGTGGGAGACTGCATCATTGATGGTTCACCTGCCTTGGACTCAGCTGGCTGTGGTGATTGCACCGGGCGGTCGACCTGGAGTATCGCGGCCGATTGCTGCTCCTGGACCTCACACCCAACGTGGTCTGGAGCTGGTTCAGGAATCTGCCAGTCGCGTTTTGATCGCCGACTGGTGGAGATGGCTTTAATGTTCGACGGCGAACGAGAGGAAGTCGACTGGCTGAGAGACCTAGAAGAACAGCACAAGGACCCGTCAGCTTAGCTGAGCCAGGGGGCCACATCCCTCAGACATTGGGTATGATTGTGAATATCCGCGTTTCTCAACATTGGAAATCAGAAAACTATGAAGTGCAGGTTGTCGCATCATTGGGTTTCACCTGCCTTGGACCGAGCTGGCCGTGCACTGCTTCTTCTGGGACTCTCGGCGAAGTCGGTATGTTGTGAAGGTGGCTGGGTGGCCATCCTTCGAGGCTTCGTTACGGTGGTCCGTGGTGATGACTAGATTGGAGAACAGTGGCAACTAGTTTGAGAAAGACTGACGGCGAGACCAATGATGACGAAAATTCTCTTGAGCAGGACCAGAGTGGATGACCATTTTGGTCGGCCGATGAGGTACTGATGTTCTGAGGTCGAGGTGGGAGGAGGGTGCGGCGTGGCGCGTATGGCGTGAGGTGGAATCAACAAGAAGGAGAAGAGGAAGAGGAAAAGTTCGTGTAAACACGTGGACGAGGTATGTGACAACATGGGAGAGAACAACACTAACAGTAGAGTACACATCACACGAAACAGGTAGTCCCGAAGAAGTCACGCTCGAATGAACAAGAAAGACTCACCCCTGAGCAGAACGCACGACAAGATCAAGTACGATTTCGAGGGATGTTACGATGGCCGACTGCAGTACGACCCACCCAACACAGAAGCGAGCAGGCCGTGAAGAACACAAAGCTCCCGGAAGACCACGGAACGATGACAGTGGCCGCAATGAACAGGACAGAGTATGAATATTTGGAAGTGGCAGGCACAGTTGCTGCAGAGGAGCTGCTGAGGAGGAGCTATCGTCTCCGTTTTTGAAGGCAGCGATGGTCGGTCCACAGCGAAGAAAGAGCTGCTAAGTTGGCAGTTAAGGACAGCCATGAACTAGTATGTGCGGGAAGGCATGAATGTAAGCGTCTATGGGCTCAGAAGATCGATCATAAAGTAGCATCGAGAGCTTAAGACATGGACATGGAGAGAAATGAGGCACAAGGTATGCTAGAATATTGTAGCAATGATCTAACACTGTTGCTGAGACCTATGTGCTCCGCTTCTACCTCACCAGACCTCCGATAAGAATTGGCATGCCCAGTATGCGAGGGATCTCCCTTTCTCGCTATGTATCCGTTGTAATAATGATACTGTACTGTAAGATCAAAGCATGCTGGCCGAGCCAATGGCACTCGCACGGACTACACAGAAGTGTGGGGAAGTGCCCAAGATGGCAACAGGTGTACATTGTACTTCCATCATCCTTACATCAAAGTTCGCCTGAGCTATTGATCTGATGAAGCTGGATGTCGTCAAAAACGACCGGAGCGCTCTGGAATGCCCTGATCAGAACACACCACATCACCTCTCGCAAGAAAGTGGCTAAGCTCAAACAAGCGGCTACAACGCATAATGTCTTCGCTTTGCTACGAAGTGGTGGGTGTCCTGGTATCATGTATGTGCAAGGATCGCAGGCTGGAGTAGAGAGCTGGGTAGCTGTCGTCCAGGTAAGTGAAGAACTTGCAGTTTGACGACAGTCAATGCTTACAACGTCCAGAAACTCCGATACAAGGACTACCATCTCGCCTCCAAGCCCGCTCCTGTGTCAGAAGACGCATCCGGAGTTACAGATGCTCGAGGTATATTATATGAGATCGAATCTGTCAAGGACTACGCTGCTAGGATGGATGCTGCCGGTCTACTTCCTTGGTGGCGGAAAGCTATGGGCTTCTCTGGACAGGACGACCGGCTGTGAAATGTGTCATCTGTGATTTCATCTACTCGCCTTTGAGCCGACTTATCGATCTTCTATCATGCTAGCTGTCAGACCCTGACATAGACGGAATCATCCTTGGAAGGATTCAACCGGGGCTCAATGATAGAGGTCGTGGCTTGCCAGAGGATCTGTCGGCTCGGTGAATACACCACATCCTCGCGGGAACTCGTCGCTCTTGCTCGGCACAGTCTAGGAACCATCCCGAATCTGGCCTCATTCTGTAGGTATAAACGGCTACTGAGAAGTATCTGCTGAACGGAATCAAGGAATCGAATGACAAAAATGAGACGTTTCCAACTTCCAAATTTGCCGACCATGTCGAACCCATGAACTGGTCGACGTTCAGCAAACATTACACAAGGGCATCAAGCGATGCCAGAAGACATCGCGTGAGATTCGAACATAAATTTCCCGCTCTCATCGGGAGTTGGAGCAAGCGCAAAAAAACTTTCGATCCACGATCTCTCGAATATTCCATGACTTAGAAAAGGACAATGTCTACGTCGAGTTGATCGCCAGAAGGACGCAGAAATAGCCAAAAGAATTAGCTGCTCTTGGTTTCGATCCAAGGACCTCCGGGTTACTAATGGTAGACCATTTTATGAGCCCGGCGCGCTTCCGCTGCGCCAAGCAGCTGTTGATGGAGTGCGGGAAAGCCATCATCAATTATGTACCGCAAAGTGTTTGAGCCGAGGTAAAAGCGAGACTGAACTCTCCGCCTCAACGTGCCAACCTAATAATGACTTCGATCAACCTGACCTCTTGTATATCTTCTACTGTATGACACATTGAAAAGATACGAGCGGTGCATCTTGCGCGGTCTCAGTGTAGCATCCGAGTAAGAACCGTCCAATACCGAAGATCCGACGACTATGTTCCCGTGTACATGTCTATCTACCTAATATCTCAGCACCTGGGCTTCTCGCGCAGATCACTTCTGGTGTGTTGTGTTCTACAAACGTCGGTGGCCTATTCTACCTGAGACCTCATCAGCTGCCACCATTCCGATTCCTTCTCCTTTCCACAAAGCACGCACGGCTTGTACTATCAACCGATATTCCCATTGGCCGAAGTCCAAGGAGAACAGTCCTGGATTCGTCCGGCCGTCGGGAATCCGCAAGACGAGTCGATTGACTCGATCGCGGAATCTGTGCGAACGAAGACTCGACACATTGCCTGCTTAACACTGCAAGGGTCCTGTATTGCGGAGTCCATACGATATAACAGCATCGCCTCCGCGGCGCCGATGTTGCATTTCGTTCGTTGATCCGGTATCCAGAGCCAAGGACATCCATCCTCGTAGCTTTAGCGGAATGTCCCATCGCCAGGCCATGCCGACCGATCATATATACTTATAAGGGTTCATAATCCCATTCTGTTCACCAACCGTTAGCAAAACTCACTACCAAAGAAACCCCGGCTCCGCAAGAAACACCCCCTAACACCTCTCCCTCCCACCGCAACAAAATGAAAAGAAGCATCAACTCACCGGATCATACAACCCCTTGACCCCCTTCATCAACGCAATCATCGTCTCCGACCGCGAGTACCCAATAAACTCCTTCTTCGCCAACCCCAACCCATGCTCCGCCGAAATACTCCCATTCCTCTTACTCACCCACTCATAAACCCACGGCTCAATCGCCTTCTCAACTTCTTTATCATACCGTCGTGTCGCTACATTCAAGTGCAAATTCGAATCACCCATGTGTCCGTACCCGATCACTTCTTTGACTGGGAAGTCGTCACTGTCACCCATTAATCCGTTCTTCTGAAATCGTTCCCGAGTTTCGATTACGAGGTCGTAGAGTTGGCCCAGGGGGATGGAAAGGTCGTACTTATACACGCCACCGAAATGCTGCCCCGCTTCCGAAATACCCTCGCGACAAGCCCAGAGGGATTGAAGCTGAGTCTCGTCCTGCGCCACAACACCATCCTGCACAATCTCCTCCCCCATGACGTGCTCGAGGAAATTATTCAACTTCTCGCTATCGTGGTCCGTATTACTGCCGCTTGTTTCGATGAGGCAGTAGAATGGGTAATCGTTCTCGAGCGGCAGTTTGGCGCCGCTGGCTTGGCGGTAGAGGTCTTGGGATTGGTGGTCCATGAGTTCGAAGGCGGAGAGGATCTCGCTTAGTTGTTTCTTGGCTTCTTTGAATGCTTCTTGCACTTTCTCATAGGATTCGAGACCAAAGTATGCCACGTTGACTGCTGGTGATCGTTGGGGGCACAAGATTGATATTGCCGTGATCACGCCGATTGTGCCTTCGGCTCCGATGAATAATTGTTTTAGATCGTATCCCGTGTTATTCTTCCTCAAGGTCCCCAGATCATCCATCACCGTCCCATCGGGCAGCACAACTTCCAGGCCCAAGATATTTCCATGCATACTCCCGTACCTCAACAATCTCAACCCACCCGCGTTCGTAGCCACATTCGCCCCAATTTGACATGTTCCTTTCGCGCCGAGATCGAGAGGGAAGATGTGGTTGTGTTGGGCTACGTAATCATCCGCTTGCTGTAAGATCACTCCTGCGTCTGCTACTAGTACACCTGAGACGTCGTCGAAGGAGCGGACGGTGTTCAGTTTTGACAGGCTTAAGACGATTTCGTCGAAGACGGGCACACTACCACCGACTAGACCAGTATTCCCTCCTTGGGGTGTGACGGCGAGGAGGTTGTCGTTGCAATACTTTAGGATCTTGCTCACGTGCTCCGTCGTCTCCGGCTTGAGGACGAGTCGACACTGGCCTCTGTACTTTCTCATCCAATCGGCATTGTAGGCCTCGAAGTCCTCCTCGCCTGTCTTTTGGGTGACGCCATCGAGGACTGCACTCCCTTCTCCCAGCAATCCGCGGAAGAACTTGACATCGTCTGCCGTCACTTCCTTGAACCGCGAGTCCCGTTTGAGGTTCGGGTAGGATTCAGAGGTGTATTTGATCTTTGATTGCGGTCGATCGGGTTGTTCTTGTGGTGAGTGATCTGCGCCGCCTGCTGAAGTGGATGCTTCGGCCTTTTCGGTGTTGTTGTGTTGGTGCCGAAGCTGGACTATTTGCGATGCGGGACGAAGGACTTGTGCTGGTCGTGGTTGGAGACGAGACTGCTGCTGGAACGCTGTGTTGGAGAGACGAAGCCGCCTTAGTGCTGGGATGGCTCTATGTATGACTGGCATGGCTGTGATACTGTGGGCAATATGTACAGTGGTGAAGGAAAGGAAGGGAATGTACCGGTAATGCTCTATACCCAATGTCGACCCCACGTCAATGTCATATAGACTCTCTCTGTCATTTTACCCGGGAGCTCGGCTTCTTCGTGGGTGCAACACGGAGCGAATTCCGCTGTCTGTCGAGCTTCGCGTTCTACGACGCCTGGAGAGCTTCATGTGATGGAAAGTATAGCAAACGAACCACCACACACGATCAATACATTGCTCTCACTCTGAATCAATGCAACACACACCACCAAACAACCACACGAATTAGCTGAACCACCACTACACCTCTCCTTCCTGAGCCAGTGAGCTCCGAACAGCAAACATGGCGAGCGGATACGACAGAGCATTGAGTGTCTTCTCTCCCGATGGTACGACTCCCCTCCACCTACACCACATATACATTAACCTAATCATGATGGTGTCTAGGCCACGTCTTCCAAGTCGAATACGCCCTCGAGGCCGTCAAACGCGGCACCTGCGCCGTAGCCGTCAAAGGCTCCAAAATCGTCGTCCTGGGCTGCGAAAAGCGATCCGCGATGAAACTCCAAGATACCCGCATCACCCCGTCCAAAATCAGCATGGTCGATACTCACGTCTGTCTCGCCTTCGCGGGCCTGAACGCTGACGCCAGGATCTTGGTCGATAAGGCGCGATTGGAGGCGCAAAGTCATCGGCTTACGGTCGAGGATCCGGTGACCATTGAGTATATCACCAAGTATGTGGCGGGGGTACAGCAGAGGTACACGCAGTCAGGTGGTGTTAGGCCGTTTGGGATTAGTACGTTGATTGTTGGCTTTGATCCGGGGAGTGAGGAGGCGAGGTTGTATCAGACCGAGCCATCGGGGATTTATAGCGCGTGGTAAGAAACATCCATTCAACCTAATATATATCGGTGTGCTATGGATTACTAATATGGACGACAGGAAAGCAAACGCCATCGGCCGCTCCTCCAAAACCGTCCGCGAATTCCTCGAACGCAACCACACCCCCTCCCTCGACCGCCCGGCCACCATCGAACTCACCATCAAATCCCTCCTTGAAGTCGTCCAGACAGGAGCCAAGAACATCGAGATCGCCATCATGGCTCCGGGCAAGGAAGTCGAGTATTTGCAATCGGAGGATATCGAGAAGATTGTCGAGAAGATCAATAGTGAGAAGGATGCTGAGGCGAGTACAAGGAGGGGTGGTGCTAGGGGTGGAAATGCTGCTGCTGGGGGAAGTGCGGCGAGTGCGCAGGGGGCGGAGCAGGTTCTTGCTAGTCGGCCTGCTGGGGAGGGGGCGGCGGAGTGATGTGGTGTGAAAGTGGAGTGTGTGAGGGGGAGTTTGAAGGGAGCATCATAGCATGGCGTTCATGAGCAGCGGCGCGATGTGGCGAATGGCTGTAAGTCTGTAGAAGCGTGTACTATACATTGACGTCCCAAACAGGTCCGATCTGGCAGTGCCTTCACTCCTGGGGGTGCAGTGACTGAGCTTCACCAATCACTGGCATGTAACACGCAGGCTTTTCGTTTCACCGGCCGTTGCTAGGCGGCAGCTGATCTTGGTCAGAGCTTCTTCGCGTTCCTTCCCTTCGTGAGTTTGAGCTTCGATCGAACAACTTGCATGACAGAACACTTTCTCACGATCTCCGCTCGTCTTCGATCCTGGATATTGGTAGAGAAATACCCACCCTCGACATCATTCTCGCTGCAGTGAGAAGTGTCACGCACGACACAATGCCGAGGTCAAGCGAGTATTTCGGCTAGGATGTCGTGGGCAAGTGCTTCAAGAACGTGTCGTTTGGGGAGTACAAGGTGGCCGCTGTCGACCAGGATGATCACCGTGCGATCCGCCTCTGCAAGGCCCCGAGCGGCGTCTGCACAAATATCAGCTGCTCCGACCTTCATGCTGCCGCTGGGCTCGCAGATCTCGTTCACAAGAACCAGAACTACCCTCGCGTTGCCCACCTCGAGCGGGACAAGATCCGCGACGCCGTGCTCAACATCATGGACGGCAGATCGGCGGACATGGAGGTCGAATGTGACGAGAGCTCGACGAACTTGGTACCGACCACGCGGCTGAAGACGCAGGTGGAGATGGCGTTGGAGTTGCAGCCCGAGGAGGCACAGCATACGCCCGCTCACCTTCTTCGTCCGGCACAAGCTCACGTGCAGACGAGGCCACCGTCTCCCATGATCAAACTCAGCTCGAGGAAGGACAAGACAGCGACCGACCTCATCTCCACCAAACTCGATGACTCCACGTCCTCAACCACGACCGCCCTTGACAAAGTTTCAATTGGTCCAAGCACAGCCAGCGCGCTCAAGCAGGCTAACTTCGAGGCTCTCATGCGTCGCATGACCTCACTCGAGCACGCCAACAAGGAGATGGTCAAGACTATCGCGGAGCATAATACCGTCATCCCGAACGCAATCAAGGCGGCTGATCCTGCTGCTCTCCTACGCCGTATCAATACACTCGAGGCCGCGAACAAGGATTTGACCAAGACGATTGCGGAGCGTGGTATCATCATCGATTCGAAGCTTGAGCATGCTCGCGACCGCAATGAGGCCTTGATGGACTACGTGCACAAGACTGCTGTCGAGAGTATCATCGACAGTGTCGTCAACTTTGGCAGTGAGAGACTGGCCGGAACAGTCGCCGAACACTTCAAGGCGGCCAATGCCAAGTTGAAGGAATGTATTGACGGTTGGAAGGATGCAACAAAGGAGGCTAAAGACGAGATGTTGTGTCTGCGCGACGACGAAGAGAATGACAAAGAACTGGTCGCTACTCTGACCGAGACTGTGGATGAGTTGCGTTCGGAGCTCGAACAAGTCAAGCAGCAGCTTTCGGCTCCCGAAAAGATCCAGAAGGCTCTAAGTGACGTTAAAACCTTGTGTGCCGAACTGTTGGCCGCTCACGCCGATTACGAGCCCACCAGTCAGGAAGTGTATGAGGCCTTCAAGGGGGTCCTGCAACAAGAAGTCGACTCGATCAAGCAGCCCGTCAGGGACACAATCGAAGACTTACGCATTGACCGTGATTCAACGGCAGGTGTTCGTAAGAAGCTCGACACCCTCTTCGAACTGGTACAGACCGACCATCATGATCGAATCGCCGACATGCAGGATCTGGAGAGGTCGCTTGCCGCCAAGGTCGACAAGCTCGAGGCCAAGATTTACACCGACAAAGACAAGACCCGCAAACATTTCGAGGACTTGAGCAAGCAGATGGCAGGCCAGGACAACGAGGCCCTGAATGTATTTGAGAGACAGGACGCTTACTTGGTGCGCAACGAATGCATGATCAAGGACCTCCGCGATGACTGTTCGCTGTTCAAGAAAGATGTACAGGCCCGTTCCGAGGACGTCGAGCAGAGGAGCCGTAACATCCAGGCCAAGCTCAAACTGGAGCTGGAGTCGAGCAAATGCTCTCTCGAGCAATTGCGCAACATGATGCAGGATGACCGTGCCTCGCACAACTTCTTGGTCGACAATGTGGCAGTGTATGATGATGACATCACTAATATCAAGGCGGACGTCATGGAGGTAAAGGCTGCGCTCCGTCTGGGGGAGGAGGGTGATGAAGAGGAGCAGGCCACCCCAAGCGAAGGCCTTGGTGCTTTGGGCCAGGACAGTATCGATGGCGAGGGCTCTGAGGACTCCGAGGACTTCGAGATTGTGTCGCAGTGCGACTCTGACTTCGAGCTTCTTGGGGATGGGTTGTCTTGAGCTCCGGCGTGTAGCAGGCTGGCGAGAGGGAACGGGTTGAACGAGTGGCAGGATAGAGGTAAATGGCAGCGCTAGATTCGCTTGGTCTGGAAACATGGCTTGGCTGAGTTCTGGTATCGCATGGCTGAAGTATATCATGGCATTGCATCGTAATCGTGGATGGTGTACAACACCGTCTCTAGCATCTCTGTCATGTAATGGTCACTCATACAGCCACTTCGGCCGGATACCAGCACGATTCGATACCGTTCCATCACCAAGCACATATCTTACCCTCGCCCTCTGCACCCCGATCTCCTCGACCTGTACACCTATCCTGACTCTCTCCCTCAACGTACCAGAGAAAGCAGCTCCCCTCAGCACATTACTCTCCCCCACATCACTGCCGGCCAGTAAAGCAACTAATCCGAAGCGCCTGTCAACGGGAGTACTATACATGACTCGACTGACAACAATCAGGACCATGATAATAGCCGGCTGGATCGCACAAATAAAGAACAACGCCCACCCTTTGTGCAACGTCAAACGCTGCGAAGTCATGACCGTGGGCCGTTTGTACCGCATCCCAGCCTGCTCAAGCGTGATCGTAGTATCTCTACTCGGATCAGAGTCCTCGACATGATACTTGTACGTCCTATTAGTCCCGTATCCCGGACCATTATTCGTGACTATACGACTCCACAGCATACTCGCCGCCACAGTTGAAAAAGTCGCTCCAGCCCAACGTGTTTGGTCCGTGGCGTTGTGGCCGTTGGCGAAGCGGGCTAGGGGTTCATAGGTCATGCCGACGTACCACTGTCCAATGTCTAGTTGATTATTGGTGAGGACGTATTGATAGGCGGCGGTGTAGACCGGATCGTGGGGTGCTGGGTGCTGGTCGGAGTAGCATGTCCCGTCTACTAGCTCGAAGGATCCGCTGCTGATACTCCATGTCCCTTGACAAGGCACCCGACTGAGTGAGTACATGTTGGCGTAGGGGATGAAGGTGGTCAGGTTGTCTGGAGTGCCGCCTTTAGGTGTTGGACAGACGCCTAGGAAGAGCCAGGATTGGTCTTTGTTGGAGAGTACGTCCCAGTTGCCCAGCATCCCCACCACCCAGCCAGCAAAAGTATCCACTGTCACCAGTCTCGAGGTGTTCGCGTAGGTCTTCCAGAATTGGGAACCAACCTGCGCATTGGTTGAGGTCCTGTAGAAGGTTTCGTCTCGATGTGTGTCAACGGTGTCGTTGTACTGGGCCAATAAACCATAGACGTTCGCAGTCACATTCCTTGTCTCGCCCAGGTCGAGGTCTTTCTGCCATGATTTGATTGTGCTGGATTTGGGCGTGTCCAGCATGGCAGTGGCGGTCTGACCCAAGACTAAAGCATTGTACCCGAAAGCTGCCGGGAAGCTTGGAGTCTGATCGACGTGCCAATTCCATGTTGTTTGGAGAAACGGTAATGTAGCGTTATACATCAGCGTTGTGCCCACCAGGCCCGATGATGCTGTCAGCCCCGGAGGCGGATACATGCCCCATGTCGTTGACTTCTCCCCGATGAGAACTGTACTAGCGCCACCATTGAAGAACTGCTTGTAGGCCAAGGAGAGGCCAAGAGGTAGAAATGTGAAAGCGAAGAGTACCGTCATCCAGCCGAGTTCCATCTGTGGTCCAAAGCCAGTCTTTCTTAGCAGACCATCCAGATTCTGCAATGTAGACTGGCCGTGTCGGATCTCCCACTGTACCCATACCAGAGGTGCGACATAACCGAGACACAGATTCATGATCGAGATCATCAATCCGACTGCTGTCAATTGTTGCTTAGTCCCCAGCCTCCAGGCGATAGCGTCGCTTTGAATGACTAGCACAGCAGCGGCGCAACATAGCAGAGAGAGCAATAGGGCCATCATATCTAATGGATGCCATACAGCTTTCGAATCCTCCATGCCCAGACCTTTTGGCTCCAGATCGTCATTCTGTCCTATGACGTGCTCTCTTTGGATGGGCACCGAATCTGCTTCGACATGGTGGCCATCGTGCGGAGGACCTGTGCTCGGTAGTCTTGTGAAGGGTGTCCTTCGCATCGGATTCAGGGCATTCAGAGCGATGTCCATCATGGGCTCAGTCGTAATGAAGGTCGTCTTCAGACCCTCGAGCAAATTCTCAAATAGATCTCCAAAGCCATCATGTCGTGGTCGAAGTTATTGTTGTACATATGGTTGTGTCGTTGGGGCCAAAGGATTCAGCCGCAACATGCGTTGCAGGCACCGAGGCGTCTGTAGCTCCAGACCACTGCTTGTCGCTAGCACATAGCGTGTGCAAGGATTGCATGTTGATGGAATGGTAGAGCATTGCGGGTATACAGGTTCTACTTGTGGTATCGTGCCTGTAAGAGATGTCGTGCCCAGCATATACAACTTTGTTGTGGATGAAGATGAAACGAAATTCGTTACACGACTACAAGATGACTGAGCATTGCAGGCTGCGCCACCGTCCAATACACGAGACATTGCGTTGAAATCCCTGTGCCTACGGGTATCGTATAACATAACATAAGTAGACTCATCTTTGCCTTGCTCTACTACCGTTCTGCTGAGACTGCTGCTGCTCCTCGCCCTCCTTCTCCTTGTCTTCCTGCCCCAGACTCCCATCATCCTAACTTTGTGCTTCTTTCTCCTCCTCCGCGCTACTGGTATAGTACTTGCCACCCCATCCCTTATCCAATCCCAGTACTTTTCCAGTGACAACGCCGAAACAGCTCGCGAAAGCATTGCCTAACCACAAGATGACCAATATAAGTGCCAGCACTGTCGACCACACCCAGAAGGCGCGGCTGTTCAGCACAACGCCCAATTGCACCGCCGCGTTCGTGTAGACACCCCATGGGAAGACAAGACTCCAGGATGCCAGACTCTGATCCCATTTAAACAGAGTCTTAGGCGCTATGATGGTGTAATGCAAGATTGCAAGGCAGGCGAAAGCCCACCAGAATGTGCCGAAGCCCCAGTATAATAGACCAAGAAACTCGCTCGTCGTTGCAATCGTAGAAGCACCAGACGGCCCGATAAAGCTCGAAGTGTCGTATGACGCAAAGGCACCTCTCTGCACAACATTGCCCAAGACCTGGAGAGCAAAACTGGCTTGTCCCGGTGGACCGCACAGGATCATGATCTGATAAACCTTTTGCTGAGGCGGGTATGCTCCATCGAACAGCCTGGCCATGAAGACTCCATCAAAAGCGATTGAGGTCGGCAGTGCCATCCCCAGGAAGATGTAAGATAGAATAATGACCGGGACCTGTAGATTGGCTCCAAGCTCTCCATATCGACACACCACACCACCTCCCGCCGCGAGCGTCAGACTCGAGATCAGAGGTAGGAAGACGCTAGGTGCCACGCCATCGATACCCGGGCCCTCCACGTACGTGAGTATGTATGGGATACCGATGGTCGTGACGGCGGTAAGCACAACATTGATCCAGAACATGACATATGCCACCATGCCCCAAGTCAAGCTCCAAGACAGCAGGTTTAGCGCTATCATGGCGTAGATGGTGGTGAAGGCGATGCTAATGGAAGACAAGCATGCCGTTTCCTGCGGGTCGGTCGAGAGGATAGTGAAGACATGGCGCGGGTAGAGTGCGATGCGGACCAGATAGATACAGACGAAGAAGATTAGCGTGATGAACGTGATGACCCAAAGGATTTGACTGATGATGTTGAGGCCATGGAAGTGGTAGTGGAGATCTAGAGAATCTTCGGTCAGGTTGCTGTATTCAGATTAATATCAGGCTGGGAAAAGCTCACTGTGTAGAATGATGGACAGGATGCCAGTGCCTTGCGGTACGAGGAACCACTGTTGGGATGTCAGTATGTTCTACCTAGCAATCCATATCCGCAGCTGACCTGCGATGTAAACGACTTCAATGCCACCCGCCACGCGGCAATGCGCTGGCCGCCTTGTCCTTCCACATCTTGTTCACCCATTACTATGAATACCCTCTCAACTATGAATAAGAGTGTCCAAAACCGCCGCCGCAAGACGAGCAGGCCATCAAGCGATAGCCGAACTCATACACACGGGATAGAGATGCCATGGTCACAGATCATTGATGATCAACGTCATGTCTCAATTAAGTTCATCGTGAGGTAATGGTATTCATATTAGCGCCTGGACCCGGTGGTCCCGCGTGAAGAATTACCGGCAAGTCATGATTCAGTGCCGAAAGTGGTATTAACCGTGGCATCTACTTCTCCGGGAACACAAACCAGTCGCGTGTCGCGTGCAATGTAGTAAATATGAGAAGTCAAGAATCTGATCAGAGTATTGGTGATGATGTGCCAAGAGATGCAGATGAGTTATCGCTGCATCAGATCTATACGAAAAAGCGGGTAGCAACTATCACACCCGTCCCGTACTCTGGAGAAAATCATACTGATCCACAGTCCATCGCCACAGGACGCGATCTTAGCCAGTGAAGGATTCCAGGCAGCTCCATATCCCCCAGAATATATCGGACACCTACCTCCAAGGCACAGGTGGCGGTGACATCTCTTGCCCGCCCTCTGGAGTATCGCCATGATACTCAGGTGACTCCGAGACCGTGTCCTGGCTCTCCGGTGTAGCACCATACCGCGCACGCACATACTTAAAAACGGGCCTGCCGTCTCTCCAGAACCCATGGCCAGGTTTCCGCGTTTCTTGATATTATCGAAACCGCTGGCCATAACTCCCCAGACTAGATCGGGAGGCTCCCGCGTCTGCGGCATCGGAGCGGAGGAAAGTCGCGCTGGCCCATCTATCGTAAGTTAGAAGTCAGCAAAATCGTTTCTGAAAGGAAAGAATGGAGGGATGGAGGTAGAACTCACATCCTGACCCTCCGATCATCACCAGCAGAAGCAAATATGCCATGGTTAGTCGGACTCCACGCAACCGCGTTGACAGTCCCACCAATATGCGCCTCGAGCGAAGCGACCAAGCAGCCCGTCTGCCGTCGCCAAACTAGCACCCTCGAGTCCTCAGAGCCCGAGATCACGAAGTTCTCTCCCGCGCCACCATACGAACTCCGTATCACGAATTTATCTTGCTGAGCACCTTCATACCGCATGATCGTGTCCCCCGTCACAGAATCCAAAGCTAAGACCCGACCACCGTTCATGGAAACGAGGAGTTGTGTGCCATCAGCCGAGAAGTGAATAGACGTCAATTTGTCCTCCAAACTCCATTCGGCGATCTTAGTTCGTGACCGCAGATCAAAAACCATAATCCCATGATCAAGAGTCGTAGCCGCCATCCGCGAGCCATCGGCACTAACAGCACAATCCGAGATGCGGAAACTATTTCGATTCTCCTTCTGACTGACATCCCACGGCGGATCTCGCCAGCTATGGATTTCATTATTCCGCATGCCGCCGCTAGAACTCGTGGCGTTGGCTCCAGGGACACTGTACAGACCGAGTGGTCGCTGGGATCCCTGTGTGCCGATGACGAAAGTTTCCGAGTCTGGGAGCCAGGCTGCGGTCGTGACGGGGTAGTCGAAGTGATCTGCATGTGCTACTCTTCTGCCGTCTCGAGTTGATATGACCACGAAGTCGTTGTTCTGTGAGCAGGAGATGAGATATTCGTCGTTTGGGCTGAAGGCGACGTAGCACACACCCTTGGTTGAGTCGGTAGGGTGGTTGTTGCGATTATGTTCTTGTATCTCGTGCCGTAGGGAAAAGGTCTCTGTGTCGTAAACGCATACGATGCCATCCTTGCCTGCTGTCGCGAGCATCGAGCCATCATGGCTGAACTCAAGGTGCCAGACTTCATCTGTGTGATTCCGGAGCTCCAGGTAGGTCTCCAGTGGAAAGTCATCCGCCGGACATTCGTGATCCTGGTAGAGGCTTGGCTGTGCGGTTGTGTTGTGGTATCGGCAATTCATTATCTGCTCCTCCTGGACAGCCGTGAACAGCGTCGCTAGTCGATGCTCTGGGATCATGACTGATGGTGCAATATACCTCGATAAATCAGAGAGTAGTAAATTCCGGCTCTCGCCTTCTGCTCCATCCCACTCTGCCTGTCTTCGAAGGTCATCAGGGCTCTGGCACATGACCAGACTGGATAGCGCATGTAATCGTGCGATATCCCTTTTCAGTGGCGTGAGCTCAGTCCGAAGTACTGATAATGCAGCATTGAGATCTCTATTCTCCAGCAATTCCAGGTACTTCTGCTGCCGGAGCATGAATCGCATGAACGTCGTGTCTGCACTTTCCGCCAACGGAAGACCACGTCGTGCATGTCCATTCCGACTCGGAACCAACTCTCTACTCCTCTTCCACTCCGCCACACTATGTCCATTACCCAACATCACTCCGCCACCGTCACCCTCCGCACCTTCATCACCCCCACTACTCCCAAACAATACTGCTTCCGCCTCCTCCCACTCCCCTCCCAGAACCGCCGACCTGAAAGCCGCCACGCTAGGTATCTCAAGCTCATACCCACTCTCCCCACTCAATTGCTTCGCCGCGCCATGATACCCCAAATCGCTCAGACTCTGCAATAGTATCCGGCTGACTTCCTCCCTATCATGACCGTGAAACGGCGTCCCATCGTGCGGCTGATGTCTAATCACCGCCGATGCTCCCTCCGCATGACCGTTGTTGTGGTAGCCGTTCGACTCGCTGTTGCTGCTCTTGCCCGAGCCATTCGTGTGGGAGTGGGGCGAGGAGCCCCCGTTGGCGGAGGAGCCGTTGGTCGATTGACGTGCTCGGTGTTCGTGGGTATGGTCGAGTCGCATGCTCGGCTCTGTGGGGTCGTCCGTGGTGGAGTCTCGAGCCCGAGGACGTTTCGCTTTCCGTCGCTGAGTGCCGCTGCTTGCACTCCCGCTCCCTGATGCTGGGACTGCCACTCGCTCCGGATCAGGAGAACTCCTCCGTCGCTTCCGTGGTCGTTCAGATGCTCCGCTGGCTTCTTCAACGATAGTAGAGTGGTGGACCTCGGTAGATGTGTTGGTGTGGGGTTGTGCTGGAGAATCTGATGCTGGAGGGGGACTGTAGGTGGAGGTTGTGGTTGGGCCGGCGGTAATGATAGGGGAGGTGGGAGTGGATCGATCGTCCTCCAGCTCGAAAGCCGTAGGGTTGTTGTTGGTGAGCGAGCAAACGTCGTCAGGCTTGGTTGTGCCCTACGACATCTGCCTGAGGCGACCGCCGCCTTGCTCGGGATAACCAGGGTACGTATGTGTGTGTGTTGTGATCGGTGTGGTATCCCGATACCGTGGAATGTTGGATCTCGAGAAGTTGGTGAATGCCTGCTGACGTATGTACAGTCGGTTACTGACAGCCTGCCGGAGACGGATAGATTGGTTATTAGTCAGGCGACTATGCTGTGCTTGATTGGCTCGGAATCGGGCTATTGTCGTGATATGCTTGTACGAGCTGAAGTAGGTGTTCAATACTGTCGATCAAATGTCAGCAGCCTTTTGACAGACAGAGCAGGTGTTATCGCAGATCAGAAGTGGTAGCAGCAGCAGGTGTCAGTAGCTGGCTCTGGATGATCAGCGGCACAAGCAGGTGATACCCTAGTCAGAGCTCTACTGTAAACCTGCGTAATGCCGATACGCTAAACCCTGATTATGCAGCAAGCTTGGGTGTCCTTGCTTGCCTCGATTTGTTTCGCATTTGCTAGGAACAGGACGCCCTCTTCGTCGTAACTGCCGTCAATGTCGATCGTTTGCTAAAACTTACAATCATTTGTGTAGGTCTATTGTGTAGTGGCTTTTGGGCAAGATCTTGCAGACGAGATAGTGTACAGTATGATGTTCGTCACCAAACACTAGTGTCGACATTTGCGGGGACGATAAGCACATACACCTACCTGCCAGACCGTCTCAGATACGGTACGTTCATGCGAGCACAGCTGGGCGTCGAGTTTGGTAAACGTACATCTAGCAACACCAACTAAATGTACAAACACACACCCACCCACCCACACAACCCATAAGCCCCAAAGTGGTATCAATAAAACATGTAAGCAGTAGATAATGCTGTCTCACGCCAGTGCTTGCATGGTAGAAGCGCCCTTGCTAATGCCGTCGTCCCATCCCATGCCCAACATTATGCTGGAGAATCACAACATCCTTGTGCCGAACATGCAGTAGTCGTCTCCACTTTCTTGTACCTTCAGGTATTAATCATCTCCATCATGCTATCCTCCTCCTTGGCAGCAGAGTCCACATCCGCTCTCTCCGCCATCGGCTCCGGTGCACTCTCAGGAACAGCATCAGGCATCTGCACGTCTTCCTGCTTCTGCTCACTGCCGACCTCAGTACTCCCAACAATGTTTTCCATCGCCTTCTCAGCCTCCACCATATTCTCGTCAACGTGCGGCGGCCTCTCATCCCCTGTACCGTCTAGATTAGAAACCCCATCATGGTCATTAACCAGATCATCAAAGACATTATCAATGCCACCGGGACCACCAAGACTATGCTGACTACCTCCAAACCCACTCGGACTCCCCAGACCCATACCCATCCCAAGTCCGAGGCCAGAGTGCATGATGCCGTTAGCAGGCTTAGGGCTATCGAACATGCTACTACTGGGTCGGCCGTCGAAATGCGGATGCGGACTCATGATCCCACCACCACTGCCCTGCTTGGCCTCGTTGGCACTGGGGCTGTCGAAGATGGAACCGCCGGCGCCGTCGAAGATATGAGTATCGAAGGAGGGAGCTGGAGGTGTCGCGCGGGACTGAAAGTCTAGATTGGAGAAAGTGGTTGGCGAGCCGAGGGGAGCGGCATGTGCAGCGTCGATCGGATTCGTTTCGCTAGCGGTGGAGAAGAGCGGCGCATCTTGATACGAAGACGTCACGGCAGAATTGGCCTGCACCGAATTGCGATGCGGTTGCGTGCCGTAATCAAACACCGGCGTCATTTGCGAGGGAGTAAGGTTTGCTATACGCTTACGCATGGCATCGGTGTCGGCATCGCGGGTCGAAGGATCGTGCATAAGGACCAGCTTCATCTTGAGCAGTTTCTCGCTGTTCATATGAGGCTCGGCACGGAGCATCTCGCTGACTACTGGCGCACCAGCGTACTCGCCCATGACTTGGATGGCGAGTGGGGTGAGGAACTTCTTGACTGCTGCTTCGCCGGTAGGTCCGATGGAGGAGCCTGGGGTGAACGGTGGTACGCTGCCGACTGGAGACAGAGAGGAAGTATTTGCAGGCTGGAGTGGTTGAGTCTTACCCATCGACTCCGAGGCTTTCCGCTTGGCAATATGTGGCTTGATCTTGTACTGCTGCGGGAGCTCGTCGGGATTAGTGATGCCCAGCTGCGCCATGAGTTTCTGCTGCTTTGTCGGTCTGGGCTTGCGAGTCGAGCCAGAAGCGTCCATCCTTGGTGGCGGCTCTGGTGCGACGGGCGCCCATTTATGCAACTCCTGGCGTAGGAAGTTGGTCTCGTCGGCAAGGAGGATATCTGCACCCTCAATCTTGCGGAGGTAAAAGCGGAGTGTGTTGACTTCTTCATGTGTGATCGGGTTTTCGGGATTGATCAGCGTCTTCATGAAGTGCCGGAACTCGCTTCCGTACTCGCAAATGCCAGCCAAAACCTTCTCCTCCTCAGGCTGGAAAGGTAACGTCTCAAGCTTGTCCTGCCAGTTCTGCAGATCGTCGAGCTTCGGTCTCGCAGCATCACGTGGAATCTTGACCCGCCAGTCGCAAATAGGACAGGTATACTTGTCGTCCTCCTTGACCTTGCCGCGCGCAATCTTCAGACACTTGCCATGATACCACTCATGACAGATCTCGCATTCGATCATCATCCCAGCCTCGGACTTGCGACAGATGCAGAAGACATCTCTGCTAGAATTGCTCCCATCTGCTATCGGCCTCGCATCCTCGGGAGTCGGTTCGCGCGAGGAGGGCTCGACAGGCATTCTAGGTTTGTCGGTGAGGTCGAAGCAGGATTCGTTGCGGAGGTTGACGATCATCATGTGCTGGTGGAGGATGTGGAGGGGTGCATTGGCTTTGCCAAACAGTTTCTTGCCTTCGCGCATCCAATCTTCATGCTGTTTCTGCAGCTTCTCCAGCTCAATCGTGCCGGTGGGTTTGCTCTGCAGCTCTTCCAGTGCTCGCATGACCGCGCGAAGGTCGTCGTAGGTCGGTCGCTGTCTGAACTCTGGATTCTTGCTCTGCTCGACCAAGGCCGCGATCTTCTCCTGAACCTCGCGCTGCTTCCTGAGTATCGCGTCGACGGCGGCAAGTGTCTCAGCAGAAACGGGGAGGGTAGTCGCTTGCGTGGCCAGAGAGTCGAGCTGCTGATAGTGGACCTGCTCAACGGCCATGAGCTCTTTCGCCTTCTGCTCCCACAGCTCGCCCTGCGCCTTGTGTTCGCGGAAGAAGAGCAGGTCAGGATTGGTATCGGGCACGCCAATCTCTGCACCTTCTGCGAGGAACTTCTCAATGTCCTTGAGGGTCTGGTCTTGGCGACGCGTCTCGATGTTCGGCCGCTTGATCTTGGCCGTGTCGTCCCACCTCAGGCGCTTGACGACGCGCTCGAGATTGTCAATCTCGGGAATGTCGACGTGAAACTCCCTACCGCGCTCCATGAGTTCTTCAAAGTCAACAGTAGTGTGCACGCGAATGTTGTTGAGGGCGGTGCTCGCGTCGCGTTGGAACTCGGCGATATTCTCCGCGCGTTCGCGTAGCGTGTTGATCTCAGGACAGTCGAAGCTGATCTCATCCGCCTTCTGCAGCAGCGTGCGGATATTCTCCACCTTTCGCAATTCCTTATCGCGTTCTTCGAGCTCTGCAGCCTTCGCAGTGCCTTTGCGCCAAGCCTTCTCATTCTTCCGCCGATTCTGTTGCTTGCGCGTGATGTAATTGGTCGCGTCCTCGACCCACTCGTTACACCGCTCCACAAACCTTCGCAAATCGGGAAGCTGCGACAGGTCAAATTGGATCTTCTCGCCTTCCGCAAGCAGCGTGCGCAGGTGTTTCAGCGATGGTCGTGCATTCTCGTCGAGCTCACTGTCAACCTTCGCTGCCCACGTCTCTGGTATATTCGCTTTGTCAACCACTTTCCGCACAGTCGCCGCCAGGGCCTCGTCTGTCATGCGATATTGCAAGACATGCTCGCCCTGCTGAGCCGAGTATCGTTCCGTCTCTGGCGCGTCGCAGCATTCGTAGCCTCCAGCGTGCTGCAAGCATAGCGTCTTCCCAGTCTTCTTGCATCTATACCGTGACAGGTGGCAATACGCCTTGCAGAAGGCGCAGATCTCTTCATCTTCCTCGGTCTGTGGACCAATGAGTCCAGGTTCAGCCGAATACCTTGGCGAAAATTGTTGCGCCTCCTTCGCTGCCGCGGGCTCCAACTGCGGACCCTCGAGAAACTGCTTGCGAGCAGCCAACTCCTCATCGCGCATGCGTTCCATGGCGGATGCAAGCCACTTTGCAGTTCTGATTGTGTGGTCGCGGGATGCAGCAGTCAGGAGTAGCTCATCGTGTGAAAAGCACGGCTGCTTCCGATACCCTCGCAGCCTTTCCACGCCTTCTTCACCGAAAGGCTCCCAGTCAGGCGGGGCAAAGTTGACGGCCTCGTTGAAGTTGAAGCCGTGGTTGAAGCCTGCATGGTATGCGCGTGGGAAGGTGATGACGAATTGTCCAGCATGCTGATCAATCGCATATACCCGCACACCGGCTTTGCGAAGCTTGTCTGGACGGGCGAGTGTGACGAGCTGAAACAGCAGATCCGGCTGAGTCTCGAACAACTCTGGTAGTTCTTCTTTCATGGCCTCCTCAAACTTGTACGAGTCCTCACCTGGCACACCGTACCACGTCTTGGTCTGACCAAAATGCTGGTAATTAGCCGAGTATGCGAGGTGGTCCTCATTATGCCAGCAGAAAGTCGAAAAGCACATGCCGACATAAAGCCAAGGGATCGTCATGCCAGAGACGTCAGACTGGATGTGACGGAACAGTGATTCCTTGTCCAACGGCAAGATGTTCAAATTCCAGGGATCTGAGGAGTAAGGATCTCGAGGCTGCTTTTCGATCGTCGGGAAGCCACTACCGTGAGTCGTGCAGTGGATATCGGCTCCATACTCGACTTCCGTAGTATCTGACAGCTCATCCACAAGTCGCCAGAACTCGCGCTCGACATCTACCTCGTCCAGGGTACGCTTGTTCTCATTGAACGGACTGAACTGTCGTGGTATATTCTGGAAGTGGTTCCGCTTGAACTCGGTGGCTTTCTTCTGGAACCCATTAAGTGAGTAGACGTCGCCTTCCTCGAATCCATACTCGCCGGAACCGACCAGACAGCGCGGACAATGCCACTCGTAGTCTGGCTTCTGCTTGACTGGCGGATCCAAGCAGTGACTGTGGTACGCAGCATCGCAGCTATCGCATCGTAAGATCTTGCTCTCCTCGTCACTCCTCAGGCAAAGCTCGCACGCCTCGCCAAATTTATGATCGCCTCGTTCGCGTGGTGTCGATGATCGGCCGCCGGACATCCGAGCATGGCTTGAGTGATGCATGTTGCTACCGGCGACAGTTGGAATATCTCTCCGCAACCTCTTCGATCGGCGGCTAATAGCGTCCATTTCTTCCGCACTAAGGACAGCGTCGCTATGTTGTCGCTTCAGCGAAGGGACCCCAAACACAGCAGGCATGAAAGATGCTTGATCAGGATTGAAAGCGGGTGGCGTGGCAGCCACATGCTGCGGTGTTGCGCTATTTGAGTGCACGAAGCCATTTGCGCCGTTGACAGATGTAAAAGAGGCGACGGGCGTAAGTGCTGCTGGCGGTGGAGGTGGTGCTGCATGGGCAGGTGCATTGACAGGCGTGAAGCCACCGGCGTTGACAGGCGTAAACCCTCCGGTACTGAATTGAGGCGGTGGCGGAGGGGGCGGCTGTGAACTTTCGGTCGATCGAGGTGGTTGCGGGGTGCCCTCGCCACTCATTGAAGCGTGTAAAGCAGTGTGAGCTTGCATGGTTGGTGGAGTGTCCTGCATACCCGAAGGTGTGAGCGGCGGTTGTCTCTTGATCGGCGATGGGTTTGGCGAGGGTGTATATGGACCGCCATTCATCAATTCCAGCTGCTGGTGTACACCAGGCTTTGCCACGCGAAGGTATTCCTCGTATGGCAGCAACCATTTCTGATACGAGTTCTTGAGCGATGTAGATAGCGATGACATGATCTTCCCGCTGTATCCCAGGTCTCGTCCTACTTCGGCCCATCTCTTGCCTTTGCACACAGAGTCAAACCCTCCCTTGCGTTCGACTGTCTTCTTGAGCCGATATAGATCAAGCGGCCGCTTGTCGACACTTGGGAAGCGATTGAGGTTATGTCCATTTTGCTTGTGGAATTTGGCGAGTTGATCGAGGTAGTCATTGTTCACGCGGTTGCCGCCTTCGACTGAATTGAGCTCTTGACGTCGAGTTCGGAAGTGGAAACGCTGTTGCGACCTCACGTCAGTATATCGTCCTCAATACAGAACCTCATGTTGTCGGAGTCTTTCTCAGAGTGTTACATACCTCGGTGTTGATTGCGAATGCCGGGTTCCAAGTCTGCGGAGGGACGATTTTGATGATGCCGTACTTGCTCCCTTCCGGCGCAATCTTCCGCATATACTCCGTCGGATCTCGAAATTCCTCCTCAGTCGGATAGTAAACTGGTGCCTCGGGTATGCCGAACATGCGATTCGTTTGTGGACGTTCAGGCTGCTCAGTCGGGAAGCCTCGGCGTTCAACGGTCGAGAGGTCGAGAGGCTCTGCTCGGCGTGCACTGAGTGGTATGGCATGATTATTGCCAGATGGTGGACCGTTCAATGTTCCTGGTGCCGTCAAGCGTTCTGCGGCCTTTGCTTTCCCTTCAAGTGTCGCTGGCGTGTCGACATCTGGCAAGGCTGTCTCGGGTGGTAGTGTAACGGCGGTGGTAGTGGTTGCACTGCCCACACTAGGAGGAACCACCATCTCGTCGACAGGCGGGCACCAAAGCCCTGTGGCGAGTGTTTGGCAGTCGTATGTAGTTCGCTGCTGCTCAAATCTCCGTACAGAGGCACTGATGCCAGCGCTACATGAAAGTGGCCGCTGGTCAGATGCGCTATATCCTGCGCTCCGATACGTCGATCATTCGGCTACCGATTTGCTCGCCTTCATGACAGATATGATGACGGCTCCAGCGGTATCGTCTATGTTGGTGACGTATTGCTCTGGCTGTGCATGTGGTTGCGATGTGGTGCAGTAGTATATACAAGCGGACGTCAGGCGGAAAGATGGAGAGTCGAGAGGAATGGGTGCAAGGCGTGGGAGACTATCCAAAAGGTACTAACAGCGGGCATCCCGCTTTACCTAAAGATTGATGCACGAGACCCAGGCACAAGAACCGTAATCGCATCTACATACTTCGTAGGCTGGCAGTGGACAGACGGTTATGCACGCTGGACGATATTCGTACACGAGATGTACTACTCACTACTCTATCGATGTCCCTACTGGGACCAAAGATGTCCTTTTTCTCGTAGTTGCATGAGGAAGCCCTTCGTTCGCTGCAGATCGAGGTGCAAGCCACATATGCATGGAATTGAGCCAAGTGGGACCTGTCGTCTGAAACGACCAATAGATAGAGGCCCGATCTCCGCTCCGCTTCCAGGCACGCCTTCTATGCGGACGTCTCGATTCAAAATATAAACACGAACACCACCGCCAGGGACGTTTTGTCTGACGAGACATATGCCTCTGGAGCACTGAGATCAGTTATGGACAAGCCTATACCAGCCTTCTACGCGTGTTATCTGCTCCGATCAACCGTAAGGCATCAGTCGTTGTATGTCGGCAGTACGCCACATCCTGTCAGACGACGGAACCAACACAACGGCAAAGCGGCCGGTGGTGCACATAGAACATCGAAGGACTCTCTCCGGCCATGGGAGATGACGTGCCTGGTTACTGGCTTCCCGAGTAAAATTGCCGCTCTGCAGTTTGAGTAGGTCGAGATCACTGCACTTTCCTTACCTCAGAGAAGATTGTGGTTGAGGTGTCTTGTACTGATATCGAACAGATGGGCGTGGCAGAACACTCATTTGACACGTCATGTGACTGCAGACGATCGTCTAACACAAGCAAAGTCAAACATACGCGTCTCGCCCATTTCAGGTCGTGTCAAGAAGCGGCCTGCCAGACCTCGGATGGGTATCACTGAGCGTTTGGGCAATCTGCATCTACTTTTGCGGTCGAGTAGCTTCGAGCGCTGGCCACTCAATGTCACTTTCTATGCTCAAGACGTCTTTCGGGTGTGGGAGAGATGGGTTCGTCAGCACATTGACCACCTAAGACCTGGCATCGAGGTGAGACTTGATCCATCTGCTGCAGCCAAAAAGGACCAAGCGGTAGCATCAGAGGACGCGGCAGCCGGTCTGACAGGCATAGCTGCTCTGAATATCGGCTATAATGGCTTTGAAAGCCAGCTAGAGAAGTCTAAGGGCATCTTCGAGAATGGTGAATGGCTGCAATGTGCTTGCTGTCAAGAAGCTGTAGTCGCCAGTGGCCATATGACGTTGGTCTGTAGTACCGAAGGTTGCAACTCTGTGTTCCACCTTGACTGCTTATCAACAGCATTCCTGGAAGCAGAAGGCGACGAAGATGCAATGGTGCCAACATCTGGTGCCTGTCCGAGCTGTGGTCTAGAGCTACAGTGGATTGACCTTGCAAAGGAGCTAACTCTGCGCATGCGTGGTGAAGCCGAGATCAGTGCATTGTACAAAAAGCGGCGCAAGAGGAAAGACGATGGCGATGCTGTTGCCTCCGATGCAGAGAGCGATAGGGATATCGAAGACAGCGACCAGGATGATTTTGCAGCGGACGCTGATGATTGGCATGAGCTACCAGAGAGCAGCGATGACGAGCCACTGGCTATGAGGAGCGACCCAGGCCCTGCTGTTGTAAAGGAGAAAAGAAAACTTATGGTGGAGGCTCCTGTTGTTGTCACACTGCCCCGACCGGAGCGGGAAAGAATCATTGAGGAGAGCGACTGGGAGGATGCAGCCGTGATCACCTGAAACGAAGTCGCTGAAACGATCTCCCGCCAAGCCTCATCCATCTACGCTACGCAATATCATGGCATCATCAGGACTAGCAATATCGCCAACCACGAACCAGCACCTATGCCTCGATCAAACGCTCCCACAAAGCGTGCTCCTCAAGAAACCCATGATGGATAATATTGACCAACCAATAATCCTTCCTCACCTTCTCCAGCAACTTACTACTCGGCGACCCCGGCTTATACACCCTCTGCCACTCGCCCCAGATCCCGAACGCCTCCTCAAGCCAGCTCTTAAAGCTGACAGCCTCGATGATTGTCGGAGTCACAATCTCCTTTCCCGTGAACGTGCCCCACGTCACGGGATTGACAGACTGCTCATCCGTGCTCACGAACTCTCCTGCGGCGTTTCCGGCGAAGTAGGTGACTTGCTCGTCTTGTTCGAGCTGCGAGCGCAAACGATGCCAGTCAGCAGATGGGAGGAAGATCTCCACAAAAGGCTTCTGGAACACGAAACCGTTCTTTGGTCCCCAGCCGAAGACTGGATCGGAGCTTCGCTTGCCATCCACTGCTGGCTGGGAGGCCACTGACCACCATCCTTTCTCGATCAAGCTCAGCAGCTGAGGTTTTATGGTGAGAGTCTCGGATTGAAGTGCGTCCTCTGACCAAGGAATAGCATTGATCTTGCCTTCGAGGTGATTACGGAATATGGTTGAGATGTCCTCGACAGTCGCTGGCTGGCCCCAAAGACGATTGGCTTCTGGTATGCTGGCGTGCAGACTCACACCGTATCCGTCGATCTCGCCATACGCAGGAGAGCGGACGTCGCCCCACCGACCGTTCGGAAAGTCGTCCCAGGTTGCTTCCCTGCCCAGCGCACCTTCGCCTTCCGAGATCGCGAGAGTGTTAGCCCGGTTGCCGTTCTTGTCGCTTGGAACGCCAGCCTCATCTTCTGGTGCTTGGAAAGCAGATGCGCAACTGGTGCTCGATACCCGTTCCCGACTGACCACAACTCGATTTCCTGGTTGCGCATTCTTCGTCGAAGACTTCCTGCGATGCTGCTGCTTATTACCGGCTTCCACAACCATGTAGCGATCGGCCTCCTCTTCAGCAATGGCGTACTCATGGCTACCGTTGCCATTAGTCGAAGTGACGATAGGTGTAGCCGGAGGTATCAGGCTAGATCGCTCCAATATCTGCGTCACAACTTTCTCCAAGTTCAACGTGTAAAAGTGGAAGCCTCTCGGTCCAGGACTCTTTATACAGTTCATCCTCTCCACCATCTCGCTCAGAATGTCCACGCCGACTCTCTTAACTGCATCGTCGTCGCCTTTGACTACTTCCAACCTCTTCAGCACCTCCGTAGGCAAGTTTGCATGGCTCAGCTTTGTGGTTCGGCGCAAGATCTGGTAGCTTTGTACTGGCATGAGGCCAGGGATGATCTGTATGGTGTTGAAGACCCCACTCTCATGCTCACGTAACCGGCGCTCATACTTCTCATATGCCTCCACATCGTAGAACAATTGTGTCATGATGAAGTCCGCGCCTGCACCGGCTTTCTCAACCAGAGATGCCAGATCATACTCTACAGACTGATGCTCCGGATGTGACTGATCTGAATGGCCCTCCGGGTATCCAGCCACACCAATGCAAAAGTAATCCCCATACTGCTTCCTGATATACCGCACCAGATCCACAGCCCAAATGAAGTCCTTGTTGCTATCATCCTCCTCGCACAACGGATTCGTCTCATCCCGATATTCCTCGCTTCTCGGCGGATCGCCCCTCAACGCAAGAATATTTCTCACCCCTAATCCCTTCGCCTGCTCCAGAGCGTCGTCCACAAGCCTCCGGCTCATATTCGTGCAGGTCAAATGCAGACATGTCGTTAACCCCAATCCTCTCTGCGTCAGCTCAGCGAGTGCAAGACTCTTCGCACTCGTGCTCCCTCCAGCTCCCCATGTAACATTGACAAACAAGGGCCTCAACGCCTGTGCCATGCGTGACAGGCGAGCCTGTAGATTGGCGAAACCCTGCTGTGTCTTCGGCGGGAAGAATTCGAGGGAGAAGTAATTTGTGCCTGGCGGCAAGGCCGCGATCTTGTCTGTGATCTTATCCATGTTCCTTGTGTCGTAGCAATGAGATGGGGCTACGATGGGTGTGGGCGTAGTATATTGATCGCATTGCTCAGCGGTGTGTTACATAGGTGGTGTGACTGAAGTAATGATGGGTTGCACCTGTGAATTCTTTGCTGAAGTTGGAGGGTCCCGCTTTCTGCAAGTGTTTTCGGCAGATGCGTTGACAGCAAACTACTGTAGTCACGCGACCAAGGACAAGGGCACGACAGCACTGTGAAAGTGTCTAGACTTTGTGCAGAGCATGGACTGAAAGCTTCCGCGAGTTACATATTCTTCACCCAACACAATGTTTGAACTAGGTGCACTCCCTGAGAGCTAAGAACGAATGTAGGCTGTGACCAGGGACGATGACAATTCGAGGCCTGGAGTTTAGAAACTGTTCGAAGTATGATAGATCGTTCACAAAGCATCGGCAAGTCGCCTGGCAGCCATGTGGTGTATGTGTTGGAATGCTTCGTGAAAGTACCATTACAAGAGTTCATAACGCTGCACCCACAGCTCCGACAAATGCCCCGACCTTACAACACCAGGCCACCCGAACGCCATCATGATTCCATACTCATACATGCGTCGCTGGCCACAGAAAAAACGTCACAATTCGCCGAACCTGCAATAACGAGACCGACTCTAAGAGGTAGTCGAATCGACGCTCAACTCAGATGCTAACGATGGTACATCGGAGTCGGCTGATCGTCTTCGTGATGACGATGATGCCATCTCATACTGCTGTCTGGTGTGGTCGTGAAGAAGCCTGATGACAGTTAGTATTGAATATCGATTGTCGTTGTTGGCAGGTGGGAAGTGAAACTGACTTTTGATATGAGCTCATGGCCACTTCTGGTCGTGACAGGTCGAATTGCTGAGAGAACTTCTCTTGCACTTCGGTAGGCTGCATCCTGTTACTTTGCTTCTGGAAAGCGAGTTGAGCGTCGGCGGAAGACATGTTGGTTGGGACGGTGAAGAGGAACTGGGATGGTGAATACGCCAGAGTTGCGACGGGAATGATTCTTCGTTAATGATTTGATTGGTGATTGTGTAGTGTAAGTGAAGAGATCGTGATTTTGTTTAGACAAGATGGGACCCAACAGGACTATATGCTTTGTATCAACCCACGAAGTTGAATGCTACCTCATCGCCAAAGTAAGAATAGCGGAGCCCCTGCGTCAGAACGACTGGCGATTGCAGTGTAAGACAACGCCAATCGGGACTTTATGATGAAGCGAGGAGCCCTCAACGACTCATGCGGGAGGCAATAACAGTAGCGGGTTCCCAAGCCGCCGCACGACCGCGTCAGATGTGGTTCAGCCGCAAGCTCGTGCCGGTACAGACGGCGGGCCTAACCGGCGGCGACACGGTAGGGAGGGAGGGCATACGATGCAGACTGCTGACTTCGATGCTGTCGGCCGTTGGCTCGATATTCAACCAACCTGAAGTCGCTAGTTGGAATCGAGCCGCAGGGTCCTGTTGGAAACGTGCAGGATGACGATGGCTGTCCAGGTTGCGGGGGTCGGCTGGATCTGCAGGGTCATGCATGGCGTTTCGGCTCTCGTTGTCAGCACCTAACCCAGCCTGGCACAGCAGCAAATGTTTCTTTGGCGCTCAAGCGAGTAAGAGTGCAGTGGATGGGACGACGACAACTGTCCAGCGCGCTGGTATGGATGACGAGCGTCGCCACGGTCGACTGCACAAATATCAGCCGTGTGGTTGGAGCCAAATGCCCACCCTTCTGACGTGCGGCCGTGCATTCGAGCCAGTAGCTCTGGCTTTCCCGCCCTCATACTCCTCCTCGCCTAAATGGATCATCATAAAGGTGCGTATGCCAAGGTCGAAATAACGGAATTCTGTGACCACCATCTTCATCGCAGGTCACCATCGGTCGTCTGCATCTGCTTCGGCGGCTGAACGGGCATCGAGAAAAAACCAATGGTCCCCTGATCGAGACTTGGTTTGACATCGCAATTTGCATCGAGCGATCGGGCGCAGCGGCCTAGGATATCCACTTCCCGAAGAGATCTGTTGCCATGATTGTCGACAACATTTGTTACATCGACGATGGGATGATAAGACCTCGATATTCTTTATGTCAATTCCAAGAAACTGCTTGGATGGAGTCCTTAGATAGCTTGGTCAAAGACCGAGGTGAGTATTTCGCTCTAGCCCTGTACTTTTCCACTCTATACAGGCCGCCTACCAATTCTGCTACAGGACTCGCTGTCCTTCTCCAAGGATTCTTGGCCATTGAGAGCGCTTCAAACATGCTACTTGGGCAGCACGAATTGCATCCCGCCTCACCATACTGACTTCTATGTCAAGTATTCGACAACGGTGTCGCTGTCACGGGCATGCTCGTTAACATACATCCAACCCAAGCCATGTCCTGCGCGCCACGCCAGCTTTCTCGTACGAAATGGCCGCTGGATTAGATTGCACTCTGAACATATCTTCACAGGCCATTCTCGATGAGGTGTCGGTTTTCGGCTTCCAGGAGTGTGATCTTTATAGCATGCACATAGGGGCGGCTCTTCTGGTGCGCGCCGTCTTACCTTCGAAGCGGGTGTTGCTTCCGCCATGGTTGCGTCGTCACCGACCATTGTCGAGTCGTCAGCTATGATCGACATAGCAGGAGTGTCCATGAAAAGGTCCGCCGGCGTGTCGATGAAGCTTCCAGCAGGCGTGGCAGTGTCTGCAAGTGTCTCGGCATCTGTATCCCACTCTTCGACAGCTGACAGCATTTCCTCGTCGATATCATCGGCGAACATGGTACCTTGCGGCAGGAGGTCCTGCAGAGTTGTTCCCTCTGGAAGGCGAAAGGTGCGTGTTATTACGACTGGCTCCCAGATAGGTGCACGACTCCCTGGCTTCCTCGGCTTGTCGAAGTTTCGCTTCGCCCTAGGTTGAGGTTTAGGCCGCATGATATCTTCCGCCAGGCGCGAGAAATCCACGTCTCGTGGTCCACGTCGTGGCGGACGAGGTGGCACATCCGAATCACTTGGAGATGTGACCTCTACGAAGAAGTCTTCAGCTTTTCCTCGGACCTTGCCTCGTGCTGTGAATCGGGTCTGGGCGGTATACATGTCGCCATCGAAACGAAGTGCCCATCTTAGGTCGAGATGCTTCAGGAGCTGTTTGCCACGTCGTTCCAGAAAGATGACCTCTTCGCAGATGGCCAGCCTCAGCATCGTGCCTGCCGTAAGAGCCGGCTTCTTCAGCATAGCCTGAATGCTCGTTACAGTGAGTTCGGTCTGTAACAGTGTAGGAATAAACTGACGCATCACATCATTCGTCATCTTGAGCACGCTTTTCTCTTGTGCGAGCGAGTAGGCCTGTGCAAGTAGGCATTGGTAACCCTGGTCTGCACCTAGAGACAAGATGGTGATCTCGCTCTGGTATGGCGTGCGCTTGTTGACCAGCCAGTATAGGAAGATGATGCGAGCTTCGGATGTATGATTGCTCCAGTCATACTAGTGAGGATTAAGCGTCTCAGACTCGCCGCATTGTACTATACCTGAACATACCTCGCGGTCCATCTGCTCGATTCCGTTGAACCAAGCATAGTTATTGTCTGGATTGAAATCGCGGAAGAAGTACTTGGATACTGCAGTGAGTGAAGATTGCTCGACGATGGCGGGTTTGACTTGGGGCGAGACACAGATCTTGACGGGCTCTTCGCAGACGTTGCTCTGCAGGCGCAGGAGCAGAGCCGAAGTGGTCTCGAAGAGCACCTGCACCGCCATGCTCGACTGAAGTGAGTGTTGTGATGGTACCTGAGAGGTCCAAACGTTGAGCTTCAGATCTTCAGATGGATGGTGTATTGTGTGACTCGGTTTGAGCGTTTCATCAGGTCTCGACCCCACTCTTGGCATGACAGGAACGGCAAGAACGCTTGAGGAGGAAGGAGCGACCCAGGTCCTTAGGGCACGTGGCTTCCAAAGGCTGTCGACATACACGATTCTGGAAGGCTTCCGAGCAGCTCAAGAAGAAGCGTGGGTGAAGGTGCCGAGAGATGAGGGCTGGGTGCAAGTGCCTGAGAAGGAGCAGCTGACCAAAGCTTCCAGGAAGAGGGAGGAGAAGACTGCTCCTGGGGGCGGGGGGAGGTCCTAAATGAACAGCGACTGCCACATGAGTAAACATGCTCGGAAGGGGTTCATCGAGGGCAACGATTGGCGGGTCCACTAGTGACTGACACAAAGGAACCAATTCAGACATATCGACCTAAAGTGACTATGTTGCTGTGCTAGGCCAGCTTATGAAGTCTCCTTGCAACTCAGGGTGGTCTACCTCCAATCACAATCTCCAATTTTCCCGAAACGTCCACAGCAGCTATGTCAATGGAAGATTGGGTCGCCATGACATGCTACGACAGCGAGGCGTCAACGCACGAGCGCGAGCAGCAAACAAAAGATATCAAACATTAACATGAATCACCAATACTGACCGTCCAGAACGATGACCACCCAACATTCGACCATGGCTCTACACCAGCAGTCGAAGCGCAAACGGTAAAGGCAAAGGACATTAATCAAGACGCAGCTCACCTGCCAGAACTGCCCGTTGTCGTGGAGAACATCGCTGAAGTGGACTGGCACTCGACCCTGGACGATGACGATGATGATGAGCTGCCGAGAGAAGAAGAGTGGATCATCATCCCCCAAGAGTAGCCAGCAGCGTCTCGTGAGATCAACGCATCCAACAAACCTCCGCCGCCCTTTGCTCACTCGTGTATTTTTGGTCTCCGGTGCTTCGTTGTGCGGGCTGTTCAGGCATGTCTGATACAGCAAACGTGTCCATTTTGTCGAAAGCATAAAGACACCGGCCGGCGTAGCATGCTCTTCGCCCTCCTATTCACGTTGATTTACCAGTGAATCTCTGACCATTCACCCACACGGCGCTAAGCATTGCTGACTCATGAAGCCTGAACTTCATAGTATTACAAGTTCGTACATGATCTCTTCCACAATATAACTTGTCCCGAACACGTATAACCTTGACCTTCATTCCACCCTCTACCAAACCGTTGCAGCATACATCTCCAATTTCCAACCACGACAGCCATCTATCAGGATGTCTTCCTACAAATTTCCCAAGGCGTATGGGACCCCTGAACGGGAGCCCAGGACCCGCCGTCTACCACTCGCTGCAGCATCGCACAAACCGGCACAGCCCTACTGCTACCACCCAACCCACATCAACGCATCTGATAAGGCCGCTGAGTTCGTGAGGTAAGCCTGTCGCGAAGCACTAAACCAGGGCTGGTGTCGAAGTACTGACACGCATCTCGCAGCCGCAGCAGCAGCCCGGCTATGCAGCCGGGTGCCCAAGTGCGCCACTCTCCAGTCTCAACGAGATTCGGCCCGGACTCGAAGAGGATTGCGAGTGCGGGTGCTTTAGGCACGTGTACGGGTGCTGTCCAGCCACCCAGGTTCGACAATGCAAGTTCCTCTCCGATTCCACATGAGCCCACATCACTGACCTGAAATCTAGCACGCCAAAGTCGCCGAGAAGCTGAAGGTTCATGATGCTGGTCGCGCGAAAGCGGGCAAAGAAGTCGAGCAGAAAAAGGTGAAGGTGCAGAAGGACGCTGATGTTGACGAGGAGTGGGAGATGGTTAGTAGGAAGGAGGCGACTGAGCAGGAGAAGTGGGTCGAGGTCGTCTGGGAAACTTGAGCAACTGAAGGCGGCGACGATGAAGGGAAAACTTTCTTGTACAGTGCGGCATCATTGGGAAGTATCACTTTGAGTATGCTGGTGCGCATTCCGGATTGTGTAAGAGTGGTAGCGCACTATGCAGTGCTAGGGCTGCTAGGCACCCTTCGTATTGGTATGCCAGTCTCCTCTAGTATTGTCGAGTTCATGCCACCCGCATACCTGCCTCGTGGAGATGCCTTTCACTCGTCAAGAGCACGATGCGAGACAAGCAATGGCGGGAAGGATGTTTGCTCTTTTTCGTACCTAAGCTCTGTTGTGTATAGGAGGCCACGTCTTGGTGAGTGATGTGTGAATGGCTCAAGTTTGCTGTGCAGAATACTTCAGGCCCAGCTAGTCCCTCTCTCCTCTTAACTCCAGCTCGTCTTTCACTCCATTCACTGACCTCCGGCCCCGCATCGACGCGGCTCTGCTCCTTCCCGATCAACGCGCCGCAAGGCCCGTGCTGTCTCCGCTCCAGAGTATATAAGCCCGCCACGCTTCTACTCGTATAGCTCCACCGATCTTCAACGCACCCAAATCCGGCACAAACGCAATTTCAACATACCAGCATGTCTCCATCTTTGTCGCCAGTAGCACGCCGCACCCGCAAAGGATCCGTTTACACCCGCGAAGGATTCCAGCCGCCTTCCAAGAAATCTACCCAGACCCGGTTCCCGAAGCACCAACCCACAGCTGTGACCATCCAAGCCACAACTACGCTGCCTACCCAGCGGTGGAGAAAGTCGCGTACGTAAGATAATCCTACCCACTTCTCCCACAACGGCTCCACCGCATAGCTGACTTTACTCTCGACTTCAATAGACGCAAGCACTGTCCCGCCGGCCGCCCGGGTTACTTCAAGCACAGTCCCGTCGTCCCGTGAGCGTGAATGGGAGGTCGTTGAGGTCGAGGAGGTCGAGGCGGAAGTGGAGGATTGGATTCAGGCTTAGGTCCGGTGTCCAATATATCGAAGATCATGTCTCGGGTGAATCGTCCACTGCTTCGAGACTACTGTGGCTTGGGTAGCATGTGACTTAGTGTGGCGATAATTCCTAGACGCCATTGTCGCTGTGCTCATCTCAACACGGCATCTTCGACATCTCCAGCTGGCGGTTTGCCATGTTGTAGCGAGTCGATGGTCTAGCAGTAGCATTCATCGTTGGAGATCCTACCGTAATGCTATCCCATCTCACTTCTCCCAAACACCCTATCCATCTCCGCACCCTCATCATCCCTTCCCACCATATCACCACCACCGCCCCTCCCCGCCTCCAACCCATCACCCTTCTCCCCAGCCACGCCATCGTCCATCAAATTCCCAACCCCACCAACACCACCACCATCTCCACTCCCCTCCACCTTCTTCTCCGGCTGAAGCAAATGCTGCTCACTATCCAACCAACCCGGCGCCCTCCTCCTCTTCTCCCTCAACTCCACCTCCTTAATCCCCTGCTCCCACTCCCTCACCTTCCCCTCCGCTTCCTCCCGTTGTCGCTGGATCTGTTTCAACAGTGCCCGATTCTGGGTCGTTATGGTGGACGGGTGTGCGGCGAAGCCCGAGGAGCTGGTGACGTAAGCGGGGAGACTTGGGTCCGGGTGTGTGGCTGTGGGCGCGGAAGAGGAGAGGATTGAGGGGGGAAGGGTTGAGGGCAGGGAGGTGTAGGTTGGTGGGAGGGTGGGTGGTTTGGGGAGGTCGAGGAAGGGGTTTACGGTTAGCGGGGTTTGTTGGAGGAGTGGGTGGGAGCCTGGCTTGACTATCAGCTGGGTGTCCTCTCATCTGCTATAGGATACGTACGCTCGTCATGCATGGTCGTTGTTTTGTTATGGTGGTTGAATCATATGATATAATCCAGTAAATTGGCGAAGTTGACCATCGAAGTGAAGTCGCATGCCGGTGGGCTGAGCTTGCCTGCTGTGGCGGTGCACTGTGGCGTCGTCTCAGACCAGATATACGCCCTGCTGCCATATCATGCTCACAGAACCAGAACCAGTATAAGCAGGATAATAAGCACAACAATCAGTACACCAATACAACAGCTCGACCATCGATCTGCCGTACACCAAATTAGCACATCCTCCCGACCCCTCCCTACCACAGTACAACTCACCCTCATTCCTCTCAACAACATGCCGGATTCTCTTCAACCCCTGCCCTAACTTGCCTCCAACACGATCCGTAATCGCCTCCGTCTCATCAAGCAACTCCGCCTGCTCCTCCAATTCCCGTCCCATCGTATCAGCCTGCAAGCGCAAATTCCCCACCGTCTGAAACACGCCCTCGAGCTGCTCATCCTGCTCGTGCATGATCTCCATTTGTCGCTGTTCCTCCCAGGCGCCGTAGTCGTCGTCGTCTCCTTCGCCGCCGTGTCCGGCTAAGGGGTCGTCGTCATCGTCGCCGGGGTGGAAGGTGTCCGGGTGGGCGAGGGAGGCGCGGCGTTGGCGGTCGGCTGTCGCGACTGTGGTGGAGAGTTGATGGTGCATATTCTCCACCTCTGACGTGACATCGTCTACTAGTTTCCGTCGGCGTTGGACTTCGGAGACTGTGAGGCCGTAGTGCGAGGGATCTCCTTCGACGGCTTTCACGCTGTCGACTAGGTCTTGGAGGTCTGTGGTCAGGTCTGTGAGGGTGCTCTCCAGCTCATGCCGTGCTTCTGCTAGTTCTGGCGAGTTGGCTGAGGGGGCAGAGGATCGTATGCGCAGGTAGGATTGCAGAAGTGGTCGGCATTGTTGGAGCAATGCGAGGATGTCGGCCTGGGCTTCGAGGAAAGGATCTTGCGACATTGTGGCAGACTCCAAGATGATACCAGTCTTACATGTGTGGTCGGTGCAAAGCTGCTAGCAGTATTGTATCGTAGAACGTAACAAGTAATCGCCGGGATCCAAGTCGCGAAGCTCAAGAGCAGACGCGATATCCTGTGGCTGCTGTGGCTGTGCTCTGCAGCATAAAATGAATCAGATCGAATTCGTTGGCAACTTTTCTTCGCCCGGGGACAACACCCGAAGACGAAGTCACATTGTCACAGCACTCCAGTTGAAAACAATCTAGGCAATGAGCCGACAGCTTACAACATTCCTGGCTGGTCTATCTTTCTACATCGACGCCGGCTGAACCAGGACATCGTCAACCAAGACCACAAAATCTCTTGCTAGAACAGCCAAAACAACATGGGACCAGAAAAGCCACTTCCCCTAAGCGATAACTGGAACACCACAGAAGAATACATCGAATCTCTTCTGGACATAGTCGGCAACAACGACCTCCTCCGCACCCTCTGCGGCGGCGTCCACATCCTCGACTTCTTCACCAGCGACCCGGACCTCTACTCCCGCATCTTACCCCAAGACTGGCGGGACTTCTTCGCTCAGCACAAGGTCGGCGATATTCTTGACCTCCTTCTCCGTGAAGATGTTAAGGATCTTTGGAATGCTGTCGGTGAGACGTGGAAGGATGGTGTTGCGCCTCCCGAGTCGCTGGTTATGTATATAGAGACTGTGAGGAAGCACTTCCTACTCCGCCATGTCAAGTCCTCACAATGCGCGAGGAACAGGGCGATGAAGCCTACGCAGAAGATGGCGAGGCATGTGGCGGTCGGTATGACAATCAAGAAGGTTCATGAAGTCGGGTTGTTTGCTCGATATATCTCCGACCTGACCGACGAGCTGTCCCAGTCTTCGAGATCCGGTGAGAGTAGTGGAGTGTCCCATCTAGTCGATTTCGGCTCAGGGCAGAATTATCTCGGTCGTGCCTTGGCTAGTGAGCCTTACAACAAGAGTATTGTAGCCATTGAGTCTCGGTCGCAGAATGCGGAAAGGGCGAAAGAATTCGATGTCATGGCTAAGCTTACGACTAAGACGGCTCTAATGAGGAACAAAAAGATGTATCGCGCTGGCGTTGAGGAAATTGGTCTACCAGCGCCGCCTCCTGAGACGGTTCCGAGCGAAGGCGCGAAGGAGATAGCAGCCACGAGTACCGCAGACTTATCACTCGATCCAGCAATCGAAGCCTCCCCGAATGTGAAGGGGACTATACAGTACATCGAACATCGCATACAAGACGGCAATCTCGCGGACGTGATCCAGCAGATACCGCAATCGAACCCGAGATTAATGATCATATCCCTCCACTCCTGCGGCAACCTCCTTCACCACGGCCTACGCAGCTTAATTCTCAATCCAGCCGTGAAAGCCGTAGCAATGGTTGGCTGCTGCCACAATCTCCTGACCGAACGTCTCGAGCCAGCGACCTACAAACTGCCCTCCTTACGTCCTACGACCCATGCTCATCCCCGCTTACACGACACGGGAGACGCACAAGATGAACACGGTTTCCCGATGTCCGAGCGCTTGTGTCAATATAATAACGGGCATGGCACACGATTGAATATCACAGCGCGCATGATGGCGGTCCAGGCGCCACAAAACTGGGCCGAGAAGGATAGCGAGGCGTTCTTTACACGACACTTCTACCGCGCGCTTTTGCAGCGCGTATTTCTCGATCGAGGGATCGTGGGACCGCCTTCAACGGAGCATGAGGGCGGGAGTGCGCTGGGACATAGTTCCGGGACACCTATCATCATTGGCTCGTTGAGGAAAGCATGTTATACTTCCTTCGTCTCCTACGTCCGAGGCGCCGTGGCTAAAATCATCCTGAACTCGACTTCAGTCGAGCACGCGGCACCTTTCCAGAAGAAGATGGAGACGATGACGGATGAGGAGATCGAGGGATATGAGATGGAGTTCAGGCAGAGGAAGAAGGATCTCAGTGTTATGTGGTCGCTTATGGCTTTTTCGGCTGGGGTGGTCGAGGCGGCGATTGTGGTTGACAGGTTCTTGTGGTTGAGGGAGCAGGAAGGGGTGGTTGCGGAGGCGTGGGTGGAGGCGGTGTTTGAGTATGGGATTAGTCCGAGGAACTTGGTTGTTGTTGGCGTGAAGAAGTGATTCCGCTGTTAGAACACGAAGGGCTTGTGTGTTAACTTCATCTGGAGCACCACTCTTTGACTTACTTCTAGCTGAATTATGTGTCTATTTTGGTTAAAGGACCAAGGACAGTCGTCTGAGCCAATCCTTCCTGCGCCACAGCATTCGATGTTTTTGATGTCTCACCTTCAGCCACATGCAGCGGACCGGAGACCGTTGACCCAATTTTGTGGAAGAGACCACATCGTCCTTATTCAGGAGAGCTGGAATACGAGATGTTCGTCATCCTGCTATTTTTCTTACATTCGTGTCTTCGCAAGCAAACAACATAGACTTGACCTTGCCATACGTTTGTGCTTTGCGATCATTATTCTGAATATGCGGCCTTGAAGGCAAATCTCGATTTGATTCGCAACGTCCCGCTCACTTCCGCTGCGACGACATTCGTTCTCCACAGTCACTTTCGTAAGTATTACCATCTCTTTGAGAGGGACATGTCACTCCTTGATCGCATAGGAGATCGAGTACATGGACGGCCAGCAGCAGACGTCGCGACGCCAGGATGGCAATTGATGCCTAAATTGCAACAACTCCGCACGACTATTTCATCTCAGATCGCGACCCAAAAGCAAGCCTCTACACAAGTCGCTAGAATTCACGATTGTTTGCTGACAGCGGCTACAGCACCATGTCGTTGATCCAATGGGTCGTGACGAAAGTCGCACCCGTCTTCATCGTAACATCACCCGTCACTTCTTACGCCGACCAAATATGGAACATGCACAAGAATCGCTCATCGGCGGGTTTCTCCCTCGACATTCCACTAATCATGCTCGTCTCCTCGATTCTAAAGTCAGTGTCAACCCCAGCCTCAAAAGGCACTCCCACCCAATACCTGAGAAGTGGCAAATATCAATGCTGACATCTACAGAATCTTCTACTGGTTCGGCGCGCACTACGACTTCCCCCTCTTCATCCAAGCCAGCATCATGATCCTCGTGCAATTCGTCTGCTTGCATGTCGCACTCCTGCACCGTCCACCTTTCGGAGCCCAACATAGTCTCAATCAGCCCTTTGCGGGAGCCAAGGATAACGAGCTTCAGATGAACCGGCCTTACAATTTCTGGCAGTGGCGGAGTCGAAAACCTTATTGGCAGTTTCTAGCCACTTACTCCGTGATACTATTCCTTCTACAGGTTTTCATCGGGACTTCGGCGACGTATGTCATGATTCAGGGTTACGTGGCTTTGAGTGTGGAAGCTGTTCTACCTATCCCGCAGATCTTACAGAATCATCGCAGTAGGAGCTGTAAGGGTTTCAGGCTATCGGTGCTCGTCAATTGGCTTGTGGGAGATGCGTTCAAGATGATGTATTTTTTCTTGTCAGTGGGCAGCGTGCCTTGGGCGTTCAAGCTTTGTGGGTTGTTTCAGGCGGGGTGTGATTGCTTTTTGGGAGTGCAGTATTGGATGTATGGGGAGGGGGTGGATGTGGTGGATGGTGGGCTCAAAAGTCCGAGAATGGCGTGAGGGTGTGTATGGAGGCTGCCGGACTGGATGGAAAAATGCTGGGTCGAGTTCTGCGAGTGGCGAGTGTGAGCACTGGACTCTAGGCTCAAGGCATCGAGGTCAGGATTCTGTGCAGAGGTGGTGCCGATTTGAGCTAGAGGTTGTGGTTCAATCGCTGTCATGCTTCGCGCCGAACCTTGAGGACTACACTCGCCAATGTCCCGAAGCGCTCAGACTTCCACACGCACGCACTCAATTTGCGCATCCAAAATTCAGAATTTTGGTCACGGCACGACTTGCCCGCATACCCGGCTACAGTTATACGCATGAAAAGACAGAGTCGAGATAGACTTTCGAGACGCCAACGGTCATCCTGCTGAATAAGTTGCATGTGCTCAACAGCTGGTCAGCAACAGCTACAATTCAAGACATCGAATCGCTGGCCGCTGAGATTGTAGGGCAATCGGATAAGTAGATGCTGCTTGCGCTCGCTTGATAGAAGTGTTTCTCATTCCATCGCATACCTCGAATGATGGAAAAGCGCAGTGAGTTGGAGAAAAGTAGATAGCTGGAACGATTGTTCAATACTGATCGATACTGATCTCATTCCTGCTCATCATGTGCTGACGCAAAAGACGTTGCGCTTGCACATGTTCAGAAGAGAGCAACGCTGTGGACATATTTTCCTTCTGGTCGAAGAACGCACCGTCAGTCGAAGTAGGCTCCACTTCTTCACCCTTCAGCAAGCTCATCATCAGGAATCAATCACTGATCCACTAGCCAGACCAGAGGACCTCCGCAAGCATGTACCGAACAGTCTCGGCATACCGAAAAGCCATGCGATGGTTGAGAAACCTTGACTCCGCTGTGAAGAGCGCTCAGCCTGCGCAAGCTGATTTTCATCTTCTCCAGGACTGGACAGCCATGATTTTAAGCAAAATTCATCTCTTCTTCTGACCATAATAACCCCGCTCACTCACAAGCAAAAACTTGATGTGGTCATAGTGTCCTTATTTTGACCTTCTAGAGCTCACCGCACGCCGTCGACTCCTCTTCGTGCTGTGGTGCTGGGTATGAGTGATATTGCTTTCCAGACGCTCCATCCAGTGGCATCATCTGTAGATGTAGTGAAGCAGTGCTGATTGCTCAGTGCGAGTGGCCGGCTCTTCTTGTCCCAAGTCTGTCTTCTGGCCATGCTGCATCAGTGCTCTCTAGTACGCAGTCGTACACCTGTAGGGAAGATGTCGAGAACCTTCCTCACCGCCACTCGTTTCCAAGTGAAAGTAGCAGTATAAAGGCCGGCTTACCAGTGAAGTTTGGAATTACGACTTCTTACCATCTCTCGTCTGCAGTCATTGTAGCAGACGACATTCATAGTAATTCGTTTGTCATCCCTACTCACTCCCACTCTGGCCATCGCACGGTAAGTAGTGACCCTTACCCTCATACTCCTTGCCCCTTTTACACCATCGTCTTGTGTTACTTATGCTGACTGTTTGATGTCGATAGACCCTCACCATGGACAACGACAACAACCATACCAATAATCCTCCTCAGGATGGGGACGACTTCGCGGCGTGGCAATGGACTCAGAGTCAGCCCATTCAGACCAACGCACCGTACTACAGCAATAGTATGAACAGTATGCTGCCTGCGAGTATTCTGCCGGCTACTGCCTTCCATGCTGGAGCTGGAGCTCAATGTAAGTCTTTCTTTCTTGAATTCGTGGTCGCATGTCTAGGTGGTAGTCGCCCCGCGTGATGGCAAGTGTGCTGGAGCTGGTCTGTTATCATGTCAGGGTCACTGGATCCTCGAAATCTCCTGGACACGGCAATATCGCTGGTAATTGTGTTCTGTCATCTCATACCATTTGACCTCCTTGGTCCCGTGGAATTCCTTTCGCATATCACCGACACCGTATCACTACTTCAAGCATACCCTGCCAAGCATGGCGTGGTATCCACCCTTCGGCCACCCAGCATACAGTCAGCACGCCGACGACGACGATCCCGATACACCTCGACCATACCATTATCTGCCCTGGAGACCAGCATTCGGTGCACGTAGGTTACAGATCAAGGACCTTCCATCAATACCAAGACAACCACACCCGGCCACACTTCGGACCCCCACTTCAGCTTCACCGACCTCGGCGCACATCTTATCAGATCAAACCACATAATCAGATCTTGTCTTACCATCCCGTCACTTTCGCACGCTGCCTGCCCTCGATTATGACCACCGCAGTCAGCGTCAAGGTCGAAAGCCTCCTTTCTCATGCTGACAAGAGCGAATCACCAGTCTCCAACCACAATCAATTGCAGCCAGAGCCCGACGCACAGCGCATGCAGACACCCAACCTCAACAATGACATCTTCCACTATCCACCACCACCGCAGCAGCAGCAGCAGCCGCAGCAGCTCCAACCAGCACATTTCGGCGACTTGACCAACTTCAATGCCTACCCGTTCGCGCCGGTCTTGAATGGCGCATATCCACTGCCCGTCATGCCGCAGCTCCCGCGCGGTGAGCCGAGCGTGCCACTGCCTCCACTTCGAGCCCCTGCCTCAGTGGCTCCAGTCACCAGAGCTTCCGGCCCCATGAGTTCGACTGTACACCTCAAGCCGCGTCCCAAACCAGGCCGCAAGCCGATCGCAGAGGATGACCGGGTCAATATCCGCCGCCAGCAGAATCGTCAAGCTCAGCGCAATTTCCGCGACAAGCGCCAGCAGAAGCTCGCCGACACCATGACAGAGTTGCAAGACAATAAGAAGGATTATGAGAGCCAAATCAACGAGATGCGCCGACAATCTGCCCTTGACGTAGCCGCAGCCAGGAAAGCTGCACGAACTGCCATGCAAGAAGCGGCGACGTTGAAGCGACGCTATAGTATGCGCGACGAACACGTTGCCTTGCCCCAGCATTCGCGACCGCCATATACGCGCCGCAATCCCAACCTCGCCGTCGACACAGCCCTCACCACCGCTGCCCCTCGCGGCTACGGCTTTGATCCGTATGTCGTCACGCCACCCACCGACAGCGCCATCAGCAACGAGATCGACTTCACATCTTACGGACGCAGACGCTCGCAACGCCACTCCCGCACTCTGAGCGGTAGCAGCCTGAACGGCATGCAGGTAGAGGATATGTGTGGCTTCTGTACCGACTCCGCTAACTGTGTCTGCCGCACTAAGATGACAGCCAACGATCCTACGCGCACTGGCGGGCCCGGCAGCTGCGAGGCTTGCCAAAACGACCCGGTCGTGAAGGCCAAGTGTTTGGCACTGTTCGAGGCCACGTCTGTGGTCGATGAGACCGCTTCTCCTAATACATCCACCATGGCTTGCGCCGAAGTCTTGAACCAGATGCAGGCTGCTTCGGCTGAAGAGGTTCGAGTCCGGGATATTCAGCAGCGGCTTGGTAGAGGCGAATTAGACTCGTACATGAGTATGACTGGACCTGGATTCGAGATCGAGTCACACACGGCCGCGAAGATCCTGCAGAGCTTCAAGACGAATGGTTCATACTAGGCAGAGGTGAGCCATCATCAAGTGTCGTGCTTGTGCTAGAGTGATCTGAGACTGACTGGGCTGACAGGTCTCGTAAGACGTCTGATGCACTGCAGTAGTTCGGTCTAAGCATCAGAACATGCTTGCCACGCATCACGTCTGGGCTACGACACGACACGAGATACATACATACAGCGACGACACAACATAAGAGCGTTTATATGGGCTGGGAGGATGGTCCATTTCTTCTTGCAGCAAAACTCTGGCGTTTGGATGCAGAAAGTTCATCGCTTCTTTCTTTCCTTTTCGAGATTCTGGTTATGACACAGCGATGCGAGAGATATCCACTACTACAGCGACACCGGCAGGTTGGCTTCCCACTCTGTCCTTCTCACCAGGATCGGAGTTCGGTCGAGGACGACTTGCTTGGAAGTCTGCTTTTGCGTGTTACTTTCACGATGCGATGCGATGCGATGCAAATGCGATCTTTTGGTAAAGCGCTAATAACTATGGTAAACAACCGGTGGCTTTGTTGACTCTCACGGGACTTATTGCCATTGGCGAGCGTCTGAGAGACCCATCGCTTGAGACGCCTGTAGCTTCATGCTTTTGTTTGCAGCGGTGGCTGATGGATGGATGAGTGAATAGTGGCTGGCTTGTCGGCATCGATAGTCTATATACTGTAGCTCCACAGCCAAAAGCACGAGTATCTCATCAATTCACGAACGTATCTCTTGTTTTGATGCCGTCTGATCCATCTTTGCGCTTCAGCATCAGCTTGTGAGATGCTTGGTACAGTTGTAGGCGGTGCAGGGGATGAGGTGTGCAGTGCAGTCCGCATGGCCGCTTTCGGCACTCCGATTCGATCGACGACATGAACTTCATCAACACTGGACGGTAATTGACTTTGATGACTCCTTGGTCCTCCCTCTTGCCTGTACCTCCACTTCCCGAGATCTCGAGACCACCTTGTCTTTCTGACTGTAGGTCATATCGATACTGCATAAGCCTATTTCATAAGAATTCCTTCTAGCTGCGACAAATCAAGCAAGGAGACAAACGTTTCGTCATGACCTCAGGACTGTTGGGCAGCATCAAATCGCTTGTACAACAGCCTCTGTCAGATACGAGTGGCCACAGCAGATCCGCGGGGTTCGAGGACACAAAGATGGGCCAACATCCACAAAGCGTTCCAGACTGGGACAATCTCAAGGTCATTCACAAGAATACTCTCCCGCCCAGGGCCAACTTCTACCTCTACGATAGTGAGAAGGATGCCTTGACACGAGACACTACTAAAGCCAGAACCCACTGTCTTTCCGGAAAATGGAAGTTCCATCTCGCCAACAGCCCGTTCGAAGCACCGCCTGGCTTCGAGACCTCATCCTTCGACGCATCGAAATGGAGCAATATCACAGTACCAGGGATGTGGCAACTTCAAAACTTCGGTAAAGGGCCTCACTACACAAACGTGCAATACCCTTTCCAAGTCGACCCGCCACACCCTCCCTATACGGACAATGAATGTGGTTCTTACGTTACCCGCTTCCGCGTACCGAAGCATCTAGAGAATGATCAGTTGAGGCTACGATTCGAGGGCGTGGATTCTGCGTTTCATGTTTGGGTTAATGGACAGGAGGTGGGGTATAGTCAGGGTTCGCGGAATCCCTCTGAGTTTGATGTTACGGAATTCTGTCAGGTGGGAGAGGAGAATGTGTTGGCTGTTAGGGTCTATCAGTTCTGTGATGGGAGCTATATTGAGGATCAGGTGAGTAATATCCATACAGCTCTGTGAGATGTAATAGATATAGTCATGCCTGCTGACCTTCTGTAGGATCAATGGTGGTTGAGTGGGATCTTCAGGGACGTGTTCCTGCTTGGAATGCCGAAGAAGGTGCATCTTGAGAATTTCACTGTGCAGACTGTGCTTGATGAGCAGTATCGCGATGCTACGTTCAATGTGGACGTCGAGACCTCGGGGGGTTGTAAGGTGGGAATAAAGCTTCTTGATGCAGAGCGTCGGGTTGTTGTAGATGCTACGAAAACTGTTAGTGAGGACAAAAGATCAAGTGCTGACTTCAGCATTGCCGTCGACAATCCGGAGAAGTGGACAGCTGAGACGCCCTACCTCTATACCCTCGTCATCTCGCTAGATGACGATCAATTCACGACTCAGCGGGTTGGCTTTCGTCAAGTGGAAATCAAGGACGGACTCCTGAAGGTCAATGGGGAGCGCATCGTGATAAAAGGAGCGAACCGGCATGAACACCACCCTGAGTCTGGCCGCACAATACCGTACGAGTTTATGAAGCACGATTTGCTACTCATGAAGACTCACAACATCAACGCCATACGGACGTGTCACCAGCCTAACGATCCGCGGATGTATGAGCTTGCAGACGAGCTTGGGTTCTGGGTCTGTGACGAAGCGGATCTTGAGTGCCATGGCTTCGAGACAATAGAGGACAAAGCTCTCCCTGAGGACAAACGTAAGCTGCCCTTTGCGGAACGCCAAAGGATCACTCGAGATGATGCCGCAAAATGGACTAGCGATAACCCAGACTGGAAAGATGCCTACGTCGATCGAGCCAAGCAGCTCGTACATCGGGATAAGAATCACCCTTGCGTTGTTATATGGTCTCTAGGCAACGAAGCGTTCTATGGCCGCAACCATACCGCGATGCGTGACTGGATCAAATCCGAGGACTCTACGAGACCTATACACTACGAGCCGGATCAGGATGCCGAACATATGGACATGTACTCGCGCATGTATCCTCAAATCTCTGAGATCATCGACCTAGCCGAGAATGAGTGTAAGAAGAAGCAGAAGCCACTCGTGCTCTGCGAGTATGTCCATGCCATGGGCACTGGTCCTGGAAACGGGAAAGAGTACCAAGACGCTTTTTATAAGTATCCTCATCTACAAGGCGGCTGGGTATGGGAATGGGCGAACCACGGACTGCTCACCAAGACTGCGGACGGCACCCCTTATTATGGTTATGGTGGTGATTTTGAGGATGTGCCTAATGATGGGACATTTGTGATGGATGGAGTATTGCAGTCGGACCATTCGCCAAATAGTGGGTTGGTTGAGTATAAGAAGACTGTTGAGCCTGTACAGATGCTGGACGGTGATGGTGAGAAGGTCAATATCATCAATAGGTTCGACTTTGCGACGCTTGATGGACTGAAGTGTGTCTGGTCTGTTGTGTGTGAGAAGGGTGCCGTGGGCGATGTGGGAGGCGAGCTGGGGTTGCCGAAGGGAATTGAACCTGGTTGCTCGGCTACGTTGACTCTGCCTAAGGTAGATGCCAAGATTGACGGCGAGACGTATATGTTGCTGAGCTTCAGACTGAAGGAAGACACGCTCTGGGCGAAGGCAGGCCACGAGGTCGCCTGGTGTCAGACTCAGCTGTCACCAATCTCAAAGCCGCAAGCCGCAAAGCTTGAAACAGGCGAGCCACTCAAGACGAGCGTGAAGGCGACTACGCTTTTGATCGCAAACAACAAGAGCGAATGGACGGTGGACATTGCACGCGGTACTTTGATAGGATGGAAGAAGCACGGCAAGGAGATTGTGTCGCAGCCCCTTGTCCCAACCTTCTATCGTGCTCTCACAGACAACGACATTCCACAAGACGGCCGGGAATGGAAGGAAGCTTTCCTACATCTTGCAAATACACAGACACGAAGCGTAAAATGGCAAGAATCTGAGGGTGCAGTGACTGTCGACATGGAACAAAGGTTCGCGCCACCAGTCCTCTCCTGGTCAATCGACCTCACCACTCGCTACACCTTCGGCTCCGAAGGTTCGGTCCAGATCCATATTAAAGGTGAACCCAAGGGCAAGAACCTGCCCAAAACACTCCCCTGCATTGGTGTCACGCTCGGCTTATCGCCCTCGCTGAAGAAAGCCGAATGGTTCGGCCGTGGGCCAGGCGAGTCCTACAAAGATATGAAGCTCTCGCAGAAGATTAGCCGTCATGTTGTACAGAGCGTTAGCGCCCTATGGACTGGGCCCGAGTATCCGCAGGATTGCTCACAGCGCACAGACGTTCGGTGGGTACGATTCTCTGAACTGGCAGGCACGAAATCCTCTATCACAGCGGAGTTCCTTGAGCCAGGCGAGCCTTCTCGGCCGACGACCTTTGATTTCTTGGCTTCTCACTTCGATGTCAAAGACATCGATGAGGCGGGACATCAATATGAGCTGGAGAAGACAGCGCAGGAGGACGTGATTGTGAGACTCACTGCTGACCACCACGGTCTGGGCACTGGGTCGTGCGGGCCCAAGACATTACCTCAATATGCACTGAAGGCTGAACCATTCGAGTTCCGTGTATTGCTCAGCTAGATAGCGGCCGAGACGCCATGGAGCTCGTGGTGTCTCATCCGTAGCGAGCATGAATGTAGTTCCACGAGTTTTGTGTCCACGTCACGAATGTGAGCAGAGTCTACGATAGCACCAAAAGCCACGGTTGGAAAGCTCTAAATGGCGTCTGCTGATCGGTGACAGGAACAGAACATTGTGCTTGTGCTACTTCCATCTCTGCGACATTCGAACAAAGAAATCGCGCGGCCGAAGCGTCGATCAGTGCCACCCGACCATGTCTCGATCAGAAGAGACCTACAAACGTGCCCGAAATGCCTAGAAGGAACCAAGACATGGTGAAAGTTGGCGAGGTAGAATGTTCTGTAATATTGACGGCGTTCTTGACAACAGCGTCGTGTCTTCCACACGTGTCTACCACGAGGCAGGGGCCACGATACGAGCGACATTGTGGCTATCTTGAGGCCCAAAGCAGGCGGCCACGCGCAAGCCCCCGTTGTGCGCAAGTCGTCGATGTTACTGAGCACGGAGCTGCGATATCGAGGATATATATGAGCTCGTAGATCCCAGGTTTTCAAATTTATCAGCACAGTCCAGCATAATCAGGCAGTAGTAAAAGCAGCATCTTCGACCAACATTCACTCGTACAGTCATCCCAACCATTACAACAATTACCAATCAATCGACTTTCCGCAATCGACTCAACCACCTCATCACAATGTCTGCCACACAGCAACTCATTGTCCGGGTCTCGAACCCAACGGCCCGTGCCTCACTTTTCCTCCTCCGCATCGAGGAAGCAGTCAAAGGCATGGAAGGCGAGATCGAAGTAATTCGCATCCCATCCCCCGCTTCAAGCCCAGCTTCACCATGCTCCCCCAACTCAAGACGCCATGCTTCAATTCAACTGCCCACCTCAAAGAGAATCCAACAATATTCGCCAGCGCAGATTTCAATCTTGCCACCATCGCCGCCACTCACGCCCAGTCCATTGGAGGATAAGGCCCGACCGTGGCCACTGTAAGTGTAACAAGCTTGATACACCAAAGCCAGTACAAACACTGACCGTGAAGTAGCTGCTAGATATGACGAGCTCTGCAAGTGGGGAGTTGAGGTCGGCACGGCATGGCGTCCGGAACTTCGGCGGATACATTCGGATGTAATCCTCTGCTTTCCTTTCGGTGTTTCGGCATGCTCGGTAGATCGAAATTCTTGTGGCATTCCGATCAGATGTAGATCCGATCAAGTTCCCAAGGCCAATCAATGACTGTTATCAAGTGGCTCTCACTGCACGGTACACCCCATCGTACAAGTTACAGCCGATCGAGTTGTTGCAACCGACCAATGCCATGCATCGCCACTTCTAGCATCGATCACTTCGTATATCTGTAGTAGATATGTCGACGTCATTCGACACTCAATCATCGATCATCGCACTTCTTTCAAGTCCTTGTGGCCTTCCTCAGGCCTTCCATCATATTGATAAGATTATCAATCAGAGGCGGCGACCTAGTCTCATAATGATTCCTCCGCATGACCTGCACAGCGGCCGAGACAACTTCATCGGGTCCGCCAACTAACGCGTAACCTTCACTGGGAGGCTTTCCGACCCAAGTCCTGATAGCTGCACTACCTTTCCCATTGATGATCCATCGCTGAACACCACTATCGTCGGGTGCATCCAGCCAGGCTGTCACCGAATTATTAAGCATCGCTCCTGGCTCAGTACTGCGGGTGATGATGCCATAGGACCAGAAAGCTAAGGAGGCTTGATAGACCGCAATGGCTGCAAAGTCGCAAATCAGACCCTGACGAAGGTTGCGAGCTGCGCGTATCACTTGGCCGGCATGCCATAATGCTTGCCGCGCTGTATTGGTACGGGTCCACTGCACCAGGGACGGGTAGACTCGTCGAGCTTCTTCTTCGCCTTCGACGCCGGCGAAAAGATGGACGTCGTCCAGAGACATGTGCAAATGCATGAGTAGCAGCTCAAGTATGAGCGTGACCTTGGCATCTTCGACCGAGCTAACACGGAAGCATTGCAGCAGCTTCGTGAGCTCAGCATGTCTCGAAGCCATGAGCAGATTGCTATTGCACCACTGGCTGGTGTAGTCCTTCATGGACGAGTCAAGCTGTCGATATTCCCAGATCATGCGCCAGGCCGCGCCGAGCAGAGCCATGCTGGCTTGACGCTGATCAACATAGATGTCCTTGATGGCAAGAATATCAAGATCTTGTAAGCAGTCAACAAGCGAAGGCTGCCGCTCATGTCTTGGTGCTTGGCTACGCATGTATGTCGCCTTCCATGTCTCCGCAGAGGGCGAGTGCCAAAGCATTTCCGATTCTGGCAAGGGAAGGTACAGCTCGGCATACGAGATCAATGGACTGCTCAGTAATGACACGGAGGCTTCCAGATCATGTCGGAAGAGGTGCAACGCGAAACGCTTCCGTGACTCCTGCCGCACCCATTGACGCCATTTGCTCTGCAGCACCTCGCCATTGTCTTCCGCGTACGGTACAATGCGCTCGTATGTACCACGGCGGAAGAAGCCACCACGACGAGCCATCGTGACCAAGACCTGCTGAAAGCCCTCTGCAAGTTCCATCTTGCGACTGTCGCCACTCCACAGGCCAATCTTAAGCTGCAGTAGAGAAGCTTGCATAATCTGCAGATCTCGCATCAGGGTATTGTCTTCCTCCAGCTGGACCTGGACGGCAGTACGGATAGCCTCTTGTATGGCGTAACCCACCTTACGAATAGCGGCATCGGGCGTGAGTACAGCTCCGGCTGCGATAATAGCTGCTAGTACTTCGGGCCGAGTCTGTCCTGCCAGTAATGTCGGAGCGTGGATCCAGTGCTTCGCATGCGAGCCTGGTGAGGTCAACGAGAACTGGAACAGACTGTCGAGTAGGCTGATAGACGGAAAGCAAGCGACAGCTCGTGGTATGCTGTTCGGCTTGCAAGTGCTCAAGATCATGGCCAGAATCTTATCACGCGAAGTTTGCGATAGTGGCTCGCAAGTCACACGTCGATCGATATCGAGTGTCGTAGGTGTCGGTAGTGACAAGTTTGCTTGTTCTGCGGACCCCGAGTCTTTTGAAAGTGGTCTGAAGCGCCAGACGGAAGCTTTCGGCAGCGCAGTCGTGTCAATTGGGGGCACCGGAGCGGACGTAAAACTCGGCATGATGTCTGATCCCGAGGTCGGAAAACCAATTGATGGCGTGCGTAGGTCGAAAGGATTGGCGTTGTTATATGTATCGAGGAATGTCAAATCAAGATCGTTGAGCTCCATATTGGTGTCGACACCAAAGTCGAACAGCTCGCGGGGCGTCCATGGACCCGTTTGCTGGTAATCTACCACTTGCACGCCGTTCGGGGCTGCGTTATTGCCAGGTGGCAGCATCTTGTCTCTTAGGTAGTCGAACATGTTGTTCCCAGGCTGTTGAGGAGGCATCATGGTGCCTTCCATCATATTCTGCTGCTGAGGAGTAGTACTAGCAGCGCTTATCTGAGGAGGCGACATCTGTGTGGGCGTCATCTGCATAGGCGGAAGTTGGCTAGGATGAGTCCCTGACATGGATGATCGGTGCATGGAGGGCGCTGGCTGAATAGATTGCATCTGTGACTGCTGGTGGATGTTGTGCTGCTGCATCGGCGGCAGTGTATGCAAATGCTGCTGCATATTGTCATATCGCGTCTGATGGTCCTGGGCATGCATAAAGTTATTCTGCTGTGGCGACTGGGTCATCTGATCAGGTCCTCCAAACGCGGCGGTGGTGAAATTACACTGGATGTTTTTCTTGGTACATCTCTTACAGGGCTTTTCTTCTTCACACTTCAGGTGGAGCCCTGCACATGCTTCACACGCTTGAGATACGCGGGAATGCTGTATCATGGTCGGTTTCGCTTGCGGATCGTCCTTACTGTGGCCGAGGGTATGCCGCTTCAGCAAGTCGGCGCGCGCAAACGCTTTCGTACAGACCTGACACTGGTAAGGTTTTTCCTGTGTATGCATGCGAACATGACGGCTGAGATGATCTAGACGCGCATAGCTTTTGGCACATTTCCCACAGCTGTATAGTCTCTGGCCATTAGTGCCTTCCGACTTGACACTCAAAGTCGCATCACCACCACTAGCATCATTAGTTCGTGCCCGTTTCTGGGCGGCTTCATCGTCGACGATAACGTCCTGGGGAGCTCCAAGCCTTGCGCTCCCATCGTCAGGCGAAGGATACGCCATAGCGCTGTCGTCGCTAGATCTCCACAAGCTTCCTGGCGTTGTGGTGGTAAGGTGGGCACCCGGATGGAACAACGAGCGAGAGCAAGTGGAGGGGAGAAGCTGAATAACACATTCCCCGCACATGGCCGGCACGTGCCTTCATGGATGCCGTCCCTGCGACTTAGCACGGACCACAATACAACGACACCCGCGCAAGCCGTGTCGGATAAGCATTATTTGCTCTAAGCCGATCAGGGCAGAGTATAACCGAGGATTGCATGCCCCGAATGACGGTACCGTCCGAATATGGTCGGCTCAAGTCCGGCCTTGTAAAGAGGTTTTGTCATTTGGTCGACTTCGAAAATGAAAAATATGTTACACATCGACTAGGCAACGAGAAGAAGCTCCACTATGCATTGTTCCTATACCTCAACCCCAGATGGCATCCTTCTCCCTGCTCCCGCCTGCTGTCTCTGGGGGACTCGTCAGAGTATAACTCCACTTCTCCAAGCCATCCACAAATAATCTATAATGTAGCACACTTTGGTCGCTCGTTCTAGGATTGCTAATACTGACGGCGCCAAATTTACTGTTTCCATCGGGGATGTATTTGATGCAGACGTCGCTAAGATAGTCTTCGCTGGTACTCGACTCGGCGTAAGTGCGAATGGGAAGGTAGAACATGTTGAGCGGCGAGGCGGAGAACTCATGCACAGTCGAAGAGAGAGGCCAGCGTTTGCGGCGAGTCAGCAGACCAGGTTTGCCATTGCCTTGTGGTGCCAAAATCGGACTTCGTGGGTTGAGAGCATTGGCACCCACTCCTATGGGGCCAAGACCGATGATCTCTTCTTTGCCATCCGGCGGTGGTGGGAAGGCAGTAGCGGCGAACTCATGCCTATCACCAGAGAGAACAATGACGCCCACATCACCACTCTGCAGACCGACATCCCACATAGCTTCCAGGATGACCTGACGCTCTCCCAGATATCCTCGCCAGGTGTCTTGTGCACCGAACCACCAATTTTTGGTGAAGGGAATACTGCTGACCAGTACCTTCCACTTCACTCCATTGGATACCGGTGCTTCCAGCCATGCTAAGAGATCTGCGAGCTGTTGTGCACCAAGCATCGTCTTCGTAGCATCTCCAGTGATAGGGTCCGAGCCATTGGTGGCATCATTCGGAGACCGGTAGCGGCGTGTATCTATCATGAAGAATGTCGCAGGACCTTGCGTGAAGGAGAAATAGCTCTCGCCTTTTCTGACTGCAGGCGGATTGACAGAAGTATGATAGTGCGTGTAAGGGTCGAATGCGGCGCTGAAGATGCCCGTTGTGTTACGATCCCAGTCATTGGCTACCTCATGGTCATCATACACATGAATCCAGGGCAGTTCCTGCGTAGCCGCTGGCCAGTCGGGAGAAGCATAAATCTGGCGATACTCACGGCGGTAGTCTGCTAGACCACTCCCATGACGACGCGGCACATCGATATAGATAAAGTCTCCGAGGAAGAGCATAAATTGTGCTTTGACGTATGGCAGTACTTGTGAAAGATATCGTAGACCTTGATTAGAGAGCGTGTGCGAGAATGGATTGTAGGGGAAGTTGTTCTTCAGACACGAGGTGTGCAGGAAGGTGAAAGTGCCGGCTGAGTCGACCCGCTGTGAGATGTGCCCGGTCCTTGGGGCAGTAACAAAGTAGCCTGTCTGATTGTTGCTTGCGGCCCACTGGTACCGAGTGTCCGACGCAAGCCTCTTGAGCTCGAGCGTCCCCGTAAAATCGGTGCGGTCATCAAGCCACTCAATGCTGCCAGCTGGAATCCATGCAGTGTTCTGTGGTCGTCCTCCATGAAGCATGCTGTATGGAGCATCAACGTATCGATAAGACACTGTCACCGGGTATTTGTTCGCGTCCGGCTCGCGAACGAGGATCTTTGCACTGTGATCAGACACATAGCCCACCCTAGCCATCGATAGATCATGGGCTTGGTGAAAGTAAGTGCCACGGAAGAGGAAGTCAGCGACCATAGCGACGAGAGCCAGATTGACGGCGAAATTGATAGCACTCCATAGAAGGCTCGTTGGACTTGGTAGTCCAGTGAGTAGAGTCTTCAAGACCTCTGGTTGCTTCTCCTCGAGGACGATCGTCTCCTCGACATCTATTTCTTGAATGGGCTCGGCGACCACACCATCACTATATTGTGGGTGCGCCTCGTCGAAATCTGCTTCGGGAACATCCTTGGTCACGATGTCCAGTTCATCCGCAATGACAGTGTATGGCGAGGTGTGCGTCAGGTTGTAGGTGAGACTAGGAACATAGACTGCCAATAAGGCGAAAATTGCTGGCGGGAAACCCTGGTCTGGTCAGTTCAGACCATCAAGTTGTCGACTTCAGGACCATACTGACTGGACCAGGGATCTAATACAGGATCTGTTAGCGAGCTGCAATGGTCGCTGTTATAAGCAGAACGTACCCAACGTAGAAAGATGTAGGCGCCCAAACGAATTCCGATCGAGCTGATGGCGGTCGCGTACCTCGCCACTGCGTTCATGCCAGCGTCTGACATGTTCGTCGTCGATCTAGACGAGCAAGATCATCGCCCTAGCCAGGCACGCCAGGATGCTCTTGAGAGTCGCGTTGTGATGGAAGCTAAGCGCGTCAGAAATGACATCACGGACGCATTGACCATGAGACCAAAATGCATATGTTGCGCGACCATACTCGCCGGCAGAGCGAACAACTTAGCTTCTCTATCTATGGCAGCCATCTCATTGCCGATGCGACTTGACAGGCGTATTGAATGAGAAATCGGGCCACATCATTCTACATGCCACCGGAGAACGAGTCTGATACTTTTGCCAGCAGTGTTCTGTAGCACAAAAGTCATTCCAGTCCTGGGGTCAGCGACGTCTAGTATTAGCTCACTTTCCAGTGCCAACTCGGAAACGTCGACGACCTGCTCCATGCGTTCGAGGCTTGCCGATACGCCAGAGATAGTACATGTGCCCTTCTCATATGCAGAATCGGGAACGATGTGCATCTCATGATACACAAGTAGCTGTATTTCCGCATGCACATGGTGCTTCATATCTCGCCATAGTTCGCATTCGTGGTTTTGGACGGCGATGACCTTGGTATTCCTGAAAATAGTCCGATGCGAGTGGGCGGCTGCGGTGAAGTATACACATATCCGATAGTAGTTGGCAAAGGCCTGAACATGCCGAACTTCCTTTCGCTGAAGAGTTTCAGGATCCACACCCGGTGCCTGGAGTCTTCCAACTAAGGACACACCGTCCACTGAGAGGTGATACGATGCTACAATCACATTCCTGACAGCTGAAGTCTCATGTCCCGGTATGGTACGTTCACATACCCGGATCATATCAAGCAGGCGGCCCATGAGCTGCAGCGTAGCCTTCCTTCCTTCCGTCGCCTGCGTGGCCTTTCGACCCTTAATGCCTTTTATCAAGGCTGCGAGCCTCCCCGATAACGACACGGCCTCTCCAAAACGTCTCTTCGAGTATGAGGACGAATTCACGCATCCCAGACGTTCTTTCATCCTCTGAACGTGGAGACTGCTGACTTCTGTCAGACACTGCTCGAAACAGGCCTCTTTCGTGATCACTAGGGGTTTTAAGCTTAGCGGCCGCGTGAAGATATGTCTAAGCTCACCATGGGTTGCGCGCTGCACAAGTAAGGGACAAGGTCGTGCGATGCTCGTTTCAATGGACTCGTCGATCCGTCCATTAGCTGCAATGTGGATCTTCAAGCCTGATCCATCGTCGCCTTGCTGCAGAGTCGCTGCAGCTACGCACTCCGGTAAATCGCGCCAAGCTGCGAGGAAGGCGAAGTCCTTCGCTAGCTGACGCTCCGTTCCTGGTGGGAGGTAGTACGATTCGTCGATTGACGACGGGCCAGGTTGTCGGCCGCAATCGATATTGATTTGTTGCGAAGGTGCTGCCTTTCGCAAAGTCAGCACTTTGTCTTCGAACGCCAAACGACTTGTGTGGTACCAATTCATGGCGGCATATGGTTTCGTTGCTAGCTCGTATGCAGTCGAGCATTTCATGTGTATTGAAAAGCCATCAGTGTGATGTTCGGGGTTACACGAGTGACTGCAGGCACTAGGTGGCATGCATGCATGATGCATGGAACCCAGACGAATCCGCTCACACTCGCCAACGATGTGACAGCTAACAAAATGCGTACCGATGCATTCTTTTGCAAATTCAAGTGCGAACCACAACGCAGCTGTCGACGGCTGCACATTGGCATATTGACTAAACTTGACTTTCGCATTCGTACTGATGATTATCATGAGCGCCTTGACGCAAGGACACCGAGACCTTACACTTCCACCATTGGCACATCCATCTGCTCCAAATCCTGCCCTGAACCCTGCTTCGCATCTACAACTGCTGCTTGCTTCGTGTAGTGCTGCGTGAAGTCGTACTCGATACTGCTAGTCTTCATTAAGAACTCCTTCAGCTTCTGCTTCGTTGGATCCTGGTTGAGCTCCTCGATGATCTTAAAGAAAGGATCGGTATCTTTCACAGTCCAGGGGTCGGTCTTGGCTACTCTGTTCAAGTTCTTGACGCTTCGGGCGTCCACGTACTTGAGGAAGATACCTCTTCGCACGTCTGCGTAGGTGTCGAGTATGCTCTGGTCTGCGAGGCCTTTGTAGTAGCCTATCAAGCAGTCTGCCAGTCCACCGACATCAAGGCAGGCTGTCATACAGCCGTAGCCGCCCATGGGGTTGTTTACCTGAGAAGATCGTCAGCATCTAGTCATATCGCCAACACCCATTCCCTCCTTCAATTGTACTTACATGAGCCGCGTCGGCAGCGAGAAGGATGCGACCTTGGCGGAAAGATTTCACACAACGATTGTGGATCTTGTACATGTTAGTCTGCTCGATTCTGTATTCATTCGGATCAGGATGACCGGGTAGTATGGCCTTGAAGTGCCAATCTCGACGTATGAGATACTCTTCATCAGTCAGACCAGGTACAGGGTCGCCATATGTGACTCGCCATAGCCCGCCGTGGCCACGTCGAGCAACGAGGCCCCAATGATCTGGATCCACCATGTAATTCCCACCCTCCCAGCCGTGTTTCTCGAAACCATCGTAGAAGACGTTCTGAACTATGAATCGGCAATCGAATGTCTGACCGGGCCAGTCGTGTCCAAACAGACTCTTACGTACTGCACTGGCTGCACCGTCGCATCCAATTAGATAATCTGCCTGTATTCTCTCTTCCCTCATCTCTTCGCCTTTGTTCTTGTCTCCAATCTCAACATCTACCCATGCTCGATCGTTATCCTGTCCAGTTCCTGTGACTCGATGATTGAATCGTATATCAATCAAGCCCTTGCCCTTCTCTGGGTCCATGCAATGCTTATGCATGATCTGGATTATCTCTCCCAGCTGCAGCACAGTCATACGGTCTTCTTCGTCCTCAACTATGCTCATATCGATCTCCACCAGCTTCTCTCCATCGGCTACCCTCCTCCAGCAGATCGCTGGGAATTTCGGTATCGAAGCAGCACGGAAGTCAGGAAGCAGACCAGCCCGTCTGAAGATGCGTGTCGCTGGAACGCCATACTGGGTTGCTCGCAGACGTGTATCGAGCCAAGGCCATGCTTCTAGCACAAGAGATGGTATATTGTGCTGCGCAAGTAAAAGTGCCAGTAAAAGTCCAGACGGACCGGCGCCAGCGATCAAGATCTTGGAGAATGGTGGGCTAGCGTTCGAGACCATGTTACAGATCCTGTCTATTAAGTAGACAATTCCCTATATCAGTAGTTATGCTAGGAGGTATCCCAGAGTCAGGGACAAGTCGCAGTGATGAGGTGGTAGAAGGGCTGAGTTTGAGTTTGAATTACGGCACTCGAAATGCAGACCTTACCATGATTCTTATGTCTTGCTTCGAGAACGAGCGAATTTCACATCTCGAGCTCGCATGGTCGCTGTTCCGGCTGCGACGGCAACAGTACCATAAGCAATTGCTGTGGTGGAGAGCGGTGATGAGCACCAAAACGGCATCATGGGAAGGAGGAGGAAAGCTTGAAATCACGGAAGAGTCTCCGGCACTTCTAGCTTTCGCCAGAAGCAGTGTTGTCTTCACATCCCACAACATCAGCTGCCTCATCTCTAGGTCACTTCTAGGCACTGCAGACGAACGGCATATGTTCACGGACGCGTGATCAGAAGCAGCACAGATCGGTGCCGAATACCCCTCCACGGGAGACCGAAGCAACAGAACCCATGGATACCCAGCATACGACCTCGGACTCGTACATATGGTGCATTCTAACAAAGCACGAGGACGACATAGTTGCTCGGGAGTATGCCGTCTGACCCGACCAGCCTTCAGCTCTTATTCTTGTCCGGCCCGCCCACCACTGCCTTGACATTCGCGAAGTCCAGCTCGTCTAAAGTCTCTTCCCAAAGCCTTTCAACGACCTGCCTGCCCTCCTGCTCGTACATCATCGACGGGTAGCTGTCCCGGCATCAGCAAACTGCTCAAGAATGACTTACAGCTGTACGCGGACTTACGACATATTCCTGAAGTTCATGAGGAAACTGCCATGGCTCTCCTTGCCTTGCACGCCAACCGCATCGATGTAGGTCCACGCAGCTTGCTGTGGGCTGCGAGCTGCAAGTCCCAGAAGCCGAAGTATTACGTGGAAGACCACACCCTTGACTTCTCTCTGCAGCCCTGTTCCTTTGGTATAGCCAGGCTCGACTGCGTTGACGATCACTTCCGCCGGATCAATCACTTCGCCTAGCTTAGATGTGAGCATGAGCGAAAGTGTCTTGCTGACCGCATAGCGCTCTTGGTTTTCTGCAATGCCGAACTTGCCATCAAGCTGATCGAAGGAGGTCAAAAGTGGTACACTATCGCGGTTCTTGAATGCGGCTACACATCCCAGGAACGAAGATACGATTGTTAGCCGGCTTGGCTGCTCTCGTATCAATGCTGTCTGTTTTAGCACTGGGAGCAGGAGCAAGCTGAGGAGCGCTGTGGAGAGATAGTTGACTTGAAACACTTCCTCGTGACCAGTCGAATCATTAATGTTCCAGGCCGTCTTTGCAAGTCCAGCGTTCAGGATTGCGATATCCAGGCGAGGTAGCTCATTGCAACGCTTTGCAAAGGCACGACAGGAATCGTAGTCCAACATGTCCAGCGGCCAAACTTCTATCTTGACGCCAGCATGCTTCTGGCGCATTTGTCTGGCGGCTGTCTCGCCTTTCTCCTTACTCCGTACGGCTAGGATCAGGAATGAGATATGATGTTCAAGCATCACCCGAGCACATTCGAGCCCGATGCCAACATTACTACCAGTAATGACTGCTGTTTGCTCATTGAAAGTCAGGTCCTTCGGCGGAGGCTTGAGTGTAGTCTTGAACTGATTCTCGATAAAGCGTGTGAACTGCGGGCGGTCGTCTGGACCGATAGAGATCGAGGACATCGTCAAGGGATGGTAGAAGCGGATGCAGGGCACGATTTCCTACCTGACGTGCTTGTGGCATACTTAAGCCTTATGACGGACGGAGTCGCATCTTGTGCTCTAGTGCCGTCGCCATCTGTGTGGTCAAACGTAACCTTGAGCATCATTGTATCGACGCCCAAGGAGTGGTTCATGTCCGTGCAAGGCTTCCCAGACCCGCGCTATACCTATTTAGGTTGTCAATCTGGTCAAGGCAACGATTCTTCGATGAGATTCACACCTCTATCGCACCTTCCTCCACTCCACCAAGTCTTGACTGCCTCAAGATGGCCATCAATGTGGTTGAGTCTGACGACTTCTTTGGATCGATTGGCCATAAGTTCCATGCTCGAGATGTCTTCGCACTTAGTCTTCGTAGCTCAAGATGGATCTGGCAACGCAAGTCCGTCACAACGACAAGCCATCCGAAGCCAGTGCATGAAAGGCCGGAACAAACGAGGTGATTCACGTCGATCAATGCGGGAAAAGGCCAAAGATCAGCGGAAGGAAGCTCATGAAGATACCAATGTGCTGCATTCAAGAAAGCAGACTTGGTGTCCGAATGATGCCAACGCGGCCGCTATCCGTCGAGAGAGCAACCAAAACCAAGCCATTTGCTTATCTGCGGCAGCTCATTCATGCCCGTCAACATCTGCTCACGCGAATTATTGTCACCCAGAAAGATCTAGCCTAAGATTTACTGCTCTGGCTGGCGACCTCAGCAGCGAGTCCGAGAGACTCATGTCTGACTGTAAGCTGTTTTCGTGGTCCGCTAAATTCTGGCGTGTATTGACCGTCGCTTATAGTTCTGGCTTATGGCGCCTTCAGGAATGGAGCTTACCCGGTCGAGCTCTGCGTGGACTTCAAGACAGTCGAAGGTGCCTACATACCGTGGCTGTTCACAGACCAAGCGTTTGTTTCATCGGTGTTGTTTTCATCCTCCGCCATGCACGACTTCTTGCTAGGACGACAGCTTACAACGGATACGTTGTACCGCCTCCGACAGACTATCGTATTGCTGAACGTGAGGCTTGCTTGGCCTGAGTCGCAATGCTCGGACTCGACTCTGTATATCGTCATAACGCTGGCAATGCTTGCCGCCATATTTGGGGACAAGTCTGCAGCAGCGAAACACCTGGCTGGTCTTAGTCGTATCGTCGAGTTGAGAGGCGGTCGAAAGTTTCTCCTTCGGAATACCAAGAAGCATTATAAGCTGAGCAGGTGAGTTGTCAGACCTTTCAGACAATACATTTCTCCCTGACTGACAGCCCAGTATGGATTTGATCTGGTCTGCTCACGCTGGGAGTGCTCTATATTTCCCGTGCGACGAGCTTAGCTGGAGTGGCGCCCTTGTCGGCCCTCGTTACTACAATATTGCTCAAGCTAATCTCGGGATTATGCCACCACAAACCGACAGAAAGCTATGCAAGATCTATGACGACCTGAGCTACCTGTCGCGCCTACTCAATGAGGCCTTTGAAAGAGGGAAGAAGCTCGACGGCGATAGCTTTCAGCATTGGTTCAGCTCTATACAATCACGTCTCGTAGACTTGAAGTGTACTCCTGACGATTTGAGCTCCGAATGCATACGCTTGGGCATGATCGCGTACCTATCGGCGACGTTCCAGTTGCCGGGAAGACGGATGGAACTTCAGTATCTGGCTTCGCACTTCTGCAGGGCGCTTCTTACCTCGTTCAAGACGTCGAGTATAAGTGGTCCGCTGCTGCAATGGCTTGTTGTCGTCGGCGTCGCCACCGTCTTCGATGCACGAGAAGCATGGATTCAAGAAGCGTGGTGGAGCAGCAACCCTGGGATCGAATCCTGGGACGAGATGCGAGCAATAATGGAGTCGGTCATGTGGATCAGCTGTGTGCATGATGGTCCTGGTAAGCAAGCCTTTACTGCGCTGAGTAGACCCGCTTCAGAACAAACATAGTACGGACACGAAGGTATATTGTTTAGCAAACTCAACTCTGCAGAAGTGAATCGGTTATCGAGGCACATGGTGTTTTGCTGTACATATCTTGTATCATATAAGCCTAGTCAAAGCCATGCCAATGGCTCTAATGTCGCAATACTAATCGTCCGTCACACACCGGAAGCTTGGCACATGACGGCATCGTTTCCTGGAACTCTTCGTCTGATCTTAGACCGAACTCCGTTTCCTATCATCACACCACAAGGCTAATCACTACTCCACTTAAGTATTGCGAGCTGCCCATCGCGACGTAGTACTGCAGCGTGAGGTGACATGGCTCGCTCTGCTGGAGGCCTTAGCGGACACCAGCACGTCTGGTTACCGACGCAATGGTACGAGCAATGCGAGATAAAGCTCGACCGCATGGTAAGACATGTTCTACTTTTCGATCTTTTCATCTTTCAGCCGACCTATGCAAAGACGCAATGAGGTACAGTACAATCTTTACTCTCGCTTTCAGCGCAGTTACGGCTACCAGTCATGTTCTGCGAGGCAAGTCTAGCACAGGCTTGAAAGCTCGCCAGAGCGGCCCAGGTTACACGCCATATACGTTCGATCAGCTCGTACGTGAATGGCATCACGGCTGGCCTTCAGCTACTAAGGTCGATAGATCGATCACTTCCCAAACAGTTCACGCTACGAACCGCATACCGCAGCGACCTTCAAGCAGCGCTACGTCTTTGATGACACATACTACAAACCTGGAGGTCCAGTCTTCCTCTACATCGGAGGGGAGACACAGATTGAGAATCGTTTCTCCAACATAGAGAATGGCAGTGAGTTCACGCTCGTCCCACGGCTTCCGCCTGACTTCCCGCTAAGCAGCGACTGTAGTCATCTACTACTTCATGGAAGCCTTCAATGGCATAGGCATCATTCTAGAGAACCGTTACTATGGAGAGAGCTACCCATTCAATACAACCACTACAGACCAGTTGACATATCTCTCGACCGAGCAAAGTCTGTGGTGTCTGCACTGATGTAATCCTTGACAATGCTGACAGATTTAGCCATTGCCGACAACGCATACTTCGCACAGCACGTTACAGTTCCTGGTGTGAACGGCACTTTGAATGCTCCTAACGCTCCTTGGATACTGTATGGCGGCAGTCTCGCGGGGGCCCAGACTGCCTTTTCCTTAAACACATACGGTGGGGATGCCGACGGACTTCTATGGGGAGGTGTAGCCAGCAGTGCAACATCTAAAGCAGTGCTGGCTTATGTCCAATGGTACGCTCTAGTGACTGTGGCTCGAGGTTCACGGCTAAGGTCTCCAGGTACGATCCCATACAGAAGTTTGGACCACAAGACTGCGTTGCCAGTATCAATGCTATCGTCGACAAAGTTGACCTTGTATTCGAAAGTGGCAACGCGACTGCCGTTCGTCAAATGAAGGCCGTCTTTGGCCTTGAGACGATAGCCGACGACCGCGACTTTGCGGCAACCATCGCATTCCCACTAGGTAAGCAGGCTAGAGGGCAACACATAAGGTAGTCAAGTATCGACTGAGCTTACCCATTATGCAACCATAGGCGGCCCATTCAACTATCCAACGAATACGTGGCAGGAGCTTAATTGGGACCCTGCTTCCGGTTCAGACGACTTTTGGAACTTCTGCACCAACGTCACAAATCTGGATGCTCCAGAGAATCTTACACAGGTCGATTATGCTCTAGCACAGTACACCGGTGGCGAGCCATGGATCAATCTTGGCAACTATGCCAACTACGTCAAGCAATACGTGATCCCGACTTGTGATGGTGCACCGATCAACAGCGTGCAGTGCTTCAGTACCCAGAATCAAACATACTGGGCCGACACCACCAATTCGGTTGACAGATCATACCTTTACACAACGTGCACTGAGTCTGGCATCTATCAGGCCGCTCGCCTGAATGGTCCGACTTTGCTGTCGAGAGTCGTTCAAGTCAATTACACTCAACAATGGTGCACATGGGCGTTCCCAGATGGACAATACAACAAAGTACCACCAACGCCCAACCTAGACTTGTGGAATAAATATGGAGGATATAACGTCAGTGCACCGAGGCTGGCACATATTGATGGCAACCAAGATGTCTGGCTTGATCTCTGCTTCCATTCGAACGATGCACCGCAGAGATACTCTTTGACCCCTCAAGATGCCTACCTCCACCCCCAGCAACTTATCACCGGCGCCGGACATCATTGGGATAGCTATGGCCTTGGCAATATTTCTGCCGAGCCACAGTTCATTCGTAATGCGCATTTGTGGGAACTTCGTGTTGTCAAGACGTGGCTGCGGGAGTGTAGGTTCATGGTCTCACTCATACTATCTAGAGTGCTAATCTTTGCCAGGGAACGCTACCAAGGATTGTGCGTGATTCCGTCGCGCTCTCTACGCCCGATTGTTCACTTGAACATCTTATTCGCGAAGCCTGAAAGCTTTCCCTTCAGTCCAACTTCTTGTGGAGGCGCCTGAGGCTGTTCCTGACCCGGCGGAGGAGGTGGTGGCGCTCGATCGTAAGTCTGAGGTTGCATGGGCTGCTGGTTTGCTGGTTGTTGCGGTGCACCACCAGCCGCGCTCTTTCCGCCTACTGTTACTGTAAACAAGACAGGATCGCCAGCATTTACTTTCCCTGATTGATCCTCGCCACTATCCGGCTGCACGTCATCGTAAGCAAAAGCGTAGCCTTTCTTGTCCAAGTTGATCTCGTGCAAAAACTTCGCGTAGAAGTTGGTAGGCTCCTGAGGGTAGAACGTGCTTGGGTCTGATGGATGATCTTCGGTGACCAGTAAGGTGGAGCGGTGGAATGCTGCTGCTAGTCGTGGTATGATAGCATTCCGCGTGGCAGATGGGCCAGTAGTGAATGGTCCACTATTACACCCGAAAACATCTGCACTGTTGGGCTTACTGAAGGACTCCTCGCCTATTTTGAGCTCGCCGTTGTCACCGATGCGGCCTTCAAGCACACCAGGTCCGGCTTGGGTATTGATCTTCATGCTGGCACCTGAGCTGTACTTATTCCAGACTTCCTCGATGTGTGGCTCGTAGTATCCGTCAAAGCTTGCTCCCACAGCGTTTCCATGGGTGGCGTTCAGGATTCTGAGGTTACGTCCATCCTTATCGACCACCAGCTTGTCCCAAGGTCGTCCATCTTTCTGGGATTGTTGTCGAAGACTGTCAGCTAGCCTGTCGAGACCATCTGGAGCCATGCCAGCGACATGCTGACTCTGACCCGATGCCTGCTGTAGTGTGATGGCAATGGGGATCCGTGGTGCAAAGTCAACGTAGCTGATATTGGCATATAGCTGATCATTGTTAAGCGTGAATTCTGCGAATCCAAAGTTCACCCCAGCGTTCGGATCACTTGGGTTCAGGACAGAGGGCTCCACTAGTGCTGGACCAGGATTGATCAAGAATGTCAGGTTGCCTTCGACGATCCAAATTCGACCTCCGGCTATTTGGGGTATCTGGTTTGGTGGTCAGTAAACGTAGCAGATAGTGTAAGAATAGATGCAGCATACCGTGACTGTGGTCGTGTTCCCTGGGGTACCAAGAGATATCGCACAATCTTCAGCCAATGGAGAGCCTATTGAAGGCGGATTCTGTGGGAAATACAGATCATGCCCATTGGCCTTGAGGATGCATCTTTGTCCACCTTGTTGTATAGCGATGCCGGTGATATAAGCGTGCAGATTATCAAGATCACTGTCATTCTTCAGCGCGATCTGTAAAGAGTCCGGCATTGTGAACTGCTGATTTCCTACTATTATGTATCTCAGGGAAGACCTGACAAGAAAGCCTAAAAGAAGGTGTTCGGAGTGAAAAGCAATGTGATCTTGTGTTCAATGCGTAGAGGACCAATTATATGACGTGAGAGCGTTTGGCAGCTGCCAACTTTCCAGTAGTGAACGAAACTCGAACCAAAACAACTGAAATACGGACAAGCCGACCGATCTGTGATAGCAAAGACAAGGCAGATGATGGTATTCCTCTGATGTGCCAACCAGGTGCCACGTTGCCACGTACAACACTGAGCGACTACCGAGTCCGTATCGATGGCACGAGTACTCGCCTCATGACCGCTCCTACTCAACACTCGTTCTCCGCACGAAGCAGGACACTAGAGGTGGTATATCGGCTGCCAGATGTTCGTGCTCTGAACAATGGAAGGAGGGTGAAAAGTATCGCTGTCGGACAGCACGTACACGATGACGGAGCCCACGGTGTCTGTTCTCCGGCTACGTAAAGAGTTCATTAAGCTACTGTGCCTCCCTCAGGTACGTTCAAAATTGCCCGGCTCGCTGTAGTGAGGATACTCGGAATTGAAAAATCTTTCAGAGTACCGTACAGCACTCGCAACGGGTCACGACAGATCTCTACTGCCCGCTGGGCGGCGACGTAAGATCAGTCTGCGGCGTGCAGTAGGTGCAACCGCCAGTAGGGTCAGCAGGTGGCTGCGGGAAGTTGTCGAGTACCCAAGGACGGCCCGTCAAGGTGAACTTGTACGTCGCTTGAGTTGGAACATCTAGCAAGATCGCGTAATCGCCGGGGTAGAGGACGAGGTTACCATTGACATCGCGACGAGCGAGACTGCCGAGTGTAATGTCAATCTTCGCGCTCTGAGAGCAACTCGTCTCGATTGACATGAAGCGAGTGTAGCCAGCCAATTCCTTGATTGGGTATGGTTTGGGTCCGTTCTTGTTCTGCACGAATGCAAGGGCGACGAAATCCGAGTTCACCTTGCCAGCGTTGTACACCTCGATGTTGACAGAAAAGGCAGTGGTGAGGTCGGGATAGGCAGTGTTGCAGCTGCGTTGCAACTTGCCGATATCGTAGCTGGGGCCATTGTAGCTGTGTGGTCCAGAGTTGCCGAACTTTGCAATGAACTTGGTGTAGTGTAGACCATAGCCGAATGGCTGTACAGCCCCATCGAACCACTTGTAGGTGCGGCCAGGGCTGCTGTTGCTTGGTCGCAAGCTCTGATCGGTAGGCACGACTTCGTTCACGTAGGCGGCAGGGTACTGAGTGATCGGGAGACGACCAGCTGGAGCTACTTTGCCAGTGATCACATCGAGAACCGCAGTGCCGCCATCTTGGCTTGGGTAACCAGCCCAGATCATACCACTGACGTTCTTATCCTGCAACCAGGCGGTGTTGTCGATCATAGTGCCCAGCTGAACAATGACAAGCGGCTTCCCAAGAGCTGCCAGCTGCGAGACCAGAGCCACTTGTGAGGCAGGCCATGTGATGTTGACACGATCGAGACCCTCGACCTCGATGGAGGTGTCGATACCACCAAAATATAGGATGACGTCGGCAGACTCTGCTGCAGCCAATGCAGGCCCGGAGATATTGGCAGTCAGAGCCTGTTGGATCGGACCGGTGGCATAGACATAATTGATGCCGCGCTGTTGAGCCGCGTACACTGGATTGTGGATATAGGGTGCTGGACCGGAATAATCACCTTGAAGTTGAGTAGTAGCATTGGCCCAGAAGCCAATCATGGCAACTTTCTTGCTACCGACAGCAAGCGGCAAGGTGCCATCATTCTTCAGCAGAACGAGACTTTCCTGAGCAGTCTTGAGGGCAAGAGCTTGTGCTTGGGGCGTGTTGACATCGTTCCAGGTGTATTTGCGGTAGGGAACCTCGCTTGCTGGATCGAAGTAGCCGGCTGTGACCAGACCTTCGTATTGGCGACGGAGAGCAGTGTCGACAACAGCTTCCGTGAGGAGACCCTCGGCATAAGCGCCTGTCTGGTTCGACGTCGGTCCGACCTGGCAAACTTGGTCTGTGCCCTCTATCAAGGAGATGGCTGTCGCCTGCGAAGAGGTGGCAGTGTAGTTGTGGTTCGAAGAGATGTCAATGATGGCGTTGCAGTCACTAGTGATGTACTGTTGACGATCTGTCCAATTCCAGTGATCGCGGGCAATGTCTTGCATGATGTATTTGTTGGCACAAGCGGGAATCCCGTTGATGGCATTGTATGAGCACATCATGGACCCGACACGAGAGTCCCGTGCGCATTGCTGGAAGGGTGGGAGGTAATACTCGGCTAGATCTTGGGTATCGATGAAGGCATTGTATCCGAAGCGGTTGTAGATGTTTGGGGCGAACCTATTTTGCTCCAGATCGTAGCCGGCAAAGTGCTTGCAAGTCGCAATGACTTTCTTTAGAGGAGGATTGACACCACCTTCGAGACCGATAAGCAGGTTCTTAGTGTAGCGAGCAATGTGGTATACATCTTCGCCGGGTGTCTCTTGTCCTCGGCCCCCTGTATACGCATTAGCGCCGGTCTACAGGAAGGCGGTACTGTCTCTGTACTCACATCGCGGGTCACGGTATCCATTGATATTCGGCGTGAAGAAGTCCAGACCTTGAGGGGAGACCGAAGTCAGCAGTGTTACTCGACAGCTTTCTAAGGAAGATAGCCATCGATTCCTTACCTGTACGCCCATCGTTGCTGAAGGCCCTAGCTTCGGTGCTGATAATCGTGGCAATATCCAGCACGAGCTGGTCGTCAAATGCAGCGGAGGTCAGGATCGGCTGTGGGAAAGAGGTTGCGTAGGAGAAGGGGCCACCGTTTCGAGAGTAGTTGACGCCAGGAGACCCTGCAACGCCGTGAAGAGCCTCAGACCACCACTCATATGGTGCAAGCCCAAGACGAGCCACCCCTGGAGCATTACTAGCATTGTTAGTACTTGAGTGCCATGATTGGGGGAAGTTTCGTACTCAACCAGCTGAGCGAGCTTTTCCGTGATGTTCATAGCGGCCACAAGGGCTGCTGCTCGGTCGGCATCTGATGCTTGTGGATTGCAGACCAGGTTCTTGGCCAATGGTCCATTGACACAATCCGGATAGCTGAACGCATTGGTCAGGCACGGGAATGCCGCGAGGGCCACGGCAGCAAAAGACTGCTTGGACAACATCCTGATAGCAATGAATCGATCAATGCCAGAAGATCACCACAACGACACTGTACTCAATGGGAGACGAAGTGAGCTTCAGCAGATTCAGGTACCAAACTCTCACGTCTTTTATATCTGTGCCCCGGGTAAATCACAGCTTACTGGCAGAGCTGTACCTGCTTGACCACATCGTCCCGATCTGGAACAGACGGTGGTGAAATATTGGCGTCCTGCAGGCACCCCGCGAAAAAATTGAGGTATGCCATCATGAGGCTGCACGGCGGTTGTTAGCCTAGTCGGTAGCCTAGGATGAAAGTATTCGTCTACCCCTCTCCTGTAAGCAGACCGCAGGATCACGAAAGACGAACGCCGGGTAAAGCGTAAAGTAGCGTATCTGAGCTGATTCACCCGTGTGTGCTGCAGCTTAACTTTTCCTTGAGGATGCCGGCGTGCCGAGCCAAGACTGGCATTGCGATTGATGAGTCGGAGAAGATGAAAGCTTGGAAAGAGAGGTTGACTTGAATATCACGAAGGCTTGGCAGAGATGGACGCACGTGACCTCAGCCGAGGCGCCACCCTCCACTTCATGCATGTTCAAACAAGATGCCTGGATACGACAAACAAACGATCAAAGTACACAACTAGAGAGACAAAGAACCTGGAATACGGATAGTGGGAAACTTGAGCTAGAGTCTTACCTTGTCAATGTCTACATAAAAGATCCAGGATTGGATCGTCTATCAAGCGTACCTACATTCAGGTCTCAGTCTCAACGACAGGAGAGAACTAGAACGTCTACCGAACAGATCACCCAGGGTCTGGAGCCCCACAAGAAGCCTTGATATGCAACAATTCCTGAGTGATTTGATTGAAGATAATCTAGTGTCCACAACCAAACAAGACGGAGACCATGGCCTCCACCAGCCGACAGTCCACCCAGGGATCCGGCCGCTCCGCCTTTTTCTACGGCACGCTCATGGCCCCCGAAGTTCTCCACCGTGTTTGCCACGGCTCTTCATCCCCAGACAACCCAATCTTCCAGACCCACAATCTCAAATCCCACCCTGCAATCCTGCCCGTCCACCGCCGCCACAGAGTGAAAGGAGCAGATTACCCTGCCATCCTGCCCCACTCCACCAGTACAGTTCGTGGAACTTACGTGACCGGTCTCACGGACGCGGATATCTGGCGCCTGGACATTTTCGAGGGGAATGAGTATGAGAGGCGGAAGGTCAAGTGTCGGTTATTGACGACGGTAGGTGATTCGATAGGGGACGGCAATGTGGAGGGAGAGATTGTGGAGGCGGAGACGTATATCTGGATTGCGGGAGCTAAGGCATTGGAGGAGCGGGAGTGGGACTTTGAGGAGTTTAGGAAGGAGAAGATGAGGTTTTGGGTTGGTGGAAGCGAGGAATTTGATGGTGAGTCGTTGCGGTGAAGGTTCAGTTCGAAGCACTTGGTTACTGACTAGTCCCACTCTCCAGAAGTAGATGATGCAGTAGCTTCTGCCGAGAACCGAAAGGATGGTACGGGAGGTCGTGGCGCCAATGGGCATATCACCACGGCGCTTGAGGCTGAGCAGGCCAAGGACGACGTAGTGCGTAATGCAGTCTGAGCCCCTCCAGAATATGGAAGTCTTAATGCTTTAGCGTGGCGTTGCAAATCTGGTTATGATGCTTCTGGGCAAAGTGATACATTGATAGACAGAGGCAGGACTGGATAGCAATAGATTCTTTGATTGTACGAGATACTATAGCGTCAAAGCTATCCGTGACCACCATAGCAAAGTCCAGGCGCTTTGAGACGTACATCGCCGAAGCGACGCGGGGCAAGCCGTCTACGGAACCACAACTGAGTGTATATGCGAGCTCAATCGGAGAAGACTGTCTTCGTCCCTTGCCACACCACACTCCCGCCTTCCTGGGAATCCGGCACGACAGCCGAGCGTTGACTATCGTCCTCCACGACGACGACAGCCGGCTGCTCCCTACGTAGCTTGCTGGGAGATCGCTGCCTGTCTCGTGGTGCCTCTTCCATACTACCTTTGACCTTCTGCCATGCCACGGCCTCTTCATCTTCATGCAGTTGATGTTCAAGTGAGCTGAGGATATCGCGTTCAGTCGTCGTGTCGGGAGCCGCTGATGCAGCAGTCTTGGGTGCGGAGCCGTTGTCGAGCATATCGTTGTCATTGTAATCATCGTGGTCGTTATCATCATCATCATCGGCTGAAGAGACCGATCCATTGAACTCGGCACCCTGCTTGTTCGTGACCGGAGCTGTGCGTTGTGGCTGCAGCGGTCGTGGAGCCCCAACCTCCAGGTAGTCGTCTTCGTGATCCCTGGTGCTGTGCTTGCCCGTGGCTCTTCTGACAGGACTTTTAGACTTCAGAGGGAGCGGTGTCTTCTGCCTCACAGCTTGAGGCGCAGGCGTACTTTCTTTGCTTGTCGAGGCCGCGGCTTGGCTAGGCTTGGCTATCACCACGGGCTTTCCTTGCTCTCTAGCAGGCGTGCTCGCTTTGCTCACAGTGGGCGTCTCGTTTGGCGTGGCAGCTGTCGAAGCAGGACCAGCTGACGAGGTGGTCGACGGCTCTCCCACCTTTGCCACCCCAGCATGAGCCTTAGCCTTCTTGAACCCCCTCCTCGCCTCCTCCTGCTTCGTATAAAGCTTGATCAAATCCTCTCTCATCCCCGCCCTCTTGCTCACAGGACTGTACCCCTTGAAATCATCCGCCTTGTCCATCTTTCTGGCCATGATCCTTTCGACAAACCCTCTCGGATCGGCAGCGAAAGCTTCCACGTAGCCAATCAAGAAGACACCACAGTCGCAGAAGTTACTTTGCTGTGGGAGACCTTTAGCGTTCACGCCCTGTATGTCCTTGGGGTCGAGATCGAGGTCACGCTTGTCTTTCGCTTCGGCGGCCACGTATTCTTTGAGGTTGTTGCTTTCTCTGGGATGGTTGTTACCGAAGGAGTCGAGAAGGATGATGGTCGGGGCGTCTGCTGGAAATGTCTTGACTGGTGGGACCGACTTGTGCTTGCCTTTACCGCCTTTCTTGCCTTTCATCGCAGCAGTACCTGGGCGGCTAGTAGTGGGGTCGCCTTCGCCATCCTGCGAAGCGATCTTATCGTCCTCGCCATAATCAAAGACATCACTGCGTACCTCGTCTTCGTCGTTGTCTGACAGGGAGAGGCGCTTCATGGCACTCTCTCCCTTTGCCGGTAGTGTAGTGTCGTCCTCTCCAACCACGACAAGCGACTCATCTTCCTGTTCGTCACTCCCAGCTGCAGCAACGGGCGCACCCGACGCACCAGCAACAGACTCCTTGCCCATCCGATCAAGATTGCACACAATAGCCAAAATCCAATGCAAATCAATATTGATCGGCACCACCACGAACGGCATTGCGAACAGATCCTTATTCTTGGTCCACTTCTTCACACCTTCGTAGTTGAACACCTTCTTCCCGTTCTTCGTGCTCAGAGAAGTATAGAAGAAGCTGTTGAAGAAGTGTACTTGGTCGCGATGTTCTGGCTTCATCTCCTCTTCTATCTTGCGAAGGCCAAAGGAGATTATGTTGTCGTTCAGAAATTGTCCTTCGTCGAGCCATTCGAGGTCTTTGACATCGACTGTTACTCGGCGGACGCCTTTGACTGGGTATTCGACGGGTTTCTGCCAGGGAGGCAGGCCGTGGGTCTGTGTCCAGCGTTCTGGCGTGGGAGTACGTGGTCTTTCAACAACAGGCTTGCGCTCTCTGGTCGAGCGGCGGACCGCTGAGGAGTTTTGGAAGTAGGCTGATGCCAGGGCGGTCTGCCGCTGCTGTTTGATGTTGCGCTGGACAGTATGAATATCGTCCTTCTCGCCTCCTTGCATGGCTTTCCGCCTGCTAGGTCTCTTCTCCTCTTCCTGCTCGTTAGGCTCGTACCGGATCTGCTCATCGTCATTGTCGTCAATGGAGTCCGCGCGCCTTCGCGCCTCCTTGTACAATCCTGAGGGTGGCACATTCCGTTTGGCAATGAAAGCGTCCTGTAGTACCCTCGTCTGAACTCCAAAGGTCTTCTCCATTTGCTCCGGAGCCCAACGAGACACTGCCGGGGCTAGCTCCAGGCGCGATAGACCGAGCATCATAGTCACGAACCAACTGACGCCGTCGTAGTCATTGAAGGCGACGCACATAGCGCCATTGCTGACACCCAATGCGGAGCCTTTAAGGAAGACGTGCCCACTACCTGGAACGTGATGTATCCGCCGAACGTTTGTTGCGCTTAGACTGACAGGCCGAGCTTCGCCAAATCGTGCAGCTTCTCCAGCAACATGTAGATCAAGTTCTTCAGTGTCTTTGTTGTATATCAGAACTTTGTCAGAACCACTCTCGCTTGCACAATACGCAGCAGCGTAGAATGCCTGGATCGGCATGGTGTTGCTATCGATGTCATCGTATTCCTCGCTGACATCAGAGAAGTCCTGAGCTTTCTGGCGAGCTGAGTCTGCCGTGGATGAGGTCCTGAAATTCGTCGGCTTCAAGTCTGAAGGTGAAGCTGCGCGATCCTTGGTAGGTGCAATCTTGACAGGCGAAACGCTGCGTCCAGCTTTGCTAGGCACAGTAGGCTCCCCTTGCAACGGATCAATACTATCCATGCTGTCGTCCACGGAGCTGGTGTTCGGCTGCGGCCGGAATCTCGTTGACTCTGCTTGCATAGCGGCGGTGCGCTTGATCTTCTTCGTCTGCGGCTGGGTTTGCGATATGGTTAACTCATCGCGTTGGAACCTTTGCGCGAGTGGTGGAGATGCTGGTCGCTTCTGCTGCTGCTGCTGCTGTCGTATGCTTTGCGCCGCGGCGCCCAGAGTCTTTCCGCTCAAAGCTCCCGACTTTTGGTTGCCGGCTTTCAGCACATTGTGAACCTGCCTTGGTATGATACGCTCCTCACTGGGCCGTCCCTGCTTCTGACGCAGCAGAGAATTTCCTGAAATATGACTATCCCTTGTGCTGCCTGCTCTCACAGGCGCCTTCCCAATCTCGTCGAACCCCCTTTCGAGATCAATCGGTGGACGATTTGAAGTGCCGCTCGGCCCGGGGTCAGTCTGCGGGATGGTCCGCCGCTGACCTTTTCTTGGCACTTTCTGCTGGGAAGCACTCCTCACGCTGCCCTCACTCTTGTCGACCTGCACAGGAGACTGCCTCGAGCCAGGCTGAGTCGTCGCAGGTTGCTCATGGGCTTGACTCACAACAGAAGGCGAACGAGTCCGCGGCTGCTGACTTGACCGAGAGGGTGCTTGGGAGTCCCCTTTTTCTCGTCTGGGTTTTGGTGGCGGCTGGTAAAGTGTCTTGTTCATGGTCGTAACGTAGTTGCATGAGAAAGCATCTTCTTCAGCAGCGGCGCGTGACCCGGCTCTCGGCTTCTGTGCTGGTGCTGTCGGTTTGCGGAAGTCGTGCACCTCCTTACCGTTCACACTCTTCACTTTCGCGTTCAGTATGCTCGTTTCCTCATCGTCGCCGTCGGTCAGGTCAACAGTCTCACCAATTACCTTCATGTTCGCGCCGTTCGGATGACCCGTCTTCCTCCGTTTTACTCCATTTGGCCGATCGTTGAAGCTATCACCAACCAGGTCATACTCTCGTGCCGGATCTTGGACATTACCGGCTCGACTCTCTACCAGCCTCAGCTCCTCGGCAATCGTTGTACCTTGCTGAATCTTCGCGAGTAGTCGCTTCGCTGGTGCGCCTCGTGGAGCTGCTTTCGCGTATGGCGTTCCCGCCCTTTGTCCAGCACCTTGTCCTCTGCCAGCCGCATGCGGTGTCGCGTGCAGCGTATTCACCGGTTTGAACGCACCTCCCATCCTCGTCGAGCTTGCCTTCGGTGGCTCTCGCGGTACATAGGGATTTTCATATGTCGGTACTGATATAGCCGTGGCGGTTGTAGGAGTGTAAAAGTGGCCCGTCAATCTCCGTTCGTGCTCGATGCTCGAAGTCCTTCGCTTCACTGGCCTCTCTGCTCCCTCACCACCAGCGTCCTCACGTGCTGTCTTCCCTGCTGTCTTCCCACTCTTCGCTCCCGCAGCCTCACCAGTACTCTGCGCTTTGGCTGCATGTGGAGCTATCTGTGTATGATGAGACATAAGTAAGCCCACGATTCCCCCTTCCAAATCAAAGTGAGCAAGCATGAATAAGCAGAACCTACCTCTTTGTCTGTACTCGTCTTCCCTCCCTGCGATCCACCGGTAAATATGTTCGATATGGACTGGACAATTCTCTCCATCTATCCGCCTTCCGTGCCCGTATTCGGCGCTCTCCCTCCCATTCGTTGAGTGCGTGTGGTAGTCCGAGTACGGCTGTGCATAGCTGAGAAGATTGCTAGAAAACCGTGTTAAAGAAAGGGAAGTGCTTTGTCCTCGGAACAGCTTCGACGTCGCACGCGTTGGACGTGTGCGATTGCTCCAAGAAAGCTTGCGCCACTCTAACGTTTTGGTTCGTGCAGGCCGTCTATCACAATTCACAAAGTCACTCATTACAGTGAACGAGAGGGAGTCTTGGATATATAGTGAGAGACAACACTGTTATGCCCAGGACAAAGCTGCCTGGGTAGGGTCATGCCTACTACGTCTTTTACTTGTACAGTCCCTCTCCCACCACGGATACAATACAATACATTGATCGCGAAGAAGGAACGCTCATGCTACCGCCAATCCAAATCAATGCAGCCGGCACATGCATACATCTGACAATCACCCATTGAAGACCACCACTCATTCCTCCTCGGTACTCCTCACCACATCACCTTTACTCAACGTCCCCCTCCTCTTCCCATCCGCACCCATCTTCTCCTCCCGCCTCTTCTCTCCCTCACCTTTGAGCACAATACTTTCCCCATGACTCCTCCAACTCACCTCCACCGCCTCACCACCAACCCCCAAGACCCTCTTCACACCCTCTCTCATCTTGCCACCCCGACTCTCTCCCTTCGTCCATAATGAGAAGACATCCTCGCCTTGTCTCACACTAACAACTAACCCACAGACTTCATCCCCGGACTCCGAGAATTGGTCGCCTATGATAGCCAGCAGTAGGTCCTCCCAGAATCGATCCGCCACTCCCTTCTTGAGCCGCATGATCCATTTCCCTCCTTTCTTGTTCGCTTCGTCTTCCCAGACTGGTCGTGTCCCCGCACGGAAGAAGTGGTAATCTGACACTGTCGGTAATTGCGAAGGCCGTCGGAGATGACTATATACTGTCCAGAATTCTTGGACGGTGCTTATCCGGCATAGCGGCTTGATGCTCTTCTCGTAGTCGGTCGTTTTGCCAGTGGGTGGACGATAATAGATTACCCAGCTGTGTTTCAGCGGCCATGCGGCAGGATCTCTCGGTAACGGGTTGTGCTCGAGGCTAGTGGACGGTGTATGGTGGGATCTTACTGAAGATAATGACTTCCTCGCCGGTGGTCGCCGCGGTGCAGTGTCCTTGTCTGAGGAGGTGTCCTTGTCAGAACCCGTAGTGGAACTGGTATCCTGCTTTCCTGCTCCCGCTGCACTGCCGTTCTTGGTACTACTAAAATCGAATGCGGAGCCCGGTGTCCTGGGCGTCTTGCCTGCGCCGCCAAAACTCGCAAATGCTCCACTACCCAGCCCGAACGCTGAAGAAGCTCCTGCGCCTGTGGGTGAGGCTACGGAAGCTGCTGCCGTGGCTGTGGATAGAGGAGCAGAAAAGGGATTGTTCTTGCCGGCACTGCCACTCAGACTAGTGTATCTCTTCCCCGAAGGCGTCGATCGGTCGTCTGCTTGCGAGTCGTTCTGGTACGACGATTTGTTGGTGGAGAGGCTAAGTTTGCTGCTGCTGCACGTGGTCGCGTGCGTGGTTAGTATGGTTGCCATTGATATAACAGGCAAGCTGACGGTCTAGCAGAACTTACTTCGATCGTCGAGTCCACAGGTTCGACGGATTGTTCTCGCTCTTCTTGTCCATTTGTCCTTGGGTGGGAGGATATATGGTGGTGGCACGCGATGGTGGTGGCACGCGATACTCGGCTCGTGTGGAGGACAAGCGAGAGGGCGGCGGCGGTGGGAGAGATGTGCTTCGCGAGTGGACCAGGCGGTGTCTTGGATTGAGCGTCGATTTAATATGATGACGATGTGAAGGTGCTTTGGGTTGGTTGTTTGGTGGTATCGAGGAGGCGTATTGCTGCAATCAGTTGCTCAATAATGGATGTCTTTCAAGCTCTCGTATTCCGAAGCAAGCCTGCAAGCCACAAGCTTCTCGTCCCAGCTTCGGCTTCCCCTCGGCACCATTAGGTAGAGATCAATGTCACATGATTTCACCACCGCTCGCCGCACCAGGGCTCAGCCAGGAGCTCTTCTTCCTTTGATACAACCAAGACCACTTACTCAAATCATCGCCACCATCAGCTCCTCACACAAAGGGATAAATACAACTGAATTTGGCGACTCCGAAATGTGGTCGAGAACGAGATTCCTCAGCGAGTCTATACCACTTCCAAAACCATCGCCACGAGGGTAGTCCTGTTAACCCAGGACGGCTTCCATGAAAGGGTGATGACCTGATAGTTGGGACATCTTATTATTACAACAAGCATGACACATTACCGACATCATCAACTCCTTTGATCTATGAGAGCTCAAGTGCCTCGACCTCAGTGTAGGGCACAAATGTATCCTTGCACGCAGCAGCATACCAAATTTGCCGCAGCATACTCGACGAAGGTAAGAACCCCATTTCGCCGAATGAAACTCCATACTATATCGTGCACCGGTTGATGAGCTCCAAGAGCTTCTGGTAATCCGACTCCACCGCCCAACCGCATCTGCTATACATACTTTGCTGGTTGGGCATGAGGCAAGCAAGGCAAAGTCTGACATACGCACATTTCTTTCGCAAGCCAAGAAAATGTTCATAAGCGAGTCCCAGCCAGCTAATGGCTGTCTGGCTAGGTTCGCACTTTCCGACTTTCAGTGGGCATGCAAATCATTTTATGAGTGGCACAAGGTATGAGAAGGTGACTAAAATCCTCATGAGCAAGCCGTTAAACTGGCCAGTCGAGCTTCTACCTCTACCTTCCCTCCCACTGCCATTCTACCCCAAAACTGCACAGAACAGATCAAGCTGCCGTACCTCTGATAAAATAATCATACAAGAAGTGAACTCTCTCTCGCCTCTCAAGCCACTGCCACGCCAACACAACTTCCCTTCACAATCCCCATCACACCCGCCAAGCCACCTAAGCTTTCGGCCATCTCGCCTGCAATCCCTCACTCCATCGTCCATATAGCACATCCCCAAGCATCCCCACATGCTCCATCCCCGGCTCCACACGTCCAGGCATCTTCTCCTCCATCACCGTCCTCTCCTTTTCCCTTTCCTCGACCGCTTTCTCGGCCGCTAACTGCTGGTTCGAGCGCATACGTCTGAGGTGAGGGTTCTGTGGGTTCATGACTAACTTCCCCGGACTTCCGGACGGCTTTGTTGGCGACGAAGGCGCTGAGGAGAGTATGGAGGAGCGATCGGTCGGTTGGCGTCGAGCAGGCTTGGACGGCGAGGTGGGAGGTGTCATATCCCTTGCGCCCACCTCTCCTGCTTCCACGCCCATGGTCGATGTCCGTTTCTTGCTCGGCGAATTCATCCGCAGAGATGCTAGTTGTGCGGCCGCTACCCGCTGCGGCAACAAAGCACTAGCGAGTTTGGGATCACTCTGTATCCGGTCCATGATCGTCTTCAGCAGGATCAGTTCTCCTTCTGGATCGACCTCGTCAAGGTAGGACCAGGCTTCTGCCACTCGGGATAGAGCCTCGCGTTTCTGGCGGTCGGCGGTTGCCGCTTGGCCTTCGGCGAAGGAGGGGTCGATGCATTTTACGAAGCATCGTCGGCCTAGGAGGGCCTCCTTGGTGGTTTGGGTCTGCTGTGATGGAGCTGAAGTGGGAGGAGCGGGAGGTTTGTTCTCGGAGTCAGAGTCGAAGACGCTGTCTTGAGGTGAGGTGGAGGCGGCGGTCTGCTGTGGTGGCGAGCTGGGCTTGAGTTGTGGCTGTTGCTGAGGTTGCTGGTGGCCAGATGAGACGCGCTTGAACTGACGGACCGTCGATGTGCCGTTACCGAAGGACATATCCAAACCTAATGGCTGCTTGGGCTGCTGGGCACTGATCTTGCGAGCTGTCGGTGTGCCACCCGATACTTTTCGACTCACACGGCGCGCGGTCGGTGAGGAGATGGAGATTTTCCGAATCGTCAATGCAGACACCTTACGTTGACTGCTCAACCTAGGCTTCGGTGTCCGGATAGTGGACAAGTCCTTGGTGGGCGTAGTATTTGACGAGTTCGCGATGTCGCCCAACGGACCAGCATCCAGTTTCATGTCCTCCAAGGCAGCCGCCGCACCCTCGACATCCGACCCATCTCCTGAAGGTATTCTCTCCAGCTTGCGCCTTTTGACAGTATGTTGAGCACTGGCCAACTTCTTGACTGTACCCTTTGCGGAAGATGGCCGAATCGTGTCGAAGATCCACTCATCACCCTCGTCGGCACTGCTCATTTCTCTGAGCGTCTCCTCATAGTACCGCACATCACTGTCTCTTCTACTGCCTCCACTCTCGTAATCTCTCGCCTTCCTGACCAGATGCTGCAAGATATCGGTCTTCCCAGCCCGCCTGACAAATCCATGCTTCAACAATGCTCGTGCCGAAGGCCTTCGCTCTGCATCCTTGTTCAGACAGAGAGCAACAAAGTCCTTGAACTCCTTGCTCCACTTGCCTCCTTCAAGACGAGGCGGCTTCTCCTTGGGTATGAGGAAGAGGACTTTCATAGGATGGACATCACTCCGTGGCGGCTCGCCCATCGCCATCTCCATGGCCGTGATGCCCAAGGACCATATATCGGCATGGAAGTCATATCCGGCTTCTTGTATCACTTCCGGTGCCATCCAGAATGGCGTCCCGACGAATGTGAGTCGTTGTGACTTGATATTCGTCAACTGTGCCGCGACCCCAAAATCAGCAATTTTGACCTGTCCCGTCTCCGAGAGTAGTATGTTCGCGGCCTTGATATCCCGATGGATCTTGCCCGTACTGTGAAGATAATCTAACCCCAGCAGCAATTCCCGCATGATGATAGCGATGTATGCCTCCGCCATGGGACCGGGCTTGAGAAGATCGAGACAGCTCCCACCACCAAGGTACTCCATCACGATCCATAGCTTCGTGCCTCGGACGAATGAGTTGCGGTATCGGGTCACGTATTCGGAGCTGCAGGTGGAGAGGAGGGAGATCTCTTGTTGGATCTCGCGGATGTCATCGTCGCTGCCTTCGAGGTCGATGTGTTTGATTGCTACGGTCTCGCCGGTGCGTTTGCAAAGGGCGCGGTAGACGGTGCCGAAGGAGCCACCTGTGAGTAGAGACGGTGAGGTGTTAGTCTTGGTGGTGATGTGGTACGGTGTGTTATAGTATGGTGGAACAGTTGACGGGATGTCTTACTCCCCAGCTCTTCGAGCATCTGATAGTCTTCCGCCATTGTATCGTTCTCCACAGTATCAACGCTCTTGTCGTTCTCACTCTTCCTCGCCTGATACTTCAGCGCAAACACAGCCGCAGGGTCAGCAACCACCACCGCACCAATGCTGGCGCAACAAAGTGAGGTGTGAGGGAGTAGAGTGGCCCGAAAGCATAAGGATACAACTTCGGTTCAGGGGCTGCATGTGGGTGAGCGGTCGCAGGTAGCTATGTACGGTAATGATGTCCTCAGTGCACGAGACCTTTTGCGCGACCCATTGGCCAGCATGTAATTTTGCGGCGAACGGACGTCAGAGGCAAATAGATCGGCTGGTTTGGTTGTCACATAGCAACCGGACCGGTAATACAGGACCGGCTTGTCGGGATGTTTCAGCCTCGGCGTGCCTGCATTTCGGCGTGCAGGAGATACATGCGTGATTCAAGAGGTGCCTGAGCATAGAATAGACATGTATGTTGCAACACGCGGAACATCTGGTTGTCAAGCTGCTGTGATGAGAGAAGAGGTGGGCATGACGATTATTGGAATACGAGAATAGCTCGCAGGGAGACGATCTGGAACATGGCGTGGCGTCTCACTCAACCCTGGCACTACAGTATGTTCCCGGTCGCGGAACACCCGTTTCTGTTCGCCTTCTCAAACAACATGAACGTGCACTTCCTCGACAACAATCGATACTGCCATCGTCATGCGTCGCTGTCCGTGTCACGAATCTCACGTTATTGACTCGGAAGCATGGTATGCTCAGCAACCTGACCTTGCAATAATCCTCTCAAAGCCCAATGACCAGGTCAGATCATTAAATCCTACCACGCTTGCTCGGTATTGCGTAAGAGAACAGCGATGATCAGATCTCCTGCCGCCCGTCCCCGTCTACAAACCAGGCACAAGAAAAGACCCTGCTCATCCTACCTCTACACTCCCCTCAGGCACACCCTTGGTGCTTCTCAGCCTGCGAGAGAAGAATTGCATAATCGGCGTCATCTCGTCCCGATTACTGGGCATGCTGTCGCCAGGTCGTCGGTACTTCTTGATCTCCACGAATTCGAAGATGTGCTTGAGCTTTTCCTCTGCTGATGTAGTCACAATCGAGTCGCCCGAACCGCCACAGACGAGGATCGGTGTTTTTGACTTGTTGACCAGTGCTGCAGCGGCTGAGGATGGAAGGCCGGCGCCGATGCTGATTATGCCGTTCAACTCTGTGGTGGAGGATTGGTGGAGCTCGACTGTTGCTGTCTTAGCTCGTAATGATTTTTGTTAGAGTGGACTTATCATCCTCACCCGCCAGATTCAGCGCAGTCATACCACCCTGCCCGAAGCCGAAGATCATGATTTCTCTCCCTTTGTACTCACACTTCGCGAGCAAGTCATCTTCCACCAACCCTTTGAGCATAGCTGTGCTCTGTCGGAAGCCAGCATCTGCATCGAGGCCACCGCCATTGGAGTCAAAGATGATATCGTCGCCCCAATGAAAGCCACCTAGATCAAGAAGTCCTTGTGGTCCTTGTATCACGACACATGCTGTCTCTGGCAAGTTCAGCTGCTTGCCCAGCTTGACAAACGAGTCTTGTGTGTCTCCAAGGCCGTGGAGCAGTAGCAGGATATTGGTCGGCTTGTCATCGTTTGGTGCTGTTCACTCCAGCCGTTAGTCAGTGGCGACGAACATGATATTGCCACCCTCTAGCGTGCTGCTCGAGCTAGGATAAGCTATCGTGGTCACCGAAGCTCGCCTTGAGGCTGATATATTTGACTTGGCACTACTTACGTGGCACAATAGTCAAGACCACGTTGTTCGGGAAGTCCGACGTTACTGGCAGACGACCCATGATCGTCTATCTTCTGCCACTGTAGCACAGATCCACGACCGGCGCGCTTGTCCCTTGATGAGCGCAGCCAAGTGTGTCATATACCATGTAGCTCTCGATCGATCCCGTGCATTCAAGGTGTAACTTGTTCAATGGCTTGCACCGCCTCACACGATTTCGAACACGAAGCAAAGAAGCGCAAGCACTGCCACGCCTGAACAAGACTTTTGGCAAGCGCTTAGAGGCGATAAAGTGCCTAGACTTTCGTACCCGGTAAAGCTTGCCCACTTGCGTACCTGAGGGGCCTCTTGGCATTTGGCATGACGATGCGGGGCGCCTTCTCAAACACCACGAATGTAGATCGTTGTTACGATGTGCTACCCTGATACCTCTGGAGCAGGTTCGTGAGTGAGGTATGAAACGATCACGTCGTCAGTCATTGAATATGAGACGGTATGCCGCTTCGAAGCTTCTACCAATAGGCTGGGAGTGAACATGGTTCGACCAGACCCTGCTTCACTACTGAAGCTGAATCGACTTCACCTGCAGGCCAGGCGGATCGAGCTGACGCAAGCAGTCTAGCTTCACTGCCACCAGACATGTGCGTTGGTGGGGCAAGGGGACCATTGAGCATCATTTAAACCTTTCTCTGCTGCTCCTGACTTCCTCTGCATTACAACGCTTTTCACACTCTCATCAACCTACTCATACCACCTTCACAAATCTACCAACCAACCCCCAATCAATCAGACAGGATGTTCGGCTGGGGCGAAGGACAAGAGCAGTACGACCAGGTCTACAACCAGGACCAGCCCGACCATGAGGGCAAGTTCAGCCATGAGCTTCTCGCTGGTGGTGCCTCTTTCGCTGCCATGAAGGTCTTCGAGGACCAGCAACGCCGTGAGGGTAAGCTCTCCCCTACATCTACAATCACGTAATATCGGACTTTGATGCTTACTGCTTTCATGTTTACAGGCAAGACCGTCAACCACCAATTCGCCAAGGAGATGCTCGCCGGCATCGCCGGTGGCGAGGTTGACAAGCTTTGCGAGACCAAGGGTGCCGACTACATCGACCGCGAGCGTGCTAAGCGTGAGGCGTCCAAGCGCACCGAGGACATGTACGACCAGCACTACGGTAAGCATATCATTTTCGAACATGTTACACTCGATTCCATCTGTTGATGATTATTGCTTCACAGGCCAAAACGACCAATACGATCCCAACGAGCAGCGCCCTCACCAGAGCCTCCAGGACTCGTTCCAGGGCAACAACAACTGGTAGATGCTTTGAGCATTGCCAGATGTAGCAGCTGAAGGCTTTGCAGCAGAAGAGATGCTGGTATCCATGAGATCATGAGACGTGGCTATATGCCTGCTCAGATTTCAATTCATGTAGTTGAGCTATGAACATCAACTATGCCACTGCCTCACGTTCGTTTGTAGTCATTCGTGCCGCAAATTTCTTTCCTTGCGTCTGATGCAATGAGCATTTAGGTGTCAACAAGTGTACACTAGCCCCTAAAGCCATGTCGATACAGTATATGCTAAGGTACAGATCAAGACTGGGTCGCATCCTGCGTTAGCAGTATTCACGACTCCCTCTTCTCGCACGACGAGTGGACCAAATCCTACTCGCTTCATTGTGCAGACGAGCTGGATTTGAGGAGCGCACTCAGCCTTCAGATACTCACAGCATTTGGTGGCAAGACGCATCACGAACACACCGCAAGAAAGACAAGAAAAGCACACCTCAAGCACCATTGCTGCTGCACGCAATCAACTTCCATATCTTCTAATTGTAGTAAAACTCTACTCGGGTGAATCCTCGAGCTGGCAGGGGATCAGGACTACATGGCACTTATCGACAGCCCTGTGCTCCTGCCATACTGAAAAGGCCTTGATGACCACCCACTTCACTCGAACAACTCGGGATAGGTACCGTCGGCCCGTCCAAAGCTGCTGCAAACACCCTGTCTTGTGACACACCATCACTCTCGACCGCAGACAATCACAACAATTTGCATCAGAGCAATGCTCGACACCCTGAACGAGGACTGCCTAAGACTGATCGTGTATCGCCTCGATGAAGGCAGTACAATCGCCTTCCACAGCACAAACCGCCACTTCTTTCATTCCGCCGATGATGCTGTTCTCGCGACACACTTCACCAACAGAGCTCACCTGGTTAACTCATACGGTCTCCAAGCCTTGGCAGACATGACCGCCGTACCACGCATCCGTATCGTTATCCGCTGCCTCACGCTGATTGTTCCGAGCACTTATCTCTACGATGGCTTCGCTCAAACTCGTGCGGCGGAGGAGTATCCTGACAAGGCCAAGAAGCTTCGCGAGTCGGGAGGATCCAGACAATCCACTAACAAAGAGACTATCCACAGGCCTTCAAAAGACAATATTTGCGTGGAAGCCTTGTACAGAAAGCGTGTACGGCAACTTGCTGCGGAGGAAAGTAACGAGCTTCTCGAGAGTGCTCTCGGCTCCACGCTACTCGAGCAGATCTGCAACAATTTGAAGGAGGCGGGGCGTTCCTTCAAATTTGTGACGCGGTCTTGGAGTGCTGATGGTGTGAGAGAGTTTTGCTGGGTTCCATTCTTTGACGAATCGCCCAATGATCAAGGGGGTGTGGAGTACTCAAACGTCTCCGGTCTCTGACGGACACTTGAAGCAATCCGCCACATTGTCGTGCACGCGAAAGAGTCATGGATGCCGCCGTCGCCGGGGAGCAGGCCAGAGCCACCACCCAAACCGCGGGTGCAGTCGCTCAGGACTATAGTGTGTGGCCACACTCGGCGCCATGGAGAAGTCCACCGCGATAAGCTGCTCACAAAGGCTCTCAGTACAATCCTGCGCTCGGGCATGAAGATCCACAAGATCGACGCCCATGTCTTGGTGACACTTCTGACCAAGGCCTTGCAACGCAGCGACAAGGTGCACAAGGGTTTCCGCAACGTTCGAGCTTCCACAATGAGCCTGTCGGATGCCCATGGCTTGTATTGTATGATGGGAGGACAGTGGCAGACGCCTTTGAGCTCATGTCTAGCTGCACTCACACCCAGTGTCAAGCCGGAGGGCGAGCACGAGCTGCCGAGTGTCGCAGGAGACAGGAGACAGACCTGATGCAGAATAGCTTGATTCATGACAATATACACATTTCACTAGCATCCACCTCACAGAAGTGCCAAAGCAACCGCGGAGACTGTGCTCAACCCCACCACAAACCACCCACTCTGATTGACAGCCTTGTTGCTAATCGCACTCGCCGTATCCCACACCAAATGCCTCACCCCGTTAAAAGTGTGATAAGTAAACTGCCACGCAAACACCGTCTTGGTCAAGAATTGAAGTATGACCGGCCATGTCGCGAAAGAGGCAGCGAGCACCGCACTCTCGAGGTGCCAGCCCATGACGGGTGCTACGAGGTATGCGGCGCCGAAGAGGTAGAAGGCGCCGGACATGAGGGAGCCGGTGATGCGGTTTATGATGCTGCCATACCAGGTGATTTGCGGACGGTAGATGCTGAGGTGGGGGGAGACGGGGCGGGCGAGGCGCTGTTTGGCGAGGATTCCGGTGCCGGCATCGTTTTCGGCCATGGATTGTGTGGCTGCGAGGCTGGACGTCCCATTGTCAGCTGATGTCGCTCATGGAAGAGCGATTATGAGCTCACCGTCGTTGGCTGCTATATACATTTCGGCTGGCGAGTGCTGCTGCTGGAGCTACGAATCGTGCTGCTGGTTGCTGGAGGGCTACTGGGAGCATGTATCAGCTCTCGCACTGCTTCATCCACCAGCAATCTCCTGACACATACACCGCCTCAGCGTCTGCTGCGCAATTCGTTGGGGAATCATCTCGCCAATATATCCTTGGGTGATGGTACAATGGCAGTCTACACCTCTATCGCAAGCACAGTCACAGGTGATGATGGACATGCCGCATCAACGACCGAGGTCGGCAAATCCCGGTAAGATATCATGACTAATCAGCTCAGACTCTGCCTACCATAAAATTGTCTCCTCCGCACTCCTTCGTTTCTCTCACAACAAGGAATCGCAAAAGCCGTCTGGACACCCTCGGGAGCAAGAAGTGACGGCCAGCGCTCAGACTGCAGCGTTATGCTGTGGTCAACGAGTGCCTTCATAGACGATTTCGAGACCAATCATACCCGTAGTTAATCGCGCATTATGCTGCTTCATCAATGAGCTTCGTGCGTTTCATATCAGGGCAACATCTTCTATACTATCATTCTCACCTTCATAGCTTGCTCTCCGATATATGGTATCCCAGGCACACATCACCGGGGGAACGGGATGGATGAGGGTGCAGTATGTGTGATTTTGCTTTGTTCGTCGTACAATCCTATCACTACCTTCAACTGGGGATATCACATGTTCATGGTCGTCTCATCATTACCAACTTCATCCATTCCTGAGCCTGTCAACGACTTCTTCGCTCTGGAACACCCCTTCCTCTCTGTACCTTCGGTCCCAACCCGCCGCAGCTTCTCGCTGCACGACCTGTGGTACAGCCCGCCATCTCTGAATGCCGCGATGCCATCTCTCACAAACTCGCAGAATGGTAGCTCTCACTACTACTCCCCTCCGTCCTCCGCCTCATCGGATGCGCTCTCAGCGGATGGTTGCCCACGGGCGCAAAAACACCCTCATACGCCCTCTGCTGCTGGAGAAGCATATCCCGCTGACTCTGTTCGCGCACAGTAGCCACACTCGTCCGCCTCGAATCCTTCTGCTGAAACGAAATCTGCCCCTTCTTGTTCTGCAGTATCTCATACTCTATGGCAAAACGGAGATTGAATGTCTCGGCATTTATGCTTTCGGGTCCAGGCCAAGAGGCGATACCGTGGCAATGCCATCCTTCGAACAGTGCACTCTCCTAAAATACTGTGCCGTCGGATAAAATCATTATCGGGGGTTCTTTGGTGTTGGGTCGAGAGACTTCGGCGATTTCGCGGCCGCCCTGGGGAGTGGTAGTCAGTAAATTGTTCGTGTGCCGTGTAAGCTTTCACGTCCCTCACCTTCCATGTGCCAGCTTCCAGCATTTGTGCGAGACTCAGCTTGTCGCTACCGTGCAGGCCGAGAAGCGTGTTCACTTCTTCAAGTAACATGTCCAGAAAGCCGACCGTCAGAGCTCGCCACTCCACAATCACATCGTCGTCTGCGGTGAAAAGAGGAACCACTTCCACATTCGGTTGCCCTTGCCTTGTGGCATTCATCTGGTACTGCTCCAGCCCACGCTTGGCATCATCCGGCTTCAGGGTGAGAAGTCCAGTATCCACCAGCAAGCCACCATTCCTATACTCTGGCAACCCAGTCATGAGTTCCACACCCACGAAATGCACATTCGCCAGTTTCTGCATGGGCACCATGAGCGAGTATGTCATCCACTGTGTCAATTTGTGGAAAGGCACAATGTTCTCCCATGGATGTGTCGGATGCGAAGGCATCGATCCACACGGCCATGCATCTCCAAGCGGTACACCATCGATTTGTGTTCGGGTAGCTGGCCAAATTGGTGAGAATCCATCCATGAGTGTCGTCCATAATGTCGGCAAAGGCACGATCGGCACAGCGGACACGCCAGTCGAAGGATGCGAAAGCAAGTAGTCCAGCATGTTCCCTGGTCTTGCCTCCGGTCCAAAGATCTGCTGGTTGAGCAGCGCATCTCCCAACCTCACCAGCAGATTTGTTCTTCCTTCCAGCCCATCGATGGGATTGTCCGAGCTCACTTGCAGACCCTTGGCCATCTTATCGGTATTCAGCTTCTTCAGCCCTCCACTGTCCACCTGACAAGGCTGCTCTGGATCGCTGGAAAAGAGACCCATCTTGAACATCTCCAAGCTCGCGACTGCCAGACCCTCACTGCGTTTGTAGACCTTGCCACTTTCTTTTGACTTGTACTGCCATTTTGTGCCAGCGCCTGCATCCAATAATACAGATACCACGAAGAGGTCGATGAGCCGTCGTGTTCGTTCCTGGTTGTCTACTGTGCTTGGCCATGTGGCCATTAGTTGGTCTACGCGTGGTCGTCCACCGACTTCGAAATGCTGCCATCGGCCGTGAGGTGGGATGCTACTGTAGTCCGGGTGGAAGTCTCGCTTCGAGGTCACATGTTAGTCACATGTCTTGGCAGCCAGACACCATATATCTCATGTACCTTAATGATAGCCACGACATAATTGGCAGTATCTGCAAACTTGGACATGTCCACGGTGAAGTGCCGCAGCTGGTTCCTCTTCGCCTTGTCCAATACCAGCCTGCTTCGCTCGCGTACTGCATAGATACTGCGTAGATACCCCGCCGGGTCCAGGTTCGGGTCGGGTGCTTTGGGGAGTGGTATATCAGGTATACTCGCATTCTCGGCGGGATTACTGTTGGCCCGCTTCATGTTGTATGGTGGTCTGAGGTCTCCGTTGGAGTAATTGCTGTCGCCGTTCTGCTGGTTGCGATTGGAGGACTTCCTCGAGAACAAGCCCATGGCCACGGACGATACTATTGCTTATCGGCGTGGGTAGTAAGCTGCTGCAGCTTGCCGCCGCCGCCGTTGTGGAGCGGATGCGCGCAGCTTTCGTGCTTGTGTCACCGTCACTGTCACACCGTCCTTCCCAGCAATCAAGTGGGCTCGATGGTGAATAATGTGGGGCTCGATGCGGCGCCTGTGATTAGCTAGGCGTCAGCTGCTGACAAAGGAGGGCCCGAAAGAGTGCAGCGAAGTGAAGTTGAGCGGATTGAGGGATCAAACGAAGTCGGCGCCTGGTGAGCGCGAAGAAGGAAGGCACAGGTCGTTACTCGAATATCTGGCCAACAGCAACCACGGGACTCGAGAACCCCAATTGTCCCGCAGAGCACGGAGATTGCACCCGGGCGGATCCCAAAAACGTGGCTTTGGGTCCGTCGCCCGTCGTTCCTGCAGCATCCCGTCCGGCCATAGTTCGCCCCGTCGGCTAGTGCCTGCCCAATTGAGCTTGGACACGCTTTCGCTTCTCCATCATGACATTCCTGACGAATAAGTTCACCATTCTCCTACACAGAGTAGAGCAAGTGACGACGAACGGTCGATAGACGTGAGTGTATGGAATGAGCGCTTGCCCGTCCGGTACTCGGAAGTCTCAGCCATGGCAAACTAGAACGAGCCAAGATCGGAATGACTCGGGGACACGGCGCTGGAGACGAGCGAGAAGTAAGGCTTATCGGCTCGATCTTAACGCTGAGATCGTTATGTACTTGGAACCTGCCTTCACGCCGGTGCAACATTATGTCCTCGTCATTAACGACAAATCCTCGCTTTGGAGGAGAGCCATATTAGTGACCATCTCGTCCCACAGTCTTTGTCCCTCTATGTGGACATAAGATGACTGGCAGCCTGCTTCTCCCTTGCCGCTGATCCGTGTCTTGAACAGCAGTGGAGCAGGACTTCGCTTCTGCGCCTTGATATTCTCACCTATGCGGACTGTTCTTGACCTACTCAGTGCCGCGTCCATGTGTGAGAGGCGCGGCGCGAGACTGCGATCAAGTATGGAGCCACCTCCGACCCTAGCCAGTATAGCCGCTGCTCTCACGGGACACAATGGATTTATCCAAGATGCATGCAAACAGCCGCGTGGCGGGTCGTCTGAGCTCGTCCATCATTGTTGCGCAACGATGTTCTGCGGCGGCAAGCGTAAGACATCAGCAGAGCGCTTCGACTCTGGCTACCCGACGACGTCCCAAGCTTGCCACGAGAAATCGAGCCTTTGTGAGTTGGGGTAATGGTATGCCGTGAGTGCCAGAGCACGTCATGTAAGTGCCTGCTTGAGCTGGCGAGATGTAGGTGGATGGTCAGTATCTCAAGACACTACGCTTGTGTCCACATTATGCACACGCAGGTTCGCGGAGTTGTACACTACGATACATGCCGGCAGTGACTGGTGAATGCTCGCTTGGTCTGTAGTGACTACAGCAATTCAGTTCGGATGTAGGGTTATGTTTTGGCATCGTTGGCCTCATTCCTTTCCTGCCCTTCTTGCGATACAATATCAGGATCACGCACGCACGAGAGACATCACTCATGGCATCACTAACCCCATCACTCTGACAACCTCCTGATCGCACTGGAATCGATCCGCGTGTAGCCGCCACATTCCCAGCCATGGTAGACTCCACTGATGTATTGAATGCGGAAAAGCACGAGACCGGCTCGTTTGAAGGCTATCCAGAAGGTAGCGATGGTGAATCAAGCCTTGACCGAACTACGCTGGGTGTTTACAAGGTAACATATCTTGCGCAGGATCTTGCAGATGCGGCAAAGGGTGATAAACTCCAGGTTCAGAACGACGCTGCAAGCCGTCTCCGCAAGATGCTGTTTACTGTCGAGACGAAGCTCAGGACTAGTGGCTCACCAGTCCCTGTGGCTTCTGAGCCGACGTCACCACGAGCGAGGCTCGTCGACGACCGTGGGAACTGCTTGCTAGGCTGTGGGGGCAAATGCAAGTGCTTGAGCTACCCTCGAGTCCCACCAGATGACGACGAGTCCGATGATGATCTGTATCTTATGAGCGGCGCTCTAGGCAGTGAGGTCAACTCTCGCAGGTCCGCTCGATCAAGTTCAGCCGTGAGCAACGAAGATGGGGGACCACATGAGCCAGACGGCGACCTATGCATTCGCGACAAGCCTACACCCCGTCGAGGAGATATGGCAGGTAAGACATCTCTGGGCTAGAAGCTCATCACCGTCGAGCACAACGACAGGAAGCAATGTCCAGCAACTCCGCTCGGTGACAGATTGGGTACCATGACGACTGCCTGCCGTGCAATATCTGATGGGGATTTGCGCTCAAAGGCGGGCCTTGGCGTACAGACACCCGTAACAGAGGCAATGAATCAATCACTTTGAGCTCATACACCGTCACTGCAAGGTCCGCGGCAAAACGAGGAGTACTATCGTCTATCCGAAGGAATGGAGAAGTGACGATAGGAGCTGGCTTGGTCGGATGTGACTGAAGACTGCCCGGTCCACGGAGGTAGATGGCTAAGCAGACGAGGACAGCGGCTTCCATGAACATACGCTCAATAGAATCGCCTTCCTTCTCCTTCACGTCGATAACAATTGCAGCGGCCGAATCAGTACTGGCTATGTGATTGCAGGGCGCGAAGGACATGAAATGGCAACCCATTCCTCTGAGTTGATGCCGTCCCTGGCACAAAGTTGGCGAGAGAGGGTCACTTGGCAGCACGTCTGGTGTTGCATTGTGGTCGTGATGGTAGACATGCAGCGTCCGCATATCGGGCCAAGAATATCTTTTCACACCCGTAGGGCTGAGGCTGAAGTACGTACTCGGAGCCCTAATCTGAGGCGTGGTATTCGAGCCATCGGCTAATAATGACTGTCCAATATGGTCAGTGACAGCTGAGCTATGCCTGTCAGTTTACATGTTATTAGGTTTCCAGAGTGGCCCTGTCAGACGTGAGCCAACGAACCTTACAGGTTCGTATATAGGTCGGTGACCTTGTAACGGTGCTGCTCGGAGAAGAGGCGGAATGCGAGCAGTCGACACGATGTCAACACGCCACTTCAGCGTTACGGAGCACACCGTTGAATGTCAGCACATCCGAGGCTACTACCAATCCACCGCCAACTCGCAAGAAGATGTCCTGCACCTCGCTGTGAAGCAATACACACCACGCAATAACTTGGCGCCGCAAGCAGGCGACGTGACGATCATCGCTGCCCATGCCGCGGGCGTGTTGAAAGAGCTGTACGAGCCTTTTTTCGATGACTTGTTGGAGCAATGGACAGCGACTGCCGAACGGGGCAGGATCCGCAGCATATGGATCGCAGACGCCGTCACGCACGGGCAGAGCGGTGTCATGAACGAAGGCCAGCTTGGTATTGACTTCGACTGGTGGGATCATGCCCGTGATCTGCTGCATATGGTCAATGTCTTCCGTAAAGAGATGATCCGCCCTATTGTGGGTATCGGGCATAGTATGGGCGGGACGAACATCATGCAGTTGAGCCATTTGCACCCGAGGTTGTTTGCTGGCCTCGTGTGTTTCGAGCCTGTCACGTGGAATAGGTATGCGCCGCAATACAACTTCGCGAACATCTATTTCAGTGGTGTTCAAATCGACCGCTGGCCGTCTCGCGAAGTGGCACTGGAGCGGCTTAGGAAGAGTCGCATGAGGAGCACTTGGGACTCTAGGGTGGTGGCGAAGTACGAGGAGTATGCATTGCGTAAGCTGCCTACGCTGCTGTATCCTGACGCACCGCAGAACAGTGAGGGTGCAGAAGCCGTCACTTTGACTATGACTATACATCATGACGTCCGCGCCTTTGCACGAGGTGCTCATCCAGCAGCAGATAAGAGTTTCAGTGAGTTTCAACCAGACAGCAGGACACATCCCGATCTTACACAAGCCGAGTTCGATGCACTCGGACAACCCGCATATCAACCGGCAATGTTATCAACGTTTGCCATCTTACCGTTGATACGTCCAGCGTGCTTGTACATCCACGGAGAGTGTGTGAACTTCGCGAATAACATGCCTGAATTTCGGGACGACTTCTTAAGCAGAATAGGTGTCGGACCAGGCGGCAGTGGTGGAGAAGTCGCGGGCAAGGTGCAGAGGAGAAGCGTGCAAGGCAGTCACTTCGCGCCCCTCGAGCATCCTAGACTTGTTGCTGAGGTAAGTGCGAAGTGGATAGCTGAGACTTTGGTCAAATTTCGTGGTGACGAGACTAAAGATGAGGCTGAATGGAAGAGCCTTGACAGGAGGGAGAAAACGATGCTCTCGGCTGATTGGATGTTTTGGGCTGAAAAGGCGTACAAGCCGAAGACGTCGAAGGTTAAAACTACTTCAAAGCTGTGAGTGATGCTAGAGGTCGATGCCTTCTTATATAAGAGCGTTGCAAATGCGTGATTGGCGGTTATGCTCAAACGCCCAAGTGCCAGCAATCTCCTGCATTCGATAGAGCCTTCACCCGGACGTGAAAGGACTTGTGAGGAGTAAGGACTTGTAAAGAGAGCACCTATTGACCCTGCCGTCGAGACCGTCCTCGAAATAGTTAGCGTTTAAAGCTCGTCTTTGCTCACATCCTCCTGCTCGCTATCTTTCTTGCCAACCACAACATTGGCGGCCTTCTGACCGGCATTCTTGACAAAGTCTGGCATCCCAGCGGCAGGCTTCTTGCCACCTCCCGCTCCACCACCACCCATTCCCATTCCAGCCTGCATTAATGCATCCAGCTTCCCACCTCTCACAGGCCGCTTCTTCAGTGCAGCTTCGCAAAGACCTGGAGGCTCCGGTTTGCTATCGTCCAAGATGACATTGCCGATGACGTTGTACTTGCTATTATCGCTAAAGAACTTGATCCAGTGGGCAAGAGCTGCTTGGGCGCTCTGTTCGGCTTCTTTGCGATCTGTCACCCGCCTTGCATCGATGGCCTTCTTCGAAACGCGTCCGTACTTGCTCACGACCTGCTTTGCCATTTTGAGCAGATCGGCGCCGCCGAAAGCATCGGCACCTTCGATATCAGACTCGCCATCAGCATTTTGCTGCATCTGCTCGTCGAGATATTTCGGCATGAACATGGCTTCTATGCCATCCATCCGCCAAGTGAGTTGATCCTCGGTGTCCCAGCATTCAGACACCCACGCTCGGGAAGCATCTTTGCCTGTGAAGTGGTCTGCTGGGCATTCAGTGTGCGCGAGTCGCATGATCATTCAGTGCGTACTCACGGTAGTGACCACCCGGACCGTAGAATGCTGGTGAAGCGGAGACATCGAAAATGGTCCCGTTGATGGAAAGATAGATTTTGCCATCATCGCCAGTGCCATCAAAATGTGCTAGTTCTGCTTCTGTGAGCTGTACGCCATTGCTCGTGACTGCGCCGAGCGCAAGCCAAGGCAGTACGCCAAATACAAGGATAGGAAGGTACATAGTATGTTTGTGATCTCAAGGATGCTCCCATCCCACGTCTTTCGAATATATGTCCTGCGCGGGACATCTCGACGTGTCCTCGAAGGACAACTGCCCCTCCAACTTTGAAAGTCAATTCCACCTTACGCGGACGCCTCCATAAACATACCGAGGTGGTTCTGCATTCTGGCTCTCCTTCTATAAGTCCCATTATGGAAGATATGCTCCAGCCCATGCTACGTTGACTGCTATGGACGCGAATGTATGTAAATGAATGGCGAGCGTCTCAATCGCCGTTGCACGCGGTTGTCCGCGCTAAATGTACTACAATTGTGCGCAAAATAACTATCGCATGCTAAGACCTAAAGTTAGGGAAAGTATCCCCCTCGGTCGTATCCTCGAGGAGCGCCTATACCTAAAATATCTAGTTATCGTCCTAATAAAGCCTTAAATAGGGTAAGAATTCTAATAATAGTCGAGTTAAAGGTATTATTACTTTTAGTATACGTTATAACGTAGCGTAAGGAGCCTTAGGTAGCTTCTAAGGTATAGGCGCTCCTCGAGGATACTATAACCCTAGGTCTTAGCATGCGATAGTTATTTTGCGCACAATTATAACTCGGATTCTCGACATCTGACCCCACCGCGACTATGCACACGGCATTTAGAGCTTCTCATCAAGCCTAGCATCTCGCACGTCGAGTCGAATATCGACTGGCTGACAGTAGCATGCCGACGCTGGCCAGTGTCCGTATGGCAACTTACTCCCAAGCCACTCTATAGCGCATTGCCACACCGCGAGCGGTTGAGACGCCTCATGGGAGCGGAAAGAGGTGGAGGTGGAGGTGGAGGTTGTTTCACCAGCTGTTGTGCGATGATCTTGTAGAGACTCGTTGAGGTCGTCAGAAGATACACGAGCCTACGACCCAGCGATGTCAAATGACGATCAACGTCTTCAGGGACTGATGGCGAACAATCTCTGTGCTACGGCTAGATCTGGATGATAGCGGGTAATGTTCGTTCACCAGGCCTGGCTTAGCTGCTTTGTCATGTTGCCCTAAATCCGACCCAGTACGGCTCGCTCTGCTCGAATTTAATGCTCGGTGTAACTCGTCCCCTACAATGGAAAGCACCAAATGCCTTGGGCAATGCAATGCCGCGGCATGCAAGCGGTGAAGTGCTACAATTCATCGTTCACGGACTTAACGTAGCTCTACAGAGCTGTCTACACGCTCACTGCCAAGTGCTGGCTCGGGATGACTCTCAGCCATCGAAAATGCGGTAGAACCACATTGAGCGCTTTGCCGGATTGCGTGCAGCTATGTCCGTCGTGAGCTTCGGGACGACAGAAGACTTGAGTGCGACATACAACGGTTGCTCGCTGCAACAAGTCTCTGCACAAGACATCACTACCGTCAGCAGCACTCGAGGATACCATTTTCTGATGCTCCATACATTCGCCCATACAAAACTAGCTCAGCATGTCCTCTCGTCCTGTCACCTCTATTGCGGGCAAACCTGTCGGCTCTGTTGGCTATGGCCTGATGGGTGAGTGTTATTCCACGTGCGCGTTGAATCTCGACTGACTACCGACCTGCAGGATTCACGGCCTTCTACAACACGCCCTTTGATGACGCGGTCAAAGTCATGAAAACGGCGCTGGAAAATGGCGCCAATTTCTTGAACGCCGGGACTTTCTACGCGTCTCCTGAGCGTAACTCTTTGCAGCTGCTGAAGCAATATTTCGATACCTATCCACAGGATGCAGCAAAAGTGGTGTTGAGTATCAAAGGAGCGTATAATGGCGCCACATTCACGCCGGATGGAAGTGAGGCTGGCATCCGTGCTTCTGTTGAGGAAAGTCTGAGGGTATTGGATGGCGTCAAATCCATCGACATTTTCGAGTGTGCGCGTGTCGATCCTAATGTACCGATCGAGACGAGCGTAAAGACCCTGGTAGTGCTAATCGAGCAAGGCAAGATCGGATCGTATGGCCTCAGCGAGGTCAATGCCTCCACGGTCCGCAAGGCACATTCTGTGCACCCACCCTCGGCGGTAGAGATCGAGCTGAGCTGTTGTTCTCGCGCCATGCGCTTCAAAAAGGCGGTGTGTTGGAGACAGCTGCAGAGCTTGGCATACCAGTCGTCGCCTACAGCCCCCTCGACCGCGGCTGGCTAACAGGTCAGCTCAAGAGATACGAAGACCTGCCCAAGGACGACTACAGGCACCATTACCCTCGTTTCCAACCAGGTAACTTTGAGAAGAACGTCAAATTGGCGGAGAAAGTAGAGGGGATTGCTCGAAAACGGGGACTCACGGCGCCGCAGCTGGCTATTGCGTGGGTGAAGCAGCAAGGTGCGTTGCCCATACCTGGCGCGTCGAAGTCCGAGAGAGTCATGGAGAACACCAAGGATGTCAAATTGACCGGCGAGGAAGTTGGTGCGCTGCAAGAGTACTTGGATCGAATTCCTGTGGAGGGTGACCGATATGGGAGTATATTCCAGAGTGGGCTAAGTCTGTAGGCGCAGTTGCCCGCAAGTGTCAGGGCAACTCCTTCTGTGGACAGTCACTGCGCTTGCGCACTGCTATGTGCGGAGTGGTGAGATCATCGGGAGTCGGAGGCATGGACTACGATGTAGCGGATGTGCAAACGCAGCACCACTAGCGTGGTACTATCACCGAGAAATCGACATCAATCCGGCTCTCGAACGTGTAACAATGTCACAAGCACGGATGCGGTCTGACAACGTTGGCTTTCCGCAGATACAGGTCGCGTACAGAAATATGTCACACACCAATAAATACACAGAAAGGTACACCCCAATCTTCAGGCACGAAGCAGCAGTTCGCGTACCCACAGACCCAAGCAAGATGGCGAAAAGGTGCGCTGGGCTAATGAATTGTGATGTCGGAGGAACCTCATGTGCGGATGTTGTTGTCAACGTCGTAGAAACCCTCAGTGGACACAATCTGGTATTGAGCAGCACTCAGCGGGTTGTGATTCAAGCCACTAACAAAAGCGTTAACTGGAGTCCATCTCATCTCTCAAAAGGGACTCATTATGAGCGGACTTACTGAGCAGCATAGGCATTGTAGTGGTTAGCTGTCGTGACGGTGCCGCTGGTCCTCTTGTTCTTGCGAATTGACCAGTTCTGGAGATAGTTGTTACCTCGATCGACAAGGCAGACCTGGTAGTCGCTACCGTCACTGTTAATGGTAGCGACTGTCTTGCCCTTGACGCAGGGATTGTAGGTGCCATAGTTCTCAAGGATCTTGGAAGACGTCAGCTGGTGTTCGTGGAGCGCGAGGAAAGGCGGCATACATAGTTCTCTCCCTGACCCGACCAGGTGTAGACAGCCAAGTAAAAGTTACCTTGAACATTCATGGTGCCGGTAAAGGTGATGTTGCGAGGCTGTGCTTGCTGCCAGCCCTTACCAGCAGTGAAATCGTTCGGGTTGGACCATTGTACAGAATACTCGCCACTGCCCTTGTTGGTGTAGGTAGTGGAGCCGCTCGCGCCGTCGTCCCCTGTGACGGCTCAGCAAGGAGATATGATTGCCTATGCTGTGTACCTACAGAACTGATAATAGTACCCATTGTTGGTGCCTTTGCTGTTGGCTGTGTTGGACCGCCTGCTCAAGTGGATATCTACGGGGTCGTCTATGGGCGCTGCAAGCACGCCCACCGCAGCTGTGGCCGCAATCAGGACGCGGATGAAAGACAGCATGATGATAGCTGGAATAGTACGAAGAGGTGGAGGGTCTGATCGTTAGTCTCTCGTAACAAAGGCCAAGTATGTCAGCTTATAAGCATTACTGGTAGCCTGTGGTTTCATAGCACCGCCAACAGCCGGGACCGGATAAAGCTTCATGGAGGAGCACGAGTCTCCTTACTGTAACAGCCGCCAGTATTGCAACCCGGGTCTAGGCACTCCAGGCAATATATTTGATATCATCTGGGCCAAAGTATTGTGTCGCAGATAGCATTGTCGATGCGAGCCACTGGCGGTCTTCCGCCGAGTGAAGTGCATGGGCTGCTTCTCTGCCTCACAGATGGACCTGTGGCGAGTCCGTGGCCGGGTGCTTGGGATTAGGATCTACGATTGGCGAGGGTTGATGTTGGATCAGGAAGATTGCAGGTTCCTCCGCTTATGGACGATCTGTCGCGCCGGCGAGGCGCGTGACCGCAGGCCTTTGTTATCGCAAGGTGTACTAGTCTCCTCGTGCTACTAAGCTGCTTAGCTATATTGTTATTTAATTGTTTCGGCGTACTACTGTTTTAGGTAGACGTATCGGAGCTAGCGCCGAAGCTCGAGAGACTATTATAGCGTAAATATATATTAATAAAGCTATTTTATAGATACTACTACGCCTACTAGTCTTAGATACTCGAGATATAACCTATAGAGTACTAGTATATAGCTACTTATAGAGTCTAATCTTTAGATATTACTAATATAGACTATCTTCTTCTTATTAATAGGTAGTAAAGTTTAAATACTATTATAACTTCTTAATAGCTATACTTACTTATATAATCATTATTATAGTTATAATATTTTTTATACTACTTATAAGCTAAGTAGTATTTAGTAACTAGTATATAAGTAGAGAAATAAGTATTTTAGATAATTAAGCTATATTATATTAAAGGAACTATTTTAGAAGTATCTTAATATCTTATATATATCTAATAAATTTAGATATAGTAATATATATATATTAAATAACGCCTAGAAGATAATTAAATAGTAATAGAATCTTATTTAAAAATAGTAATATATAGAGCTATAAAATTAAGAATTTAATTAAGTTCTATTAAGTTTAATTATTATATACCTACGGTATAAGGGGTTAGAGCTCGTTAGACGAGTAAGTTCTAAGCGATAGGTCGGGTAAGTAACTACTCTAAGGTTTAATCTTTTAGCGGGTTAGTAACTTAGGTTAAATACGAACTACCTATATAGAAAACGTCTATTCTATATATATAGGAGATTCGTATATAGTCGCGATTACTAATAGTAATTACAACCCGATTATAGTTACCTATAGTAATTATAATCTAGATTACTCGATTATCTAGTAATAAAGTAATCCTATATTTAGCTCTAGAGTTAGTCTACTAGCCTTAGGCTTTAGTTTCTAACTCGTTACTAATAGTTAAACTCTATATCCGTAATATTATCCCCTATCTATAGTTCTATATCTCTATAGTAGTCTATCGTCTTAATAGATTGTTATTACGCTAGCGCGTAGTAATCGGTCTAATATAGCTTAGCGCGCTTTCTAGCTTAGTCTATAAGTAATCGTAGGGTCCTATAACCTTAAAGTTTATTATCTAAAGATAAGTTCTCTTATAACTAAGAATCGACTTTGTCTAGCTTAAAATCCGGTAAGGCGCGAAGCTACACGGTCTAGATTTTAGTAGGATCCTAACTAATATAAGGCCTAGGAGGCAACTAAACATTAATAGGATCCTCCCCAAATCCGGTAAGGCGCGAAGCTGCACGGTCTAGATTTTAGTAGGATCCTATTTAGTAGGATCCGTACTTCTAGAACTGCCTGTAGGCGCCGTTCTATACGCTAAAACAGGATATATCTTACTCGTAGTACTCGATTGTCTGTCCGGTATTATTTCTAGTACGTCTAGACAGTATTTCGTAGTACTAGGGTTAGGGTATAGGTATACGCTAGTAGTCGTCTGTTACGGACATGGAATTCAATTATCAGTGACGAGTTAGGAACTGATGCCTGAGGCCAGCAGACTGACTCTAGGGCTGGATATGGGATCACTTCATCACTAGGTGATCGAGTAATCCGGATCATGATCACTGTAGGTGACCATAATCGGGTCGCAATCACCGTTAGTGATCACGACCACACACGAATCTCCTATATATATAGAGTAGACGTTTCCTATATAGGTAGTTCGTGTTCAACCTAAGTTACTAACCCGCCGAAAGGTCAAACCTTAGAGCAGTTACTTACCCGACCTATCGCTTGGAACTTACTCGTCTAACGAGCTCTAACCCCCTTATACCGCAGGTACATAACATTTTGAACACCCTTATAGCAGGTGAGTACCCTAAGCAAACAAATGGCTCCTAACAACGAAAGAGACGTTAGCATGGCTTCGACCACTCGAGCTAGCGCTTCTACTAATAAAGACAGAGCAAAATATTCCGCCAAACCGGACTTCTTCTATAGGGATCGTAACAAGCTCGATAACTAGTTGAACTAGATTATGCTATACTTCTCCCTTAAAGGTATTACAAGCGAACAACGACGCTGCCGTATCGTAGCATCCTACCTTCGAGGCGAAGCTTAAAGCTAGATACGTCCTAAATTAACTATAGTTCTACTCGAGAACAGAGACCTAGACGGGATCTTTGCCGACTTCTCGGAGTTCGCCAAACAGGTTAAGGGAATCTATGGACTTAGCAATAACTAGCAAGTCGCTATCCGGAACATCTAACACGTTACGCAAAAGGCCTCCGTATCCTAGTACACCGCTAAGTTCAAAGAGGTTTCTACTCGTACTAGATAGGACGGCAATGTACTAAGATCTATGTATTATCGAGGACTTAAAGACAACGTTAAGGATGAGCTTATAAGGTACGGAGGACGCTAAGACACCTTAGAATACTTGCAGGAGGCTGTAATTAAGGTGGACGATATGCTCTACGAACGATACATGGAAAAACGCAATACCAATTAGGACCGCGGACGAACTAGCTATGCTCCCTACGGCCGGACCGGAGGATAGCAACGTCGCGACCCTAACGCTATAGAACTCGACGCTACTTAACGTAAGCTTGGAGGAGGTAAATCCAACAGAGCAGGAGCCAAGGGCAAGAACTACGCCTAGGGTAAGAAGCAAGGACTAAAGTGCTATTCGTGCGGAAAGGAAGGACACTACGCACGAGACTGCCGTGGCCGCAAGGTGCAACTATAGCAGAATTATAAGGCGGATCTTAGGGAGGTCAACGCTATAGAGATCAACGTCACAGAACGACGTAATCCATTTGCCGAACATATTCAGGAAGCTATTAACGTCATTTAGTCAGGAATGTACGTCAATAAGGAATCAGCCAATAGCAATGCTGTACGACAAACGCAATCCGAAATCACTAATACGATGAGCTTAATAAGGAAACGACACCCTAATCGTAAGGACGAAATTATTGAATAGGAGAACAAGTTCCTCGAACTACTCGGAACGGTCTCTACGGACGACATTTGCGTCATCCGCGATACGATAATAAAGATCGGAGAAAGTGTCGGAAAGGACCTAGATAGCGAACACAAACAACTACACTAGACAGGATGTTACGACGACTCCTGTACGACTTACTACTCGAGCAAGGTAGACTTAGGATGGTTCCCGAGTAAGCCTCGTCGAGAGTTCAATTCGACGGAATTATAGGGATCTAATAGTGCTGCGTATTAGCCCCCTATGTTCGAACCAGTGCTAGTTCGACAACGGCAACTACAGCAGGACAGAGACGACGGTATTTACGCCCGAGAAAGGTCTCCACCTCCACTTAGGTGGGAGGATATAACCCTATAAGAAACACAACAACCTTAGGAGGAGGAATCCGACGACGAAGAAGAATTAAGACAACTAGTCGTAATGTACGATCAGGGAAGCTTCGCGCTGACCCCTGTTATACCAGACTCTAAGGACGGTTACGAGGACACGCCCGAGTCATTAGAATACGAATACACCGACGACGACAATAATAGCGATAACGAAACACTCAACTTTAGTGTCGACGCACTAGAACTAATTAGACGAATGATTCTTACAATAGTTAGACAACACGAGGAAGTCTTCCCGAAGGTGTAAGGGAAACGACGACTACATCGAAACAACTTCGACTTGCTACTTAATAGCCTACGGAGGGAGTTTTGGGACTATCGACAAGTCAACCTCGACGGAGGACATCACTACGTACGAGACACACCCCCGATAGGAAGCAAGTTCGATGGGTCTAGAGGATATTACGCCCTAGACGGGATCTATATTAGCAAGAACATGCGAGACCACGTCAAGGTGCTTGCATAGCGATTCGACGAGATCTACATAATATAGGAAAACTAGCAGAACGACCTTATTACGGAACAAGAGATGATCTAGTAGTACAAGACTACGTTACACAAATAGTCACACGCTACAACCTATAGGATCCTACTACTACTAGTGTAGAAGGGACAGGTTTTCGGTAAATTGTTACTATTAACTAAGGGACCAGTATCGACAAATATCGAACGAGGAAGAATTACACTATAGCCTAAGGACGGACCCCTTAGTTGGGAAGTCTGCCTTAAGGACCCCGAGCTTCTAGCGGCTTAAGAGACAAAAAACTAGGAGAGCCCGTTGGTAAGAACAGATCACGGGAACTCAACAACACGAATGTTCAACAGACTTCAGCAGCAGTCCTACGTACCAAATGCATTATATAAGGACACGAAACAATAGCAATAATCGACTCCGGAGCCAACGGAACGTTCATATTAGCCCAATTCGTGCAACGACACGGGATCGCAACCCGGAGGAAGAAGAATAGCGGGTACAAGCTAATAGCCGTCGATAGCTTATCCCTACCCGACGTGGATAGTGAAACGATGCTACTATCCCTAACGATGCAACAGCACCACGAGACGATAGTCCTAGATGTCGTGCCTATAGCCAGATACGATATCGTATTAGGCACGCCTTAGTTGGAACGTCATAACCCACACATAGAGTGGAAAACGAGAGTACTCACATTTAAGCGATGCGTATGCGTTATCGACATCGAACCTACACGCCGGCAGAGTTCAGCGGTAGATGAGAAAAGATAGCATATACACACAGCTAGTCAATAACCGGAATAGGAGCTACGTAGTAGCCTAAGCTCGACAGATGCCGGAATAGATCCACCGGATTAACAAGTTAGAGCGAAGGAGGACAAGAACGCACCTCTAGGAATCCCTAAAGAGTTTATACGATGGAAACGCCTCTTTTAAGAAGAGACAGGGCTCGCGGCCTTGCCTATATACAGACTATAGGATCATAAGATACTAATCCAGCCTAGTAAGGAACCACTATAGGGACCACTTTACGCATTATTACAACGAGAGCTAGAAGAGCAGCGAAGCTAGATAGACAAGAACCTATCTAGGGGATGGATTGAGAAATCCCAATCGCCTGCCGCTTCACCCTCAATGTTTGTTCTAAAGAAAGGAGGAAAATTACGCATAGTTATCGACTATAGACGACTAAACTTAATAACGATCAAGAACCGATATCCGCTACCAAACATCGAAGAAATGAAGAACCGACTTACGGGTTCTATATAGTATTCGAAGATCGACCTACGGGACGCCTTCTACGCAGTACGCATGGCACCCGGAGAAGAATAGAAGACAGCCTTTAGAACGCGCTTCGGACTATACCAATTCCGAGTTATGCTAATAGGCTTAACAAATGCGCTAGCAACATGCTAAGAAGTTGTTAACGACGCTCTACGCGACGTCCTCGACATTATAGCAATCGCCTATATAGACGATGTGCTTATCTTTATAAATAGTTCTCGAGAACTACACGCTAGACACGTCGGCGAAGTACTCGAACGCCTCGGCAATTTAGGCTTCAAGACTGCACCCGAGAAGTGCAAGTTCTTCTGTAAAGAGGTTAACTTCTTAGGCTTTATCGTTGGAGTTAACGGCATTCGCATAGATCTAGAAAAGATTAAGTTAATCATAGAATAGCCTACCCTAGCGACAGTCCGAGACATTTAAGCATTCCTCGGACTAGCTAACTACAACCGAAAATTCATTAAGGATTACTTAAGGATAGCTACACCCTTAACTAACCTAACGAAAAAGGATATCTAATAGGATTGGACGACGACATAGGAGCAAGCCTTTTAGGAGCTAAAAGAACTTAGTGCATCCGCACCAACGCTCGCTATGTTCGACCTAGAACGAGATGTTATTATCGAAACCGATGCCTCCGACTTTGCTATTAGTGCTTGCCTTATATAGGAGCACAATAGAAATCGACACCTAATCGCGTACTTCTTAAGGAAGATGACGCCAGCGGAACAAAACTACGAGATCTATAACAAAGAACTACTTGCGATCGTCGCAGTATTGCGACACTAGAGAATATACTGCGAAGGAGCTATAGGACTAACTATCTACTCGGATTATAAGAACCTACAATTCTTTACAACTACTAAGGATCTTTCGAGACGACAGTGTCGATAGTTAGAGCTACTTAGACAATATAAGTTCAACATTATTTATACTCTAGGAAAAGACAATAGGCGCGCCGATGCGCTAAGCAGACGAAGCGACTATACGGAGGGCAACGAGCCTAAACCAAAACAGGTGCTAAAGGTTAACAAGGACGGAAGCCTTAGTGCAAAGACTTAAGAGTTTAACTTAACTCTTCGGGTTCTGCGGGACGACGACGAAGAATTCCTAGTCGAATATAGCAAGTACAAGGTACCGCCACTTAAGGAGAACGACTGCATACGAGATTACTATAATAGGGAAGACTCCGGTTACCTAGGTGTTGCTCGAACAATAGAACACATTCGACGGAACTTCGCCTTCCTAGACATAAGACGAAAAGTCTTAGAATACATTAAGAAGTGTGTTAGTTGCAACAAGAACAAGTCTTCGCGCTACGCGAAGTACGGCAACTTACAATTTCGGGAGCTACCCGAAAAACTATAGGAAGAAGTTACAATAGACTTTATAACCGATCTTCCTAAGTCACCTAACCCGGTGATAGGAGTATACTACGATAGTATCCTAGTTATGGTCGACAGGCTGACTAAGTACACACACTTCATTCCCTGCAGCAAGACGATTACGGCCCCGTAGTTAGGCTGCCTTATGCTCGATCGCCTTGTGCGCTACTACGGGATACTAAAGGTTTTCATTACCGACAGAGACACTAAGTTCATATCGAACTACTAGAAAATACTTATCGCCGCAATTGGACTTAAACATAAGCTATCTACAGCATTCTATCCGGAAACAGACGGTCAAACCGAGAGGATAAACCAAAATCTCGAGCCATACCTTAGGCACTACATGAACCTAGCCCAAAATAACTAGGTAGAAAAGCTACCTATAGCGCAGGTTGCACTCAACAACAATGCCTCCGAGACAACTAGCGAATCGCCATTCTACGCCAACTACGGCAAGGACCTAAACCTGCTTATAGAACTACGCAAAGGACTAGCATCTAAAGAAGCTTTAGTTAAAGCCTCTGAACTAAAAGATGTCTACGGCAAACTACGACAAAATATTACCAAATCTTAGCGAACACTTATAAGGACGAGATTCAAAACCTCAAAAACGGCACCTTAGCTAAAGACGGGGGATAAAGTGTATCTCTTAACGAAGAACCTAAAAACTAAGAGAGGAACAAAGAAACTAGATTATGTGAAGGTCGGACCGTTTCTGATCGCTAAGAAAAGAGGCGAACTCAACTACCGACTCGAACTACCTAGGGATGCTAAGGTGCACCCTATATTCTACGTTTCCCTCCTCGAACTAGCGCACCCAGACACCGCGCTTTAAACGACATTCTACTATAAGTCCTAAGAAAACCAAGAGTAGGAGGTAGAAGGAATCCTAGAGAAAAAAGGTTAGAAATACTTGGTTAAATAGAAAGGATACCCCAACGAAGACAACATATAGGAACTAAGGACTCACCTTAAGAATTGCTAGGACCTCCTGCGACAATTTTAGGACTAGAGAAGTCAATCGCGTTGTTGACGAAGTCAAGCGAGGACTACACGGCCGGCGACAACCCTACTGTAGCATCGGCTGTAGGACAGTCCTCGTCGCCCAACTCTCCCGCAGCTTCCATCTCCGACTTAAGGCACGCGGCCTTCATCTTCGCTCGCTCATCCGCCTGCTTCAGAATTTTCTTATTCCGCATAAGACGACTAAGGACTATAGACAACTCCTCCTCGTCCTTCTCCACCTTTTTCCGATACTCCTCGCGAGTACGATCTAGCGACTCCCATAACATGTTTACGCATTTGCGCCCTAGGCGGACGCACTCGGAACATCTCAGGCGGGAATTCGATTCCATTATGACGCAATGGTGACTAGAGAAGAGATAGCGCTTACAAGGGATTACGGCAGACTCCCCGTACTATTGTATTTCTTAAGCGAGGCGAAGTCGATTCTTAGTTATGAGAGAACTCATCTTCGGATAACGAACTTTAAGGTTACGGGACCCCGCGATTACTTATGGACCAAGCTAGGAATCGCGCTAAGCCATATTGGACCGATCACTACGCGCCGGCGTAACAACAATCCGTCAAGGCGATAGGCCACTATGAGGACATAGGACTATGGACGGGGGATGATGTTACGGACATGGAATTCAATCATTAGTGACGAGTCAGGAACTGATGCCTGAGGCCAGCAGACTAACTCTAGGGCTAGATATAGGATCACTTTATCACTAGGTGATCGAGTAATCCGGATTATGATTACTGTGGGTGACTATAATCGGGTCGCAATCACCGTTAGTAATTACGACCACACACGAATCTCCTATGTATATAGAGTGGACGTTTCCTATATAGGTAGTTCGTGTTCAACCTAAGTTACCAACCCGCC